CTCGGCGCATCCATGGAAAGGAGAACCTGGGATGGGGCCGCACCATGTACCATTCGCCCATCCAGCAACTGATCCGAGGAGACCCTGAGTATTGGCTATGGTACGCCTGCATTCGTCACCGCACGCGCCTGATCAGCTACCCTTACTACACCAAAGACGCGCAGCCAGGCGACCGAACATATTTCAAACACATCGACCTCAACATCAGTGAGACACATGCTACGGGGCTTGGGCGCGATATGGCCCAAGGGAGCGTTTCCTGGTCGAAGGAAAACTCAACAAACTGCACTCAGGTCTTGGAGAGCATGAACGCAGTGTTTGACGAATATGCTGAGTGGCGCAAGAGCAAGGGGACCACCGTACCCCAGGGCCATGTGGAGAAATGGGATGATAACCGCGACTGGCCACCTGAGCTCCGTACCCGATGGCCTCAGGTCAAATGGGTGAACGTGGTCTGTCGCCCAGGGGATGTGCGCATTAGCAGCCCGCTGCTAGCCCATGGGTCCACAGGACCTGCAACTGTTGTCCGACGAACGATGCTTCCATGGTTTGTTGGATTCCAGAAAGATGGCAAGACTATGGAGAATCCTCGCATGGGCACCTACTCGGAGATTGCTGAGTCGTATCGCTCGCTCACGGCACCACCCAGGACGCCATCTGGTCATCCGAACATGTATGGTGGTATAGGATGGGCGTTCCCAGGCGCTGCGCCAATGCAGTATGGATGCGAAATCTCGCGAGCGCTTACATGCCAAGTTACTTGGGACTCACCACTCATCCGTCAAGAGATCGCTTGGTTAAATGACCGATCGCGTACTAGGGAAGAACTCCTAGACTGGATACGAGAGGTCCGTGAGTCACACGAAAGCTATGTTCGCAAATCCTGGGAAGCTGCCAAGTTGCAAGAAATGGAGGCCTATGGCAGTGACGATGAGGAGGAGATCCCCGAGCGCAGCTACTTCATGACTGGGGGTACGTTTGATGGAGAAGGTGACCAGTATGAGCATGACCAGGACATCTCTCCGCAGAGTGCTGTCGACGCACTGCTTCGCAGTTACACTGTGGAGCCCGAGGGGCTCTGAAAAGGGCAACGCCAACCAAGTGCACTAGCTAGATACCTAGCTGGGCGACTGCGCAACTGGAAAGATGCCGCGATGCCTAAATCCAGGAGGCGGATTCTTAAGGAAGGGAGGGATTTGTGCCGTGGCAGGACACCCATTACAAAATTTTCTTTTGTTACTCTGCGGGCACTCAGTTGCCATTAGATAGACTGATTGTTTAGGTGTACTGAATGATAGTTGTACGTGCCCACAGGCACCTACCTGGCTGTCGCCATTGCTTTTCCTATGTACAAGGAAGAAGCTAGGTATTGAGACAAAGGAAGAGCTCTCTCCGGTCTCAGTTTGATGAGCTGAAGCAACAGGAGTGCAGGGCAACCTAGGATAGCTGCTTCTTATGTGGTATATAAGGAGGAGAAGCACCTAACATAGAGAGATGTCGAATATACAGAGTGTGAAAAACCATCCTACGTTTGAGATCTATTGTGACACTAGTTGTGGTCTTTGCTTCCTATCTGCGTAGCACGGTGACAAGAGTTGTCAGCTTGCTCAGCCTATTTATCGCTACGGACCTGTAAGGAGACAGTTCTCAGAGGGTATTTGAGGTGAGTGAGTGATTGAACCTGTTGATAGCTTACGAGTTGGAAAAGAGCCATAGCACGGCATACTAAGTTATTGTTAGAGTTTGCAATACTTTTATTTTAAATGCTAAATTAAAATTAGCATTAAAGAGTTTAATTGCCTGCGTAAATTAATCTAATATAGCATCTATATTAAGGACTTCTACGCATTCTACTTCTTTAGCTCTTGTTACAACTTTATTATAATCTAAAAGCTAGGTGTTCTATTAGGTATTCTTTCTAACTCTATTAAGTATTTGTTTATATTCTTTTTGTGCGCGTAGGATAGCTTCTTAATTATTAATGCTAACCTATAAAGAGATTCTAGAAATCTATTAACTGTAGACATTATTAGAGCAGCATAAGCTGTATATAAATTAATCTACTAAGTTTTGTATGTAAGAGACTATTGCTTAGATTGTAGTACTTTCTCTCTAGTATTTATTATTATCTACTTTCTAATCTTTAAGGTCTTGTCTTTATTAGTTAGTTATTAAAGCCTAGGCAGCTCTCTGCGCAGCTAAGAGATAGGCAATTAATGTAGAAACGTTTCCTTAAGCGTCTTTAAACACATCTAATAAGTTTAAAAGCAGTCTAGCTAGTTCTACTCTTAGTAGAGTTATAGTAGCTAGATTAAACACATGCTACACTACTTTTAATATTGCATAGATTTATACAGCTTTAAACTAGTCTTAATAGTTGTCTGGGTTCTTTAGGGTAACCCTAGAGACGTCTAAATTAGCAGGCATTTTTAGTTAATTTATAATAGTAAGGTTGCTTTATTAATAAAGGCAGTAAAACTCTTAATTATTAGATATTACAGTAATTTATAGTAATAACTATTATAATAGAAATTAATAATTAATTCTTTGTCTCTTTAGACCTTATAACTTTGCTATACCTCTTTTTTACCCTAGGTAGAAAGCTAGTATATACAGGTGCATACCTATTTATTGCACAGCTGTACTTCTACTTATAAATTGCACTACTTATTCTAACATAATCTAGTTAGATTAGCAGAGTTCCCTTAGCCTAATTAAGCCTTATTGTAACTCTACTGTAGTTTACAGTAATTTGTTGCTTTTTATTTAACAAGAGTAGGTATTTAGGCTTACTTAAATTATTAAATTTAGATAAAGTCTCTGTGTCTAGGTCTAGCGAGCTTACAGCTAATGTAGACGCTAAAGAAACAGGAAATTTATCTATGTTAATTTTATTATAACGCGCTAGATACTAATATTGTCTTTTTTTGCGCGCGTGTAATTTATTTAATTTAATAGTAAAGTTAATATTGTTATCTACTAGTAGTTTAGAGTTATGCTTTCTTTTTTTTAAACTTTGTAATTGTTTTCTAGAAAATTAAGCGCACCTCTCCTATAAAACAAATCTGTTCTTGTCTAAAGAAACTATTTTTTAATTGCTTAGGCTAAAGTGTTGTAGTGTACAGCAAGTTAGAAAGGCGTTAAGCAGTAGAAATATAGACTAGGTAAAATAAGCAAATAGTGTTTTTACACTAGAATGCAACGTGTGTAATACGTAATTATAGTATAGAAATTCTAGCTTAGCAGACGCTTTAGCTAAATGTATTATAAACTGCGGCTTCTCTAGCTTAGATAACAGTTTTAGTATAAAGATAAACTTTAGTTTATTAAGCGCAATGTAAACATTAGCACAAAAAAGTAACGCATTAGAGAGATTATCTAATATGTTTACAGGCCTAAAATTATATCTTAACATATTGTTCTTATACTACTATTTAGCTTCTTTCTATAGACATATGTGCGCAACCTGCATTTCTTCTCTACAACTAGTTATGCAACACAAGACGTTTTAAGCTTAAAGGGCAAGAGTTAAGTTTAAGGTTGCATAAAACTGTTTAGAAGCTATAAAGTTAGAATCTACTAAGCCTATCTGTTGCTACAATTTAGGTAGTTAATTGTGTAGAAAACGCCACTTGCGAAAAGTTAGCACAATTAGATATAGAAGGCCGGCGTTCACGTCGCTTAGTATTAAAAGTAGGTAGAAGTAATAACTGCTCTTGTCTAGAGTGCTAGTAGAATTTACTAGAGCTAAGAAATTACTATCTCTAGCCTCTAATAGCTATCTGTCCTAGCAATTTCCTGTAATTATATCACAGGCTTGCAGAGCATACCTAGTATATAAGCTATAATTCTAGGATAATTGCCCTATATTAGGTGCGAAAAGTTTAAAGAGTACATTATTTAAGTTGTAGTACCTAGGGTAGCGAAAGAAGATTTAGCAGCGCGAGCCTCTAAAGTAACAGGGGACTTCTAGAGGTTTGCAAAGCTCCTAGGAAAGGTTTATAAGATAAAATAATTTATACTTAGTATTGCGGTGAAGAACGTGCTAGGATTAAAACAGACATAGGAATGTCTTGTTAATGAACTTCTTAGTTACGAGGTTGACAATGACGCGTAGGATGTTTGCTAAGCAATTTAGGGTGTTAGCAAAACAATCTACTAACACTATGGCATATTGTACTTGGCGTAACACTAATAGCATGGATAAACTTGTTGATCTTATTTGACCTGCTTATGGTTCCTGTAGTGCGGTTAATATTAGGTTAGATGCTTATTGTAAGACCTCTGTGCACCCTCTTTCTCTTCTCATTTATGCTCATGATTCATCGCCTCCAGGACAAGGTCGTGGCAGGAGCGGGTCGGCCATCTTACCGGCTAGTGGTGGCAAACCCTGTATACTATGTAGATGTGCTATGTACCTGTACCTCCATCACGCCACAAGAGGCGAACTGTTGTCTTATATCCAAGCCCCAAGGTACACTAGGTTCAGGTGTCACTTCTGGTGTCATATTTCGGTCTGTTTTATATGCTTTGAAAGACATGTGGAGAGTGTGTTGCAGTAGGAAGAGAGGATATGCAGCTGGAGGCACTCTGCTTCGGCACGGGCGACTGCGTGTGGACGGCGGCGCTTCCTCAGCCTGATCTGGTCGGCCTGCTGTCTGCCTGTCGGCCTGCCTGGTGAGGTAAGCACTGCCGGTGAAGGCTATTGTGTAACCACCGCCAACCTTTCAACCAGGCGTTTAGCTTAGGCGACACTGTCTCACCGCTCAACACTCGCTGAGCCTTCCACACGATCAACCATCAAATCTCTGAGGCATGCATTCAACAACGTAGTGGGGCAAGTGTATTCCATCGTATGGTCTACTAGTTACTCGCTTAGTTTCCGCTGTCATCTCTTCGCCTATCAGCTCCCATAGATTGCCGCCAGTGATCGGCGCGTGCGGTTATCCCTAGGTTGTGCCCCCAGCCTCTCTGTCTGACTTAACCTGACGAGGCAACAGTCGGTCGTTTAACCCATCCCCAACCTGGTCGTCTCTACCCCACAGCCTTATCAGACTGGATATACTCCACTCCCATAGCTGGGCCCTTTGCTGCTTTCAGAAGCATATATTGCTTGACGTGTTTTCCGTTGCATGGTCAAGCTCTGAATCTCACTTCACTGTAAACGTTCATTATCAAACGCGAACGATATCAACTATGGCTACGTCCACTGCAAATCCTCCATCGCGATCAGCGAATTCCGAACCTAACACAGAAACCTTTCGGAAATGTTGGATAGCTAGCACTGCGGACAGCAACCTGACACTCCATGGATTTCGTCGATTCAAGACCACGCACCTAGTCAACTTGCGTTTGTTTGAGAATGAAATCGCCGAGATGGACCACGCCGTTTACCAGGCCGGCATTAGCTTGGATGTTAGCCCTTCGTCTACGGATAGGCTAGGCCTCAAGCACAGTGCAAAGGACGCGAACATCCCTAGCATCGAAGACACTATTACCCCAGAATTCGTGGCAAAACTACGCGAACTCCTAAAACAGTATGGTATGCGGTTGTGTCATGCATTCTTCGGATTATTATGATGGGATACGCCCAAGCTAACAAAAAGACAACACCAGACGAAGCGCTGCAGGCATTCCACAACCTCATGGCGATGGAGACGTTCTCACTCATCGATGACGAGAAACAAGCTAGCTTACGGGATGATCTCAACCTACACGAAGTCTACAAAACCAGGCTGCTCCGTGTGGACCTCGGGACGCGGACGCGGACGGATCCATTCCAGCGCTGGCTTCACAGGTACCTGCGGGCCTTCCGATACTGGAGACTGTCCAAACGGTCGAAGAACAACACCGAGGGTCTGGGGTCACCTACTTCAAACCGGCACCAGTGGTCTTACCAGAACACGATCCTGATCGCTGACATCGTCGGACGTGTAACTACTGCAATGCTGACCGCCGTCTTCCTTGTCATGCCTTTGGCCATATTATCGCATCAACCGTCCAAAGATGTGCAGTTGATCGTGGTTTCGGTGTGGATTCTTGTTCTTTCATTTCTCGTATCGCTGTTTCTGAAGGTGTCCAGTTTCGAGATGATGGCAATATCAGCTGCTTATGCAGCCGTTCTCTCGGTGTTTGTGTCCAATGTTCCGGCGGGGGATTAGAAGTGAACGAAATGGAACAGACAGCATAGCAATTAGTAATTGCGCGTCAAGCGCTGGAGTTGGCCTAGCATCAGGCTCACACACTGTAACTGAGGCGCGTAAAGCTGGGAATCGATTGGATAATACTACTCGATTTGGCTACGCACCAGAAGTTCAACAGCCGCAGCTGATATCTATACAAGGGTAGATTGTCACAGGTTGCAGAAACATGTTTGGCTGAATGGTAGGCGCCTGCCGTACCAATCATATAATGCCCAGCACAATATTTGGATGACAGCTCATCGGAGGGTGGCAGTGCAAATCGTCCTTTCACGATTAACTTCGCCAGGCAGGCAGGCAGGCAGGCAGCAGGCTGATCAGATCAGGCTGAGGAAGCGCCGCCGTCCACACGCAGTCGCCCGTGCCGAAGCAGAGTGCCTCCAGCTGCATATCCTCTCTTCTTACTGCAACACACTCTCCACACCATACTCTGCCTACTCTATACTCTGCCTACTCTATACCCTACCTATGCTGTAAGTTATCTGTGTGCGCGACGGCATGGCCTCGGGCAATAGACAGCCTCAGCTTAGCTGCGCCGACTACCACGTCGCGTGGATCTGCCCGGTCGCGGACATCGAGCTGCTGCCCGCGCAGTTGATGCTGGACGAGGAGCACACTCCACCACCCTACAACACCCATTACGACGAGAACACGTACCTCTGCGGCTCGATCAACGGCCACGCTGTCGTCGTCGCGACCTGTCCGCAGGGCGAGACAGGCAACGTCAACGCCGGGCGGCTGACGGGATCGCTGTTCAAGACGTTCCCCAACATCAGGATGGCCGTGCTCGTCGGCATCGGAGGCGGAATCGCTCGTGCGCCTGCCTCCGAGAATTCACTCAACAACGTCCACCTTGGAGACGTCGTAGTCGGGTGGCCTGGCGACGGAAAGCCGGCCTGCGTCTACCACGACCGCGGGAGGGCCAAGGCGGGCGGCGAGTTCGAGATGGTCGGCACTATGCAGAACCCGGATTGGCGGCTCACAAGCGCGCTAAGTATGCTCTTGTTGGACTACAAACTACGCCGGACTAAGTTCCACGATCACCTTGCGCGGTTGCGAGGCTTTGACGAGTTCGCGCACCCTGGCGTCGAGCACGACCGGCTCTTCAAAGCCAGCCATCGCCACGTAGGTGGCTACGGATCAGACTGCACGGCATGCGATCCCAACGAGCTTGTGCAGAGGCCTCTACGGACGGAAGACGACAAGAACAAATTTGCCTTCCACCAAGGACGCATCGCAACAGGGAACGCAGTCATCCAGGACGCCGAGTTGCGGGATACGATCAGCGCACGATGTGGCGGGGCGCTGTGCGTGGAGATGGAGGCCGCGGGCGTTGATGTCAACAGACGCTGCCTGGTCATCCGTGGCATCTCTGACTATGCGGACTCGCACAAGAGCGACGTGTGGCGGTCGTATGCGGCAGGAAAGGCGGCAGCCTTTGCTAGAGAGCTGCTCTGCAGGATGCAGCCTGGCACGGTCAAGGAGATGGAAGGCGTAGATGCAGATTTGCGTGAAGGTCAGTGATAGATCCGCCTTGCAGCGGGCTGCATGGTATGCAGAGTGTAGCAGTACATTAAGGATATCAATGGCACTTGTTTGAACACAACACCATGTGTAGTGTGCTGATGCTGGATAGGACACTGGGCTGTCCCATTCGTAAGGCCTTCATCCTTCGCCGGCCGCGAGGCTCCGCTTGCGCAGCTTGACGAGCACATATCTAAAGAAGGCAGCCGTCGGCTTGCCATCTACGGCCTCGGCGGGTGCGGAAAGACCGCGCTCGCTCTCGAGGCCGCGTACCGGACGAGGGAGCGGCAACCTGCGCGCGCCGTCTTGTGGGCGCCGGCAGTCAGCCGCGAGAGCTTCGAGCAGGCGTATCGCGAGATCGGAGAGCGTCTGGACATTCCAGGCATCGCCGACGACAACGCGGACGTCAAGCGGCTCGTCAAGGCATGGCTGAGCAATGAGAAGGTCGGGCAGTGGCTGATGGTGGTGGACAACGCCGACGACGACAGCGTGCTGTTTGGCGCTTCTGACGGGACGAGCAGCGCAGACCGGCTGATCGACTGGCGGCTGCGGTCAGGCTGGCGGAGAGCAACGTTGTAGCGCTAGGCGAGCTGACCAAGGCAGAAGCAGAGGAGGTGATGAAGTCGCGGCTGTTCCAGGAACACCAGCACCAGCTTCAGAATGGCAGGATTATCAACGAGTTCCTCGACATGCTCGCCTCTCTTGCCCTTGCCATCGTCCAGGCGATAGCTTTCGTCAACGCCAACGACGTTGCGCTCGCAGACTACATCGCGGACTACCGGAGCAGCGAGAGGGAGGCAATGGCTCTCCTCAGCGAGGAGTTCGAGGACCAAGGCCGGCATCGGGAGACAAAGAACCCCGTGGCCACGACGTGGTACATCTCGTTCAAGCAGATCAAGAAGGAGAACGGGCTGGCGGCCGACCACCTGTCGTTCATGGCGTGCACAGCCAACACCGACATACCGGCATCGATGCTGCTGCCGGGAGGGTCTAGAACAGAGCAGACGAAGGCCATTGGGACGTTGAAAGCGTATGCGTTTGTCACCGAACGGCAGAGCCAGAGAAACAGGCCGGCAGCGGAAACGGAAAAGCAAGCAAAGGCATTCGATGTCCATCCTCTTGTTCACTTGGCGATGCGAGGGTGGCTGAGGAAGAGCGGCCACTGGGTCGAGTGGGTGAAAAGGACTCTACAAAGGCTGGTAGAGATTGTGCCGTATGGCGATCACGAGAGCAGAGAGATGTGGGCGGCGTATTTGCCTCACGCCGTGTACGTTGCAGACTGGCCGGAGCTGTACGAGGCGGAGGCCAGGATGTTGCTGCTGGACCGGACAGGACGCTGTGAGCGGACATTGGGACGATTCTCAGCTTCAGAGGCCGTTCACAGAAAGCTATTTGAACAGCGAAAGGAGGTGTTGGGAGAGAAGCATCTAAAGACGCTGACGAGCATGAACAATCTGGGACTGGCACTGAGCGGCCAGGGGAAGTACGCAGAGGCGGAGGAGATGCATCAAGCGACGCTGGCACTGATGGAGGAAGTGTCGGGAAAGAAACACCCATCGACGCTGACGAGCATGAACAATCTAGGAAAGGCACTGAGCGACCAGGGGAAGTACGCAGAGGCGGAGGAGATGTATCGAGCGACGCTGGCACTGATAGAGGAAGTGCTGGGAAAGAAGCACCCATCGACGCTCACAGTCATGAACAATCTGGGGCAGGCACTGGGCCGCCAGGGGAAGTACGCAGAGGCGGAGGAGATGCATCGAGCGACGCTGGCACTGAGGGAGGAAGTGTCGGGAAAGAAGCACCCAGAGACGCTGACAGTCATGAACAATCTGGGACTGGCACTGAGCGGCCAGGGGAAGTACGCAGAGGCGGAGGAGATGCATCGAGCGACGCTGGCACTGATGGAGGAAGTGTCGGGAAAGAAACACCCATCGACGCTGACAGTCATGAACAATCTAGGAAAGGCACTGAGCGACCAGGGGAAGTACGCAGAGGCAGAGGAGATGTATCGAGCGACGCTGGCACTGAGGGAGGAAGTGTCGGGAAAGAAGCACCCAGAGACGCTGACAGTCATGAACAATCTGGGACAGGCACTGAGCCACCAGGGGAAGTACGCAGAGGCGGAGAAGATGCATCGAGCGACGCTGGCACTGAGGGAGGAAGTGTCGGGAGTGAAGCACCCTTCAACGTTGACGAGCATGAACAATCTGGGACAGGCACTGAGCCGCCAGGGGAAGCACGTAGAGGCTGAAGATATTCTTCATAGGGCGCGTGTGTTAAAGTAGGGAGAGGCATGCGCCGAGATTTGTTGTTACAATACTCTGCTCCTCTGTTGCACGGCATGTGCCGGTTATCGTCAAACATTACGCTTGATCTGCACGCCTCGTTCAAGCAACCGTGTACCCTACGGCCTTCTAGCAGCACGTAGCTGATCTACAGTACTGTACAGTCTCAGTCTTGTCACACTCTAGCAACCCTCCTGATATGCAGTAAGCAGAGAGATCCTAAATAGTAGATATTGCTTGGCGATTGGAACCTGACAATATAGCATTCCTGTACATGTTTCTTTTCAAGATAGCAGACTATAAAAGTGACGCTAGACGTCTGACGACACCCTAACTCAGTATACTTTAGGGTTCGGAGATAAGATGGCAGTTCGCCTCCCGTGGCGCGATGGGAGTACAGGTACATAGCGCAGCTACATGATATACAGGATTTGCCACCGCTAGCATGTAAGATGGCCGATCTGTTTCTGCCCTGACCTTGTTCCGGTGGCGATTTTCTATCAGTTTGATGAAGGAGGATACGAAGACTCCTGGCAGAGGTAGCTGATGCTTACACGTAAGGCCAACAAGATATTTTGTAAGTGTCTCCAGTAGCTTAATTTTGAGTTTTGGTAGCTATGCTGTAGTCGAGGGACGCCTCGATGAGCCTACGATTTTTTCCTCATGGTATGTTCCCTCTAAGCTGCAATGAACGGCACTGTAATTTAATATAACTAAGGGAGATGTACACCCACGGGTGACAGGCTGTAAATCTAGATATAAAGGATTCCTCTCACTCTAAGACGCACGCAATTATATGAACTAAAAACACGTTAAAAGATATAAAGAGATCATTAAAGCCACAGCGCAGGAGATAACTCTAATAAAAAATAACATGGCTTACTATGCGGTTGCACCTAGAGCGAATCCTAGAATTTAGGAAGTCTAGTAGTATAGCATTATAATTCCTAAGAACTTGGCGCGAATACTTATAAATTACAGCGGAGCGAGGGGAGCCTTAGAAGAAATCTATAAAGCTAATAGCGCTTGCTATAAGCGGTTTAGAACACAGGAACAAGCAGAAGCATTTATAGAGGACTAGATAAAAACATTTGCAGAGGTCTAGCGCAGAGAGATAAAAAAAAAGCTGAACTAGGGGTTTAGGCCCTACAATATAAAGTTAAACACAGAAGGGATATTACGCATAGGAAACGAGGACTCCACTATTAAGGCAATCTCTAGACGATTTAATAGTGTGATAAGCTCGGATTGAATTATGGAATCTAGAAGCAATTTTCCACCATCCTGATATATTGATTGCCTGGAGCTTTAGATCTATAACGGGAACGCTCCTTAGGCGCCGAATCTGCTGATGTGATCGCGAAACAGCCGTTGCAACTATAGAGATTACTGTAATAGCTATAAACTGCCCTCTAGCTCCCACAGTAGGTCTAGCAATAAGTCCTAATGTAGCTTCGCAGTACAGATCTAGTACATATTGATGAGCGCTCGTATTACACCTTGTACTAACAACCACAACTCTTACGTACAATTATTAGCCTTCTTTGTAAGGAATCGTCCTGCTCTTCTCTACTAAACCCTTGAAATATTGCCATCGACGCAAGGTCAAGGCCAGTGCGGGTCGGCTATGCTAACGGACGCTAGTGGCGAGACAAGTAAATGCACCACCGCCATGCTGACGCCTCACGTACCCTTTATGTACTTTTCTATACTCTATAGCTTTTAGTTGCAACTAATAACTGTTTTAAGCACGTAACTAGCTAAAATACAATTTCTAACCCACAAAGATACAGATCTGGCTGCTACTAGCTATCTAGAGTTAAAGAGTTGAAGAGCTAATATTGGCTTTCTCCACCTCCTAGTTAACAGTTGTCGTCTCATCTATCACCTTTAGCTAGCAGCTGCAGTAGGGCTACCTGCTGTACTATAATTTTGTTAATAACTTGTATTTATTTTCTTAGTACTGTTTAACATTCTAATACATCGCTGTGAGCACCTTTCTGTATACAAGAACCCTTAGTGTTAGGGCGAGGCTTGCTTCTATTCCGGAACCCCTACGATAACTGCCAGACTAACGCGCTGAATGGAATTACAAAAAGCAATACCTAGGCCGCTCTGGATAGAAGCAGCACAGTAACTGAAAACCCCCAAAACGCTTGCTTTATATTGACTAGAGAAAGATCACCAACGTTGCTAAGCTTTAAACCCTCATCTAGTACTAACAGTATGACTTGCATAGATGACAAAACTAGCAACAAGCTAGCAAATCTAAAAAGGAGAGGTGTAATAGCTCGCTCCATGTACGTGCGTATTGACTAGTAGGGAATCTCGTAAAACCACTTCGTCCCTGCTGACGAAGGACGAAACACACAAACAGCCCAATCTAACCGCGAAAGGCGGAGCTGGCCATAGTGGTAACGGTTAGATACATCTTTATCTTTAATCTTTCAAAAAGGGTGAATGAACTTGGCCCATCTAATCTAATCGAACTTAGCTAGAAAGAGATGTGACTCTTTAGCGAGGACGAAGTCGACACAGTGTTGCACAAGTAAGGAGTAAGATCGCATGAAGCTGATAGCAGCCGCTCGGTCAAAGGTCCTATTAGTCGACGTGGACAGGAACTGGGCCTAGAAGTTGTAGTCTAGCAGGCACAACGGGATTGGTTTAATATATATCTTGTCGCGGTGCCATACGAGGTGCAGACCTACATCTTCTGTAGCAACAACTGATCTTCTCTTTATCTTTTGTTTGTGTAGTAGATTAATGCTCCGGCCCGATCTTCTTGCAACAAACTATAGGTGGTTATAAATTTTGTTAAGGATAGGAGTGTTGAGCTCTGAGACGAGAAAATCATTAATGGCAGTTTTGCAGAGAGCTATGCTTAGTTCGTCAAGAAGATGAAACAGAACTTCGTCTGATGTCCCACTAGATGTGGATTGTAATGTCTTATTAGGAACACTCTAACTAGAGTCTAGTGCAACAGCAATACGCTCACAAGAAAGTGCGCTTGCTTTGGAAAACGGTAGTAAGAGCGCCATTGTATAAGTTTTTAAAGAATAGGTGTTAAAGCAGAGTAACGGCAGCGCGGAGCGAAAGGAGGTAGGGAAGGAGAGGTAGAGGTGGAGGATGGAGTAATAACCAACTAGTTACAACAGTAAAATGCAGGTTGCGGCTGAGCGCGCGCCTCAACAGTGACGACAAGTTACTAGAGTCTCAGCCTTAAGCTAGGCTACAGGCACAGATTAGACCTAGGCCTAGCGAAAGGCAACAACGACGTGGAATTCCAACTAACTGTGAATAGCGTTGATCTTCTGAGAGCTATTCTATTGTAGTAACATTAGGCGGGTAGAACGTGGGGTTAAAAAGAAAAGAGCTGGGAATGAGGGATGCTAGCACACAGCCCTAGGCGCAAGCTTTAGCTGCAACCCGCGCCAGCCTTGCGCCAGACAAGACATACTTTTGTTGCTGTACGCGCCGAAGCACGCTGATGCTACTGCTGCTACTGCTGCTACTCCTCTACCCCCCTACTTGCTCTACTATCTCTACACCTCCGCATCTTAAGCCCATCTCAGCCTTAGAAACGCACGACAACTAGCGACTGCTACCCTGTTGGCCCCGCCTTAACGCTACTACTAGGCCGCACGGGCGCTAAGCAAGATAATAGACCTAATAACAATTACGCTGTACCTCTTCTGCATCGCCCTCGCACTAGCAGCTGTCTATGACTAGCTAACAAAGGGAATTCTGTCGCGCCTGCAAGAGGCAGAGAAACCTAAGAGCGATTTTGGGTTTGTTAGAGCCGACAAGTTCAGCGCACACAAAGAACTAGCACGGGCTTATAGGATTAAGCAAGTTCACGCAGCTTAAGGGCTTAGAAAATATGCTAACTATTGTCTAGTATCATCTTCGTGCACGGCCTCGGCTCGAATCCTAACACAACATAGGGACTTAAAGACAGCAACTAGATTAACCAGTTCCTCCCGCAAGACATTCCTACAGCATTTTACAAGGACGTTCGAATCTTCTTCTACAATTACAACTTGTACTAGAAAAAAGATGCTGTGTAGACGCGGCTGCGGAGCCTTAGAGAAAGCTTGCTTAGCAACATAGAGAGCGGCATCTGTAGGACAAAGGACGTTAGTATACCTATTACGCATGGCAAGGTCTAGGCGCTGACACTAACTGCAGGAGCGCACGCGAAACCTAGTGTTTATAGGCTATAGCTACGGAGGTCTTGTTATTAAAAAGGTAGAGTTATACTATCTTATTAACAGGGAGCGCCGTGCAGATCTTCTACGCGGAACCTGTTAGCACTGTTAACACAGACTGACTAGACTAGGCGCTTAGCCTTATACAGGCCAGCAACCGTGTTGCTAAACTTACCTAGGCTGTCGTCTTCTTAGGCACGCCTTACTGTGGTTTAAGCTTTAGCATGTAGGGGCGTGTCTAAGCTTTTTTGTTGCAGCCGCTTGGATCAAACCTGTTGCTTCTCTAGGAACTTGTCTCTAACTCCCATTTTCTGTCAGAATTACAGATAGACTTTGAAAGAAGAATAAGCGAGACGTTTTAGGTAGTGAACTTCTTCGAACAGCGCCTAGTGCGGTTGTCTAAACTATGGTTTGTTCAATTAGAGAAATTTGTAGGTAGACTTTGTCATCTACATAGCACAGACCTACATTAATAATGGCAAATAGTGCGTTACAGAGCAATCGGCAACGTATAGCAAAGAGAACTTTAGCCTCTCTATTGATCACTACAGCCTAAACAAGTACGCGTTAAGAGAAGACGGAAACTATAAGAGGATCTTAGGAAAGCTTCTTAACATTATTACACCTGTTGCACTGCAGAAGCAGCATTAGCTGTACTCTGTTTCTATTAATACTGTCTAGAGCTATGTTAAACAGCACTCGCTCTCAGCTGCAATTAAAAAAGGGCTCTGTGTGCAACACTTAAAAGATAACACACCTTATGTGCTTGTTGCTTACGGACTAGGTGGCACTAGAAAGACCCAGCTAGCGCGGAAGTACATCAAAGACCACAGGGATGAGTACAACCCCATTCTCTAGATTAACGCTATGGACGAGGCATCTGTGCGAGCTAGTTTTAAGCGGTGCGCAGGCGAGCTCTAGCTGCTAGTAGACTAGAGAGTCCCACATACTGCTAATCTTGTAGACTCTCCTGCTGTGCAGGCTATGCTTAGGTAGTTTCGCAGTTGCAAGAAGACGGACAACAAGTGGCTAGTAGTTATTAACAATGCTAACGATGCGGCGATAGGGATCTAAAGTGTTATGCCAGAAGGGGGTTGTGGGATTGTCCTCATTACCAGCCAAGACAGACACCTGCTGAAACATATGAGAGGCTGTGAAGAGGTAGAGGTAGGTGTTATAGAACTACTAGAAGCACGGGCGCTCCTTCTTCAACGTCTCAAGCTAGAAGCCGACGCTGCATTAGAGAAGATGCTAAAAGACTGCGACAACATTGTAAGGGAGCTTAAGTACCTGGCTCTTACAATTAACCTTGCTAGCGCTTACATAAGTAACGACGAGGACTGCAGACAAGCCCCGTTAAGATATCTTACAGACTATAAGAAACACCAAGATGACCTGCTACAAAGCGAGGAATTCTGCGGGCTACAGCTAAGCAGCAAAACAGTGTGGACAGTGTGGGATACGACGCTAGAGAGGATTAAGGAGAGCGGCAAGAAGAATAAGAAGCCTGACTTGTTGCTTGCCTTTCTGGCTTATTTCTGAGGCGCTGTGATCTATGACGAGCTGGTTTGGCTGGGCAGCCTGGCGATGTCGGAGTCTCATGAGAAGCTGTATGGAAATGCGATTGAGCTGCTGGGCTGGCTTAATGAGGTCTTTAGATTGGAAGAAGGCGAGTGGGATGACTACAGCTATTGACAAAGTTAGAGCCTACTGGAACGATACGGCCTGCTGCAGCGAACGGAAGGAACATGGCTGGGGGTGTTAATGCACGGTTTGGTGCAATGGCAAGCAAAGAAGTACAAGGAAGAGCAGCTGTGGGAGAAGTGGCATCTGATAACGGTGGTAGCCGGGTGCGTTCAGCTGTTTAAGGATGCGGCGAAACTGGAGTATTGAAGAGAGCTAGTTGCGCACGTCCTAGTGCTGAACGAGGGGTACTTGGATGAGCTGGATGTAGGAGATGAGAGGAAGGAGTTTGTATGGCACACTGCAGGTACAGTGCATTATTACGAAGGGCAGTAGAAGGAGGCGGAGTTGCTGTTTGTGCAAGTGATGGAGACGAGCAAGAGCAAACTTGGAGCTGACTATCCTGACACGCTGACTAGCATGGCCAACCTGGCGTCGACGTACAGGAATTAGGGGAGATGGGAAGAGGCGGAGTTGCTAGATGTGCAAGTGATGGAGACGAGCAAGAGCAAGCTTAGAGCTGACTATCCTTCTACGCTGACTAGCATGGCTAACCTGGCGTTGACGTACAGGAATTAGGGGAGATGGGAAGAGGCGGAGTTGCTAGAGGTGCAAGTGATAGAGACTCGCAAGAGCAAACTTGGAGCTGACTATCCTGACACGCTGACCAGCATGGCCAACCTAGCGTCGACATTTTAGAATCAGGGGAGATAGGAAGAGGCGGAGTTGCTGTTTGTGCAAGTGATGGAGACTCGCAAGAGCAAACTTAGAGCTGACCATCCTGACACGCTGAACAGCATGAACAATCTCGCCTTCACGTGGAAAAGTCAGCATCGTAACGCGGAAGCTGTAGAACTTATAAGGGAATGCGTGCGCCTGAGGAGTCACGTTCTTGGTACTACCCATCCACGCTACATATCTTCTTTCGGCACACTCACGAACTGGGAGGTGGAGAAAGCCGATATTAGCTCTTCAACTCTTTAACTCTAGATAGCTAGTAGCAGCCAGATCTGTATCTTTGTGGGTTAGGAATTGTATTTTAGCTAGTTACGTGCTTAAAACAGTTATTAGTTGCAACTAAGAGCTATAGAGTATAAAAAAGTACATAAAGGGTACGTGAGGCGTCAGCATGGCGGTGGTGCATTTACTTGTCTTGCCACTAGCGTCCGTTAGCATGGCCGACCCGCACTGGCCCTGACCTTGCGCTAATGGCGATATTGCATCGATTTGACAAAGGAAGACTCCTTGCAAAGATAGCTGACGCTTACACATAAGGATGGTGGTTGTTGGTATAAGATGTGGTAAGAGCTTGTACATACTCTCTGATATGCACTAGATCTGTACTAGGGACCCACGTTAGGACTGTCAGACCCACCGCGGGAGCCAAAAAGGTTTGTAGGAATTAGAACAAGCTCTTAGCTATTTAGTTGTTGCACAATTATATTAGCACAGGATTGCTCGAGTAGTTCGAGCGCTGACATAGTGGCTCTTGGCGTCTCTACTAATCCTAGCGTTAAATTTACTATCTGCACTATAATTACTCCCCCTTCTATAAACATTATGCTATAAGCACTGACAACATTCTACACAAAATTGCACCTGCAAGCAAGCTCCTCTTACGTGCTGTAAGAACGCCCCCTAAGAGCCTAATACTTTCTGCACCCAAAGACGCTAGCACGTTATTGCTAATCTCTCTGCTAGCTACAGTCTTTGTTAACTCTTTACCTCGACCCTTACTGCGCCTTATTCGTCGCTTATACTATTGCATACAACAGCGCTACTAAGAGGAATTATTAAAAAATACCTAGAAGCGTGTTTACATATTACTACGCAGGTATTAGGTCCTGCAGAATAAATTAGAGAAAGACACCCGCCTTAGAGCCTAGGCCGCAGACAAGCTCTAATATAACTACAATTTAGTTAAGGGCAAACTTGTTCTCCGTATGCCTTTGCTGTTACATGATATCTTTGCTATTAGGCTACAAGAAGTAATTGCCTAGGAACTGGAAAATCTCACAACGCAGGAGGAGATACGCCTAATAATAGAGCGTATTAGGATCGCGACTACATCAGACATACAATTTAGTAATGCTTTAGTAGTGGAAAAAAAGTCTCTAGACGGATTATTCTGTTTTACGGGCACTAAGTATCCGCCTCTAGTAATTAAAGTTGCTAACTTACAGAAACGGCGCGACCTGCTGCGCCTTGCTGAATTATATATTAAGCGCACTAAGGGCTGCACTAAGACTGTAATTGCTATAGATTTGGAATATTGTAATCTAGGTAGGCGTGCTGCTTACTCGTTGCTAGCTTAGTTAGCGGTCTATTTTATATATTGCTATAGGCTGGTCCGCAATAAACAAATAGAGGATTAGCAAAGGGAGGCACACGCAGAGATCAAGGAGCAGCAATTTTCTACAGAAGATACAGTTACAGCTGATAGGTCTATATGCCTCTTACTTTTAGACTTTTGCCTAAACGGCACTGTAAGCAAAACTAACAATTAGACGATCTCTATTTCTTACGCAGAACTGGCGCGCCTTTTAACAGAAGCAGAAGAGGAAGAAAATACTGCAGAAGCACCCTCTAGCTCTATTCTTTTAAAGAAGAACATTCTGTTTGTGTCTAAAAGGAAGCATACATTAACCCTAAAATTAGTGTTAAAAGATAAGGAGGCATTTGAACAAGCAGAGACTGCGGCAAAGATTTAGAAGTTAGCTAAAAACAGCTCTTTTTTCTTAAGCGATGCGGCGGATACCATAATAGAGCGCATTAAACAAATTAAAACAAGGTTATAACCTAACCCTAAACTAAGCCTGTAAGATACAGAAATAAATAATAAAGAGCAAAGGGGTTGTATTTCTAACCCTTTTAATATTAATGTTTGCTCCTTACCTTGTCTGTATATATGTAAAACTTAACGCCTGCATAGCAAGGTTAGAGCAGGAATAAATTAGATATCTTCTTAAAGACAGTAGTAATACAAAGTACCTGCTTAGTAAACACTAAGAGTAGGCAGTAGGTGCAATATACTTAGCTAAAGCAGCTACCTAAACCTTATACAATACCTAGTTATAATGTCCGCTACTAACAAAGTAAAAACTCCTAAAGAATTTCTAACGCACGCTAATAGCAAGGTAAAACTAGCCCGTAATAATAAAAACTTCCTACAAGTCCTGCTGCTTTCTCTTCCTTTATATCCTTAATAGCTATAAGCTAGCTACTAAAGCCACTAAGATTATAGAGCAGATTCTGAGGCAATAGAGGATAAGGGACAAATAGACGACGCTAAGGATTAGGGGGAGACAGTACGTATTGCGGTTGCAATACACAAGGCAGACGCCTCTCTAAGCCTAGAACAAGTATATATTAAAATATAAACTAGCTCTTGCACAAGCATGTAGGAAAATATAGGTAACAGTTATAAGGAAAGCGGCAGACCTCTAAGGGCAGCTAGTCTTGTTTTGTAAGCTAAAGTAGAGCGGAGTAGATTATTAAACATCTAATAGTTTCTTAGCTGCTGCTATGTCTGCTAAGCTAGGTATAGCTGCTTAGGCGCTAAATTAGAGCAAGACTAGATCTATTAATCCTTATATCTTAATAAACAGGTTTGTGCTACACGACCCTTCTAATATTACTGCTTTAGGTTTTTTTACTAGCATAGAAAGTATTTATTAAACCTTTATTCTAAAAGCACAGCTTAGCATTTTAACAACAGAAGGGTGCATAAAGTACTGCTTATATCTTAATTACTAAAAAGATAAACTAGCTAATGAACTGGCTAATAGCCCTTAGCGTTAGATAATACTTATCTATTAACAATGCTCCTTACATACAGGAACACAGTTAACTAATATTTAGTAAAGGACAGGGAGCAGTTTGCTGTGCAAAGGAAAAGCTATTGCACTTTTAGTTTTATTTAAACTTTAAGGCTTTTGCTGTAAAAGAACTAGACACATTAGGGGTTAAAAAGTAGAGGCGAGCCTTGCAGAAAATCTAGTTCCTCTAACAATGTAGTTATTAAAACATTCTTAAACTAAAGGAAGCCTACTTTATTACAGAAGAGCATTCTTCTTTTCTAAACACAATCTATTTTGTTATATTACCTTAGGCGCCTACATTAGTACAAAAGTTTTTTAAAGTACTAGCTAATTTATCCTAACCTAAGTTAGCTAGTAAGTTTCCCTAGTACTAAACTAGGCAACTCTCCCCTTTCCCTAATATTATGCGGCAATGCCTTAAGGCTACATTCTACCTTTATTCTTAAAATCCTCCTATACAACATAAGGATATTAAACTAGATAATATACTACTTTACTAAGAGCAGCATAGTTCTAGTATTATTCCGCAAGTAATCTTTATTAACTTTAGAGTTAGTAAAGAACACTGAGATAGAGCTATAACTACATGGACTAGAACATACAAATACATAGCGCTAGAGCAACACAATTAGAGAGGCGCTACCTTAAAGTCTAACGTGTTCTCCCTTAGATGCTGTTTTACCTTGTTTCTAGCAGTTATCTTAGTAGGTGGAAAGGGTTTTTAGGAGATTTAAGATTGTAGCAGGGAAACTAGCTTCTATTAGTTTGCTAATAACCTTTAAATTATTAATAAAGCATTCTTAGCATTAGGCGGATCCTTAGCCTTAGTTCTTCTTCCAGAATCTCGTCACGTTTACAAGTCTCTCTAGGTTCTAACATTAGAAATGCTAAATGATGACCTTAATAAACGCCTAGATATTACAACTGTCTACTCTAATTTCATAGAGGCTTATAATAGGCTTGACTTACGGAAACTTATTAAAAGTTTTAAGCCGATGCGCCAACCACACCTGGTTTTAAAGAACTAGAATTAAGGCCAGTTGAAGGATGCTGAAGAGCTAGAGGTACGAGTGATAGAGACGAGCTTAAGGGTGCTTAGAAAGGAGCATCTAGACACGCTAACTAGCATTGCTAAAGTTGCTAAAAAGGCTGCAGAAAAGAAGGCACAAGCTAAGGTAGCTGCGCAATTGCTTAAAGCAGCAAAGAAAACTTGCAAGGAAGCTAAAGCTAAAGCAGCAAAGGCAGTCTACAACAAAGCTCTTACAGAAGCTAAAACCGCTGCAGAAGAGTTAGAAAAAGCAAAGAAAGCTTCTAAAGAAGAAGCCGCCAAATTGAAGCTAGGTAATGCTTCTAGGCTACTAATTAAGTTTAAAGACGCTTTAGGGCAGAAGTTTACTTTCCTATTGCATCTATGTAAGACATAGAAGGTATATAGAACAAGGTACCTAAATTTAATAATACACTAACAATACGTTGCAGGGCATAGAAGAGCTAATTAAATAAGCCTTCTTACACATTAAAAAGATTAGTCCGCATGTACACAAAGGCTACTATAACCTTATTAGTTCTAATAGCGAGATTATTCTTCCTTAAGTTTGGGAGATGATTATACAACTAGACTAGAAAATTACTATAAACCTGTAGCTAATGCCTAAGCCTCTACTACGTTTAAAAGAGCCCGCGATAGTTTCTATGCCTACTAGAATAGTGTGTGGACTACCACTAAATAAATAGAGAAAGAAGAGAAAGAATAGCAAGGGTGGCAAGGGTAAAGATAGGAGCAAGCATATATTTATGCCTAAACATGTCGCCTCTGTTAGCTCTTCCTCTGCTCCTCCTGTATTTTTAGGTCTTCTACTACCTTTAGGCGTACAGCCTCTGCTAGCAGACCCTATGCTAACAAATGCTGTTAACGTAACCCTTAGCGTGTTATTATCTAAATTACAACTAAAACAAGCTCTAACTAGTTTTATGCAATAGATAATTGCTAGAAGTAATAGGCACTTACAGTCTGTAGAGCGCAAGAACCCTGCTGCCTAGAAAGACTGTTACACAATTTTAAAATTCTAACATAAACGTGTTTCTTCTTATTTATGCTAATTTATAAGGATAGAATGCAGAGCTTAAGGCAAGATAGGACCCTATTATTAACTAAATGCGTATTATTTGTTAAAGATCCTGCTAGTAACAATCTCTATGTAATTTATATGCGCGCTCTAAGGCTAGGCTAATCTTATAGAGAAGATACTACACTTAATAAGACCTTTTACTACTTTCTAATAGATTTTATAGTTGCAGTTTAGTTATTAGGTAAGCAAATTGCGTAAAGGTACGTTAACATGTAGGGCAGCTGTAGGAGGCTGTTGCTAAGTTATTTAGCACATCTAGCATCTATCTTACAATCTTAGTTTATAACTTTTCTTATACAACTTTACAATGCAGTAGATATTAACATCTTAGGCCTTTGTAACACAGAGGCAAAATACTTAAATGTAATTATTTTGTTTTTATACAAATTGCATGAACTCCTACTTAAGTCTAGTTAAATTCTAAACCTCTCTATCTATTAATCTATAAACATAACAAGCTTCTATAACTTGCTACTAGCCGCGTTGCGGTCTTAAGATAAAAGGCATTCTTACTCTTTAAAAGATAGTAATGCGATCTCCTACGCGCGTACAAAAGGGAACTTAGCTAATTCTACTATTATAAGACATAAAAAAGTTTCTTACATAACAAACTTAATCTTTAGCGTTCTTAAAAGGCTTAGCTAGCATTCTAAGGATCCTGTTACTAAATGCCTAAGCTATAGCATTCTGCCGCTAGGGCTTTGCCATCTAGAACTTTTTTTAAAAGTACTAATATTAAAATGTAACTCCTAGATAGATATTTGCTTTTTAGTTTAGAGAATTGTAATTAAATTGCAGTCTACAATTATATAAAAGGGTTCGCTAAAAAGCATTAAAGGAATAGCTATCTATTATACTCCCTTAAGCATCTAGAGATAGATTAGCTAGCATCCTTATTATAGACAGCTAGTAAACTATTTTAGTTTTGTACTTAAACACTTCTTCTTAAGCGTCTAAAGGGTCTACGCAACTATCCTTTGTAGATCTATCTGCTAATAGCTTTTTTTAGCTAACTCTAAGCAATAGTTCTAACTTTATTAAAATTAGCCCCTTTAATTTGTATCTCCTTGTTTTACAAATTAGAACTAACTCTTCTTTATAAGAGCTTAATATTAAAGCAACTTACACTAGGCACAGAAACTTGCTATCTTGCACTAGACAGACCTAAAACGCAATAAAATCTTAAGTTTATATAGACTTCTAGTTGTAGCACGTTTCTTTGTTTTTACAAATATAGGCTGTTGTAAAATCTAGTTAAAAGCAATCTAGTACTGTAAGAAGAGACTAGATCTAGAATCTAAAATAGTATACTTAGGCTGTGGTTCTTTGGATTAGCATTAAATGCTAGCCATTTAATTAAAAACCTGTAGTTATTAAAGTTATATTTTATAGAGATAATTTTAGTGCTATTATTTGCAACATAATAATCTAGTGTGCTTAACAAAGTTATTTTGCTAACTAGGCAGAAAACTTTACTAAATATCTTGTTATAATTAACAAAATCTTCTGCAAGGCTAGAGAACACGCTAGCAAGCGCAAAGAACTAGTCTCTAGGGTCTGTTGCACCTATTGCTAGATACCTTAATAGTATATTATATATAAAAAGAGGACCTTTCTTCTTAAAGTTATAGTAGCTAGCTGCTATGTTTCCCGCCTTAAAAGCAGAAAATTCTAGGCTGCCTATTAAAATATTATACTAAACGTAGAGGTTTTAATGCTGTTAAATTAACATTGCTAACTAAAGTACTACTTTAGTCTCTAGATCTAAAGCTCCTTTCTACATAACTAATCTTTAAGCTATTAATAACTCTTAAACAACCTAGACACGGCTAAACTAGAGATTAGCAATAATCTAAAAAAGTGCAGTCTATGTTGACTTAAAATTTAAATCTAGTACTTCTAGTAATTTACAATTAAAATTGTAGGAATTGTAGATGCTAATATTTATATTATACTAATTGCTATAGCACTTCTAATACAAAGCTAACGCAAGGGTAAACCCTTTAAGGTCTCTAGGCTGTTGTTTGCCTAACTAGACTATAACTTAATTTACTTTAGTATAACGTAGTTTATAAGCAAGCAGCTACTATAAGCAAGCAGCTACTCTAACTAGCCTTTATAGCTATCTACGCATTAAGTAACAATAGCTTAACAACTACATACTTAAATTACTTGTAAAGAAGCAGATATCTCTTTAGCTATATTAGCAATTAGTTAAGATAATTTGCTAAGCGTAAAACGCGCTGCTTCTACTTTTAAATGCCTACAAACAATAGTACAACAACGACGCGCTAGAATCGCTGCGCAACGCAATTGCTAGCTTAACTTAAAAAAGCTTAGCAAGCTAGAAGAGGAGGTAATTACTAAGTATATACTTAACCTAAATTTGTGTAGATTTTCCCCCTTTCTAGGCGCTATACAAGATATAGCAGATAGACTGCTTACTAAGCGCAGCGCTAGCTAGGTTAGCACCTACTAGCTGCGCAACTTTGTAAAGCATATAGATAGCCTTACAACGCGTTTTAATTAACTGTACAATTGCTAAAGAGCTCTCTGTAAAGATCTCTAAGCTATTTAGGGCTAGTTTAAGCGGGTAGCGCGTATAAAGGCTAAGTACAGCATCTGTAATAAGGACATGTACAACTTTAATAAAACTAGCTTTTAAATAGGTAAGATCTTAGCTTAGCTAGTTATTACTAGCTCTAAAAGACAATTTTAACTAAAAGCTATCTAGCCTAGCAATTGCGAGTAGGTTACTGTAATCTAGGGAATTAGCGCTGCTAGCTAGGCAATCCTACTCTTTATTATCTTTGCTAGTAAGCACTACCTATCTGCCTAGTATAAAGGCAACAATATACTAGGCGATTAGGCGATTAGTCTAAGCAACAATAGCTAGACTACAAATAAGCTTACTTTTAAGTAGCTAAAGCACTTTATTAGGCATACAAAGGATTAAAGGCTAGAAGGCTATTAGCTCTTAATTCTTAACAGCTATAAGAGCTATTAGTTAGTTAAATTTTAGCAGCTCTGCAAGGAGAGCAATATTATTGCTCTTTGTATGCCCTCCTATTTGTTGCACCTTCTTTAGCCCCTTAATGTAGGCTGCTTCTCGCCGTTAAAGCGTGCGTACAGTAATTAGATTAGTTACCTAATTTGCAACAGCATTAACTATATTACAAAGCTTAAGTTCCTACCTGCTTTCTACGCTGCCTATAAGAAGGCAATTATAAAGGAGAATATCTGCTCTAGCTTTTAAGGCGCTAGCCTAGTCTTACACAATCTATAAGCAGTAATAGGCAAGCTTAATATTAAGCTTTGCACGCTAACGCCGCCTGCTCTAAAAGCTACTATTTAGAAAGCTAAAACACTAAGCAACGCGCGTAAGATAGAAGCTTAATTAACGCTTATTTGCGATTGCATTTAAAGGCACAGAAGCTTATTACTTGCTTCTATAATTGCTGCGCTTAATTCGCTTTAAAAGGGCGCTAAGAAGATAGCCTATAGAGCTGCGCTAATAGGCAATTAAATTGCTAGCCTTAAGCGAGCTAATTACGCAGCAACAACACATAGGGCGCGCAAAAAGAAGTGTATTTAGAAGCAAGAGACCCTTACAAAGGCAGAAGGTGTAAGGCGTAGTTATAGGCAATAGTACTTGCTTTACACTACTAGTAATAGTAAAAGATAGCTCTTTTTAGAAGGTATCCCCTTCTAATAATTCAGAATAACACTTCCCCTTTTAGTGCCTTCGGTGCGCCTTTTGTGCGCTCTCGCTAAGCTGCCTACGCTAACTAGTAGCGCCTTAGCAATATCAATCCCCTTTAACACCAACTCTTATGCGGCGATGTTACAAAACCTCCCCCTCTAGCTAACGTCCCTGGCAGCCTTGCCGTATAGTCCCTCCATGTAGAACTTGTTTGTAGGGTACGCGTACGTGCGTATGTGCGTGGCGTCTGTTGTTGTTCAGGTGTGTGGCGGGTGCGCGTAGCGTGCGACAAGTGTGGCTGCTTGTTACTGTTTGCTGCCTTAAAAATCCGACGTGAAGTTGAATTGCGCAGTCTTGGCGCTAGCCCGCTCAGGTTGTTTATATCTCTGTTGTTAGTTGTTTTGCCTTATTGCTCGTCGTCTCCTCTACTCTCTACTTCCTCTCGCTCAGCGCACCTCTCTCGCACCATCAACGCTTGCCAATATAGTTTACTATCCGCTCCCCAAGTATATCAAGAAATCCCACCTCCGCAATGCGGCTCCCTTTGCTTGGAGCGACGGGGACAAGCGCGCCGACTATGTCGCCCAAGTGGCGACTTGCCTGCGCTGCGCTCAGAACATTGCCAGCCAGAAGAAACCCTGCCAGAAGGAGGAGCATCGTCGTTGTGGCCATTGCTCCAAAAACAACCAGGGCTAGTGCACTTTAGTAAGATTCCTAGACGTCCGCTTTACCTGCGCTTTTGCTGATTGTCGTAGGCTCATGCGCGCTTTAACGGCCGTGTTAATCGTCTATATTGGCTTCGTCATCGATACAACGAGGCTGTCGAAGCTGCCGCTGCCCCTTGCACGGATGTTGCGGTGCGCCGTCACGGCGTGAAGCTTGCGCTCGCGCAGCGTCAATTCAATTTGGAGCTTTCGGCTTTCCGCCGTTAAGCCGCTCACTCTGGTACCCCTGTGGGTTTGCCCACTCAAGTTCCCACTTCCACCGCCGATTACTTGAGTTTGGTTCTCGTTGAGCAGCGCCGCATCGCTGCCGCCTTGGAGCAGCTCGCTGGTCTTGTGGGCCTCGTCGTATGTTTACCCTTGGTGCGCACTCTGAACGCATGCTGATCGCTCTATAGATGAATCGTCCTGGTGCAGGTGATGAGGATTCATCCTCGGATGAATTTTCTTCTTCTTCTTCTTCTTCCGATGACGATAATGGCAATGCCAGCCAGACTGCCGCCCCTGTTAGGGGTTCTTAGGGAAATCGGGGTGGTGCTCGTGGCGGTCGTGGCGGTGGTTCGGCTTGTGGCGGTCGCGCCAATGGCGCAGCTGCAGCACGTGTCCCTCTTCCAGCTGAGCGCGAAGATAAAGATGACGATGATGAAAATGTGGGCGAGGATGAAATTGTGGGCGAGGATGAAGAGTAGGGGATTTTTTCCCATCCATGTATAATAGCTTTTCTGGGGCTTGCTCCCCTCTTTAACAACGAAAGTGTCTCTTGTGCTCCCTACTTGCGCTTGTGCCGCGGTGCTCTTTTCTCTTTTTCAAATTCTTCAACTAACTCTTGCATGTTTCCAAAATCTGACTCTGGTACCCAGCTATCCCAAGTTTCATCATATCCTTTCCAACGGATAAGGTACTGAATTTTCCCTTTGTGAGTTCTTTTCCCCAGGATTTTTTCTGCCTCCCAAAGTTCTTCTCCCTCTGAATCTATGTCAGGTGGTTGGGTATTTAATTCTCCTTGACCAGGCCTAGGTTTCCAGCGTTCTAGAAGGGAAACGTGAAAGACGTTATAAATACGATAGTGAGGTGGGAGCATTAGGCGGTAAGCCTGCGTTCCAATTGCGCGTTCTACCCTGAAAGGCCCTATAAACTTGCTGGATAGTTTCTTGCTTGGTTGATAGGTGAAGTTGATGTTCTTTGTGCTGAGTAATACCAGGTCACCTTGGCGGAAGATTTCTGGTCTGTGCTTTTTGTTGTAGTACTTAGCTTGGTACTGTTGCGCTTTTTGGAGCTGCTCTGCTAGCTTCTTTCTTGCGTCGTGCATGCGCTTTACTCTATCCTTTGCCTCTAGTACCTCCTCCTCAGCCCTGCTGTCCCTAGGAGGGTCGTTGAGAAGTGGGTGCTTTCCATATACAGCGTAAAAAGGGGTTGTTTTTGTAGAGTCGTGAATTGAGTTATTATACGCAAATTGGGCTAACCTTAGCTGATTTACCCAGTCGGTTTGGGCGTCTGTTGCGAAGGTTCGTAGGTATTGTTCTAGGGTTTGGTTTTGGCGTTCGGTTTGGCCGTTGGTTTGGGGATGGAAGCTTGTGCTTAACTTGCGCTTTACCTGGAGCTGATAGCAGATTTCTGTTCAAAATTGAGAAGTGAAAATTGTGCCCCTGTCTGATACAATCCCTTTCTGGACGCTGTACGTAAGTATTACGTTCTCAAAGTATGCGTTAGCAAATTGCTTAGCGTCCTATGTTTTTGAAGCAGGAATATAGATAGCCATCTTTGAGAAACGGTCTACAATTACTAAGACCGCATTATAAGCGCAGCTTCCGCGCTCTTCTCGCTTTGCTGGAGGAAACCCTGTAACAAAATCTAAAGAAACTTCTTCAAATATGTCTTGCGGGATAGGTAAGGGACTTAGCTTTCTGTATTTCTGGTGTCTTGGAGCTTTACTCCTTTGACAAATTGCGCAAGTCTCAACGTACTCCTTGACATCTTGGTTTAAGGATGGCCAATAATAGACCCGGCTGATAGACTCTTGCGTTCGGCGTGCGCTAAAGTGGCCAGCCATGCGCGTATTATGATACTGCATCATGATTTCTTGCCTAATGGCTACATCTTTTGGGATGTACATTCTGCCATTGTACCTTAGGACTTTGTTCTCGTCGAGGCGCCACGCTTGCGCCTCTCTGCGGCTTTGGGTGTTCCTTCTCTGCTCTAAGGCTGCTATCCGCTCTTGTGCAAAGGCGTCCCCTTGTTGGAGCTGATACAGTACCTTAGACATTGAATTCTCCCCTACTGTTGCAGGTTCGCTACTAACTAAAACCCTAGCTAGTGAGCGTGGCACGCATAGAAGGCCTTCTATGGCACCAGCAGCACATTCGCGTTCTGCGATGCTGCTCCGGGGTGTGTGCTTTGCACCTGCGCTTTCTGGGCTCTGCCCGCGCGTGATCCCGGCAACTCCACTCCGATTTACTCCTGCGAGTATTTTATTCTGGAGTGTTGGGAGCAAGCGAGTTAAGGACTTATTCTGCTGCTCGTAGTCCGCCCTTCGCGATGGGCCATCAGCAGGGTTATTCTTTCCCTGCTGATGTTTGACTTCAAAGTTAAAAGCACCTAGGTATATTGCCCAGCGTGCTTGACGAGGGTTTAGCCTTTGTACAGCGCGCATGCTGCGCAAGTTGTTATGATCAGACAGAACTTTAATAGTGTGCTGCGCACCCTCTAAGTAATGTCGCTATTGTTTAAAGCTGAACACAATTGCTAAAAGTTCTTGGTCGTAGACCTCGTAGTTAAGCTCTGCTTCTTGAAGCTTCCTAGAAGCAAAAGCGACTGGATGCCACTTGGCGTCTTCAAAGAGTTGGGAGAGGATGCCCGATATGGCAAAATTCGAGGCATCCGTCTCAATGCGTATTTGGCGCTTTGATTCAAAATGGCGCAGGATAGGCGCACTTGTAAAGAGGGTTTTGAGCAATTCGAAACACTCTTGGGCTTCTTTACCCCATTCAAATTCTTGGCTTCCCTTTAATAGTTTCGTAAGGGGTATTGTCCTTGCTGCATACTTCGCAATAAACCTCCTGTAGAAGTTAGCAAAGCCAAGAAACGACTGTAGCTGCTTAATGTTTGTTGGCGGCGGCCATTCGGTAATTGTCTGTACGCGCTCAGGATCGGCGCATATACCGCGCGTAGTAACTATAAAACCCAAAAAATGGACCTTATCTACAGCGAAGGTGCACTTGTCTAGATTCACAAATAGTTCTGCTTCCCTGAGAGATTGAAGTACAGCGCACACTGCGCGCCAGTGAATTGCAATGTCTGCGTCGTGGGTGTAGATGAGTATATCATCCAGATACACCACGCAAATGTGGTCCAAATGTCCTCTTAAAGCATTGTTGATATAAGCTTGAAAACTGGCAGGGGCGTTGGTAAGGCCAAAAGGCATTACGAGATATTTAAAATGGCCATATCTCGTTCGGAACGCTGTCTTCCACTCATCCCCCGCCTTGATCCGCAATCGATGGTAAGCGTCTTTGAGATCCAGAGTTGTATAGTAACATGCGCCTGACAAGCGGTCTAATGTCTCTCCAATAAGTGGTAGCGGGCAACGATCTTTTACTGTCACTGCATTAAGACCCCGGTAGTCTACACACAGTCGTAATTTTCCATCTTTCTTAGGAACAAAAAGGATAGGTGCCCCCGCTGGGCTAGTGCTATGCTGGATCCATCCTTTTTGTAGAGCAGTCTCTAAGTATTCACGGAGCACCTAGAGCTCACGTTCTGACAAGCTGTACAGCGGGCCATAGGGAGGCTCCTTCCCTTCCATAATAGGAATCTTGTGATCGGAGCTTTTAAACGATGGGAGCTCTAATGCCTTAACCTCGTCAAAAACGTCTGCAAAGTCTTGAAGTGGCTTAGGGATGCAAGGAACGTGCGCTATACCTGCGGTGCAGATGCTAGCAGTGTGCTCCACACGTGTAACCGTTATTTGTAACACCCCTAGTAAATATGGCTCTATGCTAGCCCGCTCAACGTCTTCTAGATGCTCTTTAACAGAAACGAGCTGGATATCCCCAGCTGTATACTCCCACCTCCATGTTTGAGTGCTACAGTTAAGGCTAATTGCTTCCTTTTTCAAGAATGGGTTACCTAAAAGAAGAGGTACCCCTTCCTTATCAACTCCGTAGACTGTAGCACAGGTTCGGCGTTGCACCTGCTAGTCATCTAAGAGTCGCAACTAGAGCGCATAAGCGGCGTAGGTGCTTTGACGCTGTGACCCAATCCAGCCTAACCGTAGGAGATCCGCCCCCTCTATTAGTTGCAGTCCCATCTCGATGGCTACTTGTTAACTGATAAGGCTGACATCAGCTTAAGGGTCTAGGATAAAAGGTAGTTCTTGTTCTCCTAATGTTGCCCCTGTTGCGTAACACCTGCGCTTCATGCCCGGTAAGATGTCTAGTAGCACACGCTTCACTGTGGCCAGGGTTTCAGCAAAGCGTGCCCTTTTCCCGCCTAATTAATTCCCACAGGCTCGCGGTTTAGATTACCATTCCAACACTCATTGGCGTAATGACCTTGCTTCTTGCACTTATAGCAGGTAATCTAGGACTTGTCTTTTAGGGCTAATGTTGGGCGATAGGGCTTCTTTCCTTCTATTCCTTTCTATACTTTTCCTTTTTCTTTGTCGCAGTTGTTTTGCAAGTGCGCGTTGCTTGCGCGCTAGTTATTCCGTTCCAGCGTTAAACCTAATAAGATAAGGCCTTCTCGTGTTAGAGGAATTTAGTGATAGTTGGTAATAGAGCGCTGCAACTCTAGTCTTAGTTTTGCAAACAGATGTTGCACCCTTTAAGCTTCTGTGTAGGGAGTAAGTTGTTCCTCTAGGATGCTAAGGTAGGTTGCAAAAGAGCGAACGCTTTAGTCCTTGCGTTGCATAGCCTGCGCGTGCGCTATAGATGCTTCTAGGCTCCAGTTAACAGAGTCTAAGAGCATGTCTAGCATAAAAGTCCGAAAGTACTCCTAGGTTAACGCTGCCTCGTCCTCTTCTAACATACGCTTATAATGTGCGTACCAAAGCTCCCTTAGGTCTCCCTGTAGGTACTGCATAGCCCAAGCAATCTGATCGCCTTCTTGCACGAATTTGTGGGGGGCGAGTCTAAACGCTAGTTTACAAGAGCGAAAGAACTCCTAATATTCCTTATAATTCTTTCCCTTGTAGTCTGCAGGGTCTTTTATCCTTAGACTTCGCTTCGCTGGCGCGTGGCGTAACGGGCTGCCTGCGTTTCGCTTGCGCCAACCCGTTGCCTCCACTTCAGGTGTCTCCCTCGCAGTAGGGTCTATTGTAGACGGGGCTGGCGTGGCACCCTCTAAAAGGGCGATTTCGTTTTCTAGCTCTTAGAGGCGACGGGCTGCTAAGAGAGCATTTCTTTTTTCTTCAGCAGCCTGAATGCGCTGCTCTATCGTGGTAGGTGCGCCCGCAGGGTTAGAAGCATCTGTAGCAGTAGTGACTGTCATAGAGTCCCCTCTTTCAGGCTCTAGGCTCCCGCGGTCAGAAGCCTGCTGCTGGGATCGGGTCGAAGGAGCCATCTCTAGCTATTTGCCAAGAAGTGTTATTATGTAAGGCGTAGTTATAGGCAATAGTACTTGCTTCACACTACTAGTAATAGTAAAAGATAGCTCTTTTTAGAAGGTATCCCCTTCTAATAATTCAGAATAACACTTCCCCTTTCAGTGCCTTCGGTGCGCCTTTTGTGCGCTCTCGCTAAGCTGCCTACGCTAACTAGTAGCGCCTTAGCAATATCAATCCCCTTCAACACCAACTCTTATGCGGCGATGTTACAAAAGGAGAAGAAATTATTGCTTAAAAGGAGGTTAAGCAGCAGATTAAGGGGGAAACACGTTAAGGGAGAGCTTAATTAGGTGTTAGCTGTTAGGCTTTAGCGCGCTGCACTAAGTGCAGGGAGACTAGCTACAACTTATAAACTTGTTAGAAGCAAGCTACAGGCAGTAGCTAATTATATATATTTACTATATTATTCTGCTACACTGTGTTGTTAAGATATATTGCTAAAAAGGCGTAAAAAGCAAGTTAGGGTGGCTGCTCGCTTGTAGTAGCCGCTTGCTTGTAAACTACGTTATATAGCAGACATTAACTAGACTTAGCGATTTTTCTCTCTAATGTTGTTCTGGTTAATGCAGATCTGATTAGCCTATAGCAGCTTTGCAGACATGCAGCAGCGTCTTTTACATAAAGCAGTATAAAGGTTAGTTCTAATCTTAGCCTATTTCCTATTACATCTAATTATTTTCTTCCTTGTCTAATCTCCCTATACGTACAACAGTGCTTCAAATGCTAACTTGTTAAGGGGTTTCTCTACTAGCTAAACTAACAGCGTGCTTAACTTAGAATCTAAAAGTACTTAGATAAGTTAAATTCTTCTACCCTGCAACAATCCACTGTATGCAAATATAGCTCTACTAGTATCTCTAAATAACTTTTTTATAATGCTTAGTATGTAAAAAATGTATATTTTTTTGCGTCTCTATACTTAAGTAGGGGTTACTTACGTGTGCAACAGTAAAAACGTCTTAACTTTAACTTTTAAGTAAACAAGATGTAAAGATGCTGTCTAGTCCTTTTAATGTCTATTTAACCTTCTTTAGATAAAAGGTCTAGATAGTTTTACAACTTGCTATATAATTATAAAGCCGCTATTTACCCCTCTATTTAAAGACTTGTCCCCAGCCTCACTGGTCGGCATTTTGCCATTTTGCCATTCTGGTCAACTAAACAGCAGATGATTAGTTAAGTTTAAATGCAAATCTTAATGTAATGTTACTTAGTTTGCCTAAAAGCACAGTAAATGTTTGACGCGTTATTAGAAGGCAACTAAGCTTAGTAACTAATCTATATAAGAAGACAAATAACACTAGTTTAGTACTCTTGCAGATTAAGAACACACTGAGATTTGTTAGGGGCACCGCTTGATTGTACGTAGAGTTTAGTTGTACGGGGGAGGATGATAGCGCAATGTGGGAAGCTCTGACCCTCTGTATGCGTGCTATAAACTGACCCGTATTAGTTATGAGGCTCACTACAGAAGCTAATGCGACAGCACCTCTTATGCAGTACTACAAAATTATCGCCTCCTCTGCAAGGTTAGGGCAAGAACGGGTTGGCTATTAATCCGCGCGTAGTGGCGACATAAGCCGCCAAGCCTTAGGTACGTTGGTAACAATACAGTTATATACTTTTAGTAAGCATGTCTAGTTTTCTCTCTCGTTCGTTTATAAAAATGTAGCAGGCTCAGTCAGATCTCTATAAATTGCTATTGACGAAAACTTTGTGCTGATATCGCCTCTTCTAGTCTTATTTATATACAAATGGCTTTCAATCGTCATTGTTAGCAAGTAAGTCCAACACTCTAGCCTGCCCGTATGACTGGGCAAGCATGCAGGGCGACTTGTCCTCTTTGTCTACATAGTCTTGTTAAGCGCTATGGTCCAGAAGCAGCTTCACTATCTTAATGTAGCCTTCAGCTGCAGGCCAGAAAAGTGGTATGTGTCTATAAATGTTTGTTACGTTAACGTTAACAGCGTTAGTTGCCAGAAGAGCACGAACAGCCTCTGGATGCCCCTCCGATGCCGCAATCCACAGCGGAGTCACGCCCCAGATATCTTTGCTATCAACGGGAACGCCTTGATTGGCAAGACGAACAACTACCTTGGCGTCACTATTACTAGCAGCAGCGCAGAGGCGTGCAATAAGTATCTAATGTGGCGCTACAACCTTAGTACCAGCCCATTCGTCGAAAAGACAAAGAAGTGATTCCTGGCCACTGGTAGCGGCTGCTTCAATAACTGCATCTGTGACGTCGATAGATGTAGCATGGCAAAAGGATCGAATGAGATCGCCACCATCTATATTTCCTGCAGCTGACTTTACTATTTCTTCTGTAATGTGGACGTCTGCGCCGCGACGGTCAAGAACGAGCGCCATAACATCCTTGCCATTGCCACTGTTGCAGCTGCGACAATGACGTCTTGCGTGATCTGGACGTCTGCACCGCGACGGTCGAGAAGGAGGGTCATAATCTTTATGCCATTGCCCTTGTTCCCTGCAGCTGCAACAACGACCTCTTGCGTGATCTGGACGTCTGCGTCGCGACGGTCGAGAAGGAGTGTTATAATCTCTTTGCCATTGCCACCGTTCCTTGCAGCTGCAACCACGACGTCTTGCGTGATCTGGACGTCTGCACCGCGACGGTTAAGAAGGAGTGTTATAATCTCCTTACCATTGTCGCCATTCCCTGCAGCTGCGACAACGACGTCTTGCGTGATCTGGACGTCTGCACCGCGGCGATCGAGAAGGAGGGTCATAATCTCCTTGCTCTTGACCCAGTTCCCTGCAGCTGCGACACCGACGTCTTGCGTGATGTGGACGTCTGCACCGCGACGGTCGAGAAGGAGCATCATATTCCTCTTACTATTGTCCCAGTTCCCTGCGGCTGCGACAACGACGTCTTGCGTGATCTGAACGTCTGCACCGCGACGATCGAGAAGGAGTGTGATAATCTCTATGCCCTGGTATCGATTCCCTGCAGCTGCGACAACGACGTCTTGCGTGATCTAGACATCTGCGCCGCGACGGTTGAGAATGAGGGTCATAATCTCCATGCCATTGCCTCCGTTCTCTGCAGCTGCGACCACGACGTCTTGCGTGATCTGGACGTCTGCACCGCAACGATCAAGAAGGAACATTATAATGTCCTTGCCATTGTCCCAGTTCCCTGTGGCTGCGACCACAACGTCTTGCGTGATCTGAACGTCTGCACCGCGACGATCGAGAAGGAGGGTCATAATCTCTATGCCCTGGTATCGATTCCCTGCAGCTGCGACAACGACGTCTTGCGTGATCTAGACATCTGCGCCGCGACGGTCAAGTAGGAGTGTCATAACGTCCTTGCCATTGCCTCCGTTCTCTGCAGCTGCAACCACGACGTCTTGCGTGATCTAAATGTCTGCACCGCGACAATCGAGAAGTAGTGCTGCAAGTTCTGCCCCGAAGCTGGTGTTTCTTGTAGCTTCTAAAAAAACATCACTAATGTCTTCATCGTTGTTGCTTGCGGCATAGCTGGTATTAAGAAAAAATCTTGCGGCCGCAAAAATCTCTAGCAAAACAGCCTAATGCAGTCCGTCTGTTGACTGTTTAAAATACAAACGGTCGCGTAGTTCTTGACGATACGTCGATGTAGAATAGACTTGAACCTAGGTACAGGCGACTCCATCGCCAATGTCGCACAGCTTTGCCACTCTAGTGATTAATGCAGGATCGATGATGTCTCCGTCCTGTACATAAAGTATCTAATAGCTTGCAGCATAGTCTAGCAGTGCATGTTTCGCTTTGTAGTTTTTAATGGCTAGGTCCTGCTGGCCTACCCGAGATATTGTCTTAAAATGATCAGACCGGTGCTCTGTTGAATGTTCTAGACCATGCGCGCCATGTTTTCGGTTCGCCCCGCCTTCTTCGCGACTGTTTAGTGCCAGATAATTGATGCATATTTGTGCTATAAGCCTTTCTGTTTCAGTTAGGCGGAAACAATGTTTCCACTGAGCATTTCCGGTAACCGAACCCCTAACAAGAAATTCTTTTGCTGTCTAGTGGATCAGATAGGCATGTGAGTTGTTAAAAAAGATGAACAATTCACATAGCTAACGGATCTTCCCTCTTAAAACATTTGGCTCTACTAACGCATTTAAGGCAATCGCTAACTCTTCTGTTAACAATGGACGTCGTGCGCCAACAACGATCTGTAGGATTCTTTTAGCTTCTTCTTCTTGCTTTAAGGTAATTCTTGTCAGAATTTTGTCATATGCATCCTTGACAGAGGAGGGAAGCGAGTTGATGGACTCCTCCTCTGGTTTTAGACTATCAGCATAGATTCCTCGAATTCCTTCGATGGCAAGATGGAGCTAGAGATAGGTTTAATGCTCTATCCCGAGAAGTTTCTCTTCCAGTCCTTGCTTTGTCTTGTTAGTAAACTTGTGTTTCTTTGCTACCTCTGCGACCCTTGCGCGAACAACGAGATTAATCTCTTTATAGATACGGTTGTTCATCTCATCGCCTCGCAGATGGATGGTCGGCAGCGATGAGGGGATCTTCTCAAATCCATCCCGTATCTCGTTGTAAGGGCGGCTAGTGACAAGAATCTTAAGGCTTCCTTTATTTGCGGGGTTGCTATGTATTGTTTAGTAGAATTTAGACAACATGGAGACGAAGCGCTCTCTATGGTCTTCGCGACATTTATCGAGCGCGTTAAATACGCAAACCACATTGTAAGATTCTAGGTCTGAAACTGCTCTAAGCAGAATTCTCCAGAGCTCTTTTCGTTCTGACTGTATTTTCTTGCCGTGCTTGTCCCATGCTGTTAGAGCATACTTGATAAGCCCTGATTAGCTAGCAAACAATTGATAGAGGATAGAGCAAAGGGCAGTAGACACGCTGTTCTGGTTCTCGTTGTCCTTAAAGAAGAAGTAGCAGACTGTGTATGCGTTTTCCTTTTAGAGCTCCTGGTTAATTAATCTCTAAGAAAGAACTGATTTTCCGCAGCTAGGGTCAGCTGAGATCCATAGCAGGTCACTATGCGGATTTCGACACCATTTCCAGTACTGGTCATGAGTCAGTACCCACTGGCATGTGCCTGCAACCGCTTTCGGGTTGATGTTCTTTTGGTCTTCGTAGCTGCCTATTTTGAACGCCCGATGGCATTGCCGTTGCCTATTGTTTTTGTAACGAATATCTTGTTGCTGGCTATGTTGTTTTTGCCATTGGTTGTGCTTATATTGCCTTCCAGCTGTGTGTTCTATCGCATTCGTGATATTCTTTAACTCATCGACAATGCCTGCAACCAGGTTAACAAGTCCGTAAAAGAAGTATAGTTACATTTATAAGTGCTAAGTACTTGCGAGTCCCACAGCACATTGCTTCACTTCGTCAACGGGCATATGGAAGAACAGCTGTCTTGCGTATGCCGCAGCGGTTGCCGATGCGTAGCCGTGCCAGCCATCATTCTTATGGGAGTCGGCATAGTCTGAAATGCCGCGGATAACAAGACAAGGAAAGTCGTTCATCACCCCCGCAGCCTCCATCTCAAAGCAAAGAGCGCCGTGTGCATTGGCCAACTCATCCCTCAGCCGACCATCCTTGATCACTCTCTCGCCTGCCGCAATTGTTCCTCGATGAACCACAATCCGTGAGCTGCGATCGTAGTAGATCTCATCATTCTGACTTTCATTTGCATTACGGTCGACCCTTTGTAACGGATCGCACGCACAGGAATGACATGAAGATCCTTCAGTACGGTGAGGATAGTCGGACTTGTACAAATGATCCCGGTCTGGGCCTGGATATCTGTATCTCCGAAGCGCTGGTAACCTGGTATTGATCTTTTGGAGATGGGGCGCAACTAGATCGTCCTCTGTGATGGCTTGCTCTGTCGATAGATCCTGCGCAGCGTTGAGGAGAACGGTAGGCGGGGGAACCAGGTACCCAGTACGACGAAAGTGGCCTTCCAAAGCCTTGCCGTGATCGTACTGGATTGCGCCAGAGTGGTTCCGCTCCGGCTTGTTGACTATCACGTCCCCGAGATGTACCGGTCCGTTATCCGTTCGGGTCGGTACGCCGCCTCCAATGCCAACCAACAATCCGAATCGAATCTGCTTAAAGGTGTTCCGCAGTTGTGTGACGACCGTAGCTGCGGAAGTGTTGCCTGTCGTGGGCAGGCTAGCAATCACGATGTTGTGGCCATGGATACTGCCCAGCGCATATACATTATGATCAACGGGCGACTGTGGCAGTTTCTCGTGTTTTGTATCCAGCATCAGCCTCGCAGCGATCAACTCCACTTCTAGTGGGGCGATCCATGCCACAGTATAATCATCATGTGTGAGCATGGTCGCGGTCTTTATTGCATCTCACGAGGAGACAAAAAGCGTGACAGGAGAGCGTTTTGGCTTGTACAAGAGTTGGTGAGGAAAGACCAAGCAGCGAGTTGAGACGGGCAGGCAGGTCAACCCCGCTTCCAGCCGTGTGGGGGCGAATTGACCTCGTGTTTGGCTTTGTCGCGATTCAGCCTCGCTTTTCCAGCTCTGCCCAAGTTCCATTGGCATGGCAATGAGCTACAACGTATAGTGAAGAATAGCCACAATAGATTCAGGACTTGTTAGATGCAAAGATACAGGCGCCGAGCTTTTGGGAATATGCATCATGTGCTTGACTGAGCGCAGCAAGCCGCTTGCAAGGCGGCCCTTCGCAAGGTGTCTCTGTACAAGAAGCAACCCAAGGCATAATGTGCTGGCGGCTCAGCTGTGCTGCCAAGGTGACCGCAGCCTCGCGAGTGGTTGAAGGCCAACAAGAAACCGTAAAGCTGCTGGTCAACGAAGGCGCTGGCGTCGACGCGTAAAGATGGCGCAGCTTGCCATTTTTTAGATGAATACTTCCCTTGCATATTGCCAACAATTACTATTCAGCTTACGCGAAGTTGCAGAACCGTAACTTACGCTTATTCATGATACGTAACATCGGTTGAAATGACCTGTGGCAAAATCTTGCCACTATTAGCGGGGGAGGATGGCCGACCCGTTCCTGCCCTGACCTTGCGTCGATGGCAACACTTCATCACTTTGGTGGAGAAGCGGCGTGCTTGCTTGTAAAGAGAGTTGATGGCTTGCATACTTTGAAATGTAATCGCTGTTGTTACTACAAGGTGTGGTAAGAGCGTCCGTAAGCTGTTAGTCCATATTTGTACCGGGAAGCTCATTAGGGTTCGTTGTCAGATCCACAGCAGGAGCTAAAAATACTCCTCTAAGGCTCGAAAAAGCTCCGGCTCGAGGGATTATGTTTGATCGAATGTCTCAGTCATCGGTCCTGAGGCAAGGCCTTAGTATTTCCTTCTCCAACCACGGCCAATATTCATCGGAAGCAAATTGTGCTGCTCGTTTCACTAATCGCAACAGTTTGAATACCCCATACACATCTCTGGTATCGGCGGCAGCAACCCTCCATGGCCCAACAACGTTCTGTTCTCGAGTGGTTAGCAAAGATTATGATCAAGCACTGCCTAGGAAAGACTTACAAACGTATCTCGCCCGCCTTGGTTGACCCTGTAAGCAATATACGTATGCCAGTCGTGACCGATAACCGTCCATCCAACCACTGGATGTAGTTCTTCCTGCAGATCTTGATGCTTCCGGCCTACTTCACCAAGTCTTCTGACATTCTCCAGTCCCGCAGCTAGCCAGATCGCTAATTGTGCTAGAGCTTCGTCCTTTCCGCCATTCTCTTGCTTTACCTCGATCCCAGAAAACAGGGCCAGCCGTTTTGTATTTGCGTCCGTCGTCTGACTGATCCTATCACCCAAGCCTTCCAGATATAGTTGGTCGTAGAGGTCGGAGATGTGCGGCGCATTGCGGTGGAACGAGAAGGCATAGTCTGCTTTCTTCTGAACGCGATAGTTCTTGGGCGTTACTGGCAATACCTCAGGGTTGATTGCTTGTGTTTGCCTGCATGGATCAGAGATGCTCTGGAAGATGCTGGTAGAATATATCAGCGAGATTAGACTTACACGCTCTCCACTTTCAAGGAATGGTTGCCCTTAAGTGCGAGGCGCAGTGTAGGATAAACCACTTTCATGCACCAAGCATTCTCATCTTGCTGATATCTCCCACAGTCTCTGCTCTCGCTCAGTATTTCCTCCACACTGTCCCATATTATACTGAGTTCGTTTGCAGATCGTGTATCTGAAAGATCGTATGCAACAGTTGGGATGCTTGCTGCTATAGATGGATATTTGGCGAGGATATTAGACTATGAGACGTCAATTAGTAGCTGTTTACAGCAGCTTCGGGATCTGATTGGCTTTCTTGCCTTTAGGCTTGCTGGAATCAACCCTTCTTCTAGGCGGTCCACAAGTCTGTGCTGCAGGGCTGCAGCACTTTCAGGGAGTATCACTGAGGATGGAATCTCGCAAAGTATAGAGGGCTTCGACACACGTAAGTCGTTCAAAAGGTCCCGAACAGGGCTTGTTGTACGCTTCGGACTCGATCCTGCAGATTGCGACGGTCGAGACAGTCTCGTCCTCTCCGACAATTCGGTGATCCCTAAATCCGAAGCACTCTGATCTGGGAATATATCCTCGTCACTGCGTAACCTTCTCTGGCGCTTTTGGGGGCTCTGGGATCGAGGCTCGGGCATGCTTCTGCTTCGTTTCCGCTTGCCTGATTGGGCGGGAATCGAAGGACTCGAGCGTAACGATGACGGCGTGAGCGGTTGCGCAGGTGTCGATCGATGTTTTCGAAGTTCACTGGAAAAGCTGGAGAGCCATTTTTCAACATATGCTTCCGATGAAGGCGCTGTCATTGTAGAAGCTGTAGATGTGGGGGGAGGAAACGACCATTCTCAAATGACGCCGCGACGTGTTCGAACTTGGTCCGAGCGTCGGGCACTGTCTCCTCAGCAACGACACGAGGCACCGCCACAGCGCCACAGATTATACATGGGGTTATCTACTTTCTGCCTTCCCAAGCTTACAATTACAAAAGCTGTACCTTTGCAATTGTGCGAGAAGCGTTGGGGGTTTTTCTAGAAATAGTCGTGCCCGCGGATCTTGCTTTGAACTCGAGTTGACGGCGCGGTGGTCCATAAATATCTGGCGGTTGGACACTAGCCAATCATCGCTTGGTTGCTGGCACCGATGGTCGAGGAATGTTCACTGTGCCAGCAAACGAGCGCTTATTGGCCAGACTTAACACTTGACCTCGGCGGCAGTATACTAACGCGTCCCGCCCCAACTTAGCTGTGACACCCGATGCCATGTCACTCCATGATTTTCGCAATAGTAGACAAAAAACGCAATCGTTCCTAGACAGTGTCAACAGAATCATCTCAGACTTGGAAAAGCCCGCGGTTTCAACACGGGTCCCACTGCGGGGACTAAATCCGGGAGCCATGGCACGTACGCAGATCAATCATGAAATGCCATTTGCCCCCAAAACATCCTCATCGCCTCCAAGGCAAGGTCAGGGCAGGAGCGGGTCGGCCACTGCCCCTGCTAGCATGCTCCAGGTGTTCTCCCGCAATATTTTTTTCGCCACCAGCGGTGATTTCTAAAAAGACCAATATTGAGCCCGCTCATTGGCTGTGGTCAGTGGCAAATCAAATGGCGAGCGTGTCTTCGTATTCGTGTAACGAGATGCGGGAGCTTGGCAATTGCGCTCTTCAGCTCTTCAGCTCTTCAGCCTTTCGGTCTGACAATCAGTCAACCATGAATCCACGTCACTCACAGAAACGATAACGCATTCTGCCCAGCCACCTGAAGTACACCGTCCGACTTAAGCTATACAGCCATACACATAAAACATGTTAGGCTATACCCCCCCAGTGTTCCTTGAGGGGATTCAACTCATAACAACAGGGCTCACAGCGAGTTATCGACAGCATTAGACGCATTTCAGCAGATCCTCACAGCAGACCAAACCGCTCAACTTCGCTCATTCTCAAGCCCTGCGCCAACGCCGGATGATGTTGTCAATCTGACAAAGAAGATTATAGAGGCAAATGCAAGCCGCAAGAGTCATCTTTTCGCCTCCCGACTCCAAGGATTCCTAAGTTCCATCCAGCAGTATTGCAAAATCATCGATACATGCGCAGGGCCAAACCAGATAGCTGCGCTAGTTTGGGGTGGTATCAAACTCGTCCTCCTGGTCCGTGGCTTATTCTGTTACTAGGGTGTTTTAATCTATGCTTATTATTTGCTAGACCTCGTTAAATTTTGTTGAGTACTTTGACAAGTTGTCAAAAACAGTAGCTCAATTCAGCAATTACTGTCCTAGACTCTCTGAGTATGAGAAGCTTTTCCCCACATCAGTAAGGTTGCAACAGGCTCTAGCCGACTTTTACGCTGTTGTGGTACAATTTTGCTCAAAGGCACTAGGAGTGATACAAGAGAAAGGTAGTGTTCACTTTTTCACTCATACATACTTGAAAGGTTGCTAAAGAGATATTGACTTATTCTAGGAATCAAGCGGTATTCAAAATCCATATGGAAATCATTCAAAGTGGATTTCAAAGAGGTAGAGGAGAATATCAGTGAAGCTAAGAATGAAGTTACTGAGGAACTACAATTGGCATCCGAACAGGAAGCAGCGAGCTTTCGTCGCTTGCTAACAGCAGAAGCAGACGAGAGCAGAGCGTTCCGTGTCACACAAACCACAGACATACAAGAGAACCGGGCTTTCCGATCGGAGCAAAAGCTTGAACGACAGCGAATCAACGCTCGACAGATCCAGAAGATTCTCGCAAAAGAAGGTAACTGTATCCAAGTAGGAGCATCACTTTGGAACGAAACAATCATCTGACTTCTAAAGAGCGTAATAAAATCCGACTTCTGCGGCGTATCCCTAACTATGACTATGCTGCTAGCCTTCGTCGAGCCCAAAGACAGCGTTGTGCAGGAACATCCAGTTGGCTCCCCCACAAAGCAGAGTTTCGGAAATGGATTAACGGGGCAGGTCCAAAGCATCTCTGGTGTTACGGAATTCGTATGGTATCCCCAACTACATAATGGTCTTACTATGCCGTTTTACTGACATGTGAACCTGAAGCTGGCTGTGGAAAAACCATACTTGTGTATGTGACCTGACAAACTTGTGACGCGGTTACATGATCAAAAATTCTAAATGAACATCTAAGGGCATCGGTTGTCGATCATCTACGAATGACTTTTCCAGGCCAGAAAGAAACAGTAGTCATTTATTATTTTTTTGATACTCTCAACAAGAAGTCATTGGAATTATCAACCTTTCTGAGGTGCGTTCTACATCAGGCTCTTCATCTGGAAAATCTTTCCCCGGTTGTCGAAAGACGTTTGGAGTCGCTTTTCGATAGCCGCATGGATCAGCTCGAGCCTTCTACCAGCGAACTCGAGCAGCTTTTTCTCCACTCTTGCGGACAATTCAAAAGAGCATTCATTGTAATCGATGGACTCGACGAGGTGAGCGAGGATGAACAGCGCAATGTCAAATCCTTCCTGAAAGAAGTACAAAAGACGAATAGCGCTCGAATCCTTGCTTTTACTCACGCAGCCATGAACATGTCGCAAGTTTTCACTTACTGCTCGCGGTTGCATGTCACCGCAAAGGACCTCAAGGATGACGTCGAAATATTCATCGATTCGCAAATCGACAGATACTCACAAGGAGAACTGTCTGCCTGTTCGCCCTCTGTACTTGACATAATCAAGCGAAAATTGATAGCCGACGCTGAAGGAATGTAAGCCGCTTAAAAAGGCTCCTAACTCAACATATTGAAACGTGTAAACTGATGTTTATGCCAGGTTCCTTTGGGTCGCCCTACAATTCAAAGCCCTCCTCGACGTTTGTGAGGAGGATGGGACCCCGGACAGGATCCCTGATCTTCTCGAGACTCTTCCACGAAAGATTACAGATCTATATAGCCTCTTACTAGAGAGAATCGCAGAAAGAACCGGTGATCAGGCCGAGCGAGCAAAGAAGACATTTCAATGGGTTATCTACAGCAAACGACCGCTGTCGATCCGTGAGTTGGAAGAAGCTGTATCCATCAGTGAAGGCCAGAAGTCGTGGACAAGGTCTTCTTTCAAGCTTGACTTACCGAAACTAGCTAGACTGTGCGGAAATCTCATCGAATTCGATGAGGCCAACGGAACAGTATCGCTGTCTCACCACACGGTTGAAGCTTTTCTACAAGACTACAACAACGGACAAGAAGCAGCCAAGTTTGCTATTGAGGAAGCTAGTACAGAACAATATCTGGCAGATGTTTGCCTTACATATTTGTCTTTCACGGACTTTCATCAAGCTATCACGCGAACGTCTGACACAACAAATCTCCATTCCATGAATCACCCAGCAAGGATTGTGGGGACTATGGCTCCAAGTTTGGTACGACCATTCACAGCATTCAATGCTCTCAGAAGCCGTCGAGACAGGAAGGTACATCAGCCTGTTGACTTGGTCAATGTTTTAAGAGCTGAACTCAACGCTCATCAAGCAAAAAAGATGGACCCTGTCTTCCAGCTCCTTGAGTACTGCAAGTGCTACTGGCACAGCCATAGCCGCTACCTAGATTCGAAAGACGAAGCACGTTTCATAACCTTGGAGAACTTCATACGCGGACAGCATCTGCCAAGAGAATGGATGCCTTGGAATTCGACCGAAGACGAAAGATCATTGCCTCTCTGGAACATGTTCATTTGGACTGTAAAAAATGAACATACGGCTATGTTCCGCATCTGGCAGAGGATTGCACCAATGCAAGAGTCAAGTTACTGGGACTACCTTTGGCGCAAAGATGGACAGAGACTGTTTGCTTCGGCATGTACAGCAGCCAATTTTGAGTTGTTGGAGATGATGTTCAATGCTCGAGAAAGGTTTAAATCAGTAATAAGACCGTCAGAGAGTGAGATTAGGCAAGCCTTGATAAGTGTCTGTCAACTAGGACATGATGAGGTACTAGGGAGGCTGCTTCAAGAGAAGGCCGACGTCAATGCAGCAGCAGCAGCATATGACGGAAAAACAGCACTGCAGGCGGCGGCAGAAGGAGGCCATCTTGTAGTAGTCGAGAGGCTGCTTCAAGAGAAAGCCGACGTCAATGCAGCAGCAGCAGCAAATCGTGGGAGAACGGCACTGCAGGCGGCGGCAGGAGGAGGCCATCTCGCAGTAGTTGAGCGGCTGCTTTAAGAGAAGGCCGACGTCAATGCAGCAGCAGCAGCATATGATGGTGGGAGAACAGCACTGCAGGCGGCAGCAGGAGGAGGCCATCTCGCAGTAGTCGAGAGGCTGCTTCAAGAGAAGGCCGACGTCAATGCAGCAGCAGCAGCATATGACGGAAAAACGGCACTGCAGGCGGCGGCAGAAGGAGGCCATCTCGCAGTAGTCGAGAGGCTGCTTCAGGAGAAGGCCGACGTCAATGCAGCAGCAGCAGCATATGACGGAAGAACGGCACTGCAGGCGGCAGCAGAAGGAGGCCATCTCGCAGTGGTCAAGAGGCTGCTTCAAGAGAAGGCCGACGTCAATGCAGCAGCAGCAGCATATGACGGAAAAACGGCACTGCAGGCGGCGGCAGAAGGAGGCTATCTTGTAGTAGTCGAGAGGCTGCTTCAAGAGAAAGCTGACGTCAATGCAGCAGCAGCAGCAAATCGTGGGAGAACGGCACTGCAGGCGGCGGCAGAAGGAGGCCATCTCGCAGTAGTCGAGAGGCTGCTTCAAGAGAAGGCCGACGTCAATGCAGCAGCAGTAGTAAATTATGGGAGAACGGCACTGCAGGCGGCGGCAGGAGGAGGCCATCTCGCAGTAGTCGAGCGGCTGCTTTAAGAGAAGGCCGACGTCAATGCAGCAGCAGTAAATTATGGGAGAACGGCACTGCAGGCGGCGGCAGGAGGAGGCCATCTCGCAGTAGTCGAGCGGCTGCTTCAAGAGAAGGCCGACGTCAATGCAGCAGCAGTAAATTATGGGAGAACGGCACTGCAGGCGGCGGCAGGAGGAGGCTATCTCGCAGTAGTCGAGCGGCTGCTTCAAGAGAAGGCCGACGTCAATGCAGCAGCAGCAGCATATGACGGAAAAACGGCACTGCAGGCAGCGGCAGAAGGAGGCCATCTTGCAGTAGTTGAGAGGCTGCTTTAAGAGAAGGCCGACGTCAATGCAGCAGCAGTAGTAAATTATGGGAGAACGGCACTGCAGGCGGCGGCAGAAGGAGGCCATCTCGCAGTGGTCAAGAGGCTGCTTCAAGAGAAAGCCGACGTCAATGCAGCAGCAGCATATGACGGAAAAACGGCACTGCAGGCGGCGGCAGAAGGAGGCTATCTTGTAGTAGTCGAGAGGCTGCTTCAAGAGAAAGCCGACGTCAATGCAGCAGCAGCAGCAAATCGTGGGAGAACGGCACTGCAGGCGGCGGCGGAAGGAGGCCATTTCGCAGTAGCTCAATGTCTTAAGAGGGCCGGTGCTGTACGATAGTGATTTCATTTCCATTACTGCAGTCTGCTTTCGGTTTTGTCCTATCTTAAGGCAGATTTTGCTTCACTAGACCGAAGTATTAAAGTAGATACCATAGTTTGATAAGTGCAATCGACAACCCTTTTACGCATAACTCTGCCCTTATAATTCCATGTATATCCGAGCAGACGGTCGAACAGGTTAGTGAAAATCTAATAAATCTGTCAAGAACTAGACGCGATCACTATGCTGCGCAATCAAGGCTGAGCTATCAAGTTTGCCACCTTCAGAAGCTAAAGGTGCATGAACGACTCGCTTACGCTAGCATGGGACAGTGGCCGACCCGCTCCTGCCCTGACCTTGTGGAATGTGTTAAGGTCTTTGGAAAACAAATGGTGGGGTTGTCATGGTTCTAGCCACTGGCGTTCAAATTAGCTCCCGCAGTGGGTCTGTGCACAATCCCTCTCGCTTTCTAAATCTAGCCTGTTACGGCGTGCCATGCACTCATTGTGCGTGCAACAACCATCTGGAACTAAACTAACAGTTGCGGGGTTAAGGATGCAACCCCTTACTATTTGTTGAGAATCGCCCTAACGCTGCGACGAACTTTGCATTCAGGGGTATCGCGTTAATTTGTTGCTACATCAGCAAAAAAGTTTTTCTTTTTTTCTTATTAACGTGCGCAACGTGCTAAAAGTAGCACAATCTTATTAAATTCGCACAAATATGTATATAGCGCAAAAAGTGCACAACGTTGCACAAAAATACAATTTTTCTTATACTTGCGCAAATGTGCGCTACTTGCACAAGTACTAAAATATGCCTCTACACTCTATTTACCTATGTAGCGCACTTTTCTTTCTTCTTGTATTTTTTTTTATCTTCTTTTTCACTGTAATTTACTGCAAAACTCACATGCTTCATTTCTATAGCGCAGCCTCCCATCTTCCATAATTTAATATTTTCTATCTTCCACTTCACTGTGATTTACTGCAAAACTTACATGCTTCATTTCTATAGCGCAGCCTCCCATCTTCCATAATTTAATATTTTCTATCTTCCACTTTACTGTGATTTACTGCAAAACTTACATGCTTCATTTCTATAGCGCAGCCTCCCATCTTCCATAATTTAATATTTCATCATCTTCTACTTCACTGTAATTCATTGTAAAAGCCGTGTTGTTCTTCTCTACAGCGCCACCTTTATCTGCTGTAATATAAAATTTCTTGTCATGTCCTACCTTACTATAATATATAGCAGAATTCATGTAAATTTTCCTTTTAGCAATGCTCCCTATTTTCTTTAGTACAAAATTCCTTGTTATATCTCACCTCACTGTAATTCACAGCGCAATGAGTGTGAATTATTCTCCTCGCCACATTACCCCCTTTCCATCCAAAACTCCCTTTTGCATCCTATTCACTGTGATTCACAGCGCAAACAGTGTGAATTATTCTCCCCGTAATACTACCTCTTTTCTATCATCCAAAATTCGCTTTTGCATCCTATTCACTGTGATTCACTGCAGAACCGCTCAAAAAAAAAATTTTTCACCAAAATTGTTATAGTATCACAATAAGTTCATCTGTTTAGCTTCAAGTGTGTACGTACCAAGGCTGTGCCATTCATGTAAAGCCGAATTTAGCTGCTGTATTAACGCGCATTTGTCTATCTTTACAAGGCAGTACTAGTAGCTTGCAAAGCTCATCTCATCACACAGTCTTTTCAGACGCGTGCAGTCATTCAGACCTCCACCGCGAATTCTTTGCTTGACCCATCATTGTCTTTGTGAGTATCCACTTTCAAAGCGTCAGCCACTCCTTGCTTTGACCCTTGCGAACTAAGGAGCCTGCGGAGAAGAGTCAAATCGATCGTTGAGCTAACGTTGTACAGCGTCAAGTGTTGCACAACTAATTCCTTCTGTGGGACGCGGACAGGCCTGCGTCGAAATTGCTCCCATTTTTCCACTCTCGGGAGCGGACTGTCCGTGATAACGTGGTTGGCCCCGCTCAGGTTCACGCCTTCGGCGACAAGCTCTACTGTCGACACGAGATATCGTAGGGGTGAGCTGTTGTCGTTGAATGCGGTTGTTATCACCGTCCTCTGCGCATTTGGGGTTCGGCTTGTGATTAATGCCACTGGATCTTTGAGATCTTGGCCGTCAGTCAGCGTTTGACACACCGAATTTTTCTGCTTCAAATGCTTCGCAATTCCCTATACTAATTAGCTTAATTTGATCAGAAGCTACAATATCAACTTACAATAGCGTATAGAAGCGCGTGACAGGGCATCTTGGTGCCAAGTAAAAGTTTGTTCTTTGTGCTCTTGCCGTCTGCGCTATTGGAACGGGCAGATTTGGTGGAGCTCTCCAACTTGCGGACGTACGGGAGGATACTCTTTGCCCATTTGCAATCCCCTTTGACTGCATTATGAAAATCCAGCCACATAGGAGAATTCAGCACGTCGTCGTACGAGGCAGCGAGCTCTTCGACTCTTAAACCCATGTTGTGGCCCTTCGTAAATCGAACTAGAAATGGGCTATTGCTAACTGCGCAATACTCAAAGTAAGATTTGGATCTCGTAATTTGAGAGGCCGCTGACCCCACGTTTTTCGCTGACTCTTCTAGTTTTGCCAGGTCTTTCAGGACCTGGTTGTAGAAAAGTTTAATTTCGTTCCTAGCGTCATTGTCGTAGCTGATCCCCACATAGCGGCTCTGCAGTCTAACGTCCGCATGCGGCAGTATCTTGTTCCCACTCGGGCCCGTAGTACTGTCGTCCCGTTCAAAGAACAGATTCGCGATTATCTCTGCCGAAACCTTGATGTACTTTTGAAACTCTTCGTCTGATTCTAGGTTCCATTGTTTCTTTGTCTTTCGTGTCTCCGTAGCAGCATCAGTTTTTGCGGTTGCGATTCGATTGTAAAGGGAGATGATTTTTTCAAATGGCCGATTCCAGTTAGCTTGATTAGTCTCTCCTGACTGAAAGTCGTATGACAAATGTCTGAGAACAGTGTCGTGGATATCTTGTAGTTGTGGGGTTATGCACTAGCCCTTAAATTTAGGGCGCCATTGGGGAGTAGCCGCAAGGTGAGCGAGGTGGTTGGCGTAAATAACAGGACCGTTCTCGCGGAAGGTACCCGACAACGCCCAATATATCGCTTTTCCGCGAGTCTGATCCCGCTCCCACTTTTGTTCTTGTAGGAAGACAAGATTCTTAAAAGTGTCGGAGATGGGGCGCACGAAGTTGTGGGCCTCATCCCATATTATTAGGCCAAAGTCGCTGATGTAGTCGTCATCCAAAATCTTAACTGTAGTCCTCTTCCTTACCTTCCGACCCTGTACAAGAAACGGGTCAACTAGGCGCGATTTAATGAGTTTGGGAGATACGACAATGCACATCGTAGATGCCATTGGAGAAGCGTTGTGTTGAGTAGCCTCAGCAGGTATTTCTGCTAGTGCAACGCCCTTAGCCTCTACTTTAACAGGCTCTTCGGCGTCCATCCACCTCTCAACCCATTCCTCTGCATTGGTTGGCTCGTCGTGTATGTTGATCTTGTTGCCTTCCTCGTCCTCGCTCAAGTGGCCTGCCTAGGGGGTGCGGGATGTCAAGGCTCTATCTGTAGGTGTCATTGGGTCAAAGATTCCAGCACTAAACGCTACCTCTTCCTCCGCATTACGGGCATTAATGCGTTTAGTCATTGCTTTTAATGTTTCGGTGTGAACAACGGCAACTCGAAATGGGAAGACCCTTCGCTTTACAATGGGCGCATCATACAACATTTCCACAAAAACCTTTGCCCATTCCGCGTGTGCGTTGGGCGGGATTATCAACACCGACGCACTAGATGGCAAGTCCATTGTCCTTACCCAGCTGCTCTTAGTGCATACGCAGGGGAACGGCCAGTGTAGTTGGGAGGGGCAAACGCCGTTGTCGTCGGCGTTGTCTTTGGATAGGTGGAGTCGTATGGTTTTGTCCTTTGATCCCTCGTAGAATTGTTGGACGTTCCATTTCATGTACGCCATCCAGTAGATGGCGATGACCAGCGCCATGGCTGGACGACTCTTTCCAGCCCCAGCTTGCGAAGCATCAACACCGCACCGGAGAACTTGGCTCTGTTTGATGAGGATAGCGAGGGCTACCCACTGGTGCGGAAACATTCCCTGGCCTTTCGCAAGACCTCACCGTTTCGGGAAGCTAACAAGCTCCCGTGTGTGGAGGAGCGTGTCAATGTCCAGGTTGAACATTTGAGCCGCCAGTTCGTAGTCGGTTCTATCGCAGCGGGCGGTGCGTGTCCGAATCAGCCCGTGTAGGTTTGTGTTCATGCTAAACGCGAGCGTTAACGAAAATCTGCGACCACAATGAATCACAGTGACTTACCGGGACTCTCTTTCTCTACGGGCGTCTGCTTCCTTCTCTGCGTCCCCGCCTTCTGCCGCGGTAAGGTCTCCGTTGCCGTCAAAAACATCGTCCTCGGGCGCTATCCCGTTCACGTGGGTTTTCGCATCATTAATACCATCCCCTTCTGAGGCATCATTGCTCTCGCCAAGCGGTGACTGTGAGCCGCGGGAAGGCTCTGGAGCACTAGAAGTCTTCGGCAGCGCATCTTGCGAAAGTTCTCCGTCGCTACTCGTTGCGCATGGTGTTTGTTGCGTCGCTTCTGCCAAAGGTAGAAGCAGAAGCTCTGTATCTTGTAGGAATATGCTATCAGGAGTTTCGTTCCATGGCAAATGGCTCAGTGTACCCTGGTATTCATCTTCACTGCCGTCTTTCCGTCGATCACGTATAGCCTCGCCAGTGCGTTGGAGGGCCTCGTCTAATTCACATAGATAACGTTAGTATTGTTTAGCATGTTGAATCCACAACTTGTAACGTACCTAAGATGGAAGTGCCTTTTTCTGCAGCGACAAGATCTATGTTGTCACTGCTATTCTCCCGCTGCGTCTCTACGCACGATCGCAGCGCGCCCTCAAATCCGAGTTTCGCGAGATGTGGACACACAGCAAAGACATCCGCTGATTCCATTTCCACCCCCATCGCTCGCATATTCTCGGCAATAGTCTGCGTGAAAGCATCGAAATCGAGTGCTGTAGAAATCATATGGCCTTCTTCTCTTCCACTGAGCATTGGCACATACTCGGGGCGAATAATGGACGATAGCCGGAATGAAAATAGGGGGTGGCTCGGACGATTCATTTCATAGACGTTGACCCTGGTTTCAGGAAAGGGTCGGAGGGTGTGCGTAGTATGATCCTCAGCTTTGTACGTCTCAGTGATCGCAAGACTGCGCAAAGCTGTAGCACCGACAGTGCTACTGCTGCCCGCAGACGTCCTTCTTGAGCGAGCAGTTCCTGGGGTTCGGTCCCGTTTGCCCTCTTCTGGTTGTGCGGGTTTCTTTCGCTCTTGGCTCAGTACCTTCGTCCAAAGGCCGAGCAGCGCAGCCTGCTTCCACTCATTGCTAAGCACCCTATTCCAATACGTAGAGTAGTGAGGGTCGGCCGTGAGAGCGTTCAAACACGCTTGTCGCGCGTCTTTAAATGTGTTGGTGTTGGCTGAGAATTTGAAGGACGCTGGGTCCGCTGCCTTTTCCACTCCTAGGAAGTCGACCATGTCGTTGACGATACTCATCTTATCTTTTGGGATCCCCAAACCCATCACAATGGTTTTGCTTGACATCTGAGAAGGCTGTTTCTTGGCAATATCCGCGTACCATTGCGCATTGGGCAGCGGGACAGCAGATAGCGACGACATGGCGTGGGTCTGCCTATCCGGGGTAGATCGGCGGCAAGGATGGTGTCTGAGGGATGGTCCATACAGATGAGTGGGAGGCATAACCGCGTCGCGCGACCTCGCTTAATCGAATGCTTGGCAGTGGCACGGGCCCCACGAACGCGCCGACACGTGAAGTCATACATACATTGCTGGGTTTCACTGTAGAACACAGTGAGTGAGTCTCGAGTAGACAGCAACGTGAGCAAGCTATATTCACCTAGGGTCTTGCTTGAGGCTAATTCTGCATGTAGGGGAACCCTACGTTTCACTGCGCAAGTAGTAGCACTTGAGAATATTACCTGTTGTCTAACAGCTGTCTTAATGTTCACACAGTAATGCACAGTGATTTCACGTGAATGTCATCAACTGCACACTAGTATACACTCTGGCACTTACGAGTTTTGACAGGTCTGATTGACGAGCTGTGTTTCCACCGTGCATGATCGAAAACAGCGAGGGCAGCGGCGACGGAGACATTTGTAGACGTTATGTGTCTACCCACCTCCCGCAACGCTGCGTGGAAAAGCGTGAGATCTCTACCCTAGATCACCAGAAATTGCACAATCAACGTCCATTTCCTCCTCTCCTATCATATTATTCAGAGTTTTGTCGACCAGCTCTCGCGCATTTCGGAAATCTTCCTTAAACTCTGTTGTCCTGTTAGTAGATGTTGTAAATCTGTGACATAGAGACGGGCGAGGCTAACCTTCTACAGTGGAGGCTTTAGGTGCAATCAGTACTGCCCAGAAGTCCTTCTGTTTCTCTTTCAGGAGGCAAACTTGGTCGGTCACCAGACTCTGCGTCTCGAGCGGGATCAAGTGGGGATACTCGATCGCGCTGAAGAACCTCCACTCGCTTGATTTCCCGTCGAACCCTGGGATGCCGCTGTTCTCAAGGCTCAGATTCATCTGCGAAATCAGGGATTCCAGGCGTACACTTTCTGCCGTGAAGACGCCGCTGCAGTTTGGTCGTTGCTCCATCAGCCGTACATCATCGGCTTGTGTGATGCATGTTCGCGAGTGAATCTGAACAATTGACTTATCCGAAATTATAGGAAGTCTTGTGCAGTCCACGAGTTCAATGACGAAATGGTCGAATAAGAACGGCTGTCGGGGTGGCTGCTCTGCTTCGGAGATACGCGCGCGTTTGGGGGTGAATGTAGTCTCTGTCGTGTCGTGACTAGTTGCTCTGGTCGATCGTGAGCGCTTTCTCCTTGTCGGCGTGTTGTAGCCCTGCTCATAGACATCCATGTCGATATCTATGAGATCTGACTGTTCACGCTGCCTTCTCTTCTTTTCCTCCTCGTCCTCTGTCCTTGTGTCCTCCTCCATCCCCACGTCCGTCTCCACTGTTTTTTGACGGTCCCTATTCCTCCTCTTTTCCTCCTCGTCTCGTTTTCTCTTTTCCTCGTCCACCAGAGTTTGAGTACGTCCTAGTGCGCCTCCCGTGAGCGGCGGGTGAGTAATTGCTATAGGTCGGTGCTGTACGGCTTTCCTGACGAGGAACTTCACAATTGCTGTTACGAGCGGCTTTGAGACGTCATGTGCGGCAAGATCGCCCAATCCGGGGATTTTGGCGGCGGTGTCTATCACCGTGTCGAAGCATTGTTGTTCCCGCGATAGAAAGTCATTCCCTTCGCGCCGCCAAAGTTGAGGTGAGATGATAGTGAGAAGTTGGCCGCGGACATGTGTCGTCATCAGGGATCTAACGAACCTGTCTGGGAGTATTTGCCCCAAAATACTTTCGATGGTTTTATCGTCGTCATGCTGTTTAATTTGGGCGAGGTAGTCGTTGAGCTTTTCGGGGTCTGGCACGGGGATGTTCTCGATAGGCCGACGCGGTGAAAATAATGTCCTAGCCGACATTGTTGTTGTCGGCTGCGCTGTAGAGCTGGAGTTGGAGGCAGGCGCGCGGTGGTGTAGGTGCAGATGCGGCGGAGAAAAAATTTGAGGCGCAGAAAGACGGTGTAAGCAACGTTGGTGGAAGGCACAGCCCGGTGAGCGTGACAAACATACGGTGAAGGTGAGGGTTTTGTGTGCTCACCTGCCCTCGCCATTGCTCATCACGTGACAGTGCGCAACGATTGGTAGATGAATCTGGGTCCCTTCGGAAGTCGTGTGCGGCGACCAGCACCCCCTGCGTTGTTGTGTAATACATAGTGAGCCACTGTGAGTCACTGTGGCAGTCAGCGAATGCATGGGAATTGTGGGTACATGAGTCAAACCTTTTCCAGAGGTGAGATCTGGATGTTGATGTCGACAGTTGGTGTTGAATTGAATTTTTAGCTGCTGGTAAAGTGTCGGGTTAGGGTATAAGGCTTGCACCTGCCTACCTCGCCCTTTGCCCTTTGCTGTGGTAGGAAGTCTGTCAACGTGATAGGATTGATGCCTACATATGTTAGAAGACGGGGTGGATGCGAGAAGCAGAAAATGGGCGACGATTGTCGATCAACGCAGTAGAATCCCATTAGTTGTATGCTGAACATAAGAAGTGAAGAAAGTGCTCATTTGAATAGCCAAGATTAATCCGGAAGACTTCTATCCCCAACCTCCAATCGCTACGGCTGCGACCCCTTGCCACACCGACCCATCCCGACACCTGGGTTCCCACGCCAGGCCCGGATCAGAAGCGCCGTAAAGCAAAGGTCCAGGACACAGAATAACTATACAACATGTTAGCACTCTAAGCTCTTTAGCAGGGTATGGATAGTAAGTTCGTACTGCATTGGGTAGGACGGAGGGCCACCACCACCAACTCTAAAAACAGGGTTTAATCCTGGTACTCGACAACGGCGCGGAGGCTATTCTCAAAAACCACCGCAAAACAACCCTCTGGGTAGACAGGGAGAGGGCGCGGCAACGCCAGAACGCGGGGAGGGGAGGGAGGGAGGTGGCGGCGGCGGCGGCGCGCGACCTGGCGACGAGCCCTGGAATCAGGCGCGACGCGTCGGCGGAGACGACCCCTAATATACCGTTAGCAGAGCTGATATAACATGACTGATAGATAGTATAGTTGTAAGTCTCGCACAAATCAAGACTTATACAAATAGAAGGTTGTGATTATTGACGTACGCCCATAATCCAGCCACTCGGCAGGTGCCTGAGCGGAGAGCTCTACGCGGCAAGGCGGCGGCAGCGGCGAGCTCTGCGGCTTCTGCCATTGCTGTTGTGGTTGTGGTTGTAGTTGTTGTAGTTGTTGTTGCTGTTGTTGCGGCAGTAGAAGTTGTAGGTGTAAAGAGAAGAGTAGAAAGATTAAATTAAATACAACACGAGATGGTATTGATGCGGGCGTAGAGGCTAGTGAGAGGAAAGTGAGCAGAAACATGAAAGTAATAGTGAGCGCAGACATAACTTGGGACGATTGTACGGCGCTGGGGAGAGGAAGGTGAACTTTACTTGTTATACTCCTCCTCTGTATTATTAGGCAACTGCAGTGTTTAAGTTGATGACATACTAATTTAGGATATTAATATTACCTACATATGTAGGCTCAGACGGATAAGAGCAGGGATCGGGTGGTACGGCGAATTACCAGCGACGTTCACGATAAAGTCGGTGACGTACAAGTGGCAGGAGCAAAGGGAAATTGTCCCCGAATAATCGCATTTTTCGGTAGTCCTTGACTTATTTCAACATGACTTGCAGTCTGCTGTTGGCAATGTCGGGTGCGGCGACTGCAATTCTGAGACCATATGTCCCTATCCCGTTGTTGGCCAGGCACTTCTTGCTCTCTTTGGGCGCATTCTTCACCGCCTGCAGGTCATCAGTTTCAACAATGCTGCTGTCCTGATCATAACATAACAAGAATTAAAGACAATGTGTCCCTAGCATCAGGAATTCAACGGGGCTCTTATGAACCCAGTCGATACTCAGGACGGGTCCAAGGATCAATTCCGGTATAAAGAGCGACGATGGTGCTCTTTCTGCATCAATCCGGTAAAACACCATTGCTGTACCCCGCAAGAATTGGCTTGAGACGATGATATTCAGTTGATAGGATGCGGTTTACGGCTCTGCGACCATTGCCACGACGCATTGGTTGGTGATTTTCGTGGTAACATTGAATCGATGGCTACAGCGTACGACGAACGGCCGAAAGCAGAGACCGACAGTGAGGGTTGGGCGGTGGGTCTTGTTTGGGCAGATGCTGGTTTTCTTTGTGAACGTGGTTAGCTACGGGGGAATACGGGGGTCAGGTCAAGCGATTCCAGCATTTGGAGAGAGGGAGAACCGGAAACGTGGAAATCGCAGTGAACTGTAGTGATCTGATGAATAGATCACTGCAGTAATGGTGTGTATAGTTATCTTCTAGCCACGGCCAAGGCGCAGGTTTTCGCCCTCCCTGGGGATCATCTGTCCGTTCTCTCTTTTTGGCTCATGCTTGTGAGGGACCACTCTATTCTAGTCTTCTTTTCAGAGTGTATCGCTGTAACGTATAGTGCTTTTCTTCGAACCACCGAGAAAGACCAGGAAATCCTGATTGTCCGAAATATTGTTGTCCTAAACATCAGTTATCGGCCCCTGTAAACAGGGTGATTTGGGCGATTGCTAATGAGGGCTCCCCGCGGGGAACGCCCTGCTCCATACAAATCTAACACTCCAATACCAGATAACTAACCCTCCAATCAATAATCACGAAAATTGAAAGTCCAATAGAAACAGAGCTGAGGGACAACCTCATGGCAGCGGATTTTATATCCGCGGCGTATTTATAGAGTAATTATCCAGTGTTGACGATCACTCAATGTATGACGTTGAAAACCACTCCCCACGCTAAGAGCGTCGGGCCATCAATTAATCCGGTAACAGTTCATTGGAACCCCACCAACAACTCCCTGATTTGCTCATCATCTCACTGAATTGCACTTCAGAACCCCCGGATCCACACGTCCACAGTCGATGCGACCCGTCAAGGCCACCAATAACCACCTGGTTAGCCCAGCATCGTCCTATATCTTCCTATAGTGCGATGCTCATGCATTGCATGTGCACGAGCAACTGCTTTTCAATTTCACAGCACCTACAACCATATACAGGCAAACTGTCTACACTTATCTAACGTTGCTATCAGATACGGCGAGTCAGGAGAGCGCATCGTCTACGGCCATAGGGTTATACTCGCCTCCAGTTCGTCCTGGTTCCAAGCAGCCTCCTGCGGCAATTTTAGGGTAAGTAATCTACCAAAGGAAATCTTTTTGGCCACTTCGTAACTGAAATACAGCAGGAGCGCAATCAGAATGAGATAACTTTGAAAGACGACGACTCGGATGCTCTTGAGCTTGTCTTGGAGTACGTTTACACGGACGATCACGCTGGCGGGTTCTTTTGGAACGATCTATTTAATTGGCATGATAATCAACCAATTTACATCTGCGTGGACATATATCAAATTGCGGAAAAATACCAGCTTATGAAGCTCAAAGTCGAAGCCGAACAACGGGTACGTTTCAACCACGATACGCGGATTCCGCTAATGTTCTAATCGAAGAATACAGGTCATAAAAGCAATCCAGGACCACATCGTCAGTACTGATCGCGATAATACTTCACAAGAGGCCTCCACCGAAATGGTGGAGCATGTCTACGATCGATGCGAGGCAGGAACACTATCAAGGCCCCCAATAACAAAGTGGTTAGCTCGCCATCTTCCTAAATGTTACTTCAAGACACCTGGACGTGCCTATCAAAATTCACGGACGCGGGAGACGATTATACATGCAGCTGAACAATTGCCTTGCTTTGGACAAGACATGTTTCTAGCTAGATTTGAGAGGGAGGAAAACTTCAAAGGGGGTGGACATGGAGGCGAGTGGAATGCGGGTCGGAAATACCGGAGATGGCAATTTAAATGTGTGGCGGAAATTCCCAAATCCTATCCAAAAGACTTCGGCTGTCTCTAACGGTGAACTTGCTCGAGCGCCCCTTTTCATGTTATAACACAATGAATCACTGTGACGAGGGGGAGCTCCGCCCGCCCTAATTCGTGCCCCGGATCTCGGGATGTGTCATTGAATGTACATATGTACGTACCTACGACGCGCTAGGTTAGCATTGGAACGCCTATCGCTGCACCGCCCACAGTTTCACTGTGCAGTTCGCTTACAATTGTTAGTAAAGCATTATGTTGTGGGAAATGCACTGGAGCCCATTCTCGACTCGCAGCGTCAACTAGTCCTTCTCGAAGTCTTGCTCTACAATCTTCTTCCGCTCTTTGTCCTTTCGAGATCTTGTGCACCGGAGTAAAAGTTTCAATTGTTCCTGTGCAGGGTTCACAGCTCTGAGCTCCGGCCATTGCCTTATTTGAAGCGGTTCTATCGCACAATTGCTGGCACGAAGGGTTCCTGCAACCAGCGATCCACGCGGGAGTTGGGCCGTTGCGATTAAGTGGTCCTCTGCACGGACTGCACTTAGAATCTAGTTTCAGGCGGTCCGAATAGTGTCCCCGCATGTCAAGGTATTGAGGTACGGCATGAATTTGAACTCCTCCACAAAGGCTTCGCCAGTGTTTGCTGAAGCTACAGCAGTGCTGTTGTAATCTTCGGGATTGATTCGTTCACCACCGGCTAGGTCATTGTCCGGACTTTGAAGGGAACCCTCTTGGCTATCATCTCTCCAGCCAGCCAGCTGCTTTCGCATCGTCAAAGTGAGTTAGTTTTCACAGACTTTCCTATAACGTCTGCTAGCTCCGAGGACTGTGATTCACTATGAATCATAATGGGACACTTGTTGGAGTGGGACAGTTCATCCGAAGAAGCGCCGGGGCGGGGTCATGACAATTGATCTCTACATAGGGAAATGAAAACCCTGCGTGGGCCAACCGGAGTTGGAAGGATACTATATAATTGATACCCGAAATGGAGTGATCCGTCCATTGGATCACTGTGACTCACTACGATTCCCATGTTTCAGTCTGTCACTTATGCCTCGGACTGTAGAAAATCATCTTCCCTCTTCTCGAACGCTTTACTTCCCGTGACGCAAATGAAAAGGCATTCTTGCTATTAAACCCCCTTATTGGCAGAGTGGAGTGCGCGCGCAGTATACCATGAACAGTTCAGGGGGACTTGGGTGTGTATGTGGACGAGAGTTGAAGAGTTTGGCTGGTTTAACGATGCATATGGGGAGATGCGTAAGGGCTAGGCAGCACAGGATGTAATTTTCCAGTCTGTTTCACGGGGGACGTGGGCCGCTGACGTTGAGGTAGTCGCACGAGGCGGGATTGCCAGGAGGCAGTGAGGCGGTTGCGAGCAGGCGAAAACACGATGCGAGAACCACGCTGGACCCCTGAGGCTGGATTCCGGGACCGCGATAGAGCTCCTACCAGCGATAGTTCCAGTGAAAGCACCGATGACGAGGACCAGAACGAATGGGGGTTTGCCGTGCCCGTCGCTAGTGCGTTGGATGAGGAAGAACCTCAGCACCCATTGGAACCTGCCAGCAGGTACAGCAACGGGGGAACTGAGCGCGGCTCGTCGCGTGGGAGCACAACTATTGTGACGAGACGCGTCACGTTCGAGCAGGTAACGGGTCGCAAAGCGGGTACAGCGATACCCGGGCCAGCATCTGGGAGGGAAACTCGAAGGTCAGTATTCGCCGGATTGTGGTACATGTGGGGAGTAACAGTGTTTTACAGTGACAACATGTACTACCCATTCGTCGACGAGGCCAACTACGCGTTTGCAAAATGGATGTATGACGCTCGCATCCCGAAGGGTGCTGTTGATCGCTTCTTCGATGACGAACGGCTGGAAGGATTCATCCCCAGTCTACAATTTGGAAGCGCGGACGAATGGCATCAATTGCTGGATGCAGTGGAAGGGGGCGTCAGTGGCAACACCTGGGAAGAGTCTCTAGTTTATATACCGGCAGCCAGCACTGGTGGGGGGCGAACAGCAGACGCGTTTGCGGGTTCCTTGCTCAAGCAGGACGTGCTCGAGGTTGTGAAGTTTATGCTTCGATTCGAGCCCTTCTCTGCCTACATGTCGTACGCGCCGACGCGCAGCATGCGCATGACAACGAACAGCGATGGCAGACAGCACGAGGTCCGCATGTACACTGGATTGCACGACTGTGACTGGTGGTGGGATACGCAACTGAAACTGCCAGAAGGATCCACGGTGGTGCCGGTTATGATCGGGGTGGACGAGACACAGCTCACTCAACACCGAGGGGACCAGACAGCATGGCCAGTGTACGTCTCCATTGGCAATCTGGATGCCAGGGTTCGACGATCTCGAAAGGCGCCGGGTAACATGCTGGTGGCTATGTTGCCCGTGATTAAGCACCACGACAAAGACCTGAAAGCCAGTATATACCACCAAGCGATGGGAAAAGTGCTTGAGCGTACGTATCGTGAGTTGGACAAAGTATGTGGAGCTAACATCCTCTTCTGCAGCAATTAGGGAGCTAGGTTAACATAGAATACGCTTACAATGCGCAGATGGGAACAGCAGGATGTGCTACCCCATCGTATGTGGTATCATGGCCGACTACAAGGAACAAGTTCTTCTCACAGGGGTAAAGAACAACCAACACTGCACAGTGTGTAAGATAGCTCCTAAGATGCGGGATACCATGGTGTTCCCGGATAGGCCAGATAAGTCTTCATCTGAATATGCCGGGCATCGCACACACAACGACACGATATCTAAGATAAGGCGTATCAGAGAACAGAGGGTACGATCTTCGGACCCAGAGTATGTTCACCAGATTGAGAATTTTGCGTGGAGGTTTCCTCACGTGAACGTGCACACAGCGCTTATGCCTGACCTGCTACATCAACTACACACAGGCGTTATGGGCGACTCTGTTAAGTGGCTTTCAGCGCTGCTGGACGACATGTATGGGAGGTCGCAGGCGGATTATAATAGCTCAGGGGTCAGTCGATTAGACAAAAGGTACAGAGAGGTGCCGCACTACCCACGGCTGATAAGGTTTAACAAGATCCCTGTCAGTAAGATCTCCCAGTGGACTGGGAATGAGCGGAAGGCGCTGGCGAGGCAGATCTTAGCAATCTTTGCGCCTTTGCTGTCAAGCAAACCAAACGTGGTCCGGTATTTGCGGGCGATGTGCGACTTTGTGATGATTGCACATTATCATAGCCAGGACGAAGAAACATTAGCGTACCTGCTGAACGCTCTCGAGCGAATTGACACGTACAAGTGGGAGCTCATCAATCAGCGACGCGGACCTCAATCGCGACACTTCAGGATCCCAAAATTCCACGCGATTACCCACTACATATGGATGATACGGCAGTATGGGCCGCTACCGAACTGTGACCCGGCCACCTATACAGAGGCTCCCCACAGTTACCTTGTAAAAGCATGGTTTAAGCTCACAAATCACAGGAGAACGTTGCAGCAGATTGCCGTACTCAACGCCCAATAGGTAAATATACAAGTTTGCGAATCGATGCGCATGTACAAGGACAGGATTCCTCTTATTAAAACCCAAAGTGCAGACGGCTTTCGCAGCTTAACGCTGGCGAAGCCAGCGCTTCTTGAAAGGTTTGGAATAGGGGTTGGGGACTGTGAACACGTGCGTGCACGCGGGCTCCGCAAGGACACATGGACAACGGTCCGCAACCTTCTGCTACACCACGAGTTTACTGGATTACGCGACTCTCTTGCTGTGTTCCTCCGAGAAGAAAACTCGCGTGAATACAGTTGGAACGCACACAGCTGGAGGGATGCCGAACGGTTGGAAGAAAACCCGGGCTGGGTGGATTTCTGCCTTATAGCGCTGCACCCATCTTTTAAATACTGGGTAGAGAGCGGAAGGCCCAATGGGGACGTTCTATGGGAGGATGCCGAGAGCGTGCGATGCGTGCCAAACTGGCAGGGCAGTAATTGCTGGCTTAAGCATTGCGTGTGGGTACAGGAGTACGCGCGGGAAGATGCAACGCTGCGTGGCAGGCGTGTGGGTCAGATCCAGCTGATTTTCTCGGTGGTTGAGCAATCCACCGTGTATACACACGACACGAATGGTGAAGGGAACAGGCATGCTTGCTTCCTGTTGAGGATGTTTAAGGTCTTGAACAACGGAGTCCCAGATAGAACACATGGCTTTGTCAAGCTACGTAAGTGGACCGAGGAGGAAGTGCGGACGAAGGATGGACGGTTTCAAGGTGCGTATCGATGCTTTTCCAAGGCTCAAGTTATTGGCGCTGCACATGTTGTGCCTGCGGACGAAGTGCTACACCAGGCAGCGATGACAGCTCGGGAACTAGCCGGACATTTGTCCTAAACAACTACGTCAGTTTCGCAGTTTTCAACTCCATCTATGACCCAGATTGGCTGGAGAAACACAATCAGGACATGCAGAAATACAGACTGGCTCACCCTCGGCCCGACTACGCACGAGTACACGGGGGCGCGGAGAGTGAAGACGAGGGTGAGAGCGATGGAGACCAAATTGAATACATATAAGGGTTGGTGGCGACGTAAATATACGCATGCCGATCGACATGAGGTGTCCGAATTCACAGTGTTTTACAGTGAGTTGTTGGTTTAGTTGACATAATCGCGCTAGGTCCTGCTAAGACAGAGTGTTTTACACCTAGCGCTGACCATAGTAACTGAAAGGGCTTAGCGTTCAAGCAGGAATCACTGTGCCTCCCATTTCCAGTGTACCTTCAAACAGGGCATCTGAAATGACAGATACACCCGACATTGATTGTTAAGCGGCAGTGGTTGTTTGCCCTTTTTCGTCTGCACCTCCAACGTAACGCCTCCAACACCAGCATATCTTCACGATCCTTCACACCTATAATGGCTCCCCAACTGCGGACACATCCTCGTACGCCTCATTAGTCCTACACCAACCCTGGGCCAGTCACTCTCGTCTTGCAACTCAAACAACCTCCCCGAACTCGAGCTCAGCTGGGTCCTCCTCCCAGCCCGATCAAATTATACTTTTGCCAGATGGTCACTGTGAGCCACAGTGACCATACGGACATGGAACATGTTCTGGTTGTTAGCTTTCTGTCATCATCATTCCCTCCCCATGGTAACCTCTTGTGTGATGCCACTGATTCTTCCACGTGGAAACCCATGCTCCTGTTTGGTACAGTGATAGATAAACAAAGGAAATCCATGCCATACCCTACCATTTCCCTTGCTATTTCATCGTGATCCCTAGATATCGGATATACCGGGGAACAGAGGTAACCCAGCTTGCCTGCCAAAGTGATGATGCACCAGTATTAGGGACCGAGATGGTGAAATTCGTTTATGAACGCTTATCTCAGCCCGCTACTTGTGCTGATTGATCAATGTGTGATGTTCCGCAAGCAATCGAATGCAGTGAACGAAGAGGTGTGAATGATGATTTCTTTGATAATCCTCTGCAAAAGAAGGTCCAGTGATAAAAGAGCATAAGTGACAAGGAGAAGCAGTAGTAAGATGCATCAACTGAAACTCTCATCGGTTGACCACAGGTCACTCCGTCCGAACACCGACACCGTAATGCAGGTCTTGGAACTCTTTTCGAGCCAGAATCCTATAGGACTCATTGCGCTGCCAAGATCTGTGCCTGGTTGCCTTCCAAAGACCTCCCTTACGAAGAAAGTCACGTTGAATATCTTGGAATCCGACTCCGGCGACTTCGTTTTGATTCTCGAGTTTCCAGGGTGTCCCACTAATAGGAATGCCGCAGTCTTGAGCTAACTCTTGCAGTCTGCCTTTAATACAGGCACGATGAATACTTATTAGCGTCGTTCTCTTGATGAGTTTCTCATAGATTGGTTTAAGTTCTTCAACCTCGTTTCTATTCCTGCACAAGTGAAAAGCATAATCTCTGATTAGAGAGCATGGAGGATCATCGCTGGGGCTGCTGCTGCTGCTGACGAATGCCTTAAGAACCCATCCAGATTCGTTCCCTTTATATGGACTGTTGAGTGCAATGGGTAGGTCAGTAATAAGAAGCCTGCCATCTTTATACCCTCTCTTGCCGATGTATTTAACTGGTCTGTAGCTCTCTGCTGCCTTCAAGAACTCTTTAAATGCCTTTGCTTGTGTAAGGGTCTTGATTAACACCTTAGTATGCACAGCACTAAGAACATTACTTCCTTGTGTGCTTGTTGGTGAAGGAGGTAGTTGCGGGGTTTTGTTGTTGTTCTTGTTCTTCTCGCGCTCTTTCGCCTAGCCCCGCTCCGTCGTATCGTGTAATGCTTGCAGCTGTTTATACGTCTGTAGGCTTGTCCTAAGAGTTGTGTTCTCTTTTTGCAGGGCAAGGATTTGAGCGGCAAGGTGGGAATCGATGTTAGGGGGGTCTTCGTCGTCGTCGTCGTCGTCGTCGTCGTCGTCAGATTGTTCTTAGAGATACAGTAAGTAAATCATCGCTGCCCCCACCACACACCACACACCACTTCAACCACCACCACCCCTCTTCTTCCTTTCCAACTCCTCCATACAAGTCTTCAAATCCTTCAACTTCGTCCCAAACTCCCTTAGACTTGAAAGTGGCATATTCTGGCTTATAAGTATTACCTGCCTTGCCATGTGCTGCAACGTATCAAAGTCTGGCCTTAGAGCTAGGTAATTCCTTTGTAGTGTTTGCATCTTTGTTTCTAAGTCTTCTGCTTCTCTGTTACTGCTTCCTTGTGTGCTTGTTGGTGAAGGAGGTAGTTGCAGGGTTATAATGTTCTTGTTCTGCTCTGTCTTATTGTGTAATGCTTGCAGCTGTTTATACAGAGTGGTGTTTTCTTCTTTTAAGGCAAGGATTTGAGCGGCGAGGTGGGAATCGTTATTAGCGGAATCGTCGTCGTCGTCATCAATAATGATGGGATCTTTATCGGTGTTTTGAGTACTAGCAATAATTGGGTTCTTCTTGTCTTCTTCTTTCTTGATATCTGTGTTCTTCCTGGGTATAGACTTCTTTGCCGCTGCCGCTGCCGCTGCCGCTGCTTTCGTTGTTTTTATTACAGTTGTTTTCTTTGTTGTTGCTGTTGTTGCTGTTGTTGCTGTTGTTGCTGTTGTTGCTGTTGTTGCTGTTGTTGCTTTCTTGCTTGGCTTTAGTTGTACTTTTTTGCTGCTTATTGCTTTAGATAGAGGCTTGTCTTTGCTATCGCTAGATGCGCGTCGTTTTTTGGTTGTTGATGTTGTTGCCATAGTGGAGTTGCTTTCCTGGCTCCACCAATTGTCCCAATTGATATCGCTGGGTAGTTCGGGTGGTGGGCCACTGTGATTCACAGCGACTGGCGGCCTTGTATAATACGGGTCCGAGCTCGTATGCGATCGATGCTGGAGGGGGTGGTGGACCACTGTGATTCACAGCGACCGGCGGCCTTATATAATACGGGTCCGAGCTTGTATGCGATTGATGCTGGAAGTCCTTCATAGGAGCTGCGCACATAATGAACAGGGAAATATCTTAGATAGAAGTAGGCAGAGGGTCAGGACCCTTCTGGCTTATTGTAGAAAGACTCCTACGAGGAACAAGTAAGTGAATTCGGCAACATCTTGGATGGAGCTGAAAGGCATGACGACACGAGAGGGATGGAATAAACAAAGGTAATATAAGGAGATGCGCGATAGGTGACAATGAAAGATTTTTTATAGAGGGGCTGGAGGCAGTTACAAGATGTGCAGGTGATGGAAGGTTAGATGGAGTTGGCAATCAGCTGAGTGGCACATGCTGTACTGACGGGGCTAGTTAGCATTGGCGGTGAGATGGCGTGCAAAGGCAAGAGCGCCTGGCTGGCGCAGTAAAGCGGTGAGGTAAATGTAGGAGTACAGTCGCCGAGCTCGTTATTGGCCAACGGAATATTGTTTCATTGGGGGGACTTAAGCTTCGGCGTGTGATTGTCGTATAGTTGACTAAAAGCCGAGGAGGGTTGCTTGACACCACATAGACGTATCAACCAACCAGTCTAATTGTGAGTGGCAGAGAGTCCTTGTTATTACCAGCAGATGATGCTACTGGGAAGAAAGAGACGGATTCCGGCAACTTAACCTAGGCCTTCACGGAAATTATCGAGAAATGACTTGCAAATTGTCGTGAGATGCGGGCGACATTTGTTCTGTTTGTCTTTTCCTGACAGCCAAGGACTACAAATCACTGTGAGTCACAATGATGAAGGGAGAACACGTGTGCGACATATTTACTGATACATGATTACATGCCACATAGGGCATCCAACGCCTCATCAAGCTCTTCAGTTGTTATTAACTCATGACTCTGCGCATTGTGCAGAGTCAATACCACGTAAGAAAGACGTTCCTTTGGACCCATTACCAGGAATCGCTCCGCCTCCAACACATCATCAAAAGCGTAAAGAACGAGATCCTGAGCTTTATACTGGAGATTCTCGCAGAATTCTTTTCCGAGAGTTGAAGCTTCCACTCGAGCATCCCCACGATGCTCTTTGAACGCTACCAAAAACAGCTGAAACTCGTTTGATGCAGTACGAATAGGGATATCATCAGTGGAGAAGGGAACAACGCAGTCCTGCTGATCCGCGTGCGAGCCGTTCCCTTCATATTCGATTTCTGTGGGCCGAAAGACATCGTCATGGTTAACCCCTATAGCGGTGTCATGGGGAGGGACAACCCGCGTACTCGACATGGCGTCGTCCCCAAATAATCTGTCGAGGAGGTCAGGAAATGACGGAGGTTGACCCTGACACTTTCGAGCGTTGCTATCATGATCCAACACGGAAGGATCTTGGGTGTCGTAGCTGGAAACATTCCCTTCGAACCCATCCATCCCCGGCGTGTGCCTCCAGGTTTTCCAATCGTCCTGCACTTTAAGGAGATGGCTGCGACAGCAACACGATAATACACGCACTTGATTTGGTGCTGCAGCCTGGCATGCCTCTGCAACTGTAGCCCATAGTGAATTACTGTGAGGGCATTCCGCAGAGCCCCCCCGCTCTTCCTCGTCCTTTTCAATCAACGTCTCAAGCAGAACCTTCAACATGGAGTCCGTCCAACCGAATTTGGGATTGCATGGCGTTGCCTGGGCGCATAGGTTTGAATTAGATAAGGACGCAGATTTGTCGCAAACCGGTGATGTTGACATTTCGCAGGCATGAATAGATATTGTGTGACGACGTGTTACTGTAGCTTCAACGTACAACCCCTTAAAAAATACGTACACAGGTGGCTACCTAGGTAATATTGCATACATGTACCCTCGTATGACAGAATCAGGTGTTAATGCTGGATTGGATACATGTAGTGCACATGCATTTCCGCTCCACTACGCTAGCGTTGGTAGTGACGTCCTGCCACGACTGCTTACACTCTTCTTCCTCATCTACCAGCGACGATGATCGCGACGGCGGCTGTGACGCTATTGGATCCATCGTTGCCGGCTATAACGACTTCTCGCGTCTAGATGACAAGGCAAAGATCATGATCGACGAGCAGAAAAGCAGAGAGGAAATGCTAGAAAGAGAATTGCAGATGAAATGGCAGAGGCCCAGGCTAGGACCCTGCAACCTGCAAGGCCCCAATACTAACGGAGCATCCCCGAACGCAACTAATGCAGACCCCTCTCTACCTATAACTCGCTCTAACTGCCTAATTCGAGGTAACGCAGCTGCCACTCTCCATACATAGCAACAAAAGACTTTTCGACAGGCACTTCGGCGATAGGCTGAGGGAGATGGTGCGGAAGTCCGACAAGATCATCGAGGACCTCCACGCTCGCTGCGAAAAGCTTGAGAAGGACGTCAAGACAGCCCAAGAGACCAACAAACAGCTCAATAAGGCGCAGGAGGAGAGCAAGAGGGAGGCTGCTCGCGCGAGCGAGCACACCAAAAAGCTCGAGAAGGAGAACCACGACCTCGAGGCAGCGGTTGACCAGTGGCGCACCGCCTACGACGATTCGAAGGAGGCGACAGCGGCCGTTGATAAGCTCCTCGATCAGGCTTACCTCAACCTCGAGGAGAAAGAGAAGGCGCGCAAGCGTGCCGCCAAAGCTCGCGACAACTTCGAAGCGCAGCACAAAGAAGCCGAGCTCAGGCTTGCAACCCTCCAGGACGAATACAATGCTGTCGACGCCCAAAACCAAGAGCTGAGCGCGCAGACGGAATTCAAGGCTCTCCAGCTTGAGTTCGAAAGCCTCTAACAGGAACACGAGTCTATGCGCGACATCTCCAGCAGCCACAAGCACGATCTCAATCTAGGATTTTATTTTAAGTAAGACTCAATCTAGGATACTAGTAGCCTTAGAATATCTTAAACACCCTGAGTCACAGCGCTTTACAGTGTATTGGCGAGAACAGTACAACGGCATTGGAATGGGTAAGGTCAGGAATCGTTGTGAACTAGTACAAGTGGAGGATATACGCTGAGTAGCACGTAAGTAAGGACAATGATAGAGCTGCAGCGCTCACGGCCGTCAAATAGTAGTTCTATTAATGAAGGTTAATGACATCTAAAGACATGTCTGCCTCTACCCGCGTAATTTTCCCAGTCTGTACCCCTAACAATATAAACCTTGTCAAGAAAGCCCCACGATCCGCAACGTTGTATGTCACGAAGCGTTTGGACTCGAACTGATTCTGGAAAACGTGACAAACATACTCTTTCACGTTGTGCGTCAACTCCCCGTACTCATCCAGGAACGTTGAAATCGCTAGCTCTTGGCTATCGATCTGGTGAGAACACAGGCGATCCATGGCTTCAGCCATGGATTCCACACTGTTAACGAGTTTCTCAAGCGCAAGTTCACCCCTGGTCCCTAGATGGGCGTCAAGGAACGAAGACGCAGGGCCGGCAGTGCCCGCCCACACACCGGCAACATCCCTGGAACCCTGCGGCAACGTGGGCAAGTAGTCCAGTGGGATGGGCTGAGTCTGGCTGCCCATTTCCCGCGAGAGGCCAAACAATTGACGGTGAAGCCCGACGTGCTGGAGAGGACGAGATACAAGAGCCCGGGCTTCAAAGTTCAACCTAAGATATGCCTCGAGAATGTCGCTCGGAGCCGTAATGCGCCCGTCTTGATTCACACCGAAGCCTGGCTGGGCCATCATCTTCTGCCATATGTCCCATCTTTTCCGGCATTGATCAGCTTTCCGTCGGCAATCGAAACACAAAACGAGGATATCCTGGGAGACAGCTTGCACGCTTCTTCGCACGCGTGGCCAGACAGTGTTATCAATAGGTCTTCCCCTCCTGCCGGTCCTCTCATTGCGAGAATGACCCAACAAGCCCTCAAGCAAAGCTTTAATCATCGCACTGGTCCATCGGGTTGGCGTTTGACCCTGGCGTGCAGAGGTAGCGAGCACAACAGTGGCACCTATAACATCAGGTGATGACGGTCCAAGGGGGGACGGCTCGGTCTCAGCAATTTCACTGCCAAGTCCAAATGATAGGCTGCTGATGGTGGAAGAACTAGCGCTTGTCATCCTGATTGGGGAACTGGTGAGTGGTTGAATAGATGAAAAGATGTATGTATAAGGTAGTTGAGGGCAGTTACGTTGTACTGCTGCAATAATGGAAGGGTGCAATAAGTTATTCAAACGCCCCAACTGCATCTGAGCAGCAGATTTGTATTTATGCGTCAATGCGCGAGTGGTGATGGGGGGCGAGTGACATCTCCCCTAAATGATAGATAGCATGTGAACAACATGAGTTGGCAGTAGAATCACAGTAGTCGATAATTTTACTCGCTGATTTTCCTGGCGCCTGCTGTGATGGTCCAGGCCTGTTACTTTGCAGAGAACACCCGGCTGCATAGTGTCGCGGTGCTCCTTGCTTTGAATGTTCCGGCATTAAGACAAGTCCATACACAACTAACGTAGGAAAAGGTTCACTACGAAACACTGTGACGAATACAATAGCTGGACGCTAATGTAGTGACCTATGTGCAGCTAGGGTTAGGTCGACACTAGTTACAGCACTGAATAGGCCCGATTTGAGTTCAAACTGACGTCACGTGTGGACAGGAAAAGCTGGAGAACCAGACGTTTGGAATACCCTTTTCACTGTCACATTAACACATTATGGCGAACGACACTATTAAAGAAATATTGAAAATTCGGGACGCAACGTACCTTAAGATATATGAAGAGATGGAAGCGGCGTTAGCCGCTGCGGGAGTCCTTGGAAGACCTATCAGAAGCAACTCAGACAAAGGCAAAGCGGCAAGAATTGCGCAGTCCGTGGCAAAGGCGAACCCAGACGTTTTCAATTCTGATAAAACGTCAAGCTGTTTAATGGAAATCGCAAGACGATGCAATCGAAATTTTACGAGGGCAATGAAAAGAAAACAGCGATACTACGCCACCGCAAACACCAGGAAGGGAACAAGCTGCCCTGGTCATCTCCCAGGCGAGGACGTACTCGACGTAAGGTGCCTATCGACATGCGGAGACAAAAAAGATTTCGAGCCCTGGGTAACGCAGAAGGCAGCTATGCCGGCATTGTGTCCTGCGCCAACACACTCTAGACTGCGGGCTGGTCCTGAAAAAGAGATCGCGGATGCCCAACAACAACAAAAGGCAAAAGGATCTGAGAAAGATGGCGATCGGTGACGGACGATTTACGGCACTTCTAGACCATGGGCGCCACTTGAAGACTATTACAAGCTAGCGTAGTATGGAGAATGGGCATGGTGCAGAACCTGGAACTACGCCTATGTGTTCATTGCAAAAGACCAACGCAAAGTGAGGTAGTGAGCCGTACCATCTGCAAGCGTGCTATGCAGTCATGGGTTCCGGCGTGTAAAGATAGGATAGACACAGCTGTTTCGCGTTACTATCATCCCACGAATGAGCATCATCGGACAGAGGACGACGCAGTCTGATGGTTGCGAGCTATATTCGAACTATTTGAGGTTAGCGGAAATACTGATGGTTTTGGACAAAAAGATTATTTCAATTCGAATCCTGTAATACGTGGGCCTATGCGCGTGGAAGAGGGCACGCGGCATCTTACTTATTCACGACTACAACTTATTACATGTACACTGGGGACAAGAATTCGACGCCTCTCCAAATGGAAGACAACACGTTCATACGAGAGAGAAGAAGGCAAATTGCTACGGATGGCGGCAGTGGCCGCGAGCACAAAAGCCGGCAGAAACATAAGGTAAGCCCAAGTTCTAACGAACTGGCACAAGAATGAGCGATGGCCACAGTGAATTACAGTAACTTATTGTGCGAAGAAGCCGAAGTTGAACAGCCAAAACACCACCAGCACAACAGGCATCCGCGCAAAATACGCGGAACCAGGGGGAAGTTCCTCGATCCACACAGACCCTGCGTACAAGGGAAAAGGGGCGAGATGGGGAGTCGGTCGCTACCTAAGCATGCTACAACAAACTTCGCTGACGTCAACAGGATGCAACTTTGGTGACCGACTCAATGAAGAAGGGCAGATTGTACCAGCCCGCACCAAACGACAAGCAGGAATTGGATCGACAGGAATTGATAGGACTTTATCAACACCGCCGGCACAATGATTCAGGTACAGTAGGGGTGCAAGGAAGCACACACCTCAGAAATGCCAGCGCTAACTTTAACAAGCAGATGAATACGAAAGCTCATCGGCTGAGACGGTAGAGAGCGCTCCTGGGGCCTCCGCGTCTTTTTCATCCATGACAGACCTGTTGTGGACGGACGTTACGAGGCGTCCAAAGGCAACCAGTCTAGAAGAAGATGCAATAGCTACGGAGACGTCGCTTGTGATCATAGCAGAGTTGCTTACAAGTGAACAGGAGTATAAGCTGTCTCACCTATCAATTTATGTTGAAAAGAATCCACAACTCCTTAGCGCTCTGATAGAGAGCCGTTGGGAAGCTACAATAAACCGACAAGACAGACCACGACGCTTCTCTGTGCTACGAAAGCCTACTAAGGTAGGCTCAAGAATTGTAAGCTACGCACAAAGAAGTATATTGCCATAGATATGTTAATTGTCTAACGTCTATAAGATTTACGATGAAATCCAAATGTACCGTACCCGTTGCGCAGCAGCTGCGCGCGCACTTATTGCAGAAGTCTACCAATTCTCTGTCTCGGCTGGCCACGTGGAGAAAACAGTCACTTCTGCACTACATAACTTTTCCTTCCTGTCACCATTCCCTGAAGAGGTATGTGTACACAACAACTATTCTGACACTGTTAACGCTTTTTAGCCAAAGAAATGCAGGTTCTGCAGCGAGTTATTTGTGAGATTGGCAAGCAGGTGTCTGTTTGAGGTTCGGGTCCGGCGAGATCCTCTTGCAACCTCAACGATTGCACGGAGATACTTTAGCGAATTAACAAAGGAGATGGCAGCTTTTTTTGGCTCACTGCTACACGAAGGCCTGCGGGAATGGCAGAGCGGCACGAGGAAGTCATCGCGTATACATAGTGAAGCGGCTGAAGGTGAGCAGGCTCTCTGGTCACGGCAGTTCTGCTAACACTCCACCCAGCGGCGTACGATGCAATGCTACGAATGTGGACTCGTATGGATGACTGCAGGTTGACAGTAACGAAGCGATTGGCTTGGGATAGGATAGTTCAGCATGCCAAAGGCACAGAGAGGGTAATAATCCTGCCGGAAGATGACAACTACAGCGACACCTCGGACCTGATCCAGCTCATGACCGAAGCCGAATATCGGAAGTTCGGCAACCTTGTGCGCTCAACGTCGCAAGATGGGAGTAAGCAGGTTGAGAGACAGCTGCCTACTGGCCCGAGGGAAGATTTCATGTTTTCACCTAACGAAGTACGTTACAGTGATCCACTGTGATCCCCAGGCAGCAAACCCTATTAACAGACCACGGCAGAGCATTCCCGAATCGGCAACACCTTCCCATCCGATATCTCTTTCTGCCGGCAACGACGATAACAGCACAGTGGAACACAATGACCCACAGTGGGATCCCGCTGTAGCAACAATCACGGACAACTATGTACTGCAAGAAAGCAGATCTGGGAGTAAAAGCAATGCTTTTCAGGAAATTCCAAGCGTTGGGGAGCCGCCTACAAGGGAAAGCTGCAAAGAAGTGCGTCCCGACTTCTTTCGCGTAGGGGTTACTAATGTTTTGCAGCGACCTCTTGCTCTAATAATTGTGGGACGGATGCGAGGGAGAGAGAAGGAGTGTCAATATTCTTACAAAGGAGGGCAACACCCTCTGGACACCCTGCTGGAAAAATCAAGAGCACGCCTACGCTTGTTAGGATGGAAAAAGCAACAATTGTTTGCAAGTTATTTTGTTGGAAAGGAAGAGCACGTTATTGGGGATGACGACGATTTCTGGAGGATGGTAAGATGGGCAAGGAGTGAGGAAAGTCCCCGTGTTATTGTGCAGACGGAGGAGGACCAATTTGCTGAACCTGAACTTTAAGCTGTGATAATGCGATATGTACAATGAGATAGTAAATTATTGATAATTTGCGTTCAACAGCAGTGCTGTATTATGTGTCTTATGCGCCTAAGTTATGTTTAATATTATATGCAGGATTTTGGTATAAGGCTAATACGTTATGTATTACGTTTGGTAGCTACTTTATAGTATTTTTAAGAGACACGTTACACGTATATATTTTAGTAGTTGTGGTTGCTTTGTGCATGTTGTAATCTCTGTAAAATAGTTCACGTGAAGCGTAGTTGTCACTGTAATCTTCAGTGAAAATAAAACTATGTATAAAGCTTTTGTAACTGCTATATAGAATGAAAAAGACATACAGCACAGTGTTTTTGAGTGATTCACAGTGTCTGTAGGTTGAAATATTTACAAATTTGTTAAGATTTTTGCATATTGCGCATATTGCAGGTTTTTTGCACAAGAAGCACAAAAGAGCTCATGCGCCCACTTTTGCACGTCAAGTTGGGAACACTTCGCATACGCGAAATTTGTAAAATTTACGCACATTTGTGCACAAGCATGCACAACGCTGCGTTGTGCGCATTTTACGCATTTTTCGCGTATGCGCGTACAATATTTTTGCTGATGCACGCAATGTATACTTTTATAGCAGAATAAAATATATTTGCTTAATATCTGTGTTTAGGTAATTCTTTTAGATAAGATAACGTGTCGGATCAGTAAGCCGCCCAGGACAGTAAGCCGCCCACCCCTCAACGAAAATCCACGCTTCTTGGGCGATTGCTCAACAACGTCACATCGTAATATTATGTATATAGATTTAATTGATTCGCGCTACCTAGCAGTACACTGAGTTCTTTTATGACCTTAGACGAAGCACTTGGTGCACGTTAGTGGCGCGCAAGGTCTCCTTAGTTGACTGACCTGCTCGACCTCTTGGACTACCCTATCAGCCTCTGTAGCTAGCCTCTGGCCTTCCTGAGCCTGTAGAGCTCCTCCACGGGCAATATACTGTTGGCGCTGCCTTTTTTTACGCTCTTTACGCTGTACAGCTGCCTGAAGCCTTATATTCTCCTCTACAAGGATAGTAGCTGAGTGCATAGCAAGCTGGCACCCCTTTACAAGCTGGCAGATAGCTTGATTAGTAGGGCTCTGTGATTGTCGGCGAAGCAGGTCCTGGATATGCTGAGCCTGCTTCTGGAGCTGATCTACTGTATGCGGCGTCTCAGCTGTCCACTGTCCCTCTGCGTTGCCTACTAGCTGACAGGGTGAAGGCGTTCGGACGATAGGTAGGGAGGATAAGACGCGCTCAGGGCTGTATGGCACAAGCCCAGTAGCTAGAAACCCAGCCTGAATGTTCTTCTCTGTGATAGCTTGATCCCTAACCTGCTTGTACGTAGTTAGGAAGTCTACCTTATCAATATGATAGACGTGTTGGCGGGCAAGCTGCTGAATCGCCTGCCCGTACGCGCGTTTCAGAGGCGAGAAACAGCCCACATCAAGAGGCTGGAGTAGATGTGACGTATGAGCTGGCATACAGAGCGTGATAATGCGATTCTGCGCACAGTACTGATCAAACTCAGGAGTAGCGTGGCTGCTGTGGCCATCTACAATCAGTAGTCAATGGGTGCCTACTGTACGAGCCTGAGTACAGCGATTGAAGTGCTCTAGCCAGGTAAAGCCAAGCTGATCTGTTGTCCAGCCGTTGTCGCTGACAGCGATCACCCAGCTAGGGGGTATATCGCGATACCAGGCAGCCTGGTGGAGCTTTCCAGCTAAGATAAGGAAGGGTGGGATTGACCAGCCTGACGCGTTAACTCCCTCAATAACTGTTACCCACTCCTGGTTCCCTAGCTAGGTAGTGACTGCCTTGCCAACTGTATCAGAGCTAGTCACTACCTTAGACGTGCTGGCAACGCCCATCTAGAAGCCAGTCTCATCAAAGTTGTATATATCCACGTCCTGTATCCCATATCTCTCGCGTGTGTCCTGTACGCGCTGATACCAGCCCTGAATCGCGATAGGATCCTGAGACAACGCTCTCTGTGAGTTGAACTTCCTATTTCACTTTGTCTGGAGCTCTGGCTGAGCCTAAATAAAGCGTGATACCCACTTCTAGCCTAGGGGAGGAGGAGGAGGCTGTTCGCCTCGCGCGGCGACTAGAGTATCAGCCATTCGTCGTACGTCGATAATCTGTGGCGGAAATCCACGTCGGTCAAGGTCTAGGATCCATTCTACTAGGGCCTGCTCCTCAGTAGGAGATAGCTTTTGATTTAGTGACCTAGTCGCGTACTTTGGTTGGATACCTTGAAGGCGCTCACGTAGGGTAGTTCTTAGTATATTATAGGCTGCTGCAAGCTTGGCCACAGATAATAGAAGGTTTAATTAAAAAGAGGCAATTGCAAGGCCTAATCGACCTTCTTTTGCAAGCTTCTGGGCATGTGGTTGAGACGCCATAGTTGATGGATGAGGTGGTGACGCGTGAAGTCTGGTGGGGTGGGCGGCTTACTGTCCTGGGCGGCTTACTGATCCGACACGTTAACTATTATTGATTGAGCTTACATTAGCAGAACCTCGGCTTATCTACCTTGTACTAGCGGTAATGATGACCGTCCACACCTTGTTCATCAATACACATGTTTTCTGCCCCGAACTCTCCGGCTATCCAATGTATTTATTTTCCTCCAAGTGGTTTAGCCGCGTTATAAAAAGTACGCGTCGCAGCAGTGTATAAAGTGTGCGATTGTGTTTTGCATGAGAAGTCTGTCCATACTCAACCCAGCACTACACCACCAAATAATGGTACTTCAGTCTCTGCCGACGGAACTATTACACCATGTTGCCTATTATACTTCACCTGAGGATATCATTGCTCTGACTGAAACATGTGTGGCGCTTCGGGACGTCTACGATGACCACACTGTCTGGAAACAATCATTTTTGCAACATGTTCGTGCCCAATTACCAAACCCCGTATAGCCCTCCTGCTAACCTGATAGATGCCCGACCTATTTCGATCTGAAATGGGAAGCAAGGAAGCCTGGGTCGAAAGGATGGCGCGGCAAATAATTGATACAAAGGGAGCGACAGGGTTTGCGCAGGCAGACCAAATAAGACGGAAGTGGAAATGCCTGTGGATTACAGTACAGGAATTACAACACGCCCGTGTCGATTGGCGTCGCCTGGTTGGCGCCATATTTTCAAACGCTCGTTCGGTTAAGCCGGAGGAGCTTCCCAATGAACACCGTGAAACGTCGGTCGGAAAATTACTTGGTCGATCTTTGAGTGTCCTACCCTTATCGATGGCGTGGGGCTGTAAGTATCTCTTCGTGGGCATTTCTTCCGATGCTGATGATATGTAGTCTCCACCTCTTGCGATATAGAAATCTTGTCCGCCCTTGCCAACTTGTGCACGGGATTCTACTCTCTCGGCATATCAACACTAAGCCTCGATCTGAATATCATTATACAATCGCGTATGGCCGAGATTTCATTTTGCATGGCAGCTTCTGCTATCCATACGGGGCTGCGGATTCAACGCGATCCGACCTACCACTACGGCGATGATAGCTTAAGGCTGTTCAAAAACGGTCTGGATTTTGTGGATTCTACCTTGCTGGAATTTGTGAAAGAAAATCCAGACATCTATAGAAGCGACTCTCCGAAGTTTTTTCCGCGCCATCTGGCTTTAGCAATATGCGCCTCCTCAGCAACTGCGTGCTGGTACTCGCAACTGCAAGATACTGCTCAACTTCCTTGTTTACCTCGAAGAAGCCATGAGCCGTCCTTGGGAACGGTAGGTTCTAGCACAGAAGAATATTTGACTGCGCAGTACCTGCCCCTTCCTGAGTGGCACCCGCTCCTAACTCCCTATCGCTCGATCTTCTCCACGTCCGGCTGGCTCCTTTGGTACAAACCTCGCATACAATCTATTATCGATGCGATCGAAGATGGTCTATGGGAGGGATGTTATACGATGCCATCTTGTAGGCCAGGTTTTGTTCGTTTCTATCAAAGGATCGAACGAATCCAATTTCACATATCACATCAAAGAAATCATCAAATTCTCTTTGAAGCTGAAAACTGTGTCGACGACAGTGGTGCTTTCAGCTTGAATGGGCGTCTTCATACAGAAAGGGAGACTTTATCAGCAGCGAAAAGAGATCCCAGCGGCACAACAATTATGTTTTGGACTGGAGCCGTCACTCCGATGGGTATCACTGGCTATCTTTACGATGATATACGTCATGCCCCTCCTCGTCCTAAACGCAATTTACGTGGAACATTCTGGCTTTGGAAAAAGGATTGGAAAGCCACTGGCGATAACTGAGGATACTCCTGTGGGTAGTGAGTGTCATCTAGACAATGGAGTGCCGCTTGAGTGGGTAGAAAATAAGATAATCGGTAGGAATCCACCGTCTTTTTGTACAGTGTTCCACTGGATCTGAATGGACAAGACGCTCAAACATCGAAAGCACGAAAGGGGGTTTGATTGATACATTTCATGTTCGAATTCGATTATGAGACGCATTGAAACACGCATTTGACGCCTATATCTTCTTCGTGAAAACTCAATCTAAAAGTCTCGGCTCCACCACACCTGTTTGCTCCAACAGCTTCCCATAATGTTCAGTTCTCCGATGGTCATCGAAAGCAAACACCCTACCTTTGCCTTTCCGGCACTTGGCCAGATCAATCGTCGCATACACAAGCTCATCCCCTTTTGTCTTCGCCTCAGCTATAATATGCCCATTGGGGTCAACAATACTGGACCCGCCAATGAGCGACCCGTGGTCTTCCACGCCCGCTTTCGCGGAGTGGATGCTGAAGCAAGCGTTCTGATAGCTTCCTGCTTGGGAAGAAAGGCGATGGTGGTGGAGAGCTTCAGCTTCTTGCCATTCGGGAGTTCCTTCGTACTGCGGAGCAAAGGCGGTTGTGTTGTATCCTTCCTGTGGGGGGTAAAGTTAGCATAAACGCTGTCATGTGATTGCAAAAGGGAAAAAAAGCAACAAAGAAAGCTGCGGCATACCAAGAGAAGCTCTATACCCTGCAATCCGTAGCACCTCCAAGCTTCGGCCCATCGACGATCATTGCATAGAAGCATCCCGAGAATGGGATCGCCTTTCCCTTGGCTTTCCTTCGGGTCTGTGGCTGAATCGACATCCTTGGCCTTCAAAGCACCCTCCACCAAACCCGGCGCCCGGAAAGCCTGGAAGCCTAGATCGCCAACAGTGAAATAGCGCTTTTCAAGCTGCTGCGCGAAGCCCGGGGTCGTGAGCGGCTCTTTTCGCCCGGGGAGGTGCACTTTTCTGTACTTGGATAGGCATCTGCGCTGCGAGGCCGAGTAGTATACGGCCGTGTTGAAATCGGTCGTTTTGGCAGCATCAACCAAGCGCTCACCGAAGCCGAAGTAGAGATCGATTCCAAGCTCGTTGGTGCGGTCGATCAGGGGTTTGATGTTTGGCGAGTTGACGAAGGCGTAGGGGTCCGAGGGGGAGGTGTGCTCAAAGAACTTGGCAAGCTCCTCCGGGTCTTTGATGATGTAGGAAGCAAAGAATGTAGTGAAAGCTAACTCGGGATATACCAGAAGTTTGACGTTTTTGTCGGCCGCTTGTTGGAGCAGCTGTAGCATGCGGTCTAGGGTTTCTGATCTGGGCGTTGAGAGGCTTTTTACTGGGCCCATCTGTGCTGCGGCGACAGTCAGTAGCCTCGGCTGCTCTGATTTGGTTGCTGAAGCCATTCTATTGTTAATGTGTTGACAATGACGAACGACAGCTTGCTAGGATGTTGGAGTCTTGATGTCACGCGAATGCAATGTTGTGCCACACAGTGATCGCAGTGCAAATGATACTTAAGGCGATGGGAATTGCTGGGTTTCTCGGCCGATGTGCGTTATCAAACGTCGTCGGATCAAACGTCGGCTCATCGTATTCAACGCGCTGCCAAGCCGATCAACCCCCGGCCTCTGCACGAGTCATGCATGCGTGGAAAGATGCATTTATTAACTGATAAGCGTTTCTGGCCCGACGATGCTTGGCGTGGATATCCGATCAATTTCCTCACTTTTCCGGAACGGCCGTATCCCAGTCACTCACTCATTTGCGATTGAGCTATCTATTTCAACCGTCTAAAATCAACATTGGCAATGCCATACTCGCTCCCGCATTGCCATGAAATTCATCATCGTCATCAACATCACCCTTTCGTTTACAACCGCGCTCTCTCAGGAAGTAGATCGGCCGCGTATTGCGCGAGACCCCTAGAGACAGATATGTCAGTGATACAACCAAAGCCAACGACATTGATGTTTCAAAATACCACGATGCTTGAAATCCCACTCCGCCTGCGCCATAATTGTGAATGACCAACTTGCCATCGCGCAACTCCGGTTCCACGCGCGGTCCGCCCTCTCTTGCAGCTTTGCACAGTTAGCGCGGCTGAACATCTACACAAACGCCTTCTGGACGTACGACGAAGCCCAACCCCATGCTTGATGATCTTCAAATCCTCCGGCTTCCCTAGTTCTGGCGCAAGCGAGCAGCATCGCCTTTTGATGACCTCGGCGAACGCAAGATCCGTCTCGCCACTCCAGTTGTTCTTTTGACGACACCCACCCAAAATGACTCCGCCGTTCTCGCCTCGGGGGAAGATGTGTGTGGCTTCGCCGGCGCGGTGAGGAGCACGGAAATACATGTTCTTCATCGGCGTCTCGGGGCCTTCTACCAGCAATATCTGACCCTGTATTTGCATCGCAGTGAGACTTCGCATGGCTGGGTGGTGTTCTCGAGGTGGCTTACCCTAGCGGGATACATGGTGTTGTCTTCTACGCCCCCGAGCGTCATTGCGCCTAGACCAGTGCAGTTGAAAACAGCAGTAGCTTGAGGATATCGCTTGAACGCATCGTCAATGGAACCAAAGATGCGTCGATGTATTTCAATGTCGAGGCGAGTAGCCTCTGTTTGCAACCTGAACGCGGTTACTGCTGCTTTTACGGTGTCCCGTATCTGTGAAAATGGAGAGACAAAGATTAGGGGTCAAGGCATCCACACTTACCACGGAAGATATCTCTGTACATCGATAACAAAACTAGCCATCTCAAAGCCAAAAGCCGTTCCTTTTGGCAATTCCTCCTTCTCAATATTCCTTAGCCCACCGACCAGATCCTCGAACCAAAGCTTGCCTGTAGCCGGGGTTAGAATCCCGGCTTCCTCGATGGGTACCTCGTAGTGCCATTTAATCTGCATGGGTTTGATGCCGCATTCTGGTCTTTCTGAGCAGAGCCTCTTGAACTTGCGATAAGTTATTGCTTCGTAAGCTTGTTGCGGACCGTTGTCTGTGGCAGCTGGAAACCAATTTGCACCTCCCCATGCAGAAGTGTATTCGGGTGCGCTGTCACCGGGAAGGTATTTTGCTGCGATGACTATTTTGGCTGCGGGATACCGATTCCGAAGCTCCAGGGCGGTTGTGAGGCCGACGACTCCAGCTCCAATGACAAGAAATAAAGCTGATAAGCCAATTATACATGAACCAAGTCAGTGAGTCGCACATCATTTGATATCGCCAGGGTGACATACACATTTTGGTGAGATGTTGATGGTGGTTCGGCGACAATCAGTAGTGTATAACACCCTACAGTAAGGAATAGACGAGTGCGATAGAGCCGGAAATACAATTTCATCCTTACCTACCAGAACGTTGCAGGCTTATAGGTAGTTCAGCCGATACCCGTCGTCGGGAATCCCCCACCCCACTAGTGTATCAGTACATTCGGCACCAATATACAGGCTTCTTCAACTTGGTGCTCTGTCGGCAGCCGCCGATGAAGGCGGAAATATTTCCGTGACCCAGGGTACACATGTACAGATGTAGTAATGCATCAGATCCCAGTCACGTTTAAATGGTGCCTCGAGGGCAAAAGAGGTTGGGTCGGTGTAATCTATGGACGCAATTGACTAGCTTATATGATTTACACTTCTCAATGGCTTCCCCGTAGCAAAGAATGCCTCGATATTGTCCAAATTAATCCTCTCAAAGTCTTTCCAGCTACTCTTCGAGCAGACCCCGATATGGGGCAGTAGAGCAACCTTCCAGTTGTCCCTAAGTTTGGGATTGACCGCTGGCTCGTTAGCGTGCACGTCAAGTCCAGCCCCTGGAACGCGCCCAGACTCAAGAGCCTCAATCAAGGCGTCCTCGTCAATCATGGCACCCCTGGCAATGTTGACCACCCGTAAACCTTCCTTCTTCGCGAGCGAAAATTGCTTATGCGACAACAAATGATGTGTTTCCTTGGTGTACGGCGCAGCAAGAACAATGCAATCAATCTCGGGAATCATATCGTCGACTGTTGGATGGTACACAGCACCGTACTTCAACGAGCTTTCGGCTGCGGGTTTGGGTCTTGGGCCTTGGTAATGGATCTTCATATCGAACGCGGCTTCACATTTCTGGGCCACAGCCAAACCGATGTCTCCAAGTCCAACGATACCCAAAGTTTTTTTCGTAGGATCGACAGCTATAGGGCCCAACTCTCGACTCTTCATCCAATCGTACCTCGCGCACCACTGCGCGAAAGACAGGAAGCGGAACGAGTCGACAATGAGAGACAAAGCGGTCACAGCAACGGCTTCAGTGCACGCATTTGGTGTGTTACAGTACAAAATACCCCGGGCGTTCAATCCTTCGATATCCGCGGCGTCGTATCCGTGTCCGCTGCAGGCTATGAGCTTCAGCGATGTCGGGAAGTAAGGCACGACGTCGGCAGCAAAGGGGCGTTGATTAGCCAAAGGACCAGCCTTGTGCCAGCCATTGCGCATGATGGCCACGACATTGGCATAAATGCCGCCAGGTTTCATCCGCTCTTTGAATTCATCAGTCGTGGGGCAGTCATAGTACAGTAGGTTGACCTTCGCGGACAATGCTCGACGGCGGGCGATGTCAATATCCCGAACCGTCGAATCGATTATGAGCAAGTCTGGTTTCCTCATGGTGATAGCGTATACGGGATAGCACTTTCGGCAGTGAATTAGATGGTAGGGTCAGGTACGTGGACAATTGGATTTTCCGTCAACCGTTAGAGTGATGTATGCGCTATCATGGTCAATTTGACATCCGGTGAAAGTGCACCAGCAGATTTCACACAAAGGCTCTGAATAATGTACGATGGATGCTGGATGAATGAATGGTTTGTCGCTAAGATCAACGGGTAAGCCGATGACGATGCCGATGCCAAGCCCGTTCAAGATAGTAAATGACCGAGATAACGGCATTACATGGGTTACGTAACACCGAACCGTCGGAAGAGGCATCAGAAGATAGTGAATGGCATAATACCCAAAGTGAGCCGTCAACGCAACGAGATGGTGCTTGCCGTTCATACGCATCGAGTGTACTGATCATACTTTGAACATGTCCCAACGGCAATATGATTGCGTCATCACGAACGGTGTCCTTGTATGTACCTATTTTACCGTTCACTTTCCAAACACGTGATAGCCTGGATCACTAATGGATCGTAATAACTCAGGTGACTGCGAACGAGGTTTTACCGATTGGTCTTGATATTGGCATCAAAGATGGCAAAATCGCTGCGCTTGGATTCAGTCTTGCAACGGGGCAAACCGACACCAAGGTGATAGATGCCGAGGGTGGCTACATCACTCCGGGTGGGATAGACTCGCATACACACATCCAACAGGACAATATGCCTACCGGAGACACGTGGGAAAGTGCCTCTCGGAGTGCTATTGCGGGTGGAACGACTACCGTGCTCGCTTTTGCTGGCCAGAAACGCCACGAAACCTCTGTGCTGGACGTCGTGCAGCAATATCATGCAAAGGCGGACGGCCAAGTATATTGTGACTATGGTTTTCACGTCGTTCTTACGAATCCCACGCAGGAGATTCTCCAGGATCAGATGCCAAAGTTGGTCAATGAGCAAGGTATCACGTCTGTCAAATTGTACATGACTTATGATCCGTACAAACTCGACGACGGGCAATTACTCGATGTCATGTTATGTTGCCGCAGCCTGGGGATAACGACCATGATACATGCGGAAAATTCAGACATGATTGCTATGGTGATCAAACGCCTCGAAGCAAAAGGGAACACAGATCCCTTCTTCCACTCCATCGCAAGGCCGCGCCTCGCAGAGGACGAGGCGTCCTATCGAGCCATATCGCTTGCCGAACTCGTCGATGCTCCCATTCTCCTGGTGCACATGTCTTCTGAATCGGCCGTTGAGCATGTCCGGGCTGCTCAAGCGCGACTCCTACCAGTCCACGCGGAGACATGTCCCCACTACCTGTTTCTTCTCTCCGAAGAGATCAAGCAATGCCACGATGGTGATCATTCCCACGGCACCAAGTTCATCTGCGCACCGCCTTTGCGCCATCATGCATCAGATCTTGAGGGCTTGTGGCGCGGTCTGGCCAACGGCGCATTTACCGTATGGTCTTCCGACCACGCTGCCACGAAGTATGATCACCCCCTGGGCAAGAAGGCGGGCATCGTGGACGGTGTCGTGAAATTCTCCAAAGTACCCAACGGGTTGCCAGGCCTCGAGACGAGGATGGCGCTATTATTCAACCAGTCGGAAGGATGTTTACCCCCCGAAAAAGCACGTATCACTCTGCCACAGTTTGTGAAACTCACAGCCAGCAATGCGGCCAAGTTGTACGGAATGGATCACATCAAGGGAACTTTGATGGTGGGATTTGATGCGGATTTAGTCATTTGGTACCCGCCCGGCGATTCAAGAGGCAACGTCACCATCAGCCAGGATAAGCTTCATCACGGCGTTGACTACACGCCTTTTGAAGGCATCTCTGTTCAAAACTGGCCTAGATATACGATCGTCAGAGGCAAGGTGGTGTGGCAGCATGATGGCGCAGGTATAGTGGGAGACAAGGGCTTTGGACAATTTTTGCGTCGCCACAAGGGAAAACTCGTGACGGGAAAGAAGGGCCTGCAAGGGAAAGGTATGATAGCAGGGGAGCGAGATCTGTGGCTGTGAATGGTACATAGCATAGTCATCGCATTGAATGCCACGGATTGTGACGATGAGGTGGACCCGAGGTTCAGTGGGTGGATCCAGCACTTGTGAATATTCGATTGTGGTGTTGTAGACTGTAGCGGGTACAGCCGTCCTCGGCCGACTAGATCGGTCCAGATAATGCGATGCGGTTAACCATGTGACCGGTCACTCGCTCGTCCCGTCTGCAATTCCCATTATATCCCAATCAACAACGGAACAAAGTCAACGGAAGGATACCACACGGCATCATAAACCCAATTGAAGTCGAAGAAATGGATGCGACTCTCCCAGACTTCCCTTCCGTCTCGGGCACTCAGCAAACTCCAATCTCCATCCTCTTGATCAATCCCAACTCATCCCCTCACATCACCAATGCCTGCCTCCAAAATATTTCAAGCAAGATTCCTCCCGGGGTAACAGTCTATGGCTTCACCGCAAGCCCGCCAGCTCCCAGTGCAATCGAAGGCCGCGTCGACGGCATCCTCTCCTCGGCCGAGTGCTTGCGCAGAATCGTGCCCATCAAGCACCGCTTCGACGCTTTCCTCGTCGCCTGCTTCAGCAACCACCCGCTTATTACGGCCCTCCGCGAAGAAGTCGAAGCGCCCGTTCTCGGCATCATGGAGTCAGCCCTCTACGCATCACGCATGTGCGGCAACAAGCTCGGCGTCATTACCACCAGCGAGCGATCCGAGATCCTGCACGCGCAGAACATCTTCGACGCCGGCTTCGCCAACTACTCGGCCGGGTGCGTGGCCTGCAAGATCTCGGTGCTTGACCTGGAAAACAAGCCGAGAGAAGAGGTGTTTGCGGGCGTGACGCGCGCGGCGAGGGAGCTGGTAGAGGGCAGAAAGGCGGATTGTCTGCTTCTCGGATGCGCAGGCATGACGGGTGCGAAGGAAGCCTGCGAAGACGCCGTCGGCACAAAGCAGAGGCAGGTCATGGTCGTGGATGGGGTGGCTGTTGGCGTGCAGTTTTTGATCGGGCTGGTGAGAGAGGGACTGGGAACGGCGAAGGGTGGGGCGTACCGGCCGGCCGAAGCGGGGCGGAAAGCGAGGGGGCAGGAGTGGTACTGAGGGAATGCGAACAGATTATTATGGATGTGTAGATAAGAACGGGACGTTGGTCTCTGGAGTTGTTCGGTTAGTTGTTCTCTCGATTGTGTCTCCATGTATCCATAGAAAAAGGTGCACCCGCTGCGTATCAAACCGCCTTGTCACGAGACATTTCAACTCTTTCAAGAAGATAGGAACATAGATCGCATCGACATGACCAAAATAGCTGTATACACTGGCTCAGCGCAAAGCCTCGGCCCATATACAGCCAGACTATCGTTGCTCATGGCTTTGTGTTTTGCTCTTCCCGATGACATTCTCTCCCAGTGAAACGTTCTGGTGGCATACCCCGATTGAGGTGCCATAGCTCCAAAAAAGTATGGCAGCACCTCTGACGAGTAATAGAAATGCCCCTTAGACTCCTGCTACATCCCCTTCACATAAGTCTTTGAGCGCCCAGTAGAGACATGATCGGTCTGAGACAGAGCTCACCGGACTCTTCTGCTAGCCAACCTTCTCTAGGCGACACTGCTTGTGTCACTTTCAGCCAACAGATTACCGATGCTTAAGCCCGCACTCGATACAGTTGCCCTCAACCTCGTGACTCTACAATGGCATAAATCGGCATTGAGCCTCCCGTACATGCAAGCTTTTCGCCTTATTGGCTTTGGGTGAGCTCTACTCGACGTCGGTTATATCGAATAGCGAGTCTAGTGCCTGCCAAATACCTGGGGTTGACTACTTCGTGATAGCCAGTCACCTACTTCAACATCTCTACGAGATCCTAACGATCACTCAAGTAGAAACTCTGACTTTATTTGCGAGTCATCCAGATACCTAACGCGTTCGATTTCGTCCTTCATTTCATCGGAGTCTCTACTCAAATACTCTCCACAGAATCAAGTCGGCGAACCATTAAGTTGGTATTGAGGTGCGACTTAGTATCTTCCTTGTACAGATAGGTGGACGATGTGGGCGGTTTGCAATTAGCTGATTAAGCTAGTTAGGTACGTGGGTTTGAAAAGCACCTACACTTGGAATTGCCCGCCAACAGACCGAAATCGGTATCTGCAGATGCTTAGCTTGACTCACATTTTATGCGGGAAATAGGATATTGTAAAAGCACGCCAGAGTATCTCTGGTGCAACGAGGTCGGCCTCAGACCGATCCCCGCACTTTATCTCGGCCGAAGATAACGGTCTTAATGCGGCTCAGGTATATGCTCTAGTCGGGTCCAAGGGAGGATCAACACCACAACACTGTCGGTTTCCCCATTTTTGCGACATCAGGGGAACATATGTGCACTGACTGTATCCAGTCGAGATAAGGACGCATGTGTCTGCATCTAACCCCAGTATTTGGTCTGTACACCGCACATGCTGCGAAATAGATAGGTTCTTTTCCGCTATCTTCGATCGGAAAAGATGATTAATCACTGAATAAATATCACAAGGCTGCCTGATCGAAGTGCGATGATTCAATATCGTGTTCATTACCTCGTCCATCCAGACACTCGCCTGATAGACTGTAACCCAACGCGACAGTCAGTTTCAATCCATTTTGTTTGCACCCATGTCTCAGACCGCAGGCGCAGTCAACGGCATCAAGACCAAGGATCATGAAGCCATCCAGACCCAAATCGCACCTGTCCACACTTTGCAGCACGGCGATGTGGAAAACCTGAAGCTCCCTGTCATGGACAAAGTGGACAAATTTGGTGCACACGCAAAGACAGATCCTCGAGAGATAAGACTGGTGAAGAAACTGGATTGTTACATTATGGTACGTCGCATAGCCGACTGCACATTGAATGAATGATTGATCGATTGATTAAACTGACTTGCTTGCTCAGCCTATTCTCTGGTTCATGTACACTTTCAATTACCTCGACCGCAATGCCATTGTCAACGCGAGACTCAACAACCTCGAGGCAGACCTTGGCTTAAAGGGAACGCAGTACAACACCTGCGTGTCCATCCTGTTTGTCGGATACATGTAAGATGCGGTCCCCCGCTCATCAAATCATGTATGCAGAGCGCTGACACATTCCCAAACTCAGAGCCGCACAAGTTCCGTGCAATATGTTGCTGAACAGGTTCCGAATTTCCCTTGTTATGGCTGGTTTTGCTTTTGCCTGGTCGCTTGTTAGCCTTTTGACATTCTTAGCCCACAACTACAGCAGCATGATGGTTCTTCGATTCATTCTCGGCATCGTCGAGGCTCCGGTAGCTCTTCACTCCCGTTTTTCGTGGGCGAGGCTAATGCAGCTAACGTTTCTGAATTAGTTTTACCCGGGAGCACTCTACATCATTAGTCTGTTCTACACTCGCAAAGAGATCGCTCTAAGGCTCGCTATCTTGACCACTGGCAATAATTTCTCCGGTTCTTTCGCGGGCCTAATCGCAGCCGGTGTCTTTCAACTGGACAAGAAGCTTGGATTGACTGGCTGGCAATGGTATGCACGAATGAGATTGCCTCAAAGTTGAAAATCTGGCGACTGACACATTGGCAGGCTGTTTATAATCCAAGGTGCCTTTTCGGCACTAACCGCGCTGATGGCCTTTTGGTTTCTACCTGATGACCCCCTGACCACCAAATGGTTAACCGAAGAAGAGAGGTTACTTGCCCATAATCGAATCCTCATCGACACGGTCGACGTCCAAGAGAGCACAAGTGTCTGGTCTGGTCTCCGGGACGCGGCCACTGATTGGCGTACCTGGGCGATGACCCTAATGTACAACCTGCATGTTTCCTCGCTTGGATTCCAAAACTTCATCCCAACAGTCATGTTGGGCCTCGGTTATAGCAAAACCGTTACACTAGCTCTGACATGCCCGCCCTTCTTCCTTGCTGCCATAGTAGGACTTATCATCGCCTGGACGTCGGGTCGCTGGAACGAACGTACCTGGCATATTGTCATATGTAAAAGCATCGTTATCATCGGATTTATAATTCCTCTCACTACCAGCAACTTTGCCGCGCGTCTATTCAGCATCTTCCTCTTTGTGGGATTCAGTTTCGGCATCAACAATATCCTGTTGGGGTGGAGCAGCACGACGCTTGGTCAGACCAACGAGAAAAAGTCGGTGGCCCTAGCCATCATTAATATGCTGGGCAATATATCGAACGTTTACACCCCTTACTTGTGGCCGTCTTCGGATTCGCCGCATTACAAGACTGCATGGTATGCGAGTATCAGTTTCGCGGTGGGTGTGATTGTCGTTGCACTGTTTATGAAGTACTCTCTCAAAGCTCGAAACAAGAAGATGAGTATGAACAACGCGGAGGTGAAGAATTTCTTTGTGTATTAGCATGATGACGTTGAAAGACTTATGTTCGCCGAACGCGAGTTGGGGATTTCCAAAGTAAGAAGCGAACCATGCGCATGTTTTAGAAAACCAAATAGCCTAAACACTTTGTCTCACGTATGAACTTACCATTGAGCGACGCAATTGGACATGTGACACAATCAATCTTGCTATCTCAACATTCTCCTGATATCCCCGCTGCTGCTGAGGACAGGAAAGATAGTTCGATGTGGAAGCATGGAGACTGATAGTCACTTACTCGCGCCCGTCGCTCTGCTTCCACGATAAAGCAGTTAGACTAAGTCCGTCGCGATGAGGCTCGGGCTGGGATTGTGAGTCGAGCTTGAATGTATGTCTAGAAAATGGTCTGATGGATGTCCCGGAGCTGGGGTACGCAATTGATCCTGTACTATCCTGGCAAATGATCTTGATCCCAACTAATCGTGTTAAACTGCCTGATCAATACGAACCTAATAGTATACCTGGCCTATGCATCACCAAAGTAGGGGTAACAGTCATATGAAAAGAACTTCAGGCGGAAAGATAGTGGCAGCATAGTATATAGCAAATTCCACGTTGCGCATAGTTGACCTGATCAAGTCAAACCCACGCCGATTAGCTCATCTACGTGCCATGCTCCTGCACAACTTCCGCTATCGCATCCGCGATACACTTGACGTTTCCCTCATTCGCACCGCTCAAACTTACCCTCCCGTTAGACATGAGATAGATGTGATGCTTGTCTCTCAGACGCTGTACTTGATCCTTACTCAAGCCCGTAAAACTGAACATCCCGATCTGACTAGTTAGATGAGTCCAATCCCCAACGTTTTCGTGCTTTTCAATCTCTTGCTTCAACATCGATCGAACTCCTTTGATGCGCCCTGCCATTTTCCGCAAATCTTCGTACCAGACAGCCCGTATCGTTGGGTTGGAAAGAACAGTGTAAACCAACCGACACCCGTATAAAGGAGGATTCGAAATCTCGGCCCTTACAAGCCGCAGCAGCTGGCTATAGGGCCCAGTGGACGGTGTGTCTTGCGGCAATACCAGGTGAAAAGCACCCACGCGTTCCCCATAGAGTCCCATGTTCTTGGCAAATGACTGCGCAATGCACATGCCTTGGGGAGTGTTCCCAGGTCCATCTTCGAAGAGAACTTCGTGGAAGTGTCGTACAGCCCAAGCATCCTCCTCTGGGTCTCCTGTCGCAAAACCCTGGTATGCGGAGTCGAAGAACGGGAATAGTTTCTTTCGCTTGAACACTTGCGCCAGACTGCGCCATTGATCTCTTGTTGGGTCTATTCCCGTTGGGTTATGAGCACAGGCGTGAAGTATCACGACATCCCCTTCGGTGGCGGCGTTCTCCAGCATCGATGTCATACCTTCAAAGTTGAGTGCGCGTGTTTGCGCATCGTAATAAGGGTATTTCTCCTGTATGACGTGTGGGGCTGCCGTCTGCCAGATGAGGAAATGGTTTCCCCAAGTCGGATCCGATATGAATACATTTCGCGGTCTAAGTTGTTGTGCTAGGAACAGAGCTCCAAGGTGGTTTGCACCAGTACCCGATATTGTTTGAATCGATAGTACGTGGCTGTTAGAGGTATTATAGTTCCCTAGAACGAGCTCCCTTGCGACTTTAAGGAACGGGTCGAAGCCAGCGATGGGCAGGTATTCATGGTTGTTCAGATCCAGCGACCTTTCGACGACTGATTTGGCCTACGATATGATTAGATGTGTCTCCAAGCCCAGCGCAGGCACGTCCAAAATCTCAGCGTTACCATTTTGATGCTCGGAAGAATCCATGGCTCGGAGTTTTCGTCACGATACACCCCCGCACCCAGACTGACTTTCTCAGGTGTAGGGTCGGATTGGAAATCCAAAGTGATGGCAAAAGCCTCATCCCTTGGCAATATTGGAGCATCAGCGATTCTGGCTGCCATTGGAGTCTGGCCACTCGATTTAGCGCGAGTAAACTGGAACAGCAATTGAAATTTTTTGGGGACACAGCGCAACGCACCCGACGCATTTATTGTAGTCTTATCGTGTGATTCTATAATACCAAGTGTTTGTGCCTCATTGATATATGCGATGATCACATGATAGATCTAGCATGCATCGTAGGCCTGGTTTATTTACGGTGGTTAGCTCGGAACAACAAGTCTCGGCCGAGCCGACCCTGATAAACGATAAGAACCGTTGGCAAACATTGCTAACATGAATGCGCGTTTCGTTGCTCGTTTCGGATTCTGTGACTCATCATGTAACGAGGTCTGTCTTATCATGTCTGGAAATGTACCATCTTAGATTACTCAAAGTATTCATTGCACGATGTAGACAGACCTTGGTTCAAGTTTTAGAAGCTTGAGCGTTACGCGTTTCTACACCGTTACACACTCTTTCGAACCAGAAATGTCTATCTCCTCATTATCTCAATAAGCGCTCAATCAAGGTCGAATCTGGTCTTTAGAAACACTTCTTATTCAAACCTTACGGGCGCGGACAATACGCCCCAAACAAAACTGATTCTCCAATATCTTGCGAGGCTGGACAGATGCGAGTGTCGCAAAGGGCGTACGCTTCAGCAGCAATGACATTTTATGCTACTTCGCTTGACAATTTGCCGCAGTGTTAAGTAAACGGGTCCAGAAGGTTAGCAACGTTTCAACATGAATGAGTTGCTCGAGGAGTGTCATTAGCATGCCCTTCCCGCTCTGACCGTACTTGAGATAGCCAGAGTAGGAAGGCACATCTGTAGCAAAAAGCTCAAAGACAAAATGGCTCTAATGACCCCTAGCTAATTGACCCTCGGTAGGATCTCCGAAGAGGACCCTTCCCAGGTTCATGTCGTTGGCTGCAAGCATGCCTGGGACATCTTTTTCCTCTCTAATAACGAACAAAAGCGCCAACTATATTTCAAGGCGGACGATAGCATTAAAGTAGCAGCAAAGATCCCTGGTAGTAACATTTGTGCGCCTAATTTTATAATTATAGATCTACTATAAATGAAGAGATATTCCAAATCGCCACGTACAAGTTTCTCTAAAGAAATCTAAGAGCCAATCTTGAAAAATCAAGACTTTTAACTAGAATACATACCTATTTCTTATGAACAATATTTGATAAATTGGCAACAACTTGTGATGATGTTTCAAAATTCACTTCTTTCATCATCAAATGAAAAAGAGGACTGATATTGAAATGGCTTAAGCTCAGTATACTTTAGTATGACTTGTCGTCAATTCCCCTTTAAATGTGAATATATGAATATTTAGGTTGTATATAATCACATATCTGTAGTCAGGAAGAGGAATGACTAAGAATCTGTTATGTAAAGTACAAGTGATGGAATAGGCCTAAAAAAGCAGCTTTTAGAACATGCTTACGTGCGCCAGGTATAAATACAGCCATGCTGCTATTCGAGAACCTGTATTCCTTCCCTACAAAAGCCCTATACTTGTACAAATAGTTGATTATGGCTAGCAGCAAGCAGCAAGTATGAACTACAGATAAGAAGAATCCGGCTTCCAAGGAATCACTACTAACACTGTGACAGACACTTCTTTTGCAGAACGCGCGCGAGATACAGAAGCAGACAGAAGAGCTCGTGAAATACCTCGAGCAAAAGGGCGTAGACGAGCTCAACTTCGATGCTAACTCGCCGCTACCTCCCGCTGATGATGAATATGACGCGTTGAGATACAAGGTTGTGCAATCAGCTGAGGACCTGATCAAGCTCGCAAAAGGTCCTTTGCAATGGGTCCGAACCTTCATCTGCTCCCAGCACGATCTCGGTGCGTGGCAGATTGCCCTCCGCTTCAATCTGTTCACGAGCGTGCCACTCGATGCCCCCATCTCTGTCAGCGAGGTGGCCGCCACGGTTAAAGTGGATAAAGACCGAATTGGGCATGTGCTCAAGCATCTAGCGTCTCAACGGTGCTTCCACGAGGTGGAGGAAGACGTCTTCGCGCACACGGCCATGTCCGCGTTTATCGCGAAGAGCAGCGACATCCGCGCAACGCTCGCCTTTCAGTGAGTGCTCCACCTTTTGCTCGGCACCGGGGACTTACGCAGCCAGGGCGGATGAGATGTTCGAGGCAGCATCCTTGATGGCCGCTGCAATTGAGAAGGCCCCGGAAAGTCTGGACGTCGCTCAGAGCGCTTTCCAGCTCCGATTCGGTATGACGCCGTACGAGTGGTATGCAGCCAACCCCGAGCGGGGGTCTCGCTTCGCGGCCGCAATGGCTGGCTATGGCCAAAGTAAACTTGACCCACTCAGATATGTATAGGGCTTATCATGCTGACCATCGGGAAAAGTGAACCGGGATACCACGACGCTGCGCGACAGTTACCCCTGGGCAGACCTCGGGGATGCTACAGTGGTGGACGTTGGCGGGGGCAGTGGCCACGTCTCTCTGTACCTAGCTCAGGTGGGTCACGTTGCATTCCTACATATGTACATCATGTACATCCATGCCTAGTGCAATCATACGCTGACATGCCATCGCCGTACAGCAATTCCCGCGCCTGCAGTTCATTGTTCAAGATTACAATACCGTCATGCTGGAGCAGGGCCCCAAGCGGCCCGATTTCGAATCGGTCAAGACGCGTATGTCGTTCATGAAGTATGACTTTTACGAACCACAGCCGATCCACAACGCGAACCTCTTCTTCATGCGCCAAATCATCCACAATTACAGCGACGACAAGAGCGTGCGCATTCTCAAGTCTTTTGTGCCCGCATTGGAAAAATGCGCGGCCGGAACACCCTTGTTGATCAACGACATGATTCTTCCGGCCCCCAACTCGAAGCTAAAAGCCGAAGAGCACCACCTCCGTCAAATCGACATGGCCATGCTTGGCGGCTACTCGGCTAAGCAGCGATCCCTCAAAGAATGGGCCAAGCTCCTGGAGACGGCGGATGCACGTCTTAAAATCGTAAAGGTACACGGCGAGGGGATTTTAGGCCTGATGGAAGTACAGCTAGTGCGATGAGTCTGCTTTTCTCAACCTGACGGGAGAAAAGCGCATTGATAATCATAGAGTATTAAAGAATAAATCAAAGTGCTCATAAGGGTCGACAATGTGACCGTACATCCATGGGCTGCAGCCTTGAGAATTCTAGTGATTCGTACGTCTTTCTCGTTCAAAACAAGTGCAGGTTTTCGACATGTACCAGATCTTATCCGCACTCAATCGCATTCTGTGAATGTCAATTCTCTCACGAGATTACATGGTCATCAATATATATGTCACGAAGGAGCAGGGAAGGTTTTGGATGAAATTGCCTCTGGGGGCTATCACGACAGCATGCCATGCATGAACCGCAAGGCATCAACCTAGTTAGCATATATATATCTATTTCTAACCATTCTGCCATCTATTCAAAGCGTTTCCCTCGCGTGCCACAAGGAATGAAGGAGCAAACAGAACTTCCCCGAGCTTAACCTTCCAGTAACGTCTCCTCCAATATCTTAGCCAACTTCTGCACAGTGATACCTTTGTTCATCAACTCAACGAAACTGATGTTTAGCTTAAAAGACTTGAACAGCCAGTTCCTCAGCTCAGCAGTGATCATGCTATCAATCCCGTAGTCCGCAATCTCACGAGTGATGTCAAATTCCGACTGTGGAATGTACAGGAGTGTGGCAAGACGATCAGTCACTACATCGACAGCGTGTTCGTGCAGCTGCTGCATATCGCCGTCTGACGCCTTTTCTGTGGATCTAATCTTCGTGGCTAGAGAGAAAAGATTGGCCAGCGTGGGAACTGTGTCACCGGCAAGATTGGAGTGTAAGGCTGTCTGCTGCTGTAGTTGGTGGGTTTGGATAGCCTGAATAAGGCGTCCAAAGCGGGGGTCGTGAGACCAGGGAAACTCGGCGTTTACATTCGTCTTGTCGAGGTTGTAGATCTTGCTAGGCTCGAGACCAACGAGGAGATGCGCGTCCGCTAAGGGATCAAGAGGTGAATCTAGCATCCCAGATGATTTGAACGCGATATCGAGGAAGTTGACGAGCTCCGGCGTGTTTGTTCCGTAGATGCCGTTGCGGGTCAATGAGCGCTGAATCTCCTCACGGCTACTTGCAAATCCGGCGTCTGTTATCATACCCATGGCAAAGGACTGTGCTGGGAGCCCTTGAGCTCTACGGAAGCGAGCGAATGCGTCCTGGAAAGTATTGGCGGCGCTGTAGGAGGCTTGGGTAGCAGTGCCGAGGATTGGAACTATGGAGCTGGTCATGGTGAAGAAATCAAGCGGCTGTTTGAGTGTAGCTTCGTGGAGATTGACTGTTCCGTTCACTTTGGGGTCCAGGACCCTTCTTAACCTGGAGTATTCAAGGTCGTGGAAGCTAACATCTTCGAAGACTGCTGCAGCATGAATGACGCCTTTGATCGGCCTTGTGTTGCAAACTTCTGTGATTGCGGCCTCGACATCTTCTCTCACTGTGACGTCGCATTTTCTCACCACCACTTCAACGCCATGCGCTTCCATACTTTGGAGCAGGTGCTTGGCTTGTGGAGTATCCGCTCCAGAGCGAGTAAGGTGGACAAAGTGTTTCGCACCACGCTCGACCATCCATTTGTTTATGGAATGACCGAGGCCAGCCACGCATCCAACTAGGACATACGCTGCCTCCGGATCGAACGCTGCACGGGGCGAAGAAGGCAACAGTGAGACGAGTGTATCGGGATTCTTGTAGGTGACAACAATTTTTCCAATGTGTTCGCCCTTTGCCATATACATCATAGCTTTCTGCAGCTCGGAAACGTCAAAACTCGTGATTCGATCTATAGGCTGGACGACACCTTGTCGATATAGGTCAACGACTTCGGCCATTAAACTGAACGGTCATCAGCATCCTGGAATCTCTTTGGGTGGCTCTTTTTTGAAATCTTACCTGGCGCCCAACTTCGGCTTCTGCTGAGACAAAAGGGAAACATCAAACGACGAGAAAGTCGCATTCCTCTTGAAAATTTCCAACGGAAGCTTCTCGTGACCCAAAACATCCAACCGCCCCACTTCGATGAATCTCCCGAGAGGGGCGATACATCTCCAGAACTCTTGCATTTGATCACCCGCTGTGGAACAGATGATCACGTCAATACCTTCGCCCTTTGTCGCGTTCCAGATGAGTGTCGGTGTGTCAAGCGCTCTTGACGAGAAAATCCGATTTGGAGAAATTCCAAATTTGTCTTGGAGAAACTGTGACTTTTCAGGATTTCCGACTGTAACATAGATGTCGGCACCAAAATGCTGAGCTATCCGCAGCGCCGCAAGACCCAGCGCACCTGCCGCAGACTGGATAAGCACAGTTTCACCTTTCTGTAGGCGCGCCAGGTTCCGAAGTGCGTACAAAGCTGTCATATAACTGATGGGCAAAGATGCCAAATCGACAGGATTGTCAGTCGGCTCCATGCGTTGTTGGTAAATCGCCGGACAGCGTATGAAATTGCCATAGTTCCCTAGCCCAAAGCCACATACACGGTCGCCGATCTGAAGGTGATCGACCTGCGATCCAATCTTGCTCACGACACCGCAGCAGGCGATGCTGTAGTGGCTGGAATCGAATTTTGCGGTCACCGAGGCAAGATCTGTCATGTTGATATCAATAGCCTCGGATCTGATCTCCACCCAGTCGGCAGGAAGTGGCCGCAGCATATCCCAATCCGTCTTAAAATGCAGGGAACTCAGAAGACCTGGGCGTGTCGTGGTGAGTTTAACGGGACCGGCGGAACCTAGTCGGGTCATTGTGGCTTCAGTATCCAAACCTTCTTGGACCCTGTACCGCTTGTTTGCTTCCACATCCGGGTCAACCCTGCTGATATGAATACAGTCGCCCTGGTAGATTTCATAGTCATCGGTGCGAGTGTGGTCTTTATCGCGGTACAACTTGTTCTCGCGTATGACAACCAGATCCGCATGTTTGGAGGAGTTCTCAAACTCTGCGTCAAAACCCAGTAATGAGACCTTCAACTGGGGCATTTCTCGGATAATTGGGCGCATCAGTCCTGTGGCGATTCCGATGGAAGAACTGGTTGGTTGAAGGGTACTCTCGAGGAACACCCAGAGTATGGACACAGCTTTGGAAAACAAGATTTTCATGTTGTCAACGAAAACTTCGTCGAGCATTGTGCCTCGGCTCTCAATATCTGCCAGACATATAAAGCGCGAGCCACTGCAGGATTTGATTTCCGAAAGTTTGACGAAAGAGTAGACCACAGCATCTTGGGCTAGCTTTAGAGCAACGGATTGAGCGAATGGCGTCGGTTCGGCATATGTGACAATAACGACCTCTGGTTCGTTGGAAGTCTGGGGTGGGGTGTCGATATCCCCAGTCGCTGAAGAGAGCATGACTGACACAGCATCCTCTCCTGAGTTCTCATCTCCGAGCACCATATCAATACCCGAGAAGCCATTCTCGACCAGCTCCTTATGCCAGCGCTGTCGTTCTACAAGAGGACCTTCTGGGCGATTATCGGCAGCACCATTCCAGTAATACGGGAAAGTGCCAAACACAACCGTAGAGATTGGATGGGTGTTCGTGAACTCCAGAAGCAGAAGTTTGCCTCCGGGCTTCAGAAGTTTTCGCACGTTTTGGAGAGCGCGTGAAAGACTGGTAGTTGCATGCAAAACCTGGGCCGCAATCACCAAGTCGTATTCACCTTCGAACCCTTGTTCCAGCGGATCTGTTTCGATGTTCAGGACCGAGAATTTTGTTCCAGCATTCGCTGAGAATCTCTGCTCCGCAGCAGATACGAAGGTGGGCGCTTGGTCCGTGAACATGAATTTCTCATAACGCTGAAACGGACTGCCGGCCCCAAGTGTATCGAGGATCCGCGCCGTGGCACCGCCAGTGCCTCCTCCAAGTTCCAGTATGTTCATCCTTGGTGTTTTGTGGGCAATCAAATCTACCAGATTTTGCAGCAAGGGATATGCTGCCGTGACACCGTAGCTTGACTTGTATAGATCTGTGAGGAGGTCGTTTTGGAGCGCAAGTTCTAATCCGGTGGTCTGCCCTGACAATATTGAAGACATATTTTCAAATACTCGTCGGATCATCTTTGTTTCTACGAGTCCTTCGAGATCGCCAAAGAGCGAATCGATTGTTTGGGATCGTACAGCGGGGGAGGCGCTGAGAGCTTCGAGACCAAAGGGTACTTTACCCTCCTCTACGAGAGAGTAACGACCATGTATCCATTGCATAAACGTCTTCAAATGGTTCTGGTCTTCCGGTATTGGAGCATGTTGGAATTTCGACCATATTTCAACCAGAGTGTTCGCGAATAGCTTGTCGAACTTCTCGATTCTTTGAGCGCTTTCTGTGGTTTCGGAAGGTTGTTGAAATAGCTCTCGTGCTTTCTCATTGCTCATCATATCGATATCCGGCTTCCACAAAAGTCTGCTGAATGGATATTGTGGTCTCCCTTCTTCCTCTGGCGACGAGAATGGTTTTCCGTCGTACGAAATTCCTCTGAACAGATCCATGTCCATGAGAACTTGACCAGACGAGGTTCGGAGTAGTATGCGCGAATACATTCCTCGACTGCCACGCATCTCGGCCTCGGCCGTAGCCTTTCCCGCACCAGTGATGTCCGCTCCTCGTCTATTCCAGATGGTGATCCCATCAAACATGACGGGAATGTATGCTCGTTTTGCTTTCTCGGATTTTCCACTGAAAGCGGCAATATTCGCGAGCTGGAGGCAATTATCAAGACTAGCTGGATGAAGCCAGTATGAAGACTCTGCTTTCAAGGCAGCACTTTCCGTTGGTACGAGATTTACATCGGCGGAAGCGCGGTTGCGAGCGGTTTTCAGATTTGAAAGCGCGCGGAAGCAGGGGCCGTACTCGAGACCCATGGCTTTAAAGCTCGAATACCATTCTGGCATGTCATTTGCTTTATAACCGTCCTCGCTGATAAGATTTCGCGTGTGCTCATCATGGGAAGTCTCTATCTTGATGGTTCCCGTGCAGTGTTCGACCCATGCTCCAGTTTCCGTGCTCAGCGAGGTGATGCGGAAATCGATCCACGTATTCTTCTGGGCGTGTTTTTGCGCGTTCAGAACAACCTCTGTTCCAGTTTCTGTGTCGGGCACCTCGAGCGTCGAGCTGACCTTGACATTACGAATGGTAAACCCCGCAATAGGGGGCGCATCAACACCATCGTTGTGGCACTGAGCAGCTGCCTCGATCGCCATGGCCAGAAATCCCGCGGCGGGAAATATCGCCTGTGGAGTAAGCCTGTGGTCAGCCAACCAGGGAACATCTCGTATGCGGAAGATGTTACGCCATGATGGATTGAGCGGTGTGCTTCCTATATCGCGAGCCCCGAGCAGGTCATGTCGAGGGTTCTTGCGCAGCCTCCATTCCTTGTTGAGTCTGTTTTCGTGGAAGAGAATAGGTCCGTAGTTATATTCATAATTGGGTAGGCTGACACATGGTATACGTTGTTGTGCCGTTAGTGTGCCCTTTGGATTATTCAATGCGTCAATCTGGACTGACGCTCCATGGATGAACAGATTTCCACCAAGTTGGAGAATGCTTGAGAGAGCGTCTTCGCCCCGTTTCAACGTGCCCAAGTATGGGGGTGTGCTTTTCCCACGAGCCTTGACCACCTGCATAGTTTGTTTTACCGGCCCCGCTAATGCCGCATGTGGACCGACCTCCAGTAAAAGGTCCAGCGGGTCTTCGGTGTACTGCTCCATCAGTCTTTCTATGGCAGGTCCGAAGGACACTCTCGATTCAAGATTCTGTCTCCAGTATGACGGTCCTACATTCATCTCATTCGTGTTGGCTTCAGGCGTCACCGAAGAAACCCAAGTCGCGCGTGCCCCACCCTTGACTGAGCCGCCCTCCGACTTTGGAATTTCTCCTAGAGCTTTCCTTGCTTCGTGCTCGTACATGCCGCCTAGTTCTTTCATATGATGCGAGTGATAAGCGTTTCCTCCAGTCTTCAAGACCCGATTGAAAATGCTGTCTTGCTGCATATGTTCCGAAATGCGCAAGATAGCCGCAGTTTCGCCCGAAAGTGTTACACTGTCTGGTGAATTGATTGCGGCAATTGTGACTTCCTCTTCCAGACCAACCATGTACGGTTTAACTCCATCAACGCCCAGGCCTACGGCCAGCATAGTGCCCTGTCTTTCATTCTTGCTCACTGCATATCCTCTGCAATACGCCATGACGATGGCTGCAGACGCAGTCAAGTGTCCCGCAGCATATGCCGCGGCGATCTCGCCAGACGAATGACCAACGGTAGCTGTGGGATGGACTCCGCATGAAGACAGCAACTCCACCAAGGCAATCTGCAAAGCGGTACAGACAGTTTGTGATACCATGGGTTCGTGTATGGTCTGAGCGATCTTATCATCCATGAGCACATCTTCGATGCGAAACGACGGACGATTCGATAATCCAGCGAGAATCTTATCTTGGTATCGTATTGATTCAAGGAATTGAGGGTAATGTGAAAAGAGCTCTCGGCCCATGGAGGGCCACTGTGCACCTTGTCCGGTGAAAACGAACGCCATGCGATTCCTCGGATTGGGTGGACATTTCGCCGGAGTAATGGCCGCGGATGTCAGCGAAGAAGAAAGGCAATCTGCATCTGCTACAACGAATGTACGTTGTAAAAATTTCGTTCTTCGGGTCGCGAGTGTTTGTGCTAGGTGCATTGGTTCATAGTCGTTTGCTGCAGAACCAATGGAATGTACCATAGCACTGAGAGCCTTTTCGTCGTTTGCAGAGAAGGGAAGTAGAAGTAACCTTTGCTTCGGAATGCCATTCACGTTCTCTTTTTCAGACGGGACAGTCGAGCCGTTGGTGAGGGAGCGAGGAACTGAGGCTGGTGTTCTTTTCATACCATATCCTGGTATTATACTGTTCACATGCTCCAAGATAACATGGGCTTTTCAATGATCAGTAAGCAGGCAACTGACACGAATATGAATCGATGGCTTACCGTTCGCTCCACCATAGCCAAAGCTGTTAACCGATGCTCTTCGAATCGGCAGCGACGGCCAGGGAGTCATTTGCTCGACGACTTTTGTTCTAGATTTCTTGAAATCAATCGTGGGGTTAAATTTGGTGATGCCTCTGGTCGGGGGGATCTCGCCGCGTTCAAGGGCCATAACAACTTTCATGATACTGGCGACCGCACTGGCTGGTTCGCTGTGGCCAAGGTTTGGTTTTATGGATCCGATCAACAACGGGTTGGCATCATCTCTAGATTGTGAAAACACTCTTCCTATCGCAGCCACTTCGATGGGGTCGCCTACGGGTGTGCCCGTCCCGTGCGCCTCGAAGTAGCCAGTCAAGGCCGGATCGAGCCCACCCGCGTTTTTGTAGGCCTGCCGTATGACGTTCTCCTGCCCACTCGCACTAGGGTAGGAGATTCCCTGAGATTCGCCATTGCTGAGGGAGAAATCAGTGATGCCGCGCACGTTCAAAAATGGATAGACTTACGCATTAATAGCTGTTCCCCTAATGACTGCTCTGATAGGATAGGATCCTTCCACGGCGCGGCTTAGAGGCATTACATACAAGGCACCAATACCTTCGGCTCTCGCATAGCCGTCGGCAGAAGCATCAAACGTATGGCACACGGATGTCGGCGAGAGAGCTCCAAGCTTCGCGATGAGCATCTGTGGACCTGGATCGGATATCAGATTGCTTCCCGCAACTATTGCTGCATCGCAGTCGCCATTTCGAAGTCCCGACACAGCCATGTGGAGGGCATATAGCGCGGAGGAGCATGCAGTATCGAGGGTAAGACTGGAAACGATGAGCGCATGCACGGGTCTATGGGTAAGAAGCCGGCATACCTGGGGCCTTTCAGGTTGAAGACATAGTTGATTCGGTTGCTATGTATCGCAATGTCACCTCCTGTAGTGTCATACGGCATCAAGTTGTCAGGATCGCGGAACTGCATGTTCTGATGATCCGACATGAAGTTGCCCACGAAAACACCTGTACGCGACCCCGAAAACTTGTGCCAAGGCTCGCCCGCGTTCTGAAAGGCTTCAAAGGTGACTTCCAATAGCTTTCGTTGCGCGGGGTCCATACTTCTCGCCTCAAGGGCATTGATCTTAAAAAGGCCATTGTCGAAGAGTCGTGGGTCTTCTTCAAGGAAACAACCTCCGCGCATGGGAAAACCTCCGGGCTGGCCTTGCTTGGGATGATAGAAACCTTCAACATTGATGCGCTCCTTGATAAATTCCGAGTAGCCGTGTTGCTTCTCACTGAGAAGTTTCCAGAGTTGCGATTCATTGTGTACACCGCCCGGCCACCGGCAGCCTACAAGCATCAAACATGTCAGTCAAGCTACGAATTCGGCAGTGCATGATTACACACCCATTCCCACTATGGCAATTGGCTCTGGGCATTTGGACGGCTCTGGCTCTGACGAAGTATTGGCTTCCATAGTAAATGGGCACGGGGTAGACGTGCGAAGCCTCTCGAGTGGCAATTGTATTGTAGGGCACAATAAGTCGAGGCTTCGAACAGTTCAAGACGCAGATATCAAAGGGTCCAAACTTGCAGTGCCTAGCTCGATATCGGGCATACAATATTTTCAAACGGGCTACGTGGGCTACGTGAGCTACGTGGGCTACATGGGGTGGCTCTACACCGATTGCGGTATATACATCGATACCTCGCGCTGATTGACTGCGGAGAGTAATAACCTTAGTACGCTCTAAGGACGTATTGCTGTCCAGCTCCGAAACTCTGTACCGGCTAGCAGGGGTGTTTCCCTCATGGAGAGAATGTACAAACGATCTGTAGTTAGCTGCCCCGCAAGCCCATCAACGAGACTTTTACTACGAGCAGAAGAACGCGAGTACTCATATCTTGCCTCATTAGTGCTATGTCTTGTCTGGAGTGACACATTCCGTTTTTAGTGAGGCCCGAAATGAGTACCCAGTGGGGAAGCTTGCAGTCGAAGGGTGGCTGTGAAGGATCGGGATCTGCACATGTAATCTGATGGCTTACTCGGGAAATTCCAGTGCCGCGTAAGAAAGGTAAGGGCTCGTATCCGATTATCTATCGTATGCACTATGTGGCATGTGCTGTGCCATGCTATGCTATGATATGCTACGCACAAGTGACAGACCCGATATAAGGCCAGCCACTAAAGACAAAATGAGTAGTCGTCTTATGTAAGACTGTTGCCAAGACGCCTCAACCGACGCGCCGTGCCGGGGCTAGCGCGTCCGCTGATTGGCTGTACGGACACCGACGATATACACATTATGTATGCATTGAATGAGACACGCGCTTGGGGGGACCCGTTTGTCTGTTCATGTCCGGCACCTGCATCAAAAACCTACTGGGATGTAAATTGGACACCGCGCATATCCCCTGACTTTTTGGGACCCCGGTACGACCCTTATCGCACGGCCAGGTCCGTGACAATACCGAGAAGCTCCCATTTTTCCTTCGGTGCGTAGCATCGTAAGCGCTATGCCACCCATCGAAAGATGCCACCAAGCTGGCTCCACCCCATCGATCCAGTTCGTGCGAGTCATGAAGTGCTGGAGAAGATTTTCCAGAAGGATCATCACATGCTTTTATCGTGTTCGATGACACTAATCACATCAGATTCGGTATTGGGGTTCAAGTTCGCGTGCAGTGTTCGACCTATACATTTTTTGATATACACTCATCCTCGTACCTAAATCCACGCCAGGTCATATAGTACACAGATAGCAGCCTTCTAAAAAAAAAATCCCAAAAAGAAAAATGTAAAAAATGACATCATCCCGCGCTTCGTTCATCGATGCTTTGGCTGCGTATCCACAGTGTAACCCGTCGTTACCTTGATGCCATCCCCCATATGCCCCGCATGCCCTGAAGGGTTGTCGATAAGTGGATATTCTCCATCCCCAAGCCGCTCAAAGTCATTCTTGCCACTGCGGGTACTGGTGTTGCTGATGTTCTTTCCAAATGACCGTTTGAACGTACTTCCGCCACTGCCACCGCGGGTGCTCCAGTTCATCACCCTGTTCCGGGTGTAGTGTGCGACAAGCGCGGGGATGATGGGTAGACTGGCGCAAATGATGCCGAGCATGGGCTCCAGACCGCCGAAGATGGCAAACATCCAAATTGTCTCTGTGAAGTCCTCCTCTTTGATGACGAGTACGTATTTGATGCGGACGCCGGCGATGAGGCAAATACCCAATCCTAGTCCGAAGACGAACATGGCACCGAGTTTCTTTTTAGTCGACGTCTGCAGTCTCCAGAGGAGCACCATCGGCAGCGCAAACACAACGATGTCCTCGGCTGTGATGATCAAACTCGGAATCAGGTATGTGAGCGGCAGCGAACCGCAAGTTCCGTTGAGGGTCTTATCCCAGAAAAATGGGAGCGGGCGGCACAGCACTAGGATTTGTATGATGAAGACGACTGTGCTAGTGACACAGACGCCCATTACGACGTACACTATCTTCCGGAACCGGCTACTTGTGACGCCGAAAATGCTCAGATACAGCGAGAGGATAGAGACCTTGATGATCAGGGTCGAAGAATTCCTGTTCCGCGTCAGTCGCGAACATCGTTTTGGCAAGTCTATGACTCGCGACAAAGGGAAACATACCACAATATGTCGGCGGCGAGCACCAGTTTCCCTGCCGCGTGAATTCTCGGCATTCCCCCATAGTTCGTAATGAGATCTGTGACGTGTAGCCCAACCCCACCGTACATCACCAGAGCAGTGATATCCGCATACATTGCAGCCGTAGATACCTATTCATTGTGAGCATCGTGTCTTGCGTCTATCCAACCAAGGGCCCACTGAGTGGTGCAGCCTTGTGCGCGACCTCACTTACCAGCGCTGCTAGCAACGCCCAGTCATTGAACTGCAGCCTCTGCTTTTTCAGGTGGCGGGCCCAAACTCTTGCGGCGACGAAGAAGATATCCAGCGCCATGAATACAGATAAGATGATGACGACCTTGCGGCCCTTCTCGTTCTGAGAAAGAGGGACGCCCTCCATGTTGTCGACGGTTGAAGATGCAAGTACACAGTAGTCGTTCCAAAAGACAGAGACTCAAGAGGCTGAAAAGAGGCTGAGAAGAGTGATAGGCGCGCGCATTCGGTGCTAGTGTTGAAAGGAGCACGATGGTCCAGATTGAAGGAGGAAAGAGGGGAATCTTACTGCGCTGACTACACATATACTTTTTAGACAGCATGATGGATCATCAAGGTATTTAGAAGTCCGGCCAATGGAAGGGAACTCCGTATCAATCTTGGACCGTGCCACGGTGGAATGCGGGGGCTGAAAATAGCTCTGGCGATGGTGGTAGGCAGGGTAATAACACATGCAGTTGGCATCAGGGATTGCGATCCTACATCGGTATTGATCCTCTCAGACCATTCGCGGTTGCGCACTCACCCCCGCCCGTCGAGGGAGAGAATATACTGCAACTTCCACACCACTACATAACCACCTCTCTCTGGTAGTATATACAGCCACAGAGTGTAGGCATAAATCTACCGCGAAAGACTCTTTATCTGCATTGTAATTTCGCGTCAGCTCTGTCACACCCTTGGGATCACTCAGCTTGCTAGCGTCCAACACTCACGCATCCAACACGAGATGGGCATCACCGGGGACGCCATCAAGGCTCTGGCTCTCGAGCATGTGGCTCTAATGAGCGCCATTTTCATCGGATCGCTTGCCCTCACATTCGCTGTGTCGCTCAACAAGAACCAGAGAGATCTATACAGCGTTCAAAATGGGAGGAAAGTGTTGAGCGAGAAGACAGTTCTCGTCGGTGGGCCAGACCGCTCTGCGTGGCCCTGGTTAACCGAAATACGAGCAAGGTTCCGATATATGCGCGCCGGACACAATGATATGTTTGTAGCCTTCAAAAATGTAAGTCCTTGCGCATTGCAGTCATGTATCGAATACTGAATTGCTCGTGCAATAGTATTCGGGACGTATTCTCAGGGCGCCGCTCGCAGACTACAGCTTCTTCGTGTTGCCGCCGGCATACATGGAGGAGCTCAAGAGTCTGCCGCCCACGACCATGAGCTCGTCCATCTCCGTCGAAGAGTATCTGCTTGGTGGCCTTACGACCATGAAAGCGCATGATATGCTGGGCGACATCACCTGGCAGGTGGTGCGCAATCACCTGACGCAGAAATTGGACAATTTGGTTGGGCCGCTGGCGGAAGCAAATAGGAACGCGTTTCAGGATGAATTGCCAGATTGCTCTGGTAAGCATTGTTCTCCATTACACTTTTGTGAGCGACGAGAACTGACCCAGCGATGCGTAGATTGGACGCCGGTCGTTGTGCACGACGTGTTTCTGCAGATTGTAGGACGTATGACCGGGCGCACTTTCGTCGGCGAGAAGCTTTCAACGAACAAGCTGTTTTTGGACACGTACATCGACTTCGCGACTTGTGTGTTTGTTGTTTCGAGCTACCTCAAGGTCCTTCCAGCGTTTCTTAGACCGTTGTTTGCGCCAATTATCCCGGAATTCTGGAAGATCAAAAGAATACACGCGAACAATTGGAAGTTGCTCGCACCAATCGTGAAGGCTAAAAAGCAAGAGCCGAAAGAGCAAGCCGAAGGTACGTTCTCTGAAAATGGCTGGCATGGCGTCGCAATGACTGACAGTCCCAAACAGAAAGAAAAGCAGCTGGCGACGGAGACATGCTCGACTGGCTCCTCGAAGCCTCAGGTCCCAACGCGACAGTCAAGGAGATTCTTACGCGACAGTTGGGAATCGGATTCGCCGCCATCCACACGACGACCAATCACATGACCAACTGTCTCTACGATCTAGCATACCGTTGGGATGAGTATGCGCCGCCGTTGATCGCCGAATACCGCGAAGCTCTTCGAGAGACGGATGGCGTTCTGCAGAAGCAAACTCTGTCCAAGCTTTCCAAGCTCGACAGCTTCATGAAAGAGTCTATGAGGTTGAACCCTCCATCATCACGTAAGTCTACTCTACAATCATCGCAAATTGGAGTAAAATGAAATGCTCACGTATGCGCAGTCGCCTTCAACCGCAAAGTCCTCAAAGACCACACGCTCAGCGACGGCAAAGTCCTGCCCAAATCGTGCTGGATCGCCGTGCCCGCGGGTCCTCTGATGCTGACAGAGAGTCAGTTCCCCAACCCACACGTATTTGACGGATTCCGGTATCATCGCATGCGACAGGAAGGTTCTGAAGAGTCCAAGACAGCTGCCGCCAAAACAAGTCAGTTCACGTCCACCGGACAATACAGTTTGGTGTTTGGACATGGACGCTTTGCATGCCCTGGCCGCTTCTATGCTGGCGTGGAGATCAAGCTGATGCTCATCCATGTGCTCGAGAATTACGAGCTCAAGCTACCCGATGGCTCAGGCCGACCGCAGAATTTCCATTTTGCGGACGCAGGAATTCCTGACCCTACCAAGCATGTGCTTTTCCGCAAGTTGAAGGGTTAGACTCAGCATTACATAGAGACTCAGATACATAAACAGTCATTACCATTTACCAATGCAAAAGAAAGGTCACAAGATTTAAAGATGACACAGTCGCGCAGCAGCAAGAATTCAAGTTGTTCTCGTCATTCATGACGGTAATCGTAATTGATATATTGTGCTCGCTCACTTTACCATGGAACGGGCTTCTCCTCACTATCTACCCACTCGCCATTGTACTTCTCACGCGACACGGCGTCGACGACGCGGACGCAGCCCGCAACACTATCCTCCAATTTCATGGGCGCGCTTTCCATGCCGATGCTCTTCGCCGCAAGAGTGCCCATGTCAGTCTGCACCCAGCCCGGCTGCAACACGGTGGCTGCTAGCCAGTCGTGCTCAACGTGGATGCGGCGCACTAGATAATTGAGGGCCGCCTTTGTGACACCGTAGCAGAACCACGGGCCAGGCATGGCGGTGCACAGCGTAGCACTGCCTAACGCGGAGCTGAGCACAACCAGCTTAGCCTTGGTTGACTTTTTGAGGAGCGGCTCAGCGGCCTGGAAGAGGGTGAGAACGCCGAGGAGGTTGATATCCATGTGGCGACGGACGTCTTCGGCGGGGGTTTCCATCACACTGACGCACAAGTCGGCCATGGCGGCATTGGCGACGAGCGTGTCGATGCGGTCGATGCCATCGAGGGATTTGATGGCGGCAGCAGCATCGGTGGGCACAGACTGGTCGATCTTGATGAGAATGAGTGAGCTTCCTTCACCTTTTGGCAGATCGTTCAGAGCTTTGGATAGCGGGGCCTCGGGATCGCGGACAGCAGCGATGAGAGTGTTGTTAGGGCGGGCAAGAAGCGTGGCCAGGATGCCGTGGCCGATGCCTGTGTAGCAGGGCGCTATGATTAGAAGACTGGCATGTACGGAATAGCCGAAATGTCACTCACCGCGGTTGGGGCCCGTGATGAGCGTGATGGTGGTAGATGCCGACATAGTTGGTCTTGGAGCGATAGGGAGCTGTCTGTCAATGTGGGATAAGACGGCCTGGAGCACGAGTGGCTAGTGGGATGTTTTAATGGATGTTTTTCGGCAAGCAAGCGGTGACAGGTGACGGTGTTCTTTGTAGGTTCCGTGATGGGGCGACGAAGGCCGTGATGGACGATCGCTTTCCCAGAGTGCGGTGGAACTCCCTCGGCGCTTGTGTGCGTCTCCACTCTCAGATGAACCCTCAAACTCAAAAAAGCAGCTGGATGTCACAGCCACTAGACGCGGCGTAGGCGATCGCTGACAGAGTATATCGGTGTTGTACAGGAATTGCCGCAAATGGAAGCTTCCCCATTTTACCGGTGATGCGCCTGTCAGCATTCACATCCTTCAACCTATGGAATCACTCATTCCAAATCAGGTTAATCATTCGTGCTGCTCAAGCGCTTCCTTGAAGGAGATATACTGTGAATGGCCAAGAGTACGATCGGAGTCTAGACTAGATACCGGTGGATAGGGGAGCATATACGAGGGAGTACCGTTTGAACCATTGCCGCAGGACGACAGGGTAATTCTGCACCCCTCACTCGTACGACCTGTCTATCTAAATGAGCTTCACATGTAATTTGCGCAAAGCTGGGTACATACGCGCCCTCTGTCCCTCTACCTGCATGCATATATGTATCAATTGATGTATGCATGCAGGTGCACGGGATGAATGTCTTAGGTTGCAATTAGGCGGGCTGATGCCTAAGCCTGTAGTCACCTTTGCAGCTAAGCTCGAAGCAGGTATCGATTGATGCGAGCCGACTAGCTGGCTTGGATGCTGACCCCAAGGCGAAATCCGAAAAGAATATACTAAACCTGTCTATTGATCGACTGCTGCTGCCACTGCCGTCCCGTACGATACCGTACCGACATGTATACTAGGCTGGCCGGTCCGATGGCAGTACTCGAATTGGGGGCCTTGCTTTTCCATGCTCCGCTACGAAAATGATTCTGACTGCGCTCAACGGCTATTTACACGGGGATATTGGAAGGATTTTTATGGTCCCCGACGTCCGTGGTAGGGGGGACAGGGGCAATTTCGATCACCCGAGATTCATGATCTTGTCACTGAGGCTGAGTACCCAGCGAAGCGATGGATTATCATGGATAACTCTCCCGCGTCTTCAAAAATCGAAAGTGCTGTGGCATTCTTCGCTGGCTCTGGCATCGTTTGTTTCTACTCTTGATCAATTCGGTTCTGGCTCCTTGCTGAAGTCATGTTTTCGTCATACTTGTTGCCGTTGGGCATTCTTTTGCTCTCGGTCTTGTCGCTAGGCCATTCAATTGATACCGCCGCTGCGGTCGACTTTTCTCTAAGCAGAAGAGCATCCAACATCCGACAGGAGTTGGGCCCTAAACTGTCCAAGGATGCTGTCATCATCGACGCAGAGTCCGGAGACATGGCTGCTGCCACCAAGCGCTGGCAGGTGTTCGCCAGTCCCTCGTTCAGTGCCGTTGTGGAAGTGGCTACCGAAAATGATATCGTCGAGACTGTACGTTTCCATTGCAACCGTTGGGGAAGTCCCTCATGAAGTATGACTGTACTGAACCATGCTAGAGATTGCGTACGCCAATGCCCATTCAATCCCCTTCCTAGCTGTCAACGCTGGCCACGGCGAGATCAAGTCGTTGGCCAACATGAAAGACGGTATTCAAATTACGATTCGGGCATTGAACAAGATCACCATCAATGAAGACAACACAGCAACCGTGCAAGGTGGTGCCACCAACCTCGAAATCACGCAGGAACTGTGGGCAGCAAAGAAACAGACAGGTGCGTTATGCTATGCAAATCGCGATACTACAACATCATTTATTCTAATGTGGGCGTCTAGTGAGCGGTACCTGCGAGTGCGTGGGATTCCTCGGACCCATGCTCGGTGGCGGCCATGGCTGGATTCAGGGCCTCCATGGCCTCGCCGCTGACCAGATCATCAAAGCCCGCGTAATCCTCGCCAACGGCACGATCGTCAGTGCGTCTACAACAGAAAACCCGGACCTTTTCTGGGCGCTGCGGGGCGCTGGCCACAACTTTGGCATCGTTAGTGAAGTCACCAACAAAATTTACGATGTCCCAGACTCGGACGAATGGTACTTTGAGAAGTATACGTACACTGGTGCGTCGGTGGACCAGCTCTTCGATCAGCTCGAGAAGATCAAGAGAGATACGCCACCGGAGCTACAGTTCTATTCTGTGTTCCTCAACATACCTGCCATCGATAGCACCCAAGCACTTGTATTCATGGCGATGCTGTACAATGGCCCTGCGTCCGCTGCCGACAAATGGATGGCGCCCTTCCGCACTTTCAACCCTATCGATATCGAAAAGGGGTCGACCACCTATCCCGAGCTCTCAGCACTGACGGGTAACGGTATAAATGACGACATTTGCCAGCACGAGCCCATCAATCGTATCCGCTACCCGCTGTACCTCGACGGCATGAAAAAGGGCGTTCCGAAGCAAGTATACAACTTGTACAACGCCACGACGGCGCAATATCCTGCGCTCAACCGTTCCCTCATGCTTTTTGAGGGTCTATCCACTCAGGCTGTGAGGTCGGTGCAACTTGACACAACGGCGGTTGCGTTACGAAAGTTTCACACACTTGCGTAAGTGACTCCCCTACTTGAATCTTTCCACCATCTCACCACCGCATCCCCTTAATACACCCCCTCGTCTACACCCTCTCTGTGTCATCCCATCCACTTCTAACTCTTTCGCGTCTAGTTCCCCTGTTGTGACTTACGCGCCAGACGCGGCTCTAGACCAAGTCGCTCAAGACTTTGGCCGCGAGCTGCGCAACATTCTACACCGTGCTGAAGGAACTCCCGAGATGTACGCTTACGTTAACTATGCGGTTGGCGAGGAGGACATAGAGAGCATCTATGGATATCGCGGGTGGCGTGTCGCCAAGTTGAAGACTCTGAAGAAACATTTAGACCCGGAGAATCGGTTCCGATTTTACGCACCGATTGTATCAAGCTAGGCCTATACATAGAAACATGTAAAGCTAGTGTAGAGAATAATATAGATCAGAAAGCTTTTAGGCTATCTCTGTGTGTAACATATAAAGAATGTAGACTTCGATTTCACTCCATTCCTAGTTCAAAGCTTGGAACACTGTGCAGCCAGGCCCTCTCATCGTCCCGAATGATCGTCATGACAACTACTGTATATACATGCTGAATCTTGCATAACCGAGTACGGGTTCATGATGTGTTTCCAAGACACAGAATATGACAGGGCTAAGCATTCCCTGCTGTTGCAGACCAGATCTAGCGCATCGAGCCGCACATCGTATGGGTAGCGCCCCGTTCAAGGAAGTAATGCAGGTTTATGGGTAACGCCCCGTCCAAGGAAGTAATGCAGGATGATGGGTAACGCCCCGTCCAAGGAAGTAATGCAGGATGATGGGTAACGCCTCGTCCAAGGAAGTAATGCAGGTTTCGTGTAGTGAGGTGGCCCAGTTACTTGTCTAGCGTAGTCTACTGTCTTTCATTGTCAAACACTTGGTCATGCCTACACCCCTTCAGCACTAGACATGACTTGAAACAGGCTCGTGCATATTGCTTAAATTGGAGCTTGAAGGCGGATTTATCGTGTGATTTTCCAATAACACGTGTTTGTACCGCATGGAATATGCGATGGTCAGATAATAGACTTAATTGCTTACATTGGAGTAACTAATATAGCTATTCGACACTCTCCTTCAATTAACCCGCTTCTCTTAGCCTCTGGAGTTGTACACACTACGGAATGGCATCTTTCCTTAGTAGTGCAAAGACATTTAGTTCTTCGGCGGCCTCGCCAGTCCCACGGCATCGCGAACAGTTCCGGCGTGGACCCACGATTCTTCGTGTTCTAATGCGTCCTTGCATGCTTTTACGACGGCATTCTTCATAGTTTCCTGGAAATAATAGTTAGTATATAGGTTACTGGTCAAGAGTTTGCCGTGGTCGATGGTGAAGGCTAACTTACATCTTTAGGCAATGGGTTATAAACGGTCGGACTCTCTGGGTTTCCGTTGATCCATTCCCTCACTCTATCTTCCTCGAGATTATGGTAAATAGGCTTCTTCCCGGGGACATAATCCTTCAGGTAGGCAATAGACATGATGGGGTTCTGGTTATAAAGACGCAAGTACTGTTTAACCTGCGACTCATACTGCCCATCCTTGGTCGGACCCTGGTACGCGACAGCACTTGACCGAGGGAAAAGCGGTTCGTCCCAGCTGCACGTCCTCAGACCTACAAACGCCGCAATGTCCATGGACCCGCTGCGGCCTCCGATGAGACCCACGATGCGGCTCCCCAGATTTTTCTGTACGAGGCTCCAAAAGTAGGCGGTGTAGCGTTTGTCATACTTAACGTCTTCCTTTGGGTAGATATCGACGAACGGGTTGTTCTTTGCATCTTTCTTCAAGGCGGAGCGGTCAGGAGATTTGGCTGAGAGACCGACGAGGATGGGTATCACAACGTGGGCGGGAGGGGCCCCTTTCGTATCCCCCTTTGGAGCTAGAGTGCGGAAGTTCTTAAGTAATTCCAGATTTGCGTCGTGTTGAGTGTTGACATCGCCATTTCGGTAGTTGAAAAGGATGACTTTTGTTGGACCTGGTGGAGAGGTGGAAAACTTAGCGCCTTTAGGGGCATTAGGGTCGATGGCCTTTGCAATATTTGCATCGAGTTCCGCAAATGTTTCTTCTGCTAACTTTTTCCAATTAGCGGCGGCGTTGCTGGCCTGGCCTTCACCGCTGAGCCACTTGCGCAAAGTCTCGATTCTTTCTGGGCGCTTTTGAGGATCCTCGAGATACTGCATGACGATGGAGGTAGATCCCATCAATTGGATCTTCTTCTGGTGGTCAAAGTTCGCTGGTGGCTGCCACTGGTACAGTTCATCAAGATTCACATCTTCCTCAACATCATCTTCAACAGGCGCAGTACTAATACCGACTTTCCGCGCCTCAAGGTCCTCTTTAGTAGGAGCAACAAACGCTTCTTTTATCCGCCTACTCTCCTCCCCACAAGGTGCAGCCACCTCCGTTGCAGCCCAAAGATCCATGAAGGGCTTCTTGCGAAACTCCTCGTATTTCTGGGAAATTTTCTCGAGGTAGGCCAGAGGCAAGTTCATAATCGCATTCGGGACCTGGCCAGCGTCCTCCTGATGGATGCGAGCAAGAAGGCAAGGTATGCCAATAGAACGGAAGTACTCGAACATGGGCGCCCCTCGCACAAGACTAGTGTGCAGCTGATTCTCTTCTACGAGAGGGTGGGGGGGCTTGTAGGTGACAGCCTTCCCTGACTTATCGACTTCCCAGTCAGCAACGCCAATGACGATGACAGGGTATGGCTTGATGACTGAGTCACTGCTGTGTTTCCAGGCTAGAATCGAGGCTGCAGCGCAGTGCCACATATCGCCAGTGAGTTGCCCAGGAAGCATCATGAATGCGGTTTGACGCTGTCCGACTATACAACAACATAAGTCAGTAGTGTTTCTGGTGAATTTGAAGATGGACATGTATTACCAACACTGGGTATGCTCGGACCCTCTTGCGGTTGGGAAGTGGAAGCCATGGTACTATAGTAGACTTCGAGAGTTTGTTTTTGGTAGTATTGAAGCGAATATGAAGATGATTGTTGGTTGGTAACTTGATGAAAGCGATGCTCTGGATTACTGAAAATTGTATGGCTTGTGTTACCATTGTGGATGCTTTATATAGTTGCCAAAGTGGCTCATACTCCGCTATTCGCTTCATAGATTTTGGTTGTCGTAGTTTTTTCTCTTCGCTGATTGCAATGTGGTGGATGAATCATCAACTCAGGTGGGAAAAATCAGCCCCCAACTCGTGAACCTACTGTGTATGTTTCAGCCCCATCGTCAGCACGTCACAACCACAGCGCTCAGCACTTCGAAAAGATGCATGATCAACAGGAAGCCGAGAGCTGAATTATTCAAAGGGAACGCCATTTGTGATGACTTAGCAACTGAGCGGGAATGACAAAGCCGATTCAGCTCATGCATGTACATAGGCGTCTTCCTCCCGCCTACCATGACCATCAGCATGAACTAAAAAAGGGCTAGGGATTAGTAACTAAAGTACCCTGTCTCACCCCACAGAGACTCTTATAGCTATGCCGCATAACAACGATGCGATCGCGAAACAACATGCCAAGTAAACCTTCAAAAAGTGCCCAACATGGAATACCATCACCAACCTCACCAAGCGTCATCAACTTCTTTATAATCATCGCGCCTCAGCTGCCGAGTAGAAGCCAGTGAGATTAGCTGTCGGGTAGTAATGGGACTTTCCAAAAATTGATATGTTCTCGATGATGCCGCCCTGAACTCCCGGCGCCAATATGGGTATGGACCTAAACCCCTTAGACATCTGGTGTGAGAGCGCCTTTGGCTATCTTTAAACTGGACTTTATAAAACAGAACATGAGCTACTCTAGATACACATTTGGAGATAGAAGTTATATAACAGAAGCCCAAAACTTCCTATGGTGATTTCTATATGTTCTCTACACCTCGAGGCTTACTGTATGCCTTCTGGACTCTCGGGAGGACTAACTGTAAAGTCTATGGAGAGGTTCAAGTAAGCGTCAATCCTGACGCCCTTCTTGATAACCATTCGCCTTACTACATTCTAGCCATACAGCCAACTACGCGTTTCGGATCATCAAACTTGACTGACTTGGGGTCACGTCTCATGTGAAATATGGTATCGGGGCCTTTGGCATATCAAAATCTCATTATTGTTTTCCATACTATGTTATGCTAAATCTTCCTTATCTCCAGGGCTTCAAAATTTCATCAAGTGTAGGTGAGCAGAACACTGGGCTTTTTCAAAACATCGTGATTTTATTCCATATCAGTTATTAGAGCAGATATTCTACCTCAGTGTAATCGTCAAAGCGCGAAGTTTTCTGTACTTTTCCTTCATTCCCTGAACCAACAAACTCTTCCAGCTGTCCCAGATTTGCATCGTTGATGGTGGAAGCATACTACCCATAGACATGTGATCCACACAACTTTTAGTGCCCGAGTCCAAGGAAAAAGGTGTACCACTGTGCATTGAGCGCACGATCTGTCCATCCATCACTTCATCTATGAAGCACTCTCCAACCAGGTTCCAATATTTGTCTGTCTTCCTGAGAACAAAGGGTAAAGTTGCACCCGCAAGGATCCAAACTGAATCCCCGGGAGTCGTGTCGCTGCGGCCGATGCCGAGGTGTCCTCCGCTGGTAAGGAAGAGAGCGTGGCAAGGACACGCATCAGCAGCAACCCGTATAAAATCATCAGCATCATGGCCCCTCCCAGCCTCGCTTAGATGCGTGTTGAGCCGAGATCTTGCGGCGTCATCCTGTTCTGGGAGCCATTTGAGCAATGTTGCTGCGAAGCTACCAACAAATGCCGCTCTGTCGCTCTCCACCTCACTTGACCTGTTACGACCCGCGCAGAGGGTTCGCGACATTTTAACAAGGATTTCCTGGGTCGATTTTGCAATCCCCGCATATATTTTCAGGCAATCCCAAATTATGGTACAGTTTGTGCTCCAGTTATAATTTAACATAGGGCTTACCCACAAGACGGTTGCGAACTCGATCCCTCTGACATTTAATTCTTCGGCATTTGGGGTTACAGATGCTTCAAACTCCAATCCCCGAGAAGGCGCAAATAGAGCGTCAATCGCCCACGGAGAAAGCATCGGGCGGAAGGTATGCTTTGCGTGGAATTTGGGCAGCCAGCTGGTGTTAGTCGCCGCGTCATAGCCCAGGCCGTGTGCATTTTCAAGAAACGACAAAGGAGACGTCTGCGTAAGAAATTGTTCGACCAATCTTCGATAAACGGTTTCCATTGAGCAGGTATAATCAATTGGCACTATTGGCAATGCCGGGCCGCTGTCTGATGTGGAGAGGTTCAGAAGCGCATAAACCTCATCCTTTGGTTCGCTGTTGTCGAACCCAGAAGTCAAGCGTATCAAATGCAGAAACGATAATCGAAGCGATGGTAGCTCATCAGAGTTTCTGAGCCTAAACATCAGGTACGTATTGGCAACGCCCACCGCATGAGAATTGTGTTCGACGCGAAGAATGGCGGCGGCCATGCCTAGGTAGTCCCAAGGTATAGTGTAATTGGCGACCATAACAGCAATTTGTTTGGAGTGTACTATCTCCTGGATGACCCATCGTCGCTCGAACCATGTCCTTTCAAACAAGAGCGATAACGGACTTTGGGGGTCCAAGATGTCAGAACTCGACTCTTCACTTGGGGTGACTTGACATGGGGTCGTTTCTCCGGTATCCAAGTCAATCTTATGGAACAATGCCCTCTGTGAGTAATCCCATGAATTAATCGTTTGGCAAATGACCGAAAGCCCGTTGTAAATAGTAGTATCGTCATACTTTCCAAGCCACACGATTGTACGAGAAGCTTGGCTGTATATATGGCTCATGACTTGGACCTGCTGAGATCGCTCTTCGGGGTCGTCCTGGTTGATGCACAGTCTATCAATCCACATTATGCGTGGAATTTTTGGGTTGCGAAGATGCCGGAGCGCCTTGCCCAAGCTCAGATTCACAGACACCTCCTCGTTGTTACATTCGATCAATACCGCCTCCCGTTCACTTTGCGGTATATACCATTCCTCATTCTCATTCCAGCTATACGATAAAGCTTCGTACTGGTTGACGGCATCTTCACGTCGGAAACTCTTCAGCCAACATGTGATTGAGGAGTGATAGTCACCAGGAGCGATGATGAGTACACGGAACCAGCCGTCGTCAGGTAATTTGGTGTAAAGCTCGTTATAGGACGAAGGATCTCCAATGTTCACCAAACTCATTGGGTCATTGGAGGCTGATTCGCGTTCAATCAGCTGGTCACGAAGGGACCAATGGTCTCGTGACGGTATCAGCGGAGCGACTAGTTCGGCGGCTGCTGAAGATCCAAAACCTTCAAGCCCGTTATCCATCGTCTTGCCGTTACGTTTTGCGTATAGGACACCTATTTTTTCACCAGTTTAGTAGAGGACACAAAGGATTCGGGTTACTCGCGCCCTGCCTCTCCCATGAGAATCTTTTCGAGTCTATCCTCGTACTCTTCATTGTCAGCATATGCCAGCAGAGCATCTGTTATGCGTGTCTGGTTAGTTCTGGGCCATGGCTAGAATAAAGAGTCCGTAACATATTTACCAGACCCTTTGAACTTCCAATCTTTCCATATTTCTTCTCGTTCTTCATCGAGTGACTGATAAGAGATGACACCGAGGGTCATTAAGGCTTGATAGACTGCCTGCACGGTGGCGGCGGAGTCCTCAGTTTCGGAACGTTCTTGAGCAGTACGCTGTTGATTATAACCAGTGAACATGGTCACAATTCTTTTTCATTCGTGCTTGCTGTAAACCGCTAATTTGTATTTGGTATCTCGAAAAGTGTGGCAAATGGTAGAATGATGAGCTCGGAGGGTGCTGGTCGCGGTCGGGTTATGGGAAAAACTGGTGAGTTGTAGCCCCTCTCCTCGTATTGCTGACCACACAGACAGGCTTATGCGATTTCGTCAAATTCTCATGCCATCTCTTACAGGATACAAGAGAGAAGTATACAATCTTACATAGGACACAGATAAGCCGCTCACTAAGTCTGTTATTTTGATCATCGCATGTTGCATGCAGCACAAACACTAGGTATTAAGAAACACCATTAATCTGCCTTTGAGCTCCAGGCAAAATACACATATTCCGTGGTTATTACGAAACTGATAAGTCATTGTTATGAATAGCTGAGTGCAGATTGGGTCTCATAAGCCGCTCACAGGATATACTGCCAGTACTCTGGCCCACTACCTCAGATGAAGGGATCCTGGTGTTGATCTGCCTAGACTGTTCAAGATAATGAAACTACTTGCTCTCTTGTGCAAAGCAGCCAGTAGACATACTTTACTAGGTAAAAAGCCTTACAATATCAAAATCAATTCACTATCTACTGTTGACTATACGTGCTCCTACTGTAGTTCCTCACGTCACACTGGCTACTGATACTTTAAAACAAAACATTGCATCCTAGTATAACTTGAACATGTTCCTTTCGTAAAGTATCGTGAATAATAGTGCATCATATACGACATTTTTGATGTTAGAAGAAGGCTGGCTGACCGGTAACCACCCCAATCGTCCGCCACGAAGCCTGCCAGATGCCCTCTATTGTGCTTAGAATAAACATATTCGTAGAAAATCTCCCTTCAGTTGTTCGAACCAATCATCTCCAAACCCACCATCGCAGATCAACACAGAGCTAGCTTATGGACACTTATCCCCAGGCTGGCACGGAACCTCAAGAAGAATACTATTTCCCAAAAACCCAGGCACCTCGTCCGAAGCAGCAAAGCCCTGATGGCACTGATGAGCTTTGATGATGCCCGTAAGCGGATTCGTATCGCCGTTGATGATGTTCTGACACCCGAGAAACCCGGACATGTATGCGACCATGGGCGCCGGATCGGTACCGGCTGCGTTGGCTGTGGCACAAGAGGAGAACTGGACAATGTCTGGAGCGTAGAAGTCGGGCTCGCATAGCTGGGCTGTAGCGCCGTGGATGGCGGTGGTGGCGATCATGACGGTGGCGATGGTGAATTGCATTTTGGTCGTTGTTGTTGTTGTTGTTTGGCTTGGGGGTTTCTGGTACTGGGAGGGAAAGGGGGAATGTCTATTATGTCTATGTTAGTTGAGCTACTTGTATTCAGCCACTAGAATTGGGTGGACAGACGGCGGTGTTTAGTTAACGTGAACCTGCACGGAACAAGAAGTGGAGATTGTGTTTAACCAGAATGAGGAGAGTTTGCATGCTCTTGCTAGGGCTGTCTCTCATGTTTATATACACATCATCATCGTCTATGTTGATTTCTTATCTCCTTTGACAACGGTCCAAGACGGAGCTCAAGGCCGCATGTCTCCTGCTGCACTGCGCCAAATTACGTCGGTCCGAAAAGGCGAATGTGAGACAGAGTACCAACGAGCAGCGCGCACATGATTTCCACGTTTCACCTGATCTCCAGAAAGTGGCAGCAATGCCTTTACTCACGGAATCTTGGCAGGAGTAAAAGAGCCTATCGTTCTGTTTGTTGATACTGCATCAAGTTTCCTATGATTCATTTGACCGAGGTCTGGCTGTTACGAAGTACCATACGACCCCAACTCCCCTATACTGCCATCTTCAGATGACGGAGACAGAGAGTGTCCTATTCCAAACCCAGATCATTAATAGCTCCGTCTTGTAATTACCATAGAACTTTTACCAATCGCTCGATTTTTGTACCCCTATCGTCATAAACCCATCGCTGCGTGTAGGATCACCTACACTCCAACTTAAAATAAGTAATCAACACAGCAGGGAGTCTTTACCTAAACTAATTACAGATACCTACGTTTCTGAAGTTTTTATTGGAAGTTACTGTGTTTCCTACACTTAAAAAGGCAGATAAAAAGAGTAAAAAAAAAAAAACCCCCCCCTACAGCCCAATAAAAACACTGAGCCATATTCGAAAACTACTAAGCGCAATGGCGATTCATCGCATCTCCATGCAGCACAAACCCTTAGCATTGCAAAAAAAAAAAAAAAAAAAAAAAAAAAAATCGAAAACTAACAAGACCCAAATACCTCAAGCCCCCCTCCAAACATCCACGCACCTTTCCCCCCTCTCTCCACGTAGTCACATTCATCACCCCCTCCCTTCCCTTACGCTATCTCTATTAATCGCTAAGCCCCCATCTTCTTATTCCCCAGCTCCCTCAACTTCAACCACCAGCGTCCCATAATCTCGACAATCTGACGAGCAGACATGCCAGGGTCCCCCCGTATCTACCATCGGCCCGAGCCGTTCCAGATAGACTCCAAACATTGCAAAAAAGCCGCTAATGCCGTTCATCTGAGAACAATTTGGCGCCGCGGCAGATGCGGAAAAGGCGGTATGGATACGGTTGTTAAGAGTAGCTGGAGGAAGAAGGAAGGAGGAAGGAGGAATGGAGAGATGCTGTTCAGCGGCAGAGTCTGGGGGTGATTTGAGTATGCGTACTGAGGGATGTGTATAAAAATGGAGTGAACGGGGTGAATTCCCCTGCTGTTTGACTGGCGGTTGGTGGTGGACGAGCCGGGGAAGGCTTTAGATTGCAAGGAAGTGATGTTGGGGAGCTGTTTCAATGTCACGTCGGATAACCTGCATACATACCCAGTCGTTGGAATGGATCAGTTGGTACTACTACGCTCGTGTTTATGCCTCGGCAAAGTCTAGGTCGCGATGAAAAGAGGAGACAATGACGACTATGCGACGGTGACATATCATGGTTGGAATTCTACCAAAACTTGAAGTTGGAGGACTAAAGAGACTACACTACCACCCTCCCTTCCCATTCGTGCTCCTCACCGACCTCAAGCATTGGCGGTCTTGTCATTGTAATAATGGATGGTTTGGTCCGCACATCCACTGGGAGTCTGATACATGTAATTCCCCAAATTGATGTACAAAGCCTGGCCGGTGCAAACATACCACGCACTTGGATTGGGGCGATTGATGCCCGCAACACTCCATTGCAAATCGTCGCCTCCGAATTTGAACGTGCCGTACGTGTTCTTGGTGGTGCTGAAAGTAACGGCGAGACTGGCATTGTTGATGGTGCGCTCCTCGCTGACGTTGGCGTAGAGGAGTTTCTCGGGCTCGCCGGGCGCGGAGACGAGCTGCACGAGCTGGCCAGAGACGACTTGGAGTTGGCCCGCGGTCGTGTAGTCGCCGAGGAGGGCGGTGCCGGGGGAGTAGAGGGGTTTTGTTTGAATGTACTTGTGGAAGTTCGGGGCTGCTACCGCGCGGATCCAGAGGTAGCCGCTTTGGAGGGTTTTTCCTGGTCCGGTTCCAGAGGGGGTGCCTGTTGTTATTGGTGTGCCGCCCGTGGGTGAAGCGCTGGTGGTGGGGGCTGGTGCGGCGGTTGTGGATGGTGCTGGAGCAGCTCCTGGTTGGCATTGCGAGTAGAATTCACTGGGTACTGTGAGTAAGTGCGTGCGAAGATGGGATCGATATAGAAAAGTTCGTACTTTAGAACGACGCAGCCAGAACCGGTTGCACACTGTGTGTCCCCAGCGTAGTTCATTCCGCCGCCTGCGAGAATTAGTGGGAAAATCTAGGGAAATGGAAGTTTGAAATGGGCACGTACATTGTTGCCAGTCGCCCACCACTGCCGACGCAGTGCTTGCTAGAGCCGCCAACGCGACTGTTGAGAGAAGATGCATCATCTCGGTTTTGAGGTTATACTTTTGGTCGGGAAGCAATAGCTGGCATGAAATAGACTGAGATGCAGACCGCGTCTTTAAATACGGCCATATTGAGCTTTAAATTTGGGCAAAGACCAATCGCACATGTGATGCGTATAGTATATTGAGTGTTCGCGGTCCACCTATATGTAAACCGCCGGACCGTGGCAACCGGTAGAAAGGGAATAAATTAACGACGAGGCCAGAAGCGAGCCCGAGGTTCGACAAACGAGCAACGTCGCAACGTGTGATAGGTACTATTTTGGGATAGCAAATTGTCACAAAATACATCTTGGTCGAATTTTTCGTAGTTGTGCTGGATCTGGGGCGCCCCCACGGAAAGGGAATTCCATGTTGAGAGTTGCGCAGCGTTTGGTCGTTGGCGATGTCGTGTTCCCACACGTCCCAGCAGTATATGTGCATTAAAACGGAAGTCCGGGACAGCAAACCATGGGCTTTTTTGGGTCATCATCTGGTGGTGGTGATGTGCAATGTCGCATGCAACATGAAGCGCCCGCAAAGATGCGCCCGCTAAGCAGTTCTGCCGCGCAAACCAAACACCATCAGTAGAGCTTAAACCCCAACATCCAAAGCTTATACTCACACCTCTCCAAATCTCACCTCTCAAACACCCTCCCCATCCTCCCCACCCCCAACCGGCTCGGGCCTGTGCGAAAAAACAACCTTAAACCTCACAATCTCGACAATCTCGAGCTCCTCGGCCCCCTCCCCACCCCCCATCCGCACATCCTCCTCACCATCCCCTCTTGCCCCTTTCCTCGCGATAACCGCAAAAGGCTTCCCCAGCTTCTTCACTTCCCCCGTCATCCGCTGACTCTCGCCTACGTAGAAATGAGCGCGCTTCATCCACTTGGTGTCAGTCTCGCCATGGAGCGCGGGGTTGTAGAGCGGGAACGCGAGGGTGCCGACGAGAGTTGAGGAGCTGGATGGGTCGGGGGGGATGGGAAAGTGGATCGTGCCTTGGATTTCGAGGAGGGCGAGGCCCGTGGGCGTGTGGAGGAGCTGGGGGAGTGGGTTTGTGGTGGATGGCGGTGCGGCTTGGGAGCGTGGGTGCAGAGGTATCGATGGCATTTTTCTTTGTTATCTTTTTTTTTTTTTTGGATTTTCTTGGGGGGATGTGTTTGGGTCTGAGAGAATTGGTGGTGATGATTGTGGGTGTTGGTAATAAGGAGGGTGGAGTTGTGGTGGGGGTACGCGCGTTGGAACGCGTCGGTGGCCTGTGCGGGTTGTTTTTTGGTGGGGTAGGAAATTGAGACATCACGATGGTGCATTGTCGCATACCCGGCCCCGTTTTACAGCATTTTGATATCACTGGGAGCCTACATTCTGACAAATGTTTGCAAACAATTATTGCTCATGAAATGGCATGAATCCAGCAGTATCCAACGGATGTGGTAAACCTTCCTAATCAGGAAAGTTTGGGTAGACAAATCACTTCATCATCACGCAAGAGATGAAAGCAACAGGATTGCAGGGAAAAAAAAGTCTAGTCATTATGTGTTGTTACATCTGAAGTCATATTTTAAATCATAAGCGCATCACACCACGAACAACCTCGCTTCCACTAAGCCCGCTTACCAAACACCTTGTCGAAGTTGGTAAGGGTGAACCTGAACCGGACATTGTCGTTGTTGTACACCCTCTCTACGGCCTCTTTGCAGCCCTTTTCGCTGATGTCAATAGTCTCAACCCAGCTCTTGATGTTCTGTTTCGATGCCAATTGAAGCATCTCCTCCATCTCGGGACGGTTTCCAATGTGGGATGCACCGACGTAGCAGCCAGTTGGCATAAAGTCCTGCGCCATGAGGGTGGGGAGCGGCTTGTCGGGCATACCGACCATGTGGAAGTGACCGTTGGGCTTGAGGGTGGAGAAGTAATCGGGGAGGTTGAACTTGTCGGTGGCGTCGGCGCAGTTGAGCAAGATGTCAAACTTGTACTTGTAGGGCGAGTGCCAGTCCTTGTCGTTGGTGCAGATGAACTCCTTCGCGCCCATCTTCAAGGCATCATCCTTCTTTCCGGGAGAGTGTGAGAGCACATAGGTTTCGGCGCCCAAGGCATTGGCAAAAATGACACCAAAGTGTCCAAGACCTCCGCTGCATGCTTGTTAGCTCAAACGGGATCTAGATTCTTTTAGAAAATCACTTACAGTCCAATAACACCGACTCGCTTGCCCTTGCCAGCATTGAGCCTCTTCAGCGGTGAGAACACTGTCAGTCCAGCACAGAGCATAGGAGCAGCAATGGTAGTCTCCAGGTTGTCGGGGATCTTGAAAGCGAAATAGTTGTGCACACGAACGTGGCTGGAGTATCCACCTTGGGAAACGGTGCCATCCGAGTAAGGTGCGCCGTATGTGTCGATTTGGTTAGGGCAGTAGTTCTCGTTGTCTGCTTTGCAGTTGTCGCAGTTGAGGTCTGCACCAACCTGGGCACCGACACCGGCGCGATCGCCAACCTTGAGGTTCTTGACCTTGGAGCCGACCTTGATGACTTTACCAATGATCTCGTGGCCTACGCAAAGAGGGAGGGGGATGTCCTCGCCCCACCCTCCGGTGATGGTGTGGACGTCCGAGGCGCAAACACCGCAGGCATCAACGGCGATGTCGACGTCATCCTCCTCGAATTTCTTCAAAGGAAGCTGCATACGGTGTCAATGTCTGGGTGAATTGTGGGAAAAGAGCGTATATGTACCTCTTTGCGGGTGAATTCGCTCCACTTCTTGATGTCAGTGATGGCGAAGGCATCTGTGGTCTCTGGATAACCCATTGTATCGGTTGTATTCTGATTGTTGTTGTTTGGGGGGGAAAGGTAGGATAGAGTATTAGGAGTGGAGGTATCAGAAGATTGATGTTATTGAATGGGATCCAAGCAATCGGAAGGAGGGAACGGCCCTTTTTCAATGGCTGTCTCAGACAAAAGACCCATAGCCCGCCCTTGCACGTTGTTACGCAGTTAGTGAGGTCATATGTCCGCATGTGTCATTCGGTATCCGCTTCCACATGGCGCGAGCAGCCTGATTGGGCGTTTGGGTGCTGGAGTTTTATCGTGTTGCCGTGCAATACTGCCTGAGATGGCCGTGGTATCGTCACCACAGCGTCAATGAAAAACCCACGATGTTTGATCTACGGGCGTTGTAGGCATTCCTCGTAGCCAGCCAATAGCGCCAGATTGTGCGACCTCACGTAGTGCCAGTTTCTAGGGGCTGCGAGACGACTAGATCAAACCACATGGAGGTCTAGACAACATGTTTTTCTGCAACGCGTAGACTACGTCAGAGGAAAATGCGTGGAAGACGATGGTGGAGGCACTGCGGGTGTTCGGTTCCGAGTCATTGACCAATCAGGCTTCCGTGTTGGCCGCGTAGGTTCCGAACATGGTCGGATCTGACCCGCTTCATGGTCATGTTATATCCGATGATGTACATATGTTCCATGGGCGGTATCGGCATCCAAATGCTGGTAGCGGACTCGAGCAGAGCACAGCGGGTCTGTATAAATGCAAAAGAATGCAGACTTCAAACTCTCGTCAGTTCATCTTCGCCCCCTCGGACTCTGTCGTCCCAAGTCCACGTTCGGCAGAAGACTCGAGGAGAAACAACAAATCGCTATCAGACTCGGTACAACGATCCAACGTGTACATCCGGCCATGACGTTCGGGAGTGACAGTGGGGGCGCAGTCATGGGAAACCCCAATCTGCCATGAGAAGCAGGCAACCGAGTCCATCTCCTCCATCTAGATCATGCAAAGTCAGCAGCTTGCATTCTCCATGTCGAATCTCTCCAACACCACCGTTGCATGATCGCCAAGCATCGACATGAACGAGCCCCAACGTTCATCATGGTCATAGAACCTGAGTGGGTGAGTGGTGTGCCATTACCCCAAACTTGACATGTACCCCGCTAGTGAGGAACGCGGGGTCGTACGGCATCCCTAATCCGGGAAATGTCCATGAGGTAGCTTGCGCGTGGACGCCACAACCAGGAGGGGGGATGCTATTCCGAGGTGGAATTCGGGGTCCTGGATGTTCTAGCGGATGCTTGAGAAGGGCAGTTCCGTTCAGACAAACATTGCGTATTTGTTTATACTTTGCCCCCTCATTGCCTTCACTCTTCTCCAATTCGTGTGACTAGACCGCACGTCTTGATATCCCTTGCCAGCATCCAAAGCATTATTCTCACTCTTCATTGTCCCTAAAAACCCCGTCAAGACTGATACTATCCTCAATTTGCATCATGGCGGGGACGATGAAAGCGGTCCGGTTCCACGGCCAGCGCGACCTTCGGTACGAGGATATACCAATCCCAACAGTGGGCAAGGGCCAAGTCAAGATAAAGCCCGCCTGGGTTGGCATCTGCGGAACGGGTGAGTCGTGTACAGGGTCGTCGTCCAGGAGGTGCCACACTGACACCTATCAGACCTCCACGAGTACCTAGGCGGGCCCAACCTATGTCCGACCACGGCGCATCCAATCACCCAGGAGACGGTACCTCTAACACTGGGCCACGAGTTCAGCGGAACCATCGAGGAAGTTGGACAAGACGTGACGGATTACAAGCCGGGCGACAGGGTATCTGTTCAACCCATCATCTACGACAACACATGTGGAGCGTGCAAAGAGGGCCTGCAGAACTGCTGTTGGAATAACGGCTTCGTCGGTCTAAGTGGTTGGGGTGGCGGCCTTTCCGAGCACATTGTAGTGCCAACCTCGACCTTGTATCGTCTGCCGGATAACGTTCCGCTCAAACTCGGAGGTGAGAAGCGAAAGTGTACCCCGTGAGCTGTTGGAGGACTGACTTTTGCTAGCGCTGGTGGAACCACTGTCTGTGGGATGGCATGCTGTCAAGATCAGCCCCTTCAAACCAGGTAATGCCGCTCTGATCTTGGGAGGAGGCCCAATTGGTATCGCAGTCATCCTTGCCCTCAAAGCAAAGGGTGCCGACAAGATCATCGTATCCGAGGTCAGTCGCAAGCGGCAGGAATTCGCAAAAGCGTTCGGCGCAGACTACGTCCTGAACCCCGTCGAAGAGGATGTTGTCCAGCGCTGTAGGGACCTGTGCGACGGGCAGGGCGTCGATGTCGTATACGACTGTGCTGGCGTGCAAGCCGCATTGAACTCGGGAATAGAGGCCACAAGGGCTCGCGGAACCATAGTCAATATTGCCATTTGGGAGAAGGACTGCACCATCACCCCGAATCAACTGACGTTCAAGGAGAGAAGATATATGGGCGTCGCAACCTTCCAAATCGGCGACTTCCAGGAAGTGATTGTGAGTATCTAGCAGAAGTGATGGCTGAGCCGAGCACTGATAGTTCTGTAGGATGCGATATCTGCTGGCAAGATCAAACCACAGGACATGATTACCAAGACGATCAAATTAACGGAGGTGGAGGAGAAAGGCTTCAAGGCTTTGATCAACGACAAGGACAATAATGTAAAAGTGCTGGTCGAGGTACATGGAGGATGATGGACTTGATAGGTTGTACAAGGACATATCTGTGTGAAAATGTTCTACCTCAAAACATTACGTAGATCTCAGCACCTTGATGTCGGCTAGCAACGATCAAGGGTGCTTCCAGTCATTAGCGGGACATGAGCGATGTTCCGACATCTACACATGTGCATGTATCCTCGAAATCACGGCACGTGTAATGAATAATAATGACTGTATTTCCCTGTCTCGAGACTTTTCGTTCTCAATTCAACACATTCAATCCCATCTGGATTCCTTTCCCTTGCAGTTGTATAAAGAGCTCAATGTTGCGCTAATATAGAGGTCACGTGCTCTGTCAGCTGCACACCTGCATGTGGGCATGTGGGCATGTGTACAACCATATCGAATCGAGCAGACCCTTGAATATTGTCATATCTCCCCATTAAACCATACAATCGCTCGAAAATCCCCCGTGTTTACCTATCTGCGTAATTCACTGTGCCCCTTAAACAGTCTTGAGGTGCGTGTAGGGTTTGTGAAGTCATACAGATGATGAATGAGTATTGCATCGCATGTAAAGTCCAGATAAACACGCATTACATCTACACTTTTGCATTCACTTACAACTTTATTCAGCCTCGGTAATCTTGTGCTTCTAATGTAATGTGTGCAATAAGCATTCTGGAAACGAAAAAATTGTCTACCAACAATGACCACAACACGTCCACATTCTACCGGCTTACTCCGCTCTTTGCGAGGAGCACAAAATCGTACAATATTCCTGTACCAGCGGAAACCTCGACACTCCAACATTTATCCTTTCTGTCAGTTTCCCAGCAAATCTGTCTGTCACGAGCGACATCACACCTCTTCATCTCTGCATGTTCTTCACGGAACAATATGTGAATGAGGCAGTCTGCGTTCCTGTACAAGCCAGAGTAGATTCTAGCATCAAATCCGCATCAATTGATCATGATTGGGAGTACCCCGAGACATTGTTACACATGACATCCACAGAGTGTGCTGTGATGTGCCTGGACCAAAGTCTAGTCTGCGCATTCACTGCCCCTCATCCAAGGGGACTACGCGTCCCTCGAGGTTGCTGTGAATTATCCCTTGTACGAGATTATGGAGGACGTTGTTGCGGGTGTGCATGCAAGAGCTGACACCACGGGAGATTCGAGTTATCTCTACTTTAGCCTCCAACCATTTGCGCACTGGATCGCTCACGGTGCTGACGAGCATGTTGTTATAAGACAACTGCTAAAGTCTTAGAGTATGATAAGATAGATGGCAAACGATAGCGAACATCTAGATGGTGTATCCTCCATGTTCCCAATATCAATATTTGATACAGGGCGGAAGCAAAGAACTGCATGCTCTAAAATTTCAACATAGTGCCAAATCCAGCGCAACAGGCTCTCCCATATCTACTCCCTAAGTGAAGAAATCGAGATATCTTTATTTTCAGACTCTGTTGCGGCACAAGTATGTGTCTGAGATAATCGGTAGCTCGCATACTGACGGGCTCACAATTCTCCATATCGCGGAGTTGCACGGCGAGTCGAAAACCGTCAACGTGCTTTTGGAAGCCGGCGCAGACGCGATGATATCATGTAATGGTTCCTCCGGTGGAACTGTTCCCTCTTAACATTGCATGCCGTGCGGGACGTAGATCCTGGTGGCTCGATCACCCTGACGTACTCTTCATCCAAAGACGCAAAGCTTAGTCCATGAAGACCGGGTCCAATTTTCTCCGATGGCATCAAACGCATTCTGACGGACTTTGTTCGAAATGTCGCTTAGCTTCCTATTGCATGCTATTTCGGCGTCGAAAAGGTAAGGAGAGTGCTCTTAGCAGGTTATGATAAAAACGCAGAGGGATTTTAGCCGAGGATCGGGTATAAAGATAGTGTTGGGGAGCTAAGGGGCATGAAAACAGACAATATTCCTGGCCCTAGGTACAGTGAACCTGGCTCAATCAAGGATTTCTACCTTGAGAGCTCGGGGCAAGATGGAAAAGATGTTGGCATGATACGGTCTGTAGTACAAGAATCGTGCTGTGCACTGCCGCCAGATCAACAGCGCAAAGAAGGTTCAAGCTATTCAATTCTCAATCTGCTAAGGGAGATTGCGGGTGTGACCTATGACATAAGACTTAGACAACAAGCGAGATGTGATGATGATGACGAAACAAGACCTGGCCAGAGAACCCAAACAGATCTTGAATCTGGGCACCACAGGTCACGAAATTGTGACATGTGGCTGCACACTTGTCCAACTCATAGCTCGAACACGGGAAATAAGAGATGCGATGCAACCAATTGAACACATGGAAAACAGGACAGCATGCGAGCGCCACAGGTGCAAAGGCCAAGCACACAGCCTAGAACAATCCGATGCCGCTGCCCGCTTTTCCCGTAGAGTCGAACGATGCTAAGGATCGGGGCGGAGTGGGCTGTGGCTCACAGATCGGACGCGTGCCAGTGGCTGAAGCAGTCAGACTGGGAGATGTGCCCGTTTGCAGTGGATGACGAAGAGGCGCACTTGTTTTCTCCGGGGATCGTTAGTACCCGGTCGATGTTTCTCCGCTAAAAGAAGACGAGGGAAGGGCTCGAGCGCTGATCTTTCGCTGTCTTCCTTGCTGTGGGCCTGGGCGTGGTGGTGATGTGGTGGGTGGATGATGGAGTTGGTCGTCGAGGGTTCTTCCGTCAGGGTCTTGTCTTGGTTTTAGCGTCAACGCAATGACGTCGACCCCCACCCGCCTGTCGATCAGTAGGGCAGGAACAAGGTTTGCGCCCGCCTGCGTCATGCCTGCCAGAGAAGTCATAAAGACCGCATCCGTACAGAAGCCAATCCATCTCGACATTCACATACCTACCTAACTGCACATCCCTCAGCCATCAGAGCAGTAGTCTCTACTGATCACCACCCTCTCCTCTGCTTCTCCAACCTTTTTGATCCCCATCTTTGTTTCTTCGTTTCATACATCCTCCACCACAATGGCTTTGGGCGGCACATTCCTGAAGCTCTTCCAAACCACCCTCTACGCAATCGAATTCTGTTGCGCGGGCATCATTCTAGGAATCTTCTCCTACTTCCTCTCGGTTCTTGCCGACCGTGACCTCCCTATCCTGACCACCTGGAAGGCCGTAACTGGATTGTCCGGTGTCGCCGTTCTCTACACCATCTTCGCTGTGCTCTTGACATGCTTCTTGGGCGGCAAGACTTTCTTCGCATTCCTGGCCGTGGTCTTTGACATCCTTTTCGCCGGCGCTTTCATCGCCATCGCTGTTCTTACACGTGATGGCGCATCGAGCTGTTCCGGCCAGGTCTACACTCCTCTGGGAGATGGCCCGTCCGACTCCAAGCAAGGCTTTGGCAGCGACTCCGACGGAAACCAGATCACTTACTCTGCTTCCTTGGGTACTGCCTGCCGCTTAACCACTGCCTGCTTCGCCGTTGCCATCATTGGAGCGTAAGTGATGTCAAGTCTCTATCATGTCAGACACAATCTAACAATCCATAGTGTTCTGTTCCTTGTCTCTGCTCTTGTCCAAGTCGCCCTCGGCCGACACCACAAGAAGGAGAAGCGTTTCGGTCCTAGCCCAGCCAACGGCTACACCCGCGGAAGCGGCGTCAAGTTCTTCGGCCGCAAGAAGGGCCGCAAGGGTACCGTTCGTGACCCCGAAATGGCCGGCGCTGTCCCCGCATCAGGTGGTCTTGCTCCTGGTGCTCACGACTACCGCCCCTCTCACGACACTGCCTATACTGGCTCCACTGTCGCGGCTCCGGGTGCTACCTATGAAAACTCCCACAAGCCTTTGAGCGGAGGGTACCACACTGCTCCTACTGGAACCTACAACACTCCTGCTACCAACTACTAAATGATCAATTGAGTGTCCAGAGTGTTCTGGTGAAGGAAGCTATTTGTTGAGCCTGCCCTATCCGAGTTGGGATGAATTCGCGCCTCAAAGTGAGGAGAATTGCAGAGGAGAGATATATTGTATCCCCGAGAATGAAGCTGATGGGGGACTTCAAGCGTCTGTTTAAATATCCATGTACTATACGCCGTTACGAACCTAATACCTAATAATGAATCTTTATATCATGTATCTCGCGATGCTCAAATAGCTCTCCGAACTGTATAATCTGAAGCGGGTGGATTTGTGGCCACTGGAGCGACATGCTAATCGTATCACGCAAATCATCTCGTCCCGCTAATGCGTTCCGACAGCCTACTTCCTGTGCTCTAGTCTGATCGATTCAAAATTTTGAATATTCAGCCCATCTGTCATGTGAGTATTTGGACAGCGGTCATTTATCATTGTTGTTCCGGGTGGTCTGATTAAGCTCTGCACGGCGAAGAATTTGCGGCAGCAGTAGAATCAATCACAAGAACGTTTTCCTATATCAACAAATACACATTACACATATACATCAGCGCAAACATACCCCGTTCCAAGCCCGAGAAAGAAAGCAAGCGAGCAAGCAAGCAAGCAAGCAAGCGCGCAAGCGCCATCTTTTTTCTCCATGGCAAAAAACAGGCGGAACAGAACCCAATCCCATTCCCACAGTCCCCCAGTCTCCGGGAGAAAAAGGAAGGGTGAGGCACGACCTACCCAACCAACAACTCCTCAATCTCCTTATCACTCTCAGCATCCTCCTCCTCCAACCTCCGTTCCTCCCTCTCGACCGCCGTCCTAATAAACTTCCTCTGCCTAACCCTAGCGCTCTTCCCCCACGACACGCCGCCGACCTCGACCTCCTCATCGCTCTCGTCCCCGACACCCGGAATCGCAACTTTCCCCTTTGCGTTTACGTTTGCGGCCTCGACGCGCCGGCCCGTGCGCGGATCAATCATGCCCTCGGCCGCAGCGTCGTTGTTGGCATTCGCCTTCTCGTGCTGGCGCTGCTGGTGCCGCCCGGCCATCTTGACTAGGTACGGCCGGATCAGGCAGTATGTTCCTACGATCATGACGAGGCGGATCCACGCGCGTGTGTCCATTGTTGTGAAGGCTGATTTCGAGTTGCGGAAGAAGTTGTCTTTCCAGGTGTTGAGGAGGCCGGGGAGTTCGGCGAGTTGGTCCATTTTTTTCTTCTGGTTTTTGGTTTTGTGTACGTGTGTGTGTGTGTATGTGTAGGTTGGGTCGGTGGGTGGTTTGGACGTGAGGGGTTTTCTCGGCGCGCGGAGAAGGAGTTGGGGATCGGGTTGGTCCTTGGGGGGAGGGAGGACGCGGAGGTGATCAAGGTGTCTTTCTGGATTGGAAGAAGGGGGTAAGGTAGGTTGAGTAACAACAGCAGTGTTTCAATGTCGATGTCTTTTTTCTGTTGGCGGTGGTGAAACGGGGCGTCCCTGTACTTAAACACGCAGACAAAAAAGGGAAGAAGTGCAGTCGTCCAAAAAAAACCCCCAGTACTTTATAAGTGAGTTGGGGCAAAGGGTAGAAGAAGGGACGGATTGTTTTGTTTTGTTTTGGTATTGCGGTTCGGCGGTTGGTTGGGCGAGGAGAAAAAACCGAAAATGGCGCTCGCTCGCTCGGAACCATTTCCTTTCGCTTCTTCCGAAGTTTCCCCCCTGTCCCGTTGGTTTTTGGTGGGGCCCAATCGGTGAAGCCTCGGCATACGTAGCTGACCAAGTAGCTGTCGCGTCATCTCGACTACACACGCGTGTTAGAGCGTTGATGTTTGTATCAATGTCTACCGCTACAGATACACATCTGCTACAACTAAATAACCATCCACCCCTCGCTCTTCGATCAAAAAAGCCCTCCATATATCCCCGAACCTCGCAAACCAGATTACCATCAACCTAAATATCGATCCCCACCCAACCGCACAAAACGCCTTTCAACCTCCACACACCATGGCTCCCAGCGACGAGGATCTCGAGCGAGAAGAGGTACGCAGCCAACCATCCATCCACCCCCCAAAAACCCAAACCAAGCACCAAAACCAGACAAAAAAAACACACACACACACATACATAAAAACATGATCGAAAAAAAAAGAAAAGAAAAGAGTCCCCGTATCGCTACCAATCACCCCACTCATTCTCTCAAACCAGCGCCTCAAATCCGCCCTTTGGTACTCGATCGGCCAATTCGTAGACGAGCAAGGCATCGACCACAATTTCAACGCTACGCCGCAATTCATCGGCGCCCTAACCGAACTCGCATATACCCAGATCGGTAAACTACCCTACCCTATCCTACCCTTTCCCTTTTTCCCCTCCTGACACTTCGTCTCCCCTCCTTCAAATCATTCGGGTGTCATGGAATGGAATGGAATGGAATGGAACGGTACTAACGACGCGCCGCAGCAAACTCGGCCCGCGACCTCGAAACGTTTGCGCACCATGGCGGCCGTAGAGTCGTAAATGCTGATGATGTCATGTTGTTGGCGCGGAGGAACGAAGCGCTTGAGGCTATGATGAAGATGGAGTTGGATCGCTTGAGGGCTGCTGAGGGGAGGGGGGGGAGGGGGAGGTGCTTCTGGAGCGGCGGGACCGGGGAAAGGCGCTGGAGCTGGGGATAAGGGTGGTGAGGCTGTGCCGAAGAAACGGGGACGGCCGGCTGGGGTGGGGAAAGGGAAGGGGAGGGCGTAGGCGGTGGGGCGTGTGGATGGATGGATGTATGGATGGATGGATGGATGGATGGATGGATGGATGGATGGATGGATGGATGGATGGATGGATGGATGGATGGATGGATGGATGGATGGATGGATGGATGGATGGATGGATGGATGGATGGATGGATGGATGGATGGATGGATGGATGGATGGATGGATGAGTGGTAGATGGATAAGAGTGAGTGATGAATGATGGATGATGGATACATTATGTATAGATACCCCTTTCTCTAGTTCAGGAGCTTGTTATCCGGACACAGTTTGACCATAAATTTTATACGGTTTCTTTCCAGACAACGCTGCCAATTCCAGAAACAGACATGGAACGACAAAGTTTCTTGATTCTTGCCGTCTAACCCCAGCCCAATCAATGCAACGAGAAGATAAAGATCCAAAAGCAAAGATTGATGTAATCAACCATCTATATTCCGAAAACACAAGCCGTCTCTACTTTCTCAGTCTGACACGCTTCCCCGAAGGAGGCTCCAGCTCATTCTCCTTGCCATTACTCACCAGTACTGCCGCTTCAGTCTCACTTGAAGAAGGCGCCCAATTGGGTTTATCTTTATCCTTCTGCTCATCTGCCTCCTTCTCCGCATTCTTCAAACTGGACTTCACAGCCCACGGCGCGAGAATAGACAACGATAACACTTCCTTGCGGGATGATGCGCCGCTTCGCCGGCGGCAAGATGTAGAACCTCGTTTGGAAATGTCGTCTTCATCGTCGCTATCGGCAAGGACGTGTCTACCTAGCACTTTCAATGCTTGGTCCTCCCGAGCTCGCGCTTTCTCATCAGACAAGGAGAAGAAACTAGATCGCTGCGTCTTCGCCTTTCCAGACTTGCTAGGCTCATTCCCATCTTTGCTCGGTTCTCCACTTTCAAGTTTCTGCTCCTCCTCTTCTTCTTCCAAAGCTTCGCTAAAATCCCACATCATCGCCAATTCCCCCTTGGCGAGCGCAGTCAACCACAGACTGCTCAGCACACCGGGGACGAGGTAGAGGAGAGCCGGTTGCGCGTGGCCCCATACATGCATGACGCCTAGAGTGCAGAGCATTCCCGCTACGTATCCAACGAGGCCGGCTTTGAAGTAGGTCTTGGGGAACGTGAACGGCGCCTCCGTTTTCGCCAACTCCTTGTTCTCGACGGAAGAGGATGGAGAAGGGGAGGGCTGGAATAGCGGACGGCCGGTGATGAGCGAGTGAGTCCAGAAATGATCGCTCCAGCGGCCAGAAAGGGAAAAGTATCGTGGCTTCTCAATGATCGTATCCTCGGCTGCTGTAACGGAGTCTCTACGTTTCTGACGGCGAAGATAGAACAGAAACAAGTCAAAGCGGAGCGCAAGGCCGATCATGATACCGGGAAGGACGACATCGCCGAGACCAAGCATGGCATGGCCTGCTTTTGCTGTGGGGTCGTCGGCAGGAGGAGGGCGTGGGAACACGAGTTTGATAGGTACATCGAGTGATTTGGCGACCGTCACCATCATAGGCCTACGCAGAGCGTTAGTCTTCTTTGCCCCGTTTGGAATGGCCACTACTCACGTAAAAAAGACAAAATATATGTCATAAAAGAACAGTGCTCCTAAGATCAGACTCCCCGTCCCAAAAGTTGTGGGCGACATGAGCTGCAGCGCGCCATACGAGAAGCCAAATCCCATCAGGTTCGTCAAGTACCACGGCTTATCCACGAAATTGAAGTATCCCACGGCGAGAATCGCAACAAGACCTCCGACCATACCATGCGGACCGATCAAAATCTTCCCGGAAAACATGTGGTGGATATAGAGTCGCAATGTCCATTTTTTGCCGGGCATCGCTCGGTCATTCCACAATAGCTTCCTCAACCCCTGCGTAAGCGGTATTCTTGCCAGAACCCCCGGCAAAGGCGAGGATATAGAGCCCTTCCCTTTTGTAACCCCCGAGACTGGCAAAGAACGCTTTTCCTTTTGATGAACATGGTACAGCGTACCCGCCAAAGCGTACCGGTGCGGGAAGATGAGCGAGTGTCCCACGTCCAGCGTATCCGTAATAAGTCTGGAAACGGAGAAGACTCCAAACAGCGCAAAGTACCAATTCAGGAATTTGTTCAGCAACACGGGGTCTTCTAGCCACTTGATCAGAAAGTACAGTCCCGCGAGCGTAAGACCAGCGAACAAGGGCATCATGATGGCGTCTGTAGGTGCCAGACCTTCCATTCTGTGCTCGTCGTCTTGGTCCTCGTCCTCGTCTTCCGAATCCGAATCCGTTTCTGAGCTAGACGCGTCGTCCGATTCCGACCGTTGCTTTCTCCTGCGCGCTCGACGTTCTTTCTTGGTCGGTTTGGCGGCGGAGGAGGGGCGAGTGAGGGATGCGTGGGCGCCAGCGTAGATGGGGAAAAGCGCGGAGAGGAGGAGGTGGGTGTAGGTTGGTATGTAAGGTCGAACTTCGGAGTACACATCTGCCATGCGCGCCCAAGGATCTGCGGCGTCGTCCATGGTCGCCATGGTGTTAGAGGGGAGCACCTAGAAGGATGTGGTCATGCAGGTTGATAGCTTTAGTTGACCGATTAATCTAGAAAGACGGTAGTGTAGAAAAGAGGGAAGCCTTTTTATAGCGAAAGTAGTGCCGCATGCAAATCAGGCAAGCATTGGCAACGTGCTGATTGTGGTTTGAGTTTGGCGGTTACAGCGAAGGTGGACTTTTGTATGCATGCAAGGGCAAACACTGACGCAACGGCAGCTTAACCGAAGATACCCCATTGAGGAAGTCTGGTAGAAGCATTGAATGCGGCGTACGTGATGACGGCGGGGTAGGCAATCAAGTGCCCCACTTGAGCAGACAGCCAATCGCCAAACTAGTTGTAAACAAGAGAGTACATATATGTACATTGCGAGTAATAACATGCGGTACTTCAAAGCCAAATATCCCAATATGATCAGTGCTAGTGGTACAAGCACAATCAAACAAAATATGTATAGCTCATTATTTGCCTTGTCCAGGAACAATCAAATAACAAGACACTTGCTAAGACATAGTATAAACAAATGCTCAACGCCAGCGCCATATACAAACAAGGGTGCGCGGATGTCTAAAGCCAGCACCAACGACAAAATAGAAATTGAAACCTCTACATAACGCCAATAAATCCCATAGCATCTGCGTAAATCTATGATGAGTCTTGTACTAAACACCAGCTCCAAACAAATATCGCCAGAAAAAAAAAAGTTCACAGATCCATGAAAGACATCCATCTTCACAGACCGCCCGAGATTTGCCCTCCAACAACACCGCCCAGACACTCCCCAACTACCCCCATGACTTCACCCGGCCACGCCCTAACAAGCGGTGCCAAGTCCATTTTCCCAACCAGCATTCCCTGTTTTGCGCTCCAGCGCCTTTCACAAACTCCCTTTACAGTCTCCCAGTCCTGGCGTGGGAGCTGGAGTCTTAGTCTGGACTCTACAACACTTTCTTCTTGCTCTTCATCATCGTCCCCGTATTCCGCTTCATATTCTTCTTTCTCTTCCTCTTCATCATGCGACATCGTGGCCTGATTTTCACCTTCTTCCACTTCTTCTTCTTCTTCCACTTCTTCCTCGTCTGAACAATGCTCATCGTACTCGTACTCATCATCATCATCATCTAGTATCAATGCCCCCAAACTGCCACCCTCCCCCTCAAACTCCCCGATCATTTTGCGAATCCGAACTTGACTCCTGCAAAACAGCACGCAACACGCCGTCACCAATATACTCTCGCCAGCAGCAAATACAGCGGGGCGAATCTCCGTGCCGTAGTAGCAATCGTCGAACTCGAACAAAAGGGGGACGGTTTGAAGATGCGGATGCTGGGTGGAGAGGGCAGCGGCGAAACGTTGGTGATCGAGGTTGTAAAAGGAGAAGAGCGCGGCTTGTGTGTTGAGCGTTTGGTTGGGAGGGGCGGTGGCGGTTAGAGTAAGGGATGCGAGGGAGGGGGTTCTCTCCAGAATGTGAATCAACGTCGAGACTAGGGTTAAGTCAGTTTTTGGAAGTTGTGAAAAAAAATGTGCCGGAAGCTATGAGGAGGATATACCATATTCTGCAGCACCACAATCGCTACTCTTCCACGCCCCATTCAAGCCTTCAATCATGTTGCCGCCAACACCACCGATTCCGCAACAGCCTCGGAGCACACTCGGAACGACGACATCAACTCCCTCGTCCACACTGCCCAACTTCGGCGCGTAGAGTAGGTTGAGACTCAGGTGTCTGATCAGTCTCAAGTCACGGGTTCTCAGTGGCGGATCATATATTCGCTCAGGTTCCTTCTCTTCCTCATTTCCACTTTCTTTGCTCTCGTGACCTCGATCATCTCCTCTGCTGACAGAGCTGATGCTAAACTCATTCCTGCTGAGAAAAACTGCCCTAGCTTCGCCTCCCACTTGCCTATTTGTCCTCAAGATCGCCAGATCAAGACCATGTCTCTTCCCAGCGCGCGCTGCGCGTCCTTGGAGAGGAACTTCAGAGATAACAAGGTATGAATATATGGTGAGACGTAACTCCGTGGGCAAAGACTCGAGGAAGTGGCATTTAGCGGAACTTCTTGGTGGTAGCCAGGGCTTCATGATGGACTCGAGAATGGTTGTTGACCTTAACGTTGTTTTTCGTGATGGAAACGTAGGAAAGACTGCAGTGGTAGACTTTTGATATAGAACGGAGATAACCGCTGAACCCCTCGCCACTTGATTCTATTTCAATTCAACAAGTCTCGAGAGTATAGGACCAGTCAGGGTCGTGTCAAACGGGAGTAGCTGCAGCAGACACATATTAGCATGTTTCGGCTGGGGAGTTCAAACAGGCGTAAGACTTACCATATATAGCTCCGATAAAACCGATCTCCGCAAAAGTGTTTGAGACCGAAAAGAAAGAAAAGAAATATAGTATTTGATTAGTCGTTTAGTGCTCAATGATGATGAATGCGGACGGGTAACGAAAGGATGGGGAAGGGAAGCAAGCCACTTCTATAACCCACCACCACTTCCAGTCCCGTGTTCAGCACCAAAGACGCACAAGACCCCCCTTATGCCCTTGTTCTTCCCGCCTTCGATGCTTCTAGGGTGATCTACACGTCAATTCGGCACTCGTATCCGCCTGTGTAGCATATTCGGCCACGGTGCAAACCCCTACACCTGCCATGCCACAGCAGCCACGCTTTCTGCCTCCGTTCACCATTCGTGGTCTCGCTTGTTCGCCATACCTTACGGGAAGAACTAGTCTTGCAACTAGTGTACCACACCAAACGACACTGCCAGAAACACACCGGTTTGCGACTAATCGTTTTCTAGCGTTTTGACTAGAACTCATTCCCGCGGACACAGACAACCGATTCTGGTAGGTTACGAGAGATTTGTGTCATCTTTTGACGCTGGAATCAATAGACCGTGTCAAAGTAGCCGCTAGAACAGGAACAAACTCATTCCGTACCAGGCCTCGACGTCATGGTACATTGATGAAGAAAAATGAGCTGCTTTATCTGCCCAATAGTATTGATCCAAATCACATGAGATTGTTCATTTCTCATGCCTGGATCCGTAATTCGCATCTCAACATATGCCATATGGCGCGATACAGGGTAACACGTGGTGGTGGATTCGCCTCTGGATCAAAACTCGAGTTTCATCATCTCAAAGTTCGCGCCATCGTAAAGTCGTGGATTGATCGTCATTTAAGTAACACCGAGTCGGCGGACAACAACTCGGTATACATCCGAGAAACGAGTAACTGAAAGGAAACCGTGCCGAAACCAAGGCGAGCTGCTAAACACAGATCAAGCGCAAAACTCATGTGTCATCATTCGTAGAAAAATCATACAGTCATATCCAATCGTGAAAGCGTAAATGCGAACAAAAGGAAATTTGTTGAAGAATGCAACCTACTCAAAACCCTCCTAATGACCCAGCTCCCAAGAGAATACAATCAATAGTCGTGCCTGCGTCGGCTGCCGCCATGCCTTCGACGCGAACCTGAATTTGAGTCGGAATCGCTAAAGCGCTCATCGTCGCTAAATCGATCCTTGGACGGTGAGTAGTCTCGTCTTCGGCCACTGTGCCGGCTCCGACTACGTTCACGGCGTTCAGCCTTGTCACTAAAATAACCACATATTGATTAGCAAACCGTGACCAAGCATTGCAAACCAGCGGTAGCGCGAGCAAACACGAGGGGCCGATATTCCACTCACATCTCGTGTCGCTTCTCGAATTCCCTCCCGCCGAGCGCGCCAATACCCGCACCTATAAGAGTACTTAGCGTTCCATGTCCCAGTTTACTACCCACTAATCCTCCAGCTAACGCACCTCCCACCGAAGCCGCCAGGTTTTTATCATGCATGTCGAGATTCTCGAGCCTGTCACGAACTTTATCAGTGACTCGGCTGCGGGAACGAGCACGTTGATCAGCAGACCTCGCCCTGTTGTGCTTTCCTTCACCACGACGGTGGTGATGATGCGAGGACGAGGAGCTACCATGGCGGTTCGGTGGGTCATATGCGGCTACCTGGTATTGACTATCGGAGTAGGGGTACTGGGCCACAGATGGCTGTGATCGCGACTCCTGTCTGTAAAAGGGCGGAGGAGAAGGGTAAGCGTTGGGTACTGGACTGGCGGGGGTGTATTCGGCAGGTACATAAGGGGCGTATGCAGCGTTGGGTGGAGGAACCGGTGCACCGCCAGGAGCAGGAGCAGGGGATGGAGTATACCCTGACGCGGGAGTATATCGCGCTGCTGTAGAAGATGAAGGCTGAAGGGAGTCAGTAGGGGGAGGAGTAATTAATGCTGCCAAAGGAGGTTCGTAAGAGGGGACAAAGGATGTGCTGAGCGGGGAGCTGGCGCGTAGTGAATGAGGATGAGAACGGAGAACGGAGAACAGCGGCGTCGACCAGCGCAAAGGAGGTCGTCCCATCGTCGCTGCACGAGCCAGAGGCGTCGGAAGAGACGAGGTTCGGTCCAATGGAGCTGTCGCGCTGCGTAAACGAGAAATGGCATTTACCTGAGCTGGATATCCGTAGTCGGGTCTTGTGGCAGACTGCTGTCTGGCATAGGGGTCTCCTTGATAGGCATTTGGTGGCGAGGGAGCAGTCGGAGGTGCGTAGTCGCGTGGATCGTACGGTCTGTATTCGGAGCCAGGTGGAGGAGGAAACTGGGCAGGAACAGGACCAGCACCGGCACCACCACGCTCTCTCCCGTTCATGTCTAGACGTTCCTCGCTGTCCAAAGCGCGATTGCGCACTCGATTCCTCCCTCGACCGCTGGAGCTTCGAGAATCGGATTGGCTAGGGCTGCGTCCCAAGCTCTTCGCGCGGCGGCTGTCTCGACGGCTGCGCTCTCGCTCGTAGTCTGTATCGTCGTATGCGCTGTAGTCGGAGTAGTCGGACGGTGGAGGCCGTTGTCGCGGGCTGCGGCGTCGTTGGCGGGCAGCAGGCTGTTCACTCTGGCGTCGCGAACCCTTCTTTGCGTTCTTCTTCTCGGGCGGCTTGAAGTAACCCCCGGGGATTTTTTCGAAAGCCTTGTCGGGGATGCGGTCGGCGCCCACGGAGAGGGCTTTCAATGCGAGCACACTCATCTTGCACGAAACCTGGTATGGAGCTGACTGAGTGACGTAGTGGGGCCGATGGTGATTGGACGATGGGTGGAGGAGACGAGGCTGGCAACGCAGGGCACCTTGGGCGGGATACGATGGTTCGGCGGAATTAGAGAGAAGAAGAAATGAAATGAAGGAGACGGTGATTGTCGAACGGGGATATGCTTGGTAAGAAAGGGTGGAGGGATGAATGGGGGGGAGACAGACAGACAGACAAAAAGGAAGCAATTGGGAGGGATACGCGTACACGGGGGAAGGGCAAGACTTTATTCAGGTCAAGGTTATTTTTGCAACTGCTCAGGAGGGAATGTGTTCCATCTGAGCCGAGGCGGCACGATGGCAGTTTCCTCGATGCGCAACGCACTTGCCGTGGGAAATCACATTTGGCTGTTGCCGTTGTCAACTCTATTCCCAGCCCCGCGTGACGTCACTGCGACTTCGCGACGAGAAAAAAACAGCAAAAAGGTCCAAACCTTCGCACCCACGGGCCCTGCGCCAGCCATCAGCCGCGACAGGGTGCTGAGAGAAAATCGCCCGACCGTTCCAGATGCATCCAAAACATGCCATGGAATCATCCCAACTCCCGAACTCTCCGCCACGGGGATCACGCCGTCACCGCTTCGTTCTTTGTACCCTCTCCTTCAAAGACCCTCTCTCACCATGCAACCAACGCCTGTCTTTATCTACAACAGCAGTGGAGGAATGAACAGAGGACACAAAACCTCCGTGATCCATGTTCAACGGTGATGTGCAGTGGGCACATCTCCACATGACTCAGTCGTCTTCCGACCCTGACCCCGGGCAATCTCACTCATTCCTTCATACGCCACGCCACGGTCGTCAGTCGTCAGTCGTCAGTCGTCAGTCGTCAGCATCGTGGAACCCTCTCACCATTGATCCCGTGGACACTCTGCATATTCCTCTGCACCACCAACCGTGCCGTTCGACATTGGTGCCCGAGACATCTCTTCTACCCCTCCATACAACCCGTAATCTAGCGAACTCCAACTTCTTCTCCTCTCCGTCGTCGAGTCGTCTTGGATTGATTCGTCTTAGACAGGAACAAGTTACTTACATACCCACATTTCTCAACCCAACCCCCTGCCCCACGTCCAAACTGAACTTACCCCATGCTCTCTTTGCATGGCTTCTGTGGACAGTTAGTCCAGATATCCATGCCCCAATGACGACATTAACCGTTCTACCTTTTATTTCCACCTCCTTCACCGCCATCCTACCTTTCCTCACTGGTCGCCACTTGGCGGAATAGTAATTGTTATCGTTTTGTCGACGTGGCTAGCTTTGCTGATCGCCATCGCCCGCCTCTCAAACAGCAGCAATCATCACCCATGACTGATCCCGCATCTCCCACACGAGTTCCATTCACTGCATCATGAATCTCCCGCACAATCACGATGAAGCTTCTCGTCAATCGAGATGCACTCTAGATAACACATTCATCCGTGTGGCAAATAAACCAGAAATAATACATGCACATTAGGTATTAACTGATTTCGTGGGGTATCTGCTCATCAGACCTCAAACGCCACGCTCTGCACCAAACTTACCTAATCATACAAAGTGAACAAATAAAAAACAAAAACAACACCCTGATCGCCTAAACTTCAACCAGACTAGCCGTGCTGTCCGCGGGCGTTCGCAATTCTCCAGAAGGTTGCCCGGTGCTATCGGGAATCTCAATCAAATCCTCGATCATCCGAAGAAAGCGCTGCTGGTATTCGTCACTCGTCGTGGTGATGGACATGGGCCCGTGATCCTTCCCCCACTTGAGGAAGTTATACGAAGCCACAAGCCCGGTCATGGCATGCGCCTGCAATGCGTCCTTGGACCAGAAAAAGTCGAGGAGAATCGCTCGGTAGATCCACTGGCCATCGCGGGACGTGACGCCCGTGCGCCAGGGTGAGCCCTTACCCGGGGTTACGGGGACTGCAGAAGCCAGAGACGCAGGGTATCGGACGAGAAAGAAGCTGTAGTCTACGGCGTTTGCGTCTTTTAGGATTCTCGTGTCTTTTGCGATCTGAGCCACGAGCTCTTCCTTCTCGTCGATCGTCACGCGTACCTTGTCAGGAAACTCATCAATCAGTCGCTCCTTAACGCTATCTGGGGCCAATCTTCCGCCTGCGATATCGCGCTCTGGGTAGAAGTAGTCGTTTGGCTTCAAGTCGTATGTTTGCCATGCATCCTGGTCGTCTTTGGAGCAACTCGATTTGCCGAACAAGATGTTCTCCATGACGATGTGGTGGTCTGGTGCAGTTCCCATAAGTGCTCCAAGCGTGGTGGATGGTGTGTGCAAGAGATCGGTTATACGGACGAGGAGAGATGAAGGGTTGGTTTCCATGTGCTCGGCGTACGTGTCTAGGAGGCGCTGGCGGAAGAAGGATTGCTCGAATGCGCGTGGCAGGGACTTGATGAGGAACTTCGAGTTGGGGGAGGTGAAGAACGTCTAGAGAAATGTTAACCGGCGTTTACATAGAACGCGCGCCATGTGCAGTCCATACCGAGCCTGAGTACCCCAGATCTCCAACTGAGATGAGATCAGTGCGCTTGCCCTTGCTAGGGGACCGGAACGACTCCGTGTACTCCTCTTCCTCAATCTCCCATATTTTGTTCCTCAGATATTCGAAAAGGTCTGCGCGGTACCGTGACAGAGCGAGGGAGAAGACGGAGAAGAAGGCGAAGATGCGCGCGAGGAGACCTGGTCCTGTGGCAGGATCGCTGGACTTTTTCGTCTGGAAGATGGCCCGCAATATGGACGTGCTGATTAGGCGTTGTCGTCTACCCATCGTGAAAACTGACCTGGCGTCTAGTCTGCGAAGTTGTTTGTTTGTCGACGGCGGCGGGCATGTGCAGAATGGAGGTGAGGATTAAACATACGTCATTGAGCTTGGCACTTCTCAGGGCTCGGGTGATTGGCTCAAGGATTCCACGTTCCGTCAGCAGTCACGACGTCGGGAGAAGCAAGCAACATTGAACGTTTGAACAACAGACACCACCAAAAACATCATGTTTGGATTGATCATCAAAAATCCGCGACTGAGTTGAATCCTTGGATCCCCAGCACCAATCATGCATTCAGCCTATTGCTGAGTTATCTTTTCGTATTCCCGGTTATCAGTTCAGCTTCTTTCCCTATGGCCCTCGATAAAGTTCGTTGACAATTTGAATTTCAATACGTGTACCCCACCCCCTGAAGGTAGGTTACGAACGAAAAGACTGTCTTCGGAGTCTTGATTTGAAACGATATCAACAGACAAAAAAGGCGGCCACGTCGCGTGACAATAGGGACAGCTCAATCCGTACGACCATGATTCAGCAAACTTGCATACACACACTGGCTCTCCCCTTGAAGAATCTCGTATTGAAGCACGGACAATATCGCCATCCAAATCTTCGGTCATGTTGAATCCCGGAATATCTACATACACTTCTCGTTGATCTAGACCTGTTCGATATGCAGTGGCTGCATCGCGCAAACTATTGATAGCGCCCCACTGTGGCCGAGACCAGACGGTAGGCTCGGGTTCGCAGTCGAAGAACTCCCATTGTCAGCAACGCATATCTTCCTGGATCTGGCCTATCAGGTACTGCTTATATCATTCTGCTCGTCGAATGGCAAGAGATGCGGAATCTGGTGTGTCACCGTGGCGTGAGGGGTCACTGGGACCTGAGTTGATTGCACATCTGAGTCTGTTAAAGAATTTCTTATCATCAATAAGCGCAGAATCTACAAGATACGGGACTGTTCCCAGCTGAGGGGAGATACACCAGCATAGCAGCAACCCAGAGCTTGGACTCCAAAGCCGGAAGAGCTTAGGTACAGAAATACATACAGGTTCCAAGAAGATTCAGACGAGCGATCGCATCCACAATGCGTCGCCCTTCGAGCGTTATTGCCGAGCCTTGGCTGTATAGTGGCCAACCTTCCATGCAACGAAGTTGTACAAGGGTAAACGTTGTCCGACATGACTTGCTGCTTTGGCATTGCGGCACCTCAATGTTTATTCCAGCAACGTGGTCAATGCAATCGACACTACCGAGATTCACATCCCGAGCTGTTCACTACTCAACCCCACGTATCCAACTCAGCTCTCTGAACAGACCTATCAAGAGGCAGAACTCAGTATACTAAGATCTAAGCGTTCGCAGTTCAGATGTCTAGACCTTGTGCAACAGACAAATAAAGATCTTCAGCATCAGCATCAGCAAGGATCATAGCAAGTGGAACCATGTATCTTCCTCATGGCAACTGTACGACGCTGCCAAACGTGCATGGATGCGGGCCACTAGTAACATCTCAAACCGTCGTGGCTGCCGCGGCATGTTTAGCATAAAGCAGAGCATTTTGGAGGATCTCCTCTTCAACATTGGCTATCTTCACCTTAGTCTACCCCTCTCCTCCAGATCCTCATCGCTTCTCGCCAGTCTACACATATCATCGTGCACATTCTTCTACTGTGGCGCTCCGTCTTCGAGAATCCGTGTAATGTCAAGTGTTAGGCTTACTGCCGATTCCTGACTTGCTTTCTTAAGCTCCTAGTCGGATCACATCTTAGTACCCTAGTTCTATTCACTCCTAAACCCCTGTACCCATCTAGAAATCCCTTTACCACCCCCAATACTTGCCCAGCTCACGGCTTCATACACTCTCTCAATTAACAACCTGGAGATGGCCTCTGTCGATACCCAACACCCCACCGAGCCAGCTCCCCCCGCTCTCCCCGACTATGTCACTGATCCGGACGCCGTTCTCAAGGATGCGGAAGCCAATTGGCGGTATGGTCGCGCCCCGGATTACTCAAAAACGCGGAAGGTATTTGCCGAGACTAAGAGCATGAATCACGAGGCGCTTTCGCTGCCGCACCTTGTAGAGAATTTGGTAAAGAATTGGGAGGTGGAGGCTTCTTTCAAACCGGTTCTGCAAGATTGGAGGACGGTTGATCATGCGTGAGTCTGGTCAAATTTGATTCATCGCAAAGGCAAATTAGATATACGGGGTACCTGTCGGGGGATCATACGGTGTCATTCTTGAGCATTCTGACTGACATGCCGATTTGGAAACAGTAATTACAGCTTCGCTATCAATGGCGGTGAGCCACAGAGCGCCGAACATATGCTGAAGCAGGGGACCTACAATGCCATCATTTCCCCAAACGAGTACTACTCACCCAAGTACTCCGATTTTGCAAGTAGTCACAAGACTTTCAAGCGTATGATGCCGACATTCGCATGGTATGTTTGAAATGAAGAATATGTCATTGTCTCTTTACTAATGCAATCGTGTTTTTAGGGAAGTCTTGGAAGTTTACAGTGGGCCGCCGACGGTTTCTTTCCGGTGGCGACACTGGGGAGTGATGAAAAACGACTACGTGGGTTTTGATAAGTAAGACATCATTGAACTTGAATCTCACCGACATTGTTTGACGATGAACAGTAAAGGACAGAAAGTGACTGCCAAAGCCCACGGTGGCGCAATTGATATCCAGGGAGTCACTGTTGCTACCGTCAACGAGAAACTGCAGCTCCAATCTGTCCGCACTTGGTTCGACCCGCTCGACATGTTCCGACAGATTGCTCCTGATGGCGTCGTCAAGAAAGAGGCCGTAGACAAGGGCTTATCTCCTGAAGATGCCTTGGATAGCGAGAACAAGGTGGAGTTGGATCAGAAACTGCGAGTGGATGAGTCGTCTTATCCTGCCAACCACCCCCATATCGATGCGCTGTCCTTGGCTGCCAACGCTGGATGTCCCTTTGCGGAAACCAATCCGCGAGAAGAGGTCTCACCTTTCCCTCCAGCTGTGGTGGATAACGTTAAGATGAATGAGATGACTCAACAGCTGGGAGAGGGCAAGGCAAGACTGTCACATCCCGAACTTCCCATTGATGACGTGAAGATGGAGATCTTGACATCTGGGCAACAAGAGGGGTTTGATCAAGATCCGCATCACACCTCATCGCACTAGAAGTTGTGAGTAAATGCACGAGTAGGCTCGTGTGAAGAATCTCGGATTGCACCAGATATTCATTAAATCTTGATTTTTATCAGGTGCTCTGTCCGAGACGCAATACGCATCCTGAATCTCGTCTATGTAATAACGAGCGCCAGTTCCCTTCCAAGCAAATGGTCAATTGATTATTTCACTCGCGTATGCGCCAGAGTTATTTGTACCTTTTTTCTAATATTCAATTGAAGTATGCGAATAGGGATTATGTCAATGATAAGTCGCCTCTCAAAATACCGAGGGTCGCATCTAAGTTCCCTCCATCTCGGAAGGAGCACATCTTATCTCATCCTTGCAATGACCACCACCCTTGTTCGGATCGGCCCTTCCACCAAGATGGGCCTGGTGTACCCGTAACACGACAAATCTCTAACCTATCGATAGATGCATCCCAACCCCAACCATTCTAACTGCGAACAGGAGATGAATAAACAATGGGTACGATCCTCACGACCCTTTTCAACGCGTTACGTGCGATACGAGCAGCACTTCACTTACTCTCCGCCCTCTCAGCCTCTTTCAACGAGGCCTTGAAACGGTCCGCCAATTCACCAGGTCTCCCCGTAAAAGCTCCAACGAAAGCATATTGGCAGAACAATCCTCCTTTCCCAGATCTGGTTAATGTGAGCTCGCATGAACTACCCAAGACCACAGACGTCGCCATCATCGGCTCAGGTATCGCAGGCGCATCTATCGCATGGTCGTGGCTCCACGAGAAACGCCGCCTTTGCAATAACGGCGCAGAAGAAAAAGTCGTCGTCCTAGAAGCACGGGAGTTATGCAGCGGGGCCACAGCGCGGAATGGTGGACATATCAAGGTCGCAGCCTATGAAGTGTTTTCGCGCCTCTGCAAGGCGGGAATGGCAAAGGAGCGTGCGGCGGCGCTGGTGCGGTTCCAGCTGCGCCATGTAAAGTCGTTGATAGAGCTTTGTCAGACCGAGGGGATCGATGCTGCGGAGGCGCGCGAAGTGGAGACTGTCGATGTGTTTGCCGATGAAGAGGCTTTTCGCGAGGCCAAGAGGGGTGTTCAGGATATGAAAGAGTGGTTGGGCGAAGTGGAGGTCAATGTTTGGGAGAAAGATAGGGCGCGAGAGGTTTGTGATTGGTTTCGTTGTCTTCTTTCGTTGGCAGTATACTTACGTCGTACTTGACAGATATTCGGTGTAAACGAGAGCATCGCGGGCGCATTGTCATACCAAGCAGGCGCTATATGGGCATACCGATTCACTACGTCCATTTGGAAGAACCTGCTTGAACAATTTCCCAACACCCTCTCAATCGAAACCAACACACCTGTACTATCAATAGCCGTCTCCCCAGCAGGAGACGACAGACCAAAAGGCTTCCCATACGCTCTCCAAACACCCCGAGGAACTATTTACGCTAAACATGTCGTACATGCAACAAACGCCTTTGCAAGCCATCTCGTGCCAGGTTTGCGCAGCAAAATTGTAGGCGCGCGGGCACACATGTCCGCTCAAAGTGCAGGTCATGAATTCACCCGGTGCTCTACCAAGGGAATGCGCTCGTGGGGTGTCATCTATGGCGACGGATTTGACTACGTTACCCAGCGCCCGGCCCAGCAAGGTGATCTAATGGTCGGTGGGGGTTTCAGACGATCGTTGAACCAGGGTGTCGATCAGGTCGGCGTATACGATGATAGCGCTGCACTCGATGCTCTGACCATGTCCCACATCGCAGGTGTTCTCCCTGCAATCTTCTCCCCCAACTGGGGTGCCGGGATCGCTCTCAAACAGGCCTGGTCTGGGATCATAGGCCTGACGGGCGATTTCCTGCCCTTCGTTGGTCCGTTGGATTCAACGTGGACGGGTCGAGTTGTTCGTCATGAGAGAGCGGATGCAAAGTCGAGCGTGAGAAGTACCGCTGATAGCCGCCGAAGTGGAGAATGGATTGCAGCCGGGTGGGCCGGGGAAGGTATGGTGTGGGCGTGGCTATGTGGAGTCGGTCTTGGAATCATGATTGCCGGTAGCGAAGAAGATGACTCTAGGGAAGATGTGCCAGGGCTTCCAGGCGGCAGAATCGACGAGTGGCTCCCGCAAGAAGTTTTGATCTCGAAGAGAAGAGTGCAAACGGCAGACGTGTCCAATCTGGCCAGCTAGTACTTGATACTGATGGTTTCTACTACATACTACGTACGGTATGTACACATATGATCATCTACACTAGATCTGATTCTTCACATTCAGATCTTCTCTGACGCTAAGCTTGACTCCAGGGCGAACAGATTGCCTCGAATTCAGAAAGCGTCTACAATGTGCCCATTCAAGCATGTTCGCATGAATACAGCGTGTAGATATGAAATACGAGGTTGTTCCGCCTCGACACCTCGAACACTTTGTGCCATGTCTGCACTCGCAGTTTGCACGGCCCGAATATGCTCCTACAGATAGAATATCCCAAAACTCGCGTTGAGCAATTCCCTCAGTAGTCGCCTTCTTCACAAAGATGGGCAACACAATGTCCTCCATGGTCTCAAGCAGGGCACACGTCAACGGCGCCACACTGCAGAATTCCATATCCCAAGCTATCATGATGTCCGATGCAGGTACAGGTTCTTCCAGTGATGGGTACATGTGATCGCATTCCACCGGTGCGGGTGGGTACATGTGATCACATTCCACCGGTGCGGAGGAGGGAAGCGGTAAGCGTTGTATGGGAACCCTTCGTATAATCCACCATGAATGAGGCTTGTGCCCAGAGTGGACTAGAAGACCAACAGAAATTGAGGATTCGTGGAGAACTGTATAGTCATTTCAGTCATTATCGAGTTATGCAATCAAACAATTGTCTTTAAGATGAAGAAAGCTGGGTTACCTCGCATATGACGATTCAAGAATTTCAAATTCGTCTGCGTCTCTGCAAACTCCTCACAAATTCTCTCGTTTGACTTTGCTTTGATCCATTTCCTGAAGTATGGCCCTGAAATTTTCACCTTTGGGCTTTGACCCGCTTCGCAGAATTCGACCAGCGCCTCGAAGGACCACTTTGCTAGCAATTCGTCGAAGATTTGGTCCAAAATTTCATTGGGAAATTTCATTAAAAGGGTATCGCACATGGCTCTGATGATAAAATTGGGGCGGTTGAGAATGGTGCTGTCCCTGACAATGAGATATAATGAAAAGGGCAGCCTAATAAATTACGTTCTTGACTAAGACGGATGGCAACCTCTGGATCAGACTAGCAGGGAGGTGAATCCTTACTCGCGGCGTATGATTGGGGAAGATAAGCCAAGGTAGAATTGCATCCATCGTCCTTCTTCTACCATTATCGGGATCATCAGGTTGCAATTAGTGTCCTTCGAGGATTTTAGTTTTTGCCTCTGCGACGAGTTCTAACTGCATGGCGCCACAGCTTCTTAAACTTTTCGCTTTATTCTTAATCCTTCATATATTTGAATTTACATCGTCACCAATGGTTTGGCACTCTCTTGTCTTTCTTGTTGTCAGAGCCAATCTTCCCCCACCAAGATCAACCACTCTTCTGCTTCAAAATGACCCAAATTGAACGGCACTTGGTATGGAATTGCCAGGTATTCTTCCTTTGTATGCGGGGCATTCAACTGTTGTATTAGCCTTTTGTAAGCATGCAGGACCTAGAAATTTCTAATGAGAAAGTGAACGTGGGAATATGTTCTACTAGAATACATTTCGATTCTTAAAGTATCCAAAGGCATACTCTAATTACTATTCGATACTATGCTACCCCGCCACTCCGTCACTACGTTCTTTCAATTGACCCTACTAATCTTGAAACCACCCGGAACCCTATGCTGAAAGAAGCCACTTGGGTCAAACTTCTCGGCAACTTTTCTGATGTGCTCGACGTTGGCTGGTCCGTAACTGCCAATAGCATCCTGCATTGGGTTTGCATAGGGCAAATAAATCAATTCCTCGTCGCTTCCGACCGATTTCGCGAACGCCTTGATTGATTCTGTCATAGCCGACAGCCGTTGGTAGACCTGTGGATACTGCTTCTCGCTGTTCGGGGTCAACAGAATGACACCAGATATCGTCATGATCTTGTTGCGCGAGGACCGCTCCAGACCGAGCATGTTTCCTCCCTTTTGCACACCAATGTCCGCAAAGTATGAAGGGAATGGCTGGAAATCCTGGATCGTGGCGAATTCGTTTGGTCCAAGGACTTTTTTCAAATCCTCGATGAGCTTCTCATGCTGTTCGACACAGTAGCGCATGACTTGTGGATCATTTGCGATGACGAGAGGTCCCACTCCAACATTACTATCGGTAGACGGTCAGCCATTTTGAACTTATCTCAAGGACTACATAGATGTCTTGTCTTACCGTGTATTTGCTTCCAGTGCGGCGCTTTTGGCAGAGTCGGCGAGAGTAACTGTTTGCTTCTTTGCTGGAGCGAGCGTGGGAATGCGGTTGATAGCATCAAAAACTGTGCTGTTGACTTTGCCCATGGTGTTGATCTCTTTCACCGTGATGATGGTAGCGTTTTGCTGGGGGTTGTACATCATCATTGCGATCATGGCGTTGTCATGGAATGTCTGGTCCAGATCGGTGAAGTCAGCGATTGCGTCAATGAGCCCGCCTGCGTGTTCCGAGCTGATGGTTCTTTGGTCGATGGATAATTTATCGGCGGGGAAGGTTTTGAGGTCAAATTTGGTGACGATGCCGAAGTTGCTGCTGCCTCCTTTCAATGCGCGAAACAAGTCTGAGTTGTCCGTTGCATTGGCATTGACGATCTCGCCGTTCGCCAGCACAACCTCGAAGTTGACGACGTTGTCGCAGGCGAAGCCTTCTCGAGCCGTGTACCAAGAAAGTCCTCCGCCAAGTATGAGACCGCCGACACCGACTATGGCTTCTCTTCCACCTGTGACGCCGACACCGAATTTTTCCAGTTCGGCATAGACCTCTCCCCATCGAGCTCCTGACCCCACACTGGCAACTTCGGTTTGCGCGTCAAATGTCGTGTCATTCATGCGAGACAAATCGACAATGACACCCTGCTCGATACTGTTCTGAGATCCGCCCCCATGTCCGCCGCTGCGGATGGCAATATGCCAATCGCCAGCGCCGTTTCCAGCATCTTTAAGAGCAACGACTGTCTTGGATACTTCGTCTGTGTTGCACGGAGTAACGAAGCACCACGGAGCCCTTTGCGTGTCTTTAGCCCAGGAGCCGGCAACGAGGGTCGAATAGAGCGGGGAAGACGGGAGATGCACTATAGAAGAGAGATTGGCAGCTATGAGGGAGTCACACTGAATAAGAATTAGATAAAACAGTAGATGTGTACAAAGGCAAGAGTGGCTTACTGGTGCGAAGCCGGTGGACGTTTGGCTGGTGTGGTTTGTAGTGAAAGATTGTCCTTGCACGGCTACTGGCAATAGCAGTGCCAATGCTGCAGTTGTCTGTTTTGATGGCTTTGAAAATTGTGGAATAATCATGTTGATGAATTGGGTGTGAATTGTTTGTGACGAATTGGCTTGTATGTCCATCTTTCTACATGGCAGTTGATGCTCATTTTATATGTTTCCCAGCCGTTTGCAAATAATAGCAACACTTTTTACGGCGTCCATGTACGTCATGGCAAGTGAGGCTCATCTCAAGACTTACTGGACCTGGTGGTGATTGACATTGTGTTGGTGGCTTATATGGTAGGCTTGCGATTCATGCCTTTGAATCTCGCACTTGACCCTTCATCCCGAGCGCAATACGAGACGGTGCGAAAGAGTGCGAAGCTCAGCCGCGCGCCAAGCCTCGTAAACTTCGGGAAGGCCTCGGCTGCGAGTGATCATCGGAGTCAAACTCAGGATTCCACCTCATCTCATTTCACGGAATATCATCCGACTATTGATAGCTTCGTACTACCACGGATTTCCGACGTACGAAGGACATAAACGTGTTTACATTGTTCGCCATGACGCCAGGCCCACCCGAGAAGCGACCTCGGCGTGCACACGTGAAATCCAGAAGCGGCTGCCATAATTGCAAGAAAAGAAAGGTCAAGGTGCTCCAACCCCAGAGCACCAATTCAAACGAGATTCATCTCTGATTTTTTCGTGATAGTGCGGCGAAGAACGTCCGTCTTGCCGGAACTGTTCAAGGCGAGGAGAGTCATGTGATCTTCCCGATCAGCCTGTAGTTACGGAAACTCCAGCAGCTCGACCTCCGGAATCTTGCACGGGCCAAACCATTGATTCCGGACACAATGAACCTGCACAGTCTGTTCTGTCACCTTCCGTGGGTGGCTTCAATGCCAGTGGCAGCGCGGGCTCCCATGGGCTCACACTCTTGGACATGGAGCTTCTTCATCACTACAGCATATCGACTCACCGCACGATATCTTCGGACCCAATAGTTCGAGAATGGTTTCTAGTGAATGTTCCTCAACTGGGCTTTTCGCATCCATACGTGCTCTACTCTGTCTTAGCACTATCGGCATCACACCTAGCGCACTTTCGACCAAAATCTCGACGATACTACTATGCAGAGGCCACATCTCGTCATACCCTCGCCACATCCCTGGCCACACCTCTACTTTCAAACATCTCCACGGCGAACTTGATACCAATGTACGCTTTCAGTACTCTTACAATGTTCATCTCCTTTGCCAATCTCAACGAAGAGTACGACCTTTTCTTCGATGCAAACAATGTCATACCCACATGGCTTACCCTATTTCGTGGCATTCGCACAGTGCTCGAATCGAATGATCGAGCTGTTCTGTCATCATCAATTTCCTTTCTCTTTCATGACAGACAGGATACGAACACGAACTGGGAGTCCAGGAAGCCAAACCACGACGCGCTAAAAGAATTCCAAGACCATATCGCATCCGAAGATGAGTACATACGCAACCATCTATCAGACGCTTTTGATAATCTTCGATCCGCTTTTTATGCCTTCTACGGCGAGGACCTCTCCATCGAGAGTAAAGTCCGCAGCATCTTCACATGGCTTTACCGGATCCCCGATGAATACATCGACCTGCTGCGACGGAAAAATCAAAAAGCACTCTGCATTCTAGCATTCTTTTGTGTACTACTTCATCGTTTGGAATACAATTGGTGGCTGAAAGGCTGGGGCACACATTTGATTGATCGGATCTACACAGCTCTGGACGAAGTCCACCGTTTCTTGATAAGGTGGCCTATACAAGAAATTGGATGGGTGCCGTAGGTATATGACCTCTGAGGTTGGTTCGGCATATCCAAGGAATGCAAAGTTATATCTCGCGATGCGGTTCCATTGGATCTTCTGGTGGTATTAGATAGGAAACGAGCGGTGTACAATGTAATGGAACGTCGAATGACTTTCCATGCGAATAATTTGCGGAACAAATATCTCGAAAACCAAAGCAACGGGAAGAGCCCATAACGATGATATAGGGTTTAAAGGGAGTGGTAGACAAAAACAACGACTCCCACTCCGTGATATCATGGGTAATGTAAGCGACTCTGTCACTGGCTTCGACATGGGTACTGGAGTGCACTTGAGCAAGTTTGCACAACGGGCATAACGAACGTTCCTCGAGCAACACAAGCGAGGTAGACAGCGGACTCGACACAGAAAAGCTGGAGTGCAGCAATCAAATCGGCATGTGTGGCAACCACATGGTGGTTGTCGAGGGGTATAGTGTTGTAGTGGAGGGCGGGTGGGAGGAAGAAAGAAAAGGAAATTTCTGCTTTGGAACAGCGCCACAACAGCCACAGCTTGAAGAAAGCAAAACAATCACTCTTGTGAATTTTAATGGCGGCTGGATGGTTCATTCTTTCAACTGGCTTTCTTTATACGCAAATCTATAGTAACGGAATCGAGAGCGTCGTGATCAGTAAGATACGGCTCAACACACGGACGACACACATATATGTACCTAGATATCGACATGAATACGCAGAGTCCAAGAATCAGCTTCTGACTACTTGAAGAGCCCGTGTATACGTCTACTGCTTCGCCAGACCAGAGGGAGCAAGATCATACGTGAAAAAGCATACTTTGGAACACTCAGCTGAATGTACTGCATTGTTCGGGTTGCTTGTGGGTAGCCTTTCCTCAAGATTCAAAAGCTTGGTGGCTTGGTCGTGGTTATCCTCGAACACCTATCAGTACAATCTTTTAACCACACCTTCTCGAGTACGTGCGTTATCAGTCAATTACAAATCAGCCAGACGTGCTTTTGTGACATATACACGCCTGGCTTCAGCTCTATGCCAACTGGAGGGCCGTAGATCATTTCATTGCATCTTACAGCCCAAATTTGGTACACTGAAGGTAGTTCCGGCATAACAAGATACTTGCGTTCCTATTCTTATACCTCTTCTCACTGCTAGACAAGCAACAGGTTAAGGTAGTGAATCGTTCAAAGGGCGATGAGTTTTCCAAGCTATATAGTTACGATGTTAGCTGAATCGAGAACTACCACTGTCGGCCTGGAGCGGGCTATCACTGTTTTCGAAAGTTTGCGCTTGCTCCTACGACGGTCAAGACGTACTGGGGTCAAAAAGATGGTCTAGTCATATTACTTCCAGACATCTCGAGAAAATTTGACGTGCTAATCCCTGGTACCTCAGCAGCTAAGAACGATGATTAGTTGGCAGCTTAGTTCTTCGTTTGTTTTATCTCTTACCCAATTGGAGCATCATAAGACATCACCCCTCTCATTCACTCATTCACCGCCCCCTCCTCTCCCGCCGACCCCTTCACAGACAGTGTTACCCTCGCTTATCCCATGTGTTATTCAAAAGAGCAGGGATTCTACGGGACATATAAACTCTCACACTTCGACCATAACTGACTTGCCCTTACCTCGACTAAATACACATCAACTCGCTCTTAACAACCCACCAACATTATACGCTTCCCCAACTATCAACCACTCATCAACACTTTACACTTCTCCAACTACCAACAACTTCAAGATGGGTAGTCACTGTACGTATATAACTGTGGTATAGTCTGAGACGATGTCTACGACCAGCCTCGCTAACTTAAACCCCTCATCCCAGCCTCCAAGCCCGGTCCTCCGCCTTATCAGCAGTTCTGCGAGGGCCCAATCATGATGCCCAACTGCCACTACGGCCCAGGAGGCCCAGGACGCGCACTCAAGAAGATGGTCGTTCGCGATCTCAACATCGACCCTCAGGCCGGTCTCTTCGCCTGCACCATCATCTTCGGCGCCGTCCTCGTCGCCATCGTCGTCGCGTTCTCGGTCTTGTTGCGTCGTCGTCGCAAGATGCAGCGCAATGAAGACCGCGTTCGCGATCTGGAGAATCTTACCAAGGGCGCTCAGCTTCACTGATTGATTGACACATCTGTTTTCCTGCCATTTCGACTTATGAATCGATATTCAAGGGGGGTTGATATTGGGATTGGGGAGGTTATAGGGTATCACTGCGACGGGGTTGACGTTTGAGTGATAGCGTTGCGAATAGGGCTTGGACATGTGTTAAGACAAAATGATGTACGAAACATACTAGGAATATGCATTTGGCTACATGATCTTTACTGGTGAATATACATCAGATATTGGGGAATGGATGTTGTTTGTCTTGCTCTACGTGGTCTCGATTTATGTGATGGAACACACGCACACCGCTCCTTACCACACGAAGCTTGAGCGACGAGAGTGGCTCGTGTGTATATTTCCAATACTATTTTGGTGGTGATACAATTGGTTGATCTGGGTCATGTGTGTTTTGTAGAGAATTCATTCAATGTTGCGTTGCGGACGAGCCTCTTTAGGCTTAGACGCTTTCTGCCCATGTGGTGCTTTATGGGGCGGGGGTCTTCGCTATAAACCTTGTCCCATGTATTATTGCGCATGGGCTTCAACGATAATCAGTATTCTTCAAACCCTCGAGTACACATATACCTAAAGTTCCTTAAATACTGCCACGTGACTCTACAATAGTGCGTACATTCATGGATGTATAATTTGATTCGTAAGTTTGTAAGCAGCAAGGGTTTACTCGTTTTACTAGCTGGACTCTATCCACCAATCAAAAACGGCGAGTGACGCATTTTAGCTTCGCAGTATAATCTTTTTCCAATACGCCCCCCTACGACATGCTACTTATTGTCGTCTATATGTATCAGCTACACTAAACTCCTATTCAAGTCGACCATTATTCGTCAAGCCCATGATTGTTTTCCGTGCATCGCCCATACCACTGGGTCGAATCCGCGCCAATTCCATTCTCAATCACCCACGACAGCTCCCACGCGTGATGTCTACGGTGACGAACGGAGACTTGAACAACACGGCTGCGGCGCGCGCTCGCGCTGAAATCGCAACAAACCCAGACTATCGCCACGTTTCGCTTGCGATCCCAGCGAGCGAGGATGATGCCCATGTGCGACAGATGTACCGGCCGTTTTTACTCGCCGACGAGCACGCGACGCACGATTGGATTGCGCAGTTGGAGCTCAGCACGGCGTTGAGCATGGTGGAGTCGCAGGTTTTGAAAGCGGGCGGCCAACGGCTTCGAGTTCTTGTGCTGCACGGAAGTATGCGGAAACGGTAATTATCTATTTATTTATTTATTTCTCGCCTTGCGGCGAGGTTGTTCTGCGGGGGAGCTGACAATGCATCGAGATCCTATTCGCGGTTGCTTGCCTACGAGGCGAGTCGGATCTTGTTCCGGCTCGGGTGCGATGTCCGCATGTACGACCCCAGCGGGTTACCCGTAAAAGACGACGAGCAGCACCCGCATCCCAAAGTCCAGGAGCTGCGAGACCTGAGCAAATGGAGCGACGGACACATCTGGATAAGTCCAGAGCAGCACGGGAACCTCGTGAGTTGGAATGCGCCCCAGACAGACAACTGTTCCTACCCGCTGACCAAAAATCGTGTGCAGACGGCAGTCTTCAAGAACCAAATCGATTGGATTCCGCTCTCCACGGGCTCCGTCCGTCCAACGCAAGGTCGCACGTTGGCGATTGCGCAAGTCTGCGGGGGCTCGCAGTCTTTCAACACGGTTAATTCGCTGCGGATTTTGGGACGGTGGATGCGCATGTTTGCGATTCCGAACCAGAGCTCCATCCCGATGGCCTACACGCAGTTCACAGACGAGGACGCCAGCGATGGAGGGAGTCGGATCATGCCTAGCGGCAACAGGAACAGGCTTGTCGATTGCATGGAAGAGTTTGTCAAGTATACGATAGTTATGCGGCCGCACTTTGATCTCTTTGGGGATCGATACAGCGAGAGGGAGGAGAGGAGGATAAAGGAGGAAAAGGCAGCACAGGTAGACTAGAGTGCGAAAACCGATAGGGTTGCGCAATGTATATATTTATATCTTGGAGGCGTTGATCCATATAGTTGTGTGCAGAACAAAAGTAACATTGACATACTTGCAGGTGGTGGCAATCGCCACAGCTCTTATCGTTTGTCGTGCCGTGAATTATTACTGATAGTAATGCTTACGCATCCTATGCCCTTCTACTTTAGCACAAGTTTCATAGTCTACATTTAAAGCAGCATCGATTTCTTATCTCTACATTGTCCATCTAGCACTGCCTTAACGCTTCAAACGACGACTCTTTACATTGTAAAAGCACTCGTGATCATCGAATGATTATTCGTTGAAATTGAAGGAATACGCTTCCGCTGACAGTCTGGGATAGATTTCTCAGGCACACCATATACCAGAATACCTATTGATGACGTTTCCAATGGGGTAGAAAACCCAACATGCTTATTCGAAAAACATCAAGCGTGGTGCCTATATCAGGTCGATCTCATGAATCGAGCCAACCTCGAAATCCTCCGCGTTGAAAGCGCGCACCGCGCCCTCCGGCTTCTCTCTACAGTAGAAAGCATTAGACCACCAGGTCCAGTTCATAGGTGGAGCCTGTATTCCTGGATTGATCTCTTGCCGCCCATGTAAATATGTCACCATGTCACCCAAGCGCTGGTACTCCCGCTCTTTCATGGAATTTGCCGCTATATTTTTTTTGAGTAGAAGTGACAAGTATTGCTCTCCGTTAGATATCTTGATCAACGGCAGCAAGTACATATGAGCCGTGTAGAAGCCATCCAAAGATACTCGTAGATTTTTGTCGTTATATACCAGCTCCTGTGGGGTGATGACGCCAAGAGGAATCAGACGACACTTCATCCGAAGCGAAGCCCTTGATAGCTCTCCAAAAGGGTCCGAGTGCGGTGATGTGACTTCGGCGTTGATAACTTCTGCAAGTGGGGAAAATCCCTCAGAGATAGCCAGGAATTTGATACGGCCATCAATCGATGCCCAAGACCATGATGGGGCTTGGGATTTCTTAGTATCATGTCAATCCCCTGAATTAGACGGGCAGATCTCACCTCGGTAGTCTTCAGCTCTGGAACTATCGAGAGTAGCCGTTTCCCAAAGTAGACTTGGAAGAATTGTTTGTGTCCAGTGTCCCGCAATATACTCCCAGTTGAGTGCGGTAGCAAGTACTCTAGCTACGCCACTAATAGCAACGAGTTTGTCACTCGAGACGCTCAGCAAGCAGTTTGAATATCTCTCAATAATCTGCTTCCATAATTCATAGCCATCTCCCTGTCGAGCCTTCGAAGTCCAAATCTTCGGTGTCGAGATTGACGGGAAAACAGATAACCTACCAGATACCCGCTTTGCTGTCAATTCTCGGCATTCCCAGACGATGGGATCCGAAAAATGGATTGTCCTAAGGGCAAGAAGATGCTCCTGTACCACCCAACCTCGACGGTCCAGGGGTTTCTCACAGTCGCGAGTAACGAGAAGCTCCGTTCCCACAGAGCCATTGTATCGAGAGCCAAGCGATATGGAAGCATTTGGTTCTGAGAGTTTTGTCCAAAGAAATCCATCTTTTAGCCTTGCTGCATCCGAAGCGGCAATAGTAACTGCAGCATTGCGGTATATCTGGGCCATCAAAGCTGCCTCACGATGCCATTCCGATTCATCCTTGGGGCCTTGTATGATACAGAGTGAATCGATCCAGAGGTACTTTAATCCAAGCATCTCAGTGCATTTTATTGCGTCTTGAAACGTCCGGCGAAGATGATTCAACGGAATCACAGTCTGCCCATCCCTCGTAATCTCTGCCATAGTTATTCTTGTGAGCTTAAAAAAGTCCTCTTGTCCCCATTGATGACTTAGTGCAGCATATCGTCGATCTGCTCTCGAGTTTTCAGAAAACCAAGATGTGTGACTGAGCGTCATGTCGAAAGCATCGATTAGCCGAGTCGGCACAAACATCGGAGTAGTATCCTGTCGACAGGCGCTATGCTCCATGAGACATGTTTCATAGCAACGGCGCAACATGCCCAGGTGGAGGTACTCCATACTTCTATCAGGAGGTCGAACTGGGTGCTCGAAGCGGAAGTATTGCCCCAAATCGAGGTCCTTGAGAAAGGGGTCGAATTCCCATTGAAACAGGTCCGTTGTGATAGGATCCTTCTCTACTATAGAAGAGAAAATAAGTGAATCTGGGTCATATGTTTGAGTGGCCTGTTCTTTGGGCAGTAGGTGAATATCCAGAGAAATGCGCCCGTTTCCACCGATACCATACAATAAAACTTCATTCTGGCGTAGGGTCTCGTTGAATATCATACAACGTGCGCATCTTAGTGATGATTCAAGTAAGTTATTGAGCGGTATTCCTTTTATAACTGGAACTTCGACCCAATGTTCGAGTCTGGTTCGGTTGTAGCTACAGTATCGACATAAGTGCTGTATGTCCATAATTTCTTCAGATGCTTTCGAAACTGAAGGCAAGCGAGATTCAGTGCGGAATCGAGGGAAACCGCTAAGATAATATCTGTAAACAGATTTGTAACAAGGATCGCGTATCGGATCGATCTAGCGTTTACGTCGGTGGTCGTAAGCATGCACACAAGAAGAGCTAGACATAAGGCAGCTCCACTTGAGTAATTACAGAAAATTCATAATGCGAGGCCAGTTGAACTGAATAGTTCGCATCGCTATAACACCTCCTCCAGAGCAGAGAAGTCAAGGACGCAAAAGATAAGTGCTGTCTAGGACAACTAAAAGCTGTTGACAGCCTTCGGGGCGGTGCACGCCAAGGTGGCAGCCGGCTAAGCCCCCCACGCTTCACCGGAAGATTTGGCTGCCACAAGGCACGTAGAGAGTTATATAGGCTGTATGTAGTTGGTGTAGCTGCACGACTATATATCGTGCTTGCTGTTATCTGAGCATAGCGTTGTCGCAAGGAACATTCAGCGAGGGGAGTATTTATTTAGAGACAGGGTATGGACGTATGAAGGATATTTGACCGTAAGAAGAACAGGGTACTAGTAGCGAGTACCTGATAGTTTGTCTAGTTACATAGGGTGTCCAGTAACGTAGGGACAGATGTTAGGTAGATGTATCATGTATCTAAGCGGTAAGGCCCTAGGTTCGTGTTATTCATCCATCTATCCATTTATTCATTCGTTCAATTATATGTCAAAGTACGCCTTCTTTCCTTCTCCTCCAAGCAAGAAAAGAGCCACGCAGGGCCGCGCACACACACACATACACAACAATTGCATGTTACCAATAATAAAAAGAATATAAATAAAAAACGGAAAAGTGCGTAGGTAGCGTAGAAACAGCATGTGATATAATTAGATTACTTGGACAAGACGGCGCGAGAAGAAATAAAGATTGGAGCAAAAGAGGATATGGACAAGCATGACGGACACACACAGAGAGAGAGAGAGTGTGTGTGTGTGTATGGGACTTGGCGTGATCGGGAGACGAAAAGACCCCTTCCTTACATACAAACCCAATTTTTAATAATTTTTCTCGAGGAAAAAAAAAAAGGGAATGAAGCGGTTAAGCTAGGAAGGACAGAGGTGATGGCGAGGAGGACGACAAAGACACCACATGTTTCTCCTGTCCTTTCGTATACCGACAGAACAGTCGGTACCGTGGAACAGGGAGAAAAGAGAAAGACAAGACCGGGAAAAACGATGGCATAGGTAAAGTACATGTACGGTTTGAAGAAGAGAAGAGGAACGATAACAGGAAGGAAGCAAAACGAGCGAATGGGAGCAACGGGTCGGGCGGAAAGCGGAACGGGCGTTGATTGGTTCCGCCCGACGACAACCGCGCATGAGGATGGTTAACGTGACGCAGGAGGATTTGCAGAAGCCAGGCGATTACAATGACATACACAGGGGAAGAATATGCCATTGGGAGAGTGGCTAAGCAGCAAGGCGAGAACCTTTGTCCTCGGCTCCGCGTTTTTTTCAGGGGGGGTCGGTGTTGGGTATGATGGGTGCGTGTAGATTGGTGGACACGGCACCCACCGCACAATCTGGGTAAAGCAGGCAGAGCAGAAGAGTCGAGTAAGTGAGACCAGTGGACTCTGTTTTTATCCATGCGGAGGTAGCCCCGCGACAGACAATGCTTCTTGCACATGACGCAGTTCCGGAGAGCAGGAAGGTGAAAAGCGTGGATAAGAGCACGACAGCGCTCATCGACGATTTCAGCTTCCCGACGGGATTACAGCAGCTTCAACACCCCCTCAAGAGATAAGGATAGGATACGGCGTAATAGGCAACGGCTTATGGAACACAATCCTCCTCGGGGACGGCTGTTGCGATGACCCTCCCACTGGACTCCTCACACCTCCCTTAAACGGATCATCGAATGCAGCCATATCTTCCGGCAATCGGGGAAGTTTCGGGATACCAGGCATAGCAGGCTGTAGACGGAGAGGGTGGAGCATGTGTTGGTGGTGCACCGATGCAGTGGAGGTCTGACTGATGGGGCTTGCGGCGCCGCTTCCCGCTGTCCATGGGTGGTGGTGGTGGTGGGAATGTTGATTATACATGTCGAGCGTGGGCTGGCTTCCATTGCGAGAGTGAGAACGACTTGTGTTGTTGCTGGCGACATTGCTGTTCAAATGGTGCGGGCCTCTTATCGATACCGGTTCCGAGATGGTGCGGGCGTGGTAGGAGCGCTCGATGTAGTTTCTGGGATCGAGAGGCGGACTCCGCAGTTGCGTGGGGCGTGGAGACTGTGCGCGCGAGCTGTGAGCACTGCCGCTGCGTGAGTGGGTGTACTTGGCGCTTTGAGGGGTATACGGTCGGCTGGAGCCTGGGGAGCTGGAGTGGAACGATTTTGCGCTCATAGGGGGGGTGCGGAATTGGCTGCTGTTGCTGCCCGAGCGAGAATGGCCTCCTTTGCTGGCTGCTCGAGGGGGTTGCGCCAATGTAGTTTCGGAGCGCGTTCGGAAGTGCTTCGTCCGCTCTTCGTCGTAAGTTCGGCGTCCGTTGGTTGTCGGGTTGGGGAAGTAGGCCGGCATAATGGCAGAGAACAAAGGACGCATGGATGGCAGACAGGCGCAGACGATACCGACATTGACTTCGATAGCCGAGAGCATGGCGGCGGCGAGGTTATCGTAGGTGGGATCGTCCGAATTGGAGATGGCAACAAGGGTTTGGAGACGGACGATGGATATGATGCATACGCTGGAAGATAGTCAGTGTATGTCAGCGGAGTATGATGAACATGTACTGACATGAGCCCAAAAGCGAAAACAATGATCAGAGCTTTCTTCTGCTTGGTGGGGATATCGAGGCTGCGAAGCATTACAATCGGCATTGCTAGGATGATGAAGTCCTGGACGATGTTGACACTGCCATTGGTAAACCACACGGCAGCCTGGTTCAGACAAAATCCACCGGGAATGGTCTTATCCCAAAAGAAAGCAACCGGAGTACAAATGAACATGTTTCCAAAGAGCGTCCAGGTACCCCACAGCGCGACGATACCAATGGCGATATGACAGTTGAGTCGAAAGCGTGGATTAGGGAAGATTTGAAGATACTGGACCAGGATGGATAGCTTTGTCAGGGTCAAGGCAAGGTTGTAGATCCAGACGCTTCCCCAGAATGCCTATATGCGGTCAGCATACATTGAGTCGATGCCGGTGAAGATGGAGGATGGTAACGATGTACCTTTTGCGATATGAGGAGCGCTTCCGGGGTGATTTCCCAAACATGGAGACCCATGCCGTTCATTATCTGGACCGCAACAGTGACAGCAAGCCCAATGGCAAAGACCTATTCACCGTCAGTCATGTCGAAGGCATGTTCCATTCCAGAACCACTGACCATGGCTAGGGTGATGAAGACATCTTCGAGACCCGCTTTCCTCAGAATGAGGCCACGAGTAAAGAGGCGCAAAGCAACCACCAAACCAGCAAAGAGCGTAAAAACCAAAACGACGGTATTCACCATGCGGTTGCCCGTACTGGGCTCCATTACGATTTAACGAACAGGAAGATAAAAGAGGGCTGGATGGGATGCCAGCACCCTCGAGCGCAAGAATCGAAAAGCAAAGAAGAAAAGAAAAAACGGGAATCAAACCGCGCAAGAAGAGAAGAAGAAGAGGGCGGAAAGCAGAGCACCGCCCCGCATCTATAATTGCAAATAGTATGAATGCAAAGGCAAGGGTCGAAAAGGTGAAGAAGGCCCGCTTCCAAAAGAGAAAAGGAAAAAAAGAGAAGAGAGAGAGAGAAGGGTGAATCAACCTAACGCTTCATCGTCGAGACTGGGTAAAGTGGCAACCAGTGCAGAAGAGGCAGGATGAATAGGTGCAGATGGATGTGCGCCCAGCTTCAACAACGCAGCACTCCAGACCTGCTGTGCGCGTGAGTGTGTTGTTGGGTAGGGGGAGGGAAGCAGGAGGGTCGGGGGGGGGAGAAAGGGAGAGGGGAGAATAAGAAAAAAAAAAGGCACGATGCACGAGGCGGCATACAATCACGAATACAAGAGACAGGGGAGCAGTGCAGCAGAGTAGGGGAGTCGGGCATGGCATTCTACCAGAGGCATCGTCATTGGGTCAGTGCTGGAGCAAGATGGAGCCCCTGCGTGGTCCCAAGGGCCGGGTGAGGGTGGAAAAAGGACTTGGACAACGGTGTCAAGTAACAAGTTCCTGTATGATCGTCGTGACCAAGGTCGCAGCGAGAACCATCTGGCGCAGACTTGGCCGTGGCGGGCGGGCTGGATTGGTGCGAGGCCGGGGCAAACAGGCCCAAAGCGGGCGGGGCGGCGGGGGCTTGGACGTTGTTTCGTGTGCCAACGTCGCACCTTGGACGCCGCCATCTGTCAGTCAACCGCGTGCGCAGGTAGACACGGGAAACTTCTTTCTTTCTTTGTTTCTTATTTCCCTACATCCGTCCTGTCAATAATACATCAACTCTTCGTCAACATTCCACATGTCGCAGATGGGTCCCATGCGCTTTTCGCCATCAATGTCTCCATTACCCGCGTCACGTGTATATCGGCACTTCTCCCCCATCTCTCTCTCCAAACGATTCGCGAAACATCAACCACACCTCCATCCAAGAAACAACCATATATTGCTCAACTATAGCCTGATTGTCACCCTCCCCGGATACCAGATGCCATACAGACAGCACAGAGATGCACTATGCCAATTTCAGCCGTGGCCCGGCCATCTATCCGCTAAACCCTAATTCTCTTGCGTCTTCGGTTTGACATTTCGCACCCACCTGAAACACGCACATGGAGTTGCAAACCACGCACACACACACACACACACACACACACTTACATCACCACCATGAGCGTCAAGCTAGCCAGTCGTCTACAGGTAGACAGATGCAGCGCCTTTTTTTTTCCTTTCTTTCTTTCCATCGGAGAAAAAGAAGCAACCCAAAAGTGAGACATTCCGTGCACGATGCCCACTTTTACCCTTCTTTTCTCCCCCCCCCCCCTTCCAATTCTTTTTCTCTAGTTAGTTCTACGTTAGATAAATCCCTCCTCTCTCTCTCTCCTAACCCCCCTGTCCAGAACGATCTCTCTGTTACGGAAATTTTCCCTTCCGTCTTACATTCCCCAACTCCCTCCTCGCTAGTTAGCTCGTCCAACCTGGCCAAACTTTCTTTCGATTCCGCGCATAAACACATAGAATATTAAAGGCCAAACTTTCTTTTTTCCCCTAATTCTGCGCATAATACGCGTATTCGTATTTCAAGGGGGGGGGGGTCAAACTTTCTTTCTATTCTTTCGCATAAACAACAACAACATGTACCTATGTATACAAGGACATGTGTAATCTTGATACATGCAACATGCTCGCATTACCCAACTACCTACGGCACTTACTCAGGTACCCTGACATTGACAGATACCACAATGTTATGTACCTATCTATGTAACTCTTCCCCGTGACAAGCTGCACGTTCAAAGCAACAACCCCAATCAAATTCCAATTATGCATGCATGCGCAAGAAAACACGGGTCCTTGCTTGCTATATACTCCTCTTTACCTTACCTCCCTCCCCTTCTCTAACCCCATCTATCCAACTTACCCCTCCCCTTATAAAGAAAACAAAACCCTGCATCTATTTCAATTCCTTTTTCTTTTAGTAGAGAAGCTAGGGCATCATCAACAATAACAAGCTAAGCCAAGTAAACATACATACCTTACAATTCTTACTTTCTATTCTTAGAAAAGTCCAACAAGAGTTATTTTTTCCACAATGCTTTTTTTTTTTTTTTTTTTTTAGGAAACGAGTTAGAGAATATAAAGATTTTTTTTGTCGATGGATAGATAGATGGATTGATGGAATGCACAACAACAAACACTAATAACCCTAAAAGAAGAAGAAAAAAAATCTGAAATCTCTAGTACTCTTCCTACATAATCCCTCCTCCTCCTCTTTTCTTCTTCTTCTTCTTTCCTCCTTGCTACTCTTATTATATCTATTAATAAATCTCTAAAGCGTTAATGTTTTTCCGACTACTATATACATACATATATATATAGGGAGGGAGGGGAGGGAAAACAACAATCATGTTGTGTGCTAGCTAGCTAGCTAGCTAGCTAGCTATATATAGGATCCCCCAATTGAAAATCAATCAATCAGCGGACAAGGGAACAAACAAACAAGTACTGACTGTTGTTGTTAGGTTAAGTTGAGTTGAGTTTGAAAAGCTTGCTTATATGTTAGGGTATTTATGTTCTATTGAAATGTTATTACAATTTGTTGTGAAACAGTTTGATAAAAACAACAAGGTAGATGGGTGATGGTGCGGAGCAACAACGTGAATTGTCAGTTAGCGATCACAAAGAGTCACAAGCACACGCATAATGTTTCAGTGAAAAACTGAGGTAGCGTTCCATGTCAATCAACAAAGTGTGTTACACACGCAGAGAAAGAGAGAGAGACACACACACACACACATAACTGGAAAGAATAACCTAGCATAAACAAAGAACAAAAAGCAAGCAAATCAACAACCACACAACGTCCATTCCATTCATTCCTTGACCAACTAACTACCAGCACTACCTAAAATAAGCTACCTAAAGAGTAATTTCCCCCAACCCCCAATCTAACCCACATCGACTTATAAACGTACACGTTCCGCACACCCCAGGATCATGACTTTGGTTTTTCGTTCCCAAACCCGCACCAAAAAGGATAAAATGCACCAGAACCCCCGCCGCCCAAAGGCTCCGTGGAGCACTTTCAGAACGCCCACACCGATTTGTGAAAAAAACAAGGACAAAAGGGAGATCAAAAAGGAGACAAGATGGCAAGGGAATAAGGGTATTGATCTCATCGAATAGTCTGTAAAAAGTGAAGAATAACATGCCGTTTTTCCGGGACTCGTACATGGAAACTTCTGGGGGAAAATAAAGAGGGCGTAGGTAAGATGAGTGTATACACAGCGGAGGTGTAGAGTAGTGTCGACTTGTATGTATCGTAAGAGTCATCCATGTGCTCTTGATTAACTTCTCTTCAAAAGCCCGCCCATCGGGCCGTCGGCTTGGATTGCACTTCATTGGGGGATTACACGGCAGATCAACTATAGCACGCCTTCCCACATCCCCGGGCCTTGGCGACGAAAACCCTGGGATGCTTCGGTGCTGCAACACGTCCTCTTCTTGCCAAAGTCTTTGTCGGAGTGGTCATGGCCAGGCAAGGCGTACGACGGGCCCATTGAGCGGTCAGGAAGCACAGCTGTACCGCCACGGAGGTACGGAATTGAGCGCGAAGTGCCGAGCAGGTGGCGTACGTTTTGCTGAAGGTCGACCGATGATCGGCCCCGCTTCCGACTGGACTTGGCAGATGGAGGGCTGTCGTACTTGACCGACATGGTTTCTTCGGAATCATCGAGGTGGAAGCCATCCAGATCCGGTGATGACATGGGCTCGCTAGGCGCGTACTCGTTTTGCTCCTTGCATTTCGATAGCGCCGGGTAAGGCAATCTCGCGCTGCGGCACGTCGCCAATCGGGCCAATTTGGCCTGATTCGGCGCCCAGCCGGCGGAAGAAACTGAAGAAATGGAAGATGCGCGAGAAGAGCGAGAGTTGTCCGTGATCATGGATTCCGGCGATGAAGCCGAAGAAGCGTTGGACGGTGCCAGCGATGGGCGACGGCTGGGGAAGTGGTATGCTTCCAGACCGGTCTTGATGCTGGGCGTGAACTGATCGACGCAGCTGCGAGCCAAAGACGAGCTATGCGCTTGAGCCATTGCCGAGCACATGGAAGGACGCCTCGGTCCAAAGCCGAGCGCACTCGCTGCAGGAGTGCTGGAGGCGATGGACTGGGGCGTCAGTACAGGCGTAGGCAACGGACCCATACGAGCAAGGCATGGGGTTTGGGGCACAAGGTCAGGTTTGGGCTCGAGGAAGCGAGGCACCTTGTAGTGTGAAGGTGTGGGGGTGCTCTCCTGAGAACCGAACCCCTCGGAGAGGGGAGAACGGTATGAACTAGGGCGAGATGCCATGACAGGTCTGACAGGCGTGACAGGAGTCTTGGCGGGCACTTCAATAATCTCCAACTCGGGCGTTAGCACGGGAACAATCGACTTCCATGTGTTGGGAATGCAGCCTCCGGGGGAAGGAGGGTTGTTTGATGGAGTGTGGCGTAGGACAACCTCCTGCCACTTTTCCCAAACGGAGTCGGTGATGTGAAGTTTCCAGTTCACGGCAGCCAAAAAGGCCATCTCGTTGGTGTTGATCTCACAGACCTTCAAGCCGGAGATCTTGCTCCAGGCCCGCGCAGAGTAGTTGCGATCTTGCAGATACTTTGACGCAAGGATGAGCGCGGCGAGAAACATGCGGCGACCGCATTGCAAAGATCGCAGAGAAGCAACATCCTCGGGCTGTTCCATGGTGAAGTCATGCTTGGGCACATGTCCCTTGATGAGGATCAGATAGTACAGCGCAACCTGGAGAGTGCTGTAGCTAGTGCGAGATCGGCGGAGAGTCTCCTGGATGAAGGTGCGCAGAGGCAGAACTCCACGCGCCGTGGTCTCGCACCGGCTCGAGGGCACAGAAAGCGGCCATATAATCTCAACCATCTGGGTGGCAGAGTCTTGAGAAGGGGAACACGATCAGTGGAAGGAAACGCGCGTTGGATGATGGATGAACTTACCGACAAGGCAATCGACGAAGTTGACCTTTCGATCGCTTTGCCTTACCAGTTGAGGGGGAGGTCGCTGGTTGACTGCTGAGGATCGCCTCGGGTGCGAGTGGCCGAACTGGTCCTGCGGGGCCTTGGCCTCGGTTCGCAGAGCGGACAGGGCTTTTTCGGTGGTCGAGTCCCGGCATGCTGAAGCCCTGTACTGAGGGAAGGTGCTTACTCTGGAGATGGATGCGAGGTCCACTTCCAGGTTGGGGTAAGTGCCACTTGGTCTGTGATTGTCCAGCGACGAGCCGGATGCAGCTGTAGAGTTTGATGCTTGGGAGCCAGCATCGGAGAAGACGGAAGAAGTTGATGAGGAGGCGGATGAAGATAGGGAGTGGGCATATGGATGACTTCTTGGTGAAGCAATGCCAGCATAGGTTATATACGAGTCGGTGTTCATGATGACGTGAATGGGGATCAAGAGAAGGGAGACAAGGAGATGGTAAGTAGAATCAAGGAAGTGAGTGGAGAGAGAGGATGCTTTGGTGTTACGTCAGAGTGCAGACCTTGCGGTTGACCGTGAACGTATAGCAGAGCGTGATGGTGGTGTGACAGAGAGCGTGACCGGTAGTCAAAATATACGTAGACAGCCCTATGAGTGCAGTCGTGTTGGGTTGCGAGATTTCCTGGATTCGCGCACGAAAATCCGATGGGCAGCGTCTCGACGTTTGTCTTCCTTCCTCAGTAACCGTATTGGTCTGAAGTAGCTTTGGAGATTCGAGTATCCGAAGGACCAAAGACCCAGAGGGAGCTTATGAGTTGCGGAGGTAGACAAAGGGATCGAAGACGGCTGGGGTTACGACTACGAGTATAGGGAGGATTGGCGGGTATGCGAGTAGAATCGGGTTCGAGCAGGCGTGAAGCGTGGTTCGGACTGGTTCCAAGCGCGCACCAGAGAGGACTCCAGCACCGTCAAACCGCAGAATCACCAGTACAAGACCTGTAGGCGAGATGTGTCCGCAAAGCGCTCCGAGTGATAAGCTTGGTGAAGCTTAAAGGTCGAAGGGGGGTATGCGGAGATCTAGCAGGCGATGCGTCCAAATGACAGGGACTTGGTGAGAAACTGGGCGACGGATACTGGAGTCGATTTAAAGTAGGATGCAAGGTTCATGGCGCGGTTTCCAATCAGAATGTGAAGGGTTCCTTGTAAGCGACGACCTTCACAACGAGGTGTCGCTGGTGAAGAGGATCTTCAGACGTGAAGGGGCGAGTGTTGCGAGCAGGGATCCGATTGGGGAGGGTTTATTATTATCGTTTGCAGGGCATATGGAATTGATGGAATACAATAGAAAAAAGAAGAGGGAGTAGTAACAAGAGGAAAGGTGATGAGGAGTGGAGAGGTGTTTGCTGGCGTCGTGTTTGATGGCGGGTGCGGAGTGGCGGTCGGCAGAGACGGAGGGTTGTGGTTGGTGGTTGGGAGGTCGGGTAGGCGGTGAGGCGAGGAGCGGAAGTGGGTGGAGAGATGCAGGTACGGCAAGAGGGGTGGAACGGGGAAAAGGAGGAGGAGTTATAAAGGAGGAGCAGCAGAAGGCACCAGCGGCGAGGAAGCTGGCGGGTTTGCTTGAGATGGATGAGTCGGACGGCGGTCGTAGGCAGCGGTGGCGGCAAACGGCGGACTGACAGACAAAGGCTGACTGGGGCAAACGGGCAACAAGAAAGAAGACGGGATGGATGGGTGGATGATGGGGCGGATGCCTGCGAGGGGCAGACAAACAAAAGCGAGAGCTTTCGCGCACTCAGATGAGACTGCGAAACTCCATGGTGAGGATCGAGTTGTTCATTGTTGTCGGTGGTGGTGATGGAGTATGGGGGGGGAAAAGGGCGACTGAATGGGAGTGGTGGTTGGGAGTCAGCGGGCATACATAATGTAGCCTAGAGCACTAGGCCGGACTAGCTTCAGTCAAAAAAGCCAAGCAATACATAGTATGACTGTCCTCTCTCTCTCTGCCTGCACGCCGCCTTGCCACCACCACCGCTACCACCACTCTCCCAACACGCTGCCTGGTGTTTTTTTTTTTTTCTTTCTTTCGCCCCCCTTGTTGCGCCTGGACCACCTGGACTGACTGACTGACTGACTGGTTGTCTTTTGTTCTCCACACGCCTGCTTGACTCCTCTTGAATCTGTACATTGCAATGCCCAAGTATCTACTGCATGCATCACTGATGGAGACTGCCAACCAAACACAACGGCGCTGATTCGCCGGGCGACGATGCGACTCCACACTGGTACATGGAGCGCGTACATGGAGCGCGTACATGGCGACACATGGCACAACGGTTTGGTATAGGTATAGTGGACCATGTCAGCAGTGGATGATGGCTGGATTGTCCATATTGGCCCATGGTGAATAGATATTGAATCATCTCGCACAAACACAGCCGGGTGCCTGCGACTGCGGCTGCCCCAGAGATGTGGAATGGAATCAATCCATCATTCATTCATTCATTCCACCATTCGTGCGAACCACTTGGTCACTCTCTGAGTATACGCGGCATGCCCACAGCCCTCGCAATACCTAGCCTCCCTCATCATCACCACCATCATTCATCATCGTCGTCATCACCATCATCGCATCTCCTAGCAAGTCGACTACCTGGCCACCTCGGGAAAAGGAGAGGCCAGCCAGCCAACTCAGCTGCCCCCGCTCTCGCCGACCAGCGCAGCCAATGGGAAGCCCGGAACCCTTCGGCTCGCCAAAGCCCGCCAATCAGCCCTCGTTGGGCCCCGCTGACATAACCCTCCCCCCACTTGTCCTCTCATCTCCGATCACTGCCCTTGGATTGCCCTCTGCCCAAGCCACCATCCACCATCCATGTCCGGCCTTTTGCTGCGTGTATCAACTCTCCACGCGCTCCAGCATATCCAAAACAGCGTACCCCGAGTGACTCGTCCTTGACACAGCGGCCGTTGCCGGACCGAGGTCGATAGAACAGAAGCAGCAAGAAACAAGGAACGCCCAGCCCTGTTGAGTGGGTGGTAGGCAATGCACTCTCGCTGCACCGCACCGGATGCACAGCCAGCTGAACCGCTTGGCAGTGGCTCAGTTGCATGTTTACCTCTCCGTGGTTACTGCCTATGCCCTTTTCACGGTTAGACAGCAAGTGCCCCCCAAGTCACGCCGTACAATCAAGTGATGCAAAAAGAACTACACTCATGCACTACACATGTATGTACTACGACGGCATGGACCACGACGGCATGGACCAAAGGCCAAACGCTCGTATTCCAGCCCGCACAGGCGAGTGGACTGTCTAGGCTCTCTCTCATTGTCTCCATCCAGACGCGTGCAGGACAGTCGCAGAAAAGCAGACCTATACACGCTACCTAGCAGCCGCCGTGAGACATGGACACGGACGGCGTACGTGATGCAACATGGCAGGACGTGACGCGGGATTGTCGCGGTGTCAGCAGACCCAGGCAACGGCGACGCGAAGTGGATATCGTCATGGTTCCGCTGGTTGACCACGAGTGCTAGTGTTGGAATTCACAGGTCACGTTGTGGCGGCAAAACCCGATCAAGTCTACGCCGCAACAGTCAGTCAACAGCGAGCAGCCGTGCGCCTTTCTTCTTGCTTGATGACTCGAGCTGGAGCGTTCGAGATGACTTGAAAGAAGGGGAGGAAGAAAAAAAATCTTCCTTGTCCGCTTGGTTTCGGAAGCAGGCAACAAAGGGGGTGGAGTGCATGGGAAAAGGGGCGACTATTGAATTGATTAGACAAGTACACATTGCGCGTCGCACGGGTTCGATTGCGATTTCCGGGCAGGCAGGGCGAGACAAGAGGTCGAGGGTGGTGGTGACTCTCGGGAGGTGAATGGATGACTCACTCAGACGTTCGGAAAAGGCCGGCTGAGCAGAAATGCAAGCACGGCAATATCTCGGGTGTCATGTCTGTCTAGAATCGCAAGCTTAAATTAAGGGGGTTAACAGAATTAAATAAAATGGTGATGCGTACTAGTGGCTACTCTATGGATTCAACTAATCAACTACATGTTCCTTCTTCTTCTTCCCGATGCACAACAACGCTTCAACGAGATTGCTAGAATGTGCGTTACTGCCCTTTCCCTTAATACCCTGTGCTAGCCTAAGGGAGATAAATGTCCTAATAGAATAATCCTTTCCATTATTACCCTTGCATGTCTCCTATTAAGACGTATTAAGGACCTTACAGACCCTCCGTACGTTAGGATGTTGCGTTTCAGGAGATTCGCTGTTTTACTAGACACAAGCTAATTAGTATTAAACAGAGGAGACAAGCTGCACATGTAATAAGTTAAAAAAGAGAGTTAAGATAGACCTCCTAAGACGCAACATCCTAATGTGCGTATACCCTGTAGGTAGATTCTAGGGCAACATAACAACGTGTAGAATGCACAAACTTTGCTTTAACAAAATTGCTATAATGTGCGTTACCGCCCTTTCCCTCAATAGCTTATGCTAGCCTAAGGGAGATAAATGTCCCAATAGAACAATCCTTTCTATTATTACCCTTGCATATCTCCTATTAAGACGTACCAAGGACCTCAGGTAGATTCTGGGGCAACACAACAACGTGTAGAATGAATAAACTTTGCTTTAACTAGGTCGCCATGTTTTCTACACAACATCCTATCGCATTAATGCTAAAAAGATTGAGATGCTGCGGAGATTCAGAGGACTTAGGCAGTAAGAGTCGCGGTTGGAGTGAAAACGCAGGCAGTGGGGGTGGAGGCTCAAGTTGAATAAGTGACATAATGGCTGTCGTGAATCGGCTAGATTCTGGTGTATTAACTTCTTTGTTTTTTATCGCGCTCCAAAGCTCCTTGATGGTGCAGATATTGTAGCCCGGTCTGGAGTGGATAAGATGATCTGAGGACTCTGCCCTCGCAGCGTGCTTCAACTCGCGGGTTAATGTTCAACGTGTTGACGAGCTCCATAGAGTGTTGATTTAGTAGATGACATCTCTTGTTAAATGGCGATGAAAAATTTTCCTTGTGGTTGCAGGCGATAACGTTGAAATCAAGATTATGCGTGGAAGAATAAATGCGTAAGGAGCAGGGCAAGGAGAGCCACCTGCAGCTTTGAAGCCGCTTGCATATGTTCCTGGGAGAACGTCTCGCCACATTCATGACAACTTGCAACGTATTCGATTTCGGTGTGCTTATCCGCATATGCGCCCGGCGCTAAAGATGGTGTTGAAGACGACTTTACCCCAGCTCGTATCACCGCAACTGCGTCACTGAAGTCGATTGGCTCATTGTGGAGTGTTGTTACAGCCTTGGCTTCATCCATGCGGTGCTGTAGATACTGCTCTAGTGTTGTTCCCTGGCGGAAAATGTTTGGAAACCACGAATCGCGGAAGATGTATATCCAGGTTGGACGGCGAGGCGTCCCTGGTTGGCCACCAAGGCATAGAATCCATGGTCCTGATTTGGGGGTGTCTTTAGGAATCATTGGGCTCATCGCCGTTTGATCTTCTGTGTGGACCTTCTTTGTAGCATGATGCACACTGGCTGGGCCCGTTGGGGCCTTTCTTTTTGTGGGTGGGGTGTCGGCAGCGGGCTTGGTTGGTTCATGTGGCTCTTGGTGAAGGTCCTGCTCTGGCTCGTTATGAAAAGAGCCTAGACAGTCACGTGACAGTCCAGTCCACGACCACGACCACCATCACCATCCATGTACTAATCAAGGAAAGAAAAGGGGGCCCGGGGCTAGGTGCTCTTCTGAGACACCGGGTGTTGAGTGAGCAGCGAGGAGTCATAGTCTCCTCATTTCACCTTCATCTCGCTCTTGCACTCCAATCTTAGACATGGGATAGGTAAGCTAGCTGTAGCCTTGCTCGTTGCTGCCTGCGCGTGGCCAAATCTCGCGTATTGAGCGACATCCACGCGCTTGGTCTTAACACCCACCCACCACCGTGTCTAAAACAGGTTTCTTTTTTTTTGTCTGGGACGAGGCTAGTAGTAGTAATAGTAGTCGTAACCAAGGCTGCATAGTAGAGTAGCCTAGAAAAGATTCTGTTGCCCAACCCAGGACACACATATCAAGTTTTGCCCTTTTTAATGATTTCGCTGCCTCTTTTTCTTCGTGGCTAGCTTACTTGTCTATCTTACACGAGTAACTTTTTTTTTGCTTAAGTTACTAACAAGACTCTTTAAATCTTTTTTTCTTTTTCTCTTCTCTTCTCTAATTGCGCCTAGTTAGCAAGTTTCTAGTAGTATATAAGTAAATAATAAGTTTAAAGTAGCTTTTAGTACTCTAGAAAAGGCGCAACAAGTTCTATTAGAGTTTTTATGTGCAACAAGTTTAACTCTCTTTCTCTTTCTCTTTACGTAGTTACACTAAAGAGACAGGGTAAAACTAACGCTATAATAATAGAATTTATTATTGCGCATAAAAGTAGCTAGAAAGAGAAAATAACAATTTATCTAGTTATTTAAGTTGTTTAAGTCTTAGCTTTTATTGTTTGCAAGTCTTACACCCTTACTACTTCTTTCTTTCTTTCTATCTTTCTTTGCTAGATGTGTTTGAAGTCTATCTACTAGGGTTGTGATAATAGATGAATAAAGAGGAGGGACGTTGGAAAACAAAAGACAATTTAGATTAATGTTATTTCCCTACCTAACCTATCTTACCTTTCTTTCTTACTTACTTACTTACCTACGTTTTCTTCCCTTCTCCCCTTCTTCTTTTTTCTTTCTTTTTCCATCTATCCATCATAACCACTCTACTAAAAAAACAAAAACACAAGCACACACACATACACAGCCCAACTCTACCCTACCCTACCTTTCCAACATACAAATCATCCCTCACACCCCCCTCCTCTCCAACCCTCCCAGCACACCCCCTCCTTGCTGAATCTTCCCTCTTCACCCGTGAAGCTCCCGCCTTCGGCGTCGGCACACCAGGCCACACGAGCTCCACACCCTCGGGAACAACGGGCCTGTGGCCAAAGAAATAAGGTAGGATCGATGCGGCGATTTCGTCGCTGAGGGTTGGTGGGTATGGTTTTGATTTTGTAGGGGCTGGGGTTGTTGGTGGTGCTGGTGATGAGAAGGGTAGAGGTGGTGGGGGGAAGAAAGTTCCGTCTTGCCATTCGCTTTTGGGGGAGGAGGAGGAGGAGGAGGAAGAAGCAGTAGCGGTAGAGGTGTTTGTAGATAGAGGAGTAGGAGTAGAAGGAGGAAGAGTGGAAGTAATGGAAGTACTAGCGATGGTTGAGCTGGGTCGGAGGTAATTCGCTATTATCTTCACCGACGACGAAGAGGCAGAAAGGGTGGATGATGATGATGATGATGAAGGTGGTGCTGCTGCATTCGGATCTTCCAGGCCATCATACATGGCGTCCTGCGGCGGCGCGAGACCTGGAAACAACGATTCTACGTCGTCGTCGGTGCCGTCGCCGGGCGCGGAAACGTATTGTGGTCGTGGGATCGAGTTCTTCTTCCCTCCCCCTTCTCCTCCGTCATCACCATCATCATCTTCTTCTTCTTCTGTGGATTTGGATTTGGATTTTGGTCTGGGTTTGCTTTTTGAGGAGGTAAAGAATGATGATGATGAGGACAACGCGGGTTTGGTCTTTTCTTTTCCCTTCCCCATGTCTTTTGTGGGTTTTTTGCTGCTTGCGGGGTTCGGTTTCGCGAAGGGGGTGGAGGCAGGAGTCGGATGTGCAGATTGATCTTTTTCGGCGACGTTGTTGAGGGGGGCTTTTGCGTTTTTGGTAGATGGGAGGGATGAAGGGGAAGAAGAGGCGCGGTCCTTCTCTGCTCTGATTTCCATTCGTCGCGGCCAACGCACGACTCTTTTTAATGTCGATGGAGCGCTTTTCTTCTTGGTCTTACTGGTTGTTGCGTTCTTTGGGGCCGGCGTCGTCTTCATGCTACTTTTTTCTCCTTTTCCTTTGGGCGCGGTTTTGGATGGCGGTTTCGAGGTTGTCTTGTTACCGTCTGCTCCTTTCTTTGGAGTTGGCGTGGGTTTCGCGCTTCCCTTCTTCCCCTCGATTCCAGTCTTTGACGGCGGTTTTGAAGTGCTCTTCTTATCATCCTTCGTCTTCTTCGAAGCTGGCGTTGTCTTCGCGTTTCCTTTTTTCCCCTCAGGCGTAGTTTTTGACGGCGGTTTCGGGGTGTCTATACCATCCTTGGTCTTCTTCGGAGCCGGTGTCGTCTTCGCGCTTCCTTTCTTCCCCTCGGTCCCAGTCTTCGACGGCGGTTTCGAGCTCATCTCATTACCATCCTTAGCCTTCTTCCCACTACCAGCAGGCTTCTTTGAAGATTTCGAAGGCCCCGGCGTCGCCGAAGCCCCTTCCTCAACATCCTCTCCTCCATCCTTAGCAACCGGCCAACTCTTCTCGTACCCAGCGGGCATGGGACCAAAAAACTTGCGCACATCGTCGTCGGTGCCATCGCCCGCTGCTGCACCAGCTTCGGATCTCGAGGTCGGCGTTGGGACCGCGCTCGGCGCAGGCGGAGTCTGCGTGGACGACGACGACGAAGGAGCTTGTCGTCGACCGACACGACGACGTCTTTTCAACTTGTGGGATGTGCCGGGCGTGGAGAGGTGTGGTTGGCATTCCATGCCTTTTGCGACAATGCGCAGGGCGCCGTAGCTCCATACTGCGTTTGCGTCTTGCGTGCAGGTGTAGAATTCTGTGGGGGATTTGCAGAGGAGGGCTCCTGGTTTGCAAGGGAGGTATTGCGAGACGTCGTTGGAGGCGTATGTGATTCTGGAAGAGCCGCAGTTTTGGACGGGAGCTGCTTCTTGTGGGATTGCTTGGGGAGTGGATGTTGGTGTGTCGACTTGGCTGGGGATGTACTGTTGGCGATTGTAGGTTCCTGAGTTGTAGTCGGCATGGTAAGTGGGTTCATCTGCGTTCTCTGATGGCGAAGAAGATGCTTCTTTCTTGCTTGATGACTCGTATAGTGCGTTGGGCTTTTGGGCGGGTTTGGCTTTGCTATTGGAAGTGTGCGACTTGCCAGATTGCTTTTCTGGATTTTGGGGAACTGCTGCAGTTTCTGGCTTCTTCGCCTCAGGAAGAGATTCAGATCCGGCATTGGAGACTTGGTTCGCTGTTCCCTCACTAGCTGAAGCGACCTTTCCATTCTCGTCTCCCAGACTTGCAAGGTATGTATCCAGCTCTTGTTGAACCTTGGGCTTCGACTCATTAGACAACACGTCGGACGACATGTCCATACCCGCCATCGAATCGGAAACAGGCTGCGGCAATGGTTCCAACACAGCGACAGAAGCGACCGGCTTCAAGTCTGTACTCGCGCTGGGAGATAATTGAGCAGCATTGTCACCGCAGCCGTTGGGGTGCCATTGACCATCATTCAGAGCGCAAGAAGACCCCGATGAACCGGAAGAGCTGGAGGCGCCAGACGAGCCGGCTTCTTGCCCTTGATTCAGGCTCGACGAACCGGACCACTGTCCTGAGTTCCCACCAGAAGATTCCCCCAGAGATCCCACATTACCATCCGTCGAACTCCCAGCAGCAATCGGCCCACTTGCCCCCTTCCTCCCCACGCCCGTACAAGCCCCAGTCTTCCCAGTCGCGGCACCAGCACTCATACCATCACCGTAAATCACGCTCTTTCCCGGTTCATCGAAATCCACATCAACTGTTTCTTTGGTCGTGCAGTCGTTGATACCTTTGAGGTTTGCGACGAAGAGATCGGGGAGGTTGCCTAGAGCGGCTTGGGCGGAGTTTGTGTCGCGGTTGTTGAGGAGGGGTCTTTTCTTCGATGATGACGAGGAAGAAGAAGAGGAGGAGGGGACAATGTTGACGACGGCGCAATTCATGTACATTTCCCTGTTGCCGATTTTGTTGAACCTTTTCGCATCGCGACATCAAACAAAACGTCAGCCAATTCCCTCTCGACACGACTTCCAAAATGTGCCCCCCCCCCCCCCCTCCCCCCCAAAAAAAAATACTCTAATTAAAATAAGAAGAGAAAAGGGGGCGAAGGGAGGAAAAGATGGAGAGAAAAACTCACCAAGTCCAACCAAGCAAACAAACCGCCTCTCCCAACCCCTCCGGAACCCCAAACTCGTACGTACTCTTCAGCGGACACCCACCCACAATACTCTCCAGCACCTTGAAATGAACCCCGTTATCGCAGCTCAAGCTGATCTGGCAACTCCCCCCGCCATGCGTCGCTCCTCCCTTCAACGTGATGCTGTACTTTTGGCCTGCGGTGTACGTGGCGACGGGGACGAGGGGCGTGTTCCATTGGTATCCTTTACATGAGAAGTCGCTGCCGTCGGCATGAAGAGGAGTTAGGATGTTGTAGTCTTTTGGTTCGGCGGCGCGGTTGCTGTGGGGGTCGCGGAGGGGGGAGGGGTCGATCATTTGCATGTGGGTGAGTGCGGTTGGGAGGAAGGGGAGGAGGGTGAGGGCGTGAAGTTTGGAGGGAGGCATGGTTGGTGGTTTTTCTCTCTCTCTTTCTCTACTTCTCGCTTATAGTTCTTCGCTTTCTTAGGGAGAGGTAGCAGAGACCTCTGCGAAAGAGTGGGAGAGAGGGTGGAGTTGGGATGGCGGAGTGTGATCATGATATTGGGGAGTGGAATGCAAGGGATGTGGTGTTTTTTTGCTACTGTGTACGCGTGTGTGTGTACGTGTTGGATTCCGAGGATTTGGTGGGGAAAGGAATGGTGTCGTGTGTATTTTTGTTCTTACACGGAGGACGCAAGGGGAGTGGTCACGCATGATAGTTGCATGAGCAACTGCTGGCTTCTAGTTCAGTCGAATTTCGAAGCATTGGATCGGCCTATCACATTCTTGAATCTCACCATCTCAGAGGCAACCCCGGAATGCGTGAAACCTTCTAGAGAAATCTTACATGCCAGGATGCATTGAAGATGACACAAACAGAAAGCTTCGCAAAGCTTGTGATAACCCGCGTGATCAACAGCACATGAACCAACCATACGAGCAAAGAGAGAATTTCCAATATACGAGAACTCTAATATGTTAAATACAATATATCCAGTACCGGTTGCCAATCATGTTTTGTCTATCCAAAAGCCTTGCTTGCTGAGATTCCCGATATCCATCTGTTCTACACACCCCTTCTACCACCGACCTTCTTCATTCCCTCTCTCATATCATCCGTTAGTCCCGCCTTGGGTAGCTCCATCTGCCCCTTCCCATCTGGCCTAGGCATGAATCCTAGCTCAATCAGATAACTCACGTACACGCCCACTGTTTCCTCAGTGACCGCCCCGCCTTGACTCCAATCCTGCTTCGTCCACTTCTCGTCTTGCTTAAGCGCATTCGTTGCATTGCGGTCGTCGAGCTCGGGCGCCTTGGTATCGGTAGGCAAGTCGCCGGTAACAAAGTGGTACAGTGGGAGAAGGGCATGCTCTTCTTTCTTGGAGCCGTCAGCTACGTAGGATTCCATAGACTTGGACCACGTGCGGTAGTCTACTTGAGGAACAGTGTAGCCGTATTTTTCCAAAGCGCCTACAAATGCGTTGGTGGTGATGCGCGGATGCGACGTGATTTGCGCAACGCCTAGCGGTGATGCAGGTGGTGATAGTGTCGATGCCACAACCACGCGGGCTACGTGATTGACAGGCACCATGTTGATTGTGTTGACAATGTCGGGCCGCGAACGTAGTTGAATGCATCCCTTGAGTAAACGTATCAAGAAGTCGTCTGTGTTTGTAGTTCCAGTCTTTGGGTCGCCAGTCACGTATCCAGGCCGAATGACTACACCGTTCAAGCCCTTCTCTCCAGCTTGACGAGTGAGGTATTCAGCGGCCCATTTGCTCTGTCCGTACCCAGTACCGAGACCCTTACGTGAGCCTTCGAGGTCGTCTGATTCGAGTACACCGTTGCCTCCATCGGCAAGGGACTTGTCAGACAGCGTGACATAGTAGTCTGTGTCGAGGACAGAAGTAGAGCTTACTAGACCAAAGTTCTTGGGCTTGCCAACAGCACAGAGAGATAGAGCAGTCATCGTACTGAGCACGTTAGGCGCACGCAACCGCGAATAGGGTAGAACCCAATGCACAAGTGCGCCATTGTGTATCACAACATCCACCGAGTCGGCAAGTTGATTCCATGTTTCTGGTGCAATACCGAAATTCGCCTTTTCGAGATCACCAACAAGGACCGTGATACGCGACGACCAGGTCGCATCCCAGATACCATATGCTTGGCATGTCTGCTGAATGCGGCCCAGTGCTGCCTCTGGATCAGCGGCCCGCACCACGAGAGTAACCTTTCCAGGGCGCGAGAGAAGATCTCGTAGTAGATAGGCTCCTAGGAAGCCTGTGGCGCCTGTGAGGAACGTGTGTATCTCTTGCCCAGGCTGTAATGGGTCCTTAGTCTTGAACTCGGACAACTGCTTTGCCAAATCTCGGGCGTCGGCAGAATAATCTTCGTCTTCTGGATCATCATCGATAGCTTCCGCGTTATCTAGACGCAGACCGATCGGGTCCTGCGCTTGGTCAATGCTAGACGAAAAGCCACGTAGTGTTGGGTACTGGAAGATGGTGCTCATAGGTACGTCAATGTCCTTCCACTGCTGACGAATCTTAAACAGTAACTGCTGAGCGATGATACTGTGTCCACCAAGGTCAAAGAAAGAGTCGCTCCCACTGAGGCTCTCAGCAGTGACACCGCGGTCGCCGAGAAGCTCAGCCCAGATTCCAGCCATGGTCTTTTCCGTCGGCGTAAGAGACTTGCCAAGTTGAGAAGGTCTACGAGCACCGGCTGCCGCAAGTTGCTGGGGCTCTGGGAAGGGAAGTGCAGGTCTGTCAATCTTGCCATTGGGGTTCAACGGGAATCGGACTAGAGGAACTATGACCGAAGGAACAGCATAAGCAGGAAGTTTTTTCTTGAGGTGCTCGCGCACGTCGTCTCGAAGGTACTTGAAACGCTTGAGCATGGCTACCATGCTTGTGTCGTCTGTTAAGCTTTCAGTAGCACCGCGCTCCTCAAGCCACTGGAACCAACGCTTCATTTCGGGAACGATGTAACCTAACAACACATTAGTCATTCCTTCAGGGGAGCGTACACAAATACTTTACTTACTGACGAGAACTGGTTCCTCATAAGCGTCACGCCTGAGCAACGTGACATTTTCACGGACCAGAGGGTGTGCAGCGAGATGCGAGTCGATCTCTCCCAGCTCGATACGGAAACCTCGGATCTTGACTTGATTGTCAACTCGCCCTGTGCAGTGTACGTTGCCATCCGGGCCATAATGGCCAAGGTCTCCAGATCTGTAGAGCCTATCCCGAGGGCCTTTATAAAAGTCTCGCCAGGGTTCAGCTGCACCTTGCGCCTCGACATTTTTGGCATCCTCTTCAGCCCACTTCTTTGGATCGACGAACCAATTCTCGACGAATTTGGTAGCTGTCAGTTCTGGAAGACCTAAGTATTCCTCGGCAAGTCCACCAGCGCGGACGTAGATTTCTCCACTCTGACCTGGTTCACAGATCTTGTTCCGGTCCTCCCGGTCAACGACAAGCAGCTGCACATTTTTCATTCCTCGTCCTGCAGGGATGACTTCGCCGAGCGAATCGAGAAAATCAGGGGCCTCGTTGCGGCTCTTCACTTCGTAGTAGCTGACGGCCCGTTGGGTTTCTGTCGTACCGTACATGTTGACAATGCGAACATTTGGCGCAAGATCCTGTAGCCTCCTGCAATCTCTCTTGATTAGGAGATCGCCCACGAAGAAAGAGTGATGCAAGGTGGGGAAAATGGCCGATGCGCCTCCGACGAGAATCTGACCCATGGCAGGAGTGAGATGGGTCACTGTCGCACCGTATCTGCGCATCCACTCGGCCAATTTCTCGTGTTGGATATCTTCTTTGCTTGGGACCAGCAATTGCGCGCCCAAAAACAGGGGAGTGAAGATGTCGCGCTGGATGGGGTCGTGGGCGATTCCGGACAACATGGTGAACTTGTCGTTCTCCGACAAACCAAATGTCTCGGCCATCCAGGGAAAGTAGTGAGTCAAAGAAAAATGGCGTCCTTTGACACCCTTTGGCTTTCCTTCGGAGCCAGAAGTGAAGGATAATGTGGGCGTCGAATCTGGGCCTACCAGAACGCCTGGGAGCTCAACTTTGGCGCTTTGTTGATCGTCCAGACAATCCTTGCCATCCTTGCCGCCTCCGAGTAGTGTACCGTCGTCTCTCAGCTGAAGCGCGGGTACCTCTGTTCTCAATTGTAGGTTCTCGGCAATATAATTGCGCACTGTGTCGGAGAGCGAGCCTGCTTCGCGGGTGGCTTTGTCAATGATGACGAGGGCGCGGGGTTGCGAAACTTCGAGGTAGATGCATTGGCGATCTGGGGGGTAGCTGTAATGATTGTCAGAGCTGATTCAAGGCAGTTTGGGTTGGAGAGGTGTACAGTGGATCCAGAACGGAGAAGGTGGCACCAGCAGCCAGTACGGCCATGATGGCGACGACCAAATCGACGCCACGGTGGGCGAAGATCATGACGACTTCACCCCGTTGTATGCCATTCTGCACTAGGTGATGGGATAGAATGGATGTGGCCTCGAATATCTGCTTGTAAGTGAATTTGCGCTCCGGGGTTTGGCTGGTTGCGGTTTCGACGACGCATGGTCTTTGGGGGTGTTTGCGGGCATTTGCGGCGAAGATTTCGTGGATAGGACCTTTGAAATCAGACCACAGGAGGTCGGCTGTGGGATCGGGAATGTTTGTGCCAGTTATGGAGCTCATTGTGGCCGGCAATGGCTGTTGGGAGGATGGAGCGGTGGGCGCAGCAGATATATGGTGGATGAGGGGTGATTTGGAGAGGTGGGGTGTATTTCTTATGGCGGGGAGAAGATGATGCAATAGAACAACAGAAAAAAAGTCAATTGATGAGATACAGCGTTGGAGAGGAACTAGGCGACGGTGAAAGTATAAATAAGCTGTATTAACTAGAGGATGTTGGAGTCATCTGGAGATGGATACAAAAACCCAAAAAATGACGCGGTGGGACATGGGGGGCCAATCACGTCCGAGTGCGAGTATTGCGAAGTCGGAAGCATCCCGGGTGCGGCGAAAAAGAAAATCCGGGGTAACAGCAGTGACATGTTTCCCTTGGTGTTGCTTGAACGGCGTGGCCATGTAGGTGAAACCCTGGCTGTTTGGACGTCGACGATGACAATTCATCATCATCATGGTACGTAGCAAGTTCAATCAACTTCTCACCCATCCATCTTTTCTCCATGCAAATGCAATGAATGCATGGCATGGCAAGGGCGGTGACGCGTTAAAAGCACGCACCTTCTCTGTTAGGGGCCGCTGACTACCGTACAGTAGTGCTTCCTCTTCAAACTGCTTGAACCCCATCTCCAAGACAATCTCGAACACCACGAGCACAATCATTTGGGCATCCATGCCTTGATAGTTGGGAGCCTCTTTCTTTTTCTCCTTCTCTTTTTCCCCCTTGTCTTCTCCAACCCTCCTCCGCTTCTCCAATTCTACCCAACTGTCCACGCTCGCTACTTCTCCATACCCACACCATGCCTCCAACACCCCTTAGCTGGAGCACCCTGCCCCGGCGCTTCCAGATCCTCCTCGGCGGCGTCGTCCTCTTCCTCATCACAATCTTCGCTTTGGGCCCGCCCTCGCCTTCCTCTGTCCCGACCCTGGACCAGGTCAAGGACGCTGCCAAGAATCCCCACCTCCCCAAAGTCGATGTTTCATTGCCCACGGTCGAAGAAGTTTTGAACTTGGCCAAACCCTCCCATAAGGGCCCAGCCAAACAGGCAAACAGCACCGCCGCGAGCGAATATCGCCTGATAAAATGGATGTCCGACTTCAAGTGGCGCAATCCCTACTCCTCCAAAACCACCCTCGACGAGAACAGCGCTGTGCTGCCCCCGCTGCTAGACCGACCGCCCATCTATACCTTCTACGATACACGGGTCAAGAAGGAAAAGGATCTGAAAGATGCTGAGAACAGGCTGATACTGGCATGGCGACGAGCCTGGTGGGCTCAGGGCTTCAAGCCCCAGGTGCTCTCACGAGTCGAAGCGCTGGCCAACCCCCATCATGAACTGGTGCAGCGCATGCACCTGGCCCCGGATGTCGAGCACGAGATCATGAGGTGGCTAGCCTGGGGGAATGTAGGAGGCGGCATTCTCACCGACTGGATGGCGATACCAATGGCTGAGCACGACAATGCCATGCTGTCCTTTCTACGGCGGGGAGAGTATCCAGACCTCTCGCGCATCGCATCACTCAACAACGCCGTCTTCTACGGTGCCGAGGCCGCGGTACAAGATGCACTTAAGAAAGCAACAACCCACGCGCTTCTCGCAAACTCGACCGCAAACTCGGACAAGATTGCTGAGCTGGCCAAGAAAGAGGGAGGCTTGATGGTCAACCTGTTGCCCCAGGAAGACGTCAAAGTCGACAAGACGAAGAATGCCATCGCCTACTATTCAAAATACACCATGGCAAAAAAGTACGGCGGAAAGGCCAGGGCGATTGTGGAGAAGATGACCAACACAACTTCCCCCGAGGGCATGGAGTTGCTGGCCAACCTGATCAACGCCCATTTGCAGCTCACGTTTCAGGAGCTGTATCCCGAGGGCATATCCATAGTTCAGCCCCTTCCCGAGCACACAACCGCTCTCATGCACGAAGCTATCAACATTGCGCGCAACCTCACACAGTGCCCCGCTTCACCCATGCCCAAATCTTGCCCGCCCAATCGCCAAAACTGCAAACCGTGCGATCCAGCACACACAATGAAAATGCAACTTCATTCGGCCCTGCAGAACTCGAGCAAACAGTACACCATCGGAACTGTTCCGCACCCTTACACGCTCACATCCCTCCACTACGCTCAAGACTCCATAACCCCCCAATTCCTCCGCACCGAAGCTCAAGACCGCAACATGTGGCTTGCGGCCCTGACGTCGCAAATCGCCACCAAAGATCACAGCGAACAGTATCGCCTCGTCGATTTCAAAGAGCTCGTCGCCGCCCGCGACCGTCCGTCCACCTCGCTCTGGCTTACTGCCGAACGCGTCGAACAAACAGACCTCGACTGGATCTTCGGCTTCTTCCTGCCGCAGATCGCCAAATCCAAATCCGATGATAAATCTTCTACCCCCGCCGACCTCGTTCTATCGCCCCGTCCGGGTGAGCCTTTGCCCAACCCCGACGTCAAAGTCCCCGACGAAAGCAAGGTTGAGACGGAAGAGGAGCGACTCAAGAAAGCCCGCGACGTGCTCAAGAGCAAGGACAAGAACCAAATCAAGGTCGTCGAGGCTACCGAGTTGTGGAACATGGCTGATACCGAGGCGTGGAAGTTTTCGCGCGCATTTGCCGCGCGGAGGCGCATTGAGCGACTTCTATGGGAGGAGGCGGAGAAAAAATTCGCGGGGTCGGAGAAGAGTGTCAAGGGTGCTGGGGGGAGTTGGCATGATTAAGTTTGTTGATTCGGTTCATCAAGTCTCCCATGTTTGAGTTGGTCGCCTCCATATCAGGTGGCTTCGTTTGCGTGATTGAGGCGTTTTGTGGTTTTGCAGGGCAAAGAGCGAGCGTGCGTGCATAATTGTAACCCCTCCCAAGAGGGAGGTTGCACGGTTCATAGTTTATAGAAAAAACTTCCTTTTCTTTCTGCACCTAAATCTTGTATCATATAGAATCTATAGCGGAGTTTTTTTTTGTGCTTATTTACTATATGCTTTTTTTTACGCACTCGCTCTGTATACTCTTCCTATTCTCTGTATCATGCACGACTACACACATATATATATATCCATGCCATGACTATGGATCAATGCAAAGTTTACTTTTTCGTACACAATCTTTACTTTTTTTTTTAACCCTGACAAAGCTGATCTCGTGGGTTCTGGCTAATCAGATCAGATCCGAGAGGTTTATGCTAACTAACATGGGGGGGCGTCTGAGACCTGCTTGCGGGCGGGTATCTCAAAGAATAATGCAAACATTATAAAAGAAGATGACTTCTTTTTTTCAAAATTTTGAAGGCTGGATTTGGGCTGGGCTGAACTGAAGCATGTCTGGAAAATTCAGTTGGATTTTAGTGCATGCATCGATCATTGGTTTAAATAAAGATTTCAACAATATAGGTAGATGTAACAAGTAGAATCGGTGCAATTAACATCTCCTCCCCTGAAGATACAGTCTTTCCTTCCAGCACCAAAAAAAAGGTCCTTGATTCCTTTCCATCAATTAATCAGTGTGCTATAATAATAATGTAGATGCTATTCTATGTCACAATTTCCCTCTCTGCTACTTCCCACTCAAAAAAAAACCTCAATTCCAGTACCAAAACATTGCACTACCAGCACAAAGGTACATCTATACATATATACATACTCTGCCTATCCATCCAATCACGGTTTACCAGTCTCCGTAGTATTCCCAGCATCTACATAATCTAGGTGAGTATAAGAAATTGGACTTATTCATCCCGTGGCTTTTCGCGCGAACTTGACCGCGTCATCTCACGCATCAGCTCAGCTCAGCGCAGCTTAAACTCCCCGTCTGTTGCCCGCCCGCTCGCTCGCTCAGCAAACCGTAGACAAAACCTATTAAAATAAAATAAAACCAAGGAAATCTTTCATTGAAGGAGAGTGATGCAGATAACCCGAGCGCAGCATTAATTCACCAACGGAAATTGACACTCCCTCGATGATGTTCGTTCGCCAGGACAGGGCCAAGAAAAACAGGGGGGGATGATAATGCTAGCGCCGGGTAACCTGAGTTAGCCACAGGGGGGGAGCGGAGTAGTTGAACTACAAACGATTCCGCGTTGTGAAGGATCTTCGCTTGCTATAGATTCAAGAGTCAAAGGTAAGTTCCTAGTTTTTATTTTATTATTTTTTGGGGGGTTTTTGTTTTGATTGCAAGTTTACAGTTGTTTCCTACACTTTTAAAAAAGCAGATGAACAGAAAAACTAGGCGAGGACGGGACATGGAAAGAAAAAGAGTCACACAAGGAAATTTTCCTAAAACCGCGCTAAAATCTTTCCAACAACTTGTTTACCGCTTTTGGAGGAAAGTTGTGGGATTTCGATCCTTGCTTTGCTTTTGCTTGTTTTTTTGCTTAATTGGGAGGGAGTCCGGATATGCGACTTTGGTTGGAAGATAACATCTGCGTTTTGGGGAGACGGAAATCCGGGGTTTCAATATACGAGAACTGTTTGTGATATTTGCGAGAGAAAAAGGGACTCGGAGTAGGGTGGGGGCGAAAACACCCGAGTAGATTTTTTTCTTTCTTCTCCCCCCTTTTTGATCTAAATTTCATGTGTGGGAGCCTTGCTGAAGAACAAATAGCATTGTGCTCGTTGAAGAAACAAACTTTGCGTTTGATGAAGATGAAGAAGAAGTCGTTATATATATACAGAGAAGATAATGATCATTGGGTTTCTTTTTGCTCCTGGTTCGCCTATCCAACTCCTCACAGCCCGGTGTGTTTGTGTATGGTATAGCCTTTTGACTCCGTCAAGAAGCTAGTTTATCGACTCTAGCGGAGATGGTGGCGCCGAGCGTGGGTGTGCCTCCTGTGCTTGTACCCGAGGGTGGACGTGGCATAGATGGTCTCGGTGACGACAACAACGTTTCCATTGCTATCGAAGAACATGTTAGCTGGGGGATCACTTGGCTACGAAAAGGAAGAGTGGAAACTTACGAGTCGGGTTTGGCCGAAACCACTGGCGGTTGAGCCTCGTTGCCGGCGTTCTGTGTCTGGATGGACATTTCATCCTTCTGGACCGAGGTTGGGTTGTTGCCGGCGTTCTGCGTCTGGATGGACATTCTGCCCTTCCTCGTCGAAGATGGCTTGTTGGACGGTGCAGCGGCCTTGGAAGTAGAGGCGGCCTGGGAAGAAGAGCCCGAAGCCGCAGGAGCGGACGAGGAAGCGCTGGGCGCAGCGGAGGAAGACGGGCTGTCTTCACTCTCGTCATTTCCACCAGCAGGGGGAGAGGAAGTGCAGTCAGGGCCAGTCTTGCGTTCGGCGCGACCGGGACCTTGCTGGATAGGGTTGCAGCCGGGAAGCTTGTCGACACGAGGAGCATCTTCGCCAGGGAAAGCAGGCTTAGCAGAGCATTGAGTGAAGGCAGCGTCGTTGTTGTCATTCACTTGGTCGGCTCCGAAGCATTTCCTCAGCGAGTCCTCGTTGCAGCCGCAGCCACAGTCGCAGTATCCAGACTTTCCGGTAGCTTTGGCCAGAACACCCTTCTCCCATCCGTTGCGGAAGTCGGCGTGGAACCCGAAGCCGGTTGGGTCACCTTGAGCGAGGACCCATGGGTTGTCAGTAGCCTTGAATTGGCCGTTGAACGCGGTGATGTCGTACCAGAACTCGACGAAAATGGTGGGGAAGCGAGCTGCTTTGAACCCTTCAGGGCAGACATCAACACCCTTCTTACCACTGTAAGCGTTGGGGTATGCCATGTGGGCGTTGGGGTTCTTTGGGTCGATCTCTTTTCCACTCCAGCAAGAGGGGAAAGTGATTTCTGCCGCCAAACCAAGGCCATCGCAGCCAGTTATGCCAGTCGGGAACCCTCCCTTGGTGAAGATGTTCTCCTTGGTAGACGCTCCCATGGGTCCGTGGCAGGCCCATCTGATGCCACCCGGGTTGTTACCGTCGTCCGAACGCTTGAAGGGGTCGCCAGCCATCATCTGGAAGTTCTCGGGGAACTCGCTGGGGACTGCCGACTCGTCACCGTCGCCGAACTTGTAGTAGATCTTGAGTTGTTCCGGGACACGGTAGAAACCAGTGCCGTTTCCGTTCCAGAACAAAGCTGGACGCCAGTACAGACTCTTGTCGGGCTTGACACGGGCGGTGGTGCAGGAGGAGCCAGTGAGGCCCTCGAAGTCGGTGTTCAAGCTTAAGCCGTTTCCTCCGTCGAAGTTGTGCAAATGAGAGCTCTGCATTCCAGGTTCGACGGCAGGGTCGAGCCTTTGAACACTCATGCCGAACCCCTTACGGTTGTACATGGTGAAGTAGGGGCCAGTGCAGTCGAAGGCAGAAGCCGTAGCCGCCAAAGCAGCGGTCCAGGCAAAAAGAGTGGCAACCATTGTGAGCAAGATGAATCAGGAGAGGTATGAGAATGAAGGAGTCGAAGACCAGCGAAAGAGTGAGCTGGCGTGGATGGAATTTTTTTGAGTCTCGGACTCGAAATGAATGTATGATCTTGAATGAATGGATGGTATTCCTGTACCGGAAGCCTTGGTGAAGAGTAAGACCAAACCGACCCAACTACGGGCGTATACTTGATATTTGTATAAAACGCCCGGATTCCGGTCCACACCACATGGCGGCAACGCACGACCCCAATCTGGGCGTATATGCAAGAACATCCTCCACCGCTCGGGTCCTGGCGCTGATGCGAGTCTGCTAGATGCAGTTGCTGAGTAGCATTCGGACTAAGATTAACTACGGGGCATCGGCTAGCGGCTCGCGCTTTAGAATTGCCTAGAAAGATTACTTTTGAAAGCCCCAAAACAGTATCTAAGAGGAGTGTATCCAATGGGATGCGGACTTGGATGATGAAAGGTGGAGATGGTCGAAATTCCGAAACGAAACAAACGAATCCAGGCGTGGGCGGCACGCTGGTGGCTGACCACCAAACTGTTTGGCGCATTACCCCTGCAGAATGCTTCCCTAATCCCCCAACACCTCAGCAAGATAAGCAAAATAGCGAGAATAATCGGGCGATATAATTGATCAGAGGCAGGGTTTTCCAAATAAAAGTTTGCTACATTAACTACCCAAAGAAATATTCAAGCTGGCACCGAGAGGTTCGAATATGATGACGTCTCTGAGATTACGGGATGCAGGCAGGACGCAGGACACAGGACGCAAAAGTACTTATCTTTGCCCAGTCTCATCGGACTTTCATCCACGCACCCGCTCCCGTCGAATCTTCACTCCAATCGGAACCGTGCAGGAGTATCGTGCTGATGCAACGCGGGGCCGCCAACAAAACAGTTCTCATTTCTTTTCCCAAGCCAAGCCAACCCACGCTTCGGTCAGCCACAGCACCCCGTGATAGTAGTCCGGACAACTGTAAAACGAAGAGCATTCCTAGTTATACCATTAAGTGGGCGTGGTCACTGGTAAAAACTCCAGGCTAGAACCATCTATGTGGGTAAAATTGTGGGTCGACATTATGGTTTACTACAGTTGAATACGAAGTCCTGGACTGAAATGCCGTCGCGTCATGCTCAGCCGTCGTGCCTCGTAATTTCTAATTCGTAATCCGTGGCTGATCGTCAGCGTCTGGCAACCGTCTTGTGGAGTAATGGTGGTTCCTGGCCTCCACAACGCCTTCAATCTGCTTGGGTCGGTCCGAAGCGGCACTAGCTAATGCAATTGATCAAACAGCCGGCATAGAGACTTGAATGCTCGAAAAAAAAAAAAAATGAAAGCAGAAGCGTGACCATGGAGTTGAAAAGACTGCTGATAGGTCTGGCGTGGAGAGATTTGGTGTCCTTGCATGCATTGTATTATTGTTTCCCAATAGTGGATAGATCGTCGTCAACGAACTGCATTAACGATCGGAACTTTGTCAAATGAGCGACATGGAATATCATCCTTAAGCTCACGGTTTCTAGAATACAAGGCAGGCGGTTGCACATTGGGATTTGTTGTGCACCGTGGGAGCAAAGCTGCGAGTCATTCGTATGTTCGGACCTACATCAATCCCAGGGGGACTTTCACCGTCGGTTAGAAAAGGAAATTCAAAATGACTTCTGTTTCAGAACACCGTATAAAGAAGTTACAAAACTGCTGAAAAGCATTGCGCCTTTAAATCCGTGAGATCCTGCATGCAGGAACTCTCGGTGACAACCTGCTGCGCAGGATATAGAAAGGAAAAGGTTGGTCATCGTTACCGATAGGTCACTTTACGAGCTTCTTCTATGTCATTTTCTGGGTGCATTTCCTTTGTGAGTTAGATCTCGCTGAGTTACGCGTGCGATGGGATGGGTTACGATACGGTGAAGGCGCACTCGAACTATGGTAGCAGGTTCGATCGCTTGGACGTCGCATCTTGAGCGGGCAGATTCTCTTCTTGAAAAATGCCGTTGACCCACAACGCAGAGTCTAGATATACAGTGTTTCTTTTACCAACATAGATACGGTGACGAAGGTGGCATTGAAAGCCGAAAGCCGAAAGCACAAAGGCCTAAGATAAACCACCACAGACATCTTAGTCTCTGGTTTGCGCCAACCAGTAGGACAAATAGTCGGGCCTCACTCCAAAGAATCTGGTAATTTCCCTTTTCATTGTCAGTTGAAGCAGAACCCACTCCCCTTGCTGCTTATGGAAAAATTGGCCGAACAATTTGACTAGTCTGCAGAACGTGTTGAGAATCCAGACTACAGTACCTGCAGTACGCACATGAAAGTGACCGACAACTTTCGGATTTGCGGGACCACTAATCGATACCAATTGGTTGATTGGCAACAGCACGTGTGAATGGCGTCGTGGCTGTCAGATGTCTCGCACTACCTGCCTGCCAAGATTATCTTTTTGGGCGCCATGTGCTTCGACACCGGTGTCGAAATAATGGCCGCTGTGGTCTGGACTTTTCGCTCTAATTTTTGAATAGGTAACAGCACGTATGCGAAGAGAATAGTGACTCCCTTGTATAGACAGTTGAATTTCGTACTGTCATATATCTTGCACATTGTCAGCCACTTCAAAACACTGCTTTTGAGAACCTTCGGGTTTTCCCTTCAGTTCTCAGCACGGAAACGGTCAACATTATACTTTGCACCAAATAGTTCCTGGTAATCGCCTGTGGTACATTTGTCATTGTCAAGATCGCTGCCTGTAGGATCGCTCCAACCTTAACTCACAATTTATTTATGGATAGTTTGCACACATTGAAACATGCAATACACGATTGAATTTCAAGCTCATGTGCTTCATAGCAATCGATTATGGTCTATGTGTATAAATTTTGCACGGGACTGACTGGATTGAAGAGATCAATCAATTGATAGTGGCAACCAATCAGACGCGACATGACCACGATAAATGCCAGGGCATTGTATAGGCTTGACGAGCGTGTATGGAGTGAGCCAATCTTGCCTCGACGTACATATGTACATAGATATGTCTACTCGCTCTTTTCCGTCCAGATTTCTTCCAAAAATACATACGCGGGCATATAGGTGCATACCTAGGTACATACGTACATGTAGATATGAAGAAGTACCAGTTGACATATGCACTTACACATGCTGGCGTGGATATACAAAGCAACTACTTACTGCATATATACAGTATTTCTAGATGTAATAGTCAAGGCTTATCATCCTCGAAAATTAATAGTCTTCCAAGTTTGAGTCCATTGGTCGCAGCAGTTGGCCACGTGAGCCAGATGTGCAGATGCCGTTTGGGTACCTTGCCAAGTGTTCCGCGATAATAGATTCAAATTTTACTCGTCGGATGAGTCACATATCTTGAAGCCTCTCCAGGAAAACAGTTGACTGTGCCCAGTGACGCCTGCTTTCTTCTCTGGAAGGTTTAACTGTCGTCTGGAGGTCACGTGTGTTCATCCCAAAACGATTTAGTCGAAGTAACTTCTCGTCAACTTCTCGTTTCCCCTTCTTCGATGCCTCGGCTGCACTCTCTTCCGTGTCGCATGTCATGCCCTGGCTCTGCATGTGCATCCGCGACTGCAACTGTGTACCGGTTTCTGGTATTGATCGGATTGGTTTTCCGGCAAGCCAGCATACCCTTCGAGAGACGGCATTGACGCACGAATTGAGTATTCAGATAGAGTGGATGTGTTCGGCACCTAGCCCAGACAGGCTCCTGTGCCGTGACGCAAGCAATAACCTTTTCCAAGCTTCTACACTTGTTTGACACCCTACTATATCAATGCTCAGCTAAGAGAGCGCAATATCCAGCACCATACAGGCTGTTTTACTGCCTGGTCATATACACCACAAGAACAAAAAGGTACGATCGCATCGACTGGTCGATCTGGTACATGTGCTCGAATTTCCACCAATCCTGGGGATGATTTTGCTCCATATTTTCTTTTCTAACATCCTTACACCAGAAATTACCAAGGAGGTTGCACTGGGGATGAGACACAAGTGGTGTTACTCTCCCTCTTCATTGCCTCGTCAACGCAATTCTAGCCGCGTCGCTCCGCGATGGATGCCATATGCTCCCCACCATAGGCGACACGGCATGTATGTAGTGGCAATTATTGGCTATGCCCAACCCCTGCAATGAAAACTTCATCAATACAGCGATCTTTATTGGGCGTCTCGCAAGCGAAGAGGCTTCACGATCCGTAACTCGCAAAACCACACCTCACGAAGCAACAAATGCATTCGTATCACGAGAACTCAAAAAGAAATAATGGTGCGCAACATCATGTTTCCACACGATTCCACCTCGAGGACAACGTCGAGGGGCAGTCGATCACATCGGTTAACGTCGCCACGTCACGCAAGAGTGGTTCTTCCGGAAAATATTAATGAAGGTGGACTCCCTGGTCGAATGCTCTCGATGCACTCAAGAACGGAGGGGTACCTTTATTCAGAAGATTACTATACCGTTCAGAATGTATATGAGTAATGCGTCACCAGACCAGAGTAGATTCGAGTCGTTCCACTGGCGAGCTGGGGTGATCAGCAGCCGCCGTTTAATAATTCACACCCCTGATATTGCGGGGTGGAAGCCAGACACGGACAGCCGGGCAGAGTGGGCCGGGGTGGGTAGCCACACAAGCTAGATTGCAGCCAGCTATTAGGTATATGAGAATGGCTCCCCACAGAAATCGCGCGGTGTGTGGGTTTTGCGCTTCTTGCTGAAGAACACCTCGCCGTTGCAATGGCACCCAGGTATCCACTACAAGACACATGCCTGGCTGTGATTTACTTCACGCCAGCTCTTGCCTCTGTTTTCGTCGCTTTACGGATATACACAAGACGGAAGCTGAACCTTCGGCTCGGTTGGGGTCAGTGCGAAGCCAATGTGTTTCTCTTGTATACAAAGTCCTGACAGATGTGTGTAGATGACTGGCTTATCATATTCCCAACTTTGCTTTCAATAGCCCTCATCGGGCCTTCATACAAACGTAAGCAACGCACTCTCTTCTCTCGGCTTACTTTTTTCTAATAAAATTACAGATGTCAAGATGTGGCATGTTGGCATACACATTGTTGATGTTCCGCCGAACGAGATAGAACCGAACTATGATGAATACTATTCAGTGCGTAGTCATCGCTCCACACCACGCGACATTGACTGATTGAATCTAGGTTTTGATGGCATTCAATCTACTGAACATACCGATATTGCCTCTTGTCAAAGCCTCCATTATTCTGCTTCTTCTCCGCGCCGGCTCAGTCATCGAATGGCTGAAGAAGGTGCTTTACGCCATCCTGATTCTTACCATTGGAAGCACTTTCATCCCATGGTGCATGTATATCTTCATCTGTCCACCACAGACAGGGAACACATGGAAGCCTCGAACCTTTGGAAACCTCAAATGTCTGGACCGCCACCGCATGGGCGAGATGATGATATGGGTGACATGCGCCAATCTGCTCACCGACCTTCTCATCTTCCCAATCCCCTTCATCATTGTGCGCAGGATGATGAGTGCGCGCATTCGGTCACGTTTGGTGGTGCTTGCTGTCTTCACGTCCAGTTTAACGTAGGTTAGCACTTTCTTCGACCATGATCACAACTGACGTTGCGCAGCGTGACGGCCATTGGTGGTGCCAAAATCTACCTAACGTACCGCGACCGTCTCTACACCGAGTTCAAACCCGATTGGACATACCCTATCGACTACTGCATCAATCACATCGAAAACAACGTCGCCATCATCGTGGCCAACATTCCCATACTGCGAGGACTCGTGACTCGTTGGGTCTTCAACTTCAAAACCAAAGCGACTCCGATGGAGCGTGAGTTTCGGAGTGAATGGCAATGGAGCACCAGCTCCGATGAGTCTACAGTCACTCGCGTGGCACGCCGAAGCCGGCTCACACAGAAGATCATGCCATGCGTCGACGACGACTTCTCCTCCTCTCTCGCCCGCTCAAAGGACGTCCGCGACCCAACTCTCCCCCCGCGCATCGTCCCCGCCGACTTCAGAAAGAAAAACCTCTCCTTCAAGCCCAAATCGCGCAAGCCATCACGGCGAAACAGCGTCGACACTTATGCAGAAGCCGACTGCTGTGAGAAGGGCGACGTTCTAGAGACTGTAAGAAGCGTTGGAAGCATGGAAGCCCCGACGCTGGTGGATAGTCGAAAGGACTTTGAGTGGCGGTTGAGCGGAGCCAGCCTCATGTCGAGCCCGAGGAGATTTTCGAGTCCACCTTTGAGCCCGGTAACTATGATGAGTCCCTGCGTTTTGAGGGAGGTGGAGGATGAGGATGAGATTCTGAGATACCCATGATTTTCTGTTCCAAAGTTACCTTCCTTTTGTTCCCAACCATGACTTGCATAGCATAGCGTTACGGCATTTGACATGCTCTACGAACATTCTAAAATCCTACATACGTATATCTACGATTCAATCAATCTATTCGATTCACACAGTATTTCAATTCCTCTGCCTTTGAACAAACTTGGTGCTTCTCCGTCACGTAAGTGGCCCAATCGCTATCGTTACCATTGCAGTCTCCATCATATATGCTTTTTCGTTGATGGATACTCTCATGCTATTGTCTTTACTGTCTGAAGAATTCTCCTAGCACGGTAGAACAGCAATGCTCCGAACGCACACCCCACACCTCGCCCCTACCTCGATCTTCGCATACCGCGGGACACAGACCTCTTCCTGGCACCTCGGGCCGCATGTCCTCCTCCCTCTCCCCCACATATTATGTACCTTGTGACGGGAATCCGGGGTACCTACTGTACACATTCATTGACTTTTACCATCCACACGCAGGTCTACATGCCTGTTTTGAGAACGTAGAAGCCGTCCGTTCAGAACGTGACTTCTTGATTGACGTGGGTAGTGAATATTCTATAGGTCCAATACCAAAAAAACTCGATTCTGTGCATTACCACGTTCGCATCACCCATGCATGATGTAGGCATATTTCGTGTGTCCCTGGTGCGACCACCCTCGCAGCACGAGATTTCCTTTGCGCCGAAGAAGGAAAGAAGAAAGGAGGAAAATGCCATGTTGCAATGAATATGCGCTCCTTCGCATCACATAGGTGTGTTCCAGACATGCGTTTGAGCAATATATAGGGAACAACGAGCTCGACATTCGCCTACGACCACCACCACCACCCTTCAGAACCGACACCAACCACATTGCAGGATAATATGGCTACTTACGCACCACTCAGACCGCCCGCCATCTCAATGGAAAGTAGGTAGCGACAAGGTGGGGAGACGAGAAACCCCCTCTTCGTGCAGCCAGTCACGTTCGCCGACCCACCTACAGCAGCGTAGAGAAGAACCAGCCACGATAACGCAACACTCAAGTGAAAAGCGTCAGCATTCTCCACGCGAGCAAGACGAAGAAAAAAAAATGGTTTGGATCCTTCGATTTCGTACCGCTCGTCTCCGCCAAGACACGAGGCACACCGTCTCAAAGCGACGAGCGACGAGCGACAAGTGGCGTTTGGTCTAGTACCTGCTCAGAACTTGAGTGATTCGGCAGAGGCGATGGCGACGATAAGGAGAAAGGGAAATAACCAGAATCCAGGCTCCCGTCTCGAACGCTCTCCACACAGACCACGCAGGAGAAATAAAAAACAAGGGGGGGAGGGATGTGCCTGTGTGCCAATTGCATGCAGGTTCGCTTTTCTGCATGGGATGGATGGATTGAGGGGAGGGGGAGGGGCTTGCGTGCCGACATATGTGATGCATGCACACATTACGATGGATGATGCAGTGTGCTTGCTTGGTTCGTGTATGGGTATGTATGTGCGATTGGGGAGCCGGCTTCGAACTGTTCAATCACGATTCTTTCATGTTTTCCCTCGCAAATAATGGGGAGGACTGAGCAGGAAAGGAGGTCTTATCATCATAATTATCATTATTATGATTATGGCTCTCCACTATCATCTCCTCGTTTCAAACCCGATATGCTCCACCCACCCATTCGTCACCATGGTTTCTGTATAGCGTTCAATAAGACAGTTTGACCGATTAAGTGCCATTCGACTTGGTTCTACCAGGGCATGTGCGCGGACAGCTAATGGGACGATGGCGGCTGGAGGCGGGAAGCCTGTTTTGGGCGGTAGGCAAGGGGGAAGGGGGGTTAATGAAGGACTGCAAAAGTGGACACTCGTCTGCCGAAGCCATGTCATGCACATCACGTCTAGGCATGGTTGATGGCTGGACAGTGTGTGCAGTAAGTATCAAAGTAGCAAAAAGCGGAGACGGAAACGAGGCAGCTCGGCAAATTGGATTTCGAGCAAGGCATTGCATTCGATGCTGAAGAGAGAGAGAGAGGGGGATAGGAGATGGTATTGAGGGATTCTGATACCATGCTGGGTAGCCAGTCACACACACACATGCGCATACACATGATGCTCAACAAGGAGCGAGAATGTGCATGTACTGGCTGACTCTAGATGAATGGTTGATTCCGCTCTCCCGCGTACGCTAAATCGAGTTAGTTTACAAAATCGAATAAAGACGCACGGGCCGCTCCCGCGTCCACCTCTCCAACTTCATCCCGACCCTCTTCGCCCATGTGCGAGCGAGCTTGCGAAGCCAACTACCGCCCACCTACCCGGTATCCTCGACCCATCGTCACGCACCGAAAACAAATGGAGCGAAAGCAAGGAGCGCAGCAAAACGGCGATCCAAAGTGCGTCCAAACCCCGCTGGAATATTGATACCCTCCCAAGCCGCGCGCTCGTCAAATAAGGACCCACAGCCACTCTGCTCCCCACACACCCCTGCTCCTTACCCCGCGGTTGAATATGGATAAAGTGGTGGAATGGGGTGTGGGTGGGTAATGCGTGATGTGCCGTTTTCCAAGATCCGGTTCTCGAGTCATCCATCCATCATCGCAAACGAGGCTACCTTCCTCACTTGCTCGATTTCTCTGGTTAGACCTAGCGGGCGTTTTTTTTTTCTGTTCTTTTCGATTTTAACCAGAGTTTCGTTGGGGCCCACGGTGTCCTTGCTGATAATACCGTCGAATTATGATTTTTTGGCTCTTTGGTTCGGATGATTGGTTTGGGTTGGGACTCTGTCCAACGTTTTTTGTTATTGCCTGCTCTCGTTGAACAGGCGGCTATTCTGATGGAGAGGAAGCAAGCATGTTTGCTCAGCGATAATGGCAGTATTGTTTCGTCTTGTTGGTTGGGTGGTAGATGGACGACGGGGATGAGCATCGCACCACATTCCTCGTAGTAGTTTTTGCTGTCCAGCCGAGCGTTATTGGTTGCTTGGCCTGTTTCCCCATACCCCAGCTCGGAAGAAGCGAGTGGAGATCGTGGGACGACTCTGTTAGTGCATGAGGGCAATTTCTCCGTCTTGTTGCTAGAGAACGGGGCGCGCGCCGTCGCTGCCTACAACAAGACAACATTAGAAAGAAGTCACGGAAATCGCCACGCTTCACGTGCGAGCTCGTTAAGAAGTACGAGACAGAGAGGAGAGACGACGGAAAAGTTACCGTGATCCGCCATTCACTCTGTGCCCAAGTATCTGCATGTCAACAATGCACATAGCCGGGGAAAAATATCACGCTATTCAACTGCTGGAATGGCGAACATGATGCATCTCTGTGGTGTCACTACCTTCTGATCACATTGCTTTTCCCCTTCACATAAAGCTACTTTGTCCCACCACATATTCACCCAGAACTGACGCGTCCCCCACCTTCCAAGCTCTTCGTTCATTTACCAAACAAGCACCTCGAAACGAAGTGAAGCACAAGAGGCTTACTGGAAGATTAAAAAATGATGCGCGCGCGGCGTTCCCGAAACTAGAACGGAAGAGGTTCTGCGGCGGAGGCGGCGGCGGCGATGCTCCAAATGCAGAAAACCAGCAAAAACAAAAAAAAATAATCCAGGAGACGTAGACGAGATGTCGCAACGAATCCTGTCGAATACCGCGTAAAATAAACGCCAGTGGAACGCCCAACAGATAGCACGACCAAGTTGATGTAGCAAACAGAGTACCACATGGATGGGGGAGAAAAACGAAGAAAATCGACGTAACCGTTACCGTACATGCTCGGAACCATTTTCGATGAAGATTGATACAAAGCAGGAAATAAAGCAGGAGAGAGAGAGAGAGAGAGAGTTGGGTCAATGAGCGCAGTCAACAGTCATTCCCGGGTAGGTGTGAGTGCAAAGGTTGGATGCGTTCATCAAAAGATGGTGGCTATACGGAGTGGGTTTCCGTGTCGTTCCAATGCTAATAGGTGGATGATATCGGTAGGGTATCCATGCATATAGAAGGCGAGAAGGCGGGAGGGGTCGCACGTCACCTGACGCACTATGATGGGCAAACAGGATCTGAAAGCGTCTCTTCGTGCGTGTGTGTGGAGCGACGGGAAATTGAGAGGCGTTTTAGTCGTGAGTGGCTATGCGCAAGTAAAGTATGGAGCAATACTGTGGCCACTATACCAAGAACAGGCTCGTCATGGCAAGGCCCAAGGCTGCGACCCAGAATGATGGCTCGTGTAGGGGTGCCGGTGACGGTGCCAGACCTTTCAATTCAGCTTCATCGTTGCGAACGCACTGCGTCTTGTCGGTAAGCTCTGAAGGACAAGGAACGCGCTTGAAGTTGACCCTGTGAAACGTCAGAGAGAAGTTCGGTTGTAGCACCTGGAAGACTCACGAGGGGAATGATGCATCTTTGTACCACTCGAATCGCCATTTACAGGCCGATCTCAGATTTTCAGGGAGGTTGTCACAATCGTCCTCACGGCCGATGCCCTCGCTTTCCGTGCCGAAGACTCGTTGGTCTACGCCGTATTGTTTGGCGCACGCATCGTGTGAAGTAGTGTTGCCTCCCGGTATCTAGAAGAGATGTGAACATCGCAATAAACGATTTCGCACATGGAAGACATACTGCCAGAGAGAATCGATTCGTTGAAGTGACATCGTAGGCCGTATTCGAAGCTTGCACAATCATGGTTTTGCCTTTCAATGGCTCACTGGTGAAATCCAGTTGGTAGCACGCACAGCACCAAGCATCTTCGATTTTGCCTCCAGTGAGCTCGGGTTTGATGAAGGCGCCTGCAAAGCCATAGGAGAAAGTGTCGTTCACTTTCCAGGGCTGTTGGTCGGAGCATTGGTAGGCAGTCCCGCCGTTACATCCAGTGCCGGCGTCGATGTCGATAGGCTTGTCCTCGATACCGCATGATTGCACCGGCCGTGAGAAGGGAGCTTTCAGTTTCCAGCCGCAGGACGGTTTGCAGCAGTCCCAAAATCTTGTGGTCACGGCATCCCCCGAGACGTTGAGGTTGGCGCCGCTGACCAGGGCAGCCAACAGGTCCAAAACACAAACGATGGAGTATTGAACCTTCATTGCCTCGACTTTGTATGGAAGAAAGTCTGTTGCAAGATCTGAGAGCCAAAGTTGGAGAGTATTGTAAAGCATGAACCGGCGCTAGGTTATATAAGCTCCGGTTACATGGGTGCGTGGATCCAAGGCCGAGATGCAACTCACCTGCGTATCGCCACGCATTGATCACCAGCCAATGTCGTCCGAGGTCGAATTAAGCTACCAGTGAGGATGGTTTCTCCGCAAATCCTTCTGTGACTGACTGTGGCATTGACCCCTGCCATTCGGTTGTCCCGGAAAGGGCAGTAGGTTTCAACGATGTTGAAGCTTTAGCCTGTCCCTCTATCGTTTTGGCCCTCGGCCTCTTTGCTGCTTCCTGACCAAAAAGTCACAGGTACACAGCAGCCAACACGTCTTCATTGAGGGGTGCTACCGGTCTCGCTGGCAATTTCGGTTATTTGCATCCGGCAAGGCAACCTGCCTGCGACTGGAGCCATTGTCCAAAGCTGCAATCTTTGACCAATATTTTCGGATGCAACACGGCACTGTGGAGGGCGTCGGCACGTGGGCTTCCCCAACACTGGCAAATGGCTCGCCTGTAAGGGCGCGATCTTGTCGCTTTCGTTAAATATCCTGGCATTTCCCCGCATTGGAGAAAAATATTTCCCGCGTGAGACCCACGACACGAGCGGGTATGATGAATGAGTGCATGAAGAAGACAGCGGACGGTGAGACAGCTACCACCACTTGACTTTGACTAACAACACAGCGTACGAAGGATGGGTGGGTTTTGGGTCTAGTTCAGCGAGGCACTTCATTCTTTAACCGCGTAGTAGGAAAGTCGTCAACCGTCACCCCTGTCATGTCTGGGAGCTTCCGAATCCACTTGCAAATGCATGTGCAAGAACACATCACTTGAGCTAGCAAAGGTGATGGCGCACAGCAGCAAAGAGGATACATGCGTCGGCCAGTTCTGGTAATTAAGGCGCAGTTTTCTCCCAAGCAAAATGCATTCACATGCAATTGTCCGTCGGCGAAGAAGAAAGACAAGAAATCGTTTTGCGTAGATTTACCGATGCTAGACTGAAGCAAGTGCCGCGCTCTCCAGCACGAAGAAAGAAAAAATACATCACGTGAATGATCCCTAATGCGCGATGCTACAGTCGCAGCGAGACAGACCGAAGCCTATCAAACTGTCAACACCGGACGAAAACGGTTGAGACTCTGAACGGGGTTTGTACGTACAAGAATTATGCACGTCAGCCATGACATTCCCATCATTACACTTACCCAGGTATAGCACTAACTGGTTATCCAGTAGACAAACAGCACACTCGCAACATCCGCCCATCGAAGACCGAATTTCATATAGAAGCGCTAATCATCGGCTTGTCACCATGGCAGATCCTACCGTGTAAAGACTCGATCGCTGCCCTAGATCTGCGCAGCGTGGTAAGATCATTGCGTCTCTCGGAGATCTCCACCAGCAACCTCCCATGGCACCAAATGATCTAGGGTGTGTTACCAGAATACGAAGCTTACACGTTCCATGCATCCCGCCTTATGAGATCGGGTATTTACAAGATATCAACATTGTCGCGTTGTCGCAGTGTCGTCGAAGCGCAACAGCCGGTTGTCGCGCCAGACATCATCAGCAGTGGATCGTCCGTACAGACTCCGGGAGTGCCTGGATCATTGCATGTAGAAGAGCGCATATATTGAACCACTCTTTGCTCTTCTCAAAACGGAATTACGTGAGGACTGGATGGCATGCGTCTACTGTCTTGCTTCTAGCCTCTCGGCGCGTCCGTTAGGCACCGGATGTTATTAATAGGTGCCGAAGGTATACTGCTTGATATGACGATTGCGTCTGGTCATCTACACGATCGTCATCTTGATCAATGGAGATCAGTGGGAGGGAATAGGAGATAGTTGGAGTCAGGTTGATGAGATGGCTGGTGTTTAATCTAACATCAGGCTCCGAAATCCCGATGTAATCCTTGGCTGCAGGCTTCTGTATATCATACATAGCTTGGGCTGACCTCAATTCTTTACTGGTTCTCTGTTCGTATCGATCTCTGTGGGTAGGTCTTTTACCATGTGTACAACTCTTATTCCTTCTCCGTTTGGGCATCTACAGAGGAAAAGTGAGAAGTCAGACACTGTACCCTGGCAGATTCTTGACCGGCCTAAAGGAAAAAACTCACCTCACTACGTCTTCTTTCCCACTTCTTGTGTATCCGCATTTCTCGTACAGGCTGGTTCGCATACATATCAGCAGGCGTCCGCCGTTAACCAAATGAGCCGTTGACCACAACTGCCAGTTCCAAATGTGATATCACAACCTTTCCAAGTGATGGTGTCGTGTATTATCGTCCGCGACGAAGTCCTCGAACTCCCCAAAAACAAGAAGACCGGAAAGATGCAAAACAATGGGAAAGAAATCACTCACGACACCCCACTCAAAGTACTCCCCATTTCCAACCTCTCAAACCCTCCCTCTTTTGCCCTAGCCTCGCAAAACCGCATCATCATCGTCCCCAGCCCTTTCCTCGCCCACTCGGGATTCGTGAAGATCGCTCTTATGCTCGCACGCTCCTTCTCTGGATCGCGTTTCTCAGGAAGTCGCAGATGGTTTGGCGCCGTATCAGCTCCGTAGAGGGTGCGTCGAAAAGACCATCCGCCACACGCGGCGATGACATTTGGAGATGCAATGGGGGAGAGGATGAAATACGTTTTATCCTATATAAACTGTTACTTATTGAGATATTTTTATGGCATTGATTAGGTGATTGAGAGCTGGATTGGGATCGAGTGTGTGTTTGACAACGCACATGAAGTAGCAAAGTATCTGGGCCGAAGAGAAACCCTATTGAACCATCGAGCTCGGCTTGCGTGTAGTACCCTTTCCCCAAAGCTCTTAACGAATCACCAATCATTTGCTGGAGCGCAGGTACATCTTCCATGGTCGCGTCCCTGAAAGTAAAGTTGTGGGTTGCTTCTTGAGCTTTTGATGAGGCGATTGGGTCTTTGGGTGCATGTCGCTCGGTCAAGCTATTATCAGCCATATTTGAGATATATGTATAATGCAGACTGGTAAATCTGAAGAGATTAAACTGTGGGAGCGGTATTTGAGTGTTGCTTAATCCTGATTGTTCGAGGAGCAGTGAGATACATATGTATGCAGATGTGTATATACGCCCTATGTCGTGCGATATCGGACCAATCAGAGGATGGTGGAATGTATCCAGACTTGCCCGACGGAAAGCGCTTCTTCGGCGGGTATTACAAACGCCGACTGATAACGCTTATTCCACGTCTTCGAGACACTTCATCATTATTGTGATCAGTATCGCTTGCTTATCACTTCTTGTAAGATCTCTGTATTCCACGGCTACAACTTAAATGGTACATACACATCTCGTCATTTCCATTGCCTCCACCCTCTGATAACGCCTTTTCCAATGTCTTCGAACACTTCTATACTATTCTTACTATGACGAGCATTCTTCGAACCATCATCACTCTGACATGTTATTCGATGCTGCGAAAAATAAAAATCACAGCTCAATCAACATATACCCGGCACGCACCTTCCTAATTAAAAAATTACATGCAGTAACAATGTGCAATACTTCTCTCAAACCGGTGCTTACTTTTGTATTTGTACAATCAATTAATCGCGGAACACTGCGGTAATTTAAAGGTTGCAACAGCAATTAGAAGTCTCCTCATATGTACTTTTGAATGTTCTCAAATCCAAACGCGACTAATCGCTTGCTTCAGCAGCAACAGCAAAACAGCAACGAGCTCTATAAACCTAGAAGAGATATAATCGGGCATGTCTAGATGTGCGCACTACAAGGCTGAAGCGTAGTCTTGAACTTCCATGCTTGTCTCATCATGCATGTTTTGTCTCTACAGAGCATAGTACAAATCAGTGCAGCATTGTGACGGCTTTTTTCGAGAGAAATACCAATGTTTAGAGCATGTTGTTTCCTCTGTGCCCAGACCGTAAAACTAGTCAGTGGTATTGTGAATTCACTAGAAGCGATATCACCAAATCGAAGGTGATGTACAACAACGTTCCACAGATTGTTAATGACTTTCCAACCTACCAACGGGTTCATTTTTCGTCTCGTTATTTTAGGTTGAACAAGGCGGGCGAGCTGGGTTTTATCTACAAGCTTTTGACAAGCCCGGGGCTAGGAGTGAGATTGTAGTGGTAGCGATGCTAGGGGCGGGAGACTAGATTGGACTGGAACGGCATCTGGCAACGGGGGGCGCAATTGCATTTGTGAACATCAAGCGGGAGCTGTAGTTGGGAAGTGGGGGAGGAAGAGGTCACTAATGGCCTGTTAACGAGTATGTATGTACGCAGCGATAGTGTTGTCAAGGCACACATATTGTGTCACTGAGTAGAGGAGAGATGGTGGAGCCCAATCCCAATTCCTGGCTCGTAGGAAGACAGATGGGGATGAAGAGGAACAGCGAAGATGAGAAGATTCTAGAAACAGGATAAAAGTTTACAAACATGAAAAAAAAGTCGGTTGCGGTGAGAGTGAGTTACGGGCGGACGACAAAAGGAACGATCGATTGGGCACGAGCCACCACCAAAGTCCGGGCTAGTGCAGGGGGAGCTGACATGGTGGATTCGAGCTTTGGTTGGGCCAGAGCAGCTGGTTGTCCGTGGAGAGAGAGAGGATGCGGTGTCGAGCGGAATGGGGCCAGGAATAGGGGAGAGCCAATGGTATGGATACCGTATTCGGGATATGTGAGGCTGACGGCTTTTTGCATGTCGTGGATGAACCCGCGCCGCCGCGGAATGCACGCCTCGAGACAGTATTCGAAACATCAAAGTTGCTGGTGGAGAGCAGTCGCTGATTGGAAGATGCATGGTACGGAAGATTATTGTGCGCGCTTTGATCTGTTCTGTTCTGTGGGAATATGACACAGGACTCAGTCGACGTCTGGTTAGAGTACACGAAGCTGAAAGTTAGCGAGGAGAGTCGTGGCGTGAGATGGGGGCTGTTGGAAGACGCAGGTACGGAGAAGGATGTCAGCGCATGATTCGTTGCCGTTTTCGCTATCCTGTTTAGTATCTTGTACACAGCATGTCGAAAAGTATTGATTCTACGGACAGTGCGGTCGAGAAAAGGGATGAAATCCGCCCTTGCGTTGCTATCCGTCATGTGCTTCCTTGTACTTCATGCGTTAACTGCTTGGGTAGCGAGCGGAGAGACCAGATACGCAGAGCGAAGCCTGGAGATGGCATGGTTGAGGGCGATTGAACAGGTCAATGGATAGGCATACGTAGGGGCTTTACGTAGTGGTGAGTGTAAGTCTGTCTGGCTGGTGGAGGTGGATGTGGGGGAAAACGGCGCGATGGCGCGTCATGCCTTAGCCGTTGTTTCATGCCTATCGTGGCTTTTTTAGCCAGCAAGATATCGATGGCAGCGTAGACGAAGCATCGAGCCTATACCGTAAGAGAGAGAGAGCTTGACTATTCAATACACGATACGCGGCTGTTGAGAGTTGTTTTGCTGTATGAACGTACTGTTGTAGGAATTCATGCACTCGCACGATACGTGCATGTGATGGGGTTCATGTTTGTATGCACCGAATTCATGATATCGGTGATGATGGCGAAGCGGTGTTCCAGAGATGGATCTGATTTGACGCCTATTCGAGGTAATCCTCCGGGCATATGCATACGAACAGAAAGCTTCAAGATTGACAGATTCAATACCAGCTCCTCGTGGATGGGTGCGCGCGTGAGGTCGGACTGTTTGGAGCAACCGCCGTTCCTTCCTCCCCCCCGAGCGACCCATGCCTGACTAACGCTGCAGGGTTCCAGGGCGACACTTTACCTATTCACCAACACTTGTCCCCTCTAACTTAACTTACCAACTATTCACGATCCCCCTCCCCGTCCTTTTACATACATGGCGGCCCACCCTATTTGCTAGCACGGTTCGCCTTTTGACTGCATCGCCTCTGTCGGAACAAAAGGATAGAGAAACAAAAGGAAACGAAAAAAAGTCCCTCTTCCCCGTCTCCGCCGCTCACTCTCTCACACACACACACTCCCTCTCACGCACCCCCGTCCTGCTCCCGACGACGCCTCTTGTATCAGCCAGTGCAGTGTAGCTGCTACTCCTACGCCCTACAGCCTCACCTACCTCCCGCTGCATCCACCGACTCCTACGCCTACACAACAGCTACACCTTCGGGCCTGCTCGCCATGGCCGACACCACACCCACCATAGCTCCTCCGCCTCCGAGGCCAGGCAGCGCCGACAGCTCCGATGGAGGAGTGAGTTGCCTCCAAACCCGCTCTGCCTCCCGATCCCATACTGATATCCCAATGTGTAGGAGACTTTCGAGGACGCCCCCGATCTGACCCCTCGTCCACCCTCACATGCCGACCGCTCACGCACACGATCGCTACTCAGCAGGCGCGCCTCCTCTTCTTCCAACGCACACGACCCACGAACCGATTCTCCCGCACCGGAGCTCCCTCCCAAAGACACACCCCAGCAGGACGAGTCATCTAAAACAGATGAGGCACCCGCACCCCCGGAAAAGCAAAATCAAGATCAAAAACCCGAGGATGACACAACCGCTCCCAAGTCTCCCCTCCCTCCAACACAACGTATATCAGTCACATCAATGGACGACGTCTCATTAGAAGAAGGTAATTTATGCCCTGCACCACAATCCCCAGACCCAAATACAAGCCATCTCCCCAACCAATCATCCCCAACCACTACCTAATAATATCCCGCCCATGAGAACTTGACCACCGCTATTGGTAGCATTAGTAGCGCCATTGCTTACAACGACCAGAAGGAACAAAATCTCCAGATAATCAACCAAAGCTGCCCCCTCGAGATTCAGCAAGTGGATTGCAGGGTTTATCTGGCAAGATGTCTCCTGTCAAATTTCCTCCACCGCCTCCGGCCCCACCCGCGACCGAGAAGGATAAACATACTTCGTTACCAACCCCACCCGCTGCGCCCACAAGGAAACTCACTAGTCCATTCTCTTGGCTATCGCGAAACACATCCAGCAAGAAGCAGCCCGAGTCGCCCCCTTTGCAAGCCAATGATCGAAGGCATACCGCATCCTCTCTTCAAACACTCGGCAGTAATCCGGATACATCGCTTGGAAGGATCGACGACGAAGATTCACAGACGAAGAGAACAAGCACGGGTAGTCTACGGGATAGGTTTAAGCTCCTGAGGATGAGGGATGAGGCCGGCATTCCCTTGGACGAAGAAGCTGAGAAGGCAGGGCTGGGTCTGGGCATTTTGAGCCCTACTGCAACAGACACTGAGCATGCTGCAAGCATCACATCAGGCCCAACCAGCCCTTTGCCCGGCATCACAAGACAACCAACGGTCAACCCCAGTCTAGCCCCCGGCACTGCCGCTGGCTTCGCGTCTGGCCCAGCGGGTGATGCTGCGGAGCCTGTCGACTGGGATCTTTGGCAAAATGTCGTGAATGAAGGCCCAGCAGCTGTTGCCCGCACAGGATCAGAGGAACTCAACCGAGCAATCGCAAGCGGTATCCCACAGGCCATACGTGGAGTCATATGGCAAGTGCTGGCACAAAGCAAGAGCGAGGAACTGGAGATTGTATATCGACAGTTGGTTGCTCGAGGAACGGATAAGGAATACAAGTTACCAAAGACCCCTATTGTCACCAACGGGGATATCAACGGCAAGGAGAAAGAGTCAATAGCTTCATCTTCATCCTCTGTTCATTCAGATGTCTCGACTCCGGCAACAACGACCGGCAGCACGAACGCCGCGCTGCCTTCACCGTCTATCTCGTCCGACAACGACGCGGGGAAACTGCAAATCAAGACTGGCGCAGACAAAAAAGAATCGACCAAAGAAGAGGCCGCAGTCATTCTGAAACTGGAGAAGACGATCAAGCGCGATCTCGGGGCCCGAACCAGCTATTCCAAATATCTGATGGCTGCTGGCTTACAAGATGGGTTGTTCGGTATTTGCAAGGCTTATGCTTTGTATGATGAAGCTGTGGGCTATGCGCAAGGCATGAACTTCATTGCTATGCCGTTGTTGTTCAACGTAAGTAATCAAGTCATCCGCTTTTGACGCGGCAGAAATTAACCAATGTACAGATGCCCGAAGAAGAAGCTTTCAGTCTTTTCGTGACGTTGATGAACAAGTACAAGCTCCGAGACTTGTTCGTACAAGATATGGCTGGGCTGCATTTGCACCTTTACCAATTTGAACGTCTCTTGGAAGATCTCGAGCCCGCACTGTACTGCCACCTTCGCCGCAAGGACGTCAAGCCACAGCTGTATGCGACCCAGTGGTTCCTTACCCTTTTCGCATATCGATTTCCTCTTCAGTTGGTTCTGAGAATCTACGATCTGATCCTCAGCGATGGGCTGGAAGGAGCCATTCTCAAGTTTGGAATCGTAGTCATGCAGAAGAATGCACAAACGCTGCTGAACATGAAAGACATGTCTGCTTTGACAACGCATCTCAAAGAGCGCATTTTCGACGTCTACATCGACAAGGCCCCGTCGGCGTCTTCGATTCTCGAGAGTGGATTCTTCGGCTCTACTGGCGGTGTGGACAAGGAGGTCTACCGGGCCGACCAGCTCGTCCGTGACGCAGTAGCGGTCCCGGTAACGCCGCAAATGCTCCAACAATATACGGCTGAGTGGAAGGAACAGCAGCGGATCGAGAAGGAGCGTGAGACCGAGCTTCAGGGTCTGAAAGACAAGACAATCATGCTCGAGAAGAAGGTGCGCGTGCTTGAGCAGCGTGCAGAGCAATCAGACACGGAACACGTGGCAATGGTCTCTGATCTTGTCAAGACCAAGGTCGAGAACGACAACTTCGCAGAGGAGAATGAAGCTCTGAAGACAAAGGTAGAGTCGCTTCAGAAAATAGTGGATACACAGGTGGAAGAAGTGGAGGCGAGGATGAAGGGAGAAATGGAAGAAGTTATGGCCAAGAACATTGTTGTGCACAATGAAAACCGAGCGCTCGAGGAAAACATGGCGGAGATGGAAAAGGAGCTCGTGTCAACCAAGATGCAGTGGGCTACCGTAAGTTGTGTCCGGTCTGGCGGTGAAAGAATCAAGCTAACCAAAACCTCCAGATCAACGAAGAATACGAGCAGCTCAAACAGAAGTGGAACAACATGGCCCAGATGATGAAAGGGTAGTCACGGCCGTCTCCGCATTTCGCACCTCTTGCGTTCAACACTGAAAGCGCCAATATCATGATGTTAATGCTCACGAAACTCAAGTTCTCGACTTGGATAGACTACTCTCTGTTATCTTCGCTGTCAATATTCTACGACAAGCCTCCTGCAAAATAGGTGGCATTTCACTTTGGGTACCACTCTGTTCGAACCGCATCTCTAAATATACCCACGAATGGCTCGAGCCCCCGATCCCGATGCGTTTTTCTTTGTTTTGCGTCCGGCCTGACCCTTGTCGGGGCCTTTGTTTTTGAGGCGAGTTGCATATGGAGTTCTTTTTGGGGGGCGGGATGGCGTGAAGAAATCAATGGCATGGCTTGGCTAGAACTGTTTTTTTGAGTAGCAAGTAGCCACCCACTTAGGTACCGTGTAACTTGTAGTATGTCAGCGACCGTGGTGGCCGCCGTGGAGTTGAATAGCATGGATATTAATAATATCGTTTCTCTCCAATCGTTATATCAATCAACTAGCAAAAGTGGTGTAATACATTCACCCAGAGCTGCTTGGAACATTAGATGCAATCAAACAGATTAATAATTACTCGAGTATGTATTGGTGAAAGGGAAGACGCACGTGAGCAATTCACCTAATGGGGACTAGTGTGCGCTAGACTGAAGGGGCACTAGCGTATCTGCTTCTTCACTTCTTAGGCGCGGGAGTGGGCCTCGACACCTTCTTTCTTCTTCCCCATCACCAGCCTCCACCATAAGACTCGGACAAGACTCGAACCAACCGAGTGTCCTTTGGTGCCTTTGTCTATCTGCCCACACCCCGGCCTTTGTTCCTTTTCTACGCCTGTCCCATTCTCACCTGCTCCCTCTGCCTCCGCCATCCTCAACACCATGGCTGCACCATCACCAGACATCGCTGCAATACTCGCGGCCTTGGGTATGTACACCCACAATGCCTACACCAACGGTGCCGTGCCCGGGTTACTAACGCAAGACACAGCGGCGCGTCCGCCTACCACTACACCTTCGCAAACTCCCCAGCCAGCACCCCCATCGCAGATGCCGCCTGGCTTCCCGGGCGTCTTACCACAGAGCGCTCCTCCGGCCATGCCCGGCTACAGTCTCCCCCAACCCACACATTCTGGTAGTCTTGATCTGAGTTCCATCAAGCCCGCCAGCTCGGGCTCCGTGAGCATACAGGATGCACTTGCCAAAGCGCGTGGCTTTGCGGCGCAAAAGGGCCTTAGTTATGACCCGCGTCCAGGTAGCTTCGCCATGCCAGGCTCCATTCCCTCGCCTACGACTTACGCAACCACAGCTCATTCTGAAGATCCGCGTCTGCGCGGTCGTGATTATGGAGGCCCTACCCGCTCCCGATCACGATCGCCCTCGCGCCGTGATAATGCTCGTGATAGTCACAACCCATATCGAGAAGAACGTCGTGGTGGCAGTGGTGGCTATAGGGATCGCTCCCGCTCTCCTAGACGCAACCAATATTCTCCCCAACCTCGTGCCTATGGTGGACGTGACCGCTCCCCGCCTCCCAATGACAATTCGGAAGTGATCTTGATTGATTCGTCTTTGGTTGGTCTAGTCATAGGGCGGCAAGGTGAAAGCCTGCGCCGTATCGAACAGGAATCCGGTACTCGTATTCAATTCATCAACGGCCCCAACACTGGTCCCACACGTGAATGCCGCATCACCGGCAGTCCTAGTGCCCGTATCACTGCGAAGCGCGAAATCAATCGCATCATTGAAGAGAATGGCGGCAACCCCGCCCGTGAAACTGGCCGCAACGCCCGTAGTAGCGTGAAACCAGGCCAACAACTGCCTGCTCTGCGTGATGGCGAGCAGTCGTCCCAAATCATGGTCCCTGATCGTACTGTCGGCTTAATCATTGGCCGCGGTGGTGAAACTATCCGTGATCTCCAAGAACGCAGTGGATGTCACGTTAATATTGTTGGTGAAAACAAGAGTATGAACGGTCTGCGCCCTGTTAACTTGATCGGAAGTCCTGCTGCTGCTGCTCTTGCCAAAGAACTCATCATGGAAATTGTCGACAGTGATCAACAAGGCACTGATGGTGGCCAAGCCAAAGCAAATGCGCCTCCCGCTAAGCGTGACAATTTTGATCCGTATAATGGTGGAGGTGCGGGCAAAGTCAACGACAGCATGCTGGTGCCCTCGGATGCTGTTGGGATGATTATCGGAAAAGGTAAGATTGTCTGATGTGCTTGCACCTTGCGTATTCGTAATTGACCATGTTACAGGAGGTGAGACCATCAAAGAGATGCAAGCAACGACTGGATGTAAGATCAATGTGAATCAACCCTCTGGTGCAGACATTGAACGTGAGATTGGTCTTGTTGGAACCCCACAAGCTATCAACGATGCCAAAAACGCCATCTGGGAAAAAGTGGACCAAGTGGTTAGTGGACCTCTTCTGAAATTGATTTTGACGATTTGCTGATTTGTTTTGCAGAGAGAGAAGAACAACCAGAGACGAACTGGCGGTGGCGGCCGTGATCATGTGAACCAGAACGATAACTACTCACAGCAACCTAGTTACGGCCAGGCTGCCGCTCAACCCAGTGCAGCCCAGCAGCCTCAACAAGGAGATGCTGCCGCAGCTGACCCCTATGCCATCTACGGCGGTTATCAAAATTACCTTGCTATGTGGTATTCATCCGTCGCATATAACCAGGGAGCACAACAACAACCCGGCCAAGCTGATCAGCGTCCACCGGGCGCATAGAATGCATTTGCGTCTTCCAAGTGGCCACGTCGCAATTATTGATACAACCCGGAGTATTGAAGCTCGTTGTGGATTGAAGCATGAAACTGATCTCTCTCTTGCGGCCTTGCTCACCTGTGCGCGTGCAACAGCGGCACGATTTTGTATTGTGGCTCCCTTTGGCGCTTTGAATCAGTGTGCTTGCTATGCCATCAGTACGCCCTACGCCCATGAACCAGAACCTTTCGCATATACATAACAATCACTCAAGCCTTCGATAACTTCTGGATTTCTCATCTACGGACCAAAGCACGGCACGATAAAGAATGATCGTTGGCTACATCAACAAAAGATGAGCCGCCACCCTTGCATTCGATCCAAACCCAAAAAAATTATATGGTCGCCATTTTGTCTGTATGCATGCGCTACTTTACCCATGATGTCGTGGTAGGACATCACCTCTCATAATCAACACCATGGCTGGCCCGCTTACTTCCAACAACCACCCTCATCTCCATACCATCATCATCATTTATCAATCAATCATATGTCAGGCAGTCAGTCAGGCAAAGGCAAAGGAAATCGAGCACGAGGTTCGACTGGGCTGGGCTGGAATGGTTGGGTATCAGGGCAGAAAAAAAAAAGAATCGGAAAAAAACAGCGTGATCAGATAACAGAAATTCTGTTCTTTCTTCAGATATACCATTTTATTATCCATTGTTTTTTGCTTCAAATTCTTATTCCCCCCCTCAAATCCCCCCTAACTCGGGTTTTCTTGTAACCAACTTGGACTGTGAGTGAGAAAAAGGGAGAAAAAAAAAAGATTGAAAATGAATGGCTCATCTAGAATCATCCTTTTTGCTGTTGTGTGTGGTGTGATGTTGCACTTGGTCTAACTCTAATATCCTGACTTAACTAGGGCGCTTGATATCTTTTTGCCTTTTGTTCTTCTTCTTCTTCTTCTTCCTTTACTACGTATTACCCCCCCCATGTTTTTTAAATACAATAATTAATTATGCGTAAACATCAAGAAAGTACCTTGCCTTCCTTGTTGCGTTAACAATCTGTTTGAATTTAGAAAAAAACAAAAAAAAAAGTAGAAAAGAGAAAATAAAAGCTGGCCAACTACATCTCGGGAATCACCACCTTTTCTATCCCTCCTTGCTTTCTTCCTTCCTTCCTTCCTTCCTTCCTTCCTTCCTTCCTTCTTCCATAATACATGCTTATGTGCTGTGGAAACTAATTAACTCTGTTGTTTTCACTGTGTTACGAGTCCGTTTTCTACAATATAGCGTGTGGAATGTGTTTGTGAATGCCCACGACGTGTTCTGTTTTCCTTATTTTTTTTTCTTTTTCTTTCATGCTTTAATGTTTTGTTGTTACTTTGATTCTTCGTCTCGGCTTACTCATGGATGAATGAGCTTACACTTCGGAAAAGGAGAGATAGCTACATACATACTAAGGTAACGACCGTGATGACGTAAAGTTGTTTTTCCTGACACGGTAGTTTTGAAGCTGGCATTGGATATTGCATGGACTGAGCTGTGGATCGATTGTAGGGTATTGAATGATATCATGGAAAGGAAGCCTTTGCACAAGAGACGAATACGTCCCAGCATACATACCCTGTCTTCAAGGAGAAGAAGATAGCTTCATTCGAATCCAAGGACAGGAGGACGAACATTTTTACTCCAACCAACATCACTGCGCAGCCTCGGTCCACGTCAACTGGGAATACTTGTCCATCAACACGTGCCTCAACCCTTCTCCTTGTGCCCAAGCCGCCAAAGCGAGCGCCTTTTCCGCCCACTCTTTACACTTGGCATCGTTTTCTTGGACAAAGTAGTCCACGGCGTGGTTAAACGTAGTCGTCGCAAGCCATTCCAACTCCGTCGCTGGGTAGCAAGTTTGCCGTGGTCCCTGATCCATCTCGTCAGCGAAGAGAATTTCGAGGTCGGCTACAGTGAGGGAAGATGCCGAGTCTGGGCGAATATCATTGTTCTGCAGTATGGAATGTTTCAATAGGGTGGAAATATGAACGGGAGGGAGACATGAGCTGCAACTTACGTCTTTGCGACTCGCTGCAAAAGTGGTTGCCTGCTCGACACATCTTAGGCTGACGTTCTCGTCGAATGGGAGTGCGAGTTGGAAGAGACACCGGATCCAACGCGCTATTTTATCTACGTCGTTTCCGTTTTGTCTGGTGGTCGTGTTTATGATCTTCTGGAGCACAGAAAGTATCACTGTTTTGGAGTCAGTCTTGGTACGACTACCCGATATGTGACACATACTGCTTTGATATTTGCGGCTCGCATCGGCTGCGACGATATTTGAGTGAATGATCAGCACGAGATCTGCCAGGGTCTCATATTGGGTCTGATCGCTGTATTTCCAACACTGATCGAACAAATCATTCATTTCATCCCATTGCTTGAGTTTGAGCGCTGCCTCCAGCTCCAGCTTGACTACTTGAAGATGCTTCGCAATGGAATCAGCTTGTGCAGACTTGCCTAGCTGCTGGATGTTTGTGGCTGCAACGTCCCGGAATGCTTGACCGTGCTTGCGAGTTTGAAGGTAGTATTGCAGCTAGACTTATCAGTTTCTGCCTTGATAGTTCATTCGTACTTCTACTTACACATTCCTGAATGCTATCTTCCGCTCGTGCTAATGTTGTAAAACTGCATGTAGCGAGGAATTCACAGAACATCAAACGAAGTGCAAGGTCGATCTTATCCTCTGATTGATCTTGTTCTTGCAGGAGTTTGATGAAGTCGATGCAAACCTTGAGCAGCCGCACCAAGATCTCGGGTTGCATCTCCTCGCAGTATTTAATTGACCAGTTGTACGTAGTCTTGGAGAACCACTCAGACTCGGCTTTGTTGAACTGATCATGCGCAGACTTTGCTGATTTTCGATTGAACTCCTTCGCTCTCTTGCACGCTAGTACAATCAGTAATTGTACCCTTGTCAAAAGGTCAGACCTACCTCCTTCACAGACCCTACAGATGCGGGCAAGAACGCCATGATTCAAGCTGCCATCTTTAATGAGCTCTTGACCCAAAAGTCTCAGAGTCATCCTTGAATCATTAGACACTAAGACGCAGATTTGGAGGAATTGACTCACCGCAGCAGGGCTGGAAGATGAACCCCTGCAGGTACACCGTGATCACACTTATCGAGTACTATCTCCAAGGCAGTTACGGCGTCTAAGTTGCTCCCAAAGGCTTGTGCATCGAGTATGCAGGCATAGAGCAGTGTCGCATCGGTTCCGGAGTGTCGGAATATCAGATCCAGACACTCGGTGGCTACAATGATCAGTGTGATACCAATTTAGGAAACCGGATACAAATATACCAAGTTCGGAGTCCACCATTTGCAGTCCAGTTTTGTACATGATGTAACGTGTGACACGGTCGTTCCTCCCGGTTTCGGACATCTCTGAGAAGACCTGCCTCGCAACCGCATGATCATGTCGTGCTTGTGCGCACAGAATGATCTTCCTGCGTAGAATTAGCGAATCTTTCAATAGATACTGTATTCTGTGTACCTGGCAATTTTCGATTTATTGACGTCACCAGCTTTGCCAAACAATGGGTGGAGACATATACGGCACCAGTGCTCAGCTGTTTGATGCTGGTTTTGACTGTATGTTGCTTCCGCTTGCTTCCAAAGAAGCTATATTCTCGATTTAGCCACTTTACCTATAATTTATTGACAGTGAACTCACTGTCTGGGTGGCGTGCGTTGCCTGGGCGGAGAATGTGCCTTTCATATTCTGTGCAACCGAGTCGAGAAACCCATGCAACTGCTCCAAACTGACATCTGCAGCTGTCGTTGTACAGCAGATCCATATTCTGGTAATAACTGCCTTTTCAATCCAGACTTCTTTCTCTTCTCGGAAGAGTCTCATATCTATGAGATCATCGATAAGTTTGCAAGCGGCGATACTATCGTGCTCTTTCAGTTTGTGGATGTAATGCATGATCCTGCTGTGCTGTTAGTGCAAGATGATGTTAGTGATGCATTGGCTGAAGTACGTTTTGAAATTTCGATCGTTGAGAACAACGGTTCGAATCATTCTGGATAGGACAGCATAGAATTCTTGAGAGCCGAATACGTCCTCTTTAGAAAGAAATTCAAGCTTGAGCAGTGCAACTCCCATCTTGTCTTGGTAGTCCTTTGAACCATGTTAGTTATTTAACAGCACATGTCCGTGGATGCGCTTACTGCTTCCAGCAGTCGAACCATCTTCCAAGCTTTCTCTTTGGAGTGTGTGTCGCCGATTTGCATATAACAATTGGCTGTCTCATGATTAGAGCTAAAAATGGATGACAAGGGGGTTCATCTGACCTATACTCTGCATCGTGCTGAGTCGCAGATCTCCAGCATCGGAACTTAGCATCTCGATGTCTTGTGTTTCTAGTATATCAAAGGCTCTTTCCAACCATCGAACGCTAAGCTCATAATTCCTCTTCTCCTGCAGCCCTTTGCCTATATCGTGCAGAAGATCGGATAAGTATTCGGCAGTTACCGGCGAGAATGAGGACGAGAGTTGCTTGCACTTGAAGAACATGTGTTCTGCCGTATCCATGCGATTTTGTCGCCATGCCTATAAACGCGTCATTAGTTCTTGACATAGCAACATCCAAAGGATAATGGTGAGTCTCACTAGTAGTGTTCTTATGCCAAAATATTCCACCCGCAATTGCTTCCCTATCATGCTATCCTCATGGTCCTCCCGACTCCCTTCTTGACCCAGTATATCTTCGTATTCCGCGGCTCTCTCAAGTACCTTGGTGGCGGGGGCCACTTCAAGATTCTCAATGCATACCTTGGCGGCTTTGAGTGCAACCTTCATCAGGCGTATACATTGACTTCTCCGGTCGCCTGCACTTGGGGTCTGCCCGCTCGGCCCGCTCACGGCGTCGAGAAGAAGGAAGGAGAAGACGCGAAGTAGACTAGTCGCGCGCGATTTCAAAGAAATGTCGCTGCTATTTTTATCATTCGGCTGCAAGTGTTCGCGTCGCAGACGGGTCGATAGGTTCCATAGCTCCGTCCCATAGCGTTCGCATTCATCCTGCTTTTCGACACCCGCGATTGATATTTGCAGCGGCAAATTCAGGATCTGTCGGTCGAGATCGTCTACCAGCGATTGATCGCAGGTGGTTTCGAAACGTTTCTCGAGACCAGAAGCAAAGCCTGTGGTGTGTGAGCGGAATGTTGAGCCGTGGAGACAGGATACTTGCGTACTCAAAACGGCTTGCAGCTTCTTCTCGCGCTCAGTTCTTGCTGTAGATCGTGCGGGTGGCATCATTACCTTCGTGTCCTTCGCGATGAAACAAGAGATTGAATCTTGTACTGAACCGCGTGAAGCGCGCGCACGAAATTTTGGTGCATGTGTGTGAAATGGCGGCGAACGATGATGGATGGGGTGCCACTGCTCCTACCTCTTCTGATTCAGACGGAAAGAGCAACTGCGGTCAAACACCACACCTCGCGCGAGTGAAGTTGTACAGAACATCAAGCCTACGGAAAAAAAGCTGTATTCTAATGTTCCTGAATGTGAAAAAACAGATGGAAATAGATTTTGCATGGCTAGACCGGCCAGGAAACACGTCTACCGGCAGTGCGCATCCAACACGCCTAACACACAGGCCCAGCAAATCCCTCAAATGAATGATTCTAGTGCGTGATAGCCTAAGCACATACATCATTGGGGTTAGATATTTGCTTTCCTATGCGTTCCTCGAAACCAAGAAACCCTTTTTATGCCTTTGCGCCATGTGTAGTACCAATACGCCATTCCTTTGTTGCTCATGAGCTTGTGGTGGTAGGTATTGGAGGACTAGGGTCTAGGATAGGCAAAAAGTTTCCAATGATCAATGCAGGGCTACCGTAGATTAGCAGCTACTCCTACCCAGGAACAATATTGACATAAACTCACATGTCGTACATGTCTCGTTTGACGGTAAACGAGAAGCAGCATCGAATTTCGGGATCCTTGGACTTTGGATCAGGGTTTTTGAGAGAGCAGCTAGTCAGGATGGCCTTTTGCGAGTTGTCGAATGCGATGGCTCCGAACTTCTCCCAATAGGACACCAGCGAAGGCTCGGCGATGATCTCATGAATGGCGATGTTGCCCTGCGTCCAAAGATTAGCGTGGTTAGACATGAATGGTGCGCAGGATACTCACGTCTCGCAGTTTGGACATTGGCACGTGAATCAAGCGTGCCATTTCTTTGTTGCCTCTATAAATTTCTCCCGTCCGTCGCCAGCAGCATGCAGGGATGGCCATACTGGCAAATACGCGATCGTAGGCCATCAAGCTTTTGTCAAACCACATTTCAACACGCACCAGTTCCATGTCTGTTAATTTCTGGGCTCGCTCGCGAAACTTTGGTCGGAATCTGTCAAGCTGCCGCAGAATCCGCACACGTGAAATCTGTTGCATGTTCGATTCCATGTACTGGCTCAATCGGGCATAGCCCTTGACGTAATTGAACGGCTTCAGCAGACCTGCATCCATTTTCGCCTTGAGCAGCTTGTTCATCCGCTCTTCGGGACTGTCGGTGCCTGCGGGGTCCGCGGCGGTCATGTAGTATTTTTCTCGAGCCTTATCGAGGGGCAAACTGCTCGAAGGCCGTTGCATGGAGGTGCTAGAGGAGGCTTGGGCTGGTGGCGGTAACAATTGGGTGGCATTGGGCACAGTTGAATTGAAAGGTGTGCTGTTGGTGAGCGATCCACCAATGGGGTTGAGCAAAGAGGCATCGGAAAAGAGTTGGTGGAAATCACCACCATTGTAGAAGCTGTTGTCATCCATGAGATTGCTGTTCAGAAAGTCGTTGATCAGGTTGTATTCATTGGAAATCTCGGAGGTGCTGAACATATAAGAAGGGTCGAACTGATGCATATCTCGCAGACGGTTCTGGGATGACGAAGTCCAGTCATTGTAGTTCAAGGCTTTACAAATATTTTAGCACCCTTTTTCGGTCAGCACCTGGAGCAGTGTGTAACTTACCAGATGAGTTTTGAGCAGGCAGCTGTGGCGCGGGTGCGGATGAAGGCTGGGCCATGGATGCTGCGCTGGCACCTCTGTTAGGAGGTAGAGGAGGCGGCGCAAGGTTGAGCCCTGTATCGGGAGCTGCGGGAGGCTGCTGGCTGAGGACATTGACAGCTTGATCCGAAGACGCAGTCGCGTGGTTGGAGCCATCTTTGTCATCGTTGGCACTCCTCGGTTCGGATTTGGACTTTTTGGGAGCCTCTCGAGGCTCGTCATGACATAGATGTCCAATACTTCGTTTGATACACCGCGTACACGGGCGTTCCTGTACATATCAGAGTACAACGATTAGCCTGCAGGCTGCAAAAGGCAGTCTAGCGCAATGCACTTACCAGGTCGCATGTCATGTGCTGTTCGGGACGAAATTAGCAGACGCTATCAGAATACCTTGAACGTGATGGAATACTTGGAAAAATATCGAAAAAAAGCAAGAAAGGGAGTGAGGCTCACCGAGCGTCTGCAGTAAATGCACGCTGGAATGCTGGTTAGCAAGAGAATGAATCATTGAGACGACCCGGGAAGATAGTGCACAGCAGGACAGCAGCAGCAGCAGCAGCACAGTCAGACTCACCATGATTGACCTTTCGACGCTTCTTGGGACTTTTGGAGGGGGCAGCATCGGAGGCCGAGGTGATGGAGGGACGCTTGGGCTGCCTGTCCTTGGGGTCCTTGGGGTCTTTCGGATCTTTTGGAAGCTTTTGGATTCTGGGATCCTTGGACGGGGAGCTGGTGTTTGAGGAAGTGGATTTGTTGGGGGCAAGGGCTACGTCGGGCGACTGGGAGAGCGGCTGGGTGGCAGCAGCAGAGCCATTGGGTCTCTGATTGTCTCCCGGCATCAACGAGAGGGTTCCGGAAGCACGCAGGTGTGTTGCTTGGCTGGGATGGCGCTTGTACGTACTGCACTGCAGGCGGCGCAAGACTGACTGGTTGGATGGACCCGGGCGGGCGCACAAGGAAAAACCAACGAGGCTGCTGTCGAGTGCCGGAGCACGTTACTGGAGTCACACACGGGAGCCGGCACGAGCTGGGTGGCGGGTGGGAGGGCGCAATCCGATGGTGTTTCAGCGGCACGCGAGCGGGTGATGCTTCACGGACAGGCAAGTCTGTAGGTCAGGAAGTATGTACGTACTAGGTAGCTCGCAAGCCTCTAGGCCATTGAGTTGCGAACGGCCATGGGTGGATGGATGGGCGGAAACCACACCCACTTGGTGCATCTAGCCGAGGATCCATCCATCCCATCATTCCACCAGCTGGCTTCTCTTTATTTAGAGTCCATGATCCATCCATCCGCCCACGGCGACCACCTATGGCTGCTGTCTCGCACGTCTGACCGACGGGTACCAGCGTCCCGCCAATGTTTCGACGCGGATCAAAGAATCCATCGAACAAAGTCCAAGACGCATAACATGGATATGATATAAGCAGCACAGCAGATTGGCCGGCCAATCACAGGCGATGCGACGCGTATAAATCCGACCAATCACGGCTGCCAAAGCTCCGATCGTGAGTTCGTGAGTTCGTTCACTGCGCCGGGAACCGTGCCTTCGGGTCCCTGTGCTGCTATTCTCGGCATACAACACCACATCCTTATGCACCTGTCGCCGTTATCTATACGGTATAGGCTTGTTATGCATCACGCTTCCCTCCGAGCCCATTGATTCCCTCGACTGTCGTCATCCAGCTGCCCGTATTCATTCTGGAAATAAATGCAATCCTGCATGCGCGCCATGTCGCGCTATTGGATCTGTGCTACAGAACCACGCACAAATACACGTCTTGACCCCCCAATCCCGTCCCAGTATTTGCCATAGTCCTAGTTCCAGCACTGCTTGCTGCAACTGCCGTTCCCTCGCAATCATCGAATCCGTACGCCGAGTGATGCATGCCCATTGAAAAAACGCATATTCCCCGAACCCACCCATATCAAACGCCGAAACACCACCTGCATGCCAATAACGCTTTACAGCGCTGCGTACTGAGGTGCGCTTGCGTACCTGAATAGTACATCGTCTAGCGCAATCTGCGCATTCTTCACCGCATCGTCCACCCCGGCAATCTGCTCATGGTTGCCCTGCATGCTTTCCAGGCTCCCTAGAAACAAAGTCAGCCATCATTTCAACTAAACTCGCAGCGCAACATCAATACGTACGACGCAGTTGCTCGAGCAGTGGTGCCAGCTCGGGGTCGGGCGAGTCCAGCTTCGCTGCAGCTGTGTTTGCTGCTGTCGTCTTGGCCCATGACACGCCAATGTCGTCAGGCCCGTCTCCCTCCGCCTCCATATTCTCGACATCTTCTAATAAAGGATGGAACTAGACATGTATGTCAGCTTGCATTTTCTCTGGTCCAGCCGATACATGAGCATTGCATACTCGTCCTTGCTTCTCCTGGCGCTTCCACTCTGCTTTCCATAGTTTCGCATTCCTCTCCAGCCGCTGCAGATTTTCCCGGTCTTTCTCCAGCAGACGCTGAGTCACCTTGATTTGCTCCTTCAATAGTTGCTTCGAATGCCGCTCCTTGGTCGTTTCTCGAAGTCGCTGTGTATACTGCTCCGTGAGCTTATCGATATTGAAATGCACATCCTTGGCTTGAGGTGGAACTTTCGAAGAAGACAATTGGCGCACAAGTCTCTGGACAAGGTCTTCTAGCGTTCTGTCCGCCAACACGGCCCTTCGCTCGTCCCGTTGATTATTGACAATGTCCTTTTTGGCATCCATGAGCATCGCAACCATCTGCTCGAGGATCTGCGGTGATACTAATGGCCATGCGTCTATCTTCTCTTGCGCAATCCTTCTTGTGCACGGAACTAGCTGTACGTATTTGTGTACCTGTGGTTGCTCCTCCGAGATCTCGTCGGGCTCGTCTTCGTGCTCTTCGTTGTGAGTGCTCGCTCGTTTCTTTTGTCCTCTGTTCGGTCTGTCTTCGTTGGCGGTTTTGGAGGGTTTGCCTGTCTTTCCACTTGTCTGTTCCTTATCCCGCGAAATGGACGGTCTTCCCCTCTTCTTCTTAGCTGGCAGCTCCTCATCGCGCGTGATAGATGGCCTCCCTCTCTTTTTGATTGTTGTATGTGCGTCGTTCGCAGAAGATGTTTTGGCTGCCTTCCCTCCACTTCCCACTGGCCTTCCTCTCTTCCTGACTTCCTGCACGTTGTCTGCACCCCGTCTTTGACCGATGAATTGTGAGCCAGGCTTCGCCTTCGCCTTAGCTCTCACCACCTCCCCCGGGGTCGTTTGGTTCACTTTCGTTGCTGCGGTCGAGCCTGTAGAAAGGCGATTACCGCCTGTCGATTGTGCGTTTTTCGTGATTCGTGCGGGTTTCGCTGTAGTCGTAGCTGCCGTTGAGCCTGTAGAAACACGGCCTCCACCTGGCGGACGTCCTCGCCGTTTCTTGACCTCCTCACCGCCGCCACGTTTTTGGGGCGCTGAACGGGTTGAACGCGTCGGCGCCTGTTGATGTTTACCCCGATTAGCCTCTGTGCAATCAATCCCCATGGATATCGCAATCTTTGGACTCACCATTGCGTCTCATATAAGAGAGGCAGAATTGATATTATAGGCTGAGCTTGTTGTGTGTCTCATATCAATGAATGTGTAGGTGATCAATCGTTTTCTCGACTTTGTTTTGACGCGTTCTCGATTGATGATGATGCGGGCCGGAAGCTTGGGCCAGGCACCGCCCAAATGGGTAAGGTGCTTCCGTCTGTTTGTGGGGTAATTCACTTTACTGTTGATCGATCATAGGAGTATAGGATAGGTTTTCACAAAACTTCTACGTTCAAAGGCTGTTCACTGATAGTAAAGTCGTACACAATCGGTTGCATGTAATCCCATATATAGTTTTGACAACTCGGACTCGGACTGTTCGTGCCCCAGTTCCTGCCATTTATATCCCCTATGCGTGTATACCTATTGTTCACATATACGATATTCGCTGGAGGCTCCTGTAGATATCCGCAGCCGTTCATATCTCGTCTTGCAGTCCCGCAACGAAGCCTCAATGGAACTTCGCACTGACTCCACCATACTTCACTCCATCCACCCTCAATTCAAATACCAATCCCGCGCTCTCAATTCGCATATCGAGCGTGAAATCCAGATTGTCAAACTCGACGCCCTTTGTCGTCGTAAGTCGCGTGAACAGGCTTTTCGGAACAGTGTTCAAGTCTGTGGTAAGCGTGCACACGTTGATGAGCTCTTTCCGGTACGCATCGGGTGCCGTGTCGAGATCACAGGCGATGAGGTCGTCTTCTACGATGAGGGACTGGCCAGGGCGGAAGTTACGCGTATAGTGGAAAGAAATCGGGCTTGCTTCTGAGACTTGAGCGCCCTTTAAAGTCATTAGTGGATAATGTATCTCCTTCTCGCTTCTGTCTTTTTCCGTGCTCTAACTTGGCGATACGTGGAATGTGGGAGATCAACTAACCTTCGCGATATGCCACTGCATACGATCACTGACCATCCATCGTTCCCATAGAGGACTCCAGTATCGATCAGCGATAGGATGTCGAGTTTCATCGAAAACGGTTGCATAGCTTGTTCCATACCACCACCGGCTTCGCCGACTGACCACCATACTGCCCTCCAATCCTCTCAATACCGCCCCCCTCACGACCGCGGTCCATGCATGTATAGGATGAAAAATCTCAATCGCCTGTGGGGCATTTGGGTCTAACGTTATGGCGTGGCTAGGGCGCTCCGAGTACGGTGGTGGTGGAGCACTGTTGAAATGCAGCTTCATGCGGGAGTATAGGTAATCTGACTGTCCGAATCCACCTACAAGAACAATGCCGCACACCAGCCCCCCTTTCCTCCGAATAGAGTTGACCTGTCCTTCTACCAGATTAATGACCTCCTGCACGACGGGGTCGAAGATCTCTTTGACCTGTTCAGCACTCATTACCAGGAACCCCGAGTCCAATCCAGCTTCTTCGTCGTCCGGTAGACCAGGGAAAGGAATATTGACCTCATTGTTCTCTACTTCGTTGAAGTTGCGCTTGACGAACTCTTCAAAGTACTTGAGACCCATGTTCCACGTCTTGGCCTTCTTCTCGCGCATCCATGTGTAACGCTCGGCGCCTATACGTTGTTTGACGTGATCCTCGAAGCGGAAATTTAAGAATGCGCTGCCACATAAACCTCCAGTTCCAACGGCAGACTCCTCAACGCGAAGAGGGTTTAGTTGCGTGATCTCTGACGTCAGTTTAGTATGAAAGTAGTTCATAGGACAATGGAGTTGTCTGGATGTCAAAAAGGAGACATATACATACTACGAATGAGTTAGCATTAATCCTAAGCAGGAAGGCTTACAGGACATTTCTAGCCTGTGAGAGTCTATACCTATAAGCTATCAGGTCCACGGTACCTCCACCTGCCAAGGTTCATTAGCATCACAAATTCCATGTTCCATATGGAAACTTGTTACAATTTCTGTTGTAACTAGGAATGCAAGCTCGAGAATGGCATATGATGCCAAACCTTCGACCCGGTCTGCGAAATGTGCGAAAGGAAACATACCGGCATCACAAACAATGAAGTTGTCTCCAATCTTCAGATTATTGGGCTGAATTGCTTTCAGTGTATACACTGCCGCGGCCTCGGGCTCACTAATTAGCTTCAAATCGCCCTGACTCCCCATGCCGGCCTTCTCTGCAGCTCGTAAAGTTGCGTCTTTGGCAGCGTCACTCCAAACTGCCGGCACTGTCAACACAAATTGTGTCTTGGTCATCCCCATAAATGTCTCTCCGTATCTCCTGCTCAACGTCTCCATGGTATGCTTGTGAATCTGGGCCAGGTAATCAGACACGGCTTCCATGACTGTTTTTTGCGACTGACGCAGTTGCGCGGCTGTTTCTATAGGTGACACGAAGGAAGGCAGCTTTTGAGATTTATCGAGGAAAAGCTTGATACAGCGCAGGCGGCTTTCCTCTGGCTTGAATTGAAACCCCCATCTTATGCTCGGCGTGGGTTTTGCTGGGTCTGAAGCAGTCTGAGAATACGCAAGCTCGGTTGGAACTTTATCAGATGTGATTCCTTATTAGGGCATGTGAGCTATTGCCCATACGCAGAGTTCGAGCTAGGGTGACATCTCACCATTCCCTCCCGGCCATGTTTTTATGATATCGATATCGTCTGGTGTGGCTGAATACACTGCGGCGACGCCTGATTGGCGTTAGTCTCGCTCAATCCCCAGAAATGTAATTAATGGTGTTTGTCCCACCCACCACTATACGTCGTCCCAAAATCGACACCCACAATCAGACGATCATGCGCTGCATTCGCTTTTTTGGCGGGACCGCTCGCTGCAGGCGTGGAGCCGAAAGTGGAGCTCGGATTGATTGCAATTGGGGTGTTTCCAAGGTGTCCGAACGCGCTGTTTACACTGCCCTTCCTGTCCATCGTGTCCGGCTCTAGCTCTTATATGTGTTCGGCGAAGGTAGACGGTACATGAGCCGAGGTATCTACGGTGCGTGTGGGGGCGGTCGATTCCGAACGCTCAGTATAGCTATCGATTGAGTAATAGGGACGGAGATAATCGTGGGAGCGAAGGGTAGAGTGAGCTCTGAAGTCATCCAAATGGGTGCCTGAGAGGCATTGTGGATATTTGTTGAAGCCTGGCGGGATCAGCGAATAAATGACCGACCGCTAGGTGATGTGAGCCACGCCGCCCCCACCATCACCTCGTGATATCTGATTACTGTTAGGCATCACTTTCGGGTACTCTCAAGGCAGACATAATCGCCTGTACAGGGTCTCGGAGACATGGTCTAATCATACGAAACGTTTTGCATGCTTCATTTCCATCTACTACCAGCCGGCGCATTCTAGAGATGCGCACAAGAACACGTCATAGTTAACCCCACTGTGTGTCCGGTCATGACCGAAACAAAGAAAACTGGTAACCACGCATCTGTTAGGTCTCGTGTGAGAAACCGCTGCTAACTTTCTGATTTCCCTCCGGAAAAAGACTTCTCTGCCCGTCTCGGCGTCAAGCGATCCAAACCCTCTTCTACCAAACCGCACACTCCCATCAACGCTCCGCCAAAAGCCGCTACGGCGACAAGTTCGAAGCTAAAGAAGGAGGAGGTGCAGCGCCGCAAGAACCCTTTCAATGATATGCTACACACCCGAACACACAGAGAAAAGGATTCAGGAAGAAGTCCCTCCTCGAAGAGACTAGAAGCTAGGGAAGAGTCCTCGCGAAAGAGCGAAGATGGAAGACATGGAGCTGAGAACATATACGATGCGCGCGCTGCGGAGAGGATTGCTGACTTGGAAAGGGCTTTGGCTCTGATGAAGCAAGAGCAGGATTCTTTGAGAGAGGATATGCTCAAAATGAGAGAGAATGGGGTGGCATATCAGGAAACGACCGAAGAATATAGGCGGCAATTAGCCAACACATCTGCCGCGATATCTCAAAACGAATTCTGGGGTAGTCCGTCTAGATCTGGCAACCATCTGAACAGCAATCGTCCACAAAATCTACCAGGCGCTTTTCAGACTGATTCTCGACCCCCTTCGCGGTCATCGCAATCCGCCGCCATGGATATATTTGAAGAGGGGGAGCCGTCTCGCCAAACACGCCAACACCAAGATGGCAGAATAGATCAGACCCAAGACCTTCGCTCACAAGTAGCACAGCTACAAGATCAGCTCCAAACACAAGAACTTGCCAATCAATCCAAGTTTCGCGCCGAAGCCGAGTGGCAGGAGCTAACCGCTCGCCTGCATACTGCGGAGAAGGAGTCGGAAGAACGCTTGCAACAGTTGCTTTCTCTCAAATCCAGTATCTCTTCTATGACACGCATGGAGGCGCAATACACCGATAGCGAGCTCTCGGAGAGCCTGTCGCAGTTGGCGAATCGTGTACGCGAATGGGTGATAAGTAACTTTCGGAAGACAAAGATAAATTATAGCAATCTGACACCTGATGTGACGAAAGCGCTTGAAGTCATCTCACCGGACTATAAATCCATTAACGATCGGCTGGCATTGTATCAAGCGCTCATAGCAAGCACCCTGATGCAACTATTTCGGGAACCTCTCGTCGTTGGCGTATCAGAAAGCGGACCACTTGCTCCGCTAAGACATGCAGCCATTGTTATGAAGCGTAATTCGAGCGGATACAGTGAATGGCGTCGGTGTACAGTTCGCAGCCTCGAAGCGATCGAAGGGGCCGCCATTCAACAGGAGAGAGGCAGAGTGTTGCATCGACTCGTGGATAGCATCTGCCTTCAGCTATTCACTCTCACGTCTGCGAGTGCCACACCGCATGCACAGCAGTCATTGGAACACATTTTGAACACGGCAGCAGATATTCGGCGCACCTTGCTGCTCCAGAAGGCAGAGTACATCATACACTTCTTCCGCAACCCGGATAGTCATAGCATACGCTTCGATGAGACCAGAATGGAATCCATTCATGATATTGATGGGCCAGACGAAGATGGAGTCATGTCACTTGATAGAGAATTTGGTTTCTGCGTTTTCCCATCCTTGGAGAAGTTTGGCGATGAGCACGGGGACAATGCCGACGTCAACAATGTTCTGTTGAAAGCGCGAGTCTGCTGTGAACTCAGCTAGCGAGCCATGTAGTGTCAATGCATGAATCATAAATGTTAAATGTTCCAAAAGCAATATCCTAGCTGGGTCTTTGAACGCGCCTGAAAAAGCAGGACCCGTCTGCCGATATCACCGGTTGGTAATAGCCCACGGCCCAAGCTGACTGCACAAAACGCACGAGTCTGCTTGGGTGATCGTGAGCAGGTTAATATTCGCACGCCGACTAACTGCAACGGTATAGAAGAAAGAAACCGAGGTAGCTTAATGGATGTGCGGTGTTCACGAGAAATATGAATAAAATGGGACCCTCATTGCGCTGAGTCGATAACCGGTCAAGTTCATTTGAAATGGATAGAGTGTTGAGCTACTCCGTTTCATTGTCACCTTCACCTTCGTCGCCTTGCACATCCATGACGCGCTCGCCAGCTCTTTCGAGGGTGCGACGACTCCATGCGCGAACTCCTTTGTAGACAGCCTAACAGTGTTAACATGTGCGAGTCAAAGAGGGAGAACACAGTGCGTACCAGTAGAAACGTCCCCACGCCAAGCAAAATGATTAGCCAGCTGATCTGCTCATGTCTATCGCGTCCTGTTCCCCGTCGCCTGCCTCCGCCCCCTACTCGGAAGTAATTAAAGGGATTAGTGACGAGAATTTTCAGGAATCCAAGGACGCCCATTGAAGCGATCCCTTTGGCGAAGTGGGTAGACCAGCCGATGACGTCATTGTCATCTTCATAGTAGTAATCGTATTGTGACCATGGCGAGAGAAAGCTCCAAGGATCAAGGTATAGGTTGATGATGGGATCTGCGAAGAAACCTAGGATGAATACAGCCACAACCAGAATTGTGATAGTCAAACCAATTTGTGCGGCTTGTGGCGATACTTAGCGAAGATGTTTGGGCGGAAAACTGCCTATTGACTTACCTATGCTGCCAACAAGTCTGCCTGCTCCCAACCGTGCAAGTCGGTATTGGAAGCCGCACGTTGGACAATGGAAATAATTCCGTCGCCCGTAACTTGGATCTGCATGACGCCAGGCCTGTAGACAAGACTCGTGAACGTACTTTGACGAACCTTTACACATGCAGGGTCTAAGCAATCGACCATTTTCATCCTCGTATTTAGGCTTGGAAGCGGTCTGCATGAAGCCAGGGACATACTCGGACGGGGCATCGAAGGTAGGCTGAACAGTATCTAAACAAATGCGACATTGCCGAGGCGGCCAATGGCCTCGTGGTGAAGAGTGAGGGTCCTGGTCCGATTGTGGAGGCTCTGCACGCGGGTGTTCTTCCCTGGATCGATCCTGGTGCATCGACTCTTCCGCGGCTGGAGAAGAGAAATACGGTGTACGCTGTCGAAATGACGCGCCCTGTTCTGGTGGCTCTTCTTTGGGAATGTTCTCTGGCCACTCCCATGCGGGATCCGCTCTCGAACCAGTATCAAAGGACATTGTTGGGGAAGGGTGAAGGGGGGTATGAGGTTTGCCTGTTGTGACGTGCTTTGTAAATCTTACTAGAGTGCAAGCATTGAAGGATGAAAGCGGAACATCAAGCCGATTGAGCTCTTATGAGAGACATTAATCGCCTGCGGTAATCATGCTACTGCAGGCTGAGCATCTACAAGCCTAGCGAGAATGAAGGACACGGTGTCGTAAGGGTAAGCGACGGGATTGATGGGATGGAAATGAATGGAAGACGAAAAGAACTTCGGGGTTTGGTTGACGTTGGTTCGGAAGCCGTGAGGCCCAAGCTTCAGCTTTCACGTGATATTGAGTCTTGGCGGGTGCCGCCGCCGCCGCGTCGTCGAGCTTGCCTAACCAAGCACCCAAGCTCACAGCTACGGGACCCCAGCATCACACTCACGATTCGATTCTCGCTGCTGGCTCTCCGAATTCGATCCACGACCTCCTCCAGCCCATTAAAAACCAACACATTTGTCTGAAATTCCGAAATGGCGGACCGATATTCTTTCTCGCTCACCACTTTCTCGCCCAGGTACGTATCATAACCACCCAAGTGTCTCTACTGGGGATCTAGCTAACAGGTAAACAGCGGGAAGCTGGTACAGATAGGTACGACCAACAGTCGCTCTGGAAAACATGTTGCTAGGTGATCAAACAACAGTTGCTAACAACGTACTAGAGTATGCCTTGAACGCCGTCAACCAGGGTGTCACTTCTCTGGGAATCAAAGGTAAGCTTCTTGTATACCAAAGTAATGCGGTGGGGTCTAATGGCATTCTATAGCCACCAATGGCATCGTCCTCGCTACGGAGAAGAAGTCGTCATCCCCGCTCATCGATTCAACATCTTCGTCCAAGGTCAGCCTGATAACGCCCAACATCGGCATGGTCTACTCAGGCATGGGCCCCGACTACCGAGTCCTCGTTGACAAGGCACGCAAAGTTTCACACACTGGCTACAAGCGCATCTACAACGAGTACCCACCCACGAGGATATTGGTGCAAGACGTGGCGCGTGTCATGCAGGAAGCTACACAGTCTGGAGGTGTTCGCCCTTACGGAGTTAGTCTACTTATTGCGGGCTGGGATGATGGTATCGAGCCGGAGGCGGAGGCCAAGCAGACCGAGGGAGATGCCGACACGGAGAAGAAAGCGAGTGGCAAGACGGGTGGCATTCTCAAGGGAGGACCAAGCTTGTACCAGGTGGACCCGAGCGGTAGTTACTTCCCGTGGAAAGCAACGGCCATCGGAAAGAGTGCAACAAGCGCGAAGACCTTTTTGGAGAAGAGGTACACGGAAGGCTTGGAGCTGGAAGATGCTATTCACATCGCGCTTCTGACCCTCAAGGAGACGATAGAAGGCGAGATGAATGGTGATACGGTAGAGATTGGCATTGTGGGTCCACCGGAGGATCGGTTACTTGGGTTCGAGGGCGTTGAAGGAGCTCAAGGGCCACGATTCAGGAAGCTCACCTCCCAGGAAGTTGAGGATTACCTGACAAACTTGTAGTTGATAGCAGGAGCTATGCATGAAGCATCATCCTAATCATGCATGTAATGATAGACAGCCGACGTATTGAGCGTCAGCCTGACACTTATGAACATGAATTGATGGCATCTCATGGACGTTTGCAGCCAATGATGGTCATCGGAATGAAAATGGTTACAAAGCCAACCGCTCCCGAGTGAAAACTGGAAGCCTGGATGGCCGGATGCCAGGTAATAGAACCAATAAAAGTCGCCCTAAATTTCGCTTGGCGCTGCTCTCTTCAAAGGATAAAATCATGCAGATGGATGGTTTCGCCCCCGGATATCATCCATCATCACAACAGTAACGATGGAATCGCAAAAGATTCCAAGCCAGGGCGACGATGCGGACATGACTGTGTCTCACGGAAGCGGGAAAGAAACATACCGCCTGCGATCCTATCAGGCTGAAATGGTAGCGGAAAGTCTCAAAATGAACATCATTGTGGTCATGGGTATGAATAAGCATTTCGTTTAAACATTCCTAAACATCTATGGGAGGACAGACTCTAGTCCCAACACCTCCACCATCCGATCAGCGCTAATTTCTCGAATGTGCATTTGTAGACACGGGGAGCGGCAAGACCCACATGTACCTACTGCCCTCCGAACCTTGACATTGCGCATTTATCTAATCCGTAGCAGAGCTCTTGCGCGCACGGCTGCAGAACTGGAGACGTGCGATCCTACAAATGTAACGGCTCATTCCATCCATTCCAGAGAGTGTCAATTCATACTCACAATACGGTGCAGCTGGTTTGGTTCCTATCGCCCACGTTGGCTTTATGCGAACAGCAATCAAACGTATTCGAATCATTGCTTCCAGCGTTCAAGGTCCAAGATTTAGCCAACAGCAAAGGCATCGAGCATTGGAGTGATCAACGCACATGGGATGGGATTCTCGAACATGTTCGGATCGCAGTCTCCACGCCCCAAATTCTCCTTGATGCACTCTATCACGGTTTTGTTCAGATGAAGCGACTAGCATTGATCATCTTTGATGAGGCACATCATTGTACCCAAAACCATCCTGCCAACAAAATACTCCAGAATTTCTACATTCCCCTGTCCAGAAACAAGCATGCCTCCGGACAGCTTCCCAGGATTCTGGGTCTTAGCGCATCGCCGGTCATGAAGGCGAAAGCCACCGGCGTGGACCTCCAGTGAGTAACAAATCATATCGTCAAAGCATTTACTAACATTATGTTTAGGAATATCGAAAGAAACATGAATGCCACAGCAAAGACTCCAAAGGTTACCCGATCAGACTTGCTACGCTTCGTACATCGGCCAGAGTTACATCGCGTCGACTACCAATTAATGACTTCGTCGCTGCCCCCTTTCCTGATCGCTTTGCAAAACGAGTACGCGACTTACGATATAGAAAAGGATCCATACGTTATCGATTTACTGACCAAGCACCATCAAGGCCATAACACGGAAAAACAGCTGAAAAAAGTATTCCACACGCATAAGACCTATTGCCTTGATCAGCTAAAAACCCTTCTATCCAAAACGGTTGCTACTTATGAGGAGCTTGGGGCATCTATTGCGGAATGGTATCTACGTCGATGTATTTCCGACTTCGATAGGATGTGGAGAATGGATCATGAGCTTTCGGGCTTGAACCAAGAAAAACAACATCTTGCGACCATTTTTCAGCGGCTGCCGTTGGCCAAAGATGGCTGGTCCCCGGGAGATATTATAAATAGTTTATCTCCGAAAGTAGAGGCACTGATTGATGTCCTTGTCGAGGAGACACATCCCGAGCTAACAGGCCTGATTTTCGTCGAGCAACGCGTGTGGGTTGCAGCGCTATTAGAGGTATTGACGATACATCCAAAGATTCAGGGCAAACTTACATCCGCTACCTTCATGGGATCTTCGCAATCCACGAAAAGAAAAACATACATTGCGAATGCTCCAGAACCTCGCAATCAACGGGAAACTCTAGATAGTTTTCGCGCTGGGGAGACGAACTTGATCTTAGCTACCAGCGTATTGGAAGAAGGCATTGACGTATCAAGCTGTCACCTTGTCATATGCTTTGAACAGCCCAAGAATCTCAAGTCTTTCATACAGCGCCGCGGAAGAGCTAGGAAACAGCAGTCAAAATACTACATATTTGTGCCGCACGACCCAAGGAGTATGAAGAGTGTAGGGAAATGGGTATCGATGGAGGAGGAGATGAAGAAGGCTTATCTGGATGACAAGCGTCATATTGAGGCTGCGACAGAAAGAGAGTTGATAGAAGAGACGAGTGATCGTGTGTATTACATTGAAAGTACAGAGTAAGTGACCCGTGTTTGCCTCGCTAAACCCAACCTGTCTGAGCAGACCGATAATAGCAAACATGATGTCTGACAAAGAACGAATAGGGCGCTTTTAAACTTCGATAATGCCTCGCAACATCTTCATCACTTCTGCTCCACCGTTACCTCCAAGGAATACGTGGATACGAGACCACAATTCGACGTGAACGAGGTAGCAGGGAGCGGCATAAGCGCCACTGTGACCCTACCGCTTTCAGTAGACGCTGCTGTTCGATCAGCAAAGAGTCTCCAATACTGGCAAACAGAGCGTATGGCAATGAAAGATGCTTGTTTTCAAGCATACGTAAACCTACATAAAGCTGGGTTAGTCAACGATAACCTACTCCCTGACAAGGAAGAAGCAGATGATGAAGCCGAGAGCTTTCAGATTCCGGATAACACACCGGCGCTCGTGGAGGTCATGTGTGCCCTTAATCCATGGCTTGAAGCCATTAATCACGTACATCGACCTGTCGTGCTATATCGGACTCTTCTGGAAATCAGAGTGCCTCATAAAACACCACACTACATGCAACTCCTGACCCCGATTGAATTACCCAAGATACCGGATCTGAATCTCCATTGGAACGAGACAACACAGTGCTCTATCGCTTACACGACGTTGGGCTGTACTAGTGTCAGCGAAGAATACATCAGTGCCCTATGTGACAACACTCAGAAGATTCTGCAAACCGTATTCCATAGCCGAATGCGGACAGGGCTCAAGGACTTTCTTTGGCTACTTGCTCCGAGCGATTCATCAGGTACTCCATCGAGTCTAGACGAGCTTGTAGCATGGAACCGCATCACAGATGGCGCTCAGCTGGCGCCAGAAAAGATCCAGCAAGGCGATGTGGGCGTATCCGAGTGGGGCGTACTTTCTTTGCAAAACGATGGCCGGAGATTCTTACCACACAGGATCCTTCCTTCGACACAAGATACCACAGAATCGATTGTACAAGGAATTCGTTTACCCAAGCGGAGAGACTTTCTTCACCCGATGGTTGGACAGGGTCAACAGAATGACGCTTACAGCGCAGTAGAAGATTTCGTCGGCGCAGAATCCTTAGTGGTATCAAACTTACCTGCCAAGTACACAGTCTTTGCTTTGTTTACTCCATCAATCATGCACACCACTGAAATTTACATGATCGCCGATACGCTCCGTACTTCGCTTCTTAAGTCTATTCAATTACCGCCAGATCAACTTCCCCTCATCCTTCGAGCTCTGACCGCGTCGTCTACCGGCGAACAATCCAATTATCAACGGCTCGAATTCCTGGGAGACTGCATACTCAAGTATGTCGCCTCCGTTCACTTGATGGCCGAATACCTCAATGCCCCGGAAAGCTATCTTACTGGAAAGAAAGGCAAGATCGTCTCGAACGGTTTCGCTGCACGCTCAGCCATTGCTATCGGCCTCGACCGATTCATCCTCACCAAGCGCTTTACAGGGGCTAAATGGGGACCTCCCTACATCTCCGACCTCCTCCAAAAACAAGAAGAGAAACGCACGCTCTCTTCTAAAGTCCTCGCCGATGTAGTCGAGTCTCTGATAGGAGCTTCGTATGTGTTTGGCGGCTTCCCAACAGCTTTTGCTTGCATCCAGTCATTGCTTCCATCTGAATCGTGGACACCGCTTGCGGAAGCCAATATGAAGCTTCATGATGCCGTCCCCTCTGGTATTACCATCACCAGCCTCGCGAATCTAGAACAAATGGTCGGATATACTTTTAACAAGAAAATACTTCTCTTGCAGGCTCTCACGCACCCCGATTACCACGGACCCATTGAGAGTGGGACATATGAACGATTGGAATTCCTCGGCGATGCAGTACTGGACTAGTACGTCTTCTTCCATTACCCCCAATCCAACAAAACTTCCATCTTTCTCTCCCTTCGTTCTGTCTACATCCTAAACACCCTACCCAATTCTACACACGCACACACACACACACACACACACACACACACACACACACACACACACACAAAAACCCTATCCTGACCAACCAACAGCACAATATCCACCCGTCTCCACGCACACAACCCACCACTCTCCCACGACAAAATGCACGGGATCCGCACCGCAATGGCAAACGCCTCCTTCCTCGCCTTCCGCATGTTCGAAACCCACGTCCCCACTCCCCCCACCACATCCTCCTCCTCATCGTCATCATCTCCATCGCGCCCTCTAACACTAGCCCACCACCTGCGCTTCACCTCCCCGCTGATCTCGGCTGCCTTGTCAGCCTCATACACCTCCCACGCCTCCGTCCGCCCCGCTATCCTCTACGCCCTCACACACTCCAAGAAGTTCCCCTGGCACCTGCTTAGTCTGACGGATGCGCCCAAGTTCCTCTCCGATGTCGTCGAGAGCGTGATTGGCGCCATATATGTCGACAGCGGCGGCGATATAGACGCCTGCGAGACTTTTGTTAGACGGTTGGGGATCTTGGAGGCCTTGGAACGGATTCTGGATAAGGGCGTCGATTGCTTGCATCCGAAGGAGCGGGTGGGGCATTTGGCCGGGGAGAGGGATGTTAGGTATGTGAGAGTTGTTGGAGGGGATAAGAAGGAGGAGGGGAAGAGGGACGGCGACGCGAGCGGTGATGCTGGTGGTAGGTATAGGGTACAGGTGAAGATTGGGGGTGTGGACGTTGGGGATGTAGTGGAAGGCGTGAAGAGGCTGAATGCCGAGACTATGGCGGCGTGGAGGGCGATTGGGATTCTTGAGGCTGCGGGTGATGGTGGTGGTGGAGGGGGTCAGTCGAAGCGTGCGCGTGAAGATGATGAGGAGGAGGAGGAGGTGGGGGATGGTGGTGTTGAAGAGTGGTTTGATGCTGAGGAAGATTTGGGTCAGGATGCCATGTCTTGAATCTTTGTGCTGAGTTGTCTAGTCTTTTGGTCCTATCCACTGCAAATTTGGCAGCAGTAGATGGTATTATCAGAAGTCTTGTATGGAAGTTACACATTGAATAATACACTAGCCTCGTCGGTACGAAACTGTGTGCCAATACGGCGGCTTACTATTTGACGTGACTATTGCATACCTACCTAGCATTGTCGTCTATCCGAAATTCGTGAGTTTAGAGCCCAGCTTTATTATACAATGTTATGATGAGCAACTGGTGACACCGACCCGTGCCTATCCATGTTTTCGCGCCTCAACATGAAATACTGTTATGAACCTTCCGCGAATCATCACGTAGCTCTTCTATGCAATTTATATCTCCATACGAACTCTACTAACCCTGAGCAAAGTCCAAGCTATCCTTCCCAGTCGTAGAAGGCGCAGCATTAGATCCCTTCTGTGCCCTCAACTTCTCCTCGAATTTGGCAAATTCCTGAATAGCAATCTCCTCCTCCTGATCCATGACCTGCTGTACACCTTTGACCTCCTCGATGTAATGCATCAGCATGCTCTCGATACCGTTCTTCAGCGTCACGGTGCTGCTATCGCATGTCCGGCAGGCGCCCCTCAGCTTCAGCAAAACTTGGCCGTCGACGAAACCTCGGAAATCGATATCGCCACCGTCCTCCTGAATAGCGGGCCGCACTCGCGTCTCGAGTAGCTCTTTGATCATCCCAATGACTTCGCTGTCGTTCTCGTCGTATGCGAGTGAGTCGACTTCGGCTCCTTCTTGGCCACGCTCGTTGTTTGAATCTGTGACGGTGTTTACGATGGGCTGACCCGAGGTCATGTACTCGCTGATGAGGGCGAATACTTCCGGCTTAACGTGCGCCCAGGGTGTTGCGCTGTCTTTTGTTATAGTGATGTAGTCCGCGCCGAAGAAGACGGATGTTACGCCGTCGATATTGAGGAGTGCGGCGGCGAGTGGAGAAGGATGTGGAGGAGCGAGAGTGGAGCGGGGTGTAAGATACTCGAGAGACGAAATCGAATCGGGGAGGACTCGTTGATTGGGTTTGAATTTGAGAGCCTGAGATTGTTAGTTTCGGCGACTTTGAAGCGGAAAGAGAGGGAAAGCGCACATCTGGATTTGGCGTTGCTTCGGGGACAGTCTGTATAAACATTGTCCGTCGTCCAAGAGGGGCGCGGTTTGGTTGTATGGCTGATCTCCATGGCGATGATCGCACTTTGTAATGTAGAGAAGAGGATGGGATAGCGGTCGTTCTTTGGTGAAGGCAGCGTCTTGCAACTTTCGGGGCACTGGATCGGAACGCCGGAATGGCGCGTGTGAGGGTTTGTAGAGCTGATTGAGACATGGCAGTATGTGGCATGGAAAAATGCGATGTGGTACTCTGGAGGGTTGAGGTATTTGGTTGGGTTCGCGAATGGCGAAATGTCATAGAATGACGTTCGCCGCATTACAAAGCAACATTTTGCGACTCGACGATCCGTCCAGCCATCCACCAATCAGAGACCATGACATCACACATCTACATATGTATTCAATTGGCGATATTGTGACTTGATGATGTGTGAAATGGAGATCGTTATTATAGAAATATAGTTTACCCTGGTATCACACACGAGGTCGGCCGTCATTTCTTGAGCTCCTCTCACTACTACTACCGTTTTCATCTTTCTCGGCGTGCCTCTTCAGCAGTTTCTCTGCCTCTTCTACAGCGTCTCCCCCAACTCTCCAACTTACCAAAGCAACTCCTTGTTCACCAAGCACTTGCTCCGCGCGTGCCCATCTCTCTTTCCAAAGTTGTTCCTTCTTGCTCAAAATCTGACCGCCATCGCCATATCCCTGCCCGGCACCTGCATTTGACATTAGGGATGAACTAGTATTGGTACGATTTAGTGGCTTCTGGTTGGAATTCGTCGAGTAGGGCTGTACTTGTGCGGAGGGGCGAGTACTGTGGTGTGGTATTGGTGGAGCATGCTGCCAAGCACTATGTGCTTTTGAACCCACATAAGAAGCTGCTTGCGCAGGATACGCTGTGACCCCACGGCGAGGTGGTGGAGGTGGCGGCGGGGCTGGTTTCCTATTCTCTGTAGGCTCTGCAGTATCCCTATAAGAACCGACATAGGTAGACGCGGATGGCAGACTATTGTAGACTGAGGCGAGCTTATCACGAGCCATTTCTGTGTATGACTGTTGATTCGCAAAGTCCGGTTTGGGGGGTAAAGGGGGTCTAGTCGATGAAGAAGGTGTTGGGGTCTGTTGTATGAGAGGGCTTGATTGCTGTGATGCTGGTTTTCGGGGTTTAGGCGGAGGCGGAGCCTTAGCAGAAGATAGCTGAGACACAGTGTCGCCGGAAGAGGTTCGCAATGATACTGGTTTCTTGGGTGGAGGCGGTACTGACCTGGCACTCGACACAGAAGACACTGATGTTCGATGATCGCCTGGAATAGATTTGGTGTCTGTGTTGACACGCCGCATAGGAGGCACCGCATCGGTATTGTCATCGGGTGAAAGGTCTATCAGATTGCCTGTCACAACCGAAGGAGCCGTCGTAGATTGAGTAGCTCGTGACGGCAAGTCAGGCCGTCTGCTGGGGTGATCTTCACCGAGTTGAGGAAATAACGATCGTGATCGGTTGCGATCGTCCTCTTCCATATCGCGCAACGACGCTGCAATAGCGGCTTTGAATTCAGGATCATCATCATCGGAAGACGCGAGCTGGTTGGTGGAGTTACCATTCCCACGCTGTGATGGAGGCGAAGACTGGTTGACTGGCGGCATCGGTCCAACCGAGGGGTCGAAAAAGCCAGCATTTTGTGTCGTGGTCACGTCTCGTATGAAGACTGCAATGACCCGACCTGGGTTCTCCAGAACAAAGTCTGTATACACCTCAAGATCTGCCTCGCCACTATCTCCGATAAGAATGAATTTCCGATCGGGGAAGTCACGAGCTATCTTATCCATGGTACTCTTCTTTCGTTCCGCTACGGGCTCAAAAATGCCCTGAAGCATACCGCTATATTGCTTCAAGTGAAACGAACCTGCGGGCAAGCCTGCAAGTGAGAAATATTTGGAGATGACAGGGTACAGCTGCCATGGAGAGTTGGAGACATAATGAAAAGTGACGCCTAGCCCTGCCATTCTGTTGTACCAGTCCTTGACACCGTCAATGGTCAGATCTTCCAGATCACGGATAAAGGCGTTGCGAAAGATTTCACGAGCTCCGCTACTAATGGCAGAATGTTTGATCGTATCGTCGATGTCGCTTATAACACTGACGCCAGCTGAATTAGTGACGACAACAGATTCCGTGGCTGACAGTCTGTCGGACGCGAGAACACGAACATTAGTAGGTACAAAGTCTAATGCTGCAGTAATACTGAAATGTCCGGATGGGTTGGTGTAGATAGTGCGCTGCTTCGATATCTCGTTATTGTAGAAAAAGACGCTGATGGGAGTGTTGGCCATGGGTACAGCGAGGAAGTGTTGCAATCTGGCCATGAGCCGTGCGTTAGCTTCAGCGAGCTCGGATGGACTCATGTCCGCAGGTTGGTTCCATGATGCACGCTTTGCTATCGGAAAGTTTCTCTCGTCTACTCTCAAAGAGCTTGAGGAGGCACTCTTTGCAAGTTGGCGAAGACGCGGGTGTTCAGCACCGTCAGTGGTGCGATATTCCCTTGTGTCGTCTGTATCGCGTGGAGCAGGGTTCTCGCTGTATGCTCCTTTCGCTGCCACCTCTGCTTCTCTTTCTCCTTTCCTTAGTATCTCCTCAGCCTCCTTTTGGGTTTGCTGTGCGTCTCGTTGTGCCTGCCGGATTTGCGCTTGGTTACCAGATCCCGGGCTCGGGTCTCGACTGCCCCACGAACTTTCCGAAGCGTTTGAGGATTGAGTGCCTGCGGGTGGAGCTTGAACTCCTACGAGTTGCCGGGCAAGACCAATGAATATTCTTTGCTTTCTAGACATCTGTCCCTTGTGGGGTGAATATATCCAACCACGCACATCGACATCCACGATGGCATTGTCGTCCTCGTAGTCGTTCCATTGCTGATTCCAGAACTCTGCATCGCCAGCTCCAGCAGAATCTCTCACGTCTCGGCCTTCGCCCGGTTCTTCTTGTATGGTACCTGGCTCTGCTTCTGGCTTCTACACGTCAGTGAGAGTGCACACGTGCGGATTGTGTCACGGTTACCTTTCGTTTTACGTGCTTGCGCGCATAGCTGGGGAAAAGTATCATCTCTTCCTCGCCACTGCGCACGACAGCGGCATCCTGAAAGCCTCCTGGTGTCTCATCTCCATAATCATAGGACTGGTCGCTCCTAGTCCAGGTGGGAGCATACTGCTGCTGGTACGTCTGGCGCAATTCGTTTGCAGCCTTGAGATATCCCGCAAGTTTCCGCCTCCTTGAGCCAGGTTCTCGAGGCGCATAGCTTTCTTGGTAGCTCATTGCTCTGGGTATTTTCTCTTCAATATTCGAGTCTTGCGTCAGCCGTTGCCTTCGAAGCCGCACTTCATGGTCGAGGCGATTGTTGCTGCCTAGAAGCTTCCTAGTGCTGCCGCGCAGACGCTGGAGAAGCCCTGGGCTTTTTTGTAGCTTGCCGGTTTGCCGGTATACAATGTATTTGTAGATGCGGGACTGAGCGCGGTGTCTAAGCGAGGGGAAGGTCTCGTGGCGGAGTCTGGAGAGGTGGGCGCGGGCCTGTGGTGGGATGAGGTAACGTAGGAATGATGAGGTCCCGCGGGCAGAAGGCTTGCGAAAATGAGGTTTGGGCATCCAGATGGATCTTCGTGGAGCTGAGCGGAGTGGGGAGGGAATTCGGCACGGTGGTCAGGGAATAGGCAGAGGCTATGATGGCACCGGTAGGGATTCCAACAATGCCATGCGTCGAGCAGCATGGATAACTTGATGTTCCGCTTAACTAGTGGTTCCAGTAACCACAACGTCATCCATCGCAATCGGCACTCGGACGACATTCATGTACACACAACCGTCATTTCTTTTTCTACGTTGCGCAATACTCGATTCATATTGTCATTGAATTTTGCATGCCTGACAATGAGTGTTTATTTTTTCCAATTCACAAGGGACGCTTCATATGTTAGTTGGCCACAGTCGGGATTATCAACCTTACACACTGTTACAAACAGGGAAAGGTAGCGGACTACCATTATCCTGGGTCATCCGAGATGAGCCTGTCTGGATTGACTGATTGTTTGACAGTTTTCGCTGTACTTGCCTCCTTCGAATTGCTTCCACGATCAGAACCCATAGTATAGAGCCATGAGTATTCAAGAAAGCCATTCAGTAGCAGAGACAATCAATTACGACAGAACGATAAAATCCAATCATGTCTATATGATCTCAGTCATCTTTGGCCTAATTCATCCGTTCTGATTAATTTGCCTAGCTGTACGTCTTGTCACTCAGTCTATGCAAAGTCTTCCAGTTCTGCTCCTCAGTTTTCTCCGATACATTCACGACCGGTTCTAGACATTTCAATTCAAGATATAAACTTGTCAAGTATGAGTAGCATTTATTAAACCCGATGCCTGATGAGGTCTTCTCTGGACACAAGAGTCAAGATTTCTGGGAGTTTATACTCTGGATCGTATCGAGTCCACGGGTATGCATATGAAAGTTTTCGAAATCCCAAACGGAAGAGACAAAAGATTTGTCGGCAGGCTTTGCAGGCAACTCCTTCTAACGTCTCATCAGAAAGTAGAAGCAAAGCTTACAAACATCAGAAACACAAAGGAATAAGCTAAGTCCATATTCCAACGAAAAGAAACTTTCGCGGAAGCACTTAGTCATGTCTTCAATCTTTGCGTCCTCCTATCTCTTCCGTAAAAAATAATCTGAGAGAACACGGCACACGCACAAGCATGCCCCCTCTCCTCCGCAATCCCTCAGATCCCAGAGGGCGCAGGAGGAACGTAAGAAGAAAAGGGGAAAGAAGGAAACGAGCGAACAGCAAAGCTTATCAATCCTTTGGTTTCAGTTTCGTCGTCCCCCCCTTTTTTTGTTTTCTGTCTGACTAGATCCCGGCAACTCACCCAGCCGTCCTCTACCATGTACCGCTCCTCCCCCGTGCTCCCGGAATCGGTAGGTAGGTAGGTAGCGGGCACATACCCTCTGTTCCCGCTTCGTTCCGCACCGAGCCGGGGGATGATGAGGACGGGGAAGAACGAGACGCACGGTCACGGAGGTAGCGCGGTACTTTGTGGTAAATGAGCGGGTTAGCATGTCGGTATGATGGCTTGCTTTCAAAGACATGTTGGGTTGGTTATGGGTTGGGATACTTACGATATTCGTGGTGATTTATCCACTTCGGTCGAGCTCCACATCTGTAGGCAGCATTTCCTCATCGTGGAATACAAACATAAACTCTACCACCACTTCATCGGAGTCGATTGGCACATAAGAAACCACCTACAAAGCAGATGTCGTTTCGACCCTCTCAAAAGATTGAAAAGAATTGCTTTGATGTGCATCGCCGTTTACCGTTCTACGGCGCATTGATGAACTAATCCGCATTCAACATTCTTGCATCTCATCGTCGGAGGCCACCAAAAGGCCCAGGCTACGCAGTTTCCCCTTTCCTTCACATCATCATCTTCCCTGCGTGTAACCTCAACGTCCTCGATCTGCATTCACCGGTTATGTTCCCCAAAGCTACGCAGCACATCCTTCATTCCTTCCTTCCTTCCCTCCCCCCATCGTCCCTTTTCCCCCATCCCTCTTCAATCGATAGAGCTTTCGTACCACCCACACCTCGCCCACCCCGACACTATCGAAAAGCGGCACAGGCAAGGAACAGACTAGTCTCGAGTGCTATTTATTCACGTTTTTGACAGGCAGGCATCGTGGCACTGACACATCTTCTGCAGCACTTGCTCGGCCCAAAAAAAGGAGACTAGCGTGTAGGTCGACAGATAGAGGTTAGAATGGGGTGACGTGAGGTGTGATGGTGTGTGCGGTCCGAAGATAGACGGTACAGTTACACGAACAAAAAAAAAACTGAGGAAGGGCTAGTGGCCATGTGCCGCTGCAAAGCGACGCAAGGAAGGCAACGATTGATAACAAAACTTTGATTCACACCAAATCACCTCGCACGATTGTAACTTGAATGCTTCCCTTTTGGTCTTTCTATATTCATGCACTGCTCGTCTTCGGGGTTTTCAGCCCCGTATTGACTCGCTGCTTCGTAATCCTCCTCATCCGCTATCGCCATCGTGATGCAAAGGTTGGCTCGGTGGTGCCCGCGTCTGGCGGTCGTCAGAGTACAGGTGTATCGATCAAAGGGTCCATCTTTGGTTGGCAAAAAAAAACTAGGAAGGGTAAGAAAAGAAAAGAAAAAGAAGAATTTGTGGCTGTAGTACACGATTTGGCGTGGTACGGATGGCTTATGTGGGCGCATGACATGTATACCTGTAAAAAATACTTCCGAAAGAAAATCCTCGCGCAGTCAAACGTTCCAGAAACCAAGGATTGAAGGTTTTCGCGGGGAAAAAGTAAAAGGTGGTTTGGAAATATCACGTACCGTGACAAGCAATATCTTCTCACTGACGTTGATTTCACTTTCATCGTTGTGCATGGCTTTCAAAGTATGCCTCGAGTCTCCTCCTGATTTGACTTGTACCTGTAGTAGTGCTATCTGTAATTCATCGCGAAAGTCGAGATTACTATAGCATGCACTGTATCCTTTCTCACCATCCTTCCTCGTGCCCGAGAAAAACAGGGAACGAAGGGAGGAGAGGGAAAAAACAATAGGCAACGCCATTCCTCTTCGCGCGACGTTCGCATGAACGCCACCTAGATCCCCCCTGATGTGATCACGATGCAATCAGGCATTATCACTGTAGCACGCGCACACCAGTATCCCCAGAGGTTTGCAATGTGGGCGGCAGGGAGGGTAGGACACATGCGTACGTATATGTCGTGTAGTAGTGGAACAGGGCTCGAAATATTGATCCCGCATATCCCGCTTGAACGGGATCCAGAACAACGTGCATGATGCACCTAGCAAAATGAACCAGAAAAGAAGGGAAAAGAGGAAAAGAAGAAGCAGCTCATGTCTGCCGTCTTTTCGCCCCCCATGCGAGCAAATAAGCCCAATGAATCGTGACGCACAGGCTGAGCCTTTCCGCTTTGGTGGCCGCGCGCAGATGACGGAAATGGTGGGTGCCACTGGGCACACAGAAAAGCAAATCTAGGTGGCGTTTCGTTCCGTCTTCTTCCCCGTTACCTTACCTCGTGCAGTTACATGGAGGAGTCAAAAATCGCAGAGATGCTTTCGGAAAACGGCGCGATTGATTCCTTTTGATAATGATGTTCGTGTGTCCCGGACGGGTAGTCAGTAGTCGGCACGCAGGGAAGCCCGAAGCAGCCGTGTTGTCTTTTTTCTGTTGCGTGACGATGTCGATGCCCCCGAATACTCAATCTTGTCTTTCAAGATCAGATAATATCTGCGGTGCTCCTGGGCTTAAATGCTTTGCAAGGGGAGCCTTGCAGAGGTGGGCTCCTCGAACATCATTGTATAATGTCCGACGTGGGAGAAGTATGTGTGATGAGATATTGCAGTGAGACATCTCATGAAAAAACGACAGGCTACGCTTGGAGTATTCCTTCAATATCGTAATCATGCAAGATTTGCCTTCATGCCGTGTATAACAGGAACGTGCTTCACAACCATGCTAAACTATCGATAGAGCTGTGTGAGCGAGGGCACTACTTTGACGAGACTACGCAGAGCGAACGTCTGGCCTAAGATTTTGTTTCCGCGTGCTTTCCGGTGATGACATGGGTCAAGTGGCAGGACATCCCGCTGCTAATTGGACTGGAGGTGGATATCAGTTATCGAAGATCCTGAACGCATGTGACGTTGCTGGATGGCAAAAGGCTGCCAGTTTTCTATGTTAGTCGATCTGTCGTGCAGAAGGCGGATCGGTCAGTATATTGGTGATACTTGGACGCAGTTCTCCGATAAAAAAGAAGAATAAAGCATGAGGAGAAAAAACTGCGAAGTTTTCCAAGGGGATGCAGAGGGCGTAGAGTCCGTGCTGGAGGATTGAACTAGTGGAAAAGCATGCGTTGTAATCCCCTTGTAATCGGCCAGAAACCAACTTGATATGATGACCTGGTCACCACCAAACACGCAGGTTGGCATCGGTAGAACATCCGGCCAAAAAATTCGGGACAGAGGAAGGAAGGAACGCGACCGAAGGGCCATCACCGAAACATATACCCTGCAATGATGGCCTTCGGACCATGACGCACAAGCATTTCAGCCACCACGATCCACCGTTTCCGACTCCTTCGAGGCCCGCGCATCAGTTCCACCTCACCTCAGCCTCACCAAAAGCAAAATTTCGCCAAGCCAGGCGGAAGCGGGGAGTTCCCGCAGTACTTACACTAAAGCCTTACACACCCCCGTAATTCTCAGAGTTCGGTCGGCCTTTCTTTCAGAGTCGATCTGGTGGTTAGAACGGTGAGGTTGACGATGAGTATCCGGATAAACGCCACAGTCAGCGAAGCCCGAGCGGCCTCAGGACATTCAAAAGAGCAATGGGATCGCTTTTATGTGAGTCGTGCCGCACACATGTAGGTCAGTGTTGAGCTAACTGGGGAAGTTCATCACGAAAGACGAAGCCAAGCAGCTCTCAGAAACGCATCCGGCCTGGACAAGATGGATACTCATACCTGCGAACGAGAAGGATATGATGTTGCAACGGATAAACAGTCGACTGATAGCAGAGGGCATACCGGCAGTAGAGATGATTATTTTGAAGTGGCGGGTGTCGCAGCTGTTAAGAGACATCCAAAGGAAATACGGTACGTTGTGCGCGACCAGCCTCGAAGTGCGTTTCTTTTGTTTGGTAGATCGATGTTACTGCAGGGAAGCTAATCATTTTGTTTGCACAGCCGAAGGTAGCATGATCTCAGGGATGGGAGGGTCGAACACTGGAGGTCAAGCTCAAACCCAGACGCAAGCAGAAAGCAGCACACAACAATCGCAAAGCCCTCAACAGTCCGACTCTTCGCCAAGCGACGCACGAATGTACGATCCAATACGAGACGTATAAATATCAAAGAATCTGGGAATTTCAGGGAGAAATTCGTGGTTGGGCTCGCTTGATGAGAATCGCGAGTTTTGCGTGCTGCAGTTGCGCTTCTGTCGCATGTCAAGCCCACGCTCCAGTACCAAGGAACAAGAGCCGGCTCCGTTGAAGCCACAGGCAGCTCAAGACGAAGGCAATTGGATAATGCACCAGTGCTCGTCCAGCGCCGGTGGAAGCTTCACCTGAGCCGGATCAAACGCGATGGACTGCGCCCATCCCTTGCGGACCGTTTCGCAGACGAGACCATGTCCGACGATTAGGATGCGGCCGATAGACTACAGCGATGGAGGTCTGGCTGATCACGGCAGGAAAACGCTACGATACAGTGTGTGGCTGGAGCCCGGAGCACAAGCTCAATTCTTATTTGAACTGCAAGTGTCAATGAACCCATATCTCATGACTTCTTCACCCAATGCATGCATTTTTCAGTGTTGATGCAATTGCCAAATTGGCGCTCTTTCCGTCGAGATATGCGTTCGAGAGGATGCCTGATCTCGCAGGCAAGAACATGAAGCGAGGACAGAAGAGACCTTTGTTTGTCGGGAATTGGATCGACTATGAGCGTACAAATTGTTAGGCAAGGCTGACAACAAGAGAGATGCTGGTGTTGTCAGTAGAAGACGCAGAAGTGAAGTCGGAGCAAACGTCTTGAACAGCGGAAGCTAGTAGATTAGCTCTTGCCTATCCCAGTCGCTACCAGACTCTGCCCCAGTTCTCGATCCACCGTCTCCGGGTTTGGGGAACTCAAATAGGTCTTGCCTCGGATATCGCGCTTAATACGTCTAGGAGATATGCAGCTGAATGCAAACGCCGTCCCGACATGCGGGATCTTGCACGCATACACCATACGCATCCAGCCGGACTCCGATTCCTTGTGATCCAACGCCTCATCCTTCGAAACCTCACCGATACTGCAGACAACAGCTGCAACTCATCTGCATACCGGGAAAGGCGATGAGGCTGTGAGTACGTTGCAGCCGAGCAAGCACAGCCACAAGCTACGTAGCCGGAGCCAGCTTGCGCTTGGGAAAATCGTCACGGGGCAAACTGACACTGGACTGTTCAAGTGGACTTCAAGGCCCTGGTATCATTTGCGATGTTTAGAGTTGACCGGATTTCCTGTACCGTCATCAAAGAGCCATAAAGAATCCCAAATGCTCATCATTCATATCTGGTCATGACCATAATGTGCCGTCTACCCTTGCATTCCAAACCCCGGTTCAATGCCGGCTTGCTTCAATGCTTTTGCCTTTCGCGAATCCCGATCCTTCTTTTCAAGTCTTTGTGCCGCAGCCAATGCTCTTACTTCCTTTTCCGACGAGATCTTCACGCCCTTGGGTTCGTCCTCGCGGTCGAGGTCTACAGTGGCACAGATGGTGACGTTCTCGCCGCGCACCGTCATGAGGCCTGGCAGTTTGACATCAGCTATCAACCATTTTGGAATGGTTGGGTCATCGCTGGCTTCGGGGTTCCGAGCTGCTATTCGCTCGCAGCACTCGGTGAGGACAAGGTTGGCTATAGAGTTAGCGCTGATAAGAGCCACTTCCCGATTTTCAAGCCGTACCAAATTGATCGTATGAACGTAGGATGCCAATGTATTCTTTTTCGTCGCGGAGCAGGACGTCGACCTTTTCTGTCGCAATGTCAGCTTCGTTGCTGGCCATCATGTAATGCAATTATGAGCGTACTATCGACCATGTCCAACAGCATGGATGACGTCAGGAACGCTTGCGGTGGTAGGTCGACTGGTAATATCGGCTGAGGCGTTTCTCTCGCACCACCGAGGACATTTGGCGTGAATGATTGTTGCGGAGGTGTAGCATTGTATACGCCGCCGTATCCTGTGCCAGACTCGTCAACACGAAGGTCTCCTCCAAAGTAGAACTCTTAGCTATTACCAATTGATTGTGGCGGATTGCTTGGTGCTTCGACAATCGGCTCTGGCTGAGCCTGCTCCTGCATCGAGCGCTGGAGCATCTGGTTGAAGTTCATATTCATGTTCGGCAGAGCTCCTGCGGGGCCACCCCGAGGAGGATGGGGGTTGTAGGCCATGGTTGTGTGCGTACGTTGTTTTTTTGGAAATGAGATATCGTTTGGAGTGAAGGAGCGTTATTATTTGGGACAAGGGGCCGGTCTCAGCGGGGCGATCATGGCGGGTCGTGGAATGGTAGCCCGCCTTTACTTTGATCGTGGATTCTTCATGTTCGTGAAGCTGGCTGGATAGCGATGGTACGTGCGCAATGCTTAGTCAGGCTTGTTAGTGTTTTCCGACATCCCTCCCTTTTGCTCAAGTTGCCGCAATTGACTCGAGACCGGGAAAGACTGAGCGACAGATGACATGGCCAAACCCAGACAGCTCTCATGCAATGCGTTCTTGATCAAACTATAGGAAATTTGTTGATGATACCGCTTCATCGGTCACTCCCGAGGCGATAACATCAACGCCCAACTAAGTCTTGAACGATAACCGAGAATACGATAAACGAATGCAAGACTTTTGTCATGGGAGCAACGTGATTTCCTCCGCTACATCGTTATAGGCAGTTTCGTTGCAGCTTTCAAATTTCGTCCGCAGCAAAGAATGGTCCGAAACCTAGTGCGAACTTACCCCCAGCCAGCGTCACAGATAGGTCCGTAACGTACCTAGGTATTCCACTATAAGTTTATGGTATATCGCAAACGCATTTGATATCGCTCAGCAATCCTACTTTATTCCGCATCAAAACGTTCACCCGAGATGTCAGTCCTCTGGGTCCTATTCAAGAACAGATGGATCACCCCACCTGCGCCTTTCGAAGGCTCCTTCGAAGGCAAGACCATCCTAGTAACAGGCGCCACATCTGGGATTGGGCTCGAAGCGGTAGTCAAATTCGCCGCACAGGGCGCGACTAAAGTCATTATGACGGCGCGAGACAAACAGAAAGGCGAATCCACCAAATCCGCCATCGAAAAGCGTCTCGAGAAGAAGGTGGTCCTCGAGGTCTGGGAACTCGATATGAATTCTTACGAAAGCATTGTCGCGTTTGCCGAGAGAGCAAAGACACTCGATAGTCTGGATATTGCTATCCTCAATGCTGGATTACATAAGGTGAAGTATACGCAGTCCGGGAATGGATGGGAGGAAGACCTTCAAGTCAATGCGCTATCGACCACTCTACTGGCTACCCTACTGCTCCCCACCCTTCTCGCATCGAAGAAGAAGACGGGCAGGACTGCAGTTCTAGAGTTTGTGAACTCTGGACTACACGAGACCGCCAAACTTCCTTCCAAGGCACGCCAATCCGAAAATATCATCGAGTTCTATAACAAACCCGAGAATTTTGGAGCATCGAATCAATACAGCTTCACCAAGTTGTTCCAGATGTTCGCGGTCGGAATACTCTCGAAGAAGGTTTCTGCTGAAGATGTCATCGTCACGTCCATCTGCGTATGTCCTTAATCCTTTATTTTATTTACCTCACCCGCGAGTAAGGGCGGAAGGCGACCCCCTATCAGTCCTACACCCTTCTCTCCACCAATCCCTCTACCAATCCAAACTTTTTCTTTTCCTCTTTTCCCCAAACCCGCCCCAGCCAAAAAACAAACACACACACAAACAACTAACTCACCCGCCAACCAGCCCGGACCAGTCTTAACTTCCATCGCGCGCGACATATCGTTCCCCGGCATATCCCTCATCAAATACATCGCCAGCCTCCTCGCCATGCACACCCCCGCCATCGGCGCCAACGTCATCTTAACCGGCACAGCGCAGGGCCCCGCCTCCCACGGCAGATTCTGGAACATGGGCGTCATCAAACCCGTTGCGCCGACCTTGGCGGGCGTCGAGAACGAGAAGCTCGGTGAGCAGGTGTGGCGCGAGATGGTTACCGTTTTGGCGAAGGAAGTTAGGGGCGTTGATGTACTGGGGGTGGTGAAGGGGTTGGATGAGGTGGGGGTGTAAGGAAGGAATGGAGTTTTCGGTCAAAGGGGAGGGGGTGGGGGGAGGGTTCATGAGATCGAGATGGATGGGTGGGAAGGTTTTGGGGTCGTTTTGGTAAGTTGGGTGTATGGCGTCGTATACGCTACTAGATAGTGGCGCATAACACCGGCGTATAATCATCGTGATGGCTCACATCATTCAAACCGTTACATGTTTGGAATATCTGTTGACTTTGCTTATATTTGCGTGGGTTGCACATTGGACGAAGTATCTAGTCGTCCGTCGCCAGCGCTGCTCTCACACTATATCCTTCAACTACATATGTATTTTCTGCTTAGGACCATGCGGTGTCGGGCACATATCCAAACCACCAAAACAAATCCACACACACACACACACACACACACACACACACCACCCCTCCCAACCAACGAGGAAAGAAAAAAGTAAAAAAAAAAAAAAGAAGAAGAAGGCAGAACAAGCCTCACCCCAAAACGCACCTCCAACGCATCACCTCAATCAATCCTCATCAAACTTGCCACCCTCAGCAACATCAGGATAAACATCGAACCTCCTCTGACTATAAACCGGAATGCCCTTCCTCACCTCCTCGATCCTGCCTCGCTCCAAATCCCTAACAAGCACGCCTTCCTTCTCATCCAACATGCCCAAAACCTCAGCATTAGGATCGACAACGCAACTATGGCCCCAAGCATGATACTCGGCGTGCATATCCCTAGCGGGACTGCACAGCGCGACAAAGACCTGGTTATCGACGGCGCGGGCGCGGGCCTGGAGTTCCCAGTGGAGGGCGCCGGTGACGAGGTTGAAGGCGCCTGGGTAGACGAGCAGGAAGGCGCCGTGGCGCGCGGCGATGGTGGCGAGTTCCGGGAAGCGGATGTCGTAGCAGATTGCGATTGCGATGGTGCCGTATTCGGGGAGGTCGACGAGGGTGATTTTGGATCCGGGAGATAGCACGTCGGATTCCCGGAAGGTGATTTTGTGTGGGATCGAGATGTCGAAGAGGTGCACTTTGCGGTGTTTGGCGATTAGGCTGCCCGTGGGGGAGAAGGTCATGTTTGTGTTGTAGTATTTTGGTTGAGGGGCGGAGTCGTCATCGTTTGAGGGGGTGGTTGGGTTGGTGGTGGTGGTGGTGGTGGAAGTTGAGGGGGTAGAGGATGTCTTTGCTGGGACGAGTTCGGGGATGCTACCGCCGATGATGTATGCGCCGCTCTCCTTTGCGAGATTCGACAGGGCGTGGAACGTGGGACTTTGTTCCGGCGTCGGCGGCGAGCCTTTGGAAGCGCCTTGTAGTTCCTCGGCGTACTTTGGGAAGTACTTTGTTCCGTACGGCGAATTGAAGCATTCGGGCAGCACCACGATTTTGGCTCCTTGCTTGGTGGCTTCGAGCACTTTGGTGCGCGCGTGTCGCAGGTTGGCTGCTTTGTCTGCCGTACATGCCAATTGCACAAGGGCAAGCTTCACAGATTGCTTGAGGAGGTGGGATGTTGCGGGTGTCGATGTGGCCATGGTAACGATAGCTTCCTTGTTATATAGAGTTTCTTGATTATCTCCCCCCTCTTATTTGCCTTTTCCACGAACAGTTTCTGGAATGCTAAATATTTCAAGTCCGAATGGGTATCAGCGAGAGAATAAGACGCAAGTCGAGGTTTGATGGTAGGTGGAAGAACAGCAATATCGTGTCTTTCGACGTCGAAGGGAGCTTGGTGCAGTTGTGGAGTGCTCCGCGTGGGGTCGCCGAATCCATAGTGGGGCCAACACGACATCGGCCTGGAGACGTAATATCACGCCGACGAACTGGTACGAGAGCATTATGTCATTGCTCTCTCAAAACATTTGAACCTTCGACCAACAGCAAAAGAGGAGAGAGAGCGCGGAACCAAAGAAATACATCACAAGGACTCGAAAATCATCTAAAGCAGAGGTTTTGGTTTTTACGCAAAGTTTTGATCATTTGTTTCTCCTCCATTTTTGCCAGTATCATTAAGTAAGGGGTTGGGCGCTCCCTCCACCGACCACCAAAGGCAGTCATGGTAGCCGGAACCATATCATGCAGTCATTAGAAAAGGAGAAAGGGGAGAGGGGCAGGAATGTGAAATCAGAAGCACGCAGATTTGTGCAGAAAAGAAAAAAAAAAGCAGGATTCGGCAGTGAAGCCGAAGGGGCAAAAGAGCACCAAATCAGTTTTGGGAAAAAATCTCCTCCGACTCGGTTTCTCCAGTCCTTTATGGTCAATTTCTGCCGTCAAGCCTGTTCCAACCTTGCATTTTCCGTCGTGATTCCCCCTTTTATGCATCAAAACTCCATCGCAATGCAAGACTGAATGACAAAGGAAATAAGATCTTCGTTGACGAGCATCTTCAGAGAATGTGCTCTGCCAAAAGACCAACGGCAACCTTTATTCCGGACCAATGGGTTCTTCCAGAAAAATTGTCTTCTCGACCCTGTAATTAGATTTACGTCATGTTTTTGGGTTGTATTCAAATCCCAATACCAATGACTGTTTGAAAATAGAGAAGAACGTCAAAGAGAAAAGTTGAGGCTAGCCACGGGTGCCACAACGCCTTCTCTCATAGAGTACCGTGAGCGTGCGCGACCACAATCGGCAAAACAATGCAGATTATGATTCCAATGTTCAGGATGATGGCGACTTTGAAGGCGTATTTCTTTGGTGCGTCTGCAGCATATCTAACGCGGCCCTGGGTGACGCTCGTTACCATAAAGTCCGCCCGGTGGCGATAGAGGGGAAGCAAAGGGGGCAGCAAGCAGAATGCTCCGAAGAGCAGCCACGACGTGAGAACCTTATCTTTTTCATCCTCTGGAGCCATGGCACGCTCTGGGCGGAGCAAGTGGGGGGTGTCCTCGTGTGCGATGAATGCGTGCTCAGTGTGCTGGCTGTTCTGCGGGTACAGTGGTGTCTCTGTGTTGGCAGTCGACGGACGTCCTGTAGACGGGCGTCCCGTGGACGGTCTTCCTGTAGACGGTCTTCCGCTGGTCACAGTATGAGTCGTATAGGAACCCAACGTATTTCGATTAGACCTTGCACTGCGGGCATGAGTAGGAGTGAGCATCATTGGCAGCAACCCTCTCTGGCCGGTGACGGCTGCCAGTCCTGGCGGTGATTGTCCGGAAGATGGCCCTGGTGTTACTGTCGCTGTTGCGCGACTTCCATGTCGACGGGGGTCCCTAATGACACTGATTTCATCCAAAGGCGAATCATTGGTCGCATAGGCAGACGCTTGAGATCCTGCTGAATCAACATACGGACTGATTCCTGCATGACCCGGCCGGACTCGAGTCGCGCTAGAAGTGTATCCCGGTTCCGTGCCCGCGTAGAACTGCTCAGAAGACCGCTGTTTTCCTTTTTCGCTCGCAAGCCTCTGGAGTACAGCCTGCTGCAACGTACGCTGCTGGATGCGAGAAAGCCGAGTCTGTTGTGGACTATTGCCGAATGCATCGTGGCTGGGCCTCTCTGAATGCAATCGAGTGGTCTTAGACCGTGGCGTGCTACCAGAGGAACTAGTCTGCATTACACGGGTAAGGGGACTCCCAGCAGTATTTGCTCGTTCGTGATAGGTTGGCATGCGCAAGGTGCTCGAAGCGTTGAGTGAGCTCTCGCGATTTTCGCTAGCCTCTCGATCACTGTCGTTGTAGATGATCTCATCGTTGGGTCCAGAAGCAAGTAGTTCCTGCGTTTCCTTGTCGCTGAATTGTCCACGGTTGACCCACGGCGTGTAAGGGCCTTGGGGAGATCCAGTCGCAAGCGTGGTGCCTCGCAAATTCGCTCCTGGTCGAGCTGGGAAGGGACTAGAAGGAGGAGGACTGCTTGGAGCCCGGAGAGGGCTGATAGCCGATTGTTGAGAGGTAGCCGGCACTTGGTGTGCATATTGCCGTGAGCTCGAAGCGCTTGTAGCGTATAAAGGTGCAGGCCTGAATTCTGACAGTGCCGGATTCGACCGGAAGCCCTTGCTGTCACGGCTGAATTGACTCTCCGCGTCACTGTAGTCCGCCGTACTTTCACCTAAGCTCACCCTGCCACTAGGTTGAGTCTGGCTGCTATTCCGAACAGTTTCCCAATCCTGATCTTCGCCTTCTAATAGCCCCAAATCGGTTTCGTCGACGGGATCCGAAACAAACGGATTACTGCTTTGATGAATATTGACCGAAGTCCTCCTAGCCCACATGGGGGGAATCGCCTCCTCGGCATCCTCCTGTTCCTGCGCTTCCTCTGGGGGCACATTGCCGAAAATCTTGTCGGCCTGCTCAAGAACATCTTGTGGGGTAGATTGCTCAAAGATGCGATCGGCTTGATCCAGAGCTGCTTGTGGCGTAGTCGGAGATGGAATCTGCTCTTCGGGTTGAGAATAAGATGAAGAAGGATCGAGGGTTCGTTGATGCGACGGTCCCTCGAGCAATGGATTGGAGAGCTGCAACAGGTGCCGAGTATCGCCATACGAGGACACGCCCGACACAGTATCTGAAGCATCAATGTAAGGGGAAGTGCCCAGAAGCGTATCATACTTGAATGGATCCAATGAGCCCTGTCCAGTGGAGAAGCGCGTCGCCCGACCCGCTTCAGCAGAGGGCATCGTGGCGTCAGCCATGCTCTGATCCAATTCTTCTCGGGTGGGCCTCAAAGTGGGCCTTCTCGATGCCAATGGAGGAGGGTAAGGATTTCCTTCTCCCTGATATTGGTCGATGAGTCGTCCAATTGTGTCCGTCTTTCTTTGACGTGGCAATTGCAGAGGCTCCAACGGCTGCTGGATGGTGTAAGGTGACGCTAAAGATGCAGTGTGAGACCGATATTGATCCGCCATGTCACCCGAGTTTCCCTTCAAACGTGCATAGACATGGCTTTGTCTGTTCCCCGCAAGACTTGGTTGAAATGACTGTGGACGGGAATCGCTGTAAATTGATGAGGTGGGATATAGGGACCTTAAATCATCGTAGTGCTCTCCCGCAGACGTGCTCTCAGCTGTGGTCGGTATACTTAGGCCAGTTCCTGGCGTGATTTGAGCAGACTGCTCATCAGGAACCATAGATTTTAGTTGACTCGCATCGGCCTCAGCGTCCACTTGGCGATAGGTTTCATCTAGTGAGCGGGGAAAAGAGCCTTCGAATGCGGGAGAAGCTAGACCGATACGGGACCTGGCATGTGACATGTCTTGAAGTTCTTCTTCGTGCACAGTTTGCGAAGTCTTGCCCAGTTTCTTTGTAAGACTCCTCGTGAGCTGCTTCAGAGAGAATCTACTCTCGGTAGGAGTTTGCTGGGGCGATTGTTGGGAAGGAAAGGGTGACAAGCCATAGTGCGAATCGGGACTATGCAGCGGCGCGTAGGAATCGGGGGAGGTAGGTGTTTCCGGGAGTCGTGCCGCTGGAGCAGGAGGCATTGGAAAGTCCAGCGCCTGTGCGGTAGGATTGTCTTCGCCACCACGCCGTGTTCGGATTGAAGTGTAAGCAGACGATAGATCGCCATACAAAGCTCGCTTGGGACCCATCTACGGATTTTCAGCAAAGCACAATGCGGTAGGATAAAACGAATTACCTCTGGGCTTGCCGATTGGTCGTATGACGACAGAGACAGATGATCAGTAGAATCAAGGTCGCGCGATGGTGTTTCAATATTGGCAAGACATAGAGAGTCGTGAGGATTGACCAAATCAAATGAGGCTCCACGATAGTGTATCACCGCAGGTGTTGCAGGCGGTGTTTCTGGGCCGGCTGTCACGAAACTTGTCGTGTTCACTGCGTACGCTGGAGTATGTTTCCTATCGAGCTGTGGCCGAGGTAATGGGTCAATTGAGCTGTCGGGGGGCGAATGCTCACTATCGTCGTGAAGCAATTCGTTCAGATAGCTCGTGTATCCAGGCGATTGGGGCAAAAGCGTCGGGGTGATGGCGAGGGGGGAAGGAACACTGAACCCGCTGGCAACGGGAGGCTTTGGAAGCCTTTTGATAGACTTAAACTTACGTACCTTTTCCGCGCTATGCTGTAGTTGAGGGCGCGATCCGACTTGGCTATATGGCTCAGCGGATTGCGATCGAAATGGCTGGCCAAGCAGAGTTTGTTCTTCGCCGCAAGGTGGGGGAGAAGGCGGAAGAGACTGATAGGTCAGTTGATGGGCGGAATAAGAGACGTGTAGTGGGCGCGCAGCTGGGCGAGAGGCAGACAGCGGGGTGTACGAAGCGGAGGATGTACGCTCCAAGTCGTTGAGAGCAGGCGTAGCTGGCCTCCGCCGAAGAGTCTTGCCAGGCGGCGTGGCCAATTGGGGGGCTGGCGAATTCTGCTGCTTGCGATATTGGTGGAGTGTCAGGGGCTGGAGAGGAGTACGGGTGCGAGAAGAAGTAGAGCTGTTGACGGAGTGGTGTGGGGAGTGGAGGGGAGTCACGGGATCTGTCGACAAAAGTCGCAGTGACTGCGAATAGGTACTATAGGCTGCCATTTTGACGTGAGGACAGCGATATGCCAAGACACGGCTTTCTGGCGACGATGAGGAAAGTGAAGGTGAATGCGGAACGAGCAAAGCGAATGTAAAAGACGGCAGGAAAAAAAAATCCGGGGAAAGTGAGCGTAAGCGTGAGCGTGAATGTGAAGGTGCGGTGACTATGGCGTTTGGACTTTTTGATCTTTTGCTTCTCTTTCAAGGCCCTTGGGATGAAACGGCCCTTCAACGTCTTGTCTGATATCTCTAGCAACGGCTACGTAAAGTAGAGGTGAGGGCATTTCGGAAGCGGGTCCATATGGTAACGTGAAATGACGCCAGATGCGAGTAGTAGAACTACCAGGAAGGTCAGCAGGCATAGCAATATAGTGGAAAGGCATGACATCAAACAAGTACTCACGGTGTGGATAATATGTAGAGAGAAGCGCGATGCCCAGGGTCAAGCGGCTTGAGTTGGCGAAGGCTTGAGGCGTGAGGTTGGATGAGACCAAGTTGGGCGGGGATGTGAGGCACAGATATAGTGACGAGAGAATAATTACGATTAGGAGGCGATACGAGAGCAGAAAAGAGGAAAGGGCCCACGAAGAATGCGGAAGGCAGCACAGAGGAGCAGTAGTCGAGTCCCCCGGGGACACGAAGAGAAGACGCACGGCAGAGCAAGGAACACAGGAATCGAGGAAACGACGAGGAGAGAGGAGGGATGGTATAGTATAGTATGGTATGTACGATATGGAGAGACTATTGAAAGAAAAGGATTGCCGGCCAGGTCTGCAGACCAGGCCAAAAAAGAAACGAAGGCAGAAGAAGAGAAGACGACGAGACGGGTGGCTGCGCGGAGGGGCCCATGTCTTGTCCTACCAGCTCCCGACTGAGTGAGTATGCCATGGATCCCATCGAGTTGCTTGGTACGACGACCAAGAGCGACGACTCTGACAGCTCCACTCGAGCATCAAAGATGGAGGTTTTGGGAGATGGAGTGGACGCAGTGGGCCGGGCGGACGGTGTGGCCGAGAGAGAAGGAGAGATGGTCGTTGGTGGTTGGTTGTCGTTGCCCAGTCCACCTGCAGGGGTCCTGCCCAATCACGCCCCGCAGCCTCTACATCACCTCTTCCACCTCTTCCACCCCCATCAAACCAACACTCCAATGACAGCCCCCCCGTCAGCTTTGCTCTGCTCGCCAGTACCACCATGGCCGCCACTACTCGACTTCAGCTTCTCGTCGTTGGTGGCCTAGAAGCTTGCGTGAAAAAGGAGAAGAATCGCCGCATGCCATGCCGTGGAGCCATCATCGCGACCTCTCCCCTCAGCGATCAATGCCCTCGTATGCACGTCATGTGAGCCCGTTGCACGACATGGCGAGCACTGTACCTGCATGACACACAACGATACCTACTCTCCCATCGGCGTGGCAACTTGCCCTAGGCACTATTTGGTGCGTATATCTTCCCACGTCGTACCAATGTGACCTATGCAGCCCGCCTTGAGCGTTGACATATTCTACCTAATGTATCCTGCCATCAGTCCGTCTGCTAGCTTCGTCAATCCGCATACACAGGTGGGTATCGCAGAATCGGAAAGAGAAAAAATCAATCCATCTTCGCCTGGCCCTAACAACGATGCGCTGTCAACCTGCGATACTACTCTTCCCCTTCACCCCTCTAGCTCGCACCACTCCCCCACCATCACCGTTCACGAGCGCCTCACGTGCAGTCTCATGCAGATTCTGCTGCTGCGCTCCATATTCCTTGAGCTCTGATCGTGACCTTTTCCGCCGGACCGACTGCTTTCGTGCCGGCTGTTCGTGATAGCTCATTGGAGAAATTGAATAGCGTCGACTGGAAGCGGCCTGATGATCGCTGTGCTCCAAGAGCACCCGCACATTCAGCATCTCCGCCGCCCAGCTTGGTCGTCTTGGAGCTGTCTGCTGACTGGGGTTTGCGTAGGGTCGCAAGGGCGTGATGGGGCCATCTGCCATGTTGGGCGATGCCTCTATAGTCCGACCATAAGGTCGCGGGTTGAAGTCGAATCGCCTGTGATAATCATCGTCGAAATCGTCATAATCATCGAATGCTCTCCCGTTATCCTCGCGTGACTTGGAATCATCCGCTGTATCCTGTCCGACATGTCAGGCACAACTAACGGACATGGGGCACGGTTGGAATACCACTTACGTTTGTGGGGTAAATCGTTCCTGGCATCGTCACATAGTCCTGAAGTGGATGAGGGAGGTCTGCAAAATTAAACCCCCTCTCAGGATGAGCAGGGACGAAACGCTGCCCAATGTTCGTATCAAAGTCGAATGTCAAATCTTGCGTAGGTAGGTACTTTGACATGTTGGAATACCACTGCGGATAGTCGCCGAACCAGGTCCCTACAACGGCATCTACATCCACAGTGAGGAAAATATTCTTGACGTCGTCGGGCTTGTGGACCAGCAGCACAAAATCAAACTCCCGAGGCAAACCGGATCGTTGGAGCAGGTTTTCCTCGAGCGTCCACACGGCTTGTGCGTCATCGACATCGTACTGGGAACCCACGGTGCTCTTCAACGACCGCAAGGAGCCTTGGATGCTGCCGTACGGTTAGCACATGGTGTTACCTGACGCACTGGCAACCCACCTCATCATGTCGTATATCTTGTAAGAGCCCCTGACGCCACCGTTGGGGTTCAAGGTGGCACTCAAAGGTGCCTGGGAAACACCCAGCGAGCTCGAAAGGCTGAAGTTCCACTGCAGATTCTCGGGGGATACCTACAACCACCGCAACAGTCAGCAGCGACTCCTTGGTAGGATCGTACAGGATAGCACCAACCGCGCCGTAGATGAGCTCTGGTGCATGCTTCAATATTCGTGGATTGGATCGCCGCGGTCGCTGTCGTCCAGATTGGGGATGCGCATTTTTGGGTTGGCAGCCATCCCCCCGTATGGTCACCTTGATTTCAGCCGATTTGAAGCGATGCGCTCTCGGGTCGTAGGGGTGAAAGACAAAGTGAACGGACACAAAGGACACGCCATTCATGGGCTGCTCGTGGAGCACGTCGCCGCTATTCTCATAGTAGCCGTGTTGCAAACGACTCACGTGGGCAGATATAAATGCTCTGCCTGGCATCATACGCTGGTAGATGCATTTCTGGTGAAGCTGCAACCGTTTCTGAGGTTTGTTTGGATCTTTGCTCACTTCTGGCTTCTGGCTTTGGGAGTTCCGCCTCGCGACTGGAGGTTGGGGAGCAGATGACGGCGCGCGTTGGTTGGGGTCATCATGGCCAGCATTGCGCAGTCGCTGCATCAACGCACTCATTGAATACAGGCAAACAACTGAGAGTGTTCATAGCAAAGCGGAAAGACTGTCGGGCGTGTGTATATATGATGCGAAATGGCGATAGCTGTTGGATGCAACTTGCCGTCAGCCTGGTGGAGAGCAAGGCTACAGCGAAGAGCAGAGCCCAGAGATGTAAGCTGGAACCTGGTGGGGGAGGTGCCAGCCCAACTAGGAAATCCATGTACATGTCTCAGTCTTCTGACCTTGCATACGCGTGGGCGGCACGTCAGGTGTAGTCACTATTGGATTTGATGATTGAGTGGTGGAGTTTAACTGTTGGCGTGTGGTGGATATGTAGTTGGTTAGCATGTACTCGCTTGCCCGTTCCTTTCCATGTCCATGTACAGTGCGATTTGATCTACAGAAAAGCATACCGGGTCTTCATCGTGGCCCAAGAAGATGCACTGGTGTTGAAGTTGGTTTTCCTATCATGTCCATCGCACTTGATGTCTCCAAGTAGCACGTGAGAGATTGGATTAACTCCCAAGACATCTGAAGACAATGATCAACGTGATGAGCCCCCATGACCTCTCCATTCCCACAATCTCCATCACACGTGGCGGTGCAATCTTCCACGTGCCGAAGGATCTTTAAGTTGACGACATTATTCAAATGTATCCATCCATTAGATCATCGCACGTTGAAGCGCGTTCGCCATCAGCGCAGGCACAGGAGCAAGCACATCATGACTCGACTCGGGCCGTGGAGCGATCGTCGGCCGCTCAGACATGGGCCGTCGACTTCCTTTGCATGATCGCCTGCGGCTCTGACCATATCCATGCAGGTGGTGCTTGATGCGCACCGATTCGCAGCGACGTGAAACCTCGAGTGACCCCTCCAGGTGTCAAGGAGAAAGCAAATGCCGTCTTCTGGTGCTATTGCAGCGGCGGTCCATGACGGCTTGCTCTCTCCCCTTTTCTATTTTGGGCGACGTGCAATCAATGCATCACAAGGCAATTTGGAGAGCGAGCATGTAATGGCCCAGCGTCTGTGGAGGAGCCATCATCTTGACATGGCCGTTTCCCGGCTGGGCCAGGGCAGAGTCGCCCGCTGAGTGGCTGTTTCGAGTTGAAACGGTGGGGAATTGGGCGACCGGCGGAGCCGTGTGGCGTCTGAAACCTCGCAGGACGACGAAGAAGAAGAAGAAGAAGAGAAGCGAAGCCTGCCGGTACCTGAAGGACCTGGCGACGTCGTCGTGATATGCTTGTTACCGCTGCTGCTGCTGTATACATGCATGCTTCTACTGGTTAGCACAGGAACGCATGCCCACCCCCTGCCGCCGGCTTCACAACAGTATACCTGCTGCTGCTCCACTCGCTCGCCGTGGTCGACAGACACTCTACATCATACCCGCCCGCACAATCATTCGTTGTCATTTTGCTTGTCATTTGATCTTCGTATTCTCCCTCCCTCATTCATCCATCCATTCATTCAGGTACATAGCTACCTAGGTACACACGTACCGAGTCTCACCAACCCTGCCAAGTGTGTCTCTTTTGCGCCGCATCATCTGTTATTAGAGGTGACTTGTCCATCCCCCACCCGTGTCCGGCCACGCCTCCAAGTCAACAATTTCTTTTCTTCTCCCCGTGAATTGCTTTTCCACACTCCTTTCTTCCATTCGTCGGCGGCAGTGCCCAACCTCTCCTCCCTTCCGTCATTTACCACGACGACCCCCAAAAAAGCACCTCGACAGCTCAAGCTCCGGCCAGTCCGAGCTTACCTCGCCCACCTCATAAATACACTTCCCAGCACGCCGCGGCCCACCCCAACGTCTTTTTAGTCACCGTTGAAGCCCTTCTCCCATAGGCAGGAATTGCGCCCCAAGACCCTTTCTCCAGCTTCTCCCCCGCGCAGCCACGCGCCATGGCATACCAACAGCGCCAGTACGACGATTACTCGCAGCCGCAACCGAGACAGCAGCGCCCACCCCAGCAGCAACACCAGTACTACAATCAGGGTCCGCCGCAAGGACGACAGCCGGCCGGCTACAATCAGCAACAACAGCAGTACGACGATTACGGTTACGATCAAGCGCAGTACGATCAATGGGATGACGGCTATTATGACCAGCAGCAGGGAGGATGGGAGCGCGGGCAGCAGGGTGGTTATGGCGACATGCCCGCCCAGAGACAGCCCGCCCAGCGGCGCGCCCCTCCCCCGCAAAACGGATACCCTCAAGAACAGCAACAGTACGATGATCATTACCAGCAACCGCACCAGCAGCAACAGCGACGGGATCCGCGAGGCCCGCCCATGGGCCGAGGGCGCATGCCCCCGCCTCAGCAGCAAGGTCGCGGAGGATTGAGGGCACCTGGTGAGTTGCGCTGTCTTCGATTCATGCCAAATGCAAAATCGTTCGTCGAGCGGGATTGCAATTGAGCTGACAATACCCGTAGAAAAAGAACGCGCCATGATGCAGCCGAAATCGCCAATGAATCTACCCCAAGATAACGCCTTCCCAACCTTCCCGTCAACAAAATCCACACCGCGCACAAAGGCTGGTTCGATAGATGAGGCCATGGCTTTTATGGATCTTGGACCAGACACTGAAAGCCGCGCTCCTGCTCAAGGAAGGCCAATGGGTCCACCAGGGGGTCGTGGCCGTGGTGGCCCTCGAGGTCCCCCGCCGATGGGACGAGGCGACCAGCAAGACATGTCAAGACATGACTCCGGTCATTATGAGGGCAGTGGGAGGGGACAGCGACTTCCACCGCAGAGGATGGGCTCCAATGCGGGAATGCCTGCTCCACACCAACATTTTGGCGCACATACCCAACGCTCGCAGACGATGCCCCAAACCATGCCAGGAGCAGGTGGCCAACGAGGATATGACACTCAGCAGCAGTGGGCAGAATCTGGTCCGGCTGCAGGCTATCACGGCCCTCGATCTCCTACTGGTGTGGTTCCCCCTCGACCCTCCACCGCTGGTGGAAATAGACCGAATGCGCAGAACCAACGATTCGAACAGAGGCCGCCTGTCCCACAAATGCCCCCGGCGCAACAGCAGTATAATCAACACCCCCAAGATGATGCAGGCGCTTTAGATAATGTCTATGATGACTATTATGGGAACGACCGACGGAGTCAGGGTTCGATAGACATGCCTAATTTTGATGCCATCCAAGAATCCAGCAGTAAACACCGTAGGGGAGATTCGATCGATGGTCATCTTGTTCCCTCAGGAGACAAGCCCCCCTCGAGTGAGTATGACGTGGGCGGTGCGCAAGGAAACTTCTATCAACAGGCTTCTCGAAGCCGGTCCCAACCCGATCTAAACGCGCAATATTCCCAAGGGAACGGTGTTTACGAAATGGCGGACAATGCACCGCCTATGCCTCCGCTCAATGGCTTGCCACCCGGCCCTCGCGGAAGAGGACCCCCTCCTCGTGGAATGACAGCAGACCCCACGATGAGAAGAGGTCCTCCTCAAGGTTACGGTGGTGGTGGTGGTTACGACGCAGGTTTTGGTCGGCATCCAGGACTTGCGCAACGAGGCTACTCGGATGAGACAACCTACTCTGAGCCTCCAAACGCCATGAGGACCGGTTCTCCGATGGTACAGGGGAACCCGATTGCTCGCCCTGGCACAGCAGCACCGGCACCAGGCCGAATGCTTAGTGATCCAATGGGACGTCGACCGGGCACAACTAACCCAGACGCACTGCCATCTCATCCGACTCCTGTTCGAGCCGGTCTCATGCAACAACAGGGTCAGCCACCCATGCAGCAGGGTGGAAGGCCACCACCAGTTCGCCAATACAACACAGATCCACCGCCGAACCAATATGGGAACCAGCAAGCCCCTGCCGCTCCGGCGCCGCGGCGTCTCTCTGAACCTCATCCCGTCACTCACGATGAGATTAACCGGCTGCGCAACTCATATAAGAACAATCCCAGCGATAACAAAACCGGGCTTTTGTTAGCTAAGAAGTTGGTAGAGGCCGCATCTGTGCTCGCCGACGAAAACGGAACCGCCGATACCAGGACTCGCAACAAAAACCGCGAGAAGTTCATCAACGAGGCGTACAAGATTGTGAAGAAGTTGGTTTCCAATGGGGCTCCAGATGCCATGTTCTACCTGGCCGATTGCTACGGCCAAGGGCTCCTAGGATTACAAACAGACACTAAACAGGCTTTCACCCTCTATCAATCTGCCGCCAAACTCGGCCACGCCGCTAGCGCATACCGCACAGCAGTGTGTTGTGAGATGGGACATGAAGAAGGCGGTGGCACCAAGCAGGATCCCCTCAAGGCCGTACAGTGGTACAAGCGTGCCGCCGCTCTAGGCGACACGCCCGCCATGTACAAGGTAGGCATGATACTCCTCAAAGGACTTCTGGGCCAGCAACGAAACCTCGGCGAGGCCATCAACATGCTCAAGCGTGCCGCCGACCGCGCCGATGAAGAGAACCCCCACTCCCTCCACGAACTCGCCCTCATCTACGAATCGCAAACCGGCAACGAGCGAATCATCCGCGACGAACCGTACGCGTTCCAACTCTTCAACCAGGCTGCAGCGCTCGGCTACAAGTTCTCGCAGTTCAGACTAGGCCAGGCGTACGAGTACGGCTTACTGGGCTGCCCCATTGACCCCCGCGCCAGCATCGCTTGGTACACCAAGGCGGCCGCTCAGGAAGAACACCAGAGCGAGCTCGCGCTCTCGGGCTGGTACCTCACGGGCACCTCGGGGATCCTGGAGCAAAGCGACACCGAGGCCTACCTCTGGGCGCGCAAGGCTGCTTGTGCGGAACCCCCGCTCCCCAAAGCCCTCTTCGCCATGGGGTACTTCACCGAAGTCGGCATCGGGTGTCCGAGGAGTCTGGATGAGGCCAAGCGGTGGTATGGACGTGCTGCTGGTGAGTTTCTTCCCTTTTCAATTCCCCTTTTTCATTCATGCATTTGCTGTATCAGCGGAGACATGGCTAACGTTATTTTTTTTGTTGTTGTAGCGTATAAATTCCCCAAAGCGCAGGAACGTCTTGAGGAGCTCAAGAAGGGCGGCGCGAAGGTGCAGATGAAGCGCGAACGGCTGAGCCGCAGCAATCAGAAGCAGCAAGAGGAGAACTGTACAGTCATGTGAATTCGGAGAATCCAAGAGAAGGAGAGGGGGGGAAAGAGAGAGACAGAGAGACTGAGAGACGGCGATTCTTGAATATCCTTTTTTTCATATGGGAACTCTACAGCCAACGAACCTGTCTGGTTGGCCCCCTCGGCATCGTGATCATATTGGCTTTGCATTTGGCCTTTTTTTTCTTGCTTGCTTGCTCTTTTTTGTTTTCTTTTTAGTATTTTGCTTAGTTATCTTATATACCCCCCCTTCTTCTACCTTCTCTCCTCTCTCTCTCTCTCCTTTCCTTTCCTTTCCCCCCTTTAGGAAATAAACGAAAAGGCTTAGCTTTTTAATGTAAACAACTATAACAAAGAGAAGAAACAAATAGCAGTTATAAAAAAGAGTTGAATAAATAAGCTTTGCTTGATTAAACCTTCTTTATATATCTCTATTAACTTGTTATATTATATACCATAACTATTAACTTATTATGTTATATGCTATAAAATTTCCTATCTTTGTATTTTAATAAAATTGTCTATCTTTTTTTTTTTAATATCTGTTTACTCCTCTGTAAAGAGTAAATAGAAGAAGAAAAAGAAGAGGCTAAGTGAAAGTGAAAGTGAAAGTGAAAGTGAAAGTGAAAGTGAAAGTGAAAGTGAAAGTGAAAGTGAAAGTGAAAGTGAAAGTGAAAGTGAAAGTGAAAGTGAAAGTGAAAGTGAGCCAGAGGGCATCACGCAGCAGATTGTCAGAACACAATTTCTTCTTAAACACATACATATGCACCTCGTGCAATTGCAAAAAAACAAAAAAATAAATCAATAAGAACAGGGGTAGAGAAAAAGCCTGATTTCTTTTTTTCTCCCTTCCGGCTACAAAATTATCTCTCTCCCCTTAAATAAGGTATTGTCAGCAATGACGACTCAGAAAACGAACAAAGACCCCCCAACGACGACGACTCTCAAGAAATAATATGAACCAGGGGCGAGTCAAGGTAATTACATGGTGTCATGCCCTGACTATTATTCCATTACGCAACCTCCTCGACCATCCTCCCCGTAAACGGACTGCTTGCACCAGAAGGTTTGGCCAGTTTGCTAGAGAGAAGACTTCCAACAGGGGACGCGAGCCACTCGTCCGGTACACTCAGCGAGACGCCGTCGCGGGTCTGCCTGTATCGTACATACAGCGGGTTGGCCCTCTCGACGTCCGGTTCTTCTTCCATGCCAGACTCGCCGACTTCCAGGGCTGCTTTGCGGCCGCGTTTGGGTGGTTGCTTCTTGAGGAGGCGGTTGATCGTGTCCATCTGTGAGAAAAGGGTAAGTTTAAATTAGAAGATCATGAAGGTGGGGTTTGGGGAATGGGCAAGAGGGATAGGGATAGGGATATTCGAGTTGCATGGGATTGACGTACCTTTTCCTCTTCGTTGCGCTTTTCGCTGAGGTTTTTGCGACGACGAGCCATTTCTGCGCGGCGCATGGCGTGCTCTTCGGCGGTGAGATGCTTCTTCTTTTGCGCTTCTGCAACCACTGGTTAGCTGAGTTGGGTATTATATTCAAAAGTTATGGCGCACCATTGGATAGCGACATGAGCTCGTCGGTGCCTTCTGTGACCATGGCCTGCTGTCGCCGTGTCATCTTGCTCAAATCGAGAGTGTCGTCGCCGTCCATATCTTCGTCGCTATCCATATCCTCATCTTCGTCTTCGTGTGGTACGGGAATTCCTTCGTCTTCCTCGCCTTCGGCGTCTTCGTCCTCGCCTTCTGCATCTTCGTCTTCTGATTCCAATTCCGACAACTCTTCATCATCGTCATCGTCGTCCAGAGCCAACTCTTTGGCCTCGACGGAGTCTTGGGCCACGCTTTTCTTCACGGGCACACTCTTGCTGGACGAAACGACGATACGTGGGGCCGGAGTGACTTCGATCTCGTCCTCTTCGTCGCCCTCGGCGTCCATATCTTCGTCCTCATCGCCTTCAGCGTCTTCATCTTCGTCATCGTCTACGTCCATTGCATCCACTTCCTCGGCTTCATCTTCCTCGTCGTCGTCATCGTCGTCGTCGCTGTCCACCTCTTGTATAACTCTACTGTTTCGGGAGGAGCGCTTTCCAGCAACGATGTTCCGAGAACTAACTGTGGTTGGGGCAACACCTCTGGTGGCCTGTCTTATCTTACCGGGGGATGCTTTTACAGTGAGGTGAATGGACTGGCGGGATTCCTCGGGCGAAGAGCGCTGTATGACAGCGGCGGGCGGGTCGCGAGGGGCAGCATTCCGGCGCGGGCGGGAAGAAGAGGCTGTAGGGGCAGCACTGGGAGCGGTTAGATTGGCGCGTGAACGTAGTCGAGGCATGATTGTGTGGTGGTTGGGAGAGCAGAGGCGAGGGAGGGAAGAGCTGCAGCGGCGTAGTGACGGAGGAGATTGAGTTCTTTGTTTGTTTTGGCGGGCCGATTTGCTTCTTTTCGGAGAGATGGGCGCAGGGGTTGCAGCAGACAGGCGGCGGCGGCGGTGTCGTGTTGTGGTGTTGAGGAAGAGGAAGGGTGGTGGTGGCAGGATGTTGCTTATTTGCTCTTCACTCGGTTTGGCTGGTCTGTCCTGGCTCGCTTCGAGTTGCGTTGTGCCACTCTATTCATGTGCGGCGGTCGTGGTTATACACGACGGACGTGTTTGTAGGCATGTAGGTATTGGCAAGCTGCTCTGCAACCGCCGCTGCGCAATTGCTGGGATAGGGAAAGGTGGATGAACAGAGGCCCGGCGCGGGGATTTTTCTGCAACGTGATTTGTGATGGTGGTTCTTGCCATACCTTTGATGATTGCTGCTGTGTCTGTCCGAGACCCAATCGTTGCCTCCTTCCGAGTCCTCGTAATCCGTGCTTAGACGTCGCATGCGCTTTGCTGATCGGTCGGGCATGGCGGGCAGGGAGGCGACAATTGAGGATGCAAGAATATACAATGAGTAAAGAAATGAACCGGATACGAAGTAGATGGTCAAGACGGCAATATAAGGCGATGCTATTACTATAGATGGTCACGGATAGCCAGATGGAGATGGAGACGGCTCAATCCATTCGCGACCCATCTTCTCTCCAACGAGCTGGGAAGATGGCGCTAGGAGCCGCGTGGTTTAGCGCGCGCCCGGGGTCTCTCTCTCTCTCCGAGCAGACGAACCTCGGCTGCTGATAGACGGCCGTCGTTGGCATCTTCATCTGCATCTTCCGCAATCGTTTCTACGCACCCATTCTTCCTCCCCCACCTCTTACTCGGCCTCCCTTCAATACAAACAATAGCGCACAGCCATGTCGCAAAAACCAGCTATACCATCCTGGCAGCGTGCCCAAGCCACGACTCCTTCCCCGCCGTCACCATCGTCACTGTCCCCATCTCCGGAACAAGCGACGCCGCCATCGCAGCAGCAGCAGCAGCAGCCAGATCCAGAACCACAATCAACACCCAATCCTAAACAGTCTTCAGTCGATCAAGCTCAAAGCGAGCCATCCGAGTCCGATTCCTTGCACGATCAAGCATTGCGCTTCCTCCAAGATCCCACAATTCGCGATGCGCCGCGGGAAAGGAAGGCCGCTTTTCTGCAATCTAAAGGTGTAGACCAAGAAGAAATCGAGAGATTGTTAGGGAAGCAACAAATTTCTCAAGATGCGCTGCCAGATCTGTCCAAGGCCGGTGAAATTGCCTGGTCATCGGTACGTAGCTATTCAGCGTCCCTTGACTGTAGTTTTGAGTCCAAGAGAATACTAACTCTCACTGCTTAGACACCTCCAAAACAAGTCTCTGCCCCAGCGCGCCCATCACCGCCTCCTCTGCCCCGAGATATTCCTCCCATAGTCACCTATCCCGAATTCCTTGCCCAACCAATGCAACAACCGCCCCTCATCACGACCCAGCGGCTACTCAACACCGCATACATAACTGGCGGACTGATCTCCACGATTTACGGTCTGTCGAAATACATCATAGCCCCAATGACGCAGAATTTGGCCGAATCGCGCCATGATTTCTCGACACATACTCAAGAACAGCTCGAAGAGCTGAACAAGCGATTGAAGGATGCTGCTTCTGTTGATCCTGCCGCCAAAGTCAAAGCCAACACATCTGATATGGCCGACGATGTATCCGAAGCCGACTCCGACCCTACCGAGCTGTTTCACAGAGATTACGGAACCCAAACCACCCCCGCTCTATCGCGACGACCGTCGCTCGCCTCCACTGACGAAGAAGATACCCCTGTGAAAGGTCACGAAAACCGCCTCAAGATCTTGACATCACATCTCCGCGAGCTTCAATCTACCAAAAATAACGATGCCACTAGTTCAGCTTCATTGAACTCAAAGCTAGCGGATTTAACAACATATCTGAGCGAGATGAGTTACCAAAACCAGTACTACTCTTCGGGAATGAGTGGATTTTATGGTAGCTCATATGGAGTGCCAAAGAGCAAGGATGGGAAAGATGATCAGATCGAGGTGATGAAAGGTGACATTAGAGCCGTCAAGGGCGTCTTCTTGAGCGCTAGAAATTTCCCTGCTGGCGGCAGAAATACCATACCTTCAGGGAGGTCTGGCGTATGAAACAGGCCATGATTCTCTCCGTTTTGATGTATTTTTGATTTGATGTAAGAATGTATGATTAGCAACTGGAACGTCAGAAGACAGTGCAGTTATTTGAGGTTCAGGATAGCCCCCTTGAACGACCAAGGTTCACTGTTTTCCATAATTTATGATAGTAATGTTACATCTGTCTCGTTATTCATTCTCATTGAATAGCACAATCTTGTTTAGCTCCAGATGTCCACGGGAGAGCTTGGAGTAACGTGAACGGTAGACCAATCAAAACAGGCCAGGCGAGCGTCATCAGGGTCTCAGCTACCGACGTCATCTAAACGATCAGCACTAGCATCATAAGGCTTCGGTAGAGCTGCAACCTAATCCAACGTTGCAGTCATCGCCAACTTAATAGACAGATCGATTTCGGCGACTTACTTGGTCGAACAGATTGTTCAGGATGAACGACTTCGCGAAGAAACTGCCTTTTGGACGTTCCAAGTCCCCGTCCAAATCCAACAGCGAAGATGCATCGCTCACTACGCTCCTTGATGCCGACCAATGCGCAGATCTCACGTTCCTTATAGCTACGATAACGGCCACTATGCGTACCTCGCTCGTCCATATCTTCACTGCCGAGGAAATTGAGCAAGGCCACAGTTCCAAGACAGCGAAGTCTACATCCAACTCGGAACAAGATGCCGCTCTAGCTGCCGCACCATCTGACCTCAGTAAAGTCGACGTGGAGAAGGAAGACAAACTGCGCAAGGACCGGGCGAAAAGAGAAGAGGAGGCGAGAAAAGAGTTAGCCAAACCCGAGGTTCAAGAACTAAAACAGGCCGTGTTGGCGCACTTTGACGAGTGGAGAGGGAAGGTGATTGTGAGGGTGGGCGAGATAGTGAATTCACGACAGGAAGCCAAAGAGCAGAGTTCCAAGGTCCCAAAAGACGATGTCGAGGAGAAAGTGAAAAGATCGGAGACAGGACTGAGGAGCATAAGCAGCACGGAAGACAAGGGAGAAAATGAGGACGAAGTACTTCACGAGCTTTACCCCCCGGTTTCCACGTCACTGGCGAAGCTAGATCAGCAGAAACGAATGTTGGTTTTGCATTCACTGGTTCTCATCGTTTTAAGCTTAGAATCCTACTCGGCTCACTCGCGCATTTTACTCCTTCATCTAACGTCCTCGCTCCAACTAAGCCTGGCGACCCTCAAAGGAGACGAGGAAACCATAGCAAGAGGCCTCCTCGAAGCTGCTTCGCAACAGCTCTCTGCCGATGCCGAAACAAAAAAAGCAGCAGAGTCTTCTTCCACGGCTCGCAAATGGAAGGTTGGTCTAGCAGGTGTAGCTGGAGCTGCTCTCATCGGCGTGACTGGAGGTCTGGCCGCACCTCTCCTTGCAGCTGGTATTGGATCTGTCATGGGTGGTCTTGGTTTGGGAGCCACTGCAGCAGCAGGTTATCTTGGTACACTTGCATCATCCTCAGTCCTCGTTGGTGGTTTGTTCGGTGCATACGGCGCCAAAATGACAAGCCAGGCTATGGACGACTACGCCCGTGAAGTCGAAGATTTCGGCTTCATCCCTATCCACCACTTCCATCGACCCCGCAAGGTCCAAAAAGAATTCCGCCGTCTTCGTGTTGCCATAGCCATCTCAGGCTGGCTCACCAGCAAAGAAGAAGTCGTAGTGCCCTGGCGCTACATGGAGCCCAGCATCGAAGGCTTCGCGCTCCGCTGGGAACTCGAAGCGCTCCTCAAACTCGGCAACTCCATGGATTCATTCGTAAAAAGCGCAGCCTGGAGCTACGCCAAAGGTCAACTCATCAAACGCACCATCTTCGGCGCCCTCGCCTCTGGCCTCTGGCCCCTAGGTCTGCTCAAGATCTCCTCTGTCCTCGACAACCCCTTCTCAGTCGCCAAGTACCGTGCGGACCGCGCAGGCGAAGTCCTCGCCGACGCCCTCATCAATCGCGTTCAGGGCGAGCGTCCCATTACGCTCATAGGCTATTCACTCGGTGCACGCCTCATCTTCTCTTGCCTCCAAACCCTCGCTAAACGCCGCGCCTTCGGACTCGTAGAGAACGTCGCATTGCTCGGCTCACCCTGCCCATCCGACGCAGACGACTGGCGGCGCATCCGCAGCGTCGTCAGCGGCCGCGTCGTCAACGTCTTCTCGACAAACGACTACGTCCTCGCGTTCCTATACCGCACTTCCAGCATCCAACTCGGCGTTGCGGGACTCCAGCCCGTTCTCGGCGTGCACGCAGTACAAAACGTTGATGTTTCGGAGCTTGTCCCGGGACACTTGGCGTATCGCTACCTCACTGGCAGCATCCTCAAGAAAATCGGCTTCGAGGACATCGATGTCGAGGAAGTGGAGAAGGAGGAGGCGGAGATGAAGGCCGTGGCTGAGACGGAGCGGAAAGAACGCGAGAGTAAGAAGAGTGACAAGGAGAAGAGCGAGGATGAGGAGAAGGCCGAGTTGGAGCGCGAGGTGGAGAAGAGGAATGAGGCTAGTATGATGAGTTGGGCCATGGAGAAGATGAATGTAGGGACGTTGTGGGGGAGCGGAAGGAAAGAGAGGACTGAGGCGGAGAAGATGGTTGAGCTGGAGAAGAAGGCTAGGAAGGACGCTGGTGGGGATGGGAAGGAGGCTGGAGCGGCCGCGCCAGCGCCAGCGTAGGGGGGTTTCTATTTCTTGTGGCGAATCGATTGAATTTGTTTGGCAATAGGGTTCCTCGTAATATCTTTCTTCTTCAGTGGAGCACACGTGGGTTTACTTTGAGAACATTTCGGTATAGCACTGGCAACGGATATACATCATGATAACTTAATGAATGGGCGTTTCTAGATACACATGGACATTGATACTTTCTTGCTCGTTTACGCAATGATACGGGCACACATAGCCACCAGGACGGAAAAGCATCGTTGTCATTGCCGTGAATCACCTTTCTTCTATGACCAAAGAGACATCCTTTAAGAGAAGTCCTCTTCCTTGCTCTCCACCGACTCCTTGATGCGCAAGAGCAGTGTCGTTTTCCACTTATCCAGCTTGCTCATCTGATCGTATTGGAATAGCTGCAGCACATAATCAGCACATCTCTTCATCACAAATACTGTAATCCGTGATCCGGAGAGGATATGCACAACTCACCTTTTCACTGAACATATCCTGGTCGCCTTGCTCAACTGCCTGCGCCAAATCCACGAGCAGCTGGTGTTCACGCTGCTGCGTGAAGCTAGGGTCCAAGTCCCTGTACCTGTCCAATGCAGCGTTGACACCGACCTGGTCGCCCGTGCACAACTGGCAGATGCCTGCTTTCAACAGGTACTCTTTTACAGACCAGCGCATGAGGTTGTTGTTGATGGAGGATTTTGCGACTTTCTCGTACAGCGAGATGGCTTTGTAGTAGTCTTTGCCGTCTAGAGCGACGAGATCGGCTGTCTTGAGCCAAAGTTTGTTGGCGAGGGCCTGTGATGGTAAAGGTTATCAGTCTTGAGTAATGGGAGAGTTGGTATGGGTCTGGTGGAAGGTTACCTCTGCGTTATCCTGATCGTTATGTTAGCTTTCTCATACAGTTCAAAATTCAAGGTTTTGGCAGGCAGGACTTACGCTTTCGTACCAACCAGCAGCTTCTTCGAAGGCTGCGCCCGCGCGCCCGTTGTCGCCAAGCTCGATCTCGAACAGCTCGCCGAGGTTTTGCTTGTGCGTTGCCGCGCGACGGAAGTTGCCTTTGGCGCAATAATGCGCAATGGCCTTGTCCAGACATCTCGCCGCGGCTTCTGAGTCATCTTTCTTGTATGCCTCTGCGTCACATGTAAGTCTCACGTGACCCAAGCCTCACGGAAGTCAGCGAGTGATCAAACATACTGAAAGCTTCTGTGAGTGTGTTGGCTTCATCGTCGGGCTCGTTGAGCTGTTGGCGCTGCACCGATGCTGCCTTCTCGAATGCTTCACCAGCTTCTTTGCCTATTCTCTGTCTCAGCATGGAAATAATTGTGAGATACATTGGAATCACTGAATCTATTCAGTGGTCCAACGCAGTTCAGTCCGTACCCATCTTCTGCATTCGGAATGCGTTTGCTGCAGCAATGAACTGCTCTGCTGCTGCCTCATCTGCCGCAAAGATCAGCACTCGCTCGACCGGGGTTTTTGAGCTTTCTTCATTTACATTTCTCCTGGCGTCCTCCGAATAAACTGAATCCTCCGGACGCTTTCTGCAAGCTCTGTTCGGCCTATTCATATCATCAACATCCCAGATCCTTCTTTGAGGCTGAGTTTCGGATAGTTCCCCACCTGACGGAGCAGTGCTCTTGGATCGCCTGCCATGTTCGCGGATTGTTCAGTATTCTAGGGGATTTCAGGGTAGTTGTAGGTGAAAGTTTCGAACAAAACAGGTGTTTTATTCTGAAGATCTGGTTGAAAGTTGGTTCTATGGTCGAGACAAGTGGCTGCCCTACCACAGCTACGGTATGTATGAAGATGACGCCTGGGTGGGCCGTGCAGTCTGTCCCGCGTTGCTGCGGTTCAACCTCGGTGGTCGGAAGTCTTACATAATCTAGACATTCAACATCACTCCTTCACAGCAACACGCTGTAGTCGCTTCTCTATTCACTTATACGATTCTTAATAATTTTCCAATCGGGAGAAAGATGCTCATCAGACGTATATTCACCTCCGGGAGGTGTCTCACCCGATCACTGCGACAATCATCCATAAACTTCCACACTTCTTCACGAAGGGGCAATACGAACGCGTCGATCAAAGCAGTTACTGCACAGGACCTTGATTCTATTCTCGCGAAGCCAACGTGGTCAGTCGAATCACTTCAGCCTAGCAGAACCCAAGCATCGGATGCGCCAAGGATATCTTCGAAGCAACTACACCACTTGCTCCGTCTGTCAGCGCTTCCGCTTCCAAAGACACCTGAAGACGAGGCAAAAATGCTCGATACACTTTCGGCTCAACTACACTTTGTTGGGGAAATTCAACAGGTGGACACAAAAGATGTGAAACCTTTGCGGGCTATAAGGGATGAGACGGAAGCTGCGGAAAGAGAGCAGACTATTACGTTGGAAACCCTGAAGGATGCATTCGCGAAAGAGCAGGTAGTTGGGAAACACCACAAGCGTATACAGAGGGATACAACGCCGATAGATGCCAAGGATGTGGAAGATTGGGACGTTCTTGGTGCTGCCGAGCGAAAGGTCGGGACGTATTTTGTGGTAGAAAGCGAACGGCCTCAAGAGTAAACAAGAGTCGATATAGTACAGGATACTCACGAGATCAAGGCGACGATTCAGTTCTGTCAGGTGGACACGTGCACCTTTTCCAAAAGCAATGTGTTTAATATTCTCATCATGTAAGCTACCAGAATCATTCACAACGATATATAGAGATACTAACACCAGGAACAGACCAAACGCCTATACAGATCCAACGCCTTGAAAAGGATCGCCTTCGATTCCATCATTGACCCCAATAAAAATATTCACAGCATATTTCACACCAAAATATAGTAGGATTTGTCGTTCCGCTGTTCATCTCGATATATCCAGATCATGTCCACAAGAAGCACAGTACTTGATGGTACGCATTCCCACACAACAATCGCAGAATGGATTTTGTTCAAGATCATCCAAGTCAGGTGTGGGTAGCCGTTCCAGTCTCGGCGTCGACGGAGGCGTCATGAGGCCCCCGACATCACCTGGAGTTGATGTACTACTCTTGCTCCCTTTGCTGGGGTGGAAAGACTGGATGACGACCGCTTTGGTGTGCGACTGAGACAGCGTCACGTGATCACCGAGGGTGGATTTCTCTTTCACCTCTCGACAATTCATCGATGGTGAGCTCGATACTGGCTGAGAGGTGTTTGGCATTGCAGACGATGATGAGGAGCATGATCGCCTTGATGATGGGTTCCTACGTGTCGGGAGGGACGTCGTGCACTCAACCATTTTCTGGCGACGACGAGTTTCGACAACACGAATGTTTTGCCCATCGCAATAATCGATTCGACGGTAGAGCGATGGATCCTGGCCCTGCGTACTCCGCAATACCCTCTGAGTGTTCGACTTTGACGACGACATGGTGATCAGCTCGACGACACCCAGGTATCACCAAAGTGATGGTGAATGGTACTAAAAAGGGCCCGAAGAGTAACAAGCAAGTTTGCAACAACTTTAGAGACTGTTTTGGGATGAAAGTGTTGCAAGAGAAGATGTTGGGTAGGAGGTGGGATGGAGGGTAGGAGTGAGTGACGAAGGAATGGGGTGGGAGTGCGAGGTCCGCAGCTTATATGGTATGCTCTGCCCGCCAAGCCTCCACCCACCCTGCAACACGGATGCTACCCCCCAGCCTACACCCCTCTCCAGGCGACCTGGCCATACGCTCAATTACAATGTCATATCTACCCGGACACGGAAAAAACAGCACCTCGAACTTCGGAATCCTCGATATAGTCTTTTCCAATCTCCTGACGCCTGCTTTCTAAGGCTGGTGGTGCGGTATCAGAACAGGCGGCCTCACGGAAGACGCCTCAACAAGCACCAGAAACATTTTCCAGTCTTGCTATACCCCCGAGTCCATCGACGACGGTCCATCGTATCGATGCATCTGGTTTTCATGGTTCCCCCCTTCCGTCCTCATCGTCGTCGTCGCCCAAGTCCCCCATGTGTATACACACACCCTTTCAACCACCCATTTCCGTGAAAATACGTCACCTCCCAACCTCGCATCTGCCTTTTCATCCCACACACCGTTTTTCAGACCCATAGCTATTGTGCTGCGTGACTTACACACTCGCCGTACCCGTCCGCAGACGAAGGTGAGGTTGTCGATTCTTATGTAATCAGGTAGCTGAGTCATTCAGGTTGGGGGTCGGAAGGGCAGCGGTGAGCTCTGGGATCAAGGGGTGCGAGGCCCTTCCCACCCCCCAGCCCGGCAGGATTCGGGATCCTTGCTCTTGACTGTCTTTGCGATTGGCTGACTCTGCGGTATGCGGTGTGTGGTTATCATCCTTGTCTTTGTCTGCGAACCCGGCCTTGCCTGCCCCCCTTCCTTCTCTGTAATTGGTCTGTTTTTTTTATTCCGCGATGGATTCTTAGGAGTAGATTTCCAGGGTGTGTGGCTAGGGTTGAGTGAGACATCCATTTCTTTCTTCTTTTCTCTTTTCTGGAAATCGTGGAATGGAATCATCAATTCATCGCTTTTTTGTCTTCTTCTTCTTCTTCTTCTTCTTCTTCTTCTTCTTCTTCTTCTTCTTCTTCTTCTTCTTCTTTTTAAGTGTTTCCTGGATGCTGGACTTGGATAGTAATGTAGTTTTACAACCCATTTTTTCTTCTTCTCTTATGTTACATTGACGTCTCTAGTGTGCATAAAGTATACTTAGAAGCACCTTAGATATGTATATTACCTTTTAAGATAAAGACTTACTATAGCATGTTCTTTTCTCGCAATTATTATCTTTTTTAAATAAAGAGAAAGAGAGAGAGTGTGTGTGTGTGTGTATGTGTGTGAGAACGATGTAGTTATAATTTTTTTTATTATAATATGACTGAAATTTCTCGGTACGTAGACGTTTCCTCTCCGGTACAGATTAATATACATGGACGTACACGTACACGTACATGTAGCGAACCAGCAATTGAAAATGAAGATGAGAAAAGCGAGAGACAGCCTCGGTGGAAAGAAGGACACCAACAAACACCAACGCTATGATATGAAACAGACAATGAGATGAGCGAGCGAGCGACGGTTAACAACAACAAGGAAAGAGAGTGAGAGTGTACGAACGAGCTTCAAACACCCACCCCAAAAAATACACAGGCAGGTGGAAGTAGACGACCGTTGGAAATAGAGGCGAACTCGCAAAGAGCGCCGAGGAAAGAGAGGGAATGATGAGAAGAGCAGCAAGCAAACCCGAGAGTGTGATAGCGTATATACAAGGCGAACGCAATGGGTTTCAAAGTACGTACGTGCGTACGTAGATGCGTGCATAATGTTGCAGGTAAAACGCCGTTTCCCCCCTGTTGTTTGCACTTCCACCTGCTTCTGATTCTGTTTTATTCTTCTCATGTGGCGTGCATATCTCGAAGTCGCTTTTTCGTTTTTCACTGGTCGCTCTTCTCGTCTTAATCGCTTGATGTTCGGAGATGGTCGGTATACGGGTAAATGATGTTTCGTTTCGATGGACTTTTTCTTTTCATCGGCCAGGCGTATGCCAGTTCTTATACAAACACGAGCATAGCGCGCCGGCGTCTTGGGCCTGCAACGGAATCTGCTCGCCCTGCTGCTGTCCGTCTTTTTGCTTGTAGCAGCTCGGCACACTTTCTCCGCCGCCGACAGCTTGTTCGACACGCACAGCTGCACATAGTTAGCTCATCATACTCAAAAACACAGTCTCGGAAACGGAAATTGGGGGAGTGGGAAGACGTACCAAAAGGCCAAGTCGAGAAAGAGGGCTCGCCACTCGGCTCGCCTTTGTCCACATCGGGCCAGCTTTTCTCCATCTTCGTATACAAGTACGCTTGCAGATTCGAGTTGTTGAAATCGCATTCCACGGCAGCATTGTCTTCTGTGATGTTGGAGCGCGGGGCTACTGATTTTGTCTGCGTGATCTGGAAGCGGTAGCGCTCCGTGTCCTTGCCCTCATCGAGGAGGGCGAGGTCGGCGTTTTTGAACGAGATGCTGAAGGGGTTGGTGGTTGAGGAGATTTTATATGCGCCGGGCTTTCCGCTGATGATCCAGTTGAAAGTGGCGGCAGACTTGGCTGGGTTGGTATAGTAGGTTGTATAGGGGTAGCAGGACCATGTTGCTTCTTCAGCGGTACAGTTTGTTTGCACGGTGTCGAGGAAAGTCACGAGGGAGTATGATCCTAATGGGAAGTCGGCAGGGAGAGAAGAAGAAGATGATGAAGATGAAGAGGATGATTGGGGCGATGTGCTTGAGGGTTGCTGTTGGGAGTCACCACTGTCGTTGGAAGCAGCGGTAGTGGATCTGAACGAATGGGTTAGTTAATGATTGTGTTATCGAAATATCAGCATGACTTACTTGCTGTTGTTGGACTTTTTGAGCCCAAGAGCCAGACCGACTGCCAGAGCCACTATGAGAATCAGGATGACGGCCAGTACCAGCGCCAACTTTCTCCATCCTCCTCTTTTTGTGATTTGCTTGTGATTCCGCAGGGCAATGAATTTTTTCTCGCCTTCACTCCATACACTGTACGTGTACCCCGAATTCCCGCTCTTCTCCTCCATGCTGTCTCTCGGGGCATCTGCCAATGCCGCGCTCAACCCGCTCTTCCTCACTGATGCCCGATGCGAGTCTCGGAGACCTTTCTTCTTCGTCTCTGGAGCTCCATTTTCCAGAATTACAGACAAACGCTGGCCGGCTGGTGTAGATATGCGTTTCGTCTCTGGCTCGAGAATCTGTTGGTGGGAAGAGTTGGAGCGCGACCAAAATCGAGACATGGTGCGAGGTTGGCCGGGTACGAGCAAGGCTGACTTGATTTGGTGGGATCCCGTACAGACTTGGATTACTATTATTATTACTACAGTTGTTGAAGTACAATTATTATCAGCCGTATATTGGACCGACTCGTAGGGCTCAGATGGTAGTTGACATAGTGCAGGCAGCCTAATGCGATTGAGTCGGCTGTATCAGGTGGAGGAGGATGGCAGTCGAAGGCGATGGGATGGGGAAGAGGCGGGATGGGATGGAAAGAAGGACGAGCAGAAGGATTGACAAAAAGCAAAGAGAGAGACAATCAATGATGAGGAGCGGCACATGGTGGGCTGCATGGCGTATAGGAGTGAGGTGGGCAGGGCCAATGGCAGCCCGGGGCGCTCGTCTATGCGACGATTCAATGGATGCGATTGATTGTGGTTGCTGTTTGGGGGGTTAGCGGTATTGCGCCATGCCGTTTCTGGCATGACGATGCACACCACACGAGTCGCGCGACGAGCGTGGCCGCCGTGGTTTCTTGGGGGGGTGGCCCCCTTTAATTGCTATCGTGGTCGATATATCGCTGTCTGCCATGTGCCGGCATCACCATGGACGATGGATAAGTAGTCGTTATAGACAAGGAGACGACGATACCCACATGGTTAATGGTTCCCTCTGGTACCAACACGAGGAGGCTAAGAGCGGTGCGGGATACCGGCCACTTGCCATGTTACTGACTGTCAAGTGCTGCTTCTAGTGAGTCAGTTTGACTGACGATGACTTGCGGTTCCTGCATGCTGTAACAAGTCTTGACGCATGTGCTTGTGCATGCATATGCACTCCAGTACACAAGTAAATCTCCATGGATGTATGTATCTATCTACTGGCGGCTCAATGGATGGATAGAGGGAATGGTTTAGCGTAGATGAGCCGCAAAGGGTCTCCTCACTTCTTCCTATCGGCGCGCTAGGCCAAATCGGCTTACCCGCGGCATCCCTGTCTGCCAAGACCGCGACTTCTGTAAACGTTCGACAACAACCTCAGAGACGTGCAGCAAGTCGCAAGAGCAGGAAAGACGTGGCTCACGGCCCTTATCATCGTAGGATGGATTTATCATATAATTATCACCTATCAAGGCATGCCTTGAGATGATATGTCCTGATCATTCAGTGGACTTAGCACACAACGCGTCGCTGCAAAAAACCACGATTGACCGCAAAATCACTTCAAGTCTTCGCCCAACGGTCGCGACTTCCTTCTCTGGCTTCTTTGTGATTCTGGCAGCTGCCATGGACCTAGGCATCCTCTTACCTTGAACCTCCCCCCCACTCGCCAATACAGTCCTTGGTCACCACTCTACCCTCTACCCTCTACTACTCTGCTACTTACCCACACACTCCACCACCTCCACCACACTTGCTCAAGGCTCATTCTTCAATTCTCTCCACTTGAGCAGTACCCTCCTCTTTCTCATACTCCGCCCTGTCAATCAATCATGTCCCGCCGGATCGTGGTGCCCTTGCGCCCATTTTCCGACGGCGACCCGTCCCACAAACCAACCAATCCCGCCATGAAGCAGGTTGACCCACCCACTATCTATCTGGAGAAGCTCGCAGATGAATGGATGAAGACACGCGATGAAGCGAAACCTGGCTGCTCTTATATCCTCAGGGCCTTGCCGCATGGCTATACCTTGTGGGAGAAGACGCGCGGTGGCACATCCAAAAAGCATGTCGACCGGTGGTTGTACGGCCATCCCGAGGGAAAGTCCTTCGACTCCCCAAACCGATATTTCCCGCATTTCCTACACCTGATGGAAAATGGCAGCAGCATGGGCTGCCCATGTAGTGTTTGCACGAAGAGTGGCCAACCCCACTGTGCCGCATCAAAGTCGTCTAAGAGGAGCGGAAGCATTATATCTAGTCGGTCTGCATCTACCAACCCCAGCTTATCAAACGCTTTGGCATCCAATCATCAGCCAGTCCAGTTAGGTGGCCCAGTCCCTATCGCTCCCCATCATCAGACAGCCCAGTCTTCTGACTTAGCCCCTGCTGCGTCCTATTCTAATGCACTTCCTACTGCACCTCTTCCAAAAGGTCGCCCGAAGATGATACCGCCAGGCATGGACACTTCCCGTGTTGACGAGGAGGGCACTCCGGACGTTTGGCGTAATCTCATCGACAAGTTGAAGCGTCACATTACAGTTGACCAACCCATCGACGAGCCGTTGAGTATGGACTGGCGAGCAGAGCAGAGACTGGTGCCGGATCTGTTGCACAGAAGCGCGAAGGAGCCGCAGTGTATGCCTCGGGTTGGTGAGATTGTTCTGTACCTCCGCAATGCAAACAATCGACAAGTTAAAGTCATCAAAGAGGATTCTGGCGAGTATATGCTCCATGATGTGGCAACCGATACTCGACTAGAACCAGCTCTATGGGCAGCTGGTCTTGTTACACAGGTACCCGAATCGGATGGCAACGACCAAGACGAAATTTCAGACACCATCTCAGGCGTGCGCGTGGAACCAATCCCAAATCCTAACGATACGAACAAGAGTCTGTCCAAGAGGTATAAATACGTCCCCACCCGTTATACCCGTCCATTTTTCGGGTGGAAGCATTACTTGTCTCATTTGCCTGATGATGAATGGCACCCTACTGTTCGGAACGCGCTTACTTGCATGTCAACCATGTCACTTGTAAGTCGATATCGATTCCAAGGAGAGTGGCCAAAAGCCTCCGTATGGTGTCATGGCATCTACGTCGGCTCCGAGCTTTTTGTCGTTGGCGATACTGTTCGAATGTCCCCCAAGGCAGGTTATCCAAAGTGCACCGATATCATGGTCATCAAATCCATTCGGTTGAAGATGAGCAATCTTCAGCATGCATCGAACAATGACTACGATGATGGCAGTCCATATAACTCTGAAGCATGGATATACGGTACGTAAACCCAAGACGTGATGATGCCAAGTAGAAATGCAGCTGACGTCGGATACAAGGGACTGCTTATACCATGGACCCATCGAGGTCAAACAAGTTGTACTTGGATCACACAAATGCTACCACCCCTCGTGCAGCTGACGGTTACTCGATCACATGGCATCCACTCCATCCAAGCAATAAAGAGATAGCGGTTCCATTCTCGCGAATCATGAGTCGCCTCTACGAATCCGATGCCATGCACGATTACTTCTCTGCAGCATACATCGACCAAGGTCGCGAGTGGATCCAGGAGGGTCGCAAATTTGCTCGAGAGAATGACAACCGCATCCTCAAATCTCCAGGAACTACATGGTGTTGGCTTGATACGCGCAGCCAAGCCTTGGATCTGGAAACTGTCAATGGTCTTGAAGTAGGTATTCATGATAACGAGCGTGATCTTAAAGATCTGCGGCAGAAGGCCAAGATACTCGAAGGTATCGTCGCGCCCAACCAAGAACCCAAAACAGCAACTCGCGATCTTCGTCAATTCATGGCCCCTGCGGGTTTCGAAGAGATGCCTGTCAGGAAGAAGCCGGCTCTGCCTATCGTACCAGAGCTCTTGGGAGTTGGCCAGAAGCGAAAGCATGTTGTCGACGTCAGTGATGATGAGAACGAGGAGCAGGACGACGAAGATGAGGATGAAGATGAGTTTCGGCAGCACACAATTGTTCTTGATGACGACGGTCCGAGCTCTCCTCATGAGGATGGTGTTACTGGCCATCGCCTTCATGTCCAGCAGCCTTCGAAGAGACTCAAAGTCCTGGTGCAACCAAGTGAGAGGGAGTAAGCTTTATGAAAGATCATGTGCGAGGTGCGCGCAAAAGGTGTGCAGTTTGGTGGAGACACACCGTCCATAACATCAACTGTATATGGGAGAAGCATAACGGGGCCCATAACTGGGGCATACTTCTGTTTGCATCTCCTCGGATGTCATGGGTTTCCCTCTACTATGTTTTTACTTTTCCCTTGGTTGTTCTGCTTTTCCAGGCAGCAAACAACAACGGGGAAAGAGGGTGATTGCGTTCTCATCAAGAGCTGGTGAGCTGCTCTATATCCTGGCGGTTTGCCTGTTCACCCACCCTTACGAGTTTGCGTGTGGGTGTGAAACATGCAATTGATTCTGTACTATATCACAAAAATGGATCACGGGGGAGGGTATGAATAGGAAAAAGGAAGTTCAAACACGATGATAACGATCAATGCCAACCAAAAAACAAAAGAGTGTTAGAAATTTGACAACGGGAAGGAATTTCCATGACTCAAGAGTGACTTGCAACAACCTCTAATTTCTAATACAACGTGAGGACCGACATGTTTTGCCACTGACGCGTGCATGTGACGTATCCAAGTACACCGAGGGGGAACTCATTCGCTGCATAATCATGCATTGTATGTGTTGTACACAATGTCACGTAAGGGTATCATTTCACAGCAATTTGTCTCACTACAAGTTAAATTTGGTTTAGTTTTCAAGAAAAGTGATTATATGTACTGGCTTTTTGTAATTGTGTATGCGCCAAATCCGTCTTCTCCCTTTATCTTTCCCCAAAAAACATAGGAGAGATGCGTTGTATGTAAGAGCTCCGAAGAGACATTGATACCACCACACACACAGCGTCCTGACGAATAGCTCCCGAAGAGTATACGGACTTCCCCAAGACCCATGTTCCAGGTTGGTCTGGCCCCGAGCTGTGCAAGAAAAAAAAAACCAGCAGTAGTAGTGGTAATCTACGAAGGAGGCAACTCTCCACCTTCTTTACCAGCAGCCTCCTTTCCACCATTGCCACCCGAGTTCAAAAAGCTCAGATAGCAGTTCCAACCCAAACTGATGACGTTGACGACCAGGACTCTGAGATCGAGGGGCACGAATTTAAAGTTGATGGCCTGGACCCAGGGCCAGACCATGAAGTTCTTGGTCAGGCCCGGGACGTAGGCCTGCTGGAGGCGTTCGCGGGGTGAAGCACCTTCGAGGTAGGCCATGGAGGAGAGGAAAACGAACATGTTTGTGGGCGCGAAGATGAATTGATCAGCGGCGACGCGGGCGGCGATGGTGCCGTTGGTGGAGCGCAGGTTGATGTTGCGTGCGAGGAAGCCGTACCATTTGGTCGCGGCGGGTCCGAAGATGACTGGTGTGGTTAGTGATGTGGTGAATTTGGGCGATGGGTGGAGACGTACCTCCGCCGTAGGCGGCCATTCTACCTGTTCGTTTCAGGTCGTGCTTCTCTAGACCTCGTCCCTCGACGCCTTGTTGCGCCATTACGTCGCCGGTCGCAAAGAGGACCTGGTGGAGTTGTATCAGCACTTGCCCCCTTGTTTTGTCTATGCTTTTCTTCTCCCGTCCTGATTGTGTTCCGCGTGTCGTCCCATCTTTGCGTTTTTGCGACCGTTCGCGATCAAGCTCCAGGAAAGGATAGGCCTGCAGCCACTCGTCTCAAATGACTATATCCACATTCCCAGATCCACGATTCAAAGCGAAAAAAGTCTAGAAATGTGAAAGCGAAATCGTACTCACAGCCGTAGTGATACTCGAGGTCATGAGCGGTGCGCTCTTGAGCTTCGCTTGGTACCTGCATGTAACGTGTTACTCAATGGCATCACACAGCCCATATCCACCAATTCCAGTCACCACGTAGCAACAACGAGCTCCAAATCACGGCCATCTGCCCTTGGGGAAAAGCTTCCCTCCCTTCCCCCCCATTGAAGACGAAGCTCCAAGTACCGAGCGGTACATGAAAATTCCACTCGACGGACTAGGATATTGGGAATCAAACTCACCATCGGAAGGCCATTTTCGCTTCTGTTCCACTTGGTTTTCTCCAAGAAAGAGTGACTTTGATAATCTTCCGTCTCAATCAACTCCCTTTCCTTCGAGTGGGAAACCGCGTAGCTATCTCTTGCGTCTTTGCTCGTTTCCGATTCGCGTGCACGTTCGCGCGTACTATTTTCCGCGATAATAAATGGCGAGCGTCCGTACCCTATAAAACAAAAGAGGTAGATGGGTCGAAAGATAAGATAGAGAAAAAGTGTTGGTAGGGTGGTTGAGGGAGAAAAGGAAAAGGGAAAGGGAACGAGCAAAAGGCACAGAGCGATGATGTAACAAAGTTTACCTACATCGGTTGTGTTCCTGGAGCGAGGGGACGTGCGGTGCGTGCGGCACCTTGCGTTTTGGGGGGGTCCACGTGGGGGTTAGCTTGGGAGACGGCGTTGATGAATCGCGAGACCCTGATGATGGATTTTGTTCACATACAAGGTCGGTCTGTCAACACGTTCCGCCACAAATCAAGAATCTTTGCATAATCGTCTCACGTTGTCTGCCACCTCTTCTGCTACAGAAGGCTTTTCCTTTGTCTGTTTGCTACCTTTACAGCTTTTGATTGCTTTCCAACTTCTCTCTTCCCGCCCAATTCCCCCTTGGGAGATGGCGTTATGAGACCCTGACGACGCTCTGGTCCAGACTCTCTCCTTTCGAAAGTTATGAAATATGAAATTCAATTCGGATGAACTGTATCCACACAAACGAGTGATTGACAGGACATGACAAGTGGCAAGTGGTCAGCAGACTAGTTGCTTTGATTCAAATGTTTGCTATGATCGAGCCGAGCCTCTTTAGTCAGTCAGCTTGCTCCAAGGATTTTATGCACGCGTTTTGTTGTGTGCCCGTTCTTTCTTCGGAATATGAGGAAGCCAAGTAGTGATTCTATGCGAATCATCACATCTGCCAATCGAAGAGAATATACGGGGGTTATTTTGAAATAATCTATCTTTTGTCATTCCATAGAGTTCAACGAGCCAGTCGAGAGGAAAGGGCTGCTTTCGACTCGACTCGACCAAAAATCCCCTTTCTTCCCCAAAGTGGAAAGAAAGAGTTGGGAAGTGCCCGTAGGTGGGGGGTATACTACAGCAAAGCTACTACAGAGCGAAGACAAGCAAGCGCACACAAACAGTTGTTTACAGGTATGAGGTGTTATAGCCGTTCGTCAATCAGAAAAGAAAAAAAAGGAAAAGAGAAGGAGAACACAACAAAGAAAAGACCCCTCGGCCGATTGGAAGGAGCGAGATGGTGACCAGATGAGAACGAAAAAAAAAGCAGACAAGTACATGAGTGCACACCTTGGCATCAAGTGTAGTGGTATATAATCCCATTTCCGTTTCCCCATTTCCGTCCCCATAGTATGTCGGGCGGAGGTGGCAGGGATGGAGATGAGATCCAGAATTCGGCGTTTCCTCCTTCCGGTTCCTTCCTGTTCCCGCTCCGTGTTCCCGTATCTCCAGTTCTATCCAAGTAGAATGAAGCTTACTTCCGGTCGGGGTGTTCCCCGCAGCCAAAGCATCCCAACGCAAGTGAACATGTCCTTGCAAACAAGACGCCGATTTGCACTGATCGAAACCATCCAGATCAGGGCTATGCACGCAAAACGCATCCAAATTTCGTTTCAGTGGTCAGTTCTGTCAGAGCAAGAGATTTTGCCCGCAAACCAAGAAGCGAAAGAGAGGAAAAGATCAATAAAACAAATAAAACAGGGATGGGTATCTCTCGTAAACGTCTAGTCGATTTCCATGCGTTGGGCAGGCGCGGGTCCACTGAGAGAAGGCATCTCATTGCCATAGCCCGCCTTGTCGCCAGGGCTCTTGCTCTTCTTGCCACTGAGGTGGGGCTTCAGACCTTTGTTAAAGTTGTGCGTGCACATGCATGCGATGATGATGCTGATAATGACGAGCAGAATGGTCAGGATAGCAAAGCTGGCCAGCGATTTGCGAGCTGGGCGATATTGATCGACACGCTTGCTATCGGCTGCGTACATGCGCACCAGTTTCCAAATGAAGTAGGTAAGAGCGCAGAAGTAGAAGATGATGATGACGACCATGCCGATGACCGACTCGCGACGAACCCAGAAGGCGGCCGCCAACAGGAGGACAAAGGTGATGGCGAGGGCGGCGCTAGTAATGACGGTCTCGTGCACGGGGTTGTCGTCGACTACCACGAGGAACTGGATGGTGAAGGCGAGGAAGAAGAAGAAATCGAACTTGAGAAGGGCGATGTAAATCTGTTGGTTCTGTCAGCGAAAATTGTTCCTCGCCTTGCTTTTGCTCTGTTGGCGTAAGGATGCTGTGGGCCGTACCTGGTATGTCAGATACCTGCGCTTCAATCGCAAATCGGCACTGATGTGCTTGTAGATTGTCCAGGCGAACTCATCGTACAGCTTCCAAGCTTGAAAGGCGAATGCGAGAGTAGCGACGGCCATCAGAATTGGCAGTGTAATCAGCTCGGCACGGATCTCGGGCCATACATCCAGGTCGGTCAAGGCGTTCACTTCTTTGATGATCTTGACGGCATCGTCGATCTGAGAGAACTGAATCGAGGCGTAGATTAGGATACCGATGTTGTACATGACCAGGCCAATAACCTGAATGGTGTTTTTCTGGCTCAATGCGTCGTAGACAAGAACGACTTGGTATATGAAGCCGAACATGAACACGGCCAGATATGTTGGGATGGTGCGAACTTCGCTATGGTGGTTGTCGGGGAGAGCCGATCCGTTGAAGCTGCCGTTGAATTTCGCAAAGACATATCTAGGGTATTCGTTAGTTTTGGCAGATGGCAAGGGGGCTGGGGAGGAGGGTGAGGACAAGACATACGCTTCAAGGCCGATGCCGACCACGGCCTGGATAATGGCCGTGATCATGAAGGCGCGCGTCCATGTGGTGTTGGGGATATACATTCTGTGGGAGCGCTTGGGAGGAGGGGGAGGAAGTTGGGTGGGGAAGCCCTCGCGGTGGTGGTATCCGCCGGGGCTGTTGTTGTGGTGAGGAGCTTGATAAGGCTGGTAGTTTTGGAAGGCGGGCTGGGGAGGGTAGTTGTCGAGCGGTTGGCCTCCGAGGAGGGATGTGCGTGCCTCGTGGTGGTGAATTTTGGCGAAGTGGCAGCCGCCTGTTGCGGCTGTAGTGGGAAGGTTTTGCGTGATGGGGAGTGGAGGGTGTCGTGTGTCGTGTGCGGCGTGGTGTGGAGATGAGAGAGGGTTGACAGACAGGACGAGATGCGACGATTGGGCGGGATGGAGCGGCGGCGATGAGACTGGTGTGAGGCAGTCGAGGGTTGGCGCAAGAGGCAGCGAATGGAATGGGTGGGACGATGAAACCGACAGGCGGGTGTGGACTGGTTATGCTGGGGGTGCGTCTGAAACCGAGTGCAGGCTGGCAAGACTACCAAGGGCTGGGTATACGTAAGTGTGTGTGTGGAGGGAGGGAGGAAGGTAGCGAATGCGACGACGATGGTGCGTAGGTTTTGGACGTGTGTGTGTGTGTGTGTGTGTGTGTGTGTGCAGCGTGGTGTGGTGTAAGAAGAGCGAAGGTGGGTTGCAAGGGAGAAGAAAGGAATCAAACAAACACTGGCAATGGGAATCAACGAGAAGAAGAGGACGAAGTCCGCGCGAAATGGACGAAGGCTCAGCAGAAGCAGCGGCGGCGGCCTGTGCTCAGGCTCTCTCCTGGGGGGAGGCACTGCAAGTTAGCTGCAGAGGTTTAGGGCTCGGGCTGATGACAGCCAGCCGGGCAGCACCACACCAACGAAAGGGTGGAGCAAGCCGCCGCGAAACCGGGGCTGACTCTTAGCAGCAGCAGCTAGCAGCGCGCTGGGCTGAAAAACAAAACAACGGTCGAGAAGACCCTTTTGAGAGTGGGGGAGACGGAGACGGGCAAGCGGTTAGATGCGAAGTGAGGGAGAAGGGGAAAAGAAGGAGAGAGTCAAAAAGAAAAGAAATCAGGAAAAGTCAACAAGGCAGGCGAATCCTACATGATCCAGTGATTGAGTGACTAATGATGGAAGCGATGGCTATATGGCTATACCTGCTACACAGTACCACCATCATGTACTGAAGCAAGAGAGATTACCAGCATTTCACTACGCCGCCGCCCTTTTCCGGGCAGCTATAGGCTGGGCCTGTCATGTACCTGTATACCTACATGATTGAGAGTCGTCGTCATCACCGTTCTGTACAAATCTAGTGTCACGCATGCCTGGCGGAGGAGCACAAAAGGCATGGCGGAGCAACCTGTGCATGGCGGGCACTGGGCAACTGGCATGGGTGGGAAAGTTATGCACATGCGGTCTCGTGTCAGTCAGTCAGTCGGCGCCACTTTTTAGTCGTGAAGGCGTGAATGATTCGACTGACTGACTGACTGACTGGATGATCGACTGGCTGATCGACTGGCTGATCGACTGGCTAACTGACTGACTGGCTGATTGATTGAGAGAATGGAAGAATGAAGATGAAGGGAGACGGCGATGCCAATGCGCCGACCGTTCCTTCTGCGGCGGTCGGATGCACAGCCCATCCATCCCTTCCCTTTCAGCTGCTCACTAGCCACCTTGCTCCACCCGGCCCCCGTCCATTGGCTGCATCTCCGCCGAATTTCCAGAAACAAGCGGGGCGTCTGCTATTTATGGCCCCACGCTCGTGGTTGATTCTCGTCACTGTCCACGGCATCCACCATCTCTTGTTCTTCTCTTGCATGAGCATCGCGGACTCAAGGCCGGTGACAGGCAGGATCTGCAATACATCCATACGCTACCCCATCTTCGAGCCTGCCGTGCCTGTCGGTCGCTGTGGATACTGCAAACCTGCCCAGGGCGCATACGGCAAGGAAATTTATCTGTGGCGCAGTCGCTGTTCCTCTCCCCATGCCATGTCGTCAACCAGCTGCTGCAGCCCTGCCTCCTATGATGGAATTTCGCTTCAATCTTTGCACACCAGGAGATCGACTCTCCCAGCGCCTCGGGTTCGCAAGAGAGGCTGTGTTGAGAGAGAATCTGGTTTTTTCGGTGGGGTCCATCCATTGGGGCTAGCCTTGCGACTGTTGAAAGATTCTACCACTACTACTCGAGGTTTCGTATACAATGTCGATGAAACAAGCACAGGCAGCGTTACCTTGGGACAGGAATGACACCTCATATCCAGCCCCGTTAATATTTCTTCCACCCAAATTGTATTTTCCGGCACGACTTCTCGTCGCTCCGCCCTAGCCTGTGTTGGGCAGCCCATAACCCTCGACAATCTTCCACTATTGCTTTGCCCGTATCAAGGCAATGAAACATCACCATTGCAGTGAACAACATAAACAACAATTCCAAGAGTGCATGTATGCTCTGCTTTGAAAGTAGACTCGGTTTGGTACACATCGGCCAACTCCATTCACATCTATATTGACAATCTGGTCCTCGTTACTGTCTAGCAGTTGTATCTGTACACCCTCCTAATCTGATTCTTCATATAATGTCCGCCAAAAGACGCAGCGCGAGACCGATCACGATATTTCTTTCTTCTGGTTTCTCTAAAACAACTGACAACATATGTGTTTCCTATTGCATGGCTAACGTGGTTTTCCCGCTTGTATTGAGTGTTCGTCATGATGGATACATGTGTACAGCTCTTATCGTGACACGCTAACCCGCATATGGCCGATAGAGACCAGGGTCGGGGAGCTTTCGCATACGAAATCGCAAGACCGACAGACAGCCCGCAGAACATACGCTTTTGCCAGTCTCCGCCTCATGCCATGGCGTCCACCCGTATGTACTTGTACCGCTCCAATATCCTTCTGTCCCTTCAATCACTCAAAAACTTTTCACTAATTACCCCCCAGCACAGTCGGTGCTTCAGAAAGCCGCCGAAGATGGCTCGCTCGATCCGTACGCATCACCCTCATTTGTACACGCTCCCCGCAACTTACCTGCTAACCCTCCGCTTTCTCTAGCGTTGAATGGCCCCAGACTCTATCATACATTCTCAATCGCTTGGATGAGGTGAGCCTCCTCTGCCCTACGCCTGAACCGCTCGAGAATCGCACACTGACCTGCCCGCCACCAATCCCAGATAATCGACCTGTTTCCCAAACCTACACAACCCTCCTCGACCGCCCGCCCCCAACCCACCATCTCGAGTCAAGATTCAGCAACTGGCGACAAGGAAAATGCTGCTCCCACCACCCCAACTCGTCCTCCCGTCCCCGCCTTCGCCACCCAAGAACTCGGCCAATGGCCCCCCGAAACCATAAACATGTACTCTTCCATACGGACCGCGCTGTCCAAGAACTTCGCAAAAGATGCCCCGCACACTATCCAGCGTTTGGCCGAACTCATCCTCGAACCACAGCGCAGATACAAGTTCCTCCCGCCCTACCTCCGAGCCCTCGACCGCGTCATTTCCGTTTCGTCCCCGAACGCTCTTTTCCCCCTCCCCCAGCCTACCCTTCCCATTGCTACGGGCATGCTCAATGGCATCACCTCTGTATCTTCACCTTCCTCTGTGCTTGGATCCGACGAATCCCTCGGTGGCGCTCTACTCACACCCATACCATGGCTCCAGTCCCGCGGCGCTCAAAACGAATTAGTTTCCGAGAGCACCGAGATGGTAGATGGCCCCAATGGTGCCGGTAGGATCGAGACAGTGACTGTTGCCATGCTGAACGCCGGCAACTCAAACACCCCAACAGCCACGTCCCCGACCACATCACCAACGAGCGCAACTCAAGGTGGTGGTGACGCCGCAAATTCGCAGATAGCGTCTTCGCACCCTGACGGCGAGAGCCTACCGTCCATGGGAGCCGTCACACAAGGCGAAATCCTTCGCCAGGAGCAGGAGGCCGGAGTTGTCCTTAACAATCCCCACACTCTCACATCCCATCCTAGTCGGACCGTGATCGGCGAGGCAGCGGTGGAAGGAAGTAGCGGTCCGGCCAACGCAAACGTCATGGAAACAATCGAGGGAGAAGAAGAAGCACCGCATGCGCGTGGTCCCGAAGTCATTGGCATGGAGGATACTGGTCCGCAACCGACCTCGGGTGCCTTGGACATTGAAGGCGCCATAGGCCGACCGAGCATCGAGCGCGCGAGCAAGAGTCCCGGACCAACCTCCGAGCCCAAAGACGAGGCGACGGATATAGAGAAGGACAAAGACGAGGACATGAAGGACGGTAGTAGCAGTGATGGCGGTGCTGCCAAAGCTGAGGATGACGCGAAGCCGGATCAGGACACTGAGATGAAGACAGACGAGTAGGATGCAGTCATGCATGATTCGGCTTCCTTCTTCTCCTTCTCCTCTTCTTCTTCAGGGTCATCATCTTTCTCCATCTTCCTCTGTTGCTTCATCATCATCATCTCCATCTTCGACTCCTCCTCCGCTTCAGCAGACCGCCCTGGCCTTGTCCAACGATGCACGAGTTTTTGACTGCTTCCGCTAGCTGGACCATGTGGACCCTGAGCACCTGGCTATCACTAGTTTCCCCCAGGCCTCGCAATCCGTCAAGCAATCCACGAGCAGTGTTCTTTCCCCCCTTCCCCCCTCTCGTAGCGTTGATATGGGTGTTGGAGGTGGTTTTTTTCGGGAATCTCGAGTTGGAAACCGTCTTCCCTCTACATATCTTCCTAGCAACGGCAGCACAAAGCTTAACGAATGATCAATAACCACGAATTGAGAATATGAAGAAGAAATAACTACTTTTCCTTCTCCTTCCCCTCTCTCCCCTCCCTTTTTGACCTCCATTAGAGATTGCTGTGTAATAATACTCTTACGTGACATGATATTCAACACTAGATGTGCATTCGTGCTCACAATTGTCTCACTGCAACGTCTCGCGGGGGCATATTCTTTTCTCCTGCAGTTAAGCGATGCATGCAAGTATGCGAACGGAAAAGATTGCATCAGTATTGATGATGATCTAGAAAAAGGTTTAGTCCGGGAAACCATGACTGATGAAAGGCTGAGTTTGAATAGTGATTTGAACTTGTCGCTTTTTCCTCTTCTCTCTTGCTGTTCGAAAGTTCCGCGTATATAGAGTCAAGCGTACCCAATCTGCCAATATTTGTCTACACGAAACTGATCGACAAGTCTTATACAGATAGTCAGTTCAGTAGATTTTCAAGCTAAACTATCTATCCCCAAGTCAATTTCCACCCTCCCTCAATATACGTCCCACCCTCCGTCAAGCCATCCAACCCCGTAACCCTCAACACGCCTTCCACGCCATCGAACGCAAACGCAGGACCCCCCGCCGCCAAACTCGAGCGATTCCCCTCCTCAGCGACCTCAACGCCATTGAACCACACCCCTCCAACACCCCCCTCAACCCCAAAAACAGTCACATTCCCCAACACAACGGCATCGTCCCACTTCCCGTCCCCCAAACTCGCCGTGAGGCCGTTCTCTTTAGCATCGAACGCGACATCGAGGAAATCATCACCAGGAACAACAGCTTCGCCATCATCGAGGTATAACTCCCCGCTAGCTTCGCCACGCCCATCAAGCGCAACAAGCACACCCCACGGTAACCCCCTCCCTTCACTCGTCGTATACCCCGGCGTCTGCAGCGGCACCACGCTCCCGCCCCGCACAAAAACAGGGATATGACCGAGAGGCGCGTCGAGGGTTTTGTTTTCGCCGGCGCCGGCCACGACAAGGGACCCCGTGTGCCAGTCGTACCAGCGCACGCGGGGGGCGCCGGGGAAGACGCCGCGGACGGTTGTGGCGAGCGGTTCGAGGACAGGGGTGATGAGGAGGGAGGGGCCGAGGAGGAATTGGGTTGTTGTGGATAAGAGGGAGGGGTCTGAGGGGAATTCCCAGGAGAGCGCGCGGAGGACTGTTGAGCCTGTTTTGTGGGCGGTGTGGAGGAGGGTGTAGATGTAGGGGAGGAGGGTGTATCTGGTTTTGAGGGGGAGGTGTTAGTTTAATCTTTTTTTTGGGGGGGAGGAAGGGAGGGGTGGTGGTGGATCGGTGAGAATGCGGTTGAGGCGTGGATTGAGTGTTGATTTTGTTTCTAAGGGGGGAAGAGGGAGAGGAGTTGGTAGTCGTTACCTTATTTGCATGGCGGATCTGCTCGCGCTGGCGACCGATTCCCAGCGATAAGGCTCCTGCGACAACGCGCTCAGCGTGTTGTGGTTCCTGTAGAATGGGAAGAAGGCCGAGAGCTGCATCCAGCGGGAGCACAGTTCGGCGTCGGTGTTACCGTTGAAGCCGCAGGTGTCGACGCCGAACATGGGGATGCCGAAAAGCGAGAAGGACAGAGCTTGCGGGATTGAAAAGTACATGTAGGCCCATTTGGATGCGTTGTCTGGAGTCACCAGGTTATCGTCAGTGAGGTGCAGTTGAGGATTTCAAACGGCAACGTGTCGTCTTGCGATTCCATATTTGAGAGACAGTGTTTTTGGTTGTGTTGGAAATTGGCACGATTCCGAATATGAAAGAGAAATACGTACCACCGCCCCAGTGACCGGCCCATTTGCCGCTTCCTGCAAAAGTCGAGCGCCCGATTATGAAAGGACGTTTCTCGGGGAAGAGTTTGAGCAAGGCTGCATGAGTGGCATTCAGAATTTGGTGACTGGAAGCCTAGTTAGATTCTGGGCATGCCAATGCAAAATTTATACAATGACTTACCCCCAGACGTTGTGAACATCATATTCCTGCACGCCGTTAGCATGAGTCGCGTTGGGGCTGACTGCGTGGACAGCCAAATCGGCACCATTCTGCACGTGGTCAATGACATAAGGTGGGTGATTGATGTTTCTGACTCCAGACGTCGGAGTTGTGCGGAGATAGCTGGTTGTAGATGGACCAGGTATAGCAGTTGCGCTGTTCCTAGCATCTTGGCTAGACTTTGCAGCTGACGCGGAAGCAGCTTCTGTTGCATTTGTGACATTGAAAGATTCCGGATAGTCGTATATGATGTTGTTGATCTCGCCGGGCAAGGAGAAAGGTGGGTGAGCAGGATTGAGAGTAAGGTTTCCGGACCCGCATGATCCGACGCAGAAGGAGGATACTTCGTTCATATCAATCCAAATCCCGGAGAAAGGGACTTCTTTGTACCATTCCACGCTGATCCAAGTTAGTAGGAGCGACACAATGAATGGGAATAACCAGGGGATCGATTCTTACACTTCGTTGATCCACCAGCTTTGGCTGTTCTCCGCCATCCAGTCAGGGAAGACAGTGTACCCAGGCCAGACAGCTCCGATCTAGTAAGACGTTAGTTTTGATCAGTCGAGGATAGGGAATAGAAGCCTACATATTGACTTCCATCGGGGTTTGAAAGGAACACCCCGGATTCGTTCCCGCGTGTATATGTACCATAAGCGTCTGAAGCATTTTCCGGGTTAGGTATATAAATGGCAGCATCCACGATAGGAATAAAATGCTGGTTGTTGCCATGCAAGAAATCGAAGAACTCTTTGGATTCAGATGGCGAGAACGAGACCGGGTCAAGAGAGAAATCACGGTACTGATTCATGTAATCAATATCCAGCCAGATGGTTTCAAGAGGGATGTTGAAAGCCTTCATCGTCTCGACGACCTCACGTGTTTCGGTCCAATTTCGGTAGCCCCAACGGCATAGGTGGAATCCCAAAGTCCAATAACTCTGCATAGCTGGTAGAGCGTCGATAGACTTGAGGTATTGCTTGGTAACGTCAGCTTGGGTCGGTCCAGCATAGAAGAAAAGATCAATGCTGCCGCCGAGAAGTCTCCATGTAATGCTTTCCTCCTGGAATTTGATCTCTTGCCCATGGACGTTACGCAGGTAGACACCGTGAACATATGAATCGTATGATGGGCCTTCGCTTTCCGTATCGTTTCTAGAGCTATAATCTCCATTTTGGCTCTGCTGATTAAGCTGTGATGCCTTGACTGGCTTTCTTGTTCCATTATCTGCGTTCTCGAAGTACCTTGTATCAAGATAGAACGGGTGAGTGCCGTAGACATTTCTGTCGATTGGGTCGCCTACGTCTGCAGCGTAGATGGTGGCAGTCCAATTGTTGTGCAATCTCAAAGCATGAATGTGCTCTCCTAGACCAGAAAGATTATAATCTTCTGGAAGAGCAGTTACGAACTCTATGAACTGGTCTTCATACACAAGCTTCTGGCCCTCGGTCGAGAAGAGTACGTCCCCAGTGGATTCCCGAGTGACTTTGAACCAAAATGAAGGCGAGTTGTCCCCTTAATGAGGTTAACACAGATGCTGATTTGGAGTAAACTGGGGCATGGCTTACAATCGAAGTTGAGGCCGAGATCATCTGCTGAGGATTCTGATTGGGGTCGAGTAGCGATATCTTCTGGGGTGATGAACCACGACGAGTTCGACGAATCCTTGTTACCGTGTAAGCGACCAACGCCCCTATGCCCTGAACAACAAAAGACTTACAATGTAAGCTGGCTGAATGTTAACTGCAAGTCTATCATCGGCTTGATATTCGACTTTCAAATTCAGCACCTCAACATCATTTCCATAGGCATTGCAAGGATCGCCCGCAAGCCTCAGAATTGCTGCGAGTCCGCGCTCGGTCTCTTTCACTTCTGAGGCTTTGTATCCAGGACAGACCTCTTGAGCATCAACTGCATCCGGATCTTTGATGTTTGGCAAGAGATCGGCACCCTTGTCTGCTTCCGTGGGGATGGTGAAGGCTGGTCGAAAGGATGTACTGGGACTGCCAATCGCAGACTCGACCGTACTGGTAGCCGAGGACGTCACGTTCTGCCCTTGGGACGCAGCCTGCAGGGACAAAAAGACAGAAGCCGTCTTCAACAGCCGCGAGGGAGCCATCATGGCGGCCCAATTGCTTTCACTGGTCCTGGATTGATCGGCAAACCCAGGGAGGGAGCTATGGAAATTCTCTGGAAGGACTTTGCAGGCCAATTGAGAGAGGAGATGACCAGATGTCCGGCAGTTGTCTGCGGCCGGGGCCATGGTATCCTATATACCCCAATGGGCAGCGATGTCGTTCCGATATGAAGGGTCCTGCAGTAAATACAATATATGTACCTGGGATCACGCCCACAACGTGGGAGGTACAAAGAGGTAACTATGACGATATTTCCAGGTGCCGGCAGGGGAGGTAGCTTCAATTAGCGCAAAGGAGCCAATAATTCCAGCTGATGGAACCGGTGTATAGTCTGATGTTGTATACGGTTGGTCTCCGGGACGATTGGTGGGAACGGATGGAATTGTATAGGGGTCACGAATATGGAAGCTGTGTACGTCTGACGGGCGATCCGAGGAAAAGATCTGGACAACGAAAATGAAGTCTCCCGCGGGCCAATTGCTCGGAGACAACAAAGCATGAATTGGGGTCTGATCGGCACTGTAACATGGCTAGCTTTGCAGCTCAACGGCTCATAGCGCTCGCAAAATGTGGAGGCCCAGTTGTGGAGTCGGCAAGCTTGGGGGAGCTACCCCGCACCACCACCATGCTTCTTGTCCGACACAGTGTTGGTAAACATTCGAATGTCAAGGGTTCGTCATGGGTTTGAGTGCTTTGCAGGTTTTCCATCTCTTTGTGATGGAAGCAGACTCCTGTTGGGATTCGATCGATGGTCTTGGGCGAGTCGCGGATAGCGCATGTCAACTGCTGTCCATTTCCTGTGGCCCTCGCCCTCTCGTCCTCTATCATACCATCGCAATCATTATTGACAATATCCCAGTTGCATGCACAGATACATTTTCAAAGAAAATTTCTCTTCATCCTCATGACATATACTGAAGATCTGTACAGGGATGGGTGTGACATGCACATATCCCGCAGTTCATCATCCATCGCTTGGCAATCATGGTCCGGATCCGCAATTGGTCCCATGTCGGACCGAGAGCGATTGAGGCTCTGATATCCATTTTTTCCCCTCTTTACCTGCTTGGACTTGGTGGTCTGATGGATATCGAAGCGAACTCGGTCCGAGTATGCAGTTCTGTCGCCGCGCATACGATGGACGATAAGAGCGATGAACCTTCGAAGACCACCTTATAACATCCAGCATCCAGCCGACAACTCAAGGCAGGCAAGAAAGTGTCGCGCCCGGTGTCCAAGGGTGGTGCGTTCCACTCCAATCAACTCAAGCAGGAATACAGGTATGTTCGGGATGAACTCAGATTGCCAAATTCGTGATCAAGGCGAAAAACTCTAACGTCGAGAGAATTGACACCACTGTGCTTTATATTTGCCGTGACTACTGAGGGAGGATTAGGTGCATGATTCGCATCCAAATATTTCTCATTTACACAAGGTAAACCCGATGATAACATTTCGAAGTGTATCTCCACATACCCTTCACACTTTGGAGTGTCCTCATCTTTTTGGCTGGTTTGCTCTCAATCTTATCCTCCAAAGTATCTGAAACGGGTTGTACCTGCCACGAAACGCTCATGCTGCGTAGCTCAGGTCGAGGTATTACCTCCAGATTCATGTTGAAAGGCGTGAACACCAAACAATTTCCAGAAGTATCACCGTCCACATCGAAGATGCCTTGTCTGTCTTCCATATCCCTGAAAAAATCCGGATGGCGCGCCAGATTACTCAACGATAGAGCTAACGAAACCATGATGTCACTTTGGAATGTCCTGAAAGAATCTGTGGAGACTTGGTTCTCCAATTCTCTCCTCTGATCCTTGATTCTTTCTAAAGTCAATAGGTCGCTCAACATCTGGTAAGAAACCAGCTCTGCCATATGTCCACCCTCATTCCTTGCGGGCATGTATTTCGAATCATCTTGCTCGCTTCGCGCCAAGGGGCGAGGAATTGCATCTTCCACGAGCTTACCTACCCAGAATCCGCCCTTCTCCATAACTCGGTCAATTATCCAACACTGATGGTATCTCCCGTTACCATCGCTGTGGAGTGAGAACATGCCTTTCCGATTTTCGACACAAAGTCCAGGCGAGAACTCATTTACAGATTCTATCTGAGCGCTTGACGTGGAGTTTAAGATCGAGTCGGCCACCTGGATTTCGCCACGTGATTTAAGAGCATTGATTATCTCAAACAGCAGATGCGTCGTGGCTAACCACATTGTTTCGGCTGTTGCTGTGTTGAGGTTTTTGTTAAGATCCGTCCACGACTCGCGATATTTTTGTTGAAGTTTGTGGCACTCGATGAATCGATTTATTTTCCAGGAGTTTCCCATCAACCCGAGACCCGATTGCCCTATATCCACCCGATTCCCTGTGCCCGGGGCTGCTGTAGACCCAAATGTGTTGAACGATTGCGAGTAAACGTCTGCCAAGCGTGAGTTAAAATCACGATTCCAGGTGAATTCATGGTCAGAATTCTGTCTTGTGAGATCGGTAATACCTAAGGGTTCGCACTATTAGATTCTTTTGCGAAAATCGTCTGCTTGAGAAGTTCATTTGTTACTCACTTCTCGTAGGAACCGATCTGTATACCTCTGGTGTGATCAATGAGGTATCTCCGTTACAAAGACTTAACGCTATAAGGCAGGTACCTAGACTCTTTTGCCTCTGACCTAACTCAACTGTATTGAGTCTTAATGGATAGCCACACATATTTGCTGTGATAGCGAGCTTATCAGCCTTGTCGTAGCAGTCACGTAGCCGGAGGTATGTGAGCGCAGCAGCAGCGCTGCATGTCATCTGTCTTCTGTTGCCGTTCACCGTGAATTGGGCAATGCTCGCCCTCGCTGGCCTCTCCGGATGGAACAGGGTGATTCGTTTCAAAGTCGTCCTTAGGTCCGAGGATGATTGAGCGCCTCCTTTCTGTGTACTTTGCGTTCGTTTTGGCTTCTCAGCGTCCGCTATATGCTTCCATAATTTCGGGACAACATATCTGAGAGAACATTTGATGCAATCTACTATGACATCTAACCTGATGACAAGTTCCGATAGCGACATCTCATGACAAATCATCGTCCATCCTGCGCTTCTAGAGTCTGTTTTCTGCGGGAAGAGTAACATCATGTTGCCACTAGAGACAAATGCTTCCTAAAATTCGATGTTAGCTAAGGCATGCCCTCTCAAAAGTATGCTGAGAAGCTACCTGAAGAACCCATGCACGAGTATTCCACTTATCATTAGCGATGAATGATATTGCCTCGAGGAGGGTGTTCGGATCGAGCACACAAGGGCCTTTGAATCCTGTAATTCCGCGACGCTTTTTGAATGAAGTGTCACAAATGTTTTCGAAAGTGATAGCCAATGCGTTCAGGTGTTTTTGTTGAAGCTGAGCTCGCAGCAGACCAATCGACGCATGCGCTTCGAGATAGACCAGATCAATCGCCTGAACAGCCAATGCTTTCACTTCGGGATCATCTTGATCAATACATTCCTGAATATGGTATGAGCTATAAAAAAGTAGATACCAGTTTGTTTCGAGATACAAGGGTCATACCTGATCAATCCAGATCATCCGATATCCATTTTCCCTAGCAAAATTCACTACTCGATCAATGACCGATCCAGTCGCTCGAATCCTACGGTGCTTGCCGTTCTCGTCGATTACATTATAGGCGTCTTGTGTAGATGAGTCCGCGTCTGACCAACAGTACGAAACAGCAACAAAATGTCGACACCTGATCAAGGAGCTGCGGGGAATTTGGCGGATTTTGAAACAGGTGACAGGACCCTCATTAGGAAAGAGCGGGACATGCTGACATTCATCACACGTTAATGCTTTGACGTGTACGCAAGGATTCGAGTATTCCTCCAGCGCTTTTTCTCGAACATCCTCTTCTTCATAGTGGCCTCCACTGAAAGAAAAATGGGATTGGCACTGATGCCCAGAAGGAACAGGAGTTCGTCGCTCGCATCGTTTACATTGACCTGTTACGCACTGGGTGGCACTATTGCTCTCATGTGGTAGCTGAGATTGACCCGGCTCCCCATTATCATCGTGAGAATCGTCGTACGTAAGGAAATGAAGATTTTGGCTCCAGCGCTCTGCATGCGCGCGCACGACTTGGTACTTCATGATATTGTCAATCTCTGAAAAGAGAGAAACGCGAGGCGACACCTCGCCATTTCCAATATCTTGGGTGTCGTCAATCATGTTGTAGGGCGGTAATGTCGATTAATTTTTCAATATTGAAGCATTGGAAGAGGGCGTGTAAATTTTTCTCGGATATAATAACAATGTTTTGCTGTCTTCCGGGCGCAGAATATCTGCGAATGAGTTCCTGGACTATTTAGGCGGGCGGCGCAATCCCAACGTGCGACCGTCTCTACGCGCCACATTCTCGGTATTCTGCACCAAGTCGATCACCATGCTCACCGGTTTGGAGCTCGATAAGGTCTTGTGCAGATCTGCGAATCCTTTGGCTGTTTCTTGCATCCGGTGAATACAAACGGGAATTGGGTTTGTTATTGGATGCCTAGATTTCTTTCAGATGAAGTTAATAACATTGCAGATCTTGTTCTCGCCGACTGCATTCACCGGTTTCAATCTGCGGGATTGAAAAATTTACTATCTGGCTTTGAGATCTACCCAGAATTGTAGGCTGTGCATATAAGGCGTCCGAATTTCCTATCACCAGTCAATATAACCGGCAATTGGAAATCTTGGCATAGCCAATTGTAAGCCACCATTTCAAGGACAAGGTACAGCACAACAAACCTAATGTCAGCATGTGTGCAACTCACCTTGTGAGCAAAAAGCTTGATAAGAGCTACTGAAGTGCTGTTTCCATGAAATAGGTTCTATGATATATCGGTACCTCCTATTTTCTCACCTCTTTAGTAGAAGTCACTGCCACAATCAAGCCATGGAAAACGCAGTGTCAGCACCTGGTGGATTGGCCGAGTCTGAATATGCACGTCCTGTCAACCGATTTGCTCGCCGTAGCCGAAAACCCCGTCCAGTTCCAGACCAAAATGAACCGGAAGAAACAGAGAACATCGATGAATCGAGCTTATCAAAGGAGCAAAATGATGGTGTCGAGCATGGAATGTTTTTGGAGAGTAAAGATCTCTACCGGTCGAATCCCCGCCAAGAGTGGACGGTGTGGTCACCCGATGATCTTGAGAATGGTTCACAAGCCACAGCTTCAGAGAAGTTTGCGCTTATTATCAAGCGGGAGAGGATTCAGCAAGAAGATGGCTCTGTAGGGCTCAGCCTCCACTCCTTACAAGTGCAGAGCCCACTTATCAGGGAAATGCTTAGTTCTGTCTTCGGTGGTTATCCGGGAATAAACACCAACCTCAAGAAGCTTCAATTCAACGCCCCCTTCAGAGAGTTCTACTACAGATGGCGGGAATTTTCTATAGCCTCGAAAAACTCGAAGGCTGATGAGATTACAGCCGCACACTTTGCTTTGCTTTTCGATATCATCTCGGCACAGATATTGCCACATATCGACGTGGTCAAAGACCTGATGCTCAACAACGCCATCACTTACGACTACCTTTGGGCTTTATTTGAACCAGGAATGGAAGTTTATTCTGTTATGGATAAACAACATCGGCTATATCGCTTGCTAAGCACCGACTACGTGACGGGCAGGGACGGTACAAAGTACTTTCGTCTAACCTGTCAACATATCGACACAGACGGAACAAGATTCGGCTATGTTACAACAAACCTATCAATTGGCAGTTTTGCAGATGTTCTTCCCACTACCAGTCTTCAAGTGCTCCCAGCATATCTGAAACCTGGCATTGACGAAATACGTACTAGACTTCGGCAGAGAGGAAAGGCGTTTGAGAGTCTACGGGGTTGCCACTATAAATCTTACTCTGGCGACTATAAGCTAGCCCAGGCTTCTTTTGGAAGAGCACCAGTGCAGACGGTAAGTTCCACACATGGCTTCCTTTTACCAATATAAGCAGACACGAGGAACATATAATTGCGATGTTCGACTGATATGGATTGGAACTCACATTTCTTGTAGATTGAAGATGGCCGTATAATAGTCGATTGCGAGATGTTCTGCAGATATAACCGCAGTTTTGAGAAACGACTCGATGCATTGGACGAGCCCATATCTACACATCAGAACAAGGCATTTGGATCGGCCCTAGGTATCGGCGAACATGATGATGATTCCGACCTATCCGGTGCTCCACCAGCCTACCAGATACTGGTTCACTCTTTGAGGGAATCAAGACGGCGTGCAGCTCGATTCCGATCGCACATCAAACGCGAGTAACCGAACAGGATGAAACATAATTATTTACTGACCTCGTATAGGTCAATCTGACACTACGCTCTCCGATGAACACTATGTATTTTGTACGGCGACGGTACATGGTTTCTGTTTGCGCTCAAAACAATGGGGTTAGTGTAAAAAAACTTCGGAAATACCACTACCCAAAGGCCTGATTTGCTGATGCATCAACGGTTAGTGACGTTCAATGTCGACAATGTTAAAGAGATTATCTGGAACAAGGAAGCGTTCGATCGCTTATCTCTCCCACACGACTATAAGCGCCTTATTCGGGGATTGGTTCATACGCAATTGAATGCTAACGATAGTTTTGACGATGTTGTGAGTGGAAAAGGGCGAGGCATTGTCATGCTTCTTAGCGGTGAACCTGGCACCGGAAAGACACTCACAGCTGAGTCAGGTACGAATAACCCGCATTTCTACACACTACGAGCGAACTCTGACACAGATATTATAGTTTCAGAGGTGATGCGTAGGCCGTTATACTCTATGGCAGCCGGCGAGCTCGGCGACACCGCAGATGCTGTTGAAAACAACTTACAGCGTGTCCTAGAGACTTCGACAAAGTGGAGCGCCGTCCTTCTCCTCGATGAGTGTGACGTGTTCTTGGAGAAAAGATCCATAGACTCCGTCCACATGCAGCGTAACAAAATTGTTTCGGTATTCTTGCGGCTTCTGGAATATTACCAAGGTGTTATGCTCTTAACCACCAACCGGGTTGACTCCTTTGATCCAGCTTTCGAATCGCGCATCCATTTGACAATAGACTTCCCAAAGCTCGATTTCCAGTCTCGATTACAGGTGTGGCGTACTTTCGTACGGCCTGGAAATACGGAATCAAATTACGCTAGTGACTTGAGCCATGCAGAGATTGAAAAGCTTGCTCTTGCTGAAATGAACGGGAGGCAAATCAGAAACATTGTAAAAACAGCAAGACTGCTAGCCGCCGGCGAGCAAAGTCGCCTTGCTCTGGGACACATCGAAGCTGTCTTGAGAGTCAAGCAAGGGGTTGGTGCACAGCTTGACGTAGACATGCGTGGCAGCGGAGAAGAAGAGGACAGTTTGGTATAGATAGCTTATAATCAAGTCGATCTCAATCATACAATAGCCATTGCTATGATATTGACGTTTAATCATTGCTACTATCTAAAGTTATGTACAAGAACCCCAAAACAGTATTTCGAACATCTGTTTCAAAAAACTACTTCTTGAATTTTAGCAGTTTTCAGTATATTCCTTAGACTTGTTGCCCACCCGCACTCTTACGGGTTTGGTGGTACTTTGAGGTTGGATGCTGATCTTGATTGCTAGACGTTATGTCCCGATTGGCGGCAAAATGAGTGGCGGGCGCTTTGCGAATAAGAAAGGTTGCAAGCTGCATTAGCTAAGTCCATTATGTGATCATCACATATTCTGTGCGGCACAATTACTTGGCAGTATAAAACATGATAAACCTGCCTTTGGGCTCGAGGCAGAAAAACACATGTTCCACGGTTATCACGAAACTGATAAGTAATCATTTTGAATAGCTGAGTGCGGATTGGGTCCCAACAAGGACCTCAACACCACACAACTCAGCAATCCACATCGTCTTGTCTATCACACTTTAGAGCCTAAGGCACAATACTATCGTTATACAGCCTATCTTATCGCCTTTTCATATCTGTGGCCTCGGGGTAGGGCTTTTGACACTCGACCCCTTAACCGCAGAAGCCGATCAGCTTCCCCCTTAAGATGGCTGCAACGCAGAACCTCAACGATATTGACGGCCAAGGCTATATTCTCGACCGCAACTATTTGGCAGCCTGTCGTCTCAATCTCCAGCACTATCTCTGGAGGGAGGCGTTGGGCTTTACGATCGATCCTCTGATTCCAGTTTCAGAGAATGCAGATATCGCCGACGTTGCTTGTGGAACGGGCCTATGGCTTTTAGATGCCGCCCGACTGTTACCAAACGCGAAGCTACGTGGCTTCGATCTCGACCTCTCCCAAGCGCCTCACTCGAATTGGCTTCCGTCTACTATAACGCTTGAGAAGTGGAATATCTTTGAGGACATTGACCCGCATTGGGAAGGTCAATTTGATCTTGTCCATATCCGCCTCCTCGTCCTCGTTCTGTCAGGCGAGACTAGACAGCCGTTTGTCAACCGCCTGTTCAAACTCCTCAAACCCGGTTGATATATTCAATGGGATGAACTTGACTGCTATCGTAAGTGTATCAATGCAGGATAGGAATTGCAACCTCTGATCTCGGGCCAGATATGCACGTCCGCAAAGTCAATCTCGCCATAGCCTCCCCTGCCTTGGACCAGCTGTATGAACTTTGCAACTCCTTCGGCCGACATGAATGGACTTTGCAGATCCCTGAACTGCTGGCTGAGGCAGGTTTTGAGCAGGCAAGACTGACTGAAGTAGGCGATGCGCCCCACTTCGCCCGCGCTTTCAACGAGCAGCACATGATGACGATGGAAGAGATCGCAGAAGGCATGGCCCGACTCGGCAAGACAGAACTGGCAAATAGAACTCTGAGGTTAATCAGAGATGCACACCCAGAGTCCGTGAATGGTGCCACGTTGTGCATCCCTCGAGTTGTGGTGGTGGCACGCAAACCGTTGTAGCGGGAATGTTCAGGGATACATAGTGGGTGAGGGAAGGCCTGTTGGAGCACACATGACCCCGTTGCGTGTGATGGAGCAGTAGGGGCAGTCTCTCAAAGAGAGCAAATTGGTTGCCTTGCATCATAGTATCCGATTCCTTTGCCTGCCTTTGCCGATAGCAACATGCAACAAGCCCATGACGTGTTTATGCACGAATTATGAATATACAAATTTCCACAAGATTCAAAAATGACTTTCTTTTCTCCTCTGAAACGATCCTACCCCACGGGTACTCAACATGAGTACCGCATCCGAGAATAGTCGCGAAGAAAAACGCAATGGTCCACAACGCGCAAATAACTGCGACCATGACTGAAGCGATGTTGAACTGTGAGTATCTCGCCACGGAGAAGATACGACAGTAGAGGGATATCGTGCTCAGTTTGATGAGCTCATTGGCGGGTAGCATCAGCAGCCAAGTGATCCAGTAAATCAGCTCGACGAGTCGTTGTTCCGGAGGAAGCGAATTCAGTTGTTCAAAAGGCGTCTCATACTCTTGTGATGGATAGCTAAGAGCGTGCTGCGAGACGCCATAGAGTTGCACGACGCCCATACCAATGACAAACACCTAGCATTCGGTTCAGCCGACAGATTACGACTAAGGACCTTTTCTCCTAGTCACTTACCAATGCCACAAGAATCAACCAGTCATCCACACCGACTCCCATATTACGAGAAGTGCGCCTCCAGAAGCGCAGTGCCACTGCCACAAGTCCCAGGAGAGGAAGTACAACACTGGCTGAGAGAACATCTCCAGAGGATACAAATGCAATAGAAAGCTCGTTAGTCGACATTTCAGCCAGAGACCGTTGTTGATGGGCTTCAATCTAGGGCACAGCGATGAATATGGAGTGTTCTGCCTTACACTAATACGGGCGGCCGCTTTGGGGGCGGAAGCACAGGTTTTATCTACGGAAACTGAATCTATACTACCTGCACAGTGCAAAAATTGCCCTGGGTTCCCGAAAGTATCGATGGATGTGATGAGTGTAGGTGGCGACATGCTGATTTGGTATGCAGGAGTGTTTTGCGTGCGTGTATTTCCGTCTGGAATCCTGCGTATTTTCACAGTCGCCAGACTTATTGCGTCGGATCAACGCATCACCACTTGAAGCGCTACCGTATATCTCAGATCTCCCTCATACTGTACTCTGTACAACGTCTTGAGGGGCCAAACATCCCCAGTACCAATCATGAAAAAGCTTCCTACACTTGGCTTGCCCAAGTCCCAGGGCATGCAGTTATTGTCCAATATATGCCAGGTTCTACATCCGTCTTGCTGAATATAAGTCAGCTTGCCGTATTCGCAGTTGCATCGTGCTCGTCTAAACATGAGGCAGTGGCATTTTGGACGCATAACGCGGTCATGTGGCGCAGCGCACACAGCATGATAAGGCAACGGGCTCAGTACAGTATACTGCAGGAGAGCAGTATATTGTACCCGAAATTTGGGGACAAGTGTCATACCTAGCGAATGGATGTCCAATGTTTGTTTTGTCGTCGTTGGACAGAGCCGGGGGAGCGCAGCTACCTGCCTAATCCAGCGCAGCACAAATATGCCGGCAGTAATTGTAGATATCAGTTCTGTGCAAAAGCTTGATATGCAAAAAGGCTTGTTTGGATAGGTCATAGAGATTGGCGGGCGTTTACCTGCAGCTGTGCACTGCTTGGGTGAAAGTGTATGGCATCCGCATTCCACCCGCGTAGAGTGGTAAATAGGTGTAGGTGAGGTAATGGTGGGGTCACCTTTTCACTCAATTATGTGTCTGCTTCCAAAATACATAGGTACGTGATTGGATGATTTTGTGACCTACCCTGACCTCACCTACACCCATTTACCACTCTACACCAGCGTTCCGTTCGGTGAAGTGGGCCATAACAGGTATTCCAGGTTGGATCAAACAACTACGGTAATTTCCCTGGAAGTTCAGCAACCTATACTATCAGCCATGGAGACGGTAGAAAGAGGCACTCAAGGCCACTCCGAGCGCAACCCCGATCCAAAGGTCGAAAAGGTCGACTTCAAAGAGAATGACCCGGAAGATCCTTTCAATTGGCCAACATGGCGGAAGTGGATGATCGTGAGTTTGGTAACAGTTGCCAGCTTCCTAGGGTACGTCTGGCCGTGAAAAATCTTCAAAGCACGCTGGATACTCACACAGCACGACACAGGAATTTCGGAACCATCACCATCGTTCCTGCTGTACCAAATATTCTAAACCATTTCCATACGAGTGGAAAGTTTGATTTGACGTTCCTGGTTTCCATCTGGGAATTTGGTGAAGCAGTTGGACAAATCTTTATCGGGCTCGCGACAGAGCGCTTCGGTCGAATGCCTGTGTTCCTGGCGGGTAACGTGCTGTTCTTGATTTGTTCCGTGGCATCGGCGTTGTCGGTCAACGTGCAAATGTTGACGGCTTTTCGCTTCCTGAATGGGTGTGTGAATACCACCCTCACGCTAGGACCAACTATCATCGACGACATGTTCGTTATCGAGCAACGGGGACGTGCCATGGCAATATCGATTGCGATACCTCTATTAGGGCCATTCGTTGCGCCTGTCGTTGGATCATATACCAACGCAAAGCTCGGGTGGCGTTGGACAGTCTGGATCGTAGTCATCTCAGTCGCTGTCGTCACTGCGCTTTCGTTTGCATTCTTCAAAGAAACATACAGGGTCATGATCCTCGAGCGCAAAGCTGCTATATCGCGGGGAGATTCGAATACCATACATTGTAGGCCCAAGGAAAATGCAAGTCTCGCTATTCGATCACCGCTTCTTCGCCCGGCCAGAATGCTGATCACATCCCCAAAGCTCTTCCTGGTTGCCGTGTACTCAGGCTTCACATACGGTATATCCTATCTCGTCCTCACAACCCTGACCGACGTTATGCAAAGCGTCTACTCTTTCTCCGAAAGCAGTGTTGGAAACGCATTTCTTGCAAGGGGTGAGCTCAAAGATTCCCTCTTACCAAGAATATCTCACTAATGGTGCAAAGCAATCGGCAATGTCATTGGCATGGCTTTGTATGGCCTGACCTCTGATCGCTACTTGCAACACAAGAAACGCAAACATGGTAGCCTTAAGCCCTGCCACCGACTTATTCAGATGCTGCTTGGATCTGTTGTACTCCCGATAAGACTCTTGCTATATGGTTGGACAGCCCAGAAGCATGTCCACTGGATTGTTCCATTGCTGGGCACGGGTTTCATTGGCTTCAGCATGATATTGAGTATATTACCGACCAATAACTATCTGCTGGACACCTATGAAGTACACGGAGCCTCGGCTGTCGCAGGCGCAGCGATGATGATGGCCTTATTTGCCACTTTTCTACCGTTAATTGGCCCACAGCTATACCACGGCGCTTTAGGAATTGGATGGGGAAACTCATTGCTTGCTATATTGTCTATGTGCTTTGTCCCTTTGCTGTTATGGTTGTCAGAGACTTGGCCAAGCTTGGGGCGCCAAAAAGAGACCATCGTCGCGTGAAAAGTTTCGTGAGAAATGTAAAAGGGTGAGGTGATAGAGTATTTAGGAATTACCAAATAGTACTGCAACAGCATCAGATAAGATGAGGGGATCAACTGATTCTAGTGCAATGATCTCTTGAATAGTTTGACAGGTTGTTGAATGGACCTACGCTGTACAAAAAGGTGGAGGATACTAGGATTAACAATCACAGGAGGGAGAAGTTACGAAAAGAGTGATTCAAAATCGCTGCTTTTCTACATCGGTATGTATTTTTTCACGAAACAAGTGTAATTGCTCCTCAAAATACTAATTGTTCCTCGCCAAAGAAGACCTAGCTGATTGCAAATTACTTTACAGAGCAACATCTGACCGTGGTATACACATATACATTCTAACGGAATCCCGCATCCTGCATAACTCCCTCCATAGGGCCTAAAACCGAGTCATTCTCTGTTGTCTTTTCCCATTGGACATCATTATCGAAGCATTTAAGTCTCTTCCTCCAGTACGCATATTGGAAGTCGTGAGTAACTAGCGTGATTTGGTGACGGATCCAATTCTCCGCTGAGCGTGGGAGCCTGAAATTTGTCATGCCGCGTCTGAGAGGGATCAACAATGTCCTGATATGCTCCTCTACAGTCTCCGCGTTCCATTCTCTTCGTTCGGGTGACTCAGATAGAAATGACTCGCCGACAAGTATCCTGATATTTATTACCGGGCGTCGGCGTAAATGCAATATAGCCGTCTGGAGGAAGGCCCCAGGAGCTTTTTCTGGTACCATTCGTTTTCGCGGTCCTTATTCTTAAAAGTCCATAGATTGTGTTCTGGCATTAGAAAAGACCTTAGAATCAAGTAACCATACTTGAGTACAGATGGTGCCAGCGGTGCAGTCCACTTTCTAGGCTCAATCGAAGATGCTCGCTGCTGCTCCTGGTCCATTGCAAACACTGCATCAATTCCTTTTAATAACCCTATGAGATAACCTTGTTCACAACCCCCTCGACGACCTAGCGCTTGCCAATATGCGTGGAGTGTAAAGGGCTGTTGAATAGCAAGCTTTACTTTTGGCGCGTTGCAGGCATCATCTTCCCAGGTATTGCTGCTGCGAAGAAGTGCTAAGGCCAGAGAAGTATTCTCATAAGCTATATAGTGGTCTCTTGTGATGAGTGTTTCGTATATAGAATGGTACCAGGGAAAGGATACTGCTTCGTCATATATCATCTGGCGTATCTCTGCAGGGAGGCCTTTTTTCCCAAGTCCAGAAAAGAAGCTGCAAGCGATCGGCGAAGACTTTTCTAAGATAGGATCAAGAGGATAGGCCGTGTCGATATTTTTCATCCGTTCGTCGGCTTGCGATTGAGGCTCGTGCAATACTGAATCTCTCGTCGCATCCTTCGATTTACCAGTGTCTTTCATATTGGTATCGCGTGGCGACAATCGCACCGTGGGTTGTGATATAATTTCTGAATTTAGGGGTTCGAAGAAGGTGAGTTGCAATAGTTTCTTTCAAATCTGGGCAAGCTAGTTTTATAGGTAGCGGGCAAGCTGATGAAAGCTTATATATAAACTATAGAGTAGATAAAAACCTTTTATTCGCTGTTTTCTATTCATACTTTTATACCTTCGCCTCCATCTTATAGCTGAGTAATATTTCAAATCCGTACATCTTCACTGGTTCGTCGGCATTAAATGCCCAGTCAATCAACCACTTCAGCATTTGAAAGTATATAGATTACTCTAAAACATATTATAGTTTTACGTATCTTATCAATAGATTTGACTTAAATCGTTGAGTTGTAGTGTTGAGGTCCTCGCTAACCCAATCCGCACTCAGCTATTCATAATAATGACTCATGAGTTTTGTACCTTAATCACGCCTATTAATTTAACATAGACTGACTGGATTCAAGAAACACTCACGTGCCTACGAATAGCAAAATACTTAAGCACTATCTTCTTACTGCTAGCTTCATGTGATAGATAACTCGTGATAACCACGGAACATGTGTCCTACCTGGAGCTCAAAGGCAGATTTATCGTGTTTTCAATACCCAGTGTTTCTGTCACATGGAAATGCGATGAATCATTATTACTTTTAATACATAGGTACGTACATATGTACATCAGCACTCATTTTCCCTACAAACATCAGATAAAGCAGAGCCAACAATTGGGCAAAATCAGTTTCAAAGAAATTCCTGCTTCTGGTTTTGCAAAATAAAGATAAGATATCCTAAATAGGAGAGTTTTAGTACATTGCCAACATTACATGTATCTCTCAACATGCTACGTCACGTGGTGTCTCGATAGCAAAGTGCTTCCAGATGTCGGTATTGACACAGATTTCATCAGGGCCGGATAGTTGCGTAGCGAGGACCGAGGTACTAATGTCTGAGCTCTCCTACACAAGGAGAAAGGGGGTGGTGTTGCTCTTACGTAGCTTATGCTTGGGAAACTTCGTTTGCGCATGTAAATGGTATCCATGCTACGTATGTGGCTATTGCTAGGGCTGACTAGGACATGTAGATGTACAAGTGTACAAGAAGAGAAGCAGGCAAATCGTGTAAAATGTAACGGGGTAAGTTTGGGATCGTACCTAGAATGCAAGCCTAGTTTTGTAAGGGAATACAGTCACAGTGCACTCAGTTTCAATTTTTGAGGTAGTCCTTGGTACGCTATTTCTCTTAAGCTGTCACGAGCCGCGGCGCGTAACCCATATACCATTGCTTGATAGGAGAGGCTTGTAACATAAAAAAGCACTCAGAATGAATCTCAGGCTTGATATTAGCAAGTGTGCGTTGCTGTGTCGTCGGGACTGCGTATTACTTGCTGCTTTTACTTTCCCCTAAATCCTGACGCTCACAACGTGCATCGCCCAGTAGCCTATTTTTCTTTCGATAAATTTTATAGACAGAAGACCATGCTGTTAAACAGCAAGTGAACGTTGCAAAAATGATGAATTAGAGATGGAACTCTTTGTATAGTCCTATAGTTGCACACAGAAGAACACCCTGAACTATTCAAATGTTGTTGTTCTACTAAAAAATATCAAAAAAGATACATACAACAGCAGGTATTCGCCAGTGGTCACCCACCTGACTACTAATCCGCCGGTACCATGCTTAAGTACAGCTGAGCGGACGGGAAGCTCTGTTTTCATGGTCCTATGGTCGTATGTGAGATGATATGGAAGGGTTTTGCAATAAGTATGACTAATCCAATCCATTGACTGATTTGCAATTGATTGCATTCAACTTCTTTTCTCAGCATCAATAGCGTGATCAAAAGCTTCTATGAATCCATCGTAGAGATCATTCCGAGCTTCCAAAGAGCCGTCGGTTCCAGTCCAAATTTCTCCGTTCTCAGTTGGAAACATTATCCGACGCAGCGTTTTCGCAAGCGATATCAAGGAAGGATGTAAATTCGGCGGGAAATTCGGCAACAATGTTTTCAAAGCCAGCTTCTCCCATGTCCAAAGTCTTTCGTTCTGCGAGCTCATCCCAGCCTCCCCTTGACCATTGTCGAAGCCTGCTTCCTCTAGGTGGACTTGAGGACCCATTTGTTATGATGGTCCAGATGAAGACATACATGAAAGACTCGAGATCATGTCGATACTTGTGGGGTCTGGCAAGAATAATGCCAATGGCCATGAAAGGCCGAGTACCGGTGACTTCTCCAGGTGTCCTGGGACCGACAGCGAGATCCATTGCGACGTCAAAGTCAATCAACATACCTTTGGCATCGTCTTCTTTAGAAGGGTCCGTAATGATGATATTGCCGGGAGAGATATCCTGATGAAGAACATTCGCGTCTTGAAGAAGCGATCGGTGAGCTTTGGCAGCATCGCGGAGGGATTGAAGCAGCTCCAGCCTGCTTTTGAAGGTGCGCAGAGGCCTGCCAACTGGAGACACGACGATACAGGTGCATATTCGGTTTTCGAAAGATCGGTCCGTTTCCTCTGTTTGCTCCAGAAGATTCGCAGGTCGGGATTCCTGTCCCGCGCTCGTCATGCACATGATCTGCTCGCTGTTGTCTGTTTGAAATTTCCTGTACCGACGGCATTGGAGCCCTTGCCTTAGGTTTTCTGTGCTGATAATCTGTTTGCAATAGTCAAGAGAAATGACACCCCAAACGCTTTTGTCCTTGATCAACTTGAGCATATCCTCCTCTGGCCGATCACGGGCGACCAAGCGCCATTTGAACTTGACGACGTACTCCCATGTACTTGAACTTTCTACCCTAGCTCGATAGCAGGTAGTACCGTTCCCTACAAGATCTTCGGGAAGTGCAATTGGCTCATCTTCAAGAAGCAATCTTTGCCCGAGAGAGCTTTGAGCCGAATGTTCAATTGCGATATAACCACCTGCTTCGTTGTAACGGATACTATCATTTCTCCCAAGCTCCTTATCGGACATAAGCTGGTAGCCAAGCAGCACAGAGAGGAAGCGTTGGAAGTCCTTTCGATAGTCGAACACTTCGGAGCTAAATATACCTGACCGATCGAACATCCAAAGCTCCACTGACGACTCGTGTATATAAAAGCCGTGGAGAAAATGCCGTGTTGGCTGACTAGTGAAGACTTTCCGCGCATGGCCACAGAGTCTAAGAAGCCCATTTAAATATATTAAGTTTGATGTTGCTTTCCACCAATAACTGAAACTCATACGATAAGCAATCAGGCAGACGCACAGTAGAACTTGTCCTCACTGAGACAAAACTAAGATACCCCCGCTACAAGCCCACGTAGTTGAATTCCTGAATTACCCCTAAATGTAAGGAAGAAAGTCACAATACCGGCCGGTTGAGCCTCTGGGCGGCCTCCAAAATGCTGTCGAATAGGTATTTAAACGGTGGGAGGACCCATCTTCTGAGCTTCCAACCCCTAACTCATACTCACAAATCAGCTACCTTCACTTGATCGAGCTTCTCTTTACTTCTGTATTAAACCATCATCATTCGAATTCATGGAATCTTTGATCGATACGTTTGTGTCGTCTTCGACCTACAATTCATTGCCACATATCCAAGATGTCTCGGATGCTCCCAAAACTCACATCCAAGACTTGGAAGATCTCCGAGCCCTTCTAGTCAAGCACAAAGTTCCCAGAGACATTTCAATCCGTTCGATCCACAAACACTTCGACACTTTTGACGACGAAGTCATGGTCTTTCAGAATGTCGCACTACCAGCATATGGTACGGTCCAAATCATGAAACCGACCGAGTCGCCAAACTATCAAGCCTACGAGTGTGGCAACCATGATCTCCCCAATATCAAAGCTCTAGAGCCTTTTCTTGGCGAATTTTGCCAAATGGTCACGAAGAGAGGTCTGCAACGAATGTCCGGGCTCAAGATCAAGCAGAGAGATGTGTTGGATAAGGGATCATGGACTGGATTTGAATTCCACGAGAAGCGCAGCACAATGATGCTTTAGCATGGCCGCCTCAGCCGGCGAGCACCAGCCAAATGTCTAGTTTTAGCTTGCTGGAGGGGAATAAAATGAGATAGGAGACATCTAAGACAAGGTGAGGCGGTTGTGCCATAGATATGGCACGATATGGAATACTAAGCTTGAAGTCTGCGCTTTGGCCAGTGGGTTAAGTGTCACTAATAGAGCACTGTCGTTGCAAGCGAACACGAAGGTGGAAAGGCTCTACATATTCTGGTGATACAGTTGTTATACTGTTATGCAACGAACGGGCCCTTACATGAGCACTGCGATCCTTAGAGCCGCGGAGAGGTACTCCAATTTGACCTCTGAGGGCCATGAGGAGCTCATATTGTTATGGTCAATACAGTGCAATACCAGACTGAGGCAGATGCGCCAGATACAAAGGCCAAAGCGGCGCGGATGAGCGAAGCACAGGCTGTGGACGATGAGGATGAGATTGCCGCATGAGGAATAGAGAATCATTGCTCTGTTCTTCATTTCGGAACTGTTTCTTGAGGCAGACTCGCGCAGGCTTCGCGACCCGCTACTGTAAATTTGTTTAAGGGAGCAAGCGTCAGGCTTGGGTAGTCTTCGTCTCACGGTCTGAGGTGCTTTGCTGGCCTTTTGTAATCAGTTTTGAATGTCTCTCGATCAGATTGACATATAGTATTACGGTATTTAACTCCAATATGACCTACATCTGAGGTGGGTCAATAGGCTTCTCTCGAATTCAACATTGTAAGCACTACTTTAAAACTTTCCGAGCCAGTCTGTCCAGCCCGGCTTTGTTGTTTTCGTACTGTCATAAGCGCACACATAGTACAACAAAAACAGCCCACACGTCTGAAGCCCTTGGTAGGTGAACCACACGAAGAGAAATGCTTTTGGTTTCTGGTATTTGTTTTCGAACGTCTACAAAGTATGGCACTTTAGATCCACCCAATTCCATCCCTCCAAATCCAGCTCCGAACCATGCTGCTGCAAGTACGCCGACGGCGACGAAGTGCCACACGCCGGCCATGTACTCACGAAGACCAGAAGACATGCAGAACCACTGCGGCCTTACGTAGAGACACATGCTGACCGTCTCAGCGTCGTCCAGTAACTTCGGAGGTGCGAGACGCACAACTGCAGCAATAGCCTCGTTTGTGGCCCAGTACGAGAAGTAGATGCAGGCGAGTACGAATCCAACAGCGACGGTTTCGGGTGGTCCTTGAACTGCCATGACTATGATGAACTGGAAAACGCCAATCAGACCGATGGAGATGGCCATCAACCGGCGTCGACGTATGACGCGGCCAACATCCTCGATATCTTGGAGGACGATACTCCCCGGATCGTGCTGCTCACCCGCGCCCGCGATGTTTCTGTAGGAACGGTACCGTGCAGCGGAGACACTCAGACACGCTGTGGACAAAGAGCATTTGTATTTGAGAATAATCCGAGTAAGTTGCCTGTATATAGCGACAATGTCCAGAAGACAATAGAGAGGCGAGAAGCGCCATGTAGCGATGGCTCCCTCGAAGATGAAGGAACCGGCTGGTTGAAAAACACAGCTCAACTGTAATATGAAGATGCCTGAGAATGCGCTACCCGAAGACCAAGTGTTCTGCGAGCCGGGAGATGCTTCTTGAGTTACGTCGAGATTTGAATGTTGCCTTATCAATGGAATGATGGCAACGTATTTTTCGATGGAAGCTGCATATCCCTGTATAATTATCTCAGCAGCGGAAGCGATCAAGAGGCTGCAAGTAGTGTACGCAAGCATAGACATGATAGCTTCATACTGGGATAGGTCCTGAGATGGGTCCTGAGACTTCGAAGAGATTGTAAGGCTACCATAAAGTGGAATCATGGCGGTGCTTTGCAACAATGCGGTTGAACGACAGGGAATTTTTTTTTGTTCGTGGTGCTGACGTGAATGCATGACGGGAATTTACAATCCCTTGCTTAAGACGCGGCAGATTGTAAGCAAAAGCACAAAGACAAAATGAGACAGGGTGATGTTCGAATTTAACGAAGACGCGAAAACGTACAACTGACTAATGTGGCCGGTTGAAATGCTCAGTCTTATTGTGGCTGTGATTACTATACGAGGCACACACGGTGGTGACACTGGTGGCTACAGCAACACTGACAGAGGCAATAGGTTAAACCTTGCTCATTATCACTCGCTTGCATAATTGGCTTCTGGTTTTGCACGCAATAAAACGTTTAGCCTGCACACCTCCTGTCGCGGGCCGTTACGCAGGTCTAAATGGGCAGGAGAATGGAGTATGTGGCTGGCGTGTAGCACTTTGTTGCTGTTGGCGTACTTGTAGCAGCATTGTTGGTTTGAAACTAGATTTAAAGGGTCTTACTATCCGTTTACGCAAGCTAAGAAACCTACTTTGCTAAAGAATACTATAGATACTTGAATATTTAACACCTATAACTTAACCTGCCTTAAGCTTTGACTTTCTTTTCGACTTCAAGTGCCATACTCCTCCAAGTATGATTCCCAGTACGAATAACCCGCCCAACACTGCACTAGAGATCTGCCCGCCATTCAGATGGGCGCGAACTTGGATGGGGGGTGGCTGGTACTGATCGGATCGCGATTGAAGATAGAAGAATGTATGATCTGGATCTCGACTATGAGGCGGGGGCAAATTGCGAAATAGGTAGCAATTAAGGAAGCCTTGTTGAAGACCGCTATCGAACGTTGCTGCAATGCAGGCGTTCTCTACCTCGGAACATCTATCCATGCAACTCTGGACAGTCTTTTCATGGTACGCGGCTAAGAACGGCACTTTGCTGTTGTTGAGATCCCGGAAGTCGTCGCGTGATATTTTAAACGATCTACCACTGCTGTCGACCTGAACTGAGTCGTTCTTCCAATTTGGTTTATCGAGAACATTTATGACGGTTATTCCCGAGTGTGCCATCGTTCTGGTCCAAGGAACAAGTAGATCGTCTCCACCTGACTTCGCAAGCCAGCAATTGAGCCATCCCAACCCTACCAAGTCTGCGCCATAGATAAATCGAGCGCAGAGAGGGTGAGAGCTGGAGCAACGCTCCATGCACTCATCCAGAGACTTTACATGCACCTTGTCAAGGATTCCTACGCCGTGAAAGCGAAAAATGCTTCCACAGAATATCTTGAGATCCATACCGAGTCGTGATTTTTGCAAGGACATGTTAGGGTACGGACAGGCGAAGTCCGCCCTCCGTTGCTCATACTGCTTTTCAGAGGCCAAAGCAGAGATGCCAGAGACATGAGACACCAAATCGGACTTTGTCACCGAAGTATCTTTTAGATAACACTTTTTATACACAAATATCCATACTACACCAAGACAGGCTGGACCATGCTGAGTACAAGTGTCGATGCACTCTTGCAAGGTTGCCATTTCGCTATTGTCGCGATCATGTGCCACGATGTCAGAATTACAATACTGGGTGTAATTTAGACCTTGCAAGGAGGTAATAATCGTGCCGTTCGTGCAATCTTCAGGACTCGAGTTCCGAGGAAAATCTAGGGAATGACATCTCATTAGCATGCTGCATACATATTAAACTGGCTTGACTCACAGCGTGTGACAGTCTCATTCATCGTGAGACTGCAGCTCTAGTGTATTCAGATGACGAATGCTTCCACAGATGACTCGGGAAAGCTGGCTCAAGAAAGTGCGGCTTTGAATATGCTGTCGATCAAATGCTGCAGCGTAAAGACAACATACACTGCTTAACCGTCTTCTGCGTGGATGGGATATGGCTACCTCTGCAAGATTTGCGTGATCTAAAGGCTGTACACGAATTTGTTTGTTGTTGAGAGGAGAATGTGACGGGTGATGGCGAATATGAATGACCTAATGGGGGACAAGGCTGAGCCAGCGCTGAGGCACACTCCCAGCTGTCAGAGCTCGGCGCAGCGCGTCTGCTTCCAATAAATAATGCACAGCCTTAGTTCAGCCAGAAAGTCTTGTGGCTGCATGAAAATGATGTTGATGTGTTGATTGGATAGATTAACATTGAGAATAGTGAGGCAAGACTGGTTATGGCAGGGGTTCGCGAGAGCGGCCGCAAGGCTGAGGCAGCCTTGTGTCTTCCGGGTATGCGTGTGATACCTTGCCTGTAAAAGACGCCCTGTGGCAGATACAGCGTGTCGTTACTTATAAACATCAAGTCTTTGTGAGACTCACACCATTTTTCAAGCCTGGCAGATAGTACTGCAACCATGCCAGTCATCCCAGCGGATCCGGAGCTTGGTAATGCGTCGCCCAGTATCAATGGGGGCCTATCGGGTGAAGCTAAGAGTAAAGGTTGAATACACAGGTATATATTATTCTTAACATCGATAAAGCTAACTGGACGATGAGGATCTCGTATGCGCGCTAGGTCGACTCCAATCTTTCTTTGGCTCCGACGAGTTGTTACGGCCCTCTGGAGTGATACCAAAACAGTTTGCTCGGACCGCATCACCAGAGTAGTAGATCTGCCCAGAAAGATCATACGATCGTCTATTGCTTGGGTGCTAAGCTGGCGCCTAGTTTGTTGGATGAAGACGGTATACCATCGAGCTGAGGCATTGTTTCCGGGGTGGGAACTAGGGGTCGTTGCTGCCATCGTAGTCGCTTTTGCCTCATTAGTTTTGCACATTGTATTTGTTGTAGCTGTTTCCATCAAGTTTAAGCCGAGATCAAATGGCCTGGGAACCCTATGGGAAGGGAACTGCAATGCCGTGGATTGGGTCAACAAGGTTGTGCATGGCTTGATCAATTTGTTAAGCGCAGTGAGTCTAAAATATACCTACCAGCTTGGATTTATTCCACTTGAATCGTACTAACTTGAGTCCACAGATTCTCATCGGGCAGTCTAATTACTGCATGCAACTTCTGGCTTCTCCTACTCGAAAGGAAGTGGACTTCGCGCACAAGAACCGCAAGTGGGTCGATATTGGCATACCGAGTTTTCGAAATGTCTGGCAGGGCCATATTGCCCGCCAACGAATAATCTGCTGGCTGCTTCTGAGTTTTGCATCCTTGCCATTGAATCTATTGTTAGTCTTTTGTCTTGAGGATTGTACTAGTTAACAAGCTGATTTAAATTTAGATGGAATTCGGTAATCATATATTCGCCCGTCGCCTATCAATATAATCAACTCACAGTCACTGACGGCTTTGTGCGTGGTTTACCTTTTGATGACAATAACAACAACACAGGGCTGGCAATAATCGATTACGCCACAGAAGGTCCAGGAGCGGTTTGGCCTGATAATCTTCAATTTCTCCAGCAAGATTTACTGGCCTACGAAAGACTGGAGAACGACGACTGTAAAAAGAAGTACGCACAGTTTTTCATTACGGATCGATCTGACGTTATAGTGGTTACCAGACCATCTACACCCGACTCAAACAGATCGACGGTCCTGGGCGGAGCTGGGGCTGGATGGGGTCAATGGCCATATCAATGGCTTTGTCCGCCGGAGGTACGCCAAACCCTCGATTGCTCCAAGACACTGCAGAGTCCGGGAAATGACTGGAACTTTCCCAATTATGGCAAGCCAAAGGTGGAATACTGCCTGAGCAAAAAGATGGAAAAGAAGTGCAAGCTCGAATACGGCGTTTTGGTCGGTAGCCTTACCGTTGGAGCGATCGGCCTGAAATTCTTGCTCTTCGTTGCTACCTACGTAGTCCTCAAGCTAAATTCCAAAACGGCGAATAAATCCGGGGCCCAGATTGATCGGATGATGCAGCCTCTGGTAACAACGGGCGACGCAATCGCTTCTTTTCTCGAGATTGAAGATAAAACAACAATCGGAATGAGCATGGCCGAAAAAGAACACTTTGAAAACGGCATTTGGGATCATCACTGGATACGCATTAGTCCGATGCCTTGGCGTGAGCGTCGTCCTTGCTCCCGCTTTCGCGCCATAGGGGTCCGTCGATGGTTGGTCGGGATGGTCATGTACGCCCCCACAGAAGTTTTCGGTCATCAAATGCTGACATGACCCTCAAGATTGTTGATCATTCCGATGCTCCCGCTCTGGTTTCTCGTGTCGAAATATTCATGGCTAAGGGACGACCTAGCTTTAGACATTGGCGCTATTCGAGAGCTAGGCTTGGGTAACCCGAGCGGCCTTTTCCTCTTCGGTGTTTGGAATGGCGACATTCAGACGGACGACTCCGTATCTTTCCAAACAGAGGTGAGCGCAAAAGACACTTTGCGTAACATTGTGGCGTCGAACTCTCCTCAATTAGCGCTCGCCCTTGCGTACTTTATCTGGAACAGTCATATCACGGTCATGATTTCGGCGCGCGAGTATACCATGTACGCTGCATCTACCAAATGCATGAACGATACACAGTATCACCAACCGAAGCATGCTCTCCGCTTAACATATGTCCGCGAAGGAACACAGCAGCGCAATTCACATTTCTTCGCCATTCCTTTGAGGTACTGGATCCCGATAACAGCACTTTGGACGCTCTTACAATGGCTCGCCTCTCAAGCGGTTTTCTTCGCTCGACTCGACTTACTCAGCCACTGGCTTCAAGTATCGGAATACTCCATTTCTCAGGTAGGATATTCAGTACTCGGCATAATATGCTTCACAGCAGTCTCCTGCGTTGTGTTTATCTCTGGGTCAGTGCTCTCGATCAAAAACATTAACAATGAGATGCCACTCGCCGCCACCTGTAGCGCAGCTTTGAGCGCAGCGTGTCATCCGAAAGATCCAACGTTGAAGCACTTTGAGAAGAAGATTCATTGGGGAGTCGAAAAAGCAGACGACGAAGCAATCACGGGTGGAATTGATGGGAGAGAACCTTTGGAACGATGCACCTTTACGAGTCTCGAGGCTCGATATCCGACCACAGGTAGTTTTTACGCATAATGCTCGTGAGTGAGAGACAATAGTTGGACTAAATTCACATGAAGTGAATTCGACTCATCTACTACCACTAAGCAATATACACCTCTGATAATAGAGAGTTTTGATTGAACAGCTTTCATATTTATATTCCAGTACGAGCACATCTTTCGCAACTAGCTACCAACATGACTGACTGAGCCGCGCAAACCAACTGATCATCAAAACACCCTTTCAGGGGACCGTAAGGTAATTATCGTTCCATCATTATCGGCGACATAAGCTCTACTGCGAGTCAGAATTCATTCGCTTTCTCGAAACTATATCGTCAGAAATACACTCACATACCTCAAAATCATGTCTCTCTATCCAGAAAAACAAGACGGCGTTTGCACCGCTTAGCACCACTCGACAGAGGCCTTGCAGCAGAATGGGAAGACATTGGTACCGCTAGAGCCCGAGCATTGCCTGGGGAACTCAGGAAGGCACGAATCCTGCGTAGCTGGGCGGATGTAGCAACCGCTGTTGCCAATCTCGGTCTGGGGTAGGGCAAAGGTGGTCGCGGTGAGGCCGGCGAAGAGCAGGGCGTAGATGTTGAACTGCATCTTGGTTGTTGTTGAGTGAGAAGGGTTTTTTTTTATAATTGTCGAGAAGTATAAGTTTTTGAGAGCAATTAGGTTCAAATTAGAATAGCTGGGGATGGAGAGCAACTCTGCAGCAGCAATTCGAAATGCAAAAGTCCAGCGTCTTTTATACAGTAGCTGCCCTCGTCTTTTTCGCACGCTTCCTTGATGATAGGCAGATGTGATATCAACGTAGCATAGAACGATCTTTGCCTGATTATCTCTGTGCCTCCGTTTGATGGCGACTCGGCATGTCAATCCCTATAAAGAAGTGGAACCCCTCTACCCATTCCAGGCTTGTTCCCCTGATATAATCGCGGATCACTTTCTCGGCTGGGGACTGTGAACTGCTTTGAGCGAACACGATCTCCTTCCAGTAATTAGTCCCAAGATTAAGTTATGCATTACTCAATAAACAGGGGTCGTCGGATGCGGGGAACGTGACTAGTTCGGCAGCTTCCGAAATTTGAACTAGGGACCAGAATCGAAGCCGGTTTTATTTGATTGGGAAACATGGAACACGCCCGATAAGTTTTCCCGACTGGGAGCACTTCTTCAGGCTGCAGGTCTTCATACCCTGAAGTGCACTCTTGGTCTTGCCTAATGTTGATAGCTTGTGACTGGCATGCGTCAACATATAATATCAATGGAACGGACAAGCCTATCGGTTAGACGGTAATCACACAATTCCAGACGAATGCGCAGCTTGAACAATCATGAGAATGCGGGTATGTTCAAAGTATTGATGGGTTTGAGTTGTACCGCTGCGCGTACATTCACGCGGTGGGTATTATGTATGTGACTGGCTAGATAACAAAGTAAAAAATATATGAACGAAAGCTCTTGTACTGATGATATCGTGAAATGTTTGCGTACGCCACTGGCGAGTGGAGGAGAGAATACTGCTTCGGGGTACCGTCAACAGTGAAACCTTGCCAGCTCTGTGTCCCTCACAATTGGCTGGACTTCCCCAAGGTCACGTTTCTTCTCATCTCAGTGCACTGCACTGAGCTCGCTCTACGGCACGCTCGCACTGCGAGCATAAGCTTGAGCTTGTTCCTTTAAAGTAAATTTTTGAGTGAACTCCCATTAAATCAAATAAGACTCCACTTCAGTATATCATGGTAGATGATCGAGGCGTAGACTGGCCACTGCCAGGATTGGGCCATCGAAACATGGTGAACGGTGCGTCCGGATCGTCACTTGTCGCAACGAAAATGCCTTCGTCCGAGTATCCATTCCTTCCCAGGAAGCTCTTCAGCGAGGTGCGTCGCGAGCCACGAACTTTGTTTACTGGCGGCGGTCCTGCAGATCGTGATGCGCGGTTCTGCATGGACGACCGCGTTCCAGTGGCGGTGTGTGGGCTGAGGTTTGAACACGAGGAGTTGTGGGATTGGGAACGACCTTGAGATTGCGCTACAAAGGTTCTGAAGGATACTGGACGTGAGTTTTGTGCATAAGGTGTAGGTATGTCCTCTAGTTTTGGTGGAGGCGATGGTGGTGCTTCGGATATATCGGATTGGTAAGAAAAGTGTCGTGTGGTACGCTGGTGTATGGATGCCATTTCGGATCTTGCATATGATTGATTTGCTCTCACTTGAACTCTGGTTGGAGAACAGTTTCTGAATGAGGGATTAGATTCGTCTCTTGAGCTTGCCATGCGTGTAAGCTGTGACGCCGCTGTAACCGGTCGAGAGTAGTTGGGAGGTGTGGGAAAGAGAGACCACGTTGGTACTGGTAGCGAAGAAGACCGTGGGCCAACAGTCATTCTGGGGTTGGAAACTCTTTGTGCTGAGATTGCGGTATGATATGTGGGAAATCCATCTACAGGACTCGATGGGCCAGAGGACATCCCCACGGCACTGTCGTCGCGAAATCCAGTCTTGGGCGATATGGCACTGGTGCTATCAAAGGAGTGCACAGTCCTTAGCTTCTTCAAACGAGGTATCTCCTCTATCGATACTGGTGTGTGCACTTGTCTACTGCGATCATCCTGTGGTGTGGCGGTTCCTGAGCGGGCAGATGCTGAGCGTTGACGAATCTCGGGCTCCTCGCTCGACCTTGTCTTTCTGTTCTTGATCCAGGTGAAGATCCCATCTTCAGTGAAACACATGATGAAAATGTGGGTGATCCAGCGTCACTGTCACTTGCTTGAGCGTTTCAAAAAATGGTCGTCCGATGATCTGGCAGTAGTGCGTTCTGGGGGGTTATGTTGCTTTTATTGAATTGTTCGGAAAAGGAAATGAAATGGATCAAGGTGTAATGCTGCCTCACGATCTCAGTTTACTCCTCCTTCATTGGGAACATGGTTGTAAAGCTTACGCTGGAGTTTAGAATAGATGTAACAGGGTATTAAATCGTCCAAGACGCGTAGTATGTGATAAAAGGAAGAAGTATAAGTTATGGCATAAATTAATGGTCGTTGATCCGCAAAGAGCCGAAGGATAGGAGAAAAGAAAAAGGATTAAGAGCCTCAGATAGCGAGACAGTCCATTTTGAGAGCCAGTCACCAACAGACTGGCGTCTATACATGTATCAGCCATGGCCATGGCAGCTCAAGCTAAGAATATGCGCGAATAGCTAGACACCTGTTGGAGGTTTGACCATCCCGAACCAAATTAGTGCGGACGCTATCGTCGAAGCGTGAAACTCTGTCAGATCTAGAGGATAGTCTGTGACCGGGGAATTAATCGAGGTCGATAGGTGCTACTCCCGATAGAGTTTGATTGGAAGCTGAAATCGCTGTGACCCTCGGCTCTTGGACAAGGGACCTCTGTTTTCCTGCAAAACTGGCAATCGATATTTTGGTTGAACTCTCACCCAAAACACGCTATTGCGATAGGCGTTAATGTCACGACTCGACCCACTCCATCATGCGTGTCTTGGTCTCTGTCAAAATCACCGAACGTCAACGTTGAGCAGACTTCAGCTGCCGTTGATAGGTGAAGCAGATCTCGGAACCAGGCGGGGGATTGGCGAAGCGCCGAATGGTCGATGTCTTGGAGAAATTTCAGTAGTAACGGCTTTGTTCAGTAGATCATCCGGGAGATGTGCATGCTCCCGCAATTTCTCGCCGCGGAACCCGAACTCGTCAATGTCTCCCTGTTTCATCGCAAGAGAGAAGACCAGCAGAGCACGACCCTGCGCTTCCGCCATTGAGTTTCCACTCTTTTGGACTCGCCCTGTTTAAAGCACCACCACGCCGGGAACAGAATGAGATGAAGGGTTTGGAATTGCGGAGAGGTGGATTGGGCCTGGTTTCGGACAGCTTCGATGCAAAGAGAATCGATTGAATGAGGAGAAGATGCAGTCAGCGCTGGCTGGTTTTCACCGGACCTGTCAGCAAGTAGATCTCGTAGTAGGACAGACAATGTTGCTGCACATGTGATAGTGATGGGGCAATGCACCCACTTGCTAGCAGCATCACCGCCAGGCACCAGGTACGGATCCAAGAACCGATCGTGTGCACTCTAGAAAGTGCACTTTCAGAGTGACGATCACCGACTTATTCATGACAGGATGTGTGCGTAATCATTGAATGCTAATGTGAGCGTACTGTGTAATTGGTGATGGTGGTTGTGTGTATTAAGTAGATGAGGGCTTTCAGAGTAGAGACAGCCGGCCTGGATACACAGATGTTGCGCCGCGTCTCCAGAATGAAGCAGCGAAACGTGTGTGAACGTGTTTTTTTTTTCTTTCTTTCTTGTGGTAACTAGATCAAACACTGACATACAAAGCGACATGAGATGGAAAGCTGTCACGGAATGTCGAAATCGTGTCAGGCGTGCGTCTAATTGGTTTGGGCTATTTCAAGTGGGCCAATCAACACGTACGCGTTATCGATAATGTCATGTCGGAATCAATGACGTCGCGCGATAATCCGACGAATCGGAAGACCTCTAAAAGCCGTATCGTCAGCGGGGAATGTTTGTAGCATACAGCTTCCATACACAACACATATTCAGATAGACAGAGACAGCCGACTTTTACGTGAATTGTTCTATGCAGTCATTACGTCTCGTTCATCGAAGCCTCAAGCCAATACGATTCCACCTCTATACCAAGCCAGCAGCAGCGTATTACAGTAGCACAAGCATTCGGAACATGGCGCAAGAGTACAAGCTCAAGGGCATCTCATCGCTCAACTTGAAGAACGGCGACAAGCAGGAGGTCGAGGTCGAGGGTGTTGAGGGCGGCAAGGTGCTTCTGTTGAAGGTGCAAGATCAGGTCCATGCCACCTCAGCAAACTGCACACATTTTGGAGCACCATTGAAGAATGGAGTTTTGACACCAGAGGGACGGTTGACATGCCCATGGCACGGGGGTATGTTACCTTATTATACTCCATCTATCTCTGAGATATCTTAGTTGATAACAATCGCAGCTTGCTTCAGTGTCTCCACCGGCGACGTCGAAGACGCTCCCGCGCTGGACCCTCTCTCCAAATACGAAGTTTTGGAGAAGAATGGCGCCGTTTACGTGAAGACTGATGAAGATACTCTCAAAGCCAACCGAAGGTTCTTGAACATAAAATGCTCGGCAACGAGCAGTGACAAAGTCTTAGTCATAGGCGGGTGAGTGCTCCCCTCTAACTACAAAATTGGCTCAAGAGATTGGATCTAACTGATATGTAAATAAAGTGGTTCTGGAACATTGGGCGCAATCGAAGGCCTTCGAGGAGGCGGGTACAAAGGTGCCATCACTGTGCTTTCCAAAGAAGGATACCGACCTATTGATCGAACAAAGCTCTCCAAAGCTCTGCTTGCTGACGTCTCCAAAGCTGCATGGAGACAGCCGGAGTTCTACAAAGACGCGTCCATAGACATTGTTGAGGAGGAAGTCAAAGGCGTAGACTTCAACGGGAAGAAGGTTTCGACCAAATCCGGCAAGACCTACGATTATAGCAAGCTAATTCTGGCAACGGGCGGAACGCCGAGGTGGCTACCAGTCGAAGGTCTGAAAGGGGACTTGGGCAACGTGTTTCTTTTGAGGACGCTACCGGATACGCAGGGCATAGTCAAAGCCGTTGGTACGTGTTTTCAATATGCAGTCGGCCAGGCTTAACAGGGCAAGAGTCATATGCAACTGGATCATACTGACTCTGAGTTCCAGGAGACAATGGAAAGAAAATTGTCGTCGTGGGCAGTTCGTTCATTGGTATGGAGGTAGGGAACTGCCTGGCCAGCATGAAGAACGATGTTACAATCGTTGGCATGGAACAAAGTAAGCAAGCTTCTCATTCTGTGCGCCGCATCATACTAACTGAGCTCAGCCCCATTGGAACGTGTCATGGGCAACAAGGTTGGCAAAGTATTCCAGAATCTTCTCGAGAAGAACGGCGTCAAGTTTCAGATGGGAGCCAGCGTGGACAAGGCGACCCCCTCTAAGAGCGATTCATCTAAAGTCGGGGCCGTGCATCTCAAGGACGGCACCGTCCTGGACGCCGATATCGTCATTGAAGGCGTGGGCGTCGCGCCCGCAACCGAGTACCTCAAAGACAACTCGAGCGTCCAGCTCGAAAAGGACGGTTCCATCTCGACCAACGAAGCCTTCGAAGTCAAGGGCCTTCGAGATGTCTTTGCCATCGGCGACATCGCAACATACCCGTACCACGGCCCCGGAGGCAAAGGCACTCCGACGCGCATAGAACACTGGAACGTGGCCCAGAATGCCGGGCGATCGGTCGCCCACTCGATCAACAACCCAGGCTCCAAGCCCAAACCCTTCATCCCCGTCTTCTGGTCCGCGCTCGGGTCGCAGCTGCGATACTGCGGAAACACAGTCAACGGATACGACGATGTGGTCATCCAGGGCGACACGGCCAAGCCGTCGTTTGTGGCGTACTACACGAGCGGTGAAGAAGTCGTCGCCGTCGCTTCCATGATGAAAGATCCTTACATGACGCAGAGCGCCGAACTCATGCGCAGGGCCAAGATGCCGTCCAAGAGCGAGCTCCAGAACGGCGTCGACATTCTCGAAATAGGGGTTCCGTCCTCCATCAAGATGTAGAGGGTTTACCCCAGCAGAATGCAAGAATGGAAAATGCGTAGAATGGACACGGCTGTATATCGGCCGCGCAAAAGCTCGACTAGAAAGCCAAAACGAAGCAATGTCGTTGTGACTAGTATATAGTACTGTCCTTCTAGATTAGGGGGGGGGGCGGAAGTGGGGCTACCAGCGCAACGACCACAAACGGTCGAGTAGAAATCCAAAAAGAAAATAAAAGCCGAAGACGGGGGAGCAGAATGTAAAACAAACGAATGACGTCAAGCGTTGGATCTATTTACGTGTTGTTTCTTCCAGATGTCTTCTTCTTATGTTTTCTTCCTCCGATGTGTGGTCACGTGACATGGCGAGGATACATACCTACATGTACCTAGGTATGTACCTAGGTACATAGGTAGTGGTTGCAATGTTTGATGTTGTGTTTGACTCATGCGCCAGCCATTCTCTCTCTCTCTCTCTCTCTGTCTCTCAATCAATCAACCTCCGCTACTTCAATCACAACATCGACTTCAAACTAGACCCTCCAACACCATTCCCAGCTCAAACATGGTCATGTCAACTCGTAACATGCGAGACCCGTCTAAAAGGATATAAAGTCTATGCTAGCAGAGAACTTATTTCATTAAGTGGTGAGTAGTTTGCGCTTAAAAGGGGAACATGTTATACAGTGAGAATTGCGAGGGGGGTGATGGGGGATGAAGGGCTAGTGATAGAAGACGATAAGAGTATTAAAGGTAGTGGAGATAGAGGGGGAAGTAGAGAGAGAGAGTGTTGAGATGGGAATGAATCAGAATCGCAAGGATATATAAAGTTGGGAGAGGAGGAGAGGAGGGGAGGGGAGGGGGATGTTTTGTTTACTCTTTCTGCAGCGTGTTGACGATGGATATGTGTAACAGAGGTAAACAAAGCAACGCAAATTCCTACGAGCGCATATATTATACCACATTTTTTTTTATTATTATCCACCGAGGCCTCCAGAAAAGGTATGTTTCAGATTATATGCGAGGATGTGAGGAATGATGTGGGATAGTGCAAGATGATCAGAGGGGATGATGCCAGCATACTTTAGAACATCATGCTCTTCTCTATAGTTGTTCACATGTTTCGCATCCGCCAATCACGCCTTCCCAAGAATTATATTAATAGACGGCGCAGCGAACCCAAAGCGAGATTTCCCTCGGGAAAAATGTCGTCAGATAACGACAGCAGAATTGTCTTAGCGGGTACATGCCTGCTATATGTAGCGAAGTAAACAAAGGGATGCTTATAAATAATGACAACGTAGACTGTTGGAGACGAATAGTAGATGGTGTTATAGGGGAATGTGTGTAAGGATGGAGTTGCCCACCCTGGTCGTTCATCAGGTCACGTCACGTCAGATGTGATGTGCTCGTTCACGTGGGGGAGGTGAGAAGGATAGAAAAAAAAGGGGGGGAGGGAGAAGGAAACAAAAGAAAGATGGATCGGGATCATGCACATGGTATGACGATGATGTGTGTATAGTACAGGTCAAGCAGGGAAGAACGCTGTGGATGCTTCTTGTGCTTTGCGTTTGGGAGCCAGGGATGAAAGCGCATTGAGCGAGCGAGCGTTGGGTTTTTTTTCCTTTCGTCGATTCCTCGGAGGATCTTGGGACGGTGGACGTGGGTGAGCTGGGTGGGTAGGTTAGTGTTTAGGTCGACAGCCGGGGATGGCAAGGTAGAAGTGGGCTAGCGCTAGGGCATAAGGCAGAAGGCAATTTGCGCAATCGCTGGAAATCCCGGGGCGAGCGAGAGAATGGAAGAGAGAGAAAGAGACTGTGTGAGAGAGAGCATGGGGATTGTTGTTGCCAGGACCGGGGTTTTTGAGAGTTTGAAACGCACTTGTTGGTGCTGAGGGGTGGTCATTGCTTTTTAGGTTGCTGGGTTGCTAGCTTTGTACATGGATGGATGGGCGTATGTTTTTATTGTAGCTTGTTTTTTTTTTTTTCTTCAAGTGTAGTTTTTCTTTTCTCAAGAGTTGGGCATTGGCCGGACGGACGGAGGTGATGGGGGAACACGGGGTGGTGTGTGCGTTGTGTTTGTTTGTTTATGCATGAATGACGATTTGAGGGAGTGATTGATTGGCAACATGGGTCATGGTCATGGCGGTTCAGAGATGGTTTGGAGAATGATGATGCGAGAGGGATGGTGGATGAATGGTGGTAGGTGTGGGCCGTGGGAGGTGGTGTTGAAGTTGTTGACCGGAGCATGTGGTCATTAGGTACATAGATGGATGGCTAGCGATAGCCGCCGCCGCCGCCGTTCTGCACGCTACGGAGACTAAGCCGTTATCCATCAGACCGTCATGGTGGAAGAGGGAATAGCGGCGCGCAATTGTCCACGACATTAATCAAGCGCTGAATAGCTAGTCAGCCAGCTATTGATTGCCGCAGATGTGAGCAGGAAATGTATATAGGTAGGTAAACAGGATGGACAGGTACCTGTATGTGCATTGCATTATTACATGTACATGTGCATGTACTTGGATCATGGCCTTTGTGGTGATGCATTCGGTACCTGACTGCCTGGCTGGGCGGGTACCAAAGCGCCGTTCAGGCACGCGCCTCGATGCAACACCAATGGCCGCCGTGGTCCCCAACGACGATGATCCTCGAAGAAGCCGTTGATTGAATCCATGGCCGCTGGTAGCAGCAGCATGTCGTAGACATAGGCTGGGCGGGCAGTTGTGTTCAACAACCAAGCTCGCACGCAGGCAAGCAGGCCGTCCGTGTCGACGTCGAGCAAAAAGAGGCCGTTCCCCTTTTCAATCCCCATCTCATCTCGTTTAATAACACGGCTGCTAGCCCTTTAGAGTTCACTTCAGCCGCGTCTCCTCCTTCCGTCGTCACTCTCCCTCTCTCTCGTTCGCTCGTTCGCTCTTCGACCGCCTTGTCTGCCGGACTGGCCTGTCTGCGATTAATACCTACATACCTACATACTTTGTTGTTGTTGTTGTCGTCGCTCTGCTGGCCTGCAGAATTCGCACCTCCGTCCGCTCGCTACCGCCGCCTGCGCGCGACTACACTACTACTCAACTGTACTGTACTGTACCTTGCTGCACTGTACCTTACTTGCCGTGTACCAGTCCACCTTCCCCATCTACCTACTTCTCCTACATACCTACCTACCTACCGACCCTACCCACCGTGTCACCTCACCCTTTCTTTACACACCACCGTCTGGCCGCAGAACAGAAGGACTCGACTCCCTCCCTCCCTCTCCCTCACCCCCATCTACTACAACACACCGTATCCATCCACCCACCGTCCACCCACGCACGCGCATCCACATACACACCTGGGCACACACACGCACCTGCATGTGACTGATCAGCGACCCACTCCCGCCCGACCATGTCTTCTGCCGCCGTGCAACAGAGCGGGCCCGCCATCGCCAACAGATCCTACCAGCAGCCCGCGCAGTACTCAACCACCACCACCACAACAACCACAACACAACAATATCCTCACCACCCCCACCAACAGCAGTCGTCTGCAGGCGCTTCCAGTGCTGCCGCCGCGAGAAAACCCTCGCGGAAGTCGAGCAATGGCGCGTCTCCCAACACGCCAACCACCCCCCAATCAGCTCGCCCATCTTCCGACGTGTCTAGCTCCAACAACAACTTGACCGCTAATCGACAACATCCCCCCACCACATCGCAATACTCACCCTCCGCCATGCCCTCCGCCGCCAGCGCTCCAATGCCTCCTCCGCGCTCTTCTTCTCACCGCTCCGCACAAAGCCCAACCACCCCGCGCCAGGATCCCTCGCGCAGGAAAGATAAGGAAAGTCCCCGTCATCATGGAGCTTCCTCTAGATCAAAACCGTCCCCCTCACAACCTTCACACAGCCGCTCCGCATCCGCAGTCGGTCAGCCTCCCACCGGCACCACCCTTCCCCGCGAGGAGAGCACCGTCATTAACAGGATAGTAGTCGCAGACCCACAGGAGGACGTTGCCCGCGAGCGCGCCCGCCAGGCTGAAGCTGTGCCTGCAGCTTCCGGCGCCGACATCACCCCCATCACCGGTCTGGGTCTCGTTGGCAGCGAAGGCGTCGATGATGGTGGTCGCGGCGCGGGACGCAGTCGTCAAGACCATTCTCAAGGTGCATCTAAGCGCTCAAAGTTTGGCAACTACATTCTGGGGCAAACATTGGGCGAGGGCGAGTTTGGCAAGGTCAAGATGGGCTGGAAAAAGGATAGCAGCGTCGAGGTTGCCATCAAGCTGATAAGAAGAGAAACGCTCGGAGGGAACCAGAACCGCCTGCAAAAGATCTACCGTGAGATCCAGATCCTCCGAGGACTCGAGCATCCCAACATTGTCAGACTGCACGAGATGGTGGAGACGGAGCGCCACATCGGCATCATTTTGGAGTACGCGTCAGGAGGCGAGCTCTTCGATTTCATCCTCAACCACCGCTACCTCAAGGACGGCGCTGCACGTAGATTGTTCGCCCAGTTGATTTCCGGGGTTGGGTACCTGCACAAAAAGGGCATTGTACATCGCGACCTCAAACTGGAGAACCTGCTGTTGGATCGGAATCGGAACATCATTATTACGGATTTCGGATTCGCCAACACATTCGACGCCAACGATGAAGTCGGCGAAGAGATCGAGTTCAACTTGGGCAACAAGGAGTTTATCAAGTCATTGGGACTCGAGGGAGGCGATGGTCCCCGCCGCGGGGATCTCATGCAAACCAGCTGTGGTAGCCCTTGCTACGCCGCCCCTGAATTGGTCGTCAGCGATTCATTATATACTGGTCGCAAGGTGGACGTATGGAGTTGCGGAGTCATTCTGGTAAGTCTGGCTATCTGAGAATGATCACACAGGCAAGAGGCTAACACATTGCAGTACGCTATGCTTGCGGGCTACCTACCTTTCGACGATGACCCAGCGAATCCGGACGGTGATAACATCAACCTTCTGTACAAGTACATCGTCTCCACGCCTCTCACGTTCCCCGAATACGTTACGCCGCATGCCCGCGATTTGCTCAAACGTATCCTCGTACCGGATCCCAGAAAACGCGCAGACCTGTTTGAGGTTGCCCGGCATAGCTGGCTGAGCGACTATGCACATGTCGTCAGCTTCATAACGTCCAGCGCAACCAACTCGAACGATATCCAAAAAGCCACCGGTCTCAATCGTACGTTCATAACTCTCCCCCCACTACAAGGTTTCAATCTGACTTTTATTCTAGACGATGCATTCGATACAGCGCCTACTCTCGCAAGAAGTGCCTCGGTTCGCGAGCCAGGCAAGGCATCGCATACGACCGTCTCTCCCGTGGGCGGGCTCACAGCCAAGCGGGAGCAAATCAACCAACAACCGTCAGAAAAAGCCAAGAAAGACCGGGACACCAAGCGCAGAACTGTGCAGGTCGAATATGTGGCACCTCAGTCGCAGACCACTCGCGGCGAAGCATCCCCGCCGAGCGCCCCTATGCCATCATCCAAGACTCGTGTCAAGGAGTCGGGACCCACCGAAGTGCCGTCAACAGACGGGTACAACGCGAGACCAAGCCGTTCGGCGGCAGGCCCAGCTACCGCAGCCTCTCCACAGTCGAGGCGGGAACCTCAACGATCTGTATCCGACTATACAGCCTTTGGCAACGTGCCTCCTACTTCTGCTGCGCGACCATCCACAGGTGGCACACTCGGCGCCAACTCAAGATTACCGTCGAGAGGCAACTCTTACAGTCAGCCATCCACCGCAGCCGTCGCACAGACGAACGTCGAAGGTCGTTTCTCTCAGCCCAAAGGCAAGCAATATCACATTTCCACGCCCGCAGCCCAACCCGAACCTGTCATGGGTCAACCAAGCATCAGTCAGCCACCCGCGCAACGGGTACAATCGATCCAGGCGGAGCACAAGGGCCACAAACGCTCGAATACGGTTAGTGAGACCTTTGGCAGAGTAGCCTCCATATTCTCGCCCCGCCAGACATCCTTTACACAAGATCCTAAAGCGTCGTTCACTTCCCAATCCTCAGAACATGGGCATGAGAAGAAGCCGCAAAAGCCCTACCCTCCTACGTCCATACCTGGATCTGTTGCCAATACTGACGCCTCCCGACAGAGTACAGAGTCGAGCCGACGAACGTCGTTTGGCTTTTCTCGCAAGAATGCGACAGAGTCAAGCAGCGGAGGGAAACCGTCCAGGCGATTTTCCTTGTTGCCCTCTTCATTGTCCAAGACATTTTCTTCAAACCACAGGGAAAGCATGCCTGCGTCGTCGCAATCAGATCGCCGGGGTTCCATGGCCGGTTCATCGCGGCCACGAGCTAGCTCCCGCCCTGGCATGGGTTTCGGACGTGGAGCAGACTCTAGGTCTCCTAGTCAGAGCACCACCGGAAGCAACGTTCCCGCCTTCTACGACGGACCGCATGAAGGCAACACCCGCGGGAGGGGGGGCCCATCGTCCGCACCCGCCAACCAAACCCACTTCAACCAGCCACCCATTGGGGACGACAAATTCCCCAACCCGAGGGATCCGCACCCAGCCTCGAATGCTCGGCCGTACCATTTCTCGAATGAGTCGGAATCGAGCGAACCTAATGCTCAGGTGCAAAATCAAACACATGCGCCTCAATATCCACCCGGTATGGGTAGTGATGGCACCGTTCCAGAGACTTCCCGCAAGGGCGTGCTCCAGAAAAGTAGGAAGTTTGTGGATGCGTACGAAGAGTCTGGCGGCAACAAAGGCAGCAGTGGAAGCTCCAAGAGAGTCATGGATTTCTTCCGGAGAATGGGCAGGCAGCGAGGTAAAGAAGACCGATGATGTGACAGTTTTTATTTTACAATTTTTCCCGTGAGAATTTTTATGTAATAGGAAGAGAAGAAGAAGAGCGAGCCGAGCAGGACGGTATGAGCAAAAGACAAGCAGGCAGGAAGAAAAGATGGATCTTTCAGATTCCACTTTCCAAACCCCCCCGCTCCGCGCCTCGCGCGCGCTATACCACCACCTACTCTGGTTCTCGCCTTTTTCCTCTTCTGGGTGGGTGTATAAGGGGGGTAATTCGGTTTTCATGTAATGGAATGGGCTATTATTGGGTGCTTTTTTTTTATAATGGAGAGGATGCGAGGAGGAGGGAAACCCTTTGAACTTGACAGAGAGGAGGAGAAGGATAGGATATGGTGTGTGAGATGGAGACTTTTGTAAGGGAAAGAGAGGGGATGGTTGGGGGTTAGGGGAGGGGGGGGGGGAGATAAGAGCACTCCATCCCTGCAGAGGAGTGGTGAGGATCGCTCTCTATTCCCCCCTTGATTAGACCACACAGTCAGTTATCGTAATGGAAAAGAGTTGAGAGAGAGAGAGAGAGAGAGAGACAGAGCTTAGAAGCTCGAAAAGCGAGGGTTTTTTCTGGTGAAAGTTTGAATTCCTCAATCAGTTGGTTGATTTTTTTTTTTCTCTTCTTCTTGTGATTCTCCTTTTTTATTTTTTCTCTCTCTTTCTTTAGCATAGTTATATCACGCAAAGTGATTTCTTTTTTCTTTCTTTTTTTTCTTTCTCTCTAATCTGTGTACTGTGTTAACTGCATCTAGTCTGTTATTTTCTTCTATTCTAGAACATTAGCAAAACTATTTAACTGCAGCTGTACGCGTATTGTAGGGATAAAGTTTATACAACGTTAGTAAGCTCTTTTTCCCTTTTTCTTCTTCTTCTTCTTCCGTGCACAAGGTCAATGGATGGATAAATAGATAGAAACAAGGATAATAAGTAGATAAACATAATAAGAGAAGAACATTCCTGATGCTATCTAAGTGATATTTTGTATTTTGTATTTTTTATCTTGTTCTTCTTCTTCTCTTTTTATCAGCCTCATCCTCATCTTCTCCTTCTATATACGAACATATAAAAAAAATGCCATCTTTTTGTTGTTGTTAGGTTTTTACTTTTTGTTGAGTCTATTATCTTTGCTTTGAATAATCATGCCTAAGTAACCAAGGTAGTAATGCGCGCGCAATCGCTTGCTTACGGGAAATGGCTCAGACCACGATTTGAGGATATAAATTAATATGGTAGATGATGATTGATGATGGAAGGACGAGGATATCAAGAAGAACAGGAAAGAATGAGAATAAGGGTGGATATAGGGGTGATGGTGTTATCAACTGCTGTTTGTACTGGTGTGCATGAGGAGGGATGGCGTGTTGGGAGTGTTCATACCGCCGCCGCCTCCACCACCACCACCACCAGTAGCATGGCCCTGTCTCTTCTTTTCCTTCTTCGCCCATCGTACTGGTTAAGAAAGTTAGTTATCAGGTGGCTCCGACGATTATTTGGCCGAGATGACGGAGAGAGTGGAACCAGGGAGGAAAGAATGAGGGGGGTGGGTAACTCACATCCACAAGCATTACATAACGTCTTGGGTCCATTGGGGCCTTTTCTCCACTCTGGAGAATCAAGAGTACCGCAGTCGGTGCATACATATTCATCTGCCATTTTCTGCTTCTTCTTCTTGTCTGACGAATTCCTGCCATCGCGATCCAGCGATATCTGGATACCGGCATCGCCTCGAATGAGCATGGGGCTATGTTCTCCCGTACTGATACCCTGCGAGCGCTCTCCGTCCCGATACCGAAGACCAGTCAACATCTCAATGGTTTCCAGGTGGTTGGAGCCCTCGTACCGCGCCATCTTGTCGTTTATGCTGTCGGGCCTGCTAGCTGCTAGCGCCTCGTCTAGATTTTGCCGGGTCAGGGCCGTGTTGGAAACAGCGGGTTTCGCTGGCGGAGGCATGGCGTTGTAGTCCGCGATGGCGCTCTCGCTTTCTGCCTGCCCTCCTGCCATGTCGGAAGATTTGACGGACGAAACGCCGTCCGTTTGCTTTGTGTGGACACTATCCATGGTATCCTGTTCGTCCTTTTCCTCGCGCTTGAGCTCGGCTATCCGCTTCATCAAGCGCTCGTTTTCGATCTTGTGTTCGAGGAAGGAATCAAGGAGGGCGGCGTTCTTGGTAGGGTAGGGTCGAGCCATCATGAAGAAGCCGCGACAGGCCAGACTATTCGGCGGAGCGAAGGAGCTTGGGTCGCTGCTGAGGTGGGGATGGCCATGGGCCTCGAAGATGATCCATGTTTTGTCTTCCTTGAGGAACCGGTAGAAGAAGCGGAGTGGATTCCCAGAGGCGATGGACTCGTTGAACTCTCTCACAAAGATGCCGCTGTCATCCGGGTGGATGTATTCGCCAACAAAGCGGCCGATGAGCTGGCCGGCATCCCATCCAGTCAGAGATTTACATGAGGGCGAAGCGTAGAGGATCCTGCCGTCCGGGGTCAGGATATGGAGGAAATCGCGCAGTTCTTCGAGGACACGCTGCGACCAATTTCTACGCTTGGTGAACTCGGTGAGGGTGCTGCCGGTGGTATTGAGGCTGGGGGCGCCGAAGCCCGTGGGCAAGGGGCCGGCGCCTGCTCCACTGAGGTTGCCATCTTGGGGCAAGGAGAAGATGTCGGACTGCGGGGGGGTGTTTGGTTGTTGGACCGTCTGCTGCAGCTGTTGCTGGTGGTGGTGGGAGAAGGGGGTGAAGGATTGCGACTGCTGGGGGTCGGCGGCGGCCAGGTCCATATCTACGGGCATCATGTCATCGAGGCCCATGGGAAGCTCGGAGGCTTGGTCGGCGATGGGTGTGAGGCCTGCCATCTGCTTGCGATCGCCAAGTTAGCCCTCATGTTCGGATCGGGATCGATGGACGCTCGATCGGGAGCGCGTGCCTCTTGGTAGCGGAGCACTGGCTGGCTGGCTGGCTGGTTTTGCGGCATACATACAGAGAAGGTGGGAGGGGCGGCGGGGGCTAAGGAGAAAGGGTGGTACCGACCTCTGCAGGCATCGACATGGCCATGGAGCCCCCATTATTCTGGTACATGGCGGGCTGCGGCTGGGCTGCGTCCTCTCCACCAGCAACAGACGGCTTTTGCTACAGAACGTCTCTGCTCTGTGCAGATTTGGGGGCAGAGACGTCGGGCCAGCGCGAGTATTCTGGGGATAGATGGGGCGCCGACCTTCGCCACCAACTAAGCAATTAGCAAAACGTTTAGCGATTAAATTCTGGCTGCCAGACAAGGCAAGATGGGCAGCCAAAAGCAGGGCATGGTTGTTTGCGTCGACTTGTCCTTGTCTGTTCTGCACGCCCCAAAAGGAGCGATAACATGCTGCCGGTCGTTGTGACAGTGGAGAGAGCCATCAAGCTGGAACATACTCAAGTGCTGTCATTCACCACGGCGACGGCATGCGATCCGTCTCGACCCCAGCCAGCCCGACACACAGAAAAGCCCCATGACGAAATGTCCGCCAGAACGCACGGGCCTCTGTCACGTGTGCGCGCGTCTCGCGTTTGCTTACATACGCCCGATTTTATTGTCCACTAGGCTGCAGCCGCGCTACCGACACGACTCACGCCTATCGTGCATGGAGACAATATCAACCTCGTCCAGAACTGCATCCACCTCAGCCTCTGTCGTCCACACGCCAAGTGTGTAGACACGTATACAAGGAAACAGAGGCTACGAGAAGAGTACACACCTGCAACGTCCGCGGCGACTCGCGCCCGAGACACCGTCATCATGTCCAAGATAGACAGAATGCAGATACAGGGCATCCGATCTTTCGGTCCCGGAAGAGGAGGCGAAACCATCCGCTTCAACACGCCCCTCACCTTGATTGTGGGCTGGAATGGTTCCGGCAAAACTACCATCATCGAATGCCTGAAATATGCCACCACCGGCGAGCTGCCGCCAAACAGCAAGACTGGCGGTGCTTTCATCCATGATCCCACTTTGCGTAACGAGAAGGAAATGATGGCCCAGGTAAAACTGGCCTTTCAATCCACGTCTGGGGCGAACATGGTTGCAACTCGAAGCATGCAAGCCACCGTTAAGAAATCCACTCGCACCCAGAAGACGCTGGACGGCTGTTTGGAGATGAGGCGTGACGGTATCAAGGAAACCATTTCCTCCCGTGTCGCCGAACTCGACAGCATCATCCCCATGTACCTCGGCGTCTCCAAAGCTATTCTGGAGAACGTCATCTTCTGCCACCAGGATGACAGCCTCTGGCCCATGAGTGAATCAGGCAATCTGAAGAAGAAGTTTGACTCCATATTTGAGGCAGACAAATATACCAAAGCCATCGACAACATCAAAATAATCCGGAAAACCCAAGCCAGCCAGCTGGCTGTGTTCAAAGCGAACGAAGCGCATGCCAAAGAGAACAAAATCCGAGGAGAAGCCAGTGAGAAGAAGCAAGCAAGCCTTGCAGCCTCAATCCAAGAAAAGACGGAAGAGTATGAAAAATTCGAGGCTCTGTGCAGTGAAGCTCATGTGAAATCTAGCGAGGCCTTCGCAAGGGCTGCCAGGTTTGAGCAGATCATCGGCGAACTGAACAGTAAACGGATTGCATATCAGACCAACGAGGAGAATATCGTTTCATTGGAAGAAAACCTCAAAATGATGGCCGAGACGGATGAGGAGCTCGAGTCAATGCTGGAGAGATACGAGGAGCGTGTTCAGCATTTCACCAAACAGACAGACGAGCTGAAAGGCCGCTATAGCACTATGCAGGACAGTCTCCAACGGAACCGCAACGCTCTTGGAACAAAGCAGAGCGAGATCGGCAAATTCGAAGCCGAGCGAGACCAGCATGATCGTAATGTGCAGAGACGGGAGGCTCTGGTCAGGGAGGCTGCCAAAAGGCATGGGATTCGTCACTATGACTATGATTTGGACGATGCAAAAGTTGCCGAGTTCCTGCAACAGCTGTCAAAGCTGTCGCGGGACCAGGACAAAACACTCGAGCGTGCCCGCAAGGATGCCCACAAAGAACTGCAGGTAGCACAAGCCGAGATCAGTCGCTTGGGAGAACAAAAGTCTACCCTAGTCTCTCGTAAAGAAATGGCCAAGTCTCAAATCGCGACAAACGACAGCCGCATTTCCGAACTACAAACCACTATGAACAAAATCAGGGTCGACGATGGTGCCATTGCAATCTTCGAGGCGAAGAAGAACGACACGGAAAAAGAGCTGGAACAAGCCATTGTTTCGGCGGATCAGGCTCGGTACGATGAACGTGTACAGCAAGCGGAGCAAGCGGGACACGACATGGACATGAGAAAGGAACGACTAGAAAATGAGCTTGTTGATGCTACCAAATCCGCTAGCGAGTCTGCTCAAATCGACTTCGCCCAGAACAAACTCAAAAATTCAAAACATAGTCTCGACACAATGAAGAACGTTCATTCTACTCGTATTTCGCAACTTGTTGATCCTGATTGGGAGCTGGCAACGCTGGAAGACGCCTTCAATCACGCTCTTGGTCAAAGGCAGCGTGCAGTCAAGGAGGCAGAATCACTACGAGAAATTGATCAGAGCAAGCTCGATAAGGTTCACTACAACAAATCCACCACGGAATCCAATCTCAAGAAAAAGGAGTCGGAGTTTCAGAGATGCGAGAGAACTGTTTTGGACGCTGTTAACAAGGACGACATCGCCGACTTCGAGGAGGCCCTGAGAGACATCGAAGAGGAGTATGATATGGTGTCGTCAGATAAAGCCAAATTTGAGGCTCAGGTGGATTACATGCAACAATGTCTTGAGACCGCATTCAAGCATAACGCATGTCGTCTTTGTCGTCGATCATTGAAAGATGACAGAGCTGAGGATTTTACTAAAGCTGCATTTATCAAGAGTCTGGAGGACATTATTGCAAAGGCCAAGGGGAAAACTGCGCCAGAGGAGGTGGAGGAATTATTTGCTGAAGTGGAAAGTGCTCGAGACGCGAAACCCAGCTACGAGTCAGCCCTGCGTGCTCGAGACGAAGAGATTCCTGCTCTACAGGCGGAGCTTGAGAAATTGAACGCCGAGCGCGACACTCTGAATAAGCAACTAGAGAAGCATGATGGCATCATTCACGATCTTGAAACCGCCAAACAGGAAGTAGAGTCCTTATCCATGGACGTTCAATCGATTGCGAAGTACTACACTGAGGTACAGGAACTGGAATCTCAGATTGCTAGCCTCCAGAAAAAGCAGAAACTGGGAGGTCTTTCGAGGGGCATCGAAGCAGTACGAGCTGATCTCCAAAAAGTCACCGAAGAGAACCGTAGTGCCAAAGCCGCTTTGAGCAATCTGACTAATGAGCGAGAGAAATCACGAAAGCTCATCAACACTCTGGAAATCCGCATTCGGGATTACAATGCAGATCTCACAGCCGCCCAAGCTAGTCTGAAGGAAAAGCAGGACTTGGGTGGACGTATCGAAGAGTTGCGCACTTCCAACACAACCCAAAATGGCTCGATCCGCTCAGTAGACGAAGAAATCCAGACTTTGACTCCAGAGATAGAAACTGCTCGGATCAAGTACGATGATACGAACCGACGCGGCAACGAGCGCGTTCAGCGAATCCATGACGAAGCCGCGATGTTGTCAGACAGTGTCCGCCAGCTAGCCGATAAAGAGCAAGAGATCGATGCTTATATCGACAAAGGTGGGATGCACTTGCTGTCTCGTGCGGAAAATGAATTGCAACATTATCAGTCGGAAATTCGGCGAGTTGAAGAGGATATGGTGCAGATCACCAGAGAGGTCAAACGCATAGAGAAGGAATCCGGTAGCACTGAGCAGACCAAACAGTCCATTTTCGACAACCTGCGGTATAGGAGAGCCAACCGAGTGCTCCAAACTCTAGCCGAAGAAATACAGCACCTGGAATCGAAGAATGCAGAGAACGACCAAGCACATTGGAATGCTGAGGGACAGCACTGGCGCGAGCAGCAAGTAGATCTCAATAGTCAGGCGATTCAGGCTCGCAGTGCCGCTGAGACTACCCAAATACAGCTCACCCAACTCGTGGAAGAGTACAAGCAAGAGTACGAGGATGCTGCTAGGAATTATCGCGAGATGCATATCAAAGTGGAAACTACCAAAGCTGCTTGTGAGGATCTGGCTCGCTACGGCACGGCTCTCGATCAGGCCATCATGAAATTTCATTCAATCAAGATGGAGGAGATCAACCGAATCATAGAAGAGCTGTGGCGCAATGCCTATCAAGGCACCGATGTAGACACTGTGAAGATTGTCTCGGACAAGGAAACCGCTCGTGCTAACCGTCAATACAACTACCGCGTTGTCATGATAAAGAGTGGAGTGCCCATGGATATGCGTGGACGCTGCAGCGCGGGTCAGAAAGTTCTTGCTTCCATCATTATCCGCCTGGCACTTGCCGAGTGCTTTGGCGCAAACTGTGGACTGATTGCTCTTGATGAGCCGACCACCAATTTGGACCAGCAAAACATCCAGGGTCTTGCTGAGTCGCTCAGTCAGATCATTCGTGTGCGCAGAAAGCAGAAGAACTTCCAACTTCTCGTCATCACGCACGACGAACAATTTCTCCGTGAGATGAACTGCGCAGAATGGACCGATGTGTACTGGCGTGTGGGCCGCGATGCATCGCAGCAGTCGTATATTGAGCGACAGAATATTGCTGAGGTATACACTCTCCCCAATCTCCTAGATGGGCGATCCGATAGGACCGCTGGTTGGAAGCGCGCAATTCTCACAGACGAGCTAACAATATGAGCAGGTCTCGTAATTCATGAATAGTCAGTGCTCGGTACAAGGAGGGGGACCGGTCAGTCAGAGGCATATTTACAAGGCGTACGATTATTTTCAACTGCATCTTCTAGCGATCCCACATACATTGGCGTTGGTGGAGTACAATATCAAAGATTCTCAAGTTATGGGGCATCCACACGTGTTAGCTTACTTTAGTACATATGTAATCATCAATGTGAGCAAATTCGGCTCGCAGTGCATCTTTCATGTTCTGTTCTCGCAATAGCCCAATCTCGACAATTCCAAATTACCACTGCTCGAATCAGTCTACTGAATGCACAATATGTGCGCCAAATTCTACATCGATTCGTCGCCCGCTAGCTCACCACATCGTCTGCAACTAGGGCCACCGGTTCACGTGCACTCTTCTTTCAACGCATAACATCTGGCTCCTGGTGGTATCAACATCAAACAGGCTAAACTTGTCTTTGTAAATGCGGTTTTCCACACATATTCATCGTCACCATTGAATTTCCCTGGTACATTTTATCATATGCAGATTATGCGCAGGGATGGTGGTGTTTCAGGATTATTCCTGATACGGGAATGCGGTTGTGTCAAGCGGTGTTCGGCTTGTTGGGCTCTGGAGGGTCTGACACGGTTTTCTGTGGCATTCAAATCTTACATGAATCAGGCTGGAATAGAGGAGACAGTCGACTGAGTGGGGTCAATGCGAAATGCATTCCTCGCGCAGCCGTTCGCAGCATACACCAAATGCGACAAGACTTTCCCTTCAAAAAGATGAGTTTGCTACCGTAGTTCCAGTGGAACTGTGCGGCCCTTTTCTAGTTCCCCTCATTCATTTAGTACCAGATTGATCAGCAACCAGTACATTTTCCAAATTACCTATCTACGCAACCAAATTTGCTCTTGCAGTAAGCGAGCGAACCCAGGCTCGTTTCTAGCTAGGACTAGTCTTCGCTACTGAAAGACCTCCACAGAAGAAGTGTGCATACCCGCCCGTCTGCCCCGGATTCTGGTTAGCGTCTGGATAGCTGTTGCACCGAAGACAACGGATGAAATCGCAACTTCGCACCTTCACTTTCTTCCTTGTTCTTCTAGAACTTTTCGTTTTCATCCACATGTATATTTTCTTATAGCGAGACTGTGTCTGCTCTCTTTTGAACCTTTTGGTGGCCTGGTTGACGTCGTCTTCACTGGTTCCCCAATCACATTCGTTAACACTACCATCGTTATTATCCTTTTGATTATTTTACAGAATGCTTCTCAGGCATATAATCTCGGTGGCCGTAGCCTGGCGAATGGTTTCTGCAATACCCACGTATGTTTGTTTGCACAGGAATCAGATGATCTCTCCTGTCTTGTTATACCTGATCAGACCGAACTGATCTATCTTTCAGAACAAAGCGAGGGGTCAACTTTGCCTGGGGATCTGAAAAGATACGAGGCGTCAATATTGGGGGCTGGTTGGTCCTTGAACCGTAAGTTCTGATTGATGATGCCGCTCATCTTTGTCGCTTACCCTCAATCACAGTTGGATCACTCCTTCAATATTTGAAGGCCTAGGGCGAGACGACGTTATTGATGAGTTCACCTTGGGGGAAAAGCTAGGCCAAGATGCGGCACTTGACATTTTAAGAACTCACTGGGACACGTGGACTACGTTCTCCGACTTCCAAAGGATCAAAGACTCGGGCTTCAACCTCGTCCGCATTCCCATAGGCTACTGGGCATATGAGACATTCGGAGCCCCATATGTCCAGGGAGCAGCCCCATACATCGACGCCGCAGTAGACTGGGCCCGCGCCCTGGGTCTGAGAATCATCATCGACCTGCACGGCGCCCCCGGCTCTCAAAACGGCTTCGACAACTCGGGCCAACGCGTCTCAACCCCAGGCTGGCAAACCGGCTCAACAGTCTCGCAAACCCTCTCAGTCCTCAACACCATCTCCACCAAATACGCCACGCCAGCCTACCACGACGTCATCATAGCCATCCAAGTCCTCAACGAACCCCTCTCCCCAAAACTCAACCAAGACACGCTCCGCCAATTCCACCGCGACGCCTTCAACGGGATCCGCACCTCCTCAAACGACACCATCGTCGTCCTCCACGACGCCTTCCAGCCCCCAGCCTCCCTAAACGGCTTCCTCACCCCCTCAGACAACAACGCCCAAAACGTCGCAATCGACCACCACGAGTACCAAGTCTTCGACCCCGCCCTCGTCGCTCTCTCCCCATCCCAACATGTCCAACAAGTCTGCACCGCCGCATCCGCATACAGTTACGCAGATAAGTGGACGTTCGTCGGGGAATGGACGGGCGCTATGACGGACTGCGCGCCGCTGCTCAACGGCCGCGGCGTAGGCGCCCGTTTCGACGGTTCGCATCCGGACGCGGCCGGCGTCGTTGCCGGGGATTGTACCTGGCGGAGCGATGTTTCCAGGTGGACTCAACAGTACAAGGACGACACGAGACGCTATATTGAGGCGCAGATGGCGGCGTTTGAGGCCCGCACCCAGGGGTGGATCTGGTGGAATTTCAAGACTGAGGCTGCGGCGGAGTGGGATGTTTTTAGGTTGATTGAGGCGGGGGTTTTTCCGCAACCGATCGAGGAGAGGAGGTTTGAGGTTATGTGTTGAATTATGGCGAGGGTGGTTGTTTGGGGGGCGGGGCCTCATTCGCTTCAATTTTTTTTTTGGTCTGCCTTTCGTTGGGGAATAGGGGGCGGACAAATTCACTCGTTCTTTCTCCCATACACTGTATTTAGAAGTAGCAGTATGAGATGATGCATTGATTGATTTAAGATAGATAGTACTTCTTGGTTAGATACAAGCCCACTTAAGCTGCAGCAATACGATTGGTGAAGATTTATGGCCACTCTCCAGCACTGAAGTGCATGTTTCATCACCATCGCTTGCATCTTTTCCAAGAGTTCTCCAATACACGTATAGAACGGAAATCATGCCTTCTGTTGCATTAGGCTGCATTCTCAAGTCCCACTTCCCTCGCGTATTAATCTCATTCACATCTCGTGCATTCGACAACTCGGAAACAAGAACTCTATCGGGTATCATGATCGAACAGCTATTTGTTATGGACTACACATTGCGCCACTCACAACACATCCTAGAATGTCAGGATAATTTTTCACAATATATCAAATCGCTTATACATGCGCTATATTTGTACTTGATCGAGGCCCATCGCGATTAATAACATTCGACATAACCATGCCGATTCGATTTACATGAAGCATAGAAAAAGATACTGTGGCATGCCCATATACCGACTTTAGATATATGATGTAGAAGACTGGCGAACACTTTCCCGCTCTTATTGCGAAAGCGCTTTCAAGAAGCTTCAAGCACTTTTAACGAGAATGACAAGCTCGAAGGTATGTCACGTGGGAAGTAACCCCCGCAACACGAGCTATAATCTATTAAAATGTATCACCCATGCGCAAAAGCTTCTGGCTGAGCCCGAGATCCCTCGATGCCATCAAATGAAATTGCTTGTTCTCCTTGCGAATACGGTTGAGCGATTGATACGAGTCGAATGAACATCGTACCAACGCAGTTGTCATATGGCGACTAGTAAGGCGCTGACATCCTGAAGTGGAAAAAACGAGTACGTGGACGAGTACCTGAAAGGGATCGAGCAAGCGCTTGATCAGCTGGACGAAGCCCTGGAAACATAACATCACGAGCCTCGCGATCGGAGTCTGGAGGCCGCGGTCGAAGATGCCATCTAGGCTTACGATGAAGCTGTGGAGGATGTGCGAAAGACAATAGACCATCTCCCTCTCGGTGCTGATGATGAGGTATTGGGTGTGGGGAAAGTGACAGAATCTACCGCTCGACTCGCGTGAGTATTCGGGATTGACATGCGTAGGACGTGGAGGGAATGGTAGGCGTGCCTCTTCTGCTTTTTGCGACTGTGGTGTTCGCTCTACTTTCAATTCAATCGTTTTGTGTTCCGGCAGTTGTAAGTTCAATTTTATCCTTTCGATTATGACTGTGACACCTACGCTGATATGTCTCAGGGCGATCGACAGCGCGCCCTTTATCGCCTCCCCAAACATCAAGGAAACTCATGTCAAAGCGCCCTTCCCAGCACGTGCTGTCAATCAACTATATGTTACACTACGAGACCTTGCTCATAACTGCACACTAACAATTGGTAAAGGGATACGTTGAAGAGTTAGAGTTGCGAGTATGTGCAACGTTGTTGATTTTTGGCTCATAAAAGATTGAATATATATACATGAAAGTCTTCCTGCTCCAACGTCGCATTCATATATGGCATGTTCCTTTTCAATGTTCCCCGTCCGGAGGGGCGTGATGGCTAGTCACGTGTAATCAGACACGTGATCAGACATACACTTGCTCGTACACTGGCACAGTCTTCCGCCACATTGTTCCATAACGCATTCATATCGTATTAAATCAATTTTCTACTATTCCTCTATCGATCCCATTGCTTTTCATGTTGTTTTTACTCTAAGTGGGCGTTTCCCCGTTCCTCACGCACCCAGTCTTCTCCGTCAACGCCTTGGGACACGTAACCTTCTCAAACGTCACGTCAGGGTTATCTGCGCCTTTGAACCAATCAAATCTCCAATAACCTTTGCGTTGATTAGCTTCATCTTATTGATTCAAAGATGCAGGGAAAAACTTACATCCAGCCTTGAGCTTCTCGGGGAAGCTGTCGCACTCGGAACGGGAGGAAATGCCGCCATACTGAGCGCCCCAACCGTTGGGAGGAGCTCCCCACTGGTTTGTGCAAGCATTGAAGAGCCCCACGCCGCCGCCGGGCATGGCAATATCGAAGTGGTTGTTTCCGAGATCACCGCCGGTGTTTGTGATTTGGACGACCATTTGCTGGCCGCTTACGGGTCCGGAGGTGAAAGTGAGTCTGGAGAAGGCAAAAGTTAGTCATAAGTGTTATTGATTGAAGAGAATGTGTAGACTCTTGCGTCTAATATATAAAAATAAAAGAAAGCGCTTTGGTAACTAGAGGAAGAACAGGAAGAAGGGAAAAAGAAAAGAGATGGACGGACTTGTAGCAGCCACAGCACCAATCGCTCTCGCCCTGACCAGCCAGCTTCGCGGCCGCGAATCCGTACGCAAGATTGTCGTCGACGGCCCAGGGGGTCTGCGAAGTGCACATGTATGCGGAGCCGCCGCTCTCGCAGCCGTTCTTCGCGGCCATGTCGGCGAGCGGGTTGTCGCTCTTGTCGCAGCTGTTGATGGGCTGGTTCACGGACGCCTTGCCTGACCATCCACAGGACCCTTTGCAGCAGTCCCAGTAGCGGGTTGTCTTGCCGGTGTTTTGGGCGTTGACGACGGCGGCGCCGGTCGCGAGGGCAAACAAGGAGATTTGCTTGACGGACAACATTGTGTTTGATTCTTGTTTTTCTCTCGTTGGGTTGGGTATGAGGAGAGAAGAGGAGAGAGAGTTTTGAAGTAACCCTTGATAGTACTGTGAGGTCAGGTCAGGTCAAAGTGGGAGGACGTCGATCTAATATAATCGTAGTCTGCGGTGGTAATTATAGTGGAGCGACTATGACGGCTTGTTAACTTATATACTGGGCAGATCCCTACCCAACTCCGCCCATCTTGAAAACAACCTGCATATAAGAGTTATAGTGGGTTCCGCGATGGAACATGGGGGGGAGGTACGCTTAGGCCTCCAGCGGAAATAACACACAAACCCCAGCATTGCTCAACGAGGCAATGAAAATAAGCAGTGTGTCCGCTTCAGGCTGAAGGCCGCTACACCGAGTCGAACATCAAACAGGTACGTTCTACTAATACGAGAAAAAGCGCCTTATACTACGCTTCTAGGGGGAACTGTGAATGCATGTTTCCTTGACGGAGTGCCGGACATGTATACTTTGTTTGAGAGGGTATCGTTTGGGGTAGGTAGAGCACATTAATAGTGCATTCATATACGGGTCCTTGCCCGACCCAAAGTCGCGCAGTCATGCCCCTATGGAAATCTGTAGCGCCACCGAGGAACGCATATCGAATGATCTGCTCGCCACATGTACACAGGGCGGGAGCGATATGGAACGTCCGGTAGATTAACAAGAGCGGCTTTTATGAGCAGGTTGGAGTGAGTTTGGGCTAGCAATGCAGAGATCAGTAGCCTTGAGGATAGCCAGTGGATCAGTAGAGTAAGCCCCAAACCAATCAAAGAGCACACACCATCGCATATTCCCCGAAAAGGGTTACAAAAGCGGTACTTTCAACGACTCTGGATGGGTGATCCGTACTGCATGCCACGGGCATATACCTTAGTAACAGCAGTACCTACGCAATACCTAATCTACACCCCCTCCCCAATCTCCACAGTCAAGGAAACCAGGTTCCTGGGCCCCAAGAAACAAGCTCCGCCATTCCTTCACTCACTCGCGATAAAGCACCGCGAGGACATCGAGCCATACCCAGCACCCTCGCACCCCCATTGGCCCCAAGCAACTACGCCTGCAAATCTCTTCGAAACAGCTACAAGGCAGGGCTAAATTTTTCTTTCGCTAGGCGAATGGGGAAGAAAAAAACGTCACCGGACGCGTTGATCCAATCTCGACTTCATATAACGAGTCTCGGCTCACCGGCTCTTCTGTGCCTGAAATTTGCCGCTGGCAACGTCGGCTCTCGCATGCCGGTGGCGGCGCACGCCTGCATATACTTGTGACACATGCGCAGCTTGTGTGGTGTTTTTAGATCTTTATTAGTTTTTTGTTTTTTTGCGGGGTGCAGTGCATGTGCATCGGAAATATACGCTGCTCGTTCCGCGGTGTCAAACGACATGGGGATGTACGAGATGTTGGACTTGGCCTTTAGTTGACAGAGCACTTTGTTTTTCGCAGTCAGTGGTGGCGGGAATCCAGATTGGATTTGGGCGGGACGGCGCGGTGTAGAGTAGATGAAAGTGGGCCTGCCTTCTAAGATGTGCAGGGGGGATTTGGTTGCAGAGACCTCGCTTCAGGTAATTCATCCTAGCATGTACCGGGAGCAAGCAAGCAACACATGAGCGTTTAGAGGTGACGAAACGCTCGAGATAAACGATACTATCACAGCGTTTTCTTCGAGAAAGATTGTGGCAAATGCCAAATGCATATGGTTCCATACTACGTCTTCTTCCCATAAACGGCCAATGCAGCGCAGTATTGAAGAACCGCGAAATGCAATCCGCTGTTAATTAGAAAAATGCAGGAAAATATTGGAGCAAGAGCGATTGATTAAACACCGTGTTAAGAGTAAGTAGCGAGTGAAGATTTCTACCGACGCAAAATTCTAAACAAAATTGTTCTTGTACCAGGGAATCCGAAGCCTCTTTGCTGGAAGCTACCAAAAGCGAAAACCAAGCGACATAATGATTGATATAAAACCAGATGGCTCCCCAATGCCTCGAAAGGAGAAGAGAGAAGTCTGCAGATCTGAGTCACAGGAAGGAGAAGAAGAAGAAGAAGACAAGGAGGTCCTACCTAGAAAAGAAAAGAAAAACCCCCCAGCAACCTAACAGCCCACTTCTTCTCCCCAGCAAGATCCCACCACCACCAACAAGAAGTAACCCCCATGAAAAAAAAAACCAGATGCCCCGATTCCATCCTCTCCAACAGAAAAGGAGAAAACCGGCTTATCCCCCTCCCCACCATATAAGAACAAGAAGGGAGGCATGGAAAGGAGAACAAGAAAGAAGCAAGGCACAACCAAACAAACACCTCCAAGGGAAGATGATTGAGCTGCTTTTCCAAAATGTCTCCTACCCACGCAACAAATCCACTTCTTCGCTCCCCTTCTCCCTTTCGAAGAGAAGAGGATGAAAAGAAGATAGGGACACTGGATGATTTATTTCCCGCCGCTGCCACTGGAGCCCGAGGAACCCTGCTGATTCGTGTTTGTCGATGATCCGGACGCGCCGCCGGACTGTGAGTTCATGTAGAGGTAGTATTGCCCGAGGGATTGCTGCATGATGGCGGAGCCGGATTGTTGGAGAGAGGAGCCTATTTTCGTGGGAGAAACGTCAGTGTATGTGTTCCCTTTCCGGGATTGGAAGGGGGATGGCGAGGATACGACGTACCTTGATTGCCGGACGGTTGCTGTCCAGATTGATTGGAGGAGGAGGAGTTTGAGCTCATGGTGACGGTGTAGATTGGAGTTCTTTTTTGGTGTTGAGTTGACGGAAGAAACGATGGAGTGGAAATAAAGAGAGTATCGTATGATAATAATGATGATGGTAATGAACTTGAGCGGGTTTGACTGAGCTGGTAAGTTGCTGAGATGCTATGCCATGTTACAATGAGAGTGTCTTCGAGTCTTATATCTCGAAGTATCCCATCAGGGTATTACCCAAAAGGTAGCATCGCGAATCCTTCACAGCAAGTGAGCAAGAGACATTGCCTTCGTACCTGGGAGAAGGCCATGGCTTCTAATCAGGCGGACATTTGATAAAGCTGGTTAAGCACCGTTCGACTAATCGATGGGATGAGAAGCTGAACCCCAAGGCACTGCAAAATGTAGGCACGAGCGAATCGGAAGCCAGATGGGCCAGCCTTGTTGGATCGCGTTCAAGTTGCCCATCGTTCTTTCTATCTAGATGGAGTTTAGTTGAAAGGTAGGTGTGGGACCAGCTCGGGGCCTTGTATAGAAAAGATGGTAAGAAGTTTAAATCTTGTTCTCAATGTTGTATTTCGAGCTGACGCACCGTCAGGGTGGTTCACCGTCTCACTCCTTCTGGGATTATGAATATAATTCTCCGAGAGGTTGTGGGTGGAATATTTTGCTATTTCATCTACAAGATAGGCGGAGAACGGCCCCATCGAAGTCCGGTCCTTGGAATGTGTGTAGTCATGAGAAATGTAAGATTGATGGTTGCTGAGAAGTGTGGCGCAACGTGTGGCTAGTGTGTGGCTAGAGTCTGGGCATATTCGGAACGATTGGCTTCCAGTCTTTTTAAAGAATGCTCAGCCTCGCGGAGACGCTGGCGACCGAGAGTGTTATCCCATAATCGCACAAACTGCGGTCCAATATCAAAATTTGAACATATAAAGATGTGATTGCACGCCTTCCGGTGTCGACAATCACATGGAAATCGGTATCCCATCTGTTGCGTTGCGAATGCGGACGTAATCGCACATACACCGGATCCTAATCATCATCGGCACTTTGCAAACACTTCTCGCCCAACCAACATGTCCGAGCTATACGATACAGATTTTCACTCAATAGCTAGTAGATTTTGCCTTTTTTTTCGTGTGCAAAGGGCGCACCATGCGGAATTCCGCGGAAGTGGTTCGATTGGGGGTCTCCTCCGAAGAAGAGTGTACGTACAGGATTCTGGTGGAGATGGACTAACAATTGGCCCCAGGGTGTTTTGACGGATGCAGAAGATTGATCTGGTGAAAATGCCAATAAAGGCAAACGGATGCACGGGATCAGAGTGGCGCCTACACGGTAATTCCTCACGAGACGAATACGAGCCTTATGTGATTCTCATGGCGTCGCTTCAAAATCATGATGAGTCGAAATGGTACTGTGCCCCGATGGACTGTAAGTTGCAATTTCTTTTTCTTTCAGCCAAGGCAGAAGCTCGCATTTTTCCCTCGGGTATGGTAGCATGTGGAGACAAAAGTAGACAATGTGGTATCGTATGTACCTTATTGGGTATCTGGTTGAGAGAATGAGGGTGGTTGCGAATCTTGGACGTCTAGATTCGATCAGAAAATAGATTTCTCAATGAAAGATGACAATACCTTACAAATTCTGCATGCCCACGAGACTATCATTCTGCGTCATGGATTGGAAAACTGTCAGTGGGATATGCAGAATATACGGGTCCACCTTGAAGCGTGTATACATAGGTACTTATGTAGTGGACATCCGGATGTGCTGTCCACATTGATGCGTACAGGGAGATATTCTGTCAGTATCACGTGATGAGATGCAATACTCAACCTTGAAAGGATTTGAGGGTGACGCTACGATGGGTGTTACATGCAGATATGTTGGCCTCTTCTTCCTTGATCAATAGGTCTGTCTCTTGAAGGGTGTTTCAAATTGCTTGTAGCGACAAGCAGGCAAGCAATGGTGAGTACCCAACTATAGGCACCGACATTTACAGCATTTGTGAGGGCGCAACAGCCCAGACACAGTGTCTATGCCTGGATACGGCAGAGGGAGAAATGCAGCGAGAAGCTGTCATGGTCACATGCTGATTGTTGCACACGGTAGCATTCAAATGTTGGCACTGTGCAAGAGTTGACGCAGAGCTTGCCGCGGGGCAAGACAACTGCAGTAGGTTCGGGAGTACGAAGGTAGCGCGTGCCGGCGACTCGAACGTGGAAGGAATTGTTTCGGTGATGAGCCAGCGCGAGTCTTAGCGGGTTTTGGTTGCGGACGAGAAGATCTTCAACATGGACGCAAAAATAAGAAAGGCTCAGCGAGTCGTGGCACGTACAAATTACCGACCGAGTGTCCGGTGCGCGATTAGCGCACGCACGTCGTGAGTGTTCGGGGGCGGCAGAGCAGAGACTTGGTTATAGGCCGTCGATTGTAGACAGCAAGTATGTGTGTCGGGTAGCACTGTAGTTGGTGTGGAGATGTTTTGCGAAGGCAGCCGAGGGTTTCCAAGAGGGCCAGAGAGCTGGTGAAACGCGGCCGCTACCATGTTTTTTTTTACACGGCGAAAACAAAAGGTGAAGAATTGTCCGAGGACGATGGAGCCGAAGAGGACGCGGGATTGCGGCGCCTGCGAAGGCGATCATGACGGCGACCGAAAAGGGGTGCACAGGGCGACGGGGGGGCCGTTATGTAAGGCGGACAGAGATGACACATATGTAAAGCGCTCACCCATCAGGGCACGAGGTGAGAGATGGTTTGGGAAGTAAGATACCAACCAACGCGCGGCCAGCGCAGATCTGACGTCGAAGTCGTGCAGATGGACACAGGATCAATCCGAATCAGCAACAAGAGGTGCGAAGACGACCAAGCAGTGGAGGAGGGGAGGCTGATCGTGATAAATGGGGGCCCGAGTAGGCAGGCGCTCGTCCCCCCGATGACATCAGGCAGGACTGGCGGGTGCGTGGGAGGCACAAATAGGCACAGAGAGGGTAGGCAGGGCTGGCGGGCGGACGCAGGGACGGGGGCAGCTAAACCAGGCGTGGATGCCCGTTTTGCCGGGCGGCTTTGCTGCATGCATTCCCCAGCCTGTCGGGCCGCTTGGCTGGGTGAAACGCCCTGGATGGCTGCTTGTCTGCCCAAGAAACACCCATCAAGCGCGCCTCTCAACGCAAAACACCAGACGCCCCAAGCCTGCGACAACCCGCACCACACCCATCAAGCGCAAGCAAACATTCTCATCATCCTCATCATCCTCATCGTCGTCGTCGTCGTCGTCCTCCATCGCTCGCTGGCCACAATGCCGCAGCCCGCCAGTCTGCACCACCAACGGCGCCGTCCCTAAGGCCCCATGTCCGAGGGGCGGCGTGTGCGACTGCTAGTCGTGGTTGGTTACAGCATCATGGCACAGTACTTAGGCCAACGTTAAGGCATTGATCGTCCCTCTTCGGGATTTGCTTTGGTCGTGTCTGATGAAGATCGCCCGAGCCTACCACGCCTGCCTGTCCCACCTCCTGGACAAAGGCCAAAACTCCCGCCCTGCCTCCAGAATATCATCATTACTTCCACCTGCTATCATACCACCCTCCGCCTATTCATCAACCTGTTGCAATCCAGTCCTCTTCCCATCTGTCGCTGTCTCTCGCTCTTTACCACCTACCTACTACCACTATCCTCAGGCCCCGCCCGTTTCAATGGCACTACCCTCTCTCCACCTCCCCACCCCGTCCATCGTTTAGCTTTGCGACGGCGACATTTCTAATTTTTTCCCTCGCCCTTCGCATCCGTTCCACCATTCCCTTGGACTCCCTTCCTTTTTGGATATACATTCCCCTCCTACCCCCTTCCGCCTCCACGGTCCACAGTCCTAGCCTGGCGCTACTTTCCCATCACCACCAGCCAACATGCCTCAACGTACCTTTCTTTGCCGACTCATCTTCTGCGCCGTCTTCTCCGTCTCCATCATCAACGTCTTCACCGGGGCCAGCGCCCCTTCATTCTTTCTTCGCTATTCCAAACCCCAGGCTCTGGCTCACCAAGATCAACTCGTTTGTCCCCAATCCGATCTCGCCGAAGACGTTCTCGTCGTGCTGCGGACAGGCGCCACCGAGTCGCGCCAGAAGCTCCCGGTCCACTTCAAGACCACCCTGCGATGTGTTCCCAACTTCGTCATCATGTCCGATATGGACGAGGAAGTCGAAGGCCATGCTGTGCATGATGTTTTGGGAAGTGTCACCACCGAGCGCAAAAAGCAGCACGAAGATTTCAAACTGTACCACCAATTGCAATCCCAGGGGCGAAAGGGCCTCGACGGCCAGCAGGTCCTCACCTCCCAGTCCGGTTCTTCCAAGGGCGACTATTTGAACACGCAAAATCCAGGTTGGGGACTGGATAAGTGGAAGTTTCTTCCCATGATTGACGAAGCCTACAAACAAAACCCGTCCGCCAAGTGGTTTGTTTTCATCGAAACCGACACATATCTTGGCTGGCACAACCTCCTCGACTATCTTAGCAACTTCGACCCCAACAAGCCGTATTACATTGGCAAGCATCTTTACATCAACGATGTCGAGTTCGGCTACGGTGGCGCCGGCTTCATCATCTCCAACCCAGCCATGCGCAAGGTCATTGAGCAACGCTCCCTGCGCATCGCCGACTACGAAGAGTTCACGGCAACGCACTGGGTAGGTGACTGCGCCCTCGGCAAGGTCATGGAGGATGCGAAGATCCCTTTGCACCGTGCCTTCCCGCACCTGCAGGGCGATTCGCCTGCGACCATGGATCCCGCCACCAGCAAGCTCGATCGTGACGCATGGTGTTACCCCGTAATCACGTACCACCACGTTTCACCCTCGGAAATCCAAGACCTGTGGCAGTTTGAGCAATCATGGTATAGCAAGGTAAGTCCCACACGCCCCAAACCCTCTTTATGCTTTTTATGTTGTTGGAGAGGGAGGGGGTCTCACCACCACCCAACATGCCCACTAGCAGCGTTTCGTCATACCCCCGGAGATGAAACCGACCATGTCGCTGACCACTTTCGGCTTTTAGCACCCCGGGTTCCTGCGCCACCGCGACATCTTCCGCGGGTACGTGTACCCCAAGATCGCCGCCGCCGTCCCCAACTGGGACAACATGTCGGCCGACAAGGAGTTCAACGCGCACGATCATAGCAGCTCCGCCGACCCCTACGAAAGCAACGCTTGGAAGTCTTTCCAGCATTGCCACGCCGTCTGCGAAAGCAAAAAGGACTGCGTGCAGTTCTCGTACGAATCCGGCAGCTGCAGCATCTCAAACTCTTTCCGGTGGGGGTACGCCAAGCCGAATGAACGTGTGCAGTCGGGGTGGATGACGGACCGCGTCGACGACCTCTTCCTGCGCTTGGAAGGCAAGTGTGGCATCATCGATTGGTTTGCGCCGGATGAGCCCATGTCCAAGTTGCAGAGGCGGCGGAAGCGGTGAACTTCTCCCCCGGTTTCTCGGACGATGATTGATTGATGATTTGCCTTGAACTATTGAGGCTGTTCCTTCGCTTTTTCCTTGTTTACTTTTCTTGCTTATTCTTTTTCCCCCTTTCTCCCTCTGGAGTGGAAAGGCATGGCTTGAAGGTCATTACACGTGCAGCATTTGGTCGGCGTTTTTTGTTATCCATGTTTCCTCTACACATCTATCATCTCATCACATTGGTCGTCGTCGGGCCTCCCACGTCGATCCTTGTTTTGTCTTTTTTTTTCAAAGAGACGTCACGTATCTCCTCGCGTTCTACAGTACGTCGAGTCTTGCAGAACGGACTGTCCTCATCTCATTTCATTCACTCCCAATTCCTCTATCCTTGCATTGCATGTCTGTTCGCTTCTTGTCTGTTTTTTTGCCCCCCCTTTTTTATTTTCTTGGTTCTTTGCATGTTAGATTAGATACCCCCCAACCCCCAAACCTTCCTCACACTCGCTTTTTTCTCGTTTTTGCGGCATATCAGATTCAATCAGGGATAATATGCGCAGCACATTGGTTCTGTCAAGGGAAGAAAACCCGAAAAAAAATATCAATAAATACAGATCGAACAGAAAACCGGGAGAGAGAAAGTGAGAGAGGTGCTGTTGTATATATAGGCTTTGGATTTATTTCGCTGGCCTCTACCTCCTGAGTCAGACGAAGATAAATCTAGAAATGCAAATGGCGAACCAAATATGTGAATAAGATCCTTTAAGAGAGCGTCTTTATCTCACTCACTCTCTCTCTCTCTCTCTCTTTGCAAGTGATATAGGTAACTGCGACAGTAACCTTTATGTGCAGGAATCTTGTTACTTGATGGAAACGCTATGTATTAGGTGCCCTGCAATGTTGAACTTGAGAGAGGATCTGTTGTTTTTAATCTTAGGTTTTTACGAGTCAAGCTTTGAGGGTATAAGGGCCCGTGGCATCTGTCATAAAATCAAAAAAACTAGAGTAATAGGTTATACCAAGTCGTCTTTTCTTTTTCTTGCCTGATACTTTATTGCTCCTATTTTTCCCCTGTCAAGTTTGTTTGCCTTTTCCGCCTTTTTTAAGCGCCTGTTTGCCTCTTCAATCGCTGTAGAACGCCTTTTTTTTTTTTTTTTTTTTTGCCTCGCTTCTAGCCTAGACTCTCCGCCATCTCTAGACCATTCGGACACGATGATAAAGGGTTAGTTCTTCCGTTTACCCTCACTGTTACATTTCGAGAAAAAAAATCGCGCTTTTAGTCTTGGTTCCCAAGGTCAAGCAAAGTGTCAACATCGCTCACCGCACCCGCCGGACCTTAACCGACGCCGCGGCATCCAACTCCCTCGGCGACCCAGGAACCACAAACACAGCCAACGAGTCCAACTCGCCATAAGCAGGAGGAAGAGGAGAAGCGCACATCTCGTGGCGGCCGCGCTCCGCGTCGAGCTCCCGGCGATCCCGCGAGCCGTCTAGTTCGACGACGGGTTTATCATTTGCGTCTACTTCGGGTCTGCGCTTTCCTCGTAGAAACCATACATGTCTTGTGTTTTCTTGTGCTGTGGAGTGTTCTATATCAGATAGGTATGTTTGGGGTTTGGAGTTCATGCTGGTTTTGTCGTTGCGGCGCTTGCGGAGGATGAGGACGATGGTCGTGATGAGGGAGATTGTGAAGAGGATTGTTGTGATTGTTATTCCTGCTATTGCGCCTGGACTTACTGTTGCTGTTGGGTAAGGCGATGTGCCTGCATTGCTTGGGTTGGATCCGGCATCTGCCGTCGACGTGGAGAAATTCAACGTCAGATGCAGGGCTTGGGCTAGCGATGATGCGTATGCTGGGGGGAAATTCGGGAAGTCGGTTTCGGCCCAGAGGACGGAGAGCCCTTGGGAGATTGCGAAGCCGTTTGTTGCCGTCACGGATGTTCTGTTGTACGAGAAAGGTGCGGGGATACCTGTGGCTGGTGGAGAGATGTCGGAGGGATCGGGCGCGCGGACGACGAGTGGTTCTGAGATGGCGCTGATACAGAGGCCTGGCTCGCTGAATAAGGATTGAGAGTCGGGGTATGGGTACATGCCGCTGATGGAGGGAAATAAAAAAAAGTGTGATTAGATACTTTGTTATTGCTGCCAGCTATATGTTTCCTTGTGAAGGATGGATGGGTGAATTACCTACGTTTTACAGCAATCTCCTCCCCAATACGTAGAAAGACTTTGATCCGACATGGTTTGAACCCGATACACGGTGTACTGCGCCAGTGTATGTCCCTCTGGGCAAACTCCTGGACTGTAATGATGGAATCTGCTGCCGTCGGGCTGACAACTCTGCCATGATGGATCCACGGCGTATGGTGACAGAGCACTTCCACCCCATTGCATGGCGTATGTCCTGCTGTCTCCTGCTAAATTTGCCAACAGCCATTTTTGCGTGCTTTCGTCGTTGTACTTGTATTGTGTGGTTATCGCGTGTTCGTTTGCGGTGTGCCATTTCGTCGTCATGTCTGTCGATCCGACACTGCGAGGCGACGTGAAGGAGTAAGCGTCCGCCGGTGGTGGAGTAAATGTCTTTGTTATAGTAGCCATTGCGATTTTATTTCTGGACGCCAACTCGATTCAATCAAATGACGATGAGTGAAACGATAATCTTGTATGAGTAAATAAATAGATCCAGAATTAAGTCGCTCAGCCCTATATAAAAAAGATGATATGAGTCGCGGGAAAACAGATAAACTGTTTTGGTACGACCTGCAGCATATTGGCAGCCTTACAAAGAGGCTGATACAAGAAGTAGTTGTACTCCGTTGCCATGATTGGGTTGTGCGGACCCTCAGGAAGACCAGTATAGGGTTTTGGCCCCATTACGCTCTTACGCGGACAACTGTAACAGTCCAATCTATGCGAGTAAGAAAAGTGCATACAGAACACCGATGATCGGAACATGAGGCTCAACGACTCGATATTCAGTTTTCCCCATACAGGAAGATGCTTACAGAGATATGTGCGTAAGCACTTTCAAGTATCCGAGCACGTGGCGGAGCAAAACACTGGTTCAGCCCTCGTCCAACTAAGTCGGAAGGGTATTTTTATTGGAGTAGTCGTCAATGTATCTTCCTAATCACACAAGCACATGCACGTCCTTCGAAGCTAGCATCCACTGAATAAATTGCCCAATCTTCAATTTAATTCAGCACTTGACCCTACCATTCTTGAATTAAGATTCCATATAATCTCATATTTTCGTATCGCACGACAAAGCAAGAAGAAAATCCCACGTTGTCAGTTTTACCTATGTTAAAATTGGAATAATTGGCTGCGGGGCTTACCTCCTCACGTCACTTTGCTGTTGTCAACTGGTAGTACCACCACCAATCACACATCAAGAGTCCATTTAGCCTTAACCTCTATCCAAACACCTCCCATCCATTCGACTATGCTACACAGATAACATTCTCCAAAATGTATTCACGATAGTACAAGCGCTTAGTGAAGAGGAACAAAGTCTATGACGTCCAAGTGAAAATGACAACGATTATACCGTAGGCCGCATGCGTACTAGTTTTCGGCTCGGAAGCCTCGACACCTTAGATTCGTATCTCGGATGTTTCGCATTTGATCCTTTACCCATCACATTCACACAAGACTCCGGCAAAGGCATATATGAGCGCCGTTGAACGCTTTTGTGCTTGAATATATTCTCTTGCCTCACGTCCTGAGTCCTGACCCAGCAGCTCTCACATCGAGCTCACTTCGGCCTCCTTTTTTTCCGTTGCGACGCTCAAGGGGCTGGCGACAAGAGGTGGGAAGAAACAATGAAAGTGTAAAAATTACACTCGGAGAACTCGATGCGCATTCCATAAACCTAAGAGAGTCTGTTTGGAAATTCGAGATCTGGGCAAGTGCCGTGAATCGCCACTATTCGCCGCCACCACATATTCCATCTCATGTTAGAGAGAACACAATAAGAGCAAGGACGGATAGAAATCAAGTGAGGCGCGGATAATGGGGCGACTCTCATGGTTGACACAGCGCGGTGACAAGCCTCCGTGGCTGCTCAAATATAGGTGTTCGGAGTGGTTCATTGTTTCAACAGTCAGTTTGGCCGTCTTCACGGTACGTCCTCATTTGTTTCTTGTGTACCAAACTGGCTGGTGCAGTATATCGATGTCTGCAATTCGACGTCGAATACATGACATTAGGCGTATGTCGGCAAGACAGTGCAAGAGATACGATTGGATATTCATTTAACTGGAGTGATTGCTCATTTGTTTTGTTTATTTAGGATGCGTTCTTATACGGTGTGATTGTTCCGGTGATACCTTTCGCGATTCAGAAGAGGAGTCATGTCGATGACGCAAGAGGTAAGTAAACATGGAGTTTTACTTTCTCTCTATATATACCCTCTTCCATACATCTCTTTGTGAAAACGTCGCGTTAGATTAACACAATACTTGAAGTGCAGTATTGGGTTTCGGTACTCATTGCCGTCTACGCAGCAGCCCTGCTATTCTTCTCCCCCATCTGCGGTTTCCTCGCCGACCGTATCACAACCTCACGCCGCACTCACCTTCTTCTTGGTCTTCTCGCACTTCTCGGTGCAACTGCCATGCTGAATGTTGGCTCATCTATCGGGATTTTGATTGCTGGGCGTTTACTTCAGGGAACTTCAGCAGCAGTAGTCTGGATTGTCGGCCTCGCGCTGCTTGCGGACACGATACCACAAGAGCGTCTTGCGCAGGCAATGGGGTACGTTGGAATTGGCATGTCTGTCGGGATCTTGATTGCGCCGTTGCTAGGTGGCGTAGTGTATGATCGCGCTGGGTACGATGCTGTGTATGGCATGTCGTATGCGCTTATTGGAGTGGACATTGTACTGCGGCTGTTGTTGGTTGAGAAGAAAGTTGCTGCTAAGTGGAATGTCGAAAACTCAACTGAAGAGAAGAGTGAGGCTTCTCCCGGAAATGGAGTTATGAATAAAGATGTTCAAGATGCTGGGGAACATGAACAAAGAGCTGCACCGTCTACTACGACCCCGAATCTCGCCACCGATCCTGAGAAAGCGGTTATTCAAGAACCTGTTCCAGAGCATTCGACACTTCATGCCAATCAGCGGCAGAAGCGTCTACGCGATCGTCTACCACCCGTACTATCGCTTCTCTATTCTCGACGTTTGCTTGCCGCCCTCTTCGGATCCATTATCCAAGCTGCAATCATGACAGCTTTCGACGCAGTCCTCACAATTCACGTAGCAAACACATTCAACTGGACCTCCACCGCCGCGGCGCTTCTCTTCCTCCCAATGGTGATCCCGACCTTCATCGCACCGGTATTCGGGTGGCTTAGCGATCGGTTTGGCGGCCGATACCCTGTCGCCATTGGTTTCCTTCTCACGTGTCCACCGCTCGTCTGTCTCCGTTTTGTGAACGAGAACACGATTCAAGACAAAGTGCTCTTGTGTGCGCTTTTGGCTTTGACAGGCTTGTTTCTGGCGATGACTTATCCAGCACTGATGGCGGAGATCTCAGCCGTGGTAGAGGCAAAAGAAAAGAAGATGCTTGCTAATGGCGAGGCAGGTTATGGTAAAGGCGGCGCGTATGCTCAAGCTTATGCTCTTTTCAATGTGGCGTTTGCTGCGGGATGTATGATTGGCCCGTTGCTCGCTGGGTTCATTGCACAGGAAAAAGGATGGGCGACTATGGGATGGGTTCTGGGGTTACTGACGGCAATCACTGCTGTGCCGTCCTTCTTGTGGGTTGGAGGGTCCATGTTTGTGAACAATAAAGCGAGAGATAGTGGAGAATCATAGTGGATTCCAGAACTAAACGTCGACACTCGAGGACATTTTGCCGGAGTAATGGCCACCACAACAGGCAACGCTTTTTTCCCCTTTGAAGCCGCCATCCCAGCGGGTCTGTCTCAGTATCACTTGTCCCAGTCTTTGTCCATTTCAAGATCAGCTTTTTATGACCCAGATACAAAAGCCGGAGCTGGATAGGTACGACGATGTGAAAAATCAGCATGGTGGGCTCCGACAAGTCAACAGGGTGGGAACCACATTGCACTATATCAGTCGTACTCCTATCTATCGTGTTCACGATCCAGGCTAGGGATGTTTTGCTGTTGTGTATTCTCGTGTGGACATCCTATACTTATTTGGCAACCACGGTTTGATGGGGTCTGACAACAATTGAATCCCGGGCAGCAGCAGGTTTGGACATCGTAGCCAATCATGCAGCGAAAGCAAGCGCTATGATAAATGGAAATATACGTCTGTTGCTTTTCTAGTTTCGCGATAATGACCCAAGAAATAGGTACGCATATTCGTACTGTGTAACATAGTCTACCGTTTGCTTCTCGCTTTTCGTGCCGATGTCTTGTTATCGGGACCCCGGTGTGTCAATCTTGGGTTCTTTCTCTCTGATTTTTCTTCTTTGAATTTCGTTTGCTCGTTTGATCGTCTGGTCCTTCATAGAAACGGACAAATTGGTAATGGATGACAAGGGGATAAAGTGAGTCATTGAGAACAGCATTCGCCGTTCGGTAGAAGATTGGAATTGAAGAGACCGCGAGTCGTAGAATAGATGAACTGAAAGTAAATGATCGGTTCAACTTCGACTAGGTTTGGGAGTTCAATTTCAGACTTAGGTGCATAACACGGGAAATACCGGTGAGAGTGAGAGTGAGGTGATGAAGTTTTGTTTTTCTGTCCTACGCTCATGCAAGGGCAGACTACCATCGTGGTAGCGGTGAAGTCACCGCACAGTTGTGGCTGAAATCATGTACCCCTTGAATGGGGCGGAATGTTCCAGTTTTCACCGGTTCTTTGTATATAATTGCCAGCGCGCAGTAGCGCACAGCGATTGAAACTGTTTCATGATCAGCTGTACACACTTTTTCTCCGTCAAAATGTATCCTAGGCTCCAAAGAGGACGCATATATCATCTCGAAGATCTGCCAGTCCTTCGAACCAATCCTCCAAACGGTCCTCCGAACCCCCCATCGAGAACTTCATCGTCATCGCCCTCATCTCCATCACCCTTGCCAAATCTTGGTTTCATTGCTGCCTGTACAGTCGCAATTGTCGCCTTCAATTTGTACAAAGCATCCGCAGACCGACCGCAAGCCGCACAACAGAAACAACTCGAAGACCAGAAGCAGAAAGAGGGAGACCGAAGCGTTCTTGGCTCAATCGCGGAGAAAAAGGACTCAATTGTAGCGAAAATCGAGAGATTGAACTTTGAAAAACAGTGGAGGGAGTGTAAAGATTTGCAGCAGCAAAAACGGTTGGAGTCGAGACAGCCATGGGACTGCCGGTCGGTGCAAGGAAACACTTCGTTTTGGGAAATTTTGGCCCAACAGTCGCTCACGTGCAGATGTACTTTTGAGAGCTCTTCATGGGGTTGAGAAGCGTAGAGAATCTGATTGATCGCCCTTTTGCCTAAGTTCTCTTCACTCGTGTCATAAAATTGGTCTCTACACGCTGTCAATGATTTACTCTAATTTTAAATTAATAAGTGTGTTGAGGCTCAACTTCTTCATATGAACCATACGAAAACAATGGGTGGAAATTCTCAGTAGCAGTCCACAAATCTCGCTGAATCATGTTGATGCCTGCGGATTGATTAGAGGTCACCTACAAGCGTTTCCAATCAAGTAAACCTTCACATGTACCAAACTCGTTTTCCGAGTATGTGACAGCACCACCCTGGGAATCAAATTGGCTTCGAAGATGATATGATTCGACATATAAGACTATCCACACCTCTCTTCAAAACACAATTGCATACATCGTTCCGCTACTTGATATCTTGGTACGTGTTCCTCCAAGTTTATCGAAGTCTTCTATGCTGCATAAGAATTGATGTAGACGCCAATCTGCATGCACAAGATCCGCAATCCCGCCGCTCGTTAATCGGACTCCATGATTACAATGTAGTATCTGGTACCCTCGAGTTATGGCTTTGATTTCCGGACTACTAGCGCTTTGGAGTTTATCGTGATACAGGATGGCGTGAAAGTGATTTGATTCAGAATCTCCGGGTTTTTTTTCCGATGCTACTGCCGTAGACGGGTCGTGAGAATGTGGTACGCAACATACGCGCCGCCTACGGTGCCCCATGCGCATATCGCATAAAGAATGGTTTCTGAAGAACATAGGCACGATGTTATATTTGACTTCTTGGGGTATTGCGGTGGGCTTATGAGAATTCGATCGCGTGGTGGTTTTGGAATATTCATATCGTTATTGAGGAATTATAGTAGTGGGTGGAAAGGCAGAGTATTGGGGGTTTTCTCTCCCTTTGATGCCTTGTTAAGGAGCACGAAAATTTTGCTTGTTACACTACGTTGCACAAACGCGTTCCTGGAATGTTGGTTTACATCAAATCCTAAGGTATCTGTTGACGTCGTACATCTCCACATTCACCGGTAACTTGTTAGTTCATTTAAATCCTTGAATCTCTTGACGCGAACGGAATGGAGCGTCCACGCCCCCCTCATGATATCACCACCGCCATAATCACCACATCCACCTTCTTCCTCACCATCGTCAATGTCTCCATCATCGCGATGGACTACATCCGATAAAGTTTTTTCTGCAATGTTCACCTTCGGGATTGGGTATCTAGTAGCGACGAACAACACTCAGTCACCCTCACCCTCACCTTCAACGTCAACCTCATCATCATCATCTAGCCTTTATCAGCGAATTGCCAAGAAACAAGTCATCCTTCAACAAGAGCAAATTGCACAGCAATTCCAAAAAACCCCGGGGTCACAAAAGCACGAATACGAAGGTGTCAGTGCCAGATCGCTTGCTGCACGGAAGCACCTGCAGGCAAGTGTAGTGCACGATGGCTTGGTGGCAGAGTGCGAGCTGACAGCTATGGATCGAAGCAAAAATGGTAAATATGGCTCTGGTTGCTGGCCTAAAGGCCCGAAGGAAGGTGAGCAGTGGAGTTTTTGGTCAATGCGCACGGGAAAGTGTGTGTGTATGCCAGAATAGAAGGGGTTTTTGGGGGGAAATGATTCGAATGATGCCAAAGTCTGGGACAATGATTACTTGTTCTATTCGAATCGAATATATCCACTACGTGATGATCAGTAGTGAAACTTTTAAACTCAAACGTTGATGAAGTGTTTTCCTATGAACTACCAGGGTGTTGCACAATGATGCGCACTTGCAGCCAACGATTTTTATCATTCTTGTTCTGTACAACGATACACAGGGTACATAAAGGTGGGCGAGCGCTCCTGGAATTCTCTCAAGTCTGTACGCACGGCAAAAACCACACCTGTCGACCTAATCCACACAGCCACCAACGACAGAGATACTTCTTTCAAAATGCAGCATGCTCGCTCAACTCCCCGCAGATGTCTGCCCCAATTACTTTGGAGATTCACAATTGGCTTCGAGATCGGGTACATCGGGTCCCTAGCATATCGTCGCCTCACAGAACCACTATCCCCAGAAGCCGAACGTCTTAGAACCGAGGAGGCGGTGGAGCGTCATAACCAAGTCATTGACGATGTGGCTCGATATAACCGGGAACGAGGAACCGAGCCTTTCTGGACCGATGAAACTTCTGGGCGGCACGCGGCGTTGCCATCGTGGGGCAGAAATTGCAGAGAAGCTAATACTTCTGAGTTCTATCGAAAATATGATCTCGCCAAACCAGAGTCGCCAGATGCTAAGCGTCTTGCCGACGTGACAGAGGTCGCACGACTCAACAAGGCTGCAGAAGATGAGCAAAGTCCTGAAAAAAACATGCGATATATTTTGGGGCGCGATATGTTCAACGACTACTGTCATAAGTGCTCACAGATGGAGCATGAACGAATTAAGAAGGAAAGGGGAGGTAAATGCCTTGGATGTTCTCCACTTCTGAGGAGTATATCGCTTCAACGTAATGGCAAGATTATGGTAACAAGCAGCAGGTGTCTCTGCTGGTATAGAGGTGAAGATGGGAAGGTGACTGCGAGGGTCGTAGAAAGTCAGTCAATGATGGCGATGCATTGATCAATGATGAGGGGCATTGCATGTATTTTCTCAGTCTTTCCGATTTTCAACTTACCAACTTGTAAGCAATAGAAAGTTAGTATGGCTTGGGATAGATGTATGATTACAATGACATACCTGTTAATTTAGTCCGGAGATGTCCTGATCTTCTTGCTCATGTTCGAGAACATGGACAACAACAGCATTCATCGTCGCCTATCACAGAACAATCCAAGCTACCAACGAGATTTTCTACGCACGTCTTGGGGATCTCTGATCCCGATGGCGGTATTAATCTCGGTAAAAGTCGTTAATAGCACTTATTACGTGTTTATGAGTTCGTGATGGGAGGTGTCAGTAAATACTCACTTATACTATTTCTTCATTTCAGTCCGTTCCCATGTAAATCTGAACACATAGACCCACTTACTCATAAGATATTTAGCAATACTATTAGAACCATTTCTCTTACAATTTGGCAATAGCATCATACTGCCCAAATTCCATATATGTCCTCACACAGGTTTAAAAACTAAATAAAGTACTTTAAACGCTCAAAGGTTTCACCTCGTATTACTATTTGTTCGCCACCTCTCCACCCACCAACTCTTCCTTTTGCGCCCTACAATCTCAATTCCACAGCCCGTACCCTTCCTCCCTCTTACCAACCACTCGTACTGTCTAATATCCCGGGCAACGAGCCATCCCAGCATAGTCCATACCAGCTGAGCAAGCATTATACTCGACAGCAAGCAGCTCGTTAACATTCGAAGGGCTCTTAGCAAGCGGAAGATACTATAAATCACATCAGCAAATGCCCACCGAACCAATCGATCAATAAATCCCGTCGAATGGAAAAGGGATTTCCTCACAGCAGTAAATTCCTTCGTAACGCCACTAGTAGTGTTCCAGAACGTAGTTGGGCAATGGTCCGGCGCGGATTTGGAGCACGGATACGACGTGTCGTATTTGTCGTTGCTGCCGCAGCGGTACATAGTTTCGGTGCCCTTTACTTCGAGGACGTAGGATGATGCGGTGAGGCCGCATCGCACATTGGCTGGGCAGGAGATACCGACGGTTAGGGACGATCCTCTGGCCGTTGTGGTTCCGTAGCTAGCTGTGACTCCTAGATTCACAATACCGAGACTTATATTCGAGTTAACGCAGGGAAACGGGGTATTTGAGGAAGAGGGTTGAGAGGTGGGATGTGCTTACATGCCGGAGGAGCCACTGATGCCGCCCGTGATTGTCTGAGATTGAACGAAGGTGTAGCCGGCGGAGATGGTTCCTGTGGTTGAAGATGGACCGACGAAGACACCAGCAACGAGTTGAGGAGAAGTCCATGTAGGCGTGACACTTTGGATGTTGCGGATTAGAGGCCATGAGCAGTAGGTACCATCGGCAGCGAAAACGCCTGATACCCCCAAAAGTAGAGTTTGCGTGATGGTAGAGGTTTTCATGATGGAGGTAGGCTGATTAACGAATATTGCTACGATTGAGTGAAACGACAGTTGTACACGATGAAATAGAACGTGTATGATGCAGAAATAACACTGAACGAATGTGTAAAGTTGGAAGAATTAGAGGCCGGATCAAAGGTGATGATGCAAAAGCAACAAGTTCATCAAGACAATTGCTGTTCTTTTTAAACGAAGCCGAAGCGCTCGAGGGCTAAAGCCCTGTTCGATAACGGTACTTGACCCTTTCGCCGAAATGTCAACTCTGCGTATGTAGTCACAGACCCATGGTCAGTTTGGCAAGAATGAAGGCTTTAACTCGTTGCTACCTCGGTGTAATGCTGCCGGAATGGGAATGAACTATTGTAGAATCTCTCCTCCAGGGGTAACGCCGTTGAGATACACTAGCCATATCGAAGAACACAAATGTTTCTTAGTTGGTAGTAGGCCAGCAGAACATCTTAGAACCTTGACCATGTGCATGTCTCATCTACTCTAATTGGCTAGCGCCTTTGCTCCGGCGTAATTTTTGAAGGCAATTCTCTACGGCGCCGGTGAGCTTGAGAACATACTAGCTGTTTCGGGTGCAGCAACATATCAAGCTGTATAAGACCGAAGCCCCTAAGATAACGCATAGCGTTCCCCGGTCGAACATGTGTTTAGACAACTGTCTGCAATGTGAGACCATACCCCATATAGTTTAGTTTCTGTGTACCTGAGCGCTATAGTATACTCAATTGAGGCCAGTACATACAGGATTCGCCTACATCTCACCAAGCACAGATAGTAGGAGCTGGTTCCAGCCTGGCATAACCTCGCTGAGCGTAAGATTGCAACCTTCCAAACCAAGCCCTTCTCACTCTCCAGAGACAAAAAAAATCATCTCTCTACCAGGCAAGCGAAGAACCAAACTGACAACGCGCATAAATCTCATCCTTGACATGAACACAGACCGGTCCATCTACCGCGGCAATTGATCAGAAGGCCCCCCTACCACGACTCAGATAGCGCTGCTTCCCTGATCCTCAGTATAGTCTGCAAATCTCATTTAGCAAATTCACGATATTGGATCTGTATGTTCGAGGGTTCGAGACGAGGGTTCCCACGTCCGAGCGTATCACATAGTGAGACCCCCCCTGAACATGCTTGTTTTGGATTGGAAAAGTGCTTGTGAAAAGTAAAATCGCTCGGTCAGATACGCCGGGTAGTCAAGCTTTATCCGATATATAAGACTACTCTTGTCAACCTTATATGAATACGCATCTCACCACCCTCCCCACAAAAAGAGCATCACACTCGTTGTTTAAAATATCTCCATCGCTACGCTCTTTTTCGTCATATTTTGAATTTTAATTTACAGCCGTGAGCTTATTCCTGCCTGTCCGAATCTTTTCCATCATGTACTTCGCCAACTCCCTCTTCGCCGCTACTCTGGCTTTCTTAGCTTTCGGTCAAGCTCAAGCAGTCGTAAGTGAACCCTAACCTGAACCCTGACCCTAAACTCCCCTCCCCTCTCCCCACAACAATCTACCTTGAAGAATATACCAGATACTAACAGCCTACCTTTCACAACAGTGCAAATGGGACAAATGCTGCTACACAAATCACGACGGTCCGGGAGCCTGCCCTGTAAGCAACTCTCCCCTACTCACAACATAACATACACATACACTTCATCAACTCATCCTCGCCACTCACACCCTCACCCATAAAATGACATACAAATACACATACTCTTCTTCATCAACGCATCCCCACCACCCACAAAACCCCCTACCAACCCCTCCCTCCGCAATCCCTAGAGAGAAAAAAGAAAGAAAGATTACTAACCACATCCCATCTTTCAAACCCACAACAACAGCCCCAACAGTGGCACTTCACCTTCATCGAAGGGTACTGCGAAGTTTCCATCTGTCCCGTAGGCTGCACAAATCTCCAGGTACGTTCAAATTTTTCTTTTCTTTTCTTGCTATTTCCATATCAAGCGTTTTTGCAATACGCTTCTCTTCAGAGAGAGAGAGAGAAAATGACTGACGTTTGTGGGATGTATAGGATGGATCGGCGTGTTCGTGCTGCTCGATTGAGACGGGGCAGTGCACGTCTTGTTGAAGGGGGGGGGAGGGTGATTATTTTATCGGTATTTGTCTGTTTGTTTCTTGGGGTTTTGGTGTTTTTTTTATGGGAAGAGGTGAAGGGAGGGAAGTAATGTGCTTGAGAAGTTGGCGGGGAGATTCTGGACTCGTTGGGTGTTCGGGGGGTTTTTACGAGGATTGATACTGTTGAAGAAGATAAGAATAGGACACATGTAATACTGAGAAGTCCCTATGAAAGGCATCGGAGATCAAATTCTTCTCTGATTTTGGCACGGAATTGATCCATTAGAAAATATGAACGGATAAATCATCAGTTTGGGTCGTTAGTGGTACTGGTGTTGTGCCGCGTTCATTAATTGTAATGCTCACAGATCATACAGATTAATCATCACTGACAACAGATTACATCACACAGAATAACTTCGAGTTTGAAAGAGGACTGCCATTCGTTGATGTCTTCCACAACTAAAACAAAACAAAACCCCTCCTTCCCCTTTTTCATTGAAGTTGGAAAAAACGACGAGGTGACAAATCCGCCTAGAGCAGCAGTATCCAAGGAATTGGACACTTAGCCAATAGAAGTAGAAGACAAACCGGGAGAATATGCATGCATGATAGTTCATATAATTACAAAAAGGGCCAATGGTATACTTTGCATAGAAACAAGAGAGAGAAGGGTTTCAAAGAAAAAGAGGAAGGGAGAGAAAGATTACGCAAGTGAGGGGAAGGGGAGCCCCAGAGGTCAGGTATAAACAAGAAAAAGAACAAAAGAATAAGACCCTCAGTCAAATTAGACAGACATAAGTAAGCAAATCGGAAGAAGTGAAAGGAGGATGAGGTGTTTCACCTCAAACAAGAATGCCTCCCCTGGAAATAGTGAAGAAAAACCCACTTCTTGTTCACTCTTTCTCGCCATAAACGCTACTCACGCCGCACACCCCGACCGTGATATGCTACGGACCCTTGACGCGACCCCCAGTCTCCTATGAGCAAAACGCAGACAGACATAAACAAGCATATGAGGAGCTTGAAACAGAAGCAAGAGAAGGGTAGATGGGGAGAGGTATGATTCTCACCAGCAATTAAAAGGGTTGTTTGATTTTCTCATCAACGTTCAAATTCGTCAATTAGAATTGGAAAAAAAAAGAAGAAAGAGAGAAAGGATGGCCCAATCAACATGACCAGCAAATCAAAATTGCGGCAGAGAAGAGAGGAAGAGAAGAAAGGAAAAGGGTAACAGAACGGCTCCCAAGAATCACGGAGAAAAGTGGCTGATATGGCATGGAGGCAGGCAAGGTTGGAGAGAGTACCTGCGCAGACAAGGCTTCTTCCAACATCAAGAAACTACACCGGGTATCATGCCGATGCTTTCTTTGCGTTTTGATTGAGGACGAGATGCATCTCCTTCAGGCTCTCCATTCTCGGCAAAGTCCAGCAAAGCTTTGGCGTCGTCAAGGCCCGAAATGGCCAGGCCTTGCTTCTCATCCTCCTCGTGGATCACGCTTTCGTGGAGGCTTTCTTTGGAATGAGCACTTTTCTTGCTCTCGCCGACAGACTGGTTCTCGGTGTCGTCGTCATCCATGAGTGCCGGTGGTCTTTGACGCATCTGACGGGCTTTATCAAGCGTAATGGTCCGCTGCTGGTAAGTCGTAGTCACTGCGAGAGAATCGTCGCGGTCGATGGTGGCTTTCATCAGTGCGGCCATCCACAGACGACCCACCTGTATATTATCCACGGCGAAATAGTGGACGATGGGCTTCGTGAATTGGACTCCTCTTTGGAGACCGACACGCGGGGGGACCAGCTTGAAGATGAACATGCCAGCCATGTCCTCTCCAAGACTCCCGAGGCCGTTTGCATTGTCTGCGGCTGTTGGTATTGTGGCGTTCTGCGGAGACGAGGGTGACGACGCGGCTCGCGTTAGCGCTACGTGAAACCCTGTAATCCTTTCATTGTTGGCAGGCAAAACCCTGTGCGAGGAGATGTCGATCAATCCCTTCTCCTCCGTGTCATATTCAGAGTAGTAGTAAGAGAGTCGCCTGCCGCGGAGGACAAATAATCGTGTTTTCCACGTTGTCATCAGACTAGATGATTTCTTCTTCATCCAGCCGCTGTAATCACAGTTCTTCATGGCTTCCTGTGGGCTGATAGGCTCCCGGCCACGAGTATATGCGCTAGTGTTATGCTTCTTCGATCGTCGCTTAGCAGAATCCTTAGCGGAGTTGGGAGCCGGCAATCGTTTGTTGATATCGAGACTATCGGAATCAAAGCTTTTTGATGCTGAAGCGCCCGACGGTGTAGTGGAACCGGTTCGCGTGGGCGATTGCAAGGGCGATTCCTTGGAATCTCCGATGCTCGTGTTCGACTGTCCTCCAGTAATGGCGTCTGAGATGGCGCGAAGACCGACCGCTCGAGATTTTTTGCCAAAAAAGGAGTGCGAATGGGTTTGAGCGGCAGGGGAAGGGGAAGCGCGGCCGGTGGAAGAGGATTCACTCGTAGGAAGTCGAGGCGACCTGGCAACGGCATCGATGCTAGGAGAATTGTAATCAAGCTTTGTCACAGTGGGTGACATTTCGTTCAGAGATTTGACAGGTCGACCGTATTCCGCGTTGCTCGAGCTGCGTCCGCTTCTGACGCTGGAGCCATAGTATGCTTTGGCCGCAGGTGACAAGGGACTGACACCACCCGATGCAGATTCCGCACTTGTCATCCGGTTATGACGCCGGCTACCGTACGCATTTCGGCGGCTGGCTTCGCTGCTGAGGCTGGGTGTCCGTGAATGATTGGGGCTGTCTTTCTTGCGAAGCACGTTGCGAGCCTTTCGGTTGTCGACTTCTCCGCCAGAGAAATATCCGCGGTCCAGATCCGTCACTATGGGAGTGATCTCGCCATTGCGACTACCAAACGCGTTCATATCTGCACTCGTGGAATGGCCGTGGTGGGAGGAAGATGGTCTCTTGGATGCTTCCTGGGGTGATCCCATGGTCCAACCACGGTCGAATGACGGGGTTTTCTTGTGTGCCTGGGCCTGAGGTACTATCGAAGGCGGTCGCATTGCTCCTGCCGAGGTGGGAGGGGGTTGGTTGATGGCAGAGTCGATGGAGGAATGTCTACGATTGTGATTCAAGCTCCGAACTGAAGCAGCCGAAGGGCGTTTGGGCGAGACTGGGGAATACTGAGCCAATGGCGGGGTGGCTTCGACACCAGACAACGGGGAGTGGCCAGCCGTCGAGTTTGCCCGAGGGGGCGGTCGAGCTTGATTTGATTTCATTTGGCCCTGTGCCTGTCCCAAACTGGGAATGCGAGGCAAGACTGCGCTCATAGAGGTAGCGCGATTCCTGGCTGGATCCGCAGGCGGTTGCTCCTGAGCGGCTTCCAAGAGGGCCATGTTCTTTTGCGCTTCCTTCATTGTCTTGACCTCCTGCTGTAGCGCCTTGATCTTCAGCCATGTCCGTAGGCGTGGTCCCACCGGCCCCAGTTCGAACTCCTTCAAGAATATGGTCGCCTGATCGATGCCCAGAAGCACTTCCCCATTGATTTCCTGCTCTTTGAAAATATCGCAGTGCTTCCTCTCCACACCCACATCTTCCAGATATTCGGCGACACGGGCGGGAGACCATGTGGAGACTTCCTCCTCGGTATGCATGCCCTGCTCCTCCTCTTCCGTCTCTTGGCCGTTGATGTAAGACATACGGTGATGGCTGCTGTATTCGCTCCCGGAATCGTTGCCGCGCGCATCTTTGCCATTGACACTATGCCGAGGTGTGCTCATATCGGTGATGTGCTCGTCAATCACACTGAGGGTCTCATGCATGACCGGACTGTTGATGGTCTCGTCTTCGTTGGGAACGTCGCCGCTCAGTGTTTGGCTAATGCTTCTTGTCGGCAAGGAAAGAGAAGTGCGATTCGTCGCGCCGGACTGGGCGGTGGGGCTGGAGAGTGGAAGTGGCTCCATATTGGGGGTAGCTTCCTGCGAGGCAGGGGCAGGAGCGGGAGTGTTCGCAGTCGCTAATGGCAAAGGCGCTGGGGCTGGAGGTGTCGACGAGGCGTCGGGCGTTGCGGCGGGCGATGGGTCATGTTGTGAGGGGGTTTGGGACGGGTTCCGCTGGTGCAGGGCAGCGTTGATGGTAGGTTTAGGGGCAGGTCTGGTGTAGACTGAAGTCCGGTCAGCACTGCTTGCAAAGAAGACTCATATAATGACTGCTGATGGTGGCCATGTACCTTCGGGGAATAGACCGGAATCACCCGTCTCTGTGTTTCTGCCCAGGAACCAACCGTCGCCAAAGTCGTCGTCGCGTTCAATGAGCTCGACGCGATCGCCGCGGGCAAGGGCGAGCTCGTCGGGGCTGCGGGCATGGAATTCATCTGTAGTTCGGGGGAGGGGCAGTCAGCATGATGATTTCATTTTGGTTGGTTGACGGTGGGTGGGAAGGCGGGCGCATCGGTGTTTGCTTCAGTCTGCCTGGCTGCGGCGGGGGCGGGCGGGCTATGATGATGGCGGCGGGAGGGGGATAGAGTGATTACTTACGCACAACCACGAGGAGATCGCCCGGGCGGGAATTCTCCGTCTGTGTCCTGGCTGCCATGGAGCGGCGCTGGTGGGTGGTGAGGCGATGGTTGCGGAGAGGAGAGAGAGAAGACTACGTATGTAGGTAGGTAGGTAGGTAGGTAGGTAGACGTAGGTATGCGGGCTGGGCAGCAGTGGGCGGACAGCCGGCCCAAAGTGCAGAAGCGCGTCTTCCAGATAGGCCGAGGCGGGGAGTAGGTAGATGGCGGGCGGGATAAAGGGAGGGAGAGAGGTGAGAGAAGAAGAAAAAAAGGCTGGTATAATTCACAGTCGGGGTGTGAATTAAGAAGATATGTCCATGATGGAGCAACGGGAAATTGGGCAAGCGAGAGAGTGGTAGTCGAAAGTCTGCAGCGTGCAGGAGAAGGTTTTGGTATGTGCTCGTGGAGCGACGAGAGAGGTGGTGGCGGCGGGCGCTCCGTCGAAGCGCCAGGTACGAGGCCGGGGGGGATCAAGCTTTCAGAAGCAAGCAGGTAATAAGTAATAACCGACTAACCGCCATGCAGAAGCAATGGAAGGTTTGCGAGGTAGATAGGGAGCCGGAAGCAATAAGGGGTTAAGGAGTGATGTCGGGATGGATATGTATGTAGATGGAGGGTTTAGGGGAGAGAGGCGGCGGTGGTTCTGTTGCTTGAATCAGCCAGTCGATGAATCAATTTCTTGGGAGAGTCGCGGGAAGCCGCATTGAGCACATGATGATGGTGGACAGAGTTGGATAGATTGAGTAGATACAGCTCAATTAAGTAAGTAAGTGAGCAAGTAGGCAGATGGGGACCTACTTTGTCGAGGACAGCAGGGGTGGGTGGGGGACAATCAATAATAGCAGAGAGTCGTTAATGTCAAGCATGTGCTCTCTCCACCCGTCCACTCACCTGCTACATCCGTCGCCAGCTTGCAAATGGCACACGTAGACGACAACGTGGCTGCTCAAGTACCTACCTGGCTATGTATGTTTCAATACCTGCTGGACCTGCCAGACCAGCAGCCCTGCCTCTATATATAGGGATGGCTCCAATGCTGCAGTTGTTTCGTTCGTTGCGGTACATACTCAAGTACATATGTAGCTATATACGATCCATTCTCGTGTCAGACAGCCGGCTTACCATTGCTAAATTGCTTGGGGTTAAGCACACAATCCGCTATAAGATTGCCTGCCTATGCACACACACACACATAGACAGATACTACTCCAAGCACAAGCATCTGAAGGATCAAAGGCCCACGGCCCCACCTAGGCCGGATGCTTCACGAGCAGCGGCTTTTCTCTCGACTGACATGTCGCTTCTGATGATATCAACCAGAATTTCTTTCCTTTTGCTCGGCATCTTTCGACCTGGCTAGTTGTCCACCATTCCGTCACACCGTGGCCAAATCCACCATCTATCGCGAGACTCCATGGATGGATCATCGTCGGGCCCAAGCTGCCTCGCCATGCCAGCCATGGGGAATTTCTCCACCAAGGCCCGTCTCGGCCAAAGCAAGCGCCTCACTACAGCGGAACGTACAGTAGTTGCCGCCGCCTTGATGTCTGTCCGTCAGACTCTGTCTGTACCTATGCCTCTGTTCGCGCCTCGCTTCTAGGTATTCAGTATGCATGTATTGGTTGCATCAACGTCCATCCTCCTCTTCATGCCAATCCATGGATTGGCATGAGTCATTCAGCCCCCATTCACTGTCTGCCCTTTTACTATTACTTTTTCTTTTCTTTTCTTTTCTTTCACTTTGCTTCCCCCTCCTTTTGTCCCTCGCTCTTCAAAAACATCCATCCTTGGAAGGGGGGCAGTAGCAACCGTCGTGTTTCGCCTCTCACTTGGTCGTCGTTGCCTTTTCGGCTTGTCTGCCCGTTGGTTCGCTTTCCCTTCCCCCCTGTCACCAAACGCTTTTCGAATACCACCACCACCACCCACTCTGCCCATGAGCTCTAAATTCTACCAAGTGACCACAGCAAACATTCCAAAGAGCAGCGCCCCTCGCTGGCCGCCAGATCGTCTGTCCCTCTCGTCTCAGCATGATCCCGCACCTCTACCAAACATCTCCGTGCGCCGTCGCGTCACGTACGCGCGCCAAATAATTGCCAAGGTACCCAAGATAGTGCACGACACTCCATCCTTCTACGCCTCTGAGCAGTATGCGGTCCTCGGGCGAGTCTGCGACCGATCCCAACGACACGACAACCTTGCAACGGGCTCTGGGCAGCTTGGGTGGGGGGCGGAGGTCGTGGATGCTCCCGACACCACAAACTCACCCTCCGAATGCCCCTCTACGCCATCCGAACTCCCTCCAGATATCCACTCAATTCCACCACCATGCTGCCATTCCAGCCCAGCAGCAGCACCGCCTGCAGCAACCACAACCACAACCACAATCACCGTCGCTGCCTTCGCCAGCATCTGCTCACGCCCCACCATCTTTCGCCTACCCGAACGCCAACTCTCCCCAGCTCACCAACGTCCTCACCTCCCAGTCCAACCTACCCTCGCCTGCCGCCGTTGTACCTTCTTCTGCTGCCAACGATGGCGACGGCATCCCTCGAATGTCTGACTCAGGTTCTCCTTTCAACTCTCAATTGAGACTTGCCCCCGAGCATCGCTTCATGGAAGGAGCCCGTCAAGCAGTTGCCGCAGGCCAGAAAAGGCCCTCTGATTCCGCCACTGCATCTCGTCCTGCCCCTGTCAATCCTCGCCACATGCTACCCTCCCAACCGCCATCAGCAGCTGCAACCCCGACAACCACACCCCCGCAACATGCACCGCAGCATGCACCGCAACACGCCGTGGGTAGTTCTTCTGGGGTGCAAGCAATTCTGCCGTGGTACCATAAGCGGTACGCCATGATGCAAATACATCGCCACCGTCAAAATCTTGTAGCTCGCGATTCTCCCCCGATAGACGACTTGCGATTGACTGCGGTGGAAAAGGCGCTTGAGATTGACGACGACTTGTTTCTCTTCATCCACCAGTTACATTGTTTGGAAACCTGCCAGCCTGAGGATTGGCCGGCGACCTTCAAACAACACCCGAATCGGTTCGCTCCCATGACTCTGCTCACTAGGGCTTTGGGCTCAAACAACGAAGTGTCTTCCTTTACCATAAGCTTCCTCGCAAATTTCCCAGAGCCACTCTCGAAGCTGGCCATGTTGCAGCCCGAACGCTACAACCAACTCAAGGCGTACGCTTTGGTCTTCTTTGATAGATCGCAAAGATGGTTTGCAGCTGGACAAGTGCTGGAGACCTTCTTTATACATCGCAACTACCCGCCCCTGGTGCGGGAACTGGCCATTGATCTCGGCATCTACTCCCCTCAATTGCAGCACACAGTTTTCACCGCGGTTTTGCGCCACATGTGGATGGAGTGGGGAGGTTCACAGGGAGCACATAGGGCGAAGTTTGAAGCTGAAGCCTGGTCCATCTTAGGAAAAAACCAGAGCACTCTTGAGTATTCGCTATACAGTGGCGGGGAACCGACTTCCCCCGAAGTGGAACATGGGTTGCGCGAAAGAGAAACGCGTACTTGGGGGACTCGCTTGCACACACTTTGCGAGCAATGGCGAGCCCGGGTACGCATTTCTCTTGGACCATCATATGGCTCCGGTCTCGCGCCATACCAGGCCATGTTGCAGTATCATCAACAGTATTCATCAATGCAGCCCCAGCAACAGCAGCAGCAGACAATACAGCAGCCGGAACCACAGCAGCAGCGGATGAGACAACAGCCACAAACACAGCAGCAGCAGCAGCAGACAATACAGCAGCCGGAACCACAGCATCAGCAGATGAGACAACAGCCACGTCCACAGCAGCAGCAGCAGCAGACAATACAACAGCCACAACCACAGCAGCAGCAGATGAGACAACGGCCAGAACAACAGCAGCAGCAGACAATACAGCCACAACCACAGCAGCAGCAGATGAGACAACAGCCAGAACTACAGCAGCAGCAGCAGACGACGCAGCAGCTAATACAACAGCTAGAACTACAGCAGCAGCAGCAGCAGCAGCAGCAGCAGCAGACAATACAACAGCCGGAACCACAGCAGCAGCAGACAATACACCAGACGCAAATAAGACAACAGCCCCAACCACAGCAGCAGATAAGTCAGCAACAGCAGCCAGCCGTGGGACAGATGTCCGTTCCAACCCAAATGCTTGCGCCCGCGGCCAACCCCACTCTCGCGTCTCATACACAACCCTCCAACCATGCAGCACCTCCCTCAGCTATGGCGGTTCGCCCACCGGGCCGTCCTCCACGCCAGCACGGAGATCAAGCGCGGATGCAAACATTGCCAACGAATCGCAATGCGGAGGAAGTCCCAACCTCGGATCAATTATTTCCCCCTAAGGATTACGCTCGGCTACCACAGCAACGCATACCACAGCCTTTCCGGTTCGCCCTCCACCAAGCCCATCTGAGGAGTCCGACGTTAGTGTCGCGGGAAATTGGTGGCGTAAGGTTCTATCAGCATGTCAAGGAGTTCTTTACAGCGCCTAGACGTCTCACCGAAGCCGGCCGCAAGGTCGAGAAATGGACGTTCACTCTTTCTCGCGACGAGATGGAGACAATCCCAGTCGTCCTTGACGGCGACGCCGGGGCGCCTCTGGAGCGGCAAATCAACGAAAATAGCTCAATGTTCAGGCTTCGGTGCGTCAAATGGCTACCGCAAAATCTTCCCAATGAGCACGCGTGGTCAGTTGCCGATACAGGTTGGATCCCGTCTTCCTACTTCGTCATCAATGGCCACCATCTACAGCAACGCAAAAAGCTGCACCATGGAAAGGACATGCCCATTGATCTTACGACGTTTCTCAAGGAGGGTGAGAACGTGCTGGAGATTGCGATCAATCGGAAACTGGAGGACAAACGCTATCTCAATTACTTGGTTGCAATCGAGACCCTCGGTTTCAGCAGTCATGATTATGTTATCAGCAGTTGCCAGGATGTTCGCCACATCAGTGCTGTCGAAAGCAAAGCCGATATCATGAAGAAATTGAGCACCTCTGGCGATGACGACGACGACGACGATGACATTACTATTGTCGAAACTAATCTCACGATCAATCTCACAGATCCATTCAGCGGTGCCAATCTGTGCGGAATACCTGCCCGCAGTCAGGCTTGCTTGCACCACGATTGCTTTGATCTCGAAACTTTTCTGGAAACGCGGAGCCGGAAGGGAGATGCTACGACGGCAGATGTTTGGAAATGCCCCATTTGCAACGGCGACGCCCGGCCTCAGCACCTTGTTGTGGATGGCTTTATTGAGCAAGTGCGTGACGAATTGCAGCGGCAAGGCTTGCGTGACACGAGAGCCATCATCATAGACCAATTTGGCAAGTGGAAGCCAAGAGTCGAGGTACTGCAAGGCGTGCCGGAGCGACGGACCCCCATCCAGGAGAACTTCAATGCTACCAACCGTGTCATCGATCTGAGTGATTGACGGTATGCATTCGGTGGAGTGTCTTCGAGGCGACCGTTTTTGCGACAACGGGAGCATATCGTACCCCTCGTCCTTTTCTTTTTCCTGCGGATTTTGTGGGGTTTTGATGTTAAAAATGGCGTTTTCTGAGGATAACAAGAGCAGGAACGAAAGCCTTTTTTTCTCTTGCTACGTGGAGTTGGTTTGGCTGGTTTTTTAACTAAGCATGTCTTTTTTTTCCCTCGATTATTTCCTTCATGGCTGTCTCACGCGATGGATATACCCTTTTCTCTTTTATTCAAACTCTCTTCAAGGATATCTTGTTTTGCAGAATTTCCATGTATTTCCTATCTTTTCATGACTCACTCACTCATGACCTGCATGCTGTTGTACTGCTATAATAGTCGCACTATTCTGCCATGCATTTATAATGCTTATTTGGTGCAGGAAAAGAAGAATGAGAAAAGGTGGAATTAGCAATATATGAAGTCTTCACTCCTATCCTAAATTCTCTATACTTCGCCCACTCTTTTTTTGTCAGTCAATTGAGAGAGACTGAGAAAAGCTAAAAAAGTATTCGTACACTTGTTGACCAGACTATTATTTAATCTATTTTGTTTCCTGTCTGTTCAACTGCAAATAAAGTAGCTTTACCACACCCCTGAAGGCAGATTTAGAGAACGTTTTATCTTCTCACGCTGTCTTCCTTGTTGCATTGCAAGCAAAAACAAACCCCTTTAAAAAAAAAAAGTTGAGATCAAGATTCGCGTTGTTATTCCCACTCACTCATTCGTTCACACTAGAAGCCAAAAACAAACTGGAGAATTCGCAAAACGGTAGTTTCCTAGCATTTCATTCGTTCTTCTCTTTATCTATTGATCTTGAAACCTTACATATACATATCTCATGTAGGCTATGTGCTATATGCTATATTCTCCATCGTATATAAATCAAAACCTAGATATTTTCCTTTCTCTTGGTCTTGCTTGCCTCCTGAGGCCATTGTGTCGCGAGGGAAAAAAAAACAAATAAAAATAAATAATAAATAAAAGCGGGATTGAAACCGCTAAAATTGGATGAAAGGGGGAATTTGCGACAAATGAAAAAAAAAAGGGGTGGTTGGAGGATCAAAGTAAACAGAAAAAAAAGAGGGCCATGACTCTATAATTGCGAAACAAAAAAAAACCCCTTGGAATGATGTCAACAATAACCGCCTAAGAAACGGAACAGAAAAAAAAAGAATACAAAGGAGAACGAGGCTTGTGCGGTGAAAAAAGAAAGAAAGAAAGACGGAGGTTCCAAAAAAAAAGCTACTGCCCCCATCATCATCATCATCATCATCTCACGTCCCTTGCTCTACCGATGACTCTTTCAAAGCATCCCCCAAAGCGCCCAAATCGACATCTTCCTCCGTCACAACGATTTTGCTCGGCGTCTCGGGGATATCGAAGAACCCCCAAATGGGACCGCTTTGATTCACGCCCGCAGGACGGAGTCGCATCCTCTCCTTCTCTTTTTCCTTCTTACTATTTGCAGGGGTTTTCTGCGAGGAAGAAGAAGGAGTGGAGGTCGAAGTCGAGGCGGTAGAAGTCGTTTGTGCCGAGGCCGAAGACTCCGGCCGTTGCAGGGATATATGCGGAGACAGCAATCTCGGGGATGGAGAGTGCGAAGGCGTGGCTAGATTCGATTGTGTGATTCTGACCGTTGATGCTGGTGTGGTGTTATCATCGGTAGATGTAGATGGAGGTGTGGGGGTAAGTGTCGTATTATCATTAATGACCGCCGCAGGTATTGCAGGGGAATTTGTAGCAGAGGTTGTATTTGTAGTGCTAGGCGTAGGAGCCGCGCCCCATTTTCCCATGACCCACCCTCCAATCTTGGTTGTGAGACCAGCGGAGGGTTGACGCAGATTCCGAGGCGTCGAGTCCGCGCTGTTCGGCGGATTTCCGGTACCAGCGTTGCGTTTCGAAGACGCGAGACGAGAGTATAGGAGCGAACGGTTGTACGTGCTGCTATCCATACCCGCGCGACTCATGCCTGCGGTTGCGGTTGCGGTCCACGGCGTGAGTTCGGGTTGGATGGAGGATGCGCCGCCTGGAGTTGCGAAGCGTGGGGATGAGGAGAGAAGGAGCTGCGAGGGACGGGATTGTAAGGTGTGAATGTCCATTCCCGAGATAGAGATTAGCGATTCGTGGGATGCGGCACGGCGGAGGGTTTGAGGGCGGGAGAGGTTCATGGGGGAGATGAGGTCGTAGGGGTCTTCGTCTGGGGGATTTGGACTTGGATTCGGACTCGGACTCGCTAGCAGGCTGTCTTCGTCGTTTTCCTCTGGGATTGCCGGTTGCGCGGCCACGGATGGGGAGAGGTTGAGGGTATCGTTTGCAAGGGAGTTTGCGGGACTGACGGCGGAGATGATGGCGGTTGCGGGACTGCTTTTTGCGGTTATAGAGAGCGGTGTGCTTGCGCTGCGGATCGTGGATAAGGTAGGCGGTCGTAGGCTATGCGACTTTTTGCGTTTGTGATACACACTGCCTTGGGCGAAGATTTCCGAGGTTGGTGCGAACATGGGAGACTGTAGGTCAATAGAGTCGGAGGGGCTTGTGGGGCGCGAGGAGTCGTAGGGCACATCGCTGAATACACGATCGTATATTGAGTCGCGATGTGATACCGAGACAGGAGAGCCAGGTAGAGAAGGAGCAAGAGTAGTAGCATTGGACCAGCGATTGTTGGTCGGTACAGTGACGGCAGTTTGGGACATGATGGCGGCTTGTGCGCCGGCATCCGGCTGAATGGGTGGGAAATATGTTGGATTGATGCTGAATCGTTTGTTGCGGGAACGCCGTTGCGGCTTAGATCTGGGAGTGCTTTTCGGTGGTGCTTGTCCGTGGTAGTGGTGGTGTATGTGCAACTCTTGATTGTACACACTCTCCGGCCCAAGTTCTTTCTGCAGAGTTGGGGTTTCCACACCTTCCTCGATAGCTGGCGGCGTGGTAAGAGGTTGGTGGACTCGAAGCTGGTCTCGCAATCGTTCAACTTCCTCATTCGAGTTGAGCAGCATCTCGCGTAGTTCCACGATCCCGTGCTGCAGATTCGCATTGTCCATTAAAATGTCCTTGACGAAATGCGAGACAACGCTAGACCCCCCCTTTTCCTGGCCTTGTTTGGCTCTGAACCTGCCTGCTGTCGTCGCCAGTTCCCCATCCACCACCATACGGCGCTCCATTCGTGCCACAATCTCCAAATGCCTCTCCGCCTCTTCACGAGCTTCCTTTTCGATTCTGTCGATCTGGTCCTGGAGATTCACAATCGTCTGTTCTGCCCGCTTCCATCTTTGCAATGCCGAACGCTCGTCGGCTGTCTTGGACTCCAGGCTGGACTGGATCAAACTTTGCTCCCTTTCCAGATCGATCAACTGGCGCTCGAGCAGCGATGTTTTGTTGGCGAGGGTGCTTAACCGTTGAAGCTCTTCTTCGGTCGAGTGCAGGGTTTGAGTAAGGGCCTGAACGTGGGCATCGGACGCGGCGACAGCGTCGTTGAGGCGCTCGAGTTCGTCCAGTAGATCGCGGTTTGCCTTTATGGTCTGGGCATTCTTTTCCTCCAGCTGCAGCTTCTCCTTCTCGAGGTCGTCGATTGCCTTTTGCATCTGATTGCGCTCGCGCTCTGAATCCGCGACGTAGGTTTCATGCCGTATGAGGAGGGCCTGTAAAGCGAATGTTAACGGGACTTGGTCGTCCATTTGCTTTTGCTTTTGCTTTTTCCCATGGAATATACGAATGCGACAGCGTGACTAGGAATAGGTGAGGGCAGGGAGGGCACGTACTTGACCCAACTGAGCGGCCTTGCTCACGTCGCGTTCCAAGCCTTCCAATAGTTTCCCGTTGTGGGCAAGGAAAGCGCAGTCGGTACTACCGCAGCAACACTGCGGAATGCTGTTACTGCTGCTTCGGGTGGTGGTCGCGGGTGTCGCCATGGCGGAGGAGGTGGAAAGATTATTAAGATTAGCTGGCTACCGCAGAGGCGGGGCCGACAGTGACGAATGGTGCGCGATAGGCGCTCCTTTACTGACGACGTCGGGTGGCTGGGCGATGGGCATGCTGCAGTGGACCGACCGACTCGAGGATTATTAGGTAGGTATGTATAGGTATTATCGTAGGTGAGGGGGGGAGGTGAGGGTGAAGAAGAGCAGAAGAGAGGGGGTGGAGAAGTCAAGGGAAATGAGGTGAAAGACGGCGGGCCTATGTGTCTGGCAGTCAGTCAGTCAGTGTTGGTTGATTTCGGACGGACTGAGCGGTGCTGTCTGGGCGGCGCGTGGCATCCTCATCTCATCTCATGCTTCTGTCGGTCATATCCCAGCAGGTGATGCATGGGTAAGAGAGATGGATAAGTAAACGATGCAAGCAAGATTGCCGGCAAGCGAAAACAAACAGGCAAACAATCGACTCCAAGCAAACAGCCGTTCCTGGCTTGTTGTTGTTCGAGGTCACGGTGCCAGGGAGCATCCCTGCTACACCATCTGCAGGTCAACCTCTTCTCCTCTTTTTCCTGTTTATCCCGCCTCGCCGTCCGCCCATTGGCTCTGCGCTTCCCTCTCTCTTCTCGTATGCACCATGATGTATGTCTTCTCACCATCGACCAGCCTCCTTCTTATTTTTTTGGCCCTTGGTTTTTGAACATGGGCATGTTAGATAGGTGGGGGATGCCCTGACGTCGTTTTCTTTCCAATAGCCCACACCTCTCTAGTGCAAGGGGAGGAATCCCTTTCGAGCATGGCGCATAAAACCTCTAAGATTGAGAGACACATCTGAACGCACCTGTCGTGCATCACCCTCGCATTTTCCCTGTGAAGATGGTCCACTTGAACATTGCTAGCACCCATGTACATTTTTCTAGTCATGTTCTCGGCGCGGAAATCATCATGTGCCGTCCTTGTCTCTGACCCTTTGCTCACCGCCCGCTTACACGTGCTCGCGAGCTTTGCTCACATGACTGAGTCCCTAGATTCACGTGACATTTCGCCTTTGCTCGCCCAATTGGGACGTTCCTCTTGGCACGCATTCGCATTCCCTGATCGGGGTTAGCGTCTGCAACACCATCTTCAAAAACAGGCACCCACGAAACTGCTTTTGCAATCATACGGGGTTCATTTCTGCGGCTGAGCAGTCTGACTTGTTCGCTTTGATGGCAATTCGGTGGTATTCTTTGAACTTGGCCGATCAATCAGGAGATGATTCCGAGTTTTTCCGTGCTTGAATACGAGAGGAAAGTAGACATCAATGGATGATGGAGATAAATATAAATACCTGTTCCTGACGGTTTCCACTGCTAACACAAGAACTTCACTTCACTTCACTCCGACTCTTATTATCAAACGTTTTGTTCAAGTGCTGGGCCTTCACACTCCTACCCTTCATACAATCCTTTACTTCAACGACAGCGGCACACACCTCGACACAAGTCCACCACAAAACCCACAGTTCCAATCCTTTCCAACCAAAAGCCCCAAGAAGAATCCACTAATCTCATCCCTCGAGTCCCTCGAAACCAAAAAAAAAGGAGGGAAAACAAATAAAACATCATTACCGCAAACCCCGCAAAAAAACAATGCCCAGCTTCAAACCACCCACCACAACACTCTCCCCCCTCGCTCTACGCCACCACATCCTCCGCCCACCCCCATCCATACTCGGAAGAACAACACCACCAACACCAACAAAAGGCCCATTCTTTAAACAACCCCCCCGCACCCCCTCCAAACGCAGCTACACCACCACCCCATCCCCGCCCCACCCACCAAAAAACGACCCCTCCGCTGCACCCTCGCTATCCATCCTCCCGCAAGTCCTGGCCCTCCCGCGTCCGCTGCGTTATACCATCTTCTCCGCCTTCTTCCTCGCCGCCCTCGCCGAATCTACTTTCTGGGTTAATCTGATGTATTACAAGTTCTTTGCTACGAATGAGGAGGAGCGGGAGAGGGGGAGGGAGTTTGCGGCGAGGCTTGAGGAGGCGGTTGGGAATGCTAGGGGGGCTTGGTTGGGCAAGTATGGGGAGTGGTTTGGGCGGGGGGTTTGGGGGGTTTGAACGTGTGGGGATTAATGGAGAGCGGAGGTTGTGATTTATTTCTGTAAAGCTATAGTGTTTCTCTTTTGTTGATTTGTACTATATAGTGCTGTTATTTCGTGTTGCACGTATGCATTTTAAGATTTTGAAATGTTGAATGTGACTTTCTTAACACGAACTTCGCCTCGTGTGACTATTAAAGAAAGAGTCTTTTTAGATGCAGAGGACTCGTTGAGAAAATGCATCTATGCTCCATGCAGCCCGTGAATGAGAAGAGATGGAAAGAGACTCCAAGCTTGCGAACCAAAGGAAGCAAAATCACTCTCCCGTCTCTACATTCTCATCAACGCCGAATTCATCCACAATCCACGCGCAGTACTTCTCCCATCGCCTCATCCACTCCTTTAGCCTCTCTGCCCTCTCCCCTTTACCCATACTTCCATCCTTGACGCTAGCCACCCACTCCTGTGGGGTGTAATCCTCGAAGCTAGCCCATCGCACGCTGTTCTCCGCGAGCGAGCCCAGCCCTTCTAGGCCAAGGTTCTCCCAACCTTGCAGTGCCTGCCAAAAGTCATGCGACATGCCCGAGACGCCCTGGCCAAGAATCGTAGGATCATCGTTGCTGAGCGAGCACGACACGCCACGAGCAAGCAGCGCGGGAAGTGGGTGCGACATGATGCTTCCGCATAACCGTAATACTTCGTTCGAAACGGGACAGCTCTCGATGAGGATCTTCTTCTCCTTGACCATGTCGACGAGAAGCGGGTGCTTGTAGAGTGAGAAGCCATGTCCAATGCGTCGTGTACCGAGTAGTACAGCATCAAAAAGGTTCTCGTCCACCGAGTCACCATCACCTAGTGTCTCACCCGCATGGAAAAAGAAGGGGATGTCGACACCTTCTTCAGCACACTTTTTGCGGAAGTAAAACAGCTCTGGAGTCAAGTCTGCGAGAGGACGACCCATGTCCTCTTGCCCCACGAGGTCGTAGCCAGCAATCAATTCGGGGAACTCGATCTTGGTCTCGATACATTTGTTCATACTGTCAATGACCATGCGCTTGTTGAATGCGCGGATGGTAGTCCAGATCATGCGAGCACCCCAGAACTCGCGACCTTCGTCCGACTCCTTGAAGTTCTGGATCTCATCTTCGAGATGCTCGCAGTAGCCGAGGAAATCAGGATCCCAGTCCTCTTGCCCGAGGCGGCGGTACGGTGTGTAGAAAGCGGATCTCATGTCGACGTAATAGACGCCATCCTCGAGCAAAACCTGCAGCATCTTACGAATAAACTTGCGGAAGATGGGCTCGTAGTAGATGAGAGATCCGAGGATGGGGAAACAAGACATGAATTTGCGCCACACCTCATTGGGGCCTTCGTGGTGTTTGAGGTGCTCATCCGGGGTGATGGTGACGCGCGATCGAATCCATTCCACAAATCCTTTGCGCCCGCCGTCTGGGAAACTGTCTGCAGCCGCCACCAGCGGAATCTTGGTGGAGGGCGTGTAATCATCGCTCCATATCGAAAGCTGGCTGTTTGCGGAGTTTTTGGTGTAGGTGAAGGAGAAACCCGTCTTGAGCCTTGCCTGTTCGCTCGAAAGGGGTGCATCGCTAATCAAGCAGACTCCTTCGGTCACAAAAGCTTCTTCGAGCGCCCAGTCAATGTCGACCATGGCTTCCAAATGGCAGTGCAGAAGGGCTCCTTTGGGCATCTTTTTAACAATTTTCCAGAGCTTGCTTTTCTCCATGCGGTCTCTAGCCAGATTGAACATCATTCCTGGATACACATCGACGTGCTGGCTGACCAAGCTGTCTTCGTACTCCTTGGTCCATAATGTTTGCTGCTCCGAAAAGCGGATCTGAGAGACAATGGCGCTGGCTTCTGCAGCGGTGGGGGAGAGGTTTTGACGGAACAGGTAATCTGAGATCTGCTGTCAGAGCAGATCGTTTATATTTTCACATTCTCACTTTCAAGTCGAGATCGTGATGATGGTTTCGTGCTACTGACCACTCCGCTGCTTCTTCTCTTGCTCTACCAAAGCGTCTCTGCCTGAGAGGTATTTTTGAATGAATGGGTCGGTTAGGCTCGGAACGCCCTCGGCTTTCTCCCAGTCATCTGTGTTTGTATTGTTTTCTGGTGCCATTGTGGAGGTCGGAGACAGATGATTCTCAAGATACCCGCAGAAGTGGGGTCGAACAGATAGAAGAACGAAAAAGAAAACTTTATATGAAGCAAATGTTTGCTGTGTTTGTGACTGTAAAGGCAACGGCCGGGGATGCTGATGTAAGACTTCTCAAAGGGCTTAGCGCAGAGGAAAGGGAGCGGAGGCTTATCGGTGATGCGGGGCGACGGATAAGGCATCATCATACTGTACATAAACACACCTGCACACTTAGTGGTTATGTTCCTTTGAATGCATAGCCGCGTTATTTATAATTTGACTGCTGATGAGTGGACGGTGCTTGATTAGTTATGATATGCGGAAAAATAATCCAGACACGCATACGCATCGTGATTGAGGGAGGTCTGCCGTGCTCTGGTGACTACGTGATGTCTACCAGGACGTGACTAGGCTGGCAACGCATCATCCGCCCATTCATCGCCTTTCGCTTTCCATTCCCTCTCTTCCCCAACCAAACTACCCACTCACCCATCCACACCTACATTGAACGAATCGATCCTCATCCCTCGTTCCGAAGCTATCATCACAAACATCTTCAGCCCGCCTCACTCACCTACGACTGTTTGCCCTCCTGCTAAGCCGCCGCCGCCGCCTGAATCGCATAAACAACAAAACACACCCTCTCACCCTCTCTCAACCGAAACCAACCACATTCACGTACCACATATCCTCCTTTTTCGTTCACATTTTTCATCGCCGTCGCCGGGGTTACCACAGCAAGCTCACATCGCAGCCACCACTTATGGAGCATCTTCCAGCGCACCGGTGAGGCTCCACTTGCCTTCCACCCACTCGCATCACCAACCTCGGCCAACCTCCCCCTTCACCACTACCACTGCCATGGCCTTCCTCTTTAACATTTCTTCCTCCATAGGCAAGAGGCTCTTGCTCTTTGGCCTTCGCCATATCGATATCCTCGACAAAGACCCGGCCGACTTCGTCAATGTAGACGTGGGCAAGGAAACAACTCTGCGAATGACGGATGTAGGACTGCATGTCAAGGCAAGTCGCCCGAAGTTTGGGTAAACGATTTCATAACGATATCATACTGACCAACTACTAAACAGAAATTAATTGCTCTCCTACACCTCAAACTGCCCCCGGGCGTTCAACTCTCCGAAGCTCGAGCCTCCCTCTTCCGCATGACCTTCATCCTCGAGTTCGGCGTTCCACAGATCATAGTCGAGATAGATGGTATAAAGATACACGCGCAGATCGCCCCAGATAGCCCTACTCCACAATCCAAGTCGCGCGGCACAGAGCGTTCCCAGCCCCGTGCTCGGTCACCAGCATATCATCCGCCTCGTGGCAATAACTCGGAAGACCCGCAGTCGGATGACGAAGACGAGGATGAGGGTCATGTGCCGACAGTCGATGATCTTGCCGAGTCGTTCCTTAGAGAAGAACCCGCGGAGGAGATCAAGGAACTGGAGCATCAGTTGGAATCTCAATCGGCAAGTCTACAGGACTCCGTCTCCAGCGACGACGATGATGAGAGTGACACGGGAATGGGCGCTCCCTTGGCTCTTCCAACCTATTTGCGCAATTTGCTGAATACCGCCCTCGATCGACTCAAGATTGTCATCAATAACATAGACATTGAGGTCGAAGACCAGTTCCCACTGGATTCGCCCAACGTCGCTCGAGATGAAGAAACCCCATATGTTTCGCTCAACTTCCATGTGAACCGCGTCAGCATGGATTCTGTGACTTCGGAAGAGCCTAGAATAGACGTGACGGCCTCTACGCCACCAACGCAGGCCTCATCAAAGATCGGAAAGCGCCGACTGCGCCTTGAGAAGATTTGCGCTCGAATTGTCTCGGATGCGGAAAACTTCATTACAGTTCCGCAGATCTCAAGGTCAGCTTCACCAGAAGCCAGTCGATCCGAAGCTTCTACACGCAGAACGTCTCATAGCGAACATTCTGGCAGTCGCCTATTCCAAGATCAAGATCCGCTAGTGCAATCTGCAGAGGTCGCATCACCCGCCCAGTCCTCCATACTCAAATCCCCTCTCCGTCACGAGGAAATTTCGGTTAAAGGAGAATCGCCGAGTCCTGTGCTTCAATCACAGACATTGCCACATCAGTCAAGTAGTTTGCATTCGTCAATCCACACAACCGACGAGGACCGTTTTGCTGATGTCGGATCAGATGATGGTTTAGGGAACAGCACCTTGACCGAATCCCAAGGTTCCATTCCTATTCGTGACATGAGTGCGAGCAGTGTTTTGTTCGATGACGAAGGACTTTTAGGCTATGCGATGCAGAGCCAGCTGCTGGACTCGCAGATTGAGCAAGGGTTTGATTCACAACACTTCACAACCCAGCCGCCGTACGATAGGAACATGGTTGATGCAGATGCGGCCTATCAATCAAATGATTCTTATTACGAAAGCAACGCATCATCATCCGGTCTTCTTTCGGCTTCTGCCTTGAATCAGTTGTCATCACCCACAAGCAATGGCCAGAGTGACTACCCTTCCTCGGACCTGAATCCAGAGCCTCCCGCTAATGAAGCACACCTAACACGCCCAATCGCAACAGAACCACTGGAAAATCCGGAATACCACGATGACGACCGAAATTCGACAAAAGAAGAAGATCTCAGCGATGACGATCAACCGCAAAATGATGCTTTGAGTGAATCGCTACTGTTCTCCCATGACGACGCTGAAAGCATGTACATGAGTGCTATGAGTGCTCCATTGGATTCGAGCCGCCGTGCTACAGTACCGGGAGGCTGGGATTCTTCATCCGATGCATCAAGTCGTGGAACACAATCCGATGTATCTACCCCGGTTCCTGAATCAATGATAGCGGGTAGCATTCTGCAGCCGGCCATCGAAGCCGAAGATGGTTGTGTAACCCCGCGACCTTCCAGTCCCCAAAGCGTTTTCTCTTCCCCCATGGAGTCACGTCAAGTGCCGTCAGCTGATAATTTCCCCGGTCCCCCTGAACAAATTTCGACTCTCTCGAAACTTGCAAAACGATTTTTGACTATTGATGAAATCACTGTATGGTTCCCTCTGGGCCTAGTTGAAGAGAGTTCCCCCTCAGTCGATGATCAGTCTACGCTTGCAGAGTCAACATTTGATTTCGACCCCCCGAATCTAGCAGAAGATTCAATATTCCAGGGCATGCCGGGATCATTCTCTAATTATGCGCATTCGACATCAACGCGCAAAAGCCATCCCATGGAGGCCAGCTCCAGGAGACGTCCGAGTGTGCGACCCACCCCAACTGGGAAGCCTTCCGCAGAGCCAAAGAAAACCCCTTCGTCGGCTATCAGCATCGACATCGGCACAGTTTCGGTCCATATCGACTTCTCTACTGGCTTCATTATGTATCAAATGCTTACAAGAGCCCTGTCAGCTTTTAAAGGCGAAGATCCAGCCAAGGAGGACCCCCCAAAACCTCAAGCCACTTCCCCCGAGTCCACTGCAACACAGAGTAATATCGAACTTTCGATTGGGTTAATTGGTGTTTCTATGCGAGAGCGCATTATAACCGAGTCTCTGGCCTTGAATTCAGATTCACTCAGTTTACTCGACACAAACCCGCTGGACGCTATCCTGAAAGTTCGTCTCTCAGCATTGTACGCTGCGAGCCAGATTTCGGCACAGGATCTTCGTGCAAAACTGACAGTTGGTCAATTCACCCTCTCATCACTTGATCATGACATTGTTACTTTCAAAGAATTGCGGTCTAAACCTAGAAAGCCGACAGGAGGTAGCGACATAGAGATCGATTATGAGCAGGGCCGAGATCGACGTCTGACGATCGTCACGCGTCCAGTGAATGTTATGTTTGACGTGCAGAAGTTGGATGAGGCACTGAGTTCTTTTGGAGGTTTCAGTGGTGTGCTGGAATTGAGCAGCTCGTTCTCATCTCCTACTCTCAGTCCAATCGCTTCTCCTAGTTTGTCTAGGCCACGAGGTGTTCACTTTCGAGATACACCCGCCGCACCCCCTCCTACGGATCCGTCACAACCGTCTATGATGCCAAAGATAGACGTGCAATTTGGAGAAGTAGCCTTCACCCTAAAAGGCAAGAGCTGCGCAGTGCAATTGCACACTACTTCTGTGCGCCTTGCCGTTCGTGAAAGCAACGTGCGCTTGAAGATCTCCGAAATTCAACTGTCTGGTCCATACACTGAAGCTTCAACGGAAGCTGCGTTCACTGTCAAATTGGAGAGCTCCACACTGACTTTCCTCTTTGTTCCCCGAGAAGAAGATCTCGCGAAACTTCTCGCCATGATTACGCCTTCCAAAGACAAATACGAGAACGATGACGATATTCTTGTGGACACACTCCTGAGACAAAGGCGAAAAGGTTCCGTCCTACGAACCGAAGTAGCAAGCCTAAGCGTGCGCGTTGCCGATCCGACCCAGCTACAAGCTTTTGAGGCACTTGGTGCCGAACTTGCGATGCTATCAAGAGTGACAAAATATCTTCCAGATGATGATCGACCAGGTCCATTGACCCTTACCACCATAGACAACATTTCTGTACTCGCTCTGGTGAATCAGCGCCTAGGCGACTTGACTCTCACGTTGACAAATACGTCAGTCGCACATGTCGGTGTTCCCTCTCTTTTTGCGGCCGAAGTTGGCAGCATCCTTGCTCAAAGAAATGAAGAAATATTGGTCCATGAAGTGGTTGAGATACGTGGCGGCGACATTCTTCCAATGGCCATGGTACGTTTTGTTGGCGATGAAATGGAGCCGGTCATCAAAGCAAAATTTCATAATCTTTGCATCGAGTATCACGTATCTACAATCATGGCGGCCCTGGGAATCTCTCCAGATGGAACTGTGGACGAAATCACGTACGGCCTGGCATCATCAATAGCTACCATCACTGGAGCAGCATCCCCTGCAACGCTTAGCAGGCAGACCTCGGCTTCCACGTCTCCTCCCGCCAAAGCAAATAAGAAGCATATCCACATTGATGTACTATTGAGACATTGTGCGTTGGGTCTCAATCCCCGTAAACTACCAGCGAAAGGCATGTTTGTCTTGACCGACGCGCACTTCCTTGGACGACAATCAAAACACACAGATTTTACCGTACAGATTGAACTTCGAAAAGCCTCCATCCATGCTATTGATAACGTTGCTCGTCTCGAAGAGAAAACAGACCAACCATTAGCTAACCATGGACCCGCTAAGCACCAGCTGGCGCAGCTTCTCGATTTGGGCTATGTTTCTATGAGTTCCATCTCTGCAGCTAAGGTTTCCGTCAACATTACTGGTGATGGAAAAGACCGACCTCAGCTGGTGGACGTCGAATTCAAAAATGAACTTTTTGTGTTAGAATCATGCGCTGATTCTACACAAACTCTGGTCGCCATCCTTAACGGGTTACAGCCACCGAAGCCCCCCTCAACCGCAGAACGGTATCGGACTGTAGTTCCTCTTCAAGAGATGATGGAGTCATTCACGGGTGCCGCCATTGATAAAGAAGATACTCTAGACGATGAGAATTTCATGGAGAATGCCGACCTAGTGGCCGACGAAGTTCCGACCAATTTGGAGTTCGTTGGCAGCTTCTACAATCAAGAATCCCTCCCGACAGAAGAGGAGCTTGGCGACAGCCTGCTTGATGAAGACGATCTAGGAGCTTTAGCGTCGCCGCCATTGGTCCGTCAACGGGGAGAACGAGGTGTATTAGAAAGTTTCCAGGAACAGTATGAGGTTGCTGAAGGAGAAGAGGACTTTGACTTTGACGAAGACTATTTCAAGGGATCTGGCTCAGAAGTGAAAGGCAAGGCTCGCAAATGGGACTCGACAAAAAACCGATACCATCTTTCCAATGAGTACAAGGTGGCGGACGCGCCCCTCAAAGTTCGTATACGAGATGTCAATGTCATTTGGAATCTCTACGACGGATATGACTGGCCTGCTACTAGATCAGTCATTGCGCAAGCTGTGGAAGACGTTGAAGCTCGGGCAGAAGAACGTCGTCGCCGGCATCCAGAAGAGGAGGAAGAGGACGACTTTGTTGAAGAAGACTTCTTATTCAACTCTGTATGGATAGGGGTACCTGTCAAGGATGATACCGGCGGACTAGCACGACAGATCAACCGTGAGATTGACGACCAAGTGAGCGAAACCGGGAGCTATGCAGCTTCGACTGCCACCCGCTCGACAAATGCGACTATTCGGCCTCGCAGTGCGACGAAATCCACGAAAGGAAGACTGAAACTTCAACGAAGCAGACACAAGAAGATCGCCATAGAACTTATGAGTGTTGCAGTTGATCTGGTTGTATTTCCACCCGATTCCGGAGAGACGCTCAGTTCTGTCGATGTTCGCGTGCAAGACTTTGAGATATTCGATCACGTGCCGAAGTCAGCATGGAGGAAGTTTTTGACTTGCACCATAGAGCGCTCGCAGCGCGAGATCAACCGTCCTATGATCAACCTTGAACTTTTAACGGTCAAGCCTACTGAAGATCTAGCTGCATCGGATCTCGTCATCAAAGTCAGCGTTCTTCCACTACGTTTACACGTAGATCAGTATGCACTCGAGTTCATAACACGTTTCTTTGAGTTTAAGAATGAATCTGAACTTTCGAGTTCCACTCCAGCCGAACAACCATTCATTCAGCGACTCGAAGTCAATGCAGTACAAATGAAGCTCGACTACAAACCCAGGCATGTCGACTATCGCGGGCTGCGTTCAGGACATACGACCGAGTTCATGAATTTCTTGATGCTGGACGAGTCAAATATCACGCTGCGACACGCCATTGTCTACGGTATTTCCTCTTTTGACAAGCTGCACAAAACCCTAAACGATGTCTGGATGCCTGATGTGAAACGCAATCAGCTTCCTGGCGTGCTGGCTGGTCTCGCAGTGGTCCGCCCTATCGTCAACGTTGGTTCTGGCGTCCGAGATCTTGTCGTCGTCCCCATGCGCGAATACAAGAAAGATGGTCGCATCGTCCGAAGTCTGCAGAAGGGTGTTTACGCATTCGCCACCAACACAACGGCCGAAATGGCCCGTCTTGGTGCCAAAGTCGCGATTGGGGCGCAAAACATCTTGGAGGGCACCGAAAAGATCCTTGGCGCAGAATCTTCTTCGTCTTCTACGTCACATGCTCGTTCAACCTCGCACCAGCATCAGGATTGGGACGGTGATGATCCTTCTTCAGACAGCGAGGATCCTCGCCCTGTATCAAATTACGCACATCAACCCATAGGTGTGCGCGCGGGTCTGCGGTCTGCTGCTCGCCATCTCGAGCGCGATCTCCTGACTGCTCGTGATGCTGTCATTGCCATTCCCTCGGAAGTCATGGAAGAAGGGAGTGGCGTGGGTGCTGCCAAAGCCGTAGCAAAGCGTGCGCCGACCATCTTACTTAGACCGGCTTTGGGGGCTACCAAACTTGTGAGCAATGCTTTACTCGGGGTGGGCAATGCCTTGGATCCGCAGAGTCGGAGAAAGATTGATGATGTAAGTTCATCTTCGTGTGTCCCTATTTTCATGTGCTTTTGAAGCCAGTGGAATTCTGACAACTAACCTCTGGCCGCGTTTTGCAGAAATATAAATCGTACTAGAGTTATAATGGCTGTATACGTCAAATTTGCCCCCCAATCAACAGCTTGGTGTTCTGGAGCAATGCCAGTTCCTCAGTCGATCTTTTACCGGTCGGAGAAAATCCCCCCTCTGCTTTTATAAGTCATTTGTATGCGATACCATTGGTGGCGTTATCTGGGCTCGGTTCATAGTAGAGTAGGAACTTTTGGCGATGCATTTGAAAGGAATGGATTCTCATCCGCAATCTCTATCAGCATGGCGCTCCTTGTTTCTTTTGCCCTTTTTGGTCTCCTCCTCCTTTACCATCACCTTGTTCACACCGACTATAAGATTGCGTTGAGGTGTGTCAATTACATTATCAATATTTTCATTCAAGCCATTGGCAATACAAATCTTCGTTGTAGTGTGTAGAACGAGTCTGATCTATAATCAACCTCATCTCGAACTTATCTCCATGAATTGAGGCGTACTACTTCACTCTCGCTGGCGGCGGCGGGAATTCACCTGAAACGGACCTTGAGGAACCAATTCGATGATCGGTTGCCATTCTCTCTGATGATGGGGCTGCATGCCCTTACTCCGACACTCAGCAGCCCAATGTCCAAACCGTCCACACTTAAAACAAACCTCTCTACACCCGCGACTCCAATGTCCCAACCCCCCACACCGATGACACCTACCCTTACACTTCTTCGTCGCATGCCCAAACTGTCCACACACCAGACACGCATCCCCGCAGTATCGGGCAGTGTGTCCAAGCCCGCCACATGTCCAGCATCGGTCAGGACAATGCGCAGTTGCGTGTCCCACTCTTTCACATGCTGAGCATACATTGGGGCAATTTCGCGCGTAGTGGCCGCGGGTTTTGCAGGTCCAGCATTTTTGGAGGGATGGACATGAGCGGGGGTTGTGACCCGGATATAGGGTTGAGCAGTTTGGGCAGATATTTGGGCAGTCTGTGGTGGTGTGGCCAAGTGAATTGCAGGTCTTGCAGTAATAACGGGTGGATTTCGATTTGATGGGCGATCTCTTCTTTTTCTTTGTCTTTTCTTTCTTCGGAGGTGATGTTGAGGTTTTGTGTTCCAAGGTTGGTGATGGGGGTGCAACGATTTCTTCTGTCGAGGAGGTTGCGCCGAGTGAGATTGCGGTGAAATCTTCTGTTAGATCTTCTGGGGTCGATAGGGAAGAGGGTAAATGCTCCTTTGCGCAGTCCCGGCAAAAGTACGAATTCTCTCTCTTAAGCTCCACCCCAGCAATTGCAACAACGCGTTGCAGCACATCCGCAGTATCGATCCGAGCCACCTGATCCGGATCCAGCATATCATGACAAATCCCGAGCAACCCTCTATTCACGCCAACATCTCTCTTCCCATTGGCACCCTCACACAGCCTGCGCCTGATCTCCTCGATCTTCCGATGATACGGCAGCGAATCTTTCGATCTCAAACCAATCCCTGGATCCAACACATCAAGCATCTCAACAAACACACATCCAAGAGAGTAAACATCACTCTTCCGATTCCTATCCCCCCAATCATTCACCTCAGGAGCACAATATCGTGGCGTATACGCCCCAGGAGGTCCCACAGTCATCGTATCCTCGCCCTCCGCATCAAACGAGATGCCGAAATCCGCATACATCACTCTTCCATGATGAACGAGTATATTCTGGGGCTTGATATCTTTGTGGCGAATAGTATGCGCGTGGATGTGTGATAACCCTCTCACGAGGCATCCAAACGCACGCTGCAAAACTCCCCGTTGCGATCTCGTAGGCACACCGCACGCCACGGCATCCGTGATGTAGCGTGCCAAGTCGCCGTCGCTGGCCGCGGGACTCAGCATGATTCCGAGATCGCTGCTCGATGCGAAGGTTCCTAGCACCTGGACTATGTGGATGTGCGGCGCTAGACGCGTCATGATTGCGACTTCATTCTCGAGTGCACGTTTCGCAGATGCGAATTGTGCGCCGTTGTGCCGTGGGAAAGTTTTCAGTGCAAAAGTTTGCTGTGTGGTTCTGTCGCGCACGAGTTCGATTACGGCGCTGCTGCCGTGGCCGAGGAGTTTGATGTGTTGGAAGGGGAGCGCAGAGCGAGGGGTTCCGCTGAAGTTTAGGAGTGACGACGGGGAGATTGTGTTTTGAGGGTTCGTAGGTGGAGGATGAGAGGGCGCTGGATCTCGTTGATGGGTTAGTTGATTTTAGAGAATTTTAGACTGGTTTTACATCGTATAGTTTGCGTATTGGAATTTTGAATCGATTCAGTTGTGATAGAGTAAGAAATGAGTGCTTTCAGATATGTTTGACTCACATTGCACGTCAGTGTCGGACATCTTGGTTCGTCCTGTTTGCGCGTTGCGATGAATAGTATAATACTAGCTTTCAGCACTCAAGTCTGCAACAACGAGCGTGTTCTTGTCTATGCAGAAGAGGTACAAGTACGGTAAACTTATGAATCACGATTCGCATAGTGAATGCACATTGATGACTGAATTGAAGAATGTAGATTGTCTATCTTCTTATTCATGGTCGAAAGTGGAATTCACAGCACCTAGCCGCGCGATCGTATCCGCTAGGGCCTGCGGCCGTATTCTGGCGAAGGCACACCTATCATGCATACACTGGCTGTTACGATGCCTCAGCCTCGTGTCGTTCTCAGCCAATGAAGTTGAGATCCTCGTATTGATTTCGCGGGCCGAATGACTCACTTTTGGGTTTGGCTTGTTCATCAATGTTCTGAATAAAAATCCCATTTCAGCATTGAAGTTTAGCTAAATATTCTGGATCAGATCGAGTAACCCCTAGCTTTGAGGTCAGGGTCAATTAAAATCGCTGTATATCTTAGAAGAGCTCGTTATGATAAGGCAAGATATGAGTTAACCCCGCACGGGCTGTGTACAGATGGCTGGTAGATCAAGTGCAAGGCTTTCGATCAAGCGAGTGTGGCTTTGTTCTGCACTGCTTTCTTTGCGCCTATCTTAATGAAGCTTACTCCCAGCGGGCATTTCATATTTTGTTTTTCTAGTACTCATTTTCTCATTTTCTCAGCATGGATTTTATCTACTGTGCATTCTGACGAAGGCGCTTGCTTTCCAGTTCGAGACAGATTCAACGAGAAAAATGTCGCGTCTACCGAAACTCTATCATAGAAGAGACATTCGTTTGATCCGTATCAAGCCCGGAACGAAACAATCCAACATTGAGATTGAAATCGAAACTTCCAACCTTGACTCAAATGTGGAGTACACCGCGCTTTCCTACGTTTGGGGGGAAAACCCTTCGCTCCCGTCTTCCATCGTTTATGATGGGCAGAATGTGCCGGTTACTCGTAACCTCTGGGAAGTCATGCTGCGATTCCGAGCAGAGAGATTAGTCGGCCTGTTATGGGTTGACGCTATATGTATCAATCAGCAAGACAACGATGAGAAGAGCATGCAGGTCAACATGATGAGGGATATTTACAAACAAGCTGCCAAAGTGATCTTCTGGCTTGGAGAGCAAGAAGAGTACGACGAGGATGCGGTTAAACTGATCAAGGTATTCAACGAAAACAACAAAAGACCCGTAGACAGAGCATTCCCCAGCGGGATGCATTCCAAGGAACTGTCCGACTTGGGTTTGCCATATGATGACCCAGGATGGTCAGGTTGGGCTTCGCTACTCTGCCGACCCTGGTTTGGCCGTGTGTGGATAGTTCAAGAATTCTTGAATGCCTCGTACGCGGTCTTCAAAACTGGTTCTCTGGAAATTGTTCGCGAGGACTTGATCTGGTTCGCATACGCCAGCGGGGTAAGTGTCGGCCTTATCGCGCGCGTGGGAGACTGTATGAACGTGCCGGGAAACCACAGAAGTACAATAATGCGAGCATTCCATCTGGCTTGGGACTTGCTTTTCAAGATAGAAGACAAATCTCTGGTGGATGCTCGGATGGTCGACTCGAAGATCATGGATATGTGGATGAAAAGTCAGATGCTGGGCGCTACAGATCCACGGGATCGTGTCTCTGCCTTGCTGTCAACACAAAATGTCATTAGTCTCGACATTGTTGACTATAAAAAAGATCTGGTGGAGGTATATACAGAAATTGCCAGCATAGCCCTAAATGCGCGACCCTTGGACACTGATTCATATAGTGAATCATCCAAGGATTCAGGATCGGATACATCGGAAACGTTTATGATCAGCCAGCGTACGAGCAGGTTTCTCGGTTGCAAGACTACTTCTTTACACAAACCGTCTTTACCAAGTTGGGTTCCTGACTGGAGACCATCCGCGACTTTAATATTCGAGCGGCTCACACGGTATTTTGTGGGTACCTCCAGGTTTTCTAAGCCCTACATTGACGCTATGATAACGGAAAAGGTAAGTCCAAGCCTCAACATGCTACCTTAAGCGTTCAATGTATATAGTACAACACTGACCTTGGCCGACTTCCAGACTATGTCCATTTCAGGATGTATTATAGATAAACCCGCCATAATAGTAGACTCGCCGTCATACATTCTTCTCCGATCCAGCCATAACAAACTGAGCCTCATAAAACGGATCATCAATTGGCACGTTGCTTGTTATCTTCTCACGTGCGCATACTACCACATCCCGAAGGCATCCAACACCACCCACCTTGAAGAATTCTCCCGCGTCATGGGCTTCAGCGCGTTATACGATGGCACTAAGTGCCCTTCCTTTCATTACATCGCAGGCTTTGGCACGCTTCACAGTAGTCTTATTCACAGTTCCTTAGAACCCATCACATATCGCATTCCCATTCCAGCAATGATCTCATGGAACAAAGACTTAGTCAACTCGTATCGAAGCATAGCAGCAAAGCTGACGCAGGGAAGAATGTTTGCCATCACAACAAAGGGAGATTTGGCCTGGGTCCCCGAAACGACCAAGCTGAATGATTCTATCTGCTTTTTGGCGGGTTGTGCTGTGCCTTTTGTTGTTCGGTCTCATATCGAAGGCGGGGATATGTGGTATGAGCTACTTGGAGACTGTTATTTACATGGGAGAATGGCGGATGGAAACATCGTATTGAATGAAGAGCCGGAAGTCATGGTTTTTCGGTGATGAGTGATAGAATGTTATATTACAAGATATCCACTTATCGGCGATCTGTGCAAGTCTATATTTCACTGATTTATCTCTTAGTTATGTGTCTTTCTCTACTGTTTGACACAATCTAAAAAGCTATCAATTGCATAAATCAGACTTGCAGTAGCTGTAAGCTGTGAAGCGATTTGCGTGTCAAGTATTTACCAGAATGATAAATAGGCTTACGCAAAGAATAAGCAGCCTTGCATTAGAAGCTGCAGCCAAGTAGGTTATATTACCCTGCTTCTCTTATCTCCGTGGCACCATTGTGCCACCGTAGTAAGCAACCCCGCTTTCTTTCGTCTGTGGTTAGGATCATCGGCATCAGATTTGGTGGTAAAGAAGACCATTATATCATATCTGAAGATGATTATGCGTGAGCCAACATCTTCCTGAGGTAAGCCAACAAATCCATATCTGCTGAGCTGAAATAGACACCGATGAATTGATATATATAACAGTACGGCAATATCGCAGGAAACTCTCATAACCACTACAGACTCCGCACTCTAGTTGCTATCTTTCTGGACTCCTCCATTAAAGACATTGCCACATACCACTATGGCACCACTCCTTCCCTCTCCAGTGCCCACATGGCACAACGATACTTACGCATCGATCGACCCAACCAAAGGCGCCTTGAGCCAGAAAGGAAAAACAGTCATCATAACTGGCGCAGTATGCATTTCTACCCAATCTGTCATATGCCTCATCTCTTTATAGTTTAATCATATAGGCGAGCCTGAATGTTTTCTATGGCTCCAGGATAGGTCGTGCTAACCAAAGTCTTTTCCAGGGCTCCGGGATAGGTCGCGCTACTGCCATAGCATTCTCGCAAGCAAATGCGGATCATATCGTTCTAACAGGCCGCACGGAGTCAAAGTTGCGGGAGACCGAGTCCCTAATCCGATATAGCAACAAAGATGTGCAACTCTCCATCGTCGTAGGCTCCGTTACCGACGAAACTCAAATGAAGGAAGCCGCCTCTAACATTGGTCCTTGGGACATTCTGATCCTGAACGCGGCGGTAGTCAACGACCCCAAACCAATCCTGTCGCAGAGCGTCGAGGAAGCATGGTCTGTAGTCGAGACAAACTTCAAGTCAATTTTCGTAATGGCGCACGCTTTTCTCGGCTCCGCAAAGGAAAGCGCGGGTTTGTTTAATATAGGCGCGGCGGGGAGTGCTTTGCCCGCGCGTGTAGCACCCAACATCGGCCCATATGTGTCGAGCAAAGCGGGTGTGGCCAAGTTGGTAGAGCATTTGGCGATTGAGAACTCTCAGGTGCTGATGTGTACCGTTCACCCGGGGGTCATCCCTACGCCCATGTTGCAGAAGAGCGGAATGGATGAAAGCAGTTTGCCTTTCGATACTGGTAAGCTCTGCTCATCATTTTCCCTCTTTCCTCTTTCAATCACTGTTCCTACTGCATAGCAATTCTAACGGTTCGTTTTCAGTCGAGCTGGCTGCGCACTTCCTGGTTTGGCTTTCACAGACTGAGAAGACGCGCTTTCTTCATGGCAAATATGTATATGCGAATTCAGATGTCGATGAACTATCCGCAAAGGCCCAGGATATCAAGGTTTCGGATGAGAATACGACTGGTGTCATCGGTTGGCCCTTTGGATATGAAGTCAAATTCTGAGTGAGGAAATTCGAAAGGAGCCAATGGCAGCAGTGGCGTATTGACGCGAGCGGGGGTAGATAGTTGATCGGACTCCAATAAGAAAAGGAGCGATGAATCGTGGCACTCGATGTCCTTTACGACACGAACATGAGTTTTCTAGCTCTTGCACCTTGTTTCGAAATAGAATGGAAACCTTGGTGCTGATCTATCATGGATGCGTACGTGAAATAATAGCAATGGAACGTGTCGAGATTATGTGTTCGCATAATCATAGATACAAGTATAATCTTGTAAACATGAATGCTATCGTACTTACGACAGACAAAAGCTCATGTTGTACTTTTCGAGAATGCGCATCAAACCGTACGGGCCAAAAGCTTTTGGGTCGTGCTTTTGCTCCTTCCATAGAAGCTCCAACGCTTCTCGAATAAGTCCGAAATGACGCGCGTGATTAGATGTCTTCATCAAGGCAACGAACTCCTCGCGAAGAGCATCCGTTCGAAAACAAGTTACGGCTGCTAAATGAGCCCATGTAGCAACATTCCACCCCTGTTTAGCAAGAATTCGATGTACATTTGCAAGAGCTTCGACCTCAAGCTCGATAGCATCCTCGATCGCGGGTGATGGTATAGGTAGATTGCCCATGAACGCTGTCAAGATGTATATCCGAAGGCCGTGTTGCAACAATCGGCTCACCAAGTAAGTCTTCGACTTGTGGGAGGTATAAGAAGGGTTTGTAGCAGTGTCTTCGTCTAACTCAATTATGGCGATCGATGCGTCCCAGCTCTCGATGGTAGAGCTCAAGTCCGTGTACTCGGTCATGAATGCAGCGGTGGGTTTGATCTCTCCCGCAGATTGTTCCGCAATGCGACGGACGAACAGTGCACAGGCTCGCGGGATTGACGCAAGCAGCACTTTGTCAGCACGGAGCATGGCAGTCACAGGCTCATGGTCCATTGTAAGCCCAGACGATGCAAGCGAGAGAAGATCAACCAGATCTGACTGATGCGGGTAAGGAATAAACAGGTTGGAAAGTGTCAAGTAATTGAAGTTCTCGTATGCGTAACTTGCTAAATCCCGAGTTTCCTCTGGCAGAGAAGAGATATCATGAACCTCGGTCCGTAGTTGGCAGAATAATTGCGTCAACCCGCGAAGATGGACTATCAATGCTGCGTATGGCGATCCGGAATAGACCTAGCGTAGTGAGAAAGCTATCAGCTAAATTCTGACCCGAGTATTTGTCCTGGAGCACCATACCTCATAGATAGCCAGAAAATTTAGCAGCACAAGAAGACGGACGACGTGGCTCACATCCCGACGAACGAGGGTATCGACATCTCTCTGCAGTTCCCGTAGCACATGCGCATAGTGCTTGTAAGTTGCATATGCGAATGGTGATACTCCGGCAACCTTGTATGAGTATGACAGGTGTGTGCCGCTGATAGCCAAGAGCGTGTGCATCAGCAGGTCATCATCATAAGCTACAGGAAGGATTACATCGACGAACGGATTTAACGAAGTAGTTTGGGGGAAGTCTTGCAACAGCACTCCTGTCACATTCGTGTAGTACTGTAGCAACTGGAAGGAGTCCGGCGTCAGTTCGCAAGCCAATCCGTTTTGAACTGATAACAATGGAGCTGGAGTAGGTGCTTTCCTTGATGCTAGCTGTTGCTTCTCTCGAGTTGGAGCCAGGCTGCTGTTCTTCGGCCCCCACTCGCACCGCCAGTCACCGAGCCTGCATGTTTCGCACCGTGGTGTAGACCCCACACACTTCTTCTTGCGTCGTTGACACGTTAAACAGACTTTCTTGCGGCGTGTCTTGGTATTCCGGGCGGCTGGTCGAATGGTCAACTGCTGCTGCATCGTGGAATGGGCGATTCAGTTGTTCTCAGCGTTCGGGCAGCATGCGGGCTTGGAATCTAGAGTTTCGATGCTCGGAGTGGATGTCTCCTGGGATGATGAAGTTCACTATAGCCTGTAGTTCGAGTGATGGGGAGTGGCGTTTGAAGTTATCTTAGCATCCATCGCTCCTTCGGATGACTGGGGTCAGGGAGCCTTGCCGATAACAATTTTTCCCCGAACCCCAAGCCCGGTTTTGCTAGGATGCAGAGCCGTGCGATCCAGTTCACAGTTCCAACCATCCAATCCTGCAGAACTTATCTGTGCCTTTTGTACGTTATCGCGTAAATGAAGATCGGAGAGTCTGGCTCAAGTTGAGTTTCTTAAGTTTGACGCGAAAGTTATTCACTCGCGGTAAGCACAGCATAGCCACCAGGTTTGCATATTCAGACGACATTTGATTTGTGAAAAAGAGCGAGCGGTGAGCCCCTTGATCCTGCAAGGGTAGACTTATCCCAACGTGACAACATCTGAAGTGATACTATAATGAACATATAGCAATAACAGTGGCATGTCCTTGACGCTCATTTTTACTTACATATATGTATGCTTTCTGGATTTAAGAATCATTACCTGGACCCAGTCGCTTGATGAGACATAAGTTATGAGGTTTAGCGCACCCTAGGACAGTGTATTGACTACAATTTCTATATTAACATACTTTTAAACAAACCGCTAAAGCGGCCATGTGGTGCATAATGATGTCCTTAGTTGTGAAAGCTGCGATTGGTGACTTAAATTCGCGGTATTAGTCAGGATCATTGGGATTCTCTCAGAAGCCGCCCAACACGTTTTCTCCGCGTCGCACCGGTGGGAGAGAATTTGAGCACACTATTTGGAACCACCAACACCGTTTCTCTCATTCCAATCCCGGTCGAACACAGGTAACCCTCTTTGTGCAGTAGGCACAACGTCTAGCGCCTTAATACTAACCCTCTCATTGCCCTGTAGCATCCACGCCGCCGCCTCCGCAACATCCTCACTCACGAGTGGCTCGAATCCATCCATAAACCCGTCGTACATGCTTTTATCGAACCCGACTCTTTGTTCGTGGAAATGCGTCGCTACAACCCCTGGACGTAGCGCCAATACCTTAATGTTTGTACCGACGAGCTCCGTGCGTAGCGCGTTGGTGAAACCTTCTTGAAATGCTTTAGACGCGTGGTATATACTTTCTCCGGGGAAAGGAGGGACCTCGAGTGCAGTCGTTGATGTGATGTTCAGGATTGTGCCCCTACCGGCTTGCTTCATTTTGCCTTCGTTAAGAACAGCGTAGGTGGTGAAGAGCATGCCGTTGACATTGGTACCCGTCATCTTGATTACATCCGGGAGAGATAGGTCTGGGAAAGCAGAAGGTGCACCGAGTGCCAGACCAGCATTATTGATCAGAATGTCGATAGGTTTGTCGTTGAGTTGTTTGACTGCAGCTTGAATGGCCTCTGTTACGGCTGTATGCGAACTAATGTCTACAGAGTAGGTGTAGATTGTGGCCTCTGGCTGCTCTTTTTGGATTTCGGAGGCAAGTGCTTCTAGTTTGTCGCTGGTGCGCGCGAAGAGAATTAAAATTGCTCCTTCACGTGCGAGACGGCGGGCAATCGCAGCACCAATGCCCATGCTGGCGCCGGTGATGAGAACTGACTTATCCTGTAGAGACATTTTTGCTCGAATTCGCAATCTCCAGGAGGTTTGGAAGTGATGATGCGTGATGCACCATTGTGTACCGAGGAAGAAAGTACCGAATGAGAGGGAGACCTGTATGACGTCACCGTTAGGGTTTACTTGCACTTACCATAGAGTTGCGCACATAACAAGTACGCTGCAATTCTTAGCTGCATACTAGAGTAATTAAACAGAGTTTAAAACGTTGATTTACATCTAGGTGATTCTTAGATACTGTAAGCTCCAAGTCCATATATCAGTCTTTCCTATCAGGAAGAATAGTTACTAAGTAATGATTCTCGTAGGTCGCGATGTGCTTGTTATTTGCCCAACTCTCCAGTATAAAACTAGCTGCTTGATAGCTATGTAGGCGTTGATTCTGAGCAGACGTGATATACGTGTTTTGATAACACATATACGTCTTATTGTATGATCCTTCCCAATCTCTCCCTGCATAAAGTGTTAGTAGCGATTTGATAGTTGAGATCGGTACGATGCTTACCTTGGTTAACATATGTCTGAATAGAAGCTACAAAGCTTGCAAGTAAAGCGTAGTACGCATTACATTGCTACCGCGCAGACCACCTCCGTCATCTGCTAATAGATGATCGTTAAACTGTCGATAACGTGGCCGCCCGAAAAGACACGAGTTCCTCATCCATCCCATCTTTGCAACTCCTTGTTGTAACCAATCAGCTCTAGATCGATATTCAGTGTCTTGAGCATCATATCCATGGTAAAGGACTGCAAGATGTTAGCGCGAGATGAACGATCGATACTTCAAGATGCACCTACATCATCCGCGGCAGCCTTGAACGTCTCTGTCTCATTCTCCCCCATCTTCTCTGATTCGCCAGCACGCTCGTACTCCTCGAACACTTCATCCCCGATCTCTCCATTTTCTCTCGCCTCTTGGAGTCTTTCGCGCTCAGCCTCCATCTCTTCACGATCAGCCTTCATTCTCCATTCCCTCTGTTCCCTTTCTCTCTCTTGCCATGCGCCAACACCCCCCATCCGGTTGACCCGATCACGCGTAGTCGCAAACACCTCTTCCGCTGCAGCTCGGCTAGCTCCTCGCCATCGGTCAATCAGCACCAACATATCCTGTTCTTTGCTTGACGTTATGAGCGCATGAGCTTGATTGAGAATCTGGATGTCGTTGCGAAGCCGCACAATCTCCCGCGTAAGGCTTGGTTTTGATGGCGCTCTTTTTCCCGAATTCCGTGTCAATGCGACCAATTTGGGACGTGCCAATGATGGCGTGGCTGCATTCCCGGGATGTGGAGTGGGACCTTTACCAAGGTTCGGAGTCGGTGTGGAAATTATATCTACCGATCCTGTTGCGCTTACATCTGGAGGATCAGAAGATGGCGGATCTGACCCTACAATGGGTTTGAGCGGTGTGCGAAACGGCGATTTGAATGGCTTATGAAGCGTTTTGTTGGCTTCGTCCAGGCGACGGCGTTTGGCGTGTGGAGTAGACATATTCTCTATGTTCTCTATGGCATGTGCATAGGAAAGGCTGCTTGAACAAATAGATGCGATGAAGGATTTTCGGAGGGAAGAATTGAGTCGTGGGTTGTTGATGTAGGTTGCACGGATGCAGTCACGGAAGGTGCAACCTGATGCGGAAATCGCGCTAGGACTGTCACGTGATTGTCTTCCAATAAGGTAAATCTTGTACACCTTGCGTCTCTAGGATGATGAGCTGGTCAGAATAGGGTAAATTATTTACTAAATAACTCAAACTCTATGTACGTATAGCGGTTCCCAGCTTATAGTTTGATAGATATGTTCCATCGATCCAGACCCATCGCAACCCCCGCAATAACAACAATATATGTAACCAAAATGCCCATGGATTCTACGGGACCCATGTCCAAAGTGGGAACTATCATGTTCACCAGACCGGTCATCAAGTTAGCGAGTAGAAATACAGCGAGCCCGTTGCGGTTGAGAGCACGAAGCACAGTGCTAGTAGCATCTTGAGCCTTCTGCTTTTCTTCTTGACTGCTTCTAGCTTTGTGAAGCCCAGGGAAAAGAACAGTCTCAATCGCACAACAGATTGCGACCTGATAGCTGTTATAAGAGCATACCCAGAGGAAATAAGGCAGGTTGGCAAGGCGACGGGAAACGCCGAGACCAAGTCCATAGTAGCTGATTGAAATGTGGAACAGCGCAGTCCACATGAGGGCGGTCAGGCAGAGTTTACCCAGTATTGACTGGCGGAATCTGAGAAGTAAAGTATCGTTTTTCGTCGTGGGTTGACTGCGTGGTAGCGCCAGAGCGCCCAGAGCCTGTCCGGCAAGGAAGATGGCGAGGTAGCCAAAGAAGGAGAAAATACCCTCCCTGTTTTGCGAGATGAGATCGGTGCGCTTCGCTGTCAATATATAGGCACTTAACCGTGTCTTGTCAAGGACAATTTCGTAGGAGGATGCCAAAAAGAAAGCGAGAAGAGCATAGGATGGTACAAGCGACAGAGCAGACTCAAAAAGGGCGACAAACGGCGGCAGGAGGCCAAGGGTGAAAAAGAAATTCCAGTGAACGCCGTACTCAGTAACGTGCTCGGCGTAGTCCAGACCCTTGACGGATATGAGTCTTATGACACCAAGAACGAGCAGTGGGAGGGAATGTCTTAGGGATGTGAGGAAGCGCTTGGACAGTGGTGGAAGGTTGGCAGTCCCCGTTTTGAGAGATGATCGCACTGATACTATCCCATTGGTGAAAACAAACGATCCCACACCCATATCCATCAAAGACGTCCCCCAATTCTCTGCTTTCGCGAATCGACGAGGGAACACGCGAAAATCAACTGCCAGAATAGCGACGCAGGTAATGACCATCATGGCACCGCGGTAATGGGTTATGAAAGGCTTCACGGGTAGAGGGTCCAGCTCTTGATCTTGGCCAACTTTCTTTGGGGGTTTCTGAGGGGTAGCTTTTGCATGAGCTGGCTCAGAGCTCAAGTAAAGGAGAGCGGCAGGAAGCAATAGAAGCAGATTGAGAAGCCATGGCGAAGATGAGTAAACGGTAGTCGCGAGAAGAGGCACGCAGCAATGAAGGAGGACATCTACAAAGCAAGCGGCGAGGGTCTGTGGTGTGAAGAGGTGCATACGGGACTGAAGAACAGACCATAGCAAAATAGACAACTAGTAATCATTTCGTTAGTCGGAGGACATGTGTATCGAAAGGGCCCAAGTACGGTACAGGCAAGGCAAGGGAGACACTGTTGATATCGAACAGTGAGCTTCCCGTGTGTCCAGAGACATGCTCTTGTTTCAATTGCTTATAATCTTTCGCCATTGTGTATTCTAATAGACGAAAGAAAAGAGAATTCAAATAATTACGTTTCTTCGCAGATAGAGTGAACTGATGCACCCATGTTCGCGACGCGCCGGAACGTGGCCATTCGGAATGGGTTATTCCGCTCCGAGATACCGACATCCGTCCTGCGTTACGTCATTTCAAGGGAAAGAAATGTTGACGCGACAGTTAACATTTTGTTATTGTCGCTATTTAACGTACTCAGTTTTTGTTCTTTGCAGCTAGATTAGTTGCCATCTAGCGCATGTCCCCAAGATACATCAAGCACTTTAAGAAATTAAATGTCCTGCACATCCCTATCGTCTAGAGATCTCGCCGAAGTATAAAGCAAGTAAACACGTTACACTTGCGTAAGTAGATTATTTACTCTGCTAGTCAGGAATCATCTGCATTAGACAGAGATAATGGCAGCTATGAGCCAATTCTGTTTAGTGTAAGGCTGGCCATGCTGATAGTCAATCTTCAATAGCCACGCCTTGTACCCTCTCTTGCCTCGCTAAATGCTGCCAGTTGATATCCAGCACCTCAATCGGTTGGGATGATTTATTGCATTCTTGTGGCATTAAGACACGCTGTCAAAAGCTCCAATCAGGGAGCTATTACAGGGAGGCTTTCACCCGTTCATGCTGAGCGGAATTCAGACGACTGCTGGTTGTAATTGCACATGGTCCCAAACGTTTTGCGTTGTGAATTGCGAAAGATCTCGTATCCCATTGCGACGGAGTTGTAAGATTTACACCTAGCACACAGTAGCTGAGACACTGTATCCATGTTTGCATGCTTGCTGCTCATTGCTTTATATAATATACAGTCATATCATCCCAGAGTAGTCCCCGATGGCAGTAAGGTGGTGAACGCCATTAGGTGAAACAGAAGTAATCCCATTGCGCGTCGCTCCTCGATATGTCCTCAATGAATTTGATCTTCATCTCCATCTCCACGGATATAATTGTACAATGCCAAAATCAATTGGCTCCCTTCTTTCCTCTCCATGAGTGTCCTGTCATCGCCATCATTGTCCCTGTTTACATCCCAAACCCCCTGCCCTGTGCGCCGGCACCTGCCTGCGCCTCGCCCTGCATCTTCTCGCTGACCTTGACGTTGACCTCGAAAAACTTGGAAACGCAACGGTCCAGGCACACGCTCTCGCCCTTGTTGAGATCGGCCTCGCGGTAGGAAGTGTCAAGGCATTTCTTGCTGCAGGATTGTACGAGCCTAGAACCAACCACCTATGTCAGTCGCTGCACCAGTACATCGTCGCATTGCTTGTGGATGGACATATAGGAAAAGTTCTTACCGTGTGTACATGTCCGACACCATATCGATCTCCGCCTCAGCTTGAGCTATCTTTTGCTCGGAGGAGAGCTGGGGTTGACGGTTGAAGAGGAACGACATTGTGGATGTTTCGTGTTATGATGACTCGGGCTTCGATATGAAGAGATGTAGGAAATGTAAAGATAAATTCGATGTAGATGAATGCGGATTGTTGTGCAGGTATGGAGGGTGTTGACGGTGGACTAAAGATTATTCGGTGAGGAATCTTGGAGGTGGCCCAAGCTCCTTGTCCGCGAATCCGAGCATGATCACGTGCGCCTATCTTCCACCCAATTGTACCGAATTGCATGTCCACGGCGGATTTTGATCACGAAGAATTCGCGAGCTATCACTTCCAAACTAAATGTTCGAGCCATCGAGTTCAATGAATTGGTTGGTGTATTTGTACATACCTAGGCATGTACATCTAAGGTTCTGTACGTACTCTTCCTTACAGGCCAGCCCGTTTACATGACAAACTTCAAATTCTGATTCAAGAAGACTCTATTGTATTTATCACAGTCTATTTGCTTTCGGTAAAAATAAATACGTACGAAAAAATATCGATATAAGTTCCTGGTCCCTTTGCGCTATCAAAATAAGAAGCTACCACTTTTTTTTTTTTTTTTGGAAGTTACAGTGTTTCCTACACTCAAAAAAGAAGCTACAACGAGCACGCCGTGTGATAGAACAGCTCAATAAGAGGGTCATGATTTCCATCAAGCTTAAAGCACCATGTCCATGAACCAATTTCGATATTGCAATGGTAAGAGTTAGAGGAACTTGTCCCTGTATAAATGCGACCTGATTGGTTTTCGCAATCCTTCTCTTGAGTTGTCCCACAAGAAGATTTCTTATTAACTTCACTCACACTGTGCTCCTGAGCTTCGGTAAGTGGCACATTCATAGCTGTCAATAGTGAAAGCACTCCCAGTAGATATTTACGGCTATCTACTCCTTGTCTCAGGCTTGCCCATTCATCCGTCAATAATGAGCGTCGACCGTCAGATGTTTTTCAGCCACGGGGCGGATTGGACCGAGCTGGCCACCTGGTGGGATATCTTCCGCAGTCATCCCTATATCGCTGGGGTTGGAGTAAGCTTTGGGAGCCATGTGTGGTATCGCAGTCCTACCTTTAACCGATGTATATTTGTTTACATGGATTGCTTTGTTGAAGATTCACGAATCGCATTTAGGTGGCGCGACGGGCCAAAACAGGATATCTGAGATTCCCGGGATTGACGCCGAGAGGTACATAGTGGTACCCGTAGGTCGGTTACTGACGAAGCACTTCTCAGGTAACTAAACCTGGACAGCGATCTGGACATCCATACTTGATGGGTGGAAGATCGTCAGCGCGAGAAAAGCATATCTTGCCGTGCTATATAAGGGTATCGTGGTGTTATCATTCAACCTCAAAGCTTGGTTGCATGTTACCCACTATCTGTGAGTGAATCAATAGATTGGGATGAGGGGTATATTTAACAACCCGTACCCTACTTCGACGATTTCACACTCTCGAATGTGCTGCTTGGACACGGAACCCGAGTATTTTGCAAGGCGCAAGTGCATATTCCTCAAATCAGCTTCTTCTCCTGTCACTGTCGTCTCTAACTAGCTCAAAAATAGTACTATTCTTATCGGACACGCGAATCTAGTCTTACCTGATGCTAGCGAAAGAGGTTAATTGGTGGCAGTTGGATCTCGGTTGCCTGCTTTATTTTATTGTTCACGTGGCGAAATTTATTTATTGGTATGGGATTTTGTATGTCTGGGGTGCGAGGGTGATGGTTGCATGTCTAAGTAGCACCGCCTTGGAAATCCTAGTAAGGGTCCTATTGGTGGAACGGGAAAACATAAATACTGTGCACAATATAGGATTCAACCGCGGAACTTACTATCCTGTTGCTCCCATCCTATATGCCGAGAGATATAGAGTATAATAGAAGGATATGGCCTCTTCTTGTTCTCATCTCCACCACGATTCCAATCCAGCTTCAAGCTTTCAGATTTCGAAAGGGCAATCATCATGAAATTCGGACTCAACAGTCTTGCGCTGTTGGCGACAGCCACGGTAGCAAATGCGCAGTCATGCGCGCTGCCAACTTCATACAAGTGGACATCGTCGGGCGCTTTGGCTCAGCCAAAGAACGGGTGGAAATCGCTCAAGGATTTCACTTACACGCCTTACAACGGAAAGCACTTGGTCTACTCGACCTTCTACGGCAGTGACTACGGATCCCAGGCATTTGGAACGTTCTCAAACTGGAACGAGATTGGATCGGTCAGCCAGACTGCCATGAGCACCCGCGCTGTTGCTCCCTCTCTCTTCTACTTCGCACCTAAGAGCATTTGGGTGCTTGCCTATCAATGGGGTCCCACCACCTTCTCCTACAGGACGTCCTCGGACCCGACCAACGCCAACGGTTGGGGAACAGTTCAGCCTTTATTTAGCGGAAAAATCACTGATCAGAGTGGTGAGTGTGCCTGTATCAAAAGATTGTCAGCGGCGTGTTAGCTAACGAGTTCTGTCTTTCAGGTACCGGTGCCATCGATCAAGCTGTAATTGGTGACAGCCAAAACATGTACCTCTTTTTCTGTGGCGACAACGGCAAGATCTATCGCGCCAGCATGCCAATCGGAAATTTCCCTGGAAACTTCGGAACCAGCTATGTCACTGTCTTGAGTGATACAAGAGAAAACCTGTTTGAGGCTGTTCAGGTATACACCGTTAAGGGTTCTAGCCCAACTAAGTACCTCATGATCGTCGAGGCAATGGGTGCTAACGGACGCTACTTCCGTTCCTTCACAGCATCCAGTCTTAGTGGAAGCTGGACACCCAATGCCGCTAGTGAAAGCAACCCATTTGCTGGCAAGGCAAACAGCGGCGCTACTTGGACCAACGATATCAGCCATGGTGAACTTATTCGCACCAGCTCTGATCAAACCATGTTGGTTGATCCGTGCAACCTCCAATTGTTGTACCAAGGTCGCGATCCCAGCAAGAACCCTCCCTACAACGAGCTCCCTTACCGCCCTGGTCTTCTTACCCTTCAAGGCGCTCAACAAAACCCACCCGCAGCATCAACTACTACTACCGGAGGCGGTTCCACACCTACCCAACCCCCATCATCTGGCACCGTGCCCAAGTTCCAGCAATGTGGCGGTAGCGGCTACACAGGACCTACCGTTTGTGAGGTAAGCAGATTTTATTGATTGCCCAAGTGAATAATCAACGCTGACACATGAACAGGCCGGCTCCAAGTGTACATACAGCAATGACTGGTACTCTCAGTGTTTGTAGACGCCTGAACGATGCAGCCACGGATTTTCCACTGCCATCGCCAAGTACTTTGCACGGGTATTGAACGTTCCTTATCTGCGGAGAAACATTTGCCTACTTGTATATAGCTCTCAATGCAATCGTTCGCACCCCCATCTTTCGATTTTCTTCTCAAGTCAAACCCTAGCTTCTGTAGACCTTTGTTGGGATGCCGAAGAACGATTTAGTTTTAGGCAAAGTGCCTTCGACATCACAAGATAGGAAAACCTGGCATCGGCAAGGAGCCCGTATTATCCGGTTCGCTTCTAACATCAAGCCTTTTCCCCAGAATCATCAACCGACACAAATCTCGGTACATGTCCTGCAAGAAGGCGGAGTAAATAATACGATTAGGGCATTCCCCCACATTCATATATATCCTTGTCGCTTGCCAAGGGTGATATAATATGGAGCTGCAGTTTCCAATTAGGATCTAGACCTCGCCCAGGCTTTTTAATGGCCCTTTCGCCTATATTAGTAAACAGTACTATGGTAACCAAGCAAAGATTTATATTATCTGGTTTAAACAGTGATACATCTTGCATGCATGTTTACGCGAGCTTGTTTTCGAGTTCTGATCGTTCCGAGGTCAATATGTGCCTGAACTAAGCGCGCACAAAGACATCATGATGCAGATTGCAGCCGCTTTTATTATGTCGAAGTCAAACAGATAGATCGTTGACGATAGCAGATCATCTCCGGAATCTGTGGGTAGAGGCATTGCATCTAGCTCGTTCATTATAAGACTAGTAAGGGCTGGTCCTCAAGCATACGGATAGCTGCTGCTGGATTATCAATAATAACAAAGGTGCGAATACGTGTATTTAGCAGATTTGAGATGACAATGTGCGCAAGCCTTGTATAAGAAGTATGAGAGTTACCTGCGCTCGACTTGCACCCGCTTCGTTAGCAAGTCGATCTATTCATGCTATCTGTTTGGTGCGACCTGTATACGTTCACACCTCTTATTGATCATTTTTATCAGCCTTTTTAAGTGTAGGAAACACATTAACTTCCAATTTAAAAAAACCCTCTTATTAATAGCAATAACAAATCTTAGGTTTATTAGCACCTATAAATTCCGCATGTACAATATAAATGCTAAGTTTCTTTTTTTTGGTTGGAATTTATAATGTTTCCTACACTTAGAAAGGCTAATAAAAAAAGGTTTCACAAAATGTAGACGGGCAAAAAAGACTCGCAAATAATATGAATGCATGTGTCGCGTCTTGATGGTTGCGAGAAAATAACACAACCTTTGACGTTCGATGTGCGCGTATTTATTTTTTAATTTTATTTTGAGTTGGAGTTTAGGGATTCCTACACACAGCGATGGGTTACAAGATGTGCGCGTATAAACATTTGAATGTCCCTCATCATCTGTTGTTATTAATTCTGAGTTGGAGTTTGGGTGATCCTACACGCAGCGAAGGGTTTACAGCGATAAATAGACCAAAAAAATGCATCATCTGTTACAAGCTGCAGATTGAATGATGGCTAATATTTTAGGGTTGAAAATCATCATATTACCGAGCTCTACTGCCAGGAACTCGACGGTGAAGTTTAGGAGCACGTGATGATTACGTGCGCTCCAGGACTCAGAAGCTCTCTACCATGAACATTCGCGCATCCGTTGCATACAGTTTATGAGACTGTCCACGAGAGTTCTTCTGGATGACTTTCTGTCAGATTCCGTTTATTCGATAATTATTTACAGAAGTTCGGGGTTCGTTCGTGCTGTGGGAGTCTGGTGGTGATGAATATGTGGTGGACTATAGACATAAACTTTCGAAGCTCGAAAACATGGGCGAATTCGCCACGATCGTGGTAAATATAGCAAATTATAAGACCGGACGCATGCCTCGTGAGTTATGTTGGCTGAAAGTGACTATCACAAGTCCTACGCAACTCCTGTCGTGCACCATGTCGCCGGCCATCTGCCTTGGATGGCAGCAGACATCAACTGGTAGGCTGTAATGAAAACCGTACTGCGATTACATCTCGTTCTGTGGCAATTTTTGCTGCCAATCCCGTCAATTGTTGCTTTCGGTTTCAGATCAAACTTAGATTTGCGGGAATAGCAAGAGTTATAGCAAGAGATTCTCGAGATGTACATGGTGAAAGCTCACCCGCGACCGCACATCACAACGTTAGCAGTACCGAGGAACTCATCAACTCACTATGTAGAACACCTACACATTTGCTATTTCACAGTCAGAGACACTCACCCTCATATTTTCTAATCGGCGAAATTGCCAATCTGACCAAGGCCTTCCCGCCTGACTCAAGAACCATCAAGCACTTTAGCGATAAGCTTCTTGAACCGAGGAGCCACACACCTTCCTGATTCGGAAGCAATCGCCAGGATGACCGTTTTCCCACAATATCAATGGTGGCGCAAAGGCAAATCGTCCCGCAGACTACCACCAAGATGGCAGTTGATGCTCGCGCTGTTACCAGTGTGGCAGGTGCGATTCCACATCACGGCGCGGATACTACAATTCGGCGATACGCGTATTTGCATCGCGCGACTTTATAAACCGGCCATCTCTCCAATATTGAGCGTGACAGGAAGATTTGACAGTTCCTCCGTTTGCTTTCTGTTGACCATGTGGAAATCATATGTGGCGTTTTGCTCGACCGTGACGGCAGTTTTCGCTGCTCGTCTGCAGGGGGGTGCCGTTGTCCACCCTCACCGAATGAACTCCTTCCACCTGCCTTCCGACGGACCTACTTCTAGAGCCCAGATTCAGAACGCAACCTTCACACAGGAACTCGACCACAAAAATCCTGGAGCTGGGAACTTTTCGCAATGGTACATGTACAGCACTGAGTTCTGGAAAGGACCTGGGTCTCCAGTCATTCTTTTTACACCCGGTGAAGTCGAAGCGGCGGGATACACCTCCTATCTTTCCAAGAACAGGACCACGGGCGTTTTGGCTGAGGAAATCGGCGCCGCCATCATCTGTCTCGAGCACCGATACTGGGGATTTTCCTCTCCTTACCCAGAACTGACAACGGAGAACCTGCAACAACACACGTTAGATAACGCTATTCAAGATCTGGTCAACTTTGCTAGAAACGTCAATCTCCCATTCGACGAGCACCGTGCCAGCAATGCGCAGGATGTTCCTTGGGTCCTTCTCGGGGGCTCTTATTCTGGGGCTCTCACAGCGTGGACTGAAAGCTTAGCTCCGGGTACATTTTGGGCGTATCATGCGTCTTCGGCTGTGGTAGAGGCTGTTTCGGACTTTTGGAGATACTTTGTGCCGGTCCAAGAAGGAATGCCTGCGAACTGCTCCAAAGATCTTTCCCTCGCTATTGACAAGATGGATGACATTCTTTTGAATGGCTCGGACGATGATGTCCTGGAATTGAAAACACAATTTGGCCTGCAGAATGTTACCCACAACGACGACTTTATGGCTGCTCTCGAGAATGGGCCTTGGTTGTGGCAAAGTAACCAGCTTTATACCAACTACAGCGGCTTCTACCAGTTCTGTGATCACATCGAAGGAGTCTTTAATGCGTCGAACGAGACATACCACGCCATCCCCGGACCAGAAGGTGTCGGCGCGGAGAAGGCAATCGCAGGATATGCCAAGTGGATGAATGAAACCTACCTACCCGGAACCTGCGAGGACTACGGCTACGATGAGTTCCAGGGCACCTACAACACTTACTGCTTCGACCAACACGACTTCAACAGTCCTCTATTCCGGGACGATTCGCTGGAGAACCATATTGATCGCGCCTGGGTATGGATGACTTGCAACGAGCCTTTTGGCTACTGGCAAGATGGCGCGCCCTCGGAGCGCCCCTCCATCGTTTCTCGGCTTGTCGACTCAAAGTACTGGATTGACCAATGCGCCCTCTTCTTCCCTGACGGTCCAAATGGTGAAACATACGGTATCAAAAAGGGCAGAACAGAGGAGGACGTCAACAAGTGGACAGGAGGTTGGGACGATCGGAATACGTCCAGGTTGCTCTACGTCAACGGCGAGCTTGACCCGTGGCGAGAGGCTACTGTAAGCGCGAAGGCACGACCCGGAGGACCCTTGGAAAGCACGGAACAACTCCCCGTGCTGATCGTGCCGGGTGGTTTCCACACAAGTGACTTGATCACCAGAAACGGCGAAGCCAACGCCGGAGTGAAGGCGGTACAAGACCAGGCAGTGTCGATTCTTGCTCAATGGGTCAGCGAGTTCCCAAAGGGCAACAAAACTGTTAAATACTTCAGAAGTTAGGAGTAGATTTTTGCCAAATTACATCATTCTTCATTGTCTAAAAGTTGCAGAAGTAAGACCTCTGACTACTGGATCGAATTATAAAGAGCTTATAAGCGATACTATGGTGACGAGATGTGTTTGTTCATACACTTTAATATCCCCACGACGATGCTTATGAATAAGAGACATTCTACTGATACATGTTTGAGACCCTTCATTTTCTATGACGGCTAAACATCTCCAAACGGGGACTAGTGTATCAGATTGCCGAGCCGAGAGACCCACGTGGCGATAGTCCTAAATTTTCTTCACTGAATTATCGTGAACGTGAATAAAAATCCTCAATTCACAGTTCTTACGGATCATATCTGTATGGCAATTATTACTAATGTCACGACGATAATCTGGGCGGGGAGCCCGGAATATGACTCTATCGAATTATACCGCGGCATATATCGCCAGTACCAGTGTCATGCATCACACAAGGCACGTTTGCCGACCTTGAGTGATGACAGGAGGCGGTGAAAATTTCGTCAAAGGTAGAGAAGCCCGAGCGTGAGGCTAGACTGTGTATACTGACAACTTTTCTTCCCCTTTCGTGCTCGCTTTCTTATCGTGACTCTTATCTCCTTCATTCCTTCCATCCCCACACTCTTTTCCAACTTCCCCAGACACCCCCCACTATTCCTTCCGTTTCGCTCCCTGAAGACCGCCATTCCTTACATTCGCAGGAGTCAAATGAGCATCTCCACTCTCTGCTTGCCTCCGACAAGCAGTCTTCCGCCAATACGATCTCTGCTTACGGCCCCTCCAGCTACAATCAAAGACGCACTGCACAACCTCCAAGCAATATATTGCCCACTTCGTCTTCCTGTTGCCTTATCGAAAACAAGGGTTTCCACACTCGTTCAGGCCGATTCCGGTTATGCATCCGAGGATGAGCTAGACGAACAGCCCACTCACGCAGAAGACGCGCTCGCGACTCTCCGCGCGGATGAATTCGAAAAGGCATTTGCGATTCGCTGGCTAACTAGTCTAATCGGACGAGCCGAAGAGTTAGACATCGACGACGAAGAAGAGAGGTCCAAGATTGTGGATGATGCTGCCTTTGTACTGGGATCTTTCAGCGACCACGCTGCCGGGGACGACGCGGATGAGAGCCTGACTCGAGATTTCTGTTTTCCCGTTGCCAGTGGAACTTTGGCGAGCAAAGTCGTTGAAATTCAGCTCAATGATGCGCCGCTCTCAGAGACTGACCATACCGACGTCGGACTCCAGAGCTGGGGCGCGAGCATCGTTTTCTCCGCCTTGATGTGTGAGGACCCCGCGCGCTTCGGATTGACCAAACTTCCCTTGGATTCCAACATCATCGAGCTTGGCGCAGGCACCGGCCTTGTCAGCTTGGCATTGGCAAAACTGCTCCCTGTGGTATCAGACTCTACATGTCGCATCGCTGCTACAGACTACCATCCCACTGTTCTGCAAAACTTGCAAAAGAATATCGTCACCAATTTTCCTGGGCTTGAGGACAGCGCTTACCCAGTTAACACGATGCTCCTCGACTGGTCCGAACCACCGGCTTCACTGGCATCCACGGCTCATATGATTTTCGCGGCCGATGTCGTCTACGCCCCTGAGCATGCTTCTTGGTTACGCGACTGCGCCGCACATCTACTTCTGCCTGGCGGCATCTTTTGGTTGATCGTTACAGTCCGTATGGTTGGCAAGTTCGAAGGAATCCCGGATACCGCCGAAGCAGCTTTTCTTAATGAATCCGATTTACCTGTAAAAGATGGTAGGAAATTGAGGATCGTGGACAAGGTGTCTCTGGAGAAACAAAGAGGTATTGGAAGGGGCGACGAAAACAGCTATATGCTGTTCAAAATCATGTGGGTGTAATAGACCATGTGAGGGGTCAAGAATAGATGGCAGTATACCCTAGAGATTGCATTAGATGTCGAACAAGCATTGCATATAGACCTATAGACAGGCAATTTAAAGTACTAAAATCCTGGTCGAATTTCAACTCACCGAGATACTTTCTTGGTGTATCTATGATGCTTCCAAGTAATCTTGATGTAGAGTACAGCTTGTAAAGAATGTAGCAAGATGATTCCTTGGGAGATTCGATACGATGGGACGCGGTTAGATACAATGCAATCGAAAATCAATGGTAATCTTTGGGAGCCACCACTTCTTAACTAGTCCAATTTTCCTTTCTTCCTCGATAGAAAGAGTTATTCAGCGAATTTTTCATCGGGCTTCGGAGTTCCATCGCGGGTATCGGCGAGTGCCGAAAGTCTTCTTCAAATATCGTTGGGCTTGCCGCATCCCGGAATTGGCTATCACCAATCTGTCAAGGTCTTGATGTGTGTCTGATTTATATCAGAAAATTCAATTTCTGTAGAAGGTACATTAATCTGCCATTTAATAATATGTCAATATGGAAAGTGTGGCTAATGCACTGTCCTGGGGCGCACTGAATAATGAACATTTTGGAGTGTTATAAGCCGTGATCGGTCGGCATTCGATTCACGTGACATTTCAACGTCTTTACCCGGTATGCCGACAACACCACTTTTTGATTGGTCAATGATCGGCATCCCGACAGCAATACTAGCTGTTAAAGGGTAGCCGATGCAGTAGTTTGTAATCCGAATCATTAATCAATGACTCTGACCCGGGAATAAAGAAGTTTCGTCACGAATAAAAGGGCTTGCGTTTTGTGCGAACGCCGAGCACAAGAATCTGGGGTAGAGCTCACAAGAACCTCTCATCTTAGCGTCATTGCAACAACTCCAATGCTAGCAAGATGGCGCTGGATAATGAAAGCGTGCACAATGACGGCATTGCATCTGAAGAAGTAGAGCGCGGGTTGCGTGCTTGGCCTAGTACTCGGGACGACGAGATCCAGCAAAGCATCCAAGCAGAAGAGCAGGAAATCGGACATGAACCCAAGTCGGAGGAGGTCATAACATCAGGGATCTCCAAAGTCTTCTCCAGGAAGTCCGCAGCAGCATCGAGCTGGGCTGATGTAGGACCCGCTCCCGACGGTGGCAGAAAGGCGTGGATACAGGTCTTTTGCACGCATCTTACCATCTTCAACACTTTCGGCTTTATTACGTCTTTTGGCGTTTATCAGACGTACTACCAGACCACATTAGGAATTCAACCTTCGACGATATCCTGGATAGGTTCTCTTCAGATCTTCTTGCTGTTTGGCATCGGGACATTAACGGGAAGAGCCACGGATGCGGGGCTGTTCCGTCCAGTTTACATTGCTGGTAGTGTATTCCAGATCGTGGGCATCTTCACTATGGCGGAAAGTACGGAAGTTTGGCAACTCTTCCTGTCTCAAGGTGTATGTCTCGGTATCGCGAACGGGCTTCAATTCTGCCCATCCATGGCCCTCGTATCAACCTACTTCGTGAAGAGGCGCGCATTCGCCCTTGGGATTACGGCTCTAGGATCATGCACCGGAGGCGTCGTCTTTCCCATAATCGTCCAACAATGCCTCCCGCGCTACGGTTTCCCATGGACGATTCGCATCATCGGCTTCATCATGTTCGCTTTCAACATCATCACCATCGCACTATACCGCACGCGGCTGCCACCTCGGAAGAGCGGAGCGATTGTCGACCTAGCTTCATTCCGAGACCTCCCCTACTCTCTGTACTGCTTAGCCATGTTCTTCAATTTCTGGGGTCTTTACTTCGCCTTCTTCTACATCGGCGCATACGGACGCAATGTCCTGGGCATCCCATACGGAGAATCGATCAACCTCCTTCTCGTCGTCGTCTGCCTAGGCTTCATCTTCCGCGCACTACCAACATACTACGCTGACAAAATCGGAAGTCTCAACACTCTGATCCCGTTTGCGTTTCTCTGCGGCATCATGATGTTTGCGTGGATCGGTATACACACTGTTGGTGCGCTCTACGCTTTCGCCGCCATCTACGGTTCCGGGAGTGCGGTGGTGCAGGCTTTGTGGCCCGCCATCATTGGGAAGTGTAGTAAGGAGCAGGATCTCAAGAAAGCGGGCGTGCGTATGGGTATGGCGTTCACGATCGTAAGTTTTGCGAGTCTGACGGGTCCGCCGCTTGCTGGCGCGCTGATTCAGTATGGCAATGGGAGCTATGTTTATGCGAATGCATGGGCGGGGGCTTCGTTTTTTGTTGGTGGGATCTTGTTGGTGGTTACTAGATGGTCGCTTGTGGGGTGGGATTGGAAAGCGAGGATATGAGCACCAAGGAGATGACGCGAGATATAGTACGGTATTGAGATGAGCTTCCGATTGATCATATTCAACATCAAGTAAACTATACTAGAAAGCTCACAAATAATGAAGTCCATTGTGATGGGGCCGCTACTTCTGCTTAAACCCACTGCTTGTTCCCGTGGTGCGAGATGAAGGAACCTCCATAGTTCCCCTCGATGCTTGCCTGTTCCAAAACTGTCCTCATCTTCGTAACCGATTCTTCGGGGGTAATAGGACCCTTCCATTCAGGGGCATAGGCGGCGACCTTAGAAATAAGCTCCATCAGAGCTTTAGTCTCTTCAGGCGTACCTATATGTACTCATCAGTATCGATCAGCAACGACAGACAGGGCAACATACGCTGCTTTGGCACAGCCGTATTCACGACTCCAGGGCTCAAACTAAAGAACAGCACCCCGTCCTTTTTATACTGAGCACTGTACTTGGCCACGACAACGTTGGTAGCGGCCTTGCCCGCGGAGTACAAGGTCGAGAAAACAAGCTCGAACTTGTCGATCAGCTCAATGTCGGCCATACCAGAGGATATGTGTATGACTTTCTTGGTTTTGCCTTTCAAGACAAGAGGAACAAAGAGGTTGAAGAGATGAACAGTGCCAATGATGTTGGTTTGTGTGACCTGCAAGGCAACTTTTTCTAGCTCTTCGACTTTGTCACTCCTGTTGGACGTTAGTGGTTATTCGGAAATCAAGCTGCGAAAGGTGTGAGACGTAGACATACAAGGAGCTGAGGGGTCCGTAGGCATCGAATTCAGTTAGGTACGCTCCGTTAGCGACTAGATAATCAATACCTCTATCTCCAACAACTCGCTCTGTCTCTATCGCTGCTTGCTTCAAGCTGGCGTGGCTGGCGAGATCCGCGCTGATGATGTGGATGTTCGTGCGATTGCCACCGAGCTCTGCTGCTACTTTCTTCTCGGTTTCTTCTTTGTTGCGAACCAAACCGACAAATAGATTGTTTGGGTCTTCCGAGAGCTGCTTCATAAACTCGAACTAAATTGAATCAGCTCTAAAAATGCGAAATTCAATTGTATGGTATGACGACTTACGCCAATCCCCCTGGAAACTCCAGTGACAACGTAAACGGACATTTTGACTGATATATTGGAGAGAGTTTGATCTTTGGATAATTGTGATTTTGTTACAACTGAACTGTGATGAAATTGAATGTGATGGCTCTCATTGACCAGTATTTTATATATCGTTGCCATACACTAAATCTCGTATAACATGATATGTCGATGCCATAAACTAAATCTCGTATAACATGATTCACAAGGCTGCCGCACCACAACGAGTTATCCCGAAGGATCTCGCTTCGTCCGGTGATCTTGCAATACTCAAAGTCCCTCGGTAATTGAGGCGTAGTAGTCAAGAACAGACGATTATCGCAAGCATGAGAATGCTGGGGTCTAATATCCACTTTCTACTACTGTCGGACCAAACCACGCTACATTACACTCGAAAACTCACGTCAGACTAGACTAAGATCCATGATGACAGTCCTCCACTTCCTAAAGGAGGAACTATAGGCCTAGTGTAACAGGAGGACATTCTGAGTCCTCCGGACGAAGTTTCTCGGCATACGCGATTGCGGACGGAATACGGCATCTTCTTCTTAACTGCACCACACTTCGTACAAACTCATCACGTGTGTGCTCTCATAGAACTTACTATGTATACATGCCTTGAATTTCCCATGGCTCTCTCAGTGTCATTGTTGGCCGCCAGATATGGTTAGACCGTCTTAGACGGACAAACGCGAAGAAGCGATTGGGGTTACACGAAGCAATGGTCAGTGAGTTTATAACATGCTTTTACTCAGATACTCTGGCAGGACTTGATAGAATAGGGCTAGCGGCATTATTTTGTTGGTCCCCGAGACCGCCGTAATGATTAACTTCGAGAGGATAGTAATGGCATCGACATTTGATTGGCAAGTTGTGAGCCTAATGTGGTCAAGAAAACCCATGTCTTTTGTGATTGAAAAGAAACCATCTAGTAATAAAAATTATTCATTGATAGAATACCATACCTCCTTGTGTCATGAAAGCGGCTAGGAGAACCCTATACTAATTATTTTGAGTCATCAATCACCTGGGTATTATCCGTCGAACGACAAGTACCAAACTTGGTCAAAGTCACGATCGAGACACAGATGCTGTCAAATGAAATTCTTTATCGCACTAGCTCAGTTCTTTATCCATGCTAGCCTCGCGTATGTCATACATATTTGTTATGCTGCCTATGTAACACAGTCTACATCGGGATCTATGGTGACTTCTAGGTTTCAGGACACATCTAAGCACTAACCGCAACTCTGGAGGTATTTGGGAGCCACATTTAAAATAGAGCACTATGAGAATAGGCAGTATATTGATTTTGTAAAAAAATTTGTATTCTCCATTTGGTATTCGATCAAGTCTACAAGTACATACGCAAACAAGAAACCAAAAGCGATAAAACGGCAAAAAGATGGAGAGATCAAGAGAGATCCAAGTAGGAAAGAATAGACCCAGCAAAACGACCGTGAAACCTAGATATAAACCGAGCCAGAAAAACTGTAGACCAATGATTATGCTCTTCTTCCTTCGCCATATCATCAAGCCGTCCCCGTTGCCTTGACTTCCTCCTCGGGAATCTTCACCCTGACAGGAACATCCCAGACCTTATTCGGTCCACTTCCTTTTCCTTTGCCATACCCAGCGCCCTTCCTACTCTTCCATGTGTCGTACTGCTTGCCACCCGTACTCAATTTACGTGGTTTAGCTGGGTAATCGCAGGTCCCATGGACGCTGCAGAGCCCTGTTTTGCAGCGCTGCGAGGAGGTGCAGGGGCTGCCCAGACAACCTTCTACAAATGGTGAAGAGGGGGAAGAGGAGGGAGGTAGCGAAGAACAGGGAACGCAGGATCCCCAGGAGCAGTATTCGTTTGCGGAGCAGTGGGTTGGATTCGTGCAGGGGTTTGAGGGGTATTTCTCCAACGCCTTTTCGACTTCTTCCTGGGTTGCTGAAGAAGAAGAAGGGATGTACGGTGAAGCAGGCGGAGCAACGCAAATCTCGAGTTCGTTGAACGGATCCTTGATATCTAATTCGCACTGTCCAAACTTTCCATGCGGATTGTTAAACACAACTTTCCTCCTGAAATCTTCAGGCGGAATAGTCGCGCGCGCTCTGCATTCCTGACACGTTCCGTCCTTCCCACAGCGAAGATGTGAAAGACATGGTTTCTTGCTGTTGCAAGAATCCGCGATTTTACCGGGTTGGGATTCAGAAGGGACCTGGCAGATGGAATTCTTGCACATGAGGGACGGCGCACAGCTGTCCGCTGAATCGCAGAGGAAGCCCTCACAGCCGATGAGGCAGGACGAGCGGTCGGGAATGTACGGGTTCATAGGAATGAGGGTATGGTTTGAGAGTAAAGAAGGTGGAGGAGCGTCCATGTAAGTCGTCCAGTTAAAGTACGAGCGCGATGTAGCTGCGCGGGTCAGTGCGTTTTGGAGGGCGCCGATGGCGGCGATATCTGGGTCGCGCTCGATGCTGATTTGAGAGGTCGTGCCTTCGTTGTCCAGGAATGTGATGTGTGAGTAGAGCCATGGAATCCCGCGGTGGTTGAGCGCGTTTGCTTGGTCGAAGATTGCTTGTTTTTTGTAGGTGAGGCCCAAGGGGGTGTTTTGGTAGGACCATTCTTCGACGAGTAGGAGTTTGTTTTGTTTGTGAGCTCGAGCCGTGAGGGTGTTTCCTGGGAGGAGGAGTTGCGCCCAGGGGGTTCCGGCTGTGGCGGTGAAGTCTTCCTTTTGAGCGAAGTAGCCGTGGATGCCGATGATGTCTACGGCGGGACAATCGAGGGCTGAGTCGGGGAAATTTTGGTTGCGGGTTAGAGATTGTGGGCCAGAGATTCCGCCTGTGATTACAGCGATGTTGGATTTGCCTAGGCCGAGGGTATCTTTGAGGTAGGTTGCCATTATACAGAGCCAGGCTTCTCCTGCTACAATGGGGTGGATGTTCGCCCATGGCTGATTTTGCACGTCGACTCCCTTTTATCAGTTAGCCTTTATTTTTGGCTGAGTTGGGGAAGTATTGTAGGGCGACAAACCATGATCACTTCACTTAGTTCACTCCAGGATCTACCTCCAAAGTTTCTAGATGGGTAATGGTTAAAGAGCACTTCTAGACGTGTCTTGTACAAGTCTCGATCTACAAGTTGTCAGCGAAATGATGGTAGAATAAGAAAATCGTGATTATCATACATTTCTCAACGCTATAGAAATCGAGGAAATACCCCTCGAGTTCTTTGCAGTAGGCATCGCATGGCGAGTCGTCTGTACCGCGGAGAGAATGCGCATCATGAGGCACAATGATGACCTTGACGGTGCCTATCAAAGCGATTAGTTTTGCCTGAACAATTGTGAAATACATTTACCTTTTGATATATGATAGATTTGTGCCAAAGTGTCGTCTATTCGGTCAAGCATATCTTTATCGAACTCCCCCAAAGTGGGCTCGGGCTGCTACTTGTCAATACAGCACTTCAAACTTCGATAAAAGAGAATAATTCGCATACATCCGAGTGTTGAGCATCTCCCTTAACTGTATCACGTTAGTAACGTGCGCCATAAAATGACGATACAAGGTCAAACTTACTGAACAGTCGAATAACCCTAGCATTCGATTCGACAACCTTCCGAATAATCTTGTCTCTATATGACGGTGCCAGATATTGCAACTGCGGAAAATTTACCCCCCCAAAGGAAAATAAATCCTCGGTAATCCTCAAATTCGAAGCTGCGCATCCAGCCACCCATGCGATCGACGCCAAGGAAAGGAGAGCGTTCTTCCAGAACATGGTTGGCAGTGATCTGAGGTTGGCGAAAAAAGACAGAGACCGTTCCACGCAATGTTCCAGAAAGCCACTTGTGCAGGGTTATAAGACCGCTGCAGTGACTTCCGGCCACGTATTGAAGAATTCTAGTAGCCATGTGTTGCTAGTAGGTTTCGAGGATTGATCGCTTTGCCTGCGATATTGAGGCTGTTCGAGTATATTAATTGCAGGCGGGTCGGGCCAATCAGGCGAAGCTGGGTTCACCAGCATGATCACTATGGCAAGTAACTGCGTCAATTGTAGCTGTGGCCTCAACTGACCTATGTGACAGATAGTTGGGACTTTTAAGATGTAAATTATTCATATTAATCACTGAGGACCTGCCCGTATGTTCTATGACTTGCATGAACAAGTATATCCACTGCCAAGCAATCAGACGATGCTGGGTAAATTCGCGGCGAGTCGGACCGCAACGGGGTTGTTCGCAGGGAATCTGTGATATTACGCAGTATGACTCGAATGGTATTGAACTAAGATCTGTGATACGCTTATGGTGTGACTTTTCGCATTACTGTTCTGCCCGTCACAAATATTGTGCGTAAACATACATGACATTTCATATGCCACTATTCTGCTAAACATGCTGGCAATGCCAATATCAGCATCCAGGAGCATTTTCATTGACTCCAGACTGATTTCGACTTTAACTCGGAATCTATACTGGATCATATCTTTGCAGGACGTTGATATCGATGCCGACTGGTCGTTCTCACTCCACAACTGTGTCTGTGTCTGGCTTAACCATGATGTTCGTGATTCGACATCATCCTGCATATATGTAGCAATCATTGGTATGTTCCAATTGCGAACTGATGGGCCATAGAGGGCCCGTGTCGTGTTCGCTCGGGGTACGTTGGGCGAGCGCTTGAGGATGTATATGGTTTGTACAGTGTTTGCTGTACATCGCAAAATCGTCGTCATTCATCCAGCCGGGATTGTGCAGGCTTGCTCGAGTCTCTTCAAAGTGGCAAGAACTTCCTCTCCGATGTTCCCACCGCTTGCCGTCTGCGCGAATCGGCCGTGGCGAAGGTCACTGAGTGCGCCTACAGCTTCGTCCACCTCCGCAAGGGCACTGCGAGATTCTTCTTCCAGCTCGGCTATCTGCGACTCGAGGCTTTCACATGCTTCTTCGATGCTTGCGTGAACCGTTTGTAGGGTGTGGGGCTTCTTGCGTCCATCGTTGAAGAGCTGGCTGTGATGAGCAAAGAAAGCCGCCCTCGCAACGGCCGCGAGATCATGGACTTACCTCCTGCTCCATGCGAAGAGCTACGGGATTAATCCCTGGTACATTGGCATCGTCTATTTGTCGTCTCTCATGAGCATACTCTCGTTTAAGCTGTTTTGACCGCTTGATCTCCTCGGCGATGTCCTGGCGCACCAATTCGACGTCTTTTTCTCTCAGAGTATAGAGTTCATGATATAGCTGTTTGACCGCCGGGTTCGAGCGAAGGCCTTTTGGAAATATGTCGGTGAATTGGCGCAGTGTCATGAAATCGCGCAATGATGCGGGGGCGATGAGGAAGTCGGAAAGCAGTCTCGCTTCGTACGATGGCATTTCTGTAGCAGAAGTGCCCGGTGATGCTTCGCCAGGTAGACTGTCTCCCGTGATCGTATCGAGGGGGAAGAGAGAGGGGTGTTGTGGTCGTGATAGAGTGGAGTCGTAGGGTGAGCGGGCAAGACAGTCGAGATATGTAAGTAGCTAGGCCATCAGATCGCGTCGCGTCGAGGCCCGAGCGTGCTTTTCCCTCCAACCGCCTCCACGCTGCGTGTTTGTCGACGCACAACTCGCATTAAGTCAACAATATAAATATACGGATCGAGCTGACTATCTTCTGGGTCTGCACGGTCGAGTTAATTCACTTCGGTGCACTTCATCCCAAGACACGTGGTACCGTCGTGGTCGCTCACATAAGTACTTAAGTACTTCGCTCAAGGGTCTGACCCTCCGTCCACCTCCACCACCACTGACTGCACTACAACCCAAATTGCCCACAACACAACAAACTGCATTTCTAGTTTGGTCGTTTACGGAAACAAACATGGCTCCAGCAGCAGCTCCAGAGCCCCAATTCAAGAAGGACGAGAAGGCCTTATGCTTTCATCATGAACTGCTCTACGAGGCTAAAGTGCTTGAAGTGCAGCCTGTCGACGAAGATGACAAGAAGAGCGGTTTCCAGTACAAAGTCCACTACAAGGGCTGGAAAAACACGTACGTATATCTCTCAGTCCCATGCGTGTCTGCCCTTGCCAGGCAACATGCTTCCTGTTTGCCCCTCGCTTGCTGTCTATTACTCTCCTGCTGTCTCCACCCTCACCGTCCCCCCGACCTTTCACATGTCACATGATAATCTCCTCTTGCATCCATTTGTAAATAGCGGATTCCCCGTTGGTTCTCTACCTTGGACAGCTTCGTTAACACCTGGTAGCTGGGACGATTGGGTAGCAGAGGACCGCCTCCGCAAACTGACTCAGGAGAACCGGGAGCTTGCCAACAGCCTGAGACACGAAGTCCTTGAAGCTCAACGTGCTGCCCGAGCTCAACCTGCACCTTCTAAAAAGAAGCCGGTGGGATCATCAGTTCGCGGTAGCGAAGAACGCCAGATGACCACCCAAAATAACGGCCCCCGAGGCCAGAAGAGAGTGCGTGATCAAGAGCTCGAGAAGGTAAGTACATCAGCAAACACGCATCCCCGCAAAAGTTTGGCTTTTTCTGGGTCCCCAATCACAACATTCTTGTCTATTTAGGGCTAACATAGCCCTAGGAGGAGGTCTTCCAGAGCCGCCGTGCCGTCCGTATCATGATGCCCGACCGACTGAAGAGTCTGCTTGTAGACGACTGGGAGAACATCACCAAGAACCTCTCATTAGTTCAGCTTCCTGTCAAAGCATCAGCTGCGTACATCTTGGACGCCTACTATGAGTATGCTTCAGCACCAGGCACTCGTAGTAGTGCCGAAAAGGACATCCTTGAGGAAGTCATTGCCGGCCTCAAGGAGTACTTCAACAAGGCTCTTGGCCGTCTGCTTCTCTATCGCTTTGAGCGCGAACAGTTCTACGAGGTTCTCAAGGGGATTGAGAGCTCAACGGGCGAGTACAGCGGCAAGTCCATCGCCGAGATCTATGGTGGCGAGCATCTACTGCGTCTTTTCGGTAAGTATCTAACCGGCAATCTTTCTGTATGCTGTTTACTAACTTGATTCAGTCTCCATGCCTGAGCTCATCGCTCAAACCAACATGGACACGCAAGCTGTCAACCGTCTCCGTGAGGAGCTAGGCTTCATGACCAACTGGTTGCAGAAGGAGCCCCAAGTCTCCCAATTCTTCAAGTCTGACTACGTGAGCCCTAGTCAAGCCTATATCGACAAGGTCAAGACTAGTACTTGAAAGGATCTTCGTCGTAGGATACACGCTCTTTTCTTCCCCTTCACTTGTGTAATATAATTGGGAATTTGGGCAGTCATTGAGTTTTGGCTCATGGTCATGGCGCTACAAGGCGAAAAAAAGGTGCGGTTTGTGTTTGTCTTCTCATACCCGTCGTACGGCCTGCAAGATCACGATAGTAGATGAAGAAGATAGAGGGCTGGGCTAGTATAAGTGCCCCAAATGTGACCTCTTCTTCACCGAGCTTTCTGATCGCCCTTGCCCATGCCTTCCTGGTCACTGCTCCAATGTCTTTGGAAAATCTTGCTCTCACCATGAGCTCCCGGTGCAGTACGGTCCCGAGGAATGTTCTGAGTCAGGGTAGCAGAATCATTCAATTCGTGTATACATAAATAGACGTACAGATGAATAGCTCAGTTCAGCTTCCACTCATCCTCACGTACTTCTATTGAATCCACTTTTCCAACACACCCGCCGCCCATTCCAACCCCACGCTCAGATCTCCCTCCGCCTCTCTAGGCATCCCCTCAATCCCCAACTCTGTACAAACACCCACATCCAGCTCTCCCTCAACATCACCATCCTCGAACAAAAACTTGTGGTCTTGTACATAGTTTGGCCAAACAATCTGATCCACATACCCCGGGGGATCCTCCCAGAACCCTTCCAACGTGACATACCCCTTTCTGGCTTCCCTTCTTCGCTTTGCCGTCGCATAACTAGTGCGCAAGAATAATCTTACGTCAAAAGCTTCCCTAATCCCCCTCATCTCCTCGCTGAACAGTAAGAACCCATCCACAACTACAATCGGCCTCTCCCACTTCTTCTCACCAGCAAGCTTCCGTACACGCTCCTTCAAGCTAGATATCAGGGTAGGCGAGACATTGTGCTCGCCTACACTATTCTGGTCTTCTTTGCTGACGAAATCGGGTGGGATGCAGGCTTTCTCTTTGATATGGGCAAGCGTAGAGCGCAGCAAGGGGAGGTCTAAAGATTCGAGGCAGTCCCAGTCTTGAACGCCGCTTTTCACGGGGATCTCGGCATCTGTCAGGTAGAAGTCGTCGAGGTGGAGAATGGCGAGTTGCGATGGAGGGAAGATGTCGCGGAGGAGGCGTGAGAGAGTAGTTTTGCCGGAGGAAGAGGGGCCTGATATTCCAACTAGGAGGGGAGGCTGTTGAGCCATTTGAATATTGGATTTATTTTTCTTTTTGCTTCAATTCGCCGCCGGATCTTGCTTGTGGTTTGAATGTGGTGATGGATAGAAAGTGTTGATTGGGAATTACCCCGCTATGAATGAGGTGGGCGGTGTCGGTGTCTTTGAGTCTTGATGTCGACTGGCAGTCACTTCAAATTGTATTGGATCTCTCCTTCCTCATAGATATTGAATATATCTGATTCGTCCCGATTGGGCAGTAGGTGTGAAGGTCGGCGTTATGTCATGGGTGCATACATGTACCTGGGTGGAGGACGCAGAGCGGCCCGAGCAACTATTTTCCATCGAGCGCGACACATGAATGAAGCTTGCGACACCTGGCGGCGCAACGCGTTCAGGAGAGCTTTGCACTGACATTACGCCTCTTCCGCCATCGCAGTGGCCATGGAACCCTCTCCGCTCACCCAGGTCGAACGGCCGGAAACATTCCAACCCAAAATCATCCGCCTCTACGAGACTGTTTTTAGGGTGCGTGTCCCTATTCCCCCGGGGGGTCCCCGCATCGTTGGCTCCAATTCAAGCCTCCACCCCACACCCGCATACTGAAAGCGCGCAGGATGAGGATGAGGATGTAGACCTGTCCGATGGCTTCTGGGAGGAGTTTTTCCTCCATCGACCAGATCATGCAGGCTTCAAGCGCATTCTCGAGACGATATCGCCAGACGACATGCTGCACCTCCAAGCGCATTCACAGCAACTGTTCCAAAGAGCCATTTCGCGTATACAGCAGGCGTCTGCGCCCTCGGACGAGATTGCCCTCGAGGTATGTCGCCCCCCCTCTATCCTTCTCTGTTGTCGCTGGCTCACAGGCCAGACCTTGACAGTGTTCCTAGATGCCGCGTTGAGCAAGAAATACACGAACCCCAGTTCCGACATCATCGCCGTTCTCGCTGGCCTCAACGATGCCGACACCGTAATGTCCGACTTCGTGGCCGCGCTGGATACCGTCATACGGAATGGTCGCTCCCTGTCTCTGCGACTCAAGGCCGTACGAACCTCGCTCTCCATAACCGCTACCGGCTTCCACACGGCACTCCCTTCATACTTTACACACCGCGACCTGTTCCCTGCGCTCATGAAGTTCACTCAAGATTGCGAGCACAGCTCTCAGGTTCTACCGGCATTGTACTTGCTTGGTTTGCTGGTCAATTACAACAAGTTCGAATTTCAGAATCCGTACAGATTACGGCTAGACGATTTCGTGAATGATGCCATCATCCAAAAGATCGTCACAAGCGTTGGGGACACTTGTGTGAAGCTGAGGGACGCCTATGTGGCGATACAAGATGATATGCCAGAGCCGTGGTCGTTAGGGTCAACGTTGAACTACATTGGGTTGGGGGTACTATCTCCCACATCACGGCCCACAACACCTACACCGGGTGCCGAAGATCCCAAATCCCTATTTGCAGCATTGTATGTATATGGACCTTCGGTTTCCCCGTCTTCCTGTTCATCGCTCACCGTAATGATAGACCAGGGCCTGAGATTGGAGTACTTCTTTCTACCTACGATTTCGCCAATGCCAACAAAGTCTTCTGCTTCAATCTTGTATCAACGCCTGCCCCAAATAAAAGCGATCCTTCGCCCTTAAGTTCCTTCCTGTCGCTTACATCATATCTTTCGCAACATGCACATCGCTCCCAGAGAGCTGCATTGTATACTCATCTCAGTCTATTCACCCTACAGATTCTTGTGGAAGATCAATCGTTAGCAAAACGCCTGTGTAGCGACGAGAGCAAGCTTTCCGTCCGCCTGTGTCGGCAACGGCAGCCTTTTCTACCTCTGGTTAAGGGCGAGCGAACTGCCACTTCTGTGATTCTGGACCTTATGATAGATGGCATCAATCACAATCTCCGACGGCGGCTGGATGTCGAATATTATATGTAAGTTTTTTCTTCATCGGCGACTAATGTGTAAGGTGCTAATTTGTACAGCTTATGTATAGGTATTCTATTACGAATACTCTCATTCCTGAGCCGCACTAAAACCCGCATCGCCTACCATTGGTCGGAGTTGTGGCGGACACTACTTTCCTTCTTCCGCTTTTTGACTACCTACGTCGATGACATTCGCTCCCTGCGCCGCTCGTCGGAATTGGTCGATATACTCGTCAACCTTCTCGCCTTTGCCCTATCAAGTGGTGAGAACTTCCTTCCGGATCCCGCATCGTACGACGATTTGTTTTACAAGCTCGTCGAAACTGGGGATAGTCTGGCCAAGTTCCGCGACGCTTTTGGCCTGAGCAGTTCAACGTCTATGCAGACATTGGTAAATGTCTCATCCCACTACCAGACGCTTCTCGAAGGTGGCGGGGACCAGGCGAAAGCGAAGAATAAGATTCTCAGCCCGAGAGAGGTCAACAACGTTATCAAGCAAGGGTACAGCACGCTTTCGATTGAAGCCGAGGAAGGCCTTGATCGATGGGAACGGTTTCGTGAGGTCGAGTATAAGATTGCTCTTAAGAAGATTGCGAGGGCGGCAATCGAGGACGCTAAGATGCTGAAGGAGGACAAGTAAAGGATGGCCCACGGGAAGTTTGGGAGGATGGGTGGGTACGAAAAGCCATATGATACCACCGAAATTTTTATGTAAGAAGCAATCCATTGAGGTCAACAGATCCACGATTAGATATTTACGAACATATTGTCCACTTTTATCAAGGAGACCAAGCACAATTTGATCGCTTACCAACGGTTCAACCAATGGTCGAGACGCCGTAGGCGTATCATAATCATACCCACCACAATGCTCGCCAGGCCAGGAGTGGTCTCAACATGGAAAGAGAGAAGCGCCAAGAATCGAATACCTGGTACCAATCCATCAGCGCATCAGAGAAGATGATTTTACTTTGGTAGTAGTATATGAGCTAATTCTCTTCTTGTTCGCCTTATCCGGCCTCCTCTCACCATCTTGGAGTAGTATTGCACCTCCTCTCTCGTTCTCGAGCTGGTCATATTATAGCTCATTGACCAACCCCCCCTTCTCTCTCTCCCTCTATGGAGCGTCCAGGAACACCACGTCGCAGCCTACAATCCAATCCTGAACAAAGATGGATTGCTCAGCAATCACCTCCCTTCGGGGCTATGAATACAAGCAGCATTGATGCAATGAGAGTGAACCCAAAGCTGTTGCTAGCAAGACGAAACAGTCCCGCTCCTTCCATTAGACCATCTACATCGCCGTCTCTCGCGCCCTCCCATATGACGCAAAGCGGCCATCCTGACATCAGCTACTCCATCCGCGGATTCGACGACGATGCCGGACACCTCTATGCCGTCTGCAGGGCAGTCCCGTACCTGCTCGGGCCAAAAAGCATGCTGGACGCCCTCTCCACAATGCGAAGCGCCCAAATGCCAGACCACCTTTTCATCAACGACGAAGGCACACCCATCCCAGATACCCAACGCTTCTCTTTTATGGACCGCGCCCTCGTCCTGGTCCTCTATCTCCTCCAAACCCCGCTAGAAGATCACACCATCCCCATCCGTCAACTTCTCTCGCACTTCGACCACCACAAAGACGCCCTCATCATCTACAAAGACATGGGCACCGGCCGTCCAGTCGAATACATGAACCTCCGCGTCTCAGATTTCGCAAACTTGGCCATCGAATGGCACGCCATTGGAAACCCGGGAAACGTCTCCCCAACTCGCCCAGACGCAATCACCCCCTGGCAAAACATCATCCCCCACCTCGCCGCCCGCCATATTTCCAGCACCTACCTCACGAAATCGCAGTACGAGCAATGGATCATGGTGCCCGAACCCGACCTCCCCACGCAGCTAAACACATTCGTGCGTTCGGGAGGCTACGAGCGCTTGATCCAGAACTACCTCGCCCGCGATGTCTCGAGGCGTTTGACTTCGCGGTTCGGATGCCACGGCAACACCACGCATGGCCTCCTTCCTTCCCCCACCGATCGTCTCGAGCGCGGCGCTAAACGCTTCTCCCATGAGCATCCTTGTGGGCGTCTTATTGATTTCAGACAGGAGAGACACGATAATGCGCTGTTGCCGGAAGATCGCGCTAGCTTGGATAAGGAGAAACGCGATATCGCTCGCGACGATGCCGAGGCGGATGCGGCTCAACAACCTACTGATCCTGCTGGTGCTGCGGGTGCTAAGAAGGAGGAAGAAGCTGGTGCGGTGAAAGGGTTTGCGCGCTTGACGAGGAATATCCGGTGGGTTAAGGTGATGAAGTATGGCGTTATCACGCTCGTTACCGTTGGTGGGATTGGGGGAGCAGCTTGTGGGGTTTATTTCTACATTTCGGGGAAGCGGAGGGACGGGGGGATGAACAATGTCGTTGATACTGCGTCGTAATATAGTGACGGGGCATCTTTTTTCGGGGAGGGGATTTGCTGGCGTGGGGATTCCTCACTGTTTTGGCGTTATGTTCTTCCTCTCTCTCTATTCACGCTTTCCAATCTTCCATGCGCCAACATCATTATTTTTGTTTACATTATTGATGTAGGGGGCCTCTCTAATACTGGGAGAGCTGAGAATCACTCAAAGTAGCCAGAACACAGTCATCACACCAAGTTTGACTTGACTTGACTTGACTTCAAGTATACCATATCCAGGTATAATACATATATCTATGGGTTAGAAGATTCCTTGTTCATCACAATATGTTATACTTATATAGTCCCACTACCCCACCTTTGAACACTCTGAGTGTGATGAAATAGTATACAGAAGCGACCCGAGGAATATTGGCGCAAACGTTCGTCGGCCTCTAGTATCAAATATACGGGCTTCGAACTGAATAGTGTGAAAGACCACATCAAGTGTTCTCCCTCCTCCCATGTTTCATGATTCAAATTTTGTTCGCGGCTTCCTTCCACAGAAAGGAAGATGATTTTTTACGGCAGGTACTCAGACCGTGGGCATATTTTCAGATCTCACTCATGAGCAAGGTGCCGCAACAGATATCATACTACATCTTCATTGCAAGACGACAAACTAAACCATACCGCAGGATAGAAAGCTCGCGTTCCCAATACAGTTCATTTCCCAAACTCGCTATATACAAACAACCAAGGATGCCTAGCTAGCCCCCGCCGTTGCCCCAGAAAACGCCACTGTGACCGCGGTCACTCATAGTACATGAAGAAAGTAAAGAAAAGACACGCAGTCGCGCTCTGGTGTCAAATGGAGTAATATGTTTATCTGAACTTGCTGAAGATGACTGCGATGATGAGCAACACCAACACCGTTATGATGGCAATAGTGATGAGCCGGTTCGTCGCCATTCTGTATATCATAAATCTCGTTAGTAAAAAATCCCGATTGCCAGCATCCGATACCATCCATCACCAGAATCTGGGGGGCACGAGATGGTGTCAACACCAGGATTCCGAGGACAGCCGCGTGATACACCAAAGGGAAGGGGAGAAAATATAGTGAGAAGAGGAACCAACGCACCTTCTAGCCATGCCCTTAAGGGTCTTAATACTCCGATCAGTGTAACTCTCACTCTCCTGCAACGTGACTTGCGTATGCATGATCTGCTCGCGCTGCCGGTGCAAGTCGCCGAGTGTGCTCGCACCAATCTGCTCAGTCTCAAGCGCCATACGCTGCGCAGCCGTGAGCCTGCCAGACGACCGCTGCAACCGATCTGTGCCGCTTAGCAGCTGCTGCCGCTGCTCGAGCTGCGCATCGCCGCCCTCTGGATTGTCTGAATAACGGTCGCCGAAGAGTTTGCTGCGGTCGCTGGCGTAAGACTCTAGTTTGCGCTTGCTAGTGTCGAGGTCGTGCTCGAAGTTGCGGAAGCGTGTGTTGTACTTTGATTTGAGGTTGGCAGGAATGTTGGACTTTTCGAGGCGCATTTGGCCGATCTATTCACAAGTCTATATTAGAACCAACATCTCAAAGAGAGCAGTGAAGTAGGATGTGGGTCGAAAGGGAGGCCACGACATGTGTGGAGATAGTAGCTGATGCGGAGAAGCTACATCCCCGAAGTTGCAGGTAATGGTGCTGCTCACCAGTTCATCAGCTTCCTCCAACGCCCTCTCGGCTTTGCTTATAGCTGCCTTGCGAGGCTCTCCAGTACTCTCTTTGATCTGCTCTATTTGCTGGTTCAGGTCCGCTTGCACCAGCTTCAGCTCGGCTTCGTAGCCACCGAATCGCTCGGTGCCTGCATCGGCGTCGATAAGGTTGGACATATTGTTAGGCGGTGCGCAGTCGAAGGGTTCGGGATAGCGAGGCGAAATATGCGGGAGGAGCTGGTGAGTGTCGTGATAAACGTGGCTGTTTAGGATCTCTGTGAATTGTAGTTGTAGTGTGGTCGTCGGAAGTTGTTCGTTGGAGGGTGAGGCGTCTAAAGGATGCGACCTACGCAATGCCTAGCGTGACCCCTGCCAGTTGCCCAGCCCGGCATGAATCACGTGGATGAGTGTCTCACCCTTGGCAACTCCAGACAAGCCGAGTTCCAGTGGGAACGTTTGATATATGCGTCTATAGCTGGACAAAGAGTACGATAGTTCCTCCTCGATAGACATATTTCTCTGTGTGTTGGATATATGGTTGCCACACTCGTACATGTGTGAACCTCGAGCTCATTCTTAGCGTGGTCAGGCACAGATCACCAGCAATGTTCATCGACCGTCTACTTACCCGTCGCTAGCAGCGTTTAGCATACCCAGGTAGTTCATTTGTGAACTTCAACGTCTAATCACCATGATTTGCACAGTTTTTGGACGAATTGTCGAGAATAGACACTAATTCGATTTGAGTGGATACTAAAGCTGTTTCAGAGTCAATGACCTCATCACTTCTGAATTCGGACGTTTCGCGTCTATTAGGCAAACTGAGAATTCGTGAAATGTTGTTGACAAGTGAAGTTAACGCTACACCTACATATTCACCCCCCAAGACCCGGGATCCTCCGCCAACAATCGTAAGAGATGGAAAGAAAGCGCATAGCCATAGTCGGAAGTGGTATCTCTGGTCTTTCCGCCCTCTGGTCCTTGCGCGATTCAGATCACGAAGTTCATCTTTATGAAAAAGATGCCCGGCTGGGCGGCCACACGAACACGGCCACATGGACATATAATGGCAAATCCACGCCTGTAGATACAGGCTTCATCGTGATGAACACCGCGACCTATCGTGCGTACTGGATTTATCCTTGTCAGTCATTGCAGGTTGCGGCAATATACTAACATGATGTTGCATCATAGCAAACTTCATCGCGTTCCTAAAAGCCATCAATGTCAAAACCATGGCTTCTTCAATGACCTTTGGCATCTCGAGGGACGCCGGAGCTTTCGAGTGGTCGGGAACATCACTCGGGGCGCTCTTCGCCCAGCCCTTCAACGCCTTACGTCCTTCTTTCTGGCGCATGATCTTCGACATCGTCCGCTTCAACCTCTTCTCCTTGGATCTCCTCTCCTCACCAGTAAAGCCTTCGTCAGATCTGACTATTGGTCAGTATCTGGAGAAAGAAGGCTATTCGGATGCATTTCGAGATGACTATCTCATCCCCATGACGGCATGCGTGTGGTCCACTGGACCCGACAAGTGCGCTTTGGAGTTTCCCGCCTTAACGTTGGTGAGGTTCATGTGGAATCATCACTTGCTTAGTACTGTTGCAGAGAGACCACCTTGGTTGACCATTGAAGGTGGATCTCAAAGGTACATTGACGCTCTGATGGCACAATGTAACAACGCCGTAGTCCACATGAGCACGCCAGTAAAAGCCCTGAAGAGACGGAACGGCAAAGTCGAGCTCTCATTCGACAGTACGGAAGGCGCAGCGAAGACCAAAATATTTGATGAAGTTGTGTTGGCTTGCCATGGTGACCAAGCAAGAACCATCCTAGGCACCGAAGCAACTCACGACGAAAAGGAAGTCCTAAGCGCCTTCGAGACATCCCCGAACAAAGCATACCTCCACTCAGACCTTTCGGTACAGCACCCACCCTATCACAAGTGTCCCCTTTCGTGTGAAACCCTAAACTAACAACCCTAAAGTTGATGCCTATCCGCAAAGAAGCCTGGTCATCCTGGAACTACATCACAACCTCTCAACCCCCATCCGCCCCAACACCAGACCCCACCTCCGGCACCCTCCAAAACGTCTGTCTGACCTACAACATGAACATTCTCCAATCCCTCCCTACATCTGCCTTCGGCGACATCCTCGTCACTCTAAACCCTCCCAGCCCACCTTCCCCCGCCCTCACTCAAGCATCGTATGAGTACCGCCACCCCCTCTATAATGCCCGCATGGTCGCCGCTCAAGAGGATCTTGAAACTATTCAGGGCAAGCGCGGGATCTGGTATGCAGGTGCCTGGACGGGGTACGGATTCCATGAAGATGGGTTTTCGAGCGGGATGCGTGTCGGGCTAAGGCTTGGTGGCAGTGTGCCGTGGGAGGCGCAGGATGCGAAGTTTATTCGCGGGACGGCGCCAACATTGGCTTGGGCGGATTGGGTCGCGAGGACTGTTGTTGGGGTTTTGCAGGTATTTGTTGGCGGGTTTGAGGAAGTCGTTGGCGTAGGGAGGAGACGGAGGAGCGCGAATGCGAAGGTCTGGGAGAATGGCAACGGACATGGTGTGGCGAATGGCAAGGCAAAGGCGGCGTAATGTTGACACCCTCCCATTCTTACCTGCCTGTGTTTGTTATTGCTTGCCTCTCAGGACGTCTTAGTCACCAGCAGCATGTAGTCAATATAAAAAAATAGAAATCCAAATATCCCGCCAACACCAACAGCTCCTACCCTCGCCCTCACTCCATCTGTCTATCAGAAAACCCGAAATACTGAAATTGTATAGTAGAGGAATTGAAGGAGGATCATGTCGATTGGTTTTCGTATACCTGGATGTTCTTGCACAACACTTTTATGTCCGCACTCGGCTATCTATTTGGATTGCTTGGTCCATCTCGTGAGGGCGCAATCCCCAATTCTCACGTAGAATTGAGAAAAATGATACACGCCTTCTTCAAACGAATGTCGCATGCAATTAGATTTCGAGTACTCCTAACCTCTCACCGCGGTTCAAACGTGGGATTGTGAATACAGTGCCTCTTCTGTTGAACTATTGTATCAAACTCGAATGCTTTAACTAGTGATTTAAAGGACATACTCTTATCTTCAAAGAAGCTGCCCTTGGAAGTTCTTTGATGAGGAGAATGTGGGAGATAAACTTGATAAGCTCGTTGAATGATAAAACAGATTCCGTGCCTGATCTAATCTGATTTGATTAGCCGGAGTCACGTGACAAACTCTATCAGAGCTTCGCCGAAGCCGAACGTTTGAGCTCAGTGCCGTCACGAATCGCGCAGAGATAGTTTTCAGAGCTTCATTAATTCTGCATCTGGGACCAAGATTCTCCATCCCGCCTCCGCGCAAAAACACCAATTCCATCTCCCCATCATCAATCACCATGTTCCGAGCTTCGATTGCCAAAGTACGTCCAGCCGAGGCGCGCGCCTTGGGTTCTCTGGCCCATGTGCGAGCCAGCCCCTCCCCCAACGGCCTAACATGGGCGGTACGCAGCGGGGGAGCCATCCGGAGCAGGACTCTCTCCACACTACCCCGTCCTGCCATCGTTGGTACCCCATCTTTGAACCAAGTCACCTTCCAACACCGTCAATTTTCCTCGTCTAGCAGCATGGCATCCACGCGAACAGAAAGCGATGCTTTTGGAGAGATCCAGGTACCGGGAGACAAGTACTGGGGCGCGCAAACGGAGAGGTCGCTGGAGAACTTCAAGATCAACCAGCCCCAGGACCGCATGCCGCCGCCCATCGTCAGGGCTTTTGGCATTCTCAAGGGCGCAGCCGCTACAGTCAACATGAAATTTGGGCTGGGTAGGTGTCTCCATACCATACCATATCATACCATGACCACTGTCAAAGTCCCTCACCCCCACTAACACGAAAACAGACCCAAAGGTCGGACAGGCTATCCAACAAGCCGCCGAAGAAGTGGCCTCCCTCAAGCTCATCGACCACTTTCCCCTCGTTGTTTGGCAGACTGGATCTGGCACCCAGTCCAACATGAATGCCAACGAAGTCATCTCGAACCGCGCCATTGAGATCTTGGGGGGCAAGATGGGCTCCAAGAAGCCTGTCCACCCCAACGACCATGTCAACATGTCCGCCTCCTCCAACGATACCTTCCCTACCGTCATGCACATTGCCGCTGTTATCGACTTTGAGGAGTCATTGCTCCCCGCGCTCAAGGGCCTCCGCGATGCTTTGAAGAAGAAGGCCGACGTATTCGAGAAAGTCATCAAGATCGGCAGGACACATTTGCAAGATGCCACGCCTTTGACTCTAGGTCAGGAGTTCTCTGGCTACGTCCAGCAGCTGGACTTTGGCATTGAGCGTGTGCAGTCGTCGCTCCCCCGCCTCAAGATGCTCGCTCAGGGTGGAACCGCCGTCGGAACCGGCATCAACACATTCAAGGGCTTCGCCGAAGACATCGCCTCTGAAGTCAGCAAAATGACCGGTCACGACTTCATTACGGCACCCAACAAGTTCGAAGCCCTCGCAGCCCACGACGCCATCGTCGAAGCCCACGGCCAGCTCAACACCCTCGCCGCATCCCTCTTCAAAATCGCCCAAGATATCCGCTTCCTAGGATCTGGACCCCGCTGCGGTCTCGGCGAGCTCAAACTCCCAGAAAACGAGCCCGGATCCTCCATCATGCCTGGCAAGGTCAACCCCACCCAGTGCGAGTCCCTCACCATGGTCTGCGCCCAGGTCTTTGGCAACAACGCCGCCACCACTTTCGCAGGTTCCCAGGGTAACTTTGAGCTCAACGTCTTTAAGCCCGTTATGATTCGCAACCTCCTCCATAGCTCCCGCATCCTCGCCGACGCCATGAAGAGCTTTGAGAAGAACCTGGTTGAAGGCCTCGAGGCTGACGAGAAGCGCATCGCTTCGCTTCTCAACGAGAGGTAAACTCCACCTCCCTATCAACCCCCATACCACTTTCTCACAATAAAACTAACCGAATTCCCTTCATTCTAGTCTGATGCTCGTGACCTGCCTCAACCCGGTCATTGGTAAGTAGCCTACCCAAACCTCTTCCCCATTCTCTACCACTTGTCGCCCTATACTTACATCATCAGGCTACGACGCGGCCTCCAAGACCGCAAAGAATGCGCACAAGAAGGGCATCACGCTCAAGCAGAGCGCCCTCGAGCTCGACATCATCAGCGAGGCCGACTTCGACAAGTACGTCCGTCCCGAACTCATGATTGCGCCTGCGGATAAGAAATAAACTACACATATACGCGACAATGGCACCGATATCAGGTTTATCGAAGTTGGGCATTTGTGCGTGATCAGCGATACAAAAATACAAGATGGGGGAATTGTTATAGAATGTGTAAATAAGTACAAACCGTGTATAAAAAGTAAAGCAGAGCATTTGTCTGTACCATTCATGTGAGTATGGTCGTGAGTGATGAGGATGAGGATGAAGAATGGTAGATTTTCAGTACTAGGGCAAAACTATATCAGAATCCACGTATTGTCTATTGTTACCTACATGCACTACTACCTCAGCGCCTCACGTTACATCATGTGCTAACTTTTGACAAAGTACTGGATTCATGTTTGGACTACTTGCTCATTCCAGTCCTATCCATTCAACATGTAGGTACGCAGGCCATCCAACGGTATATTGCTTCGTGAGAAGCGACTATTCAATCTGTTATTATCCTAATCATATCACAGGGACAGTGAACTACGGCACACACACACACACACACCCAAAAAGCAGATTCCCACCTCCAACAACTCGAAGACGCAATCATCAAAGTAAGAAAGAAACCATGCCATCTATGCCGAAAGCAAACAACAAACCCCCTCCCGATTGGAAATTCTACTCGTTGTTGCAGAACTTAAGCTTGATTTTATTTTATTTTTTTCTCACTTCGACCACGGAAACACATGTATTCCGACAGCATCATCACCCTTCAAAAGTAAAAAAAAAAATAACTAACTCCAACTATGTTGGCATAGGTCCCCATCCAAGCTGACATGACGAGTGGCTCATCTCGGGTCTTCCATCATTCCAACGAACGTGACGTTTCTCTCCCAGCTCTCTCTCCGCACATAAAGATGCAGAGAAACAAGCATACACGCGCGTTGGCGAAATATCCTGGGGAGGAGGGGAGGGAAGAAGCAGCAGCAACAAGATTTCCTTAAGGGATCCAATGATTTTTTTTTCTCTTCTTCTTTTTTTTTTTGAATGTGCCCAGCTACATTGTTGAATGAATGCGACTACATGTACTGTTACTCGCCCGTCAAAGTTTGCTTTGAATATATATATTTGGGGGGGGGGGGGGGGGGGGGGGCTTGACCACATCCCCAGACAAAAAACTGGCGATTTAGCAATCAAAGATTGAAACGTTTGATGATTTTTTACGGAGGACCAATCTGACTGACAAAGTATGAACACGGTAAAAAAAGGCAATAACCTATGATATACTTTCTATAGGATCGACCAAACGGTGGACGAGTGGATTACTGCAGAAGATTGGTGATTTTGACTGTGGAATTTTTTTTCATCTTCTTATGAAATGACTGTACAGTCACAGCAGCACCGGAACCCAGTTTTCGCTACGCCCCAAGGTTATTATTAGAAGAGCTGTTCATCAGTGTTATAAAAGGCAGGCTTTGATTTCGATTAGTTTCGTCTTGGTAGTTTGACAACGCTACAAGATGATCGGAGAATTAGGAGGAGACGACGACGGATGCATGTTTCATGGAAATCAATCCCATCTAAGTCTTGGGGTTTCAAAAAGAAAAGATAATAATGGTATTATAACTGAGAGAGCAAGTCTCGGAGCGAGGTAATGGGTGGGTGTGGAATAAATTATTTGATGGAGCGCCTGCCTCCTCCATCATCGTCATGATGCTTCAAGTCGTACTCGTGCGACCGGAGACCAAGAAAGCGGTATATATAAAGGGGCGTAGGGGAAAGATCTCGTTATCAAATTTCTTGCACGTTCCCCGGCAACACTCTTCCATCCTCACTCTCGCGCGCAGAAATCATCCATATCTAAAACCGGGGAAACAGGGGGGAGGGCGGGGGAAGAAGGGGGATATGTAAAGCAAGCAAAGGATAGAAAACACGTGAAAGCAGACAACAGCAGGAGAAAACACCCAGATCAAGTCGCTCGAAAGATCCGTTCCCAGAATAAGGTGAATAACGCATTATCGCCGGGTTTCCATGTCTAGAACTGAGCTGGTACGCGCGGCAAACAAGAGGTGAAAAAAACAAACAGGATGCAAACACCGAGGTATCAAGGACGTGAAAGAACCATGCCAATGCACACAGAAAGAGATCGTTATGGAGAGATGAGGAATATCGGTGTGTATGCGAAGAAACCGCCGTAAACAATCGCAGGATCAAGAGTTGGCAAGCTTTGTTGCTTTCCAGTGGCTTGCTTCGGACATGAGAGGCCATGATGCAACAGGCCAACTGGATGTAAGAGTAGCTTAGAGGGACATTGTAAGCCATTCCCACTCTTGTGGACCAGAGTTTGTCAATCCCTGGCCCATAGCACCCATGGGTAAGCTTCCCAAATTCTGGGGCTGTGCTGAACTTGCTGTGGAAGCGACAGACTCTTTTCTTCGCGGTGTCGAGGCAGTCTTTCCACTTGTGTCGTCGGCATCTGCCATTTCCAGATCCGCTTTGCTCTGTCTTCGCGCCCGCTTGGGTGCAACAGCGCTGCGAGCCTGTGCGGTATTGGCGGCATTGGCTGGTAGGGGTTTCGGCGGACCAGGTGCAATGGGTACTACACCGCCGGGTTTGACATTGGAAGCAGCCATTGATGACGAATTAGCGCTACCGGCGGCTAATCCACCAGCTCCAGCACTAGCGGATCCTGTAGACTTGGGAGACTCGGATTCTGCGCCTTTTCCTGATGTCGGCGTTGTGACGGGGGTTTGGGCCAACGAGTTCTTGCGGGAAGACTTCTTGGAAGATCTAGACACGGTTCCACTGACGGGCGCCGTATTGCCGCTGCCTCGATTTCTCTTCTTGATGACGTCCGTCTTGAGCGACAGTGGCCGGACGACGCCGTGCAACTTCAAAAACAGCCCACAAGCATTGCACAAAGGCTGGCCTTCGGGGTTGCGGCGCCACAGGGGCGTGGTCTGAGTGAAGCAGTTGGTGCAGGTGGTGGGCGCATTGCTGGGCTCGCCTGGCTTGATACCACTGGGGCTCTGCGGACGGGATGGAGCTGCTGAGCTGAAGCCGGACTCTGGTGGAGAATTGGGCGAGGATTGCGGCCTTCCTTGCATCTGCAAAGCCAAGCCTGCTGCATTGGGAGTGGAACTAGTGCGGGGTATCTTCTGCCGTCGAGGATCGTTGCCCCGATTGCGTATGTCGCTCACAGATGCCGCCGACCCGTGAGTCCGGCCGAGACTACCAGCGCCGCTCCAGTGGTCTTGCGGTGAAGAAACCATCTCGGTCGGACCAATGGTGACAGTTTTGCGAGGCGGGCCTCCTGGGTAGCGGGCTGGAATGGGGTTAAACTGGTTGGAAAGGCTCGTCTCCCACTGGAAGTTGGCGTTGAAGTCGAGGGAACCGTCATCCAGCGAGGAGAATTCGTTCTGAGCTGGCATGGTTCGGTCCGGAAAAGCGCCGCCGTCTTCGTCTTCAACGTCCGAGTCGGCCCCAAATGTGAACATGTTCTCGTGTCGAGGAATCGGCATGTTGTCTTGTCTCAAAGTGAGGTTGTGATGCATCATTTGCGAGGGATCCATGCTGGTACTGGGTTGGCTAAAGGCGGTTGCGGAAAAGGGTGTAGAAGCGCCCACGCTTGTGACGGACCCGAACATGGACTCGGCTCCTGTGCTGCCTGGGTTGAATATGTACGGCGGTTGCATCGACGACGATAGATTGGACGGTCGGTGAGGGCCAAACGAGTGGTTGGTCGAGTGCGCACCGCGAATGTCCATGCCATTGCGATCAAAGTACACCGTGTTCTCCTCGTTCATGGGCTGCGGGGTCGAGACGGTCGATGGGAAGGCGGAGCTGGGCGGGGAGTAGTAGTCGGTGGAGTTGAGGGACGAGGCCATCGAGTTGGGGTTGTAGAGGTTGGAGTATGAAGGTGCTTGCGTCATCATGGGTGAGCCGACGGGAGAGAAGCCGAAGTTTGACTGGAAGGGTCCGGCGGAGTGTATGATGGCGTCGTCGTGGAGGTTGAAGGTGTCTATGGAGAAGGGCACTTGAGGTTGGGGAGCATTGAAGCTGGACGACGGCATGGGCTGGTGATCGAGCGAGTATTGGTGCAGAGCAGCGTCGTCGTCGGGGTTGTTGGCCATCATCATGTTATTCACGGGAGGGACTTGAGGAGAAGCCTCTGCTCGCCGCTTGGGCGGCTGATAAGGGATCAGCAGGTGTTGGAGGGGGGGTGCATTGATAAGTGAAGAGGTGGAGGGGGGGGGGGGGGGGGGTGGAAGGGGAGATAAGGAACTTACACGTCGCTCGTCAATGCTAGTCTTTCGAACGTGCCTCTGAACATAACCAAATTCATTCTCGCGGTGAACGACAGGAGGAACGGAGGGAGCAGATGCACGGGCGAGGGAGAGGTCGAGGTCGAGGTCGTTGTGGTGGGAGGACTGATTGGGCTTCCTTATCGGTATCGCTGGGGCAGCTACATTGGGCATGGGTTTGCTCTCATTCGACGGAGAGGGAGGCAGGCCTGCTGGAGAACCGACCGACGACGGCAAGATGAAATCGTCGAGATTCATGACATCTTGCGACTGCGGCGTCGGGGTTTGGGCTCGCTGGTCCACGGATTTCCTCAGTTGCTGTGCGATGCCGCTGGGAGCGCTCTTGGGCGCCGGCCTGGCGGGCGCAGCCATGGAGGGAGTCGTGAAGTCGACTCGCGCGTCTTCCTCTTCGGCTTCTTCCTGTCTGCATGGACCAAGCAGCGGTAAGCCACATTGGAATCAAGAGGGGGAAAAAGAAGCAAGCATGGGAGCCAAGGCAGAGAAAAAGAAAAAGGGAAATGGACAATGCGGGCAGCCACCCCACGGGGAGGTCAAGACATGTATAAAACAACGTTGAAAGAAGAAGAAAGGGAAGGCATAAAAATCAAGGCAGGAAAATAAAAGAAGGTTTGGGAACAGGGCGGACTGCTTCTTGTGTTGCTGGCGGGTGTGGCTGCTGTGCCAGCCCGCGTGGTTGCTATGGTGGGTGCGGGCTTTGGGTTGGACTGAAAAAGGTGAAGGGGCTCAGGAAAGGAAATGCACAGATGATGATGAGGGATTGCGTATATCTTACATGCGATTGCGACTTTGGCGCTCCCGTCGCATATTCATAGCCATCATCCGCCATGTTAAGTTGGACATGCGCTCGCTGTTTGGCAGCTGGGTTTTGGCCTTGGAGTACAACTTCCACACCTGGGTAGCCAGCGGGTCGTTTTGCTGCATTTCTTCGGGCGAACCCAGATCGGCAGCGTCTGCATCGTTCTTGAGGGCGGGAAAAATGGACGAGTGGGCGAGCACACCCTGGCGGGAGGCTGCCGACGACATGTCAAGCGCAGCCTGCGGGTTGGACTCCAGGTTGGCGGTGGGTTGGTGAGGAGGAGGGAAACGTGGTGGGAGTTGCGGGTGCTGTTGGTGGAGTGAGGTGCGGGTTGCGACGGCGTTTGGCGGCCAGGTCCCTAATTTGCTGTCGTCCGGGACAGCAGAGCAGAGAAAGGGTTGGGAGTGAGAGGGGACAACGGAGACGGCAAACAGAGGGACAGGTGCATTCACTGTGGCGGCGGTGGAGGGAGGGAGGATAGCAATAGGGTGCAATATGGGCGACGAGGAGGGCGACGACGACGGCGACGATTTCTCGATTGACGACGGGCGCAACGATGATGATGGTGGATCTGCGAGGGCTCCAATAGCGGCTGGGTTGAAAGGGTCGGGTAAGCCAGCCAGAAGCGCGCATCTGCCTCGACCCCACGCTTTGGCGGCGTCCTGGCCGGGGGGGGTGGTCGCAGAGCAATGCAGCGCCGTCAGGACTGTACCAGTACCCAGTTCCTACACCAGCCTCGAGTCGGCTAGGTCTGCATGTACGAGCAGGCCAGCTGGAAGCAAGCAACAGGCGGGGACCAGGTGGATGCACGGTTGAGAGCGGGACCGCAGTCGGGGGCTTGTGATTTCATTCATTCATTCATTCATTCATTCATTCATCCATCCATCCATCCCTCCTTCACGTGCCTTTTGCTCGTACGCAGCAGCCGTGGCCCAGGTACAAAAGTACCATAGCGGGCTATATAGGAGGGGGTGAATTAAGCAAGGTAGTCTATGTATGTATGTACCGACCTGGGTAGGGTGAGCACGTACTAGGCCGTTTGCACACCAAGTACAGTACATGGATCGGGAGGCAGCATTGCTGTTGGACGTTGGGGATAATTTCATGTGCCCATGCATGGAACTGCTGGTTGAATGGGATGAAGAAGGGAATGGCAAAGAGTGGGAGAGAGATGGCTTGAATCCAGTCACCATCCGAATCATGGATTCATTGGATTCACTCCCTTCATTCTACTCATCCATCCATTCATCCATTCATTCATTGATTCATTCGTTCCATTGATTCCAATGTATGGTATGTTCAATTCATCCATCCCACCCCCACCCATGTCCGCCGCAGCCAATCCCGCCGCACCGCCGAGTGGGCTGCTTGCTTCCCAGCTTCCAGGGCCCGCCTTGAACGACGACCCTGCCGCGCTCCAGTACCCTCACGCCTGTTTCCACCATCCGCTTGTTGTTGAGCTCCAGCGATGCCTTGCTAACCATCAAACAAGACTCGGACCCACTGACTGACTGGCTGGCTGGCTGGCTGCTGAGTACAGTTTGCCATCTATACAAAAGGCCCCCTGTCGCGTGGGTGGGAACATGAATGAATGAACTCATGCCTGGCCTGGCCCGTGCCATTTGCCATCCTTCCAGCCAGCATGCATGCTTTGCGATGCTGCACCTCATGACGTTGGCCTCGACGACGACGACGACACGCCTGCTTGTCTGTTTCTTCGACTTCTCCACTAGTATGGTGCTGTCTGGTCAACCGACCACGACTACCAAAACACAAAGACTGCCCAGAGAGCAAGCCACCAGGCGTCTCACCTTCTGCCGCAACCATCCACCTCGCTCTAGTTGCTTGCTTGCCTCTTCGTTCAACAACCACCGAACCACATCTCTCCTCCGCTCCACCGCCGGCCTGCACGCCTACACACCGGCGGGAAAACTCGCCCTTCTTCCCGGCCCACCATTGGTTCACTTCCTTTGCGACCTCTCCCGAGTATCCTCAACTCAACAAACCGCCCTCGGAGAAACCAACGGTCTTGGGCCTAGGTACCCAATACTCTGCTGCTGTGCTTGCCCTCAACCGACAAGCATTCAATATCTCCGTTCGCTACATCTCCGCCCGCTACACTAACCCTGGCCCGATGTCGCATGCCTGCCTGTTCCTGTTCATTTTCGACCTGCGACCCTTTCCGACCTCAAACGTCCCTATTTCTCCCGGCCATGCCCTGACAGAAACGACAAGTGGGCCCTGTGCTCCACTCTATGATTGCGTGCATCGTGGCCGCACGTGCTTCAACTCGACGGTGTGTTCAAGCCCTTCTCCGTGCTCGCCTTCTGCCTCGCTAGTCCTGGCCTAGCCACCACGCTGTGCCTTTAGCAACGCGGCTCTGCTCCTCCAGCCTTGTCTCACCGTCGCCCATTGGGCTCTGCTGCATCCACCCACTGCGCCCGACATCTACTACAGCGACGTAGCACCCTGCTGCTAGCCATAGTCCCTGGTAGCCGCCGTATCTACCGACGACTACAGTCTGCCGGATTCAGAGACGTCGCCTACTTGGATCGAGTGCGAGATCCGCTTCGGATGATCCTCGCCTTCTGCGAATCCCATTACTGATTGACCTTGGAAAGCATCACCGCGAAATACCAAGAGTTCAAAAAGAGCATGATCAACAAACTACCACCTCCATGCTCAGCCTTGATATCATCGGCAGTCGCCTTTCCGTCGTCTGCCCTTCTGCGACTTGCATGACCACAAATATTGTCCGTCACACGACCGACCGAAACACCGAAAGCCTTGGAAATCATCGGCGTGAGAGGAGAAAACCCTTCACGCATACATCGACGCCTAGAACTAAACTGCAGGAAAACCTCTCCAGCTCCCCAATCAAACTTTGACTCGCTTCATGCCACCCGTTCCTTCCACGCGTCTTCGGCGTCGTCGCTGTACTACCACCCTTATGGCACCGTACTATCAGTGACATCTTCTTGGGAGTCGGGACACGGAACTAATGCTGCCTAGCTCACACGTAGCTCCCGATTTAGCTCCGATGCTCATGACCTCAGCCTAGGCGGACGGATGGGTCAGGGTCGTTCCCTCACCTTGTCACTTTCACATGTCTTTGTCACTTGCTCTCCTCTCGGTTTGTCCCATACGGATTCAAGGTAAAGTTCCCGCCTCCCTACTGGGTAAACTTGACATAGACCATACACAAAGTAGTGGTGTGTAGCCTTTAACAGGTGGGTCATCATCTACTAGCTGATATCCCACTCGCTCGTGGAGGTCGGAAAACGTATACCAGTCCCCCGATCTATACAATTTCAGATCTATATATCTGATACTATTCACCCGATATTCCTGCGCGCCAAGTCTCCCGCATCACTATAATTTAAACTGCATGTATGGGTACATACTCGTACTCGTACTCACCTATATATCTATTCTAAAAAAAACCTTCTTCGTTCAGGAGGCTTGATGCGGTCTTGCAAATTCGTCGACTGATTTGTGGTAAGAAATGCCATGAGGCGACAGTACATGCTTTGGAAAAGAACGTGCAGCTGGAGACAGCAAGTGAGAAGGACCACAGCTCTCTTTCTCATACCATCAACACCAATACAGTTCCTCCAAAGAAATCCAATTCGAAAAAACAAATGCGATTAAAGAAATAAGCATCGACACATACTCGCTGCTCCAAAACACCAACTCAATTGAAATCCCCCAATTTGATTTGCGCCTGCGCAAGGGCTTATGCTCACACCACACCTCGTATCCCCACTCCATGCCATGCCATGCCAAGCCCAACACCCCCATCCCACCCCTCCTCAAAATCCTCCCAAATCCTTCCTCCCGATCCTTCCACCACCTCAAACCCAACCCAATCCCAATCCAAGCACGCGTGGGGGTCCCCCCCCTCATCCCGCAATCCGTATAACCCCAACCCCAACACCGAACCACGAACCCCATATACCACAATTTAACGCCTCCCCTTTTCATATCCCGCTCCTCTGATCGGTGTACCCCCCCCCTCCCCCCTAACCTCTACCCGGACCCAATCAAAAAAATAGCTTTGTTGCTCGATTCTAGATTTACATGACCATGCCATACATACATTATTTGAAAAAGGGGATGGGGGGGGGAGGGAAAAGAGAGGAAGAGGAAGAAGAGAGAGGTTCTAGATCGCATACACAATGCACGTTCTGGGCACGCGTGCGGACGAACATGCGGGCTTTTTTTTTTCTTCGGTCTGGGGGAATACGAATATTGAGGGATGGATGCAGTGAGAATGGGGGGAGGGGGGAAAGGGAGGGATTATGATTTTGGGGGAGGAAGAGGGGGGGACGTGGATTGGATGGATGCATCTAGATGATGATGATGGGGGTGGGATATATGTATGCAGGATGCAAGGAATTGCGGGTGGGTGGGATGGAAGAGAGGGGGGGGGGTCCAAGTGTAAGCCGATGGAATCCGGCAGGTTTGTATTCCTCATGTGTGCATCGTGATGAATATTCTGCTTTTTTTTTCAAAATACTTATTTAACTGGTGTTGTTGGTGGTGGTGTTTTCTATAAGATACTAAGGTCAAATGGTTTTGTTGTTGTTTAGTGTACAAGTGGGACCAGAGAGAGATGGCTCCGCTTTTTTTTTTTTTTGGACTGACTACTTCCACCATACATACAAGCTTCCATTCCCCTTCCTCACAAACCAATACAACTCTCTCGATCCCCCATCTCCGCGCCCCCAAAGTAAACAGAAAAATTCCCCAGCAGGCCTAGAAAACAATCTAGAAGACTATGTGTGGGTGTGTGGCGGGTGCACGCGGTACAAAAACAACACAAAGAGCAGACCAGAGCGCGGTCTAGATCTCTCTCCATACTCACTCACCATCTAAACATGCAGCAGGCGAATGCGGTTTCCAATTCCGCATCTCCCTTCAAACCTCTCCAAACCTCTTCCATAAGGTATATACACTAACTTTAACCCTACTTCATTTCAATAAACAGGAGAAAAAAAAAAGGTTACAGAACTCGTTTGAAAAGAGATTGGAAAAGAGATTAGAAAAAAACAAGAGTCTATATGAAGGGGGGGAGGAAAGAATGGAACAAGCCTTTCCTTTCCCCCCCAACCGGCTGACCTGCTTTTTTTTTGGAAGCACCACTTGTACATGTTCATACTTCTTGCTCGTGTCGCGTCTGGGTTGGCACTCGAGACGAGAACCACGCGTGCGCTACCGCGTCGAGACAGACGGCTTTGAGAAAGTTGCGCTGTAGCCGCCACCTCCCTGGAGCAATTTAGCATCGATGAGGGGGGGATTTGGAGGATGGGGAATCCTAGCATGGATAGTTTTCAATACATATGTAGTTTTTTCAAAGACGGAACAAAAATGTTTGATTTTGGAGAAGGAAGAAGAAAGAAAGAAAGAAAGAATGAATCTACATATCGTCACGATATCATAAAAGCACGAGTCTCTGTATTCAAAGTATATATGTACCGATGGTAATGTACTTGCATTTTTCTTTGGACATAACCTCGATTTTATGATGTCGAAACGCGGACGCGACAAAAGAAAATAATTGATTATACCCTTTCTTCACTCTCGACGGTGCAAAGTCTCATTGCTTGCTTGCTTGCTTGCTTGCTTGGTACATCGGTGTGTGGGAAAGGGGAGTGTGTTATGCATCATGCATGCATCATTTTACCCTTTAACAATTCAAAGGCAAGCGTACCCGGGGGCGGAACCACGGGTGCGCGTGCAAAGGAAGGATGGGCGCGCGGGATGCATCCGTGGGGGGGAGGGCTGGTCGGTCGGTCCCCTCTCATTTCTCCCGCATGTCCCGCCTCTCTCTCTCTGTTTTCGCATTTTGGGGCTAGGGTTGGCAATTCCGCGGCATTGATTATATACATGCACATATATTTTTTGGTCTTTTTTGGGGGGGATTGTTCGTCTCGAGGGTTGTTTCCCCTCCTCTTCTGTGGATTTTGGCAATGTGCAAAGTAGACAGAGGGTAGGTAGGGGACCTATCTGCCGAAACAGCGACAAGCCCCCCAAAAGAAGGACCGTAAAAGGACCGTCGTCAAGTATCAGAAAAGGAAATGGAAGCGTTTCCAAAGCAGGGAAGTAAAGGAAGTGGGAACTCGAGTGGGCTCTGTGAAACTCTTTGATGGAGCCAGGGACCATCGCGAAGCAACCCAAGATGCATGATTTGAAGGGGGTGTGGTTTCGGGCAGCGGAGAGCTAATGATTCAACCACTACCACCCCCCATCCCACCTCCATTCCATATATCCACCCCATTCAATCCATCCCTTCCCAATAAAACCCCCCATAAAAGTAATAATAGAAAACAAAAGGGTTAACCGCTCCGAAATTCAGACTCCACTCCCCCCCGGGGAGAGGGGCTCCCCGTTTTACTTCCTTGATATTCCGACCCTCGAATCTCGCTCCTTTCGTGTCCCTCTCTCTCTCTCTCCATGGTTTCGATTAATTGCCGCGCAAGCCCCCGTCATCATCACAACTTGTTCCATCCATACAGCCACCCCCGTCCGGCCGTCCCACCATCCTTCTCCACCCCACGGGAGCGCGGTCGTCGTCGACGTCGACAACGGCCTCAGGGTCCCGGTGGATGGATGGATGGATGGATGGATGGATGGTCGTTCCACCCACCCCACCCGTGAGTGCCACCACCACTACCACCACCACCGCAACAGGGTTACGGGTCGTGTGCTCCGGGCTTTGATTTCGTCTTTCCCCAACCCCCCTTCCTTCCCTTTATTGATTTTGTTCAAGGGTAGCTCGCCTTGCGCGCTTTACCGCTTCTTGGTTCACGTATGTAGACGTTGCCCACTCTTTCTATTCAACTGGCCCTCACCATCATCATCAGCGTCATCATCGTCCTCCCGTTTCGGGTTGCTCCATCGTAGCGTAGCGTAGTGTAGTGTAGTGTAGGCGTCAGCGGTCGGTGAAAGGAGTACTACACTTGCATGTAGCCTGGCTCTTGCTCTTGCCTCGTTGCTCCAGGTTTCTGGCCTCTTGCATTGCATTGCATGTGTTGCCTCTGCAACGCATGCATCCATCCATCATCGCATACATACACCCAAGTAGTCGCTGTTGCTGCTGCTGCGCCCCTCTTATCCTCCCCCCACGCGGGGTCAACATTTCCTAGGGAGGTGAGCACCGTTGATTAAGTGATTCGCGTCATGGAAATTCCGATAGCATCCATCAGCTGCGTTTTTTTTTCTTGTTCGGCGTCAGGTTGATGAGAGGAGAGGGAGGCACATGACAGCTTGCTTGATTCTTCCTAGTATGGACCTTGTACAGATTCAAGCATGTCGGGTTATGTCCTGGTTGGGTATCCTTGTTTTGCAGCGAGCCGGGCGGGTTTCTTTGTTCAAAGGTAGGTGAGCAGGTGGACTTGCTTGTCTAGGCGCATCCATGTGCTGAAGGAGCGGTGGCAGCCCTGGGTGCGGATGGTTGGGCGGTGACTTGGATGGAGGACGATGCGCATGTCTCGTGACTCATATGTGACGGTGGCCATGGTTGCGATGATGGTTGATGTGTAGAAGACGGGTGTCGCTATTGAATTCTGTCGTCCAATATTGTTGAATGGCGACGGTTTGGAGGGATCCGAAGGGCCTCGAGGTGGGCGGTTCGTTCCGAATCGGTAGTTCCTCTTGAGGATGGGGATTGGTCGTGTTGTGTGTGTAGCTGCTAGAGATGTTCATCCCTCAACCCGTCTGTACCATTTCCTTCCCGAACTCCCCATGATTTTTTTTTCTTCGAATATTGCTGACCATCCTTCTCTTTGTGCTGTCCATAATCTATCACTCGACCCTTTTGCTCGTTCCTGTTTGCCGGATTCCATTGCCTCCTAGCAGCGTAAGCCCAAACCGTCCCAAGCGAGGAGAGCGCACACGATATATATACATGCACATACGACCATGCACCGCGTGAAACTAAGAAAAAAAAGAAAACAGCGTAACAGCAGAGATAAAGGAAATATCCCACCTCCGCCCACATTTCCCTAGCCGGCCTATCTATCCATCTGTGCCCTATCTATCAGATACAAGATAACCGCGAAACAAACCCTCAATGGCGACTCGCTACGCATTCCAAACGTAAGAAACGATCCACGTTTCTGGTGCGTCGGTGTGTAAGGAATCTGGTTACATACGCACATGGACTCGGACTTGGTCTGAGAGCACGTATACGGATAGATAGGTAGGTAGGTAGGAGCGTATCTATCTAGCTATCTAACTAATGAGGCAATCCATGCTTATCTTTGCATCAACCTGTCTAACAGCGCATCGCTTGATAACAAAATTCAGCACCCTCCTGGCTCTCATTCGAGTGCCTTTTCGTTTTATATTCGCGGGATGAATACGTGGTACGAATCAATGGACGAGAAAGAGAAGAAAAAAAACATCGATTGTACGATTGTAGCGTGAACGAAAGGAAGAGGGAATTGCCCTTATCTCTGCTCAAAATTTTGGAGATGTAGCTGAGGATAGGAGCTTCCTATCTGGGGAATGTGTAAAAGGGGACATGAGACGTGTGTGCGTATCTCGAGCATCTTGGCTTATCTCGATTAATTAGATGGAACTTTGAATGAGTGGGTTTTCTGACTGGTATAGCCACAGAAACTGAAAGGGAGCCTTGGTAGTAGGAAGGGAATCTACAGTGAATACTCCAGATTATGGGAGACTTTCGTATACGGTGTGAGACACAGATCATATTATAGGGCTTCACGCTATGTGAAATGTTTGCTTCGCCATCGTTCGTAAATCAATACGGTGGTTCGACGCAGCAACGGCTTCGATATACAAAAGCTTGGTGGTAGATGCCATGTCCCAGTTCCCACGCATTTCATGCCGACGGCGACTACACAACGACCCCGATATCTTCGTATCGTCTTATAGGTCACACCAAACATGTCGTATGTGTATTGATAAGGCCGCTGGTCTCGCACGTCCATCAAGTACCGTGTAGCCATGGGTGCTACCCGAGCATCGATCCTGTTCTTATTTAAACGCTCTACAGCGCGCTGTTTCCCTCCTCGATCCAGGAGAAACTTGGATCGCGATTCGTGTGCACAATGGATGGGGTTCATCGCGGGAGTTCGGACGGGTGTTTTCAAATCGGTCGCTGTACTTTCTTCACTTGTCCTGCTCGCGGGCAGCTTCTCCACTGCCAGCCCCAGCACTCCCGCCACCCTTGACCGTCTCCTCTCCCAAAACTTTGCTTGAGGCCATGAACCTAAAAAGACATAAGTCAGTCATGCATACTATTGCCTACAGCAATCCAACGACGAAGTAGCTATCATTGGGCATCGTACATGGCTCCCGCATAACCACCCAGGCCCCGCATATCTCGCGCCTGGTCCGCCGCCATTCGCACTACCTGCTCGAGATCTGCCATATTCGCTGTCAACTGTGCAAGCTGCGCTTGAAGGTGTGAAATCTGGCGGGGCTTCTGCGATGGAACGGTGGAGAGGCGTGAGGATGCGCCTGCGGAGGAATGTGAACGGGGAAGATTGGACATTGTGTCTCTATTTCTGGGTACGACGGGCGAAATCAAGGAGAATATCGGGATCGCAGGAGAATATGAATTGGATCGGGAGGTGATGGTCAAGATGGAAGGTATAGTTGGATGTTTGTTTGTTTGTTGCGCACAGGTTGAAGAGGAAAGTGGGGGAGGAAGCACGCGTTGCGGGAGCAGCTTGGCAACGGAGGTCCGCGCTTTCCATCCGCCTTTTTCTCTCCAACGGCTGCTCATTCATCACTTGCCCATCATATTTCTACTACGTGCATCGCGAGCCATTGACCTTCTGCTCCAGTTGACTTGATTCATCTTCCCTTGACGCCGCTCAGAATGGTCACTCAGCAAGTTGTTCGTAGATGGGTCCTGACTGGCGCGGTTGCTTCCATCGTCATCGTAGGGTCCATAACTGGAGCTGGACTGAAAGAGGATCGGCAGAGGCAAGAGGTACACGGTCTATGTACATCTGTGTCGTACTTCAATTAGCTGACAGAGAATCGTATAGACGCGGAAACGTGTCCAAGAGGCTTCTCCCGAGGAAAAGATCATTCACCTCCAAGCCGTACGCGCCGAACTTGTAAAAAAGAAGAACGAAATGGAGAGGAGATTGGCAGCGCAACAGCAAAGGCGTAGAGACTACGATGCAGGAATCGTACGCGAGCCTAAAGGCCGCTGAAGCAGCCTATTCTTACTGTCCGTCTTATGGTCGAGACAAATCGGACGCGCAATGCTCGCTCATACGCGACTTCGGAATCTACCACGTCCCCGTTCTATTGCTCCATCCACGGCATCCGGCCAGCGCTATCAACATGAAAACGCCCACGATCGGGAAAAGTTCTGTCGACAATGGGTTACGGCGCTGCACCGCCCAACCTAATGCCTGCGGCAACACTGCATACAAAGAAAAAGCGTTCTACCCAGCCATGCAGTTTAGACACTAAGTCACATATACCAAAAGCACATGTATGCTCTGAGTTGAAACGTCCTCGAATATCAGTTGATTTGCCTTCCGGGAAGGTTATCTCTGGTCAAAGCTGCTGCTTCCGCGATACCATTCTCCTTCTTCAATGTTAGCGCAATCATCAGTGCGGAAGCCACCCGGATTGGCCTATTGGTGCTGGCTATAGTCAGGAAGCACATGTCAAGCCATTGGCATTTCATTCACCTGATTGCGGCTGAGCAGCTGGATATCAACAGTTGACCTCACCACGGGTCCAGATTACTGCCTTTTCGACATCTTCGCGTGCATACAGCCGTTGTCAGCGGCTACCATCTCGCGACATTCTTACAATCGAGTACCGAGCCTCGCCATGCTCTAGCAGCACCGCTTATGAACATCGACTCATAGCTGTTCGAATTCAGCAGTCAACACCGAGTCAATGGATTGGGTCGCTTCCCTTGGACGCTGCAGCTATATCCTGATTTGCGTCTAATTTCTGCTTATGATTTGGCGGTGAATCTCATCCAATCTATCATCTTTTTCCAAACCACTCCACATCCCCATTGTTAGTCCTCCTGTGCTTCCGCGGCCTGCCTTTCTGCCGAGTCAAAAATGTGCCATTGTCATGCATAATGCACTAATGAAGATATTCTTTGGTCAAGAATTGGGGGAAGGCGGTCTGGGACGGGATGGATTATGGATGAACCATTTTCATGTCGGTACTGACTCCATGACCGAGAACGATTCATGATCATGTATTCACTTGCTGGGTGACCAGACATCCGTTGGCGTATTTTATTACTTGATCATGCATCATGTTCACATAGTGATTTGGGATCAATGACATTCCTGGCTCATATGTTGTATATGCTCTTTTGCTCTAGATTCTTTAGGGAAGAGCGGGAGACAATTCTGATCTGCCAAGTTCCTATCAAGGGTCGAGAGATACGGAACAAGCAAATCAATGTGCAGGTGTATAGTACAGGTTAGAGAAAGCAGAAGAACAGGTTTGCGTTCTTTTTACTTCCCGTTGCCTATCTCAGATCCATATCGGCCCCTTCAATTTCCCACTGATGGCTTGCATGTTCATATACTGAACTAAATGGACTGAAATGAAGTAGTAGTACTAAGGGCCTCTATTCTTTGAAACTCTTGCATAACACTCTCGGCGTATGGAAAGACACAGTTCCATACGTAGATGGGATCAGTGGGCGATTGAACAAGTAGTAAATCAAGATTATCACAGTACCATAACATGACCACACAGTGGTGAGGATTCTGAAGATTATTCGTTTGCAGACCAGTACCTGACACAACATCTGTACGCAATCATCATAACAAAACTCCGATTTGCGCCCCAAGTCAACCACAAGACACCAAGAGAACCCTTTGAAAAACAAAGTATGCGAAAACCCTTGAACCAACTCCATAAGAAAAGTGGAAACGAGAACGAATACTCCCTATTTCCCAACCCAAGCACCCCTCTCCACAATACCCTCACCCCTCGATCCAGATCCAAAGATTACCACAAAGCAAACATGAGATAACACAACCCCAAAAGAACCACGCCTACATAATAGGCTCAATCGTCTCGAGCATCACCAACCCCTCCACCGCCACCACCAGTCCTCCCAACACCCCTCACCCACTCCCCAACCTCAAACCCCAACCGCCTCAACGCCGCTTCCGCGAACCCACCTTTCCCCTTCGCCGCCACCACCCCTTTTCCACCTCCCTTCCCCTTCTCGCCGCCGCCGTGCTGACAAACAACGCTCATCCACCTCCCTTCCTCATTAACTTCCACCAACCTCCCCTTCTCGCGTTCCCGCTCCACGTCCCTGCCCTCGCTATCCGCCGACGACGCCGCGGCGCCGCCAGCATGCGACGCGTGGGGTGCGGGAGATGGCGACTTCACATAGATGGTGAGATCCGGGCCGACGGTGCCGCGCCACAGCGTCGCCATCCACTGCCAGTGGTCCATGGGCGAGTACACGTCTTGGATCGGGATCCGCGATGCATATGTGTTTGCGGCGTGGATCTGGTAGGTTGGCAGGAGCAGCACGGGCAGGGGGGGCGGGTCCGTCTTCTCTCGCTTGGGATCGGTGGGTTTGTGGGGGGGCAGAGAGGTAGAAGAAGGCGTGGATGTGGAGGCTGGTTGTGGGGATGAGGAGGAAGACTCGGAGGAAGAAGGGGTAAGGGAGGAGGATGAGGCAGACGAGGTAGGAACGGTGGTGATGTAATGGATCATGTCGCGGCTCTTGCCGTGCCATTCCCGGACTAGGTCGAGATAGTCCTCGAACCCGACGTCGACTGCTTTGCCTTTTTCGTGGGTCCCGTCGGGGGTTGAGGGTGCCTCCTGGATCTTGACGGCGAAGTCCCTGGCGGACGCGCCGAGGAAGTCGTGCAGCCACGTCGTGAGCTCATCGACGGCGGCCAGGTCGTCGCCCTCGATTGCGATGATGGCGCCGCGAATCGCGGCGACGGGGCTCATAGGGCCGGCTTCGCGGAGAGGAGGCGTGATGCGGCCTAGGACTTTGATTTTGACGTGGTACGGCACGCTCATGACCATTGCTTCGACGCTGCGGGATTGGTCGTGGTGGTGGGGGGATGTGGGGACTAGGAGGTTGAGGTCGAGCGAGGAGCGACGGAGGTCTCTTTGGGGTCTTTGGGGGTGTGAAGGGTTGGAGGGGGTTGGAGGGAGTCCGGCTGTGCTGGGTGGGGAGTGCCGCATGAGCATTGGAGGGAGGGAGTCGCGGCGTTGGTGCTGGGAGTAGTATGATGTGGGAGGTGGTTCTCTGCGGGAATTGGGGTGGGCCGCGTTTGGGTAGTTGTTGAAGCGGCGGCGTTTGGAGTCTGGGGTTAAGGGGCTTGGGGTGTAGTCGTCGCGGGGGTTGGATGAGTTGATTTGGATGGTGCTGAGATTTGAAGGGCCGGGTCCTCGGCGGCGAGCGGGTGAGTCTAGGCTGAGGTTGCTCATGACGGGCAGGTAGCGGGTTGTTGGGGTGAGTCCTTCGGATGGGTTGGGGGGAGGTAGGGTTGGTGTTGTGGGATTGCTGGCAAATGGGCTGACTGGATTTCGAATGCTTCGACCTCCGCAACGGGGGCAACGATACTTGTCAACTGTGACGTGGCCTTGTGGGGGGAGTTGAAGGAAACCGGGCTTTTCTATACGGCGAGGCTGGTATCGGTAATTGGGATACTGTTCCTGGTGTCTTTCTTTCTCTAGCTGCGGATACTGTTAGGTATATCATCTAGAGACTCGGAACGGCTAAGGATAATGCTGAAGGGGAGAGTTCTAATCATACCTGAGCAAGATCATGCCATACTCTCTTGGATTCGTCACTCTCAGCTTGCCACTGTTCACCAATGATTTTGGAGATCTCGGGGTTGGCAAGTCTAGGATGGCGGGTAACGATATCGTGCTGGTGGTGCTGCCGATAAAGAATAAAAGCTACAGACAAAGACTCAGTCAACCCCTCAGCGCTAGTGTAGAAGATAACCATCGGCAGACAAAGAATGCCAAACACTTCTTTGTTCTCCCTAATGGATCGTGATCGGATAAGGGTTTCGACCAGGGAGATTGGGATAAAAGAGATGAATCGGACTCACCATTCCGTGGACGTGGAACCTTTGGTTCGGGCTGGCAAAGACAGACATGTCCTGACAGTTCTCCTGAACCGGTCGATGAAGCACTCAATAGCGGAGACCTCGACTCAGTAGGACTGTGTCCATCGACTGAACTGCCGCTATATGCGTCGTTGCCAAAGGAAGCATACCTCTTCATGTTCGTTTGGGTTGAAGATAGCGTACCATTGCTATATGGGTGCTCTAAGGGGCTTGAAGTTGGCAGGGATGCTGATCGGAGCTCGTGAATCCTGCTGCTTTTACGCAACGGTTGGGATGATGTCGTGTTTTCTGCTGCAGAGGTAGAGTTGGCATTGTCCGTGCAGTTCATGCTCGATCTCACGTATCGTCGGGGAATGTTGGTGAACGTTGCAGTAGGAGGATCATGCTCAACAAGTGGAGGAAGTTGAAGATGAGGAGGGGGAGATATACGGGGAAAAATGGGTGGTAGACCTCGACTTGTCAACATCTTCACATTGGCAATCCGAGTCTCTCTGGTAACGGCAGGTAGCTTCAGACGGGTCTGGTATATTCGACAATGAATTTCATTGTACCATTGAATTTGATAAAGAAGAGAAGGAAGAGACAGCCGTGGTACTTTTCAGTTGAACCGGTTGTCGTGGACAGGAACTAACTGCACGCAAACCGAACTGCGTTGGCCTTCTTTGTCCCCCTATTGTGAGTAAGCGCCTTTCAAGCACGCTCTTGCCTTTGATCATCCCCCTGCGGCTGAGTAGTATAATTTGATTGTTCCACACTGATGCGGCCCACCCGTGATGAGCATTTATCATGTTTCTTTGTCCGCAGCTCAGCCAAAAGCGGCCAAGACAGGTAACCGACCAACTACTGAGACATTCCAGCATCTCCATGCAAGGGAGCGACACGACAGAATGACGCTCCACAAAAACCCGCAAACAAGCTATGAATGCTTCCGGAGAGCACAATCATCATGTGCGAGCTGCAACACAAACCCCTTTTGATGCGCAGAGTTTCTGTCCAGGCCGTCACACATACCTGAGTATGGGCAAGTGTCAAAACATGTCTTCGACAACGATATATCAGGATGCCGGTGGGAATGTCAGTCCGAAACCTGGGCTTCGTCGCTCAGCTTTATGCGTCGCCTGGCTTTATGCGTCGCCTGAGGGGGAGCTCGCTGCAAAGCTTGTTCGCGGGCGACGCTGTTGAATGTCGCGTTTCCGTGCACCAGGCGAGCGGCCTCTATTCCGATTAGTCGGTGGGCAGGGCCGCTGAGATGCATGTCGTCCCTGATACCCGGTTAGACTGAGACTATGTTTGCTACTTCGGATGCACAGCTTACCAAAATAGGTGGCGGGTAGGTTCGGAACACTTCTCGACAGCGGGTGCTTGCAGGTCGGTTACATTGCGGCTCAAGCACGGTTGTTCAACATAATGAAAGAGAGGTGCCTGTGTACCAAAGCCGTCGCCGTCTGTTAATTGATTGTAGTAAAGCTGGTGGTCGCGGACTTGGTCAATGACGATGTTGTGAAAGTCTGGCATATACAAGTCACCCTTGTCCCAGGCTTCAGCGGCTTTGGATAACACGCCGTTCCAATAGTGCCACATGTAGACGGTTTTATGATGATCCACTGCATACATTGTGGTTGACTCATTTCTCCGACTGGAAAAACGTGGAAGAAACGTCACATCCAGCACAGCCGGTACCACGACCTGCAGGGACCCTTGAACATGATCTGCCAGAATATCCAGGTTACGCATCAATTCAGCGATGCTGCGATCGATTGCCTTGGTGCCAACATCTTGTTCCAGGGAAGAATACGCCAACAAGTCCCAGATGCCAAATGTTACGGTGAAAACAGTGCGGTGATTGGATTGGCGGAGCGCGGCAGGAAGCCCCTTCTTCTCATATTTGAGAAATTGCTGAACCTGTGTTTCGAAATCAAACAGTACGGATTTCTCATGATTCGCGTTTCCTGTTGTATTGGCCAAGATACCGGCATTGATCAAGGACCCAATCGTATTCATGTCCGCTTTGGCGGGAAGTGAGCGAGCATAATTGTCAATATAATCGCATTTCAGCTGGAAGGCTATGTTAGTATGTTGTCGTTCCTAGGAAACAACGCAAAAAAGGGAAAACAAGGAAAACAAGGAAGAAGAAAGGGGCTCACCTCATTGCACAAGGTTTGCGTCCACAATTTTCCTTGATGAGGGTCTCTGTCTCGGGTGGTTCCTTTGGGTGGCGGGGACACTCGATATGCCCCTGTATCGGACCAATCGTCACCAAAAACAACAACGCGATGGGCGTGCCGATTCCAGACTCTTTGAATGTTGTCTTGAATGTAGGCCGAAGGCCGTACCCAATTGAAGTACAGCACAAATATGACGGTGGCTACAAAGCACGCGTACAATCTTGAGATGAATCTCATTGTGGAGGGAGTGATGACACAGGATGTGCCGTCGAAACGCGATGTGGTCCTTTTGAATATCTGTGGATAAGTTGTCTAAGAATGACTAATCGTCGTAGGCGCCGCAGCACGTAGACTGTAAGGTACTCGTCTTGTTACTCAGGGGTCCAGAAAAGGGAAAATGCGGCAATAAAAAGGAATTCAGCTGTGTCTCGCTCAGATAAGTACGGGAAATCAGAGAGTCAGCGAGTGTGAAGGGAGTGTCCGCAAGTACCAAGCCACATACAGACACGCAGGAGGGGGGGTATAAGCAATGGTTGTTGATTTCAGTGTGGATACGAAGGCACACAACTCCCCTGTAAACTAGTCACTGAAACCGAGCGAAAGACAGAAGTGAGGAGAGGGAAGGACTAAATAGTGAGACAGAGAGCATCTGCACAATCGCGAGCAGCCGCTGCAGGACCCATTGACTGGACAAGGCGCCGTCGAAACAAGACAGCCATGACGACGCATTTCCCCATGAATCTGTGGGGCACTTGCTAAAATGAATTGTACCCTACCCTGTACAAAAGCCTGGGTGCCGAATAAATAAATGCGCCGCACAAACTCAGCCTCTCAATCTGCCTAGATTCTCGAATTTAGAGACCTCAGTCATCCTCTGTCAGGCATGAACGAAGTGATTTATCACACACTTATTGCCCTGGCCGAGCTTAGTGTGCGTTGCGTACTCAGCAGGGCGAATCCGGAGACTGGTAATCTTCGAATTATGAAGTAGCAATGCTGACGTACTCGCAATCGGTAAGCTGTCGCGTGCTGACGGCCAATCCCGTTCGTGACTTGCACAAGGACGGGCGTTTTTTGGAGCTAAGCCCCGACTGTTGATCCATTCATGATGCCGAGCAGAGCCAAGAGGAGCCGATACATGTTGACCATGCGATGAGCAACGAATGGAACGAGCCTGGTTTTGCAACACCCGTCTGGGGGGAATGCAGTGGGAGAGGAGAGAGATCGGAGGGGGTTTGTAGTGTAGCCGTCATATCCGAAAACGGGTTAGCGATTCTCGGCAGGAGTGCCGCGTCCCGGGAAAAAGCTTGTTCGGCGTGTGACATTTGCGGTCCCATGTTTTGCCTCGTATTGCTGTCTGTTTTCTGTCAAATTGTCCATCGAATTGTCCGCAAGACCATCTGGACCACTACCGGCTTGTACGATTAGCTGTATGGATTGAAGCTTCGTTAGCGGCGAGGACGATCAATCCTCTGCGACCGGTCGTGACCCACCTCGTTGGATAGCGAACATCTGTACAATTATGATCATCAAAACATCTTATCGTGACCGTAAAACTACAAAGAGGATTGTCTAGAGGAATCCACTCGAGGGTTGTGCATTCGATAATGGCCTATCTTATTCGAGGTCGCCGCCAAAGATGCTAAACACGCCAGTGCTTGAAATAGCTGGGCCAGATTGCGTAACGGCCTGCGACGACCAAAGTCTAGGACTAGGATCCACAATGGGTCCATCGCCATTGTCTGCGGCACCATTCGCAGCCTCCTCGATGGTTGACTTCGAAATGTTCGACGTCTTTGGCTTCTTTTTCGCTTTCTCTTTCTCTTCTACAACTCCGAACCGATGGTATTTTTCTCTGCCCGGCCTGCCAAATACCTGCTGAGGTATTTGAAGCGGCGCAAATTTGCCAGCCCCTTCATCCTCTCCGGGCTCAATCGCCAGAATCTTAGCGTTTTGAATAATCTCTGTGATTCCTTCATCGTCCTCGAGTTCTTTCGCTTCCTGGTGTTGCTGCCGCGACATGTTCTTTGCGCGGTTGAAAATCGCTTCTTCCATCGTTCCTTCGAGTACCAGCGTCTCAACAAGCACCTCTTTTGTTTGTCCGATGCGATGGGCTCGTTTGATAGCCTGCGCCTGGATTTCTGGGCGGTTGATTGGGTTGACAATCAATACTACGCTGGCTGCATTGAGATTGAGCCCCAGGGCACCACATGCGACATCGATAAGTAACACGCGGATGTCAGGGTTCTCGTTGAAAAGCCCAACATATTCCGATCGTCTGGTGTTGTCCAGTGTCCGTGCATAAATCCGGTGATTGATGTAGAGCATCTCGAGGCACTGGGCAATGTAGAAAGCCGCATTGTCCCCATCGTAGAAGATGATGATCTTCTCGGTGGCTTGATGCTGCACCACCTTGGTGATCAGATAGGACAGTTTCGCAGATGTAGTTCCCACCACCCGCGTTTCTCGAAGCGGCGAGCCATTGGGTAACTGGGCCATCTCATCGGAAAGGGTAAGCCTGCGCTTCCTCGGCCTAATCGGAGATACTGGGGTGCTCTTTTGAATTTCTTCAACTTCCTTCGTGAGCTTTGGAGTGTGCTGCTTGGTGTTGAGTGTAAGTTTGGTATTTTTGTTAGATGTTGTTGCTTTTGTAGGGGAGATTCGAGGGGCAGTCACAGCTGCCCGGCGGCTTGTGACGGGTTGCGATCCAACACACGATGAAGGAACACCAGCCTTTACCAACTGAATGTCACCTTTTGCTTTGTCCTTTGTCTCTTTAGTTCCGTCTTCCGCTTCTGCAATTGCAGCAATTTTCGCCTTTGCTGCTTGTCCAACTGCATCTAGACCCTTCGAAGGGTTTTCGGATAGAATGTGTGAATCAATATGAAGCTGACCATCGAGCAATTGGGTAATCCCGATCATCGAAGGTTGATCAGGGTATGCCAACGAGAAACTCTTCTCGCAGTCTTTGGGGAAATTTTGCACAGCCATACCAACTTCATGGGCTGTGCTTAGCGCAATCCAGCTTTCAGACTTGGTCAGTTCTGCGACGATTGAGCTACTTTCCAGGAGTAATTGCGCATCGGAGACAGAGCATTCTTTCTCCGCTTTGTCCAAGTATTTGCGACTGGTCTCAAGCGTACTAGTGACATCTTCCAGACTGAATCCAGTCCAGGTGAAGTTCGATTGCCGCAAGTTTCGGATCAAGCTATGCCTCGCCTTGACACTGTTTTTGTGGAACAGGTAGTCGACATCTGATCGCTCACTGGTGATGGCATTCGCCCGAAGTACCTGGATGAATAAGTTTGCAGTCATTCTATGGGAAAATTTGAAGTTAGCATAAGCTCGAGCTGGAACTGAACGTTTCCTACGTAGAGAAATTAACACATACTTGTCAAACCAGCACGGCTTGAGATAAACTACGCGGTGCGTCATGCTTGGTAACCGGATATCTTGATTGACATCTTCTGGTCGGGTCTTGATAACCAGTCCCTGCAACGTGCGAAGAAAACACGAGGAGAATCCAGAGTAGGTCTTGCGATAATGGTGTTCGTGTCGGTAGATATATTCATCCCAGTCGAGCTTACCTTCTGCTGAAGAATCGCTCCAAGGACGAACCATCAGGAAATTTGATGCTAGGGTACCGAGAGCTTTCGCTGCTTTTTTATTCTCATTGTCAGGCCTGAAGGTCTTTCTCTGCTCAATCGCCTAAACCCCAAATACCATGTTAGTAAAATTCATGCTAGTCCTTTTCTTTTGGCTTAAAAAGCCGCATCCCAAGGTTTGGTGCAACAATTCGAACCCTTGACATACGTACCCTCTCGCGCAGTGAAGACTCATCAGACGCTTCTTCCTCCATTGCCAATAGATCCATTTCGACACCAACAAGGTTCTTAGCTGGCGTGCCGGACACGACCCACCGTCTCTCAGTCTGTATCTGCTTGGCAACCAACACCGCATTAGATACAGAAGAAGAGAAACTGTGGCCTTCGTCGATTATGATGCGGAGAAAATGACACTTCTTCAAAGGACTTTCGTATACGTTTCTCCCGCAATTGCAGTCTCTGACTCGCGAAGATCCAATATATGGACACTGGCATTGGAGAGGAGCCCCCGCCCATGATCGTCGACCCTTTTCGTCTGCACCATCTTGTATCTCTTGTTCGAATCGAGGCCGCGTGAAAAGTAGTACATCATATCTCATAAGTTCTGTGGGCCCTGGTAGCTCGTGCCGAAATTCCATTCCATCCTCCTCGGAACTCGGGTTTTTGGGTTTCCCTCGTTTGGAAATTATATCGACTACCAAGATCTTGAGACTGTCTTTGGAAATATGTTTACGAATCTCAGATTGCCACTGGTGTAAAAGGTTTCGAGGAACAACTACGATGGTGCATGAACATGGGAACAGTTGCCTTGGTGGTGGAATCGTCGTGTTCCGGTTCATACGCGGCATATCTGGGGGTATCTCGTAGTGTGTCAGATTTCGCTGGAGAGCATCCTTTAGTCCAGTCAAGTCGAGATCTCTATCAATCTCTTCCCGCTCTAAAACATCCCGTGCCGGAATGCTATTTCGGCCTAAAGTACTGGCTGCCATGTCTATTAAAGACCCAACTCCATTGCGCACCCGGGGTGGTGGTCGGTATATGGGCGGGATCTGAGGCAAATGCCCGCGAGTGGCCAGGATGACTGACAAACACATGATGGTTTTACCCAAGCCCATGGTCTCTGCCAGAATACCCCCACGGTTTGTTTCGTAGAATTTAGGCTCATGCAGGAAAGAGCCATCCCTGGCGCCAAAGTAGTATTCTTCACCCGTTGGCGAACGCCTGATTTCCAATCGAGGGTCAAGTTGCAATTGTGGTGATGCCTCTCGTTGTATCATCAAACTCGCTGACCTCGCCTGATAAGGGTATAGCTTTGTCTGCAGTCCTTCTAGTCCGTAGAATCCGTCTTCTTCGGATGAAAGACTCGAGGATTCGGCGAAGTCAAGTAGAAGCTCGACTGCGTTCCTCGCAAATCGATTCTTGATCACGTGAGGCTGGGGGTTAGGCGAGGGCAGTTGATTGAATAGATAGAATAATGAACGGTCTTCGACGCCTGCCCATGGGTCGAAGTGGCATACCTTCGATTCCGCGTAATCCCCATGCCAGGATTTTGAGGAGATGTCAACTACAGCGAGAAGCTTCCGTAGTGCAGATTTGAGGCTTTGACTGGTGCGATTGATAATACGATTTGCCCAGTCTTCCGGTAGTAGATGGACACGGAGAATACTATGAGGGTGGTCTGACTTGGTTGAGGTTACGTGAAGGAATAGACGAATCCAATGCGCCTCTAGAAGGCGGGTCGTCTCATCCCCAATGATCAATTTCACTTCCGGGGGTAAATCGGGGTGGAGTTCCTCCCATTTCGGAGTACCATCTGCAGTGACTGGGGCTGCAGGATCGACATTTTCTTGCACATGTTGCGCGGTTTGAGTTGCAATCACATGCTTGAGGTCGCATTCATAGTGTAAGCATCCTAGCGCAATGTATCTCCTGAGGTCTCTCAACCTGTCCTCGTTCTCAGATTTGTCATATGGAATTGATACCATACTGACGACAAGAGCTGTGTGTCGTTGGAAGAAAGGGTCATTGGGTCTCTGTGGCACTGATGATGATCCGTCAACACTGAGAGTAGGGAAGGCAGATGCCAAGCATTTGTACAAGCGCTAGTATCGATTAGGAAATGCGTTAGCCTCTACATGTCACGTATTAACGGATCGAGATCTATTCACTAGGAGTGAAAGGTGATAGCTCATAAGATACGTAATTTGACCACCTGTGCGACTGGCTTTTAGAAGAGTAAATCTTACCTTATAGTACACAGGATCTCATCTCTGGAGCCCAGTCAGAACATCAAGCTTGAAACGTCACACCATGCTGTGTCTGCATCATTCGGACAGTAGGATGCCAGGGCGAACGGTTGACAGATGTAGGGAATCTCTAATTTTTGGAATCTACTCTTCAAAACGCTTAAATACCCAAACGCCATGCTACAAGTTATGCATACACTTCAACCGGAAGCCATCCCCTATTGCATCTCCTGTTGGCCCTTGGTGCCCTTCACTTGCTCACCTTCGGCCCAGATGCTCTGCATGGCATCACCCAGAATGGTCATACCCTCGTTAATTTCAGCCTCAGAGATGGTAAGTGGTGGGACAAAACGAAGAGTGTTGGTGCCGCAACTGATGACGAGCAAGCCTCTCTCCCTGGCTGCAGTGATGATAGGTGTAGGATCGACCTCAAGCTGAAGCCCAAGTATTAAACCTTGTCCACGAGCTTCTTCAATCTTCTCTGGGAATCGTTGTCGTAAGGAATCGAAATGCTGCTGGAACACAGCTGATTTCTGGGGCACGGAGTCAAGGATGTCGGGTGAGGATAGTCGGGAGAGAATGTGAGATGCTACTCGGCATCCCAATGGGTTACCGCCAAACGTGGTACCATGATCACCCACTTTAATGTGATCACAGACAAAGTCATTGATGATAGTCGCACCAATAGGGAAACCATTGCCGAGCGCCTTTGCTGAAGTCACAATGTCCGGATGGCTTTCCTTGGGATACGCACTGTGAGCCCAAAATCTACCAGTCCTGGCTAAGCCACATTGAATCTCGTCATGGATAAGTACGGCTCCCACTTCGGTACACCGTTTTCGAAGAGCGACCAGGAATTCCGGGGTTGCAACGTTGACACCGCCCTCACCCTGGATCGGCTCAACGATGACTCCACAGGTTTCTTCAGTGACTAGCTGTTCAATACCTTCCACGTCGTTGAAAGTACCGTATTTAAAGCCCGGCACCATTGGGGAAAATGGCTTCTGATATTTGGGGTTCGGCGTTGCGCTCAAACTGCCCATTGTTCGGCCGTGGAACGAGTTATGGAAGGAGACAAAGTCGTGCTTGGGCTTATCCGGGGATATCGATTTGCCTACTTTACGAGCAAATTTGATAGCTGCCTCATTGGCTTCCGAGCCGCTGTTGCAAATGAAACTGCGGGTAGCTGAAGCAAAGCCACCAGTCGCGTGGGTAAGTTGGATAAGTTGCTTCGAAAGAACTCCGGTATGTGGGTTGTGATACAGGTTCGAGGTATGCATTAGCTGTGACGCCTATTATGAAAATGTGAGTGTGCCATTCGATACGGATCTCCTACAGTGAGGCGTACCTGCTGGGCGATGACCTGTACAACCCCCTCATCGCAGTGTCCCAGTGAGTTGACAGCAATTCCCGCGGTAAAATCAAGATAACGCCTGTTTTCTACATCCCAAAGATAGCATCCTTCTCCTTTTTCAAACATGGGCGGTGGTCGGACATAGGTCGGTACCATATAAGGAAGCTGTTGGTTTACAAGACCGGCGGTTTTGGAGGACGAGGGAGGATCAGGTGTCGCAAGAGAAGCTTCTCTCTATCCGAGTTAGAATTCTACACGCATCGAAGGTCCAATCGCGACTTACTGCTATTGAGTCCTTTAAGTCTTGCGGTAAGCTGGAGCCCTGAACCGCAGCTGTGGTTGAAGCATGGCGAACGAGTGAGCAATTGACTCGAGGCGCGTGGAGCGCACCTGTAATTCGACGGGCAGAGAGTCGCAAAGCCATGGTACAAGAGAACAGTCGAAGAGAGAAAGACGCGCAACGTCTGGTTGTTGTTGAGCAATGATGAAAGCCGAGATGCTCGAACCTACAATGACTCTTCATAGTAAATTTCAGGCTTTATCGATAAGGCACCCCGATCTCGGCCCTGCTTCGGACAACTCGGAATGAACTTCACTTGGCCATGAAGCACCTTGCAGAACACATGCATGTATACTTTTTGTGAGGTATCAATAACCTGGCATCAATCGAGAGACACAGAAAAACGGGTAAACTGCAATGGACATGTAACCCGGCCCTTACAAAAGTTCTACTGGGCGAAAAGAATATTCAGTTGCCGTTCAAATCAAATTGAGTCAACTGAAATCAGTTGGAGGGATGATTTCAAGGTCATGCCCAACTGCTCAGTGCTTCTTCGCCTCCTTCTCCTGCTGCTTTGATCGAATGAATTCGTTGAGCCTCAAAGTGGCGGTGATCCCTTCAACAAAAATACTTGCAGACCACGCCCAGAACACTCCGTCAAACAACGACAGACCATGCCGTCCCAATTTCCTCATCATTATAACAACTTCAAATGCATGAATTGCCGCCATGATAGTAATCAGATAGGGTTGGATAGCCAGAGCAAAACTGATGAACTTGGGGAAATGGTGCAGGAACACATCGTGTGGCAATGATCCTGGCTGGAAGTGGGCAGCACGAGAGAAGAGACCAAAAGTGATGAAACACTGGGTAAAGTTGAAAAGATGACCCCAATGCACCCACGGTGGGATGTACTTGGTGATGGGTATATCGCTGCGTCCGAGTAGTCGCAGTGCATCCTTATCGAGTTGGACAGCACGTTCTCGCGCTTCCCGATATGACTTCATCGGGGGGTCGAAAGGAATAGCCACTGGCTCGCCGTTGCAATCGAACTTCATGTCGTGCAACGTCACGTCCGTCATGCGAGCATTGCGGGCCTGGAAGGACGACTTCTTGCTGAAAGCCTCGAGATATCGGCGAATCTAATCCAACATGTTTTAGCCTCAAGGGTCTTCTTGGGAACATGGACGGGGCGTTTTGATTTTTGTACCGAATCAGAGTGATCTGCGTTCATGTGGTTCACGATTCGTTGCTTTGCAGCAACTTCTTGAGCCTCGGAACTGGCCATGGTGACGGCGCAGGGTGTGCAGATGGTCGAAGTATGGAACGCGATCCTTTACGGAGGTTCAGTCCAGCATAGCGCTAAGACCAAAACGACAGTCATCATGTGCTTTTCGCGGTCGCCGCTTACATAACAGGACATCACGACCAGTGCAATACCCGACCGATGCTGGTTGGCATCACCCATCACCAATCTCGATCGCCTGCAGATGGCCGGCACCGACAACAATCAAAAGTTGGCAGACAGGCGGGCTGGCTGGTGGCGTGGCTGGCAACAACGCCCGCCCGCTCGCCCAAGACTCAAAGACCCGGCGATCATTGCAGCCAGACTCGCAAGCAGGCAGGCAGTCGATGTCGGAGGCATGGCTGGCGAATCCTGCATAGCGGACTGGCGGGCTTGCACGACCCGGGCGGAAGCTTTTGAGCAAGGATGGGGACAAGTTTTGCAGACGGGCACACTGCCGCCCCCGGGAGCTGTTTGGTGGTGGGGTCACTAACTTTGACGTGCCAGTTCGTCGTTGCGTCAGAGGTGGCTCGTGTGGGCAGGGGTAGCAAGTGCTCACATTTCAAACCGGTTCCTGTGCTCAGCGGCTTTCCTCTTAACGCTCAGCATTCGTCCCGTTCCGTTCGACATTTTCTCCATTCCTGCATTTTCTTTGCGCTACACGACAGCTTCGGCAACTGGTCGGGCTTCCATACTCACTTGCACACACACCTACACACCCACACCACACACCTAGAAGCACACATACATCACCATGGCGGATACCGTTGAGGAAAGCAAGCAATCCGTCGCTGGAGAGGGACAGGCCAACGCCAGCGCCGGAATTGGAGGCAAAGGCAGCGCGGAGAGTTCGAGTAAGAAAACCGAGAAAAAGGCGCCGAAGAAGTTGGGCGGAAAAAAGCAGCAGCAGCCCACTCCTGAAGCAACGCCATCCCCCGAAAGTGATGCTGAAGGAGAGGCTGAGAAGGATGCAGAGACCAAAAAGACGTCCAAACCCGCCGACGACTCGGACAATGAGCCGCAACCACAGAAGGAGAAGTCGCAATCACGCCGCCGCCAATCCCGTGGCCGTGGACGACGAGGTGCCGATTCCGACTCCGAATCTGTGGCCCGCTCCGACGTGTCCGCTTCCGGAGGCCGTCGCAACCGCCAGCGCCAGAAGAAGCAGGGCGGCGGTGGAGGTCCTCTGGGCGACATCACCGAGAACGTTCCCGGCGGCGAGCTCGTTGGCGGTGCCGGCGACATGGTACAGAACACGGCTGGAAACGCTGTGAACCAGGTCGGCGACACTGCTGGCAAAGCGCTCGGCGGCCTGACGGGCGGCGGCGGCGATGACGAGGGCGACAGCAAAGGCGAGCAGCTTCGTCTGAGGCTGGAGCTCAACCTCGACATTGAGATCCAGCTCAAGGCCAAGATCCACGGTGATCTGACGCTCGGATTGCTGTAAGTTTGGATACTCTACGCTAATTGCCTACTTCAGTGGACTGACACGATTGAACAACAGCAACTGAGCGAGCATTTGTTCGGTGACGAATCTACCGCTACGACGATTACCACTACTATTTTGACCACGATTTTGATTGACTGCGTTTGGTGCACGATGGGATGACACTGGAGTTTTGTGATTCGGATTGCTTGCGCTGTAGGCGTTTTGGCTGTCAATGCTTTGGACAGGATGTAATTAGTATCTGATGCATATCTACACATACAGTAGCCGTGCGACGACGGAGAAAAGATGTGATTCGAGTCTGATTGCACATGTATACTCTATTCCAATGTTGCTGTGCCACGCGTGCCTACATGACTTGTGACATGGCTGGCACTCTGGAACGAGCACGCAACGCCACAGAGGGACGGACATTACCGTAGGACTTGGGTAGCTCGCCCACTAAACGCCCTAGCTGGCAGAGTGGAGCGAGGCTGTGTGGAGAAAAGGGAGCTACGGATAGAGCTCCTGCGCCATCGCCCTGTCGGCGAAGTGCGTTTCGCCCGTCCCAAGTCGATTGAGACTGCATAGCGTACCGTACAACTTGCTGGCGCTGGCAAAATATGAACATCGTGTTCGATTTGGGCCAACTTTTTTTCTGCTTCTCCGACTTCTCCCCGTCAGCAGGACGCTCCACAGTGCGTCTCTCGCATGTACCGTCTGTTTCGGTGGCTAGCAGATGACGTAGCCGCTCAATCCTTCAACACCAGCGTCGACCGGGGGGGCAACAAGCTTAACATCCCCCAGCCCGGCGGCCCGAGCGTCCACATCCACCTTGCCTTGCCTTGCGCTTGCATCAATCTTGTTTTCGGATGTGGCCTGGCCTGGCACTGGCTGGCTGGCTGGCTGACTGCCATACGCTCACCAGCAGTTACTAGTCGCTGACTTTCACCCTCCTCAACACCCGCTCTTGCGTCGACTACATCCCCTACACCTCTGCCCTCGCTGTTGAATGAGCGCTCAGAACCTCCAGAACCCGCAGAACAATCCCAAGAACAATCCCAGCAACGACGACAGATCCCCCACCATGCCTGATTCCGGATCCGACTCAGAGCCGCACATGCGGACTGAGATGCAGCAGCAAAAGGCCATCAACGCAAAGAAGCAGGCGAAGCGGGAAGCTGGCGAACAGTCGGCACGGTCGCGATCTCAGTCTCGTCGTGCCCGTCGCCAGCGGATCCAGAAGGGCCAGGAAGATGGCAAATATATGAAGACGACATCCCTCGAGGCTCTCGAAGAGGCCGATGCCAGCGGCGAGCTCAACAAGATGCAAATGTTTGAGCGCATCGGCCCCGACAGCACCTCCATGGACGGCCCCGTTACCCACGCCCGTGCCATGCGAGGCGAGATTCCTGTCCGAGGAAGCGATCCCAACCAGCCCTACTACATGACTCCCGAGAAGCCAAAGGGCGCTTTGGAGGATACCGATGGCCTGAAACTCACCCTCGAGGCCAATCTTGACATTGAGATTGAACTCAAGGCCTCTATCAGAGGGGATCTGACTTTGTCTTTGTAGTAAGTCATGCTAGCCTTCCTGCTTCATTCGTATCCACCCCCCTTGCACCCCATTTTGGCATTTTCTTTGCATGACCACCCTCCTGCGGCGTCATATATATCCTCTTGCTTATGGTGTCCATTAACAGTGAGTAGCGCATGAGCATGTTTCCCTCTACGAACCGTGGATGATTGGACGAATGGGAAACTTGTCGCTGGCGTCGGTCCGGCTAATCACGAAAGGCGCATTCGTATTCTTGGTCGTTGTATGACTTTGGCACTTTTCCGAGCGTTTGGAGTTTTGTTTACGCTTTATCACCATCTATGGGTTAATTGAATATTACAAAAAATACCTTTACTATCTATCATCTCGACGAATACCTCCACTTAGGCTCGGGACCTCCAACTATACTTTCCTAGTGCTGGCCTGATCTGACTGGCACCTGCCATCTATTTAGCCCTAAACCTAACCACTTGTATATGATAGCATCTTGCTAGAACTTTTCTTTCTTTATCGTCTTCTCTCCTCCCTTCGCATCCGAGGCTCGCCAACGTATCGAAGCTGTTCGCTGACAGAAATCCCATCCAGTGCTGCCGATGATGCTTTTGCCAATCTTGGCTCCTCTCTGGGAAACGTCGGTAAAGCTGTCGGTAAAGTAGGCAAGTCACTAGGAAACACTGTATCCACCGTGAGCCAGACGGCTGGAAAGGCAACGTCAACTGCCAGCCGGACGACTTCGAACCTAACCAAGACGGCCACGGGAGCGTTGAAGCGATGATTCTCGTGGTATTCTAGCCTACGTGTGGAATTTGCAAGTGGTTATCTCGCTTCACATTTAGTGTTTGCCATCGGAGTTTGTGTGTCTCAAGCGTGTAGGTGCGTGACACCATGACGCTGTGTTAGTGATCGTCATGTTCATTCATAGGAATATTTCCTTTCTTTCTCTGGAGTTGCGGGTGGTTGTTAGAGGTTCGCAGGCACGCCCAACTGAACCGCAAGTCTGGGCCAACTCTGCAAGCGAATTGTGAGCCATGGGAAAGACGAGACCAATTCTCCGCTCAAGCATTGGTTCCGCCATCCATCAAATGAATCATGAGAAACGTCTTCGATATTCTGTACGCTTGTGTTCGATTTGGCCATTTCTAGGCTCCGCCGCACAAACCCCCAGTCATATCACTTTCCCAACCATTGTCCGCCTTCCTCTCCGCCTTCCTTTCCGCCTCCTTTACTTCTTTTACTCCAACCCCGGACCACGATTGATATATATATATCAGCCGATTCTTTTCATTGGAGGGAATTTTTGTTTTCTCATTGATGAAAAGTCCAAGACAGTAGGTCAGATACGCTTCATCGCCATGTCCTCAGATCAGCCCTTCGAGCATACCTCAGAGTCGGGCCCACAGTCGCCAACGAGTGCTCAGGTGGGCGCCTCTTCACAAAGGCCTGTGAGTGCCTATACCACGACCTCTAATCAAATGAGCACGAGGCCTGTGAGTACAAACACCACGTCAACGTCCGAGCTCATCTCCATGTTTCCCGATGTCCCGTTGGACGACCTCCCACCAGTGCCGCCACTACCATCTTTGCCGATTACACCCACAACACCGACAAGTCCAAGGAGTCCGGCGACCGCAACAATATCAACAATATCTCGTCGACGCGAAGTCAAATCTCTTCCCCCACCAGCATTGCCGCCTTCGCCATCTTCACCATTGGCTCCAATCCCAACGGTTCCACCCAGATCTCCTCGACGCCGGGTCATATCTATGCCACCGCCCCCTTCAGTCATCGCGCCAGCTTTATCGCGTCGTCGTCAAATCAACTCTCTGCCGCTCCCACCGACCAACTCACCGCCATGTTTGCTACCCTCCCCACCCCCTATCCCGACCCGCTCCCCACGCCCCAAGAGCGCTCCAGAACCCCTACCTCCATTCTCCTTACCCGCTCATTTGCGGCCTTCATCGCTCACTGACCCCCGTTCTTTTGTTGGACATTCGTCACTGTTGCCCTACGACGAGAAAGATGCCCACGCATCTGCATCCACACCTTCTACGAAGAGATCCAGCGAATCGACGAATCCGAACCCGAATACGACCACTCCCACGGCCCCAGAATCGTTCGTGGACAATGGCACTACAAGCGGAGCTCCCAACGTAGCCAACACCATGGGTATCGCAGCGTCTCCCAATCAACTCAGTGCTAGCAATACCGCTGCTACTCATACTAGTGATGCTTCAACTCAAACTCGCAACAACACTCCCAGGATACGAACGTCGGTATTGTCGCCTTTCCCATCTACCGTCCTGCAAGTTCAACCCCACTCCCAACCACAGCCTCATGCAACATCCACATTCTCCCCGGCTTCTTCCACGCACACCCGCGATCCGAGCCCTCATCGCGCCGCTCAGTCAAAGCGTCGCCACCGTCGCCGGGCCGTAGTCACTTCGGTGCGAGATGTTTTGGTCAATTCATTTTGCGGGTTGATGTCGCCTCTCGGCAAGCTCAAGCGGCGGAAGAAGAAGAAGAAAGGCAAAAAGAAAGCGGCAGACGCGGATGCGGAGGTTCAGGTGCTGAAAGGGGAAGAGGACAGATATGAGGGAATGGAAGACACGTCGCGTGGAGATGATAGACATCGTGATAAAGACGACGACACAGACGAGAGGAGAGGGTATGGAAATGGCAACGTTTTAGGCGCTGGTCTGTGGATTTCACGAAGCAGAGGCGGTGACGGCAATGCCGGAGGCGGGCCTAGAGAACCACGTCAAAATGATAGAGACGGAATAGAGGGTCTGCATAAAAATAGGTCAAAGCCTGAAGGCGGAGGCAATACAAACATGAGCGGCAACACAGCAACTGAACCCACCACCACGGCGGACCAAGACGAGCAAGACCAAACAGAAACATCAAGACAACCCACTATCGCACATATTCGCGCCCTCCGCAATCACCAACTCGCCACACTCAACGTTGCCTTTATGTTACAACAGCAGCAGCGGCATCCAATCCGACGATCCTACATTCCCATCCCTCAAAGCAGAATTCCTCCTCGCATACACCCCACAACGACAACCACTGCAAACAGCCAATCCGCATATGCCCCCTTTTCTGCACATACAACGCCACCTCCTTCCCCCTCAGCATCTTCAACCCAAACAACAGTAGCCTCGTCCATCCTCTTCCTGTCGCCTTCCTCCCCCCCAACTCCATATCCACCGTCACGCTGCCGTTCCCCCGCTTCTTCATCTGCATTGAGCACAATGGGAAACAAGTTCAGAAGCGCGATCCCGACATGTACGTTCCAGTACCCGGGGCGCAGAGGGGTTGGGGAGTACGGGGATTGGAGTGGAAGCGGGAGCGACTTCCGGACCGAGGACGGGGATGAAGAGGAGAGGAGGCCGCGATATATGCTTCCTACTGTCTGCAGTGTGGCGAAGGCGAAGAGCGTAGTTGTTACCAGGGTTAATAGCGGGAGGGTTGCCAGAGTTGCCCAGGTCGCCCAGGTCGAGGGGTCAAGTTTTGTCTAGGTGCTTGTGTGGGATGGTGATGATTTATGTGGATGATGATCTAAAAACTGTTCGTTTGATGCGGTACCATGAGATCTGGTCGTTCATGGTTTATGCGATTTTTTTTTGTCTGGTGTTTGATTCTTTTTTACTTTAGTTATTTTTCTTCGACTCTTCATACACTTGTTGGGTTATATTTGAAGACGGAAGATGTATAATCAAGGCATCATTTTATGCCAATAATCGTACGGTAATCAATGGAATCTGAACAGCGGATTTAGTTGTCTGCTTGCTTGCTTATCACTGTATTGGCTCCCGTACACCCATGATCGCCTATCCGCCTCCCAACTCAGGAATCCGCCTACAAGCGCAACACAAAAACCCTCTTGTACACCGACACGTAGAATAAGGAAAAAAGAAAGCAAACATTACACTTGGACTCATCAACAACATTCATTTTAGCGCGCGACACTTGCTTACATGCATGGATGCATTAACGCATGCACGCATCAAGGACGCTTCGGTGTCTCCGCTCGCTTGGCTAGCTGGTTCGCGACCCCGCTCTTCTCTCCCTCTGTCTTTCTTTCTCCGTCAGCCTTGTGCTTTCGGGCAGGCTGTGTACTTGCTTATGTATGTATGTATGATTCCATTGTGTCACTGATTATTATGTTATTTTGGCCAACAAAGGACTAAGATATGTTGAGCGATCAACATGTCTTATTGGGTCGTGGCATCCCTGCATCCAACTCTCTCTGTCACTGGGTCTCTTGCCTGTGTGCAGGGTGTCAAATGTCCGCATCTACAAACATCTGAACTTGCCCTGGGGTTTGGGGTGAGTGGGGGTTTGGTTTCTCGCATCGTGCATACCCAAGAGGAGGGGAGGGGTATACATTCATACACATGTACATGGATACTTGGCTACTTACTTCGGTATTAGTGAAGCTGAAGACATGTAGGTATGTATGTACGACGGACACGTTCACAGGTCACGAGCCTTGAAAAAATAAACGGTAATACAAATAGCGAGTTGGTGGTTGAATTGTGGCAATGCTCGCAAAAGCCTCGATACTTGCAAGCGATGAGATGATTTGTCGGTCGCGTCAGCCAGTCAGTCGATCACTTCGAGAGTGGTTTGCCTGAGCGTTGGATTGTATGGATAGATAATGGGCCCTTCATGCACGTCAGCGGCTGGGCTGAATACCCTACGTAACGTCGACTTGGGTACTTTAGCTACGCTGCTCCCTCCCTCCCCCCGCGCGCCCTGTTTGGGGTGAGCTTCAAGAGTTGTTTTTGACAGGCAGTTATTGTGTATACTCGTCGCTTTTCGCCAACAACGCGCCCACAACGATTGGATTGGATTGGTTTCGGTGGCAGTGGTGTGTAAGATCCCTGCACGCGACGGCTTCATTGGAAAGCTCATGTACGCAACTCGACTCGACCAGCCTCAATGGGAATAAAAACATCTATCCACCATGTCGCCGCCGTCGTCGCCGTCGCCACCACCACCAGAAGAAAAAGAGAAGAAAGAACAAACTCCCGACAAACAAAGAGATAGCCTATCACCCCTCCACATCGAGCACCACAAATCGCAATGGGCAACGGCGCAAGACCGCTCCTCGTCCATCGTCGCCAACTCGTATCGCCCGTCTATATCCCAGACGGCAGCCGAACGAGCACGCCGCCACCTCAACGCCAAACTCGAAAACCCACTCGCCGACTTCTCCTTCAACGAGCTCCGGAAAATGGGTCGAGCGTACGCAGGCGAACACGGTCTCAACGACGCCCAAGACGTACGAGCTCTGGAAATCGGCGCCTGTCTCGCAAGAGACCCAGCGGATCTGAGCCACGCAAAAGAGCTGGGAGTAACGGACGCAGAGTACGCCGTCTTGTCGCACGAGCTCGAGCATCGCTGGTCGCAGCCCAGACTGCTCTACCTAGTCATCGTCATATGCTCCGCGTGCGCCGCGGTCCAGGGCATGGACGAGACGGTAGTCAACGGCGCGCAGCTGTTCTATGCGAAGGAGTTTGGCATCGGGGGCCAGGATCCGCGGTCTACGTGGCTGGTGGGACTCGTCAACAGCGCGCCGTATGTGTGCTGTGCGTTTATAGGGTGCTGGCTCACGACTCCGTTTAACCATTGGTTTGGGCGCCGCGGGACCATTTTCTTGACTTGTTTGTTTAGTGCTTTGGCGTGCTTTTGGCAGGGGTTTGCGGATAGTTGGTGGCATATGTGAGTTTCGCTGTTTCCCTTCCATCTTCCTCCATCACCAAGAGCAAGGACAAAAGAGAGAGAAAAAAGAGGAAGGGTTGCTGATTTGATTCTCCCTTTTTTGCGTGCATATAGGTTTATATCCCGCTTCGCCCTTGGCTTCGGCATCGGTCCAAAATCTGCAACAGTCCCCATCTATGCCGCAGAATGCACACCCCCAACCATCCGCGGCGCCCTGGTAATGCAATGGCAGATGTGGACCGCGTTCGGCATCATGCTCGGCTACGTCGCGGATCTCGCCTTCTACGGCGTCGCCGACACTCCCAGCGTGACGGGCCTGAACTGGCGTCTCATGATGGGTTCCGCCATGGTTCCCGCCGTCGTGGTTTGCTGCTTTGTCTACATGTGTCCCGAGTCCCCCCGCTGGTACATGTCGAAGGGACGACACAAAGAGGCATATCAGGCCATGTGTAGTTTGAGGTTTGACAAGCTACAGGCTGCGAGGGATCAGTTCTACATGGCAGAGCTGTTGCGGGCGGAAGAGAACATGAAGATCGGACAGAGCAAGATCAGGGAGCTCTGGAGCGTCCCTCGGAATCGTCGCGCCATGCTCGCCAGCGAGATTGTAATGTTCATGCAGCAGGTCCGTCTTTCCCCTTTCCTCTCTTCGTTGCAACCCTCTCTCTCTCTCTTTCTCTCCCATGAAAAATCCAAAACATCCATCTAACTCGGATCCCTACTACGCAACGCAGTTCTGCGGCATCAACGTCCCAGCCTACTACTCGTCCTCCATCTTCTCGACCTCAGGCTTCAGCGACAAATCTGCCCTAACAGCCTCCCTCGGCTTCGGCATCCTAAACTTCCTCTTCGCCCTCCCCGCAATCCACACCATCGACACCTTCGGCCGCCGCAACCTCCTCCTCTCCACCTTCCCCCTCATGGCCCTCACCCTCCTCTTCACCGGCTTCAGTTTCTGGATCCCGGCCTCCACCCCTCGCATCGCCTGCATCGCCCTCGGCATCTACCTCTTCGCAATGTGCTATAGCCCCGGCGAGGGGCCTGTCCCGTTCACGTACAGCGCAGAGGCGTATCCGCTCTATGTCCGCACGCTGGGGATGAGCGTCGCCACGGCCACGACGTGGGCGTGCAATGCGGCGCTGAGCATCACGTGGCCGAGCCTGCTGCGCGTGTTTGGACCGCAAGGCGCTTTTGGCTTCTATGCGGCTTGGAACGTGGTGGGGTGGTGGTTGGTTCTTTTGTTTATGCCGGTGAGCTCCCCCCCCCTCCTCTCTCCTCTCTCCTTCCCTCTGGACTCTTTTGTCCCAAAACAAAAACAGCCAGACTCAGACTGACCAATCTCGTGGCAAAAAAAAAAAGGAAACCAAATCAAAAACCCTCGAAGAACTCGACCAAGTCTTCAGCGTGCCCACGCGTATCCACGCTTCGTACGGGTTCCGCCAGATTCCCTATTTCGTCAAACGCTACGTTTTTAGGCGCAAGGATGTTTTGCCCGTCGATTTGCTCGAGCTGGATAGAGAGCGCGGCGTCGCTATGGATTTGGGCGTCATGCATGTTATTTGATGGAAACAACCCTTTTTTTTGGGGGGGGGGGCAGTTTTTGTTTCGACGTTTTGGTGGGAGGGGAGGGGGAAGGAGAGGATGTGGAGGAGGAGCAGTTGGATGTTTTGGTTTAGTGTGGGGATAGGGGCAAAGATATTTAACTACTCGTCTTTATTTTGAAAACTTTTTTTTTCTTTTGGCTGGTAAATGGATTTGATGGGTTGTGAAAAAGTGTGAAAATGCTGGTCCTTTTTTTGTATTCAATTGGGGTGAGGGGGGATGATGAATTAGAATTGATGATTGATTGATATTTTTTTGATGATTTTTAATGGGTAACATGTAGAAGGAGGGACATCTTGATGAATTGCTGCAGAGATCACGAAATGCTTAGAGAAGGTTTCCAGTAACGGAAATCCCTTTCCCCCCTCTCCTCCCCCAAAAAAAAGAAATGCTGGTTATAAAGCCATAAACATGCAACCCGTGGGGATTTTTCCTTTTCTTCCCCCCAGGATAAAAAGGGTCTTTTGCAATCCCTATGTTCCTTCAATCATTAAAAGTTAAACACAAGAAGAAGAAGAAGAAGAAGAAGAAAAAAAAAAGGATTTAGCCAGTAATCATCATACCCATCTGCAAACAATTGCCCTACCCCGCATAGAAAGCATGAACAAGAAAGTAGAAAACCCCTCCTTCTTGCTAGAAAAAGAGGGGATGGCAGGAATGGAAGCGCAATCACAGCAAACTCGTCCTCTTGGCAAGTTTGACATAATCCCTCTGCGTCTTGCTCGCCGCGAACCCCTCGGGCGCCGGCATATCCGCCAACACCACACTCGCGGGTCTCAACCGCGTCGTCGTCTTCTTCTTCTTCCCCGCGGTCGCCCCGCCGAGCGCGAAGACGCCGATACTTCCAAACATGCGGAACGGCGCCGAGAAGGCGGCGAGCCACGACGATTTCGGCGCCGACGTGTGCGAGGTAGGCGCAGGGGCGTAAGAGGAGTAAGGGATATCGTGGGATTGCGGGTTATTGTCAACGACGGGTTTCTGGCCCGGCTCGAGGAAGATGTGATCGCCTTCAGTGTTGACGAACCAGTTGACGACGAGCTGTTTCCCTTCGGGCCCGCCGCCGCAGGAGCCGGCGAGGAGGTGGGACGGCGGGGAATTGACCGCGAGCGCGAAGAGGTTCGGGGGTTCCGAGAAATCCGTGACGAGGCCTCTGTGGAGGAGGAAGTAGACGAGGACGAAGATGTTCATAAGGAAAACGAGGAGAAGGACCACGAGCCAGGCTTTGGACCCGTTGTTGACGCCGCCCGAGGCGTACTGCTGCGCTGTGACGGACGCGTTGAAGTATTGGGTCTGGTACTCGCCGAGTTCGGGGATGGTGAAGTTCCAGTCCATTACGAAGGGCGAGTCGAGGGAGCTCATGAGGAGCGTGCAGCCAGACATTACGGCGAGGGCTTCCGCGGGGCTGGGGAGGTCCGGGGAGAGGCCGATGTTGCCTTCGGTGTTGTTGCGGAGGATGAGTTGGGTGAGGAGGCGGGAGTTGCTGGCGCTGGCATCCATGATGCCTGAGTTAAGCGACATGGCGTTGCCCCAGTCGAAGCCGACGTCGCGCCAGTTGGTTTGCATCTTTGTGTCTTCGGCGGAGTGAGAGCTCTTTTTGTACATCATGTCGTCGGCTTTGTCTTCGCAGAGGGCTTCCATGGATCCGCCGGACCCTGTGGCATTGTACTGTGTGGTGCAGTTTGCGGTCAAGGTTACGGATATCTTGCACAGAGCGTAAGTGCCGCTCAAGTCAGTGCCATCATCCATCAAGCCCCCAGAACCAAGGAGGTAAATGGCGCTCCGATTCCAGCCCGCGCTAGTGTGGTTCAGAATAGTGTTAAAGGCCTTGGGAATCCTTGGGAAAACCGGAGGATAGTCGGACATCATGGTGTGGTCCTGCTTGCTCCACCCAAAGAGATGATCCACCATAGTTTTGTTTTTGGTAGTGGCACCGCCGCTAAGTTCACCCCAGTTGCTGATTGTCACCCTTTCATGTACATCAGGCCACTGGTCGTAGACAATAGGTTTCAGCTCGTCTTTGTTCATGTTGGCACAGAGGACGTTCAAAACTGGGTTGGGTACGCTTGCTTTGATGCTGTAGGTACCTTCGCTGTTGAGTTCTTCCGGCTGGAGAATGTTGTTGCGTTGGTCGTGGGCAGCCGCGAACACACCAGTGTGCGGCATGGCCAAAGAGACGCTATTGATAGCCCGTCCATGCATTTTCGACTCCTTCACGGTGTCTACGATGTTGACCCACTGAGGAATGACCGTTGTATTCTCATATAAAAGCCCAAAACCAGGAGGCCTTTTACTCTGATCGGTGGAGCCGTTACCTCGTAGAGACTCCACGTGCCAAAATTGCAGGTATCGTTGGTAATTATGGTACCCTTGGCCTGCATGTTCAATCTGTAAACAAGTATTTCCAGCCTCGGCCTTGTCCATTCCGACAGTAATGGGAGTTTGACAGTTTTTCTTCAAGTAATTGACGTTTGCGAATTGTGTCTTGACGCGACCAGCCAGGACCGTGTTATCCCAGTGTCCCTGCTTGAGCATAGGTTGTACCATAGCCGTGGCGGCTGGGGTGTATAAAGTTGCCAGAACAGCGCTCAGTAAACTCAGCACACCCAAGAAAGATAACCCGGCATAGAGGGCTGTCTCCCAATGGGTGATGACGGTACCCGGTTGGACCACCCATCGCCACATACTAAGTTCAGAGAGAGTGACACCCCGCCCTTGCTCCTTCATGAAAGCGCGACGACTTAGGACCTGACCCAGAAAGGCGACAAATGATGTCACAAAAGACAGCTCAATCATCTTAGCCATGATGGAGGTGAGTAGTATAGCATCAGCGGGCTTGAAAGAACCCTGAGTTGTGATGTGCCTGCCATATCTAGGTGCATTGAATGCAAGCCCCAGAAAGATACCGGAGAAGACGGTGGAGAAGAGTGATATGGTGACAATGGTCACCAACATCCAGTTGAAGCGCGATTTGTAAAAGTGTCTCGCTGTGGGACATTCCTCGGTAGGGCGAAAGGGGGTCTCATAGGCAGACTTGACGGATGCTGCGCCTGGGTGTAGGCCCTGGGTATCATAGGTATGTAGGTAGCGTTGGTAATCATCGACGGAACTGTTGTAGCTTGATCTCCGCGCATTCTGCCTGAGATCCTCATATCCACCTGGGCCATCCCTGAGGCCGAAGGCAGACTTTCGTCGGAGGTCGGGCGTAGAGCCAGTGGACTCGAATGGGAACGGACCTAAGAAGGGATCGCCGGTGTTGGGAGGGGAATTGGTAGCACTTGTGATGGATGGGCTTCTCAAGCTGGACAAAGCGGGGCGTCTTGTTGTGGTATATATAGACGCGCGTTTATTCGACGTTGGTCGTGGTGATGGAGACGGGGAGATTGGATTATGGCGCGGGGCTGTAATTCCTAGCCCGCCAGTTGCTGAAGGAGCGAAGCCATCTGCGATATCCTCTTCTTCCTCGAAGACGGTGGGTGGAGGGTTGCGCGACGGAACCGGGCTGGTGATTGGGCGTGGTGGATCGACGCCAGGCGAGCTCGAGCTGGCAGGGAATCCCGCAGACGGCAGCGCGGTGGGCGTTGTATTTTCTGGTACTGGATATTCCGAAGATTCGTCTTGGATGAGGGGTTGACGATCGGACATTGTAGCGCCGAACCGTCTACTCACGGCTTCAAGCCTGAGGCTTCAGCTCTTTTGGCCTGCAACGTTGGTGAGGCAATGCCTAAGTAGGTATACGATGGATGGTGAGATCTGCCCAGGGTAGGTATGCGCGCAACTGCCGTCAGCTTGGGTCGTATTGCTGTGGGTAATATAGCTCGCAGACGGCTTGTTTGCAGCCACGGTTGATTTTCGAGGCTAAGTAGGTAAAGGGTCGCGAAAGTGAAATGGGAGGGCAGAGGGTGTGCTGGGTGAGTTCAAGTGAGAGACACAGGGAAACACAAAGTCGATGATTGCAGCTGTTGGGGCCGGAGAAAGTGTCGTTGGGTTATACCTGGGAGGCTGGCGCCAGGCGCAACGTCGAGCAATCTAGCTAGGATCAAGACGACTGTAGTGTAAAGTTGGGGCCCGCCTTCAGCTATGATCACTATGAAGCGGCGCCAGCATACGTCTAGGTACATATATGTCCAAGTGCGATTCAGCCACTCGACTGCCCCTCACTCCGGTCACATCTGTTTGCGCAGCAGCAGAGGCATTCACCCGACCCATGTCTCCCGAACTGTGGCACTCGAGGAAGAGAACGGGGCGCCGTAGCTCAAACGGGATATGCATTCACAGGTGTGGCAGATGCTGGTTCGTGATGCATTGTGAGAGGTAGAGCGCAGTTGCAGCTAGCAAATGACGGTGGTCTATATAAGCAGTCTAACGTGGGTAGTAGGGCCATCTGTGTATATAAATAACCAATTGCTAAAACACCAGGAGAACCGGGCGTCTTGAAGTGTCCGATTTGACGACGTTGTGCTCACAAGCTTCTCAGCGCGACTGGCATTGCGACAGGTCTACCAATTGGCCCCCAATCCGTTTATGACGTTAAAGGACGGCAGATCAACGTTTAAAGGATTATTGTCACGCCTTGCATAGGGTTTCAGGTAGAATTACCTCTGCTGCGGCTGCGGCAAAGCACCCCAAGTACTCAGTCAGTCGAGTATGGGGTCCAATGAAATAGGTCCTCATTACGAGGGATACGTGTGCCGCCGTCCCTTTCTTGTCCATGTACTACTGTCAAGTATTGGCTCGTCTGTCCTGTTGCGTCCTCTCATTGTCAAGAGCATGTCAAACACCTAGTCCGGATAAAGAGGCCAACGTGGGGGGCACCTTTGCTTTTCCTCGATACCTAGACAGATGATGGACGGGCGGGTCATGGGACACAAAGGCTTGTTTCGCGCTCTGAGCCAACGGCAGGATTGGTCTCGCGTGTAGCCTGCATCTTGATCTGCTGTTTATAAGGAAGTGGCGGCTGCTGTTTGGCCGTGCGCTGGCCTGGCCAGCTCCCCTCACATCCCGCCAACATAAATACATTCATACATATATACGCCCTTGGGCACTTGGGTCCTCCACTCGGCGTCGACGAGCTTGTCGCAATCGCAGTCGCCAGCGCGCTGCAGAAACAGGCATCATCTTGGTTTGCATTGGCAATAACACGTCGCACCATGTCAGCGGAGGCAGAATCAGCACGCCGAACGGCAGAGGCTCGGGCGGCGGTGACGGCATCGCTCGCGTCGGTGGGCAGCTCGGTGGATCATGAAATGCGACAACGAGCAACCGATCTGCATGCCAACTCGGAATCCATCGAGAAGCAGGAGAAGGAGCTTATCAAGCAGACGGCAGCCCTCGCCAAGCAGAGCGCGCAGTGGCAGAAGCTGGCCGACACGAGCACCAAGAAGCTGAACGAGATTGGCGATGTGCAGAACTGGGCAGAGATGATTGAGCGAGATCTGCTGGTCCTGGAGGAGACGTTGAGGATGGTCGATGGCAAGGCCGAGAGTGAATCGGCGAGCGGGACGAACGGTTGGGTGGGTCAGTAGACATCATCGGATCCGTTGTAGTTTTCCATGAGGAGAATTTGTTCATGATCCCCCACTGAATCAGAGGTTGATGCCGTGATTCGTGGTTTCAACAGGACAGCGGACGCCATGATATGACTGACTGAATAATGAATGTGTGAATGTGTCAAGTGCATATACATGGTCCATGTATCAGATGCACATGGCGAGATTTAGTAAAGGCGGCCCGTGCGCATTGACCGGCGGGAGCAGCAGCTTGCAAAGTAAGTAAGTTAAGGTGCTCCAACAACGCGGAACACGGTCGAAGCTCCGTCTCTATCAACAACCACCCTCTCTCGCCATCCAACCATCACCGCTCTGTCTCGGCTCGTCGTCCTCCTGCAGCCACAGCGAGACACGAAGAGAGAAACAGCGAGCCATATCCTGCGCTGCATCTGTACGAGCTTCACGCCTGCACCGTGAGTTCTACACCAGGTCCACCAAGTAGGCTGCTGCACCGCTGGTCCGCATCTACACACGCCATCCCAGCTTCTTTCTTCACATACATACATCTACCTACTACCCACCTCGCACAACCATTCTCTCCTCCGCGCGCAGACACATACACACATAAAACTCGAAAACCTACTTCATCGTACACTCTTCATTGCGTGTGCGTGACTGGTTGTGTGCTTCTTGCCGCATTTGCCTTCCCCACCTGCGACGGCTGTTGGCTACCTTCCAGCGCCTTCTTCCGCGATTGCTTCTTTCCACCACCGACCTCCCCCTCTGCGCACACAGACGCCACCTTCATCTCCACTCACCCCGAAGCATCCGCTGTTCCCTTTTGCAGAGCCCGAATCAACTGCACACACACGCACGGCTACTCGCCCAAAGGGAAAAAAAAAATCTACCAACCTCTGTCTGCTGGCTGCTACACCAATCCGACCTGAGCCGGCGCAGAGATAGGAAAAAAGCATACTCATTCCGTTGTACATGAGGGAAGCTCGTCACCCGAGCGTCCGGTGGAGCCATGAAGATTAAGAAGCAGGCTACCACGAGACATGAGTCCACTCTGGTACTTATCCCCCCTCCTCCCCAACATTTCCTTCTGGAGTCACCCCCTCCCGGCTAACCAGCTTTGCAGTCTCCCATGATAGCAGAATTCGTCAAGGCGACAGAGTCAATACCGCTGTATCAGCTCCCCGCCCACCTCTCCGCCTTCCCCAAGCTATGGGCCTTCCCCCGCGGCGATACATACCACTGGATTCCTGTGCTGAATCGCTTTGACCGCATATTGGAATTGTTCACTCAAGAATATGGATTAGTCGAAGGTCCGCAGTCGCAGCCATTCGAGCGTCGTCTGCTGCTCAAAGGCGACGCCGAGGAAGGCAGCGCGGCTGAACCCGCCACCAACGAAATCCTGGACAAGCTACATGTTTCCGAGGATGGTGACCGGCATCTAATCGAGCAGATTCTCAACTTCACACGTCTGTTGCTGGAGAATTGTGGCAATCGGAGCCTGTACTCAAGTAGCGGACATTTGGATAAGCTACTCAATACCACATCCATCTCTCTGTTGAAGACCACTCTCCGCCTGACCCTGCGCCTGTCCCAACGTTATCACGCCGCTCGCATGCGTCTTGCTCCTGCATCCCTGCACCCGACACTACTCGCGAGCCACTACAACATCAATCTTGACAAGGTCCAGAAATTGGCCGGTCCTTTCCCTAAAGGCCCGTCCGCGCCCGTGCCGCTGTTCGCCACGCCCGCAGGCAAAGGAAAAGATAAGGCCCAAGGCGAACGATCGGATCGATTCAGTGCTGCAGACATGGTGGGTTTGTTGGCCCTGCCCGAATCGACTGTGAAGCAGGAGCTTGGTGGCGTTTCTCTGTCATACTACGAGCCTACCTCGACCACTACAGACGACGAAAAGTCCGCGTCTGCCGATGGACCCTCAATGGCAACTCCTAGTACTCCCACACCAGCTCGTCGTACATCGAATCTAGGTCCTAACCAAACCCCGCGGCAAACGCAGCCTCCCGCATCCCTTGACTCTCCTGCAACGCCCACTCTTGCATCCGGTGACGCCGGAGGAAGTCGTCCCAATGGACCCAAGTCGTTTGAGCTGTCTGCAGATGCCTTGAGCAATTCTGGCATCTATGAACTCGTAAAGCGTGGTGTTACCGAGCTTCCTCAGACTGCGCACTACGATCTTCTCCACAAGCTTCGGACCGCTTATACAGTCACTGCTGGAAATGCAGGCCGCCAAGAAGTCATCTCTATTCGCTTGCTTGCCATCGCAAACATGGCATACGTTTATGGCGAAAAGGATTTTCACACACGCATGGGCCAGCAAGATGGTGACGAGCCACGCCGTTTGCAATGGGCCTATCAGCTTGCTGAGCTTGTCCAACCCCCAAGTAGTGGTCAAGAACCAATCTCAACACAGGTGCAAACGTACGCCATCAATGCGCTTGAAGCTCTGGCCAAGCATAAGACTAAAGCAGGCGACATATGTACTTCCTTGAGTGTCAACGTCAATCATGGTGTTCTGTTCTGGATTGTTCGACAGATGGTCACAGGGCTTGGCAAGGAAGACGAGTCTGAAGTGAATATCGAAGAGGATGAATGGCGTGAAGCCCTGTTCTCGCTTGTCAACACCCTCCCGACTTCACAACAGCGAACTGGAGACGGCATGGTATCCGCCGGTCTTCTCGAAATTCTTGTGGAAGTGCTGACGCTTCGGACGACCAAGGCTGAGCGCAACTATCCGAAGATCCTCAATTTCCTGGACACGTTCGTTCACAATCTTCGGGAGGCATTTCAGTCATTGGTCGATGCTAAAGGTCTTGACATTCTCGCTGATCTGGTACTTCACGAGGTCACCGCATCACATCAGATGTCGGCTGAGGGTTTAGGCATGCCAGAACAGTACAAAACCCAGCTTACCGATTACCAAATCCCGTTCTACAAGCAGCAGACCCTCCGATGGCTTTTTAGGTTCGTGAACCATATGATGTCGCATACGGGCGGGGGCAATTTTGAACGGCAGATGCGGAATCTCATCGATTCGACTCCCTTGCAGCAAGGACTTGAGATTGTTCTGTCCAATGCGAGCACTTTCGGCTCGACTGTGTGGAGCATGGCAGTTAGTATGCTCACCACTTTCATCCATAATGAGCCGACGAGCTACTCGGTGATCAATGATGCCGGCCTCAGCACTGCACTGCTGGAGACCGTCTCAGGGGAGAAGATATCTAACCCCGTTGCGCCATCGACAAACGAGAACAATGCCTCAGCTGCCGATAGCTCATCAGCACCGCAGCCGCCCCGTGTCTATCCAGCCCGCGACCCAGCCCGTCCACTGTCTTCCGGTATTCTTCCCGTGGCGGAAGCCATCGCAACGATTCCGCCCGCATTCGGAGCCATCTGTCTTGCGGAGGCAGGAATGAAATTATTCCAATCGTCGTCAGCGCTCAAACGTTTCTTCGAGATCTTTGAGAGCCCAATTCATATCAAGGCGCTTGATCAGGATCCGGAGATTGCGAACCTGATTGGTAGTTCTTTCGATGAGTTGGTTAGACATCATCCTCCGCTAAAGAACGTCGTACTTTCGTCTCTCAGCGAAATGGTAGCACGTGTTGTGCGTATATGCTTCGACAAGGCAGCGAAGGAGGGCGCCGGTGCGAAGCTCTTCTATGAGAAGGATGGCAAGATCTATGTTTGTGGCGGCCGTCCTGCTCTAGCTGGTCCAGAGGGGTTTGTGCACAAAGAACTGTTCCATCGTGCCAACGCCGAGGGTGACGTCGATATGGAAGACGCCGCAGAAAGCGCTCCTGTTGAACCGGCGACCTTGGAGGATGTGATTGAGGTCGAAGACAGTGCCAAAGGTCCCACCACAAGTCAGTACGTCAGCGTTGTGTGTCGGTTCCTTGGCGGCTTCTTCACCAACCACACCATGTGCTCTGCGTACATCGAGGCCGATGGCGTAGAGTCTATCCTTGATCTTGCTACTTTGCCTTGCCTTGACCCTCGTTTCAACGAGTCTCGTGCAACCAACGAAGAGTTCGCCCGCGTCGTCCAGGTTCTAGTTGAACAGAAGCCCCATATTGCAGTTCCTGCTCTGTTGAAGCGTACTCAGCAGGCACTTGATCGCTTGGAACCTATGTTACGCCATCAATATCATGGCGACGCCGCATTTTTTGCACCTTTCACGTCTTCCGCAGCCTCTCAGTCATCAGGTGTACATGAGCATGGGACAGAATATGTCAAGTCGCTGCTTGTGGTACATACTCTCATAAGTGCATTGACGCAAACCTTCCAGACTCAAATGTTCAATTCGCGCTCTACGCACAATGTCGCCAGCCAGGTGAACCTTGCCGATGTTTATGCAAAGATCGTGGACAGCCTGGGCAGGCTGCATCGCAGCTGCGTTTGGGAAGAAATTCTTCTGCAGAAGACCATGCCGACTGAGTGGGAGAAGGAAACTCGGGTTAAGAGCTCTGGTTTTGGTGCAATTGAAGCTGACAGTGTCTTTCATCTTGGGGACAGGCCATCCGCCTTCTCGTCCGGTCCACCTGATGCCTCGGAAAATACAACAGCGACTGGTGATGCTCCAGCTCCTTCGGCTGGAGAGACAAACAGTGCCCAGTTCAAAAACACTCAGATTCTACGTTATCTACTGAGCAAGATTCCTACTGGCATCGCACCATTCTGTCAATCACTTGGCAGGCTCATCCTGTTGCGCCGTAACATTGATTCCTACCACAAACAGTGCGCCATCATTGTTGGTGATCAGCTGGCCCAAGCAGCCATCGATCAACTACGTTTCGAGGCTCCAAAGGCCGCAAAATTCGCCGAGGATCGATATGCTTATTGGATCGTAATCCTCACCTCTCTATCGCAGCTGATGATTGATAGCAACATGGACCGTGCTAGCCCACATACCCTAACGTTGGTGTTGGTGGCCTTCAAGAACCTAGGTGGCATGGCATTTATGGCTGACATCCTGAACACTTTTACTCAATCAGCCAAAGATGTCATCCGTGAGCAGGGCGAGGAACCTTCGGAAGCCTCTCAGCGCCTTCTCAATTTGTCTCTCGGTGGCATTAAGATTGTACTGGCCTTCTACGTTCAAATCATCAACTCCAAAGCCATCAACGAAGCTAGTCAGACTTCGACGCTTCAGTCGCGACCCGATCGAGACCGTGAGCGACCCGATTACTTCCTTTCCTCTCAATTCATTGTTGAGCTACGATATGCCGTCACCAAGCCCGTGCGTGACATATGGGATTCGGATCTCATCGACAAAGCGACCACTTCTATAGTCAAGACTTCCATCAACATCCTCAAAACTATATTGGATGGCGAGGGTGAGCAAGGAGCAGCCAAAAGCATCGACAAGATTCCAAAGCGCAACAAACCAATCATTCGACCTTGGACGCCTCGTAGTAACGAACACGTCAACCGTTTGAGAGATGCATCGTTCGACGAAAGCTTGGCTGAAGAAGCCCTCTTTAGGTGTTGCGACAATCTAAATGCCGCTCGCGAATACTGCCAGAATCAAGTTCGAGATATTCGTGCGTCTAGAAACCCTATCCCGCAATATGAGATCAATGCGCGCGGCCCGCCATCAAGCTCGGCAAGCCGCGCCGAAGTGATCGTGCCTGAACACGCGGATAGCACTAGTGTATCAAGTGGCGATGTTTTTGATCGAGAGAATTCGGATATCCCAGACTCGCGATCTGTGGTCATGGCAGACGCCACTCCCGCGGAAGAGAACGAGGAACCGGTAGCGAATCCACCCGTCTCTGATGCTCAGTCAGCAACAGAGGTGCAGGCCCCATCCCAGGAAGGCCTGGCGTATCAAAAGAGGACAGCTACTGGAAACATCGCGGCGCCTGTTGCCATCGATGATCTGGACCGACAACGCTCTGCCATACGCGAGAATCTAGTGGATCGGTCCCTCGACATCTTGAACTCCCATGACGATGTCACTTTTGAGCTTGCGGATCTTATCTCTGCAGCTGTCGCGAAGGCCACCGAGCCAGTCTCCATGCGCACCGACATTGGATCTACTCTGGTGCAATCCCTTATCTCCTTCCAGATGAACGACGATTTCCGGGCACACGGAAAGAAGATCGCTGCATCTGCTCACCTTCTCGCGCTAGTAATACAAGATAAGGAGTTCTACCAGGCAGTAGTCGAGGAGCTCAAAGAGAATTTCGGCACGCTTCTTGGCTTCATTAAGATTTTTCCTGATCAGCCAGCCGAAGAGTCTTCTCCATGGATTGGACAAGTACTAGTTATCGTGGAGCGGTTGCTTTCAGAAGATCAACTCCCTCGGCAAATTCAATGGACTCCACCGACGAGCGATTCGCATGAGGACACATCAGTTGAAGATATTCCCGAGCCCACTGTTCCTTTGAACGAGAAGAATCTGCTTTTCGATGCCCTGGTGGATATTCTACCACGCATTGGCAAAGAGGAATCAATGGCGCTGTCGGTCATGCGGGTTTTTGTCATGCTGACACGCACTCGCAAGATTGCGTTGCGCCTCGCAGAGAAACGCAATATCCAGCGGCTTTTCCTCATGGTCAAACAACTTGCTGGCATCACCAACGATAGTCTGCGGAGTGCTTTCATGATCGTCCTACGCCACATCGTCGAGGATGAAGGGATGATTCGGCAAATCATGCGCAGCGAAATCCAAAGCATGTTCGAGTCGCGTGATCGCAGGCAAACTGATACCACAGGCTATACTCGACAAATGTACTACCTAGCTATCCGCGCACCGGAAATTTTTGTTGAAGTCACGAACGAGATACTCCAGCTCTCACGCTTTGACCCGAATCAACGCCCGCAGACGCTGGCATTGAAGAAGGAGGATGCGCCTGCTACAGAAGCCAATGCGGCGTCGTCTACGGAGGTTCCCGAGAGTGATCGACCAAAAGAGACAAGCGAGCCCATGAAACAACCTGTCCTGGAGCGAACAAAGACTTCTGATCTGAAGGTACCTGTCGTGGAGAGCTCTGACGGTGTCATACACTATCTGCTATGTGAGCTACTCGCTTACAAAGAGATTGATGACAAACCGGAGCCGCCCAAATCCTCGGAAAAGACTGATGAGCAGCAAATCGACCAGCCCACATCTGGGGATGAGGCTTCCGCAGCATCTAGTACAGCTACACTTTCCGAGCCTCCCAAGTCAGAAAAGACGGAGTTCAAGGCCGATGCAAATCCAATCTACATCTATCGGTGCTTCATACTCAAGTGTCTTGCGGAACTTCTTCAGAGCTACAACCGTACTAAGATTGAATTCATCAACTTCTCTCGTAGAGCAGACCCGCACGTCACAACCCCATCGAAGCCTCGATCCGGTGTACTCAATTACCTTCTCAACTCTCTCGTGCCAGTTGGCAGTCTCAACCATGAGGGTGATCTGGCTTTCAAGAAAAAGCTTGCAACCTCGGGATGCGCAATCGATGTTGTAGTATCTCTTTGTGCAAAAACTGGAGAGCAAGGATCATCCAAGCAAGCTCAATCCTTCCCGTATGCAGAGACTGAGACAGATCTGTTGTTTGTTCGAAAATTTGTCCTCGAGCATGCACTGAAGACTTTCAAAGATGCCAGTGCTTCTGATGAAGGCCTCGATATGAAATACTCCCGTCTTTTAGGTCTTGCAGATATATTCTCTCGGATGGTGTCTCAACGTCCATCCGGAGAAATGTTGACCCAGAATTCAGATCTTACGCCCACGCTTAAACAAATGGCGAAGATCATGTACGAGAAGAATTTCATCAGCATATTGACAACAGCCATTGCGGACGTTGACCTCAATTTCCCCAACGCCAAGAGGGTAGTCAAGTATATCCTCAAACCCCTGAAATGGTTATGTTATGTGGCCATGGACCTTAGCACTCGCTATGATACTTCATCCACACCAGACTCCACCGATGAATGGGAAATCTCTTCCGCCTCCGACGACGATCTTCTGGAGACTACCCGCGAAGAAACGCCGGATCTGTTCCGCAACTCGACGTTGGGCATGTTCGAGCATGGCAACGAATCCGAATCTGAAGGCTCTGATGAAGAGGGCGATGAGGAAATGGAGATGTATGATGAAGCATATGCCGATGATATGGAGTTCGACGAGGAGATCGGTGATAACGACGAGGTCATTTCTGAAGATGAAGAGATGGAAATGGAACTCGGCGAAATGGGCCCTATCGAAGGTTTACCTGGTGACGTCGACGTCGAAATAGAATTGGATGACGAAATCGGCGATGTAGGCACCGACGACGATTCTATAGACGAGGACGACGAAGACGAGGATGAGGATGATGAGGACGATGAAGATGATGATGATGACGACGACGACCTTGATGAAGATGAAGAGATGGATGCCCTGGATGCTTTGGAAGAAATCACTGGAGATGACGAGAATGCCAGTCTAGCAGACGACCGGGAAGACATCTGGGACGAGGAGGATGTGTATTTCCCCACTGCTGGCGGCGGTGATGGTGGCATGACTCCAGGTGACCTGTTTGTAATCGATCAACCCCCCCAGCAACTGCTTAGCCAGCTTCAGCGGGACTTCAACGACGATATCATGCAAGAGGAAGAAGGTAAGTCAAGCACCCTGTAAGATTTCAAGACTGTCACTAACTCTGCTCAGACGATGAGGAGGAAGATGAGGAAGAGGAGTTCGAGGATGACGAGGGCATTGTCTATGATCCTGGCGTAGAGGATGAAGACGCGGACATGGACATGGGCTGGGGTTGGGACGAAGGCATGCCTCCTGGCGGTCGCCATCCACACCGACTGAGCCCCTGGATGTTCCCAGGAGGCCCAGACAATCGCATCTTGGTTCCCGCGTACCGTGCGCATCGACCTGGAGCTGGCCCTCGCATGACCGACGATGGTATGAATCCCCTTCTACAACGTTCCGGACGATCAGGAGGCCGCGGCGAGCATATCCCTTCTATTCACGGTATGAGCGACTGGGTCCACGCAATCGAAGCCCGCGGACCACGACTATTCTCTGAGAATAGCCCCGTGTCTTTCATCAGCAATCTTCTCAATGCTATGAGTCAGGGCACCTTGTCTCAACACAACGGTGCTCTGCACTTGTCATTCAACAACATGCCCCTAGGCTTGCCGCCACCAATAGATCATTTCGGCCGCAACGCTCGTATGCGAGACAATCCTCTTGCCCGCTCCTCTCGAGAAGATCCCCAGTCAGCTGTATCTTTCATGAAAGCCTACACCAACCAGCGTTGGCAAGAAGAGGCTCGCATACTATATGGTAATGGTGCGATTGAGAAGAGTCAACGTGTCATCAACTCCATTCTCAAAGTCATGGTTCCGCCAGCGTTGGAAGTAGCCAAAAGGAGACAAGCGGAGAAGGAGGCAGAGGCAGAGGCAGCGCGTAAGCTGAAAGAAGAGAAGGAGAAGAAGGAGCGTGAAGAGCGCGAGGCAAAAGAACAGAAGGAACGCGAGGAACGCGAACGGCAAGAGCGGGAAGCGGCTGAAGCGGCTGCTCAGGCTGCAAGCCAGGCACAATCTACCAGTGAAGCTGCGGCTGAAACAGGTACCAATGCGGCCTCTGCGGAAGTGCAAGCAATGGAAGGGGTTCAGCCATCAGAATCTTCAACCAGCGATCAGGCTGCAACGACAGCGCCAGAGGAACCGAGGCCGCGTCTCACAACCACGCTTCGCGGTCAAGAATACGACATTACTGATCTAGGTATCGACTTGGAGTATCTCGAGGCTTTACCAGAAGAATTACGAGAAGAAGTCTTGATGCAACAGATTGCAGAGCGACGTGCAGAACGTTCGGCAGCACAAAATACAAGTTCCACGGACAACGCACCCGATGCGGCCGACGATAATGGCATCAATGAGGAGTTTTTAGCCGCTTTGCCGCCGGAGATCCGTCAAGAGCTGCTTCAGAATGAAGCTCAAAATCGTAGACGTCGCGAGCGCGAAGAAGCTCGACGCCGAGCGCAAGCTGCCAATAATGAGCCCGCCCAGCCTGACGATATTGACACTGCGAGCTTCCTAGCTTCGCTCGATCCTGCACTGAGACAAGCAGTTCTCATGGATCAAGACGAAGAAGTATTGCGCCAGCTACCACCTGAGATATCTGCAGAAGCTCGAGCTTTGGGAGGAGATCGACGTCTTAATCAGTTCGACTATCTGCCTTCTGGTTACACTCACCGCAGTAGAGGCCGCGCCCCACAGGATGACCCCACTCAGAAGAAGAAGGCTCGTCCTTGCGTACAGATGCTCGATAAGGCCGGAGTGGCGACCTTGCTACGTCTAATGTTCATTCCTCAGCAAGGCAGCGCCAAAGGTAGTCTTACGCAGATTCTCCGATATGTTTGCGAGAACCGACAAAATCGAGCCGAGGTTATCAGCATTCTTCTCTCCATTCTACAGGATGGCAGCGCAGATGTCAATGCTGTGGAACGTAGCTTCGCCCAATTATCGCTCCGAGCGAAGCAAGTACAACCAACTTCCGACAAGACTCCTAAGATGTCGCGTAAGAATGGAGCACTTTCCATCAATGCCGATGTTTCACCTCTCATGGTCGTTCAGCAGTGTCTTAATACGCTCACTCAGTTGACCGAGAAGAACCCCGCAGTATGGTCCTTTTTCCTTTCTGAGCACGAGACTGGCGTCGGTTTCAAAGGTCGGAACAATCGCAAGGGCAAAGCGAAAGAGACAAAGGCAACCAAATTCCCTATCAATGCTCTGCTGAGCCTTTTGGATCGCAAGTTGATCATCGAGAGCTCATCCATTATGGAGCAGCTCACTATGCTTCTGAAGGTCATCACTGCCCCTTTGCCAGTGATTAAGAAGAACGAGGAAAAGGCGGAAGCGGAAGCTAAAAAGCAGGAGAGCAAGGATGCGGAAGAAGCAGCATCTGGCGAGGCAGCTTCAACTGAGCAGTCGGCGCCAAGTGGCGACACAGAAATGGCGAACGCACCTTCGGCTGAAGCTCCTCAATCTGCGCCTGTTGAAAATGCCGCGGCTGTCGTGGGCGAGGGGAGCGCCAGCAAGCCAGACGCTCCTAAGTCCGAAGAAGAGAAGAAGAAGCACCGCACCACTACACCTCCGGATATCCCAGAGTCCAATCTTCGACTCGTCGCCAAGATTCTTGCCGCTCGTGAATGCAATAGTAAGGTATTCCAAGGAACATTGGACGTTATCGGCAACCTATCCCCCATCCCAGGTTCAAAGGAGATCTTCGGGAAAGAGTTACTTGGGATTGCTCAAGATCTAGCCCGATCAACTCTGAAAGATCTGGCTGAACTCACGACACAAGTGTCCAACGCTGCCTCGGTCACAGATGTCCAAGGCATTGCACTTGCCAAGTTCTCGCCTCCTAGTTCCGACCAAGCGAAGCTGTTGAGGGCGCTCACCGCGCTGGACTATCTATTCGATCCCAACCGTGACAAGAAGGAGCAGGACAGCTCCACCACCACTGAAGGACTGGGAGCAGCACAAAAGGATGACATTCTTCTCACGTTGTATGAAGACTCGGCGTTCGCCCCACTGTGGAACAAGCTCGGCGAGTGTTTGACAGTCATTCGCCAGCGAGGCAATATGCTCAATATTGCAACCACTTTGCTTCCTCTTATCGAAACTTTGATGGTTGTGTGCAAGAATACCACACTCAAAGATACGCCACTATCTAAGATGCTCCCGAAGGAATTCGCACTTTCCAGCCCGCCGCCTGAGAGCAAGATGGAGAACCTCTTCTTCAACTTCACTGAAGAGCATCGCAAGATCCTCAACGACCTTGTCCGCCAGAACCCCAAGCTTATGAGCGGCACCTTCTCGTTGCTGGTGAAGAATTCCAAGGTTCTCGAATTCGATAACAAACGCAATTACTTCAATCGCAAGATTCATGCGCGCAATGTGGAGCGACAAACACACCAGCCTCTGCAGCTTGCAGTCCGCCGTGACCAAGTCTTCCTGGATTCGTTCAAGTCGTTGTACTTCAAGACTGCCGATGAAATGAAGTATGGCAAGCTTAGCATTCGCTTCCATGGTGAGGAAGGTGTTGATGCCGGAGGTGTTACGCGAGAATGGTTCCAGGTCATTGCACGGCAAATGTTCAACCCTGACTATGCTCTCTTCATCCCAGTAGCTTCGGATCGCACTACCTTCCATCCTAATCGTCTCAGTGGCGTCAACCCCGAGCATCTAATGTTCTTCAAGTTCATTGGGCGTATTATTGGCAAGGCGCTCTACGAAGGTCGTGTTCTTGACTGCCATTTCAGTCGCGCGGTTTACAAGCGCATTCTCAGCCGGCCGGTCAACCTCAAAGACATGGAGACCTTGGATCTCGAATACTACAAATCACTTCTCTGGATGCTTGAAAATGACATTACCGACATCATTACAGAGACTTTCTCGAGCGATGTGGAAGTCTTTGGAGAAACAGAAGTCGTCGACCTAATCGAGAACGGCCGCAACATTCCCGTCACAGAAGACAATAAGCACGAGTATGTTCGCCTAGTGACTGAGCACCGCCTCACTGGCGCAGTACAAGAGCAACTCGAACACTTCCTCAAAGGGTTCCATGATATCATCCCAGCGGAATTGATCTCAATCTTCAGCGAACAGGAGCTGGAGCTCCTTATCTCTGGTCTGCCGGATATCAACATCGAAGACTGGAAGGCGAACACTGAATATCACAATTACACGCAGAACTCGCCTCAAATCCATTGGTTCTGGCGTGCAGTTCGCAGTTTCGATAAAGAAGAACAGGCCAAGTTGCTACAGTTCGTGACTGGCACGAGCAAGGTGCCCCTGAACGGTTTCAAAGAGCTGGAAGGCATGAATGGCTTCAGTAAATTCAACATTCACCGGGATTACGGTAGTAAGGAGCGTCTGCCTAGCAGTCATACTTGCTTCAATCGTAAGTTGTTCACATTTCTAAGCTGCAATATTTTCTTACTAACATATAATAGAACTCGATCTTCCAGAATATGAGGATTACGAAGCACTCAAGAAAGCGCTGTACACCGCAATGACGGCTGGAGGCGAGTATTTTGGCTTTGCATAGACGGTGTATACAAGGGTCGGGAATTTCTTTGGTTTGCATTGCAGGCGTCTTCTTCATGGCCAGCGAACTGCTCTTGGTGTGACTGGTATGGCCTAGTATGCGAACAGCAGGACGATGAAATGTTAGCGAAAAGAAGCAATGCTTCGCATTGGACGGTCTCGGTTCACGTGTATGAGTACAATTAGACTCGGGAAAGGTGAGCCTGATTTGGTGGTGGAGTTTCGGCGTTGGGATACTTGGAAAATGGTAGCTGGGGAACTGAGATGAGCAGTAGTCAGGGGACTTCGATTTGTACCTTCGATTATCTGGGATCAAAGGAGGGTAGGAAGATAGGGGGTTTTTGGGAGTGCAGGCCCGACTTCCTTCCTTTTTCTCTCTCCTTTTCTTCTTCCTCTTTAGCTTGTTCAAAACACAAGGACAAGTTTCTACGTAGCTCTTGTTTTCTCTCCCGTTCCTCAAGGCATGATTTTGATATTTTCCAAACATCTTCCTGGCGCTTGTTCCATTGGCATTGTGCATTCCGCTTCTTTCTACTACATACGTACATAAAGAGGGGAATGAAAGGCCGCTTTCTCACTTACTTCCCTCGTCTTTTCTTTGCTCACCCTTCATATGTGTATAGTGCAGTGACGGTAACCGAGCCGCTATTTTTTTCAGCTGACGTTGTGAGCAGTAGTGATTGACTATGATTCAATCGCTTCCCACGTATGCATGTTTTGAAAGGCTGTTATCTGTATCCTAAGCTAAGAAAAAGCAACGAATGAGAAAAGAAGGTGGTCTCGATTGTTTCCCTAGGCAGGCAGCATCTTCACATGTCCACCTGTCAGTCATCAACCAACAAAAGCTTGTTCAAATCGCCAATAACGAGGCAGTGCCTGATCTCACTCACTCTACGCTAGGAAATTATTATTGCTGGCTGTTGTTGCTCTTGACTCTACGTACGTCCGTGCAACGAGTTACATTAGGACTAGCGCGTCAGCACCCGCTTCTACCTTCCGGTATAAATCTCTCCGTGTTGAGTAATGGAGGCAGTATACTTCCGTGTCAATGGAACAATTGGAGCAATGGAAACACGGATTTATGGACTCCCAAGACGTGGCGTGCTTATAGGTGTTGTCTTTTTTGGAAATTGGTGAGTCTTATCTCCGTGGGGTGTAGAAAGAGGGAGCTTGGCACGCCCTTCGTTGTGTATATCTAGGTATATAAAGCAGCCTGCAATGACCTGTGAACATTCTTTAGAACAATCAACTTAACGGACTGCCTTGCTCTATTATTATAGTGTGCGCCCCACGAAGATTCTTGGAAAGAACACTATCATTTTGCCATACAAAGATGTCTTCGTATAATCGCATTGGTGTTGTGACTGGAGCAAACAAGGTGAGTCTCTCTCTCTCTCTCTCTCTCTCTCTCTATATACAACATCTATCGAAAAAAAAAATCTTCCATGTTCAACAAATGCTAACCATGGGCGTCCCGTTTCAATCGAAAAAGGGGATTGGCTACGCTATAGGTACGCATACATCCCCCCATCAACCCCTTACCTCACTGGTTTAAACAACAAAATCCCATGTTCCTAACCCATCAACCCACCAGTCCGCCAACTCGCCCTCCAACACTCCGCCTCCAACGCCAATAAACCTACCACCCCTTCCCTCCTCGTCTACCTCACCGCCCGCGACCAGGCGCGTGGCGAAGCAGCGCTCGCGGAGATCAAACAGGACCCGCAGTTGAAAGCTGCGAAAGCGCTCGTTGGCGATGGGGGAGCGGTGCAGATTATGTTCCGGCAGCTTGATATCACTGATCGTGAGAGTTTGAAGAAATTTGTAGAAGGGGTAAGGGAGGAGCATGGGGGAGAAGATGGGGGAGTGGATTTTGTGGTTAATAATGCTGCGATTTATCTTCCGGGGTTTGGTGAGTTATCGATCTTTTCTTTCTTTTGGGGGAGACGGAGAGAGAATGCATTGGAAAGGGTTGTTGAGCATTGCTAATACTCCGAGAACAACACAGACTCTGAGGTCGTGAAGACGACTTTGGACTGTAATTACTACAGCACCATGGGCGCATCGCGCGCTTTCCTCCCTCTGCTTAAACAGAACGGTCGAATGGTAAATGTTGCGAGTACCGTTGGAGGATTGTATGTATACCCTCCAAAAGCCATCTGCACTGAGTCGGGTTGACTGATTGTCGCTATCTCAGGTCTTACTATCCCGACGCGCTGCGCGATCGCTTCCTCGCGACGCAGACAGAGGCTGATGTTGATGCAATTATGCACGACTTTCAGTCCGCCGTGGATACTGGCAAAGAAGAGGAGAGTGGGTTCCCGAAGCTGGCGTATGAGGTTTCCAAGGCAGGACTCATCGGTGCTACGAGGGCTCTCGCGCTTGCTGCGAAGCGTGAAGGCAAGGGGGGAGTGTTGATTAATTCTTGTTGTCCAGGATACGTAAAGACGGATCTGAACGGACGGGGTAAGTATTTTCTATTCCCTTGACATTTTTTTTATTTTGAGATCAAGGTCGTCGCGCTTGTGTTGTCTCAGATTCATTGATGGCGAGGCGCTCTTGACTTGCGAAACATTTCTTGGCTGACGTGTGGCGGTTTAGCTGGAACTAGTACGACAGATGAAGGTGCAGAGACGCCTGTCAAATTGGCTATTCATGATATTGACGATGTGACGGGAGCATTTTGGAGGAGCGGAGAGCAGATTGCCTGGAAAGATCTTAGGCTCCCTGATGGGTTTACTTTGTGATACTGGTCTTCTCCTACTGCGAGACGAGATTGCTTAGCTCTATGAAATTACCGTAGAAGTTTGTCTATCAAGAGCCCTCAGTTGGTCTTGGCGCACATGAGAGTAGCTGAATGAAGTATAAAGCGTTGATTCTCTCGTGGTGCTGTTCAGCTATTGTTCAGTGACAACTTGAGAAATGTTTGATGTCCAATCAATGCCCAATGCCAAGAGAAACCGAGGATTCCTTATAGACAGATTTCTACGGTATTGAGAATTGGAATGCTGGGCATCGCCTGCTTTTCAGCTGCTTGCTATCAGTTGCTTAATGGGGCTGAGGTGACAAGCTCGGAAAGATGGTGTACCAAAGGCGATTCCGCAAATCAGATGGAGCGGACAGGGACAATACAACTTCTAACTTGTGGATTGCTAGTTTGCCCGAGCTGTCACTTTTCGAGGTGTAATTGCCCTGTAAGTCTGTGTCACTTTTTCTTATTCCAGTCAAATCTATTCAAAATTCGAATATACAGCCATACATGGGCCAGCGTTAGATGTGGTGACTTGAACATAATTGATATTGGTGCGCAGTGGGGTAGTGGTCACGGTATGAGAAGCCAGCAGTAGCGTGAAGTTAGTTATTCAGCCATGTCCTCTCTGACTAAACTGAAGGCCATAGTGAAATATTCTCCCTTGAGCTCCTTCATCGGTACGAAGGTGATGTATGCAATGCGCTTACTATTCTAGCCTCCTGTAGTTATCGCGAGTATAGGATCTGGGCAACCGCATCACGCTTGAATAACTGGAAACGGCGTGTTTACTGAACAGCCTCGGATCTAGGTTCAGGGCATTTATTCTGATCTGCTCTTCTTAGTCGTGATATTCTTGTGTATTGTTCGAAGATTCGGGTGTTTGTTTGCTTTTCGCGGGTTGCGAAGCTCGGCCGAGCATGTTCAGCCGCGATCAATCGTCACAATAACGTCTCGGAAACTGCCTCGGACGAGATTAATCTAGATTTGCTGCAGAATAATGCGGATCAAATCTATTCGGTCTCACTCATCATTTTACAGTACGATATGGTCTTTGGAAGATGGCTTACTGACCTGCGAGTTTGCTTACGGGAAATGCAAGTGTAACCAATGTGGTTCAGCTAGGTTGAGTTACATCGGGCTATGAACTCTAGTACTGCACTGAAAATGCACAAAACACCTAACTATATGGCCATAGTTGTTCTAAGCTCGCCCTTGTACTCTCCGCGATACCGAGCCATTCGAATTTCGAGGTCATTCCCGCGTGTCAATTCTCAAGGTTCAGCTTCGTTAGTTAAGCCTTGAATACGAGCATGCACGTATGCCAGATGATGCCCAGTTCAATACCTGCGTCACTGAGCTGCCGCACATGAGCGTATATAAATCATCGACTTATTTCGTCTTGTCGAGCATCTTGTAAAGCACTGCTCTTTGCAACTTTCAATACACAAACATCACAAGCAATCTTTGACAACACATTTTCGCCATCATGGGTTTGAAAGAGGATTCTGTCCCAATCCCACAGCCACCTCCCTCTCTCTTTCTAGGCAATATTGGCGACATCGATCCCACCAATATGCCTGTGAGTAGCACACATGACACAGAGAGCTTTTTCTGAATGTGGGACTGACATTTGTGTACCAGGAATCCTTTTGGCGGCTGGCAGAGACATATGGCGATATCTTCAGACTCCAAATCGCTGGTCGAAACTTGATCATTTGCAGCTCTTACGAAACTGTCAAGGATACTTTTGATTGGTCTCGATTTGAAAAGCCAATTATGGGCACTCTGGTGGAATTGCGCGCTATGGTTGGCGATGGACTTTTCACTGCTCGGACTGACGAAAAGGTATGTCCATAAAAAATCGTGATACTGAGCTCCACTAACTCTTTGGTTGCTTAGAATTGGGCTATTGCGCACAGGGTGTTGATGCCTGTTTTTGGGCCGATTGGCATCCGAAAGGTTTGAACAAGGCACTTCTCAGTGTATCGTGGCTTTCTGACACGATAGCGTAGATGTTTGACAATATGATGGATATCATCTCGCAAATGGTCCTTCGCTGGGATCGTTTGGGTCCTGAGAATGAGATTATGTGCAGTGACGACTTCACTAGGTTCGATGCACTCTTCATTCTTCCACCACACAAGCTGACGTTTGCCACCCAGGTTGGCATTTGATGTGATCGGATTTTGTGCTTTTGGCCACCGATTCAACAACTTTTACAAGGATGGGACGCATCCTTTCATCAAACAGATGACCGAAGTCCTCATCGAAAGCGGAAAACGATCGAACCGGACAGCCCTCGAGAACAGAATGAGGATTTTTTCTGCGCAGCGTAATATGGAAAATATCAAGGCCATGCATGATGTTTGCGATCAGATTATCGAGGACCGCATCAAGCACCCACAGCCTGACAGTACCGACCTGCTTAATCCCTTGCTTTATGGCAAAGATCCAGAGACTGGCGAGGTAAGTCGGCGCTACTATCGTTGTCAGAACATGAACTTATATTTCTTTTCCAGACCATGTCGAGAGAGAACGTAAGGTATAACATGTGTACCTTTTTGGTGGCAGGGCACGAGACCACGAGCGGAACGTTGGGGTTTCTCTTCTACCACCTCTTGAAAAATCCACGAACATATCTGAGAGCTATGCAAGAAGTCGACGAAGTTGTGGGTGAAGGGCCTCTGACAGTCAACCATCTACCGAAGCTGGTTTATATTAAATTTGCAATCTACGAAGGTATGTATTCAAACCCCATTCACTGTTGCCATGTGCTGACACCTTTAATCTAGCACTTCGCTTCATGGGACCTATAGCGGTCAATACCAAGCATGCATTGAAGCCGACACTGTACGTATAGCCCAGGTATACAGTCATGTGCCGAGAGACCACATGAACCAGCGTATTTGGTCCTTGAAAGCTCACGGAGATGTTTAAACTAACTTTGCATTCCCGAATTAGGATCGCGGGCAAGTACTATGTCGAGCCTACCGACCATATCTTGCTGAACTTGAAGCCTTTTATGCATGATCCAAAGGTATTGTTCGAAATTCTACAAAACTAATCCCGTGCATATTACGAATGCTAATCTATCGTGCCTCAGGTCTGGGGACCAGACGCCGATGAATACAAGCCCGAGCGCCATCTGAATGGTGGCTTCGAGAGTCTACCCCCCAATGCGTTCAAGCCTTTCGGAGACGGCCCTCGCGCTTGCATTGGCCGCACCTTTGCGGAGCAAGAAATGATCATGGCTGTCGCGGTGATCCTACAGAATTTCCAAGTCGAGATGGCTGACCCCAGCTACAATCTATGGATTCAACCAACGCTCACCATCAAGCCGGGCGCCTTCAGCATCAAAGTGCGCAGACGACCTGGTCGCGACCTAGCTACTTCCCTCGGTGGGAAGTCTGCCTCTTTAAACCACGTGAACAAAGGCAAGACTGCGGATGGCAAAGCTTCTCCTGTTCTGGAGGCGAAACCTATGACTGTACTTTATGGCTCCAATTCTGGAACTTGCAAGTCCTACGCCGAAGAAATAGAGTCCGAAGCTCCGCGCTACGGATTCAAAGCAACTGTTGGAACACTAGACTCTGCTACTGAACATGTACCCAAAGATCACCCTGTCGTCATGATTGCTCCTTCATACGAAGGAAAGCCTGCGGACAATGCCAAGAAGTTTTTCCAATGGCTTGAAGACAGCGCAACCTCGGAGCACCTGAAAGGTGTCAGCTATTCGGTCTTTGGAGTTGGGAACTCTGACTGGGTGGACACTTTCCATCGCGTTCCCAAATTGCTCAGTCGCAAATTCGAAGAATTGGGTGCGGTCAAGTTCACTGACATAGGATCTGTTGATGTCAAATACGACTTGGTAGGTCCTTGGGAGTCCTGGAAAGAAACTATGTTCAACGACCTTCGCAAGTCCAGTGGTACTTCCACTGCTATCAGCGGAGACGAGATTCAGGTTGAAGTCAAGTCTCCCAGGTTTGCTTCTCATCTTGGAGGTTCCCAGATCGGCTATGGCGTGGTGAAGGTGAACCAGGACTTGGGTGGTAGCGAAGTTGGGTTATTGAAAAAACACATGGAAGTCGAACTGCCAATGGGAACAGGGTATAGATCGGTAAGAAACAGCCTGATGACTGAAAGCTAGCTCTGACACTCATACAGGGTGACTATGTCGTGGTGCTACCCATGAACAACATTCGCACCGTCAAGCGAATTCTGAAACGCTTCGATTTGCTGCCAGATGACGACATTACAGTCACTGGCACACACAAGGCTTTTCTTTCCACCGACATCCCGATCTCCGTCTTTGACCTGCTCATGACGCGAGTCGAATTGGGCACACCTGCTAGCCAAAAACAGATTCAGACCATTGCCAGTCATTCGCCCGATGAAACGCGCGCCAAACTCGATGCTCTCACGCAGGACGATACATTTCAGCGGGAGGTCACCGGCAAGCGCATGACAATCCTCGACATCTTAGAAGATAATACAGATGCAACTATCCCCTTCTCCAAGTATCTCAATACGCTTAAGCCTCTCACCCCCCGCCAATATAGCGTCTCCTCCTCGCCACTCGCAAACACCACAATGGTACAAAGTCAAGACGGCACAGCAACACAGCAGCTCACAGTCTCAATCACCTACGATGTACACGATCAGCCTGCTTTTTCCGGACGCGGAGAATTCCACGGCACCGCCTCGACGTTCCTCTCTCGTCTAGAGCCCGGCGAAAAGCTGCGCTGCTTCATCCGCCCAACCAACGTAAACTTCCATCTCCCTACTGACCCTTCCCTCCCCATTATCATGATCTGCGCTGGAACCGGCATCGCTCCAATGCGTGGGTTTATCCAAGAACGAGCCGCCATCAAGGGAAATCGCAATACCGTCCTTGGCCCCGCGATTCTCTACTTTGGCTGCCGCGACTACCAAAGGGATTTCATCTACTCAGACGAGCTTCAACAGTGGGAGAAAGACGGAATAATCTCGATGCGCCCCTGCTTCTCCAAGAGTGGTCCCGATGGCGAGGGAAAGGGTCCCAAGCATGTCCCTGATCGTATGTGGGAGGAGCGCGAGGATCTGAAGAAGTTGTTTGCGGAAGGTGCTAAGATCTTTGTGTGTGGCAGCGCGAAGAAGCTCGGGAAGAGCGCGGCAGATGTTTGTAAGAAAATTTGGTTGGAGAGGCATAGTGGCGATGGGGTCGGTGAGAAGGAGGCTGAGGAGTGGTTGGATAGTGTTCGTGAGGACCGGTACGTCAGTGATACGTTTGAATAGTGGCTTCCATTGTGGGAAAGGTTCCGAATAAGGAATCGCAATGAGCTCTTCGAGTTTGATCTATTGGAAATATAGAAAATTGAAAGCATACTTTTTTCTAGCACTACCCTTGTACTCTCGTGATGATTTGAGACGAAACTTCGCATTGTTGTCAAACTTGTGTTCGCGCCGGGAATTGTCGATCCCAACCATCTCAAGCCTATAAGTCCAAGAGACTTATTTTAAAGGGGGATGCAGGGAGTACGAAAGCTTGAGCAATCAGGACATTACGAGATGGTTCAAAACCTCACATTCAATTTGATACGCCAATGCCTATACGACGCGCACCAAAAAATAATGAGCTCAACCATAACTGAAAATCAAAATAAAAGTCAAAAAACAAACATAAGAAGCCCCCAGAAATAAATGTCAAAATAAAATAATCAACGCGAATGATCCCGTAAAGACAGTATGCAAAACCTCCCCCCCAAAAAACCCCACCCTCCCAAGCCCAACACAACCCAGCTTCCACAACGCAACGACCATCCCCATCCCCTCCCCTCTTCTCACAAAGCTCCCTTCCCTTCAAGGACAAAACCCACTATCCCCACAACTCTGCCCCGTCGCGGCTCCAACCCCATTACTAACAACAGCAGCCCCAGCAACGCCCTCAACAACACTAACATCGAACTGCAAAAACCCCTCGCGGGTACCCTTCCACCCGCACTGGAAATTCATGCCCGCGGGGCCCGGGATCCCGCCAGCGGTGACTACGGCAATGTCGATGTCGTTGCATGAGACGCCTTTGAAGTCGTATTCGTAGCGCTTGCGGCCGCCTTCGTCCCAGTTGCGCACGTAGTGCGCTTCGCCTTGGCCGCGGGGGTGGTTTTTGGGCGGGGAGGATGGCGAGGTGGAGGGCTTTGTGGTGGGTTTAGGGTTTGGGGTGATGGGGGGTTTGATGTTGGTGGAAATTGTTGGGGCGGCGAGGGTGGTGGTGGTTAGGGTAGCGAGGAGGATGGTGAGGTAGGTTGGGGACAGCATTTTCTAGTAGAGATAGTTGATTGTTGTGGGGTCGGTGGTGGAGTTGATGAGGTTGGGTTGATAGATAGACTTTGCGTTGGATGTATTGTTTTGAGCAAGCAGTACGATGGATAAGAAGTGTTCGATTGCTTTGGAGATGCTGATGTTGTGAGTGATGATAAAAACGATTATAACACGGATATATGCTCACTTTATATATCTCAAACCCCCAAGCTCACTCTCTATCCCAACTCGTTAGTCTTTACTATCGTGAAGACTCAACACAGCCTGCTCACTTGCACACCACCAGAACCATCACTTCAACCCCCATCATCCCGATATCCGTCCACGAATATCAAAGACATCAATAGCCGCACAGAGAAACATACATACCCACTAAATCCTACGACTGCGCCTCGACATCCTCCACAGCCCCCCCACTCACTCCCTAGTCTGTAAATCAACTAAAACCAAGATGATGTCTTACCAGAGTTGCCTTGATGTCTAAACCAACAACGATGACAGGAACCGTTACTCGAACAAATCACACTAGTTATTGTGGAATCTGGCTACGTACTCGAGTCGGCAGTGCTAAATATAGATAGTTAGTGATAACACACTACATGCAATCGCACTACTCGGACCCCCCATTCGTCACGCAACCCCAAGTACCATACACGGATTCCAACCGGCCCGATTACCATCACTCGCCTAGCTCAGCAGGAAGTTGTAGATTCTGTGCTACTTCTGCGTCAAATGGTTCATCTAAATACAAACAATAATAACTATGATGATGATGGCAACGTGAATTCCATTGGATCCGTTAGTCACATAATATTGCCGCTATTCTGCTAAGCCTCAGACATCAAGGAAGAAAACGGTACGAAGTCTATTTATTTGATCATCGCCATATTCTATGCGGCACCAACACTTGGTATGGAAAAAATCACACGATAGATCTGCCTTTAAGCTCCAGGCAGGACACAGGTTCCGTGGGGCTCGTACGAAGAAGATTTTAGAGTTGTTGGAAGGGGAGGAGAGGGGATGATAAGCTTTTAGGGCTGACGCCGGGCGAAGCTTAGCTATATGCTTAAGTTCTCACTCGTTGTGGGGAGAGAGGGGGTGTGTTTGTGTTTGTGTTTGGATGGATGGCTAGATGTTTGGTCCGTGGCTGAGTTATCTAGGTGCTCAATTGATCGAGGGGTTGTTTGGGTTAGGTGAGGTGGCTTGGTGCTGACGTGTGAATTTTTGGGTAGAGGATGGATATAGGGAAATGGGAAAAAGTGATGGTTGGGTGTTGGGTGAGTTGTTGTGTTGGGTGAGCTCGATGATGGATCAGTAGATCGGCGAGGGAATGGACAATGAAGATATAGAGTCCAACACTCTGTGTTCTTTTGTTTTTCTTGTGGTATGGCTTCAATGAGGAAATTGGGAAGAGCGGTGAATTGAAGAAGATGGAATGGAATTTGGATGATAACGCCTTATAACCACGCTTGCCGTTGCCACACTTTTACGTTACTCCCTTCTGAACAGTGAGGAAGGATCCGGGGGAAAATCATCTACCTCGTCTCCCTCCACCCCTTCCCCTGGGACTTCTACCCTTCTCTACTTTTCCAGAACCACCGCTGCCGCCACCTCCCCATCCTTTCTGCACACCCAGTCCTTTCCTTTGGGATTTGAAGTTTCCACCCCCGCCATTGGCACCTCTACCACCCCTGCCCATACCACTGCCGCTCTTCTGCCGTCTGGCTTCCTTGTCATCGTCATCGCTGTCAACGTCCATCTCATCTTCACTGCGCTTCTTGTTGCTGAACTTGAGTTTACCCTTTTGCCCGCGCTGTGCGGCGTCGCGGCCACGGATGGCGTCGACGTAGGCATTGATACCGGCCTCGAGGGACGTGCCGTCGTTGTCGACGTCCATGAGCGCGGACCCATCGTTGTCGTTGTCAGCAGCAGCGAAACGGACGCCCTTCTTGCTGGCTGAGCGAGCGGATGGCTCATCCTCGTCGGAGTCTCCAAGGATGAGCTTGCCATCCAGATCTGTCCGGGCTTTTGTCTTCTTCTGCGGCGCCTCGCGGCGACGAAGGGGTTTTGTGGTCGAGATGTTTCCGAGAGCGCGTTTGGAGAGGAGATCCAGGGGCTCGTCTTCGTCTTCGACGATATATGTGTTTCCGCTCTTTGATTTTCCGGGGCGCTGTTGCTGTTTGCTTTGGGATTTGACGAAGTCGTCTTCCGAGTCGCCGGCTTCGCTGTCGTCGCTGTCGCTCCCGTACATGGCCTGGTCGTATTCGCTCTCGAATTTGCCTTTGGGTTTTTCTTTGACGTCTTCGCCATCTTCTTCGGCTTGGAGCTTCTTCTTCTTGCGGTGCTCGCGTGTCTTGCGGATGTTGGTGATGAGTTTGCGATCCTCAGCTGGGCACGCGCGCTCGACGGCCTCTACGCCGAATTTGCGGATCATGCGCTCGACAATGTGCTTAACCTTGGCTTTGAAGTGAGCCTTGTGCTCGTGGCTCCAGACCATCAGATTTCCAAGGAGGGTGGGCAGACGCGGCTTCACCAAGGATTCGGGGAGTGTGATGACCTCTACTTTGACAAATCCGAGTACGCTGCGAACGATTTCGCGGTTGGGGTTCTGTAGGAAGATATCCATGAGCTCCAGTAAGTTCTGCACCGTAGCCTGAGATATCCTTGAGTGAAATTCGTAGAGAATGCGCGTAACAGCCGTGATGGAGGCGGAAATCATGTGTGGGGTGGATGCTGCGAGACCAGCAGAAACCATGGTAAAGTACTCTTCCAATGAAGCCTCTACAGTGGGTGCATCCTCAGGCATGTTAGGAACCTTGTTCTGCAGCACGGTACCGCCCTGAGCCATTCTCTCGCCCATGGCGACGAGCAGATCATAGGCAGCTTCTCGTGCTTTCTCATTCACTTCCTTGGCGCATATGACCACTTCCGACAATATGGACGGAATGAAGTGGAGATCCGACTGGGGCAGATGCTCGATAACTTGAGACAGTGCCAGTAGTCGATCCCTCTTGGCGGGCCCCGACACTTTCTCCGCACTTCCAAGGAGAAGCTGCTGGAGCTCGCCGTTTCGTTCTTTCAATGCCTGTTTTCCGATCTCAGATTCCGAAAGTCTTGGAATAAGCTTGTAGGCTTTCTTCTGTAACTGGGTATCATCGTCCTTGTTGATCATGATGAAAGCCATATTGAACAAAGCCGGGTAACTGTCGCGGGGCAGATAGAAAGCAATCGTGATGATAAGGTCCATCAGAGTGTGGCTCATCGGTGGCATCTTATCCTGTCCCTTGCCTTGCTTTTGCTTGTCTGCTTGAGTCTGAGGTCCGCTTTTGGGAAGTGCAGCCTCGAGGTTGGCGCCGACGCGTTCGAAAGTCTCCATGAGTTCCTTCATAGCATGTTAGTCATCTACTGATATGGTTGGTGTTGATAGACTTACTTTTTCAGGCACGATGCTTAGGTAGGCATTGATCGTCCTGAGAATTGTTCCCCTGTACTGTGGCAATGTCTGGCTGTATACGTTGAACAATACTGCAAGCATGTTACCAGCAAAGCCGGCTAAGTGCTCCAGATTCTTCTTCGCTTGTGCTCTGGACACTCGAGCTTGCGCTACTAAATCTTCTTGCTCTTCGTCCAACTCCACAATGGCTTTGTTGCTGTCGACCAGGTGCTGAAGCGCTTTACAAATATCTGTTCGCAACTCTGCTTGTCCGTACAACAGATTAGCCAACATCTCGGCGAAGCTTTGATCAAAGCTTTCCACCAAATCGAGAGGAAGATCGCAGTAGCCTGGTAGAATCGACCATATCTGCTGTACCACTGTTTCGAAAACCTTGATCTCCATTGTCTTCTCTGCATTGCCGTGTTCGATAACTTTCTGGAACATGACCTCGCTGAGAGGCACCATCTCGGCTCTGAAATGCGCCAGCTTTGTGTTGTGTACGGAGTCGCGGAGAAGAGGAAGCAGCCAAACTCTACCCTGTTGGCCTGGCGGCGGTCTCGGTAGGTTCAGTGGCAGCACTTCAAGTACAACATCCGGACCCATTGCAGCGATCGCTCTCGAAATAACAGCGTCTGCCTCCTTTTTACCAGAGAAAGATTCGTTGCTTCTCAGCTCGCCCACAATTTTGAGCACCGGCTTGAAAATGGGGTCCGCGCGCCATCTAAGCCCCTCAAACATTGCGCACAACATGTTGAAGACTTCCATCCACGCCGCCTGGTACTTCACACTCAAAAGCTCTTGCGCCGTCTTGGCCACCTTCTCCAGTATCTTCTCGTCGTAAATGGACGGCTCCAAAATCACACTATCGGGTATCAAATTCACAATGAAAGAAATCAAACATTCGGAGGCGGAGATGCGGATATTGTGGGAAGGCGATTCGAGGAACGAGGACACCATGGTAAATAGATCGGGAAGTTTCATGAAAGTGTCTTCGGGTTCGAGTTGAGCGGCGACTTCGTAGCCACGTGAAATGACCGCTATCCAAGGAGGTAGGAGTTGTGTGTCGTTCTTCGAGGGCTGCAATTCCGAAATGACTTCCAGAAGTCGAGGCAACTTCGCCGAAGAAACTTCGTCCGCCATACCGGCGAAGATAACCTCGAAGATCTCGAATGCCGCCATGGTGAGATACTCGCTGCTTGACCGGGAAATATTGAGCAGAAGTTCACACAAAATATCCGTTTTCCGACTCGGCCAGCCGCCAGACGTAGATGCCACTGTCTTAATCAAATGCAAAGCGTGAATCAGACCAGGCTCATTGCTTTGCGCCTCCTTCCTCTTCTTCTGACTCTGGGTCTTGCCCGCAGCCTCCGCGATATCATTCAGCATCTTCAATGCAGTCTCGGCGCACATATCCGCAGCAGGGTGGTCCAACGACGGACTTGGAGGTCCGTTGCTCAAAACCTTTGCTAAAGCCTCCTGCGCCCTCTTCCTCACTTTAGGTCGCTGGTCTACGGCGATTTGCAATAGTCCCGCTACAGCCCTGCGCGGACTGATTTGGGTCTGTGGTAGTTCCCAAGCCCGCGCATCCTGTACCACCAACAAGCTCTCTAAGCAGCCAATCGAAGATCGGAGGAGCGGCGCTTCTGCATCGGAGTGGGTGAGCGCAGGGGCGAGGCTCGTAAGGATTTCGGTGAATTTGGAGCGGAGGAGTGGGGCGGGGACATGAGGTGTAACGAGGTCGAGGAGGTAGATAACTGAGGTCGCTGTGTCTTTGTTTGCTATACCGTCGCTAGAGACCTGCCGTGCTAGCAGTGAAAGCAGCGCGGCGAAATATGCGGTGGGGGTGAATTCTGAGCCCTGTTGCTTGAGCGTCTCTTCAATGGCGGAGAGCACCACAGCATTCTGCGCAGCATTAGTATTTTTACATGGCGCGAAATCTGTGATGATTGCATACTTGCTGCTGATTTTGAAGTTTGGGCGAGTCCCGCACTTTACTCAGCCTCTCTTCGAGTGACATCTTGGGCAACTTGACTTTCGTGTTGACGTGTGATGCGCCTATGCGAAAGATAAAAAGTTCGCGCACAAAACTCCAAACTATTTTTTGCCAGGATTGACCGCCCCGCGGCGATCGATAAGATAAGCAAACAGCCACGTGATTCAGCTTGGCACGAAATGCTCATTACAATCCCGTAGATCGACGTACAAGACTGCACACCAAAAGCTCTAGATTGATAACAAAACCTGTCAGAATATATTATATTACGATGGACGCAATAAGGTTTTTCTACGCAAAAGCAACAAACTATATCAAATCTGCGGGTATAAACATCCCCCGACCGACTCATGCGTACATGTAGCCAGAAGAGAGAATATGGCAACGATGATAATACAGATAAACAAGAAGAACAAGATCCGCGGCGTGACCTCCAATATCCAAAATGTGATCAAACCGTGGGAACAAATTCCAAACGACTTTCACCACCCTTCGTGTTCCCACCTGCTCCAAGCTAAATATCATTCGCAACCCGCCTAACCCGAACTCATCAGACTGGTATACCCAACCCATCTCCATCAGTTTTCCCACTGGTATTCCGGCCCCGCCCTGGAGCATGTACAAAATGAAGAAGATATTTGAAGGTATTAAAAGGAGACAGAGAAAGAGAAGAATAAAGAACCTTTTCGATGTGACCAGGTATAGAAGAAGAAAGTCCGTATGAATCCGACCTTCTCGAAATGCATCCGAAGCCGAAATACAAAATAACGAGTATTAGTACGGCTAAACATATGTACCGCTGGACTGCGCGAAGGGGAATAAGAACAAAGAAGAAAAAGAAGGAACGTTGATGACCGAAGGGGAGTCAGCAGAGGAAAGAAGATCAAATGCCCTTTACTCCTCAGCTAGAGCACCATCGAGGCGACCTTTGAAACTGGTTTTGCTCTTCTTCTTTCCCATACTCATGAAACTAAGCCGCTTCTTCATGCTGTTTCCCATGCTCTGTTGGATGGTTTTATCACTCTTTGCGCTCTTAGTGCTTTTGCCAGTCTGCGGTCGACCATCGATGCTCTGGCCCCGGCTCTGTGCCAATGCAAGGCTGTGCTGGCTCATCGAGTTTGGGAAAGTAGGCAAAGCCTCAGGAGTCGGAGAGGTGGCGTTGAGGAGACTCAAGCTCAGACGATTCTTGGCTGTGTCTTTACTGTGGCTGCGAGATGATGCGGTAGTGGAGGTATCGCGCTCTTTGTCCTTGTCTGGCTTCGTCGCCTCGTCGTCAGCTTTATTGAAAAAGCTAAGGCTCAATCGTTTCTTGTCCTGGCGAGTCGGTCGTGGCTCAGGAACAGGCGAATTCACTCTTGCCCCGCCATTGATCTGTGGGGTATTGTTTGGTGGAGTTACGTTGCGCGAAGGAGACGTTGCCGCTGCAAGCCACGACCCAGTGGGTGAACGTGGTAGTGCTGGCAGCATAGCTGGTGCGAGATGAGCCAACTCTTGGCTAAACGCATTTTCAAGTCCTAAATCCTCGTTAGTTCTGAGCGTAAAATGTGAAGGGGGGTATTTACGTTGTGTAAGATCTGCCTTGGTAGCATGCTGGGCAGGCCTTGTGTACAGCGTTAGACAGCGTCGAATGGTCAGAGCATAATCCGTCAGTGCAACCTTGAGTGCATTCTCTAGGACAATGACATCGTGGGGTTTGTCCAGCTCTTCAATCGAACCAACGGAATTCCGAAGGGGTTCAGGAAGTAGTGAATGGTAATTTGCAACGCTCGAATCTTGAGTGGTGTCGACGGCAAACATCAGCTCTTGAGTCAACGTGGTGAAGATTGAGCTCTCTCCGGTTGTAGCTTTCTTCTCGAGGGCAGAGAGCTCGATGGTTTTGCGATTCGTCCGTTCGATAGCATTTTGCAGCGGTGACAATTTCACGGTTGCCACTCCAACGATCTCGCTTCTACGAAGTATCGTAGGGAACGTTTCTGACGTTGTATATACTGTCTTCTCGATCGTGGCTTCGTCAGACGACCTCTCGGAGGCTGCGCGGCGTGACGCGGAGGTGAATATGCTGGGCCTTGAGAGAAGGTAATGATCACGGATGGCTTGTACAACCTTGGCACGTTGGTAGATTGGATGCGCAAGGTCCTTCTGTGGGCTCACAGGAAATATCTGCAGATACTGGCCTTCGACGTCTTGTTCCATTCCGCTAGACAGGATCTGGGCAGCGGGATGTTGCTGCTGCATTCTGTCGATGAATGTGGCCAGTCTGTCGTACGGTGACCCTTCGAAGATGAACTGTTTGTCCCGCAGACTGACTGGAAATCCCAATCCAGTGTAAACGACTCTGAAGTATCTGTGGTTAAGTCGGTCGCCCTTCGAAATTCTCTCATAGATTTTTGCCATTGCATGTTGCGTTCTGGCCAACTTCGCGAAATCGAAAATATTATGCTCATATTGCGTCGCAAGCTCCTGGTATGTGCCGAGCGCGTCACCCCATGACTGTCCGCTTTCGTAGTTTTCGATCATCTGGAAATACAGTTGCTCCTTCCGTTCGAATGATGTCTGTGCTGGGAAGTCCGGTTCGACAAGTGGATCAACAACATTGGTAGGGTCCCATTCGTAGAGTTCGGCATGCAATCGAAGTGCTAATCCAGCCTCTGTGAAGTTCTGAGCGTTAGTTTGAAGCTCAACGAGCTGGTGCACGTAGCGAATATATATATCCTCCTTTTGCATGTCCTTGAGGAATTCCATCAAATGGAGGGTATCCATTATATGAAATGTTTCGCCAGCAGCCTCTGCGCTATGGACGGCAACCAGTAGATCAAGCAGCTCGTCTAGGGTCGTTATGAGATCTTTGACTGCAAGGAACAAAGGGTCGTCCGGGTCGTGAGCCAAGGGCTCGAATAGGTCGATGAGTTCCTTGATAAAGCTCTTTTGCAGAACAGCTTCAGTAAGATGTTTCGACTTGAAAAGATGATCAAGGCAATCGATCATCTCGGCCTGAATCAATGAGAGGTCTTCGCTCAGGGTCCACTCGCTGACTATCATGGTTTGCAGTACTTCAATAGCAACGCTTCGCAGGCCTTCGTGGACACTTAGGCACAACTCTACGATAGGTGCTACTAAGCCTGGGACGTATTGCACTTGGAAACCACCCATCTTCTCCAAGCCATACTGTTTCTTGTCGTCTGGGCTCGTCTCCCATCCAATAGCCTCCCAGCTGCGCTGTAGCAAATCTGCTCCCAACTCGCGAACATCTCCAGCAATCTTCCATACCGCACGACGCTTCTGCTCTGGAAAGGTCTCCAGCGCCAACGCATCACTGCCGACGAGTTTCAACAGAGTATCGAAAAAGGCACGCCACAGATCGGTACTGAATTGATCCGCTTCGTCCGGGTGAGGAAGGAATGAGTCCATTAGGATACTGGACAGTTTTTCTAATGTACGCATCGTAGCTTTATGATGGAAGATGTGTACACTCAACCACGAGCTTGGGAATGCTTCGCCATCGAGTATCGACATGTACACTTGCAAGGTAGAGAGCAAGAAACTCTCAATGTCATCTTTGGGCCAATCGAGGTGGATGATGGATGGGAGATTGGACATTGCCGAGAGCACTGCTGAGATCTCAACGAGAGCTTCATCGAAAACAGTCTGTGTTGTGGTAGGCCGCGAAGGAAATGGGTATGATGTAGGGAACAGAAGTGAAAGGCTGTTCTTCGCTGGTCTGGACGTGGATTGAATGCATCGGTACGATTCCACCAGTTTTGGAAAGTACTCGCACGCTTCTTGCCCAAGCTCTTCCACTTGAGAAGCGACTACCGAACAACAGAGTCTTACTTGATCCTTCCATTGATCAGTGACCGTCTCAACACTACCCCAATGCGGCGCAAGCCATTTGACCGTGCTTGAGAGGAGTACACGTCGAATGTCTGGTTCCTTGAAGATACTCAAATCGGTGAGATGATGAATCAGCAACAGTTTATACAGTACCAACTTGCCCTGCACAGAAGAGCACGATTCCACGAAACTTGAAGTCAACCTCAAGATCTCTGTGGATGACATCGAAGGCGAGAGTTCCGGTAGCCATGTGTGGAAGTTCTGAACCAATATCGTCTTTGTTCCAATCAACACCGCAGATGGGTTGCTCATGAGAAGGTCCAGCGACTTGAATATCGAGTGTAGATCTTTCGTGAACGTAGGCTGCCTTGTTGTGATTCCGATGCCGGCTTCCTTCTCTTTTTGTTGCTGCCGTGCATTGATGATGAACTTGAGAATATGTCTTCCGACCTTGAAAGTGGCTCGGAGGCGTCGCGACGACTCGGGGTCCGAAGGGCTGGTCAAGAGTCGAGTGTAACTTCGTACCAAGCAGGCAGTTGCAAACGGATAGTTGAATTTTGTTTCGGCGTATTGATCCACGAGAGGCCCCAGATTGAACCGACGATCATGGACGATGCCCAAAACAATCACAATAGCGTTGAACACTAGATCCTCATACTCGTCACTGCCGGCATATTCTACTAGAACCTCGAAAAGCGCATCAAAAACTTCATTCAGAAGTTTTACAATCTCGATCTCTGGGACGTAGCGGAACCTTTTCAGTAGCCCTACCAGTTCGTTGCCTGCTTGCTCTTTCCATCTTAAAAGGCCGAGTAGGTCAGGATCTTGTGAGTATTTGGTGCTGCAAAGATATGTGTGCAGATGTAACTGGGCCACCGGTCCCATGACTTGGTCGTCCCCTTTCTTGATGCTCCAGGGTAGACCGAGATACGCTCCTTTGCCTTTGATCATGCTCGAAGTGTATTGGTCGTATTGGTACATGCAGAGTGTCTTTCCGCTGTCTCGTACAAAAGCATTATTCTCCCACAAAGGCATCCAGCACAACGCGAACGGGAATTCGGGCGCGTCAGCTACGCTCATTACTATGTGTGAGCCAGGAACATCTTCGGGTTCAATGGCCAGTCGAATTGTGTGATTCCACTTTTCGCCTCGTTCTACAGCAGTGGTTCGCCATGCTGTGTGTCCGGCACTGTTAGTCGATGGGTATATGCAGCCTTCAATTCGTTCGCCAGAGGCCTTCCGGACTTCAATAGTCAACTGTAAGTTGTTCATTGGGGACGTAACTGCAAGGGGTATCGTCCCGGTCTTAGGGTGCGAAAGGAGGCAACTCCGGGGCATGAAGGCTTCGACTAGTGTAAGGTAGATATCGCTTCGGGGTTTTGTTGGTGCTCCCGAAAACCCGATCTTGCGTGTCTGTCGAATATTGTGGAGAAGAGTTGGAGTTTTCTCTATCAACGATTCCGCATCAGGATCAGCAAATGCTTTCAGATGGACTGATACACGATTCATCTGCGGATGCTTTCTGTATCGTCCGCTCGCACTCGGGTAGATTTCGTAGAGGATGTCCTCCCAACCCGCCTCTTCCTCAGCCACTTCATCGTGCGATCCAGAAACACTCCAGAGAGTCACGGCCTGTTCGATTTCCGCCTGACTCTGCATGAGCTGATCTACTCGTAGAATGCCAGCTGCTACCGCCCTTTTCAATGTTTTCTGGTCTTTTGGATTGCTTTTGACCTTGGTCATGCTGGTTCCGGGGCGACTGTCAGACCCCTTGTCCCGAGTGGCGTCAATGCTTCCGGCGCGTATTTCGGTGGACCCGTTGGAGGAATGGTTTGCTTCTTTACGTTTGGAGCCAAACATGGCACTTCGGCGGCCTTTGAGACTCCCAAATTGCGACGCTTGTATGCTAGTCCCGTTGGTGGGGTTGAACTCTTTTGCAATGTTCTTGTCGGCTGTGCTGGAATGAATTGCCGGTTCGTTTGTCAGGAGTTTGAAGACAAGATATAAGCTGGAGCCAGAACCGGCTCCTTCGCCAATATCCGTCGAGCTCAGGTCCACAAACAATGCCCGAAGTTTGTCACTGGAGAAAGGTACCGGCGAACCGTCGCGAGCGGTAAGATCGAAGGAGTATGCTTCCGACAGCGGCACTGGTGCCTCGCCTGGGACTTTGACACAAAGATGCATGCTCACTTGGGGGTTTCCTTGTGTCACATCGCCCACAATCTGCTTCAGGTTTACATATAGATGATGCATCTTGTGCTCGTCCACGTGAGGGACAGGTCGGCCTTCCAGCAAACTCATCATAGATTGTAGCTTGGTGATCTCGATGGCAGAATCGTCCCCCGTCAGTATCCGACCACGCTGAGAAGGATTGCGCACGATGACATCTCCGGACAGCATTTTGTTTCCTGCAACCAAGTCCCAGACGGTCGCTTCACGCACTCTCTCGAGTTCCTTTGCAGTCAGGACCTTGTGCAACAGCTGCCGTCGGGCAGTATCCAGGCGAGTGACGAGGGCCGACATCTTGTCCAAGGCACTGTATTTCCTAGCCAGCAACAGCTCGTGCAGTTTGGTGGAATGCCATTCTCTCAGACAGGATGCAATCTCGTCGACCAATGGCTCTTGAGCCGACGTGGGCGTCTCATCACCGATCTTGAGCATAGGCACGGGGGCAAGCGGTCGGGGGACGTTTGGGTCGCGCGGGAGGGGGGAAACGGGCGAGAGGGGCAGGGCGAGCTGTTGCAGATGGTCGGAACGGGCAGTCCATTGGGAGCCCTGGCTGCCAGCGCGCTTCTTGGTGGATTTCCGCCGCGAAAGGGGTCGGCCCGCTGAGGATGGCAGGACGGAAACCGAGTCTGTCTTGGATGCTCTTCTGGCATGCTGTGAGCTGGACTTTGCAGCTGCCGAGGGCGATGCGTTGGGGCTGTCCGAAGGGGTGAAGGCGTGGCCATTGGTGGCATGGCCGTTGACATGGTCGCCATGAGTTTCGGACGGTGGGGGTGACAGCTCAGGCCCGTCGGGGAGGGTGGGTGTGGTCTTTCCCTCACCCAGAACCTCACGCACATCGACGCAGCAGCGAGGGAAGATGCCGGAGAAGACGCGTGCCTCGAGGGTCTGGCCCTTGACGCTGGTCAAGCCGGCCAGCAGAGAGGGCGGCGCAACCAAGTAGCCACGGTACCAGGCACCATCCTTCCCTCCTTGCTCGATTATGTACAGCTCGTCGCCAATTTCAAGCGGAAGGTCGGCAGTCGATGTGGGCTGGAAGGGATATATGCATACTGCGAATGCGATTCGCGGGAGCGGTCTCCAGCCAGGCATAGCACTACTGTGGGCGCGCGGGCATCACGAGAATACACGCAGGAATAAGAAAGCAAGGGCGGGCGGCGGAATTCGAAAGCGTGGCGAGCGGCGGGATCAATGTGCGCAGGTTCTGAGCAGGAATCGGGTGTGAGTGGGTGGGGGAGTGGATGAGTATGTATGTATGTATGTATGTGCTTGTGTGTGTGCTGTGTTGATTGTTGTGCCCCTGATAGCGTCGTTGTGCGGAGCGGAGGTGCGTCTTTCTAGACTGGACTGGACTGGGGGGGAGGGTGGATTTTGGACGGTACGCAGTTAATGTCAATTGGTAGTCGTTAGTGTCCCAATCACCGCAGTAGCTTATTATGTATGTGTGTATGTATGTATGAATGAATGAAAGTATGTTATGTATGTAGGGACAATGGCGATGGGGGGGATGCAGGATGGGACGCCAAAACGGCTGGAAAAAGAACAGATGGCTGCTGCTCGTGGCACGCGTGTTGTTGATATTGTCGACTGCAGCAATGTTGGCCCGTCATCTCCCCCAGCTGTCCCTCACAGGAGAAAAAAAACAAAAAAACGTCAAGTCGTTCCTGCAGCCGCGCACGGGCGTGGGCGCGCCCAGAGTCGGGGGGCACTTTGCTGGTGCTGGCTGATGTCTTCGTCTACAGCCAGTTACGTGTCTCAGCTGCTGTGCTGCCGCTGTAGTGTACGCGTTTCATCGGATTGGCCGTTTCGCCATGCTCGCTGTCTGGATCAATCGCCGCCCATCACGAGTCTGCCACCAAGCCGCCTTCTCCGCTGGCTATCGACGACGATGGATGCATGTTTTTTTTTGGGGTACATCAAAACAACAAGGATGCACGACAATGGCGGCCGCTCCTCACTTACTCACCTACCTCGTCCATCTACCGATCGGCACGGAAATTATTCTCTGCCCTATCTGCCACGCCGTCCCAGTTCCCCCTAGCCGTTCCTAGTCCAAGGGAAACCCTCGTCGGAGAATCCGGATGCGCATTAATGCCTTCCACCCCATGAGCAATCATCTTAACACCGTATGCTATAGGCCTCTACTTGGCCATGTGTACCCTGAACATCAATCCACGCCCCCGGGTACCACCTCCAAATCCCTCAATCCGAAACCTGAGTAACAGCGCCAGCAAACACTCCGACAAACGTCTCAAAGCCTTCGCGCACCACCTGGCACAACGGCATCTGCGAACGAAAAAAGAGGGTACATAGGTATCCACAGACTAAGCATGACTCAGGAATTGATAGTCCATCGTATGTTGTTGCTTGCTGCTTACCACTTGTGGACGTCTGGCCAAATACCTAAATCTACAATTATCCTCGACACTTTCTTCCTCGCTGGGCTGAACAGCCGAGACAGACATGTGAGAGAGGGCGGTACACAGCTACATTGCTTCCATCACACAAACATGTCACTCCTGTTATTATATAACATGTATTATCAAGATACATTATGCTATTATACACAAAATGTAGTAGCCCGATATGATGCTGACCTCAGCGGTCCATGTTCCTCACACCACGTCTTGCTTCCTCGTCCCTTGAAAGTCCCTCCTCATAACACCCCCTTATCAAATCTTCCCCTCGACCAACGTTTTACCGTGTCGTACAGCGACACCCGTCCTTCTTCCGTTCGATAGCGCTCGCTGTGCATCGCATAAACTGCGGTGCAGCAACCTGCTTACGCGTGTCAACGGCATTTTTCGCTCGTGGCACTGTGTGCGACGCCTTGCAATGCAGTCGTTGTAATTGGCCCCAAGCGTGTTGGTGGTTTGTTGGTCAGGCCTCCCAGGATGGCCATGGTAATGTCGTATGAGATTCCAAGGAAAGCGAAGAAAGAAAGAAAGAAAGCGAGCAGGCACTTCCTTCTTCCTCTTCGTCCCCTTCTTCTTTTCTTTTCTTTTCGTTCATGTTCAACCCAGGCCCTGCAAGATTCCAAATCCTAGTGCCACCAGCGTGAGGCACCACATCCATGGAACAGGGGCAGCACCCTGTGTTGCAGCCGAATGCTTGGGGCCGATGACTCCTATTCCTCCGCCCTTCTGCGGTCCGCTTGGTGTTGATGGTTGGGTTTGTGCAGCACTATGGTGAACAGTCAGCATCCGCGTCAACCCTACAATGTAGAGAGAGAAGAAGGGGGGCTAAAAAATCGAAAGAAGGGGTAAAACGTACGCAATCGTCATTTGCAAATGCATGTCCGAAATAACACCACATCGGTCCAGCTCCGACTTTGGCACCGATTCCATTGTAACCACGTTGCTGTCGTTGAAGAGCATCCACTCGGCCTTCTCCACGCCAAAGACTTCCCACTTGGGAGTCGAGAACTGCGGCTCAGCCCCGGTGAAGGTACTAGGATATTTGTTGGGGTCGAAAGATCGGATGAATGACACCCAGTAAGCTTGAATAAATTGACTGGGCGCGCTGGATCCACCACCCCATACAGAGCCCAACTCTTCGACGTGCAGCGCCTTGCCCACATTCCAACGGTATTGATAGGTAGGAGCCGTTCCGTTTTCGGCGAAGGAAGCGGAAAAGTTGAGACCGGGACAGTTGTATCGGATGTGGCCATATATATCTGCTGCTGTGTTTCTCCACGAGGGATCTTTGTTGGCGTCCTTGGGGCCACCCCACACGGCTTGGACAGCTTCTTGATCTTTCGGGTCCAAGCTGGGGAATTGATCCGCGATGAACGTGTAAGCCAATTTCTTCGACATGACCGATTTACCCGTGAAACCCAGGCCTTCGTTTGTCGTGTCGCCGATGATGGTCGGGACTTTGAGAAAGTTGTTGTTTTGGAACTCGTTGTATGTGTAGTCCTTGACGAAGTCCCTGTCCAGTGTTGGGTTCCAGAAGAAAATGGGTGGGTTTTGAGCGCCGGGGTAGGGTTTCTTCAAGTCCCGTGCGGCTTTCTGGAAAGTCACGGCATCCAGATTGATCAAACAGTTGAAGTCGGCGCACCCTGATTGTTTCAGCAGAGCATCGTACTGCCATTGGCTTTCGTTAACGTCCCGAATGGGCGGTGTCGCTGGGGATTCTGCGATGGCTCCTTGGATCAGTTTGTCGTCTCTGCCACCATACGCTGTGAGCTGGAACATGACAGAACCAGCTCCCGCACTTGCACCTCCCAAGGTAACGTGATTTGGATCTCCTCCAAACTGCCCATGAAATCAGCATGCGAAGTCTCGTCTAATATAATGTGGAGCAGACGCACCTTGCTAATGTGAGTGTTCACCCACTTCAGCAACTGACGTTGGTCCTTCAGCCCGTTGTTCAAACTCAGAGTGTTGTTCTCGAGAAACTCTTTGCTGGCAAGGAAACCGTAGGGTCCGACCCTATAGTTGAAGTTCACAACAATCATGTTGTTATCGGCAGCCTTGATCAACTTGGTGCCATCGTAGTTGGGATTGCCGTTGGCGCAAAAGCCACCGCCTTGAATGAAAACATAGACTGGCAGTTTGCTGTCGGCAGTCGCGTTGGTCGGAGCCCAAACATTGGCGAACAAGCAATCTTCCGAAACTTTGGGATCAAACTCATCGGTAAGCTTGGTATCGGTGCCTATACAAATAGCGCCGAACTGGACAGGGTGAATAGATCAGCGTTTGACTTTGATGGAGATGTTACTGGTCCAGCTCTATCTTACCTGGGTTGCGTTGACAACGCCTTGTACAGGTTGTGGGTCCTGAGGAGCAGCAAATCGCATGCCATCCACCCGCGAAGGGTTGCGCGCATACCGCATTCCAGCCCAAACAGACACTCCATCACTCGAGTTACCGCGATACTTGGCATAGCCAAGATCCACGACCGTCTCTACAGAGACAATCTGTCCAACGCACAAGGCGAGAATAAGGAAAAAGAAAGACACAGGCATGTCTCTAGATTAGAAGTCTCCGAGAAAGGGAGAGGTGCGAAATGGTCGGAAATGGGAGAAGGTGAAGTGGCAGTAGCCCTGATCAAAGTCAAGAGCGCTGCAAGACAGAATGACGTGAACCAAGCTGTTGACTGAAACCGATGGATATAAAAAAGAACGGGAGACGACGGCTGCGAGTGAAACGAAAGAGTGGAGATGACTCGGTGTTAGTGAGGAATGAGTCGCTGCGAATGCATGGTGGTACTAATAGATGGTCATGTTCTGTATCTTTAGGGATTTGTCAGTTCCACGATCCCACGTCCATATAGCTCTCAAGAGGCATTTACTAAAGAGAGACTTGACAAGCACAGATATAGGACGGACTCACTCTGGCCGAAGAAGAAAAAAGAAGGAAAGCAAGGAAATAACAAGGGAATAACCTGAAGAAGCGCCACGGTGCCTCCGTGTGGCCGCGACGGCGGACTTTAAAACATGAACTATTGAAGGCAGAGGGTACCACGCCGCCCTCTCCAAGCTGCAAGTAGACGTGTGGTAGAGGCTAAGCCTCACTCCCTCCCCCATGTCCCCGTGGCTACGAAGCAAAAGCCTTTGACCTCCGCCCCCCAAACGCCGCAGCGCTTGGGCGTCGAAGGCATGGAATGGGGGATGCGAGGTCGTCGACGTGCTGCTGAGCTGTGCACCCTTAGCGAGTCGAGACCCTGGCTGTCCAACGGCGGCGGGTGATTGGGCCAAATGCCCCTTTTGTGCTTACCCGTTCAAAACACGCTACCAATACGCCGAACGGCGTCTGCCTGACCCTGCGACGTTAGCGCATGAGTATGCCCTCATTCCGGGTTTTTATTATCTCGGAATACCTATGCTGCAACCCCAATTCATCCAGTGTACGTCGGTCGTATGAGAATACATGCTGGCAGACGGGGAAGAAAGAGGAGAGAGGCTGCAGTTTCCTTTTCCCAAAGACAAAAAGTGGATGAAACCGTCAGAGTGCGGTTTCCACTTCCTTGCAGGGCCATGTTTCTCGCGTGCGTTAACCTTCCTCACGATCTACGCATCGGAATGATCTCCAAATCCACCCTGTTTAGACTTGCAGTCTCGACCGGGAGCCCAAATTGTGACCAAGCGTACATGTATTCTACAAGTAGCGCCACCGCGGTGCGCGGACACCGAAACTCGAACAACGCCGTACGTCGGGGCTGGCATCAACACCACGCGCTGCATACTGCACTCACTGTGCTCGTGCTATCTCAGCCCCCTTCACCGGCATCTGGATGCTGCTAGCTGACGTCCGCCGCCTATAAGAATTCCCTCAATATCCAATGAGCTACGCCGCAACGTTTCCATAAATACGGATTACGCACATTAGCGCAGCTGAGAGGCTGGAAACTTGCGTGTGAATGGTATGCGGGCGGACATTTTCTATGGCAGGGTGATTGGTTGGAGGGGTGGTCGGTAAATTGCTTGAAGCTGTAGGGGAGCCTGGGAGGATGGAGGGACTATTGGGGAGTGCTGATTTCGTGACTTGACTTTCGATGGATGGATGGATTGATTCCCTCGAATATCACTACGCGACGCCACCTTTGTTGTCAGTGGTTGCTGAGCTGGAGTCTGGAGGCTGAGCCTCAAGCGCGGGACGATTAATTCACTCAATATCGGTCCTACTTCGTAGCTTCGTCCCAAAAAGGTTGCAAGAATGATTGTCTCGATGATCCTCGGAAGGGCAGTGACGAGTATTCGCACATTTTTGTTCTTGGGGTGCACGCTGCAGACGTGCAGTGCAGTACCAAGCAGAAAACAGCCTGAGCGGACGCGGTTTGGTGTGGTGTAGATTGCATTTATCCCCACCAACATGAAATCCTGCCCTCCCTTGATAAAACAGTGCCTTGCAACAGACCGACCGGCACTTGAAGAAGAGTCCATTGAATGCTGTGATGTGTTGTTATTGTTATTGTCGCATTAATTAATCAAAATGTACAACTCCGGTGACAACGTTTGAAAGTTGCCGTCAAGTGGTGGTGATAAAGACCTAAAAAGGAGGTGATGCGCTAGCTTAGTGAAAGTCAGTACTACTTTCGATGGTTATCCGGAAAACTGCCTAAATAGGAAGGTTGAGCACTAGCACTACAGAAATATATTCACCACAGCCAAAGTAACACCAACGACAATGACAGAATCAATGATACGATACCTTCGCAGTAACGTAATGCTCGCGTGGTATATACCCTTCTACTTTATTCCAACAAATATATATTGTAGCGCATGCACTTCTATTCCTGCATCACATAAACAGACTGAGGCGCTGCGGTGTAGTGCTGCGGTGAACCTCAGCCGGTAATCCACACCTTTCAACATACTTGCTCAATTAGGAAGGTTGCCAGAACACCAACACCAGCACGGCATAACGATCTCAGGACCAAAATGCCCTAATCCTCTACTTTCCTATTCTCTCGACTCTACAATCAATTTCTGAGAGGGGAAAAGAGCTGCACTCTGAAAACTATATTTGCGCATCGCATCAAAGAAGTGGTTAGGGAACATCATTGAAGAGCGAGAACATGGCTGCAGTGTTGAATAGCAGTGTGACTGAATCCGCGAACGCAAGTTGATCTTAAAGGCTTTCAACGGTTTTCCTCCAACCTTCCTAATTAGGCATGTTGATTCCTCAACACCAAAGGGTATTGGGCTACCGTCACCCACCCACCAGACCACCAACACTGTAGGAATGATGCGCGACACTATAATCTCTTGTATTTGTATGTCTACTGCAATGATAAAAAACTCTGTATTGCATTACACATCTTTCACTAGCTGCAGACAGTAGAACATACAGCCAATTGTGCGCAGGACAACTACCCATGCCCCCAACAATCCAAAGTTTTGAGACTGAGGAGGCAAGCGCCCAAAGTGGGTGGTGCGCAGCGGTGAAAGTAAGCAGTATTCGACACTTTTTGTGAGCGCTACTAGACCTGCCTATTCGGGTAGTTTGCTTGTTGCTGCACTAGTCTGTTTACAGTAATGACGACGGGGTAGAGCAAGCTAGAATCAACGGATTTTGGTAGATTACCCGATTAGGAAGGTTGAGACTATCGAAGCTTCTTTGTTGCGCAACGCGATTTCTTATGAGTTTTGAGTCTACTAAAATGTTGCTTCTGTTATTTGAGCCTGTTTTGATTAAAATTCTAAAGATTGATCTTGCACTCGTTGTCCTGCCCTCACCTGTAGATATAGCACATGTACATATATGTGTAGAGCAAGATTGCACATTGCATGAAGAGTGTACAGTTCAAGAACAGCAACGCACTGCACAAGAACAAGTCTTTCGAGCCCTCAGCTGTCGCAGAGATGGTACACAAACGGAACAGCCAAAAAAAATACCAGGATGTAAGGATTTATTACACACATACACATGCCAAACGCTGCACGCCGATATCAACTGCACCCTCTTCCACACCATGGATCTCGTCCAACACACTCATTCTTACCCCGTTACATTTTTCTCCCTACAGTTTTCTGACAATCAAAAATCCGTAACCCTCCCATTAAAACTATAATCCGAATGACTCCCCCACCTCAACGGCTCATTCTTGGGCCCCCCAACCTCCCCCGTCTTCGGATTAACATCTCCCTCAAACTCAGGCGGCGCGCCCCTCCGCATATTCGGATGGAACTCCTCGCCATCCCTAATCTTTGCACCACCCTCAATATTAATCTGCGCTCCGTCGCCGCCCTCCTTGCCCTCTCCTTGTGCTGACGAGGGACTCGAAGAGTCCGGTGACTGATTGATCCTAGCGCGGATGTCGAACGGTGAAGATGAGACCGTTGTTGAGGAAGAAGGCGAGGCGCTGGGTTCGAGGTCTCGTGGTGTGCTGAATGCGCCTGTGCTTTGGCGCTGGAGCTTTTCGAAGATTTCTTGTTCTTCTTTTGGGAGGCGTGGCGGTGAGGGCCCGCTGCCGAAGGGTGATGGGGGCGGCGCGTTGCTGCTGCTGCGCTGTGGAAGGGAGGTGCTGAAGAATGCTGAGGCGGCGTGGGTGAGTGTGGGTGTGCGGCGGCGTCGCGAGAGGTGGCGTGGGAGACGGGTGAGGGCAGTGCGCTGCATCTTTTGAAGGTATAATGGGAGAATTTAGATGGCTTATACGGTGTTGTAGTGAAGAGTCTTGCCTCCAATAAGGTTTGAAGTATGGGGAGGATAATGCGTATGTTGGTTTGGAGAAGAATGCGTTGAAAGTCGAGAGATTGCAAGGGAGCCGAGGCAGAAGGGGTTGGCTGACCAATCGGAGTGGCGACGGAGGTGCTTTCACTTCGACATAGACTTGCCACGACATGGACTCAATCGTTGCTATGACAATAGCTGAGTAACATATCTTGCTAGTATAATCTACTGCCTCCATCGGAACAAGTCAGTTGCAGTGTACGCCATATCGTTATTGTTGCTCAAATCACGGTCATTCCACCACCCACGTTCCAATCGCAACCAAGTATTCATAGGATATCATTGCTCAGTTCCTCCTTGAATACGGGGACGCCATCAAGCTCTTAATAGCAAGACTTGCACCCTGAAGAAAACCCGTGTAGAAAAGCCTTCCACTCTCAACGCCATGTTTTATCGTACAACAATGTACCAACCAGATACACCTACGCAATGAAGCCATCCGTCTCTGCCAGGTTGAGTGCGCTCCTCTTCGCATCCAAGAACAATCCTTGACACTCTTCTACATCTTGCTCCTCGATCGTACCATTCTGCCTGCCATTGACCTTGGCCAGAATACTAGCAGGAGAGAGCAATTGCAGCGCATAGCGTAAGCTGACCTTTTCACCCAATTCGCTAACCTTCGAGAGAGCACCTGGAGACATGTTGAGAGACTCGGTCTTTGTCCGCGTGCTGATGATGGTTTGGATTTCTGAGGGGGTGTATGCCTGTGTTGGGATGATCAAGAGACGAGCCAACAGGTCAGAAGGAATGCCGTGGGCGGACTTTGGCAGGTTAGATGCACCACGGATGTGTGTGAGACCGCGGTTGGATGCAAGAATGACGAGTGGAGATAGGGTGGACTCAAGGGCACGGTTAAGGAAAGTGAACGCTTCGAGATCGAGCATGTGGACCTGCTCACGTTAACGTTCAGCTCTTGGGAAGCGAATATACACCGGCTTACCTCGTCAATGAAGAGCACACCAGGGACCAGTTCAGCAACACCCTGATCGATGTACTTGCTGACCACCTTGTTGATCTCTAACCGCAATTTCTCAGTAATCTCCGTCTTCTTTGGCTTCATCAACTGGCCCATCATGCTCATGATATCCTGTCCACCCTGGGGTCTCGCATTCGCGACATCCAAGTCATGAAGCGTAACATCTTGGACAATCTCTTTCTTCTTGTGAACGTCGCCCTTTGGTATCGGCACATACTCTTCAGCCTCGAGGTCAAATTCAGTGGCATATGCGTCTGACCGTCCAACACGCTTCACCGCGCCAGTGTTGGCTTCGATGTAGATGACATCTCCAAGGCGAACACGCTCTTTTTGAATTGCTTCGTATATGGAAGGGTCGAGACGCAATTTCTTCGTTCCACGAGTAGCCTTCAGGGTGATCATGAGATGCGATATCGTGCGTCCGTAGCCACCTAGAGGGTTTTCCGCCTCTTCGGGTGTGAGCTCTGTCACTTCGCCCTCGTAGACTTCCTTTGTTTCCTTTACACGAAGACCTAGCGACAAATGTCAGCTGGAACAGTGCCTTCGATGAACTTGGTCTACAGTCCGCTTCAACAGACTGTTGCAGTTACAAGATATCTCTGTCGAGGAATGTGCATGCGCTAGTATGTAATCGACGCAAACTTACCGATTGCTCTCCGGAAGTTTTCCATCAGTGCCTCCGTCTTCTTGACTTCAGCCGAATAGATCTCGCTACCCACGATTGGGCAAAAGGGCACTTTCGTACCCAATTCCTGGCTCACTGCGAGCGCAAGAGCAGTCTTTCCCGTGCCTGGACCACCAGCCAATAGTACGGCGCGTCCTGACATCTTCTTAGCTTTTACGAGGTCGACAACCAAACCGCACGCCTGCGCGACAGTTAGCAAACGCAATTCCTTGGTGCAGCCTATGGGCAGCCAAATACCTCTCGGGCGGCGGCCTGTCCAATAAAACCTCCCCCAGAAGAATCGGCACGTCCATCGGTACCCTTCAAGCCCAGACCTTTGATATGTGAATGGGCGGCGGTCCTATTTTCACGCGTGTTGCTCTTCACTTCGCTGACGGGGACCGATGTGGCCATGGTGGTTGTCGCGCGCTGTCAATTCCTGGTAAGAAGCTGTCGCAGGGAACGGCGGTCGAGAGATTAGATGACGAGTTGGCAAACGGGCGGGAGTGCGGGTGGTGGACGCGTAGTTGAGTGATTGTTAGTCGGAGCTTGGCTTGAAGGTTGGGAGAACATTTACTAGCAGCTAGTTGATGGGTGATGGATGGAGCTCAGGGATGGTCCGTGCACGTGCGCCAACGACTCAAGCTGAGCCCTCGTGTGCCCGCTTGGGGTCGCCGGGCACACGGTGCACACCCACTTGACTCCACTCCTGCTTCTGTTCACCCTTCCCTTCTTCCAGGAGTGCTTGCTTCTTGCTCTGCTTGTCGCCTCACAGAGATTTCGATATCGGAAAAATTCGAGCGCACACTATGCAGCTATCGTCTCCCCCACCTCCTCTTTTCGCTGGCTTCGCCTTTGCTTGTCCCGTGGCCGCCATGCTCGACCGCTATCCGCCCCTCGATTCCGCGAACATGTACCACCGAAACAATCACTTGAACTCCTGAGCAAGAGTGTCTATACTACTCCCGGTATTCCTGCTGCCCTGCGCCGTCAAATTATTCTAATGCTAACACTCATCAAGCGCCTCAAACGTACCGATCAGCGACGTCTCTCGCATTGTTACCAGCTTTGTGGATCGGTACGCGACCCTCGACTCCTTTCACTTTAGAGTTCCGCAAGACCCTTCGAGTCTCGACAGACACGTTCCCACATCACGAAGCAGAACATGGACGAGATTCCAAACACAATACTATTCCTGTCCGCAACCAATTATGCGGATCTGAAGGAGAAAAATACTATCATACAGCCACATCGCTAAAACCATGCCGCTGCTCCACTGGCCATCAGATCCTTTACTGGTAGAGGACCTATGGAGACGCGGAGAAAAGAAAATCTCGTCAAATCGTAATCCTGTTTCCAGGCACGGCGCCATCACCCTGCCAAAGCAATATACACTCGTACCAGATTTGCGAGAGGCGCAGTCGCACCACAAAATATTTTACAGGCGTCTTAGGGGCGTTGGGAAGTCGATTCCAAGCTTGCCGTCAAGACGAATAAAACCGCCGACTTAAGATGCAGCACCAAAACTCGACCCACGGTCCAGCAAAACCAAAACCCACCAGTCCATGGATCTTGCAGAAGACAGCAGGCCTCAGGACCAGTGCCATCCCTCAGCGAAGACCAAGGATATACCGAGAAGAAGAGGACAGGCATTCTTCATGACGAGCGTGAGACGGTCATTTACGTTATCATACTTTCTCGTGGCAAACATTTCACAGGGCAGTATATCACTCCTCTTCACTCTCGGATGCACTAGACTCGTCTTCACTGGATTCTTCCTGGTTGGCTGAAGCGAAGTCAGTATCATGTCTTAGGGGGAATTCACCACAGGACATACCAGGCGGGGATTGGCTGGATCCAGACGCAGCTCCGTTGAAAGATTGCATCTTCTCCTGGATCCTGCGCAAGCTATCCTCCTGCTCGGTCTTGCCCATGGGTTTGTTCTTCTTGGGCCTACTAGCAGCCGCAGCCTTGTACGTGGGTCGCGGTGGATCATAATCATCATCGGCTACGGCATTCTTGGGACTCCGGATCGACTTGATGAACTTGAGAAGATCGCGCAGGGTGTCATCATTGATTTCATCCATGTCAATCTCCATCTCGTCATCATCCGCGCGCGCCAAATTAGGGCACCCATTCCTGATGATTTGGACGGCGCGTCTCATATCAGTGTCGCCCAAAGTGGTGATGCCATCGGAAATCTCCTGCTTCTGATTGTATGTGAGCGGGGCCGGCGCTTTCGTTCGCGCTTTGGTCTTCGCTGCCTTGGGTGGCGGAGGAACCGACAGTGGAGCATTCTTCCGTTTAGAAGGGACTTGCGGCTTAGATCCTGACTTCTTCTTGGACGAAGCCTTTGGAGATGCGCCCTTGCGTCGCTCCTGAATAAGCTGTTGCGCAGCTTCGGTCAACTGTGCAATCTGCTTCTGAAGAGCGAGATACTGGGCTTGCGCAGGATCTTCTTCTTCTTCATCTTCTTCCTCCTCATCTTCCGAAGAACCTGGGGACTGGGGAACGGCTTCAGGAGCATGCTGGGAAAGCCATTCCGACTTCTCTGCCCACAGACTGTTGAACAGCTCTTGGAACTGCTTGCCCATTTTATTCACCTCGTCTCCTTCGGGATTGAACTTGAAGCAGTTGTTGAAGACAAGCATGCAGTCATTGTGGAACTCCTTCGCACTCTGATACTGGCCCTCTTTCAACTGCTGTTCGATCGTACCAAAGTCCATTGGTTTCTTGATGATCTTCAGATAGGAAGGGATGTTAAGAGCAACGGGGTCTACGGGCGCCGTGAATGGGAATGAAATTGCCCGATATTTGGGCTTCATCAGTTCCGCCATGACACTTGCGCAAAACTTGATTTCATGCTGGTACTTCTTCTTCCTCGGCTTGCTATAAGGCAAGTCTTTGGGAGCAGGCCTGTGGATTTCACGTTTAGGACGACCATCCAGCGACTGGGATTCACGTCGGATCAACGGCACCCCGTCCTGAAGAGGCCAGACGGTGCCAGGTGATGTAGCAGTGGGCGTAGGAGCAGTGGGCGACTTTGCCGTGGTGGGGGCAACTCGAGACTCACGTCGAGCTTTGTTTGGGACGGCGGCAGTTGATGGCTTCTTCGTATGCTTGGATGCTTTTGCAGGTTCGTCGCCCTCACGCGGCAGTCTTTCAGTGCCCTTTAGGAAGTATGCCCTCATATTATATCCATTTTGCGTGATAGGATGGCTGCTCGAATTGAACAACTCGCTATTGGTGATGATCTGGTCCAAGTCCTCCATGAAATCCACCACCTTGGGGTACTTTGCCTCCTTCAATTTATTCTCAATCTTGGTGAGGTCCATGGGCTTCTTGACGATGTCATAGTAGGTAGGAATGTTGAGAGCCGCTGGATCGACGGGGTCCTTGAAGGCTACAGAGACTTTGATCTTCTTGGTGTTCCGGATTCTTTCAAGGAGGAATTTGCGTTGACCCTCTGTCATGGATGACGAAGGCCAGTCCTTGTAATTCACGGCGGTTTGGACAACTGACCCTCCTTGCGTAGATGTAGGCGTAGGAAGTGCCGCGGGAGCTGCAGCAGTACCATCGGACTGATCAGCGTTGTTGACTGCTGGTTTTACATCCGTCTTGGTATCTATTTCCATTGCCGGCTCAGTTTTCACGCGCTTTGCATCCCGCTCATCGTCGCGACCCTCCTCTGCATCGTCTTCGCGTGGCCGGACCTTTCCTGACGCAGGTGCATCCTCCATCTCATGGTCGACAGTGGCGGCAGGAGTGTGCGCCGCTGCCTGCTGCGTTTCCAGCGAAAGATCGGTCATGTTCTGCGTGGGAGGGGGATTAACGGCGGCGTCTTCCGCTTTTGTGGCGTCTGCAGCTTCTGGCGTGTCTTTCTTCTGATCCTGCGCATCGCTAACTGGCTCCAATTGCGTTTCCGGGACTTTTTGCGTGCTCTCGCTGGAGGACTGGGTAGTCGCTTCCGCAGATTGAATGGGAGCTTCGCGCACGTCAGACGTAGGAGCTTCTGCCGCATCCAACGTCGAAGTAATTCCGGCATCTGATCCAAACAAAGAGTTGTTGTCGTGTTGACCGCCAACAAAGTCGCCTACGCCATCGATTCCGCTCGACACATTGACGACAGGATCTACCGCTGGTGCAGCATCCACGGATTTGTGGAAGCCATTTGTGGTGGGTTCGGATTGCGCGGAGCCATCGTGATCGATGCCGTTGGTGCCATTGTGGACGCCATTCGTCTCGAGATCCATAGCCATGATACCGGTTCAGTAGTGTGTGATCGAAGTTGGGAAATATCTACTCGCATGCGGCCATGGACAAGTGTGGTGGCGGGCGGGACAGGTGGCAGGAGGCAAGAGGCGAGATGGAGGTGCGCACCCAATCGAAATTTGTGCAGATCTGTAGCGTTTTAGAATGTGTGGGTCTTGTGCGACTTGAGTCCAATTGTGCAACCAGCAGGTGGGCGGAGGGGCGGTGAAAGATGGATGGTGGTGTAGCGTGTCGCCAGAGTAAAAGACGGGCAGGGGAATGGCGAGGGTGAGAGGATGATGATAAATGATGCTACAGAGGCTGCGCCCAGTGGTACCACGTGACGTACCTGTGGTGGCGTACGACCTTTTGTATCAATGTTTACAACCAAGGACAGTCGGCGCAGCAATGAGTCAGAGAGATGAGGTCCAGCGGCAACGCGAGAGGTGGTGGCGGGGAGGTTGTGCGCGCGCGTACGGATTCAGATGAGGGCCTCTTGCATGCGCGCGACGTGTACAAGATGCAGCGCAAGCTTTCGCAGCAATAGACAAACCGGCGCGGATGGGCGCACGGATGCGGCAACGGCAGTGGCCCGTAGGTGAGCTGGTTGGGCAGGGAAGCGTATGAAAGCCGGGAAGGTGAGAGCGGGCGGGCGTCGCAAGGGCAATCGCAGGCAGGAGTTTTGGCGAGTGGGTGCAGAGGTGCAAACTGTGGGCGGGAGATGGATGGGCGATGTGATGGAGTCGAGGGAGGGTGGTGGTTGATTAGATGGCGGATAGGCTTGGAGGAGGTGGTGGGTGAAAGGTGGTCGAGTTGGCGGGGGTGACGGATTCGGAGCGGCGAGACGCGTTGATTGGGGGGGGCAGATCGGGAAAAGGTCAACAGAGCAGAGCGACGGGGAGAACGCCAGCTTTAAATTACCAGCCTGCTTGCCGCCAAGACATCAGGGGCTAACACCTTAACCTCGCAAGAGCCACCACTGTCCCAGGTCACGTGCCCGTCCTCCGCCTATCGAGTGCCACTGCCCTCTGCGCTCTGCCCTCGCCGCGCCTGCACTGCGCGTCATCCATCTGCTGCGAAGCCGTCTGGGTACCAGCCGGCGACGCACACGTTTCCTCGGGTGCACTGGTGTCCTCCGTATCCATCCACCTGTCGGCCAGACGCTACTTGCGACGCGCTTGAATATTTGCGCCGTGCCATAACCATCCCTGTCGCGGTCCGTGCGCATCCACCGGAACTTTTTGATTTTTTTTTTCGGTCTCCATTGGCCTGTCTCTTCTCAGAAGCCTCTCCAGGCAACAGACAAATCGTGCCCTCACCAGCACTCCTCTCCCACCCCATCTCGACCGACAGCTGTCCCTGCACGCTTCTCTCCCGCTGCAATGCCTGCCGTCGTAGCCTCGCGCCCCCGCGACTCCGCAAAAGCCGCGAAACCCGCCCGCGATGCCGTGCCTCCTGCCAAAAAAGCAAAGCTCTCCCAGTCCACTTCCTCTCCCCGCCAAAATGGTCTAAAGTCCTTGATCGCTGGCCAAAAACCTTCTGTTTCCGCCAAAACAAATGGCTCGAAGCTCGCCCGCAAAGACAAGGTCCAGGACGCGACCGCTACCGTCACCGGGGGTCATGCAGGTCATGGTGACGTCGACATGGCAGACGTGGGGGACCAGATCATCGAAATAAGTAGTGCCGAAGAAGAGAGCGAGTATTCGAGCTTGGACGAGCAAGATGAGGAAGCTGGAGCACAAGACGATACCGAATCAGCTGCCGCAGACGGTCCGGTGCGCGACAATGAAGCCAGCCCCGAGCCCGAAGACATGTCGTTTGGGGACCGTCTTCGTGCGCAAGCTCCTGACGGCATCGATCGCGCACCGCAAATTGTTGATGTTGAGTCCACCTTTGCCGGGCCCAATGCCGATTCCAGGGCGCTGGAGACAGCAACCATCAGTCAGCCACTCGCTGCACCATCCGCTACCTCGTTGGGCACTGTTCTCACCCAGGCGCTACGGACCAACGACCAAGAATTGCTCGACTCATGTTTGCGGGTAAACGACGTTGAAACTGTGTACGCTACCGTCGACCGTCTCCCATCCCCGCTGGTGGTAATCCTTCTACAAAAACTCGCTGAAAAGCTTCACAAACGACCTGGCCGTCCAGGCATGCTCATGGTCTGGGTGCAGTGGTCGCTCTCTGGCCACGGAAGCTATCTTGCGACTCAGCCGCAGCTCGTCAGGCAACTTGCAACCTTGAACAAAGTACTCAGGGAGCGAGCGAGTGGTTTGCAACCTTTGCTTGCCCTCAAAGGACGATTAGACATGCTGCACACACAGTTGGATATGAGGCGGAGAAACCAAAAGCGCGCCGCCAACGATGATATGGACGAAGCAGTCATATATGTGGAGGGCGAGGAGGACTCATCTTCTGCCGAGGACGACTCAGAGGATGAGGATGCCGACGACACTGCCACTGGAGGCAGAAAAAGATTGAGGCGAGGATCTTTGGGGGACGATGATAGCTCCGCCGACGATATGCCGACCACAATGGAAGTGCATGTCGATTCAGAGGGTAGCGAAGACTCCGAAGACATGATCGATGACGAAGCTGAGGAGACGGACGACGATACTGGCGATGAAGTCTCGGAAGAGATGGACGATGGTGACGAAGACGACGAAGACATCTCTGAAAGCGAGGACGATTCAAGACCGGCTAGGCGATCGACCGCAGGCCGTGCTGGTCTTTCCCGGCGGTCGTAATTCAGAATGGGACAAAAAGGTGTATCAATGTACCGTGTGTCGAGCAAAAGTGGACAGCTCTGTGGTATCAAATCAAGACTCTATGTTTGCGCATACGCAGCAAAATATGGGCCACTGGCGTTTTTGTAACTTAATACTCTTAGGCTCACGAGGATAGTCATGAGCCATGAGTACGGCGTTCGCAATTTCGGTTCTCCTTTCTTTCTTCTTGGCCGACAACAATCTGGTCCTCGCAATGGATCTGTGCATAGCATTGGAATAGACGAACGTTGACTGCTCTTCATTCATGACTCCAGTTGTCACACGTTTGTCCTTGTGATTCATCCAATAACGTGTCTCAGATACTGTTGATTTTCCGATTGTCTAAGTGCAAAGACACTTCACCACATACATTCGCACTGCTGCGCCTGTCCAACACATCCACCACCAATCCGATCCTAAAACATTCTTCTACCATGTTTCTCAATTATGCATCGTCTCCTTACTTACCTACCTCCCAGTTTTCAAGTTTGTCTCATATCGGTATATTTAAGATACAGCCATGCGCCCATCATTGCGAACACGCTACAAGCAATCCGCACCACCCAACACACCAATCTCCACAATGCCATCCTCAACCAACAACAATACCAGCGACCCTCCACAGACCCCCGCTCACGTCCACGAACTCAATGATAATCCCATTCTCTGGAGTCCCAGCCACTACCGACTGATCCGCACCTCAACCGGCGAACTCAGCATTCGCGCAGGCCCCCAGCCCTCTCTTACCCGCAGACAAACAACCCACGCACCCACATTCTCCCCCTCTCCATCCCCTTCTCCCTCGCCTCCCAAACTAATCCGTCAAGGCGCCATAAAACGCGCGGCTCAAACCGCACAAGCTACACACCGTTTATCCCTCCAGAACCACAGAAGCAGCCTTCCACGAACCCGTGAATCCGAAACAGAGTATGAAGAAGAGAACTACCAATTGAATACTCCACGTATCCGCCGCCTACCTACTTATAGTTTCGTACAAGGCGGTGATGACGAGAGGAGAATGAATAGCCGATCTACCACCACTCCATCTTCTTCCTCCTCCTCGTCATCATCGTCATCTGGACACTTCACTAGCGCGTTCTCCACTCCACATAACTCAGATAGCAGTAGCACTAGATCGATCAATGACCGTGAGGCGAGGGCAAATCGTAGATACGTTACCATATCGCCTCGCGACGATCCTTGCACATCGTCTCCCTCTAATTCCTCGGATCCGTCTATATTCTTCAACGCCAGCGAGCGGAGACAGATTAGAAGACCCACCGTCCCGCTAACTAATGATGGTTTTGATGATGATGCTCGCACGTCGTCTACATCGCGTACCTCGGATTCGTCAACGATGTTCACGGCGAACGAGCACTTCCCTTCTTCTACCTCTAACACTTCTGACTTCAGTGCCGGTACCACCGGCCCTCGAGCAGACTTCCTAAGTACATGGGAATTCATCGCTATGCTTCCCTTCCAAGGCGCGGACGACGACGACGATGATAATGATGAGAGTTTGGATGCGTGGAGTGATGTAGAGGTCCCTGCTCCGCTCGCTATAAATAAGGTGATGTGGGTTGATGGGGGAATGCCTTCGGCGGATGAGCTTGATGCAGTGGTGGGGGTGGATGGGGAGGGAAGCGCTATATTGCGTAAAGGTGCTGAGAGGAAGGCAGATGTAGTGGATGAGGGTGAGAGACGGATGTCGCGGAGGGCGAGCGTGGGGTCGCTTTCTGAAGGGGATGCGGGAGGAAGGGAAGGTGGAGGGGAGGGATGATGTGGATATGCATAAGATTGAATAACGGGATAGGAACGGAATGTTGTAACGAATTGAGATAGCTTCATGTCTTCAATCATGAAAATTCACATGCTATCCTGACTCTGGTACCATTCTGACTAATATTCAAAGCCCCGTAGCGTAAACATATCAAACATAACCTTGTCTTGAAGAGATTCAACTGCACCAGAAATTTCATCTCTGCTATTTGCCTCGGTGGCTTAATGAACAACCCACCAAGCTCAATTGAGTGGCCCCATCTAGGTCGCGAATGGTAGGTCTAACCATCTCTAAAACCCTAAACCTTGCTCTTTTGCTCTCGCAAGAATTCCCATGATCTACAAAAACCTCTCTCAGCATACTTAAACTGTGCTGTGCTCTGGGAACTGCAGCAAAAGCCGCAATGGTACCTCGACGATGCCTCTGACGCCCACGAAGTTGTTGTCGACCCCTTCAATCATGAGCTCTGGACCTGTATATGTCAACTGAAACGGAAGAGAGACCCTCCGTTTTGATTGTAGACGAAAGTCTGCTAAATCAATCAATGATTCAACGTGGTTAAAGTAGTCGTTCATTGAACGGAAAATCACGATGACTGGCGAATTTCCAGGGACCTCTTGTACGAACTCAATCAGTGTACGTGCTAAGTCGGTTTGATTTCTCTGATGCTTATCGGTAGGTTTCACGACATCTACAACTGAATTATTGAGTGTATAACTGATCCCCGAGTAGTTCGGCTTCTGCTTGTTGTTCTGATGTGGCAGTCCGTGTCTTCCTTTTCTCGATACGTGAGGCATTGTTTGTACGGTCCATCTAGACATGTATCTAGTGTGGGAGGAGTTGAAGTAGGCATGGGATAGGGAGGTCGAGGTGGAATTAGCGACAGGAGATGGGAACGGCGAGACAATTCCAATGTTAACACACAAGATGTAGATTGTACAGCAAATATGTGACACGCCTATGGGTACCTATGCATGTACCTTGGTACAACGCCATCCTAAAACCCTGGTTTAATATATCAACAACAAAATCACGAAATCATCGCTCAACATGTATGCACATTCGCATTATAGATCTAATTAAAATAGGCCTCGAGAGTAAGTAGACGCGCCCAGCTTGAATCGTGGCCCAATCTCAGATGACGACAAAAATCCACAGATACTTAGTGTAGTCGGACACACGACAGTGCACTATCGCAAATCCAATTCTCATACTATTTTCCTAATAATATACGACAACTCCTCCAGGCTATACAGCAATCAATAGTATAATTTAGTTGTTTCCTAAAAAGGAAGGTTGAAGTCCTTATACTAGCGAAAAGGTATTCTGACAACTTATACAACATTATCGCAAATTTTTGTTTTAATTCAATTTTCCTAGTAGATCACGATAGCTCATCCAGACTACACAGTGATCGACTGATTTCAGTTAAGTTACCTAAATAGGAAGGTTAACAGCCTGATATTGGTTACAAGGTATCCTCACAGCTCTCACCACATTATCGCAAATTTCGTTGACCTCATCATTTCCGGGTGGCCTACGACAACGCCTCCAGTGTAAGCAGTAATCAACAGCTTTTAGCTCAAATTGCCTAAATAGGAAGGTTGGAAACTACATATTAGTGAAAAAGTATCCTGGCGATTCTTAGTATTTTATCACTAGTTTCTTTCTCCTCCCCGTTTCCATTCGCTCAACGACAAGTCCTTCAACCAATGCAGTGATCAATGGGGGAGTATCAATTGCCTAATTAGGTAGGTTGACGACTGAATAACCCAACATGAGCATAAAGGAGGATACTCGCTATGCCGTTAGTACATCTGCTCAGGCTTGTCCAAGCAACACATAGCAGCAGACGAAACACAAAACAATCGCTCTGGTTTGCCACTGTCCCGATCCTTTCAAGACGGGGAATATTCCAGAAAAGCTCCATTCTTTGTTCAATGTCTTCCATATTAGCCACAGTATCGAGGTGGCGCTTTGAATATCAGCGCTTTCATTACATTGTTCATTCGGTTTCGATATAAGTACAAAGAGAATATGTCTTTGCGTAACGAGTTCTCGGGATCTACATTGTTTAACTTCGGAGTGTGTATTTCATAACACCCCGATGACACTGACACTTTGCCCCGTCAATATTTTCTCTCGAGTTTGCTCAAAAGAAGGGGAATAAATCCTATTTCGAGGACAACCGCAATTTCATTTATCAAGATCATCAGCATCAGCAGCAGCAGCATATAGACACTGTTGATCAGCGCGCATACTCTTCCATTTTCATTACCACGGATCACATTGTATTCTCACAGCATCCACAACATGGCACTCATCACATCATACAGCAGAGACATCTCCCCAATGCCCTCCATAATCTCGAGCCGGTGGTCCAACAGCACAGTTTCGACTACTACCACCAACACCGAGGACAACAACGCATACGACAGCCTTTCCTCTCAGTCTAGCTCCGAGTTTCAGTACTACCTTCCCCACCTCAGCACCAGCGATACCGATTTCTACGCTGCCGAGGAAGCGTTCGCAACAAACAACTTCCAAGCCACGGTAAATTACGGGCTGAGAAATATGTCTGAGACAGAATCATTCGAGTTCGATAATGTGAACCTCCCAACCATCGAGGAGGACGAGTGGCTTTACTATCCTAAATCGGTAAGGCGCGAGATGGCAGTGTATGGCTTCAGCGGAGACGAGGTGGTAGCAAGAGATGGAAGGAAGAGGGCGAAAGTGAGCAAGGCTGTCGGTAAAGTCTTGGAATGGTTGGGTAGGGACAAGAAAAGAGGTGGGATAGGGTACGTTTGGGGGGGATCTTTGGTGTAGCTGATTTGTCTTTGTGCTTTGGGTGATTGCTTTTCTGTCCTCTTCTTTGCTTTCCTTTGTGAGCTTGTTTTGGTTTGTTCGGAAAACGATAGCGATGCTATGTTTTGTTGTACGGCATTCTCATTAGAAGTGCATCATTTCCGACCTTTTAGTTCTATAGAAGAGTGCACGTACGTTTTTTTTTCTTTTGCTTGATTCTAGGCTCGATAATACCTTCCTTAGACATGATAGCGCTTCTGCGTTGTTACAATACACAGTATTCTTTTCCAATCGTCATCATCACATTGTTGAACTAACATAGTCAAGCCACACACTGTAAACTTCTCGATTCGCACTATATGATATTTTAACTAGCTTGTCAAGCATTAGTCTCGCAAGCATACAATAACACCTCGCAGTCTGATCTAATAGTTGAGCAGCCAAGCATCCAGTTAACAATGTCGCGAAGAGGCACTCATCGTCCACTGCATCGTATATCCCTCGATAGTCCAGGGCTCCCAGACGAATGGCACGCCAATCTCGAAGCAAAACACCGCCGCACACATCATCAAAGAACGCACGAATCACAACGACGTGAAAAGCATATTGCAAAAACATACTCACAACTTGATCGAAATCGAGGCAGAGAAAGACAGGGTTCTTCCTATAACCGCCCGGCTCCAGTCAAGTATAACCGTGAGTCCTCCACGGCATCTGCAACGCGGCGCGCGCTGGGCCATGGGTACGATGCCGCTGAGCAAGATGATTTCCTCGAGTATTATAATCATACTAGGAATGTTAGATCATTGGCCCGTCCAGTGGTCAAGAGAGGACATGGTCTAGATGACTCGTGGGAGCGGTATGATAAACCCGTCGATGATATACCGCAGCGCTATATCGACGAGTTCAACCGCAAGTGGCATGAAGACGACGAAGATCGTGACGCTGACCGGTATATGGCTGATAGGATGCCCAATGCGCCTTGGAGAAACGCTCATCTGCAAGAGCGGAGAGGGATACGTGAAGGTTTCTCGGGTAGTTCATCTTCTTCACCTCGTGTCGTCGTTCGGCCTGCTACCCAAGCAAGTCTGCGGCCGTTTGAACGTAGACATGATTCTTTGATTCGAGAGACAGATCATGGTTCAAGAGTCTATAGTGATGGGCCCTCGTTGGTAAGTAAATTCAGTGACGATACGTTGGATATCATCGAGCCTAATAGGGTAGGGAAGCTTAAGAATGGACTTAGAAAGTTTACTGGTCGTCGCCGGAATGGCTAAGATCTTGTAGCTTGACTCAATTGCTGCAATGCTAATGGTAGATATCTAGGCGGGTAGAGTGATTACTTAGTTCGTGTGTTGATAATCACCAACCAATCCTTGTAGCAGGATCTACACTGAAGCCTTTATATTGATTTATGTTTCGCATTCTCGTTAGATTCGTCCGATTACATACCTATTCATGATTATATATAATGCTTCTAGAATAATTATCTGTGTATAGGTGCTGGCTCTTTATATCGTTTTGAAGTTCTATCTAGAGCCATGTAGTGTGCCAATACAACCGTATAGAAGATACTTCACTTGCTACACCGTGACCTACTTCATCGCTCACACTATGTCCACCAGAATTACTGAAGATATACTTCCATCTCATCTCATATAAAACCATAGCAAATCAACACCTGATAAAAATTTTCTTAGCCCTAAGCCAAGAGCAAACGCGCGCCAGCATCTGTTCACCCACCAACTCTCACTCCCACATACTAACCACCCAATACACCCCGAACCCAAATCTAACCACTGTGAAGCAGAAACACGATCGTACACCAAGCTCGCCTTCCTCAGAAAAGACAACATCGCACCAGCAAATCCTCGCCCGACCGCGACCAGCTGTGACCGCGTTCCCGTCCCTCTCGACCACCAAACGCCCAGTCCAACAACAAGCCCAAAGATCCCATGAGCAGCACCCCGTCTCCAAATCTCAAGTCCGCAGCCTCGAAAAGACCTCGATATTACAGCTATGCGCTGTCTGAAGAAGACAACGCATCGTTAAAGCATTCGCAGCAGCAGCGGCGGAAATGGACCGAACAAGATGTCCTCGCATACCAAAAGCCGGTCGCCAAATTCTTTGACGAAGACGAAGACGACCGCCCGAGCTTCAAGGATGGGACTTCCAAAACGGCGGAGGAACAGCGGCGTTTGCGTCGCCCGGGGATCGAGGTAAGTATTCCCACGGGCTTTCTTGTTTTCCAAGGAAAAAACCCAGATATAAAAAGAAACTACTGTGCCATGAGCCGACGAGGGCAATGAACATCCGAGATACGGTAAGGTTTAGAAAAACGTCTTGGACAGGTTCGCTCACGCAATTTTCCTTCTCCACAGATGACCCATATCTCCCTAAACATCCCCATCACCGAGATCCGAGAACTCCTTCCCCTCTAAGTCTCAAATCTAGTCCTTCGTCGCCGAAGGCTGACCTAATGACGTTAGAGTGCGGCGATGATGTCAGCCAGCCAGAGAGCCTCACCTGCCCAAGCAAAGATAGTGAACGACTTTCGAAGTCCAGTTCATCATCTAGTAGCAGGCTCAACAGGCCTCGAGAGTATCAGCGAGATCCGGGAGTGACGTTTGATACCATGTTGACGGCTCATGTGACGGGAAAGGGAGAAGCATATCGTGGGGCTGACAATGCGATGAAGGAGGGAGAAGCGCGTCAGCCGTTGCGGAAGAGGAGTTTCCTGGTGGTGCGTGGGAGGGCGTCTGAGGAGTAATGGCGGAAGAGCTCATGAGTTATGCGTTTTTCCATGCGCGCGAAGTTAATCGAAGAGGAGGGGGCAGAGACATGAGAGGGACTGTCTAAGATCATAGAGCTACGTGTTTGATATCGAGAATAGAGTGAGCTTTTGGAGTTACGTCTCCATCGCGTGAAGTAAAATAGTATAGAAATTATATCCGGGTCAAGAACCCTCTTCCATTAACTATAATTGAACAAAGGAGACTGCAAGTGAGTGCAGAAGGGTGGTTGGTATCATGTCGGACGCGTATTATGTACATATTGGTACAGTGTTGTTTATCTTGATTGCTGTTGGATCCACAACACTCCTACATCGCCATTCAATTAGCAAAACTTCAAACAGAATGAATGATAAACAGTCGGTTCTCGCGTACCTGTAGCTTTCATCTCAAGTCATATTCACTTTCTTCTTCCAACACGAAATATCTTCCGTAGGCCCCTCAGCATTTGCGAATTGTGACTCAGGCTCTTGTCCTTCTTGGCAGTTGCCAGCTTCTCATTGGCAATGAACGAGTCAAACGTAGTGTTGCGGTCGCAAGCTTTGGTCTTGCCATCCATTGAATCAATCTGCGCCATAGTCTTTGGTCTCCGTACAGTGGCACTGTACGCTAAGGTCGGTTGGTCGTCATCGTCATCATCATCGTCGTCTTCCTCGGAGGCGAAAGGGTTGTTGTCGGCTTCGACGCGTTGGACACTGATGTTGAATTGATCTTTGGTCGCGAGGATCTGAGGAATCGTGGGTATGGAGCTATGACCTTCGCCCTCGAGGTGAATTGAATCAACCCTGTCTCTGTCATCATCCATTTGGGTCTTCATTGCGGGCGATCAAGCGAATACAAAGTGGGTATCGACGATGATGATCGCGAAGAAAACGAGGGGAAAGCGACGAGGCCGTGCTGTAGACAATCAAGGACGGACCTGCGGGGAGGGGGAGGCGAAAGGCAAAGGGAAATCCCCAAGTGCCCAGCCTTATAAGTCGTAGCTCGCGTGCAGCCATGACAGATTCACGCCGCATAGAAGGCACGAGTGAGCGATACGTGAGATTGCGTCTGACTGATAAAGGCAGGCATTAACAAGGGAAGAATCCTCCTTCGGGATTAGATGGTTCTTTCAGCCAGCTACTTCTGGCGATGCCGAACAAGGGTCGGCATAACCTTGGATGAGATTCGCAGAGGAGGCGAGTGGTCAGCATTTTGGGCTTACGGTCTAGACGGCCAGACCGGGGAGTAGTGTGATGAAAGACTGGCAGCGGCACTCGCTCGTTTATACAGATTGGATACGAGCCTAGAAGTCCGTTGGCTCTTTTCTCTGGTTGGAATCGTTGGGTGTTGCGCAACCGAACGGCACACGGCCCTGCGTATGGCGGGCGCTAGCGATATGTAGTCTTTGTAAGGAGCTGAGAAGGCTTAGCGTATCTTGTTCATGGTGCCTTTACCACCAGACACAGAGTATCCGTACGTTTCCCTACTCGGATCTCTCTGCATGATTGAGTCATAGATGACTTTGTTCCCGAAAGCGTTGCACCGTTATATTGCTCACTCGTACTGTGATGCACAGTCTATCGGTCAATCGCCGGTGAACAATCACTCCCCATGCACTCCCTCTCGCGTAAAATGCAACGCCTGAAGGGGTATCGCCGGAGGCCCCCACTGACAGCCTAGTGAGCTGTGCATGAACAAAGTAATTTGAAAAACGAAAAATCGATGCCCTCTTTCCTACACCGTGTTAGACTACGCTTGTACCGCACATGTTAGCCGTGGGGCCATTCCTGCGTACTAAGCCGAAAGATATAGCCAACCCCACGGTTTCCCCTGATGGATCCTCATATCCAGAACTCGACATCTGATCGCGCAATGACCGTCAGTTCCACCATGACTCGATTCACTCCGCCTTCTCCAGATCCAAATCGACGACCCACGGCCCTTGCGAGGGCCTGTAAGTCTGCGTCATAATACTGGCGTTCACCATCAACGTTTCCTCTCCCCACCGCAACGGCTTCTCACTTCCATTTCCGAGGTCCACAAAAACAGCTCTATCCTCTTCAATCTTTTCATGATCGACCACAATGGCTTCTTTCTCCTTGACGTATTCTTTCCATTCCACCTCGTTCTCATTATTCACCTTCCATGTTACTCTTTCAGCACCCCATCCCTCGTGAATATGGCCAAAGCAGTGCAATTGAGGTCGGCAACGTCGCGCTGCTCTTAGAAGATGTTCGCACCCTACGTGCTCCCTCCTAGTAGTTTGATCCAAAATCCCCATCGGCGGCCCATGGGTCATCATGATGTCGATGTTAGGGAAGTCCGGAACAGGATTCACTGCGATTGGAACCGCATTAGGGGTGATCTGATGCGAGGGATTGAAGCGATCCTGGTTGCGCCAGTACGGGAATGCCCAATCACAGAATTCGGGCTGGTAGGGAGATGCGTAGACCTTTTGATCTTTCCGTCAGCTTCTTCACTGCCATTCCTAACAACTCACTCTTGGCATGGTAGGCCTTTTTGCTCGGGTTATCATAATAGGAATGGCAAATGAAGAACATACCCTCAGCCTCGCACCGTTCTTCAGTTTAAATTCATGCACCCCTTCATCCAAATATATGATTCCAGCCGTTCTGGCCTTCTCTCCCGTCCACAGCTCTCTAGCCCTCCTCGGCATGTCTTCATCCGCTTCTTTCAATCGCTGCATAAACTTTCCCTTGCGTAAGTAATAAGTCTCGTCGAGGCTGATGTCATGGTTGCCTGCAATGACAAGCTTGAGCTGAGCGTCGACACCTTGTAGCATTTTCATCACGCGCTTGTACTCGCTCATAAGGCCGACCATGGTGAGGTCGCCGCAATGTACAAGTACATCTGCGCTTGGAAGAGGCGTGCGGAAGGGCGAGGAGAGATTCTCAGTGGGAGATGCGCTATGGGTGTCGGAAAGGATCAGCACACGTGTTTTGATATTTTCATTGGCCATTTTCGAAGAACGTGTTTGTTTGAGGTTTTAGGATGAGTGGGATGAGATGGTGCTGATGATGGAGATAGTGGTAGTGGTAGTGGCAGTGGGGCGCGTGTGTGGCTTAGTGTGGCTATGTAGTGATTCCGTGTACTCGAATAAAGCGAGAAATCACGTAGACGTGAATGATCGAGGTACATGTATTGATTTTGCCAATAACACGATATTTGGCTACTCATGTACTTGCACATGTGGTTATGGGTCGAGTGATTAGGCAGCGGGAAGGAACGCAGCTTCGGAACCGCCGTAGTGGGGGAACAACGTGGACGATGACTTTCTTTCAAAGCGATGACATTTTTCACATATGCATATATGTAGGTAGACAACATGAGATGTCTACATAAATACACAATAAATTGCTACCGCATTTAATGAAATGAACAGTGTCACCATATAGCATTCCTGTTCAGGCAGCAGCATTCACTCTACAAATAACAACACCACGTACACAAGAGACAGATGACATGATCACTAGCTGGGGGTAAATAAACAGAAATCGTGGGTACTATGCTGTGACCAATAGGTAGATAGCCGAATTATAAAAGATTAAGCAACGGGTCGACATTCCGGCCCTGTTTCGAGGTACATCGGTTCCACTATCAACTTGATCACTCGAAAACTCTATCTCAAATGGAAACATACAACATGTACACCCAAAAATACTCTATAGGTGTTAAAAGTGTGGCATAGTCTTTGTGGTCATGAGCAGGTGGAGCGTTTGAGTGTGGTACAAAGCACAGCGAACTGAACTGAAGCGATCACTCATCGATTCAACATCAAAACACTTGAGGACATCTGCAATAACCTTGTGTACGGGAACTCAATCCACATCAAACTCATTATGTCGGTGTGCCGACCCGAGCTGGATGATTCACAGGTAAGATTTGGACATTTAAAGACCCGCTAATTCTCAAGTATTCTACAAATCTCGACCAAATGGTTACCCTCGCAAGTGTATGACGCTGCAGTTGTGAACATTCGAATGAAAAGTTTAATGGAGACCCTAGGAGGGAAGATATCACACAGGTGCTGGCCGAGGATTGATGACCTCAAAATGGAATGAGCCGCCGATATGTTCATGGTATATGTACTATGTCGTAATCAATCGTGGAACCTCCTGTTCTGGTTCTCGCCGAACAGCGTGACCCTGATCGACGGCAAAGCATCAGTCTCAAGAAGCCTCAATCGCTCTTCCAAGGTGTTGTTGATATCAATTCTTCCACCTGTTCCCGAAATGCTCACACCACCAGCCCTGCGAACTTGTTAGCTGTAGACTACAGATAGGGTACAGAAAAAACTCACGATTCTTGTGGGAGCGGGTCACTCTCATCTATCGAGATAGAGACCTCCTTGTTCACCTTCTTCTTGTACTCAGTCTGCGCATCCTCGATCGCCTTCTTGACCACTTCATAATCTGCCTTGCGGGCCTTGACTTGCAACTTGTCCTCGTTCAGAGCATAGGCGCCCTCGAGTATCAAGTTCTGAAGGACGGTCTGGTACTTTTTCTTGTCCTTGGAAACGTTGCCCAACTTCTTCCGCGCATCTTCGAACAAGTTGTCTAGAAGTTCCTGGCGAGCAGAAAGAATTCGTAATCGTGACTTGTTGGCAACGGTGGAGCGGGTGATCTGCTGAGACATGCTGGCCTGCTTGAACTTCTTCTCGTAGGAGGAATCGATCGATGAGGTTTCCTGGCGGACCAGCTTCGACTTCTCTATGGCGAACTCTTCATCGGCCTTGAGGCGGATCTCATTGGCTTTCTCTTGAGCTTCCTGCTTGATGAAAGCAGTCATCTTCCTCAGCTCCCCGGCAACCTGTTGTTGTGAAGCATTAGCAGCTATTGACGTAGGGCGGGGAGCTATGCAAGCGAGCTGGTTTGAAGCTGCACAGGCACAGGACTTCCTACCTGGTCGTCGGACATGGCGTGAATCTGCGACATGGCGGATGCGATTCACGGGCTCTGGCTGATTTGTTGAGGGGGGTATCAAGTCGGTGCAGGTGGTGGAGACGGTGTAGGTAGGGTGGTGATGTTGCAGGTCGAGTGGTAGCTGCGAGGTCCAAGCGGCAGTATGGAGTCCTGATTGGGGATGGATCTGTGTTACGTCAGCAGCGTTGTTGCACATGCGGGCAGCCAGGATGGATGATGAGCAGGCACGCCATAATTAATTATCATTTGAACGGTCGTTGCTAGGAATACAAAACTTTATCAGACATCTATTTCGTGAAAAGCCTAACTCGTTCGCTGGTCTACCTATGAATGGCTACCTGTGGGGGCACTTGACGGGACCATCTGCTGCACATCTCTTCGCCCTCTAGCCAGGCGACATCATCATCACTCTGCTGATCCTTGTCGCTCGCCTCGGTAGGCCTGCCCATTCCCTCTCGTGCCCTCGTTTCAATCACCGTGACGCACCCAGTAGCAACGACGACAACTACGCCGTCTTCGGCCTCTCAACGAACCAGATCCACGCCATCCTCATCGCATACAAACTATATCTACAGCATGAGTTCGCGCTCGCGGTGACAACAGCTGCGCGCTCATATCCTACTCCGCAGACCGCCATGGTGGAGCTATCCGCGGGCGCCAGCATTGCTGTAAGTCTTCGCAGCCACGTTGCTACACCTCCAAGTGTGCGACTATTTAGAGAAGAAGGAGTCTTGCTAACCACGGTGCGCAGCTGGGAGTAATCGTCGGCCTCGCCTCCACCTGCATACAGAGCATCGGGCTCACTTTGCAGCGCAAATCCCACCTCCTAGAAGAAGAAAAGGAAGACGATTATGAACGGCGACCACCTTACAAAAGACGGAGATGGCAGGTGAGACTACCCTATCTCTATAATCACTTCTCCGGGGCTACGATTCTGACTCCCGAGTAGCTGGGTATGCTGATGTTCGTTGTGGCAAACATCGTTGGAAGTACCATCCAGATCACAACTCTACCTCTACCGGTCTTGTCCACGCTGCAGGCAGTATGTTCACCATCTTTAGCTCACTTTCTTTGCTGATCGAGACAGTCTGGCCTCGTCTTCAATTCCATATGCGCCTCCGTCGTCCTTAGCGAGCCCTTCACGCGATACTCCCTGGTTGGAACTGTCCTCGTCGCAATCGGAGCACTCATGATTGGCATATTCGGCTCTATCAGCGAGCCCTCGCATAACCTCGACCAGCTGTTGGTATTGCTCGGCAGACGTGCTTTCTTGTTATGGATGTCGGGAACCTTTGTCATGGTTATTGCCTTGATCGTAGGCAACTGGTTCCTGAAACGCATTTCTCCTCGACCGACACCTCGATTGCGGCTCGTACGTGGCATAATGTTCGGTTGCGTTAGTGGAATTCTCTCTGCCCACTCCCTCCTAATCGCAAAGAGTGCCGTTGAGCTCCTCGTCCGCACCATCATTGATCGCCACAACGAGTTCAACCGCTGGCAATCCTGGTTGATTCTGATTGGGCTCGTTGTCTTTGCCTTGACCCAGTTATACTACATGCATCGCGGACTCAAACTGTGCAGCACTAGCGTTTTATACCCTTTGATATTCTGTGTCTACAACGTCATCGCCATCATAGACGGGCTGATATATTTCCATCAATCCGCCAGACTCACCAACTTACACGCAGGCTTGTTGGCTGTGGGTACTGTGATATTGTTGGGAGGAGTCGTAGCCTTGAGCTGGCGGTTGGAAGAAAGCGATGAAGACGCCAATTCCGCGAAGCTTCACGGACATGTTCCAATGCCGCAAACAGCCCTCACACCCGGCATCGGCCTCATCCACGGAGATCTGGAAGACGAAACTCAAGTACCTGTCGACATCGAATCCGAACCTCCGGGTCTCCACGGATCCGAGTACGAGCAACGCAAGCGGAAGAGTGTGGACGAAAGAACCCCATTATTAGCAAGAGCGCCCACCGGTCCCGCTTTCACCGTAGGCCCACGATCTAAGAAAAAGTTATCACTGGGGACCGAGCAGCCGCGCAGCCCTAAAGCGAGCCCTTCTCCCCGTAGGCCTACGAGAAGGCGGCGAATGACTGTGTCCGAGGAAACGAATGAGATATGGAATGAGCTGAACGATGGCGATACTCTTCCATCGCCTATGAGACACTCGACTGATCTGGAACGCAGACCACGCTCGGGAACATTGCCGGCTCGGCGCAAAAACAATTCAGGGACATGGATGAATCAGATGCGAAGACGCTCCTGGTTCGACGCCATAAGCGTAGGAGGCAACCAGAGCCAACGCCGAAACAGTACAGCTCAAGGTAAACGGCCAGTCAGCGTTTCGTCGCCTTTGCTGAATCACCCGGATCCCGAGGACGATGACCATCAATCTGATACAGATGCCCCTCCTAGCCCCGAAGCTGGAAGACGAGGGACTTGGGCTTTCGGCGACAAAAGAAGTCGGAACGGTGAAGACGGCCTGGGTGATTGGTTCAAGATGAAATGGTGGCGCAACAAATGGAGGGATGGAGATCGAAGTCGACGAGGAGGAAGGGGAGAAGAGGACGATGATGTTGGAAGACCATGATACCACGTAAACCACCTGTTATTTTCTATGTCTGAATGAAGTATACGTACATTCTCATTACTTTGTGCGCCATGCTACACCGTGCTTGATTCTGATATTCAAATGATTACTGACGCTTGGAGATAGTCCCAACTAGGTGGAAATTTGTGAGTGTCACACGTATGTCCTTCCCAACTCTGCATCACTTACACATTGTGATTTTCTCATCGAGTTGGTATTCCACATACTCGGAATACTCTTCCAAAGTCCAAATCGCATTATAAGCTCTCTCTGACGCACAGCAACTAAGAAGGGATATCATTAGAAGAAGAAAGAGATGCAACCAATCCCTAGAAAACCCCATCAGAAAAAGAAAGTTCCCCACCAACTCAGCAACCTCGATCAAAACAAGCCCCCAACCCAAAACCCGCCCATCCAAAGAGCCCCCCACTGCGGCTGAACCACACCCCTCACAAGCGCAGGCCCAGGACACGTCCCCGTCAACCCCCACCCAACTCCAAACACCACAGCGCCCACCACAAACCTCCAATCGCCATCCCGCAGCGTCTTGTTGGAAACCTGGTACGAATTTGCGAATTTCGGCGTCTTCGTCTTGTTCTTCTCTCCTGCTGCTGCTGCTGCTGCTGCTGCAGTAGCGGAAGAGCTGGTGGCATCATCAGCGGCGTACGGATGCCCGCGGAAATAGTTATCGAGGTAATTTGGCAGAACGCCGAAGACGAGGATGAGAGCGAGCGAAGGATCCCAATTATGCAGCGAGGGGAAAGAAAGAAACGACGAGACTTTTGCCGGGGAGGACATTTGCGAGATCTGGAGGCCCAAGGCGAAGTTGAGGCCCGACAGGAACGTCGTTGTCAAGTTCGGCAGCGAGGGTGTGTGAGTGGGCGATATCTGTTTCCTGGCTGCTGGCGATGTCGACGACGACGACGATGACGGGGGCGGCGTAGGAGGAGAGGATGCAGGGAATCTAGCCACGATGCGTGGGAGCGCGCGGCTGAGTAGGATGGCGAGGACAGTGAAGGCGACGAGGGAGAGTGCTTCTTCCCTTGGTGGGTAGACGGGCGTGTAGCAAGGGATGTCGCCGGCACACTCTTGCGTCAATAGACTTGGGTGGGCAAGGTGGTGTGTTAGGATTGCCGCTGGGAAGAAAAGTGCTACTGCCACTGCGCTCCTCGCGCTCAGCCTCGACAGCCCGCACAGCATATGCCCGCTCGTACAGCCATTGGACGCTTTGGTTCCCCAGCCCACGAGGGCACCGATGCCTGCTGTTACGAATGCGGATTGGAGAGAGGATGGAGCTGCTGGGTATGATGTGAGGATGCTGGGCAGCAGGAGTTTGAGGACTGGAACCGAAGTAGCCATTCCTAGGACGAAGGTGATTGTTGTCGGCGAAGGCGAGGTGGAGAGGAGGTTTCGGAGGAAGCCAGAGCAGCCGAGAACGAGGCCATTGTTGTGAAGAAGGAGGGAGGTGGACTGGTGGAGGAGGAAGGCTCCGAGAGTGGATTCGAGAGGTGTGAACATGGCGAGATGGTCTACTGATCTCGTGGTAGTGAGAGAGGTTTGTAGGATATTTCGGTGTCGGATAGAGGAGAAGGATAATGTACGGGGATGTTGTTGTTGATTTTGATTGTATACGAGTGGTGGTGAGTGGTCCCGTTTTCGTGCAGATGCAGCAGTGCAATGCACCTCTTACTTGACCACCGATGTATTCTTCCACGGACACGCTCTCTTGACCTCGAGGAAACGAGTTTCCTGTTACTTCGCCTTACATATGTTCTTATGCATGAGACATACGGAAAGGGGTTGGCTGTCAAACAACCAAGTGAACGTGCAGGTTGCAGTACGAGATGGTATATTATACAAATCCCAGCCGTGCGTCCCCTATTACCTGGTATATATCTCCGCAGACTCCACGTTTCCAGTATATACAGCCGCTCCCGCGCATAACATTCCCATTATATTTCCAGGTTAGGGTATCGGTGGATACGAGCCTTCATACGCTTGTTCGCATGACGAACGAGGCGATACCCTTTTTCAGCCTTAGCGACAGGACATACGTAAAGTCCGAGCCAAATCTAAACGTGGTCGGCGACTGGAACATTTCTGGGGGGAGGTTATCAGATAGTTAGCCTACGGCAGATCCCCCCCGACTCCACTACTATGCACTAGATTCTCAGTCGTGTTCGTGCATGGTCTACAAGGGAATTGTATCAAAGCATGTCAAAGGGCTTCCGATAAGAACAAGGTGTTTCTTTTTTTCCGTTGTTTGGTGGGTTATTGTTATAGGCACAGTCCAAACTCAATTTGTCTGATGGATGTGCCGGAAATGCAGGCACGTTGCCTTGTTCGTATTCGCAAAGAAAAGAAGGTAGTCGCCGAAGTTGATGTTGGCGAAGGAAGCGCAGGATTCTCTTGGAAGATCATATAAAGGAAGGCCCGATGAGAATAAAAATCTCCTCGGCACCGGTACCATGGAACTGAAGAGTGGTAACTGTGGGGGGACCGTGTAACTCGTTTTCACTGGTTCTCTTGAAGCTGAACACACTGTACATATATCCCGTTGCTGTCTCTGTCGGTGTGCTCGTATCTGGTCGACAAGATCGAATTTTTTATGTATGGTTATGCAAGTCAGGGTTATAGTCGCGATAAGACGCAATCGGGCAGTGACCCGAGCAACTCAATTCTCAACAGTGTATTGCGTGCATCCATCTAGAGAAAAACAAGCCTTGAGGGAAAAGATGCAAGCCAGAGAGCCTATCCGACGGTTTTCCGCGTCCACCAATCGTCCAATCGTCCAAATCGCCACGTCTGTCAGTATCCGAACATTACCCACACTAGCATCCCGTAACTCGCTTGCCACCTCGCCGACCAAACAACCTCCGCATCCATCAGCATATTCCATCTGGACCCCCTTTCCACAATTCCACCGAATGGGATCGGGCTAATTTACGCCACCACATGGGAGACGCGCTGATGCTCCGGCCTTATTCTCGCTTAAATACATGGGGTTTTCTAGAAGGCGATACGCGTAATGTAGTACATCAACGTGATGTATGTACTTTGTTGAAATATGTGTACGAACTTGAGTGCAGAGGCAAGAGACTCATGAGATGCTTGATCGAATTAACTTTTTGTATGTTCTGAGTCCACTCTATGCGTTATGGGCACCGTGTACGAGGTACAATCGTCCTTTGTTCGTCCGACCACCGACATATACCAACAAACAACGGGTCGTGAGATGAATCCCGAACATTTGGTACTCCTCCGAGCGGCGTGGATTTTCAGCCGCACGATCGATCCATATCCAGCAACAGGCACCTAGCCGGTCGTCGAAATGCACTCCAATCATAATGAGTATGTCGTGTAACACACCAACAGCTTCGAGGGAAAATGGAGTCTGACAAGACGTTGTTGGTAAGAACCCGTTGTCAGTCGTACAGACATGGATATTCTCTCGTGAGGGCCATGTACCACCAACTCCCACACGCATTGAGACATGTGGATACTAACCAGTGGCAACACACCATGACTCTGCCACCAACTGTGGATGACATATCAGTTGCCATGCCGTTCCTCGCCGGTGCAACAGCACGACGAAAAATCTCTTCACCACATACGTGTACGCGAAATCGCCGAGGAGGAGTATCGTGTTTGGATCTGCAAGCGGCTCGATCCTAGTGTCTTTCGGGAGGGTTGTAATGGTCGGCGAAGTCTCCAAATCCTGAAACGCATGGCTGAATGCTTAAATGAAACATCTTACGATTATCATACATACAATAATTAGTTTCAGACGTTTCCTGATGAGGTACCAGCCGTTACTTTAATATCGGCGACGCATGGTTCAGATCTCGTGTGGTGTGGGGGGTGGGATTGATGTGGTAAATTCCACATCTCATTATAACAAACGTACAATCAGGCACCAGGAGAGATGGGAAAAAGATAGGTCATTTCATTTGAAAAATTCCCGCCAAACGCCGTATATATCGAATGCTCTAGGTATCATGCTTTTCTCTGCGGTCGTGAATCGTAAACCCCTAATCCGCTCACGCCTGCCACATCTTCGCAGTTCGCGGCCACACACGCTTGTACAAACTGACGGCCACAGCATCCATAGGGTTGATCTTGCCATCGAACGTTGCTTTGAAATATCCGTGTGTACCGAGACTCTCCTTAATGAAACCGCTTCTTCCGCGTCGGGTCCAGAGAGGCAAGCTCTTGAACCACTTGACATCTATATCATTGAAGAACATGTAGCGCACGGTAACGATGCGCTTATTGATCTTGTAAGGATGACCGGTCAAGATTATGCGCTTCGCGATAACACGGTTCATCGAAGGTGGGAGTGATGTGCCTGTCCCGATAAGACGGAGTGAGGAACGAGAAGTGGAATCGGCTGGCTGTACGTCGGAGTCCATCTCTTCGGACGACTGTCCGGTGGTGCGTTCGAAGTAAAGAACCGGTACATTCCCCCATGTAAGGGGGCCTATGAATGAGGCTATCGCCGATTGCCCCGGGTGCAGGAATCGGTCAAACTTGTGTACATTGTTCGGGGTGTTGCCGGCTTGCGAGAAAAGCTGTCCGTCATTAGTTTGATATAATATTATTTGGAATCTGGTAGGTAAACTTACCGGGTTAATGACCATGCGACGTGGTCCACACTGTACGACCATCTCTGTCTTGGCTTTCACGTTGCCTTCATACTCTGAGCTAAGCAAAATGCTGTAATTGCAAGATGTCTTCTTGTGCTCGTGTCGAAGCAATGAATACATCGCAAGTGGTCTGGACCCTTGGAAGGACAGAGGAACGCCTCGAATGTGAACGTTGACTCTGGTGCCAGGCTTCACACCACCCGCCCAAGCTTCGCGCATGAACTTGGTGGCCGTCCGCTTATAGTCTGAGATCTCGAGAAGACGAGGCCACTCATTGGGCTCATATGGGCGGTCTTCCTCAGTTTCCCAGGCGCTCGTCTTCAGACTCTTCAGCCCGCGATATCGAATAAGCCTTTCTTGAGCGTTTACGTTGGGGTGAAGCTCAATTTCATCAGGGAACTCCAGATCTTCATCAGCCTCGTTCTTTCTTGACTTCCGGTACGCTTCAATCTGCTCAGCCTCATCCTCGGGTGAGGGATCTAGGAACATCTCAGACTGTGGATATTCTGAGGGACCACCCTCGGTCATGGCTCTCCCATCAACATCCATGCCTTCCTCGCCATCGGCTGGCTCGAAAGTTTCCGGCTTGTCCAGTTCGTCGGCATCCTCCATGTCGAAATCCTCCAGATCTGAGCCAGAATCGGATACATCATCAATGTACCAAGCACTCTGGTATTTACTGGTTCCTTTTGGTAACCGTCTGGTTCGAGTTGGTGCGGTCTCGTCCTCTTCGTCGGAAAAGTAGTGATGATCGTCGAGTAAGACACCCTTCCTCTCAGAGGGTGCAACAGAGGGTGTATAAGTCGTTGCGTCTTCCATGATGGTTTCCTCTGGCGCGAGATCTGCAAGGTCGTCTTGATCTTCGCTGGGTCTCTCAAGAACATCATCGCCCTCTGTATCTAGGGCCATGCTGTCGTCCTTTGTTTTCTTCCGGGCTTCCAATGGTGCCGCGACGATTTTCTCGACCTGGAAATCACCCCAGTCACCGACTTGGGCAAGTCGGTCTGCCTTCAACCCCTGGCCCCTCACGACACCTGTGATAACAACCTCTCCCGTGCCATCCTCGTTAACCGCAGACTTGCCCCCTGCCCACGCAATGTCTTCGATAAACATGTAACTTCGCTGCTCTCGCCACTTTACACCTTTAGTTGTAGTGGTGCATATCGAGCGGACCAGGTTGTTGGATTCCTGTCTCGAGTCAAGAGAGAAAACTCGCTCGGTGGTTGGTAGCCAGTGGGTGATGTAGGACTTGAGGGAGGAAACAACTTGGGGTCGGCGCTTTGCGGGCTCAATCTTATCCAAGGCCTGCACCACCGTGAAACAGTTGGAGATACCCTGACTTTCAACTGCCTTGAGTATCAATTCGCCTTCCTCGTCCACCTCTTCCTCCCCAGAAAGTATGAACACCACGAAGTCGGCTATGCGGCAGGCATCCAGAGACGCCAGGAGATCCCTCTGGACAACCAAATACTGTATTTTCTGCTTGAAGCGATCGACGTTGACGCGTGTCCAGCCAGCTTCAGGGACCTCGTCTTCGATATCCAAACTTGCGTTTAGGCTTCGTACAGCGCCCGCAGACGAAACATCTTTGCACAACGGTACAACAGCAACGATCCTCGGCGCACCGTCTTTTCCGGCGAAGACATTGATTGCCTTTGCATGCTCGTTATCCTTGTTGATGCGCAGCTGCTTTGCTCGGTTTCGGCGGTCGAACTTGGACATGACTTGCTGATGGGGTGTTTTCCGATTTCCCCGCTCGAAGGTTTCAACCTTGCCTAGGGAAGTTAGGAAAATTTTGTCGACTCTAGTGTTCATGAAGGGGAAACGTACCTTTGGATGCTTCCTTCAGGGAGCCCTTGGACGCATGGCGGGATTTGAAGGATTTTTGCGTCTGCTTGGTCGTGCTGCGGTGATGGTGCTGCTGAGCAACTATGGGAGCCATATTGCTGTTACCGCCCGCTCTGAATCGAAAAGGAAGCGAAGCCACTTTGAAAAGATAGCCGACTGCGTACAAATGTTGGCGCCGGATGGAGGGGTGAATTTCTTTTTTGTGGTTTATCGTTATCGATAGAAATCTTGGCACTGCAAGGATCAGCCGAATTACATCAATCAACCTCACCACACGTTCGTCTGCATGGAAAAGATGCATGTGGTCAACATGACAAGAGTGTCAATTTCAAGACGAATCTGCCAAAACTCATGGCGATGATGACGTGGATTTGGGAAACTTCTTCAAGGAACAAGAGTGCCATATTTACTGCAATCAGTTGAAGTCAAAAAGCTCTCTTAGGTACATCTCGAAAACCAGTCCATCAACACACGAATCGAGTTCACTGTTTCCTTTCAAGTACTATGTTTGTGTAAACTGCGGATGTTTTTGCTACTGCTTTATCAATATTGATTGTTCGTTTCTTTTTGATCTTGGTATATCAGTATGGGGCTTACACGGCGACTTGTATACGCGAATATCCACGTATAGTATTGTGGGTCGTGTGAGCCTATGTTAAGTATCGGGAGCATCAAGCGATCCCCATTTACAGGATGGTGAAGTAGGTGAGTATCTAGTGGTTGTGTTTCGAGCGGTGAGGTGCGCGGTTTCGTGTTACTCTCTTTTGAGCAAGCAAGAGCAACCCAGCGCGTGCCTTCCTCACCTTTCATTAGCGCAAAAGGACGGAGCAGCACCTCATTCTATCACTTATCTCAAGTTGGCTGCTCTCTAATTTCCCTTCAATTATTCTCCCACCCATATAATCCCCCGTATCACTCGCTCCTCTTCCTTTACACACCACCCCACACCAACCTCCAAGGCCAACGCCGCTTGATCTGAGAGCCCTCTCAGCATTCTCTCCACCATGGCACGCAAGAACAAGTCGTTCTACGACGCGAGTCAGATGAGGGCGTGAGTAATTTCTTCAAGGCTGCCTTGCAATACGATGCAACTGACTGATCACGCCGCAGGCTCGAGGGCATCCCTCTTCCCGAGAAGTACGCCTACTTCAGATCTGGTATCTCTCCAGGAAGTCATTATTGATGTGATACAGAATCAAATGCGCACGATGCAACAACTTCCTTACACAGAAGAAGTTCTCGAATACCCAACTCGCCCATGCCCGCACGCAGATCAAGAACCATGGACGTAATGTCACGTATCAAATCAACTGCCAGTCCTGCACTGGAGTCCAGGTCGTTGAGATCCAGTGTGTAGCTTGCTGCAAGACGAAGGGCCTGGAAGAGTTTGCCAAGTCGCAGCGTCGAGACGTAGACAAAGCCGTAAGTACAGAATCAGACATACCATGGCTCCGCTTACAAGAGACAGACGTGCTATGCGTGCGTTGACGAGCAGCTAGCCGTTGACCCCATCGACGAGGAAGTCTACGACTCGCCTGATCGAACCAAACTGTTCATCCCAGAGGACGTGCAATGGGAATCTCAGCCCTCTCAGTGGACTGGCGGCAGTACAATCGAAGCATCGGAAAACGTAGGGTTTCCCCATTCTCCAAACAGAGCGTATTTGCTGACAAAACTAGAACACGTGGACCCAGGATGACGAAGACGGAGGCATCGCGCTTGGAAGCGAACTCCAGAACAAGCTATCTCTTGGCCCGGCCTCCCAGAAGGGCACGCTCATCGACACAAGTACAAACGAAAACGACCAGTTCGGTTGGCAAAGCCAGCGTACCAAATCTTGGCGTAGCTCAGCAACGAGCGCCGTCAGTGTCTCTTCTGGCTTCGACCCCAGCAAGTATGGCAAGCCAGGACCCAACAATGGTTCGCTGAAGAGCTTCGATTCGGGCTTTGTGGAGAAACCCGGCTCTGCTACGCCCCGCAAGGCTCCCTGGGCAAAGATCAAGGCCTACGTACGCTGTTCATCCCCATTTGGAATACACCAACTGACATGTACGTGTTTAGAATCCCAAGACGGATGGACCATCGCCAGCAACTTCCAGTCAAACTAAGACCAACAACGGCAAAGACGACTGGTCCTCTTCTGAATCCGAAAATGAGGAGGACGCTGAGGACGATAGCGATGACGACGATGACGACGATGACGACGATACTGTGATTTAGGCGAGGCATTCCTTGCATCACAGCTTCTGATCCAAACGAAGGGCGGCTCTTCGGACTCTCCAGAAGCCTTGCAAGTGGGCGCTGAGTGCAAGTGACCGATTAGCTGCCTTTCTATCATGTTTCTTTCTTTCCGAATTTACAGGCGATGGACAGCGGGTGGTACATACCTGATCATTGAATCTGGAGGTGATCCTTTGCGTGATGCAGAGAACAGGGTCGAGCATTGTGCATTGGCCTTTAGGTCAGCATCTCACAATTACAATGATATGCCATTAGAGTTTCTGCACCCAAGGCTTCCCTGTCTGATATCAAAATTGAAATTCAATCTTTCATTGCACGACGCTATGTCCAGACTGTTAAATCTAAGTGTGGCCTAACTCTCAAGGTGATTGAAAGACAGGATAGTAGACTCACGAATAACCACCCTCTCCAGTAAACCACAAGCCTATCAACTTGCAAGTACCTATGTATATATGAAATAATTGAATATGCCACACTGGAACCAAGAATGTATAGAGTGCTGAGTTGCTTATCTTTCGCATCCCTACTTTCGTAACTAGGGTACCTCAAACGCGTATATACCTAGGTACGAAAACATGTTACTAGTCGTGATGCTCTCAAATTTCCAGGGGGATTGTGGATACAAAGATTGCTTAGCTATCATATATGTGCCAGGTCCTATAGATTTGTGTGTCCTGCTTTCTGAGTGCCTAAAGAAACTGCGACCTGACAAAGGATTCAGGTTTAATTGCCACTTTCGCCAATCACGTGAGCAGGCGACTTAGCGCCAACGCGTGCGAATGCTCAATTGCCCCCGCCCGCTTTGCCACTCAATCATCCAGCGCAGCACTACTCAACTTTTGCTCACTAGCCAAACGGACGCTGCGATCCAACTACTGAACACAGCGAGTCGTAAATCAGACATGTAAGTGTGCCTAAACTTCCAATCACCCTTTGTACGATGAGAGACTGACGGTGGCAAAGGTCCGGGCGACGACCAAGAGGAACCGGCATTCGGGGTCCTCACTCTGCACTCACAGATTATCTTGCGGTAAGCTCATATTTCAACCATCTGGATCCCATGGCCGGCTAATAATGTAACCTCCAGGCCAACAACATCTCTGCTCGAGAAATCCGCGACTCTCACCGTCAGCGAGTGCAGCAAGCCGAGACCGACACGCCCGATCCAGACAATGGGGAAGGACCATCCAATGGTGCAGGGCCATCTGATCTTGAAGAACAGCCAGAGGCTGAACCGGCGGAGTCATCGACCGCAGCAGCAGAGCGGACGCGCAAACGCAAGCGCACTCAACAGGACGAAGCCATTGCCCAGATAAAGAAAGGCAAAGCTGCCAAGAAGAGCAAGAAAAAGAAGAAGGGCTCAGACGATGATTCCGACTTCGATGATGTGATGGACATGTACAAGAAGGCGAAGCCGCTGCCAGGTCAACTCTCTAACTGTGAACTATGCAACAAGCGGTTCACGGTCACACCATACAGTAAGGCTGGGCCTGATGGTGGGCTTTTATGCACACCCTGCGGTAAAGAGCTAGCGAAAGAAGCGAAAGCAACAGACAAGGCAAAAAAACCGACTGTCCGGAAAGGTAGGAGAAAAATCGAAAGCAACCGTCTAGATGGCATAACATTCCGTGGGTCGAAGACACTACAGCAACTCTGCATCGAGACACTTGCAAAGCACTCTGAGGATATCGAAGAGCTTGGTGAAATGCCAGAGACCATTATGGATAGGCTGAGTGAGATATTCTCGAAGAAGCGGGCAATGAATTCGACTACGTTCAAGCTATTCCTACAGTCTGATCGCACAAATGTTGCTATTCACGAGGCAGCCTGTAAGTCTTCACTCTGTATTCATGTATTCAAATGCTAATTCAATTCTTGCAGATCTTGAGACGGAAGACTACGACCAGATTTTTGCCTTCGTCCCGGACATCAAGAAACTCAGCCTGCGCAACTGTTGCCAATTTAAGGATGCGAACATTGATTACATGATCGAAAAAGCACACAAACTCGTGGATATACAACTCCTAGGTGCTAATCTTGTCGCCAACGATAAGTGGATTGACCTTTTCATCAGCCGCGGCAAGGACTTGGAAGCTCTAAGGCTTGAATGGTTAGACGCTGCCTTCGACGATCAAGCTGTCCAAGCCCTCGTGGAATTCTGTCCAAATCTACAGCGTCTCAAACTTGAACGCTGTAAGCAGCTCGGTGTCGAGAGCATCGATGCTATTGCACGCTTAGAGCATCTCGAACATCTGACTCTATGCTATCATGAAGATATTCCCTGCAAAAGTCTGGCCAACATGATCCTTTCTGTTGGCGCCAAGCTCAAGACACTTTGTTTGGAGAAGTTTGTCAATAGCGAGGATGAGCCCACTGACGATCTGCTAATTGCCATACGTGACACATGCACGTCGCTCTCCAAACTGCGCTTCAGCAACAACAATGAATGTTCGGACGCGGGCTACGTGAATCTCTTCACCGGCTGGACCAATCCACCTCTTCGCTACATTGACATGAATAGCACTCGTGATGTAGACAACGTCAATCCTGACGGCCCCGAAGACTTCCCCGTTGGCCTCGCATCCGCCGGATTTGAAGCACTCATGGCCCATTCTGGCTCGCGACTCGAATTTCTAGACATTTCCTCCTGTCGCCACATCTCGCAGTCTACATTCACGACTGTCTTCAACCCAGAGCAAAGTTATCCCAATCTCCGGGAAATCAATCTCTCTTTCTGTCCCGTTGTTGATACGGAGATTGTTGCTGGAATCTTCCGTAGCTGCCCCAAGATTCAGAAAGTTGTCACGTTCGGCTGTTTTGAAGTCAAGGATGTCGTTGTTCCCCGGGACATTGTCTTAATTGGAGCGCCAAAGGCGCAGGATGCTATCGAGCAATTTGGTCAGGTATTCATGGATTTCCAAAAAGAGGCGCAGAAAGAGAGTATGAGTCGCTTCGTTCCCACCGCTGCATAAAAGTCAGATGCAGTGTGAATCCAACAGCGTTCCTAGAAGAAAGCTTGTGGTTCAACCGAGTTCCGGCATATGGACGCGATTATGGGTTCTACAGAATTTTTCAAGGCGTTACACTCCTCGCTCGTGTAGTCATTCAAGGCAAGTCCCTCGGATGATCAAGCCTAGTATTTCCATGCGCGGAGTATCTTTTTCTATGGGTATATGCAGGTGTGCATGGATTCTCCGCGGTGAACCGTTTCAGGCGTTTTTCTTTTCTCCCGCCGTTTCATGATAGATGCCATGAAGAATCATACATCGTTGAATCATCGACTGATTCAGACTCTATCATACTCTTCGTATTTTCATCTTTAACATCATGAGTAACATGGTTTAATTAGACTCTTCATGCAACGATCTTTTCTCCTAGGTCACAATCGATCTCGGGTCACTACGCACGACATGAAGAAACCGAGTGCAGAAACGTATAAACAATTGATCATATTGTTAAGGTAAGGCGCATTTACAGTAAGAGGGCACATCATATATCATGGCACAAAGAATACAAAACACACAACCCCAATCCCTTAACTCAAATCAATAACGACCCTCCCAGCAATCTTCCCCTGCTCCATCTCCTCAAAGATCTTAGTCAACCCCTCCATCTTCTCCACCCTAAACTTGGTCCCCACCACCCCCCTAGCCGCAAACTCCAAAGTATCAATCGCCTCTTTCCGGCTCCCCACCGCAGACCCAACAACCTGCAAAGCCTTGGCGACCATAACTCCAGGCAACGCGCTCTTAATCGGCACAGGATCATGCTCCGGAATCCCGACACAGACAACGCGGCCGCCGAAGCGCAGGTAGTCGAGCGAATTCGCGTAGGCGGCGTTGTTTGCGGTCAGCACGAGGACGGCGTGGGCGCCGAGGCCGTTGGTGAGCTCTTTGACGGCGGCCACGGCGTCGGCCGTCTCGTCGATGCCGATGAAGTGCTCGGCGCCGCTTGAGAGGACGATGTCCTTTTTCGAGCTATGGTCGATGCCGATGACGCGGTGCCCGATTGCGCGCGCGGAGAATTGCACCGCGAGGTGGCCTAGGCCGCCGCCGGCGCCGAGGATCACTACGAAGTTGCTGGGGTTTGGAGTCAGCGTTGTGTGGAATGTGTGTGGATACTGTTTCTTTTGGGGGTGCAAGGGGATGAAGGGTGATGGAGTGAGAGATCGTACCCGGCTTCGGCGTTGGCTTTTCGAAGGGCGCTGTATACTGTTACGCCAGCGCAGAGTTGGGGGGCTGCGGCGGCGGAATCAAGGCCGTCTGGGATAGGGGTTACGTAGTTTGCGGGAGAGAGGACGTATTGTTGGAACTGTTTGGCGGGATTAGGGATCAGTGATAAAAACGGGGTAGAGGGTGAAGGACTCACAGTCCCTGGCGTATAGTAACCGCTGACTTTCTGGTTGATAATTAGCATTCATTTATTTTCTTCGTCATCATCATTTACGAGCGAGCCCCTTGATATCTTTAGGCAATCCAACTGAACCGCTTCGAATCTTTCTTACACACACACTCCCTTCCAAACCTATTCATGATCCACATACTTCACATCTCACCCACAGACTGCCAAAGAAAAGAAGGACATACGGAGAGAGAGAGAGATAAAAGGAAACAGCCAACTTACCCCACTGAAACAACTCGCATCGTGACCAGCACGGCAAGCTTCGCAAGTCTCACAGATCCCAGCCATCCACTTAATACCAACTCTCTGCCCGACCTTGACAGCCGCAGTCTCAGTCGCGGGCCCCATCTTCACAATCTTGCCCACACCTTCGTGACCGCCGACCTGCCCCGCTTGCGTGGGAAATGGAAGAGTCTTCCACGCGTTCAACATCACGCCCATGTCTGAGTGGCATACCCCAGAGTGTGTGCTTGATCGGGCGCGTCAGCTAGGTGTAGGTGGTTGTTGAGTTTTGGGAGAAGAGGGAGACAGTGGGAGTGAGATAGGGCGGATTTTCGATGTAATTGTGTGTGTATTTGTGTGTGTCCATGTTGAACGATAAATCGAAATGTAGAACATACAGATTAATCAATACCTCACCGGGCCCAGGCTCAGGCATATCGAGTTCCTCAATCTTCGTCGAGATGGTGCCGGGCTTATCGTACACGACTGCCTTGTACTTCTTCGGAAGCTCAGTAGACGACATGTTGAGTCAATATCTCTTTCTATTATATTTTATGTTTCTGAAATGAATATTCGTTCTTATAATCTCCCAGTTGAACAGAGGTGGTTGAATATCGGAATAATAGTTGGTGATGGAGTAGTTAAAGATGGAGATCCCAAAAGAAGAGAAAGAGAGATATATATGATCATGGAAATCATGGAGGTAGGTACCGAAGACATGATGCTTCCCCGCATATGGGGGGCAACTGCACTACATTAGGTACCCCGGGACCCACCATTCAACCGCAACTTGCCGCGTGGTGGGATTTCGGGACATGATGCTGCGCGGATCGAGTACGGCATTTTCTGCTGTTGAGGCGCTCGTCCGTGTATTGCAAACAGTACATCAAAAGGATTGCATGGACATCTCGTTACTCGCTATAACCATGTAGCATCCGAAGTAGTTGCTATGATAGCTGCTGCATATGGCATATGTGAATCGGAGGGCACGATCGGTATAATGCGGGGTATGTCGTCTTTCAAGGACCAAGGGAGCTAACGGGGAAAGGGAAGAAACGATGACTCGAGAACGGTGACGTACGGGCAGCGCAAACAGCCCTGCAATCCATAGGCAGAACAGAGCATTTGGCTTTCAACGTTTGGATTAATGATCTCCAGTGTTGTCGGTAGCCGTCATCTAATCGTAGTGCAGTTGTGCCTTTCGAATTCTCTTATTCTGCTTCACATGTCAAGTTACTGCATCATCACCATTTTGAGTAAAACAGGCGTCGATTAGATTGACGAACAGAGAGTACAATTACACATACGCGCGCGAGTCAACTAGCTACGATGTAAATAGATGGAGAACTAGGTAATCCCGCTCAGCGGCCGTATCCAAAATTGGAAGAAGAAACAAAAGGGGTGAACGAGAAGAAGGAATTTGGTATCGTACATGTCGTTCAAGAACAGGAAGCGCTGAAGGACAGGTTGCCCAAAAGGCCGACGAAAAGAAGAACGAGAAAAAAAGAAACTCGGGAGAAATCCTTCCCATATGATTTCCATTGCAAGAAATTTCCCTTGCCAATCGCTTGGTCTGTATATAGAGCCCTTGCTGTGTCCGTGTATACCCGGGTCATAGCCACGTAAAAACCATTATGTCTGGCGCCAATGCCGCTTGAAATGCATGAAAGAAGAGAGTATGAAACGAGGGAATAGAAGGGTAAAGATAGGAGGGAAAAGGTCGCTTATCCAACATGTAAGGATAGTTGGCGTTACTGCTCCAATACTACTCGGCTTGGTTGGTACAGAAAGGACTGGCAAGCAAGTTGTCAGCACTAGGGCGTGCCTCATGATCGATCAGGAATGTCTGTGCTAAGAAAGCGCGAGCATCCTCGCCAGCAGTATCAGGCATGGGAGGGCTAGCATTCGGGCTTTTCCCGATCTTGAAGATAGCTTGGAGTTGAGACAGATTAGGGTGTGGGTGGCTGCCTGTAAACATCTCTACGATGAGACAACCCAAGGACCAAATATCGGCTTTGCGAGTGTATGCGGTTTGTCTCACAACTTCTGGGGCCATCCAGAAAACCGAACCCTGGAGAGAGACGCGTTGGTTGTCCTTTTTGCCGTTGACAAGAGTGGATGTTTCCACACGTTTGGAGATTCCGAAATCAGAAATCTTGACAGATCCCTTATTGTCAACAAGGATGTTGGCTCCCTTGATGTCTCGATGGATAATGTCCCTCGAGTGGAGGTATGACAGACCCTGTAAGATTTGGCGGACAAAGTTTTGGATGAGAGACTCGCCCAGTGGCCCGTAGTTGACCAACATAGTGGCAACAGAGCCACCAGGCACATACTCCAAGAAAATGTTGAGATGGTTTTCGTCCGAGTTGGATCCCAGGTACTGCACAATGTTCTTGTGCTTCAAATCCCTCAGAAGGCCAATTTCGTGTTTCAATGCCTCCACCATGTTCGTCTTTCTTTGATCTCTCTGCGAGGCGCCTGAGGCCGAGGGAAGCTCCACTTGTTTGACAGCCATCAGTTCTCCCGTGACAGCGTGGAGGGCCAAATAGACACTTCCGAAGGAACCCTGGCCGATCAAGGCACCCTTCATGTATTTGACGTTCTCCCAGGAGTCTTGCTCGAGATAGTCATTGAGCTCGTCATCAAACTCTTCCCCGTCCTCTGCGATGGCTGCTGACAGACGCTTGTTTAGCGAATCTCCGTTCTCCGTGTTGCCAGCACTGCTACCGGCAAGACTGCTACCCCCATCATCGAAATATGATTGCATGGTGGTGTGACCCTCAGGGTCGGTGATGGAGACATTGTCAGCATTACTGTCTCCACCAAAGGATACGTAAGATTTTCTGTTGGGTTCGAGGGGGGACTCTTCCTCCAATGGCTCGAGAACAGAGGAAGCCACTGAATCGCGGTATCCAGCTTGAGGGAGTCCAAGTCTCATGACCGAGAGTGGTCGTAATGGTCGAGCTTGATTGCCGCCCTGGAGCCAGTTGTCCGCGATTGATGGAAGAGGGGGAGCATCCTTCAAACTTGAAGCAACACTAAAGTTGGACGCCATAGAGAGACGCGATGCCGCTCGACTGAGCCTTCTGGACCGGCGAATAGACATTCTGATTGTCTTATCGATCTCATCCTTTTCGACATCAGGAAAGTAGGAGGTGAGATCCGATGTGATGAGCTCGCTGGGCGGTCGGGCTCCATAGAACTGTTTAAGTTTACGAGCTTTGGTGATGAACTGGGGCGATCTTGCAGGGCCTTCGAGGTCTTTGGCCGTGGAATGTATATGTCGTTCTCTTTCTCTTTCGGACGAGGGCGACAGAGGATAGCTAACGGCAGCAAGGGACTCTCCAGTAATCTTCTGGATCTTGTCCTTGCTTCTTTCACTGGTAGGGACGAATATGTTCTGTGTTTGTTGGATGCCTTGCTGCTGGAAGATGCCGGCGGCAGTTATCAACTGATCCTCTTCCGGCTCCCCGGTGTGAATCTTGCGGAGAATAAGACGCCCTCTTTCATTGCGGTTCGCATCTTTGCACAATCGGAACAGCTCGATGTCACTTAAACGGTAACATTTGGAGGGGTTTGGATCAGCACCGTCAAGTACGTAGAAGCAATAATTCTTCACGTGTGCTTCGTTCAGCTGCCCCTTGCGCAGCGTCTTGAGCATAATCTCGTCGGCCGATTTGCATCCTTCGATGTTGACGACTGAAGAACGGCCCGTATCGAAGATGACTCGAATCCACGGTTTGTCCGAAGGTAGTATCGCGCTGTTGGTGGCGTCCATACTTGGGGCGCCTCGAGTGTGCTGAGCAAATCGAGCTGTTTGAGGCGTTTCAGTTGGGGTGGTCCGTTGGGGCGCACCGAAACGAGAGGAGTTTGCTACACTGCTGGATGCACTGTACGGTGGGTTGGCATATGTAGACGTCAAGTCCTTCTTGCTGGCGTCTTTAGGGCTGTTCATGCCATTGTATCGTTGTGTCCGTATACCACGATTCTCCTGATCGACCATGGGGGAGCTGGGGCGCGAAGGTTCTCTAGTGGCAGCGTATGAGTAGTTGAATTCGGAGTTTGGAATTTGACGAGACAATCGCTTCTCGGTACGCGTGCTGGAGGGTATGGAACGAGCAGAGTGAAGTGGACGAGGTGAACCAGACGATGACGGAGGGGTGAAAGCGGGATTATCTAGCACGGCCAAAGATTGCTGGTGGACGTTAGTCACTGCTAAAGAACCGAATAGATCTAACAAACCGTACCCTGTTTGATGCTCGCCGAGATGCCTTCTTGTACTCTTTGTTTCGAAGCTGTTTTGCTTGCGAGCCGATGCGGACACGGTCGCCAACCTTCTTGATACCCATATCTTTGAGATGGGTTTGGTCCATTTCCATGAGGTTTTCGCCATTGATATTGTTTTCTGGTAGTGTAAGCCAAATGCAGTGTCTATCCATGGGGGAATCCTACGTTTGAAAAGCTCCGCGTATTGTCCACAATTGATTCGTTTCAACCATTCTCCGACTTTTTCCTCATCCCAGCGCCTAGCTGCGTTAGCTTGCCATCTAGACGATCAAGTGCAATATGCTTTACCTTATAGCATCTGGGGCATCGTAGGCCTCGGAGAATTCAGACTCGGTGGGAGAAGCGTAAAGAGACGTCTCGGTGCGGGAGGACGAGCCATGAGTACGGTAGCTCTGGGCGCTTGAATTGTACTGATTGGTACTTTGGGACGAAGAGGTGGTGATTGAAGGGGGCACGTATGCCGGTTTCGAGGCGAGCATGGCCATTGGGAGGGGTTGTGAGGTATGTAGGGTATCGTATCTAAGCTGTAGAATAGATGCTAAGGGGCGCTTGGCCGCTGGTGTACTGATGTCGATATGGCTGTCACACTGGTATGATTAAGATGTATCAAGCACGCATTGTCGGATTAGGTGTAAGGTGGAGGACAAAGTGCAGGATGACGGCGAAGAAAGCAGGCGGATGCTGTGATGTTGAATAGTTCTTGTACCGCACCCGTCTGGGTCGCACAGCAGCGGTGGGTACGTGGTGGAGGGGCCAAGGCGTGGTAGCAGCAGCAGTAGCAGGCAGACGAACTACGAACAACTAGCTGATGGTCGACGGCAGATGAAAGCGAGCAAGGCGAGATCAAAGATGAGTGGTTCTTGCACGGGGCTTGTAAGAGTGAAGCTGTCTCGGCGAGGTCAGGGCGTGGGCAAGTAAGCGGCGCGGAGAGTGGTGATGGAGGCCGGTGGTGGAGCTGGCTTGGTCGGGGGGAGCGCGGGAGAGGTGCAAGGCGTTGGGACGGAAGAGGGGAGCTTTTAGAGAAACAACGGTCGGTTGGGGATGCTCCTGAAGGCGAGGGCGCAGAGGACGGAGGCAACGGAGCGTGAAGAAACAAAGTCAGTCGCTCAGTTGAAACAAAATAGGCTTCTCAATGAATGAACGATGATCAAGAGTGCGGCAACGGGGTGTGGCGTCGGCCAATCAGGCAACGATGGGCGCGAAGACTTGCTATTGTCCCTTGTATGGAACGAATAAAACGGAGCTTGTGGTGTATCAGGCCGTACCATCTGGGCATGGCGACAGCTGGAACTCGTGGGATGACATAACTCGGCTATCGGATGCTGTAAAGAAACGGGCACGTGTAAGCGGTAATGTGATGGGCGTGATAGACCTGGTTGGCACACCAAGTTCAGGGGACGCCGGGGACGGCAACATGAGACGGAACTAACGATGCCCTGAAACGCAACCCTGAACTTTTGGAGCTCAACCGTCCAGCGTAAGCTGATATGGCTCACCATACTTGATGCCGTGTTATGATAAGATGAGGGTTAATGCGCACGGCAAGAGAAACGGGGAAACAATCAATGCAAACACCATTCCCGCGTAAATCTTTCTCTTTCTGTCCGCTCTCGCGCTCTGCTTCTCCACGTCCCCCATGATCCAAGAAGTACCAGTACATAATCAACCTTCCTTCTATTAATAATAATACCACGTATGTCTGAACTTTGAGACGAAGCAGACGGCATCGCACTGCGCGGTGCCTTTGCCGGACTGCTCTAATTAGCAACCTAAGACCCACCATTGCCGCCGGGAGGTGGCTGTTCACCATTGTTGTTGTTTGTTGTTTATTGTGGTGGTTGCTGCTCGAACCCATCTTGTCAACACCAGCACTAGCAGCGTAGTCCATTCAGCACCGACTCATTCACTCGCCCAAAGGGGGCCATCTGCGCTGTGCTGCAGCCTGTGGTATTCTGGTCAGCGGTTTGCTCGTTTCACTCTGTTAACCGCCAGAGTGCTGGAGGCTATGCGCACACATTCGTAGAAGAACATGTACAACGGTTGCGTGATGGCCCTGCGTCCGCGCTTAAGACTGCGTGCGTGCATGTGCTGAAACCCATGAAACAAAACCAGAGAGTGCGCCATCTACTTGCGCAAAGGAACAGCCCTAGATGCTGGACTGGAATGCTGGGTCGCTTCACAAGCCCCAATCTATCTGAACGCTATTCGCAATGCCGTGGTGGGTGAGGTGGGGACTCATAAGCTGGTTGCCCCATTCCACCTGCATCGTGCTCGTTCTTCACGCGAGAGCCATGTTGACGACTCTGCAAGGCGGGCGCCGCGTGCTACAATGACTCGGCTCTGCGAACCCACCGAAACAGCAGCAACGCAGTAACTCGCGGCATGCCAGCTATTTTTGATGATCCAAGTATTACGCGCTGTATACAAGAGAGGAGAACAGCAGGGTGTATTGTCCATCATACATGGTAGTATTAGATACAAGTCCTCGCTACACCGCAGGTGGTCATGCCTGTGCACCATAGGCCAGGATCGGGAAGAATCGAACTCTAACCATCTTCAAGCGCATCTTATCATTGATCGCGATCACCATATCGCACACAAAGAGACACGGCGGTGATATTCAGGGGCTTCAGAGACATTGCAAAGGCAGAGTTGGGGGCTGAGGTGGTAGAGAGAGGCAACCCATCATCCGGGTGATGTCATGGAATGACGTATCCCTCCTCTGCTCTGCGCTGCCCATGGAACCCACTTTGCAGTCAGAGGAGGCTGCACGGTACTGGGCCATAGTCCAGTGAATGTACTCCCTTGATTCAGGGCTCATTCGCTGTCTTTCTTCTCGACATTTTCCTCTATCCCACGTGGAAACCGTTTTTGTTGGTAGTTCCCACGTATTGCCCAGCGCTGTCCATCCGACGAGGCGCAAACCTTCACCGGCACCAGACAACTTGCACAATTTCAGCCTTCTCCTTTCCGCCCTCTTCTACTACCATCTGCCAGCAATCCCACCTCTCCTCCACTGCTCTGGCCCGTCGCAACATTCATACATACCTGCCCACCTATAATCTACAGCGCAATATCACTCCCGCGCATGCATATGCGCATGGACGACTTGGATTGAACGCAGCTCCTTATGCTGCACCAACCATCAACACCCGACCCAGTCAACGGTTGCCCACCACACCGCCGCCCGTCAGCTAGTCCATACTACTCGCCATAAGCTACTGTACCATGGATTACCACAACCAGCCTCACCAGACCCACTTTCCGCCAGCTCACTACCCTCCAACCTATCATCAAGACACCGGACCACGACGCTCAAGATCCCGCTCCTCGTCGAATACCACTTCCGAAAGTCTTCCTCACTCTACTCACTCTACCACCCACCAGCCACTGAACAACGCCCTCAACAATGCTTTCGACAAATCCGATTCGGCATCCAGGGTGGACCCCGACCTCATTGCCCAAATCACCGCAGAAGTCACCAAATCCGTCATGGAGGAGATCAAGATGCAGTCGGGGATAGGTGCCACCAATCCTGCGCCACCGCAATCGTTCCCACCTTCCACGACATCTCTGCCGCCCCGCAACGTGTACACTCCTCCATCGCCAAAACACGTTGATCCTTTCACCCACAACTCTCCACCTCCAGATCCCGTGACTAGGGACGTCCGCGAGTCCAGCTTGGACGCTACCGACGAAACATCTATCCCCAGATACGAGCAAGCTTCCCGAGAGCAAACCGCCCCAAGACCAGTTCCGCCCAGAATGTCGACCGAGGAAACATACACACCCATCGAGAAGATGTGGCAGCGGCTGTTCGATCTATCGGGACAGCCTACAGACCGTTTGAGCCAGTTTTTGCGTGGCCTTGCGGTACATCTAGTATGAATCATCTCCTTAATGACGGGAAGAATTGGACGTAGTAACAAGTTATAGATCGAAGATTATGAGCCGAAAAACAGTCTTGTCATTTCGCCAGCCAAGATGCTAAAGTTCTACAAAGACGTCGAAATCAGCGATGAAGTATATCCCTGGGCCAGTATGTAATCCCTGTTACCTTCCAAACTCACGGTCGCTCACATTCGATAGAAATATTTGGCGAGTTGCCTTACTCGACATTATGCAAGATTTATCGCGATCTGCGATGTCAGCATCATCTGATCCAGGAGCACAACGCAGACCAGCCTCATATCCCAGCCCTCACCCCTGATGGGTTCCGAGAGTGGATGACGATAATGATTCAAGCGTACCCGAGTAACGAATACGACCGCCTGTCCAAGGCAGTTCTCGACATGCCCATCAGCAACGCAGATGATCGTAAAGAGCGATTCCCCAAAGAGCTCCCTCGTCGCTTGTTCCCTCAGCAGGAGAACTTGCACGCTCAGCAGCGTTGCGCTGCAGCCCTTAGCGCCGAAGGTGTTGGTCCACTTCGAAGAGCTCCTACCTTCCCCCCTCCTCCTCCCAAGGGACAGACTGCTGGTACTGTACGTACATCCCCAGTACAAGATGATTGGATACCAAGGCACCGCGTTGCGCAGTGTCTTGGTGCAACGAGAGTCCATTGGAACCTCTTTGCATACGCCGTACTGACATTGTATTCGCGAATTTAGACAGCAAGCCTTGAACGAGAGCGTAGCCCATATGCCGGACGACCGGACCCTGTGCCTGCAGAGTTCGATGAGGATCGGGAAGAACCCCTTTCTAAACCGATCGAGCGAGAGCGGAAACCATATGCGGCCGCCCCAGGTGGAGGCAAAGTCTATGGCGACGAGCATAGACATAGTGTGCCATCCGAGTCCGCGATACATGAGCAACGTCGCCGTACCCAGTCTACTGCCAGCCAGAATCCATGGGTCCCGCCACCAAATATGTCACAACCTCAACAGCAAGCTCGTGCAGAGCCCCAACCCACCGGTCGCCGTCCTCGCAGTCCCAGCTTCTCGAATTTCGCGCGATCTGACCCGAGCGTACGCGATGTTCCGAATGCCTATTACGCCTCAAACGTGTACAACGCCGAAGAAGACAATAGAAGATTCGCTAGAGATGCAGAAAAAAGACGTGAGGAGTGGTCTGGACGTCATAATGATGGACAGCATGCTCATCATAGACGAAGCACAGCTGGCACCGACAGTTCCTATGATTCGCAGCCGCGATCGGTTTACGATGACGACTACTACAGGAGCGGCAACGGCGGCAGCGGTTATGATAACAGATATGACTCTCGGCGCTATTAATGTTTGTGGTTCCGCTACTTTGGGAATCCTCCTACATGATACGATTGACTCTGTGCTTCATCTTTCATTTCGCGTCGCTTCATGTTTGTTGGCGTCGTTTTGAGATCTAGTTCCCCCTTTCCTTTTGATTTGAAATACCCCCGTTTCCCTATGTATCCCTATATGGTCTGTACCTTTGCGATAAAGTTGCCTATTTTGTATATCAGTTTCTTCCATTTGCCGTTTCTGCCGTTGATTGAGAGGGATTATATCCAGAACTACATTGACATATGCGTATCTGATCTTCTGTCATGATTCAGCAGTCGTGATTTCCATATCTACATCAATATCAACGTTCTCCTTTGGGGCGGCTCGAGAGTCTTAGTTGTGACATCTGTTTTTCTCTATCCTCAATCCTCTTCTTCGCCTTAATCACCGCCATTGCACCAAGCGATTGCGTCGGCGAAGAGCTACAAAAGATAATCTAAGAAGGTAATCCAGGCCCCAGCAACTTAGAAACAACGACACAAATAATCACAATTGTGGCCGCAACAGTGATGTGCAGCTTGCGAATAGTCGTCACATTAGACGGTACGGCCTTGGATATACCCTAAAAACGATCCTCTCAATGTCACGGGCTCCGTATATTTGGGTCAAATAGAAGAAGGGGAGAGATGCGCAGACGCGATCTCATGAGAAGCCGCTTTTTCGTTGGTGGTATCGTTCTACGCTTTCGCACCCAAATCAAAAAAGGTATCACAAACGTATGTAGGCATAGTCGCAAGTATATTCAGTACTTAAGTATGTGCCAACGATGTGATGCAGGACATCTGGAAGTATGCTACTGATACGAAAATCCACACCGTTTGTCATTCGGTAGTTTACACTTTCTGATATATTTGTGAATGCGCTGAATGGAGACAGATTATAGTTGTTCAGGTTCAGACGCTGTCAATGTCCAAGGGTTGGGGCTAGGGTCAGGGTTGGCGTAAGCCACTTTACGCGACCAGACGACTGCGACGCGTCGCGCAACTTTACAAAATCGCCGACTTACAGACCAGCAACCCAACACACCACAACAATGGCACTACTCGTGGACAAACACAGGCCAAGGACTCTCGAAGCCCTGACTTATCACCCCGATCTATCTGATCGCCTCCGATCACTTGTGAGTCAACATCAAATCGCAAACAAACCGCCGCCGCTGACAGCACGGAATAGGCCCAAAGCGGTGACTTCCCTCATCTCCTCGTCTACGGCCCGTCTGGCGCTGGCAAAAAGACACGGATTGTCGCAACGCTAAAGGAGTTATACGGACCAGGTGTAGAGAAGATCAAAATCGACGCACGCGTATTCCAAACCACGTCGAATCGCAAGCTAGAGTTCAATATTGTTGCTTCGGTTTACCACCTCGAGATCACGCCTTCAGACGTCGGCAACTATGATCGAGTGGTTATTCAGGATCTGCTCAAGGAAGTGGCACAAACACAACAGGTCGATCTCGCTGCAAAGCAGCGGTTCAAAGTGGTGGTGATCAATGAAGCAGATCATTTAACAAGGGATGCACAGGCTGCACTGCGCAGGACAATGGAGAAATACAGTCCAAATTTGCGACTCATTCTTTTGGCGAACTCAACGAGCAATATCATTGCGCCCATAAGAAGTCGAACGCTGCTTGTGCGGGTTGCGGCTCCGACGGAGGACGAGATATGTGGGGCCCTGAGAAACGTGGGAAAGAAGGAGGGGTGGAGCGAGGTCTCGGGCTTGAACAAGAGAATCGCGGTAGAGAGCGGAAGAAACCTGAGAAAGGCGCTGCTGATGTATGAGGCCGTACACGCACAAAAGTATGTGTTTCCAAGAAACTCGGCGGAAACTGGAAGCTCAATTTGCTAACTCGTTTCCGCAGCGAGAACGTAACGGACTCAACACCAATCCCACCCCCAGACTGGGAAGCCCTCATCGCACAGGTCGCGGAACAAATTGTACAGGAGCGCAGTCCGGCACGGCTCCTGCAAGTTCGCGCTTCACTCTACGACCTCTTGTCACATTGCATCGACCCTACCACAATTCTCAAAACTTTGACCTGGAAGCTGATACCTCTCACGGATGACGCGCTTAAACCTGAAGTCATCAAGTGGGCAGCATACTACGAGCACAGGTGTAAAGTAGGCGCCAAAGTCATTTTCCACCTCGAAGCATTCGTCGCGAAGTACATGCGGTTGTACGAAAGGTATGTACTCCTCTCCATATATGCGCCTGGATGGAAGACTAATGTCCACCACAGCTTCTTAATGGGTGTCGACTTCGACTGAAGCACTGCAGAACGCCATGCATCATAAGACAAGGGCCATTCAATTGTACCAGTAGACATTAGCTTCACATGCAGAAGGAAGGGTCGTCCCGACAAAAAAACTAAATGGGGCATTGATTGACGTCATAATTCGAATAGTTCGGAATCAAACACCTTACATGTACAGAAGCTTAGCTCCTGCATTCAAAGCTCCTCCTTCCCCCTAGAAATTCAAAGAGGAAAGCAAAATACACAAACAAACCACAATCTGAACTACATCAATCACACTCTTCACATTCCCCTTCCTCTATTAAAATCCATCCCGGTCCAATCCCCTCTCACAGAATGTCCTCAAACCTCGTAGACACCGTCCCAGGCGGCGAAGACACGCCCTACGAGCAAGACAACTCAGACGTGAAAGCGCACGCCAAACAAGCTGGCCAGCTAGGCGGTACTTACCCTCCCCTTTTCCTTTCTCTCTCTCTATTCATGCCCAATCACTCCAAACGCAATCCCACATACACACACAGATGGATATAGCTGACCCAAATACGTCACTCCCCATCTAGACCCCGCAACCGGCACAACCACCAACCCACACACTTCCGCGTCCAACGCACCCAACACGCAAGGCGTCACGCCGGCCGAGAAGATTAGATACGGGCAATCGATACAGGAGGGTGGTGCTGGGGGGAAGACGGGGACTGTTAGTGGGGAGGTGAGACAAGGTACGTTGTTTGCATTTTTTTTGTTGGGTGCGATGGGCGAATAGGATGCTGATTGGTTACTTTAGGAGGATTTGGAGGTACTGAGGCTTTGGATGAGCAGGGTGCGAGTGCTGCGGAGCAGCGGAGGGCACAGGGATATGGGGGGAGCAAGGATATGGATAGGAATATTGGGGCGTAAGGATGGTGCGATGTGCAGACATGTGCTGGTGAGAGAGGTTGCGGGGGGGAATATTGTGATGGTGTTGATTCATGGTATGATTAAGCCTTGAATGAAAAGGCTGAAACTGGGGTATCGACATGCTATAAAATACAGATAATGGATCCTTCTTGATGCTTCCCTAAACGCCGTGACAGATTCGCAATGTTGCTGAGGCCGAGATAATAGAGATCCCTTCATGCAGCTTTCCCTTTCCCTTTCCCTTCGTAGGCTGGTTGTTCCTCCTCCGAAACCTCTTCTTCCTCATCGCTGTCACTCAAGAACTCATCGTCCTCGTCCCATCCGAACATGGCCTTCTGCTGTGCCGGCTTGGATGAGCTAACCGGTTTCACCGGTCCTGCTACCGGGATCTCATCATCATCATCCTCCTCCGAGCTCGAGCGTTGTGCCATGAGCATCTTCTCAATAGCCTCCCTCGTCTTGTTCTCAGCTTCCTGCTTGTCTTCCACCCACTGCCCGTCCAACCGCGCCATGCCTCTACCGTTGATCAGTTCCTCCTGCTTCCGCTCAGTGCTGGCAACAATATCCTCCCAGCGCTGCTTCCGCTCTTCCTTCTCCTTCTTGTCCATCTCAGGCTTGATGGCAAGGTACTCCGCGAGCGTCTTCGCTTCCGCCACGGTACGCAGACGTCGACCATCCAGGTTACGCGAGGATCCGTTCACTTCGCCCTGCTTCTTCTTCCGCGACGACATGCGGCCACCCTGTGCACGCAGGATGGAGCCGAAACCACCCTTGCCACCGCATAGCGGGACTGTGAGACGGAGAGGCAGGAAAGTATCATCGTTCGATGACAACAGTGTGTCGATGGAGCCCTCGTGACGGACGAGCCGACGCGAATTTGTTGTGAGGATGTAGGATGAGTTTTGCACCCATGGTGCGCGTTCGTAGAGGGTCTCATAGATGGTGTTGAGAGGCGCATCTTTGGTAGTTGTGAAGGCGATGCTTTTGCCGAGGTTGTCGATGATGACTGTGACGGGTTTTTGCTGGGTGATGGACTCCATCTTGATGACCGTGGGTTTGTAGAGTTTTGTGGGTTCGAGAGGCTGGTGGATGTTGAGTGTGCTGGGCAAGTGTCTGGAGAGAGAGGCAGGCAGGCCGAAGGCGGGACTAAGATCTTTGGAAGTCTTGGCGCGTCTCTCACAGGAGCAACATGAAGATTATTAGGTAGCACGGGACTTTGAACACAGGAGATAGTTAAACTTGTATACCTTATTTTGAGAGCTCTGATACTATTTGTCACGCACATAACACACGTTCTTGAATTAAACGTATGTCTAAATAGCTGAATGTTTATTGGTGTTCAGTCTACTAGCCCACTTTTTGGAGATCTTGAGAGACCGTCGGTCGTTCGAGAGAATGGTCCGTGCATTGCCAAGCCACCACTTAGCGAGCACCGTCCGCACTGCACCTTTCCAACGAATTTACCAGCTCGAACTTCTTCATCGACCTCCATCCGACATCAATCCGGTATCCACGACTCCGCACAACCGTCAAGATGCTTATCCCCAAGGCCGATCGCAAGTTGATTCACGAGTTAGTGCTCTCCCACCAATCTCATCACAGGCGCAATTGCGACGGCACATTTGGTCAATATTGTTCAGCTTGCACATGAGTTCCAAAATCCCTCTTCAATGCCATTTGAGTAGAATATGTGCTAACAGGTTTTCTATAGGTACCTCTTCCGCGGTTAGTATACTCCCCGTACTCGCGAGCCATGGCTATGGCAAAGTATACATTTTCAGCGGCTTCACGCTGCATTACAAGGATAGGCTGACACACGGTCACCACAGAGGGCGTTCTCGTTGCGAAGAAGGACTTCAACCTTCCCAAGCACGGCGACATTGACACCAAGAACCTTTACGTCGTCAAGGCCTGTCAGTAACCCACCTCTTTACCTTCGATACCGTGCATTTGCTGCATCGGCAAGAAGGAAACGTACCCAGGGCAAATCTAACAACATCGTCAGGCCAATCGCTCACCTCCCGTGGCTACGTCAAGACCCGTTTCTCATGGCAATACTACTACTACACCCTCACCCCTGAGGGTCTCGACTACCTCCGCGAGTGGCTCCACCTCCCCGCTGAGATTGTGCCCCAGACGCACATCAAGCAGCAGCGCACCCACGCTCCTCCCCGTGGCATGCTCGGCGGTGACGACCGTGAGCGCCGTGGCGGTGGCCGTGGTGGACGTGGCGGTGACCGTGAGGGATACCGTCGTCGTGATGCTGGCGAGAAGGGCGAGGGCGGTGCTCCCGGCGAGTTCAAGCCCGAGTTCCGTGGTGGCTTCGGACGTGGCCGTGGCGCTCCCGCTTCTTAGGATTAGGCGGTTGCTACCACTGTTCGCGAGCATGGAAGTCTTCGTTTAATCTTCACTAAAAGGAATCGAGTCATCTTGTCCTGGGCTGCATTATATACATTGGGATCGGATACGGCGACAACACGGCGAAATGATGGATGACAGACACTATGAATGTTAAGCTCATCGAGTTGCACTGCAACTTTAGACGAGTCTCTCCCAATGATACCCATTCTCTTTCAGTGACACGATATCTGATGTGACGTATCCATTCTTACTGTGCGCAGATGTTCTTCATTGGAGAGATGTCGAAAAGCAAACACAGCATGCTTGTGAACATGATCTGAGCATACGTACATGTATCATCCCAACCATTCATATACGGTTTTCGTATCAAGGCGAAGCATTCCGATAAGCTACCTTGCATCATAGTAAGTACAATTTATACATTGACATAGAGTTCAGCTGTTGCAGACCCTGCCAAGTTATGTACCTCACCCCATCAGCCGACGACCATCAACCTCTTCCAACGACACTCAACACCACCTCGTCGACATTCCCCTTCCTCTCCCCGACACCCCTAAACGTCTTACGTCCCCTCGCAAGCCAATCGACCGCAATGATAAGCACAACAACAGCATACACCAGACTCACATAGTTCATGTTCCCAGGAACGACGGGTTTGGCATAAGGAAACGAATACATGATAAGAGTGAAGAGAGTCCAAGCGAGCGTGACAATGTTCGCGAAGAGTCCAACGGGGCCGAGGAAGAAGGGTCCAGGTGTTAGTGTCGAGCGGCCGCGGAGCAGGAGACAGATTACCGGGATGGAGTAGCTGAGGTAGAGGAGGACGATGCAGGCAGCGATCATTCTGCGGTGGTTTAAAGCAGCTTGTGATCAGTATGGCATGAGAGAGAAAGGTATCGTTCTACCGCAGTCAAGAAGAGTGGGTCAACTTACGAGTTAAAAGCCGTCAAACTCGCTAGATATAAACACCCCACCACCGCCACGATGACGCAGCTGGTCAAATGCGCGTTGAGGGGTACATCCAGCCTCCCATGAACTCTGCTCAACCACGCATAACCGGGCAAGCCTCGATCGCGCGCGAAGCTCCAGCACAGGCGACTCTGCCACGTGTGGCTCGCGACGAGACAACCGAGGCCGGTGGCGATGATGAGGCATTCCAGCACGATGGCGCCGGGTCTGCTGTTGAGCGCTTGGTAGAAGAGTTCGAGGACGGGGACCAGAGTCGGGGTGGCGATGATGTTTGCAAAGTCGCCGACGATGGAGAAGAACATGGCCATGGACCAGAACCACGAGGTTATGAAGCCGATTAGAACCGTGCCCATGATTGCGATGGGGACCACTGCATTCTCATGTCAATCAACATGGGATCGAGATTCGAGACTCGAAATTTAGCGAGGCAGGAGATGATATCGGAATCAAGAAAGAGAGGGAATATGAACGTACTGCGCTCGGGACGATGCACTTCCTCGGCAAGATGCGTAGCACAATCCAAGCACGCAAAGCTCCAATTCGTATTCACGAGACCAACGATGAAGGCGATGCCGTTCTGGCTCCATCCAGTGTTGTTTATAAAAGTGGCGAAGACGAATTTGGCATGCTGGTGCGTTGGCGCTACCGCGGGGACAGTGACCAAGATGACGAAAAAGGATAAAAGCGAGGTCCAGAGACTGACTTTGGCTACCGTGGGGAGAATCTTGCCGAAGCAATTGAAGATAAAGCAGAAGATGTTGACCAGCTGGTAAGCGACGAAGATGTGCCATGGCTTGATGGTGCTATGGTACTCCCCAGAATCAGCCAATCTGTTCATCTACCCGTCAAAGTGTCAAGTTCTTTTTTTGTAGTTGGATCTATATTCAAACAAGCAATTCTCGCATGCAACGATTCGAAACAAGCACACTCCGAGTCTGTTTACTGGCTTTCGAAGCAAGGGGAAAAAAAAAACTAAACTTCAGAGCAACTTACAAGTCTGGATGAGAGAGCTGGTAACACCCGACAACAGCACTCCCCACCGCCAAAGCTACACTAGCACTGGTGAATATACTCCCAGCCCACGCAAACCATCCGGTCAAATAACTCGCCAAACTCGCCCACTTCTTGGGCGCCAGCTCATTAGCCCAAAAGTACTGGCCACCAGCATTCGGCAGCGCGCTCGCAAGCTCACTGAGCGTGATGCCCACGCACGTCGAGACAAGGGCGAGCAGCAAGATGCCATAGATGATGAGCAAGGGCCCGCCGGAATTGATTCCCGTGATGAGCGCAGCCGAGATGCCGAACCACGAGTTTGTGAGGGAGAAGCCGACGCCGAGGACGCTCCAGACGCTAAAGTTGCGCTGCATGTCCTGCGTGTAGCCCATTTCGGCCAGCTTCATGGCATCGTGGTCGACGTCGATGCTGGGGGATGACCCTTTTGGCGTCGTGGCCATTTCAGAGTGTTCCCCGATAGGCTCCGAGGCCTTTTCGTGCACGCCGCTCGAGGCCTCGTCTGCCATGGCTCTTTCTCTCTCACTCACACAAGCACCTTCTCTTTTCTCGCTTGGGAAAGCTCTGGAATGGTGGTGGGTTTGCAGATGCGGAATGCTGCGAGTGTGGTTTGAGCTGATTACCGGATTGGGCGTAGGCAGCGTGGGGGATTAGGACGAGGATAGGATTGGATAGGATAGGATAGGGAACCAGGGGAGAGCTGATAGGGCGGTTCCACTACAACGCAATTAACGCTGTGTCTGTGTGTGTGCCCAGAGACTTGTTTCGAGTATCAAGATATCCCAGGTGCGAAGAAGTGTGCCCAGTCAACAAGTAAAACAGAGAAGGCGAGATGAGAGGAATGCAAAACCCCAGCAGCGTCCTTCGAGCTCGGAGGAGGGGGGGGGGAGTTAATGTAATCCCATGAGATGTGTGAAGCAGGAGCCCGGCCAGCATAGGTAGATAGATAAGCGTAGATAGTACTGCAACCTCATGGGTTGCTGTGGCATCGGGTCGGGCTCCCGATGACGGGTCACTACATACATACATATCATCTCACGTTGACACTTGGTCCATTTGCCAATGGGACGATTCGATCCCGCAAACCTAAATTCCCATTCCAGAAACGATTGGTGTACTTTAAGCTCGCCAAATAGCATCACATCAGCCACATCAGAAACCTAGCAAGAGTCCCTCGGAATCCCAGAGCGAGGGCAAGAAAAATAACAAGTCGGAAGCTGGTTTCCCAAGGAATGTGAAGGTTAGGGCTATCATTGTTATGCGGGCTGCGCGGTCAAGGGCGTTTGATTGGACAGACTCGGGGGAGGGGGATGGGGGAAGGACCCTGCTGCGTCAGTCTGAAAGACTGCGGTGATCCCCAAAGAACGAGCGTTAGCTTGCAGGATGACATGTTTTGACAACGACTGACGTCTTTCGAGGGAGCACGAAGGAAGCAAACAAGAAACGGGTTTGTCTCACTTTTCCCTCTGGACGGCGCGTTGTTGCGATGGGGTCAGGCGGGCGGCGATATGTACATATGTATGTAGGAAGCCACTGTACATACCTAAGTACGTATATAGATACATGACTTAGGACAGGACATGGAGAGGGAGCTTATCCCCACTGGCGAAGGATTGCAGCATACGCCGTAATCATACTTGCAATACACAGTAACCGAGTCACACGAAAAGGACGGAAGCATTTCCTTCGGGCCCTATTGGAAATCCATCCCGATCCCCTCTGCAACACACACACACACACACACACACACACTCACTTTAAGAACCGACGGGGGTACTGCAACGATCCAACCCAACAGGAGTAGACGAACAAACAAATCCCCGACGGAAAGACGATGATGCACATGCAACATCAGGGCACCGCAGCCTCGGCTCGAGGACTCGTGTGTGTTGAATGGTTACACAGCGTCATGCAGCCTCGAGGCAGGCAAGAAGACACATATACACGGCACTTTACGATGAGGGAGCCCGAGCCAGCGGTTCGTATGGTGGTGGTGATTCCACGGACACTTCTCTACCACATCTAGGTACCGGGGAAAGCAAGTGTTGGGATAGGTATATGCAGCTTTTGAGCCCGAGTTCGGATTGGTTGAAAACACACACTTGAAGTAGTAGACCCTGGAGCGATGACTTCCCATGACGGGAATATGGTACCAGAGAAATATTGCTTTCGACACTATTGCTGCGGATGTTTGGACTCGCAAACTCGACTTGGTCGGTCGGTCATGCACACTTCTCGCACGACAATAGACGGGAACAATGTGCGACGAACCAGCCTCATCCCGCCGACTTTCTTCTTTCCTCTACCCCTCGCTCGCTCACTCATGGTTGAGCTGCGTGCCTGGAGGGTCTTGGGTGTATACATGAGCTTTTCTCCTCCAGTGTATCCATCTGATTCGCGTATGAGAGACTACATTAGATGCAAAGAAAAGAAGGCAACGACGAGTCAAAGCAGCAGCGGTGACGTGCATATGTATGTGCATAGTTACACAAAGGCAAGCCAACAGGCTGGAAGGGAAGTTTCAAGTTTCAGCCATCAAGCCGGAATCCAGGGTAAAAGTCATGTGTTGTGTTCATGGTGATTTAGATGTGTGATCCAAACGTATGATGATGACTGTCAAATGATACCCCTACATATCAATCTTCTTCTTCTGCTTCTGCTCCCTAGCTCCATCTTTACCAATGAAAGACATGCATGCAGCATCGCATACGAAACGATGGTTGGGGGGCAAGAGTCATGCAAACGAGTGGGGATTAGGCAGGTCGTTTGCCTTCTTGTGTAACTCAAATCAGGCAGCTTGTGTAGTCCACCCGATTGAGCCGCCGCAACCCCAAAACGGAACAAGAACAAAAAAAATCATAAAAAAGCAAAACCTTCATCATCAGACGTCACATCACCACGAGACCGACTTGTGAAAAAAATCTCATCATGTTTTGGTCTGCGTTCAAAAATCATGGTATTGTACGATTATGCTTTGGGTGGGAATGCTGAGTACATGAGGATACCAAAGCGACAGAACAGAATTCGAGCAAGGGGCATGAGAGAGTAAGGGAAATGTTTGATATATTGAAAACAACCACGCCATACCCACGTAAAGACGTACAGCCAACCGCCTGATTCGAACCGTGCCATCCGAGCACCCGACATTGCTCCATATCGCCCATACTTGCAGCCAATTTCTCGTGTGCATTGGCAGTATCAGGAGAGCAGCACCTTATTATTTTCTTTCGCCGTGAGGGTATCCATATTCCGAGATGCGCCGCCAGTACTGTCTGCAAATCAAAGAAGTTCTGTGTGTATCATATTTAGCTCAGCTTCTGGTCCTGAGGGTAGTGCTGGGCGGGGTGGCGAGGCATACCGCCTTGCGGCATTCCTGGGTATTGACTTGTAGGTTGTTGCGTCTGGGTCAGATACTGCTGGTAATGCAGAGCGGCTTCAGGAGTCATGTATGCCTGGGGCATGCCCTGAGCTGGAGGCATTCCTCGAGGTTGCGCAGGCATCTGGGCATGGCTGTCTTCGGGCGACTCGCCGCCGTTGCCATCGTCGACGCCATTGCCGTTATCGGATGAGGGTTCTGGTGCGTTGAGGCACGCCTACGACGCGTCAATTGACCGTCGCAACAAGAGGGTGCACGGAGCGGGGGGAAATGACTCACTTGAATAAGGTTCTTGCCCTCGGGTTTTGTCACAAGCGGCTGCAGCTTGGGTGTGGTGAAGGTGTAAACAAGACCCGTCTCGGACACGACGAGCAGCAGCACTTGGGTGCCCGTGAGGACCGACAGTTCGTAGGCCTGCGAGCAGCACGGTTAGCGAGGAAGACACGGCAGTGAGGGCGTGTTTTGTTTCTCTTGCGACGCGGGTAAACGGTGAGGATGGGGCGCGACTGGGATAGCGCTGGGAGAGGGCGCATGGTGGTGCGGTTTGAGTTTGAACGCACCTTTTTCATGATTCCGGCCTTGCGCTTGGAGAAGGTGATGTGCCTGCGCGACTTGTCCTGGATAAACTTGATCTCAATCTTTCTGCGCTCACGGCCAGGCTTGTCATCGTCATCGTCGTCGTCGTCGGCGGCCGGGCGCTGGCGCTTGGTGCCCCGGGCAGCGTCGCCTTGGACGAGAGCACCATTGCCGATGCCGTCGTCGTGGACAGAGGGCGACGCGTTCTGATCGTGGTCGGTGATTTCAGAGGCCATTGTGGTTGGACGCGCAGGTTGTCGAAGTGGTGGGCTAACTGCTTGTGGGCGACAGCTTGTGGTGTGGAGAGTTACAAGGCTGTGTATGGTTAGATCGGGGCGGATGAAAGAGGAAAAGCAGACGCGCTTGGAATGAAAAGAGTTGGTCGGGGGTGGAGGGGAAGGGGGGGGCGGGCACTGAACCCTTTGACAAAGCAAGCAAGGAATGAGCAAGTCGCACAGCGCGGCCGGCGGCGGGGGCAATGCTTGGCCAATAAGATTGGGGGGGCAGGGAGCGAGTGAGCGAGCGGCTGGGGAAGGGAAAGGGAAAGGGCTGGCTGGTTGGGAAGGCGAGTTTGACGTATCGCGCCCGCTAGCCGACGGCCGACCGACGTACCTGTTTTTGCTCGTGGGCCGCCTCTCTTTAATGCGGTGGGCAGTAGTGATGAGGAAGAAAAAAAAAGTGAGGGACCGGTAATTTTTTGAGGCCGCCGTTGGAAGAGAGATAGAGAGAGAGAGGTTCAATGCCCGTCAGAAGCGATGAGGTTTCTTTTTTTTTGGAGCGGTCAACAAGGGTAGAGTAAAACGGTTTGGGAATTGACAGATGTATGTATGGGTGTATGGGTGTGAGTGGTGTGTGAATGCCAGGCAGGCAGGCAGGCAGGACAGGGCGGGAACAGGTAATCGAGGGTAAGTGGGTTGGTTGGTTGGTTGGTTGATAGGTAGGTAGGTAGGGAAGAGTGAGAGAAAAGGGAAATAATGCCTACATACCGAAACGGATTGATTGATGGATCGAGGTGGTTGTTTCTGGAGTAATAGAGGATAGGATAGGATAGGATAGCAGCAACGGTAGCAGCAGGATAGGGTACTGCAGGCAGGCAGGCAGGAGTAGGCCAACGTAAAGTAAGGCAAGGCAGGCTAGGGCAATGGTAGCTGGCTGGCTGGTGGTGGTGCAGGCGTGTGGGAAAGAGCTGTCTCAGAGAGGGAAAGCGATGGAGAGATTGGGGAAAGTGAAACGGGCAACCCGCAGTTAATGTTTCCCGCACGTCTACCTACACGACGACGACACTACATGCATTAATTGAGTGGTGCTCACAGACTCCATCCCTCGCTCGCTCCAGCACGGCTTGTGAACTGTGGACTGGGGGCGAACGCGCTTGGGGGGGGTGGGAGGGGACATGAGGCTTGAGCGCACCCCCAGCTGCTGCTGCTGCTGCTGCTGCTTCTGCTGATCGGACGGCCGCCTCCCAGCCCTGTCAACGGCTCCAGAGGGGGCAGCGTTTGCACTTGGACAGCCGTTCCGGTGCGTTGCGGCCAGCACAGCTCGACGCCGCCTTCTTCCCACGCGCAAAACGGCCTCTCTACATACTGTCTCCAGCGCTGGGCCGGCCTGAAGGGTTGACGGTCTCCCCCAACGTCTCAAACAGGTATATCACGATGCTGTCCAGGTCGAATTCCCCCCATCCGCGGGCTGGCCAATGGACGAACGCCGGTGGGGCGCGCTAGAGACCCGCTAAAAAAGGCCGCTGACTGTGCGCTCTACCGCCTTCCGCATGGGGCCTAGCGGCTCCCGTGCATCCACAGCGGCCATAATCTGGGCCCTGGCCTGCCTCCAACTCACCGCCAGAGACTCTAATTGTAGACGCTGTGCTCTCGTCCGCTGCCGGGGTGCGTCTTTTAGTCCACTGGCAAACTGATTGATGTACATACATGTATCCATGTATTGCGTCTTGCCGGCCATGTACTCGATATGCACTCGGCCATGGGGGTCGGTGGCTCGTGATCATCCAGCCATCCAGCAGCATCAATCATCATCAATCAATGGGCCAAAAAGTACCTAACATGATGCATCCATGTCAGTCCGTGCAGCCCGCCAGGCGACAGAATACCCACCAATCCGTCACCCATACGAACTGCTATTCGGCGACTCCCGTTTGGCCCATCGACTTTACCACCACCACCAGCACCATCAACGACATCTGCTGCAACAACCACAACAACACCCACAACACAGTTCCACATGTCCATGAGACACTGACCAAGTATACGCCATGTAATCGTACCATTTGGCTGCGGACATTCTTGCAACGGCCATGTTCTGGCGCCACTTGGATGCTGAGTGTGACCTGCGTGATGTGATTCGCTACGCGCCTGCCTTGAAACCACTCGAAACCTATCACGCCTCGCCTCTCTCCACCTGCGACGCTTTCGTCCAAAGCCTCTTAATGCTCGAAGCGCCTCGCGCTGTGCACTTTCCCCTCCCCTACGTATTCACGCACTCTCGTTTTTCCATTCTCTCCTGCTGCTGCTGGTGCTGGCTGCTGCTCAGTATTTTCCCTTCTACCCTTCTTCTCCGCCATCCTACTTTTAATACTCAACTTCTGTACTTGTATTCTTTGCGAGCACGCCGGCCGGCTCTGCGCTCGACTTGCCCTCATTTGTCTCTTTCTGCCCGTATCTTCGTAGACGAAGCTGGAAACGCCGCCACTTCTATTCGCTCACCCATCTGTGTATTGCATTGATCAACCGCCAACATGCCCACCAAACTCATGATGATCTTCGTGGGGCTGGACTTCATCTTCGCGGGATGCGGAGGTCTGGTGCTGGGCTTCACGCTTACCTCGGAGCAGCGCATGCGCGAAACTCCCACCATTGACAATGTCATACAGAACCTTCTGCTTGGCCAGTGTCCGCTAACAGGTACGACCATTTTCCATCCCGGGAAGAGGAGGGGGAGGAGGAAGAGAGCAATGGGCGCAATGCATGGGAGGAAGAGAAGCGGTGGGAAGCCGGTGTATTGGCGCGACTGTGGCTGTCCAATGTGCTACACATGGCGAGAAAATGCAATGGAACAGTGGCATCAGAAGGCTGTCCCAAAGGAGAAATGAGAGCTAACTTGCAAACAACAGCCGGTGTGGTGAATGCCATCTTCATCTTCGTTACCTTCCTCCTATCTCTGCCCGGTCTCTTCCTGCCGACCAATCGAGGCTGGCTGCGCGCCCAGGGCTGGCTCGTCGTCTTCTGCGCAATCTTCACTCTTGGTCTCGGTCTCGCGGTTTGGGTAGAGACGCTGCAAACTCGAACCGGTCTCAGCCACATCTGGGCCAGGGAGACTCCCCTCGTCCAGAGTCTACTCCAGCAAAAGGTATATACACATTTGGCATACCATCTTCCTATTCTGGCAACCACCCCTAACCGGATATGGAATTTACTATGATATGCTTTGCCAAAGACGGGTGCTGACATGGTACATGTAGTTTGACTGCTGCGGATACTTCAATTCAACCTCACCTCCCTTCCAGCAAGACAACACCTGCATCAACTCGTTGGTGGCCGCGCAAAAGGGTGGCTGCATTGGACCGTTTTCTTCTGCATCCAACAAATACCTCGATCTTATCTTCACTGCGGCTTTCGGTATCGTGGGCGTCGACACCCTCCTCGTCCTCTGCGTCGCCATGGTTCTCAAGTACAGGCAAGAGCAGGAACGCTACAGGCACATTGACGAGAAGAACGGCTTGGGAGGATTGTAAAAAAATAGAAAAGAAAGGGCATCTAGACCTACGAGACGGGACAACCCTACAGAGACAGAAAGAGAAAAAAAGATGAACAAATAAATGGATCCAGGTGAGGAAACATGTACGAAAGTGGGTTTTGTGAACAAGAAATCCTAGTCGATGTTTTCAGTTGATAACAGCTTGTATATTGTGTGTCCGTTATCATCAAACAACGACTCTTGCTTTCCCACAATTCTCGACCCTTTTGACTCGTGTATCTGGCGCGGGCTTGTTTAGTGGTAATGGCAGGAAAACGGGCGCTCGCTCGCGTTTGGAAGACGTCAGCAGTGCTGATCTCTTTTGTATTTCGTTTCTTCACTTCTTGTTCTTGTTTTTTCTTCTCAATTCGATCCCCAATATATCACTCTGCTTTTCTGCATATTAGCGTTTTCATATTCGAATAGACCAAAGCATGTATATCACACGTAATAGAGAATCACCATTGCAACGGAGCATTACAAAGCGAAGCATGCAGGCATGCAAATGACACAAACGTCGCGGGACCAGCGACACTGCCAGTGCTAAGTCATCCGGGGCTTCGGCACATGGTCGAAACCGTTCCGCGCTACTCGTTCGTTTCGAGCCGCCTCAAGCCCAGCATGATGCCTGTCTACCCTCTGCCTCAGCCTGTCGGTAGTCTCGGGACCGACTTGACTGGGTGAACCGCGGCAGAACGAGCTCGAAAGAAAAAAAAAGGATACGAGCGAACGACACTTGTCAAACATGACTCGGGTTTCTCCGCAACATGAGTGAAGGAGCTATCGAGTCGTTTGGAAATATGGGCGGCCTCGCTGGCTGGCTGGCTGGCTGCCTGGCCTGGCCTGGCCTTGGACATGGAGGTACCCAGAGCACGAGCAAAGATGAGCAAGCATGCATCGCACTCGGGAACAGGGTAATTCGAATGAGAGAAAAAAAAACAGTGAGAGGTAAGCCAACACACACTAGCGCTCCCGTCTGCTTCACTAACAAGCCATGCAGTCCGTTCGGATCCCTGCTTCCTATATTCTTTCATTCAACATTCATATCTACTCACACGCAGGCAGACCCGACGGGGCGGACTGGCGCTCTTTTTTCCCTTACTACTACTACACTAATTCACGGCCTTTTGGCCCTCTCTTGAATTGCGGTGTCCACCCATTTTTCTGTTCTGCCTTTACCTCTCCCCCCCCCATGTTCCCCGATCCATGTCGTGCTTGGACAATGTATCGATCGAAAGTGCCATGATACATGACTTACTAGCCTCATGTTGTCCGTTTCCTTTGCGCGTGCTGCGCGTAAACTCGATGTCGTTTTGGACAAAACGTCGATGATAACGCAGAGTTCGTATTGCTCGTGCAGCAGAACAGCACGCGCACCGTGACGCATAACCGCATGCAAGCAAACGCGTGTCTATGTGTGTGTGCGTGCACGTCCAATTGTTTTTTGGAACCATGTATCCTTTGCCAATTCTGCATTGCATTGCTTGCAATTCCCGGACTGCATGCGCTTACTGTTAATGTCCGATAGGCGGCTTGGTGGGGGGGAAGGGAAGGGTCATCGCTTGCCAGCAGCCAGAGAGCGGTGTCCTTGTCTCGTCAGTCTGACTGTCCGATGTCGTTTGACATCGAGACCCTTCCTTTCCCGCCTCCTTCCAAACCGACCTTTCCGCTGATCAACCGAGGGATTGATTGGAGGAGAGATACTTTTACGGAGTTATTCTTTCCCTTTTGTTTCACGCTGTTCCGCGTAAGCAGTGGACACGGATCAATCTTTCGCTATAAGAGTCCCATGTCTTTTTTAACCACTCCGCCAAGGGAACATCTTGCAGAAGTTGTATAGTATCAAGTGTCTATTCAACTCTATCTATCTATCGGATATGGATTTCAATCCTTTTTTTTCCCTTCTCCCTTATCTTTCCTGCCACCAAGGATATGCATATCCAGATTTTCTTGCTCGGTAAAACAAAACACCGAGTCAGGACCCAAGGTCCAGATTGCCTTACCCCCCCTAGAGGAAAAAACCCCCACCACGGGATTAAGTACAGCACATCCAGTAGTATGTAAACTTTAACAGCATCCATCGCGCGAGTGACGAAGCACCTGTGAGCATGCATCGCTTGCATACACTCGATGTGGCGAATGGGTTTCTTTTTTCTTAGCGAATTAATCGCCCTGCGTGTGTGGGGACTCGAACTGCGTCGTGAGGTGGTGCGCCCCTCTCCCCTCCTCCCTCACTCTCTTTCTCGAGTGGATTCTTCTTCTTGGCCATTCCCGTCGAATCGTCTGGTTTTTAGATTCCATGTGCGTTATGCAGGGCAGAGTGCCGGGAATTACTTGTCTTGGGATTGGGATGAATACCTAGGTAGATATTAGGGGGTTGGTGGGGTTTTTGTGACAAGCCGCTTATCGCGACGCAAATACATCGCAAAAGAAATAGAATGGAGTAGAAAAAGCACGTCAAGATAGTCGCATCTCATCATCTTCTCAAGGTCCCTCCCCCTCTCGATTCGAATCTAGATCAGCGCAACCACTCCCTGAAAGCAGATTACAAACGGAAAAAGAAATATTCCAAAAGGCTTACAGAAATGGCGGTCTAGCTCACATGACAGAAGGGCATGCGGAAAAAGAGATGTTCCGAAATGGATAAAACCCCACCCGTAGACGACCCACTGTGCGCTATCTTATCAACACTATATTGACGACACGACTGCCTGTCTGCCTGCGAGCAGGCAGGCAGGCCAGAAGAAGGTGAGTGATCCAGCCAACACTCGACTCACCTTATCCACAGCGAGCCATGAATCCATCAGATTCACCAGCCCTCATCGTCAACTACACTAAGAGGTCCTCCTCCTCTCAGACCACGAAGACCCGCAACCTATGGAGGCAGCAGTACGGGAGGAAATAGAACTCATCAGGCACCTGACGCTGGGACAGCCAAGGACAGAGGGCAGTCTGTTCTAGATTCGAGAGATCCTTGAGATCGCCCGCAGCCATCGCAATGGGGTCGTGAGACGTTTATGGTGACAACACCACCTTCTGGATAGTGGCAGCTATCCAGTTGGTGGTTTCACCGTACAGATTGCTGGTTTCAGTATCAGTACACAGATAAAAGGACAGAGGGCAGTCTGTCCTAGATTTAAAAGGTTCTATTAATCGCCTATAACAATCGCAATGCAATGCCTATAGTAATAGCAATTAAGAGCTTGTTAGAATAGCACTTAAAGTAACAACACCTTCTAGGTAGTAGCGGCTGCCTAGTTAGTGCTTTTACTGTACAGATTGCTAGTTTCAGTATCAGTACACAGATAAAAGGACAGAGGGCAGTCTGTCCTGGATTCGAGAGATCCTTGAGATCACCCACAACCATCGCAACAGGGTCGTGAGACGTTAATCTACAGTGACAACACCTTCTGGGTAGTGGCAGCTGTCCAGTTGGTGGTTTCACCGTATAGAGGCGAAGTTTGAACTCCGTAGCCTAGAGAGAGCACTCAATAAAATACTGAGCACTGATCATCACATAATCCGCGTGAAAGCACTTCAATATGTGACCATCCCTCTCTCTCTCTCTCTCTCTCTCTCTTCGTCATCCAATTCATCATCCAATTCATCATCCCATTACCAAACTACATCCCTCCCCTATGAAACCCGCGAGATGTCTCCTATTTTATTCCCTTGGGGGAATAATTGCCTAGATCCTCCTCATCAACCCCACAATCCAATCGGGTAAATCCATAGCAAACCCATTTCCGACATCGCAAATGAAGTTAGAAAGAGGAGGGATGAGTGAGGCAAGATAGGTCAGCACCCCATTCAGTCAGTCGGTCAACGGCGAACCATCTCTCTCTCCCACCCCTCTCCCCTTTTGTAGCATTACGAAAACGTGCAAAAATTCAAAGTAGCTAGCCACCACACTCGCATAAACATTGCGAATCTTCGACTGTAATCTTAAGCCCCCCTCGTTATATTAGACCCTTATGCAAGCCACTTAATCTCACCTCCTGCGTCTTATAGCACTTAATAGCTTTGCTTACGTGTGATTATTGCTGATCATGGCAGAAGTTCGTCCGTTTCTTTTTCGTTTTTGGGCTGGGGGGTTTCGCTTGGTCGGCTTTTTTTACATGAGGGTTATGCGTGTGCTGTTCTATGGTCCCCCCCCCCTCTCCCCTTAGTTCAGGAACTCATCGTGATTAGCTGTCTGTCAGATGGCGGGATTTTTTGTTGGGAGAGAGAGAGTCAAATCCCTGACGATCATCTCCCTGACGGAGAATGCCACCAGAGGGGGGTGTTCTTGGATTGGGTTTGCGGCCTGGGCAGGGGGATTTTACGGGAATGGTAGATGTAGCATTTCTTTTTTCTTTTTCTGTGTGTAGTAGGGACTTCTGTGGGTGTATTACTAGATCTTCGTCAAAACCCATCGCTGTGTGTAAGAACACCTTCACTCCTACTCAAAATAAAAGTATTACTAGATCAGGTGCAAGTTTATAGAATATAATTGCGTGTCTTTGAGGTTGTTATTGGGCAAGCTCGATGTTGGTTTGTGTATTCTGATCACGAGGGTGGTGGATTTGTATATGTACAACCACCAACGTGGGTGTCTGAGAGGACGGTATCTTGGATGTGGACAAAGTTGGTGAGATTTAACAGAGTTACAGCAGAGGTGTACATGGCCATGGCAAACATTTTAGATCATAATACTCCCAGCAAGGGTAACGGGACATGAATATGATGACCCTGTCGTCTCTCAACTTGACAGAAGAAATCATAATATACGGTATGAATACTACAAATCTGATATTGAATGGAGAATTATATCAACATTGTAATAACAAACACACATATCTCGTGATACGACGTCCTCAACCGCCATCGAACCGCATGTACAGAAACGAGGAATAAGTCACGATACAAGTACGAATGGCAACTCTATCGCACTTCTTCACCATCTTTTAACTCACCATCTGCCATCCTCTTCGCGGATATCTTTGCGAATCCTCTCCATACTTTGGCATCATAATCGACCTCACTTGATCCGAATATGTTCTGTTTCTGCTTCCCGCCAATTCGCACAGCGTTTTGAAGACGATGGAACAACTTTTCACCAAAGTCTTTTGCTTGGAGTCGGGACAAGTCGGTGATAGCCCCTGACTCTACGATCGAGCTGGAAATAAATTCGATCTGTTGCGCTAGAACATCGACTTGCTCGTTGAACGACTTCTCGCCTGCAGTCAAACGTATCGGCGCCACCACCCTTTTTTCCTCTACTGGCGATGACGGAAGGCTGGGTAAAGGTTGGTACGGCACATCTAATGGTCCAGGACCAATCGCAACATCCAGCATGTAGAGGCGGGCGGCAAGATGCGTGTAGTTGGTTTTCTTGTTGATGCCGTAATGTGGGGATTTCTGGAGATATCGGCGTAATAGTACCGGTATTCCAGAATCTTCGAGGGTAGTTTTGATAGCTGTTGGATACAGTAAAAACGAAAGGGCTAGGTGACGCTGTAGGTAGGCAGTTAAAGGCGACTTTACTGGAAATGACTCTATCATCTGGCGCTGTAAAACCGGATGTTTGACTTTTGCAAGTATCAAAGGAATTGTGTCGCTCAACTATTAGTCAAGTCAGACTGTGAATATGGCAGAGGAAACTGGAAAGCTTACTGATGCGGCCAAATCTCTGTTGTCGGAAATATTACAAATGATTGTCTCAATAGTATGCTGGACTAGAGTCAACGTGCTGGCATCAGCACAAACGCTGGCATCCATGCACAAAAGCAACAGTATATAAATCACAAGACTGCTCGCTTCAAGATCTAGGCTATGGCCATGGTTAGTGAGTTTCACCAGGCGATGTTCAGTGTCTTACCATCGCGCCATGGTTTGCAACAAGCGACAGACTTGACTGAGAGATTTTGGGAGTGGTATTCGATCATCTGTTCTAGTCAGTATATGGCGAGGGTTGAGAGGTTGGGGATCGCACCTTGTTCAGACTCCAGGGACGGGACAATTTCTCGCTCATCATATTCAAGACAGCGTGGGTCTGCACCAAGACCATGAAACATGGCAGATATTTTTGATTTGTCAAATAGCGACTCGAATTGACTTTGATGAGCCTGAACTATATTAGTACATTCTCTTCACGAGGACTCAGCCAACTAACTTGCCTCAAGAAGCTCTAGATACCGATCATCCAGCGTCTCGTCATTAGCATTGCAGACTATATTGGGTTAGTAACGACGGTACGAGGAGTTGGGTAGGGGACTATTTACTCTGATCGATCATCCATAAGCCAAGATCTACGGGAAGACTATGAATCCGAAAAACCTGGAACGCAAAACCCGATAGGATCGCTTGCCTTCGGGATGGAGGTTCTATCTTCAGTTAAAAGCCGAGCGGATTGCATGGTTCGGACTGGTACAAACCTTGGAATACTGATGCCCATTGGTGATTAGGTAGACAATCTTTTGGAAATGGAGAGCAGTGAGCCTGATGCTTGCGCCAAAAGTGGAAAACTGATTCCGCGTGGAAGGCATTAGTTCGCTGCATAGCAGAGAGAAGCTTTTTCGCCTTTTCAGGATCATCACTGTCGTGCGCGAGACTTGCAAAAGTTTCTTCGGAGATGTCAAGACGGCTAGATGGCGGTTCCTCAGCCACAGGTTTCTCCAGATCGGCCTTGGCCTCAGCAATCTGGCGCTCAGATTGCACATCCTTCTGCGCGTTGTGCAAAAACTCCATGAAGGCCCTATCATCCTTCTTCTTCTCGGGGGGTTTTCGCAAGTCACTCTCATGTGCCTTGAATATAGGCTTTGGTACATAGACATCTATGGAATCTGTAGAAGGGAGATTCCATGTCAGATCCGGCAGCGAATCCGAATCCGAGTCTGAGTTCAGAACCACCTGCTCTCCATTCGAAATGACGCGTTTGCTTGTGCTTCCCGAGAGTATCGAAGATTGCGAAGCATTGAAAGAAGTTTTCTCCGAAGTGGTGCCTCGTGAGGGGTTTGTGCTTGACGAGCTGGTCACTGGCGACTGACGGAATTTCTTTGGGAGAGAATGCGAGGGGTTTTGTCGGGCTGTGGATACTAGGAGACTTAACTTAGAATGCAGTAAGCAAGCTAATTGGGAGCTGGGTAGGCATACCTGTGATACTGGGCGCTGAGCTTTGAGACAGTGCCGAATCTTTCGACGCGGGTTGGAAAAAGTCGCGTATACTTTTCTTCTTGGGAGGCATCTGGATGGTAGCGGCATTGATAAAGCGGGGGTGGGGATGATGCAGGTGGACTGCCTACGAGCCTCGATGTTCACGTCAGTGCTTGGCAAAACACGTTGTCACGTTGAGATAAGATAAGAGCAAAGATGCGATGCGATGCATCAGTCAATCGATCTAAAGTGACATGAAACCGGGGCCACGCGGTTAGAGAAGGATGAGACAGCTGCGCATTGTGGCAATGTACTCGAATATCAGAAACTACAGGATACGATGTATTGTAAAGAATTACCAGCGTGAATACAGGTATCTGCATGTGAATAGACTCGCGGACAGGAGATGTGGTCGCAGTAGAAAGGTTATCCTCATGTTGGGGCGGGCCGGGATCTGCTCCCGCCCGGTAGGCACTTTGGTGCTGCCACTGCCACTGCCACTACCACTGCCACTGCATCTACTGCCACCATGTGCAGCCAGCGGAGGGCAAGGCAAGGCAGGGCAGGGTATGCCGCACAGAGATACTGGGCGAGCTTCGCCGTACAGACGCATGACAACATCAACGACTGAGGGCCAGAAACGCTTCAAAGTTAGGCACGCCGCCCCCTCTGTTCGCGCTGTGAAATCCTTGCAGCGGAAGCGGAACCGGGATTACCTACCAGTCGATGGGTAGGAAAGTTTCCGGACCGGTCGGTGTACGCAGCGGACGAAAAGGTGTGGTGGCTCATAATGACTGACTGCGAATTCTGCCGTCAATAGTGCTTAGTCAACGAGGCCAGTGTATCCTCTCAGCAGGCATGTACCGTTTGCGTACGTAGCGTCCAGGGCCGCAGAGAGGAACCACATGCGCGTGTGCAAGTGATGATGATGCTGCTGATGACGGATCACAACAATCAACAAGACGTGTACATGTAGATGGCCGAATGCGATACTTCGTAGATCCCTCCCATCTCGTTCCACGTAGGCGCCCAAGAAAGAGTGCTTCGCCTCATTTCGTCTGACAGACAAATGCGTGTGTCTCCCGTAAGGCCAAGTCGAGCAATATTCTCTCCATGAAGCCCGACCCTCCGAAAGCATCATCCCGGCTGCATGCAATCAATCGGTATCCGCCAGCTCCCCCCTTCACACGAGGCCTCCTCTCTTCAGTCATCACCGCCTTCGCAGTCGACAGTTGTCATCCAGAGTCGTGAAGCCAGTATCCATCCATCCACCAGACCAGGCAGAGAAAAAAAAAAAAAAGCAGATCGCTTGCGCGGAGGACTCGGTACCCGGGTTTAAGTGAGGTTAATTTCCGCCGAGCTTTTGCTGTTATGAAATGCTGACAATTGCAAGCTAACTAGGTAAAGCTGCCTCGTCTCCCCGTGCGCGCCCTGCCTGTGCGCCGCAGCCCAGCTAGGGAACCACGAACACAGCTCGTCGAATCTGCCACCTTTTACCATCACACCAACCTCTATGGACCGGTAGAGGCGCACCTTTCTCAAACGTCGCCACCATCTTCCGCCCGCGTCACTCGCTCAATACCTCTAATGATCTGGTCAACGACTTTCTCATCCCCTCCGTAATACCCGCCCCAACTTACCCGGCACACCCGCCCCCATACCGCCTCACCCCCTTCGACCCAAAACCACTTCGACCCTCCGGATCCACCTTCTACGACTCTTCGACCTTCGAAGACGACCACTCCAACGGCGCATTGGCCTGTATTGCGACGTAGAGGCCTTTCCGGCTGAGGCCGGCCAGTAGCAAGCCCACGCCCTTTCCTCGTATCAACCGCTGTCGAATTGCGCCGCCATGGAGTCTTCAGTCCCCCCTCCACCTCCACCCCCCGAGGAGCGCGAAGTCACAAACCCCGTGAAAAGAATCCGATGGGCAACACATCGCGCCACAGGCCTCAAAGCGGATAACAAACGGCAGTCACTCAAGGACCGGTTACATCGACGAATGGGGTCCATCAACGAGAAAAAGAGAGAATCGATAGGGAAAGAAACAGCCGGGACTGAGAATGGGGACACCACCAATTCGGACGCTGGAAGCGATGAACAGGAAGGCGGACGAACCGTATACTTTAACATCCCACTACCTGCACACGAGCGCGACGAGGATGGCCATGCCAAAAACCATTACGCGCGAAACAAGATAAGAACAGCCAAATACACGCCTTTGAGTTTCATTCCAAAGAATCTGTGGTTCCAGTTCCACAACATCGCAAATGTTTATTTCGCATTCATCATTATCCTCGGTGTACGTGTTTCATGTGTGACATGAAGAAACTATCCCACTCTTGCTAACACCAGTTTGACAGATCTTCTCTATATTTGGAGCTTCTAATCCCGCGCTCAATGCCGTACCGCTGATTGTAATTCTCATTGTGACCGCCATCAAAGACGCTATTGAAGACTGGCGAAGGACAGTTCTCGATAATGAATTGAACAACGCTCCCGTTCACCGCCTTGTTGATTTCAACAATGTCAATACTGCCGAGGACACTGTTTCCTTGTGGCGGAGAGTCAAGAAGGCCTGTACCAAAGCCGTCGTTTCCACTTATCATTTGTGGAAGTATCGAGGTGCGAAGGGTAAAGAAGGAAGAGCACGAGACATTGGCGTATCCCGGCCCTCAATTGAGACAAGGAGGGCTTCGGTAGCGACACACAGATCATCGTATACCACAGGAGAGCCCGGTATTCAGATGACCCCCGTTCCCTCGCCTTTGCCTGGATCTTCTCCTCGCGAATCATCCCTTCCTACCGATGCCGTCAATGTCGGAGGGCACACCCACATGAAAGAAGGAGACAAGTCGCGCGGCCCTGATGTGCAAGTCCAATCCAAGTTTTGGGGCAGTGTACTTGACCCTTACAAGACAACTCCCGGCAAAGCCCGATTCAAGAAGGATGCCTGGAAAAACGTCCAAGTAGGCGACTTTGTTCGCTTGTACAGTGATGACGAGATCCCGGCTGACATGGTGGTCCTGTCTACTTCCTCGGACGACGGAGCCTGCTATGTGGAAACAAAAGGTCTCGATGGCGAAACTAATCTCAAGGTCCGAAATGCTTTGCACGCTACTCGGGATGTAAAGCACGCGCGACACTGCGAGCAAGCTGATTTCTGGATCGAGAGCGAGGCACCGCACTCCAACCTGTACGCCTACAGTGCCGTCATACGCTGGATGCAGCATAATGCGAAGGACCCGAATGCTGCACCTTACGAAATGGCCGAGCCTATCTCGATCAACAACCTGTTGCTTCGTGGATGTCAGCTACGCAACACGGAGTGGGTTCTGGCCTGTGTTGTCTTCACTGGTGAAGAGTCGAAGATCATGCTCAACTCTGGCATGACCCCAAGTAAACGTGCCAAAATGAGCAAAGATCTCAACTGGAATGTTGTGTATAACTTCTTCATTCTATTCGGCATGTGTCTCGTCTCTGGAATTGTTCTCGGTGTGTTCTGGAGCAAGCCTGACACGTCTCATTCCCTATTCGAATTCGGATCCTATGGCAACGACAATGCCACCATTGACGGAGTGATCGCCTTTTGGGCTGGTATCATTCTGTTTCAGAACTTGGTGCCCATCTCACTCTACATCACCCTCGAAATTATCCGGACACTTCAAGCCTTCTTCATTTATAGTGATGTTCAAATGTACCACGCTCCTTTGGATTACCCGTGCACGCCTAAATCTTGGAACATTTCCGATGACGTTGGGCAGATTGAGTACATTTTCTCGGACAAAACTGGAACATTAACCCAGAACGTTATGGAATTCAAGAAATGCACAATCAACGGAGTCCCTTATGGCGAGGCCTATACCGAAGCTCAAGCCGGCATGCAGCGAAGACAGGGTGTCGACATCGAGACTGAGGGTGCTCGAGCACGCGAGCAAATAGCTCGGGACCGCGCGCGTATGATTGAAAAAATGAGGAAGATGTACGACAACCCTTATCTGTGGGATGATGATCTTACTTTTGTTGCTCCCGATTTTGTAGAAGATCTTGCTGGAGAATCTGGCCATGAGCAAAGAATGGCCAACGAGAAATTCATGCTCGCCTTGGCTTTATGTCACACCGTCGTCACCGAGCGAACCCCCGGCGATCCACCAAAAATTGAGTTCAAAGCCCAATCTCCCGACGAAGCAGCCTTGGTTGCAACTGCACGCGATGTAGGCATCACTTTTGTTGGTCGAGAAGATGACCGTCTGATTCTCAATTGCTTGGGAGAAGAACGTAAATATACGGTACTCAACACACTCGAGTTCAACTCCACACGAAAGCGAATGAGCGCCATTATCCGAATGCCTGATGGGAAGATCAAACTACTCTGCAAAGGTGCTGATAGTATGATCTATTCGAGACTCATTCCTGGTGAACAGCGGGAACTTCGGGCAACTACTGGCGAGCACCTCGAAATGTTTGCTCGAGAAGGTCTTAGAACGTTGTGCATCGCCGAAAAAGATATTCCCGAGGAAGAATATCAGGCTTGGAATAGAGATTATGATATGGCTGCCAATGCGGTTGCTGGTCGCGAAGAGAAATTGGAAGAAGTGTCCGACCGCATTGAAAATCAACTATATCTAATAGGCGGAACTGCTATCGAAGACAGATTACAGCAGGGCGTTCCCGATTCTATCTCTCTTCTCGGCAGAGCTGGAATCAAACTCTGGGTACTCACAGGTGACAAGGTGGAAACAGCCATCAACATCGGGTTTTCTTGCAATCTTTTGGACAACGATATGGATTTGATTCTTTTCAAAGTAGAAGACGAAAACCTGGCTACGGCCGAAGCCCTACTGGACGAGAAACTCGCAATCTTCAACATGACTGGATCTCAAGCAGAGTTGGACAAGGCTCAAAACGACCATCAACCACCACCTCCAACCCATGCAATCGTTATCGATGGAGACACTCTCAAGCTGTGCTTGGATGATTCTATCAAGAGAAAGTTCCTCTTGCTTTGTAAACAATGTCGATCTGTGCTCTGCTGCAGAGTCAGTCCAGCTCAAAAGGCTGCTGTTGTTAACATGGTCAAGACTGGGCTAGATTGTCTCACACTCGCCATAGGAGACGGTGCGAATGACGTTGCTATGATACAGGAAGCACATGTCGGCGTTGGCATTGCTGGCGTGGAAGGTCGCGCCGCCGTCATGTCCTCGGATTATGCCATTGGTCAATTCCGTTTCCTTACTCGTCTGGTTCTCGTTCACGGACGCTGGTCTTACCGTCGATTAGCCGAAACTATCGCCAACTTTTTTTACAAGGTCAGTTGTTACCCCCGCATGAGCCTGATCAGCTGCTAAATTATCATAGAATATTGTCTGGACTTTTGGCCTCTTCTGGTACCAAATCTACACCAATTTTGACAGCCAGTACATCTTCGACTATAGTTACATCATCTGGTTCAATCTGGCATTCACATCGCTCCCGGTAATCCTTATGGGTGTTCTTGACCAGGATGTAGATGACCGTGTTTCACTTGCCGTGCCCCAGCTATATACTCGGGGTATTGAGCGGAAGGAGTGGACGCAGTGGAAGTTCTGGTATGTATTTTCTCCTTTGTTGTTTGAATATGGTCGATTTTAACTCTCGCTAGGTCGTACATGCTTGATGGAGTCTATCAGTCAGCCATTGCCTTCTACTTCGTCTACTTGATATTTGCCCCTGCAACATTTGCCACCGCGAGTGGGTTGGACCTGGCCGAACTGAAGCGTATGGGAATCACCGTGGCAACCATCGCAGTCTGCGCGGCGAATTTCTTCGTTTTATTCAACACTTTCCGCTGGGATTGGATCATGGTCCTCGTGGTTATCATCAGTACTCTCTTCATCTGGTTCTGGACGGGTATCTACACTACGTTTCCGTCCAGCGCCCAATTCTACAAAGGCGGCGCCGAGGTATACGGCTCACTGTACTTTTGGGCAGTGCTTTTTGTGGCCCTCATTGCGTGTCTTCTCCCTCGGTTTATTGCGAAGTCCACCCAGAAGATGTTCTTCCCTCTCGACGTGGACATCATCCGAGAACAAGTCAAGCAAGGCAAATTTGACTATCTCAAAGCCTCGGATTCATTCATTCCTCCACCGCCAGGCAAAGTCGTGTCAAAAGCACCATCTGATGCATCCAAATACAAAGCTGCCAACGCGCAGGAGGGTGACGAAGATGTTCGGCCCTTTTACCCTCCTTCGGTTGCTCCTACAGCCACTACCCACAACCCGAGGAGTCAAAATGGGAGCAACAGTACTGACGGGTATACATACCGTCCCTCTCTCGAAGCTATTCCACAGGCACCAAATCCGGCCCATCGTATGTCAATGGACCGGCCGCGACCATCGTTTGATCGAGCTCGGATGTCTATGGACCGAGTAAGACCAAGTTTCGAATGCAGCAATGACTTCACTTCGGCAGCCATGCTGACACGGATGGAGTCATCGCATAGTCGCAATAGCTACGGTGGACCGCCGCCTCAACAGGATGGTCGGGCCATGAGTCGGCTACGAAATGTGTTTAGGAGACCAACCGTCACACGAGAGGAAGCACCAGAGCACCTCCGTGAAAACCATGATACCCCACCACCAGTGCCCGCATTGGAACGCACTGATCTTCCTGGCAGTCCGCGGAGTCCAAAGCGGTAGTTCCTCATGACTTTGAAATATAGCATCTATACGCGTTCTTTTGATTACGGTTGTATATATTATGTCATTCTCCATAGGCCGAGGATTTATTGTCCATGCACAAAACTCATTCCTTGTCTGGATTTCCCCATTTATAGTTCTACACACCATGGCCTGGCGTTTCTTAGAGCTTGTCGGACTATGCCGGCATCGCAGCTTCCCCTCTTGCTTTTTGTTGCTTTTGTCTATTTCGGAAATATTGTTAATGGACGTGGCCCTCGTGTGGCTGCACCGAGCTAGCGGGGCGTTTGGTGCGCGTAGTTGGATCCCCGGCTGGTTCGTTTTACTTTGTGCTATATCTTTTTTTCTTTGTTCGTTTTCTACGATTAGTTGTTGCAAGAGGAGGACAGATGGGTCGGATACCAATAAGACGAGGCGCGATTGTAGATATGTAAATGAAAACTAGCATACAAGCTGGCTTACCTATGTGTTACTCCAGATTCCCTGAAGTCCCCGTGATGTGTCGGTGAAACTGATTTGCTCGAACCATGCCTCAGTCTTACCTTGCGCGTGAGTGCTTTTGAACGTTTCCGCAAGGGCACAATGTATGTGGTATTACTTGTCTTGGCGCAAACGCGCTTAGCGGGGGCCCGCTAGCTTAGCCGCGTCGTCGCGTCGGCGGCTTCTTCATCTTTCGAGACTGAGAGACGGACCTGGGCATATAAAGACGGCACAGCATCTTTCCCTCCCTATCGCCACCACAACCGCCGACAACAATAGCGCCTGCAGTACAACCTTTCACATCGTCAGACGGCATCTGCCAGGCATCTTGACCGCGCGAATCGGCTTGAACGGCTGCTCTGCAGCTCTGCGGAGCCCACTTCCCTGGCCGCTAGCTGTGTCGCTCAGCTTGAAGCCGTCTTCTACAAGGCATCATACCTACTTGATCACCTAAACTACGAGCGGCATTACATAGATAACAAATCTGGGTGCTCTTTGCATAAGAACGTGACTTGAGCAAGGGTTTCACCTGCATGGTCTCGGCGCATGTACCCATAGATACCGGCTCCCGTCCCGCTGAAAGGCGTGAGACAAATACTCGCACCCTGCTCCAGTGAATCACCTGCAGCTTGAGAGAGGAAGCCATGGCAGAAATTCTCGAGCGCATCAAGTGAGTCCGCCACGCTATTTGCGATCCTCTTTCACTTAAGATATACCTATTGACCCTTGGTGTAGCGAACTCAAGATTCTCCCGCAAGAACTGCACCTGTTCTGTCCACGCACGGGGCCCGACGATGGAGAGATATTTTTCGACGAAGACGTCGCCAACATCGAAGCTGACAATAGCCCCGAAGCAATTCGTCAACGCCGCGATAAGGTGGAAGAAGCCGAGAAGAGGAAATGGGTCGCATTGGAGGCCCTGCAGATCCTGGCCTTCGATGGAGATGAGGCCACTCCGCACAAAAATTGGCTGCTGGACAAATTGAATGGCATAATGACGAGCTGCGATGTCTGCGTGCGAGTGTTCCACGCAACCCGAGCGGACTGGAAAGCTCGGCTTGTGGAGAATTTCGACGAAGATATGGTGCATGAATTTCTACGCGTGGTCGATAATCATTGCCTGGAGCGCATACAGCGGGGCTTGGGCGAGGCCGATTCCGTGCTACAGAAAGCTGATCCTAAGCAGCGTGGTGTTCGGTTACTACCTTTCGAAGCAACATATGCTTTTTTTGAAGGGTTGAGTTGCGACGCTCTCATACGGAACGAGGAGCTCTTACAGCGTTATTTTGATACGCCCTTCAAGCTCGTACAAACAAAGAAACGTCTAAAACTCCAAACATATCTTCCCGCAATGAGTCGCTTTCTCTTCTCTAGGAACGAAACACGCCAGCAATGGGCGGCTGCATCTTGGGGCACCTTCAAGCGGAACATACTCAGGTCAGAATTTGAGTGGACGGTGCGAGACCATCTAGTGGATGCCATGATGAAGGTTCAAATGAATAACCTCGATTTGCCTTTTGTGGCCCCGTTCTGGCGTGGCGTTTCACTCATCATCAGAAAGTCGGACAAGGATGTGATCACCAATTGCATACGGGGTTTGGATGGCAACTTTTACCGCTTGCTTCTCGAACATTTATCGTTGGACTCGGAGGGTTTCCTGGACTTGATCGTGACCGTGAAGCTTCTCCTAGAAAAATCTCCCACGGATTTCTGGGATGCGATGGACGCTATGACCGCACCAGCAGCCACAGTGATAGAACAAGTATTCAACAGCCCTCTCCTACAATCGATTTTGCGTGCCGCTTCCAGGGAGAACGGACAGGACATATCAAACCTCAACGAAGCCTTCAGCTGGGTCGCACCTTTCCTCGCCTCCATCAAACCAACAAATCTGACGCCAGCGGTGAGGGCATTTGCAAATGCCTTGCTTGATCGTTTGCAATCCGAGCACTTCTCACCCACTTCGCGAGCATATTGCTTCAAGGAGGGTCTGCGAGTCCTTGATTACGCTTTCAAAAGGATGTGTGAGGGCAAGCAAAGCCATAACTTCGTGGGACAGCCAACGGTCAACGCAATGCTCCAGGTTCTCGAATCCCATATCCAACTGGTGGTTACGCGCCTCAAACAATTAAGAGGCCCAGAAACCGGCGAAGATTTACATCTCGCCCTTTCAATGATCCAGCATGCCTTCACTTTGGAGTCGCTTTCCATGAGCGTTGAAAGGCAGCTCATACAAGCGAAGCAGCCGTCACCAAATGAAATAACCCCGTCAAGACCTATTTGGGAAACTGCCATCAGAGCTATTGATTCTGAAAATATCGATGTGGCGATACACTTGCTTATTGCTGGAAGAACCATCATCGGCCTGGAGCCCATATATATGATTAAGGGTACAAGTATGCCCGTGACCGTGAAAAAATTCAACGACAGGTTCGAATTACTGTCCAGGTCGATCACTGATGTCGCCACAAGACTGGCAGATTTCCATCCGAAGCAGCTTAGCGTCTTATTCAAACAGCCAACTGCAGCGAGCGCAATCATCTCTTTGCTATTCTCGTCTACTGAGGACACTCGTAGCGCTGCTATCGAGCTGCTTAAAGTCATGAGCTCTCAGGATGAGCGTCGGGATGCCCTTCAATACGTCTTGCGTTTACACTACAAATTCGGCTTAATAGGCATCGCAGACTCCTCCAATGCCGTGAAGCGCAAGAGGACTTTCGCAGCCGCCCCAAGTATGATGCGAACCTGTACAGATATCATCGATGTGATGTGTCATCCCCAAGATGGCATACTACGATCTCGTCAGCTCGACTCTAGCGAAGCTCTCGTGACACTGAATGTGTGGAAAAGCTTGTGGGATGCTCTCACAATCTGTTTCGGCACAACCGAAGCATGGAGTAATCTCGGGGTTCACGACAAGGAAGCAATGATGAACTTCTGTCGTGATGTGATGCAATTCGCCGACAACCTTTTTGATCAGTGCAGCATATTTGCCTCCGCACTGGCCAGCTCAAACAAGGACGACGGCACGAACGATCGTTCGGACAACCTGAAGAAGTTACTCGAAGAGCCTGCTAGAACCATGGACGAATTGAGTAAATGGCTACGTTTGAGGGATGAATATCTGTCCACGAAATCTGTCACGCTCATCAGTAAACTCTTGATTCGACTACGCGACGTTAAAATCGAAATACAAGCGGACACATTAACTTTCATGGAGAAAGTCTTATCTGGCGTTGTCAAGGCTAGACTCAGCTTGCAGCAACAAGCTGAATTGCAACGCGCGCTTGAAATCCATCTTGGCCGTCCCCTTGTTAAAGACGAGGAGCAACCTAGCAAGGAACATCGTCAAGGCTCACTTTCCGAATGGATGTCGGCTGGTACTTCTAAGGGTGTCACAAAAGATCTAGCCAGTCGTCCAGACCGCTCCACATCATCCACATCCACAATGTCACGTATGAAGGAAAGCCGTGAATTAGCCAAAATCAAAGAAGCACAAGCTGCCAAAGCAGCTAAGCTAGAAGAAAACAAGAATGCTGCTCAAAACGAATTCAAAAGGAAGCGACAGCAAGAATTGGAGCGGCAAAAGAAGGAGAAAGAAGCTGCAATCGCCAAGGCAAGAAAAGCGAGAGGGCTGACCTCCGTCACATCTGAAGCTGGCTCCGGATTAGATGGTATAGGTATCTTGGGCAAGGATCAAGCACGAAAAGGAGAGGGTTTGATGCATTCTTCGGATGAATCTGATGACGACGAGGGTGATTTTGACGAAGAACTATTCGGTGTCTCCAGACCAAAATTCAAGGACGGCCCCAAAACCAACATCGTCAACGAGATCAAGATACAAATGCCAGTGAGGAAACGGAAAATTCAACGATCTTTCAAGGATATGCGAGCGCGACTCATCCCTGATCTCTCTTTTCTACACAAGACTATTCTCGGGTGGGATTACTTCCACGACGGCGATTTCCCACCCAAGTCTAGGGGCGGTTATGCTACTGTCCTCGACAAGTTCCAGTCTCCACAGGACTACCAGGCAACTTTCAAGCCTCTGCTCACTTTAGAAGCATGGCAGGGGTTCGTGAAAGCTAGAGAAGAGAACCAGGGACGGCCGTATGATGTACGGATTATAACTCGATCTAATGTTGATGCTTTCTTGGAAGTCAGCAGTACCATGACGCAGAAAGATTTCAAAGATGCGCAAGTCTCAGAAGGCGATGTGATTTTACTTCACAAGTCCAGAGATCCGTCTGCTAAGGATCCGCATTGCCTAGCTCGAGTCTATCGTGTTCAGCGGAAGAAGGCCCACGTCGAGATGAACTATCGAGTCGTACCCGGAAATCCTCTGGTTCAGTCTCTGGCTCCCAACTCGTCAGTGTTCGGCACGAAAATCCAATCATTGACACCCCTGGAGCGTGAATATGGGGCGTTGGAGGGCTTGCAATATTACGACCTGTGTGACGAAATCATTAACGCCAAACCTTCACCACTTTTGACATACAAAGAGAAGGACACTGACCCATTGATTAGAAATTATAACCTCAACCAGGCACAGGCTAAAGCCGTCAAGTCCGCTGTTGATAATGACGCCTTTACGCTTATCCAAGGGTATGACATCCTATAAACTCCACCAAGCCATCAATGCTAATTTCATATACAGACCACCTGGGTCGGGAAAGACCAAAACAATAGTTGCCATCGTAGGCGCTGTCTTGTCTGACAGTCTCAGCAATCGCGGCTCTGCTATCCCGATTGCAGGACAAGCAAGGTCTAATACCGCGACCAAGAAACTACTCGTCTGCGCCCCCAGTAATGCTGCCGTAGACGAACTTGTCATGCGATTCAAGAATGGCGTCAAGACCCTGAGAGGCGACGAGAAACAGCTTAATATCGTGCGCTTGGGACGTGGCGATAATATCAACACAAACGTGCAAGACGTCACTCTGGATAGACTTGTTGACAAGAGGCTAGGGGTTGGAAACTCAAATGAGAAGGATGTAGAAGCGACCCGTAAACTTTTTGCTGACCATAAGCAAATATCAGAGCAACTCCGACTAGCACAAGATCAGATGGCTACTGGCGAAGTCAAAGGACCGGATGCTTCCAAGCTCCAAGAGGACATAGTCGCTCTCCGGCGACAAAAGGCTTTGTTAGGAACCAAAATCGACAATACCAAGGACGCCGAGAGGACAGCAGATCGTACTGCGGAAATGAATCGCCGACGTGCTCAACAACAAATTCTGGAAGACGCGCACATTGTATGTGCCACGCTAAGCGGCAGCGGCCACGAGATGTTCCAGGGTATGAACATAGAGTTCGAAACCGTGGTTGTTGACGAGGCTGCCCAGTGTGTGGAAATGAGTGCACTGATCCCTCTCAAGTACGGATGTTCAAAGTGTATCCTTGTCGGTGATCCGAAACAGTTGCCTCCGACTGTATTCTCCAAAGAGGCAGCAAAGTTCCAGTACGAACAGAGCTTGTTTGTCCGTATGCAAAAAAATCACCCAAACGACGTACATCTTTTGGATACACAGTACCGTATGCACCCGGAAATAAGTCTATTCCCAAGCCAGACCTTCTATGATGGCAGGTTGTTAGACGGAGGCGATATGGCAGGTTTACGCAAACAACCCTGGCACAAGAGCTTGTTGCTCGGCCCTTATCGTTTCTTCGATGTGCAAGGCCAGCATCAATCCGCAGGTCACTCGTTGGTCAACATTGCTGAGATCAATATTGCGCTACAACTATATCGACGTCTCACGAACGACTTCCCATCATTTAATTTCCGCAATAAGATTGGCATTATTACTCCATATAAATCTCAACTTCGAGAGTTGAGAAATCGCTTCACCGACCAATTCGGCGCCTCGATCCTTGATGACATCGATTTCAACACCACCGATGCTTTCCAGGGTCGTGAAAGCGAGATTATTATCTTCTCATGCGTGCGTGCCAGTCCTGCTGGGGGCATCGGTTTCCTGCAAGATATTCGTCGTATGAACGTCGGTCTTACACGTGCCAAATCTTCCCTTTTCGTCCTTGGCAACTCCCAGTCTCTCATTCGAGGGCAGTTCTGGCGTAAGTTGGTGGACGATGCGAAGAAACGCGACCGCTATACTGGAGGCGACGTGAGTAGTATGTTGAGACAGCATTCTAGCAAGTTTCCGGCTCCGCCAGGCATGTTCGATGTGCAGACTACGCCCGCGCAGCCGCTCATCAAGCAGGAACTCAAAGCAGAGAGCATGAGCCGATCAGACAGCAACCAATCGTCTTATTCTAGTGACCAAATCGGCAATGTCACGAAACAAGAGGTCAAATTAGAGATCAAAAAAGAGATCAAAATCGAGCCCATGGAGGATACGCGGTTCGCCAACGGTCACGGAAAACGCAAACAGAGCGATAGCTCGGATGACGTCGAGATGGACGACGCTAGCTCCGAGGCAGCTTCCAAGAGCGGAACATCCACGCCCGTCCAGCTGGGTGATGGGGCTAAGAAGGATCAACAACCTGCTTCTACTGTACCCAATATCCTTGGAGGCACCTCAAAGCCGATCATCAGGAGGAGACCCAAAGGCAACGATCCCCTCATGGCGCCGCGCAAGAGACCTAGAAAATGATCTGCGCGAGTCTCGCTCGTGAATGGAGGTTGAAAAAGTGGTGGGGATTTGTAGTTTCCAAACTTTTTGATATGCATTTTGCTGGCGTCTTTTGTAGCATACCGCCTATAGAGAATGGCGCCAAGTTTTTGTTTTGCTTTGATGATGCTGTCTTTTTGGCGTCATGTGTACGTGTACGAGTACATGTCTCGATTGGTGTGTAGATAGCATGCTGTTCCAAGTAGCTCACTCCCCTTCTATTGGGTCAACCCAGGGGGGGGGGGTCGGGGGGCAATGATATTGCATTTCCCATGCAATGTGCTATTCCTCTCTAGAATTGACTACTATGCAATCTCAATTTTCGCCTCGACTTGCTGTGCGGTGCCTTCATCGTGAAGTATTTATAATCATCCTAGATTTTTTTGGGTTTTCCCTATTGGTGTTTTTTTCTTCCCAGGTTCTGGGCTGGGTGCTACTACTTAATAGATCCAGTCCTCTGCCCTGCAGGGCAGTACTAACCTTCTATCTGCGACAAGTCGGTATACGGGGATTCTTAGGTGAAGACGCATGCTCGCGGGGAGGGGAACGAGGCTTATAACATAGTCACTCGAATCTTGTACTACCCTACAGGCACCACTCCTGGGTGGCATTGACATCTCTCTGAATTTCTCCCGGAAGGACGTTCCAGGGCTCGGAATAATGTGACTATTTGATATACAATATGATTTTTTCTACCCACAGCTGCTTCTCCATCTATATTTTCTTCTTATCATACGTGGCTGTCTTCTATTACAATCTTTTTGAGTAGAAGAGATGCATGGACCGCCAACAAGTCCAGATGCCATTTTTTTAGGGATTCTTTTAGGGATTGGAAATCCCAGTGTTTCCTACAATTAAAAAGGCAGATAAAATAATTCCACAGAAACTAGGCAGGCACAAAAAGGGTCAGAAGAGTTTTTTGCTCTCGGCACCAGGCCCGGGTGCAACGCCCAACCTACATACCATTGTGGACCAGCCTCCGTAGAGGCTGGCCACAATCGCACAACAGCGCGTACCGGAGCAAAATAAAACCGCCTCGAGGCGCGATATTCAATGCACAGCAGTCTTGCGCGCCGCTGATGTGACGAATTCTTGGCCGAAAATGCCTTGCACGCGGTGGTAGCTCTCACAACTGACTGACCCCCACGGAGCGACAGAAAGCATTCTTTCGCTGTGCGTGGCGTATTGAATACCCCTCCCCTCCCTCACACTTGGTTCGATGCGAATCTGCTCGGGCTCGAGTTATGGTTATGCAGGTCTTACGTGGCTTCTCGTTGACCCCCCCACTTCCGCACGGTATCCTCTTCTCTCCTGAGTAGAAGCAGAATTCCCCTTGGCATCGTGGGGGGAAGCAGCTTTTGGTGTTACGTGGGTGAGAGTCTTTCGTGACTTTGTGTAACTGATCAGGGGTCGTCGAGGTCAGGGCCGTGAACCGGGATGACTTGAGGCGGGAAGTAGGGTGGCGGGGCCTAGTCACGGTGGAAAATTCGCTGGCATCTGATTTCTTGGAAAAGTTGCGGAGAGGCTGTACTACTTTCACCAGGTTTGTATCTGGGAAGGATGACTGGCAGATGGGGAGCTGCGGTCACTGCTCTGCCGCGACTGAGATTCTCCGACGGTAGTCGTCTTGAGTGACAATTTTTTGCTATGCGGTGTGACATTGCTCTTTACCGACGCGACGCTACAGATGGGTCAGTGATGTAAAGTGACGAATTGAGGTTCGCGGGGTTACACGGCATGGACACAGGACAAAGACATGCGGACAATAGCTCCTGCGGTACCCTTGTCTTCCCTCGATGTTATTTGTGAGGGTGAACATTCTGTTGAGTGAAGCCAGCCATAATTTATAGATTGAGAATGTATTATCGTTGCCCTTAAAGGAGGGCTATTTCACTCCTTTGCCAACGAAAGATGTAGGCCACAGTAGACGCTGTCTACAATCAGTGTCAGGTACAGCATTGGTGTTGCTTTGTGATACGTACACAGAGTTTAAACATCATGATTCATGGTTACTAAAAAGGTAACTCTTTCGAATGCAACGGCGACTTGCATATGCTGTAAACCAAAGAATCGTGGTAGTTCGGAAGAGAAAGCAGCAGACGATAGTGAGATATGGGGTGAACACCCACGCACGCATGCACGTAGAACGGTCAGTGTCAAAAAAGAGTCCTTAAGATACGGCTCGGATCGGGAGGTGAAGAATCGTTACACGGGGTGCCTGTGCTTCTTAAGTCGTGGCCGGGTCGCTGGAATTTTAGTACTGTGGGTGCCATTGTCCGAGCTTCCTCACGATTGTCCACCACTATAGACGACTCACCACCGGAATCATATCCTCAGAATTGTATGTGCTCTTATACCTCTTCTGAAGATGTTGGGCGACCCTATCTTGAGTATCATGGAATCGGGAGCTCTGCGTCCCAGCTTGGAGAATTCTGATCGCATGGGCATAGAGGGGAAAGACGGGAGGAAGGATACGATGCGGAAAGGATTTCTCACGAAAGCATTTGCGGCTTCGTCAATTATTTCTAATGTTGACAGTAGCGAGTTGACCGACGACCAGATACTCGACTCGCCTTGCATTTCCATCAAGCAGGTGGACGCGCCGCAGAGCAAACGGCGTGGCACGTTCATCAACCATACCCCACGAAGCCACGTCGAACTACCCAGTCCGCACCAGGTTACTGACCAGCAGCAGCTCGGTTCTATATCTTTGAATCCAGAGAGCAAGTACAGCAATAAGGTCGACTTCAATTCTTGCGATAACAACATGGAGTTGGGTGTAGATGGGTACCCAGCAGAGCTCGACAGCAAGGAAGTCGCGCTAACGCTTTGTGACACCACTCCAAATAGGAATGCCACAGCAACGTTTTGTGCACGTGAGCGTCAAGATAATCCGGGGCCCCTCGACAGGTGTGATTTCAGAACAATTAACTTGCGTCAAGCGTCTTCCTCGACGCGATCCCCACCGCAGGCTACGACGGCTGGAGCAGCTCGTCATTCGCCATTGGAACCACTTGTGGCCCGTCACCGTCGTGAAATCACTGGAAGTAACGTGCAGGTCCTACCTCCTCACGTCGACATCGACGAGATTAACGGCACAGCTACCTTCATGGCGGTCCAGGACTACTATCCTGACTATGATCAAGACCAGGGTCCGCACTCAGCTCCGTCTGGTGCCATTACCAATCTCAAGCATCAGAATCTCGGAGACAAGCCTGATGGAGCTGTCGGCTCTCCACCGTTACACACTTCTCCCTCCGCAGGCAGTGGTACAGAATGTCTGAATTCATCAACGCCGACTTTGCCAGATCGAAATCCAGATCGTCTCGCCGTACAACCCAGGCGTGTTGTTCGAGCCAAAAAACTCAATCTAGATGATGATATGGACTTTGCTTCTGCTTGCGAAGGCGAGTATTCACCTTATCACTGTGAAGCCTACGGTCCGATAACGCCGTCTCGCATGCGTCAAGAGGTAGCAAAGGCTGGCAGTGGCTCATCGTCTTTTCAGACCAAGTATTCCATCGACATATCGAACCCAAGGCATGAGTTGCTATCGAATGAGGGTCAGCTGAAAGATCTGACTTACTTTCTTCGACACACTGGACCCCCGGCCACACCAGACAAGCCGCCCAAGAGGAAGGGTTTTGGCATTGGAGTTCTGGTAAAGAAGGAAGGCAATAATCGGAAACGAAATGCCGACATTCAGAAGGGAGGTGTTCCGCCAGTCCCAACACTGCCACCAATGCTCTCCCAATGCGCGCGAGAAGAGACGACCAGGAATGGCACAAGATACGTTAAGATTCTTGTCCCGGAAGATCACGATACGCCAGATCGAGATACTCAACCAGCAACAGACGAAAAAGAAAGGTCAAAGCGCTTCTCCCAGAATTTCGCCTGGAGCCAGGAGATTTTCAATCCGCTGGGTAGCTCACCAGTGGAGAATGCGATTGCCGGGCGCATGTCCAGATCTTCGTCCGCTCCCTCCCTCTGTGGCTCCCAAAATACAGTGATTCACCATCCACGGAGTCCTAAGCCTGTGCCTCGTCTGCCAACACGCGTTCCGGTAGAAAACCACCCTCTTGCTGCTAGCATGGAGGAGAGGAAGGAGACAACGCGGGCGAGGAAGCTACGTGATCTTCACAGAAATAAATCCACGGCAAAGAGATCAGAGAGTCGGTTAGAACCTGAAGACTATGATGAAACAACCACGGGGCGTCAGGCCCGGGGAGTACTGGTGGATTCAAAGGAATGGGTGCGTCTTCAGCGTTTGAACAAGGAGTTGGCGCGCGAACTGGCGACCGCAGCCGGGTTGGAAGGGGATGCAGAAGATCTCGCACCCGAGTATGTGCTTGAGATGTATCGGATGGTCAACAGGTCTAGCTATTGAAGAGACGAGGTTGTCGATATGTAACCAGTAATATGGATGACGAGCTCGGGAAAACCATTTACGAATGATGAATAATGGGTTTATAACGCGGATTAGAACCAAAAGCTCCCAAGGACATGACATACATATCATAGACAATGACCATCAAAGCTTGAAAACATGAATACTTCTCGCACACTTCACTACCGCCCCAATCGGAATAGTGGGTGGAAGAGCTCTGGGACTCTGGGACGGGTGTGTTCTAATTTTAGCCGGCGATCGGTACCTGAACTCAGCACGCCGCCGCCATTTTTCGTGCACACATGTCCAGCTTCACATGTCCACTCTTCCTCCACATCAGCTGGTCATCACCTTTCTTTTTTTTTTCGCTACAATCAATTGGACTGAAAAACACTTGCCAGGGATTTTCAACTCTACTTTGATTGCCTCACTCTAAGCAACTTGCCCAAAGAAGCTACCCGCCCGCCTCACCGCCTACCCCTCCACCCCACCTTCTCCACGCTTTTGAAGTCAACAATCCCAACCTCCTGAGAACAACTTGAGCCATACGCAGCCATTGCCACAAAGTACAATTGCGATACGGACACACCTTGCTCAAAGAACTTGAAACTCACTATCCGCCAATACAATGTCTCTCCAAGTCCCCGTCACCGACGACACTACGCCGCTTTTCAGCCACGCCCTCATTTCACCCGAAGTCGCATCCCAACTCCCCGAAGGCTACACAATCCGGCCGCTGCAGAGGGCTGATTATGCAAAGGGCTTTCTGGATGTCTTAAGGGTACTCACCACCGTCGGCGACGTTACTGAAGAAGTAAGTTTTACCATGTCATTGTTCCACCTCTTCGCTCGCCCCCTGTCCATTCTTTCGAATTGAACAAAAGAACGCGTCACCGAAATCTCAATCTAACACACTGGCACCGCACAGGCCTGGAACGCCCGCTACGAGTGGCTCTCCCATCACAACGACGCATACTTCCTGCTTACCATCCTCGACCCCTCCAACAAAATCGTCGGCACGGGCGCCCTCATCGTCGAGCGCAAGTTCATCCACAACCTCGGTCTCGTCGGTCACATTGAAGACATCGCTGTCGCCAAGGACCAGCAGGGCAAGAAGCTGGGTCTCCGCATCATCCAGGCTCTCGACTTTGTCGCCGAGAAGGTCGGCTGCTACAAGTCTATCTTGGACTGCTCCGAGGCAAACGAGGGCTTCTACGTCAAGTGCGGATTCAAGCGTGCGGGGCTCGAGATGGCGCACTACTATGGAGGTAACAAGCCTAAGGGTGGCGCTCAGTAGATGAGTTGCTAGATACGCTGAAGCGCGTTGGGGATAAGAGAAGGGATGGAAAATCTCGCGATGGCGGGATGTGAATACTTGTAGATGATGGTGGGGAACCGGGCGTTTTCATGGGAATTTAGGGGTAAGATACAGCAATATGGGCGACGCATTGGATCGACTTGGATTTCGATCGAGCAACATAGACTATAATAGACTCGAGCGACGAGCCGACAATTGAAAAAGGATGGGCAAGTGCTCTGCTGCCCAGCTTCTTACTTGAACACATATACAGTTTTTCTAAACCTAACAGGTCTCCTTACTATTTGCAGCGGACGATACGAAATTGGCACACAGAGACGGTTGATGGCACAGATTATGATGAAATGCCTAAATTTTACCAATGACCAGATCGCCCAAAAGAAAAAAAAAATCCCCAATGCTATTATTCGTACAGTACAAACAAATCATCAATGCTGATGATCAAATTCATGAGCCGGCCGTCTGCGAGACACTCCCGTTGTGACGAAGTTGCTGATACTGAGCAGTGCGTAGGAATCTCACATTGTCGTACGGAGGCGGCATCGTGGTATCCAAGGGCACGCCTTGCAGGACCGCAATCATAGGGTCCGGTCGCTCGAAGTTATACCGACGGATCTCCTTCTGCACATGCTTGCGCTCGGCACGATCAGCGCGACGGTCGGCGATGCGGGCCCGTAAACCAGGTCCACGAGGATTAGATGGAGTATCACTGCGAAAAGAGAGAAGATACGTTAGATTGTCATACAGAATATATTGTGCTATGGGATGAGAAGAGGACGAGGAAGCGGGCAGTGTAAAGACTGAGAATGAGATCAAAGAAGCCTTACTTACGCCGCTCCTCCGCTCCTCGCTCTCCGAATCGTGCGTTTCCCAGCATCCACAAGATCGAAATCGATGTTGATCCACTGCCGATCCTTATTTGTAGCCTCCCTCGGACTCCCCGGTGGCGCTTTGGACAGCGTTGGAAGACACGTCCACAGAATTAGCAACACAACCAGGATAGCGAGGATAATGGGCTGTAAGATCGAGACACCCTTTGCTTGTGCCAACGCTCCAATGGCGAAGGGGAGAATCGCGGCGCCGCCTCCGCCGAAGGCTGCTGCGAAACCGATTGCCGAGACGTGCAGGTGTGGGGGGAGAATTTTCGTGGCTGCTACGATTGCGGCGGGGAAGAGGGGTCCGAGGAAGAAACCTTGGATCGAGACGAAGATTGCGGAGATATGGAAGGAGGGGGCAAGCCAAAAGATGAGTTGGCAGATTGTAGAGCCAAGAATGTAGAGCTATTTGTGTGTAAGTTTGGAGTGTCAGTTAAAATATTCGCGAATCGGAGAAGATTAACAAGTCCTTCTTCGTCGCAATATGACGAGGAAGAAAAATTACTTACCATTACAGCAAATTTCTCGCCGAGTTTTGGAGTCAGAAAGCCCAATACGAATCGTCCAGAAGTGATACCTGCCCAGAAACCCGTGGCCACCATACCGGACTCGAATGGCTGTCCAGCACGCTCACGTCTCATGAAAGTGACAATCCAACCTCCCAAAGCGACCTCCGCACCAACGTAGCAAAGGAGGAATATGGAGATGACCCATGTGACGCGGCTCTTCAGAGATTCCTTGAGACGACTCTCTTTCACATTTTCGGTTCGAGGCCTAGTCTCACGGTAAACGCGCCCACTGACTGGCCAGAATGCCCACAGCGAGGTGATAAGCTCAATGACCGCGCCGCCGAGCTACAAGTCACTGTCAGTCTCCATAAGAAATTTTCCGCGCGAGTTTAGGCATACCATGATATAGTAAAACGCATACCAAGGCCATCCAGCTTGCGTAATTAAGCTCGTAGCCGCAAGCGGACTCAGAACTGCTCCAACCCCATAGAAGCCGTGAAGAAAGCCTAACATCTCGTTGGAATTGGCCATGTTGCCGAACCATGCATTCCATGCAGCATCTTCCAGACCGTTACCGAAGCCGGCAAGGATGAAGACGAGGACGAGAACCGGGTACGGTGGGTGGAGACAGATTCCAAGATATGCCAGCACGTGGCATAGAGGACCGATGAAAGCGACACCGCGCTGACCGAGGCGTATGTGGATTAAGTTGTTCAATAGAGCAGCGCCGGCGTCTGGAGGGAGGATGTGAAATTAGCGAAAGTCGAGTTATGTTTGTAGAACATGCGATACGTACATCCGGCGAGCGGAGACAGAAAGACCATGGAAACTACTACATAAGAGAGTTCATAGTCTTCCTCAACCTGATGGTACAGAGGTTAGTTATACATCGCAATGTCGTAGTAATATTGTACATGGACCTTACATATGGAATCAGAGCACCGTATGCCGCATCGTTTGCCCCCATTATAGCGAAGGCAAAAAACGTCGACAGGGTTCGGAAGATGTTGACTTTGGGATGATTCCATCGCTCGACCACGCTCACGGTTGTGGATGGCTGGGGCAGGAATTCAGCTGGATCATCGTTCTTGCTAGAATTGCTAGGAGCCAGGTTAATTGGCGTGCTTGGACCAACGGTCTGAAGCTCAATCGATGTCTGAGACGAGCCTCCCATGTTGGCGCGTGTGCCGTTCATGATTGCGAGATAATCAAGACTTGTTGCAATAGATTGCAGTTGATGATGAAGATCACTCTGGTTCAAGGGAGCATCTCTAGCTTTTATATCTAGGTATATAGGGAGAGGTTTTACAGGACATTTTGATCCATCAGCTGAGCGTCTATGCTCATAGCCCAAGAGCTCCACATTCGCTCAATGGAGTTTATTGTTTGATAATCATGGTGGGTATTCTTCGGATATGCGAGAACGGCTTGGGGATGACGACGGTGGGGAAATTGTGAGTTGACGACGTTGCCGCTTTGGGAAGTATTCATGCCTTTACATCATTGGTCGGAAGTCGGATGTCGTCATCTACATTGCGCAGAGCACTCTCGCGCATAGCGATTATGAAGCCGGAATTGGATCCTATACGCGGACCTTTGAAAGCCAGTTTGAGTCATAATTTTTCTGGAATCCATCAGTGGAAACCATACTTGTCGTGTGGTGCTCTGAATACCAGAAACTCGCTAAGCCACTAGGCTTCACTGTTCTGCACTCGCCACTCTGTAGGCCGACCCCACGAATTCGATGCTTCCACATGCTTGCTCGATACTTCCAGCATCTTTGATATTTGTCAGTCAACCTTGGATGAAATATTCTTAGATCTACTGATCTCACGCCACCCGCAGCAAGCTTTTGCTAGCGCCACGCGTTATTTTAACATAGGGCCTCCAATTTCTTATTTTGTCCTCGTGAGTGAGTCAAACGAGGGTTTTGAGACAACATAATCTTCATTCACCCCTCAAATCTGACCTGCATTGCTGACATGAGTCAAAAGGTTGCACGAGTTGCACGAAACAATATTCATTTTTGACAGAATGGCCCAGCAAGAGGTCGCTGATGGCAAGGCGTGCGATTCTACAGCATCCAACGGCGGCGATGCATTCGTGCCTCTAGATCTTGAAAACACTTCTCTCATCGAGTCTACACTTCCTCCAGAAATATGGACACTGGTTCAATCTTCCCGTGCAAACTTTCCACCAGAGTATTTTCTAGACGTCAGTCGCAATTTACTAGAAAATCCCAACCTCACGGCCTCGCATCTATCAAGAGCTGAACTCTCTTATAAGAGCTTCACAGATGCAACATATAATCCAGAAGCCCGGCACCCACACGAGCTTGCTAGCATTGTGAAGCACATGAAAGCCGATCACCAGCCGCGGCTCATTCCTGCCCTTGCAGGATATAAACTCGAGTGGTCGGTGGTCAGGAAATTGATCCCAAGAAATCCAAAACTAGATGAAGCTCTATTGCAAACCTGCCATTTGTACACCTCAACCGCTAAGATAACCGTCCGCGAGAAAGATGGAAGTACACAGACGATCGATGCCGAGCGGTATCTCGTCATCTACTTACCACACGTCTCAGACCCGGAATCGATTCCATTCTTTCACCCTAAAGTGCGGGGTGTAGCTATATTGTACACTTTCCAACCTAAGGCATCCTCAAATGTGTCTCCTGGAACACTTTCAATCTACTATGACTTGTTCCCTGAACGGCCACTGGATAACAGGATGTCCCGCACTGCACTCAAAATGCTGGAAATCATACATAAGCACTCCAAGGGTAGGGCCCAGGGTTACCAAAAGCGAGTTCATCATGATCTGATCATCCCCCAAAAAACATTCCAAGACACCTATGCATATTTGAAAGGGAAGTATGCTCAGGACATGATCGGCAATTGGGTCGAGCAGACTCCACCGGAGAAACACGTTTTCGAAGATCTAGGAATTGCAGCGTTCTTAATAGAATTGTGGAACGAAATGTACGGCCAAAGCACATCTGAGACGGAGCTCGCATCCAAAATCGATGAGACCTCATTACAAGACGGTGATCAAGACGAGGATGCTGCCAGAGCGAAGAGACAGTTAAAGGCACAGGAACATTTCCCCGGGTTCGTGGACATCGGGTGTGGAAATGGTCTGCTTGTGTACATCCTCAACAAGGAGGGATGGTTGGGGTGGGGTTTTGATGCTAGGCGGCGAAAGACATGGGATACTTTCGAGGAAAGATACCAGTTGAATCTCAAAGAGATGCTTTTGGTACCAGAAGTACTAAAGTCCGAAAAAAACGACGATGACGACACCGAGTCGGATTCCCTACCATCACACAACGGCAGCTTTCCCACTGGGACTTTCATCATTTCCAATCACGCCGACGAATTGACAGCCTGGACACCTTTGCTCGCGTATCTTTCGGAAAGCCCGTTCATCGCTATACCATGTTGTAGCCATAACTTTGGCGGAACACGGTTCCGAGCTCCGTACCATCCCCAGCAATTCCCAAACGCTACCGCAAAAGCTGGGAAGCAACCGTCTGCCTACAACTCTCTCTGCAGCTATGTGTCCTACCTGACGACTCAAATGTCATACGTCCCGGAAAGAGAGTTCTTGAGGATCCCCACAACACGTAATATCGCAATTATAGGAAGAAAGAGAAAGGACGAACAACAGGAGGCAGAGAATGAAGAAACAAAGATGAATACTGTGAGAGCTCTAGTTGAAAAGGAAATGGGAGGAGACACGTCAATTGAACAAGTGCGGTTGCAGTGGTTAAAAAGAGGGAGCGGGTTGATGAAGCCTGGGAGTGGAGGTCATTGATTCAGAGACTACTGTTACTTCGATCAATTCTCATACTGTTCTTGCTTTTGTGTTATTCTGGACACTGATCCTCAGACGAACAACGCGAATTGCCAAGTGTCGCACTTATGTATCGGAGATGAAGAGCCGGTAGTGCGTTAGGTTTAGAGAGAAAGTCGATTTGTGAAACACGACATTCTCTCCACACAAGAGCGGTCTACCCGAAACTGGTTTGTCCATGACGGGCAACAGCTTTGATTGCAGCCTTCTGTTCATTCTGTTCATTGAGCACGGACTCAGTGAACTGGTTCTTTTAAGCTGACATTGCAAATACGTCGTGCAATGTAAGGATCAGTATTTGACTTGACACAACAGCGACGATTAGATTTATAGCTGACGCGCATGTTATACGTGGCCAACGTCCCCAACGTATTCACTATAATACTGACTAGATTGACATGTAAACAGCCTGGCATCGCGCTTGCCTTTGATGCTATATATCATGTTTGGAGGGTCTTCAAACGGCATATTTGATAGGGCCAGCCTGTCTGATTTTCTTTCGTGATATGCGGGAAATCCTTCCCATATTTTCAACGTTCATTGGGGTTTCGCCCTACTGCTCAATTAGGTATGCTATACGTTTTGTGATGAAATAGGTCTACTGCATTTTCGGATTACGTGTACTAATTATAGTTGTGAAATCTCCAGATTGTTTCCGCTTCCGAAACAGCGCGATTCGGCGCGTTCATTATCACTAGATCAATAGTCTAGAAAGCCTTTCATCAGATGCGATTATATCAGGATAATGTAAGGAGGCCAGGACACTCTACATCTCACTAAAGGAGCTGGTTTTTGGTCTAGAATAGCGCACCATCTTGTATTTATACTGCACGTGCTAATAAGCATGCATTGGTTTAATCCTCATCTTGGTAATAACAACGAACGGCAAGGGTAAGTGGCATGGAAGGATTCGTATCTGCGATCATTTAGGATTTTAGGTTTTATGATAGGTCTTACCCGCAATTGGTGACTATACGTAATCCCAAATGTGGACGTAAACTAGAGAAAAAGGGCTAGCCACCGCACTCGATGTCCGTATGTACTCCTTGGCGCACAATATATATTGCGCGCAGGTATAGCCCTTATAATGAAAGGGTAGGGGTATAAACAGACTCAGTATCGATACACCTCTGCACCCTGGTTCCACCTTCGGACCACCATTTCCATCATGATCGCTGTCAAACTTCTCTTCGCTGCCAGCAATATCCTTGTATCTGCGTACGCTACAGCTTCGGATGCAGACTCTCCTAATGTTCGCTCCCTAAACTCTCGAGCACCAGCATACAAGATCTACGGTGGGGATGGCACAGCTGGACAAGGCTGGCCTACGGAAGCCCAATGGCTTGACTACGACTCTCTGTAAGAAAACTACCCCTAATGTCCCAGCTATGCGCTAACATATACAGGTGGGCAGCCAACTACGAAGTGATGATGAACAAGCTTGACGAGACAGGGTGCCTTAATGCATGGGGGCCGAACACTGAAGCCGAAGTAGCAGTCATCAAGTCTGGAATTGAAGCCGCAGCAAGTACATCCGGCCTTGACCACCGCTTCATCCTCGCGACCATGATGCAAGAATCAAACGGCTGTGTCCGCGTGCCCACCTCTATCTCGCCAAACGAGCAAGTTCGAAACCCTGGCCTTTTCCAATGCGCAAACGGTGATCATACATGCAACGAAGATGGAAACCTAAAAATCCCTTGTCCCGACGACCAGATTACTGGTATGATTAACGACGGAGTGTTGGGAACTGCAAGCGGACCTGGCTTGCAGCAGCTGGTCGTGGAATCTGGTGCTCAAGATGTCAGCAAGTACTACAAGGCTCTTGTCCTGTACAATTCTGGTGTGCTCCCTCCATCCGGCAACCTCGGACAGGGTCGCTCAACGCGGTGCTATGCGAGTGATTTGGCCAATCGTTTGACAGGATGGACAGGCATTGGAAGGACGTGCGACCCCAATACTATTGGCGATAATTGGGGTACACCGATTGGAGAAAAGTTTGAGGGTGCTCCTGCGAATTGCATTCGTTGGTATACCGTGCAAAGTGGTGATGGGTGTCGTTCGATTGAAGAAGCCAACGGTATTGCCTTGGGCACGATCAAGAATTTGAATCAGGGGGTAGATTCTAACTGCGGAAACTTACGTAGAAACGTAAACTACTGCTTAGCTACGTCAGACTAATTGAATTTACCAATTCAACGTCCTAACGGTACATAGTAGAAGGACGGTTGAAGTGATGTCTAGTCATTTTTTCGGTTGAGCTATTACGCTGAACAGAGGTTCGAGAAGCCGCGAACCAATCCAGCGACCCCAGATCTGCAGACAAGAATATACGATCATTATACAAAACATTATGCATCTATGGATACTTATTACCATCAAGTTTAAGTTTTTTGAGTGTCTTTATTTTATTGGAAGGTACAGTGCTTCCTGCAATCAAAAGGCTGATAAAAAAGTAGTGACAAAAAGCAGGCGAGGACAAAAAGTTTCACAAAAGGAGTTGCGCTTTCAGCACTGGGCCAGGGATGCAACACCCATATTACTATTGATATCTCCTAAATCATGCTACCTGAAAGCTATAGTTTGCGGACACATGCTCTTTGCTAATTTTATGCGTAGGTAGATATTTAAGTTTAGTTCAGATGCTCAGATGTGTAGAGGTGACAAGCATATCAGAGAGATGTAGTGCAAGAGAGTACATACTAACTCATTAACCTTTTACTTTAAATTGGCTAGAAATGTTTTCTCGGCAACTCCCTCCATTGCGCTGACGCTTTTGCAGTTATCAAAAGCGCCCGCTGTCTTCTCTCCAGATTTCAGCATAGCCAACGCACAAGATTTCCACAAGGACGCTCGATATTTGCGCGTCATATGGATTGTCACGAAGAGAAACACCGTTCCGCCCCAGAGTGCTGCAGCTGGGAGGGAGATCCATGCCCAGCGGACCCAATATACCGTGATCTCTTGCGTGCCCCTTGCAAGACTAGCTTGTGCGTCGTTCGTACGAAGATTATTTGTCATGCTTTCGGCAACGTTTTCGAACAAAGCCTTGGGGTCAGGCGAATTGTATACGCGCTCCATTGAGTTAGGTGCATACCGAATACCATTATAATTGCCCGAAATGTAGTATCCAGTGGTGTCCTCTTCAGTTGTGATTGCGAACGCAGTTCTCAAAGCGCTGGCTATACCATTTAGAGAGTGTTGAGCAATAGTTATTCCCCCTTCAAACTCAAGATCATCCCTTGATTCTTCATACGACTGTGCGAGCATTCCAGGATTCATGTCTGGCACTTCCTCGTTCTTCGGCCCTCCACCTTTGACAACTGATGCGTTGATGTCTCTTGACGTTTCATCCAGTGTCCCATTGATTGACCTTGATGTAATTTCTTTGACACACATCGATAAGCTGACTTCATAGGCGATGAAGCTGTGGACAGGTTGGGCGGGATCTTCAATATCCTGGAGAGGAGCGGTATCCTGGAGAACCGCAAAAGACCATAGCATAGTTTTTTGGTCCTTGTAAGAGATTGTTTTACTCCGGTTCTTTCCAGAGAGACTGACCATACGAATTTCATTCCACTTGTATGTCTCGACGTAAAGGTGATTAGGTAAATAGTAGTAGTCTATTAAAGTACCATTCGGCTTGTTTATAGGCCTACTAAAATCGTCACCAAGACGTGATCGCTGCACAGACCAGAAGAAGTCCGACAGTGAGGAATTAGAGGAGGAATTAGGCGAGGAAAAAGAAACGTTCGTTATCTTCCATGGCTCGCTGAGCTTATCATTATGACGATCTCGTTGCGAGATACGGGATTTCGAAGACACCGGAGGGGCAAATGCAGGGATAGAACTGTTCCACAGCTTCGATATCTTCGATATCTCGCCAGTCAGATTTTTGAATGTCGAGCAAACACCAAGTGTTTTGAAATTTCCCCATTGGCAGATTGCTGTAGGGCACCGTACTTCGATGGCTTGGACTCCTTTGGCTCCAGAGAGTCCCGAAAGGATAGCAGCTTGCATGGAGAAGTCGGAGACTGATGATAGCGTCGAGGCTGGCTAGATCAACAATCATCCTCAAATTGATTATTCTCATTTCATACTTACAATGTGACCTTAATGCAACGTTAGTCGACCTTTCTATGCCCTTATCATAATGTATAGCGAGAGGAACACTCGGCGGAGATAGTATTGATGCTGTTTGCGTTTCTCGCAAGCTGATGATTTGTTGTAGGAAAGGGTCGACGAAAAACGCTATAACGACAGTGCAAGCACCTATCGCAGCCCATGAACTGTACATAATATATCAGCCTAGATCTTTAGAGTTCACTGCGTCTGGACAAAAGCACGATAGCGTAAAGTAGACACACCTCATCCGTGTCCTCCACAGCAACAGCAAGCTGCCAAATGGTCCTCGACTGGCACTATCATATGTAATGAAGTTGAATAGCGGTTGACGTTGAGGACCAGAGAAAGATATGTATGTCCATTGACCAAGACAAGATGACAATACAAAGAGTAACGACGACTTGAAGACGATACCAAGAACGGAGACCATTGCGTTTAGTGACACATTAAGCCACGTGAAAATTGGTTGTTGATTGTATCGCAAGAGTAGACCAACCGTTGTGAATAGTGCGATCCATGATACAAGGAGAAGCAATAGCTCAAGCGCCCATGTATCGGAGAAGAATTTACCGGAAGCTTCCCAAAAGCCCATAATGTGATTAGAAGGGGGCATCTTCCAAAAAGATGATTTTGAGTATGTACGTGCGCTGAGAGTATGGGAAAAGTATAGTGAGTGTTTAAGTAACAGAGAGGTCCATAATTCGAGGAGAAGCACTTTTCTTTCATCTAAATACGATGCTTTTACTCTGTGCAACCGTGCAAGTACAGTCCGTAAACAGGCTGGGCACCTCATGCTGAAACAAGACAACGCAGAAATCTTCTCACTTATTCCATCTCTTCAGAGAGGAGAATACAGCCCCCCCATAGTTTTAAAACCACCCACCCCTCTAGGGAAAGGCAACTTATGCTTTTACCATCCACGTGGAACCCACCCTCTCAGGTTCCGTGAATAACCCACTGGCCCCCCTTTGAAACCCCGCACAACGCAAGATCAGACAATCCGAAAAGTGCGACACACAACAAGTTGTGTTATTCTGTGTAAGTGTTTTATCTCGGTTTTTTCTAGCGCTTACATTACGTGTTACTCTGTAGTATATGGACTAGTCTGCTCAACGCCTTCAAGAAGTTACTACACAATATCCTGATGTACGTTGTTGGGTATTACATGAGAAGAAAAATGAGGTGCTCTTTAGGTCTGATGCACTATGTTATAGACCTAAGCATTAACTATTAACTTCTTGTTAAGACTCTGATAAGAAAAGAACATTAGAGCACTACTGTACGTATGCCTATACACATCTTTTAGGTACAGGGTAGGATTTGTCAGTGTGAAAGCCTAGGACCTGGAGTAGAATCTTCATGCCATATATGGCACGTAAAGAGAAGCTGTTACGCTAAGAGATCCCGTATAGGTCTTCTATGCGTAACTTTTACCCTTTTCGGATCAAAAAGGGGTGAATCCCGGTCTTCGTGCCTATGCATGTCCTCTGTAATCAAGATAAACATCCTTCTTCGAGTTTGCACATGCATGTAACATGTATTCTTCCAGATCAGAGCGTGAGTAGCAACTCTGTGAGAAATACTCAATTAGCATATAGTGCGGACCATGAGGTCCCGTGGCAATAGTGGCGATGGGATATTTTAGCCTACCTCCCGCTTCTCAAACACCATTCTACATACCCCCCCTAAACACATACTTCATGTGCCAAGTATAGGCCTCTGCGTGGAAGGTAGGATGTGTCATTTGGCTAAATTCCGACGCGGAGGTCGTGCTACACCAGCTTGACAACTATTGGTTCGGTCGTTCACACCTCGATCCGGGTTAGGAAACAAAAAGACATTAAGATACTCCATGGGACCTCTGGAGAACGCATGTTTCACTTATCAAGATTAATACCTGTGGCACTTGCATGGTAGACGCCAGTGAAGCATACACAGAAGCCCAACATATTTCCATACTCTGAATCGGTGTCATTACCATAAATGACAGCGAATTTCCATAGAATCCTTCTGAAGTTGGTTCAAACCAGCCACAATTTTGTGTGGAAGCCGCAAACATGATCCTCAAGACTATTGCGGCCCTCGGGGCTTTGGCTTCGTTCACGAGCGCGCACATCGTAATCCCGCATCTACTCGTCGACAAAAAAGACACGGGTCTTTGGAAGCATGTCCTGTAAGGAGTTCCCAACTTCATCGGCTGCCACTTGGCACTGGCTCATCAAGATACGCCGATATTCTGGCTTTTCGTTTCCTGTAATCGTCATTCTGTTGGACAATACTGACCTCATTTTGTGCGTATACAGCGAGGTTTCAGCTCCCGATGAAACGTGGACTGGACCCTATTACTATCCCGGTTTAATCATTCCCCTCGAAGCTTATGATTCGCTGGACGGGGAAAACATTACTTGTGGCCGTGCAGCTTTCAACTCTCTGGGAAAGACCGAAATCGCGGATGTAGTTGCAGGTAAATACATCCTTTTATTGCATGGCTCATGCTGCGTGCCCTCTGTTTGGGCCACCATCCACCATCCCCCATATGAGAGCCCTGTGCTAAGTATGTATCTACAGGAGAGGAGATCGGCTTTAAAACGTGGTATGAAGTTGATAATGGAGAGCCATGGACGGCAGAAACTACCTACAGCTTCTATCACACCGGACCAGCTCAAGTGTATCTTTCTCGCGCCCCTAATGATGATCTGAAGTCTTACCATGGCGATGGAGATTGGTTCAAAGTCGCGTACGCCGGCCCAAAGAATTCTAAATCGTGGGAGCTAGATGGGCCCCACCGAAACGACGTATGTATGACAAGACTCGCTGTCCTCCCTATTCCAAGTGAGAAAATGGTGTTCTGAGTGTTGACACGATGCGGCTATAGTTCAACTTCACACTGCCACGCACTACGCCACCAGGCGCATATCTCATGCGGTTCGAATACATTTACGTGACTGCGTTCAACACCACACAGTTCTACGTCAGCTGCGCGCTCGTCAATGTCAAGTCTCCCGGTCCCTCCGTTGAGCCTGGAAAACCGGCAGGTTTTGCAAGGTTCCCTGGGACGTATAAGATCGAGGATCCTGGTAGGTGTTCCCCATATCTCTATTTCAAAGACCGTTGAATTCTGAGAGTTTGACAGGTATTACCGTCCCAAGAAGCCAAGACAGGATCAACGGCGGCGTAGAGGTTAATCTGTTGGAGTACAAACCTCCAGGCCCCCCGGTATGGGAAGGATAGGTATGAGGTGGGAGATCTCCATTGAGTTTCTGGGAAATGATGGGTCAGAACTTGATTTGTCTGCCCTGGCGTTAAGAAATGCTGTTTGGGCTTTTCTTTTATGGGTTTACATGAGCACGGTCAACGACGAACCCGTCGTCCCATTTCAACACGTCAATGGCGTCAAATCAATTCATCACTACAGAACGACTGTCAGATGCGCACAAATTGATTATTCTCATTTCATACTTATAATGTGACACAAATGCAAAGTTAGTCCGTGACACAAGGAGAAGCAACAGCATTTGCGACAAGGTGACGAGATCCTACAGCACCTCGACGCTCTCTAGCCTATAGTAAGCAGTGTGCATCCTCAAGGCTGACGTTATTTGTCGTTGTGAAAGTGTCCCGCTCCACGCTATCACCCCCTTGGCTAATTGCCTCTATTCATGGTTCAGCGCTGATTTCGCTTTAATCGCCCGTTCCGTCCATTTCCATCGTCAAATCCATCGTCGCGTGTGAGAACACCTAAACTCTTACTTAAAAAAAAAAAAAAGGGTTCAGCGCATGAATTGATAACGGACTTTGGCAGGCTAGGCGCTGGGCAGCCGCATTCTATAATCTATTATTAACTGCTTCAAAGTTTGTTTTTCTCTTGCCCCTGAACGCGATAGCAGATTAGCGATTGGTGGTATCGTAAAAATTGACTGTTATCGGATGCCCCAGCGCTCTTGGCGGCATCTAAGCGTAGCTAAATCCGGTATAATGCGTTCATTTGTAATTAAGTGAATATCAAAATCAGAGTGCCCAGGCGACATTTCCTAGGGGCGTAAAAAAGATACTACATTATAGATATTCAACGCCCTAACACCAAATAATGACCTATACTTTTAATAGTCACAAAATTCAAAAGTCTTGTAGAATTCGCACAGAGAGTTTTAAGTTTTTTTTATTGGAAGTTACATCTATGGTGTAGTTGTGGAGTTATTGTCTAATGTCGATAATTGAGAGATGTTTAACATTTAAGAACGCTCCCTACGCTAAGAGCGTCGAGCTATCCTGAATGTGTCGATTTTTACGGTAGTTTGCAGTGTTTTTGCCTATCCTGAAAACGATGTTCGGTTGCCTTTCTGCCTTAATTGTAGACCTGTTTCCTTAAGTTTCGGCCGTCGGTCCTGCCCACTTTTCTTGGTGTCCCCGTCTCTCCTTCGCCATGGCGTACCCGCTGTCGCCTCTCAATCACGGTCGCAGAGCCTCCGAGGAGCAGGATGTTTTGAACTCTTTTTCTGATGCTCCTCTAATGCATTCATTCAATATTTGTGAAGAAATCGAATCTGGTCCGCCTGACCATATACGGACTGACGTTTCTGGCGAAGGGCGGTTGGGAGCAACATACGTTGTAACACCGTCACAAGATGACAATGTTCAATTCGAAGGACAAATCATCGATCGCACAAGTCACGCACCTACGTGTGCTAAGGACACTCGGATATCTGATGATTCAAGCACATTCAGACATCAAGCGACCTATCAGTCATCGTTAGACAGTACGCGTACTTCACCGATAATCAAGAATACTCTGACAAGGAACACACAGAAGAGCTCCGGACTCGAGAATCAGCGAAGAGGTCAAGATTAATTCTGACCGCTCACCTGCATCACTATTTGCGTCATTGGTGGAAAGAGTGGGCCCTACTCTTGTTTTCATTGGGAGTCTTAGTTGCAATTCCTGTAATTTTAAGCCATTTCAATGGACAGCCCCAGCCAGTGTGGAGTTTAGGTCTGAATCTAAGTACAATCATCGCAGTGCTTGCTACATTGCTACGAAGTAGTCTTGCAACTGTGTCAGAGGAAGGTAAGTGTACATAAACTGCTTTCATGGAATGCTTTCTTACGCCTTTCGAACAGTAATGAGTCAAGCGAAATGGTCCTGGCAAAGTCAGCTCCGACCTGTGCGAGACCTCGCCCACTTTGAAGAAGCCAGTCGGGGACCACTTGCAGCATTATACCTCTTCATCAACATTCCGAAACTTCTTGGATTGAAGTCGTTACTCTCCCGGTAAAGTGAACAGAGCCTGAGCAAAATTATGGCACACTAACAAATACCGGATGCAGTAACTCTGTTGTTCCTGCAAGTACTGCCATCTTACTGTCGCTCGCCATTGGTGCATTTACTCAACAAGCTATAAAATCTGTGCCATGCAAGCGTGCGGTTCAGGGTATTAACGCAACCATTCCTGTCGCAAGATATGCTCACCCATTTATGAATCAGTCTGAAATTTCCTGGACTAAGTATCGACTGGACGCGGCGACCAGATCGAGAATTATGAATGGGTTCAGTGATCCAAACAGTATCCGACCAAAATTTCTTGAAAATTGTCCAACTGGGGATTGCAGCTTCGAGTCTTTGAACAATATAACGCATGTTACGAGTGGATTTTGCTCCAGATGCGTGGAAACAACGAATATGTTGGTCAAAGAAGACCTGCCAGCCGACAGAGACCCTGAGTTGTTTCCCCAGGAGAGCAGTAATCCACGCGAATATATCGTAAGATTACCGAATCGACGGCCCCTTGTACTCTCTTGGATACCTGAACACTTTGTCAGCCAGGGCATGTCGGTTAATATCGAGGAAGTATACAGGATTCCAAAACCGGAGCCATCTGACTTATTACCAAGCAACGCTACTGTCACGATGAACATTGTTGCAGTCACACGTTCACCTTGTTCTCCAGGTTATAAATGCTCAGGTCTTTGGCCTGATCCAGGAGATGTAGGAAATGGGGAATGGAAAAAGTTGAACGTAGTGTCTGCCAGCTGTGGCCTGTACCCTTGTGCACAGCATCTAAAAGCCGAAACGAGGAACGGCGAATTCGTCGAAACCATCATTCACGAGGAGCTATATGGAACGACAGAGAATAATATTCCGAAAGGTGCGGTATCGGAACCGTACAAGTTCATCGCACCCTGTTGGGTTAATGATACTCGATACGACAGTAAACCCGATAACAGCCCACTGGTGATCGGCGAAGAGAGACATATCGATAATCTTCCCCCTTGTGCTTTTGGCGTATCCGGTCCGTTCATGAACCAGGCCTACCTTTTAGTTCAGGACTCTGCAATAGGAAACTGTACGACGGACATCGAATTCGGCCTCGAAACAGTCGAATGTCGGCTTGGCGATAATGACCCATCCATTTATGGCCCATATCAGCTACAGTGGCCGCTGCATAATCTTTTCAATTCTGGGCACGCTTCGTTCGCGAGCATTTCGCAGGTGATGGAGAACCTCGCGGACGCCATGACTGACAGCGCTCGAGCTCAACCATTTTTTGGGGTAACACGTGTCCCCGGTACCGTCTGGGAGTCAACCGTTTGCACGGAGTTCGACTGGCCATGGCTTTGTTTTCCTGCTGTACTTGTCTTACTCACGGCGATTTCACTCGCCTCGGTAGCATCAGCGACGACGCCTAAGAACGGCGAGCCGCCAATCTGGAAATCTTCGATCCTGCCATTAGTCTATGGCAGAGCAGCTGGTACGGAGGGTAACATCAGTGACATGTCACTCGAGGAAATGGAAATTAGCGCGAAGGAGGATTTACTCGTTTTGCAAAAGGGCGAGGAGAAGTGGGAGTTCAAGCTTGTGAAGAAGAGCAAATAAGGCAACACAACTAGTCTTGAAGAGCGAGTATGATGCGAGCTAAGGAGGACACGAGTCGAGTATTAATACAGATTGCAACAGGTAGCATCAGTTGATATAGATGAAGTACACGTGCCGGGACTGGAATTAGTCGCCGTCAGGGAACTGTGTCGCACGACTCGAAAGATTCTATGCAGGATGGGAGATATAGGAGACTTTATCAGAAACAGGCGTTATATTCGTTACTATGCTCAAAAATTTTCACATACGATCATAGGACTATGAAAACAGAGCTTCCCGTCCGCTCAGCTGTACTTAAGCATAGTACCGGCGGATTAGTAGTTAGGTGGGTGACCACTAGCGAATACCTGCTGTTGTATGTTTTTTGTTTTTTAACGTGGTGCTTTTTTGTATGTCTGCTTTGGAAAGAGCACTCTGGAGTCTGGATATAGGTTTCTGGTGAGGATTGGTCTAGGATTATAGAGATATTACCAATCATGGCGCGCAAAATCAAAGCTATAAATACATAGTGAAATAATTTTTTTGTAATAAAATTGATTCACATTGCAGCAGGTAGCATGAGTTTATATGTTGATACTGATGAAGTACACGTGCCGGGACCGGAATTGGTCGCCGCCGGGGAACTTGTGCCGTGTGGGAGGAGAATGACGCACGGTTATGCCGCCTTATCACCCCCTCATGCGGGACAGGGGTAGCTTTGGAAACCCGCGACCTTGGGACTACATACATAACCCAGTCAACGTGCCGCCAACATGACATCAAGTCCAAGTCCTGATATTCGTTTTCCTCTTGCTGTCAGCCATGGCTTGGGCTTCGTCTGTCATCGCATCTCGCTCCACTTTTCAACGGGTTGTCGCTAAGAGAAGGATCTTCCCCAAATTGACAGCCGCAAGCACAAGCGTTATAGCTCGACGCGGTATTGCTACTGCGTGTAAACGACCGAAATTATGCGGACAAGAAGAGGCGTTGAAGGCCACTTTAGGTATTACAACACAAAGAGCATTTTCAAGCTCGCCAGCATGCCTGTTACACACCAGGGAAATGAATGAGGAACAGTTGTCGAGTTTGAGAGTAGACCAGGAGCGGTTGATGCGGGATCTACATTACACATGCCAATGGGGCACTGGAGAGAGATGGGGCGAGTACGTTTACACAATCCAAAATACTTGTTAAATCCGTTCTCCTCCGCACGACTTCTAATTGTTGCTTTTGCAGGGCCCCAACTGAAACAGGCATGTCGCGTCTTGCGCTTTCGGACACTGACAAGCAAGCTCGCGACTGGTTCGTTGAGACTGCAAAGGAGTTGGGCTGCACTGTGACAGTTGACGAAATGGGCAACACATTTGCTGTTCGACCTGGGTTGAGCAACGATAAACCACCGACATTTGCAGGATCGCATTTGGACACGCAGCCAACCGGTGGACGATATGATGGGATCCTGGGAGTTCACGCTGGTGTCGAAATGCTCAAGGTCTTGAATGATAATTGGGTTGAGACACAATACCCTGTTGGCGTAGGTGAGTAAGAAAGAGGAGTTACCCAGCCAGATCATGTACTGACCATTCTCTTAGTGAACTGGACAAAGTATGTCATTTCCCCCTCTATTGGATAGGAAGAAGCTACTAACACACATAAAGCGAGGAAGGTGCCAGATTTCCCATGTCAATGAGCAGCTCTGGAGTCTGGGCTGGTTCCATCCCCCTCGAGACAGCCCACAACCTACGCGAAGTGCACCCAGGCACCGCAACCATGGCCTCTGAGCTCTCACGCATCGGCTACCTAGGCACTACCCCAAGCTCCTACACCTCCATCCCCATGGCTGCGCACTTCGAGCTCCACATCGAGCAAGGTCCACTCCTCGAAATCGCCAACAAGAAAATCGGCGTCGTCAAAGGAGTCCAAGCATACAAATGGCTCACCATCAAAGTCAAAGGCCGCGACACACACACAGGCACGACCGATTTAAAAAGCAGAGCCGACGCGCTCCTGACAGCCAGCAAACTCATCCTTCACAGCCACAAACTGGCAACCGCCAACAACGCGCTCGCAAGCACCGGTATTCTTAACCTGAAACCCGGCAGTACCAACACCGTCCCAGGCGAAGTCACTTTCTCCCTCGACATCCGTGCCCCCAGCGATGACACTGTAGCGAAGATGCTCGACCTCGTGGCCCGCGATTTCCCCAAGATCGCAGCTGGCGAGGATCTCGATGGTCTGAATGTAGGATGTACGCTGGGTCTCCCGCTCCAAGTGTCGATCACCCAGGACTTTGACTCTCCCGCGACGTTTTTCCATCCGCAGTGTATCGAAGCGGTCACGCAGGCTTCGCATGCGGCGCTGGGACCAGATAGTAAGAATCTGATCATGGAGATGACGAGTGGTGCTGGCCACGATAGCGTATATGCGAGTAAGCGGTGTCCGACGAGTATGATTTTCGTGCCGTGTAGGGAGGGCGTTTCGCATAATCCGAAGGAGTTTTGCAAGGAGGAGGATTGTGCGATTGGGGCGCAGGTTCTTTTGCAGAGTGTGTTGAGGTTTGATCGGATGCGTGAGTGATGGTGAGGTAGATACGAGTGGTGGTTTTCTAGATGTACGGATGATACCCAGTCTTGTGTGGCATTGGTATATAATTTAGGGGTATGTGAAGGACTTTTGCTGATCTGTAAGTTGACCCCCAAGGAGTTCTATTATGGACTTGATCCCTTCCTTGGCCTAGAAGATCGTGTCGGGTATATATGGCAGAGTGTGATATTACATACATGAACAGAATACAGACACCGGTCTCGCCCAATCGACCGAGTGATATGTGATAGTACATGAGCCCAATGCAAGTGAAAATCAAACAAATGAACCAGATAATCGCCGGTTCCGTAATGATACAATGTATAAGGAACATTTCCTACCAACAAAGTAGGAATGAAGGGTCAGACCAATCTGAACGCTCATCAAAAATAACTCTTCCCTGTCAACCTAGCTTTCCTCTTCCCTTTACCGCCAGTCTTCTCTTTCCCGCTACCCTTTTTCTCCTCTTTCTTCTTGCTCTCTCCTGATTTCTCAAAAGCCCGTGTACTAGCATCCTCGTCGAACTCAACTTCTGGTAACCACCCACCCTGCTCGTCCCAACTCCTCACCCCTTCAATGAATCTCTCGATTTTATCACGCTCGTTCTCATCTTCGAACCCGCACCCGCACCCACAACCCACGACACATTCGCCTTCGTCAAGTCCAAGACTACTGTCCATGCATGCGAAATGTGCAATGTGTCTACAGCTCATACAGAGGTAGAAGCGCCCAGTAACTCGAATCCAGCATATCGTGCATGTGTAGATCGGTTCACTCGGTTGTTTGGATTTCTTCGGAGATGCTGCGACGGACGGGTTGCGCGGCGTAGAAATATGCGAGTGCCCCGATAAGTTCGACTGACGTCGCGAAAGTGATGGCCGTGAAAGTCGAGGTGTAGATGGTGGGAATTTAGTGGCGGAGAGTGGGGTGCTGACCGTGAAAAAATCCCCAGATGGTTCGGTCGATGGAGTAGGAATGCTGAGGCGAAGATATTGTTCCGCGAGTGGGGTTGTCTCGGACAACGGAACGGAAGCTTCTTCGGCAGGCGCGAAGGAGAATCGCGGCTTGAATTCCATGGCTTCTGGATTGAGCGAAAATTGGCGTGGAGATGCCAAAGGCGAGCGTCGGGCTTGTATGGATGGATGAAGAGACGGTGGAGCTAAGGTCGTCGTTTGCGACATTTGCTCCGATTGAAAGGCTGCTTCGTCTTCCTCATCCTCTTCTTTCAGTGTCATATGCGCAGATCCAGCCTTTGAACTCGCCCTGGGCGGCTCCTCCGCAGCTGGGAAGTACCCAACCAGTCCGTTGAATTTGAGAACCTCTGCTCTCTTGCTGACCAGTCCCCAGCATCCCAGCATTTCGGCGTATTGTTCTCTCCAGGCGCGGTACAGCCACTCCTTGGACATGTCGAGTAGAGGCGCACTGACGCACGCTTCATCATCGAATTGATCTTGGTTTTTCAGCGTGACTCGGATGCGCGACTGCTCATCTGTATCATTGGCGTTTATGCTCGAAGAAATCATGTATTGCGATGGGGCGTCTGCCGGCAGGGCATCATATTCGGAATCCGAATCAGAAATGTAGTCGACGTTGATATGTTCAGCTTGACCGAAACTGGCTCTCTTGCCCTGCTTCAAACGAGGGGGGGCAAGAGTCCGTTCTTGACTACCACTGCTGTAGAATGTATTGGCGCCCCAGGTCACGCCACTTGTGGGTGCTGACGTCGACAAATCATCGGTACGATTTTTGACAGGTGGCGACGAGGACATGAGTGTTTTGCCCAGATTAGCAAGAGCATTGGAAAATCCAGCGGGGCCCATTCTTCTGCTCGTGATTTGACTTTGCTCGGGACTTGTTGAGTATGGAGTGTTTGTAGCAGTCGCTGCTCGGCTTGTTGGCGCCCGCGAGAGATTGGGCGGAGTGTTTCCTGTGGAGTAAGGAGTAACAGGTTCAGAAGGCAGCGTATCACTACCCCATGGTCCATTCGATGACCCGTGAGAGCCATATGTATCCAGGTTCTTACTTAACCGGTGCCAACTGAATTCATTCACAGGCATAGCATACCGTGAATGCGCAGGCGTAGAAGGGATCTGAATGGTAGGTTTGAATAGACTCCATGCAGTCTCCGGGGACGAGAAATAATCGAGACTAAAAGCAGGAGCTTCCATAGACATAGGAAGGTGCGATCCGCTCATCTTGGCCATAGCACTAGGAACACCCTCGCGGGCTGCAGGCTCGGAGAACACACAAGATAACATGGCAAGCATCTGAGTGTCTGCCAATTTCTCGAAATGCTCAAAAAGCGCTGGAATTAGGGATGTGACAACTGAATGATGTCCCCATTTCACACGCCCTCTGAGCTTGGGGTTGGTCACCGCGTCTGCTTCATCAAATTGAAGATCCATGCCACTATCTTTTCTCTTGATTCTCACCAATGCCCTTCGCGCAAGGACTAGAATCTGCTCGCGTCTATGTTGCTGGGGTAGAATGTCCAACGGCACTTGGTTGTTTAGAATTAGTGTGCACAGTTGCCAGATATCCGCCAAGTCATCGAAACCATGCTTCCGAGCGACATCCGCGTTGTGTGAACAGACAGTTGGTCCGTCACCAAAAATGAGGTATTCATTGGCGAGCACCATCTTACTGGGTATAAACTGAGCTACTGCTGTTTCCAGAACAGAGATGACAGACCGCTTGCTCAACTGAGGCGGCACTAGCGATGATGGGGCAGAGGCTTTTGTATGAAGGGCAGATGACACTTTTTGCCACTGCAGAGGGGGTAGAAAATTCCGAAATCGGGCCTCAGCTTCACTGTCTGAGCCTGAGGATGAGGATGGAGAAGTAGATGATTCCCAAGATACGGAAGAGTCTGGGGAGTCGGATCCGTGACCGGCAGTTATACGACCAAAAGTTTCAAAAATATCATCTTTCTGTGGATTGTGACGCAGATTCCGGGGAAGCCTCATTGCGTCTGTCATGAATATGGATGGTGCCCGCATCGTTGCTGGACCAGAATTAGGCACTCGTGTCGTGACTAAAAAGCCTGGACTGGAGAATTTGGCTACCGTTTGTGCAGGAAGCGGAATGTTGGCATTTGAATGTGTAGAGTTCATTAGATCGTTGCTGAAATCGCCTGGATCTGAATCTTCATCTTCCTCGCTCGAGTTGTCATGATCGGGCATTAGACCTGGCAAGTGTCTCGAATCTGATTCTATGTTAACCTTAGGTTCATCAGCTTTGGATTGGGCGATGATATGATCGAGGCTGCTCTCTCCTAAGGCATATGTGAATACTGCATCTAACGCCGGGCGCCCACGATATGCATAAGCTCTCGCAATGCGGTCGAGGGCAGTTTTGAGATGATCAAGCATAGCGGGCGCAATAGCTGCGGTAGTTTTTTCAAAGTTGATGTCAAGCGGATGGATCTCTTGATCATCAAGCTCTCCGAACTCATCTAGCGCCTCCTCGACATTTGGATATCCCTCGGGGAACCCAATGCGGAGACGCAAGAAAACAGGCTTCCGGGCATGTAGCTGGTCATGATTGGAAGCATTGTCGTATTCACCCCATGGACCTTTGAATGTTATGACAGATTGCCGAGATGACAAATCTACTTTTTCGGGTTCTAAATTGGGGTACTTGGTGCCAACTGCAGCAATTTCTTGGGCTATCCCGTGACGTTGTGTGTCTGGTTGATCTGTTGGTCTTCCATTTTGGTCAACCTTACGATTTTCAATGTTAACATTGTGCATCCAAGATACGTGATTTACCACGCGTTGAGTAGGATCACGCCTGACAGTGCGTGCTGTCATCGTGGTACGTTTTGGCTGGGTTTGCGAGCGTGGAGTAGCACTCGTGTGTCGAGGGTTTTTGAACAGAGATGAGAGTGTGCCGGCTTGGAAACTCCCGTCCTGAGATCGATTTGATCGATTATTTTCCGGCATTGGTGCAGGCCCATCACGAAAAGTGATGTACTGGGCACCCATCCGGGACTTGCTTGGCTCTTCGATCATAGGGCCCCCTTTGATAAAGCCAACTGCTTGTTTGAGCATCTGTGAATCAACGCTGTGGAGTCGAAGCTGGTGATCAGTTGCCCATGTTACCAGTTGAAATTCGCGATTATCCAAATCCTCTTCGCAAGAACCACGTGAGCGCCAAAGAAACTCATGTAGACGAGTAGGTCCGGCATTGTTTTCGAAGATGTGAACAGGTTTATCGGGTGTGATGGTTTCGGCATCACCATGTTGCTGAGGGTAAAGTCCCAACGAGGCGCTTCCATGTTGAGGCATAGCAATGATTCCATTTGGGAATGGTGTATGACGGGCTCGCAGCAATGGATATTCTGTATATATGGTGCGGTAGGGAATGTTTATGCTCTCGACAAGGCCAACCTGGTCCCACTGTTTGATGGTCTTATCAAGAGAGCAAGTAAGGATCTTTGTTGGCTCAGAGCGATGCCAGTCTATGCCGTAAACCTTGTTGAAGTGGGCGTGAATAGTGGATATAGGACGTGCTCCATGGCGAATATCCCAAACCTGCACATATCGATCATGCGATGATGCGAGGATGAACTCATTCTTCCGGTTCCATTTGATTTGCGTAGCGCCGCCTTCCCAGTCGGCAAATGTGACACTGGGCGTGCGATGAACCGAAGACAAAGCAGTTGCTACAGACGAGGGGGCACGGAGATCCCAGGTGTAAACATAGGTATCGAGAGCGCAGGTTGCTAAGACATCGGGATGGTGTGCCGAAAAGTTTATATCTGTGATGTTTCCTTGGTGAGAGTCGAGAGTAAACTGGATTGGAGCCTCGTTCAAGCTCGATTTGATATTGAGGTTGAAAATAACGGCCTTGTTGTTGTTTGTCGAAGCAATCCACTCGGCTCGCGATGCAAAAGGGGACCACTGCACATCTGCTACCTCGAATCCGATGCGATGACGAATATAACGAGGTGGTGAATAGGGGTTGTCCAGATCAATGATGAGGATGCCTCGCGTTCCGGCTAGAACCACATCACGGCCGCTGGGTGAGATGGAGGCTGCGGTATACTCCTCGTTGACCGCGATCTTGACATCTTTATCGAAGGTAGGGCTCTGGAAAGGGGTGATGGGCCCAGCCATATCCCCCGCGGTCGCCGCCGCAGCTGCCATGACATGTGTGAATGCCGTGCATGCACGTGAGGAGATGCCTGGATAGCTGCTGCATCTGCTACATACAGCACCCGTGTGACGAGATGGGAGGCTAGGGAGCAACCGGTGAGAGACAGCAGTGGGGCTTGGCGCTTTGGGGCATTTTCCCAAGTCACCTGTAGCGCCACGCGAGCGACTAAGTGAGTTTAGGGCCAACCTACCCGGATCGGGGCTCGTTCTTTTCACCAACGCTCGCCAACCAACCAACCAACATCCGGTAAGACCGAGCCATCCTTGCAGCTTGCCCCGCCAGATTCGTGCTGACTGATTAATTAGTCACGCCTGCCCGCCGCCAACATGGCAACTGACCTGCCCTGGGCCTGGGTCTTTGCCGTCGTCGTTCTGTCAATAAGCTCCATCCCGACAGTCGCATACTTGATCTACTACTGCGTCAAGAAACTTCGACATATCCATGGCCGCTCTACCCAAGCGGATCGTCAAGGAGACGGAGCGGCTCAGCAAGGAGCCCGTTCCGGGAATCTCAGCCGTTCCGCACGACGACAACCTGAGGTACTTCGACGTCACCATCGATGGACCCTCGCAGAGTCCCTACGAAGGTAAGAAATCCAACTTTAACTGTGTTTAGCCTCCCGCGATCAATGTTAATCTCCCTTCCAGGTGGTTTGTTCAAGCTGGAGCTTTTCTTGCCGGACGACTACCCAATGACCCCGCCCAAGGTCCGCTTCCTCACCAAGATCTACCACCCCAACATCGATCGTCTGGGGAGGATTTGCCTGGACGTGCTGAAGAGTAAGCTGTCGTTCTTTGCATCTGATTGTTGTACAATATCAGCTAACTTCCCGCCTAGGCAACTGGAGTCCGGCCCTGCAAATCAGGACGATACTTCTCAGCATTCAGGCTTTGCTTGGAGCTCCGAATCCGGACGATCCGCTGGCCAACGACGTAGCTCAGGCTTGGAAGGAGAACCAGGCCCAAGCCATCAGTACCGCCAAGGAGTGGACCGCGCAGTATGCTGCCCGGGACACCAGTTAGGCTACTTGATATCACGCGCGCCTTGCGTCCATGCCCCGATCCACGACTTGGGACCGGATTTCTCGGAAACATCTCGCGACTCCAATAACGAAACGGACGATAGCGACGTTACGGCCGTGAGCCCTGATAGTCTGATATTCCAAATGGAGGACGTCTGAACCAAGGAATCATTCCTATCTTGGAACAGAACTTGGCTTGGGACAGCACCTTGCTCTGCTTTGGGGGATCCCACACATTTCATATGCCTGCCTAGTAGGCTTTCTTTGGGAACATGGACCGGCTCAAATAATCCGGTTATGACTTTTGGCCAACTGGGATTGGCTCAATGGTAGATAGATACCCTGAATGAACGAGAAACACGAGTTTCCTTGCAAACATTGGAATCTTGGTAATCCAATGCCACATGATATTTCACTCTCTTGGTCCTAGCCAGCAGTGCATGCTCTGTCCGTAAATTGCTCAAAAAGCAGCCAGTAGCCGTGAATTCGAATGGAAGCCTTCAACTACCCTGCTAAACAATTTGAACATGCTTAACAGCCTAGTCGCCGGGAAAGTCCTTCCTAGCCACCCAGGTGTTTGTTGGTAATAGACTCAGCTGCCCAAGTAGTAGCAAACTTGGTGCAGCAGCTTCCGAGTCCCTCTCCCCTCCCCTCAAGATTGGGAGCATTCAAGACAATTTTAGAAAGCTTGACTGTAATCAATGCCATATTCATGATTTTCAACTGAGGGATTCCAAGTAGGCCAAGGTGCACACATAGGCGCGCTATTTGGTGGTCTTCCTCGCGCCTGCCGCTTACACCGACCGCCTTCACCCGCCAGCTGCATGCCGGCGGACAAACACAGGTAAGCAACCACAACCCCTCGAAAAGACATCCTGACCGGCACTCCGGGTGCTCACAGTACTGATAAAAGATGTATACGAAGCTGGATTTTGCAGCATCAAGGATTTATGAAGACCCACTGGTTGGCATTCGGCCTTCGCCGCCGTCGCTGACTGGGCCTCCACTTTACAGGCCGACTTTTGGCGGGCTGGGGTATCGTGCAGTTACTACTCCTCTTGTTCTATCCGCGAGTCCACCGTAAATGAACAGGCGCGGTTCACATCGTGGAGAGCTCATTGCAATAGGGAGAACGATAGGCGGGCAACACCTTCGACACCTCCGACGCCTTCAACGCTCCGGTGCGGTGATTGAGGATCTTTCCTCGCAACACAGCCGCGTATCATCGAGAGGAGTACATCGAATACCAACTCCGAAACGTGGCCTACTGTTGACGTGATGGGCAAACGGGTCGAGCACGCACTCCACAAGAGGTAGTCATTGGGACATCGCCGTCCAAAACATCCAGGCACCGGGCTTTGGATCTGCAAAATATGCTGGTCTTGGAAGCAATGAGAGCTAACGCGGCAGTGGTCGCGACATTTCTGCATACACCCTTCAAAGGGACTGTCGATCACCCTCGTCGCGAATTCGACCAGCAACACACACCTGTCAAAACATACGACACGATTTGTGGATCCGGAAAAATTTCGAGTTGTTTGGAGATACTGCTCTGTTCATATGCGTATCCCTCCCATCAAATGTCTGGATCTGATAGATTTCGGCACATTTGGGTACTATCAGCGGCAGTCTCAAAAGCTTTCGCGTTCGGACTGAGTTTCTGTACCCAAGCCTTCTAGCTGGCAAAGTACTTCTGTCTGCGATGCGATCTGTGGGGACAGAGCAGCCGCCATACTGTTTGCTTGCCGGGATGGATGTTCATGATCTAGCGGACAACTATGTCTTGCAGAGGTTTCCTACTAAGTGGTCTCACGACACAGCATGATTCCCGTTCGACTTCTGAATGGCGGTAATAGTACCTATCTCCGGGATGCGAACGGAAGGAATTCAAGAAGCGATCCATCAAGGAAAATCCCAGCAGCAGCAAACGAGGAATCAGGCAGCATGACATAGAAGGTTTGACGGCTTCGATCATGAGAAACCTTTGCAACAACTCTCTTGAGAGGAACTCATGAAATGCAATCGAGCGAATCCGCCATTTTAACCTTTGATCTGGAATTTGGCCCCGGATATATGCGGAATCCATCCGAGAATCTCCTGGTAATAGAATGGACAGCTGCCTTTTGGTCTTAGGGATACTTAGAAACCTGGGTGGATGAGATCTTACTGTCATGGTGAGTATTGGAGAATACACAACGATCCTTGTTCTTTTTTACCGGTCTGGTCAATCAATCCTTTTTGGGGCAGAGGTGCAGCGCCACATGCCGAGAGCCCCCTCGTATTTCAGCAGCAATACCCTTCAGTGATCATACGCTTCATTTGTTGACTGGGTAATGCGAGATGACCACGGGTTATCCCACCGGAAAGCTTTGAATCGATGCCTGGAAAACTGCCAATATCACCCCGGTTTATCTCGGCCTTGTATCCCCGGTGTTTCTCTGGTTGAAAAATCTCTCAGCTGGTAGTAGGAGCGACGCCAATATTTTTGCGTACATCAGAATCCCAGGCGTACTTCTTGGAGCCCATGGCCAAAGGCCGTGTTTCGTACTTCGTTTTTGTCTTGGATCTCATTGATCACGGTGGCCTCATATCGTCATGATCGGAACACTTGACGCACGAGGTTACTCAAGCGCGCTTCAGCTCCCGGCCACATGATTTGGAAAGTCCCGAGCCCATGCTATTTCTTGTAAAGTATCACATGGTACAATGTTCCGTATGCGCCTTCTGGGTCCTGGCTATCGATATGGATTCAGTATTGGCCGAAAAATGGTTCGTCCGCACGGGAAACTGTAGAGGACTAGTACAACCGTGGTTATTTACGGGCCATCGAAGCCGTGAGATATAACGCTATCATCTTCATGAGTCTTACATCATCGAGAAGGGGCGGACCTATTTGTGCAAGATCAGCGGTACTTTGCCTGCGGGAAAGTCACAACGTCTCATGACGACAGGGAATACATAGTATACCACCTCAAAAGGGATTCGGGAGCCTTCATCACACATATCGGTTGCATGATGGGCTTTGATGCCACAGTCGAGCCTCAGTCAAAAGCTTTCTTGCCTCATTATGCGAAGTGTCAAGGAAGACGTCATCCTTGCTTCCGTGGAGGTTGGAACCTTATCGAACCCGCTGTGTTTCTTGAGACGAAATACTGTAAGAGTCAGGTATGAGCCTTCTTCGACCGAGATTTATACTGTTTGGACACCCTAAGCTCGCCTCTTGCACCAACTCGACCTAACTAGCTATCATTGAAGCTGCAAGGTGTATCCCGTGGCGAGCAACATTTCGTATCGTACGCTAAATGGCTGCACCGGATATTTGAGACCGATGTTTTCGGTCGTGAGGTGGCTCTTTACTGGCATGCCGACAAAGAGAAAGGTCCGGAGAAGCTGCGTGTGCAAGTCGCCGGAGCGCAGCTTATACATTTTTCGGACATTGTCTCTCAACGTCAAAGTCGCTCTAGCCGACAAGGAAAAGGATGAGGTTTTGCTTATGCCTCCAACTTCACGGCTGGACTTTCTGCTTCGTCTGGAGCTGGTAGCTTCTGCCCCGCGATCGTAACAGCCGTGCCTTTCCTTCTATGGCGCCTCTTCGGAGCACAAACTTACCTGAAGAATATCCCGGCTAGCCTATCAGAGGGCTCCGCGAGACAAGTGCTCTGCGGATTGGTGTAGGAGCATGAGGGAGTGTGATGGGGGGTGAAAGAGACATATCGCTCTTAGGAGGGGCGGAGGTTGTTTTTGAAGCGCGAAACGGTGGGGCAAGGATGGGATGTTGGCAGGAGAGTAAAATGCTCTATACTTACGTGAATGTCTGATTCATTGCTTTGATCGGGCATGGACTGCCATGAAGTCGCGGGTGTTGAGTTGAGGAGCGTTGGGTGTTGGGGTGGGGTTGAAGATCGTGGGCAAGTCGGTGGTGAAGGAGAAGCAAACCCCGTGACTGCCAGCGCTGTTTGCATGGCCTCCAGCGCGGACAACAACATTTGGGTAATGCCTTGGCTGTCACTCACGGTTCTTCTATCAACGCATCGGCAGCCAGCCTGAGAAGCGATTCGACAATCTTTCCACGTCTCGCATGAGCGCCAACTATAGCGTGGGCTATCGAACAAATGGCTTGGGCCAAGTCTTTGAGCTGCTTGCGTGCGGTGAACAGACCTAGCTTCGCTATCACCAGTTTGACAACCAGGATCTTTCCCGACAAGCACGAATTCATGAAAGACCGACAAGAATGTCCCAGCTGTGTCAACTGCTGTGCCAAACTCAATAACATTCGAGTCACGTCCCGGCCTATACTAACATGTGCTATAAATACAATCCTCTGCGCTCCCCGTCTCTCTCCAGTCGCCGTGGCTCACGTCAAAAACAAACTGAGACCGCTGCCCCTCACCACATGCTGTCCACCGTCCACCTCGCACTTCGAATGCTCGCTTCCACTAAAGCAAGCCCTCCTCTAATGATGCCCACGAGGGCTTGTTTGCCTGGACTAACGAGTCGCGCTTAATGAAGCAACGACCTCAGTTGAGTGGAGATTTCTGGTTTGTACACTGAAAGGAGCGGAGTGAGATGGGTCCGAGTATTGAGCATCGAAAGCAGACTCGAAGCCATGCAGACCTTGTGGCAGAGAGCTACAGACAGCCGAAAGAGTACACATATGTACTTGCTTTACTGCTCCCGATCCGAGCCAAGGCTAGATTGGTAGGCTCAAGAACCAAATATCCTCGATCTCATGTCATGGATACACAACTATCTCTTTTCTTCTTCGCATACAAGTCAGTGAAATCTGTCTCAAGCTCTGCATACGACATGGAGGGCGTTGTCGATGCAGCAACGTGCATACAGAGCTCAGGTGTCTGGATCAAGTTATCAGATATTTATTTATATGTACACTTGTGTTGGCAGATACCCAGATAGACAACTTACAGAACATGAAGACACCTGAGATTCTGAACGATGCCGACTCGATGGCCGCTGGCAGTCTCCTTCCATGGCTTGCGATTCGTATGTGTACGTGATGCGGAGCAGGTCATAGATGCTCAAATATGTGGTAGACATTGTGTATGAATAGATTTGCCACACGCAGTTGTTGTATGTTGCGAAAATCGATGCTGTTGTCTGTGGTTCGTCTTTTGGATCTCCTGATGTACTCCTTCTCTCCTTCCTATTCCGTTTCAGAAAGTGTGTCGTGGATGCAAAAATAGAAACCCCCTCTTTTGCTGAAGATGATGCTCCGCTCGACCTCTTTGTAACAAAACAAGACACGAAGAATCCCTCGATAGCTAGCAGATGCTTGTCCAAGTAATGGGGGGTTGTTGATTATGTTGTCTCAAGGCCTAGCAAAAGAAGATTCACAATAATAAATAAAACACTGATCCTCGAAAAATATAAAATCCGACACAAACCCGTCGCGAAGCCTCCCTCTATATATACAGATACCAACTAGCTACGCACATGCTTACACCTGAACAACATTGCCCCCTCCCTTCCCTCCCCTCCCCTCCTTGTCGGTCGGAGTTAGACCAATAAACGAGGAGCGCTGCAGCCTGCTCATCTCCGTCTAGACCAAAACACCGGACTAATCAACAACCGACCGACAATTACACACGTTACGTCCGCCGTCCGCTGTATTACTGATATCACCGACGGGGCTTTGATGATGGTCGGGATTTTCAGCGGAACCGATGATGGTTTGGGGGGATGGAAATGGTCTATGGTTTTTCGTGCTTTTGCTTGGTTTGTTTGGTTAGCGTGAATGTGTGCGCATGTTGCGTAGGCGTTTAATTTCCACTTTTAATTTTTCTTTTTTGATGGCTACAAGTCTTGTTCAAGTTGTTGATTCTATGTTCTTGATGTGCTTTGGACCGGTTTGATGTGTCATTGTTTGACGGCCTTGCTGAGTGGCGTGGATACAGGGGTTCAATGGGAGATCGGAGGATGCGGAGAAGGCATGTCCGACATCTCCGAGAAGGAGGATTGAGGGGAGGGCCCTGAGTTATCCGTCTCCTACGCAGATTGAGGAGAGATGATCACATTTCGTCTTCTCTGCTCTATGATTTTTCTCTTTTGGCGTTGCTTGTGAGAGCTTTTGAGTTTATGGTAGTGAAGGGAAGTATAGTTAACTCGACTTCGCAAGCCATCGTTATTGTACGGTCCGTCACTGGGTAGCAAAAACTAGGACGCGACAAGAAATATTTACTACTATATACAAATGGTATCTTAAGTTTCATTGACAGAAAAAAATTAAGGTATAGAACGTCTAATCAATAAGAGCCCCCCATTTCGGCTACCCTGTCACCCACTCCCAGCCTGGAATATCGGCAGCTCGAGGATGCCTGAGCCATTAGCTCCCAATGGGGTAGCTGTAATAGCTTTCGAGGTCGATGGTAATAAGTGGATAGTGCATGTCGATGCTGCGTAGGATGTGCCCAAACTACGAAATTGACCCAGTTTATTTATTTATTTATTTATTTGTTTTGAGTTGGAGTTAAGGTGTTCCTACACATAGCGATGTGTGTAGGAACACCTTAACTCCAACTCAAAACAAACAAATAAATACCGGTTTTCGGAGACGAAAATGAGCTCTTCTCTATTGAACCGCTGAATGTATGCAGCACTGTGACTTTTCGAAGCTGGAAGAGGCCGCTCGCGAACGTCATTGATATCCCCGAGTAAGGGCGATCCCAATGCCATAAGGATAACGAGTTCAGATAGTTGTTGCCGCTTATACCACTAAAGCTGCAGCCACAGCGAGTCCCGCAAAAATAGGTCCAACGGTCTGCACCGGGACCGAAGCACCTCCATTCTCCGATACACTTGATGTAGTAGGTGTAGATTCAGATGCACTCGATGCAGGGCGCGCCAGCTTCATTCCAGATGTTATGGTGACCTGGGCCATGAAGAAACTTTCCTTCCGTGCTGTGGTAATGTGGATAGAGTCTTTACTATCCGTCCCAGTCCCGTTCCCATTGCACCAGGCCGGAGTCGACGTCGCTGCTACGGGAGCTGGGGTGGTTTGTGCCCTGGTGATAGTTTCTGTTCCTGCGGGAACGGTTCCTCTGGAGGGGTAGGTGTGGGTTATCACTTGTGCTTCAGTGGCAGGATCATAGGGATCGGCCCCAATCGGTGTATATGCCCGTCCACATTGAAGAATGGATGCAAATATGGGGCCCGAGGAAATTGTGCATATAGCATCGATGTCGCCAGTCGCAGTTTTTATGCAGTCGAGGCGCGCTGCCTCAACGACGTTGTGAAAATCAGTGTTGGCACCAACAGCATCGGCTCTCAAGGATATACCCTCGGCATAGTACGTGGGGGCGACGGTGACTGTCATTTCGTAGGCTGCTTGACCGAGGGCAGTGACATCTTCGGGCACGTCGGGCTCGATGCCCATCGTGGTGCGATCGTTCTGTACATCAAGAATGCGAGCAAAGTAACCGATTTTGTCGGTTAACAAATCTTCGGCGTACATCCATACTGAAGTTGTGATATGATTAGAATTGGAAGCATACCCGTAAGCGCCAGAAGCAGACGCTGCGAAAGTGAAAACCAGAAAGGCGGGAAACATCTTAAAAGCTCCTCAAAAACCAACGAACTCCACGAATGGTAGAAATGAGCGACGGTAGGACGGTATTGTATTGCGACGCCACGAAGCGAACGCCGCGATTTATAAAGGAGTGAAACCCACTGAAATTGGTAGGTCAATGACACAGGAATCAATGCGTTAAGGAAAAGTAGCGCGATCTAACCAGTATTAGCGGCATAAGCACTATCGCTAATACGGGGGAGCCGAGTTTACCGATATATCAGATGTTCATGTAAATGGGTGACTGCTTGCCGTTCTACCGAGTGTGAAACCTACTGAAGCACATATGTATTGCTTCCTCGCTTTAGTGTCGTTCTCATAGCGCAATTCGGAGTCGAAAAGATTTACAAAGATGGGTTCGATGAGTTCAACCGAGCGAGACAGGAAACGGTTGATATAAAAAGAAAAAAGAGAGGAGAAGAAACGACCAAGCTAGTCGGTTTGATCCCTCCGTATACCATCGTGTACAGAAGAGTCTCCATAAACCTTGTTGTTCCTATTGTGCTCTTAGTCTACCTTATTATTCGTTCTCGTTCTTCTACAAATCATGGAGGTGCGTGTGTTTGATTGTCTTTCCGATCGTGAGTCTCTCGCTTATCCTCCTGTGACTTGAGCAAACGTTGCGGTTCCTCTACAGTAAGATGCAGGGCATACTCCTGGGGTGTACGCGAATTCCACTGTGGCTCGGTCACTCTATGGCCCACATCAAGGCGTTCTGGTTGCCCATGATTGTTTTTAAAGGATAGTGGTTGCGGTTCTATCACCCCATCAAACTGCAGGGGATACCTCCATTGTGGCTCGGCTACCTCGCGGCCAACGTCAGGACGAGCCGGCTGTTCTTGATACGGCCCAATATCTTCTATCCCAAGTTTATTTTCACTCGATGTAGCCGGATCATACCCCTCTTGATCGTCGGCGCGATCGAAACGATCAATTTCTTCTGGCTCGGTACCGTAGGACAAGGAAATTTGATCCTCCGGCCGACCGCGATCTGTAGTAGGGTTTGCCCTCAATGGCGGTACAACCATCTTTGGCACGCCAGGCTTTAGATTGTGTGCAATGATGTCTCTCCTAAGTCGGTTGTGGTCCAGATTGTAAGATGCGGCGTAAACTTCAACATTGGCTTCGGCAGTGGGGATGAGATATCTTCCGAGCAATTTCGCTGTAGCCCTTTCTTTCTTCTCGAACTGACAACATACGTCATACCAATATTGCAGCTCATTTGAGTAGGGTTCCACTGTATTGCTGGGCGGAAGGTTGAACTCTTCAATTTGGCGCTCTCGACTGGCGTTCAACGGCCGAATCGTGGATTCACGCATACTGCGAACCTGTTTACGAACGTACAAATTGTTCTGCAGAATATCTGTATCGAGATCTGTTTCACTGGAGGTTTTTGCTTCATTATAACTCCGAAGAAATTGAGCATCTGTTTGTGTGGGCGGTGTGTTGAAAGCTAGCTCGTTAAGAGTCGCCCCAATACCCCATATGTCTGCGGCGGGTGCCATACCCGCCCAGCGTTCTTCGAGTGGCGGTGCATATGCCTGTGTGCCCAGGAATTCCACGGCATTCTTTGGGTCGTAAGCTTCCATGCGACCGAAATCAGAAAATTTAAAGGTGGGAAGGAGAGGAAATTCCTTCACCCCAGGAGGTCCGACGACAAGAAAATTGCCGGGTTTGATATCGCCGTGAACGAGTTGAAGATTGTGTTTGTTGTGCAGAAAGTCGATGCCGTTACTGAGATCGAGCATGACCTTCCAAAGGGTCAGTTCGGGAACTCTTGAAAAGTAACTACGCAAACGGTGTTGGTAATCATCTATATCCGGATTGGTAACGTTAGCCATGTGTTTTGAGAGTAATTCAAGCCGATGATATACTTACGCATGCTACCATGAGTAGCAAGCTCCAGGAACAAAGCCGGCATTCCAGCTCGATGGTCGTCGAAATCCGCATCCCAGCCTACCACTTTAATGATATTCGGATGCGCCCCCAGAGTTTTGAACCGATCGATCTCGTTTAGCAAATTATTCACCGCCGCTTCTCTCCAATCACCCGACACATTCTCTCCAATATACTTCACCGCAACGCAACGGCCCGTGTGGCGGTGCTTGAACAGGGAGACCTGCCCATCCGCTCCGGCTCCAAGATTCCGTTCTCTTGTGGCTTCCTTGATGAAGTCTTTGGGAGATTGAATGAAGTCTGGATCGTCTTTGAGCCCCTGAACCATGGTGGATAGTATGTATGTATGGCAGCGATTGTATGCGAATCTGTCTGTACTGTTTGAAGTGAAGAAAAACGATAGGAATTGCTAAAGCTAGACGGACAAAATGTCTTTCATAAAGAACTGCCCAAAACAAAGAAATTCATGCGGGGTCCAATGAACAGGTGAGTTTACAAGTCGCAAACAAAGAGATGACTATGGTAGGGAGATCATGGTTGTAGGTAGGACTTTTTGACAAAGAGAGAGGTTGTGTCAAGTACATATCTGACATTCTGTTTTCATTCCTGTTCCTGCGATGAGGCGCAACGCAATGCTACAGACCGTGATGCTGGTGAGCGATGAGTATGTGGAGTGAGTGATAAGCATAGAGTCTTCTCGTGCGCTGAGACGGCCATTTGGTGAGATTGTGGCGAGAATTCAAGCAGCGGTGCTCGGAAAGACTATTGATTTTCACGTGCTGTGTGAGCACTGAAGTAAAAAAGCTCGGAAAGACAACCTCGAAGTTTCATTCGAGTCTCTTTGTGGAGAGGAACAGAAATCATGGGGTCAAACACATATGGAGAAACACGCTAGTCCATAACAGGTAAAGTACGAATCCAGCCCCTGCCACCGATGGCGGAGCGCATTGTTTTCGGCCAAATGTTTTTTTGGGGAAGAGTCACAACCGCAATAGCACACAGACAGTCCGTCACAAAAGTTACCTATATTCGCAATTCACAATGTCGTCTACGAAACAAGTAGCAGAGAACATGCTATGGGGAGGTCGTTTCACTGGTAAGGGATTCCAATGGCTGAAATACACGATTCGGCCACGAGTAGTTGTTGATTCTGAGTAAAGGCTAATGGTTGTGATAGAGGGCCTTGACCCCGTCATGGAGCAGTACAATACATCCCTTCCCTACGACCGTCGCTTTTATGCCGAGGACATTGCCGGTTCCATTGCCTTCGCTCGCGCAAACATGAACAATGGTGTTCTCACGAAAGACGAGTTCGCTGCGATCGAGAAGGGCTTCGCGCAGATTAAGGAGGAATGGGCCAATAACTCATTCAAGGTCCAGCCCAATGATGAAGATATCCATACAGCGAACGAGAGACGGCTTAGCGAAGTCATTGGGAAAGAGATTGGTGGGAAACTGCACACGGGACGAAGCAGGAATGAGCAGGTAGTTACAGATATGCGTCTGTGGTTGAGAGAGGAGTTGAGGACCCTTGAAGGCTACCTCACCCAACTCATTCAGACAAGCGTTCAACGAGCAGAAGCAGAAATCGATGTCTTGGTAATGCCTATTTCTCAAGCCTGCGAAACCATGTGCCAGTACTGATACTGGCCAGATGCCCGGTTACACCCACCTTCAGAAAGCGCAGCCGATTCGATGGTCTCACTGGGTACTTTCCCATGCTACTGCTTTCGCTGACGAGCTCCGACGCCTTCGCGAGGTTGTGAAACGTGTAAATCGCTCTCCACTCGGCTGTGGTGCCCTTGCGGGTAACCCCTTCAACATCGACCGCGAGGCTATGGCCAAAGAACTCGGTTTCGAAGGAGTTCTCCCCAACTCTCTCAACGCTGTTGGTGATCGCGACTTCGTTTTCGAGACTTTGCAGTGGGGATCTAGCTTTATGCTAAAGCTCTCTCGATGGGCCGAGGATTTGATCATCTACTCAAGTCTGGAGTTTGGATTCGTAAGGCTCGCAGATGCTTACTCAACAGGGAGCTCTCTGATGCCGCAAAAGAAGAACGCAGACTCGTTGGAGCTGATTCGCGGCAAGAGCGGAAGGGCATTTGGACACATGGCTGGCCTCTACGTCACCATCAAAGGACTGCCAACAACTTACAACAAAGATCTCCAAGAATCTGTAGAGCCTCTCATCGATCACATCAAAACGGTCGGGGATTCTATGCAGATTGCTACTGGAGTTCTCTCCACGCTCAAGATCAGCCCAGAGAAGATGATGGCAGCTTTGGCACCCGAGATGCTCGCTACCGAGTTTGCAGACTATCTTGTCCGCAAAGGTGTTCCCTTCCGCGAAGGCCATCACATCTCTGGCCGTGTCGTTGCGCTGGCTGAAGACAACAATGTGCCGATGGATAAGCTGAGCGTGGAGCAACTGAGAGCCATTGATTCCCGGTTAGGAGATGACGTTGTCGAATGTCTTGATTATGAGCGAGCAGTGGAGCTCAAGAACGCTCCCGGAGGAACGAGTAAAAGTGCCGTTAGGGAGCAGATCGAGAAGTTGAAGCAGCAGCTTTAGATCTTCCCCTTCGCTTAGTTGGAGCGGAGCATCGGTTTAATGAAAACGGGGAATTTCTTTCTGACGAAAACATGTCTGGTTATATTGGGATGGGTCCAGGCTGGGAGTTTCGCCAATTATTGCGGCGAATGTACGAATGCGACGCTCTTGATGTTTACACAGGCTGTGAAGTGATGTCCGCGGCGGTTGGCCTCTTCCCAAACAGTAGACCCATGTCGAAGGTGTTTGGACATGTGTAGTGAATACTAATCAGCCGCTTGCCGAGACACCCGATGACGGAAGCAGGTCGCTAAGGGCACACGATATCCTGTTGGATACCATGCATCTTCCATGGCGGCGCCCAGTAGTCAGGTATTTATTGCCATGGTATTGAGACCGCAAAGCCGGTTTCCAAGTCAGTTTGGGTGAATATGATTGGATATCAAGCTATTTTTCATGACGCTAAGAGTTGGAGATCCGCGCAGTCTAGAAATGCTACCGCCCAACCCGCCGGCCCACAGTTTCCCATGACGGTGAACGAGCAGCTTGCGAAATCGGTACATTCACGAAAGAAAGCGGAAATGTTCACATATCAGACGCTGGCATATAGCTAGTATCTGCTGAACTCCAAATCAACTCTGCCATAGTGGTTATGGAACTGCGCAAAATGAACTGAAACAGTGTCTTTAAGGCCGTTTTGGTACCGATGTTGTCTGGAATTGATTTGCAGATTCGCACATTTCTTGTCATCCATTGCTTGGGAATTACCGGAGCAATACCTGGGCGGTGAAATCTAGCTAGCGTCCCAGCGGAATGAGTAAAACATGGTCTTGGTGCGGAGACGGGAAGCGCGCGGAAAGACGTTGGCTTTACTTTGGTCTTGGCCCGTGGGAATTCATCACGATGATGGGTGCGATGATGCCTGGATCGTACAATCGGTCGCGTGGTGAAGTCTGCCTAGGCCATTGGTAGATGGACTAGCAGCTGGAACGGTAGCCTAGCAAAAAAGGTCTTCGAAGGCATTTGGGCGATATCTCTGGCTGCATCATCAGAATATCGTACGTGTCTTTGAGGGCTTCAGGAGACCAGGATGCGGCTGACTTGTCAATTTCAAAGCCATAGGCCGGATATTTGCTCGATCTCACCATGGACGCTTGGACGTTTATACACAGCGACTAATGTTCAAAGAAGGATAACACTGCCGAGAAGCCGTGACGTCTAGCGTAGCCCCAGAGTCATTATGGGTCCGCCTAGGTACTATCAAAGCTTCATCTGGTACCCAGGTAGGCGACCAGCCTCCTGGATTTGGAACTTGAGTCCGCTTTCACCAAACCTGGGGGCACCAGCTTCGTTCCGTCATGGTCCCTCTGCCTAATTAAACATTCTCTCGTGTCCACTCTTTAGTACTGCCTCTATACTACCCAACCCCTCCCCCAGTTCAGTTTACACATTACCCGAAACTATGTCAACTACCTCGCACGTGTGAGTGCTCACTACTCCCTTGCTTTTCCCGATACCTTCAACATCCGGGACACATTTCCCGTGTCCAAACATCTCTTGCGGAAATCAACCAGTCGTCACTAAGCTCGATTGGAGTTCTTAAATATTGTTACCCGGGTTTCTCTCCACTGTCAACAACTCGCTGCCTTCGTTCGAGGCTGTGGTATCGGAGGGTGATCAGAACTCCTGCCACGAAGCGGCCAAGCGATTTTTTTTTCACGGCCGAATTCAGATGGCTTCCTCCATACCGCGGCTTTCCATATGGTCTATAGCATTTATCCTTATATCCCTCTCCGGATTGATCACAGCAAGCGATGATGAATATGTGGAAGCACGGATCGATGGGGTCGATTATCTGGTTCGAGATGATCGTCAGCCTGCTCTTTATACACTGAACTTCGGCTCTTGCATGAGAGACAGTACATTTACTGTTGATCGCTTTGACGCTGCCTACTATAAAGACAACATGACAATCCTCTTCAATCTGGATGGAGTGACGACTTTACAAAACGTTACCAGCAGGAGTTAGTTTCTCGTCTACCTCAAAACATTCATCCAGCTTATAGATTTGTAGTGCTCATCTCGGTATTCGCATATGGGGAAGATCGATTTGACCTTGTTGTGGATCCTTGTCAGGCGATGATGGGAAAGTACGGCTACCGTGATTCCTCTTCACTAGAATCCTGTCATACTGACGCAAAGCAGTGCTTGTCCACTTGAAGCCGGAGTGCGCCTTGAATCAAGCGCAATGATTCCGGTCGGGCAGTCGGATGTCGGAGGTATTCCTGATCTCGCGTTTTCCATTCCCGACTTTGAGGGCCAAGCTATTTTCAGGATCTTTTCAAACACGGATCAGTCCGAAATTGCCTGCTATTCCGCTGTCATGACAAACGGAAACTCATTCTCACATCCTGAATGGGTCGGGTCCATACTGGGCTTATTCACCTTCGTCGCTCTGATATCATCCTTCGCTACCGCCATATACGGAGAGTCCATTGGCGAAACACGGAAACACTACGCCCACTCGACTTCCATAATGCTTGTTTTCGCTGTTTGGCAACACATATACTTCAGCGGGGCACTCTCCATGAACTGGCCCAGTGTATTACCGGCGTTTTGGAGTAACTACGCATGGGCGGGAGGGATTATCTACTCCGGATCCATGCAAAATACGATAAATAACTTCGTTGGCCCTAACAAAGGGAAACCCGGAATCCTAGGGGCGGCAATGACAGACTCCGAAAACCCCACTCTAGGCGGTGGATACGATATCAACAAGTTGTATACTCGAGATATGCAAACAAAATGGCATGGAGATCTTGTAGAATCAGGCCTCCCATTACCAGGAAACAACTCTGGTTTCGCTGGTACACTCTCGCCGACCAACGTACCGGCATCAAATGCTTTTATGACTGGATTCCTCTGGTTCCTGATCCTCGTTGTCGCTGTAGCTGGATCAGTCATTCTCTTCAAGTTTGTCGTAGAGCTGTTGATCAAAACAAAATCACTCAAACGCAATCGGCTCACGTACTTTCGAGCTCACTATCTTACATTCACTGGACTAGCTGTATTGAGGACTTTTTATATAGGATTCTTCGTCCTTATGTTCCTCACACTATTTCAGTTCACATACCTCACGTCACCTGGGCCGCTTGCCGTCGCCTGTGTAATATTTCTACTAACACTGGCCGGCCTAGTCAGCCTAGTGGGATATGCTTGCTTCTACCGTATCAAGTTCGGGGGATATACTACTGAACGTGATCGCCTTCATATTGTTGGATGCAAAGTACTCAAAGTGGTGCCGTTCTACACATTCGAACGAGAAAGCAGATATCCACGGTCGGAAGACAAAAACTATGGTGCTTCCTTTCCATGGTGGCGAGTACGTTCAGCAGATGAAGAGAAGTCTATTCACGCCGACGAGATTTTTACAAAGAGATTTGGATGGCTAGCCTCACGGTTTCGTAAGAACAGATGGTGGTTCTTCACGATCTGGCTAGCCTACGAATTTGTAAGAGCCTGCTTCCTAGCAGGAGCCATCAGTCAACCTATGGTTCAAGTCTTCGGTCTACTGGCGGTTGAGGTCATTGCTTTCATTTTCATTGTCATAATGCGGCCTTACGAAGGTCAGCGACTCAACATACTGCTTGTATACTTTCTCGGAATCAGCAAGATCGCTACGCTTGCCCTCTCCGTACCACTGGCTTCTCGATTCAATCTCGAACGCATCCCCGCTACTGTATTTGGGATCGTAATCATCATTGTTCAGGGGGTGCTCACCATCGCAACCATGATATTCATTGTGCTCGGAGCAGCCACGAGCTACATGTCAGTAATGCGCAATCGCGAAACGATCAGCCCAAAGCGATGGATACCGATACGTGAAAAGTATTTCCATCGCATGGATCTACGATCTCAGGGCCTACCGCAACCCCGGCCGCCCAGAAAGACCAAATCCAAGCCTATTGAACCGCCTCAGGAAATTGAGCCTAAAAAGCCTTCCTTCGACGTTAGGTCTATCCGGCGCATGGCCAAGGTCGAAGATGAAGACCCAGAGTTTTTGAATGAGATTAGTGGCATGGATCCGTCAACATCCGAAGTGGGTCTACCTGAACAAGCCCGCGTTGGTTCACCAACATCCAACAGGCTTTCCAGAGCTTCCAGCGTTCGCTCGCAGTGGTCTTACTCGAGCGTTCCGCGCGGTGCTCGTGTACATCGGGCAAGTTGGAGTGCGACTGATTTCTCTGAACTCAACTACGGCACGGGGCGTGCCAGTATGTCGATGGAGGATTCGCGAGATATAAAGCGGTCCCCGTCACTCAATGCTCACACAGCCAACAGTAGTGATAGCATCGAGAAACGAGTGGATCCGTCTTATTCCCCTGGGGGTCAATCAATCCCCCCGATTCCTGCGCGTGTAAGAAGTCTCTCATCGTCTGGATCAAGTCCACGCCCTGCAAGCTGGCGGTTATCGGAATCATCCAGCGGCGCGAGGCCATTGCTGCAGACTCTTTACAGCACAAACGAAATTCCGCCTATTCCGAAGCTACCCTAGGGGAAAAGGTAGCTTAGCACGGTTCATTGACAGTGTTGAACATTCATGTTTGGACCATTGCACATTCATAACCTGGGGATATTGATAATGGATCACGATTCCTGCAAGAGATTAACGAAATGCGACGATAAGATGATTCGACGATACGGTACATACTTTCATCGCTTAATACCAAAGTCCCAATGGGCTGACTGATACATTTAATTGCATCGGAAATACTGGAATCATCTGAGAAGGGTCGTGGGTCAAATTCCACGCATGCTCATTCATAGTATGTCAGTCTTTTCTATATTACCATTTCTCATACACGACACTGTACATGCCATTCTGTATATACACATATGTTTAAGGCATTTTGATTCTTCGCATACTATCATATCGATATCTGCACAAGTAAACTAGTTCTGTATAATAAATCGATTTAACTTTGATGACACAAAACACGAATGACAGAGTCTTTAACGAAAGAATCGGTTTCCAATCCCCTCGATTGTCTGACTTGTGTCGGCGCGACTTACAGTATTCCTCTTTCTTTCCACTCCCGCTGTAGGCAATCTTATTCAAGTGTTTTCTTTGTCGTGACTAACATCGGTGACATCCTTCAATCTCACTATGGAGTCCTTGTAGCCAACTGTGTAGTTTGAGCGTGCTAGAGTGACGTTCTGAAATATTGGCTTCGTATTCGGAAGAGCGTTCGTCAGCGTTAGCCATCACTCTCAATGGGGTATTTCCTGAGACAAACTACACGTCACCAAAGAGAAAATCTCGCATGCAAGCCCGGTTCCTAATGCCCAACGAATAGCAAGTAATAAGCAAAGTGCACAGTCTCCTTCCAAGTCTCACTACCTCAATCACTCATGCGCTCATATCCGTCAGCTCCAAACACCCATACAAAGCCACGATCTGTTGGCTAGACGATCCCCATTGCCCCAGGACCACCTCAGATGCGCACTTTCCCCAAAAAGCAATGTCATCCAACCGCGTAACGCAAAAAAGCCACGGCGTACATCGTACATGCACATGTGCCTCCCATGCACACATTCCCACCCCGTACACAAGCACAGGTATATATACCGACGCGTGTTCCACCGCTTCCAGCCAGCTTGAGATTCCCATTCTCCACCGATCCCTCACCCCAGCAGGTACCACCGATCTCTCGTCTCACAATGACCTGGAAAAACTAATCATGGCTGTGTGATCTTTGTGCTACTTGTCATATCCTTACTCTGTTATACAATGCGAGCCGGGCTCTCCGATTGGTGTCTCAGATCTCGTGTGTGCTTGATTCACTTCCCTGTTGTCATCGAAATTCCTGGAATCAGGTCTTGTGCGTTTCCAATTTTCTTTTTTTTTTTGCCTCAGGAGTGATGGGATATCGACTCTACGGGAGTGTGATACGATGGCGGTGGAACTTGGTGTGGCAGCGAACCTGAGCGTCGGGATTGCCTTAGCTGGGATATCCCTGAGGAACAGATCTACAGTATGCGAATTATGGGGTGATGCGTGATGGGCACTTTTTACTTATTTGGTGTCTAGGTGCAGGATGTTTCATGATGCTGGAGTGTATGTGCATGAGGAGTTTGATTAGATCGTTTCGTTCAGGGGGTTTCTGTTGATTGCATGTACCATTTTCACCACTCAGTGGAATACCGATGACCGACAACTCGTTCCCGGATATTCCCGTACCACCTCCCAACTTGTCTACCGCTTCCAGCCTGCTTTGACTGTCTTCGTTCAGATGGTGTCGGAAAGTCGGAACGCCGACTCGGAAGGAATTCGGAGACATAAAGAGACATTCGGAGACATGTAAATACTTCAGTGGAGCATAAATGGTATTAATCAGTCTTCTACGTTGGTTCCAAGTAGTGATAAGTGGTTGTATTTACTCAGTATCAATCTCGTTTCGAGTTCTGGTATATACACAGTACGGAGTACGAACACCAATAGTTAACTCAACTAGGTAACCAACGGGGTGGCATTCCGAAATCCCTCGTATTCAGCCTCACGGTATCCTCCCGTGCTCTTCGCCATCAAGGCCACCAACAAAGCTGCAAATATCTTAATCCCCAACGTGCAATAGTCACACGTCCCAAAAGTCCAACCACAAGGACTCGGGCTCTTTGTTTTTGTGAGCGTGCCACCGATACCACTACACTATCCACTTCCCGATCCACTCTGCTCCAAGTACAACGACAACGATAGACAAACCATGGGCTCTTCAGACTCTCCAGCCCTAGCACCGAGCTTCGATCCGTCCAACGCTCAGACTTATCACGCGATCTGCCAATGCGGCGCCGTTCGATACGCTGTAACGCTTTCCCCTCCGCTCGCTCAACAGAAGGTGGTCGAATGCAACTGCTCAATCTGCTCGCGTAACGGATACCTCTTCGTGTATCCTTCGCGCGAGCAGTTTTTCCTCCAAAGCGGCGAAGAAGTGCTAAGATCGTACTCGTTTGGAATCAAACGCATGTTGCACAAGTTTTGTGGCACGTGTGGGAGTGCGGTGTTTGCAGACCCTAGGATGAAGGAGTTTGGAGAAAAGGAGTTTGATTTGTTGGCGGTCAATGTGAGTGCCTCCGATTAATTATTCCCATGGTGGTTGGCATCTAATGTTTTGAGTAGGTTCGCATGTTCAAAGATGTGAAGCTGAAGGACTTGAACATTGTTCCTTATGACGGCTGGAATAAGCGCGAATTTGTAGACTCTGAGCACCTGCAAACGTTTGCTTGAGTCGTATCCCCCGAAAATTAAAGTTAGATTTTTTATGCCCCTATCCACTCTTGTAAATACAATACTCTTTACTCGTCGAGAAATATATGTCAAGTCAATGTTCCGGTGTCTGTGTGTATGAACCTGATGATGTACATTGGTGGACCCTTTGCCAAGATTTTCAAGCCTCGGTGTATGAACAACCATGCCTCAGCTTCTCCGGTCGCGATTCCTGCTCAACCCATCCTCTCGATGAAGTACGGCCATCCATCATGAACCGCATACGAGCCTTCTCAGGCCAGCATCCCGCGCTGCGCGGAATTTCCAGACGATTTGCGCACACCAAAGAACCAGTCACCACCAATGTAGCTCCGATAGTGAGACGTCGATTGCGTACAGAGTACATGTGGTACGGCTTCGTATTTGCATCGGGCGCAGGAATCGGCCTCATCCTCAGTCATTTTGCTGCACCCGCTCCGCTCCCTCCTCATGGCAGCCGGGAAGACCAGCTTAACATGCAGGCTCTGACCAATGAGGTCGACGATTTGGAGATCGTAAAGTACATGCGCTCACAGAGCCCTGCGTTGCGTTCCAGATTGCCGGAGTCAACGAAAGACGCGCCCGAGCAGCCCACTGACGACTCGGTAGCGGAATCTAAGCCCAAAGAATGGGTGGAGTTGGACTTCAAGACGAACATCACAGAATCGAAGGACGAGGGTTCGCAGAGTACACGGACGATTACACACCAGACTTTGGCGGGCTACAAAGGCTTAGGAGTGCAACGCGCATTCTGGAATGCAGAGACAAAGGAGTTGGTAGCTGTGGTGTGGATAGGGGCATCAATGAGCGGATGGCCAGGAGTTGCTCATGGCGGCTTGGTAGCAACCATAGTCCAGGACTGCATGTCGAGAATGGTCGCAGGGCCTGATGCGTCCCTCGGTGCGTGTACTCCAATGTATATCTTTGGGGCAACTACTGACGTATTCCAAAAGACACAGCACCCCTCCCAATATCCCTGGGTGTTACTTATGCTAAACCCACTTTGAGTGCGAGCTTCTATGTCGTTCGCGCATCTTTCACAAAACCAAAGTCACCGCAGACCGAACCTCCGCCCGACTCCGAACCCGCGCCCGCCAAATCATGGCTACCGTGGTGGAAGGATCTCACGAAGAAGGAACAGAACGATGGAGCGCAGAAAACGGTTGAGATATTGGGTACTCTGGAGAATCTCCGAGGAGGCCTTCTCGTCAGGGCCAAAGGCACATTTCCGGCTGCGAGTACGAAGATCTGAGACGTGTTTGCAAAGTGCGATACTTGATCCCGAAGAATCGCAAACGCAGCCTCGAGATGGATGAACTGTAATGACATAAGACGTTTGAGCCACACTCAAAGCCGCTGTAGACTAAGCGTAGCGTGGTGGGGTAACATGTAAGAATATGGTAGTGTAAGAGACCAGCATGCGTAATATCACCCTAGATCAGAAACGAACTCACATCACGACAATTGGAACGGCAAGAAACATGATTTAAAGTGAGTCCAAGACCCATTGAATTGAAGGAAGGGGTATCTGTACATCGCAGCCGTCATGCTCAAATATGCAACGTGCCGCAGCCAAACCGCTCCACAGCATTACTCGCGGCTGACTGGCGAAAAACAAAAGAGAAGAAAACGTCCTGTCCTAGGAGAAGATATGCTCATATCCCGTCCAAGTAATATTGGTCGTACAAGCCTCGCTCCACATCGGCTATCGTCGAAAAAGGTCGTCTCAGTCGAATGATAATAAATGTCGGCCGCGCGCTCTCCCTGACCTGCACCCCGTCCCATTCTCCAGGCAAAGCATCAAGCTCAGCGAAGAAGAAGAGTAAGACGGGTGCCTACTAGACCCTACTAGTGTGATGGGTCTTGCGGCGGCGACCTCCACCCTTGCCGCAGGTGAGGCAGCTGATGATGATGCCAAAGAGGGAAACGATGGCGTTGATAACAGCGGTGCAGGCTGCGCCGATGGCCGAGACGATGGCCATGATGGCGTTGCCGATGGTTCGGAAGATGGATTGGATCTGGGATGACATTAGTCTATGGTTCTATGAAGGAAGAGGTGCGGCGGGCAAAGACGTACGCAAGATACAACGGCGCCCATGGTTGCGGTTGTTGAGTTGTAATATGAGGTGTTGAGGTATGGATTGGGGTAGCAGGTGAGTTTTGGCTTGGGTGGAGGAGGTAGAAGTTTGTGTGTTGTTGTTGATGTCGTGTGCGACAGACAAGCCAGCAGCATTCCTGTCTTATAAACCCTTACGCAGGCATTCCTGCCATGGCCTGTTTGTCCGTGACGTCAGGGTCTCACTACATTTCTCTCACCTCTTTCCCATCCAACCACACGCACTTCACCATCAAACGGCATCATTTCCCTCTCTAACCCTGCAACCAGCCGTTACAAAACCTGTTGGCCAGCACAATGCTTTGTCTGCTGTTTGCGTCTGTGCCTAGAGAGTGCGCCCCAAAACAGCAGCGATCCGCATCTCTCGTCCCGAAAGAGTCATGACAATCAGCGAATATCCCTGTTTCTGCACGCTGGCCTGCTGTCATGCGCCACAATATGCATTTTTTTGGCTGTCGTCATAAGCTGTTATCGTAAGGCCATGCGGAAATGATGGGCGTTTTGTGAACTGATGTGTGCAGCATACACTTTGCGATCGAGATTGTGAATGCCGGTAATCGCCATCCAACCTTCTCCGCATGCGCAAAATACCATGACGGTTCGATATCTGCTCCAAGTCTTGAGTCTTGACAGCTCTCCTTTGCCTCTTGGTATCACCACGGTGATCGTGCGAATCGTCGTACGTTGCACTCACACCTCCCAAAACAAACAACGTACTCCGTCCGCCAATTTTAGCGCCTCACGAGTCACGACTTATCAAAACACGACAATGGCATTCCCGCGTACCCGTCTACCCGTTCAGCCTTCCTTTCAATATTGATTAACGGAAATCCGCACATGACGTAGCCCGTCCTCTGCCTCACCAGCCACATGCTGCCTGCAAAAATTTCCGTAACCGAAATGTCGGTAGAAACGGGGGGCCTGTGCGCATCATCCGACAAATTGAACAGAGCAACGGCAGGGGTGCAAAACAAGGGGATACGTCATGATGAAGAATTGTCGAATTACCGCTGTGAGAGGTAATGCAGGATTGGAAATTTTCGTTGAGATGTGTGTCGTACGCCTAGATGATTCTATGCCTTTCGTATCCTGACAGACCGTTGTTCGAGGCGGTTCCAGACAGACGAGAAAGGGCTGGTTCTGACCAAGGAAGGATATTGTGCCGTGTAATCTCGAACACGAGAGATTTGATGTTTCTAATAGACTTTCTCTGTTCTTGGCTCTTGCGGAAGAAATGAGCCGGATTCGAGATCGCATGGATCGTAGGATCGATGCATGTTGCTATCAACTGTTCGATTATACACAGTATACACAGTATACACAATATACCATAATCATACATAACAATCATTTTGTTTTGAAATGAACGTACAATTTGGTGGAAATTATAAGGAACCTGCGCTTTTTGGGTACTGGTATACCCGTCTTGTTTCGCCTTCGACGAAACCTGGAATTTCCCTGATTAATTGAACAGAGCAACTTTCCACAATGATCCGAAACTCAACTCAACTCTCATGCCAGAAAATCCCAGCAAGATCCAGTGTCTTCTCTACCTAATTAACTCAGTCTTGAGCTGAACCTCTCTCCCTAATATCCAAAACCCCATCCATGTCTCCAAGATATCCCAGGCATTCAAGTTCAACCCCCTCCCGCATATCTTCCGCCGACACCATCCTTCCCCCAATACTTGATGATGTTTGAGCACCGCGATCAATAGATCCAGCACACTCATCCCTTCCCTCCCACCTCACCCCTGTTCCCTCCACACGCTATGCCCCCTTCCTTTCGGCCCGCCCTCCCATGACTCCATCAATATCACAACCTTTTATCACGCTAGCGACGACGCCAGACAGCCCGGCTTAGCTGCTTATATATACTGCAGAAATACTCAGCTTGTCTCTTCTTAGATCGTGGGTTGACCAAGGGTTGACGGGGTAATGAATCAGTGGAGTGGTGCTTGTTTTGGCACTTAGATGTCCATGGATGGATTCCGCATCCCCGGTTTTCGGGTGCTTTGTAGCTTGGCGCAGCTAGGTGGTTCGATAGTGGAGTGTGAGTAGGGCCATGGATTACTACGCGATGGGGTTGTTGTTGTTCATGTAGGATGTTGGTCGGAGTTTGGGGTACGATCTAGAGACTAAGAACCCACCATATAACTGTAAAATGCATATCTGCTTCGGGATACCTAGCTATGTTCTGCTCAGACCCGATGATATCAGATCAATGCGTCTCGAAAGTTTACTACGCAGACTTGATATTAGCACTCATCACGGGGAAAGTTACACAGGCCCGACAGATGATACAAGTGCGGTCACAAGATCGCCAAGTCTTGCTTGCTGGCTTTCACCATTTTACTCTAGGTACAGTTGTTTATTTTGTTTCGCTATAGGTCGCTCATAAGTCTATCTGCGGAGAAGACAGCGTGTCCCACTCATTACTGCACTTCTTGATGGACAATCTTCATTAACCATCCCCGTCCTTGCCAAACAAAATATGCATGACTACTTCTTCTGATTCTGAGACGTGCGGAGGAAGAAGTTAATAATCGTATCAGAAAGCAAATATGGTCAAAGCGTAGAACATTTCATATATAACTCAGCGTGAAAGTTAGACACACTTCGATCTGCGATAGTCTTTTGATTATATTCAGTCTACGGTTCAATCTTGTGTCTTTTCCGTCATATCATTCTGTCCAAAGTAGCGTATGGCATCATTACATGAATCTTGTACTACGATGGGCGGGTAAAGAAAGGAGTTAGATATCCATCAATCAATGCTTAAATGATACGAGTACCTGCCGGATGAAGCTCCAGGCTTTGCATAACGGTCCATATTGAAAACAGAACCATTCCAGGACATTAATGACATACATATCACCATGTACACGAAATACCTCGTTGGAAGTCCTGCGACAGTCTTCCACCACACACATTCTCCAGACCAAATATCCATGTCCAAGGAGGTTCAATAAACGCGGTTTATGAGCAGGGGAACATATATGCGGGTCAGAGTGAGTGAAACCTACATGTAGAGACGAATTAGTGGCGTCCTTGCACAACACCGGAAACTCACAGCTGTCTTTTAGTGTTACTATACACAGAACTCAGCCGGTGTAAGTAAGTTTGAAAAACATGGATATGAGCACGTATCTCTTGCGCTTACCAGAAATCAAATCTCCACGTATATTCGAGCTTGAATCGACGGAGTTGGAATGGAGCAAGTAGCTATATGACTATACGATCCGCCACTGGAGGTGGAACACCTATAAGGAGACTGTACCACAGGAAGTGTACCTTTTATAGCGAATTCAGGGGGATGAGTCTCACATCAATAATCCACGATGAGTACACCATGAGTTTGTTCCCTCAAGAGGATTCATCCAAGGGAAAAAACACCACTCCTACTCTATCCTCAGACTCTTTGTTTAGGTAGTATGGTTTCCTAAATGTGCGTACCGGAACACCAAATATGTATTTAGTCAAGAAGAAAAGAACAGAAAAGAAAGATGATGTGTGAATCGACAAAAAACATGGACAACTACCGTGTTCCATAAACTATCTTTGTGGGTAATCGCCTGTTATGTTATTTTTGGGGGAGTTCCTCGATTGCTTTAACTATCGCTGTGTGTAGGATCACCAAAACTGCAACTTACAATCCACACTTCATTCATCGTGATCCACTGTGACTCGGCTCAGTACCCATTGACTAAAAACACAGCAAGATGCCAGAATATATAACATGAATATAGCAGCAAAGGATAAGTCTATTTGCTTCGGAACTAAGAAACTCGCAGCAGCCATCTATAGAAAGAGAAACGGTTATTGCATTGTGTGACATGGGTCTTCAAGCAGATGAGGTGGAGTGTCGTCCACAACAGAAACCAGTTCGACTGTCGAGCTGTTGAAGCTCATGCCCGCCCACTCAGGACCCAGCAGCTCTTTACACACTGGAGAAAAGATCGACGGGATATAAGAGCAGAGATTGAATCTTACTCCCTGTTTTATATGCAACCAGTTTACAAGATTCTGTAGGTGCGTTTCTTTGATGGGGGTAAGGGAAGTGCGGTATACCGTTACAGAAGGCCAGTCCTTTCTCCTCCTCACGCGGACAATGCGAGTCGTGACTGAGAACTATCGCGGTTTGTATGTTCGTCTGTGAACGACGGGTAAAATAGGAGTTCTAACTCAACGCCTGTCGATCTACTTCAAAGGCAGCAGTAAAGACGGCCTCGAACAAAAAGGGGGGGCATAGACGCTCTTACGTGCAGTACAGATAGTTGAGCATCATCACGAACAGGAATGCCGCACCCGCACACCATAGACCATCGTACCATCGCTCCATCCTACCCATCCATCCATCGTGCTATGGAATCCGCATCCATCCACTCCCCCCCATCCCGAAAGAAAAGAAACAAAAAAAGCACAATGTCCATAAGAACGCGTCACCTTGACCAATCCCGAAGAATACTTCATTTCTCTACCTTCATTTCCATTGATTGCACCTACCTAAACCCTACCCTTTCTCACCCTCCCGCACGCAGCTTAAAAAAAAAAAGAGCCCAACAACGATGATTAATATTCTCATATCCCCAATGTGTTACCCCATGTTCCGTTATTTTCATGTTCGCCGATAGACAATACCAAGACTGAGGATTCCATTCCCTCTCCCTCGTACTCGCGAAGCCCTGTCGAGAAAATAACTAGTCTAATTTTGCACCACCCACCTCCTCCCCCCCTAGCTCTGATTCCGAGGTTTAGGAGGAGAAGCACGTGGGGATATGCGCGAGTGAGAAGCCCATTTTCCGACTTCCAGGTTCGAAAAAAGAAAGAAAGAGGAAGAAGAAGAAGAAGAAGAAAAAGCAAAGAAAGGATCGGGAGGAAGGGAAGGGGGGGGGGGGGGGGGGGGGGGAAGGATGTGAGCTGGATCTCGCTACCCATCAGACACAGACACAAATCAAAGAAAGGGAGATGATGATAAGCGGATGGAACTGAATCAAGCTTCGTATTCGTCTCCCAGTCTATCAATGCCGCAGTTTGAATCTGATTAATTTTGTTTTCATCTTCTCGCCCGCTCGCGCGCACACGCGAAGGCGAACGCTCGAGCCGGAGACTCATGGGGCCAGGCGAACAGCTCGTGTTCGCAACTTCTTTTAGTCTCACTCGATTATCTTCGCGCGTGGCAATGTGCAAGGATTCTCGCTGGAAATTGAAAAACGTGGAATTTACCGTATCACGCATAATGCAGTGTGTACATGGTCATCACAGTCGTTGGGGTCGTGTTGAGGCTTGCCCCGAGCTGGCATCTCTTCCCGACTTCGAATCATGGGAGTGGGGATTGAAGGCCCAGAAGCCGTGAGGGGGTGATGTATTGTATTGTCTAGAAGCAGGACAATGCAAGCGAAGAAGGAGAGTTTAAGTTTGTGCGGGGGATGAGGATTCATGGGCGGTCTAGACAAGAGTGAAGAGCGAAGAGAAGTGCGTGTGCGTGTGCGTCTCTGTAAGCTTGCGCATATAATGTCTCTGTGTATGCGTGTGAAGGACTTCCATCTCACATTCGTATTGTTTCGTAAACATCATGTCAGATCTTCTCCCCCTGCGGACCCGTGCAAGGCGAGATCGGTGTTCGAGATTCTTTTATTGTCAAAGCACCTCCCCCACCCTTGGGATCAGAGGAGAAGGGAAGGCAAAAGATAGGGATAGAGTGCTGACTGATTCCGGGGTCGAGCCTGGATGTTCGGCACATGGACCAGTGCGCACACATACACACCAAATACAGGTAGTTTGGATCAAGTGACAAATATAGACAAGCGAGGGATGGAATTGGCGGTTGAGGATGTAAGTAAGCTGCAGTTATGCGGTTGGGGGGAGGGGATCGGTCACTCATTGACCACGTTCTTAATCTTTCACAGGGTGATCGGAGGGAAGGAGGGAAGCACGGTGGGGGTCGGAGGTCCACCATACCCTTCACAGTAGACTGACTGACTTAGTGATGCTGATGATGATGGTGTTGGGGAGACCTTCGGCATTGGTCCGTTTCGGTAGATCATTGTGTTGCTTTCTTTGCTTTTTTTTGCTGATTTGCTTTTTTCTCGACTCTTTTTCTTCTGGCGAGTGCGGATTCCGGAGAAGAGGTGGCTTTGCAATCTCGCTGACAGGCTTTCCCGTTCCATGCAGATGGGACAGATGGATTAGAAGCAATGGGGTCGGAGAACAAAGACATGACGGAGAAGGAGGAAAAGGAAGGAGAGATGCTTGGCACGAGGGAGAAGCACCTTCCTCAAGATTACCGATTTCCTATTTTGGCAGTTTGCACATGATAGTGAATGTTTCAGTGAAGGTGTGCTTGTCGGGAGCAAAGCTCAGAACGTTTCTTTTCTCCTCTTCCCGTATCCGATGATGAAGAGCTGGTGCAATCAATACAAGGAACGACTAATGATTCATGACTCTGCGCGCCGGTAACCTCAAAGTTCCCCGTAGCTGTAGCCCCAGAAAATTATCACATTACTGGGACGACTCATGCAAGCAAAAGTCGAATGTCTAGACTTCAGGGTACGGTTGGAGGCAGTTGTTAGTGGTCAACGGCTTGGTGGCAAACCCGTAAACCAAGCTAAAACTGGTGTAGTGAGGTAAACGGGGTTTTTCAGGCCAAAGAGCATCCGCGCATCGTTCTGAGTGGACGGACAATAAGAGACAACAGTGTTGATCCATTGTCTCTTTCAGGAAACAGACCATGGAGTACCAAGTCGTTGGCCTACCGGTGTCGACGAGTAGCGAATAGAGGCAAAACGCCAACACGTACATACATATGAAAACAACGGTGAGACTGGCCGAGGCTAGTGGAGTCTGTGAGATTCAGAGCCTTGCAGACTTTTAGAGGAGATCCATCTTGAATGGGAGCAAGCGCACCGTAGTCGCGGGCGGATACCGTCAGCCGCTCTGTATTTGAGCGCGATCAATTCGGACGAGAACCGTCTCTGTACATGGAGAGCTGAAAAGGATAACCATGACGCTGCATGCGCCCACGGAGTAAAATTAAGTCTGCTGTTGGGTGACACTTTTCTTTGCTCGCGAACCTGGGTTCTCCCTGTGCGCATCATGTCGGATCTACAGCATGTGGATTTGGGGGTGGGCGGGCTCGTTTGAAAGCCACCCGGGCTAGCGGGCACGATAACTGACGATTACTCAGTTGGGAAACGAAGCGCAAGCAGGTCGACGGGCATCAGCGGGATTATCGAGATTGGCTTGAGATGACGGCGCCTGCCACAAGCGTAGAGCGCTGTAAGCTTGCTGGGTGCATGTGCAAGCAGACGTATGGGCGTGTAGTTGGTGCGCGGTGGAATGAATCGAAGACCGTTGCGAGCACGACAAAGCTTCGCGCCAGGGGGAGGCGACGCAGCCATTGCATCTCCCCGAGGGGTGCCAGTCAGTAGCACCAAAGGTTATTTGGAGTCTCGGAGGACGCAGGCATGACTCTGGGACGAGAAAGGAGGAATGAATAAATAACCAAAAACAAACAAGGACATGGATGGATTGTCTCGAGATGACAAGTTTCTGGTGTTGGTGCAGTCACTCTTCATTTAACGATCCGAAAATGTGGATGGCGACGATAACAAAACAAAGTCGTGTTCAATCAGAGAGCAGAGAGGGCATGTGCTGTGTTTCGTTGGGCAGAAGGATAACGTTGAACAGATATGTATGTACATATTACCGTATGCACACAGATGGACGGGTATGAAACCACTGTATTCTGAGGTGCTGTGTGGATGGATGGAGACGCGAGGACACCAGGTAAAAAAGCATGCAGGAGGCCTGGAGAGATCAAACGGCCGAAGTAAGCCGTCGCATCCATGGGCATCACAGCATCAATCAAATCAATGAATTAATCAATCGATCGATCAACCAACCCGTCTGTTGATCAGGAGTGAAGAAGAAAAAAGAAAGGTTGCCAATGCCACGCATTCGTGGATCGGCGTGACAATTGATTCGATGGCAGAGGCAGACCAGGGCCTGTCATGGAGTGCATGGCACAGGAAACATGTTGACGGGAGGTGCATCTTCACAGACAGCGGGGTGCATTAAAGCGCACTTCTCTGACAGGACCTTGCTGGTAGTGCAGCAGTCTCGCCATGTACAGAGATGGAGGATGGTGGGTGGTGGATGGATGCCCTGGCCCTCAGGTCCATGGGAGGCGTTTTGGGGAGGGCATCCGGCAGTGTGGATGAGGAGTCCACAACGTGGCCGCCTGCGCACGGCAGCGGGGAAGGGAGGCTTGGGAGGGCCTGCGCTGCTCTGGCTGCTCTGTGATCGGCTCCGTTATGGCTGGGATGTTTGTTTTGGCCATGGCTGCATCGACTTGTTCCAACATTGCGGGAAGGCTTAGTGCCGTCGGGGGGTTCGGGTGGAGCGCAAAGAGAGTCAGGAGGCGTGAAGAACCCCCCCAGCATAACCAGTGGGGACACCCGCTTGGCGTCCGGCCCACGACGCCAATCAACGAATGGATGCATCCTCACACGTCAGGATGCTTGGAGAGCAGAGCAGAGGAAAGACAGAGAGAGAGAGAGAGCGTGGGGAAACAAGAAAAGAGCGGAGATGTTGTGGTGGTGGTACGGCATGGCGATTTCACCCAAGCGTCCCAGCCCATGCCTTCTCATCTGCCCGTCTGCCCGCCTCGAGTGCCTAGAACCGGGGGTGCAAGAGACAGTTTAGGCGAGCCGTGCGGTCGTCGCGGCAAGCCCGATAATGGCTGGTTGATCTGGTCAATGGATGGATGGCGCCAACAGCAAGCAAGATAGCAAAGGCATCCGTCGGCCAAAGTGGGCGGGCGTTGCTGATCGGTGCTCGGGAGACTGCCGACAGGACTGTAGCCCTTCACCACTCCGCAGTCTTGTATTATCATCATTTGGATAGGCCCGACCAAGGCATATCCCATCGCATTGGTGTGCGAGACGATCCTGATCATCACAGTCAATGGGCGGTAAAGAGCGAATATCTTGAATTGGATATTCTTGCTTCTTACCGGCACTGCGCATTTGGTCAGGCAGCGTGTGGTTTTGTATACCCATCTCACCCCCATGTCTGTAGTCTCTGTACATGCACACATGTACGACGTACAGCACGCACACTGCACCGTACGCTGACCATCCCTGCTGGTTGCCATTCTTTTTGGGAGCAATGATGACCGGAGATCGGATTCGGATTTCTCAGTCATCCAGCATCAGCAGCATCGAATCTCCATGACCTGCCGAATTGTCCAACGTACATGTGGACATGACGAGAACGAATGCCCAAGTTGTTAGTTACATGGCTGGACCAACTTTAGGTACAGAGAGAGACAGACGCAAGCCCATGTCAGAGTGTTCTGCGTGGAAAACCGACCTGTACTCGCACACTAACCCCCCACGAGCTTTGACAGGCAGGTTCGCCAGCATCTACAGCACAACTCGACACATGATGCAGCAGGCTACGCATCTCATTGGCTTGCTGCCTCAGGGCCCGATGAGTTGCAGGACGGTTGTTGCACGTCCATCATGTCAAACTCCCTTCATTTCAACAGAGTTGGAGCTGTTTGTCAAAGCCTTTGCCCCGTCGTAACCTAATCCCCAGAGTCTGATGAAGGGCCCGTTGTCATGCGTAGTACATTCCAACTTGGCTTCTTTACTATCGATTCGTCCGTTGTCGTTCCCACCATCCTTCGGCTCTGGAAATTTCCGATCATCAACCACCACTTTTGACTCAGCTTCCTATGATCGCCTTTCCTCAGCTTACCGTGACGGAGCAAGTCCGCAATGTCATCAATAGCGAGGCCACACTGTCTATAAATGAGCGACCATGGTTAAGAGGAGTACAGAATCAACGGCCCAGTCATCATTTGGCGACAGGTATAGTACATGCACCTGCTATTCATGTACCGGTGGTGTCACGTCCAGGACGTACGTAGATGCATGCATACCGTCGGGGCCATCCATCACAAGATGCCATCAGCGCGAATTGCCGCGTCGAAGCTCACGTACTGGCCACTGTCAGCCTTTTTCACTCTCTTTCGCCAAACCCTGCAGCTGCGAAACGTCGAGCACAACTCTGGCCGGTGCCAGGCTCTCGTCAACGATTCGACAGCCCAGAAGGTAAAAAAGCCGAGGGACATGTAGACATGCTTAGCACACGAGCTGCATCTTCACCACGTGGAAAGATCTGCCAATACGCGCGACGCCGTGGTGGCCCAACAGGATCAGATCCTCGAGGGTGGTCAGCGAGGGCCTGCAGAGGAAGAGCAGCAGCCATGATTATCTGCCTACATACCTACATGCAGTTGTTGAGTCTGAACACGACATGGGCAATACATGATACACTAGTAGATTATACATGTTGGCTGCTATAGCCAGCATGGACAGATGGCATCAACTATATGGAGAGAGGTATATAGGGATGCAAAGTGTAAATTGCGCGTCCCGCCTCCGCGACTTTCCGCACTCAGGCACGCACGCACGCACGGCATGGGTGAGTTAGTGGGAGGAGACAGACAGGCAGGTGGCCGGGGTGGCACCAGTCAGTGACGCTATCCGCTCCTGGCCAGCCAGACACGTGCGGCAAGCGATGCCATTCGCCCCCTAAAAATAAAAAAGACGGCCCCAGAAACGTGACGCGCATCATTCTCATCACACTCCAACCCAAACCTAAGTACGTACAGCCAGGCTGCCCAATCACGGCGACGCAGCCTCAGACCATCTCCCCATTCATGCTGTCTCTCTTCCTAGCCTTCCGCACATGACGACCTCTCCCCGACACCGTACCGGCCAGCCCAGCACACGGCGGTGACGGCGACGCACGGATCCAGTTGAGATGGAGTGATTGACATGACGCTGCTGTTGCTGATGATATCGTCGTCGTCGTCTTGGCCGGCGGCATGCCTGCTCTAAACGCGATGGCTCTCTCGCTACACACATGCACATGAGCAGCACACCCGCGGTTCGCCTTTGTGCATGTATGCATGCACGGATGATGGATGCGCGGCGCTGCGCTGCACCGTGATCAGAGAGAGAGGAGAGGGACAGAGAGAAGAAGAACAACACAAGCCAAGAGCACACACAAACCCTGAACCCGGCAGCAGGCAGGTATCGATAGCCGTCGATCGGATTGGTACGTACCTAGGGATTCTTTGTTCCCATCTTCTCACAGGAGCAGCCCCTCCCGCTTAAGCAGGCATCATGTGCGCCCTACGCCGTCGTGGCGTCTCTCGGCTACGTTGATAGCCCTGAGTCGGCCAGCCTGAAGGGAACGAGCCTCTGGTCAGCTGGAGGAGCCAGGAGCACGGTCGCGTATTGGAGCCAGGACTGCCCGCCAGGTCGCCGAAGCTTTGGCCCATGCCCATGTCAGCCTGTTGCTGCATTTGTCGCTCTGCCGCCGATTCGAGACAGCCGAAGGGAGGGGGTGAGTGAGCACGCAAGTCGTCTTGCTGCTGCTATTGCAGCTGCTGCTTAGCAGACAAGGCGATTCGGGTGCGCGTGGGTCCGGCCGGGCACGCCTACATACAGTACAGCTGGATGCAGAGCAGAGCAGAGAGTGAGGGCAAAAAAGGAAAACACGACTATTGATTGCTTCTTGCTGACTGGCAATGCACAGCGGACATCAGAGTCAGACAGTCAGTCGCTCAGTCAGACAGGCGATACTGCATACATACACAGCTACATACATGGATATGGCAGGCAGGCTATTTTGGAACACCTCGTAAACAATGGTGAGCGTGGCAGGCTGGCGCGTGAGAGCGAGAGTGTTCTCTCTCTCTCTCTCTGATGCAGCAGCAGCCGCCAGCAAGAGCAGCGCTTTGTCCTGCGGCTCGCGGTGGCCAACACTGGCCAGACCCCGACCGTGCAGGGCTAGCGGGCCATGGTTCGTTCGCTGGCGCCAGTCCCGACCCATCCTGCCCTGTCCTGCTCCTGCTTGGGAAGAGTCTCCCACCCCGGCCAGCCTTGGATCCTTGGATCCTGGGCATCGTAATCACAATATGCCCGCGACCGCACGAGGGGGGATTCGGTTTGAGGCAGCGCAGCAGGCCAGCAAAAGCAAAAGCAAAGAGCGAAAAGAAAGCAGAGGAAAATAAAAAACAAACGCCTCGTTGCCCAAAGCAGCTACCGGCCTTCCTGTCTGGTGGTCGGCATGGCCAAATCCCCAAATTCCTGTCTCATCGCTTGCACCACGGCGGCGGGTCAGGAGAGCCGCATGGCCACTGATTGGGGGGGACACGCGGTTCCGAGTTCAGACTACAGCAAAGACATCCAAGATTCGGTTTCCCCTTTGCCCTTCATTCACCCATTCATCCATTGCATGTTTTGATTGAGAAAATAGGTACACGCGTGCACGACTCGGAGCTTCGCATCGCCGGCCTGCACCACCACTTACGGCCAAGATGGAGCAGGAGGCGACGGACGAATCAATAGATGAATGGACTGACGCAATCCACTCTCTACAGTTTCTTTGTGAGGTAGAGCGCCGCCGAGGTCAGCCTTCAGCCATCAGCACACCGTTGTGCCTTGTCCCTTGTCCATTCTTGCTTGCTTGCTTGATTGATTGATTCATTCATTGATTCATTCAACGATGAAGCAGAAGAAGAAAGAAAAGATGGTAAAGAAAATTAGTCCTGACAGACTGGCAGACAAGCCCGCCAGCCAGCCAGCCAGACCACAACAAGGCCGGGCCGGCGCAAGCGACACACACCCCCCCTCCACGCTTGTTGGTGGTGGTCCAAGCCGTCCCGCAAGCCAGCGACTCCGAACAAGAGGGTGAGGGCTTGTTGACAGGGTCTGGTTGCTGGTACGTGCTTTCCCACCCTGCCCGCCTGCCTGCCTGCACGCATTGTCGATGTTGTTGCTGCTGCTGCTGCTGTTGCTGTGCTCAATTTGCCTCTACTGGGAGTCCATTAGTCGAACGGTGTGTGCCAGTGTATCAGTGTGTGTGCTTTTCTTCCTCGACTAGTCCATCAGTCACACAGTCGGACCCCCATCCATCCATTCATTCATTCATTCATCCATTCATTCATCCATCCACCACCTGTATGTTTTGCCTCTGCCGTCTCGTCTCGTCTCTTTTGCCCCTTTGCGTGTAGGCGCCTGCCTGTGAGAAGACAGTAGCGCCCCCGCCTGCCTGCTGCCCTCGTGCCTCCAATCTCCCAACCCGATCCAGATCCATCCCTCCCCTCCCAAATAAAAAAAAAGGACGCTCGGACGAACCCTATCGCCTGGTTAGCTTCCCAGGGCCCTAGTCCCCTAGAGCCTTGAAGTACTTGGTACCTCCCCCCCCAGCCGCGCAGACAGCCACGCGAACCATCCCAAGTTTCCAACCCTGACGCCTTAGCCTGCTGTACATATACTCTCCGCCGCCTGAAAGGTAAACAAAAGCCCAACCCTTAGCACCACCACCACCTCCCAGCCCTCGGCCGCCATCGCTCCCAAGCGGCGTTCAGGAACTGAGCTTAACAAGGGGAGATCGCCGTGCTCCCGCGCCCTACCACCACCATCGACCTTTGTCAGACTTCCACCACTACCACCACCACCTCCACCGACATCCACTCTCTCTTTCCTCTCTACTCTCCGCCGTCACAAACCTGCAACACCACCACCACCACAGCTTGCAGCCTCCTCCCGACTTGGCCCCTTCTGATCCCTCGTCTGTGCCAATATCCCACTTTGGAATCCAACGCCGCTCCCAGCACTCTGGGAAAGAGCAGAGCCGCCTGACCTACTTGGGCCAATCCGGGGTCACCGTCCAACAGCTTCACCACCACCGTCTCGAATCCTGTTGTCCAAAAACTGTTATCCACACAGTTTGTGCTACCGCCCGAGTCGTACTGCCTTTGCGCGACCGGGATATCGGGCTCTGCCTGTGTGGGAAACCCGGTTTCACGACCATCATTTCTGGTTGCTTCTGTACGCTCTCTCTTTCGGCTCGAGGCGAGCTACACCACTAATCTCTGGCAGCTCTGAGACTTTCTAGAAGCTTTACGGAGAAGCGTGCATTTTCCTTGTAGCACCCTCCCTAAGAGTCCGCGCAGGTATCATCGTCAGAACCGTCCTCCCCTCCATCATCCTTTGCAAGCTCGGGCTACCAGCCAGGCACCGTTCCGAGGCACCACCATAGACGTAGCTGGGAGTACGACTGCAGAATACCTAGGCCGTCCGGGGACCTTGTGTCAGCAACGCGCCCTTTTACAAGATCCCTCTTCCTCCACCGCCTGTAACTCATCAGCACTTTCTTGTCCCTCTCGGAACTTGATCCATTACCGTTTCTACCAAGCCTCGCGGGCTACGAGCCATTGATTGCCCTCCGTGGATCCGTCCCAAGCTTCACGTGGACTCGATTGGCCCACCGCCTACTTCTCGAATCCGCAGTTTGGAGCGTCACAGCTGCAGTCTTTTCCATCCCCCCCTTCGTCAGAAGCTGGTAGGTCATTAGGACCTATCCGAAGCACAACCGCCAACGTGGCTGCAGCAGTGGCTCACCCGGCTTCAATGCATCCTGGGCCAGACCCATTGGGTGCACCTCCCAGCTTTGCGACTAGGAGGCCTCACGCCGCCCAGTTGGGCAATTTCGAGCTGCCGCCTCCTCCCATGCACAAGTACTCTTCTTTCAACAACGCAAACGCTTCACAATCAACACATACTCCGGCAACCATTGCAAGTGTCGGAAACCTCTTGACCCCTCCAAACAATATCCCAGGTGATGTGTTGGGCTCTTCGTCGGGAGTATCGACTAGTGGTGCACATTCGACAACAATGCCATATTCAAACGGCAACTACATATATTCGCCGCCTTCCCAGCAAAATTCGGGTCACTATGCGTATTCCGCTCAACAGCAGCAGCAACAGCAACAGCATCAACATCAGCAAAATCAATATCACTCGGCCCGAGTAGGTATGTTTTTATCCCGCAACCCTCAAGCAGGGAACCAACGCTCACTTACTTCGTGTCAAGGGCTGAATCCGCCACCTTACGAGATGAACCAACAACTTCCGCCATTCACGCCATCATCGGCGTCATCAACGATGTCCACAATGTCTGCACAACAGCAGCCTCACCATATGATGAGCGCCCAGACTCCTGTATCTAGTTCAGCGCCTCAACAATCACCAATCCACCCCCAAGATTCTTACCGGCCTGGTCCCCCACCCACACCGACCTACAGCAATTACCAGCCATCAACGACACCGCAGCAAGCATCGTTTCCGTATTCGACAGGTCCATCTCCAACCCAACATAGCCCCATCAGCGCAGGAGGTTCCGTCCCAAGAATGTCTCCAGCCGTAACCCATGGCGCAATACCCTCAATACCCTCAAACCCGGGCCCATCACCTCACCCCTATCAACGTACGTACGGGAGTTACATGCCTGGTCCGGGACCTGTTTACACCAACATGAACAACCCAAACACTGGTCTTACTTTAGTCAACGGCATGCATCCGAACATGCTACAAGGCTTCAATAGCGGCCATGCAGCCGCCTTTCCGCACATGATCGGTCATCCCCCACAACATCAACAAGCCGCCAACGACCGGCCGTTCAAGTGCGACCAATGTCCGCAAAGCTTCAACCGGAATCACGATCTCAAACGCCATAAGAGAATCCACTTAGCTGTGAAGCCCTTCCCTTGCACACACTGTGACAAGAGTTTCTCAAGGAAGGACGCTCTCAAGGTATGCTCCTCATATGTATATCAGTTTCTCTTTATGCAATATGCTAACGTAAATGTGCAGCGACATATTCTAGTGAAAGGATGCGGCAAAGTTCACAGTCACGCTGATGACGGCAAACGAGAAAGCCACTCCCCGGACATCAAATCCGAAACCCACGACGCGAAAACCATGTTATCGAATCGCACGTAAGAAAATGGGAACGATATGATTGCCACGCAGGTCTAAACACTTCCTCGTCCATCCGTCGGACTCATCACCATCGTCGTCATCGGGTCTTTTGACGTTATTCTACCTCCTCTGTATTACATAAACTTTTGAGTCTTGGCCTGCTCTGTTCCCGGTCTACATATTCCCCCCCGGCGAGATCTTCAACACCAAAAATTAATGGTACACTGACTGGAATGAAAATCGGGTACCATGTGGTCTAATATCTTCTCCGATATCCTTTCGTGTTTTTACGTTTTCTCATTTGGGATCAGGACGCAGGCGGGACGGTTTTATAGTCAAAGTTGGAAAACAATGTGGGGGGGAACAAACGGTTGGGGATCTTTGTCTCACGGAGTTGTCGTCTTAACTCTTCTTCTGATCTATCTGTATGGCGCGGGTGGGTGGGGCTTTTTCCTCTTCTCTTCATGGGCAATACGCGGGGCGCAAATGTTTGTTCTCTTTGTCTGTGGTATCTTGGTCTCCGCTTCCGCTTTCCTTCTATTGTTTTTTCTGGGCTTTTTTTTTTTTGTTTTTTCTCGATTACGTTTTTGCAAGCGAAATACCATTTTAGTCGGGACGGGATCGGGGCGTCGCGGGGTGGGGGGAAACTTGGGAAATAAGGGGGGAGGGGTTCTAACTTTCTTCTTCTTCCTCCTCTTCGAAATGGATATATTTGGTCGTTCCAAAAACAAAACAGCTTTTTCGACGAAAGATGACCGCGTTTCAAGCATTACCTCTTTGTTCATCTCACGCAATACTTAATCCATGAGGGGTCTTCTTGTGTGCGATGTACATGTGTCCATACAGAACCGAATATCTACATTGTTCTGTCGTTTGGTTTGTGATGCATTTTACCCGCATATCATCTCTGTCCCCGAGGTCGTATCCATGCATTTCTCTATCCCCAGTCATTCCACCCGAATTTCTACTGAGAAAAAAAAAGGTTAGTAGATACCCTTTCCTCCTTCCCTCCCTTACATAATAGCAAAGAAAGAAGGAACATCGTCTTACCTTATCTTATCCCTCCTCTTCTCCTCTCCAACCATCATCACCATCCTCGTCGTCGTTATGCAACCGCCTAGATCGAAGAATCTAAAGTGTCGCTACATTAGAGTTTCCTCCCCCCTACCAAGACATAGCGCGCGCGCGATATGACAACTATTCTAAACCCATTGTCCTCGTACACTCGAACTAAAAGATTATTTGTGGGCATTCCTCTTTCTCTCGGATCGAACCTTAATCTACACACAACCCAGCTTTCTGCCCGCCCGTGTGGGTGCGGGTATGGCCGTTTCGCAACCTTAAAAATAATGCCACATTTTTTCTCAAACTTTCGGTACCGGACAAATCTTTTCCCCCCATGCTTCTTCCGTCATCGACGCCCCCCGTTAAACCGTTGTTGTTTTCAATTATTTCGTCAAGGATTTCGGTAACGCAATGGGAGTGGTGTTCATCCAGGGTCCTCTTTTTTTCTTTCTCTCTCTTAAAGTTTCGCTTCTAGGGGTTTGCTAGTTTTGACTTCATCGTCATCATCATCCATTGCGGATCATGGCGATGTTGATGGAAGGTTGTAGGTTTCTTGTGCGCAAAGAGATAAGGAAAAGAGAGGATTTGGTTACGTGCTGTTAAGTGCTTGGGAAAGAGAGATGGGTATGAATGATCTTTTTCTTTTTCTTCTTCTTCTTCTTCTTCTTCTTCTTCTTTTCTTTCGGGCGTTGGGGTCGGAAAATCATGGTGAGTGGTTTATCGCAGTGTTCTCGTCTTAACTCTGGGATGATTGCTTGTGTTGTCGATGGAGGATAGCAGTAAGTTTTTTGATTTTGACAGATTACCCTGGATCGTTGGTTAGCGTGCATATCCATGCAGTGAAGATGACTGACCAATATCAAGCAGGTATACAGGGGTCAATTCGATATATGCTGAAGGAAATCATCAGAGCTCAAGTGCCTCTTCTCACCGCTCCGCGTTGTGTAACACTAATGAAAGACTCAGAGGTTCAGTATATGAAGTATCGCCAGGATCCCATCTACATTTACATTGCCATATCCGGGGCTCAGGAGATTTGTAATATGGGCCTCTTATCGGTCTATCAAGAAGTTTGGAGTGGTGAAGCTGATCTGTCACTCTTCCTTTCACTTTTCCCATCATGTCTGTCGTTGGACAGCCGCCCTTTCACTCACTTTATTAGCGCATTGTGTTAGCGCACTATGACATTGCGGTTTCCCTCCTTCTTCTTCCAAACCGTACGGGTTGCAATGCTCTCATTCATATTCGAGTAGAGGCGAAGCTATGAAGAGGGACGGCAGCATGATGTATCTCGATTCCGGACGCAATGGACTCGTGGCAGGTACAAAGAATTGAAATTCTTCCCTGGCCGACGATCACTATTGTATCCGCTTCAGCATGCACAGTAAGTAAATACTCTATCATATTTTTTTTTTGGCTCTCCGTCTGAAGTCTGTCCAGACCCTTCCGATATAATGATCTCTGCGACTGTTCGCTACTAGGGGTTTCCGACACCTCCCAGAATGATGACGAGCTTCAGATTGATTCCGCGGTTGTCATTCACAGTCTGCTTATTATTTGTCAGCGAATTGATTGTTTTGCAGTTATCGATAAAAGGCTGCTGGTGATCATGCGTACTTGCCCCTCGCCTCTCACAAGCTCCCGTGCTTCGGGGCAAACATAGGCAAGAGCGTAAACAAACATCAGCAACAACAACAACAACAACAACACTGCAACCGTACCTGCCTCATATATTACACCCCACCACCTCAACAGCCTCACGGCACCAACATACACTCGACAACAGCTTTGCATGCATTCAACCCAACTTGTTAGTCTTTTTGGTTCCCAGGCGGGACAATTGGTTACCCGCTGCCTTTCCTTACCGGAGTACATCCACCGACTTGCAGACAGGGCTCTCGTCCAGGCGTGCCCAGACCCCCAGAATTTGGAAACTTTGGAGCTCAGCTATCGTGCATAGTTCGTATCCGCACCAGTTGCCAGTCGCCACCCACGATTGCGCTCTCTGCAGCTTGGCGCTTTGGTCCGGTCCCATCTATTATTCTATGCATTTTGACCTATCCTCTTTTCTGACACTATCCTAACGCCGCTCGATACGGTACCTTTGGTTCATTCGTCTGGGTCCTTGTACCTCTCGCTGCCAAACATGGACATGCCGTATCACGTACGCCCGAAACAGATCCCTCGTCGGCCCCCTCTAGGGGACGCAACTTTACGTGCCAATCAAGACCATCGCTTACGTTCACCACGAGATGAAAAGCTAAAGTTGTACGATCCGCAGTCCTCTTCACCAATACCGTTGCCGCACAACGAGTCACTCATGCCAAATGGCTCCTCGCTCGCCGTACGACACCAACCTTCGCCCCAGAATAAACGCGTTCACGCTGTCGTGGAGAACTCTCGGCCTCGTGTCTCTAAACGTAATTCGGCAGCTTCCAATACCAGCGTCTTGTCCAGCACGACGGGACACAAGCGAAAGACACACATTGGTCCTTGGGAACTCGGTAGGACCATCGGTCGGGGTGGCTGCTCTCGAGTGCGTATAGTGCGACACAGTGCTACTGGCCAGTATGGAGCCGCAAAGATCATATCGAAAGCCACCGCAGACAAGGTGCGAGCCTTGAGCTTGGCAGACTTGGTCGCGAGCGCTGAGAACGAGCCGACCTTATTCTGTGGTGCTAAGACTATTCCTCTTGGTCTGGAACGCGAGATTTGCATCATGAAGCTCCTAGATCATCCGAACATTGTTCGTTTGTACGACATCTGGGAGAATCGCAATGAGATCTACTTGATTATGGAATATATTGAAGGCGGGGAGCTGTTCGGATATCTTGGGGAACATGGCAGACTGCCTGAAGAGGTCGTTGCATACATCTTCCGCCAAGTCGTCGCAGCCTTGATATATTGTCACCGCATCAATATACATCACAGGGACCTCAAACCGGAGAATATTTTGCTAGACCGAGCTACCATGAGCATCAAACTTGTGGATTTCGGTATGGCTGCTCTTCAACCCGAGGGCCAAAAACTCACAACGCCCTGTGGCAGCCCTCACTATGCGGCTCCAGAGGTCATTGGGACAAATCCCTACGACGGTGGACAGGCGGATGTTTGGAGCTGCGGAGTGATCTTGTTCGTTCTCCTCACTGGCTTCCCACCTTTCAACTACTCTGGCGACGACAAGGATCTTCGCAACTTATTTGATGCTATCATTCGTGCCGATTACCAAATGCCACCAGAGCTCTCCCGTGAGGCCAAGGATCTTATTGCCCGTATTCTTATCACGGATCCCAAGCAGCGAATTACACTCAGGGAAGTCTGGGAACATCCGTTCTTACGCAAGTATGATGAAGATTCGGACGAAAACTTCAAGCTAGAGTACTGGGTTGGCCCGGAGCCTTCACTCCAGGATTGGGAGCCGTTGGAGCGATCGGACATTGAGCTAACGATTATGCGTTACATGCGCACATTGTGGCATAGTGAGACTGAAGAGGCGCTGGTCCAGCGTTTGTTAAGCAAATCCATGAATTTCGAGAAGTACTTCTACCTCGCGCTTCAAAAGTATCAATTCGACCAATTGGAGAATTACGTACCTAGCCCTCAGCATGCTGTTGTCTATTCGGCGAGTGATTATCACCACAACAAACGACGTGGTCCTTGGAAGAAGGCATCACCACCGCACTCACAATCGGTGTATTCCGTACTCAACAACGAGCACCTGTATTCGAAGCACAGTTTCTATGAGAAGTCTACATCCGAAATGAGTTACGATCCATTCAGAGCATCCAAAGAGCCAATCGTGCCCACTCAATCACTGCATCAAAACATCACTGTGCACCGTGGTACCAGTTCAGCCACCCGCAGTTCAGGTACTCGTAGCATGCGTCCAACTACAGCTCTGGGACACCACACCACTAAGGATTCACTCCGCGTTCAAGCTATGACAAAGAACACTGCTTTTTCTCGTGGCTCTTCTAAGCGTAGTACGCCTTCATCGCAACGTTCAGCCAGATCTGCTCGACGCAGGTCTGTGTCACGTTCCTCTCTGGTCAGCACGCAGTTTTCAAGCAGCCCTCCAGTATTTCACTCCCACAGCATGTACAAACGTGGTGTGAGCTTCTCCCGCTTGCGTCGTCCTTCGAATGCTACCACTAGCACAAACGATACGGGGACTGTGAGATACACACCAGAACAGCGTAAGTTCATGGTTCAGTACAATGAGTATGCAGAATCATCCTCCATGTCGCCCGGATCGAGTACGATTGGAGACTCACCTTCTGTACGAGCTTCATCAAAAGCTCCAGCTATACCCGCAGTGCCCCGGTTGAAGATCCGCAAGCCTGAGAGCCCGAGCCGTTATATTCAGAGTGAGGTTAGAAAGGTCAGCACAGAGCTTGGTAAAGTTATGGAGGAAGCCTTCAATCCTCCATCCGTCAGCTCCAGTGCTGAAACCTCCGCATTTGATACTCAGAAGGATTTATATTCTACCCCTCCCACCTCATTATCTAATCGTGACTCAGGTGGGACTGTCACCTTGGGCAGTGCTGCGGAAATTTCCGTGTATGGAAAACGTCCTCTACCGCCTCTTCCAAATGAGACCCCAAATGCATTCCTCAAGCGTAGGCTCGCAGAGACCCGGGCCGAGATGGAACAACAGTTCACCGAACAGAGCGATGGCAATCCGGAGCACTTGCACGAAGTTCTTGTTCAATTGGATAATCTTATGAACCCGGCTCCTAATCCGACTAAACGCAACCACTCCAGTGCTACTAGAGCCGCTGAAGCCACCAATCCTCTTCATGTGATTCCTGAAGAGATCAGAGACACTGAAGACTGGTTTGGACCCCTCAGTCCTGCTCGTAGGGCGTTCACTGATCCTCTCAGTTTTCGTCCGCAGACTGGAAAAGAGACAGTCGGTTCGAATACAGCCCAAATGGCCGATAGGTCGCCTGATCGAATCACTCCGGCACCTCTCAATATCCGCAAGCGAAGCGGCCCGGCAAACGTAGAAAAGAGCAGCAACTCCGGATCAACTAGAAATGAATCCATCTATCGCGACGCAGGCACGAATCATGAAACACCTTCTCCCTCCCAGGCTCCAGAATTGAAGGAACCGACCATCAAAAAGAAGAAGTCATCCTGGTTTCATCGAAAGAACGAAAAGAAGGAACGTGCGCCGGAAACCCAGCTTAAGACGTCTCCAGTTCCGGATCAGTTGAATATTCCAGAGTCATGGCAGGGTTTGGATGATCGCATCAAGAGTGATGCTCGCGCGGACCCCACGCCAGATGTTGGAAAACACGCGACGAGAAAGCAATCGGAGAACAGCGATGGCAGTGAGTTCCCTATGCGCAATTGTGGAACAGCCCTTGGTAAGGACGAAGGACGTGGCAATGCATTCAAAGGTCTCCTGGGCTTGTTTGGCAAAAAGTCCAAGATAGATAAAATTAAGCATGCGCTGAACTTAGGCGGTACGTATTGTTCTTTGACCCGGGTAATATCAAATCGCTGATGTGTCTAGGAAACGGGAGTTCCACCTCTGTATACAATAATTTCGATACAGAGTCGGAGACCGCGGAGCCAACACGCCCCGGTCAGCCTGATTACCAGATGAACTGGTTATCCCGTTTCTTGCATATCAAACCGGTCAGCGCGACTCTATGCTTCCAAGTTGGCCGTCCTCGAGTAAGGAAGAATCTTCTTTTCCTCTTACGCGAATGGGAATGCCATGGCGTTCGAGACGTTTCACTGAGTCCGGATGACAAGAATGTGATCAACGTTCGTTTAGACAAGAACAACTGTGAGTGGACTCCACTGCATTTTCTTACTGAAAATGGCCAGCAGCTAACCTATTTGCTATTCAGTTCTTAAAATCAAACCGGTGTCTTTGGTCATTGAATTGTTCGTCATATGCGAAGGTGGACGACGGACCAAACTCTGCTGTGCTCGTTTCACGCAAACCCGCGGCGCTGCCTCCAGTTTCCGCAAGACCGTCGATATCTTAGAGGACATCTGCAGCAACATGAGTCTTCTAGTGACGTCAGCAGAAGTCAGGACAGAAATGCTCAAAGTTCTCCAGGTCTGATCCACACGCCTTACTCTTATTGGACACCAGCGACACTTGTGCAAACTCTGGATTGGATGTCAAAGCTCTGGATAACGGGGCTGTTATGCTCAGGATCAATTTTACCTTTGCATCCGACCACCGGCACCTACTACAAAAAGTAATTACCGACATAGGAAGCATCATGAAGACGAAAGCCGTTTCTTTCAACAGCATCAGCGTTAGTGTCGGAGATGGGCGGGGGCAGGCTTAATGTGTAGTGTTTTTCATGTCAATTATCGTTGATGTAAACTGGGTTATTGTCTTGATCATGGTAGGAGGTTTCTTTCACTTTACACTAATGGGTGGGTTGGTGGTGGTTTCTATACTTCGCAAAGACTGGTGTGGAGCGTGCTTCAAAGACAAAAGTTAATCTTGCGTTTTCTGGTAGGACATTGTCACGATTGAATGCGGCCCAGGACGAAAGAGCAGGCAAAATATTACTGTTGTGCGTCCAGTGCGTAGTAATCCGAATGATTGCTGATTTTACTTGGGCTGTCGTAGATGAAATTTCAAACCATGCATTTGGAATGCCGATATATCTTCTGACTGCTCGAGTGGCACATTTCAATATTGATGTTCGTAGAGTCTGATCATGTGACGTGACATATTCGACCAGTGAGGCTCGGTTGCCAAGACCGGACTAACAGTTCAACCGACACACAAAGCGAGCAACCACGATCCCCAAAAATATCCGTTACGACCGACGACAACCCCAGATACTAACAACAGGTACCGCGCCAACACCGCCAACATGCGTACCTACGACGATACCTTCAGCGGCCAGAAAATCTACCCGGGCAAGGTGCGTTGCGTCGCCGTCATCCCCCCAAACTCGCATTCCGCCACTGGTCGAAATTCCCACTGTGTACACAATCTGGAAATGAGACAATGCGGCAACGAGGGCGGTTTGCGACATACTACCTAGGGGCCTATGCTGATGGAATATTTTACAGGGCAAGCTCTACGTCCGTGGCGACAGCAAGATTTTCCGTTTCCAGAATGGCAAGACCGAGTCCCTCTTCCTCCAGCGCAAGAACCCGCGTAAGATCTCGTGGACGACCCTTTACCGAAGGCAACACAAGAAGGGTATCTCTGAGGTTAGTTGAAACCGATTGCGACTCTTTTACTATCAGTGTTGGGAATTGTGGCCGGAGTGGCACAGGGCTTGAGTTAAAACCGCGATTGTCATACGTACACATCGCGAGTTGCGCAAATGCCCTGTAGGGCTTGCACTCTTTGCTCGTATTGCCCTCGGCCACAATGTCTGGACGGAGACTTCGCATCTGATATACAATAGAGCTAACCACTTCGTCAACAGGAAGTCGCCAAGAAGCGTACCCGCCGCACGGTGAAGCACCAGCGTGCCATCGTCGGTGCCTCGCTCGACGTCATCAAGGAGCGCCGCAGCCAACGCCCCGAGGCTCGTTCCGCTGCCCGTGCCGCCGCCCTCAAGGAGGGTAAGGAGAAGAAGGCCGCCGCCGAGTCCAAGAAGAAGGCCGAGAAGGCCAAGTCCGCCGCCAGCGCCGCCCGTGGAAACGTCAACAAGATTGCCAGCAAGCAGGGCTCAAAGGGTGCCGCAACCAAGGTGCAGGCCAGCTCTCGTCGTTAAGCTTGTGCGTGTTTGTCTGGGTACAATCTGGGGGGATACACTGTGCTGTGCGACCATGAATGGCTGGCTTTCGATGATGGAAAAATAACGGGAGTTTTTTCTAAACCGGCTTTTTCCGTGGTGCAACTGCTTCCTCTTTTTTAAGGCGGACACGGCGGAAATGGAAATTCATGGAAACGGGGGTCAGGATGAAATGGCATTAAACAAACACCTTTTTTCTTGTTCAATTTCCATCCTCTTTTTTTCTTGTGATGAGGAAATCAAAAGCCATGCAACTCGCCAATCGTGCACAGGCTTGGAACGTTGAGGTACCTCGTGTACTTTTTTTCGTTTCAAACCTGTGTGCATGCATCGACAATTACCTAGGGCTCTCGCGGATAGCGCGCAGAGAAGCAAAGAGAATCCAATGCAATTATGTCCTTCACGACCTTCTATAGCACTCGGTCATTTAATTCGTGTAGCATTATGTACCCCTCACAACCACGTTGTCTTCTCGAGTTGTGTATCGGTCGCTTGAACCTCCACTCTTTGCCGATCTATGACGACGAGCATAGGGCGCATCACTCTCCTGCCATGCTTGCTCTTCGCCTTAACAATTTAGGCAGACTTTCTATATGGTATAGCTGGTCGCACTCCTACTTAATTCTCTCTCTATTCCCGAGACTTCAACACGAGCAATAGGACCGTACATACGTATGCCGGTGCTCTGTTTGAACTTGTACCTTTATGTAGTGCTCGCTCGCGAAAAATTTACGATAGCTACTTAATCTGATTATGACTATCCTCCTTTGTAGTAGCCACTCTTTTCTCTCTCTCTCTCTCTCTCTCTGTGTGTGTGTGTGTCCTCAAAGAATCAACTCGTCGACTTATTCAACTTGTGCTTGTCTGCCTGGCCACCTACCTGCTTTTATTGTCTTTTTATATTAGTTTATACATAATGTTTATTAGATATAATACCATGGTTAATTGGCACACTCTTACTGTCTCTCTTTCCCTCCCTCCCTCCCTCCCTCTTTCCCTCTGTCTGTCTGTCTATGTGTGTGTGTGTGTCCGTCCGCCAGACATATACACATAGTTTTTTTCTTCCTTTTCTGACGTGTTTCCAACACTCAAAAGGGCAAATAAAAAAGGCGACAAAAAGTAGGCGGTTACAGAAATGTTCACAGGAGGTTATATACACATATCAATACTTCAACTACTCACCGCGCGGGAGAAGAAACAACGACAAATTAACATATTCAACAGTCACGCAAAACCCAGGATTCATTTCCCGCCAAGTTCATCGCTTAGTAGACATCAAGTCAGAAACGCGCAAGTGAACTTTGTTCTTGTATCCTCACCCCCTCAATCTCTCCTCAATGGCTCGCGATGTTTCTTCTTCATATCGTCTTTCCTCGTTTGAAATGATGATGATGCTGCTCTCTTGTTCTTGCGAGGGGGTGAGGGTTTGTGTTGCTGCGCCTGTTTCGACGCTCTGTGTCTGCATCTTGTGCCTGGGTTTCTCTGCTAGGGAGTTGGGTATTTAATTTCGGGGTTGTCAGAATCCCGGATCGGACTTCGTGGGAGAGGTCACAAGAGAGGTTCGGAATATACTCTATGGGTATGCTGATGTATATTCCAACGCTGGCGGAAGGTCGAGCACTCGGAGTTCTGATCAAGTAGTTTATGTGTGGGGTTTAGAATGCGGGGGAGGTGTTGGTTGTCTAGAGAATAGGGTGAGAAGCATATAATTTACAGGGTCGGCTTTTTGTATGTTTGGATGAGAGTGGACTATGAGGGCCTGCAGATTCCCCCCCCCCCCCCCCCCCCCCCCTCCCCCCCTCTTCTTTGTTTGCAGTTTGATACTAGTCTGCTGGTAGCTTTGGATTGGTATGTCTGCTATGCGGGGGGTATCATGTATACACATAGCAGTTGTCCCCAACGAATGTTATTCGAGTATGGCTTGAGATCGGATCATGGCACGGTTTTGGTCTGACGTGTGTCTGGTTTTCGGATGCCTCATTCACTCACACCCAATTCTAGATCTGTTGATATACGGACTTACGACCCGAATCTAGCTCATGAATTCCAGGTATTGATGCAAGATGATGTTCCGGCAAGAATGAAGAAGTATGGAACATTCGGAGAAGAAAAACTTGGGTGCATGTGAATATAGTGCGGCTAGGTACTATGGTGTAGCACTTGAGTACTCCGGTCGGTGTAGACGTGATCAGCTGCTCGGGAGCTACCGGGCGGGCCATGCCTGCCTAGTGGACGAACCGTCGAAGAATGTTCTTCACAAGATGGGGCAGGGAGTGATTCATTTTTCTTGATGCTAAAAGACGTGATTGAGAGCCGCGTGGCGCCTTCAGGGGCCGCATGTTCTCCTGTGCTTGTCTACTTCGGGCGATTGGTGGAAGGAAAAGATTTTCGTTGCCATTGACTTGTTGTTCGAAAATAGAATCTTGATTCATGATGGACTCACCGACGTTTGCCTGAATTGGCACAGGGATGTGCTAGTTGGTTCGCTCATCAAGCGTCCATTCTAGATCGGAGCTTGTGTTGACATCTGTGGCATAGAGTTTGTTCAAGATGCTAGCTTGTAGAATCGAATGAAGAAGTTCACATGAATGCTCGTGCTGGTTCTTGTGAAATCTCGACATTCGAAGAGTATCATGTCGCGATCTCGATTCTTTTCGCCATGTGTGTCGCAGTCCGCTGAGCATCTGATTGCGATTACGAGACGGAATCCAGGATTGAAACTGATGACCTCAACCATTGCGCCTTGACATGTTGCACGTTCTCCACGATGAGACCTCAAATGGTCAACTGACGTGCTCAACAACAAGAAAGCAACCCACACAGCAGGTCTAGAACCGAATATGCGGGAGGAATCCCCTGGGCAATGTAAATGATCCACAGCGGAGTAGCCCGCGATCCGTCCATTCAACACGATGCAAAACAACCACGCAAGCAAGAAAGTGAAAACTCACGATAGGGCGGGTAACTCTCACGCAACAACCGTCGGTCAACGAATGGCACAAAACAGCCTCAAATCCAATCTCCGCTTTAATGTAACACCACCTAACCAGCTTCACGCCCTTCACGCCACTCACAACAGTCCCGTGAGCGCACGCCTACCACTCAATCCTGCCACACTCCTCCATGGAGCATAACTATGACAAACGAGAATACCGTTAACGGGATGGACGTGTGTCAACCTCGAACAAATTTTAGTCGCTCAAGTGGAGCCAATAATGAATTCTGAAAATTCTAAAATTCCTCGAGGCCACCGGACTTGTATCGGTGTGCCGCAAAAATACGCATGCCGGTAATAAAATTTATGCCGAAACATACAGACCGCTAGTCCTATTGGTGGAACGGAAACGTCTCACGCCAAAATGTGGTGGAAAGCTGACGTGACCATTATTTACAATGTACGGCATGCGTCGGCTGATTGCTGATTGGTCAGAAGTATGCCGACGGGCAAGCGACGGAGAAGGCCTTCCAGGCGCCACGGGTTTGGGGTCCTGTTTCTTGCATGCATGGTTGAGCCTCACGGTACTCAGCACGGTGGTTGTGTGAATCATGATGCGATCGTGAAAAGAGATGAGTGTACCATGTACAGGAAAATTCTTACACCTGTTTTTTCTTCGGGGTTTGTATAAAAGGGTTGGGGAACCAGCTTCAAGATTTCTCTCCCATCATCATCAGCATCCAAACAGCTTCAAACATCTCTACACAATCCTCTCTATACATCTGTATACCTCAAAAAGCCAACCAATCAATACTTTTCCTGTTTGCTCCTTCAAAAATAGCAAACCAACCAACCAATCACACCACCTCTCAGAACCGAACACCAGTTCCAAACCCCCCAACCAATCACCAACCAGCAAAAATGGTCTCCACCATCACTCCCTCCTGGCTTCGCACCTCCTCCTCTTTCGACACTCCCCGCACCAGCTCCGTGTCGCCAAACAGCAGCGCAAACACCAGCGGCGCCGCTACCCCCGTCCACAACGAGAAGCACAAGAGCAAGTCCGCCAAGCAGCTGTGGAAGGACATCAAGAACGCCGTTGTTGAGCACCACCGCGATGTCAACGCCGCCTACCAGTGCTACTACGGTGGCGGTGCCGGTTCCTCTGTCCCCGGCCGCAAAGCCTCCGCATAGATTATGAATCTTCTCCTGAGCTTCAGGAGTTGACGAGTATTCTGGGCACGAACATTCACGACCACGAAATCATCAACGTCACCAAGAACAACTCCAACACCAACAACCAAAAAGTGCTTTTTTACCTCTCACCGCGATCTTTGCATTCTTCTTCTTGTTCTTTTTTTTGTTGCAATATACCATGGATACCGGAACAAAAAGTTTGTGATTTTTACTTTTCTTCTACTTGGAGGATGGAAAGAAGGATCTGGATCATGTCCTGTTGCGCTCTGGAGTGCTTCGAGAGTGAGGCCGGTCTTCTTTGGATAGTTTAATATTTAATGCCCTTGTTGAGGGACAATTGAAATTCTTCTCAGTGTTTTGATAAATACATCTTTCCCATCTGCTCCTTTCCTGTGATGTAGTGTTTTAGAGGTAATAACTTGATCTTTGGGGTTGTTGTTAATCTATTCAGTCTGGACTAGATGTAGAACTGGTATAAATATGGATTTGTGACATCAGTATCATATTAGCATTTACTCGGCTGTAGTAACTAGTGAATGTATTTCTGTCAAAGTCATTTCACATTGCTTGAATTGACCATCGAACGGAGAACCGTTACTATCACTAGCAAAGAAAAGCTACAGAATCTTCCCCTCAACAATGCTTGAAATCTATGTTACAGGGCCATTCAACCAAGGAGCGTTTTTACAGCAAGCTCAACTTCTTCCTTTGTGCCACAAATCAACCCGCCTCTTTCGTCGGTATCTTGCACCTCCCTATCCAGGATAGTATTGCCCGATTCCGGTTCGACCGCAAGGCCACCGGCACACTCCACAATCAGCGCTATTGGCAACAATTCGTACAGCCTCCTCAATTTCGCCTTGCTCTTCTCCGTAACCGGGGAAACGTACACTCCATGCCCCTTTACTAAGATGTGAATAATGTCTGGGACCAATCCGCCAGCATATCGAAGTGTGTACGCCTCCTGGATGAAATGGTTGATGAGGGACATGTACTTTGGATTCTCAGCTGCAGTGCGCAGATTCGCAGGAGCGAAATACCGCGTCTTAAATGGTGCATCTCCCAGCCGAATGCTCGGCCTGACCACCTGGAGATCGCCCTGGCTGCCATATGCAACTTCGAAACACGTCGGTTGACAACCCGGGATCCGTAGAGCAACCACGGCGGTGGTACGGGGACCCAGAACACCCAAGATGGCGGCAACTTGCTTGGATGGGTGTTGTTTGACTGCACTTGGGGCATTCCAGACTCCGATGATGGTCCCGACAGTCCAATTTGGAGCAATGATGGAACTTCCATCGAGCGGGTCAAAAGCCAGACTGTAGACTTCGTCATTTCCAGAAGGAGGTGCTGATCCGGATGGTGATGTTGAGCGCTCTACGGGATCTTCCTCGCTGCTTGCTGTGACTATTGACGGACACTGAGCGATGGCAGATCGGATGGCTTTTTCGGTGAGTACGTCGACGTTCAGTTGGTCGTCGCCGAATGCGTTTGCGGTCCCGACCTGCGAGACTGTGGCCTCGTTTCTTAGCACCTTTGCGACATCTGTAATGCTGTGGAGTAATTTGGGTAGAACATCTTGTCGGAGCAGAGGGAGTGTTCCGTCTGGAATGATCGAATGTAGGTGACTCTCTAAACTCGGAATCTGCTCGTTTGCCATTGTTGCCAGTTTTCCAGATTTTGGAGTTTTCGATGTGTGAATTTTGGCCGTCAATTCACGATATTGCTTTCCAGTGTGTTTTGTTTGATGACTGACTGAATACTGGATGAAGCAGTGTAGGTACTAATCAAGTATGTTATGGGCTAGTGCGGTGAAGAAAATACATAACCCCCAGTGACGTAGTGCGATCTGAATTTATTGGGTATTGTTTAACTCGCTTTTGCGCGACGAATCTCTAACATCTCAGTTGATCGGAAAGCCCTATCACATTGAGTCTTCGCTTGTGACCAATTGTCGTAGTACGTATAATGTATCCTGGCGTTACATATGTAGTTCAAAGGATTGTTGTTTCTGGGCCTACGGTCTTCCTACACACTCTAAGAACAAAACACCTGAGAGAATCTCGGCCGAGCGTGGGGTATTTTACGCTATGCCAGATGCAGAACGCTAACCCCTCCGAATCGGCAGACCAGGTCGTCACTCTAGAATTTAATTATCCGATGAAGACTCATTCAATCCTTCTCAGACTACTTCTGACTGCTCGTTAGATTGCATACGGTGACTCACACTACTCGTGTTTGTTCATAGGAACTGCATTTTCCTGCCATCACTTGAACTTCTTCTCACACATCATTGCAACAACGTTCAAGCCACGACTCCAATTCCGCCACCATGGACGCAATTAAGAAGACATTTGCTCAATGCAAGAAGGAGGGGAGGGTGCGTACCATACACTCTATCATACACATATCAGCCATATGTTAACAAGACATAGTCTGCCCTCGTCACCTATGTGACTGCGGGATATCCTACTGCTCAAGAGACCCCAGACATCATGCTTGGAATGGAAGCTGGTGGTGCCGGTATGTTTGCCCATGAAATCACTTTTGCTGACTTCCACGTTCCCAATTGACACTTCAAAGATGTAATTGAGCTTGGAATGCCTTTCACGGACCCCATCGCGGACGGACCCACGATCCAGAAATCCAACACGGTTGGTTGAGTCATTCGCCACCTTGATTCGATGTTTCTAACGAACGGAACAGCAAGCCCTCAAAAACGGCGTCACCACCGAATCATGCCTCCAGATGGTGCGTGATGCGAGAAAGCGAGGCCTCAAGGCTCCAGTCATGTTGATGGGATACTACAACCCGCTGCTGAGCTACGGCGAGGAGCGTATGCTGCAAGATGCCAAAGAGGCCGGTGCCAACGGCTTCATTATGGTTGATCTGCCCCCAGAGGAGGCTCTCCGCTTCAGGAACTTTTGCACCAGCTACGGGTAATTATGAATTTCTGTCAATAGTAGGGATCCCACTGATCACTCCATCTAGGCTGTCCTATGTTCCTTTGATCGCCCCCGCTACGTCCGAACACCGCATGCGCGTCCTTTGCAAGATCGCCGACTCTTTCATCTACGTCGTCTCCCGTATGGGTGTGACTGGTGCCTCCGGAACTATGAACGCTGCCCTCCCACAATTGCTTGAGCGTGTCCACAAATATTCGGGCAACAAACCTGCCGCTGTCGGATTCGGAGTGAGCACACGTGATCACTTCTTAAGCGTGGGCAAAATTGCCGAAGGTGTCGTGATTGGTAGTCAGATCGTCAATGTTCTGGCTGCAGCCGAACCAGGGAAAGGAGCCAAGGACGTGGAAGATTATTGTGACAAGATTTGCGGAAAGAGCAGCCGGACCGACAGCACTACCCGCGAGGTTGGCATTGTGGAAACCATGGCCAATGCTGCAGAGCCCAATGGAGTCCACGTCGACAAGGTCATTACCGATGCCGACGTGCCTAATGGCCCCGGTCTCGCAGATCAGATCGAAGCTCTTAATGCCGACGATGTCACGAGTGAAAACGCGCTTCCTGCCCGTTTTGGTGAATTCGGCGGACAATATGTCCCAGAGTCGCTTATGGACTGCCTTGCTGAGCTGGAAAAAGGCTTCAACGAGGCCAAAGAAGACCCAAAGTTCTGGGAAGAATACCGCTCTTATTACCATTGGATGGGACGCCCCGGGCACTTGCATCTTGCTGAACGCCTTACTGAACATGCTGGTGGAGCCAATATCTGGTTGAAGCGCGAAGATTTGAACCATACCGGGAGTCACAAGATCAACAATGCGCTGGGCCAGGTTCTGGTTGCCCGAAGACTTGGAAAGACGGAGATTATTGCAGAGACGGGTGCTGGCCAGCACGGTGTGGCGACTGCGACCGTTTGTGCCAAATTCAACATGAAGTGCACCATCTACATGGGCGCCGAAGACGTCAGGCGCCAAGCTTTGAACGTCTTCCGTATCAAGCTTCTCGGCGCTTCGGTGGTGGCAGTCGAAGCTGGCGCGCAGACTCTTCGCGATGCCGTCAACGAGGCCATGCGAGCCTGGGTTGTCAATCTCTCCTCGACCCATTACATTATTGGATCGGCGATTGGACCCCATCCTTTCCCTACTATTGTTCGTACGTTCCAGTCTATCATTGGCAACGAGACAAAGCAGCAGATGCAGGAGCAGCGCGGCAAGCTACCTGATGCTGTCATTGCTTGCGTTGGTGGGGGTAGCAATGCCGTTGGCATGTTCTACCCATTCTCCAAGGACCCATCCGTCAAACTCATTGGCGTGGAAGCTGGAGGAGATGGTCTTGACACAACTCGCCACAGTGCCACATTGACCGGAGGTTCAAAGGGTGTCCTCCACGGTGTACGTACCTACATTCTTCAGGACAAGAACGGGCAGATTAGCGATACTCACTCTGTATCTGCGGGTCTTGACTACCCCGGTGTTGGCCCCGAACTTGCCGCCTGGAAGGATAACGATCGGGCCAAGTACATCGCCGCTACGGACGCTGAGGCGTTCATCGGCTTCCGTTTGATTTCGCAGCTAGAAGGTATCATTCCTGCCCTTGAGACGGCGCACGCTGTGTACGGGGCTATCGAGACTGCAAAGACGATGGAAAAGGGCCAAGATATCGTCATTTGCTTGTCTGGAAGAGGTGACAAAGACGTGCAGAGCGTCGCTGAGGAGCTGCCGAAGTTGGGACCCAAGATCGGATGGGACCTCCGCTGTAAGTGATGTTCATATATCAAAGAAGATCTTTCTGATCGCAATCGCTAACACGACATATAGTCTAAGCCAAAATGCTAAAGGTCGAGGGATGCTTTGCCAAGGCAGTTGATACTCGAGTGTTGTACATGGTAGCTATGATGGGTTGAGCTGTTATCATAAACGTTGACGTTGATAGAGGATTGAAATGCCATTCTATCTTTATCTGATGTGACAGAAGATGCGCTCGGGATATCTGCGGGCCCCTGGTGGTGGTGCATATGCACGCTGCTGCATGTCTCTGGTAGGTGGATCACGCCTCATCGCGTTCCCTGCAGAAATGGCCGTGCATGATTCATGTGATAGGTAGGATGGCCGTGGGGACTGTTGGTTGCAGCGATGCGGAGCCTTGTGATGGTGATATTGTCAATATACAGCCCCGTAGTCTTTCTGCGCATGACTGTGTTTCCAAGAGACGTGAGACGATAGCGGCGTACTGGAGTACGAGACGGTGTTGGGATGGGGAGGGGGAGAGATCTAATGGGGCTAAGACGAGCGCTTGGCCAATCGATAGGGCCACGGGGCTGACGTCGGCGCCCAGTACGAGCAAAGCTATTGCGCACCAGCTAAAGCAAAAAGCGACGACAATTGCAACAGCCAGTCCCCACAAAGCTGAAGGCCTTTACCGTTAGCTAGTCCTGCTCGTCCCGCCTGACCGACCAGTCGCCTATCGACTCATCGCATTACACCGTTCACGTGTACCCTCCTCCCGCCTCCACCGCCAGCCTTTCTCTCTTCTTCATCAAGTCGCACCCGACTCTTGTACTTCCCACCTCCATCCTGGCTGGCACCGCGCCATTTCGTGACAGGCGGGACCAACACACATTTGAGCTTCAGGAGCTCTCACAGCCTTCACATCACACTGAAAACGCCGGGAGGACAAGACGGGAGGACAAGCGTGCTAGGAAGAGGAGGGAGAAGCTCGAGAAGCTTCGCGAGGCCGACGAGATGAAGTTTTCACACAGTCTGCAGTTCAATGCTGTCCCCGATTGGAGCAACAATTATGTTGCCTACAGCAACCTCAAAAAGCAGATTTACACCCTCGAAACCCGCCTGCACCAACGGACCGCCCCCGTCGATGCCGAATCATCCCCACTGCTCAACGGTGCTGAGGAGGATCCTGATAAGCTCTTTACTGAATTATTGGACTCGGAGCTAGAGAAAGTCTGTTCCTTCTACCAGATCAAAGAGCTTGAAATATATGGCGAAGTGGAGGATGTGCTCAAGGACGAAGGGTCCTACGAGGAGGAGCAGGAGACTTACGAGCAAGAGCGCGAAAACGCACCCCCGGGTAAGAAGATGCGTAGCGGCAGTATCTTCAGAAATATCGGCTTTCAGCGGCCACGGCAGGCGAGCAGCGTTAGTCAACGCTCCACCATCGAAGAAGAGGAAGACTCGGATGACGACGACGACGCGGGGAATGAGACATCGTTATTGCGAAGAAAAAGTTCGGATGGCCAGCGCCGGCGCCAGATCTCGGATCATTCTCATACAGAGGACATGCACTCTTCCGTAGATTTCGCCTCGTCGCTACGCAGAAGGGCAAGTGCAGCATTCGAAGACTACAACGATATGTCCTTCTCAGCGCTCTATGATGAGGGAGTGTCGCTTAAGAAGCGCACCGTTAGCGTCTATGTTTCCTTGTGCGAGCTGAGATCGTTCACTCAACTCAACAAGACGGGGTTCGAGAAAGTCCTCAAGAAGTACGATAAGATTCTGGACCGGAAACTGAAACGTGCCTATCTAGACAAGAACGTTTACCCTGCTTATCCGTTCCAAAAAGCGACAATGGCTAAACTGAGCTCAGCCTTGCAGCAGGTTGAAACCGCATATTCTCGTATCTGCACAAAAGGAGACATGGACGAGGCGAAGCGTGAGTTGAGATTACACTTGCGTGAACATGTCGTCTGGGAACGTAACACGGTCTGGCGAGAAATGATTGGTATCGAGCGGAAAGCTCAAGCCGCAAACATCGGTCTTACCCAGGCTCTGCTCGGAAGAGATTCAGATCCTGCCAAAGTACGACGACAAGGTGACGAGGTCGAACCGCATATGAAAGAGGTTGTTACTCCTGTAGGCAGATACCGGTGTCCTAGCTGGCTGGTCAGCGCAAACTTCCTGTTGTTCATTAGCATCTTGGCCGTCTTCTTAGTCCTGTTGCTTGTGCCTATCTTGGAGAAGGCTGAGCAGCAAAACTGCCTAGCTATGGTAGTTTTTGTTAGTCTGTTGTGGGCAACAGAGGTATGTATCATTTTCATAGTCAAGGACCTATCGTGGCTGACGTCTTCAGACAATTCCCTTATTCACGACCTCTCTGCTTGTACCATTCCTCGCTGTCGTTCTCCGTGTCGTTCGGAGCGATGTCACCGGCCAGCGGTTGGAGACCAAAGCAGCAGCCTCATACGTCTTCGCTGCCATGTGGACACCAGTCATCATGCTTCTACTTGGAGGCTTTACAATCGCTGCTGCCCTGTCCAAGTACAATATTGCGAAGATCATGGCTACTTTTGTTCTCAGCAAGGCAGGGACCAAGCCACGAACCGTTCTACTCACCAACATGTTTGTAGCCATGTTCGCTAGTATGTGGATCAGTAATGTCGCCGCTCCTGTGTTATGCTTTTCCATTATTCAACCGATCCTCCGCAATTTACCCGCCGACTCCGACATGACCAAAGCTCTCCTTTTGGGAATCGCTCTGGCGTCTAACATGGGTGGTGCTGCATCGCCGATTGCTTCACCTCAGAATTTAATCGCGTTGCAGAACATGAACCCTGAGCCGTCCTGGGGAGTTTGGTTTTTCGTCGCTCTCCCTGTCTGCATTATTTCGATTTTGCTGATCTGGATCTTGCTGCTCGTCACCTTCCAACCCGGGCGTAATACTACCATTGTTCCAATCCGCCCCATGAAAGATAAGTTTACTACGACCCAATGGTTCATTAGTCTCATCACTATCGGAACAATCATCCTCTGGTGTGTCAGTCATCGACTGGAACCCGTTTTCGGAGATATGGGTGTCATAGCTATCATTCCCATTGTGTTGTTCTTCGGCACCGGTATTCTCAACAAAGAAGACTTCAACAACTTCCTTTGGACTATCATAATTCTTGCGGCAGGTGGTCTGTCTCTAGGCAAGTCTGTGAACTCGTCAGGACTGCTTCATACCATGGCCGAGTCTATTACGAGCAGCGTGGAAGGCATGAGTTTGTACGGCGTCTTGGTGGTCTTCGCTGGTTTGATCTTGGTGGTTGCAACGTTCATCAGTCACACTGTCGCAGCGCTTATTATTTTGCCCCTTGTACAGCAAGTCGGTCAAAATCTAACGGACCCGCCACATCCCAATCTGCTAGTGATGGGAAGTGTGCTCATGGCCAGCGCGGCCATGGGATTGCCTACCAGCGGGTTCCCAAATATGAGTAAGTTGATACGCCCGCCACTTTGTAACGTGAAGACAGCATACTGACGAATATGTGTGCAGCCGCGATTATGATGGAAGACCAAAGGACCGGTCAACGATATTTGGAAGTCAAGCATTTCCTAACACGCGGTATTCCAGCGAGTTTGATTGCATTCGTCGTTGTCATCACGGTCGGCTATGGGCTGATGCTTATCGTCGGCTTCTAGGAAGTGCCGCCCACCAACTGTTTTTGTTCTTGCGTGTATGCATAAAGCGAATCTTTCTTAGACGTGATGATTTTCAGGTATATGTAGCATCGTCCATTTATTCCATGTACTATTCCCATTCCTCCACTCCTGCTTTTGCCGTGCTTGTTATTGGCTGGATGATCGCAAGATCCGATGTATCGTGCTGGGTGCTTGCTCCCCAACGTCGCCCCTACTGTAATCCCTTGTGTTTACCGTGTGAACATTCAAAATATAGGCTTATAAAGCAAGGCAAAGTTGAAACCATGAATTCAACCAGGGCGAGGCCAACGAAAATCAGATCAAGCCAAGCTAACATAACGGTCATAACCCGAGGACGCAACTCTACTGCTATGTTGAAACCCAAGACCACAAAACACACTATAATGAAACCATGATTGATTAATGCTTCAACGGTAGATATGAGTCACTTAGGGACCAATTTTTTCCATGAAAAATTCAAAAGTAGTGCGTGATGCTTGATATAAGCAATCGAGTAAAGAGGGTCAATGGAGGATGGAGCTGTTGTTCGAGATGAACTGTGAGCTGCAATCGGGGAAGTCGGATGGATAACGGTGAAGCAACTGGGGCAACTACGACAATGCCTGGATTCGGCTTAGCAGTAGTTTTCGCAATTTCAAAGGTTTCCTGTGTGGTTATCATGTTGGGCTTCTTTTTCTGCGTGTTTGGCGCGAGAGACGTTGCTTTGGGGCTAGAACGAGAGGGACTTTGAAGTCATGGACTATATGTATGAATGAACCATTTCTACATATGAAACAGACATGATGGTTGAATAGATGCGTCTTGCAACAACATCATTGTCGTCCTAGCATGATATGCAGGCAGGGTCGACTACCAAATCGGACCTAAATAAGTAAGGTTAAAGCCTCCACCAACAAGGGTTTATAAGCTTACCAAGGTGGCACGGCAGTCACCGAGAGCCCGCGTCGGACCCAGGGGAACATCATGCTCCGACCCTCGAACTAAGCACGTATAAATACAGATCGGAATCTTTGGGATCGGTAGCACTGCATTGAGATTTTTGATTGATCAAGTAGCATAGACAACGACAGTTCAGTATCGTAATTCCAAACCCGCACTTGTTGAAACTTGCAGATTCCCCTCGCGGACCCCGTTGGACGATTGCGATCGTGTGTGCAGACGTCAAGTTCACACCGGCGGATATATTGAAGACAAATACACAATGGGTACGTTTTTATATACTACTTTAGACGGTATAGAAAAGATACACGAGGCCATCGTTTTTATGGCATACCAAGACCCCATCTATCCGTGGGCAGTGTTGCAGCCCCGGTTGGACTATACTCACACTGACCGTCATCGAATTCAGGACAGAAACACAGCATAACGACAACCATTGAAATCGCAGCGCGGCCTTCGACGGTGCGAAATGTGGTACGTCCTCTTCTCCCTTCCTTCCTCACGCTTCTACGAGGTTGATATGAACGACTGACACGGTGATATAATGATAGTTCCTCGACTGGCCCCACTACAGCAACTGGACTCAACGCTTCAAACTCACACCCCTGGAACCCGCCACCGCAACCCCCATTGAGCTGAAACCCGGCGATAAGATAAAAGTAGACATGGGCACCGTGTTCCGCCCTGTCGTGGTTGTAAGTTTGTCTTTTTTCACTTTCTCTCTTTCTCCCTCACCTTTCATTTGTTCACCCTCCTTATCAAACTATCACAACTCATGCGTGGGTGTAGGAGAACTCGCCGCACGCATTCAAATGGCTAGGCTCCCTCTACGGCCTCTTCGACGGGCAGCACGAGTTCTATTTCAAGGAAAGCGAGACGACGCCCGGTGGGACGACGCTTGTGCAGGAAGAGCATTTCACGGGGGCTTTGACGTATTTTGTCAGGGAAGGGTCGAGTGGTGGGGTGCAGACCAAGACAAATTTTGGGGTGTTCAATGAGGATTTGAAGAGGGAGGCTGAGAGGGTGGAGGTTTAGTTGGTTGGTGATGGGAGTTTGAACACGGTGTTTGGAAATTAATGGTTTGAGCTTGTTTCTGTCCACTGGGTTCGTTGGTCTTCTTGTTTTCGATGGATATTTGTGGGTCGTGGATTTGTGTGTCTTTGGGCGCGGGAGAGAGGTTACTTTTATCGAAAAAGGATTGTACAGCTTGTTTATTGATTAGCTTGATTATTGCTTGTCCAACACCACCCGTACCCCCTTGGAGTCCAATCTAGGCGAAGGGTTGAAGAAGTCATGAACACATCTCACATCTTCTACTCCAGTCTCAAAGAGTCTCATTTCTCTTCCTACTCCATCAGGGCTAAATAACGTTCCCAACATCAGATATAGTTCGGCGTACGCCAAGTGCATCCCAGCACACATTCTGGTCCCCTTGCTGAACGGAACAAGGTAGTGCTTTCGTTTCTTGAGGTCCTGTCTCTTCTCTTGAGTCATGGATTCAGACTCTATCCACCGGTCCGGATCGAATGTGTTGGGCTGAGGATATAGGCCAGGGTCAAGATGTATGAACATCTGCGTCATGCTCACTGGCACACCGGGAGGTATCATGTAATTGTAAAAAATACCATCAAAGATCCCATCGTATTGGAGCGCGGTGTCGGGCGAGACTCGGGGAAGGCGATGTGAGACACCAAAACTAAGGCGTAATCCTTCCAAAATAACAGCCGAAAGGTAGGGTGCATGCTCCAAGGTTTTCAAATTTGGCTTTTCAAGCATTTCCGACAAGTTGGACAGCTCGATCTCCAATCGAGATTTCCTTGAAGAATCAGAGAGGATGTAATACATGATGGTAGTGAGCGTATGCGCGGTGGTGATGGTTCCTGCACCCAGCAAAGTGAATGCTTCGTCTATAAGTCGTCCTGTTTCGAGTTCATGATCCGGGAGCGAAGAAGAGGCGATCATTGAATGCAAGATTGTTGAATGGTGCACGCCACCAGTTTTGAGTGTAGATGCTGTAGTGTTCAAGCCGCCATTCCTCATTGCAGCTTTCGTTTGTTCAATCTTGGTGTGTATCTCGCATCGAATATCGAGCAGGCGCTTAGTGAGAGGATGTACCAAGGCAACCAAAAAGGGCGGTATCGAATTAAAGATGGAATAGACCCAAGGAAACTGTTTCATTAGATGAGTTGCGCGGGACAGGTCCTGCAGATCGTAAGTCGAGAGTTGACATGTCAAGAGCTAGGAGTAGAACCATCATCAATTTTTGCCATCCAGGCTCGAATCCAGCTCTATCGAGCAAACCATAGCTGCTACCAAAAGCAACTTCCCCGATAAGATCGGCGGAGAAGGCAGCAAAACAGTCTTTGAGATTGAGTTTTTCACCGCCCAAGCCCCTATCCTTCAACAAACGGCAGGCATGGTCGACCATGCGCTGGATATTGGGTTCAAGTTGCGAAATGGAGCGTTTGGAAAAGAAATTACTGAGAGCGGAGCGCCTAAGTCTATGTAGGTCATGGCCAGTGGTTCCAACCGTGGCCAGCGATGTGCCGAACATGCGAGCCGAGAAATGCCACTTATCGGTGCGTCGCGAAGATGCGACATAGACAGATTCATAGAATGATGGATCGGAGATATGAAGCTCGTGCGGATTGATGCGGACAACGGGCCCTGACGCAGATGTCAATATAAGTCGGCACCAGTTCCGAGTGTACTAGGTGAACTGACCATATTGTTGATGCAGTTTCTGGATTTTCCACGTATACCTCCCACAGCAGATGACATCGTAGTAGAATTCGTACCAGAAAGTCACTGCGGCCAACGGGGGGCCCGGAAACGAAGAAGTTGGACTCAAGAATAGGCGATGGAAAACCAGGGCGAGCACATAGACAGTGGCGGCACATGTGAGAGCAATCAGTGAAGGCGAAGCCTGCAGCAAGTCCATAACGCGCGCTCACGAAGACGTAGGGGAAGCATGAACATGGCAAGAAGGTGAAGGGTACAGTCAATCAATGGGTGCAGAAGGCAAAGCGATCCGATGTCGAGTGATTCCGACTGACGTTATGTCGACGCGCATATAAAGATAGGAAGGATTGCATGATAAATGTATTGACAGGCCACTCCTTCCGGGTGGTACGGATTGAGGGGTGGAAGGCATTTGGAGTTAACATTCAAATGTTCCAAGGTTTGAACAGGGCCGTGGAACATGTGACTACGCGTTTGCCAGCGATGTCATTGATTGCACGGGTGTTTTGTCGCGCATCCCAAGAGTTCTCTTTTCTAGGGAGAAGTGGATGACTAAGAGTGGATGACTAAGAATGGAGCAGAAGCCAGTCAGTCAGCGTGAACGGAGGGGGACCCCAGAAGGAGGCCAATTCAACTATTCCGTAGTGCAGTGGGGTGTGGGTGGGTCTGGAGCAGCATTCAAACGAGTTGGCCATGGCATGACGGCACAACCATGGGAATGTTGGATACTTTGCAGACATTGCGATGCACGTTGATCGGAGAGATGAAAGAAGCCGAGGCATTCGGAGAAATGCGCGCGTGTGTATAAAGACAGAGGGATGGGCAAGACAAGAGGGGACAAAGACAAAGAGACAAACACCGAGTATGGAACTAAGCAGTCAACAAAAAAAAAAGCCATGCATTGGCAGCGGCATCTAGCGGCGTGCCAGCGAGGCTCAACGGACACATGTGTCGGGGGTTTGGCTCTTAAACGATTGGTGTACACGGTAACTGTACTGGAGACTTCTTCGTGGACCACGAGAAGATCGGCGATGAAAGCCGCAGCCACCCCCAAACAACCCAAGCGAGTGAGCCTCCATCCCCCACATAGCAGCTTCGACTTGCTGGAGCTGCCTAGAAGCGCTGAAGAAAACACTGCCAGTCAGCTACGATTGGTCCATTTCCGTTTGTTCGATGAAAACAGCCTTGATATTTCCCTTGAACCTGGAAGCAGAGTGCGAATATACCTGTACCACAACGAAGTGCAACAAGCGGTCGTGGATGAAGCAGTTCACGCCTTGTTCACTTCACGATGCATGCACGAGGCCTCGACCGCGACTCGACCCCCCAGCCAACGCCAACCCCAAAGCCGATGGCTGCCCCGATAAGCACCGTCCCGCCATGCATCATGCTTGGTAGCGCACAGACTTATGTCATCCCTCGCGACAGACTGACAGACTAACACTTCCTGCCCTGTGTTTTCTTCAATTGATTCCTTTCACTTCAGGCTGGCGCATGGATTGCAATTGCGCATCCCTCCACATCTCCAACAACAGATAAAGCCAGTCACCACGGCTCCTTTGTGCCTGCCTGCCAGCCAGCCATTGATCGCTGCTGAACCGTCTGCTCACCTCTCCCCCGCTTCTTCACCTTCCACTCATCTTTTCCTCTCCATCCATACCTACCTACCTACCTACGCGACCTTCTTCTGACCGCCTTATCCATCCGACCTCGCCTTGGATCTATACCCAATCTTCGACATCCCCACACCTACTCTCTCCGCATTTTCACCCCACTTGCCTCGATATATCTGCCTTGTCCTACCCTTCACTCCCTCTCCAACACACTACAGACCGCCATCATGGTTCGCATAGAAACCAAAGAGTACCTCTGTGAAGAGGAGAAACGCTTGAAGCAGGACCGCGACCGGAAAGCCTACTGGAAACACTGGGGCTCTTATCTCGCCGAAAGGCAGTGGGCCACCGTTCGCGAAGACTACTCACACGATGGTGATGCATGGAGTCATTTTACCCATGACATGGCCCGCTCTCGTGCCTTCCGTTGGGGTGAGGACGGCATTGCTGGTGTATGCGATACCCACGGCCGTCAAAACATTGCCTTTTCCTTCTGGAACGAAAAAGAGTAAGCTCCTTCTCCCCGTACGACCCATCTCATACCAGCCAGCAAACACTGACAAACACCCCAGCGATTTCCTGAAGGAGCGGCTCTTTGGTCTGTCCAACCCTCAAGGAAACCATGGCGAATCCATCAAAGAATGCCACTTTCACCTCGACAACACTCCTACCGTAAGCTCGCCATTCCCCACTATGAATCTTTACTAATCTCCTGGACAGCACTCGTACATGAAGTTTCTTTACAAATACCCCCAACGCAAATTTCCTTACGAAGACCTGATCAAGGAAAACGCCAAACGTAGCAGGCTCGAGAATGAGTACAACCTTCTGGATACCGGTATCTTCGATGATGACCGGTACTGGGACATCTTCATTGAGACGGCCAAGGAAGCAGACGATTCAGAGGAACTGCTGTTCCGAGTGACAGCCTACAACCGCGGCCCGGAGCCTGCACCTCTGCACATTGTACCCCACATGTGGTTCCGCAACACTTGGGCGTGGGGGCACGAGGGGCCTGAGAAGAAGCCGTCCATCGACAAGGTGAGCGAAACAACGGCGCACTCAAAGCATTGGAAGTTGGGGGAGCGTTACCTCCAGCTTTCACCCTCACCTGGCACCGGAGAGAGCGCCGAGGATATCCAACCACAGCTCTTGTTCACGGAAAACGATACAAACTACAAACACCTCTGGGGTGGCGAGAACAAGACCCCATACGTCAAGGATGGCATTCACCGACGCATCGTGGACGAGGACAAGGACGCTGTCAATCCCGAGAACAAAGGTACAAAGTGTGCCGCCTGGTATGCATTCGACGAGGGCGAGGGTGTGCCGCCTGGTGAGTGTGCTGTGGTCCGATTCAGACTATCCCGCCGATATGATGGCTATCTTGACGAAGAGCTCTTCGACGACACCATGGAGCAACGCCGCGCTGAGGCTGACGAGTTCTACTACCGTATCAACCCTCTACCTGTAGCTGATGATCTTCGAAATATTCAACGCCAGGCCCTCTCGGGCATGCTTTGGTGCAAACAATATTATCACTTCATTTGGGACCAATGGGCCAACGGCGACCCCGGTATGCCACCCCCTCCAGAGAACCGAAAAGCCATTCGGAACAAGGAATGGAAGCACATGTACCTCGACGACATTTTGTCAATGCCCGACTCCTGGGAATATCCCTTTTTCGCTGCATGGGATAGCGCTTTCCACTGTATACCGCTCGCAATGATTGACCCCGATTTCGCCAAGAAGCAGCTTGATCTGTTCACCCGCGAGTGGTACATGCATCCAAATGGCCAACTGCCGGCCTACGAATGGAATTTTGGGGATGTCAACCCCCCAGTACACGCTTGGGCCCTGTTTAGGGTCTTCAAGATTGAGCGCAAGATGTATGGTCGTGAAGATTTCGATTTCCTCGAGACTGTCTTCCAAAAGTTGCTGCTCAACTTCACCTGGTGGGTTAACCGGAAGGATGCCGACGGAAACAACATTTTTGAGGGTGGCTTCCTGGGCCTCGACAACATTGGAGTTTTCAATCGTTCGGATCCGTTGCCCACGGGCGGCACGCTTGAACAAGCCGACAGCACGGGCTGGATGGGCTTTTACTGCCTGAACATGCTCAACATCTGTCTTGAGCTGGCCAAGCGTCGCCGCATATACGAGGACATGGCGTCCAAGTTCTTTGAACATTTCATCGCAATCAGCGACGCCATGCAATTCCGTTCTGGTGGTGAAGAGAAGCCGCTATGGAACGAGGAAGACGGTTTTTACTACGATGCCATTACATGGGGTGGTCCTTGGAGCCATCAGATGCCGGTTCGGTCGCTCGTCGGACTTATCCCACTGTACAGCACTCTGACGCTGGAACCCGAGGTCATCGACAAACTCCCCAGCTTCAAAAAGAGACTTAACTGGTTCATGGAAAATCGAAAGGAGACAGCTGAACGCAACATTGCATCATTGAAAAAGCGTGGAAAGGATGACCGTCTTCTTCTTGCGCTCGTCAGCGAGGATCGCCTGAAAAGGATTTTGAAGCGTATGCTGGATGAGGCTGAATTTCTAGGAGACCATGGCATCCGCTCCCTGTCCAAGTATCACAAGGACCACCCGTATTCAATGGACGTGAACGGGCAGAAATACGAGGTCGCCTACCTCCCCGGAGACTCGGATAGCGGGCTCTTTGGAGGCAACAGTAACTGGCGTGGACCCATTTGGCTGGCCGTCAACTTCCTTCTAGTTGAATCGATCCAACGATTCTTCCTCTTCTATGGCGACGACTTCAAAGTAGAATGCCCCACGGGATCGGGCGACTATATGCATCTTGGCCATGTTGCTGAAGAGTTGCAACATCGTCTACAACATTTGTTTGCGCGCGGTGATGACGGCAGGAGAGCCATCAACGACGGGAACGAAACACTGGACTACGATCCCAACTGGAAGGATCATCTATGGTTTCATGAGTTCTTTGACGGAGATACTGGCCGTGGACTGGGAGCAACACATCAGTGTGGTTGGACTGGCTTGATCGCGAAGATGATTCACGATACTGGGTAAGACTCCTCTGCATCTTCTGGAAATCCAATCGTTCTCAACTAACATATTACAGCATGACTTGTCGTCTGCCACAGACACCTCGCACCCCAACAGCCGCGGCGGCCCATTACTTTGACGACATCTGGTCTTCCCAGGGCAAGCCAAAGAAACCTTCCAACCTTCGTCGTTCTTCAACCCGTAGCATTGGCTTTAGGAGCGATTGGGGCGAAACATCGACAAACGGCGAAGACGACCCGGAGCCGATAAAACGTACCAACTCTATTGGATATCTCGATGCCGATGCGCTCCAGCGTAAAGCAGAGATGGATAAGCATGTCGCCAACTATGTCAGCGATCAATTGGCCCGGGTCAAGAGTGGCGATGCTGGTGAAGTCGACGCAGGCGAGTTTGAAACGACGTTAGACGGTGCAGATGATAGTTACTTTTCTCGGTAGAGGAGATGCATTGTCTGATGTTTTGTTGCATTCCGGCGCAAAAAAGCATTTCTGGGGAGGAGTTTCATTGTTATTTTCGAGACCTATAAATCTCTTAGATAGATTGGTGCATACGATTGTCAGACCTGCATCTCTTTCTCTGCATAGAGTTTTGAACTGGCTCAGACTGGATCTGACGCAGATGAAGTGCAAAAGTACAATTGGTGTGTGTGATGAGTTGTAGCATTCGTAGCTCATAATGTCAACTAACTTGGCTCACCGAGCCCAACCTTGTAGTTCAACCACTCGGAGAGTCTGCGACTTTCGTGCGTGCAATTGTGCTCTGTCTTATCGAGTACAAGATTCAAACATGATGTGGCTGGTGCGTCATTAGTCATCAGGATCGTGGCGTCGTTTGTTTGGGGGTGGGGCAATCGCGGCAGCGCATCAACAACAACTGGTCACCGTCTCCACATACGACATCAGCTTTGGATTTACCCAGTCCCCTTGCATTCTTTCCCGTCTCACTTCTCTGTATCACCTGAAAACTTGAAAATCACTTGAGATTACGGTTCGTACATTCCCTAGCGAGATCAACGATATTGACAGCCAGACTGACTTGTTGGAATGCATTGTAGATTGCACGCTCGCATATAGCTGCAACGAGCCGCCGGGAAGCATGTCAGGCTTTATAACCACAATGTTTGTTCATCCCCTCTCATATGACCGTTCCCGGCCTTTGTCATGTGCCGAACCGCAACCTCTGCAGCAGCCCATCGTCAACTTTGCCCAAAGTCAAACCTGCATGGATCACGGACTGCCTTCTCAGACGGACCCTTTACACGACTATACATACCACCAGCCCACCCTATCCGTCTCTGAGGAAGCTCCCGAAGCCATCTTATTTCCGGTGAAGCCCCAGCTGGCATACAAAAGTCCACTCCAAAAGATCGGCGAAGCATTACGTGTACCACAACCTCCGACTTTCGCGACTCTGTCCGCTGCAGACCATAACCGTGGTAGTCGAGCATTGGTCAGATCTTTATCGAACCATCCTCCCGCGATCACTTCCTTCTCGCTTTCGCAGTCCGATACTATGCAGGGTCAAGACTTTGGGCAAGCGCGCAGTGGTGCTGCAGATACTAGGCCTATTTTCAACAATAGGGGATATGTGTTTCCACAAGAGCATCGCACTCATTCGGTACTCCATACTGACCTGCGCTCTTCTTCTAGTAATCCCCGTCCACGAGCTCCTTTCAAGCCACAGAAGTCCAGTCGAGGAACCAGCAGTTGGCAGCTGAAACAATATGCAGAGGCAACACTTGGAAGTGGCAGCTTAAGAAAGGCAGTCAAACTGCCAGAGGGTGAAGATAAGGACGAATGGTTGGCTGTTAATGGTGAGAATATTCCGCTGGAGTTACTGGAGAGAGACTAAACAAACCAGTGGTCGACTTCTACAACCAGATCAACCTCCTTTATGGCTCCATCACCGAGTTTTGCTCCCCACAAAGCTGTCCGGAAATGAAGGCAACTGATGAGTACGGCCACTAGCTCCCAACTCTGCTTAAATATGCTAAATCTATCTAGATTCGAGTACCTCTGGCAAGACAGCGAAAACTACAAGAAGCCCACGAAAATGCCAGCGCCAGAATACATAGAGCATCTCATGGCCTGGATACAGTCCAACGTAGACAACGAGCAGATGTTCCCGAGCCGCATCGGTGTACCATTCCCCAAGACATTCGCCGCTCTCATACGCAACATGTTCAAGCGCCTCTACCGTGTCTATGCACACATATACTGCCACCATTACCCTGTCATCATCGAGCTCGGTCTCGAGCCGCACCTCAACACGAGTTTCAAGCACTATGTGCTATTCATCGATGAGCATGGCTTGGCTAATGGGAGCAAAGATTTCTGGGGTCCTCTGGGCGATCTAGTGGACAGCATGCTGCGGAGCGATTGAGTGTTGATACCCTCGAGGTGGCGGAAGCACAATGAGGCGGTGAAGGACGAAGAGGGAAAAAGAGGCATCAAATGACTGCGTTTAGACGAAGCATCATCTTCTGGGAGCCTGCCTGTTTTCTGATTGAGGTCGAAGATGCTATCACGATTTTTCTTTCTGTACTGTATGATTAGCGGATGAATAATGCGCAGCATGGATTACATGGTCGAGCCAGGGGCCACGATATCACGAAGATTAATATGAATTGCATCATCGAATTTCCCAGGCCTGACTTTATCTGAGTGACTTGATATACTTGGGCAGTGTAGCTGAACGTAAACCCCGACACGCGTCTTTGCGTTTTTGAATCGTGTCTGATTATAGATGTATAGTCATGTAGTTATACCGTAGTGTAAAAAAAAACATATCATATGCAGTTTCTCCATATCGTTAACATGTCCCGAAGCTCGACTCCCTTTCCCCTTGATCGTTATTCATGCCTTCCGTCCATAATATCCCTCGCTGCTCAGAGAGAGAGAGAGAGAGAGAGAGAGAGTGAGAAGGCAAACTTCGACCAGAAAGATCTTATTTATTAAGCTCCTCCGCCCTCTTCCTCAACTCGTCCTTACTCGCCGCCTCAGGCAAGTTCTCCGCCATAACGGGGCCCTACAATCTCAGCAATCAGCAACCATCCATTTTCTCCCGAATCCAAACATCTTCTCTATCCTCCGACAGGAAGGAAGGAAGGGAAGAGATGAGACTCACGGGATTCCCTTTATGTGCTATGGCCGCTGCCGATGCACCGAGCGAGCCACCGGACGTAGCTTTATCGGTCGAAGAATCGCCGTGCGTGGAGGCGTTGGAGGACGAGGGGTTTTGTTTGGCGAGCTTGTCGGTCATGGAGCCTTCGGAGGGGAGGACTGGCATTTTTTCGGGAGGTCGGGGGTTGTGGGTGGTTTGTTGTTTTGTTTGGGTAGAAGGCGTGTGGGGGCGGATGGGTGGATGGAGGTGAGGTGGGATGGTAGGTTAGGTAGCACCTTGAGGGTATATAGGGTAAATGTATGAGTGTATGGTAGGGTTGTGAGGAAAGGAAGGCGTGACCGGTGACGTATGCGGATTATTTTGTTCACGTTATCATGTGGTCGTCTTCTTTCATGTTTTTCGATTGGGATGGGTAGGGTAGGAAAGACATGCTTACCCTACCTCAGCTAGATGCCTACTGCATGTATGTGGTGGGGGGGAAAGACTGCGGGGCACGAATGTTACGTGTTGGTTGTAGAGGCTGGGGAGCGTCGTCATTGTGTGTTGTTTGTTGCGTTTGTTGCTTGAGTTTTGACTGCACTGCCTAGGTGTCTTGTGTACTCAAATTGTGGGGAAACTCGGTGGAGGAATTTCCCGTTTTTTTAAACGTTATGGTAGAGGTGAGTTTGCCCCAAGCCGCGCGATGAATTATCAAGGTGGTTTTCATTGAGTAAAGCATTGCTTGTCAAGTCGATGTTTGTATCCTGGCGCGGCTGGTAGCTGATCGGAGAGATCTGCCAGCTAACCACGTTCAACTTAGTTCAGCCGATACCCACCATATGTCGTCATACATGCTTGCGTTCTAGAACTATCACACTGCAAAATGTACGCGTCGCGTCGGATCGTAGATCGAACAAAGAGGATGATTCTTTGAGATCCAATCAACATGTATATGCCATCAGTCGATACAACGTCTCTAGATTCATGAGCGTACGAAACGATGAGACCCTGGTCGCTTATTACGCCGGCCTCGCGAGGCATTGGCTTCGCGCTCGCAAGACGAGTATTGCAAACGACGAAAGCCCCCGTGGTAGCAACAGCACGAAAGGATTTGGATGGGACGAAGCAAAAAATACTGGATGGGCTTGATGTTGATGGCGAGCGGCTGACAATACTCAACGTGGACGTTTTGGGTAAGTCCCTCAATATGTCACCATGTCAGACTTATAGATTTGGCGCATGCGCATCGAACCATCTGTCATTGACACACAAAACTCACCTGCCTATTCTAGACGAATCATCCATAGCCGAAGCCGCTGCAGCGTGCAAAGAGAGTTTCCCAGTGGACTCCAATCAGCTCCAACTCGCCTTTATGCTGCCTGGCCTGTTGTTCCCGGAGAAATCGCCTGCACAGATCGATGCTGAGAACGCGCTGATGACATTCCGTACCAACACGCTCGGCCCTATGCTCTTACTCAAGCACTTCTCTCCGTTCCTTCCGACGAAGAATCGCAAAGGAAGTGGTGGCGAAGTAGAGCTAGCCAACATGCAGGGTATGCCGGAGATATCCACGACTGCAGTCATGTCGGCAAGAGTGGGTAGCATATCAGATAACCGCCTGGGAGGTTGGTATAGCTATCGAGCTTCGAAGGCTGGCGTCAATCAGGTGGTGAAGACGTTTGATAATCACTTGAAAACGGTCTCCGGGGAGAAGGCGGTGGCAATTGGACTCCATCCGGGCACGGTCAAGACGGGACTAAGCAAAGAATTCTGGAACAGTGTGAAGAAGGAAAAATTATTTGAGCGTGAGTGGGTTGCCGAGAGGCTGCTTGAAGTGGTGACGGCAGTAGGGGTAAGAGGGAGGGGCAAGTGTTGGGACTGGGACTCCAAAGAGATCCTCCCTTGACTCGAATTCGACGGTGTGTGGCTATGTCCATGTCGAGATGGATCTAAGAGAAGAACGAATGAGTTGGGTGGTTCTCGAATACCATGTGTGCGTCGAAACGTGGCACAAGCCTACCGTGATCGGCGACGTTGTCTTAACTCAGGGGAGATCTGGACGCTGTCGCTTACATAGGAGATGGAGTATCAAGCGCACCATCCGCTTGGGTCCTGATTTTTTGTAACTATGTATCAGGTCAATGCTACTGGATAGGAAGTTGATTCAAGAAGGTTTCCCCTCGCATGGTGGTGCAAGGATCATTTCTGAATACGGTGTAAACGAGGTGGGTACACTGGAACCGGGGAGTTTGTAAACTCAGGGCGACTACGGATCTAAAGCCGTGGCGATGCTGGAAGCCGGTCGTTGTTCTAGTGATGGACGATGTTTCTGAACAAGGCAAAGGGCTCGGATTCGGGTTATGTATGTGACGGGCCGCCTGTGTAGTGTTTGAATATTGCGGTCATTGTGAGGTCGTCGTCCAGCAGACTCTGCATGCGGACTAGAAGTTGACGGCGGGACAGACTGTCGGATTGTGTTTTTCCTCGCGGATTTGGGCGCATGGAGATGCTGTCCATCTGCGACGATGGACTTGACGTTTTGCTTTGCTGCCAACATTGATGCATCCAGGTATCGAGGGGCCTGGAGGAAGGGCTGTAGGCACGCGAACAGGCGGCTTGCGGTGCCGTCGTCGTACCAAAGTCGACAGGTGTGTCCCAGTGATCATGCATATATGTATGTATACACGCAAATCAATATACAGCGTCCAGCCCGTGCTACTCGATGGCATGGATCATGTGGTATCGAGGGACGCGGAGACGACGTATGTTTTGAGCCTCACTGCATTAGGCATTCCGCACATGCCCGATCGCTGCCACCCACGGATGGATCTAAAAGAGGGCGCTAGCAGCCGGCTCCTGCTCCACCTCACAGCCCGCGCAAACCCCCGGAGTATGCTCAGAGCCCTGTCTCTCGCTCCCGCCTGGGGTCGTTTCCAGTCCACTCCACTCCGTCAGGATCCACTTTAGATACAACCTCAGTCCCGACGTCCTAGTCCAGCTCGGCCGCACGAAGTGCTGCACTGTTTTACTGCACCGCTGTAGATACCTCCCGGCGCGCGCTTGACCGAGCCCTACTGGAGTCACCGTGTACCATTCGCGCATCATATATCTCGAGTCTTTGGCCACGCCACGGGGCAGGCAATCAATCTATCAATCAATCTATCTATCCACCAGTGAATCAATCAAGCAAGCAAGCAAGCAAGCAAGCAAGCGATACTTGGATCTTCCTTCCCTGTCGGTGCAAGACTCTTCACTACGCATTTATGGCTGGAACAATGCCCATTTCCTCGCCGTCGCACTTCTTGGGCTCTGCTGTGGCGAGTCCAGTGTCAGCAAACCCTCCCAAGAAACCCGCACAGAAGAAGAAAGAGACCCGCCAACCAGTCGAGGCTGCTGGCACCAAGAGGAAGCAGTCCAAAAGCCGAAATGGTGCGTTCGAATTGCTATACTTTGACCCTCTCTGCCTATCTATTGAGAAAACAATTTACCCTCTTTGCTGAAATGGCGCTGACCTGTCGTCCGTTTTCCTGTAGGATGCGTAACATGTAAAGCCAAACGTTTAAAGTGCGATGAGACGAAGCCAACCTGTCAACAATGTGCGAGACGAACCGTGGCGTGCGGCGGCTATAAGAAGGACTTCAAATGGAGGCCATTCGTAGAGACCACCTTCGCTACGGCGGGGAAGCCGCCTGCGAAAGCGACGAAAGGTGTGTGCACTAGCTTTTTCTTCATGTACAGACGAGCTGCAACTGGTCCTCATGCCCGCGACTCTAATTGCTTTTATACGAACAATAATTAACTATGCAACTGAAGCTGCACCACCACCGAGCTTTGTCACCACAGCACCATCCGCCAGTTTGCCTGCCGCACATGAGCCTGTTTTCCATTTTCAAGCTCAAGCTCAACCTCAACCTCAAATTCAGCGTCATTTTCAACAGACCCAACCTCATCACAGCTTCGATTCCCTACAGGATGCACATTATCGTCCTGTACGGTCGCAGCTTTCTGTGCATCCGCTATCCCCAGTATCCAACAATGTAGCACCAGTACCACGACCCATCACCAGCATGTACCCTAACACTCCGACCTCACCCTATTTACTTGTCCCCGCTCCCACATCTCCAGTCGAAAAGGTCATATCAGGCTCTATCGGAAGCAGCAGCAGTGCATTTGAGTCAGAGAGCGTCGGCACACATCACACTACAATAACAACATCATCGAGTGTATCGCCAGGACAGTCGCCACGTTTGGTCGATTTGCTGATCCCTGGAACGGACTTGAGTGTACCACCAGAAGAATACTCGTTATTTCGAGAGCAGCATGAATCTTTCTATCAGCCCACGGGCCTCACACCACCTGCAAATACGACTGGTGATGACGAAGACATAGAGGAAGTTCCTCGGATCGCATTCTCCGACTGGAAACTATCGTCGATGCGCCTTGGTTCTCAAACCCCTTCCGATTCTTCTAGCACCCGTTCCGATTCACCGAAGATTCCACTTTATAAAACACCCCAGCCAACGTCGACAGAAATGTTGACGCGACACTTTGATCGAGAAACATGTGGTATACTCTCTGTCAAGGATGGTCCGACTGAGAACCCCTGGCGGACGCTCATCTGGCCGCTTGCAAGGGAATGTTCAGCTTTGTACCACGCTATAGTTTCCATGACATCGTTCCACCAATCCCGAGACACGCCTGCGCTTCGCATACAAGGGATAGATCACATGCGAAATGCAGTTCATGCATTGGGAGCTGGCTTGGAAAATATGCGCGTGGACGCAGCCATCTCGACCACTCTAGTACTAGCGTTTTCGGAATCCTGGGATCAGCATATCAGCACCGGCATCAACCACATCAAAGGCGCTAAAATGCTCATCGATAAGGCGCTCGTACAACATAGCAAGAGACGGATGTGTGGCGAAGAACTTTCCAGACTACAGTTTCTGTGTAATACATGGACGTACATGGATGTGATTGCCCGTTTGACGTCTACCGATGGTGATGAGTCAAGCGACTACGACTCCGTCTTTGACAGTTTCAACATGGGTTGTCAAAGCGATGCGCAGCTTGATCCACTCATGGGATGTGCCAGTACTTTGTTCCCACTGATCGGTCGAGTGGCCAATATTGTGAGGAGAGTGAGGCAGACACATGGGAGTTATAACAGTCCAGCCATCATCTCGCAAGCCATGGAACTCAAGAAGCAACTGGAGACCTGGATGCCTCCTTCATACATTGAAGATCCTGAAGACGAGACGACAAGTCCTCACGATTCCATCAAAACTGCATTTGCTTACCAGTACGCAACATTGCTTTACCTACACCAGGCCGTACCCGAAATTCCCTCGCTTCCGTCATTAACGCTTGCACAAAAGATTTGTCGTGAGATTGCGACTATTTCCCCAACTTCCCGATCCACGATTGTGCACATCTTCCCTCTCATGGCTGCCGGATGTGAGGTGGTCAGTAAGAGTGATCGGCAGTGGGTCCGCGAGCGTTGGGAGATGATGGCCCAGAGGATGAAGATCGGCATAATCGAGAAATGTATCGATGTGACTAGAGAAGTCTGGGCGCGCCGCGATGCCTTCAACGCCGGCGACTCCATTTTCGAATCTGACGATACGGGGAACAATCCGCCATCGCCCTCGCTCAAGCGCAATTCTAGTTCCATCTCTTCTGATGACTTTGATACTGAAACTGACGGCAACCTTGGGTGGCTCGAAAATAGTTCCAAAAGAAGAGCAAGCGGTCTTTCTGCTCGCGGCGAGTACGCGACCAACCTCATCAAATCGGAGATGAGTAGTAGACATTTCAGGTCGGACACTATTGGGACCGAGGATTTACTGGTTGAGTTCACGGTCAAGGGAAGGTTACATTGGCTTGGAGTTATGACTGATTGGAACTGGGAAGGTATGTGCGACTCTTCAATAATCTGACCCGGAAACTGACAGCTACCAGTTTTGCTCGGATGATGGATGTTCTACATGCATTCTATACATGAAACATTGCAATGATGATACTACTATCTTGGTTTCTATCTCTCATCTGTTACAAGAAATTGGAGGGCCGACGCCTCTGCCGGCTGCGTACCTCGGCAGTGTTAGAGATATCGCCCTATAAACAAACTCAAACGCTTCACAGCGAGCTTAAACCAAAGATCTAATCACATTTCCCACACATTAATGGACTTGCAGATCGGACTCTTATGTCCACAATGGGGAACTTATGCCATGTCCCAGGCGCAAATCGGAAATAACTGAGTAGCATGTTGGATCGTGATGTCAACATCATGAAATGCAGGTGCATACACAAACATGCAGATGATCGCACTAGAATATGGAGCCGCAAAGTATTTTCCACGTTGGTGGGTAAGCGATATTATTCATTTTTTTTCATTTGCTGGCGAGCACATAAATTGGCAGTAGCTGATACTGGCGTAGATTTTTAGTGTTAGATCGATGGGTTGTCGGAGAAGCAAGCGGCGATCTACTACAGGCCTGCTCTCAAGCGTGAGGCCCGTTTAAGATCGGCGCTTACCTCAGCCGACGTCACAGGCTCGGAGCTTCTAGCACCTGGGAGCTTGCCTGAAGCTCCGGTCAGAACTGCATCTCGGAAGACGACCAGCGTCAAGATTGTAACAATGGCAAACATCTTCAAGCGAATCTTTAGCGAGGTCTGTACGCCTTCGATTGACGGGCCGCGGTCGGTCCTTGACATATGCTAACAAGGAACTGCGCAGCATGGCGCGAAGAACGTAGTCACCCTTTTCCACAAGCCGTCAAACGCTGCATCCACCCGCGTCCTTACGCTTCTCAAGCAGGCCAACGCTCAGGCTGCCTCACATGCGACCGAAGATCAGGCCAGCCCTCACCAGTCCCAAAACCAGTTGGAGCGTTTGGAGTTCGAGCTCGACGTGACAGAAGCCCCTCCGACCAGCGATCAACTCAAGAACATTATCGATTATCTGGGCGGACCTAGCGCAGTGGGCAAAGTCATAAGCGGAGCACAAGACGAGGCAGATGCGATGCGTCGTTTGAAGTCGGATGGAGATGCGTTCGAGCGTCCATTGGTACGCACACAATCTGCATATGCATGCTGAATGCGAGCTGACAAAGGCAGGTGGTGGACTGGAATCAAGGCAAAGCGGGTACGTCGAGACGAAAAAAATGCATTCTGGTCTTTGGTATCTGGTGAATGCTTGCTGACATGTGTAGTTGCTGGCGAGCACGAACCCGAGATCTTGTCTCTACTACGCTCCATTTCCAAGGAGGGCGAAAAAGCATAGGTGTACAGGAGGGACAGCCGACACAGAAGTGACTGAAAGCTTCTAAAACTCTTTAGTGATGATGCGGCCACGGAGCTCTGTATTGCTGGGTCATTTCCAGTTTTGGAGAGAGGCGAGTGAAACCTGTCTTGGCAGCGGGTGGCTACAGCTCCACGTCAACTATGTATGTTTTGGCGATGACTGAGCGGTCTGGAAGCCAGCTCCTGGACAATGTCATGAATAGGGGATGGCCAGAGTAAGCGTCGTCACAAAAGTTCATTTAGCCTCCGTCTCTCGATCAAATAGACGGCCATCCGATAAGTGAACCACATCAAGACATTTCTTCTTGCCTTGTGCTTGTTTGTCTCCACCGTATGTCATTTCGATGTTTACCCCTCCTTCCTGACCTCTACAACTACCACTCATGCTCCGTACATATGTAAGCTCCGGAATGTCAAGGACCTGAAAGAGAAGGGAACCACAGGAGTGATTGGCGGATCCAAGATACCGGACAAGAAAAATTATTCTCGGAAAACTCACCTAGACACCTAACGCATAGTCATGCCTGGAATACAAATGTATTCGTCCCTCTAGGACAGGCATGACCAGTGCCAAGACCTGCTCTTTCCTTCTCCTACTCACCGCAAAACACGGCGTCGCTCGCTGCCTCTGGTATTAGTTTTCCTGTCTGCTTCCACCCATATAACTTTGCCCTTCGACTCACTGTCTTTCACCCACTCCACCTGCCGCCTTTTCCCTTTTCCCTCCCCTCTTCTTCTGCCGGCGTTAGGGGTGTCCTTTACTTCTTGCGGTCCATCTTCTAGTCACCAACTTCCTTAGCCAACACTATCTCCTCCTGTATACAGTCGAATACGCCTGCCCATCAGCGTGTATTGGGTCGCCATGTCTCTTCACGTCACGCCGGCCACGCCGGCTGGCGCGAGGGCGCAATCAGTCCCACCCAAATCGTCCATATCACCAGAACTGTCGCCCACCGCTGCTGTTTTTGACCCGTCCAAGCAGACGCGTGCACTAACACCACTGATAACCGCTGGCCAGACGGGAATGGCTACGAACGGTGTTAGAGCTCAGACATTAAAGGCTTCCCCCGGTTCTGGCGCTGCCCTCTTCTCAACCGATGATGGTCGCCACCCTCACCGACCTCCTCCCGGTCCTCCCTTTACACCAGTTATTGTGCGATCCGATCCTGTTTTGGGCGTGGTTGGATTCGCCAACTACTGGCGCAACAAGCATCCTCACTACTACCACTGCTTGTTCACACAGCAGGGATGGGGCATCACCGATCTCTGGGACAGGGCCGACATCCACCTTGAGTCTCCCGGTTTTCTCAAGGAGGTCCTCAAGTTCATCACACAGGACAATGAATTCCGCGTTCATAAGTTTGCAAATAAATGGTCGAGAGACCACACCGACAAGCTGGATATGATTGGCGGGGACATGAGTGACTTGTTTGATCCTCATGATTCTCTGACTTTTGTGTACAAAATATTCACCGACGGCGAGACGGAGTCCTCGCCACCGGAGTTCTTATACCAAGCTCTCTACATCATGCGGACCGCCATGCGCCGCACTGTGCAGGAGGAAGAGCAACATCGTGCTTCAGAGGCTGCGATGAACGGCAATTCTAGGCGATCATCCGCAGATCAACACTGTAAGTTCACTCTGCAATTCAATGGCTCAACTTGTAGACTGACACATGGTTTGCTTAGTCGTAGATCACGCTGCATATCCTGCGGCACGTACACAATCTGGTGGCTCGGTGCCTTTCCATCCCCATGGAGCTAGAGGACCTCCCCCAGGACCTCCTCCAAGTGGGTATCGCGCTATTGTTCCCTCCACAAATGGGCAGCTTCGCAACCCCAGAAACAGACCATATCGCTCGAATTCAGGTTCTGGTCGCTCCGGTGCTCCATTCCAAAACCAGAACATGATGGGCAATGCTGCTCGTGTACCTTCCGAGCAGCGCTGCCACCAGCCTCCTGGCCCACCTTTTTACAACGATCAGTCTCTTCATCCTCATATGCAATTGGAACCTGGAATGATGGGAAACATGGGCCCTATGCCTCATGTGAATCGGCCTTCTCCTCTGCACTCCCCGCCGTTCTTGCCTTCTCAGGCTATGTGTCCACCCATGTTGCAACACGGGCAGATGCCTTTGCCGCCGCCACCTCCCACTGTTCCACTTGATCCCAATCACCCCGTCCCCAATTATATCGATACTGCAAATATGGATCCTCGGGGTGCTGCTCGGTTCGTCGATTTGACAAACAACATGCAGTATACTGCGGATAGAAACACGGATCGCCACGGCTCATTGCGCGGTGGTCATATGATGAGCAGAGCTCCTTCTCTATATAACCCTTATACAGAGGAGCCTTACAAATCCGCTTCTTTCACACAGGTCCCATCTGGTAGAAAGGGAGGTCGTGGTAGCTTCTCCAATCCTCCTACTCGTGGCCGTAATTACTCGAGCGGCTATCGTGGTTCCTTCTCGAACACTTTTGATAAAGATGATGTACCACCTAGGACATCGAGCGGACACTTTAATGGCGACACAGGAGGGTTCCATTATCGCAGCGTCCCGAATCCCGACATTGTCAATGACATGGAGTCGGGGTGCGATTCCTACCGCATTGGTCCCAAGAACACGACAGTCAAGAAGCTGTATGTCTCTAATCTACCTGACGGCATTAAAGAGCAGGAATTGCTCATACAATTCCGCAAGCAAGCGGATGCGACCAGGGTCGATTTGAAGAAAATAGGAAACTTCGCTGAAGTCACACACGCCTTTGTATATTTCAGCTCTCCTGCGCAAGCAAGACTGTGTCTACCGGACAACTGCACCTTTCAAGTTCGCAACAAAACACTAATTGTCAGTGTGCCATACGCGTTCTACAGGGTGCAGGAATCTCCACTTTCGCGATCGGCGTTACCGGCCAACACACCGAAGCACAGGCAGTTTTCTCTTTCCAGTGCAGTTTCTGGTACGGTAGATGGCAATGCACGGAGCAAAAGCTCCGGCCATACTCAGTACTCTCCACAAGATGCTAGGAGCGATCTTAACTGGGCCAACCAACAACAGTCATCACAACAACCCCAGAATAACGGTAGCCCTCGCGCACGGCAACAGAAGAGCAGAGTCTCTCCTACAAAGAAGACTCAACCTCGTCTCCATGGGTCGCTCGACGAGAATAAACCCAATGCCAAAGCGGTCACGGTTAATGAAATGGTGGAGAAGCCCGATGGTGATGCAGTTGACGTGGATTTAGTATCTGAAGAGACAGGCGCAGCTGTCGCCGCTGGAGTCAAAGAGTCTCGGACCGAGCCTGATGTTGTTTCGGAAGGTATCAAGAAGTCTACCGATGACCAGTCTCTGCAAAACACGCCTCCGGTTAAGCCAGACACGCTAACTGCTTCACCTAATGAAATGGAAAGTGAAGTACAGCACAAATCTGGGGCTAGCTTCTCAGACACCACTATTGTTGAGGTGTCATTGAACGACACAGGAAGTGATTCATCAGAACAACTAGTTCCTGACAAGAACAAAGATTCCGAAAACAACGTTGAAGTCACGCGCAGTGAGTCTGTCTCGGGCGACCACCAGGAGAATACGGCTGGTGGAACAGTCTCAGATGATGATCAAAAGAACGACCTCAGTTTTCATTCTGCCCAAGAAGTCCCGGATGAATCCACTGTCGCTCTTGAAGAAAAGAGCTCTGTCTATCGGTCTACTTCGAGTGAGCCATCTGATATTATCCCGTTGAAAACGATATCTGCATCTTCTCAGCCAGAATCTGAAGCTACTACTACGAATCCTTCTATGGTGGAGGAGCCTGCAAAGCAATCAGCAACAGAACAGACGCGAAAGCAGGGCGCGAAGCAGACACAATCTCTTTACCCTTTCGCGAAGCCAAGCAAGACTCAGTCTAAGAAAGAAAAGCAAGCGAAGAAGAAAGATAAAAGGAAAGAGCGGAAAGAGAAAACGAAGACAGATAAGGTGGAGTCGGATGAGAAGAGCAATGATCACAGTCTTGTTCCGATTGCGGAAAACACAACGAATGCCGGTCCCAGTGAGATGGACAAGCTGCAGAATACGATCAAGAGCAAAACTGAGATCCAGAATCAGCGCCTATCAGCCTATCCTGTTGCTCCTAAACCAACTTCGCAAGTAAACTTCGAGCAACACCCTTCTATGGGCTCTTCTGTCGGTAAGTATCAACGCGGCGCCATCATGGTTGTAGAGAGTGCTCACATTTTTACAGCCCAACAAGATACCGTAGCCGAGATTCCAGATCTTCAACAAGCATTCCCTCGCAAAGAATCTGCAGATATTAGCAATGTCTTCCCGGCCCCAAGTGTGGCTCTGTCTGAGCCTAAAGAGAAGGTTTCTCCCAATTCCGAACTACCTAAGATAAGGTCTCAAGCCGCAAAAGAGACCTCCAAGAGAAAGATAGGTCATCTTTCTCAAATTGCCGTTCCAAAATTGAACCTTTCGATGACCAAGGCTGCTTCATCTGATAGTATCGCTCATCCTGGGAATGGACCGGCTGAGGCAGATAGTCCAAACAAGTTGGACGCTGTGATCTCGGGCCAGTCTGAAGGTAAGCCTTATAAAACTTTGGAGTCTGGATGTTATTGACCACTGAACAGATATCGCTCTTCTTTCCTACGTACGCGATTCAGCAGCATCTGCAGCAACAACCCCAACCTTACGTGCGGCGAGCCCTCCGCCAATACCCGCTAGCACGACGACCGAATTCTTCACTCCAATGCCCACGCCGACCGAGTACAAAGTGGCGGATGGAGTCTCTCACTCATCAGATCCATCTGCGGTCGACCTTGGCAAGAAGAAAAAGAAGCGGAAGGGTAAGAAAAAGGTAAACACGACGTCAGACTTCCAAGAGTTGCACTTGGCTTCGAACAAGTCCGAAGAAGATCCGTTTATCTTACAGATGAACGAGATTGATGACATCAAGGCAAAAAAGAACGAAGGGTCCGCATTGCATGGTAAAGGTTTCGGTCAGGAGGGCGAGAATCAAGGGGCCAAGGTGTGTGTTGATGCCACCACCACTGCTCCCGGTGGAGCATCTGGCAACCCGTCTGATCACACGGATTAGCGCTCCGGCGGTTACCTCCGAACTGTTCACGAATGCCTGAAAGAAAAGTATGCTTCGTATAAACGGTCGCAGGATGAGCACGGGGGTGCAGAGGGGATGCATCAAGGGGAGAAGTCACCGAGGGATAGGGTGACGGGATTCATGAGAGGGATTGGGAGAAGGGAGAGCAAGGCTGCCGATGCTGCGGTGGCTACGTTCGCACATGGTGGGCACTAGTCGGTCCATTGCTCAATCGGTCAGATGGAACTTTGTTACTCTCTCTATTACTCCCTTCTTCTCATAGGTGAGATATAGTTAAAAGGGGAGAAAAATATGAAACATCAACATAATGTGCTGCTTTGCGTGATGGGAAATGTATATGCAGTACCCGTTACGGAGATCGAGGTGAAAAACGAGAAGTACTATTTCGTGGTGATCCTTCAGTTCGTTATATTGATTCTGCTTCTACCTCCATCTCTAACGTTACTCAACGCTGTCATCAACTCCATTTCTCTCAGTCCTACCCGCTGGCAAAAAAACATAGGGTGATGAATATGCGATACACCACGCGTGTGAATTGCTCGCCAATGCATGGCCTTGCCCCTGGAGCTGTGATTGTCTTCATTGCCCGTGTAGCATCTCGCCTAGCCCCTGTGTATTCTTCACGCGCTATATGAATCTCTTCCGAACGGCATCCTCATTCTGCATACCAACAGTTTCTCATAGCCAGATAATCTCTTTTGTTCGCTCCAAGAACAGTTATTCAGCGACATTTTCACCACCACAACCAAAGCATGAAGCCAAATTGGATCACGAAGCTATACACGAACAAGAACTGAATCGATCTGTTCTTCTGGCTGCGCGCAACCGTGTAACCAGCAGCTGCGCCACCGCCGACAACGCCTTGTCCGCCCTGATCGGGGAGAAGAACGTAGCGCAAGCTGCGCAGCAGGAAGAAAGCGTTGGCGCCGTAGCAGTACAGGAAGACGAGCCAGGGAAGCAACGAGCCGCCGATGCCGAGATGCGAGAAGATGGAGTTGAGGACCTGCGATACGATGACGCCGACGAACTTGTAGCCCGAGTACGCGACTAGATCGAGCAGTTGTGACGACGAGTTGATGGCGAGGATGAACGTTCCCGCTTTGATGACGCCGACTTCAAGGACCATTACGGCGATAGCTAGAGAGGCTGTGTAACCTAGCAGTTCTGGGTGGAATGCCCCGCGCAGACCCGCGAAGAGTGTGGAGAGGAGGATGTAAGTCACCAGCGCCATCATAGGGATGTACATGTCCGGGGAGTTTGTATCTTCGCGAGGGGGAAGGTAGAAGACGTCTTGAGCATTGTTGACGTTGCGTTGCTGCCGTGTCCAGGGGCGGTGGCGCCATGGGAAGAGCACGATGTAGAGTTTGTTGACGACGTATGAATTGGAGACGTTGAAGTAGTGTTTCAGGGCGCTGACGCTGATGAAGCGGCCAAACTATTGCCATGAGATAAATTGTCAGTTTAAGTAATCGAAATGAATTGATTTTGAGTTATGGATTGAAGGGTGAATTTACGTTCTGTTCCATGTACTGCTGTCCAGCATCTACAGCGCTCTTGCCCATCTGGAAGCCTATTTGGGCAGTGGGGTCGTTGATGAAGCCTCCGAAGGCCGGGGGCACATTATTGTATCCACCGCCAGGCTGCCCTCCCTGCTGGCCATGGCCATATCCATATCCGCTTTGAGGTTGGGAGGGCGGTTGGGGTGGAGGAGGAGATCGCAGCTGAGGAACGGTAGAGACGTGCTGAGGCACCGGGTGGTGAAGCGGAGGAGAGTGTGCGGGCGGCGGGTTGGGGTAGTTTCCGCGCTGCATTATGGAGGATTTGTTGAAGGCGGGATGCTATAGGTGATGAAGTCGTGGGAGGAGCGACCTATTGGAGAGCGGACAGGACAAGCGGACGTGGTGATAGTTGCGTTGTGATTAATTGGATAGTTGCTACATAATACATTTTGAACCACAGTGAGAGGTGAGGTGAGAGCCGCCAAGCCAACCAGCCAACCGGAGCCCGTCGTTCGTCATACTAGTTAACAAACCCCCGCCGTATTTGTACATGTAATGTCTCCACACCTCTTTTACATGCTCACAACCACCCCGAGTGGGAAGAGAAGGAACCAACATATTTTTAATCAATTCGCCAGCCCCTAGCAATGCTGGATACGTTTGAGATCCTCACCACCTCGGGAGTGGTGCTATGGTCGCGCGCATACGTCCCCGTCGGTGCCAACATCATCAACAGTCTCATTCGCGATGTCTTCATCGAAGAGCGGATACAGCCTCAGTCGGAAGATTCAAGCAGCAAACCCACATATCGAAAGGACGGTTACACATTGAAGTGGACCTCAGAGAAGGATCTCGGGTTGATTTTCGTCGCCGTCTACCAGTCACTCGTCCACCTTACCTGGATCGACAAACTTCTAGACAACGTGCGCGCCCTCTTCACCGGCCTGTACGGCGAGCAGCTCAAAAAAGAACACACGAGTGTGGTCAGCTGCGAAAAATTCGCCCCCTATTTTGAGCGACAGATGCAGGAACTCGAGGGCCAAAGCGATGCCTCCTCCTCCACCGCACCCAACGCGAAGCTTACCCCTCCGAGCACCGATAATGACAGTGCCGAAGAAAGTTCTCCAAAACAACCAAATCTCCTGAAGCCACAACGGCCGCTATATGATACGTCGGCCGACTCGACCCCCGTTCCCACCCCCGATACATCACGCCCAAACACACCTGGGCAGAGTCATCTTTTGACAGGGAGACCGAAGCTGGGACAGAAATTGTCGCGGCGCGATAAGAAAAAGGCGGCTGGTCTAAATTCCGCACCGGCATCTTCTGGCGACGAAGCGGGAACAAAGCGCAAGGGGAAAGGTGCAGCGGCGAAAAAGAATCGAGTCTGGGGAGAATTTGGCGCTGACGAGGAAGACGACTCTGTGCTCGACTACTCACAGTCAGATCTCAGAGATGATGCCTCCGCGAATGAGGCGCTGGAGGAGATCAAGCCCGAAACATGGGGCCGCAAAACCAACAAGGGCCAGTTTGTGTTGAAAGATCTGGACGAGGAAATGGATCAGATAATAGCAGAGCAGAATGCGAAGAAGCAATCCTCAACAGCATCCGCCTCAGGCGGGCTTGTTGGTTCAAGTCTTGGTGCGATAGGAGGCTTGTTCCGTAATGTCGTGGGAGGTAAAACTCTCACCAAGGAAGACCTCGCCAAATCACTGAAGGGCATGGAGGAGCACCTTTTGAAGAAGAATGTAGCACGGGAAGCTGCAGTACGGCTATGCGAGAGCGTAGAGAGAGACCTTATGGGCCTCAAAACAAGTTCATTTACCAGTCAGTCTTCCTTCACACGTTCCGTCATCCCTGTTCTCTAATACTTACTCCTCACTACAGCCGTTGAATCCACCATCCGTACCTCCATGGAGAAAGCCCTAACCAAAATGCTCACCCCGACCTCCTCCCTCGACCTCCTTCGTGAAATACAAACAGTAAACGCCAGTGGCCGTCCTTATGTTCTCTCCATCGTCGGCGTCAACGGCGTTGGGAAATCCACCAATCTCTCTAAAATCGCTTTCTTCCTCCTCCAAAACCACCACCGCGTGCTTGTAGCCGCAGCCGACACGTTCCGTTCAGGCGCGGTGGAGCAGCTGCGCGTACATGTGCGCAATCTCAAAGAGCTCAGCAAGCGTGAAGGTGGCGAAGTCGACCTCTTCGAAAAGGGCTACGGCAAAGACGCCGCCAACATCGCCGCCGACGCCGTCGTCCACGCGTCCAAATCAAACTTCAACGTCGTTCTCATCGACACTGCGGGCCGTCGTCACAACGACCAGCGCCTCATGTCATCGCTTGAGAAGTTCGGGAAACTCGCTAAGCCCGACAAGATTCTCATGGTTGGCGAGGCGCTCGTTGGCTCGGATTCGGTGGCCCAGGCACGCAACTTCAACGCTTCGTTTGGTCCAGGTAGGGGGTTGGATGGCTTTGTCATAAGTAAATGCGATACTGTGGGTGATATGGTGGGTACGCTTGTCAGCATGGTGCATGCGACGGGCATCCCCGTTGTGTTCCTAGGAGTCGGGCAGCATTACGCGGATCTGAGGGGTTTGAACGTGGGCAATGTTTGTAGGCTGTTGATGAATTAAAGGCCGGGCTGTGTTCATGTGTATCTAGGTGTTGATTTCTGTTCCTGTGCATAGAGGAAGAATGGGATTGTATCCTCTATCAATTTTTGTTGGTTCTGTGTCCGGACGACGGCTTTTTTGTATGTGTAGATTGGGTGCATTGTTGCTGGACACCAATTTTCTATATTGTTTCAACGGTTTATATCAATATACGCATTATAATACTTAAATATGTAGTTCAAGATCGTGCATCGTTCCTAGGCAGGCTTAGAGAGATAGTTTGTAGCCAGTGATAAAGTGCTGGTGCATGATGATGGTGTCAGGGTGATCCTCAATTTGTGCTGGTCTCACAACAAGTTTATAGTGCCTGAGGGAAGTCTAATATACAAACGCATCGATTGATTGATTAGAGACTGATACATACAGGAGAAGGAGGATAGGATACATGATTGCATTGACTTGCTGAGACGAAACTTGAGGCTCGCGTGTGTGTGTAATTGTGTTTACACGGCGTTATACTATCCAATATGAGCTTCCGAACTGACTGTAGACTCCTGTACTATAGAGATCTGCGGCTCCAATGGCTCTGTATTATCACTGGAAGTCAGGTCTAAATGCTTGTGGAACGGTGGGCCCAGCTTAGGAACCGAGTGCTGAAGCTTCTGGACCACTTCCACTCCGATTGATATACCATTGACCGGAGATCCAGCGCGTGTGGTGCCACCGAAATCAGTCCTGGGGGAAGAACTTTGTTCTGAAGGCGATCTCCTATGCTTTGAGTTGCGTCTAGTTCGTTCCATCCAGTGCTGGGCAATCTCTGCTGTCGGATTGGACACTTTGATCAGTGTAATCTCTTTTGCAAAGTCGTCTTCATCCCGTACAAGCCGGGTGAGATGTTTAGCGACGTTTACAGCATCGGCTGGCTCTAGCTTTCGGTAGAAATTAAGTCGGAGATCAATGTACTCGTGATGCGCACGTCTATGCTCTCCCTGTGACTCGATCTTTTCCATTGCATGGACATTGAGATTCCGTGGAGAGATCCATATGTTACCTCCAGCTGAGAATTTGTCCCGCACTTGTAGCTCCGGCGTTTGTTTCTTGCCAGGGCCAGGCCGATTGGCGAGGATCGCTTGGATCCTGGCGACCAGTTGTCTGGTAGTGAATGGACACTCCAGACTGTCTTTATACTCTCGCATCGCTTGCATGAAAGCTGTAGTGAAGGACCCAGGACCAGGAAGAGCAGCGACTTCTTTCGCCCCGCATGCTGCTATAAATTCGAAGTGCGGTTGGGGGGCGCGAACCCTTACGCCCCCAAAACTTCCTGCAAAGCAACAGTCAAATACTAGAACGACGTCACCATGAGCCTCTGAAATGTTGCTTTCGGCCCTCGACCACACCAGATTGTGCGCATTCTGCTGGCTCGCTGATCTAATGTGTGTCAACGACAAACAGACAAATTCGAGAAGGACCTTACGCTGCAAGTTCAATTCCATTATACTGTCGTTCAGGAACATACTGATATCGTCCATGGCCCCCATAATAAATGATCAACAGACGATCTTCGCCATCACACTCCTCCATGAAACTCGAAAGAATCCGATTCAGCTGATGATGCGGCTTACCACCGCCAAGCTGTTCACGCTGAACAGTGAACCCGTATTCGTCCTCGAGAAACTTTTGTAGTTCATCAAACTAGGGACTTCGTAAGCATTTCATTGGTGAGATATGAGGGCAAAAATGAATGGGCGCAACTTGCCTCGTGGTGAACTTCGAGATCCGAAATTTCCTGGTCCCAAGACAATAGCAAAGCAAACGCCTGATCATAGTTTACAGGCTTATTTTGCATGTTGTCATTGAACAGTTGTTTGTAACGAGCGAGGTCCTTGGCAGGAAGGCTTGAAGGGCTTTCAGTTGGTGCAAGTATCTCATCCATGTCATTTTGAACAAGGATGTAAGGAGAGCCATCGTTTCCGTCAGAACCATTGTCCATACTCAAATCAGAGACTTCAGTAGCAACGCTATGGGACTTTTCGTGGTTCATGTCAATGGGTACAAACGACACCAGATGTTTCAGACGCGGACCCATCGAGGCATTTAAACCAGCTCTTTTGATTCAACATACGAAAGGTCAAAGTACACAAAATTATACACTGCCTCACAAGGCGCATTCTTTCGTGAGGCACTTTGGTCTGCACACACAGGCTAAACCATGACCGGATGGTAACACAAGGCTGTGACAGGAGGGTGAGCCTTCGCGACAAGGCTGACCAATAGAGTATATCATAACTGAGGTACCTACTTTATTTTTTTGCCTAATGATAATGGCGCTAAGTGGAGGCCAATGGAGATGTCTTGAGTCAACGAAGGATAGTCGTGCATATGCCGTGTTCTGATCAGACTCAGCAGCGGCTTCACACGAGGCCTACACGAGCCGCATAATGTATCTATCTCAGCCCATATATTTGGACATCTCGCAGGCTATGGGTCGGCCCAGGCATCCCTCAGGCAGCTCACACGCACCTAAGGCTAATCTAGTTCATCATCACAAAAAGCCGGTCAAAAAGCTCGACTGGTTCGCATCATGTCCTCCGTACCACTTTCTGATAAGGGCGTTCGTTTCTCCACCTCCCAAACCTACACGAATTGAATATTAATGGTGGTTCCACAGAAAGACAACAAAACCGGTGAACCGCCTCAATCGAGGGCACCCGATGCCCACGTCACGGAGAATCCTAATGCAACCAACGTGCGCAAATACAATTTTTTATTTGCAGATGCTAGCAACATGCTGACCGGAAACAGACCTACGGTCAGCGTTACAATAAGGGAGATGTTGTTTGGGTAGAGAAGAAGGCCGATGGACAGCAATACAAAGCCACTGTTGTAGATGCGCGACAGTCAGGCAGTGGGTGGGAATATCACTGCAGGGATTCGGACGGCAAAAGTCTATGGGTGGAAGGCTTTGAGTGGATCAAGTCAAGAGACATGATCAATGCAAAAGGCTGAAAGCTTCTCAAATGAGTTGGCTGTGAACACTGCATGTGTCAATTGACGTGGAAAGGGCGTACTAGCTAGCTTGGAATTCATCTATAAATGCAACACTTTCGGCGCATATGTTCAAGATTTTTATTCTTTCCTTCCACCAAGTCAGGTTCCTATTTCATCTACTTCAATGTCTGTTGAGGATCAGTTGGAAAAGGGTAACATGGGAAGCGAGGGGCAAGTATCAAACCCCGCTTTCCAGCCATTCCCCAGAAGCAACGCAGAAACGCTGTCGCAGTCTACTACGATAGGCAAAGCTCAAAGTGAGTTTAGACTTCCCTGTTCAATTGATTAAATACTGACTGGGTATTGATCGATTCAACCCGTGGAGACGGTCACTCTACCCCAATTTGCCACGGCTACATGGCCCTGAGAGGCTGCGTCGAAAGAGGCACAAGACCCAGGTGATCACGAGAAGACGTACGTTTCTTATATTTTCGAGCTTCTTTATACTGATAAAGACAGTCAATGATGCCGCTAAAGGCTATCCCAATGTCGCGGCTTTTTTAGACAGTGATGATGGATTTGCGATATATCGACGCTTTGGATGGATTCAATCGATCCTACTAATGAATAAGCAAGAGAACTTGCGGCGTTTGGAGTTGAGACTTGGGTTTCTTCAGCGGCGAATGGTGAACAAGAACGAAGCCGCATTCTCGTCGCTTGATATTCAAGGATCAGATGAAGATAAGCAGGAATATCAGGACTTACTGGCTAGTGCTGAAACAACCTTTTGCGCATACACAGACCTCCTCAATGCGAGTCAAAAGATGCTCTCTTTCGCGAAGCCTGCTGAAGCAGATCGTCAAAACCTGGGCATGTATCTGCATAACCGAAAACCGCTGATGGAAGATGAATGGGAATGGGTGCAGCACAAAGAAGACCTTATCACCATCAAATCGGGCCGCGAGCACGCATGGCTTGATGGTGTTGTCGAATTCACTCTGAAGTCGATTCATTGTAGATTCATCGATTTCTTGTTTCGCTCGAAGGTATGGCCTAGACGCCCGTACATCGATTTCTTTACTAACACTGCCAGGAATCCCGAAAGAAGACCGAAATCGATAAGAATCGCCAAATGCCTGCCCGACCACCAAAGGACGAAGACCTGCACGAAATCTTTTACACCCCTTCACGTATTGTAAAACTCACCAACTGTATCCTCACCTGTATCATTTTAGTCTTATTGATTGTGCCTATCTATGTCTTATATCACATGGTTCACGATATTGGCACGAGAAACGCATACATGACGTGTATCGGTACACTGTTGATATGCACATTGGCATTCTCATCTATCCTCTCACTTTTTACGAAAGCTAGACGTCACGAGATTCTGGCTGCTGCTGCCGCGTACTGCGCTGTACTCGTTGTTTTCCTTGGTAATGTAGAGCCAACTATGGCCGAAAATGTGGTTTGACTCTCACTGTTCGAATCGGTGTCGTGGTCTCCGCCTGTCTACACTCTCTTTCATCTTCACCAAAGTTTTGAATATACACTAGACCTTACGGCTATATTTCCTTGCTTTAATTACATTCCGGAATCTAAAATAATGCGTCAATTCCACTCTGTTCACCTCCGATTTTTGACCGCATGTGATGTTTTGGGTAGAATTTCGTTGAATGATCGACTCAATGCGACTGCTAGTCGTATGGTATCACACCCTCAGGAGGACTGCATGCATCAGTTCTAGAAGAAACCGATTATATCTTGATAGCAATAGCTGCATTTCATCTGACGCCTTAGGCTATGAACGGGTACAAGAACACTTCTCCACAGGTAAATGCATAGCTATACTTGCATACCAGAACTTCAGTCGCATGGATGAGAAACAAAGCAACACAACATCAACGTACATGTTTGTCTGCTGCAAATACGTCAGCATAATTAATTACTACATTTCTAGTATCTCACCGCCATGTGCAATTGGAAGGCTGGGCTACAGATCGTTACAAGTGCAAGGCCAGTGTCCGTTCGTATGGGTAAAGTAAAGCCCGTGTGGCTGTCACTATTTGGCACTCGGGATGGAGTTAGTTGCACGACGAGATAGCTATGATTGATTACGCAAGTGCTTTCGCACAAGCCCGAAATCTCCCGTATGGTGTAGTCACGAACTTATCCTTATGCGTGCCGCGCAAGGAGATTTAATGGCATGAAGCAGTGCACAGAGGCCACCAACCGATGGATGCCCCATCTCAACACAACGGCCTTCCATCTATAGCGCTTTAAGGATATGGTATTGCCTTGAAGCGTTAGGCGTGCTAGGATCTATCTGTACATTATCCTCATCCATATGTATCATAGAGCGTGCAGCCAATGAGGAGCGACTAGACTCATACCGCCAACAACCCTTTCGGAGATCGCAAGTTGCCTTATTGTCCCCGATTGGCACGTTTCATAAATATTCTCCTTCGATGACAGAGCTGACTCCGACCCGGCCCATAAAACCCCTGTCGCAAACAATTCTCCTTGAGTTTGCCGCCTATTCAAGGATCCTCCCGAGCGTACACTAGAACTAAAAGGCACATGTAATGGTAGCCGTACTGTAGAACCGTCACTACCATAGTAATGCAACATCGATGCCAACATTTAGGCCTAGAGAAGCAAACAGCGTTGGCAATATCCTACATTTATATATAAGACACACAATCCATCACGGTGAACTGAAGACAAAACAATTGAAAATTAATCTCATCGTTGCAGTCACTCAGAATCAATTATTACCCCCCAAAAAAGTCTAAAGCTACTCGCTTCCACCACATCATCCAAAACCATCAAAATGGTCGCTCCCCACGTCCTCAAGAGCACTGCTCTTGCCTTCCTGAACTCCCTGGCCCTCATGCCAAATACCACAACCGAGGATCCAGTCCGTTTCGACATGCAAGCCATTCGGGCTGTCCGCGCCCCGAACTACTCTCACACTTTCGGCCACAACTTCTTCGTATCGCAATCGCCGCCTCTACAGGGCACATCCGACCTCGACGGCTTCATGGAGCGCGTGGGAAAAATGACTTTGAAATTGGAGAGCGAAACCAAGGAGGTGTTGTCAGTAGCAGTGGATGCCGGAGAGCGCTCCGCAGTGGCGAGAGTCGCCTACCAGATGAAGGCGCCGGGGCAACAGCCTGTGGAGAACGACCTTATCTGGTGGTTGTGGATGGATAATAAGGGAACCAAAGTCGAGAAGAGCGTGGAGTTTGTGGACCCCGCTGCGACGAAGGAGTTGCAGAATAGGATGAACGCATCGGCCTCTGCTGCGCCAAAGTATTTGTAGAGTCTTTCTGCCAGGTTTTTTCCTAGCGGGTGCTGCATAGCGGAGATGATTTTACAGATTGCGGTTTGGTCCGATTGTCATGTCTTCTCTTTCGTTGGTACCTGGACTGACTTGTTAGTGGGAGTCTCTCTTTTCTTTTCAAGAAATCTAGAATGTATATAAGCACGTTTGCGGAATTTTGTCATTTATCATAGATCCTCATGTAGATATACAGGCGGTGTTTTGCTCGTTCGCTATATTAGCCTCTCGACACCTGAATATTCAATTTTTCCAACCCCAGTGACCTGGTACGACATGTTCATCGTATCGACAAGACAGGCAGATTTTCTCATTTGAACGCACACATCAGAAGCCGCACAGCAATACGCTATTGGAACGCACATGGCCTACTGACAGATATATTTGACAGATATGTAGAGCGGTGCTTGAGGTTCCAAGCCTAGGTTGAAAGCGAGCGGATTGCTATGATCAATGTTCCAGAACACAGCTCAAAATATATACAAGAAAAGGTGTAACAAAAACCATCTTTCCAATGCCATCATCATCATCATCATCATCACTATATGTCCATGCCCAAGCTTCTCCAAGCCGTGAATGATCATAGGATCTTGTTAAGGTTGTTGTCGTTCGGCCACATCTTCGGGCCTGGTAGGGGGCAGACAGTGGGCTGGGGCTGGGCCCATGAATCATATTGGAAAAAGGCATCTCTCTCACGACTATAACCTCCGGGGAGACTGAAAGTGGGTCCTGGAGCCTGGCCGTTGTAGTTGCTGACGATTTCGATGTGTGCACACTGAAGGAAGAACTCGCGGCCCTTGTATGGTTGGTGGGTAGCAATATGCTCGATGCGCATCAGGTATTGACCAGCGGGGATCTCGGCTGGCATCTTGAAGGTGAATTGCTTCTTTCCCCACGTGAGCCATGCTGGGTCGGCCGTGGATCCACTCTGGTGACCCAACTGGTAAACTTTGAACCAGGGTCCGGATCCGTCATAATCACGGACGTCACCTGGCGCCTTGGACAAGTAGATCTGTTTTACATATCAGTATCAGCGATGAAAACTTATTCAAAGGCTTGTGGTTTCCTACCTGAAGCGGTCCTGGGTGACGGAGCTCGGCTTGCACATTTGTAGCGAAGCCCACAATGTCTTGACCCGCTACAACACGGGCAGTCTTAGGCTGCGATCTATGGTTCTCTGAGCCCTTATTGCAACGAAGATCATTGCTGTTCAAGAAGGCTCCGTCGGACCATGAAGGCATATAACCATTGTCGTGCTCACGAACGTACTCGTGGGGGTTGGTGACTTTGCCATTAAGGATCAGGTGCGGAAAGTGGTAATGAGCTAACGAGAGAGTTGGCAAGATTGCCGTAACGGCGAAGATAGCGAAGTTCTTCATTATGGGTAAAGACGGACGGCCACTGGACTTCTTCGTGATTTTCTGGGGTGATGAGATACTGGTTGAACCCCCTCCCTCTTATATGCCTTTGGGATGGATAATAGGAAGAATATGAAGGATACTCGCCAAGATATCCAATATGAAAGGGAGTTGAGTTCCACTGGCCTGCGATATTGTTCGAAACATATGATCCCCTCATTATTGGTGGGCTCCAGATGATAAATGAAGTGATCAGTCTTGTTTGCAGGTACGGTTAGCAAGGGAGAATCATGGCCAACACAGACTCATAGTGACAATGCAGCTACTCGCAGTAAGTCACTGAGCGGCTTATATAAGTGGTCAGCTAGATGTGAAACAACTATTCGATAGATTAACACTCTGATCAACAGCATAGAGTCCTGGATGTCTCAGCTTGGCACCTGAGATATCCCGGTCATACCTGGGGTGCATAAATATTCACCGATGCAAAAAACACGTTATTTATAGTGGAACATCTATAGCGGGTTCTTTTATCCACCTGTGAAAACCGGATCGCATAACACACCACCCGTACATAGAATGATCTCAGGTATCTTGTTTGTATCAGCGAACACTTGTGAGGGAACGTCGATGGTGTTTTTGGCTACATAATCGTTGTCTAGTTCTATAAAAGCTATCTTTGATCGATAGCAGGGTGCCAAAGCTAGGCAAGACCATGTTGTTTACACACACGAATCACGTTTGCATACGAAGAAAGCTGATCTGTGATACGCCAGACGTTTACACACATGGCAGCAAAACCGGTGGGGGTGGGGACTATTGGGAGAAAATTCCGTCAAGGAAAGGAACAAGAATAACGTATGTCTCCCTTGAGTGCAACGTTCATTGCGGAGAATGATTCGTTTGTGTGGTGACCTGAGATTATGTGCACTATGAAAGACGGGATGATCTCTCGTCTATCTAGTCGAACGATATCGTATATTAGAGGGGATTTATGTATGCAGCCCACTTCGGTTACGGAGAGACCCTGTCCATACAACTGACGGATTATTCCCGTGTAAATATATGTACCCCGCTTTGGTCGCAGTACATCCAAGTTTGGCAAGTGTAAAAGGTAACATATTGGAATGGGAATTTGCCGGATCAAAACCATATTTGCCATTTGTAGCTAGAATGGAAGATTCTTATGCCGGCAATTCGATATCCCATCGCATCCAGTTCCTTAGCCAACACGTGCTTAAAATGAATTTAGCGAACATTAGCAATACGTTTGGATGTTACTTTCCCTTCCACTTCCAAGAAGGAAACCCTAGATTCCAAAGCATTAAGGAGCAAGGATAGGAGCAGCCCGATAAGCTTTATTTTTGATAACACCGAGATGTTATACTCTACTTTCCTGAAAAACATGCCATTCTTGAGGTGGATCGTTTCTATGTGTTTATCCGAAACAACCTTGTTCGCTGCCAAGTTTTCAGATGAATGTCACATCACCCCATTCGCAGAGCTTGCTTGATTTGACATAATGTGCGAGCAGTGCATTTAGAACATGGAAATCATGCATTTGAGCTAAGTTCATTGATGCAATAATTTGAATCTTGGAAAATACCATCCAGATCAATATCCTCAGAATTGTAATGGACTAATTCCATGAAAGTCTGGCTGATGGTTGATTCAAAATGACCACTGATAGTGTACACCAATCGTAGTCCCGAAGCTTGAACAAGCCCAATTAGCAAGTTCTGGCCAGCTAGTAGAGTGTGACGTGTAATAGTTATAATTTGTGATCTGGCCTAGGGTTCTTAGGTAAATCTCTGTGTTCTTATACTTATGTTTGTGTCGGATCCCATGAATTACGGATCGCAATGCTCTCACTCCTACAAATGCCCTTGTCCAACTCGAAATGATGGAACGTAACGTACTGATACTCAAACGTTCGCGCCACGAGCAATCACAATGAAAGCGCGTGGATCTCAAGTGTAAAAGTAGTGACGAATGATGATTGTAGTGACAGACATACGGAGGACTCGATGAAGCCTACCCTCAGATGTCTTAAATATATTGAATCTGTTGGAGGCAAAATCCCACTAGTTTTCTTGCTTCATGAAATAGACACTGCTTCCGTTTCTTAAAATTATTAGAGCTTATGTTGTGGTAATCTTGAAGCCTGATACCAAGAAAGTGATTTAGCGCCCCCGAATTCGTGCTTTGGCCCGGCAGAGAAATGTGACGAAACACCCGGAGAACAGGATAGCATATAATCTCTCGCTACTCCATCACATTTCCTGGATTTCATCAGCACGATCGGGCGCCGCGAAAGAATCGCCTATTTTCGTATACGGGGATCATGGGTCCGGGATCTGTAACATAGTCCCAACACCGGAATGACATAGCCACGATTTCTGCCTTATAATAAGCTCTGTCAGGCAGATGGTGATACTATGACGTGTATGATCTCTGTCTACTCAATATCATGTTCTCTTAGGTAAAAGGGAAGAGATAATATGCTAGCAAGGTTTATTTCATTGTGCTACTACTTTCTGCTGTCACACCCTTAACAGCCTTGGATCTGAATCGAGATATTCTATCCGCGATATTATGTTTGCATCAGTGGAAGAACTGGTCCCCCGATTAAACTCTTGGAGTAGCGTGTAGCGTTGCCGATGAACGCCATGATCCCCAGGACTGTGCTATATCATTCTGGCAGTACAAACATTCCTGAGCGTCGGTAGATCTACACGAGTCAGAATGAAATGTAGGGCCAAGACTGAAACCTGGGGAACTTGGAAATCTATGTTCCGGAGTAAAAAGGCTTACTTGCTACCAGGAGGTGTCAACCTTACTTACAAACTGTGTGGCTGCAGCATAAGCTTCTTGATCCTCCGCTGCAAGTCGCCGCTGAGATGGAAAGTAGAGCTCGCTCGTTATGCAATCCACCAATAACCGAGATTAGATTTCTTCGCTAGGTTATTGGGTCTTCGCGGAGTAGTTCGAGTGGGTGGGTTGCCTGAACTCGATATGGTCAGGCCCGAACGGAGAGCCTTAACGTCCCGAAGCTTGAACGGAGCGGATGTAAAATGGCAACGAGCTTAGACCACATACAGGGATCTTATGTGAAGTAATATAAAAAGACAAACATTAACCCTTGTAGTCAATGTGTACGTGTATGCGGTGATTTGCAATAAAATATGAGGCCCCCTAAGGGGTATGCGGAGAGTGACAGCCTAGCGGGCAAAAACATGTGGATGGCCTGAGCAACAATTGGACCCTCCAACTTTCGTGCAGCCGATTCGTCTGAATCCCATAAAGCAGTCTGTTCGTGTCGCATCTAATAATATGCGATGAAACTTGTCAAATGTCAATTTAAGGCCTTACCGCCATCAAGTACATAGCATACAATGACGTCAACTATAACTATACAGTGTTATCATCATAGTAAGAATTCTTAATGCAGATTACCAGTGGCGGACTCTGATGACTGTGTTTGTTTGGGAAATGTTGGTAAACGCCATGCTGGTCACCTGAACAAGGAGTGCGGTATGTCACAATAGACGCCATTATATCAAAGAAGCTTAACAAAATTCTCCGGATGACGTTTGAAGAGCGTTGTTGTATCTTCACTTTCCAGTTATAAAGTTCCTTCTCCATCTTGCGGTTAGCTTTCTTCAGCATTCAGTTTCCATTCTTCTAAGTGACGGGGAATCCACCCTGGATTAAATCATGCGTTCGTTATACATCCCAATTGAACTTCTTTCAATATCATTGTTGATAAGTACTGCTTATGCCGGTCTATATTACGATAAGAGTTCTTGTCAAAGTATGTCTAACGTCCTTGCTCGTATTGGCAAATAAAGACACTCATTCAAACAGAGTACGAGAACCTTCTCAACGATGCATTCACATCAGCATTTGGACAAGTCAACGATGCGATAGACGCTGTGGGATCTTCTGGCTCGGGTGGATCGCAGTGGACTTTCCCTGATTCCGAAACTAAAGACTTAGCTGCCCGCGTTTATGGCGATGCAAAGTCTAAGAGATCTTTAGTACTAAGATATACGACAGTGAAAAGTGAGTCAGACAACTCTTTGGAGCATATATCCGTACTAACTAGCGACAGAAAATTTCGAATTCATACGCGAAAATTTTAGAAGTGAGAAAGGAAAACTGTTGAGCAGTGATGACGAAATCAATGCACTTAAGGAAACGGATGTGGTAAGTCATCATGATGTGTTTGCCCAGTATTCACCCTGATTCGACATGAATGAGTGAAGATATCAACGCTGAAAGTATCAATAGTTTGTATATTGCGATCTAGAGCGCCTAAAGCAAGCGTCTAGCGGCGCCAACTGGCAGAAACCAGGCAGAGAAGAGGAAAGCCCGTTCCCCGATCAAGACTACAAAGACTGCAAGAAGGGCACTACACTAGCCATCAGTAAGCCTCAGGAGGGTATCAGACAAGTCATACAGCTTTGCGACATGGAAAAGGTGTGTTTTCAATCCGATCATAATGGCGCGTCTACGTTATGCTGACCCAGCGACAGATGGCTTCGAAGAAGTACAACAAAATCGCCGATCGAGAGGCAAAATGGATGAGAAACCGCGATAAATTCAAGGATCTTTGCAAGCGTATGCTGGGCATCAAGGCAGCTGAAGTAGATTACTACTCTTTCCTTGATCTGACGTTGCTTCACGAGGTTAGCATATACAATGCTCTCTATAGCATGTCTGTGTTATTAACAATATATGACAGATGACTCATTGTATTAAGAGTAAAAAGGTTGGAGGAGAATATGAGGAACAGCGTACCTGGGACGAAGGACCTAACAACGGATACGAATGGGTAAATATCTTTGAATTATCCACAACTACCGGCTACCAGAACGCTGGTAAGAGAAACCTGATCTACTACACGAACAAATCTAACATTATTAGATTCTTACGGCTACTTCGCACTCGGTACGCGTCGAAAAACTTTAGTAAGGTTTATGCCTACTGACTCTTTGTTTAGGTGCCTGGATGTTGAAAAACAAACAGACAAGAATTGATAACAAAGGATGTCTGGTAGAAATTGACAAATATCACTACGGTGATAAGGCAGTGACTGTTGATGGAAATTGGGCTGCGCCCGCCGAGAAGAGAAATTTGCCCGGCTATGCAAGCTATGAGTATTTTCATAAAGCAAGGCACAGTTTCAACCCTCTCGATATGCGCGCCATTACCACTAGCACCACTACCAAGGCGCAAAGCTCAATTTCTTCCTCAAAATCAGCCACGACTAGTAGTAGCTCTACGAATTCGAGCTCCGTTTCTTCGACCCAGAGCGCCAAGAGCAGTACATCATCAGGCTCTGTATCGATTTCGGGTGCATCAAAAAGCTCATCGGCACTATCGAGCTCCGATTCCAAAAAAAGCAGTACGACTGTTTCGAACTCTGGAAGCCAGAGTGGAAAGTCTTCCAGCGTTTCCACGAGCTCTGTGGCAGGCTCTAGTAAGCCGGCGAGCTCATCTACTGTCTCCAAATCGGAGTCCAAATCCACAATCAGCTCTACAAATAATCCAAGCTCTGGAAGCCAGAGTGGAAAGTCTTCCAGCGTTTCCACAAGCTCTGTAGCAGGTTCGAGTAAATCGGTAAGCTCATCTGCAGTGTCGGAATCTGAGTCCAAATCAACATCACTATCCTCCAAGACATCGACCTCCGAGACAAGAAGCGGAAGTTCTCAAAGTTCAAAGGCAAGCACTTCGGGGAGCTCTTCGGGTATTGCTACAAACTCGGTATCAGGTTCTACTAAGCCGTCGAGCTCTTCTGCGCCGTCAGCCTCCCAATCAAACCCAACTACTTCTGCTGCCCCCAGTTCTGCCGTCTCAAGCAGTGTGAAACAGACAGGGAGCACTCAGAGTTCAAGTGTTAACAGTGCAGCAAGCTCTTCCGGCGTCTCCGCTAGCTCATCAAAGCCAGCATCAGGATCCATCACTTCTAGTAGCAGTACCAGTTCGACTCAATTCCTTCCTGCAACATTCTTCTCTGCTACACCTACAGTTACTCCGGAAGAAAAGGATCTTCTATGCTCAGCGTCGAAATCCTGTGATAAGCCTACCCCCACATGGCTAGAAAAGATTGAATCCGCACCATCGACGTTCTTCATCGACAAGATTACGGACCTCAGTGCGGTCCCTACCCAGAAGGTGAAGAAGGAGGAGGACGATGACGATGATACAGCCGTCATTTTCGCCAAACTCGAGCTCCCAAAAGACGTATGCAATCCGCTACCAAAGCCTAAATCAGGAGGTTTTTTAGGTATCGTGGCCAATATCGCGAATTCGCTCGTTGATACAGTAGTGGATGCCACATGCCATATGGAGTTTCCTATCATAAGTGGCAACTTACCTGAATGGGTGGACATGACCAAGTTCCCTGGCTTAAAAGGTTATACAGTGCCGAGTAGCAAGCCAACCGAACCTACAGAATCGAACAAGGAAACGAGCAAAACTTCGAGCAAAACATCTAGCGAGAAAGAGTCAAGCAAAACATCGAGCAAGACATCAAGTCAGACATCTAGCAAGGCTTCGAGCTCTTCTAGCTCCTGCTCAGCATCTCAGGTCACCCAATGCAAGGGGACAGCAATCGTCTCGGGCAGTAGCACCAGTAGCTTTGTAACGGACTGCTCAACCATTACATCTTGCTCAGGTACAGGAAGTACTTCCATGACAAGTAAGTCATGCCACTCTTCCATTGCTCTCACATTTATCCCCCTCTTCATTATTCTCGTATACGTCTTCCATCAAATCCTGGCCATATCCCCATCGTGCAAAATTGACATGAACAATAGGTACCACCGAAACGCCAAAAGGCACCGACTACCCGCATCCCGAGCCTGAAGCTGATTGGATTGAACACCAAGAGTGTTTCCAGAGCTTGATGGAGAACGCCGACAGCGATGTGAATGACAGTGCCCTTGGTTCATGCCTGGGTACCTCCATCGCACCTGTGACTAGTAGTGCCAACCCATCCTCAGGCAGCTCCTCTGCAAGTTCAAGCAAACCCCAGTCGACAAGTGCAAAAACAACGGAAGCAAGTAGCAAAACGGCGAGCAGCACCCGCGCATCATCCTCAGGCAGTGCGTCCGCCACCTCAACCAAAGCTGAATCGACAAGTTCAAAGAGTTCTGGGGCAACTAGCAAATCACCGAGCAGCGCCGTGTCGTCAGCCACCTCGAGCACATTCTCGGTTTCCGCAAACGCGACCTTGACTGTCAGAAGTTCAGCAAAGCCAACAAACATTCAAAATTGTGGCTCTGATGCAGACTGCGGGACTGCATGCTGCGGATTCAACACTGGAATGTGTACTACACCCCTTGACGCAGCTAAGAGCGATGGTGGTTGTGGCTTCGGCAACCCGGAGCCCAACAACGGCAGTCACGGAAACTTGAAAGATCTTTGTACTGCTGATGCAGCCTGTAAATCTGGCTGCTGTGGGTTCGAATCTGGACAGTGTCTTGAACCAGATGACGCTGTCAAAAATGATGGAGGGTGCGGGTTTGGTGAAGCTCAACCTAACGATGGACCTATTGTTTAGTCCGTATGTTTAGTAGGCTCCCGCGCTGTGCGCATATTTTCTGTGGGAAACTATTGGGATAGCGATGTAGAAATCTCCATTCTGCGATTGGATTAAATATAAAGTTGCACAAAGTCGATACGGACGAACCGCAGTGCCCGAGAATCTTGAGAATGCAGGATCTTGGTCAATCCAGCGATCGGTATTATATTGACGAATACCCTGGTGACGCCCGAATTCTGCTCTATTTTACAATGACATGCTAGTGATGACTCGCACACTTTTTTATAAAAGGTGTGTACTGCTGCACTAGGATACAATGCTGTTTTGTAGCTATCCTTCCGGAATCTCAGACTCATAGTCCATCATAATCACGTCGGATGTTTGCTTCCCCAAAGAGGTCTTGAAACCATGTTTTCGATACAGTCGTATTGCTTTTTCATTCGTTGTGTAAACGCGAACACACAGCTTGATGTATTTGCAGCTATGCTCGTGTGCCCATGAGAACACATAATCTTTGCAGTTTTGAATGAGGCTTGCACCGATGCCTAGGGATCTGTATCGAGGTAGAACGTAAAAACCCTCTATGTAAAAGGTAGCACGATCGTTATGATTTTCTATTGAGGACTGGGCCAGGTCCTTATCTTCTTTGTGGTATAGAACCGCGTTGCCGAGCCACGACTGACTCGCAAGACGATGGAACCCTTTTTTATCGACTAGCGAAATAGCGGTTGCAATAGAAGCGTCTTGCTTAATAGCGACCAAGGTATAGACAAGTGGGTTGAGAAGCCGCGCTTCCCAATCTTTATGCTCGAAGCGGACTTCGCGTTCGCGAGTCGACGAAAACGAGGACGGGTCGAGCGTGAGAGCTGTTAGACGAAGGTCTTTCTGTTTTTCCACGATTGAATCCCATAGTTCTGGGACGATTGGGTTGCGTGGGAGCATGTGTATGGAGTAACTAGTAGGAGGAGTAGGTGTCGCTGCGCGAACTCGCTCCACCTGGCTCGCTACTGGGCGAGTGGGACTTGGACACGCCATATGAGGATGCATTTGGTCACTATTTCAAAGTGTGTACAGTAAATATTGGTGGTCAAATCCCAGAGATTATAGTTGCGCCATCGGTGACTGTGTGGAGTGTTGAGTCATAGCTGGGACTGCCGTTGAGTGGTCAGGACCGAGCCCTCGTATTCGGTTCTTCCCCTCGCATTCAACCTAGCCACTGTTAGAGAAATAAACATTCTTTGGGAGGGGGATAACTTATAAAAAAAAAGGTGACCGCCCGAAGGCGGCCACGAGAACCACCCACAAAAGATCGCCATCACTGACTCCCACTCTAGCGCTCAACTCTTGCAACACTTTCAACCAAAAGCAACAAATCGTACACTTTACCATGTATAGCCGAAAGCAAGCCGCAAAGATTTAGCGATAAGGACGGCCGACAAGTTGCCACGTCCGGAGGCAGCACAGGGAATCGCATGGCTACATTAGTCCCAAGAACAATGTTGACAGACAGGCCGAAACCTTGATCCTCACTCTAGAGAGGTCCCATCTCCAAAGTTCTGGGTGTGTAGTCAGCCCATGTGTTCGGCCGTGCTCTTCCAGGGCTGCCGAAACTTGAACGGCCAATCGCGTAAACCGGCAGTCGTTCTTTGTATACATGGCTTTTCATAGATAAGCGGACAATCAGGATCCAGCATCGGCGTTGCAAGCATCGGCATTTGAGCACAAGTTCTTGCCATGCCCACCGCCCTACTCAATTCTTCGCCACAATACATGACCTTCGCCTTCAAAAACATTAACAAGACACACAGCAAGATCCTAGACGGATCGATACAACAGTCCAGCAACGCCTGTATCAATCACTCGTGAATTCTCTCTGTGTGTGATGGCATGACTTTCTGAGACTAGTCTTTGTTTCCGCTCCGGTTTCTTCGGAGGGCATTGCGTACGGACAAAGGACATCCTCAAAAGCCGCATGGTATGTTTGCAACGGCCAAAAGACCAGTGAAACAAGAAGTGGGATATACGCTCATCAATACAGCTGTACACCAGATTGTATAAGTTGATGATTAACGCGACTGGCCGGGTATTACCGAGGTAACAAGTGTCGGTGATAGCGATCGGACACAGGCTTTGCAGCTTCTCGGTCGGCATGTGAGGTTGGAGACGTAAATAGGATTTTCATCCAATTTGGGGTTGATAGCACGGGTATCTTCATCGACACCAGGAAGAGCCAGCTTTGCAATTTCCACCACCGAATACAATCGCCACTTACGGGATCCAACGTCGACGTGCATCCTTCAGATATGATTCCCCATCTAATTGTCCAAACTTTGGGTCCGGAGCGTGAACGGTTCGTCATGGACACGACAATATCATTATGACACCCAGAGACCTCGCTAGACACACAAGGCATCTTTCCGACGAGTGGATCTCTGAGCCAGCCGAAGCTAATCAAGAATGATACGTCTGCATGTGAGACAAGATCATGGATCAAAACCGTGCTCATCCTCTGTCTATTCAACTGATGGGGTATGCGAAGGAGCGTGAAGAATGCGGGCATCCCGTGTCGCAGCTCTCCAGTGGATTCGACAAGAAAGCGACAAATCGTGGCGGCGGTATTCAAGAACCCAAAGACGATCCTCAACTGAGGTGCCCGGCGTCTCCCTCTAGATCTCTCCTCAACTATGCTCTTCGTCGGCTGCAAAGCTACCCATGGTGGCCAGAGTCTGTTGTACGGATGAGAAGTCGACGTGGTTCTCTTTTGAAAACTTTAACGCCCTGAAGGGCACATGACAGACCCAATTAAAAGTTCGCACTTCCGTACCTCGAATCTTCTTTTCAAAGCTTTCCGGCGTGAAGCTGCAACAGCCTCAGCCATCCGGCATATATAATCAGAAGGTCGGCAACGTGACCGCGATGCTCAAATATCATAAGATGGTTAGGGTTAGGGTCCGAGCCTGCCACCCCACGCACTACTCCAGTGTTTCCACTGAAGGGCAGAGACAAGCATACATACGACCCATTGAGACCATACCAAGAGGCTCGGGTGTGTGCCGGCCAAGGCCTGTACGTGAAGCGCCGTGAGGCAATCCATTGAAAGACAGGCTTCGGCAACTGATAAGAAAGTGACATGCAGATAGAGCGAGAGCAGAATGGGTGCTTGATACAGCGCGTCTTGTGGACGTCGTATTGAGAACCGGCTTTAGTCAGACTTGTCGGTGATCTGTCGAATTGTCTTGAATCCAATCATGAGCGCGCAAACAATTGGCAGCTTGGTTATCGAACAGGCACTTCGTGATGGGATTTCGTTGGTGGTTGTTGGGTGTAGGGTCACGGTCATTGTTAGGGTTACAGTTAGGGTGGACGCGTCGCGAAAACACGCTAACCGAATACGCACTAGCTCAACCATGTCATCATGCTTTTCTTTGAGCGTGCCGGAAATCAGCCTCCATGAAGATCTCAACCTAGACTTCACAAATCACTGGTAGCGCTATGGGTGCCGTGGAAAATGCAGTGGAAGCTGCTGGACAATTCATAGGTCCTTTCATCGGAAAAGGGTCTAGAGGGGAGAACGGAGGAAAGGATGATCAGCTTGTGGAAACGGCTTTGTCACATCTTCAAGCAATCAATGCCGCCGAACAAGCCGCTGATCCAAATGCTCCTTACGATGGCTCTCTAGTCGGTGTCGTATATGGACTGCTCGATCTTGCCACAGCCTTCGGAATCCTTCCTCATCTATCTTCCGGAGTCGAGTTCGGCCAACGCCCACAGTCTGTCTTGATAGGGACGGTCTCTACACGACTTTCCCGTGACGAGAAAAAATTATCATACGTAATAGAATCCTTACTTCCCATACTTAAACAAAACGGTTCTGGTATTCAGCCTCTTCTAAGCCAGAGAGCTTTTCCAGATATTGTATGCGCCCTTGCGGAACTCGCTTTCTCGCCTCAAACAGACAAGGAAACACACAGCATATACAAACCACTTTACGAAAGTGTGCTCGCCGACATTCCTACCTCAAGATTGCTGCCTGTTTTAACATCCTTGCTGCAGCAAGATGTTCCTTCGTGGTGGAGACCAATCTTATCGAAAGAGCTGGCACTCGTTCCACTTCGATCTCATGGCGTTCGTCACACGATTGAATTCCTATCACTATCTTATCTCTCCAAGAACTCTCAAGTGCCAAAAGATGCTTCGGGATCGCAAGCTCAGATTCCTTTGCCTCTGGAGGCCATTACCCAGGCATCTCGACTACTGGCATCTGTCCCGAGTGGTATGACCCAGGATGAGTGGTTTACAAAACTTGCCCCCCAGCTTTTCATTCTACTAGACGGAACTGAAGGTAAAGAATTGAGCCGAGCAGCTGGGCAGATCATAGCCGGTGGAATACTCAATAAGAAGAGTACAGGCGCACCGAAAACAATCGGTTGGGAACTATTTGCCAGACCATTGCAAACAGCCGTTTCCCCCCAGGTATTAGAGACTGCGCAGTCGCACACGGCCACAGGGCACCATGTTCTGGTCAAAGAACAGCATCTTCGATTGGCATTGAGAAGACTTGCCACCATCGCCTCTTCATACTCGCACGCTGGCCTTTTGAAACGTCTAGTAGGACCTGTATGCCTTTCTATTTGGGGAATCATGTGCCATGCGTCTTCACGACCTGCTTTAGACAAGGGGTGGTTCCAACTGGCTCATGCAATCTTACTTCGGTATTTGACATTTGCTTGTGAACCCCGACGAATTGACAATATAGCGAATAACTTGTTCTGGAATGGTGGTGGGACATGGACCTATGGTGCTGGAGCTCAAGGTGGTATCGAAATTCGACAACGATCCAACACGGACAACAGTATAACAGCAATGGAAAATATCATCAGCCGCATAAGCAACCTCGAAAAACCAATCAATCTGTTGGTGTCCCTTCTCGTGGAGGCCGATATCGAAGATGAAATAGCCGGAGAAATCTTCCTACAAACCACAAAGAAATGGCTGTCCCCAGTCCAAAGTGGCAAATCCTCTCTTACATACGAGCAGGACTCAGATCCACTGGCCGCGCTCACTAATGCCAAACTCTCTGAGGCTTTGGCCGATAAGCTCAAAGACAAGTTTGTCCGGAGTCCACAGCATATCATCGAGCTCACAGGTCAGCTACTTCAGAATTATGTCGATGAGCACAAAACTCGATCAAAGACATTGAAGGACTCCAGTAAAGCAACTCGAGCCAACTTACACAACCTTGTGCAATCTCCGCCGAACATTGGGCGTGGAGGCGAAGGCGAGTCGGATGATCTTGCTTCATTCGCTCTTAGTATTCTTCATACAATTGTATCCTCCTCAGAATTTATCAGAACTCCCGCAACCACCCAACAACTCGATGCAATAACGACACCACTGCAATATCTCACCAAAGCCCATCCTTCAAATCCCATCGCGTCTCAAATCGTTCACTCTGCAACAAATGTGCTTGAACTTCTCGAACCAGCAACCGCCTCAATCCTCCCAACAGACCCCTTGATTGCCCATCGCGAATCCCTCAAAGCTGCCCTCGCCGATCTAACGTCTCCCGAACCCCCGATCCGAGCCTGGTCTGTTTCAACTCTTGGAAACCTCGTCAAAGATCCATCCGCCTTCCCAGCAATCGATGTGCCCTCTTTGGCCCACGCTCTTCTTTCCGCTTCCATCGCCGACCCCGAAACCTACGTGCACACAGCAGCCATACCCATTGTTGTTGACCTTGCGATCCGCGCGCCGAATCCCACAGTCCGCATCATTATCGACGCTTTCACTGACATCGATGAGCGGTCCCTGCGCCTTAAGAAAGAGAAGGAGCTCGAAGAAGCGCTTGATTATCGGCTCCGTGTAGGCGAGATTTTGAATGATCTAGCTTTGAGCGACGCGTTCTGGATGTCTTCTTCATCGTCAGCGTCGTCTTCGAGGTACCCGAGCTTGAAATCCATCGTGGAGGCCACCCTCTCTATTGCATCTCGTCGCGGCGCCCGCAAGCAAACGCTCGCGAAACGTCACCAGCGTGCGGATGCTGAGCTTAAAATGCAGCAAGAGGGTGAAGAGGCGTGGGGTGGTCCGATTCCTAACCTCATGGACCCAGACGCGGAAAATCCTGTAGAGCAAGCGGAGCGTGATGCGTTGTTCAAAATCGTTGAGGGGTGGGAGAGCACAGGGGTGGAGGAGGATGTGCGTATTCGCGCTTCCGCTCTGAGCATTTTAGGCAGTGTGTTTGAAAAGAGATTGGAGATGCTCAGTCAAATATCGGTTGATGCGGGATTGCAGATGGTGCTACTCATACTAAGCATGGAAACTGGAGAAGTGAAGGGCTTACTCAGGCGTGCTGCTGTGTTGGTGATCATGGGGCTGCTTAAAGGTATGGATGAGTTGCTAGAAAACGGAAGGGAGAGTGTTGCGGGAATGGGTGCGAAGCAGATGGAGGAAGTGGAGCGGGTGGTGCGATGGGTTAGTAGTGAGGACTCAGATGGACTCGTGAAAGACCACGCACTAAGTGTGCAGGAAGGGCTCGAGACTTGGAGGCTGAAGAAACTGTACAGGATCAACGATGAGGGGGTTAGATTGGGCACCAATCTTGGGCTGGAGGGCGAGATAAAAGGATTGGATATTCGGCCGTTGCAAGGCAACGAAACAGGTCAAAAGAACAGATTAATGGTGGAGGAGATTGAGTAGTATTTCACTTCCAGATCGGGAGGGCGTTGTAGCAAGCATACTCAAAAATGGTTCCGCCTGCAATGCGCCGTATCTTTCCCCGTGGTATCTAAACAGACAGTTTTTGGGCTACTGCATTCATGCCCTTGGTGTGTTCGCAGAACTCAGAGCCTCATTCGCTGCTCGGCCTTCGCTGTCGCTCGACCACACATTCGCTTCTTCTGCCGCGTGGTGCCAGATCGCTTCTAAGTTTACAAATTTCTTGCTCAACCCGTCATAGCTGTGTCCTTGACCGGTTTTGGTTCCACTTGATCTGCCGCTCCGATCCAGAGAACGTTGTTACACCTGTATCTCAGATTAGCTTCCGTCCATGATGTGTTCTCCATTTCCTTCCTTTCTCCAGCCATTAATCTCATCCCGCGTAAGCGACACATACCTTATTAGCACCTGCCCTAGCTGACCCGAGCTCTGCCCTCCAATGAATTCCTCAGTGTTGTTGAGTTGGATGTTCATGTACAGATCCACCGAGACGAGTCTGCCTTTGTATTCAGTCTCGCCCCACTTCAGACGCACGACGATATCCTTGTCCACCCTATATTTCTCAAGTCAGTCATCGCGACGTGTGTGTAGGTCTGCAATGGATTCGGGGGCTGCGTACAAGCTCTGGAGTAAAGGACGAGGGTTGAAGGGTGCGACGGCCTACTACATATTAGCTATTGCGCAGTTGTAGGGATGATGATAACACTCACAGACATATTCGCGATCTGTCCAACGAACTCTCAAAGTCGAAAGACTACGGGGAGAAAGTTGAAGTTGGGGGTTGTCGTTACGTCTGGTAGGTGTTTCTTACCCGTATGGGTAGAGCTTCGGTGACCCGTCGCTGCTATATTCGAGATCGCGAAAAGATGTAGCCGGGGTTCTGCCGAATCAACCAATCACCGCGCAGGATCCCCGCCCCCGCCATCATCAACGAAGCTCAAGCTCTCCCTCTGCGTCGCCACTTTTATACGAAATCGAAATCGTCGAAATTCACGATCAATCTGTAAATACGGAATAATAAAAATATGGTTCTCGCACTCGCTCTCTCGGCCGAGCTCATCGGGTAAGTCGAGATTCGCACATTATGCTTCACGAATGAAGTTGCTGATGGAATGTTTACACAGTGTGACGGACCTCCGACCCCTCGACACCGAAGAGTCGCCATTCCACTATACGTTCAAAGTGCAATGTACATCGTGTCGCGAGACGCACCCGAACTGGGTCACCTTGAACCGCTTCGTCCGTCCTCCCTAATTTTTTCAGCGCCCCCTCCTACGCATACCGCATGCTCCAGTTGCAATCACTGACGCAAAACTTGTGTAGGAAATGAACGAAGTCAGCGGTAGCAGAGGCGAAGCCAATTTCGTCTGGAAATGCAAGAACTGTAAGGTCTCTCTCCCACCCTATTCTCGTCCCCATTTTGTGAATGCAGGGGACTGACGAGGTTATTCTGGGCTACAGAGGGAGCACTCGGCGAACATCAAGGCTGCACCTGCGAGTTACGGGATGAGCGATCCACCCAAGACAGTCAACATCCTCGAATTTGATTGTAGAGGCTTGGAATTTACTGAGTTCCGGGCAGATGTAAGTGCTTTGTTCGTTGGTTTAGTTTGGAAGCCAGCTAATAATTGTGTTTTTCTATTGTGTGTAGGGCGAATTCCTGGCTACCGGTGCCGAATCGAACACCAAGTTCACGGGTGTTGAGCTCACCGAGGGAGAGTGGTTCGACTACGATGAGAAGGCTGGCGAGGAAGTTAGCATCACGAATGTGAAGTGGGCTATTCGAAGAGCGTGAAGCGGATGAAGAAATCGAGGGCCATAAGCGGGAAGACTAGTATTGGTGATGAGGCACCAATACGCCGGATCTAGGATTCAGGAATCAAACATTTTGTCGTATAAGATGAAGAGCTGGTATCTACTGCAATGCTATATCGATGATGGACGCACAAACATCTCTGTGGAAGAGCTCGTAGCTCAAAAACAAGATCACATAACATTCATTAACCATGCATTCATCACAATCGACGCTGTATGCATTCCAGTCTCTGTTTCAGTCGGCTCCAGATCGCTTTCGCCTATGCTGAAGCCATTTCCTGCTGCCGTCATATAATATCCGACTCCATGTCCTCGTCACAATCTTTCCCTCAAACGTCCCACTCGCAATACTGAAAATGAACGTGAAAAACAGACTGACCGCCAATACTCCCGCAAAAGAGTACCAGTAGCTCGGATGTGTAAACTCCATGCCCTCAAATTGACAGCTGAAATATCCGGTCATCAGAGTCACCGGCATAAAAACGATCGTAACCTTGGCCAGGAGAAGCGTAACGCGCGTGAGGCGTTCCACACTGAATGATTCCTTGATCGCGATGAGATTGAAGTTCATCATAACCAAAGAATCCTTTTGATCAATGCATTCTTGGATCTCGCTGAGTGCGTAGAGCATGTACCGGTCCTTGAGGCGTTCAAATCGCGCACGCGCGGCCGAACTCAAACTCACTCCAAGTAGACTATCAGCTTCAGGAATCTGCGGCCCGCCGGGCGGCGAATATGCATATGGAATCGAGTTATCGAGCGATTCCACTCCGGGGACGATGCGGGAGTTTTTGAGCGATGCGAGTGTGGCTTCTTGTTTCTTGAGGACGCGTTCGATGATTTTTTCGTAGCTGAGGTAGACGCGTTTAAGTACGGCGAGCTGGCACCCGATGTGATGCAGTTGATCAACGTGTTGGAGGTTTGCACGTACCAACATCTCGCGGCGTAAACGGTCCAATTCATGCGCATAACCGTGCTCACGCCGCGAAACGAGGTCGTAGGTGGTGTACCAGTCTTCAAATAGGTAGTAGAAGAGTAGTCCTGGGGCGTCCGTGGCGCGGTGGGCCGACTCTTCCTCCGAGTCCCCGATCCGGTGTCTTAGTGGAAGCATCAGAAGAGAAGCATCTCGTAATGGCGTCGGGGCTTTGGTGAGCTGTCGGAAGACGTTGACTAGGTTGCGACGCGTCGTATAAAGTGTTCTGAGTTCGTGTGCCCGTAGATTGCCGTCACTGAAGGGAAACGGGTCTTCCGAGATGGATATTACTGTTCGATCCTCGGTGAGAAGGAGCCAGTTCCAGATGCGTTTTCCATGAGGGACATCACGCAATCTATCTGACTCATCGTCGTGATCCTCACGTTTGCTGGAGCGTACGTTGTGGAGTGAGTTGTATCCAAGGCAGACAACTATTTCACGATTAGCACATGAAAAGAACTCTGAGCTTTTTCACTCACACCGTCTGCCCCAATCTACTGTCGACCAGTGCCAGATCTCATCAACTATGCGATAGTGACCCATATCCCTCACCATTTCCAACTGCGTTGAATGCATTAGATCTGTCATGCCGATACTTTCTTCAGAATCAAGATTCGTTTCATCCGATCTTTGGCTCTTTCTTGATCTATGTGAGCGCCTAGATCCCTTGGAGTCGAAAGTGGCCGAGCTTTCTTTCATCCGAGCATGTCCATCTTTTGGTGGTGGAGGATCATCGCACATCAAATGCAAAAGTCGAGGGGAGAAGTCGTAATGTCTAGCCAAAGCGTGTAGCGTATCCTTCTGGTTGTACGGGAGCCATATGTTGATCCATCGCGCATTCAAATTTGACGGTCTCGGCGATGACAGCAGTTGAGAGAAAGAATGGGCACCGAGGTCAAAAGCACAGTACGCTTCGTCGTCGCCAAAGTCCATGCAGAAATTGCTGCTTCGAGGATTCCGTGTCTGTCTGTCCATAGCCTCAAAATTTTCCTGTTTGTCGAAATCCTTAAATGAAGTGAGAATGTCATCATCCTCCAGCTCATGGTAATACGCAGGGAGTTCGTCCTCGTTCAACGCCGGTCGTGAGGGGGCTCGTGAAGAATGTTCCATCGTGAATATGATGGCTGATAGTTTAGTACAAACATGGACATGAACGACATTTTATTGGAATTAAGACTCATAGGTCCCGGTGATGCGAGCTCGTGCTGGCTTCCCTAGATTGGTCACGCGGCAGTGCCGCAGGCAGCATGTCTTGGATCCCTCATACGACGCACAAGGCATACGGCTGACTTTTTGTATTGAGACACTGTGAGCATGATGCGAGATGACGTTGTCAATTATTTCGTGAGATTTGAAGTATATCTGCGAGGTACTGTTTCAAGATACGGAAGTTGGAAAAAGGTTGTGGAGTCGTAGAGTCGTAGATGCATGTTCGGCTGAGACTAACGGCTTTCGGCGATTCGCTTACGAACCGTCCCAACATCAAATCGCTATCATTTCCGATCCGATCGCTCTGCATTCTTTTTTAATCTACAAGTGACAGGATACCCATGAACCTGTACGAAATGATCCTTTGGGCTGGTTGCAGACCTTGTGGGAGAACACGACGCACGGTGTGCGTTCCTCACTCGAATCTGTAACTTCGATCGCGGGAACATAATAGCGAAACACAAGCGACATGTGGCCACCTCATGGCACCCTAAAACTGGTAAATGCGACAACGACGGAAAGCACGGAGAGCTTCATTGAGATTGCATAATATGTCGATCAGATTCCAGACGAAGCAAGAAGGGTTCCTTACCGTACACCGATCTCACAACTTTCTGTTGCAACGTTAGTTATCCGATGGGCGACTTCGCAAGCATGACAAGTTGACAACAGCCTTACCGTTAAAACTAAAGCAACTAGAAGAATTTCTGACGTCTCAAAGCATTCCAACCGCGAAGCCATTGCCAGAAGAGTCTAAGGGGTCGAGGTCGCCCCGCTCAGCGGTTGACTTTACGCGAGATGATCCTTCGTTTCTAGCCATGGCTTTGGCGTTCTGCAAGGACCACCGATTTTCATTCTTCCTGGTGTCTGATAGTCAAGACCGATTAGACATAACGCAGCGGAAACAAAGCTCGAGCGATCTGAATCCTCTTTCGAGACATTGATCTAACGCCAAAGGCATCTGGGGCATACTAACGTTGCGAATGTTCAAATGCCCTGACAGGGCTTCTAACTCGTGTCAAGGGACGTCCCCGTATGCTGCTACTCAAATTCACCGGATGTCACTGTCACAATCATTCCTTCCCCCGGATTCGCGAAGCCCAGAGTGTCCGGTGCTCCCAAAGGGCCGGATGCTCTCGCTAGCATGCATGAGCTGCGCTAGATCCTGTCGCATTTACTCACGAGCGGCATGACAAGCCATGTTCAACTCCTCCGATCTCTTTCCTGTTTGATCTTTCGTCTCTCTTCCATTTACCACACTGCGGCGTGTGCCCTGCTTCGTTGATCTCGACTCTGTATGGCCGCCGCGTGCAGCCCAAAGAAGGCCCGACTATACGTTGTGCATCTCAGAATCAGGCCACACATGCTCACGACTTGTTTTATACCCAAGTAAAATTCAGAATCCAAAGCTAGTTGTGATTGCTCACAAACATGCATTCGACATCGATATCGCTCAAGGCTTTGTGGCCACTGTTGAATAAGTCGAGGCAGCCTCTTTACGGTCTCCTGGACATCACGCTAGTTCAGCCATGCTTTAGGCGACCTCTCCGCCTTCCATGTACAAGGACACAACTGTCATAATTTAGCGCATTCGAGATCTTGGGCTGAATTGTTCCTCTTCCTTGTAGCGTAGCACTGAATCATGGTCACTAGAGCGCATACAGGGCTGCACTGGCTATCCCAACCTATCCCGTTTCAACGATTAAGCATCGAGAAGGGGTCGCTTCCGCAGCGAGTTCACCGAACTAGATCTACCTCGATGCCCCCACACCGACTCCGAAAGATTCATCACTCGGACACTGCTGCATGTTGAATATCGTCTAGTGCGACCATTCGCATGTTCTGCACACACTACCATCACAGTCCCGTTCTCATCGAGGCAGAGACATCGACCAAATGTCCGAAAGAAACCCTTCATGGCCCGCACCAAACTATGTCAACCCAAAGAACATGCACAGTCTTATACTCGCTCTCACAATCCCGTCCATGGTTTTACTCGTCATCTTCCTCGCGATACGATGCTATTCCCGCGGAGTGCTCCGGCAGAACATGAAATGGGACGATCATCTCATGATTATAGCTGCGGTACGACCGTTTTATTCAAGACGTGCAAGTTCATATGTTGATAAAGCCACAGTGCTGTTCGATACCGGTGTCCATCTTTTCGTTGGAATCACTCAACCTCGGGCTTGGTCTGCACATGTGGGATCAACGACCAGAGTGGAACGACGAGTATAGCAAGGTGCTTGATCTCACTCACCATGTTGACTAGTAGATCTAACACACAGTAGATGGCATTTGCCGCAGATATACTGTTCCCGATCGCCTGTTCGCTCACTAAAATATCGCTGTGTCTTACATACCTACGTCTCTTCCCATCGACAGTCGACAGAGTGTTTTGCTATATCATCAGTACATTTCTAGGGTTATACACTGTCACTTGCATACTATTGATGCTTTTTCAGTAAGCTCCCTGGCGCTGGGTACTTGAACGAAATGCTAAACGTTCCAGGTGCGCACCGATACGTGGGTATTGGGACAAGACTGTGGACTTCCAATGTATCGACATGCGGTTAACATTGATTACTCTTGCCACTCTGAACAGTATAAGTGATATTCTCGTATATCTGTAAGTTTCGAGCTTTTTTGGACGAGCATCGCAGCTCATGGTAGTAGATGGCCAGCCAAACCCCTTTGGAGTCTGCAGCTGCCTTTGAGGCAGCGCCTTGGTCTCATTTGCCTCTTTTCTGTGGGGACTACAGTTTGTGTATGCGGCGGGATCAGGTATGCTATTTCATTCAGCATCCTCCGCCGACCAAAGCTGACTCTTCTCAGAATGTATTTTCTCGAAGAATATTTCAGCTCAGACGATTATCTCTGTAGGACCCCCCTCCTATGTACTCATCGCGTACTCATTTCGAGAACAGGGAACGCCGCAAAAGTATACGTCTGCATGACCTTGGAGATGAACTTGGGCATCATCTGCGGTTGCTTATCGGGCGTCAGACCGGTCCTCGCCGTCCTATTTCCCCGGTACTTCAAATCCACCGAGAAGACGCCCTCCGGTCCAAGTTATGTCTACAGCATCAGCCACAGCAGACGCCGACCAACGCGTCCGGACTCAACTCAATTCGAAACTCTCTCCGACCGATACGACTCGTTGAGGACCGTTGACGCAAAGGGCAACATAATGCACAGTAAGATGGAGGATAATCTATCGCCAATGCGCATAGATCAGGGCAAGAGCTTCGCATGGGTTGATACGCACGTCAAGGATGATGCTCGGAGTGAAATTACTGAGGTGCCGTTGGGCGCTATCAAGGTGAAGACAGTAGTGATGACGCAAGAGGAGGATGCCCAGAGTGGCACGGCCAGTGGGCGACGGAGCATCACAGGAAGTGACGACTGGATCTTGGCGGATACGAGTGCGTGGAAGAAAGAATGAGGGCGGAGAGGATCAGATTTCCTTACCACACGGCTTCTTACGAATACCCCTTTCCTTTCTTTCATCGCGGCGGAGTTATTGTTCAACGGCATCTATCACGACTGGAGTTTTTTGATCTTTTTGGCGACTTATACTATGATTCGGAGGCCACTGTACATCTTACTGTCTGCGATTTCATACGGAGGGAGTTCAGTCGACGGACATTGGCGACAATTATCTTTTGTAATAGAGAATTTATTGACCTTGATACCTATCGCTCCTCCTCGAAACTCTACTCTGGCCACCGTCACATACACGCGTCCCGCCCCTCATTTCCCACTCTCATGCCATTAAATACCTCAAAAACCTATCAAGCACACCCCGGATATTCATCGTAGTGTTCTCATAGTAGCTCGCGTGACACCAATGCTCACTGATGCGATAATCCAAGGATCCTCCATGCTGACCCACAAACCCTGTATGCAGTTGAAACGTCATCGGAGTAGCTTCCGACGATACAATTCTGAATTTTTATACATGTATAGTGCCTCCTGACGCGTCATGTGCATGTATCACGTGGGATTTCCCGTGTTCGAAAGATTTGCCGGTGGGTCCAAAAGCCCTCTTCTCGGCGTAGCTGAGGAAGAGTATGGTTTGACATGAGCGCGTAGAGGGGATGTGACGGGCAGTAAGCTACTTAGTGTTGGAGACGTGAGCATGTTTTTGAATTTGGAGAACTGAAAGTCCAAGGCAATGCGTTGGTTTCAAGTAGCTGAGGAGAGCGTGCAGCTTGGGAGCCTCATTATCTTCTCTTCGACAGTCTCCCCACTGGTTCAACTGCTAGTTCGAATGACGGCGATGACTCTTACGGGAAAGAAGGGAGTTGGGGTGGTGAAGGTAGCCGGTGTAGTGAGAGACGGTGTGGGGAGTGGAGTTGTAGTATGATTCTCCTGTCCATCAGATGTATGATGCGATGCTGTTTTGCTAAAAGGCTTGAGCCCTTTGTCGTACTTGAGCAGCGCTGTCACAGCATCATCGTGAGACTTCCCTCTCCAGACCACGCCTTTTGCTCTGGCTTCACTGTTCAGCTCTTTTCGCGTCATGGTTTAATACGGTCGTGCCATCTCCGGAGGAACGAGAAGGAACACGAGAGAGAGCAGACAGATGCAGCGGAGTCAAGTGACACTCGGTGTTGTCTAGATCGTGCGGGGGTCGAATGATTGCGCGGCATCTGCATCGAGATCACTGTCCTCTCCAGAGTCGGGAGACTGTGGTTGTGCGTGATACTCATCCTCGCTCTCGTCTGCACAATCCTCGTCTGTACAGTCTTCTTGGAATTCGTAGTCCTGAGCTTAATCCATTTTGACCCCAAAATAATTAATCTCAAGATGAAGCAAAGCACACGAAGAGGGTAATTTGGGAGAGGGTCAAGTGAGCTGCCCTCTTCATGGACAACCAGTCGCTCTCGCCAGGTTGTTTGTATGGCTCGGGTAGTTGCAGGGGAGTTCCAAGAGTTGCGAAGCAGCACGCCATCGCTACTGCTGAATAATATGTCGTGATCAAAGCCTCGCTTAAAGTGAAAATGATATTTGCGGGAGGTGTTGTGCTGCTAGGTCGTGAATGCAGTTTTCGGCAACCAGGAAAAATTGGACGCCGACCCCGGCGGGCGCAACTATCCGAGACTCGACTTTTATACCCATTTTTGGCCTCCATAGTTATCTTGAAGGCATACACTCTGCTATGAGTCGTTTCAGTCGGCCTCAGAAGACGAGAAGTATGAATCTCTGGTGATGTTTGTTCGTGGGTCGCTGACGGGATGTTCAATAAACGTAATATTGAATGGTGGGGTTTGAGCATCCATGTGAGAAGGAGTGAATATGTGTGTATTCGAAGGTCATCTCAAGAGCCTCCCAGGTGGATCAAGGTAGTTTTGGGTGGCGGTTGGACCGGAAAGCTTGGTGATGTTTATAATGAAAAGACCTGGACTACAGGAACGCTCGGACTGGACCAGAATGGCTCCTAATGGGCAACACAGTACGCGATGTGCTGTGAGAGGATGAAGACGGGAAGACTTGGACTACAAGAAATCTCCGGCTGGACCAGGACGGCACCGGATGGCGGGCAGGTGACTCGGGGACAGGGTTCTAATGAAAGTTCCCTGTTTTCCGTATTTCGCAGTGAAATGGTGGCTAGCAAGGCCTGACTGGTCATCAAACAGGTACAGAGTTCTAATTAAAGTTCCCTGTTTCCTGTAGTTCGCAGTAAAAGTGTAAATCTGGTCTGGTAGTTGTGAAAAGGGTGCCGCCTTGGCTGCGGTATGGGCTGCAATAGCACCGAGTTGACAGACGGTCGTCGCAGTGACGCCGGGAGCTGAGGGCACCGTACAAGACGGATCGAAAGGTCGCAGCTACCAGATGCGACGGGCCTGGCCCAAGGAGAGAAAAGAACAGGCAAGAAAGTAAAGAGTGTGCAAGCATCGGGGCACGAAGAGGATTGTTAGCCACACTACCCACCGGGGAGGGTGGTGGTGGTGGGTAGGTGGTGAGGGAAGTGGAAGGGCAAACAACGTCTTTTATAGCAGGTGTGCCAAGACTTATTGTACGACGTGAAGTCAGAAAAGTCAATAGACAGGTTCTATTAGGTTCCACGCGATTCTCTCTTACTATAAGCTATGTTTACCCTGTAGCTAATCAGAAATTACTTATGTTTTAGCTAACCTGACACTTTGTCATTCTGTTCACCAAGAAGTAATAGATGTGCTCGCAGGGAAACGGGCTTTACATGCGTGCCCGTGAGGTGCTTGAAAGTACAATTTCGGTGTTATCTTATGTGATATACAGTTCATTGCGATTCATGGAATTCGACATAACATCATACAAAAACAGCAATCAGACAAAAGACTCAAAGTTAAACACATGTCAGTGTTATTTTTTGCGTACAGCATGAGATGATTCGAGTTCTCATATCGGACTCTCTTTCCCGTGAAGAACTCCGGTCGATCGACAGGGTAAAATGCAGATCAATTCAATGAGGTTTCAAGTTTTTTAGGTCTTTTATGGTTGAGTGTAGGAAAACCTGTAACTTCCAATTAAAAGAAAACGTATTGTACGACATGAAGTTAGATAAGTTAATAGACAGGCCCTGGTAGGTTATACGCAATTCTCTCTTACTACGAGCCATATCTACCATATAGCCATATCTACCTTATAGCCAATCATAACTCACCTATAATTATAGCTGACGCTGACCTGTCACTTCGTCATTCTGTTCACCAAGAAGTAATAGGTGCGCTCGTAATAGCAGACAAAGGGGCTTCTTACACATACCTGTGTCATAGGAGGCGTTTGGATCATAATTTCGATGATATCTTGTTTGCCATACGGTCCATTGAGATTTAACAAGATCCAGCACAACACGAAACAAAAATTTGAGCAATCAAACAAACGGCATAACGTCATTTCTTGCATGTGAGGTGAGATGATTTTCAATGCAATGAGGCAGCAAGGACTACTTTCTATACCACAAAAAGCATAAAAAAACAATGCTATTGCGAGGTATCAGGTCAACGCGAGGATCGAACTCACGACCTTGGCGTTAACAGGAGAAGTATTAGCACCACGCTCTAACCAGCTGAGCTAGTCGACCTGTTTCTCTGATGTGAATTCGATCAAATCTTTGCAATATATAGCCCAGCCGTCATGCTTCAAGTCAACGCTCAAGAGCAATTCCCGATGAGTACGAGTACTCGTCGACATGCTTTAGATCAAGAGAAAACGAATGGAAAGCTAAGTGGGGTTGGAGGGGATGATCGGCACCGGGTGTGGGTCAGTGGGCGTTGGAACATCTATCCGCCCCCCACCAACGGAAGCGTGGAAATGCGGGTTTGCATCATCGACTACTTTTATCATACTTTATTCATTCTACAATTACAGTATATTCGATTCACTACCTGCTCGAATCATGGGTGCTCTCTAGTTACTGCACTCATGTTCTCGTTGCTTTGATTATAGATGTCTGATCTTGAAGCCTGCCTGCGTGTTCTTTCTTTCAACGTGAGCAATGGCTGGTGTAGAGGCAGATGGTAGCACACATCCAACAGCGCAACGACAAGCTTGTAAAATGTCACGCAAATGCGATATTTGATCAGTGTAAAATGTATCCAAGCCTATCCTTTGTTCAAACTCCCTACAGTACTGCGCAATTGTTTGAAGCATGATCGGTCCCGCGAACCGGCGAACAATAAGACCCTGCGCACACATCAAGTACAGGCGCAAATGTCCGATCTAGATATTTCTGTTATATCTCGTTACTGTGAGGGGTTAAGATATAGAGGCATGGCCAACGATTTTCATCATTGGTCACTCATTGCAAAAAAATCACCGTTTCAATTGGTCAACCCGCCAGAAATGAGTGATCGTTTGAAAACAATCACATGTTGAGATAGTGAACGCAGTTAAAGGCTCTACCACAAAGACACAGAGATCTGGTGTGACCCCACAATTTTTTTTTACACGTAAGTAAATCTAATGTATCAGATCATGAAATGTGGAATACTCATATTGAGCAGACAACAAGAGTTGGTTACATGACTGAACAGGAAAGAAGAGTCGAAGACAAGAGTTCCATGGCCTGAACATGGAGACGCTGCTTATCTGCATTTTCCCAAACAGCATGGAGACAAAATCTCTTTTCTGGTTTTCTAGAAACAGCGAACAGTTTTGCTGTCATCCATCCAATCTTGAACAAATCTTCGGGGGGTAAGTCATGTCCGACAACCATCTGATCAGTGTGAATGGGCCACTAGACACTTTTGATCAAGGCGTATATGGGTATATAGGAACAGTTCGTTACCACTTCAAAGAAGCACTTGAGAGCACCCTTTAAAGAGAATCGTAGAGAAATCGTTTTCGGAACGTCATTCTACACACCGTCACTTTGAACGGAGTGCTAGCCAGATTGACAGGGATAAACAGTGTCGATATTCAGAGCGACAAATATCACTTTCTCGAATTGATTTGGTAAACTAACTAGCTTTATAGCTCTTGCTGCGCCGTTTATGAGTAGAAACCAAGAAATCAGAGGATCGATAGTAATGCACAACTACGACTTCGCGCCCGATATTGTACGGTGGTTGATCAGTGGTAGTGAGTAACACGCAATTTTGGAGATAGAAAACGCTATGTGGGTCTGTCGCTGCAATCTACATCTGCTATCTCTTGGAAATAGGCAGTGCATTTATTTATCGGTGTTTCTCGTATTGGTTCTGTTGTTTGCAGTGATCGAGATGGGAGATTGCATAAGGTATTGCTAGCTACCACAACGGTTTCGGGACTCGGGATTGGAGAAAAATCCATGGGAAGGTGTGAAAACTCAAAAGGCTTGAGACGATAAAGGTATATAGGTATATATATAGGTAGTTTCTGGTATCAATTGAACGAAAGGAAAATGGAGGGAGAGGGAAAGAAAACAACCCGAAGAATCCACCCACGAACCAGCCAACCACTAGCTGGTACAACACGGAAAACTCCACCCCCAAGACCAAAGAAAGAGAGAGTACTTCCTCCAACCCGACTGCACCAACTCCCGAACCCAAACCGGCATTTGTATGCACAACCTACGCTCCGAGCCCCGGAATCGCAACCGCACCCCCAGCAAGATTCAACCCAGCACCACCCCTCCTCGCACCGACAAATCCCTGTCTCTGCCTTCCAGTTCTGCCTCTGCCGAGCCAGTTATACTTGAGCTCCTTGTTGAGCCTGCCCATCTTCTCTTGAGCCTCGTCGCCGCTCTGCAGACTGACCAGCACGCTAATGCACTGCAACATGCGACCAACGGTCTCAGTGACTGTTGAAAGATCCATAGGCTGGCTGCGCATCGACGGCGGAAGCGCCGCGTCCGGACGAAGGAGATTATTGGCGGCGGCAACAGCGGGATTGGAGTGAGTCGAGTGCGCGGAGAAAGAGCCGGCTGATGTGTTGGAGGTGGCACGCGAGCGGGACGTGGATGCGAATGTGGACGAGGTCATGGAGGTTGTGGATTCGAGGAAGCCGCCGGAGCTGTGTGAGGCGGATGGAATGCTACTCGGAGGGAGCATGTCTTGAGAAGATGCGGTACCGGGGCGTGCGTCTGGGATGGGCGATGGCGCTTCGAGGCCGACGTTGAGATTTTCGAGAGAAAGGCGTGAAAATATGGCCATGAGGGTATCATACCGGGGGAGAATAACAGTATCACGGAACATGAGGAGCGTCATGCGACGGACTTCGAGCTCGCCCAGGATGGGGATGTTTTTGTTTTCGGGTGATTTTGTATTCATTTCATCCGGAAGAAGAACGCCCCAGAAATCAGCAGCTGCCGTAGACGACATGATGCCCGAGCCGCGAAATTCCAGATCAAGGGGCAGGAAGACAGCCTGAACAAAGGGAAGAATAGAAGTGAAGACTGCGATCCATAGGATGACCAGATGTGGAACTAGACGATCATCTGGAACGTGTCGCAGTGTCTGGTCGAGCGAGCCAAACCCAGTCATCAAAAGCTCGTTGAGGTCTTCGATAAGAATGATGGGCGATCGTTTCTGTATACATCGCCGAATGTGTAGAATGACCAGTGCGTTGAAATCCTCGACCGGTGGCCGTGGGTCCTCGCCCTCAAAGATCAATAGCACTCGAGCTTTGAGGAGTGGCCACGCATCATCTGGAGACATGCCTGTAATCCCGAAGGAGTTGCCCAAGTTCAACATGTCACTCGTGTTGGTGATGGCCGTTCCTGGAGACGGGCCAAGACTAGTCATCGAAGGCGCACCCAAGCTGCCACCCATGGATGGCCATTCGGACCTCTCGGTACTGAATGACTGTTTCCGGTCACGGTATGCTGGATCGAGTGAGGCATCAAGATAGGCAGCGGCCTTTTCCTCCTTCTTAGCTCGTCGCAGGTTGCGGCCGCCATGTCGCAAGTCGAGACCCGTCACAGATGCACCAAACGCACTGGAATGACCAGGGGACGCAGGTGCCGCAAAGTTGTATAACGATTGAGGCGCGCTGGGGTCGACCGGCCGGGACGTGCTGCTGGCTGACGATAATGGTAAACTGTGTTCATCCTTCTCCTTAATCTTGTGAGTTTTGCGCGACAAGAAATGGTGTTTCTTGTCCTTCTCTTGAGGGTATTGCGCATCGCTCCGAGGGGGCACCAGCGTGGATGTTGAGCCATTCGCTGAAGAGTACAGCGACGCGCTGCTGCTGCTAATGCTGGGTTCGGCGAGGCTCGTGGTGGACTGGTTCATCATCATACGATTGAGGGCTTGCGAACTGTGCATGCCCAGTCCTATCTTGCCTGGTGAGGGCAGGGCTTGGATCCTGCCATCAAACTCTTTCCCCTTGTCAATCTTGATGTTCTTGGGCTTGGAAAAAAGCTTCATCTTGCTCTTCTCCTTTGTCTTGGGCACCTGAGCCGGTTCGGACGTGGAAAGCTTTGGAGACCCCATTTCCTGCTGCTGCTGCTGCTGCTGCTGCATGTTGGGCGAGTGAAGCGGGCTCCGTGGAAAAGCTACGTTGGCAGCAGCCGTGGCAGCCATCCTGTTCCCACCGCTCATTCCATTCTGATAGGTCATGCCATTCGTCTTGAAAGTAACGGTATGTGCCCCTGCCGGGAGCGGCGGCGGACTTGTGGGGGCTCTCCCGGCTGGCGCAGTGTTTCCAGGTTCCGGGATGGTGGTGGAACGTTTTCGTGTGTGCTGAGGATTTTGGCCGTGCATGGCTGCCTGGGCGGCGATTCGCGACGCATCCAAGTGGCTCGCATTCGACATGCTGGCCGCCTGGTTTGAGGGAAGGGTGGGCTCGAAATAGCCTTGCGAGCGCTGTCGCCGATGGCCGCCCTGGGGTTGTTGGGAGGATGAATGGTCGTCGCGCGACAGGACGGGGCGTGAGTAATTCTGGGTGGCCGTCGGCTCCGGCGACTTTGCGGCACGCGGGGGCATGGGAGAGCGGCGTTGCAGAGTTGCTTGTGAATGGTCCGAGTCGTCCGAGTTCTCATACAGCTCCGGACGCTGCACCGTTGGTGTCTGCGGAGGAGGTGAAGACGACTGCATGGCGGGCGGCGGGGTGGCGGGCGGGTATGCGATGCGTGGTTGGGTGATACGAGCTCGAATGCTAAACTATGTTATGTTACCGCGTTTCCATGTTACAGCCTCTTTGTCGGTGGCTATAGAGATTCCGTCACGGCCAGCATGACGAGTCTTTGGAGGAGAGAGTTTACAGAGGTACGGCAACGATGCACGACGAGCGAGAGCTGAGGTCAGGCCCACTTGGGGCTTGCTTGGACTTGAATGATCGCCAGTCCGTGCCGTGCTCCACCTTCATCTATGCCATGCACACAGCTGCCATCAATCACAAAAAGTACATAAAACGTGCCTCCCACACGACGTTCAAGTTTCTTTTTGGAAATTTCATCAAAATTGATTTTGTAATGTAATGAGTAATGCTATTGAATCGAACGCTGGCGTATCATTGAGCCTCACAGCTTCCTCCGTTTGGGAGCTGTGGGTACATCATCCTCCACTGGAGGCGTCTCTTCCACCTCCACCCTTCCCTTGCCCCGTTCAATGCTTCGCCAGGCAGAGAGTGTTTGCTGCACAGACTCAAACATATCTCTAGCATCTTCCACCACTCCCTCTTCGCCTGGGTTGAACATGGAGGCATTGACGAACATGCGCATAATCTCTCTTTCGAGCTGGCCTGAGTTGAGGATTGCCTTTGGAGGGATATTGTCCAAAGTCATCGGTAACTCGACAACGGCCCCTCCACCACCGGGACTACCAGTTGGCGTATCTCCACTGGCAGCTGCTGCCACTTGTTTCGTCCCAGCAGCGATTCCCTTTTGAATTGTTTTGAGATCGGTGGGTCGTTTGATAATCTCATAGTAGCCTTCTGCGTCTTTGGCTCTGACCGCCGTAGTAAAGATCGATGCATGTTTGTGTGAGCTAATGACATCCATCACGGGCTTACACATGCTAGTGAATTGCCGCGGTGCCACTACTGTCTTGGGTAAACCAGGAGTATGTGATCTATCTTCAGTCTCTTCCGGTGTTGGCTCACGCCCATGGCGTTTCCGTTTGTTGGTGGTTTGCTGTCCACGCCTGCGAGTCGTCATGTGCGGCGTCGATACGGCATCCTCCGCAATGACATCGATAGAGTTCCCACGTTCTGACTTCACTCGGTCGCCTGACTGGGATTCGGAATCAGCCGCAACTGTCTCCGTATGTGAGATAACCGATTGGCTTCTGCTTCTCTCTCGCGCCGATGTGCCAGCGTGCGAAGACGCGATACTACCGGGTCTTGCCTTTCTGGTCGGCGCTTTCCGGCGGGACCTTCCCTGACGTGTTTCCATCTCTGGAACAATCTCGGAGGGCACCTGTTCAGTCTCCGCCTCAGGCTCAGGTTCTGGCCTGGACTTGGCCTCTGCATCTTTTTCTGGGTCCTTCTCCTTCTTTGCCTTCGCCCTGGATTTACGCGTGGCTTTCGCTTTTGGCTGTTCGGGCTGCAAGGGCTTGTCCCGCGGCAATGACTCTGGTACAACAAAATCATCAATGTCAGCGACCGGTGGTCGCAGCACTTGAGTGGGGACGGGCCAAGCTCTTGCTGATCCTTTGATGGTAGATTTTGCGGACCGAGGCGTAGAGAATGCACTGGTCGGTGTGCGCATCCCCGATGGTGTCGACAAAGAGAGCCTTTGGTGCGTGACGAGAGGGTGCATATGTGGCGCATTTGGCCTAGAAGCACTCGACGACTGAGGGGTTGTTCTAGGCGCTTGTCGCGCATTGACAGGAGTAGAAACCGGAGGGTAATGCTGTGGCATGGGAGGTGGCTGATGAGCGCGCGATGGATCTTGAGGTGAGACCTGGAACGGAGGTAACATGAAACCGCCTTGAGGTGGAGGTTGTCCAGCCTGGTGCGGCTGCGCATGGTAAGGTGGATGACCAGAGTATGGTGGAAAGTTTCTTTGCTGTGGCGGCGTTTGAACATTTGGAGATCCTGGAGCCATATGCGGATGACCTGGAAACCGCGAATGTGTAGGAGAATATTGGGGAGGGCCATGGGTGGGTGGGTAATGCGGGGCTCCGCTGGTTCCAAATGGCTGTATCGACTGGGGTTGAATGTGAGGTGGATGGCCTGGTTGCGGATGTGGAGGACCTGCACTGTGTGGTTGCGGGCTGCCTTGAGAGGGCGCATTCTGTGATTGGTTTTGCAGATATGGGGAACGATGAGGATAAGGCGAGCCGTTAGGACCCACGTTAGGAGGTTGTGGTGCTGTGTATGTCTGGGGCTTGCCAGGTGGAGGCGCGCGGTTTTGCTGCGATGGTGAAGGGCCTTGTATAGGCCCTGTTTGCGAATTAGGTACAGCCACAGCAGACTGTTGTTTCTTGTTTCTGGCTGCGATACTCTGGGCTGCCTTTGAGTTCTGATCGGGCTGACTTGGTCCACTTGGCGCAGGAAGTAGTGTTGATGGTTTTGAGGGCGGCTGCTGTTGCTGCGAAGGACCATCGGTCTGCACATGAATCGGCGGAGGCGCAACGGGTGCGCTAACAGACACGGGGGATGGAAGAGAGGCTCTTTGTGGAGCCTTGTCTTGTTGAGAGGGTAATTGTTGATTTTTGGCAATGTCGGGGCTGTGTGATGTTGACTTGGGCTTGGAGTTGACATTCGCAGTCTTGGTCAACTGCTCGTCATAAAGGCCGCGTTGAATGCCTTGCACCTCGAGCTGCAGTTTTTCGTAATCGTCCTCATCCCGTTTGATCTCCTCTACTATGGCGGAGCGGTAGCGCGCGTAAAGTTTGCCGACGAGCTTTGGAATGAGATGCTGGTACTGGATAGATTCCTGGAAGGTGGACAAGGCCGGGCTCGGGGCCTTTCGCTTGCGCGAGGACTTCCCGGAAAGATTGGGAGATTCATCGGCAGGAAGGGGCTGTTCAGTCTTGATCTCCTCTTTGAGGATGTGCAGGTAACAGTTGCGCAGTGCGTCGGGGCTCAGACGGCCGCTTTGGAAGGTGGGATTCTGGGTGATGTGGGGGTTGGTCTTCAGCAATTCAGATATACTGCTGAAGACCTGAGGATCCAGTCCATGGTCACGAAGCGACTGGAAGAGCAGAAGCGACTCGAGATGGGTATAGGCGGTGGTGGAGCTAGTCGTCATGCCACAGCGGTTGGTGGAGAACGCGCGGGGAGACGACGAGAGCAGGAGAGCCAGCGCGACGAGGGCCTGCGATCCTACTCAACAGGCGGCTGGAGCGAGGCATGCGACAATGTTGGCGGGTATGCACGCGTACGGGAGTGTGTCCGGGAGATGCGACGCCGCGGCGTTTGATGGATGGATGGATGGATGGCTCGTTGGTGGGCGGGTAGGGCTCGGGATGGTCGACGAGGTTTATTCTGGTGTTTTGGCAAAGGTCAGTCAATGAGGCCCCGACCACTCCGGCTCGCAGTACGCTTGGCATGGTGGCTAGGAAGGCGCGTGCCGGGACGCTACGCCGGATGCGGCATGGGCGGCAAACTAGGCGATCAGGGGGAGCTTTGGGAGAGCTTTCGTTTTGATTAAAGCGAAACCGCATTGAGGACAGTCAGGGTCGATGATCTTGGAAGGCCAGTACGGTATGGATCGTCATCAATCAGGACAGGCACAGTGGTTTTTTTCTTCCCTCCCAAACTTCTTTGGCGCTGTGATGGCGGAAAGGTGCGGTCGACGTGTGGATATGCTGTAATGTTTACATGGTAGTGACACAAGCCCGCCCGCGTCGCAGCTAACCAGCAGCTTTGAGTGATGCATGCAGCAGTACATGGTAAGAAGGTAGGTACATATTTGGGTACGAGGTCCATACAAGTAGCAGCAGCAGCATTCCATGGTCCATCTGCTCAGAGCTCAGGAGAGCTGCACACCCAACAGGGACCGCCTCCTTTTTTTTAACCCAGATGTACTTAGGCTCGCTCCATCGATCCATAAATCATAATAGTGTGCCCCCAGCGCCTATCCTCATATCTCATCAAAGGGCCACTATATCATGCTTGCTTTCCCCCAGCTTGGTCCCTGTCCCGCATTTTGAAACGTCCTGACTGACCGACTAAACGCGCCCTCGTCGACTCTAACCCTTCATCACCACCACCACCACCACCAACCATTACATAGCACTACCACCGCACACGCTATTCCTGCTGCTCTTCCCCCGCCCGCCTTCTGCTTTGTTCGCTCTTCATCTTTCCACCGACTCTCGGCTCTTGTCTCACATCCACCACACCGCAACATGACTTCCTCCGCTCCCACCCAGTCGCAGTACACCACCGCCAATGACCCCGATCATGGCTGGAAACCGAACAACCGCCCGCAATCGTAAGCTCGCTGCGATTCCGTCGCGTCTCCCGTTCCGTATTCTAACCCGAACCTTGCAGAACCGTAGCACGAAACTTCATGTCGGAGCTGGACGATCTGTTCAAGCTAGACAGCAGCATCGACGTACTTGATAAGAACGTGCATCAAAAGTGCGTGCCCTCCCACCGCCTGTTCCCCCTCGTCATTCAAAGCCAGCTCGGTTGACTTTTCGCCAGGAAACAAATCGTCTCTAGCCATTCACAGGAGCTCGAAGCCCTGGAAGCGAGGCTTCGTGAGACGGAAGAGCGCCTCAAGCAAGCAAAGAGCTCCCCTCCTCGCCGCAAAGACAGCCAACGTCGCACTCCAACCCAGGGGTCCTTCCCCGTCGATGGCAATGCCAGTGGTAGCCCTATCGCGAGCCGACACAAGGAAAACATGCCAGGTGCGCTGCCGCCAGACACCCCTTCTTCTGACCGCAGCGCTGAATATGTTTTCGTAGACCGGCCACTTACCGCCAAAAGCAACGGAGAGAAAATCTGATTCCGCGAGCCCCCAATAAGACAAACGAAATTACGATATTCGGACAGCTAAGAGGGCAACAACCGATCCCTCGGGTGCGCACGCGAACGGCGTAGCAGCATGCCGAGGACATTATACACCTTGTAATCGAAGAGATGGGACTCCCATCTCCAATTTTTATACCATGGTCTTCAAGTTTCAATTGGGCAGACATGACGGTCTTATACACTACATACAGCGGTAAAGGAAGACCCGGCGCCTTTGACACGGGTCGTGAATGCATTCTTCTTTTTTGCTTTTTTGGACATTGAGTCATCGTCACCCGACCTTCATCATCTCTATTCGCATCCGCCAGTTTTATTGTTTCATAGTCGGGTGGTTGACTCATCTTGCGCTACGAGATGAATAATACAGGTTATGTTCATGTAATCCTGCATGAATCCTACGTTTGTGATGCGGCAGGTGAAGCCTGCATTGATTGCTCTTGTCACATCTTGCTGCGAGATGGACAGGCTCGTAGCATGCCTGTAGAGTGTCAACTCATGAACCTGTGCTGCACATAGTCTACGGGGCGCTCATGCTGACATTACCGCATCAAGTACGTACCTACATGTTGCTGATGTGGTAGACTACTGTCCGACTCCCTCCTCGGATACCATGGAAAAGTTTGGTGACCTCCAGTTCGTCATGCATACATATTGCGCCTTTTCAGATTCAAATCCTGGTTCGGTTCAGGTACACCAAGATGTTGGATGCTTTGACTTTGCAGGTTCCACCCAATCACGAAGTCAACCGGCGGAGCGGATTTAGAGCCCTATCTCCTGGAAACTCTACAGTTGGCGCTGTACTTGGGTACAGCAGCTCGCCTCGCCCCCACCTCCACCAACTCCCAGCTTTACACATACGCGCCTCGGCAGTGGAGCTCCACCGGATTCTACATGGCTTATCTGCGCCCGGAAAATCCGCTTCAATGGTTTTCACGTTGCTACGTTCGTTATGCGCGCAGCTGCATGGGGCGTAAATCTCAACTCCAGCTAACACCGAACATCGTCGGACAAGGCACTGGCTACCGAAAACGACAATGGACTTTACATCTCTATACCATGATGACCTTCATGTATAAAAGAACGCCCGGCATCCAGTTTGTTCAACTCTATCTTCATCCATATCAGCTGGCTTTCCAACTCAGATTGCGACTTGTTCAACATCATTGAAACCATTCTCATTTAAAAAACGCAACCGTCGCTTCAAAGTGTCAACCCATCAGACAATACACAGCAAGAATGTCACGTTACGCAGCTGCCCACGCCAACCATTCCGGACCAGGCGATGCGCGCCCCACCGCTCTTCAAATCGTGAAAGATGAAGGTCTCGAGGGTGCACTCAAGGGCAAAGTAGCTCTTGTAACGGGTGTCTCGTCAGGCATCGGCGTTGAAACCGCAAAAGCGCTCGCTGCAACAGGCATGCGCGTATTCGGTGCCGTCCGCAACATCCCCAAAGCCAGCGAAGCTTTGCAAGGTCACCTTGAATCTTCAGGTGGAAATATTTCGCTCCTCCACCTCGACATGAACTCGCTGCAAAGTGTGCGCAAGTGCGCCGCCGAATTCCTCGCACAAAGTGACAACACACTACACCTACTCGTCAACAACGCGGGCATCATGATGACTCCTGAAGGTCGCACTACCGACGGCTTCGAGCTGCAACTGGGCACAAACCACTTTGCCCACTTCCTCCTCTTCCAGCTCGTCAAGCCTGCATTACTCGCTTCAGCCTCACCCTCCTTCCCTTCACGTGTTGTCAGTCTCTCTTCGGTCGGCCACCGTGGCAGCGAAATCAACTTTGACAACCTCGCCCTTGAAGGCATCTACGATCCCAATATCGCCTACGCTCAGGCTAAACTCGCCAACATCTACCTAGCAAACGAGATTGATCGTCGCTACGGCGCGAAAAACCTTCACTCCAACTCCGTGATGCCTGGCGGCATCTGGACAGGCCTGCAGGACACCATGCCCAAAGAGGTCACAGACGCTTGGAAGGCGAGCCCAGAGCTGACGGCCATGTTTAAGAGCGCCGAACAAGGTGCCGCGACCACATTGTGGGCCGCTGTGGGTGAGGAGTGCAAGAACAAGGGCGGGATGTACCTCGAGGACTGTTGTGTCGCGGGACCGGCCCGTGAAGATAGTACATTGGCGGATCCTGGGTATGCACCGTATGCATTCGATGTAGAGAAAGCAGCGAGGCTGTGGAGGATCAGCTGCGAGCTTGTAGGTGTTGAGGACGATTGATTGGGGGTCTTCAGAAATATATCTTGACGCCTTTATTCATGATTTACGAAGCGGAGTTCCTTTTCTTCCGTCAGTCTTCATAGATAATGTGCCCCTGTTATACAAATATACATTGTTTTTTTGGTAATCGCTCGTTATTTTGGTATTTTCCTCGTTGTAACCCATCGCTGTGTGTAGGATCACCTAAACCCCGACTCAAAAAAATAAAATACAAATATACGTGTTTACGATACTCTTCACTTGTTCACGCATAAATGAGACCCGAGGGCAGAGTATCTTCTCATCCACTTTCCCTTTGTCGTAAATCTGTGCCTGTGCGAATTACGGGAATAGAGTGATCTCCAACAGTCCTTCACTTTCATCATTTACCCCACAAATACCAAAGCATTCGCCAAGATGCTTTTAGTCTGTTTGATTGAAACAACCCAGATGACGTGCACACATACAGTTTCTTTCAGCACTTTTACTGTGCATACATCTTTGCGTACGAATTTCACACCAACATGACTACTAGAACAAAGACGCCGCAAAGACGACCGCGCTTGATACTTACAGGAAGGCTGTGGCGTCCTATGCAAAATCCCCTATTAATTGCGCCATTCCTTGGTAACCCTGAATAGAGAGGCCTTCGCTTCCGTGTGTAGCAGCGTATTGAATGGCTCATGACCGCATGTATTATCAGCGAGCTGCTTCGCTTCAATACGTTCAACGTCGGGCATTCCACCTCGAATGTGGCAGGAGAATACTAAACACGACTTGGCTAGAATCACCGAATTCATGCGAGGCATGAGCCACTATCTACGATGCTTCTCGGCTGCATCAAGGATAAGTCTAGACAAGTCTTTCCCGCTCATAGCCCGCTCACTACACCTTCCCCTTTGGGATATGCCAAGTTGCACCTCCACCCTTCAACCTGGAATCTCCAGCAAACAAGACAGGAATACCAGAGGTTGCCAAGTCGAGAATAGATGGAAACATTCCGCATTTACCTATCTGCTCCTACAAACGGTCCATCTCCCGCTCGCCTGCAGAAAGCTTAGCATAGAGGTACCTGCCTCATCCGACCAAGATTCATGATAGCACCTTGGTTGCTCCGCGCCATGTCATGTGCAGCGTCGTTGCTGTGTATGGGGAAGGCAGCGTAGAAGCGCCGATCGACATTATAAAAGAGAATGTCCTGGCCATCAACCACAATCTGATCTCCAGCACGCTGTCCTCAAGGTGTACAATCTGAACCGCCATCATGAAGGCCTCCCTCTTCCTCCTCAGTTCCATTGTCTCGCTCGTATCTGCTGTCAGCGTCCCGCGGACAACAGAGAAGGTTGACTACACTGGCTTCAAGGCTCTCCGCGTGACTCTCCCAGAGTCGAGCAGTGAGCTCGAGGCCCAGATTGAGGAGCTTGCCATCCATGTTCTCAACCCGGGAGTCGCTGAGCATTTGGACGTCGTTGTATCACCTGATCAGGTCGATGCCATCACCGCTCTGGTCTCAGACACCACTGTGCTAGTCGAAGATGTCGGCGCCGCCATCGCGGAAGAGGGCGAACTCGTGTCTTCCGATGATGAGATGAGCGTACAAGCCGGTATGCACCCCACTGCATCTTTGTTCACTGTCGAGGTAGATTGAATCGGGCTAATCTGTGAATGCAGTTCCCCAAGAATCCTGGTTCACAGCTTACCACCCATACGCCGATCATTTGACCTTCCTACGGGATCTTCAAGCCGGTTTCACATCTCAGTCCGAGATCATCACTACCGGTACCTCTGTTCAAGGTCGCGTGCTCACTGGAATCCACATTTGGGGAAGCGGCGGCAAAGGATCGAAGCCGGCCGTCATTATTCACGGAACTGTGCACGCCCGTGAATGGATCACCACCATGACCACCGAGTACCTTGCATGGCAGTTGCTGACCAAGTACGGCTCCGATGCTACCATCAAGGCCATGGTCGACAAATTCGACTACTACATCATCCCCATTGTCAACCCGGATGGTACGTTATCTTCGGCCTTCCAATCCTCTACAGATTTCCAATTTCACTCCTCTTTTACTCCTTCACGCAAGCATGTCTGACATATTCTTCACTTATAGGTTTCGCCTACACCCAGACCGGTGACCGCCTCTGGCGCAAGAACCGTCAGACTGTCTCAAGCTCCACCTGTCTTGGCCGTGACATCAACCGCAACTGGCCTTTCCAATGGAGTACCGCCGGCGGCGCCTCAACTTCCCCCTGCTCTGAAACCTACAAAGGACTCGCTGCAGGCGATGCCCCCGAAAACCTTGGTCTCCGCACCCAAGTTGACCAGCTTCGTGCCGGTCGCGGTATCGCTCTGTACCTCGACGTTCACAGCTACGGTCAATACATCCTCTGGCCCTTTGGCTACAGCTGCAGCGCCGTTGTCGACACCAACGCCGCCTACCGTAGCCTCGCTACCCGCGCTGCTGCCGCGATCCGTGCCGTTTCTGGAACCGCGTATACGTTTGGTCCGTCGTGTTCCACGCTTTATGCTACTACCGGAAGCTCGGTCGATCACATTGATCAAGTTGGCGATGCAAAGTTTGCGCTTACCATTGAGTTGAGGGATAAGGGAACCTATGGGTTCGTGCTGCCTGCTAACCAGATTCAACCTACGGTTCGCGAGACGTGGGCTGGGTTTGTTAGTATGGTGCAGGATGCTTAAGTGGCCTCTTTGTAGGACTTGAGTAATGCAGTGTAGAGGATGAGAGAGGATGATATAGCTATCTGCTTTGTAAAATTAAACCTTGAATGAATATGGATGAGCTTGAATTATTTTCTCTTTTCTTTTGGTGACGTTGGCCTGGTTTCTTACGTGTTTTTCTCCTCCTCAAATTCTTACAGTGGCTTCTTGCTACACTCCTTTCTTGAAAGGTCGTCTCTTATTCTGCTAATATTCAAGCAAATCCTACTTTCCAGTATCTAGAAGCGAAGTTACAGGTCCCCCTACCTGACCTTTGTCTTCTAATGTTTGTTGGCAAAGATCGTCTATATATTAGTTGGCATCGATTCTTCAGCCTCTTCCCAAAAAAAATCATTTGCGGAATAACAGGCACTCCAATCTCTAATCCTCCTCTAATCCTCCTCCCCCGTCCACCCTAAAAATCAAGAAAAAAAAACAGGAAGAAGAAGAAGAGGAAGAAGAAAAACGCCTTACAGCCCCCCCCCCATTCAAGGCCCCCCTCCCCTATTGGGGCAAGTAGATCAAACGGCCCCCTTCGATCGCCAACGTCCGCCCGCTCCGGAGAATTAATTCCCTCGATTCCCCCCTCCCCCCGTTATTTCTTTATTAATCAAGAAAATGTGGCTGAATATTCCAAGGCACGACATCGGCGCGGGAATGAAACGGAAAGCGGGTGCAAGACAGGGGTGGATACACGAGAGAAGAAGGTCAAATTGTGTAATATGAGTGACATATCGCTGGTGATTTGAGGATCGCTTGGGTCCGGATTTTGTTTTGGCTTGGTTTGGTTTGGATCCGAGATTTTGTGTGGGATTTGATGAGGTGATCTTTTTTTCGTTGAGGGTTTTTTTGTGGGGGGTTTATGTATGTTGTTGGAGGGTGAGGTTTTGGGTGAGTGAGCGTGTTAATTTGAGAGAGAGGGGGTTGATGATGTTTTGTGTTGGTGGTGGTTACGGACATTGTGATGGTTTTGGTTGGGCTCATGTGTGGATGGTGATGATGATTCTCTTCACCTTTCTTATTCCGTGAGCAATATAGTTATATTGTTGATGATTATGATGCTTTGATATCAGGGTATGCGTTTTTCTGGGGCTTTTTCTGGTTGCTGCTAACACATTTCTGTCATTTCTGTCATTTCTGTCATTTCTGTCATTTCTGTCATTTCTGTCATGTCTGTCATGTCTGTCATGTCTGTCATGTATGGTCACGTTAGTGTTAGTCGTTTGGTCTCAGCCCTCCCACCGTGGTCTCCGACGAATTGTTGCGACGAGACAAAAACGGCAGGCCTGGCAGTAAGAAGATATGGTATCTGTGCATTCTGGTAATTCGGAATGATTCAGTTCTCAACTATGAATTTGCGAAGGAAAATACTATGCTCATTATACTCCAGTATGATTACACATCCAAAGATGCAAGTTAAACGTCCGGCAATGCAGATGATAGGCGTGATAAAACATTATTCCTTCATTAATAGTATACATTCCACGTAAAAAGAACAGTCCGAAAAAAGATGAATGTCTCAGTATCACCTTCGAACCCCTTCCCCGCGCTCCAAATCATACCTCTCTCTAGGATCCACCGAAACAGTAACCTTCCGCTCAACAACAATCTCACCAGCGCCCTTCTGCGAGCTATCCATCTTCTCGAGCTCCACATACGCCCCCGACGGCTGCGGCTGCTCATGGTAGCTATTCAACACATTGGACGGAGTATTCGAAGACCCCTGCCCACTTTTCGACGCCACCACCGACGACGCACTGGTCGACATACCAAACGACTGCTTCACATTCGAGATAAACTTGGGCACAATCCCATCAGCCTTAAAGTACGGGCCATACGTCGGCAAGCAAGCGGCAATAACACTGCAATTCGGTTCAATCTCCGCCCAGATAAAGGCATACGTGATATTGCTGAACGTGTTGCGCGAGTAGTTCGGATCGAGCTTGTAGTAGGTGTTATAGAAGAGGACGAAGCGGACAATGGCCGAGACGCAGACGAAGGCACCTAGCCAGAAGATGCCGATGATGGAGAGCTTGCGCCTGAAGTCGACGCGTAGCGTTCTTATCACGGGGATGGGGAAGCAGAGGATCGTTATGTCGAAGACGATGGAGATGCCTGAGTTGGCGAGGTACCAGGCGTTGAAGTCGTAGCGGTGTTTTGCGCGCGCCGCGTCGTGGAAGGAGGCGCCGATTGGGTCGGAGACGAGGATTGCGCACTGGGGAGTTGGGTTAGTGGTGGAGATGGGAGAAGAAGGGAGGGTGAGGGAACGTACTGTCATGGAGGAGATCCACCACATGGTTAGGATGACCATCATTACTATGCAGGCTTTTCGGAAGCGTTCATTGATGTAGAAGATGTGCCAGTAGAAGAGGAGGATGGAGATTTTGACGGTGTAGAGAGCCGTAACGAGGAAAAAAGTCGATAGCCATAGTGCCTACATCTGAATTAGTTCACAGTCCTTTCTCTGCCAGCTTGTGTCTGCTAATTCACTCACCCTCAAAGCAATGTTGACGTAAAGCCGTGGAGGAACAGTAATAGTGTTTATTCCACCCATACCAGCAGCCACGAAAGTGTTGATACTATGCCCCCAGCACATCAACTACGAATCTCGAGTCAGTACCGTTGCCTAAACATCACGGGAGAGCCACGAGTCAAGACGAACCAAAGTGAATATTATACACCAGTCATCCGCCGCAGACGCCTTATTGATCTTCCACCTCTTGGTCATGAGTCTCAATATCACACAAGTCGTCGCCACTATAGGCAGTGAGATAGCCACACTCATCAACGCCGTATTCACAAACGACGCTGTCGGGCTCGGGCGTGGAGCAGCGGCGGCGGCGGCACGCTCCAGTATCATCCTCTCGACACCCAGCATTTTGAATCGTAGCAGACAAATAAATGATGCGTATACAAGACAAAAAATGTTGCAAGCGTGGGAGCGAACAAGAGTGGAATGGAGAGGCAGGAGAGAGAAAAAAGATCTGCCGAGCAGTCGATGTATAGATAACTACAACACCATTAAATCTCAAGAGGGGGAGAGAGAAAAGGATCTCGAGGCACACTTTGGCCAAAGGAAAAAAGCATGTCACCGTGATTTTAAACTCCCCAGCTCTCCTACTCCATCGAGACACCATAAATCCCCGACGAACAGAATAGTCCATCTAGGCGCATCCAGGTAGCTAGCAAAGCAGGTTTGGAACGGAGTCCGAACGATTCTGCCACCACCAGCGTACCACATGGCCACGACATTGGGAACGTGGTATTGCGCGTGCATGCATGCAGGAGGGACAGAGACTAGGAAACGAAAATCCCCTAGGGTAAAGTAGGTATGCACTGGTACCAACAATGATTGTACGACCGGTGTTCAGGCACCCCTGTTCGATGATCTGAAGTGCTACTAGGCGCAATCGACTAGGGTACATCCTTGATGCAGCAAAGAATTGCTCTATACGTAGCATGGCGTGGATGGGTAGCTATCGAAGGTGCTGCGCAATCGTGCATGGATAACGTGTTTCGTAATTCGAGCGTGATTTTAAATAGGTAGATGGGAGGACCAGTGTTAATCTATCCAGACGACTACCCAGGTATCTAGTAAAACAAGAGAACAGCCCTCGCCGATCACGACACGGGAACATTCTCGTAGCACTGCAGTAGTCAAAAGCGTAGTGTTGCACTATAGTTGACTTCACCCGTAGACATACAAGGCTAACTCCCATCCATCTGCATACGTCAACCTCATGCGTCCGTGAAAGGAAGGCTCTCGTTCAACACCGACTTGGCCGAGGTACGGTCATTCTTCCATCACTTGGCCAAATCGTGCTAGCGACATCTCTCCTCGTCTGTTCAGACCAACAGTTCGGCGTTGCCGCCGCGGAGCAGCCCAGCGGGAGCCCCCTCATCCATCCCTATTACCGTGTAGACCAACAATTACCAAGTCCACTAAACTAGCTCGGAGATGGGATAGAAGTGAGAAGCCACAATAACGGAGTCGCGATCGATCGCGAGCAGAATCTCCTGTAGCGACAAGCAAGGGTAGGATAAAGGGAGATGGGGAAGGAAGAAGCGAGTGAGCGAGGATATGCCTACTTGGTGTTTCGATTGATTGCTGGAGATTTGGCGAGGGGTATTGTGTTGCGCGTGCGTGCGCGTGTGCCGTGCACTACATAGTACAGTGGTGGTACGGATGTGGCTGTACAATGATCGGTGTCATCTTTCGTTCGTTTCGTCCTTCTGGCGTTCGTTCGATACGCGATTTAAGGGTTGTGTCTCGAGTGGCTCAAAGCAGGTTAGTGTACGTCGAGTGTATATAGTGGAGAATCTAGTAGTACCTAGCTTGCGGGCAACGGTGAAGCTCCGCTTCGGGTATGCGGATCGTTTTTACGGGTGATTATGGAGAAAGGGTTCTTCTTCACCTTTCCTTATTGAAAATGAATCGCACATATTCTTTGTAGAGGGAATCACTGGGAATTAATCAAGTGGTGGTTGGTTGAGTTAGTTGGTGTTGGGATTAGGAACCAAGGGAATATGAATCCCGATAAGTAGCGCTAACAAAAACAATGACAACATCTCCAAGGATTCTTTATCCCACATGCTCACTACCCGAATAGATGATCTTCCCCGAATACGCTTCTTGCACATATCTACAAATCCACTTAGAGTCATAAACTCGGACTGCCGAGCCGACATCTCTTATCCCAGTCCCATCCAAACCTCACCGGCAGTCCGCGCAACCCTCATACAGACTAACCCCCGGAAGAATTCAAGAGAAATCCTGGCATATTGCGATTCCCCTGTAGGATGTATTTACCCTACGATCTAGAGCGAATTCTTGCGTAGCAGATGCCATGTGTATCATGTACGTTAGCCGTATACGGGTGTGTTATATCTGCGTATGCACGATAGTTGGTTCAGGACTAGTGTCCGCCTGAACGCCGATGTCCCTCGTATAAGCCACGAGGGCGCGTGGTCTCTTTTTTGAAACTTTGGGGTTGAATTCGGCGAGTAGATGCGCTGCGTCGGATCTTCGATACAGCTTTGTTCTATCGTCTCGTGTACACATGGGTGTCTGGACGTTTTGGAAATGGAGTACATGGACATGTAAGTGAACTTTTGCGTAGACTAATCCTTCCTCGGACGAGCAGTTCGTACAGCGCAGTTCTGGATTTGGGGGCGGTAAGAGGCTTCCCGAGAAAGGTCGTTGAATCTGGGAGTGAACATCGACAACGCAGTGTAACAGTGGAGAAAAGGGGGGAAGAAATATTGGTGGGTGTCCAGTTGCCAATACAATGGCAAATGAGCCTACCTGGAGTGAACTACACCACACAAATCAATCTCAGCACAAGATGAGCGCCTCAAGAATGGATAGTTCAACATATCCCAAGTTCCCCACCCGAGAATCTGAAAGATAGCAGGGAAACAGAAATCGGAAATCCGAAGCAAATAGGGAGGGCATGGAAAGAGGAGAACAAAGTAGTAAATTGCTTCTCTCTCTCTCTTTTTTTTTAAATTTTTTTTAAGAAGAGGAAAACCATTTCTCCCCCTCACATTTATTCTATTCTTAAGAATCAACAAATCCACACGACAGAATCGCGAAAGACCTTAAAATGCCTTTCCCTATCCTGCCCTACCCTCCAAACTTGAGAGAGAAGAAAAAATATTCAAGATCCTACATCAAACACCCTAAAAGGAAAGAAGACAGAGAAAAGAAAAGAAAAACCTAATCCATCCTCCTCCAAATCTTTCCCACGAACCCCCTACCGCAAATCACTCCATCGATCACGTCGATCAAACAACCCCCAAGAAAGAAATACGAGCAGCTCAACCGTAGATCAAACCCAGAGTAAAAAAATCCCAACCGTTTTCGCGATGCAGAAGAATACGAGACCGTTTGATCGCCCGGCAACTCTTCCCTTCCAACGATGACATTCCAGCACCCCCAAACCAACCAACCAAACAAAGAAAAAAAACGAGAATCCTCAAACTTCCCCAAATTGCATGATGAGATCAGGCTTCCCACCCCACGCACGCACGCACGCATGCATGCATGTATAACGAATCGAACGATAGAAAAATACGCCACTCACTCACGCGCGCGTGTGTGCGCGCGAGTCATTAACGTAAACGTCTATATATATATATTCATCCCACTCATGCCCGCATTGCATTGTACAATCTACAGCCCGATCGAACCTTCCTTCATCTCAATTTCTCTGGTGAGGTTCGGCTGATAGTGCTTGATCCCGCCCATCACCATAGCCGTATGTTGCCGCAAACGCAAACTTCCCTGCGACACTGGCATCTCCAATCTAGTTTTCGTTCGCTTTGCTGAGGAGGTGGGAGAGGGGGGAGAGGTTTGTGGAATAAGATCGCTGCGGGTCTTTGTGGTCTCTGCGGTGGTCGGGCTGGCGATGATGGGGATGGAGAGATTGGGGTTTCTGGGGGTGTTGGGGGAAGTGCGGGAGCAGGATTACGAGGGTAGTGGAAAAGAGGAGGGGGTTGTGGGAGTAGACTTGAATGGGGATGGGGATGTGGATATCGGGGTTGAGGTTGATGCAACACACCACGGTATGATAGCTGTGACGGTGTTCGAGGTAGATGTGATGCAGGAGCTGTTAGCCTAGACGATGACGCAGATGGTGATGAAGCCACTGGAGTATGCGGCATATCAACAACCCTCGAACGCGCCTGCGGGCCATCAGTACGAGAAGACTCTGCAATCGGTGGTCTCGATGATGAGGCTGGATTAGGTGCTGCGTTGACGACCCTCAATCTCCCGCTCGAACGATACCTCGAATTTGAATATCCTTGCGTCGTTGTACTTTCACTTGTCATCGGCATCGTGGAAGCGATAGGATCCTCGGAACGAAGATGCCGAGGCCTATATCCAACATATAAGAGTTGCTCAGGATCAACGTGTTGGACCACCGTTGCTCTATTCTGGAGAGGAGTTTGCGGAGGGGTGAGTGGTGCATGAGAAGGAGAAGGTTGGTGTGGTTGACGACGCGGAGATGGCGTAGGTATAGGGACCGTGAAGTCAGCCAACCTTTTCTTCTCCTCCTCTTCGCGCTGCGTGAATCTTTCTATTTGTGCACGGCGGATGGCGAGGTGACGCATCATGTCGGAGTGTCCTGGATCTTTTGGTAGTTGTGGTGCTTGGTTAGACATGTTGGATCTTTGATGTTCAGATGGGTGAAGTTGGAGTGTGATCTTGGAACAGAAACAGAATCTTTTGATAGCTAGTCTGTCGGTGGTAGAGTTGAGAAACCCTGGAGTAGGTGTCAAAGAAATTTGGTAAAGACGGGAGAAAAATATAATAAATACCTGTGAATCTTGCTTTGTGTGTAAACAATGTAATGGACGCACAATGTCGGGAGATCGTTCTCTCGACGGTCATAGATGAACAATGTAGCTATTCGCCCGTCGATGTTAGGAAAGTGTCAACGCTGGAGAATTGTTCTTCCCATTGAAAATACAATTTTTAATATTTGTTGAGTCTATGAAGCATCCCTAATAATGAAGGGAAAAAATATTGAATAGTACGCAACTTCTCAATCTTCTCGATCCTCATTCTCGTCTTCATGCTCGGCAGCCCAGGGACTGCGTTTCCTCAGTGACTTCCCCTTGGCAGCTAGAACAAATGGAATCGGTGCCATTGCTACCGACATGGCTGTAAGGATCAAACATGCATTCCTCGTGCCCTGACTGACGAATAATTTGCGACCCACCAACGGGAACGCTGCTCCTGCTATATTCCTCACCAGCCCAATGCCCGCGAGTGCCGAAGCAGAGTACGTCTTGTACGCATCTTCGGTATACGTGAGGGTCATCAGAATAAGAGTGTAAAATGACCATCCCCAGACAGCTGATGCTGCTATGGGCACCAGCGGGTGAACATTCGGGTCAGCAGTGAATGAGAAGACCAGCAGAGAGACCGGGAGAAGAATTGCGGCTGCTTTTGCAAGATGGACACGCGCTTCGGGCACATTTTGATGATTGGCCAGGATGATCTGGCGCTGATAATGACGTTCTTGATAAGTGTTGGTGAGTAAGCCTAAGGAGACGCCAGCGACGATGCCCAGGAAAGATAGACCGACTCCTATCGTGTCATAGCCATATCCGCTGGGGCCGAAGATCATGTGAAAGGCTCCGTTGAAGAGGAATGACAAGCCATATAGGTAGCCATTGTATAACGCGCCGAATTGAACGATTGCCTCAGAAGCCAGAAACCGGAAAGGACGTATCAGTGTGTGACTGAAGAGCTGTTTGGGATTACGCTGTTTGAGCTCATCAGGTACTTGGGAATCAACATGACTTGTACTCCCATCCGAGTTTGCTTTTGTGCGTGCATGTAGAAGAACGCTGTGTCGAGTTTCCCCGAGGGAGTACAACGCAACGGCCATGACGACCCAAAATGCGAAACACACATAGAACATGATGCGAAAAACGCTATGCCAGGATCGACCTTGAGCGATAAAAGAGAAAAGCACAAATCCTGTAGGTGAGCCGCCTGTGGCCGCCCACAGAAACCAGGACATTGCTGGTCCGGTATCGTGATGGTGCCATAGATCGGCGATGGATCCACCAAAGTTCGAAATGGTAGTGGACGAGAAGTAGCCCGAGAACAGACGAAGCAGAAGAAAGCCGGGTAGGTTGTTCACAAAAGACGTTGCCAGGAGCATCAGGAGAAATACGCCGTACGAAAAGACATAAACCGGTCGCCTTCCAACGTATTCCGACAACGGTGCAAGAGTCATGGGACCGCAAGCAAGGCCCAAAATGTACAGACTCAGGCCTAGGGTTGCGACCTGCTGCGATATGCCCATATCATGGGCAAAATCTGGCATGGCAGGACTGAAGCCGGACGCGCCCCAGCTCACGCTGAGATCGATGGGTATGATGGCAGCGACCATGAGCCACTTGTACAAGCTGGGCCAGTTCCTTGGATCATCTTTGTCTCCCGGTAAGAAGGCTGAGATGTCATTGTTGTGGCTCTGAGAGTGATTTGAAGCGAGCAATGGCTCGCTTTCTCCAACGTCCGTTCGGCGAGTGCTCATGTTTGGTGAATGAAGTGGAGTTTTGATGTTTGGGGAAGGGAAGAGGTTGGGGTGCGCGTGTGATGTAACGCGCTGCTGATAAGATTGGTGGGGCAAGTGTCGCCATACTCGGTACTTTCCTGCCATCCCCTTCGCTTGAGCAGAGCGGACCTGTCATCACTTAAAAAAATAAAGATTTCGGAATGAGCAATTGATTTTCAGAACTTTCTAAAGAAGAGTGCATTCATGGAGATGGGTCTTTTGTGGTGGTCTCGCATGCTTGAATGAAGTAAAGCATAGCGGGTAGGGTATCACAGTTCCACCCATCCAGTCCCGAGTGCTTTGGGCACCCAATCCCATCACTAATCGGGAAGCGAAGACATAAACATATTCTATGCGCAAGAGAAGAAGACTCCGGTTTGTCTACCTAGACATCATATGTCTTCGTTGTGTCTGCAAAAGACTGGTCGGACCATACCCTTGAGGGTACCCCGCAACGTGATCGAGATCAGTAGTAGTCATGTTGATTGTGCAGACTGATGTCCTGACTATTGTTGATCCGCACAGGACTGTCCGGCTTGTCTTTCTTCTCCTCTTGAGTGCTCGATTGTGCAATGCCGTTGGCTTTCGAGATCTCCTTAGCAACCTCAGCGCCGTTTAGAGGACCCCATTCGGGACTTCCACTGTCGGCGGGAATGACATTGCCGTGTTGGTCCACTTCCTGTATACAAATCAGTTTGTGCATTCTGCGTGTGTGCCCTCGGAATCAACGTACCACACCCTTCGCAGCCATGCGCACCTGCTGAAGGTCTGCAGTACCATGCAATACTGCATCCCTTGCCGATGCCATCGTCTTTGCTTTTCGAGTCTCGCCTCGAAGTTGTTCCAGATGCGCAAAATAGTCATCCGATACCGGCGTGACGTACTTTCCACAGAACACTCCGACTTCAAACTTTTGAGTGTTGGGGTCTCGGGGGGATAGAGAAGCGCACGCGTGGACTAGATCATCCAAGTTCTGGAATATGACATCGTCTGCGCCTATGTGTTGAGCAATCGCGGCCGCATCTCTGTGATGTGCGATCAACTCCGACGATGAAGCCAGATCAATTCCATAAATGTGCGCGTTGGTGATGGGGGGAGCACAGGAGGTAAAATAAACCTTCTTGGCCCCAGCTTCGCGTGCCATGAGGACGATCTCTCGCGATGTTGTTCCGCGAACGATGGAGTCATCGACAAGCAACACATTCTTCCCCTCAAACTTCTTCCTCATAGGGTTAAGCTTCGCCCGTACACCTTTTTGGCGGAGTTTCTGAGACGGCATGATGAAGGTCCGGAAGATGTAACGGTTCTTAACAAATCCCAGCACGTACGGTTTCTGAAGTGCTTCCGCGACGCAGATGGCAGAAGTGATGGCAGTTTCCGGAATGGGCATGACGACATCAATGTCTGCCAACTTCTCCGGGCCAAGTTGCTTCTTAATGGTTTCGGCGAGCGTAAAACCCATGTTGCGGCGACTCTCGTCAACATCAATACCATCAATGATGGAGTCTGGACGGGCGAAATATACGTATTCAAAGATGTCTGGGGTATATCCGGCTTGGGGGTGAACTTGCTTAAACACAGGCTCCTTTCCCTTCTCCAAAATGACGGCTTGACCGGGGAGGATGTCTTGGAAAGTCCTGTAACCACACTGAGTGAGGGCCACGCTTTCCGATGCCATCATGTAGTCCATTCCATGACCGGTCTCTGATGGCCTTGAGCCCAACACCATGGGGCGGATACCGTAGGGGTCGCGGAAGCCGATCAAACCAAAGCCTGAAATTCGAGTTAATAAGTATTTATTGGGTATTCTCAATGGAAGATCGTACCTGCAAGCATGGCAGTGCAAGCCCAGCCGCCAACACAGCGTTTGTACATGCGTTCTAGGGCAGCGAAACAGTCGTTGGCATTGACACGGGCTTTCCCTGTCTCATTGAGCTCGTTGGCGAAGATGTTCAACATCAGCTCGCTATCGCTCTCTGTGTTGTTATGCCTGTGGGCCTCCTGATCCAAGAACTTCCGCAGCTCTGGAGCGTTGATGAGGTTGCCATTGTGCGTCAGGCAGATTCCGTAGGGGCTGTTGACGTAGAAGGGTTGGGCCTCAGAATTGGCACTGCTGCCGGCTGTTGGGTATCGGAGGTGACCCAATCCCATGAAGCCTGGGAGGTCGGAAACGCGGGCGCCGTCATGGAACACTTTGGAAGCCATGCCATTGCCTTTGCACTGGTGGAATCGACCACCGGTGCTGCAGCTCACGATACCGGCAGCATCCTGCCCTCGATGCTGGAGTAGGTACAGCGCATCGTGAATCTCGACGGCGGCTGACTGAGATTGCCTAGCTGATTCAGCATGTCACTTGGTAGAGGCAGATGCAGGATGTCTTACGGATCCGCATGGATCACTGCTGTGATACCGCACATGGTGAAGCTGTGAAGGTGACCCGAATGATGGAATCGAATCTAGTTCCTAGCTCATCAAAATCAGTCTACTGTGCAGATAAGGGAGCAATTTGTGGCTACTGGTGATGGTGGGGGGACGCAATCAGGAAGTCTTGTTTCGCTCAAACCATGAAGGTCGCAAGTCTAACATCTTTAAAATAATGACGAGATCATCATAATGCGGCATGTGATGGAGGAGATGCATCGGTAATGCTTACCTGTCGAGTCTTGAATCAATCGGTCGCGGTGTGTCTGATGTGGACGGGCGCGACGAAGGTGGGGGTGAAAGTGAAGGGTTGAGGTGAGGTTGGGGCCAGAGCAAGGCGCTTTACGGCGGCACGAGACTCATAGTAGGGGCTAGTGGGGGAGGAATTGAAAATGGTTGTCCCTTGGTTGGGGAAGCCGACCCGAGCAAGCTCTGATGGGCTTTTGGAGGCATGGTTGTAGGTTTTTTTTTCTGTGCTCGCTGTCGAATCTAAGTGGAAATTTTTCTGCCGACGTCGCCGCGCATGCTTGGCGCTAGGCCCTGTCCGTTGGCCTCGTGCCGTACGTAATTGTCACGCATGCATGTCCGTCCGCCAGTTATGTTCAAATGTTGTGTGCGCCATCGATCGCTGACTCCAGTAATAAATATCCATTATGTCTTGATTTCTCTGGGGATTGCAAGGAAACACTCTGTCCTATTGGAGAACAATGGACAGCAAGCTAGAACGGACCGAAGCACATAACAAACTCCCACCCTTTGCCGAAAAGGGTCTATGATTCCACCGTACAAGTCTGGGAATGAAAATAAAGGAAAAATAAGGAAAAATGCTATACATCCAGCTTGGACAGATGGGAGTCCACACTACATCTGCAAATCCAGGATATATACCAAACGAAGACCAAGATGTAGCGTGACTCGCCTCTCCCTTCTCCCGCGCATTAACAACACCACTGCCTTCTTACGACACCATCCAGTAGGCTCCTCCGAGCGTTGCGCCGAGCACCAAAGCTGTCAAGATACCAGCTCCCGCTCTGCCAGCAGTAGTCACAGGGTTGAACGTCACGGGGGCATCCATTGTACCGCCACCAGCGTCGGGATTCGACTTGGAAATGCCGCCCACCGCTTCGGTAGCAGGCCCGGGTGCGTTCTTGACCAACAGGTTCTGTACAACCTCGAGCACGGCCATGTTTTCGCCAGGACCAATCTTGCCGTCCGGATTGCCCTTGGGATTCCACTTCAAATCGCAATTGGCTTGCGAATCCGTCGACTTGTTGCAAGTCTTGGCGGCCATGGGTGCAGAGGCCTTGAGTCTCTTCATCAATTCATCAAAGGTAAGTTCGGGTGCCACAAGCATCGCGTATCCCATCCAACGGGCGAGGTATGCTTTGAACGACCGTTGATCGTTGTTGCACGTGCCGATATCTTCGCAGGCAACCTCCTTCATGACGCCGTCGGGGAAGAAGATATCGAGACCCTTGATCAAAAGATCCAATTCCTTGGCCCATCTCTCCTTTCGGGTTCCATTCTTGGAAATGTCAGACTGTGTATGAATTAGTACATGCATGTGTAGCGCGGAAAGCAGAGCATGAGTTACTTACAGCATTCCACATGGCAGCAGCACCGGCAAGATGGACACCAATGTTGTAGGTCCATTGGATAGGCTCGACTTTCTGGCAGTTGTCTTTCTCGTCCGCACCGTCGTAGAAGTGGTAACCTCCATCCTTGATCTCAAACAATTTCGTGTCCAATTGCCATTGCCAGGCTTTGTCGGCCCAGTCGGCATACGTGGTGTTTCCAGTGTACTTGTACAGACGCGCGGCGATGTTGAAGAAGCAGCCGTTGGAGATGGTGTTCTTGTAGGTGAAACCGTTGTTGATTCTGAAGATCTGCCAGTTCAAGCCACCGTCGCACGTGCTACTCCAACGTGCAACCTGCGTGTTGAAGACTGCCTGGGCAAGACTGAGCCACGAGGGGCCTTCCTTCACATCTGGTAGTTTGTTCTCGGCCGCAGACATGGCAGCCATGCCCCAGAAAGCCTGGTCATCGTTGCCCAGGGTCTTGGTCTGGTTTTCCGGCATGAAAGCGACAATCTTCTCTCCGACTTGGTGCTGCATGGCCTGGGTGGTGATTTCGTTGTACTGGTCGTCACCTGTGTAGTACCAGTAATCGATCAAGGCGTTGAACATGGCTCCGCATTCCCACCAGTAGTAGGGGGCTGGCAAGTTACCGGGCACATCTCCAGGTCTGTCACCGGTATACCACTCGCGCATACCGGCCGCGACAACGGATGCAACCTCTTTGATAGAGTCTTTTGGTTGTGTTAGCGGATGTCGCGGGGAGAAGGCGAGAGGGCATTACCTGGTGATTCGACATCTAGATCCAGGGCGCCAGCGCTGGATAGTAGCACCGAAGCACCCAGTGCCCCCAGGGCGGTGGAGGCGAACTTCATTGTGTATGGGGGTTGATGATGGGTTCGGGGTCAAAGTTTAGAGTGCTGGACAATGCAACCGCAGCATTCAAGCGCCGGGCTTGACGGTAAGGATGCTGGCAACGACGATGACGGCGACGGCGAGAGTGCTCCCCAGTGCAGTGGGAGGGCGAACGAGCGAACGAGGGTTTCTTTTGGGCTGGCGAAAAGGGTATACGGAGAAGGGCGGAGGTGGGAGGCACACGGAGGGAGAAGGGTGGAGTGCGACGACCTGAAACGAGCGACTGGGTGAAAGCAGCTCACTGGGGCAGGTGGCAGGCCAGGATGCTGGCGGAAGGGTCTCGAGGAATTAGATGCGACAGCAAAAGCGGCCCATAAGCAATACAGATAGATAGATACAGACAGACAGACAGACAGACAGACAAGCAAAAGGGTGGGAAAAGAGAGAGGGGGTTGGCAGGTGTCAAGGCATTCAACGTGGGGAGTGCAGTGAGGCTTAGCAGCACGCTCCTGTTCGGTTCAGGAGGTGGATGGACATCACGTAACATGCTAGTTCGCCAGCCAGCCAGCCAGGCAGGTGACGGTAGCAATACATACATCAAGTCCGGAGGAAGCAGTCTAGCAAAGCCTGGTAGGCTGTTTGAAGAGGGTTGGTCTGACGATGCGAAGACACTGTACGCATGTGTGTGCATGAATGAATGTATCGAGAATTATGGATTTGATTAACCCGTCGCCGTCGTCCTTGTAGCAAACTGCAGCGCGGTAGTAGTGGTGGTGGTGGTAGTGAAAGCTGCCGCGTAACGTGTGTCAGCTAGCGTTTTCTGAGGTGCATAGCACAACATAGACAGGCAGCACACAGGTACAATACATATGTATCTATGTACATATGCATCCACGGAACCAAAATGGAACATGGGCAGCGGGCGTGTGTTAGTTCTTCCCGGCGAGGCGAACCTAAAATTACGATATTCTGTGGTCTTGGATGCTAACCTGCTAGAGGCTGGATTTTGGCTGGCTGGCTGATGGATGAGGAGGGATTGCTAGCATTTTGTTTTGCTGACGCACGCTGAGTTCCCGGGTTGCTATGTATAACTAAAATAAACTGTGCCTCACGAACCAAACATGTCGCATAGACAGGGGGCAAATGCACATCTGGTGCAAGACAGCAAGCTACAACGTACCTGGCTCCAACTTTTTTTTTCCTTCGTTCCCTTCTTTTTTCCCTTGCTGTATAAATCATGGCCCAGCCACGGACAGGTACCCAGGCTGGATGTGCTCAAAGTGGCGCAGGGCTGGCTGTCGTCACTGGGCGCTGACTGGGCAGTGGAGCAGCATGGCTTGGGCGTACGTACCCAGTTCACGGCAGGGTGGTTCTATTGAAAGAAAGAACAACAGCAATCAATGGATGGATGAATCAAAGAACAAAAGAAGCCAACGTGAATGATAAACAACCTGGGTCTCGGCGGGTTTTGACAGAGTGAATGAATCAGACAGATAGAAAGACACATCACACGCCACCGCCGCTGCCCTGCCCTGCCTGCTGGCTGCTCAACTAATAAACCTCCAACCCGCCTACTCAACTAGCACTCTCTCTTCGGTTTGACAGTAATTGATCTGGCAACATCCATCCATCTACCCGCTGTTATTAACTATTGTTGCACCCTCACCACGTACACTAGCCAGCGACACAACCTGCCCTGACACGCACGCACGCCCGCTTCTGTCGCAGCAACCAGCCTCAGCCCACGTCCTAAAACCTCTTTCTGACTTGGTCCCTACACGCTGAGCTGCCCTGGTCCAACCAATCAGCCCGCGCCTCTTTCTTCGCCTCTGCTTCATCTCCGCCTCGGTGCCCTTCTTCCCAACACCACCACTCTCTCCTCAACCACACTCCCACCGCTGCATCCATCACCTACATCCACATCACCGCCAGCCAACCCCCGCGCGACCGCTGCTCATCTGCATCCCACACACCTAGCCACCTACGCTCCACCGTATCTTCACCACCACCATCACCAGCCATGGCCGACCGCGAGCAGCCCTACGACCCGTACATTCCCGCCGGCGGAAACGCTCCAGGTGCCGCTGCCCAGGGCCAAAATGGCAACGTTCGCACACAAGCTCTGCAGGCGGTATGTCGCTCTTCCTGTTCCCTCTGTCGCCGTGCTTGCTGCACCACCCGCCTGCCCTCGCCCTCGCCCTCGCTGTGGCACCATCCGGCTGCCCGACCGAGTTGCTGTGCTTAGGGGTTGACGTGGGCGTTGTTCGGCCAACACCACACCACAACCCACGGCGCAGCACTCGTCGGCCGATGGCGGGCATGTCCCAGGCACCGCGCAGACTCTCTCACCCATTCATGGTACATTTGCTGACTTGTATGTTCTCGTTGCGCACAGGAAATCGATAGCACTGTTGGCATCATGCGAGACAACATCAACAAAGTGTCTGAGCGAGGAGCCCGCTTAGACTCGCTACAGGACAAGACAGATAACCTGGCCACCTCTGCGCAGGGCTTCCGACGGGGCGCCAACCGCGTGCGCAAGCAAATGTGGTGGAAGGACATGAAGATGCGCATGTGCCTCATCGTGGGCATCATCATCTTGCTCGTCATCATCATTGTTCCTGCCGGTAAGCATGATGCTCGCTGCTCCTGCTTTCACTTGCGCGCCCGCTAACAGGATGCCGCAGTTGTCACCACGCAGCACAAGCCTACTTAACGCCCTCACGTCTGATACCACTGCACATAGCACACACACACACACACACACACACACACACTACTTAATGCGAAACGGGGAGAGGTAGCAGCACTGCCATGGGGAGCGAGGAGCCGAGGTGGCTTTGTGCTGGGCCAGTATCGTGTAAAGCCCACGGTGCGGGCAGCTGTAGGTTTAACGTCTGAGGCGAATTGGAGCGATAGGCCGGGTTCTTTTTTCTTCTTACCTTGTCTGACTGTTTGACTGCATTCGAATGCTCACCTGTAATGATTGGACTATGCCATCTTTTGTCCCATGTGCAGGCGATACGAGCTCTCTGATACCTCGGGGAGATATGAGCCGGAAATTGGGTTGATAGATTACCAATGGAGTTCTTCCTCAGCTGCGTTTGCGTGCATTGCTGATCCTGTGGTTGTTGATGAAAGTGGTGATTACAGCAGTCTATTAATACATAGCTAGCTATGTCCATGGCACTGGGCGAGCCGATGTTGGAATGGAGTGGAGCGGCCGTGTGTAGTTAGTTGGGGTCGAGTGTTGGGGTAACAGACGTCATGGGGACAGAGGCGAACAGGGTGTGCAGATGAAGTTTACGAGCTGGTCAGGCCATGTAGAGCGACATTCACAGCTGCGAGGCACAAAAAGACCAATTCAAACGTCTCCCTCAAGCCAATCACGAGAGCGTGCCCCAGGCTAAACCCAGCACCACTTGCGGGGAGGAGGCAGGAAACAGGTAGCGGGAGCGTTATCGGACCTAGCTGGAAGCGAAGTTTTTGAATGGCTACTTGGGATTGGGAGCTTGCACGGATGCCGTCAATCCACGCATCCATTCATGAATGACTCAAAACAAAAAGAAAGCTTCTGAATGAGCCATACGTGCGATTCAACAACGCAATCACAGACATCATAACATCTTCTGTGTGACGCATCGACCAACTGCTGCTGCCTCTTCAAAAGCGCGAGAAAGCGCCGTGTGGTCGTGACTTCTTCTTTTCCCCCACATCTTCCTTCCTCACACACCCTCTCTCTTGCTCTGTTTCCTTCTCCGTCGCCCCGGCGTAATCGGACCTATATAGGTGCCATCTGCCCTCGCTCTTTGACCTTCCTTCTTCCTCCTCTCCACTCAACACAGCCATGCAGGGTATCGTGCGTGCCGGTGCCAAATTGGCCGCCCGCGCGCGCCCACCATGTGTCGCCGCGTCTTCAATGGCCCGCAGCATGCCTCGAGCCCTTGCAACCACCACAATCCGCCGCTACAGTGACCGCCCCGACAACCACGATGCCTCCTCAATGCGGTCGGCCTTTTTGAGCGTGCTCGGCAGCGTCAGTTCTCGCCGGGAAATTGACCAATACCTCGCCCAGTTCCGATCCGTATCCTCGCAACAATTCGCCGTCGTCAAGGTTGGTGGTGCCGTTCTCACCGACCACATTGATACACTTTGCAATGCTCTACAGCATCTATACGCCATGGGCCTATACCCCATTATCGTTCACGGTGCAGGGCCTCAGATGAACAAACTACTTCAAGACGCCGGCGTGGAGCCAGAGTTTATCGATGGCATCCGTGTCACCGACAAGAAGACCTTGGGCGTTGCTCGCAAGCTGTTCCTCAAGACAAACATGGACCTGGTTATGCGCCTCAGGGTGGATTACAACATTCCCGCCCGTCCCATCACCGCCGGTGTTCTCCAGGCCGATTACCGTGACAAGGAAAAGTGGAAGTACGTCGGAGACATCACCAGCATCGATTCCGCTCCCATCATTGACGCCCTTAAAGCCAAGCAACTTCCCATCATTTGCTCCATGGCCGAGACCGAAGACGGTCAGATCTTGAACGTCAATGCAGACGTCGCCGCTGGAGAGCTGGCCAGAGCCTTGGAGCCATTGAAGATTGTATATCTTTCCGAGAAGGGAGGTCTAGTCCACGGCGAGACTGGCAAGCTCATCTCCACCATTAACTTGGACGAAGAGTACGACACCCTCATGCAACAATCGTGGGTCAAATTTGGCACCAAACTCAAGATTGTCGAAGTCAAGAAGCTCCTCGACGACCTTCCCAAGACATCCAGCGTCGCCATCATCCACCCGCAATATCTCGAAAAGGAATTGTTCACTCACACTGGCGGCGGCACCTTGATCCGCAAAGGCGAGAGTATCCAGAGTGCTACCAAGCTGGAAGACATTGAAGACATCCGAGGCCTGCGAGAAGCTCTGCTCCGGGACCGCGAAAGTCTGGATTCTGGCGATGTGATTGACCGCTTCTTGAACAGCCTCAAGGACCGCCAATTTGAAGCATTCTACGACAACACCATGGGCGCCGTGGCCGTTGTTTTCCCTCCATCCAGTGAATCCGGTTTCGCACAACTCGCAACCTTTACCACCTCCAAGGACGCTTTCCTGACCAACATTGCGGACAACATCTTCGAGCGCATGAAAAAGAAGTACCCCAAGATGTACTGGACTGTCGAGACCTCGGACGAGAACCTTGGTTGGTTCAAGGAGAAGGCGGACGGGACGCTTCGTCGCGGAAAGGAGAACTTCTGCTTCTGGGGATCCGCCAACCAGGATGAGGCCTTTTCTCTGATGAGCGAATTCTCCCAGCAAGGAAAGGCCATGTTCGGCAACCAAAACCTCGAGTCTCAGCTCAGAAGGGCAGCTGACTATGCTGCGAGTCTGAAGCACGGCCAACAAGCCCGCGCGTACTCGACCATGACCCCGGGATTGAGGACTATGAGACAGTCGGTTAGGCCAAGCATCAGGCCCAGCATGAAGGCAACTGCTTCTCGCGGTTTTGCCACCAGTGCTTCACGATCTATCGAGGACACTAACCCCAACCCGCCATACGGCCTCAAGTTCAAGAGCAAAGACTGGCCTTCCAAGATTGCTTTGATCGGCGCTCGTGGTTACACTGGTCAAGCTCTTATTGATTTGCTGAACCGTCATCCCAATATGGACCTTCGACATGTTTCGTCGCGTGAGCTCGCTGGCAAGAAGCTCGAGGGATACACTAAGCGCAACATCACGTATGAAAACCTTAGTCCCGAGGATGTCTCGAAGATGGCTGAGAAGGGTGAGGTCGACTGCTGGGTCATGGCCCTCCCCAATGGTGTTTGCAAACCTTTTGTAGACGCCATCAACGACGCTGGAAAACCGGATTCCGTCATTGTGGATCTCAGCGCCGACTACCGATTCGACTCGTCTTGGACATATGGTCTTCCCGAGCTTGTCGATCGCCGAAAAATCTCTGATGCTACACGGATAGCAAACCCCGGTTGCTACGCCACTGCTGCTCAACTGGGCATTGCGCCTCTGCTTGAGTTCATCGGCGGCCAGCCTACCGTATTTGGTGTTTCCGGATACTCTGGCGCTGGAACCAAGCCTAGCCCCAAGAACGACGTCAAGAATCTCGAAAACAACATCATCCCCTACAGTCTGGTTGATCACATTCACGAGAAGGAAATTTCAGCACAGCTCGGATCCGAAATCGCTTTCATTCCTCACGTGGCTGTATGGTTCCAGGGCATCCACCACACCATCTCTATCCCACTCAACCGCACTATGACCTCGCGAGATATACGCAACATCTACCAGGACCGTTATGCAGGTGAGAAACTTGTCAAGGTTGTGGGCGAGTCGCCTTTGGTCAAGAACATCTCAGGCAAGCACGGCGTTGAGATTGGTGGTTTCGCAGTGCATAGCTCGGGTAAGCGTGTGGTCGTCAATGCAACGATTGATAACCTACTCAAGGGTGCCGCGACACAGTGTCTGCAGAACATGAATCTTGCACTAGGCTACGGCGAGTACGAAGGTATCCCTTATTAAGTGAGCTGAGCATGTCATCTTTCCTTTTCCTACTTCGGGTGAACCTCGGTTGAACTGGTTCCTTCTATTGCTCCTTCCTATCTCTTATGAAGTCTCGCGACCTCATAGTTTGTACTCTATGTATGTATGGCAGGGGTTGCAGGGGAGGGGATGAGAGCCCCGAAAAGTTGTGGATGTGGACACGGATTGGGCATTATGGGTGGGCATGAGAGGGGAGCAGTGGAGAGAGCTCACAAAAGATATAAAAAACAGGGCAGAATTTCGACTTTTTTTTTCATGAATGTGTTTTCACTTTGCTTCTCTATAATGTGACTGTTAACGAAGAGAGTAAGAGAAGAGAGTAAGAGAAGAGAGTAAGAAAAGAGAGTAAGAGAAGAGAGTAAGAGAAGAAAGACCAAACAATTAGCACACAAACATCTAATAAACAAGACTAAACAAAAAAGACAAAACAACTAAACCTATCTTGCGCCTCCCCCCTCTTATAAGGAATGTATGGGCCAGCCACACATCCCCCACCTTCTTCTTCTTCTTCTTCGTCTTCGTCTTCGTCTTCGTCTTCGTCTTCGTCTTCGTCTTCGTCTTCGTCTTCGTCTTCGTCTTCGTCTTCGTCTTCTCTAACGCACAGGCTCACCCCCCTCCCATCCCCTCAACAAAATCCCTACAGCACTTTCCCACTCCCGCACAAAAGCCTGTGCTAATCTACCTACCTGCTCCTCCGAAACCCTCAAACTGTGGCCGTGGCCGTAGCCGCCGGGAGTGGAAGAAGCCCACATAGCAGGCTGCGACGCCTGGAGGTGTGAAAAGTACGGTATCAAGTTACTACAACGCGTTTCCATCTAGTTAGTTTATGCTGCTTCACGAGTGTCTGTGTATGCTCTATGTGTGAGCGAAGAGGGCCCAAGGGCACGGAAAGGAAAAGGAAGGGGGGGGGGGAAGGTAATATTTACTCTGTGCGTATCTTTTGAAGAATCAACCAACAGAGGTTCCAGCTTCGGTTCGATGCTGGGTCTGTGTATACACGGCGTTTTGCTCTAAAACGGATCTTGTTAGTCTGGGGGATTGAAAGAATATAATTGCAGTTGTAGCTGGGATCTCGAGATGGGTTGGGGTTGGGTTTGGGTTTGGTTCGGAGGATATATATATATATATATAATATATGTTGGGGTTGAATACGTACTCTTCGAGGCACTCGACGCTGTTCCACCATCGCATGAGGTCGTTAGCACATCATTGATAAAAGATGGTAATGCTGGAACTAAGGAAACAAAGGGGAAGGTATGTGTGTGTGTGTGTCGAGAGAGAGAAAAAAAAGGCTCACCTAAAAGGATAATCACGACTCAAAGCCCGAAGCTCCGCGAGGAGCGAGTTTGAGTTGACGTAGTAAGACCCTACACACCGCGACACTCAACATCAACGATGAACGATGAACGCTTGATATATGTGGAATAGGAGAGAAAAGAGGGTAAAAACGTACAAGCAGCAGTCATGGCGACGGCGCACTCCTCGTCCCCTAGGACCGCGAAAGCGCGCTCGATACGCCGGAGTTCGTTGATGGTGTTTACTTTGTGCGTTGAGAGGGAGTGGAGGAGTTGCTGTTTCTCGGCCTTTAAGGGGGTGTTAGTGTTTGTTCAACTCATTGGTGTGTCATGGTGAGAGGGTGAATGGGAAGGGAAAGGTAGCGTACCGTGGTGATACGTCTTGATGAACTCATGCTGCGGAAAGAAGGTACCGAGTAGTCTCTTGGAGGTGGGGTGCTGTAGTCGCTGTGCTGGGTTGAGGTTGTGGAGGTCGTCGATGGGGTGGAGTAAGTGGACATTTATCTTTTTTTTTTCTTCTTCTTCTTCTTTTCCTTTTCAGTGATGCCCCAGCAGTGTGTTTCTAGTCGCTGTTGATAAGCATGTCATATCCAGTGTGTCGTTATGGGAATGGAAACTCGTACGTATGATGGCGAGAATATGCAGTGAATGCCTGAGACTTTGTAGAGGTCGGATAACCCTAGGGTGGAATGACGCAAGTCTATCTAGATTGTAAATTTCCCGCGAATCGAGAAGTGTAGGGTCGAGCTGCGATAATGTGGTATGGCAGGGATGGATAGGATGTGTACAACACTTCCCGTAGGATTTGAAGATTAGTAGAGTGGATCGGTCGAAGTAGGAACCCTTTCCCCAAAAAGGAACGATAAGAATGCAACTTGAAAAAGCCAGTTGATATAGAGCAAGAAACTTGAAGTTGGCGAAGTCGTGGGTCTTTATCAAAGCTCGCGGTGCAGTCTAAGTAGCATCCAAGTCTTACTCTTCAATAGTAACATACCAAGATACTGAGCTGACACTTAATGTCACATCCTTAGGCCAGCACATGGTGAGGTAGGTAGCTGCTCCCGTAGTTAGTTCATAGCGTCTTGCAACGGCGTTGTCCGAGGACCGTGGTGAGTAGTATCAATTCTCTAGGTCAAGACTTCTTATGCAGGGATCTTAACTCTCCGACGTTGACTCTCTGGCTTACAAGGCGAGCTACTATTCGCCGAATCGGGGAAAATATGATATCATGGATACTCAGCAAGGCCCTCAAGAAGCCCGATAAAGTACACTTGGAATGCGCGTTGACGATAATCTGAACAGCCACATCTTTAGCCGTTGTAATAGTAAAGTAACATTCAAACACCGCTTGTGGCCGCGCAGCACCCTCAGCTTCTGCAACTAACGGAAAACACCGTTGTTGTTGATGATGGTGATGATGTACTACAGAAGCTGGATCCGCGGACCACGATGCTTCCGGACGTAAAACAGATTATGTTCTTGGTGTTTTCGTAGAACGTGAGATGAACTAAACCCTTTTGGTTTGTGTAAAGTAGACGCCGAATGAGGCTGAGGCCTCTTATTCACCATCGGGTTCTGTGTCTTCCGCGCGTAAGACTGCACTGAGCTAATTTGGGGGCGGAGTGGCTGCTGTTTGGACCTGCGCCACACCGCTTTTTTTTTATCTATTCTGTTTGGATTTGTGATTGCAGATGTTGGTCTGTGAGGAGTAGCTGTGATGATGTTATAGTAGGTACATAGTTCATTTGAAGCTACCACTGTTTGCCTGTCGTTCTACTCATCCCCTTCCTGAACTAGTCAGGATATGAATAGGCATATCCTACTACAAATCTATATTCTACAACTTGCTGCATACCATAGTTTCATGAGAAATGCGCTTCGAAATTAAGCACTTCCTCCTGTGGAACTATCACTTTTGCCAGCGAGAGTTCAGAAACAATACCCGGTGGCTTAAACGTGTACGTCGTTAGCTAAATCGCAACCCAACCGAGAGTTTCCTAACAGAGCCACCTTGTAGGTGGTTTATCTTGACTTACGGCCGTAGACCTAACCCATCTACTATAAACGAAAATACTCTAGAATGATCGAATCAATGTAACACCCTATTGATTGATGGCCTCTGACGCGTACATGGTTGTCTATCTACGAATAATCTAATGTTAATGCCAGGAGCTCAAATTTCTTATGGGGGCTAAAGATGCATTTCCAAGCAGCACAGATGAAGACTCGCCCTCACTTCCTATACTCTAGGTCCATACTCTAGATTCGTACTACCTAGGACAGTATTGATAATCGGTTCCTCTATGTTAACTTATTTTGATTGGGTATGTTGCTGTCGTACTCTCGTTGTACACTGAATTTGTTCACCAACACCATCTTTCGCACCAGGGAATAACAATCGAAGGAATTTTCCAGAAAGAATACAATTTGATGTGTCGAGGATGGCCACTCGAAACCTCCAAAGAATGAAAACGCCGTTCATCAGATCTCAGTGGCGGCACTTGCAACCAAGCACTCATTTACCAACGCCAGACCAACCATGCGCGCCACGAATGCTTATACACACAACTCGGATATCTATAATACACCACACCCCAATTTTTTCGTAAATCATCTATTCGTCGTACTCCGCCTCCTTGACACCGCAAAAGTCCGACCCGAAACAAGTATCTATCGAATACCAAACTCGCCAATACAGGCTGGCGGTTGCGTTGTCAAAGCTCCCGTCCTCTTTCCTGGGCACTTGATCACCGATGATGCCGTGGCCAGATCCTATCACCCAACCTATGATTGGGAAAGAGCTCAATGTCTGTTGCCAAGGTGGAGGAGCAGGTAGGAATGCTTTCTCCTGTGGGAGAAAGACGATTGGCTTCGCATTCTTAATGCGAAGAGTCGACTTGGTGGGCTGACGGGTTTGAGATGACGTTTGAACGGCGTTCTGAGATTCTGACCGTGAGTTCGAAGTGATGGATGTAGCCTCGCCTCCGCCTCCATTAGGGAAAGCGCCGCGTGAAGGTGGAGCAGATGCTGGAATGGAGGCTGTGGCCGTTGCCGACGAAGCAGTCGCAGAAGATTGTGACGCGCCCATTTGCATCGTAGCGGAAGACATAGTGTTGGGCGAGGCTGTTAGTGATGCCCCACCAGACGCTGCGCGGATGGGTCGATCACCGCCGGAGGGCCCTGTTCCCCTGTACGGCTCCGCGAATATAGAGTACCCTTGATGAATATATGGAGAGTAATGACACGCGCGCTCTGCGCTCTCAGGCGAATCGAAAGTAACCTTGATCCAGTGCTCGCCGCCTACCCATGAGTTCACCCTGTTGACTGCGGATTTTGAGAGAGAGCGGTATAGGACATCGCGCTGCTTCGCGGAGAACGGGGCGCCGTACTTTGGACCGCTGGGGTTTCGCTCATACTCCTCGAATATGATGCCCATGGAGACTTTCTCAAAGTGGCTTATAGCAAACCATTGCGCGTCACTTCCGAAGCCGTAAAGGATGACCTCTTTTGGTTCCTTTGCCGTCGCGCTCGCTAATAGGCCCTCGTTCGATGTGGATGCGGACGTGGGGAGTTGTGACGCTGGCCCAGAGCTTTTTCTACCTATTGATTGAGACTGCTGTGGGACTATATCGGCCTTGACCCTCGCAAAGATATCGTCGATCGCCTGGAGATTCTTGGACTTGGTCGTGTCTTCTGCAACTTTTGCGTTGGGAGTCCGACTTCTGCTGAGGCCGCGTTTTCGGGCTTTTCCGAAGGGTCCCCTTTCTTCGGGAATACGGCGGCTTCCATTGTCTGAGCTGGCGACCAAGATCAGCAAATGCCGTGAACGTGCTATGGTATCACTTACTCCGCGTACTCAATTGCCCATGGCAAACGTCTGCCTGCCGAGTCGAAAGCGCGTTCGGAATCGGGAACCGCGTGGACTTGCATATCTGTTGCGCAATCTCTGGGTTGAGGTATCCGTAAGTGGAAGAGTCTTGCAGCTGCTCGGGAGCTTGGATTTGTGCAGGTAGATTTGTTTGGCTTTGTTTACCGCGGTGACGGCTTGCCAGTCAGCGACAAGCTAACAAAAGTTGGGGATGTGGCTCGTGCTTCGGAAGCGCCACAGGCATCAGCCACACGAAAGTACAGTACTTCCGTCTCTAACGTAGAGCCAATGGTAAATCACTGCGCAACCATCCACTGCTGCCTGTTCGACTGTCATTTTTGGACCAAATACAAATGGACCTTACCCCCGTGAGGATTCGAGGCAAGAAACGAAAGCCTGCTGTTCCGGTGCTCCCAAGTTCGTCTGTAAATGCCATTCCGGACCACCTGCAACAATCTCAACCCAAGCGACAAAGAACTTCGAGATCCGCGAAATATCTAAAGCGCGCGAAATCCCGAAAATACGCCACGCCAGCCATGCCGACACTTCAAGGCCTACCGCCGGAGCTGCTGGAGATGATCTTCCTTGACAGCATGAACATCTCGCTCCCGCGTGCATGCTCGTCTCTTGGGCGCAAGCTCTCCTCACCGACCGTCATCATGGAATTTTTTATGCGGTCGTTCTTTCACACCGTAGATCATAAGACCAACTACCGAGATCGACGGGTGGATTCTGATCCTGTCATCCAGTCTGCCCTCTTGGCTTGCAACTTCTTCACGTGGGACTTCTTCATGGGCTATGTGCAGAAGGCACACAGCACTTTGATTAAACAGAGGGGAAAAATATGGGAAGACGCAGGGGTCGAAGTTCCAGGCCCGATATATTTTGCCAACTTATTGCCGTTCAAGTTTACTAAAGTTACCTACCTAAGCTTTGCAGAGGGTTTCAAGATCCCCGAAAAGCTGCTACACGGGCCTTGGACCGAAGGCAAAGCGTCTTTGCTCTACGTTCTGGTGTCATTGGGTGGAGAGGTTGACTGGGAGGGTACTGTAGCGGGAGAACTGGCAAAAGAAGGCATCAAAGAGGCCATCAAGGAGAAGAACGAGCATGCAGTGGCTGCATTGTCAGTACTACTGGGGGTGAGGCAAGCTATCGACAAGGCAACGCTTCGATATGCAGTCAGGGATTGCGGATGCTCCATCAACATCGTGCGTCACTTGCTGTTCAACGCACAGATTCTGCATGGTACAGGTTCTAACACTACACTCAACTTCTACGATTCCAATCTGTGGCAGTGGGCAGAGTCACACGAGGGGAAGGGAGTGCTCTTAAAAGATATGCTGAAGAAAGCCGACAAGTTCTCATTGGGTTTCTACTTGGAGGGAGAAACAGACTTGACTAACATCGTCCCGTTTCCGTACTCCGGCTCCAAATTCGACGCGAGAACAGCATTGGATAACGTGGAGCGTGAATTGTTGATCAGGTTGTATCGCAATTACGGAAGACGGATCACAACCAATCGCCGTGGTCGAAGGCAAGCCCAAGAGCAGATAAATGCTGGAGCAGATGAGGCAGCAGTGCAAGAGGATGATTGATTATATGGAGCGAGATCATTGTAAATATCATTGAATAAATCTACCTAATATAATATACAACTATATTTTTCCTTCACTCCGCCACCTGAGCCTCAAAGCTGGAATGTGTCTGTAAGAATTGTCAGCAACATGAAGACCATGAGTGCAACAAAAATCGGTAGTTAAGGTGTTTCCTCAGTGATCTTGGTGATATGGGTTGTAATCATCCTCGAAGGGTCATTTACTATCTAGGCAAAGGTTTTAATCCTCGGAAAGGGAAAGATGAAAAGAAATCAAGCAACCTACCAAATGATGTGACCCGGGGCAACGGGGCTGTGAGTAAGTAGAGGATATAAGACTAGACTGGTTTGGTCAGCTTGCACTCGCAAGAATTCGGATCGACAAAGCGGAAGTGGAGAAATGGCTCAGAATATGTAAGAAATGGAATATCACAGGTTCGATACCGTTAACGAGACCCCGGCGAGGGTCCCCGACAAAGAACTCAATCGCAAATTACGTCATCATAGGACGGAAAGTGTGTGAAAAGAAGAGATGCGTGACAGAAGAACGTACCTGAAAGACAAGAGCTAGACGTAGGCAGGCTGAGCAAATTAGCATCAACGAGGGCCACCGGGCGCTCGAGCGAAGGCAAAAGCGCAATCGTGCATCGTCAACAAGATGCAGAGAGGCTGCACCCACGCAACGAGAGCACAATGCCAAAAGGCCGCGACAATGTGGAAGAGAAAGGTGAGGGAGGAGTCGCGAAGATAAAGTAGTGAGGACGGTCGCGAAGGAAAAGTACGTTGCCTAAGCGAGGCTTGGCGCGCTAAGCTGCGCACACCAAGGACATCACGACCAAATGGTTCTTCGACATTCACGACCAACAACCACCAACGACTCCTATTTCCGACCGGTACGCCTTCGACACCACCTCTTGTGCACTTTCTCTCCCGTTCTAACCTGCGACCACAGCACATACCGTCGAGATGGGTGACGCCGAAATTTCAACGAGCCAGTGGAGGTACGTCGAGGTCGGCCGCGTGGTCCGCTTCAACGGTGGAGAGTTCAACGGACGCCTCGCTGCCATTGTCGAGATCATCGACCACAAGCGTGTATGGAGCCTTTGCGATGTTTTCCTGCGCCAGCTACTTACGGAGATATAGGTGCTCGTTGACGGACCTTCCGAGAAGGCACCTGTTCCCCGACACTCTGCAGCCCTCGCCCACGTATCCCTCACTCCCCTTGTGATCTCCCAGCTCCCTCGTGCTTGCGGCGTCGGTGTCCTCAAGAAGAAGTGGGAGAAGGCCGAGGTGGACTCCAAATTTGAGCAGAGCACTTGGGCAAAGAAGGCCGCCCAGTTCCAGAAGAGGCGGCAACTCAACGACTTCGAGCGCTTCAAGGTGCTGAAGTTGAGGAAGCAGGTTGGTTTCCCCGGCACATGCTCCCTACGATCCACACTGGCGAACGGCCTCGGGGGGAAATGATGGACGAACAACAACATGAAACTAACACGTATCCAGGCTCGCTACGAGGTCCGCAAGTCTCTCGCCAAGGTTCGCTCCAGCGCATAAGAATCTGACAGGAGGATGATGCAAAATCGAGAGAACAACGGGGGACAGATGCTGCGTCCCAGGTGTTAGCGGAGGGCATTTGCATTTCATGAGCATTCCGAATGGCTATCACAGCATTCAAAAATACAACGTTTGAATCCGGGTGATTTCCTTTATCCTTTGGCATGGTGCAATTATGGATCGGACGGTTAAGAAGACTCTCTCATGTAAATGCATGTAGCAAAGAGTCAATTCCAAACTTCATGAACAACCCATTTTTGGCATTGTCGTAATATGATATCCAGTTGCGCATGCAACAACCACTGTACATTTTGAAGTGACAACCTGTGACCTGCAAACCATAAATCAATCAATTACTTGAACGCGAACTGCGCGCACTTCAAACTGCTGTTCGCGCGCGCTCTCTCGCTAACAAAATGCCCACACCCCTCGCACTTACCTCGCTAAATTGCACGCGCCAAGCTTCAAACTGCTTCGCAGCCAGCAGACCACGCAGCACCACGACACAACTGCTCCACCACACGCAATCAATATGGCCAACCCACGCATTGAGGAACTCCCGGACGAGCCCGAGAAGAAGGCTGTTGAGGTCGAGGATGCCGAGTCCAGCTCTGACTCCGAAGGCGAGGGCGGCGAGGCTACCGAAGGTCTCCCCGCAGGCTCTTCCGCCGTGGTGCACTCTCGTAATGAGAAGAAGGCTCGCAAGGCCATTGGAAAGCTTGGACTGAAGCACATTGAGGGCATCACTCGCGTCACTCTCCGCCGACCCAAGGGAGTGAGTACTTCCTACGCAATGGCTACCCCGCCCACGATCGCTACTATCTTCGACGACAACTTCTCTTCAGAGACATGGAGCTGACATGACGCACACAGATTCTCTTTGTCATCAACCAGCCCGACGTCTACAAGTCTCCCTCAAGCAACACCTACATGTAAGTGATTCTCTATCACTTCCCAAAATTGTCCCACCATTGACGTCAGTCCAGCATCTTCGGTGAGGCCAAGATTGAGGACTTGAACTCCCAGGCTCAAGCCTCTGCTGCCCAGCAGCTTGCTGCCGCCGAGCAGGCCGGCGCTCACGACCACGCGGGCCACGATCACGACCACGATCATGGCAAGGGCAAGGCTGTGGAAGAGAAGAAGGCAGACGAGGAAGAGGAGGATGACGGTGAGGAGGTCGACGACTCTGGTCTTGAGGCCAAGGACATCGAGCTTGTCATGCAACAGGCTAGTGTGTCACGGAAAAAGGCTGTCAAGGCTCTCAAGGAGAACGATAACGACATTGTCAACTCCATCATGGCTCTTAGCATATAAACATAGCCGCAACCGCGTGCAGGATTGGCTGCGGGGATCACCAGGATGGCTTATTTTGAGCGTTTGGGAGTCGGGGGGCTTGAACGCCCGTATGCAAGACTACGAACTGAATGTATCAAAAAGTAATGCCGTTATCCACGACCCTCTTCACGCCTTTACCTTGGCGTTAAAACACCAATGCAAAAAAGTTCATCAACCTATGAGAGGCTGTGTAAACAATGCCACAAATCAATAGAAATGCAGTTGAAGTTACTAAAATCAGCATTGCATGGTGACTTTTCACTCTATGTACATCATGTGGGAGCTGGTAGTGATTATACAAATTAATGTGATTACATAATCGCCAAGGTTCCTCCCGCAAGACCGCCCGAGAACTTCGACCTCCTTCACGAATCACCTCCCATTACAACCCCTCTCATTTCATCACGATGGCCGTCGGAGTACGTATTAACGAATTTCCCGTATCTCTCCGAGCTTCATTGCTGTCAATTGCGACACTACCCGCGCCTCTTCGCATGCAATGGCTCCTCTACGTGGAGAAAGACAAAAACTAACATCTCATCTCAACAGCGCTCCGCCGCCCTCAAGCTCGACTGGACCAAGATTGGCACGCAGCTAGGTCTTAAAGGCCAAACTGCTGCCGCTCTTCAGGCCTTCAAGAAGCGCAACGACGATGCCCGCCGCAAGCTCACCGTCCTCCAAGAACAGCCACAGACCGTCGACTTCGCGCACTACCGCTCCGTTCTCAAGAACACCGCCATCGTCGATGAGATTGAGAAGAGCTTCAGCTCTTTCAAGCCCCAGACTTATGATGTTGGAAGGCAAATCAAGGCCATCGAGACTTTCGAGGCCCAGGCCTTGAAGAGCGCCGAGGAGACCAAATCGGTTGTGGACAAGGAGTTGAGCGATTTGCAGAAGACACTTAAGAACATCGAGGATGCCAGGTCATTCGAGGAACTCACCGTGGTATGTACACTGTAAGCTGCTCGCTGTTGGACATGCACTAATAGATAATACAGGATGAGGTTGCCTCTGCCCAACCCGATATCGACAAGCGCACCGAGCAGCTCGTATCCAAGGGCCGCTGGGCTGTTCCGGGTTATAAGGTCGGTTCCTCTATATCTTGCAGAAACATAGTTCCAGATTTACTAATAGTTTAATAGGAGAAATTCGGCGATCTATCCGTTCTCTAAGCAAATCTCTTTTCGTTCGAAACTTCCCGGTCGGTCTGGGCTGTACTACCTACGTATTGTGAATAGTGTCCAGGTCTCAATGCAAACATAGATCATTTTCCGATGTCGCATTGCCAGTGTTTTGCTCTGAAAAGATGAAAAGAGGACAATCTCTTATGCTCAAGAACCCACAGCTTACGTGACTGCCATCTCCACTTCAGATCATCTGACACACATCTCGGGTTCACGGCGGCATGCTTTGCCCCACCCAAAACGTTTCCCAGGTTTACTGTACTTGCATCAGACATGCAGCACCATGATTTCATTGCAGGGCGGAGAATGTACAGCAAGCGAAAGCAGGCCCGGAGCGATAGATGACATTTGAAGTATTGAAATCGCGCTCTTGAGTCTGGTGTAACGCCGCTTGACAGAATGCTGAAGCAGGTTTACAACTGACAAGCTTGGTAAACTGTGTCTACGTGTGTATACGTCTCGTACCATTTGAAATCGCCCATCTTTCCTCGGCTTGCTCGACCCGACACAGCCGTTGCGCGCGAACGGTGACGAACACCCTCAGAGGCAACCATGCCTAGCAAGGCTGGGCTCTACGAGGCCAACGTCTCGTAAGGCTGGGATGCTAATGCATGTTGGTAATCTGATATGTTAATGTGGAGAGAAGAGAGGAGGGAAATGTGGCTGTGCGAGGACCGGGTTGGATCTTCCACCGATCCTCCACCGCTTTTCCGGAGCCTGCCGTCACAGAACTGTGGTCCAGAAGATGAAGAGCAGAATCAAATCGCAAGTGCAAGAAGTTGGATATACGGTAAGCAGGAGGAAGGTTCTTTTTGTCGGACTTGGACCGGATGCGTGTGGCGTTGGCGCCTGTGTCCACATGGGCGCGCTACACCACGTCCGAGTGTGAGACTGCAGTCAGTAGGAACGGCAGCACACGGGTGTACAATGTCAAATGTGCCAAATCACGCCTCGCCAGATAGGATCTGACAAGACTGACAGACAGGAACAGACGGGTTTCAGAGGGGGGCCGTCTTTCGCGCTGAGTAGTGTAAACTGTAAACTGGCGGTATAGCGTACAGGAAGCGCGCAAGGAAAGGACGAATCGAGTCTGGTGGTGGCGCGGGCGTAGTTCAACATCTCGCACTGAATGGGCCGAGCTGCATGGAAAGGCGGGTCCTCATATGTAAGAGAAGACCGTGGAGCGGGTGCGGCAACAATATCTATCGATGTGCCCTCATCACACAGCAGCAGGTGCTTTTTGCTTGTCCGTCATTTGGTTGTTGCTATGACTGTGTGTGTAATCCCGTGTTCCTCACTGTCATCCCGTCAATAATTGATTCATCCATCCATCCATCCATCCATTTTACTCATTCTCACTTTCCCTCTCCTCTTCCTCGTTGCTGCATCTGATCTCTCTCCTCTTCTTTGTACACACGGCATTGTCTTATTTGTTTGTTTGTTTGCCCGTCTGTCTGCTTGCTCATTTGCCTGCTCATCTGTAACTGGATGTATGCTTCGCGCACCTGATCTTCCTAAAGCAGCTGTGTGCGTGTGCCACGAGCCTAACCTTTTTGTATGGCTTACTCCAACTACAACTACGATAGCTACGACCGCTACAACTACGACCGTGGAGGCCCCCGCCATGATACATATTATTCAAGCCATGGCCAGCCCTCGCATGTAGCTGCAGATGGCCAGACAGCCATGAACTACAGCGACAGCTCCAACCACTACCCTTCGACCTATCACCATTCCTACGAATCCCGCTACTCGTCTGCCGCCACATCTAACAAACAATCTTCAAGACACCCTACCAAGTCATACAAGCAGTCCCGATGGCCACCCTCACCAAGTGTTGAAGACGAAGTCACCTCGCTCGCCAAAGAATTCCCGACCTTGGTGGGGTCCCAAGCCGAGGACAACAGCGAAGAAGCGAAATCGCGGGGCACTGTCGATCAGCAACCCATCATCGAGTCACTATACACGCCGAACGACGATGAGCGCCGTTTTGTACTCGTGTCTGATCCGCAAGCACACAGTGATGGAATTGAAAATGGCCCTGCCCTCTCCGACAACCGCGCCGAAAGACATGGACGACGCAGGAGCCATGCAGAACGTGGGAACATGGCCCCTCTGAACACTAACATTAGTGATGACCATGATTCACCCTTAATCCCGGAACGTACCTCTACTCCGTATGCTTATACGAAGCCACAAAAGGAGTCAATTGCCCCGTCAGATAGCCAGTATTTTCTGTCCCCGGAGTCCCTCACCTCTTCAACCTCGAGCATTCCGAGGTCGATTCCGAACCAAGCTCCCGATCGGGAATTCAGTAATACCTGGGGCCAAAGAACACCAACACAAGCTTCATCTTCTAGGGATATCAACGATACCTTTGAAGATTCTGATGGTGACTCGGACAGCTTAAACATTCCTCCGGAACCCCGGCGGTCAGGGCGTTATAGTTTCGTGAAGAGTGAGATACAGAAGGAAGACTTACGAGCGAATGTACTGGATAGCCAGGCCAGGGCGGAACGTAGACGTCCTCGAGACTCGGCGCCGCCATTCTCAGCAAGCCGTGAGTCCTCGGGAAATGAAAGCAATGCTTCATCAACCTCATCGAAACACTATACACCACAAACTGAATCTCCGCGATCTTCTACGTCATCTATACGGGGAGACTCCACAAGACAGAAGCCTCCACGGGTCGATACCAGGAGCTCAAGACGCCCTGAATATCATGCTCCTCCCAGCCCGGTATCACCATCTCAACCAAGGCGTACATCCCCTCCACGATCACCAAGACTATCATCACGTAGACCTAAATCTCCGTCTATCTCCCGACCGTCGTCCAGCAATGGATCTCGCCCTTCATCTCCATCATCATTCTCAAATGGCGGCGGACGAGCAGATTTGCGAGTGCCTGTTACCGAAGCGGATTGGCACGGAAGATACTCATCGAATGATCGGCTGAGATCTGCATCACGCCGTGATACCTACGATTATATTCAACCTCCAACGCCACATATCAATGTGAAGAGCCCGTCTCCTTCGAGAACTCCAGTACAAGAAAATGTTCTTCCATATCCCGTTGATAGCAAGCCTACCCAAGCTTTCATGCCTCCCGAAGAAGAGTATCAATATGACCACTCTTCGGTTCCGTTACCCCCATCCCCGCGGCAGCCGTACCCCGAGTATACTTCACCTAGCTCACCGCGAATGGCTGCCTTTCGCCCAGCGCCTCGAACCCACCACTCTGCGACCCTCAACGAACTTCCTCGCTCTCCACGGGCTAGGTCAAGTAGCTTCAGATCGCAATCCAATTATGAAGACCGGAGATCAGCCACTGATTTCGGCATAGACAGACCTTTACCACCATGCCCTAGAAAAGAGGCATCGACACAACACAATGACTGGTACAAGTTGGAGAATTGTCCGGGGTTAGACATATGTCCGAGCTGCTATGAGGGTGTGTTTGCCACCACATCTTTCGCCGATTACTTCTCTCAGCCACGTCGGTATGAACATCCCACGGAGCGCTTTTGCGATTTCAGTAGTCCGTGGATGCGTATTGCTTGGGTTATCATCCTCAAGCAACGTCTTCCGTCACTTCGGCTCATTCAAGATCTGTCCGCAATTGCAGACTCCGAGCGATCTTGCCCTGGAGACCGCGAAGTTAGCACCGATCACATTGAATGGTACGGCATTCCCGATTACCGCGATGGCCGTCCCATCTCCAATTTCGCCATATGTCCCTGCGACCTAAGGATGCTTAAAGCTCTTTTCCCCAGCGTACAAAACTACTTCGCTCGAATCAATCCGAGCCACGCCTACGCCGCTCCGAAATATACTTGTAGCTTCCGTGTAAATTCTCGCCGTTCCCGAAAGTACCTCGACCTCCTCATGGAAATCGACGCCGAAGCGAAGGCTAACGGTCAACGACCCGACATGGACCGCTTTATCAAAATGGTACGCGAGAACGCTTTCAAAGGGGAATGTACCAGAAACAAACCCCTCTTACAGAAGTTATGGCACTACATCCCTGAGCTCCCTGAATTCACAATCTGTGAAGAATGCTACAACGACAAAGTATGGCCGTTCAGATCCTCGTCTTCTCTTAGCAACCACAACAGCAATGTGACTACACTTCCCGAACTAGTCACTCCGACTATCCGACCCGTCCCGAGCGAAGATCCACAGATAGGTAGTTCATGCTGCTTGTACAGTCCCCGCATGCGCAAAGTATGGGAGCGTGCCGTCCAGGAAGGCGACTTTTCATATCTTGCGCAAAAGGCGCGTGAGAGAAAATCAGAGGAAAGAAGACTGGTGCTGCAGCGGTGGAAACTACTCGATACCATCAGAGTGGTTGAGCAGAGATCGACAAAGTGGGAGAGGCTAAAGGCGGAATTGAAGGATAATGAACGCGAATGGAAGTATTGGGAGTAGAGGAGGAAACCACAAAATTGGCCTCGATGGGAATCCACACCGTTTTATTTATTGTTCTTGTCTCTTCAAATCTGAATCTGATACGTTCTCTGTGGCAAGTGAAACAAGATTGGATAGCTGTTGCATGGGTTTTTTGTCTGACACTCTACGGTTCTTCATTTGTACTTTAGGTCTTTTTCGAGATGAGGTCTACATAACGTTATTTCTATCCACTGAACTTACTGTTTCTCACAATTTTTTCCGTAATAGTCAGCTTCCTGTTACCACATACCCACGTAAACATTCCTATTGTCGTCCATCCTATTCCCTCTTTGAGCAACAGAGACACAAGCAGAGAGACGACACCCACACATCTAATACTGCCTCGCCGCTCGCTCACAAATCGGAATGCCTTCGTGACGGAATTTGCCAGGCCCATGTAGATGACATAGCTTGCATCCCAGCTCAACACCATCCCTCGATCCCAACTCCACTCGACACATCCTTCACTTCCACACACTCTATACACCCCTTTAAGGACATGAAACTATTGCGAGGCACGGCACACAGCATCTCACCATCCAATAATACCTGCAAAAACGAAGAATACATGTATAAGCGCCGCCGTCGAGGCAGTGTTATTTTCCCCACAAATTTTCCACAGGCACAGCAGGGCTTGCATGTATATGGAGCATATATATTACGTCAATCGAACGATCTAGAAAAGGTGGGAAGGAAGTGTTTCAAGGCCTTTTTGTTTGTCTGTGTGTAGGCGGCACAGTGGTTGTACTTGTACAGCAGATAAATATATATATGTATATATACATCGGACAAATTTCTGAAATCGGGAAGGATTTTTGTTCCATGGGTGGGATGGCATGGGAGGGTTTTTCCGACTGCGCGTTTGAGGCACAGTCGTACGTATATTGTGCATGTGCGATTTCGGAGCATTTATATGATCGATGAGAAGATGTGGAGGGAGGAGGACGAGGGACATCAAACTTTATCAACGTCCGTCCTTGGTGAATTTTCTTGTTTTCACGATGGACATGTTTTTTATTGATGGGATGATGTAAGTGCTTGTTCTCGTGCTGGTATGTTTCCTCTCTTTTCTTGTTGTTGATAGGTTGGGGGAGGATGAAAGACGATGGTTGGTTATTCCTCTTTCCCGCTCTCTGAAGTTAGGAGATATAAATAGTAGCAAGAGTTGATTGGGAGAACCACGTACGTACGTCAGTGTTTGATCGCAATATATGTGTACACAAATATAGATGTTAAGGGAATTATTCTTTCTGTGTGTAATCTAGGTTCATGCCTGCTACGAAGAGGTACTATGCACATCCAGGTCAAAATGCAAGCCTATCTGTACTCGCTATGAGATGTCGTGTAAAGAGAGCATCACATGTGACAAGAGGAACAAGAAAGACGTAACCCCCAAGGCTGGCAATGCGCTAGAAGGACATCAGAAAATAAAAGAGGGGAAAACAAAACATTCTAGACCGCATCGGAGACGGTTGATCCTCAGTGTTCTTGCCTGTGGAAGTTTTGCCCAAGGCCGCCAGCTACCACCTGTTTCCTCGGGTCCGGTCGTCCGACCGTACAAACCCCGTTCTCGTTCCCTTTCTTTCTAACTTACTTACTCGCATCTTGCTGTCAAGAAAAAGACTAACAGCAGAATTCAGGGCGAAAGCACCTAATCGACCAAGTCACCGGGACCCTCGACTAACACGCAGACCCTCATCCAAAAAGCTCATGATGTGACTCGGGGGATTAATTTGCAGCAGCAGCAACTACCAACAGCCCCGTGTGTCAAGGCGAGTGCAGGCACGTGCGGGCGCGCCGGTGCACATACCACCCAAGGTCACCTCCCTCCTAACTTTTTGAGGCGTATGGGCTTTGTGAATGAGCTGAGCAGCGGCGGCGGCGGCTGCGGCACGACGGGGGCTAAAAAAAGGGGATGTCTGTCTGTGTTTGTCACTGTGCCCGTGTGGGTGGAGGCTTGGGGCCACCGGCACCCATCCTTATAGTGGCATGCACACACACACTCACACTCACACATCATCATGATCGGATCCACCGCACGCACATTCGCATACGCACGTATGGAATAATGCTGATGGATGGTGGGATGGGAAAAGCCCCGATCGGGATCCAGCGGAGGGGTGAGATGGCATGGAATGGATGTTTGTTTTGCTGACGTTTCTTTAGGTTTACTAACGCTCGGGGACCTTACGACGTGTGACTATGACTTTTGGGAGAAAGACAGGGCTGGGGTTCTGGACGGGACTAGAAGACCCGAAGAAACCTGTCAAGACAGGCGGCGGAGTGGGCGGGCGCTTAGACTTCTTCTCAGGCCTAACCTGCGCGCAAGGCACTTGAGTTCACGACTCGTGCTGTTTTGGCGTCTGAATGAGGGGAGAGGATACGAAGGAGTGGATTGCTTGCTTTGCTTGGGTTCGCCGATCTGATGGTCAAACGACTTACTATTTTAATCAATTCTCCTGTTGTCACGTTTATCGTGTTTGGAGAGGGCCGGTCAGTCGCAACGACAACACACGACAAGGCGATGGCGGTACGATTCATGCATGGGAGACGCCGACTTGAGGTCGGCGTCTACCCGGGTTAATTGCAAGATTGCATCGTGTGTTATGTGTGGCTTTCGTGCTTCATCTTATATGACCCTCTCAGTTGCATGAATGAGGAGTGATTTGAATGTTTTGATTGTGAGATTGGAGCGAAAGATGCGAATGACTGACTCTCCATGTCACCATTTCCCTCGAAGAGCTGCATCACCGAGCGGCGCTCACAGACAAATCGGGATGCTTGCCTTCTTGTCCAGCCTTGTGTGAAAAAGCACGGATGCCATCACGGCTGACTATTATTACCATGGGTGTACGACTGTTTTGGATAACCTGTGTGAGCGGAGAGATCGGCCACTGGTGGGTGGGAAGTGGGAGAAAAAGAGACAAGGCATGCACCACAGCCCAGTGGAACCTTCTTTTGGCATGTTTCGTCTCAAGCTGCGGAAGGGAAACACAGCCAGAACGTTAGGCTTGACAACGTCAAACCTGTGAGGCTGGTAGATACGAGAATGTCACTCTTGGGCATGAAATTACACAGCCGCCACGGGCCGTTCATAGCGGTCGAAGCCTGGGCGAATGCTCGGGACCGGCAGGCTTCATGACACGCACACACGAGATGATTGACGTGGTTCATTTCGCAACGGTTTCCTATACGGATCAGCAGTTGAAGATGCACTTCAGACCTTTTTTGCTTATATATTCTTTTTTATTTCTCTGTAGAAACTCGTTGCTCGCGGATACATGCACCAGTGAGCATGCATGGAGAAGGTTGGCTGTCATTGGCTGGTAATGGGGGCGGAACCTGCCACGCGCCTCTAAATTTGGTTTTCCCTCAGGCCCTCAGCCCCCTCCACCACCCACCACCAACCACCAACCCCTTGCGAAGATCTCGCAAGCAACCATCATGGCCGGGCCTCTGTGTTGTCTGAGCTCCAGCAGGTTTTTCGATATTTCTCCTGTTGCTTCTTTCCAGCTTGACCGGCCGAGTGCGGCTTGGTCTACATCCTTCAGGATGGGGAGTGAACCGCCAGATAGTTACTGAAGACGTCAACGTATAAGGAAGAGTCGACGACTCAACATATCTTCTCCGTGTACCACTAGGCTCTGCCCTGCTTCGCTCGCGATAGCTAACAGCATGACGCCTGCACAATGACGCCGGTTTCTCCAATTGTTTCGTCTTGGCCCTTGTTGTGCTAGCCAGTTGTCGCCGTGTGCCTGACTTAGTCTTACCACCAAACCCCAGCGTTGTCAACCCTGCCACAGCGCCATCGTGCTGACCCTGGTCAGTATTGGAAGCTTGCATTTTGTATACCTATCACCCTCTTGCAGCCTGCTGCTATGCCTCCAACCGATTCCGGCTTCTTCGAAGCTTCTTTCGCCTGGGTTCGATCTCCTAAATTCAAAAATCGCATCTCCTCTTCCTCAACATCAACCACTTCCACTTCGACCTCGGATACTGACATTGAGCGGCCTGGGACCGGACCCTCCCAAACCAACATCTCTGCCAAGATGTCTTCCTTCTCCAGAAACAGAGCTGCAAAGAAACCCGGACCCGTTATGCGCGTCGTCCCAATGTCCAACGCTTTACCCATCTTCGAGGCAACCCCAGGTTCAGGCCGATTGTTCCCAACAGCACCTCCTGCCCAAAATCTTGCTACCACTACCCGGTTACGCAGCAACAGCGCGACATCGCCTGGCGGAAGCAGGCCAGAAGAAGCTCCCAGATGTGCGTCCAGCGCTTCATCTCGAAGGCCAGTTGAACACGACGTGCGCCAAATGGCTCCGAGCAGTCTTCGTTATCACGAGGGTGCGATTCCGACATCTTCTAGCGCGGCAAGGATGCCGAGGTCGGGTCTCAGAGTTGATGTGTCCGCCGGACAGGTTGACCCGAAGCCTCTTCCCCAGCTTCCTTTTTTCCACGAAAATAAGACCGGAAACCGCTCGGGGCACACGCCCATGAGACCGAGCGAGGACGGCGAATACAACGTCTCGCCCCCATCTGCATCACAGAACTGGATAATGCGAGACTCTATGGTGTCACCTCTCAGCAATCAAGAATACAGTAGATATCGGCCCATGCAGGGCTTTGCTCCCATCGCGGAATCGAATACGCAAGCTTCTAAATCATCTCCAAACCTTTCCCTTGGGGTTGGCTCATCCGACGAATACCGAGACGACGACGACGCCTCATCAACATATAGTGGTGACGAGTCTTCGGTAACAAGCTTCGAAGCAGAGTCAGCCCAACGAACACAATCCAGCCCACAAACATCTCACCATCGTAATCGCTCTAATTCTACGCCAGTGAGAGTGGGCGCTTCCGATGTTCCCTCACGTGATGGCATGAACTCCGGCGGGTCTGAAACTGAAACCGGACATCGCGTGCAGGGGTTAGCGTTCCCTGAACAAGCAACGCGAGATTACGCACATCACCCCCCTTTAGAAACCCACCACAAGTTTATACCCACTTGCGCGCACCTTCCTGTGCGTGCCGCCTTGGACCCTAACCGCCGCCTACCCACCGTACAACTCCCTGATTGCAGCAGCCAGCTGACTAGCCTTCGCCTGGATCGCGAGATGGGCATCATTACTGAAGCCATCCACAGGCAGGCTCCCCACACCCTGCCTCTGGAAATACCGAGCCCGACGTGGAGCGAAGCTGAAAATGACCTCGAACAACACCTTTCCTTTTCCGCGGCGGACGACGATCCATTCAAATGGGACGACATAGTGAACCTGGACGACATCGCTCCGCTGGACGACATCATACCCGTCGAAGACATGCGGATATCCCGGGATGTGCCGTTGAGCCCGCAGGGACTTGGTCGTAAGGACTCAATCACATATTCAATGGCATTCTATTCCCCACCGAAACCGGAGAGAGACACAACTGATTCCGACGGCTTCCGCCTATCCAACGTTCCTTACAACCACATTGCTTCTCAGATGAAGAGACGCAATAAGTCCAGGAATCTCAATATCGCCATTATCGAGGAAAAGGACAAACGCATGACCACCGACGATTTCATCCTGTCTCCTCTCCCAATCCCATTCGACGAATGGAAAGTCAACCACGCCATCACCCCGGAAGTCGCGGAAGGCGTGGTCCTTCAGATCCTCAAAAGTCTTGATAATCTCGATGACCTGTTTGCGTGTGCTGTTATCAACCGTGGTTTCTACCGCGTCTTCAAACGCAACGAGCTTGAGCTGATGAAGCTCGCTCTGCGCAAGATGTCGCCGCCTGCTTGGGAACATCGTGAAATCTGCTACCCTGGACATGATGAACCCGAAGAAGAGGAACTGGACCTACCTCGCCAAGAGTACACGGCCGAATCCTATCTTCGAGCCTTCACGCGGGACATGTACATCATTTCTGCTACGAAGTCACTGATCAAGGACAAATGTCAGTCCTTCCTCCGCCCCGAGATATCCGCTGCGATCGATAGCGAAGACCCCGTAGAATCTGCTCGTGTCGATGACGCATTGTGGCGAATTTGGACCTTCTGCAAACTCTTTGGATCACGGAAAGGCAGAGAAGACGATGTTACTTCACAAATGGACTGGTTGCAGGGTGGTAAATTGGTCCACCAACAGACTTGCAGTTCGAGTGCACCCATGTGGGACGAAATGAACGAGACGCTTGCAAGTGCACCGGAATGCTTCGCTATGGGCAATGAAGGCGGCTTAAAAGCTGAGCAGTTGTTCGATATGATGGAACTCTGGAATTGCTTGGGGGTGCTACTGCAAAAGATTGAAGGACGCACCATACAAGCAAGAGAGTACGGCATCTTCGACCGGACCGACATTCGGGGCGGGGACATTGATGGCGAAGAAATGATGCTTGGTATGCTTGAATTTCTACTCTATCCTTGACTTGCAAATACTAACTGAAAACAGATGAATGGTATTACTTTCTTCTTGCACAAGGTCTCTTCACTGTTCTCGAACTCGCTGGCCCCTGCCAACAGACCGCCGATTCCTCTGTCTTCAACGTCGCTTCTCGCCACGGGCTTCTCAACTGGACACCGCCGGCTCCTGGAGGTACCCGGCGCAATTTCCTAAAAGAGGCCGCTTCGCGTGTCTACGAAGATGAGATTGCTCACGTTTACGCCGAAAGCTCCACCAAGGAGGTGAACCGTGTCCTCTCCAAGCAACGCATTCAACGCCATATCAACGAAATCCGGTCGCGCAGGATCAGCGATGAGCCTGTAGCTGAAATCCGAGTCAGCTTAGATGGATCCAACAACAGCGAATGGGACGACGCCGATGTCAGCCTGAGCCGCCCCCGCTCACACCATCGAAAATCGGTAAACAACCTCGTCACTCACATCCCCTCTCTTTCCTCCGTGCGTCAAATCAGCGCCACATCAAACCTGGCACAAGAAATTGCCGTCGGCCTATCTCGTACCCCATCGCCGCATTCCCCATCGCGACGTGTGGTGGCCATGCCTCTTCTCCCTTCTCCACCACCCTCTACCGTTCCCAGCAATAGGGATAGTATGCCGATGCCATCCTTGCACGATCATCCGGCATTCCGCCGGTCCGATACATCCCACAGCTTGCCTCCTGTGAATGAGTATCATCATCCCGCATACGCTCATGAGCGCCGACCAAGCTTCAGCTCATCCGTGGGATCTAGTGGAGCTGGAAGTTCCGAATCTCGCGCCGCATTCCAGCAACACCCTCTTCAGCGCTCCATGCACGAAACCGACGGCGCAGACAATACAGTTGCTCGTGCTGTCCACCGCATCGTTGAGATGGGCTTCACCCCGGAGCAAGCGCGACAAGCCCTTCGTATGACCGATCTAGGTGATGGACTGAGAGTGGACCGCGCCGTGGAGCTTCTCATTCGTGACATGTCCGCTTAAGTCAGTCACTGGCTCCCTGCTTCACTCCTTACCATTTTTCTTCACTACTTCTTCTTCTTCTTCTTCTTCTACTTCTTGAGTGCCTTGCACTGTAACTTTTATCTCTCAGCATTTGAGCGTCAACTCACCTTCATCACTTATAAGCTTTTCATGTAGATAATTTTTTCTTTCACGAACTTTTTCACGATATACCCGAGCTTGGGAAACCCCTACATCATTTCCTTTATAGGGCTGTTGGATCATCATTTCACGCATGGAAACCGGAGTTTGCTCGTCATTATCTGGTTTTGTCTTGTCTTTCCAGCTCTGTTTGTTTTTGGCAGTGTGGATCACTATTCCTTTATCAAAGGGGAATCTAGCACATCTTTCACACACGAATATATCCGGCATGAATGGAGATGAGAATTTGGACTAGCTGTGGTACAAATACCAATGTTAGAATATTCATCTGACAATATAAATTCAATATATATCATATCTATCAGTCCAGGCACTCTAGCTATCGTTCTAATTCTCTTTTATTCCGCTCTGCAAAAACTGCAGGATGATCAACAAACAATTTCTACACTACTAGAATAGAAGCTACTCAGAATACGTACACCCAATTCACCTCTCACTTCTCACCCGCAGTGAACCCCATCCCACCCCTCCACCATGCCCAAATCCCCAACCTCTCCATTCTAATTCCAAACTCCTTCACACTCTCCACTTCCTGCAATCGTCCATACTTCATCACCTCATCGTCCTCTCCCTGACCCTCCTTAACTGCAGGCTTCTTAACCAACTGGAAATCTTTATATCGCAGTCTCTTCACATCGGCCACCCAATCTTGTACGCCTTGTTCGCTTCCTTGGCAGTACATGATGCCGGGACAGCCACCATAGCGTAGGAGCGCGTAGATGTTGTGGTTTGAGGCCGCGGAGGTTAGTTTTAAGACTTTTTTGCGCGAGGTTATGTGGTGGGTGCGGATTAGGGCGGCGTGGATGGGATGGGTAGGTGACATGCCATCAGATGATATTTTTTACAATTGAGATGTCAAGAGAATTTAAAATGGTGTTGTGAAATTGAAGGATTCATGTAGTCGGAGTGGAGATTTGATGGAGGTAGATGTTCAATCACGTGTTGCGGCTGAGTTAGCGTGGTGCAAGGCATTCCGTAAATTCCTGACGGTGACCTCACAACTTTTTTTCCCTGTCCAAAACGCTCGTGGAAATCAAACCAATCCCCCCCGGTCAACGAGAACCCACACTAGGAACCGTGTTTACGAATCGAATCGCATGGACTAACTGCAGCTTTTCTTTGGAGAGTTATGAAGCTACTCCCCTTTCACCAAAAGATTGCAGCTCCGTCGCCTTTGGTCCTCAGCTTCCTCCGCTCGCAGGTTCGCAATGCGTTCGATTCGCCTACGAGCCGATGCACCGCGGTGAAAAGACAAAAACATGGTTTCGCATCGTCGAGCAGGATCGCGTCGTGTTTGGATGGAAGCGGTGGTAATGGACGGAGAGTAGGAGTTATCCGGACACAAGGGGTAGAGAGCAGGAGGTTTACGGCTTCGACGTCGCAATGGCGCACGCGCGACGAACACGCCCAGATACCGCGGACTAGTCTCGCTCTCGTTCCACATGAACCTTGCTCTCCGCCGTCGTACAGAGCCAGTTTGGAATCGCGTCGGCCGCTTTCTACGTCGAGCATTAGCAAGGCTTGGGAGTTGTTTGGTGGACGGAAACGAACGGCGGCGCCGTTACCGCCACCAAAGGAAGTGCTGAGAGATGCACTGGGGGATCACACGTCGAGTTACGAGGGCTTAGGTCGTGTGATGAGGTCTGCGAATGAGTTGAAAATGCGCTGTACGGAATTGGATGAGCATGGCAATGTTACTATGGTCAGCGGGGAGTTCAAGAAGACTGAACTCATCGCGAAGGTACGTTTGATAGAGATATTACGGATAAAACCACATCCTAGGTATCAAGCAAAGCTGACGATCCTTTCTAGTATGGCCTTTTACCCCGAGATCTCCGCAAAATCGACTCTTCACTCCTACCAAACATACTTATCCGACCCACCGCTATCTTGATCAATCTCCTCCATATCCGTGCGCTGATCAAGCACAATCGTGTACTGGTCTTTGATGCCTACGGAACAACGAATTCAAAAGCCCAGTCTGTTTTCATGTACGACCTTGATCTCAAGCTTCGTCAGAAAGATACAACTGCGAACGGCACATTACCTTACGAAATGCGAGCCCTGGAAGCTGTTCTCATTAGCGTAACGCTCGGTCTTGAAAAGGAATTCGAAGGCGTTAGCGATCCAGTTGTCAGGGTTCTAATGGAGCTCGAAGAAGACATTGACAGAGATAAGCTTAGATATCTCCTTGTGTACTCGAAGAAATTGGGTACCTTCGAACAAAAGGCACGGCTAGTCCGAGACGCATTGTCAGAGCTGCTCGAGGCCGATGACGATCTATCTGCCATGTATCTCTCCGAAAAAGCTGAAGGCATTCTCCGTCCTGAAGACGACCACACCGAAGTCGAAATGCTGCTTGAATCGTACCACAAGATTGCCGATGAAATCGTGCAATCTGCTGAGAACTTGGTATCTAGTATCCGCAACACCGAGGAAATGTACGTCTCTCCATATACCCATAAATTATCAGAGAAAAAAGTTTCTAATCCCCGGTTCCCACAGAGTCAAAGCCATCCTCGACGCAAACCGCAACTCTCTAATGCTTCTCGACCTTCGCTTCAGCGTTTGGACCCTCGCCCTAACAGCCGGAACCTTCATCGCGGCCCTCTACGGCATGAACCTCAACAGCGGCATCGAAGAATCCGAATGGGGTTTCTACGCCGTAAGCGGCGCATGCACCGTTCTAGGCGTCTGTGTCTTCGGCTGGGGAATCCGTCGCCTCCGCGCCGTCCAAACCCTCAGCATGTGGGGCCACGGCGGCGGCGCAAAGTCCAGCCTCAAATCCTGGGGTCTCGGTGCGTGGGGCGGACGCAGCACGAACAGAGTCGGTGACGGCGCGTACGGCGGGACGTCGCCGCTCATGGACGCGAATGGTGTGGGGGTGAGCAGGAGGTTGAGGGGAGAGGCGAGCTATGGCGAGCTTATGCAGAGGGAGAGGGGGGTTGCGAGACGCTTGGCTCGCTCGGAGGCTAGGGCTGATGGCGCTGCTAAGAGTGGTTCGTGAGGGGTTTCGGGAATCAGGATGTAAGATGGAGATAGTAGGGTCCCTCTACTCACTCCTTTTTTTTTGTATCTTTCGCGCTCATCGCACGTGCGTTGCGTTGCATGTGTGTGTATGTGTATTGGCTGTATGATTCCCTTGGGGCCGTGTGTGTGTACGAGTATTGGGGTGTACGATATTATTCAAGAACAAGGGAGACGTGTGTACGTGTAGTCGCTCTAGCGGGGCGTTCGATATATATCCTTTTTCATCACCTATCTAGAATTCTCTTCTTATTTTTAGGTTTTAGGGCATTATTATACATACTTTTAGTCGACTGCTTGTATCACTACGATTCAGTTTCATGATAACCACGGAACATGTGTCCTGCCTGGAGCTCGAAGGCAGATTTATTGTGTTTTTTGACACTAAGTGTTTGTGCCGCATGGAAATACGATGAATCACCACTACGCTTTAGTATCACTACGATGTCTCTCTCTCTCTACCTTAGCACACTCTATTTTATTTCCCTTGCAGAGTTATTGAAGAAACAAGTTGTCGTGTTGAGTGGATGTATATCTCTTGAACTTTGTACTACTGTGTTCGCTATGCCATGTCAATTCAAACGAGCAACTTCTACACACAACATCTCTACACCGCTTTCACGGCTCCAAAATACCGTTCACACTTCTCCAGCGGCTCTATCACATGTTTAACCATATCACTCCTCCAAGAATCATCTCCTCCTTTGACATTCTTCAGGAAACACCACTTCACCGCAGTCGCGTAATTCTCCCCTCCCTCGTCAGACACGTCCCGCGACCATTTCAAGGCCGACATCAAATCCAGCGCGCGCTTTACGTCCCCAGATCCAGTGTCGTGTTTCTTGCGATACGGATGGTCTTCCAATCGCTGGCCGAAACACAGCTCTAGAAGAAGGATCCCGAGTGAGGAGAAATCGCTGTCTTGTTTGGTATTCGAGGGGCCTAAGGGTTTGAAGCCCTTTTTGATAAAGGGCTCGTGGTATGATATATTCTCGTCATCATCTCCTCCTTCGCGAAAGAAACATATTTTCTCCTTGGTGAAATCGGAATCAAGCCACGGAGTGCGTCGGAGCTGCGCAAAAGATGAAGCAAGGAGGAGAGCTAGTTTATACCGTTGTCTTCGAGGCAATCCAGGAAGTACAGAACTTGATAGCAGGCTGTTCAGAGTCAGTGGAGTTTTTGGCTCTGGTGGACTACTTTTTGGCGTGGCTTGATGGAGGTGGAATGACTTTGGGTCGTGGCCAATGATACCCAGACACTCCCCCTGTCCTTCATTGCTCAAGGCTTTGCAGAGCTCTATTGTCGATGGAGGGGCTTTTGTGGTGGATTTCTGCATTTGTCGAGCTCTTGTACATGGGGTGTCGAGCTTCCGGCGTTTTGGTGCTGGGATAGCCGAGCATGAGTCTGCTTTGGGGTCGGGGTTTGATATATTAACTTTCGCAACTGACCCAGTTGCAGGGTCTGTTCTAGTAAACACACAGTCTTTTGATTTGTTGCAGGTTATCTCCTTCTGATTCCAATCGTTCTTGTGGGATGTCTTGGTGTCTGAAGACGATAGAACGATTCCAAATGGCAATTCGGGGACAGTGCGATGCTCAAGTTTGAGGTGTGCAGAGTGGTAATGTTGACAAGAGCACTGCCAGGCTTTATAAATACCCTCATATATGCCTTTGGCGTGGTTCGAAGCCTTCTTCAGAATCGTGTCAAGCGATGAGGAAGAATCCATGCTGCGGATGTTCTGAGCCTGGTAAAATGACGCCATGTTATCACTTGAGCTGAGAAGTCTGTCCAGCCTTTCGGTATACTGCTTCAACCGGTCAAAGAGTGTTCGCCGTACTGGATCTCCCAGACTGAACCTGATCCGAAACGTCTCATACTCAAGCTTTGCTCTCGCTGCGGACATTTTTGAGCTCTTCGGTGGGAGTTTGGAGTTCGGCGCTGCATTTCCTATATCTTGTCTGGATTCCATGATTTTGTCTTGAATCTGTGGCTTTTCGCAAGCCAAATGTTGTTTCAATTCCTGCGAAGCCTCGTGGATATCGTGAATTGTTGCCATGTATAACTCGTAGGACTCCTGAAGTCGCTGTTTCATACGAACTTCCAGTTTTTTGATAGTCCAAAGAGTGTTATCGGGGTCGTTGATCAATTTCGTGACGTCCTGTGGGTTCATATCCAGTAGTAGAAGCTTCTTGAGGTTTCTCTTGTATAAGATTTCATAGTACTGAACCTCTCGTAGGCAAATGTTGTACTCCTTCCTCACACGCCAGAAGTATCCGCTGACTTTAGCAGCATCGCGCCAATGCTCGAGGCCGGAGATGATTAATGGGAAAGCTGCGAGAGCGACTCCCGCTACTTCGAAGCCACTCATAACAGGATAAACCGCGTAGAAATGTTTAGAGGTACTGTAGGCGATGCTTTCATCGATTGATTTGCTACATATAGGTTAAATATCCCACAGTGGTCGCTCCAGGCTACGTGTCCACCGGTGAGTATGCGTGTTCACCGGTAGACAAGGCTGAACGGTTCGCGTGCATACGTGGCCATCTCTATCCCGCCACCCTTTACTTTAAAACAGCACATAAACATAACATCACAGTATTTATTGCAAGAAAGTATACTTCAAACTGAGCAGCTGTTTTGGTTCTAGACTTTGCGTCACAGAGTTGCTGTCTCTCGTCATTTAGAGACTTATATTACGGGCCCTAGACAACCATGTTCACGACATTTGCATCTCTATGCCGAGCCTGCGTTACTATGCTCGAGCGTATTATATCAGCGCTTTCTAATCCTGAAAATAGCCATTCGGGAATAGGAAAGATACGCATAGAGAAACAGCTGGAGCGGCTTCGTTTATGGATTGGCGATAACGGGGCTATGCAATCCTCAGACTCCGCTATGTATCTTGAGTCGCGGCTTTTGGAGGAGAGCGAGGTGTTGGACTTGATTTGGGGCATCCTTGATGATTTCTACGAAGCCGCTCTAGACAGTAAGTTTATGCATTTCTATATATGTGATGTTGCTAATAGAAGCCCAAATCTAGTGTGTAATATCGTAACAGGAAATTGTGTGGGTAAAGTAGCTACCCGAAGTCGCTACTCTCTAGGCGAAGAGAATGATGACGAAGACGAAGACGAAGATCAAAACGAGGAAAGTGAGCTCCTTCAAGAGATGGATAACTGCCTTGAACTTCTCTTCTTCAAAGGCTCTCACATCCTTCGTCAAGCCGGACCGACAGACGTCTTCCTCAAATCCTTGAATAGACCCGAGCATCACCTGGAAAGAAATTCCGATGTGATTCATGTTGGCGAAGCTTTCCCCAAACTTGCCATGGGAGAATTTTCATGGCTAAGACTACGACTTGGCCGAGCTATCACGGATCGGCGGCAATACTTGGACTATATTCGCGACCATCATGGAAATTCAGGAGGCCATTCAATCGGGAGCTTACTGTCCCAAAATCTGGAAGATGTTTCGTCAGTTCCAGTCAATTCGTATCTTCAAAGTAATTTGATTGCCTTGTCTCCAGGAAAGGTTCCAAAGCTACCCCACCAGATACTACAGTATGGCCTACGGATCGAATGTCCTTTCTGTTATAACAGAGTGACATTTGAATCAGAAGAAATCTGGCAACAACATGTGTTTTCGGACCTGCGTGCGTACGTTTGCACATTTCCAAACTGCGAAGCCCCGTATTTCTGCAACGAGGATGATTGGTTTAGCCATGAGATGCAAAAGCACCGCGTCAACTTTGTTTGTGCATTTTGTGCGGGCACTTCATGCGAGACGGAAGAAGACTACAAGACTCATGTGCTGGCACATCATCCAGATTTGCTGGAAATTGACTCTGATCATGAAGAGCCCGTACTGGAGGTAGCTCGCAAACCTCTCAAACAGATTGCTACCAACGCATGCCCCTTCTGTATGGATGATCATCTACAAGCTGATCAGAAAGCCGCGAAAAGGGATGTGCAGATCAATCCATTCAATTGTGTATTATATGTCGATCCCTCTGTCTTCAAACGGCACCTGGCATCTCACTTACAACAATTAGCTTTATCCGCCATTCCAGAACGCGCTATTTCAAGTTTCGCCATTCCAGGATCACCCAGCCCTGTTATGGATGGCGCGATTGATGAGGAACAAGTTGACTTGTCTCCGCCTTCGTCATCATCTGCAACTCTTCGTCTGACCGGGGCTGGAAATAAATCCCAGAAATTATATCAATGGGCCTGCTGCTCATGCGGATTTGGCTGGTTGAACTACTACACATGTATCGAGTGCCCTTACTGCAATAATCATATACGCTGCGGTGGCTGTACAATAGTGTGTGATGAGGTAGGGTAGTGGTCCTATGTAACCTTCTCCCAATTAATAGTATCAATTCCATCCTCTTGAATCCCCAAATTCTGGTCCTCTGATACTAGCCTAATCTACTATACTGTTTATTAGTTTGCTGATGACAAGTTTCACATAACACAGAATTATTTTCATTTTTCCACATGGCGAGCGTAGACCAAATCTCCGAGTTCCCAATTCATGACTTCTCACCATGTTCTATTCACGGTCGTTATCACTTCGCTTTGATGCGGTACGAACAGTTGGTATAGGTAAATACCTGCCTTGAAGGTCTACATGCCAGGCAGGACACCCATCACGTGAGATCACGTGCTCCACATGTATTCAATGCTCGTGTAAGTCCGTAGTGGGAGAAAAAGTATTGCACAGGGTGACAGAGCAAAGCCTTCTAGATATTTTCTTAATTCTCCATGATAAGCGCATTGTTTGTCTTTTAACGCCCTTGCATTCAAATGTTTGTAGTTATTCTGTGTGTCAGAATCGCACTCCCACATAAAAAGCTTTTCAAGGTTCCGTGCCATTGGACACATGCCCATGATCTCAAAGTCTCTCGATGATACTGAGATCAGCAAACAAAACAGCTTTCAGTTCTTTTTAGCACTATCAAGGTAATAATGCATCTTTCTTTTAACAAGTCACTCGTGCTCTTCCAGTGTACATAGGGCCAACTTTCACGAGCAGGGTATTGCGTAATACTATGAAAAGCATACCCTCTTCCGAGGATGCCTGCCTAGGAAATTACTCTAACTAACTGCAATGTTCCAGATAGAGCTACAGAAAGCTCGAAGAGCACACAACTAACCATACCCACAGGGCTTTCCCTCTCCATCGCATGAATACACCAGATCCTGCTGCTGAAGAGAGTGGGTTCCCAATCGCACTTACACCATCCCGCAGTGGCCTAAATACAAGCACACAAAGCAATTAGCCGTCACCCAATTTCTTAAGAAATCGATAAAAAATTACTCGAAGTGACTTACACGACATCTGCACCGCCCAAATACGCAAACCTCCCCTCACCCCGGTCCTTCACTCTACTTTCGTTGTCCATCAGATCCACTGACCCATTACTACCAAAGAACTCGTCTATGCTCGGCAACCGTGGGTAAAACCCCTTTCGCAGCATGACGTATCGCGCAAGGGCGTAGAGGGCGTAGTTTTCGGCATTGTTGGCAGCGTCATAGGGGTCCTGTGCGGGGAGAATGGCGAGGAGTTTGGCGCGTGTGACGCCGTATGCGAAATTGAGATGGCGAATGGTGATGTCTTGTACTGGAGACGAGGCTGAGATGAAATCGCTGACCTATTCTCAAGAAGATGTGAAATTAGTCATCGTCAAGGAGGAGGAATAGGTTTTGTGTATGTGCTGATTGGGTGGCTCACTGACTCCAGCGAGAACGGAGAGGTTCATGGGGTTCTCGGACGTGTAGGTGATTAGCCATGGAGAGATACTGTCTGGATTTGTATCTGGTTGGATGATAGGTTTTATGGCGTGTCCGACAGCACGAACGTGCATAACCATTCTTGCCCAAGATGCTGCTGTGAGTATTTCCGTTGTGTCAACCAGATTTGCATCGTTTCTTCATGGGAAAGAGGAGTGGGAATTGTCTAGCGTACGTGTCGTCGCTTACCTCGATTATAGTAATACATTAAGTTCAATCGCTGTTGATCATCTCCACTGTCTTTTCCTATCCGATCATCCAAAGCATCCAGCTTGAAGTACGCATCGCAGAAATTGAAATGCGGTTCACTCGCAATATTATAAATGGTGTGCATGCCATCCTTCTCGTTTCCTTGGTTACATATATTGTTCGGATCATCGCACCGAACATGGAAATCCGGCATGTGCGTTCGATCTCCCTTGGCATTCGCATACTGGGCCGCGCGCGCCAGGTTTTCGGTGATGAGGGTAGTGTAATTGAAGATCTGATCGGGCTTGCCGAAAAAGTCGCGCTCGGCCTGCTGGGAGAAGTCGGGACTCTGAGCGGATGCAAAGAGGACACTCATTTCGTGGAAGCCGCTTTGAATCTGCTTGAGCTGCTTGGAGGTGCATGATTCGCCGCCGGTCAGTGAGATTGAGTAGTCGATGGAACCGTCCTGAGAGGTATCGATGAAGCCGTCGGCTGGCGAAGCAAGGGAATGGGCAATGAAAATGGAGGCTATGCATACTGGCAATGAGAGTAGTCTGTGTAGTGTAATCATGGTGGCTCGTTCGATTCATACATGTACAGATGTCACTGTTGGCACATGAGATGTCCGCTGTGGCACTCGTTAAGTTGGATGGGGCAAAGACTTCCATGAAATGGCCAGAACAGTGGTTCTATTAACTAATTTAAGTGGAGTCTTCTGTAATCATTCTGTAGGGCACATCCTTGAAGGTCATAGAATCCGAAACTCGCACGGTATGGTGCCCGGGTACTTCATATACCGCAATCATGGGTGATTATGAAAAAATGAGTTTGGTTGTGTACGATAAGTTCGCCATTAAGATGCTTCTGGTAAAGATTAATTAATGCTAGAGTTCTGTGGGCTCGAATATTATTCGTCTATAAGTTGATTGTGCGTTGAAGACTTGACGGAGGTGTTCAGGTTGATGCTCTATATAGTGCTACCGAATGGTGGTTCGCTGGACGTCTCAGATTGCTACTTTCCAGACTCGATGCCAATGAGCGCCAGGGAGTGCATGTATAAGTGCTCAGTAGGTGTGTGGCAATGAGAGATGTAGAGAGAAGAGAGAACAAGAGTGGTAATGGAGTGGAGTGGGTGAATGTCCGTCTGACATTGGTGGTTGGCACGCCAAGAAATGGAACATGGTACCTGCGCTTTTGGGAGGTATGACGACAGTGACGGGCGCGTGATGCGCGCGGGCAGCGGGAAACTTTTGCTTCCCATGCAATTCCAACCACTTTCCCATCTGCTTCGCCTTTTGCCGTTCCCGATCCTCCTCTGTCGATCATCCTTTGCCTACTTCTTCTGCTTCTGCTTCTTTTCGTCCTTCTTTTCTCACCCGCTCATTCTGCCAAATGCGCCAAAACTCCCGCGCCGTTTAAACTACACTATTGGCTAGGTAGGTAGTTGAGAACCAACCCACATACACCCCCACGATAGCTAGCAACCACCCACCTTCGTCATGAGCACTCGCAGCACACGTCCTACCATCGATCCCCGGCGGAAGTCCTCGACCCTCCATTATCAGACCTTTCCTACCCAGCCGCCATCCTCACGAGGCAGACCCATATCATCTGCGCCCTCGGCCCACCATGACCCCGATTCGGATTCAGACGAGCACCATCATGAGTCACCCTTGCCTACCAGGCAGCTCATCGTCCTCGCCATTATTGCTCTCGCCGAGCAGACGGCCCTCAACTCCATAAGTCCATACCTACCCGAGATGACCAGAGCCTTTCCTGAGGTCAAGGAGGGGCAGACAGGCCTGTACGTAGGGTTGATAGCATCTTCCTTCGCCTTGGCCCAATGTGCAACAAACTTCCTCTGGGGTTGGCTGTCAGATAGGATCGGTCGGAAACCCGTCATCATTATGGGCACTTTCATGACGGCCGCTTGCTTTGTAGCCTTCGGTTTTTGCCGCACTTTGTGGCAGGCCGTCCTTGTACAGGCCGTTATGGGCCTGGTAAATGGAAATGCTGGGGTCGTCTCAACGTGTCTAGGCGAAATAACCGACAGAAGCAACCAGTCGCGCGCATTCACATATCTACCTGTGGTATATGGAATTGGTGGGATCACTGGGCCTATTGTTGGAGGCTTGCTGGTATTTTACCAAAATCCCTTCGATCAGTCCCGCCCCAATCCTTACCCGTACTTGCTCCCAAATCTGTTCTCTGCCGCTGTCCTGGCAGTAGATTTGCTCATTTGCATGTTCTTCCTCGAAGAAAGTCTGGAAGAGGCAAGAAAACTCCCACCAATCGGGAAGAGAGTTGGGAATCTGTTCGCATGGCTATGGCAGTTCACAAGCTCGACGCGCCCGACTTACATCAGGCGTTTTCTCCGTAATTCGAAGCGCCATCCTAACCGCAGACACCTTGATGGGATTCAAGAAGATCAGGAAGACGATGAACTCTTTGATGATGAAGATGAAGACGAAGAAGATGAGGAGGTTGAGGATTCGCCTGCCTTATTTCCTGAAGTTTCTGGCGATGTGCTCACCAAGGGCCAAATTTTCAACCGCGACACCGTACTTTTACTTGTCACCTACGTCATTTTTCAGCTTGCCAACATTTCATACAACTCTCTATTTCCCATATTTGCCGAGGAGCAACCGCCGACCGGCAGAGCCCTCTCACCAGAGGCTGTGGGGCTTTCATTGGCATTCGCAGGCGGCGTTACCATCATATTCCAGATCGGGATATATGGAAAGCTGCGAGATAGAATCGGAAACAAAGTCACATATCGTGTCAGTTTGGCTGCGTTTGTGGTCACTTTTCTACTCACGCCCTGGGTGGCGTATAAAGAGAACAACGGATATGAAGGTCTCGGGTCAGGTTCAGCGTTATTATGGATTGAGCTAGGTGTGGTGCTGGTCATCAAGACTGTAGCGAGTGTAGGTGGCCTTACGTCTGCACTTTTATTGGTAAGTCTTCGTACGTGGTACTTTGGGTGATGGCTTACTGACGAAATCCAAGATCACCAATTCGGCACCAAATCACAACGTCTTAGGCACGCTAAATGGACTGGCACAAACGCTTTCCGCCGGGGGTCGAGCTGCTGGGCCGTTCTTATCTGGCGCTCTATTCACTGCGGCCACACATATCAAGCATAAAGGCGAAGTACTGGCGTTCGGGATCTTCGCAGCAGTTTCCTTTGTCGGTTTCCTGCTGAGTTTCGGCATCCGAGGAGAGAATCTGGAATCGGACGACTGGAGCGAGGAGGAGGAGGAAACCGACGAAGAAGAAGATATAGGAGACGGTGACTACGCTGGAGAAAGAGTGAACGAACGAAGCGGCTTGATCCGTAGTTGACATTGAGCGCGCGACATGGGGCATTGTGTTTATATGTATAGACTGGCATAATGTTCTCTCAATATGGATGTGTACATAGCATAGTTAATGATTAGATTACGAGACATTGAGGCATATTTCGAGAGGCTGTGCACCTGCTTCAACGGGCAGAGCGAGCCACAAACACCTCACCATCCTTCAATCTGGGATGCATGTGTTGGGTGATGGAAGCCTACACCCAGAAAAAACTCTACTCGACTGATAATGAGGGTTTTCGTTCCCGCCTTTTTCATGCTTCAGTTGCTGCAGCCACAGTATCGCTGTACGCTATACGCGATTGTCGTCGGGTTTCAACAGAAGGCAACGGTTTGAGATTGGCCAGGCGAGGCAGGGTGGTGTCCAGCTTGCATATACGAACGGGGCGACGCCCACCCAGTTTGTATATGTGCGAAGGGTGACATTCTGAAGAAGTAACAGCCCGTAAGTAGAGTATGCGGAAGAGAATAAAGGAGATTAGCGGTGCAAAATATTCCTGAGGACTGTGGCTATGTGCACATTGAAGCTGCAGGTTCGCAAGTGTCTTGCTTTATTCCTATCAATTGATGGTGTTCTCGCAGCTAAAGTAGGGCGGCCCCACGGTCCTTAGAACGCCTTGTTTCTAGGATCTGGTGGACACCCCCTGGCAGATCTATCTCCACCATCTAAACGTTCTCTGCACGACCTAGACCAACCGCTGTGCACGAAAGTCCGTCGCCTGGATACTTCTCTCTCCGTTTTACTACAACCTTTGTTACACATCGTAACACATACAGCCAATCATATACACGTACTATCAGACTTCACATCCCCCGTCCGACCCCATGGTGCTTGACCCTGTGTCTTATCTGTTCCTGGACCCCATCTCCCGCCTACCTTGGGATAATTGTATCAAAAGCACAGATTTTGTTTCGCGATAGAATAAACAAGCCCCTAGCTGTAGGGAGTGCATCCTGTTGCCCCTTGGCAGCATGCAGCTATGCATCTACGCCCCGTTCATCTCGCCATCAAGGAGTATGTTGAATGATCCTCTCTATAAATGGTGTCCGACTCCCTACTCTTCGGTGTTCAGTTCTTCAACTTTTATATCTTAAACAGCGTGCGGTGCATACAAAAACTGAAAAGCCATGGGATTTTCAATTCACAGGAAAAAGAAGGGCGCAGCGTGAGTTCCCTTGCCTCCGATAGCTTGTCACTCAGACATAGCTTCCGTCCCTCGCCCCCACAAATACATCAAGCTCCATGACTGACAAGAACAGTTGCAATAAGTGAGAAGGAAAAACATCTCAAGCGCCTGCATAAAGTCGTTCCCTGGATCGAATCGCCGCTGGTTGGTGCCGACCAAAATGACCTCGTCTTCTCCCAACGGCACGAAGCAAACACTCTCGAACTATTCTTCGATCTGTTCTTTGTAGCCAATCTAGCTACCTTCACGACATATCATTCCGTTACTGATAATGATTACTTGATTGCCTATGTGAGCTTCTTCGGCATTCTGTGGTCTTGCTGGTTTCAAGTCACGCTACACGATGTACGGTTCGCTAGAGATTCACTGTATGAGCGAGCATGCAAGGTCATACAGCTTATTGTTTTTGTGGGATTGGCACTGGTTGGTTCGTCGTTCAGTCCTTCGGGGCCAGACGCAGATAACACGGTAAGTACGATTGGCCCTCCTTCATATACCTTGAGCTAAATCAAATGTTTGCAGAACTTCCGGATACTGTGCTATACTCTTACGCTGAGCAGATTTCTCCTTGCCATGCAATATCTAGTGGTCCTGGTAAGCTTCTATTCCAATAACTTCCCGTCCTAAATGAGACGGAAAAGTGAATTGACGCCGGGCAGTTTTATGTTTTCCGTGCAAAATACTCCAAACTGTACCTACCTTTGAGTATCATGGTAGCTCTTTACGGGATTGCAGCCCTGGTCTTCAGTACCATGATCGCCGCATTCAAAGAAGGTCACCAGGCCAAACGCGGTGTCTTCGCGATATGGTACGTAATGATGGTGACTGAGGCTCTGGGAGCGATTGCCGTCTCATGCATCTGGAGGATGTTGAGTTTCAAAAAAACGCATCTGATGGAACGTATGAGTTTACTCACTCTGATTGTCATTGGGGAGGGCGCTATAGGTGTTACAAAGACTGTTTCCAGATTGATGGGAAAGTATGGACTTGATGCTGAGGGATGTTTTCTTATCATGTGCATCATATGTTCCTTGGTAAGCCACGATCCATTAGCTTGAACCTCTATGAGGTGAACTGATGCTAATTGCATGCAAGGTATTGATCTGGGCACTTTACTTCGACAACGTGAGTTCCTAGGTATCATATTGATCATCCGACATGTAACTAAACTTGAATAGTTTCCCCACGGCCACTACGGGACCATCCGCCAACAGATCTGGTCTCTTCTCCATTTTCCCTTCCAACTTGCCATCGTAGGTGTCGTTGAAGGGAGCCAGCAAATCGCACTCGCCCGCTACGTCATCAGAAACTGGGAGAAGATCGAACAGACCAAGATCTCCGTATGTCTTAAGGAGCATCTCGACGGTCCCGCTCTGCGTGATGCCCTTCTAAAACTGCTCGACTACATGAAATTTAACACCAAACAAGACACTTGGATATACCACCTTTTCATTGAATCCTTTATCGAAGAGATTGGTAACACAACCGACATTTGCTCACCTACCAATGCGGCTACATACAAAGACCGTGAATCGTGGCCCCAGCCATTCTATAACGTAACACAACTGATGTATGACGGCGTATACCTCGGTTTGGGAGTAACAGTCCCAATGTACAAATACGAAAATGAGTACGTAGAAGACATTGCCAAAGAAAGCTGGAAGACTGTATACCTCTACTACTGGACTTCCGTTTGCCTATTAATAGCATGCTCACTCGTTTTTCTGTTACTCATCCGTCGCCACCGCATCGATATCTTCGACTGGGTCTCCGTCGGCACACGCATCGTCGCCATAATTATCGGTGCTTCGCTCATCGGAATCATCGCCCGGTATGATACCATGTACAGCTTCATCCGCTCATCGGCCATCCTTCCAATATTCCTCTCCCTCCTCTTCGCCATCCTCCTTTTCGACAAACTGAGCGCGGTGCTCGCCAATCTGTCTCTTAAAAAGAGCGGTCAGCCGTACGCACTGGAGTATGAGGAGGAGCATCACCACCACGAGCACCATGATGAACATGTCGAACTGCATAATAGTTCTCAGAATCATCCCGCGCATTCTTCGGCCCAAAAGTCCCCGGCTTGGACTTCATATAGCGAGGTTACAGACGAGGCTAATAGCACCGAGTACCGCTCCGTGAATGGATCCAACAGTTACGCAATGTTTAAGAATGCCGCGACACCATCTCCGTCGATGGCGCCAATGATGGCGATGGGGCCTTTGGGAGTTCACAGTGGCTATACGCCTGTTTATAATCCTTCGTGAGCGCACAATTGAGAGCAGCAGGTGGCTTTTTGTATTCCATTTAGACTGGGTTGTTTGTTTCCGCACTTTTTTTTCTTAGAACGTATCGAGGAGCTAGATCAAGTCATTCTGACGATTGGAGTTTTCGGACATTGTAACATTACCTCCTTGAATCTTCTTCGTTTCCTGTAACGCACATAGATTTTTTTCTTTTGTTTTCTCAACTGGTATCACGATGGGAGAGGACATATTTTAGCATAACGCCGTGTAGCATATAATCATCATTCACAATACATCTTTCATTTCCACGAAAATCCCCTATACATAAACTGCTCTTCGATCGTACACACAAGACTTGAAGCGCGCAATCTACTCCTCGCACCCAAAATCTTCTTACAAACCCCCTCAACACAAACACGGCAAATGTATGGTCTGGTAGTTACTGCACGTCTTCCCACTAGGCTGATCCGACCCCGTCTGAAGAAACAAATCGTAGTACCCCGCAGACGACGAAGCGCAAGCCAGGAAATTCAACTCTGTTCCCCCCATAACGAGTCGCACATTAGCATGTTTCTTTCCACAGTTGGGGGAAAGTGAATCAAGGAAAAGGTGGAGGGCACTTACGTCTCCCATAAGAACTCCCCTGCACAGTAATAATAGTATCACCTTCCAACCCCCACGCCGTCGTGCTCCCGCTCGCGCCCCAGCTCAACGGCTTATAGCTCGTGCTCGCTTCCGCGATGTTCAAAAACAGAGACGTTTTCTTGCTTTGGATGGTTCCGCCGATGGTAAATTCGTCGGCGTTGGATTCGGGGCCTAGCACGGGGATGGACGCTGCAAATTGTTTATTGTCAGCGCTTCCGTGGATGCAAGGAGTGGAAGGGACGTACAGTTACTGGGATTGCTTTGGAGGTAGAGGTGGTAGATTGGGTCGCGGACGCCGCGGATTTTTCCTACGGTTGCTGCGGCGGTGATGTCGTTGGCGTTTGGTGTGAGGGGTGCTGCGAGGGTTGATGTCGTTTGTAGGGCGACGAGCGCGAGGAGGGGGAAGAGTGTTGGAAACATGTTTTCTTTTCTTTCTTCTTACTTTTCTTTTTCGCAACTCTTGACTGCGCTTTGGTAGACGTGAGAGGAGTGATGGAGATCGATAGACGATCTGGTTAACACTGTGTCCTAGACTGTTTTCTCCTGTTGGGGACAGATCTAATTACTATAAGGAAAGAGTGCGGGGTTGGCATATATACGCATGTTTATATTATGTTAGATTAAGCACTCTCGCTGCTACATCTTAGATAGAGTGGTGATATGACTAGTGTTTCTGTGTATACTACCGCTAGTCATTTTTGGCGTGGTGCGTCCTCGGCACGCGGGAAAGGTAGGTTTCTCTGCCACCGCCCAGGGATTGCAATTGCTAACTATAATACCTAATTAAACCCCCTTAAGCACGGTTTACCCTTTTTCTTGTACCCATCCGTAACTCAGTACTACAAACTCAAATTAGAAATCTAGTTTATATTCTGCTATGAAGAGGCTTTGTTAGCGTCGCAGTCAGATCTTTCGCGGCCCTTGTTTACATGAAAGCATGGGTATTGCAACAGAATGGCGGCCTATTAGAGAGATCATAAAAGCAGCGCCGTAACCATCGCCTCAGATATTCATATATCAAAACGTCTTCTCTCCATTAGCTATTCGGATCCTAAGAAAGTGCGACTAGTGGTGAATCCTGGGGTTCGATACGCGACAGTCAGCCGTTGTTGGGGCTCTCGGAAACCTTTGACACCAAACTCTAACTCGCTTGCTACGCTTCAAGCAGAAGTCGAGTTCGCAACACTACCTCAAGTTTTCCTAGATACTATTTACGCAAGCAAATATTATTCAGTTCATCTGCGTTGGTCCGTTGAGTATATCTCAAGACTCGAAAGATGCTTGTATGTCATCTTTCTCGCTTATATTCTGCAAATTGACTGTTTGGACTGAAGAAAATCGTAGCACTAAGAAATAAATAAATGCATACAGGCTTGTAAAGTGTAAAACGACACCAACAAGATACCTAAGCTCATCAAGACGGATAGGTTGACATAGAGGAAACACTATAATAACCGCGAAGATACCGAAGATCGCTTGGGTGATTATGATAGCTCATAGAGATTTGTTGTGAGAGACTCGATGAGTTGAGGCAGATTGTAGTCTGCAATGCACATGATACCCCACGTTTCGCAACCATAAGCCCGCCGGGGACTGGACTTGGTCACATAAAGACGTGTAGAGACTGGAGCAAGCTTGAGGCATGAGCCGAAAAGAACATGGCATGTTTTCACCATGGTGAGGTGTCCATAATCGAATGGCTAATCATTTCAGGGATTGCCCTAATGGATCGAAGCCCTGGCTTAACGGTTGTCTTGGGTATTTGCTTATGTTTCTTGACAACACAAACTGCATGCTTTTATCGATTGCCTTCTTTTACGCACTGTGCCCTTTTATCAATTGTTGGGTTTACGGCGTAGTGGAAAAGTACGTTAGTGGCAGCAACTGGATATGGCAGGACATTGGTCAATACTCAAGTAATCGGAGCAAACATGAATATCTAGGATCTATCTTCGACCTAATGATTTGGTACCTCGGCCTCAATTATGCCGTCATGATCCAAATGCTCGTAGAGTGTGATGTTGCAAAAGCCAGCCTCTTCAAGAAGCCTCACCCATTGGGTTCTAGACCTTTCCATACCCCCGCTCAAAGTCATCATCACAAGATCAAACCTCGCTTGTATCTCCTCGGCTCCAGAATTTGGGAGAATAAGCTCATGAATGAGAAGCTTAGAGTAACCAGGCAGCATCGCTTTCCGGAGGCATCGCAAGATCTTGATGCAGTATTGGTCAGACCAATCGTGGAGGATATGATGCAGAAAATAGCCACGGGCCGCTGAAAGAGTTAGAGAAAGACAAGTGTCGAGTTGAGACCAGACTGACCTTTCACAGGCTGCTCGGTAAAGAAGTCATGGGGCATCTTCTCGAAGCCCGCCGGTAATTCATGTTCGCTGACCGATTCCAAGACAGGTGGTAAGTCCTGCAAGACCAGGCGGAACGAAACCTCGGTTGCAGAATCAGCAAAGGCCTGATGAAAGGCCAGCATATCGTGACCTTTACCACTACCGACATCGACGAGTAGCACTGAGTTATGAGATCGATCAAACCCGGTCAGTAGAAGCTTTCGCACATCATACCAGTCATGCCAATACTGGCGATTCCCCATCGTGTTGCCCATGAAGAGATTGAAGTCATGCATGAGCGACGGCATTGACTGGAGATACTGGAAAAAAGGCAATCGTGTTTGGAATGCATACTGCACGAATGTGTCTGTCGGCTCCGTTGGCACTTGATACTTGGTTTCGCTGAGATACTTTGGGGCCTTCATCGCCGATGATACAAGAACATCAAAACTGTGGGTTTAAGAAGGCGGTTAGAACGTACGACTGTAAAGGCATGATTTCGTGAACCTTACACAAATCTGTGGCCAGCCTCAATGGCTGGCATCGCCATTGCTTGGGTGGTCTCATTGGACTTCCATTCATCTTCTCCAGTGTTATCTACGAAGCCAGTAGCCGCTAGGAGACGGAGTATACGTGCTGAGACGTGAGCATTCTGTCATTGATAAAAACGAGGGGGTAAAAGAAACTCACAAATAAGAAGCTCATCTCCCCGGGTTAGATTTGCAAGCTGTTTGGATGTAACATCTCCTGAAGCAGCACAAATATGGTTGAACAGATCAAGATCAACAGCTATGCGAGCTGCAACAGTGGTATAGGGCTTGAAAATTAGGCTTACTTCAATCATCAACACGAATCACTTACCTTGAACACGAGATCTGTGGCTCGATTGACCGGCCCCTCCAAGATCGTTGTCACTTCTCTGGTCAGCCGTAATAGCTCTGCTTGGGCGCCTTGATCTTGTGGAAGCTGCGCCACATCAACACCTTGAATCTTGCTCATGAGGTTGGGAAGCCGATTCATTGTTTTCTGTATCGCTCACTGAAAGATTTGGAGAATTCTCGTCAAGGAAATGCGAGTCATAGGTAGTGGCAAGTCTTCAGGCTGGCTTTCAAAATGATTTGTACTGAAACGAACGCTTTGCAAACCGTGCCGCAATCGTATATTGCTTTACATGTGCCGTAGCATGGCCAGGCAATCTGGGCGCAGGCACAGCTCAACACCTTGCAGAATCACGCCAATTCTAAACACTAACAACACTCCACCAGATTCACTGCTTTGTATTCACGTCTACTCTGTACGCTACTCGCCATACTAATGATAATATAGTGGGCTTCAATAGATGCAGCGCATGTAATGCCTCGAAAAGTAAATGCTCATGGGCACAACATGCAGCAAATTTGCCATTGGCTTGACTACCTACGTCAGATACTGCTATACGCCGCAGATACAACACTGGTGCCTGTTGAAATTGCATGTGGGGGGAGGTCACTGGTTGCGGCCTACAAAGAAGCTGGAGGAGTTACTTGGATTTATATGTATGGATACAAAAGCGGTGAGCAAGTAATGCTTTTAGTTTGGGTGAAGATTAGATGAGGGCGGTGTAATTGTAAACATTTCCTCTGTGATTTTCTGTAAGCGCCTGTTTCATATGGCGCGGAATTTGTTGCGGTCAGAGACATGCCAAATAACACACCAAGAAGGAGGCCAACGTACAGATAACGGTTGTATGTGGTCCCATGGCTTCAGTACTGCTTACTTGAGCCAACTAAATCCATACCAGCTTTTGCCGCGTGGATCTGTTGTCGGTTCTGAGACTCCTGTTTGCCATTCTTATTCACGCTCGCTATTATGAGTTTTGTTGAGATGAGAATGATGATGCAGCGTCTAGAGTTCATCATCATGAAAAAAGGATGAGACATGCTCAGGTAAGTACAGTACTCCACCCTATCTGCACAAGCACTGCCAAACCACTAGTCACGTGCAACAAAGCCCACAACATTGAATACTAGAAGCTTCAGACATTGGAACCCACTGTCTTCTATTTCACAGTCTTCCAATGCTGATTATTATATTAAAAGCAACGACGAGCATGACATGTCAACTGTATATCGCTGTGAAGTCCTTTCTGCATCTGCATACACGATGCGATGAGCGCATTCGTAAGTTTCCTTCGCTAGATAGGCGGGTCAATATGCTTCATGAGTACACAAGAAGTCAAGAAGCCATCCCAGCTGTGTGCTTTGCAATCCTATTGCCAATTTGCGAAACAAAGTTTGGGTCTGCAAGATGTGTAGCCCTCAAATGCTGTTAGGAGTGAGCAATGCTATATTGATTAACACGTACTACGTATAACCCAAGAATCTAGCAAAATCCAAAATGGAGAATTTTGGTGGCTGGTCAATGTGAAAAGGATGAAGAGCAACTCGGAATTGTCGGCACCTGTGAAGCGGGCCGAGAACCGACAATGTATTCATGCCGAGAGCTATCATAACGCGATCGTGATATGCGACGGAATTGGTATAGCATTTTACAACGCATTTTATGCATTCTTCAGAAACTCTATCAATAGTTGATTGTTGGTCCTGTTATTGGCTGCTCGTCTCGTATTACCCATATCTTGGTCGTAGTGGAAGCGAAAGAGCATTTTTGAACCTACCAGCCAATTTTATGTACACATACTACTAGATACATCTGAATGTTATTTGACACCGGTGTAGTTCTATCGCATGAAGCTGCCATTGATTCGCAGAGTACCTGTCTTTGTTCTAAAGATAAACTGTCAGGCAGGCAGTCACGCTGCAGCAGCTTCCCACCCCACATCCAAGAGTTGATCTATAACGTCATACAGACGTACTAAGAGAACATAGCTCAAAGAGCACTCCACCTCCACAACCACCCACTCCTAGCCACGTCTATAACACCACGTACCATTCCTCACTACTCACAACAGCATTCCCCCCTAAGATTCTTTTCTACGAAACATTCCACGAAACCAATTACAGCATGTCGACCATGGATAAAATCAAGGACAAGCTGCACATGCGTCGGAAGTCGCAGTCCCAGGACGACGTAGACTTCATTGCGCAGCGCACAAACCGTGAGTTATGACGCCATCAACCCTAAATCAGATTTCCATTCCTTTGGTTTTTGCTATCAATTCAATATATACCTCATCCCTACTGCTTACAGTTCTTCTCATTACATCTCCATCGTCGCGTTGAAGTCTGGTGTTAATCATTCACAGAGCACCGCGAGTCCATTGACGAGGAACTATCGGCAATGTCTCCTGCGGAACGCGAAGCATACCTGAAAGAATTCGAAGACGTGGAGAAGAGTGGCGATGCGAAAAAGGGCAGCCTGATTGACAAGTTGATTGCGAGGGGAAACAAGAGGACTGAGGACCAGTTACTCGAGGAACAGAGGCAGAGAGAAGCTCTACAGGCAGGACAGGCTCCCACAACAACCAAGTGATACACGCAGAGGAAGAGGTGAAGCAACACCTTGTACACGTTCAGGACCTCGCACGATGAAGAGCAAGCTTGCGGAAGTGGGACTTTACGAAGAAACGGCAAAATCACGACATATCATTGGGCTCTTCCTCTCCTTTCTACCTATTCATGCCGTATACATATATAACGGTCTTCCGTAACTCCTACCAGCAATCAAAACGTGGATCCTACTCTCGGCCAAACTGAATTGACTAGTCTTCCAAAAGTTTCCTCGTCAATAACTGCTCCAAAGCTATACAGAGAATCAGTTTAAGATGCAACAAATCACAACAAATTCATCTTTGACTTACCCATGGCACTTCATCTTTTTGAGCATCTCTTGTGTTAACCATTTCAACCTGGCTAGGTCTAGATTTTCGAACCCCCAGCATTGGCGTAGTCGTGCCCAAACTTGTACGGGCGCAAGGCCGCCTTCGAAGTCGAGTTCCGTAGACAACTTGAGCAAGTTTTCCAGTGCAACATAAGGTGCCGACCATTCTGTCTGTTCCGGCATATCTGCGAGCTGTTCAGACGAGTGCTGCAAAAGAGAAGCTGTGGCTGTGAACGTGTGGCATGTTGCATGGTCTGCACCATTGGCAATTTCTCCTTGAATGTGGCCGAGACAGGGAGACTCGAGACTTTGTTGCTATTAGCAAAGAGGTTGCAGAAGGTGCTGCGAGAGATACTTACGTGAGAACAAACTCGATGCCAAGTTCGGTCAGAGCCAATTCTCCCACTTTCGGGTTAGTCACAGATAATGCATTACCTTGACCGGGCTCGAAGGCTGCGTCTGTTTTTGTCAGAATGTATGTGATAATAGACGGAGATATTGGGTGGCCGACTCACCCTCTCTTCCTCTATCTTTCTTCAACCCGAAAAACGAACGCTTCGGCGCACCAGTGCCATTTCCCTCACTCTCAGTCAACCACAAATTCCCACCCGCACCACCACTCACATCAACATGCAGCTGGCGATCCCCCATCGGGTTCTGTGCAATCTGAATCGAGGTCCCCGTGATCATCCTATCAACACCCCCCGCGTTTGGCGCCTCAAGCCAATCCGTCTCCTGCAGGTACGGAATTCCATTCTGCGCAAGAATCTTCTGCAGTCTAGCTAATTCCTGCTCGTAGGAGTGGGTCTTTAGTAGTAGATAAGATTCCGAATTGCGCAATTGCAGAATTTCGGACTCGAGGTGCTTGGTGTAGGATTCTTTTCGTTCGCGATGTGTGCTGTGTTGGACAACCGGGCACGGATGTGTTACTAATGTTGAATTCTTTCTTCTTTCTGTAATTCGAGGTGGAGGGGCAGAGTCGAGTGCAGAAGGTGGTGTGGTGTGGTGTGGGGCTTACCGTTGAGCTCGTCGCACTTGCTCTCTTCGCTTTTGATAGGCAGCGCTGTCTTTGTTTTTGGGTTCGTTGGGGCCAGCGTCGGGACTGTTGGATTCTATTTACGCTTGTGGTTAACCGTTTTTTCTTCTGCGTCTGGGACCATGGGGTGCATGGTTATGTACGATGGACCGTCGCGCGTTGATTGTAGGGATGCTATTGCCTCATTTCGTCCGACTATGACGATCCGGTGCTGCCGGGGTACGTGCATGTTCCACAATGCTCGTACGCGGTGTGACAGCCGCTCGCGTATACAGACGTGTTTGTGTCATGAACGAGAGTGATGAGAAAGTTCTTACCTTCTTTGGGTGACCTCTTATATTGGCGGAATGTGAAACTCTTCATCTTGTACAATCGCGTGTAAGCTTCCCGGGCAGCCGGTACGATATTTTTTCCTATGTATAAGACGTGCCTTGTTGTTGGTCAGATCCATTTAGTCCAGATGATGTGCTAGAGACAAGACTTACTAGCTGTAGATCCACACCGCTCACGCAGTATCGACCTCAAGATAACTGTAGAACAAAGCTCCGTCGTAGGATTACCGGCAATGGGACTGCGTATGCTGAGATCCTCGAGTCTTGCTATTCTGTAGCCAAAGCAGATTGCTTGGTAACACTTTATATGTTTTTTCCAACACTCTTGAGGATATCCGCAGCTGTTGCTGATGCTCTTTGAAATGACAGCTTCGGAAAACCGACTCGCAAGGCGGAAGGATAAACCAATCTACTCAGCGTTACATAAACCCCCGCAGCTAGCTGAGGCTGAGAAGCAGCTTAGCCCTACTGCCCGCCCCTATTAGAACGCGAGTTCCCAGTTCCACACTTCTTGGCGATAAGATCTGACAGGGTGACGTGGTGAAGCCGCTTCCTCTAGCACAGGTTCCTGCACTGGTTTTGCTGCTTCGAGTAGTTTTGTTGTTGCAGTAGTTCAAGTGAGATGATTCCCTCTCGGCGCTTATTGTCTCTGTTCGCTTAAAAGTAGGACGTGGGATGAACGATAATGCGGATGAAAGTTGTGCGCGCGCAACAGGCGGATGGATGGTGGACGGATGTAAGCGTTCGGGCGGGCATTGACCCCCCTTTTTTTGCTTGTTTGTTGGAGGTGGTTAGCTTGCTGCAATCGTCGTTTCGTTGGTTGGCTGGGATATTGGGTGTTCCGGATAATTATACGTCTTTTAATGATCTTGCTTTACAACCGATTTGAATGTGATGAATTATTATTTTAGACATTTCCATTGTAGAAATGGCCGTTGTACCTACGCTGATATTCTATGTTACAAACAATGATAGACGCGTGTGATGCAATGACAAATGCTGGAAACAAGCACCCATGTCCTAGCCAGGCCAACCGAGAGAATATTTGGAATAAGTAGCGAAAACACTGCCCCGGAAAAATAATATGGTGATGTTCACCCTAAATAACATGGACATGAAAGAAAAGAGGCTATGCATTAAATCATATCAAGAAGATCATCCATCCAGCCACGCTCAGCAAGATGCTCTCCACCCATCTATCGAATCCTGCCTGACTCAGACTGCTTCCGCCCCCAGTGCTCGGTGTGGAAGACGCGACTTTGTTGGCGGCGCCACCAGCGTTATCACCGCCAGAATCGCGGGCGCCGGTCGTTGAAGCTGAGACCGAAGCCCTTGTGGGGCTGTAAGTTGATGCCTGGCCATAAACAACGACGTCGAACCCGCCCCCCGATCTCGTCGCAGGCATCGAGTAGATCGTTCCAGACACGGTGACGTTGCCACCGGGCGTGAGCGTTTGTCCGGCACCGATCACGAAAGCGGTCACGCCACCTATCATGGACGCTGATACGGGCACTCCATTGGGTAAGGTCATGATTGGGAGTGGCTGCTCCAACGTTGACGTCCTGCCGTTGACGACGAGTACGGATCCGGACGCTGTAGCGGGCATGGAGTACGTGGTTCCGGATACTGTGATGGCGGATCCAGGTGCCAAAGTCTGTCCTGGAGCGATAGCGAAAACGGTTGTACCATCCTTCACTGTTGCGCTGATGACGTTTTGCTCGCCACCGATTGTGAGGACTGGTAGAGCTGCTGAAAGCGTAGAACTAGCTCCGTTTACGACGAGGACTGAGCCAGATGCTGTGGAAGGCATTGAGTAAGTGGTTCCCGAGATAATCACTTCGCTGCCTGGCGCAAGTGTCTGCCCAGGGGCAACCACGAAGGCATTTGTTCCATCTTTGACAGACGCGGTGATGCTACTCGTACCACCTAGAGTCAGAACAGGTGAACCTCCGGCGATAGTTGAAGACGCTCCATTCACAACAAGCACTGAGCCAGAAGCTGTTGAAGGCATCGAGTAAGTGGTTCCTGAAATGGTCACCTCACTGCCCGGCGCAAGTGTCTGCCCAGGCGCAATCACGAAGGCAGTCGTTCCATCATTTACCGAAGCACTGATTTGGCTGGGTCCACCAAGAGTCAGAACAGGCGAACTTCCAGCAATAGTTGAAGTCGCTCCGTTGACAACAAGCACTGATCCAGATGCTTCTGTCGGCATCGAGAATGTAGTCCCGGACACAGTCACCACACTGCCCGGAGCAAGAGTTTGTCCAGGTGCAACAACAAAGGCAGTAGTTCCGTCCTTCACCGAAGCACTGATTTGGCTAGGTCCACCGACTGTGAGGGCCGGAGAAGCTGCACTCAACGTCGAAGTCGCGCCATTGGCGACCACAACCGAGCCAGATCCCGACGCGGGCAAAGAATATGTCGTCCCCGAGACGGTAGCGACTCCACCAAGTGTAAGAGTGTCTGACGGGCCAAGCACAAAGACGGGAGTTCCTCCAATGACGCTCGCGGGTATTTTATCTCCGCCTAATGAGATGGTGGCTTTTTCCGTGATCATAGGAGGTGTGGGTGTAATGGTATGTGTGGCGCCATCTACGATAAGTTGAGAGCCTCCTCCTGATGTGGGAACGATGACAGTTGCTCCATTCATAATGGTGGTTTGGCCAGCGCTCAGTGTTTGAGAGCCAATGACGACATCCCCAGAAAAATTTGGTGCTTGGTTAGGCTGGCTACCCAGCGAGGTCTGTGGAGCAGGTCGCAAGAGCTGGTTCGGTGGATTTTGCCCTGTTTGCGCGCCGGTCTGCACTGGTAGATTCAGTATGTTCGATCCTGCATCTGGGCCGGCTGGAACAGGTTGGTTTGATGGATTTGACCCTGCCTGCGGGAGGGGCTGAGACGGATTCCCCTGGGACGGGTCTGCCGGTGGTGGTGGAGCATTTGGTATCGTGGGGTTGTTAGGATTCGGAGCGGGCTGCACAGGAGGTTGCACATTCGGCTGAGCGGGATCGTTAGGTCGCCCTGGGTTTGCTGGGGGCAAAGCAGGGTTGTTTGGTACCGGTATCCCAGGACCTGTTGGAGGTTGTGAAATTGGCTGGGAAGAATCGCTTGGGAGTGTATTTGGGCCGTTTACGATAAAAGGATTATCAGGGTTTGATGGAGGTTGGACAGGCTTGAACTGTGGAGTGTCCACGGGGCGCACGTCAAAGGTTTCGTCGCCAATCTTGATAGTATTCGCAGGAGGTGGGCTGGGCACTGGTGGAAAGAAAGAAAAGGTCGTAGAAGGCGCCGGCGGAATTGTGACGGGCTCTGGTGCGAGGTCCGGCTCCACGTCAGGTCGTCCTCGTTGATTCTGAGCAGGATCGGTAGGACTTGGCGCATCGCTGTCGCATCTGAGACAGCCTTGTACTGTGGTGTGGGTTGTGGTGTATTCGAATGTAGTGCTGAGGTATGTCGAGGCAGGTTTATCTGATGTCTTCGGGAAAAACGCACTCTGGGTTGGTGCCGGTTTCGAAGGCTTTGGCGGCCGAGGTGGATTTCCTTTCGAGGGTAATCCTTGGTTAGGAGGGTTTGCAACACCAGTTCCAGTAGCTGTAGCACTAGATCCAGTCGAGGTTGGTTCTTCATCACCAACGCTTTCAGTAGGATCTGGTGCAGTATCACCACCACTACTTTCACTAGGAGCTGGTTCACCTGGTGCAACAACACTACCTGATTGACTTGGTGCACTAACACTACTAGGGGAAGTGCTGGTTGCCGGTTCCTCGTCGATAGGAAAAGATTCAGTGGGTGCCTCCGCGGGGGCAGTGCAAGTGGCAATATCATGTCCGGCGAACTGTTCCTGTAATTGCGGATTCTGTTTCAAATAACCCAGAAGACGGGGAGGAATGCCTTTGTTCTTTGGCCCCGCAGTTGGTCTTCCTGTGAAGGTTTCGATGAAGAAATCCCAGTCTTCGGTGCGTGTAGGTGTCGCATATGCTAGAGGGGAAGCTTGCGGGCTGCAAGCTGTCTGACTGATCAACGCTCCAGACTCCGCCGTGTGTGGTGAGTTCAATCCGCCCTCCATGGCTTGATATATAACATAAACTGGCCCCACTTCTCGATATAAGGTGACCCCATCAGTGGGAACTATCTTGAAAGTAGGGGCCCCATGCGATACTGTTTGATTCCCGGCAAACACAACTGTCTTGGTCTGTGACAGGATTTCTTGAACGACCTCTGTGGTCTGGAGGACTGGAGGCTCTCCAGTATAGTAATGTATAGTCTTGTTGAGGATCGTTTCAGTAACAACGTAAGATGACCAGCTCGGACCTGTTGTTGTTCTGCTTCTGAGGACATCCAAGTTACAGCCTGTGCAAGTTCCATTCCCCGAAATGAGCGCGAATGGAGGCCTCGATTTTGTAGATGGGACGATGGCCGTTGTTATTGTGCCATTTCTTGTAGCGCCAGGGCGAATCGATGTCGTTCGGATTGATAATACGGAGCTATTTCCAGCAGCTTCGGGGCGAAATGATGTTGTTTGGATCGATAGTACAGAGCTGTCTCCAGCAGATGTTGTTTGGATCGATACTATGGAGCTATTTCTAGTAGCTTCGGGGCGAGTGGTTTGTATTCTTTGCGGTAGATTCGATTGTTCGGCATCTACTGATGTAACAGCTTTCGATTCCGTATTTGAGACAGCGCTAGACGATGAGATAGATGTCTTGGTGCTCGAGGAACTGGACAGGGATGAGGACGTCGGCTTTGAGGAAAGGCTTGTTGTTGCCCCTGATGCTATCGATGAACTCAATGCTGTTGTCGAATTTACTGCTCCAGTCAATACATTGTCAAAGTTAAGCTATCATCGTTTTACGCACATGCTGTTGAAAGTTAGACTATAGTATTAAACACGGTATGATCTCTCAAACTTACCTCTCCTATAGTCTACCTTAGGCCGTTGGAATTCAGCATCAAAACCAGCTTGTGAGCGACCAGCTAATACCACTCCACATAGCAGCGTCCATGATCGCATCTCTGCTGGATGTGTACACGCCAAGCAACGTACTTTCCAGATGCAAAGGATGAGGAATCTGGTGCGATTCAAATTATCACCGACTATAACTACGGCGTAGTCAGACAAGATTGTAGGAGCGGATTTGACTATATATTGGTACCCGTGCTTTGGGGCGCTCGATCCTTTCTGCAAATTCACTTCGCCTTGTGCTCACAGTGAAGTGGGTCTGGCGTCACGCTGACATGATGAAGCTCGGTCAACCTGGCATTGAGTAGGGTGTTGTGGAACCATGGTTTTTGGCCCCATTTTCGAGATGTTGGCGGTTGGCCGCGTTTCATGCTCGACGTTCATTGAGCCAACGTACTGCATTGGTGCTTGGCAGCTTACGCTGTGGAGATTGGAATACCGAAATAGAGCTGAAATTCGGAGGCTGAGTCTTCGCTTCCGCAGTAAGAATGGGACCATCGGCACACTCGCATTCTCTTATTCTAATTTTCTTAGTAAACATTACTGAATGCTTGAGTGTATGGCATTGGAAAAAGCAGGCATTGCACTCAAAATAAAAATTGCAGCCCCATCAAATGGAAGCCGGGTTAAAGAAATCCCCGAGTGTGGGCGAGATGCGACGTTCAACACAGTAAGCCATCTGTTCGAGCGTCTGGGTGCGGATCGGCCACATCTACGATTGTAGCTAGCTCTATGTAAGCCGGACATTGACGAGTCAGGGTACCCTTACCAATTATCGACTTCGCCTCTGGAATTCTACGATGTGTGTCTTTAAACGGTGAATGTCAGGGGGCGTTTCTATGCGGGTGTTCGATAATACTGGCCAAATCTTGGAAAAGGCACCCGTCCTGGCGGATATTGAGACCTCTGATCCCACAGACTCTCTTCAAAAACTATCACAACGCGTCGAGGTCTGGATTGCCTATCCCTCAAATCCTGTGGGGAACATCAGCTGCGCCTCTTACATTTTTTCCTTTTTCGATCGGTCTATTTCTCACATAATGCATTGCGGCGCATTCTCGCTCACTTTCTAAGCATCGCACATATCTATACACGTCGTTGCGATGAGTCTCCAGGCTTCCATTGCGCGACATCGCCCGCGAGCTGCAAGCTCGCCGGCCGAGGTCGAACCCTACGTGGTGCCGCCTTCACAAGAGTTCAATGGCAACGATGGTAGTTGGAGTACATTCAAAATCAATGTTGGGGGGCAAGAGATGCGGGTGCTGGCGTCGACCAAGAGTGGAGAGACATATGTGATTGCTCCGGATGGATGTACAGATCCGCGGGATCCATCGGATTGTCCTCAGCTTCGAGGCGCTGGCCTGCTCAACAATGCACAAAGTAGTGGCTTCCAAAGTAACGCTTCTTCAACGTGGTCATCCATCGGGCAGTTTGAAATCAACTTGGAAAAGAACGTCGGCTACGCGGGTAGGGGGGAGTATGGCTACGACACGGTGTCTCTGGGTCCAGCTTCCAGCAGTGCGTCAGTTTCTATGGACAAACAAGTCGTAGTCGGCGTCGGATCTCTGGACTACTGGATAGGACACATCCCGTTAGGAACCCCCGAATCATCGTTTTGTACCTCGTGCGAAGCCGATAAATCCCTCCTCTGGCAACTCCGAGACAATTCCAAAATCCCCAGTTTGTCCTTCGCCTACACAGCAGGCGCCAAATACAGATCCAAATCGCCTTTTGGTCAACTCATCCTCGGAGGTTACGACACAACCCGCTTCAAGCCAAATCAAAATGATTTCTCGTTCTCGTTCTCAACCAACCCGACCCAGCTGCTCACGGTGGGTGTGCAATCTATTCAATCTACCAATACGCCTAAGGGATCTTATACTTTCTCATCGAAAGCCCATTTTTCCCTTGTCGACTCCACAGTTCCACACCTCTGGCTCCCCCGCGAAATCTGCGACGAGTTCGAAGACGTGTTTGGCCTGACCTATGACCCAGAAAAAGATCTTTACCTTGTCAACGATACGATGCACGACCAGTTGACATCTCTCAAGCCCGAAATCACTATAAAACTTGGGAACTCACTTGAGAACCATCCGCAGAATCACACAAGCGTCGTCCTCCCTTACTCGGCGTTCGACTTACAGGCCTCATACCCCTACTATAACAAATCCACAAATTATTTCCCCATACGCCGCGCGGCAAACGACTCGCAGTATGTCCTGGGCCGTACTCTCCTCCAGGAAGCCTACCTGGTTGTCGACTATGAACGCAGCAACTTTTCCATATCGCAAGCTACGTATGCCGACCCAGCGCCCCCAGCGAACCTCGTCACCATCTCGCCACCCTCTACCTCGGAATCAAGCTCGAGTGGACTCAGCAGTGGCGCCATCGCAGGGATCGTGATCGGTATCGTCGCCGTTCTCATTGGCATTGCCGTTGCTGTCATTCTATTCCTCCGTCGCCGCCGTAACCAGAGCCGCAAAGACGCTGCATCGCGGGACATGAACTTGAAGAACCAGAATGAAGGCCACGCAAACGAACTTGATTCTGAGTTCTCGGAGAGGCGGCGACATGACCAGCCGACTGAACTCGCTTCTGAAGACGTAGAGGAGCTAGTGCCTTCGCAGTACAAATTCAGAGGCGCGTATGGCCAATCCACGTCCGGCCTATCGTCTCCAGTGATGCCACAGGAATTATCGGAGCAGACCTTCACGCCGGCGGTTGAGCTGCCGTCGAGTACTCAGTACTACGAGATGGAAGGAGATATGGGCACAAAAGAGCGAAAGGGAGTGTGAAAAACATAACACGAAGGACCAAAGAGACAAAAGGTCAAAAGCAGAAAGACACCACATAAAAATGGTAAAGACAGAGGAGGGAGAAGTGCAGGCCTGTCTTGAAAGAATCGAACGATGCTATCCCGCCTGGAACCTATCTAGCGAATCAGTAGCGGTTTTGCCGATCGCCACCAACCCGTTTAAAGAATCGAGGCTAGACTGAAGACTTCCTACTCACCAGAGGAAGATTCGCGTCCGGTACCTTGGTTTCGGGTTTTCTACAGGATTTGAGCATGCCTTATCGTAGTATCCAACAATGAGGATGAAGCAGGAACGCCAAATCACCGTAGCCTCGGGAACGGGAAGCATGCCACGATAATGTTCGTATCTTCGATTTATTCCCCGAAAGCAAGGAAATTGAAGAAAACTTGACAATGGGATGGTATTGAGTCGGACATCGTCTACGAAATCAATGTAAGGGGATAGTCGTGGGAAAATCTGGAAAGTAGTGAATAAACTTTTGTTCTTCGACACGGAACGAGCTTGATGAGAACCATAGAGATTCAGAGGAGAATTGAAATATCGCGCAAGAACTTCATGGTTTCCTTTCTTATCCTAGCAAATGACCAACAGTTAAGCCCCACATGTTTTCACTGTGTAAACTTCATGATGAATTCACGAGGTCACATGAGACTATCAACTACCGAGAATTGTTTCCATGCGGGAGAAACACCAGAGATTAAAGATAAGGAAGGTGAATTAAGAAGAACACTATACAGAACAAGAGTTCACCTGCGATAATCGCTTGCAGAATGATGTCATTGGACATGCGAAGAACCCCAAATCAGCACTAGCTTCATCTCAGATTGGCAGGTGAACATTTGAATAGTTCAGATATTATGGCTCAGGCATAACTCCTCCTGCCTTCGGAGTTTTATAGATACGTGGAATGCGGGGGTACGATCAGAATGGTGACTCGTGGAGGCCCATCAGTTAATGTCCATAGTGGGGGGCTTCTTGAACATTATATAGTGACAAGATTGGTTTCTCTTTTCCCTATTTGTAGAACTGCATCTCTGTCTGCTTCTACAAAGAAAATGCAATTTAAGCAGCTTTCTGGCCTGACGGTACTTCTGGGTGTAGTCTATATTGTCGAAGTAGTACTTGCGCAGGCATGTCGTCCGGTACGTATCCCCATTGCAATGGCAGCAGCTACGCCGTTCAGCGAGAACCGAGCACTATGTCCTTCGTTCTTAATTGTGGAAATCATACAAAAGAATTTTTACTGATGAAAGTTCCGGCTCCATGTACAGTTGCCATCCCTGGACGGCGGCAGTGCACCCTCCATTGGGCCACTGCTAGTATCCGTGATATTCGTTGATTTTCCCGACTTCCCGGCTCAGAACTCGACCGAGGAGCTTTACAACACCATGATTGATGCACCGGATCTGTACAAGACCATGTCATATGGCAAGCTTGATCTCCAAATGCAACCGCAGTTGGAAGGGTTCTACCGCATGCCGAACCTTTCATCCAACTACAACTATGCGCGCGGTCTCACCACTGAGGACCATGTTCGGTACATCAATGACGCGCTATCAGCAGTCGGCAAAGCAGTAAGCTTTGAGGGAGTCAACGTACTTTACGTCGTCCCCCCGAGGGGTGCGAAAGAAATATCCTTTTCGCCAACCGCGATGGTACCCGTGACAGCTGCAGACGGCACGGTGATTGGTAACACAGTGACGTTTGGTCAAGATATGTGGGATCGCTGGGGTTTCAAAACAGTGAATCACGAAACTGGACATACCATGGGCTTACCCGATCTGTATCCGTACGTCAATGGCACAACAACACAATGGGTGGGCGGCTTCGATATGATGGGATTGATCAGCGCGCAAAGCCCGGACTACTTCGCCGTATTGAAGTGGCAGCTTGGTTGGATCGACGACAGCCAGGTAGATTGCGTGGAAAATTCCGGCATCACGACGCATAAAATCAGTCCGATTGAGGTTGAAACTGGCTCCAAGAAACTAATAATGGTTCCCATTGACTCTACTCAAGCGATTTTGGCGGAGGTGCGCTCGACGCTCGGCATTGACGAAGGCGCATGTGGGACTGGAGTTCTAATATATCAGATCCTTCCCGAAGTAGGGTCTGGCAACGGGCCTATTCGTGTCTTTGATTCGAAGCCAGGCTCCGGTGGCTGCCAGATTCCCACTGGAAATAGCACTGGAGGAGAATTGAGTGATGCACCTTATCAAGTGGGGTCCAAATTCACTTCTCAACTTGGGGTTTCTATCACAATATTAGAACAAGAGGGAGAAGACTATATTGTCGAAGTTCAAATTTGTGCACTCGAATTTTTCGGGTAAAATCATACTCCAATTCTTGATTTTTATTTCATGCAGATTCATGTCGCGTGTCGAAGAGGGTGACAGTTAACAGAGAGAAGTGTGCTCAATGCTGCAGTTCGAGACCGAATAGAGGGTCGAGAAACCAGTTGTCTTGGTCGGTAACGATCTCGGAATACTCCAAAGAATTACGCCCGTCATTTTCAGCTCCGCTTGGAGGATTGCATGCAGGAATAGTTCCTCCATGTTCAATGCCAAAATGTCGGGGAGGTTGACTGAAGCTCATAATAATGGCGTCCATGTCGAGCGCGTTCAGACTTTCATCGAAATCAATAGTTTCGTTCGCATATGTTGGTGATGTTATATTGGAGGGTGGATCAAGAGCACTTGATGAGGACATGGGCATTTGTCCATCTAGACATCCGTCCGTTCGAGATGGAATTGCCGTGAAAGACCCCGCATCCACACCAAGTCGATTTGCCAGAGCCAAAAGAATTTTCATCGATTGCCTCGGAGCGTGACAAATCTCCTGATGGTTGGATAAGGTCTCAAAACAGCTCCACAGCATTTTCTGAAACTGTGAACCCCCAGGTTCTTGTGCCGCGGTTTCTTGTGCTGCAATGCGGGCATGAATTGTCCCACTGGCATAAGTCGCGTAGGAAATGAAGTATGGACACGTCTTGAGACAGAAATGCGTCTTATATAGTTTCAAGATGCTGTCGATTTCGATCGCAGCGTTTGCGCAGGCAGTGAAAGCCGAGCTAGCCTTTGTAGAGTCAAGGGCGTGCAGGTGACCGTCGGACACGAAAGGGCGGAATAAGAGGATGACCAACGCGTGGTACATGGACCTGAGCACGACTTTTAGTGTTTACTCCGTATACTGACATTGGGAACTCTTACATGAGTGAAAGTGTGTGAGGTAATATGTCAAACGACTCTGGGCCCTCGCCTTGTAAATTGAGATGAGGAGGCAAAGCAATTCGCCATTCCTCCAGGTTGGTTTGCAATGCTAACGATCTCTGTAACAATATGCTTGGATCGGTTTGGAAACTTTTTTCGGCATATAGTGTGGTGATAATGGATTCGGCCACGATGCAGAGCTTGCATAATTGTTCAAATGTGGACCTACTTCTTGTCGGAGTACTAAGCTGCATAGGTACAATGGAGTAGGTCAAGCTATGGAATGGTTCCAGCTCCTCGTAATCGTCAAGGAAATCAGTGGAAACGATGCAGTCAACGTCTCGTAAGCGAGGAGGGCGGCCTTGATATATGGACTGGACCTTATCGGCGACTAAGGAGTATAAGTTGTAGTTGCAGAGATACTGGGGTTTTGCGGCACATACTGTAAGCCGACCAGAAAACTCGACGACCGATTTCCTGGTCTTCTGCTGAGCCTTTTCGATAGAATACAGAGCGCTCAGTATGCACTCCAAGGTCTATGATCATACTAATTGCTATACCTAGATAATGAGAAGAGAGACTTCTTTCATCACACCAAGAGAAAAGAGTATCAGCTATCAACAACAACGCCTGGATCGTAGTTATACTGCTCTTGTTCAGCAATCGTGTGTCACTATTAGCATGATGTAACATGTCTTCGGCCTTCCGACGAAATGTCATCCCGCTTATGGAGTCAGGAGTAGCGTGATCGCTAAACTGCGATGATGGATATTTCATACCGGCAAACATGATCGCAAATAGAAGAACGGGAGAGAAGTAAGGGCCGCTGTTTGCCATATCTCTCATGAATGCTGGTCGGTAAACCACGGTTCCCAAGTGATGCTGTCGATTCCAGAAAACTTGAAGAAGCTCGTAGCCCCGTTCAGAACTAATATTTTCGAATTGCAGTTTTCGAGCCTTCAGATTAATTCTCTCTAGCTGGCCTGATTGCTAAATAAGACTCTGGTCATGGGCTGGAGAACAATATTTTGGGCTTACGTTGTCTTGCGGCTTCGGCAAACAAAGCACTTCTCACATTAGTGTTCCTGACTTTTGTAGGATTGACACTGCTGGACCATGCTGCGGCTGTTTGATCATGCAAGACACTAGAAGGACCATGAAAATTGGCACCTATCGCATCAATGGCGGTAGTTGATCGGGCAGCTGTGGCAGCCCGAGATGGTGCGTCATTGAGTGTGTCTGTGCGAACGGTGGTCGTAGTGTCGATTGAACGCGCTTTTTGTGTGTCGATAGCAGCTCGCAAATTTTTGTTCTCTTCCAAGAGATGCGCGATCCGCGAATTGGAAGGCCTATAGGAGATGTCAATGAACTATTCAGTTAGAAAGGAATATATGGGGACCTCACCGTTCGCTGAATCGTTCTGCATAGGTACACTCCCGACTATGAACTATGCACTTTGTGCATTTAGGTTTCTTGTTATCGCATCCTAACTATTATTTGTGAGCTTAGGTTCACTGAGGTGCACAAAAATAGTTGTGCCGATAGGGTGGGTGGTTGTGTACTTTTCTTCGACGGCAAAAGTCGCACGCGGCGGCAACCCGCTGTTTACGACTCCGTGTAGAAACACCTGACACCATGTTCTTGAAAATCAATTTGACCTCAACTTGGTGTTCAATCCAGGATGAATTACGTGAAAACGAACAAAAAAAAAGATGACGGGATTCTGAAAGTGAAGGATTCACGGGAAATATGCGTATATTGCCACTCCTGCCTAGCCAACTCAGGCGCCCCGCCCCGGCCGAGTAGCGGAACACGCATCCGCTATCCTCCACCCAGTCCACCGTTGGCGATAACTATCAACAAACCATCTACAGCAGAGCCAGAAGTGTCTCCGCAGTACGTTGCAATAGTCCAGTATAGTATTCATCCCCAAGAATGCCAGAACCATGATCGAGGATGAATTGAAGTTGCGCGGGCGGGACATCCATTGGAACTGGTTCCAACTGTTTAGCCCCGTAATCACCATTAGGTGATCTGTCAATTGGAGGTGACGCCTCAAAAGTCAACGCTCCATCGTAGCCTATCTCCTTCAGCGTGGATATTATTCGGTCCCAGTCAAACGACCCATCGCCTGCTGCCAGGCGGTTGTTGTCCGCCACATGAACATCGACGATTTTTGGCCCACAAGCGCGCATGGCCGCGTACAAGTCTCGTTCCTCCAACGCAAGATGGAAAGGATCGAACGCAATCCCACAGTCAAAACCGACCTCCCCTGCTAAAGCGAGCGCCTGGTCTGTTCTGTTCAAAAAGCATGTTTCAAATCGGTTCAAAGGCTCCAGTCCTATCTTGATACCGCGCTTCAGTGCAAAATCGGCCACTTCGCGAAGTCCTTCTACTGCCCATTGCCATTCTTCCTGAGGTGAAGATTCGGCGATTGTTTTCCCTACTCGTCCTGGAACAACTGTGACGATTTGTCCATCGAGGTCTTTGCACATTGAAACAACTTGCTTCATGTATTCGATTGTGTCGCGTCGGTGGTGCGGATTGGCTGCCGTGAGGTCTCGGTTACCTGTTTGGATCGTCACTGTTCCACAGCATTTGATGTCGTATTCTTGGAGAAGCTGGCGAGTCTCCTCGATAGGATATAGATCTGGCTCCCCAGCTAACTCAACACTGGTGTAACCCAGTCGTTTCAGTCGTGCTAAAGTTGTTTGGAGAGGCTCAGGTCGCATCCATGTATGAGATGAAAGATGCATGGTGATGATTGCAACGTGAGAGTGTGGTCGGCCGAATTCGAGAATGGAGATACGTTATGATAATTCAACACTTAAGCGCGTCGCAAAATCTTTTATATCCAGTTGTAATTCTTGAATGATTATCATAATGGCGTTGAGTTGTTTGACGGAGGCAGATTCCGTGCTCTTTCCGCCGCGTGAGCGGTGGCGGATCTCTTATCCGCAGACTGACAAAGCGCACGAAATCCAGCAAAACCCACTCTTACAAAAGTTATTCATGTGCCCTCGAGTATTTATAATCTTGAGTCGCCTACGTTTCCTTTCATTGTCAGCTCCTTGTCTCGTGAATACTGCTTCCACTGTCGGCGATATCAACACACATTCATAGCATAACACCATGTCGACGATCAACTGGCCCGACGACTCTGTCTTTGAGCCCTTTGACATTTTCGAAGAAACGTAAGTAGCTTCCTCGATAAATCCTCATGCAAGGCTAAGGAGAAAAGTTACAAAACCGTCGATTCTCATGAAATTAAAGCGGCTGTTTTGACCCCAAAGAACCTTGCAAAAGGATTGCACCCCGTTATAGTCAATATCCATGGAGGCTTCTTCGCAACGGCGCATTCACTTTTCGCGCCCTTTTTCCCTCCTTGGGTGCTTAAGCTGTCTCTCGATCACGGTGCAATTATTGTATCTCCTGATTATCGCTTGTTGCCTTCTGCCAATGGAATCGCCGATCAACTAGAAGACCTGGAAGATTTCTGGGCTTGGTCACGCGATGCCCTTCCTTCAATACTCCAAAATCATGCCACTGGTTTCGAACTCGATTATAGTCGGTGCCTGCTAACTGGCGGTTCCGCTGGCGGCTACTTCGCAGCGCAACTCGCAATTTCACACCCGGACGACATCTCAACAGTGGCTATGACGTATCCGGCTGTGGACTTGCTTGATGAGATGTGGATCAAAGGGCCTGCGAAGGGTGCTCCAACAGTACTTCGCTTCCCGCAAGAACAGATTGTCTCCAGGGAAAAGGCACTAGCTTGGGTCAGAGAAAAACGAAAAACAGTCGCGAGCAAAGGCGGGTTTGAGGTCACGCCCTTCGCTGTCAGCTTGACGCAACACGTTCTCTTTGCTTCTGAGATGCTTGAATACGATGGTGTCAAGCTTCAGCAAGAGCACCTACCTCTTGCGAGGCTCCAAGCAGGCGGAAAATTGCCCCCGAATGTGTAGGCGAAAATCCGGTTCCCCATGTCTCGAACTAAAACGTACTGACGCAGATCAGCTACATTATTCATGGCGATGATGATTCGGTAGTGTATCTCCGACAGTCCGAAGCCTTTGTCGAACTTGTTCGTTCCAAACTCCCAGAAACCACATTGCGGTTTGATATTGCGAAGGGACACGACCATGCTTTCGACATGGAACCATCTTATTGGGAGCCTTATGCCAAGGAAGCAATGGACTTCGTAGTGAAGGGGTGGCTGAATTAAATCATAATCGTACTTTTAGATCGCAACATTCTTGCGATGTGCGTGGTCCTCAAGCACCAATACCACTCCGATGTAAGAGTCCTGCTGAACCTGTTCGTCCAAACTATTTGACATCTTCGTCAACTACGCATCGTTTCACCGCAGTCTGATATATTGGCCCAAATTTGGTTTCAATCTCATTGCCATTTGCCAATCGCCACACCGTGGCTATGCTCGCATGAACGCCAAATTCCAAATCTTCGGACGTCTGCAATTTTTCGATTGGCCCAAGACTGAGCCCCGCAAGCATCACTTCTAAGGCAAGAAGCCTTTTTGAGTGTAGGAAACACTGTAACTTCCAATCAAAAAAAAAAAAAAAAAAATCAAGGCAAGAAAAGCATTGTTGAACCCAAGACCATATGAGCGGCGACGAACCATGTCTTGATGAGTGGGCTTCAACAGCTGCCAAAAAACCTAGAAAAATATGAATTGCCAAGTCAGACCTACGGGTAGTAGAAGAGCTGAGTTTACTATGAGGAATTGATATGGGACCCGGACCGTCAACAGCGAGTCAGCATCGTGCAGATGCTACTAAAGTTATCGAGTCGCTCACGAGACGCTATCGGAACAGCTTTCGGATGCCCAATACCATTTCAGAGACAATATTCTTGCGGTAAAGACAGTACTTGCAGCCTCGGTAAATTTTGCTCAATGAAATCTTCAAAATTTATGTTGGCGCCGCCAAACCGCTCATATGTTCACCATCTTCCATGACTAGCCATTCATCTACAGCGCATTTTCACGCTATAAATTCGACCTCTCTTTTCGAAGAGCCGGATCCATCCCAGACTTTTGGGCCGGGCCCAACGTAGTTTAGCAAGGCGCCTGGTTTGTTCCAGATTTTGTAATCCAGGGTGATAGCTATTGTCTCCGTTAGAAAGAAGAAACCAGAAGATACAGGGAAACATCGGTGCGACCAAATAATCGAAAGATATGGGTACGAACCTGGGTCTTCGAGCTTGTAAGAGCCGGGGAATGTCGCGTAATCGCTATCAGTTATGACACCGGCACCATTCCCAAGAACGTTGACATGTGCGCAGTTGACGTAGAATTGAGGCGCCATGAAGTGCTCAATACGGAGGAGGTATTTTCCGGGTGGAGTGGCCTCGGGAAGTGTGAAGTTGACCTGCGTGCACCATCATGTCAATATGAGAAGTCATTCAAGCTGGAAGGATAGAACTCATCGAACTGAACATACCCTGTTTTTCCCATACGTAATCCAGTAGTCAGCGTTAGGGCGAGTATCATGAGCAGCCGTAATACTCGCGATCTTGAACCACTTCCCCTCCGTGCCATTGAACGTCGAAAGATCGTCGTTGGGAGCGCGCGCAAGGTATATCTGAGCAGGGCCATTGTGGAAGATGTTATCGAACCCATTCTTCATAAACGCAACAGTCAGCTCTACTTGAGAAATACTTTTCGAGGATCAGAACATACCCCCTGGCTGTCAAAGTCGTGCTGTATATTGAAACCGAGCGCGGTACCAGGCTGCAAATCTACGGTTTGGGTAGATTGTGTTGTTCGGAAGGCCTGTCGTCCGCAAGCCATAGCTTCACTGTTGATGTCTTCTTGGGGGCGGACCTTGCCGATCATTTCGTTGTCGTTGTAGCCTGTGTTGGCTTCGGCAGCGACGTCACTTGTGAGATATGTTAGATTGGTGGGGTTCTCAAGGTTTCAGGGAGGAATGCTCACCGAACATATTGCCAAGGGCCGGTTTCGACTCCATCCACGACAAGGTGGTTGAAGACGTCTTGTCGTAAAGTCAGTGATCTCTCGCAAGATTTTGTGCTCCTGGGTAGTGGATGGGACAATAGACAGGAATGCTACTTACAATGAGCAGAAGCACTCACTGAGAGCAGCGCCAGTAGAAGAGACCCGGAAGCTTTCATTTTCGAGGCTAGTTATCAGAAAGTTTCTCGTGTAGACAATTGAATATTGTATTCAAGTTAGATATTCCATTGTCGTATTTATCTTTTTCATGAGGTCGTGGCCAGGCTGCACTTGTGTGCGGGGCTACAGTTATGTTGAAGGGGTAATTAGCTACAAATATTGCTTTGTATGGGCTGATTGCAAACGCAGGTAGACCGTATACGGCTAAAGATTGATATTCTTGGTTGGCTCATGGCTAAAAGAGGATGCATTGAGTTCATAGTGTTTGCATATGAAGCAGCCTCTGCTCCTAAACCTAGATCTCGCCCAGCGCGACAACACGCCAGGTTTCCTGTGGAGGAGTCGTTCTTCTTTGATCACGAATGGTGAGTATCTCAGTGTAGCATGGAGCTTCAAATTTGTGTCAGTCATGTTGAAGTTCCCCTATCGGCATAGTTTGAGCGACGGTATACCAATATCCCACTTGAAAAGTGACGCTCACCTATCACGCGAGAACTTTTGCGAGCCGACACTTTTTGTCGACCTTGGATCGAATCGTTTAACCATAAAGTCTCATTCATAGAAGATGTAGAGATACATGCAGACTATATGACCAATACCAAGTCATCACAAAACTATCGGGAATGTGTGAGAGAATGCCCCGAAGAAGGATCCCGTTGCCTGTTACGCCGCACTTACATGCTATTTTGGGAAATCCGGAAGAAAAGAATGTGAGACAGGAGGACCCAATAAGTCAGACAGGATGGGACCTGGATGGATCCTGCGTGCAGGTGCCAAGACCAAACAGCCTTCAAAAGGTCTGTATTATGCCAACCCAGCCATTAGCTGTTCATATGTTTATCCTCCTCACTGGCCCTATAACTCAAATTACATGAAAGCAATGACCGACACAGAAAGTTCCGGCAGGCCCACTCCCTCCTTTTGGATCGGATCACGATTCACCGTTCTTAGCCATGCGGCCCATGCCCGCTCCGTTCACCCCTCATCTCGTCCCTGGAAGAATCATGATTAGCAATCGTACAACCTAATAACGATTACCCCTCTTCAATGTACTGACCCTTTCAGTCCTTTGCCTTCATGAGTTCATCGGCACCCCAGAGGGTCTTGCTCGCCACGAAGCTCCTCCATTCGTCCATGTCTCCAGCATTCATCTGAACGACGTCCCCCCTGGTTGCCCGATACAATTCGAGGCACATCAGCACACCCGATTCGTCCTCGTGTCGTCCGAAGAACTCCGCATCCCTTTCCTCAAACTTCCAAAGCTTCTTAATCTTAGGCTTGGTATTGAGCAAGCGCTTCCATGAGTACTTAAACCAATGCTTCACGTCTGCAACCACCTTCTTTCTCGTTTTTTTCGAGTGAATCGGAGTGAAAAGAGTTAGCTCCACAACCCTTTCCTCCATATCCACGACGATGAGAAACCAGATTCCGTTCTTATAGAAGGGGATGTGGAGCTCGCGAACCGACCCGCTTTCCTCTTCGACATGACTGGGCTCGACGCCGCAACGCCGGATACACTGTCGAAGTCTTCCACTGTTGAATTCTTTTGTTGAGAATCCATTCTCTGTGTACTCCGTGGGGAGGATGAAGGTATCTGGAGATATTTGAGACAGTACAGGGCGGATCCAGGTCAGGAATGATTTGACAGCCCGAGGTGTCATGTTACGGCTATATTTCCAGGTTGTGTGGGGAACATCTTCTTTCAGTGTTATGCTGAGAATGTCAACGTCGAAGAGAATGATACGGTGTGGGTTGTCGAGCGTTTTGCCGGGTGACGCCATGAGACTGAATTGGGTGATCTCAACCTTTTCGGCGCGACTTGCTTTGGGGATTGCCTCCGCGGGGATTGTTGGGCGGGAGGATGGCGTTGGCATGGAAACTGTACAGCTGGATACTGTGGTCAAGGAAGTGGAGCCTCCATGAACACTGCTATCAAGAGAATTTCGACCGGCTGATGTTTGGTTCTGACGCTCGTCAGGCTCTTGGTCAGTTTGTTTGTCCATGGCTTAGTCGATTGGTGGATAGACTGTCAAACACTCGGTCTGTTGAGAGAAGCTTTAGTCTTTCTACACGGAGGAGGGAAAGACAAGTGGAGGGATGGCTAAGGGATGTTGTACTGACCCAGAGATGTGGGAAGTCAAGTACAAGAGTGTGTAGTAGAAGAATGTGTAAGATTTGGTTGTAAGAGGAAGAGTGTGCAAGGACGAAGTGACTGCTATTTGTACTATCGATGATTCTGTCATTCTACTATTATTCTCTCACATCCGATTTGAATTATGAGTTGCGAGGGTGGTCTTTGAAGTTTGAAGTCGTCGTTCGATGCGCAACTTCATTAGCAACACATGAGATGTATTCGTATGTATCCGATAGTAATAAAAATCACCAGCACTAACCCTCCAATCACTTATTGAACAGTATTAGACAAGGTTAAATATCACATTTCTCGAGATGTCATTGATAAACTAACTCATAATTGCATCTACTTCCACCACTTGCATCGTGCATCTACTCTAACAAGCAAAAACCCTCAACGAGCAGAAAACAAAAAAATTAACAACAACAACATTGTAGCTTACACTTATACTGTGTTGTGCCAGATCTCATCAATCGCCATGGTCTCATATCAACGCAGGTAGCTTGGGATTATTTCTTGCCTCTAGCCATCTCACATATTTTGAGACATGATTCGTCGAAGATTTGAGGCGGCACAAACACTCATGAGCGCAAAACCACAGATAATTCAGCATCTCACAACCTCAAGATCCGTCTCCAAGACCCACGCCGTCGTCGTCTCGTTCACCACTCTCTTCCCTATCATCCCCTCCTCCCAATCCTTCACCGCGCGCGCCTGAAACTCGACACTCAATTCCGCCGGCGCGCCACACGACCCAACAACACCACCATCACCCTCATCCTCGGCAACAAGACGCTGCGAGAACTGTCCAGTCAAAGGCCCTCTAACATCAAGCATTCCCACACTCTACGCACAAACCATCAGCTCCGACTCCTACCACAAGAACAAACAAAGTACAAAAAATGCGAAGAAGGGAGAAGGAAACGGGGGTGCACAACATACCTGCTTCTCCGAACTCTCGACAAAAGCATACGTCCCTCTCAGAAACATGGTCGCGTTCCCCGGTACCTTGGCTTCGCCACTGACACCTGTACCCCGTTTGTTCACCACGACTTTCCATCCTGGGGTTTCTTCGTCGTCGTCATTGCCGATAGTGACGGTACTAACTATGTCGCACATGCGCAGCGACGAGCCGAAAGAGCCATCTAGCGTGGGCAGAAAATTAGACAGTGTGAAGGATAGCGGGAAGGATGTGGTGTTGGTGGTGTTGGTGCTTGGGGGGCCGAGGACGGTAGTCAGGCCGCTTTTGTCTGGGGGACAGGCGCTGCCCCAGTAGGTGATGTTTGTGAGGGATGGTTGGGGGGTGGAGAGTTTTCGGGGGAGTGCTAGGGTGGAGGGTAGGAGGGTGAAGAGGGTGAGGGTAAGTGGATGCATGGTTGCTCAGATTGAGTTTGAGGAGTTGACGGTTTGGTGGTGACGAGGAAAGGAGCGTTGGAGACTGCGAATGGACTCGCAATTGAAGGAGTGGTATACATGGCGGAATGTGGTTGCCCCACACGAGGGATGTGAGGTTGAAGGGAACAATACTTCTGTTCATTTGTCGTGCTTGAATGCCGGGTGTGTGTTGATTGTTCGCAGGACGATGACCGGGGGTTTGATTCGCGAATTCATTTGGAGGTTTTAGGGTTCGGGGGAATACCCGCGAAACTAGGATGGAGAGTATCTCAGCAGAATGTGACTGGTGAAGTGAGCGCTGGATCTGGCATTTGGTGCAGCATCTGGTGGTGTTTGGGATCCTCGAGGTTGGGATTGATAGCCTGTGCATTCATGTTGGCTGGGAGGTAATCTTTTAGAACCGAGCCTCGATAGACCAGTATGTCAACAGCGTACAGGCCCATTATTATATTTGCAACGCAAGTCATGAACAGCTCTCCCCCGGTTCGTTTGTAGGAACGCATTGGTTGAAACACGTTTAAGACGTCACATACATGCAAAGATGGAGAACAATATTGAGGTAGAACAAGAATCCAAATGGGTATATACACTATCTTCCACACCAAAGGATGATCTCTCTACCGACTCAAGCGAGACAACTCTCGCATCAACAGCACCAACAGCCAACAACGCCTCTGCGCCAGACCTGATTCGCAATGCGCAAAACAGCCCGATTCAGCCAACCGCCAATCCAGCAGCCGACCTATGCAGAACTAAAACAGCAAAAAGAGCAAAGAACGCGCCGAATCTCCCAGCAATCCGCAAAGGTGATTCGATTCAGATATCAAGCGGATCTTGCGAGATATCCTATGCGGTCAATTCACTAACAACCACTAAGCTTTTCGCCACGCAAACACACAACGACCACTCAACGCATCATCACCGCTTACAAGAAGAAAGCGGCAACGGCAACCACACCAGCGAGGGCACCGCCAGCCTTGAATCCAGAGGCGGAGCCAGTGAACTCGTTAGGAGGAACGGGGTAGGCGCCAGTGCCGGAAGGCTTGGGGGCAGCAGCAGTGCCAGATGGGAGAGGAGCTCCGGAAGGAACAACAGCGCCGGAGGGAACGGAGCCGGTAGGAGCGGGAGCGATGGGGTAAGGAGCCTGAGCGGTGGGGTAGGGAGGGAGGACGGCCGCGGTGGAGGCAACTGGGACCGGGGTGTGGACACCAGCTGGCACGGTGACGGTCTCAGTCACGTAGACAACGGAGCAGGCCTCCTCTGTGAATTGTTAGTTACTTGTGCTGATTGTACATGGTGATCGGAATATTTACCAGGGACGGGGAGGGCGCTGTAGGTGGAGGCCGAAACGGCGGCGGCGAAGAAAGCGGCGATGGTGAAGAACTGCATTTTGATGGTGTTTTGGGATTAAGGTGATTTGATTTGGTTGGTAAGAAAGAGTTGGTTGGAGTAGTAAAGTAGATAAAAAAAGAATGAGTGAGTGTATTGATAGTTGGTTTTGGGTAAAGAGTGGCTACAGTAATAACTGTGTGTATTAGATCAATCGATATTATGATGATGATGAGGGAAAAAAGAAGAACAAGAGCAGCGCGAAGACGAGGCTGTTTATATGTCTGTTGTGTGATGCTGTGATAATGAGTGATGGACCCACCGTGCAGGGGGTGGGATAGGGAGATTATTCTCAGTGCAGATGGTGTACCGTGCACTGGAGCGCCAGGGCCATGTTCATCTTCATTCTTGCATTTTGCCACCTTAATTGCCAGGGAGCATTATCTCCAAGACTTGAGATTGAGAGTCTAATCTAGAGAGACGGCGCGAGCGGCTGGGCATCGTGGGCGGCTTGTTCAAAGTGGATGAAGGACGGGTGTGGCTCGACCGAGGCCATGTTCGGTCCTGCCAAATCAGAAGAATTTCGATATCACCGTCCCTCGAGAAAAACCCGATAGCGGAGATTTGTGCGCAATTGTTCTCTTGCTCTGCTGCCATTCGTTGGGTCGACTCTTTTCTCACAAGATGAAATACTCGGTGCTTCGTCGAATAACGCAAACAGACGTGCTCGTTGTGCATCGTCAAGCAAAAGGGGGCGCCAAAGCTTGCACGTACAACCACCCGCTTAAACTCGTCGTTGGTTCAATAAACAAAGCACTCTATCAACATCGAATCATTGCCAGGCGAACCAGAATCTAGAATTCAGCACTTGGGCCACCCGCGGTACCCACATTCCCCGTTTGCTCCCTCTATTTTCCCCTGCCGAGAAACCAGGGGCGCGACTTTAAACAAATTAGCAATCTTGATAGCGGTTGGCCCCGTTAAAGGACGCGCATCCCTTTTACGACTCACGGGCCTCTTTTCCCCTTCTTCTCGCCTTGGCCCTCTTGAACGTTGGCACCCGCACGGCAAACCACCTTGAATCATCATGATCCACCAGCACGTGATTCCCCGTCGTTTCAAGGCTGTGGAGGTCCTAAAGGGAGATTTCGCCGGTCAATGAAGAGCGCGGTGGGGCAGCATGGCGATGCACACGGCTTGGAGATGAGTATCGCACCCAACGCTACATCATGCATGATGGGATCATTGCAATCAATTTCGACAAATGATGTCGACGACAACAATCAATACAAACGAAACGGAAGGTCTGGTGTTGGTTGAGCCACCAAAGTAGAATGCCAGACCGACAGTTTTTTACCGAAATTGCGACCTGTACAAAAGTAGAAAGTACTTTGCTCCTCTATCGTATCCATCCTGCTCTCTGGTTCCGAACGTGCGAAAAGAGATGAATAGCTTGCAGGTACGGTGAGGGCCATGCAGGTACACTGTCAAGGCACACAGAGGGACCCCTATCATGTCCTGTCACCAGCGAAGTGCAACATGACTGCGATTGCGATACGAGGCACAATGGTAGCATCCACAACGCCGCGTACGAAAGCAACTCCGATGGTGGCCTTACCAGTGCCTAACTGCAAGAGGTAGAAAGAAGTTTATCGGACGACAGTGAGTCGCGGATACCGCGATCCAGACACTGCTTGGCGAGTAAGTGTGTACATAGTTCATATCTTAACTTGCTTAGCACTGCTGCTCACGACGATCAGTGATCGCTCATGTCGCGGTCTTGTGCAACACTACTCCATTGTACCATCGCGATCCAGCAAACACTGGTACAGTGATCGATTCTAATCTCGGTCCTTTTTGAACAAAACCAGGAGCCTATTTGAAACAACGTTAACCAAGCTTTGCCAAACTACTTCGTCTCCAATTTACCGTATATGCGGATCAACCTCAAGACGTCAGTGGCAGGAGCACGAGATGACTTCATCGTCGCAAGCTCGAGATTGCATAGCATGGATACGCAGAAGCACGCATGCGAAGTCTGCAGGAAATAAGACGTTACTTTGATATCGAAACATGGTTGTATATCCTCACACTTGATGTCCCTTCATTCCATCTGATCTCAACTGCGAGGATATACCTTCACTAATGTTTCAGTGGGAAGGGGAATTTGCATAGATCCATTCCCAGAATCCCACTCCTCTTGAACTCTTCCTTGAATCCCAAACGCCCTGAACCGAATTTGTTTCCCGTCGCCAATCTACCAAGCTGTGTTCTTGCAGTCGCACGTCATGGCTTCCGAAGCATACTTTGTAGCCTCCAACCACGACGAACGAACAATTAAATTCTTTCTACGCATAACATCTCAAAGAAACAAGCTCACGCCCATTCCCCCACATACTGCGTATGCTTGAGTACCCTCAAGGGTATTCCGTCATTCTTCCACGCAGCATACCCAGCTACATGACAGACAATACACCATTCTCATGGCACAAAAGATGATTCAGTAACAGGCAAAGACCCAATTCTTCTCCTCTCCTGACCTTCCTTTCTACCCCGAAACACACCTCCCTAATCGACGACAAAACACACATCAAGATCCAATACCTTGCGTACGAACAAACAACCCGACATCACGTCCCCTCCTTATACATTCGCGGTCCACCCCAAACCGACCCGTTCCCTTTGGCAAGAGGACGCGAAACACCTAGAGAAATGCAGTTTTTGACTTTTTCCTCCTCAACTCGGTACTTCGAAGTTCCACACCCACCCACACATACTGGAACTAAGTATTGAGTTTCGGCGCCCCGCCTCTAATCACACCCCGACTTCTCCGATGTCTCATAAAACAACACTGGAGAGTGTGAAGAAAGGGATGAACATGGATCGTAGATGTATTCCAACATAACAGTTCGTTGCGTGGGCATACTGTGTAGTCTTTGCGCTCGAAAGCCCCCCTTCCATCTCTTACTTTTTGCTTGTGCCGTTGTGTAGTGTTAGATTGTAGGATCGCTGGAACATATCGGTGGGAATGATAGATCTTGCAGTTCTACTGGTACGCTGGTAGAATGGATGCGTGATATATTAATATGATAGCACATCGATTTTCAGCCCGTTCTGTGATAGAACTCTGCTCCCACATCAGAAACCCCCAAGAAGTAGTAACTTGTTTCCTTTAAAGGGAACATTGCGCTTGTGAGGTTTGGGAGGTCGAGATGTTCAATCTGCTAGTGGATGGTGGTGGGGATAATGGTGGTGGCTGCCCGCGATTAGAACTCATCCAGTACGAACATCAAATGTCATAGTCCACGCGGTGCTTTACCCAATGCATGAACCACTGACTTTACAATAGTGAATATTATTTTCGTCATCTTGACCTTGCCTCCCCATTGTCGTTGAAAATACAACTATTTTATACAAGAAATAAGATGAGGCGGCTGGCCGACTCACAAACGCCCACTCATGAAATGAGAATCACGCACCGCCCAAATCTAGAAATCCAACTCAGGCTGGAGACTATCATCGCCATCGCCGGCATCTTCAACATCCATGTCTTCTTCTCCTTCAACCTTTTGATCTACTTCCTCCCACCCCTCCTGTTTGCCTCTCTCCGGCAGCTCCTCTTCCAGGTTTCCTTCTCTACTTTCCCCTCTCTCCTCCTCTTCCAACTCCTCATCGACCATGCTTCCTAAATCTGTATCTCCCAAAAACCTCCTGCCCTTCAATCCCTCTGGGAGATATTCCTGCTTCACCTTCCCATCCCTATAATCCGGGTTATACTTGTATCCCTTCGCATACCCAACTTCCTTCATCAACTTTGTAGGCGCATTCCTCAAATGCAGCGGGATAGGCAAAGCCGCAACACCGGGCTCACCCAATGCCGCCTCCGCCGCCCTCAATCCACGATACGCGCGCGTCGATTTCGGCGCAAGAGCTAACGCCACGACGGCGTGCGCGAGGTTGATGCTGCATTCCGGAAGCCCGATCTTCTCACACGCCGAATACGTAGCAGTGGTAAGGGAGAGCATGGAATTGTCTGCGAGACCTACATCTTCGGAAGCAACCACGACGAGGCGGCGCGCGATGAAGCGCGGGTCTTCGCCGGACTTGAGCATGCGTGTGAGGTAGTAGAGTGCTGCGTCTGGGTCGGAGCCGCGCAGCGATTTGTGTAGGGCGGAGATGTTTTCGTAGTGTTGGTCGCCTGCGCGGTCGTAGACAAGGGTCTTTGTGAGGGAGGCTTTTATGGAGGATTGCGTTGTGCCTGGGACTTTGGAGAGGGAGATTGCGAGTTCGAGGAGGTTCAGGGCGGTGCGGGCGTCGCCGTCTGCGAAGGAGGCGAGGTAGGATAGCATTGGGGTATCGAGGAGTGGGGAGGTGCAGTTTTCGGATGCTAAAGCGCGCTGGAGAATGAGGAGGAGGGAGGACTCAGAGAGATCGTTTAGGGTGAAGGTACGGCAGCGGGAGAGGAGGGCGCTGATGACTTTGAAGGACGGGTTCTCTGTGGTGGCGGCGATGAGAGTGATTGTGCCAGACTCAACGGGTGCCAGGAAAGCATCTTGCTGTGTCTTGGAGAAGCGATGGATTTCGTCGCAAAACACGATAGTTTTGCGACCCGTCAGCTGGAGCTCTTTGAGGGCATGGTCGAATATTTTGCGGACTTCTTCAAGCTTTGTACTTGTGCTGTTGATTTCCTGGAATCTGGCTCCGGATGCGTGAGCCAGAATCCGGGCAATGGTCGTTTTACCTGTGCCTGATTTCCCCCAAAGAATCATGGACGGTATCCTGTTCTCCTCCATCAGTCCGCGCAAAGTTCCCCCAGGACCAATGAGTTCTTGTCCAAAGACATCGTCTAACTTCATGGGCCTCAGCCTTTCAGCAAGAGGCTGGGCATCGACGATTGCCTTTGATCTCTTCCGCTTGCCTGCAGATGGTGACTGCGGTTCACCACCAGATGGGACATCGGAGGATTCTAGAGACCGTTTTGTGCCTGTCGGAGGCGTGTTGGATCGATTGGGTCGGTGTGCGGTGGGCGTGGGAGCGGCCGGCGATGAAGCAGGGTTTCCATGTTGGGAATGTGGGACAGCAAGAGGTTTGCGACTGGCAGGTGTGAAGAAGCTGTGTGTTTGAGTTTTGGGCGGCGCGTCGATTTGCTCGTAGATGTGAGATTTGCAGCCACTGTCGAGATGTTCATTGATGAAATTTTCCTGGACCACGATATTGCAGACGGGGCATGAAACTCCTCCGCTCATTGTACAAAAGTAGTCGTCGAGACGTCCCGGCGGCCAACAATTCCACCGTCCACGGCGCCGCGTCGTCGTCGCGTAACTTTATCTGAGTCCGGGGAAGAGGGCGAATGCGCTTGAGCTAGCAAACATTCGAGCTAAGGGCCGAAGCGGCTGATGACGGCATTTACCTTCGATTAGTGAGTGAGCGATGTCGGTTCTGCCAAAGCACGCAAGCACAGGGGAGTAGAAGGTGCTGATGCTGAGATAGAGACCCGCTCACTAAGTTATCGTTCTGACTGTTAATCGAAAAATACTTTGTGGGCGATGAAGGTTTTTTCTTTTTCCTCTCGTCGCCAATTCACCACCAAAGCTTTCTCCAAGCTCGCTACGCCAGCCCCCAGGAACCCCGCTGCCCTCACCCCTCTCCGCGCCATGTCCACGACAACACGACGAGAAGACCCGTTCAAGCCGGCCGCACGCGTCGCTGGCCAGAAGCAGGATGTCTGGACTATTGTCAACGAAGCCGCCGCGGCCTCGCCTGTCCAGCCCATCGTCAACATGGGCCAGGGTTTCTTCGGCTACAACCCTCCCAAGTTCGTCCTCGATGCCGCAAAGACCGCTCTCGATACCGTAGAATGCAACCAATACTCGCCCACAAAAGGCAGGCCACGCTTAAAGAAAGCCATCGCCGACGCCTATTCTCCCTTCTTCGGCCGTACGTTGGACCCGGACAAGGAGGTTACCATTACAACCGGTGCCAATGAGGGCATGCTCTCAGCCTTCATGGGCTTCCTGGAACAAGGCGACGAAGTCATTGTATTCGAGCCCTTCTTCGACCAGTACATCAGCAACATTGAGATGCCCGGCGGCAAGGTCGTCTATGTGCCCATGCATCCACCAAAAGATGGCGCCACCAAGACAACCTCTGCTGCCGAATGGACGCTCGACATTGCCGAATTCGAGGCCGCCATAACCCCAAAGACACGCATGATTGTTCTCAATTCCCCACACAATCCCATTGGCAAAGTCTTCTCCAAGTCAGAGCTTCAGGCAATTGCAGACATCTGTGTGAAACACAACATCATTATCCTCTCCGACGAAGTCTACGACCGCCTCTACTACGTCCCCTTCACCCGCGTCGCTACCCTCTCCCCTGAAGTCGCAAAGCTCACACTCACCGTTGGCTCTGGCGGAAAGAATTTCTACGCTACAGGCTGGAGAGTGGGCTGGCTAATCGGTCCCGAGCATCTCATTAAATACGTCAGCGCAGCACACACGCGCATATGCTACTCGTCCGTTTCCCCGCTCCAGGAAGCCACCGCCATTGGCTTCGAACAAGCAGACGCACACAACTTCTGGGAAGACTCCAAGCGCGAGATGAAAGCCAAAATGGATAAATTCAACGCTATATGGGATGAGCTGGGCCTCCCTTACTCGGACCCAGAGGGTGGATACTTTGTCCTCGTCAACATGAGCAAAGTCAAGCTACCAGCCGACTACGACTTCCCACCCCACGTTGCGGAACGGCCTCGAGATTTCCAGTTGAGCTGGTTTTTGATCAAGGAGGTGGGTGTTGCGGCGATTCCGCCGACCGAGTTCTTCACGCCGGGGAATGCGCATATTGTGGAGGATTGGTTGAGGTTTGCGGTCTGCAAGAACGATGACGTGCTGGAGACTGCTATGGAGAGGTTGAGAGGGTTGAAAAAGTATATCCAGGAGTAGACATAGAGGAAGATTAGATAGGAAATGAAAAATGCTACTACTTACTCGGTCTGTTGAGGTTATTTAGCTATGGTGTTCGTGATAGTTGCTAGAAAAGCCTTAGGGGGGTTCTTGCTACTGCTTGCGCCCCTCGACAACAGCGGTGTCTAGTTTTTGTGCGCGATGGGGTAGATGTAATCTTCCTCAACAAATGAATGGATAGTAGAGGTTGTGAGACGCGGAAAAATGGATGACCGCATCTTTGCTGATGATGAGTAGCTTGCTTGGGGCTAGGTTGTGATGGTGGAGAGCCTAGGTTAGTGAGAGCGCGTCCCCGAGAGAGGATGTAGAGACGGCGACGACATCGCAAAATCGTATTAGTTGTACGCGCATCTAACTAGCTTCATAGCTACAGGATAAGGAATGATGGAAAGTGTTTCGAATAGATGCACGGTGATGACATGATAGAGGAGAGAGGAAATGTTGTAGCAACGTACTGGCGCACGCGACAACAGTCCGCAACGCAGAATCTGAGAACAGCCACCGCAACTCCAGCAGAACAGCAACAAAGCGCGCACTCAATACATCCTCCAGTAATCATAATCCATCCAACTATCTGACTGTAGTTTCGTAATTCTATAGTTCAGGACACTCCAGGTGGTATAACCAGCCCGCGTAAAGAGAAGCGGAAAACTCTTCTTCAACTGGACCCGACTTTTAACAGCCGACGTCCAAGTCAACGAAAAGCGAAAGGCAGAGTAAAACAGCGTGTTTCTTCAAAAATTCCTTGCCGATCCGAAGACCAACAAGAGCAGTCATAGTTGTAGTTTTCAACTAGCAAAAAAGTTACCTCGGACGAATCCTCACTGGTGAACTTAAAGCCCTAGCACTGAGATACCGAAAAAAAAGAGAGCGAAGCGGGTGCGAGGACGGGAATTTATACATGAAAATTCAATGCCAAGACGCTAAGGGGAGGTTGTTGGCAAGGCAGCAGAGGAAGCACGTGACTGCACGTGCAAGATCTAGACTTAGCGCGCGTGGCTGGGTACGCTAGTGACTAGTGGCAAAGTGTAAAAGTCAATATGAATGGCTTTTCGTGTACAGTACATATCGCGCCTGTTGGAATTCCCCAAATTCTGGCATTGTAGACCTCTAGGCAAATATGAGAATGGGGATCTTTTTTTGTGGTAACTTGCGTCTCTCAATTCCCGGTATAATACAGCCTGACATAAAAAGATCAATTTTTAGTTGACAGATCGATAGCTCACCATGAGGAGCTGATGGCTTATATACAGTGGAAGACTAGAAGCGTATCATTATCGGAGACTGTTGGTTCTAAAGTCCAATGTCCCACTTTCTGAATCTGACAAAGGCGAAGAATAGTGTTCCAGGCTTAACGTTCGGATATCCCTGTACACCTACAACAGGACAAAGATCAACGAGTTCTTGTCCGCATTGATATATCTTGCTACCAAAACCAACCAGGCTCTGTACAACTCGGTAAGCGGTATCTCCAATGTCTACCTCTGCCATAATTCCATTTGCTTTATATATCTTTATTTCTTATATCTGCAGCAGCAAGAGTGGATAAGCATCACAACTAGGGACATTTGAGTGCATTTTACACGACATGATAGCGCTACAGCTGGATACCCATAGCATATACCTCCTGCCACTAATAATAATGCTTATCACCTGTCTTTCTACATTATCAAAACATATGGTACAAACGATGTAACGCAAGTAGGACAATCGGAACTCAAAGTTCATGCAAAAGATCCTAGGTGCAGAAAAGTTCCGCACTTTCTTGGACTCCTTGGTCCAGGATCGCCTCCACAACAACGTGGTAGTCGAAAACGTGAAGAGCTGCAGGCGCTTGAGGATACTTCTAATAACTATTAAAACTTCACGGGGGATTTTTTAATTCATTGCATTCTTATTACTTCGGTTTATCTACCCGGTCCGTCTGGTTCTCCCTCGGATGTAGGTTTAGGATCTGTTCTGCCACGCTTCATCTTAGAGATGGCTATGAATGCCCAGTCAGGTCTCGATTATCGCTTTTTCGATAGCACTCGATTATGTGTGCTTTGGTTGCGTTTCGTGTTCGCGGTTAGAAGGCTTTTTGTTGGGTTTGATCGGCTTCAGTGGTAGGGTGTCGAACACTTGCGGGAAAACGTCGAGGAGCTCAATTGTTTACGGTATCTGCGTGGGCAATGAGATGATTGCAAAAACTATATTTGTAATCATCAAACGATCGTTAGCTGTGGATGACATCTTCAGGGAGTGAGATTTTACGGTCACAATGACTCCGCCTATGTTCAATCGATCGGAGCGTCACTGGCTTGGTGGCCAAATAGTCCTTGAGCTTATTTCAGTTGCTTAGCCAGCTATTTGGAGAGGAGTGAACGTCAGAACGGAAGTTTGGGAGGTGGAAAACGCATTGATCTATATACTCTCTAGAGTGGCGATGATCCGAAGCAAAGAGCTAATTACTTCCCACGCGAAGTGCGCATTGTATCCCTACGCATCAAAACGCTACGCCTACTATCAGGAATAGAGTTTCTCAATTCAAGGAAAAGATTAGGCAATGATTGCTTTTTCTTCTTCTTGGGTTTGCGCAGTATCAGTATTCTGCCCAAGTGTTCGACTTATCCAGCAAGCTTTCAGGGTCAAAATCCTTCCTCTAGTGTTGTCTGTGATCGGTGTTGTGCGATGTTGAATTAATCGCGGTCCCATACATATTTAAGTCCAGAGCCCGAGTTAGAAGTATGCTTAGGTCGAATGCGTGAAAATGCATCTCGGTTTTCCGTGATCAGGCTCCTCTAAGCAATGCAAAGAAGAGCTCATCTCACGTCGGGCGAATGCTTGGTGACTAGACTTGGAATTCCTCTCTGTACTTGCAGATAACCTCACCTCGATCAAAATCTCTTGATCAAGGTTATCCTTGATGACATGATATCTTGCGAGTCATGCGCGAAGGGTGCTACATTGCGAAATTGCTACTCATATCCATAACGCGCGGTCGCATATCTGCTCGCATGATCAGACTGGTAATGCGCAGACATAATGCGCAAAATATAATAATCGTTGAATTGACAACCGTTTGAAACGATGTACCGAATTCATACATAAGATTCACGACTTTAAGCGGATGAAAATATCGCTTGAAAGTCACAGTAAGTTGAAGTTGTAATGACCTATAAGCTCTATGTATGAACTTAACTCACTAGCAGTGAGGGCACCTTTTCATGACTTTGTTTCAGTACAAGATTGCGGGGTTGTATAGATACCTACTCACTTTTAATAAAAAGAAATAAGTAATTGTAAGTTTTCTTTCAGGTTAGAAGTTAAAGCGTTTCCCATACTCCAAAGGGGTAATTAAAAAGATTCTATAAAAAATACGCGGTGACCAAAGAGTTCACGAGACGAGTAGTTTTGCTTTCAGCGCCGGGCGGGCCAGCAACAAAAAGAAAGGCTAAGCCAAAAGGAGCACTAGCGCACATTCACCGAAAGGGTGTCGGTTTCCAAAGTAACCGTAAAATCTCCTGTCTGGAGCTCCATGGCAGTTCACTGTGTATAGCACTCTGGGTGCTCGTGCAGCATCACCAGGACGATGAAATTACCTAGAACCAATTACTCCCAATGTTCGCGCTACATATAATATGCGACGAAATACGACTGTTCAAGTATGCGCCGAGCTCCTGTCATGCATGCGTCACAAGCAACAACATTTCGTTGCTTTCATTGTACACAACAATCAAAGTGCGAGAAGCGTCAACCATATATTGTGTTAGTTCTATAGATTGTCTGAGCCTAGACTATTTGAGTAAATCCTTCTCAAGAACAAGACACTGGAAGCGGAAGAGCATCGAACTTGTACTTCGATTATGACGCGGTGATATCGGGATCAGCATCTACCACCCTCACAGTGTTAATCCATACTTCCTGGTGGGAGCTGATAGTCATTTCCAAGTTCATAGTTCTCCATGCCGCAGAGTAATCCTGCGCCGCTTAGAACTGGTCGATCATCCAAAGATTGATCTGCGAGGTGCTCTTGTGGTCTATACCCGTACTGAGGATATGCTGGCTGATTCGTGGAAGAATGGCTGGTGGAATAGGCAGAATCATTGGTCAGATCGCTTGTTGTACCAAACCCGTGAGAATGGGGGTTGAGATAGAAATTGTTTGGGGCGATCTGATTCATGTGGAATGGGCCTGTGTATGGCATATGCCCCGATTCTCGACTTGTCAATGTGTTTTGTGGAGTAGGCAGTTGGCGAAAGCCCTGATCACCGTAAGCACCAACATGGCCGGTGTAACCACCGATGTTATGTTGCTGCTGTTGACCACAGCGTATAAGCCGCTCCACAACCCTTGTGATGATCTCTTCGTCTCGATTCTGACTGGAAGGTCCAGCTCTCGCACTATCGGGGCTTGGGAAGGGCGGCAAGTGTCCGTGGCTGATATTGTCTAGATAGTGTCAACAACAGATTGCTCTTTGCGCCGTGATCGAGAACCTACACGGTGACGGTATGTCTTCATTGGCAACGCGGGGAAAAAGGATTTTGTAAATGTTTTTCCATTTAGTCGTTTCTGCAACGTTTTTGTCCCTCGATTTCAGCTTCGTCTCCTGCTCATTGTTGAAACCACGACCCCAATCGTAGGCATCATCGGGGGGTGGGTCAACTACATTGCAGGAAGACTCCGTTCGCAAGTGAGTGGTTAAATCTAACTCTCTGGAAAATGCTTCCCAGCATCGAACGCATAGAAATATCTTGTGACAACGAAAAAGGTGTCCCCTAGATAGCGTTACTTTAACGAATAATTTCTTGACTAGGTGATCGAACAAAGACCTTACTTCAGCCTAGGGATGTCCGGCCATCCAGCGTCGCAACGATGACGTTCGGAGATTCCATTTGGGTTGTATTTTAGATAAGGACAAGCATAGCTGACGCTCCTCGAGCCCGTGCCGCTGACCATTGCACGGCGTTCGTTTGGACTCCCTTCACCATCTTCATCATCGTTGTTATCGTTGTCTTGTCCTGATCGCTTGCGATTAGTACCAGAACGGCGCTTAGGTGGAGTTCCCTCAAGTGGAGCACTATGACGGCGTTTGCTTGAGAGAGCTTTCGCCACGCAGCTGCGAAGCCCTTGCAAGGCTTCGGGATCTTCGAGGTTCAAGAATCTCAATTCTGGATTCTGAAAAAGGCATTGGATAGCCACCTCCTCAAAATATGATTCAGGGTCTGCCTGACCAAACTCTAGGTCTTCCGTCATCTCAGAGTCGCTAGACATGTAGTCCAATTCCGAGATATACTCATCCTCATGAACGTCCGCGGGCAGCTCTATCTGAGCATTCAGTGGACTCATAAGATCTTCGTAGCTGAAGTCAATATAGTTGACTTTGAAACTGTCGCGATGGAAGTTCTCATATGACCGTGAATCCAGCGACTCGCCATTGTTAATAGCCGCCTGAATTGGGTCTATCGGAAATTTCGGTAGAACAAGCTTGCCACTCGCCTGGGTGCTCGTTACTACTTGGCGATTGTCCTGCTTTATAGTCAGCGCTGAGTAATACAAAAGGCGATCTAGGACGCACGGTTGAAGTATCTAGATTTGGTGCGTGGTGCCGCGACTACCTTCAGTTGTTTGATCCAGCTTATCACACTCGGCTGGGAATTGCGATAACTCGACCGATCACTGCTGTTGAAGACCACTCGAGCCAGATTGTCCAAGCTTTCGCCCACGACAACAGTCAAGATTTCCAGAAAGACACAGCCAAGAGACCATATATCCGCAGAAAGGTCCCGGTTTTTGTGGTCGACTACTTCTGGCGGGGCGTATTTGTTGGTGAATGATGTTTCGCCGTCAGTGTTGGTAGTGGCCCAGTCTTCATACTGTTTTGAGATCCCAAAGTCCGCCAGAAGAACAGAATCGTGTTTGGTGACAAGAATATTCTCTGGCTTGATGTCCTTGTGCTTGATCTTGAGGGTAGCATGTAAATACTTGACCGCAGATGAAAGACATCCAAACGCTTTCAGCAATGTACGTGAGAGGTGGGGATCAACTCCCGATCGAGAATGGTTCATCTCCGAAGCACTACGAATACAATCCGCGAGATTGCCTAGATTCAAGGTTAGCGAATCAGTAAATCTCATTCTTATATGTCTAAATGGGCTTGTATTGTATAAAACAGCCGCACCGTGTCGTGTCTCGGCGGGCGACAAGTTCATGCTGGTGACATACGTACATATGGCCACGGGGTACATAAGTAAAGCCACCTGTCCATTGGGGTAGCATGATCCAACATAAGCAACGATGTGGTTATGCTGAACACTACTCATTATTTTAAGCTCCTGTGACTCGATGGGAACATCCGCATTCTTGCCTCGCTGTCTTCGTAAAATCTTGATCGCTAAGGTGTCCAAGCCTTCGTCAGTCTGGAATAACGTGGCGTATATGTTCGCTGAGCCTCCGTCGTCAATCAATTGTAAGTGAGGCAACATTATTTCGAGTTCCTGTGTGAAGAGAGTCCAATTCCAATTTAAAGAGTGCTGATTTCGCCGGAACTCTGAGACAGGCAATTTCGAAGCACATGTAGTGTTCCTGTGCTTTTCGTATCGTAAAACGCTAGATGGCGGTGAGCGTACGTCAGGTTCAAGAGACTGAGACGAGAGATCTGACGGCGTAGAAATCGATGTGTCGGGCACCGACGCTGAGGATTGGGCGCCCTCTCGGTGTCTGGAGGTATGCTTCCAACGACGCGGCGGCTGCTCCCCTCTTTCACCGAGTATCCTCGTTACCCAAAGTTTAGCACAGGACGAAATTGTTTTTGTATCATTTTTTTCAGAATTTCTCGTCATACGGTTGCCATAACCTTCTGTCAACGGTTGGCAAGGCTGGCGAGAATGACCCATGGCAACAAAGTGAGTCAGCGAACAAAGGTGAACGTGAGGCAAATTGCTCGTCAAAGTTGCCACCCGCTGGATATTAATTGAAGGTTGTCTGAGAAGACTTTTATAATTTTAGGAGGGGCGCCGGTGTATCATTCATGCCTCAAGCTGAGGTGCTATGGAGTACCTCTAATTCGCATCATAATACGCATTGCGCGTTATAACCAAGTTCCCCGATTTCAATCTACTGCATTCCACTTCCCCGATTCGCCACAGAGTCCGGATTACCTAGTGCGAATGGACATAATACGCAAGAGAGTTGTGAGGTAAAATCCGTAGACCAATAGGTGAGCTGGTTGCATACTCAGCTCACGCGCGCCAGTCTATGGTGGCTGTAGACCCAGCCATTTGATTTCTAAATACTGCACGAGGGGTCTGATTTGCTTTATTTGCTACGCATGCTAAGCAAGTTTGTCTCTATGTAATCGCGAGGGTGTATCCGGGCTTGACCGGTGTGTTGGTCCAGCAAAACGCCAAGCTGAAAAAAAGGCCAAAGGACATACAACAAGCGGGCCGGAAGAGTGTGATGCGTTGATCACGCAGCCAGATAAGCATACTGGCAGGCATAGCGGCTGGCAGGCCGGTAGGTAATCGACGAGGCTGGATAGACGGGTCCATCTATGCACACCCACGGATGATGACGTGGCTGGATAATTACAACTGATATGCAGCCCCTCGAGAATCTTCCAGTTGATTGGTTTATAGTTGAGCTGCCTTCATAGACTGCTCTATGTCAAGCCTGACCTCATTGGCAAGTCTCTCACAAGACTTCGTCTCTGGATGGCTTCCCCCGAGAAGCCGGGTTCTTGCTTCCAACACATCCCTATACAACAACTCTGCATCCTTCAAGCAGCCTTTGCGACGAATTAAATTTGCCAAATTTGACCGAGCAGTGAGACTTTCCAGATGATTCGTGCCAAGTGTTTCCACAAAGCTCTCCAAGGTTTCCACCAGGAGTCGCTCGGCTTGAACGTAGTCCTCCTGTTGTAACAGATTAAGAGCCATGTTTCCCTTGGTTCGGAGTGTAGCGGGGTGTTTTGGCCCTAGGAGAGAAATACGAGCATCGTATACCTCGGAGTAGACTACACCCGCTTCGGTAAATCTATTTTGTAGTTGAAGGACCGCTGCAAGATTGTTCAGGCTCAAGAGTGTGGCAGTGTGAAACTTCCCGTACATTGACTGCCTGATTCCCGCGGCTTTTTGTAGATAAAAGTGGGCTTCTGTGTACTTCTCCTGGTCTTGGAGTGTTAACGCGAGATTGTTGATGCTCTTGATGGTACTATCGTGGTGAGTCCCGAGCACGCGCTCTTTGACTCGGAGCACGTTTCGGAGGACTGATTCGGCTTTCTCCGACTTGCCCTGTTTCTGAAGGACGAGTCCTAAGTTGTTCAAACTGGACAATATGTCCGGATGATCGTAGCGTAAGGTCCGTTGTCTACGTGCCAGTACATCCTCGGTGATACTTTGGCATGCCTGATAACTTCCTTGGGACTGATAGGCCAGAGCAAGCTCGCTAAGAACTTCTAGAGTGTTACAATCTCCTATTCCATATAGGCTCCTGCTTCTCTCCACTAAACTTTCAGCGAATCTTAAACTGTCGGGAAATCGGCCAACCGTCTGCAGATAGAGACAGATCCGCAAGCTCAAGTCCAGCTTTGCGGAGCAGAGGTTCTCGCTGCTGGCGAGCACGGCCTGAGCGTGGCGTATGAGCTCTCCCCCGTGCACCAGTAACGCTTTGTTTTTGAAGGTTGACGGAAAAGACTTATATATAGCATTGAAAGCCAGTCGTGCATACCCCAAAAAATCGTGGTTGGCTTTCATTCGCTGTCTTAAGGCCAGGTGCACCAGGGAGTTCATGTCGACAACGGTTCTCATGTTATTTGTGCGAAGCATAGAGTAGGCTTCTAGTACCCCCAACGCTGATATGACATCCAGCCAGTCGCTACCTTCTGTGGGAAGTAACCAGTATGGTACTGCTTGAGGGTCTATGCATGCAATGAAAAAGAAGATGTGTGCAGCGTAGCCACACTCATCTATGATCCGATCGAATGTTGCTTCCCACGTTCCCATAAGCCCAGTTGCTCTCTCTGTGGCTCCACCTCCAGTTTCCTTCGAAAGAAGCCTGGTTTTGCTGGTTTCATTCTCACGGCAAAGATTGAGGTAATCCTGAATATCTATCGGATTCTTTCGGATAAATCTTGCAGCTTGCATTATAGCCAGTGGCAAACAGCTCAAGTCCGTTACGAGCCACTTGCGGCAGTTAACCTCGGTCTCGACATCGTTCGAAACTTTAGTCAAAAGCTCAACAGCGTTTTCCTCCGAGAAAGGGTCCAGGTGAAATAAACTCGTCGAGTCGAATTGGACCAGTTCCAATGCCGTGTTTCTGTTACGAGACGTGAAAATGATTGCTACACTTGAGTCTCGAGGAAGGGAATCAACAAGTTTTTTAGGGCCAAAAAGGGTATCCCAGGTATCTATGCCGTCAACAATCAGAAGCCATCTAATCATTGGCTCCGCAAAGGCAGAACCGTTGGCGAAGTGGCTTGTAGGGAACCTCCTGTTATTTGTGACACAAGACATTTGTCTGAATCTGACATAGTTGCATTCAAAATTTGTTTCGCTATCTGCTCGTAAAAATAACACGAGAAGATTTGGGATGTCTGTTACAAGGCGATGCGCGACTTCGATAGCAAGTTGTGATTTCCTAAATCCAATCAGTGAAATGGACGAGTTACAAAGGCAAGAATCACCGACCCTACCCCGCCCAGGCCACATATCCCCAGGCGTGTGTGTGATTTGGCATTTTTTACGCGCTCCATTATTTTGGTGATAACATCCACCTGTCCGACAAAGTTTGGGTTCCTCACAGGCAGTGTTGTCGGGGGTGCGTGTGCTGCCATCATTTCTTTCGACTCTTCACAGGTGCCGTAGGGTCCCTGATATCATCATCGATTAGATGGTTCAAGTGCTGCTACTACCGAAAATAGAGCACCTTTTGAAACATGTAGTGATGTTTGCAACATCATGTATTGGGTGAAGAGCAACAGTTAGTTTCAAGACTTACATGAAGAGCGATGTGCATTTTTAACAGTGCAAACTCTCGATCAAAAATATCATCCATTAACTTCATAACCTCCTGTTCCTTCTCCAACCATGATCCAGCCAACCGCATTCTCGCCCAAAATCCCGTTCTCTTTGCAGTATGTAATCTCGTCACGAGCTCCGAAAGCCTTATCAATTTGTTGGAACATCTTTGTATCGTCGCGCGTGATTTCGTTTCGATGGTTTTTGTCCTCATAGATGCTAGGATAGCATTCATGTCGTGGATCTGACTCACTAGGTCGTCGAGAGTTTGAGAACCATCTACCAGGCCTGAGAGACAGCCCCGCATTCTTCGGGCGTAATCGAATAGCTGGGTGACAGCTGCTACTGCGCCGATGACCACAGTAAACTCGGCCATATTCTCTCGTGGAACGGGTGAATGCTGCGGAATTTGGTCACTCGAATTGAGAATGTGCTATTATGTCTTGTAGGTTTTTCTGTTGGCTTAAAGGTCGTTCAATGAATACAGAAAACTATCATACTGATACCACAGGATATAGATGTGAGTGGAAAGTCTTATCAGAGTGCGGATATCACTACCGAATCACACGGTTGATATGTCAAATTCATAAATCAACCCTACCTTGCATACGACCACCGGTCAGTCATTCAGCTTTATTGCAGGGTGTGAAAAACCAGCGCGAGGCAGACAATCAATGCGGTGTACACGCGGTGAAACCAGCACAAAATATTTCGCGCAAGGCAGTTACTGAATTTGTGATGGTGCATGGCAAGTCTGAGAAGCTGCCTTTTTCGAAGAGCGGGGCACCACAGCCTTTCAATATGTTGTACCACCCCTATTCTCTGAACAACTCGTTAACATTGGAAGTGCGTTCGCTGGCTATCTGATCCCTGCAAGCCGGTTGAGCTGGTTAACGGTGACAGAGGCATTGTAGAAATGTAAGCCTTATACCGGCGAGAAGTCAAATTCTCGCACAGAGATCAATGACTTGGGTCATTTGGGAATGTGAAAGGCTGAATTAATTAGCCCTATTCACACACATGCCCAGGTGAGGGCATCCAGCGGGTGACATTAAAGGTAGCCGACTGCGACAACGTACTCGAATCTAGTGTTTTTGTTTTAGTGACCGAAACAAGATCTGGCGAAAACGCTGGGTTAAAAATTGATTTGAAGCTATGGCGATCAATGGCATCTAGCACTACCCGGTAAAACAGTATTCGCCATCCGAAAACTCGCAATGGGGGAGCAAGACAACGAAGATTTACCCGTCGGTTCTTCAAACATGTATACCACGAAGATCAAAATGCAATCCAGCACTTCCTGCTTATCTTATAGACATAAGTCTCGAGACATCTAGTATATGCGGGACGTGACATATAGCGCAGACTACTTGAGATATTCTCAATAACTACAGTAATAACACAGCAATTCGAGTCAGTGTTCTCGCACACGTTGGGGGAGAGAAAAGAGATAAGTAGCAAATGATCAGAATAGCCTAGAAGTATTGCATATATTGGAGAAGTATGATATCAAGAGATAGAAAATAAAAAGTATTGAGGATACCAAAAACGCCATATACACACCACCGCAGCAGCGAGAACCGAAAAAGCAATATTATCAGCACCGTCCCTTAGAACACTATATCCCAATCCTGACCTACGCTTGAATATGCATACCAACCCCGATCTAAATCCACGCTTGGAACAACTCACCACGTCCCCTTGAGCGGCAAATCCCTACTCGAAAACCCTACAAAAATCTCAAACTCTCCTTCATTAGGCAAGACCCAAGTCTGGCTGACAACATCCCAATAGCTGAGATCGCGCCTCGTTAGCTGGAACTCGACCATTTCCTTGTTCCCGCCCGCGCCCTCGCCATGGGCGGATCCTTTGATGCCCTTGATGCCGCCAGCAGATCCCTTCTGCGCATCGACAAACACCTTCTCGAACCCGCGAAGCACCTTGACCGGGAAGTCTACAGGCTGCTGCGTAGCGGGGTCTTTGTAGTTTTTGGGAAACGCGACATACAGCTGAACAACGGCTGCACCAGCGACAGTGCCGATGTTGGTGACAGACGCCGATACAGTGAGCAGTGGTGTCCAGAGGTCAGGGTTACCGCCCTGTGCGCCACCTGCTGGGCTCGGCGGGCTGATCAAGAGCGAGGCCTTGATTTCGGTATTGCGGTGGACGTCCGAGATGCTAGACAAGTAAGGGTAGATATACTTCTCAATTTTGTGGAAGTTGGGTGGGAAGAGGGCCGAGGAAGGTTCCGGGAGATCGGTGGAGTAGCTTGGCGGCTCGATGCCAGAGGGACGGGGGGCGAGGTGCGGGGTTTTAGGGCCCAGTGAAGATATGAGGAGAGAGGAGAGGTGGAAGGTGGTGTAGCTAAGACCGAAACCGAATTCGTAGCGCGGGGCGATGTCGTTCTTGTCCAGATAGCGGTAATCGATGTAGAGGCCCTCGGAGAAGTTTTGCTGTGGGCTCAGACCGTCCATGGGGCTAGGGAGATACTTGATCTTGCTTCCTGGACCAAAATCCTCTTCCTTCTTGGTGATGGAATATGGAAGATGACCCGAGGGATTTACGTCTCCAAATAGAATGTCCACAAGTGCATTCCCTGATTCTTGGCCAGGGAGATTGGCAATGAGAATTGCTTTCACGTTGGGGAGCTCGACGAACTCCTCTAGGATGACCGGACCGACAGTGTGCACGACAACTACAACATTGCCTTTTCCTTTTCCGCAGTCCTTGGATACACCCTTGATGAGCTTGTCGCCATTCTTTTGCAGGCGGAGGTCGTTGCGATCACCGGCGACATCTGCGTGGATTAGTACATGATTATGACCGAGCGTGACATCGACGACAAACTTACCAGCCCATTTTTCGAAGCCCTCTCCAGCATCGGAGTTGGCGAAGACGATGCACAAATCTTGGTCCTGGATAATCTCCTTCTGCTTTGGAAGCTCGTTCTCGGGCCAGTCCGTGACGTATACTGAATCGTTATTGAACGCCTTCCTCAGAGCAGACAGAGGTTCTATAAAATAATCGTAGTCTGCTGCGCCGCTACCCCAACCCGATCCCAGCGTACCATCATTGCAATGTTGGTCCTTGCAGGAGTTGATGCCCTTGCGACTAAGACGAGCATCTTCACCGAAGATTCCAACGCGGAATTTGCCCGACTTGCCATCTTTTTCGTGGGCTTTCCAGCCGCTACGATCGAGTGGAAGGACATTTTGTTCGTTTTTGACTAGCACCGTGCCTTCGGCAGCGACTTTGCGTGCGATATTGCCATGAAAGTCCTCTCCTTCGCCTTGTGCTTTGATGAACTTGTTCACCACACCTGTCGTCTTATCCGAGGGGCTCCCTTCGTGGATCTTGCCAATTTTGTCGTATGTCCAGGAAGAAAAGTTGGGACCATCTTGTGACCATTTGTCTTGACCGACCTGATACCACGCCGCTACGACACGAGTCACCATATCGTCCAAACGATCCACAGGAACGCTGCCATTGAGAATAGATTTGGTGAGTTCGGATCCCCATAAGCTCTTTCCATTCGCCCATCTAAGGCCATCCCCAGGCATGGTCATATCAAGTCCTGCCAACGAGGATGCGACGCCCGCACGTTGGGCGAGCCAGTCACTCTGAACATAACCCTGGAAACCCATCTCATCCTTTAGTATGCCGTTGAGAAGCTTACTATTCTGGCAAGCATACGAGCCATTCACCTAATCACGCGTCAATATGTGTGCCAAACTCACACACTCTGAATAGAACTGACCTGATTGTAAGAGCACATGATGGATGCAACACCAGCTTTGATTGAGTCCGCGAAAGGCCACGCATATATCTCACGCAGTGTCCTGTCATCAATATTGCTTGAGATGGCATTCGGCAGACCCCATTCCCAGGCTTGTCTGAAATGTTCCTGCTCGTTTAGGACGTAATGCTTAGCTGTCGCTTGCACGCCTTGGTCTTGGATTCCTTTGATAGTCTGAGCAGCGGCAATACCTTGCAACACAGGATCCGTCCCAAATCCTTCCCAATTGCGGCCGCCAGCTGGCATTCTTCCAAGTGGACCCATTGCAGGGCCCAAAATGACGTGTATACCCTTCAACTTGGCTTCCTTCCCGTGAGCCTCCCCACGCTTGTACATCAATTCCTTGTTCCACGTCGCGCCAACAGTGATGCCTGCGGGGAAAGCAGTAGTGTTGTCAACGAAACGCAGACCCAAAGGACCATCCTGAAGGCACAGGGATGGGAATTTGAGACGCTCGACGGGACCGGTGTTGCCTACACACATGTCCATGCTCCAACCCGTCCCCGTTGTGATGTTGACCTTCTCCACGAGCGTCATCTGTTTGACCAGATCGGCGGCTTTCTTGTATGACTCCTCCCAGCTCTTATCGGTGCCTCCTTTCGGGGTCGGGTACCAAGGCGGGCTCAGGCCATCTCGCACCATTGTCTTGTTATATGCCCATAAGCCGCCTGCGGTAAAGAGCAATACAGTGGCCGCTACAAAGAGCAGCAGCCAGCAGCACACCTGCTTGATCCCCCATGCTCTGGATGATGTCGGTTTTGAACGCCCAATCTCGGTGTCCTTGAACGAGGGTTTACGTGTGCGCAGAGCACCGGTGCTCTTCTTGCGTTTGAGGGTTCCGGCATCGTAGTTTAGGGGATCGTACTCTTCCAAGTCTTCGAAAGATGACGTGTCGGAGTTTGAGTCGAAGGACGGGCGCGTAGGGCTATCATCTTCAACGGGGGCATCGAGCTTCGCGTACCTGCCTCGCCGCAGGTCATTGAGCTCGGTGGGAGGCATGTTTAACGCGGGAGATGGAAGAAAAGTATAGCAGAATGCTGTGCACTTGAACTAGTGGAGCTATGCTGTGGGTATCTAAGTAAAGGAAAACAGGTGCTCAGTTTTGAAACAGGACAAGCAGAGGCGCTGCTAGCGAACTAGAATCGAGGCATGAGGTTGTTTGATGTCACAATTTTGGACGCAGCGAGTCTCGGCTGGTCAACGGTGTGATAGAACAGCGTGGAGGCGGTGTGGTGCTGAACAGTGGTGCGTGGCAGTCTGTCGGACTCCCGTGCGAAGGTTTGATGTTGTGAAGTGAAGGTGCACCCCTGGCTACTTCCCGGCGGCTCGGTGCCACAGCCCCACCATTGCCATCCAACCCACCACTCAACATCGTCACTCACACGCCGCACGCCATCATCATAATCGAATAACAATAATTCTTCATTTCTTTTATGATGGGATATCCGCATCTTTTCCAAGACGCCAAAACGCTACAGAGATCTATAAACAGACTATACTCTTCGCCTTCTATGCGCCGACCTGGTTCAAAATGCCCTGCAAGTTGATGCTCTTGGGGCGCTCGATAGGCAGACCCAGCGCCCTGTCCCACACCAGTTGTGCGAGCGGACCTAGACCACGGCTGACACCGAAGGTTGCAGTGTAGTAAAGAGTCTCTTTGAATCCGTAGTGGTGGAAAAGCACACCAGAAGACGAATCGACGTTAGGGTACGGGTTCTTGGTCTAGAAAAAGGTTAGAAAGAAAATCGCAAATAATCAACCGAAGCAAGGCAAACTCCTTACCTTTCCGTGTTCTGTGAGAACACCAGGGGCGACCTCGGAGTTCTTCTTCACGAGCTGGTATACGGGATCCGCCGCGATTTCCGGTCGAGCATCGGCAAAGTCCATAAGTGCTTCGAACCGCGGGTCGGGCTTCCTTAATACAGCGTGACCATATCCAGGAATGACACGTCCCGACTTGAGGATGCTCCACAGGTGGTTGGTGACATCACTCTCGGTGAACTTGGTTCCCACAGACTTCTGCATGTCAAGAATGAAACGAAGCACTTCTTGCGCTGCGAGACCATGGAGAGGCCCAGCCAGACCTTGGAGACCGGCAGAGTAGGAGAGGAATGGGTCGCTGAGGGCGCTGCCAACCAAGTGAGTAGCGTGTGCTGAGACGTTGCCGCCCTCGTGATCGCCGTGAAGAGCGAGGTAGAGACGAAGGAGGTCTTGGAAACCTTCATTCTCCTTCCCGGATTTGCCCAACATAGCAGCGAAGTTGTAGGCCCAGTCCTGATTAAGATCGACTTCATTGGGAAGCGCACCTCCTCCGCGGTACGCATTCTGGTAAATCTTTGCGGCGATAGTAGGCAGCTTGGCTAGAAGACTGATAGAATCGTCAAAGGTAGGCTCCCAGTAATCGGCCTTGTTGATGCCCTTCTCGTAAGCTTTGGCAAACTTGGATTCGTAATTGAGTGCTGACACGGCGCAAGCGAATTGTGTCATTGGGTGGAGATCCTTGGGGAAATCATCGAGCATCTTTTCTACGAATTTGGGAATGCCAGCCTTCTCGGCGAGCTCTCGCGAAAGGGCACGGGTCTGACCGACGGTGGGAACTTCGCCGGTGAGCAAAAGCCAAAACATGGCCTCAGGAAGCATCTCTGTGCCGGATGTGCCCTTGGGTAGCTCTTTCTGACAGTCTTTGATGGTTTTACCGTGGAAACGAATGCCCTCGTTGGCATCGAGGACAGAACCTTCCCACACCATAGCCTTGAGGCCTCTTTGGGTGATGTGTTAGCATTCACATAGTAGTGGTGTGGGGGGTAATAAGTGCATACCTCATGCCACCCAAGGTGTTCTCTACCTTGACCTCTCCGAGTTTCTTGTCGGCATGTGCCTTGACCTTTTTGAGAAGCTCACGCTTCGCTGGAAGTACCCTCTTGAAGGTCTCCTTGAGATCCGGCTCGGAGGAGGAAGAGTAGCTGCATGTTTGGACTAGAGCTCATGTCAACGATAGCTAGGTATGACGTATGCGGGGAAGGTCAATTGCATACCAGAAGCAAAAGGGCGAGCCGTTGAAGGCTAAAGAAGCTTCTGTCAGTTCGATTCGATTTATTTTGGTGATTTACGAAGCTCACCTTGACTGCTCTTAGAGCTCTGGAAGCTGTGCGTGCGCTCAAAGCCATGGTGACAGCTCCGTGTGGGGAAGCGGGGATAGCGGGTATTAGACAGATGGCGGGGAAGTGTGGCTTCGGCAGCTTCTCTCTCCAAATCACCAGAAGCTATGGAGTTGATTGAGTTGAAGCAGCAAATTGAAACTATCTTTCTTTCGCGAATGGGGACGAATTTGATTTTAAGAAAGAACGAAGGAAGAGAGTGCAAGCAAGCAAAAAGGCGGCAACCCTCGGCGTATGGAGCATGCAAGGCGTTGCACTGTGTCCGTTGATGCGAGCTCAATGCCCCTCGGCAACGACCAACCCGGTTAGTCTGTTGGCTACCCTCGGCTCCTTCGGCGCGGAGGAGAAAGTTATCCTACCAGAACTCTACCACATGCTCCCAGAAACGTCGCATCCGCCGAGTCACATAAATACCGCCTGCAGGATCCCACTGACTGTTGTCGCTAGAAACGAGTAGATTTTTGTGCAGGGACCCGTGGGCCGTGGCGAACCTCATCTTTATCCTCCAGCGCCGCCACTCCGGCACTGCGAGTCACCTCAAAGTTTGACCAGGCACACCTTGACTCGGCCTTGTCCAACCTTATACAAACACTCACTCCTCGTCAGATTGTACTGACTGCCCTTTCTGCTCTCATCCGCAATGTTTCGGGCCGTGTCGCGGTCTGTAGCCCGCCAGAGCCGGTCTCTTAAGCCACCGCAACGAACAATCCAACTCCTACGACCGCTCTCCACAACCGCGTGCCGCATGTCGAGCGCTCCCCTAAAACCAGTAGATCCACCGGTATCGACAGCGTTGCCTGGGGATTCATTCCAGCTTCTCGCCGAAGCGTCCAAAGCGGGCCAGGCCGAAGATGCGCTTTTCGATGAGCAGGTACAACAGGTGAAAGATTGGTGGGCGTCACCACGGTATAAGGGCATCAAGCGACCGTACTCGCCAGAGGATGTCGTGAGCAAAAGGGGAGCTTTGCAGCAAACATATCCCAGCTCGTTAATGGCGCGCAAGCTATTCAATCTGTTCGAGGAGCGAGCAGCAAAGGGCGAGCCGGTGCATACAAGTGCGTTTGTCCTTTACCCTGTAGTCAGCAATACAATAACTGATCCACTTTTCTCTCTTCATAGTGGGTGCCATTGATCCTGTGCAAATGACCCAGCAAGCTCCGAACCAAGAAGTTCTCTATGTCTCTGGGTGGGCTTGCTCTTCCGTCCTGACCACCACTAACGAAGTATCTGCCGATTTTGGCGACTACCCCTACAACACTGTTCCCAATCAAGTTCAGCGACTTTTCAAAGCCCAACAACTTCACGATCGGAAGAATTGGGATAACCGAAGGAAGATGAGCCCAGAAGAGCGGGCAAAGACACCATATCTCGATTACATGCGACCTATCATTGCCGACGGAGACACTGGTCATGGCGGTCTATCAGCCGTGATCAAATTGGCCAAACTCTTTGCTGAAAACGGTGCGGCTGCTGTTCACTTCGAGGATCAACTCCATGGTGGGAAGAAGTGTGGTCACCTCGCAGGAAAAGTCTTAGTGCCCGTGGGCGACCACATCAACCGTCTCGTAGCTGCCCGCTTTCAATGGGACGTAATGGGCTGTGAGAACCTTGTCATCGCGCGTACCGATTCGGAGAGTGGAAAGTTGATTTCCAGCGCCGTTGACGTTCGCGATCACGAGTTCATCAAAGGTGTCACGGAAGAAACCGAGCCACTGTCCGAGACGCTTCAAGAGATGGAGGCAGCCGGAGCCCCGGGCAGCGAAATCGACGCGTACGAAGCAGCATGGGTGAAGAAACACAAACTCGTCACATTCGATGAGGCCGTCAAGCAGCATCTCGAGAAAGAAGGCGCAGCCCAATCACAAATAGACAACTACCTCCAAGAAACGAAAGCCAACCCCGACCTCTCCCTCCCTAAACGTCGCAAGCTCGCCGCAAAATACACCAAATCCCCCGTGTTTTTCAGTTGGGACATTCCCAGGACCCGGGAAGGTTTCTACCACTACGAAGCCGGCATGAAAGCAGCAACGAAGCGTGCTAAGGAATTCGCTCCGTACGCCGACCTCCTCTGGGTCGAAACCGCGGGTCCCAACGTCGAAAAAGCAGCGAGTTTCGCAGGGGAAATTAGAGAGAAATATCCCGGCAAGAAATTCGTGTATAACCTTTCTCCTAGCTTTAACTGGATGGGCCAGGGCTTCTCGGAAGAGTCGCTCAAGAGCTTCGTTTGGGATCTTGCGAAGCACGGGTAAGCCTTCCCCTTCCCCTCCTCATCTCCACTTTTGTTGTATGCTGAACCTCGAAATACAGATTCGTAATGCAGCTCATCTCCCTCGCGGGGCTCCACTCCACCGCTACAATAACCTGCGAGCTGTCCCGCGCCTTCAAGGACGAAGGCATGCTCGCCTACGTCAAACTCGTGCAGTCTCGTGAAAAGGACCTCGGGTGCGATGTGCTCACGCACCAGAAATGGAGCGGAGCTGGCTACATTGATGGGATTCTAGGCTCAATTCAGAGTGGGAGCAGTGGGAGTAAGAGTATGGGTGAGGGGAATACAGAGTCAGGTGAGTTTGTGCTGTCCCAGAGTTGTTTTCCTCCCCCGATTCGATCAATCGATGGTTAGAAAGAGTTGTTGCTGATTGTATGATACAGGTTTCTAAAAGCTTTGCATAGAAGTGAGGGTTTGCTATCATGTGCATAGCGTTTTATAACTAGACAGTCGAATAGTGTGTTATGTATACTAGAAAGACGATTGAGCATTTGTCTGCCTTTGACAATTTTATATTTATATTTCTGCAATCTAACCATGACCAACCACCGATCAAATTCCTCTCTCAACATTCGAACTTCCCAGAACTCATTAACGTGTCAAACCAAGAGCTTTTACCTTTAAAGAAAAGGTTCATAATGTTCGCATGATCAAGAAAGACTACGACAGACAAGAAAAGGCAGTTGGAAAGCATGGAGCTCAATGGAGTACGAAAAACAATCCACCACGGAGTAGATGCATCAACGATATCAAAGTGACGACGAGTTTCACCGAGGGAAAAACTGACCGTTCAGCATTGAAGGAACACTATAAGCTCAAAACACTCGCACACCACAAAAGCCAAAAGACGAAAAATCTCAAATAACAAAGTCGATATTACATTATCCACCCTATGTCCAGCCCCAAATATAGAATCCTTTTAATACTCCGACAACGAAGCTGCGCCTCGAAAGGAAGAAAAAGAGTAAGGGTATCATTCACCAAGCTAAACACATATACACCTAATCTCATAATGATCCGTCCCAAACACCAAAGCCGAGAAAAGAAAGGAACGCTACGCCGCAGCAACAACATTCTTCCTAACCCTCAACGCAACCTTCGCCAAGCGCTGGAAATCCAGATTTGTGTTCTGATCCGGCATATGCTCGCCACTTGCGATACAGTGCACCTTCATCTTGGGATGGAACTTGAGATTGTTGAGGAGTTTGGGCGTGACGAGGAAGTACTGGCTCGTGCGCTCGCGACATGCAATGTCGACCATGCGCTCGTGCACCATGCGCTCGTTGCGCGGGTCCATGCCCTGGTTGATCTCGTCGACGACGCGGAAGGGGGAGCGGGCGAGATCTTGGAGCGCCATGAGGTAGAAGATTGTGGAGACGGCGCGCTCGCCGCCGGATTGGCGGTGCGAGTCAAGGATTGAGAGGGATTCGTTCTCGCTATGCGATAGTAGTTAGCAGAAGGTTCTGGTAGAATGAAGATAAAGGAGACGTACCGGAAACGGACTTGGATCTGGATAGCCCACTTTCCGAAATCTTCATCTTTGTACACGCTGACTTGGCCTGCGCAGCCAATTTGATGGAGATTGTGCGCGAAGCCGTTGCTGATCATGTTGGCGAGGGCATCCAGTCGAGGCTCCCATTTCCCTCGGATCTCCTGGATCATATCGCGGGTGGCTTGCAGTTGCTGCGTGCTGTTCTCGAGTGCCTCTTCAACGGATTTAATGTCCTCTTCTCGCTTTTCGAAAGCCTTCACTGCGTTTGGGTTGCCTGCTGACATTAACTCCAGGCGAGACATGACTCTGCTGATTTCCTCGTCCAATGCATCCGCAGAAGGAAGATTGCTATACTGGTGCATTGCCTCTTGGTCCGCTGCTGAAACATCTTGGATGATACGATTGGCTATTCCCAACTGTTCCTTGGCTTTTGCTGTGGTGTGTCTTTTCAACGCATCTAAGCGCTCCACTTCGCCGCGCATCATTGAAAGTGTTGCTCGAATGGTATGATTGTCAGACTTATACCCATCAATCTCCGAGTTGGCTTCAATGAGACGGATCTCCGCTTCCAGGAAATCCTCGTACTGACTGCGAAGTTGTATGACTTGCTTCGCGTATTGAAGAGTGAACTGGGCCGCCTTGATCGACGCCTGTTCCCATTTGGTCTGCTTGGACGAGATAAGGTTATGTGACTCTGCCATGGCATTCTTCAGGGTCTCTAACTTGGCTTCCTTGCCTTCTATTTTCCTGGGAATAGCTTGCCAATTGGCCAGTCGGTTTGCAATCTGTTCCTGTTCAGATTGAACTTCAGCCTTCTCAGCGTCGGCTTGGGCAATGGCATCCGTAATGTCTTTGTGCTGGGCGGAATACTCCTGATGCTGCTCCTTCAATAATTCCAGTTCATGTTTCAGTCCTAGGATTTCGGCATCGAGCTTGTCTTTCTCCTCTGTATCGACAGACTGACCGGTGAAATATTTCGCGGGTTTAATTTGGAGGATATTGGTAGAAGATATGCCATATTCTTTTCGAGTGCTAATCTGACACACTTCGTTTCCGCTAACCCATTTGCGAATTCTACTCTGCTGTACCGCAGCGAACTGTGCTGGTGAAAGCGTGCGAGGTGCGAAGGCTGATGCATGAAGTTTGGCATCGTTGCAGAGCATGTTAAGCACCGGATCAGGACCAACTATATGGTCAATGATCCAGCTATGGAATCCGAGGCGATGCAGTTCCTCCCGGCTAACGGGGGGAGCCGGCCGTACATTTGGCACTGTGCGAATCGTGATTTTATGCAGCTCTAGACCACCATTTTCTCGGGTACCAACGAGTTTATTCTGAACTATTTTGGCATCATGTGGATTTGTACAAGTGATGGCAAAAAGATCGGGTGGACGAAGCTGACTCTCCACAGCGCTGGCATAGTCGGGATCGGGGATCGAGCAACAGAGTATCGGTGGGGCATAGACGTCGTCGTGCAACTGTAAGCTGGCCTTGTTCTGCTCCAGCCAATTCCATGCTCTAAACATCTGCTCGTTCATCTTCCTCAGAATTTCTCCTTTTTTGCCCATTTGCGTGTCCAACTGTTTTCGCGCAGCGATTTTCTCCGTTTGCGACTGCTTGTTAGCTTCTACTTGTGGGCGAAGGCGTTTCAAGTTATCGACAAGCTCAACCTGGCGACGATCGAGCGCAGACTTTCTTGTGCGGATGTCCTTTTGTCGAGATTCGAATCCAGAGGCGTCGTATTCGGGGGTTCCATCATCCAATGTGGTCTGGAGGGTTCTAATTTCCATTTCAACGCGCTTGAAATCCTGATTGCGCTGCTTGTCTATTTGTTTTTCGCCCTCAATCTCGGTTGCGACCGCCTCCATAACCTGGTGTTGAGCATCAATCTTCGTTGCAAATGACTTCACAGCACCCTGTCCAGCTTCGAAGCGTTGCTTTCGAGAATTTGCAACTTCAGCGACCCTATCGCGATATTGCTCCGTCTCCTCTTGGCTTCGCTGAAGTGGCTCCACCTCGGCTTCATAATTTCGCAATTCATTTTTGTGGGTAACTAGCTCAGCCTTTATCTGTCGGAGCTCATCCTGGAGTAGTTTGGCAGCAATGATGGGACGACATTTTTCAAGCATCTGCGACTTTTCGGTCAATTCCACGCGCTCGTTCCACCGCTCAACGTCTTCCCGTGTAGCATTCTGCTTGATTTGTAACCTCTTCAAAGTCTCTGCTTTGTCCTGGTTTTCCGCCTCAAGGCTTTTCTCGTTCGTTCGAAGCTGTTTGAGCTGATCGTGCCACTCCACCATCTTCGCTGGCGCCGCAGCGCGTTGTGTTTCTCTCAGCAGCGCGATGGGATCCAGCCTCGCGAACTCGACCACACGATCTTGGGGCAGAAACTGACATAGATTGTCGATTTGGATGGAGAAGGATCTTGCCAACGCAACCACCTCTTTTTGTGGCACGGGGCGTTTGTGAATGAAGAACATGGATTTGTTGCCCTCTTTTCGAATCAAACGGCGGACAATGGGGTTCGATGAATCGCCCGGTGCGGCAGCGAGTTCGATTTCGATTTCAGCGTCGGACTGACCATGTTTCACGAATTCGCCAATGTCTTTGGCCCTACCGAGGTTCTGTAGAGGTCAATTATGAAACTGTGAAGGCGAACTTGGAGCTGGAAGCATCGTACCTGAGGAGACCATCCTAGACCTAGGCAAATGGCACAGACAAGCGTGCTCTTACCTGTGCCATTGGGACCAATGATCATGTTCAAACTTGGGCCCAAGTTGAACTCGGCGGCAGTGTACGTGACAAAATTGGTGAGTTTGACCCGAACCAGCGATCCAGGTATGTGGGAGTCATGGACCTCTTCTGGCGCGTCGCGACGCGATCGTTTGCTTCCAGCTGATGTTTGGGAGTCGTCGGAATCTTGGTCACCATCACTCAACGCGGCCACCGGGCGTTTGCGGTTTTTGCGAACCGCTGACATCTCTTCTGTGGTCAATACTGGACTTGGCCGTTGATAGACGAGGGCAGCAGCACATCAGTCAACGGCGTTGGTACACAAGTGAAGGATGATGGGGTAATGGGCAGCAGACTGGTGAGTGATTCCGGGCGTGGTGATTGGCGGGCAATCACGTGCACACGCGCTAGTATAGGGCGCACGGGCCATGATCCGTTAGCCGAATCACATCCACAGCACAGACAGCACATGCTGATGACTGGAATGCGGAATTGCTTTTCTTGTTCATTCCTTTTCACTTCAGTCTGGAAAACTGCACACGCATACTGTCGAAATGCTGCATCCCCCGGGTTTCCGTCCCATCTACTTGCTCACTGTCCTGAAGGATCAATTGCCACCATATCGTTGTTCCGCGGCTGCCTCTCGGTGGCGGGTTCCGTTTCCCACTTGGACGTCCCCGACGCCCACCCGCGTTTGCAGTCGGTCGATGGCTGCAGGACCACAGAGTTGCACCGTTCCAGGCTCCAAGGCGTCTCACCTTGCCGCTCATTTTCGGGCAGACTGGCAGACAGGCCTTGCCCAGCTCTGCCTAAGCAGTGTCACGTCAAGGCGAATTGTGTGAATATAACCGGCCTCGCTTCGCATACGTGAAGTGAAGTATATTTGCCCTTGGTAATAGTGATACATGATAGCCAAAGTACCTGCTTGGACTCGCGCACGCCCGGCCGAGTAGTGCACAGGAGCGCTCGTATTCTCGAGCTTGTTGCGTTAGTATTGACTCACTAACCAACCTGCCCGTGGTGAATAGCAGAAGAAGAAAGTTTTGACAAACAGCATCCCGGAGAAACGAGGACGAGCAAACGGGACAAGAAAGAGGGATTGTCGGCCTGCCTGTCTGGTAACACGCGTATTGTACCTGGGTGTCCAAACCGCGTACCTCAACCAAACCCTCGGCTTGTCTCATGCCGGCCAACGCTTCCGCAAGTGAGTATTATGTACATATGAGTACATGATGTAGCGGGTACCTTATGACAAAGCTGCACTCGGGCACGGATTAAATGAGAATGCAACGCTTGCTTTTGTCACACGTCCGCCTCCGTAGCTCACTTTCGCCAGCTGACGGCCTCTTGCTTGCAGCACAGCACTTGAGCCTTGCCTCGCTCTGAGGCAGACTAACTAACCGCACCTACCCCTCCTCTCGCTTTCTCACCTTCCAACACTGCCATTCACTTCCAAGCTGGCTGGGCCTTGCATCCATACATATAGCTACATATCTTCCCCCGTCTTCCACCGACCCCCGCCTACTCTCACTCCCTCTGCCAGCTTCACCTCCACTCTCGCTCCCTTGCCCACCCGCCCGCTTCACCGCCAGACAGCGTGGACCGGATCCCTCTCCGACTGCTACCTTGGTTGTTTTCCTCTGCCTGCACCGGGCGCGAGCACTGCACCGGCTTGTTGGCCCAGCGTCTTCATCTGTCTGTCTGTCTGTCGAGCTAGCTCAGCGAGCAGCTACTCCAAAGGGAGCAGCTACTCTTGTGTAGCAAAGCAGCAATGGCCGACTTCAACTACGGCAATCCCCTCAACGACCAGGTCCCACATCCAAATCCTCCGCCAATAATGCGATCCCAAGATCCCGATTCGCTCGCTCCACACTACTCGGCCTATCACGCTCCCTTCATGAACAACCCTGATGGTCCAATATATCCTCGACTACAGGGCCAGTACAGAACACGGCTGCCGGATCCCCCCATGATGTATGCCACATACATGACCAGCAATCACCCCTTTGCCCTCTATGGTGCTCCAGCTCCTCGACCGGAAGAACATCATGCTACCCCGTCTGGCGTCACATTTCAACCTCCTGTTGATGGGCCTCCTCTGAGCAGCGCACATGCACAATTCCCCGATCCGCAGCACCAGAGGGACTCTTACTTCCGGAATCTGCATCACAGAACTTTGACCCCGCCTGGCATGGTGGATGGTCCGACGCGACCGTCTTCACTCCAGCCAAATGCAACAGATAGTCTTAGTCTCCCGCCTCAAGGTGCATGGAATTTGCCGTTGTTTTCCGAATTCTATCGGCATGGCCCTATGGGTTCAGCATCTACTGCACCCTTGAGGCCAAATCCGCCTGGAAACGGAGCGATACCACCTCCCACTACTGGCAATGGACGCCCCATGCGGACTGGACCCGTCAACGTGGATATGCGCTTGCCATACGTCGTGCCTAACCGCGTACCTTTAAGCCAGAGGCCACACGTTTCGAGCACGCAAGCCGCGAGAACCTCCGAACGATCGGAACGGCAAATGGCGGCCATAGTAAACCAGCACTCTCATCGTCCAGGAGACAATACTTCACCCCGAACTTCTCATCGACGGAGCTTTGACAGATACTCGACAGATCTTTCTCTACCTGGCAATAGTCCGGAATCAGATGCATCGCACACGCCAACACATCGCTCGATCCGACGCCGAATGGGAGATGGCTTTGAGAGTCCCGAACATCGTGCACTTGTGATGGCCGCCCGCCACGATTCTGGCATCCCTTCCACGCACCAAATACAGCAACTCAAGGGAAGGTTGTCCAGACATGTAAGGGGCGAACTAGAAAAGGACGTGTCTCCAACATGTGACATTTGTCAGAGGGATTACTCGGAAAAGCTCGTTGAACCGTCCGAAGATGAAGAAGTGGCAGTCAAATTGCCTTGCAAGCACGTATTCGGAGAACACTGCATTCACACCTGGGTATGCTCTTTTTTGATCTGCCTTTGCTTCTTTTTAATTCTGAACTGTGCTAATCCATCATAGTTTGACACTTGCAAGAAGCACAGGAACAAAATTACGTGCCCCATGTGCCGAGCACATTTGCTTCCGCCGCGACGGAGGCAGCATTTGATACAAATGCTTGCCCAAGCAGAGCATCACGGAACGAGTGAATACATGTACGGGGATCCTCGACGACTAATCGAGTCATTGGTTGGCAGAGAGCTAGAAGGAGACTTTGCGCATACCTAGCAAAGGATGGGAAAGATGGATCGGGTATTTGCCAATGCAATACCATGGACGAAGGCAGCTAAGCTCAACCCTGGGTTGTGTCTGATGCGTACACTTGCGAGAGGGGTTGCGGGCCTGCAGAGAATGGAAAGCACTGGTTGTGGGTATCGAATGGAAGGGACACGGTCGGGTCGGGGGCGGGATTCTCTCATTGCATGGTACCAAGCATGGTTATATGGCGTTATGGTGATGGCATTCATAATACCCCGAATGGGTCTATCATACTGATCATCGGTAATCATGGAGTTAATTTGAACAAGATGTGTTTAAGATTGAACATATTTCCCGATAAAACATGAATTAAGTGGACATGCGTTGGTGACGTCGATGGAGGAATGCTGTCAGTACCGCATGTTATTGGTTGTTTGTTTGGGGTCTTGGCTTCCAAACAAACAACCCCACCAAAGCAGAGCATCCCGATAGTTACAGCGCACCACGTATTCTCATTTTCCAATCCCCAAGCCTCTACCCCTTATCCCGGTCAATCCTTTCGTCTTGTTCGGATCTGCTGCTCCACTTCAACTTTTCTTTTCCCCCTTGATTGCTGAGTGAGTGCGCGCGCGAGGCCCGTGGCTTTCCCTCGATCGCGGCGATACCAGCCGCCTGCGGTTGCTCCTTCTCGGAGTGTTGCTTGCAAGCAAACAAACAACAACCGTCAGTCACTTGACCAGCTTCTACGCCCTATTTCTTCGCCATGGATCCGAATCGGCAGTCCTTCCAGCTTCCCGTTCCTCCTCCCCCTCTCCACACACGATCCAGCGAGATGGGCCGTCCAGGAACACCTCTACAAGAGGCCTTCACCAGCCCACAGCAGACTCCACAGGGCAGTCCTAGCAAGCACCATCAGCCTCCCGGCGCATTTGATCTGCCGAATGTGTTTGAGAATGCAATGAGGCTGCTCCCTACGCTGGGCTCTCCATCCAAGTCCAAGCCGGGCACGCCAACTTCCCCCAACAAGCTGGCCCTGAACACGGCTGACGAGGGCGATTACTCTGCGCAGGATCTTACCACTCTCGGGCCTGGAAGTCCCACGCGCAAGGCAAACAAGGAGAATACACCTCCGGGGTCGCGACCTGGCTTGCAGAAGGACTCCAGCTATGTAACTCATGCTGCACAGTCACGCAAGGAGCCCTACAGACCACGAGAGGCAGATCAATCCCAACGATACTACCCAGGCCCACAGCGTCTCTCTCCAGAAGAACTAGAAAAGGCGAGGAAGCCAGCTGTCAAACGCCTAGCAAACGTGACCCAACTTTGTGAGCAGTTCTTCTATTCACCAGCAGGGCTGGGCTTGAGCTAATATACAAGGCAGATTTCCTGGATCATTACTACGACCTCCTCAGCTATGTACATACCCGCCAGACTCGCCTTGCTCAATTCAAGGCCCAGAATCCCCCGCCGCCCGAGACGCCCGAAGACGCATACAACGACGCTTTGACACAATACCTCGGTCGAGAGCGAGCCAATTTACGCAAGCGCCGTACCCGCTTACGACAAGGTGACTTTCAAATTCTCACACAAGTCGGCCAAGGTGGTTATGGACAAGTCTACCTGGCACAAAAGAAGGATACGCGTGAAGTATGCGCTCTGAAGGTGATGAGCAAGAAGTTGCTGTTCAAGCTCGATGAAGTTCGACACGTCTTAACTGAACGCGATATCTTGACAAGTGCGAAGAGTGAATGGCTCGTACGGTTGCTGTATGCCTTCCAAGACGAAAAGAGCATCTATCTCGCAATGGTAAGCCATGCGATTGCAGTGGAATCTACGAAGAATATACTAACCAGCGCAGGAATACGTCCCTGGAGGTGATTTCCGTACTCTTCTGAATAATACCGGCGTTCTGCACAACCGCCATGCTCGTTTCTACATTGCAGAAATGTTCTCATGTGTAGACTCTCTGCATCAGCTTGGATACATTCACCGCGACCTCAAACCCGAGAATTTCCTCATTGACAGCACTGGCCATGTCAAGTTGACCGATTTTGGACTTGCTGCAGGAATGCTTGCGCCTGCTAAAATTGAGTCGATGCGAATCAAATTAGAGTCTGTTGGCAATATAGTCTCTCCTTTTGGGCGGCCCATGGAAGAGCGATCCGCTGCAGAACGTCGCGACAACTATCGATCACTCCGCGAGAGGGATGTGAATTACGCGAAGAGCATAGTTGGCAGTCCTGATTATATGGCACCTGAAGTGTTGAAGGGCGAAGAATACGACTTCACAGTAGACTATTGGAGCTTGGGCTGCATGCTTTTCGAAGCGTTGGCCGGCTATCCACCTTTTGCGGGAGCTACTGTAGACGAAACCTGGCAGAACCTCAAACAATGGAAGAAGGTGTTGCGCAAACCGGTCTACGAAGATCCCACATACTTCCTTTCCAAGCGAACATGGGATCTTATTACTCGATTAGTTGCATCAAAGACCTCTCGTTTCCGGGGAATTTCGGAAATCCACGCGCACCAGTACTTTGCAGAGGTGGATTGGAATCAACTGAGAGACAACAAGGCTCCTTTTGTTCCTGAACTGGACAGTGAGACCGATGCCGGATACTTTGATGACTTCGGAAGCGAGGCCGACATGGCCAAATACAAGGAGGTACACGAGAAGCAAGCCGCACTGGAGGCCATGGCCGACCGTGGCGACAAGATGGGCAAGGGCTTGTTTGTTGGGTGTAAGTGTTTGCTTGATATCCCAATCTCGACTTCCGATGCTAATAGTTGCTCTCCAGTTACGTTCCGCCACAAGAAGACGACTGACGAGAACGGCAAACCGTCGTCTCCTCGAAAAGCGCTACCCTCCGTTAGCGAAAACTTCGATACCATTTTTTAAGTAACACATTCATCAGTGTTTGCGTTGACACTGGGTGCTCCAACGATACATGTGGGGTTTGCTTTTTTGGCATTGCCATGACATGACCTTCCATTACCTTCACCGCCTGCCATGCTTCCATGCTATGGAATCGTGCGGTTATGAAGATGCATTCTAGCATACAGTTCTTTAATTCTTTCTCCTGTCCTTTCACCTTCTCTTGGTCGTACGGGCGTCTTTAGGCATTCATGAAAGATCATTCGGGAAGGAGCATCGTCCCAGTTGCGTTTCTGCCATGTTTCGGTGGCGAGGAGCGAGGGACGTGTAATACTATAGATATGAGATGCACGAAGAGAAATGAGATCATTCAACTACATTTTCTAAAAGTACCGTACCTGTGATAATTGTATGCTTCGAGACGTTGAGATTCTATGCATGTTGTTGAGGTGTAGGACTCCCCCAGTCATTTACTTTCACGTGCTGTCTGTACGTGCGTTTGTGGATTGGAGTAAACGATTGCTGTACCTTCTCTTCCTTCAATGATACATATGGTAATTGAAGAGATGTAGAGCATGCGCTGTGATTGTCTACTTTTTTTTCTTTCCTAGCGGCATTCTATATTGTCTTCAGTGTATAAACACCTCCCATACACTACTCCACCATTCCATTTCATTCCAGTCCGTTCCGATCAACACTTGAACATGCAGATCATCTGATGGTGGAAACACCTCCCTATACTACTTACCATCATCATCACGCGTGCAATCTCTCTAATTCTGAAGTTTCCCTATTTCTTCTCTTCCTTTACTTTGCTCTTGATATATTTATATGGGGAGTAGTAACATTTGTGTATCCCCAACGATCGCTGCTTATATGGTGTTTAGATAGTAGGAGAAGAGACGGTGAATGAAGTGGTGAACGGCGGACTTCAAAACTCTTGAGCTGGGATAAAGTCAGGTTGGGATCTATTGATATTCACCCTCTAGCGTCTATTTCTCTATTATCTTTTTGTTACATGGTTGTGATTATTGAACTGATTTCGTTCTAATGAGATCGGTTCCGAAAGAATGGGGTGCGATCAGCCACTGGGTCAGTGAAGTTGGGTTATGTAGATAGAGTCTGTGCATGTGGAAGTTGAAGGTAGGAGGGAAAAGGGGTATTTTCTATAAAGTGGGTTTGGGAGGAGGGATTGATGATAAATGAGAATCAGTGTTGATGATACACGGGTTACGTGTTTATGTAGATTGAAGCTGTGAGAATGAGTACCGTGGGACTGGGGTTGTCGTGATTTACTATCGTGGTCATTTCTTTTCGTCTTTTGAAGTGAAGTTGTGGTTTTTAATGATTCAATTGAAGGAGATTGGAGTTTTGAGAGAGCAGATGTATAGTGGAATATGGGGAGATTGTGTGGAGATTGGGTATGTTTATGTCTACTTGTTGTTTGATGTATTCCACATTCCGGTACAGCTTGTTCTTGACTGCTTCTACCTCCTTTATTCCAGTATGTTTTGTTTAGAAAACTGAAATATACTTGTCACAAATGACCAATTTCGAACAAAGAATTTGGTGAGGAATATGCTAATTCTTGCGCTCGTAGTCATGATCTATAGGTATAGCAAGATTGGAGGTTAATGTTTTTGGAAATGATGACCGATCTTCCTCTAGTAGTGGGCGTATGGATATACGCCTGTCTGGGTGTGGATGATCTTAGGATTTTCTGGAAAATGTGTAATGGCAGCTTTCATTCTTGGTTGCAAACGTTCGAGCTTCATTGCGTCTGTGAGACTCCTATCGCGAAGGGCTAGGCACGACTATTACTCGCCTGCCTTGCCCAGTAACCCCAAAATGGTGTATGCGATATGAGCGATCGTGATCGCAGTATTTCTAGAGGAATTCCAGACACCTTGTAACTGACTATTGAAAGTTCCAACCCCACTCACTGTACTTACACGAGACGTCGAGCCAACCCAGATCCTAAATCATGAATAATGGCACAAGAAGGATGGGTAGTCATATTCCGGGGCCCCCAGCGACATCATTGCGGCGGTTGTCCACGAAAAGGGATAAATGACCGACACGCTCCACCATCGTCATGTCCACACTCGAAGGATCGATATACGAGCAGCGAACTACTGTTACACCTACCATCAGCAAAAAAAGAGCCGATGCTCGGCCCACCGAGCGAGCGCCCATGCAACGCAATGACGGCCAAGTCCACGGTCCTTCCCTCCCTTTCCGTCCAGGGGTACGTACGTTACTCATTTGCTTGGATTCGGGCCGCTCGCCTCTCGCTCGCTATCGTGTTCGGAGTTTGTCGCTGCGAAGGGAAAGGTTGATGAGATGGGAGGGGCGTTCGGATCAAGCTTAGATGTGTTTCATGTTTTGATTGTCGACGCCAGCAGGCCCCGGCAAAGGTTAAGGGCACCTGGGTAGTCCCGGTAGCACGTGCGTTTGCCATTGCGTTGCATGCGTGCATGGCTAGCTTCCGGCAGTCAAGCCTTTTTTTTTTTCTTGCTATCTCTCTTTCTGTTTTATTATTCCTGTTTCTGTATGTTGGTGAAGTCCGGGTTTTCGCTTGTTATGTCATAGTCAGGTACGAGACTGGGGTCTGAGAACCTCTCGGAGTGCATGCTCTTCGGGGAAGATTTGACCCACTGCCATCCTTCCCTGGGTCCCCACACACGCGGAAGAGATTAATGTGACTACGATGCGGTGGGGCTTTTTGAACGTGGGAAAGAGAACCTGGGGTCGAGAGTTCTTGGTGACATGCAGCAGTTGCCCCGAGTAGCTGGATGGTAAACCTGGTGGTATTGATTATTGGTATGCTGTCAAACTGTTTGAACAATAATCTCCGGTGCAAGCCCAAACGCGAAGGAGTCCTGAGTTTTGAGCTCAAATCAAACTCAGATTCCTAATCAGTGAATCGGTCGATTGCCGCTGTCTTTTATTCAAGATTCGTTGAGAATCTCGTGACAAGAGATAACGTGATTAGTAAAAGATTCTTACAGAACCCAGCATGCAACCCTTTCCAACCTGGGAATACAATCTCGCACGGGGAATACGATATGATGATAGTGGGATCCAAGAATACATTTTTTTTTTCTTTTGGAGGGATAAGGTTACCTGAATCGGGGGCGTACGAGAAGGATCAAGAGGGTTCTGGGCTATACGAAGCTCCCTGGCGCATCCCCTATGGCACAAAGTAGGAAAGTGAACGGCGAACTCGAAAACGGTTAACGTCTGAACAGGACCAGTCTGTCGGATCTAGCGGTGAAACTCCATCATATCATTGAGTATGGAATCCAATGATGATATGCATGTGTCGAATTTCCACCGCGCGGAGTGCAAACTATGTGGATTTCCGCATTTTCCCGAACAGAGTAAGACTCCGCAAGCAACGGCTATATCGGTCACACTGGCGAATACATGTATGCGACACGTGGGAACGACGCGATTTGGACGGTGTCAAAGCTCTGCTCCGTGATATTAGCGTGTTCTTTGGAACGATGGATTGATAATAGAACGATAGAAAGAACGATTGATGAAAAGCCTGGAGAACGTGCATATTACTTGTTACAGCTTCCGTTTTCGGGCAGCGTGCATGTGTCGAGCTGTCAGACCAATGGAGGCGGTGAGAGTCAGACATCTGTTCTGCGCTCATCTTTCGTATGCCTTTTTTTTTTCTCTGTTTCCCTCTGTCCGACCTTGCTTTGTAAAAAAAAATCGTTGGGAAGAGGCAACTACCGCCGCTGACACCACAATGGGATATGTCACATGCTAAAGTCGGTCAGAATCGGCGTCGGCGTTGTGCTGATCACCCAACATGTAACGCAAGCGATTTGGTATGCAGTTTGTCAAGTCTTGATATCATGGACCAAGAGGATCCATGCTCCGATGGGGCGGGTTGGAGTGTGCGCGCACGTTACAGAGAGCTCGGTAATGCTTCAACAAGGCATGAGGACAGGAGAATCTGCTGTTCAACGGCGTAGCAGAATCCCATAAAGGGAGGTGAACTGGCTATCATACGGACCCATGAAGAGGCGAGTGTAACATCAAGGTTGAAGTAGTGGTTGAGGAGAGGACGATGATGCCCAATTGATGCGGATGGCAATGCGGAACGAAGCGTCAAGGGAGAATTACGCCTTTGAGAAGCGCAACCGGACATGCAACGTCCAACGCTTCTCATACCCCTGTCTGACGCATCCATGCGCCCGGGTAACCGATCCAACCATTCAATGTGCAGTTTTTGTAGATGGAATGCGTCGTTCTGCTGTGGGTGTAACTTGCTTAGATGTTGTTCAACTATCGCGTCGGCAGTATGTAATTGAAAATCGAGTACACAGAGCCATCAGGGTACCTGTAGAAGCGTGACAAATCATGGTTCTCACATTGGACCTTGTTAATCTGTGTGATATTCGTGATGAGTGGTTTGACCAAAGCTCACATGTTGAAGATGCATACATGTAGCCAGGGATGTAACCCACGAAAGCGGTAATACGGTCGCGATTGCCTCAGGCCAACGGCATTTGCTTGCTTAAACCGCTAGTCGTGTCCTGCGTGCCTGCTTACCAAAGTGATTCCTGATTGTTCCCAACAATGAGTCCGTGATCCCAATCCTTAGTGGCGGATCCTTCCTCCGGCCCATCGCAGACTGCAAAGGTGAAGTGCCGCGATTAAGTGCTTCAATATTGAAATACGTACCTTGCATGTTTAGCATTGGAATCGACCTAACTACATGATGGACTGCCTGATGTCGTAATCCAATAGCTACTTAGCACCTCGGCATACAAGTGCTCGAGGCCCGGCGGAGAAATTGTCGGGCGATCTGTTACCGATGCTCTGCCAGAAGGTCTGTAAGCCGGCCATTCGTTTTTCGCAAGAGGAGAAAAGGAGGTGATCTAGATAAGGAACGGAGATAGCTGTGCAGTAGACAGTAACAAGCCAAGACTTGGATTATCTTCATGACAGGGAGAGAATGACCTTGAGTCTTCCAAACTACTGCCACTTCGGCGCGTGTAGTTCTCCAACCAACAAAAAAAAAACAGCGCGCTTATGCACGATGGAACGGACGGTGGGACCGCATCGGGGAGTACAACAATCACGTTGCATACAGCAGGAAATCCACACATGTGTCACACACACTTACCATTTCCACCTACCCTTACAGCGGACCCCAGCCTTGACTTCATTTTCGCACTAGCAAGTGCATACATCATACATGGCACTGCCTGTAGTACGCAGCAATACCTGCAGCTCCAAGCAGGTGCGACCCAGTCATACGGTTATTGGGAATAATGGGTATTGCGTGCTGTCACCGATGTGCTGCGTTTGCCAATTAGCAAGGCTGCATCAAAAGTCTGGGAATCCAACATGACACATCTCATCAAGTCCACGAGCAATGACATGTACTCCAAGACAGTGGTGTGTCCTGATATCATTTACTTATTGTTCATCGGCCTGGCCAGTCTTGGTTCGCTGCGATATATTCCGGGAAATTCGGTTCTCACTCTGATTCAGACTTCGTGACCGCCTCCCAATCGGAAATTCCCTTATTGCATCTCATAGATGAAACACGTAATCCCACCTCGTTTTTCCAATAATCCGTCCATCTACATATACAGTCTGACAATGTGCCCGGCGCAAGTGAAAACCAGGGTTGACTCGCAATTTACGTAGACTATTTGCACGAAATCAGATCTTAGCACCGCTCTCTTAACCAAGCGGACGAGGCCGAAGGGCATGCGATGAAACGAGCAGGGTACGCTTGCGCATTCGTATACCCGGGGTGTTTCCTTAATCAAGGACGCTAGTCACCAATTTCATTGTTATTAGTCAATCAGTGCAGCAATCAATCGATCTGATGATCAACCACAGTTGGATTGCTGTGCTGGGGAAGTGTTAAAAAGAAAGAGTGACTACTGAAGGCTTCATTCCATCATCCTCATCCTTGCGCGCAAAGTGCTACGCAACACATATCCACACACCCACACTCGCAGACTCCCACGCTAATGACTCTACATGGTGCGCTTGCTGTGTTGTACGGTAGAATGGTGGGCAGCAATGTCCACCCACATACATCATCTGCCTAGCACACCACCCAAGCACCCGGAGACATGCCCACATGCGCGATAATCGCAGATATGATTTGCTTTTTTAATTGACGCACAGCAGCAGCAGCAGGAGCACTAGAGCAGCATTGCAGAGCGCATGCACAACGCATCGACCAGTGACCACATGATGAGGAAACCCTGTCTGGACTTTGCCTTCGTACAACGCACTCTTTGTGTGGATGATCTTTGCTTGCTGCGTTGCTTAGTCGTTGTATGTGGAGATTTGCGGGTAGACAAGGCGATAATATGGCAACATTAAGGTACGTATTAGAAACATCACTTCATACGCAGGGCGTCGCACGTAACAGATGCCTCGTGGACACCAAGACATGCTTGCAATCAGACATCTGTTCCAGTCATTGGTATGGAATAATAAATTGCTATCAGTCAAACAACTCGCACGCCCGACATCATATGCATACACACGTCTTGATTGTCTTGTCCGCTATGCTACCTTCTATCAAGGTACATGTTCTCCAGGACGATTCTTTTGCAGTAAACACTCCTTTCCCTGATCCATAGCAAATCCAAAGGAAATCCCCTCTACATATGATAATCTTACACAAACAACGCTGGAAGTACATAGGCACAGAATACCCGAGCAACCGCCAATGGCGGAAGCCTGGCCCCCAAAACTATAAATCGCCCAATAAATTTGCAGGAAAAAACACAGGACAAACCAAAAATAAACAGAAAGAGAGCCCGAAGAAAGTGTCCTGTGCATACCCGGAGAAGCGGCTTTCTTCCGCGGGATGGGTGATAATCTTGGTGCGCATAATCGAGCTGGTGTATTACGCCATGGTGGAAGTGAAGTAGAAATGATAGGGTTGTGAGGCGCAATCACATTTCCCTGAACCCCCGCGTGCTTCCATTGGGAAGACGCCTCATTCTTGCTTTTTCCTCGCTTCAAATACGTGTAGGGCCGATGCTTCGTGCCACTTTGGGGGTTAAGGAAAAAACCCCCACTCCCGCCATAACGCCATTCAAGGAAATTCGAGAAAAAAGAAAGAACAAACAATGAAACAAACAATATTGGATTGCGCGAACGCCATCAGACCTTTTTTTGAACGATAAATAGGGCAATGATTGGTGAGGAAGAAGAAAGAGAGAGAAAAAAGAAAGAACAAGCCTCCCCGTATTGGCAAATGCCGGGAAGCGCCACGATTTCTTTGATCTACGCTTAATCTTGCGCAAGTGTGGGAATGTGAGAACTTAATTCCCGTTCGAAAGATGGTCCTTATGGTCCCGAGTATAATTGCTGTAGTCCAGGGTGGTGGTTGTACGCCATAGGAGCGCCCTCCTCTTGAACCTGATCCAATGGGCCCGAGTCACCGAACCACTGCCCGCTCATGCTACGACTGGACATGGGCATCTCGTTTCCGTACGCCTGCCATGGTGGAGGATAGGTATATTGGTGATTCTGAATGATTGGGGCGGAGAGAGGACCCGTGGAATTCGATCCCAAGGTAGTATGTATGGTCGAAGGGTTCGTGTCTATAGATACCGTATACGGATAGGGTGATGTCCGACGAGAGAAATCATGTTGTGGTTGATGGGGCTGTAAGCCAAGCCCTTGGTTCGGAAATTGCTGGGGAAGTCCTTCGATATTGCCGTAGGACATGGACCGTGATGGTGGTTGGAAGCTCTGCTGGGAAGACCAGTTCGGGGTTTCTGGATGGCCTCCATAGGACATAGCTGAGGTGGCGCTCATGGCTGCAGGAGTGTGTGCTCCAGACATGTTTGATTCGCTTCCGTAGTTCGAGTTCGCCGTGGAAGGGGAAGGTCGCCAGTATCCGGTTGATGACGACGGGCTTTCTGTGACAGAGGAAGACGGTAGGAAGTTGTTTGTGGGTGGCCACTGTGTGTCTATTGCATGTGGGTAATTGAAGGACGATTGAGAAAGATGTACTTCGTCAAGTTAGCAGCGTATCCCTCTTTATTCACGATCAATGTGTCCACTCACAAGTATTTACGGGAGTGACGTGTTGCGGGTCCAGCTCGATGTCATTCATCATTGGGTATTTGCGAGAGACAGATGGCGGCGGCGCTGAAGGAAATGGAGGGCAGAATTCGTCTGTATTTTCATTCAAACCTGGAGGATGCCCTGGGGAAGAAGTCGTCGACGAATTGTGTGCACTAGCAATTGCTTCTTTAGCAACAGCTGGCTGGGGGCGCGGGTTCTCTGGGGCCTGATCCACAGGATAGAAGTTGCACTCTTTCTTCAACCGAATACAGTTTGCGCAACGCCCGGTAGGCTCTTCTTGCGAGACGAGACAACGTATCTTCCTACGGCGGCAGTGTCCTGTTATTCTTCATCAGTAGATATCCCATTATCAGTATCGCTTCGCAACTCACCGCATGCGACTGAGGTTCGGTGATAGCCCAATTTGTTGCGCCTTTTATCTGTGGGCGACAAATCACCACTGTTTCCGAGTGCCAAGTTACGCATGTGCGGTGTAGAAGAAGACCGTCTGATCGGAGTGGTTGTCTTGTCTTTGGAAGGACGTCGTTTCTTTGTGCTGTGGTTGGAGTGCGAAGGGTCGATCGCGAGGCTCGAGAGCGCAGGTTTGGTATCCATTTCACCATCGTGAACTGTAGTTGTCGCAGGTATGGCAAATGACGCCCCGGAGGGCGGTTCTGAAATATCGAGGGACATTGCGTCGGTGACGGGTTGTGCTAGCAATGCTTGGTCTAACCTGGAGGTAGCTTCCTTTGCACGTCGCTCCACTCCGACAGCCATGAGAGGCGCGGTCTTCTCGCGCTGGGTTTTGGGATGCAACTTCAAAAACTGGGTGGTGAAGCCTATATCTAATTTTGTTAGGAAGTGATAACATACAATAGTGGGGCGAACGATTGGACAAGATGGGTTCGCGCTGGCATACCTAAGAAGGACGATTGCGGAGGAGTTCTAAATGATAGAGCTCGCACTACCAGGTCGTGTGCGCAATCGGGAGTTGCAAATGTACCATACTACGACGGGCTTGAGTTTCTGGTGCAGGTGAGGCGAGGGCTAGCCAGCGTCGAAAAGGCAAAGGGAACGGAACGGAACAGGCACGACAGCACTGTATCAATTCACAAAGTGTGCAAGCTTGCAGCACTTACGACCACAATGAGCGAGTGGAAGTACATTCGTAATTTACAGATGAAGTGTGGAGAACAAGAAAGATATGGAGAAGGATGATGTGAGAAAGAAAAAGAAGCTAGCAGCTTCCGATTGCAAGCAAAGGGCCAGGGTCGAGAACAACGTGGACTTGTAGGTAATTCCTTCTTCCCCGACAAGCTGTTTGGCTGAGTGCCTGAGGGTTTGTAGTGAAAAGTGGCGAAGAGCAACCATTTGCACCACCACGAACGAAGATGCACCACCACCAACGCTGCTACCACTAGCAGCGAAAGGCCAGTCACATTAGGGCATCATTCCAATTCCGTTCAACGAGCATGCATGGATGCTGACTTGGCCCTCACAGGCGATCTTGGGCCGGTCTGGCAGGAGGTGAATGCGAACCCTGCGTGCCTGGGTGCTCGCGGGAGGAAGGGAAGGGCATGGCGGACTTGTGGACTGTGCACATCTAGGGACAAGGTAGGTTCGCGGTTCAGTTGTCCACTACGCCGTTCCTCGGACTTGCGCTACCCACGCACCGGTGCAGTGTTTGGGTGGGTCGTGGCCGGCTGTCATCATTAGTTAGGGTGAGCGTAGCGCAGCCGCGGCGTTACAGGTCATGAACGAACATCATTGTCGGGCCAATGGATACCCGGACGTAGCACTCTGCTATGGATAATAAGAATGAGGATGGTTGATGGTTGATGATGCTGATGCTGATGCGGTGATGCTGTAGTCACGGTCACAGTCATGGTCAGATTATGTTAGATGGCGAATCACTGATTCTCACGTTATGTCCATGTGGGCCATGAAGAAGCCCAGCAGGATCAGTTGAAAGGAATACATACACAAGGGCGACAAAAGCAAACCAAATGTCAACACTCGTCCCAAATCCATACTTCACCAATGAGGATAGCGCAGTGAATGACCCTCCAAGCACGCACACGCACGCACGCACGCACAACACCAGCAGCACTGCTCCATGTTCCATGCTGCATGCTGGCTGCATCTGCATGTGAGCACGACGCTGCTATTGCTGGCGATGGGTCCGAGTGCGGACGGTGGGTAATTTGGCAGGGCCCTGTGCGTTGGTTGCGTGTGAACGACGACGAGGGGTGGTGGCGCTAGGAAATATCGACAACACTCCCAACAGCAATGACCAAATGAAGATGGGGCTGGAGATGAGGAGGATGGAGGATGAAGGAATTCATGCTGAATGCAGGCCTGAGCCGGTGGCTGTTTCCGATACTATGATACGTGGGCTAAGCGGAGCAAAAAACGCGCGAATGACTACCTATGCAGTTAGTACATGGGGTATCCGCTTGCCGTTTGGCTCTGCTTTGTGATTGATGCTCTTCTGTCTTGCTTCGTTGATTTTGCTGGACCCGAATTGATGGATTGCGGTGGTACCTGATTCCACTGTTGGCTGCAGCATTCACTGCTGCGGTGCTTTGCGCGGTTCCTCCTGTAACGCACACAACCAGCACCCAGGTTTCGGTGTGCAGGGAACTGCCAAATTGAATGCAAAGGAGCAGGCGTATCCAAGTCTGCGACAGATGGCGGCGAAAATGCAGTCCTGTCTCCACATGGGTTCATCTCGCTACTACGATCCCTGCTTCGAAGCCTGCTGGCCTCATCCAGTGGTATGCAGAGCACCGACCAGGAACGTCGTTGATGTTCTTCTCTTTTCTTTTCTTGTTCCCTTTGGTCTTTTTTTCTTCGCCGAATATAATAGTAACTGCTGATATGTTAGTGTGGGGCGGTATCGCCTGGTGTCGTAGTCTATATCATCGGCCCTATTGTATATCCGCTCCGATGTCCCATTGCGGGCGATATCCACGTGCTAGCTACACACCCAAATGTTGATGAAGCTATTGAGCGTATCGTTTTTTCATTTCGTATCAAAATGAGAGCAGATGGAGTACATACACCTTTGCATCACGTTGTTTTTAAACGACGCGATGAGCATTGGTAACTTACATCATTACGCAGAACATTGCCTGTTGAGTTGAAGTGACGTGATGATAAGTACATGTAATGCATTGGTGCATGGAGCAGTGCCCAGGAGGCGCTATCACATTTAATGAACCCAACACAGTGGGAGAAACTCTATGTACGGTAAAGTAATTATCGGACCCCTCACACAGGGTACCAGAAAGCCCATTCATGTAGCTGATATTACTGCAATACAACAATGTACCATGTACTCTATCGCCTTCGGTGAGAGTATCCCCCTGTTGCTGTTGCAGTTGACCCTTATCATCCTACCCCAATGATCCCACACTTCCTACAACAGCATCCTCTTCTTGTCATGTTGCAACCCTTATCATGAAACTCGCCGACGCCCAAATCCCCCCCGGGACCGTTAAGATTCTTTATGGAACTGCTGGTAAGATGCCATGTTATATCATGCATGCTAATGTATCGCGTTGGTAGATGGTACGTATGTCTTAGTATCCACCTCTAAAACGAGACCTCCGAGACCTTTACTAGTTCTGGCCAAGGGGACACTGCAATCGGAACGTGGGTGTCCGATCGATCTGAATCCTCTGTCGCGCGTTCCTGTCGGTTGATTGGCAAACGCCTGCAGAGCACATGGTGCGAAACGGCTAAGAACAGCGACTGAATAATATCTCATTTCCGACTCCTGCAGCATCCCGAATGCACATTGTCCGGCCCGACTGCTCCCTGAATAATATATTCAACTTCGCATATCCTCTTCACAGTTTGCGCAATGTTTCTTGTGAGATGCATAAGACTGAGGGTTTCGATCGAGTGGATTCTTCCTGGGAGACTGCCATCCAAGAGAAAAAACTCTGGTTGTGGTTGACGGCGTTCACTACCACCTTCCCAACTCAGAACACTTGCATCCATGTGATTGCGGCGTTTCTGCCACATGGCTGTAGCAGCGACCCCCATCTTACGTACAGGGTTTCTCTACATAACGATGCCACAATACATTTGATATTACCACATGCCACTGGCCACATGCGCCTAATCAACCCCCAGCTGCTGCTACGCTTTTGTTTGTTGATAGTTGATCATCGGTAATCATGGATTGCCAATGATGTGGTGCACATGCTGCTTATTCTGATTTGACGAGCTGAACTGGCTCCCTGTATTTTCCCGAGCGAATTCGCATAATCCTCGAGCGTGGGTTGGTCCGAAATCGATACTGTCACTGTTACTCTTTGTAATTATCTTACATACAACAATCAACCAACAGCCAGGATCGCGTCAGTGCGTACTTCACTCACAGATCCTTTAGGCGCCCTAGAGCCCAATTATTCTATACAGGAAGCCGCTCCGCACGACCGCCGGATGTGCCACGCGAATGCAGCATTGAACAGGTATGCCTGAGACCTTGTTTAGACATTCAATGACGAGCTATTAGGCTCGCTTGCTAATTGAGGAAGCCATCGCAACACGCCTCCGCTTACCACGTTACCCTAGCCAGCACATAATGGCCGCTACCATGCCTGAGCAGTGGAACCCTGTCACCCCACGCATGGAACACCTGAACACGCCACTCTTTGATCCATCCAATCGATGATTGTGTCAATGGCTGCTATCACGAGCAGTTGAAAACCAGGCAACATGTCGCCAGAGTACCGCTGGACTGACACGAGCAATAACACTGACTCAACTAGCTTGCATTTCTTGCGTCAAGAGTTCCAACAGTGGTGATTCAATCCATATTAGCCTCGTCCATTTTACTGCTATCAAAGAGGGTAAATCAATATTTGATGTGTTAATCAATATCTATTGTTGATCGATATGTTACAGTAATTGGCCTATCTATCCAAATCCACACGACCATGAAAAATGTGACCTTTCAAACCTTACATATATTGTACAGGATGGTATAGAAAAACCTCTCTTCAATAATCAAATACTGACTTGTCTCGTAGTTTCTGATGACTGTGCTAATAGAAAGTTTATCGCGCGATAGAGGGGATAATTCGATCCGTCCTGAGGTCAGAAGTCTTCCTTGAGACTCGATCATTATCCCATATGGCCTCGGTAACCGCGTCCTCCTCTAATGACATCTAAATTGGTATCCAGACTCACTAGCCAGACTCACTAGCGGGCTCGCTTACCACCAAGACACAGCCCAGTTCCACTACACGCCATAACCGAGTTCTCAGAGCGGTACGAGTCGGGTCGAGCAGCTACGCAGACAAAGCATAGTGGACACGATGTGGTTCATAATAGTGTTTAAGCTAGCGCCCGTATTGAAACCTTAAAATGCTGTCGAGTGTACCGGCAATTGAGCTGAGGAGCCGTACCTGCTCTGCATAAGGTGGCCTTAACAGTTTAGAGTTTGATATGGCAATGTCTTGCCTGTGTGTTGACATGTTCACTGTAGACCCCTGATCTATGGTAACCTACTGCAGCACTTCATACGATTTTCTAGGCTTGGACGCATCATTTTCGCTCAACAAAAAACTGGTAAAACCATTATTGCTAGTCTAGTAAGATAATTTTTCCGACGAAGCTGTCTGTGTGTACTTAACTAACTTGATTGCAGTACCTCGCAGGGAGTAGCGAGGCACCAAAAGATCATCGATGCGCCCTGCGTCTACATAACAGTAGCACCATTTCTTTCGCGAATCGACCGGAAGCATATCCTGCTTGAGTCTAGTTACACGCGACGAAATGAAGATCAAATTCAAGTGCGTTGTGGGTGAGGCTGCAAGCGCTTTGTAGCATGAAGCTTGGCTTTATCTCCACTCGGAGACATATCAAGCTCCGGAATGCTCGCACGCTCCGAAGCAGATGAAGTCTAAATTGGCTTGTTCTCACCGCACTCCGATACCATCCGTATGTGGGGACTTTCCTTTCAATGACTGAGACTCCACTTACTGCTTTGGCATGGATGATGTCTGAGATCGTCGTCGACGTGGAGAGGGTTCAGAATTCCGTTGGTAGACTTTGGTTCACGATAGAACAAAGTCATGTGGTTTCTGAAAACAATGGAAATCATATCACAGTTCTCCTAGAGCTTGTATACTGTGCGTGCCCTATCTTGTTAAAAAGCTCACAGGCGACCAAGATGGCATGCACAATGTACCAAGAATGTACCAAGATCCATATGCTTCTCCACTTAATAGTTGTCTAGGCATGGTACTTCGGTCACATATCTCCGAATAGGCGATCATGGGAAATTTCTTCCCTTATAGCTAGATCATATGTATCTACATGGATCTCCCGAGTTCATTCTGCTTCCACTTGCGGTTTCGAATTCGTCCTCGAGCAGATTTCGGGACCTTCCGAGGTTGACATGTACGGAACGAATGTGAAGGGTGATGCAATATGGAAATAGCTATATCCAAATTCTACTATTTGCATGCTGTTTTTTGTTGGGGTTTTCAGGCATTCTGGAAGCAGTACATGATAGCGTCACACTGCACGACGCTTCGACAGCACATCGCCTTCGCGCGGCAACCCATCTATGTGCGATGATACACAATGTCGGATATCAATCATACGATAAATGCTTACCACTTGTTCGAGCGGTTTTACCCCACGCACTCACACTACCCAACTAGCGTCAAGTGCGCCGATGTTGGGGATCGAAGGCTCCACGGATACGTCACTTCCGATAGAAGCTCGTGCGCGTATCTTGTTCGAGACTGTCGGTACCCTAAACCTTACGGCCATCTCGTCTCGTGGTCTTGGGTTGACGTTATGTATTGCGCGTTGCGCATGAGACGAAGAGACTAGACAGGTAAAGAGCAGGAATTTCGAGACCCTGATCGTCGCTGTATCCACTCTTTTTCCTTTTTCTCCCACTCTCCACCGCAACCACACCACACGGCAGTTGCTAGCCAAATGACATCCCCCACCTATATGTGTAGCGTCCCAGGCCCACAAGCATGGTACTGTGCACATGGCCGGACGCGCATCCTGCGACAAAAGATCGAATGTTGCATGTTTGATAGTCTGGTTGAGTAGCGAGAACAGTAAAAAATTCCTCGGGTCCAGGAGAAGAGGTGGAGATGTATCATGTCTTTCTGGCCGTTGCAGGGTATAACGGTCCTTTTCTCAGATCATGGCCGCAGATCGTATGTTGTAGCCCAGTCTCAGGAGCATCTGTATCATCGCTACTGGGAATCGTGCAATGGTCAGAGAAGGTTCAATCTCTACAAAAAGCGTCGTAATAGCATCTATTGTCACACGAACAGTACGGATCTAATAACACAAGTTACATTGACGACAGATCCGTCTTCGTTTCCTGGATATAGATGTTGCCATTGCGACAAATTTCAAGCAACATAACATATTCAATGCCATCACCGCTACGGCATGACCGAGGCATTCATCTCCCAACATAGTGAAACTAAATGAGGGTTTGGTATATATTGAAAATTAGTCGGCCGATAGAGCTTTTGAAGCTACAATGACAGCGAGTGTTTCATGTTTCTAGGTTCACACCAGTGCACTTCTGCAATCCTTCTCCGAGCCTTAAAAATCCACTAATAATTAGACCAAGTATCTAGTAAATGGTAGTAGCGAGCATCCAGCCGCTAGGAAAGATGTAGTGACATCTTCATGTAGCAGAAACGGAATTATCCGGGGGACCCCCACACTCTTCCGTACACCACATCATCGTAGAGGACATCTTCATCTCATAGGAGCTTGGACACTTGGTCGTAATCTATACCTAGCTCGGAAAGATCGGGCCTTTTATCTTGTTACTTAGATGAGTTTTGGGAAAACGTCTGAGGTCGGCCTTGTGATATTTTCTCAATTTTAAGTAGAAAGACACGAGCTGCAAAAAAAGATGACGATCAATCGAGCGGGTCGGGGCATGAGGAGAAAATTCGGTTGTTGATCTTGCGTCTAGGCATACCAGACAGCACAATCTTTCAATCAGATGTGGAGACGTTTTTGAAGTTCCACCTCAACATCATAGTAATATTCTTCTAAGCTCAGCTCGAAGCATACGAATGAGAAGGAGAGATAAAGTGATTCTCCGTCATTGTCATCGGGTGATCATCCAGTGTTAAAAAATCCCAATCTATCATTTGCTCATGAGATGCCATTGGTCTTTGCTGCATCGATGATTTTGAAGTTTTCAAATATCAATGGTCAAACATCTAGACATAAATATATGCGGAGTAGCGATGGAAAATGTACTTCATACATGAGAGCACTTTGAACCCTCGACCGAGGGATCTCAACGTTTCTTTACCCTAATGATCACGTGATTCGGTTACTGCAACGAACAACAATCGTAACTTAACAACACTATATCTCGTAACCTAGGATTGCTTCATTGCGGAGGAAGGAAACCATACTGACATGATCATTTCGTCGGTTGCTCCAGCAGTCGATTCACAACTTGAACTATATTTGTTCATCCGGAAGCGCCTGCTTTGTTCAGTTTCTATCAAATCTGAACCTCTACTCAACTAAATTCATTTGTGTATTTAATGCCTTCTTCGACACCTATATCAGAAAGACACATGTTTATCTATGTATATCTTGGGTTAGCGTCGAATATCGGTACCGATAAGCTGCGGCCGATGCCTTCCAACATCAAGCTGTGGCCACCTTCTCGATCCATCACATCCTCAGCTGCGTGCATTACGAAATGGAATACTGCTTCATTGATAACAACAAACCTTTGGACAGAATCTCACAGAAGATTGTTCGCAGCCATGCGATGAAGGGGAAAAATGTCGGAAGAACTATCACCGCGAGGGGCCACAGGGGCAGACAACGCGAAAATGAAGGTGATCATACACCGATATTGCAGCCAGAGATTTTTTCCGAGATTCGCAATGGAAGAATAATCCTTCCAAAGGTTTCGAGCTTGAAATCCAGTCCAGCAGCTACAGAGAGAATAACACTGCTTCGAAATCCTCTTTACCAGACAGAGCTTCTTCCAGAGCCCTTGACCTCATCTAGTCGATACTTGCTCCACGAATGTATGTGATTTTGCTAATAGGAACTCTGGCGAGCAGATACTAAACAAGCGATATGTAGTCTATCATGTCATTTCTCAGACACTCTACCCTAGTATATTCTGCCGCCAATTGGACGAAGCTAAATTCTCGTGGTTCGAACTGATGATTAGAAATCCATGTGGTAAGATGCTCGTGTATTCTCAAAGTTTTCTATACAGTTCTAATGACTTGGAAGTCTTTCATTGTGCCCTTGGCATGACAGGCGCGTACATAATGACCTATCGCGGTCACCGCGACACGTCATTCGAGTCCATTCGCCATCTCGTGAAAGCCATGAGTTTACTTCGCCACGAATTGAGCGCCACACCTGAACCCCAGGATTCTAGTTTTGCAGTCATTATTTCGCTCGCCATACATGCCAATCTTGTCAAAAGTGTACAAGAATGTCGCATCCACCTACAGGGTTTAAAGTACATCATCGAGTCGCGCTCAGGCGGTTTGACTGGATTATGTACACGCATTCCTGAGATAGGGAACAAGATACGTCGAACTGATATAGATCTTGCACTCTCAGCAGGTTCTCTGACGCTGTTCGGCTCTCAAGCATCGCCACTACCTGCAACCCTTTATGTAATGCCAACAAACGAAAGAGCCGCGCGAGTGTCTCTGCCTTCCCCATTGAATGACACTTCACCATATCTGCGCGCGATGGCACGGGATATTTTTGCCCTATGCAGCTATGCTGGTTACACGAAATTCGGAGCTTTCCAGTATCAAGACATAATACTCTCCATCTTCCAGCGTTTAGTCGATTTCAGTCCCCTCAATGGTCCACGACCACAGATTCAGCTGGACGACTCCTGCCAACTAGGCCTCCTTGTTTTCATGAGTACAATTGTTCATCATGATCCGCAAAGAAGGTCAGTTTGTTCGTTATTATTATCCGAAACACTCAAAGTACGATTGCGTATTTCAGATGACACATTGCTGATTCCTCACGCAAACGATTATGCTTCCTACTTTTTATGGCTGTTCTTTGTCTATGCTATATCATCGCCAGATTACGATAGTTATTGCCATGACACCAACTCCTCAGTGGCACGAAGCGTTCGAGCTCTACTCTTGAGACTTGAAATCCAGAGTTGGGCCGATGTTAAGGCTTCTCTAGAAAGCTACCCTTGGATACCAGCATTTCATGGGGATTCAGCTAGAAGACTATGGGAACAGGGAATTTGTATGTAAAGAAGAAGGGATGAGTTGTGCCTACGTATTGAACCACTCCGGCTCAAGCAATACACGATTGTTGTAATGTCTCATTTTCCCACTGCCAGAGCTGCGATATCCACGCTGTGGCCACTAGACTCCAGCCTCTTCAACAGGTCCTCCCATACCCGATTTTGTGTGCACTCGCCTTCCTTGCTAGTCATCCAGGTTGGGATATCGTCCCTGTCAAATCATGAATCAGTACTCGTTATCAGAGCGAGAGAGACGCGATTATGATCGTAAACTTCATAGCCTCCTTAAAATATCAGAGGGGCATGAAAAAGGCAGAAGAAACTTACTCCTTAATCCGACATTCCGAAAAATAAGTTCCGTGGGCCTCAGTGCTAGCGAAAGCAGCTTGCACAAGATTCCGACTACCTTCTTCTGCCGATCTTGCAAGCAACGCTCTCATGATTTTTAGCAGCAATCTCACGCTAAAACTGCCATTCCTGTCCAGCTCCGAGTAGCAAAGGCCAGGGTTCACGGCATTGATCGTGACACTCGACACGGATACGGATAAGAGTGAAGCTAGCTTGCGAACCGCATATATTTCCAGTAATTTAGTTTTGGGGTATCTAGAGCAAAGGTCATGTCAGCTAGGATGTCATTCTTGTCAAGCAGTGTGATGATTCCCTTACTGAGTCATGACGTTAAAACCCTTTTGCGTACTGAGAGCGTCGAAGATATCCGTTCGCAAAGCTTCCTCACTGGGATTCATAGCCTTATCAATTGCGGAATTACTCGATACAATCACGAGATTGGGCTGAATGCGGAAATTTCGGGCGGACTCTTGGAGCTTAGGCAGTGCGCGAAAGGCAAGCAGCATAGTGGCAACAACGTTGACCAACAAAGAAGACTCGATGCCGTCAACGAGTTGGAAGTGCCCGGCCACCATGCCAGCATTCTCTATGACAGCATCCAATCTGTCCAGTCGATCGATACGCTTCGAAAACGTTTCGACTGAAGTCAAGGACGTAAGATCGAGCTCCCAGACCTCACCGACTGATTGACGGCCAGTCTCGTTCCGGATCTTTGTCAATGCTGCTTCACCTTTTTCCGTGGACCGAACTCCTATAATGACTCGCCCAGCGCCCATCAGGAATAGGCGCTTGGTGCATTCGTAACCAAGCCCCGTGTTCGCGCCTGTTACGATGTAGGTTCTATCCGCAATATCGGTCGGAGTCTGCGGTAATGCGAGTGGGGTATACTGGTCCCGAACAAAAGACAAAAAGCTCGGCATGGTGCTCGAAGTATAGACAGACGTTTTGTAAGATTGCAACTCAAGAAGTAATCTGGTGAAAGTGCAGAATTAATCTCAAATTTTGAAGAGTGATTTGCAGCTGCAGAAATGGAATTATAGAGATTCGAGTCGTTCTTTATACACTGTCGCTATGAACTTTACGAAAAGACTGTCCAATCAGTTATGTTGGCCAATCAGAGACGTCTATCCTAATTTGGTCAGGTACAAAAGTTAAAGCCAATCAGAGAAGTTTTTCTGAATCGGGTAAGAAGAAGCTCGGAACAGAATAGGGCGCAGTGGTCAAATCTCTTCCCGTGCCTTGGTAGTTCGAAAGCCGAGGATTCTGCGAGTTCCGACGGTGCTTACGAAGAAGCTGTTGAGATGCTACAAGAATGAAAATGTGGCACAGAGTGTCTTGTGTATTCCCGTCCCTTATAACAAATTATTCCGTCAATAATATCATAGCCTAGCAATATAATGGCCCGTGAACGATAGATTGAGTTTCGTAGCTGAAAACACCTTGTGATGTACCAGTATACGTCTCTGTGTGAATGTCACTACGCTTAAGCAAGTTTGGTTGGAGTATCGATGTAGTCAAAGCAGGTTTAAATTAATCAAGTTAGTTATCTATGATGAAAGTATATAGTGGGACCGGCGAAAATGAATATAATCATATGTTCGGCCCATGGGAAAAAAGGATTGCATTTACTATGCAAGCATTTTCGCTTAAGATAGACGAGACGGACCGTGGTCAGGCAGCTCGTAAACTGTCGAATCATCAAGAGCAGCTATGGGTTGTTGAGTTGGAACTGATCCGGTGTTTTCTGACAATTCGTGGACCCGCGAGTCGGTATAGATCTCCATAGGCGGATTCAGTGGCTGTAGTGCATGCGATGAGTCTGAGAGATGGCCACCGATCCCTGCATATTTTTAGTCACCAGGGCCGTCGTCGACGTATGGTTGCTTTGTATAAGGTCCCTCAGCATATGTTCCTTGTATATTCTCGTGGTTCCTCTTGGTGCGTGTTCGCCAAAACAGGAACGCGATTCCCATAGCTATGACGACAACTGTCCCTGCGCCGATACCGATGCCTGCCTTTGCACCGACGGAAAGGCTATCTGATTTGTCTTCGTGTGTAGCTTCGCGGGTTGGAGACTCGGTCGGGGCTGTAGGCGTGTTGTTCGTCCGTGGCTTTGGGCTATCGATGATACTCCAGTGCCCTGCCCAAGTTTGATTGAAATAGTTGATTTCCGCACTATCCCAGCTTTCTATTGTCGTGTCTTTATCCTTGATGTCTATAACCTGATTTCCGAGTCCAAAGCCACCGAACCCAGGTCCTGGTGCTTGGCCCATCCACGTCGTTTTTGATACCCAGTTCTGGCCGATGAAAGCTGCCTGCAGAAAGACACGGCCTAGACGAAAGTAATCATCTGGCACAGGATATGGCTGGCCCTTGAGGGGTGTGAAAGATTGACATGGAAAATATTGGGTGGGTTTGTCCACGATAGGCGAGTCCAGGGTGAGGTTGAGGAGCGCGAAGGGCACCTTGACGGTGACATTTTGCGTTGATCCTAGACTTGGTGGGAAAACAAACCCAAGATATGCAGGAGATGTAACTATTTTCTTGTAACTCGGATCATTGACTTGCCAGTGATAGAATCTGGTAGTTTGATCGAACTTGATCGGGAGTACGTCTGCGAGCCCTTCGCAAGTGCTATCTGGTAAAGAGAGGTACGGGGTTTTAGGGTCGATCCTGACTTGCTGGGAGCTGCCAACCACGCCCGTGTCGCTGATGAGTAGATTGTCCTTGCTAGCAAATTCAAAGGGTGAACTACCGTATTTGACGCCAATGGTAATGTCAAGGAGATCGATTCTGTCAAAATCCTTGAACATAGAGGTGACAGGACCAATAACATGACCTTTGTTGTAACCCCCAAATACCAACGAACCAGGGTATTCGAACGCAGCGGAACCGATATGCAGGCCGTAGGAGTACGACGATATCGTTTTGTCCTCGTAAAGTTTACCGTTGAATAGGTAGGCGGTGACATTTTGACCAGCTGTGCCTTCCTCCCACGCTGTGTCAAACGTTTGTGACGTCTCAGCCGCTCCTAGAGAGAGGAATCCAAGCTGCATGCCACCCATTTTGCCATTTAGGTGTGTGATATTTCCTGTGTTGGTATGGGAGAGTGACGCGTTCCAGACAGTCTTCCCGGCTACAGTTATGGCCCTCTGAGTGTAGTTCAGAGAGCCGGCTGTAAGACCGTATGTCTTATCCTGTATTGTTGGATGCCATGCTCCCGTCATTCCTTCGAACCATAACATCGCAGTGGCGTCAGGATCCCACGTTCCTCCTTTGCCGCAATCAGCAAACGGCGTGCATGCTAGACTGCTGAACGTGAAGCTATCATAGGTACCACCCGGGTATACTTCGATATCTGCGTGGTTCTGGTTATCGAGTTTGAGGGCAGGGTCATTACCCCCTACCCTGATCTTGACCGCCTGCCATGGCCCATCGGGGCCATACTTGTTGCTGCTCCATGGAACGTCAAGGGCAGCTTGTGCGGCCTGGACAGCAAATAAAACAAAGTAAAGAGTGTGATATAACAGCAAGCGTGCTAACCGAGTACATGGACACATTGTGTGTCGAAATTAATGTAAGGTGCGAACCTCTAGCATACGGATGGGCAACTTTTGGTACAAGTACGTAGATATCTTGCGAGGTCCTACCAAATGCTGTGCCGCAATGATACCGCTCTTCATAATTAAATGTCGTATTGCCTGCTCGCCTGAATGTGTTCAGGTAGGTGAACACCGTGCAGTATGATCACACACGAGCTCCCGTGCCAAGGAAATTGAGCAAATCAGCGGGCGTCATAGGCGCCTGTAAGCCGCTCACAACGGTTGTGATTGGTCTTGAGCCGCATTGGCACATACGCGCGCATAATTAGAACTTCATTCTCCCGCATGTGATTATTGCTTTGTTTGGGGTCGACAATGTGAGTTTTTTATTGGTCTTTAGCCACTGTATTGTAGGGATGACTCCTTAGTTGTATCTGAGGGACCATGATGACTTGGGCCCACTACTGTTGATAGACACCGGCGGGGAGCCTACTTGCCATCTGAGATGCAACTGCGATACCTCTGCTCATCTCTTCAACGATCACAGATCCCACAAGATCGATGTCGCTCGCCAATACTTATGTGCCTAGGCGTTGGCGAATCTCACTCTTTCTCGTTCTACTGCTCGCGGGGATCATGTTCTTTTCTACTAGTTTACAGAAACCTCTCTCAGATATCTCTGCTAGGATACACTTTCCCAATCGCCACAACGAATCTTCTACAGTTCCAACGCAAGTGTGCGATCCACATCCGGACACGACATCCATTCGCTGGTCAGATTTTGCATACGTTCAATATGTCACAAACCCAAGCTATCTCTGCAACTCGTTGATGATCTTCGAAGCATTGAGAAGACACAACACCAAGGCAGAGTTGCTGATGCTCTATCCGCAAGAATGGGAACTACCCGCAGTGAACGAAAGCGGCACTTCCTACGAAAGCAAACTACTTGCGAAGGCTCGTGACATGTATGGCGCGAATCTCAGTCCAATCAAGGTGAAGACCTTCAAGAACGACGACGATCCAACGTGGCAGGATAGCTACACGAAACTTCTCGCGTGGAATCAGACCCAGTATAAACGAGTAATTTCACTAGATTCGGACGCCACAGTTTTAGATGTGAGTACGATATGCGAACTCTGGCTGCTGAAATTACTCACACGACGCAGCAAATGGACGAGCTCTTCCTCCTCCCGTCTGCCCCCGTCGCAATGCCTCTTGCATATTGGGTGGATCATTTTTTCCTTTCTTCGCAACTAATCGTTGTCGAGCCATCTATGGCAGAATGGGAGCGAATCCAGGACGCCATGGAGAACCACGAAGGTTTCGACTATGACATGGATATCCTAAACAAGGTATACGGCACATCCAGTACAGTGATTCCGCATCGCAAGTACGACTTGCTCACAGGCGAGATTCGACCAAAAGAACACCATTCATACCTTGGATCAAAGGAACTGTGGCGCGTCAAAGATGTCTTAGCCGAGACGAAGTTTGTGCACTTCTCGGACTGGCCTATGCCTAAGCCGTGGTTGGAAGCAAAGCCAGAGGATTGGGAGAAGTACAAGCCAAAATGTAGAGAAATTTCTGACGTGGAACGTGATTGCTCAGATCAAGAGGCCTGGCTCGAACTCCGCAGAGACTTCACGGCGCGTCGGGAACGAATCTGTGGGCAGGCTTATGACGCCAAAGCGCCGGACTACGATAAAAGAACGACACTGCGTCGGCGAGGAGATCTTTCTATTGTACATGTATGAAAAGTTTAGTGTATACATATTTTTTATTATTAAACGTCTTGAGGACTTTCTTCTTTTACATAACGTATTCCACCATTGAGTGAAACAACCAAGCTTAGCAGGACCAACTCATGTTACACCTCTTCCATTTCATCGCTATCAAATAAGAAACCTATGTACATCGTGCTCTCACTTGATCCAGAAGATGCCTCTGATTGTTTTTACACGTTCGAGCGTTGTGCCCGGTCTTGCTACAGTTCGTTCCTACAACAATGTAGAGCTGGCTAAGCTTTTTGTTAATCACCGTTACTACGAGCCTTCTTTGATAGCTGAGCCGCCACGGAGACCTTAGCTGCCACATGCTCTGCTACTAATTTATACTCTATAGCACCGCCCGCTGAGCTCGCTTTCTTTTCCGTGATTTCCTTCTAGTCATCACTGCCTATTGCTCTCCAAGCTCTCTATTGCAAGCAACAAGAAGCGCATTTCGATAGAGCATCAACTCAGCGCCTTCTACCAACTATACCAACTAGCAGAACCCTTCCTTACGCACGCGCTCTTTCGCTAAATGTAAGTCCATTTCTAGCAGCACAATGCGTCATCCACTAAAAAACTGCAATACAACGATCGCACTTCTTACACAGTATCTGCTATACATTTACGCATCGTCTTTACAATTTTCACTTGTGTAGGCGGCGATGGGGTTTCAAGGTCAACCAAATGACCAGAATATGTGTCCGGATGGAATAGACCTACCAACCGGTAGGGACGCTATAATTGTATTCTAATGGCAGTGATCAGACGAGTGCCTCCATGGGTGTATATGCATAGGCAAATACCCTGGGATATCGGACCGAATACTGCCTATCATTTTCTCATCATAGTGATCATTGTTTTTCGGAGTCGGAGCAAGTGTTTCAACATTGACAGATATGCTGGAAAATTCCCAGTAGAAGGGATGCTTGTGCCACAGAACGATGCAACCTACAGAACGTCAGTGAATGTTTAATCGTGGGCATTGTATTCCCAATACAGGACAACCGCTTTAGTGAAAACGCTAGCGAAACATGTTCCGCGGATTGGCTCTTGAACGGGCACAGCAATCCTTTGCCGAGTAGGATATTATCATCGTCAGGGGTGTGATTAGCGGCATCGTCATTAGCCAATTACGATCCTGTGTGCAAACACCAATTAATCTATCTGCTATGTATGACGATATTCAAGAAACCATCAAGCAATATCAAGCATAGGGAAGCGTTGTCAAGCATTAATCAAGCATTTTAATTTATTCTCGAAGCACATTTAATGGAAGAGATTTGCGCCCGCCTTCACTTTGGTCGACCCAAACCGGCTTAGATCAATGGATGTATACCAGCTAAGACCAGATAGTCCTGGTTTCCCAAGATTTGCTATATGATTTCATTCTATGGAAGATATCAGTCACGTCTGGACTATATTGGCCACTGATAATTTGGTAAAGTGTAATTGCGGAATACTTAAAGGCCAGACACTGTACTGTTTGACGATTCATTCCCCGCATCTTCCGTACAAAGCCTACAATTGTTCACGATGAGATCTACGCTCTTCACACTCAACGCTGTACTTCTCTCTCTTGTCGTGGCTCACCCCACTAAAAGGGCTACGAAGGTTCAATATGCCGGTGTCAACGTTGCTGGGTTCGACTTTGGGTGTGCGACTGATGGTGAGTCTTTCTCTACAGCATACGTTGAAATATACGATATCTACAGTCCAAATCGGCTAGTGTCGCTCTATGAAGATATCAAAAATCAACACACGCTGACGAGGGGTTCGTCATATTAGGCACTTGTGGCTTGACTGGAAACAACAAGCCATACGACATCGTCTCCGGCGCCAATGCAATTGGTCAGATGAACCATTTCGTCAAAGATGATTCGTTGAACGCCCTGAGATTGCCCGTCGGTTGGCAGTTCCTCACAAATGGCCAGCTTGGTGGGCAACTCAACTCCAACAACGCAGGTCAGTACGATAGGCTGGTCCAGGGCTGCCTCAACTCTGGTGCAGCTTTGTGCATCCTGGACATTCACAACTACGCTCGATGGAATGGGAAGATTGTGGGCCAGGGTGGGCCTACCAACGCTCAACTGGCGGATATCTGGAAACAACTTGCCACAAAGTATGGCAAGAACAGCAAAATTGCTTTTGGTATGTTGAAGACCCATCTGCTCGGCATTGAGATCTCTGCATGAACATAGCTAACTTTGTGCACTTGCAGGCGTTATGAATGAACCGTAAGTTTTCCCGTGTATCCTTACAGACTCCATCAGGCTGATCTTCGAACTCCGAAATAGACATGACGTTCCTGTAAGTGAAACATATCATGGAGATGAGTGTCATTCCATACCTAAAGATTTTGCCTGACACAACCACAGGATATCAAGGCATGGGCTGCAACTGTTCAAGAAGTTGTTACAGCTATTCGTAACGCAGGTGCTACGAGTAACATCATCCTTCTTCCTGGTAACAATTGGACGTCGGCCGAAACCTATGTCTCGTCTGGTTCCGCCGAAGCTCTCGCAGCAGTCAAGAATCCTGATGGCACAACGTCGAATTTGATCATGGATGTTCACAAATACTTGGACTCGGACAACTCAGGCACTCACACAGATTGTGTTAAGAATAACATTGACAATGCATTCAAGCCGCTAGCGGAATGGCTTAGATCAAACGGCAGACAAGCTATGCTCACCGAAACGGGTGGCGGAAACACAGCTAGCTGCCAGCAATATGTAAGTGATTTTAGGTGCTCAGATGCGCGATAATATCGGACAGTAGGGCATGATATCACCTAGGCGACCACTGAACTGATCCATGTCTGAGCCTTACTGACTTGTTTTGCCTTTGCAGATGTGTCAGCAGATCGAATACCTAAAGTAAGCATTACCGTGGCACAGTGCGGCGTATTCGAAGAAAACGCTAACTGGATGCAGTCAAAACGCAGATGTGTACCTTGGCTACACAGGGTGGGCTGCTGGAGGATTCGCTCCGTCGTATGAACTGAATGAGGTGCCAACGCAAAATGGTAACTCGTGGACTGACACGAGCCTCGTGAAGTCGTGCATCGTGGGGGCGTGGAAGAATGCTTAAGTGGCTCTTTTGTCCAACAAGGCACTGTGATGCAGACACGGCGCGGATTTCAATATAAATCAATGAAGGGCATACATGAAACAATCATACCGAATCAACGAGGTCGTTACTGTCGTGTGGATGTCACTTGCTGAGCGTACGATGTCAATCTCTGGGGCCGCATGACGATGGGGCCAAAAGGAATCGCACTAGGGTGTTTGCAAGCACTCATGGACGACGCTTACTGGATGGTATTTCGGGGATTTTGTAGGGTGTAAAACATTGGCCAAGCTTTTGCGGAAGTGTGAGACCAATCTCCGCCTTTTTTTGACTCGTTGTAAGCACGGACAAAGTGATCACTGCTAGTGATGTGTTCTCAAATGTTGGTCTCCACACCACTTTGCTTCGTACGCAGCAAATGCGCAGATCTACAATAACGAAGGCCGAATGTGATAGACATTTGCGCAAGCCAAAAAAAAGCGATCGTCAATTGCCTGAAAAAGACCCTGAGTTGATCGACTGAGTGCCTTGGGGCTGACGCCTCTGCGCATCTCTAACCACATCGAGCCTAAGCATCGGATCCAACTGGACGCCCAACGCTATGTGCTACATGTATGCTTCGTAGTGTATGCTACACTTCCGTACGCTGCTCCGCCACAGTAATGTAATATCCCTATTTGCGGCCTTCCAAAAAAGGCCTCTACACCATGTCAGCCCCCCCTCGCATATTACCTCTACACCTCCCTCAATGTTCAGCCCCGAATCTTTCCTTTTCGTATTTTCGCTTCGCTCACCACCATGTTGATATGCAATACGGACCCCGCGACCGGCATAGAAGAGTGTAAAGAGGATGGCTCTCTGCTGTCTTCAGGTTCCGCATCACAACCAGATCCCACAATTCCACTCATGAATCCGCCATCCCCCAGGCAAACTTCTACAGGTGGAGCAGATGACCCCGAAAACCAATGGGGAGCCGGAGCTGGAGGACGAAATTCAGCGCAATCAGATCCCACAGCTATAACAGCGGAGGGAGGAGCTACAATCAGTGTCTCTGGGAGCACTGCTCCAAGTACCCAGGCCTCAGTAACGGCGACACCAGGTGCCAGTCAGAATACCAATCATGAGCCTCTGGGCACAATATCACCGGTACCATCACAGTCAGCCTCCACTTTGCCGGCAGTCAATCAGGGTGTCGCCCCAGGTGCTGTAGCAGGTATCGCCATTGCAACTACTATTCTGGGTGCTGCTCTTGCCTTTGTAGCCGCCTTTTTCATATTCAAGCGTCGTCAAACTTCACGAAAGGAATACAAAGACGCAAGAACAACCACGCCAGAGCTTATTGCCAGCTTAAAAGGAGAAGGAAACCATAGATCGTACATCAGCATCTCACAAAGCATCACGAAACTACCGGGAGTCGCACCTGCAGCAATCCCGGGTCCGAAGGGGGATTTTGATCTGGCCAACCTAGCGAACTCCTCAGATTTCCTGACTGGCATCTTGCCCATGGCGGCAGACGAGAACACCGTGACGAACCGATGCGCAACCTTGTTCAACCAGATCCTTCGCCATGTTGAGACTTATTACCGAGATGTGCATGCCACCATGACGCCTAGTATGGAAAGCGATTTGGCCAGGTTCGGAAGCGATTCTTTGAACATGGTAGACATGCTACAAGATTCGTCCATGCCGACTTTTGCCATCAAGCACGCGCTTTCCGGATTCATCATGAGCATTGTATCGCCGGAAGGCGAGGAGCAAGCTACTCTGTTCCCGAGCGAAATCGCGGGGTTGAAGAAAAGCGAGCGATTAACAGACACTTCTGGTACGTCTCCCGATGTCCATACTCTCTGACTCGATTAAATTGTACTGACTGTGTATTTAGATAACGAAGCAGCTTATATCCTCTATAGAAGACTAGCTGTGCACCTCCACTCTCCCGAACCAGCCACCCTCCACGCACGACAATCTGACATCCGTGAGGCCGCGGAGCACTTCGCTCTTACGTTCTTCCCGTGGATTAACCCTATGGTTCAGGACCAAGAAAAAGATCAAGATCTTATCAGGATTATGACCACCGCTTTAGAACTTAGCATCTGGCTGTATGGACAACCATATCAATACGAGTTCATGTGGGAGGACCCTGGGCTACGCGGAACGGCGATCACGCCGGGTCTGACAAGGACAACAGATGGGAGTGGGAGGAAGGTGATTCCACCACATGTCCTGTTGGAGCCCATTGTGGTCGCTCGTCAGTGAATCAGGGTTTCATTTCATCTTCCTGTAGTAGGGTATCTTGGGTGGCCGTCTTTTATTTTGAACTGGTTTTTACGGTTCATTTTGCATTGTTGCGGAGTTCTTGTCTTTTTTGCCCTTATATATCTTTCTGGACGCGGGAATCCCGAACCTTCCAGGCCCTATGTATATATTGATGTCTTGGGTGAACATCGCGTTGGCCAAATCTTCCATGGATGGAAACACTTGTACGATCTTGGCTTCTCTGATATCATTTGGATGGAATTTCATTATACAGTATCAGAGAAGAAATGCATACCTCGTATGGAGTTAAGATACACATTACAAACTTGTGTGCTTTCGCAAATTGTGAAAATGATCAAGAGGGCAAGGCTCCCAGAGCGATTCTTTGCCTCAATTTCCGACACGCTGACAGTAAGATTGTGGCGGCTCCCGAACAGAAAATATTACATCTTTGCTACCTCTCCAAGAACCCTCAAATCATTTCTGCTGATCTCCACCAAAGATTTCTTTCCTAGATTCGCCATGGAACTATCAGTGTCGGCTAGAAGGGTATCAAAGACGTGCTTGACGCCTTCTTCTCCGCCAATCGCCAGACCGTAAATGTAGGGCCTCCCGACGAGCACAGCTTTCGCACCTAACGCAATGGCTTTCAGAACATCAGAACCTGTCCGAATACCGCTGTCAAATAAGATGGTTAGGCCAGATTGTTTGACCTTCTCGTCAGCGCCAATCTCAGCGAGCGCATCCAAAGAGGCAATGGCACCGTCGAGCTGTCGGCCTCCATGGTTCGATACAACAATACCATCCATCTCGTACTCGATTGCCCGATGCGCATCCTCTACCGTCTGAATACCCTTGAGAACAATGGGTCCATCCCAGTACTTTCGCAGTATTTGCAAGTGAGACCATTCCCGGTACGTGCCCGAGGCGAGGAGGTTGATGTAAAGCATTGCCTTCTTCATCGCGCTGGCATTTGCAAGGACTTTTGCGAAGCCTGAGAAAGTACCGGGGCGTTTTAGTATGTCCCATATCTCGACTGCCTTTTCGAGTGGGCCTCGTGTGTCCTCGGCTTGCATCTTCTCGAACATCTTTTGGAAGACAGGATCGGAGAACCCAATCTGACATCCTTGGCCGTACACAAAAGGGAGGTACGATTCATCAAGATCGCTGGGACGCCAACCAATCCTGCAGGAACAAAGGCGCAAAAATCAGCAAATTTACACGGGATCAAGAATTGATGAGATGAACATGTCCGGGCCATGATGGTTGTTCAAATACGAAGTCCGGAGATTTCGTGGACTTCTCGATGGTCGCACACAGAACAAGACTTACATGAAAGTGTCGAGCGTAACAACCAAAACAGTAAAACCACTTGCTTTAGCGCGACTGAGCAAGCTCGCCGTGAGTTCCTCAGCCTGAGGTACAGGCCAATATAACTGGAAAAACCTATCACCATCACCGTTGGCCGTCGCGACCTGTTCAATGGACCTAGTCGCTGCCGTTGACAAGACCATTGGCACTTGAGCAGCAGCGCAAGCTCGTGCCGTTGCTTCTTCAGCATCGGGATGAGCGATTTCTTGCACGCCGATCGGGGCAGCAATGATGGGGCTCTTGTAGCGACGGCCAAAGAGCTCTATGGACAGGTCGCGGATAGTCGCTTGCCTCAGCATCCATGGGCGTAGCTTGTATCGTCCAAAGGCAGAGAGATTGGCAGCATATGTCTGCTCAGAACCTGCTGAACCTTGAATGTAGTTGAAGTTCGGTAGTGGCAAGGTGGAGCGAGCCTGTGACTCCCATTGTGATGGTTTTGTTGAGTATTTTGGTTTACGCAGACTTGAGTAGATGCTGCGCTGGAATGCGACAAATGAGTTGGGATCTGGCTCGTAATGCTGCGCAGAGCTCGTGTGGATGTCCTTGCTAGACATTGTGATGGCGTCGATGATGGTTTCAGCGGCTGTTTAGCATTCGGAGATGCAGGTCACGACCATGTATTTAATCGTTGCTGTTGTAGCGGCGTATGTTGCGGCGCAAGGCTTATGATGGCAAGGGATGGATAGATGATACCGAGGTCTGCCCCTCTCCGAACGCCGTGTAGACAAGCACCAATCAAATCTGTTGAACTGTGTAACATCAATTTATCAGTGGTGATTCGAGCTTGATGAGTTGTAGAGCATCAGGATAGCATAAATGGGTATTGCTTGTACTTTGTATGTCTGAGTGTGTTCGCATCGGATGCACTCACTCCACAACATTATCCAACTTGATTCTTTCACACTTTCAACAAGTCGGATGGTTGCTACCCATCGAGTCTTAGCGAATTTATTGGCCACAACCTCACCGACTTTCTTTTTTCAGCATAAATATGTTCATAATAGTGCTTTGCCAAACAGAAACCAACCTTGCAAAAGCTTGAGCAAATGGCGTTTTCTATTCAAACCATCGTCATCTTATGCCTGTCTTCGACAGTCGCCCTCATTGGCGTTCTATTTACGCGACCGCATCTACTCAACACCAAGCTCGTCTGCAGGCAATCCGAAGGTTCAACACAAGCAAATTGCTCTGACAGCAATTTTTCGAAATCGCCATATCAAGCAAGTTGGACCAGCTGGTACCACCCCAGCGTTGATATCAAATTGCAAAGCTCAGGCTATAGCGCAAGTGTACGAACAGGAAGTCAAAATTGGAATATCCTATATCATCTTGGTGGAGCCGGTCCTTGGGTTGAGAAGAAAATAGATGTGGTAGAGGCGGGTATCGCTCCGCCAAAAGGATGTGAGGTAGAGCAGGTACACATGGTAGGTGTCAACACTCGCTATGATCGAGCGTATGGCTGAGGTTTTGTCTTGCGATAGATTGCTCGCCATGGGGAGAGATATCCAACCAGAAGAGTGGGAAAGCGTGCGTTCTTGTGTTTCACAATTCTTTTACGCAAACTAATGGCTGAAATGATCAGGTATGAGATCCCTTGTTAGAAGAATGCAAGAAAGCGGACTCGTATTCCAGAATGAACTCGCCTTTTTCAAAGACTGGGAGTTGTTCTGGACCCATGATTCTCAGATCGCGCAGTTGACATCCACGGGGCCATTCGCTGGGACTCTCGGGGCCTTCACTACTGGTATACGCCTACGAACACGATATTCTCGACTCTTATCAAACACGCAATCGCAGTTCCCCATCACCAGGTTCTGGGCCAGCGACTCGCAGCGTGTTATCGACACCGCTCGATATTTCGCTTCGGGTTTCTTCGGTCATGATTGGCATAAAATAGCTGAACTCGAAATAATTCCGGAAACTTCTTCAATGGGCGCGAACACATTGACACCGGGAGATACATGCCTTGCCTACGGGGAAGACGCTGAGGAAGGTCACGATAGCGGCGACGCTATGCTTGCACGTTTTCGCCCGAACTATATCGAGAAGCCTATGAAACGGATTCTTGCGAACAATCCGGGCCTGGACTTGACGCACGACGATGTCTATGCGATGCAAGAAATGTGTGCTTTTGAAACTACTGCGAGAGGGAGCAGTCCCTGGTGCGACGTTTTCACACAGGACGATATGCTAGGTTTCGACTACGCCAGAGACATTCAGCATTACTATCGAGTAGGGCCAGGTACCAAGTATAGCGCTGTCATGGGTTGGTTGTGGTTGAATGCTACAACGAATTTGATGCTCCAAGGTCCAGAAGCTGGTCCTTTGTTTTTCAGCTTGTAAGAAGTCCACCATTCGTGTGAAGCAAGCCAATCTAACGCTGTTAGTGTTCACGACGGCGACATCGCTCCCGTGATAACTGCCCTGGGCATACTGTCTGATAACGAACACTTGCCCATCACACACATCAAACACGATCGTAGATGGCGCAAGTCTCAGATCTTGCCTATGGGAGGTAGAACCATTTTGGAGGTTCTGTCTTGTCAAGTGACCGGTGCCAGTAGTCCAGCCAAATTCGTGAGACTCAATATCAATGACGGTATCACTGCCATACCTGACTGCGATACGGGACCAGGTAAGTCTTGTGCTCTCCCAGAGTTTGCAAGAAAGATAAAGACAACCGGTCAGCAAGTCGGGGATTTTAGAGAGAAGTGTGGATTAAGTCAGGATGCGGCTGATAGGATCACATTTTTGCATCAGTAGTCATCCGACATAAAAGGAACCGTTGATTCAGGTATTATTTTATCGCCGTCTCTGTTTATGCATCGAACAAGGCCATTCCTAATTATCAATTGATAATTACCATGCTGCTATTCTACACACTTGACTTAACTGACATCTATACACACCACACATTCCTGTGGTTGAAATTTACCCCGGATCCGCTTATTCACACCGATCAAAATAAAGTGACTACTTAATCAAATTTTTAATGGAGTTCATTGCACTTGTAAGCCAAGCATCGCAAATGAGTAAGCAGCACTTAGAACAACTACGGTACTGGTACCACTACAACTCATAACGTCATCTTAATCACATCGTAAACAAAGGTTCACTTAGCAATACAAAGCAGTTTGGTTATTGATAAAGACTGTATGATCGACTTTGCGAGTCGCTCAGACGTATTCATACAATGAGCAGATGCCTCGGCTACCCAGAAAGGGAGGAGCGCGCAAATGCTGGACTCTACTCTTCTCGCAAGCGCATCCCATCGATCAACGCCGAGTTTCAGCCACATGAGATGCAAGACTGGACGCCTACACCACGATACAATCGTACGCGACCATATTATAGACAGACAAATTGATTGATCATTCTTATCGTCTATCGAACTCACCACCTCAACACCACAGTACTGAAAGCACACGATTTGGGAGAAGCGCAAAACCTTGAGATAAGAAACGAACAATGGCTCCATCTTTCGATCCCGCGAAAGACATCCCAAGTCTAGAAGGCAAAGTCATTCTAGTAACAGGCGGTACGTCTCCTCTAGTCTATTCCAACCCATCTCAAAAAAACCACCCTCTCTAACATCCCCTCCCCAAACCCCCAGGAAACACCGGCCTCGGAAAACAAGCCATCCAATACCTCGCCGCCCACTCCCCAACCCGCATCTACCTCGCCGCGCGCACAGAATCAAAAGCCACCGCCGCAATCCGCGAGATCCAAACCTCGTTCCCAAACGCAAGCATCGAATACCTCCCACTAGACCTCTCCTCCTTCTCCTCCATCGCAACCGCCGCATCGACCTTCACCCAGCGCGAATCCCGCCTCGACATCCTCCTCAACAACGCAGGCGTCATGATGACACCCTACGAACTCACAAAGGACGGCTACGAGATCCAAATCGGCACAAACCACATGGGCCACGCGCTCCTCACGAAGTTGCTCCTCCCTACCCTCCTCGCGACCGCGAAGAACCCGGACAGTGACGTGCGCGTCGTGAACGTCTCGAGTTTCGGCCACCACGGCGCCATGGGAACAATCGAGTTCAACCCTTCGAAATGGGAGAAGCAGTGGACGTCAGTGCGCTACGGCCAGTCTAAACTCGCGAATATCTTGTACACGCGCGAGCTCGCGGCGCGGCACCCAGAGCTCATGGTCGTCTCGATACATCCTGGGGTTATCTTTACAGATTTGTTCAATGCGGCAAGGAGCCATTGGTTGATGCGGTTGGCGTTTCCCTTGTATTCGGCCTTGTTTAATTGGTTTCCGGGGCATTATAAGACTACGGAGGAGGGAACGCGGAATCATATGTGGGCTGCGACGGTGGATAGAAAGGTGTTGGAGAGCGGCGCGTACTATATGCCTGTTGGAAAGAAGTCGGGTGGGAGTTGGGCGGCGCAGAATATGGGGTTGGCGAAGAAGTTGTGGGAGTGGACCGAGACTGAGTTTCAGAAGCATGGGTACTGAGAAGAAGGGGTCTTGTTTAGTTTCTTTTTGGTGATAGTTTTTAAAATTATGTATTATGAATAAAGATGAAAACCGGTATTTCTACATCATTAAACGTGAGGTTCCAAAGTCCGGCCATGCTAATCTGGGTATCGTTTATTTTCTCTTACAATCGACTTCCTCCTTTCTTCCCATCCTACTGAATAACCGCCTTTGGAATGAACAGACTCGAACATCGTCAGTAGAAATTATGAGCCTGTCATGAAACTAGGTCAATTATACGCCGTCGAGCCATCGTCTTCCCCGTGGAGCTAACCGTGTGGCCATGTTGAATGTCATTCCAGGTGGGTGACTGTTCACTAACAGTCCGCTGTTGACGTTTACCCACTGTCCTTGAACAGAAGGACGCCCAGAGCTCCGGCCCAGTTTCTCTTTCTCGTCCATTATCATGCATTTCATCGACTGTGCCATCCAAATGTGGTATAGTGGGTGAATTGGACTTTGATTGCGTTGACGGGGTTTCGATCTGGATTATTTTGCGCCGGGACATTGTCGGTGCTTGGTTCTCTTTTTGACGGGCATGCGGTCCCACTGAGGTAAATGGTGACACCTGACCCATGGGTGCTAGAGGCGCACGATAACTGTTCAGCTCAGAAATCCGATTTTGTCTGACCTCTGATGGGGTAAGAGGGAGACTGGGCTGTGCTTGTGGGGACTTTGAGGAGAGTTCTGTACTCATTCGTTTGGATGGAACTCGGGTTTTTCGCGCTGAAGTTGAGCTCACTGGCAAGATGTCTTGCGCAGTACTGAAATCATCTGTGGATGTTGGTGGCAGCTCTGGAGATGGGCATATCGCAGCTTTTGAGCCGATGCGGCGTTTCTTTGTCGGTCTGTCCTTGGTAGCGTCAGGTATAGAATTATTGCTTTTCTGCGTTGCTAGGCCATGCTGCCTTAATGCTAGCAAATTAGCGCGTGGGCGCCTTGCCGACTCCATGGCAACATTCTGTGTATTGGTAATCTCTTGTTCACTGTTGGAGTTTCCGTAATGCGGTGGACGCGAAAGCCACCTCCACACAGACTTCCAAGCCTCTACGCTGATCCTCAATTCCTTGTACTCCTCGCGAAGCGCTGTCCGCATTGCCCGCACATACTCGAGGAGTACGCGGTTGCTTCGCGTTTCTACGTACATTGAAATCAACACAGTTGTTGCAACCATCTCCAACGGGGCAAAGGTTTGCACTCCATGCAGGTGCTTATCAGCATTGTTGAAAGTAATCGGATCCATGTCGACCAGCTCCTGAAAGGTGGTCCATACACGTGCCATGTGAGACTTTGTGGCGTCGTCAAGCTCATCTTTGTAGGCGTTTGCGAGTTTCGTTGCCTGGATGACAGTGCACCTAAAAACAGGAGCTTTATCATTAGACGGCCGATTCTGCTGCACCTCCATAATCTGGGTAAAGCATTCCATGGTGATGGCGAAATCCCTGGCATGGGAAACATCTTTTAGGAGTTGGTAGATAGCCGGGAAGTCGTTCAGATAACGTCTAGTGAGTTCCTGCCAGGGACCACTTGACGCGCGTAATTTCTCGGCAGGAGTCAGTGGCATCCCCATCTGAACCCTGGCAAACAGATCCTCTTCTTGCTCAGGAAATATATCGCAGTACTCGATAGACACAAAATCTTTCGTCCAGAATTCGTTCTGAATCTCCTCAGGGAGGATGTTCTTTTTCTGCTTGGTCGAATTATTGTCGGTGAAAAACCATTTCTCGCCGTCGTGATCGCGGCATGGGATATCACCCTGAATGAAGCGCTTCACAGAAGTGAGGCGCTGCTTGCCGTCCACGCACATGTGAACATGTTTTTTCATAACCCTCTTTCTGTTCAAGATGATGGGAGGTACGTAGTAATTTTCTATATATAACGTTAGCACTGGGCGATCCTCGTATTTGGGGACTCTGGGTTGACATACCCATCAATGAGTTTATCAAGCTAGACATGCGGTCCGCAGGCCAAACCACATCTCTCTGGTAGTCAGGGTCGATATCGATTGATCCATTGTTGAGACCGTCCATGAAGTATTTGACAGTCCGCATGACAGGGACAGGCTTTTGAAGTTGGGGCTTGAAGATACTTGGGTCTTCGCCGCCATCACTCTCGTGTTTCCACGCGACATCTGTCATCGTGTAGGTGCCAGCGTGAGCAAAATGAAGGTGATTAACGAGTAGGAATCGAGAGAAAGGAAGAGACGAATGAGGAGACAAAAGCCGCAGGCGCAGCGTTTGCCGTGAGAAGATGGCTATTAACTTGTGGTGAATGATGCGTCCTTGACCGAGCAGTCAAGATAGCAGAAGAAAGGAAGAGTGACAAGGAGGTGCAAATAGCGGCAGCATCAATGTTGAGAGTCAGCGTTATTTTGCTTTGGCGACCTGATTAGATAGGGGGGGTTCATGTGCGGTTAGCGCCAAAGGCAACAGCCCTACTTAAGTACATATGTAGGTATGTGCATACATGTATACTACCCTGCAATATAGCGGTGTGCTGGCAGAGATTCCGATTGGCCTGCTGGGTTACGCAGGATGCGATTCATTGATGGTTAAGGCATTGCAACGCGCCACAAAAAGCAAACTTTGAAATGACAAAGTGACGAAGTGATTGCTCGCCGATCCACGGTAGTTTCAAGCGCGGTAATCTATCATGCCATCCTTCAACGTCTTACGCAACTGCGCCGCAGCACGACCAGGCTCTCCCCCGCCTTTGATGACCAGTTCAATCCCGGAAACAATAGAGGCTTCCGCGCGGTCGTGGAACACGCGCTGCCTGTCTTCCCTGTCTTCGTACATCTCTGCTTCCTCGTCTCTTGCTGCCCCGAACAGATTCAAATGGGCATACGTGTTGGATCTCTCGGATAGCACATGGTGCTCCGTTTGCCACAGAGGGAAGTGCTCAGCTCCTCCTCTAGCCGCCGTCCAAGTTTGAGAAGGGAACAGGCCGGTTTTGAGGAAAAGCGTGAGCGCATTCATCTGCTTGACCTGCACTTTGGCGTCCGAGCTCGAAGACTTGCTAAAAGACATGGCTGACGACCATTTGCTCGATGTATCATTCTTCCAACCTAGCAGGCTCAGGAAACATTTCAGCGTTTTGACCCACCCTCCAGCGCAGCTGACCACATCATCGCCGGCCGCAGAGAGCAACCATTCCAAGACGTCGAGGGCGAAGAGCCGGATTTCGGTGGAGAGGTGTGTCATTCCAGCCCTGGTGTGCAGTAGAAGCTGGTCGGTGTGGCCAGCAATGTCATCCCTGGGCAAGCTCTGTAAGAGCTTGAGGAGTTGCTGTCGAACCGCATTCGAGCCGTCCAGGATCAGGCGCTGTGCAGTAGGTATGATCACAGACGACGGTTGGGGGAGTGGAACGTTTGGGGGGTGGGTGGAAAGTACACTCGTCAGATAAGCCAGAGAGTCTCGACGTTGAGTATCTGATTTGTGATTAAGGAGGCCCAAGTGATGCGCACATTGCGCTTCCACGGTAGGAGCATTCGCTGAGAGGGACTGCTGCTTCAGTGCAATTGCTGGGCCAGAATTAGCATCTGTGAATGTGTAGCTAGCTAATCAGCAAGACCACATACCTTTTGCCTTGAAGCTGGTATTTGTTGCGTTGGCTGCCTTTGGTTTCGCTTTGCCAACCTTTAATTTGGGTTTCTAGTATACAGTCAGTCACCGCATCTTACCTGATCTGTCGACTCGCGCTCACCTGGAAGTCCTTCTTCTTTTCCTTCTTCCTTTTCGCACTGGCACCACCCATGACGAAACGGCGACTGCTCAACCGCTATCCAACAACTTATGCCAATGATGGTGATGTGCCAGGAGCATGAATGCCGAGAGAAAATGCCAGGGCGCAATGGGGCACTTTGATGCTACGTCGAAGGTGGAGAACTGCGCCTTTCCCTTCAGACGTTCACATGCATCTTTTCCATGATGAAATCTGAGAGAAACAAAATTATTGCGATGGCGCTAGTGTTGTTTCTGGGAGCTAGCCTCTCATAGAACGGGAAAAAGTGGGGCTATTCAGATGCACTTGAAGTTCATTGATACATACATTGCAACTCCTAGAGGATCCAATCTAAGCACAATACACATGGAATTGTGTCGATTGATTGCATAGGAGCAGAACGCATAGTTGCATCACAAGAAGCTGGCCTTGTAGGTGCCAGGTCGTAGTGCCTGGTGAGGCTAGCGCGTTGGTTCACCGTCCGTGCGCCGAACAGTCCCTCCCCAAGCTCCTTGCGTTGTTTGTTTGCTCCAATTCATTCCGCACAACCACATCTGCGGCCACGTCAAACTGCCCTCCTTACACACTCCAAGACACGGACCGTCATAGCATACGATCGATACAGTGAATCATCAACACCCTGGATATCAAGATGGCTCAGAACTCAGTAAATGATCCTGCCCCGCCCTTGTCGCCGCGTACATAACTGACATTGATCAGTCGGACGAGACCCTCGCCTTACTCACCCGTCTGAGTCAAAAACCAGGTGTGCAAAGTACACTGATCCTATCTCGCGACACAGGGGCCATTGTACGGACGTCTGGCTTGATCTCCAAGTCCACAACCGCCAACCCCAACAGCACATTGCCTGCTTCGAGTGAACCAACAGCCGAGGCCTTTCCTAACGGCAAAAAAGAGGGTGGAATACACAACGCTGAAGATGTTGCCGGCATGGTATGGGCGTTCATCAGTGCTGCGGGGAGCTTAGTCGAAGGTCTAGATGAGGAAGATGAGGTCAAGTTGCTAAGGCTCAGGACAAAGAAGAATGAGCTCGTCATCGTACCAGGTAAATCAACGGTTTCGAGGTGTTCTATTTGATTATTCTAACCATTCGTAGACCCCAAGTTCATACTCGTTGTTGTCCACGATACTCCACCGGCGTGAACAAACCTACGTGTACAACCTACCGAATAATTTCTACCAATGCGCCTCGCCGATCGCGATAGAATTCACGTCGATGCCGTCGACAAACCAACGCTCTGTGCCAAAGTCAGAATATGGAAACACGGGCAAACACTAGATACTTACGCGATTCTTCGATCTCTACATCGTTCCCGCTCATCTGCCGCTTGCGCATCCTTCCATCTTCCGCAAAGGTCCAGTCCTCCAGCCCATAACACCGCTTCCATTTCATGCCGTCATGGGAATCCTGGTATTCGTACCAGAATTGAACTGCAATCTTATCACCTGTGAATGCGAAGAGCTCTTTGCGCAGGCGGTAACTCTTCTCCTTCTCCCACTTCTTTGTCAAGAAGTCCTCGATTGCAGATGTACCGGAGATGAAGGTGGAGCGGTTTCTCCATATGCTGTCAGGCGTGTAAGCCTTTGCGATTGCCTTTGGATCCCTGTCTCGGTCAGGGAAGGGAATACATGGGGGAATTCTGTCGGGACACTACTGGGTATTCCAAAGATCCTGCGCCTTCTTGACTTTGGCCCGAGCCGTTTCTTCGGTGAATGGGGGAGCCAGGGACATATTCTCGATATTGTGTGAAGTTAACCAAGTACGCTTCTTTGTAGTGCAGCTTGATCCTGGCGGATTGACAAGGGAATGGAATATGATCTATATATGTATAAATCAGCCCCTTCACACAACGTTATGCACGTGAATGATGCCGTGCCGGCGGCAGTGCCACAGTGCCGATGGAATAGGCCCGGCATTGTTCCGAAAACAACGAAGCAATCTGCTGCTTATGGCAGGTCTTCGTTATTTGGAATCAGTCGACAGGGAACATAGACGCGTCCCAATCAAATGTGCAGAACAGGAACAAGTCGACTTTTTTTTTCGAGATTCCAGGTGCGCTGTATTACGAAAGCATGTGCAAGAACCAGAAGCTAGCATAAGCACCTATCTAAGTAATCAACATGTTCCAGGTGTACTGAATGCCGAGTCATGCTTCAATTCGTAGGTAACACGATAGAGTTTGGTCGGCGATGAAGCCTGTCCGAAGATGCGAGCTGCCCCTCCTTGCCCCTCCAAAGCCAACCGGGCCCGTCCTTGATTTATAACGGCCGCAACCCTTCTCCTTCTCTTCCAACAAGCAATTCTACCTTCCAAATCTTCCAATCTTCTACAAATTTGCTCATATAAGCTGCAAATCTATCCAAATCACACAATGGCACCTCTCAAAGTCGGCGATTCCCTTCCCCAGGGCGTTCAATTCGAGTATGTCGTCCCCCCACCACCCCTCTTCACATCTTCACATGTGGTTGCGTGCTCGCATCTCCAAATCACCACCAATTCGCAAATCCTCAAACTTGCTTCAACTTTCAGTCCCTCGATATACTTTGCTGACCAACGTCTGCAGATGGGCACCCATCACTGACTCCGACCCCACCGCCTGCGGTCTCCCCCAACCCTACGATGCCAGCAAGCAGTGGGCAGACAAGAAAGTCGTTCTCTTCTCCGTCCCCGGTGCCTTCACCCCCGGCTGCCAGGCCCGCCACCTCCCCCCGTACATTGAGAAGCTCAGCGAGTTCAAGAACAAGGGCGTTGATGTTGTGGCTGTCATCGCCAGCAATGACAGCTGGGTCATGAACGCGTGGGGCAAAGTCAACGGCGTGAAAAATGACGATATCGTGAGTTGACTCCCCCCCTTCTGAATTTCCTTCAGTCCTTTGAAGCGGTATAACTGTGGTAAGATGGTGTGGAAGAAATTAACTCGTGTGTTTGTGTAGCTCTTCCTCAGCGACACAAAGACCTTCTTCTCCAAGGAGTACGGCTGGCCTGCTGGTATGGGCGACCGCAAGTAAGTCCTTACCCTCATACACAGCCCCATGAATACCAAAGAGACTTGAGACTAACACATCGACAGCGGCCGCTGGGCCATGATCTTCGACCACGGCAAAGTCACCTACGCCGAAAACGAGAAGAGCCCCGGAGATGTCGACGTCTCTGGCGCCGAAGCCGTGCTCGCCAAGCTATAAGCTATTGTCGCAAGAAGGAACGAACAAGACCCCAGACAATACGGCGTTTGGCAAAAGTAGAGAGTCTTCTGAGATGTTTGTAACATTCGGACGGATTTCTCCTTTGCAGACGGACTACAAGACAAAAGTAAATGATAAGAACGAGCAGGCTTCGGCTATGACTACTGTTTTCTCTAGACCTAGAATGAGGACAATGTGAATATTCAGCGTTCTGTTAAGGTGCTTGATGACATGTATGTAATACAATTGATATGCTGATATTGTGATGTACATGATAGATCAGATCAGACTTGAATACTCTATGTGTAGAGTGCCCATGTCCGGCCAGTTGCTTCTAGAACTATCGCGAATCCCAACGTGATAGCAAGGTGCAAGATAACCAGATAATACCAGCCCAATATAAAAAATGCAGATCCAGAAGAAAAGGCCAAAGCCCTTGAAGCAATATGAACCACTATGGACCACAGCACCAACCCGCACCCACCATTTGCAGAAAAGGACGTTGGTAGAAAATGAGACAATGGGGGAAGGGGAAGCAACCTACACCATTCCCCCATCAGATCACTCACTCGCTCTCTCCCTTCTCCTCCTCCGAATGGCTATCCTCCGCACCATCACTCACAAGATCACTGAGCTCGCTACTCAAATCCTCATCACTCTCGTCACTCACCACCGCCTTCTTCCCTTTTCCTTTTCCCTTCGTTGTCCCCGGCCTCTTGACCTTCTCAGGACTTGCCCCGGCCCCCTTCCTCACCCCCGTCCTTGTCACCAAATGATCAATCACACACCCCTTGCTCCACCCCTCACTATTCTCCCCCGTGATAGCGCGACAGCGCGGACACGTCTTACCGTGTTTGATAAAGAGCTGGTGAAGCGGGTACTTGAGATGATCCGGGATCCTAACCTCGCAATGTGCGTATGTGGAATTGCGATTGGGGGCAGTGAATTTGCCTTTGGCGCCGGGGAGGAGACCGGCCGGGTCGCCGGGGGGAGGGACCCAACCGAGCCAGGTGCAGAGGCGGAAGACGTGCGTGTCGACTGCGAAGGAAGGGCGCTGAAGGCAGAAGAGAAGCACGCAAGATGCAGTTTTGGGGCCGATGCCAGGGTATTTGGTGAGTGCTGTGAAGGCCTCGTCGTTGGAGAGGGCGTGGAGGTGATCTAGAGACAAAACGCCTTGGTCTGCTTTCTGCAGCTCGGCGGAATTTGTGTTCGAAGATTCAGATGCGAGAAGCTCTTGACGTCTGGCTTGGGTTTCTTCCCAAACCATTTGGAGTATCTTTTTGATGTCTTTGCTTTTTACGTCGGCTAGGCCGCCGCTTTTGATGGCTTCGAAGACTTCTTTAGTGTCGGCGAGGCGCACTTTGTTCCAGTCGACGCTGCCTTTGCCGATGCCGTCTTTGAGGATGCCGAATGTCTGGACTAGGCCTGCGAAGGCTCGGGAAGAGTTGGTGCCGGATGTAGCGGCTGAGAGACGGGTTCGGATGAGAGCATCAAGAACAGATGGCACCTCTCCACAGCCCGATACATTGAGAGAAGGAGCAGGTATCTCCTTGGGTGGCTTGACCTCTCCATGAATAGTAGACAATAGACGGGTGACTTCTTCGCACTCCTCTGCTGTTGGGTGCGGCCAATTGGGATAAGGTGTCTGTCCAGGAGTGAGTCCATAGCTATTGCTCTTCGCTTTCTTGGGAGATGTAGTCGAGGCTTTTTCGGCTAATTTCTCGACTGATTCCTTTTCAAGGACAACCTTCTTATTGGTAGCGGCAGATTTCCGAGACTTCTTTGCTGGTGGTTCGGACTTGACATCGGCGTCCACTGATTGGTACTCTGAAATCTTCCCTAGATTGTGTGGCAGGTCGTTCACGGAGTCTTCTTCTTTCTTAACGGTTGATGCTCGTGACCGCTTTCGACTGCTTTTAGGGGTAGCAAGTGGAGGTGTTTTCGGCGATACTGCTTCCTGCTTCGAGGCAATTGAGGTAATTTTTTTAGACTTCCGAATCTTCGGGGAATCAGGTGTTGGTGGGGGACTCGACAACTGTACAGGATCTTCAGGGGCAATGACAGCCTGCGGATGAGCCTCTGCCTTAGCAGCGGCACTCCTTGTCAATCTTGCCATTGGAAGATGTCGAGGCTTCAAGATGCAAATACGAGTATTTGTGAAGGGCAGCAGCCTTGAGATGCCCAATCTATGGAAAGACAGCTTGGAAATTGGCGATTGGAGTAGGAAAGTCAAATTGATTTATAGTTGCTCAAAGATCAAAATCGTATACGAGGTAAAATGAAAAACGTAGCGTTACACGTCACAGAGTGAAGGTGAAAGATTGAAAGGTGAGAGGAGACGAAGCAATGCGACACGAGAGGAGGTGAGAGTCTAAATGTGATGAAAGATTATGCGAAAAAGAACTTTCATGACTACGTGAAAGTGTGCGATGAGTGGTGAAATGCATGACGTCGATGATTGGAGCTTGGACGTTCGACCCTTGATACGACGCAGGGACGAATCAATCTAGCCTACCGCGGGGGTGTACCCACCCTTCATTACAGTTTGTATCGACAACCTCGTGAACGACCCCTCAATACTCGATTTCCCGCAACCACCCTCACACATTTAACTCACCATGGCGGCAATGAAACCTATCGTAGTGCCTGCTCTCAAGCGGCACACAGCAACCGTTATCGTTGCTCACGGCTTGGGCGACAGCGGGGCCGGCTGGTACGACAATGCGCAACCCATAATTATTCGAAGACTGCGGGCAGTTTGTATGTCGCTAACCGATGGTTAGGCTCTTCCTCGCAGAAAACTGGCGGCGCCGAAGCAAGTTCGAGGAGGTATGATACACGATCCGGAGAAGTTGCTGAGATTTGATCGCGAAGTTTACTCACTTTTTCTCAGGTGTCCTTCATCTTCCCGAATGCCCCCAATATCCCGATCACGCTTGTACGTTGGACCTCGAGAACGCGCAAATAAACAAATAAGATATGGATATTTAGATTGACTCCTATACAGAATATGGGAATGCGCATGCCTGGCTGGTACGATATCAAGAGCCTGAGTGATCTTGCAGGTCGCGAAGAGGATGAGGAAGGTACGCTTTCCCCGGATGCATAATCGATCGGGACACTAGTTATGCGCAGCGACTTTGGTTTTTGATACAGCATCGAAGCTTATCTGCTTGCTCTCCACTGATCTTTGAAATCTTTCAGGTATCGTCAAGTCGCGAGACTACTTCCACTCGCTTATCGATTCTGAAGTCGCGAAAGGCATTCCCGCAAATCGCATTGTCATTGGCGGCTTCTCACAGGGCGGCGCCATGTCCTTGATATCTGGTGTCACATACAAGTCCCAGCTCGGTGGAATCTTTGGTCTGAGTTGCTATCTTCTCCTTCAGAAGAAGATCAAGGAGATGATCCCGGACCAGAGCCCGAACCAAGCAACACCCATTTTCATGGGCCATGGAGATTCAGATCAAGTGGTGGCGCACAGATATGGTCAAATGAGTGCCGATGAGCTCAAAAGTCATGGATATAACGTGGACTTTAGAACCTACAAGGGCCTTGTCCACTCGGCCGACCCCGAGGAGATTGATCACCTGGAGTCCTACCTGAACCAACAGATCCCCCCAGTTGGTGACGCGAAGCAGGACAATTCGCTCTGACTCCCATATCCAACATATACCCCATTTTCTCAGTCCACACTGATGCCGGTAGCGGTGCGTTATACCCCAGTACATGATTATCGGTCACTGAAAAGCCATGCGGCGTGGCGTCCCCAGACTTTGATCGTCGTCACATCTCACAGATTGCAATTGGCTGATTTCGTATCTGTGGTATAGGTGTTGACCGTGATTCTTGCTTCAACATGGTTTGTGTTGTTTGGTAAGCGTCGAGATGGACAGCTCGAACAGAGACCGTAGCGATAGAACAATTTGTTTTCTTAGATATCATCGACGATCACGTAACATCTTCGAACATCTTCAAATAGAAACTGTGTGCGCAGATCAAACAAGTATACACGAAGCATAGGTAAGAAAGACAGCAGATTGAGAAGCTGGAAAGCACAGGTAGTCAGATTCCTAGTGTATCCATGCAAAAGCCGAATGTACATTGACGCCATGAATATGCCCCCATCATCCCAAAGATACGGGATCCTTTCACGAGCTGACGTGCCATGACCACGTCCGCTTCGGGGCGAGCCTCCCAATCGCTCTGATCCAGAGTCATAGCGAACCCGAAGAAACTAAATTCGTGACATTTGTAACATAATGTTCCACCTTCCCTCTTCACCAGTTCGGTTGTGCGTTTACGATCCAGGGTTGGGGTTCATCTATCGCACGTTAGCTACTGTATTGTAATCATCTGGATGTTGATTCGCTTACCTTTCTCTTGCCACCGGTCATGGTGACGTTCACGAAACGGCGGGTGTAAGTGAGCCTCTTCTTGGCGCGGCCCTTGGGGGTCTTCTTCTTCTCCTGGGGGTCGACCTATACAGAATTTCTCGTTAGCATCGCTGTTCCAAATCTGCCTGTAGTTGCCCCATCTCCCTGCTGCCATTTTTCATTTCCTCCACCAAGTCTCCGAGTCCAACTGGAATGATTGTGCGTACCTTTGGTGTCTGCGACTTGACCTTTCCGGCACGGGCGAGGGAACCGTGAACTTTACCCATGATTGCGGTGTTGGGTTCGACGAGTTTTGATGATAACTGTCCTGTGGTGGCAAAAGTCCGGTCAGTCTAGTTTCGCGTGCGGAAAGCGGTGGTGCGTGGAATTTTGGAGCGGTAAAACGGCGAGAGTCCGTAGCTGAGATGGGTTCGATGGAGCGGAATACGTACAAGTTGTGAGGGGACGTCGGGGGGTTAAGTAGTCTCTGTCGGCAGCGATGTAGGTACAAATGATGGGTGGAATTTGGGCGCTGTGGTGCGTAGCCGAGATCACGTGAGCGCGCTAAGTCTTGGCTTAGCCTCGATCCCCCGCCTCAAGCTCGCAGCATCATGGTACACAAACACCACAGACCGCGCTGAGTGGTCCAGCATCGTCGATAATATCACTTTCCGTCTTCAAGAATATCATTTTCTTTCGCCATAGAATTCCCTTTCTTGCACGGCTGCTACTCTTTGCACACCATTATCGGACTCAACGTGGCTTGCGAGAGACCTACCTCCTGCCTGCATCCGATATTGTGACACTATCAGTGATCTTGTGATACACTAACAACCATCGCATTAAAGAAAGATTACCTCTGCGCTTTTGAAATCAGCATCTTCACGCTTTAGCCGACTGGTCATAATTCTGAGCAATAGGGCTGACTGGTTTTTTCTCCGTCCTTGGTTTCGATATATAAATCCTCCAACCATGGGACTCAGGAATACTTTGCTGTTCATAGCCACATTTGGCCTCGCGACCTCGGCCCTGCAATTACCATCTCCAGCATTTCTATTCGCAAACCCGGAGCCACAGCATGCAACCGGCTTCAAGATCCCCACCATCCACGAATCAGCCGTGCAGGCACGCCGTATTCTCCATCTCGAAACCATCGGTACACTATCCACCATCTTCCCAACAGCGCACAGTACCGAGAATCGGCCTTCAGATGTGAGCGGCACGCCCATTGGTTTGATGGATTATTTTGGCGACTGCGAGCCCGGTTCCGGAAACCCTACCATCCTCGCCATATCAATCGCCACCTCTTTCAAGAACGTCGCTGCAGGCTCCAACATCACCTTGTCGCTCCGGTGGCATGCTCCCTACAATCGCCCTTATAGCGCTGCTGCTGTTCCCCGCTTTTCGCTCATAGGCCATCTTGAAGAGCTCTCTGCTGAGGAAGTCCGCGAGCAGAACGTTGCCGCTTGTTTCGTCAAATACCACCCCGATGCTGTGTCGTGGCTGCCAGGGAATAGAATTCACGAGAGCAAATGGGTCAGGTTGGTTGTTGAGGAGGTTTACTGGATCGGTGGCTTCGGAGATCGGGCATACATCGGCTGGATTCCTCTCAACGAGTGGCAGAATGTTACCGCAGAAGAGATTAAAGATTGCAAGCTGCCGGGCGAGAAGACTGGTTGGGCCTCGTGGATTCCCCATTTCGGCTTTGGTCAGGGACAAGTCCAAGAAGCTATTGAATTGTGATATTTCCACCATCGTCTTTTCTCATTCGAGTCATCAATGCAATGAGGCAGCGATACTATGGCGACAGGATCGCCATGTACATAATTTGGATGGCCTTCAAGTGGCCCTTGTGCTGGTTTCAATTGGCTTGGGATGCCGGGCATGTCAAAGTCTGAATGGGTCACAGACGAGATATTCGTCACTCGGAGCGTAGCATATCAATAGAAGACTTTCTGGGGTTGACACTTGCTTGCATATCTTGGACTGACCCACTTCGCCGTTGATTCACCAAATTACCACGACAATATTAGACCATGCAACTTTGTTATCACCATGGATAGTATCATTGTTTCCCCTCGTTCGGGTGATTGGCGTATCCCTTGCCCCGAATCAGAGAACGATGTTTACAAAAATCAATCTTAAGTTGAAGTTGGAGTGATGTTACACTAGGTCAATTATATCAGGATCGTATTTCTATTCTTCACACAGCAATGAATTGTAAGTTGGAGTTTGGGTGATCCTAAGCACAGCGATATAGTTATAACAATAACAGCACCAAATAATAGGCGATTACCAAAATCGAACCCCCCATGGCTACATACGTGTGTTCCAAAGTTCTCGTGTGTGACTGAACTAATTTTTAGAAATGGAGTTTCCGGGTATCCCCAGTACACACCACGATATTCACAACGATAAATTTCTAAGCATTTTTGATTGGAAGTTACAGTGGTTCCTGCACTTAACAAGGCTGATAAAAAAGAGTTAACAAAAAGTAGACGGGCACAAAAAGCTTCGAAAAAGGATTCCCGCCCACTAAAGGGTTCTTTCCAAGTTTCACAATGATAAAGCACTGAAAAAAAAAGCAGGCCATGACCAAGAAGTTCATCTTGTGCTGGAGGTTGGGTGATGCTATCACACAGCGATAAAGTCATAAAGGTGAGGTACAATAATTGAGCGATCACAGAAAAAATTTCTTGTTCAATGTCCAGCCTGATGTATTCCGAATTTGAATATGCGGTCTCTCTTTCCAATGATACAATAGGACATGTTTTTTTTTCAAGACAAAGATTTGTGATGTTGCGAATTCTGATTGTACCCAAAGTTGAGTGAGCTGTGGTCATAGAGCACTTGAAATATTATCAATATTTCATTTAAAGTGTCGAGAGCGTCCTTTAGTCACACGCCTAAAAGAGTTGCGGGGGTATAGCGAAAAAGAACAAACAATCGCAAAAAGGGAAAAGAAAAAAAAGAAAAAAAAAGTTAAAGGTACGAAATTAACCAAGACGAGCAGATTGATGAAGATGGGCATGGACGTAGCTGTCTGGGTGTGCCTGTGTACACGAGCACAATAACAATAACAACAACAACACAAGATTTGATAAAAAAAAAACTCATCCATGACACCCGAAGAGACAACGCTTCATTTCGGCCAGTTCAAAACCCACATCCATTCACCCATGCCTACCCTAAAAGCCATACACTGGCTGTCCTGCCCTGGAGTATGTAGGATCGATCCAAAAGGGGGCCCGAGTTACCCAAACTATCGACTCGTTCCCAAAAGGAGAAAGTAAGAGAAAAAAAATCACAACATGCAAGCCTCAAAAACGACCTCCTCGTAAAAACCTTCGCCTAGGTACAAAATGTAAGGATGTACTATGTACTACATCTCAGGTATACCTAACCTCCACAGTACAGCAAAGCGCACGTTGTTTGGTTACACGCATCATGCACGCCACTATACAAAAATCAATAGCGCCCCATTCCTTCCCGGTCTTCAGCCCTGCGGTGTGTGTGCGAGTGGGTGAGTGGGTTTGACAGGACAGCAGACCCAGGGCGACCATCATTATCGATAGATTGTATTAACGCCGACCTATTGCAGCGATACACGCGGCTGTCACCCCCAAGCTGTCAAATTTAACCGCTAAGTATTGACTTCGAATGACAGCGACGAGCAGGCAACCAAAAACAGAGGTGGGAGGATAAGGCCGATCCTTGATTCATTGGCGCGCCGAAACTAGTCGGACTGATTCGAACACTTTTGCCGCGTCTCGCGTCACCAGAAAAACGTCCCGCGATGTTCCTTGTCCCGACGACGTTTTGACGTTTTGGAAGAATTTTGGGCTCCTGGGTGGATGGATGTTTTGGGCAGCGTAACGTCACACGCATGCATGAACAGACCATGGATGGCCCTGTGTAGAGATATTCTTCAATGGCCCCTTCTTTTTGGTTGCTTACACGATGTTGCTCAGGCTGGTTCCTGACTGAAGATTGACGTGCATGTGCCCTGTCCCAGCGCCAGATCTATAATGCAATATCTCTCTATCTCTTTTTTGGGCAGATAATTGATACGATGTAGATATGCGTGCATCTGCCGACGGTGCTATGCCTTCTTCCGATATTCGAACAAGTCTAGACAATGCCTGCGCTATTCCAGAAGCAAAACGATAAGACGGGCTGCGAGTATCACTAGTAAATTAGTACACAGAACAAAAGACGTTGCCGCGCGAAGTATGGATGCAATGCGCTCTTCTCCGAACGTCGATGGCACGATTTCGCGTTCCTGCGATCTTACACATGACTCCGCATTTGAGCGTTGATCCACCTTTGGCATGTCATGAATTGAGGCTGCAGAGACGACTAACGAACATGATGAGATGTCAACTCTGTGTAAGAGCGGTGAGATCTATCCGTTCATGGCTTCCTTCATGGGGATCGTTGCAATGGAACCGTGCCCACTGTCAGGTACGCGACGGTCGCCAGTGGACTAGCGAAAGACAGGATACCCCGAGCTGTGAAGAAGGCATTTTCTCCAGGTGTCACCTGAACAACGTACGCCAGGAGTCCCTGTGAACAGTTTAGCTAAACATCAATAACGGTACGACGTATGTTAAACGCGCACGTTTGACGGCCCGTGATGCAACTTATTGTATTGGAAGTCAATGCTAGCCTGGAAAATTTCGGGTTAAAAGGACGCATCATGTGGAGAATACAGCCTGGGAGAAGCTTGCGATTTGGAGTGAGTAGAACGGCCGATCGTCAAACGGTCGAAGAATGTCGGAACAATGATGTTGCAAAAGGGGCGGCGATTCAAGGGTGGACGTTGAAGGGCAAATATGTGGAGATCGGGCTTTAATTGCTTTAGTGAAGTGCCGTAGTAGCGGTCTACAGCACGGAGTCTATGAGCAGCCTCGGCTTGACGCAGAGAAAAAAACAGCTGGCGCACAAGTGCGGAGGCTTGGAGTTGCTGATGACTAGATGTCGTCTGGCCTTGGGGGTGACAAGACGTAGCTCGTGCATGCATGCAGAAAGGTGGTGAGAACCCCAGAGCCGGGGATGCGGTAGAGCTCCTGCTTGATCCGACAATGGTGTCGGTAGCATCGTACGACTGACGGCTGAGGCCGGAAACTGTGAAGGATGTACGATTCACGATGGAGGATGCGGTGGTTGGTTTGCGGATTGCTGAGGAGGGAAGAGGCCCACGTAATTGGCCAGACGCTACTGCTGCAGCGTGATGGACTGCACCTGCCTATCGCCAATTCGTCTATAGATCTACCACCTCCACTTACCAGTTCCACCTTCCAACCTCGCCCGATGACAGACCGCGGACAAGACTGGTGGCGTACACTTCATCACTTCATTTCAACTGCCTGTCCTCGTGTTGTACTCAAGTGCTGGTCCTAGAATCGCATGGCCCGCCGCTTGAGCTGAAAGAAGACAACTCCACTCTGGTGACCGAACGCTGGGACTGGCACCATCAACCACATTGCGACATGATATCCGAATCGTTACTGCACACGGTAATCAGCACTTGTCCTGTTCATTCCATCTCAAACGTGGCGGTAGCCGTGGCTTGCAAATCGTCATCAGCGTCTCGTGCTCGACAATTCAGGTTTCTTATCCTCATCGTCCAACCCCTTCTATCCGTTCCTGGCGGTGCTTCGTTCTCGTTTTCGTCATCGTCCAAATTTCCAGATTGGAAAAAAGCCACCGCGCATGGGGGGAAATAACAAGTATTCCGCACCCAGCCGTGGCGCGACGATTACTTTAGCGGACAGGGTAGGAAGCAGGAGGCGGATTGCTGCCGTGGAATCCTCTCGTGCAACTACTGCATGCAGTTGCTAATCCTGAAGTGAAAACAGTGTAGGACGTAGCCTACTCTGCATGGAGACATCCGCTCGGATCCCGCGTCCCCCGACCATTCAGATACGAGTATTGGCAGGAGTGACCTCGCGCGCGGTGGCTTTCAAGCCCATACCTCGTCCCTCGTGTTTTCGTCTTTTCTTTTTTTCGCTTTTTTGCTTTTTCCCAACCACGCTCCGTTCAACGGCTCGGCTACGCTTGTGAGAACGTGCCACAGTGCCAGTCATGCCATCCGAATACGAGGTTTCTTAAAAAACTCCCAGTGGCTTGTAAACACGGTATCTCGAAGCGGGAATCAGCGCGACCCTTGGACAAACGTGCCATACTCCACGCTGATCGTCGACAGGCAAAGGCAAACCCCGTGAAATTTGACGAAGGATTCCAAGGAAATTTGCGAGCTGTGTTATTCCCCCCCTCCCCACTTCCCGGTTGGTGATGCGTTTGCTTGGCCAAAAGGTCATCACGCAGACACCCTGCCGTGGTATTCCAAATGTTTCATGTCTTGAATCTTATATCCCTTGCTCCTTTCTCGTGCGCTGAGGTCGATCGCGATTCAGGGACATGACCGACCGACCCGACCCAGAATAAAGGCAGCGTGCGGGCGGGACATGGCGATGGATTAAAATTGACGGGGGGCGGAAGAACGAGCCGTGCCCGTGGAGGGGAGCTGGGGGCGGAGAGGGCCCAGAGGAGGTCGAGGAGCGGAGGTGAGGTCTGGATTGAGCATGCGAAGCGATCGAACCCGAGTTTGCGGTTGATGGCAACAAAAGCAAATCTACTGGCTCGGAAGCCGGATCCAGAGCGAGCGAGAGAAGAGGGATAGAGAAAATAAACTTTCTTGTACGGTGGGGGTTAGGCTCTTTGTCGTATTCATTGTCAAAAGGAATACCATGGATAGAGAGGGAGATGGGATGCGAGCAATGTCGAAAACAGACGGCAAAAATCTCAACTTTTATTAATAATAAAAAATCATGACAATGTGGAAAATGCGCCGGGATCGACCGGAGATAATCGTCTTGACTCTCTCTCTCTCTCCGTCTTGTCTAGTTTTTTATCTTCTGTAACATCCGAAGATTTGCCCTTGCAGAAGTCGAATCCCGCCCACGCGCATTGTGCATGTGTGTGTGCGGGAGGCAAAGAAGATGGAAAGAAAGAATGGAGAGGAGCCGTGACGTGACGTGAAGGTGACGGCCAAAAAGCTGAAACGAAACAGAAGACGCAACACAATATGCCGCAGCGCATTGCGTTGCACTTGGAACCCACTTTGTTCTTCACGAAACTTGGACTGATTGACTGACCGACTACCCGCCTACTCAGCTGCCGTTGTTTTATGGGTACTGATGGTGGGTGGAGTGGAGGTGTCATGTCTGATCATGCTATGCGAGAAAAAAGAAGGGTTGTGGTATCCCAGCCAGCTGGATGGGATATATGCCATGTTACATACCTAGGACATGGAAACGGTCGGCATTGCTGTTGCTGCTGGAGTCAAAATTTCAATACTGATTTAAAGGGTTTGCATATAATTAAATCTTAATTTTTTTCTGTAATATGGCCCCGAGGTAATTAATCTCCAGACGAGCCAGTATTTTCTTTAGTTATTTACATCCTTTAATCCACCAATTTTTCTGGTGGTGGCTCCAATCCATTCCCATAGCCATATTATACATACAGACTCAGGCGGGCGGGTATTTGGGCCAAGGGCAAGGCAGGCATTGAAGCCCTACGCCATCCCTTATTTTTCTTCTTTCGTCTAGGAACGCAACTCGCTTTCGAAAGCAATGCAAAGGACCAAGAACAGGAAAGGGGGGGTATAGCAAGAAGCTGTGGTACAGAATGATTCGAGAACTAGATGAGAGGAAGATATGCATAGTGCGCAGTTCTCGAGTATCCAAACAGAAAAGCCACAGGACAATATACACAGTGAGAAGGGGAAGATAAGATGGGTGGAAGAAGCAAAACGCCAGAAAAATGCTTACAGAAAAGAGAAGGGAAATTAGAAACGCCCACCGAGCTCTGGAAACGCCGCACCTGAGAAGGGAAGAAAAGGAGGTGCCCGTCCAGAATGGTATCTCACACCACCAAGGTAGATAAATGCCGCTTGCCGCCGAATGAATTAACCGCGCGCCGATGGTTCCCTTGTGAAGAATTATAGCCGAATAAGAGGCCGTTTCTCATAACTCCAAGAATTAATGGATGTTCCATGTTTCGATTGTGCTGTTTGTCTCGTAGAATGCTTTATGCAGTCATGGTAGCGCCCGATGATGCGTGACAGCCCCGCTCGTGTCGTTTCATGTTGCTTCGAACACTAAAGGCCTTGCCGCAGCCGGGCTGGGGGCACTTGTATGGCTTTTCACCCGTGTGGCTGTGACTGTGGATGCGCAGGCTGCTAGGGCGAGAGAAGGCCTTGTTGCAGGTGGAGCAGATGTAGCGATCCTGGGATTGCGGGAATGCGGACTGACTCGAGGCGCTGATGTAGTGGTGGTGCTGCCAAGGGTTTGAGCCGTTGGCGGACGGGGAAGGCAGAGGCAAAGGCATGGTTTGGGGTTGGAAGTTGGAAGGAAGGGGTCGCTGTGAGTACATGCCCAGGTTTGGGTAGGATTGCGGCTCGGGCGAGTAGTAAGACGTGACGGAGCTGGCTCCAGGCGACGCAGAGTAGGGTGATTGAACATAGGTCGGGGGGTTGTACGGGGACATGGACTGTGGGGGCATGGTGTCACGTTTGACTCCTTGGGCGATGGGGGCATGCTGGCGCTGGGAGTGCGGCTCCATGCTGTTCAAGGGCTGACCGAGGTAGTAGGAACCAGAGGCGGAATGATTCGAGGCGGCGGAAGGAGACTGATTGCCGTCAACCACTGAATCCGGATGCATGGGGGGAGTGGGTGGTAAAGTCATCCTGGGGTTGCTCACGCCAGTGGATCGGAAGGACTGAGAAAGATTTTCTTGGTGGTGTGTTTGAGGCTGGGGCTGGGGAGAAGACTGCTGGGAGCGGGGGCTTTGGTTGCCTATTGCCAACGGTTAGCTTTTGGAAGGTGCAAGCAAGTGGGGATGGAAAGTGGAGTGGTCCTACCAGACTCGGAAGTAGCCTTGTCGGCGTCGGCAATGTGCAACAAGCTGGAGATGGAGGGGAGCGAAGGTTTCTGGTCCTCGACGGGAGGCGAAGGTGGTGATTGCGGGTGGCGTTGGTACTGGTAGTCGAGCGTGTGAGGTTGGGCCTGCGAGTGTTGAGGGGCGCTCGTGGGCGTCGAGTACTGTCTCTTTGGTTGAGGCGGTTGGGGCTGGTAGTAGTTTGCGTGTTGGAGTTGCGAGTGTTGGGTTTGATATTGACCCTCGCGGTCTCTGGCGCTGCCGTGAACCATACTAGCAAGATGCATGGCCATTTAGGAGTGGTGGCGATGTGTGATGGTGGTGGTGGTGGTGGTTGATGATGATGGTTTGTGGTTGGCGGGGAGGGTGGAGGGGGGAAGTAGAAGGACGGAAAGAGTAGAAGAGTGCGGGCAGACGATGTATGTATGTGTGTATGTGAGGGTAGGGTGGTGGTGGTGTAGAGATGTATTGTATGCACTTGGGGTGGTAGGTGGTACCGGGATCCCGGGCGTGGTGGTAGGAGAAGGGGACGAATCGTCGGGCCTGCAGAGTTCAAGTACAGAATGGCGGTTGGCTGGCGAGATTCAGCGCAGCCGGGACCCTGTCAAGCGTTGAGGTTGAGGGAGCAGAGAGAGACAGCGGAGGACCCACGGCGGTGACCAAACCGTTGCCAGCAGAGTGGGTCAGACAGCGGCCAGGGAGGGATGGGCCCCCCGGTCAGTCAGATGGAGGGATGGGCTGCCCCGTCAGTCAGATGGAGGGATGGAAATGGCCGTTGGCGGAGCAAGCAGGCCTCGAGTCGGGCAGGTTGAGTCGAGAGAGACTGCAACGGCAATGCAGATGACGAGCAAGAAGGGATGGGGTGGTTTGGGAGGCAGACAAGGGCAGAGCACGGCAGGGCAGCCCCATACAACAGCAAACAGAAGCGTGCTCAATTGCGGGCGGCGGACCGGGGTGGGCAGGGCAGGCCCAACGATGCCCGTCCCAGTCAATCTATACCAACGACGGCTATTGAGCCTCTTCGGGTCTACGGCCTTCTAGGGGCGCCAGGGGTGCCCGACAGGGACAGGCCTCGACGCAGCGCAGATCTGCCAGACGAACGAAATAACGAACAATGCAGGATGCTTCAACCCTCCTCACGTCAGGCCTGGCCGGCTATCGTCGTCGTTGCTGCTGGCTGTCGGTGGTTTGTGCGGCTGCGGCTGCGTGCAGCCACCACGCCGACGTGAGATGAGATGATGATGCCCGCTGAGAATTGCCCTGCGCCCATGGCCTGCCAGGGATCTGGCCTCTCCTCCCGACAGCCTGCCTGCCTGCTTCACCCTCGAGTGATTGCTGTCGTCTCTTGCAGTCCTGCGTGGTGCGTTGCTCAAGTCGCCGAGCTGCCACTGGCCCTGCTTTGCTTGCCTGCTTGCCCCGACCGCACCAATTCACTCCAGATGTCTGAATGCTACAGAGACGGGGTGAATACCGTCCATGTATTGTACGCATGTACTTGGTACTACACAGTCACGCTGTACCACTGCTTTGGCTCGCTTTCACTTGGTCGGCTTCAATCCCCAAATCTTCCGAAACACGCTTTCTGATCTTTGGTTTCCAACGTCTTCCTACCTACCCCAAGACACAAGATAGACTACCACTCACTGACTGACTGACCGCCTCCTCTACCGTAAAGGGTTTCGTCAGTCAGCGTAGACCGGTCGGTATAGGGGGCTCGGGCGGATGTAAGTAAGATGGATCGACGAGACGCTCCTGGGGGTGTAGGATCCGTGGGCGCTAGGCAACGGGCCCTGCTACCAGATTCAACCCGGGTCTGATGATTGCTTGTCCAGGGTAGGAGTCAGTCGAGCCAGTGAGATGAGGCGTTCATCAAATGGCGATGCAATTGATCACGTTTTCCGGTGATGATTTCAATCCAAAGCCGCAATCCAGGTAGCAAGACGAATGGAACAAAACAATCACAGCTGAACGGAACCAGGGTGGATAGGAATCCGTATACGAAATGGCAAAAGGAGACGACGAAACGGCAGAGCACAAGACAGTGACAGAGCAGAGACCGAGGGACATGGGAACTGCCTGCAGCCCAGCGTGGGACATTTCAATTCCACCGCGTCTCCTGTCATGTCACAGCAGTCATCCCCGGGCAGCGGCGACATGGCAAGGCGGTGGGGAAGACGTTTGGCCCAGGCGACGATGGCGATGCCTACTTGGTAATAGGGAAGGAACATGCCGTCTACTAAGGGGTCGATGTGATACCCATGGGTGGGGACTTCTTTTCATGGTGTGGTAGGCTGGCATTTAGCAGAAATAGGGAACGGTAAGGGTTCGGCCTTGTCGACTGGGTGCCCGGTTGGTATCTTGGTAGTCGACACGCGACGCCAACGTGAACCGCCGCCCAGAACCTCTCTAATCTGCCAACGTGCCTGGCAACCCTTATTCACTACCACTACGTCGTGCATGCCAACGCCATGTGCCAATGCAGCCACACCGCGTATAGCGGAGGGCGACGAAGAAAATTAAAAAAGAAAAATTCATTTCAACCGCAGAGGAAATGGTGGGCGAACTACCAAGCCAAACGTGCAGGCATGATGCGCGTCACCCATTCTACGGTGGCTACGGTTACATGTGTATAGGCACACATTGGCGATGCCGTCGGCACTACATGAACATGCAGCCCGCTACCGTTGATTCTGCTCAAAATTGGAGTTTCATCCGTTCGGCATTCTGACCTCTTGTTCGGATTCTTCTTCTTCTTTCGGTCGATTCGTGCTATGAGGCTCCGAGGCAGCGGCTGACTCTCTCTTGTGTGATGGGTTAGAGGCTGGCTTCACCATCGAGGGTGCCCCCAGGTTTGCTTGGGTGTTGCAGAAGGAAGTGGGTACGGCCAGCCAGGACCTGGTGGACAGGAGGAAGATGCTCGGGAGCTGTCGCGGCTGTTTTCCTGCTTGCTCGCCCGCTTGCTTCATTCACCGCACAATCTGCGACGGCGTTTTCCATTAGTGAATCATTCCATCTGTCCACCCTGGGCCGCGTCGCCCGCTTTCAGGGTTTCAGACAACGGACTGGCAAGCGCGGGAAGCACGCTGGCTTGTTGCACGCTATTGCATCCAAGTAGGTAAAAAGGCACCTACGTATCGATGCATGCATGTATGTATGCGCGTAAGCTTGCGCTCCATTTGCGCATGCGACTTGTATTTGAAACGGCTGCGTTTGGACATTATCGTGTGCTTGTGCACCTCATCCTTCGTCGAGAGCTGATTTCGCCAAACAAGAAAAGAAGCGTGTGTCTGGGGAGGCACGAAGGATCTCTGGGTGGATGGATTGCAAGGCGGGTCGATCAAAACAAGCGTATGCAGCTAACCCTGGCGCCACGTTGGCCGTGTCATGCCATTGATCATGTCGCTTGTGGTTTGGATCCAGCCAGCCTGCATCCTGATCCATCCATTTCGTCCGTACACATACGTAGTCTGGCTGTATGCGTCGCCGCCGCCGGCGGCTTGCCGCAACGATGCCGCAGCGAGGCCGACGACAAGCCAACAGACTAGCAAGACCATCCGCTCACTCACTACTGCCGTGTGTGGGCGCGTGTGTCCTTTGGAGGACGGATCAACATGTCACCTCGATCGGCGGTGCATGCATAACGTGCCTGGATCGCTTGCTCCCTCGCTCCCTTCGTCGCTCAGCTCACTAAGTACCCGCTCGGCCCAATATGAATCTCACAGCATGTACCCGGCTCCTGGCAAGCTGTAGAAGATATGGAAGCGCGGCAGAAGGCCGTTCGCTGTGTTTGACATGAGGTGGGTGGGTAGGCGGGCGGGCGAACTCGCTGTGACAGGCAGGCAGGTAGACACAGGCCAGTAGAAGCCGCCGCCCACAGGAATCAAACACGAGAGGGAAGGCCATGCTCTGATCCTGATCCTGAATCCCGAATCCTGCATCCATCGGCCAGCAGGCGATGAGCATCGTGTTGTGCATTGGCAAGGGCCATGATGAGCGGCCGGGGTGTATGTGGACGGAAAATCTGTCTACCCCAAGCCTCACGGCACCCATGTCGGCTTACCACACTACTTACTCAACCATGTCCTTAGTCACCCCGTCCGTCACACGCCACCACGACCTCGAGTGTCGCGCCATCCGAGCCGCCATGCCTGTCCCGCCATCCTGGATCCTACCAACACTCGATTGTGCTATCCAGCACTATGCTACACGCTCGATAGTGCCATGTACCGCCTCTTCTTTCTCGTGCCACTTGGAATGTGGCTCCTACGCGAATCACCAAACGTCTCATTATCAGCATCATCCATCATCATCATCATCATCGACACCTCCACCACCATCGCTCTTCATCGCGTGCCACGACGCCTCAAACGCCTCGTCGCTTGCCCGCATGCTTACCGAAGTCGCCGGTTGCACCAAACCCCCCAATCATTCCTCGTGGATATCTCATCCGTCGTTGATGGACAGAGGAGGGTGGGAGACAGGAATGGGGGAAATTAACCAAAATAAAAACAATGCAATTCAATTCCCATATGGTCCCTAAGGCCTCCTCCTTCCACTGCCACTTTCGGAGCCAAACAACCCAACGATGCGGACAATTTCCTCATGACAGGGAACCGACGCATGATCTTCCGGGAGAAGAACCAGCCTGGTCGTGGCCCCAGCTGCCTGCCCCCATCCAATACGAGCTGCCACGCTGGCAAACCTGTACTCTAGTCCGTCATCTCACCATTCACCACCAGCATCTGCCTGCCTGCCACCGCCCGCCCAGCACGTGGAGCGCAGGCATGTATCGTCTTGCCTTGCTTTGCTCTGCTGCTGTGGCCAAAACAATCCCACACTCACCGCATTGCAAAAAGAGTCAGTTCTTCAACAGCAATCGACCTCCACTCGTCGACAAGAATCTTGCCCAGGCAGGACAAAAATAGGCCACCCTGCCCAGGTCTACGGATTAATTGAGCCTGATAAACACCCCGTCGACTCCATGTTTCCTTAGCGTATCCGCTGCCCGTGACATCAACCCGGGATGCCTGGCTCGTTGGCCGATAACTCCGTTGCTATAGCTGCAGAACTTCTACTATACCTTCGCCAGTCACCCTGTACACAAAGCGTTCCACGCCCCGAGCATTCACGGCTAATAAGCAACAGCCGTCCCATTGGCCTGGCTGCTTCTAAGGACCTATCAACCTGGTCTCAATCTGTAAGCGATCGCATGCCCTGCTTATCCTCCTCTCGCGGGCCGCCTTCATGCAATGTGCAAATGCGTGTTATCGACAATCAGTCAATGTATGGCAGCGCGTCTTCAGCCTCTCCTCGCTTTGACCTGTGTGAGCTCTACGGAAATATACTCGTAGTCGAATGCTCCACACTCCCGGTCCGTGGGCACGCCTTTCCTTCCCTTACTCAGTCCGCGGGGAGGGACATGGTTGGAACCAGTTGTGAAATGAGGCTGCTACGATATGACTAGCAAACTATCTCATCTTTGCTACTCTTCTCCACATTACATCCACCCTACCACCTAGGACTGCGAACTTGTTATCATGATTTACTACTACTCGACTACCACAACACACTCCATTATCGTCCTAACATCGGCACCCTTCGGCATTTGGTGTATTGGACGCTATGCCAATCTCACCAAGCCAGATTCTCGAGTATGATCTACGCTTGTCGCCAGATTATTCGCGCCATCAACGTACGGGATCTTCTAGTTTCCGTGGATATCCCTGGCAACGACGTCCGAAGAAAAAAATATCGGGTCAGCTGCTCACGGCTGCATTTCCCAAGGTAGCAGATGGTCCCTTCAAACTCGCACTGTAAAACAATGCACTCCCTATACTATTGCATTTGTCGCTGTACTGTGTAGTGCGCGTTTGAAATCCCAACTCAGCATTGAGGCAAGACGGCTCAGCTTGCCCTTTTGAATCCTTCAGTCGCCGTTGCTAACGTTCCAAGCCAATGTTAGGGGTTGCAGGGGGCACTGTCAGCCACCAGAAAGCGGGCCAAAAGCAACATACCGTCTATCCTGAATGGGTACTGAACGACGAAAAGAGTCATTGCCATGAACACATCCGTTTTCATGGACCCTGGCCCATGTCCAGCCGTTTTCAGACTCTCCTCCGACCGCGGCATTATAACTGGGTCACCCAAACGGCTGACGTAGATCCATCTGAAAATCTGACCGTCTGGCACTCTGCGATTCTCGCTGCTGATTGCTCACCGCCCGGCATGGCCGCCGTAAGCCAAGGATTTTGATGAGCCGGATTTCACAACCGTGTGTTGCTGCTCAAGTTAGCTCTCCATTTCAGGCCTGGATATTGTCCAGATGGAGGTATTGCTGGGAATAATCATGATGGTTGCACACTCCTAGAGTATCCATTCAACTATGGGCGATGTTTTCCAGAGCTGCTTGAATTATACATGGGTGAGGTATACCTTGTATGGAATTGGTGTCTGCACTTTAGCGCAGTGGACGGACTGCCGAAACTTCCCAAAGCCCAGACACGAGATGCCGCTGGCCTAGCCCTGAAACCTGAGCGGCTCGTTGATATATCCTCTTTCGGCGAAAAATGCCCTTTCCAACGCGTGGAGCCCCACTGCGTACTCAGGTGTGAACTCAGTGTCGGGTTGACCATGACAACCTACAGTTAATTCCCTTTCTACACGATTTCTGATTTTGAAACTCAAATCATTCGCATTTCCAAACCCACAGTCAAGCTGACGGACGAGCTGACTCTTGCTGGCTGGCTGATGCCTGTGACTGGGATCACCTTCTCGAGGGGGGGGAGGGGGAACAGACTGTCGCGCTGACCTCAACTGAGCGGGTACTGCGGCCGAATCGGATTGGTCAGATCGACTGAATGTTGACCTGTTGACTGGTCACGGTTGGATGCTTCTCCCCGCTACATCGGCGTTGAGAAACATCTGCCCTCGTAGCGATCACTCAGCGTACGGTACCGAGCGCGCACAAGGACGAAAATGAATACGGGCTACCGGCTGTAGGGTTCAGCCGCCCTATCAAGGCAGGTGAATAACCAATCCGATTTTCGAGGAATATTGCGGCGCTCCGCTCGCTTCGTGGAAATCGTACCATACGTTTGCCTGCAGTGCATTTTGCCGGCCCATGGTCACCAGTAAGCACGTTGAGGGCCTCTCCCGATCCATGTGTAGATTGATCGACATAGAAAATCACTGCAATAAGATCTACGCAAACAACAATATTAATGTCAGGGGGCTCGAATCGAGATGATCGGAAGCTCTCTATTTTGACTCGGGCGACGACGCCTTGTGTTGGTGAGACCTTCATTTGGAAGTCTCATCGCATTTTGTCGCCCTGATCGCTATGCAGAATTCAATGCCGTCCCTCGCCGAATATCCCTCTCGCGGTGCAAGCCATCGCTAGATAACGAGGGCGTGTAGACGGTGTAACGTTCCATGGAACGTACATACATTTCCCCCACAGCATAATACTCCCCACGTTATGATCGTCGTATGATTCGCGGAGCTTTCCCCCTCGACCTGCGGAGAGGCGACATGATCGTATCAGTCGGCACGTCGTACGACGATAATTCTTTGACCTGCAAACCAAGAAATATTTCGCGATCTCATACGGGCCTACTACCCCATCATCGGGCCACCTTTACAACTAGAGCCGCCGAGCATGAAGGATTTTCAGGCGAATCATCAAAAAACAAAATAACGATAGGCCGCCAACCACTGCCACTCCATGGAGCGTCATCAATCATCCACGTGTGGTCTGCCTTGCCCGCCCCGACTCCACCAACAACATCTTCCTTCTTCGCGCCCCCTCTTCTACAAGCATGGGAAAAGTGCACACGCACGCATGGCTTTGCTAACGACTCCCCCTCTTACCACAGCGACGTCGGACAACATCGGCTAAGCAAGCAGGTCACTGCCTGTGTGCGTTCGCAGGATTTGCCAAATATACCGTTTCCACCCTGTTTAACCCGATTGACTAGATGTCGTATTCTCCCCCCTTCTCCCGTCCCGTTGCGTTGCAAGCGGGCGAACAATCGACGCCGCTGGTAGGCGAAGGCGAAGATCACTAACCGCATGATAACTCTTGGAAGCCGGATTCCTGGTCTACGGCCAGACTTAACCTGTTCTTCGGAAAAACGGGGGGATTATACTGTGATTGTTCTTTGACAGTTGATGCCTTAGGCCCCTTTCACGCAAGTGATGTGGGTTTTATTGCCACACTTTCTAATACTACGCAGTGTGAGCAGTGGCATGCCCAAGCACCGGATGAGGTTTTCGCAACTTTCAAGTTGGCAAACAATCATGTTGGGTTCTCTCATTGTTGTTCGCTAAACCGCCGCGCATCTCGTCTTCAACCTTGCCACGTGAAGGTATGGAAACTTCATTTAGAAAGATAGGCGCTGCTACCCACTACGCCGCCCTCCTCTCCTGCCCGTTTGTCCTTCATTGAAATATTTTACATCTTCCTCGGAGCTTTCTGGTATTCCTTTCCGTCTCACCTTCTACCCGATAGCTTGACAATGAACAAACAAAGAATCAGCAAAAATATAATAACAGGCCGAGGGAGTGATCACTCAATACTCCGATTTCGCCTACATCCCCTCACCTACCCTACTTTATCACAGCTCACACACGGCGAGGGGTGGGGTTAGTGGCTAATATCCCGCCTTCTCGTATTCTCCAAAATTATATTTATTTTATGTCTTCTCGTAATGGGTGGATGATCCCCTCCGCCACCTCATGCCCGGATTCGCTCGGAACAAAGTTCCGCACGCAACCGCAATGCCCATCCTGCAGCTGTCTGATCATATCGACATGGTATACGAAGTGTACGTGTCCTTGTACATTGCATCGTCGTATATGTATATATTCTGAAGAAGGAAAACGAGAGGGAGAAGATGTGGCTTATTTTTCTATTCTTTTTGATCTCGCGTATATTCTTCTTGCGCTCGCTCGCGAACTCGCTACCGGGAACCTGTCTATGCAATATCTCACTCCTCTTTAGTTAAACTCTTTCTGTAGTATTTTTCCTTTCGCTTAAGCACTTCCTCTCTCCCTCTCTTTTTGATTGTACGATCGCACGATCGTACGATAACGTTGAGAGAGGGGAAGGGGTGAGCGATGAGGGACAGGGTGAGCGAGATCTGTATATCTTGCGCGTCTCGTCTTGCCTTGTTGTAAGCCTTGCTGTTTAGCCTTGCCTTGCTTCGGCTTATCGGGCGTCTGGTTATATTAAGATTTGAGGCTCTTGTGACTGTTGGATGTGTTCATGGGAGTATACAGAAATATTTCATTGCGTGGCAAGTACTGATGTTAGAAGTAGACGTAGATGAGAGGTTGGTTGGCTCAAGAAGGAAGGAGACGAGACCATTTGTGAAAGGAAGGAATAATAGAGGATAAACTTTCTTCCATCAGGATTCATTACAGCCCGACGTATTGAGGCTTGTTGTGGAAGTCTTCTTTTAACCAGAAAGATCGTGTGAAGCCGAGGCATGTCTCTCTTGATCGTGACCGTGAAAGGCAGAAACTCTACGCACACTGCTACCCCGTCGCCTACCCCTAGAGACTGGCTGTTAAGGGATCCCTCGACATAACACCGTGTGGTCACATCATACCATCGAGATGTATAAACAATATCTCCAGATTATACATGAACACATCCGTGCAATTATTATCCAGCAACCATAACGTCACAGCACATCACTTAACATGAGCACATATACACTGTCCCCACTCCACCATCTCCCTCTCTCCCATTCAAACAAGAAAAAAACGGGAATAGCAAACATACTCTACACACAGCTCCAAACCCAGTACATCTTCCATCACCCCTGCAGCTCCTCCAAAAAAAAAGAGTTGCATCCCCTCCTCCATCCCCCTTCCTTTACTGTTTTTTTTTCCTCCACGCGTACACGCATGCATTCATACATACATACATACATAACATGCAGGACAATGTAACGATCGACTAGCCAACCTGATCTGTAGGTTCGCTCGTCTCTCCCGCATGCGTGCCGTACATGCACCTTAGCAGTCCAATCAGCGTTGCAGCGTCGCGAATGTGCACGTCGCGCGGTCGAATCGGAAGACGGTAAATCCTTGGATGGGAGGGGGGACTGGATTAATTGATCATGTACGTGGGCAGGGGTGGGCGGGGAAGGAGGATAATGTGAGTCCTTGGATGCACTGCGAGGAGGGGAGGTGAGGTGATGCGCTGTTCGTACATTGCGGGAGCCGAGGGTCGGTTTCTGGTTTTTGTGTTTGGGAGGCTTTTGAGAGATGTGGGTGCATGTGAAGTTGGTCACGTTTTTGAGAGGCTTGGAATTTTTTTGTTGGCGGAGGGGGCTGTAGGTGTTGAGGAAGGAGAGTGCGTGTTTGATGTCTTCTTTGTTGATGATGTATGAATGTACTGCTTGCCCTGCGAGAGGATTTTGTTTTTATGAGATTGTCGAAGAGCAAAATATGTTAACTCTGAGTAGCTGTCTGGGCCTCAGTATGCCTGTGAGTAATGAGATGGTGGCTGCAGTTGGGCATTTCGGCCCCATTCTCACAGGTCGTGGATGACCTTCACGCGTTCACAGTGGCAGAAGTGTCCACCCACAGTATTGTGTCGGAGGACTCTTGGAATAGAACATGGCCTTTGATCTTTGCGCTGACTTCACCTGGCAAGTGGTTTGGATCGCAGAGGTAATGGTAGCCTCAATTCCTCCAACACATTGCCTATGTTGAACAGTAGCACAGAACAAACGAGACTCAAACATGCCAACTGTCTTCATGGTCAGTCTATAATGGTCTATGGGTACAGGAAGAATCGGGTGCTCTTGGTATTCATGTCAAAGAACGGGGGGATGGAGCCTCTCTGCAAACTTCAGTCCCCCCCTGCTTCCCACAACTACACCAGGGTCACACACTACCACCCTCCCAGAAATTCCAAATCATACATGGCAGTCGCAATCGCAATCGCCACAAGGAGTCATGCTTCCTACACCAGACAAAAGCTCCATAGATCTTTCCACCCCATTCCGATGCATCTTAGCTCGGCCCCACCCGTCCATCCACTATATCACAGTTGTAGTAAGAGGGAGAGAAAAACTTGATACTACAACGACACTAGGCCAAAAGACAAGCCAGCACACCCCGGACAACGTCGGGATTCCAACAACAACCCCCTAACGTCTATCCCCAAACTGCCGAGATGTTATTCGTAATTCCTCGACCCACAGCTGCCCCTCTCCGTCTTGTCGTGAGATGAAGGGCGGTGGACACGATCTGAGCGAGCATAACCTGACATTCCCGAAATACTGCCGATGCCCTCGCCCTTGTCTGCACGAAGCTCTCACCGAACGCCGGAAACAATGGTGTGCTCGCTGATGCAAACACGTCTAGTGAAATGATGTGCATGGGCATGGGTCGCGGAGGTAAGACGGCGATGGCGACAGTGGCTGGCCGAGAGTAAGGGGTCGTTGGCGATACATCGGGCCTTTGAGAGCCTGGTTTTACTGCCCATCATATGACTATCAATGATTGACCGGTCGATAAGGATCGTACCGAATGAGGGGCCGTGAAAGAGACGGTGGAAAGTCCTTCGTTGTTGCTATCCTCTTTGCGTTGTTAAGATGCCTGGCTGTGATCTACCCGTCGTTGATCTTTCAACTCTGGCATAGTATAGTCATCCATTCGTCCAGGCTACACAAGCAGTGGATTGGAACTCGTAGATACTCTTTTCGGGAAGTGGAGATGCTTATTGACCTACGAGATGCCGTTTTATCCTGGTGTTGAGTCTATGGCCAGGAATAGTGGCGAACTTGTGCATATGTAGTGGCTGCCGAGTTGTTGGAATTACGGTCGAACGGTTCACTTGATGACCACTGACCTGAGCGACATCTCCGTGGAATAATGCCGGCGATGAAACTGCCTACAAATGAGCATTTCGAAAGGAATATGAACCCGTATTTCCTGAATTCGGTCCTGCCTACCCTCGACATGGAAGGCTACGGCTGGCAAGACTGTCATACGCTCCCTGGAAGTGGACGGGCTTTGATATATTAGCAAAAATGCACATATGATTGAATCTTAGAGAATTCGTCAGATACAGAGAGCAGGGCACCATGGAGAAATTGGGATGTTACAATGTGCCATTAATCATTACTATCGAGTGAAATGCCTTCATATAAGGTAGCAAAGCCCCCAAATGCATATCATCACGGTATCCGAACCATACTCATTACGTTACTCATCATCGTCATATACTTCCCTGTCGGCAAAAACCAAGAAAGAATCGGGATCATCATCCGATATCTGCTGCCAGACATTCTTGACTCGATCCAGGATGGAGTCCTCAAAAGCCTGGTCAAGAGGCGGGGGAGCGAAATTCAAGACATGGTCATCGAGCTTCGGCAACAGCGACGAGTCTGAACTCGCATTTTGTTGGTAGTGGACATAGTACAACAACGATGCATCTGTGTCAGTTACACTCGACAAGAGCGTGTCTGTTGCGAGGCGCAGAAGTTGCAGGCCCGGTTCACCAGACAATGCAGTAGATCCGTAGAGTACACCTGTTTGCCAATATTAGCCACTTGAAGCTTCAAAATCGGAAGGAAAGATCAAGAACATGAAGCCATAATCAGTTTGTCAGAGGATATCTTTCGTCAATGTAATTCAGACAATGTAGATAAGTATTCAAAAAATCAATCATCATGTTGGCTGCAGACCTGTAAAAAGAAAAGAAAAAAAGAAGAACTTACTCTGACCGCGAGGGCATTCCCCAGTGTCACTGGAGTGGACATGTATGTAAACAGGAGGCAATTCTTCGACGCTGTCTTCTGGCTGAGCCATAGACAGCGAGCCAGATGGGAAGAAAACAACAGCTGTTGCGGGAGGCGGAGCCTCATCGGCGATAGGTGGGAATAGTGAGGCGAGCGGAGAGGATGCAACAGCAATTGACCTGCAAAGAAGCTCATCACCTTGCTCTTTCGAGCTTTCGCCGACCACCCAGCGAGTGGTGACCACTTCGCCATCCTTTAAGCGGATGCTGATTGAATCACTGTTCCCAGTGGACTCAGATGACGTGCTTGCATTATCTCCAAGGCTTTTGCCGAGAACATACACAGCACCGCCAACGGCAGAAGCGCGACATCCAACCTGGCTGACTTCCGACAAACCACCCCACTTGGGGATGATTGCGCCAAATCCAGCGCCGAGCGCCCCAATAGAACGCAAATGTCTTGCTACTCGCGGAAGCGCGTATTCTGTGGCCGTGGAACTCGGACTTGAGCTCGAAAGCGAAAGCGCGAGGAAAGGTGCCTGCAAGCGAGACGTAATCTTGAACTGCTCGGACAGAAACACAGCGAAAGGCTTCGCTCGATAGGCTTCCCATGTCTCAGTCTGCTCTTCGTACTCGACGATGAAGCGAAGGAATTTCATCAGCGCACGCTTGGCCTTGAAATCAAGATCGTGGTCTTGAAAGACGTCTTCGCGGCCATTCGGCACCTTGAGAAGCTTTCCGGTTTGCGTGGGCTCTCCGAAAGATGTTGTAGATGCGTCATGATCCGTTTCCGAAGTGTATACCCACCAACTACCAACGGCCATAAACTCTAACTGCCGATACACCCTCGATGAGATGAGGTATTTGATCAGAGCGGAGCGAGCATATATGATTTGAGGACTGAGTGCCAAACTATACGCTCTCGACGGCGACAAAGACGCTGTAGCCGAGGCAGGCGCCGGCCTCTGGAAAGTAGCAAGCGAGAAAGCAGCAGAATCACCTGCTCTGACCTTTGCTACCCAGTTCTCGGCCTCTTGTAGGCTGAATGCAGCCTCGGCGCCGCCATAGTAGTCGTTCTCATCGATGTGAAGGATTTTCTTATCGGAGCGCGACAAGGCTCTTCATGTGCTGCGTCAGTCAGATTGCGTCGTGCATGAGATAGATAGGTGAGAACTCACAAGGCGAGCAGAGACTGCTGTAGGCCTGTACCTACTATGAGGACGTCCCACTCCGTTTTGTCGAGAGTGTCCATGGCAGGTCGAAAAGAGGAAGATGAAGTTGAGCGGAAGAACCTAACGCCCGCCTAGCGATTAGCGGGCTGACTAAGCGTCCGTGCGAGCCGCCCTTGCAAAAGTTCTCTGAGTTTTCCCACTCCTCTTCCTCACCAACGCGCTGCTGAGGACGATTCTTGATGTGTGGGATTGTGCGGAAGGCACCGAAGCTTCACTGTTTCTGGATGCGCGCGTAAGAAGGAAACTCGTCCGGTATCTACCGCTAAGGATTTTATCTGAATTAGCGGCTCGAATGTGGCGATACATCTATTCATCTGATATGTTGATAATTGCGAGTTGTAACATGGTGTCTCATACATCATCACCCATTGCGACAATCAGATATCGACCTGTTGAATTTCTAGGTCGTGAAGGAGTCACTGCCCCGGAGATTTCCTAAGATATTAGGTGAAATCCCACAGTGCCTACAGTTCTGGCCTGTATCTTTTGTCTATCCAGGCTGTTTAGATGTCGAATGTATAGAAAGAAAAGACTAGATAGCCGCCATAAAGGCAATACAGATGATGAAGTGGGAGAATCAAGAGCGAATGCTTAAGAGAACCCGACCCTTCCAGGACCGATAACACTAACAGAGGATGCGATTCTTTCGTTCATTCGACTCAACTCGCCATACAGTATTATCGACAATGTTGAACGTGTGAGTCCCTTGGCGAGGTGTAAAAGTCACAGCTGTTCTTAGGTTACCCTGAAAGCAACTGGAGGGCTTTTACTGAAGTCTGCGAGCTCTTCAGCGTAGACATGTCAACCGATGCCGAGGTTGCTGTTCGTCGTAAATTGGCTCAGACCTCGCTACTGCGGGCCGAAGTCTGACAAGCTTGACCCCACACAGTGCAGATTCATCTACGGCGTCACAGCAAAACTGGCTCAGCACTCATGCTTCGATAATGCACTGTGCTATATATACACGCTCACAGCCAAGACCTCCATCAATCAACACCATCCGCTTCAGAGCGATCAATCTTCGATGGTCTAGTGGTCATGATTTCCGCTTGTCAATCCGCAATGGATAACAAGCGCGGGAGACCGGGGTTCGATTCCCCGTCGGAGAGTTCTCTTTTTGCTCTATCTTTTGTTTTGTGTGTAGGGAGCTGGGGTGGCAGTGGAAAGTGAGGGATGATGATCATGTGGCACCAAATACGACCAATACCGCCGTTTACTCTACAATCACAGATGGTCTACATGCCCCATGGGAGGTTCCGTGATAGCTTTTTTGTAATTCTAAGAATCGTCGCGTAACACGACCTACGTGCTGGGTAATATCGAAAAGCTCGCAGATTCACAGATCATATGATATCACGGTGCCCAGATGCTCAGATATCAACTGGTTTCATCAACGATGGAAACTTCGCACATACAGTCTACGACTTTCCAAGAAATAATTTTGGAAGTTTGACTAGGTCATCCAGTAGACCGGCAATTATTCTAAGTAGAGGCTCTCATATATTTGCATGAACGAACAAGACCAAAATGTGATATGGAAATAATTGCTTGACTATTGGCAATCGTATATACATGACAATAGGGGTAAATATATTCCAGGACACTCTGATACATGTTGAGTGGCAATTTTAGTAGTCCCTCGCCAACCATCACTATAAGATAACCAATGGTATTCATTGTTTGCATCACACTGTTCAGTCTGTGTATTTTCTGTGGTCGAGCGGCAATTGTTTGAACATAGCCGCTTCGGTTGTTGCTCTCAGAATCCGGCGTCTTCGGTGAATGCTACTCGTTTACCTACCAGTGCAACTGCCTGACTGTTTCTTTGCTTAGTGTTTGCGATACCTCGATTTCTGCTGCAGGGCTTGAAGATGGCCCGTCTTAGACGGTATCCTTTATCATAGGTAGTCAATTTTGGTATGCGTTTCGTATTATGTTCCTATGTGTTGGTGGATTTAGCTGGAGAAAGAAGATGAAGACTAGCTCGATGAGTGAGCAGGCAGCAGGAGAATATCCCCTCTTACCGAACAGCTACGTTAACATTACTTTGTCCCAAATCACCTCCACCTTTATTACAGCTATCTCACTCTACCATTTTCACTGCAAAATGTTGAAGTCACTACCACCTTGCTCGAATGTACATGACTTACTCGCTGGATCACATCCAGCAAGGTAACTATAGCTGTTCGGGATTTGCGTTGCTTATTGTACAAGTGCAAGAGTAGTTCTCCGGAAGCGGCGCATTACTATTCTACGGCGTGGTGGGCCCGCGTTCCATTGGATCACACGTCTAAGATATCCGTTTCGTCGACATGGTTCCCAACAGCCATCATATAAACACTATAAACACCCCGGCGGATGTTATGCTGACCCCACATCCCCACCAAACGACATGTATATAGGTCCGAGCACATCTCTAACATGCACAAGAAATTCGAATCAAGTCATACTTTCATTCCTTGTGTCAAGTGTTACCGTTCTTCAGATTCGCAATCATGTTGAAGATACGAGCGGTCTTTGCACTTCTAGTCCCAGTGACACACGCATTGCTGCGATTTTCATGCTCGCAGCTCGTCGTAGAGCGCGCCGATCCCCTCGTCAATCCCGGTGTGTTGCAATCACCACACGTACATCAGATAATCGGTATACACTCATTACCCGGGTTCTTTCCAGAGTATAGGACACTGACACTGAAATGGCAAAAGGTGGAAATTCATTCAATACGACCATGGATCCAACTCTTGCGCCAGCCGACCAAGCTACGTGTACGACGTGCACGTTCGCGGAAGATTTCAGGTAGGTGTTTGGTTGTGACAGGCAAGATTGAATTGTGGACGACAACTGAGCAAGGTATCCAGCAATTACTGGACCGCGGTGTTGTATTTTCGAGCTCGCAACGGCACGTTCAAGCGTGTACCACAGAAGGGTAATGTAGGGTTCGAGGCAAGTAAAGGAGGCATGACGGTATACTACACACCCACTCTCGCAAGTGGCGCAGCCAAAGGTGGAGTCACGGCCTTCAAGAAAGGATTTAGGATGATCGTTGGTACGTAGCAATCTACGACCCGAGTACAACACCGGAGACTAATTGATAAAGGCAATCCCACATACCGAACCGAAGCACAAGCGAAACAATTTCGACAACTGACATATACATGTCTGAAAAACATGAACACCCGTACCGACGAAACACTTGACTTTCCGAAGAAACCATGTACAGCGGGTATAATGGTCAATGTCAGGTTCCCCACCTGTTGGGATGGGAAAAATCTGGACAGTCCAGACCACATGGCTCATGTGGCATACCGTAAGCACTCTTTCCCTGAGCTGCATGCTAGTAGTAGTGGACATATTGTTGAATCTTTGATAGCGAGCTCCGGGACTTTCGAGAACAATGGGCCGTGTCCGAGCACGCACCCAGTCAAACTACCTCAACTTTTCTTCGAGACAATATTTGCGACGGAGAAGTTTGCGGATCAGAGCTTGTGGCCGACCGATGGGAGCCAGCCCTTCGTGTGGTCATTTGGAGACGCGTAAGCCGACCTGAGCAGCTAATTCAGATATAAAATGCTAATCAGCGCTTAGTACCGGATATGGGAACCACGGTGATTATGTGCGTGCACTCCCACTTGGTTTTCGTTTGGGATAGAGCAAGACTGACTGATTGCACAGGTGTTTGGATGGAAAGGTGATTCGCTACAGAAGGCTATGGACTCGAACTGTAACATCAATTGCCCGCAGCTCAAAACGCAGAGCATTGATGTCGGCAACAAATGTGCACAGGCTCAGAAAGTCACAGAAGATGTAGACGGATGGGTGCCGGAATTACCCGGAGGCATGCCTATGTCTTGAGCAGTTACCCGCTATCCTTTCTGTCACTGTAGAGACGCTCTGCAATGGTGGTGATGTAGTTGACTGAGTAAGTAGCTACATATTCTGATGATGCCTGAGGCCTATATGTCCTATGAGCCCGTGCTCCCGGTGGGTCGCGTGTGCCCATATCCTCTTCCGCTAGACCTGTGCCATGACTCAACACCACAACAAAAAAAAACATACAACAGCAGGTATTCGCCAGTGGTCACCCACCTGACTACTAATCCGCCGGTAACTTGCTTAAATAGGGCTGAGCGGACGGGAAGCCTTGTTCTCAAGTTCCTATGGTCGTATGTATTGATCACTCTGAATTTGGGGTTATTTGACACAACATACACATTGAATGCCTGCTATCTGCATGTTTGGTGGCCACGACAGAGCTACAAACTTTTCGAAACTTCTCTAGTTCCCAAAAGATCTAGTGGCTGCTCTGGCTCTACATGCTTGTTTGATGATTGAATAACTTTGGCTTCGAAATACCTTTACACTTTGTTCCGACATGACGGGCTCGTTTTGTAAGCGTAGAAACTTTATAGCTCATGAGCATGAAGAATCGCAAGAGTCATACTAGCCTTGTATCTTCCTACATATGTATTAGTAGGCTTAATGAATTCAAGAGTTCACCGTAATTCATCTTCGTCGCTACTGTGGTCTTATGTGTTTGGTCCGGCTTTTCTCTCTCCCGGATGTTGGCAACGGAGCCAGTCTTCTCGCCTCTTTCCCTTTCTTCTTCACAGGCACAGCAAGCGCTGAGAGATTGACAAACTAATGGAAATTATATAAAACCTGCGGAAACCGAATGCTTAAGAGGATATTCGAGTCTCGCTGTACTTTTTTTCAATATCTCAGTCATGAGGTGTGGCGACCCTGCGATCTGCTGCATAGCCGCGTCTGTCTCGACCTCACGCCTTCCTTCTTATAGTTAATATAGTTAATAAGGACTCAACACCCAACTGCACACTATTAGGTCTCAATCACCCAATCACCCAATGATTCAATCTCACTGTCAAAAATTCAGTACTTGGGTTTATAGAAGCTGCGGAGTTAATACAAACACAGTTCTTTCAATCATGCAGAAACAGTAACCTTATCCCAGCAATACAGCCCCAAAACCCCCAAACCCCAACACTTCCTCCCTCCTAGCCCTAAACCTCATGTACACGCCAACTCAACCTACACCACATATACCATACCCTCTCCAACAAGCCCTCAGTTCCAATTCAATGGCAGCGGCAGCACCCTCCTCCCCCACCACATGACCCGCTACATCTATCCCTCCAACCTACACTACCACGCATCGCAACTCGTGCTGCAGCTCCCATCCGACTCTGTGAACCGAGTACAACTCCCAGGGCGAAGGATCATGGGGTGTTGATGGATACAATTTCCTAATTGCCATTCCTACATCTGATCCGCCACCCACACGGTCCCAATTCGAAACCGAAGTTGTAAGGCAATAGAGAAAGATTCACAAATCGAAGAATACGTTAGAACAATGGTGCTAGAGAATATTTTGAAGCAGGAGCTGCGGAAACTACCCTCTACGCAGAAGTTATACAACACGCACAGGTTGATTCGTCATTTGAAGACAGTTGCTGAGCAAGTGCTGCAACCTGCCAGCGTAGGTGACACGGAGGATCGATTGGAGAATCCGCCATTGCCGGCGGGTTTTATTCATTATAAGAGAGTTTTCTGTGTGAGTGGACGGCCCGTGGGTGCTTTTTGAGTTCGCTGGGGAAGGTGGATATTTTGACGTTTATGCGGAGAATGATATATGAGAGCGATGCGTGGTGGAAGGATGAACGAGAAGTTTTTTCCCTCGTGTGAAGCATTGTAAGCTGTTGCAGCTAAAATGGTTGATACCTCACGCATTCCGCCTTTTGGATATTAACAAGAAGCGCGCATGGTTTATGCTTATACATCACTTATATAGTCTCGACTCGTTCGTGTGCATTTCGCTTCTTTGATACCCAGGTTTGATTCGTTTCTATCTAACATAAATACAGAAAAAACTCGGTTTTTTGGCCCATTGATTTGATTCACCTCGCCGCCCGTACAATTGGAACCTGCCCGGGTGGCTTGGTGAATCAATCGTGGCGCCCAGTTCGAACCCAGCTCTGCTCTTCGACATTCCTTATTCGACACTCCTTATTCAACATTCGACCGCAGTTCTCAGTCTCCCAGCTCCCGAGCTCGAGCTGCGCTCATCGCCGATATCCAGCTCTCCTCGACTTTGTCCCTTATTCGACTTCCCCCATTGATTTGATTCACCAAACCACCCGGCCAGCTTCCAATTGTACGGGCGGCGAGGTGATCAATCGTGGCGTCCAGTTGGAGCCCAGCTCTCTTTTATTTTTATTTTTTTAAATTTTTTTTGGGTTTGTTTTTGTGATACCCCATTGCCCCACTACTTTCCATTCGTAATCGTCCCTTTTTCTTGATTCGAAACGGAAGATTTCCATAAGAAAAGAACAAACAATCAGTACACCTTTACACAAACACACCAGATACTTGGCCGCCACCAACGTATCGTGTGTTTGTGTTGCAGCGATCCGATCGATCATTCATAAACAATCAGTACACCTTTACACACATACAATACTTAGCTTGCACCTAAGGTATTGTGTGTGTGTTCCAGCGATCCGATCGATCATTCATATACCCTTCTTGGAAGAAAACAAACAATCAGGGCACCTTTACATACACATGATACTTGGCTGCCACCTGGGTATCGTGTGTGTGTTCCAGTGCTCCGATCGATCGATCCCCCTAACTTGACGAGTCTCTGATAATGCATACACCTTTACACACACACGTACGTTACTTGGCTGCAACCTAGGTATCGTGTGTGTGTGTGTTCAAGTGACCCATGGTATACATATGTACACCCTTCCTTTTTTTAATTGCACTTGCCCCACTTGGGCTGGCACCAGTTAGCAGCGCCGCAGAAGTCCTCCGACTTGCCACAGAAGTTGCTACCAGAGCAGCACAGCCCATCGCCGCACTTGCGGTTGACAATTGGCCCGCAATCCTCGCCCTCTCCAGCGACGCCGGATCCTTCGGTTGGCTGCGCAGGAGCGGGCTGGGAATCGCACTTGCCGAACCCGGCCTGGCATCCGTCACCGCAGTAGAGGCTTTGGTCCTGGATGTCGTTCTTGGGGCCGCAGTGACCGGCCGAGGAGCAGCAGCGGTAGAAGTAGCCATTTGCGCCGGCACCGGGGCAGGTCACGCCGCCTTGGGCGGAGCCGCAGACGTCGATTTCAGGGACCTCGCTGGGGAAGATGGGGGATGTCGGGGCTGGTTTGGTGGTGGTGGCTGCGGCTTTGGTGATGAGGGTGGAGCTTGGGGTGGAGCATTTGGATCCGGCTCCCGAGAAGGATTTGAGGCAGTTCTCCGGGTTACAGTGGTCGGGGGTGGTGTCGCACTGTTTTTTATTTTGTTAGAAAGAGAATATTTTGGGTCAAGTTGAGGGTGGCTAGTCTACTTACCCATCCGTACTGGCTACAGCATTTCCCAGTGTCGCAGACTTGGTTGTTGTATTGAGGGCCGCAGTTTTGGGCCACGGCCAACGAGGCCAACGACAGTGTAGCGGCGATGGAGAAACGCATGGTGAACGTTGATTAGGTGATATATATTCGATGAGTAAATGCGGTAGTTAGTATCGAAGATTATTAAAAAGAGTATAAATGATACTGGAAACCCGAGAAAATAAAAAAAGAGACGAACGAATGTAGGTAGTGGGTGAAGAAAAGAAAACAGTATTGCGGGAACGTACGCTCTTCTTATGTACAGACGTAGCTCCACCCAGCATGCAGAACAACATCCCAATAATCGCCCGAGCGCACCATGTATCCCGGCTCGGGCAGTCAGAAAGCAACCAGCACTGTCATAAAACCCTCTCAAAATTGGGGTTTGGGTGTAGTGGTCCGCAAATTCAAAGTTTCGCTGACCAACACGATTCAAGCCCTAGTTAGGCGTTGTTGTTCCCCATTGTCAAATGTGGTAGATCTAACCCTGACAGGTAACGTTTTACCTAGGATCAGGGGCCGAGAAGCGCCGGAATGCTGTAGTGCTGAACAGAAATAAACATAATTATGCCGCGTTACCGTTGCCAATATACAGTAAGGCGAGAAAAACGTGTTTGGCGCGAGGTGACAGTTGTGGAAGTGATCATGGCGGCGTTGGTGTTCATAGCCTTACAAGCTTTTTGGGACAAGCGCAATTTCCTCGAAGCTTATAGCCTTGTTTCGAAGAATGGAATATTGTTTGGCGACCAATCAGGGGACAGAGCATTGATCCCCTGTGTCTGATCAACGATTGCTGCGCAGGGAAGAAGCTTCGAGGTGCTGAGCTTAGTGTTCGTACGGCACATGGCTTTATTCTGGAAGGTAATGGTATTGGTTGGGTTGATGCACGATTTGTCATGCCTTGGTGGAAGCGAGGCTTGGGGTACTATTGAAAGGTAGAATCAGTTCGATTCAGTGTAGTCAAGTTGGTTGGTTGCTGTTCGAAGATTTTTCCGTGAGGCCCTCATTCACTAATTCGTCTTTATGCTTATTGCATGAATGGAAACCCCTCTCATGTCGACGAACACCTAGTTGAATCAACTTCCAGTATGCACGATCGCGTCTCCGATTCATCGATCTATCAAGAAGACGACTCCAGGACAACTCCGCTGCGAATGCAGAATGAATGGACTGCACGGCAGTAAAGTGAGGACGGTACTGACGTTTTTGTTCAATTGGAAGTTGAAGTGTTTCCTACACTCAAAAGGCTGATAAACTAAGGTGATAAAAAATCTGTACTGGCAGATGCAGATTCAACTGTTGATCTATCCAGCTCTAGCTCGGCGTCATGTCAGTGGAAAGCAACCACGACATCTTTTGCTACGTCTGGCCCGAGGCATGCAACCAATTCGGCAATGATACCCTTCAATGACTTTGGATCTTTGACATCGCCACTTTCCCATGCCATCAAGTCCTGTTCCCATGTCAACAGAAGTTTCTGAGTAGTTCGAACAATGAGAAAGACACACCTCGGCCTCAAACATCTGACCCCTGGCTGTGATGCGTTGTTGATCCAGCGGATACTCTTCGCTGACCTCCTCAGCTGTCATAACACCAGGCATCTTGAGATCAAAAAGTGACTCGCCACTCGCCACAGCATCGCCAGCAGCAGCAGCTGTTTGTAGAGGATAGTCGGAGTAATCGTCATCTTCTGGGATATGTTCCGCAGAGTCTTCCCCATCGATATCCGGTTTCAATGTATTCATCACTTTTCGTCGACGTTCTCGCGACAGCGAAACGTAGCGTTTCCTGTCGAGCAAAGACCTGAGCTCACCTTCTAGGGGATTCCACTCGAACGATTCGGGATCGAGAATATGCTGAGGCCTATACTCGCCCTTGTACCTCATCTTTGGGCAAGAGTGAATATAGTAGCCCATGTAATAGTACTGGTAGCCTCCTTCCAGAGTGAAGGTCGCCTCTCTTACAGCGCTCATCTTACCGAAATTGTACATTTCGTAATCTGAATGATATAGGAAGTAAACACCACTGACGCAGTGTGGCAGGAGATCAAGGACACCCATGGCAATCAGCCGACCATCCAATCTATAGCATTGGTGGTATGAGCCGAGCTTTTGCTCTCTGCCATTCACTTGAGCAGTAGTGCGTTTCAATGGAGAGCCACATAGGAATCGTTTAAAGCCAGACTCGGATATCTGCGAGGGCTTCTCGTGGTGCACATGCTGCTGGTAGTTATGGAAGAGGTCATATTTCTCCTTGGTGTAATTGTCTGGTTCAAGAGTGACTTCAAAACGATGCGCGGGTTCTGGTGGGCGTTTCAAGGTTGGGTATTCGCAGCCATGAATGGCACCAGCAATGTCAAAGGTATTGCGTTCCTTCGCCTTCTCCCTGCTGATTTTAGAGGGGATTGCTGGGTTGACTCCAATACGCTAATCCACTCACTCTTTGGACTTTGGATGCAAGATGGCAGCTTTCTTGATATAGTCTTCTCCCAGAACAAATTTGTTCCACCGGTTAATTGCCTGACGGTGATGCTTGCTGGGAGTGAAGGATGCTACTGGTAAGCTGGTGGACAATTAGCCAGGCAGATTGCAGAGTGAGGTGACAGCTGTAGAACGGACCGGATAGTATAGTGTGGACAGCAATGGCGTAGCACATCAGGCTTGTAGAAGACAGTGCCGGATCTATGTTTCCGTTCCAGGCCATTAGCACCGTCTATTTCTGGGGCAATGACGCGCAGATGGGTCGGTCGACACTTACCGCCTCCAACCGCGATCTACCAAACCCTGATAGACGTGGACGGTCAAGGATTGCGAAGAGAAATAGTAGCTAGCCCCTGCTTACGTAATCGAGTTAGTCGATGGTCGAGGAGCATGTTCACCGCTCCCCTCACTACAGGTCCCGGAAGTTCCCGGTCGAGGGGTTGGTGCAAGGTGAGAAAAGTGATGTTGAAGTTGGCGACACGAGGGCAGCAATGCATCGTCGCGGGTGTGTATCAAGCAGTCATTGGCGACTGGGGTTGAGGGGAAGGGTGTGCACGAAGGTTGATGCTCGGCAGATATTGGCTTTTTGCGGAAAGACTGAATCACAGCACAGGGCCGGAGAGACGACGACCGAGGATTGGGAGCCTGGGAAACCGACATGTCGAGTTGCGCCATGGCCGGCGGTCGGGAGATGCAGATGCACAAGTGGAATGGGTGGACGCAGGGTAGAGTAGAGTGGGTTCCTTGGACTTACTGGATTTGGGGGAACGACGGCCAGTGGAAGCATCTTTGCAGTAGCCGCAGCTAAGGCGGGCGGGTTTAGCATGGCGAGCAAATATGGAGGCAAAGGGGGCGAGAGCGAGCAGGTAGGAAGAAGGTACCTCTCACTGGAGTAGCCTGCACACGGGGACGTATCAGTTTGTTGCTGTGTGGAGGGTGAAGGAAGAGTCTTCACGGGATGGATGCAGGGCAGGAGAGGGCGGCGAGGAGGGCTGGTATCCAGCCAGGCGAGCACGCGGGGCAGGTGAGCCCGGTGGTTGGAGCAATCGTACCAAAAGGCGTCACAAGGGAGTCCTGCATGCCGGCGACAGCATAAGCGCGGGAGGTGTTTTGTCGGTGGGGGTTGCTGTCCGTATGGAGGTTGGTGGTGGGCACAAGCAGCAGCCAGGCGGGACAGCGTCAGAACGGGGCGAGGCGGGGGAGACGGGAGAAGATGGGATGGGATGAGAAGAGAAGAGAAGAGAAGAAGAGACTGAGAGAGAGAGAGAGAGACTCGAGACGAATCGAAGAGTGGTGCTGTCTGGAGGTGTTGATGCTGATGCTGATGCTGCGAGGTCTTGTCTGACAGTGTTGAATGACATACATGTGTAGTGGGGGTGCCTGGCGATTGATGATGGTGATGAGGGGTGAGAGAGGGGCACGATGAGCTGGTAGTGGGAAGAGGGAGCACAGCGCCGACAGGGCAACCAGACGGCCAACATACGGCAGCTCTCGATACCCTCACGGGGGCTCACACGCAGCTGCTACTGGGTGTTTTCCCATGTTGTTTGCAGGCAGTCATGGCCATGTGCATTCAATGCTTGCAGCAGCCCACGTCATGGCTCTTCGTAAACATCGCTGCCATCTCGCGTGCCCCGACTACAAGTCGATACAATTGTATTGCATGCTAGGTACGCATGTAGGTGTGTATCGAATTGACTGATTGACTGTTGTTCTAACCAAGTGCTCGTCATGCTGCTTGTCTATACTAACTACCTAGGTATATGTACATATATCTGTCTATGTACCTGGTGGCTCTAGGAATATATCCGGGCGGCGCAAACCCAAGTCATTCGCGTTAGCCGCATCCAACAAATAAACACACGGCAAGGAGTCATTCATTGTTCGACCCATTCACATCATCATCATACATACATGCACACATGTCAATGTCGCCCTGATGGTGGTGGTGGTGGTGGTGGTGGTTGTAACTATACGCGGCCCCTGCTGCTTTGCACGCTCGCTGGGGGAGGGTTGTTCGTTGGTCGATGGTTGGATGCTTGCTGCAGCCAGCTTGGCGCGTCTAGCTAGTCACCCACATTTTTTCCCCTACGGACCAAATCATCTAAAACACATACACAATCCACGATGCCCGCCGAATTCTCCTTGCGCAGGTCTCTCCAGCATCCTCAGCCCCGTCCCCCGCGGGACTGAGCGCTACCACACTTATATCCATCGCTGCTTGCCCGCCCATCCACCTCTGCCGGCCCACGACACAATCCCGTGTGCTGCTTCCCACCCATCCGCCTTCCTTGCCTCTCTACATACATAGTCTCTCCTCCGCCTTCGCCCAGTGAGTGAATGCAATCCCAGACTCCCCCGCTCCGTTCGGGCCACAGTACTTATTAATTCCTGTCCAGCGACTGCTACACGAACCAAAGTCGTACCCCCCCGAGCAACCTCTTCCCACCTCATCTCCGCGACCAACTCCTTCGACCCTCTCATCTTGCTCCCGCCTGCTTTTCTCTCGCTTCCGGCTCCACCCACGCCCGAGGTACTTCGCTATTGTCTCCATCAACATGGCTGCCACTCAGCAACTACCCATGCAATCTCGCACCGGCCGCACCAACCAGCGTGAGTCGCACCTCTCTGTCTCCTGCGCCCTCCTGCTATTTTTCCCATTTCATTTTTACAAGCCTCACCCGCCTAACGCGCTTTGCAGGGTATGGCCCCCAGGGCGAGCGTCTTGTCGCAGGAATTGTTCCGCTTTCCGCCGACAAATACTACGTTCTTCTCATCCAGTCCACACGCCGCGGCGGCTGGGTCCTCCCCAAAGGCGGATGGGAAACCGACGAAGCAACGGCCCAGGATGCCGCCAAGCGCGAGGCTTGGGAGGAAGCCGGCATTATAGTCAAAGTCAACTACGACCTCGGCCTCATCCCCGAGCGGCGGAGACCTGATCAGCTTACCGCCCAAGCCCCCAAAGCATCGTACCACTTCTTCGAAGCCACCGTTGAGAAGCAGGAGGTCAGCTGGCCCGAGATGCACAAGCGCTCGCGCCAATGGTTCACCTATTCGCAAGCGAAACAGGCCTTGGGCGAGCGGCCGGAATTGATTGATGCTTTGGAGCGCTGTACCATGAACCGCGCCTAGACCTACCCGATGGTCGCGAACCACACACATTCACACACATACACGCATGCAGTGGTTTACAAATCCGGTCGAGCTCATCATGACTAGACGGCGTCTACGGAGGACGCATTGACATACCCAGTGGAAAAAGCTTTTCCTTTCCTCGTAATGCATACGGCAGGGCCCCAAAAAGCGTGGCAGGTTATAGACATCATCAGTCTCACCTTTCTTCTTTTTCTTTTTCATTCTTCTCTTCATTTGATTTTTTTGGATTTTTTTTGGCTCCCCGTGTCATTTGTACACCCCTGGTAGACGGCTCTCCACTGCAGAAGGGAGGAGCCCTGAGTTGAGCCAATTGCGCTCGCATAATGCAATCCACTGGTGCCAAGATGCTCCATTCTTCACATTGATGACTGATGTGGAACTGGCTTCACTTGTTTCCGCGAAGCTACTATTAAGACGCTGGATGTTCCACATTCCGCTATTGTGGTTTCGGAGGAGACTGAGAAGACTCAGTGTGCCACTCCCCACAAAAAAGCATTTCGCAGCCAGCTCTTCGATATCACCATTCTGCACATTTGTGTGTATCATGAGAATCTTCATAACATTACAGTCCAGCCCGCAGGTTGACCAAAAGAGGCTCCGTCTACCAACTAACTCCCACCTGATCCACCCGACTCAGCAGACTCGGCAGAAGATTCAGAAGACACAGACTCGGCGTCACTACCGTGTTCCTCCTCTTCATGACCACCACCTCCGTGGCCGCCGCCGCCATGGCCGCCGCCTCCATGGCCCCCACCATGGCCACCTCCGTGACCCTTGTCCTTTTTCTTCTCTTTGAATCCCAACTGCTTCATCATCTTCTTCTCCAAGAACTTGAACGCCTTGTCACCCATGGATTTCTCCTTCTTCTCTCCCTTCTCGCCCTTCTCCTTGTCTCCTTTGTCTCCCTTCTCCTTGTCGCCCTTGTCCTTATCCTTCTTCTTATCGCCGTCGTCGAGGCCGAGCATACCTAGGAAACTAGGTTCTTTGCCTTTCTTCTTGTCATCGGATCCGAACATACTGAACAACCCACGATCTACCTCCTTGTCCTCTTTATCTTTCTTGTCTTCTTTCCCTTCTTTCCCTTCCTTGTCCTTATCCTTCTCTTTTTCCTTTTCCTTCTCGGGTTCAGGATTATGCGGGGGCGGTGGACCCCCATAGTATGCGCCTGCGGCACCACCAGGGACGCCGCCTGGAGCATTCGGATCGTGGAACTGCTGCTGCGGAGGTGGATACTGCTGATCGTGCTGAGGTGGTGGGTATCCGCCAGCGTTGTATGGTGGATACTGTCCTCCAGGTGGGCCGTACGATTGCTGCGGCGGGTATTGGCCGTATGGTGGTTGCTGGCCGTAGGGTTGCTGCTGTGGAGGGTATTGACCGTAGGGTTGCTGTGGTGGCGGGCCTCCGCCGCCGTAAAAATCGTTGGATGACATGGCGTAGAGGGAAGCGCGCTCTGATATTGATTTGCGCCTTCTTTTGGTGGTAGGTATTGGAAGCAGGTAAGAGTGAAGATAACCAAGTTTTGTAGTTCCGCGAGTTCGCAAGAGGTGGCGGGGAGTGTAAACAACAAGGTGAGGAGATTATGTAGGTTGGTGGCGAGACGGGGTTTCAAGCAAGTAAGAGCACGCAACGCAACGCCGGGTTATGCGAGCGAGAGAGAAATCAGCTCCCACTTAAATACTCCTGCCTTCCTTGCCAAAGTGCTAGAGCAATTGCTGTCCCGCATGCGCGCGCTGTCCTTGTCAGGCACCAACCAACTAAACCACCTTCAACTGGCCCCCACCAATCCTATTTGATTAATTCGCCATAGCATAGTGTCAATCCTCTCTCACTTGCCCCACCGCCTCTTCCAAAGTCCGATGGGCGAGGATAATCAAAACATCAAAAGGTGAGCCCTATCCATCGCAAGAGGAATAACCGCGACGACCGCTGCATGGGTTCGGGATCCGGTTTGCGTGGGTTGGGACCAATCAGTACGGCTCTCGACGCGGATCAACTGAGTCAAGACTCGTCATCGTTTCGTTGTTGCGGGTAGGTTTACGAACACGAGATCTATCTGAGTGGCGCGAGGGGAGAATCTGACTGAGCTTCTTCCCACTATTCTTCTCTCTCGAGGCGGGGAGGGGGGCCAAGGCAAGCAGCAGCCCTGAGAAAGTCTATGTGTCCATGCTGCACGATGGACCCTCTCTCCCCTACTCGTCTTCAAAACTGTGGCTTGTTTGACGACAGTGGGGGGGAGGGGGTTTTCTGCACCACGCACAGGCACACACTCGCTTTCTGTGGCGTTGGCCAAAGAGGATTCGCCGGCGGCTCTTGGGGCTCGAATTCTCCCGGTCCAGTCCAGACGTGTCCTTGTTGAGAGGTTCCCGAAGGTATCAAGCCACACTGCGTGGCTGATGAAGTGAGGCTCAGTCGAAACGATGCATCATCCGAATTGGTGACCTTTGGCGATGATTCTCCACGCTCGAAAGACATGTTATGTGATATGGAGACTGGCCCGATGGGATTAGTATGATAGATATGTTATTTGAGAGAGAGAGGAAATGTGGGTGTAAGAGGCAGGTTTGCGTTTTTTTACTCACGTTTGGAGGGTTCAGTGCGGTGATAGACTTGTGAATTGGGGAAGTGATGTGTAGGATGTCATTCTTGGTTGATCGAGGGGCTCGGATCTGGGTAGCATTGAACTTGGTGGATGGATTGAGGAATTCGGCCTGTTGATGAAGTGGTTTTAGAGTGCTGCAGCATTGCATCTTCTAATGTGTTGGAGCACAGTTAGCGTACCGTCTGGGCCTAGTGCATCTTTCCATCGAGGCATAATACATTCTTCCAACCATGCTGCAGAATTCTTTCTTAGTTGCATGCGAATTATGGTCAAGCTTGGTATGCTATAGCTGCATCTAAGTGGTTTAAGATTTTATTGGTCTTGTTGCAGATTTGTTCTGGACAAGATCGGTGTAGCATGATGGAATGATCGGTCTCGGCTCGGAGAAACCTGTTCGGCGAGTACCATCCCTAGTTCAACATTATTCTCGAGGCTGCTCCCCTCCATAAGCTTGTAGAAACAATTACAACCTCGGCTTCATCCGCATTCCCACCATGGCTTCTATCACGCTTGTTGTACGCCCTCGAGGTATGTATTGATACGAGTTCTAGTCAATTGATGCGGTACAAAGTCTCACATGCTACATCTTAGGTCGCCCCATCAAGGGTCTGCCCGAATCCATCACCGTGAATCCGGACGAGTCGGCTGCACAGATCTTCTCCGAGATTGCGGATGCTTCAAAGTTTTCGATTCACCGCCTGAGAGTGACAAAGGGTAGCGATGGAACGCCAATCTCCAACAACTGTGATATCACGGTGCAGCAAACTGGGCTCCGCAACAAAAGCGCGATTGATGTGAAGGATCTGGGTATGTTTCCTCCCTACCCCTATCTCATCCAACTACTCCAAAACTGACAGCATGTTTAGGTCCTCAAATCTCCTGGCGAACTGTCTTCGTCATCGAGTACCTCGGACCGCTCCTCTTCCACCCAATCTTCTACTACGGCCGCTCCCTCATCTACGGTACTTCCGCACCAGCATCCGATCTCCAAACCCTCACGATGATAATGTGTGTCCTCCACTTTGCGAAACGTGAATTCGAAACTCTCTTCATCCACCGCTTCTCCGCCGCTACTATGCCCGCAAGGAACATCTTCAAAAACAGTGCACACTACTGGTTCCTCTCTGGCCTCAACCTCGCGTACTGGTCATACAGCCCCTCATCACCAGCCGCACAGACTCCAAAGTCCCCGCTATTGACGTACCTCGGCATCGCACTGTTCGCAATCGGCGAACTGTCAAACTTCTACACACACTTGATTCTTAAGAACCTGCGCCGTCCGGGGAGCCAGGATCGCGGTATCCCGCGGGGTCTTGGATTCGGCCTGGTTACGTGCCCCAACTACATGTTTGAGATTATGGCTTGGGTTGGTGTGACGCTTGTGAACAGGAGCTTGAGCACTGTGCTGTTCTTTGTGATTGGCGGTGCGCAAATGTATGCTTGGGCTAAGAAGAAGGAGCGTCGGTACCGCAAGGAGTTCCCGGAGACGTATAAGAAGAAGCGATCTGTCATGATCCCTGGTCTGCTCTGAGCTAGAGTCTTTGGAACTAGAGGCTACATGAAGCCGCTGATGCCGAAGATAAAGAGTGATGGGGTATCCGCCATCAGAACTAGACGAGGAACATAGAGGACCAAAAGGGAACGAGACCCGACTAAGATAGACACGGAAGATATTCTTTTCGGGAAGACATGGTTATTTTAGCATTCTGTATGTTATATCATTATATCTTCAGCTTTGGTCACTTTCGACATCTTGGCAATATTCGCAATAAGCAAAATGCAAGAAATACAAAGAGGCACAGTTCCAACGAGTTCCCTCAGCTCCGCTCCACTCGTTCAGCCTGGGAAACGTGATAGATAGACCTCAGCTCAACCGACAATGTTATCTCTTGGCTGATTGGGTGAAGCGAGCGACCGAAGCAAGCTCTTTGGTGTGGAATAAACGGTATCGGTATCCATATATGTCAAAGAAATAGTGGGTGTGCTGTATCCAACGACCGAGGTAAATCGTCTACTGCAAATCTCTTCTAATTCGCGAAGCACGATGCCTGAAAGTAGGCAACCCACACGATGTGAGCCTCAATAGTAGCACACGCATGTATGTCTCCAACCAACACGAAGCGTGGAATTCGCAGCAGCCAGCTGAACGAACACCAGCGCGAGAACGAGCATGAGCTGAACGCCACGCGAACACCTCTGCAGTCCCATCACATCACATCCTATCCTATCCTATCCCATTTCCACAACCCCATTGTCGTACGATAACGTTACCTACCAGAGAAAGAAAAAACCCCTACTTCCCGTATTTCGCGTTCGCAACGACCTTGAAAGCCTGAAGGCAGGCGGGCAGGCAGCCGTTAGTCGTCAGGGTGGGAAAGTGGGAAGGGGAAGAGAGAAGAACAAAGTCTAATTCCAGAACTCCCATGTCGGATCGGATGGCGCCCCCCATCCCTCGCCCCCAAATGAGATCAATTGTGCGACGAGGCGCAGAAACTATTATTTATTGAATTTTTCTTTATCCACGAATTGTGTTTTGCGCATCAGAGCAATTCCGCTAGGTACAGGGCATAATCACGGCGGGAGGGCGCATATCGGGGGAGGTTAGCTTGCTTTTACCAGACATCAACTAATCAGCATTGAACGGAGGAGACAAGGCTGCACATGTGATAACGGACCTCCCGATACGCGCCCTCCCGACGTGATTATGGCCTGTAGGTAGCTGTTTTTTTTTTTTTTTTTTTTTTGCTGTGCCTTGCGCGGAACAGGCTGATTAATGGTGGGGTCTGCATATAGCCTGACTAGCTCGAACGCGCTCACCGCGAACAAGATTGGTCTGGAGGGTGGAAATGCGATGGGTGTGGCGGTGAGCGATGAGAGACTTATTGGTATCTGTCTTGGTCCTTTTGGTAGCTAGCTAGCTGGGTGGCGGGCCGAGGTGCGAGTCGAGTTTGAGTGGGCGGAGCGGAATCTCATCGAATAGGCGGTTGCATCAGGGGTAAGGTAAGGTACTAACTTTGGCAGAGAGAGACGTAGGTTCAGCTGAAATGTCTTGTGAGGCTGGGTCTTGTTTTATTTCCCGGAATCTGGTTTGTTATTCGGTGAGGGAGAGTGTTTCTGCCTCGTTTTCTTGGGGTGGGGTCGGGCTTCTCGGTGTGTTGGCTGCCTTCTTTTATGCTTTCTTTTCCTTCTTCTGTTCCCTCTCCCGCTTGGAGAGTTGAGCTGAGTGGATGGGATTGGGTATATAAGACGAGGACTGCATTTATTAGTTGTTTCTTTTTTTGTTTCGTCATTCATCTTTCCTACTTCCTATTTGGCTTGTCTTAGTTGTTGTATTGTGAAGTCGTAAACTCGCTTTCCTCTTCGATTGCCCTTGAGAGCTGTTAAGATTGTGAACTGCTTGACTGTGCGGATATCGAGGCATCACCGATATACAGCCGGAATAAACCGTTATCAAGTGGGTAAGCTGGCGACCTGCAAAACCTCGTAAGACTGAATTGCTCTGCGTTGGCGCAAAACAATCCTCAAGTTAGAACAGCTACTAAATAGCGTACAGCAGTAGATTCCTACATTTCTATTGAAGTGTTTACTTCCATCTCATTGTAAGTTGAGCTGCTTCTATCTTCAGACTCTCAGCTCGTCTCGAATACGAATGACTATGTCCCTCGCACGTAGAGGACGATCCTTCACTAGTCGTATTTGGAATGCACTAGCTGGTCCTTTAGTCAATTCTTAGTCTACATCGTCCTTCATGTCCCCCACTCTAGGCTTCGTTTAGCTGACGAGATATTCTTCACCCACCTGACATACGTTAACCATCTCGTCTAGTTATAGCACGCGACCATGTCTGTGGAAACATCATATGCCAACCACGTCGACACTCGCACCGGGATACCGCCGCCCAGACCAGACGACATCTCCGAACTCGACAAAGTGCGAAAAGCGCTGAGGCATTCATTGAAGTCCCTCGGAAGTGTAATTGGCGCATCAAACGCTTCGGTTCCGGACGATACCGGGGATGGCTCCCGGCTGTCGCCAGAAGAGAAAAATGCCCTCTACAAGAAAATCGAAGGCAGCTTGAAGGACATGACACATCTGGATATCTCGAACGTCAAGTCACTGATCGAAATCGAAGCCCAGAAATTGGCTGGGGAGCCAATGAACGATAAGAAGTATCTGATGGAAGGCTTGATCAGCACTGCGGCCAGTCTTCCCGAGGGGTCCAAGAATAGAATGACTTTGACGAATCAGTTTCTGACCCAGCTTTGGAATGATCTCGATCACCCTCCGCAATCGTACCTTGGAGAGAAATACCAGTATCGTTCGGCTGATGGCTCTTTCAACAGTCTTAAGCATCCTCAGTTGGGCGCCGCAGGTACTCCGTATGCGCGGACGGTGAAGCCAAATATGATGCAGACGCCTGCTCTGCCAGATGCGGGCGTCGTCTTTGATAGTGTCATGACGAGGAAGCATCGAGAATTACATCCGAATCGCATATCGAGTGTTCTATTTTACCTTGCCAGCATCATCATTCACGACTGTTTCCGTACAGATCATCGAGATTATGCAAATTCACTAACGAGTTCTTATCTGGACTTATCTCCGCTATACGGAAGTAACCAGGAGGAACAAGACCAGATGAGAACGTTTGCAGATGGGAGATTGAAACCGGATTGCTTTTCGGAAGCGAGACTTTTGTTCTTTCCGCCGGGGGTAGGGTGTCTACTGATCATGTTCAACCGCTTCCATAACCACGTCGTGGAGAATTTGGCTCTCATCAACGAGGGAGGACGATTCAATAGACCGCAGGCCCCCGCGGACGACAAGGACAAAGTCAAGAATGAGGCATATCAGGCGAAGCTGAAGAAGTACGACAACGACTTGTTCCAGACCGGGCGCTTGATCACCTGCGGTCTCTATGTCAACATCATCTTGATCGATTACGTGCGCACCATTCTGGACCTCAACCGAACGGATAGTAATTGGCAACTCAACCCTCGTGCTGATATCAAAGATTTACCCATTGGAGTCGGAAACCAGGTCTCTGCAGAGTTCAACCTTGTCTATAGATGGCACTCAACCATCTCAGACCGAGACGAGAAGTGGACGCAAGAGCTTTGGGACGGCCTATTTGGCAAGGGACAAGATGCAACTTCAATTGGCGGACGAGAGTTCCTAACAAAGCTTGGTGAAATCACTAGAAAAACGCCTGCTGATCCGTCAAAACGAGGTTTCATGGGTCTGGAAAGGAACAAAGATGGTGAACTCCCGGATCAGCCGCTTGTTGATGAGCTAGTCAAGAGCATCGAAGATTGCGCCAATTCCTTTGGGCCCAACCGTGTTCCTGCCGTGATGCGCGCCATCGAAGTACTGGGTATTGAGCAGTCTCGCTCTTGGAACTTGGGGAGTCTGAATGAGTTTAGGAAGTACTTTCATCTTGAACCGCATCGTACGTTTGAAGATATCACATCGGATCCGTATGTAGCTGAGCAGCTTAAACATTTGTATGATCATCCGGATAAGGTACGTCTTATTATCCGTGTACAAAGAGGTCTAGACAAGAAGGAAAATTCACCTTGTAGTGAGAGTGGTTTATTCCATCAAGCAATAGTCCAAGGGAAACGCACTAACTTCGTACCGTTTTTAGGTGGAGATTTACCCAGGCATCGTTGTAGAAGATGCTAAAAAGCCTATGGCTCCTGGATCAGGACTGACGCCTCCATACACCGTCTCGCGTGCCGTCCTATCCGATGCAGTAGCCTTGGTCCGTGGAGACAGGTTCTACACATTGGACTATAACCCACGTACACTTACCAACTGGGGATACCGGACTGCAGATTCAGACCTGGATGTGGACAACGGGTGTGTGTTCTACAAGCTGTTTTTGAACGCATTCCCAAGGCACTTCAAATCCAACAGCGTGTTTGCACACTATCCACTCACTATTCCGAGTGCAATGAAGGTTGCCTTGGAGGATCTCCAGAAAGACCATTTGTACGATTTTGGAAAGCCCGTTTATAAACCTCTTCCGCTTGAGGTGCACGATTTCAAGACAATCGCAGGCATTGTAAAAGATAAGGATATGTTCAACATTACGCACGACCAATACCTTCTTGGTAACGTTTCTCTCGAAATGAAGTCCGCACAAGAAGCATCCAAGGAGTCTCCCAGGGTGGCGAGTACGATGTCCAAAGTGCTGTACACTGAAGGCTGGGAACGCACAATCCGTTCATTCTACACCACAAAAACCCGCGAACTTCTCGCATCGAAGAGCTGCAAGATCGCCTCGTTCAACCAAATCGACATCATCCGGGATGTTGGCAACCTCGCATCCGTCCATTTCGCAGCGGAGACATTCATGCTCCCGATCAAAACAGCCCAACGACCACGCGGCATCTTCAGCGAACTAGAACTCTACACCCTTCTCTCCAGCATCTCCATTCTCTCCACCCCGCTCACAGATCCCATCCAACGCGCCTCCCTCCAAACAAAAACCCACATTCCCCTCCAGACCCTCGAAAAAATCACCCACTCCAACATCAAAGCGCTCCAAAGCTCCGGTCTAGTCTCCTCGCTCATTGGCCTCATCATCCCCGACGACATCGACGATCCCGAATCCCCAACCCTACAATCCTACGGTGGAAAACCAATGCTCAAGCGCCTCCTAGACGCCGGCATCTCTTCCCCCGAAGCAATCGTAAACACGCACATCATCGATACATCCGCACACATCGTATCAACCCAAGGCTCGCTCTTCGCGCAAGTCCTCGAATTCTTCCTCACCGGCCCCGGCGCAGAGCACTGGCCAAAGATCCAAACGCTAGCCCACTCAGACACCGAAGAAGCATTTTCAACGCTCACGCATTGCGTCCTCGAAGCCGTCCGTCTCAACGGTGAACCAAGCCCCGTCCTCACCGCCACTAAACCCACCACCATCACCGTCCCCAGCAGTACCTCTGATTCCAAGTTCTTGGGCCTGTCGATTACCCCGGATACACCGGTTGTTCTGGACCTGCCTTCGGCATTTAAAGATCCGACTGTTTTCCAGGACCCGGCGCGTTTCGATCCCACGCGTCCCCTTGATGCGTATCTCGCTATATATCCCGACCCGCATGGTACCGCGCACTTGACGCGGGTAGCGCTTACTTCGATGCTGAAGGAAGTCGCGCGTTTGAAGGGTCTTAGGCCGGCCAAGGGCCCGCAGGGGAAGTTGCATAAGATTGGGAAGGTAGGGGGTGCTGGGGGACATCGGTATTTGACGGAGATGTGGGATGGGTATTGGGGGTTTCCTGCTGGTGAGTTGATTCTTTCCATCCTTGTGATGCTATGTGCGGGTTTTGCTGACTTTAGGTGTAGCGTTGAAGGTTAATTGGGATGATTGATTGGTCGGATTTAGAGAGGCGGTGTTATGATATAGGGGATACATTGCAGTGATCATTGAAGCCGATTATGTCGCTTATAAGTTGTTATTGTTGTAATCGTTTGTCCGCGCGTACGCTCGTTCGTTCTTCGATCGTAGTCGATTTATGATATTTTGCGTTCCTGACTCATTTAACTCCCTCGTTGTGTTGCACGTTCCTTACGACAGCTTTACTTTTGTGAGCTGCTCTTTTTGTAGTACGTTGTCTGACTTGATTGTTCAATCAGATTGTGTCATGCCTTCTTTACTGAAAGGAAGGTTGACATCGTCTTCCCAGTAAATCGATCTATGAATGATTCGCCTCCTGGATACATGTGTCGCTTTGATCGGCGATAATGTTGAGAGAATACCATGTCGTGCTGTCTATCACATATATTTTTTTCGCTTGTCGTGTCTCTACTTCTATCTTCTCTCACAGATTTTCTCCCTGTTGTATTCGCAGTGCACCGTGCATTGATGGTACATGGCACTTTTTTTTTCTTTGGCGCTTCGTGAAATAGCATGTGTTTCTGACACAACGCGAATATGGTTTGTCCTATCACTGGTGATTGACATGTCTAAGGTTCCATAGATTGATTCTTCGGTATGAGTTGGACCCACTTCAAGCTCCGATCCAAAGCAGTCTAGTCGTTTTAGTGTTAGTGGATAGTCTCGGGCGCTAATATATCGTATACCAGACGCGTCTACGCGTAACTAACATGGCTTCCCAAATCCCCTCAAGCTTGGGGTCCACCCCGACTGAAAAACGCGCTACATGCCCTGTCGCACCAGGAAATACTTGGATTAAAAAGTTTCAAATGCTTCCTGTACCGGGTCCAATCGTGGTTCCTGGACCAGTTCCTCCTCTGCGATTCAAAGCAGCATCTTCGCGCAACTCATCGTCACCGCCCAAGACTGGTGATGAACCATTGGCCGACCCATTCAGAAAGCCATGGACCGTCCTTACAACCTACCATTTCTATGGGTGCTCCAGAGGACGTTACATTGCTGCTAGGGCCTGAGAAACAGCCTGTTCGCGCGTCGATTGCGGTACTATGCCGTTCTAGCAGTGTATGGGAGGCAATGTTCAGCGGCGACTGGAATGCAAGCGAAAAGTCTGAAATCGAATTTCCAGATGACGACGTGGAGGCCATGCTGTTGGTGCTCCGCATTGCCCATCTTAAATTCAAGGATCTCCCAGGAAAACAGGCATTGCCGTTGGGCCAGCTTCTACAGCTTACACTCGTAACCGAAAAATACGACGTTGTTCACATTGTGCGCCCGTTTTTAGAGATGTTTGAATGGGCTTCGATCGACAAATATGTGGAACATAGAAGCCCATTCTGGCTCCTTGTTACTTGGACCTTCGGATATTCTGAGAGTTTTGCTGCGTTCGCTATAGCTCTAATTCGGCTTATTGAGATCACCGAAGGGGGTTCGATTGAAGTGGCCGGGGTGGTTTTGCTGGAGAAATACATGCCACCAGGGATTGTGGGTAAGTACGCGACTGTGTACAGGTAGCAGTGGTGTACCAACCTAGTATTGGAGAGAGTGTGGAGCTAATTATCCCATCTTCCAGAGAGCATGTTGAGGATCCGCGAAGAAACGATCGATAAGATGTTGACTAGATGCTACAACTTACTGGACGGTGCACTCACGGGTCCATCTTGCCTTGCGTACCTACCCAAAATGCCTGGTAGCATGGATGATACGACCACCACAAAACCATCTACAGGCAGCTCGCAAGGGCCTAAAACTCCTGTCAGTTCGCAAGGTCCTGCGATTTCTGTTAAGTCGCAAGAGCATGCATCTTTCGTCAACGTGCAAGGATATACAGTTCCCGAAGGCTCGCAAAGACATAAAATTCCCGCCACCTCGCCAGGACCTGCATTCTCCTTCGATGAACTTGAAAAAGCAGAGAACAAATCAATCTGTTCTTCAATAATCCTGGGATCATTGATGGCACAAATCACGAGAATGGGGCTGAATCCCATTCGGAAATCCAGTCAGGACATTACCTCCACGGTACAAATTCTGGCAGGTCACCTTTGTTCTCTGCAGCCCACCATACCAAAAACATACGACACAAGGGGTATGACCAGCTCGGTTCCGAATTGCACTTATAGCACATTCAAATCAGCATGCACAACAATTCACGAGTCTTGCGCCATAAGATATCGCATTGATTATGAGATTGCAGAAATGTACCGCGAAATATCGTCGCCTGTCTTAGATATGCATATCAAGCACATGGAAGAGCAAGCGAAAAAGTGAATGCACATTCGGAATTCCTGCTCATGGCTATAATGATCTGCTCAACAGTCACTCGTAACATAGCTAAATGCCATTATTAGAAGAAGGAAGAAGGGGAAAAGTTAACGGGGGGATAGCACACATACTAAAGAACATGCATAAAAAGAAAAGTTGAAGCGAATTGTTAGATAGGAGTTTGGGTAATCCTCGCCACACATAATATGTACAAATATATGGGTAAATAAAAAAGAAGCAATTAGGAAAAGGTTCGTCCAAGTATAGAACTGTAACTATGTCCTACAATGGAGATATCAATCCTTCCATTCCCTCTGCATTCGTGCCGCTTCTGAGGTATCTCCATTACGCCATTACAATTTCGATCAACCACCGGGTTTGTCGTCTTTCTTTTCGTACATCTCCTCTACAAGAGAAACAAAAGCAGACAGCCCCTCCATCTCCTCATCGCTCGTCTTCCCATCCCTAATGCCCTTCATGATCCCCATCGCATTGTTATCCCCTATCTTCTGCGTCCACCTAGGCTCACGGTCATTCCTTCCCTTGTTCCAGCCACCACCTCTCCCACCTCTTCCGCCCCGTCCTCCGCGCCCACGCCCTCTCCCTCTATCATTGAGCACTCGATCGCGGTATTGTTGTCTTCTCACGTCATCCGGATCTGGTTCTATCGTCTTCGCGTATACACGCTGTAATGTCGAAAGTAGTGTAGGGTGTGTCTTGAGTAGTTCTTGGTATTTGGGGTTCGTGGCGAGGATGGAGAAGTCTAGTTTACTTTGGAGGTATTTCGGGGGCGGTTTTGGTGCCGGAGGATTGGGTATGTCGATCTCTGAAGGTACGGAGGCTACTGGTGCAGGCGTCTCACCAGCATGTGTCTCTTTGTGTACTTTGAAGCATGGTATTGAGCAGCTTTGCGCGGATTAGCGGGGCGGAAGTGGTGATTTGGTAGAGGGAGACAAACTATGGGAGTGAGCATGTTGGACATTTGTATTTCTTTGGTTCGGTATGGCATACTCCGCAAGTAGCGTCCGCCATGGTATTAATATAAGAAACAAAGAGATACCCAGAATCAAGACTTTGTGAGAGGTATGGTGAAGCTCGCGAATGGTTGGAGAGAATGACGCTCTGTAAGAAAGTTCAAAGACTCGGCCCAAGCCTTATCGATTTGAGACCTTTCCACAAGCGGTTAGAACCAGCATTTTCGCCGGCGCATCTTAATTCACTACACGGATCATCGACTCGCCGGTCACGCCTCTCTACAGCTACCCCCACCATGTCTCTTTCATCACCGCTACGGCACACAGCCCGGCTGTTTCAATCATGGACATGCTCCTCGTGCTCTCACTACGTGTCACGACCGACCTTGCGACTGGTGCGCTCATCGAACACAGGAATCGTACGACCACGAAGATGTCTCAACACCTCGAACGATGCGAAACAGAGCTCAATGCCCTCAATGGACACGATGCAAGAGCGATATAAACAGAAGAATAGGACGACTCTGTGTGTACAGTCTTTTCTAGGCTGTGTGGATAACTCCGCTAACAGTCGGTAGAAACTACGTTTTTAGTATAATTTTGGGAACCGTTGCGCTTTCATATGGCTCTGTACCCATGTATAAGATGGTATGATGGACTTGGGATATCATGCTTGATATCAATTGACTCGTGGACTAGATTTGCGCAACCACAGGCTGGGGTGGGCAGCCCATTCGATCAGCATCCCACGGCGGCGACCCCGACCAAGACCCTTCAGAGCGCCTCAAACCCGTCGAAACGCACCCTCGAATTCGAATTACCTTTAATGGAATGACTTCAGATGTGCTTCCATGGAAGTTTGTGCCTCAGCAGCGCGAAGTGCGTGTGCTGCCCGGCGAAACGGCGCTGGCTTTTTACACGGCCACAAACACCTCTAAGGAAGATATTATTGGCGTCGCGACCTACTCGGTTACACCGGGACAGGTCGCCCCGTATTTTAGCAAGATCCAGTGTTTCTGCTTCGAAGAGCAGAGATTGAATGCAGGCGAGACTGTAGACATGCCGGTTTTCTTCTACATTGATCCCGAGTTTGCATCGGATATCAACATGAAGGGTATTCTGACAGTAACTTTGAACTACACATTTTTCAAAGCCAAGTATGATAAGGATGGTCATTTGACACCTGTAGCTAGTTAAGGGCAGGATATGATCTGCACGGAGTTGGTATGGTTGGTGTATGTTAAGTCACTGATGCGCGACGCATTATCAGATCTGTTATATATATAATGTACTATATTGAGCAGCATTTGCAACTGCCTCATGTATATCAGAGCGCGTTTTCGTCAAAACCCCTTGCGGATTCGGTTGATCGGCCGACGAAAGCCAAAAGATCATCAGTTTGAGGCAAACTCTATTTCACAACACCCCTTATTCCATCACCACGGGCTCGAATTTCGACTTCCTCGCTTGGCTGGCTCCGCTAGCTTTCCACGCGCTCAGGATCAGATCTACAATGTTATCAACTCCCTTGCCATGCTTCACGACCGCAAAAATGGTCGGACCTCCCTCCCTCATCTTCCTGCTGTCTCTCTCCATGACACCTAGGTCAGCACCAATGGCCTCCGATAGGTCGCACTTGTTGACAACCAACAAGTCACTCTGCGTGATGCCGGGGCCTCCCTTTCGGGGAATCTTGTCACCGCCTGATACATCGATCACGTAGACGATGAAGTCGGCAAGTTCGCGGCTGTAGTTGGCGGCCAGATTGTCACCGCCAGATTCGATGAGGAGAAGGTCAGTGTTGAACTTTTGATGAAGTTGGGTGAGGGTTAAAAGGTTTGTGGAGATGTCTTCGCGCACAGCGGCGTGGGGGCAACCTCCAGTCTCTACAGCAACGATGCGTTCGCTTTGATTGTGATTGTCAGAAGACGACGAGTGGAGATGAAACCGAGACGGGATGGGACTTACGCGGGAAGGGCATTGTTCTTGGTTAAGAACTCACAGTCCTCGCGGGTGAAGATGTCGTTGGTTACAGCAGCGATGGAGAAGCGGGCGCGGAAGGCCTTGCAGAGAGCTAGCATGAGAGCCGTCTTGCCGGAACCAACAGGACTGGTCAAGTTAGCATCGCCCCGTGTCTGTGATCTCGTGTTTCCATGCAGTGTAATATCCCTTGAGTTCGGAACAAAGTTTTCTGGGATGGCAACCGTGATGGGACCAGGATACATACCCTCCTATTCCAATGGTGAACGCCCGCTCTTCCCAGTCCCTCCCCTCGATGATAGGCATCTCACGGCCCAAGAAACTTCCAGGTCCATCGAGGATTTCATGCGTATGGCCATGGTCACCCCCACCATGTGAGTGCCCTCCATTGTCATGTGAGTGCGACATCTCGATCTGGACCTTTGGGATTCCCGTCTGGAACAGTGCGATTTCGGCAAGAGTCAGTCGGGATGGAGCTTGAGACGCTATGACGGAGGTTCTAGGGATGTGTAGCAAGGTCAATGCTGTACGCGGGGTGCCAGAGAGGTTCACGAAGATCGAATCAGGTGGGGTACGGTGCCTACGGGGCCGACCGACCCCCACGACGCCAATCAGGCGCACTCACCTTGGGCTTTTGCAGAAACGCTACATATTGAAACTGCACTTTCCAGCATGACGCAACATGGGATGAGACAGCATGTTCCCAATCATCCATCGACGAGCGAAATTCGGATGAGTTGTTACTGCATGCAGAGGGGAGCTCCGGTTGGCACGCGAGCATGGCGAAGGGAGCTTGGGCCTTGAGTGAAATGATGCTATGATGATGACCACGCAACGACCGTCCTCCGCAGAATCCGTCTCATCCATACGATCTCCTCGTCGAGCAGGGATCAGAGCTATATTCGAACCCTATGTCCATACAACATCTTACTCCGCAGACACCTCGCTTGACCGCAATTTCCAGTCTGCGAGTGATCCAAGGACGAAGGCGTGTTCAAACCGACTCCTTTTTCTAACTTCCTCAGTCAATAATGCCTAAATGCGCCACAGCAACACCGCTCTTCCGTGTACAAGAAGATTCCTCGCGAAATCCGTAGAGCAAAGACGCAACACGCCTAGGAAGCATGGTACCTGCATGGATGGTGGTGCTATGACGAAATACTGAAAGGCCCGCAACGCGCCTAGCTTTGCGGAGGATCGGCCATTTTCAAGTTTTTAGCAACAAAACATCGCGCATTGCTGCATCGGACGCGGGAAAATCCCCCCGGTACTTGTTCTGGCTGCCGAACCCTGCTGGTTTGCTCGCTGCGATATTTGAACTCTTGGGCTTCACCCTCCCGGAGCAACTTGCTACTTCAGATCACTGATCATTCTACGTCTACCAGTGCGATCATTGTCCATACGCCTAAGCGTACGTTTTGAGAATACACCATGTTTTCAACTCACTGGGACGAATCTCATTATACCTCATTTCTGCTATGGGATATCGAACGGGAGTTTGAGAATGCCCATCAGGCGTACCAGCGATGGTTGACCAAAACTCTCCGGAGGAAAACACCGTGGAGCTGCATTGCCCGAAGCAACAAGGCGGATCCACTGGAAAAAGCACTCAGTTTAGGAGTCCATGTCACGAAAGCCATCAAGGATGGGAAGGATGGACTGGGATCAAGTTTCGAAAGAGGTGATTGTAAGTGTCCTATAAAAGCACCAACACTCTCATGATATCCTGGAAAAGACATGCCAACTCTATATCCAGCAACATGCCACACCGTCCTCTCCGCCCAACTCATCCGCCTCCAACACGAAGTCAACGTACCACTCCAAGATTGCCTAGAATCCCGCATCTCAATCTCCCACATCTCCCTTCCCTACGACGACATTCTCCGCGCAGCAAAAGGCATCCGCCGTGCCTGTCTCAACGCCCTCCGCGACCAAGCCGCCCGTCTAACGTCCAGCCGCAACAGCCTCTGCCTCCCTCCCCCACGCTTCTCCGTATCCTTCTGTCCCTACGCAATCCAACTCCAAACCGACCACCGACAGCGCCACCGCAGCACCATCAACGCCCGCAAAGTCCGCCCCAGCGACCCCCACGACGACCGCGAGCACTGTCCCGGCTGCAACGTGCACATCGCCGTGTCAGCGCATTCAGGGCTCCCAAGCTACCGCCGTCTCCTCTTCGCATCGCACACCTCCCAACCCCCTACCCCCACCTCCTCCAAGACGGAAAACAGAGCAACTTTTGCATGCTCGAGCTGCTACAAAACTTTCGACGAATCCTACGTTTTCCTAGACCACATTTTCCAGAAGGAAATTGGAACCGAGAGGTCGTGTTTGAAACGGTGGAGCACATCGAGCACATCCACACGATCCAGCTTGACGTCGAAGTCCACGGATCACAGTGTATTGGCTGTCGACAGCGATCCTGCGCTTGTGGAGAAGTGTCTGAGGAATTGTCTGCAGAGGGAGCTTACGAGATCGAGGGCTATGAAGAAGAGTATCGAGTTGCTCAGGGACGCTGCGTTACCTCCTCTTCCGCCACCCAAGGACGAGGAAGGGGGAGGAAGAGGGGTGCTGAGATATTATGAACAGCCTCAGCTCTTGCTGAATCAACCGCAGGATTCGGGGTTTTGGGGGAGTAAATTGAGGAAACCGATGAGGTTACATCGGAGTATTCCTTCGAATTCGCCGTACTAACGCAACGACGATATGATGAATGGGGGTATGACCAGTGAGGTGGGGGACGGCGAGTCAATGAACTCATCTAATAATGTCTAATGTGAAGCTGGCGATACTCCTTGTTCCCAGTCTGCTCTGTCAGAGGACGACACGAGATACCCAACATCCAAACCGAAGTCTGTGATTGCATCATCTACGTACGTGTAGACAACGCCTTTGCCTTTTTCTCAGGACCCACGTGCCTTTTTTTTTTTTTTCTTCTTTCTTTCGTCATGGGCTTTCGAGCTAGGCGGTGTATGTACCCAAGCGCACTTGCGAGGCCAAGAAATGGCAGGGCGTACGGAGACTCTTGACTGATTGACTGACTGACTAACACCACTTTGCATTATCTTGTTGCCAATCTCATCCACACACACACACACATCAAACAGATATCATGTATCCTTCCTCCTTCCCCTTCCCCTCCATCTCACAAAGTCCACCCTCCATGTCCTAACCACACCGCATAAGATCCCAACCACTCAAAACAAAAATACAAAAAAATCTCAAAGAAATAACACCCCCTAGTCAAATGACGAACTCTCTCTATATAAAATTCCCCGACCCTTAACCCTAACAACATCCCCCAACCCCCAAAAATCCATGTGCAAATCATCCGCTCCACCCGACTCCCTTATGCATTCTCTCTCGTCACCGCCCTCCCTCACCAAGAGCAAGCGCGCACAAAAGAGGAAAGATTGTTTTCCCACCAATACCCAGCTCCGCGCTAACGATGAACGGGGAAGAAGAGAAAAGAAAGAAAAGAATACCAAGGGCGCGGCGGAGCGAGCGACAAGGCCGAAAGTACCGACGGAGAGAGAGAGAGAAGGGAGTAAAAGACTCGGCGTGGGATCGGCAGTTTTTTTGCATCGGGCCGGTTTCCTTGTTGGGGGAAGAGAGAGTATTTGTCAGGTTCTGCTTGGGTTTTGTGTTTTGTGAGGTGTATGAGATAAGAGGGTAGGGGGAGCAGGGAGGTGATGTGTGATGTCATTTTAGAGGTAGGGGTATGTGTGTGTGGGTTAGGTAGATGAAATGGATTCGAATTGAATCAAGACTTTCGTCTGTGGAGAGGTAGTAGTATTGAAGCAGGAATGTCTGATGAGTATACATGTGTTTTAGGGTTGGGGGATGGAAAGGGTCGCTTTGCGCATTTATTAATTTTTTTAGCCTTTCTGGAGAATAAAGTGAAGGGTGGTTAAGGAGTTGGAAATAGCGACGATTATATTAGCCGTGTCATTGGATTTGGATAAAAAAAAACAATGCTCGCAGAATTGCAGAGGAAGCAGTAGCTAACATCAACAAAAGTTTGAAGCATCACAGACTCTGAACCGAACATCACACAGATTCCATGCAAGTGTCTTATACGTGATGATATGTTGCGAACAATTCGGTATTTGAGTGAAGCTACCTAACAAAAAACTAGCGGTGGTAAGAGGAGGGGGATATCATAGAAAAAGACCCCAGAATTCGAGGGGGTGTGTGCGTGGAAAACCCAATACCAAAAACAGCAAACAAAAACATGTACAGTCGAAAGTAAGATCGAGACAGGATCGACAAGCATGCAGCTCCATGCTTTCCCCGTCATCATCTACTGTGCCAAATTCTCCAACATCAAAATAAACCAAAAGCGAGATCCCAATGTTTGGAATAATAACCAATACCAACGCCGGTACAAATGCCGCTGAAAACAAAAACAAAAAAACAAGAAGACACCGTGAAAACACCTCACACGATGCCGCTGTGGGAACTCGCTCGAGAGAAGCTTGCAAGTCGTTGTGACCGGTGTCGTTCAGGAAAAAAAGTCCATAGAAGATCCAAGTCCGAGCGGTGAATCCTCCAGGAACGAACGAAAAGGGATTCATTTCGACAAATGCTCTCCCATTGGTCCACGGAGTGAGCACTGGAAGGATCATCTCAACGCCCTAGACAGCCACCGCTCCCACCAATTCCGCACTCCAAGGATGCTCTCCTTCCCGTCATTGCGCCCATCCTGACCGGCAGGATCCCCCAGTATAGCGGAGAAGAACCAGAAAAAGGCAGCAGTCCAGGCAGCGATGGCGACGCCGGCCGCGACGAAGGGGGAGAAGAGGTTGATGACGACGAGCATGGGCGAGCTGTAGTCGGTGGAGGTGGCGTACGAGTAGATGAGGTGGAGTTGGAGGTTGAGCGGGGCGGCGAGGAAGGTGGTGAGTTGGACGGATTTTGTGGAGCGCGAGGATAGGAGGCGGAAGGGCTGCACCAGGGCTAGGATGAAGAGAGCGAGGATGGTCCAGAGGGCGATGAAGATGGAGAGGAGGGCGCATGGGCCGGAGAGGAAGAGCTGGAATTGCATGTTAGCGATAGACTGGTGATTGAGATACTGCAAGATGGGGCTTCACATACAAGCAGTTGTACAGGTTTGTCTTCGGGACCCTTTTCGTGGTACTCGCCAGAGTCGTAGACTACAGCTCTGACGTCCTGGTTGGAAGCTCGCGGAGACCGTTGATTGCTCGAGGAGATGTTGTTGCCAGCGGCAGCCTTCTCCGGATCTATGTAGGCACGCTGCGGGTAGGCGATGGGAGTGGTTGCGGGAGAGATTTGCTGCTGCTGGTCTATCTCTGGTATTGTGCGATGCAGGCTGGCAGTCGGGCTGGGCGGAGAAGTGTGAGCTGATTTGGGTGAAAGCGGGTGGGCCGACATGACCGAGTCGTGAGCTCGACTGCGACTGCTGCCCTTGCTGCCGCGCTGGGCTGCATGGGGGCTCTGCTGGAAGGGCTGGCGACCGGCGTAGGCATCTTTCTCGCTGTATTCCTGGTGGTTGGAGTGCTGGGGGGGATTGTTCGTTTGCGAGGAGGGCGCGGGCAGGGTAGCCGGCGGCGGGTGGTGATGCATGGCAGGCCTGTTGCGGTGATTGGCTGGCGGCGAAGAACCATCAACAATGGACTAGGGGGAGCGGATGGGGGAAGATTGGGACGACCGGGCGGTCATGATATAAAAACAGACAGAGGCTGCCCCTCGGGAGGAGCACGACGAAGAGGTTACATACAGTTTACGCTCTCAAGACTTTGGGGAGGTTCTTGGGCTTGGCCTCCTTTGCGGATCTTTTGCCAAGGGCATGGCACTCGCTGGGCATTTGTTCCATGGCAGGCTACGCCAATCACGCCGGCGCCCTCGCCCTCAGGTTGGACGTGAATCTCATGTTGCGACTGTCCACAAGACGGAATGGGCGGCATGCTGCTCTTCTGTCCGCTCCAGCCCAGCCAGCTTCCAGCACTGCGACCTTCACACCTGGCTTCATCCGCTGCCTTGGCCTTTCTCCGCCCGCGACCAACATGACAATGTCGCAGCCGCTGTTGGCCATGCCACGCCGCCTCTCTTTGTTCTCACCCGAGCCCATGCACATGATGTTGCCAAGGTCCACGTGAAAGCCCTCCCTCGATGCCCATCTCCGCCCACTCGAGACCAAGACTACACGGCCTGCTCGAGTGCTGCGAGGGGGCGCTGCCGGCGCCATTGGCACCGCTGGCTGATCTTCCACTCGGTCACTAAGTCGGTGGATACATTACTTGATAGCCAGGCAGCAAGACATGGCAAGCAAGAAAACTGAACGACGAGAGACAGGCAGGGAGAGAGACCAAAAAAAAAACTGCTTTGTCAAACAACGCCAAATGCCATGGCCCGCCGCCGCGACCCAGATGACGCCCCCCGCCCCAACCAGGGAACAGCGCAGCAGACGTGCACTATTGGAGCTGATCCCTCTCTCTCTCTGCTTTCACCTGCACATATGCCAGTCAATGTGACGCTCTTGTTGCCCTGTTGGAGGAAAATCAAAGAGGAAAAAAAAAACCGCGATAGCATATCGAGCTTTTCCAAAACCCGCGGCGAACCAGAATGCGCAAGGTCAAACAAAAAGGTGGTGGCTCGGCGGAACGTGGTCGATTGCCAAGTCTGCCATCAAGCTTGGTGGCCTGGCTGAAACGCTGTTGCGGCGAGCCGCGAGCTGCTCTCTCCGCCGTGTATCCGCGCCCTCTCTCTAGCTTTTCCGGGAATAGGTGCGGAGCTTCGTTCCGTCCCTTTTTTTTTTGTCTCTCTTCCTTGCCAATAAGAACAACGTAGAGAAAGACGGAAAAATAATCTCGTCATGTGTTGGATCCAACGGCATTAGGTACTAGTCTTGATCATTGCTATTATTGTTTGCTTACTGAGATGGAGTCATTGAAATGGCGATGGATCCACGGTGTTTTGTTGGTGGTAGTACAAAGGGCGTGCGCTCACATACCCGTGTCGTCGTCACCCATTCAAAGCCCACGACGCACCGCAGTGCTGTGCAGTGTAACCATCCACCGCAGCTTTTCAATGGATTCACCCTTCTGCCAAACCAACCATTCAGAACCATCTCCATACAGCATGCCCTGCTTAGTTTAGGTGTCATCGGTCCGATTGTTCTACAATCCCAAAACGTTGGCAAGAAGAGATTTCCCTTTTGGGGATCATCAGTGCTGAAGCAACGGCTCCATTGCGAACCATCACGGCGGACTTGGGACTAGTAAAATCTATCCAAGCTTGCTATAGACATCTGATAATGTATCAAACTGCTGGATTATGTAGTGTGTCGGCATGCAACAACGTTGCTGGTATAGACTCTATGTACGTTTGGTCGTAGACATCGTGACAACAATCAATAACTCAAAAATCAATCAGAGATCTGAACAAAACCGAAAGTAAAAGTCAACGAGAAGCAAAGACGTCTAGACAATAGAATGAAAGTCCTCGAATGTCGTCCGAGCCCGCACATGTACGCCGAATAAAGAAGCCCGAAGCCTTTCATCTCCCATCCCATCCCATCCCCCGGTTTAATGCGTATAAAGGGTATATTCCGTCGTAGTAGCCCAAAAACCTATCGTGCAATGCAAAAATGACCCGTAGCCTCGTAAAAAACAACATGCGTTGATAGTCCAACAGCAAAAGTCATCGGGAAAGAAAGAAACCGGAAACCGAAAAACAAAGACTCCTAGATATGCTCGTATGTACCGTTGTAGTCGTTGTTCCATACCCGCAGGATGTGTACGGTGAGGGGTGACCTGATAGTGATGGAAACAACGCCGAACTGAAAGAGTCCGCGGAGAGAGAGAGATGATGTCCAGACCGCGAAGAACGAAGAAAAGCAACAAAGGTGATCGGAGAGAACTACCACTCCAACCACATATCGCCAACCGAATCCAGCGCGTACCCAACAGAGGCCCAGAATCCGCGGCTTTGGGTTGGCTTTGGTTTTGGCTTGTCCTGTGGCAGTGTGACCTGGGTAGCTTTTTCTTCCAAGACGGACGCGCGCTTCTTGTATTCGTCTAGTTGCCGATACTGCTGTTTCAGCAAAGTGCGCAGATCCTTGATGATATCGGTGGACACGGTATTGAGTTTCTTGGTCTCTTCTAACCGCTTTCGCAGGTGCCCTGTATACTTTGATACATCTTCGATATATTTTGCGACTTCGAGCATGTATGCTTCAGCGGGATCGGCTTCCTGTGGGACGTCGCCATTGGTTGTGGTAGCAGCAGCTTCCTGGTCTTCCTTGGGAGTAGTTGCTAGGCTAACAGGTTGTTCGAATTCAAAGAATAGATGTTCGTCTGATTGTCGAGATTGAGGCTCGGGCGCGGAAAGACATTGGGTCATCTCTTCAAATCTCGCCACGAGGAAGTCCATTTGATCATCCGTAGGCTGTCGAGTCTTGATAAGACCTTCCAATGTAGATATACAAGAGGAGAGCGCATCTTGGACAGGCGATAGATCTTCTGATTTGTCCCATGGCATGGGCGGAAGCGGTGGTATAGGACAAAGTGGTGAAGCTTGCCCTTCTGGGTGAAAGGGGATTTGCGCAGAGTCGGGGGTGTGTGGGTATTGAGGTCCAAGGTGAGCCTGCGGGTCTGGGGTTCTGACAGGCTTCGCATGGGGATGCGCATCTGGATAGTGGGCATACTGCTGGGGTATGTTGTCTTGTTCCTGTCCCACGTACCCGCTGTCTTCGAGACGTGCTGCATGGGTCCGTGTAGGCTTTGCGGCATTTTCGCCCACCGGTGATGTGGGCCCGAAGGGGTCATCCAAGTATCTGAAATCGAGATCTGGAGGCGTCCATGGGCGGTTGTTTGCGACTTTGGTGGTTGAAGACATTTTATTGTCGAGGTTGAACGTCGGCCATATGGCGGTGAAAAAAGTTTCAGGTGGTAGGCAGGACAAGCAAGGCAAGAAGAACAGATATATATAGTGAATGCGCAAGGCGCGACTTGTTGGGGAGGAATGCGCGACTGTTGGGTGGTTCCAAGCTAGAATGTTTGCAAAGTCGGGATACAGAGTGAATGACGAACAAGATGGGATTGTGGAAGGCCAAAGGAACCAGGTAGGTATTAGCATGTTAGGTGAGGTGACGTCCACCGGACTAGGCCGCATCAAGTTGCATGTGAGCATTTATCAGATGGCGGGGCTGCAGAGCTCGGGCCCCGCCCCACCTACTGATCCGATTGGCCCCGCTCCGATACCATCAGAATGTTTTCTGGCTTCAAAAATATGTATATATCGAACTGTGTCTCGGATTCCCCAGGTCGAGGAGAACTTTGTCGCGTGAAATCAGAGACTTTATCTGGAAGCTGAGGGGATTGTCTCTCGACTTTGCCAAAATGACCTCACATGTATGTCCAGCCCAGCTTGCGTGCTTGCATGTAGCAAGCCATCGCGAATCAACCCGTCTGTAAACTGACCGCATGACCTACCAGCTCGGTGTTCAGCCATCGCTCGACACAGTGCGCGAAGCCCTGGCCGCCGCCGTCAATTCGCCCAATCCTCCCAACCTCGTTCCTGTCTTCTCCTCGATATCTGCCGAATTCCTCACACCCTCAAGCATCTATCTCAAGATCGCCGCCAAGTGAGTCATACCAACAAACGCACGCAGACGCACGTTGCCAACCACACCCAGATCCAAATCGAAGCTCTCGTTTCTGTTTGAAAGTGCTGCTACCACAGAGACCATAGGAAGATATAGCTTTGTTGGCGCCGGTCAGTGACGTGGAAGGTTTATTATACTCTTTCAACACTGACGAGTCCAGATCCACGAAAGGTACTCAAAACCGGCCCCGGCCATGGCGAAGAAAAAGACCCTCTCCCAATCCTCGAGAAAGAGCTCGCAAAGAGCGTCGTTGCCACTGTCCCCTCGATACAATTACCTCCCATGACTGGCGGTGCTGTTGGATATGTTGGATACGATTGCGTCAAATACTTTGAACCAAAGACACGCAGAGACGATGTGAAGGATGTATTGGGCGTCCCGGAGAGTGTTTTTATGCTTTTCGACACGGTGGTGGCGTTGGATCACTTCGCGCAGGTCGTGAAGGTCATTACCTATGTACAAGTTCCCGACAATCTTGACGACTTGGAAAAGGCATACAATGATGCTACAACAACACTGCAAAGATACATTACCATCTTGAAGGATAAGGAGGTGCCAATGCCCGAGCAAGCACCAATTGTGGAAGGACATGAATACAAGTCTAATATCGGACAAGAGGGCTATGAAGGCCACGTTAAGAAATTGAAGGAGCACATCAATGTCGGCGACATCATTCAGGCCGTACCATCACAACGATTCGCTAGGCCGACGTCTTTACACCCCTTCAACATCTACCGCCATCTACGAAACGTCAACCCGTCTCCGTATCTGTTCTACGTCGACTGTGATGATTTCCAGATTGTGGGAGCCAGCCCAGAGCTTCTGGTGAAGGAAGAATTGGGAAGAATCATCACACACCCAATCGCAGGTACCGTTAAGAGAGGCAAGACCATGCGGGAGGACGCAGCCCTAGCAGAGGAGCTGGCCAATTCCATCAAGGATCGCGCCGAACACGTGAGTCCAGAAAATTTGCATCTCCTCCCCTGAAGCTGATGTCGAGATAATAGGTCATGTTGGTCGACTTGGCGAGAAATGACGTAAATCGAGTTTGCGACCCGCTCACTACGCGAGTCGACAAATTAATGGTTGTCCAAAAGGTAGGTAGCCCGTCATTGTACTCCACATTTTGGATGGCTGACTGTGTTAGTTTTCGCATGTGCAACATCTCGTCTCCGAGGTTTCTGGAGTGTTGCGGCCAGGGAAAACGCGGTTTGACGCGTTCCGTTCCATCTTCCCCGCCGGTACGTGAATGTGGTGACCTAGAGCAGGATGAATGAGTGCTAAAGCACTACAGGGACCGTGAGCGGAGCGCCAAAAGTGCGCGCTATGGAACTGATCGCCGAGCTTGAGAAGGAGAAGCGTGGGGTGTATGCCGGAGCCGTGGGATACTTCGGGTACGGCAGCGTGGACGGGGAAAAGGCGATTGAAGGTGCCATGGATGTAAGTAAATTGGATGATGCAGCGCGCATATTACTATTCAATGCTGACTATGAACCAGACATGCATTGCATTGCGGACGATGGTCATCAAAGACGGCATCGCTTATCTACAAGCCGGGGTATGTTTCCAAGATGCTGGAACTCGTATAGCTATTGCTCACCAGCCAATAGGGAGGCATCGTGTTCGACTCTGACCCATATGACGAGTGGATGGAAACAATAAACAAGCTTGGTGAGTTGAATTGGTTGGATTACAAGGGCAGCCACTGATCCGAAGCCAGGGGCGAATACGCAATGCATCGTAGCAGCAGAGCGAAAACACTTGGAAGAACAGCAGGAGGCTGGCGAAGGCGCAAACTAGGCGGTCCGAGTCGGCGCAGGCTTCAGTTCTTTCACCGCCGCTAGATGGAGGACTACTGCTTTGGCTTGGGGTTCGCTAGCTATATGATTTGCGCCTAACGTCACCCTGACAGAGGGAGCGTGTGCATGTACACACTAGAGCAGCAAGCTTCCCACGTCGTGTCCTTGGACTGCCATGTTTGGAGCGGGGTCGCTGTAGTGGTGCCACGAGCAAGACATGCAGGTGTGCAAGTAGGTAACAGAGAATCGAAAGAAACAAAAATGATAGCGACACAGGCGCATGGCCTACGTGTGTTTGCTTTTGCGGTGACGATGACGGGGGGTGCACCGGGACGATGACGGAGCAGTGGCGAGTCGATGACAGCGAAGAGTGCCGGTTTGGCCTGAGTGTTGATTGTGTTGGCGAACAGCTGTACAACCATCGACATCATAATCGGGACCAAGACTCGTTAGCCGGCGTAGTGCTGTGAGCCATGGAGAAAGCGTACAAGCGGTGGTTGGCGAATTAACGTTGGGGTTCCTGGATCCGTCTGCTAGCACCGCGTGCCTTGTTTTGGTGCAGCGCCAGAAGCTTAAACCCTGTTTACGTCAAGACCATCCCCAACCTCTCTACAATCCAGCAGTCGCCCACGAATGGCCTCGCGCTTTGTTTGGGCAGGCCAGACGGAAAACCGGGCACGGCAGCCTCCACCTGCCTGCACCCGCCCAGCCAGTCCCCGCCTGCCCCCCTCGTCACCAGCCACTGCCCTGCTCCAGATGCTTGTTTGGTTCCCTATGTAGATAAATACATGCGTGCCATCCTCCTTGCACTGCTCTCTACCAACATCTTCATCCAACACTTCTCAACCATCCAATTCCTATTTACCTACAGCCTCTTGACAGCTTCTCTGCTTCTTCCCATCCCATCCATCAACATGAAGTCCTTCGCCCTCCTCGTTGCTGCTGCTGCCGGCGTCGCCGTTGCCCAGGATATCAGCTCCCTCCCGGCCTGCGGTGTAAGTCATACTATCTACAGTTGTCCCAACGCTTTTCTCTAGCCCTCCAGACTGACAATTTCCCAAGCAAACATGCATTGGCAACATGGTCTCCATTGCCACCACCACCTTCGGTTGCGCCCAGGGCGATCTTGCCTGCTACTGCGCCAACATTGACTTCGCCTACGGTGTCCGCGATTGTGCCAACGAGGCTTGCGGTGCGAGTGAAGCTGGCAGTGTCATTGCCTATGGTACCAACTACTGTGCGTCGGTTGCTGCGTCCGCAAGCAGGTCCTCCGTCGCTGCCGCCATCACAACCGGTGCCCTGAGCGTCCTCTCCTCGGCCCAGAGCGGTTTCTCTACCGCCACCGCGAGTGGTGCTTCGTCCATTTCTTCTGGTCTCTCGGCTGGTGCATCTGTGACTTCATCTGCTGGCAGCGCAGTTGCCTCAGCCACCTCGTCCGCTGGCTCTCGCATCTCTTCGGCCGTGGAATCCATCGCGTCTTCTGCCTCCGAGGCCGTTTCTTCAGCGGCTTCCGGTGCGAGGTATGTTTCCCCCCTTCGATTCAAGCTTTACTGTATACTGACAATCATCCCAGCGAGTCCGGTGCCTCCTTGACTAGCCGTGCTTCATCTGGTGCTGAGTCTGCCACCTCATCCATCGCCAGCGCTGCCTCGTCTGCCGCCAGCGGCGCTTCTGATGCTGCTGGTTCCGCCGCTAGCTCTGCTCCTCCCAACAACGCCGCTGCTAAGGCCACCGGTCTCCCCGTTGCCGGTGCCTTCGGAATTGCTGCTTGGTTGCTCATCTAAGCGCCTTGTAAGATGAGCTGATCACCGAACACTGCCTTTGTACAAAGCCAGTGTCTATACGGTTGTTCCTGAGTTTGGTCGGCACGGGCTGATCATCTCCCTGTTTGCATTTCGGACGACCTCCTAATGCCCTTCTCTTTCTTGTTGTAATACTTTCACGATTGTTTATGCCGCACATGATTGCAAACGCGCGCCCGCCTACTCCTTTTTGGCGGCGCATTGATTGATACCCTTAGCGTGGGATTGGTAAAGAAAAAACCTACTGGGTCTAGATAGCTCATAATGATAACCTTAATCTTCTTCTGCAATTGGTTTCGTCTTTGCTGTGCGTGCGAGTGAGCTGTTGTGGTATGCGGTGATGGGTGAGGTTGGGATTATCAATTGATGTTTGGCCGTGTTTAGTCTCACGCGGAGTTCAATTCTACATATGTACATATGTACACCTGGACATGGTCATGTGCTGACGTGAGCGATCTGCATGCGCCCTCTGGAAATTGGGCACCCTTTACCCCACAGGTACAGCAGGAGCTATAAATTAGTGCTGCAAGTAAGTTTTTGACTTCGTCTTCCATTGCCCCGAGCGGCCTTTATATACATACATTACGAGGTTCGGCCCACTATAAGATTGGCTGTCAACGCTCTGTCTGTACATGTATTGTAATCAAGGTTTACAGCTCAAGGAAGATACGTTGAGAGATTATTTCACAGTGTATCAAACTAGAAAGAGCGGTTGGTGCCCTTTCCAAACCCAGTTAGAACCATTTAACTGAGGTGCGCACGTTGTGCTAACTACGAGTGTTGCAGACGGACATTCTAGTTGTCAACTCTTGTCTTCATCTCTATGATCCATTCAATTGATTAATCTCGGGCAGCCTTGACTAGGCGTCACGAGGCGCCACGGGCGATGTCGAAGAAGAGATGGGAATGATGACGATGATGCGAGGGCATCGCAATCAACGACATCCGACACAACACCAGTCACGGCAACACACCGAATTGTCCAGGTCCTCAACGCTGAAGATATGTTTCGCGATAGCGAAACTGATAAGACATGGAGATCCTATTAAGAAGTATCCAAACAGTCACACATAAACAATCAACACGGCAAGAAGGGTACTAAGGCCAGCGACATAAGGGCGAAGCACAATTCTCAATATCCACTCCATCAACTTTGAGATGGATCGTTGAGCGAGCTCACAGCTGCGCTCGCTAGCGTGTTTACATTCTTTCCACCAACGTGTGTCTGTCCACCCACCTTACAACGCGCCGTTTGCTCCGACACCCAGTCACTCCACCACCGCGTACCAAGCAAGACGATACAACCCACCCACCCCAAGCTAAGACCAGCCCATCGGCGTGCTCTGAGAGATATCTCCGTCAGAGTCTACTACAGCGAGCTCAAGACTGGAATCCGCCTAGCAGATGTATGTTGTTGTTGTCCTCCTACTGATTGTCGTTTCTTGGCTGACCGGGACAAAGTTTTCCACGGCTGAAGACAAGAAGGAGCTTCTACTACGACCTTGGTGACCAAAGAGCATCATGGGTAAAGGAAAGAGAGCGGGAGCCTCAAAGGCCAGCGCGAAAGATAGCAGCGAAAAGGCGCCCGTGAGTCAGTCCCGAGCTCATGACACTACCCAGAAGGCCAGCGTCGCTTCAGCCAGTGACAAAACGGCACCAGTCGTGAACAAGCCTGGAAAGCATGTTGACCCCACCGCGGACGCAAAAGACAACAACAAGGACGTCGCCAAGAAGGCCAGCTCTGCTGCAGCTGGTGAGAAATCCGCAGCTGCGGCTGAGAGTAGCAACATCAAAGGCACCTCAACCACCAAACAAGAGATTCCCACTACACCAGAACTGTGGGAACCGTTTTCTTTCCTTCCCGATGGATCATTCTCACACAATCAAGTGCTAAGTCCGGCTGATCTGGATCCTGTTGAACTGGATCCGTTTCCCCATTATGAAGCTTATATTCTTCGAGCTAATTGCGACGATGTCCGTCTGGCTGTTAAGTGGACTTATACAATTGATGAAATACCGATTCACCACGACAATATCAAGAAGTATATCCTTACGCTCGGCCCCAGTTACTGTGTATTCGATAAGCTTCGTGGTTTGCTTCCAGAAGAGCTGCGTCTTATCACGCTTCGCACCAAGTTTCGAAAGGGCCATGTAGTTGCGATCCAGCGTGGACGTAGCGTCGACTTCTCGACCAAGATGGGAACGTTCGTTATGGAGCCGATTATCTTCATCATTGAGACGTATGCGCCTGCACTGGATGAAGAGCTTGTCAGGGCGCGGACAGACGAACTGGCTCAATTGTGGACGACCGACTTGAATGTACCTCCTCTGGAGGAGTCCCAGGCTGGTTCCCCGGGCTCATCGGGTGATCGTAGTACCGTAGTACTATCTAGCTCTTCGAAGCGCCCTCTGGCAAAAGGAGGAGAGTATGAACAGCTGACCGATTTGCTGCCTCGGAGCTCTTATCCGCCAGCCCCTACCTGCGAGGAAGAGGATCCTACGGATTCTGAGCACGATCACCCCAAGCCCCATGTACAGCGTGCGAAATCTGCGGTTGTTCCTCCGAGCAAGGCATCTTCTACACTGGCTCCCAAACCGGTCGTGACTTCCGACACGCTCCTGTCAGCCTTGAAACTAGACGATCTTCTCACCCACGCCACGGCAACAGACGAGCAATCGGCGTCCAAGGGTCATGCATCTAGCAGTACAGACAAGAAATACAGCAGAACAGACAAGGACACATGTAAGGGCAGTGACCTCCCCAAGACCCACCCCTTTCCAACACCCGCCACATCCAAATCCACCCCCACCAACGACAAACCCGCGCTCGAAAACCCCCCTTCCTCGAGCAGTAGCCACTCGACGCAAAGCAGCTCAGGAAGCTACCGCTTCGTCGCCAGCCCTAGCTCATCCACAGACCCCGGTGGCCGCCTCCTCACCACCTTGTTCTCGGGAACCGGCTTGTTCGGTGGACTCCCATCAACCGTAAATGTAGGTCTTTACGCTGCCAACTCACGCGACAATGCCAATGCCACCCCCACTCCCTCCACTTCCACTCCTACCCCTAACCCCCCCTCCTCTTCATCTATCCCATCCGCCACTATTAACCCTGACTCTTCCTTCCTTTCCCCCCGCCGCCCTCCTCCAATCCCACACCCCACAACCTCCATCTACGACCCCGCCTCTCCTCCTCTTCCCCCCACCAACCCCTCCTCCAAAACCCCATCTGTGGATTAGGAAAGTTTTTCTTTTTTTTCTTTTCGGGCGGAGTGAAAGGTGGGGTATGTGAGAGAGACTTTAGAGTTTCTTCTTTCGGGATGAGATGGCTGGATTGTGAGAGAAAGAGAGGGAGAGAGGAATACTTTGATGGGGGTACAAGTACGGTTTCCCATGTTCTTCTATACAGTTCTGTACCATATAATATGCACTCAATGTAACAACCCTGTACCAACACTCAAGAATTTCTGTCTTTGTTTTTCTTCGCAAAAAAGCTTGCTAAAACACGTTACTTTTCATTTCCAAAGATTCTGGTGTTTGCTGTAGGATTATCTAACCTAAACGCCGAAAAGCTAAGCTCAAGAATCTTCTATCACCCAAAAGAAACCTCCATCTCCATTACAAGGGCGGGCTCACCCTAGGACCAGCTATCAGCACTCATTCAAGCCTTTACTTTATGTCTAGATGCTATTAACATCCTGTAGAAACCATGTTAAAATGCTATTTAACAGGGTATCAAAGTAGATAGAGCAGTCGACACACCTATCTTCGAGGTGGGCCCTCCTCCGTAATGTCTCCCTTATAACCTCGCCTTGACCCCATCACCACCCCCAACCCTCCTCCCTTCCCTATCAAACACGATTTTCCTCCCACTCCTCAACGCCTCCTGCAGCGCAACCGCAATCCTCACCGCCTCAACACTACTCTCCAACCCCACCGGCACCTCCCCACCATCCAAAACCACATCCGTGAACACCCTCGCCTCCTCCACAAAAGCCGCTTCAAACCGCTCATAATACGTCTGCGGAATCTCCCTCACAATCCCGCTCGGCACATGGCTCTCCAGCAGCCCCATCGCGGGGTTTCCATTAACAACGAGTTTCCCTTTGGTCCCAATGATCTCAGTCATATCGTGCTGGCCCGGCGCATTCATGCGCGACGAGTAAAAATACGCAATCTGCCCATCGAAGAACTCAACGACGCCAACCGCGTTGTCGACGTCCCCGTGCTGAGCCAAACCCGGCTCAACAGCCGTAACGCCTACAGCGCTGACGCTCTTGACGCGCGGCAGCACCACCTCTCGTTCTCCCTTCTCTGCTTTCCCAGCGGGGGGAGGTGAGCTGAAGTACCACAGCGCGAGGTCGATGTCGTGGATGTTGCAGTCGACGAAGATGCCGCCGCTGAATTGCGCGTAGTCGACGAAGAAGCCGGACGGGTCGTATTTATCGCAGGTTTGGGAGCGGAGGATGGTTGGGCGGCCTATGGCGCCCGAGGTTGTGGATTTGTAGGCCGTTTGGTATGATGGATCGAAGCGGCGGGAGAAGCCGCACATTACTTTTTGGGTAGGGTGGGACTTTGCGGCTGCAAGGACTTTCTCGCACTGATGAGGGGAGGTGGTTAGTAAAGTTGTCATGTTGAGGGTTGACATGCGAGGGATATAGGGAAAAGGGGAAAGGGGAAAGAGAGAAAATCAAAGTGACAACTTACAGCAGCGACGTCGGTGCTTAGAGGTTTCTCACATAGAACGTGTTTGCCGGCTTCGATGGCTTTGATGGCCTGTTCGGCGTGCACTGTGGTGACGGTTGATACGCACACGGCTTCGAGGCCCTCGTGCTTGAGCATCTGGTCGTAGTCCTGGTAGATCGTGACCCCCCATGGCTCGAGGTTCTTCTTTGCCCAGGCGAGCTCCTTGGGATTTGGTGTGAAGGCAGCGACGAGCTCTGCTCGCGGTGTGCGGTGTAGGAAGTGGTTTGCATGCCGGGCGCCCATGCGGCCGAGGCCAGAGACGGCGATACGAAGGCGGCGAGTCTGAGGAGCCATTGTTCGTGTAGGTGTATATGAACTGCACTTTTTTGACACCAATTCAGTGCAGAAAAGTTTGCGGGCAGAAGTAGATATATAGTAAAGGTGGAGGGTTTGCGATCGAAGAAGAGTTACACGAGAAAGTCGGTGAACGTGCTCGCAGTTATACTATGCAACAATACGGTGAAGAAAGAGGTCGAAGGAAGAGTCTAGTGGTCATAGCTTCCAGTGTCTTTTCTGCCTCAATCGCATCAAACTCTAATCATTCGTTCGTCCAGGGGACCTGAGTCGGAGGATTGCGTTCCTTGGGCGAGGCGGGAAACGTTATTCGATCATCACCGCCACGAAAAGGTCGCACGGCTCGTCCGGATTTCGGCATGTTAGCAACCTGTTTAGTCGGTACGCAAAACTTGAGGGAATATTCGAGATCCACAAAATGGATAAGATTGCTGTCGTGGAACGTTGCGACAAGATGACGAGTATCAACGATGATGTCGTTTCATTCACAAGTGGGAACTTTGCCCGAACTACATTATGTGCGGGGAGACTTACCGTGTTGATCTACCTAGGTAAATATACTACTAATGAGTTACGTGCTGCGCACAGAAGTAATACATGTTCAACATAGCATTTGAGATAGTTAAGCTAGCTTAACTGTTGAAATTATGGATAAGATTGCTGCAATAAAAAAGCAGCTTCACAACTTGGCTATCGGAGAATGATTCCTGCGTCCCGAGTAAAGGCTTTCATATCTCGCGAAGCCAGTTAGCAGTACTCGCGTTACCATTTTCCCAAGGACTTGGAAAAAGATGTGGAAGGAGAATAGGGATTTAATGACCCTTGGTGGGATCGGCATCATCCTTGCTTTTATGCAAGTCATCCTCCAGGTTATGCAATCCTGAATGTCGCTCAAACGTTTCGCTCAGCCCAGCTTTCAATCACGCCTTTAGCCGTCGCTGGATACTCCTTCAAAACGACTTCGCGGCCACCAAGAAAAGTATTCGCCTGGACAAATACCCATTTCGGCTCCTGCTTCGCCAGGACAACCTCTCGCCACACCAGGTTGTCGGCGTTCACCCGTGTGAGCTCTTCATAGTAGTCGCGGCATGATTGGACATCCGCGGTGCAGCGGTATATGTGCAAGCGTAGCAACATGCGACCAAGCGCGGGCTTGCCTTGCGACACAATCTTGGACCGATCAACATGTATCCTGAGGTTTTTGCTTGGCGCGTCATAGTCTACGGTGACGCAACTATTGCTATCGGAGAGAAGGCATTTCAGAATAGCGAAGTGAGCCTATAACTGTCAGTCATAACTCAGGAGGAGGTCATAAAGGCATTTCTTACTCGGCTGTGAGCCTGACCCCATTTCTAGATCGCATTTGTTTAGCACGTTTGTCCAAGCATCTCTATTAGAGGGGTGGGTATCTTACCCCATTCTTAATGTTGAAATTCGCCAGTCCTCGGAGTCCATCTGTTCCTAGCTGCATGTATAGATTATATGTTACTGATAACTGTTAGCAAATATCATCTCATGTCACCCCGAAAACCTACAGTCCGCGGCCGTAATCTCAGAATTCTCATCATACGCAAACAACCCAAGTAACTCGACATCATCCATAAGATAAGCGCCCACAAGCTCCGCCCTACACTCATCCACAGTCGTAGCCAAATCGCCGAATTGCCCCGTCCAAGTCTGTCCCGGTTTATACCAAGTAGTAATTGGCTTGCCAGATATGGGATCTATCGGCGGATTGTGGATGTCGAAGTTAAACTTACCTTCCGACTCCTCGGCCATCATTTTCCCGGTGCCATGGCCGAGGAGTTCGTGAAGAACTACCCACCAGTAATAGGCGGGATACTTTGCTCTCTGGAATGAGTCGAGTTCGGTGGGGTCGATGAAGGGGCTTTGATATGCTCTGTTGCTCTCCGCGCTCATGCGATTTGCTATTATGACGTTCTTGAAGCCGCAATCGTCGCGGATATCATTATACTACGCAACTGGTTAGTAGTCAGCCAATGTATATAACTTAAGCACATACGTTCGGCAAGTTTATTCCTGGAAAGATAATGCTCGAGCAATATGCGAGAGCTGCAACATGAGTCAGTGAAGTCTAATTTATGGTCTTCCTGACTTACAGTAAATACTCGTGAAATCCGGCGGGTCGAAAAGAGCTTTTTCGAACGGTCCTTTACCATCATTCTCATCGCCTCCAGCCCAAGGAAGTCTCCTGATGAAGGTACTCGAATTCTCGACAAGCTTAATTAAAGTGTTTGTCTCTTCACGATCTGTAATTGCTACTAAACCTTCAAACTCTGCGCGAATGCCATGCGGATCTCTATACGGCTCCACAAACCCGAATATACTTTCAACGCGAGGGCTCCTGTCGGTAATCCAAGTGCGTTGCGAATCACGATATACTTCCAAATCACCTGTTCTGAAGCTTTCAATGTATTGAGATAAGAAAAGTTCCTGTTTCTCGTTGGCTGCGTATTGCTTCGCTTCGCGTAACGAAGCGCAGATCTTTGCCAGCTCCTCGGAGTGATCACCACGTTTGATTTGTACGGTAGCGCAGAGGGTAGGTAGCTCGAGTACAGCGGGTTCGGCATCTTGCTCAATAGATGCTTGTAGGACCTGGAATGTATTTGCCTGGGGGCTCAACAGCTTTTGGATTCGAGTGTTCTCAGGGAAAATTGAATATTCTTCTAACAAACGAGAGATCGCTGCAACTTCGTTGTGAGCGATTGTCGAGTCTCCCGGGTAATATTCACTTTGCATTGTGTCACTTGGGAACCCTAGTGCATAGGGCGGCACTGTTGTTATCGCGTTAGAGAACCGTTCATAGAGAGCTTCAAGCTTGAGGGATTTGCGCGATAGCTTCGCCAGTGCGGCAGAAGAAACCGAGGGCAGGAATTTTTGATCGCCGGAACCCTGTGCGAAATGTTAAATACTGAAGACTGCGAAGATAGAACGTCACATACATAGTAATTCCCTATATTTGATAGAAACGTCGCTGCATAGTCCAAAAATGCATCGCAGCACTCTTGACCAATATATCCTTCAGCAACGAGCATATCCCAGTCACCCGAAAAACTCCGGTAAAGCTCGAGGATAAAGTCGAAGATATCGATTGACTCTGGCGATATTTGGCGAAGAATGATTCTGGCTCCATGCCATGCTGCCCTTGTATTCGCCGAGTTAGCATAGCCTCGCTCTTCTATCCCTCCCGCGAGTACATACCGTGCCATGTGGTGGGCATAATGCTTCTCTTTCATAGATAGGCTGTTAAAAGCCTTCAAGACACCCAAATTATGGATAAGGGGTCGGGGAACAGCCATCTTGCTTGCTGGAGATGACGCGCGATCTGCTTTCAACGGCCGATCTTTCCGAGATAAAAGGCGTCTGGACGGTTCTGCCTCGTCGCGTCGATCAGTGAGGAGAGAGAGTGGGTGAATGGCGTTGCTGTTCAGGGCCGCGCCCGTCAAAAGTAGAGTCGAGGCTTTGGGACTTACGATGGCTCAATGACTATGGAGAGAGCATGTAGAAACTATATGAAATAGTGCGAAGTTATCAACATTGAATTGTGTGGGGGCGAAATGTAAGCTTGCAAGAGCAAGTCCAACCGCATTCACAAATCTATGGGGAAACCCGCGCACGATATACGTCATTCGTAGCCATGGGAATGGAACCTGTGTAACCAGTCTATGTATAGCCAAAGTTCCGGTCTTGAATTCGTATACGTACCACAGTACTTGTACAGGCCATATAAACCCGGCGGCTGCGTCATCTACATATTCGCTTTCTCGCTCTCTCCTGTTTCCAGCACCACCTTGATAACGAGATTTCCTTTATCGTCTTTCGTCTTGCCCGCCATCTCAAATGCTTCCTCCGCCGATTCCAGCCCTTTAAACCTGTGTGTGACAAGTTTCGAGAAATCCGGATAATCCGGTCCTTTTTTCGACACAACTTCGATGCCGGTCGGGTATGTGTTGGCGTAGCGGAAAACACCCATTATATCGACTTCACGGAGGGCGGCGGCAGATATGGGGAGTGTCTGAATGGGAGTGCCCATTCCTATGAGCAGAATCTTGCCTCCTGGTCTTGTTGCCTGGGTATCGTTAGTACGTGCTTCCAACTCATAACGGCTACGAGGGACTCACGTAAATCGAAGCTTGCACGCATGATGGTACACCAGTGCACTCAAACACTGCATCCACTTCGCCTACCGGGCCGCCGCTCACTTTGAGTGTCTTTCCGATCTCCGCCGCTGTCTCCTTTGCAATTTCCAGGTTCTCTTCTATTGTGTTACCTCGCTTCAATGGAACTGTGAAGCCCCGATGCGCAAAATTGTTCTCTACTGCAAAACCCACGCGTCCAGAGTCGATATCTGCTATCACTACGGTGCTGGCTCCGGCGATCTTGGCCATGGCGGCGACAAGCAGTCCGACAGCTCCAGCTCCAAAAACAAGCACCGTCGAGCCTACAGGAAGCTGTGCGCGTTTCGTAGCCTGTATGCCTACTCCGAGAGGTTCGAGGAGCGCGCCTACATCCAGTGATATGTTTTCTGGCAGTCTTTCTGAGTCAGTACCTCTGCAAGTCCAAGTCGCAATCAAGCCACTCACTTGTGACACCAAGCTGCCGGGTGGTTTATCCTATCCTGCAATGTTCCTTGTGCGTGCGGGAACGCTTTGGCACTGCTTCTAAACTTCATTTGTTTGCAGATGTTGTATCGCCCTTCCTTACATCTCTCGCACTGCTCGCACGGCTGGCCCACTTCTAGCGCAACTTTGTCCCCAACGTTGAAATTATTCACCCCTGAGCCTACGCCGACCACGACACCCGCAGATTCATGGCCCAGAGACATGGGCTCACGGACAATGATGTCGCCATTGCGATAGTGACGATAGTAATGTAGGTCAGAGCCGCAAAGGCCGGTGGAGCGGACGGATACTTGGAGCTCGTTGGGACCTGGAGGGAGAAGGGAGCGGGATTCCTAGAGTACTGTGAGTATATACGAAAAGGTTCGTATAGCCAGGGCACTGTACTATTCTCAAATCTCCGGCGCCATGTAGAACCGAAGCACGTATTTGTTCCGCATTTTGCGATGCCATGTCGTCCGCCTATATCCTGCAAGTACTCTCCGAGTTATGAATAATAAATCAAGCGGTAAAAATATATGATCCAGAAGAGACGTTTCGGCAATTAAGAGAGGTTTTGAGGAGAACAGGAGCTACAAAATCAACAAAGCGGACTGGATAATTGCACGAGCCACACTATAGGCACAAATGTGTTAAGATGTGGGACATGAATTCTTCCTGGGGCATCCCAGACAGGAAGATCAAACGCCGACGGTGTGCGGGGTCACCATTTCCGAGGTTTTCCGCGTCATAGCGAATGCAGGTCAATTGCCGCACCCCGCGCTAAAATCCAGAGCTCTGGACGTCAACGACAGCTCATGCGGGATATACACCTTTTGTCTACATCTTTCATTTTTCTGTGTAACCATATATTGTTAAGTCTAGGGGTAGTCAGAATCGTGATTCAAAGTATAAAGAGATAGTATAGGAAGCTGAATATGAGCACTGTTCAGGATCTATTCTCCCTCGAGGGCCAGACTGCCCTCGTAACAGGCGGTACACGGGGAATTGGGCAGGCAATGGCTTTGGCACTTGCTGAAGCAGGTGCAGATATTCTTCTTGTTCAGGTAGATCCCATCTCCCTCTTGCTTGTGCGTACAATCTGACCACCCTAAGCGTGATACCTCAAATCAAACGACCAAAGAAGCCATCGAGAAGCTCGGCCGGAAAGCCCAGATCTACACCTGCGACCTATCCTCCAACGAGTCCGTCTCTCAATTGACCCCTACGATCCTCGAAGACGGCCATCGAATCCACATCCTCCTCAATTGCGGCGGTATCCAACGGAGGCATCCCGCCCACCAATTCCCCGACGACGACTGGCAGTCTGTTCTCCAAGTGAACTTGACATCGGTATTTACGCTCAGTCGCGATGTTGGCGCACATATGCTCGCGTCTCCTCCCATGTCCGAATCGTCGGAGCGTCGTGGCGCTATCATCAACGTCGCGTCTCTGCTATCCTTCCAGGGAGGCTTCACTGTCCCTGCGTATGCGGCATCAAAGGGTGGAGTCGCGCAGCTGACCAAGGCATTGAGTAACGAGTGGGCATCAAAGGGCGTCAACGTGAACGCGATCGCGCCAGGCTATATTGCTACGGAGATGAACACGGCGTTGATCAATGATCAGAACAGGGCCAAGAGTATCCTCGAAAGAATACCTGCAGGCAGATGGGGAAGCCCAGATGATTTCAAAGGCGTAATAGTATGGCTTGCCAGTCGAGCGAGTAGCTACGTCAGTGGGGAGGTGGTCACAGTTGATGGAGGCTGGATGGGACGTTAGTGCAATTTCCCGCTGGTGGTGGTGGTGGGTTTGTGTTTGTTTGTCTATCTTGCTAGGCAGCTATGATTTGCCAATTCACCCCGTTTTCTGATTCGAGTGCTGCCACGTGCGGCCCTATCAGCTAATTCTCGTCACTTGCCTATTTTATCTTGACACACGGCTTTTTTGTCCTCTCTTCCTCTCTGGCCACCACTTGATTTCTCCAGCGACCAGCTACCAACAGATCACATTCTCCACCACAATCCCAATTCCCCACCACAACATCCTTCTCACATTACTTCCAACCAAGCCTCCATACACATCCTTCCTCCTCATCTCCTCCAATTCAATCCCCTACAATGGCTACAATGATGGTCGTCGAGGGCTTGCCGATGAGCGGCGAACACAGGTGGTACAAGCCCACCTTCATCCACTCCGGGGGTCTCACCTTCAGAGAAACCCTCACCGACGAAGAGCGCCGACAAAGCGAAGAGGTGCTGGCCTTGCAGGACCAACACTCCATGGCGCGAAGGTTCATGGAGGGCACTTGGGACGGGCTATGCCCACTGGTACGTCCATCTTGAACGCAAAACCGCTCAACAGCCCCAACTGGCATGCTACTCGGGAGCACTGCCTGTCCTGCTAGCTGCCTACGATCCGCTGACAATTCTCTTCCGACTACAGTATACTTTCCGCATCGAAGCGCGAGTCCGCAAATGCGAGCACGGCGGCGACTACGACCGCCATGTCACCGTCGAACTCCGCTTCGTCAGCGACCAGAACCGCAAGCTGGGCACCCTGGGCACCAGCCACTGCTACACCAACGGCCGCGAGACCAGGCGCTTCGGAAACTGGCATTTCTCCCGCGAGGCCGGCGAGATTGGCGAGGAAGGCTTCGTCGTAAGTTCCCCTCAAACTATCCCCCCCCCCCAATGGACACACTGACAGGAGAACACAAACAGCTGGGACCCCGACCCACGCCCACGCAGGACATGCCACAAATCCCAGTCTACCACCCCGAGATGGACGCGCCGCTTCTGCGGACGGCCGAGGACTGGATCGCAATTGCGCTGGAGATGCGGAGTGTTTCCGGCGGCCGGTTCCTGAGGGTCGGAAAGGTTAGTACGCCGCCTTCTTCTCCTCCTCCTTCTCCGCTTCCCGAGGCCGCCAACCCCGAGGAAGCCCAGCAGTGAAGCTGGTTAAAGATCACGGCTAGGAGTCAACCTAGGATAAAAAAATCAGTCCTGAGATTTATGCTCAAACCGCCACGTGGTTCAGGATGGGAACTCCTTTGGCTGTCTCTGCTGAGACGCGCCAAAGGTGCTGATATGGGCTGTTTTTATATAGTCGCTCCATTTTTGATTCTTGGGAAGTTATATACCTTTTCATTGATGGGTTGGGCTGTGTGAGCAGGGGATCGGTTGCTATTATATATTTCAAGATATGTGAAGAGAGAAGCACATGAGGGATCACCTGAGCAATCGGTAAACAACAGTGACCATCCACGGGCTTCAATCGTGAGTATTATTTACTGCAAACACAAGATAGTAAGAGCATCACAGTATCACTTGAATAAATCTCTTGACTGTTTCTCATGATCAACAACATGACCATGATACACAGTCAACAGATTGCATCTGTCACGAGCTCACTCACAATCATAGTCACCATCCTCATTCAACACAACTTCCCGAGAACCGACCATGTCATTCTCACATCTAAATATATCAAGGGTATATCAAGCTAACGCACATGATCACCAACCCATCCCCAAACTTACCCACAAGGTGCAGTTCATCCACTCATATCCACACCTTCGGGCTTATCAGGGAACCCAACATCGACTCCAAACGCAGGATACACGAAACGAGTGAACCCATGCTTCTTAGGCAGCTCGGCCAACTTCTCCAAATCCTCGCCATCCAGTGAGATGAGTTTCCGGTTTTCGTCGATCCGAGATGGAGTGACTGATTTTGCGAGGACGGAGGAGTTGCGTGCCACTATATTTCCACTGACATCAGCATAATTTCTTCTTTTATCCGGGAAAACATTGCGGGATAGGATTAGGAAAGGGAGAGGAAGGGTGAAACGTACAATGATAACTCAACAGCACCACACCCGGCCCCACAGAATGTTTCTTCGCAACCTCAATCACCGCCTCATCCTTCAGCAGCGGAGACCCCGTGCTTCCCAAAGGACTGTACGCAGTGACGTGGATCCCCTTCTCTTTGCAGTAGTCCACAATCTCCTGCTGCGGGAGCAGCGGGTGGTTTTCGATCTGGTTAGCGGCGGGGACAATGGAAGCTTGCGGGAGGAGCTTCTCAAGGTATTTGACCGAGTAGTTTGCGACGCCGATGGCCTTCACTTTGTCGGGGTGGGACTGGATGAGGGATTCGAGGGATTTCCAGGTCTGAATGTGCGAGGTGGAGTGGTCGAGATCGCGGGAGCCATCTGGGAGCTTGGGGAAGAGCTCGTGGTTTCCTAATTACAAACCTTCGTATGAGTGGTGCTGACATTTCAAAAGTGTTGTGTTGCACTGAAAGATCAAGGACAATTACGTACCATTGGGGTTCATGGGAACGGGCCAATGCATGAGATACAAATCCACATACGGCGTCTTAAGCAGATCCAAGCTGTTCTGCAGACCCCCCTCGGCCTTGGTGTGGTACGTACACCACAACTTGCTCGTGATGAACAGATCCTCCCTCTTGACAATACCACGTGAAATCACATCCTCGAGCGCCTCGCCGACCTCGTCCTCATTCTGGTAGCAAAAAGCACAGTCAATGTGCCTGTACCCACCTTCAATTGCATGAACAACGGCTTTCTTCACTTCGCCCTTAGCACTCTGCCACGTGCCGAGGCCTAGAGCAGGGATCGTCGCGCCAGTGTTGAGTGGGAGTGCGGTATTCATGGTAGGCGTCGGGTTCAGGATACTCTTTGGTGTCTTTCCGAGGATGAAGTTTGCGAGCGAGGGGTTCATAATCTTAGCGATGCGGTGGCGGTTGTGTAGGTATATATGGGGCCACTCTGGTAAAGTGGTTGGGCTGCAGGCGGCATGGTGACTGGCTGTTGCATATTCTCTTTTTAGCTACAATTACGTAGCGTATGGATTGGGAGAAAGGCTCAACGCGACTCGGTTGCGCCAAGCCTGTCTTTCTTCCCTTTTTTCCCTGAATGCCCCGCCATCAATGTACCCCGCCGGGCTATGTCGGTCCGAAATTCGCGTGTGGGCCGAGTGCATGGTTGGATTCAAATGCCGAAGGGGATATAATTTTTCCGTGTGATGAGCTGTTCAAGATGATATTGATAGTGTTAGATTCTTATTCATTTTGTGTCTCAAGTGCTACTCGAAGGTGATCCAGTGTATGCAGTAGGCTTCAAGATACACACATGACGACTTGGTACCTGAAAATCACGTGATTCACTGATGCCCCCAGAAACAGAAGCCTTCCAGAAAATCTACCGTCAGCCCAGATTCAATAATCTCCGCAGTCCCACGTACATCGAGCCTGAACAAATCGAGCTTGACCTGAAGAAAACCCTTCGTCATCATGCGCATAAACCCACAGGGTCAAGCATGTCCATCACGATCTAGGATAGCTTCGCCGCACTAACTACAGTAAATTCCCCCGCACGTCAACCACACGGCGAGAATTCCCATTTACAGCGAAAATGGCGATTCTCCCCTACAGACCGTCGCAAACAGGAAATATTGATAGCCCCAGCTCCACTGCGACTCCACCGATGAACCCTCCACCCGTCACCCAACAGAAAAGAATCTGTACCACAATCGAAACAGTACCCTAGCCTTGAGCGACCGAGTCAGCCGTCACACTCATACTTGTTCCAGGGCTACTGGTGCGAAGAAGCCCCGATCACTTACCACGGGTTGTACGAGCGGGGAGAATTTCCCTATGAAGTTCCCAACGGGAAGTTTGGCTCGACGGTTCTCCACCTACCTGTGGAGCTGACATCGACAGAAAAGCTATCTACAGGCCTTGTGAGCAGACTGAGTGGTTGAGAACTCGACCGATGTTATGTTGAACCTTCAGGGTTCTGGCATGGTTTTGTGGAACGCACATGTGCGGAGTCGCAGACATGTGGACCTACAGTTGAACTTTTCTTGCTTGCGTACTGAGGGGAAACGCTGGAGACGAGTGGTTTAAGTACGGATGCTTCCTCGTTCATTCCACGTTTTCTTTTTCTTTCCTAGTTTTACATTTTTTGTTTTGTTTATGACGATTTACGCTCTATAGCTTTTGAGAACTTGATACCCTTTTACACCTTTGCCATACCCATCGTCCATCTCCTACTACAAGACACACATACACTCAACCTCAAGTACCCAAAACATCCCTCACAATGGCCCCAGGCGCTCTCTTAGAAACGCCCACCACACCCCACACCCGCGATGGCCACGCCCTAGAGGAAACCAGCGACCTAATCGACGCCGTCAACGTCCTCAAAGCATCTCTAAAAGCCCAATCCACCTCCACCCCTCCCCAAACAGAAGTCCCACAACAAGAACCCGAACAAGACATTTACACAGCCTCAAAATTCGATTCGCAAAAAGAGAAATCCAATTTCCGGCAATACGAAACAGCCTGCGACCGCGTGCGCAACTTCTACACGGAACAACACACCAAGCAAACCTACGCCTACAACCTGGCAGCGCGCGCTTCTTTTCACAGCTCCACGCGCGCGGAAATGACGGTATGGGAAGCAATGGAGAAGCTGAACACGCTGATCGATGAATCGGACCCGGACACGTCGCTCTCGCAGATCGAGCACTTGCTCCAAAGCGCCGAAGCTATCCGACGCGATGGGAAACCGCGGTGGATGCAGCTCGTAGGGTTGATCCACGATCTGGGCAAACTCTTGTTTTTCTACGGCGCAGAGGGCCAGTGGGATGTTGTGGGTGATACGTTCCCTGTTGGCTGCGCATTCTCTTCCAAGATTATCTACCCGGAGACTTTTACTGCGAATCCGGATTCGAGGCATGAGGTTTATGGAACCGAGAAGGGGGTTTATGAGGAAGGGTGTGGCTTGGATAATGTGATGCTGAGTTGGGGCCATGACGAGTATTTGTATCTGGTTATGAAGGGGCAGAGTCGCATTCCTGAAGAAGGGTTGGCGATGATTAGGTATCATAGCTTCTATCCGTGGCATTCGGCGGGTGCGTATCGTTGGATGATGGATGAGAAGGACGGGCGCATGTTGGAGGCTGTGAAAGCTTTCAATCCGTATGATCTCTACAGCAAGAGCGATGAGGTGCCTAGGGTGGAAGATTTGAAGGTAAGTTTTCTGCGTTCTGGTCTTAGACATGGCGTTGGGGTTTTTGCTAACTTTACTTCGCGATTACAGGACTACTACATGGATATCATCGAAGAGTTCATTGGTAAAGACAAGAAGCTGAAGTGGTGAGGTGTTGACATAGATCATCACGGAAATCGGCGTTGTTTGAACATGAGCAATTTTTTTGTTACATTTTGTGACCACGGAGTGCCAAATAGGCCCGTGGCTATGGGAGCTGCATCTATAGTATTCGAAGCACTTTTTTCTCTTATTCACCAAGTCATCCCCAGAAGTGATTTCCTAGAGCAGTATCTATTTTACATGTAAAGGGCAAGCCATGCATGAAGTCATGAGTGCATTGCATTGTCCTGGTCATAAGCCGCTATAATCACGCCATTACAACGCAATCTTCATCGAAGCATCAGAAGGACTTCATCGCACTGCCAGCTGCTCGGTGTTTGCGAAAGCAAAGCTTGGAGATCCGGGTTCAGCGCTGCCAGATGTAGGTGCCAATTGGTCTTTCTTCTCGCCCTCGCTGCCATCTTCATTGATGACCACACCGCTCTTGCCTCCCTCGTCCACGCTTATGATTTCTACAGCGACGCACTTCTGAACAGTCTGCTTCAAGCCTGGTATCATGGCACGGAGGGTGGCTAGCTCGTCAAAGGCAAGTTGGCGGTTAAGAACAGTATCCGGGGATTCGCCGTTGTCGAGGCGTCGCTTGAGGCCATTGATGAAAGGCATGGCTTTCTTCGACTCGGACTTGTCAATAGTCTTGCTCAGGGCCTTGATATCGACGTTCGGGTATTGGGTTTGAAGAATGTCAATGTACCTAGTGTGGTTAGTTACTGACATGCGAATCTTGGTAATTTGTAACTTACTTCTTTTGCCACGCCGGCCATGATTTCGCGGAGAATATGGTAATGGTCTTCTCTTTCTTGGGGTCAAACAGAGCCTCTTTGCCCTTGGCCAAACGCTTGACAGCCTGCCCCTCTGATGAAGTGATGTTCGACTGAGTTGTCCTCACGAACTCACGCGCCGCCGTCAGACCCGCATCGGAAGCTGGAACCTCAGGCCACAAAGCGTTCTGGATAGTGTCAGGCTTGCCGAGAATCTCTTGCCAAACATAGTCGGACCAGTGAGGCGCAATTGGAGTCAAGAGAAGAGCCTGGAGTTCGATGAAACGCTTCGCAAGATCCTCATGCATGCCGATGCCAGCTGCCTTGGTAGCCTCACGGTAGAAGTCTCGTGCAGCCGTGAAATCGAAATAGCCAGATTTCAGAGCTGACTTGTACATTGTGGCCTCGTAATGTCCTTTGGTTTCGGCGACCAACAGGTTCATCTCGTTTTCGAACATGATGTCCCACAAAGCCTTGGAGCTACCAGACTTGCGCTGAATGGAGTCTGTGTTCTTGACTCGCTCATTATCACGCTTGGACTTGTAGGCTTCGCCGTCGTCCACGAGGATGGCATCTTTGACTATCTCTTCACACCACTTGCGGAGCTCAAATAGCTTCAAGATATTGGAGTTGGCGACGGTTTCTTCAAAGTTGGCATCTTCGATACCATCACCTGCGTCAGCAAGAGCGATACGAGTGGCGTCAGCACCGAACTTTTCAACGGCGCCTTGAATCGTAAGGAAGTTCCCGGTACTCTTTGACATCTTCTCGCCATTAAGCATGAGATGGCCATTGACACGGAAGCTGCGAGGCCAGTTCTCCTTGTTGAAGATGGCGGTGTGTACGTAAAGGTTGAAAGTCAAGTGGTTTTGAATAAGATCTTTTCCACTAGTTCGCATGTCAAGAGGATACCAGTAGTCGAAGTGTCGTCGTAGCGTCTGGAGTGACTTTGTAGGTATGTCTGTCTGTGGCAGGTCTCCGCGATCGCGACGGGCAAAGACGTAGTCCCAAACGTCGTCAGTGAATTGCTCGCTCTTGATGCCGAGAGGGCCGATATCCTTTCCAAAAAGATCTGTGTGAAGCAAGTGAGCAAAGCCATAGTAAGCCTGGTAAATTGTCGAATCGCTGAGAGATTCCACCATGACGGAGTTGTCCCATGGAACCTTGGTACCGAGACCGTATGATCGAGCACAAGCCCAGTTGCCAAGCCAAGCAACCACTCCGGTAAAAGCATGCTTAACCTCTGGGTAGTATAGCTGCATTTCATTGATGTGTTGGAGGACCTTTGCAGCCCACTCGCCGTCTCCACGGTTCTCAGCGGTGCCGTAGTTCATGAACCATTGATCAAGCAGTCCTGCTACACATTCGTCACCTGAGCGAGACATGACCTTGCCATCGGGCTCGGCATAAGGGAAAGCGAAACCCTGGTCGATGAGCTGCTTGCGCACGAGGTTCTTGGCTTCTTCGACTTTCTTGCCCTTGAAGTCACCATATACCATTGTGCCCTTGTAGAAGCCCTCTTTGTAAGCCTTCTCTTTTGCTTCTTCGAGTTTCTTGGCGTCTTTGGGTGATTGAATCTTGAGGTCCTCCACGAGCTTCTTCGCAGTCAAGTCTCCATACTGAGGAGTTGAGATGATGGGGAGAATGTCATCGAATTTGACCCACTCTTTCTGAATCTGGTAGTACTCGGCTTTCTTGGCGAGGTCTAGAGACGTAATGTAGTCATCTGGAGAATCTGAGGGTACACATGTGACGACTGCGGTGCCCTTTGTATCCTTGACAGTTTCCATGGGGAGGATGCGTACGCCGTCGGTGTGTACGGATAGAGGAGCATCGACAAGAGTTCCGACCACGTCTCGTCCAGTGAAAGTAGCGACCTGAGGGAACTCACCCCACTGGGGGAAGGTGCCTTGGAAAGCCATGTTACGAGCTGCGCGAGGGCTGCAGACAAAATACTCAGAGTCGGAGACCTGGAAGATGCCATACTCAAGGGTTGGACCGACGAAACACGAAGTTTGACCATACATCGTTTCTGGGCGAAGGGTAGCAGGGATGAAGAAGACGTTGGCACCCTCGGGGATTTTGCCTTTGAGCTTCTCTTGCGCAGGTACGGCCCACTCCTTGACCTTCATCTTCAGCGCGGTATATTCCTGGACACCGACACCCTCGCCGCTCTGACGGTCATGGTCCATGCAAGCTTGCCCATCTTTGGGTGAGTAGACAGTGTAGCGCTTAGCAAATATAATCTTGCCTAGATCCTTGAGCTTTCGCATCTGCCATGCAACGAATGAGTCATAGTAAGGGTTTGCGTCAGTGGTGACAAACTGTCGCCTCCAATCAATGCGGGCGCCAAACGCAGTCAGGTCGCGCCGGGCAAGTGGCGGGAAATATTCGATCCAGTGATAAGGGTCAGAGAACTTGTGGATTTCCTCGAGAGGGATGCCTTGCGCAAGCATGATTTGGAACTGGTACTTGGTCTTGACTGACTTGGCTGCAGCCTTGCCTTTCTTTGCGGAGAACTTTGTGAGGTCTGTCTTGGTTTCTGCCTGGGTAGGAGCTGGAGGAACTGCGCCGTCTGTTTGGCCTTCTTCGATGATGTCGTCTACGGGGCATCGCTCGAAATTTTGACCAAAGAGTTCGACTTCGCGCACGAGCTTGTCGGCACAGGCCTTGATGGGCATTCCGGTGACGTGATAGCCGAGAGGGAACAGAGTGCGTTTGCCTTGCATGCGAGCGAAACCTGCCGTGAACTCAACCTTACTTGCGGTGAAGCCATGGCCTGCGTGTAGAGTGCCGTTCATATACGGGTAGGCAAAGTTGCCATTGAACTTGGGGTATTTTTCATGTAATTGATCGGGGGTGGTGTCGAACGGCTCCTCGTCAATGGACGGGGCCTCTGGCTCAAAGACGTGTGCCTCGGCCCATTTCTTCTGGTATGTCTTCTCGGAAGCGATCAGTGTGTCGCGCTTGTCTGTGTTTTCGATCTTGAGGGTTTTCTGGCTGGCGGCGCTGGGATCGAGGACGGAAAGGGTGGCCTTGACGGCGGTGTTCGGGACGTCTTTGGGGGCCGTAGCCTCGGCCATGGTGAGAGAGAGAATTTGAGACGTCGACGGGCGAAAGGGTGGGTGCGAAGAAAGGGACGTGGTGGTGGAGAGAAGTGTGTGGTCTTGTTTGAGTCAAAATGATGGCGCGGGGTGGTGGGGGAGTCGCGCTAGCGCCTTACTGCAGTCTACGAGGGTGATGCCCTGTGCCAACGTTAGTCAAATCTTCTTGCTTTCATCAACCAACCTTCTCCATCATCCCATCACCACATCGCCACATCGCATCACACAATGTCAATGCTGCGGCTCTTCCAGAGTCTCATTGGTCGCTCCCCCAAATCGGATTTGCCGCCTTTCGACTTCACGCGCAATCGCTACCGCGCCAAAAAGGAGTGGCCTCCAAATCTCAGCGAGCTCACCGAACGACAAAACTTTCGCTTCGAGCGCAAATTCAAACGCCGCCTGCGTCTCAAGTCCATCAAACCTCAATGGCAGAAGGGAGTCGCACTCGTGCAGTGGAGCGCGATTGGCTTCGTCGTTGTTTACGGAGTTCTCTTCCATGACTTTTCCAACGATCCCATGAATCCACGACCGGGGGAGCAACCATTTCAACGTCTAAGAAACTGGATGTGGGGATTAGGAGGAGATTTCTGGACACATACCTCTGCGGAGTCTCAGCTCCAGGGCCAGCCCAGGGGACGGGGGGTGGAAGCGCAGATGGAGGAAGGGGTGAGGACTGGGGGGCGGAAGGGGCCTGATAACGTGCATTAGCATCTTGTACTGCGGTCAAAGGGAGATTAAGATTGATAGTGCTGCAGTAATGCGAAAGATGAAAAGGAGGGATGATGTTCGATCCCACCAAATAGGACCAGGACTCGAGAGAACGTGGAGAGGGGTGGTAATCAACAAGTACTTACCTAGAGATGGAGGAACTGCATGACGGCATCCGGAAAGTATGTCAACTCCCCGTAGAACCACCACTGTCTTGTTAGCTTGTTTGCCGCAAAAGAAGGAGTAGTGAGTCTCTTACTGGTCCTCGATACTCGTAGAGCCTTCCGTTCCGCCCCCGGTCAAACAGGAATCCACCAACCCCCCAGGACTCCGAACCATCTTGGTAGATGTGGAATTTCCCGAAGGATATGGTGTCCCTATAGTTCCTGGGTGTCGTTAGTACGGGAGCCTGGGCTCTTCTGGATGGTTTTCTTCAACTACTTACTCGGGCCACCTCCCGACCACTTCCGCCTCCACGGTGAAGTGGAGGTTCGCAGGGTTACCGTGCCAACTTTTGATGACCGTTACCCGCGTGTGGTAGCGGTCAGCCACGGGGTAACCCCCAGTGGCGAACTTGGCTACGACACTGTCCAGGCTCAGGTCATCGAGGAAGGCACGGATCCCCTCCCTCTCCACTTCAGGCACCGCAGACACTCCCGTACCCCTCTCAAATCTCACTCGCGGCCTACTCTATGAGTTAGACCGTATAGCAATATATTACTTCTGCCAAATCGAAAGTCTGCCTTCAACCGCCGGATCCCAATTTGAGATAATGACTCCGGGGGTCTTTTGAGTACTCGACTGGACATAGTTGACTGCCGTTGGGAAGTTCGATGCTTGATATGGCGTGCGATTTATGACGAGGAACACCGTTTCAAGAAGCAGCGGAGTAGGTGTCGAAAGACGGAAGCAGTTTATACCCTCATGCTCAGGAGGAAGGATACGGGCTGCTTCTGGGTGGCGTATACGAAACCGATCGATCGCAGGGTGCAGTTTACGTCCTCTTGCCCAGGAGGATCTCGACATATTGCGATAGTTCGTGGTCGATTCTTTCAAGGAGACTATCCGGCAAAGCGTCGTTGCTTTCTCATAGGCACATCTCGTATCGCACTAAACTCCACCTCTTTTTCGTCGTCACGGGGAAATAGACCCAGGGATTGGCAGTCCCTAGGCAGGAAAGGGATCAGGAAAGAAGGCAGTACTTACAAGGCAGAGGGTGGCATCTTCTTGGTCAATAAAAAAACTGCTTGTGTTGTGGTTTGTTGTCAGTACTCAGGTCGGCGAGACAGACATCAAAACACCAAAACCCGGTATCTCATCGACACTCGTGATTCCCGAATCGGCAATATTGCTCAATGGCAGCCAAGAGAAGAGATGTATCAGAGTATGGGGATAAGATGTGCTGCTATACGTACCGTCGTTCAAGTTGTGGTGTGCCGAGAGAGGAAACAGAAGAAGGAGGGGAAGAGGAGGGTGAGGTTATGAGGTCGTCGCTGGACAGCGTGCCTGCCTCTCTTGCTGACGCACGGACATTCATTTGTTTACTTTCTGGCCTCACCTCGACTCTTTGGCTTTGCAGGCGTGAAGGCGGGTTTTGAAGATGTTATGATGAGATTACTGGTATTTTCTCGGCGCTGCGAGTGCCGTTAAACATGCGTTTTGGGATTGTGTACATGGTAGTTCGAACTAGATTAATGTGCTGTAATACTAGAGTGTGGGTACACATGGGTAGATTTAGTTAAGTGTGGTGTTTGTAGATTATCTGTATCATAGGTATTCTGGTAGAGCGAGTCTGGTAACGCGGCACTGTACAAAAGACTGAGTAATCTACGTTAATGATCTGTCAGTGTACACTGACTCAGAAACGACATCTTTGATGAACATACTAAAGGGACATTGTGACTACAGAAACTAAGTACACACATACAACTGTCATGCATGTACACCACCTATCCACAATCCACATCGGAATGAGCATACAGAAGGCAAGACAACCTTGCCAGCCCTATCCACACGACCTTTTCGACCACTGCACTCTACAGTTCACCACCATTACTCACCGAACATCCCAAATGCTATCTACATACTCTCTACGTCCTCATCAAGACCGCCCACAGCATATTAAGCTCAATCCTACATCCATAGTCTCAAGTATCCACGATCCACCATATACCTAACCTTCACCTCCCAGTCGTCACCATCATCCAATTCCCGAAGATCAACGATCTATATACAATATCGCTCTTTCGGGATGTAATGTGTAATTTACTCGAAAATTTCAAACATAGAGCTCGCTATGACTCCACTATACGTTATAGATTACCCGCTCGAAGAGTTGGACATGAGCCGTCGTTATCTCAAAACATGGAAAGTAAGACATGTAACAAGGCGTATACACAAGTCCACCTAAATTCTCGGAAAAAGAATTTATTGCATGGTAGGGTCTGAAGAAGTTACGCGGAAGTCATAATCTCATGATAAAGAGATTTTTACGCCTAAGTGCTCACACGGAGAATATAGAGCCGTTATCTGTACGTGTTCTCAAGTGAAGAAAGCAGCTGCAATAGACAATAATTGACACTTAGCAACGATAGTTATGAAAGGCGATGACACAAAGGCACACTAGGTGTTACTTGTTTCGTCTTGTGGAGTGAGTGCATCGATTGCTAGGTCAGCTAGAAACACAACACGATGATCCAGTCAAGTAAGAGGGCAAAAACGTCCGATTTTCAAAGAAAACGAGTTGGAAAATCTTGAGATAAAAGGCAATAGTAAACATATCCTCTTTTCCAAACCCCAGTATCCCACTCTCCTAATATCTGTTCTTAGCCAGAACAGGGGAAAAGCCACACACACACACACACAAGGGGGAGTTTTTTTTGAGAGGGGTCGAAGATAAGAGAGAAGACGCCAAAAGGTTAAGCATAATTGGATTTTCACGAAAGCCCTCCATCCGCCACCATTTCATCGAATTCCCGTTTCCATTTCCATTCCATATGATACAAGAAAATTAAGGGCGTGTGGTATGAGCAGATAATAACGGAAAAAGCAAAAGATGACAATGGCCGCCCAAAAGAAACTCGCGAAAAGGAAACTATCAACTGGCTTGGAACACTGCTGAGTGACGCCCGCGGAAGATCGAGGATAGATGGACATGAGAAATGCGACAGATATGATATGATGATGACGCATGCGTGCAGAAAAGCAAGCAAGAACACAATGCATCGAGCCCAAACGCACTAGCTAAAGTTCTTGTGAGATAGAACAACCAACACCGAATGAGAGAATTCGTCAAATGCCCACCGAGGTGAGAAGAGAAAACGGAGAGGGATGGACACTATGTAGATGTGACCGGAGCGAGGTATGTGAAGAGCAGATATTGAGATCGCAACGCCATGCAGTACAAGAGGGGTATGATGAATAGACGGAGTGCAGCATCAAGAATAGACGTCTCAGTTGCCGCCTTTTATTCTCTTGTTGCCCCCCACTCTTGGACTTGCTTTGACTTTGGATGCGCCGTTCATATCTCCACCACCGTCGTCACCGTCTTTCATAGCTGTACTCCTTCGCCGCTTATGATTCAGGCTGGGGGATGTGTTCATACTCGCAGCATTGCTGCCCTGACTGAGCTGAGCAGCCATAGGATGCGAGGCAGGTGACGGAGTGTGGTTTTGTTGCATCATTTGAGGCGAGCTCATGTTGCCGTTCGGAAGCAACTGGTTTTGCAAAGCAGGTGACATGAACTGCTGGTTCGGTGGCAGCCCTGGTGGTATATTTGACGGTGTCCGGGCCCCAGGAGGCATTCCAGGTTGAGGGGGTTGCTGCATGCCCTGATTTGGAGGCATGTTGCTGGGTTGCATTCGGCTACTTTGTAACTGGCACCACTGGTCCAGTGCTTGCGCCGGGCTGAGCTTCTCGGATTCGACGTAATGGGTCATCAGACTGCTCATTGTGTTCATTGTTTCGTAAATCTACTGCAGGTGAGCAGAGAAATTGACATGTGGTTGACTGCTCGAGCTTACCTCAAGATATGGGTGGAGCCGCTGGGGGAGGCCAAATGGGGACACATCTGCTTGAGGCAGCCTTGAAAGGGGCATCGACGGTTCCGCAGGAGCTTGTGGAATTCGGTTTTGCTTCTGCTTGGCATTTTTGTTCATGCGAGGGGATTGCTGTGCGTTCATGGGATTGACTTCTTCTTGCGTGAACAAAGATTCCAACACTGAGCGAGGTATGTACTGTTGATGGGGACCCACGGCCTCAAACTGCAACCACTCCATCTTTTCGTTGTTGTTGGCCCAAAAAGCTGTCAATTTACCAGAGGATACGACCTGGAAAAAGTCAGTAACTTGCGGGACCAAAGGCATATGTCTCAAATCATACCTGGATCTGGTTCTTATATGTATAGATGAACTTCGCCCGCTCGCAAGTAACCTTGGTTTCCGGACCCACATTCTTTTCTGCCGCGCCGTCTAGGGTGATTTGCAGATTATCTATATCAGAGTACTGCGCGCAGAAATATCGAGGCAAAGCCGCGGCCACAATATCAAACTGTTTGGTCCTCTGGCCGCCAGCGACAATGTGAATAAATGAACCACTGTCGGAAAAGAACTTGCTGACAAAGTCTTGCCAAATTTCCATGCGGTTTGTTTCGCCTCGAGAGGACTGTGATGTGTCAGCATATCTGGTTAATTGTGAGGACGAAGAGCACCATACACTAAATCGGCCAAGTTGATCCACAAAGTTCATCAACTTCAAGGTGCCCTGCCCGCTGGAATGCTGCTGTGCGGCGTGTTGCCTCATCATAGCAAGTCGGGCTTGCTGCGCATTCATTTGGGCGACTTGCTGTGGATTCATCGCGGGGTTACGTTGCTGAGGTTGGGCTTGATTTTGAGGAGGCTGGTTCGGTTGCTGTTGCTGCGGTTGTTGCTGCTGTTGAGCTTGTTGATGTTGTTGCTGCTGTTGCTGAGCCTGCTGCTGTTGCTGTTGAGCTTGCTGTTGAGCTTGCTGCTGGGCCTGCTGCTGGGCCTGTTGCTGTTGTGCTTGTTGCTGCTGCTGCTGCTGGGCCTGCTGCTGGGCTTGCTGTTGAGCCTGCTGCTGAGCCTGTTGCTGGGCCTGCTGCTGCTGCATGGTGGAAGGTTGATTGGGGGCGGGTGATTGCTGTGGAGGTGGTCCTGACTGAGGAGGTTGTTGCGGGGTCGATTGGGGGGCAGGAGATGCTTGCCCTTGGTGGCTCATGGCAGAGGGCGGACGAAGCGGTTGTCCTGGTGGAGGTTGCGAGGAATTTGGCGGGCCCTGACTCCCAGGCTGGCTATGATTGCTTTGCTGAGAGTGCACAGGCTGCATCGAGATAGCCTGATGTTGCTGCTGCTGTTGCATCTGTTGCTGCTGCTGGGCCTGTTGCTGCTGCTGCTGCTGCTGCTGCTGAGCATGAGCTTGGGCTTGATGCTGGGCGTGTACCATCGCGGCGGCCTGCGGATTACTTGTTGCTTGCTGCTGTTGCATAGCCTGCTGCTGCTGCTGCATCTGGTGACGTAAATGTGGAGGCAGCTGGACCATGGGTTGACCGCCCATTTGTTGCATGGCGGCCATGTGCTGGGGAGTCATTTGGTTGCCCATGTGTTGGGGAAATCCCATGCCGCCCATGCCATTTTGCTGTGCCAGCATCTGCTGCTGGCGTTGGTGCATCATGGCCTGCTGCTGCGATCTTTGAGCCATGAGACTAGGGTGCTGTTGGTTGTTCACTGCGGAAGATATATATCAGTAAACGATTCAGCCAATAGGGCGACATTAAGAAAACGAACTCACTCATTTGATGTTGTTGCTGTTGCTGGAACATCTGCTGAGCCTGTGGCTGCAGATGCGAGAGAGCATGCGCATTGGGGCCCATGCCTGGCTGCATACCCATCATAGGGCCTGCCTGGCTTACAGGACCATTTGGGCCCGATACTCCAGGATGCATTGGCATGCCCTGCGGCATCGGATGGCCAGGGCCGGTAGCCATCATATGTCCCTGGGGCATGGGCATGCCGCCGGGTTGCTGTGAGAACTGTGTTGCTTGCATCATTTTGATGCGGGCAGGGGATGCGGCCAGCCGTTCTGTTACAAGGCAGGATTGTCTCTATAGAGACGTGTGGGAGGCGGAGGGTACACGAAGGCTACCAAAACCGAGAGGAAGGCAATGGGAATTCGACGCGTTGTAAGGATGGGTTAAAGCGGACCGCTGTGCATACCCGTGGGGTAGGGGATGATGTCGAGTCGAGAGTACGACGAGGGTACAGCGACTTGGCAGGAACCAGATACGCGACAATGGTGAGCAAATGCAGATACGGTTGTCGGACGTGTCCAGAGTACCGACTGGAGGGCCAGAGATCAACTGGGTGGTCTAATAGAGAGTGCTGGGCCGTGCAGGACAAATGTCGCGATCGGCGCGATGGGTGCTGTGTTGCCGACGACGGGTGAGTGCCGGGCTGAGGTGATGCGGCGGCGACGGCGACGACGGCGACGGCAGGCAGGTCTTCTGGACGTGTGGGGTAAGGAGCGCGAGAGGGCGCACGCGATCAGAGACGCGGCAGCGAAAACAAAGGTGAGGGAGATGGCGACGTCGTGATGGGGGTTGTGGTGGTGGTGTTGGTGGTGGTGTCAGAGTCGTGCGTGGTATCGTCGCGCAAATCGTCCCGCAGAGGCTCAGACGAGACACGCAGGGTGGGTGGACGAGGCGAGCGGTGATGGCCAGAGGAGTCGGCAGCCCAGTCGCTCTCTTCGGCAGCAGCAGAAGGCGGCGCAGTGAAGTCGCTCAGGCGTGTCGAGTCCTTCGACGGGCGCACTGCTGGAGGGCCGCTCAAGGAGCAGGGGACGCGGGCGTAGTGGGTGGAGATGTGGTGAGAGATGGATGCATGCCTGGCTGGTCAAGAGACGAGACGCCGATCCAGCCCAGAGGAAGAGGAAGGGGGGCCGCTTGTTTTCGTTACCCAGAGGCTGGGCGTGTAATAAATGGTTGATATCTAATCAAATCTGGCGATGCACCACGGACGCCGGACGAGGGCGGCGCTATACACACCCGATGCTGGAATGGCAATTCTAGCCCAGAGCTCGAAGCAGCAGTACTGTTCAAAGGATCCGGTGCTGCTTAGCCGTCTGGTTCCCTTGCTGTGTTCTCTCATGTTGATGAGGAAGCAGTCCCCAAGATACAGCTAGCCCAATATTACACTTGGCGCCTCTAGCCGACTCCGGTTAGCATCCTCTGACTTTTTACCCATCTTCGTCTCGCAACATCCATCCATCTTCAATTTTTTTTCCCTTTCTCCCAACCTACCATCACTACTCCCCTCGCACTTTTCGCATCAGCGCTCATTTCTTTGGACTTTGCGCAGTACTGCGTGCCGTCGCCGTCGCTTTACGGCAACCAGCATGAGTTTGCGCCTTTGATTTGCCGCGAGGTGACGTTGCCCACGTCTGCTGATGTGATGAACCTGCTTTGTAAGTTTGCTCTTTTTCCCTCACCTACCCGCACATGCCCGAGTGATGATACTTCAGTCTACTTCTTTTCTTATCCGAATCGACCATGAAGACATCGATGCTGTTTCGGGTGCCTCTCGCAGGGCGCCTGCTACTTGCCAGTACTTTCGTCTGACACCTCTACATCCCGCCATTTGTTGATGCATACCGATGTATTAGCAACGTGCTGACCGCAGAGCAGGATAGAATCCCACGTAGTCGCCCCACCCGCTTCATTTTGCCTTGTCCTCGCTTGCTTCCTACGAGCCCAACTTCAGGCTGTGGACCCTCACGCTTGTTCCTTTGCTTGCGCGATGCAATGTTTCGTGTTATTATAACATGCTCGCCAATCAACATAATCATGTAAAGTTTTACTGACCCCAGGACTGTTCGTCTTTGTAGTCATGGTCGCAAGGTCAGTGAACAATTTTTCCATACTTTATTTCCCTTTCTATGATGAAAAACATTCCACTTCGCAGTTTCCACGCTAGCCGTCACCAAGAACCTTAGACGGTCGATGAGCGTTGCAACCTTCCTTGGATGTCTGATTCACATTGTGATCCCATTCTTTCGCACGTTGAATTCATACCAGCATTCACTAACGGGACCACTCAGATCTGAACCAGTCGACATGCTTCTCCTGGGCAACATGAGTTGTTGGTGTCAACTGTGATTTGAGATAGTTGCAATGTAGCAGATGTTAGATAATTAATGACAGCTTTGAACCAACCTATTGTTGAGGGTCTCTGATATGATTTGCTTGGCGTGACTGTCTAACTGTCTGATCGTGCTATCGGCCTCGTCCCAGTATCAAGTAATCTCCAGAGACCAGTTGCTACTTATGTATTAATCCAGAGTTGTAGTTTGGGTGAATGGCATGCCAAGTGATGTTGTCGATCTGGCAAAGCTGTCGCGGTCGAGCACATCTCCCAGAAGAGCTTTCGTCTCTAAGCGCACCTAAAGACTGTAGCGAATATTTGTATGAGTTGAGACGGTACTCAATATTGCGCTGCCCAATACCTGATGGGAGGTATTGCTTTCCAATGACTTTGATTGATGGCCGAGACACTCAAGCCTCAGCCTCGTGATTAGGTCATCCACTGACGTTTCGCGTGCAGCTAGCGACTGCCAATCCTGGTTGGAGCTTCGTCCCACCTTGACCGCATAGCTTCTCCAGTCCGCAAGCACACTGCGGTCCACCACCGAACCAACAATACCTCCCTCTTCCACCCGCAAATACCTATCAATACCGCCGCCATGCCTGACATCGTTGACCCCCGTATGATGTCGGTTCAACCCCGCATACGCTACAACACCATCGGCGGCGTCAACGGACCACTGGTCATCCTCGAGAGTGTACGCCGCTGGAAGCTCCCCCACGTGAAACAAGAAAGCTTATACAAGCTTCGCGCAGGTCAAATTCCCCAAATACAACGAAATCGTCTCTTTGACGCTACCCGATGGTACTGAGCGCTCTGGACAAGTACTTGAGGCCAGAGGTATGCTCCCCGATCACAGCTTGTAGTGTTATGGCCGTTAACAAGGACCAGGAAATCGGGCCGTCGTTCAGGTAGCTACAGCTTTGATCTAAGCCATGTCGTGGTATTGTCTCACAAGAGTACAGGTATTCGAAGGCACATCAGGCATCGATGTCAAGAAGGTACCTACGTCACAGCCCCGGAAAGTGGATGAATCTAACGGAAGTAGACCAAAGTCGAGTTCACCGGCCACAGCTTGAAGCTGGGCGTCTCTGAGGACATGCTGGGCCGTATCTTTGACGGCTCCGGTAGGGCCATTGACAAGGGCCCAAAGGTGTTGGCGGAAGACTACCTTGATATCAACGGAAGTCCTATCAACCCATACTCGCGAGTACGTTCGGCCACGCTCCATCTATCACACACAAACTGATTACATGCAGGTGTATCCCGAGGAGATGATCTCCACTGGTATTTCCGCCATCGATACCATGAACTCCATTGCTCGTGGCCAGAAAATCCCCATCTTCTCCGCGTCCGGTCTGCCACACAACGAAATCGCCGCGCAAATTTGCCGACAAGCGTCTCTCGTCGGTCAACCTACAAAGGGTGTTCATGATGGACACGAGGAGAATTTCTCGATTGTTTTTGGTGCCATGGGTGTGAACTTGGAAACGAGTCGCTTCTTCACCAGGGACTTCGAAGAGAACGGCAGTATGGAGCGTGTCACTCTCTTCTTGAACTTGGCAAATGACCCAACGTGAGTCACTTCCCCATTGTGACGACCCAAACTAATGAGTGGTAGCATCGAACGTATCATCACCCCTCGTCTCGCTCTCACTACCGCCGAATACTACGCCTACCAGCTTGAGAAGCACGTATTGGTTATTCTGACCGATCTGTCCTCCTACTGCGATGCCCTTCGTGAGGTGTCTGCGGCTCGTGAGGAGGTCCCAGGTCGCCGTGGCTACCCCGGTTACATGTACACGGATTTGTCAACGATTTACGAGCGCGCCGGTCGTGTTGAAGGACGCAATGGATCTATTACTCAAATCCCCATTCTGACTATGCCCAACGATGGTACGGTATATCTCCAACATTGAAGGAATTCTCTGACACATCACAGATATTACTCACCCGATTCCTGATCTAACGGGCTATATTACCGAAGGCCAGATCTTCATTGATCGTCAACTCGACAACAAGGGCATTTATCCACCCATCAACGTTCTTCCGTCTCTATCTCGTCTGATGAAATCTGCCATTGGTGAAAAACGCACACGAAAGGATCACGGTGATGTGTCCAATCAGCTCTACGCCAAATATGCTATCGGTCGTGACGCCGCGGCCATGAAAGCTGTCGTGGGTGAGGAGGCTTTATCATCGGAAGACAAGCTTTCGCTTGAGTTCTTGGAGAAGTTTGAGCGCACCTTCATCGCACAGTCAGCCTACGAATCGCGGACTATCCACGAATCTTTGGACCTCGCTTGGTCCCTACTCAGAATCTACCCCAAGGAGTTGCTTAACCGTATCCCCGCCAAGGTCTTGAACGAGTACTATGCCAGGAGTGGTGGACGGGAGAACAAGAAGGAGAAGAAGGGCAGCAAGGATACCAGAGATAACTCGGGTGAAGGTGCAGAGCAGGGTGAGAACTTGATCGATGTATAAGCATACGCTGCAGTGCATAAGCCTGTTTCCCTGTTTCTTATAGATTATGATTGCGCGAAGGTGGCATGTAACATCGACGGAGCGTTGATGCGGGTCAATTTAGTCTACTGAGTATATATGCAGTTTGTCTCTCCGAGCTTCTATGTCTTATGCTTCAAGAGTTTAGAGGTGCTGGCACGCGCTCTTTGCGTCTCGATTATGCGAAAGAAGGGTGGAGCCCAGATGTCTGCTCCGTTCAAACACTATCCGCTTCATCCTTCTACTTTTTGTTGTGAGTTGGAGTTTAGGTGATCCTACACACAGCGATGGGTTACAACGAGGATAATACCAAAATAACGAGCGATTACCAAAAAGACCTCATCCTTCTACATTATGGCAACTTGTTGACCCTCTTTTTAGGTGTTTCAACCAAGTTCTCGGCCTAGACCTCTGATCCTGATTTCTAGCAGTCGTGGCTCGCACCATGCAGATATCGGCTCCATCCAATCTATTTGGGCTTCTAACTTCTAGGGTCAGCTCTCTTTATAGTTGGCATCTGCTCATGCTTCTACTCTTATCCATGGGAGCGTGACCATCATTCGTTTCAAAAGGAGACAGGAGACATGTGAAAATGGAAAAGGCGGATCTTCGCAGACAATTGCAGCAATCATATTGTGGGTCAGCATCCGTGCCTTGCGAGTTTTCTTTTCACCGATGTTGCGGCTCCGAGAGATAATCACCTAGGTGAACTGTAGGGGGCAGATTTGTGATCAGCGCGTATTCTTCAGCATACTCTGCGAATCCTTCAGTCCTGCCGAGGCTCATGATGGTTATCAAGAATCAACACCAGAGCACTGACGTCCGCATGCACCCATCCGCCTAAAAGGCAACAGTGGATAAGCAGCCCTTCCATCACGTCTCGGCCCTTTTGATTTATCTTTCACCTCGGCATCGGTGTGTCCGATGTACATTTTTATGGATCCTAAGCAACTTGGCTCACAGGTTCCTCTCTGATTCATGGTTTGGTCCTTGTGCGAAAAAGAAATGTCAGAGAAAATTATCGATTAGCGGCGAAAATTCTAAAACTATGCCAATTTCCCACAAAAGAAAACACCAGCTCGATGAGCGCCTCTTCATCTAAAATCTATGGTATGAACAAAGGGAATAACAAAGGAGCTGACTAGAAGCAGAAAATGTCGTCTGAGATCTTGGAGATGGCCCCAGGGGCTTTTGCGCCCAAAGACACCAGAGCCTTTTTCGAAGCATTGACCATTCCTGGCGGCCCACACAGCATAAACTTGGTGTCAGGTCCAGGGGCAGGAAGCTTCTCCTTCATGACATCCGCAGTGACGAACCCACTTCCGTAGGCCCAGTCTTGCGGCGGTCGGTCAAGCATGTACCAAAGCTTGAAGTTCTTGAGGTATCTCCTAGCAAACGTCTCAAGTTCTTTCCTTAGCAGGATATCGCTTTCCGTTTGGTTGGCGAGAATGAGCGAGACTTCGGTGGTATCCGATTCGTGTTCGCAGATGGCGCGAATTAGTTGGTACATGGGCGTTAGTCCTGTGCCTCCAGCGATCATGCCGATTTTCTTGCAGTGCCCGGCTTGGTATCTCATGGCGCCTTTGGGACCGCGGAACAGTACCTCGTCACCAACCTTGAGTTGCGAGAAGTACTTGCCGGTTAGCTGACCGTCAGGGTAGAGTTTGATGACTAGTTCGAGTACGCCGCGGTCAAGGTTGTTGGATGTCGGGGTATAGGATCTTTGGACGGTCTTGCCGTCAATGGTCGCCTTGATGGAGACGTGTTGTCCGATAGGGAGACCAACAATATCGCGTGGGCCGGGGAGTTTGAATACGTATCGGAAGACGTTCGAGGACAGTTGGTCGATCCTTGCGACTTTCAGTCCTTTGAATTCTTTCGGGTCGAGGAATCCTTTGACGAGGTGAGGATTGGCTGGCTCTGAGAAAGGTCGGGCTTTTCTGCGCGGTGGGTATTTCCCGAAACCTGAGTCGATGTGCGTAAACTTCGATAGTTGCTTGCCGACAACACCAGCGGCGACAGTGGAGATGATGCTGGCGATGGCGAAACCGCTAAGGAAAGGGTTGTTGGTGGGAGCTGATAGTTTTGAAGGATCCGGAAGCACCTTCTCGGCTGATGAAGGCCCGTATGCATAGATTCCATATCCTGCGGCTGCCAGAGAAAGCGTTGTGGCTACTACTTTGACTGCTGTCGATGAAGAAGATCCGTTGGCCGGTATCGCTGTTGTCGGGACTTGTTGAACGAGTTTGACCGCTGTAGAACGCTTCGCTTTCCAGTCGGAAACGGTTCCAACTTGCAACTCTGCCAGAATTTCGTCTGCGTCTTCAGAGTGGCCGACTTCATCATATTCCGACGATCCGTCTTTGCCAGCGACATCTCTCAGTACATCCACTCCACCAGGATGGTCGGTGGAATATTTTGTCACATCGTAAACTGTTGTCTCTGGTCAGTTGATACATTCTGCAGTCAAGAATGTCGAGAATTCGCGCCCACCTTTTCCGTGAATCGCAACCCAAAGATCGTCCTTGGAAGAGTGCGCGGCAACTTCCTCTACGGTAAAAACTGGAAAGTCCGACATGACTGCAATGGAATCGGCTGGGGTATAGAAAAATTAGAAAGTAAAGACAGAAGACAACAATGAGTTCCACGGCGGTCTTTTCATTCAAACCCAACGAGCCTTCATCGCAGTGCCTCGGCCGATGTGTCACTGTGCTTTTAGATATCGATACCCCTTTCGGGCGGACCATTTTCTGCACACTACACTGCATCGCGTAATCACCGTTCCAAAATTGTGGATCTGCAGTCCCGATAATCTTGATTAGACATACAAAAGTTTGTGCCTCGGCACGTTGAGGCTCATGAGGCGAATGGAACCCTGATCGGCGAGTACGATGGAGCCTATCACAGGCCAGCTATTGACAGACAACGGGTCGACCCGAAAAAAATCCTCCTTGTTTACATGATACTGTCGCCGCATGGCCGCGCAAGTCAGGGCTTTCGCTCGGCCGATGCTGGCTCTGGAAGCGGATATGACAGCATATGAAAATCTCCCTTTACATGCCTGTTCAGGTAGTGTGCTTGTGCTTTTATAGCCTCTGGTCTCCCGTTGCTTTGTTTGTGATCACCGTTCGGTACTAATTGAATTTAATCATGTCTTCACAATCTTTCTACCTTTTGGGGGAGTCCCCAAGCTCTGCACGAACTATTCAGTACGACCCAAATGCCAGCCTTGAGGATCTGCGGGACTTGATTGCATCCCATTTTGCAATTGTCGTGGCGAGTGGTCAGTAATTCGACGTGGAATTGTTGATTTTATACTGACTGAACTAGGCATCGGTTTCCAAAGCGAATCTGTGAATTTGTATGAAGTATCAGATGTCAAGGCTGCGACCGGCCCGATTGCTATCACTGTAGACGGTCATTCCATCCGGGACGCACCTGGACCATCAGGACTACCGTACGTGGGCAGCTTCTTCGAAGTTTTCCCCGACCATCTCGGTAACCACCAACGTCTTTTTGAGCGCTACGGCCCAGTGTTCAAAACCACCAACCTTGGTCGCACATTGTATCACACAAACGACCCAGATGTCGCTGCCATTGCATTTGCGGAATCGGACTTCTTCACCAAGAAGATCAACGAGGCTCATCCACTTTTCGGCATCAAGAACAAAGATGCAGGCGTCTTCCTAGGCGACACTGACACCGAGCAATGGAAGATCACACACAAGTTTCTGCCCCCGGCTCTAGGACCAAAGGCCGTGCGACACTACGCTCCAACAATGCAAAAGACCATTGAGAAAGCTTACGAGGTATTCGACAGCTTGGACGAGCAAGGCGAGGCTTGGAATGTTTATCCTTATATGTTGAAGCTTGGATCTGAGGCAGTTGCGAAATTGACCTTAGGGATGGAATTAAATCACTTCTCCGCAGTCGACGCACCGTTACACGAGATGGTCATGCTCATTGCACACTCGCTTGAGCTTAACAAGAAGATCACCTCGAAAGGAAACTGGTACGCCAGTCTGCCCTTCGGAGACCCTAAGGCGTTGAAGGATCTTCAAAAACGGATGGAAGTTCTCGTTATGGACGCCATCGCGAAGGCCGCAAGCGGCGGCGCTGGCGACTTGCCTCTTCAAGATGCCGCTCTTGAGGCGAAGAACATGACCGGTAAGTTCATATTAGTACTCACAGCGTCCACGGAAGCCGAATACTGACTGGTTCTCCCACAGATTACGCCCTCCGTGCCACGGACAACAAGGGCAACAAGATCCCACCCCAGAGTTTCGCCCCCGCCCTCGTCGTCGCCACAGGCGCTGGCTTCACAACGACCTCGTCCCTCCTCTCCTGGCTCCTCTACGGCCTCTCCGTTTACCCTGGCGTCCAAGAAAAGCTCCTCCAAGAACTCGTCGATAACGACTTCACCGACGAAACCCAACTAACCGCCGACTTCACCGACCGCCTCACCTACCTCGACTTCTTCATCAAGGAGACCCAACGCCGTCACAACCCTTCTTTCCAGCCCGGCCGCACCGCAAAAGTCGACCTCATCCTCCCAGGCGGCTACCGCATGCCCAAGGACTCCGTCATCATCCCTGCTCTCCACCACATTCACAACAACCCGCAGTTCTGGGATAACCCCGCCAAATTCGACCCGGAGCGCTGGGGCACCCCCGAAGTTAAGAACAGGCATAAGTCGAGTTATATCCCGTTTGCCGCGGGGCCTAGAATGTGCATTGGGTTCAACTTTGCGCTGCAGGAGGTCAAGATTTTCTTGCCCAAGTTGCTGTGGCGGTACAAGTTTATGAAGGATGGCGAGGATGCGGTGGATTATGATCCCATGTTTCAGCTTATCAGGCCGACCAACTTTTATGTCAGGGCGGTTAGGAGAGCGAAGTGGCCGCCCAAGACGGAGGTTGAGGCTTAGAGTTGGAAATGTGTGTGTGCATAATGGTGAGGGAGGTTGTTTCTGGGTGTGCTTGAGCGTTCTTTTTTCTTCTTCATAATTCTGTATAGATGGTTCAAGATGGGTTTTCTAGAGTCTAGATTATATAATATCCATGAGTGTAGGGCGGGTTCAGCCTCACTCTTAATGATATATTCCAACTTCAATTGCTTCGTCGCGCGTGCCATGTGTTGAAAGAATTCCAAGTTTCAATTCATCTTTCAATGCTGAGAATAGAATCTCGTTTCCGGGAGTCATCGAGTAGGCCCAGAGGTACACAGACACGGTCTATTTTCGAACTATTCAAATACACCGTCTGGACGAAGCTTCCGCATCTCTCAACGGGGCATCGTGCTAAACCACCCCATCGATGCAGTCGCCCCACACCCATCAATCAATGCGCGAACCGAAAATCCAGTCTCAAATTCCCCTTATCCGTCGTAGTCTCCAAATACCGCTCCTTCTCCTCCTTACTCATCTTCCCCCAAACCCTCTCCCTCCTCCGATTAACAGCAACATAGTACGCCTTAGCCCCCGCAAACAGCACAAAATTCATAACGCAAATCGCAATCAACACCGTATTCCCCCTCCGATACAACGGCTTATCGTCGTCGCGGTAGATATTCTGACTGATGATGTTGCTCGCCTGCACCGTCATGTTGTAGAGGGCGCTAGCGACGGTGCGGGTGCGGACGGTGCCGGCGTTGCGCGAGGTGATTGCGACGAGGATGGCGTGGACGTAAGGGTGGCCGACGAGGAGGGTGGAGACTGTGAAGCGCGCCCAGTGCGAGGCGGATGCTGGGAGCAGCTTGAGCGCGATTACGAGGGGGAGGGCCCAGATTTGGGAGATTAGGCCGATTAGGAGGCGTTGATTTAGCTTTTCAGAGAGCCAGGTCCAGAAGAGGAGTTGTAGGATGAAGATGACGTATGCGGGGATCTGTCAAGCAAGGTATTTCAGTATCTAGTAGAGTGTGATGAGCGATGTATGTGCTTACGGTGAGGAGATTCGTTTGGAAGGTGTCGAATCCGATTGAGCGCAGTTGTAAGGTGAGATAGGAAGTCATTGGCGTCGTAGGAATCAGCCAGGTAAAGCCGAGGGCGTAGATAGGCCACATGTGGTAATCTTTGAGACACTGCCAGAACATGGAGATGGAAAGAGCCTGTCGATTGTGCATGTCGCCTTTGGAAGGGTCGTCACGAAGAATCCGGTTTACCATGATTTTCTCCTCGCGTTCGTTGAACCAGCCGTCCTTTCCACGGAATCTACTCGCTGTTTGGGTGGGTGACGGTGGAAGATAGAACCTAAAGCCGGGGATCATAAGCATTTTCCAAGACAATAGATGAAAAAATCTCAATACGTACCAACTGACAATTCCAATCAAGCCAGTCAGCATCCCTTCGAGAGCGAAGAGCCACCGCCATCCTTCCATGCCGTTGTGACCGCGCAGTCGTAGAATGCCATATGCGAAAAAAGCACTAATGATTTGCGTAGATTGGTATGATACCCAGAACCAACTGAGTCTTGCAGGGAGCTCCCAGCCGGTGTACCAGTATGAGAGGTATAGAATATTGTCGGGCTGAGGTGTGTTAGTTTTCTGTAAGACGAGGATGATTGTTGACGTACGATGAAGCCGCCTTCGATCAATCCCAGAAGCGCGCGGCAGACAAAGTACGATTGCCGACCAGTAAGAAAAGCTTGCATCGAGGCGACAAGACTCCACGAGACCCTTTCGAGATATTAGCGCATGCGCAATAGTTGAACATTCTTGCCGAGCTTACATCTGGATGGCTATTCTGGATTAGTACGTGTGCTTGTAGTGAATCTGAGGGAGTTTGAACATACGAATCCAATTGTCCGGCCCGATCTTTTTGCTGATAAGCTGAGATGGTAGCTCTGCAAATAAGAAACAGAGATAGAAGATTGTCTGGCCGTAATTGTAGTCATTGGTGTTCAGTCCCAAGTCTTTCAAGAAATTGTCACTGAGCGCTTGCGATATATTCCCGCGATCGAGTTGCAATGCAAAGAACATCAGGCAAACCCATGTACATATCCTCTTGTCAATCTAAATTATGTTAATACAGTGGCCGATGGCTGTGGAAATGGCTCGGTTTCAACCTTTCTCACCACCCTCCGCTCTTCCTCAGGCTCCCAGTCGAAGTCAGGGTCGTATCGATGCTTCCCCTCGTACGAGTCTATCGGCTCATAGAGCTCCGTCTTCAGCCCTTTGGCAGTGAAGGTAGCTCCGTCTCTCCTCTGCCCCGCTGTACTGAGCTCCGTCGCACTTGTACTAGGACTGGCGTCAAACTGAGTATCGTCTTTGACGACATCTGGATCCACGGCAACGGGAGGGGTCACAGATGAAGATTTTGACATACTGGAGAGAGTGATTGGCAAATAAAAAAAATTACGATAAGAGGTTTCAGAGTACATATATACTGTCCCCTTTACGACGCACCCCACAATACGTACCGCGCGCCTTGTTATGCATGTAACATTGAAAATCGCACATCATTTGATCCCGGCTTAAACTTGATTTACATTTGTGTAACTTAACTGATAAGCAAAGATAAAAGGGCAACCGTCGCGAGGTATGATGCAGCGGTAGCTGCACGTAAGCCAAATTGCCGTTCCGCACTGGACCAAATCATCTCAAGAAGTGCCAAAATACGCCGGTTAATGCTTGGTATTGTATACAAGCACGCAAGCTCGTGGTTTGATGATGAATTGCCAACTGGGGAGGCTGGTTCAGACGCGCGATGTTCATTCGTTGTGCTATATTGCGTCATTTGCCGGGGTCCATCACGACATATGTACTGGTAGAGTGTGGATGCTGCGTCTGATACGGGAGTCTGAGTCGGCTGTTTTTCCATCACTACACATGGGGATATCAGAATTGGGTGCTACCTCGCCACTTCATGATGAAATGCGGAGGACCACGCATGTAGTAGCCTCCGTAAAGCGGACGTTGGCGCGTTTCGTGCCTTTATCTTGTGAACATTAGCGTATGGTACAATCGTATGCTTCTTTGATGCAATCAAAAAGACGTCTAATTTGAAAGATACAAACATATCAGCGAATCAGATGTAACTAGGTTCTCTGTTAAGATAGATCTGCCCTACTCGAATCAGATGCCGTTGCAGTGGCGACTACGCGACCCTCCGTTATGCAATCGACACTGCAAAGAGGGGTAATAAATGTCTTGGTTCATCATCAGGAGAGAACCGCTATATCCGATGTGTGTTTGCGGGGTTAGAAATGCAGAAGTCGTTAATTATAAAAGCTCGCCGTTGAGCCATACCCGCGGATTCCAACCACACCAAGTCTCATCATATATTTTTACTCAAGATGGCACCAGCTTTGATTGAACAACCCGTGCAACCGGAGATCAACTTCTCCAAGTCTGGTCACGGGGACTATAAGGTAGATATTCCAGTCATAGCTGTATAGAATCTTGCTGAGTCAATAATAGGCACCTTTCGCTGGGCCCGAAGCCTTCTCAGCAGACGCAGAACTTAAAGGAACTGGGAAGCAGCCACCTGCTAAGTACAAGAACTACCTCCCAACCTGGCCGCAGACCAAGTACGTGAACATTGTTTTGACTTCAGTGTCCTCGAGCTGACTCCCTTTGAAGGTACCCGCCTCTTGAGCCTTTCGAACATACCGAACATGGGAAAGACGCAGACCGGAGCTTCCCTAATCTTCTGAAAGATTCAAAAGTTGTTGAGCTTACTGGAAACATTGGAGCCGAGGTGACGGGAGTACAGTTGAGCAAGCTCAACGATGCCGGGAAAGACGAGTTGGCATTGTTTGTTGCTCAGAATAAGGTAGTTGGTAGGTTGCAAACTCCTCTCAAATATCTGGCAGAATTAATGAGTACAAGCCTTCCGTGACCAGGACTTTGCAGATCTTCCGATTGCAGACGCGCTCAACTTTGGAGGATATTTCGGCCGCCACCACATACACCCAACATCTGGAGGACCAGTTGGTCACCCAGAAGTACATCTCGTTCATCGTGGTGCAGAAGATACTACCGTACGCGACTATTTTGAGGAGCGCACAAACTCAGTGACATGGCATTCAGATGTGACGTATGAAAAGCAACCTCCCGGGACAACCTTCTTGTACCTGCTGGATGGTCCATCTGCAGGTGGTGACACTCTTTTCGTAAACCAGGCGGAGGCTTACCGGAGACTCTCGCCCGAGTTCCAGAGAAGATTGCATGGGTTAAAAGCTGTTCATTCAGGTGGGCACCAGTCTTCCCCAATACAATTCCACTCCTAACACATCACAGGCATCGAACAAGCAGAAAACAGCAGAAACAGAGGCGGCATCGTCCGTCGCGAACCCGTAACTTCAATCCACCCTCTCGTTCGCACACACCCCGCAACCGGCGAGAAAGCGCTCTTTGTCAATCCCCAATTCACCCGTCGCATCGTCGGATACAAGAAAGAAGAAAGCGACTTCTTGCTCAAGTTCCTCTACGACCATATTGCCAAAGGTCAAGATTTCCAAGCGCGTCTCAAGTGGGCACCGGGAACTGTCGTTGTGTGGGATAATCGCGTTACGGCGCATTCAGCTCTTTTAGACTGGGATGATGGGCAAAGAAGGCATTTGGCGAGGATTACGCCGCAGGCTGAGGCCCCGTATGAGACTCCGTTTGAGTAGTGTAGCGTTACTTGTATCTTATTAGCACAAATTGCATTCGTTCAAAGAAGTGCTAGAGTGCGCGTAATTTTTATTATCATTTTTCAATTGGAAGTTAAAGTGTTTCCTATATTTTGACAAGGCAAATAAAGAAGCTACAGAAAGTAAGCGGTTACAAAAAGTTTTACTGGAGGAGTTTTGCTTTTGGCACCGGGCTAGGCTGCAATACCCAAGTGTGTAGAGAGTTGCAATGCTTATTGGACCCCAAGTAGAAGCGTACCGCGACTGGACATATTGGCGCTAGTGAGCATACCAACAATGCACATATATCGTGGGGGCTGGGTTTGCCTCAATTGCTATAGACACGGTAGAGTGGAAGGACTGCATTGTTGTGCCAGGATGCCCGCTAACTAGCATATTTAGATTATTACGTATCAAGATCTTCGTAGTCTGAGAGAAAATCTTCACAGCATCTCTTGAAAAGATGGAAAGCAGCAAACAGGGGAGTCCGAAGAAGCTACCTAGATAGTCATTACCCTGACTTACCACTCTTTTCTTTCGCGAGGGAGAAAACAAAAGGGAACTCATGGGGCGGGCTCCGCCATGCTGACGACGACAATAATAATAAATGCATATACTTGACAAGGCAGTGCGCCGGACGTTGCAGATTGCTGAACTACCCACCGTATCAAAAGAAGTTCCGGATAGATACGGTAGAAGGCAGCATGTTTCTCGTATTCAGAAAATCCGCACCCGAACTGGGGGCCATACAGAAAGGGATAAATTGTGTCAGATTCTATTGATAGTTACACCCTCCCTTACAGATGAGAAGGGAGAAGCGTACGATTGGGCGACGTACTGTGCTGTCCTACTTGCGTTGTGCTGGATCCAGTTGATCGCAATGCTCTTACAACAGCAAGTATGCAATCAATTCAAAGAAAGATTGATACGCTTTCGTTGTATCACCGTAGCGCCGTAGTCAGAGAAAGTGTGTGTGTGCAACGGACTCATTAGAGGGGGCGCAGCCAGTCAATTGTTTCAAAGTGAGCGTTGCAATTAGCTCGCTAGAGACCCGGAATCTGTCGCTGCATTCATGCGACACTGAAAATAAGGAGTGATACGACGTAATAATGTGTGATGCGATACCCAATTTCTACGACTCGTCACTATATGGTCTTACGCATCCTGTTCTCTTGTGTGACCACTACCTTCCACATCTTTGGATCGCCTCTTGCACTCAATGATGTGGTGGACAGTCTTCGCAAGAAGCTTGGTTCAGGCATGGCGAGACTTTATCAGTGTCTTTTCAACATGGAGGCGGTGGGTTTTTGCACTCGTCTACTTTGGGTGGTTCTTTGTTCTTTTTAATACTTTGGGCATTTTCGGGTATCCAGGCTTTAATTATTATTCTACCGCATGCGCTCCCGGTGGAGAATTCCTCCTATTCCCAGGGGGATATTCCCCTTGGAGTGCTTCTGGCTTCTTTCAGGTTGGATTATCATTTGGAGAGCTCACTTTTGGGCAAGCAAAAGGCATTGATATCGCGTGGGACATAGTAGGTGTTCTTACATATTTAATTGTTCTTTATACTGATACCTAAAAGGTGGCAGGTCGTGGAGGTCAGTTTATAATGGCTTGGATGAGTTGGCGCACATTTGTGTACTACCTGACTACAAGCATGGAAACAGGGCCAGTAAGTGTTATGTGTTGGGTCGGCATAAGGTTTAGCGTCTATTTGTTTCCCATCCAACGCGACAAACACTGAAAATTTCTATGTCTAACCATGCTATGCGTAGGTGACTTACAGCTCATTCAGAGCCGTTTTCATCGAGAAAGGACCAAGCATAACCTCTATTGTTCGATTAATACGCGATTTTGTGTCTCGCAAGGGTCTACGATCACAAATCGCCTCCGTTTTTATTATAGCTAGTATGGCATTCATACTTGCATTCCCTACTCTAGCTAGTGCGATGTCTGGTTATACTAGCGTAGTCGCAGCTCAGATCGTTGACCCAGAGAGTAACATGATTCCGTTCACAAAATTTGGATTAGTAGTGTACACCATTCATGATGGCGATCGAATTGGGGAGCGCAAAGATTTTCCGGTTATACACCAAAACGACGCTGGTAATATATTGCAAATTACGCAAGATATACCTTTGCTTACAAGTCTTAGAGGATCCCTACGCGTGGTTCTCTGCTACAGCATACAAATCATACATCAGTCCAACTGATCGTAGCAACACCACTCTACTTGATTGCATTAAGTGTAAGTAGAGGCTACAATAACACAATCAAGACCTCGAATTTACCGATGAACTATAAGAGCTAAGCTAACGCGGTAGAAGATGTTGAGAGGTTCACCGATATGCCTAAAGATGAACCTTCCCAATTTGGAAACTGGACCCTCGATGCCCCAACTCTTAATATCACCTCGTATTTTGATGACATAGGCCATCAAGTAGAAGGTCGAAATCTGAGTTGGGTGTACGATGGTGTTTTCTACGATCAACAATATTTCGAAGCGGAGGTCAATGGCATCAGAAATGGGACGTGCCAACCCACCCAGGTATTTATAAGCATACATTATCCGTTCATAACACGCCATTGCTAACCTATTTGGCCTTTAGAAATACTCATGGGGATTCTCATATACGCAGTTGTTCATCGTTGTTGTCCTACTCATACTCTGGAGCATTGGATTATCAATCATGTACGTAGACGCCAAACGTACCATGTTTGAACGCGGCCGCTCTAGCGTCGACGGAGAGTACAAAGCAGTCATTAGTCTTGCAGCTGCGATAGAGAAGGATCTGAATCTCAATTTACACGCCCCAGGAACGGAAAGTGGTATCAGGAATCGAGTCCGAGCAGCCCGGGGTGGCAGCGTCGTATATTCAGCACCAAAGTCCTTCAGATATCAAACAAAACGCCATCGTTTGAAGATGTGGCTTCGAACCGAAAAATGGTGGCTATTGGTCATGCTTTTACCCGTGGTGTATATCATTGTCAATGAAGCCATAAAAAGAACTCAGGAGGTGGGGTCCTTTCGTGTGTTCTACATAAGGAATTATTTGTCGATTGGATTCAGCGGACCTTTATGTGGGGTTGTTATTGCGTTGCTGATGGGAACAACAACGGGAAGCCGAGTTGTGTATATCACAATTTGTACGGTGGTAACTTTTGTCGGATTTGTTCCATTTGCTCTAGCATAGATTAACTTGAATATATATTGACTTGAATCCTCCAGCCATGCGCAGTATTTTTTCCGTTGCTACCACTAATAATGGGATAACTAATACTTTCATAGTCTCAGATCCCGCTAAACGCACTGTCATACACAAAGTGCGAGATTAGAACAGTAGAAAGTGAGCATAGGAGTCTAGGAGAATCCAATTGAAGACAGGACGCAAAATCTCCCCCTCTCTTTGTTATGTTACTCGGTGACACCCGCCTTAGAGCCTTAGCACAGACACGACTCCTTACAACATCACCTAGACTGAGCCCCAGCTTCCCAGATCTCCGAAAACAGATCATCCTTCGAGTTACGCGCGCAATGGAACTCGTATAAATATCACAAATACTGCGCTACAGGCTGCCCATAGACGTGTCCAACCCACGCAAGTACCAAATCGATCCCCGGAATTGTGCTCATCTAGACCAAGTATTGCCATCTGCGACTTCCTCGTCATAAATGGTGCGCAACATACCTAGGAAGAAATAAGGGCAAAAGTTGGCAGAATCGATCAGAGGCATGCAACCCATAAACCCAAGACTCATCTAGTGAGTACGCTAAGGTCAAATGGGCACTTGAATCGGTACGCTAAGCTAAGCTTAATCATTTGACGCGTTTGACTGGTCGAACTGATCTCGAGATCGATCGCTTACTCATCGTCCCGTCCCACACTAGCAAAAAAAACACCTTTCACTACTCAACAACAAGGTCAACAACACAACCTCTTCACACAACGGCAAAAAGAACATGATTGGAGATACGGCGAATCGAACGCCGGACCACTCCCAAGCTAGAATGCTAAGGGAGTATTATACCACTAAACCATATCCCCGTTTGTTTTGATATGTGGATGCTCAACTCATTGTATATATTTATAGGGGGTTAAGCCATCAACGATATTTACGTTGTGGGAGCCCCTTGACCATCGAATCTTAGCGCTACCCGTTAGTTATTAGCGTTCATACCGCATTGACAATTATATTTGTCAACGTAACAAACAACAATCACAACTGGGGCACTGTTACACCCGAGAGTATTACTGACGTTGGCTACAAATGGTTGCAAGTTAACATAGATCTACTAGGACAGTTGTTCGATGATCAGACTATCTTCTACGAGTAGTTAGTAGTCAGGACAGGGCGTTGTGTAATTATGTCAGACAAACCCAAGTGACCATTTTGACTTGACTCAGCTCGTGAATAAGGGCAACAAGGTTGGCGATGCGATCTAGAAATATAATGTGTACGTTGCTGGTGATTTGGTCTGTCTCTATGAGTGATAGAAGGGTTTGCTGGCCGTATGTCGACATGGCCGGGAGCCTCGAAGCATCTGCTCGCAGATCTAAGACCACTGCCTCCGCCATTCCTTTGGCCTATACGAGCTTGAGTGGCTCGTTTGGCATCCCATCTGTTGTTGCTTCTCCTTCAACTGCTGCTGCTATATAGTCGCCTCTTCTGTGATATCGCCTCCTGGCTCTTCTACTGCCAGCGTAAATGATGTCAACATCTCTACTACGCTATTGTCTCCCCGGCCCCTACTTCTATCATATCTGAGTCGATCCTTCCAAATCTGGCAATTCTTTTCTTCGGAGTAAACGACTACACCACATCCGACATGGTCCACGAGCCACTCAAACATCATGACTGGGCCTGTGCCGTCGTCGGACAGCAACATAGCCAGCGTCGCCCCACCCTTGACCACTTTCGAAGAAAATTGAAACCCCTGTGGTGATGAATCATTAAACGCCATTCTTCGAGAGATTAGGAAGAACAAACAGGTGAACATCATCCATGCCGAGGCTCTTGCTTATATTTCAGTATAATATAGAAAACTTAATATATTATGCGGACATAAAGCCTTTGCTGGGAGCGAAACGTGTATTAGACGGATGAAGTCGGTGATTTGAACACGGCTAGCGGCGCAGTGTCGGATTTGAGAGCATTCGCAAATGGTGAACAAAAAGTCAGCATTCGTGATCGTGAGCAAAGACAAAACCAAGAATTTTCCAAAAATAAATCAGCTATCATTCAGTGGAAAGCAACACAAATAGTTCAAATTGTAATCACTCGTGGGTTCTTGAGAATGCACGTTGTTTCACCGTGCAATATAAGTAAAGACAAGATAAGGAGGGGTTATGCCGATCGACTTTTTTATTTGTACCTTGGTCATTGTGATCTTGGTAATGTTGGCAACTTGATTGGCTTTCACACATCGTGATCCTTCTGCAGTTGCCTTTCTCGTATTCAACTACCTTCGGTTAGCGATACAAACTTTGGCATGGTTGCCTTTTCTTGACCGGTTCCAATAATTTTCACCCGGATATATGTTGACATCATCTTGAATGAAATCAGTCGTACCAATCGATATTGTCATATGCACATGCATATTGATCCTAGGTTGACATGCTGCCAAGACGTGATATCAATCTATCCAAGCGTGGCTGCAATACCTCATTCGCTGTCCACCATGGCATGGGGGGCCATACTGCAGTCCATCGTATTTATGCGTTCCTACCTCCCCAATCGGGGTTTGAAGGCAACCGGAATAAAAACTTGAAAAGTATGATGCGACGTAGGTAGATAAAGAATCCTTTGTACTCCGGTTTCGCCCTTTAACACTTTCAACATATCCTATCATTCTCATGGTAAGATCGCAAAATCCTATTCTAAACAAATTGAATACTGATATTCTCTACAGGCAAGCCTCAAGATACTACTTGTGGGCTGTTTTCTTGCCTTTGCCAAGCTGTCGGCTACTTTGGATCGAGTTGTCACCAACGGCCGATTCCTAGTCAACAACGTAACCGGAGGTCAGATTATTCTGAACGGTGTAGCGTATGTATCCAGCCTTCCAAAATAATGATGCAATTTAACAAGTAAATTGTAGATACTCAACAACAAACTTTACAGGTTCAGATAAGGCTAAGCGCGACAGTCTCCAAAATGCCGAGGCTTGTAGACGTGATGCTGCCTTGATGCAACTACTTGGGATCAATCTAATTGTTGTTGATGGCGAGCTGGACCTCAATATTGACCATGACGAATGCTTCTCCATTTTCAATGCAGTACAGATATACATACTACTAAATATACAGTATGACTTCGTTTGGAATCCACTCAAAGATCCAGGATCCAGCTACGCTGGTGATCGTCCGCGGGAAATTTTCCAAATGATAGATGCGGTGAAGAATTACGATAATTTCCTTGGGCTCATGGTTGGAATGTATCCGGAACCCGAATATTTCCCACCTTTTGGCAACGATATCGATCAATATGTTGATGCTGCCAAAATTCTCCGAGTAAGTTCTTATATCATGGTTCCATTCCGTTTTGACATTGATTTGCTATAGGTCTTTGTTCGCGACGTGAAAGAATACGCCATAAAAAATAGCGCACGGCCAGTTATTGTAGGAGCTATGTTAAATCGCGCCGTAGATCAAGATTTTTGGCCTGATGTCTTAATGTGGCTGTCTTGTAACGTTGTCAGCGAATCTGCGCCTTCAGCGATTGACTTCTTGTACCTTGCGACTGGCACTACGCAGTTTCTTAACACAACATACTCAGTAAACCGCATCGTGAAGCTAGGACATTTTCTCAACCAGACTGATTACGAAACTCCTACGTTAGCCCGCTACAAAACATACAAAACAAACACCAACATCACTTCCGTATACTATAATGATAATCAGACTATCACGCATGATAATGATATATTCTTTGGCGGTAATGGGCTATTCCGTTATCCGCTAGACGATCCATTTATGGGACTCATAAGGGATCAATGGTAGGTGACGATATGCCAATCACAATGGATCAAAGCTAATCACGCACTTAGGGCAAATGTTCTTATCAATGCCGATTACGAACCGGCGAACTTGATCACGATCGACGTGGATGACAATGTGCAATTGACATGGAGATTTGACACTGTCAATAATATCCTTAGAAATACCAATACAGAGGCGCTCATTGATGAAAGTCGTCCCCGAGAGCAATACATACAGCCACGTCTGAGTTGCGCAAGCGACCTAATCAAGAACAAAACTACGACTATTTCCGGGGCTACATACAGTCTTCCTGCAGATTGGGAACTACCAACGCGACCTCCCCAAGTTGATGATCTTATAACAAAGGGTGCAAGCGGAAAAGTTGGAAAAATGGTAGACGTTACAGTGACTACTATCAAACAGCAGATACGAGACAGCAACGGCAAGATTACCAATGTTTTACTCAGACCCACTCCAAGTAAAGCTAGGACTACGGATCCATCTACACCACCATCCATACCAAGTACATCGTCGTTAAGTACAGCCTCAAAAGCAGGAATTGGGGCGGGTAGTGCTATTGGGGCGCTGGTCATTATAGGCATGGCTTTATTTGTATATTGGCGTCGAAATCGTCAGATTACTTCTGCCTCATCTACAGAAGCAAATGCTAAAGCCGCAACTGAAGAAAATTTATTCTTCAAACCAGAGCTTCCCTTAAATAATGTGGTTGAGAAGGGAGGTGATACGCCAGCTGAGCTGTCCCAGTCTCTATTACAACAACAACCCCCTCAAGAACTACCCGGAATCCAACTGGGAACTGATGAAGTCGAGGAATGTGTTCCGGTTGTTGAGTTACCGGGGAAAGATACACGTGGACCACAGGAATTGGCGGGTGATGGCGCTACGGACCTGAATAATGTGAAGAGGGAGCCAGACGAAAGAAAGATTATGAGTGAGAAGCTTACATGCAGGAGGTTGGTGCAGATGGAAGAGAATAAGGAGATGAATAAGGAACACGAGTGAGGGGTCAGTGTTCGAACATGACGCGTATGATTGGGTCTTGGCTGACCTTGACCGCCTTTACAAAACCTTGTTGAGGCACACGACGCAATTCATTCGTCAGAAACAGCTGTTGTGTCCCAGGAACCATTGAAAAGCATTCTTGTATGAGAAAGACTACTAAATCGTATGTGGAAGCCAAGAATGTGGCTGTCTAGTGCCAGCCGCGGTAGGGTAAATGTTGTACAGCTACGTTTGCAGCCATTTCTTACTCACAAACTGCGTTCCTTACTTTTCTTCACAAACTTCTGGCAGCCAATTGAATATCATATCGAAGAATGACACAATAGGCATATCTTTCCAGCCTCTTGGCCTCCAGCCGCGCTTAGTAATGTCACGATGTGCGTCTACTGACTTTTTGGTCCTCAACATTCACGTTAATATACAAGAACCTGCGCATCAATGCTGCAAGCAGATACTGATCTCTGAATTGCAGTTTCACATATGATAAAAATGCTATTCGAAAAACCGAATACGATGAAAGCGAGAGTAATGCCATTATTTTGTGCAAATTGAAGTTTTTCGGGTAGGCCGGAACTGGTCTTGTATACGACAGATGTCCGGGGTCGATGTTCTCACTGGCTTCGAGGGCTTTCCCGTCACCAAAGCTAATGTCAATGTCGTTGGCTATGCTATCAAGGACAAGAGTTTGATACAAGGTGATACATCCGGTCTCGACATCTACACCACTGTCGATGGCGATGGTGTACCAGAGTGCGATGTCCGCTGTTACAGGGGCGCGCACCTCGATGGAAACCTCGAAGAGTGCCCTGGCGGCGCAGACCGCCGCTATGATATCAGCCTTTGGCTCGACGAGAGCCTCGAGGGTCAGATGGGTGGCTACGGGTACAACTGGGGCCAGGAGCTCGGTCCCGATTACTTCCTCCAAAACGTTAAGAACGACAACATTCACATTTTGCTACATGAAATGGGCCACGGTTTTGGCCTACTTGGTACGTTATCAGACCCTTCTTCAACCGTAAAGCTCTGATTCACTAACCGTTTTGGTAGACTTTTACACATGGGTTCCCTCTGGTCAGACGAATTTCGTCATGATGGCTGGCAGTGCTATGGAAATTATTGAGTTCGACGCTTGGATGCTTCGTGATTGGTATAGAAAGCTTAAGGCTGAGCGTGGCTGGTAGACCCTTTCGCTAGAAGGATTTGATTGAGGGTGTTGGTTTCGTAATATCTTCACAGTTCCAATCATTTATTCTGAAACATCACCTTTTGGTACGCCTAAGGCATAGGACCTCGACTTTCCTGTCGTTCATACTACCTGATTGATAAAAATCCAATATCCGCCATTTTAACTCGGGATCTTCTACTCTCAAACACTCAACGTCACTGGATTCATATGGAACTCAAGAAAAATCATTCTATTTGGAACTTCGTCATGGAAGACTGTAGCGTACTACAGCCTGAGACAGCATAGTAGCTGGTATAGATGGGATCTTTTGACTCAAGATCTTGTGTCGCTGGTGTAAACCGCTGTAATTACATTGGTTCAAGTAACCGCTTTCATTCAAGTCGAAGAGGGTGAGCCTCCAAGTACTCCTCAAAAGTGGTAAGTTTGCCGCGAGCATTGTTCGCAGCCCAAGTAACCAACTTCTCGCCCTCGGGACCAAAATAACCGGGCTCATCCAGGAAGCCGAGCATTTCCATGAACATATCAACCATGGCATCTGGCAGATTCATCCTTTTCCTGAACTCCTCGGGCGAGATACGCTTGTGGCTTATGTCCTTCCCAGTAGCCTTGGACATGATGGAGAGCATTTCGCTCAAGCTGTACATCTTCGTAGCGCCGCACAATGTTTTGCCTTCAAATTTTGTAGGCTCAGCCAGAATCGCGCCGACAAACTTTCCCGTATCCGAGACTGCATTCACTAAAGGCCATTGGATATTCGGGGAAACGTGAAGGGCCACGGCCCAAGTGCCATCTTCCTCCTTCCGCGGAGTTAAGAAAGAAGCTGTCTCGAAGTTCTCCATAAAAGACCCGAGCGAGCAGAAAGCACTCTTGATAGGAAGTTTTCGGATGTACTGCTCGGCTTTTGCCTTGATATCGAAGAGGGTAAGCTTCGTATACTTGCCACCCGATAGCTCGTGCACAGACGGTAAGGTGCTGAAAATGATGTATTTGGCATCTTTTTCGAGGGCGACATCGGCGATGGTCTTCACAGTGTCGTACTCAACGTCAGGACTGAGGAGTGGCGCTGTCATGATGAACACGGTGTGCACACCAGTCAATGCTGTCTCGAGGGATGATCGGTTGGCTACGTCGCCATGTACCACTTCGACTTTGTCTTGTAACTTTTTAGCCTTCCCCGAATTAACATCTCGGGTTATGGCGCGGATTTGGTATTGTTGAGAGAGCTCAGGGTCGTTCAAGACATAGTCCACAATTGAACCTCCCTGTTGGCCGGTAGCGCCAAAGATGGCTAGAATGTTAGGCATGATTTGAATGAGTAGTTGCTAGGTAGCTTTCTGAGAATATTGTTGTAGGGCTTTGAAGAAAAGAAGCGGGATTCGACCACTTAAATATACATATTGATCAACCTTTGACGGGTTGTCGGGCGGTGTTAGCAATTCCATCAAATCCTCTTGAGGTTGCCGGTGTGCGTTATTGGCTTAGTTTTTACCATTAATAGTTAGGGTGGGTGAACGAGGACGTAAATACGGCTGATCGAAGTGTAATTCCGGTCTTTGGTGTGCAAAAAACAGGGGAATAAAGATAGCGAGAAGTGCCTTCGGGAGGGGAGGCATTTTCTATTGGGCAGCTCGTATAGCAAGCGGATGAAACTCGTGGTGGATGTACTCAATACAAGCCAAAGAAGTGTGTTGATGGGGCCAGGGCCTACGCTAAACTAGACGAGGAGTTCCCAGACATAGCTTACCATGCATGCAACTGATTGCGGCGGCTCACGGTGAGCCATCTCTTCGTGTCAAGTTTCGCGCCAACACGACATGTGATTGACACGAAAAAAGTTTATGTATGTACATTGACTTTTGGCTTGCTATATCACTTTCATAATCCGGTTGCCCTTGTGATGTTGCTCGTGCGGCGCCCTTTGCGCCACGTTTGCTAATCGTACATATATGCTTGGAACGTAGTTTTGTTACAGATCACGTCTTTCTTTCAAGTGATAGTCGTCATTGAGTTCAGTTATTCTGTTGAGATATATTTGCTGAATGATTTGAACATCTGTCAAAACCTTTTCATCTACCAAGCCAGCTTGCTTAGCACTCCTCTAACGGCAAGGAGATGTTATACATATCAACCATGTCCCTATATGCTAAGCTGAAGAGCAAAAATAATACATGAAATCTTCAGTACGACGAGCAACACTATCCCGAATGTTTCACAAAAGTTTAGCGGGACTCTGTTCACAGTTTTGAGTGTTTATGATCACAGCACTTGAGCTCATCTTTGACTTATCTACCATCCTTTCCATGGAATCCATGTGTCAATGACTATATCATCCTCGTCCACCACAAAGTAAGCGTAGAAGGCAGCTGCAGTGATGCAAGAATGCTGACACCATAGAAAGACCTTTTCGCCCACCTTGAAAGTATCACCTACTTTCTCGTCACCGTTTGTACAACCCAATATGCCATGCTCTTGCGAAACGCGGACAACATCCCAATTGTGTTGATCCACAACTTTGCCATGACCGGGGAACCCGCTAGCTTCTCGAGCCAGAACTATAACTCCTGCATTTATCAAGGCCTCGTTTCGTTCCGGATAGACGCTCACAATGTCCGCTGCCACGCGAATGGCTTGCTGAGTGATCGGCACGACATCAGTAGAGACTTGTTGAAGATCATTAGTCGGAAAATTGCCTGCTCCCAGTCAGTCAGGCAGTTAAGAGTGCAAAGAATACATTCTTACCAGCATGGAGCTCAAGAGCTACATTCGATGGTAGCTTTTCGCTCAATTTCTCGATCACGTGTGCGGTCGGTGTTGCGCCAATCGATACGATAAGTGACCTCATATCTGACACAAATGAAGCCGCTGCAACTACTTCCTCCACCTCATGTTGCAGCATTTCGGTAACATCTGCTTCTGTTCGACAGCCATACGAATGATTCGCGTGGCAATAGAAGCCTTTTAAATTCGCGAACTTTGAGGCCTCTACTGCCTGCACCAACTCCTTGAGGCGGGGTGAATCAGTCGTAAGACCGGCTCTGCGAGCACCAACGTCGATCTTGATGAACACGTTCCATGCTGTGTCGGAGCCTTCTAGAAGTGGTAATTGGTCGCAACTATCGAGAAGCAGATCGATTGTGATGCTCTGTCGAAGAGCAGTCAAACGAGGCAAGACACTCTTATAGACTGGCATACCAAATATAGCCTGGGCAAGCATTAGCATGATACTGTTCCAGAAATGTTGTCATATTTGGTAAGATCTCGAGACCACGGCCTAGTTTCGCATCGCACATTATCCTGAGTCTAGACGCGAACAGTGAATGGACTCCAGCTCAGTGACATACCTCATCGAGGAGGCCTTCTTTGACCAAAGGAAGAGCACCGACAATCTCAGGTACGGTGGAGCAAACAACGTTGCGGTGTAATCCATTCCCCAGCATCAGCCGCGTTATCTCTAGGGTCTACGACCAAGCAAATAAGTATCTGGATTTCATTTTTCTGTGAGATGCTGTGAGAGAAACCTTTAGAGTCTTCAGATGAGGTCTGAACGCGATACCAAGCGTGGCGACATCGGCATGTAGCTTCTTGATGTTTTGCTCTATCGTGGGCTTGTTGATGATGAAAGATGGTGTGGGAAGTTCGAGCGCATGACGGCCGATATATTCTTTGTGATTTTCAAAAGCATGATCCATTGTTCAGGATGCGGATGTGGGTGCAATAATGGTGTATGGGCATCATGAAGGCGGAGGCGATGGAGTGCACCCCTCGGGATGAAAGGTGTGGGGGTGAGTAGACTATTCAGGAACGCTAGTCACAACATTTGCTGCTCCGTCTTCTTGAAATCTGCCGGAAATGCATTTCGACTGCAAAGCGATCAGACGCTCTCCAGAGTCTTTACTGAATCTCCCGTTATGATTTCGACCGCAGTATCTTCATAAACATCAATCGATCCTACTAGTTGTCGCCGTCCTCATGCTATTTCTAGATGGACCAATAATTAGTGCCGTATATATATATAACTCAGCATATATCATTTGAGCCCTAGCAAATAGACGGAATCCCTAAGAAAGAATAACAATAAGCAGGGACCATTCGCTCAGGCATTTGTAAGTCTTCGCGCGGACCGGAAGAACGTAGCAGCGGGGCACGCACGGGCCATGTGTGCAAAATAATCCTACGCGTTCTTTGAGTCCTTTCATCTTCCTTTAGCATCACCACCATGCCACTCGCATGAATGTCTGCTATCAAGTGGCATGAAGAGGCAGGCTAAGCTGTTTCTTGTTCGCCATGGCGAAACCGTAGACAATGTGGCACAAGTCTAGTGAGTTATCTATTCCGTGCTGATGCAATGTTTTTACTAACAGAAGCAGTGCTGGCAGCAGAGACTCCGCACTTACCAACCACGGTTATCAACAAGCTACTCGTCTAGGACAGCATTTCAAAGTCTTAGATCTGTCCTTCACGCACATATTCTCCTCCCATCTCCAACGAGCGGTGAAGACGGCAGGATTGATTCGAGAGGCACAAAGTGTACCGGCGAGCGAACATGGCCCGGCAAGAGCAAGTCCTACAGTCATCGAACTGCCTGTACTGATGGAGAAAGACTTTGGTGCCTATGAAGGTAAAAAGTTCCATGAGCTGCGCGCCGATCAGAGCGCGCCAGAGAACAGCGGGGACAACAAAGGGGTCGAGTCTCGTACGTCCATGTCTGGTCGTGCCGACAAGTTTCTTGATGAACACCTTTTGCCTTTGTTCGATGGCGCAGCTTCGGAGCCAGATCTATGCATTGCGATTGTCTCGCACGGGATGCTTCTCTCTGTGTTGTGGAAGCGTCTTCTGTTGAGGCTCCCACCAAACAGTGTTACATTGGCTCCTGAGCTCGCCGCTCACGCTCGCAACTCTCTAGAACATCTGGGAGGTTGGTCGAATACAGGTTTCTTGGAGTTGCACATGTCCATGGAGCACGTAACACAGCCACATCCCGAGCCAGAACCGCAACCGAAGCCTATCTCAAGCCCCTCAGCCAACGATAGTGACCAATCACCGAAAACCGAGACTAACTCCCCCCAAATTTTGAACCATGATAGTGCTGTTCGTGAATCGGAGGTTGCTCAGACGACAGATGCTTCTATCTCTGCACCCACTGGTGGACAGAGCAGCTGTAAGAAATTTGACTCCACATGGACAACTGTCATCTTGACGGTAAATGGAAAAGACCATCTGAAAGGTCTGAAGCGCACTGGAGGTGGGGTTGGAAGCTCCCGTCACGATGACTCACAGAAGAGCATTGAAAGCTTTTTCAAGCGCCGCAAGCTTGAGTGAGATACAGACTGGCTTCTGCCTCAACTCCAGTGAGAGTGGTAAATGGTAAGCTCATTACTTTTCTTTTCATACCCCATGCAATGATGAAAAATCAATATTCACAGACCTGTTCTGAATTACAATGTGGACTTATATTGATCCAACTGCTGTCTGATCTTGCTTTACTGGCTTCGTGTTTCTCCTCGTTTTTGTTTATCGGGGCTCTGGCTAATGATGAACCTAGATCTTACGATATAACGAATCCCAAAAACATTGTCCCACAACTCTAAGAAGCAGCTTTGATTAGGGATACCGGGTTTCAAAATCCGTCGGACAAGAAGCCTCTGGATATTGACGTAGTTTGTTGTCCACATATGGACAGCCGGTTGATATGAGATTGTAGTTTGCCTTCCACTTCACTTCAGATTTCATTTGATCAGAGATGCCGGAGTGAGTGTCATAAGACTGAAGTGGAATATCACCACAGCTGCTTAGACAACATGTATAGAGAAATAGAATACAGTATACAAGAAACTCTCAAGAGTTCGATGAATGTACAAGAACCTCAATCCATCTCGCAAGCAAAACCGTACTTTCTCCCCTCGAGGAGTCCCTCCACCCAGCTCGTTGTATGATTGTGATCTAGGCCTCCTCTGGCTTGACCAAAGCTGGTGTTTCGGTTCCATCCTTCTTTCCAGTGTACTTGAGCTCAAAGACATCAATGCTTCCTGTCCCAGAGTTGAAGTTGGCTTCGAACTCTGCGACATAGCTGCCCCAGTTCAAGGACAGGTACTTTGGGCTATCCGTCGAAAAAGTGACGGTTCCAAAGCCGTGCAAAGCGTTGTTTCCGTATTGGATAGTGGCGCGGGCGTCCATGTGCAGGAGCGCATCAGTCGTGTTGATCGTGAAGGTGTTTGTGTAAAACTATCAGATGTCAGTCAGATGAAAATATTGGGATTAACAACAATAAGCCTGGGAACGGGACTGCATACGCTGTACACCCCTTCGCCGGCAGTTGGAAGAAGTTCATAAGCCGAGCCAATATCTACGATGCTGCCTTCCAAAGCGCCGGAAACGGTACCACCGAGGTTAGGATAACGTGCTGTGATGCCTTCGATGGTAGTAACATTGGTGGGAAAGCTCGTCAATTGTTCCATGTGGAGAAACGGAATGAGCGTTGCTGGCTTGAAAATGGTAGGGATTTCGGTATTATTGGCGGGTACATAGTTGGGAGCTGCTCCGGTGAGCGCAGTGAGAGATGCAACAGCTAGGGCGGTATTGAAGTTGAACATGATGAAATTGTACTTTCGAAATTTGATTTTTGTCTTAAAGATGAATGAATGGAATTTGAGTACTTGAATGGTAGCAGTAAAGAGGCTGGTAATGGACGATTGACCCTTCTTTATACGCTTTTTACAAGTATATTATTGAATCAGTGACACGGTACGACCGGCATAAAGTTTCCCAAACTCGCCTCATGCGTAAGCGTTTATTGTACTGGCAATTACCGTTGCCTTTTTCAATGCTTACATTCGGTGCAATAGTGATGTGTCGCGACTTTATTACCCTCATTCGTCTCAATGGGGGCGAATCGTGACGAAATCTTAGCTACACGACGCGTATACTTGCGGGATGAAGTTGGCTAAGGACAGTTCTTATGCTAACTTTTATTCTCAAATTAGTGCCGATAAACGGTAATAAAAAAATTCGAACTATCCTACATTCAGAGATTATTCGTTCAATTTTTCGATGAGGTTCTCCGATGAAGGATGTCACAAACTTGACCCTCCCGAGAGCCGACCAAATAAGCCAGATTCAATCGCAAAGCCAAAGTGGAGGGTCTCGACTATCCGTCTCTGAAGCAGGCTTGACACAACAACGACGAAGGTGCCCAATAATAGACAGTTTTGTGTGAAGACGTCTTGGCTTGTATTCAGAGGCCAGACAGCCCGAGCAAAAGACTCCATAATCTACGTCTTTGCCTCTTGCATCTAGCCAAGGTACAATTACAGAGGCCATATGCAAGCGCACAGAGTCAGGGAGAGGATCATTGGGTGACATCCACTTGATGGAAGAAGGCGGGGGTGTCTGATTGACATTGCACTCCACTTCCTCGCATTTGAATATTTCCATCTTCCACGTCTCTCGTCTGTACCTCTTGTTGAGTCGCGATACAACATCTCTGTCTCCATTTAAGCGTTTTCTGTAAGCTGCTATGCGGCTGCCCAGAGGTCTAAGCGTGTGGTGAGCAGGAACTTCATACATTTTGTGGCGGCCCGTCACCCCGTGCTTTTGTGTTCCGTCTGTGAATGTGCCGGGTAAGGAACGATGAACGGGCAGGGCAGCAACCTCTTTCGGTGAAAGAAACCATGGCTCTATGGCTAACTTGCTCGCCGGCAATGGAATTTTTCGGGTTCCAAGATTGGGATCCAAACATGGAAAGCAAATCCTTTGAAAGGTGGGCAGATAGATGCATTGTGCCAGTCCCTCACCTCGATATCCTGCTCTGCATCTCTCACAGTGTCGTTGGCGAAACTTCATGCACATCTCTTGTGGAGTCATGTGTAAAGCGATTTCCAATGCCACGAGCCCCTTGAACACGTTTGGCGCAATGTGCATGGCGGCTCGAAGGGACGGGACACCCGGAATAAGATAGTTGGAGTATCGGTTACAACGTCTGAACTGTGCGAGTTCCGCGACTGTGAGATGTTGGAGGATAATAAAGAGTATCTCAGTAGGAAGAACATCGAGGGTTCCAAGTTCCTTTTCAATGATGACCGGTTTTGACGTGAAGACTGGCGCCATCTTGTCGAGAATACGATCCAGATAGAACCATTTGGGGCGCAGACTGGTGTGGGTTTCGACCGTGTGGGTGTATTTTGCAAGCTCGAATCCTGGTGCATGGGGGGTCAAGCCTCCAGTGAGCCAATTGTTCAATTTCTGGTCTTCGATGGTCATGGAATCCTCCATCTCAAAAGTTCGGTATTAGTTGCGCAGCAAGGTGCGGTGGAACAACAGAAAGTGCTGATTATTCGTATTTGTCGTCGTCGATAATAAGATTTTCAATAAAGCTATGAGTTGGGAAAGTTTTCTGACAAAACGACAGACAGAACGCAGATGAGTTTTATATGTGCCTGGTTGTGTAAGGCAGACATGGGCGTCACGTGAGGGGTGTTGCCTTCAATTCAGATGTTCTTGCCCAACAAAATGGAGTGGATGAGGCCTACCCGTCGTAGGTCATCAAAGTAACTATTATTGGATGCAAAATCAACTTCAATAGTAGAAATGCTTCAGGAACCAACCACACAGATTTACTCTGACAATTAATAGTGGTTCCGGTTAGATATTCACCCAGTCAAGTCAATCCCAGTTGTGCATCAGAGATTCAACACGATTTGTGAAAAATACCCACCAATTTCAGTGAACCAAGCTTTTATAGTTTGACATTACCTGCACGTCATTGGTCTTTCCCTTCCCAAATGCCATTTGATCAGAAAATACAACTCAAGCTACCAATGTCAGGCATATATCTAATCATTAAATAAAGGAAATCATGACTCCATAACAGATGCAATGAAAGAAATCGACATTCGGATGAGAAACACGTCCCCGATTAACCCGCAAATAATAATGGCACAACAAAAGCAATCCACCAAACCTTTTCCTTCCCTCTGGGTGCGTCCAACGGTGATCCACTTGCTCCAGCCACGCTGGGTGCTGGAGGAATTCTACTAAATATGGAGGAAAGGATTGTGCTCGAAGGTTGCGTAGAATTCGAAGACGCAGTGGGTGATGCCAGCGCAGATGTGCCAGCAAGCGTTCCGCCCAAATTCAGAGAAGACTTTTCGATCGAGGGAGCTGCACTTGCTCTTGCGCTGATGCTATTAAAAGATGTAGTAGACAGAATGTCACCGGAGGATCGCGGCGTCGTAGTGTTCGTTTGCGCAGAAGTAGCGGATGCTGATGGTAACAGCGTGGTCAAACTAGAAGATGGCCAGCTAGAAGTGTCGGTGATTAAAGTAGTGCAGTCCACCGGATCTAAGTGATGCGTAGTATAACTCGTAAGGAACACATCGGAGGTAAGCAAACTTTTTTCGGTGAAAATGTGTGATGCACTGCTAGTTGCGGCGTGCATTGGCACAGACGGAAGAGTGGTGGGCGGAGGCGGCGCAGGGACATCGGGCTCCGAAAATGCGACAGCCCTGTGGAGGATTGCTGATTGAGGCGTCAGTAAATCAAAAGATCTGGATTTGAGCTGATGATAGAATAGATCCTACACGGTGACATACGATTTTCACGGTCGTGCTCCATAGCACCCGTCAACGCTAGCCACAGTTGACAGGCTCCCACTGCCTTCGTTATCCACATCCTCAGAAAGAATTGAAACCTTCAAAGTCGTAGCGAGCAAGCCAAATCGAGAATTGACAGCAGTCAGTTGATAAACGTCATCTGGGAACATGGACTCCCCATCACACATTTATGTTTTTTGGCGACCATCAGGAAATGGTTGGTTGCTCGCCAGCCACATCAACAACCCGAAACATAGTTGTCGCACAGTAGCCGTTTTTGCAAGACGTCAAGAACAAGCGGTCTGCGAGGTACCGCCGCACAGAGTCCCTAAATTGCTTTACAAACATCCAATCGTTACTCTTCAAAGAAACGTTGTGCCACTTTGCTTTGTATTTGGGTGTCGGTCTAGAAACAGGCTGATAATTTGAACACACGGGCCACCGCGCGTATCGCGGTCCGATGTTGTCGTACACACAATGTATGAAGCTTCAAAAAGAGATTCAGCAGATGAATAAATCTAGATCATTGGCTGTGGAGTTTATTGTAACGATCGAGGGTCTATGTTACTGTATGACGAGACCGGCGTCTTGAGAAGATCCGCCGGGGCTGGAGCATTGAGCCCGCATGCTGACATCTCGATTTCCTCACCGCGAGGATTTCGCAACAGCATCGCTTGTGCTCTTGTCTACTATTTAGAAACCATGATGGAAGCAATACATGCGATTATCCTGCTCGAAACTTCGTTATGTGTTATCGCAAGTCATCGATGCAATCAACCACGCAATCTCCATCCGTGTTCATCTCTCCTCCATCAACCTCCAACCTCGCCACAATTCTTCCTCCCATCGAGAAGAAGGCGAGGAACCAAAATTAAAACAAGATCAGCCCACACACTTCCCACAGCCTTCCCCACATACTCAAAACACGCACACATCACCTTCCCAAACAACCTTCCCTCCTTGCATGCATACATACACACATATACGCTGTCGTGCAACACAGCCACCCCTTGTCGCAGCATATATGCGGCCTATACGAGACCACCATCTCATGTTCTCCAGTACCTGTACCCCACCCCTCGCACTATCAATCACACGCACCTAGTAAAATCAAAGCAATGCTATCATAAACTCGCTCAACCTCAAACCAACTCATCTCGCTCCATATCTCTATCATTGCAGATAAAAAGGGAATCGATCAGATAGGGGTCTAGATCATCGCGGATACGAGAGGGGGCCAAGAAAAACGGATGATTCCGGGGGCGGAGAAGGACGGATGGGGGAAACGGGTACGAGGATCGATCGTCTGTGGGGAGGAAGAGGGAAGCGTTGCGCTCAGTATAGTGTCTCTTTGCTAACTGGTGCAAGAGTGTCATGATGTGTCGTGACAGAAAGATCCAAGAAAAGGTACGCAGGTAGGTAGCTGTACTCACTCCCCCAGCACAGTAGCACCACACAATCCCCATCCCACAATCTTAACATAAAAACCTATATATACCCCTCCTCCACATCCCTGCCCTCATACCACCAACAAAACAACAGCACCGCCTCCCTGAACCTAGCTATCAGTCGCATACGAACCCTCCAACTTACACCACACTACATTACACAGCGAGTCTTCCTTGCTCCGCACGAAAAGAAAACAATCAACGGGAAACTCCGAACCCCCAAGGAAGAAGACCCGAGTGCAACGCGTAAGTCCGATCCGTATGGCTGTCCGTAACGTCTATACGAACCCGTATGATGATCCGGAAAGAGAACACGGGGACGCGAGGAAGCGAAGCGACACGAAGCGAAACGAAACGGACGTACGCTGATTAGAGAGAAAAACTCCAAGTTTGCGTTGTTATGTAGGCGCGATTTCGCTTTGCTTGTGATATGATGTGATATGATATGATGAGAATAGATGGATGGGTGGAAGGATGTGCGAAGCGGACATGGCGAGACATAAGGATAATGATACGTCACCCTATTTCTCTGATTTGAGGTATGATCTATCTGTGTGCATGGTGAATAGAATGGGTGGTTCGAAGACTCTCATCGCGAGAGTAACCACCACTTGTAGGTTCAGTAATCAGTCATCGTTGATCGCGCCTTCACGGCCGTTTATGCAGTCCCAAAAAAACAAGCACTTCGCCCCCTCCTCCCCCTTCAAATGAGCAATTCAAAGAAACAGATGAGAAGCAGATCAAAACGGTCGTTGAAATCCTGACCAAGCCCCGACCTGAATAAAAGCCAGCTTCTGCCTTGCATTGACGAAACGAAAAAGATCAGACCAGCATACACATTTAAGAGTGATAGCGACCCCAAATGCCGCCCATTTCGTTTCGTTTCCAATCTCCTCAACCTTATTAAACAACATGCATGCATACAGTGTGCATGGCAAGGCAAGGCAAGGCAAATCAGCGCCTGAAATGAGACCCCATTTGCCTTCCCCATCATCAATCTCACACGCTCGGCCGGACGGTGTTTGCTCTGGGGGAAGGAACAAACGACCGAGGAGTAAGAAGGTCTAGAACAAATGGGCAACCGATGATCTGGAAAAGCCGGGTGAGATATAGCAAGGCAGAAGAAACACCATACGTCAACCCGCCATTCATTCTTAACAGAAAGAGGTAATGATGGTCGACTGCGAAGAAAGAATGGGTGATGGGGTGGGGAGAATGCATGGTTCTGCAGATTGAAGTCCGATCGGCTAGCTCGGTGACTACCCCTACCCCTAACCCCCCCTGCTCTTACTATGTAATTCCGCCCCTAGGGCTAGAGGGAGACCCACCCACTGGGCTAGTGAACAAGCAGGGCGGCGCAATTTTGGCGGCTAAGAGCGCTTGTACCTTTTATCTATGCTATGTTAAGGTACATATACGTGGGGAACGTTAAGCATGTGTTGCAAGGTACAAGGGGATGGATTATGGAAGCCTCGGGGACTACGATGGGCACAGAGGCTAAGCTAAGTAGCCAGCACCCTACCTTGTTTCCAGAATGTTCGTCTCTTCGCGAGGGTTTTTTATGTGGGTCGGGCGCAGTGTGGTGTGGTGTGGTGTGGTGTGGTGAGGTGATGATGGGAAGGGTGGGCATTTGTTAAGGCGATGGCGAGGAGGTTTGGGAAATGGACATCGGTCGGGGAGGAAGGCTGAGTTGCTTGCAAGATTACCTACAGCGGCGTTTTGCTGACTTTGATTATGTTTAAGCGAAATCTTGTCGGTCATGAAAGACGAGCTCGGGGGGTATGTCCATTAACGGTGGCGGCTGAGTTGCGGCTCGTATAATCGTCACAAGTCATTCGAGGAGGCACTGCCTGCTGCACATGGTGACAGCCTCCGGCGCTTCAGGTGATGCAGACATCGATGAACCGATTGCATGCGAAATGGAATCGAGGGATCGATGAGATGGTCGATTATCAACATACGGGCGTGCTTAATGTTCGTGGAAGGGCAAGACCGTTGTCAGTAGCGCATTGCGCATCTCACGAACTCAAACCTGAGGAATGCCCTAGGAGAGAACGGAATACAGAACGAGACAACGCTTGCCAATATGTATCCGTCGACAGCCGTACATCGTTTGTACAGTTATGCGTCGCATGTGACAAGCCTCAGCGGCACCGGAATCCCGTGCGGAAAGACTCGTCACGTCCTTTTGCTGGCGTAGGCATATGTGCTTGGCGTCAGAGTGGACCGAAGCCTCGATCAATCGTAAAGAGCCCGCCTTCCGGCCAATTGCAGATTGTTTCTATTCTGAAACATTACTCAGAAGTTTGCCCATATGGGCGCGGACTCGTGGGTGCAAGGGTAGTCTTGTAAGAACTTAGCCCCATGTGGAGAGCTTCAACCCCGTTGACTCCGGATTAGGAGTAGTGCCAATGTTTGGAGTCCGAAAGGTGCTGGTATACGGGCTGCGACGACCGACTGCGTAGAAGATCGCCTTGGAGTATATGTTACCCAGAAGCCCGGGGTGCATGTATCTCTCTTTACCTTCGTAACCTGCCGATTACTTCCTTTTCGGAACCCTACCGTCGCGCTGCCAGCGTAGCTTGTGGATGAATGTCATGTCGATGTAGAAGAAGAGAGAAGCAGACATCAAGATGACGGGATTCGACAGCACCACACTCATTACCAAAAAACCGGCCGCCGTACACCATGCGACGCCTCCACGTTCCCCCGAACCAGCGGGTGCAGCTCAGTTTATCAACAATCTTAATGAACGCCAACAAGCACATTTGCAATTTGCAATTCCGGCCACCGCCGAGCCAGAACGGTTTTCACAGTTCCTCGAAGGGCCTAGGAAGACAAGAGTACCCGATCGTTTCACGTTTGACGCCTTGGACTCGGAATCCCGCTCCCTTCGCGAAAGTACCAAAAGCCCGGTTCTGGACGGCAAGGAGCAATCGAAACCAAGCAAAAGCAACCTGAACAATGTCACCAGCGCTAACGGAAAGGACGACTATGATGGAAAGAGCAACAAGTCATTGCGTAGCGGGAAGAGAAGCAGAGCATCGAGTTTCTCGAAAAGAGCCAGCGTAAAGTCGGGAAGCACGAAGACATACGACGCCGACTTTCCGAAAACCCCCATCAGTATGCAGAGTGGGTGGGATAGGGGTGTTGATTGGAGGTTTTATGTTGTCGCCACATGTTTACTTTTGATCAACATCGTCGTTGCCTGGGATATCGTGGTCATAACCATTGCGTTGCCGGTGAGTTGGGCGTATGCACGAGGAGAAGGGTTCAATAGCTAACGTTACTGCAGGCGATATCCTTCTCTCTCCACGGCTCGGCTGTTCAGACCTATTGGGTCGCTCTCGCATTCCTCGTTGCCGCGACTGTATTTCTGCCATTATTTTCAGCGTTCGCAGACATCTTCGGAAGAAAACCGACCCTCATCTCAGGCCTGGTATTGTTCACGGCGGGTTCATTGATTGCCGGAGTTTCGGGATCAATGGAAGTCTTGCAGTTTGGGCGTTTGATCCAAGGTGTTGGGGCTGGCGGCATCTACTCGCTATCCGATCTCATTGCCTCCGACCTCGTCTCGCCCTTGGACAAGCGCCGATTGAATACTGCCCTGGGTGCTGTGTAAGTTGTTCACTGATACTTGACGATGATATTGGCTGACATGGTGACAGTTGGGCTTTTGGAGCTGTGACAGGCCCCGCTATTGGAGAAGCATTGGCAAAGAACGACCGTTGGCGCTGGATATTCTGGATCAACCTGCCGTTCTGCGTGGTGGGAAGTGTTGTGCTCTTCATCGTCGCAAGACTCAGAGGCCCCACATCAGGATCCATCGGGCCTAAGCTCAGAAAGTTTGACTGGTTCGGATTCATCTTGTTGGGTGCTTCCATCACGGCCTTCTTCCTAGGCCTCAGCTGGGTAAGCCATTCATCACCCGATGCCGTCGTACCAGGTCACTAACTTGCACAGGGAGGTTCTCTTTACTCGTGGACTCACACAAGCACGCTTTTGCCACTCCAGTTCGGTGTAGTCGGGTTTGCGGTTTACGGAATCTGGGTATGGTTTTCGCCCTTTACACCAGTCATCAGCATGGAAGGCTTCATGGACCGAACGATCATCGGTGCATTTATCGGAACCATGTTCCAGGGTGTAGTCCTCGGTGCTCTCCTTTATTTCATGGTAAGTGCATTGTGATGCCTCGAAATCGTGTTGGTGAAGCATGCGTGCTGACTTTTGCGCAGCCATTCTTTTTCACAGTGGCCAAATTGGACCTTGCATCATTGCCAGTAGGTGTACGCTGGCTTCCGTGGACACTTCCGTTCATCATTTGCGTCACCGTGACATTCATTGTTGTCAGTCGATGGAACCTGTGGTTGCTAGCCATCTGGATAGGCTGGGCTTTGACTACACTTGGCATTTCACTGACGGTTCTGTTCACGCGTACGGTGCCAAACGTTGGCTGGGTCTGCATTGCAATCGTGACTGGCGCTGGCTTGGGTGTGCTGTATCCAAGTTTGCACACAGCCGCCGAGCTCATCGCCGCTCAAGACATCAACAAAGCGAGGCGTGCAATCACCAACTACAGCTTTTTCCATTTTCTGGGTAAAGCTTTTGGTGTAGCGATGGGACTTTCGATTTTCGAGAACGAGCTATTGAAGAACCTGAAGGCCAACCCGACATTCGAGGATTTTGCGACGAGATATACCAACGACGCGGTTGCGACCGTGGCCAAGATTCAGAAAACAGAAGGGTTGGTCCAAGTGCAGATTATGGACATTTACGTGCAGTCGCTGAGGACGGTGTGGATGGTGCTTGCCGGCATCTCTGGATTGGCCTTGATACTCAGCATCTTCATCAAGCCAAGGGAGAGCAAGACAGCGGCGACGACGTATAGGGAGGTGGAGATGGATGGAACGTATGCGGTTTGAAGAGTGGGCGGCACATTAACGAATTATGGATATAGATTTGGGGCATTCATTTTGGCGTTTCCTTGAGTCAAGAAGGCATATACACAGGATCATCAAGCAGCGACGCTTGGGCGGAGGATTTTGTTTGGATGGCATCCATTGTTTGCGGCGCGACGGTATACCCTTTTCCTGGCGGACAGTCATTGATTCTCTTTGTTCGAAAGACGGATAAAAGTAGTGTAATTTCTTGTATATAATTTCGAACGATGCGTCATATTGGCCATGGATGTCTTGGAGGTGGATTCTGAAGTGCGTGATGGCCGTTGGCAAGGGATGCGATGGGATGGGATGAGAGGAGATGAGGTCTTGGTTTAGGGCTGACTAATACCAGGCTAGGGCTGGATCGGGGAAGGCGCAGAGGTGCAGTTGCTGGCTGTCAAGATTGGACGCTCATCTCGTTTACAGTGGGCGAACAAGAAAGACGCGGTGGGCTTCAGCCCTGGTTTCACTTGTTCGCTCTCATGTGCTTGCGCAGTGGATCTACAGGCCGCGAGGCTGGCTGGCTGCTATGGCACCGACCGGCGGCGTGCTTCAGGAGAGCAGCGTCGCGGCAATCGATAGGCCGGCGGTGCGGACGTCATGGGTGGGGATCAGCGATAGGCGGGAGGGATGCGAGGGACAGGGAACCTCGAGCGAGCGAGATCGCGGCCGGAATCTGGAATCGTATCATATCAACAACCGTCTGCCCTGTTTACTCGTCCTGAGTCTTGACCACCCTGGCGTGGGAACAGGCCATCGCAAATAATCCCCCCGATTTTCTTCTGTGATGACACTCGTCCCGTGCTGCTGCTGCTTGCTGCTTGCTGCTGGTGGCCAGGGGCTTGCTTGGTCCCATGTCCCCATAGTATAGTATACCTCTCCCCAATGCCCCGTTGCTGAATTGTGCAGTACGGTGCAGCGCAGTGCAGTGCAGTGCACGCTCTCCTTCTTTCAAAACCACCCCTACGCCGCTGTGATCCACTACCTCACCGTCTCTTTTACCATACCCACCTCCTTATCCTTTACTTTGCCAACTAATATGCCTTTGCGGAAGCGGTCCAAGACGGCAGGAGACAGCACGGCCGACGAGAGCAAGCCAAACAGCAGCGGCAAGAAGAGTAAACGGCAGCGGCTTGCCGACTTCTTCAAGCAGAGGAAACTGAGGAAGCAATCCACGTCTGGACCTGATAATGTCCACGTCCATGCCACTCCTCCTGAACCCGTACGTTTATCTGTATCTTCACTCACCCCGCTACCACCCCACAATCGCTGATGGCTCCCTTCGTCTCCAAGATACCCGTTCCGATAAAGAAGGAACCCACCCAAGAACCTCCTCGCGATTCAAAGATTGCCGACTCGTCGAGACCTGTCAAACCCGATGCTACTGCTACTGCTACGGCTACTTCGCAACCCCCCGATCCAAATAATGCCGACGACATCGCGCTTCCCACCCCACCTCCAGAGCCACGCCGGCAGTCCACCGAGCAGGCAGAAGAGCCCAAGCCAGAGCCCAAAACAGAACCCCTCAGCGAGGAACATATACACGCCTTGTTTGCGGGCGCCCCCCATTTCTTCCTTAAGCGCGTAAACAACCGTCCCACACCTACAGCTTCTTTTCCTTGGGATCAAGATTTGGTCGTGAAGGATGTCTCAGACTCGGTGCAACTTGCCCACCCTGCCTTCTCAGCGTCAACCTTGCACCGGCACTTACCCGTTCTACGGCATGCTACCGACCAGGAAAAACTATACCAGGGGTACAATCTGGATGCCCTCGAGGTACCGACCATGCTCGGTGCCCAAGGAATCGAATGTGGCACTGTTGGATTTGCCCATTTCCTGGAGCTGCCATGTGCCGACAACCTCATCACCGACCTCCAACAATCCCAAACCAGCAACGAGTATCTAGAGGCAATGCGGAATAAGGAGCTCATGCACACCAAGCCCGAAAGACTGGGTATTCGAAGCGTGGACCGGGACTTGGTTCACGATAGGTTGATGGAGTTTGGGGATCTCTTTGAGCTATTTCACGATAGCCCGGAGAGGATGACTATCCTCAACAACCAGTCATCTGGCGATCTGTACGCCAATTTGTTCGGCAAATTCCTCACTCCTCCTGGCTACGACGGGACCACCGACGACCCTACAGGCATCAAAGTTCAGATTGATACTCTCTTGAAGATCTTGGCACTGAAAGGCGTCTGGTACGATTTTAGTCTTGTCGAGTGGCGGATCCGGCTTGGCCAGATAATATGGAGCGACGGTCCATCTGAATCAGAACACGACGGGCGAGAGATGTGGACGGAACGTGAAAAGTTGTTGCTGCAAATCACTTTAGCCTGCGAGCTATTACTCCGGCTTGATGCTGTCACTAGCATGGACGTAGAGGACATCAAGGGCCAGATTCATGTTAGCCCAGACGACTTCCAGGGATTCCTCAAACTCAAGACCAAAAAAGTAGATTGGGATTTGGTTCTCGCCAGAAGGTTTCTGGAGAACATATTGGTTGTCAAAGAAAGTGATGCGGAAACTCCGACACCGACAGAGAATTCGCGTGGCTTCATGTCTATGCTTACCCCCGGATCGACCAAGCAAGCCGGTGCAAGTGAAACAAAAGACGGTATTGTGCTGCTCCCTCGACACCAAGCGCGGCAGCTATCAGGCTTATTGCAGTTTGCACAAACAATACAATGGCCCAGCATGGATCTTGTTCTTGCAGATCTAGCTCAAAAACTACGTGTTCCTGAGGCCGACCAGGACCAAGATCAAGACCAGGTTCCTTCGCCCTATGGCAGATTCATCGAACCAGCTACCCCATCTTCTGTCAGTGTGTATGGAACGCCACTTGCATCTCCGCGGCCGAACGAACTGCTTGATAGCTACTTTGGACATGTCTCAAGACCTGCCCTTAGTCGGGCCAACTCCCAATCGCTTCAAATGCCGCTCTCTACCTCGCTGTTGCAACAAGTGGACGGCCCCGAGAACGCTCTTGACGTGGGTGGCTGGCTCAGTCGCTCCTTTCTGACTGGCTTGATACTCCCTGGTGAATCCATTTCGCATTTTCTCATGTCTACTTTGCTGGAAAACGACAAGCTTGCTATCACTGCGCTAGGTGATAGTGCTAGTCTCTACGGAGGCTTTGTTTACTCTGGCCGCACATGGTGGAGCAAAGCATCCATCGTGGCGCGTGTATTTGGATGCATCGGCAGCGTCGAGTGCATGGGCTGGGTATCCTTTCCAAAGGTCCCCGACAACCTACCCAACGGATGGTACGCGATCAACAGCGATAGACCTGATGCCGACCAACCGCCACGTATCACCGAACAAGAGGACCGGGTTATGCAGGATTCACTCATTATTCCTGATGGTACCAGTGACTCTCTCAAGCCGGCAGATCTCATTCTACCACGCGATGCTGTGTCCCCACCCATACCCTCTATCGAGTTTACGAACTGGAATCTTACCCTAATCAATACGGAATTTAGCGATAATGATACGCTGTCTAAACCGTCGACTGAACCGGAGACTTATGTCGCGTCTGTCACCCTCAGCACGGTGGGCCGTACAACTGCATTCACTCTAAGCTTGACGCACGACATACATTTTGTAACCTCATGGCCCTGCACGCCGCCGTCTTCTTCTCCAACACCAAGCATGCCGCATGTTTTCAAGAGGTCTCAGACAATGCCTATTTCCAGGTCGTCCTCGAAACACAGCAACCCTGTTGCTCGCACTGCAAGCAACCAATCTTCGCGCAACATTGGCACTCGACGCAACTCGCATGGCTTCGAGCCTCTGCTCTCCCATCCACCCGATTCGCCCGGGATCCTGCCGACTCGAATGTACTCCCCCATCCCCGACGAAGACGAGCCAAGCTCGGTTTTATCACCAAAACACGAGCCTATGACCTCGCATCCTCTGCACGTCTCGTATAAATTCAAGCTGATTCCCGTCACGGATGTGCTAGACTCGAATTTCATCTTACCGTTCACAAAGCAGACATACAACCCACCAACACCATCCATGTTGAACTCTCCTTCGGAGGAAAAGAAGGTCGAGGATCTCCAGGAAGACGACAGCAAGACCGTCTTGGTGCTCGATGCGCGAGCCTCCGAGGATCTGGAGTTGCTTGCGCGAGCTTGGTGCGCGGAAAAGGGCCATCATGCCATTATCGGTCGTGTTGGTCGCACTTGCATCGCTTGCTGTGTCCGCGAGGCGAGAGGTGTTGGCATTAATGTGGTGATTCGGGTCTGAGTGCTCTTTTCTTCTCCGTCCATACATTCATCCTGTTCTTTAGTGTTTTTTAATCTTGCAGCAGTTCGGGACGCTGACTTTGTTCCCATGCTTCATTCTTTGTTCTTGCTGGTTTATTTTTTGCATGCGTACATATACCCTTTTCCCTGCCTAAGCAGTACCTCAAGTCTGAACCCTATTTCCCTACCTCCTTATTCTCCCGGCTTGTTTGCAATCTTGCGTGTTTTTTTCTTTTCCATCTTTTCCCTTGAGAGTTTGTCCAGCAACTGCATCTAGCGAGGCACTCCCATCTACATATACATGAACGATAGATACCCCTCTACCCCCTTATACATCTCCGAGCCTTGCACGAATACGTCCATCATACTTAAATTCCCTCCAATAAGATCTCATTGAAATCATTCACACTAGCCAGTCATCGTTAGGGAAAAATTCGACTTTCTCAAACAACAAACGTTGGTCGCCTTATCTACGGACTTGAGTTGCGGTGACCCTAGCGTGAGATGGAATTGCTTGCGAGAAAAGCTTAGCGCTTCGAGGCTTGGGTACTTGAGTATTTAGCCATGGCTTAGTCTATGCTATTGCTCCTTATTTTGTTGATGTGTGATTCGTCTCAGCCCCGGGCAATCAATGTAAAGGAAGCGTGGTAAATATTTGTTTCGGAAAATTCCCAGGGTGTACTCGGTGCTAGTGTGGCAGTGTATACCTACAGATCCATCTGCAGGTTGGGGGCGTTAAAATCGGGGGAAGGGGGCATGGAAATGAGTGACGGTGGCGGAGCAAACAAGCGTTGGTTGTAGCTAACTTCAAAAGCTGTCATTGACTGCTCCCCCGAGAGCAGCATCGGAGTTTCCGCCCTTGTACGAAACATTTGGTGACATCCGTTATTTTTGGTCATGTGGGGTTCCTAAGCTGTTCGTGTCAACTGGTACTGGTGAGGATATTTGTATAATAGGAGCGATGGATACAGTAAATTGCGGCTGAATACTCTCTCATCTCCTCCCTCATCATCATCACCACCTACATCGCTATCGCTAGCACTATCATCAAATTGGATTCGTAAAACTTTGTCATCACACACACGCTGTTCCTTTATTCTTGCGCAGTTTTCGATTTCTATTCCTTCTACTCGCTAGGATAATTACCCACCAAACCTCTTCTCTTCTTCTTCTCTCGCCCCGTCACCAACCTAAACCAGACCCTATCTTCCTTCCTTGCATAAAAAAAGCCACCCACACACACACACAGTCTATCAAGATGCCAGAAATGTCCTACGTCCCCGTCGGTTCCGTCTCCGCCTCCACCCCAGAAGACTTTACGACCTCGCAAAGCCGCGACGAAGACGGCGGCGACGGCTGCTGCGGCTGCTGCCAGCGCGCATGCAGCTCCAACGGACCGTGGTGCGTGGACATCTGCTCTGCGTGCTGTGGTGGGATCGTGGCGTGCTTTGCGGCGTGTTTTAGTGGAAGCTGCTGTTGATGAAAGGAGTCTTGTTTTTTATCTTCTCGCGAAGCTGTTGTGGAGAGTGCAGGATGCTTGTTGTTTATTGGAGTGAGGGGGGAATGGTTTGGATGGATAAATGGGGTCCCATTACGACCGGAGGATGAACGCAACCAATTGTACACCGGCTGGATCCGACGTGACCCAAAAAAGAGATCGGATTGTTGGGGTGGAGTGAGGGTCGAGACTTGAGTGCATGATGCGATAATGGATGAGGGGTGCATCGCACAGCAGCGAGTAAGAAGTGAGTGTTTGGGAGTCGATGATGGGTTCGGGAAACATGACCCAAGGGATCAAGTCCTCCAACGGATCCAGCGCCGACTGTTGAAAAGGCGAGAGGGAGTGCGTATGGATGGGGGATTTTCCTCTTTCTTGAACGACAAGCTCGTCGTCCACTGATCCATCCATCCATCCGCCCATCTATCTATCGACCTCAAGAGATATCCCATCCATCTCGTTCTCGTCCTCACAGAAATCCTGCTCCCACGCACAACACCTACAACCACAACCACACCCACGAACATCAAAAAGCGACAATGAGCGGCCAACCCCACTACATTCCTCCCCCAACCCAAATGCTCACCCGCCAATTTTACGTCACCGCCCCTGCCCCCTCACCCTCTTCATCCGCTTCTCCCTCAGCCCTCCCCCAGCTCCAGCACCAGCACCGCCACACAAACTGCTCCACCATCACCGAAGAATCATCAACATCTTCACATCCTTCAGCGTCCACACGCTCCCACGGTCGACAGCGCGCGGCCAGCTCGTCGATGGACCCAGCGCTGCACAAGGCACTCGAAGAAGCTACGGCCGGGATCTACGGGCTCGCGAGAGGAGGTAGTAGCGAGGAAGGCAAAGGAGAAGAAAGAGACGGAGAAGGTCAAAAAGAGGGCGGAGTCGTAAAAGAAGAAGTGAAAAGAGAGGACCCGATGAAGTACGAACCACAAGTCTCATCATCACCTTCCACAACCACAGCTACTACTCCTGCGCAAGCGGGTATAGCTCCTCAGCCCTCTTCTTCTACTCCTCCTCCTTCTTTCCCCCTCCCTCTTGTTCTTTCTCCTCCTCCTCCCACCACCGCCGCCATCGACCCCAAGACTCCCACAGCAACAACAGCAACACCCCCTATCCAAACCACCGAAAAACCCCTCCCTCAAACTCCCGCCTCCAACGCCAAAGATAAAAAGCAGAAGAGCCCCCCTCGCTCCTGTCTCTCAACTTGCCTCTCCCCCGTCAAAGCGGTGTTCGGGTACGCGACGTGCGCGCCCTGCCGCACGCAGCGCGATGGATGCTGCACCGAGCAGGGCTGCTTTCGGTTGTGTCTTGCTTGTGGGCCTTGTTGCTGGTTTACTTGCTTTCCTTGCTGTGGGGGGAGGGTTGGGGATGTGCCTAGGCCTATTGGTGTTGTTTAGATTTCCATTTTTTCTCTTCTTCTTTGGTGGAGGAGAAGAGGGAAGAGTGAAGGGCGTTAATAGGAGGGATAGCGGGTTTAGGGAGTTGGTCATGTTGGCCTTGTGGAAGGGGGGGATTTGATTTCTTGAATCTATTCTCTTTTCTTTGTTGTTTTTGTTGGCTGGGGGTTATTCAGATAAGACCTTGGGATGGGGATAATGGGAATTGTAGCAAGGCATCATTATTATGTCTATGGTTCTCCAACCAAAATAATAATAATCAAATAACTTGGCAAATGGTTATCCTTCGTCGTTTGTGGCTTCTGGGTAGGTTAAATGGCATTATAGGAATCCAGAATCTGTATGCAAACAACGTCTTTGAACCCTTCAAGTTTCTTTGGTGCATTTGTGAGTTCAGGGGGGCAACGCTGTAAAAACTTGCATAGTTTGTACCATCCGTCCATACCATAAATTTGTACATTATCGTGTCCCAAGAAATATTGAAGAATATGATGGGACAAGCTGTCCGATCCAAGCCGGCAAGACGTCTCTTGTCCCATCCTTGATATTGAAATCCTACATGCCCGAAGCCGATTGACTTGTCTTACCCCCACAGATTGCGCATATTCTCAACTCCGATTCGTCTTATCGCTAGTTCAAGATTTGACAACCTTCTCCGCCTTCTGAGCAACCTCCTTCAGCTCGCCCTCAAGCTCCTTGCCCTCGCTCTTGACCTGGCCCTCGGTAGCCTTCACGCTTCGCTGGTACGACAATATCCTGCCGACTTGGGTAGCGCCGACCATGAAGAGGAAGAAGTTGACGGCGGCAAGGAACATGTTTTGTGGACGGATGATGAAGCACCAGCGGGTCCAAATGGCGCCTGTGGACATGAGGGCCGCGTTCTGTGTCAGCGAAAGCTGCTCAGCAGGTCGTGCGAAGTCCGATGCGCCGGCGATGACGAGACCCCATTTCATGATGGGTGCCCTATTTTCCCCGTGTTATTAGTAGATGTCCTTCAGTATTTGATTTGGTACAATGTGCGGAATCGCTCTGGGGAAGCTCGTATTATCAATTGTCGCGTGGGGATCCGTTTTCGAGCAAATCTCAGAGAAAGATGCGACAAGACGAGGAAACGAGACAAATGTACGTACCAGAAGTGCACCGTCTTAGGACCGACAGGGCTGTTCCATAGCTTCGCGAAGCCGGTCTGCTCGGGCGCAGCAGAGGTTCCTACGCGGCGACGGAGCAGCGGCTGGGCGAAGTACGGGCGGAAAGCGTTGAAGATGCGGGATCCCGGGCGGAACGACATGGTCGGCTTCGTGATGCTCTGCTTTCCGTTGGCAAGTCGACGTATGTCGGACGCGAATTGGATGGCTCGCGGAGGGGAGATGGGTGAGGGTGAGAGATGTGGAAGCAGAGATTAATTGATCGCCGTTGTCGGCTGCGAATCGATACGGGAATAGAGGGTTTGATGACTGAACAGTTCGTCGGCGTTATATCGGCTGATGTCCGATTGGCCGGCTGTGTCTGTGCTGCAGTGTCGAGCTTCGAGCTTGCCGCGACAATTTGACAACGCCGACGACATCGACGAGACGCCCACAGCAACGATCCACGGGCTGCACCATACACTCACTCGAAATGGCCTCTAAATACGGATTCGCAAAGGGCCTCAAGGAATTGAGGTTCCTGTTCTGCCAGACGAGCGAGCAAAGCGCTGCCACGAGGTATGCGATGCGCCTCCCCATCCACCCAACGACACGCCATTACAACATGGGACGAATCACACGGTCCAATCTGCCCATATACAACGATCTGGGCGAGAGCAGAATTGTCCATACTAACACCGTTTCAGGAACTTCCTCACCAAATCCTACCCCACGATGAAGAAGCACAACCCGCACACTCCCATCATGATCCGGGAAGCGAGCGGCACCGAGCCCAAGGTCTTTGCGAGATACGGTGCGTTTGCCACTATGAATGAGTCTTAATGCCCTGTAACATCGCATTGGAAACCATGTGAATGGGACAAAGGGTTCATGTGCGAAGGACGCGGCGACTTCCTACGGACAAAGAATACATGCTGACATTGTGAACGGCAGACTTCGGAAAAGAGAAGGTGATCCCATTGAAGGGCTTGGACGACAAGACAATTGAGCAGCAGGTTACTGAATTGGTCAAGTCTACGATATGAGTTGATCCGAATCTTGGGAGATATCTACGAACCGCGGCAGCGCCGATGTCGAAAAGCGAAGCATCGACGCACGCAATGTATATGTGTACAATGATGAGAAGCAGCAATACCATTCACCCAGCTCGAATCATCACCCATACTCTTCATCATCTTGCACAGGCCAGAATTCTTTGTCTTCGCTGAGTATACTTAGAAACCCAGCACAATGATCGATACTCTATCTATCAACGAAATACTCTGCTTTGCGGTAACGATCAATGACATTGTTTAATTTGCTTGCCTGTTTATATGTTTTCCTCCGGCCTTTGTCAAAAGATGTGACAGACAAACCCCCTACTAATATATCTTCATTGCAACTTACTGACAACACGGATGGGTCGCGATGTTTGAATTTCTTGCTAGCCGGAAGGCAAGTACTACTGATCAGCAACACTCGATACAGCATAACGCGACGCCACAAGTAGATGCAAAACCACTTCCAGCTTCAAGATCACCCCCGACATCCGATAAAACAATACGAAATGCCACAATACGGAACGCCCCGGGCCAGTCCCCAGCCCAGTCCCCGAAAAGTGCGGCGGGTTCAGCTCCTTCTTCGCCTACCTCTACGAGGTCGTCTGTGAAGAGAGTCATACGTCGCCTGGCTTCACCTTCAGCCTCTATAGGGGTAAGGAACATCGAAGATGTCCAGATGGAAGCCGATTTTAACAAGAGCATGGTCGGTGAAATGCAGCACGAACTTGACGAGCTGGAAAAGAAATTCCGATCTACTCAAGAGCATCTCGGCCGGTCTGAGACTGACGGAAAGGACAAGGAACAAACCATTCGAAAATTACAATCAACCGTGGAAGATCTGAAAGCGACGGTGGAAGTGAACCAGCGAATTGTGGAAGATTGTAGGACGGTTCTCCATGCAAAGGAAGAAAAGGCAGAGATCATGGTCGCCCAGCTCGAAAAATATCGCGAACAAAATAGCAGACACGAGAAACAAATCGCCGACCTGCAGAAAACGGTCCGAGACCGAACTGTAGGAATCACAGATGGGGAGGCCAAGTTCGCGTTGGATCTTAGTCGATTTGAAGTAGAGAAGAAACGCGAAATCGATGTCTTGACCAAAGACAGAGCAGCGTTTTCGCGCGAGTTGGATCTTCTCCAACAGAAAGAGGTGGACCAAGAGGATGAAATCCACGAACTGAGGGGAGCGATCTCAGAACTACGTGAGGAGCTGGCCGACAAGGAGGTTAAGGGAGAGATTACCAAGCGTCAGCTTGCTGCAACAGAAGAACGTTTCAGGCAACTCAACCGCACAAGCTTCTTATACGATTTTCACGGTGTTGAAAAACCACAAGACCTTAACAAGACTTATGCTATCAACGACACGTCTGTGCTCGAGGACCAGCTGAACGACCTGCTTCATCCGGACACTGGAAAATACAATTTGGCTCAAGCCACGATCAAGCGCCTGGAGGATGAGCTCAGAGCGCGCGACGAAGAATTTGAGCATCTCAGAAGGCAAAGGCAAGTGGAACCCCAAGAGACCAGCTTGGGAGACTACATTAAAGTAGTGGCTGAAAAAGAACGGCTTGCCGCAGAACATGACAAACTCGTAGTGGACAAAGAAGCTTTGGTGGAGCATTATGAGTCTGAGCTTGCAACGCGCAACAAGGAAATCAAGAAACTCAGAAGGCACGAACACATTTCCGTAGAAGCCGCTCCGACCGAAGAGATGAACCAACTCGCAGAGAATAACGCCCGCTTGGTAGCAGAGAACAGAACTCTTGTAGAAGAGAATGCCTCGCTTTCTGTTCATATCAAGGACGCCGAGACCAAGATCAACGAACAAGGTAGATTGTTGAAGCAGACCGATCATCTCCCAGCTGAAAACAGAGAACTCCGAACCCAGGTCAACTTCCTCGACTCTGAACTCTCGAAGGCGAATAGGAATGCGAAGGAAAGGGAGGAGTTGGTACAGCAGATCAACGTGCTCAACGGACAGAACTCAAACCTTCAAAGTCGAAATGACTCGCTTATCAACGAAGTCAACGCAGCCAACGAAAGGGCAGATGAAACCATTACAGCCAAGAATAGGGCGAATGACCGCCGAAACATAACAGAAGAGGTTGTTGACGAAATTGACAGACTCCAAGAGTTTGTGCAGGGCTATACGAGCGATTACAGTGCAGCAGAGCACACAACCAGGGCACAGGAAACTGAGCTTCAAGAAACCAAGGCACATTTGGATCGAGTCAATCAGGCATACGACGCTCTCGTCGCGACTCATGAGAAGGAAACAAGGCCTTATGTAGCAGAACTCAAGGCCCGCATTGAACGACGAGATGCTACAATCGACGGTCTCAGACGTCAGGTCGCTGCCGAAAAAGCCAGCATGGACCAGCGGGTAGCTGAAGATGACCAGAGAAAGGACGAAGAGATCACTCGAGCACATAGCCAACTGGGTACTGCGCGTGAGCAGCTTGAAGAACAGCTCCGGAACGAACGACAAACAGCCGAAGAGTACAAAAAGAAGACTGCTTTGGAGCAATTTGCGGCGCGAAACCGAGAGGAAGAGATTCTAAAAACCGTCGAAGATTTAGAAATTCGTATTAGCACCCAGGGCCAGATTATTAATCAACTCAGGGCGCAACTTGAAACGAACCTTGAAGCTTCAAATCAAAAGCTGTCTGACTTGCAGCACAAGCATGAAGAGGAAGTCAGGCAGGCGCAAAAGAAGCACCGCAACGAAATCAAGGACGCACAAGCAGAGCTTAAGGATACAGAGAAGCGGTACCAGAAACAGATCAAGGACGCACAAAAGAAGCACCAAGCTCAGATCCATGACTTAGACAAGCGGCACCAGAAAGAGACTAAGGAATCTCTGAAGAAGCAACAAAGCGACATCCGGGCCATGGAGAAAGCACACGAAGCAAGTATCCATAAGATTGAAAAGAAACATCAAGGCGAGCTCGAGAGACTGGAAAAGAGAATTCGATTTGAAAATCAGGGCGTGCATGAGGAACTACATAACGCCAAAACTACAATTGGAAACTTGAAGCGTTCGGAGTGGGAAATTCGTACTACCTTGAACTCCAGGACCGCCCAAATCAGGGAATTGCAAGCGAAACTCCAAGAAATCGACCTTAGTGCTTCGAACGAAGGTTCTAGGGAGCAGATCAACGAAAGGGTCAGGGAGCTGGAGCGCCAACTTCAAGACGCCCTCGCCGCCCAATCTGACCTAGACTCTACAAGTCTCCGCGACCAGTTGTCTAAGCTACAAGCTGAGCTCGCCACACAGAAAACGGAGTACATACTGTTGGAGAACAAACTCGCAGAGAAGATCGAGCTCCGTGATGCGACGATCATCAATCTGAAGAGGGAGTCTACGCACAAGGATGGTCAGATCAAAAGCCGCGAGAGTGAGTTTTTGGAGCTGGAGGAAGGGGTCAAGGCGGGTAGGAAGGAGATTGCGGCGCTCAGAGCGAGGATTGCAGCGAAGGATCAGGAGATTGCTGATCTGAAGGCGATTGTGACAGCGCTTGGAGAGAATCAGTGATTGAGAGATTGATCTGTTGTGCGTTGGTCACCGCGGTGGTTGGTCGAGTTCAGGAGTTTTTTGTTTTGCTTTTTATTTGGACACAATTTCACTTCAGAATTGTGTCAACCACTTGGCGTAACGTGTCATTTCAAACATATTTTAGAGATACCCAATTTTATTATACAGAATACTTGACTTTTCTGATTACCGCTTTTCTATGATGAGTTCTGGTGGTTGTGTGATCATAACGTCAATCAGGGATCTTTGCGGGTAACTACCCGTGCTCCATCAACGTCATGTTTTGAGACCTCCTCAATCACCAACCACCCACTTGTTTTCAATACACATCTGCGACTCCATAATTCTCCCACAACTGCCCCATATGTCTAAATTGAGACCTCTAGTTTCTGGCCTGGCGCCCGCTGTACGTGTGTTCAGGAGAATTAGCCGTGACGTCAATCCCCGTCACCACGCATTTTCTGCGCGCGTATACATAAGCTCTGCGTCTACATACCACAGCTTATCTTCCCCTACCACATTTTATTATTCTACAAACTCCTCCAAATTTCCGTATCATCTATCCAATACCCTTGCACAAAAGAGCCAATTTGGAAATCTTCGACAAAAGTCGCAATCACGCAACATGTCCAACAACGCCGACCTCCTCATCAACAAGGTCTTTGATGTCAAAGACAAAATCGCCCTCGTCACGGGGGGAGGCTCTGGCATTGGATTGATGATCACGCAGACGCTTGCTGTCAATGGCGCCAAAGTGTACATTGTAGGACGTACCGAAGAGAAGCTGGAGAATGTTGTGCAACATCACGGGAAAGACATCGCAGGACAGATTATTCCTATCACGGCAGATGTGAGAAGCAAAGAGGGCGTAGAGTAAGTCTCACATATTATCTTTGCAACAGTTGGAAAAGTCGAAGCGCTTGCTCTTTCATTGCGAAATGGTGCACATTGAAAAGACTGGTGTAGTCTTAGATATTATACGAGATTGTATCTAACTCCAATCCCTAGGAAACTCGTCAAAGACCTCGAATCAAAAGAGTCCCACCTCGATATTCTCGTCAACAATGCCGGAATCGCCGCGCCAAAAACCGAAACCACCGCCGAAACTCCCGAGAAGCTTCGCGAAAACCTGCTCAACCCCACATCCGTAGACGAATGGACATCCCAATACGCCACAAACGTCGTAGGCCCATACCTACTTACCACCGGATTCCTCCCTTTACTCAATAAAGCCACTGAACACACCTACGGCTACTCCGGCACCGTCGTAAACATATCCTCCATCAGCGGCATGGTGCGCATCTCGCAGGGTCATTTCTCGTATAACGCGAGTAAAGGCGCTGCTGTGCACCTCAACAAGATGCTAGCTACCGAAATCGCAAAAGCAGGGTTTAAGATCCGGATTAACAGTATCGCGCCTGGTGTGTTCCCGAGTGAGATGACGACGCAGGAGAGTGGGGATAATCAGAAGAGCAAGATGCCCAAGGATCACAAGGGCGGATTGCCGAGTCAGAGACCGGGGAATGATAGGGATATGGCGGCGACGATTTTGTTTGTTGTTGGATGTCAGTATTTGAATGGGCAGACTGTTACTGTGGATGGTGGGTATTTGATCCAGGCGGGGACTTAGGGGTTTGCTTTTGAAACATGAGGTTTATTACAGCATAGTCATTTAATGAGATCATTTGAAACAATGAATTCACTAGTACTCGTGTGACTGACCATTGTGCGATCTTACTGGTATCTTTCCTATTCTGAATTGCTTCCATCGTGGCTATCTGAGGTGTTCCTTTCCCGCCTGATATGAGCTACGATACTCAAAGTCTGAGAACCGGACCTGATACCAATATTCGAATATGGACCCAGGAAAGCGTTGATCAAAGCCACGGACTTTTCCACCTTTTCCGTCACATCTCTTCGTCTCCAGTACGAAGAATCACCACTTAACCCTCGGGTTCCTCACTGCCTCCTGATATCCTTCAACCTTACCATTAACGGACTCTTCTCCCAGGTATTATAAGCCCTCAACCCCTTAAACTCATCCTTGGGATCCCAAAGCCTCGCCCCATCCTCAAACTCCAAATCGAAATTCCACAGCAAAGCACCCAAAATCAACCTCAACTCCACATATGTCAGATTCCTCCCAATACAACCACGAGGACCCATCGAAAAAGGCTGCGCGGCTTTCCTAACATCACCTGCATACCGTGCCTTCGCTGCCCCATCTTCGCGGGTAGGAGATTCCAAGAATCGCTCAGGCGCAAAAGTATCCGGGTCCGTGAAGTTTTGCGCCGAGTGCGCGGCCGCCCACGATGTGACGCAGACGGAAGTTCCGGCGGGGACGGCGTGGCCGTCGATGATGGAGCCGCCTTTTGGGACTGTACGGAGGAGCCCGATGGGAACGGGCGGAAAGATGCGGAGGCCTTCTTCGATGCAGGCGTTCATGTAAGGGAGGGACCCTAGGATGTCCATGTTTAGATCTGCTTCTGTTTTGCAGGCGGAGCGGAGCTCGGATTTGAGACGGGTGTATTTTTCCGGGTTGCGGAGGAGGAAGTTGGTTAGGCCGCAGAGCTCGGTGGCTGTTGTTTCTGAGCCGGCGACGCTGGGGGAAGAGGCCTGTTAGTTTCTTTTACTTTTGATCATGGAGATGTATGTTTTTTTAGGGGGATTGATGACAGTGGGGAAGGGGTGGAGATAATGAGTGCTATGGACTTACATGAATAGAGCAGCGTTCATGATGACTTCATCGTCACTGACTTCGTTCTTCTTCTCGCGCTGCTTGAGGATGTACCAGATGAAGTCGCGATGTTCAGTCTTAGCCGCCATACGTCGGACCGTCTTCTCCGTTGAGTTGCGCAAGTGTCGCGTGCGTCGCTCGCGGATGATGGATGGGATGCACCATACTAGGAACCGCTGGGCAAGTGACCCAGGAGTTGCGAACCGGCGAGTCGCCTGTTCCAAAGCGCCCGCTTTGATCGATTCATAGACCAGTACGACCCAATTTGCGGATTCAGAGCCCTCACCTGAGCATTCCATATCAGGGTCTTCATTTCAAACTGAATGGAACGATGGCAAACCGAGGACAAACATACCTTCTTCCAAACACCCAAACGGCTCCCCAAAGCTCAAATCCCCAATGATGTCAAACGTACAGAAGTTAAACCAACTAACCATGTTCGCCGGCTCCCGCCTCGCCGCCATCTCCCTCAACCTCTTCACAAACAAATCCACATACCCCTTCAGAATTGGCTCCTGCTCCAGCAAAGCCTGTTTTGAAAACGCGTGCGCAAGCGCTCGTCGCTGTCTAGCATGATGCATATCCGGCGCCATAGTGAGATTGGTAGCTCCGGGGATCGCTTCCACGGCGCCCACGTGGATGGGGTCTTTATCCATGTTGGGTAGACCTACGCGGTGGCCGTAAATGTCTTCCCATGCTTTTGCGGTGTTGAAGGAGAGTTCATTGGGCATTACGCGCACTACCGGGCCGTATTTGTCGTGCAGGACTTTGTAGTCGAATGAGATGCGGCCGCGGAGGAGAGAGATTATGGAGGGGATTGGAGAGATGCGCCATAAGATTGGACCGGGGAATTTTGCGAGGGGATGGAGCGTTAGGCGATATATTGCGGTGATGATGAAGTATGCTGTGAGCTTTGAGAAGGGAGATTGTTAGGTTCTGTGGAAGTTTTGGAAGAAATGGAGAGTGAATTAGGGTTGGTACTCACGGCGATTGGGGCCCAGACTGCTATCTGCTTGAGACTTTCTTCGTCGAAGACACCCATTTTGTCTTTATATGCGACGTCAAGTTTTTCTAATAGCTCGTACTTGCTCAGTGGCGATGAACTGTTCAACAACGCACTCAACAAAGACCTTAATCTAGACAATTCAATCAGAGTTAAGCCAGCCACAAAAGCAATCTTTGGGGAGAAATAACGACAAGTAATTCAGATGGTGAAAGCAAATCTCTAGCCTACCAACCGCCTTCGAGATATATCCATCAATGACAGATGGTCACAGGGACCCTACCGTACGCTAGCTGAACCGTCTGCTATTCTACGACGCCATCGACCGCGCCAGCCTCCCACTCCCCGGAGAAACGATTCGTGCAATTCTCCAAAAAACGTTTGCGCTTTGTCCATGTTCGTCAGTGGCACGGCTTCGCCAAAGTATTTCCGTAAACTTGGGGATCTGCAGAGCTCTTAGAACTCAGGTACCGTTTGTCACGTCTGATGGTGTTGAGTCTCCAGCGACAAGCTTTGAACAAGACATCATTCACTTATAACTTCAAATCCATGTAGCCACAGCCATGATTATTATGTGCTATTCTTGATTAATCAATCAAAAAATTGACCAGACAGGCGTTGCGTATAGAATCCCGATGTTGATGGAAGTTGAGATGCTTCTCGCTGTTAGTGTAACCCCGCATTCCTGCCCCTGAAACCCCGCGGTGGGTAGTGTATAGCTTCGTTTAAGGTTATCCGCCCCAGCACAAGATGGGTAGATGTCGGAATCTATTCAACATGTAAGTTAAACTCAATCCCACGATGGATTACTCTGTGGAGAAGCCTTGGTACGGGTTTGGTGAAGTTGAGTCAGGGTCGCGTTCTTTTTTAAGAAGCGCGACAATACCCTAGAAATTGGTGTATCGCAAATATCATACTCGTTTTTCATTCTTTTGCCTTGGAAGTTGAGCGAGACATTACTTGGATAGAATCTATTTGAGGTAAAAAGATGGGGAATCATGCGCTTGTTTACGGCGCGTCTGGTATCACGGGCTGGGCTATCGTCAACGCCATTCTGAACGGATACCCTTCCAAAGATGCCTTCACCAAAGTCTCTGCTTTGGTCAACCGGCCACTGACCAGAGAAATGGCAATGTGGCCAGACGATCCGCGACTGCAAATCGTGTCCGGGATAGACCTCCTCAAAGGAAGCCAAGAGGAACTAGAAAACACCATCAAAGAAAAAGTCCCAGACGTCGACACCGTCACGCAAGTATACTTCTACTGTACGTATCTTCAAGAATCTCTCTCTCAATTCCCCCACATGAAAGAAATAAAAGTGAAGAGAGACCCCCCAACTAACCGCGTCGAAACTTCAAAAACCAGCCTACAAACAAATCGACGACCCGACCCAAGAATGCACCACAAACACCTCGATGCTCTCGCGCTCCATAACCGCAATCGAGCACCTCTCCCCTAAAAACCTCTCCCACGTAGTCCTCCCCAGCGGCACAAAAATCTACGGCTGCCAAATGCTCTCGCGCTTCCCCTTTGCCAACGCGCTCCCCCTCGTCGAAACCCTCCCGCCGATCCCCGAACCAGACCTCTCCCAGCTCTTCTACTACGACCAAATCGACTGCCTGAAGCGGCTCTCCTCGGGCAAGTCCTGGAAATGGTGCGAAGTGCGTCCAGATAACATCATCGGGTTTGTACCGAACAACAACGCGTACTGTCTCGCGCAGACGCTCGCGCTGTATCTATCGTTATACCGCGCCGTGGAAGGCGAAGGCACGGTCGTCGCGTTCCCCGGGACGCACAAGTCGTGGCGGAATCGGTATAATGAGGCGCCGCAGGATATGGTGGCGCGGTTCTCGATCTACGCGTCGTTGAATCCTGGGGAGACGGCTGGCAAGAGTTTTAATGTTGGTGGCGAGGAGGATACGTGGGAAGGGAAGTGGCCTGTGATTTGTGGGTATTTTGGGTTGAAGGGGGTTGGGCCGGTTGAGGGCGCGCCGCAGCCGGGGAAGTATATTGAGGAGCATAGGGAGGAGTGGGATAGGTTGGAGGAGAGGTGTGGGTTGAAGAAGGGGTCGGTGGATAGTGATGTTACGCATCCGGGGTTTCAGGTATGTTGATCTGTTTTTTCCTTAGGGGAAGGATGAACTGGTGGGGTGATTGTGTTTGGCTGGCTGGCTAGATGGATGGCTGACTTGATTTGATTAGTATGTTATTATGACTTTGTTCGACTTTGATCGCCAGATGAGCATGGAGGCGTCGCGGAAAGTGGGATTTACGGAGGAGATGAGGACACCTGAGACGTGGAAGATTGCGTTTGATCGCATGAGGAAGGCAAAGGTTATTCCGTAAGTTTCTGCACATCTCACATTTAGGGATAGTTATATGAATAAAATCTTCATCATGGGCAACATCCTACAGTCATAGCTGTTTTTCTTCAAAAGTATCCTCAATAGACGATTCGAGTGTTTCAAACAACTCCAAGCTCTATTCCTCTCTTGAGTCACCCCTAATATCTAGCTATTTACCAATTACTGCTCTTATAACTCGACACTTTCTCTTACAATCCAGAAAGTTCATATACTACGAGTCATTCACGTACTCACATCATCTCAATCTGACTCGCGTCATGGCCCCCCGCACTCCCACCCCACCCAACGTGACTCGGTCCTTAGTAGATAGGACTACTCCTCCGGGCTAGATATCCGGTCTACTTCGTGTCTTGTTAACCGGGATAAAATTGCTGCATGGCATTCTGAACGTGTAGTTTGAAGTGGCTTAGGATCTGTTGAAAGGTGTTATTTTACTAACCCGGAATCGGTGGCGTGCGGAAGATGCCCAGTGTTGACAACTTCTTTACATATATAGATCTTGAAATTTGGTTTTATTGAATATGATCTCGGATGAAGAAAGCTGGCAATAACCCAGAAAGCCCTTACTAGGAATCCTCAACAGCCTCTACCCCCTCCCTTTCCCCTGCACCGACCCATCACTTTTTCCCCTGCTCAACGCCCTCCATCCCCTCCACCGCCCTCTTCGCAACCTCCCTAGTCTCCTTACTCACCCCATCAATTCCTAGAACATCCCCGAACCTCTTTTTCCAAAACCCCCACCTCTCCTTCCCAAATCCACTAACCCCATCCCACAATTCTCCGCCCTTCCCCGGATTCCCCTGTCTCGAGCCTTGCGGTGGAGTCATGTCAATCTCCGTCTCATAGACTATCCGGCCAATAGCGCCGGTAACCCACACTGCAGCCGCGGGCACACGGGCGTCGAAACACCACGGCGTAGTTGAGAAATCGGTTTCCAGGGCAGAGCGGAGAGACCACAGGGCGAAGGGATTCGCAAAGCCCGCGACTTGGGACGATGTTAGCGTGGCGAGGAAGTAGTTTAGGTTGGCGAAGGCTGAGGCTTCGAGAGCTAGGAGGGCTGGAGATGAGGGGGGTGAGTCGTCATCGTCGTGGGGTGTATCGTTGAAGGCTTCGCGGACGGCGAGGTGGAGCCAGGGGAGGGAAGACCATGCTGGGGACGAGAGATTGTTGGGGGTAGGATCTTGATGGGATTTTAGTGCTTCAACGAGGGACGCGAGACGCTCGTGTTGAGTAGATGATGTGCTGTATGGGATGCGTTTTGAGGCGTGTAGGATAGAATTCCAGAGGTCCCACCATGTAGATTCAAGGTCGTCGGCGTGTGATGCAGTTGACAGGGCTTCGTCGATGGGCGCAGTGAGTTGTGGGAGGAAGGTATCATGGGAGAGGTCGGAGGTAGATAGGAAGGTTTGGATTTGCGGGTAGATTTTGCTGTCTTCTTTGGGCTGGAACCAGCGACGGATTTGGGCGATTTTATCGATTTTTTGGGGGTACGTGAGGGTGGAGGAGAGGGCTTCCTCGATCTGTTTGGGTTGAGGAATCATTCTGTTCTTCTTGCGACTGCTTGCTGCCTGGCCTTGTTTCCCAAACTAATATCTCTTTTATCTTGATTCTCGAAAGGATTGAATTGTGAATGTCTTTTAATGTTTGAACACCGTGTCGACGACGGAAGGTGTCTAAGATATACAGATATTTTGGTAAGTATGGGTTAGTTGGAGGCGGCGCTGACGTCGTTTGGTGGGGCTACATCAAACACACCAGTGTACAAGCCTAACAACACGAGCTTGTTCGAGACGCGATGATTCGCTCGCCTACTCACCAAAAATGTACACTACCCTCGATCTAGAAGGTGCGCAGATCTGTCTCCATTGTAACATGGTTCATATCAATATACGAGAAAAACGAAACGCCGCTCCAAGCTGTTGAATACGATCAGAGCAATTGGAAGAAGACAACACTTGACTAGACACTCATGACGGTTGAGGGTCGACGGTCGATCCACGGTATGTGCAATGGAGAGAGGTATATGATTTGATTGGGGTATCGAATTAAGTGTTCTATGGCAGCACAAACAACGTGCGTCCACGCTCAGTCATCTTTCATAATCATTCCAAGTCTACGCGCCGAAAAAATGCGCAGATATTGCCCACGCAGGAGATCTTCATAGCAAAAGCCTTTAGATCTTCTCGACAGGCTCACGTTCAGCGTTGAGCTCGGTGGGACCGGTGAGGGAAGCTTTCCGGTCGCCGGCAGCGCTGAGGCGCCTCTCGACGTCCTGGGCCTGAGACTGGGTACCCAAGTGACCAGTGGGCAGCAAGTTCATCCTCTCCTCATCCCTATCGGTCGAGCGCCAGAAGAAGTGGAAGGCAATACCGACTACACCGGCAATGATTGCCACCGAACCGTAGTTCCAAACGAGGTACGGGTCAGCAGTCAAAGGAGTGAAAGCCTGCTGAAGAGCAGCGGAGAAAGCAGTGGTGAAAAGCTGGACGGATTGAACCAATGATCTCATGTTCTTGGGAGCCTTGGTAAAGGCATACTCCAGAGTCGTGACAGAGGCGAAAATCTCCGAGATGGCGACGAGGATGTAAACACCAATGACAGCCCAGACAGTGATGGGAGACTTGTACTCCTCGGGCTTGGGGTCGGCATCGTAGTATCCAGAGGTTTTATAGCTAAGAAGGTCAGAATTGACTTGACATCAAGGACATTGGTATGCTTACATGTAGTGCTGAAGGACGGCAGCCCACACCATGGCGGCGGCGCCGAACAGGAAACCGGCAGTGATCTTCTTGATGGGAGAGAAGTTGATGCCGCGCCTTCGCAGGGCAGGGTAGACGACAAGATCCACGACTAGGATTGGTTAGCTGGGTGGCAGATGAAGAGGGTTTGGGAAAGACTGACTGGGTACGAGGATGACGATAGCCAGGGGATCGAAGTTGTTCAAAACGTCGTTGGGCACACCACCAAGCTTCATGGTTGAGCACATCTGGATCAAATTGGAGTCCATCTGGCGGTATGCGAGCCAATATACAGGAACCCAGACAAAGACACCACAGGCAGTGAGACCACGGGCAACCTCATCCACCCAGGCATCGTCGAATGTGTACCACGAGGGGGCGCTAGCACCAAGGGTGGAAGGCTTGACGCGATTCCAGAATTGACCGTCTTGCCACCTCTTGACTGTTTTGACGGGATTGGGTGAAATACCGTTGCCGAGGGCCTTGAAGAACAACTTCATAGCAGGAGCCATGACGCTGCCAGAGGGTGGCAATAGCGTGTAACGGGGCTTGCAGTAGATGAGGACGGGGAAGGCAAGGAAGAACATAATGGTGGGCAGGAGGAAAGCAAGCCAGAAACCGACGTAACGTTCAGCGTAGGCCATGGTCAGCTGACCAACCAGAGCGCCGATGTTGATGAACATGTAGAAGTAGTTGTAGATACGGGTGATTGTGATTCCAGGGTCAATGATGACGCGCTTGCCGTTGACTTCGGTGACACGCATCCTGTCTTCAAGGACTTGTTCAGCAATCAAAGGGGAAATGTTGGGCTTGAATCCTCCGGTTCCGACGCCCATGATGACCAAACCGACCATGAAGCAACCGAGGGAACCACTGGCATTGTCCATGACCTTGGGGATAGTAGAAACGGTGAGAATGGTGTGACCGATTTCAGCCACGATAACCGACAAGAAAATGGTCTTGAAGCGACCGAAGTAGGTGTCGGCAACGTAGGCACCAAACAGAGGCATGACGTAGGTCCAGAAGGTGTTGAAGGTGGTGATGTTGAATGCGATCTGCTTGCCGAGACCGAGACCACCGGGTTGGGCTTCTTCGTCGTTGGGATCCAGAGCAGCTCCCGTGGGAGTTGGCCTTGCTTTGGCGATGAAGTTGGAGATGAGAGCGGTGACACCATACCACGACATGCGCTCGACGAGCTCGACGAAGGCGATGGTGTAGATTCTCCAGTCGATTCCAGCGGACACGCGCTCGAGAGTCTTCAACTCTTCGTCGGTGGGAGTGTCATCATAGGTCTCGTCGGACAGGTAGGTGTCCTGCATGGTAGCTTTGCCCTCGGATACAAGGAAGGGTGGCGGGACGGCAGCATGAGCCTCTGGGTGTTTGCGCTGGGGGTCGCCCGAGGCATCGACGAGGGCCGGGTCGACGCCCATGACTTGCACGGCGTCTTCAGGCATGGTGGTTGTTTGCTTGCTCAAAGACAGTCAAAGCTTGACTGGTGTATTATACAAGGAAGGAATTAAAGAGGGAGCAGCGGAGAGAGGAGGAGGAAGCTCGCAGCCGGGCAAAAAGAGAGCAGACCGGGGGCTTTTTGAATTGAAGCGGTGGTGCAGCAAGTTGAATGGCACGGCGGCGGGACAGACAGGTCGCAAGTGATGGGCGTAGCTGTCGTGCTGGGGACCATGGAAGGTGGGTTCCACATCGGGAAGGAGCTCGTAAAGCCAACCAGCGCCAAGTTGCTTGCTTGCTGTGCTCTAGAGCTTAATTGGTAGGTCCGGCAGGGGCTATCGCCATTTGCTGCGAGCCCGCGGTCACCTGACTCGCCGTGAGCCGGCCGGGCAATCTATGCATTCACTCCATTCAATCAATCAATCCTGCCAATCACTTGGGGCCATCCAGACCATTGAATCCTGTCGCCACCCTCACATCGTGCCTTTCCTTTCCCTTCTCCCTTCCAGAAATCCAGCGCACACACCCTTGCTGCTGTCAGCCCGACGCCTGGCTTTAGCCCCATGGACCATGTAACCCTCTGATATCGTCTGTGGCCGCCGCGGGGGTTACCTCTCTGGTCAGCTGTCGGTCGCTCGCTCAGTTACTCAGTTACATGTACATACATACCCACGCCGTACGCCTACTTGCGCAACTCGCCATCGCCTGCCATGTGAGCAGCAGCACCTGTCAGTCTCCAATGGAACAATTGTCGTCGAAGCATTTGGACAAGCAAATCAGCCACCCCGGCCATGGCGTTCTTCGCTCATACCAAGTCGTCTTGTGTGGGCGGCAGAGTGGTTGGCACCGAGGCTTCGCTTACACTACTACCACCACTACCTACACCCTTCCCGTTCTTCTAGCGTCCTTCCATTCGTGCTACGCGGGGTAAGCCGATCCTCCTCACCTCTGTCTCTCTCTCTCTCACACACACACACACACACACCGTTGATCACTTTACATGGCTCAGATCGCTTGTTTTCTTCTTCCTGTCCTCCGCTTTGCTCTTCAATCGTCCCATCTCATCTCATCTGTCCTCCACGATTCTCTCTCCCACACCTTGCGCAGCGCCCAAACACTAACTAGCTAATCAGACCGCTTGCGTGATCGACGCCCAATTTGCGATTCCTACCAACTTGTCCGTCCGCCGTGTACAAACTACAATCGCAATGAAAACATTCCAAGACCCGCTTATTATCCCGCCTCCCCTCCCCTGTCGCCTTTGTTTATCTCCCAGTCTAGCAGCATCTGGGCAATCTGCCCGCCACACAATCATCACTCCAACGCCTATACCATCATCACGAGCCAACCGCTTACCCCCCTCCACCATCTGCCCACACGTTTGCCAAACAGAACAGTGGGCCTGAGATCATTACACACCACATGCCGCACAAGCATAACCGTCTCACTAAGCTTCCCGTCAGCCCTTGCGCCGTCCATGAGCGTCTTTCCATTACACATCTCCCACGGGTGGCGTGCTCGGTTACCGTTTCCAGTCTTTCTGCTCCGCGCTCCCTCCAATCCTCCATCCAATGTCCATGTTCGACTAGGTCCCTCTGGGGCAGGTGCCGTTCCGAATAGGTGGAATTCCATCTTGGGCGTTCGCGATGCCTTCTTGCGATCCCCACCCTCCACTCCGTGCATGCATAGTGCATTTCCGTGTCTGGGCTGTCTTGGCTCATCGGCACTGATTCCTTTCCCTGAACCATCTCCACTATCCAAGCGCCAGGCCATTGCTCGGCTGCATGAAATATTGCATGGTGCGGCACCCCCGTCTGTCTACACACTGCTTCTACCTACCAACAACAGAAACGAATGACCGCTCAACTGATTGGGCCAACTCGCGCGGATGGATTCCCATGTCCGCTGGAAAGCGAGTGTAGCCTGCACCTTGGGAATCCTGCAGCGACTCTGCCTTCACGGGAATAGCACTGTTGTGCAGAATTCCATCTGGTCGTTGTACATTAAGCCGACTTATACCTAGCATGCACCACTGCAGTGAACCAGTATACAGTATGCAACAGCTATGTACCTGGCGTATGCTATGAATACCAGAACCAAATCGTGGGGAATCTCCGGCTGAGGTCCCGTACGAAACAGTTGTGAAATTCGGATGGGACGTTGTTCTGCAGGTGTTTATCTCTGCTTAGCGCCACGATAGATCTTTGGCCTCTCTGTTTTGTCTCTTCCTCTACTAGAGAAAAAGGTCCGGGTGAATCGGGCAATGTGCGAAGTGCGAGGTGCGAGGTGCGACCATGTCGCCAGACATGTTTTGATATGTTCGACTTGGACTCTGCGGCGTGATCCTGTCTGTCACCTCCTCTACGACTCCACAGGAAGAGACTCCAAGCGTCAACAAGCGTATATCGCATCATGTACGCCAAAATCGACGCATACCGAGGCAGTCACGGAACAGTCGTGCACGTTCATTACCTTAGTCTACCTCTGTACCGCGAGTACCCACTCCCCAACAACGCAAATGCGGCACCCGCCAAGTCCTTAGATGTCTGTCCAGTGCCGTGAGAGCTTGTTATCAATATTGAATTCTTACTTAGTCCTCAGGCGTCCCTTGTCAGCTCTAACGACGTTGTTGGTGGAGCGGTGACCTTTTTGTGCGAGACCAATAAACTCCTTCCAACAGATATTCGGCTGCCGCGCCTACAGGTACAGCAGGCGCTAACACTTGGACCCTTAATCACCGCCTAGCTGCCCCTTGTCGTTCTTCGAGTCTGCACTGATCTCAGTTGCCTCGCCATCTCGTCGAAAGGTCTCGCCGCACATGTACGTTGGTCTTTTCACACTCAAACCCGGTTCTATTCCCCTGCAACCAACGGCGTGTGCATTCCTTATCGCTCGCACTCAACAATTCGTGATCTCGAAGTTCGGCTAGAACACTCTCTCAGGCGATACCTTGCCCAACGATCCTCAGATTCTGCCTTTTTTTTCCATGATACGATGATAGTCGACGTATCGACGTCAAGATGATGATAAATTGTCAGCTCACATTGCCCGATCGCTATTGTTCCACCAACCGTCTACCTGAAAAGATGGAGGACTGGCGCGTGTCAGCGCTCTCGACTCTTCATCTACCCGGTGTCGCACAGTAAACCCACGACCTACTTCTGCCGATTCCGTCTCACCGATCAAGATTCAAGCGCACAACCCCAACTGAAATGTGCACTGGTGACATTTTCTTGCAATACCTCAACGACGCTACATACAAGTGTAGTCCAGGTAAGCTTCCAAAAGATGTGGGTTTCGCATTGTGCCATGCATCGCCACGCTTTCTAGGGCTGAGTCTGCCCGATTGCTTTCTCTGGGCGCGCTTTGCTTCTGGGCAGCCGTTGAAGATGGGCGTCAAGCATCGTGGCTTTCTTGTGTCGTTTGCTTGGGACCAAGAGAAGCCCACCGATGCGGCAACAGGGGAGGAGAAACCCTTATCTTTGGGCGGCCAAGACAGCGAGGCCGTCTGTTATCTTCCCCCATCTGCCGGTGGCGGCTTCTCGTTCGTCCCTTTCCACTTTCATCTTTTCATCCGTTTGGAGGACAATTGCGCCTGAGACAGCAACGTGCTCCGATCCGACAGTTTTGTGGTCAGCACGAGATTGGTGGGTGTTGAGTGCGAACGTTGTTTTTGGGTTTGAACGAGGAAGCGCCGGAGATGCGCAGCCATGTGGCACCCGCATTCGTCCCTCGTCTCTCCAAAGCTTCACATCGCGGCTCCACGTTGACGACTGCACAGGTGTCGCATTTCGAGAGTGCATTTGTTTCTCATCTCATCTCAACTAGATACAGGTGCCCGGTTTTGTTTATACTCGTTCGTACTACTCGGCGATCTTCAAGACCATAACTACAAATCGTCGCATACACGTATCCGACATCTCATTGAAACTTGGGATCGAGGAAGAGCCGCCAGTCTGCGCGCCTGAACGACGTCGCCACGTTTTTCGGGTGGATCAACCCTTCATACGTCCTCCTCCCATTACTCTACCCCAACGACAGCCCAGCATCGCAATCACAGACATCCGCAACCCCCTTTCAAGCACTCTCCCCCTCAATCTCCTTAACCTCGACCTCAACCGGCGCACCCAGCCAATACGAACACGTCCCATCCCCATTCGCACACCCAACCTTAATATCCTCCCCAACCCTCAGCTCCCTTGACCCCTCAAAAACCCGCGTATACCCCTTGAGCGCAGCCTTATCCCATATCGCCGCCGTCCTCCTCCACACCATCCGATACCCCCCTTCAATCTGCTCAACCCGCATACTCCAATACCCTTCTTTCCGTCCGTCGTCGTCGCACGGCCATGTGCGTCCCCAGGGCCCTTCGGTGGGCGACGAGAGCGTGAGGAAGGTGGCGCGGCAGTTTTGAGCGGTGCTGGGCGGAAGGGTGTGTGATGGGTTTAGGACGTGTGAGTTTGGGTCGGTTATGTTTGTGGTGAGGGTTGAGAAGGCGTAGGTTCCTGCGCGCGCCGAGGGGACGTGGATGGTAAAGGTGTTGAGGGTGAATGGTTGGAGGGAAGGTTGAGGTTGGGGGTCTTGGCGGGGGGTGAGAGCTGTTGCTGTTGCTGTTGCTGTTGCTGTTGTTGCGGAGAGGAGGCTGAGGAGGGCGGTGGTGAGCTTCATTTTCGTTTTTGTTTCTTTGCGCAGTTTGGGGCGGGGTTGGCGGTGGTTTGTGCAGGTGAGTTTGTATTTGTATTTCTGTTTTTCCGAGTCGTGACACGATTTTTCGCTGTCACCGGCGGTGGGAAACGAATACGATCTAGATGTAGGGATTGGATTCTTGCGTGGCGGTCAAGGTCAAGTACAATCACGTCGTTGGGGTGGGAAAACAAAAAGACACTCTCATTACCCTTTATACCTCCCCCCTTCCCCCTCTTCGACTCAGGGACCCCCCCTTCACACCATTTTCCCAGACTATTGAATTTTTCCTGGCTCCAGTATTCTTTCTTGCTCTACTGCAGCTTGCTTGTTCGTGGCCGTTTTGCGCGCGCATGACAATGGATGTGATGGGATGGGATGGGATGGATCACTTGGTTTTAGACTATTGATTTTACCTGCCCCCCGGGAGAATTGAGGGGAGGGGGAACGTATTAACATGGGTGTGTGTGTGTGGCACGCCCAGTCGATCCCTCTTCCCTTACCACCACCAAACAAATTAGAAGAAAAACGAGGCTCGCACTACACACTCTAGAACGGCGCTGGAAAACGAAAAATAATGATGCAATCATGTGTGAACTTACTACCTACATGTATTCCTTTGATTTGAGGGAGAGAGGTAGTTTATATCTCATACCTCCCCCCGCGGATGGAATCGCTGTTTCTAGAGTCGGTATATGTTTGTTTTGTGGGGTTATATATACAGATATATGGATTCTTTTTCTTGGCATAAGGGGGGGAGGGGACAGAAAGGGATTCCTCTCGCACGAGTAAAGCAAGTTGTGTTGAATGGAGTTTTGTTAACGGGGGTTTTCGCTTTCAATGCTTTAGCGCGGCAAAAGGGGAGAGAGAACGATGAAGAGAAAATATGAAATGGGGATTGTTGATATTTTTGAGAGTTTTGCTAATGTACAGGCGTGGCGGATGTGTGTGTGTGTGTGTGTGAATGTTGGTTGCGACCACGTGATTTACCCCCTCCGCTGCCGCTACCCGTCTTCAAATAGAAAGAAATAATGAACATTTCGATTTGAGTTGGATCCTTAGAGATCTATCCTAAGTTGATCGAACGTACCTGCATACTTATATGTAGATGTAGATGTAGGTGGAAATTCAAACAACACATCTTCGCCCTTCCCCCACGTCCACACACAACACCCCAATCAATCTACACACACCAATTGAAACCCAAAAACCAGGTACGATCTGACGCGATCCGTTATCTCTTCCTATTCCCTTCCTTCTTCTTTTCCCCCCTTCACATTGAATTCGGAGCAATCACCGCAAAACACGTCAACAATAATAAAATAGAAAAAACAAAAGGTGCGTAAAGTAAGAGAACTGTTGTGGCTCGTTCTCATTGGTCGGTATTTTAGAGGGGAGGGGGGAAGGGCAGGCTGACAGAGCCACGACCCCGTTTTAAGTCGATGCGTTTTTTTGTTTTTTTTGCGCTACCTACACAACACTTTATTTTGAACCTTATTAACTACTGCAGGGTGTGGAGATGCTGGGGAAGTGGAAATGTGCTTTTTTGGATGGAAAAAAAAAATTTTTTTTGTGTGATGTTGTTAGAATGACGGCGCTGTGCGCAAGTAAGAACGGGAAAAATTAATTGTAGCAGAGATGGGAGGAGATGATGAACCACGAATCTGTCTCTTATCGAAACTGTACTGGATAGAGATGAACGGACGTATTCACTGTTTGCCCGCCCTCCCTTACACGCTCATCATCTAAACAACAAATAAAAGAACGAAGAAAAGGGGAAGAAATGATGATGATGATGATGATGCAAGCCAGAGTGATACAGCAGCAGCATCCCTCATGCAGGGCGCAACCGAAACAGCCTTTCATCGTTCTTTTGACGCAAAGCAATTTTGTTTTGTTTTTTGTTGTTGTTGTTGGACAACACATACATACATATACGTATATACATATATGTAACAACGCGACGGGATATGATGCGCCCCTTGATCCGCCCTGTCATTTGTTTTTTGTCGAGATAACAGCTACATCCTTCTTCTTTGTTGCGTTTCTATCGAGGGCCTTCTTGAACCCAACAAAAAGAGACTACGATTTCGTACCCAAAGATTCTGGATACCCAGAATTAATTAAAAATACTCTGGGAACTATTGAAAGTCGCTAGCGAGGATGCGGATTTCAAACGATATATGGACTGTCTACGGTATCATATCACCGAGACAAGATACCTGCTTAACTACCGCCACGAGTACAACTACCGCACTGCCAAATGTACGTTCTCAAACCCCCCTTTGACCTCCTCCTCCTCCTCCTCCAAACTCGTCCAACCAAACCCCCGTTCTAATAAACCAACAATACAGGAATGCAATCCCTATCGCTCCTCCGTCACCGCCACTACACCACCGAACCCGAATTCAAAACCATCACCAACGACCCTCGCATTAAGCATCTCCCTCTCCACTATCTTGATCCTTGTGATCCTGCTCACAATCGGGATATGTTATATCAGGAGAAAGAGACGTATAGAAGGGATGAGATGTGCGATTGTGGAAGTTGAGAGTGGGAATTCGCGGAAAGGTAGCGTGGAGAAAACCAGTGGTAACGACGAACTAGTCAACGAAGAAAAGACCAGGAGATCTCGAATGAGTAGCGGGGCGATAAACGAAGAAGGAATATATGGTGAAGCGGTAGCTGGGAGGAGCGGTGGAGAAGATGGGAAAGGGAAGGTTGGGGTAGAGGAGGATGAAGAGGAACAATGGATGGTGTTTGAGAGCCGGGTGTCGATTGTTGTTGTTGATGAGGAGGAGGTTGATGGGTATGAAGGGGATGAGGAGGATTATGGGGAAAGAGGGAGGAATGGGTTTTCGCTTAGGAGGAGGGAGGGGTGATGGGCGTGGGTGAAGATTCGAAAGGGGCACGGGGCGGGAAGGGTGGCAAAGTCGAGAATATTGGTTGGAGTTGCTAGTGCGTGATTCTGAGGTGTATTGGAAGCGGGTGAAGTTGACTAGTCGGTGTGCTGGAATATGTATAACTGCGATGACGAGATAAGGAGACGGTTGACGGGCTGTGGTATTGGATAGCTGAGAGGGCGGGGTGGAAGAGACTCAGCGCGCAGTGTAGGGTTTTTGTTTTCATTTTTCACAGCGGTGTAACAGAGAGTGACTGATGGGAGAGGTGTTTGGACAGCGGATGTGTATGATAAACAAGGATTGGTGGCTTTTAGCGATGTGCCATCGCCTTGTTATTGATTGAGGCCATGACGATTACTGAAATCCGGTACAAGACAGTGTCGTTGCTTTGAGGAGAAAAGTGTATGCAGAATAACTTCGTGTGCGCTTTCACAGTCCGAGCCACGTTCCTGTGCCATGAGCTCATATGTTCACGAAATTTAATGTTCATATTGCCCTGTACTGATTCTCGGTGGGTGTACATAGCTTGTCTAGTCATCCTTCTTGATGTGTACGACACACGACCCATCGCTTTGGTACTCGTGAGACATTGATGTTGGTATCACTAGAGGGTTTCAAGCAGGTTACACAAGCACTTGGAGCTGCATAACTGTTCTCATAATCTGTTTGTCGTCGGGTTTCTAGGTAGTATCTGTGTAGAAGTACTCGTTCGTCTCCCAGGAAACTTGGCGTATTCCATTGATTGGCTTCCCTACAAGAAGCGTGGCATATAATTTGAATGACACCTCCTCGTGCTATGTGAGATACTACAGTCAGGTCAGGCCACGCAGAAGGTGATTGGCTTGATATGTTTAAATCCAGTCATATTATGCTTCCTGTTGATCCAATTCCGGGAACGCGACTGAACATTTTACGAATGTACTCTGACTGAGTAGAGTAAAATAGTGTCATAGCTGACGACATCCCAATTCTCTTGATTTCCGCACTGCTTGTAAAACAGAGTTGTAGCGAATACACGAAAGGTTGTAATGGGGGTGAAATTACACCTTCTACAATCAGTACATCTCGTGAATACCTGATCTACGCTATTTTCATTTCTTAAAAGCGCGTATAATGGCGTATTTTTAGGTCATAGATTACTTTATAATAGTAAGATTTGACTCAAAGTGACAGAATACTACATCTGCATCCCGCATGTTGCCATCATTCACCGTTTACGTGACCCTATGCAACATTGTGAGTACAGCCTTAATGACCACTCCCCCCGAGCATGAATCATTCTCAATACTACAGCGGCTGAAGCTCTCATACATTGATGGCTTGTGGAACCTTTTGTGACTAGAAGTGAACCTCTAGAGGTCTATAAAAGAAACACAGTCTCTTGATAGCTTCTGTCTTCCTTCTATCCACAAACTCAGACAGCGAAAGCCAAACAACGACTATCATATCAGCTATTGTCTACCAAACACCCAACTACTACACACTACAAGTCTACAATATCTCGAACGGATTCATACAAACAGACCAGACAATCGATCTCAAGTAAGTACTCTCTCTGCATCAAGAGACCGGTTTCCCGAAACCAATACCTGTAAACATTTCACTGACGATACTTATTCGTTAGAAAACTCAATACCAGTCTTCACTACATCATCGACCATGTGTGTGCAACCCGAATACTACTGTATGACTGCCCTTACCCACAATCCAAAATCATAACAGCATCATATATCCAAAGAATCCCAGATTGTTACATTCGCGTGTCAAATGTACTTGAACTAACCACTCAAATTTATAGTCAACAGGTGCGGTCACTTCCATAAAAATCCCGAAATGCCTCGTCGCTGCGTTAACGCCGACGTATGCCCCACGGGTTTTAAACTCGAAAGTCGTGTTGAACGTCGCTACGACACCCGGTGCTTGTTTACTTGTGGTAATCGAAGGGCTACGGAGACCAACGGGGTGACTATGTCGGAGGAGAAGAGCCACTTCATCAATGTGATTCTTGTGAGAGAGGCCGAGGAACGCGCAGCTCAGACTGACAACCAGAGCAGCGGCTGAGGAAGTACTGCTGCATATGGTGGAACGGGTAACCGAAAGGAATCTGTGGATATGGAGGTCTTTTGAGGATTTATGGGTTTGCTATGCAATATGCAACATGGAAATTTCACACGGAGGAAGTAGGCATAGATCTGTGGACAGACATGGCTAGTCGGACGAAGAAATGCTACGGGGCCTGGCGGATGAAACATTCTTTGTGGTGGATATGTAGGTATAGAAACATTAGATAGATATATGTAGGTAATGAAAAGTTAGATAGATGCATGGATTTGTATTTAGCTACTACAGATAAAAAAACTCCCCAAGAATGATATCTAGCAATACATGTAGCGCTGAATTTGAAGCGAATACGGTCCGCGAATACCAACGCGACATGTGAATTAGAATATTAATCAATCTGTTGCTAGCGTTTGAAACTGAACACCTTGTACTATTTAAGACAAAATCATATGCCTTGCTGTTATTTTATGAAAGCGACTACTGACTTATTCATTTAGCACGCCTTTCATCTCTATTTATCTTCCTGTGTAGGTACATAATTGCCTCTTGCATAGCACGCCTTACCAAAATGCTTTCAATTGACTAGCCAATCAATCTTTTGTTTCCTGTGTTACACAGCTTATCCTAACTCGGTTAACTCTAGTTTGCTTTCCTATACCCAGGTTGTACGACGCTGGCTACAAGGCCGCAGCACCTTATTGTCTATCGACTAGTGCCGAGCTATCATCCACCATTCTGAAAGTACAACCAACGCAAACGATCGCCTGCCGTATATGGCGCCGTCAACAACTGCAGAGGATTTCTACCAAATCCTTGAGGTGGAGCAAAATGCAACACACCAGCAAATCGTTCTGTCATATAGACGTCTGGCATTAAAGCTCCATCCCGACAAAAATGCCGCGCCCGACGCTACTGAAACCTTCCAGCGAGTGGGTCAGCTCCTATCACTAAGCACTCCATGAATTGTATTGACACGAAGATTTCCAGCTTGGACGAGCCTATGAAACGTTGGGGGACGAAGACAAACGCCGAGCCTACGATATCTTATACCCATCCATAACACGGGGACGACCCTCTTCTTCCAGCAAACAAACTCCCGGCCCGCCACCTACTTCGACACAACAGTCAGCCGCACAAGCTGATGCAGCGCAAATCGCCGCCATCCAAAAGTCAAAGCAAGAACGTAATTCGCGATGGTTCACCAGAAAGAATGCCCACGATTCTTCCGTCTTCGAGTTGCAACGACGTATTCGGAAGCTAGAGCAGGAAATTGCAAACTTGGGTAGTATTATAGCTGCTGAAGCTTCGGAAGAGGCCTGGAAGACGAGTTGGAGAGCATGGTTGCTATCGCCCATATACAAGACAGCAGTCGAAACCGAGGAAGAGAAAGAACGCAAGGATAGAGATCGGCAGAGAAGGATCGAGAAGGATCGAGAAGGATATGAAGGAGCGCCGACTAGAATCAAACCAGGCGGATCTGAAGACGCAAGAAAGCGTATTCCAGAAGGCAAAGGCGGAAAGAGAGGCTGCGGATCAGGCTGATGATGGGAAGATTCGAATAATTCAGGATAGGATACGAGCTCGACAAACTCAGGAGAGATGGGAGGCAGAGAGGCGAGAACGGCAGCGTGCAGAAAAGATTTGGAAAGAGCAGCAGGAACAGCGGGCAAAACAAGCGCGTGCAGCGGCTGAAGCAAGACGGAAGCAGCAGGAGGAGAGGGATGAAGCTTTAAAAGAAGCTCAGAGGAAGATGCAGGAGGAGCAGAAAGCAGCTGCACGAGAACGAAACGAAACCCGGAGACAGCAACACCAGTATACATATCACTATACGCGGAAGGAGAGCGCTGGCGAGGCTGAAACATCACCATGTCGCCACGACGGCTGGTGGCCAAAAGTACAGGGACGCGCTTCATGTCCAGAGTGCGATGAGAGTTGGACTTATCTGCTCCAATGTCCAACCTGCAAGAAAAAGGCATGTCCGAAATGTCAGGCTAGATTACGACCGAGGTTACCACGCAATGCGCCGAGGAACAATCGACAAGCACCACCGCGCGCAAGGACTCCGAGCCCTCCGAACTTTGACTACTGGTACGACTAGGTTTGGTATATTGCTGATGCTATGGGCTTTGGACTGGGGATCCGAATGGGGTGATTTGATTTTGGATGAGCCCGGTTCGAATGAATCAAAGTGCAATCCGCTTTCGATTAATTTCATTGTATAATTACTTGGGCCGTAGTAGCGATAACATGAAGGCGTTCTCCTGGGTCCATTAGTACTCAAATGAGATCGCACAAGCGTCATTGTGGGCAGAGTCCACCAATAAGATTGCGCCATTCAAATTCGTAAATGCTTCCAAGCGTGTCGTACATACATTCAATTTCGCGCAGGAACGTTTCAATTCTAATCTTTGGCCATAGGGTACGAATAACTATTATCACGGTGTGGTGGAAAACGGAGAACAAGAATTCGTGACATAAATATGATATTCAGGATACTGATGTCTAGTCATACAGGACTTGGAGTGAGAACTAGCCACAAACGTGATCAGTCCATCCTTCCACAGAGCTTAAAAGCAGTTCATGCGCTCAAACCACGCTTAGCATAGATATGGCGCGTGACGGCATCGAGAACCTTGATTGCTACTTTCATGCTCGTTGATTCATGGTGCCCTTCGTGATCAAGAGATTGATCTTGCATGTCTTGGAGACCGCAAGCTGCGCGCTCGAGTATGTCAGTGCCGGACTGAGCATATGGTGGCGGGCTAGCTTCCTCTCGGTCTAAGAGTTGCTGGCGAGTGTATCGTCCGCGTGTGTGGTGACCAATAGATTCAGGTGGCGGCGGAGAAAACCGCACACGCTGACGGGCAGCGGGCCTTGAGTCATTGAGAGGAAGTGCGATCTCTGGTTCCTCAATGACGCTCACAACAGGGGTGAAGCGCACGTGCTTTGGGATTTTTGAACTCATTTGGGCTTAGCTGGAGGCTCTGTAAGCAGAGATAAACAGTGATTAAAAGCTTTCGTATGCTTATGTAGTGCCTTTCTCTGTTTGAAAGTTAGTGTGGGTATGGGACTTAACATTTGTCGTCTGAAGCCTCTCAAATATGACTCGAGTGAATTTTACAATGCGGAGGAACGTTGAATACAGTGGCAAGTCAACCGATAACAATGTTTTCGATGTTCTTGTCACATGAACAGCGGAATAGCTTCAATAGTGGTGCACAATGTAGCTTGTGTGTAGACAAGTTGTGTGACTCGTCTTCGCGTCACACAGCATTGTTGGTAGAGTTTATGTCCAATCACAATGGTCTGATTGAATCGTATCGTCCTCGGGGTTCTGGGTCGATAGTTCTGAGTCGTGATTACCATAGACCCGAGTACGATTATGCCACTAGAAGAAAGCATCCACTTTGTGCTTCGAAAATTGAGCAACTTTTTGGTAGTCATGTCTCGTCCGGATTTAATGCCAGTCGGGAAAATCCCAGGGTGGCCAGGAGCGACTGATCTCTTCGGACTTGAGCGCAAATGGGCCCAATGTATACCTTACATATCAACCCAGCAACATATTGAAAGAAAGACGACTCTGGCACGCAGAATTCGTTTGAAGTGACTTGATAAGTATTTTGTATCCGACTAAGCAGAGAGGACCTATAATGTCCGCACAAAATAGCAAACTAAGGACATACTGTCACTCTCGCCATAAGTCATGAGATGATGCGTTTGTCGTCGACGGAACACCACTCTCGTACGTATCTGTATACCATAGGACGCTATTTACTGAATTGGGATTAGACTTCGTGGTCAGACCCACATATCGGAGTTGGCACTTGTCAAATGCGCGCATTCACCTATAGCAGCGAATTGGTAAGGACTTAAGCTATCGACGTAAGCAGATAAAATTAGGATTGGCTGTAATGCGCCGAGCATAGGGGCCAAGGACAGGATCTTGCACTATAGGCGTTCCCGGGGCTGTGAGTAAATGCTGGTACTAGATCTCAAGGTTGAATGTACCATGGATGTATCCACCCGAGATTTTCCGTTTTGAAACTGTTCTATCTGATTGAATACGAGGCGAAAACATAATTTGCCATTTGATGCCATAGGAGCGGCCGTGGTGAACACCGTGAGTGCTCTAAATTCTTGCCACTTTAGTCTTCTAAAGGATTGGTATGCGGCTGAATGAGAACAATCTTGATTCGGAATTGTATGCAATGACATCGGCGCTCGGGCGTTGATCCAACATGGCAAATGGTTGAATGTTGGATTTAGAAAAGCTTGGTGCGGAGATTTGATAGCGTCTCCGCCAAATTATCGCCATTGCATTCCCAGGACCTGTATATACCCTATGAACGCGAACCCACGCTGTTGACAGTTTGGCAACGCCTTCTTCATATCCATCATGCGGTTCAACCAGCTACTTACTCTTATGGCTTTTGCTTTTGCCACCCCTTCTCAAGCACAATTTGATAGGAAAACCTTATCTGTGTCGGGTGGATACCTATATTCATACCATTTCAACGCTCCCGAAGGCGATAAACCCACAGTTCTTTTGCTTCATGGCTTTCCATCGTCGCTGTACGACTGGCGCAAGACTATCCCAGATCTTCGCGCTGCCGGTTACGGCGTGATTGCTCCCGATCTTCGCGCTGCCGGTTACGGCGTGATTGCTCCCGATCTGCTTGGTTTTGGAGAGACAAGCAAACCTGAGGCCGTCGAAGAATATGTCCTTTCCAAGCTCAGTGCGCATGTTGCAGAGATCCTCGAGCACGAAAATTTGACATCTGTAGTTGGTGTTGGTCATGACTTGTAAGTTTCTTTCCAATACTTCTGTTCTTCTTGTCAACAGCGGAAAAAAGGCCGCTGCGAACGAATTTTTCTTTGAGGGAGAAACTAATTAAAAACTTTGACTTGATCTTCGATCACAGTGGAGCCCCGTTGCTTTCACGATTCTGGAATTACTATCCTCAGTATCTCTCCAAACTCGCGTTCCTCGCTGCAACATACCGAGCGCCGATCCCATGGGATGTAGAAGCGATGAACAATGCAACAGAAGCGGCTTTCGGCTACCCAATCTTTGGTTATTGGTATTTCATGAACGAAACGACTGCCCCCGAAACCATCATCGATCATGTAAGTCTAGCCTCCTACATCGTTTTGCGCTCCAATCAGTCTGCCTCGAATCTTGGCTTACTCGGTTCTTCTAGCACGAGTCATTCTCGTCACTGATCTGGGCTAGTGTGCCTGGGATGTGGAGAACCCACGTTTGCCCCGTTGGAGCGCTCAAGAATTGGGTCGAGACAGATCAAATTGCGCCCAAGCCCGATTACCTCAGTGATGAAGAGTACACTACCCATAAATCAATATTTGAAAAGGGCGGCTACAGAGGCCCCACCAATCTGTATGATCTCCCATCCTATTGGTTCTATATCATCCAAGGAAAGAGAAACTGACAGAGCATGGAACACAGATATAAAGCTGCACAGAGAAACATCGACAGCCCCAATGATGCTATGATTCCTGCAAAGAATGTCATCGTTAACAAGCCGGTACTGTACGTTGCAGGAGGAAATGATGATATTGGCAGGCCAGAACTGGCAGTCAAAGCTGTAAGCGATGGCGCGAACTCGGGCATGGTCCCCAACGCGCAAGTCAAGATCATTGAAGGCTCGTATCATTGGATACAAGTACAGAAACCGAAAGAGACATTCGAGACGCTGGACGCTTTCATCAAAGAAGCATGAATATGATAGACATAGGGATAATTATGTATCGGTCCGGTGTATTATGAACAGATCCTAGCAAGATTGGCGTATACCTTACTTAATAGATCACTACCGTGATGTTCCTTCAGGAGTGAAGAAGTGCAAGTAGGCTACTGAGCGGTTGGCTGTACTATGTATGTTTATGATTAAGTAGTTTTGTGATTTATTAGGGCCAAACTAATTGCCAAATTCAGTCAAGGTATGTACGAGATAGTGGCTCGATCAAGTTTGGAACGCGTACGACATTGTGATGGCCTCTTGTCATCTCTACCTTAGAATTTTAGGTGCGCTAGATAGACCTGATTAAGACTAGCGGCACATGGTCTGTACCAGATCGTCCAACCACTTGTCTTACTGCAGGGTTCATACGATGCTAGCCGCAGTAAATCGGCCTCCTGTAATGTGATTCCAGCGACTAAAAGAACCGAATTGAACTGCGATACACGTACATGACGTTACTTCTAGGCAAGCTACGAACTTGGCATTGTATGAGTCTCAATCCTTCATCCAAGTTCAACGCACTGCACAGCCTGGTCAAAACAGTCTGAGGAGAGTCGCTCTATTTGGCTCTGAGGAACGTCCATCGGAGGCTGGCGCTTATATATCGGGGGTTTGACAAGGAATTCTCTCCGATATCTATGTCGCTTATGCTTAGCGGATCAGGGGCAGAGTATGCGTTTTGTATCCATGTGCCGAATGACCACAACCAGTTTGCACATTAATACTGAGAAGCATGCTTCTGCTCATGAAGTTTGAAGAAGACGCGTTGCGTTCGTGGATTGTGGCTTGATTCCAGCTTCAACACTGACACAGCGCAGTCTGACTTGCTTTTACTCAGGTCCGTTGTAGGATGTCTTGGCTCGGGTTGTAATTAGGTGTATTGGGTATGTCAGTGCAGATTCTTGGGGTAGATTCAGCTATGATGATCAGTAATGAGTTACGTAGGCTGAGAAAAGGCCTCAAGCCACCGCATTGATATGTTCAATGAGTTTTACTATAAAGCATGAAAACATTGGCCTACAACAATTCAACACCATCGCTCTCAAATCATTCCATCCTTTTCTTTCAGACTTTACTGCGACTACATCATGATGTTGTCCGCGATTTTCCTCCATGCTATGATGGCGTTGGTCGTCGCTTCGCAGGATACTGCGGAGAAGAAAGGCAAACCGAATTTCATCATTATCATGACGGACGATCAAGACCTCCATCTCAACTCTCTCGACTACCAGCCTGCAGTCCAGAAACATTTCGCCGAACAGGGGACCTTTTACCAGAAACACTTTGTCACGATGGCCCAATGCTGTCCGTCCCGCGTGTCATTACTAACCGGAATGGCTGGTCACAACACAAACGTGACAGATGTCTTCCCACCAGACGGTCGGTTGTCTTATCTTTCCGCAAATTATTGAACTAACGGAACAAGGCGGTTACCCTAAATTCGTCACCCAGGGTTTCAATGAAAACTACCTACCAGTATGGCTGCAGCAAGCAGGTTATAACACATACTACACGGGCAAATTCTTGAATGCCCATGATGTGGAGAACTACAACAACCCCTTTCCGGGTGGATGGACGGGTTCAGAATGTAAATGTTCACCAGCATCGCTTCATAGTCCATACTTACGTGAATTTCAGTCTTGCTTGACCCCTACACCTATCTCTACTACAACGCTACGTTGCAGCGAAACCAAGATCCTCCCAGAAGCTTCCCGGGCGAGTATAACACGGATATAATCAAGGAAAAGGCTTTGGGATTTTTAGATGATGCTGCAGCTGCAGATGAGCCGTTCTTTATCGGAGTGATGCCTATTGCACCACATACCGAGTCGCCAGCGTCGTCCGGCGGACAGGCCATTCCTGAATTTTTCCCGCCCATACCCGCTAAAAGGCACGAAAATCTTTTTCAAGGAGCCAAAATCCCTCGGACCTACAGTTTCAACCCTGATCGAGTAAGTCCCCATTACTTCGCGAAGTATGACATTCACTCACACGCTGCAGCCAAGTGGAGGAAGCTACGTGAAGCTGAAACCTAAGATGAATGATACCGTCCTAGAATACAACGATGAGTTCTACAGACTCCGTCTCGCCACACTTGCAGCAGTCGACGACATTATCAACGAAGTGTTTGAAAAGCTGGAGGAGCATAACCTTCTGGACAACACATACGTCATCTATACCACCGACAATGGATTTCATATGGGACAACATCGTCTGGACCCCGGAAAGGCCTGCCCGTATGAAGAAGATGTCAATGTTCCCATGTTTATTCGAGGTCCAAACGTACCGAAAGGAGTTACTGTGACTAAGCCTACCACACACACTGATATTACGCCTACTTTATTCAAGCTTGCCGGAATCCCCTTAAGAGAACAATTCGACGGGCAACCGATGCCAATCACCCTCGAAGAGCATGCGAACGCGAGTACTGAACACGTGAATATTGAGTTCTGGGGAGTGAACATGGGTGAAGGTGAAATGCGCGTTCCCATTCCCGTTACGATAAACACATACAAAGCCTTGCGCATTGTGGCCGAAGATTACGAATTCGCGTACATGGTATGGTGTGATGGCGATCATGAGCTCTACGACATGAAGGTATGGAACCTCGCAATTGCAACTTCGAATATGCCGCTAACCGCACGCAGGTGGACCCAGGGCAGATGTATAACCTTTGGGATGTGAAAGGCAATAGCACGACTGGTCCATCCGTTGATGACACAATGAGAGTACCCCGAGTGCGTTCACGACAAGACGGCGATGTAACCACCGATCCCGATTTCTCTCCAGAGAGACTTCAGCCTCGACTAGACACCCTCTTGATGGTCCTGAAGTCTTGCAAGGGAAAAGTCTGTATCGACCCATGGAGAACAATTCACCCTATCGGTAATGTCCGCACATTGAAGGATGCGATGAGTCCCGAATTCGACGAATTTTATGCCACGCAGCCAAAGGTGTCGTTTTCCGAGTGCGGGAGGTACTATTTCCCTTCCTTAGAGGGTCCCCAGAGCGCAAATCCTTTCATCCCTAGCTCATTAACTTAATTTATCCTTCTTTTGCGAGTGTTGCAGCAAGCATTTCACGCTACAACATGGATATTTTCATACCTTTCTCTTCTCTTCTCTCGTTTAGGTTAGTTTAGTTAGATTTAGATTCGAAACAGATTCCAGGATTGCAAAGTCGTTTCCACTGTTTCCACAGATATCTGGTGATTATCATGCCAAATCTGCAATGTGATAAAAGTTGGAGCCGATTCCCTATCTGCTCATGGTGAATACCATCCAGGCCCTCGAGATGCGATTTTGCATGATGGGCACGGGCGGTCGATGACGTTGGGGACCTCGCGTAGGAACATGATGCAAGGATCTTACTCCTGATTTAGCGATGACGGAGCATTAATACTAGCATTATAGACTTCTAGTGGCCAGGAGAACGCGACGAGCTGCGAGTTGATTTGTTTGATCTTCCGAGACCAACCTTGGTATTCATGTGAATTACCCACGCTATGCACGTCCTGTTTATTGGAAAGTAGATCATGCCGTTGTATCCGCGGATCACATCTGGATGAATCTGCTCTATGTATAAGGATTTTTTGATGCTTTTGATGTGCAACACTACCAGTATAGAGTGCGGCTATTTTTTTTTTTGGATGACGCACAGCAAATCCGAATGATTGATCTCACGCACAGTAGCTACATTTCATTGAAAAGACGCTCGCTGCCTATTGGGTACTGGTCTTCTTTGCACGTTTTGATATTTCCACAGGGATGGTCGAGTCGCTTATGTTCATTCCTCGTGGTCTGGTCCTGTAATGACCCGTTAGAGACGCCTCAGTCCTGTGGTGCCCCTTGCATAACCCTGTCCACTAACCCTTCCAACGGGTGTGTTAACCCAAATAGGCGCAAAGAATCTGATAGTGACGACGATGGCTCAACCAGGTTTGATGGAAATCAGCTCATAGGGAGACAAGCAAGTAGCAGGTCTTTAGGTATAAGAACAACCACCCCGATAGACACTGAATTACACCACCGCAACATTCGCTCGATTCTTCTCAATACATAGCCTCATTCCAACCTTCTCTGAAAACCAGACCCATCATGCGCTTCTCAGCCTTCTCCGTTTGCGCCCTTGCCGGCCTTTCTGCTGCTGGTCCTTTGGGTGATCTCAATAGGCGCGCGGATGTCGTCAGTCTTCTCACTGACCTCTACGCCAATGTTCAAGTCTACACCGGTGCCATCAGTATGTTCAATCAAACCAATACACCACAAGGCTGTTACTGATCATCTCGCAGATGCCACCCTCGAGACTTTGTCTCCATCATCCTCCGTCATCGAGAAGACGGCAGCTCTTCCCCAAGTTGGAGAAGCTTTCAACTCGATCAATACGGCGATCAAGGACACCACAAGCTCTATTAGCGAGCTCACCCCCGAAGACGCACCTGCCGAGCCTGAGAAACGCTCCGTGGGTGTAGTCGCACACCCCGTGGAGAAACGCCAGGTTGATACGGCCACTGTGCTCCTCACTCTTATTATCATTGAAGTCGTTGCCACCATTGCCGGAGCTATTGCGATCTTCGGTGTTGCTGCACTGTTGATCTACATCAACCCAGTGACAGGATCACTGGCTGCGTTGATCTTGGCTGTTCAGCTCATTCTCAACGTCGTATTGTCTTCTGTTACTATTCTTCTGAACACTCTTCTCGCTGGTTTGGCCCTTACTATCGGTGGCCTGGGTGCATAAACGATTGAACGCTTGTCTGACCTATGTACATATACAAAAAGCCGTGGTGGTTATCATTCTTGTCTGTCAATATTCTGTAGTCCAATTGCTTCTTTAGCATGTATCAATAGTAACGCTGATGCAATAATACGTTCTTACTGATATCGATTGCATTATAACTTCTGAATTGACATGAGGTCACTGCAGGGAAGCAGACCCCTCAACCATCCCGGTAGACATTTGGTACATCTATTACACAGTGTCTCGCTATCTGCACCTATACAAGCTACTGTTTATGACGCCTTCACGTCATTGTTCAGCATTTCCTCACTCTCCACCCAAAACCCTGTGCCCTGGGTCCGAATGCTCGTACGATTACAAACTGGACAAGGGTCCGGATTTCATCAACAATTTACCTACTGCCCTAGTATTTTGCGTCAACGAGCAATCGCTTTCCCGTCTCCGGACGCTCTCGACAGATTTACTAGATGAAAACTAGATAAGCAACGTTCCTGACTCCTAAAATTGTGACTCTTTCCCCGTGAGAGCAAATTGGCATAGCTTATGTTTCACTCGATACTTGTCACATTGGCAACACCTGATTTTTAAGCAACCGCCGTCTGTATAATGCTCTACATCTATGGAAAGATAACCTAGCGTCTGGAAATCAGACTAACTTTTCGTACGTAGCATGCGTCGTACAACTTGATCATTCAGTACCTGAAAGGTGTAGTAACCCGCACGAATCTAACTATATAGATCTAAGACTACTGTTGCGCAACTCCCAAAGAAGTACTTATTTGTAATCAATGCATTTATTAGCGCAACCACAGCTCATAAATACAGCGGTGTGTAGTTGTGCCTCCGAACGTTTGCGCTGCAAGGCTAATTTTCCGATGGTTCTCGCTCCCGCCCCCACTATTCCGCCTCGAAAGTTGTGCGATCGGGGTAGTTGATGTATTCCGGCGAGATCCGCCGACTCAAAATTGCTCAGTTGCGACGCATGACGTAGCACGATCATCGAATTATCATGACTAGGTTCTTCTGTAACCATGACGCTTAGTGCTCCGATACGGCATGAATTATTAATCGGCTTATATATCTACAACCTGAATTTGCGCATATAAAGCACACTATTTCACGTTCCCCCACCATCTCCCCACACACATCAACCCGCACTTTCCTACGATCACATTCAGACACAAAGACAATATGGCGCCCAGAAGATATGAGACTGAGCACAAAGATGCTTCGCCACTCGGAAAGCCTCTCAATTTCGAGTTTTCTGGTAAAAAGGCACAAAACCGATTCTTGAAAGGAGCGATGACGGAAAGGCTGTCGTCCTGGGACCCACAAAACTTGGAAGCACGCGGGGTCCCATCAAAGAACCTCGTCAACGTCTACCGCAGATGGGGAGAGGGTGAATACGGTGTAATCTTGACTGGCAATATCATGGTCGAGTATGATCACCTCGAAGCGGCCGGCAATCCCATCATCCCCCGCGGGGCTCCTTACGAAGGCGAGAGGTTCCAAGGGTTCAAGGACATCGCGACACAGTCCAAGAAGCACGGTTCCCTGATCGTTGGACAGGTCAGCCATCCTGGAAGACAGGTGACGGATCAAATCCAAAAGTACCCAATCTCGGCCTCAGACGTTCAATTGGAGGGCAACGTTATGGGTATGCAATTCGCAAAGCCACGCGCCGCCACCGAGGAAGACATCAAGAACGTCATTGAAGGATTCGCTCACGCAGCAGAGTACTTGGAGAAGGCTGGATATGATGGCATCCAGCTGCACGGTGCCCACGGATACTTGCTCGCCCAATTCTTGTCGCCCACAACCAACAGACGTACAGACAAGTACGGTGGATCGTTGGAGAACCGCGCACGACTGATCATCGAAATCGCCCACGAGGTCCGAAGGCGCACTGCAAAGAACTTCGTTCTGGGTATCAAGCTCAACTCTGTTGAGTTCCAAGAGAAGGGATTCGACACCGAAGAGGCCGCGACACTGTGCAAGTTGTTGGAAGACAACAGCTTCGATTTTGTTGAGCTTTCCGGTGGTACTTATGAGAAGTTGGCTTTCGGACACCAGCGCGAGTCGACGAAGAAACGTGAAGCGTTCTTCCTCGAATTCGCCGAGAAGATCACTCCTTCCTTGTCGAAGACTCGGACATATGTTACTGGAGGCTTCAAGAGCGCATCCGCGATGGTGGAGGCACTGGGTACGGTAGATGGAGTCGGTCTTGCCCGTCCAATCTGCTTGGAGCCAGAACTACCGAAGCAGATGATCAACGGAGAAGTGCACGCGGCGATTAATCAGTTGACTGACGATGATGACTTTGGCATCACCAATGTTGCTGCTGGAACGCAGATTAGGCAACTTGGCAAAGACCAAAGACCCATTGATCTGAGTGACGAGAAGAACTTTGAGGGATTCAAGAAGGATATGGAGGCCTGGGGCAAAGGGTTGGCGGACGACAAGGAGGGCAAGAAATACGGTTACATTGATATTGAAAGCGTCCCAGCTATTCCATATGGTACAGCTGGTCCGACATCGGTAGGTAACCCCGAGACACTCACAGCTGACTCGATATTCTAACTTCCAAGAAGTAGTGATACTTTGAGAAGCATTGATTTATTGGTAGTAAACAGCGATGTCGCATTTACTTTGAGAGCGATTGGTTGATAGGTTGATCGATCGTTACGAAACCAAGATAGAAATGAATGATAAATTAAGACGTATACAAGCATCGTCCATCCATGTGGCATCTGCGAATCGACACAACCTGACTCGATTTCTCACGTGATCTCAAAAAGCGCATCTACGCCTCGACGCACGAGAAGTAATTAGCCCAAGCAAACAAGTCATCCCTGCTGGAATCCTCAGATGGATAGTTCCAGCTGTTCCACTGCGCGCGAGTGATACCATTCTCCTCGAAAATCTCGGCCTGGGTAGGCTTGCCTTGCCCGTTGGTGTATTCGAACTTTGTGCAGTTGGCCACAATTCCGCCCATGACAGGCACTGGGTTCTGCTCGGGGGTGTAGATATCACCGCCCTCAACGGGGCCGGGGTAAGTGTAGCCAGTGACACCAATGCAGACAGGCACGTGAGCTCGGAGGCCGAAACAGGTGCTGCCGATTTCAGGGTTCCAGGCGTATAGATCGGTAGCCTATAAATCGAGAAAAAGAGCCGTTAGAATTCTCGATATCTAACCTGGGATGTTGGACTACATACCGTGAAGTTGTTGTACTTGTTGACTACCGTGCTGCAGTTGTCGTCGTCCTCTACCAAGTAGGTCGCGACACCTGTCGGTTGTTAGCAGGGCGTAGACCCATGCGCTAGAACAAACATACAGTTGGTAGGTCTGCGGATACAGACGCAGCCGGCAGCGACGCTGCAGTAATCCTCGCATTCCTCTGGAAGAGTAGCCTGGCGAGCTACAAGACCATTGGAAGATGTCGGGGCCGCAGAAATGACAGAAGCGAGCAACGCGACGGTCGCGGAAAGAGTGAAGGACACCATTATTATAATTAGGAATATGATATGTGCTGGAAAATGTAACGATTGACTTGGTTGGTGATGGATTGAGCGAGAGATGGTGGGGATCCGAATTCTCGATGCTGCTCAATACCCGCACCCATCACTCATCTTTATACTCTACGAACTAGTCGTGACATCGTGAGAAATGATGCAGGGGCCCATAGTATACCTTCCTAGCGTGGACTGGTGCCTTGAGTTAATAACTCGGGAAATGAACTTTGCTGGGGTAGCGATCCTAAAATATCCTACTACGGGTAACATCGATTTTGTTTTGGGTGATAAACGCGATTGCTGACGCTGCTGCCTGCAAAAAGTCATCACAATTACCCCATCAACCGCATGGTTTTGGATCCATGTCGTTATTGATGGAGATTCATTGCGCAGTGGTGGCTCAGGAGTACTGTTCCGGGTACAACCGGACGAGAACAATAGCCCCCACGTGACAGCTTGTTCGGGTATTACCTAGGTACTTAGCGCGGCGAAATCGAGGAGTTGACTTATATAGTATGGACTCTAAATTTTAAGCTGGAGTTCGGGTGATCCGACACATGGCGATAGGTTTAGAACGATGAATGATCCTTAAAGATCGGCGTTTACCGTAAACTATTACTTATACAGTGGAGGTGCCTTGGTCCAACTACTGCTTCGTGCAAACATGCAACTCCGTAATAGGAGTTGACTAGGTAAAAACCTCAACTTTTGCAAAATGCGCACAAAAACACATTTGAAAAGGCGCGATTCGACTCTCATCTATGATATGAAATATCTAGGGAAATGTACTCCCAACATATAGACAGACTGTGTGGTTGTTCCACTTTCACCTCTTTCCACTTACTTTGTCCCGCTTTTGGTGCAGCTATCTATATAAATTCCCTATTGCTCCTCCTGTTCTCTCTACCCTCCTCCTCCCCACCCTTTCCCCGGGGCTCCCTTTGTCTATACTGCTGTCATTATCTACCTCTACCTCTCCCTCTTATTTCCCCTAAGCTGCCTCTCTCCACCTCTTTCTTTCTCCTCATCCTCATTGCCTCTGCACGCACCCCAACCACCACAAGCGCAAGGGCAGCGGGCCTTGCCTGACTTTGCCACTCTTCCGCATCCTTTTCCTTTCTGGGCTGACCCACAGCTATACTTTGGGGAATTGCCGGTGCTCTACGCTTGTGGTAGGCACGGTCACATACCCGGTCTCAATCTCCCCATTTCCCTCTTTGACTACGCCGCCTGTTCTGCAGCTATCGCTCAATTCGACCCTGAGAATACTTTGTTCAATTGCTTATAATTACACGGTGCCGTGAAAGCTGTCGCCTGCAGGTAACTGTGAGGACCGTCAAGGCACCTGCAGAAGCACCCGACATATTACCTTTCTATCTGTCCACTCCCCCGCTCCTATATAGCCCAAAATGGCTGAGAATTACAAGAAAGCAGACGGCAAGCAGAAAGACTCCGAAATCCCCAATAATCTCAGAGATCTTACTAAAAAGACAACGTTGCCCTTGAACATGTTACCTAAATATGTTGTTGGCTGGGGCTTCAACGAAGCCTTCCGCGAGGACTACCAGAACTGGTACGAACATCATGAATACTTATGGACACCTGGAGCTAATGAAGATACAGGCTCGATGGCCAGATAAAAGAGAATGGCCTGAAAGTAGGGGTATTGATCCCACAGTACTCACAGGAAGGCAAAAAGAATGTGATCAGGTCTGTTCATCCAATCTCGTCCAATTTGCTCGGATATATCATATTCGACCACGAACAAGGAACGATCGAATTCACCAACTTTCATGCGAACCCAACCCGCGAAAACTTCGCTGTGGGTGGTACAACCAAAGATGGCACCACCAAACAAGCAGGACAATTCAGAGAATGGATGAAACTCTGCGGTCTCGCGTTAGTTAAACTTGGGTACTATCGCTCGACCTTCACCGATGGAGCCAAGTCCACTATCAGGCTGGACTACCGAGGAGAACTGTTGGTATCGTTGAATCCTCTGACGGATTCCGCCAAGGAAAAGGCAAAGGCAAAACCGAGGAGTCCAGGCGATCTGGAGGCGAACCATCTCAAGAATGTCTCATTGATTGTAGGAGGCGAAAAAAAACTCAGGGCGTTCAACAAGGTGAAGGAGGAGGCAAAAGGCAAGAAAGATGCTCCGGACAAATTTCTAAGGGCGCTCAAAAAGTTAACTCTAGTGGTCGTTCCCCCAGAAAACATAATACGGACCCCATATGGGGATCTCGTCTTGGATCCTCAGTACGTTGGCAGTATATATCTCAAGGGTCTTAGGCGAGTTTGGGTAGAAAAAAAACGGTGGGGACCGACACAGCTTTATTGTTACAATTTCCCAGATAGCCACACGGACCCTGATCGAGGCATGACCATAACAACCACGAGGTTAGCGCATAAGATCTACAAGATCTGGGAGCACATTATCATGGAATCCCAGAATCCGAGAAGCAGAGAGTTGGTTGAGATATACTCTGAAAATTTTGTCAACCATCTGAACGAAAATCTGGAGGTGTTCACAATCAAACTCATTGGCTCTATTAAACCGGAATTCTTTGGAAAGATATGGGAGTACATACGGGATACTAACCATGAAGTCTTCTACTACAACGAATCCAGTGATGACATCGAGGTGAGTAGTTGGAGTCTATTGTGGTCCCCTTATCCGAAAACGCGTTCTCTAAATTTGTACCCCAGGGCATCTTCATTATCGAAAACAGCCTCCGCCGTGTTCCACGTCCCCTGAAAGACGATGTCTGGAAGATACTACGGACAATTCCAGGAGGTCCGCGCACGCCACACGAGGAACAGCGTCATCTGTTCGAAGCGGCTGCTCCGATCAATGAACTCGAACTCGAATCCGACTATGTCCAGAATCTGCTTTGGGATCTCCGAAGCTGCCTTGCGCTCAACACAAACACCGATTCGATGCGCTTAATCTTTGTCGATGGTGGGAATCTATCATTCAATCCTGCCTACATCAAAGCCACGTCTGAATGGAGAATTCATAATATTTGGACTTCGAAAAATGACACCCATAAGATTCGATACTGCCCTGATTATTATATTGATGGGGAAGACCATTCCCTCTGCCATCACACAGTTAGGGAACTGTGGGAACAGATGGCACCCCAGTTGAAGAGGACGCAGAAAAATGATGGCGCACAGGTTCAAGAAGAAGCCACAGAAAATTCGATGCGGAACTATGAGTATCTCAGGGACAAAACCTTTTCTCTTATCGACGGCACGCCTCGAGGCGTCAGGTGCTCACAGACCGAAAAAGGAAAAGAGGTTGCCGTTTCCTGGGAGCTCACCGGCAAACGAGAGCAGCGCTTACGAGTGGTTCTGCATTCAACTGAGTGCTTGGAATTGGCCAAGACACGAAATGAATTGCGCATTCTTCACTTGAATCCAGGAGAAGGTAAGTAAAACTATAGCTACATATAGCGCAAAGACTAATCTTTACCTAGATAACCGGTGTGAATGCCCCTCGAAGACTGCAGAAATGGGTGCTCAGGGGGTTATCTTCGAAGACCTAGATATCAAAGTAAACTATGTGCCATCGGTCTCGAGAGATCACGAAGATGCTTTCATCGCGCTTCCACCGCCAGCGGTGCAACCCAAAGATGCTGTGGTGCCTGAACCAGGAATCGTCAAGCTCGAGGATGATGCACCTGAGCTAAAAGCGGGGAGCATGCTCGACAACGCGATTGCCATCGAACCGGAGTCAGACAACGAGCCAGATGCAATGGCACTGGATGCGAATTTGGATGCCGTCGCTAGACCCCGAACTCCTGCAGGACTGGCAGGACTACCCGCAGAAAACCGCATCGCTGATCCAGAAACGCCAGAGAGGGGCCATGCAGATCAGATAGGAGTATTTGCGAGGAGCCGAATGGGAGACACTGGCCCTCCACTGACTGATGCGGTCTCTTTCAGTATGTTCAAGTGCGACTAACATATCCATTATTCTTTTCACTAACCAGATGGCAGCTAAGGGTGAGCTATCTAGCTTCGGTAAACTATTCGATGGTGATTCCCCGTGTTCGTATCGAGTTTGGGTTACTAGGGAAGATGATGATCACTACCTTGTGAACCGAAAACAAGATGATCGTCAACAGCCTGAAGGAAGGCCTACCAAGCGGCGACGAGAGAATTAGAGCTTTCGCTCCACCTAGTATAGGATCGGAGATCCATGAATTGGTTGAGAATGCAGATCATGGTTAGTTTGTGAATGGACGAGAGGAGTTATTGGTGGAGACCATAGACGCTTCGGGCGTCTCGACAACGATACCAACCTTTGGTTTTCCGAGGAGAGGCTGGGTTGTTTTGTAAGGGTTTGGAACAAGGGATTTCCTAAATATCTTATGCTTGAGAAAGTCATGACTCATGAGCGGATGAATACTGGGACGATGAGGCTACAAGTCTCGTACTTGCTCATCGGATGGGGAAATTAGTGGCACTATATCCCCACTACAATTGGTTTGGTTTTGACTGCAGGAGGACAGGATTAGTTCTCAACACTTGGGCAGGAACAGCTCTCAGATCACTGGAAATTGAACGAAAAAATCGAGTAATCATTTACCAAACACATCATTTTATTGATCAATTTCTCCCAGACTCAAAGTAAGATGGTCTGATGAGTCCACTACGCGAGCAGCACAATCAATTCCACCAGCCTGTGTTTAGGTAAGTATCCGCTGTCTAGAACACGTCTTATAGTTCTGGAACCACGTTCGCAACGGGCCCTAATCCAAGGAGCGGCACGCTCGGTGGAGCCGAGTATAAATCAAATTTCACCGCTCGGCCCGCTGTTGGTGTGGGTCAGCCGGCGCTTCGCGAGTAATGACATATTGTTGGCCTCGAGAATCGGCGAGGACATGGGTATGTGGAGATTTTAGTAGACGCTGGCATGTTGAAATTAACCGTGGGTGAAATGTATCGGAGAAGATGTAGACACGGTCCAGGAGAACACATCAATCGCGTTCGGAAGGGGAAGGTGGCATTATACAGTATTACTCATGTGTAGTATCTCGTCCTGCTATGTACAACCTATGCGTTCGTGATATTTACAAGCCCTCTCCCAAGCACGCATTTACCGCGCCTTGATAAGATCCGCAGCCTTCTCACCGATTCCGTAAGCCGTAGCCTGCAAATGGCAAGACGGGATGATAGGGATAATCGAAGCATCCACAACGGACAAGTGCTGGGTACCGTACACCATCAACTTATCATTGACACAGCCACCGCTCTTCTCCGCCATCATGGGGCACGAAGATGATGCGTGCGACAGCGTAGGCGCAACCGAGTTCTTCGCTACCAGCGCAGTGAAAATCTCGTCATCAGTGACGTACTGCGCACCAGGAGTCGTCTCTTCATGCACGATAGCATCGAGCTCGGGACGAGTCCACACGCTGCGGAAATAGCGCAGGGAAATACCGAGGATGGTTTTGTCGACGGGGTTCTGGAATGCGTGGTATGTGATGACGGGAGGTCCCTGTGGGTTGGTAGTGTTGAGGTGGATCGTTCCGCGTGAGAGGGGCTTCTCAACACCCACAAGACCGTAGGTGCCATCAGCTGGGACGGGGAACTCGGCCACGGCGGCATCTTTGCGTTTGAAGAGGTCGGCGATGACTTTGCGCTGGAGTTTGTAGCCCTTGAGGAGCGCGCTGCTGTTCCTGTACACGGAAGGAAGGAACGATGCGGCATCTTGTGCAGTAAGGGTGTCGACAACGGTGGTGATATCAGACTCAGAGGCCATGTCTGGGAGGGAGATGAAGGCAAGTGCGTTGCCGCGGGCGACGGTGTATGGGCCCGTCTTGTTGGCTTCATATTCTGCCCATGCAGTTGCGTTGAAGGTCGCGTTTGTGGCCAGGGAGTTTCCGTTGGGGTTTGCCTGAGGTGTGGTGTTGAAGATGACGGTGCCGTAAGGGTGGTCTTGGAAATTGGAGCCCACTCCGTCGAGCGCGTGGCGAACCTTGATACCGGCGGCTTCGAGGACAGACTTGGGGCCAATGCCGCTGAGCTGGAGCAGTTTAGGTGACTGGACAGCGCCGGCGGCGAGGATGACTTCCTTCTTAGCGTTGATGGTAAAAGTTTCCCCGGTGGCTTCATCAGTCACCTTCACACCGGTCGCTTTGGGAGGTTTCTTAGAGTCGTCGAAGACAATCTCCTGGGCAGTGGTCTTGAGTTGGAGGTGGAGGTTACTGCGGGACTCGGCGATGGGATCGTAGTAAGCATATCGCGCGTGAGCTCGTCGACCAGTTGCTTTGTCCATGGTGTTCGGATACCATGAAGGGCCGTAAGCTTCACCCGCATTGCCATCGACAGGGACGTGAACACCCGTCGCTTTCCAAGCAGCCCAGTATGCTTTGAGGTCCCCGTATTGGGTGTCAGTGATACTAACAGACAAAGGGCCGTTGCCATAGGTATCAGGGTCCCATGTGATGTTGTAGGACTCTGCAACCTCTGCAGAAGGTGGTTGGAATGTGGTGCCCTTTCTGAAGTAGGGCTCAAGTCCCGCCCATCCCCAGCCGTTGTTTCCAAGTGCTTCCCATGCGTCGTAATCTGCAGCAGCGCCACGATCATAAATCATGCCATTAATGACCGAACCACCACCGAGGACTTTGGCGACATTTGCGCCAAAGGTCTTGTTGTTTAGCTCCGGCTCGGGCTGGGTTGTGAAGTTCCATTTGTATGGAGCGCTGACGGTAAGGTCATTCGCCTTGTAGGGGATCATATTACCCGGAATGTCGACATTATCACCCGCTTCAATGACAATAACCGTCTCTGAGGAGCAGTGTTAGAGAAAGGACTCCCTGGAGACACGGTAACACCACTCGGCGATGGAACTCACTATCTTCGAGCTCTGAAAGACGGTTGGCTACAATCAAACCCGTGACACCGCCGCCAACGATTACATAGTCATATTCTTTCTCAATTGCAGCGCCGGAAACATTGCTAGAAAGAACGGCAAACACGAAGGACGTGAGAGTTGCCACGCGTGAGAATACAGCCATGTTGAATTAGGAATATTACGAATGCAGGGTGATGGTCTCAAAGGAGCAAGTGGTTAACGAAAGTGGAGCGCGAGCAAGGCGCATGTGAGAAGCAAGTTCAGGCGCCTCATGGCACATTATAGATATATACGGAGCAATTCTGATGAAAGGGGTACCTAGAGGCCGAAACTGTCCGCGGAGGGCTCTATCGTTTCGAAGCGCTATACTACGAGCCGATAGTTATAGCACATTTCCAGATCCCCATCCAAGGATCCAAACGTGTGGCAGCATGGTAAATTGCTTATGCCTCCAAGAATCTCGCGTGGTCGCATCCCGCGCGCTAGGCGTCTAGTGTCGGTGCGATGACCATCTGTAGAGTAGTCCCTAGGAGAGGAGATTGAAAAGTGGAGACAGCCCTGCCTTGGCCAAATTATCAGTGGTCAATCCGTGGATAAAGTAAGGACATACGACTTCTGACCTGATCATCTCCCTATCTACTCAGGATCGTCAGAGACCCGGGTACTCAGGATTTGGTAGCTTCTGTATCAAGATAAGTGCTTCCCTAGTACCAGAATCCTACCATTCCTTTCAAAAATTCGATGTGCGTCATATTGAGATGAACCGTTGCTGGAAAACTATCCTTTCTGAATGTGCAAGTTCTTCCTGTTCAAGAAACCCCCGAGGAATTATGCTTTTTTCTTAGCTCTGTTGGTGGCGCGGAGAATATGTCTATGAAATTGCAGTCGGAGATATTATTCTCCTGGCTCGGGGAATTCCTGCAGCGAAAATTCAGCATCAGAATTCAAGCAGGTGCCCGACAACAGGGACCTGCGTCAACAGACCCTAGTAGACTTCGCCAGTAACAGCAGTGGACCCGTATGCATAGACATCCTGGTGATCCAATGATATGGCCACCAGTTCTTAGCGATTAGGGCCTTCTACCTATGGCCAACACGAAACACACCAATTGTGACCAGGGTAGCAAGATTGAAGCCCAAACCTGCAGTGTTTCCTTAGCGTCATGTAACAATTTCTGTGGTGAATTTCATCCAGTTCCCTGATCAACGATCTAAAAGGCGGGTTGGCTCCGGAAGGGCACTACCGGCCCATCTTTCATCGTTCGTTCTACCCAGGAGGTAGGTTAGGTAGTCCCGGGGGAACTGTTCGACTGTCTACTTATATCGTTCCACCCTTCCGCACCTATTACAGGTTTGACAACGAGTCAAACATGTCGACCAATGCTGGACCCCAAGAGTGGGAGAATCAAAGGCTGCGGATCTTGATCCCTACGACCGCTCTTTTTGCTTTGTGCACTTTGTTTTTGGGGTGGAGATGTATCTATGGCTTCAGAAATGGCCGCAAGCTCTTAGTCTGCGACTATTTGCTGCTGATCTCTTGGGTACGTGCTCTTCTTGTTCACAGATCAACGTGTATCTTTGTCGGGACTCGATGCTGAGACTTTCCAGGGCATGTCGGTCGCGAACGTGGGATTACGTTTCATACTGGTTGATACAGCGCTGGGACGCCATATCATGGATCCATCGATTGGACCTGCCAACCTCAAGAAATACTCGTATTTCCTGTGGATCAATCAGCTTGTCAACATCGTAGCAGTGGCGATACTCAAGTTCTCCATCTGTGCATATCTCCTCGTCGCGGATTTCTCTAAGCTTTACCGAGCCATTGTCTGGTTCTCCATCCTTCTGATCATGGCGTTCAACTTCCTGGCGCCCGTCCTCACATTGTTCGGATGCACGCCACTCGAAGCAAACTGGAACAGAGCCATCAAAGGAAAATGCTGGGCGAAAGGAACGTTACCCCTGAGCTACTCTCAAGGTATCATCAACATCTTGACCGACGTCATGTATGTTGTGGCACCGCTCATCTATCTCTCGCAAGTACAATTGCCAAAGCGTACGCAGTGGTCTCTCCGTGTCGTCTTCTTGTTGAGTATAGCGTAAGTACCCAATCCCGTACACCTCTCAACTCCATCCGACTGACAGCTTGTAAAGTGCGACCGTATGCTCTATCTTCAAGACTATAGAGCTCCGCACTCTCACCAAAACCCGCGACCCAACCTGGGACGGCATAAACCTCTCCATCTGGTCCGGCGCAGAGCTCTACGTCGGTATCCTCATTGCCTCTCTCCCACCCCTCCGCAAAGCCTTCGACGATCTCATCAAACGCTATTTCCCACAGTTCGGCCAAACTACGCGCGCCAAAACGAGTGGTTACGAAAATTATGGAAAGGAGACATCTGGCTCGCATAACGTCCAGCTGCAGACTTTCGGATCGAAGAATCCGCGCGGTATCAATCGGCCTCATGGGGAGAGTGTGATGGATAGCGATGATGAGAGCGCGAAGGGTATCTTGGAGGAAGGTCCCTTTAAAGGTGGGGGGATCAGGAAGACTACACAGCTTACCATAGACGAGGAGAGGGGTGTTGATCGCTCTACCGTTAATAACTCACCCGTGGAGGAGGAGCTGTGGATGGATCCCAGTGGGAGGATCAGGCAAGGACCTCCTCCGCTAGGTAGGTAAAGGATAAATTAGTAGCAGTTTTGTGTCACGATAGCAAAAACGGTGGTTCAAGCGTTTCTGGCGAGGTAATCTGTCTTGTTGTAACACACTCGTTCTCTGTATGTTTTTTTTCTTGATACCACTTGTAGTTTCCGCAATCATGTACATACAGATATTGTGAGATTTCTGGTTGACGCACCCCATAGTTAAAATGAAGATGCGAGATACTCCTAAATCGGGGGTTTTTTTTTGTGTCGGGGTTGCTCCCTGGCCCGGTGCCGAAAGCAAAACACCTTTTGTGAATATTTTTGTCTTCAACTACTTTTTATTACCTTTTTTATCTACCATTTTAAGTGTAGGAAACACTCTGTGGGTGTCTTTCTGCGGACGCGCGACTTACGAGCCACATGATAAAATTAGCATTGTTTAACAAAGGCAGGCACTGATTTTACTCTGAAATTTTCCTTTTCCGATGCTTGCCTATGTTCCTCATTCGATGTTGTAGATCAAAGGTGTGATAATTTCGATAAGACATTTTTTGGGCACATTGTGTGCACGAAGTCTGATTTCCACAATCGAATGTCGGAACAGAGCCAATATTCATTTCTGGAGCGGGATTTTCCGTATCGTGTGATGAGCTAGATCCAAACAGCAAAATCATTGGATGGTATCGTTTATAAAGTGCAATTTACTGATGTATACCCGAAATGTCTGCATGAGAAGAACCAGTCAAGCTATCAACATTCAACCAATTCGTTGAGTATGCGTAGAATACGACGCCGAAGGGGAACTGATGCGGTGCTCTCCTTTCTTCGCCATCTGTGATAAAGCTCGGATCATGGGTAAGCACCTGAAAAAGCTCATGTCAGGTTGTAAGAAGTCTCTGAAACATCACAGTAACAATGTCTCCTTCCCAAACCAAATATTCGTTCGTATCTGGCATTGAAGATGCCCAAATGAAAAGCACCTGCGCAATCGAAGAGCCATGTAGTACAGACAAAACGTCTGGAAATGGTTACATCATATCGCGAAATTGGAATCTTCAGATTGCTGTTTCTTCACGATCTCGTACATGGTACGTTGCCTCGCTCGGTTGGCACTCGAAATGTTTGTGCCGTGACTGCTCACGATGAAACGCTGGGCTGCAAAAATACAACGAAACCCATCTGCCTCGCTGCCGCCTACCTTTGATATTGATACGGCTGGGACATCGTGCTTGCATCTCTAGAACAGGTAATTGCTGGGTTCCACGTAACTCCCTGCGGCCCACCGTCTAATCGCATCACATCATGATCTGTTCATCACGTAGCTCACTCTCTCCCGTGGTCCAGCCTTCCGATTCCGACGTAGAAGATTTTCATTAGGTTGTGAAAGGTGATGATGTGACTATCACACTCTCCCAGCCTCGCTTTTGCTTAGCATATTCTTGACTCATTTCCTCCAGGCACCCTCGGCACACTGCACATGTACCACCTTTCAAGGGCTAGTTTGTCTTGACGTTTTCAGAATTTCCTGTGCGACAGTGTCATGCACCTGAAGATAAGCGCTGCATATGCACGATGAGATTGTGCAGATGACGACAGTATCCAAGGCTAACATGCTGCAGTTCCACCTCATTTCGGGCAAGGCAGGCCTCTAGGGAGGAAAGGGTCAAATGAAAGTGCGACGAGGTCGCGTAAATATGCAATGTAGCCAAGGTGCCGTCGGTACTGAGATGTCAAGATTTTTGTGTGTGACGTTTGTATGCCGTTCCTGACCCGGTTTGATACTCCACTCACGGACGGATCATTTTGGTGCACAGAGCTGGAGGCAAAAAGTCGTTGGAGAGTCTTGGATTTCGGCTTCCCTATTTTCTTTTGGAGTTCTGGTGCAGCTGGAAAGGGCGGAGGTCGGATTCTACTCAATTGTTTTTCTGAATTTGCAATTGCTTTTGTCGTACACAGACGCACGCTAAGCCGACTTTGCGGTGTGAAGCGGATACCGGAACCTTGACCCTGCATTCCGACGTTGTCAGTGACCCAAGTCAGTGGTATGAGTTTTGTGTCCCTTACTGAATCAAGCCAGTCTCGTGAAACCAGAGGTTTGCGTTCCATAAAGAGGTTGTAATGTGACGTGCTTGCTGTACGTGTGCGCAAGTGAGAAAAAGAGCCAGAGAGCGGTATCAATATGAGCTTGCTTTCCCTTCCATGATAAACGCCATAGTCGATTCTTTCTTTTTCCTCGTTTCAAGCGCTGTTTTTGGTCGATTGAAATTCTTGATCCGCCCACCGCTGTTTGTTTTTTGACATCCAAGGCGTCGTCAAACTGTAGCTTGCTGAAGTCCCGGAAAGCAACCTGAAGCTTAACAACGCAATCAGTCGAAGAGAAGACTGTCTTTCCATCTTCATTCTCTCGCCCACCGGAAAGCAGTTCGACCACCACAATCGTCACTCTCGTTCTCCCTCATTCAGCCCAGTTGACACACGAACGCGACACCACTATAAACGAGCGCCTCCGCCGATTCCAACACATACATTGACCGAGCCCGACCGTGTTGATAAAGTTTTCGCATCAATCGTCTTCGATTCGGTGCGCCCAATCCAAACAACCATGTGCAATATCTTTTACACAATCCACAGCTGCAACCATTGGGTCCCACAACCGGCGCCAGGCAATGGTCCCATCCTCCGTCTATGCCCAATGGCGGAAGTCAATCGGCTCGGTTCACCATGTCCAGTCTCGCAGCGGACTCATATCGTGCAAAATCGGAGTCAAGGACTTTGCGAAAGGTGTCTATGGAAGAAAGTTTCCATGTAATCTGGAAGGGCTTATGGTAGCCAGGGCGGTGCCTTGGACTCAAAGTTCGTCAAGGGGAATCAGAAATGGAGTAGAGAGGAGGGAAATGGAAGAGATGACAATGCTTCAAAGATGGACCACGGTGCTCGATGTGGACTGTTGAAAAGACATCGGATGGAATGAGCCTATAATAGTGGCCAGTCTGTATACCTACGATTGTATGGGGGATATCTGGGATTTATTAGAGAGATGTGTCCAGCTGGCTGGGCCGAATCAACATGTATTATTGCGATTAGACATAGGTATACTCGGTTTCGTGAGCTGGCACTATCGACTACTGTGCCTAACCGGTTTTGCTGTCACCGAGAGATTGAAATGTTAGCTTGCGAACATTTGCCATACGCGCCAGACTCCTTATCAATGTCTGCTTGACTCTGTGAACTTGGTGTATAGAACATTTGAAGTGATCGATATCCACGGCGAGAGATCGTGGTGTGAATAGCACTTGAGATGATTGCCGCGCTAAGCCGAGAGCCGAGAAGGAGCCGGGTTAGCGTGTTATATCATCGTCACGGGGAACCCGCCTTTCACATGTCACGCAAGCTTCATTGATGTTTGACGTTGACTTGCATTCCATCGCGCGTCACATGCTGTCCCGAATTCAGGCCAAGGTCTGATTCGAAGGCGGCGAAGCCATGAAACCAATGGATCCGTCACTCCACGAGTGAATGACCGTTCGTGGCTGAAGTCTGAATATTCGATCTTAGCTTCCAAACACCTCTTCATCATCTTTCCCTCCCCTTCCCTTGTTCATATTCTCTTCTCTCCTCTTCGCGCTACTGTAGTCCGTCGCCTCGATACCTACATGTATATAAGCTGGGCCTTCAGTCAAGCATCGGTTAAGCAACAGTCCTCTATGTTTGCTTACTACAGGATTCAACTTCCGTGAACAACCGACGCGAGGGTTCGTAGTATATCAGGAAAATTGCGAGCGAGTGGCCATGATAGACCATGTATTGGGTAGGCCATCGGTCAAGTTCCGGAAAATCCAGGTTTTGGCAGTGGTATCTTTCTGGTCATTCTACCTTTACAGGTACTTTCACCCACTGACCAAGTATCCCCAATGCTGACATCCAACTTGTAGAGGAGACCGGCATGGTCCGCCCTTCATTCGCCGACTCTCCTCGCTCCTCTCGACCAGACTGACTACTTGGCAGACGGTTTTGATCAGTCTCCTGTACCTCTACCTCGCGCGCAACTTCGGAAAACTGCTATCTCTCGAGTGCCCCGAACCCCTCGCCAATCTGTACTCACGCTCCTATTTCCGTGCGACATGGGTTACCACCGCACTAGATGCTGGCTTCTGGTCTGCCATGCGCATCAAGCGCAAAGGCCTGCGGGACTTCCTGTCTATGGTCTTTAGTGTCTACTACATGATTTGCGCAGAGCAGGCAGATGAAAAGGTCAGGAAAGTCAGAGCGACACTCACCGTCGAACACTTGCGAGTCAGCTGGAACAAAGGGACTACTCCATATCTTTCCGCTCTGACCAATGTCATGCGGCCCAGATTGATGTGGTATCCGCCGAGGAAGATACGCATACCGCGGCCCAAGGAGAGCAGTTATACCGATCCCGTCATTGCATGGTTATACTACAATGGACCCCTCTCCGCTCTGAAGCGAGAAGAGAAGGTCGTGCTGGATATTCCTGGAGGAGGCTTCGTGGCCATGACCCCGAGGCATCACGACGACAAACTGCTGAGCTGGGCAGGGAAAACGGGGCTGCCAGTGTTGAGTCTGGACTACCGGAAAGCACCGGAATGGCCATACCCGTACGCGTTGAATGAGTGCTATGATGTTTATCACACCATTGTCTCAACCAAAGGGAGATGTATGGGACTATCAGGCGAACATTTGCCCAGAATTGTGGTAAGCGGAGACTCCGCTGGAGGCAATCTGGCGGTCGGTATGGTCCTCATGATCATTCAAGCCGCATCGACCGAAACACGGAGATGGCAGGGCGAGGAACCATTACCAGCGCCCACGGGCGTCGTCCTTATCTATCCGGCCCTGGATATGAACATTGGCAACTGGATGACTGATGAGCAAATGGCACTGATCCGCGATCGCAAGAGCCGGAAACAGAACAAGCCTATCCTCCGCCACAAGAGCGATGACTATCGTCATCTAGCACCTAACACGCCCGGTGCTTCTGACCACTCCGACAGCGAGGATGAATCTCAGAACCCAGCTAAACCTGTCATGGGCCCCGACTCTGGTGCACCAACCCCAACCAGCGAGAAAGTGCTCAGCTCTCCGCGCACTGCCATCCGATTATCTGCCGCTCACACTGGTCAAAATAGTCAGTCTTTACCGCCCATTAACACTGTCCTCGGCGGTCTTAACGGTTCAGTCACAAACCCAGTGGTACAAACACCAGATGTCTTGACTCCCCAGGTCAATCCTCAACCTCCACCTACCCCTGCAGCACCGCCAACACAAATCAAAACTCGTCTTGCCATGTCCTCCATGATTTCTTACTTCAATGACCGAATCTTGACGCCCGAGATGATGCGTGCGATGATCATCCTCTATATCGGACCCCACAACCGCCCCGATTTTTCCACCGACTTCCTTCTATCCCCTTTGCTGGCACCCGAATCGTTACTAGCCAAATTCCCACGTCTATGGATGATTACCGGTGAACGCGATCCTCTTGTAGACGACACTGTCATCTTTGCGGGTCGCTTGCGGCAAGCGAAACGCGCCGAATGGTTGTACGCCCAAGAAATGGGTCTTCCGTGGGCGCGCGGAGATTGGCGAGAAGACCAGTGGCTCAATGTGGAACTCATCCCGGGAATTAGCCACGGGTTCTTGCAGTTTGTGAGCTTGTTCCCTGAAGGGTGGAAATTCATCACTCGATGTGGAAAGTGGATCCAGGAAGCTTTCGAGCTCGACGACGATGAAAAAGCGAGACAAGGCCAGCCGGTTCCGGAGACACCATTGATAGGCGACCCCAGCGCGAAGAAGCGGCGAGGGAGCGACTATTTCGGTCCCGATGCTACACTGGGTCTCGCAGAGGCTGTGGACAGCTTGTCCCGTTCTGCTCGCTCGTCGCGTCACCACTACCGTTCCAATACGGCCTCGTCAGCGGAGGAAGACAGGCCGTTGGAGATGTCTGTTTTCAAAGGAAAAGGCAAAGCAAGCCCCCCGAGTGCCCAAGTCGCAAAGGAGTCGCACCCTCGATTGAACGGCTCCAGTTCGATGCGCGCAAGGGGAAGGGGAAAACGAGAGAAGGAAAGAGGCAGGCGGAGGAGCCTGGTGAGTCTGGCGAGCGAGGACGATTTGCTGGGTCGGAGAATGAAGGGGCTTACAAGCGGTTTACATGGCGGCGAGCCGGAAGAGCTGTAGGCATGCGAAAATGTACATAAACCGTTGTATTCGAGCATTGTATAGCACCTTTTGCATAGATTCATACATCTGTAGATGTATGTCCTGCATTCTCTGGTTTCCACCATGTCGACCTATCATGAATAATGTCCACCTAACTCATGCGAGGAACCAAGCACTCGATGATCAAAACCAGAACTACGCCCCGGATAATGCACAACGGCTAAGCAACTGACAACGAATCAACCTGTCGCTGTCCAAGATGTCTGTCTTGCTGGCCCTCCCTTTACCCCACAATTCAAACGTAACCCCTCATTTTCCATGACGATATCCCGACGACCCCACTACTGCGGTGGAAAGGAACACCGGTCAGCCACGCTCATTATTACCGTAAACAGGGGAAACAAGAGTGGCAAGCATCTTGCATAGAGTCCTTGGAGTTCTGCATTTAACATATATGACAAGGAAATAAGAGTTTATATAACTGGGTGAGTTTGCCTGCTTTCCCCTTGAATAAAAGGAAATGTCGAATACGGTACGAGATTCAACAGATGCAGTAGTAATACCATTACTGGATCCCGATCACGACCCCGGCGAAACGGAACACAGTCAACATCAACGGCACAACAGAAAAGTCGACGACAGAAACATGGGTACCGATAAAATGAAAGCCGTGCACTATGAAGGGCCATTCAAAGTATCTGTCAAAGATGTTGATATGCCAAAGGTGGAGCACCCAGACGACGTTATTATCAAAGTTACTACAGCTGGTACGTAAAACTATCCTTTTCATACTGCACTAGATTCACGAAATGCCTCATAACGGCTGACATGGAAGCATGGCAGCGATATGCGGATCCGATCTTCATATGTATCAAGGTCGGACTGCGGCAGAGGCCGGCCTAGTATTCGGCCATGAAAACATGGGTGTCGTAATCGAGACGGGCTCCGGCGTCACATTACTAGAAAAGGGCGATCGAATCGTGCTTCCATTCAATGTCGCTGATGGTCGTTGTCGCAATTGCGAGGAGGGACGCACCGCTTTCTGCACAGGGGTGAATCCGGGGTTTGCTGGTGGCGCATATGGGTACGTGGCAATGGGACCGTATCAAGGTGGCCAGGCGCAGTATCTGAGGGTACCGTTCGCAGACTTCAACGCGTTGAAACTGCCCAAAGGGACAGAGCATGAAGCTGATTTTGCGCTGTTGGCGGATATCTTCCCTACCGGGTGGCATGGTTTGGAGCTTGCAGGATTTCGACCTGGCGAAACTGTTGCTGTTTTCGGTGCTGGTGAGTCAATACTCGTTGAGAATCTTGTGTCCCTGCTAACCCTACAGGCCCTGTGGGATTGATGGCGGCATACAGTGGTGTACTCCGTGGCGCAAGCAAGGTGTTTGTCGTGGACACTGTTCCTGAGCGATTGCAGGCCGCGAAGAAGATTGGCTGCATACCAATCGACTTCAAGAAGAGTGATCCGGTAGAGCAGATTATCCAGCAGAATGATGGCATGGTCGATCGTGCCGTCGACGCGGTCGGATACCAAGCTGTAGACGCATCCGGCAGTAAGGAGAAACCAAATGTTGTTCTTGACCAGCTTATCATGGTCACCAGACCCACTGGTGGTCTTGGAATCCCTGGACTTTACGTGCCAGCCGATCCTGGAGCGCCGGACGAGCAGAGCAAGAAGGGGCAGATCCTGCTTTCATTTGGAAAACTATTTGAGAAAGTATGTATCACTTGAATACCTTGTCGCGGCTCGTACTAACCAAAATGCAGGGATTATCTTTAGGAACTGGACAGTGCAATGTGAAGGCATACAATCGCTACCTTCGCGATCTAATCATCTCTGGCAAGGCTAAGCCAAGTTTTGTGGTATCTCATGAGATAACCATTGACGATGCCTCTGATGCATACGAAAAATTCGACAAGCGGATCGATGGATATACCAAGGTTTTGATTCATCCAAATGGGCCGTTGTAAGCTATCCGTGTCTGCTTTCCCGGATATCGGTGTAGATATTGGAGCCGTAGCAAGTGAATGGCAAGACAGCCGCCATTGATGTGGCGTGAAGCGTGGCTCTTTCTCTAGCATCAAACAGCCTGAGCTGCAACGTCGCAAGTGCAATTATGGTACACCGTGTATCCTTCTACGCGGTTGTCGACCACACCCATGATTTTTCTGGTCGCTAGTCGCCCCTCGTGGTTGTTCAAATGTAATCGCTCTTCTCCACCACATAAGCCTTCACAATCTTGACTTCTTGTACTGGTCGATCCTCCTTGTCTGTCTTGACGAGTCCCAGTTTCTTGACCACCTGCATGCCGTTCTTGACTCTGCCAAAGATGGTGTGTTTACCGTCCAGCCAAGGTGTCGGTGCGAGGGTGATGAAGAATTGCGATCCGTTCGTGTTTGGCCTATTTCGGAGTTAGCCAGGCGTATTCTCACAGAAAATTATCCCCAAGCCTACCCAGAGTTTGCCATGCTCAGAATGCCTGCTCCTGTGTGCTTAAGAGTGGGCGTGATCTCGTCTTCGAACTTCTCCCCGTAGATTGACGCTCCGCCACGACCAGTCCCTGTAGGATCACCGCCTTGTATCATGAAATTCGGTATTATCCGATGAAATATGAGGCCATTGAAGTAGTTTCGCTGCGCAAGTGTGGAGAAATTGGTGCATGTCTTTGGAGCGTGGTCGGTGTACAACTCGACGATGATGTTGCCCTGCGCATAGAAGTCAGCATCTAGATTAACTAGAGGCCTAGCAGATTTTGCAGTTTCCCAGTCTTGGACTTACGAGAGTGGTCTCGAGCGCGACTTCGGTCGTCATGGCGGACAGTGTATTGAGTGGTGCAATGGGCGGTTCGGTGGTTGACGGTTTGCGGCTCAAGTCAAATCGCGAACTGCCCTGAGAAAACGGCACTAGCCACATGCGCCACACATCACTCATCATGATTCAAGCGACGCAAATGATATCAGCTACAACTCTCACCTCTTTCTTCCTTCTTCTTCATCATCAACAACAAAAAAAGACGCCGACTGCAGCTTCGGCTACAATGGATCTTAACTCATGGGCTCTGCCACAACTGTCGAAACTGCTCCCTCTAGACGATGAATCATTGAAGCAGATCATCTCGTACACTGAAACTCTGCCGAATAGGGAAGCGGCCGATCACCTTCAAAATCTATTGGGCGACAGTCCGCAGGCTTTGGAATTCATCACGTCTTTCAATAATCGAAGAAAACCTCAAGCTTCGGCCAGCTCTGGCCAAAATTCAAATGCTGGTGGTATATCAGAAGTGCCAAAAGCCAAGCGACACGGCAAGAAGAAGGCACCATTGAACAAGCTTCCACCTCCGCGACAGGTAGAGAATTTCGGCAATGTGGCAGGTGGCTATGTCAAAAAAGAAGAAGAAGACTACATGTCTGGTTCTTCGAAAGCGAAACAGAACAAAGGTGCCGCTTTTGCTCTCTCGACCGAGCCGGACGCTATCCAGATACCCAGAACATCAGACACTTCGACACCGAAATCGCGCGGCATATCGCCCGCTCCTCCACCTTCTAAACTCCCACCTTCAGCAGCGGGCCAGCTTATATCCGATGTGAAAGCCAAATCTTCCCGAAACTCCTCGCCCAAGCCAAAGGCCAAGGTCAATGTCGCAGGCGGAACTCCCATGCATGGTGCTTCGACCGCTCTCAATGACCTTGAATCTGCAATAAGAGCATTGGAGATTCAAACTAATCCCTCACTTTCTTCGTCGCAGGACCAAAGCAAGCGCAAGTGCAACTGCATGGCGACGCGACATCCACTGCTCGAAGCCGCGCCCAATTGCCTCAATTGCGGTAAGGTCATTTGTGTCAAAGAAGGCATCGGACCATGTACATTTTGCGGGAAAGCACTGCTCAGCTCAGATGAGATTCAGTCCATGGTCAAGGTCCTACGGGAAGAGCGAGGGAAAGAGAAGATGGCCGCAAATAATAGTAATCAGAAACGCGCCGATGTCGCCGCAGCACCTCGACCATTCTCCACGCCCAAGTCTGCCACTCCCCTGTCATCAAACCCCGCTTCAGATGTGGATTCAGAATCTGAGAAGTTGGCAAAAGCAAAGCAGCACCGTGACAGACTTCTAGCATTCCAAGCCCAGAATGCGCGCCGGACCCAAGTGCACGATGAAGCTGCTGATTTCGAGACGACGAGTGCTGGATTAAGCATGTGGGCAAGCCCTCAAGAGCGAGCGATGCAGTTAAAGAAACAGCAAAAGGCACTTCGCGAACAGGAGTGGAATGCTCGGCCAGAGTACGAGAAGCGCAAAGTTGTGGCGAGCATCGACCTAGCTGGCGGGAAAATTGTCAGGAAAATGGCGGCGATGGAACGGCCATCGACACCTGAGAGCGAAGACGAGTCGCCGGAGCCAACCCAGAACCCTGATCGACGTGCCATCTCCAGTGGTGGCGGCGCATTCAGCAGGAACCCTTTGCTAGGGGGATTGATCCGCCCTACCATCAAGTTAGATACTAAAGGAAAGGGGAAAGAAAGCGAGAAGAAACAAACATGGAGACGAGTACAGGACGATGACGACGATAACGAACAATGGATTCTAGATGGTGGTGCTTATGGTGGACAAGCTACAGCACAAGAGCAGGATGTATGTGGTTAGGTACATCAATCGTTCAGTAGCAGCCATAGATGCATCCGACTCTATCTCATTCTTGCTCTATGCCCTGGTTCACGTGCCACTCAACACCGAAACTCATCATGCATGCATCCTACATTGTTCCATCTTATGCCGCCGCAGCCTTTTGAAGGTTCGCCCCAGCCCTACCCAATAACGGCAAAAGCTCATTAATAGACTTCTGGCTGTCCAATACCTCAATAACCCTCTCAATCTTTCCCTCCGCATCGAACCAAAACATGAACAAATTCTGGCCCTGATAACTCCACTCCGCAGCGTCCCCATCCGTAACTTCAGAGCGCCACTTAACATCGCTTGCTGTCCACGCCCACACGCTATTGCTGCTCTCTGAATCCACAATCTCGGTGATTGTCACGGGGAACGACGTCATGAGATATGAGAGCCCTGCGACGTGTCCGATAAATCCGGCTTTGTCGAAGGGTCCGATCTTGAATGGATCAACGGAGGCGGGGCCCATTGTGTGGTTGTAGGATGGAGAGAGGAGTTTTTCGAGAGGCGCTGCGTCGAGGGTTTTGAAGACGGAGATGAATTCTTGCACGGCTTCGACGCGGGGGGATGTTGAGGGGTTGGAGGATACCATTTTCGATGGATTCAAAAAGTAGGTATTGACAGATGATGATGTGTTCGTCTTGAGACTTTTTTTTTTTAAAGTGAGATGTTTGCGTGGATTTTTCGCGTAGATTTATATCGTGAGTTTGCAATCTATGCAAGCAGTGTGACAGCAGCGTATCCGGGCTTATATACCCTTTTTCCCATCCCCAAGACTTCTTTGCTACATGTTTCCAGCTCTCTGCATAAATTCCCTGTCGATCTGCGTAAGCACTCTTATCCCCGGGCCTCCATCGAGACATTCATCCGACGAGATACCAATCCACTCACAACACTTGTCGCAACAACTTGCCTAGTGTACCAAGGCGATCTACCTACATGACCCTTAAACTTATACGACCGATAGCGGATCCCAGAATTGTGATTGGGCAGAACGTGTTGTTTCTCCCCGGTGCTTAGTCCCCGAAGTGCTTTTGGCTATACCCTGTGCGTTTGGCTGTGCGGCCCTGAGTTGGTTTTCACCCCGCTCGTCTGCCCCTCTCTTTGTAATCTATCCGAGTGGTCATGATTCTGGGCGTGGCACTTCGGGGTTAAGTGGACTTCATCGCTGTGGAGTTATAACGCTTCCCAACACTGATGGAAAGCATGATGGAAAATAATTCTCTGTGGAAAGCAGTAGCAAGGTAGTGCGCGATCATATAGTGGGCAGTGATTGAATGCGTATTGTTCGCGGATCATCCGAGGCAGTTGGCATTTGGTCATGATCGTCGCTTTTTGATGCGACGCGAACATTCAAAGCAGTCACATTTGCGAAACAAAAGGATTGATTTCCTATGCATTTGATTTCCCATTGAAGATTTTTCCTATTTGTACGTACATCCACTGATTATTGCGTCCCCAAATGTTGATATATCACATATAGTAAGATGTCTCGGTACTGCTTAATCCTCTCGGAAGTGAAGTCTGGGTCGCTTCGGCTATCCTGTAGAGGGGTGGCCAATTTCGGATCTCCTACGTTGGAATTCTATCAGTTTAAATATATCCCAGAATGCGCTGTTTCAACTGACCCCGAAGACCACAGTATAAAACCCGGTCTGGACCTGGCTTTCATCTCTTTTTCAATCGGGGGGAACCTATGACGACTTGGTGGATAGTTAGCGATGACTCAAATAATGAAGCTTCGGAGAAGAGAAGAGAAGAGAAAAGCAAAAATGAAAGCATAATCGGCGTACCCCGCCACAGAGCTTCTTCATCCTCGTTGCGCCTTTCAACAAATTTCGCGAAGCGTTCGCCTAACATATACCAATATTTCTGTTTCCGGACTGGCTCAATCTCTGCGCCACGGGGCTGCGAGATTTGAATATGGTCCAGTCCTTGCAATCTTCGCAAGGAAACAAGACTTCCTCTCCATGTCCCTTGCACAATCTTGCAGCTCCAAAGCCCCAGGTTGGTAAGATGGACCGAATGCTCTCCTATCATCCTCATCTCGTTCTCGGTAAGTTGGATCTCTCTCAGCCGAACGCTGCGCATCTTTGACCAAAAGTCCGGGGTTAATGTCAGGAGGTGACCTAGTGAGAACTCTTTATGGTCAAGTCCTGTGTCCGTTAAGAATTCAAGAGACATGTCTTTCAGCAGAGGACCACTAAATAGGGTTGAAGTGAATTTCTGGAGCGGTATATACAGCGGCGGCTTCTCCCTGGAGTAAATCAAATTAGTGATCTCCAAACTGACTGATTGAGCTGAAGACACAAATTCCCGAATCGAAAAGGCCTGTGATTCTAAAATATCCGTAGATCTCAACCGAACGATGTTGAGGGAGAATGATCGGGGTCGTATGGAAGTGTACGACAGCAAGGACAGTGTGTTCCAGATGGTTCCGCCAGGTATGTCCTCTTTTATCCCAATCGACCGAGGTTCTGTATAGTGCTCTGAAATATCGTTCATAAAATCTTCAAAGCTGTGGATACCCTCCCTGGGATAACGGCGCCGCGACACCTCCATACGGCCTGTGAGACGAAGAGAATCGAGTCGAGGTAATCTTCCCACCAACTCGACGATTCTTGCGTTCATTCGCCGCAATTCGTCTGGATGGCCCTCTAACCTATCCTGTTTCTTGTACCGAGCTGCGTACTTCACTCACGAGTTCAAAGCTATCTCTTCGACTGGAGACAATTCTACTTTGTTGGCACGTAGTCTATCCACGGTAGCAGCCGCCGAGGGTATGGCATCCGCCCTTTCCGCTGTATTAGCCTCAGGATCTGCATTTGGATCGACCAAAGACATGATTTTTTCATCCAGTGATTCGATGGTGTTCTTCTTTAGATCTTCTTCCATATCAAAAAAATCCTGAAATTCGGATTTTCCTCCAGCACTCTCAGGCTCCCTTTCTCTTTCCCTTTGCCTCAAATCCTCGGTCTGATTTGATGACTGAACCTGTGCAAGGATTAAATAAAACATCAATGATTCTTGGTAAGGAACCTCGGGGTACGAGAGGCAGATGGTCAGGTTCTTGACGTGGCGACAAAACGCCGGGTGCGCTACAACGTTTGCCAAACGATCAATGGAGTCGTGGTGGAAGTCGACAACGATGCTCGGTATAAGGTAGCGTATGCTCGCATCATTAAGATGCTTGCAAACTAAACGAATGCTTTTGATATCTTCTGTGGAATCCTTTAAGTGGTCGAAGCATGCTAATAGTAGCTCCGTAGGAAACCCCTGTATGATGTGTATCATAGTGATGATTCAAAGCGAAAGCCAAGCGAATCAATCAGCATACATAGAGCAAGTGCCGCTGTCGCTGTTTTAATAGGTAGGTGTAATGCCTTAATCGCCTCGACGATTCCCATGGGATTTCTAACTGTGTCTAGTCATGTGCGAAGCCCTCTTGAGCGTAGCCGAGATCTATTTATAGTAATAGGAGGGGTCGACCGACGAGCAAGAGCACTCTACCTAGTCAACTCATGACAAAGCATATCCAGTCAACGCCTGGTGAATAAACAGCAACAACAATGTCGAGAGCTCAAAATGCAGAATTCACGGTCAACTTCCCACCCGATCGGCCAAAGATCACCCAGCCTTCTGTGATTTTATATGGTGCCATCGAAAGCTCGCCCACGGAGAACTGGGCGACCTCCCTGACAAAATCGCTTTCTCATCTCGCTGTCACAGTGATCAATCCACGCTGCGATGCTTGGGATTCTACCTGGGACGAAGACATCAACTGCGCTCCCTTCAAGAAGCAAGTCGACTGGGAAATTGATCACGCCGATGTCGCAGATCTGATTGTGTTCTATTTCAAGCCGGGTACACCTTGCCCTATAACTTTGTTGGAATTGGGCATGCATGCCGCCAGGTTCCCGCAGAAGTGCATCGTTTGCTGCCCGAAAGGCTTTTACAAACGTGGGAACGTGGAGATTGTGAGCAGGAGATTGGAGGTGCTGAGTTTTGTCGAAGATCTGGAAGGACTGGAGATGGTAGTTCAGGATAAACTGGGTCAGCTGTTGGCTTAAGCAGCAGCGGGTAGAATCATTTGACTGGAATGAGGTGTATAGTTGATGATGTCCTTATGGCCCTTTTTTGCGGTAGTACTTGCCATCACATTATTCTTCTTCGATGTTATTGAATACACATACACCAGTTTATGTTGAAAATCCAAGTTCCAGGCTCCTCCATATCTGTATTTGCCAACGACAATTCCAAGCCCTAATTCTCTTCGGTATTTCTCGATTTACCTTCTTAACTTAATTATTCTATCGTTGGTATTTGAGATCATGGTGATCGATGAGACCAGTGTCGGGCAAAGCCGATCTGTTCATTCCCTTAGTCAATCTAACACTAAATGGCTTGCGGCCATAGTTCTATTCAAATCCGCTGGCTCGTGTAGAACATCCCCAACGCGTAGATATGAATTTCAAAATCTACAGATTTTTAGGCAGCAATCCAATTACTTATCGATAACTAACGGGTTGTATGGCGAGGCAACAACCGATACGAAATCTACCTCAAGCATACATATCATAAATTTCATTTGGCGATAGCATAAGAAACACACTTCCTTATCCCCGTATTAATTTGATGATGCGAGAGCATCGCAATCCATAGTTCCAACACAAGACAATTGCAACGACGCTTTAGAGTCGAGGCAGTACGCCGATCACCCGGTATCTTCGTAGTCATGAGAGTTGTGCAGTCATATTGGCATTGTTTGTTTTGCTGGCGAATTATCCTTCTTGTCCCAATCATACAAAGACGCCTCTTCTCAAAGACACATCAAGTGTCAGACCATAGCAGTATATCACATTTAATTGCATTGCTAGTTCATCCACCTTCACCGCGACTTAGGGTAACCCAGTGACTTGGCTATTACCTTACAGACGGCTGCGCCAAGACAAAGCTGTCTTAGGGCCTGTTACCTGTAGCTTATTTGTTTGTTTGTTTGTTATCTAAGTTTCTTCCTTACCTCTTTCTCTCCTCCTCATCGCTTCATCACTCCACTGTACATGCGCACGCCTTGCCCGGGTTTGTCTCTTCTGCTTCTTTCAGTTCTTTTGGGTTGCTCCACAGGTGACGCTTTGGGACTCGCTCAAAACTGCCTCTTGTGATAGGTATTAAACTCCAGTCCCTCATTTGCCCTTTTCGTTGACTCGTATTATACTAGATACAATCTTTCTCCAGTCTTCCTCGCTGTTACCTACAGTTTTTAGCTGCCAACATCGCCCTACCACATCAAGATGAGTGACGCGTCGGATGACGGATACGAGGACGCCTTGGATGGCAACAATCAAAATCTGTCAGAGAGCGAGCTCCAAGAACCATCCGATGACGAGTCTGAAGTTCATTTTCGCACGGAAACAGACTTCGCAGACATTCACAAGTCTAAGCTCCATCATTTGAACCTCTTCGCCAAATATGTCAACGGTTGGACAGAGGGTGAGGCGTACCGTGAGCTTGTCCAGAATTGGTATATTACCTGAAATATCATGTCATGGTTCGATTCTGAAGGCCGTTATGTAGGTTAGATGGTATGGTCAAAGCCACTGGACTATCATACGCAAAGCTGGTATTGACATACTCCGAATCGAAAAATCTGATTACCATCAAGACCACACATCCCCGGAGCAATGTACTACTGGGCTATATTTTATTCAAGCACGACAGAAAAAAACTCGGTACCCTTGAATTGACCAACTTTGGTGCAGCTATCAGTCGCCAAAACTTTACTATGGGTGGGACGACAAAGGATTCAGAGACCAATCAGGCAGGCCAGCACGGTGAAGGCTTAAAGTTAGCCAGTCTAAGATTCGCTAAAGAAAACTACCAAGTTCGTTTACAGTCTTCAGAAGTGAACTGCTATTTCAAATTCGACAACCTCAGCGAGCTGGGATGTAACGTGGTAGTTATCAGCAGAAAAAAGATCGAAGAGGCACAGAAAAAAATAAGCAATCCGCGTGGTATGCTTGCTGATCCTGTGACCGACGTCTCTGTAATAGTCGGTGAGCCTGGCAAGAAGCTGTGGTCGAAAGATGGAAAGTCGGTCAAGAGCAAGAAGATCCCATTGCAAAAGTTCCGTCAGTGGCTGAAAATGCACCTTTACCCAAACCCTCCAAGGATGGTGAACACTCCACGCGGCGATCTCATTCTCGATCCAGAATACGCAGGGGCTGTTTATGTCAAGAACCTAAAGCTCAAAGGTATTCTGAAATCTCAGCGATACGGATACAACTTTCGGGATGGCGAGACAGGTCGAGACAGGTCAATATTGCTCATGCCTGTCCGCGAAAAAGCTCAGTCAATCAATGCAATCTGGGCACATGCGATCTCGCCAAAGCAAGATCATGCCCAACGTCTAGAGTTAACAGAGCTGTACACCAACCTTCTGATAAAGAATTTCAACCGATATGATGACGTCAACATGTTTGGCTATCGCGACTGGCCCAATAACCAATGGATAGGAGATGTCTGGAGCCATCTTCGCAAGAACCCAAAGATCTTCTATTACGAGGACACGGCAGGTGGTCAAGAGGTAAGAGAATCTGCTCATAAAAATGCAAACTACTTGCTAATTACAACCTCTAGGCTTCTGAAATCATCGAAAACAATCTCAAACGTGAGCCAAAATCATTGCCGACATCTTTCTGGGAGCTTCTGAAATGGGGCCTCAAGAGGCTCGGTACTACCTTGAATACACCCCAAGAAGAGCAGAAGGCCCTGTTCGAAAATGCTCCAATTATTACTGGGTTTCATACAGAACACGCTCAAATTTTAGAATGGATGCTAAAATGCTGTACGCTCGCATATGAAGGCGCTGAATCGAAGAAATACATTTTCGTCGACGGCAAGAACTTTGATATCGATGCAGTATATGGCGGAGATGGATGGAAGATCAACAACAAGTGGTTAAACAATCGCGATGCTCATCTTGGAAGATATTGCATCGCTTCGACAGATGACTTTTCGCCAGACGATTCTTCGACAGATGACTATTTCTGCTATCACCTCGTCGAAGACTTGTGGACAACGATGGCTTCGCAGCTTCAGCTGCACAGCGCTGAGAAGAGTGTATTTCTTGACGGTAAAGTGAAAACTTTACTCATGAATACGCCCCGCAAAGGAATGCGGCCACAACTTCTTCGCGGAACAACTGCTGGTCTCTTGAAAATCCGCTCTTGAGCCAACACAGATGTTGCTTATTCACTTACATACAAGTACCTGTGTCTATAGCAAACAGCACTTGTATCGTCAACCCGGTAAGCAATGGTTCAACTCCTCCAATTTTCTCTGAAACGTATCTAATTCTGCCTATCAGACATGTCGTGTGACTGTCCTTCACAGCGTGTGCGTATGAGCGACCATTATGCGACTTTCACCGATCTGGATCCCGCCTTGGATTACATTCCTAGCGTATCGGGTAACTACAAAGATGCTTTCGTAGCCTTTCCACCACCACCGAGCAAACCGCGAGCTCTTAGGGTGCCCCGAAAGAAAATTGTTGGGACTCCCAAGAAGGCGGCCACGGCTTCATTCGGTAAGCAAAAACTCCTTTCAATGCATACGATTATCTATATTCTGACTTCAGACGCAGTCCTGGGCGACAAGGTCGATAACAGTGGCATGGGTTGGCAATCCAATTTGCCATGTGCGTGTTCGTACGAATTATATCATGCGGGGGGAGAAGCGAACAAAAACGTGCTCATCGGGCTTCCTCCTGAGCACGAGAGCCGCAAGAGGAAGCGTACTTAGCAATGTGTCTTCGCTTTGCCCAGTATCTGCATGAATGGGATATATTCAGCGATTCGTTGGTGGATGGACTGAAATAGTAACAGATTGAGGGCTCAGTCCGTCATCTCTGCTCTGATAGCCAAAGATTTGGGCTATAAGAGACGTTTGGCAACTTGAACGTACCTTAGTTCCAAGGTATCGGTTCATGCTTTACAAAAGCTGGGAATAAAAAGCTTTCTACTCACAATCACTTTTCAAACCATCTTCTAAGCTTGTTTGACGTACTCATCGCAGGCATTGTCCCTATGCTGACTGTTTGGACTTGCATGGCAATTGGAGGCGGTCAGTAAAAGCCATTTATACCAACAAACGGCCTGGATATTGCAATTTTGAATCCATTGGGTTGAAATGGTAGATGTAGTAAGCTTGTTGGCCAACGTAACCAATTGCAACCCCATACTACACGAAAGACCCCTTAGCAACATCCCACCATAAAGATCCCTTTTCAAGCTCAACCCTCCACCAGGAAGCTAACCATAGCTCTTCCAGGTACACTCACACTTGCCGTCGACCCATCACTCGAAACCGTGACCTGCACCTCACCCATATCCTTGGAATTATCTGTATACCACGCTCTAATCTTCTTCCCCGTCAACGACACACCCCCATCAAGTTTAACTCCCACCGTCTGCGTACCCGTACCCGAGTTAATAGCCACAACCGCAATACTGCCGTCCTTATTCACAAACGCACCGCTCTTAATCTGGTTCCCGCTCAACGAAGCAGCAACACGCACAGCTTCAGGCCTTACGATACGGAACTGCGCAAAAGCCCACAGACGCTTGGAGACGTAGTAGTTCTGGCCGTCTATGAGGATGAGTTTTTCGTTGTTGTTGTTATTGGTGGCGCGGTCTTGGATGCCTTCCCAGAAGATGTAGGCTGAGAGATTGGAGTTGACCATGCCGTTGAAGACGGTGTTGGCCCACGTGAAGCCGTCGCCAGCACCGCCGTTCGAGTACCATGCTGTGCTCCAGCCACCGTTGAGGTCAGAGTACTCTGTTTGCCAGGCGCGGGCGCGGGTGTTGAGTGGACCGTTGATGCGGCTGCTGTACTCATGGCTTGTGATTGCATAGACGCTTCCGAGAGCACCGGCAGAGGCGATTTGGCTGGCATGTTGGTTGGCGACGTTCCATCCTGTTCCCTCGCAGCAGTTGATGCCGACGGAGGTCAAGTTGTTGCGGTCGAGTGTTGGGCGGAGCACTTTGATGAAATCGGCCGCTTGGGTACCGGAGGAGAGCATGGAGGCGTAAGAAGCTGTATAGTCGGGCTCATTGAGGAAACCGACATGCGTGATGGGTACACCGGATTGTATGTAGAGTTGGATGTATTTGACGAGATAATTCGCGTATGCTTGTTTCCAATCACCACTTGCACAGCTTGCACCAGAGACCTGTGTTGTGGATTTAGCCACGCCCATATACTTTGATGAAACAGAAACGGCTGATTACTTACGCCACAAAGCGTCCCTCCATTAGCATCATTCCCATTCGTCTTCATACACCCGGGCGCACTCCAAGCATTAGCATAAAACTGCTTAACCCCAAACTCAACGCCCTTCTGGCTCAACCAAAGCTGCCCACTGTCCTTCCCATCCCACTTATAATTGAAAGTCCCGCTCGGGGAACTGGGACAAGTAGGCAGAATCGTATTCATCCAGTCGTTTCTGCTGTCCACGGAACTTCCAATGCCATTGCGGAGAATGGAGAATCCGGCACCGCTGGTGGTGTTGTAGAGGAGGTTCAGGACCTCGGATTGTTTTGGTTCGGCGAGGTTGACGATGAGGTTTGCGCGCTGGAAGGCGGCGGAGAAGCCGAAGCCGTCGATGGTTTGGTATTTTTGGGCTGGGTTTACGGTAATGAGTTGAGTGGATTGCCGGGTTTCGAGGGATGGGGCGGCCACGGCGAAGGCCACCAAAGTGGCTAGATGGAGAGAAAGCATTTCCTGCTATTTTTTGCTGTAGATATGTTGCGAATGTTCCTCTAGCACAGGACAGAGTCAGGAATCAGATTAGCGAGCAGCAATATATAAATGTCTGGGGCAACTGCATCCCTGACCTGGGCCTCGCTCTCATGTGGGCCATGTCGATCGGCTGAATTAGATAAATCTAGATGTGCCATGATTCCATATTCAGAGAATGTAAAGACAACGATAGTGTGGCAATATGAATTGTTTGCAGGTCCGAACAAATACACTTTATATTGATTAATATAGACAACGACACGATCGGCATCTAAATATTTGGGGTGGCGTTTACTCCGCTGAATGTGGAGGTCCATGATATGAATTTAGCCTGATGAAGGATGCAGGGCAAGAAGCATCATCCGCAAGGCACATCTACACGTACAGTTGAATAACGCATGGTCAATCACACTATAGCAGGCAAGGCTCGAGACGGTAAACATGAATGGACCTGGGCGGCGATCGAGACTGCGATGTTAACTGTGGGGTAAGTATACGACATTCACGCGGCGGCAGATGAGAATGAGTCAAGAGAGGCAAAGTTGGCAAATGAAGGAAAGGCACGATACTTAGCCATACTCTGATGTTCGACTGGCAAGAGAGCACAACAGCTTCATGCTGAATACGGAGGACGAATGACCTGTACGTAAGTAGGGGCGCAAGACATGCCATCACAAAGCTCGACTAGGGATTGGTCTAAAACAATATCTCCATTAACATTGTGACTGTATGTGCTTAGAAGCAACTAACCTTAAAAAGACGCCTAATCCAATCCCTAAAGCCAATATGGTAGTCCGTTACTGGAGACGAACACCAGCAAATTTGTTCTTCTTCGCTTGCTGGTCTTGAGCACCGCTGAGTCCACCAGCGCGGCTGATGTCCAGAGAGCTCTCTGCAAGCTTCCTGTTCTCGGCTGCGATCTTGTCGAGGTGCTTCTTGGTCTTTGTATTGCCACTGCCTTTTCCGTGGAACTGGTGACTCAACATCTTGAAAGCCTCCTTCTGGTCGAGATGTCGTCCATGCTCGTCGACATATTTGAGTTCCACAATGGGCTTGTACTTTTTGTTGTAAAGATCGTTGGAGATCCGGCTCTCCATCTGATCGGCAGCGACATTGTTCTTGCGAGACCATTCGTCACGCTCAGCCCTCGTCATAGTGTTCCATCTGGCAGTATTGCGTTCTCGCTCACGCTGATCCTTTCTGATGCGCTCAGCCTTTTCTTCGGCACGTCTCTTCTCGGCAAGGAACGTTTCGCGCTCGCGAGTCAGAGCATTCCTGTCATCACCATCGGTAGATGCTAGGACACCACGCTGCCTCAGGAGTGCAAGGGTAGCTCCCAGGCCTTGGTCGGTGGTTTTCTCTGCTTCGAGACCTGTCTCTGTGAGGTTTGTCGCTGCGGCGGCTGGATCCGTGGCTTCTGCGTCGCGGTCCTCTGCTTCACCGGCTTCCGCATAAGACTGTCCCATGTTGACATCGCCATCATCATCGATTTGGCCAGCGGTGGAAGACTTGACACCTTCCGAGATGTGGCTGGTGGCTCGGCGCTGGGTTTGACGGAGTTCCTCTTCGTCGTCGTCGTGGGCGCTAGCTTTTAGGTTGTGTACAAACTCGGTCGTCTCGTCAATCACTAGAGCATCATCAGCTTCCGTGGCAAAGTCCAGTAGTTCTGCCGTATCCATGGCACCCGAGTTGGGTGTGGCGGGGGTAGATTCTTCACGAAGCTGACGAGCAATATCCTCGGGGCGAGTCTTTTTGCGTTTCTTCAACGCAAGTCGACGCTGTGCAGCAAGCTGAGCTTGAAGATCGTCGTCATCAACGAATGACTGATCTTCGTTGAACTTCTTCTTGGGCTTCCCAGCTACGCTGACGGGCTCTTCGACATCCATTTCGTCAGCCGGGTCCTCTGCCATGGCTGCGAGTTCATCGTCGTCCTCCACGCGCTGCCTCTTGGAAGACTTTGTCTTCTTCTTTTTCTTGGGTTTCTTCATCTTGACCTCGGAAATGTCCATGTAGTCGTTGGCTGGGGTATCATCCTGGAGAATATCAAGGCTGATGGCGACCCGCTTAGGTTTCGAGGCACCCGCAGCTTCCGCTTGAACCTGTTCGACAGTCCGACCTTGACCATCCAAAGTGAAGGCTTTACGCTTTTTGCCGTCGATTTCCTCATCGTATTGTGCAAGAATACCAGTCTGGCCGTCATCGTTGGGGTCGTAAACGCGCTTCCGCTTCTTAGTGTCCAGTTTCTCTTGTAGCCGCTCTTTATCCTTGAGAGACACAGCTTCAAGCTCGTCATCATCTTCAGCGTCGACCGCTGTGTCTTTGAGTACCAAGATTTGATCCTCGCCATCCTCGAACTGGTCAACTTCGTGGCCAACCTTGACGCCAGCCAGATCAGCCTCAGTGTACTGCATTGCCTCCCTGGCCTGGCGCTCACGATCCTCCAAGTCGCGTGCCATCTGCTCGGCCTTGGCAATCTGCTTCGCTCGCTTCTTCGACCCTTTCAGCCATGCCATATCGTCCTCATCATCAACATCAGCCAGGCCCTTGCCCTCCAACTTAGCGAATCGGCCGGCCCTCTCTCCCTCTTTTTTGATGGCAGCGTTGCGCTCTGCTTTCTTCTTGGCGGCTTTCTGCTCATCCTGGAGTTTCTGCCAGTTGTCGTAGGCAGCGGCCTGACGAGTATCGACGGTGCTCGCTGGTTCGTCATCCGAATCGTCTGCAGCCTTGGATTCCTTAAATACAGGGCCTGAAGAAGAAGCGGCGCCAGGTACAGGCAGCGGTGCTATTCCCATAGCGACGCGAATTTTATTCGCCTCCTCGATAGAAAGGTCCGCCATGATGAAGGTTGCGCACGAAGCGTAGCGGGAGGACTGCGGCCCGGGTAACGAGAGGGAGAGCTGGTCGCAGGTAGTCGGTTGGATGTTTTACAATTCACGAGAGACCAAGAGGTGGAGGGATGATGGGTCTTGGGGTGGGAGACGGGTGATGGGGGCCTGGTGGATGAAGAACCGCGGGAAAGAGCCCTAGATCTGGTCACCGAAGTTGCCAAGGCACTAACGACTAGTGTGCCAAGCTCTGGCTTTTGACTACAAAATAATTTCTTCTCTCTGTCTCTCTTCTTTCTACTACATCGACCTGTGCCAGAACTCCTGTCCACCCTCACGGGTGTGTTCGGTCGTAGTTCTGGCAGTTCGTTCGCCCCCAAGGAGCCATCACAGTTTTCATGATGTCAATTTCCGGACGACAGGTCTGAGAGAGAGTCGGTAGCGTTCTGAAGCCTGAGTTCACCGCAAGGTTCGAGCTCGGTGGATGGCGTTGCCAGGGCGAATTGATTCCACTCCCTTTTGCTAGGCCGTCGGCCAATTATGCTTGGGAAAAACCCAGTCTTGCCTACATCACTTATACCCTCCGGTATACTTTTTGGCGCGAAAGCGCGTCTTCTTTGAATTCTCTACAGCAGCTTCAGATGCCCCGTGACCTGATCAATGATACCCTTCGGTGCTGGACCGATCCCCAAGACGGTTGCGCTGCCACTGGCTATCTGCGTCCGCCCTGCGTCGTGTATGATATGTGCAACCACCCCCAAGCTGACTGCCTGCGCCTGCAGCATTTCGAGTTCCTCCTCGCTTTTGACCTGCAGCGCAACCTTGGCCTGTCCCGATCGTTCCCAGCGGCGGAGTATAGGCGAGTTGGGTGCGGCACGGAGGAATTGTTTGTAGCAGGCAAGAGTCGCGTGGCCACACTGAGCGCCGATTTTGCCTGGGAGTCGTCAGTTCAAGCTATCTTCAGACTGGGATTTCATTTGCATACCCTTCGTCATGCCCAAATCTGTCCGCACTACCAGCACCAGTTTGCATTCTTCTGGGTGGTCTGGAAAGTCGGCAGGCGCCGTGTCGTCTTCTTCATCGCTCGATTCGTCCGACTCCTCCGCTTTGCGTTTCTCTTGCGGAGCCTCCGTGATGGGGCTTCCTCCAAAAAGACCTAGAGATTTCGCTTGTCCGAGAAAGTAGCCAGTGACACCTGCGACGAGAGCGCATGCGACTGCGATGTTCGCGGTGGAGGGTTGTGGTGAGTCTTGCATAGCCGAATGTGTGGTTGTGGACACGTCGAAGAGCTTCGTGGGACAAGAAGGCAGCTCGACCAAGCACTTCAATATGCACTGTCGTTCAATCCGATGCTGGCGGTGCAAAGTGGGGGAGCTTAAAGTGCTCTGTCGAAGCTATCTAGAAAGTGTTGTTCACTCGCGCACGGGCCATCCTCAGGACGTCATCTTAACCTTTTTAGACGGACGTCCTTTCCCGCCACACTCTCTTGCATAGAACTACATATGCACATTTTGGTTTACACAACACAACGAATTGACTGAATTGCTAGTCTATATACATGGTCAAGCCCCCATCAATGAAACCCACCACGCTTCAGGTCCTGTGACTGACCCAGAATTCAACTCAACTTCTTCTCTTCCCTCTCCATTTGATCCCAACTTCTCCTCTTGCGTGTCCATCATTTTACCGGATTTTGCTTTCAAATAAGCTTTCTTTTCTGTTCCCCAGCCCATATTTCCACAGGTTAACAGTGCGTAAAGCCGAATCAATGAAACCACGTACACCCAGACCAAATATGCCGGCAAATACACAAGCTCCCTGGGACGTGCTATAGCACCAGGAACAATCTTCAACAACCTCACTCCATAGATCCAGATCGCCAAACACCCAGCATATAATCGAAACTCCTCCCTGTCAATCCACTTGCCCACCCCCATCCAAAGCAGCGTGAACAGCGAGACATCATGCAGCAACGACGACTTCCAAAATGAATACACGAACGTCGTATACATGGACCAAGGAAATCTCCACCACCGCGTCTTCAGCGTCGTCAGCTCTTTGAAATTCGACCGCCACGTCGTGCGCTGCCAGCGCAGAATCTGCTCTCCATATCTCGGCCATTCACCCAGTTCGGTTGCCATGACACTATCCGGACCCCCTTGAATCTTGATCCTCTTCCCTTTCGACGCAATATACCGCGTGACAAACTTATCGTCGTCGACATTCAGCGGACCCCTCCTTTTCCCGAACCCGAAGTATTCGATGTGGTATTCGTTGAGGAACGCATGCAAGAACTCACTCGTGTTGAAGGAGTTTGTGCGAAACATGCCGAATCGCCCCTCAAGACATCCGATCCCTCCATCCACGCAATCAGAAGCGCAGAACTCCCGCGCTCGTGTGGTGAGGTAAGCGATGCCGATGAAATTCCAGAACCCCCGGAAAGAGATGGGATGTCCATGGTGGCGCGCTCTCAGTATCGAGCCCACGGCAACGACTTTTTCCTCCTGCTCAAACGGCGCTAGCAGAGATGGTAAGAACCGCGGATTCTGCGGCCAGTATGAGTGGTCGTCTTGTTTGACGAAGAATTTGGTTTGGACTTTGGGGATTACGGTTGCGGCTTGTTGGCGTACGTTTGCGCGGGGGCCTAGGTACAGATGGACTTGAACTCGTGGGTTCGGGAATAATGTTTTGAATTGTGTGATTTGGGAGCGTGGCTTGTGGCCGCCGGCTGCGATCATTATACTGTGGATGTCGTGCCAGAGGATCGAGCGGACTGCGTTGTGGATACCTGTGTGCATTAGGTCCGTGGTTACGATTATTACAGTGACGTCTTTTGTTTTGAAGACAGGTGCGAGGGGTATAGGGACGGGTTTGTAGAAGATGTGGGCTGCGGCGGCGTTTACGATTGTGCGAACGTAGCGGAAGAGAAAAAGGGAGATGAACAAGGTCAGTGAGTGTCCTTGGATCCAGTCGTTTATCTGGAAGCTGACATTCGGGGCTCTTGTCGCTTCGATAGCCTCGAGGACCCTGCTCACGGCCTCGTTCATGGTGGCACTGGAAAGTTGAGAAGTCAATATTTGTAACGAAGACCAGAGCCTCCTGATATGACAAGTGTTGCGTGCTCGACAGCCAAGCTGTTTGCTGTGTTTTCCTGCTTTTCGGCATCAGCTTCAGGAAATGAGTTGCTATCGAAGTTTACCTACACAAGCAGAGTGGATGAAGTCAAAGAAAACCATACCCTCTTGTGGAAAGTTGTCGCATAGAAGCTAAACGCCCGCTGCATTCGCGACAACACCCATCCACGTTAGCATTTCACAGTTCTCAATCACCTCATCGGTATTTATATTCAAGTCACCGATGAGCCTATCGACAACAAACACGCATACGTGGATAGAATTTTATTATCGGGATGCCACATGTTTCCCTCGTCCTATGTTGATATACAATAAACCTCAATGGGAATTATAAGCTATCTACCGCACTGTATGTACACTCAGAGTATGATACAGCTCTGAAGCGGTAGGTACCAATGACTCGGGTGCAAGTACATGTATGTAGAGATCTCCTCTGTAGTCATTTGCCACACGCCAATTACGCCAATTAATCGTCAGTATCAACTGACACGAGCGTACAGCGGAGATACGAGTGAAGTCTTTCGACTACCCTCGTTGCCATTCCGTGTCGTTGGCAGTGTCGCTTGGAGGGATGTCGATGTCGTTGCTAGTACGACGACCTTCACATCATTGAAATCAACGACCTTGCACGAGTGATCCGGGCTATTCACCGGCACCTTCCACGCCCTCCATCTGCTCTGTGTCCACCAGAATATTCGCGTTCGACGAAACCTGTCGTAAAGGCAGCGTAGTTGTCGTAGACGGTCCGGCCTGTTCACGGGTATCCTGCTCGCGCTCCACTCCTTCCATTTGATCCGCAGCCTCTGCATTGTCGTCTGCCTGTCCACCGTGTTCGACCTCGTTGTACCCGATCTCAAGACTCCCCTGCGGCCAGTGATTCATGTCGAAGTGGTCCTCCATAGTGACCCCCTCCTCAGGCGTCTTTCCACAGATCGCACACATCCATGACGTCTCGGCCACTTTCCCCAGGAACTCCTTCGCCGTCTTCCTCAATTCCTCCGCGTGCTCCTCTCTCAAGATTTCCACAAGCCCATCCTTGACTCCATCCCAGTTCCCCACCAGGTTTCCCATCAACCCGAGCCTCTCTCCCCGCTGCGCAGAAGCAACGGCGAATTGCTCTGGCAAGACATCGTCAAGCACACCACTCAAGCTAGCCTTTATAGTGTCCGCGAGGGCAGCCGCAAACGAGAACCGCGTCTCTTGATTCAAATGTTCCATAGTCCACCAACTCTTGATAAACGGCATCATGCGCAGCGTAGGGACTACGCGATCAGCTTGGAAAACACCGTATCGCACAAACGCCGTCGGTCGCGTGGACGCACCCAGCATCATACAGAACGGTGGCACGACCAGAACCTCACCAGGAGCATGCACACACGTGACGCCTCCCACGAGCGAGAGCGCAACGTCGTCAAAGTCGTTCACGCCCACGGGGTCCTCGGGTTTTGCGTTGGCATCTGCGTCGTACGCAGCTTGCATCTTGGCTATGTTGTCTGGGATTGGAGGCCAGATCATCCATACGATTTCGCCAACGAGGAGGTTTATATAGGCCATTGTCTCATTCTGGTGCTGAAGATTGATCCGAGTTTCGTTGGGCATGATGCAGGTCTCCATTCCCGTCTGCGAGATGTGCGTCTTATCGTAATCTGGCCAGGTGCTCATGGAGTCTAGAACAGGGCTCTTAAGACTAGCTATCCAACCCATGGTCTTGTAGTTTTTGTTCAGGAGCCCGTTGATCAGTGTTTTGGCAGCGACTTCATCGTCTGCGGGCATAGCCCATTCGCCAGTGTGAGGGTCGACGATTGGACTGTAGACCGGGGCGTCCGAGCTCTCTTTGTGAGTCGCCAGGTCCCGAAGGAGGATATCGCGAACTTTTTCTGGGGTCGATATATTTTTCTGGGCCTCTGTGTTGAAGGCAATTTGCTTCTTCAGTAGCACCATATCAGACCCGAACCGCGCCCTGGCGACCGCGCTACCTTTCAGAGGGCCATTTTTGCCATTTTCCAAAAGTTGCTTGAAGATGTGGACGTAAGGATTCAAAGGATTAGCATTGAGGGCTTTCCGTACCTCCCTGAGTGACGTCTGTCGCGTTTGGCCCACCATGTTTGTCTTCTGGCTGTTATAAGAGAGGGATGGGTGTTTGGCGTTTGTATTGTGGGTTGTTTATTTTCCAGTAAAGGCTATGGTTGAGTTGAGTTTTCTTTTTGCTGTGGCAGTATTATGTGGGAGGAGGAGGAAGAAGATATACCTGTCTATGTGTGGTTGAGTGTATGTTGCTACGTTGGAAATGGTGTCTTGGCCAAGACAGAGCGTTTTGCCTTTACGAAAGAACAAACGAGTGATAAGTGAGGCAAACGTCCGACACCTTGTGGGCAGTGCACGTGAATGGTAGTTTTAGGGTGGCGAAGACTGGGATTGCACAGTCACCTACGATTTCCGGGTAGGTGGAAGTGAGAGGAAGGTAAAGCTACTTCGGCTTTTGTGCCATATCCAAAATGACCAGCTTACATCAGCTTTTTCCTGGTGTGTGATTATGTGTGTGGGCAGTCGTTGGACATGGTGTGAGTCAATCACGTCAAGCTATTTGGGTGAGGAAGGAGCGTTTGCTAGTCAACAACCTCCAACTTGTCGCAGGAGGTAGACGGGCCTCACTCGCATCCTGTCTGGCGACCCGATGCATGTATTCGAGAATTTTTGGCTGCCAATTTTCTGCCTGTTGTTCGCTGAAAAGTATATCCTAAAGTATGTATCGTCAACTGGGATTCACTGTGTACGTGGAGTAGTACGGGCCCAATTGATTGAAGCAGCTTGAGCATGACAAACATGTACAATCGGCGTATTGCCTAGCATTTCAAAGCATGAGCTAGATCATCTATGAAAGAAATTAAGAACTTCCCGTCCTAGTTTCCACGACATACTGTCTCTGGCGATGTAGTGTCGATTTGCAAGATATTAAGTGAGAATATTCAACAAAGTACCTGCTCCAAAGTAGTCACAGAGAGATATACAAACGAGAACAGATCAGTCCATAATTCTCATGTCATTTTAGATTAGGTTTCTGAGGAGGCTTTCCCCTAAGTGGAAACACCTCGAATCATCATATAATGTTGGTATAAAGTCGACGTACATGGTACCTCAGCCACATCACCCCTTGGAAAATAGAACGAGTATACAATTCTCAGAAGCTAAATCTGTAAGCCCACAGACGCACTGGAGAACTCAAGCAACCGAAATCGTGATCTGACCGGTCTGTTCGGACTCTCACTTTCCTCGGCCACCGTTCACCTTCACCCAAAGTCAAAGGCCAGAAATCCAGCGCCCTCACCTACTTACCTAACTCAAAAACCATAAGACCTCCCGCACAACCCATATATTCTCACTGACTTTCCTTACTGTCGGAAACTTCAACTACTACTCCCCCACCTCCCTCTTTACCAGAACAGCCAGACGAACCTGCAGCCATGTCTGCGACCACTACCGAAACCGCTGCAATGGAAAAGTACCTCTACACCCAAAGCCGTTCTTTTATGGCTCCCATCAAGCTCCGACTCGTCGTCTCCTACGCCGGCAGCATAATCCGTGGCAATCCGTTCCTCTGCCTCCCTCGCGATGTCCGCAACGACATCTATTCCTTCGCGCTCTCGCCGTCTGATACTACCTGCGAACCACCCGCAAATATCGATATCCCGGATACCGGCAATATCGTCTTTCCCGACCCCTGCGACGTTGACCCGGTCTTCAACCGCGAGATCACTGAGCTGCTCTTGTAAGTACCTCCATATGTGCGACCGCCTAGACTACATCGCGTGAACACCACAGCGGTCGCGTGGGTGATTCTACTAGCGCGTTCAGGCCTTCGCAGTACGAAGCACGAAGCACATACAGAACAAGTACTTACCTCGTCATCACCTCGAATAGGAGCAAAGCAACCATCACCATCCCCAGCGACGTCGCTGCCTACAACTTCCTCGTCTGGCTCGGCACCAACGCCCGTGCCACCTCTGTGGCCCTATCGCACGGTCTCGTCAAGAGCATCGAATTCCTGAGCCTCGAAATTATGGAGAAAGGCATGTTTACCTCCAACGCCACTAAGTTGATGCGGAGTCTTCCTATGCTCGAGACGGTCGCGCTCATGGTCGATCTGAGGAGCTTGCTGTTCATGGAGGGCAAGAATGGCGGTAAGGCCGTCGACGTGAGGGCTATGGCTGCGAAGTACGACTTGGAGGGATTGGTGCAGGTGCCATGCTTGAAGACGGTCGTCTTGACACTCAAACCGTATATGGCGCTAGGGAAGATGTTGAAGGAGCTAGGGAATGATGGAACCGATGGATTTTGGGGACTGCAGGACTGGATCCAGGGAAGGATTGCGATGCGCGGTAGGGGTGTCAATGTGATCTGCCGTGGCGTTTAGTCTGGCCGTCAATAGCAGGGATTTGGAGAGATTCATGGGAAGGGCGACGCAACAACGCAACTCAAGCGTCTGACGTCTTCCCACCTTCATTGCGGTTACGTTACGGGCCTTTTGGTTAGCTCTTGGGTATCAGCGTGACTGAATAAAGGATGGGATTCCAAGATGAATTGGAATGGGACTGAATAAATTCAACGAGGTTAAATCACAGATAGTCAATGATGAGGCTGTTGACATATCAATTTCTCACATCGCGATGAATCCTGAACTGATATCTGCTTGTCACGACTCGACTATGGGGCATACAATCTTGTCTATATTCGAGTGCGTATAGGTGGCTCTTCCGCTGGCCATGGGAATTCTGTCGGCTGATCCCCGCTATCTTCAGCGAGGCCTACGCTTCCTCAATACATCATTCCTCGGGGCGAGAAAGGGATGTTCTGCGACTCACATGTCGTATAGCCACCAATCACACTGTTTCAAGAGACAGCCCATCCAACGACACTCCATGTGAGCGCTCGATCGTCATTATTTCGTTACTCTCGTGCTGCTTCAATAAAAAAATAGGCAGCTGAGCAGGTATCCAGGATTGTTTCTTCCACATCTGACCTTTTCCTCTCATAATTTCACGTCTCATCTTCCTGCCCATACCCCGCCATCTCCTCTTCCGAACCCGCCGAACCCCATTGCGCCCTTTCCCTCATTGACAGGCCGCTTAGCTACGGCACCCTGCGCCTTCACACCTTCAACCACTTTATCCAACTGCGTTTCGATGACAACACCGCCAACAATCATTTCGCCTAGGGTAGCGTGCAAGGTCTCGAAGTTGAAAATAAGATCGAGTTCGCAGACGTTTTCGAAGAGGCCGTCGAGAGCCTGGACGTAGACCTGGATCAGATCGAGCAGCGCAAGCGGCGATTCAGTGGACGTGGAGATGATGATGAAGTAGAGCGTGGCATAGTGGCGGTAGGTGACGAGCGATGGGGTGTCGTTGTGAGGGGTGGTTGGGGTGGACGATTTACTGCTGTTTGCCAGTAGAGGTGGGAGGCTGTGTTGGTTCGAGTTAGGAGTGTGTCTTTTATTTTCGAATACGAGTTGTCAGTGCATACGGGAGAAAGTTGCAAGCTGAGCTGGGCCGGTTAGCAACTAGGGTGAAGATCTCGGAAATCAGCCTCTGTTGAACGCTGGTTTCCTGTAGGAACGGTTACAAGGTTTACTCTCAGACAGGGCGGGAAAGGTGGTAGTGGGTACGAACCAACTGCGTGTAGAATTTGGTCAGTCGTGGCTGGCCCGCATTATTGAAGACGAGCACTGCGTTGATCATGGTTGGCAAAAAACGTGTTCGCGAAATTCACGGTCGCGCAATGTTTGAACAACTTGTAGTGACGATAAGTCAGGAACTGCGGGGATGCGATCGACGCCGGTAGATTCCAAAAGTGGTCCGAGCTTCCTTGAATGAGCAAACAACAGCTCCTACCTCCTCCGCCATCTCTCCCTCTTTACTCCACATCAAGTCTCGTTGATTCAACCCAGAAAGTCCATCAAAATGAAGTCACTGTCTCGTGCTGGTCAAATTGCCCTCCGTCAGGCTGCCTGTAGCCCAATCCGCGCCCATTCTCCCATCAATGGCGTCATACTCAGAGGTGCAGCTGCCCAGGGTCGCAACACCTCTGCCATTAGACCCTTCCGAACCTTCCACTCTTCGATGCGGAATCAGGGACTCATGCCAGAGTCTGAAAACCCGCCGCCCAGGAATCCCGAAGACGTCGATAGGCCTACGGTCCCCACTGACATTTCCACCTCGGAATTCCACCAGCGAGCCGATGTGACCCTGGACGATCTTGTCGCCAGGGTGGAAGAGAAGCAGGAAGAAACGCCTGATCTGGAAGTGGAGTACTCGGTGAGTAGAGAGTACGGTGTTGATGTGGGACTGGCGCATAGCTAACGTGCCCAAAACAGGCCGGCGTGCTCGAGATCAAGATTCCCTCCAAAGAACACACCTACGTGCTCAACAAGCAGCCTCCCAACAAGCAGATTTGGCTCAGCTCTCCCGTTTCTGGGCCCAAGAGATTCGATTGGGTTGTTTCGGGCGAGTCGATGCACCAGAAAGAGGGCGGAGGCTCTGGAGACTGGGTTTACTTGCGGGACGGATCCACCTTGAGTGAGATTATTCGTACCGAGCTGGAAGTAGAACTTGGAAAAGACAACGATGCCCCCAGTTGAGCATAGAGGAAGCAGCGACGTCTCTCCTTCCGATGGTGGAAATTTTGTGGATATAATTGTATAACAAATGAGCTTTTCTGTGGACTACCATACTGAATGTTGATGCCCATTCAATGCACCCTGCCATGTGCTATACGGAAGAAACCCGCCAGTATGCGACGCCAGTAAATGCGGAAAGATGATATCAAATTGCGCCGATTTATCCCATATCTTATCCCCGTGTCCGATCCTACGCATAACACATCCGTAACACTCGGACTCGAAGAACGTTTAGGCAGCGACGGTGACGGTAGAAGGAGCGTCGTCCTTGTTTTCCGGTGGCAGATCAGACTGAATAAGGTCAGCTAACACTTCTCTTGATATCATCTGTGTTCTTTACTTACTGCATCAAATATGATACGGATCATCAAGCTGCAGCTAGGGCAGCGCGCAATATCCTCCCCATCCCGCATGTCGAAAATGGAAATCTCGAAGCGATCGCCACATGGGCACGGGTGATGATAGATTTGCAGGGTCTCGTCGTAGAAGCAGTCCTCGATTTCGATCTCATCGTAGAGATTCAGTTCCTCTTCGTCGGTCATGGCTGTTGGGCGTTGCGCATGCGCAAGGGAGGACTGTGAAAGTAGAAGTTGGTGTTGGTGGAGTGGCGGCGGCTTAGGGCTCTGATGTCCTGCGGGGAATAAAAAAATAGCGGAGAAGACAAAGCAGGGGGACCCTGCCGCCCTGCCACCCCGCCAAGACTTGGGCCTGATTGATGCGACGTCTAATCACCACGCTTCCTATCCCTCTGTTACCCATCCAACAATTGTATGCACTCTCGCCGCCTCCGCATCGGATAATGGACATACGTTTATTGTCTGCCGCCGACAAACAATCATGACCGACGTCGAGTCGGCTACGGTCAAGCTCGCGGAGCTGCTCCGGCATCCCGAGGACCTCGAGAAGATCCCCGCCCTCAAGGCCGAATTCACGCGCAAGAAGGCTGCCGTCGATGGCTTGCTGCGAGTCGGTCTGCGTGAGCAGCTTGAGGTGACACAGGCAGGAATGAGCAGCATATCGGATGGCCAGCGAACCGTCAATCTGATCAAAGAAGAGATGATGAAGATCGACAAGCTGTGTGCAGAGGCGCAGAATATGATTCACGACTTTCCTCACATCAACTTGGTAGCCCAGACGCATAAGAACTTTGAACAGGTCGAGACCATGAAGCGCGATATAGACACATTTACGGAACGCGTCGAGAATCTTGAGAATTTGTTAGCTGAAGACGATAAGAATCCGGTGGACCAACCCAATCTGCTCGAGATACATTACGGCCTGACGCAATTGCGTGAGGTACGCAGTCAAGCCATTCGACAGATTAAAGCCTCTGAGGACGTTTCCATGGAGCTCATGGACAATCTCACCCTCGAGTCCGGCGTCACGGTCAAGGATCTTTTTGCTCGCTTGGATGAAGTCATTGACTGGTTCGATAACCACATCGGAGAGGCGTGTATCAACTTGATCGATCTAGTGCAGACCGAAAACAACGGCATGGTGGTCAGATTGGCATTGGTCATTGAAGAGGAGGAGAAATCGGACACAAAAGCCCAGGCTCTTCAGGATGCACAGCGAGAATACAAGGACCTAGCAGCTCGCTTCAAGTCTATCGCTACAGGATCTACCGAATTACGCGGCTACAAAGACAAGTTCATCCAATCAATTGAATTCGTGTGTAAAGCCAACTTCGACCAATCAAGTGAAAAGTTCCTCGAAGACCCAGAGAAGGTGTCCAAGCATTTCAGATGGTACTTCAATAATCTACAAGCGGTCAAAGCTGGCATGCAGACGCTCATGCCCAAGAAATGGAAAATCCTCAAAACGTATGTGGATATATATCATAAGCAGATGCACGATTGGATCCTCAGTCTGGCCGATGATCAAGAGTTAGGAGCCCCCTACCTACTCAGCATCATCAACTGGGTCGACAAGTACTATTCCAACATGAAGAAACTAGGGTTCTCAGAAGAAGACCTGCAACCTCATGTCGTTGACAATCGCATTCCTGAGCTTGTTCGCAGTTACCGACAACTCATCATCGATCGTGTTGAGGAATGGATGGACAGAATCGCCTCGAGCGAAAAGAAGATGTTCGCAGAGCGAAACCAGGATGCACTTGACCACAACGCAGATGGCTACCTCCAGACCAAGACCCTGGGAGATATGTGGACCATGTTGGGACAAAATCTTTCTGTGGCTGCCAACAGTCAACGTACAGATGTTGCCGAGGGTGTCATCGAATCCATGTTTCGTGCTCTTACTTCGCGGCAGCGAATGTGGCAGACTTTGGTGGAAACAGAAAGGGCGAACTACTCTGGAGTCAATGCTACCTTGGAGGGCGTTACGGAATTTCAGGATTGGCTTATATCCATTGCAAACGACCAGATTATCTGTATCGATGAATCTGTGGAGAACTCGACATCGTTCCTCGGAAATTTCGAGCGCGACATCACACCTCTCATTTCACAAGCCTATCAACCGAATATGGCCTCCCAGATCGAAACCCTCAGGAACAATTATGTTGACTTGGCGACACAATGTATCCAAATCTGGTGTCAAACCATCTTCTACTCCGACTTCCGCGAGGTCATCAAAAAGTTGTTTACCCCTGAATGGTATGGCGAAAGGCACATGGAACAGATGGTCATCACCTTTTCCGATTATCTCGCCGATTACGAGAACTCGGTGCACTATTCTGTCTTCGATATCCTCATCGACCAACTCGCCGATGAACTGCTTGTTCACTACTTGACTGCCATTCGCAACAAAGGCGCCAAGATCAAGCGCGCCGATCCCTTTGTCGATAAAATCCGAGACGACTGCTTCACAGCCTTTGAGTTCTTCAACAAATACCCAGGCGGGCCTGAGATCAAGGAAAGATGGCGGGTTATTCAGAGTTTCCTCGGTCTACTGTCCGATGACAAGCAGAACATACCGCAGGTGTACGAGCAGTTCAAATACACGTATCCGGATCTCCAAATTGCATGGGTGGAGGCAGTTCTGAGGTGCAGAGATGACTTTGAGCGCAGCATGCTCAACGATGTAAAAGCAAGAGCGGCAGCTGTGGTCGTCGACCCCGATCAGCAAATAGAGACCATCATGAGTCGTGTCAAATAGAAGACGTGCATTTGTCAGAACTCTTAAATGTCATGGCTACTGTTACATTAACATGCAATGTTACGGCATGTACTTCTTACGCCTTCTTCACCAACTCTCCCACTACGAACGGGATCGCGTCTTTCGGCGCCACATACTCAAGCTTGAAGCTGTCCCATTCTCCAGCTTCTCGCAAGCACTCGGGCGTGTGCCGCTGCAATTCGCACCCTCCCATGAAGAAGGGCCATCCGGCAATGGTATACACAACCTGCATCAATCTCGCCGCTAGTCTCCCTTCAGTGCGCCAGGGATTGACAACGTGCTCGCAAATGACCATGCGACCTCCCGGTTTCAATAATGCATACAGTCCACGAATCGTTTCCTTGGGATGTGGCACGCCGCACAGAACTCTCGCACAAACAATCTCATCGAATACACCATCTCCATCTCCTGTCTTTTTCCCCGCTTCTTCCAGAATCCCGCTTCGATGCAGAGCTGGTATCAAGCTCTCCGGTTCACCCCCACAAACCAGCGCATGATACTTGTCCCCGAACCCTGCTTCTTGAGCTCTGCGAGCGAGACCTGGATGCAGACTCTCGGCAGGCTCCGCGCCGTACATGGCAGAAATCTTTGCGCTGTCGAACATGTACAAAAGCTCGCCAGACCCGGGCCCAATATCGAGGACCACACCTGAGGTTGCGCTCGCAAGCGATGCGAAGTTACCGGGCATTTCGGCAGACATTTGCGCGCCACTTGTGCTCCAAAGACGTCCGAAGGATTTGTAGCGGAGGGCAGTCAGATTCAGGAGGGTTGAGGGGGATCGGTCGAGAAAGAGGGTTTCGAGGATAGTCATTATGAAGTCTGTGGGCTTGAGTTAGCATCCTTGTTTCTTTTTTGATGGAAACTGCCAGGGGTTTTTGGTCATTTTAGAAGATATTGGGACGTACGATAGAATGCCTCACAAAGGAGAAGACTTGGTCGGAGGAGCTGCGGCATGCTATTGGCAAGCCATGGTGGTGGACACATTGTTGTTTAAATTGTCTTCTTGTTTATCTGTACTTCTTTTACGATACAGTGTTTCTCCTTCCTCTTGATATTGACCTTCTTCTCAATTTGATCTCATTTAGGTAGGGCGGGAAAGTTGACGTTATTCTCTTTTCTGAGTAGAGCCAATTGCGTGAAGCACTCCTTTTGAATCCAGTTGATTTCACCCCAAGGTTGATACCAGAAATCGGGACAGGAGTGTATGCTATCGTGGGATGAAGTCAGTAATAGCTTTGTGTGAGGTGCCGTTCCTGCATTAGATTGGCGATGAATCATAGGTGGGGTGGTGGTTAATGCTGCATATCCATCTTAGTGGGGTCGGAGCCGAGGCTCTCAAGCTTCTGTGGCGTAGGTGGTCAAAGCTCCAACAGCTCCTTCCATAATTGATATCCTGACATCACTGAAGTGTTGGAGCTTTCTATCCACCATTGCCGTCTTTTACATGGTCAATTGTTAATAATCGGATCTAAAAGGCTGCATAATATGGCGACTCAACCCCAGGAGAGATATGTGCTCATCACCGGGTACGCCAACACTTTCGTATACTCAAAAGGATTGCACATGTGCTGACGCTATGTAGATGTACCCCGGGAGGCATTGGACACTTCCTTGCACTTGAATTCGTCTCCAAAGGTGAACAAACACAGATCTGAACTTTCAAACTCCTGTCTGATAAGGGAACACTCCAGGTTTCAATGTCCTGGCCACGGTCCGCGACCCGAAAAAATACACCTCCCCTCACTCCCTCATAACCTACCTCCCACTCGAGCTCACTTCAGCAACATCCATGTCTGAACTCTACACCACCGTCTCAAACATCACCAACGGAAAGCTTGACATCCTCTATAACAATGCCGGCCGAAACTACACCGTCCCCGCTCTCGACATCGAAGAGTCAGAACTTCTCGAAACTTTCCAGGCAAACGTCTTCTCGGTAATGAAAATGTGCCAAACCTTTGCGCCTCTCCTCATCGCCTCCAAAGGAACTATCGTGCAAACAGGCAGTCTAGCAGGCCTGATGCCATACGTATTCGGCAGTGCATACAACGCGTCCAAAGCCGCCCTACACGCATACTCAGACACCCTCCGCGTCGAACTCGCACCCTTCGACGTCAAAGTCCTCAATATCGTCACTGGCGGAGTGAAATCCAACATTGCCCGTACCAAGCGCGAACTCCCGCCAAACTCTTACTACATGCCCCTCCAGAAAGAGTACCAGAGCCGCTTGACGCACAGTCAGCAATTAGGTATGGATACGCAGCGATATGCTAGAGACTGTGTTGCGGAGGTTCTGGGGAGTCAAGGTTGGGTTATCAAGAAGCGGTGGGCGTGGGAAGGGAAGATGAGTTGGCTTATGTGGTTTGTGTGGAATTATCTGCCTAGGTGGACTATGGATTGGTATTTCTCTTCGGTGTTTAAGCTTTCGAAGTTGAGGGGCACGGCGACGGGAGACAAGAAGAGGGTGTGAGAACGGCCTCTCGTCTTTTGAGTTGGGATTATATGGGCAGCATTCCGGAGGAGCGGGGGTGCGTTTATTGGTCTTCATAAACTTCGGATGAGGAGGTATTGGCTTCGCAATTTGACTCTTTCCCTTCATCTCACTTGTTTCTCGCATTCTTCTCTCGAGAGATACTTGCATAATATTCAACAGCATGTGAACGACCCCAGAATACTTCACTGATGTAGCCTCAAACACTCAGCACAGCTAGGTGTTTCTTCCCACCCTTCTCATCCTTCCTCAATTCTTTCCGGGTTCATTTTCTCTTTGCGTTCAATTATTTCTCAAGTAGAACGTCAATTTACAGTCAATTTACAGAGTGGTTTACCTGGGAGCGAAAGTACAGTGTTCACGTCTCTTCATTGCGTGCAGTTATACCAACTGCTAGGATAGCAAGTAAATATAATTGGGCATGCAACGGGCAGCAGCAATTAGCTTTCTCTACGTAAATTTTATCTTACAATTCACTGGTTAATCTAATAAACTGTCGTCGGGTCACATGTTGATGGGGAATCTGTGATTGATGATGTTGCCATTGTCCTGGAAACGACAAAACAGTTTTGATGTGGCTGGTTGCAGTATGACTTGTGGTGTTGAGGTCCTCGTTGGGACCCAATTCTTAATTAGCTATCTTGATAATAATTCATCGGTTTCGTGATAACCACAGAACATATGTTCTGCCTGAAGCTCGAAGGCGGTTTGTGATGCCGGGTGTTTGTGCCGCATGGAAATGCGGTGATTCAAAGTGCCCAATGGGCAGTATGACAAATATGCATGCCACAAACACCCCAATATCCCGAACGAAGAATCGAACAGCGAATAGGGGAGCAATTCGAACGATGGTGGCAAGCAAAACGAAAAAGAAAGACCGTTTACCAGCGTTTTCCTAATCCATCCATCCCCCCACAGAAAACCGCTTCATTGGGTTTCAGGAGATCGATGCAAGATGGGCGGTGTGTATGTCTGATTTCCTGTTCAACAGCAGGCTCATCACGCAATTGCTACCTCGCATGCATGTACTACATCGTGCATGCCAGGGTCTTGAAAAAGCACAAGAAGGCCCGATTACCGGAAACGTGTGTTACCGTTGCAGCGGGAAACATAGTGAAGGGTAGATAAGGTCTTTTTGCAGGGTCTTGAGTGGATGGAGTCAATGCTGCGGTGTATGCAGGAGAGTTACTGGGGACAAGAGTAAAGGGTGTGTGTATACGCATGCTGCCGTACATAGCTCTTCCGGAAAAGAAACAAATGCAAAGAAGAGAAGAGAAGATGAGAGAAAGATAGGGAATTCAAGCGAAGCGAATTCGAACAGGATCATGGTTCTTGGTATCGTAAGTGTGGCCGATGTTGACGATAGATCTTCGTGATAGTTGCTTGGGTACACAGATCTATGCCTCATGGGAATTTCGTCCAACTACACTACAACATTTTCGTAGGAGAGACTTTGAGTTTTACACTAAGCAGTAGTCGTCTAACAACGCTACGCCAGTTATCCAATCAAAGCCATGTTCAATAGGCAGAAAAGAAGACTTAAGGTTCATGTATACGCGTCTACACACGCAACACCTCCCGGAAACCCCACAGAAAAAACACTCATCTCCAAAGACAAAGGAAGTACACCATCCGAGCCAGGGAGCCCCTTTCCCACCCGTGGGCACCGAAGAGGGCAGCATCCATAGGCATGCTCGACCCGTGAATACATGACTTAATCTCGCATTCATACAACTCCATTATCCTCTGATCCGACAGAGGCCCCCAAAAAAAGGAAAAATAAAACGAGGCGGAACTGAGGATCATGTCCAGCGAATAGGAGAATCCAAACACACCGGAATCCTTCTCCGTCGGCTACATGCACGCAATCAGGCCCTTGGCATGCACACTTATAGTTACATGTATGTGTAGTTATGCCCTATCGGGGGTATTCCCAGACTAGGGATCGGGACTATCTTAGTTGTTTTCGTATATGTGTATTTATGACATCGGATGGCCCGCTACGGTGTGCAGGGATGGCGAGACGGCGTATCGGGTCTGTTCCTGGGGATTTTCTTCTTCTTCTTTGGTATGTGTGGTGCGGGAGGTGAGAGATTGGGAAAGTGGGGATTGCGTATGTGGCGTTATTCTGCTGGGCCGTATTTTTTCCGTGCTATAATCTCTTGGTATTTTTTGCTTTTTTTTTTCGTTGGAGATTGGGCTGGAAGAACGTTTACGTACGGGACATTGGGTTGGAGGAGGAGAAGGGGAAGCTAGTTGTAACATCTCCGAGATCTGTTTATACAATGGAGATCATGATCTGATTAGGTTAACGAGGCAGTCTGAGGGTACTTTGACAATATGGATGGATTGGACGTCATCCTTCGTTGATTACCATTTTTCTTAGTTGTGGCTTCGGGGGATCCGAAGCCTGGGAACAGTGCGACGATTATGCATATTGAACAGCTCTTTCTCCCTTGAACTTTGCTTCTTCAACTCTCCTAGATCGATATTTTGCCTTTGCGCCGCAACCGCAGATATAATAATCCTCGCCAAAGACAATCAACTGAGTGAAATGTCGTTGGGCCGTTGTAAGCGTGACGACCCCGGAAAGTGCATTATCTCTGTATGCAACGATCAGGGTGTATTGACCCTGCATAAAAATGAAAGCTGTCTACCCCGCCTATCCCTTTTTCATGAATGCTTTTTGCAATGTCTCGCATAGCTGATGTTGAGCGTTGATCGGCAGTTAGTCTACATATATACTATAAGACGGTCTTCCCACCGAGAACAAGGCCGAAGCATGCAAGTGCTCGTATGCAAAGAGATTTCTTTCAAACGACTATAATCATGAAATTGTGTTTTGATTATCATTATTATGTAGCGTATGCTTTTTCCGGATCCCAGTTTGCCATGCCCCAAATGTCCCAATGCTTTCACCCGCAAAGATAACGTGGAAAAAAGCTTGCCATAGCTCATATCTTTATTTTTCTGGGCGAGATCGTTGACGCTTGCTTGAAGATGAAAGTAATAATATGATGAGATGACCGAAATTTTTCGTCCTCTTGCTTCCTTTTCCCACCCGCAGAACGCCTGTCTAGATTGACGAAGCTGCAAGGTTCGGACCGAATAGACTCTTGGAAGACAGCGCATCGTGGAGATGCACAACTTAGACCCAAAGGAGAGGAGAAATTCGTCAAGAATGGAGATCATAGTCCGTTTTTATTGCACCTATCCGTTGCCCAACCCATACCCGCAAATGTCAATCTATACCAACTTTTGATGTGAAAAAGTTAAAAAAGAAAAAGGCATCCCGAAAAGACGCGGAATCTGAGATCACGCAACGGAGACAAAAAAGCAACGTTAGTGGATGTGAGAAATGGGGGAAAAAGGAATAAACGAATGCGTAAGTAATTCCACGGATACACAAAAACGAAAGAATTGTGACTAGTACGTTCGACAAAGCGAGATGCGTAAAGGGGGTATCTGCGAACCAAACAGTAACAGCAACGAGGGAGAAAAAATAAGATCGAACGTTGGCCGTTATCAAAAATTGGATGTTGGATCGCGCGAAGTTGAAAGTAGGTTGTAGTTGTTTAGGATGCTCCGGCGGCGGCCATTGGTGCTTCATCCTGCTGAATCGCCGGGTAAGGCATTCGGGCATTGATACCGTGATCAGCAACCGAGGGCTGGGAGATTCCCGGGAAGGACTTCTCCATTGGCGGTGCATCAATCGCAGGGTCGAACGGCTTGGGCTGTTTTTTGTCGATATTGGAGTAATTTTCGGGCCTCGGCAAGGGTCTGTCGCTTTCCTCTGGTTTTGAATGCTGGAAAGTCTTGTCTTCGGCTTTGATGGATGACGGGTGAGGGTCGTGATAATAGTATGTCTTTCTACGCTTCTTGTCATCTAATCCTGGGGCTTCCCACGTCGAAACCCCTGTGTCTTTGTCGTAACTCTTTTTGGTGTGAGCGATACGTTTACCGCCACCCCCGGGAAGATCGACGACAAATGAGGGCATCATAAAACCGGATACAGTGCCTCGTATCTTCTCTTCCAGATCAAGAATTGTTGAAAGAGGAGTTCGGAGGTCTTCAATACCACGCACGAGGTCGCACTGATACACGTAGTAAGGTTGAATGTTTATCGCAGCCAAGTTTCTGATCAACTTAGTCATGATTTCGGGCGTGTCGTTGACTCCTCGGAGAAGAACAGATTGATTGCGGACGATCACTCCATGTTTGAACAGAAGTTGGGCAGCTAATTCCGTGATCCAGGTGATCTCCTTGGGGTGATTGAAATGCGTGTGCCAACAGACTTGCTTTCCAATTTCCCGCCCTTTTCTTGACAATGAAATGAGTGCACTCGTCCACGGATCGTCTTCCTGAATGCGGCCTGGTGAGACTGCCAGTCCCTTCGAAGCGATACGAAAGCGCTTGATGTGTGGAATCTCTAGAAGGCGTGAGCCGAGATAGTGTAGGTTCTCTGGCGCCAAATAGTAACAATCACCTCCCGAAAGAACGATGTCTTCTATGCTTTCTTCGCGTTCAATGTAGCTGAGGACGTCTTCCCATCGCTGGCGACTCGGTTTCTGAGGTTTCTTTTCGACAGTAGGTGTATTCCCACCTACAGCGTATGCTCGGGTACAGAATCGACAGTATACTGGGCATATGGAAGTGGCAAGGAACAAAGCTCTCCCCGGATAACGATGAACAAGGCCCGGGACAGGGCTATCCTCTTCTTCGTGAAGGCTATCGAGTGTCAAACTCGAGTGGTCCGGAATAGTGCCGCTCTTAGAAGGAAGAAACTGTCGTCGAATTGGGTCATCAACAGGGTTGTTCCAGTCGATCAGAGAGAGAAGGTGAGGGGTGATTCGAATGTTCATGGGTGCAATTCGGAGACCTTCCAAAGCATCCTCGATGAATTCGGATTTGGTTGCGATCTGACTGGAGCTGGCAGATGTATTGAGGGTTTCAGGAAGAACTTTCTCCAAAAATTGGACAAGCCTGGGCGCCTTGTGGATGGAATTGAAAGCTTGCCATTGGTGATCCATGAAAATCTTGGCAGGGACATCTTTGTAGTCGGGAATATGATTCCAATACGGCTCTACTTTTCTTCCAAGAGGCGTCGTCATGGTGGATTGAGCCCGGAAGTAGGGCACACGCTGTACCAACATGATCCTTGTGGATATTCTAGCCTGAACCGAGCGCAGTGAAGCCATGTTGACTTTGAAAACGAGGAATAGATTGAAAGCACACTGTCGACAGCACAGGATGAAAACGAACGACGAGAAACATGTTGAGTGGGAGGAAGGACTCTTTTGTGTGATGGGTGTGAATACAGCCAGAACTCATGCCGCCAATCAATGCAGGTCGAGCTCCGAGCGTTTGGCAGAAGAAAATAAAAAATTTGAGTCTGGGTAATAGGTGGAACAGAGCGGCGTCTGCTGTGCAACTTCACTCAAGCCCACAAGCTCATGAATAATCGAAGTCGGGAAAAATGCCAGCAGGATCGAGACTGGGGCAACAGGGGCATGGTCGATTGGTGGTATAGCTGCTAGCTAATAATACTGAGTACATGTACGCAGAAGTGATGGACTCATCTCGGCGTTAGAGTTACATAGCACTGCAATGAACACGTCAGTTGCCGGGCCGTGGAGAAAAAGAAAGAGCTGATCCAATTACAAGATCGGGAGTAGGACTCCTGTGCGCCTGATTCGTGGGAGGCTCGTATAGTGTAGAACGGGGATTCGGAAGTATACCGTGTGTGACTAGGTAGATGTGGACTGCGAGTCCCCATTCCAATACCAACGGATAGGTCGTATCGGTATACACACGAATGGGTCAGGTTGGGATAGACATCTGGAGGCAGTAGCCGCCATCCCCATGGTGGCACTAGTCTGGATATGGAATGGTCTCCGTTAGCCCCCCGCTAACCAATGACCTCACCCACCACACCTCCGACGTTGTACTATCCCACTTGCATCGCGTACCCAACCGATCCACGAAAGTTCTCGCCGTCAACTACACGAGAGGCCGATCCTCATACTCGTCAGGGCTCGCGCTCTGCTTCATCAACACAATGTCTGAACCATCGGAATCTCCGGCACAGGAACGAGCTCGCCTTCGTAGAGAGAAAAGGGCTGCAGGCGGTGCCTCTCGTTTGCAAGCAATCTCAAAATTGCAGGGTGGAACTCATCGCGATGTCGAGGATGACGTTGGTATGGCTCATCATATTTTCTTTTACATGCCAACTGCTTGGGCCTACTGACATTCCATTGCAGTCAAACCCATTTCATTCAATGCTTCACAGCAGTCGGGTACCGCAACTCCCGATCCTGAGGAGATCGATATCTCCCAGCACCACTATACCCCAGCCTCGCAGCCGCGGAGGCCATCTCCTTTCTCCTTCGACTCCGACTCCGCTCCCTCGTTTGGTCCAGGACAACCGCCCGGTATGGACCAGGACATGATGGCTATGATGCAACAAATTATGGGGGCCAGCGGCGGCGGAATGCCTGGAGCTCCTGGACAGCAACCTGGTGCCCCCGGAGACATACCTCCGGGTCTTGGTAATCTCCTCTCTGCCATGCAGGGTGGCGACGCACAACAACCATCACCAGAGAAGTCGTCGGCATGGGTATGGCGCCTCGTACATGCTCTATTCTCATTCGCGCTGGCGTCATACATCGTCCTCAAAACCCCGTTTACTGGCTCCAAAGTCGCTCGCTCAGTTCAGGAAAAGGATGACTGGGCAGAGCTAGACTCGACAAATACTTTTGGTCACTTCTTCTACCTTTTCGCTACGTTTGAGGTCATTCTGCAGTCTTCTCGTTTCTTCGTCGAGAAGGGACAATTGCAAGGCAGCGGGCTCTTGAGCACCGTGGGACAGCTGCTTCCGCAACCATATGCAGGATACGTTAGGGTTATAGGCCGTTATAGTGTAATTTACAACACTGTGGTGGCGGATGCGATGGTCGTCGTTTTCGTGCTAGGTGCAACGAGTTGGTGGAATGGAATCGCCGCTGTGTGATGACCTCAATCAGGAAAATGAATCCTCCTATCTACACATCAAAACGCAGTGCTGCATTTGACGACATCCACTTTCTGCCCCACTACCTCAACCGATATTATCTCTCTTTTCGTGGGCGATCCCAAAAGATATGTCGTATTTTCGTTGTACAACCGCACCGTTGCATTCGCTAGTACCAGGTTGCTACTGTGACGAAACCTTGGCTGTGGTTCAGCAAAGGAAGGTCGATCATCGGGAAGCAGCATAGTGGGGATGACGGGGTCAAGGGATCCCTGTCATTTCTCATGTAGATTTACTCGCTTTACCAACTCGTACATGTTGTGTACACAAAAAACGGCCCTTATCAGGGAACTCTCGTACGATTCTTGCCGATACTGTGCTACCACGTCACCCGAAGTCTGCGATGCTGCTTCAAACCGAGATCAGTGGTTAGAACGATGAGTTTAGACGGGTAATCAATTCTGGAAAAACGGAGAAATTGTATCTACAAGTGACTTTTCAGAATGTGAAATGCCGAATGAGCAAATGTTACACGATACCCCCTCATTTCCATGTCTCCTTTACACATGCGTTTTGCGGTCTGTCTCATTCGCTCGTCTGGTTAAAACCATGTGGCAGGGCAAGGGGTGATGTCGAATCGAGATTCTCGCGAATCTTTTTTCGATACGGTTCACACCGATTATGATCTGATCCCGCAACATCGAATTCTTCACTTTCCCCATGCTTAAATTGCTATACCCTCCTCATCTCTACACCGCAAAACCATGATTGCCCTTCACTCGTTCATTCTTAAGAACCTCCATGCTCTCGGGAGATGTGAATGATCTCGGATGTCACATTCAGTCTTCATTGGCTCACATGTCTCAATTGGCATTTTCTACAGAGTACACCACATGAACTACGAAATCAGAGAACGAGAATATCGCCAAGTCTTATCGATTGTATACTATCAACTATTTTCAACTTGTGTATGTGTAGGTTATATACTCCGTGAGACTGACATATCGTCATTCCATTCTCCGTTCTCCAGCGTCTTCCTTGATAGTTTGTTCATCCTTACAAGTCTGGTCGTCTTTGTACGGATGGATGAATGGGCCATCTATGCATGCAAGATATGTCCTGATCCATCATGATACATATGTACGCACCTCATCTCGCGGGAAGACGGAATAACTTGCAAGACAGGCAGAAAACCAACGGGAATTCAGAAACAGTTACTTGGTTCTCGTCAAAGGAGTCAATATAAAATGGCAGGCAATTGGATGGCAAACCCGAAACGAATCGATGGGTGAACACACATGTATATGCATATTTCGGCTTTTATATGGCTTATTTTCGATATACTTTCTCGGCTGTCCTGCTACGACACCGCTGATTCTATGCTTTGCATGTGATGTTGATACAAAAAGATACACATATTGATACAAACACCCCATCCCTCCTCTTTGCTTTACTACATCAGTCCGAAATATCCTACTCTTGAACCAAAGAATATCTACACACTAGGCGGCATCACCCCGAGCAATCCTCATCAACTCCTGCTCATGTCTCTCCCGCATAAGCTTATCCCTCACAGTCTGTCGATCCCTCTCACTAGTCTCCTTGAACTTCTGCACTTCCTCCCACTCTTCCTGCTCTTCTGGTGTCATCTCAATCACTTCCGCGCCCGTCTTCGCAATTAACTGCTCGAGGATGGTCAGCTCGGACATGGAGCGAATGTCGATGGTGTGTTCGGGCTTCGCTGTGTCAGGCGTGAGCGTGTTTTGTGCGTTCGGCGTGCTGGATGGCGGCGTGGGGGCCTTGGTTGCGGGATTGGTGGACGTGTCGGGAGGGAATGCGGTGGTGTAGATGTGGAGGAGCGAAGGGCCTTCTGCTTGTTCGTGACGTGAGATTTCGATGGGGATTGCGGGGTTGCGGAATTTTATTCGGGGGAGCATTTCGCGCCAGAATTTCCTGGGACATGTTAGAGTGGCACTGATTCATTTTCTGGTTTGGTGTTTCGTGACGGATGGGTGTGATTGAGATGCGCTCGTTTCGAGACTTCCGATCTCTCAATTGTGTTTTTGTGTGAACGTGTCTGAGATGAATATCTAATGTGTAGATACTTTCGAGACGCGATTGTATGAGACGAGACTCAGAGAGTCGTACCTGGCTCCATGATGTCCTCCGTATATCTTTTTATTGAACTCCATGCTGATCTTCGAGACGTTACTCGGCAGTACGAGTGCACCAGGTCCTGTCCGTATCCATAATAGCTATGTACCGAGGTGTCAGTAATTATCGTGTACAGGAGGGTTGCTCGGCGGTCGTCGTGAAAAAGGGCTTCTCGGGGTTCTCGGGGGTGTATGGATCAATTGTGTACCTTCTGTCACAGCTGTTAGCATTGATCGCTCGTTGTCAATTACTCATCAGTGAAAGATGCGGGACCTACATGGCGCAGCACGCGCATGCGTTTTGTTAAGTTGACCATGGTGTTTGATGTATTTGAGTTGGAAATTGTTGTTGCGGAGCTTCAAGGGTGGTCGCATCTCAATTTCTGGGCCGATGTTCAGCCGACAAGGCTTGTGGGTGGCACGCACGGTCAAGTGCCGCATCACACATCATGTATTATAGTAATCCAGATATGAATTACAGCCACTAAGTAGGAAAAAGATATTTTTGTACCAGAAAGAACATTCTGTCGAATGACCGAGCCAAACTGATTCCTCACTACGCCGCCTCCCTACATGACGATCTCCTTATAAGAGACCCCAAAAAATGGTTCGATTATAAGAAACATGTACTAAGCACCATAACCTGACCGAAGTAAAACCCAAATCTATATTCAAGTACCCATATTACGTGCTTTCGAAGCATATTCAGCAGACAGAATTGTAGTGCCGAAGCAAAAGGGGATCACAATTGTTCGTGGCCTAAAGGCAAGCTAGAACGGCAATTACTGTGCTGGCTGGGCAGCAGCTCGTGGAGCAGGACCCTGACCGCGGCGACCCCTGAATAATTATTAGCAGATGTATTAGAGAAGCACCAAACCAAACTCACATTATAGTCCGGCTCATGAAGGAGATCAAGATCATGGGCAACCACGAGGGCATCTTGGAGAATCCCCAAATAACATAAGCGAGCGGAACCGCCAAACCGTATTGCTGGAGAGGTCCGTTGAAGGGGTGGAAGTAGCCCTCGTAAGGCACCACATTCTCGAGCTCATTGTCCAGCACCAGCTTCTTCAACGTGTCCGTAGTAGTAGATGTACGGTTCAAAGGCTGGTAGCGAACAGTAGCAGCGGGGGCTGACTGGTCGGCCAGGGGCTTGGGGATCTGGAAGTAGTACAGCGATGGAGGACCGACAGACCACGAGTTGCAGAGCACAGGTTGGGCATCGCAGTCAATGACGGCGAACTTGGGCGGGTTGGGCTTCGCTGCCAGAAGCGGGAGCGATGTCTACAGTCGCGTCAGCACTACGCTTCATATCGGAAGTTAGAAGAGAGAGGGGGGGATGAGAACATACATTCCAAGCCTTGGTGGTGTTTCCACAGAATCCGAAGCAGGTCGCGTTGCCGCCCGTGATGTACACGAGCCATTCTTGCGTGGTTGGGGTGCTCACGGAGGGGTCGACGGTGAGTGTCTCTTTCCAGTTCTCGAGAGTGAGTTCGTGCTGGATGGATTCGGCAGCTTTGGCGCGACCAGAGGCAACGGGCGACGAGGCAGCGGCAGGAACAGCCGACGAGACGGCAGCGGTAGCCTGTGCGAACCAGCCCTTGAGCTTGTCAACAAGCAGAACCTGATCCTGGGCCACAGTTGAGGCCGCGAAGGCGAGAACGAGCGCAGATGATGGGCGCATGTTGTTGGCGGTTGGCGGTGGATGAAGAAGACAGGATGGTCAGGTTGAGGATGGACGTATGACTTTGGTGGCTGCTTGACACTGTCAGTCAACTTGATCAGGGTCTGGGCTGATGATGGCTGGTGCGGCCGGTGGTTCGCGCAATATTTTGTGGGGCTTGCTGCACCAAATGCTCGCTCGCGGGGTACGCGGAAGCCTGAGATGAGGGCGGTTGTTTGCCACACGGCTACTCACCTTTTGGCGTTCAAGAGATCACGACAAGATGCGATCAAGACGACCTTCGATGGGATGAAGCGGGGGAAGGATGATATGATGGGGTATAGTGACGAGGGCGAAGGCAGCAGCGCGATAAGTAAGAGTACTGGAATCAAGGTAAACAGGAGCTCGCATCTGCTTACTTGGCGCATGAGCGTGCATGGGGTAATAATTCATTTCGCATCTGGCTGGATGTCTATAGGACGACAGGCCCAAAAATCCCCCAATTCCATCCATGTTATTTGCTGGAGCTTGGGCCGCAAACAAAACAACGCCCCCTATTCGCCGCCAGCTCCAACCGTTGGTTGACTGGCCGAAGCGGACAACCAAAACAATCGTTGTGTTTTCCGAGACCTCTGCTTGTCGACTCACCCAGTCACCTCTCACGCCTCATCCATCATGAAGTTCGACAGCTTGACTGCGCTCGTTGCCATCTCGACCGCCTTCCTGGGTGCGTCTGCAGGTCCAATGGCGGCAAAACGGCAAGGTATGTGATCATCGGATACACGGTAGAACATTCGTGGTCCTACAAGCTTCCATGCTGACATTCGGCCTACTATAGACAGCTCAGCGACTTCAGCCAGTTCCTCAGCTTCCTCTTCGTCTACCGCATCATCTACCTCCTCTTCGGCTTCCACCCCTCAAATCTCCGAAGGTCTCGTTCCAACCACTCTCAGCGACGGCACCGTAACGACCACATCGGTCCGGGACCCCCAATTCACAGAGACTTCCTCTACAAGTTCCGACACCACATCATACACCTTTTCGCGAACAGGCCTGCCCGTTCCCGCGAGCACAAACTTCCCTCAATGCCACGACACCGGTGCGAAGCCTTTCTGTCTGCCCAACAACAACACTCCTGTCTACGTTGGGAAGACGTACTATGCCACCTGGAACGCCGACTTCTTCCCGCCCAATTCCACGGTTCAGATCAAGGTTCAATGGACCAATGATTCCAAGGTGGAAACATATTCATCGGAGAACATCCCCAACCAGCTGGGCTACGCTGCTGTGAGCATGGAAAAGGATTGGCTTCAGGGTACGTCGAGTTTGTACACATGTTGCTCGGAGAAGTGACTGACATTGATTTCATAGGCTACGACCTATATAACCTGACTTTTCGCGCTGTGAACTTCGACAGCGGTAATCCCAAGAAAAAGGCCGAGGTTTTCGACGGCCCAATGGTTACTCTTGGCTACGCACCCATTGAGCATTACCCTCCATCCCGGCCAACACAATTCAACAAAGAGGGCTTGATGATTGGACTACCCGTCACCCTTGGATTTGTTCTGATCGTTGTCGTCGGTCTGTACATTGGCATGCGTAAGAACCGTATCATCGGCGTCGGAAACATCATGGGACGCAAACGTGGTTACGGCGCGGGCAAGAGCAGGAGACAGCGTATGGGTCTGGGCAAGAAGGGTGCTATCAGGCTAGAAGATAGGGAAGCATCTCGTGCACAGTATACTCCTGCCAACGGGCACAGTCGTGGCGATAGCCTTGGGAGTCTTGTTAGCGACGATGGTCGTCCGGCGCCAGGTACAAACCATTTCAGGGATGAGATCCAGCGACAGCAGACCGGCCGTTGAGCTGCAAGTACACGACCCCAGCTAGAAACGCATGTTATTCAAGTTTGACGTCGTGGAGCCAATGTCACCACGAGCAAAGATGGTCTAATGTTGAGATGAGGTGGCAAATGACGTCTGTAACAATAATGTATGAATCCGCAGTCTTACTCAACAGTTTTCATCGATGCCCTCATATCCATTCCAACCCCTCTTTCCCATCTCCACGCCAAGTCCTGCCACCCTTGCCTGTCCCACTTGCATGCACATAAGTGCCTATAGATCCCTCCCCACAACTCGGTACCATGTATCTCAACTACCGGGTTCGAGATTCGACGTAACGTTACCAGCTGCGACGGAGAAGAGCGGCGTATGGTGGAACATGCGTTTCACAGATCACGCCTATGTCTGTCCTTTCGGTTGGACCACTCTGTTGGAACACGAAGCGCAGATGCGGTGGTGAAGATAGTGTGTACGTGGATGTTCAAATGTTCAAATATTCAGAGGGCTATACGTGATCGAGATTATGATGGCTGCTTACAGTATGAAGCTTAGCATAGAAGATATGTTGCTATGCAATGTCTGGCTTTCTCAGTGTGCCTTTTGCGTAACATCACTTGACGCCCGGGCAGAACATTCAACATCTGTTTGAATGCTTGATGGCGCCAAAGGTCACATGACTGCGTGTTTCCATGCACATGTGGATTTGGGAGTCTTGACTGGCGATTGAAGCGTGATGCAAGTTCCCAATACCATAATCTTTCTCTCGTAGCGATATTTGAAGTTAGCGACGGTGCAATAATTATCGGCTATTGATTGAATGTTTAATTGCACGAATGGACGGCAGTATTAAACATCAATTAATGGCTCTTGTTCGATGCATTGAGAACGCACGGACCCTGCCCGAAATTCTTCCAACTGGCCGACCTCCGCCTTCTCCATCCTCACAACATCAGCCATCTCGCAGTGGCTGCTATTCTAGCCATGCCGCCATCCTGTCAATTGCTCTCTGGGAGCCTCCCTACGGCTCGCGTGGCCTTCTCTTTATCTCAAACTACACAGCGCGGATTCTCTTCGTCGTCAACGCTCTACAAGAACCCCCTCGCTCGAAGACGCGGCGGTGATCTCGGAAAACACGAACCCAAATACATTATCCCGCAAGATGCGAAGATACCCGAATACCCCTACGGACCCAACCTGTTATTCAAGCAATCGAACAAGGGCTTGTATGGTGGCCAGATGATACAGTTTGGAAACAACATTTCGAGGAAGACGAAAACCACAACACGCCGTTTCTGGAAGCCCAACGTACTCTCCAAGGGTCTCTACTCTGTTGCCCTGAAGAAGAGGGTCAATCTACGTGTTACTTCTAAAACACTGAGAGTCATCGATAATGAGGGTGGGCTGGACAACTACTTGCTGAAGCCTTCGGACAGCCGCATCAAGGAGCTTGGTCCGTTGGGCTGGGCATTGCGCTGGACATTAATGCAGAAACCCGAGATCATTGAAAGGATGCGCGGTGAAGCTGCAGCTCTGGGAATACCACAAGAGCAGATTGATCAGCACTGGCCAACACCAACCCGTTCTCTTGCCGACCGGGAAGCATCCGAACAGTCTGTTCTCACCTCCATCGAGCGAGCTGCCGGGCTTCCAATGCGACGTCCTGAAAATGAAAAGGAGATAACGGAGGCGGCAGAGAAGGATTATCTGATGGCTATGACCGCCGCCAAGCGATACAAAGAGAGAGGTTTAGTCGACTCCCTCAACGAGGCTGTCCGGTTGGCTTTCATTCGGGAAAACACGCGAGCAATACACCGACAGAAAAATCTGGAGGCTGCCCAGGAGGCGAAGAGGGAGCACCCAGGAATCTTGGCGGAAAGAAGGGCGACTAACAAAGCAAAACGCGAGGAATGGATCAAGTCTTTGGGTGGACAAGACGCATACACCAAGATGAGAAAAGAACAGACAGCTCAGACTTTGCAACAAGCCTTCAATGCGATGACTGATGAGACCATGCCCGAACTGGAGCGCACGTACTACACAAACGCCATCGAGAAGGCCAGGCGTGCGACGGAGGCTGGATCTGTCGAAGCCTACGCCGAAGCCACTGTGATCGCAGCAATGACGGAACAAGCTGAGGCGGATGAATCTTCTTCCTTGGCATGGGCTGCTATTGCCGACCAGGCCGCGAACCCTAGCACCGAGACGAGACCATCTGCGTAGACTGGACTGTGGTTATCAATCACATGGCGTGCTCGGAATATGTGAGCGTTTGTTTTGTATACTATTGTCGCACATTGTATCATGTATCACCAGCTACTTCAAAACTGTGTTCTATACTTTTGGTGGTCTTAGCTTGTGTATACTCGACTTGCTGGCGTGAATTCATAGATGGACGAAGACTACCAAGGAGACGTTACAGTCCTTTACTTATTTTTCTCGGGATCCCCCGACTTGTATGATACTCCTGTCTGCTCGTCTGCCGCCTACATGCCATCGACTTGACGCTCATGCGTTTCCGACTATACATTCGAAGTTGGTACACCTTCAAGCGGCTAGTATAGGACAAATTCGCGTCATTACTCAACCACCATCTGCATACTGTCCAAGACAATTATCCTTCGATGTCTAGATGATCATCCACCACAACACACACACACACACATTGCTGGCCCCACTAATCCAATAAGCAGCTTTGGAAGTCGTATAGCATCTACTGCAACTCGCAGGCGCTATATAGATTAGCCATGACGTGGATCCTTGCTACTTTCGATCGTCCATATTGCATAGTTCCTCTCCGGCCCTATTACGGGAATACCTGGTACCTGGAGTTTGGACAACAGAGAGGTGTAACAGATTGTTAGACGTTTATCGGATTGTTGTTTGTCTGCTTCCGGTAAAAGTCGTATCATCGGACCTCCGTATCTTTTGAGGATCGTGGTCAAATGGCCTGAGTATGCTGTTGATGCATCACCCCGGTCGTGTTTCAGGATGTGCATGTTTCCTCGATCACTTAATGGGCACTGAGAGCGTCACCCGGCTGGATCAGGTACACTATATCTTTGTCTCGTACGTCCAGACTTCGCGATCATCCTTTCCGTCTACGCTTTAGGCCTCACTATCGAGTAAATTCTGTCCATGTTTATGCTCCCAGCAATATAAAAACCGGCATTGAACCATGGAACTAGAATTTATAACGTGTCCATCTTATACTCTCCCCATTGGTTTATTTATAACACTCCTTTGACCCGAGTTGCACAACAAACACAGTGGCTAATAGAAGCATTTCTCACATCACATACCTCACCACATCCATCGCGCCACAAAACACTCTATCTTCGACACGCACCTGTCCCCTTCGACCATCTCGCTTCTCGCTAGACTGGTACTCAAGCAACCAACGCCCGAGTTAAGCATTGTTTCCGGCACTTAACAGCACTGCCTAATTGGCTCGTATGCGGGAGTCGGTTATGCTTGACGTACCCCACAGCGCGCCGCGTGCCCGATCCCGGTCTTTAATCTATGCAAGCATGTTAAACTCCCCGGACGCACCCTATACACTTAACATCAAAGGGGGAGGGGAGCCCGGTGGATAAAGTAGCGCCATATATACAGGCGGACGAAAGGGGACGTGGCAAAAGGAAAGAGAAGAAGTGGACATTTTGTTCGAAACATGTGTCACGTTCCCCACATACACATGAACTGAATTAATCAAGGGCAGTTCCTTGCACGCTTCTGTATACAGTGTTAACCCCTTCAAGTAATTCGTCACAAACTATATAAACACTGCTGGAGATCCTCCTCAGTCACGTCTATTCTTTCCTTCTCACCCCTCGCAGAACACAAAAGTCCCACGCCAACACCAAGCCACACAAGATGAAGTTCACCACTACAGCAGCGGCCCTCTCTCTCGCCTCCCTGGCATCCAGCACCCCCGTCGAGCTCTCCGAGCGCCAATCCTGCCCCAAAGTCTACGTCTTCGGTGCCCGCGAAACTACCGTTTCCCCCGGCTACGGCACAGCCGGTGGTCTCGTCCAGCAAGTGCAGAATGCGTACCCAGGAACCGGCGCCGAAGCTATCGTTTACCCTGCCTGCGGTGGTCAGGCTTCGTGCGGTGGTGCTAGTATGTTTGACCCCGTTGTTTTTTTCACTTTCGTTTTCTGTTTTTGAGGTTGCATGGGAAATGGAGAGATCTAGGTGTCAATAGATGAAGCAGTGATGCTAATCATGACGAACCATGTAGGCTACGACAGCTCAGCGAGCCAAGGCACCGCAGCCGTCGTCAAGGCTGTGACGGCATACAACCAGAAATGTCCCGATACGCAGATTGTGGTCATTGGGTACTCCCAGGTACGTTTCTCCCCCAGCCAGTGAAAGACAAATAGAAGAGAACTGACGATTTAACAAAGGGCGGCCAAATCTTCGACAACGCCCTCTGCGGCGGCGCAGGCCAGACCCTCTCCGGCAACGCGCTCAAAGCCGTCAAAGCCGCCATCTTCATGGGCGACCCGCATAACCAGGTCGGACTTCCTTACAACGTTGGCACGTGCCAGGCTGGTGGTGTAAGTTCCATCCTTTCCTCGAACTCTCCAATCCCACACCTCTTTGGATGAGAGTTTCTTGTAACGTGAGTACTGACTGTGGGGATAGTTCGCCGCCCGTCCTCAAGGCTTCAAGTGCTCGCCCGCCGACTCCAGCATCATCAAGTCTTACTGCGACTCGTCGGATCCTTACTGCTGCAACGGCAACGATGCCAACTCGCACCAGCAGTACGTTAACAAGTATGGTAGCCAGGCTTTGGCTTTCATCAAGTCCAAGATCACTGCTTAGGTGAGGGAAGGGTTTTTTGTGCGTGGAGATTAACAGGGGAGTGTTCTTGTTGTATATACTCAAGTAGTTATTGGATTTCGTCATTTGATGAGCCCTCAAAAACCAAGCCTTGACATTGATTGTTTTGAAGACTTTGATGTGTTGCTTATGTGGTGTGATAGGATCTGATAGTTTTTGGTGCATGTGTTGGCTGAGTGATGAAAGGTGTTTTCTGGTTGAGAATCGAAGATTCATGAATAGTGAAAATGACTGTTTGCGAGGTAATAATATCCATTTGACTATTTGCTAACAATTCAATATTATCAAGTTCCCAAGAAATCAATCCGGGAACGTTGCTCCTGATCATGTACTCAGAAAGTGTACATTCGTAGTTGACGCGAAGTTGACCTTATCTGCAGACTCGCGTAACCACACACTCTGATATCGCAATCTAAGTAAATTACTCACGTCCCGATAAATATATAGCTGTGTATAGCTCTGTCAGTCTCGTTATCATAATGGGCCGTGGTAGGTCTCGCAATCTCCCTTCTCAAAGAGGGATCTCCGTTCAACATTGTAACTCATGATTGTAACCTTGAACGCGTTAATGCAGTGGTAAAGCGCGATAAGGCAGACGGCGATTTCATAGCTATTACGCGTACATATGAGATCGCATTCTTTGAAGCGGGATAATCTGGATAATTTGAAGGGGCCAATCTTTTGCGCAGTTGATATTGTTGATGCGAACTGCAGTGTACCAAGGCGTATACGAGGCTGATTTTTGTACAGTACTTATATGGCCTACAATGCCAGTGGACTTTTCCGACATCTCGAAAATACCATGATGAAATCCTTCAAAGCGGGATTCCACAACGTCAAACGCACTCTGTGCCGTTTCTGGAAGCAATGGGGTCTTCGAATCTCGGCTACTTTTTGGATCGCAAGTCTTTTGGGTACTTGGATCTTCTTAATCGTTTATTCCGTGAGTCCTTGGGACGGTGAGAGCGCTTGTGTACTGGACGGGGTTTTTACCTTGTATCCGAATTCAAATTCTTACTGGAGTACTGCTGGCTTCTTTCAGATCACACTATCTTTTAGCAAATTAACGTTTGCGCAAGCCAAGGTGGTCGATGTTGCTTGGGACCTGGTATGAGCCTACTACCTGCGAGACAATTTGGATTGCTAATTTGTCACTGAAGATTGTGGGTCGCGGCGGGCAAACTGTTATGGCGATTATCAGCTGGCGAACCTTCGTTTCCTACATGGCTAGAAGCATGAGAATAACTCCGGTATGTCTCAGCATGATAGTGTCGAACATAGGGTAGATCCATTCAACGGTTTATAGGTAAACTATAGTTCCTACCGAGCTATCTTCCTTGAGCACAGTCCGAACATATACTCTATCAGCCGAATGCTGCGCGATTTTGCAACCCGAAGAGGCTTACGCTCTCGAGTAGCTATGGTCTTTATGATTTCGAGCATGATTTTTATCCTCTCGTTTCCTACTCTTGCGAGCTCAATGACAGGATATACTACTAGCGTTACAACTGCCATCAAAGACTATCGAAATAACACTGTTCCCTTTGATCAATTTGGTTTATTGTTCTCTAAATCTTCCAGTGCAAGTGAGCATGGGCTCGACGCGTCTTATCTGAGATGTCAACGCAATCATTGTACGATTTCACCACTTTCTAATTGGAGTGATGCTAATGTATCCTAGCGGACCCGACCATCGATAATACGATGCTCAATCTCATCATGTAAGACTCATATCAGACCAACAACAAATACAACCTGATGATATAAGTGATTATGATGGTCCATATGAAAGGTCCTGCGTTCAATGTAAGTTGCTGTTCTTCCGTACACTTTATTGTTCCACGTCTATGGGTACTCTGCTACTGATTCACGCTTACATCTAACCAACGTCAAGACACGGAAGAACAGGGATCCTCTCCTCAAAATCAGACCTCTCAATGGATGACTTTGGACCTCGTGCCCCCAGTACTCGACTATAAAATATTCGACAACAGTGGACAGAGTTTTAGTGGCCAAAAATTGATATGGGAATACTCGGGCGATTTGTACGTACAAACATATATTCAGCGACAAGGTATTGGAACATGCCAACGAAATCAGGTATTCGCCAACTTTCATTGTGTAAGCGTAGCCATTACCCTAACATATACATCTCGTAGGACTATCGTTGGGGATGCTCATTCATCCAACTGTTTGTCGTTCTGTCCCTGCTTTTAATATGGAGCATTGGGACACTGATCATGTTTGTACGCTCGAAGAAAGGAGGTACACTCCCAATCGACGGAGAGTACAGATCTGTCATCAGCTTCGCCACAGCCATGTCACAGGAACTGAATCTCGATTTTGCGTCAACGACAGAAGATGATATCAAGACGGCGGTTCGAAGAATCGGCGGTGGTGGCATATACTACCCATCACCTGCTGTCTCGAAATTCCGGTCGGTTGGCCGAGTCTTGAAGGACTGGCTTCACGGCAGAGAATGGTGGCTACTTGCGTTCATTTTATCCTCAACTCTTGTTTGTTTTTTCCCATTTTCGAACATTCCTTACGGGAGACTGAGGGCTTATCTGTGGTATTCATCCATTGGGCCACTGCTGGGGACTTTTATTGCATTGTTGTCAGGAGCGACTACAAAACGCCGCCTGGTGTTCTTTTCGATACCCACCCTATTGTCTTTTACTGCGTCGATCCCTATATTCACGGTCACTCAGTGAGTTTCGAAGAACCTGCGATTCGAACAAGTAATGAGATGAACCTTCTACGAGGACAAGTTCAGATGGCATCCTTCCCCTTAATGATTCGAGTCAAGCCATGGCTTTAGCCTATCAGATTAGCAGGACTAAATCCATATAAGCGACGAATCAGAAGCGACTGATCTGACATTGAGCACTAAAAATATGAAACAGAAGCGAGGCCGGCCGATCCGTTTCGTACACAGAGCTCGAGCCGAGGTCAGTGATTGGCTGCGTGGCACCTTATGCGTTGGGCACGATGTCGAATTCAGGATGCGCGTACCGGCAGTAACCACAATGGGTGGCCATGAGTTGCTTGCCCATAGGGGGGCGTGCAAACTCCACCTTTTGTACTCCATCGCCCGGTCACGTTGTGATCGAGGGCCATCTCACATTCATTTGATTTCAAACTCAGCTACATTCTTTACTTATTTTCCAACGACTTACCGGCACCATGCCGTCCCTGTATCGCCTGACTGCGGTCGCGGTCCAGCTGATTGCCCTCGCCGCAGCAGCATCAACATACGGATCCAAAGATGAGCCCGATTACGACTGGGTGAAGGATTCCTTGCCCAGCTGCTTCGAGGATTGTCTTGGTAAGACGAGCGATGGCTGCCATTCCCAAGAATGTAAGTGTACCCATTTCCGACTTGGCGTATTCCAGCGACTGACGAGCCTGTTTAATAGGTATATGCAGCGCCAGCCAGAGCGACGACTACCTACAGAGCGCAGTCGAGTGCGTACGAGACGAATGCGAGAAGGAGGGCCTCGAAATCAATGTCGCGCTTCTAGTACCCGCGCAGCTATATTGCTCAGCAGTGGGCAGCAGCATCCCCGATGACTCTGTGAAGAACGCATATGAATGTGCCATGGGAGGCAATGTTCCATCGGCGACGCACAAGTCCGCAACATCGACCGCAAAGCAGCATTCCGAGAGCGAGCTCAAGAGCACAGTGACGAGCACATTCAGCATGACCACCACGGATGGCAAAGGACACACCCTTCAGATTGTTCAGCCTGTGGCCGTGGGGCCAAGCACAGTCAGTACTGGCGACGCAGTTACCTCTACACTGGGCAGCAGTTCCTCCTCTTCCGCCTCGAAGTCTGCGTCTTCATCGTCCCCCTCCACTACCGCAGCTCCCAACCAGCCCGCGCAAGTTTCCTCTGCCGCCCCGACCCAGGCACCCGTCAGCACATCATCGCCGACACAACGAGTGGAAGACGGCGGAGGAAGTCCTTTTGTAAATATGCAAGCAAGCGCAGTGCACTGGTCATTTTCAGGGCCAGTGGCAGCATTGGGAGTCGTTGCGGGGCTGTTCATGAGATTATAGTGTGCATTGCTACATATTTGCAGGGATTTCCCGGTAGGGGTGGATCTGTAATTAGAGACATAATTATAATTGTATTTGACAAGGAGGGAATCACATGCAAGCCATGCACGGTTAGTAGGATAAGGGAGTGGGGATGGAGCGGGTAGTGATGCAAGGCCAACATCACGCAAGGCAGTCTTGTCTATAACGAAGAATCTATCAACAGCTCGTTAAGGCAGAAGCTTGCGAAAGTCAACGTCAGCTCGTATGCTGCACGTTGCTTGAATTCTCCGAAACCCTCTCATTTGGCTCAACATGGCTTGGCACAATCAAGCGCCGCACTGCTACATCTGTATGTACATGCTAGTAAGATGATGTTCGGCCGAACACTGCTCGACCACGTCTGTATACAAACGGATCGGTATACGAAAATGTCCGTCTTGACGCGGTCTGAATTCCTTTTCGCAGACTCGGCCGACAACAGGTAGTTACATAATCATGATCGACCCATCACAGAACCCTGACGTGGCTCCCACGAGCCGAGGCAGCGTGTCACTGATACGGTCTTAAACCACATCCCCGACCGACTACTCGCTCGGGGGTACCGATTCTCTAGTGCAGCTGTGCGTGTTCCGAATTCCACACTACACCAGCCCCAAAACCTGTCAGGGGGGGACCATATTCTTAGATAAAGCCAGAGCTGCCCGTGTGATTACTACTGCTTCAATTCCTTACTTTTTTCGTCAATCAGAGCATTTCAAACTCCAATGACGGAATACGAGCCCATTCCAGGGCCGCCAGGCCTGCCAATTTTGGGTAATATCGGTGATATTGATCCCGCAAACCCTATGCTGTCTTTCAGTCGCTTGACTGATACATATGGTGGGTTTCTATGCTAGCAGACGTTCTTAACTGTCCGTATTGACAGAACCCCTCAGGCCCCATCTGGAAATTTAACGTCAGAGGAGACCGCGTTGTGATAGCTTCGCAAGCTTTAATGCGCGAAGTTGCCGATGAATCGAGATTCAAGAAAATTGTAGCGGCTGCCTTGGGCCAAGTGCGGAATGGCACCCATGATGGTCTCTTCACAGCCTACGGGCCTGAGGAGAAGAATTGGGGCATTGCACACCGAGTCTTGCTCCCTGCTTTGGGACCCCTGGCCATCAGGAACATGTTCAACGAGATGCACGATATCGCTTCTCAATTGGTCATGAAATGGGCCCGTCAGGGCTCCGATACAAGAATCCACGTGACGAATGATTTCACAAGACTGACTTTGGACACGCTTGCGCTGTGCGCCATGGATTACCGTTTCAACTCGTACTACTCGGAGCAGATGCATCCTTTCGTTGAGGCCATGGCAGATTTCCTCAAAGTCAGTGGAGACCGAGCGCGTCGGGACGGCATTACCCAACTTTTCTACCGGACCGAAACAGCACAGTATTGGGAAAATATTGAGCTTATGAGGAAAACCAGCGAGTCCGTCATTACGAAACGCAAGCAGAACCCTACCGAGAAGAAAGATTTGTTAAACGCTATGCTGAATGGTGTGGATGCTAAGACAGGAGAGAAGATGAGCGAGTCTAGTATCATTGACAATATGATAACCTTCTTGATCGCTGGTCACGAAACCACTTCTGGGTTATTGTCATTTGTGTTTTACTTCCTTCTGAAGAACCCACAAGCATACAAGAAGGCACAAGACGAGGTCGATCAAGTAATTGGCAAAGGAGCAATCACAGTCGACCATCTCACAAAAATTCCTTACATTAACGCAGTTCTTCGCGAAGCCCTCCGATTGCAGCCTACAGCCCCATCTATTGGCCTTCAAGCTAAAGAGGATTCTGTTCTTGGCGGAAAGTACGAGGTCAAAGCCGGCGTGCCCATCCTTTGTCTTTTGGCGAAGCTTCATCGCGACCCTGTTGTATGGGGTGAAGATGCCGAAGAATTCCGACCGGAGAGGATGCTCGACGAGGAGTTTGAGCGACGCAACAAAGAGTACCCCGACAACTGGAAGCCCTTTGGTAGTGGCATGAGAGGCTGCATTGGACGGCCATTTGCCTGGCAAGAAGCACTGCTGGTAGTGGCTATGCTCCTCCAAAACTTCAACTTTACCTTGGACGATCCGGCATACCAACTCCACATCAAACAGACGTTGACGATCAAACCGGATGAGTTTTATATGCGAGCCTCCCTTCGCGATCACATGTCGGCAACTACTCTCGAGAGGGCCCTCGCATCTGCCAGCCTGGACGAGCCGACTGGACAGACGCAGACTACGACAAGCAAAAAGACTGCTCAAGGGAAACCCTTGGCCGTCTACTATGGCTCGAACAGTGGAACTTGCGAAGCCCTCGCGAACCGTATCGCGAGCGATGCTGGTAATCACGGGTTTACTGCCGTCACAATCGATGTTCTCGATAAAGCCAAGGAGAATCTCCCCACTGACAAAGCTGTCGCTATCGTCACCGCGTCTTACGAAGGTCAACCTGCAGACAACGCTGCTCACTTCTTCACTTGGCTCGACGGGTTGAAAGGCTCAGAGTTGGATAAGGTTACGTACGCCGTCTTTGGATGCGGCCACCGGGACTGGGCCACGACATTCCACAAGGTTCCCAAAGCGATTGATGAAATTATGGCGGCAAGAGGTGCTGACAGGCTGGTGGAGATTGGGACTGCTGACGCTTCTCAAGGTGACATCTTCACTGATTTTGAAGCCTGGGAGGATAAGGTGTTTTGGCCGGCCATGAAGGAGCGATATGGTATTTCCGACGCTGTTGATGGCGTCTTCGAAGCGACCTTTGACGTTGATGTATCGACACCCCGGTCTACAATGCTTCGACAGGATGTGCAAGAAGCAAAGGTTGAAGCCGTCGAGGTTCTTTCCGCCCCTGATGTTTCTGAGAAGAGACACATCGAGATTAGCTTGTAAGATGCCCCATGTTCGCTCTATATGGGCAATTACTGACTCTGTGAACAGGCCATCAGGCATGCAATACTCAGCAGGAGACTACCTAGCCATCCTCCCCATCAACCCCAAAGAAAACGTCGCTCGAGCTATGCGACACTTTGGCCTCGCCTGGGACAGCGCACTCACGATCACTTCCTCCAGCCCTACAACCCTCCCCTCAAATGCCCCATGCCCAGCCTCAGACATTTTCGGCGCATTCGTCGAGCTCGCCCAGCCAGCCACCAAGCGGGACCTCACCTCTCTCATCGGCGCTACATCCGACGAGCCCACCAAAAAAGAACTCACCCATCTCCGCGACGAAGCCCTCGGTCCAGAAATCACCGAGAAGCGCGTCTCTGTCCTCGATCTCCTGGAGCGCTTCCCCACAGTCCAACTCCCTCTAAAAACATTCCTACAACTCGTAAGCCCATCCCCCTCCAATACCCATGTATTCATGAACTGACGACATCCCAGCTTCCCCCAATGCGAGTCCGCCAATACTCAATCTCCTCCTCCCCGCTCTGGAACCCCTCAAACGTAACCCTCACCTACGCCGTCGTCGACCAGCCCGCCTACAGCGGCCAAGGCCGTTTCGTCGGCGTCGCCTCCTCGTACCTCTCGAGCCTCGCTCCGGGAGATAAACTGCACGTCTCAGTCCGCAGCTCGCACCAAGCGTTCCACCTCCCCAAGGACGCAAAGAACGTCCCAGTCATCATGGTCGCTTCTGGAACGGGCCTCGCGCCCTTTAGAGGGTTTATCCAAGAACGCGCTGCACAGCTCGCGGCTGGAAGGCCCCTCGCGCCCGCAATGCTGTTTTATGGTTGTCACGGTCCGAATTCAGATCTGTTGTATGCGGATCAGTTGCAGCGCTGGGCTGATATGGGGGCTGTGTCTCTGCGTCCTGCGTTCTCCCGCGCACCGGAGGAGTCAGAGGGATGTAAGTACGTGCAAGACCGCGTATATCACGACCGTGTGGAAGCTAAGGCGTTGTTCGACGCGGGGGCGAAGTTGTTCGTGTGTGGGAGTGGGGAGGTTGGAAAGGGGGTTGAGGAGGTTTGTTTAAGGATTGCGAGGGAGAGTAAGATTGAGAGGGATGGAGGGGAGGTTGATGAGGAGAAGTTGAGGGCTTGGTGGGAGGGGCTGAGGAATGAGCGGTTCGCTACTGATGTTTTCAACTGAGTGGGATGAATTCAGGCTTGGATGGATGGATGGACGGTAGATGGGAACATTTCCATGGTATTTCTTTTAGATTCCCCGTGACAGATGATGGGATACAATCGAGTTTCTCCTTTCTTTCTATCTCGAGTCGGTCTTCTTATTGCCTCGCCTTTCTGTCTGTGCTTCACATGCCCGCTCTTCTAGTTCTTCATTTACTACGCTACCTTGATAGCTCTCCAGTGCCGTCTCAACCCTGCTGTCCCAAAAGATCCTCTTTCATTATCACATTCTCCTCTCCCTTTCATCTCACACCTATATACACCCCCCACCGCTCACTATCTCCTCTCACCGCTCGCGAGATGTATTGTCCGTTTCTCATACCCCAATCACATAAAGCACAGCAAAATATCGCAGTTCCTTCACATCCCTAGCCGCTAGTAGGACTAGACAGAAAAAAAGAAAACATAGTCTTAATATTGTTTCTCCCACAAGATCTTATTTTGTAACCTACGCATCTCTCTCTACGCAAATATACATACATGCACGATTTATATCTTCTTAGAGAAAATCAGAAAACACAGAAGTTGAAAGTTTTTCCCTCACACTTGGAAAGGGTAATATCTGATAGATGGATGCACGAGTGTTTCCCACACTGAAAAAGCTAATAAGAGGCAGTTACAATTAAACGAAAAAAAATCAAACTCACAACTTCAGTACACAAATACATACGCAGATATATACATAAAGGGCCCTATCATGATTGGAAGCAGTCAGAAGACGTTCAGAGGAAGTAGTATATATTAGAAATAAATTCCAGATTCACTACGAGATACTTTCTTATTCTCTACTCTTGTTATTTGAGACATGTGAAATGCATTTGACAGCCCCCTCTCCCCTTTCTCCTTCCTTTCCCCTACGCACGCATCCATCCATCTATAACAAAAGAGAAGAAGCATCAAATGAAAACAGAGGGAGATTAGAGAGAGAGCCTTTAATAGAAATAAAACCTTTATATGTTTTCACACACTCTTTCTCTCTTATATTGCACACAAAGAAGAAAGAAAAAGATAGAGAAAGAGAAAAGACAGGGTAGAAGACGAAGGCTTCTCTTGCCCAAAAAATCACACATCAACTCTGTCTCTCTCTTTCTCTCTACATGTCCACAATTCTCGGATTCTCGGATTCTCAGACTCCAATCTCGAAGAGAAAAAGGAGATATAAAGGGGGAAGAGGAAGAGACGCCAAAGGCGCTACCTACAGTATAGAAAAGAGAAAGAGATAGGATAATTCACTGGCATCATAACGCATCAAAAAGACAAAACAGCAATGGACGGACAAAGAAGGCGAGAAAATAGGTTGTTTTTTTCGTAAAAAAAAAAAAAAAAAAAAAAAAAACCATGCATGCATCATTCCCTACTACCTACCTACCTACCCACATGTCATAAGCACTCCCCCCATCATGTAAACGAGAAAATAAACCACACACATACAGAAACAGAAAGAAGAAAAAACAAATCAAAATAGGAGTGCTGAAACACAGCCAATTCCTCGCTCCCAGATGAAGGATGAATGATCGACAGGGCGACAACCCTTGATCACATCACATCACATCCTTCTCTTCCCCCTACCCATCCTCCGAAAAAAAGAAGAGTAAACAGGGTCAAGACAAGAAAAAAAGTCTCCCAAGGAACAAAAGCGCAAATGCAGGGAAAACTCATACCCGTCCATCCACCTTCTCCATCGGGCGCGCCGAGGCAGACATAGCACACACACATGTGAGCCACACACGGAGAGAAGGGAAATAAGGAAAAGCCACGATCCCACAGAAAAAAACAAAACCAAGAGAAATCCCACTTGTTTGGACGCTACCCATATAGGAACCCACAGAAAAAAAAGTCCAGAACAAGAGGGTTTGTGTCCGAAAGGGGAGATTTAGTATGTCGATCTGTGAGAGTGAAGGAGACGAGGTGGAAGAAATAAAAGGGTCCACTGTTTGTGTACCTTGTTTTTTCAAACTTCCGTTGCCCCGGAAGGCGACCGATGTAAAGCGAGAGTGAGAGAAGTAAACAACCAAAAGCCACGGGGATAAAAAGAAGCCACAGAAGGTCCCCATAGTAAACTTGTTTGCTGCGGAACCAGTACTGTTAGTGTAAGAGAGGTTGCGACATTTGCCTATTCGGGTAATTTTGGAGGCGACGCGCATGGAGGATCAAGAATACATGTCGACTTCTCGTTGCTGCCCACGAAGCTAAGCAAACGTAAAGTAAGAATAGAGAGGCGAGAATTAAGGAATCGATTGTGCTCCCTGCAAGTTGCAACACACAAAGCCTCGCGTGGAGTATAGCGCATTCACTGACCGGCGTGACTGACTGAGTGGCTGTCAAGTTCCCTCAAAGAAGATTGCGGCCGCCTCGGCCAATGTAGTCCAAAGTCTCGCACTGAGTTTTGACAGAAGGGAAGCTTTCAGATTGCGACTTCGGCGGGCGACGAGAAGGGAGCTTAGCCCATCGTACTACGCTGTGGGAGGACTTCCCCTAGCTCCCAAACTCTCGCGAGGAAGACATTAGGCCAGAAAGCCGCTCAGAAGAGGGGGATATTGCCATAAGCGTGGATTATCGGTGCTGGTTGGTAAGCTGGTTGGCTCCGCGGGGCAGAAAGGAGAAAAGGGGACGGTGACATGTAGGTGAGAAAGTTGGAGTGGCAATTGCGCATACCAATGTCCATGCTTTGGAAGATGCAAATGTTTGGGATCTCGATTACGCCGCTCATTTCCCCCTCTGATGTGCCTCGGAGCGGGGGAACAGGCGGCACGGGGTTCCTCCAAAGGTGGGGCAAGACGTACAAATCTGTGGACTTGTGGCGTGTTCCCCTTGTTCAAGTAGAGTTCAACACGCTACGAGGGTGAGATTTTCTCGTTAGCAGTTTGTCCGGGCGAGTCTGCGGGCGAATGAGATTGTTCAACTTGGGTGATGCTAACGAGGTGATCAGCAAAGAACGAACGGTATTGCAGTGGCAAGGTGAGGCGATTTTATTTTTGGGCATTGCCTGCCATCCTACCAAACCAACGTTTGGAGGCGATGTAATTGAGCGCTTCACCCAGAGTGGAACCGTAGAGCTAGGCTCTGGGTTCAACGCACGATCACTGTTGACGTATGACTCGGCTTGGCGAAGCGGAGCAACAGGTGATGTCATACATCGTGAACGAATTCACAACCAAGTGGGTTCGTGCTCAAACACTTTGGGACCGGTCGACTGTGAACAAGCTCACCCAACATGACCAGCCTGAAAGATCACGTTAGTGTGTAGGTACATACGCTACTCGTCCTGCATGAAGTGGGAGTGCGGATGCGCAGGGCAATTACCCGCGTTTTACGCTTCGATGTTGCAGTGGCTCCCTAGGGGAGCTGGTACCCAGGTTTCTCAGCTCAGAGGCAGCGGGGTAGCCGGGCGGCTTGTTGCAGTAGCAGTGGTGGCAGCAGCAGGGCAACAAGAGGATTTGATGAGGACACGAGAAACCGGAGGAGCGGCGAGTGCTGCCATTGGGCTACCTGCTGGCGTGAGGGCATGCAATAGTGTGGATATGGGGCCGGAGAGGCTCCGCTGGTGTTGAGGCGACCCCAACGAGGTGGTTAACCTCAGCAACCGGACGCTGGGTCGAGAAGGGAAAGTGCCACTGGCAAAAGGAGACATGGCGTGGGAAAGTTTGGGCAGGAGAGAGCGAGCGAGGACGCGTTGCCAAGACCCGGGGATGTTAAGCAACGAGCGGCGCAATGCAGTCAGTCTACATGGACATCTGGATTGGATCACTAGCAAAGGTACCCTTTATGACCGTCACTGACAGACCATTGGATGCAAGGGCTGAGGGGTTGAGAGCCACAAACTACTCCTCACTCATCCATTGCACCTCCTCAACATTCCCCTCACATTACATACATGTCGGTTTAGCTGGTGAGGGGTTTGGTGGACTTTATTGGATCCGGGGTGATGTCCCTTGACCTCTTATCAATGCCATTGCTAGAGGCGGACGCGGCGTGAGCCTATCGATCCCAACCCAGCGAATTCAAACACCGCGTACGCGACTGGCTGCCAGCCTCTGGAGTGACTTCGGTGCAACTGTGTGTTGGCCCGTCGAGTCTATCCTGATGAGCAATCCGTCGGGGAGACTTTTTTCGGGGAAGCGGGACCGGGTATTGGGGACTGCTGGTCCATTGTTGAATGGATTTTCTATTGGCATGACTGGATGGGAACCACCGTTTAGCAGCAATTGATGAGTAACGACTCCACAAAACAAGCATGCGAAGATTATCACTGTGCGATGAGGAATATGTTTCCCACTAGCATCTGTGGACAATACGCTTGTACGTGAGTGTCGTGTGTCCCCAATTCCCAAGGGTCCGGACAAGTCCTTGGTAATCAGTCAAGGGTCACGGAAATGTAATCAGGGTTTCTCAACAACCACAAGCCGCGAGGGTCTACTGTGCAAGCGGATGCGCCATGGAAGGAGGGAAGAAGTTGTGGCTGACGGAACTGTGGGAAGAGGGCGTTGCTAGGGGAAGACGGTTGCTGTCGCTGGTGTGTTGATTAGAAAGCCACAACGCCGTACTGAGATGCTAGGGGTCTCTCAACCAACGTGTTTCAAGGCGGAATACCTGATTGCTTTGTTCCTTTTTGTTATTTCCGAGTGGCTCTTGCCCAAGTTCAGTCGCGCTGACTGATTGTCATCGACAGGTATCCGTGCCGTCTACAGCGAAGGCACGTGGGAGGGTTTGATTTGTATGCCGATTACCGCCTAGCGGGCAGTCAAGGGGAGGGGGGTCCAGACGCCAAGCAGGTTCTAGATTCCAGAGGCCCGCCCCAAGCCCTAACGTTCACAGGTCCGGTGTGTGTTTGTGAGTGCGTGTGTGTGCTGGAGACGTGGAGCCTTTGGGCGTAGAGTGGACTAATATGTGCATAGTGCGCACCAGTGCCCGTTTGGAGGCCATGGGCGGCCAGATTGGGTAAGAAGCGCCCAAGGAGCCGGAGCGGCGTCCCTGCGTTTCGATTCGAACAGCCACTGATGTCATCATGGGCGACGCTCGCATGGCCATGGAGATGGGGGTGGTGGGAAACAAGGTGATGATGCGACGGCAGGCACCACGATGGGGATTGCGCGCGGGCGCCGGTAGGGCGAAACGGGGCCATCTGACCAGACCAGGGCGACGGGCTGGCGGCTCTTTTCGGTTGCAAGAATAGCATGAATTGCGGTCAAGGACGACAAGAAACAAGGCAGCTTGGGCAGAGAAGGGGTCGAAAGGGGACGCTGCAGCAGATTGGCGGGCAGAGGACGCGTGCGCACGAGGGGGATCTCGAGGGTGCAAGCGACGTCGACATCGACGATTTGCAGCCCATCACCGATCTGTGGGAGACGGCAGTGTTTTGAAGCAGCGCTAATTCAGGGTCTGGTCAGCATCGGAGACGGATGATGTGGCTGGTGGAGGCCATCGGGAGAGGATGACGTCGGCCAGGCGCCCCAAACCACCGATTCCCCACGCACCTCTCGATCGTTCATCAGAGTGTCTGTGCGAATGAGGCTAGCCGCGCTGCAGGGGTCCCGCGAGGCTTCAGGGTCTCGCTAGCGGCTGGCCATCGGATTCTGACATCAGGCTCCCGTCTCGCTGTAAATGGGCCCTCTATGCGCCCGGCCCGCAGCTTGATTTCGGTTTTGCTTTTGGCTTTTTTTTTTCCTGCGCTGTCTAATTTTTTTCTTCATGCCCACGAGAGAGCGCAAAAACTTGGTGTTGATGGGTCACCTCCCACTCTGTTCGGCCGCGACTAGGGAAGTCGTCTGTGGTTGTGGCGTCGCAGAACGACGCCGTGATGTAGTAGTCCCTACATGGACAGAACATGCTGATCGTGATGATGTATGCTCCTTCTACCTGCTGCTCCGTGTCATGCATACAGAAACAGACAAGACGTTATCAACAGGGTGAGACGGTGAATGCTGAGACCATGGTACGCTGTAGTTTGCTTCACTTGTTTGCGCAAGCTCGAGTTCCTAACGTGTTCCACCCATCGCAAACTACACACTTACTCCACAGTGCAGCAGCGGCGGTGATGATATCATAGCTACAACTCAAAATGAACGAGGGGTTACAAGCGGAAACGCGTTTGCGCATAGCTCGTCGGATGGTAATGGCCTTTCCAAGGAAGTATTCACCGCAGAAGCTCCATGGCAACCGCAGTCGACCATCCGCATTTACGTATTTTTGATGAAATGCCCTTCGTCGTGTACCAAGCCCAGCGCATTGCGGGTCAATGTACCGACTGCGGGCCGACTTTGGACGGACTGGTGACTGTTTAGGCAGCGGGACGACCGGAAACAACAGCCAGAGGCATCGGGATGTGGAAAAGGCAGGCCCAGAAGGAGACGGAGAGGGAACAGGAAGGGAAGGCCATGAAAAGCAGGGCACACGGGGCTGACGGGGGCTTGATAGGCAGGGCAGGTCAGGTCATGGCACGTACAGGGTACAGAGATGAGGATAATAATGGAGCTCGACAATCACCATGGATATTAAAGGGCAGCATCGAGGGTGGCAGACGAAAAAAAAGGGAAAAAAGGGCAAGCTTGGGGGTGTGCGCGCGTGCGCTGGCAGTGATTTGCTTGTGACTGTCTTTTGCTTGCCTGCCAGTGATCGATCGATCGTGTTCGTCCGGCCGCAAACTCTGTGCAGCGCCATTGGCCGGCGACGCAAGCTTCGACCGGGCCGTCCATGGAAGACCCCTTTGGCCAGGGACGGAGGCACTCCGCTTGGGTTTCTGTGCGTGTTTCTTTTTCTGCCCAGCCAGCCCGAGGAGACGAGAGGAGGGAGGAGGAGAGGGGAAGGGCGGAAGGGGGAGCAGTCGGTCGATTGAATCAATCAATAATCCATCGGTGCATGATTATTACAAGCACACGCAAAAATACGCAAGCGAAGACAAGAGATCGAGTCCGTGGAAAGTAAGTGAGTGAATGAATGTATCATGCAGGCGTGGGTGCATGCATGATGATGGGTCGGCTGCGTCCATATTGCTCTGTCCAGACATGATGAATTCCCTACCGGACCTGTCGTGTCGTCGTGTCGTGTCGTGTCTTGTCTCTGTCTTGTGGTGTGGTGGTGGTCGTGGCGCGGATCCCTGTCGGGGATGAAATGGACTTTCGGTTTCCCATCTTTCGCAGCGTCTGTGCATGACTGACCATCAGCCCTGGCTAGCCCGCCAGCCAGCTAACTAAGTAGCAGCTAATCGAGGCAGAGGGAAGAGCGAGGGGTCCGCTGCCGGGATCTGCTGCTTGCTGGGATGCGCTGCCTGCCTCTGTCCCTGCTTGCCTGCCTGGCCTGCTTTGCTTGCCCACCCACCCGCCTGCTCGCCGGTGCGCTACGAGCTTTGGTACCGTCCGTCCTTTCCAGCCATGTATGAATAAAGCTTCCGTCCATCCTGTCCCACTGCTCCCATTGCTCACCCTGCCTGCTTGCTTGCTACACCCACTCCACACCCAACCTATAACAACCTCTGCCACCACCACCCCTCTACCTATCCTTACCTCACATCCACCTCCACCTCTCCTCCTCACCTCCACCCTCTCTGCCTGCTCTCTCCGGGACCTTGCTCTTCACTCACTCACTCACCACCACCACCACCACCACCTCACCTCGTCGGCACCCATTGCTTCTCGTCTCTTGCTGCCCGAGCGTCTGCCTGCCTGCCTTTGTGCTGTCTAGCTATCCAAAAGAGCTCTACTCCCCCAAGTGCCTTTCCATTCCGCGCTTCACGTGCGTCATTCTCTGCGAGCCGCGCATTCCCCTCTACACGCGGACCCGCGACCACCAGCAAATCATGGACGGCAAGAACGCTTCTGGCCGCCTAATTTCTCTTCTCAACGACAATCCGGCCCCTCCGCAGCCTACACGCCTGCCTTCTTTCACGCCTTCTCTCCGCTCCAGAACCTCTAGCTACAGCTCTTCACCCGCCAATTCTCCTCCTACACCCCCTCTGGTGCGCAGCAACTCTTCGTACTCCACCGACATGCAAACCCCGTCCCCCATCACCCCAGAGTTCGCTTTTGAGGGTCTTCCCAGCCAAAGTCTTGCTTCGCCCGTCTTTGCCCAGGGCAGCTTCTTTCCCACCCAAAAAGAGCTCTCCGGCTCTGTCTACTCCTCCATGCCCCACCAGTCGGGTCCTCTCCCTTACCACGCAAATCCAGCTGCGGCCTCGCAATCCGCCTACTACAGCTCGCAGCAGGTCCCCGAGAACCAGAACAGCTCTGTCTCGGCGAACCCTCGCTCGAAAAAGAACAGCTACCCTTGCCCCGTCGCAAAACAGTACAACTGCAGCGACCACTTCACCACGTCCGGCCACGCCGCACGCCACGCAAAGAAGCACACGGGCAAGAAGGATGCTTTCTGCCCCGAGTGCAACAAAGCCTTCACCCGCAAAGACAACATGGAGCAGCACCGCCGCACACATCAAAGCGGCCGCAACGTAGCCAAAGGCGGCGATGTCCAGATCAAGAAGGCCAGACAAGCGGCCAAGCGACCCAAGCCATCTCCGCTCCAGTCTTCTCACCCCACCATGTCCTCCATGTCTTCAATGTCTTTGGTCGACCCCGCCCTGTCCGTCAGCCCATCCACCTCTTTTCACATGGCTCCTGCCGTGCAACACCCCGACCTGGACTACCCACAACGGTCGCCCTACCCCGATCCAACGGCGTATTCCATGACACACTGCTTCTCTGCGGGTTCATCATACGGCCTGGATGCCCTCGCTATTGCGGCGAGTGGGGAGAAGCGAAAGTACGAGTCATAGAAGGCTTGTGCTTTCTGTCTTCTGGGTTTTCCCGCTTCACTATTTCCATTAATCTCGCTTTTTCATTGCTGTGCGGACCAGTGGACCGAACAAAAATCACGGCTTCACGCAATAGACGCATGCCGTCAAGGCTATGACTTTAAAATGGAGTTTTGGGGGCAGCGACAAGGTGTCCTGCCATACATTCTGGGGATTCTCCCATCATTTTTCTTGTCGCTCTACTTTCAATGTACACTTTCGAACGTTTGCAACGACTTTGGTCGCCTTTCTAGTTTTTTTTTATTTTCTACACCCAAGTGGTCGTGGCTAGGCGTCTTTCTCGGGTCAGCTTCAGACAGTGCTTTTGTAGGGTTTCCTCCGAGGATTCTAGGGCAACATGGATACCCCGCCCTTGTTTCAAGGAGCAACAACTTTTGGAATTTCTCTCTTCTCTTTTTTCGAACTGCGTTTTCGATTTCGGCTTATTTACATAGTGTTTTTTTTCTGGAGGAAGGAAGGTGGAGGGTTGGTGGTGGGTGGACAAAGAGCAGCAAGTCGCACGGAACGAGGCGGAGCTTTTTCCTAGCTGATACCCCCTCCGAATACACATAGGTTTTCCTGATATGAGAAGACACTGAATCAAATCAAAAATAAATCAAAAACTATTGCCAAACATCTTGCCTTTCTTCGTGATCAATCTCGACATTGGGTTGTCGACAGCTCCATGGCTTGAGCTCCAGAACATCAACTGCCACGTGACTACTCACTTTTTCTCACTGCGCGACCATTGAAATCTCCTCAGAGCTAGTTCCTGCAACACACGATGATCCTTATGTAATCGTGATCCGATCGCTGAACGAACCGTTGGAACGGACATAAACCGCCGTTTTGTCGACTATTCCCGTGCCCAACCACACCGAACCAGAAAAAAAACATCAACAATTTCCCCTCTTCTGCAATGCCTCCTGCTAACCACATCCAAACCTCGAGGATTCTCTCCACAATCCCTTGCATACTTGGCTGCGTTACTTACATGTGCATTACACACACACGAATTACACATATGATGAGCCAATTCCCTGCATGCCATGGGACGAACACCGCAGCTCCAGCCAATCAGAAGCCCCGGGATCCCCGCGTCTCGTTGACGTTCTTCTCTCCGCTCGTCCACGAACCAATGTCGAAACAGGTTCCTAGACCAGGTTATCGAATCCTTGTCCTAATAACCTATCTATGGTTTTACTCCTCATTTCTACCTGCATCTAGAGTTTAATACTCAATCTATCATCATCTTGCTAAGGAATCCCTTCTCTCTTTTCCCAATAGGTAGAACCGCAACATCACATCACGCAAGACAAGATTCTTACCTCCAATAAAGTTAATCAACTTACATACGTACCTCCCAACATGAGATGAAGGAAGATCGCAATTCCGTGCATACCGCTATATGCAGGCAGACACACACAGACCTTTGATACCTCATCATTCATATTTGATATATATAGTTTTTGACGACTTGACAAGGGTACCAGAGTTTTCATTTCCCCAAATATCTAGGCGGACAATGATCAATGCTGTGCAGGTATATGTAAGTGTGTATGCATGCATGCATGCATGCATGTATGATTGCATTTGAACTTTGTAAACAGGGTAACCGGAAAAGTTTATTGATATTTCGTGACTGGAGTGATAACCGAGATGATGCTGTGCATGTATATATGTATGTATGCTACATGTACATGATATGATTAGAAAGATTTTTCTGTTTCAAAAGAGATGTATTTGTGTCTGTGTGTCTGTGTCTGTGTGTGCCCTGCATGTACCCTCTCTCTCTCTCTGGGCGTTTGCTGTAACTCAATCCCGATATCCCTCCTTCCGTCCCCCTTGTCATAACTCTATTTCTCGTTGAGATGAAGAGTCTGTGCAACGACTCGAATGAATGAGAATGTAAGTTGTATTGAGTGGAGATTTTCGGGTGAGTCATGGACTGGGTTGTTGGGGGTAGGTAGGGGGTAGGGTAAGGGGTAGATGTGTGTGCGTCGACCATGTAGAGGAAGATTGTGCTGCTGCTGTTATGCAAGAAAGAGAGACAAAGAAAGATTTTTAATCAGATAGTTGCATGGCCTGACATTTCGTGCATACGAGACTCCTGCTTTTTCTCTGATTTGCATCAAGAGAAAGTGAGGGAGCGGGGAATTGGGCTTGCTTGTGTGATGAATTGGCTCCGCACTGTGATTTGTGGCGATTCATCATGATTGTTTTGTGAGGTTGGATTCATGGATTTGACTCTCTCTCTCTCTCTCTCTCTCTTCCTCTCTATGTGTGGATATAGTGAAACGACATATCAAGACTCGACAATACTCACCCTCTTTCTCTTCTACACTCAATCATCCATATCGCACCCTATTCAATCCACACAAAACTCCCCCTCCATTATCTTCAAAATTCTTTTCCTTCCTTCCTTCCTCCAAATTCTGACAGGAGCAAATAGACGAGCAACAAACCTGCACGTAACCGCCACTCCCCGCATACATCCCCTGCCCTACCCTGCCCTACATATCCCCAAACCCATCGCGCCCGTACAACATAGCACAACATACCCCCATCCCTCCATCTCTGCCGTTAATCACTCCCTTCCCCCACCTATCTATATATACCCACCCTCCCTACATTTCCCCTCTGTGCCCCGCCTTGGCAAATCTGCACGCCACGCGTTATCCGTCCGTTTGTACAACAAGGGCATCAAAACAGGAAGACAAGGGTCTTGAGTTTCAAGAATGCGGGCAGGCAGCACGGCAGAGCGTTTGACAGATTTTACACATGCTGTGGGAGGGAGTGATTCTGTGTACTCGTTTCCTTCCCTATGCTCTACACTATTTACTGATCAGATGTTTCAGTCTGGAAGGTGGGGGAACCAAAGATGGCGAGGAGGAATTTGACAGGGGGGAGAGTGAGGTTTAAGTTCATGTATGTACGTGACGATGAGTATGAGTTTTGAGGCCGATGGGGCAATGCCTGCGGAGGTCTAGATGCCTCGAGGTTGGGAAGCAAAGGGATCGATTGGCAACGGGTTGAAGAAACGGTAGGTATGTGTTACAACAGCTGCGATAACTGTATGGGTTATCTGGTGGCGCTTCTTTGTACTTCCTCGATTACATCCCGATCGATTCACAATATGCATATGCCGGCTACCCGATGATTTTCGTACATGTTGGAAGGAGTGGACGGTAAAAATATGCAAAGTGCAAGGGCTGACACGATACAAAGATGAGAGTCAAGGGGTATCCAATTGATCATACCAAAGAGGAAGAGATCGCATCTTTATATTGTTGCACTGATGAGATGCAGGGGAAGTGGGCGAATTGCCATCCAACTAAGTTGTCGACTCGCCATCTATCTGTCGAACCCCCGCCCATCTCATGTTTCAGACCCTCGTTCCGCCATGTCGAAAAAAACGCCATCGCTTATGTCGTGAGATGTCAAAGATCCAGGTTCGGTTGTTGTGTTAGGCGAAACGATGACAGGTCGGCTCGCGGATGCGCAAAACCAGACCTCGAAGTTCTGGACTTTGCAAGAGAAAACAGAGTTGGAAACATATTGCGGCCGCGTATCTGCTCGCGTACGTTTCTGTTGTGTACCTACCCAACAGATTTATCTCTCTCGATGTTCGCTAAGCCATGACACTGTTGCACAGTTGACAACGCTGAAGCCTGGAAGTTGGAGGCGAGCTGCAGACCAACAGTCGCACCGCATGGTGCATGTGTTTGTTATTTGACACCTGCTCAGCCGATGTTGGAACGTTGCACATAGCGCGCGAAACTCATATCTTCGTCCGAAATCTTCGAGGCCTCCATATACCGTTTCGCCAGCGAATCGTTGTTGTTCGGCCCCTCATACTCCCTATCATCCTCTTGAGAATCGTAGTCGTCGCCATCGACCTGCATGCCTGTTTCGTCATCCTCGTCGTCGTTCTCTGCGTCGCTCACCGTCTCAGGCTCGTCCTTGGCTGGCTGCTTGCCTGCCTTTGTCGACGAAGGCGCAACATTCATATCCTTCATTAACTTATCCAATTCACGCTGACGATGTTCAGCCTTTTCCTTTTCGCGCTCGGCACGCCGACGTTCTAGTTCGGGCTGGTAGTCGCGCTCGAACTCGGCTTTCTTCTCTGCAACGCCGGCGAAGAAATCGGCCATGCCGTCTCCTGTCATCGCACTGACTCCTACCACACTCAAGTGTTTGTAGAATTCATCTAGTACGAGTGACATGCTGTTCAATAAGCTTCCCATGTATCCGCTCCCGCCGCCTACGGCACTTCCTTCACCACCAAAGCTGCCACCCTCTTCCTCGTTTTTGAGTGCGGCCTGGAAAGCTTCGAAATCCGTCATCCATTCCTTTGCAAATGCGGCATCTTGGGCATCTGTCTTGTTGAAGACTAATATCATGGGTAGTCTGGTTTTGTAAAGGATGGAGCATGCGTACAGCATGTTTGACATGAAGGTAGATGTGCTGGTGGTGCGTGGGGTGTCGATTACATAGGCGATCACGGTCGGGAATGTGCTAGCAAGACTGCTCAGCAGAATCTCGCCGCTAGCCGACCATACAAAGACCTCGATTTGACCGGGCGTGTCCACGAGGATATGCTTCACTTGTTGCTGTTGCTGGGGTTGCGGCGCGGTTTTGCCCTGATTAGTCATGAACTCGACTGTTGATTGTTCCGGCGCTGGAGCCGGTGGTTGTGTGCGTTTCTCCAACAAGCCTATGACCTGATCGATCTTGGTGCTGAACAAGTTCAAGCTCGTAAGAATGCCACCGTTGGGTCCTAAGTTGAATTGCTTCATGACCTCCTTGTAGTTGACCGAGTCGCGGATATCAATGTTCGGAGTGAAGGGTACATGGTGTACAGCTGGATCGAGATTCAGGATATAGGGAGGCGCGGGGGATACTTTGGAGACCGAGGGCTCGGATGCGGTGGGATCGGGGTGGGTGTAGAGGTGAGAGACCAAGCGTTGCATAAAAGTCGTCTTGCCCGAGCCGGCCATACCGACACAGACAATAGCAACCGGCGATTCCGACATGATTGCGGGGGTTGAATAAGAAAGAGCGTGGTGGGTTGGGTCGAGTCGATTTGTGGAGAGGAAGACGTAGTTGTGTAGGTAGAGAGTGGAATGTTTTCTCGAAATTCTTTGGCGGGGCTGGGATCGGCGCCGGTGATGTCAAACGCACGGGCCTTCCCCAGAAACTCTCCGACAACAGCTTCGTTCCCAACTCTCTCACTCTGCATCAACCAATTCAACCTCGACAGCATGGGCCTCGAGGATTTCGAAAAGGAGCTAGCCGCAAACAGCGCCAAAGAAGCTCGGAGTCGGGACAAGCACAGTCACCGGTCTAAGGCAAGTTCAACATGCATTACTGGAAATCAGCAAATATGCTAACCGCTACCAGGACAAGGATAGAGAACATCGCCACAGACACGGTCACTCATCGCGACACCACCGCCACGACGAAAGAGACGATAGGCACGGATCAAAGCGGTCGCGCCATCATCGCGAAACCTCGGAAGAACGCGCGCGCCGAAAACGACGAGAGCGACACGACAGGGACGAAGGCGACGAGGACCGATCAAGCAGAAGGCATAGGCACAAGCGGGATTCATCCGTAGCATCGAGCGATGATGATGACCGTTTGACGAAGAAGCGCAAATCACGGCATGAGCTTGTCGAAGAAGATTCCGCGTCCGACGACGCACCCACTGGGAAGGACTATGTGCCACCGGATGATGACTTTTTGGATCACCAGCTCGAGGAAGCGGCAAATGCCAATCTGGAGCGCGATGACTGGATGAAAGCGCCATCCTCTATGGACGTGGATTATGTTCAGCGAAATAGGAAGGAGACAGAGGAGAAAGGCCAGTGGGTCGCATCAACCGGGCCGAAGCACAAGTTGCTGGTACATGAAGCCGAATTGAATAAATACTTGAAGGGCGAACTTCATCATGAACAAATCGAGGAAGAGCCCGAGGAGCGCGAGGTATCATACACATTCGGAGACTCGGGATCCAAATGGCGTATGACGAAACTGAAAGGTGTTTATCGGATTGCCGAGGACGAAAATCGCCCGGTCGAAGAAGTTGCACTTGAAAAGTACGGCGATCTCCGAGATTTTGATGATGCGCGCGAGGAAGAGATTGAGGTAGACCGCATGAAGACATACGGAAAGGCTTATGTGGGCAAGCAGAAACCTTCTGGGGAGCTCTACCAGGAGAGGAGACTGGATGCAGGTATTCACAGACCTGCTCGGCAGACGGAAGATGATGAAGATCTCCCACAGGGAAACGCTGTGCCGAATCCACAGCCGACCACCAAATTAACCGTGTCCGAATTGAACAAGCTCAAGGCCCAGATGTTGAAAGCAAAAATGAAGGGTGCGGCAAATGCTTCTGAACTTGAGGCACAGTACAACACCGCTCTAGCTGGTGGGGTAGCGAATGAGTCAGATGTCGTGGTTCTCAACGCAATGGACAACCGAATGCTTGCAGGGGGCAGGCAGGGCGAGGTCACGGAATTGACCAACAAGAGAGGCAGGGAACGCGGATTGGTTGTGGAGAATGAGGACATGAGCATTGAAGACATGGTCAGGCAAGAAAGGCGAACAAAGGGTCAAGCAGGCGGCGAGGGCAAGTTGCTGGCTGAGAAGATTGCCAAAGACTCCAAATTTGACGTATGTATTATGTCTTTATCATGGCGGACTATGCTGACTGAATGTAGAACGACTTGGATTATCTGGATGAGAACGCTACCAAACTTGCTACTCGCGCTCCCAAATCAACCGTTAACCTCCGCAATACGGCTATCCAAGATTACCAGCGTACCAATCGCATTCTCGACACCTGTCCGCTCTGCCATCACGAAGACAAATCCCCTCCTCAGCCGCCAGTAGCTCCTATAGTGTCTCTGGCCACACGCGTGTTCCTCACGTTACCCACCGAACCGGAAATCAGCGATGGTGGCGCCGTTATCGTCCCGATCCAGCATCGAAACAATCTTCTCGAATGCGACGATGATGAATGGGAAGAGATCCGCAATTTCATGAAGTGTCTTATGCGGATGTATCACGAGCAAGGTCGCGATGTTATCTTCTACGAAAATGCCGCTAATCCCCGCCGCAAGTTGCACGCTGCCATGAACGTTGTTCCGATTCCCTTTGAACTCGGCGAAACTGCCCCTGCATTTTTTCGCGAGGCAATCCTTACGTCTGATAGCGAGTGGTCACAGCACAAACCCATCATCGATACGCTGAAAGCATCGCGAAATGGCCATGGAAAAGCTGCGTTTCGGAGGAACCTAGCTAAGGAAATGCCGTATTTTCATGTGTGGTTCGAGCTTGATGGTGGCATGGGTCACATTATCGAAGATGATCGGAGGTGGCCGAAGAGCGACTTGTTCGCTAGGGAAGTTTTGGGCGGGATGTTGGACGCTAGTCTTGAGGTGATTAAGAGACAAGGTAGATGGGTGAAAGGAGACAGAAGAGTCGAGAAATGGAGGAAAGGATGGAAGAAACATGACTGGACGAGCATGTTGACTGAATCGTGAACAGTGGGGCTTTGTTCATGATACATTTGAATGGCGTAGCGAGTATTGAAGATGAGAAAGTTGACATGCTGCTATACAAATCAGGGAATTCTTAAAGGCGCCAAGACCAGCTTTTCTGGGGTCGGAGTGGATTGGTCACAATGCCGAACGGCGCAATTCGAACCAAAATTTAGTAGACAACATCTAATAGCTCTCATAACAAATGAACGTCTCTTGCGACAATCATACGTCTCACTTTTTGAAATCGCCTCTGAATAATACTGAAGCCGTTATGCCCTGACGTCAAGTCACATTCGACTCTCCGTAGATATTCGGGTTTGTGCGGTTTTTGAACAAAAGTTTTCGGTTCAAGTCACATTCATGGCGAATCTCGAAAATCCAATACAATCCAAATCCGTCGGTTCAGATGCTGAAGGTACTCACAGGCTGAGCTCATCTATAAGTATTGAATCAGCTTCCGCCTCCGCAGAACCCAGCCCAATCCTCGAGGGCGTATTCGGTATGGTACCCATGACTCCTGATAACCCCATGATCAGATACATCTTCCTAAACATTTGGAACCACCCTTTTCTCACTCTAGCAACAAAAACCCCATATATATCCAACTAACAACCCTTTCCAGCAATCTCCAAACCCACCACAAAAACAACCCCTCAAATCCTCCTTGACATCCAAACCATCTTCGCCACATCAACAACCTTCACCCCTTTACTCCAATTAGAGCGCCGCAAACGCGCCGAGCAAGAAGCGCACCAACCTTCCGGCCAAAAGCTCAAAGATGAAGAACGCGATGGCCGGTTCTTCAAGCTCGGCCACGGGGGTACTTTAGACCCCCTCGCATCAGGCGTGCTTATCGTCGGGATCGGAAGAGGCACTAAACATCTTTCATCGTATCTGTCTTCGACTAAAACGTATGAGACAGTTGTGCTTTTTGGGATCGCGACTAGTACGTACGATATCCAAGGTGAGGAAGTTGAGAGAAAAAGTGCGGAGCACATCACTGCTGAGCTTGTGAGGCGTAAGATATCCGAGAACTTCACCGGCACGTTTCGACAAGTTCCACCTGTGTACTCTGGGCTGAAAGTCGATGGTGTCAAAGCAGTTGAGTATGCGAGGCTGGGGAAGGAACTTCCGAGGGATCTTGTGGATAGGGAGGTGTGTGTGGACGCGTGCGAGATGCTGGAGTTTATGCCTCCAAACACACATGAGTTCTGCTACCCTGCTGCGAAGGAGGGGGAAAGAACGGTGGTTGAGGCAATGCCTGCTGCGAGGATCCGTCTAACTGTATCATCGGGGTTCTATGTGCGGAGTTTTGCGCATGATCTCGGTGTGGCGTGTGGGAGTGTTGCTACGATGGCGAGTTTGCACCGGTTGAGACAGGGGGGTTTCTTCACTCCGGATCTCTTCTCTACTTCCTCATCTCTAAATGAAGATGATCAGCAGGAGACTGTAGAAGCCGCCACTGCAGCTTCCAATTCGACACAGTTTGTCCCTGCAATCCCGTACGCAGATATCACATCCTCTGAAGAAACCTGGGCTCCCCAGATCCGCTCCGCGCTCACCACGTGGATGGCGCAAAACCCGGCTAGAGATCCCAACGCTAGAGGGCCTGGTAGGAAAGGGCGGGATAAGGAGGTGAAGAGGCAGCGATTTCGTGGAGAGTGGTTGGCGGAGACGAAGCGGGAGAGGGTATTGCAGCAGGGAGGGAAATCGAAGGGGAAATTATCGAGGAAGAAAAATGGGAATATGGAGGAAGGGGATAAATAGTGATGTGGGAAGTACTTCATGGAGTTGTATGTGTTGAGAAATTCCGTGGGAGGGAGTTTTGTCCAACTGGTTTAAAGAATTCGGGGGGAGAACCAACGTTTGGTATTACCACCAGATGAATTGGTAGTCAGAGAGTGCGAGTACCTGAAAAAGATTGTGTGGTGTTTTGATCGTGTAGGACGCATGTTTACAAAGAAAACACATCACTGGGACACGGGAAGATGGGTAGATGGAGAGTCAAATTCGTGTCCCTTCATTTACCATTAGTCCATTAATCCCCACGAGCAAAAAGACAATATGATAGCCATGGTACGCCCAACTCGCATACCCATCCTTCTTTATTCTCCGTCGCCTTAGCACGCCCATCGCACACTCCAACATCACCAACACACTCAGGCAGTCACAAAACAAAGATACTGAAGGGGGTATCACATAATAAATTTTTTAGTTTTTCATATACCACTACCAGCAACAACACTTTTTCTCTTTCTCGTCCTCACCTTATCCTCTGCCAGCCCATACAATGGCACCTGATCCCCATCAACCTCACCATCTAGATCCAAGCCTACACCTATCCTCCCTCCAGCTGAATCACTTTCTCTCTCCTCATCTACCCGAACTGCTCCTCCGAACCCTTCTTTCCAATCTCCTCCACTGCCACCACCCAGCGGTTCACTTATCATGTCGATATCTGTCTGACAGACGATAGCGTCTTCCGGGAGGAACAAGTTTCCCCAACCACCGCTATTGCCACCCTGCGTACGACGACGCTGGGATCCGGCGGGTCTGCTTCCGGTACCGACTTCTGTACGGTTTGAGGTAGCTTGGCGGGTTCGGGGACTTAAGCCCACTTTGCCGAGCTCGAGGTCTGGTTCGTTGATTGATCGGGGTGGAGGTGTTCGTATCGCGGTAGGCGTCTTCGCATGTTGTGAAGAGGAGGAAGACATGGTGCCGCTGAATCGTGATAGAAAGCTCGTGGGAGAGAAGATATGGGGGAGGTATACATTTCTCTGGGATTTCGGGGTTGAGGTCGTTTGGTGTTCATGGTACGTCGTAGTAAAGCCTTTTGAGGAAGAGTTGGTGGTGTGGAGGGATGTGTTGTTGTTGTGGTTGTTGTTTTTTGGGGAGGTGCTGCCACTGCGGTGGGCTAGATGTCGTAAGGTGGGCATGATGGCGCAGATCAGGTAGGCAGAGGGCTCGACGACTGAGTAAATGGCTGGTTGGATGAGGTAGTAGGTTGCGTCGGGGAAGATTGGGATTGTGTAGAAGGAGACTAGGCGGAGGATGGCGGTTATAATGCCTCTGTTTTCGCGGGAAAGTGTTAGACGGCTGTTTTGGGTGGGGTATGATTGGGGTAGATTGGAGTAGATTGAAGTGGTGTGTAACGGTGTGCGTGATAGAGAGGAAAAAGGAAATTTGGTGTGACAAACGTACAGTGAGCCCGTTAAGAACGTCAAGATGATTTTTGCCTTGACAGTGCTCGAGACTTGCAAGTTGATGAGAGCGGGCAGTGGGAGAACGAGCATAGCAAAGTCGGTGAGTATGTTGGGATAGCTGAGCCTATGAAGTCCGGACACAAATGTCAGTCAAATGTAAGCGGAATTGCTGTGGGGGTTCAAAATCCTACGCCACACCATGTTGTGTCGTATTAATGCAATACGTACCAGCGATACGAAGCCATCATGTCTCCACATTTCCCGTGCCCGAGCCAGTACGCGTTGAATGGCCTGCATATCAACGTCGTCTGGAGCACGCCGGCGAGGAGCGTGCAAACGAGAAGGCCGGCACATCCGTAAACGGTCCAGTCGTATATGCGGCGGCCTCGAAACAGCTGCGAGTAGAACGCCAGCATTGCTAGTTTAGGGAAGATAGCAGAAGGTATGTAGAGATAATCTGATGCCTTCCCAATCTTGCCGGATGTGATGTAGGTATCACGATCGAGAGTATCGATGTGTTTCCCGGCATCACCCAGTATGACGGACACTGCTCAATGTTAGCAAATTGTTTATCGGATGACGAGCATAACTGAACATACATGCATTGACGATGGCATTTCCGACGTTGAAGACATAAGCAAAGACAATGAGCCAAAACATAAGTTGGCTGATAGCGGCGCCATTGTAATATTTCGAAACCAGGAAACAAGCAAAAAAGACGGTCGTTAAAGCGAGGAGAGCAAACGATGCGCCCATCAGAGATTGGCTCCCATTGTCAGCGTCGCGATATGCATCCGTCATGGTGAGGACGCCAATTGTGCGTGATTGTGCCTTGGATGTACATCTAGCTGAAGGGCGCTGGGGTTCGTCGACGGATGGGAGGGACTTTTTCTTGTCTGTGAATGAAGAGCAAACAATCAACCCGCGTACATGGTCACTATGTAAGCAAAAGGCCTGTTCGAAACATGTGTACGAGGTTTGCCTCGCAACGACATGCTGTGTCGCATTGAATTCCTGCCGGTATCCCTTTATGCAGGAGAGCGCACACCAACACGAAGTGGCGGACGGGACTTATTTTCAAAGGATTGATCACAGAGATCAGACCGCCATATTTCTTTTGTAGGAAGAAGTGTCACGTTATTACAGGGACAGATCAGCACCAGATATGGTCAGACAGCCGCGAAATGCAGGGCCCGAGGACCAATGGCATGCGAATGGCACGTGTGCCACGCGAGAATGAGACCGATGATTAAGAGCACGGATTCTCTAATCCTGAGAAAAAAGCAGATTCACGACTCGCGACCATGAATATAATTGCTCGGTAGCGCTGATTGGGTAATTGGGAGGATCGAAGGATTCGCGCGTAAACTTTCTTGGGGACCCGGGAAGGCCATGCGGGATTTGGTTTCATTGGTATTTCCGTCCCTGCCGGCAACTGAGATGGGATTCTGAATCAATAGCGATATCTGGTAAATGCGTGGTGTTGTTGGTAGTAGAAGAGTGATTGACACAGTAGAGGCCAGTTCATGCCTGAGCTTGCACGTGTGGCACGTGGCTGGGAAGCAAGTGGTAATGGTCCAAGTTGGCAACCTTGACGTTCATCTCAGTCGATTCTTCGGCGAGAAGATTGATGCGTTATCTTATTGCATTGAAGGGGTTGAGCAAACAAAAAAGATGGCCAAAGCGGACGCGGAAGAAGCCGCCGAGATGCGCGTTGCACATGTGTATCGAGCGTCCCAAAAGCCAAACTGCCATGATGCACTAACCACCCCGCCGTACTAACAGCCACCTGTAGTGGACGTGCCCCTCATCCAAACGCGCAACAACGTCGAACTCACTGCGGGGCACTTTTCAATACTCCAGCAGCAACAACAACGAATACACCAACCATTCCCCGCAATCATGTTCAAGAAAGAGTGAGTAATCCAAATTATACGGTAGAGAATAGAACTAACTGAGCAGGAGCATCTCCCCGGGCGCAAAGTCCAAGGTCAAATCCTCAGTCCAGCGAACCATACGCGCCAAAGTCCTCGAAACCTACCCCTTGCTCGAGCCATACATCGAAGACATTCTACCAAAGAAGGAGCAGCTGGATCTCGTGAAGCTGTACGTCCCGATCTAATCTCCATTTCTCTGCACAATCCACAAAGCATCATCCCTCTGAGCGGGAGGAGCACGCGAACATCACCTTCACACCTCCCCAACCCTCAAACTAACAAAACAAACAGGCCGGACCGCGTATCCCTCTACACCCTCGCCCAAACCCCGCTCTTCTTCCAACACATGGACGACGCCATCCTCCCCCATCTGACCCTCGTGCACCAATACCCGCACGCCTTCCACCGCCTGCGCATCGACCGTGGCGCAATCCGCTTCGTGCTCTCGGGCGCGACACTCATGGCGCCCGGTCTCACATCCCCAGGAGGCCGCCTACCCAATGACCCGAACGATACGGATGGGAAGTATGGCACCGAGGAGTTATTGCCCGGGACGGTGGTGGCGATTGAGGCAGAGGGGAAGGAGACGGCTTGTATGGTTGGTGTGTTGAAGATGGGGACTGAGGAGATGAAGAAGGCGAAGAAGGGCCAGGCTTGTGAGGCGGGTCATTATCTTGGGGATGGGCTTTGGGGTTTGAATTTGGGGTGAGCGTCAGGAGGGTTTTGTGGGGTTTGGATGTCAAATCTTGGAGGGGCTTGCTGAGGGGAGGGCACGCCGGGGGTTGAGAGTGCCTGTTTGAGCACAAATTGAGCGTACTTTGTGTGGATGTCGCTGGACGATCAGTACTCCGGTCTAAAATCGTTTGAGGAAAGAGTAGCTACACGGGCAACCAGCCTCGAGCTGCGCTTTTAAAATTCGAGCCAAGCACCCTTCACGAGCACGAATCAAGCATTATTGTAATGTGAGTACAGGACACGCATGCAGCTTTAGCAAGTTGCACAACAAAATCGAAGACCATGGCTCCTCACGAACACAGAATTGGTATCATTGTTTTCATCTATCCGTAAGGTCATACACAGAATTTCGAAACACATACCATCAACAGGCATGGCACAGCATTCTACGCCGACCCTCCTCGACCGGCACCGCCCTGGCCAGCGCCAGCGCCGGCTCCAGGTCCACCGGCTCCACCTGCACCTCCCATGAAGCTTCGGGCCCTACAATTGTCAGTAATCCATCCTACTTTGTATCGAGTTGTTGAACTTACATCTCCGCAATGCTGGGGTCGTTCATCCTATAAATTTGTCAGACACCTACAAAACACCGAAAGGTATTTAACTTACATGTCAGCTATACTGGGACCGCCGCTCCCACCGTTCCCACCAGCGCCTCCTTGTCCACCACCGAACTGCTCAGCCATTCTTCGTACGTTGGGGTTGCCCATGATGTTTTGTAGCATTTCAGGGTTCTGCATTACGTTCTTTGCCTTGTCAGCTAGGAAACGGAAGAGGATGTGATTTTGAACTTACTTGTGCCATCTGTCTCATCATCGGGTTCTGGAGTAGTTGGCTGCTAAAGTCAGTCAAAGTCAAGTAGTGACAGGTTATTGGAAATCCCCCAAGCTCAAAACCTGAGGTCTTCGTGGAATCGGAGACGTACCTCATGTCAGGCATGCCACCACCACCTCCGCCACCACCTCCACCCATCATACCCGCAAGAGCAGAGAGGTCGGGCATGCCACCTCCTGCGCCACCAGCACCACCTCCTCCAAACATCGAGGCCAGCGAGGAAAGGTCGGGCATCCCTCCGGCGTTGGCTGCACCGCGAGCTGCATCTGCTTCCGCCGCAGCGACATCACCACCCTCATCATCGACCTTCTTCTTGGCCGTCTCATAACCCTTGCGCATAACCTCGGAGCTGGGATCCGCATCCAAGCCGGCCTTGTATGCTTCCATAGCACCCTTTGCATCTCCAAGGACAAACTTTGCCAATCCCAGGCGTGACCAGGCCTTGGAATAGTTAGGATCCGCAGCAGTTGCCAACTCCGCATCGCCTTTCGCCTCTTCATGTTTGCTCATGCCTGAGTATGCGGCCGCGCGGTTGGATAGATAGATGGGGTTTAGCGGAACCACGTCGAGCGCAGCCGTGTAGTGCTTGACAGCGGAAGCGTAGTCTTTCTTCTTCATTGCCTCATTACCGAGACCCTTTAACCTCTCTCCCTCTGCCTTGTTTGGCACACCAGCAGCAGAGCCTTCTTTGGCCACTTGGGGCGTTGCAGGACGAGCTTCCGAGGCCGATGAAGATCCTTCTGTCGACGGGGTTGTCTTGCCCTTCAACTTCTCGTACACATTATATATGGCCAGTAGGTTCTGTCCGCCTAACGCATCTTGCATGCCCGCCTTGTCGTCGACGTCGACTTTGAAAGCATCGGCGATGCAGTTTGCGGCTACTTCGAGCTGTTCGGCATCTTCGGGGGCGACAGAACCGTCCTTCTGCGAGGTCTGGAGGAAGTCGAGGATCGCAAGCGCGAGGCGCTTCTTGGATTGAGCGGTTGCCTATATATGTGAGCGCTAGATTGGATTTTGGTGCAGCGAATCCTACCATGACGGCAATTTGATATGTGATGGTGATAAAATGAAAGTAGCAGGAGCGAGTTGAAGAGTTTTGAGCGGGAAGTGTATGTATGCGTGAGCGAGCTTGGTTGTCGGGTAATAATAAACGTGGTTGAAGATCCCACTTGCACTCGAAGCTTCCGTGGCGGGGCATTCCAAGCTACTGCACGTGACAAGTTATTCACGAGTTTAGACATGTGATTCGTACCTAGGCAACACCTGGGCAGATTTGTGTGCTCGTCGTCTGAGGTTTCGTCTTTGGAGCGAAGCCATTTCAATTTCTTAGCACGCCTGAATGGATATCAATGGTTAATTATAATATCGATACCTCTATACTACTATACTCAAGTGCTACTATACTACATTTACTTATACAACGCTCAAGTAACTGATTAAAGTCGAGATGTTGGTATACACGGAGACCCCTCATTCCTCATCTGTTAGCCCCTCCCAAAGCTTCTTCTCCTTTTTAGGCCAGAATGACTGAAGCCATGACTCTTCTTTGTCATCGTCCACGGACTGGACAGCACGTTGTTCCACATCACTGTCCAGCTCAAACTTCCTCATGCGCTCAGCGATACGAGGGTCAAGGACCATGTCATCCAGCCAGACCCTCTCTTTATCATCCTCCTCCTCGCGCTTTGTTGCGGATTTGTGCCAGTCTGGCTCTTCGTGTGCCAGCAGCTTTTGCTGTTCCCATTGTGAGTTTCCAGCAAGACCATCTGATTCGGTGTGGAACGGCCTGTATGCGCCGAGAACCGCAGCCACGGTGTCTCTTCCGACCTCATCTGCAACCTTCCTTCTGTTCAGAAAGCGATACATGCGGATGGGGAAGTTCCAAAAGCCCAGCAAGTGTTGAAGGGGTATTGCGACCGCAGGACCCAAGGCCTGTGGGCAAGTCACAGGCAGGTTGGCCTCCGCATAGTCGCTAGGTCTGTTGAAAGGTGGCGGTTGTACCTTCTTCTTGGGTTTATTCTCGTCTTCTTTTGGCTTCTCGGGCTCTTCGGGTTTTGCGCTTTCGTGAACCACAGTCGGGGATGCGTCGTCAGTAGTGGTAGAGCTTGGGTTTGTAGTAGCGTCCAGCGAGGCTTCCGGGACAGGCACTGCTGGCGCGGGAGGCTCTTCCACTATGGGAGTAGGGTTGTCCAATGGCCCTAACCACCCCTCGTGCATGCCTCGCACGTACTCTTTCCATGTGTGACGCCCAATAACAACATCTCCTGCGGGGCCATTCCACTCAACGGCGCCTGATCTTTGCCGCATCTCTCCAATTATATCTTGTAGATCCGGTTCCACAGGCTCGGTAGTGTGCTCCCCTCTCCTTATCCGCAGTCTGCGTATCCTTTCGGCTAATCCAGCTCTGACATCCCCTTCCCTCCTGCCCTCGATTGCATCCCAATCCAATGCTGCCGCGACGAGTATTGGCTTTACGTATTCGTTGAAGTGTTCGCGCGCAGATAACAAACCATCTGCGGGCGGAGCGGACAAGTAAATGGTAAGCTTGCGAGGTAGTTGGTGCACGTCCTGCGTCTCCCGGGCGATGTGCTCAACCATTTTCGTCCATTTCTTTTGTATACGTTTCTTCTCACGTCGATCGTACATTACAGCAGCCGTCCAGGAGCCTGTAACACCGAGGAAAATCATCCAATTGCGCGAGGGGAGTTTGAAGCGAAAGTTGGGGAGGCCTATACAAACTTAGGTAGCTGTCGCATGCAATAACAGATTTCAATACATACCCATCATCCTGAAGGCGGGGTTTGGGGCTTTTGGTGGTTTCGTAGAGCCATTTGGGGTTGGGCCAGTCGGCGGCGCTTTCGCGCCTGATTCTGCCATGATGGGTGTGGAGCAGAGTCGAGGTTGAAGGTCGAAGCCTGACAGGGCCCAAAAAAAAGTCCAGAGATCGCCGCGGAGATTGCTCGGGAGCTACGAAGTTCTGTGATCGCTTGGCAACCCATCACCACCCACCGGGTTCAGGTGGAAGGCTGGGCTACGGGGTAAAATCATATCATCATTCACAGTCTTGAAGCATGCGCTCAGCAAAACTAATTATTCAATGCCAGTCATATCCCGCGTGAGGCGGGAACGAATCGATCTCTACACATGAACGATTATGATGTCTGAGTTACTTTGGGTCATGGAATTACAGTAGAATCAAGGTCCAAATGCGTAATTAGGCAGACGGGGTTCACGTCGAAATAATGTGTAGAGCAGTCTCCGGGCAAAGGGCACATTATTGAGCTTTATCGATACATATCGCCGTTCGGTCTGAAGGGTTTCCATCATGATACTCCACATTCAGGGTAATAGAGGTCAACTAAGGGTCTGACACTCAATGATATATTGAATAATATAGCTGAGATCGCTATGCTATCTTTTAAAGATTGGCGGTACAGCTAGAGCATGCCAAATATGTTTGATGTAAGTGGTCATTATGCCGCAGGGGCGGATATGTTGAAGCATACGGAGGAGTTGGAGATCTTCCCTTCAGTTTCTGAATGAGGTCTGGAGATGTGAGTTCGGTTAAATGAAGTGTGAATCTGCAAGAAGTACTTAGTATGAAGGTGTGTGTAATTGTGCGTATGCAAGTGGGCAGCTTGATGAATCCACGGCAGCACGGATGAGAGATGGGTGAGGATTCTTTCACCAATCAGATGTTCACCGTTTGCGTACATTAGCGGAGCAGACTTCACACCGCCCCACTCCTGGCCGAATTTTCTTCTCAAATAGTTCCAACAGAAACTCCAAACACGCTGTGATTCAACGTTTGAGTATATGTATTTAAAATTTCATGAAACATCCATCAACTAGAGTACAAAGCTCAGATGGTGAAATGGTATCACACCACGTTGTGGAAATAGTCATTGAAATCAATGATTACAAGACCCGTGGCATTGAGAGTTCGATTCTCTCTCTGGGCAATTTCTTTTTGCATTGCTTGGGATGTTCAGAACGCGAACCAAATTTTTGAGGCTGTAACTCAACTTTCGGGGCGAATGCAGCATGGTAGCATGTCGCTCAGCCGGGTCAACTTCGGCTCACTTTTTTTTGCCACGGGTTTCTCAACAGCTACACAGCCATCTGATCACTGTCGAGAATGGAAGTTATCATCCAGAAAACGATTATGCTGAGTTGTGAAGTTTGCCTTTTGTACATTAGCACCCTTTTTGGGCTTTGACTTCCTAGCGTGTTCCCCCTCTTATCTGGCTCGCAAGGTTGTGTGTGTGAAACGATCACTTCGATGCGTTGTTTATCCTATTTCTTGTCCTTGTAGGAGCACTCTATGACTCACTTTCCGCACTGAATTTTATGGGTGGGTAATAAGCTCAAAAGCTACCTCTCTCCTCAGCTATATTCGATCGTGCTCGTTCCACATTCAATATCATGTCCGAATTTGCGTCCCATAACGCCGAAGACACATAGAATAAGGCGCAACTTCCCTTTATGCACACAATAAAGCCCATGAAGAAATGCTCCCTCTCTTCACGCTGCGTCGGGGAAAGCTGACCAAGGCTCCGGTGACCCTTCAGGCTCATCCTGAACCTTTTTACCCGTGAAAACGCATACATCTCCCAGACCGGGGATGTCGCTTCTGGCCTTGAAAGACGTAAAATCGGGAGCCTTAAAGTCTGCTATACCAGTATGACCTCGGTAGACCTGCTCTTCATCGCCCCGTCCGCGCCATGCAAAATAAACTCTGCCGTTCTTCACAGTCGGATCCGGGAAATCATCAGTCGCCTCCTCATCACCTTCGCTATCATCCAGCTCGTCAGATACCCGCATGACGGTCTTCTCCTGTGCCGAAAGAAGCATTGTACCGTCCACAATGCCTAGACTGAAAGAAGCGATAAGACATGCCTTGGTATGCGGGAGGGCGCTAATGGAAATCGACATCTCTCCAGCTGATGTGGGCCATTCTTCCTCCACCTTTTGACATTTTATCTCATAAGTGCCAACGAGCTGCGAAAGCTTCGAGAGAGACAAGCTGTCAGTGACTTCTTTCTTGGGTCGCCCACGTCCAACACCTGGGCTTTTCGCTGAACTTTTGGTGGGAGTCGCCGAGTTCTCGTCTTTGCGCGGGCGACCTCGACCACGCCCAGGGACTTTTTCTACCTTCGGTTTTGGCGACGCATTTGGATCTTTTCGTGGACGTCCTCGGCCACGGCCTGGTACTTTTTCCTTGGGAGGGTATTTGCGCGGTCGGCCTCTACCACGCTTAACGGGGGTATCATCGACGGCGTCCTCCAATGGCCTCTTAGTGGTTTCCTTGGAAGTCATTGCAATTAGGTGAAAGATTTGCTCCAGGATGTGATGTGAAGGAGTAAAAAACTTTGAATATCTCGCTCGTCAAGTATTATTTATTTGCGACGCGCCGACGTCAATCACGCGTTCGCGCTTACCAACTTCAGATTAGCGTTCGATCTCCAGATGTTCTTTTATATTGACGGTAAAAAAAAACAAACCCCAAAACAAAGTGATTCGCCATTTGCAGGTTACCGCGTGTCAGATTATATTGGTCTGTCCCGTCCAACCAGATGGGTAGAAGGAGTTTTGCATACAATCTAATTCTGATTAGAACGTAATTTATCTTATTTCAAGCCACTCTATTGGTGACTTCCACAAACTTCTCCCACTGGCGATAAGCTTCGCCGCTTGTGATGGCCCACTTTGCCCTCCGTACGCCCTCTTTCCAGCGTCTGCCACCTGGCCCGACTTCAGTAATCACATCCCCCTCGTCGCCATAGCCCATGTCGCTCGTGTCTGCATCACAGACGCCGCTTATAGCGAACAAAGCAGCTGTGTTGATGTAGACGAAATGCAGAATTGGATCGTCTGGTGGTACTTGGCCCGTCAATATCCGCATCAAGATTTCCGCATTCTTCTCGGGGGATTGGCCGGGTGAGACGTCGGAGAGCGGATGCGTCGGCAGACCAAAATCGGCGGGAGATACTTGGAAGTATTCAATATCGACTTCTTTTGTCTCGGGATTCTCAGTCAATTGCCAGCAGTGTGTAGGGCCTGCGCATGAGAGCTCGTCCAGCTCTTCATCTCCGCAAACAACTAAGCCCTTCCTACAACCGGACTGACGTAGCGCTTCCGCAAAGTCCGGTCCGATCTCTTTGCGGGCTACACCAAGAACGCGGGCTTCGATCAAGGGGTGCAATGGGTTAGATAAAGGACCGAGAAGATTGAAAATGGTTCTCCATCCGAGTTGTTTACGGATGGAAGCAGCGTGTTTGGCTCCAGGATGGAAAATTGGGGCAAAGAGAAAAGCATAGTTGGTGCTTGCATATATTTCCTGGATCGTAGACGGCGTGACAGCAGAAATCTGCGGAGGTTTTGGCGGGATGCAAGAAAGAAGGTCTGCAGATCCAGAACGAGACGTGCTCGCTTTGTTGCCATGTTTGCCAATCATGAGGAGTGAGCTTGCTAATATCGAAGACGTGGTCGAAATGTTGAAAGTGTTGTGTGAGTCACCTCCAGTACCCACGATATCGCACTGCATTGCGTTAAGACGAGCTGATTAGGTGAAGTCGAGAGGTGAACATACCAATCCGCCACAGTAGCCACCTTCTTTTCTACCGCGCTCTTCGAGCAATTTTGAGAGTTTTTCGTTGTCAATTTTGGTAGCGTACTCCCGCATGGCTCCGGCGCATTTCGAAAGTACATCAGACTGCCTGTCCCTTTCGGTGAAATGTAGGCATGTTAATAGAGCTCCGGTCTGCACCTCAGAAAGACTGTTTGTGAAGATGAGAGAAAGAGCCGCAGCAATCTCATTTGCATCGGGTTTGGTCGCAGCTGATTCGTGCCAAAGTCGTTTTAGAAGAGACGTTATGGGGGTTTTGGCATCCTCTTCCTGTAATGTACTCATGATTTCCTAAAACGGAAATATGAACAATTCGATATGTCCGGAAACCAGAAACTGGCAAACTCTTGGATGTTTGTTCAAATGCAAGAACACTGCGACACAATGCGCAAACAATGAGTGGATTCAAGAAAACAATTGAGTCAGCGGGGATCATCGACGCTCCGAATGGACATTCTGTACTTCTAGCTGCCCCACTACGCCGATGACGGCTAGCCAGCAGGCACACGGAGCTACGTTGTTCCGGCGCCGGATCTCAAATTTGACCCAACACGAGTCACAGCTTAGCATCGACCCAAGGTCATGACGAGTCGGAGTTCATTCTCTGACGGGCCTCGAAGCAATACCGACAGCTGCAGCGATCTCAAATGGGCAAGAAGCGGACCCATGACGAGACACGAGATGGCTTCACGAAGCCGTCGCCGGCCAAGAGCCGGATAGCCAAACCGCACGACAGGAAGGAAAAAGACGCGCGCAAGAACGGCGAAGGGAAACCAAAAGCCGCGCTGGTACGTTTATCGATTGGCAGAACTTTGGTGAATGGTTACTGACGCGTCGCAGTTGTTCAAACCGCAGCCAGAATGGCATACGGTCGAACTCCCAGCTCTTCCTTCAGTCGAGAACCCGACCGTACCGCCGCGTCATGTCATCGACGAGCTACACCAGTATGCCGACGAGCTTCTCGAGGCTGAGGCGACCGAGTATACGACGTCGCATCTTTCCAAGGATTCCTCGCACAAATTCATGTCGACCATTATGGCCTCAGGAACCATGGAGGATAAGGTGTCGGCTCTGACACTGCTGGTCCAAGAATCGCCACTTCACACTACCAAAGCATTCGAACAGCTTATTGGTCTGTCGCGCAAGAAGAGCAGAAACGCTGCGATGATGGCTCTGGCCGCGTTGAAGGATCTTATGGGCCAGGGTGTGGTGCTTCCACCAGACCGAAAGCTCAAGGCTTTCGCGAGACAACCAAGTCTGATCTGTGCCCTTCAAGGCAAATCCGCTAGCTGGAAGTACGGCGAAAAGTTGCCTGGCCAAATCCAAAAGGTGCACCTCATCGCCTGGGCTTACGAGGACTGGTTGAAGAAGCAATACTTTGAGATGCTCAAAATCATAGAGACGTGGTCCAACGACGAAGTAGAGTACTCGCGCAATCGCGCCGTCACTTTTGTTTGGGAGCTACTCAAGGAGAAACCAGAGCAAGAAGAGAACCTTTTGCGTCTGCTGATCAACAAGCTTGGAGACAAGGAAAAGAAGGTCGCATCGCGCGCATCCTATCTCTTGTTACAACTCCAGATCACCCACCCACTGATGAAGAGCGTCATTATCAATTCCATCGAGTCCGATCTTCTGTTCCGGCCAAACCAGGCAGCTCACGCCAAGTACTATGCAATCATCACTATGAATCAGACCGTTCTGAGCACTCGCGAACAAGAGGTGGCCAACAAGCTTTTGGAAATCTATTTCAGCTTGTTTGTTGGGCTCCTCAAGAAGCACCGAGAGGAAGAGAAGGAAGAAGAGAAGGAGGCCAGAAGAGTTAACAAGTACGGTCACGTTCAAGGTGGTGGCAGCAAACCCGGAAAGATGGCCAAGAAGAAGGCAGAAAAGGCAGCAACGCAGGTTCACAAGTCTCAGGAAGAAAGCCGCGAGAAGCTGATTTCGTCAATCCTCACTGGTGTCAACCGAGCATTCCCCTTCGCGAAGACGGACGATGATAAGTACGTTTTACTATACAGTCGCATGAGTATAAAGCTAACAAGAACAGATTTGAGGCGCAACTCAACACCATCTTTGAAGTCACGCATTCGTCCAACTTCAACACCAGCATCCAAGCCATGTCCCTCATTCAACAAATCTCCACCACCAAACACTACTCTACCGACCGCTTTTACCGCACCCTTTACGAATCTCTTTTGGATCCTCGTCTTATCGTCACATCTAAGCACATTATGTACTTGAACCTCCTCTACCGATCGCTAAAGGCAGACACCAGCATCAAACGTGTCCAAGCGTTTGTGAAACGTCTCCTTCAGATTATACATCTGCACGAACCTCCATTCATATGTGGTGTGTTGTATCTCATCAACGAGTTGATCATCACCTTTCCCAGCATCAAATCCATGTTGTCGACCCCCGAGGACAACGATTCAGATAGCGAGGAAGAGCACTATGAGGATGTTCCGGAGGAAGGCGGAGTACCAGTGAAGGAGAAGGCAGGGTCGAAGAAGACTCAATATGATTCGCGCAAACGCGACCCTGCCCATGCCGACGCTGATCTGTCTTGCTTATGGGAGCTCTTACCTCTCCAGGCGCACTACCATCCCTCGGTACATGTGCTAGCATCCAAAATCATCGAGCAACAACCCATCAAGGAGAAACCTGACCCGACAATCTACACCCTCATGAACTTCCTCGACAAATTCTCTTTCCGAAATGCAAAGACGAAGACACAGGCTGTGCACGGCTCGTCCATTATGCAGCCCATGGCTGGCACCACAAAGGCGGCTGATTATCTCATCTCTGCACGCGACGGCGATAAGACGCACGATCCTCTAAACTCAGAAGCGTTTTGGCGCAAGAAGGTCGACGATGTCCGCGTTGATGAAGCCTTCTTCCATACCTATTTCGAGAAGGCTGGTAAGGCGAAACAAGCTGGCAGGAAGGACAAGAAGCAGAATAAGAAGCAGGGTGGTGACTCGGAGGAGTCTGATGAAGACGAGATCTGGAAGGCTCTTGTCAAGAGCAGACCAGATATTGAAGACGGTGGCGACGTCGATGATGAGGGTTTCAGCGACCTTGACATGGACGACATGAGCGATGACGACGAAGAAGGCCCCACCATGGACGAAGGCGTCGAAATCAATCTGGGCAGCGATGATGACGACGCTGCTGATGGAACTACCCTGGGTGGTGAAGAAGATGAGGACGACGGCATGGACTTTGATTTGGATGATGAGGAGGCCTTTGTTGACAGCGACGACGACGTCCCCGTTGACCTCGACATGGACGACGATACTGATGTTGACGAGGTGCCGCCTTCCAAATCCAAGAAGTCAAAGGAGGATGACAAACGCAACAAGAAGAGGAAGCTCAAGCACCTCCCTACCTTCGCGTCAATGGAAGATTATGCCAAATTGATTGGCGATGATAGCGAGTAGTGACTTGAGTGCACTGGTTCGGTTAGCTGCTAGCCATGTTCAACGTCAGCAAAAGTGGGAGAAGCCGGGATAAGAAATGAGATGAGGGACAGGCTGCAGTCGAACAAGTGGCAGCGCGAGTTTGCTCCCGATACAGCTGTGCATGTATACATACAACACCGATCCTCCTTCGTATAGATATCCCCTACCTTTTTGTAATCATTTAACCCAATGCTTTTCTGGTCTTTTTCGGTTGGGTGGTGTACAGAATCTGTTTAAGTGTTATAGACGGTGGTAATATCGCTTGTACTGTCATTTGTCACCATATCCTATCCTTGTTTCTTCTATGGGCTACATTCATCTTCTGTCTTTCTCTCGAGGTCACTCCCCTTATCCCTAGTCGGTTGTCAGGAGAAACAATCAAGAAATAGAGCTATATCACATTCAAATAAGCTTGTGTTTTCAAGTGAGGGAGACACGTTGCCCACTTTTGATGTCGCGGATCCAGGCAAAATACGAATTCTCGGTGCCTTTGATCAAGGGTCACTAGTGCTCACGGGGCTTTGCATGTGTCTGATTGCGTTATTTATCTCAGATCACGGTGCGGAGATCCAAATCCGACTAGGTCGTGTTGGTGTTTGACTCGAAAACAATCCTGCATTCGGCCTTACCGTTTACTGCCTAGATTGTCTACATAACTAGACTTGTCAACTTGCTTCTTTCAACATCATACTTGTACGGCAACAGGTTCTTTGGAAACCTGGAGATGATGTATGGGAATTGTGAAAGCGATAAATTTGATCTGTTCATTCTACGGTGCTCAGTCTCGACTGAGGGAACGTAGCATCAAATACAAATCGGTCCGCTAAGCGCGCTCTGCTGGTCCCCGGTAGCTATGAGGCATTTTCTACTGGCAGCGCCTTCGAGACAACAACATACATCCTGATATGCACTCTGCCACCATGCTAATCCAGTTCCGTAATGACTTTGTTTCCAACGAGGCGGTCAAGTGCGGATCGTCATTAATCCCTTCTCCGTGACTGACTTACTCATCAGTGGAGCATCTGAGGCACTAGAATCGTGGATCCAAATTGAGTGATCCATTCAAGCCCATTTCAATAGCCTGAAGGTATGCTAAACTGCTGCTCTATGTGGAGTCTCAGCATACCAACCTCGTACCCCGGGTATACGTACAAGTCCTGACACGAGACCTAAATTCACGCAAAACCTTGGCAAGTATCAGGCATGCCTCCAGTACGCAGAGCGCGCTTAGATTTATATCAGATTCACTTGTCTGGATTTGGGAAATCACAAGCTCGTGTGACCCCTCACTTAAGATAACCAGGAGATTGGAGGCACAAAGATTGTATATATCTACTGATTGAAGCCCGGGAGAAGAATATCGAGACTCAGACTTTTCTTCTTTCTCTCCTGTTCACCAACACCCAAGGATGCACCATGTTTCGCCTCTTAGTTCCTCAGCGGATAGCCAAGAACGATTTGGCGAAAGCTTCTTCAACGCGAGATGCGTGCGAGGGGATCGCATAACGGACCCTTTGCTTGGCTCACTACCTTGTGAAGGGTATAGAATATTCAACAGCCAGTATAAATCGATTGAGAGCCCACTGCAGGTATTGGCATCATCGTCTCAGTGAGGTTCACGGGGTACTAAATTACTACATAGCCAAACCGCCGTCCTGACTGTTACGTATCTTTTGAACCCCTATCTCCTCCCCACCGCACTGCGCCACGCTACAAGGAGATGTATAAGTCGATTGTTCAGTGGGCCGCGACATATTGGAGCAGGCTCCTTCTTCTAACCGTCCCATTTGGCATCGCCGCATCGAAATTGGGTTTCAGTCACTCGACTGTCTTCATACTAAACTGCATAGCCATCATTCCACTTGCCGATGTGCTATGTCGAGCAACCGATGATGCCTCATCATTCCTTGGGGAGACGTCCGGGGCGTTGTTGAACATTACGATGGGTAACGTAACTGAGCTAGTCATATTGTACGTCGGGCTTCCTACTTCTCCAACTCTACTGACATTTCTTGATAGCGTGTACGTTGTTTATTTAGTCGCACACTGCGAACATGACCTGACTGAGATAGCCACGCCCTTTTGCAACGTCAATACACGATCGTACGAACATCGCTTCTTGGATCTAGTATCGTGAATATACTCCTTGTTCTAGGCCTTTCCATCGTAGCCGGAGAAACCCGCGAACGGGGTCAGATGTACAACGTTGTTGCAACACGAATAGCAGCAGGCATGTTGTGTCTCACTTCAATCAGTTTGATAGTGCCAGTATTTATACCCTACACCCAAAGAGCTCACCTTCATTTTCTAATATTGTGGCCTTACGTAGTCGACTCTCAGATTCTCCTCCGATGCAGCCACCCAGACTCACGATGTCCTCGAAATCAGCCGCGCGATATCAGTAGTCCTCGTATTCATCTACTTTGGCTACCTTTGGATACAAACAGCTTCTCCCCGCTTCTCATACAAGCCTCTCGCAGAACCACACAAAGAGGCATGCGCTCCCGAAATGGTCGAGAGCACTGAGCTCCACGTGCCTCGAGATTGTAGATCTACTTACACCCAGCCCCATGACCCATTGATTCCAACTCTAGAACTCGGCTCGGAACTTGCTCTCACACTCAAAAGTACACCCGCGAAACGCGCGTCATGGCTTCGTAAAGCAACTCCACTGTTCCTCCTGATTGTTTCCACGGCCCTGATATTCATATGCGGAGAGGTCCTCGTCAGCAGCGTCGACCACGTCGTGGACAACTCCCCAATCTCCAAGACAATGGTCGGTTTAGTAATTCTACCCATTGTAGGTAATGCCGCGGAACTGATCAGTGGCGTTATGTTTGCGTTGCGCGGACAAATGGATCTCGCGTTTGCTGTGGCCATTGGCAGTGCGGTGCAGATTGCGATGTTTGTGACGCCGCTTGTTGTGTTGTTGGGATGGGGGCTTGGAAGGGAGATGGGCTTTTGTTTTACGGGTTTTGAGCGTGGGGTTTTTGGTGGAAGTGTAGTGTTGTTCTTAGTGATGGGGGTTGGAAGGAGGTGTGGGATGGTGAAGGGTGGATTGTTGTTGGCTGGGTATATTGTTATTGGGTATATGGCAATGCTTACTTAGTTGGGGCTCTCATGATTAGAGATGACAGAGGATTTGAATGATTTGTGTTGACAATCTATAGTATTAATCAAGGAAGAAACCAATTACGAATATCCTGGCGCGCTCAAATCGCTACAACAGATCCTAACCCACAAACCGATCCTTGGGACCAACAATGCTATGCAAAAGAGGGTGTAGAACCATGTGATGATGATCTACCAAGTGAGAAGAAGATGCCAACAGACGCCACTGTAAAATGCAAGATACATTATTAATCCTCCTCTTACTTGCAAACACCTCCACACCGCGCTTGTACGCTTTTGATACTCCGAAATGCGAAAAATGAAACGATCTAACCATCTGACACTTGCTCCTCCGTCATCTCATCGTCTTCGCGTACCTTCTTACCCTCAACACCTGTCTCATGTCCTTGTTCTGATGTCTCCGGGGTTTCGGGTGGTTGCACCGCTTTCCCTGTGTCGCCACCAGTAGCAGCAGGTTCAGCTACGGAATCAGTGTCCGCCGTCTTCGTCCGTTTGTGCCCGTAAGGACTCCAGCGCCGAACTTCGGGTTGCCGTTGTGGTTTACGATTGTTCGAGTTTGGGTTTTTCACGATCTGTCCGTCGTCCATACGGTGGAATGTCGTGTCTCTGCCATCGATATGATCTGAGATATCAGCATCTTTCTCATCCTCCCACACCATGAGGTTCGTGCCGTTGATTTCAATGGAGCGACACCCTGTGCGGGGGACATGAAAAAGGTCGATCGGTAAAGAGGAGAAGTCTTGGTCCCACGTTTCTTTTTGTTGAATATTGGTAACGTAGTCCATGGGTAGCGTGTATAGGACATTGTCTTCCTTGTCGTAGAGTTCTCGGAGAGGATAGCTCAGAACGGCAAGCCCAAGTCCGCAGTCAACACGGGAGGAGATGGGGTGAAGGCGGCCACCGAAGATCTTGAGCTCGAAAGCGATGCCAGATTCGGTCCATGTGTTGTCGTTAAAGAAGACTTCAGGCTCGCCAAGGGGGTGTTCATGGTGAGGTCCCGAAACTTCGATGAAGTGTGCCATCTCGTGCGCAAGGCAGACGGCTAAGAAGAGATTGAAGCGAAGAACCATGGCAGGGTCAGGGTATTGTAATAAGCTCAGCTTCTTGGCGGTGGTATAAAAGTCGGAGTGCAGGCATATTCTGCTTGTGTGGCATTTCTGGTCCATTTTTCGGATCAGACCGGTCTTGAAATCGCGAACTAAGCCCATGGATGCGTAGGCGGGATCGGGAAGTGGGTGGCGGTGGAACACAAAATGCACGGTGTCGATTTGGCGATCTATGAAATTGCGGAAGGAAGTGGCGTTGTCTTCCGACCATGCTACGTCTTTGCGGATGCGGTAACATGGTTGTCTATAAGCTTCTGACGTCGCTTCGCAAGGCTTCCGCTCACCAAAGACCAAAGTGTGCCAGAAAGTCGCTGTTGATCGGGAAAGCAAAAGTTGGGTGCTGAGTCGTAGGGCAGGCTCGAGTACCCTATAAATGTCATCGGAGCATCCTTGAAAATTATCCGCGCGAAATATGGGATGAATCTCGTTGTCGAGAGTGGATTTTCGCACGGGCGCATCAGGCGGGAACGACACAGCTTGCCGCTTGATGAGCTCGATCGGATCAAATCCAAGCTTGACAGCCTTACGTTTAGCCGGGTCCTTCCGATGATGTCCAAGCAGCCGTCGATATTTCTCTAGGACTTTTCGGTCTGCAATTTGGGCAAGATGATGGTTTATCGAAATGCTCAGTTGCAGACTAAAATCCTTGGGCACTTCAATTGTCGATGGCGTGAAAGTGGCCGAGTTTTCATAGCTGAGCACCTCGGGCAGCTCGCGCACAAGCTGGTCGACGCATTGGTCCATCATGATGCCCTCTTGGAGTTTGTGCAGAAGAACACTATTGTCTTCTGAATCCCCAAGCTCTTTTTCGCCGTTTTGAGTCTCAGGCAGCAGTCGGCGCATGTGTTTTGACGCGGTGGGCGGCGGCCCACATCCGGTAGTTGGTGTGGTTGCTCCGGTAGGAGTCCACTCCATGCTATCGGGATCATCTTGTGGGAACGCTGCACCATTTGCTCCGGAACTTTGATCTGCCTCCGCCCCATCCGGGTGGTAACCTGGCTTGAACTTGTTCTCGAGTAGCCGACTGGCATGCATCATGGCCTCGTACGCCTTGCGATATCTCGAAGGGTCCATAGCGTGTGAAGTGTATGCTGTAACCCGTCTCTTCTCCGCCGCAAGTCAGCTTTCGAAGCCGCAAAGAGTCAACAGCGCCCTACGTCCGGGCAGATAGAAAACTTTCGACCCCACCCGTTGATGATTGGTTACGCGGAGCCAGGAGTGGGATACGCCAGGAAAGTTAAAATGCACCCGATACCAGGGATAAGAATATTCCAGAAACCAAGCTCTTGATTCGCACACAGCCCAAAGCGTTATTGATGCAAGAAGGACAGCTGTATTTGGGGGTTGTCAAGGTCGCGCGGCTGTAGATATAATACCGCCTCAGCTCATGGGTGGTGTCGCAAAACACTCAAGCCACAGAGACTAAGGAGTAGCGAATCCCGCGTATGCCCAGAAACAAAAGCAAACGAAATTCCCCAGGCAGCGCTCTTCTCCATAGGATAGGTTCTGCGTTGGTTCACCGCGCCCGGTTCAACAGCGGTGAGAATGAAAGAAAACAAGGGCCGGACCCGCAACAAAGACTGGGGCTGAGACTGCTACCCCCTTTTCGCGAGCGAGCGAGGAACGTTCACGAGTGCCGTGTCGAAGAGTACATCTGGAAAGTGTGCCTTTGAAAACACAGAGATAAGATGACGGGTAGCCGGCTGATGTCAAATGCGAAGGTTGCAGTAGGCACCCATGTGAGTTGTTGTTCGGAAATATGGCTCGTGCATCTATCCCTGTTCATCGGGCACGCGCTTGCAGTAGCGTCTTGGCTTGCCAAATCCAACGCGATTGCGAAACTCTGTTTGATGGTCAAGTCTCTAGGAAATATTGACTGTAAGGGTCAAACACCAGATTTCAGAACATTTTTACCTCAGTGCTCACTCAGCATGTAGAACCCTATAGTAGGCTCGCACGCAAGGAATATCAATAAGAGAAAACACGGCGGACATGTATTGAAATACAAATCAATCACAGATCAGCTTGGTGACCACCTTCTTGATACTTTTACAACATCAGACCCTAAAATCTAAGACACGAAATCAAGACGCAACATAGAGTAATTCTTAATGGAAACACGCCATATTCGTAACCCTGAAGCGTCAGAGCTTAACAGCAGGGAGTAAAAATACATCTAGCACTCGGTAAATCCTTCCCTAACGCTGCCTACGGGAACATGGTTGATGCGATGATTCTTGAACTCAAACAAGTTGGCAGAGCATGTCAGTTTTGGTGTCAATGTAGTCTATTTTCACTATCACTGTGCATCATGAGACATAATTAATGTTGTTGATTGGATAGACTACAAGAATTCCTGGTTGAGCTGCACCTCCGCTTGTTGGCTCAACCCCGGGAAAACCATGAACCAAATCAGAGTGAGTACCAGATAAGATCTTAGACTAATTTCCACGGAAAATATGAGGTCGAGGGTGGCTGCGGTCTTCGAAATGGCAGATATCCTAGCGGTTGTTCCCTTTTTGGATCCTGGCCACTCGGTGTCCATCTTTCGAATCATCTCAATGGGGCCACAGATGCACTGTCAGATGGCATGATTATTGACAAGGCCTTCAAATAACCCTGGCTTACATTGGGTCTTGGCACTAACAGCTAGCCTTGTTGTGCCCTCTCTACTCGTCTCTCTTCCCCTCTTCCCCTCTCACCCTCCCACGCTTCATATTTTACGACCCAGGATTGTCTGCTACATCAAACTCACCAGCCAATTCATTCTTCCTCGGCCACTTCACTAACCGCCATGGGGAATCTTGACGACATTCCGGAGGATACCGCACGGCTCATAGTCGACGAGCTGCGAAAAGAGCACGCTCGTGTGCTCGTGCAGCTATGCCTTGTCAGCAAAAAGTCTCGGGATCTATATCAGCCGCTCTTGTTCCGCTCAATAGTGATTAAGGATTCTGATAAGATGATCAAACTCGCATATGCACTGGCAACAAATACGGGGATTCGAGCAAAGGTCAAGCATGCAAAGTTTAAAATAGAATTTGATGCCCATCAATTTGACCAGGACGAATCATACGTTGTTGACTCCAGAATTATAGAAGCATCCAAAAGCCTTCCATTCTGGAGCTACAATTTCCAGTCATTGTTGCACGATCGGAAACCATGCGCGGTACTTGGTCTCGTTATCGGATGGTTGACCGATCTCGAGACGGTGCACCTGGAATACTGGTTACCAGCGCACGGTTTTCGTTCAATGTTTCAGCAAAGGGCCAGATCAACCTGGGACGTGGGAAAATATGTCATCTCGACATACCAGATGTTCGGTGCTGCTTCTCGAACTCATCCACACACCATTCCTTCGTTGAAGAAGCTGAGAAGTCTTTGGGTGGGAGGAATTGCCCCAGACTTTGCTTTCAACCATCCGATACTAGAGAATATTGAATTGAATCTCGGAGATAAAAGCTTGTGCCCGACTATAAGCACAATGGATATCTTCCCTTTCGAAGCTGTCTCGTATGACACAATAACGACCACGAGCATATATTTACACGCGACCGTTCTGAATGCGAGATTTTCAAATTCCCTTGCCGTTTGTACTGGCGGGCTCATGCAGAAGCTCACGAAATTGAAGGAGATGACCGTGATCGTCTATGGCTATCATAGTACTCACTCTTACTTTATCGATGACGATTTATATTCTTTCAGCTCTCTCACAGAGGCACTTATTGGTAATATTGCATCCTTGACCCTCAGGGTAGGCTTCTTAGTACAACCGTTCCACCAGCCCCGGATTAAGAATGCAACTGAGCTACCTCGTGTACGCATCACATCCAATCTCGAGGTGTCCGAATTGATTCTCATAAACCCAAAGAATCCACAGCCTTCTTGGTTCGGCCGCGAAAGAGCTGAGGACCTTTTTCAAATGAGACATCTCACCATCACCAACGCCAACAAGAGTGTGAATCAAATTCTTACAGAACTCATCAAATTGAAGACATTGAAGTCCATTCCGCTATATCGTCTGCACATAGCCTTTTTGAGGTATACTGGACTGATCAAAGAGAATCATGACGCCCATGAGAATTTGAGAAGAACAGGAGCCGATAGTGAAGAGGAGGTGGAATCTGACTATGAAGAGATGTCATCGGCAAACGTAATCTCTGAATCCGAGGAAGAAGAGATGGACCCGGGTACGGACTCGGACGATGAAGACATGGAATCTGAGGATGACGAGACGGACCGTGAGGGCATACTCTGGGAACTGGAGTACGACCACCAATTTCATCACGATTACGAAGAGCTATGCGAGCGACTTCGATACCATGGAGTAACAGTAACCGAAGGCTACGACAGGAAAATTAGCGGGAAGGAAATACGTTTCGGACGCAGAACAAGAGCTTAACGGAAAAAGGTGTCATCCCAGGTGAGAATAACGATGGAAGAATTGGGGATAAATCCTATCAGCATATGTACTTACATACATGCATAGGTGCATTCTCTAGGTCACGAGTTCTAGGGCGAAACACCCGGGCACTGTGGGCTTGTACTGCGTATCTGTTTGTCCGAGCTTTCATGGTTGCGATGTCTTCACTTACGAATGGTTTCTTTAATTAAATCGCCCGACGAAAAGATAATGAATACAGAAATTGCGAATTACGTGCCGTCCACCCACATGCACTGTCGTGCGTGTGTCATGGATTTCGATACCAAAATTTAGAATTCGTGTCAAACTGAAAATGCATGAAAACGGTGCATGATTTTGAAGATGTACTGAGGAGTGACTTATCAACAGTGAGCTACCTACATACTTACCCAGACACCTACCCAGGTACATATGTATCCAGACGCTCACCAAAGTCACGTGATACATATATTTCTGCACGTAGCAACTCACATCGTTGATGGAGCGTCCTACGATCCGGATTTCCGATTCTCAACCTAAAACCCAGTGGCAAACTCTTGGTAAAGCACCCAAAGTTTCGAGGATTGATCAGAATGCTGTGGAAATACTAGTAGATAGTCAATACCAACAGTGATTTGAATTAATCATCGACTTCTACGGGGATAGGCCTTAGTACCATACAGTACCTATTTGACATAAACAACTAGGAATCCGTTGATTTTACTGACAGATATCAAGTAGATAAAACGTAAACATGTCTCTTCTGAACTTTAACATTGAGCATGTGCTGCTTGTCACCAAACCGCAGATGCATGTCACTGCATGATCATAAAACCTAGGTAGTTGGAATGAGCAGAAACAGTATCGGATTCAAGATTGATATAGCAACTCGTAGAGATTGAGTAAAGGTGCTACACTATTGTTCCGATTTCCCAAACGCCAGACACAATTTCGTTCATCAATCAATCTTGTTCCCCCAACAGATGAACTCAACCCATTTTCAACATTCTCGTTTCACCCCTATTCCTTCGTCCTGTGCAGGATCACGTGCGTAAAGAGAAAGTCGAATTCTCTTCAGCCATGTCTCGTTCGTGCACCGATTCATACCTCCCCTTGCAGACTGACACCCCCAACGATCGTACTTTCAAAAGTCGTTCGGCTCAAGCAAGGAACCTCGTAGCATCTTACCCATGTGCGTTCCCCCGATTCCCTCACCACCCCGTCGAGCTTCGATCAATCGAAGCATGAATGGTACTGGACTCTCCTTGAGGCCCCATTTGCCAGACCCGTTCTTTATAAATCCGTCGTTCTTGTCCGCCCTGTGTGCCATTGCCTTAGTCGTAGCCAAGTTGGCAAACCTCCCGAATGCTCCGTAATCCTGCCATGAGTTGAACCACAGTTGGCCCGCAAATATATTGAGCTGGAAGGTATCGCTCATGTCGATATGTTTCGCGGCAAATTGATCGGCGTTCTTACCAATACAATAAAGGTCAAGTGAGTCCATCCGTTTCTGATTCAGAGTAATGCGGGGCGCATACAGATGCAGCAATGCGTGGTCTGATTTGCGTACCGCGGGCAGTACTTTGTCTGCTTCGAAAGAGCTGATGATGATGAGTCTACGGAACTCAGTCTTGCTGTCTTTTACTTTAACTGACAACAGCCATTCGACGGGTTTCAAGTATACATCAGGGGTTGAAGCGCTTTGATTGGCTGATACTTCAACGGTACGAATGTAATCCCTCGTCACAAGAAGGCCCGTGGGGAATCCCTGGGGCATTTTGGGCCATTGGAGCGCTTCAAAAGCAGGCAGAATTCCATTAGAGTCGATCGGTATCTTTGAAGACTTGATGAGTTGGATCAGTCCAGGAGATACTCTATGTGTGGCATATTCCATGTTTGGAGGTCGCTCCACTTCACGTTCTTGTTCGACTTGAGCTTCGGGGTTGAGCGCTCGCTCTCGCTCTTCCTCGAAAGTAATGGTACCTACATCCCATGCTTGGAATTCTTGACAGCGATTCGATATTTCCGTCAAAAACCGGTCGGATGAACTGTCGATGGATTGCCTGGGTAAGACTCCTGCACGTGGACCATAACGATCTTCAATCGTAGAGGACTCTTCCTCTTGAAACCGCAAAGCTTTTTCCTGGTCAAGAGTTGAGCCAGCTTTGTCCCATAGATTGCTTTGCCATTGAAATCGACGGCCCTGAGTAGCCCACAACGGCATGCTTCGCCCGAGGTCTGCATCAGTTTCTGACATCACCCAATCAAGAATGTCGGAAACATTAATGCTAGAAGCCGACTTCCCAGAAACGGACTCGAGGATTTTGCTTTGGATCTCTTCAGTGACGCAAATCACAATCGATTGGCCTTTGCCTAATTTTCTCATCCTCATGCAAGCTTGGGAGAACCGGTCTCTAGTTAGGTGCGCGCCTAGTGTGATTGCTGCTTGGTATGTCTGTGGTAACTTTAGGTCTGTGCCCCTCGTGTGTGCCTCATCTAAGTAAACAAGACATCCGCTTAGATCGTCTGCAAAGGTGGATGTTTGTAGGGCCCCGACCCTACCATGTCGATCTAGTACTACGATCTCTTCCTGACTATTGAAGTAGACAACGGCTTGAGCCTCTTTGTCATACTTCAACCACATTTCGGCAACTCCATGGTTGTCTAGCTCCAAGATCTGAGCACCGACATCAATGATGACCGAAGGCTTAGATTGCATATTGCTCACAAATCGGATAAACAGCTCCGCGTCTGTTGTTTCCGAGCAACCATCTAAACGCGGTGGTACTAGTTTGACCGTGTTATCATCTTGGAGGATGCGCATTAGGACCTGTGCGTCTGTGTGCTGTTGTTCTTCAAGATCTAGAAAATCCATGTTAAGCGGGAGAACATGCTTTGAGTCTGCCGTACCGCTGAAACCTGTTGTAGGGTGTTTCTTCTTAGCAGCAAGGTCCCAGCCTGAGGCTGATAGCTTTGCAGGGAATTCTCGCATCTCTTTTGGAAAGACGATGCTAGACAGGAAATAATCGATAACGGGCTTTGCATATCTGAAACTGGGAAAGATATCATTGATACACTTGTGTCGATCCTCTAGATTGATAGCGTTTGGTGATATGAATTCATAGCTCAGCCGGTGTGCATGCTGAGTCCAATTTTCATACTGTTGCCTCAAACCGTCCGACTTCAACAGATGCGTGAAAGCCTCAAAGAGATCGCTGTCAGATAAGCCGTTGTAATAGTTGTTCAGGCAAGTCAAAAGAATGACTACCTCAGCATGACTATACTCGGATGAAGCTGTGGGGGAATCCTTTGATCGGTATGGAACAGCGAGCCGTGTCTTTGGTTTACGGTTGGGATCGGGCCCATAGTCAACTCTCCACCTCTTAGATCGCAAAGTAAACGCTAACACTCCTACGGCGATAAGCCCGCGAAGAATGTGCAATGCCTGGCTTGTATCGGACGACCAAAACTCACTTGTTTCGACTTCGCGAATGTCCTCACATGTCAGCTCGAAGTTTCGCACGTACTTCTTGATGGCTTGTTGAATAGGTGCGGGCTGTTCGTGAATGCGGAGGTCTTTTAAGCCTTTCTTGCAGATTGTGTCTATCAATATATCCAGGAACATCTTCTGGGCTTCATCGCCTAGAAGTCGCACGCGCGCGACCCTTCTCGCCCCACGTTCATCAACTTCTACAGATGATGAATGTTTATCTTGCACTTGGCGGATGCAATCAGGTACTAGCGACGTGACTTCCTGTATTAGATCCCATCTGCGCGAGCCCATCTCGATTATATGTTGGGGACCTATGGTATAGATCAGTCCATGCTTGGTATTGAAGACCTCGTCGCTTTCGTCAATGATATCTCGAGAACAATCATCGAAGTGCTGCTGGATCTCTATCAAGGAAGTCCCAGTCTCGAGTTGGCCGGAGATGAGAGTCTCGATGCCCATCAACTTGAAAGAAAGAATGTGCTCTTGCAGGATGAGCAGGATTCCGCCGTTCTTTTTGCATCTATCGAGGATCTCGATTATATTTCGAATATCTGACGCTGTGGGCTTCAACGTCCTAACAAAAGGCATTTGGTAGATTTGCCTGTTCATGAGACCCCCAAGCTTCGCTATCAGGGTTTGGCGCATTTGAGCAAATTGTGGTTTGTTGACCACAATACGCACAAGCTCTTCGCCATCTGCTAATTCGGCTGCGACAATTGGAATAATAACTGATGATTTGCCTTCCCCCATATTGAGCTGCATCACACAATTTTTCCCTGACGGCGGATCCTTCATCTTTGCAGCGATATCTATTTGCCTCTTCCGAAGAGTGAAATCATTCTCTATTTCGAAGAGAAGCCATTCAGGATGTTCTGTTGGGTTCCAATTCTCGCATTCGTTATTGCGTATTTCCTCGGCAAGTGCTTCATTTTGTTGAGTGCAAGCCAGTGTACGTATTCTTTGTGCGCGATTGCGTTCAGCCGCGGCAAGACCGTAGATAATTATCACCCGCTTCCAATCGCTGGATAGTTTTTCGAAATTCCGCTTCTCGAGCTGGCGAAACCAGAAGATTGAAGAAATACGCGGTAGCCGGGAGGTTAGATTCACAGCATAGTTGTCGTCATTTACATGTTTATGTAATATTCGATCAAGATCATTGAAGTAATGTTCGGTTTCATCTGCGTATCGTTCAATTTCAATGTGAATTGGGTCTGTCATTCGGATATCACCGCCAGTATCTTTGTTATTGTTGTCTTCAGAAATCATCGACCCGTTTTGGCGTTCCACAAGAGAGCGTATGCTGCTGCGGAGATCGCGAGCAAATCGTTTTTGCGAAGGCGTGGTAGCTTTGATCTCCCGTACATTGCATAGCAACTCCAAATTATGCATGGCTGATTGACATTGTGCTGTAGAGTTGCTTTTGTCAAGGGATATACGAGAAAATTCGGGATACGGGGAGCTGGCAGTTTCCAAGGGAGGACTGCGCTGGAATACATGCCTGGTAGCGGAAGATTGAGGCACGGGACGTACATGACACTGCTCCACGATTGTAGTACGCTGCGTTCCTGGTACTTGTACACCGACTACTGTTTGTCGCTCTAGACTTGTAGCAACTTTATTCAGATGGTCTTCGAATACGTCGTAGTCATTCCAGGATCGGAACAACTGTCTTACTCCTTTCATGACCACATCGGTATTGATATAGGTGTCGCTGCTTGGAATATGGGGCAAAGTCGGCACGGTAGTTTTTCCGTGAGCGGTATGATGCTGATGGTAAAGCGCTTCCGCGAACCGTTTGACGACTGGCTCTTGTTTTTTCCCTAATGAATTGAGCTTTCTTCTCTTGTAATGCCAATCCCGTTCCTTGGGATTCGACTTTGGGATATCGTTCTCGGGGCAGTTTTCCAGGGGCCTTTTCCCACGTTCTACGACCTGTTGGATTCCCTCCACTGAGGGTTGCTGGCGTAGGAGTTGCAAAGATTTGCCTGGAGGAATCGTGACTAAGCCCATCTCTCCAATTCTGTACAATGACGCCAACATTTGTACGACATCCACATCCGCAGATTCCGCGAAAGCAAGCGCAGATAGCCATATCAAGACATGGAATTTATTTTTTTCACGTCCACGTTGAGCGAGTAAAATATAGATGTCGAACCAGGAGTTCGGAAGAAGCGACCTTGGTCCCTCCAGAAGCTTTGCGTCATATACTATACAGTGCTTCTCGAGACCAGTTGCGGTCCAGGTAGCAACCGTTGCGTCCTTATCGAAGTGTTTGGCACGTAGAGCATCTTGCAGCTCTTTTGCGTTGACCCTGGAATGAAGTGCAGCTTCCTCCCGTGTTATCAAGGCCGCTGCAATGAATGAGCGCGATGCTCGATCCGAGTGGAGGCCGGGTCTTCCAGGGTATGTCCTATCACGGCCAGTTTTGTGACATTCAGCACCAAAGCCATCGACTCGAAAAAGTGACGTTCGAATTTTGTCACGTACGAGTAGTTCCCGGTTCGCAAAAGCTATCAGAGTAGGATTGACCTGGCTACTCGAGAAGAAGATCTCCTGCTGATGAGCTTTGTCAAACATCTGCTGTACGACAAGTATGAATTCCGGGTGTTGGGACATGTACGGCAGAATTGGATTCCAACGCACTTGTTGGAGCACATTGAGTGAACGTGGATAAAAATCTCGGGCAGGCGTCAAGTTTGCTATGAGTACCAAGACTTTGACATCACGTTCCGTCAACACGTCAAAGGAGAACGCAGCCGCTGATCGTAAGATGGCTAGGGCGGATTCAGTTCCTGTATGTGCCGTGAGAGGATCAGGTAAACAATGAGACGTGGTTGCATGAAGATAACAAAGCCATAGCTTGCTGTGAACATTTCCTGAGTCGATCAGACGTCCATAATGGGCATCGATCCGGTACGCATGTAGTCTAGACGTCGAATCCACAGAGACCGAAACTTTTAGTGCGTTATTGGATACCCTGCTTACGATCGTCGGCCCTTCTGGGATTATGACAACACGATCATCAACGCCGCTGGCATGCCGCAGAACCAACTTGGTTCCCAGGCCAACCAGAGTGTCGATTTGCTGATTGTGATCGACGATCATCCCTTTGTACTCTCTTGAATACATGGACGATTGACCGGCTGTAAAGGTAAAACTAAGGTGCAATCGAGGCAGCTCGACCGTGACAGTTGAACTTTGCGAGTCGAGTGTGATGTGAGTATGTGTGCTATGCTCGAGCGTACCCATAATGGCACAGATCGATGTGCCAGTATCGCTTGTAGGGTTTACAAGCCATTTGTTTCCTCTACTGAGCTTCCAGATAGGACCGGTTTTCTGCATGGTCCACGATTCATCGCTTGACGGCCACGGAGTAGACTTGGGCCTGAATATGATGCTTTGATTCTGGTGGCAATACCAATGATGGAAACCTCCAACGAACGCGACCGGAAGTATGCCATTGAAAACCCTCGCAGGTACCAGATCAAACTTCTGATCCATATAATCAATCACCACAAATAAGTCTGCTTTCTCCTTGCATATACCTAGATGAATTGGCATCTCGCAAGAAGGATGCGTAATGGTATATCTGGTACCTCGTTCGCTAGACAGAGCTACATGCGTGGGTTTCACTCGGAAGAGAGACAGATAAGTTTTGTGGTTGGTGTATGCATCTGGGAGACGTGCTAGTGGTGAATCATTCACAAGTACTTCTCCCGTCAACAAGTTATAATGTACTTCGTCTGTGTTTAGCTGCAAAGACCTTGGCTCGGATGTTTTTACTTGACACTTGATCCAGTGACGGTAGTGTTTTGGTAGTTCCGACCAATTTTCCTCTTCCATCGGATTGAAATCTGGCCAGTTGATCATGATCGCGTCGTTGAGACCCTCTTTAAAATCCTCGCTGATCAAATCGTGCCTCATAGTAGTAAATACGTGATAGAGCACTCGCTTCCAGGACTGCAACAGAATGTTATATAGAAACGGATCGTCTGAGGATGCAGTATTGTGGTGTCTTTGTATCGAGATCGAACAGGAGAAATAGTTCATAGCATGCGCTTGAGTATCGGGTTCCCATATTTTGGATAGATTCGTGCTATTAACATCGTACGTGCTCATGCAGACCAAAGCGATTTCTGTAGATCTTGAGTACAAGTCAATGCGATTGGCGTCATCTATCGCGGTTTCCAATTTAGAACTCAACTCTGTGAACCAGTTGAAGGCGGTTCCGCGTGCATCGCGGATAAATTCAATATAGCGATCGTGGAGCTTGTCGGGTACCGAATCCATCAGATCAAGAGCGCGTAATGCCACCTGGATAAAGATTGCTAAAGCTCGCCAAGATTCCCAATTTTTATCGAGCCTGGACTTAAGCTTTTCCATATTATCCAGAAGCGGGCTGAGAAAAGCTGCATCCCGAAATGTCCAATGAGCAGCGCGCTCGATGCTGCCGTCGCTGGCTGGCGGCCCAGCCTGCATGAGCGTATCCATCACCAAGCATTGTGTCTCCGGGTTTGCTAAGTCGATACTAGGTGAAGCGATCTGGCGTAAGATGTTGGCACACCGAATGTGGTTACCCATGGGCAGAGAGCTGAATGCTGTGTACTGGTTCAAGCTCATGTGAGGGGGACAGTCAGAAGGCGTGGCCACCACAGAATTGGGCGTCAGGCCACCAGCAAAGTTTCCCGCGCTCAGATATTTTTGAACCGAGGATGAACGACTCGGTACTTTGTACGTGCATTGACTTGGTAAACGATCGGAAGAACTCAAAGATGAGACGAACGTATCGGTTTCTTTATCGTAGTATTTGTAAGCCAAGCTGTTGGCCACGACAACCTCTTCCGCGGTCAAGGAATGAATGTCGGCTCTGCTTTTCTGATGAGTTTTCGATACTGGCGGAGCAACTGACACCACCCCAATTCGTTGGTCCCTTGGATTTTCATAGAATTCACAGAGACTTTTCTGATTCTTTAGATTGTATATTTTGGCCAATACACGAGCATCTTTTTCTTCGTGAGAACCCATGACATCGATCATGATATATCGAGTGGTGTCTCTCCAATAACGAAACCACTCGGGGACATGAAGCTCAAAAACGGTGGCTTCTGCTATGTTCTTGTCTGTGCTCAACGGCCATTCGAAGACTTTGATATTCAGGTTTGTTGCTTTGTTCTTGAGACAGCATTTTTCACAGGCTAAATCATGTGACAAGACTTTGCCATCCCGAACAGTGAGTGCATGGGTCTGGCAGCTGATCGTCTCAGCTTTCGTCATCAGTTGTTGGTATTGTATTTTCAATCCGTGAAGTTCCTGATGTTTGGCATCTCGTTGGTCCTCGGCCTGCTGTATGATTCGATCGTGTATTCCTTTATAACGTGCATCGTGACTATATTGCCGTACAGCGAATGAGTCCTTGTCCCCGAAAGCACTGAAAATGGACGGGGTTCCTGGTTCCACTGCCTTTCGACGGTTTTGTATATGACTTTCTATAACAGCCAGTCGCGTGAGTTGATTTCTGTTAGGTAGACTAAGAACCTGGAGCGGTTCAACATCCACGGCGGGATCATATTTGGCGAAGTGAGGCGACTTGCGGTTTGCACACTTATCCAAAGTCATCCATAGATCCATGATTGTCAGATGCATATTCGAAAGACTCAAGGGGCAAGTTTCTGGACTCGAGTATTCTTTAATCGCAGCCTTGTGGTACGAAGAAATCAATTCACTCAACTTCTTAGGCGCTGCCGAGTCACCTGTCGCGTGATTTTCATACCATTTGGGGAGATGATATTGTACCCATCGCTCTATCTCTTTGAGCTGAAAGTAGGTATATATGGAGTTGGCGTCAAAATCTTTGGGGAGGGTGGGGATTGTGTTATCTTTGTAAGCAAGAAACTGCGTCGTTGGCTTGAATTTTGCATTCCAAGGACGAATCGGTCGGTTAGGGATATGCTGGATGAACAGATCTAATTCGGGAACATCCAGGCCAACATCATTATTTGGCTGTAGGCGGGATAAACCATCTAAATCCATTTGACGATGGCTGCTCTTTATTGTGCCCTTCCACAAGGTGTCCAATTTTGCCGAGACCTCACGCAGTGTTATCGTGGCAAACGTCGAGCAAGAGTCAACTGGGATGTTCGAGCCATAAGATTCCAGTTTGCTGAGCCTGTGATCGATCTTGGTAGCCAGGTTATGGATCAGGTCCGCGTCTTCAATATCAATTGGTTCTCTTGTAGCTTTCTCCAATAAACTCGTCAAGATGTATATCATTGCAGTTTTGTATAGAGCTGTCGATTGTTTGGGGTCAGGCCTAGCGCGAAAGAAACCTAACTGCATCACAACGCGAACAAGAAGCCAAAGAGGACTGCGCCTCCATGGTAGATCTGCCTGCGACCACAGAACATCTTCCCGTGTGTTCTTGGTAATTGCCGACACTTCCAATGGTTGTCCAATCGCTGCGAGGATTTGCACAAGGAACTCAGTAACAAGATAAGGGTGTGTCGTGTTCCGAATCTCCGGATACTTCGTACCACTCCTGATCATTTCTGGTTGGAACTCTGTAACTCCTTGTCGACTCATTTTGGCGAGAGTATTGGAAAGCATGGCAGTGAAACCTTCCTGGCGCGCGACTTCGATAGGAACCTGGCATGCATGGGATGGGAATGTTCGGACTAGTCGGCCTTCAGTTGTCAAGACCTCTTGGTTCAAAGGTGATAGCTCGAACATCTCAAATACAATCGCATCATTGTATTTGTAAATCATGATCCCGGCGTTCTGAGTTTTGACTTCAAGGGGGAGGATACTCAGGCAGTCCGGACTGTCCAGTACGGACTGGCGTAGCAGATCATCTAGCTCTTCCTCGCATATGTGGCCCAGACTATCTCGACTGTACTTGAGGTTGATAATACTGGATGCTACCGCGGAGACTTGCTGAGCTATTTCGGGAGTGTGGCTGATGTCATTTTCGTACCTTTTTAGGCCTTCGAGGGTGGCATCAAGCACGGCTTCATCGTGAATCGAATCGCGGTCGTCCTTTTGAGGTAACTTTCCCGGCAGCACCATGTGATGAATTAGGTACTCGATAGACGAGTCCATGGCGGGCATGGGCCCGGCTCTTCTACGAGCTCGATCAGGCGGGGAAAGATGGCGGGTCGGAAAAGGGAGGATATTTTGAGTGGAAAGATGACTTGAGAGAGCCGAAAATTGAAGGCTGTAAGGCGTGAAGGCTTTGGTTGGCTTAGAAAGAGAGTTGAGTTGTAGGTCAGACAAGTCAAGTCCAAGTCGGCAGAAAGTGGGGTGAGGAGAGAAAGGGTGGAGTCTCAAAGTGGGCGAAGAGCCTGTTTAAATACCAGTCGCCCGGCTCCGTTAAGGTAAAGGAGAATGGGTGAGTGTCAAGTAATCTCGGCGGATATTATTTGGGTTGAGGAGAGCGGTGGTTGATTTTTAGTGAAACACCTGTATGCGAAAGAGTGATAGAGGAGCCAGGTAGATACAAGTCCACCAGACTCGAGGCTCTCACCAGCATCTTTAGTCTGTCGCAGGTTCGGATCTGACATGGTGGCAGGTAATTGGAGTTGGTAGTGAAATGAAACAGCTCGTGACACAACAAGCATTCAATCGTGAGCTGACATCAATTTCCCCCAAGCTTGTTCGCACCGAAGTAAGAATAACAGCGATGTCATGCGAGATGCCGTAAGCGCCACTTGCAGATGTGATTGCCGCAAGGGTAATGAAAGGAGCGTCCGATACTAGTGTCAATGAAGCATGCTTCGAGCGTTCTCGGACGCAGACAATGTTCCCTGCACGAACTTTCTCCTCCGTCCATTTTCCCTCTTACTGGAAATGGACATGTCTCGTCGCGTTGTTGCTCGGCAAGCCCATGGCTGCTGGATTGACTAAGAGGCAATTCCGTTGAACCAGAAAGTCCATAGTATGATGAAGGACCGATGATTGCGGTGGGAAGTCAATACACTGATACTGAAATAGGAACGAGCTCAGTCGTCTTCATCGGATGATCCGTACCCCAGACCCAATGCAAGAGCATTCGCCGTAGGTTTAGATGGCGGCGGAGCAGCAGCTGGTTTTGCAAGCTCTTCTTTCTTTTCCGTGCTCGAGGTCTTCACCACTTCCGCAGCCTTCTTCTCCACAACGTCGCCTTTCTTGATTTTCGCATTCGCCCCATCGTCGGCCTTCTTCTCATCATCAACCCTCCGGATCTTAACTCCCTTCAATAGCCCCTCAGCAGGGCCCTTCCTCTTTCTCCCCACATTCTTCCAACCCCCCTCAACCTTCTCCACCTCCACACCCTCCTCTTTCTCCCCCTTCTCAGCCATCTCCCTTCGCCGTCTAAACTCCTCAATCTCCTTCTCAACATCCTGCTTGACCTCCATCTCAGCCATCCTCTCCTTCCCCATGATCTCCGCCAAAAACCCCGCCTCATCCTCATCAAGCGCGCGGTACTGATTCTTCAGCCGCGCCGCTTCTTCAAAAGCATCTTGCTTGGCCTGCTTGTTGGCTTGCAGGACTTCGAAGAGGGATTTCCCGTCGTTTTGGGCGGAGAGCTCGGCTTTGCGGCGCCGTTCGGATTCGATGGCGGCTTGCGCTGCTAGCCATTCGTCGTCACGTTCGATGGGTGCGTCGAGCGTGCCGCCGGAGACGAAGCCTGAAGACATAGTTTTTGTGTATTTTGCGCTTGTTGTGGGGGAATTCGTGACGATTGTTATGCTTTAGGGGGATGCTTTGGCTTTAGTCAGTGCGTGGACGTGCAGAGTGGAGAAATCGCTGCTGGTGGCTTGACGTTGTATGATGCTTTTTTTGACGAGAGGTTGGATGTCGTCGGAGATAAGCTGGCGGAGTTAATTCGCGTCAGACCAGCTTAATCAGGAAGGGAACTACGACCAATACCTTCCAGTTTTCAGAAACATCAACGACACCAGGACTCATTATTCATTATACCAAGGATCAGACAAGGCAAAACTACATTCAAACAGGAAGTTGGCAGTCAATAAAACTTCTCCTCTCCATATTGACTGACTCACAATCTTCAAATGCCCAGGTGTTCATCAGAATCCAGTAACCTCGTGCGTAAACGAAACGAGGAAAAAAAGAAAAAAAAAATCAATTCGCAAGCAATGCACGTTCATGTATCTAATCAAACCGCGTAACAGCGATAATATCACAACGGGTTACCCCCCCACACGCCGCAATTGCCCTCACGCAGCAGCTACAGCTTTCACCGGCGCATGCGCACCGTTCGTCTCACCGACATCCTCAGACGACACACTTCCACTCGTGGGCGGCCCACCGCTCGTCGTGGACCCAGAAGTCGAAACGACCGTGACCTCGGAAGAGTCCTGCGTCGTGAGACCTTTGCGTACAGCGAGTACGTTGTCAACAATAACTGCGTCGATGCCTTCTTTTTCTTGAATCTGGGAGGGTAGTCAGTAAACACCCCTGGAAAGGAAAGTAGTGAGAAAACAGAATGACATACCTTTACATTCTTAGGATCATTATTCAACGTTCCATAACTTACGCATACCAAACCACTCTCTTTAACGACCTTGACAAGCCTAGGGCATTGGACAAGGGGTTCCGCAGCGCTCACTATGCCAAGGAGGTTCCAGCGGCTCGCGAACCGAATCGCCTCCTGCAAGCTCGCAGCGCGCACGTCGCCGACTTCCGAGGTCCCCGCATCTGTGAGGAAGAGAACGGGGATAGATGGTTGCTTGAACGACAGCATGAGGCAAATATCAGGATTGAATGACGAAAACATGATGTTTCGCTTCCCCATATTATCGTAGACCATTTTGAGAACGGTGTCGACAAAGGAGTTGAGCTCCACGGCGTATTGATCCATGTCGTGATCGATTGATTCCTGGAGCATGGGGTATTTCATCTCGATGTTGAAGCCGGTTGATTCGGGGAGCTTTTTGAACATTTCTTCAAGGGTGGCGAAGGGGGCTTGGATGAAGTTTCCGCGGCTGTTGCCTTTATAGCCTTTTTCTTTGAAGTCGCGGGTATGCTTCATGCGCTCCGTAAGCTCGACGTGGTGACTGGTATGGATATTCTTCTGCTGCGAGTGATCCACTGAGTATGACCGTAAGCGTCTCTGGGATGGTTTCATTGCGATGGTATGGCTGAGGCCCTTGTCACCGTCGGGTGAATCAGGTCTAGATTGTCGAGGTGTCTGTCCTTCGCTAACGTGAAGAAATTGCTCTAGAGTCAAGGTGTGGACGGGGGCGTCGATGCCGGTTTCGCTGACGAGGAAGTCGTGGTAGATGACCGGGACATGATCCTTAGTCAGCTGCACATCGAATTCGACGTATGAAGCACCTAGATTGGCTGCAGCAATGAAAGATTGTATCGTATTCTCCCCTAGTTGCAGCGAGCGAGACGCAGTCCTGTTCTTACCAAGACCACGATGCCCGATGACCATTGTCGACGACGTCATTTTCTTCCAGTACGTATGCTGTTCGGTGATGGATAGGTTGGGGTGGGAGAAGGGAGTGATGACAAGGAAGTTGAAGTTGACGGAACCTATCACGTCGAGGGTGCTAGCAGCAACAATCGGTACCTTCACGTCGCCTTGTAGAGGAATACGTCTCGAACCTATACTGGTTTTGATCGAGGATAGCAATGCGACTGCACGTCCAACAGGTTGCTCAGGTTTACCTGCGTAGGTAGGAACAATATCGAAAAGGATTTTGACTTTGGAGATGTCTGTCGTCATGAATGTAATTGGCTCGGTGCTGATATTGTCTTGAACAGGAAGATCAATGATTGTGGGCTCGCCCGTTGCGCCGGTGGCCCTGACCACTACAGAAAGCGCTGCGTCAAGCTGTGTAGCGTGTGCATCCGCCAATGGAATGGCTCCGAGTTCGACTGGTGTGATGGGCTTGTCCCCGCCGTATCTGTCCTTACGAGGGTCCATAGATCCAAGGCTGACAAGCACCATGGTCTCGTTGGTGAGATATCGGTGTCCGAACGTCTTCATTGGCTCTGGAGGCTTCTGTTGTATTGCCGGACTCTCCCTGTTCAATCCTTTTGACCTGCGCTCGTCAATTGATGACAACAAAGAAGGTGCACTTCGTGATTCTATTGGTCCTGATGACGCTTTGCGTGGGATCTCCGCAAGCATTTCCACAATTTCCATGTGTCCTCGCAATGCGGCATGCTCTTTGGCAGTATATCCATCGATGTCGCAGCGGTCGGCATCGGCGCCATGATTGATCAAAAGTTTGGCCGTGGATTTCCGTCCATCCACGCAAGCAATGAAGAGAGGCGTCCATGCGAATATCTTTTCCGGCAAATCCAGCTCGACCTTGAATGAAACAGATCCTTGCAACAATACAGTGGCACACTCATCGTGACCAAATCGTGCCGCGATATGGAGAGCGGTTTCGCCCTGATCGTTCTGGTAGTTGACGTTCACGCCAGCTGCTACCAGTAGTTCGACAATTTTGACAAAGTTGTTATGCGTAGCTAGGGCAAGCGCTGCACCTGACTGCGAGCTGTTTTTCCTAGAGTCGAGTTTCTCTGTGCTTATACCGTGCCAGTTTTCCGCCTCAAGTAGAGCTTTAGTCGTAAGCTGATGGCCACCAATAACGGCCAAATGGAGCGGCGCGTAGCCGTCGTTATCCTGCCATGCAGCGGAATCGATACCTTGGTCCACCTGGAATTGGCCCCACTCTTGCATATGCTTGATAACGATTTCACAGATGATGACAAATCCGTACTGCGCTGCATAATGGAGTGGTAAGCGTCCATATGCATCTCGCGATTGCAGGGCGGAGCGGTGCGCCAGAGGTAGTTGTTCCAGAAGGTAAACGAGGAGTTGAACAGATTCGTCATTATCGCTCAAGATGTTTGCGGACTCTTCTTCGGTGTTTGTGTATGGTGGTGGTCGGCCGTCAGGAGCCGTCGCTGGGGTGATGAAGTTGGGCTCTGTGGATGTTTGTAACATTGGTACGCTATCGCCTCCAAGATTTTCACCGCTCTTGCTACGACCGATGTTGATCACTAGGCGGTGAATGCAGTTGCGTCTGTTGATATCATCCTCCTCTTCCAAGGAAGTGATCTCCTGCAAAAGCTTTGTAATGCATTTCTTCGCGCGGCACGAAATGGCCCGCTGTAGAAAGTTTAACAGGATGTGCTGGAACGATGCACTAGTCGATTCATTTTGAGAGGCAATGTCTACGATTGATGCCGTTAGTTGATCCGCCTCATCTTTCCTAATGGCTTGGTCAATAGAGTCAAGTAGGCCGGAAGGGAGATTCAGCGCAAGGCCAGGGACTCTGCCAAGAGAGGCGGCGGAATGCGCAGATCCTGTATCGTCAAATGTCTTGATGTCGCCTAACCCGGACAGCCAATCGTTAACGGATTTCATGTCCTGGTTTACTGGCAGATTGTGGGCAAAGGCCTTGGGAGTGACTTTAGACACTAAATAACGTTGCTGCGTTGTGACGCCAGGTATCTTCTTGTCCAACTTTTTGGTGATCTTCACGAACCCCCTCTTATTGACGTCGCCGTACCATTGAAGCTTTCTAAGTTGACTGCGCAGTTCCAGCAGAGCTCCTGTGATGTCCTGTGCCTCATCTTTGTCAATGCCTTCGGGCATCTTAGCAACACGTCCATAACGACTATGGAGGAGTTTCAATCGACGGGCGCATTCGGTGTACTTCTTGTTGTAGAAGCCATCTACGTCTTCGAGGTTGCGGTCCAGGGAGAAGAAAAATTCTGCAACTGTTAGCTTGGAGTTGCTTCCACGTTGATTGGAAGACTTGCCCGCAAGATCTGGATCTTCGCCGGTTTGAGCGGCGGTTGCAGCGGCAGATTTGATGAGCTTCTTCAAGCCCTTGTAGTTGATGTATTGCGACGCCCACTCAGGCACCTGGTTGCGGGGGAGATTATGACCGAACTTCATGTCGAAAGCAAGCAGCGGAATCGGGGTAAGGATGTAGTCGAGGCCAGCTCTGCCGTGTATTTATGTTCCGGACGGGGGTTCAGCGGCGGCGCGACGGAGCGCAAGCGCGTATGTTTAAAGCAGAGGATAGCAGTAGCAAAGTGAGAAGGTGAAGACGCCGGCTCCATTCAATAGGAAGTGTTGGAATGGTAGGAGCAAGTGAGTCGATAACTATCGCGGCGTGGGAGCATCGATTGATCTTATTGGAGGGCGGGGTCGGCGGGTAGAGGGATGGGGAGGGACCTGCATTTTGGTTAAAGGTGGTGTCGCTCACAAATTGTGGCAAAGTCAGACTGTAATATGGAGTGCGCCAGTGCGGCTCTCGCGCTTTTCCTTTGCGTGAGGCTCGTTGGTTGGCGAAGATGGACAGACGAATGTGGTGGAGTAGATGCGATGTGATGTGATGCGACGCAGTGAGCGGCGGCGACGAAACGAAAAGAGGACGTACTAGTCTTCAAGCGTTCAGGGTCCTTCAACCACCACGTGCGGACGTCGATCCAGACAAAGGATAACCACAGGTACTGTCAGGGCCGATTTTATATCAAATCTTCACTGAATCGATGCATGACAATATTGTACCGCATCAAAACTCGCCATCGCAAAATCAAGCCCTTGCTTCACCTGGGCTCAAACTCGGGCTCGTTCGGGCTCACTAAATCTTGCCGGGCCATATTAATTACGACACCCTCTCCACTTGTATCAGTCCGGTTTGTGGCGGGTTTGCCAGCCTGTCCCATGTCTTTTGAGCAGGTACCGACCTTTGACACACTTTCGCGCTATTCGTTTCTGTGTTCGCCGGGTCCACACTGTATGGTTTTGACTGGACTGAGGATTGCATGAACAGGCACAGGTCAGGCGGGGTTTTAGTCGTGCAACAGAAAAAAACGGCGGTGTGAATAGTTGAGGAGTTGGACGTCACATGCACTGCTCGAAACACCAATTGTATGTTACATTGGAATGCATCTACAGGCGGATTGGGAGAGGCACATAATCTGCATATGCATTTTCTGCCTATACATAGAATGGCAAGTGCTCACACGACCTCTTGCCCGTTATAGTCCGACCAATGGCTCGTAGTCTTCAACCCCACAGTAGACTCGGATATCACCAACATGTCCCTCTTTTGACAGTCCATCACTGCAGGCTCTGTAGATCACACCTACAAGCAGCGGAAGCTAAGTACATATGTACCTGTGCATAGCTGTATGCTTCGCCGTGGAACCGATTGACCCGGAGAACCCTCTCCTTTTCAACCCCCACCCGAGGTATCAGAGGATGGCGGGGTTTATTTACGAAAAGAAAAAGTTGTTGCCCTGATTGTCCTTTCGATGTGTCTTGGACAAGTCTTTCTCTGGATTGTACTCCTCCCACACACTCGCAGGGAAGATGTGCTTGTTCTGTTCGTACCACCGCCGATCAACTACCTTCGTTAGCGTGGGATCGTCAGTGAACCCCTCCAGTTCGTCGTCCGGAATAGCAGCGCTTTTGTCTTTATTTTTTTCAGGCCTATCCAGCGGATTGAAAGTAGAAGGATCCGTCTCTTCGCCAGCTGCAGGGGTTGCTTTTGTTGGCTGTGCTGAGAAATCAAAAAGACGCCCATTATAACCCTCGACTCGATTGAAGAGGAAGTGATAAAACTCGTGATGCTGAATTGCAAGTCAGCACGCCAGGGTCAACGAACCATTGAATCTTCGTTACTTACGGGTGGAAGAATCACCTCGCTCCTCACGAGCATCAAGTCATCCACACTGACACGAGCCCAGTCTCTCCTAGATTTGTCGCCACCACCCGCACTCAATTGCGCTCCAAGTTTCCGTGCTCTGTCGAGGAAAAGCCAGATGTGGTCACCCTTCTTGACTCTGCAGCGACCTCCGGGAGTATTGGTACCATCGTAGAAGACAAATGGGATAACAACCTCGGTGGCTTTCACACTTTCGCGCATTACAATGAATTCTCGCCGGGCCTGTTCAGTCTGCTGTGCTTCGCGCTGCAGTGCAGATTTAGTCATTACTCTGGGTTTCATGCCTACGTTGCTGTTGGCACCAAGTTTTTTCTTTTTGAATGGCACTCCCTCAGCCTCGGAATTGACATTGGATGAATCTGCTGGGGTGCTCTCGCGTAAGGTGGTGCCGTCTTGGGAGTCCGTGTCTTGCTCGTCGTCCAAACCAAATGATAGTTTTCCTTTTGCTGCTACTTTCCGCTTCTTCTTGAAAGATGGTTTTGCCGTCGAGGCACTATACTTGGTCAATCAGCTCCGTTGGCAATCACGTGTGTCATGATCTTAGGATAGAACATACCCGGCTTTCGATGGGTTCACAGTGGATTCTCCGCGCTCTTTCAGGTCCAATGCTTCAGCACGTCGCTTCCGAAAATCATCGTGATGCAACAACCCGACCGTCTGCGTTTTGAGATGATCCTCCGCGGTGGTGCCCGTGGGTGTAACGTTCTCGCTTGCGGGCGCAAACTTGTCCATTGCAAAGTACAGCTCGTGTTATTTGATTCCTCGTAAAAATGTCTTGAAATGGTTATGATGTGGAGACTTTGGGAGTTGGACTTGACGGTGACGAATAATTGGTGTAGGCGGAGGTTGACCCTTCCAAGAAAGACCGCACAGCACATGACAACGCGAAGACGCGCTAGCCCAAAATGCTCAAGCTGTACACAACATCCCCACCACCATCGCAACCACCTTCTGCATCATACATCAATCGATTCTGCGCTCCAATCTTCGCGTTTTACTACGCGCCAAGTCATGTGCATAGCGCAATATGAGGGTTATCCAAGACTCAGAAGACGAAGATGATCTTGAACTGATCGAGGCTGGCGAAGACGCGCCGGTCGAGGATCGAAATGGACAGGAGCGCGGCACGGGTTCCACGGGTATGCAGAGCCACTCTGCTTCACAATAAATGATCGACTGATGATTCCGCCAGAATCTCTCAAACGAAAAATAGAGGATGCCCACCGCACCCAGTTTCGATCTCTTACAGATGCAACTGCCAGCCACCAGGACGCGCCGCATTCTAACACGCTAGACAAGCGAAGAAAGACGTCATTAGATCCATCCCCAGTAAGCTCGCTTTTGCTGGAATCAGCGAAGCAATATGTTTCACCAAGTAATCAGATATTGGGAAACACCTGTAATCTATCGGAAATTGAGAGGAGAGTGGCTCCAACTATAGCTCTGCCCGCAGTTCTTTCACCAGAGAAACTTTGGAATCTCGACGGGACCATACACGAGGAGTGGCAATATCATGAACCAGGCATGTTCGTTGAGCCTTCAAGTACAGTACCGAATGCAACAGCCACACAGCAGCGGATCTTACAAGAAAATCTTGCCCCGGCATTTCCAGGCCTCGACCCAACCGTAGACGGACAGTATCAGCCACCCCCAAAGTCATCTGTACCTTGGTCAGAATTTATGAGGTCGTCATCCTCCAGAGAACCACAAGACGAGTCTGGGAACACGAGCCAGAACGACCAGCGCTCTACACAGCACAGGAAATACCCAGAAACGAATCCTCCCATGTCTCCTATCCAGGAACTAAGAAATAGCGAGCAACCAGAAGACATCATAATGTCGTCCAAACAGGAGCAAAAGGAAATTGCCATCCGACAGTCTCCTCGTCAGCAGCGTACATCTCAAGCAGAGCCTACCTCGAGCACCAAAAGCAGGCCCCTGTCCGGTTCGACTAAAGATCCTCCTGAGGAATCAGCGTTCGACAACTCAGCCTCCATCGAACTCTCGACAGAGCAATATGTTCCGCGACCTTCACGCTCAAGGTCCTCAAAGCTTTCTCTTGATGCGCCAATAGATTATTCCGTAAGACCCGAAAAGATGGCGAGACGTACCAGAACTTCAGGCGCGACAGAGAGTGGCTCGGGTGCCACAACCCCAGAAAAGGTACGACAAATCACAGAGATGGGCTTCACACCAAAAACTACGCAAAGAGCTCTCAAGCGACACCACGGCGACATGGCATCAAGCGTGGAGTGGCTGATTGCTTCCGGAGAAGCAGATGAAGACGAGCTGGCTCCTCCAAGATCATCAAGGTCGAAAAAAGCCAAAAGGAATGAAGCAGAGCAGGCACGCTTTGAAGTGGAACGCCAAGAGGCTTCTGCTGTTACCCAAGAAGAGACCAACGCGGATTCCAAAATTCGCGGCAAGCCACTTTCAGCAGGCATTGATCCAGATGACTCACCCGCCTCGCGTACGAAGACTCCAAGAGTGCAGGTTGTCATACCTCCCAAGCCCCGAGAGCTTGAGGCTGAACTGGAAAGCACTGTCAATCCCACAAATCACAATGATGTGGAAACCCCGAAACAAAACCGAAGGAAAATAGCTACCGAGCCACAAGAAGCTTCTAATGGAGTTGTGGCTACGCCTGCAAAAGAGAAAAAGAAACGAGGCAGGCCACGAAAAGATGCAAAAAGGAATCCCGTCGAAGAGAAGCAGATAGATGAGCCAGCATCTGATTCGGGGCCAAAAAGCAAGGCGCTTCAGCAAGCCGAGCCAAACGTGCAGAATGTTTCCGGGGAGCTTGAGACCTCGGAAAAGCAATCAAGCCCAGTTCTGACAAAACAGACCACGGCTACGGTGGAGAGAGCCGCACCATCCGAGAAAGCATCACCCAGGGTTATTGATAACGGAGAGCCACCCAAAGACTCCTCGGAGCAGCCGTCGGACAAGGCGGTTGCAGTCCCGCGAAAGCCTTTGGGGGTGGTGGAAAGCGCCCAATCGCCACAGACGAACGGCAAGAGAACCTATCGAGTGGGTCTGAGCAAACGTGCACGGATCGCGCCTCTGCTTCGGGTAGTGAAGAAATGACGGAGTATGGTTCGGGAAAGTCAAGAAGCAAACGTCTTCCACGGACACGGAGAGTAGTAGGTATGCAGGAACTGAGCTTAGCGTAGAGGAGTCGTCCTTTCATGTAACGAAATCAATTGATACCCCACAGCGACCCCATAAATTTCAACACATCTACTTTGGGTCATGCGGATTTTCAACGCGGCGCAGATCGGTTGATCGCTCGACCCACCACGCTGAACGAGCACGAAGATTCTAAGGTGAAATCCAGCAATTACTTCAACTACGAAGAGAAAAGCGGAATCCTGTGTGATCCATCATTCTGAAATCTCACCATATCCACATATTCCCTCCCTTCCGCAACGGCGTAACCTGCCAGTGCTAAGTCGAGCAGCTGCTAAGACAGACGCTGTTTACACGTTCTGATGAAGCAAACAAGTTGGTTCCTCAGGTAGTATTGACTTCTTAGGTCGACCGAATCTACTTCTATCGATGATGCATTCTCGCTTTTTCTCTTTCGAATCACTTACCGTAGTCACCGATTGAAGTCGCTAGTTCATACCTCAATGCTGACAATACTTGCGCAACAGCTAAGAGCATCTGTTTTTCCAACACCCAAGAATGGGCATGTCGGACATAGGCGTAGGCATATACGGAGAACTCCCTCCATCTTAATCACGATGTATGATAATATTTTCTTGGTTCTGTACAAACGGAACTATTGTCCAACGTGTGAGATCTCGCGTAGAAAACGAATGCCCACTCCTATGCCTGTGGCGTACAATCCGCGCTAATTGAAATTGCAGATGCATGGCGCATATAGAGTAGGGTCCGTTGGTTGACTAGACCCAAATTCTGCGGCCCTAAAAAGTATGGTACCGTGAACCCGATGCACCTCGGGAACGGTACCTGGTATCGCTTTCGCCAAGAAATGATCACTGTCAGGGGCAGCAAACATCTGCTCGTCATATCCAGGCGAAATGAGTCTGTTTAGAGGTGATCTACATGTCTAGGTCGCTCTTATTCTACCAGCATGTTCATATCCACCGGCGGCGCCACGCACACCACACTTTCTATCATCGATCAATTCTTAGTGGTTGCATCAATAGCCAACGACTGTCAACGACCTCCTTTTCCCCGTACTGCCGAGATTGACAGACTACAAGCAGCCGGTAGTCATGGTCGAAGAACACTGCAATTCCAGACGACGGACGCCATTGCGCTAGATTTGTCATGCACAAGCGCTAGATTCGATGTTAGCGACGGTTTGCTGCCCCTTTCGGAACTGTCGTTTCTCTTTTCGACTGTATGGCATGTGTCATGAAACGCTGGACCATGAAGAATCCAGAGTGCTGCTCTGTCACTGATGAGCAGTCACTGCTATGCCCCTGGTACATCGAGCGACCTTATGGACACAGTCATGTCCTTCACAGATACGCCTAATGCTGAGCTACACCTATTCTCCAAGCCGTTCGCCTCTAAATCATCTCAAGGCTAAATATCTATCTTGAAATCCCAGCGATAAACTAGTTCCGATACTATTGACCCACCCACTTTTCAGAAGCTACGCCTCCGATGCGCCACGCTTGCTTAGTGCGTTCTTCTCGCCTACTCAGTCCTCGGAATAGATATAGACTTGGAAAAGTAGATATACAGCACTTGGCTCCCTTTTCTTTTTGCTTTTGGACCAACCCTATCCGTCTTTGACCTTCGTTGACCAAAGACATTGTCACTCGTTTTTCATTTTTGTCGAGTCGCTTACCGAGCTCGTTTGCTCTTATTCTACCAATTTTTGTGCAGTCTCTCGTTCAGTCTTTTTCTTATAACTTTTATTATTCAAGTCTTTCGAGATGCATTTCACGACGCTTTTGACGGCTACCGCCGCCGCGGTGCCTCTGGTCGCTGCCCACGGTGGTGCTCCTAGAATCTTTGGTTTGGGAGAGGGTGCTTTGAGGCCCAGAGATCTCGGTTTCGCGGCTCGTCGCGCTGCTACGCCGCACTCTCATAAGATCAACAAAGTACGACCTTGATCTGCGATTCGCTGAGATAGAATATTAATATTGTTACAGAGACAAGGCGGAGTTGACGGACAGTGTGGTCCCTCTGCGAATGGAGCCAAATGTGACGACGGTTACTGCTGTTCAGGAGCTGTAAGTCCATCCGGTGATACACACAGTTATTTGATTCTAACAATTCCAGGGCTGTATGTTCCTTCTACTATCATCTTTGAACTTTGAACGAAATATGCTAAAACTTTAAAGGGTGCGGAACTGGCGAAGAATACTGCGCTGCTCCTGGTATGTTAAGATCCATTACGCATCGCGCATATATGCCTACGATATCTAACAGAAACAGATTGTCTCATCGATTTCGGTACTGGATGCGACGCCCATGCCATTCCTAACGGAGAGAGCACTATCAACGTGCCCAGAACCCAGCTTGGTAGCATCGTAAGTCACATAGTCCTACAACACCTACCCAAAGCAATACTGACTTCAATCTAGGAGTATGGTGGCGAGGGTATCTACCCCTGCCGCGAGCCCGGCACTGTAGCCATCACATACGATGATGGACCGTACATCTACACCGACGGCGTCCTCGATCTATTCGCTCAGTACAACATGAAAGCCACATTCTTCATCACCGGAAACAACCTTGGAAAAGGCCCCATCGACGATGCTGCTACCCCTTGGCCAGCGGTCATCACCCGGATGATGAATGAAGGTCATCAGGTCGCGTCTCACACCTGGTCCCACCAGGATCTCAGCGCTATCACTCATGATCAGCGTGTTGAGCAGATGGTCAACAACGAGATGGCTCTCCGTAACATCTTGCAGAAGGTATTCCGACCTGAAAGGCAAAAGATTTGCTATGTGCTTTACTGACCGCATAATTCTGTTCCGTTAGTTTCCCACTTACATGCGTCCCCCATACTCCTCCTGCACTGCGGCCAGTGGTTGCGAACAGGATATGAAGGACCTCGGATACGTTGTCGTCTACTTTGATATTGATACCACCGATTACCTCAACACCACTCCCGACAAGATCCAGAATGCGAAGGACGTGTTCGCCGGCTACATCCAGAACAGCAATCCCACTACGGACACTTTCCTCTCCATCGAACACGATATCCACCAACAGACTGCTCAGAACTTGACTGTTTACATGCTTCAGATGCTTCAGGATAAGGGCTACCGCGGTGTTACCGTCGGTGAATGCTTGGGTAAGTGAGCTCTGCACTGCGGTTTATCTTGTATTTTTCCACTTGTGACCTTAAACTGACCCCAATTTAGGTGACCCCGAGGCCAACTGGTACCGTGCTTCTTCTGGAAAAATCGTCACCTCTTCTTCCGCTAGGCCTTCAGCGACTCAGACGTCTTCCGCCGCCCCTACCGCTACCCCTACCGGCGTTTCCGTCGATGGAACTTGCGGTGCCGCTGTTGGACTGACCTGCCTTGGATTTAGCGAGGGCTCTTGCTGCTCACCTGCCGGTACGTAGTCTCCTCGATGCGACACGCAACCTTCTCCATTTTTCGACAATACTGACTCAATCCAGGCTGGTGCGGTGCCACTGAAGCATACTGCGGCACAGGCTGCCAATCCGGCTTCGGCACATGCGGCAAATCGACCACCGACGTCCCCTCCTCCAGCGCTCCATCCGCCACCACCGGTTCCTCATCCAGCGCAGCTCCCTCCGCCGCGCCTTCAAATGTTACCCCCTCTGTCAACGGCCAATGCGGTCCTGCTCTCGGGTTCACCTGCAAGGGATGGGCTGAGGCTTCTACCGTCGGAGAATGCTGCTCCAACAGTGGATGGTGCGGTTCCAGCACCGATCACTGCTCCGCAGGTTCTTGCAACCCAGCGTACGGTGTCTGCGAGGGCTCAAACTCCGCAGCCCCGTCGTTCTCTCTCAGCCTTTCCGCCTCTGCGTCCGCGTCCGCCTCCGCCATCACGAGTGCGTCTTCCTGCGCCGACCCTCTCGCTACAGTAGCCGCAGATGGATCGTGCACTACAACCGTTCGGTCCACGACCACCATCTCCTCCGCCGCTGTCATCCCAACGACCTCTGTCGCTCCCGTCCCATCCGCCACTTCTACCTCCACGGCTCCCGCACAACCTACCAAGGCGCCATCCACCCCGGTCTCCACCAACGGTCGCTGTGGATCCAGGAATGGAGGTACGACGTGCAAGGGCTACAGGGGTATCTTCAACTGGCAAATGGAGTGCTGTGGTGTCACTGGATTCTGTGGAAACGACTTCTTCTCGTGCCGTGTCAGGTGCCAGAGTGAGTACGGCAACTGCTGGTAAGCGGTTGATGCGAAATCATGATGTGATGAGGGTGTTGGGAGTGTGGGAAATCTACACAGGAGAGTGTATATACTGGCGATTGAGTTGAGTTGCGTTGGAGGTGTGTATAGATGTGCGTGTATGAATAAGAAAATATGAAAGTAAATAATATCTCTCCCAGAGCTCATCTGATCTGCATTGTTTGTTCTATCACTGTAATGCTCCGACGTTTAACTGCACGTGTATTGGGCGATGCCAATGCCCAATCTGTGAATATAATGATGGTATTGGGATCGAATCTCTCTACCTCAGCACTCATCCAATCCCAAGGCACTGGAGTAATTGATCGCCATGCCGCTACCCACATCACCCATAATCCAGCGAGCGAAATCGACCCATTCTAGTCGCACACATCCACTGTTCCATTTCCGTTCCAGCTCGAACGACCCCCATACCGCGCCAGTCTCTTCGTTCCAACTACTTCTCAAAATCAAATCAGGTATACACAGTCCTGCCACTCCCATCCACCGCGCCATCGTCCTCTACACCTGTAATCGACCAAGGTCAGTCATCATGATCCGGTCTGCTCCATACGTGGCAGTGTGCTCGTGGTCTAGGAGGCTATGCCATACTTCACGTAGGATGCAATAAGGTGCCATGCGTATCAAGTCTTGCGTGTGCCCAAGTAGTTGCGAGCTCAAACGTTTATTGGGCTTGAAAACGTACAGATGGCGCACCATCGGGCTGCATAGAGGATAGCGACCGTCACTGATCTAGGTCGTCTTGCTATGAGCTTGCAGGCGTATGAGCCCAACAGCCTGAGATTATAACCACCCACCGAGATGGGACGATGCGCATGGATGTCTTTATATCGTGAATTATGCTAGTGAGCAGACGAAGATGCTTTGATTAAGTGAGTACATATACAGAGCACCTAGACTAAACTCTATGTCCCTCGCACGGCAGCCTCCAACGACACCTGATGGCGATATGTTCCTAGATCGAAGGCTCTGGTTTTTGGCGGTGAAGTGTTCTTAGTTTTCGACCACCGTACGTCAGCAGTGTGACTGAAGGCAAAGCAGAATTCTAAACAGTAGAAGGGGGCATATATAATGCAATTAACTTCGTCCACCTCAAGGCACATGTAAGCTTGGCAGCATTTCCTCCTCGAATCCCTATCGTGTGACTTTCTAGGGACTGAAAGGCACCGCTGGTGTGCAGGCTGTCATATTATCCCAATTAGAGCTTGCCAATTAATATCTCAAGCTGGCGGTAAACAGCGTGCTAACAACTTGCTGATACTCGTGATGCATGTTCACCTTGCGAGCAGCGCCCACTAGTCGTTGGGCTGTCGGGTCGAAGGGGTGCATCTGGAATGTTGTATTGGGTTGGTGGATGGAAGCTAACTCCTCACTATTTGCAACAGGTAGGGGCGTCACGCTAGTGCCCAGGCCAGGCAGGAGCCACCAAGACAGGTGTGAAGAAGAAACGCCGACATCCTGAACACAAGTGCTGAGGAGTCTAAGACGGGGTGTTCGGACATTTAAATGTACAAGAATCCCGGAATTTGCACCGTCAGATCCCGCTATACTGCTTTTGAGCCTGTGTCTTTAACCCTACTCTACATACATATGTAGCTATCTTTCCATCTCCAACAAGCAATTGTGAGCAGAGTTCTGAAACATGTTTCAGTCCCCCATACTTGTACGGAGTTGTCCAGTCTTCATCCACGACATTCGGTTCAATACATTTCAAATCGGGAGATTTTTTCCTTGGTCTGCACAGTCTTGGGGGTCGTAAATGGCGGCTATGTGGTACGGGATTCTCGTTGCAAATGAAATGATTTAGGTATCTCGTATGAGGTTCGTCCATGTGTCTTGGGTCGCCACCGAGAAGAAGGGACATTGTTTTTTCCTCCTCTGTGTGAATATATGCATATTCAACTAAAGATTCGCCCAGAAGTTCCACATTTCGCCTCCCCCCAAGACCGTAAAGATGAATCATGTAACCGTTTCAAATTTGAGCTCATGACCATGAGCGCTCCACCGTTGCCCTTCCTTTAGTCGACGCTAACCCCGCTGACTTGAGCATCCTTGAAAACCTCCTCCAACTTGGCCTTTGCAGCATTGATGTCGGCGGGATTGGCACGATGAAGCATCATGGCGTTGAGAAAGATGTAGGCACGCTGGTGCTCCGCTTCGTTGGTATAGCCCTTGTTGACGAACAGACCTTTGTCGACCATTGCCTGGTGGCACTTGACGATGTTGTGGTAGGTGATTTCGGGGAAGGTGCCGTCATTGGCATTGGCAGGGGTGGAACGCACAAAGGGGTCACTGTGATGAAGAAGCGCAACCAGTCCGAATGTGATGACCCTCAATCGGTCCATCATGTTGTGCAAGCCATCAGCAACTCCAGTCTTCTCCACATTCTCCCACTGGTGATTGAGGACATCGGCGATGGCCTTGTTGTCCTTAATCCAAGCAGTAAGCTCGTCGTATGTGCCACCCATCAAGAGTGCCAGCTTGTCCTTGTCGTCGTAATAGAAGGCCAGGTCATCGATGGTGACGCGCGTCTTGAGCTGTTGAATGTCCTTGTTGGATTGGAGAGCTTGATCGTACTCGAGTACACCATGGACTGAGGGCGCCATGACTGACCTGGGGCGTATCATTAGCATATTATGGGACCAGCGGATGCATTGCGAGTGACATACAGGTGAATAGTGTCTGGTCAGTGTTGTGGAAAGAGAAAGAGAGAAAGAGATGATTTGAGCGGCGGAGAATCTCCACGAGTATGTATGTTGCTACGCTTCGACCACCTAATATTACAATTTTAGCGCGTAGAACATTGTAGAAACCTCTAGACAACAGTCTCTTTTACTTGTGTCACGTGCTGGGTGCTAGGTGCTAGCGCTGTCCCAGATTCTTCTCTATCAAAATTGCCCTATCCTCGCAATTCTTCCTTTCTCCTACATCAACTTCTGCCACTACCAATCTACGACAACCTATCAGAACTCCGAAAAGTACCGTCATCCACCAGCCTTCGTCATAGCCAACAACAACGCCACTCAGCCTGATGCGTGCTGTGGCCTGGACCCTGACCACTTCTGGAACCCGGATGACGTTCCGTTCCTCCACTTCAAAACGTTCGTGTCTAGTGGCACGTTCGATCTGAACGAAGCCGAGAAGGATACTCTCTCTGACTACATGGCCGATCACGCCCAAGAGATCGAGCCTATCGCCATCAACTAACTCAATGATACTGCCGCAATGCTTCGCGCTGATGATGCTCAATACCATCATCTAAGGATCCGCGTCGTCGATGACATTATGGCCAATCATTCTAGCGATCGAGAGTTCAAGGTCATGGAATCGGCCGAACTCAAACAAATGAACTATCGGTCTCAAGTAGCATACAACCTCCAACACACCCACGACTCCATCTGCAAAGGTGGGTTGTTCGCCCATGGCAACACCCCGATGCAAAAGCAGCTCCAAGTTGCTTCCATCGCTCTGGGATATGTCATGGAAATGATTGTGGAGGAAGAGGACAGCAAGAGCTCCAACTCATGGATCCAGGTCCCGGCCAGCGAGCTCGAAGGCTTCATCAAGACCATGTTGTCTACCCAGCATCAACAGCCCGAGGCCAAGGTACGTATATGATCGAGTCTTTTCGATCCCATTCTAACAATAAGATAGGAGTAAAGCGTCCATACAGCCACTGAAGTGGTTTTTAGAAGTTTGGGAATGGCGTTCTGGGAATCTGGGTGTGGAAGGGAATCATGGAAGTCAATTGATCATGATGGAACCTCGGGCTATCCGGAAGGGAATCCTGCCTGACTTATGGCACTGATCATTCAATGGGGTTAAAGGTTCAGCACACTGCATGGAGATCACGACTAGGACTCGAGTATTGAGTTTATGGATTAGGGTGAACGGACGCAAAGCCGAACAATGGATGTTCCAGAAAGGCGAGGTGGCTTTCAAGGTTGCAGAGAAGACCAAAGGCATGATACACATCGAGGTACATGCTCCTATAGGACGTGGCGATCAGGGATTGGGTATTTGGGTAGTAATGAGCAAACCAGCTGATTTTGAATGGCTACATACATATCAATTGATGTATGTACATTAAAAGGGCGGGCCCACCCTAGGATTAGCTATCAACACCCACTTAAGACTTTATGCTATGTCTAGATCTTATTAGCAACTTCTTAAAACCATGTTGAAACTCTATTTAACAGGGTATCAAAGTAAAAAGCGCAGCCAACACCCCATTCTTGAGTGAGCGCTCTTTGGTAATGTATTGAGCAGAGCAGCAACAATCAAAATCATACACTGCGCTCCCAGCATCATAACCATCGTTTGAGGCACCGATTTGTGTATGCCTGAGTAGTTTGTATTCGATTAAATATCACTGCAATATACGGTATGCTGATATGCTGTTCGACAGAATCAATTGATGGAAATGTGGAAAATGTGGTCAATGAACCATCCTGGGGAGCCAAATCATATAATAGAATGATCTGGTGATGAATAAAACAAGACATGAAGCATACGTTCCACCTACCGCAATGTTTGCGGGTTTCGTGATGCCAAGCCGCAAGCATGTTCACTACCAGTCGAGACTCGACATACATACTTCCGCAACCTGCATGTGCACACCTAAAATTTGATACTTCAACACAGCAACACAATGAGATCCTTGACAAAGGATAGGATCTTGTATGGATCATCTACAACGCACCAGGGAAGGAGTACTTACCATTCGATGTCCTGTCAGATGAGGATCAAGCTAAGATCCGCGATACATGCAAGAAGAAACTCCAGGGCACTCGACAATATTGCTGTACGGCCAGACCGACGGGCATGTACCGCGAGAATAAAGGTTGCCTATACAATATGATTGCCAATCGCGGGAATCTCTTCATCCCTCAAGAGTCTCCACAGGTCTGCAGCAAATGCCAGAAAGCTGGTGACCGTCCATGCCTTCGGATGGTGGATCGAGAGGGCTGCCCTGAGGGCATTTTCATGATTTGCATTTATCCGCGACAGGATGCCATGGACCTCCCGGCGTACGATCTCAAGAGATATGTGATACCAGAACTGCCTGGAGCTCAAAGGCAGATTGATCGTGTTTTCAATACCCATTGTTTGTGCCGCATGGAAATGCGATGAATCATCATTACGCTCAGTGATACCAGAAAAGTTGATTCAGATGGGATGAGCTGCGATTGTTATTTGTGAACGTGTTACGCATGGTTCTACTCTATCAAGATATGTGGTACTGGGGAATCTGAATTAGGTGGAAGAATATACTCATTGTCCATGCTAGTACTACCAAAAAATTGAACAGATGTCCACTTTGATCCTCTTCCCCCCCATTGGCTGTGAACTCTTGCGCTACGCAACTCTACTCTGCTCGCAAACAGCTACTTCACGTGATGGCTTCTCTCTGCAATGGCTGCTCTCTGCAATGGCGGCTCTCTGCGTGATGGCTGCTCTCTGCAATGGCCGATCTACTCTTCTAGATACTGCTCTGCTTGATCGGATGCGCTGCTCAATCAGCTGCTCTGCTTGATAGCTATTCATTACCAGCCGCTTTGCTCGCTAGCAGATTAGCCGCCGCAAAGTAATGCAGTTACACATACAGCAGCTGCTTGTATTTTTAATGAAGTCATGTGACATTCAATGAATGCAGAAATAACATTTGAATATACATATGTACCTAGGTACGTATTATTGACCACAATGATATCACGTGACCAGGACAACTCTAGGTGAAGTCGACACCTGGGGTTTCTTTTACTTAAAGCTCTTTCCAGATTGAGTAGTCGCACTAGTCCCGCTATTATATTAGAACTGCTTCTGTCTTTCTTCTCCTCCTCCACCACCACCTCCTCCATCTCCTCATACTGTCACCTTTCTTTATCCCACTACTGCAGTGCCACTTCTCTTGCAAGCCGGTGCGTATCAGCTCCCATTTCCCAGCCAACTCCACATGCTAACCATCGTTAACCGCCATCAAGAAGGCAGTCATCTTTCCTTCCCCGCCATGGAGTCCTCGCTGAAACGCAAATGGGGCTTCAATGACTGCGCCGATCGCTTGGTGCATGATCACCGAGGCAGGCCACTAGTCATAGGCTACAAGTTCTACGTTCGGGAGGATATTGGCAGATTCTCTCAATCCATAATGGTGTATGACGAGGACACGCAAGCGGCCATGAAGAAAGCAGATATTGATTACAAACATTCGTCAGACTCTGCATGGGGCTCCAATCTGAACAAAGGCGGTAGCTTTGAGGACTGGGAAAATTCCTTCAAGGTTGCTTGGAATATGAAGCGTTATCGTATTGCAAACCCTTCGTTTGTTATTGGCGAAGACTCTTCCGTGAAGATTGAAGGACAGCCTTCGTTGGATCTTGACGAGTCGGTAAGTTTGGAATCTTCAACCCATGATAATGGCGGACTGTTATCTGATTGAACAACTTCAAGGAGACCAGCACCGTGCAAGCTCAATCTACCATCGGCACAGGTGTGAATCAGCAGCAAGCTGCTCGAGACGATACGGCGAGAAGCCTTCAGAAACTCAAACATGATATCGAAGAGTGGCAAAAGCTTGATGAGGAGGCGAAGGAGCGAGAGGGTGTGATGCAGAGGAGAAAGGAAGAGATCGAGAAGATCAAGCAGAAATTGGAGGAAGACAAGACCTACGTGGCTGACATTCGGAAGCGGCAGGAGCAGATCGAACAGCGCATCCATTGATGTTGAAACCAATGATAGATCGTGGTTAGATGTTCTTGGAATTATCTGACCATGCTCGCAAGAGGGAGCTTCGGGCGCCACATCACTCTATTCTGAAAAAAACAAAAACAAAACAAAATTTCCATGAAAAAACTCATTCTATTAAAAAGGGCCTCCTGTGGTGCTGTACTCATCATATTGTACGAAAAGACCATGGTGGGCAAGGTTGGTGAGATAGGCGATTACATTACGGATACGATCTCCAGTAGCTTCACTGCTTCGTTCTTCAATAAGGGCATCACATCTGTCCAGCTCATCAAACTCAAACGCCATATCTCAGATACAATGAGTCTGTCGAGCCTTATATCCATTCACACACTCATGATTCATCCGACCATCCGGTCGCTGACATATGCGCTGAGTCCCTCGCCCATCAATAGTGCGCAGCTGTGTCCAGTATAGAAACAGCAATACCTCATACCCTTTCTGCGTTTAAGGGGTCTGCACATGATGACAGCATGAATTTTCGGTTAAGTAAATTATTCGAACATCGCATATTGCATGCAGCACAAACATTAGGTATTAAAAACATAATAAATCTGCCTTTAAACTCTAGTTAGGACACATGTTCTGTGGGTATTACAAGACTAATAAGTTATTATTATGAATAGCTAGGTGCGCATTGGGTATGAGGATCTCAACACCACAATTCAACAATCCAAATCGACTCATTGAATGATGATAAAGACGTGAAATTTCGGCAATGATGTATGTACATTTTGGGTAGGAAGCAATCGGTTTAGGACTGAGGCTGAAGTTGGACACCTGGTTTGGGGTATGTCTGCAGAATAAGCCCTTGCCTGTGTTCGAGACATTGTAAGCGATGCCTGGCTATCTATCAATGGGAACTGTGGGATCGAACGCTCATCTAAAATCCCTATGGCTTAACTCCATGCGTGAACGTGGCGCGTTCCAGTGAGTCTTATGCGAAGCGGCCAACTTCGCTTCATCTACGTGAGACATACATGCCAGGCGTCGTTCTGTAACCCTGACTTATCGACCACAAAGTTCTTGCGTTGCCACGCATTTGGTTTACTCAATTACAGATAGGTAGGCAATTGTTAGTTGGAATACATCTGGCAAGATGCGAGCATTTTGCATTAATGTATAAATTGGTAAACATAAGCTAATAAGAGGAGGCCAATGAATGTTAGATGGAGGCTAGAGTGGTGGCAGGAACCCGTCAACTCCTGTCCTTCCTTGCAAGCTCGACGTTTCTCTCTATTGTATTGTTGGTTTGTAGAACTCTAGAAGATGGGTGAGGGTATGTGAAGTGCGCTTGGCTAGGTTTACTTTAAGACTCTTGTACTTTTGGCAGCTTCTCCTTCTTAGGCCTTAGTTCTGCGACTGCTATAGACCTAGAGTAACTGTTGCTTTAAAGACTATTCTTTTATTTCAATAAAAGCTCGTGATTTACTCGACAGTTATCTTCGCTTGTCGATTAGTATCTCAAACTGACAGTAAACAGCGTGAGTTGGGTATACATTCTACAAGATCAAAAGTGAAGTTCACGTCACATCCACACGTGAGTGACAGAAGAAACAGTGTATTCCTGATGAAGAAAAGGCATGTCGCCTTTATCCATATCCAGATTAAAAGGAAGAAAGAAGATACAGCCCTGGAATGCAGAGATCAGGCCTACACATTGACCAAAGACCGCATGCAATGATCCCCAATTGATGAGCCGTAAAGAAAAGGAAAATGTGGAGGAAAGCCATTTCACTCCTCAATTGCCCCAGATTCCCAAATTTTCTGCCATTACACCTCCTCGCAGCTTGTCCATTCCCCGAAATGAGGGTACACGTCATCCACGTGGCCCTTGTCAAGTGTATGATTCATAATACGAACCACCAAATCCAACATGGTGCGCTCATAGACTCCCCCATTCATAATCGAGCCCTCGACAATCTTATCCGGATCTCCCCGAAACGTCGAGCACGCGCCGATAATGACCAGTTTGAGGTTCACCATTCTTCGTATCTTCTCTCTGAATATCACATCCATCAGATGCGTCATTTTATCCTCGACACTATAGCACCAGGTCTGGAACAGCTCCAAGGTTTCAAGACTGCTGGGAAGTCGATCAATTTGTGGTTCGGTACCACCGACATCATATATACTCCATCCTGGGATACGGAGCATCCTGAGTTGAGTGAACATTGAAAGTCTTTCGCATAAAATACCTTCCGGATACTGTAACGGAAGGATGAGAACCTCCAGCGATTCAACGTGGCGATCAACCAACAGCTCCAAGACCGATTTTTTATCATGCCAATGAAGGTTTCGGTTCACGACCAATGCAAGCTTTTTGAGGGTTTTGGGGGCACAGATGCAGTAGCGAAGACGATGGAATTTTACCTGATCGATCGTGAAGATCAATTCAGTGACACCAGAGCTACCATCAGGCACCCCCTCATGGATGACGTCTTCACCTTCGTCTTCATCTTCGTCAGGATCGAAAATGGTATTCACTTCTAGCCTGCGCAAGTTCGAGAGAGCCATCAGACCGAGAACGTGTCGTGTGGAAAAGTCGATGCGCTTGATTGTGATAGTGTGGATATTCTTGGTGAAGGCCGCTTCCCATACCCATTCATTGGGATTTGAGCAATCAAGAACCCGCCAGAAGTAGAGATCTTGTGATACTAATCGTACTTTTTTCTTATCACTGCTGCAAAGATGTAAGACTCTGAGATTGGTCATTTTCACAAGCGGTATAGAAGCCATGATGTTGTAGGTGCCGCGAGTTAGAATGTCTGCATCATTGTGGTCCTTCGCGAGAACGGCCGGGAGCTGAGACGAGTTGGTTGTCCACCACTGGATAGTCGATATGTTCGATATCTTGTAGCAGCGAATATATGAATAGAGCTTTGGCATTTTCACCAATGTGTTGATCGCATTTTCGAAAGACAACCCGCTCCGGATGTGGAAGTGGCGATAAAGGTGGCGACGAGCTTCTGTGTGCAGATGGGCAACTTTGGTCATCTGGACAAGAGTTGTTCGAGGCAAGTAAGACGCAATCTCGCCGACAAGTTCAGGTGCAGTCTTGGCCATGCGGATCAGTGGAGACACAATCGGTTCAGTTGGCTGAGTGGCTTCTTGGGTGCAGTTGGCATCGTCCGGGCACTCAACATATGGTCGCGACGAGTCGAGCCTACAATGAGTACCTAACCTGCGGCGCCTTTTGGTGGCTGGATGGTCGTCATCGGAATCGCTGTCTTCCTTGTCTTCCGACTCCTCCCGTTTGCCCTTCTGTCCCAGCGGGCCTGGCGGCGAGCGAATCACGCGATCCTGAGCGGCAGATTGCTCGATTGTCGAGGGCCCGCCTTGGGGACTTCCAAGAGGCTCATCAGAGCTTGGGGTGTTCATGATTCTGGCCGCAGGTAGCAGGTAGCAGGTAGCAAAGGTAGGAGTTGCGTAGGAGAGAGATTGAAGGGCAAGTGAACTTTTACTTACAACTTCGCACTAGCTTCTTTAAGTGCAATAGAAAAGTAAAGGTAGGCAGAGACAATGGGAAATTCTAGCGTCATTCAATAAACATGATCTATTTCACATGAGATCAGACGGAAATCATTGCGAAGAGAGCATCTTAGTCAACGATTCATTAATAAGATGGAAGGTACATATGTAGTCCTTGGATCGACCGATTGACCACTGCAGCGAAATTGTTGGAGTGTATTGCGACTGAGAAAATTCCCTAAGCTTACCTTATTCTACCCTGTCAATTAGCTCAAATCTATTCATGTATCACTTTATAATCACGTATGTCTGCCATCCAACGCTATTTTCGCGGTGGTACAGCCGCCAATCACCTTTTACCTTCTGTTTTGTCGCAGGCGAGCGGTAAGCATACGTCTCTTACCTTCTCTGTTGTCGCAGGCGAGCGGTGAGCATACGTCTCTTACTTTATTGCCCTGGAGGGCTTATATAAAGCCTACTAGCCTCCTACTCTCCTACTCTCCTCACCTCAACTCTCCTCACCACCTTCTACGACTCTCGATTCTCGATTCTCAATCGTCTACCTTATTCATCCTCCACCTTCTACAGATTCTGCCTTTACTCATCCACGACTCGAGAGTAGACACTATGACGAACAACTACGGATGGGACCAATGCGAGCCTATCGTCAAAAGCGTGGAAGGCAAGCAGCTCAGAGTCGGTTTCAAGAGTCAACCGATTATGGTCTTCGAGAAGAACAAACAGATCAAAAAAGACTGCATTGACGTCAATTTCTCGCCTGATTACATATGGGGCCACAAATTGGACAAGACTTCCATCGATGCTTGGTCCAAAAGTTATCTTGTGGCCTGGAACGACAAGCACAATATCACACCGCCCCAACCAGCGAAGAAAACCCCCGCCAACAAGAAGAAGGCTACGAAAAAAAACAAGCCCACAACAACTGCACGTAAGAGTGCTCCCACAAGCGCCGTCAGCACCACCAGCACAAGCTCCACCTGGTCCATCAGCTCCGCCAGTTCCACGAACTCCACCAACTCCACCAGATCCACCGGCTCCACCACGAAAGCTGCCGCCTTCAACGACCTCTGCAAAGGGGAAGAGATCCCAGAACGAGATCTCTCGTCCATCGGGTTATGGATGCAGAAGAATCTGGGTTTCGCAGCACAGCCTCCCAACACTCTTGTGCGCCAGATGAGTGACCTTGTTCGCGAGACACAAACCCCTTTCTACATGTGCATGGATTTCATCGAGTGGGGGGAAAAGAACACAATCATCAGAAAGCGGAAGAGGGAGGATGAGGCTTTGGAGGAGGTAGAACGGCAGTATAAGAAGAGGTGGGGGAGCTGGTGGGCCGAAGCGGGGATTCCATTGTAGAGCGGAGGAAGAGAGTGGAATCAGTGGATGGGTGATCATATTCATCATGGGATTTTTTTGGGGTGCAGCTTCTGGAATAACGCTGCTAGGACTTGCCCATGACCACCAATGGATTCATTCACATGCGCTTTTGTATATGAATGGCGGAGAAACTGGGTAGATCAAGAATGTTCTCATTTTCATTGGCGATATTAATCTCGATCCATATTGCGGATTTCCAATTCCGCAGCATTGAGAGTCACATTTCTTTCTTTTTTTCTTTTTGGGAGTTAATCAGCTGAACAATGAACCAATTTCTCAATGCTCAAATCCCCGAGTAGATCTCAATATGCAGTCCTCCAAGACAAGAGAAGTGAAAGAAATGTGCTGTGTTTTGAAAGGGAACAGATCAACCATGTCTTCAATGTATTTTTGAGTAGCAAAAAAATTGTTGGGTTTCTCGGCGGAGGGGCGGAGGCACACTACTTCCTCCTCGCACCGACACTGTGGACCGCCCACGTCACGTCACGCCCAGTCTGCACCTTCCGCTACCCCGGAATTCAAGTAAGACCCGATGAATCTTACCCACAGCTTGCTCTTATCCACCATCCACCCTCCAGCCGCTCATCACTCGATGTGCAGTGTGCCCGTCGAGTTGGCATGGCTACTTCGATCCATTACCCCGCCCAAAGATAACTCAAAAGACTGCATTGAGGCATCGCCATGTTCGACTATAACGACCAAGCCGAGCAGGAAGGCCAAGGCGGATTCATCAGCCGGGAGGAAAGGCACAACCCCATCGAAAGCTAATGTAGCCCACGCACGACAAGAAGAGCCATGCGATGTAAGCGAGCCTGGAAGTGAAAACGCAAGACCGAGAGAAAGCCGGCAGTTTCAAGGAAGCGCCGCAAGACTCAGCGCGTAATCGACCTTCCGTTCTACGATATCTAACACCGATTCTACCGTCTTACCGAAGACCAAGTGGCTCTCTACCCTCGTAAAATGCCCGAAGGCTCATCTACACAAGTGTGGAGGCTAAGAGCGCAAAACGTTTGCCAGCCCGATAAAGATGCAGTCGAACTGTACACGCTTCACGCGCCAGCGAGGCATAATTTAGCGTGTTTGCCATCATGCGCAAGCGACAGAAGATCCCTTGCGGTGAATGTATACGAAAGGATATGGCGCAGCAGTTCATAGAAAGGCGAGCTCTCGTGGGATGGCAAGGTCCAAACTATATCACCAAGGATGTTTTGACGATCGAGCCATGATTAAAATTCTCAGGAAATTGAAGGTGATGATCATGAATCGCATGCCATGTGAGCTGGACGTCGACGACTGGCTGAGGTATCCGTTACCGGTGGGCGCTGCACCCTTTGACCGTCGGCCCAAAGACATTCCGGCGCACCAACCCAGCCGCCATATGAGTTCAAATAGAAGATGATCCTAGAGGAATCAATAGCAACAACAGCACGATGACTTTTGCAGTCAGCGGAAAGGGAGGGTACACGCACGGGCACAGGGTACGGGCACGGGTACAGGATGACCAGACGACCTGAACGACGAAGCGACTGAGCAATGTCTTGATGTCAGCAACTATTTCTAAGTCTATCATTTGATCCTCACATATTTCCATGCAACTTTTTCATTTTCACGCCCGCCCCATCCACATGCAAGTCGCGTAGCGTCGGTGTCAGGGTGGGTGCCATCGTGAGGTAGGTAGGGTAAGGGTTGATGCATGTGGAAAGCCTTGTGAGAATTCTGCTCTCTTATAGCAGGGTCGACAAGCGTACCAAGATTCTTCAGCACCCTCAACACCAGACATTTCAAATCCTTACATTTTCACTAGATCGTTGGGACGTCGTATACGTCAATACGTCAAATGCGCAGTCAACCTGGAAACGACCAAACCTGATCAATGGCTCCATATCGCCAACTCAATGTCTATCGTCACTGCGGTCGACGATCATGTATGTCTTGCCTACATCCTCCAAGAAGCCATCATTGCCATCCCCATCTTAGAATCAACAACCCTACCACTAAAGGATATGTCAAAGCGTCACCAGCCCAGACTGCCAATTTCATTGACGAGATCTATAATATATGTTCCATTTTCGAATGCTCAGCCAGCCGCCATCATCTATCACACAAAAGAAGCTATCTCTCAAGCATTCCAGACTATGACACTTGCTGGAAGCGCGGTGCCAAACCGTGAAGTACACTATGAAAACATTTCTCAGATCTCTGGCAAGTTCATAATCAAGTTGACTCTGACGCCTTCGACATTTTTCTGTCGTACTGGAAAGAGATCAAAGAGGACGCCAGGCGGATCATGCAGAGCTGTTCAGACGAGCAAGTTCCCCCCGCATGGAAAAGTACAAAAAGATAGCGGAGAAGTCATAGATACTACCTGACAATGCGCGCATACAATCTGTCGATCCGGTTCGCGATCTTTCAAGAATTGAAGAGTGGATGCAGGAGAATCTGGGCTTCGCGGCACAGTCTCCGGGTAGTCTTGTGTGACGCTTTTCATAAATAGTTTTTGGGTGTTGCGCATGTCATTTGATACTGTAGGCAGCTCACCTCGGAGCTTTTCCATATTTAGGTATTTCTTGACACTACTGCTTCCATATTCAGCTTGAAGACCTGCTGCCGAGCTGTCGCAAGAGAGGAACGAACAGTCTCCATGCACAGTTCACTCAGTCACTTTTTCTGCAATAAAGATTTGAGATTCCCCGGAAGGCAATCATATTCATAGCCTCAAGGCTACCCCAAACAACACATTGTCAGATAGACTGCTATCAGAGGCAATATGCCCACGATACCTACTGGCTTCACCATGTCATCATCGCTCATTCCAGATCACCGCCACCAATCAGATTGAAAATTTCTTGTATTCGTGACAACCAATGCCAGAGGACATAGTCGTCGACACGCCTATAAACTAGGTGATACATACAGCGGTGAATGTGGAATGTGTTTATAGGCAGGTTGGCTGGTAGGCCTGAGCTTGTGTAGCCAGACTTGGACGTGGACAGCGGACGGTGATGCTATGTTGTCTCGCTCATCGGAAATGGCACCTTGGCCAATGAATCTTATCAACGACCAAGATCCTTGCTTTCTTCCATGAAGTTCCATCATCGCGTACATCCTCGTGTCCACCTTCCTTTCAATTGCCACCTGCGTGTGGCATCTTCTGGGCATTACCGCGACCGGAGGTTGTTTTGGTTTCTTCGTCGCTGGTTTGGACGGCGCTGTCTTTGGAGGTGTATTGATGCACAGTCCCAGTGACTCTTTGTCCATCCCCAATGTTCCGCAACCAATCCTTGATCATTTCGCCCAACTGTTCGGTCTGCTCGATAATGCAGCCAATGTTGTGCCAAGTCCTTCCGGCCTTTCTCCTCTCATTGTCCTCCGCCAAAGCTTTATTCTTCTCTATCAAGTCGAGAGTCTTGACCTGGATTCTACGGGCCGAGGCAATGAAGTCTTCTGCAGTCTCCTGTCAGGCTATTGTTAGCGGAGAATGCATGGGAGGAGCTCCAAATTACCTGATCGCTCTCTGAGTGGTTGTCCGTAGCCGTAGGCATATGTACGTGTTGCTCGACATTTGCCTATTTGACATTAACGTCATATCCTTGGAAAAACGTATATGGAAAGAGGATAGCGAAGTTACATGCCTCTTGATTTGTGGCGAGCTCACTGCTCTTTCTCGCCTTCAATTGGTCTTCTGCCGATCCGTCCTCTCTCCCTTTAGGGCGCTTGAGCTCGGGCTGCATCTTGGTGGCGGGCGCAGAAGCCTGTCCGTCCTCAGGACATTGCTCCTTGGTTGCTTTCTGGAGGTTTGTCAGCTTGACTAAAAATTATACGAATAGCATGTAAGTATACCTTGTCTGCAGATCCGGAGGTCGACATTATGTTGGTGGTGGATAGTGGTGGTGATTACGTGTGGTCTGTGGAAAAAGATTGGGGACTATATAGTAGCTGCGCGGATTATATTGTCTCCGAGAGAGCTCACAGTAATATCACAAGCTTAGCACGCGGAACTCTCCAGAAAAATCTAGGCACCAGTCTCTTTTACTTGTGTTACCTGCTAGTTAAGGTAATAAAAGGCATCTTGTTGCCAAGACCTACTTATATAAGCACGCCACAGCAGTATTCACCTTGAACCCTATACTACCTACAACCACCAAAGCTGCACGTCGCACACTATCCCAAATTCTCTCCACACAATTCTTTCGCACATAACATCTAAACCACCAAGACGACAATGGCCCCGCAGAACCAACCAACATCCAAGCTGTCCTTCGTCGAAATGAAGAAGAAGCTCACTGCGGACTTGAACCAAGCCATCGAAGAGTACAACCGAGCAAAAGCGGAGAACGAAAAGCTACAGGACTATCCAGCCATGGATCCCGACGAGGTCAAGAAGAAATTGGCTGAGTTGGAACAATCTGTCAAGGTAAGACATGAAACAAAATTCCGGATTAGCGAAGAGAGGCTTATCCACAGGCAGCATTCCAAGATGACCATGTCGGAAGTATCGGATGGACTTTGCAACATCATCGAGAAGGCCATTAGGAGTATTGACAATAACTGATCGACGGGTCTGTGTGGATAAGGGACAAGTCAGCCTCGGGAAAATCTAGAGGCGCATGCGGCATCCCCATGGGTATTTTCGCCAGTATACCATGTTGACCGCCGGTGCTTGCGTCATGCGAGTGGGTGTTTGCAAAGGCTGGAGTCAAAATCGGCATTTTGCCATATGTACATTAGAAACTGATAAATGGCAAATTTCCACTGATGATGTTGTCCTGATGTCTAAATATGAGTGTGGACGCCAACTACCTCGACAGCCCTGGGTAGTAGGCCAAGCTGTATCTTGGGAATCATTAGTACTGTGCAAGGCAAGTTCTGACAGATAACCGTGCACCCAAACGCTCCCAATCGTTCATGTACGTCAAATGTCCTACAGATGCGTCCAATTTCTCATCATTGACTAATTTGACTTGTTTCATTGGTTCATCATTTAGGCAATAAGCCATGTATATCGTACAGGTATCAGTAGTATTGAAATATAAGTAGAAGCCAACACTTCTACAGACGGAAAACCGCTGTGAAAGCGTGGCCCCTAGCTCAAAATTCAAAAGTCGCAATGATCCATCTGTACTACGCTGGTCTCGCTGGCCTCGCTGGCCTCGTCGCCGTCATCCTCACTCTCGGTGTCGGCCTCATTCTCGCTTGACTGGCCTTCTTGACCGTCATCCTCACTCTCGGTGTCGGCCTCATCCTCTTGCTTCATCGCCACACTTAGAATATCACGTACTTTCAGAACTCGAGCAATCTCGCCCAACTTTTTGCCCTTTCCGATGATCTTTTCTTTTTTGTTAGCCCGCTGCTTTTCGAGTTCCTCAATGGTTCTCTCGATGCCTGCCAAGTCTTCTTCGTCCTTCTTTTTCTCTTCCGTGATCGCGTCCCACTTTCGTATCAATTTCTTCACCACCTCCATGCCCTCGTGATCTTGAGGTGTAGCCTCCTCTTCGATGCTTGCCTCCTCGTTTGTGACTCTTGGCCGCTTGCCCTGACGGTTCTCCAAGCTGTCTTCCGCAGCACGCTTATCGCGTTTGGCTTGGTCATTCGTGGTCGAAGGGAGGGGGGGTTGAGATGGCAATCGGCCCTGGTCGCTTCCAGCCGCCTTCAAGTTGTCTTGTTAGAAGAACACCCATATACAGTTTGAAAATTGCAACTTACCACATGAGCTGAATTAGATGATTTGATTGCTTTTGGCATGGCGCTCGGAAGTAGAAGTTGTCTTGCTTATTGAATATGTGGGTGGTTTGGGCCGATTGACAAGCGGTGGTGGCCGAAGATTAAGGCTCGTAGAGAAGCAATAGTAATCAATTGATACGCACAAGAGGAGGTAGGGTAGTGGAGAGAGTTAAGGAGTGTATGAGGAGAGACGCAGTTTATATACTGTCGCAAATCCGTAGCGCAATTTCCTAATCGGGAAGAAAATAAGTAAAAGATTTTCCAAAATCACTTCACGCAGATAATACGGCTCACACGTGACAGCTGCGCTGCGACTTCCTATTACACATCACATATACGTTTATGCAAATTCAGAACCGAAAGTTACTTTTGACATAAGCATATATCATTGGAAAATCATCGTGGTTGATCTTTTTGCGGAATGGAGCGAAATGGAGAAGTAGTGTCACATAGATGCACACGTGGTTGTGACAGCTTGCGGGTTGACGACATACCTACCTGGGTATGTACATACATACATATGTACCTAGGTACAGATAGCCTTCATTGGGAACCACCAACCTATACGGATCCAATGATGGCAATGCTCGCGCATTGTCATTTCATCATGGACAAGCCCTCTTGAGAGTAGGCTGATGACTGTTCAAGGGACTGCATGTTACATACCTATGTACCTATCTAGGTAGGTACATATGCATTTAATGTTGTATTGGTTGGTCGCTTCGCCATTGCGACTGCCCCCGAGAGATTGCGGCACCTGCCTACTTCTGCATGTCGCGCCACCGTCCAACACTTTGGGCTGCGTGCCTTCAGCCCCCTCGAGACCAACATTGGCTCATAGCGCATTCAGTTCGCCATGTCAATTGTACGAGATGCCTTAAATGCACGTCTTGGCTGCCTACTCCGCAGCCATATACAGGCTCAGCCTTAGTTGCCTCAACCCAAAATTACTCCCACTATCACTGATTAGCCATCCCTTTGAGATTTCAGGTCCGTCGGTCTCCGTCCCTATAGCTGATGGAGAAAGACCGTGAAGTAAGCTTGACTCGAGAGCTACATCGCGTGCTGACAAAAACCCAGAATGACTAACATGAGGGGAGTAGCATGAATAAAAAGCTTTTGGTGAGATGGAAAGAAGTGTGGACCAGATCTTATTTGTGCTTTTGACCACTTCTCCGATATGCGTGGGTGAAGAAAGGAATCGGTCACTAATTCTTTCTTCGAATCTGGTTCATTTTTTGGTTCTAAATTAGACTTGGACGTGAACATACTGGATCTGCCTGTGAGCTACCTGAATCGCACATTATTATCTAGGCAAACAGCCAAGTAGATGTTATATGTATTAGTAGTATCGAGGGTTGAAGTCCACTCTCCCACAAACGGAAAATCGCTATTAAAGCGTGGTCCCTAGCTCAAACAACGTGGCAAGTCATCACTATCGCGCTGTCCTCGCTGTCCTCGCTGTCCTCGCTACCTTCCTCATCACTGTCCTTACTGCCCTCGTCATCTTCCTCATCATTCTCCTTGTTGTCATCGCCCTTGCTGGAGTCCAACTTGTCATAAGGTTCTTGACTCATCACTGACTCGAGGTCATTGAGGATAGTGCCTATTGCACTGACCATTGTCTGTATCGCTTTCATGTTCCTCTCCGGAATTCACCTATCTTTGTATGTAAGGATACGGTGGTAGACACGATAGGCATCCCTGCGCTTCTCCAACTCCTTCACTTGTTTCCAAAGGTCGGCTAGCTGTGCCTTAGTCACTGGTTTCTGCTTCAATGTTAGATAATGTTCTGTGTGTTGTGAGGACAAATACTTACAGGATTCTTGACCTTCTTCTTGTTGGACGCGTTCTCCTTGTCATTCTTGTCCTGCACGCTAGACTGACCGTCAGAGGTTGCAGTGGATCCCTGTATTTTTTCAGTTTGATTACCAGACTGGGCATGAACTACAACATACATCTTTGGTCTTTGCTAGCTTGCTTGGGTCAGCCTTGCTGTTGCTGTTGCTGTCGGCAGCTTGTTGGGTCTTCTGGCGTTTACGGGCAACTTGGCCGTCTGCCGCATGGCTGTTGTTGCCTTCAACCTCGCCGGTCATCTAGTCATCTTTTAGCATATCGTTTTGACCTTTTAATATAGCCACCGAGTCACCGACCTTCTTGCGCTTGTTGCCAGATTTGCCATCTGCGGCAGTATTGGGGGCTTTGGAAGACCTGCTGGAACCTACCATTTTGTATGGTATTCTGACTCCTGCAAAGTCTGAGCTCGTAGTAGGTGGTAGAAGTAAGGAGTAAGGAGGAGAAAGAAAGAGAAGAAGACCTGTAAAACCGTACTTGGGTATTACGCTTATGAGTGGTCCGAGCGCACGAAGTAACATCAACTCTGCGTGAAGTGAGAAAGTGGGTGTTATCGGTACCTACTTAAGTACTCAAGTGCTTAATGAAGTTGCAGTCAATTGTTGTGGGCGGTCACGGAAAAACATTAATGCGTTGTAGGTTAGGTAGTACAATCCCTCTTCGACTGTTGCTACCAACACTGTGCTCATACACATGTGAATTCTTCTGTCTCTACCCCGCGCTACTACCGGAATCATCCAAGTCTCTTTCTCTTTCATCCAAGTCGTTACTATGTCTCTCCCTCCAAGCATGGTGGGCAAGAAGATTGGGAAGGAAGATTGCAAAGACATTGTGATGAGCACCCACAAGCCTCCATGGCAGCTTTCAATTGGATTCAAGAACAGTATGAAGAACGGGAAGCTTAACTCCCAGACTGTGCTGTGCTTCAGCAAAGAGTACGGCGTGGTCGTATCCAAGGATCTAATTGACATCAAAACCTCGGACGCCACTCTCTTCGAACGCAAATTAGAAACGAATAGCAGTCTGGAGTCTTACCTGCTGTCTGCGAAGCGAGCCTGGAATGCTCACCACAAGATCACAGCTCCACCTGATCGCAACGAGAGGAGGCGAAGCAAGAGAGCAACTGCTGGTCCTACCGAGAACTACGAGAAACGCAAAATGGGTCTATTGAAGGCTCTTGGTCAGGGAGAGGTCATTTCACCCTCATGGATTCATGGCAGGCTTTCACAAGGGAGCACTCCCAGAAGAAGAAGGCGGAGAAAAAGGCGCGGAGCAAAATGGAGAAAAAGCAAAAAAAAAAGATGGAGAAAAAGATGGAAAAGAAGCAGAAGAAGATGGAGAAGAGGCAGAAGAAGACGGAGAAGATAGAGAAGAAGATAAAGGAGATGGAGAACAAGCAGAAAGATCAGGACACGGACAAATCCGGACACACGAGGCCAGATAGGATCGTCGAGCCTTCCCATGGCAAAAGGAAGGGAGACCCAGTCGAAGCCGCTACGAGGAAATCGCAGAGATTGTCGGATAGGATGAATTTGGCCGCATGATCGTGTCAAAAGCAAGACGGGTAAGCAATGCAAGGTCTCGGATTCAGCATATACTAATATATCAAGGCTTCGATGCTATCTGTTTTCTCTATACATCTGAGGATTGAAGACGTTTTGGCCGAGTGGCGGGACGGTATTTTTGACATAGCTCCTTGCTTCTCCCTGATGAAAATGGGATGATCAATAACAGACTTAGTTTCTCCCTGACTCTCATGGGTGGTTTTTGTGGGAAAATGGATGGAAGACTGGTCGCCTTGACAACAGCTGGGTTATCATTTCAGCCTGGCCGCGTGGAAAAAGATGGTCTTCTTGGCATTGGCAAGAAGATACAATTCATCTGGGATTTTTTCTTGCATTTGTTTCCGGAGCGAGGGTTACCTAATTACCCAAATCTCCTTTTTCATTATAATGAGGCACCTTTCTGTGTCATGCCAAATGCACTTTATTATGAAAACTGACCCACTTCGTGATTGGTGCTTTTCTTTTCTATCCGAGGATACCCAAAGCTTTCCCGTCTTGCCACCCTTCGCAATGTTCACGCCTCCCAGTGAATCTAATAACGTGGGTGTCTATGCGTTTCCCATGCAGATCTCGACACATCTCATCATACATGGAGCTTATCTCATGGTAGACTACCAGACAATGTAACGTAGATAAATCACAGATGGAGTCTGATCATTGATGATGCATTGGTCAACGCTTAAATCTTAGCCATCGCTCTTGGAGTGGCCAGAAGTAAAGTCTTCAATGTCTCTTGTCAAAATGCATTGCTCTCTCGTGATTTGATGCGGTACCGGCTAGTAGCCTCCTCGTAAATGGCTGCCGCTTCTTCCCCGCCATTCTTAAGATGCCGATCCTGCTTCTTTCCGGCTTTAAAGTAGTGATCTTGGGTCATAGATAGTTGGCCTGCCGCCTTGAAGATACGAGCCTTGAAGTATATTCCTGTCATTATCATGATTCATACCCTCTGAGAGCTGAATTATTCATCAAGACAGACAGTGTTCACTCTAAATTCTCCAACACGTTCGCGAGTTGGTGCACACATTTTTCTATACTGCCTAAAATCATTCTCTAATGCTGTTCTTCTCACCGTGAATTATCCATAGTTTGTTTCTGCACACTGTGTAACTCTTGGGTAACCATATGCCTTAAAGACCGCCGCATAGTCTTTGCAGCATCCTAGATCTTCTTCTTAACCAACAGAGATGGAAATGGATCTAAGAACTCATGGAAGTGGCTAAGACTTGTCAGTAATGGTGGGAGAGTTATTCTAGTCGCGATTTGAAGTTGAAGCAACCTAAACCGTAAATCACTGCGGATAGTGCAGCCAAGGAGGCACCGAATGCATCTTGTATGATTAGCATGGCGAACTAAATGCACAATACATCAATAACGGCCTTGGAGAGGCCAAAGGACGCTCTACAAAAGGATAGACGATGGCGCACCACGTATAGGTAGGCAGATGCCGCACTGACAGTAACATTCCGATGAGACCCCTCAAAGCAAAAGCTCTGCCTCGGATCATTTCAAGATAATACGGCACGTTTTTACAGACGTGGTCACGTGAAGGTGATGTGGGTTCCTGCTTGATGTATGGCGTCTTCACCCAATTCCGTCATCTTTTTGCTGACTGGGAACCTTCTGGAAGTTGGTCTGCCAGATAGTAGTTCGCTATTATCATGAGTTGGAGATCGTTCTGATTATTGCATTTGTCTGCTAGCAAAATATGGAGTACTAGTCTGTAAAGCCCAGTCTCGCAGATTGGGTACCAGCCAGTGGCCTCCAGTTTATTCCAATGATCGACTTTGATCACATTAAAGGCCACCCAGTATCTCGTGATTTACACGCATGCCAGCACTCCCATACTCACAGCGCATCCTAGCAGGCTGTTGTGTTATCATCCACGTACCCATCTATCGATCGCCATCCTTCTATAGCTTGTCATCCCTCCCCCATCAATAAAAATCGCTGTCGTGAAAGCATCCCCTATCCTGCTAGATGCAAGAAGCCCAAGCACGGCCGACGACGTGGCAGCCCAAGATGACTACATTGGGTTCGCCATCGTCGCTAATGCCTGGGCTATCGCAATAGACACACGGGTCTCTAGATCTGACCTTGGGGCATGTGATGGCTTCGAGGATTGCTGTCACGACCTTAGGCACATCGCGGATCAAGGAGGTCACTGCCTTGCGCGTGTCTGGCTAGAACGCACCACCAAGATAGAGGCCGCGGCGGATCGGCTTGGCGAACAAGGCCATATTCTCTTCCTGCGCCATACAGTTAGTGCAGGCAGTAGATCAGTAAAGTAGGCAACAAGACATACAGTGTGCATGAGCGTGAAGAGTCGAAGTCTGTTAGCTGACTCGCGGAAGTCCATCCACACGATGTCGACATCTCTATCCTCATTGGACTTAATGCGCCTGACAGGTCCTAAGGCGGTCTCAAAGATTGTCTCAGGCTCAGCTCTTGCGTCGGGATTGTATAGAACCCAATAGGGCGGCTCAGGCCAATGGAAGTCTAAAGGCATGCTGACTCGAGTAGCAAGGCTATATGAAGATCAGCCATCACAATAGAGGTCTACTGAGTGCTGGATAGACATTGGGGCTTATATAAAACGCGAGTTTTAGTTCTAAATATACAAATGTTTGAATGTACATACAAATCAAAATGCAATTGAGGTGATGAGCATGCCAATTCTGCGTGCAGCCCGCCTCACTTCGGCCATCACCAAGCAATCGAACCACCCAGTCAGGATGCCGTGGCGTAGGTGTCAAAGTGGGTGCCATAGCGAGGCAGGTAGGGCCAGGTGGGTAGGAGTTGATAGAAGTGGAAAGCTTTGTAAGAACTCTGCTGTAGCTTTTTTTATATTAAAGGGCGACGAGCGTACTATAGTTTTTAACCTTAACACTACAAATCTGTACGTCTCTACTAGATAGTTGGGACGTCGTATACGTCACTACGTCAAACGCGCTGAATAGTCAGGATGCATAGTTAGAAAACTCCAGGCTGCAATTCGTTCTTATTTCACTAACCTTGCGGCCACCGATCTGAGAGTGCATAACGAATTGTATCAAATAAAAACGAACTAAAAGGAGGCTAGGGCAGGTAGAAGGATGAAAATCAGAGTATAGCTTAATCCTGATTCTCAAGGGTGATTAACTCCAAAACTTCGCCTGCCTTTCTCATTGGATTGATCCATGGGCTGGACATAAGTGCCTGAATCCTTCCGGCGTTGTTTTCTCGGCCAGGAAGACTAAGGCGATGGAGATCATTGGTCATTTGACTCCATGTTTGGCGAACGATCGCATTGCGCTTTGCTTCATTGTTCATATATTTAACTAGGATGTCTTTGGGCTCCAAAAGTTCAAGATCTTTAATCAGCTGATTGCAAAGGCCTGTGAACTAGACCATTGTATTGTTATTGGCCGGGATGATTGACTTTTTAAGGTTTGACAGGCGAATCTAGTAGTCTTTAATTTTCGCCATCTCATCGAAAAAATCTTAACTTGAGGCTTTCTCTAGGGGAGGCAGCATGTTGATGCTAACAATAGCTCTAGATAGGAGCCTCTGTGTGTCGATCATGATGGCTGCAGGCTGCCCAATCATAAATGAAACGTATAATTTATTAACATCGTTATCCCTAACTAGAAATTTGTCTTGGGACGCGAAGTCCATCGCGCTTTTAGTAGTGGGAATAAGCAATGCGAGAGAAGTAATGTCTTCCTGTATGAGAGTTAGAAGCATTTGCAATAACCATAGCACAATGGCACATACGTAATACCGCACAGTAACAACGGTCAATTTCATCTTCTGTAAAGTTTCTTCGATCAAGCCATTTGCTTACTTCAGAGAATTCCTAGTGTCTTGGAGGCTCTTGTAGCAGGATTCAATCTCAATGCGGGCCTGTTTCATGCGCTGTCGGAGCCGTGCCATCAATTAATCTTATGCACTGCTCGGATGATCAAGTAGAATGAAACTAGGGACGTAGAAACAGAATGACTGAATGGCTGAGCAGAAAGTAACAATTAATACATACACGTGTGGAGCATTCAAATGTTAGCTTGCTTTGGGCCAAATAGTCAATCCAAAGCACGTGACCAGCCCGAGTACATACCTACCTACATATGTACCTAGGTAGGTACATATGTATTTTCGCAACCATCTCAAGCAAATCACATCAGGCTATAAGCAACTCCATTCGAATGGTGACGAGAGCAATGGATATGAAATCAAGATCTGCCATTAAGCTGGGAGAGTATACTATATACAATAGCGTTGATTACAGTGAGGTTGACGGCAATGGATACATATACAGAGTCAAGATCTGCCATTAAGCTAGGAGATTATACTGTGTACGTTGGCGATAATTACAATAAGTTTAACGACAATGGATACATGTACAGAGTTAAGATCTTCCATTGAGCTAGAGAGTATACTGTATACAGTAGCGTTAATTACAATAAGGTTCACGACAATAGATACATGTACAGAGTCAAGATCTGCTATTAAGCTAGGAGATTATACTGTATACGGTGGCCAACGGATACAGAGTTAAGATCTGCTATTAAGCTGGGAGAATATACAATAGTATTGATAACAATAAGATTGACGGCCATAGATACATGTATAGACTTAAGATGTGCCATTAAGCTAGGAGGGTATACAATGGTATTGATGGCAATAAGGTTGACGACGATAGATACGATTTGCCATTAAGCTGAGATAATATACAATAGTATTGACGACAATAAGGTTGACGACAATGGATACATGTACAGAGTTAAGATGTGCTATTGAGCTGGAGAGTATGCTGTATACGGTGGCCAATGGGTACAGAGTTAAGATCTGCCATTGAGCTGAAAGAATATACAATGAGATTGACGAGCATGGATACGGAATCTGACCTGGTTTATATTAAGCGTAATAATAATTCATCGCATTTCCATGCATGATGCGGCACAAACACTGGGTATTGAAAACACGATAAATCTGCCTTTGAGCTCCAAGCAGGACACATATTCTGTAGTTCACGGAACTGAGACCTGGTTTACATAATGTGGGAAATTGATGCTCATGCTCGGTTTATATTAACGCCGTCGTGACATCGTTGTGTGCTTCAGAGGCTCATGCAAAGACGCCACAAATTCTACTCAATGTCTTTTCTTGGCTGCATTCTACATTCACAAAAACATATGCACATGGCGCATTCAGTATGACAGAATGTTATATTTAGACTGCTCCGAGGGCACTAGATAGAGATTCCATGTTCAAAAGCTAAACCGATATCCGCTTCCGAGACTCGAGTCACTCGACTCATTTGCTCCCACCCTTAGTTTGACTGCCTCATCTGTTTGAGTTGTTCGTCCACCAGCCTAGCATGTGCGGCAATGGCTTTCATCAGCTCCCTGTTTTCCCTCTCCCACTTGTCGTCCTTTGTCCTATCCGCATCGCCGTCATCGCCTTCATTCCTCTTCCTCTTCCTCTTCACGAGGATTGACTCCTCCTTTCCAAACTTCCAGAGATAGGCTGACATGTACACCGGCTTCTTCAATTCATTTGTGGACTCATTGATCTTGCGGACGATGTTGGTCGGGGGCGCATTTTCGAACCCAAAGAGCGTCTTCATAAACTGTGCCACCACGGGTAGATCGCCATCTGGGATGTTCTCGCCTTTGGAAATCTTAGCGAACAACTTTCCTCCCTTGATCAAAAGCTCGTCGGTGGGATCGCCTGGGCCTGGTGACTGCTCATGTTCCATTGTGTTGATCTGATGTTGATGTGCTAGGGTGGATGGAGATGTGGCCTTTGCGAAGATATGGCTAGTGCAGTTGAAGCAGATAAATCCTTGACGGGTGGAGATGAAGTATTTGTGATGGAACAGGCTTTGAGAATGGAGAAGCGCGCGAGATCGCTGGAGGGGTGTTGGGAATGCAGGAGGTATTGAGAGTGGAGTAGCGTTCCAAATCGCTGGAGAGGTGTCGGGGGTGGAAGAGGAAAAGAGATGGAGGAGGAGAGGTGGAGGGGTAGAGGAAGTCAGAAGAGGGCGAAGAGGTGGATATTTATATAGGCGTGCCAAGACAGTAAAGTAAGAGAGAAGACCAGCATGCTGGGGACACAAAGGTAAGGTGAAGTTGAGTAGCTGGGGACAAGAAAGTGAGGTGAAGTTGAGTAGCTGGGGACAAGAAAGTGGGGTGAAGGTGAGTACCTAGGTAGCTGAAGAAAGGTAGAAGGTAGCTTATGATTGAAGAAAAAGCGATTTGAATTGCAACTGGTCGGACGTAAAAGATAAGTCAGGTGTACGTGAGAGGTTTTGGACTTGAATTGTGTCGGAATTCCTGCAATCAGTCGCGATGCCTTCACGTTTACGATGCTCACAAGGTGGTGGGGTAATTAACGTTCCGTAGCTAGGTAGATTGAGCTTCCGAGACTGGTTGTGAAGTAGCAGGTACAGAATCAGTATAATGCATGCAGGCATGCGACAGTGCGCTATGAACATGTGAAAGTCCTGTATTACGAGAGGTCCTGGTATGCGATCATTGCGTACCTAGGGTAACATTCGTTGATGGTATAACGTAACCGGCAAGTGAGCGGCGCAGGCAAGCGAGCGGCGCACCTTGTCAACTTTCCGCGCCTTCTTAGCAATGTATCTCAACAACGCGATAAGGCAGAATAATATAGTAGTTATATAAGATTAGCTACTACTTATAGCTTACTTCTTACACATTTATAAATTATAGCTAGTTTTTCTACACTTGCTATAGCGCGCTAAAGCCTAACAGCTAGCACCTAATTAAGCCCTCTCTTAACATGTTTCCTCTTTAATCTATTGCTTAACCTCCTTTTAAGCTATTATTTCTTTTCCCTCTTCTTTTATAAGCGTCTCTTGCTTTTAAATCTGCTTTTTTTTACGTGCCCTACATATTGTTGCAGCTTAGTTAGCTTGCTTAAAGCTAGCAATTTAATCGCGCATTAGTACTAATTTGTAGGCTATTTTTTTATTACTCTTTTAAAGTAAATTAAGCGCAGCAATAATAGAAGCAGGTAATAAGCTCTTATGCCTTTAAATGCAATTACAAATTAGAGTTAATTAAGCCTTTATTTCGCGCGCGTTGCTTAGTGTTTTAGCTTCTTAAGAAGCAGCCTTAGGGGCAGGTAGCGTTAGCGTGCGAAGCTTAATATTAAGCTTGCTTATTACTGCCTCTAGATTATATAGAACTAAGCTAGCGCCTTAAAAGCTAAAGCAGATATTCTCTTTTATAATTGCCTTTTTATACGCCGCGTAGAAGGCAGGTAAGAACTTAAGCTTTATAATATAGTTAATGCTGTTGTAGATTAAGTAACTAATCTAATTACTGTACGCACACTTTAATAGCAAGAAGCAGCCTATATTAAAAGGCTAAAGAAGGTGCAATAAATAGGAGGGCATATAAAGAGTAATAATATTACTCTTCTTACAGAGCTAATTAAATTCAGCTAAGTAGTAGCTCTTGTAGCTATTAAGAATTAGGAGCTAATACCTCTCTACTCTTTAATCTTTTATATGCTTAATAAAGTGCTTTAGCTACTCTATAGTAAGCTTATTTATAGTTTAGCTATTATTGCTTAGGCTAATTAGCTAATTGCCTAGTATATTGTTGCCTTTATACTAGGCAGATAAGTAGTGCTAGCTAGCAAAGATAATAAAAAGTAGAATTCTCTACTTAGCAGCGCTAATTTCTTAGATTACAGTTACTTACTTGCAATTGCTAGGCTAGATAGCCTTAAGTTAAAAGCGTCTCTTAGAGCTAGTAACAACTAGCTAAGCTAACATCTTGCCTATCTAGAAGCTAGTCTTATTAAAGTTGTATGTATCTTTGTTATAGATACTATACTTAGCCTTTATACGCGCTACTAGCTTAAACTAGGCCTAAATAGCTTAGAGGTCTTTATAGAGAGCTCTTTAGCAATTGTACAGTTAATTAAATTGCGTTATAAGGCTATCTGTACGCTTTATAAAGTTGCGCAGCTATTTCTCTCTAACCTAGCCTGCGCCGCGCTTAGTAAGTAGCCTATCTGCTATATCTTGTACAGCACCTAGAGTAGGGGGAAATCTACATAAATCTAGGTTAAGTATATACTTAGTAATCACCTCCTCTTCTAGCTTAGTAAGCTTTTTTAATTTAAGCTAGCAATTACGTTACGCAGCAATTCTAGCGTGTTAACAGCAAAGCGTAGTTTTAGGTATGCTATAAATAGTAGCAGCACGTTATCTACTCTGTATCTAATTTTAATTAATAGCTAGGATAGCAAAGTAAATATCTGCTTCTTTATAGGGCAATTAAGTAAGATTTAGTTAAGTTATTGTAGTTTAGAGGTGATGCGTCGCAGAAAGTTGACGAGGTGCGCCGCTCGCTTGCCTGCGCCGCTCACTTGCCGGTTACGTTATTTATTGATGAAGACTCTCGATCTCTGCTCGGCTGAACATCAGAATTCAATTTCAAAAACCTTGATTGTGCTTACGTTCGAGAAACTCGTACTACTCATAGAAATGGACTCAAAAAGATGTTCGACAAGCACAACAACATAGAATGATCACGGAGTTTATGATGAATCAATAAAATATGCGGAACTGATTGAATTGCAAAAGGTAGGTTCCCAACAATAAGTGCCAGAAGAGGTATCGAAGATAAAGATACAGGATCACGAAAACACACGTGCATTTCGAAGGATAAAATATATACATGAGAATCAATCATCGCTGCAGAGCAGCTTTTCGTGAGCACAGCTGTGCTCATTGACACAGTTCACCATCCACCAGCATTCGCCTAGCAGCCCTTGATCTCGGAAGCAGTGTAGATGCAGGCCTTGCTGGGGCCCTTGCTGACGGAGCTGGGCTCGTTGCCGGGGGTGGTTCCCTTGAATTCCTCGCAGACGGTCTTGACGCTGGTAGCGCAGGTTCCGCTAATGGTAGCAGAGTCGCCAAAGTTGGAGTTGATACCGGCAAGGAGCTTGCCGTTGGTCGCCTTGACGTTCTTGATAACAACGTGACGCTCAACGCTGTTCTTGCAGTTACCGCACGAGCGGTAGAGCTTGCCGAAGTCGTTGACAGTGAAACCGTCGATGGTGACGGTTCCTTTGCCGTTATGCTGAATAACTTTGTCTTCGGCGCCGGTAGCACCTCCACCCTTCACCAAAGCGTCGCCGCTAAATTCGGTCAGTTCAACGTTTTTGCATAGTACTCCGGGGAAGAACCTACTCATTCTTGATCGAAAGTGCGTCTAGCTAGGTCAGCTGTTGTTTTTCTGGTTGTTTTCTGGGAAACGGGAAATCTTACCCTCACAGACGGCGGCCCACCAAACGTTTTCAATTGTGCAGGCACCCTTGCAGTGAACACCTGCAGGGAAGTGTTAGTGATCTACATGTAAACCAAGATTCACTTCGGCCCCCACGAACCTTCGATCTGGTCCTTTCCGATGATAGCGTTCTTGAGGGTAGCGCCGTCCTCGAGGAGGAAGACGGCGTCAGCATCGCCACCTTCGGCCTGACCGGTGCAGGAAACACCACGGCCGTAAGTCTTCATGCCTCCATCGAAGGTGCCAGAGACCTTTTGGGCCGCCTTGTAGGTGACAGAACCTTTGGAGGCGGGGATGGGGAAGTCGGCGCGCTTAGCAATGGCGTGGAAGTTGGAGGGGTTCTTGGAGGTGGGAGTCGCGACGACAGAGGCGGCGAGAGCCAAGATGGAAGCAGCAATGGAGGCCTTCATTTTGAAAAGTGTGGTTGGAAAAACGATTGATTGATCGAGAAGTGAATGTGTATGGTAGAGAATGAAAGTTTGCGTCAAGCAAAGTGAAAGAGAGACTGTAAGTGAATGTGTTATGCTCGGTGAAGAGTGAAGACTTCATCTGCGACGTGTAGAGGGCATCTTTATAGATGTTTTGGCTCGGGATCCTTTTTCGCTCCTATCAGAGTGGATCCCCTGCCAACAGCTGAATCGCGGAGGATATCTTCGCCCCAACATTATTGCTCTCACCCGCGATGAGCCGCGTGAAACTGCAAACAAGGGTAAGTCATGCATGACATCTGCGAGCCTGCAAGTGGGGAGGACAGCGGGATTAGTCTTAGCATCGACTTCTCGGGGCTAGACGACGCTTCGCTATTGGTACTTTCATCGATCGCGACCGGATTTTCAGGTGGGTGTTTCTTTTCTTTAGAGACACAAAACATCGTGGTCATATATTCGTCCCGCTGTTCTAGCTGTTTCTGGATGCCAAGCCCACGAGGCGCGTTTCACACGTTGGAACATGATTTCCCCTCCAATAAGAGATGGCCAGCGAGACGAATGCTAAGCAACATCATTTCCCAAATCAAACAACGATGGTGGCGTCTTCAGTGTTGGGTGGGGACCTGGAGTTTTGGTTTATGCATAACCACAAGTTGCAACCACGGCGCTGTAGTGTGTTACTATACCCACCAATGCCACAGACGTGATGGTTGCAAAAAGAGTCCCGCTGATCGTCGCTCTCATATCTGAGATTAATATAGTTCTCCATGCGGACGAAAACGCCGGCGAAACCGAGTCCCGCACAAAGCTTGATGAAACGTCTGGCTATTGAACGATGCTAATGTACATCCAAATTCTGCATGCTATCAATGAATACTCAAACCTTCCATCTACAAGCAGGCAATTTGGTGCGATAGCTGATCCTACGTGGCACTCGGTCAATATGGTCACCTTAATCTCGGTCCAATTCCCCATCGCAATTACATAGTTGAGCGGTTATGGTTTGCGGCCCGCCATCGTGGGTGGACCCATCGGGAATTTAAGCTTCTTCGAGAACGTGGGCCCGTTTTCAGCGCTACACATCTTCGGGTAAGGGGTGAACGATGAACTGACAACGAGTCAACATCAAAATTGCGAAAGTTCTCGAACACGGGATGGAGGACCTGGAAAAGTCGAAAGATAAGAATGCACAGTACATCTGGTATCTCCACAGATCTTGGCAGCGACTTGCGTGCAACTCTGACCGCTGAGCTCGGAAGTTGAAACCAAGTGCACGGCCTCGACCGCTTCAACTTCGGCTCGTGTGATGTCGTATGTCTCGATCGCATATGTAGCCAAGCAATGCTCCAACTCCAGTTTAATCTCATCATTGCAGATCAGGAACAGCAATTACGTGAGCCCTGGCCGGCGCGACCATGCAACATGTTTGAAATGGTAGGCGAAGAAAGTATGGATGATCATTGCCCCGAGGACCGAGGGAATATACCATGCAGAGGCACAAACTATCTTCACTATTCGGAGGCATATCTGCTTGGACCGGCTCCGACTCCGATTGAAAAATGATTCCGTGCAGGGGTTCCTCCTAGTAAACAGATGTACGCGTAAGGATACAGACTTCGGAACAAAAAGAGCGGGCAACGGACAGGGGATTGCTACATCAGGGTATTGCATGACGGGAGAATAGTATACCACACAAACATTTACAAATTAGAGTAATCAGTTGATCCTCCTAGAATTTTCTATTCGTGTAATGATACCTAATATCCCACCATACGAATATGCGAAGCCACAGTTCCCTCTACACTACTAGTTCTATCATGTGAGATCCCTGATACATGTATGTATATATATAAATGTCAAGCAATATACTAGTACATACATACTCAGGTAACGCGTAGTGAAGTACGTGTTGAACTTGGCCAACAGGCTGTCAATTGCCCATGAATTTGAATTAAAGTGTCCATGAATCCAAGTCAATGTTCCAATGTCGCATTATCCTTTTTCACCTGTAACTCTGCACAAAAAGTACATAACAATCACTAGTGAGGTCAAACAAAACTAGGTGTAGCTAACTACGTGCAGACATTGTTCCTGGTTGACTAATCTTGATCCTGATGGGAGCGCCAAGCGACAACTCAGCCTGAACTCCGCAGTCTCAACCTTCATCGTCCCTCACTCCATCTTCAACGACACGTTGAAGCAACTCAGTCTCGATCTTCGCGCTTTGCGTGAGTACTCGCTACAAGTGGACATAGGGCTTCCTTGTCGTTCTACTGTGCGTCGAGCAGTTCGAAATTATGCAATACTCGCTACCGTTCAATGCATCGTTCAACGTGAGATTTACGTCCCAAACGCGCAAACCCAGCAATTCATGTAGCAATTCAACAACTTGCTGGAATATGGGCACCAAGTTGTGTGAAGCGCTTGGTGGAGACTCCATTGGAAGTGATGGGGCTGATTATACCTGACCGCCGCCCGTGGGTAGCCTTTGTTTGCTACTTCAATGCAGCTTACAATGCGTGAGTTCAACAAGCCATCACATACGGTCTGGTTTGTACACATATGCTAACTGGGACTGCCTCAAGATATTCCGATGCCACATATCCTCTCTAGTACGCACTGCAAAGGTTAACGTGTGATACTTCATGCAAAGAGCCCTTCAAGAACTCAATGATATCTTCATCTTCCCCACGCGTCATTTTCCAGCTTCTCCGCTGAACAACATGTAAAAGGCATGTCGCACCTGGTACCCCACGCGATTTATCCATTTTCGTAACATCTTGGAAACCCTCAAGCAAACCGTGTCCTGTGGGGAAAGCACCATGTGCTGGCAGGCACACCGCTTATCATGCCGCTCTATACGAAAGCGAAAGCCACATTTCCATACCCATAGCAGCAATGGCATCGAGTACCACTTTGCTACAGCATTTGCGCGATGATGATGTTACGATACAGTCGCGGTCATCACTTCCCACAGTGAGGGCGCTAGAGAAATCGTTATCAGCGCGTTTGCCAAGACCTACTCTCGGTAACAGCGACAAACAAAATCAGCTCCTACACATTCGAATGGCGTTCAATGTTCCTCGGCTTCGTCTCAAAGTTGCCCGGGATTTTTCTCTATATGCCTTGTACTCGCGAAAATCTAGAATTCAGGACCTGACGTGTTGGCGTTGCGAGCCGATAGCACGTCATCGGGAGAAGCGCACAACACTCACTAGTACCAGGAAAATCCAGGCGGGCCAAGATCTCCACGTTGCGATCACTGGTCGAACGTCCCAACACTCTGCCGTCGCGTCGATTCCATTAGACATCTCGGCCCTGCTATTCGTTTGCTCGGGTAGTATATACGTCAACCGTCATGTCGGCGGACGTCCCTCACCCTGATCTTTCCTCAACCTTCCAGAAAATGTCCATCATTGACACCACCAAGGATCTTTCTGCGCTTTTCACACAGCAAGCAAAGGAGACCCCAGATGCAATCGCTTTAGAGGATCTAGGTCATTCCTACACCTATGCGGAGCTCCACGAAAGGGTCGTTGAACTGGCCGAACGGCTCCGAAGCCATGGGGTTGGCCGCGATAGCCTTGTCGGCGTACTTTTACCCCGGTCAGCTGACTACGTGATTGCGTGTCTTGCCGCTCTTCACGCTGGCGGTGCATTTCTCGTCCTAGAACTAGCATACCCAGCCGATCTTCTTGCCGACGTGCTAGATGATGCTCGCCCCGCAGTCGTTGTCACTGTGCGTGCGGAAGTTGGCAAGATAAAAGCACGTGTACCTCTCATCACCATTGACGACGAGTCGTTCAGTTCCAAAGGCCATCTGGACAAGAATGATTACCCTCCCCTGCCATCCGAGACAGACTTGGACAGGCTCTGCTTTGTCGCCTACTCGAGTGGAACAACAGGGAAGCCAAAGGGTATCGCAAACCCGCACCGAGCAGCAGTGCTTTCCTACGACCTGCGATTTCAGCTGTCCGATCTCAAGCAGGGCGATCGTGTAGCATGCAACGTCTTCTTCGTTTGGGAAATACTTCGGCCATTGTTACGAGGCGCAACGGTGGTGGCGGTGCCGGATGAAGCCAGCTACGACCCTCCCGCTCTGGTTGATCTGCTCGCGTCGAAGAAAATAACTGAGACCTTGTTCACCCCAACATTGTTCGCTGCTATCCTCTCCCGCCACCAGGCTCTTGGACAACGCCTTCCGAATATCAAAACTGTGTGGCTCAATGGCGAAGTGGTGACCACGGATCTTGCCCGACGCGCGCTCAAGACTCTCTCAAACATACGTTTGCTCAATTGCTACAGCGCCTGTGAAACCCATGAAATTGCCTGTGGTGACATTAAAGATATGCTCGGAAAGATTGGCCAAGACGCCATCTACTGTCCAGTAGGACCTCCTTTGATAGACACAAAATATGTCTACATTCTCGACGAAAGTGGCCAGAAGGTGGAAATAGGAACACCCGGAGAACTGTTCATCGGTGGCCATCTCCTTGCGCGTGGATACCTCAACCTTCCCGATACTACAGCCAAAGTCTTCACACCAAACCCTTTCAGCTCCAAGACGGGTGCTAGAATGTACAGAACTGGCGACAAGGCTCGTTTGCTGCCTTCTGGATTGCTGGAAATTACCGGCCGCGTGGGTGCTATGATCAAACTTCGTGGGTACTCGGTTGTCCCTGGCAAAGTCGAGAATGCCGTCACAACCTATCTCGCTGCAGTTCGCTGTGCCGTCACTACGTATGGTGAAGGCCTTGACCGACAATTGGTCGCCTATTTTGTTCGCGATAAAGAAGTATCTACAGAGCGCCCTGCGATCGAGATTGATAGTGAGGGTCACAGTATTTCTTCTCGCCAATTTCTCCGGACATATCTTGCTCATTACATGATCCCACATATCTGGATTGAGATGGATGAGCTGCCCACAAATGACGTTTCCGGAAAGGTCGATCTCAAACAACTCCCTTCTCCCAAAACAAGGACCTCGTCGCCCAATGGCGCGCGCGCTACCTACGAGCAAGACGCCATCACTATCGAACAAATCGCCGAGATCTGGTCATCGATATTAGGCCTGAAACCGAGTTCCATTACTCCCGAATACAACTTCTTCGATCTTGGTGGACATTCACTATCCCTCGCCGATTTGGCTGCGCGCTTGTCGAATACCTTTGGTCTCAAGATTCCCGTTGCCCGGCTTGCTGACCCTGCCACACTTAATGGACACTTGGACGTCGTTCGCTCTGTGAGGGAAGGCCACACGGCTGCTATTCAAGCTGACCTTCCAGCAATACTGCGGGCTGATGCTGTTCTCGACAAAGACATCCAACCATCTTCCGCCAAGTTCAATGCCCTCAAAGATGCGAATACGATCCTGCTGACTGGTGTGACTGGTTTCTTGGGACCCTTTTTGCTTCGTGATCTGCTGGACACCACAAATGCCAAAATCATTTGCATGGTTCGCTTCGGCGACGCATCGCAGGAAGAACGCCCCGGTGGCGTTGCAAGAATTCGTAGGAATCTTCTGGATTTTGGTCTTTGGAGCGATGCCATCATGGAAAGAGTTGAAGTTCTGCCCGGCAATCTTTCCCGCAGGCGCTTCGGTATGGCGCCTGATGCCTTTGGCGAGCTCGCTAGTCGCGTGGATGTGATTGTTCACGCTGCTGCCACGGTCAATCTCGTGTACCCATATGCAGCCCTGCGCCTGCCTAACGTGATAGGAACGAAAGAAATTCTGCGGCTAGCATGCAAAGCGGGAGCAACATTGCAATATGTCTCCACGAATGGTGTGCTGCCTCCAGCGCAGGGACAGCAAGGCTGGCCAGAAGATGCTATCCTGAACGTCGATGACGTGCCTACCAAGCTTGCCGATGGTTACGGGCAAACTAAATGGGTAGCGGAGCAGCTTGTTCTCGAGGCTGGCCGTAGAGGTTTGCCTGTCAAAGTGCATCGAGCAGGCACTATAAGCGGACACAGCGAAACTGGTGCCTCTAATGCCTGGGATCTTCTGACAGCACTCATTGTCGAATCGATCCGAATCGGCTACTATGCCGACGTCAAGGGGTGGCGCGCAGAAATGACGCCCGTCGATTTCGTTAGCAAAGCTATCATACACTTAGGCAACCAAACTGATGTGGATCAAGTCATCTTCCACCTCGGAGACCCAACCCCTGTCGATATCAGTACAGTATTCGACGAGCTTAACAAGTTGGGATATCCTACGCAGCCAGTGGAATTCAGCAAGTGGATCGAGCTATGGGATGACAAGCGTGGCTCTGCTAAGGGCGGAGACGGAGCGTTCACCATTGACATATTACGCAGCGGTATGCCAAGTATTGAGTTTTTGAGAGACATAGTAGTCCTCGACAACGCGAAGACCAGGCCTTTCCGTGCCGCAGTGGAACGACCCAAGGTGGACCAAGTTCTTCTGGAGACATACACCCGCCATTGGTATGCCCGAGGCTGGCTCCCAAAACCCCCCACGTCTCAAAATGCCTCGGGAGGCTCAGGACAGCTTCCTCGACGAGGCCCACTCTACGGCAAGGTTGCTGTGGTTATGGGCGCCTCTTCTGGGATTGGTGCCGCGACAGCAACAGCTCTAGCAAGAGAAGGATGCCACGTAGCGCTAGCTGCACGTCGTATCGACGCACTTGAAAACCTCAAGAAGCGAATGGTCGTCCGTGAAGGCAAAGTCCTTTGCCAAAAAACCGACGTCACTGATCGAGCCCAAGTTGCAGCTCTGGTCAGCACAGTAGAGAAAGATCTGGGGCCTATCGACATTTTCATCTCCGTATCAGGAGTGATGTACTTCACGATGATGAAGAACATCCAAACCGAGGAGTGGGATCGCACGGTTGATGTCAACTGCAAAGGCCTGCTCAACGTCATCTCTTCCGCCGTACCTCCCATGCTTTCACGCGGCAAAGGCCATCTCGTGGCAATTTCTTCAGACGCCGGACGGAAAGTCTTCCCTGGACTCGGCGTCTACTCTGCCAGCAAGTTCTTCGTTGAGGCTACTCTGCAGAGTCTGCGTCTTGAAACCGCAGGCACGGGTTTGCGTGTCACAGCCGTGCAGCCTGGCAACGTAGCCACTGATCTACTAGGCATGTCGACAGACAAGGAGGCACTGGAGAAATTCGGTGAACCATCTGGAGCAAAAGTGCTAGATCCTGAAGACGTTGCGAACTCGATTGTCTATGCCCTGAAGCAGCCCGAGCATGTTGCTGTCAACGAGGTCTTGATCGAGCCTCGCGACGAGCCCATCTAGAGTTCGTGCAGAGTCGGAAAATCACTATGTGGCAGGAACGAGGTTGTGCTTTCTGTATCCTTAGACGACGAATAGTTCATAGATCTCTTGCGTGCAGTAAATTACTAGAATTATAAAGGTTCCCCGGAAGTGACAACATAGTACGCGCTAATTCAGTCCGGTCCATTACCACGTGGAGAACGGCACATATCAGACCGAACCACGTTTCGCCTCGCGACTTCCCAACTGTCTGGAACCACCTCTATCCTGACGACTAACAACCTCCTCCAACCCAGCGGCGTCTTTGCGTCGCAGCTTCAAGTGTTATGAATAAAGTACGATCTTTACTCTATGGCTTCCAGCCTCCGGTCTGCTTCTGGAACAAGCCATTCGGATCTACCTCCTGGGATACTGCCTTAGCCAGTGCTCTACTCTCGGGCTTCAACCGCCCAAAGTAATCCTGCCTGAAAAAGCCATAGTTCATGAACACCGGTAGATACGTTTCCGGTAGTGTGTTGTCTTGCTGCCAGGCGACTACCCTATCGCGTACTCCAGAATACGTGGTTTCCATAGTCTGAATTGCGGACAGGGTCAGTTCAAACAGATTCCAATAGCAATTGGCTTGGTTTCTGGTATATACGTACATCTGCCATCTTGTTATAACTGAGCGGCGACACAAATGCATAGTTCATCTCGATGATGATCTTGTCGTAATCATCTTCTGCATCGATGAGATCGGGGCTTCGTTTCCTCGCTTCCCGCGCAATGGCCTTGGGGAATGGCTGCCAGGCAATGCTTGCCTACGAAAAAATCAGCAATGAGCAGGAAAAATCACGACATCCTGACTTACAACAATGCCCAACTCCAACAACGTCGTATCGCTAACATCCCGCCAATGCTTGTGTAAACCTTCCATAACCTTCTCCTCATTCTCCGCGCTCGGAAGCGGAACAGTCTCAGTCGCAATTTGCACATTCACGCCTTTCAAAACAACCCAATTTGACAAGCCGATCAGGTCTGCATAGGTCCGTTCGCGGGTCGTGTCCAAGATAGGATTGGCTTCCGTGAAGTTTGCAAATTTCCCGGGAGGGGGTGTGGGGCCATCGTAGAAGAGGAAAATGATCCATGAATCGACGACGTCGACGTTGGCTCTTTCTGCGGTGACGATGACGGCAGCTTTGGGGTCGGTGTTGTATTCAGTGAAGTCACGGACGGCCTTCAGGAGTTTTTTGTCCAGGCTGGGGGTTCGGAGGTAGACTCTGGATGGGGAGTCAGGGTTTATTGATGAAGGCTGGAAGTGGAGAAATTACTTACAAGTTGCCTCCCCACACATTCCCTTGTGGGTGCGCCTGCAGCTTGTAGTTTGTTATGATACCGAACTTTATCAGAGTCAGTCAAATTTCCATGTCAGAACATCTCGCCGGTAAGATGCCGAGACCTCGACAATTCGCCCGCGATACGAGCGACAATATATACGTACATTGTTACCTCCTCCCTTCAAAGCCTTGAAGATACTGAAAAAGGGTTAGTCAATGCGTTTTGCTCGAGGGTTTTGAAAAAACGTACTCTGGATAGTCTTTGGTGATATGACCAATGGTTCCGTTCGCGAACACAATTTCGAATTCAATCACTTGACTCGCTGCCCACCCACTTCATTCCCGAAATGTCAGCTTCCAGCATCGGAAAGGCCCAAACAAAGCAAAACAGTGGATACATACTACTGTGCACTCATGTAGCTCAGCCCCCCGCCAAGGACTAACCCACCAACACCGGTATTGCCGATTCTCCCGCCGACGAATGTCCATCCACTGCCTTGAAGCTTAGCAGCTATTCCGTCGAGTCTGTTTCCTGGGCCCACATCGACGACACCTGTCGCCTGGTTTATGTTCGCTTGATCGAGATGCTCCGTAACGATCAGAGGGCCGCCCTCTACGCTCGCGAAGTAGTTGTTGGGGTTGTGGCCACCGGACTTGACCGCAAAATTCTCAGTCGTGTTGGCGAGAATCTTGACTACAGTAGACACTTCTTCAGTAGACTTGGGGAAAATGATGCAGTCAGGCTTGAGAGCAGAGCAGGAAGTGGACCAATACTGCGTCTGCTCTTCAATGTAGGCTAGATCCAAAGACCGTGTGATATTGATGTAGCCTAGCGCTTCGACAGAGCTACATGTATCGGCCTGAACTAGCCTGACGAAGATGGAGCATACCGCCGCGAAGAGAAGGACAATCATGATGAGGTGCGTACAAGAAGCGCTATGGGAGCTATCAATGGAGACATTTGAAGTCCAATATATACCATCGCAGTTCCTTGACCATGAGAAACTTGACTTTTTTGATAGCAATTTAGCAACCCCCCCGCGCCTCTGACGTCGTCAAACATTCCCATCGCTTCGACGACCGCATATACGAAGCATACCGAGACTCCCAAGAGCCGGAAAACGTGCCCCAACTGCCCCAACGTCCAGCCAACATTGATAAAGAGCTGAAATGACCTCCAATCGCACCAATCACCTCTGCTCCTTCTCCCCAATACGAGGTCAAAACCCCAAAAACTGACAAACTCGATATCTCACGCCCTGTCCTGTCCCCGTATATGCAGAGCCACCAGCCAAGAGGAACCCACAATTCCAGTATCCACCCCCAGAAACCGCGCCTTCCCCTGGCATGACCATGCGCACGTCGTCCATTTTCAATTTAGGCATGCAGAGCTGTGGGGAGAGGAAAACGTCATATCACTTCCTCGTTTAGCACTTTGCTTACCGCGACTACGAATCGGGAGTGTAGGAATAGGTAGACCTAAGCTCGTATATGTATGTTTGCGGGTCGCTTCCGGATCTTCTCGCTCGTACGTGTATCACCTATGTCCTAAAGCGTAGTGTTTGCATGGCGCAAGTGTCCGGTAGAGTACCGGTGTTGGATATCAAGTCGAATACGAGATGGACATGCCCATTTGTTCAAATTGCTCAAGGCAGATTTGATGGTATCAATTTCCCCCTAGATAAAAGAGAGAGAGAGAGAGAGAGAGAGAGAGAGAGAGAAAATGGTGGTGCGAGCACTACCAGCTACATCACAAGTCATTCGTTGAACCTAACATCAAAATATCCATCTTCTCACAAACCCGGAGTTCCCATCAACCGTCCAACAAGAAAAAATTTGCTTGGCCTCAGCTCGTATAAACGCGCACATATATAATCCTACAGCTCCGAAAAAGGACCTCGTAATCCACCATCCTGCATAGGCTGAATTACCCCAACCCTCCGATATTAGTCCACGTGCATGCAGCATCTACCCACCCATACACACCTTTCCCCCCATAACAACAATCCCCATATACCCCTTCCTCCCTCGACTCGTCTAGACCCAATCCATCGCTTCGCGTAGAAATACGAGCGAGGCTACATACACATTCCCCATCCTTAAACAAAAAATAGAAAACGGGGCTAGGCTGGATTGGTCCCGGAGGTATATCGCTTAGAGAACCCCGAACAAACCAACGTTATCCACTTTACCAAATAAATATAAAGGATTTTTGGTATGAGGATTGAAGGTTGGTGGTTTGGGTGTGAGACGTGTAAGCGAGGTATATACATTCGGGTGCCTGGCGTGTTAACCGATGGGACTTTGTCTCGTGTCATCTCGTCTCGCGATCGAGAGATCTGAGGTTTTTTCTTATGCGGTGTTTGTCAGCCAAGCCCCAGTCACAGCGCGTAGGTGCATATTTCCCGATTCGTGGGACATCGAATACTCGTTACGCAGTACTCCAACCACACGGTTCTTTCATATGAGTAGATATTATGTGGAAAGACGCTGGGATTGCTACAGGTTGTTGTGGAATTTTTGCGGATATGCCCGAGTGTGTGTTGTGGATGGAATGAGCATTTCGGCTAAGATCGACGGCTGATATGTGTACGATCCTACGAGACGGATTTCGACCAGTTGTTTGGATTGATCAATCGAATGCAAGAGCGGAGATGAGGGGGAGGGCGGGACTCTTGCGGGTAGAGCGATGCGGTGATAGTCTTCCCGCTGTGACAAGTGTGATCGTCGTCTGCTTTTGGTTGTACGTGCTGTTATCAGTTCTGCTGTCAGCCTGCATCTGACTACTAAGCTCGCGGGTTATGTACACAAACGAGTACGATTTATGTAGGAAGGTAGAATCGTGGTACAGCCATTTGTCTCTGTCGTTAGAGTAGTGAACCCATCGCGATCGAGATACATCCCAGTGACCTTTTCGGGATAGCCTTTTGAAGAAGGCCCGACAGCCCAATCTAGAGTTTGTCAAAGCTCAAAATATACGATGAAGCACACCTCTTCTGTACCCGAAGCTAGTGGAAACTCCTCCACATTCCTTCTTCAAGGCAAGTATCAGAGATTCCTACGCCATCTACGATCCTTCCTAAATAAAGAATAGAAGTCCTCCCTAAGCCAATATCACCTCAATCAGTATTGCAGTGATACTGTCCTCATGAACAGAACTGACGGCAATGAGACCAGTAGTAATAACGGTTGTAGCTCCGAATAATCTTGTCAATTGACTATAATTTCCCTATCTCCCCTTCACCCCCATCCCTATCGCATTGCGTGACACACATTTACAAATAGACAAAACAATTCTCATCCCCGGCACTCCTGACAACTGTGATGAAAAATGAAAATACAAAAAAGGTCAAGGGCAGATACCCAATAACGATAGCGTAGCATTTATAAGTAAGAATATAAAATTTGTTTCTGGCTCCACGACTTATCTACATCGCCATCCTTTTAATCGCGAGAGGATACATAGACCGAGCGGTTTCTAATGAATAGTACGATTCTAATCCGTGCTGTTGGGTATATCCAAAGTTTTTTCAAGATTGTTCTTTGTATAACCCCCTCACCATTTCACTCCTAGTGATCTTCACGTCAGAACTATTCATACTTAAATCGAAGATTTCTTGAAAATAATCTAAGCAGACATGGAGAACACAGAACGAATTTCCACTAATACTCTGACAACACATACCACCGTGTTTTTCTCTTTCCATCAAGAGAACAGAGAGAGCAGGTGGCACTGATAATGTCGACAAGAGACTGCTAGTAACATCAGAGGGTATATGATCGCACATGATGCACTTGTTTAAACCGATTACATGATGATCTGAAGAAAGGTTGAGGTAATTCCGATTCTTTGCCATGAAAGCTAATCAGAACAGAAGGGAAAAAACAACTATATAGTACCGCTCTTAACCCCATGACAAACGGCACCCGTCATGAAACCGGGCAACTCATCGCCTAACAACAATATCTAGCAGTATAACCTTCTACGCAGTAGAAAGAACAAACTTCCCTATATAACATAGAAACAGAACACGATTGCTGGCTATAACTCGCAACACTTAGCCTACCCATTAATACTCAAAGTCGTCATCCACACTCGGCCCCTTATTCTTCGTCACGCTCTCCTGCCTTTGATACATCTCTGCAATCATGCGACTGCTGCTCGCCTCATCCGCCTTCTTGTCATCTCTCTCCTTGATAAACCGCGGGAATCGCAGACTGACACCCTTGCCGCTGCCGCCTACCTCATCAGCGGCGGCTTTGTACCGCGGGCTCAGGGTCAAATCCGCAGTCTTGACTTCCCAAACGTGACGCGGCTCGAACCAGACATCGGGCTGATCCTTGTTACCGGAAGAGTGCACATAGAAGGGCTTGGGGCGATCGATGACGATTTCGCTGAGTTGTTCGTGGAGAGTTTCCAGGATGGCTTCCGAAAAGCCAGTGCCGATGTTGCAGACGGTTTCATAATTTTGCGTGTTTGGGTTATAGCACGCCAACAGGAAGGCACCGTACCAGGAAGTACGTTTGCCTTTACCGTAGTATGCACCCAATACGACGAGGTCGAGAGAATCGCCGACACCCGCAAGGTAGTCTTTCTTGACTTTGAGCCAATTCTGTGAGCGCCTGCTGGGTTCGTAGTAGGATTCCGGTCCGTCCAACATCTTTACCATGAGACCTTCGCAAGAGGCCTTGACACTATCCTCGAGAAGAATCTGAATCTCCTCAAGCTCATTGGTGTCGCCATACTTGGCAAAAGCGAACTCGCCCTCGACAGGAACGAAGGCTTCTTGGAGTTTTTCACGACGATCGCGGAAGGATTTGTTCACCAGTGCCTATAACTGTCAGTATGTAAAAGCAAAATGGAAGAGCCTGATGCTCACCTCTCCATTCAGATACAAGAGATCAAATGCAAACACGCAGACCTTGACCTTTACGTCTTCAACCTTGACATCCTTTCGTTTCCGCGTCATGAGCTGCTGGAATGGCAGAACCTTCTTCTCCTCAGTATCCCAAGCGACTGTCTCGCAATCAAGAACGAAACTTTTTGTCCCGTCCTTCACCCAGGTTGGGAGTTTAGCCAGAATATCTGGGTACTTCTTCGACAAGTCTTCTGAATTACGCGAGAAGATGTTGGAGACGCCCTTATCACTCTTGCCTGCAGAAGGTGCAATGGTGGCCAGCTCCATTTTCGCATCGTGTGCGACAAAGTGTATCTGTGCTCGCTCACCGTCATACTTGTACTCGCAAGTAAAGTGTTTGCCTTCAAATCGGTCGAGAACTTCTGTTATCGATTTCGTCGGTTTGGCAAGCATGGGCTTCAGAGGCACACCTGGTTGAAGATGGCAGTTGTCGCGCAAATTCAGGATGCCATGCTCAAGCATTGCTGGGATGATGACCTCGTAGCTTGGAAGTTCGCTGAGATCTATTAGCACGTGCGACATACACGTCGAAGCGTTCAGAAACATACCTGTAGACTGACTTCAGGCTCGACTCAGCTTTGGCCAGGTCAGCCGCTGAAGGGATTTTGTTGCCCTTTGAAGTGTATTCATGGGTCAACATGGCCTGAGCCAAAGCTGGCAACACCGTCTTCTCAGCCAGACCAAGTCGAAGTTTGCCCTCTAGCGTCCGGACGATGAATTTGGCCTCACTAGGCCCACCCTTATCTTTTGTGATGTCGATGGATTTGCCAGAAGAATGGGCATCTGCAGCCGAAAGCAGCTTCTTGATACCATCCACCTTCTTTCCCTGGGTGCCTTGCCCTTCGATCTTGGCAATGGCCAGAAACGCCTTGTGAATACCAGGCACGGTCAAAGGTTTCGGTTTGAACATGGTGGGCTGTTTGGACCGACTCTTTGCGGCTACCAGACCCAGATCACCAATCTCGTTCTGATCAGTCTTAATATGCTGCAAAGTGCGACCGGTGCTCTCTGAGACAGCTTTCATGATCAAGGATTCGCCAATTCCAAGTTCAACGCCTGCGTAGTCTGCAGCGAGTTTGTTGATCATGAGCAGTACAGTAGGGAGAAGATCGTTGGGACTGAGACGAAGGACTTGTCTCAGGAAAAGTGAGCAGTGTGCCAATATCTCCAACCGTTTAGTCGTCATCTCGATCTTTGAAAATGTGGTGCAAAGCGCTGCGTATGGCACAGGCTCACCGGGTTTCCAATCAGGATAGGGGTCCTTGGTAGCTGCGCTTGTGAGAGTCGCTTGGACCTTCTTTCGTGCCTTTGCTTTGGCCTCTGGAGGCTCCTCGTCGGAGCTGAGCACTTCATCCTCGTCTTTCGCATCAGACTCGGGGTCTTCGGCCGCAGCTGGAGATTTTTCAGGCTCCTTCTCCTTGTTTTGAGCAGCCTTAGTAGGCTCTGCGACCTCCTCGTCTTCCTCAGACACCACTTCATCCTTGATTTGAGCAACAGCTTTCTTCGATTGGACCGCAGGCTTCTCAGACTTCTTACCCGTGGTTTTCGCTTTCTTGGGCTCCACTTTCCGCCGCTGCCTTTTCGTTGGAGGCTCGTCTTCAGAGTCCTCCTCCTCCTCTTCTACCTGCCTCTTCTTTCCGGCCTCTGAAGCAGCGCTGCTGTCAACCTCCATAGCATCGCCATTGACCTCCTCATCCTCCTTCTTCACTTCCTCGGACGCGGGCTCTGAGCTTGGTGACTTTACCAGTGTGTCTTCGGTGGATTCTTCATCTTTCTTCGCAGGCTTGGGCTTGGTCGCGAACGAGAGTTTCGACTGTGTCGTCTTTGCGGGGACGCCATTTGCTTTTCCGAAGAATTTTCTGTATGTAGCGACGTTTAGTTAGCAAACTTGGGTGGGTGAGATGAGATTGACGCCCGGGGGTCCACCAACGTCAAAGTAGTTTGAGAAGGTCTCACGTACCCGAGGGTTGCCTGCTTAGGCGCCATGTTTGCTAACTGGTACAATTGCCGGCGATTGTTGTTATAGCGTGGAGACTTGCAAGTTGCACTCGATGAAAATGGTATTGGTAGTGACGATGCAACGACAACACTTCGTTTCGAGAAAAGTAGAGAGGATGGGATTCGGCGGGACAAACGCGAAGTTATGATTTTTGAAGAACAGGCAGAAACATGGAGAATCGCAAGCATACTTTGCCAAAGGCAGGAAGGTGTAGGCAGCGAAGGGTGAATGAATGCACACACCTATTAGAGGGAAGGCGGCGCGGGCGGGCAGGCGACAACGCGTCGCGCTTGCGCCTGCCGAATTTCGCGTCGGCGTCGAACCAATTCACGTGCAAGTGCTGACATCATGCAAATTGAATGTTCCGCTCGTGCACGACTCGGTGAAGTATGAACTGATTGCGCCGTGATCCATTATTCCATCCTTACCGTTCGCCTTCCACTTATTGATTCTCAAGTGGGGAACTACTAGTTACATATACTCGTACGACATCGAAAAAAGGGAAGAAACATCCCGCAAAACTGGCGAACTTCTTCTGGCAAACGGCGCCCTCGACCGCGCCATCCACTCCTCCCACTCCACCACCGTCATCTCCAGCCATGTCGCAGCCCTCGTCCAGACCGCATCTCACACCGCAATTCTGCTTTAACCAAACCGCTCTCCGAGGCAAGCAACCCCTACAACTACAGTCTTCCATTTCATCCCATCGTCTTCCATCTAAGAAGAACACCAAAACCATACAAATCGTACCAACCTAATTCCAAGACCAACAACTAACACCTTGAATGATAGACTTCCTCCGCCTCTCCCGCAGCACAATAGACGACTCGATAACGCAAAACCTCAACGCTCTTCACACCCCCTCCAGATCCCCCTTCAACCCATCCTCCACCTCCACCCGCTCTCTCACGCCACCATCCTCCTCGCGCCAGATCCCCGCAGAAACATGCACATCCTTCAAGCAAAAGGTTCTCTTCCCTTCATGGGCCTCGCGGTCCGACGTGCTGGATTACTGCGCCGGCGTCGCCACCTCGCCAGACCCAGATGACCCAGATAGTGTACTGCGGCAGATTGAGGACGCGAAGGTGCGCGAGAGAGTTGTGGATGAGAGGTTGGATCCGTATAGTGCGAGGTATTTTCCGCAGGAAGCGAGAACAGAGAGCTTGGCGATGCTGATGCGGAATGAGAGGACGGTGGAGAAGATTATAAGGAGCAGGACCTGGAGTTTGGTTGGGGAGAGGTGTGGGGAAGGTGGGAGTGTGGACGAGGCGTTCGATGGGTGGAGGAGGGAGCAGGGGAAGGGAAAGCGGTAGGATGATTTGGAGACGTTGTAATGGAGGTCGTGTGTATGATCATATGTAACGATGGACGAATAAGTTGGTTAGGGTCACGGCAACGCATTAAACCTATACTCTTCCAGCATCGCGACGAGTACTTTGTATAATTAGATGTAACAATTGTAAATACGAGAAATCACGAAAGGCGTTCTTCTCATGCGAACCATGGTAGCTGTTACATTCAGCAGCGAGCTATACATGTATCGTGAAGAAACGGACATGTCGCTCTACTTGACGGGCGCACGCGCAACATTTATCCACAACGAGACTTCCACGCAAAGGGCGCAGCAGCAGCGAGAAGATACATTGACGCAGCGACAACGATCACGAAAGACTGATCAACCATTATGCTAGGCAATCAGATGCTGCGCGATGACGGAACCTGGGTAAATCAATAGCATCCACGCGCCACCATATTGAGCACAGGCGCGAAGAAAACTTTTTGCGAGCACCACCACAAAAGCCTTGCCTCAGAAAAACAGCGACATCGACAGCGCAAGCAACGCAACATTGCCTACTACCCACACACGCATCGCGCAGCAACAAGACAATAATCTTCGACAACAAAGTCAAAGGAAGAAGAAAAGAAAACAGAAGTATGTCCCACCCATCCCACAACTCCTCTCCATCTTTTCACGGAGTAAAAATAGTAGTTGTAAAGGAAAGAACGGTTGGATTTCACTCTACGGGGCCGGGAACGGAGGACTATCCATTGAGAAGATAAGAATATAGGCCTCAGCAAGCCGCACAAGGCGGAGCCACGATATACAAAGGTATGTAGATTACCTGACTGATGATGAGGAGCGGTAAGAGGGGGACGGGGGACGACGGGATTATATAGAGAAGCGTGGTGGTCTGTGCGGCCGCGCAGCCGAGGTGGGCGCGTGCGTTAGGTAAGCGGGTGGAGTGGGTGCGTGAGGATTTTTTTTTTCTTGCCCTTCGAGACGGGAGAGGAGGCTGGGAGTGGGGTCTCTTTGGTCGGGTTTTTTTACTAGTAGCTTGATTACTGCGAGTAAAAAACGGGGCGGTCATAGAAGACGATAGGAGGCAGGGCAGGAGCTTAAACGTCAACTGAGGCCATGGGCTATAGGAATCGAGGTAGGCAATGTGGTAGGTCATTTGGAATCAGGCATATACGACGGCAGATGAAACACTTCACAGACATTGAATAAGCGCGGAGATATAGGCATGGGCTTCATGATTCGTTGACTAGCTACATGGTTCGTTGACTACATATGCAGCCACACTACTGCCCAACTCGTGCGATCGAGCAACCATATCCATTGTCGGCGCATCTGACAAACCACCTTAAACAGTTCGCCATTAACCAACCTGGAAATTTGCGCACAACCGTCTAGTACAGGCGGCGGGGAGGGCTCATGGTAGCCTTGATGGTCAAGCTACCAACGTTCTGCCATCCCTTCTTCAAGAGAGAGACGAGGTAGTTGATGCTCAACATGATGTTGGAGATCAACTCATCCTCGGTCATGCCAACGTTGCCGATAGCGACACCCATGCAGAGCACCTTCTTGAGCTGGAACTTGATGGTCGACTTGACCTCGGTGATCTTATTGGCCAAGTCCTCGTTGTGGGAAACGGGCGTGGGGAACTTGCCGGCCTTGGAGAGACCGGGACCGAGGAGACGGGGAATCTGCTTGATCAAGGCGTCGGAAGCGATGAAGGCATCGTACTTGCGAGCAAGCTTCTTGATGAGCTTCTTGTTCCTGAGCAATGTAAGCAAAAGGCTTGACGTCGGTAGAATGGGGCGCCTACTTGTTCAGCTTCTTGAGATCGTCGCTGGACATGGCATCGACACCGTGGTGCTTGGCACGATCGATATCGTGCTGGTCACCAAGAACGCAGATAGCCATACGAGGACGAGGGACAGTGGGGAGCTTGATGGTTCCGGAGAAACGCTTGTCACGCTGGGGATCGTAGTCTGGTTTGGAATTAGACACGGATAATACTAGGTCGTGAGAATGTTGAAAACTCACTCTTCAAGCCGATCTGAAGCTCGACAGTCTCGACGAAGTTCCTCTTCTTCGTCTCGTTGGAGTACTCCAAGAGCTGCTGCACATTTGTGCGCACGCCGGCGACCTTGTCGATGTTAGTCGAATATCAAAAATCGCATCCGCCATGACCGGGCCCTCAATTCGTGGAACACCGGCCATGTGCGGTGCAGAATCGTAGTGATTCAGCTTACAGAGATCTTCGACATGGTGATGATGTCTCCCAAGGGATGCTGTTATTTCCTTTGGTGGGTTCTGTAGCGGGTTGCGGGTTGGAGAGAAATCAGTAGCAGCGGGCGCAAGCGATCTTTTGTAGGTGGGGATGTCGCTTGTGGGTGGCGCTAAGAAGGGCGCTGGCCTTGGCGCTTGTTTGAGATGGTTGACTCACGAGTCCACTTCTACATCATCATGGACACTTCTTGGTCTATTGCAGTCAGTTCTATTCGCGTTATGGAGGTGCAGGTCGTCCGATGATCTCAGCATAGGCCACGAATCTTCGTTGAATTTCATGTAACTACCTAGATAGGCATATAACTAGGACATGCTCTTTCAGGCCCATTATCCATAAGGGCGTAGGGCGTGGATCCTCACTCAAACATTTGAATGCACGAATAGTCTCGCACTTGACCAACAATAGATCATGCACTCAGTTACGATCCACCATGAAGTCAAGACTATAGTTTGGAGTCAACAGTTAAATTAAGCGATTCCTACTATATGGCACGAGAATCTTCGGACAGTCATGTATCTGAATATATTGAATAGTTCGGGCTGGCATAGAGCAAGTAGCGCTTACATGTACCTTTCCAAGTGACGACGCGCCTCTTTTCGATCATGCACATTGGGATTCTACGGATCTTTCAATTGATTGACGGCACCGAGTTAAATAATCACATGAAAATGGGTCGACTGACTTTCAGTAATTCTGTCAAGACGCTTCACGTTGCTCAGTTTAAGGATCATGCACGTTATACATACGCAACCACTTGGAAAAGGAAACCGGAGTTTCTTGGAAGATCAAAAAAATTGCAAAGCATTAATCCTACAGTAGTAGTCTACAAGACCACGGAATCAATAATCCTGCTATTCATACACGATTGCTTGTATCTTTCTGTTCGTTGGAGAAAACCATTGCACCGTTGCCATGCAAAGAAGCCCAAAACTCCATGCCATGATGATAGCCGCGAACCCCCAATAGAGATCCCGGATATGTAATGAGGAAACACACACACATGCAATCGTTTTATTGCAACGGGTATCGCATGAGAGGTTGCCCAACGCCCATATACACCGAGTGTGCTGATGAAAGGACAAATCAAGAAAAGGGGGTATGTAGATGCAAAGATGCCGCCACAAAACCAGTGTAAGGGGAAAGAAAGCCAAGAAAACAGGGTTCGTCCGAACAGGCTGGATCATGGTAAACGGCCAAGGCCGGATCTGGCCCAGATGGGTCGCTGTTGACCACCGCTACGATTCCGCCTCTAGTGAATTGGTAGCTGGTTCTGGCTAGGCTCGACAACGTTGTCGGAAAGATTGATGAGAAGTTGAGCCAGGCAGCGTTTTGTAGCGGCATCGTCGCGGAGGACGGAAGAGAAGGTCGCATCGCGGAGAGGCTCGGGAAGGCATTGGCGGAGAGCTTCACGGGCGCGCGCATTATCGCTAAGGCTATGTCTTGATTAGCGCAGGTACCCTCGATTAATGACAGTGAGGGGCATTACCGAAGAAAGCATCGCACAACGTGCTTGAGTAAACGAACAGTCTGCTGCTCTACCAGTTGGTTGACCATGTTGCTGAGAACGGTACCAACGGCGTAGAAACGCTCATAGGTTTGGCAGATGTACGCAAGGCCAATGTCGTCCAAGAGGATCTTCTGAACGATGAAGATAGCTACAGTCTTGCTGAGCTCCGAACCAGTCTCCATGATGCGCAGACACAACGGGATGATCTCCGTAGTCAAGAGGAAGTTGATGACTTCGGAGGAATCGTTCTTGACCAGAGCGCCAATGACGCCGAGGGATGTGAGACGCAGATACTCAAAGGGACGTGACTTGGAGGTGGTGTTCAAGAAAGGATACAAGAACAACGGGATGTGCGCTGCTGGCAGTGTTAGCGAAAGCCGCAGATGGGGCGTGTCCGGTACGTACCGCTTAGGAAGAGACCGCGGGTCTCGGTGTGAGAAGCAACGCATTGCAGAAGCGCGAGCGCATTGCAGACACGGTTCGAAGCGGCAGCAGTGAGCTGAGAAGGGTTCAGAAGAGGGTAGACAGAGATGATCTCCTGCAGCAGCGAAGCCATCACACCTGGTCCGGTTAGCCTGCCTCTACCACTGACGATCAAAAGGCCAGGAACGCACCATAGGAGTGCCAGAGAATAAGGGCAAGCTCGGGAACCTGCTCGCGCTTCTTGCTTAGTTCAAGAAGAGCCGTCTCGCGCGAGGTGTGCTTCATCAATTGCGCGATCCAGTCGAGTACGCGACGGTTCTCCTCGGTGATGACATCTCCATTGCTGGTCTGCATGTCGTTGGCGGGACCGCGAGGAATGCCGCCGGCGGAAGGCACAGACGATCCGTTGTTGCCTGGCATGCGTCCATAATGTTGTTGCTGTTGGGCCTGCTGAGCTTGGACGGCAGCTTGGGCGGCTTGGACAGCCTGAGCCTGCTGTGCCTGAAGTTGCGAGTGCTGAGCTACATGGTTATGGAGGTGCTGATGATGACCCTGGGACCAGTCACCCTGATACGAGTGCTGCTGTTGCTGCTGGAGATAGTTTTGCATTGGCGCAGGCGAATAGACACGTTCGAGGGTGGGGTTGGTAAACGTTGGAAGCGGTGGTGGTAGTGGAGTGTTGGTGGTAGGTTTGTGGAGCGGCGGAGAGAAGGCAGCGGGCGGATTTATAGTAGATGGCGCGACTAGAAGTGGGGCAAATGGCGGGTGTGGCAGCGCAATCGGGGTATAGGTGAGTGAGAGAGAGGGAGAGAGAGAGGCACGAATGATAGCAGGGTGAAGGTGGACGGCTCGTTTGCTGTTGTTATTTGTCTCAATATCAGCGCTTGCAAGGTGAGTTGAGAAGCGGCCACTCGACGGGCTGCGCAACCCCGCTAGAGCCCGTACGACTTGGCACCCCCGATCGCCTGGCTCGAGCTTCTTCCTCCCTCCACGTCGGTCCCTGGAGCTAGCATCCGGGGAGACGACATCACCTTTTACTTGTTTTGTGTATGCGTGTCCATCAAGGCAATGCAACAGTGTAGTTTACAAAAGAGAATCGTCAAGTGTATTTCTACCTTATCGAATGAAGCTTTCCACAGCTGCCTCAACAAACTACCAAACGGGCTGTCACCATCCTTCACACAGTATATGTAAATAATTAACCCTGCAAGGAGGGGGTCGAAGATAGAATAGAAAGAAAACAAGAAAAGAAACCCTCGTGTCGAGCAATGCAATCGCCAAAGCCAGAAATAAATAAATAAATAAAAACGCCTCGCTTGCCTTGTTCAAAGTCGAAGTTCAGACAATATTCTCTGAGCCATGCTCTTGTACTGCCATGTGCCTCCATCCACCTTCTTGAATTGTATGCCGTGCAATTGCAGCAGGGGAACTTTAACAATCAGAATCTCAAATACGATGGCCATGCTTCCGCCTAGATCGCTCTGCACGTGTGTGGTGGTTTCCCCTGGGGGCAACGTACGACCTGCCCTTGGCCGCCGTTCCTCCTTGTCGTCACCGCTTGCGTCCGACTCGTCCGTGTTGGTGTAGCTGCGATCGGCCCCCGACGAGCGTCCTTGCCCGGATTTGGGAGTCTGTGGGATCCGGTGCTGTTCCCTGAACTCTTCCCGTTCACGGTCTTTGGTGAACCCAGGGAAGCTAATCTTTCGTCGATGACTGCCACTAGTCGACAGGCCGCTCGTGGGAGGGTTAGCAGGGGAATCAGGGCCCCTCTTCATGTCGATACTGGGAGCATGGCGGCATTTGAATCCCCCCTTGATCTCCGTATGTGTGATGCCAAGCTGATCAAGCACCCGAATGATGTCCGACTGGATGAAGGACAATGGCTTGTTGCTTGTCGTGGAAACACTGAACAGTCCTTTCAAAAAGACCGGTTTGACATCACGCCCACGGTGCGTTTCTGTTGGAGTCTCAGCCATTTCGGCATCTGTTTCCTCTGGCACATTGGCCTCTCTAGCCTGCTCCCTTCGCGCGCGTCGGGCTTGAATGCTTTCACGGCGGGCATGACCGAGTGACTTTGTCCGGGAAGTAGCGTTATGACGGGTGCTGGCAGACAAGTCTTCAGACGCAGCGTCGTTGTTCACCCTGGACTGAGGAGTGTTGATGCTCGATCTATCGGAACCACTGGTGGGTGGAGGATGTTGCGAGTCTTCTTGTGACCGCCCTCTCCTGCTCAGACGTCGCCGAAGATCTCCTACACCATTGACACTAGAAGACCGACCCAGGCCTTTGAACTTGCGGGTACTGCTATTTGTGCTGCCAGGGGTTGGCGGCGAGAGGAGCTCGGGCTGATTAGTTGCGTCGGATGGCCGCAAGGTAGACGGGGGGTCACGGCGAGTGCGCCTAACGCTGAAGCTTTTGCGGGGAGCAGTGGCAGGCTCGCCTGGACCGGAAACAGCAACAGACGGTGTGGGCATAGGCTGTTCGCTACGGTCGATTGGTGTTTTGTGTTTCCTGGTACTGAACCGTCGTAAAAGACCTGGGATTGCACTCTCCTTCTTCGCTTGCTCTGCTGAAGGTGACAAAACAGCGGGAGAGATCGGAGGCTGATTCAGGTTGAGAGTTTTTAGCCCATCCGTAACTTCATCCTCACCATGAGTTCTTGCTCTTGGACGAGACCTTCCACCAGTTGGTTTTTCGCCGGCCATCTCATAGGTAGCCGAGTTTGTGTACGCAGCCGCTGGCGCTGGGAGATCAGGCATCTTGAGGGGTTTTTCGTCCGGACTCTGTGGAACTGCCAGAGCTCCTGGGTTTGATTCCATCCGCTCACGGTCTCGCTTCTCGCGGACTAGGTAGTATACTGATATCAGAGGACTGAAGGCATTGACAGGATCCGCGCCACGTTGAAATTCCTCGGACGATGAGGAGGGAAGATGCTCCCTGCTCGACATGGAGTTCCTCCTCTTGTAAAAGTCAAACATGCCTCTCTTCTTGTCAGCCTCGGGAGTCTGTGCAACCGTCTTACGTGCAGATGCCCGCACTGCACGTTGGTACTCGTCGGATGTCAGCACCTGAGTCAGCTGGCTCTTGATATACTCCGAGGTGCCGAAGTCGAAACCAGTCATTCGTTCTATGATGTCATCGTCAAGAGGGAGTTGTAGAGGCTCTCGCGCGGGGAGATAGTTCTCTGGCGGGGTGTTGAAACCCTTCGTCAACCATGGGTGGGTCATGATTTCTCCGAGTGTGATACGTTGCGTGGGGTCCGTCTGTAGCATACGATGGATAAGATTGCGGCATTCTAGATTCTGTAAGCTGGATATAGTTTGCACAGGTTGAATCACGTACCAGTAGACAACCATGGAGGGTAATCCACATGGCCTTTCTTGATCTTTGCATGTAGCTGCGGCATACTCTGGTCGTCGAACGGGACCTTACCGCATACTAGAACGTAAAGGACGATGCCAAAACTCCAAACATCAACCTCGGGCCCTGTATATTGCTTTGCCTGCAAAAGCTCGGGTGCAGCGAAGTATAGACTGCCACAAAATGTCTTGAGTAAGTTGCGGGGTGAAAAGAGATTGCTTAGCCCAAAGTCGATAATCTTGATATCGCCCGTCTTGCTAATCAGGATGTTCTCAATCTTCAAGTCCCTGTGCACAATGCTGTTTCGATGGCAGTAATCCAAAGCGCTTGCGATCTGGCGGGCGAATTTGCGGGCCTGTTTTTCCTTGAGGCGGCCGTGTGATATGATGTAATCCAGCATCTGGCCCCCGTTGACATACTCGAAAAGCATGTACCAGTGGAAGTTGGTCCTCACTACATCTCGCATTCCACATATGTAGGGGTGGTTCAGCAGACTGACAATGGCGGCCTCTCGTGCAGTTCGAACTTCCTTTGAATGATCGGCTCGCTCACGGTCAGCCTGGCTGTGGTGAGTATCGGTTGACTGCCGTGGTACAATCTTGACAGCGACCTATAGACTGTTAGCAAAGTTTACCGGGCTAGATGCACAGTGGCCATGTAGGGAGTAACAAGGAAGACATACCTGCTCTCCGCTCTCCGTCTGCTTGGCCAGCTTGACTTTTCCCATGCTACCTGCACCAATTGTTTTGCCCAGAGCCCATTGGCCAGTGTTTGGGGCACTGATGGCAGTCCTCCTCTTAGGCTGGGCAGCGGGCTGGGTTCCCGGCCTGCCATTTTCTGAAGCTACTCCGTTGGTAGGCATTGCGGAAGCTGTGGATGCGTCAGAGGCATACCGAGCGTGGCCTCTTCTGCTAGATTCGGGACGGTTTGAGATGTTTGGGGTTCGGTCTCTCGACTCGCTTCGGCGAGAGGTCGGCTGGCTGGCGACGTTGCTCTGCTCGTAATCGCGGCGGGCAAGATTGGCTAGATTGGGCTGCTGGGGGGCTGGGCGGCCTCCGTGCGGGTGATGCGAATGGGGGGTCGGGCGGGTGGTGGTGGACTGTGAGCGATGGGGACGGTCTGCCGAGCTGGACACAGGCTGGGGACGGCGTGAGGAGCTATGAGAGCGGACGACGGCAGGCGAAGAGGGGGCGGTGGCAGACATGGCGGCGAGATTGTTTTGGTGTTGCTTCTTCTCGCCAGTGGGTGCAGGGAGCGCTGGAAGATCCGACTATAATGCGACGCAGCGCGCGCGCTGGGCAAACGAGGGGTTACTCAGTCTGCCTACCGATGGTCGGTCGCCGGTAAATTGGGGGCTGCTCTGGCGGCGGGGCAGCGCACGGGTTGGTGGTGATGGTGCCGGGGCGTGGATGATGGGTGCGATGGTGCGAGATGTAGGTAGGTAGGTAGGCGGGTTGGGTTGGAGCTGGCCGCTCACTGCCCAGCTACGTAGCGTAGTGAAGTTGGGGAGGTCGGGCGGATGATTATGGCCAGCAACTACTTACTTTTGGCTGGGATGGGAGGCCGCAACGGTTACGGGGAGATGGGATAGATAAGAAGACTCATCAGACGCGTTGCATGACGCACAAGGTGAGCCTCGGGCATGCAGCTGGGTGGGCGAGGTGGTGAGGGTCGAACGGGCGTGGCGGGCGCGCGAACGTGGTGAGTGGGCGCAGATATGAGTGGGATAAATAGGCACAGCACAGGCAGTACCTGTGTAGGGAGTAAGGCAGGCGGGTGGATGGGCTATATTGGGTCCGCGCGAGAGGAGAGAACGGGTTGTAGGTAGCTCTGGAACAGTAAATTGGCTAGCTGGGTACTTAGCAGTGGAATGGAGGGATGGATTGAATGGGTTAAGAAACGGAGAATCAAGGCCAAGCGTAGGCAGGGAAATGAAGCCCTCGCTCTACAGATGCATCCATTGACTGCTGCAGCGAGTGCGTTGTCACAGGCTCTGGCAGGCGGCCAGGAACATGCACAACACAACACACAGCACAACACTTTCTCCCTGCCGTCCCTCGGCCGTCATCGTCATCGTCATCCTTCTCAGCGACATGAACAACACCTATACTTGTTCTTCTCCAACAACATTCTTTAACCTTTGTCCTGGGTGCCGTCGCAACCAAGGATATCCCGAAACGTGCGAGCCTAACGTGTCGTGCCCAAACAGTTTGCTCCAAATCGCAAAATTAGCCAGGCACCATTCACCCTACCCACCGCCCATTACATCATCGTCTAACCATTCGAGGCACTGAACCTCGACTCCCCATCATAGCTTGCTTGTGTCTAACTATCAATTGCATGCTTCCTACATGACAATCCACTGCAATCAATCATGTATGCCCATAATGCTGGAGAGAATATCTTCGCCGCTATAACATATCCACGCGTTCCGACACCTTGCTCTTCCTGGAAGGCCCGGAGCAGGCGTTACCCCGGTTCGTGTCCCGTTGCGCCAGCAAACGCAGCAGAAACCGATTGGGCGAATTCGTCTTACTTCCAATTTCCCCAAGGACGTTGGACCGTTGTGCCATCGATAGTGCTCACTTTCTGCTCATAGAGCAAGTAATGGTGTTAAAACTCTATCTACAGCCGACATCTGGAGCAAACGAGTTTCATCTCGAAGGCCTAATGATAATATTGTGCCACATCACGAGTAGCCGTGTGTCGGCCAAGCTACCTAGGTACATGTACGCGATAAGCTCGTCACGCTTCATCTTCTTCATCATCGTCGTCGTCATCATCCCCAAAGATAGCCTTGAACACATCTTCAGACGCACGTCCTCGCGCCAGAACCTCATTCTTCTCGATATCCACCGTTGCGTGTTGTTGTTGATCCTGCTTTGCTGCGACTTCCCCAGAACGCGGCGGAACATCTCCCGCGCGCGGCTCTTTGGGTGCTTCATTCATCCATGCAGGGCGCTGCATCATTGACGCACCACGGAACATCACCTCCTGCTTGATCTTGTTCATTGCAGCCTCATTAACAAGCTCCCCAGTCTTGCTCTTGGACATGTGTTCAGCATTCCCGAATTCGGAATCATGCGGCATCAGAGGAGGCACTGCTACCCCGAAGCGCTTGCAGAGAAGTGCCGACGGGTGGAAAGGTATTTTCTGTCGTGTCATAGCGCCGTACATCCCGAGCTTGGCCGCTTGTTCTGCTGGGTCCTCCGGTTTTGGAGCAGGTTTGCGCAGAAGGGTTTCACTAGCTTTGTCACGGTCCCCACTACCGGGATGGCTGGACGACGTTGAAGAGGTGAAGCGCGAGGCCATGAGCCCTGTGGCTGGTCGAAAAGCAATGGCCGCTTGCGCAAAGCCTTCCAGCTCTTTGGCCCATTCGGATATTGACATATTGTTGGGTCGCTCCGGAAGCTCACTTCTCTTGCCTGAACGCAGCTCTAGGAATGTAACATATCTTGCGCGCTTCTTCAAATCCTCGCCATAGGGCATCCATCCAGTTGCCCCACTTGAAAGAGCACCAGCAGCAGTTGTTTTGTCAAGTACCGGGACAAAAGACCAAAGATCCTTGGGCTGGTTTTTCTCTGTAGATGCATGTCCCTTGGGAGCGGCTTCTCCCAACCCTTGCGGAAGATCGCTTTTGCCGGTGAGATTTGCGAGTCGATCTCGGGCTTCTTTCGACAGGAAGTCGAAGACAGATTTGCCCGGCAGAAGAGTCTCGCCCAAGAGCGATGCTCGTGCTTTCGCATCAAGTGTCGAAGCTTTCGCGGCGTCTGCAACTGAAGTATAACTGTCTGTAGCTGCAGTTGACGCTCCGGACTTGGCAGACTTCCATCCAGGGGGTATTGATGGTGGAGGGTATTTACGTTTGTTTGTTAGATCTATAGCTTCGACAGCCAGGATGAACCCTCTCAGCGGAGGCCTTCCGTCATACGTGGTCCTGGGGGCAGCTTTGCTCGTAGCCTTCTTGATATAGACATGCGCATCACTGCCACCCGCTTTCGCGAGTTTACTAGTCTTTTTGGCTTTCTTTTCCTTGCCCAGGGTTTTGTTGAACGTGATTTTGGGCCCCAGCTCATATGGATCTTCATCGTCGGATCCGGTATCGTTCAAGACTCCCACCCCAAAAGACGACTTCTTTTGTGCTATCTTCTTCAGTGGCTGCTTCTTGGGAGTTTCTAGAAAGGAGAGGGCTAGCATTGGACGGTCTCTAGTCTCTTTCGCCTCGATCGTACCCAGTCGAGCCTCCGATTGATACCCCAAGCCTTTTCGATTGATGTCCTGCGGAGCAGCCGCCATGACTCGAGAATCTGTAGGAGCAAATGTATTTGAGGACGAGCCGTCTTTCGAAGCCGATCTTCCGTCATCTTCCAGATGGACAATCCGACGTATCTTGCGCCCAATACCCTGATTGCGCCGCCAGCCCATTTTCTGTGCTATTTTGATGCCCATAGTTTCTTCCTCGGTCACGAATAGTCCGAAGAAGGCATCATTCTCCTGTTCGCCAACACGGCCAATAGCAGCAGCAGATTGCGCCGTCTCGAGCTCGCGGGATTGGGCAGCTTCAGCCAGATCTTCTTCGTCCATGAAATCTTCGGCTCGCTGGGCAGCATCGGCTTTGCGATTCGTACGCGAGGAAACAAAGGCACTGGGTGCCCATCCTTCTTTAGATCCAACTGTATTGAAGTATCTTAGCAGAGTCAAGATGCTGAATTCGCCGTAGGGAAGGCTCGAAGACTCACCCTGCGCTGAAGCCTCCAGTGAAGGCACCGTGAAGTCTACGGCGACCCCGTTCGTCGGTTACCGTCTGTTTCCATTCCGGCACAAATGCCCCATCGTCGCTGTCCTTGTCCGGTGGGAGCTCTGTACCGAGTAGAACATATCCAGATTGACCCTCACCGCGGGTACGTTTGTATGGGGCAGTCGGGGAGTTTGCGCGAGGTCGTTTGAATGCCATAGCAGATGTAGGATATCTGCTGTGAAGTGGTGGTAGGATTAATCTTGGTTTAAGCTACACAACGATGCAGGTTGTACATCGACTAGAACACAGTATTACATAAGCGAGTGTGATTGGTGTAGTGACTTTCACTATAAATCAAACCGGAATGAATTCGATAGGATTTTGTGTCTTCCTGAGTCTGGCAGCGAATATAAAGTCAAGGTCACGATATAGCACTTCAGTTGTCGCAAAGAAAAATTACCAAGATTCGAGTTTGTCAATACAATCGCCAGTCTCATGAGTTCGGAATTACGGGTCAAAGAATCGAATATTGATTTAAAACTCCACCAAATGCTTGACTAGCTCAAAGAATACTCCGAACGAAAGCCAGTCCAACCTGACTAGAAGAAGCCGTACAAAATACATGATATGCTGCTGGTGCATCTGCTATATAAGCAGATGATCTCGACGAGACCTGAAGATACCCCCGCCCAAAATCTACTCGTCCTCATCTTCGTCATCTTCAATGACCCTTCTCTTCTTGCTCCGCACACGCACATCCTCGTCGTCATCGTCGCTGTCCCCTCCTCTGTCCCTCTTGGGGCTCTCTCTCCTCCGACTCGTTGGTGCGTCCATGATACCATCATCATCGTCATCATCGTCCTCCACAATTTCTTCTTCGTCACTCGGCGCGATGAATTCATCGTCCTCATCGTACTCATCCTCCTTGTTGCCGCGACCACGCATTCCTTCGTCTTCATCGTCGCTCCATCCACGGTTCCGTGAAGCTTTGGCGCGTGGCTTCTTGGGTCCTCCGCGACGCCCACTATCACCACCCTCCAACATGTCAATATCCAGACCCGCAGAGCGGTAACCGCCTCGGTGAGTGACACGACTAGTACGCTCCATTTCGCGCATTTCGTGCTTCTCTCGAGCACGTTGTTGCTTGAGGCGCTCCTTGTGGGAAGCTTCTTCGCGCTGGCGTTGGAGTTCAGGATCCTCGTTGACATCAATGAAAGAAATGGCTTGATCAGCATTGTCTCGGCCACGAGACGCCGCTTTAGCCAAATCGTTTTGAAGTTTTTCCAGCGCAGCATCTTTGGTGTTCATGGTGGGAACGACTGATAACGCGGTGGTGAACTTGTTGGTTACGCGCATGACGTTCGCCTCTTCATATGGCGCCGTGAGGTATGTGTAACTCTCCTTCGCATCGCGATCCTTGCGACTCGCTTTAATCGGAACGGGGACGCGGGGGTTGACTTGGGGAGGTGCCAGCATGGTCGGATTCACTTCGTATTGGCTCAGTGGGTCATTAGCAAACTGAAGAGTAAGTGAGCCGTCAGACCAGCGCAATATCCGGGCGTTCGACTGAAGCTTAGAATGATCTGAGGGCGAGTGCCGCCATCGAACAGTTGTTGTTGCTGTGTTGAAAGCGGAGAAGTGGTCAGAGGGAGGAAGCTTTGAGTGGTGATCTGTCACCGGCGGCTGGAAGGTTTTGTGATCGAACACGTTCGGCTCGATGGTAAGGAAGGGTGGAACTTTCAGCAAGTACAGCTCGCCATCACTGGGCTCGGGTACGGGGTGTCGCGCAATCTCAGGCTCCATGAAATTGAACGACTGTTCTTCGAATGTCTCTTCCTGCGTCGCGGCAAGTGCGCGATCAGCGCGGTCTTCGTCATCGCCCGAGTCGAGGTCTTCGTCGTCAAGCCTGCGCTGCCTGGTGGAGTCAAGTGTTAGCTATGCAGAGCTACCCAGTCCGTATGGCGCTACGTACTCAGGCTCTTCATCTGGCTCGTCGCCGTCGCCAAAAAGATCATCATCGTCTATTTCCGCATCATCAGCCACCACCGCATCGTCATCCTCGGCCGCATCGGTAGCGGGTGCGATGTCTTCCGCAGGCGGATAGCTAGTCGCGTCGTCGTCGCTCATTGTGAGGTCGCGTTCGTGAGTTGTATATTATGATATATAGTCGCAGATGAGATTGAAAAAGTGCGCGGAAGGTCTGCGGAAGTTGCAATCGAGGCGTAGTAGAGGTTGAGGATGGCGCTCCGAGGCGTCGTTGGAGTTCAACGCAGACACAATCAATTGAGGAACTTCACAATAGCAGCACCGGAACCGCGCTAGGCCGAATTCAGCCGCTAGCCCCAGATTTTTGGAGCCACGCCCGCGGCGAAGGGGGGCATGGCCGCAGCTGCAATGCGTATCACGTCCGACGTCCTACCTTGAACAACACCTCATCCTTCGTCTGTCTCTTACCTACTCGCCTCACATTGTTGAAATTCGAGGGGACAATACTGGGAACAGGAATCCCGACCAAACCAGCAACCATGACTTCTTTCTTCAGCAACATGTAAGTATCCCTTACAGACAGAGGGCGCCCAGGTGGCATAGCAATGCAGTGGATTGTCCCAATTCAAACGCTTTGCTTCGCTCGTCTGCTTGCTTGCAGTAATGCACATGTCACCCAAGCCCCTCTCTGTTTCACCTGCTTCTACTTCTCGCTATTTGTCACTTTACCCGTCGATATTCAGTCTGTGCCGAATCCTTACCCTATAGTGCCCCGAAACACAGGCCCCCCAACATTTGCACTCCAACAACACTCCATATGTACATCTGCTTACGCTTTTGCTAGGAAAAACTTGGCTGGCCGATCTGGCAGCAAAGGACCACAAGGAAAATCTAGCAACGGGACACCTTCACCAACTTCATCGTCTCCCTATTCATCTCAAGGCTACCCATCCAACGTTCCCCCGCTGCCCCAATCCCCCGCAATGAATTCCGCCATGTCTTTTGAGACTCAACCTACCGGCGATGGTTCTATGCCTTCCATGTCTCGCAGGCCACCTTTCTTCTTCCGCGAAGAGTACTCTGGTCTCATTGTAAAGGGAAACTTCATGACGCTGGCTGCGAAGCCCAAGTTGGTCGAGGAAGGCGAGTGGCTGGCCCACCAAGGTATGTCAATCGCCCAACTCGCAGCACAAGTGACATCCAAATTGTTCAGTATTGATCATGTGACCAGTTGTTGAGCAATACCGGCTCCTGGAACAAATGATCAATGTTATCAAGGTTCCCGATGAGAGGACAGGCAAGTCCTGCTGCAACCCAGATGTGTGCCCCACCATGTCAGCAAGTGGGTAAGTTATATACAACATCCCCCCTCTCCACGACCACAACTGACCTAACCCACAGCCACACCTACACCTGGCTCGACAACAACAAAAAGCCCATCAAGATCACAGCTATAGCCTACATCAATCTCGTCCAAAAATGGATCGTAGGCAAAATCAACGACTCGACCCTCTTCCCCACAGATACCACCTCAGCACCCTTCTCTAACTCAGCCTCGGCATACGCATCCGGCTCCATGACCCCCTCATCCAACAACCCGCAACCCCTAGGTCCCACCAGCCTCAATGCCCCGCTCAACCAGCTCTCAGGCCAGAACTGGCTCGGCAAATCCTCCGGCTTCCCCGAGAACTTCGAGGGCGACATCAAGAGCATCTACCGCCAGATGATGCGGTGCTACGCACACATCTACCACGGCCACTGGCTCGATCCTTTCTGGCACACCAGTGCCTACAAAGAGCTCAACACGTGCTTTGTCCACTTTATTAACGTCGGAAAGCTTTTCAACCTCATCAGTGATAAGGATATCGAGCCTATGCAACCGCTTGTTGACTTGTGGCTCGCAAAGGGTCTTTTGCCAGCTCCGGCTCAGACCCAAGCCGGTGCTCAGCAGCCTTCGAAGGAAAACACTGCTGCTCCCCAGGCCCAACCTGCTCCCGCGGCGGCGTGAACCGATCTGTCTCGGTCTCGGGGAAAAGAGGAGTGAAGACTGTGTTGTCACCTGGCCATTTCCTCACTCTGTAGGATGGTCGAGCCTATGGAGACAGGGAAGCATACGATGAAGATGAAATGCATAGGAGAAGCGGCGTTACTGGGTACTTCCTTTGGCACGAGAATTTGCTTGCCCGTACGCGTATATAGAATGGAAAGCACCATGATTGAAGCATGATGGAATCCCTTCACGTAACAGTGACCTTGTCTTTGCTCTAGACTATATATGACTGCTCCGCATTATAGTTCACGATTCATGTCGTCAGAGGCACGCATGGGAATAGATGGCCAGGTCGCTGAACGATTGACATTGCTACTTTTGATTATCTCGCCTCAACTCAAACGAGTCGACCCGCGACATGCACACAGATCGGATCGCCACACCCTCTTGGCTTTTAATCTTCTTCGTTAAGGAAAAAAAGATACTCAAATTGGATGATCGTAGTAGGACTATAAAAGGTAACCAGAGAACTTGTTTCCGTTGAAGCCACCAACACAATCCGGAAGAAGTGGGGGAGAGAACATTGGATGATGAATTGATCATGACTAGTTCACAAACTCCAGGGGTGGATGAGAGAAACAAAGAGGGAAAAACAGTTGCCCTCTGCTCCACCAACCAACCATCCGATCTGATAACAAAGACACAGGCGCACGCAAACACACACACACATATTCGTAGAGGTTTCGGTCGTGAGAGAGGGAATATCGACGGTTCAGAGATTATATTGTCTGGGCCAGAGCCATCATGCTGGCAGACCTTGTTGGTGCCGCTGCGCTCGAGGCGGGTTTGACGTGTCGATCTAAGCGTGGCCGGCCTTGCGGAGCGTGTTGCTCAGCCATTCGAGGCCCTCGTACAAACCATCACCGCTCGTGGCGCAGGTGGACTGGATGTACTACGGTGTGTGTTAGCGCGGTTCGGAAAGGGGCGGGTTTAAAAGGACTTACCCAGGCACGCTGGCGGAGCGAGTGAAGACCGAGCTTATCAGTGATCTCGGCAGCGTTCATGGCGTTCTGGAGCGATGTCAATTGAAATTTTCCAATAAAAAGATCATAACGGGCTGCTTACGGGCAAATCCTGCTTGTTGGCGAACACCAACAAGTTGGCATCCCTCAGCTCGTCCTCGTTCAACATGCGCTGCAACTCCTCGCGCGCCTCAACGACACGGTCACGATCGTTGGAGTCGACGACGAAGATGATACCCTGGGTGTTCTGGAAGTAATGCCTCCACAGAGGTCGGATCTTGTCCTGACCTCCGACATCCCACACAGTGAACTGGATGTTCTTGTACTCGACGGTCTCGACGTTGAATCCTGTGCATGATCCGTCAGCTGCGCAGTCGCATTGATATTGGGGGTTCAACAAGAGACGCACCGATGGTGGGGATGGTGGTAACGATTTCACCAAGCTTGAGCTTGTACAGAATCGTGGTCTTTCCGGCAGCGTCCAAACCAACCATAAGGATACGCATCTCCTTCTTTCCCCACAGCTTGTCGAACAACTTTGAGAATGTAAGACCCATGATGGCGGTGTGTGTTATCTGAGGTCGCGGTTTGCGGAAGTGAAGGGGCGCGTGAAAGGCGGTGAGAGTCGGCTCTTGAACCTGGGGAAAATGCAAAGTCAAAAAAACAGCGAAAACGAATTCTGGAGCGGGCACATGGCGGCAGTGGAACAGGATTCTCGCAAGCGCTGGGGATGCTGAGTACTCCTTGCGAGGATCGGGGATGGTGCTGCCTGGCAAACTAGCCCGAGCGCTCGTGGGGTGGCGGGCATACGGAGAAAGGGTTCAAGGAGGGAGGACAAGCAAGTAAGACTTACGGGAGCAGTTCAAGAGGCGCGGTGGTGATCGAGATGGGGGTGAGAGGTGGTGGTAGATGTAATCTAATTGATGTACAGGAAGGGCTGGGTTGAAGAGACGTTGTGGATTTGGCGGCGGCGAAAAGCGCTTGGCACTCTGATCCTGGCGGGCAGTAGCAAGTGGGCACGTGACTCGTGAGATTTCGGGGCCTGAGACGTTTGCGATTGAAAAGAAATGGCTTCGGTTGGATGCCGCTCCTGGTTGTCGGCGCCGTGTTATTCAACACCCCTTTAAGGTGCGTGTTGGCTATAATGACACGTTTTAGGTCCGCTGAGGACTTGCACAGGCAACCACTCACCTGGACTCTGTTTTGTTCCAGTGATGATCCCCGCAGCGACTTATCCACCCACTCACCTAGAATATCCTTCACAGGTTCGTGGTGAAGGGCTGGGGCGTCTGAGCTTGTACCCGCCTTACCGCCTTCGCATTAGCTGGTTGCTTCCATCACCCGGCACTTTCAGGGGTCTACATGGTCGATTGCGCGATTGTTGGCAACTCGACCGAAGCCATAACGTTGCTAAGCTTCCCATTCGATTGGGCTTGTGGTCCGACGATATGATATCAGACTGCGCGTATGGTTCGCCCGTGGACAATGCTAACAAAAATCGGTTACAAAGCCATCACCCGACCAAAATTTCAGATCCTAATCATCATGGCTGTGTTGAGTTTTACCTCCGCCACGCGCGCCATCATTGCCATGACTGACGCGGCTCTCCAAGGCTACAGCATTATTCAAGACAATCTGGCATTTTCTTCAAAAACAATAGGTCGTGATCACATTATATACAGTGTGGGCAAAATGGCCAGGCAACAGCATCCCACTCGGTGTCAGGTCCAGTGCGGTACCTGCGCCTTGTCTCCAGTTGTGCCATCCTCCGTCCCTCCAGCACCGTTGTCTATCTTTTTCGGTGCTGGCCTCTTGAAATGAGGCTTGAGCGGTTCCCAGCTCTCCGCATTGTAGCCCTCTTGCACCTTTTTGCACTTGTTCAAGCCCCATTCCGTCACTCCGACCATTAGGCAACTCTCAAACATGAACGCCATGCTGCCTTCGCCGACTTTTGCAGGCTGGAGGTCTGCATTGGAAGCCTTTTCGTGTGTGCTTGCATCCGGACCGTGCCCGGACATGACATTATGAAGGGACGCACCGGCAGGTTGGAAACCACCACCGGTCTTTGCATCATACTGACCTTGAATCAAACCCATGAATTCAGACATGGTATTCCGATGATACCATGGAGGTCGGAAAGTGCCTTCTGCGACCAGCCACCGAGGTGGGAAGATGACGAAGTCGGCGATGGCAGTGCCAGGATGGTCGGATTGTGCTGTCAACACTGTGAAGATGGATGGGTCGGGATGATCGAAGGAAATACTTCCGATGGTGTTGAAGCGTCCCAAATCGTACTTGTACGGGTAGTAGAGACCATGCCATGCCACCACATCAAAGGGAGAGTGTGTCTGCTTAGCCTGAAAGAGGTGGCCGGCAAATTTACTGAGGATATGCCATTCTGATTCCGTGTCTTCATCGAAATCGGCAACAGGGGCTTGGAAATCGCGCGCGTTTGCCAAACAGTTTGAGCCGATAGGGCCTAGTTCAGGTAGCTGAAAGTGTCCCTGGTAGAGTTCGAGGATGTAACCTCGAACGGGTCCCTCTGGGAGCGTGATGCGGTACTTGATGCCTCTTGGGATGACACAAATCTCATTGGGCCGTACCAAGATACGACCCATTTCGGTTCTGATATCCAGTACGCCATGCTGGAGAACGATGAGGAAATCCCCATCAGCGGAGTAGAATGCTTCGTGCTCGTCCATGTCTTTTCCCGCCGCAAAGATATACATGCCCAAGCCAGACTTCATTGTAGGATCCCCCGCACCGGCAACAAGATGTAGCGAGTGTACCCAATCAACAGTCTCATCCAAGTCGAAAGGATCCCATCGTAACTGATTGGGAATATGGTGGATCTTCTCATACGGCTTGTTCTCGGGGTTGGTGTTGTAAGTCGACGACTCACGAGGCTCAAAGTTGCTGTGGCCGCATGAAGGAAGGATACGGTATAGCCATGTTTGCTGATTCTCGTGGCGTGGCGCCGTAAAAGCGGTTCCAGACAGCTTTTCAGCATAAAGACCATACGGTGGTTTTTGTGGGGAGTTGGCACCAATAGGTAAGGCACCTTCTATAGCTTCTGATCTGAATAGCAGTCAGCGAAATGGACAGTGTGGGGAATGATGGATATACGTACTCATGGTAGGAGTTGAAGCCATTCAGGTACCGATACTTTTCGTTGTGAGCGAACTTTGACGAAGGCATCGTGGATGTCGCAGTAGTCAGGGTTGTGGAATTCCTCCAGGTTGCGTCTGGTCAATGGAATAGAGCTCTTTGGTATAGGTTTTTCCCGCGAGGTCAGTTTCTTGAGCAACGACTGCAGAGGCCCAGGATGCACATGGAGTGGGGTGTGAGGGTCCTCGTAGCGGTTTTGTTCCTGCACCGACATGGTTGATATTGGCCGTCGCGCGGTAAAAGGCGGCTTGTCGACCGTGGCACAAAGCGGAGAGACGTGAGGCGTGATCGGAACCAAGGCAAGCTGCTGGGGTTGGTAGAGTCGGCTCTATTCCATGATCAGCCACGTGACCGCGGAACGCCTCCGCACCGTCTTGCTCCACTTACTCCGCTTCCATCCATCTTTACCGACTTCCGTCACCAGCCGGATATCGAGCATCAGCACGAAGGGAGTCTCTTCGGTGTACGGGGCCGCTATACATGCGAGGTTCTCGTCCCGCTTGTCTCCCTCCAATTAGAGGCTTGCCGCAGATGAAAGCAATGCTCTTATTCGTTCAGCTCTCCGTATAAGCTGAAAGTGTTACCCGGGATGATGGTGGTGACTGACAGCATTTAGCACCTCATGATGGAGACCTACAAACCCCACGCTTCCTGATCTCCCCTTTCAATTTAGAGAAACTATAGGAAACCATTCCAGACTAGTGGAATTCACTATCGTCTTCTTTCCTTAAGAGAAAACAGAGAACACGCTCCTCACCATGTCTTCCCTCAGGTCTTGGTTCAGCATACCCCGCGGCTCGCACTTCTCGCTCGCCAACATTCCCTTCGGCATCATCTCCACTGCCTCATCAACGACACCCCGTGTTGCAGTAGCAATTGGAGACCATGCTCTGGATCTCGAGGCTTTCGCTGCTAATAATGGATTCTCGGCGCTGTCCACCATCCAGCCGCACCAATCTGTCTTTTCCCAGCCTTCTCTGAATGCCTTCGCTGCCCTTGGTCGGCCTCTCCACTCTGTTGTCCGAAAATACATTCAAAGCATCTTTTTTGAGAATACGCCATACCCAGATGTTCTCAAGACTAACGAAGCCCTCCAAAATCAAGTGTTGATTCCTATTGCGGAGGTGAAGAATCACATCCCTTTCAAGATCGGCGACTATACCGACTTTTTTGCCGGATATCATCATGCTTATCATTGCGGGGTCATGTTCCGGGGCCCTGACGATGCAATGAACCCAAACTATAAGCATCTCCCTGTGGGCTATCATGGGCGTGCGTCGTCTGTAGTGGTGTCGGGAACACCAATCCGTCGCCCTCATGGCCAAATTCTCGATAATCCAGCAGCCGCGAAGAAAGTTCCCATCTTCTCGCAGTGCAGGAAATTGGACTTTGAACTCGAGCTGGGTGCCTTCGTGTGTACGCCAAACGAACAAGGGAAGCCAGTCTCAATCGATCATGCCGAGGAAAATATATTCGGTCTTGTCATGATGAACGATTGGTCCGCGCGCGACGTGCAATCTTGGGAATATATCCCCTTGGGGCCATTCAACGCAAAAAACTTTGGCACAAGCATTAGCCCTTGGGTGGTGCTGATGGATGCTCTGGAGCCGTTCAAAGTGAAGGGAATCGAAAATGATTCAGACATACTTCCATATCTCAGACAGAAGGGCGAGGATACGGTTTATGATATTCAATTGCAAGTTGATCTCAAAAGTGAGTGTTTGTCCTTATGCCAAACGTTGCGTGTTAATCTAACGATTTCAGCAAATTCTGGAAATTCTGCCACGATCACAAAGACAAATGGCCGCCATCTTATCTGGTCTTTCCCTCAGATGCTTGCACATCACACTATCACTGGCTGCAATCTCCAGTCAGGCGATTTGCTCGGATCTGGTACTATCAGTGGCACATCTCCATCCGAGAGGGGTAGCTTGTTGGAACGAAGTGAGAATGGAAAGCAGGTTCTTCCTATTGCAAATGGTGAAGAAAGGACTTTTATCCAAGACGGGGACGAGATCACCTTCACAGGAGTCTGCGGGACTGACGAAGAAAGTCTGGTTGGGTTCGGGCAGTGCACTGGCAAGATTGAGCCTGCTGTCGATCTTGGGTTTTAGAAGCATCACAACTAGTTGAACTATACAGTGTGCAGTGCAGTATACGTCCTGGGCAGATGTAACGATCAATTGTCAAAGAAGGGTCTACCCCAGTAGTTCGTTCCGTACCTCCGCATCCCGCATGGCGCTAGTGAAGGGTAGCTCAAAGAGCATGCTTCGCGGTACAGTTCCGTCCGACTTCCATCACTTCCCCATAGCGGAACGACGACCCCGCTCACGCGAGAAATGCAACAAGGCATCGGTGGGTACTCGGTCAGAAGACTTGTAGTCGGCCAACTGTGAGCCATTCACATCGTGCGTCATCCAATGCATGAGCATCTGCCGTTGTGCTGCAATCCTCCTGAGATCGCCGGGCGCTGCGTCCTGAATGGCCCGTTACAACAGCTTTACCACTTGTGCATAATCTTTCACCGAGGTGTGGGTCTCTCTTTTACTATAAAGGACTGCACTTCTTGTCTATACATCATACTCCTGCAGTGGCACGCTTTATTTTATAGTCATTATATTCTATTGTCTCATTTCTAGCCATGACGATATCCATCATCATTGTGGCAGCACCTGTCATTCTCTACTTTGCGTATAAACTTTTGTACGGCACCGATACTCCACACATCAAAAATCTTCCCGAGATTCCTGGGTTACCTCTGTTTGGTAGCTTGCTCGAATTTGGGACGAACCACGCAAAAGTCGCTCAAAACCTCGCAAAGAAGTATGGACCTGTGTTCCAAGTGCGCCTGGGAAATCGAGTCAGTTCCCCTTCCCCCTCCTTATAGTCGGCATGCAAACGAGAATGATGACTGATGATAATTCAGAGGATCGTATTTGCAAACTCCTTCGATTCCGTCAAGCATTTGTGGATCACGAATCAATCCGCTCTGATATCGCGTCCCAAGCTCCATACTTTCCACACCGTCGTATCTTCTTCTCAAGGCTTCACGATCGGTACCTCTCCATGGGATGAGTCTTGCAAGAATCGCCGTAAAGCAGCGGCCACGGCCTTGAACCGACCAGCAGTGCAGTCCTACATGCCCCTCATTGATCTAGAATCCAACGTTAGCATCAAAGAGCTGCTACGCGATTCGAAAGGCGGGCAAATTGATCTGGACCCGCGAGCATACTGGCAGAGATATGCATTGAACACTAGTTTGACACTAAACTATGGTTATAGAATCGATGGAGACAAAGATGACAAGCTGTTGAAAGAGATCACAGATGTGGAAAGAGGTGTCTCGAACTTTCGAAGTACAAGTAACAACTGGCAAGACTATATACCGTTGATGAGACTGTGGAGCGGGCAAAGCAAAGAGGCCATCACTTTCCGGGAGAGGCGAGACGTGTACATGGACCGCTTGCTCAAGACACTGAAAGAGAAGATTGATGCAGGAACAGACAAGCCTTGTATCACAGGCAACATCCTGCGTGACCCAGAAGCCAAGTTAAACGAAGGTACGACCATACATCATACCCTACAGACAGCTCAGAAGACCACTAATCCAGCATCAGCTGAGATCAAATCCATAGGCCTCACAATGGTCTCCGCCGGTCTCGACACCGTCCCAGGAAGTACGTACGCACCCGAATTTTCTTCAATTCCACCCCAACTAACCCTCTTCCCCGCAGACCTTATCATGGGGATAGCCTACCTCTCAACCCCCCACGGTCAAACCATCCAAAAGCGAGCCTACGCCGCGATCCAAGAAGCCTACCCCAACAACGATGCCTGGCACGCCTGCATCCACGAAGAAAAAATCCCCTACATCACTGCCCTCTACAAAGAAATCCTCCGTTACTGGACCGTAATCCCCATATGTCTTCCCCGCGTCTCCATCAAGCCCATCGTCTGGGAAAACGCAACCATCCCCGCTGGGACAACATTCTACATGAACGCCTACGCCGCGGACTACGACGTCTCGCATTTCAAAGACCCGCATCTCTTCGATCCGGAACGCTATCTGAATATCCCTGATGGCGCGGGGACGCCGCATTATGGGTATGGAGCGGGGAGTCGCATGTGCGTGGGCAGCCATCTTGCGAATCGCGAGTTGTTTACGGCGTTTGTGAGGTTGATTTCTGCATTTGAGTTTACGCCGCCCGTCGATAAAAGGGATGAGCCGGTTATGGACTGTTTGAAGGCAAATGCTATACCGACGAGCTTGACGTTGGAGCCCAAATATTTCAAGGTTGGGTTTAAGCCGAGGGATAAGACGGTTTTGGAAAAGTGGATTAGGGAGAGTGAGGAGAAGACTAGAAGTTTGATGTAGTCTAGTTCTCCTGTTTTGTATCTTTTCCTTTCAGTGTTGTTTGGGGGTGTTAGGAGGAGCCTTCTTGGTAGGGTCAAAGATGGCGTGCTACTATCTTATCCAATTCACAAGATGCCGCGAATCAATTATTCGTAGTCTAACTTTCACACCGATCTTGCTCCTTATATTTCTGTTCAATTCCCCATCCGTTCCTCCACCTATACCTCTGCTCTATCAGCAGATCCACTCACCCCTCATCGAATTTCCCTTACCCATCTGAACAATCCATCATCTGATCAAATAGCCCTCTTTACGTATAGATCCCCTCGCCCCCGCATGAACAGAGTAGAGCGGATCTGCACGTTTTAGCCGGCCGTTGTTATGCGAAACAAGTTTCACGTCTTGAGCCGCAAGAGTGAATATAAGAGAACTAAGCGAGAGACAGAGAAACCAGAAGAGGGACTCATGCTCCGCGTCTCTTGCCGACTCTAATCATATGAACAAAGGCTTGTGTAGAACTCGGTGCCGTGTCTTGAGCGCGCGCAGCACATGTCCGGTAGAACCGAGTAACCAAACATCCACACTCGCACCAAAAGAAGAAACATTTGAACAAACAGCGAACATTGCCTACGATCATCACAGAGACGTCACAGACAGAGTGAGGCCGTGTCATGTACATTATCAAAGAGATACTGGCATTCATTTTCCCGTAACCCCCTGGCCGTAGAAAGGCCACCCTTGTTCTATATAAACCAAAACCCCAAGAAAAAGACAATAGTTATATAAAACACTAATATCCAAGTTCCAAGTAACCAATGCAAATGCCAATTCGAAACAATAACAAAACAAACACGCAACAAAACAGAATGGTATAATTGTGATTAAGCTTCGCTTGGATCGATCGCTCGTTCGCTCGTTCATGCTCATCACCAAATCCTCTAATCCTATTCGTCCCCTGTGTAAAACAAAAAGTGTCGAAGAAGAATGGTAGAAAGTATCTAAATATGTATAGTGAAGAAGGTAAAAAAGGCTTGCGAAGAAGGTAAAAGTCCCGACTAGAAGAACAAGAAGATGAAAAGATGTGCTACTTGCTCTATTTCGGCCAACGAAGTGTCATTGCCGCTCTACAAAAGAGCAGCAAAGACGGCGATGAACAGAGCACCAGCACCGACAGCGAGCTTAGAGCCGGAGTTGGTGCTGAGAGCTGGGCTGCTGGTAGGCGAGGCTGGGGAGCCAGGGTTTCCAGGGGTTCCAGGGGGGCTGGGGCCAACGGGAACAGGTGCGCTGGGAGGAGAAACAGTGCTGTTGTTTCCGGGAGTTGTGCCGTTGACGCCGACACCGGGAGCAGTGCCGTTGTTGATGGGGGTAGTGCTGTTGGCACAAGGAACGCCGGTAGGACCGCCGATGCCTCCTGCAGGGAGAGTGGTGGAGCTGCCATCAGGCTTGACGAGCTTGCCCTGGAAGCTGGCGCAGGCAACGCGCTTGCCGTCCTTGTCGTGGAAGACGATGGACTTGTCGCCGATGAAGGCCTTGTCTTCCTTGTTGGTGGAGAGGTAGGGCTCCGCGAAGGCTTCTTCATACTTGGTGGCATCGATAGTACCGTACTTGCCGCTCAGGTCACCGACTTCGCAGGTCTCCCTCTTGCTGGCATCGCACTTGGCGGGGGCCTTGTATGGGTTGAGGTGGCCACCGGTGGAGTTGCAGTCACGGCCGCTGACAGGCTTCTCGTGGATGTGGTAGGCGTAGGGGGCACCAGGGCCCTTGAGACCGTTGAGGCCCATGTTCAAGTCAGTTCCCTTGCCATCTTTGCCGGAGTGGACCTCGAAGAAGCCGTGGATGCCATTCTGGTCAAGCCAGTCGATATCAGCACGGTAGACGACACCTTGCGGGTTGCCATTGGTTACGGGGGCGGATCCATTGACAGGGGCGGGCGTAGAAGGCGAGCCAGTGTTACCGCCGTTGATTTTGACAAAGTTTCCGCAGGCCACGCGGGTGTTGTTTTTGGCATTGTGAATGACGAAGGACTTGTCACCGACGAAGGCCTTGTTGTTGGGGTCGAGGGACATGTACTCATCCGGGAAGCTGTTAATGGCATTAGTTGGGTGAATATTGGAATGTTATATATGTCGGTGCCTTACCCGTTCTCGTTCAAGTCGGTTTCGACGCTGATGGGTCGGAACCTTCCACTGAGATCACCAACCTCACACAGTTCTCCGTGGCCCTCCTTGCAGTTGGCAGTGCCAGCTCCGTAGGGGTCAAAGTGACCACCTGTAGTAGCGCAATCACGACCAACGAGGGGCTTTTGGTGGATGTGGTATGTGAATGGGCCTCCCTTGGACATGGCGACGCCGTGGAACTTGAAGTCTAGGTCCACGGTTTTGCCATCGGTGCTCGACTTCAAGTCCATGTAGCCCCAGACACCGGTCTGGTCAAGGAAGTCGAATTCGGTCCTGTAGTGGGCGCCAGCGGGGTTGTTCTCAGCCTTAGGAGTAGTGGCCGCCGAAGAGGTGGCCGCCACAGCGAGCACCGAAGCGAGTGTGGTGGTGCGCATGGTTCTGAAGAATTAAGTTTCAATTATCCGATTAGATATCCTGCAGGAAAACGACTATAGACTTTGGTCTATTGGTAATAGTCAGGAACTGGAGTGTGTAGTGGTAGAAAAGTTGCTATGGAACGAGTGTGGCGGGCGATGTTATTAGGTTGCTCTTTGAGGGTTTGCGGAAGCGAGTAAGTGAATGGATTGAGTGACGGTTGGATGTGAGGAAGAGCGAACAGAAGGGGAGATGAGTGACTGAATGACAAACGGGGCGTGGTTGAGGCAGGATATATAGGCTGGTCACACTGGGGGGCCGTTCGCTGTTCTGCGTGGGACAGGCAGACTGACGACAAGGAAGGCAGGACCCTGGTGCGTGCCCGCCATCTTTCCCATGCGCACGGGGTTTGCATGCCATCCCCCCAGATTCGTATAGAAAACATGGAAACAAACAAAGCGCAATTGCTGATTCAGGCTATAGTGTACCTCAGCCCGGGGCTGTGATTGGGCGGGTGTTGTAAACATGAGCGGGCAGTGTCCAGGGGAATTGTTCCAAATGAAGCCTGTGCGCTTCGGGCTTACAGGAAGGCTGCGGGAAATGGAGATGAGCAGTGAAAAGCTGCTTGCGAGATGCATGGCTTGGTCGCCTGTTTCGAAACCTCTTGATCCAACCAACCGGTGCTCGTCACGGTTGCCGAGATGCTGTTGGGCGTCTAATAACTGTGATGTTTTGCTGGGCATGGCGCGTCGGTCGGAGCGGCACCTCGACATGTCACTCACTTCAACGTCGAGTGCTGCGCCGTAGAGTTTCGCGATGGCCTGGTTCAACATGTCCAACGTTGCTATAGCTGGCTGCGGCGCCTACTCGCCGTTTGCAGTCGCCCAGCCCTGCATTTGGCCCGTAGCGAGCCTGGAGTGTGGACAGCTGAAAGTCACACCCACGGATCCGCTGTGGACCCTCGTTACCTAACACCTTTCGTGCCCATTATCCACCGGAGACAAAGAAGAAGAAAGGAAATGGGCGTTTCGCGTTGAGAGTGTCCGTGTTCCTCACCGTCACTGAGTGCGCGATGGATTGATGCTTAGCGTAGGGTGAGGTCTGGGCACTCTAGCCCTATCGCTCGAAATGGCTAGTCAGCACCGCCACGAGCGCTGTCATTGGCTAGCGTGCGCCAAATATATCCGACCCCAGCCATCTGTCTGCCATCAGAAAAAAAGTGACCCAAGTCCCAGCGCCTCGCTGAGTGAGGCTCATCGTTTTAGTCTCCGTCTAATTTTCACCTGTTGGATCAAACAGTTTAGTGTACGGTTCCTTCTACTAGACTTAACATAGATATTCCCACTTTTGTACTAGAATAGCTGTTACAGCGCATAACTGGGGCAAACAATGCAGCGTAAACTAGAGCGGGTAGCAATAGTAATGCCTACTCAACACCGAACTTTTCTCTTGTACAAAGTCTGTAGGTGTGAAGAAAAGCTGTGGATCAGTCGATGAGCTTTGACGCAGACCTGAGAGCTACGGAGGAAGCACATGACTCCCATCCTACATAACAACATTGCCATCCCGTCAACCAGCCCCAGGAATCGTCTGTCTCTAGACCGACTTAACTGAACATCAACAGAAGCCACCTGCTATTCACAAACAATGCTCGTTGCCCATTATCTCAACTCAGAAAACAGTGAAGTATATCAATAGACAGTCGAGTCAGAAGCAACTTGTCGGGCGAGAGACAATTATGGGTAGTCAGCAAAAACAGGGGGCGGGAGCGGCGCTCGCGTGGGCAGCTGAGGGACAGGTGGTAGGAGCCGCAGTAGTGAGGTGCTAGTCGGTGGCCTTGTAGACACCACCTGAGTCTCGTAAGCAAGACATAGGCTTTGAAGATGACCTAGCCTGAAACTAGATATTGCTGCTCGGAACTCTATAGACGAGAGAAATCAATTTGAAGGGTGGTGATATCAGAACAAGGCTCATTGCGCTGCGTTCGAGCAGTGTACTTCAAGATCTGGGAAGTGTCCTGCAGGACATGCTTCCTACGTCCTGCGGTTGTACCTGAAATTTCCGTGTCAATCGAGAGGTGCCACTCTTCTGGAATACGTGCCGCATGCCGCTTACAGGTGCATAGGAACCTTTTACCAATGTAGCATTGAGTTGACAGTTTAAGATGAATCATGCGCATATACACGTCGATCTTCCAGCTATTCATACAGTACAAAAGCATTAAACAATTGATCTACGGAAGGTGTTTTACTATATCGCTCTCACGCACCTTCTCTTGAACTGAAGTCATAGTCGCGCATCTGTTCTGAAGGTACGCAACCCCTTGATCATCATTTTTTCTGCGTTTTCGAACTGTGAATGACATCAATTCCGGGTATATTGACCCCGAGTTGCCGCATGGACACACGGAGAAAGGGTAGGATTCACAAGCCAAGAAAGTAGAGTAGTAAACAATCAGGATTCCCGAACCAGTCTGTTTGGCTGCCTGAGGTCCTTCTTATGTAGCAGAATGAGAAACAAAGCTGAAAGTAGAAACACACCTCATAAACTGCAGAGACATGACCTTGGTCTAGGATTACATGTCTTGATGTCATAAAAATTCCTTTAGTCGCTAGCTACTTTTACTCAGCGAATGCCGACCGTCGCGTTTTCCATGCAGCGAGCCCGTCGGTTTATATCTAAGCTAGTTTCTTGGCCCCCACAAAGGCCAAACACCCTTATGTGATAGGCAGAATGTGTGTCTGTCTCTGGGAGGCCCGAAACGGAGTCCGCATTCACAGAGGTCATCGTTGAGGTTTTCCCCTCGGCATCGGATGATGTGCCATGCTCCGCACTTTATATGACCATCACAAGAATTCTGGACGCGTGAATGTCATTTGTGCACCGCCAAGTCACCAACCCTCGCGTTTAAAAGTCGCGCGAGAGGGAATCTTGTATAGCTTAGAGCGATTGTGTACTAGGCTCGTTTGTAGTGTCGTTACAGCAGGGGTTTCGCCATGCGCGGTTGGTAAGCGTAGGTGTGCATTCACCCATTGTTCGTCCATCGATTTATAATTACCCACCTCTTTTGATTATCGAGAATTGGTAAACACGGTATAGGAGTGTGACCTCTGCCTACCAACTTGTATAAGTTGAAGACTTTGCGGCAGACAGAAGAGAAGCATATAATTTGAATCATACGCATTAAAAACGGGAACTCCTTCCAAATCTCCCCAATCATCACTTCACACGACCACATATTCAATATTCCACCATGTCCAGTATATTAGGATTCGAGAAGAATATATCGTACTTCACGGTAAGTCGGTCCATGAAGTAGCAGTATGCAAAATTCAGACTGACCAGCCCTGCAAGATCCCTATTGCACTCATCCTTCCTCTCTGCGCCCGATTCTACTCAGGACTATCTGGACCAGGCGCCAAACTCTTTGATCGACTAAACCCAAGAGGCTTCACCGAGACACTCCAAAAAGCGGATTTAAATGAAGATGTATGTTATAACCCATTCACAGACCACCTATGCACCTCCGAAACCTTCAAGTACCGTCGATACTCTTCACTAACACTACAATTTAAGCTCCGTGGCCGTCTCCTCCGTGCCGAAGCATGCTCAGCAAACGGCTTTGAGGTCCTGCCCGTCTTTGCGGCGGCCGTAACGGCGGGGAATTCTTCAGGCGTGTCTGCGCAAACGATGAATTTGCTTACCATTGGTTGGGTGCTGAGTCGGGTGGTTTATTCCTATGTGTATATCTTCTACCAAGGGAGGGAGAAACTGGAGTTTGGACAGGCACCATTGAGGTTTAAGGTGTGGTCTATTGGCGCGGGGATCTGCATGACTATGTTTGTTATGGCTGGTCTAAAAGTATGATTGGACCGTTCTTCTAGCGTTGGGGAGTAAGCCGGTGCGAGAAAGGTTGGAGAAGGCTGTGTCATCATGATGTTTTTTCTTCTTTTGCCAATTAACAGTGAGGCTTGCGGTTTCGATTTGGACATGTGAGAATAAGCGGAGTATAGTATAGCACGGTTTGAGAAGGCATGCTTCGCTCCGTACGTAACCATCCGGTGACCACGAAATTACTATGTCGCTTCATTCTGTCTCTAAATTGTTCACCATGAGAAGGAATCCACTTCGAGCTCAAGCGAGCATTTACCAGCCAGTTCCTTACCAATTCGACTCACGATAGCCCTTGTATCATCGCACATACCTGCGGGGCCGCACACTACGACGGTAATCTTCGCCCATCCGGCTTCAGTTTCCTCTTGCAGCAGCAATCCGAGGTTGAGTCTCTGTCCGACACGTATATCTTTCTCGTCTATCTCGCTCAATGCAGGCTCCAGCGATTCCGCTAAGCAGCTGTCTTCGGCTTTGACACTGTAAAACAACTTGGCATTCTCACGGCAACTTGCAAAAGGTAACAGTCCGGTGATACCCATACCTCCTCCAATGAGCAAGAGACGATCACTTTGAAACGTGGCTCTATTAGAATTATTTCGGTATGGTCCTTCCAGTAGCGCGAGGAACTTATCATGAGGCTTCAATAGCCCAGTTGTGCCAGTTGACTTGCGAACAAACAGTGTCAGCCCGGACTTGGTGAGCGAATTCTTGCTGGGGATATCAGAAGTATCCAGGAAACCCATCTCTGTCGCGTGGTTCTCGTTTTCGATCTGTCCTGCATTCATGCGCTTGTTGAGCATTGAAGTGGATATCATAGAGAAAGGATGGTTTTCCCACGGTCGGAATGGATTCAGGGTAGGAAAGTAGACGTATACGGGCTTTCCTGGGGTGGTCCAACGAATGCCTTCGATATCAACGCGGACAATCCCGGCGCGAGTCTCAGTCACTTTCAAATATCGAATGCCCGTCTTAAGTGTACGCGCAACACGCGCAAGTCAATCGAAGAACCAGACATATCCAAGTTTCGTAGCCAAAGGTGTTTTCGTAGCGCTCATTTCTTCTTAGCCACACCAGTAATGAGATACTCTCGGTTAAAGACGAATCACCACCGGTCATAGGAGCAAAACATCGATCATTCTAATCATTCTATTGGGCTTCCTGGTGACTGGTCGCCATGGAATCTGAAGCTCGCTCATCAGTCTGCAGTGTGCACTGTGAAAAGTGGAGGAATCGGTGTCAAAAAAGTTCAGATTCATCATCGAACCTCGCATCGTCAAAAGCGGAAACACTAACGTATATGCCAGGATTGAGAACAGAATAGGTCTAGAATATCTGTATAATACTTTTGTCTATAAAATACTCTTTTTAGTACCCAACGAAAAAAGCGAAAGATGCAAGTAGGTGTACGCCAGTGAGCGCGAGTGTCATAACCAGACGGGATGTAGTTGTTGTACAAGTGAGCAAGGCCGAAATAATGCCAATTATTAGACCAAAGCTTACCCACCAAGAGTAGTAAATGACTAATAACGCAGTGCCACTGACCCCAGAGTCATAGATGACTGTGGGCATACTGGCTGCAAACGCTGTAAGAAGCAGCAGCGCTAGGATCCACCATTTCTCCTGGCGAGACCAACCCATGATGTTGGACGGAGGTTCGAAGAGCAGCGGTGACTGATATGAAATGCTACCACCATGAGCATCCTGGACGGATCTCGAAAGGCTCTTTTCTGGGGTCTGCGAATAGAGGTCGATGTTGAGTTCTTTCTCCATGGCTACGGCCAAGCTAATAACAGCCTTATACTCGCCGTCTATTGCGGTTCGACCGCGTCTATGCATAATTTGTTGCGCATGCATGTGCAGAGCAAGGGTCCCAATGCTCCAAAAGAAGATCAAAATCATGACGACGTAGAGTTGGAGGAAAGAAAACCCCCAACCATAATCCTGCGTAATATCAGTATCAATATACAATTTGATTGAACGAGACAGTGGGTAGTGACCTACCTGGGTGGGCTGACATATCCCATGTTTTTCTGTTTCGATGTATCGCTTGTCAAATGTATCGCCAGTGTCTGCATGCACCCAAAACAGTGCCTGATCTTGCCATCGTCCCTCTTTCTTGTATTCATAGTTCACGCTGATATTGAGGATTGGGGGGTCGAGCATTATATCCCTATACTTGGACGATTGATTCCTTCCTGGCACTTTGATCGCAGTGGCGATGTCTAATTTTTGTGTCAGTCATACTAGTTTCACAGATACATGCATTCGTAGATAGACTTACATTCCGAGCAGTCTAAGAGATCACTCTCATGGTTCCTCCAGCTGTCTAGCGTGTCGCCGTAACCATAAGGAGTTCCATTCGCATCAACGAGTGGACCGACTGGGTGTCTCAGTTTGACTTCATCGCATAATAGGCATAGACTCACGTGTCTCGTCTTGAAATAGAACTTTGAAATCATTCGTTTTGTTGATTCGTTCTCCATCGTGTATGGTATAAATCCATAGGCCAAATTGAGTAAAAGGAATGGTAGCATTCTGCCTGTTCCGGATAGATGGCGTGACACCGGTGGTATAACCTGTCATCGCACTGGCGAGGGTAGGAAATAGGAGTGTGAATATTATGCTTAGAACCATAAAGCATGAAGCAAGTCGAGAATATAAACCTTTCCGAGTAATAAAATCCCGCATAAGTCGAATTGTCGAGTAGAAGTTGGGAGAGCCATCCAGGAAAATCACGCGGAATGTACTGAAGGTGATCTGTTCTGCATTAATGGGTGTCTGGAAATAGACTTCTTCTCTCATCGTGTTTCCGAGACTCAGCTAACGAAAAAAACACGTACAGGTGTTACTTCCATACTCGTGGTCACATAAGAAGCAAATGCGCGCCAACTGAAAAAAGCCAAAACTGCTTGCCCGCAACGACCGACGAACTCGTACGTGTTAGTCCATATGGCAACCGGGAAATATCAATCCGCAGAATCACTTACTACATCCCAAACGAGATCAATAACCTTAGCCTCCGTATATGTTAATGCTCCAGAAACCTGTAGCGTGATCTGGAAGAATCCACCGGCGCTCCAACCGGTGTACAGAGACGGAAACAATCTGAATTCTCCATTGACACAAGCATTTTCATACCAATAGCTCCCGTCCGTAGAAAACATAACAAGACTGGCCAGAGTGCTGGAGAGACCGACTATCCTAAATTCCGGGATATAGAATTAGTTGAGTGTGCGGATAATAGTTCGCTGACTCTTAAACGTCTCAAACCGCCACTCGATGTCAAGCCTCTTGCGACTTTGGATAAGGGTGTACTTACCAGCACAAAACAAGAAGCTTGCTTATCCCGCGTTTCCATTGTGCCAAAGAAAAGCGGCCCGTGCGACGTTCTGCATCCTCAAAATTATTTGCTTTGTGTGTCATGATGGACTACAAGAATGTAGTGAATGTAGAAACATTGACAAGTGGGAGACAGGATCAAGATAAAAGTCTCAGAGACATGGTACATGGGCACTATAGCGAGCATAGCGCTTTGCACGAGAACTGTGCCGCATGCAAAGGTCCTCCATATCACGTAATACACCTAGGGGTTCAACGACAACGGCGTATTAGATCCGCGGAACAATGTCTGCGTAGCAGAGTCTCTCTTTTTTTGTAGCAGGCATTTCAGAAGTATTGAAAGTGTAGTAGTGTTATGGTAGCTGCCATTCATCATGCATCGACGTAAATCACTTCTCGGGATAGGTTATAAAACTTCCGGGGCTCATGTAATTGACTGCCCGCAGCTAGAATTGACGGCCAATCAAGGCTGTAGCGCTGGGGCGGAAAGCCGTGCGTAGTGGAGAAACTCAGCTGAAATGTTTTAGCGATTCTAAATGTATCAACCACAAGGTATAAGCCACAGGTGACCAGCATTATACAAGCTGAACCACATCCTGTATGGACTGTCAGTGAAAGTAGAAGTGGGTACATCTCACGAGCTGGAGGGTGAGCCCACATTTAAACAACATCTACTGGTGCAGCTCGGATGAGTTGAAGTCGCCGCATAGAACATTTTGACTGCTGGTTCGAGTTGTAGTTATTGCTTATCATCGAGAAGCATGAACATAATGTGCTAGGCCCAAAACTGATAGCGCCAGGGCACTCAAGCTCAAGCGATAGGCATTTGGAATATAGGTAGTGCTGACCACCCCTAGAGGTAAGCTGAACGTATTGAAAGAGTGAATGCGAAAGTTCAAACTAAAAGGCCAGCATTCATCTGAAAAAATCATGCAGAAAAAGGATCCAAGTGCTAGGAAATCTCAATGTTTCTTAGTGGGTACACAGATTGCTGACAGCCGGGCCTCACCCGAAGAAGCTTAGTAGCCATAAGACGGCAGTTCCCTTGTGGCATGCCCTGTCAACCCCTAAACTTGCCGTCTTTCGAGAACCAAGCAAGAAACTTGTCTGAGACTGCAGTTATCAATTGATCGAAGTTGTAGGGTAACAGCTGCTAAATCAGTGAACGAGTCATGCTTGCTCCCTGATGGAAAGAGGTTTTCTACGATGCGGAAGTCCCAGTACCTTTCATATTGGAATGAACCATGGATTTTAACTCAGATTCTAGGACCTAGGTTCTAAGGTTCGATGTTCTTCGCAATTCGCATCGCCCTTGTTTTTTATCGCATTTCAGTGCGACACGAACATTTTGAATGAAAATAAACAGGAAGAAATCTGCTTTTCAATCAAGCATCCGGAAACGTACTCATACAACGATCAATCAATCCACTCACAACCGGAGAGAAAAAGCAGACACCAATTGCTGGCAATGCAGCACTCGAAGCCTGTTTCCACGGTGACATACTATCAACTGTTTGGGCTCGTATACCATCTTCTCGTATCTGCTATTCATCAATCAGTTGAGTCGGTAGATTGCTTTCATCCGAAGCACAGCTTCAATCCCCAAGATCCCTGGTTCTAACAAGGATTTTATGGGGTCGCGAGAAGTTGTCGTGTTATCGCATGACCGCGAGTGGGACTAGTGTGCCTTGGCAAACGGTCAACTATCGTCACTTCTATGACTTCATTTTTCTTCCAACAATGAAATTCGCCCGCCCCATCGCGTTCCATCCTCCTAATCATCTAGCCAAATGAGATGGTTCTTGTCTGCTCATCGTATTGGAGAAGTCGAAGTTAATCTGAGGAATCAATTGGCTTGACTTGAACTGTTATTGCGCTACGACTTACCGTCGCCTAACGCGTCAACGCGCTTATGAATCAGAACAATTCCATCAGAATTCTTCAATGAATCGGTCCCACGGGGTCCCCACACCCAGTGACCTTCACTGCCGGGTCGAGCATCTGGGGTGGATAGCTTCGGTGGAATTAAAGAAATAATTGACCCACAACAAGCCCGGAATCTTGGCTCCAACGTCTGCAGACCCGTACACGCGAACAATGATGATACAGTGGGCGTCGCCATTATTTCTAGGAAGATATCATCTTTATCCCCTAGATCTCCATTGCAGTTCGCTTGAACCACGATGCTGGGCCTGTCTACCGTGTGCCTCCCGACCGGAAACGAAAATGCCATGGCCCAAGAGAACATGGTCGCCAACAAGCGTAGCGGCACGGTCTACGTGCCGTATGTAGATAGCAGACCATTGGACTGACTTGGCATTCGAAATCCAATCACTTTCAGTGGAACCATGTCTTTAGAAGACCGCCCAAAGATGTATAAAAGCAGGAGTCTATTCATCATGTCAGAGATTAGCTGTCACCCGCAATCGTCACCAACTTGCCAAAATGCTCGCCTCGATCCGGACCCTGCTGCTTGTTGGCCTCTCTACTGGCTCAGCAGCACAAGTCAATACCTCGGACAATGCCTACTTTGAGCATCTAGAGCGATACTGGACCTATGGACGTTCTCCGCCAGTATACCCCTCGCGTCAGTTTCCACATAACACCATTTATTCACTTGTTACCATTTGAAGTCTAACATTGACCAGCAAACACAACTGGCTCCGGTGACTGGACTACAGCCGTATCGCAAGCGCGTGCACTCGTTGCCCAGATGACTCTGGCTGAAAAAGAAAATGTGACTATGGGCTTCACTAATGCCGAGTTCAATGGATGCAATGGAAAGAGCGGTGGTGTGCCACGATTAGGATTCCCTGGCTACTGTTTGAATAACGCTGAGAACGGTGTGGGTGGTGCTGAGGGTGTCAACGCTTACCCCGCGGCAGTTCATATGGGAGCTTCCTGGAACCGGGAACTCGCATATACCAGAGGAATGCACATGGGCCGTGAGTTCAGACGGAAGGGCGTCAACGTGGCTTTGGGACCTAGTTTGGGACCGCTTGGACGTAGTCCTAAAGGTGGGAGGTAATGTGGACCTCATTGCAAGATCATGAGATGAGCAAGCTGTGCTGACGACGTTGTAGAAATTGGGAGGGTCCTAGCAACGACCCGTATCTGACCGGAGTCCTTATTCACGATACGACAGCCGGCATGCAAAAATATGTCATGACGAATCTCAAACACATAGTCGGGAACGAACAAGAGACCAGTCGTAAATATCCGCGTTTTCTCCCAGCACCAAACCGCAATACCTCGATCTCGTCCAACATCGACGACAAGACGATGCACGAGCTTTACCTGTGGCCGTTCATGGATGCGTTGCGTGCTGGTGCTGCGAGCGTGATGTGCAGCTACCAGCGCGTGAACAACAGCGATGCATGCCAGAACAGTAAGGTGCTCAACGGTCTCCTCAAGACTGAACTTGGCTTCAACGGGTTCGTGGTTAGCGACTGGTTCATGCAGCAGAGTGGCGTAGCGAGCGCACTCGCTGGATTGGACATGGTGATGCCTGTCGCTCCTTACTGGACTGACGGCAACTTGACAAACATGGTTCAAAATGGATCTGTGCCTATGACAAGGCTCGACGACATGGTCACCCGCATTCTAGCGCCGTGGTATAAAATCGAGAGTCAAGCCGACGACGGTGGCCAGCCAGGTTATGGTATACCTGCGAGTTTGACGCAACCTCATCGATTTGTCGACGCACGATCACCCGATTCGAAGCCCGTCATCCTTCAAAGCGCAATGGAGGGTCACGTGTTGGTCAAAAATGTCAATAATGCGTTACCTTTGAAGAAGCCTAAGTTCATCTCGATATTTGGCTACGATGCTGCTGGCCAACTGATGAACACCGCGGAAGTGGCAGGCTTCAACCTGTGGAAGATGGGTATGAGGAATACGCTTCAATTCCTCAATGGAACGACTTTTACGGCCGCCGCTCTAGACCTCATGTTCGGATCGAGTATGGAGCAGACCACTACCGGGCCTGAGATTGCGCTCAACGGAACACTCTTCACTGGTGGCGGCTCTGGAGCAGTGGTCGGTGCCATTGATGCGCCACTTGATGCTTTCAAGCGACGAGCGTATGACGACGACACCTATCTTGCTTGGGACATCCAGACCCCCAACCCAGTCGTAAATGCTGCTTCGGAGGCGTGTCTAGTCTTCATCAACGCGCAGGGCTCTGAGTCATGGGATCGACGAAATCTTTCAGATGCCTATTCAGATGGCATTGTGAAGAGTGTAGCGTCTCAGTGCAACAACACCATGGTGGTCATTCACAGTGTTGGTGTAAGAATTGTGGACGAATGGTTCGATCATCCCAACATTACAGCTGTCGTGCTGGGTCATCTCCCCGGACAGGATTCCGGTCGTGCGCTTGTCGAGCTCATGTATGGTCGCCAGTCTTTTTCGGGTCGCCTTCCGTACACTGTCGCCAAAAAGGAATCCGATTACGGTCATTTGCTAGACCCAGTCTTGCCTAGCGACGATACAGCTTTCTACCCGCAGTCTAACTTCACAGAAGGCGTGTACATTGATTATAAGCATTTCGAAAAGGAAGGCATTGAGCCGCGTTTTGCCTTTGGTTTCGGATTGACGTACACCGATTTCGAGTACTCTGGCCTACAAATCCTCACGGACTCCACTGCCACCGCTTCGCGCTTACCTCCCAATCCTGATGTCATTCTTCAGGGCGGCGTTGTATCGTTGTGGGAAGAGGTTGCGCGCGTACGAGTCACAGTCGAGAATGTTGGCGATGTAGCGGCAAAAGAGGTAGCCCAACTGTACTTGGGCATTCCTGGCGGACCAGCGAAGGTTCTCCGTGGGTTTGAGAAGCAGCTCTTGGTACCTGGCGAGCGTGGTGTTTTCGAGTTCCCCCTCACACGCCGCGACTTGAGCGCCTGGAACGTTGTTGAACAGCAGTGGGAGTTGCAGCGCGGGACATACCAGGTGTCTGTTGGAAAGAGCGTTGTGGACATACAATTGTCAGACAGTTTCGAGATCACGGACGCGTGATGAGAAATGTCAGAATGCCATTTTCGGCTATATAAGCTAATTCAAACCCTTATTTCTCGCTTACCCAAATGCTGCGTTGCATTCACCTTTGCATTATAAGATTGTTGATATTAATCAAATATATTATACGCCCCTCACACCCGCTCATCAATACGCGGCACGAATAGCATTCAATCATGCCCCAAGGCTAGCCACAGTGGTTGCATAGCCTCTTTTGAGACCGGTCAACGCCACCCATGATTTACGGCGTAGCTGTAGCTGGAAGCCGAAATCCGTTAAAGCACACCAAACTATTGTCAGATATGACATGAGCACCGGCGATGCAGCAAGATAACGTTGGAGGGATCCTTGTTCAGTCGTTTCTCTTTTGTTGCCAGGTTAGATTTATTTTCTAGTTTTAGGTGTATGTTTGATCTTAGTATGTGTCTTATACATTATTCTATGTCTATAGTCTATGATGCAGTAGCTAGGAAAATATCAGATATTGGAGCTAACGAACCCCTACTCTATATTACCACAGTTCACACACCGGCTCTCTCTTACACTGAAAAGCGTCATTGAATCCTTTGGAGTTCTGAGTCGGCCCTAATATGCGCGCAAAGCCAGGAGCATGACTTTCCTCAAGCAGTAGACTGAGCATACTCTTCCTCGAGGACTTGGTGCACCAGGTCTGAGCGGAGTTGATATAGAAGAGCTGTTCTTTCGTGAAGTTCTCGAGCCCTGGAAGCGACCGTGAAGGTCCCTTCTTCTCGTGCGCAAGCCAGGCCTCCCAAGCCATCCCAAGACCCCCAGCATCTGCGATGTTCTCGGAAACGGTCATCGTTCCATTCACGAAATACGGTTTTCCATCTTGGTTGAGTATGGCCTCGCCGAAATTGTCAACGGCTTTCATCTCCGAATACTGCTTGACGAAACATTCTGATCGGTTTTCGAAGTTGGCGATGCTTTGTTCGTCCCACCAGGATTTGTATCGTCGATTCTGGTCCCATAATCGACCGTCCGTATCCAATGCATGAGTAAGTTCATGTCCTAAGATCATACCCAGCGAGCTGTACGTAATGTAGCTAGGTGCGCCCTCGTAATAGATCGGGGCTTGAGTGATCCCGGCTGGTATCACTGCATAGCTCCATACATTCGCGTAGAATGCATTCGCTATCCATGCATATACTGTACTGCCGGGCCAGATTTTTTGGTCAACGGGATGATTCAGAAGATCCCATACCCGGTTATGATCCCATTCTCGGATGCTAATCACGTTCTTGTAAAGAGACTCGGTGATCTGTATTGGGCTGTAGTAGGCCATAAGATCTGTAGCGTTTCTTGCATTCGGAGTCTTTAGAACCACATTAGTTGGGCTACAGGACATCGAGGTATTTTGCGATACTTACGTGCTCGGGGTATCCGATTTTGGTCACTATATTAGAGATCTTCTCATGAACGAGTGCCTTGGTCTCCTTTGTAATCCACTCTATCCCTTCGAGTCGTTGCAAATAAGCACTTCGCAGGTCCTCAGTCATGGTGGTGACAAAATCGCGCCTCTCATCGCTGTAGGTCTGATCGAGAAAGAATTTGCTGGCTATCCATGGCAGACTCGTCTCAACGTACTTGAAGCAGAATCTATCCCATCTCTCCTGTTCTGTGATCTATGACAAAAGATTAATACTTGGTATTGGGTATTAGGTTGAAGAATACTGACATCATAGCCATAAACATACGTAGCATGGCTCAAGTAAGTCATGACCATTATAGTGGCTTGTATGGCGGACTTTGGTGTAGTGGAAATCAACGAAGAGATGTTGGCAAAATGTTCGGGCTGTTGGAAAAGCATCCTATCTAGCTTATAGCCAGAGGGCGCTAGATCCTGAATCACTTTGTCCAACACTAGATATGGCGCACTGATGGCTGCTTCTTGCACCGTGGTGGTGAATTGATCGAGCTAATTACAGTAAGTCTCGTAAAGGTAACACGAAGGTGTTCGGAGTACTCACTTCATCGTCCATAAGGGCTGTCTGCTCGGCTATGGTTATGGTGGTCGCGAATTTCTTTAGGAATAGAGTAGGGAAATAGCAATAGTGTTGTTATTGATCTACGTACGAGCAGCACCTAAATAAATAGAGGTGCTGATGACTAAGCTACTGATATGTGAATGGGGTGATCCGTGCGAGGTGAATGCCCATGTGAATATCCAGGGTCACATGACTAGGGCTCCCTCTATCCAACAGCCCCCCGAGTCCTAAGTCGTGGCACTGGGGAACGACCTCATTCACTCGTCGGCGTGACGCACAAAAGCCCCTTCATCTTTTGAAAGATTGGTATAGTGAGTGGTTTGGTGAAGATGTCCGCTGGATTCTCTTTTCCACTAATCCATTTGACAGCGATCTCGCCGTCGTTAATCTGGTCACAAAGCTAATGGTGCCGAATGTCGATGTGTTTAGATCTAGGGCCAATGGCGTCGTTGTTGAGAAGCTTGATCGTTGCTTCATTGTCAATGTAGAAAGGAACAGTGGGTATCTCAAGGTGTCCTTCTAGTATCCTAATCTTGAGGTCTGTAAGGAAACGTTTGGCCCACAGCGCCTCCTTGCCTGCCTCTGCTGCTGCCATATACTCTGCTTCACATGTAGACAGAGCTGTTACTTTTTGTCGTTAAGAGCACCATGAGACTGGGTTGTGTCCTAGGGTGAGAACAAATCCTGTTGTCGACTGTCTCGTATCAGGACAGTTGTTGTAGTCAGCATCTGTGTACATTCGGAGTTGCATGTCGTTGTTGTGATTTAAATAAGTCAACCCGTCGTCCAGCGTACCGCGCAGGTACGCCATAATCTGGTGCACACTGTCAAGATTGTCTTGGGACGGCCTGGCATTGAATCGCCCGTGGAGTGCGACGGCGTAGGCTAGTTCGGGACGCGTCCATACAGGGAGCTAGTTTAGGGATCTAAACTTCTCTTAATATGCCTTGATAAATTGTGGAGGTAGATTAGGCCTATTTGTTTTTGCTTTAGGATGTTGTCTAGCCTCGCATAGTAGAGTAGCGATTAGTCTATGTGTCTTCTCGAACCGTTGCAAAATATCCCTCACGTACTTGCCCTGATTAAGGGTAATGTCCCTGTTGCTATGCCTGTAAATATTAATTCCTAGATACAGTCTAGCGGCGTTAGTGAGTTTGAAGATCTTGCGCAGTTCCGCTTTGAACTAATAGATAATGTCCTTGTTAGGAGCAAAGATGCTGACGTCGTTGACGTGGACAGCTAGAAATAGTTGTTTCCTGTAATGGGTGAACACGCATGGATTGAAGTTACTAACACAGAAACCTATGTCTATAAGTTGCTCCCTTAACATAAGATACTATAGTTGTAGGGATTGCTTCAGCCCGTATAGAGCTTTGCGTAGGCGCTAGACATGTTCTGGGGGGAGTCGAAATGGGAATGGCGGTTGGACATAGGTTGGTTCCTTTATGTTGGCGTTGAGGAAAGCTACGAAGAAATCTACTACCTCCTAGTCCCATTTAAGGGTAACGGCAAGGACAAACAGGATCTGGATTGAGGCAGTCTTAACTGTTGGTGACTACGAGTCATCGAAGTCTATGCCCTGGCGTTGGAGAAAGCTGCGAGCGACAACCCGAGCTTTGAGTTTGGTAACGATGTTGGCGTTGTCGCTTTTGATTTTGTACACAAGTTTAGACGTGATAACTCGCGCACCTTTAGGCAAAAGAACAACTTCGAAAACCTCCTTTTTTTTTAAGGCATTGAATTCAGTCCACGTGGACGCCTCCTATTCCTTAGCTTTTGGGAGAGTCATGGCATGGGCATAGGACGTAGGGGTAATTAGGTCTTTTGCGTATCGAGGTACTGTGACTACAACGAAAGTTGTCTTTTAAACGTCATTGTGTGCTAGCAGTTCTTCTAGGTTAGAGTTAAGGGTATTATTAACTGTACTCGTGAACTCTTCTCCTGATGCCATCATGGCTGACTGTTGTATTGCTAGGTCCTAGTCTATATTGTCTGGAAAGTCGTCGGTCAGCTCTAGGGTTGTAGAGTTCGGGATGTAGGGATCTGTAGTCTTGACTGGAGAGTGTTGAGGGGTTTCTGGGATGGTAGTGTCTGCGTCTGGACTCTCTTGTTGTTGATTGTGGGAGGAAGTTTGGTTTAAAGGTGAGGCACTAGTCTCTATCTTGTCGTTTCCTTCGCCAACGTTACGTGTTCTGCTTAATTTATCTGTTCTTGAGTCTCTAAGGAGCCACCACATCGCAGGAGCCTTTTTGTTGTGTGTGAGGTCGTCAGTCCGTATTATTTTATATAGTGGCTCCGGACCTCCGAACTATTCTATCCCCTTGTAGTCCTTCGTCTATGCTGTCTGCAACTTGCTGACGGCGTGCTGTGGGTTTTCGGCTACGGTGCACTATGTGTACTTTCTACTAGCGCTGTGTTAACGTTGTTGACAAAATCTGCAGGGTACTTTGTCGCATTCTGTTCTAGTTATATGACACGGGTAGCATTTGTTGAGCGTAAGGAAAGGTTTCGTGGGCGAAGAGTAACTATGGCAGGTTGTGCCTCCGTCATTTATGTACTGACACAGGACTCTATAGAGAACACATCGTGCGCAGGGCGACCCTTTGGGGCACGTGATATTTTGTGATCTACATTGTATACATGGTCCTTAGGTCTTCTTATCGTCTGTAACTGATGTTACTAGGGTTGCTAACAAGCAGTTAGTTCTAAACGCGGTGCAGACATTACAGGGAAAGCGTCTATTACACAAGGTAGATTTGTTCCCTTGTCTACTCTTTCCCTAATATTGCCTTAGTTGGCATGTGCCGCAGCGTTTATAGGTAGGAAGAAGTGCTTTAAGTATAGTCCTAACGTCCTTGCATGTTAGATGTGTCTCTCGCTCTATACATAGTTGACATGGGCGGCTTTTGTTGCAAATTCTATTGCCTAAACTGCAATTGTTGCATTAATTTTAGAACATTGTTATCTGTGCTAGAGTTAGTAGAAGGCATTTTAAGCGCTTGTTTCGACAATGCTTGCAATTCTCGTTATCTACTGGCTTGCATTTGAGATTGCTCTTCCTGCATTGATAGCACTGTTCGTCTACGGGTAATTTTCTATAGACAGGTTCTGGTTGGGTCCTGCCTTGGTCCTAATTTAGTGTCTTGAGAGCTTTACTGAGTGTCATGGATATAGACGATGACCTTAAGGATATTGATATAATATCTTGCTTATTAGGTGCGTTGGGATTAACATGTTCCTGAGCTTGTTCTGGCTCATCCTGTTCAGTCGTCTCTTTGTATAGTCCAATCTTGGCGTACATAAGGTTGTGATTGCGAAAGATGGTGTAGTCTTTGTCTATTGGTTGAGTGCACTTCACCTTATTGAAATAACATTAAGTACAGGTTTCTTTAAGGTTACATTAGTACCCTTTGTTTTTGCAATGACGACAGCAGTTTGCGATAATCTCTTTGTCGTTATATGTGGGTCCTTCGCATTTGTACTTCCCCTTAGAGTTGTAGCAACGTTTGCACGAGTCTCCTTGCTTTATAGGTACACACTCTACGCGGTCTAGCTTGCAGCATTGACAAGGACTGTCCTCGCTAGGTCTGTCCTAGTTGTTAACCCAGGCTTGGTTGGCTTCATCTAGTTTTAGGATCTGTGGAGAGTGTTAATCAGGCGGCGGTGGAGTGTTTGGAGCAGTGATTGCATCATTATTGGTATCCTTAATACCGCGTGCTTTGAGTGCCTGAAGAGGGGATGGTTTAATACATCCTGGGGGTAGCCCCCTATATCTTGGAGAAGTATCGATTGCAGCTTTTGACAGTCCTCTATCCTTTTGGTACGCGTATTGATGTAGCTGATTGAATAGAGGATGACGCTTGATCTTAAGATTGTTGGTTTCGGGAGACTGAGTCTTTCTCTTCCTCTTGTTCGCCATAAAGCTGACATCTCTGTCTAGTGATTTATTAGCGTCGATGTCCGCGGCAGTAAGTAGGTTCTGTGATAGCTGGGGATTGTCTTGGAGTTGATTGATGTGTTTATTAGGTATGATGTCCTGGAAACTAGATGTGGAGTCCATCCGCGCGGTGCTGAATCGCCCTGCTATCTGCTTGTCTAGATTCTACATCTAGAAGATGGTTTCACTCTTAGAGTATAGGAAATATCCAAACGTGGCTTGCGGGGCATGAAGCTTGGGTCCTTGGATCTTTGGAGGGACCGTGGCGTAGACATGTGCGCTGTACGCTATGTCCTTTGAGTAGTCTGGAGCAACGCTATAGATAATTTCGTAGGGTGTCTTCTTAACATCCTTAAGTGCCTTGTGTGGGGATCGATTCTTTATCTATACAGCCTGTTTCATGGCGAACGGCCAAAGCGCTTGTGGGAGGGTACTGTTTTGGATGGCTTCTTCAGCCCTATTGATAATGCGCTGGACCTGTGGTTGTGGGGTGTTGTTATCCTGAATCTGTGCTGCTGTCCGCTCGCGCACAGTGCGATGGATGCGTTTAACTTGTCTATTCTGCTAGTGGGCGTATGGCGCGGATGGCTCTAGCGTTGAACTATTGTCCTTAGCCCATTTCGTGAAATGGATAGTTATATACGCATTGTCTACCCTAATTGTCCGGCACTTGACATTGTGTTAGACTTAAAAGCGAAGTATCATGTCAATAATAAGCTAGTCTGCGTTCTTAGGACTGTCTATTAGTTAGACTGCTGTATAACGAGAGGCAGAGTCAGATTAGATTATGGCATATTGTTCGCCCTGTATTCCCTTTATGCTGTACGGTCCCCAGGCATCAAATGACATGAGTGATCCGAGGTTAGTGTGAGGGCGACTAGCTGGATCACAGGGGATGTGTTGAAGCGCACGAGTGGTGTTGCATATAGGGCACGCTTTATGGAGACAGGCAACAATTTGTTTGTTAGTGAGCGGGATACCGTTGCCTTGTTTCAGGGCTTTTCGCATGTTATCTAAACTTATGTGTCCTAAGCGGCGATGCCAGTCCCACACTAGGTTAGTAAAGTCCGCAACTGCCATTGTAACGGGAGCTGGGGATGACATGTTCTTGTCAGGTGGGACCTCTACCTTCTAGAAGTACAGCTTGCCTTGTTTTGGGGCGAAAGCGATCTCCTTGCCGTGTTGAAACAGACGGTGTCCCTTGTTGTTGTAGGACGCTGTAACACCTGGCATGTTGACTAGATTACTTGGCGCGAGTAGGTTACAGGCTGCTACAGGCATATACAGAGCGCAAGTGAGATGCAGGATAACGGGACGGCTATTAGAGGATCGCAGTTGTATTAATATTGTTCTATGACCCTCTGCCGTCATCGTGGCTTAATTTGCAAGATTGATATTGTGCTTCTTATTGTAGAAGACCGTAAACTAGGATTTACTAGTTACAATATGGCTGGATGTTCCAGTGTCTAACATCCAATCGTCCTTGCTAAAAGCTGAGCCAGTCGCATTAGCAACATGACCCAACATTACTTTGCTGCCTATTATCGTGACTCTAATATTGCTAACCTCACTATTAGTAGCCTCCTATTTCCCTATGCATCCCCTACACTCAGTCTGAGTCGGGTTAGCATATACAGGGTTAAATGGGGAATAGGGCATACCTAGGTGCAGTTGAGAGTAATTAAGGACAAGAGGGGTGAAGTTATGATCGTCGGCAGACGAGGGTTTATCAAAATTTAGAAACTTAGAGTGAGCCATGTGGGCAGTGGTAGTCGGGGTCTTGTTGTCTTCCCAGACGTACTTGTCTTAGACAATGCCCTTGCTAGAGTCTTAGATGCGACAGCAACACTCTGAGGCGACGTGAGAGTTTTTAATGCCACAGTATTCGCAAATCTTGTTAACGGGCTTGTCAGACGACGAGACAGATGCAGGGCCAACCTGACCCTGATCAGTCTTAGAGCGACAATCGCAAGAGATGTGACCAAGCTTGTTGCAGTTATAGCAGCGGCGTTGTTTGTTCTTGTTTTGTCTAGTATTCTGGGGCTAGGTAGGGTTGGACTTGCCCGTGGGCCACTCATGCTGATAATTCTTCTCGTAGGCGATCAGGTCTTTAGCGAAGTTTTCGAATCCATCCTGGTCATAGTGGGCCACCTTGTTGATAGTGTAGATGTCCTTGACAAAACTGTAGCGATTGTCAAGACCGTTGACGATTTTAGCGGCAAGAAAACCCCATGAATAATAAGGTGCGACGTCACGGGCGTCGCCATATGCCTCACGCATGGCCGTCAGATAAGTTGCAACATTCTTGAATTTAGAGCTGTTGAGGGTAGACAGGATCTGATCGCACTTAGTGACTGTCTCGGCAGGGCTAGGCTTGTAGTAGGCCAGGATAGATGTCCACATCTTAGTAGGATTGTTGACGTTCTCGGGCTTAGAGATTTGAGTGCGCCAGATGTTGTTGTCCACGATTTGTTGTAGCACATCCATGGCGAGGGCCTGCTGCTTGCAAAGGCGCTGATAGCGAGCGTTGTAGTCTTTCCAAGTTTGCCTGGCGATTTCCATGCGGGTTGAACGGTCGAGAACAGAGAGATCCCATCCAAGACGTTTGGACAAAGGATCAGGAGGTCCCTCCTTAGGTTCACCATCGGCCGCACGCTTACTGCCTGCGGTAGAAGGAGGCGGGGTCGGATTCTGGGTGGCGACAGGAGCTGCGGGGGCTTCGGGCGGCGTCCAGATGGCCTCACGGATGTAGTCGTTAAGCTTGGGCTCATTGGGAATGTAAGTACGCCCGTCCCAGATGGTGGCTATGCCGTACTGCATGCCGATGGGCACAGCGACCTTGCGATGCCAGCGAATGTAGTTGTCCTTGTCCTTAAGGACGAACTTGGGGTTGACGTTTAGATGAGTAGGATCTGCCATACCAATGTGCGCGGAAACCGTTGTCGACGAGGATAGAGATAGATGGTGAAATACACCTGACAGCGTCCGTCAGGACGACCTGCGGCGGGCAGGTGCGCGATAAGTAGGGTCACACAGACAGTGGATAGGAATAGGTTGAATTGGAGGATTCAGATCGAGCGCAGAGAGCGCAGAGGGCTCATAACCTTTAGGAATAGAGTAGGGAAATAGCAATAGTGTTGTTATTGATCTACGTACGAGCAGCACCTAAATAAATAGAGGTGCTGATGACTAAGCTACTGATATGTGAATGGGGTGATCCGTGCGAGGTGAATGCCCATGTGAATATCCAGGGTCACATGACTAGGGCTCCCTCTATCCAACAATTTCAAGACTTCTCGCGCTAAAGACGCCACTCGTGTCTCCCATCCCTTGGGCGAGATAATTGTCAGAATGTTCCCCAAGGTTTCTTCTGTGAGCTCGGCGATTTGTCCCATTGTCATCATTGAAGGCACTGCACGACTCGATGATATATTTGAACTGAAGGTAAACGTGGGAATCATGATATCCTAATCGCTTTAGTATCATTCTCGCTGCACGCTATTGATGAACTTACGGGGTTCTGGTTGTCGGGCAATACCCCAAACTCACCAAGAAATGGGACACCTTTCTTGGTGAGGAAAGCGATAGCTTTTGCGAGACTGTCTTGATCTTTGTCCTCTATAGTCTTGTTTGTTGTGCACTCCTCATCGGTTACGGGAAATAGCTTTGTAAGTTCCGACACCATATTCCCAATATCGACCATAGATGAGTTGTCCCGCGTCTTCTGATTCATGCATGATTGATAATTCGTGACCATCATATCGAAACTGGGCTTATCGTCGGAAGACTGTGTATCCGTTAATTAGAATAGTAATGTATGGGGACTATGCATTTGCTTACATCGCTGTTATTTGGATACGGACGATCAAGGATACTTTTGAGAAGATATTTGTTCTCGTATCCTAGGTATTCCAACACACGCATATCGTCATCTGTGGGATACTGGGTATGATATCCTCCACAGACGTCTAAGTGGAAGACGCGTTAGTAACCTGTGTATATCGCAACGGGTTGCTTGGAATGGTACATACATTGGTCGAAGCTGTTGCAAGGATCAATAGATTTGTGATCCGGATGTAAGTTACTGAGTATTCTTGATGCTGCTTCGATGCATTCTGGAGTGAGACACACGTCTTTCCCGGTAGTGAGCTTTTCCAGGAATGGGAAGACGCATAGTCCAGGCGTAGCCAGAATAAGTTGAAAGACGGTTGATTTGAACTTCATGTTCAAAATTTGGTAAAAGCGATGAAATGATATGTACAATGATTGTGTAGAAACCAAAAATCTACGGAGAAGGTCACATATATACTTAACATCATGTATTGGGGAGGCGTTGCTGAGATCTTACTATTAGCGCATCCCTCGGTTGCGGCGCGGCCCTCTCTGAAAAGCCTCTCGGCTTAGATGGATTTTTTTTTAGCCCGGTTCTTTACTCCCCCAAACAACGAAGGACCTATTAATCCCAAAGCCTTGCTTGAGCCCCAATTTTGCCCATATTGTAACCTCGATGTAAGCAGTAGGCCAGTTTAGGTGGATTGTCGAACAGTGCGCCCATGCCGTCCTTCTTTTCTCGCAATTCGAAGACTGCTAGTTGCATGGGTATAGAGCTGACAAGGCGCATTTGTTCAGCTTGCAGGTAGTTGTGGCGCAACAACCACGCGACAGTCCTCCCTCCGGGCCGGACTATGCACGTGCTTCTCCGTCAATTTATACCGAATTGTTTTCCTGAACGAGAACATGAACGTGTTTTTTTGTGTTGGATCTATTGATCAAATGCTCACATATGCTTGGATAAACAAGAGGAGATGGGACTATTTGATACTTCATTTAAGGGTCATCATCTATATCGCTGTGTTCTCGTCGGATCTTACTCGTTCAGCTCATGGCACATAGCACACAAGTGAATGGATCTCTGAGGGATCATAAAACGATTACTTCCAATACATTTGTTGCAATTCGACTCGCTTCTCCTAGTGGTTTACATGGCCGGAGATCGTGCATCAGTTGTGTTTCAGTAAGAATAACCCGGAGGGTTAGTACTTACTGGAGGAAGAGCGTCACCATCTAGTTGCAAGTGCTCCAATGAATGTCCTTCAAAACGAGAAACAAGACTGGGCATCCTTTTTGGCGTGTATGGTGCTAGACCATGGAATATGTAACTCAGCCTTTTTAAGTCCTTCGTTCCACTCAAGACATCGCCCAAATCGGATACACTAAGCTTAGAGAAGATGAAGATAATCTCTTCGACGTTCGATGTTTTCGATCTTGAGTACTTTTGTAAAGCGTTTCCATCACGCTCATTTTGTCGGTGATGCCCTGTCAAAATAGAAGCGCGAGCACATCTGGATCTAGCGAAATTTTAGGTATAGAGGAAACCAAGATGCTCACATTCAACTGAGTGACTACACCCCGGTGTATCCTTTTATTTGATAGTCCCAACAGGTAATGTATCCAGAGTATTGATTTATACAGCATTCTATGTGCTCAAACTCGCGTATAAAGCTCTAAAATTGCTCGCGGCATCCGAGAAAGCGTTTTGTAGTTGCGATCCCTTGCATAGAGAATTTCAAGCTCTTCATTACTAACGGGCTGGAGCCCGGGACGAGGCCCGCAGTCTCCACGTCTGTCACTATTCAATAAATTTCAAAGGCAATGAGAGAGGGAATGCGACTGATGTGATTCACGGCGCGAGTGTGCTGTGTTGGTTGTCTTCATTGGTCTAGGATTTGGGCTTGAGTTGGGATAATCATTCGAGATTGATAGAAATTTGTGAGACGATAATTGCATGTATTTCAAACGCCAGTCAACATGAGAAGAATATACACTACATTATTAATTGAATATATAGATGAGGTATATGGGATGAAAACCAAGATGATCGTGTGACGTTGAAAATACCCTACAGTTATGATCGCGCACTCCAGTGTGGAGAACGCAACCGCTTCAAACCCCCGTATTTCTCCATAGCTGACCATGTTCGCGAAGAAAACCAACATCTGCCCGGACAAGGCCCACCGGTGAATCATCACTGTCAGCCTCCGCTTTCGGCCGTTCGTCGTACGCTGTAGCCATTGAGTCAATGCTACCACGAAACTCACCAACAAATGCGTCGTGGCAATTATCGCAGAGCCGTAACCCGCATCCTATCAACTGAATATTATCGTCTCGAGCTGACTCTTGCGGGGCGCAGCAATGGTGCTTTGCTAGATTCATGCAGAAAGAGCACCATCGTCGCTCTTGATAACGAAATTGATCTTTAGGTCCGTCCTGAGTATCGACCAGGTTCATAAGAGCCCCATTGAAATCCTGATGTAAGGACACGTTGTCTTCGATTCTCATGATGTTATGATCAGGACAGGCGATGATTTGCAATCGGGAGTAGCAGCAGTCCACACACATGACAGTGTTTTCACAACCCTGTTGTCGATGACCATTGCCCAGTTCCGTGTAACCTTTGCCAGTCGGCCATACCAGCACATAGGCCATCGTCTCGAAATTCCCAAGAAAACTGAAACTTGGATTATTGCAGAAATCACAATCGGAAGCTGCTTTTTCGAATAATGCATCGTTATCATCATCGATATGGAACTGGATTGGATGTGCGAAAGAGGTCTTTATCTTGATCACTGGTCCTCGGTTTCCGTACTGATCAGTCATGATAACGTCCGGCGTGGGTTCACGCACAGATTCCGTGTGGGTATCAGAACCATCATATTCCTCGAGATCGGAAGCGCTGAAGAATTTTCGATCTGGCTTGTACACACGGCTGCTAGTGGCAAAGAGCGGTCCAAACGCATCTTTGCGGGTTTTCTTCGCCTTCTGGGTGGGAGCAGGGTCGTCGTAGAAGACACATTCTGTTTCCTCATTTTTGCATGACTCGCATGGAGGCTTGTCAGTCTTTGCTTCCAGTGAACATTTTTTCTTTTGCGACCTGCAGGCGTTGCACTCCACGTGCTTCCTTCCCGGTCCGCAGAGCTGACTATGTAGATCTATGCGCTCATGATGTGAGTTGTGAATCTTTTCACACTGGTGACGACCATTAATGCAGGAATCGCATGGCCATTCACCATCGATGACGGTGGAGCAAGGCTGGTTCAGCCTTCGGCATTCTTTGCAACCGCGGGCTTCAGGGTGTCCGGTCAAGTCGTCGTATTCCCCACGAGGGTCCTTAATAGGTACTTGGTAGTACTCATCTTCCGACCAACTATGAATCTGTCAGTTACTGTGTTAAAAACCTCGGTGAAATATCTTACTTCTCTGGCCAATTTGAATAGTCGTTCGTGACGCGTCGTCCTTTGTTGAACTTTTTCCCAAGTGGCAACTTCACGATAACCTTAGGGCGCTTTTTCAATTCATTAGCCGTCGTCAAACGTTCTTTCTCCTTCTTTTTTGCTTCTTTTCCTTCTTTCGGCTTTTTCGACCGCTTTGCATTTTTCCGTAGGTCTCGACGTTCTTGCTCTGGATCAAAATCCGTATCATCGTTCGCGTCCACACATGGCCCGTTAACGATTCGATTTATATTGGTCCGCAATCCGTATGCTTTTATAGGGTCATCTTTTGGGATTTTTTCGAGTTCGTCAGGTTCAGTGCTCATACGCGGAAAGTCGGGCGAAGGTTCTCGAGAGATCATCAGCATATCAATGTGGTGATATGTCTGTGTTTCATCGTGTAACGGACTGTCCATAAGTGGCTGGCTATTGCGTGCATTCTGATGAGGCGCATCCGTGCCATCTGAGCGACTCAACTGAGCACCACCAAACAGAGATTGCAGTGGAACCAAGTCGACGTCCATAGCTTCGCCTGCTTCATCATCATTTTTTGGCGGCGTGTCCATGTTTTCAAGCTGAGGGAGGACTAAGTTGTGGAAACCAACTTGCGGCTCTTGGGAGTGGACGTCCATATCTTAGCGCGTTCAAAAGCGGTAGCTGCAGGTGCCAGCGTTGTGTTACCAGAAGTCTCGGCAAGCGGGAGTGATGATTCGGCGAAAGTGGAAGACGACCAGGTGGCTAGACACGTACAATGAATTGACTGATGAAATGTTGTGATGCTGGCGGAAAGAGACGTGCTGTCGCGACGGGCCAAATGCGTCAAGCATGCCTCTTACTATCCTATCTGTTCATCGAGCGTGTTCAGATGCTGGGCGGATGGTTTTGGGTGAGACTATGATGAATGAATAAAATTGTCTCATCGGTGGATGCAGAATGTATCAAAATCGTCAGAGATGAAAGCGCAAAGGTGAGAGGGGTCGGTTCTGGTGGACGATGTCTGGCTAGGGGTACCCAGTCAAGCGTGCTAAGTAATAGCATTGGTGTTGCTTGACAGCAGCATGTCCATGGACCCATCGCATCGTTGACTTTTAGATGCGCTCAACCCAAGGAAAGTGGATGTAGTTTTTCCTAAAACAGAGTGCGTAAATCAAAACCCATTTTTTCGCCATATTGGAGCACCTGACACCGACCGGAATATTGTATCATAGTATTTTAGTGTGTTTGCATCATCTCCCTGTCCTCAAACACCAGGCGGATTATGCTTTGTTGTCTCTCAGAATACTGCATCTAAACATAATGTTTTGCGTTTTGCTGACTTCACCAACGGCTCTCATCACGTCTTCGTCACTAAGTGTTGGCGCCAGAAATTGGAGTAGGAAAATTGAGGTCAGACATTGGTTCAACCACCCGTGAATGTCGTAAACATTGACACCCGCACTGATTCACACAGCAATTGACATATTTGTTTTGTCTGAGATGATTAACACTTTAGATTATGGAACTGCGCAATGTCTTGTACCTAGAATACATGATAGAGCTAGCCCACCCCGTTCGAGTGGGAGATGCACATAACATTCTACCATGTCCGAGCCTACGCATCCAACTTCTTCTTCGCACAGGGGTGTGCGATACCCATATATCCTCCACCGTTTTTACCTCTGCGGCCATCCAGATGAATTTGTTGAAGTCAACGAAGTCCAAGGCTCTGACCCTCACCGTATCCAGCATTGCCATATCCCACCTATCGAACTATCCCGGTCAGGCCTTGGAACAGTGTTCGAAAAAACCTTGCAGCGCTGTCAAAAATGCGCACACGAATTAAAAATACAGAGACGCCTAGAGAACCCCAACGAACCGTTTCGTTCAGAAGATGCGTACCAGCAGCTAGTCTTAAACGACGGAGGCGTTCGTGACGGATTCTTGCATGCATTAAGAAGATTCAGATATGAGGGAGATAGGGGCAAGCGGATCAAATCGAAAAGCCCGGAAAATGAGACTGAGTTGGATACGAGAATCAGAGAACTGAACGAAAGAATGTTGCAGGAGCCACGAGTTAATCCACATCCGCCTATTCCTTATGAAATACGCGTTGGAAACAGAAGATACAAGGGATCTGAGGGTAAGACGTATATTGTCGAGGAAAGGGTTGCTCCTGCCCTCTTGCCGCCAGTATCCCCAAGGACATCGGAAGGCTCACGAAGATCTCTGACTGAGGACCTCTTCGATGAGGCTGGTCACAGACACGGGATTCCCGGTATCTCCAGAAGTCTAACTCAGCGTACAATCGACAGAGCAGAGATAGACCGAAATCGTCACTCGGACCCAATGCGTGCCAGAAATATGGATCATTCTGACAGCTATCATGATGGAAGACGAACAGACGGTGCCCTCTCGCGATTGTCATCAGAGCTCGCTGATCGGCGAAGTCCTCTACAGCGACCTTGGGGACCTGCCAGAGAATCAGGAGGGACCACTGCCAGCGATCCTCAGATGAGCACCCTGGGGCTCAATAGAATTCAGTCGCTGAGTAGTGCACACCATGGGCGCGTTAGTACTCCGCCACCTCCCCTTCACCAACGAGAGATACTGAGGAACCCATCCCAACAATCACCAATGAGCCCGTCGACGCCGCAGTCGCGAGGTTCATGGCCACATAGTCAGGAGCCACCTAATACAGTGCAGAATCTATATGGATCCTCTGCCGGATCTAGCGGCACAAATCGCAGCATGGGTGGAAGTCGTAGGGTCAACGAAGATGCATTAAGGCGATTAGAGGGAGGCGCAGGAAATAATAGGTTGTAATTGTTAGCCTGATTCTGAACTGGTAAATTGGAGCGCTGTATGGGAATATAGATTCATTCTATTCCTGGAAGCCGGGCACATGTGTGAATGGTGGAAGTGATGATATTCAATGGATATATAGGTGGGCGTAATTACAGCGTGAAACATGTAAAAAACAAATCATAGTCATATACAGACATCAAACCAAAAAAAGATATCGAGGACAACAAGGTAGAAAAGATCTGCCGAAGAGCGCATGTTATAACACTCTACGCATAGAACTGTCTTCCGCGAGAATTGCCTCTGTTGTTTGAGCCGTTTGAGCCAGCAACGGCAGCAGCAGCAACCAACACATCGATACCAGATGCTTGAGTGGTAACACTAACACTTGAGCTACCACCTTGCCAATAATCCGAAATTAGTCCTTCCGAATTCCTAGCTTTGTTCCAAGCAGAATCTGCGTTCTTCTTCAAAAAGTCGGTGTACTTTTGCTGTTGCGCATTGCTGTTGAAAGAAGCGAGGCCGCGGACATAAGCGCCTTTGAACATAGCGCCTTCAATGGTAAGTGAGCCGGTGACGGGTTCTGTCAGAATGCCATTGTCAACGAGTTTAGTTGTGGAAGCCGAAGCGAGGGTGTTCGCGTTCTAAAATGTACGAATTAGTATTGCGAGTAGAACAGGCGTGCGTGCCCCATGCACAAGACCCACAAAACGAAAAAAAGACTTACGTTGATGTAACCACCATCTCCTTTTGCCTTTGCGAGTTCGGAAAGACCGGCGAGAATAACGCCTTGGTTGTACGACCACGTGGTTTGTCCGTCGATTTTGCAGGTCGCGAGGACAAGTCCGTCGTTGATCAGATTATCCCCGTTGATGATACCGGTTTGTGAAAACCAATCCCAGGTTCTTTGCGCCCAGTTGACGTAGTTCTGTTTTTCGGATTGGGAGACACGGTTTGCGAGATGTGCAGCAACGGAAATGAAAAGTTCGTTGGCGATGGCGTTGACATTGACCTTGTCTTTGTTCCACCAAATTCCCCCATTGCATGGAGTTGTATAACCTCCAGTCATATCTTCGAAGATATCTTTTGCCGAGTTGAGATACTTGGTATCTCTGGTGAGATCGTAGCTGGCAATCCAAGCGAGTGCCCACCATCCTTCATCGTCGTAGTAATGGTTTTTCCAATTCGTGGCGCCTAGCTGATTCGCAGCTTTGGAATAAGTGTTGGCGATGATGTTCAAGGCCGTGGGCCGGAATGATCCATCGATTTGACCAAAGCGTGCAATTGTCTCTACGATGTTTCCGGATTCCCACCAAAGATCTGAGTTTGGACCTTTCCACAATCCAGTCGCTGTGTTATAGTATTTGTCCTGTAGAAGCTTGATCGCTGCATTGGCGTTGTCTGAGTACACAGATGCAGTGACATAGCCAAGGTAGGAAAGGGGAAATAGAAGAGAAGCCGTGTACTTCATGATAACTTGGTGAAACTGTGGTGTTGTAGCTGAGGCTTCGACAATTACACAATATCAATAGAGATGTAGGCAAAGATAGACTGGAATACTCTGTAGCACTTGAAGTGTAGAATACAAGGGAAAATTGACTGCCTTTTAAACTGGTGTCGCCCTATCTTGAGGGACATAGAAAATATCACGATCATGCCTTAGTCTAACGAACTGAATTAGTGGTATGCATGAGGTGAACGGAACGTTCTGCCCCATTCAGGGGATGCCGAGCTTGAGAACGGCGACGATATTGGCCATCCGATTGGAGTGGGACTGGGTAAGCTCTTGGGTTTCATCAAGCTGCAGTCCGCGAGGCTACCCTCTAAACAATGGGGGCTGATATCTAACCAGGGGTACTTTTAGCTGTTTGGTCAAGTGACTGTTAAGTATGTGGAAATGAATGAGATGATTGACAGGCTCGACTAATGCATGTGTCTTCATGACTGAGTGTTTTACTATTGTCATTGGGGAATCGGCCAAGTTTCCTATCTGCTATGCTTGCTCCATTGTTTGGATAAACTTCTAAATATCGCGCGAAGTTACAATCCCGTATAGATCCTCATGCTTTTCAGTATGAACAAGTTCGAAACTCAATAACGATCGCTAGCTGCCTTTGAAGGGCTGTTCACCTGCGCATTGGGCTGTGCATACTAACATGGTAGCGCTTATCCCCCACGCCCTTATTTCGAGCCGATACAGCACTCCACCGACGTCAGAAATTCTTGGAGTTTACTATCATCAGCCTTCATGTAGTTGATTGATCCTTGGATATGGAAAATGCCAGCTCTGCTCATGATATGAACCTATTCTGAACCCGATCTCGAAATTCCTCGAAGACGAACACGAAGTCCAGAAACCACAGGAACACACTAAATTGATCAGAATTCCGAGAAGCTAGTGCACGCCAAAGGGACTGAACGTGTGGCGCACGCGAGCGTTCCCTCACTAGAGTGGCCTGAACTCTACCATCGACATTGCAAAAGCGGTTGACACCGGGCCGTGGGGTTATTCAAAGACCTACTGGTATCATCAATCGAGGCATGAGCTACTGCCCCCCCTTGCATACATCATGCGGTATAGCTGGCTATGTTTCACGGTCGAGTGCTCTTCCCGACGTACCGATGTTTTCCTCTGTCTCAAGCTGTGTGCAAGCCAAGACAAGAGGCGTTTAGCCACTGGCGGGTGCTTGTAACGAGCTACGGGAGATGAACAGTAGCTTACAGATGTCGAGCGATCGTACCATCATGTCAAGAGATCTCAGAACTCGTCAAAAGTTGGATGAATGTTCTTTGATACAATGACGTACTGTGTCAAGAACATGTGGAATTGCATAGCAGTCTTTCCTTGTCATGATCTGAGTGTTCGTAGGCTCATAACTCTGATTGTGTCTACAGAAATCGATTGACAGTCATTTGGATCATGCTTGCACGGTATAAAGTGGATATGAGACTCAAACAGCATTACATCATCCCCCGTTTCCTTGTATAATGAATGACATACAGGTACAAGACACAATTCATGATGACTCGGCTACGGGGCAATAGCTATTCTCTCGACTATTCACTGCAGCCTGAGAGACATGTCTCGCTCCCACCAACACGTTTGCGGGGAGAGCCGGCAGTAAGGGGAGCCGTAGGGACCCAGGCACGAGCTCTTCCGTGTGTAAAACCTTTCGACAATTCGTGAAGACGGAGGGGGAAACGGACACATGATACAAATCGTGCGCATGTTGCCAATGCCATAGAGTGACGTGAACATGAACACCCTGTGGTTCTACAAGAGCATCGCCGATGAGATGGTACCTGGTTGAAACAGACTTGGTGATCTGCAAGCTTGCGCCAACACAGGCTGGGTCAAGCCATGACGGCGTGGGAGGGTGTTTGCTCAAGCCCCGAGCCGCGTACCCTCACAACGATTCGATTTTGCAACTTGAGCCAGGTTCTCCATCCACTCATATGCTACCATTCCAACTTGCCAGGCGTAAGAGATTATTTGTGGGATGTGTGTGGGCGAGTGTTCGCCTCTCACGTGATGGATATGACATAGCTTCAGGGTTTTGACGTCAGCGGGGTTATGGTGGGGCAAGGGGCGAGGGGACAGGATCACAGGCAAACCAAGAATACCATCAGAACACATCTCCGACTCTGCAGCCCTCCAAGTGATACTCACCAATAAGCTCCCATGGCTTCTGATCTCCGATGGCGCTTACCCGCTTTGCTGTAGCCGAGCAATATAGCATGCTGCGCGTGTTGCGCCCCCTTCGTCCACCACAGGCCTAGCCTTCTTTACACAGCCTGTCACCATCCTGCTTGCCTTGTGAATACGCAAATGACGCACCGATGCCGTACGTCTTTAATGTTGAGACAGAGGGGAACAAACGTGACTGCGGTTGGAAACATGTCGTATATAAAGTGCTCCAGAGATCGCTCAAAAAATCTTTCTTCATCCACACTCCTGCAAATCCACACTTCAATCAACTCAACCCAACCCAAACAATCCATCAACATGTCAGACCTCGGGTAGGAACTCCGACTTCAAACATCCAAGGGACATGAAAGCTAACACTGTGTTAGCCGCAAAGGACTCGGAGACCAGGTGAAGGAGAAGGCCACCCCAGACTCCCAGAAGTCCACTCTCGACAAGGCCACCGAGTCTCTCACCGGTGCCGGTGACCGCGCTGCCAGTGCCGTCCAGCCCAGTACGTTCCTTTAGCATATCCATCGTAGACCCTAGGCTGACTCTTTTCCCAGACTCCGACAAGTCGGCCACCCAGAAGCTTGGTGACTCTACCCGCTCCGGCACCGACAATGCTTCCAACCAGGGCCAGGGCATCCTCCAGGGCGCACAGGACACTTTGTCCAACGCCGGCCAGTCCATCTCCGACACTCTTGGTGGAAAGAAATAGAGGATTCACCCTCTGATCCATCCTACTTCGGCTTCAATTTGGTTTCGACTTGATAATGACAGGCCTGGAATCAACGGCTTCTCAATACCTATATATACCCTATAGCCTTTGCTATGATGAATGAATAAGAAATTATAATTTCCAACATCATGTTCCACTGTGCCTGGTGATCTGAATGTGTGGTTGTGAAATCGGGTCCTCGTTATGTTGCGGCTTGAAACGGAAAGGTTTTGATCGTCACACGGTAACGTAGTGTCGAGGTCTCACGTCATGCCACCGATGCCAGATTGGAATGCGAAACAATAGTTTTGGGTATCAAATGTTGTCATGTTCAGTAGCCTTCATCCTCCACCTCCTCGATTTCCACATTCCGCAATTTCTTCTCTGCCACTTCAGCTTCCTTGCCTACCATCTCCCCTTTCACCTCAGCAGCTATCATCTCATGCTCTGCCTCTTGTACTGCCGCTTCAGCCGCCTGGCTAGCCGCGACATCTATGTCGTGCGCGGATAGTAAAGCATCGAGTTCTGGATCTTCGCCGGGTGGCACTTCTTTCTTCCCCTCGTTCATGTACCCTTCCTCCTTCAGCTTGTCGAATTCATCAGGCTCCAACAGTCGTCCTTCTCCTTTCGCCAGCTTCATCTTGTGTGCAACGGACGTGGGCATGAATCTTGTGGCCTCTTTCATCAGATTGCGTACTTCAGGCGCGGCTTCGTACACGATTTGGACCTTTTTCGGTTCCGGGGCTGCATCCTCTGTTGAATCGGCTTTTCCGCGTTGGTTTGGAATAGGTGGAGGGGTATCTCGAGGCATTGGTATATCCCTCACATCCGCATCTGTGTCACTGCTCTCATCTCCATCTTGCTTAGTTCGTCCATCCCTCGTCCGTTTTCCTAATATGCCGCCTCTTCCGCCTCGTGCACCCCCTCTTCCTCCCCTTGTGCCTCTATCACCGTCACGGTCGTCTCTCGGGGGTTTGAATTGTGGCGCCTTGTCGCCGAGTGCTTCTCGTGCCTTGCCGACAGCGGCCAAATCCCTCTCAAGTTCTTGTAGACGCTGTTTCTCGTGGGCTCGTAGACTTCCGCTCTGCTCAGCCTCTTTCAGCGCATCGATATCGCGTTGTATGCGGGCGGGGTTGCGGCGTGCGAGCTTCTCAGTGCGCTGGGCTTGCACTTGAGCTTTTTGTTTTTTGAGAGTTTTGGCTTTATCTGCCTTCTTGGCCGCCTGGACTGGATTGAAGTTCTTTTCTTTGGCCATATTTTGGAGTTTGGGAGGGTGGATTGTGCTGTGCAATGCAATGCGCTGTATAGCAGCACCGTAGCAAAAGAAAAGGAAATAATGATGCGGATGTCGGTCATGCCAAGAGGGCATCACGCTAGAGCGATCTAGGAAATACCCACGTGACCACGCGTTACCTTGGGGATACCACTTTCGAACTTGACGATCCCAGGGTCTACCCCCATGTACAAACAAGACTTCAACCTCGGAGCCGGGAATCAAAGCCCTTTCTAACTCCAAGCAAACCGCATGGGTCAGAATGCTTGTACCACGCGCTCTCCGACTCAAGGGCGTCAAGGAACCCCCAAAGTCTAAACCGGCTATCGTGGAATCACCAAAAGATGCCGCAAAACGGAACGAGACCCTAGATGGGAATCAAGCTAAATCATTGGCTACGAAGGATAAAGAGGCTAATGGTCCTGGACAGGCATCCAGACATCAAGATCTCAAACCCGGTACTAAAGGCTCTCGATTTACAACGACACCTATCACACCTGAATATCTTGCCCAACTGTTAGCTGGCGTAGAACTCATATTCACGGACTATGCCCACCAGGATCCGGAGTCTGCAAAGTGGCTCCAAGAACGATATAGGAAAGTTGATGGTGAACTGAAATGTATGTTGTTATCTTGCATCGCATTTGGGGCGCATCACGCTCATTCGAACCAGTTATCCACCTCGCTGCCATTCTTGTGCACCAACATATAGCGGGTCTCAAACCCCAACCGACACAGATCCTCCTTCAGCGAGCGCTGCAGGAAGTTTCTACAGACTACCTGGAATTATCAAAAAATGGCTTCTACGTGCGCCGCAAGCCGTCTACATATCCATCCTCATGGGTTCCCGCAAATTCTTTCAGCGTGACAGATGACAATGGTCTCAGTTACTGGGATCAACGTACGATATATGTGGAACCTCATATCCGCCATCTTTGCAAAACTCCGGCAAAAGTCGCTCACTGGCTGAAGGAGCATGGAGAACTAAAACCAAAGTGGCTGCCGGTTCAAGCCGTCCACACGCTCTACAACAGTTGCGCCTTTGTGGTTATAAGCGGAAATGTTCTCCATGAGAAAATATGGAAGAAATGGAGAGATAGAGGCAAGCCAGAGGACTGGAAAATCATGACCAAAGTCGAACATACGAAGCGCACCGAGGAGTATCTGGAACTTCTCAAGGAGAATAACGCCTGGATCAAGCAACCGCGGCCCTCACCATCAGCTGTAGCCGCCGCCAAAGAAAGTTCGTCGCATGTTGGAGCAGCCGATGATCGCGCACTACCAGCAAGGAAGAAATTGAAATTGACAAACTATCCACTGGAATAGGATCATGGGTTCTGGCTCACTATCTCGAAGTTTTGTGTTGCACATAGGTGAGGGCTGTTAGGATGGCCGAAGATCGTTTAGCGCTCCCCAGATTGATCGACTCGAGTTGCGCTAGTAATCTTGAGGGTAATGGTCCAGAGGTACAGCACCAACCTGTGATCATTTTCTCACCATTGCACCCGTTCTGACTCTGTTTCAGGCTTTATAATAAGCAATGTCTTAATGAATTGGAAGTTCAGCCAATGCTGAAATGTCCAAGGACACTAGCCTCATAGGGTCTAGAAGAGTCGTGTCACAGAAAGGATGCGAATGCGAGCCGAGGGACGAGGGACGTGGGATCTGAAATGAGGGGAAGGACTAGATACCAATGAGCGACTCATGTTTGCTGCCTCGCCATTGAAGCCGAACATTCAGATTCAAAAGTAGCTCACCGTCTCTGCTAGATTAATTGAAGCCGAATTTGTTTGCTTGCATTACGTTTCACCATAATCTCTTGCTGTGCTCTGTAGCGCTCAATCAACCAGGAAGATGTTAACAATAGCGGAAAAGACTTCCGATGGAATCATATACCGCGCATCGAAAACGTACCCTGTCCCGGAAGTCGACCTTTTGACGCTATTGTTTGGTATGCATAGCTCTACATCGCGTTTCCACATTCCCTAACCGCATTCTCAGACTCGGAGCACTCTCTAGCTAAACCAGACACCAAGATTCATCTCTCAGCAGCCAATCCGTCACACTATGTTACTCCTTCCCGCGCAAGATCTCTTACAGAAGCCACTACATCCGCACTACGAAGATATTTCAACATCGGCGCAAATGGTGCAGGTCAGGATATCGTCTCCGTGATTTCCACAGGTCATTATCTCCTCCCCGTGCTTTTCTACGGCGTGGTTGGTGCCGAGGGCGTCTTCTCCGCTGCTTCCGCGGCTAGCACCGCCAGCGAACTGAGCAAGCAGATTCAAGGCGCTGAAAGTAAGATCCTGTGCTGCTCAGTAGCAGTCAAGGATGTTGCGATTAAAGCGGCCGAGGAGGCTGGGTGGGGTAAGAATGGGGGCGGGAGGGTTGTGTTGATGGGAGAAGAAGCGCAGTGGACTTTGCAGGTTGTGCAAGGAAATGGGGAGTTGGGACCGAATCTCATTGATCTGAATCAGAGACTGGCTTGGAAGAAAGTTACAGATCTTGAGACGTTGAAGAATAGTCTGATTGTGTTGATTTATAGTTCGGGGACTACGGGGTTGCCAAAAGGTGAGTTTCTTGCTGATCTAGATAGCGGTCCGACGCATGTTTCTGTCTCCTAGAGAACGCTGTTAACATTTGAGAACGACAAGGTGTCCAACTTTCCCATTACAATCTTGTCGCCGAAGCGACGATACCAGGTGGGATGATGCGAGACTGGCTAGGAAGCCCAGCAGGATCCGACTTCGAATACCGCACCATCGCCCACCTTCCCGTGGCCCACATCGCCGGTATCCAAGGCTACCTCATCAACCCCTTCTACGGCGGCGGCGAAGTCTACTGGATGCCGCGCTTCGATTTCGCACAGTTCCTCGCCTACAGTCAAAAGTACCGCGTAACCATCATGTTCAGCGTGCCACCCATCTATCTCCTCATCGCCAAAACTCCTCAGGTCACCGACCAGTTCAAGACGTTACGCATCGCTATCAGTGGCGCCGCACCACTCAGTAAAGAGCTCCAACATGCAGCGAGTGCGAAGCTGGGCGGGGAAGACTGCTTCATCAGCCAGACTTGGGGATTGTCGGAGACATGTGGGTCGACCACCGTTATGCCTCATGGGATGAAGGACGACACGGGGTCTGTGAGTCCGCTTATGCCGAATATGCTGGCGCGCATCATCGACGACGATGGGAAAGATGTTGAGATCGGACAGCCCGGTGAGGTCATTGTTAAAGGGCCTGTCGTGTGTAACGGGTATTACAAGAACAAAGCTGCGACGGCAGAGGCGTTCAACGGCGAGTGGTTCTCCACGGGTGATATCGCCGTGTTTCAAGACGGCCTGCTCTATATTGTCGATCGCAAGAAGGAGCTTATCAAGTATAAAGGACTTCAGGTCGCACCAGCCGAGCTAGAAGCCGTTCTAATCGACCATGATGACATTCTCGATGCGGCGGTTATAGGTGTAGATACCGAAGACGGGACGAACGAAGTGCCCCGGGCGTATGTGGTTGCCGACCAGAAGAAGATATCTGGCGAACAAATCATTGCGTACGTGAAGAAGAATGTTGCGAGTCACAAGCAATTGAGAGGAGGCGTTGTGTTCATGGATGCGATTCCGAAGAGTCCTTCTGGAAAGATCTTGAGAAAAGATTTGAGGGTACTGGCGAAGAGAGAGAAGGGCGCAAAGTTGTAGAATCGTATGTTAGCTACTATGGGTCGATAATGAAAATCAGCTTGTTGGTGATTCCACAAGAAGCGATATACATATTACATACTGGTGTTGAAGGAGATTATCGTCCCGAGACTATTTGTAGCTGGCCGGCACTTCTCCGCACCGCGGCAGGCAGGAAGTCGGTGAACCAGCAAGTTCATCCCGCAATCCATAGAAACAGTATCGGGAATATATCGATTGCCCCACCTATGCATACTGGCTCCTAAGTATTCTATGCTATGCAAACGAAAGAAATTTAAGTCATGAGAGAGTTGAAATAGGAATATTTGTATGCAAACCGCCGTCATAAAAACATAACCTCCGAATTTCCAGCGAATGGAACAACGCCTTGCTCTATATGAATCGTCATCAAGCACCCCAAACTCGCATAGCAGCCAGTGACGCTGTCGGATTACCCGCTTTCACATGATATTCTCACTCTGCATATGCCAACCGGGTCTTCACATGCCACACTTTCGTTTCATGCGCGCATTTCCTCGTTTGTTACGGCTTGTCATCTCGTTAGATCGTTGGACTCGCTTCTTTACAGCTTAGCAGCTGGGATTGGAGAACCGGCCTACGCGGAAGAAAAATAAGACAGATATCGTCAGCTTGTATTCACACGTGCGCGAGCTTATCGAATGGCAAATTGCAGATGATGTGAATGATTGTTTCTTTTTCATGTTTCGTAACATCGTGCTTACAAAATCAATTTGTGGGGAAATAAAACGCCGGCCGGCCTAGCCCAGCCCCAGCTTTGCCGTCATGATCAAGTAGGCTGAAAAGGTTGTTGGGCGTGAGATTGGTAATGATACAACATGGAAATTTTTGAGTGTGATGAATTCGCATACTGGGATGTTGCAGAGTGAAACAATGGGAAGATATGAGAGGAAAAATCAGAGCTTGGAAGCACCCCTGGGCGGACCTACATTCGTGATCTCGTTGTAAAGCAACCTGCATCGAAATCAATTAGCAATGAACCTTGACACGATTGACTTGGAGGATAAGGGAAGAACTTACGAAGTCAGGAACTCTGAATAATCTTCGCCAGTGACCTGGCCCTCAAAGTATTTGGCCGCAAGCGCGTACTTGTTACCCTTGGGTGCTTTCTTCGCCAAAGCTTCTGTTTGCTCGCGGAGAAGCTTCAATGCATAGTCCTTAGTGACCTTCTTGCCCTCGGCGGTGGAAACCTGGTGTCGGCTCCATTGCCACAACTGACTGCGCGACACCTCAGCCGTAGCTGCGTCTTCCATAAGGTAGTTGATAGGCACACATCCAACTCCACGGATCCATGCTTCCATGTACGACAATCCAATATCAAGGTTCTTGCGGATTCCAGCCTCAGTAACGGAGCCCGGTACATTCATGTTGAGCAAGTCGTTGGCTGTGATGTGCACATCCTCGCGACGAACATGCATCTGGTTCGGTGTGGGCATGTGCTTGTTGAATACTTCGATCGCAATGCTTGCGAGGGCTGGGTGGGCGACCCATGTGCCATCATGACCTGCGCGCGCTTCCCGCAATTTGTCGGCGCGCACTTTCTCCATGGCTGCGTCGTTGGCTGCTTGGTCGTTCTTGATGGGGATTTGAGCCGCCATTCCACCCATAGCATGCACACCACGCTTGTGGCAAGTCTTGATGAGGAGCTTAACGTAAGCGTCCATGAAAGGCACAGTCATGGTGACTGAATCACGGTCAGGAAGGATGAAGTTGGGATTCTGTCGGAAGCGCTTGATGGTGTTGAAGATGTAGTCCCATCGTCCACAGTTGAGACCTGCAGAGTGATCGCGAAGTTCATAGATGATCTGTATTGATAGAAGTTAGTCGCGACTAAACAGAGACGTCCAGAAACATTTAAGACTCACCTCATCCATCTCAAATGCTGCAGTAATAGTCTCAATCAGTACAGTCGCACGAATCGTTCCCCTCCGCATGCCGATATAGTCTTGTGCCACATTGAATACGTCGTTCCACAATCTTGCCTCAAGATGGCTCTCCATCTTAGGCAGATAAAAGTATGGACCAAAGCCTCGTTTCACAAGCTCTTGGGCATTGTTGAAGAAGTAGAGTCCAAAGTCAAACAGCGAGCCAGAGATGGGCTCTCCGTCTACCGTGAAGTGCTTCTCCTCGAGATGCCAGCCGCGGGCACGTGCAATCAAAGTAGGGAGCGTACGATCGGTCCTGAGCTTGTATTCTTTATCGCCTTGTTTGAAGTCGACCTGGCGGCGGATAGCGTCGTGGAGGTTCAACTGGCCGTTGATCATGTTGTCCCATGTTGGTGCGCTGGAGTCTAGTCGTTGTCAGTGCTGTCGCACGTCAGTGTGTATAGAGATGCCTTACCCTCAAAATCGGCCATATAAGTCCAAACGTCCGAGTTCAATGCGTTCACAACCATCTTTCTATCAGTCGGGCCTGTAATCTCAACTCGCCTATCCACAAGTCCTGGCGCGGGTGGTGCACCCTTCCAGGTATCATCTTCACGGATGTGCCGCGTCTCAGGCAGAAAGTCGAGCAACTGTCCTTTGTCCAACTCTGCTTGTCGGATCACACGGCGTTGGAGTAATGCCTTCCGACGCTCATTGAATGTGCGATGAAGTAAGGCAAGGAATACAGCAGCGTCTTTGCTTAGAATGTTCTTGTTCTGATCATTGAGAGCTCCGAGGATGTTGACCTCGCGAAGGAGGGATTGAGGATCCGCTGCCATTTTGCTGTTTCGTGCACTATGCAAGAATGTGTGTTGCTATGCTTGGTATCAGATGAAGGGAGGTGAACAATGGAATGCAATTGATGAAGCAGGCCAAGCAAAGTTTATGTCGAGTATGACGGAGACATGGAAACTGGGGGAGCTAACATTTTATAACCTCACAACGTCACTCATGCACCCTCTCCTCACCCTGGAGCCGAGGATCAGTTCTTTGTCTTAGCTAGGGCTGGCCAAACAGCGACCGATCCAGTTACAGCAGCTCCCCTCTGTCCGAAGCTCCAGATACGAGTTAGTCGCAGAGCTCAAGCTTGTGATCTGCCAAGCAATTTGGAAAATGCGGGGATAACGTCCCACTCGACCGCCAGTAAAGATCGACAACGCATACGTTTTATCTCCCTTTTGCGACACTTATGAGTGTCGATAGGGCTTGCATGTGGCGATAGAGGGTTTGAAGTCTGAATTCAGCTGGATGGCCACGGTTGGAGATGGAAACTGACGGAAGCAGTGATGGCGCTTGAGACGAGCTTAGACCATCTTCACGCTCATTCCCGACGACCTCGGAGCCACCCGGGCTGTTTCGGACCGTTGACCATCACGAATTAACAAATACCTACGATAACAAAATGCCTCCTTGAATATCCGCTCTGGAAGCCATAGATTCTTACTTTTACTCGATGGCTTGAGGTGTGAGAAAGAAATATCAGCGTCGAACCTCCGAGGAAGAGTTTTCTGAACTGCATGACGCCTCTCGGAAGCAAAACCCAAGCGGCTAAGACTTATCTGGATTATGTCAACATTCCTTTGGAAGTTTTCCCAGTCGTTCTGTGGACAACACACATCATATATATCAGAACGAGTATCTCCACCATTACTCATTTACCGACATTCCCATCTTTCAACATGAAGGCATGTAGTCCATTGCCCTCACTTATCATATCACGTGATTTGTCACTGCCGAGCTAATGCCGATATATACATGTATGAGTTGACCGAATGCTGGGCCAATTATTTGACGTTCAGTGTGTTTCGGAATCGAATTGTAGGCTTTTCGTAGCCTCGAAAGCCGCCGCCCAGCACTTCCAGAGTACTAATCGATGACACGAACCGAACACCACACAGGGGAGAATCTCATGAGAGAAGCTAAAGGAGTTATGGATCCACAAAATCTGGAGATATTTATTCCATTTCCAGCTATTTTAATATTCTTGCCGGCATTTATCGAGCTACATACAAATGAATGGTGCCAACTTTCCCTACTATATACGGTGTGTGAGAAACAGTGCCCTCCTCTGTGGCGAAATCGACTCAAGACATGGAATGTTATCAAGTATTGCGGAAGCACATCTTTCGAAGACTCGTCGATTAAACATGACAAGACTCTCCCCATCGGCGAGGTACCGTGTGGTTTTTGAGAGTAGAGCAGTCGATGCGGCAGCAATAACATGATACAGTTGCCCTCCGGAGGTTCAACAAAATCCGGCTTAAGACGCCCTGACTTGTCTAGTAGAGCCTGACGGATCGCTTGCCCTCCATCTTGGCCTTTGCTTCCTTCTTAGCTTCGCCTGCTGCTGCGCCTGCTGCGGCCTTCTCCCCGGCACCTTTGGCTCCTTCAGCAGCAGTGGCGTTGCTTGCGGCGGCGGCGGCGACTGGAATAAAGATTCCTGCGCGAAGTCAGTCATCACTCATACGGTGTATAGATCAACAGCTTCACTCACCCCACTCGGCCTCCGCCGTGACGGCCTTGTTCAAGTTGAGAGTAACTTCATTCTCTTCGGCTTCAAACTCGACTTCTCCGAGCGATTCGGAGATAACGAATGCGCCAGCGGACTGGCACAGTCTGCCGACCTTCGATTGTGTAATGTCCTTTCCTGCAAGCCCAGCGCCTGTCACAGTGTGTTAGCGTCTTGCTTTGCACGATGTCATACGCTTTCGGATCTTGTTTCAGTACGTACTGGCAACGTCGAAGATGTAGTCGATCTTCGAAAGGGTAAGTCCCTCTCCTTTGCTAACAGCGAGGGCTACAGCATATGTCTTTGACTCGAGGAACTCAAATCCGGCCGGAGCGGCACCGCCAGGTTCCTTTTCGGTCACTGTGACAGAGTCCGCAGCGGCGGATTGGAACTCGAACTCAAAAGCACCGACAGTCTGGACCGATTTAGCATATGAATTGATTCTGCAAAGGCACTCGAGAGGTTGTAGGTTGACTTACGCTCTTGGTAAAAAGAATGTCTTGCTTGATGTCACCCTGCAAAGATTTAGTATGCAAGTCACGTTTTGAGTTCAAATTGGTGTCCAGGGATCTTACGCCTTCGACTGCGACGGCTTTTCCAAATTCGCCTGTCAAGTCCACTTCGTCTAGAAGCTAGTATTAGCAAGAGCAATGCGATGGTCTTCCAAAACAGAAGTGACTTACTCTCTTTCTCACCCTCTGCTCCTTCAGCAGCTTCTCCCCCAGCAGCAGCCTCCCCTTTGGCTCCTTCACCAGCGGCCGCGCCACCTTCACCAGCGGCACCCCCAGCGGCCGCGCCACCCTGAACAAGAGTCGCAGCGCCGGACGATAAGGCATTCAGCAAGCTTAAAATCTCGTTATTGGTGAGTGACTGAGCGCCAGATGTTTGCAGTGTCGCTACGGTTTGCGCAAGACTTTGGGTAGAAGCCTTATTATTGGGCGCAGGTAGCGCCTGTGCGCCGATGGAAAGCCCGAGAGCTACAGTGAAAAAGGAGGACTTCATGTTGATAAAAAAAATGAGCGGCGTTTATGGGACTGGGTGGAAACGAATAAAAAGCAGACCTGCTGTAAAGAATAGAATGTTCGAAAAGAAGAATGGAATTGCTGGGAAACGAATAAACACTCAATGTTCTGTCAGATCAAATTTCAGTCTCAGAAGCATACTGAACCCTTTATACAAAATCGTTCCTTCTGCCGCCGCGGGATGCTACCCGCTCCCAGACTTGTTGCCATTGTACTGCAAGTGTAAGACTCCACACATGCTACAAGCTGTCACATTGCTTAGCATCTTAGAAACGCGGTATGACCTCTTGGCCACAGGCAAGCGCTCTTGGCTTTCTGTCTGTTGGTGGAGTCGTCAAATTATAGAGTAGGAGAAGGCGAGTGTTCGTTGCCGTTCGTACCGAAGCCCGTATGGGTAGGTGATCGCGTGAGCTTCCAAGACTTTTTGATGTTTTCGGAGCAGCATCCTTGTTTTTTTGACTTGGCGCAGGTCTTGACATTGCTTCTGTGTCTCTCGTGGTGAGCTTGAAGTGCTTTCTGGAATCATTGTTTAGTAGTCGACTTTAGACAGAAATCGAGTTTAACTTGAGCACTTGCCATCACCCGTGCAAAGATGTCTTATTTTACGCTTCGCAAAAACTCACGAAATCACGACCGGACTCACATTATAAGACTTTGAGCTTCAAACACCACAATGCGGACCGGTGATTCGATGGCCACGGGCGCTACATACTTCTGTACTATTAGCCGCAAAGGTGTAACCTGCTTTCCCTATTCGAGAGCTTGTATGCCCTGTATTGACTGCACTGCTAAGCATTTGCTTGTATCACCAATGCCTGGGGGTGTAAGCGAGAGAAGAAATAGGCGGACGAACGCCCGCACCTGTTTCACGTTCCGGTTTTAAAATCGGGCCGCGCCAAGAATTCCATGATGGTCTTGATTTCTAGATCTTTTCTTGCCCCATTATCGAATGTCAATCCAATGGGGTCCCCAGACATGCTAACCAGGTTCTTTGCTTGTTGCGCCAAGCGCGCATTGTGGCACATGAAACTACTGTGTGGCAAAGAACCGGCAAATTTATCTCGAGGCAGTGGAAGGTCAAGTTTATCTCTCAAGTTAGGCAGATGAATAGATGGTGATTTCTTGTAATTATCTATCGCGTTACTAGTCTGCGGTATCTTGACTCTAAACGTCTTGTGTATGCCATTCGTCTCCGAGCGCTGGTGTCACGCTGCTGTTGCTCCGCCCAAAACATCTTTTCATTAAATCAACAAGCGTCTTTCTCGTCCAAATACACAGCCACCACCTTACCCCCTTCAAGTGTCTCTCCTTCTCCGTTTTCACCAGTCAAGCCTCCCGATGTGCTGACGTACAGCACGTTACCATCTTTCGAGGTCCTACCAAAAGTTTCTGCCGTTCCACCCGGAACGACCGTACTTCCCTCGCCTCCAAGTATCACTTCTGGTTCCCCTGCTTTCCCTCCATCCTCGGGCAACGCAATACTGATGAGAGTCTTTGCGTACGGCCTCACGATGTACAACGTCTTCTCATCCGGACTAATCTCCAGATCATCCATAATATACTGCTCGGTAGCCAAAATTTCGTCTTCGCCAGTACGCAATCCCGTGGTAGGAGATATCGGTGCTCGAACAACCCTTCCTGACCATGATTGCGTCCAATAGAGGAAAGGTGCGCGGTACTTGAGGCCGTTCGCGCCGAGGCCGAGAGGCGCGGTTTCATTGAATGCAAGATTCGGAGATTCAATAGCAGCGTCATATGTAGCGGTACCGTTCGCCTCGAGGGTTACACGCCCGATATTCCCGACAAAAGAATCGGTGAAGAGAATCGTATCGTTGTTGACTGTCGCGAGACCGTTTGGAAGTCCAGTGTCAGGCAGGTTGATCACCTTTTCCACCTCAACATCACTGCCGTATTGAGTGCCCGACAGGTCGACTTTCCAAAGAGCAGCACTTCCCCGCTCTGGTCCGCCAGCGCTCGTGTAGTTACTGGTCACGATAACCCATACATCATCTTGAAGCTCAGCAATACCAGCAATCGTGTTGTAGCCACTGTCTGTAAAGTTGTGGACTAGTGATGCCGTGTTTGTCGTTGGGTGGATGAGATAAAGCTCCGCGGTCGAGCCCAGCGTACCTATTGACATATCTGGTCAGCGCGAGGGGGAAAGACGTGACCCGCACACCTAAGCACCAAAACATCATGCTGTACAAAGATGTAGGTGGAGACCTATACATCATCAGGATAGGATGTGTGTCTTACCCGTGATCAGAGAACCGTTGCGCAGGGTTGCAATGTTTTCTAGCCATACGGACTTGGGAAATTGATAGACCACTCGTGAGAGGTATGCAGGAATCGAAGATGTGTTAGACGCATCGCGTGGAATAGCGATCGCCTGGGATATCGTAACGAACAACGGGATCACAAACGTTGAAAGAATCATTTTGGTTCTTGCGAAATTTGTTGATTGGGGAAGTGAACTGGATGATGATGAATTGTAATTTCGACATGGAAATACGGTTCATCCATGCTCATATTTATATGCTGCTCTTCGTATATCATTCGATGGCTTGAATTCAAGAATCGTACCATGTGTTGATTAGACATCTATCTCAATGAGGCTCTTCTTTCGTCAGATTACAAATGCATTCATACATCTCCATTGCGCCCCCAATCCTACAACTTACTTTATACTACTTCTTACGGTCATACGCTAATCGAATCAAGCAAATGCCCCAACTTTTGGTCATAGCAGATTATGTCAACCTATAAGAGGTGCGCATGCTTAGACGCGAACTAACTGTTTATAGTAATTTCATCTAGCGTCGTGTTCAGACATGAGTGCGCAATCACGAACTCATATTTCTAATAATCATCGACAGTCGTGGAACTCCGGAATGTCGAAGAAATTCTCTGAGTGCCTCTACGAGTTATATTTCATGCTCGTTAGGGTCTCTGGGGCGTCTCGGTTGACTATGACACTAAATCGTGCCGCGCGCGCCTCGGCATCGTACCGGCGACAGGGCGAAAAGGTCAGCTTGAATTGATTCATTGAGGAGCAGGAGGTCGCCTATGAGAAGGGATGAAAAGCCTCTTCAGTCCAAATGGGGCTGCTTCGGCTCATCACGAGAGCTCTGGAACATTCTAACGTGGTGTGCCAGTCTCCCACTGAAGCCAAAAAGTTGAGACAGGAATGTTTACCCACCTGTGGTTTGTGAACGAGCTTCTGAGGAACACTACAACTATACTATACAATCAGTCACATATGAAGTTTACTCCGTTTTCGATCGGCATAACAGGTGTCATTACCTCGCTTGTGCGATTATAGAACCTGATTTTCACTACAGTAAAAATATAACCACAATCCAATTCTGGATTTCGTTATGTTGCCGATCTTATAGCTAGATACAAAGGTTGTTATGACTACGATTATCTGTTTACGGTATCAGACCACCAATTGAACAAATCAACCCCCTCCCGAAAACACAGGGCTGATGCTCTTGAGTCTGCGGTTCCACTTTTTTGCTCTCTGGAGAGTCAGCATATATCTGACTAAGAGACTGGTTCATTACTACCGAGGACATTGATAGTCTTTGATTGGTCTCCATAGCCAACCAGTTGGGGACTGCCATATCTATTCTGGGCCTGACATGTCCTATGTGGGACTAGTACATCCCCATTCTGACAAGCTGCTTAGTTTCGACCGAACACTGAACCCTTCTTCCCATCCACGTGGTAACAGTTTCGCGTCTAAAGGAGATCGGCATGTTGATCTCTGAACTTATTGCAACTCTGCATGCTATGCTCCAACTTGACATGCCTGCTCCGCCAGGTCGATGTTATTCAAACTGTGCGATTTGGACCTTGTTACGGACAAGACCGGAATTGCCGTTGTTTTCGCCTCGTGCTCCAAAAGCTAATTAAACAACCCCACAGAATTTCGACTTAGCTTGAGACTAGAACGACATTCGATATTCAATCAAGGACTAGGATTTTTCCAATTTGTCGGGCATTCTATAAGAGTCTGGCGTAGATAATGAAGCGCACAGCCTGCACAGGGGCGTCAATTTAATCGCATATTGCATTCCACCTTTCTAGCATAAAGTTTCTCTCACTTCGAAACACTCGCGATGAAGGTCCTAGATTACGCCCTCAGCGCATTAGCAACGGCCACTGCAACGGCTGCTGATGTAGTGCAACATCCACGTCACCGTGCAGCTGTCAGTTACCCTACGCCCGGGTTCAACTCTCAACCAGTGGCACCTCGCGAGCTCGTACAGGCACATCCAACCAGCACTCTTTCCTCCACACAGCCAGTCGAGACGGATTATAGAATAGTTGTAGTCAAGCCACGAGACTTGGTCTCGAATGACCAATCTCCTGATGCGTCAAAGGTATTTCAGCCTACAATACTCCAACCTATTCGACAAACCTGGAAGAACTCACCATCGCTAACTGCGCTCAGCCCATGTTGGGCCTCTATCCGGAAGACAAAGTCACAGTCGAAACCACAACCTTCGAGAACGGACTAGATTCCAGCAAATGGGTCGTTGACACACGAGGCTATGGCGGCTCGCCAGGTAACCCCTACTTGCGGCAGATGGAACCGGACAACGTCAAAGTCAAAGATGGCCTTCTAGAACTCAAAGTCCCCGGCGGTCAGAAATACGATCCTGAAAGCACCGTGGGCCTGAGTTCCGCCCAGATCATGACCAACAAATACATGTCTGTGGGGTCGCTTGAAATGACGGTCAAGATGAGTTCAGAGGATGGCACATGTCAATGTAAGTTCTTTAGGCTCGAGCATGCGATAGGATTGGTAGCTGACTCTACAAGGTGGTTTCCTCTACGGTAGCGACCACAACGAAGTCGATATGGAGTACCTGACCCGCACCAACGTAACCTGGTCAGTGGTCCAGGGAATGGACCGAGAACGACCGATCCAGCAGACCAATCTGAACGTCACTGCTGACCAAACCGAGAGCTTCCACACGTACAAACTGGTCCGGACGGAATCTAAAGCGTATTTCCTGATGGATGGCAACGTCGTGAACACCTTCGATAAGAATATCCCTACAGAACCGGTACAGATGATGATTGCGCATTGGTGAGTCTTTTCCGCCACGGCGCACATACTTGGCAACTGACAATCCCTAGGACCGATGCCAATCCCGGTTGGACTGGAGGCCCACCCGCGAAAGATACAATAATGACTGTTAAGAAGGTCGTGGTCGAGTACGTGGGCGCGACGCAAACATTCTCAACATCAACTGCTACACCGAGTGCGACAAACGCTCCGAACCCATCGCCTTCAGACAAGAACGATGCTTCCCAACAATTCGGATCAAAGGGAGCTCTGTTACCGGCGCTAGCAGCTTTCGGTCTTTACCTCGCTATCTAATCGACACGAAAAACGCTGTCTCGCCTCTCGCACTGCTATAGCGGGAAGAACATACCATTATCCAGGATTATACACCACTTCACGAGCCCATATTTTTTATTTTTTTTTATACCACATTCCCCTTCAGGGATCCCGATTTTCTTCTCTTGTACATATTATCCTACCCTTCTACCTATGAATAATCATAATGTATAACTTTTGGTTGATGGACTAAAGACGGTTTGCTGAGATTAGAGTGCATGCGCGCTTCAAAGAATATATACCATGTTGTCATCGGCAGAAGAAGCTGCTACTCTCGAGTCTGGCTCGCGACAAAGGGTGTATTTCGAGTGCGCCGTCTTCAACCCGGATTTCTAATCAATGTCACGATAGGCGGAGGTCCGTAACACTGGAATGACAGAAGGATTCCGGTCATCATCTTTTCTTTCTAGAGTGCTAATAATCGGCTTCTAGTGTTCTGCTAAATTCTATTGGATGTGGTTGAAAGCATGCGAGATCATGTAGCGGGCGCAGCGGGTGACCCAATCAGGATTAGCTTCTAACTACTCCACCACACAAGCCTGCACCCTTAACAAAAGATGGGGAAGACTCGGAATCCGTTCGCTCTCTATTCTTTATAATAAATGTTGGCGACATCGTTTCAAGTCAAAGCAACACTTGTGGCGGACGACGATGAGCGGCAGACACATAATTGCGAACTGCCAAATATTCGAACCGCCCGCTGCACCGACGCCCAGCGTCACCATCCGTATTTGGGGAAACTCACCATTCATGCGGCGCTGGAAGGAGATGTCTAGAGGGTGTTGGATCCGGTCATTGGCTTACTATTATTCTCTTTGAAGGTAGAGGTGCATTGCATTTTGCACCACTTGAGGGTCAAGGGCGCGTTTAATGTTTGCCGCGAGACAAAGCGAATGCAAACGAAAACGTGGAACAATATCATACTGATGAAATTTAGGGATCGCAACCGAATTGATCGGGCACGAAACTAAGTACAAAGACACAGAAAGATGCCTGAACAATATCAAAAATTGACAAAGGGTGTGCATGAGAGAATATAACACAGCTGTTCTCCAAATCGGTCTTCCGCTTCACCGAAGTCTCCGTCACTTATTTGAGACTTCATTGTGAGTGCAGTTCCTAGTTCTGAGTAGCCAATCGATGACAGTATGCCTTTCTACGGTACCAAAAACCATGAAATATTCGTCGAGCAACTCGCGACACAAGTTCGCAAATTCCATGCATCCAAAACGCCATTTCGCATCAATCACGGCTCAAGCAACAGCACTCGTGTTCGCGAAGCTGGTACTCCAGAGCTTCATATAGCTCATCTCAAAAACATCCTGTCAATCGACACGACTTCCAAAGTGGCGGTTGTAGAGCCGAACGTTGCTCTTGACGAGCTGGTTGCTGCCACATTTCCACTTGGCTTGCTACCGCCCGTCGTCATGGAATTCCCAGGGATCACGGTAGGCGGTGGCTTCAGCGGTGCCAGTGGGGAGAGCTCTAGCTGGGCCGAGGGCACCTTCGATTGTGTCGTCACATCGATAGAGGTTGTTTTGGGCAACGGTGATATTGTTACTGCGGAAAAAGACGGTAACAATGCAGACCTCTTCACTATGGCCCGATGCTCCCTCGGCACTGTGGGAGTGATTACCCAGCTCACCTTACGCTTGGTTCCAGCCAAACCGTACATCCAAGCCGCTTACCACCATACAACTTCCTATCAAGAAACTCTCGAACGCACTGGAAGCTTGTGCGAAGCCGAGTACGCGAAAAAGAATAGTCCTGCAGGGGCACAGCTAGACTTCATCGAAGCAATCCAGTACTCACCCACACATGGCGTCATCATAACTGGCAAATTCTCCTCCTTCAGTGAGGGTCTATCCACCACAAGGTTCGACCGCGCCCAAGACCCCTGGTTCTATAAACACGCAGAAGCCACTACCCCAGATCATACTGAATTGATCCCCACCCAATCTTACCTTTTTCGCCACGATCGCGGCGGCTTCTGGTCGGCCAGCTCTTTCTTCAACTACCTCCGTCTCCAGCCCACGCGGTTCTGGCGCTGGGTATTCAACCCTGCAATGAAAACGCGCGCCATCTACAAGTCGCAGCAGCTTGCTGGCGGACCAGGTGTCAACATCGTGCAAGACTTGGTGCTTCCCGTGCCTACAAGTAGAGAGTTCGCCGAGTGGGTCGACAAGGAGACAGGAATCTGGCCAATCTGGATCTGTCCTCTCCGCGGCGGCCCTAAAGACGTCTGGGGACAACCCTACTGGCATAGCGTTCCATCTTCTTCTTCTACCTCTACCGGAGACTCATCCAACGCTTCCTCTTTTTCATCTCCAACAGCTGCCGGCAACGGCCACGTCCGTCAAAGACACAGCGAAAAGACCGCAAAAGACGCGCTCTACTTCAACTTCGGCGTCTGGGGCAAAGGTCCCAACGATCCATCCCAATTCGTGTCTCTCAACCGCCGCATGGAATCCACGCTTCGCCATCTCCACGGCATGAAAGTCCTCTACGCCGAATCCTTCTACACCGAAGAAGAGTTTTGGTCCCTGTACGATAAACAAGCGTACGACGCCGCGAGAAAGAAATGGCATGCCACGGCTCTTCCGACCGTCTACGACAAAGTCAAGCGCCGGACAATCAACGCAGAAGACGAGGATGAAGAAGAGAGCTTTTGGGAGAGGTTGCTTTGGAATTTTCTGAATATCAGGCCGTTGGGGGGAATAGCGGCTGCTTTGTACGCTGCTTGGGTTACTAGAAGATAGATTTTCTTACGCAGACACTACATGGATATAACACCGATTGTTATAATTAGTGCTGAAAGAGAGCTTTTGCGTGCTAGAATACTACGTTTAGTATGATTTCAATCACACAACAGCCCGTTACAGAATGCTTGGATAAAGTGTATGGACTACATGCGCGATTTATGTTCGTCCGCTTTATCGCATTCAAGATACAGACTTGTAAAGCAGGTATGTCAATCAAGGCCGAGCTAGATAGGGTGGAAAGGATTGACATAGGGTTTCATACTGCGCTACGCGGAATAGAATAGTTTCATAGATGAAAATGATAAAAGGTGTTTCAGAATATATTCCCGTCGAACTCAAATCATACATCTCCTTGAAATGATCAGCAGTTCCGGAGCCAGCCTGCTGATTTGGTTCGCTTAGGGTGATTACGCCGCATTATGGCATTTCCTGATGAGTATTTCGCGTTTTCTCATGGCCCAACTCTTGGCCTGTCTGTGTATACATCACTGATCCATCCATTTCATATCGCGTGTGATCATCCGGCAATTGGTATGCTGTTATCCGCGGTTTTTCAACATGACGATGTCTTTTGTGCTGGTTTTCCCCATCTGGAGAGGTGTTTCTTTTCAATCTCCGATATTTAGCTGCGAAAAATACGACCGCAATGATCGCTACCAAGCTGCAGATGGCACCTATCACGATTCCAGCAATGGCGCCGCCAGATATAGAGGGTGGCGATTGAGCGGACGGCGAGGCAGTAAGTGTGCCAGTCTGATTGGAGGCAGCAGGGGGCAACGATGAGGAGGACGTTTTCGATACCTCGCATCGGACGGCAGGAACAGTTGATGCAAAAGCCATATCGGACCGTAAGGTCAAGACACCGGCTGCAGTACACCCTACGGAGTCGACATTGCCTCGATAAACGCCGTTGGAACCAGGTTCGCAGCACCATCCGCCGCCATCCTCTACCGTTTTGTTTCCTTTCCACAGCGACCATCTTACATCAGGGCACTTCCATAGAACATCATCAGCTACTCGACCGGTATTTTTTTGTTTAGGCAATATACAGGAAAGACCTTCTCACCTTAGGTTGGAACTTGGACTCCTGAATGCAATCTTCACCCTCCTTGCAGCACCAATTACCCTCCCAGGTATCCGTTCCCGTACATTTTAGGCCGCTCGGACAGCAACGTGTCTGGCCTGTCATACCTTTACCGCATTCGACCGGCGCATCAATGGGACAGCCGGTATCGTTTACTCGGAGTGCCCAGCCTCCCTCGTAGCTGCATACATTGGCGGATTCCACCAGTACCATCAAGCCAAACAAGAGAAAAAAAATTCTTGACATGGCAAACAAGCAATTGGAAACGTTCCAGTCAATCAGGTAATTGGCCTGTTCGTTGAAGACCTAGAACATTAAATTTGGATAATTGTGAGTAGCAAAGGCGAGATGGGAGGGAGGCATTACGCATCGACTGTGCCTATAAGGCACGTAATATAAAGCTGCAAAAACATACGCAGGGTCGGTGTGCGTTCCTTAGGCTAAGCAGCATGGGGCTGTACATGTAACAGGAACATAGGACCTGTTCCTCTTCCATCGCGCCAGCGGCAAGCATTTAGAGACAGCCGCACTGCCACAGTAGGTAACGCTTACCGTTTATCGGGTTACTCAAAAGCTCCATTAAAAAAAAGGCCGAATTCACACATACACCCCACAAACCGTTGTCGACGCACGGTGGCGTCTGGATAGTTATCTTGGCCCGAGTGGCTATGCTTTTGATCATAGTTACATCAATCCTCCGAAGAGATATTAATAACGATAATGTAACAAGTCATGTCGGTTAACGGATGCACGTGGGGGCTATAATTGCAGAGTTCAAAGTTTCCGGTAAGAATTCGCCACTACCTACGATGCGCGGCTGAGTACCTGGTTAAATCATTGTGCTTATTTCAGTCAAGTCGGAGACGAGTTAGAACCTGGCCAATTGGGCTGTGCGGGCACACCAAACAGCTCTTTATGGCTACTGTTACTTGGGAAAATTGGGGGCCGTTATTCTGTGAGGCAAACTACAGGGGTGTAATGAGTGGAAAAATGATTCTTGTGGAAGACAGGGTAGGCAGACTAGGTATACCGGTGTACGCTCTCAATTCTCCAGTGGTGCCGAGAACGCAGCAGTCAGTGTAGGCAGAAACTTCCGGCAGACTCCGAAATGCGGAGACACTGTATCCTTGCGCGCCATGCTCCGGAAGATCTTATAGAGCTAATTGTTGAGATCAAGTGAGCGGAAAGTTGTACAAATCTGTAGTGGATTTGAGTTTCAATGTAACAGATGTGACAGGTAGGTATATCTACCAGCGTAGTGCGAGACGGTCAATTGATCTCCAATTTTTAGCAGCTTACTGTTACTACCGTAGACTTCGTTCTTTTGTTTTGTAAGACGCGCCGGTGGCCGTGAAACCCTGCGCCATCATTGCATTTCCATCGAATATACCTCGTCCAAGAAGTCGTGCGACAAAAGGACTTCCCTACAAAACTTCGCTGATCTACCGTACAGTCTCACTCTTCGCATTCTTTACCAATCTGATGTTCAAACCGCGTATGAAACCATTGAAGAGCTTGCAAATCGAAGTGACGGATACACAAGGCTGGAATATAGCAAGTAGCAACTAAATGTAAAGCAGGTGGCAGTGTGGGTAAGAACTATAGTCGCGGTGTAAAGCTGACATATTGAATGCATTTAAATAGATGGTATTGTATTTTAATGATGTTTGAACCCCGAGGGAAAGTATAATAACCAAATTTGAAGATAAAAAACAATCGACTAACCGAAGAGTATAGATAGAACGCGAGACAAAAATTCGGAACAATGAGAGCCGCTCTGTGTGCGTTACTCGACACAAAAAAGCTTTGATCCTGTCCTTCATAATGTTCAAATAAAAGACTTGTCGAGACGGTTTTTAAACTGATTGCCCTTGTCATGAAACTTCACAGAAGCATCCCCAAAATCCGCATCAGTGAGCGATTTCCTGGCAGCTTCCGTCATTGAATCCCAAGCAATCATAGGCTGCGATCCACCGTCCTTCTCCGTGTATCCGAGCTGGTGAGAGCCAAGCGAGAAGTACGCCACCTTAGGTCGTGTACCCTTGTAATGAATATTGACTGTCTCCTTGTCGTAGTCACCGTGGGCGGAAAATGCTATGCCACGGACCTTTGCAGACAAGGACTTCGATTCAAGCCATACAATGACCTCTTCCCAGTCGTGTCGGTGAACGGGCATGTCTTTGGGGAAATACCATGAGTACATGATACCCCAGGCGCCGTCCTTACCCCAGCCGGAGCGGACATAGACTTGGCCTTTGTTGTGACCGCATTCGCCATCCCACTTGCCAGTTGCCTTAAGCCCTTCCCTAGATGCTTGATTAGCGTATGAAGACTATGGAGACTGACAAGGATCACGTACGACCAATCTCCCTGAGCATTGACAGCGGGGAAAGGGACACAGGCGTTCTGAACAAAGAGGTACGGCTTGTACTTCTTCATGAGATCCCCCTCGAGGCCCGAAGGAACTTTTTCCTGGAATCCGACAACTTTATTGTGGGGTTTGCTCTCGCTGCGCTTCAAGTTGGTAGGCGATGCGATTGCAGCTGTTGCGAACACTCCGTAGGCGAGAAACTTAGAAAGATGCATGATGGAAGAAGTAAAAAATGAGTAGTTAAAAGCTATTCGACAGTGTGAACGTGCTGATAGATCGAGTCTGTCTGTGATACTCTGGACGGCGACACCCAGGCAGCATTATATACACCACCTTTTAGAAACTTGATACGAGACATAGGATACCGTATAAGGCTTCCAACATGGCTTGCAGCAAAAAAGATGGTCTTCATCTATTAATAAAATCAGTTCGAGCAGCATGTTACTTTTGGGGGCGCTCTTCGCATACGGTGTTGAATGGAGTCAAAGTTTATTATGCAACTCGGGCCAAAATGCTATAGAATGCACTTAAAACACATCAGATTAGGTAATTTAATGGTGAATGGGGGCGCAGCGTTCACAAGGGGCGAAGATGCGACCCACTCCATCCGCGCAGCATTGTAGATTTCGAACTAGATCTGTGGTAGATCTTCAAAAGCCAAGCGTACTGCCACAGCTCGAAGTTCGTATAATCCTTTAGCTGGTTCAAAAGAAGGCAAAAACTGTATATGGATATACTAAACTGGCGGTTATGCATGGTGGGTGCCTTAAAATCCTTTGGCGGATTTGGACCCCAAAAGATATTAATAACGAGAACACAACTCGTCGCGGGTAATGCGGCATACGTATAAGAAAACATGAACGAGCATGTCGTCACTGGCTGATTCAACGAAATATCCCAGGCGGCAATAATCACTGGCATGAAGCGAATGTGTTTGTACGTAGTTGGTCTTTCGTGCTTTAGCACATCTTTTTGTACAGAGCGCTCCCGGTTGCTCTATTAAATTGAGCCCTTCGCCCGACAGTATTCAAATCGTCGAACTATGGTTCTCAAAGTGATCTAGCATTTTGATCTTCCCAGGAAATATAATTCAAGCTTACTTAGCTATACTAAATGTAACTTTACCCAGTAAACACGAAGACTTGAAGTATTACCTTGTGAATCATGTCCACAAAACTACAGCAAATTCCAACCATGAGCAAAAAGATGATTTCACAACGCGAGATCCACGAAGTCCATGAAAGGTCTTCAATTCCCCCTCTTGATCTCGTCCGCTATCTTCTCCGCAAACACATAAACCGTGCTCTGCGGATGCCCTGGCGGCAACAGCGCAAAAGAACTCGCATCTGCAACCCTTAGCCCTTCTACCCCAATAACCCGCGCCTCACTATCCACGACCACATTTCTGTCCCCCACTCTCCCCATCCGACACGTGCAGCTCGCATGCCACACCGTGTGCAAAGTCTCCCTGATCGTACCCAAAATCTGCTCATCAGTAACAACCCCTGGACCGGGGAAATACTCAGTGCGGTCCGCAAGACCGGCCTGCATAGCGGGTGTGGAGAAGGCTTGACGGGCGCGTTTGTAGCCTGCTATTGCGACGGCTTGATCTGTGGGGTCTGTGAGCCAGTTTGGGTTGATGAGCGGGAGGTCAGAAGTGTCTGCGCTAGTGATTGTCACGGTGCCGCGCGATTGGGGAGCTACAATAGCCGCAAGGATGGTGGCGTACTGGTAGCCGTCTTTTGGTTGTTGGAGGAGGAGGTTTTGGAAGTTACCAATATAGCTGGAGGAAGTTAATGAATGTTATTGTACGGAATATTTGTGTTTCACGTTATTGGATACGTACCCTGGGCCAGAGAGATACTCGAGATCTGGCCATGAGGATGGGTATTGATTCAGGACCGCAGCAGCTTCCGCCGAGATAAGATTTCTGGGTGCTTTTTCCCATCCCAGAAAATCGCAAACAGGATTCGTGAGTGGCCCGCGCTTGAACAAAGTGTAGTCCGTTGCGAACTGCGCAGCGACGTAGAGTGGATCATTTGCAAGGCGGGTGAAAGTTTCAACGCGCACACGGTACGTAGGTCCGAAGAATATATGGTCTTCCATGCCTTGGCCTACGGCAGGGTTGTCTAGGATGATTGGAATATTGAATTTTTGGAGAGTTGCTGCAGGGCCTATGCCAGAGACCATAAGGAGTTGCGGGGATTGGAAGGCTCCGGCAGATAAAATGACTTCTTTGCGAGCTGATATGACAGCGCCAGTGCTGATCAGGATGCCAGTCGCACGTTTATTAGCGTTGAATATGATCTTCTTGGCCAGTGTAAGGGAATATACTTTGAGATTCGCTCGGTTTTGCGCTGCGTTGAGGAAAGAAGTCTGTGAAGAATCGCGTTTTTGATTGTCGGGGTTGATGGTTGAACTGCAATATTGCGCTCCCATGAGATTTCCAGAATTGAAGTCTTGCGCCGGGGATATGCCAATCGAGTTCATACCGCCTTCCATGTAACTGCTGAATGGCCCAGCATAATTGGCATAAGAAACCCGAAGAGGTCCGCCAGTCGGGTCAAAGGCTGCTGCGTTGTACTCCGCCGATGCATTCGCAGCGCGAGGTGGCGATTTAGGAGGCGTAAACTTGATTGACTTCTGGAAATAGGGAAGGAGATTGTCCCACGTATAAGACTGGTCCCCGACAGCATCAGCCCAGCGCTGATACGAACCCTTGTCGCCACGCTGGTAAATCATGAAATTACGTGCAGAGCTACCACATCGTCAATGGAGAATAAACGATGAACTCAAAAGAGTGACAATACCTTCCACCCAAGCACTTTCCACGAGCATAGTGCAACCTCCTATTGTTAGCACCAGCTTGCGGCTGCGTGACGAAGTTCCAGTCGACGAGTGGATTTGTGTCCAAGGGGCTTGCGCCAGCCCATATAACATCTCCCGCTGGTGTCGATGATAATAGGGGGTTTGTGACTTGATAGAATGTGCCAGCCTCAACGACTGCCACTTGGACGTTCGAATCTTCTGACAGACGGTTAGCCAAAGTCAGGCCAGCCGTGCCACCACCAACGATGACATAGTCGAATTCAGCGTTCTGGCGCTTTTCGTGGTCTTTGGTGGGTATGGCGGACGCGAGGATACATAATGAGAAGTAAACATATAGAGTATTAAGGGACTTCATGATGACTAGGTGACGTTTTGATTAATTGAAAGGTAATTATTTAGGTCTACATGTATTTACCTAGGTATATATACTCCTGATAATGAACCATGGAATAAGCCGTGACATAGTCCATAGCCGAGATGTGCCCTGGCGACTCGCCCCAATCTGCACAGGTACAGACGTCAGCTGTTCATCGCCGTCAACTACTCACTACTAACACACGCACAAAAATATTGATCTAGCAAGACAGTCACAGGGCCAAGAATACTACCACAAGTTCTCCCAACAACCCCTCCTAACGACTCCCGAAGAACAACGCGAAAGTAGCATAGTACCCAACGGAGACCAGTCCTAGCGTCCCAGCACCCACGAGCCAAAAGATGCAGGGGGTTCTTGATCTTCCCCCTAGGTGATTGAAAACGAACGCATATATGATTTATTGTTCCAGATATTGTAAGTGTATATAATTGCGTTAGCCCGCCGAATATATCTTTACTCAGTTGACTAAAATTAGAAGTTGAGGAGAATAGTATGCCCGTAGGCACGTATGCATGCGCATGATGTCTATATGCTAGTATGTCTCCGATTCAAAGGTAGCTGGTGCAGTGTAGATGTTTTGGAGCAACACATCCATGTGAGACACAACCATTCATTGAAAGCTACCAGGATAATTCAGATATGACGAAATCGTGCACCAAAACAATACATAGACGCCCGACAAAGAGAATCGTAAACCCCATGTTGATCTGCCTTTGACCAGCTTGATCAGCAAAACGAGTGTCCTGAATCCGCAAATATCTCACTCCCACGAATCTGGTTACGATTGGAGTAACCTCCTTTCCACCAAAAAAAGCATTGAGCAGATTCGTGTGGGGAAAAGGTGCAGTGAAGGTACGTGAATCACAGGTGCTTGCGCTCCTTGCCTTCTGCCCTGCGAGCCTCCTCTGCCCTGCGAGCCTCCTCTGCCCTGCGAGCTTCCTCTGCCTTACGAGCCTCCTCTCCATCAAGCTTTCGAGCTTCATCGCGTTCAAGCTCGCGAGCATCTTCCCCCTCACGCTTACGAGCTTCCTCTCCATCAAGCTTACGAGCTTCCCCCTCACGCTTACGAGCTTCCTCTCCATCAAGCTTACGAGCCTCCTCTCCATCAAGCTTTCGAGCTTCCTCTCCATCACGTTCACGAGCGTCCCGTCCCTCTCGTTTGCGGGCTTCGTCGTCGCTCTCGCGCCTGCGAGCTTCCTCTCCCATATGTTTGCGAGCCTCTTCATCTTCAAACTTTCGAGCTTCTGCCCCTTCACGCCTGCGGGCTCCCTCGGCGTTCTCAAGTCTGCGAGCTTCATCGCCGTTGTGTTTGCGGGCTTCCTCTCCTTCCTCAAGCTTTCGAGCTTCTGCCCCTTCACGCCTGCGGGCTCCCTCATCGTTATCAAGTCTGCGAGCTTCCTCTTCCATACGTTTGCGAGCCTCTTCTTCTTCTAGCTTTCGAGCTTCTACCCCTTCATGCTTGCGGGCTTCCCCATCGTTATCAAGTCTGCGAGCTTCATCGTTCTGAAGTCTACGGGCTTCATCGTCATCACGTTTTCGGGCTTTCACATCGTGCTGAAGCCTGCGAGCTTCGTCGTCGTTGTGTCTGCGTGCCTCTTCGTCACCCTCACGCTTACGAGCTTCTTCTCCCTCACGTCTGCGGGCTTCATCTTCACCTTCACGCTTGCGTGCTTCATCGCCCTTAAGCTTGCGGGCTTCATCGTTGCCTTCTTGCTTGCGAGCTTCATCGTCCTCAAGTATGCGGGCTGCCTCTTCACCCTCACGTTTACGTGCTTCATCTCCCTCGAGCTTGCGAGCTTCCTTGTCACCCTCAAGTTTGCGTGCTTCATCTTCGCGCCTACGTGCTTCTTCGCCCTCGTGTTTGCATAGATCTTCCTCATGTCTGCGTATCTTGCCGCCCTTCAATCTACGTGCTTCGTCGTCTTCACGTCTGCGTGCCTCGTCTTCAAGTTTGCGAGCCTCATCGCCCTCACGCTTGCAAGCATCATCACTCTCACGTCTGTGAGCTTCTTCGTCACGCCTGCGTGCTTCCTCGTTCTCACGCCTGCGAGCTTCTTCCTCGCGTCTACGTGCCTCTTCTTCACGGCGGTGAGCTTCGTCTCCGGGTGCTTCCTCGTTCTCAAAGCACTGGAAGCTGTAAAGCGCATCGTTATAGTCTCCCCTCTCTGTAATGAGTAGATTATCGATTCCAGGCCACACCATAGTAATCGCGTCCTCACGCTGCAATTGACGGCACAATCCGTTCCTGTCTTCTTCATCAGCGCCAGTGATCACACGTACTCAAAGAACAGTTCCCAAGAATGGCTCTCACAAACAGGCTCAAAGGCGTGGAGGGTGGTAACGGGATGGAAAAACGAAACGATACAGGGCTAGGTAATAGCTAGAGTGAAGGAAAGCGGAGACCAAACGTACTTGTAGAAAACGCAGCGATATCCTTTGTCAGGGCCGAGACTGGAAGCTTTCCCATCGAGCTGCTCGCAGGCCCCGGATCCGATTACGTAGCTGTGGGCCGTGCAGGTACCTGACCAGAAAACGTCGTCACAGACCCATATCTGTTTGCACGCATAGCATGATTAATACATTGTTGGAAGTTTCGGTCATTATGTTCACGAAAGTCGAGGTGATAGTGTTTCAAGGTAGGGGTACAGCGACTAGTGCTCCGAGGAGGGAAGTTGGGCGATTGGATCGATCGGTGTGAAAGTGATGGAGGAAGGGTATAGAAGCGGATTTGAAGGATACGTAGGACTTACCGTCGCGTTTGCTCCCCTTGGAATCATGTCATAGTGGCGGAATTTGGGAGAGGGTGGCATAGCAGTGATTGGTGTTGGATGGGAGGAGAGGATAAGGAGCAGTGGAGGTATGAAAGAGAGTTGTGTCTGGAACAACATCTTGAGTGTTATTCCAATTGCGGTTATCTGGGCTCAATGAAGGAGAGGAATAGACACGAAAATTTGATGGACAACAACGACGACGAGTGAAGGGTGGCAGAATAGATGTTTCAGACAAGAGGATTATATATACTAGATCAATGGGGAGAAGAGGAATTAGATAGATAAGCCTAAATAGGGAACCCTCCATGATTAGGGCCCGGTTTGCTCGTCCTGCAGCCGTAACACATTCTTCGTGATACCAGCACACCCAGACTAAAGCAAGAGGATAGCGAACAACTCTTCTCCTCGACACCGGTGTGCACAGGATTCAGTCGAGAATGTACGACGGTAATGACCCATACAAAGGAGGGGGAGACCGGTCTCTGTGTTGTATTAGTCTGATGTTCGGTCTTGGCTTATGGCTGCGAAGTTGAAAATGCAGGTCCAACCTCCTGTGATAAGCGTGTCACAACTTGCGACGATGAATGAACATAACATCTTGTGCACGCTTATCAGTGATGCCAGATACGACTTGGGCGATAGCAACGAAACACTCCTCGCCTCTAAGGATTTGGTATGAGTGTGAATGAGTTTGCAAGGTAACACGTCATTGCGCGTAAAACAAGCCACTGCAAACCATTTGTTGATAATGATGAACAGTTGCTAGGCACATGACCTTTGTAGCTGCACTGCCTAAGTCTCTCAATGCTATTGTAGGTAGCACGAGAGTAACCGGGAAGTATATCCGATGCAACTGCGATCCAAGCCATGACACAGCACCATACGAGATGAAAGTGATCAAAAGCTCTTAATACTATTTCAGCGTTAGTCTGTCAAAGAGAAAGCGGTGCGTGCCACACGTACAGTTGATGGTATCTTCGTATGGCCAACCATCATAACCGAATTCAGATGCAAAGAGATGAAAAGGCCTTTCTGGGGCGTGATGCGCTACAGTACCACAAAGAGTGCAAGCATTGATACAATATAGGCTTCCAGTATATGATTCCTACGTAAAACTTCAAGTAGCGCTATGAGGCAGGCTTTTGGGGCTCGTCGTGTTGTTCGGGTTCGTAATTCGTGTCTCCGTGTGGCGAAAGTACCGCAGGCTCAGGGGCGGTAGGCACAGGTACCTGCGGACGAGATGCTGCGGCGTGTAGCCTCTGATCCAGGGCTTTCAGTGCCAGTGCACGTCTCCTCTCCGCTTCGGCGCGAGTTGTTCCTCCCCTCCCACCTCGGCTGTTCGGATTCATGATGCTGGGCAGACCACCTTCGGCGCGCGCACTGGCCTGCTCGTTACCTGCATCGATATCTTCGGCGGAGAAGGGTGTACAGATTCTCATGGAGACCAGAGTGGCGTAGACTTGGTCGGCTATGGATCCAATGGGGGTCTGTAACGGCTCGGGGAAGAAATGAGCAAAGGAAAATGTGTCGGAAGCGTCGCCCTTGATGACAGATCCGTCTCCAGTTGCGGCCGAGGATATAGAAGGGGTGACACGGTAGAAGCGCAGGTATATCCAAGCAGTGAAAAAGCCAAACCAGGCCAAGAACATGGCCGTTTCGGTGCCTAGTAGAAGGCCTGAGATGGTATTGGCGAGGAGGAATATGGCGGGGAAGTGCTTCACGCGCATGCGGACCAGGCCTTTTGCGATCGCTACGGTATGTTCGGGAACGAGCTGCTTCAAGGATACAAGAAATCCAGCCTGAATGGCAATGCCACCGGAGATGGTAGTGTTCCTAAAGACATTAGTGCAAAAGCGCAGTTAGGGAGAGGCAGTTACTCACAAAGCAGCTTCGTTCTTGGAGAGAAGATAGCCAAAAGCATAGAGCAAAAAGCTGAGGAGGTTCGGAATCATAGCTACGAACAAGACAAACTTTGTGAATTCGGTGGAGCCCCATGCGCGTTCGAGATATCGGCCGCCGTAGAAAATGGTCAAGCCAGTTATGATCAGACCGAAGACATTCTGCTCAACAACAGTGGCTAGCAGGAATACCCAGGGATAGATTATGGATACGCCGGGAACGATGGAGAGATAGGGCACGCCATTGCCGACACTGACAAAGGGCTTCTCGGCCTTTTCGCGCCAATCTGGGGTGGGCCGAAGGGCGAAGTTGAGGAGGGTGAAGAGAACGAGCGAGGCGAGCAGGCTGCGGGTCAACGGGGGCAGGTTGATGCGAGCCATGGGGCGGCAGTGGCGTTGGGAGAGCGGGGGTGGTGGTGATGATGATACCAGAGGCGTGGAGGTTGACGATCACGATGTCGAGTTTGGTGTTGACGTGGAGGACATGGTAGCTCTTAGCCGCATGTGCACAGCTAATAAGTGGGTTAACCCAGGGTGGAATGGATGGGTGGCTGCGTGCATGTCGAAGGAAACAGGCAGTTTCCCCCCCGCACGGATCATCCGCCGCCTAACTACTCTTCTTCCAGCCCATGGACGGCCAGAACAGTACCTGACTGCCAGTGTCTACCTACCTGCACACGCACAACCACGTCTTCTTCTATCACCTCACGCCCGCCCTCAAACCGCCCGCCCGTCCATTGCTATCGCATCCACTCTAACCCAGAGCCCCGTGCCAGTCCATCTCCGCTGCTTTTGCTCGCTCGCCCGCCTCGCCCGCTGCACGCACTCGCGCTGCATTAATTCCCTATTTGGTCTCGGCGCGCGGCGCTGCGACTGACGATGCGCAATGACCATCGAGCCGCTTTCAAGCAATGTTCTGAACTACCTCGTATGGCGCTATCTACAGGAAGCCGGTACGCTACACACACTTTGCCATCTGGTGATGCATCCGACGGCATGCTAAGCATGATATAGGCTACGGTAATGCCGCACTCCACCTCTCGCGATGCTGGAACCGTGACCCGGACTCTCTGCCCTTTGCGCCCAATGTCCAACCCCATACTCTCGTCAACCTCCTCCAAGATGGCCTTTGGTTCGATAAGCTGCAGGCCGAGGCAGGCAATGTACGTCTACGTCCGCTCGATCCATCCCCCCACACAGCACCACTGACAGGAACCCCAGGTCGACCAGCGTTACCGATTTGGCCGCGACCATGGCCGGCCGTATTCAGTGCGCAATGGGTCTCTCCTGACCTTGGATCAAGGCGTGCCAGCCCACGTCCTTGCTGAGCAGGCGAACGGCGATGGCCCCGTGCAAGAACCCCCGCCCAAGCGCGGCGTCAAGAAGAAGTCGAAGCCAAAAGCGAACGGTGTTCCCGAGCCGCGTGTGCCCGAGTTAGTCAATGGCGATGCAATGGAGCTGGACCAGAATGGCACAATCCATGTCAATAACAGTGTGCGCGAAGAGTCAGAAGCCGTCGTCTCAGAAAACGAATCACCCACCGTAGCTGAAATTCCGCTGTCCACTCTGAGCATCGGTCAAAGTACCGAGATACAGACCGAGACCATCGCCAACCTGACACCCAGCACTACTTTTATCCCTGGCCTGAAGCATATGGACAAGACCGTCGAACACACTTCTTGGGGCCCTGCCGACGCTCCCTTACTGCTGACTGCTGGCAAGTCTCTCCTCAGAATCAATGTTATCGGCAAGGATCCTGCCAAGGTTCCAGGCGTCGAACCCTTGGACCTCGAAATGCCTATGCAGAATTACCAGGTCACCGCCTTGACCTGGAACTCGGCTACTGAAATAACCGTCTCTGCCCGCGAGGAATGCAGGAATGAGGTAGGCGAGAAGATGATGACCGATAAGCTTATCCAGATCACAGAGGGTGGCGAGGACTATCGAGTCATTTCTTCCACTGCTGGCCTAGTTAATACCCTCCGCTGGAACAAGGAAAAAGAGCTGCTGCTGTCCATATCCACAGACGGGGAACGGGGATCCATAAAAATATGGAAGAACAACCACGATTCCATACCAGCCTGGATAGACTTTACAGACACTGCTATATTCGACGCGCTTTGGATCAGCGAGTCGGCATTCGTGGTATGCGGCATCAATCTTTTCAAAATCTATGAGGTCGGGGACACGTTGACCACCCAACGGACTCTGGAAACGCAAGTGACGTGGGAAACTCTCAAATACGAGCCTTCGTCGGGTATCATTGCTGCGCTGGGCATGGAGAACCAGTCCAATTATCTCGGCATCTTACACCCAGACGACTCTCTCAACCTGCAGACACACGAATATCCAGACCAATACCCTACCGATCTTGACTTCAGACTGGGCACCGATAGTACTATTTTCTCCGGCGCTCCCTTTGGAAACAGTCCATCACCTCCTATACTGCTGTCCAGCTGCTCAATGTCAGGAGTGGTCCGGATGTGGGATGCCAATGCACCTTTCAAGTGTATCAGGAGGTTGTCCACCACAGACGGTAGTCAGGCTTTTAAAATAGCGTTTTCTCCCGATGGAGGGCTCTTGGCTGCGGCGGGGCCTGACGCTGTTACTGTGTGGGATGTGGAGAAGAGAGAAGTGCCCATTGCTAGCTGGCGTGCAAGAGAATGGGGCCACGACAAGTGGGACCCAAGTGTTGATGGAGAGTTCAGTCTTGGGTGGGACCCTGATGGGTCGCGGCTGTCGATAGCTCTTGGAAACCAGGTGGGTCTCTTCACGCATGATGGATCTATTGACCGTACTAATCACAATTCCCAGATTGCCATAATTCCAGTGCAAAGATAGTCGCGCCTAGAATTGCATCGACGAACCCCCGCGACCCTCGCAGAACGTCTTAAATAGCGAACCGCCATGTTGCAGAACCGAAATCACGAAGATGCTCGCGACGAGAAAGAAAGAATGTAGTGTACACTTGTACGAATACAGAAAGCCGAAAGAACAAGAAGATCCGTTCCTCGGAGGCGAATGCTGTGCGCTAGCCACCCGCTGTCACGTGTCACTCCATGTCACCAGTCTCCTGGAGCGGGGTGGTGGGGGTGGGGAAACAAGGTGGCGCCAGCTTACAAACGTGGAGAAGGTCCATGCTGATAGGACGGCGCACACAAGCCAGGCTCCTTTTGCCGTCGCTGAAACCCGGTTACGAAGAGACAGGATGCGCTACGAATGCTAGAGCACTTCGGCACTTCGACAACAAGTCAGAGGGCATTGCGCGGTGGAATGATTTGAATCGTTATGGCTGGCCTGAAGACGCGACAAGGCCTTTTAAATACACGCGTACGGTTGCACAAGCATCTTGTCCACTCTTGTATTCTCTGTACTATTAGCATATAAAGCCAACACTTGGGGTGCTCACCTCCTTCATCTTCTCATCCCCTGGGCCTTGTTTCCACCCATACATTTCCCCAACCACCATGTCTGCTATCCCCAATCTACCTGAATTGACTCCGTTGGCGTCTACCAACGGAGTAGACGCCAATCTCACGAACGGCGTCGCCTCCAGAACTATCAAACTCCACGACCATCCTATCGACAACTCAAGACCTCTGAAAGTTATCGTGATTGGTGCTGGCTACTCGGGTATATACATGGGAATACGGATACCAGAAAGACTACGTAACGTGGACCTAGTAATTTACGAAAAGGTTCGCCGTCTCGCTATATATATACCACAGCCTTGGCTAACGAAAACTAGAATGCTGGCGTCGGTGGTACATGGTACGAGAATAGGTATGGGCGCCATATCAAAAGATCACGGGCAAACGACTGATTGTCATGGTACAGATACCTAGGGTGTGCTTGCGACGTTCCATGTCAGTGTTCTCAATTTTCATACCTCTTGTGAGCTCAACTAACTGGTAATAGCCCATTCTTACCAATTTTCTTTTGAACCAAATCCGAATTGGTCTTCACTCTATGCGCCGGCGCCTGAAATACAAGCTTACCTGGAAGCTGTTGCGAAGAAGTACTCTGCAGATCGCTTCATCAAGCTCTCACATCAGATCACAGAATGCAGATGGGACGATGCGGCTGCAAAATGGCACGTCACAGTAAAGAATCTCGTAACTGGCGAGATCGTGCATGATTCATCCGATATCCTGATTAGCGCACGAGGGAATCTCAACGACCCCGCATGGCCCAACATTGACGGCTTGGATACTTTCAAGGGGGAGGTGATGCATTCTGCGTCGTGGAACCAAAGGTATGCCTCAAACCCAACCGATAAATTTGAACAGCCATCTGACATGATTTCAATTAGTTATGACTGGGAAAACAAGCGTGTGGGCGTCATAGGTAGCGGCTCGTCTTCTATTCAGATTGTTCCTAATCTTCAACGTCTACCTGGCACACACATTTCAACTTTTGTAAGGAGCAAGACTTGGATTTCGCCCAGTTTCGGCCAGGACCTGTGGGACAAGCATGGCTTCAAAGGCTTCTCGATCCCCAAAGATCTGCAACAGCGCTTCATAGACGACCCCGAATACTACCAGCAATTCAGATTGGCAGTGGAAGCGGACGGAAATAGCGTACATGGCGTTACAATGAAGGGTACCGAGATGCAGACAGGGGCAAAAGAGGTGTTTGCGGCGAACATGAAGAAGAGATTGGAATCGGCACCCCATATCTACGAAGCTCTGCTACCATCGTTTTCGCCGGGTTGCAGACGGTTGACTCCAGGCCCCGGTTACCTCGAAGCCCTGACCCAACCCAATGTCGCTTTCATTACTTCGCCCATTACCCGTGTTTCTGAAAACGCAATCCATACCGCGGACGGTGTCGCTCATGAAATCGATGCTCTCGTATGCGCTACTGGGTTCCGCACCAGCACAGCGCCTCCCTTCCCTGTCATCGGCGCATCGAACCTCACCCTGGCTGACAAGTGGTCTAAACGCGCTACAAACTACATGTCGCACAGCTTTTCCGGCTTCCCCAACCTCGTCACCATGCTTGGTCCCAACTCGGCCATCGGTTCGGGCAGTCTGACCATGATGATTGAGACTGTTGGCGACTATGCCATCAAGGTAATCCGCAAGATCCAAAAAGACAACATCGCCAAGATGGAGGTGAAGCGCGAGCGCGAGGAAGATTTCACAGAGTACGTAGACGCATATTTCAAGGGAACAGTTTTCGACGAAGAGTGCAGGAGTTGGTACAAGAATCAAGCGACAGGCGACATAACGGGGCTATGGCCCGGCAGCTGTCTCGCTTGCATCGAGGCGATGAGAAGTCCGCGGTGGGAAGACTATGATTATGTCTATGTAGATGAGTTGGAGGGAGCCGGGGAAGGGACGGCAAAGAAAAGAGCGAACAGGATGTTGTGGCTTGGAAATGGGTGGACGCAGGGTGGACTGGAGGGCCGAGATTTGGCATGGTATTTGTACGATGGGTATGTCGACCGGCCAGTCGCGCCGTTTCCGGAAGAGACGGGGAAGTGGAAAGTCAGACCCTTCTCGTACTGAGGCGTGGTTTTGCTCGTTGCGAAGTTTGGATCAGTTGATCATCTCATAGCATAGCGCAGCGTAATATTTCAATGGAGACCGCACTTTCAACTTCATCTCAGCAAAGCAATTGATCACAAGCTAAAATGCGGGTTCTCTATGTACGCATCCCGATCCGGCTTAGGTCTGTTGGTCTGCGGGATTGTGGGGGAAGCCTGGGGACGGGGACAGCGGCCGAGGTTCAACTTCACATGCTGGCGGCTTCTGTCGACATGACGGTCCATTGATTCCATGGCATTGTCATGTGTCTCCAACGCTCACAACACCACGAACCACCATTCGACGGCCGCGCTAACTCATCTACCAGATATTCCCTCCGTTCTTCGTATGAAGGCCGACATTCAACACGAATGACGAGCTCATGCTAGCATTCCAACATGGCCGTCCTGTCCAAGTTCGCCCCGGCGCGGGATCGCCTTTCCACCGCATCAATCACAGCCATTGTCAATAACTTCACCAAAATTTACCTGGAGCATCGGACACGTATTTCGCGCGCTGTTTATCTTACCCTCTTTGTTGCCCTCATCAACCGAATCCGCAATGCGATTGCTGAGCAGAAAGCCGCGTCCGCGCGCGCCGCTTCCCGCAACACGTCCACGACGTCGGGCGCCGGAGAAGCGACTGGGCGCAAGAAGGTCGAGCTCAATCGAGAATTTTTCAAGAATCTGCTGCGTCTGTTGAAGATCTGTATACCTGGGTGGAGGAGCAAGGAGTTCAGGTTGTTAATCGGCCATAGCGTGTTCTTGGTGTTGAGGACAATGATCAGTCTGTATGTGGCTGAATTAGATGGTAAGCTGGTCAGCAGCTTGGTTAGAGGGAAGGGAAGAGATTTCCTGGTGGGATTGGTTTGGTGGATGACAGTTGCTATACCTGCCACATTCACCAACTCCATGGTATGTTCTTCGAGATACTGTGCGACAAGCACAGAGAAGCCGTGGGCTTGGAATTGACACACTACAGTTATCATACCATCAGTGTAAACTCTCTCTGCAATATCGGACACGACTCACGAACTATGTACACAACAAATACCTCTCGCATATGACATTCTACACGCTTTCTGCGCTCGACGACCGAATCAAGAACGCGGACCAGCTCATCACGGTTGATGTCGCCAAGTTCTCAAACAGCTTGGCGGAGCTGTACTCGAACCTGGCGAAACCGGTTCTGGATATGATAATATACAACTATTCTTTGTCTCGTTCTGTGGGTGGGGAAGGCCTCTTCTTCATGTCTCTTCTGGTGCAGCTTTCTGCCAACGTTATGCGCGCCCTCACACCACCATTTGGCAAATATGTCGCGGATGAAGCTCGTTTAGAGGGTGAATTCAGATTCCAACACTCTAGATTGATCGATAATAGTGAGGAAGTGGCTCTTTATCACGGACACGAAGCAGAAAAAGATACACTGGACAAGGGGTATTTCACGCTCATCAAACATGTCAACCGGATCTTGCGAAGAAGATTTTACCATGGTATTATGGAGGATTTCGTCATCAAATATTTCTGGGGTGCTCTGGGTTTGCTGCTTTGTAGTGTACCCGTATTCTTCAAAGTGCCAGGAGCGGGCGCGAAGAGTACGGGAGATCGGACAGAAAGTGAGTCCCAAAGCCTCGTAGCACTTTCGAATCTTGCTAACCAGGACTTACAGGCTTCGTCACTAATCGTCGTATGCTTCTCATGTCCTCTGATGCCTTTGGACGTATCATGTTCTCCTATAAAGAGATCTCCGAGCTGGCGGGCTACACTTCCCGTGTCTCAACCCTCCTCGATGTCATAGATGACATCCAAGCCGGCCATTTCGAGAAAAAGCTTGTCTCATCCGCTGATACAGAAGAAAATGCGGCTGTTTTGCGTGGCCGGGGAACCGTCACTGAAGGTGAAGACATCATGTTCAAAGACGTTCCCATTGTCTCCCCCAATGGCGATGTACTCGTTCGGAAACTCACCTTCACCGTTAGGCCTGGCGATCACCTCCTCATCGTCGGTCCAAACGGCTGCGGTAAAAGTAGTCTTTTCCGAATCCTCGGTGGTCTCTGGCCCGTCTACGGTGGCACAGTGCGGAAACCTCCGTTCGAGGATATCTTCTATATCCCACAGCGCCCTTATCTCTCACGCGGTTCACTTCGCCAGCAAATCATATACCCCGACTCCTTGCGGGAAATGCACGACAAAGGAATCACGGACGCTGATCTTCTTTCCATCCTTGAGGTTGTAGAAATCGAGTCTATTGTTGATCGACCCGATGGCTGGGATGCCGAGCAAGAATGGACGGATGTCCTGTCTGGTGGCCTGCAACAACGCGTTGCTATGGCGCGTTTGTTTTATCACCGACCAAAATACGCCATTCTAGATGAATGTACGAGCAGTGTCACACTAGAGATCGAGAGAGTAATGTATGAGGAGGCGAAGAAGCTCGGCATTACGCTCATGACTGTGAGTCACAGGCGAAGTCTCTGGAAGTACCACGAGCGAATCCTGCAGTTTGATGGACAGGGCGGATTTGTCTTTGCAGAGCTTGATGCAGAGAGAAGATTGGTTCTTGAGGAGTAAGTATTACCCTTTTTATCTATTCACACTCTCGAGCTATGTAGAGTCCGAGTGGAGCTGTGCTAACTGTTATTGCAGTGAGAAAGAAGAAATCGAATTGCAGTTGAGGGCGGTACCCGAGATTGAAGAGAGGATAAGAGAATTGACTTCAACCCAGTGAATCATCTAATTCATATGCCTGGCTATACTTTCTCAGAGTTTGGCGAAATAGAGGCCGTGTTGTACTTGTATGAAGCTATCGCCCACATTGGGCAAACATTGACATGAACTTTGATCTGTATGCAAAGTAGATGTGTTACTGTCATAATTTGCTATATTGAAATTCATGAGTGAATGGCTTTCAAATCCTTGGGTGCGTTAATAGAACGTTCTCATGTGTTTATACAATTCCTGATTGGGATTGGCGGGCCCGGAGAAGCCAAGACATTTCCGAGCTCACCACTGTTTATCGAACAGGTCATTACCTACATCCCATCATTTGATGCCGTTAAACACGGCCCCGCACGTCTCATAGCCGCACCAAGGGTGACCTGAGCTCAGGAATTCATTACTCAAAGCATCAAACAGCTTCTATCTCCTGAAGGACAGCTTGTTCCACGCGTTCCGCTGTCCTGCGACTTTTGAAGCTACCCCCGTTCCGACGCGAGATTCCACATACCCACCCCCAACGATGGATTTCGACGTCGGCGATGTCGTCCGTACGGCAAACAACAGGTTGGGAACAGTCCGATACATAGGAGGCGTGACAGGGAAACCGGACACATGGGTCGGATTGGAGCTAGATGGGCCTGAAGGGAAGAACGATGGATCGGTCCAAGGCGAACGTTATTTCGATTGTCCCCCTTTACACGGCATCTTCACAAAATACTCAGATATCACACAATTGGTCTCACCTGCATCAGCGCCTGCTCCGTCGCCCTCACCGGCTCCACGGAAACCCCCCTCGCGGCTCGGTGCCAAACCCCCTGCAAAAGCCCCTGCCGCCAGACAACCTTCTGCTACCACCACACGATCGCAGCGACTTTCGAGCGTCGGTTCCGCTAGTGCTGCTACTGGGACACGCTCACCTACGAAACCCCCTTCGAGACTCTCCGGTGTTCTGTCGCCCACAAAACCTCCCTCGAGACTCTCTGGAGTCGCATCGCCAACAAAACCAGCCCCACGACGACTTTCTGGTGCGAAACCACTCACACAATCGCGTCCCTCGCTTAGCCAGACACGATCTCCAGCTCCTGGGACAACAAGACCTTCGTCGCAAACCTCTCGGCCTTCAAGTGGCATTGCTGCAACGAAATCTGCTGCGCCGCCGCCGCTCGCTAAACGCCAATCACTCGGCGGCTCATCCGCTGGGGGGATTCGACCTGGTCTTGCCAGAAAGCCAAGCGCGACACCGTCTGCCACATCGTCTATAAGTGCAACATCACGGAATGCAGGGGCGAGCTCAACAACATCGGCGGCTTCGAAAACGCCCAAAGACCCGGCTTCGCAAGCACTGGAGACTAAAATCCGGCAACTTGAAAAGCAACATGCGGAGCAGCAGACCACTATCGAGGAACTGATGCCGTATAAGACGAAATCGGAGAAGCACGAAGCATTGGCACTGAAGGTCTCCAAGAAATATCAAGAATCGCACCAGGAACTTCAAGAGGCAAAACGCGAGGCATCAAGTGCTACCGCAGAGTTGGAAAAGGCAAGGGAGGAGTTTGAGATTAACCTCGAGAGTGCAATCCTGGACAAAGAAACCGCAGAAGTAGAAAGAGACCAGCTTTTGGATCAAACCGAGGTGCTCAAGGCCACTATTGAAGAGCTTCAATTAGACAAGGAAATCTACGAAGCGGAAGCGGAAGCCTCGCTCATCGTCGATGATGACATGTCGGATGAACAGGCACAAACCGTACATATACGCAAATTACAGGCTGAGAATAAGCGACTTCGATCGGTCATCGTGGATTTCAGAGACATCGACAAGGAGCGTCAAGCCGACACCAAGAGGCTCAGAAATGAACTGGAAGTCACAACTGAATCGGCGGAAGAAAGTACGAAGCAGTGCACTGAGTTAAGCCTCAAGGTTGAGCAACACGAATCTACCATCACCACTTTACAGGAACAATTGGATGCCAACAATGAATGGGAAGAGATGTTCGAGGAACTCACTCATCGTGTGAGTGATCTAGAAGAAAAGAATACTCGTCAATCGCTCGAGATCAAGGAGCTTGAAATGGTGAACGAAGTCAGCACCGAAACGATTGCCGAATACGTCGAGTTTACAAACGACTTGCAAGCCGAAGCTGGCCTCCGGGAGACCGAGCTTGCAGAAATGTCAAGAGAGCTGGAGCAAGAGCGTATTCAAAACGCACAGAAGGACACTACCCTAGCCAAGTACAGTGAAGCGTTCTCAGACTTCCAGAACCAGCTTCAAGATCAAGACATGCAGCAGCTCATGAGCGAAGAGAAGGCACAGGGTATGACGGACAAGTTCAACAAGATGATGGATCTGCACCGCACTCTACAGGCTGACAGGGCCAAAGAAACGGCCAAGACGATTGAAACTGAACTTACTAAACTGTCGGAGAGGGAGGCCCGGGAAGAGTTGGAGATCTTGAAGAACTACCTTCCCGAAACCTCGGTAGATTACATGGACAGTTCGCTGCGCACTTACTTCAGAGCCAAGAAGATTGCCTACAAGGCTTCTTTGGTCGGCTCCGTTCTGACCGGCATGGAAACTTTCACCAATGAGGGCACTGAGAAGGTTCTCACCAACGTCTACCGCCACGATACGGTCCATCACCTTGATTACATCCGGAGCCACGGCGAGCATTTCGTGGCGACCCTCGCCAACTGCACATTAGAGCAGTTCAGAAGGGCCGTCACCGAATACGAAGATATTTCTGTGGTGGAAACAACAATTGAGCGCACCCTGGATAATCTGAAGAGGGATGAATTGAATATGAAGGACCTCTCGGAATCCGTCCGCGGCACCGACAAAATTATGCGTGGCATTACCTCTATATCACAACGCTTGTCTAGCGTTCGCCCAGACAATGATCTTGTGTTATACGTGTCGCTACTTCGGTCCAGCCTTGAGCGTATCCGGGCTTCATTCGATGCTGTGAAGCAGTACACCCAGCTGGTCGCCGATTTCGAGCCAGAAACTGAGGATCGTCTTGACGCTCTCGTGGAGCGCTTACGGAAACCCCAGACGACTGCACTGGAATGTATTAGTGTTGTTGGAAAGCTCAGCCAAGCGCTTCTCACTCTCCAGAGTGATGATCTGTATCCGCAATTTCCCTCTGGTGCGCAAGAAGTTTTGGAGATTAGCGAAAGTCTGTCATCTTATGCAGACAAGGCCCACGAATTCACGAGACAGGTGATTGCGTTCGATCCCAACGAAGAAGAAGAAGACGAGACGCCTTCTATCGACATTGAAGAGCTCACTGCCGCTGTGGATAAGGCCATGAAGGTCTTTTCGCCCAAGGATATGGATAGTATATTGAAGGACATTAAGAGTAGTGTTACGCACTGGTACGAATACGCTTCCGTCCTCAACAACACTGCAGAAATCGAACGCCTGCCCTCGCCGTGGGTAGTCCGCGCCCAAGAGATCGAAGCCAGCAAAAAGCACGCCATCGATTCAGAGAAGAAGCTTCAACTCCTCACTGCCGAACATCAATCCACCCTCATCCAAATTCGCGAACGCGAAGAAATCATCGATACCAAAGATCTCGAAATCGAGCATCTGCGCGCCAAGCACAAGGAGGCCATCACCAAAACCGAGAACCTCGACGCCCTCCAGAAAGAACTGCAAGAGACCAAAACTGAGCAAGCAACGCACAAACGCGAACTCAAGAAATACGTCGAGGAAATCGAGCAGCTCCGGCAAAACGCCGCCGAAACACAGCGAGCCTCGCCAAACGCGTCTACAGCAAACGCCGGATCTGCAGACAACAGCAACAACGCAGCTGCGCCCACGACGGTACAAAAGATTGAAAAACCTGCGCTCGACAAGGAACACCTTTCAGGCTCTTTCGCCACCTTCATCAATGCCCTCAAGCAGGAAAACACGTGGCTCCGTCAACGCGAATCTGCCAAATCTATGGAACGCGTCGCCGATTTCTTGCCCCCGCTCCGCAAGGCGCCGGATTCGCGGGACAGAGTTGCGAAAGCTGAGGAGCTGCTCGAGATGGCGTGGACCTTGCCATCTTTCTCCGAAGAAGAGGACTCCGAAGAAGAGGATGTTGCTGACGAGAAAGTCAAAACTACGGCTCCTCGGCCCGCAAAACGCGGCTCCTCTTTGCGTCTTGTGAGCAATGAGGAGAGCGCGTTCATGGAAGATTTGTGCTTTTTGGATCTTGAGCCTGTTGCCGACGGATTTGAGGAGTTGCTGCTTGCTGAGATGATGAACTAATTACTTGATGAGAGCGAGTGCGGCAGCTTTTTTGATGAGTTCAAGATGGCTATAGTTTGGGGGTTATTTTCACTCTCTCTTGACATCTTCGTATGCCGTTTCGGAACATTCGCATCTTCTGGTCCCACCGTCTTATTATTTGTGTAAAATAAAGAAGCTATATACCCCCGCGACCACCTTTTCGATATGAATAAACAATTTTTAAATCATTCTTCCCTCTCTGTGTGTATGAATATTGTTAAGAATACGGAGGAGAGAGAAAGAGAGAAATAGCATTTTAACCCTTGTTTTGACCTGAGAAGTGAAAAGAGAAAGGAAAGGCATTCAGGTACGCTTTTAGCCCTCGACAACGTCAGTTTACCAACTTCTCTTACCCAAGCAGATGCATTTCCGACGCAACCAATCTGTTAAGTCTAACCCAAACCACCCACGCCAACAAAACAATACAAAAGAAGAATAGGAGCACCAGGAAACCCTCCACACAAACATTCGAATTTCAATCCACACTCCCCCACTGCGCCTGCTCAATAGCCGGCCTCTCCTGCCTCAACTTGGCATGAAGCTGCGCACTCTCATCCACCCTCTGCGTAATCTGCAACTGCCTCTTAACATTACGTTCGTATAGATCTTCCTTCTCCTTGAGCGCGCACCGTTCCACATTCGCGCGATGCTCGACCTCGGCCTTCCTCGCCTCAACCAACTTCTTCTCCGCTGCGAAAGCCGCAGACGCTTTACGGTTCTCGTACGCGGCTCGCTGCTCGGCGGCCTCGCGATCCTGGTCTTGCAGGAGGCGGTGCCAGTTTGCTTTTTCGGCGCGCTTCATGGCTTCTGCGTCGCGGACGCGCTGGAGCTCGAAGTCGTGGCGCTGCTGCTCGAGGGCTTGCGTGCGTTGTGCGGCTTGTGCGGCAGCGGCGAGGGACGCGTCCTGGGATTCTTTGGCGCGGCGGAGGGCGTCGCGGTGGGCGGTTTCCTCGAGTTTACGTGTGTGTTCTGAGGCTTCGGTGGCAAGCTTGAGGGAGAGTTGGTGTTCTTTTTGGCGGTCGGCGAGGCGCGCAATGGGGGGTGGCATGCCGATTGCACCCTGTGGCTGGATTTCGGTCTCTGAGTAGTATTTTGGGAGGCAGGCTTTGTCGCGGAGGAGATTCAAGAGGTCTGTTTGGCAGCGTGTGCGGCTGGGTGATGGGACGAGCTCGACGTATTTGAGTGGTGAATACCAGAGATTTGTTGTTAAGTCGTGGTACATGTGCTCGGCGTCGTTGAGGTCTTCCCAAACTTCGGTCTCGAGAAGGGCGTCGGTGACAGCGAGGGTGCTGTAGGGGTTATCGAGGGCGAGAACAAGGCAGGATTTCTCGTTACGAGCTTGGAATTTGGCGGTGGCACCGTTATCGAGGAAGAGACGGATCAATTGACGGAGTTTAATTTGCTGATTTCCTGTGGTAGCATGCGCGTTGAGACATAGCTCTCCCAATGCGCTTCGTCCGTTGTGGAGTCGAGAAGGGAAATTTGGTTGGTGGCCGTGCTGGACCAAAGATTTGGCAATGTCGAATTGTAGACTTCTAGCGGCTTCGTGAAGACTACCATCGTTTTTAAGTGCGGTAGGTGACAAGAGTTCCACAATCGATAGAACAGAAGCACTACTCGCATAGAAAAGCGGAGAACGATTCCACCTGTCACGGACCGAAGGATCAGCACCCCGTTCCAAGAGCGTTTCTACAATGTCTGCTCGTCCCTCACGTGCTGCAAGCGCTATTGGAGGAATTTCCGAAACTGATGTAGACCTTGTTGGAGAAACTCCAGCATTTAGAAGAGCCAAGATGACGGAACTCGAGATCATTTTCTGTGGCTGCGCTAACGACCATGTAAGAGCGGACAGTGTCTCTTCACCAACGGATTCTTCCACTGTATCGTTAACAGATATGTTAGGATTACAGCCGTAGTGCAGTAACAGTAAGTCCACCAGAGATTCACTTCTAGGATATCTGGCTAACACTGATACCAACAAGGGTCTATTGGATGCTTGATCGTAGCTAGCCTCGAGGTCGTCTGATGTGCAGTTGTACTGGAAACAGAGTTCGAGTAGCTTGACTAGGGTCGACTGGTTCAAGCCAGCATCAACCAATCTAGGCACTAGTTGGGTGAAGTTTGGCTGATGGTGAAGAAGCTGGTCGAAAAGCGCATAACTGTTTCTTTTCGCCGCGAACATGAAACATATGCTATCTGCAGCATTTACGTTTGCATGATTACGAAGGAGGAGATCAATCAGTTGCTGATCATTCGCGGTAAAATTGGCCGGATCCAACACCGTGGGCAATACCGAGTCAATCGCGGACTGATCTACACCTCGATCCAGTAGCTCTTGTGCAATCTCCATGCAGTTTTCCAACTTTCCCGAGCTACAATGACTTTTATAATCGTAGAAAAGAGCCAAGAAAGCTTTCGTGACGATGGAGCCGGACGGCCGATCCCTTCCTCCAAGAAGCAATTTCACGAGTGAAGTATCTGCAGATGACACAGCGGTCTGGAAAGCTTCGCCGTCGTTCTCCAACACAGATGCCCCGTGATCTATCAGGAGCTCCACAAGAGCTTTATTTCGACTTGCCAAAGCAGACTTCGTTTCGACGGCCAATGCTCGGTCTAGCGCGTCCTGTGGAATACCTTTGGTAAGGAGAGTTCGCATGATAGGTATCTTCATATCCACATTGTCCAAGCTGGAAGCATACTCAAATGCGGGCTTAGACAACCTGGGGTCTTTAGCAATAAAGAGCTCAATAATGTCAATATTTGCAGTGCCTCCCTGTATGGCTATCTTCAGAGTCTGGTTAACCGGTCCGTCATCAAGTCCGTTTCCTAGAAGGATATTCATCATGGTAATAGTCGCGGAGTTTTTCAGGCCATTGGAGTCCATGGTGAGGGGCAGCGCAGTCGAAGTCGCATACGAGGAGGGTGCGGTACTGCAGAGCAAACGTAGAATATCCACGTCACGCTGTGTTACAGCCAAGTGTATCGCTTTACCGGCTTCAAAATTGACGTTTGCGCCATTGAGGACGAGTTCTTTGACAAGTGAGATGTCCCTGGAGGTTGTGTCACCAACCGCATCGATTAATGCTTGATCTACTTCGGGGCCCCGGGCGCCATGATGAAGAAGAATCTCCACCACCTCGATCCGCTCCACTGCAGTGTATCCAGACGTGATTTGAGTGAACGCCTTCGATAAAGATTGTGGTGATGGCCGGGAGCGTAGAAGCATTCGAAGGCTGTTGAAATCCTTCCGTGCCACAGCAGTTTGAATAGCATGGCTGTTCTCTGATGCAATACTGGTATCGGCCTTCATCAACAGATCCATCAATGCAGCATCCCCGTCCTCTACTGCACGAACTAGCCATCGTTGAAGTGGTTTCCCTTTAGCACCGTGGGAGACCAATGCAGTGATCACATGGAGTCTTTCAGGTGGAGCAGTTTCGGGTGACACAACTGCGAGTGCCACGGAAGCTTGAGCTGGAGATATCGAAGAATGCAATATTTTGTCGGAGATGGGCCAATTCTTGTTTTCTATTGCGTTTCGTAGGCATTCTGCTTGGTTGAGTTCTGTCGAGACTCCATTTGTAAGCAGTAACTGAGCCATTCCAGTATCGTTTCGCTTGGTTGCCGCTATGAGCAGTTCAGCCAGATGGGGGCTAGAAGGAGGTAGACCACAGCAAAAGAGCAGCTCCAAGAAGTTGTAAAGTATCTGAGGATTCGGCAATGTCAAGGTCGGGCCTAGTAATGTCTGCAGTGACGATGAGGAGAGAGGAGTTGGACCAGCCACCAACGCAACTGCTAACTTGAAATCTCGTTGCGAGATGGCCATCTGAAAAGCGCTGGCATTATCAAAATTTGGGTCCGCGCCATGTCCGACCAATAACGAGATAATCGGCTCGGATTGCTGATTCACAGCTGCAGGCAAGCACGAGGAAATAACGTCGGTCCGTAATGCCTTTGGTGCCCGCAACAAAAGTTGGACAAAGTTTTGGTCACCTGACCTCACAGCGTCTGCAAGAGCGTTGGGGAACTTGCCCGGATCAGCTCCATGGCGAAGCAACTCTTGCACGCATGGGTAATCGTGGGCACCAAGAGCAACTTTCAGGCCTTCATCCAGGGTAGTTTGGTCGGCTCCTGAACCTGCCAATAGGCTGACCGAATCGGCCCTCCTCGTCGTGGCAGCCCGTTGAAGCACCGTACTTCGTCTCCGCGCAGCATTGCTGGTCTGGTTTGCCTTGTTTTTCTTTCCATATATTTCGACAAAATTGACCTTTGCGCCAAGGTTTAAGAAAGCCTGTATTAAACCTGGGTTCGTTGCCGGGTTTTCGATCACGGATGATAAGGCTTGATCCAGCTCCTCCTGCGAGAAAACCCACAGGTTCGGGTCTTGAAGCTTCTCCTTCTCCTTTGAACTCTTGAAAATGCGTTTCAGTTGCTTTCCGGGCTCCTTGTATTCTGGGTTGTTCTTTCTCTGTTCGACTAGCATATGGCGAGCTAGTGAGCGATCCTCCTCGCTGACCAAAATGGCAGACTGAGACGCTGCAGGAAGAACAGGATTCCGCTCACGTACTGGCCTGACGCCAATTTCCCTCACAAGATCATGGATAGTGCGTCTGGCCTCCATAGCTTTGCATTAGTTGGATATCACTATGGCAGAGAGCGAGAGTCATTATATGAAGTGTATGATGTTGATAGCATTTATTGAAGTACGTAGTAGAGGATGTGATTGCGTAGTCAAAGACGAGGCTGAGCAACTGCATCGGGATGGTAAAAGGCTCTAGTCTGAATATGGTTAGAGACGGAGATGGACTTAGTCATCCGCTTCTCCAATTCTCCGGACTCTCTCTTCGTCTCTCATTCATCGACGCTATACCATCAAATTCGTGTACACAATTGTATGCAAAGGTGAGTGTATGACCTCGCGTATTGTACGCCCATTAGCTGCTCAGTTGTTCGTGAACGACAACGTCTCGATCTGAGGCGGCGGCGATTGACGAGTGACGAGGGCTGGGGTAAACACCTGTTGCACAGCCTTTTTAGGCGGGGGAAACATCCCAAACAAAACTCCACCCGAGTCATAGCATGAACTACGAGACACACAGGCTATACATATGATACCGCGCGATGTGCGCGCTGCGCAATAGAGGTGTGTCACTGCTGCGCTTCGAATCGTTTCAGCATTTCCAAACATACGATTATGTTTATTGTGAGAGCAGCGGTTTTGATGGCTATCATGTGCGTATTCGACGTTCTCGAGTGGAGGATCATGAGGATCACTGGGAACAATGATGTACGCGTAACAGCTTGTTCAATGGAGCCGACTGAACCGTAGGATCTGCTTCGCAAAGCGGCTGTTTCGTAAGTGACAGCGGGTTTTTAGCCACTTTTCGTCAATATTGGACTGTGTCGCGTCCATTGTAACGAAATCTGCAGGTACAGTCTCAGACTACTCCATAAGCATACACCAAGTTGTTGGTTTCTACAGCTCGCAGCATACCGGAAATACTTTGGGATCGATTCAACCGCCCCATCCCTGCCATTCTCCACCAATGCGTACAAGTCGTATGTATCATCTAACGAAGTTGGCCAAAGCTCTGGATCCCAGCCATCCCCCATGTTTCGAACATTTGGCCCCATCTAACTGTTTCTAGCTCCAGTACGCTGTCTACACGGGAGTTACTGCTGTCAGCATTCGTGAAATCAGGCGTTTGGACAACCACATCAAACATATCTCCATGTCTAGGAGAAACACTAGTGTTTGAAACTCGTAGAACACATACCGCCGCCCCCCAATCTATCATCGCCTGCCGGATTGGGCACGCTCCGTGGTCTGGATGGGACTATATATTGACACCCGGCGCCTCTGCATCAATATCCAACTGGCATCCTCGCTATCAAAGCCTTAGCAAGACTCTTACCCGGTTATCTTCTCCTTTATCTACTTTCAATTCTATAGAGCTCTGGTAGCTCAGTTGTCTATTATACCAATACTTCTTTCCTTCACTCTATCATCAAAAGCTCAAAAGTTTGATTTCTCGACCATTCAAAATGCATTCGACTATTGCCTTTGCTTCCCTCACCCTTCCTCTCGCATTTGCCGCTCCCTACCGTCTTCCAAGCGAAATCCTCCCCCGTCAATCAAATGCGACATGCGATCTCAGTAGCACTCCTCAACCCGCAAACACCATGACACCTCCGGCCGCAGATCTCACTCTCGCGCTGATTGCAATGGGACGTGGTACGCAAAACTACACCTGCGCGGATTCCACTGCCACAACCGTACCCTCTGCCATTGGCGCACTCGCCGACCTCTTCAACGCATCTTGCGCCGTTGCAGATGGTCTGCCTGAGCTTGGTTCCATCCTTGAAGATGCCGCATCCATTGGCACGCACTTCTTTGTCGACAACACCACCCCCGAGTTCGACGTCATTGGTCTCGGTGAGACCCAGGCCAAGAAAGTAGAGTCTATGCTTGCTCCAGCTGCTACCGACGTTCCCTGGCTACGGCTCGAGGCGCAACAGCAGGGCACCACATCGCCGGTCAAGCAAATCTACCGCCTGAACACAAAGGGAGGTATTGCTCCTAGCAATTGCGAGGGCCGCGTAGTAGGCGAAACGATCACTGTTGAGTACGAGGCACAATACTGGATCTATGCCTCCGAGTCTGAATTGGCTGCGAGGAAGAAGAAGAGGAGCGTCGGTACTCCCGTCGCCTAGACGTTGGCAATGCCTCATTTTGCCGCTTTCGCTGGGCGCTTGTACATCTTGAACTGTCGCTGAAGAAACGGTCTTCTTTCTCAGGCAGAGACAGTGGTAGTTGATATGTTGTGGTGTGTTTGTATTCTTCTTGTTCTTCTTCTTTTTTCTAGGATACCTCTTTTGGATACCTGTTTTTGTATATATAGGTTGGAGAGCTTTGCGGAGCCCGATGATACCAGCCCTTTCTCATGATCCCCCAATTCCATAGCAATTAAGCTCTGTTGATATATGCCGATTGATCCCTTCATGTGTTTTTTGCTTTTCTTTGCACTCATACTTTCCATTGCAATGGCAGTCAATGCAGTGCAAGTCATTCCCTATCGAAAAGTCCCGCCCAGACGTCTTTGGCTGACACGATTTGAACACCCGCGAGAAACGAGGCATCAACTCCCTTCACTCCTCCACAAAACCATCAGTCCCGCAATGTTCTATTCTTCATCGTTGGTAAACCGCCTTATACACCGCCGGCAACTCCGCCGGACGATGCCCATCCAACTCCATCGGGCGCTCCCCCCTCGCCCCCGCGAACCGCGCAGAAGCCCCATCCAACTCATTCGGCGAAGCCTCCACCTGATACCGATACTGCATCAACGGCACAGTCGGCGTGAAGCTCGCAAGAGGCGCAGGCGGCAATTCATACGCTTTGTGCGTGTTTTCCAGTATCGCGGCTAATTCTTTGTTCTTCTTTCTGCGCTTCAGGACGAGGAAGACGATTGCGATGAGGAGGCCCATGATGAGGATTCCCATTCCGACGCCGATGCCGATGCTGGCACCTGTTCCTAGGGATGATTGGGTGTTGTTGTTGGTGTTGTTTGGTTCGATTGATGTGCTTGTTCCTGATGTTGGGCCTGCGTTGGGGTTTTCATTCGATGTGGGTGTTCGGCTTGCGCTTGTGCTGATAGTGGTACTGGAATCCGACGTTTTGGTGGCGAAATCGAGGTTATTGCGTTTCACGAGGACAGCGTATGCATTTATGGCAAAGCCCATGGTCCATGTTGTTGTTGTGGATGTGGGTTGTCCTACTTCGGACGAAGTGACGGTTGTAAGGAACTGGTTTCGAACGATGTATTCGCATAGTAGGGTCGTGAGGAAAGGGTGTTGAGTATTTAGGTTGTTGGTGGTTTGTGGTCGGTACAAGTCTATCGTAGGACAGCACACTTCAGCGGTTTCGGTGAGGGTTTCTGAAATGATCTTCGTGGTTCCCGTCGCTGCTGAGTACCCGCTAGGACATTTCGCGGGCGAGTAGTAGGCGGTAGAAGCAGGGTTGTAATTTGGAGGGTAGCAGTCTTCTGCCCTGTCCAAGGGCTGACCGAAGAAATTGTACTCGTGCGAAGTGGTAGAGGACGTGCGGAGCAGCCTATTCTGGAGTCAGTAAACGAAAGAAGAATATAGCGAGAGGGATAATGCGGACCAGTATGCGCTTGATGCCAAACAAGATGGCGCAGGTGTAAATTGCGTTGTGAGTGCGCCTAGAGACATGACGGCAGGATATTAGATACTTCTTCACGATAGTCACAGTAAAATCACTACTGCATTCCAGAGTGGTGTTAAGGAACTTCAGTATGCAATCGGAGAAGAAGATTTGGTTCGACAGCCCTACAGTTCGAGGAGTCGATCTCGCAGCAGCAGAGAGCGCGCCCCTAGTCTAATAACGGTGCATACGCATTGCGTCTCTATCTCTCCGCGGTATCCAACTCAACTCCCGGGTGGTGTCTAAGCCCCAATTGTTTGCAATTTCTTGGATTCATGGGGGCGGAGAATAATTTGTCTCTTCCATTGGCTGTTGTCATCATTCGCATTAAAGGCAGAAAGTATGAGATGCACCCCTGCCAATAGTTCCAAGGTGCCATGGTAAGTTGTTGTGGTTTTGCAGATGTAAAGAGCTGAGAATTTGGTGCCGGGTCTTCTACAGCACGATTATTGCTGAGGAAAGGCACTCTCGAGATCTTAATCTTGATTGTGTTCTACGTCTCCAATCGCGTTGGATTTGGCAAGTCTGCCCTGCTGTCGCGCAGTTTACTTAACCGAGATTGTATGCATCTAACTCCGACTGCGACCGTGCGGGTATCAGAGTAGAACTTTTCCGTCTTCTAGCGTCTCTTCACTGTATCTGTATATGTTGAGTGTGGTTCTCGAAGTAATCTCCTGTGCTATGCTATTGGAGGCCGTTGCAGGACTTTGGGCGCTTAGCATATGCCAGCACGGTTTGTGGGGTGTGTTGAGATTGGTATCACGCCGGATTGATGAGGCATACGCACTTATTGAACTACAATGATCATAGGGAGTACATGCGAAATCAGAGAAAAGACTCATTCACCGCGAGGATTTCATCACGGAAAGAACTATAGGGCAGGTACCAACCTCTCAGGTCCCGTGAAGCTCGGGAACCGAGTAAAATATGTCGATACTCTCGTTAGCACAACCTGGCTATCTAAGTAAGATATGCTATGACCACGAAGACATCAGATGGTATAGCTAAGCTTGAATTCACACAAAACAAGGGACAATATTAGAAGAAATATTTTTATATATACCAAGAGTGGGACATTCTTAGTGCTTTGCAAACCAGCGTTCAGCTTGAGAGATAGAGATTAAGCGTACGCCAATCTTTCTTCCGACCATCCAGGCCTGAGCTCTTCAGCTTCGAATCTCGAACTCCAACTACTCTCCACCACGTACTCCGTCTCCATAGTTATTTCAACCTGAGCATCAGCGTCTCCTTCTTGGGACCAGATACTCAAGCCCAAGGTGTTCTCTCCTCCATAGTTGAGCACTCCCGGAGGTACTGGAAATCTCTTCTCATTACCAACGTAGGGATTAAACCTCGCATATTGATATCCATTGACCCAAAGCAACACCCTTATACTCTTTGCTTTTGGTGCATCGAACAAGAATGCAAACGAAGCGTCTATACTTTCAGGGACATCCAAAGAAAACGTTGTCCGATAGAATTGAATACCAGCACCGGTGAATCCTGCAGAGGGGCTGCTAGTACTCCAGGAAGAGTCGTCAAAGCCAGGTAGATGCCAGCCCAGACGCTCAGCGGTGAGACCGCCTTCACTCAAAGGTCCACGCACAGGATCAAGCTGCGTGCGCTCGCCGTTAGCCTCGCCTGCGATTTTCCATTGCTTGAAAGAAGGCGAGTCGGGACCCTCAAGGGTAGCTGAAAGAATACCACGCGGGTCGAGCGCGGCAGCGCGTAGGTCGTGGCCGGTGTTGTCTTGGGCAATGAGAAGGACATTCGTGCCATTTGTGTTCAATGTTTTGGCTGAGAGAGGAAGTGTCATATTTGATACACCGACGGTGGAGTTGCCGAGATAGGAACCGAGGAATTGGCCGTTAATCCAGGCACTCCATCCAAACGCCATACCGCCCTGCACAGCGAGTTGAACAGCTGTGGCGGTATTTCCGTCGAAATAACCCCGGAAAAGATGGAAGCTGTTATGGAAACCGTAGTCATCGACATACAAGACAGGTAGAGAGTCAGGCTTGGTCGGGTTGGGAGTAGTGGTATGATCGGCTTCCACCCAAGCAATGCCAGTATCGGTGTAGTTTGGATATTTCTCAGGTAGACCCTCGCTGACTTTCCAGGAAGACAAAGAGGGGACATTGATGGTAGTGTTGAGAGCCATCACTGTGGCTTTCAAGCTACCGTAAGTGGTTCTAGACGCGTTTACACTCTTTCCGTTCCATGTGAACGAGGTAGCATTCTGCGGTGCATACACTTCTATGACCGTGTCTTTGTTGAGATCTCCTTTCAACGCCAGAGTTCCGCCCTCCAATGCTGCGCTGCGAACCAAGTAAGGCCCATGTACCAAAACTTGCACCATGTTAGTCCGTCGTACTGTATAGCAACTTGGTCAGGAAAGGAGACGTACCGGATTTATCAACAGGCGCGAAAGGATCAGTATCCAAGTTAGGCGCCCAAAACAGGTAGCCAGTTGGTTTGTCCACAACGACGACTTTGACGCCATTGTCGAATCCAATAACAGTAGAACCATGGACTGCTGCAATTGAAGTGGTAGTACCATTAAGTTCAGCGTAGAAAGTCGCGTTTGCCGATCCTTGCACAGTTCCTTTGGCCGCGCCTTGAACATGAAACTCTGTGGCCTCACCAGCAACTGTCCAAAGAACTAGTACAGGAGCACCATCGATAATACCATAAGTCAAAACTTCTGCTGTTGAATATGTCAAGACATGTTCACCGATACTGAAATCGGTAACGAGTATCTTCGACTGATGGCCATTCAGCAAGATTGACCCAGCGTGCTGAGGAACGGTCAAGTTCCCTGCAGAGGTGCTCATGTGAAGCTTAAAAGACTCCCTGGTGGAAGACGACGATTGATCATGAATCAAAACATAGAAAGCAGCGTTCGTGTCAGGATTGCGCAGTTCAGTCGCCTGTACAGCAGAATTGGTGGTGTAGGAAGTGCTATTGCCAAGTCGATTCGTCACTGTGAGGTCTTTCGCAACTCTGGTGAACATGGCCAGATTCTTCGTTTCATAGTATTTGCTATCGATCTTGCGACTCTCGCTGATTGGGCTGGAGTAATCGTAGCTGGTCGCCACCACCGGGCAAGCAAATGCGCCCCAGTTCGTGCCGCCATACATCATGTATAAGCTTATGGCAGTCACTCGCTGGGAGATGAGATCTCTGTAGAAGCTGTGGGATGTCAGCGAGTTGCTTGCCTTCTGGGTATGTTAGCCTTACAGATTGGCGAAGTCAGCCCCGATATCTCCAGGACATCCTCCTTCCGGCCCTCCCCATGGGTTGTAACTGCCCCCTTGAAACTCGGGCATGAATCGAGGCTGTGTATTGGATGTTTCTATGAAGTGATCATAGTAGTTGATAGTTTGATATGCCACATACTCGCCATTGGTTCCTGTGCACTCGTCGAGGTTACAACTCCAGCACGAAGGGTAGCTGTCCAAACCAGCCACGTCGACGTTGCCCGTAGCATTGGGCGCGAAATCTTTCGACCACGACTTTGTATTCATATTAGGGTCGTTGTGGATGAGAGGAATGTCGATCCCATTTTCTCGCGCAGAGTCTTCTAGCGCTGCCATATAATTGCCTGCATACTCATTCGGTATGCGATCGTTGGCAGACGCACCAGTCCGATTCCATTGCTCGCCATACTCGTTCTCGATCTGATACACGAAAGCGTTTCCACCATTCGTTACGAGATGCTTGCTTGTAATCTCAGAGAACTTGGAGAAGTATGGTGTCCATGCAGCTGTATATCTGGGATCATCGTCGCGAAGCTTGCCATACGCTCCTGTGGTCGCCCAGAGTGGGAAACCGCCGGCGTTTGCTTCAGCATTTACGTATGGGCCTGGTCGCACGATCACATATAGTCCAACGCGCTTGGCAATCTCGAGGAGGCGTTCAAACCTATGCGCGCCGGTTTCGAAGTCGAGAGTCTGGTTGTTGGCGCTGTGCCATCCCCAGTTGCCGTAAAACGCGACTGCTATGGCGTTAGAATATGGAGCGTACCCAGCCAAAATTTGGAAAGTATCCAGGCAATAGTTCAGAGAGCTTCGGGACAACAACTCACAACTTGTAAAGCCGGCAGCTTTGATTTTCTCCAGTAAATCCTCCCAGACTTCTGGAACTGGGATTCTCCAATAATGCAATTCTCCCGAGAAAACAAAAAGCCTCTCTCCATTGATCTTGAAGCTATAATGGTCCCACTGTACCACCTCATTCAGGCCGTTATCATGGAGCGGCCATGAAATTATCTCGTCGTTTACCTGGCCACTCGCTTTGAGCGACAAAGTCGACAATGCTAGCCAAGATAGACTGTGCAGAAGTCGCATATTTGTCGAAGAAGTCGCAATGCGAGGAAGAGATAGTAGCTCGTGTTGCGGAACTGGATGAAATCAATTGCGCTTGAACATGCTTATATATGTACTTTGCCGCACCCTTGGAAGCTTTTAGCCTCGGAGCAGGCATAGATTCAAATCGCATAGGTACTAGCAAGCTTAGCTCGACGACTGATTCGCAATACATTTACGGCTCCTACTTTCGTGTGTAAAGCGATGTTCTAGCTCCTCGTTTTTAGAATTTTGTATTTCTTCGCGACCGTATAAAGCCTCTCCACAAAACTGTCAATACCATCGCCATATGAATCTTTCTGAAATAAGTTGGCTCGCATTTTTCTTCATAGATTGAATGTTCTTCATCAGCTCGATTTTCAAAATTGTGTCGCGAGCGCGAACGAAGTATGGAGAAGCCAAGCTCCACGGCATCGTCATGTACTCGGAGAGATGACGCCCAACGTGGGGTAGTGGTCTAGTGGAGACTTATCCCGGTGCAAGCGGCTGCTCAAATTGGTGGGATTATTGATGGTGTGAGAACCGGGAAAATTCAACGACTATGGCAAGGATATGGTATACACGGCTCGGAGGATCTGGGGCCGATGAGCTCGAACAGCGAATGGAATCTGGCGACAGGCAATAAAATCGGAGCTTTCTGTCAGGAACGCGACAGAATCCATGTGGAGAAGCCATTTTGTTACTTTGTTACTTTCAGGTTCAGGAAGTCTGAGTAGCCGTGTACGAGTGTGGCATGCTGATTTACAATGCGACAATGGTATTTCAGCAGCTAGAACGCGCTATCACATATATAATCCTCACTTATAGGAGTACTATCGCTCTAGATACTATACATTTAGAGGTCTCAAATGTTGCGGCGATGGGCAGGTATAAAGGGAAAAGTGACTTGGAGAAAAAAAGAGGTATGACTACCTGGAAACATTCGACCACTGCAAGGCCAAAGAAAAATGATCATAATTAGAATTCTAGGATGCTGCAATACGAATTAAGCGGCACAATTGATTGGTGGTCAAGTTCTTTTATTTTTCGTCCACCCACCATGCATCACCCTCCATCAACCTCCCACAAAATCAGTATTAGCAGCATCCAACATCAAAAAGAAAAAATGAACAACCATCAGCCCGATGCGGGGGTCGAACCCGCAACCTTGAGATGAGTATATCAATCGTTCTCTGGGAGAGTGATCTCTGTTAAGAGTCTCACGCTCTACCGATTGAGCTAACCAGGCTTTGAAAGCTTTGAACTTGAGTTGTTTGATGGGAAATTTTGGGTTTGTGTAAAATATATAGGCTAAACATTTGTGAAGAAATTTTCCAAGCAATGAATCGAGTGCGACGTGGTGCAAAAAATGTTTTCCATGGGTTAGTGGGCCGGTCAGAGACCGGAAACACTGCCGAAGATCTGCGCCAACGCCACCAATAATGTTCGCAGGATTACTTCTAGGAGTGAAACGCACACACGAGAACACGGAGGAACAGTTATATCTCTCTACAAATGTTGATGGTAAAAAGTTTCTAATGTTGTAGTTCGGAATGCTTGATGCCTGATTTGAATCCCAGAAAGTCAGTTTACAGACATTTTGTACAACATGAAAATCTCGTCCTTGACACTTCAAATAATTCGCAGATATCTCTGTGTATCGCGCGACACTCTGCGCTCGATTTTCAACAACTAGATTTATGTACATTTGGCTTGCTGTGCGATCTATCATGTGGAGCTTATTATCTGATTCATATATATATTATGCATACAGTTCACAGCTCTGGAGTCCTTTAAGATACCGTTTGGTGACTGAAAAATATATCAAAATCAGAATTTACATTTCAAATCGTGGATTGGCTCAAATTGCTCCGGATCGATAGCTTGATCTTGAGCTAGCTTAATATAGCTAGCGCGAGACATCTGATCTGGAGGCTAAGCCTCGCGTGCGCCATCCCTAGAGCGATGCAAGGCAGGTTTAAGCGAGGCAAGCGCGAGTCATAGCTCCGAACTTTCTCTCAACTCCCCACACCAGTTCACCAGCTTTCTACACATCAGCCGTCACCATGGCTGACGAAGACGAGGATGTGCCGAACCTGCAGGTTCAAAATGTGGAGGATGTTGAAGACGAAGAAGGTGGTCAGGAGTACCTGCGCACACTGAATAAATTAGCGTGCGATTGCAACTACCCCAAATCTGTTATGCGCCTATTGCTAACGTTCAAGACAGAGGTACTCCTCAGGGCGGCAGTATGTTGAGTCTTCCCAAGCGTGGAGAGAAGGACTTTGAATCGCACTCGACACAGCTCCAAGTTTCGACCCTCGAGACCTCACGCGCGGCCATGCACAGCGTGCTCTCGTGGCAGCGCACGCACACTTTCAAGAACCACGTTATCGCCATGTACGACGAGCCTTCTAATATGGTGTGTGTCGAGAAATGTAAGACAGCATTGTTCAACACCATGGGGCGATCGAAGGGAGGGAAAGAGTGGCTTTTGCCAGAGGAAGCCCTATTCATGATGGAGCGCGGGACTCTGGATTGTCGGTGGCCGGTGAACGCTGAAGAACAAGACCAAGAAGAGGGAAGCGAAGCAACTCTCAACATGCGATTGGGGGCGCCGATGAGTCTGCAAGGCGCGTATGCCGCCTTCCTCGGCTTTGAGGGCGGTGTTGGCGGAAAATTAACAATGGAAATGTACACTGTCTATGCAGGTTTGAAGAGAGCGGGTTACGTAGTATTCCGACACGGAGATTGGGATGACGACCACGCAGAACTGCAACCCCACAATCCGGACGCCTCTGGCACAGGTCCAGGAATCATCTCTCGTTTCTTCGCCGAACTCTGGCGTCGCCTCACTCAGCCAACATACCACATCCCAGCCGCGAACCTCGCATTCGGGCCACTCGTCAAGCCCGGTCTCTTTCGATCCTACGCCGATATATATCGCCTCATCCACTTGATCCCCGCACATACGAAATCCACCCCACCGCAATTCATCCTACCGCCCGATTCCTCCAATCCATACCGCATCCACTTCAACGTGTGGAAGACATCCTCCACCCACAAATTCCGCAAAGCGAACCGCCCGCCACCCAGTTTCCGCGTCTGCGTAGTCAACGCCCGGGAAACCTCTATACCCACAGCCGCACAGGTGAACGATCTCTTCGCCACCGTACCAGACGATCCACCCCCGACAACGAGCACCAACATCTTCCAGAAGTTGAAGCACGGGAAGCGCAACATCATACTCGCAATTGTGGACAACGGGATCCCGAGTTACCTGACACTTACAGATGCATCTTTCTCGGAAGAGAAGGTCTATGAGAGAGGTACAAGGGCGGGGCGAGGCAAAGGCGGTGGTCGAGGAAGAGGTGGTGGCAGAGGTAGAGGTCGCGGCAGAGGCAGAGGGAAATGAGTCATGTTGTACTCGAACCACAGTAGAAGAACAGCATGATAAGTAGGGAGGTGGACAACTCACATCATTACTTTCATGATCGAAACTGGAACTCGCTGTCTTCTGATACAGCGCAGCTCCCTCGAGCAGATATGTCGGCTGTAGAGCTTGTCTAGTCTCTGCCTTGATGAAGCCAGCGGCACATTCTCTACGCCGTTCGCAGACCATTCAATCATCTTTACCCCGCTGCCGATGATATTAGCAAAGGTCCACACTTTCCATGGTCCAATGCCGGTTCATATCTTAAGGATAAGGAACAGGTACGAGGAGCGCATATGAGCTCCCCATCTTACCACAGTGTTGCAGTGTACGCCAACGGCAGGTGAATCGCTAGATACACATCTGCATTTATACCTATCCAGACTGTCAACTTGTAGTAATGGCTAGGCATTGCTGGGCAAACAGGTAGTAACAGATTACTTTGCTTTGAAAACATAGTAGGAGACCAAGGCATCAAAGAATTATATTCAGAAGCCGAGAACATTTCAAGAAAGATAAAAGATCCCACATTTGACCATTGACGCATGGGTATTTCGTAGTACGATGAAACATGTGTGCTAGTGAGCAGTATGCGAATGTTTCCTTTCGCAACGCCGTGGAATATAACCCAGAGAAAATAATTGATTTGTTTCCGCTATCCGTATCCATATCCGTGCGTCCTTCCCTCGAGAAGACCACGTGAACGCACACCAAGATTGGGATTAACAAGGTCGCAGAGCACATCAGCTCAGCAAGTCAGCGCAAGCACATCCCTCACTCTAACGTCCTTCTCTCCCTTCCCTATACCACCGATTGCAGAAAACATCCCTTGCTACCGCTGAATCAGTGGGTTTCACCCATTCATCAATCACCATGCTCCCCATCACTATCTTCTGTTCCCTCGTAATCCTCATCCTTCTCATCATTATAACTCTCCTCATCATCACTCTCCTCATCACCACTCTCCTCATCATCACTCTCCTCATCATACTTATTATACTTGTCATCATCCTTCTCATCATTTTCATTGTCGTCCGTCTCAACGCCCCCCACCATTTCGCCAACTCTTGCTCACTGAGCAACATCGCCTGGAACCCATAGCCTGTATCGGTTTTCGCCTCCAAAATCGCGTGATCTGGGTTTCCACGTTCGATCGGGATACCGACGAGGTAGAGGGTCATCGGCAAGCACTTTCTGCCGTCATATTTGCCATTGCCGCTGTCGTCATCTTTGCCATCGCCATTGCCGTTGCCTTTACTATTGCTGTTGTCTTTGTCTCTGCAGTTATCTTCTTCTTCGCTGTTGCGTTTTCTTTTTCTGTTGTATTTACCATTGTCGTTATCGTTGTCTTTGCCTTTGCCGTTGCCTTTGCCGTTGCCACTACCTTTTTCTCCCGTCTGCGGGGCGGCGGCTGCGGGGTTTATAGGGTCAGCTATAAGGTCGGCGACTCTGATTAAACCTGAGTTCCTCGGGACGTCTACATGGTACCAGGGCACAAGGGGCACGCCCCTGTTAGGAGTAGGAGACGATCTTCTTGTCCTGGTGGCAGATAGTCCGTCGTACGGGTACGAATCTGGCTCGCGAGGAATAATAGTTGGGCGGCGAATTTCTCCGCTTACTGGTCGTGGCGCGGGTCTGGTTCTCTGCTGTTGCTCCATCTGCTGGGGGTTTTGTGATGCAGGCGCTGATGGTGGATGAGCAGAGGTTGAAGATCTGGGAGGAGTTGGATAAGATTGGGCAAGGTCGAATCTAGAACCAGGTGCATGAGGAGCAATAGATTGAGGAGTGTAAAGAGGCGAAATAGTAGATATATTTGAAGGGGGGCCGTTTGGCGGATGTGGTGGGTTGGATGGTTGGGCACCGCCTTGTCCGAAGCCTACCGAGGTGTTTCTGTGCAGCTGATACGGGTGGCTCATCTGTGATTGAAATGGATGCGGATGATGTGGTTGAGGGATTCCCGGGGTGTGATGGACTGGGTAATGATGCTGCTGAGGCTGCGGTGGTGGTTGAGCCGGACCCTGGGGTGTGACATAAAATGAAGGGTACATTGATGAAGATATAGGACGAGGATACGTGTTTAGTGATACGGAAGTTGGTAGCCACGTTGACGCGGAATTCAGAGGGTGTGGTGCGGGCGGCAAAGGAGGAATTAACACCTGAGGCAACGTAGTAGATGCCCGCACGGGAGCGGTGTTCAGTGGACCTGAAGAATTGCCGGAGATGTTAGGTGATTGCCACGCTGATGCGGAATGTACAGGGTGTGGTACTGTTGAGGAAGAATGAGTTGACACCCCAGGAAGCGGTGAAGTAGATTGGTGTGTGGGCGCGCTGCTCGGTGGGTTTGGAGAATTGACGGAAGTGTCATTTTCAGGCTGTCCTCCTCGCCCTCGCCCTCGTCCTCGAGCTCTTCCACCTGCACTTTCACGTCCTCTATATCTTCCGCGCCCTGTTTCCCTCTCCGGTGCTCCACTCATCTTTTCAATCTTATACGTGCTTTGACGTGGTTGGAATAGTCAGTCTGCCTGCTACCGTCGTCTCTTTCTAAAGACGTAGGAGCCCTCAGCGTTGTCGGTAACTATTCCCCTTGTAATTAATGACACCGTTCGTGAGGTACACTGCACGGCTGGCAGTAGGTATTCCTTCAAAGACTTCTCCAGGACTGTTGATGTCGTGAGCGCTGGTTTATCTTGAAAGCAGTGGCCCATAAAGTGTATCAAAGGTTGATGAGATTTCGTTTGCGATAAAGAATACTTTCGTTTGACGCTGAAAGTTTGCTCGGAAAAGCGTGTCAAAATCGAACCGGTGATGGCTTGTCGGTCTAGATATCGGGATCACATAAAACAATCAATGGCAACGATGGGGAAGGTCGGCCGTTGTGTCAGGAAGCTACGATGAGATGTGGAAAGATGATCAGGGAACGGGTGTGTCACTCTTGCTCTTGCTGGAGAACCACTTGCTGTATTCCATTCTGGTCAGCTCACGATACAATCATTCAAATGTTCAGATCATCAATAACACAGCCGTATTGATACATTTAGTTCTCTGTCAATCTGACTGAATCATCTTGTTAGGGTTAGTAGTGAACTATGGTACATCGTATTGGCATAATGCCATAATTACACGACGCACTGAATAGACGCAGTGTCTTTCTGTGGAGCTTGCTGGTTTGTTGAGTTGTCCGGAAGGTGGAAGCAGCAACACATCTGATTACTGTGACATCATCTTTGAAGGGCCCTGACCACGTGTATAACTTGATACCATCTAAGCATACTTTCCGTACTAGATAGCTCTAGCAGGTATACAAGACAAACATGGAGATAAAAACCGCCTTAGCTAAACCAATCTCTTCATATGATACAATTCCGTACACAAGATCGAGTCGTCTTAAGAAGCAGTTACAAGCACATAACTACACAAATATTAGTCTCGCCGGTCAACAGAATCACATTACACTGAAAACGTACGAAGTAATGGCGTCCATGCGCTCTTTAGTCAGCTTCAGCCCGACTTTGAGGAGCTCGGCTGAAACATCGCCGTGTCGTTGTTCAAGCTCTTTGTATTTCTGACGTGTCAGGAGCCAGGCAACGGAGTCGTTTTCTACTGCAACAGTCCTATATACCAAGCATTAGCATATGATCTTAGAGCGGACTACTTTGGACATAAAAACTTACCCTGTCCGGTCAGTCTCCGAGAAGAAGGGAAGCTCTCCGCATGTTGTGCCCGGTAGGATAACTTCATAGAAATTGCCTTGCTCAAGCTCATACTCTGCTCGGAACCGCCCTCTCTCTAGAATGTAAAATCCATTAGGCTCATCGCCACGCGAGTACAGCACAGTCCCCGCATTGTACTCTTTCCGCTCAAAATATGACGCTGCCACGTGCCAGAAATCTTCGTTTTTTGTCGACACATCTTCAAAAGTTTGAAGCATGATTTTGATCGGTTGAGAAAAGTTCTTCCACTTTGAAGGAAGAAATGGGGACTTGTCCTGATCGGCTTCTCCAAATGATTCAGAGTGACTACCCTGTTCGCGGAATGTTGAGGCAGCAGCCAAGTAGCGCGCACCTCGTCGCGGCGAAGCAAACCCGGGATCCAACGCTCCAACGCCCAGCGATGATGGTGGTGGATCTGAGATTCTATCATTACCGAGAGCAGAGGAGGTGGCATTGATGGATTTGGGCGGCGTAGCCTGTCGTTGATGTGGGAGTGAACTGCAATGTTGATAGAATATTTCCAACAACTCATTTTCACATCCTTCCAAAGCAGTGTTCATGTCTTCAAAGACTTGAGGTGGGGGGCAGGCATCGTCTCCGCGCTCTTCATCAAGTAATCCAACGTTCTGAAGGGCTTGACCGACCTTGTTTGTGAATGAGATGCCTGAGATTATCATCTTGACGTCTCTGCGGTTGAGAATCCGGTTGATACGTTGGAATCCTTCGGAACTGGAGAAGTCCACATCGTCAACATGGGAAAAATCGACAATGATGAAGCTTATGGGCTGCTTCTCAAAGGTGTCTTCGTCTATCAAAGACCTCATGTACTCCTCCACGGATACGATGGTGCCGAAAAACAAGAACCCGCTCAATTTGATCAGCCGTATCTGTCCTCGAACCTTGTTTAGATAACGGCGATCTGCTCGAGGGCGGCGGACGGTTGATTCTGCAACTTCTCCGCTATAAGTTGCTCTCACAGCTGGAACACGGGAGGATTGAACCACGTAGCTGACACAGGCAAGCACAATGCCCACGAAGATGCCAACAACGAAATCATAAACACCCATGACGAGAACAATGGCGAGAATGGTTAGATACTCCAGCCTGTGACATTTCCCGAATGTGTCAACTAGCGCCTCCTCCATGAGTTCAATGCCTAGCAGGAATATCAAGGCGCCAACAAGACAGATGGGAATGTATCCAATCATAGCTGGTCCGGCTATCCAGACGCCAGTAGTTGCAGCGGCAAGAAACCCGCCAGCGAGCCGGCTATTACCTCCGTTATCTATGAACATGATACTGTTGGCATATACCAGGTAGTTCTACTCGTAATCAGTCATATGGTCCATCCCATGTTAACTTGGGTCATACCTGAATGCTGCCAACGCATCCTGAGATGGTGTTCGAAATTCCATGAGCAATCAGCTCACGATTAACATTAACATTATCCTCTTTGACTGCGGCCCCGAGCGCGGGCACATTAATTGGCACATGAATGATGCCGAAAAAGGAGAGGGCGAACATGGTTGGGATGGTGCTCACTAGAGCCCTCCCATCGATCTGCCCAAATTCTGCAAGCTGTTGTCAGCAACTTCTCAGTTCCAAACCACTTCCGGAAACTTACTGAAATAAGAGTAAAATCTGTAGAAAGGCACTCCAGCCTCTGGCTGTTCGAAGATCCATCCCGCATTGCGGACATGCTCAAGATCTAAGCGCAGAATGCCCTTAACAATGATGTAGAAGACGGCAAAGACGCCGATAAAGAAAGCGGGAAGGACGACTGGGCTTTTGATGTATCGTCGCAAAACTAAAATTACGATGGCCAAGACCAACGGCAGCATCCACAACGCCACAGTATCTTTGGTGAATAGTTTATGTAGCGTGGCCATATCGTAATTGAGATTGCCTTCTAGGCGCGCTGAAACTTCGATGCCGGTCACGAACAAGAAAAACCCAACACCTCCAATGCAGCCGATCAAGATGTGTCGAGGGAAGAAGCTCACTAGGTTGCCTAGTTTGAAGCCACCAAGCGTAAGGAAAATGAGACCAGTCACGATGGAACTTAGACAATATGACGTTATTGTAGTGGCTATGATGGCTTCAGGACTCTGACCCTCCATTTTCGCCATAATGGAGTACGCCATCTTGTGGAAGAAGGGCACAACTTCAATCATTTCGGATCCGACACCTCCCCGAAAAACCGATAAACCTAGCGAGTAGCACAGCTGAGCGACGATGCAGCTGACGAAGAAGATTGAGATGCCGTCCGGGCCGGTTTGGCTGAAAATGGGGCTTCCGAGGGGAAACAAAATGTAGCCGTAGGAGAGAGCATCGAGAATGTTTAACAACAAGCCCAGAAAGACAGCTGAGGATAGCTGTAAGCTTTCCAAGAGACCTTTCATTACCGCGTCTTTTGTGTAGTTATTTGGGTTCGTCGCTGACCGTCGTAGTTGTACCAGATGCCCTTGGCCAACGGCGATTGCTTGTCCAATCCTGTCCCCCAAACCCCGCAAGTTTGCTGGAATGCTCGCGTAACCAGCCGAGCCATTATGTTTGGGTAGAGAGTGACCGCGGCTGAGCCGAGTTTTGGGTAGAAGTGGAGTGTGCTCATCATCATCGGCATGAATTGCGGGGAGAGCCGAAGAAGGCAGTTGTGAAAACGTGCCAGAACCAGGGCGGTCCCACTGCCTCTCGGGTCCAATGACGGTTTCGGGGGTCTCAGGCTCGTCATCTACTGCGAGAGAATCCTCGTCGTATGAATCCAGCGAAGATCGCCCTTCGTTGTCTGTGAGTGTTGCCCGCCGAGCGGAGGCGAAGTCTGGATCCAACACACTCGTTCGCCTCCTGGGACCTTGATAGGCCTCGGAATCCAGGGCATATGCAGCGAGTTCCTGTGTCCGTTCTCTCACACCGTGCGACGAGTACTGGGGGGCTTCGGCAGTCGACGAAGATGCCTGGTGGGCAAAGGAACGTATAGGGTTGCGTTGGGTGAAGGACGAGGATAGAATGCCGGCTGCGCTGGGTGAAGCCCTGATTGGGCGTGAGCGGGGCACTGAGCTTGCGCCATAGTCGTTGTGGTGCTGGTCATGAGCCAATTCGTCATCGGTAATGGTATCGTTGGTGAAAGGAAGGGTTTGGTGTGCAGCGTTGGGCTCGTCGCGACGTGGGAGCAGACGCGACGGCATCTTGTCGACTTATTAGTCAAGGGAAACGGCTAGGAAGAATACATCAGAGCTGGCACTCCAAGGGTCCCGCAGAAGAAGAATGTAGCGCGGGTCGGTACGAATGGTCGGGGCAGAAACACGGCGGTGGTAGGCAAAATATAGTGCGAGGGAAAACACTGATGATAACATCAATCGATAGGCAGTTAGCATGCGGGCATTAGACTAAATCTACAGTAGGCCTAGGCAGAGGTGGACGGGGCACGGTATGGCATTGGAGCATACCTAGCAAGCGGCAATTCAACGCGACCAGGATGGATGCATCTCCACCGCCGTGGGATATTGTCAATTTTTTTTTTCTTCTTCTTCTTGCGTGGAAGCCGGGAGGAGAGGAGCATGCTCCCAAAGGTGCGTCATACGCCAAGGTCAGCCCTACTGCCCGGTTGTTTCCCAAGCACCGTTGCATTGCGCCATTGACAACAGCAATTTGCTAAGGAAAGTTGCGACATGCCTTGAGCATTATTAAATACATGCTTGTACATATGTGCTATTCATCCTCCGCCAAATCCTCTCCTGTCGATTCAATTGCATGCATCATCATAATGTTGAGGGACGCAGGCATGTGAAGAAGAGCTGAGCTGCACACACAGCAACCTCTTTAGCGGAAACGCCACAGTGCTCTCAACAAATCACTGCCCGGCAGCCATGCTGTACCCAGAACATCTGCCTCTCTGGCTACGAAGCTGAGCTCCATGGCATCCGGCTTCTGCCAACCACATTGCGGAACCTCACCCGGTTCAGTTCAAACTCATCCATCCTTCAACGTCCGCATGTCGCCATCCCTGTCTGCAAACCCCCACGGCGCCGCAGTACAACAGGCGGGGTAATCAGGGAACAGTAAAGTTCCATGCAGTTCGTGATGCGCGCGCATGCACCCCTCGCGACATGCCCGAAACCGGACGCACATAGTTTGCGGGAGGCTACAGGTCGGAGCCATTTTCGGCCAAGCTCAGCTCAGACGTTGGAGATATCCCTGTTGTATTAATCGCTCCACGTCTCCCTGACGCACGTAAAACTGGCTGTTCTTCGTCAACGTGATGGCACTACATGCGCAGTTAGATGACCGTCCGCTTGACGTAAAACAAAGGCACCGTACCCGTATTCGGTCTGGATCTCGCCAGCATCCTTGAGCACCCGTACGTCAATGAACAAATCCTTTGGAGGTTCAAGACTGCCGGTAAGATCAATGTCTGTCCATTGTCCCTTGTACGCGGCCAGCAAATCACTGTACTGCCGTACATATTCCTCCTCCTCTGGACTCAGACTGCTGGAACCTCCGTCGCCGCCCGAGTTGCCTCCTTCCTTTCCGTTCCTGTTCGGTTGTTGTTGTTGGCGTTCCAGCACATCAACGCCGCTCCAGCACATCTCTTCCAGCTTGTCGGTTCGGTTACGGTGGTAGGCAAGCAGACATCGTTTGTTTCTTCGCATGCATAGATGGTTGGTCAGGAGTGCACAAGCAGTGGCTGGCTCCGATGAAGGGTCGAAGGAGCCCGCGAAGGGTTCGAGGAGGGTCGCAACATCCTTGTCTAGGTCACGCACTTCGCGTGTAGTCGCACGAACAAGTTCTGTCTGGTACGGCGGAAGGTGAGGTAGCTTCAGGGTGCGCTTCGCATGCTGGACCTGTAGTGTGTGCCGAAGTGCTATCAGCGCAAAGACTTTGTGTGGGCATCAAGGGGTGAAAGAAGGCCATGGCGGGGTCGTACCAGCTTGAGCCCTGATTCTCCGTACATTGCTGTATCGGTAACCTCTCTGTATGAAGGAAGTATTACCTAGAGATTTGACATGCGTTCAGGTCCCAATATAGTGCCGTTATTCCCAGACCTTTTTTCAAACTGCAGTCATGTCTGGCTTTGGGCTTGTTGAATACACACACACGTCCCTCGGCGCGGGGAAACGCGTCCAGTCGCGCTAACCTGGTACGGTTTCGCCGCTTCCTTCAATGCTCCTTCCATCCAATCCGTGCCGGAACTTATACAACTTCTCACATACAACACCCAACCTCGATGTCTCAAAAGGATTCGTGTTCATTGGCAACGACGTGTAAACTTGGATCTATTAAATATACTACTTTATAACAAAACACAAGTTGCTGCCCACCATCAGGAAAATGGGTATCCTTTTATCGGAAACAAAACTCCACCCAATAATTAACTGACCATCCAGTACGTTGTACACGCAGCGAAGGTTATTTTGCGGCACAGGACATCGCGAAGTTGGCTTCGCCCTATTCCGACGGAAAGCTCAAGGCTGTTGATCTCCCACGAGTCCCCATTTGTCGAATTCCGACTCCAATTCTATGGTACCAATGCCACTATCAGGCTGCCATGGGTCAGGACGATACTCGTCCTCTATCGCAACCCGGTCGAGATATCTTTGGGTATTTTGCTGCTCCAACTCCTTATCTAACATGGTCATACTGCCGTTTCGAAACTCTGGATGCTGGGCTGGTGTGGCCTCAACGTGATGGCTACTGTCATATGCCAAAAGCATGGGGTCAACCTGGGGCTCTCCTCCAAGTGGTGTTCCTGCTTGAGAATGTAACTGCTGCATTAGATCGACTGCGGTACCGCCAGGAAGTCCCAGCAATGCTTGGTCGGGAGCAAATTGCAAGCTTGGTGAGTCGACGCGTCGAAATCGCATATCCTCTAGCATTGCCTGGTTCATACCCATGCCGGCATGTACAGGAACTTGGTAATACTGGTTGTATGGGTCGTCGTGAGCCAAAGCCATGGGTACTGGTCGACCGTCGTGACTTGCATCCCAACCTGGCTTGTTCGCACCAACGCCGTTGTTTCGGAAAGTAGAATCGAAGAAGCCGCTATCCAAACCACTTGTCATGTACCCTACTCTCTGGTCTGGTTGTCTAGACGGCCGATATCTCGAACGTTTATGCCCTGGGTTCCACTCGGCATCTTCCAGGTCGCTTGGCTCTTCATCGGAAAATTCCCCTTTTCGTTTGCGCGCTGGGGCCGTTGTTTTGCTCGGCGAGAATTTGTATTTGGGATGGGCAGTCTGGTGATTCATCCGCTCGATTTTAGCATAATCATTGTACTGATTGCGAATCTCATCAGGCTCAAGGGGCCAACTTTCTCCTGAAACCGAAGATACCACTTGGTGGTTGTTTTGCAGACACCACTGTTTTGTTCTCTCAGCGAACGCCGACCGATAAAGCATGAATGAGTTCATCGGTCTGGTCACGTAGCCATTTCGCTTTTCGACCTCTCTTAGTCTCGTCTCTGTTGAACGGTTTACCCATTCCTCCATGTTGCGGACTGGAATGGAAGTCATCCCTTTCGTCAATTCACTCAGGGGTGCTGTCAACTTGGGGGTTTTGGGCTTTTCACTCTTCGTGGCCTTGGCCTTTCTGGACTTCGGAGCGAGTTTCGGTCTCGGCGGTTCACGATTCTTGGGTGAAGTAGAAGGTACCGCTGTTCGACCACTTCTGGTCCGCCGTCCGGCATCATCGATCTCCGTTGCAGATCGCGGGGTAGGCGGTGAACCGGAAAAGATGGCGTGATTACTCTTTGGAGTTTCAGCATTCCTGTTCAGCTAATACACATCGACAATCACCTACCGTATATCCGTTACCTTGACCATCTTGGAAATACCCTGTGGTCTGGTTGTACCCATCCTAAAGATCCCGTCAGTCATTCCTGTCTGTAAAGTCCATCAGGCAATACGCACGTAGTGTATATCCCGGGGAAGTCCATCGTGTGTGATCGAGCCGGGGGAAGCGTATCCAGCCCCATACCCATTGGTTTCTTCATACGAGAATCTGCGGCCGGCATTGTATTGTGCTAGATGATGGAAGCCAGATTGCAGGTCGACGTTGAGATTGGGCGGAGTCGGGGGGTGTTGGTGAATAAGTGTTTCAGACTTCATCACGAAGTATTGGCCTTGGAAAGGTCTCTCTGTTCTTTGTGAAAAGACTGGACAGGGTGCTTGTGCTTCCAGGTTCAACCCGAATCAGATGGCAAATGCAAGGTACCGCAGTAGAAACCAATTGGAGCTGGCTGCGAAACGATGGGCGGAACTCTTGGACGTATCAGAGCTTGCCTTTGTGTCTCCAAGGATACTCGGAAGTCTTTGGATGTCTTCTTGCAACTGAAGAACCTCTCCGGCTTGTGGAAGCTGCCTATGGCAATTGCACGACTGAATGTCGGCTTCTGTGTATGTGTGTCAGTCTGGATAACACGGTCCATAGATGCGCATTTGGTTTGCTCGCACCGCAAATACCCAATCCAGAAGCAAAAACTCCAATGATGGAGCAATTGCAGATAGCCGTTCTTCACCGGTACGTACCTGAAAACCAAGACAATCCAACTGAATAGCAACGTGGCTCATGCAAGTTACTCAAACAGAACGCGGGTGTCTGAGATTTGATGGTTTTGCAGGTTTCTTTGTCGAGGAAAGCCACCTGAGAGATGGCGAGGAGGCAAAATGGACAGGCAGCAGTTCTTTGTCTGGTGAGTTGCGTACCCAACAGGTATTTGTAGCAACTGCTGAGGTTTCGAGTTTTGATCGCTCGCGTAGTCTGTAGCTCACGTCCTCGCTGAAGACGGACAAAGAAGACCGGATTCGTGATGGCTTTTTGAGCTTTGCCACATATGGTACTGGCGGCTGTTTTGGGAAGTAGACCTCGCTCTTCATCAATTAGACAGTTCAAATGACGAGATCTCGGTCTGCTGGAGTATCCATTTCCAAAGCAGATAAGAAGTTGGCTTCTCCCAGGTGGTTGAAAACGGTCAACCGTACCAGGCCTGGGAGAAGAAGATTGCATGAAGTGCCACGATTTGCGTACGGCTACGCCTATACTAGATTTGGGCTTCAGTCCACATGGCGGAGGCTCCTGGGAGCTCTGACAATGTGGCTGTCGATCTGGTGGACCTTGGTCTCCCATGACCAATGGCAGTCATACAGCCTTGGTCTTCACCAGACGGGATGCTCACTCTCATGGCCTTTAGCGTTGGGTGAACAGCCTGAGAGATGGGAGGCAGTCATGTCGTACAGATTCTGCAGCCCACATTCCTCACGACCAATCCCGGCGGTCGCCATCCACACCATTCTCCCACATTTTCTTTGAATCCAATAGGAAGAGAGCAGCACAGCTGCTGTTTCATTTCAGACCCAGAGAAGCCACCAATTTCTCTCCCGTGGACACTCAGATAGGCCCGAGCGTCATTATACGGCGGCTGCCCGCATCAGAGTCAGGTCAGGATACCACTCATCAAGCAGGGGTATAGCAGGGGAGGCAGCAATGGTACCTCACCATGATGGATGGATATTCACGGCCTTGGGGATAGAACTGTGCACAGCATAATCAGCATACGGCAGGGTGACGTTGAACTATCATTGCTCGAGGACCATCGTCACACATACAACCTTGCTGGCAAGCAGAGAAGACGACGTATACAACAGTGGGATAGAAGTGGCATAGACCCGACACAGTGGATACAATTGCTCACTATGGCATCCTAGCCATCTCTCGCGCACAGCCCATATGCATGTATTCGACGGCGCGAGGTCACAGTCGGCAACCAAGCTGTCGAATCAGCCAGGTCAAGGCCACTGTCCATGAGCGCTCGGCATGTCCGCTTTGGTAGACTACTCCTCGGATGTCAAGACCAGGACACCCGTCGTGATGGCCAAACATTAGTAATGAGGAATAAGCGCCTTTTGTCGCATGCGGCCAGCACTTGTGCCAATGCTCGGTTGCTTCCGGTCGATCAGGCCTTGTTAGCTCCAACGTGCAGTGAATCCACAGTGTGCATTCGACCGGTCCAACTCGGGGCAGCAAGGAATGCACACTATGCCCCGATGTGGGTGACAGCCCCAAACTCCCGCCTCTGTGTAACCCTTCAACCGAGAGTTTGCATGTGATTGGACTTGTAGGAGAGAGCAAATACACGGCCAGCACGTTGCGTTGCTGCTTGGGAGATTGTCATGTCGAGATATCTGAATCAGGGGGAAATCAATGTATTCGCCCGAATGCAAGCAGCGCTTCGCGCGCCAAACGATTGTCTATCTGGCGAGAATACGAAACTCAAGTTTGTCGCGGAGGATCGATCACTGGTGTTACGCCATTATACACACAACAACGTCGCCATAGCACGTTCTCGTCAGGTTTGACGACGTCCCACATCCACCAGCCAACTGCACTTCAAATGTTGATCATTGGTGTCACCACATAAATCCACCCACCCCATGCAATCTCGCATTGAAGCAAGGTTTCGATAAAAAAAAAGGGGGGAGGATATTCAGGGTGAGACTTGTCCAATCAGCAGATATCGAATTTCGTGACAGTCGAAAACTCTCTCTCCGTTTCTCATTCAGCTGATCAATTTGTTAATTGCTTAATTTATTCACCATTCTCATCTGAATATCAAAATATGTTGATCGATCACAGCATTGGGCACTATCGAATCCTCTGATCCCTTTGCATCTCACTTATCCCCTTAATCCCCCCTTCTAACTTCCATTTCCTCCTCTCTGGCGCGGCACGAATCAAGCAATGAGTCAACAACTTTAGTAGACATTGTCATAAACGATACACACATACAATTACAAGCAGAGCAAAGCGAAATGAAGCAAACTCCAGCTTCATCCCCAGAAACCATGGTTCGGCAAACCCATCTCTCGCCGTCACAGGCCTCCACTGCGCCCCCGCTCACCCAACCAACGTCCACGATCACAGAGATAGGTAGCAGAACTTCGTACATAGTTCGCTACCGCACAATCAACCTACGTAGCTACTCACTCTCCGCTCATGTTCAAAGACTTATCAGTCTCCCGTTTCGATGCTAGCCTGTCCAGCCTGCCAACGTCGTCGCCGCTAAGCTTGCAGGAAAAAAACAAGAGGCTCTTACAAACAAGAAGAAGCAAACCGCGAACCAAACTTTTTCTTCGTTTTCTGCAAAGCGAGTTAGTCACAAAGCAACGGTTTCTTGGTCTGGACCCCACTCTCTATGTACGTTCCCCATCTCTCTTGCAGCTGCCTAGCTGCGGGAATGGTTCACTTCAGGGTTAGGGTACGTATATGAGGCCAACATCATTCGATATTTTCCTATTATATCGTTCTACGGATAGACTAACACAAGTCTACCACAAATCTCTTCTCCTTCCCCCGCACTCCAGCCCGCCAAGCTTCTAAAGTACAGTGGTAGAAGAGATATTATTAATGCAAAGTCATCCATTTCCTTTGCATTTGCGGAGTTTACCTTATACCTCTCACTCCGCTTTCCCGTGCTCCGGCCCTATTCTACTCACATCTCCACAGCATCAACGTATGCTCGCACTTACGGCCTGGTGCGCCGTGCCGAGTGACCCGTTATCGCCGAACCACAACTTCAACTCATCTTCCTTCTTTTGCTGGGTCGTTACCTTTCCTCTTTCCTTGGCGATGCTTCTTGTTCTGTTCTACTTGCTCTCCTTATGAGGCAAGTTTCGACAAGGATCGTACGTACCGTGTTTCACAGAAGGTTTGGTGGTGTTTGGGTAGGTATGCGCTGTGAAGTTTTTGGGTCTGTAAGATGGAGTGAGGCTTATTATTAGGGGATGAATAGTAGTAGCTAGGGTAGAAGTGGTGGAGTTGAACTGTTTACTAGATTCGGTGTAGCGCTGGGAGGTTGTTATTCTATACAGGAGGCTGAGTCTAGGGAGTTTTCTTCCGAGGATGAGATATGGGGGTGCTGGGATAAGAATACGAATAACAAGGCGAAACCGATCATAATTTTGACCGTAAATCAATAGAGTTTTATCGTACTGACTTCATGCCATGCTCTTTGGCGTGAATAATAACCACCACAATTTGATGATCCGGAATTGGGGAGTTACTAGGGCCAAGTATGGACACATTGAGACATTCAAAGTTGCGTAAAGTCTTGCAATTATTGATGTATAACATTCGGTCGATACTCTGAGACCGACGGTGAGAGCATTCTGGGTAGTCTTTGCGAGACCGAGGACTGTTGACAAAGAAGCTTAAAGAGAACTTATGAAGTAGCCTAGGAGGCTCTAGCGGAAATTCTAGCAATGAAATAATACGTAATCCACTTCAACAACAACCTGCGTTCTTGCTACTGTAGTCAAGACGGAACTTTGGCTGTTGCGGGGCGGGTATACTCTTACCTACCATTTTGGTACAGCACTCGCGGCTGAGAGATTCGCATAGAGGAAAAAAGAAGCCTCGACGAACAAAGAAGCGCCGAAGTGCAGTTGGTTGGATGGCCACGAGGGCTTGAGCACTACAAAAGTGGGCAGGGAACAAAGAGCTTCGAGGAAAGAAGTGTAAACCATTCAACGGTCTTGACCAAACCAACGTCGCTTGGCTTTATTTTTCTCACCAACACCGCTTCAAAGTCGGGGATTCTGCGACTCATTACTCGTTCTCTGTCTCGACGTCAACAAAAAAAGAACGTAAGCCAACATGGAGTCGCAAAGCGGCAACAGCAACAATGAAAATGAAAAAGCTACCAAGACGTTCCTCCGCGATTCAAATATTGAAGAAGAAACCGAACAATGGGAGGAATGGGAGTCACAGGAAGCGGATGAGGAGGAGGAGGAGGAGAACGCTCATGACGTCTCATCTGGCAAGAGAAAAGTTCCCTCGGGCTCCAGCACGCAACGCCCGAAACCACTGGTATACGGCCGTTCCCACGGCAGTTACATGGCCGACACCGCGGCATCGAAGAACAGACATAGAGACAAGGTTGAACTGTCAAGTAATGCTCCTGCTTCAAAGGAGGAACGCGAATTCGGGCTAGATCGGAAACCCAGTCTGACGCGCTCAAACTCCAATAAGCCGAAACCCTTGAGCCTAACCAGGAGAGGCTCTCATAAGAGGTCGTCAACGATAAGAAGCAGACCATCGAGCCAGGACTCGGATGAGTACAAACATCCATTCGGCTCTGGGGGTTCTGGTAGTAGCGAATATGGATGGTTGGGCTCGCGAGGGGGAACTCCAAATATTGTCTTGGAAGAGGACTCGGAGCGTGAGCTAGAGTCTACTACACCCACGGGTCATGCAGGAGAGATGCAATTGCAGTTGGAGCGTCTGGAAATTGAACGGCCGCAATCTCCTTCCAGCGATCAAACTTCTGTTGAGGAGACACGGTCTGAGTATAGTGACAGAGCTCAAGGTTCTGTAACCTCTACTATTACTCCTCCTAGTCCTGATGGATCTCACGGGACGTCGGATCAGTTGGATATACGAGACGATGAGAACATGCCACAGGACGTTGACGGTGGTATATATGCACTGGAACGGCAGCTGTCCCAAGAGAAGGCCAAGGTTGTGAGTTTGGAAACCGAAAAGCAAGATGTTGAAAAAACCATATCTGTATTAAGGCAAGAACTGAAAGAGGAGAGAGAGAAGAACGCAGATATGAAACGCAGAATACAAGACTACAAAACACCGGAAGAAGCGCTGGAGCTTGAAAACATGATTAAAGATCTTAAAAAGAGCGATGAGTTCCACAGAGACCTGAACAGGCGACTGGAAGACGAATTGAAGCAAGCGAAACAGGCGAGGGCTGATCAGCAATCTGAAGAAGTGCTTCAGCAGCGCTTATACGGTGTACACCATATAAACCACGGAGAGGGAGAGACTTCCGGCACAGCCCCTGCTTCATCGAATCCTGCCATGTCTGAAATGCCCCAAGACATCACACGCGATCGATGGCTCATTGAAGAGCTAAGGGCTAAGAATAAGCAATTACTGGATGGAGTTCCAAAGTTACGGAAAGAAAATGAGAAGCTGAAAAACAAGCTCGCTTCCTACGAAGCAAATCTCGCAGCGATCAAGGAAGAGTTGACCAAAACTGTTTTCCAATCCGATGGGTGGAAGAATGACTACCTAGCCACTTCCGAACATCTGCACCAGCGAAATCTGGAGTTCGACAAGATTATAACACAGAACGCCGAAGAGGTGCAAAGATATATCAAGGAGTATCACGATCGAATTCCAGAGAGGAATAAGGAGTGGTGGAATGTAGAGGGACTACAGCAAAAAGTCGCGAAATTGAAGGAGCAAGTCCAAAACATGAGTAGGCAGCTACAGGCTGTGAAAGATGAAAAACAAGTGGCACATGAGCGCAACAAGATATTAATCGAAGAGAGAGAGGAAATTTTCAGAGACATGAACTGGGGCTCAAATTCTCAAATGAGGCGTTCGAATTTCCAACATGTCAATGTGGAAAGCAGTTCCAAACAGCCACCGCGCAGGTTGATTCACGCAAAGTGGGATACTCCTGAAGCCCGGCAGGAACGTGAACAGATACTGCACGCACTCCGAGAGAAACAGCAAAAGAGGCGCGAGGAGGAAGATGAAGAGGTTCAAGTCATGGACAAATTAAGAAATTGGAACTATGACAAGATGACGGAGAAGAGGTTACGCCGATCGTCGAAAAAGTCGCGAATTAAGGAAGCTGAGAAGAATGCTTGGGTCAGATGGCGCGGAGATGCATGGCTACGGAGTGGAATATCGCATGAAGAAGAAATAAAGCATGATAGGGTGATACAGAGGTTGAGAAGAGGGCAGAGTAGCTTATGAAGAAGAAAGAGGAGCTGAAGATGAGTCTCGTACATCCCTGCCGGCCCTGCCAACATTCAATGGGATTGCCCCTCGATAACATGATGATTGCGGGGTCAAAGTGGCGCAAGCCATCAGCCTCTCTTCAAATGTTATACAAAGCCCCTGCATGACCAAGCTTCACAGATCAACGGTCGATTGTCTGCAGTAATTCAATGAAGTGCAATGATTTGTTCGCATTGAATGACTGGATTGGTCTATCAACATGTTCATGTATGTGACCTGACCTGACCTGTGTAGCCTCCACTTTACGTCATCCGCTGCACCGCCACGTTTACCCACCCTCACTCAGCACGCATATTATTGAGGCGCGTGAGCTTACTTCCCAAAGCAACAACTTCCCACTTTCTTCACACCCTCCCTCTTTACAACCCTGAGACCTGTCTGCATCATGGACAACTCTACAAAATACGTCTTGCTTGTCGCCTTGGCTCTGCTGGTGCTCCTGCCAGGCAAAGCGGACGCTTTTGGCGCGGGTAATATTGCTTCCATATCGGCCATCGAAGGAAAAAACTGGCGTCATGGAGATATCGAAGACATGTTGGCGACGGTCGCATGCTTGAGGGGTCACAAATGGAAGTCGATGATGATCAAGGTGATACATTCCATCCAGCCATCCATTATCCTCAAGACACTAACCTCCCCTGCAGCGCGTGTACTTTGGCAACTGGCTCCGTGATTACTCTCAGGTTTGTGTGTGAATTTGAAAGTGTGGGGTTTTTTGCTCATACTCCACAGGCTGTCGATACTGCTACTCTCTCCAAAGTTCAAGTAAGTTTGGATTGGTCGCTCTAGTGCCGTGATTCCGAGTACTAACGAGCGCCAAGGGCGAGACGATTCGCATTCTCGTATGGGTCCTGTCTTTCATGTCATTTGGTTATGCCACTGGCGAGTTTGAGGTTACAGCCGATCGGCTCGGTGTGTATAGGCCCGAGGAGCACATTGGTAAGTTTGACAGCTTCCTACCGATGATCGTAGCTAACATATCCAATAGACAATCCGGTAAGACTCGACTTTGCGTGCTAATCATTATCGCAAGAGCTCAAAGTGATCCAGAAAGACTATGCCGACAATGTTGATGCGAGGAAATTCGATCCCCGGCTGCGTGGGCCAGTCTCGGATGCTGAGCTTGCTGTTGATCACCAAACGGGTGGGTATTTCGTCTTCGTCCCGTGCGTACAGCAGATGCTTATGTTGAGTAGGAATGAAGAATTATATTGCAAACGAGCAAGGTGGATGGGCCACTTCCGCTGGCTACGTAAAGTTCTCCTTCTCTCGAGCCATCCATTTCGGTCGTCTGTACACCCATGGAGGGTCGGGCGATCGCAACAATGAGAATCACCTGGCAGAAGCGCTGCGATGCCTCGGACAAGGCCTCCATTGTCTGGAGGATTTCGGTGCCCATACTAACTATACCGAGCTCGTTCTTCGCGAACTCGGACACCACAACGTGTTCCCGCACACTGGTGTTCAGACTCAGATCAACCTCCATGGCAAGCATGTCTTCCCTTTGGTTACCGGAACCTTTGGTGGTGTTGACTTCTTCCACTCGGTCTTGGGCGAAGCCACCGATCACTTTACACAGACCCAGGTTGACGAGTCAGAGCTTGCTCAAGTGAATGCTACACTTCAAAATGCTTGCGGTGATCAGAAGAAGGGAAGCGGTGGAAACGATGCTACTTCCTCACTCTGCTCAGCTCTTGAAAAGATCCCTGGTACCGGAGGCCTTGTTCAAGAAGCATTGAAGCTTAAAGCTTCGTCCGATGAACAGGCGGCCGCAAACTCACGCAGCGGAGGATACAGTTCCTCGCGAGCGGAGCCGACGTTCGATGCTCCTCCTGGCTCAGTTGGTGGGCCACCGGGTCCAGACATACCAGGCACCACCACTGACCCTACCACAATTGTCCCAAAAATCTACCCAATCCTGGAGTTCCGGGACAAGGTAGTCAAGTCTATCTCCGCGATCGTATCGAAAATACCGGGTTTGGAGAAGTTGATCGAGACAATCACAGAGCGTGTGACTATCTTCGTCTTCGCGCTACTTGCACCCTTCATTATGCCAATCATCAATACGGCATCGAAACAGCTCAAGGAGGGCTCGTCTGCGGTTGTTGAATCAGCGGCGAAGCATCAATTCGAAGTCTGGCAAAACCCCCACTCCACGGACCCTACCCACAGTATGCTCTCAAAGGACCATTTCTCCAACATCCTGAATCAGCCAGCCGGCCAGGTAGCTGTTGCCATTTTGCAATATGTTGCTCCTCGAGTGGTACGTACCGAATACAATCATGAGCGAAGATGTTCTTCCAGCTATTGATCTCTTAAAATTACACCTTACTGACTGTATCTTCTTCGCCTTCTAGATCTATGCCTGGGATCACCCTGATATACCAGTCGATCAAGTCCTCAACGACTGCATCTCCGTCTTCCATCATCCCGCTATTCGCAACCACAACAATGAAGCACACCGAAACATGTTCTCCGTTGTTGAGAAGTGGGCTCAACACTACCACGGTGCAAACCTCGACCAAATCCTCAGCTCTGAATCTGTCAAGGCTGGCAAGAACCACTTAGCTTCTAACGATCACTCTAGCGGTAAGTTAAACTTGGATCAGGCCATTGGTTGGTGCTCTTACACTTGTAACTATCAGTACTGACTCACTTCCGCTTTAACAGGCAGCTCACACGGCGCAGCAAGCGCAGGTACGTTCATGGGCCATAGCCATGGTGGTGGACATTCCCACGGTGGCGGACACTCCCAAGGTGGTGGACACTCTCATGGCGGCGGCCAATCCCACGGTGGCGGACACTCGCACAGTGGCAGCGGAGGCGGCAGTGGAGGTGGTGCAGGAGGGCTCCTGGGCAGTCTGACCGGCAAGATTCCCGGCCCACTAGGTGGCGTTCTCGGTGGTCTCAGTTCCTCCTTCAGTAACACTCGCGAACTTGACGAGGGCCAATCTGGTTCTCATCCTGGCACTTCGAACTCGCCACAGCCCACGCATGACTGGGGCTCGTTCCAACCGTACCAGTCGCAGTATGCTGGCGGAGCTCAGTTTCAAGGTCAATACCAGGGTGGCCAGGGTGCTGAGCCTGCTTATGCGGTGCCGTCTGCGTACCAGCAGGGCTACGAGAACTACGGTGGTCCGGGTGGCTACCAGCAACAACCCCCACCAGGAGGCTATGGTGGCGGTCAGTCCGATGGGAGGCAGTGGGGACAGGGAGGTGGAAACTCAGCATGGTGATTGTTTGAGTGAACATCGACATTCATGATTAACGATCATATATCGATTGGACATTTCAAGGGTGCCATTCGAGCTGCGTGGAGTTTATTGACTCCAATTGGTCTCCATTCCCCCCCTTTCTGCGATTAGATGAATATGCAATAATGAATACGAAATGAAATGTTCTTCCAAAAGTGAAAGAGTAGAGACGTGATGTATTAGATTATCCTCCCGATCTCTCCACTGCGGATCTAACAAGTGATAAGTACATATTTTTTGTTCGTTTATCTCTTTCTCCCGGAGACCCGAAGTATCGAAACGCTTCCAAATAACAACAAGAATTGCCCCAAATGCGCAATTGTATGGTACCAGTTTGAACGCCGGCCGGTGAATGCTAGCGGTCATGAGGGTTTTTATGGACGGGCGAAATAGTGGTGGTGGTATTGTTACATAGGTAAAGATACAAGAAGCGATGGCGGCGGCCGGCTCCGAGACGAAGCTGCTATTACTATGGTTCGCATACGTTTACTCGTTGATCTTGGCGAGGAGTCTGTTTCGAGGTGGTCAGTTCCAGAGTTGCGTTCAATTGAAGGGGATGGATTGGACATACTCGTGATCACGGAAGAGGGAGAGCTCCTCCTCACCGACCTTGATGGGGCTTCCACCGTACTGCATCAATCGGTTAGCGCTGTATTCAGTGAATTGCATCTAGCATCCCATCTCTTCACTTCATCTCTGTTGCACCTTCCACCTGCCCAACCCCTCGCTCACGATGCTACGTCTTCGCCCTGCCATGCCTCTCGGATAAACGTACCTGGGGAATCAACACCTTGTCGCCAACAGCGACGCTGGGAGAGATCCGCTTGCCATCCTTATCCAAACCTCCGGGGCCAACAGCGAGCACCTTGGCCTCGTTGAGCTCCTTGACGGCGCTGTCCGGGAGGAAGATGCCGGTTGCGGTCTTGGTCTCGGGCTTGATGCGCTGCACGAGGATGCGGTCGAGGAGAGGGGCGATGCTGCGGATGGACTTGATTGCGGACTGCGGGGAAGGATGTTAGCGTGACCAACAAGAAGATAGTTTGGATGTATGGAGTTGAGATGGGGCTGGGTTGCGCGCAGGTTGCGCGATGATGACATGGTGGATAGAGAGTGGAGGTGTGTAATACATACCATTGTGATTGAGATGAAATGGGGGTATCTAAGAAATAAAGGATGGATATGGGTATGTGAAGAGAAGGATTTGATTGATTTAGTTTGCGAAGATGAGGGGATTGAGGGATGGAGAGAGAGAGGTTTGTTTTGTTAGGTTTCTTAGAAAATTCGAGAACGGAGGCTTTTGGGCCCGTGCGTCTCTCTCCCCCCGGGAAGCTCTGGTCGAACCTCGGGAACGAAGCGTGAAATTATACGCGAGATCCATTCATCGTGACGACTTGTTTTGTATTAGTTCCTACCCGCATGTCGCCTTTTGCTACTCAATATTGACAGTATTGCTTCTCATATGTGGAGAAGCAATGGCTCCCGTGTGAGGAGTTCTTGGTCGCTTGCGACGACGCAACGATCAATCCTACCAAGAACGAGATGGTATAGCGCGCGGGCGCTTGAGGGAGATGCTCTCGCGATCTCCAACGATGAATTCGCAAGTGCGTTCGAAGGTGTAGTCGATAGGCGGTCATGGGCAGCGTGTTCTCATATTGGTGAGTCTTTATCATTGATGGTGGTGCGTAAGACAGCTCTAATCAGAAATCGTGGGACAAAGGCCTCGCGGTCAGCGGCGGCGTAGATTCTATGGCGTTAGCGACGTTGTATAATGAATACAGGATTTCGACCCTGACTTTGAACGGATTGGGCGATGCCGATACCCCTCCAGAACTGCATGGTTTCGTGGTGGACCATAAAAAGAGACCAGAGAGCACCGAGGAAGCAGAGTGGGTTGCAGAGCAGTTGCGCTCTCAATGTATGGATCCTACTCCAGCATAGCACGCAGTGTACTAGACATCTCTAATAACTTATAGTCAAGATATCCACGTCCATCATTCCTCTCATTTGGCCAGCAGGCTTTCACGAAAACCCCGACAGATTCGAAAGTGAGGCCCGTACCTTGCGCTTCCAGGCCCTCGGGCGAGCTTGTAGAGATCGCTCAATCCGATCCTTGATGGTTGCCCATCATGCCGATGACCAGGCGGAAATCATCATGATGCGACTAGTAGCCAAGCGACATAGGTCGGGGCTCCGAGCCATGCAGAAGGCAGATGATATACCAGAATGCGAAGGAATCTACGGAGCATCTAGAAGCGGGAGCCCCCAGCAACTATCTCTTCCAAAAGACTTTGCACCGTTCCAGATCGAAGGTGGGGGCATACGAGTTGTAAGACCATTGATAGATTTTCATAAAAGGAGGCTTATAGCCACTTGCAAGCACTACGGGACGTCGTGGACGGAAGACAAAACGAATCAAGACCAAACGCTCACTCAGCGCAACGCAGTTCGACACATTGTGGGGAATCACGCGCTTCCGCAAGCTCTATCGAACCAGTCCTTGGTCGGGGTTGCGGAGCGAATGCAAGCCCGTGTAGAAGCACGACTGTCGTTTGCTGAGCAACTTTTTGAGCGAATGCCGCTCAAACTTGACCTTCAAACAGGCTCTTTGGTTGCACGCATTCCACCAGTCGCATCACTGCTCCCGCGACCAATCTCTTCTTCCGCCGATAGAGCAGAGGCTGCAGATAATGCACACTGTCTCTTGATGAGATTAATGAGGATGATTGTTCCAAAATCCCGCCCCGCAGTTGGCAGATTGGCGGGATCTGTGGATCATGTTTGGCCTGAATTGATATCGGGCGACAACACGGTCTCACCAAAAGAGCTCCACCATGAGAAGTACACCGTTGGCGGTATGATATGGCAGCCGCTGGAGGATGCCCCAGACGACCCGAGTCATGGAAGGGAATGGCTCCTTTCCCGCGAGAGACCTCAGCGCTCGGAACTGGGATTGACAGCTTTGAGTTTCCCCCAAACATCACCGTCTGGCACGAATTCGGCAGGTCCCCAATGGCACCTTTTCGATAACCGTTACTGGATCCGGGTGCAGAACAAGACAGATAAAGAACTCGTGATGCGCTTCATGAGTTCTTACGAGCTAGGAGAAATATACGCTCGACATCATCGCAAACCAGGAGAAAGGGGAAAATTCCCTCCGATCCGCACTTTCTACGTGAGAGCTGCCTTGTCGCTTATCAAACCCCATGAACTGCTCACCTCCGTCCCCGTAATCTTCATGCGCTCGTCCGATGGCATCGAAACCCCCATCCTTCTGCCTACATTCAACCTCCATCTTGTGGGCAAAACCCGCGATATATGCGACTGGGAAATTCGCTACAAAAATGTTGATTGGGGCAAAAGAAGAGTCGTGGAATCTCTCGTTCCAGGTATGACGGAGAAGGACATTGTCGCAAACATGTCCGAACGCATTCGAGCAATTTATGTTCAGAAATACAAGCGCGATGACTTGGGTTTTCCCAAGAAGCGTCAAGTTTCGCCACGTTCACGCGTGGATAAGATGATCAGCAAGAAGGAGAAGGCCGCTTCACCAAACAGGGGCACGAAAAGGCAAACCCGTGTCTAATCATTTCATCGGTTCGAAAGTTCGATCGTTTGTCGGAAAGTTTGAGCCAAGTAGAGCCTTGAGTAGAGACTCATAGTGTTGGAGAGTTGGAGGCGATGTATAAAACCGGTTTTCACAAGATTCTCTCGACGAGGTGTACATGATGTTATATAGGATGACTACATCCGGAGGGTATATCGTGATGCAGTGCTGTTTGCGTGGGAGTCGTGGCATGGACAACCTAGCCAGTATTAATGGCACATGCCGTGGATTGCTTGTGAATGCAGATATGCCATGCAAACCATCTACTTGCTCAATCTAGTAATTTGATAAGCTTGCCGTTGAATACTTGTGAATGCAGATACCGATTCGGCACGTTGATTGGCTTCCCTCAACCAGTATCAGCAAGTCGATCTTGCTGCCTGGTGGTGTTTGCATCGCAGAGATCGCAGAGATCGCAGAGAGGAAGAGAGGAAGAGAGGAAGAGAGGCAGTTGGTATCCGTGCTGTTTTCATTCCGAAGGCAGATGAGATGTAAGAAACACTCTCTTGTTCTCGGTTGAAGGGAGACAGGTCCGTCGAAACGGCGGATACCGATACCTCACTTCTCTAGATCGATGCATTCACACATCCATTGCTTTCCCTATTCCACTTCCCATAAGACGCTTTCCCATCCATAAAAAATCAGGTCTCGCAGCTTTCCCTTTCTTCCCTCCCCTTTGACCCGAAGAGAAGAAAAAAAAAGCAAAAGATAAAGGACCGAACCGGAGTCGAACCGGTGACTTCGGGAAGGCAATTTCATAATACTGCAGTCCTACACTCTACCACTGAGTTACCGGTCCATTTGAATCTTGAAAAATTTATCATTTTAGGAATCTATATAGCACCATGTTTTAGTACTCAAGAGCGAGCTGACCCGGCTCACTGACAGGCTTGGCGACTTGGAAGTGAAAGTCAAAAAAAAATTATGGAGGAGGGGTAAAAGTGGGGGGTGAGATGTTAATATGGGGGAAGGGGAAAGCTCCGATTTGCTCGACTTTATGCTTAGTCGGTTGGCTCAGCAAGGATGGGTGAGTGATTGGTGATAAGTAAGTAAAGCAGCGGATCATTGGTTATTTTACTATTAATTTTGAGGATTTTGGAGATAGGAGATATAGAGTGGCGGATTCGGGTGTGTTGGACGCTTTATAATGAACGGTGCTCGTTGGTGATTCGAAAGCCGGGATTGGAATGGCGACATATACCGCCATAGCGCCCCTGACGAACAAAAACCGGATGTGTGGAGTTTACTACTGTTGGTACAAGTGAGTAGTAAAACTTCAGATATGAAGGATGATGGTGGAATAGTCGAGGTACATAAAGTATGTGCAGAGAACAGTGTCTTTGATCATCATAGAACTAAGGGCCATTCCTGAATGATATAGACTATTTAATACTGTCTTCCTCCTGGCATACACCCCAAAACATGAACATCAACCATAAGGTAGAATGTATGTTCCTAGGCTCCGATGTTATAGCGCGGAGAATAGTGAAGAAATTGAACATGAATTAATTCATAAAATCTCGTACAACTACAATAGCAAACTACATCCACATAAACCCACCAAGTACACCGCCTACATCTTCAAGAGTCTCCAGCGCCATCTGTTTTGGACTTTGCAACCATTCCGACGGACGATCCTATCTCCCCGCCGCCCATCTGGCTACTCATGCTACGCATTTTGATATTGCACTCTGTCTCTCTTGCTCAGATGGCCAGTCACGCACAAGACGTCGACTGGTCATTAGAAATCCATCATGCCTTCTTTCCAGCGACCTTCTCGCCCTCCTTCTGCAGCTTCTTGATGTGCTCGTCTGTGTTCTTCGCCTCGTTCCGATCGGCTTTGACCTGTAGTGACCAGCTTAATCAGTCAACCACTCTCACTGAATCCATATGCATGTTGCATAACAGTACAAGGTGAGGAGAAAAGAGTTGAAACATACAATGCTCTCGCTATCACTAGCCAAGCCTTCTTCCCAGTGTCCCTTTCCCTCCTGCTGCTTCTTCAATTGCGACTGCTTGATGTCCTCGACCTCGTTTGCGCGGCCTTCGGTGTCTGTGTGGTGCCGCTGTGTCAGCATTCATGTGTATCTACAATGCCGTTGGGCCTGTTCTTGTATTGAAATGGCAGTCTAAGTGCGTGAGGAAATGCAGGTCTAGCTTACGGAGCTTAGTCTCCTTTCCTGACGCGCGCACGATGGAGTTGTGGAAGGCGGCACGCTGGACGAAGGGTGCACGGCGGGCAGCTAGAGTGCGGAAGGCGGACATTTTGGTGGTCTTTTGGAGGGTTTAGGGTATAGGATGCGGCAGAATACGGATGATAGTTGTTGATGGATTGATTCGCTGTGTAGGGAGGTATTGAGGGATGATTGCGGAGGCTAGAATTCTACTACGTTAGTTGATGATGATTGATGTCGGTCTGAATCCAGAGCTGAATACTGCTCTTCTCAAACAATTGAGTTCCAATTGAGGGATTTGAGGGGTAGCAGAAGGCGGGTGGACAGTTGCCAGATGACACTGGCATATGCCACCGCTCAACAAAACTGGAACGAATAACATCATCCGCGCAACCAACTTACCTAATGCAGAGGGAGTTTGGGACGAGAACGGGTATCCAGATGATGAAGCAGTGGTTTAGAGGAGGAAACAGATGGGGAAGTCGAGACTGGAAGAAGGAGAAAAAAAGAAGCTCTAAGCTACATGCGTCGTTTCTTTCCCATTCCTCCCTCTGACCTGACCCTCGGCAAATGCGAAGGAAATGCACGCAGCGTCGGTGACATCATCGACCCGGAACCTCGAGGCCAAGGCTTCCTGCTTCACTATTACGTATCGCTCGTCTCCCATTCGATACCAAAACACACCCATTCGCGCAATTGATGTCGATGAGAGAAGAGTCTAGACTGCACGGTAGTCGTTGGCTACGATGCAACAAAGGGTACTGGAAAGATGCTCAGCCTCCGTTCCCCATTTCCACGTTTCCCGTTTTCCGTCTTGACCGTGTGTTGTGGAATGGAAGCGACCGCCCGCTCAGCCCCGCAGATGAACATGGGGCTGGCAACACGGCGTGCCCGCGTGGTGGTGCAGTGCATGCACACATGGAGGATGGGATGGGAAGAAAACGGCTGCCCAGTGCCCAGCAGGCGGGCCAGGTACAGGTACAGGAACAGGAACCAGGCACAGCCGTAATCGTAACCTGTAGCTTCTGAGCGTTCGCGAAGGATGCAACTCGATGATGGAGAGAGAAGGGGTAACAGAACACCATGTTGAGCTTGGTTGGACCAGCATGGCAAGATTATGTACCTCCCATAGTAACAATGTACATGTGATGTACAAAGTAGCACCGTGGTCAGCCAATTTACACGCGTCGCCAATCGTTAAACACTATCGTCAAAGTCATTTCTCACCCTCAACTCTCACGAGATTGCGACGCACGGGTACATGTACACACTCAAATGAAGCACAAAACCTTAACAACTCACAGACGATATAATCTCTTATTTCCCCTGCCCCTTTTACACAGAGAGATTGGAAAAAGGGCACCGCCACACCCCTTTTCCACAGAAGAGTAGCGGGAAGGTGCGGCTGTGCATCTTTCCTTCCCGTGACGCAGCCTGCAAGGCAGTCATCCGGACAGCTGCAAGACGACAGTCCTGTAGCGCAGCCCGCATAAACCCCCCCACGTCAACAGGCACCAATGCCCATTTCTCGTATCCACACTCATTGCAGTACTCGCTCGCTCATCCTCCGGAGAAAGCAAAGACGATGCAGAAGCCGTAAACAGCAAGAGCAAGGACGCCGTTGGTTGTCCCGACGCTTTTTATTTTGGTCGCGCGTCTCGCGTGACTCCTCTCCTTTCTCGCTTCGGTTTCGCTTCGGTTTTCGCCCGTCTCCGTCGGAGATGGTTAGAGGGGAGAGACGCTGATGGGGGAAGTTGATGTTTGGGGTGCTTGATATAGGCAGGTGTGGGAGGAGGTGTCATGTGCGGGCCACGTACGGTAATACTCGTACATACAGGTGCAGGTAAAATTGAGACTTGAACACGAGGGTTGCGGAGGGGAGGTGAACGGGCGAGAGCGGACGCAACATATTGAGCACATGAAGGGGGATGATGGGAAGGAGATGTACAATATAGCAAGTAGTTGATTTAGTGTAATTGCGTGTCTCAATCCTCATGTATGGATACCTATGTATCTCTTCTAAATGAATAGGCAATAGGTGCCATGTACATACTACATAGTCAGGCATTACCGTATACCACGCTTACTCACTTACTCATACATGTACTACACACTCTCTTCTACAACCGCTCCTCTCTCAAACACCACCTACCTATCTGTGTCCCATCGTCAATCCATGTTCCAACTCCGGTCTCGTGACCCAATCTGAACCATGAACACCTACTCGCCCCGACAACACAGACGACGAATCTGAAACACGTCTCGAGTAGACCAGCAAGCAAGCAAGCGCGCGCAAGCACCACCCCTCCCTCCTACGCCTCCCACCATGGAGCAGGGGCATCCCCAGCCAAAACTACCCCGCGAAGAAAAGAGAAGCGTCTTCGCTGTTCGTTTTCGCCGATCGTCGTCGTGTCGTCCTCGACCATTGCAACTTCTTTAATGGGGTGGGGTATCTGAGACAAGCGGCGCTGAGGGCGAGTGGAAACTCGAGGAACTGTTTGTTTGACCGAGAGGGGTGGTGTCATGGAAGAACATGAGAGTGATGAGGGGGTAGCATGATGTCTACAATCTTGTGGGGTAGAGAAAAAACAATGATAGGACACAGACGCAGTCGCTCGCATCAAGTTGCTGAGATCTGAAAGAGTAGAGTATGCAACACCAGAGATGAGACTCGGAAGACCAGAAAATGAGTATGAGTAGATGATGAATTTCACTGCCCTCAGATGCCGATCGAATGACGAACGGGTGAGGCGTGTATATACAAAATAACGAGATGAAGACTTGGGTGAATACAAACTCCCCGCGACCGAGATCCAGGACAGGAATGGAATAGAAGGAAGAGAAAAAGGCTGGCTAGAGAGATCAAAAGACATCCCCCATGGATAGATGGATGATAGGCGCTAACGATGGCTCAAAACAAACCTTCCCTTCTTTCAACGCTCGTCAGGATGTGTGCGCGCACGCAAGTAAAACTCCTCATACATGAAGAAGAAGAAGAAAAGGCAAGAGACGGGAAAAGACAAGACTGAGACGCAAAAGGAAATCGCCAGAGAGAAGAGGAAAAATCAACACGAGTGACGTGAATCATCCCAGCAGCCGTACAGGTAGTAATCCAGTGGAGACAAGAACAATGCACCCGCGAAACCCAGACCCGACCGTCCCATGGACCAAACACACAACACCGCTGCTTTGCTGCAACACCAATAGACTGTACCGCGCCGTTTGTGGTATACCAGCTAGACCGAACCCCCAAACCTGCCAGAGCCGACACAAAAGAAATCTACCCATATAAAATCCCCATGACTGATGCACGAAGACCGGGTGAGCAAATGAAAATGGTAAAACAACTGACCGGTACAGAACACCGTTGTCTGTAGACCAAGATTTTTCTTTTAATAAAAAGTCTTTAAGCGTCAAGAATGGAGAAACCCAAGATGCGAAAGACCCAAAAATGATAAACACCAATGTGTGCAAGAAGTCGCTGTGAGATGCCGTAAAACGCGCTAGAAGACAAGAGACCGATAGTGCGCTGTATCCGAGATGATTTTGTTTTTGCTGTAATTGCAATGCCGTCACCTGTTCCGAGTGGTAAACCCAACATGTCGAATAAGATGGATATCGCAGATTTGTACATGGGGGGAATCGATAGTATAGACGTATGATCCTCCGGAGGATATCGAAGTGAAGAAGAATTAGATCATATGAGGGTAGCCACTAGTCAGTAACGAAGAACACGCTGCAATGCCATCCGGACGAGCCGCTCGGTCTCGCGCCCGCGAGGCCCTACCAGCGGCGGAACTGCTGCTGCATCTGGCGATTGGGAGACACAGATGGTGGTGGGCTGGCGACAGCACGAGTCGAAGGGTCAACGATGGGGATGGCATTGCGGGTTCGCTGAGCTAGTGGCTGGTGCAGTTTGGTCTGCGCATGGCTGGACTGGAAATTGGCGGGAGTGTAGGGGTTAGGAGCCGAAGACAAAACAAAGGAAGGCGTAGGTTGAAGCTGGTGCTGCAGAGGAGATTGATCTGGCGAACCGCTCGAGAGCGAGGAGCGATCGGAGCCAGACGAGTGGATGGACTGAAGCTGTTCGTCATGAGTCAGCGCATGTTGCTGCGATGACAAGGCCGAGTGGCAAAGACGTTGCGGCGGCAGCAAAGGCGTCATGGCACTTACATCATCCTCGGTGAGCAAGTGGAAAGGGCAGAAGTTCTCATCATCTTCGAGATCAAAGGACCTTGCGGCCTCGAAGTCGCGGCGGAAAGCAAGAAGGGTGGGTGGTTCCACAAACTCCTTGGGAGTTCGCACTTGACGGAACTGCTTCTGCTGGTGGGCAGCCGACACGCGAGGAGCCCTCCGTGATCGGCCACCGTGGTGGTTGTGCTGGTGGGCGTTCAGGTGGGAAGCATGATGTTGTTGTTGAGCACCGTAGCTAAACATTATGGCAGTCTATGATGGAAAAATGATGGATTGAATGGTGGGGGTGGAGGGAGGTGAGATGATGGGTCGGGACGGCGGTGTGTGGAATGCGGCCGATCAAAACAAAGGAGGGGGCGGGATTGTGTGCGAGCTGTGAGTCGTCGGATAGGGCGGAAGGCGGCAGCGCAAGGTAGGCGGGAGAGGGAGGATGGCAAGGCGGTTTGTATGATTACAAGAGAAGAAGTAGAGGATTGAGTGGTCGGAAGAGAGATGGGAGGGTTGGAGCAGATGTATGAATATGTGGTGGTGGTGGTGGTGGTGGAAGCAGAAGCGGGTGATTTTGCGGGAGGCGGGCGAGAGAAAGCGAGTGTGCAGCGAGGGAGGGCGAAGGCTGATATGGTTGGGTTCTTGCCACCCAAGCTCACTAGCACGCGCTAACGGCGCCACGGGGCGCTCCGTGCGTGAAGCCGGGAGTGTGAGTGGCCACGGGCGAGCGTGTACCCAGCCAGCAGCAGGCGGCCTGGCAGAGGATAACCTCCAGCTACTGCTGCACTCTTTGTGGATGACCCGGCTAATCATGACCGAGGCCGACGAGCGATACGGTGCAGTGCAGTCAGTGCAGTGAGGTACCTACATACTACATACATACAAAGTACATACATGCGCACACCCGCCAGAGCATCGTTCGTCCCTCCGGTCGGTGCGCATCTCCCAGAGAGAGGAAGAGAGAGGAACGTGTAGCGCCCGCCCGGAGCGAGATCCATGGTTTGAAACCCCTTCTGGCTCTTCATCTCGTCTTCGGGTCCACCCATGCGCTCAAGGGGGCGAAGCCAGGAGCCATGCCAAACACTTTATGCATGCCAGCCCGCCAGGCCAGGAGGCCCCGTCGCTCGTCTTCTCACTCGCCTGCACCTGCTGGCGTATTATCGACCGGGTGGGGGGAGGCGGCGGCCATCGTGACCTCGCACTGGCAGACCGCCTCCCACTAGAGCCTGCACTGCTCTGCACTGCGCTGCACCTCCGCTGCCCGCTTGCCCGTCAACAACTCTGAATGGTTTGGAGCCAACAGCTCAACAGCTCCCCGCCGACTTGTGGATACACTCGCTGGATGTACAACAACAACAACAACAACAACAACAACAACAGCAACAACACGATAGAGGGGCTTCACCGACTTGTCTTTCCCATACCATGCCATGCCTGGTCTTAACAGGCCCTGACTATACCTCCCGTACGTCCACTCCTGTGTAGAGGCTGTAGCTGTATCTGGCTCAGGTACGAGGGGAGCACAGGATGCACGCCGTGTATCCCATCCCTCCCGAGTTGAGAAGGCGCTAAAGCCTACACCACTTCGGCCTGCCAACGCAAAGCAAAGCAGGGTCCTCTTCCTCTCCCTCGTAGACTCTCACACGATCTGCACATCTTGCTGCCGTGGTGGTGGCACTGCACATCGCTACTGTTACCAGCTGCCAGCCCGCCCTAGGTTCGTTCTAGAAACAACATCATGGCATGTACCCGCCTTGCGACGTGATGATGTGCTGACCCCCAGACCTCACCTCTCTGTTTGTCCTCTTGACCACCACGAAACCTGCCACATGCACCACACCACCACCACCACCTCCACTGTGTAAATGATGCGCAGGCACCAGCCTGGATCCCTTCCATTTGGTGCGACTGAATCAAACACACGCTTTCTCTCTCCACCCCTCCCCAAGCTTCAACGCCACCATTACCACCGGCGGGAGACGGGCAGAAGGGTACCGTTGTTGTTTGTCTCTTTGGCTTCGACCACGGCCAATCCGTTGCCCTCGTTGCCATAATTAGCGGTCTCTGCTATAATCACCTCGCCTCTGCGCATGAATCTTGGCCACGGCCTTATTGTCCGCTCCATGAGCCATCCCATCTCCCCACCTTGCGCGGGGTGATTGCTCTCGGCTGACGCTCCTGTTGACCTGCCTACCTGCCTGCCTGCATGCTGCGGCCGCCGACAAGCAATCTATGTGTACCCCGACTATAGGCGACTTTTCCCCAAATCTCACCTCACCTCACCACATCACTCTACATAGTAAGCTGCATTCCATCCCGCGTGCTGATTCTTGCATTTCTTCATCGTCAGCACCCAAATTACCCACCTGCATGTTCCAACACCACCCGACACCAGACCAAAATCTCCCTCTCATCTCGTAAAAACCCTATACATGCCCTGGCGGTTAATATGCTTTACGCCAAATAAAACAATCTCGTCTTCCCAGCCTTGTATATCTGTTGTGCCTCATGAAACCCAATGCCTCCTTGCGTCTGCATCTCACCACCACAGAATATGCACTCCTATTCCCCTATGCTATTTGTCCAATCCCCGCGCCTTCACAAACTTGGCAATCTGATCCTTGCATGTCCTGTCGCTGTACGATTCCCATACCTCGTAGAGCGATATGAGGTCCTGCGTGCATTCCACCACTGCTTCCATATCAATGCTGCTTTCTGCCAGCCAGTCCACCAGCTTCTGCACTCGGTTCTGCGTCGCCTGTCCTGCTCCCCCGCGCGCGTTCCCCAGTGCTTGCAGCGCATTGGCAACCCCTGCAGCGTGCACCTGGAGTCCACCCTGCGTCGGTTTGAGCACCACCGCCAGGAACATGGCCGTGATGGCGATTACGTGCGGAGCGTGGCTAAGGGGAAGGTCCGTCAGGTAGTGGTCGTTGATGACCGACCATGCCAGAGCGTTCTCCTCCTGCGTCAACTGGAATTGGTTCTGCAGTTCCGTGAGGCTGCGGTATGGGTGGTGGATGATGAGTTGCGAATTCATCTCTGAAATCAATGTGAACTCGCACTCGCCAATCTTGGAAATGTCGTTGAATGATGTATCTGCTATCCATTTAGGTCTGCCAGAGTCTCTTGGGATGAAAGGAGCGTACATACCCCAACAGTGTCGAGCCTCTGCCAGCACCATTCTGATATGCTGTGGACATTCTTCCATCTTGCATGCCAGATACAGAGCCGTGGCAAGTACCAGTGCTGGATTCGTCCGCCGTATTTCCACTTTGAGATAGAACCGGCGCACATAAACTTGTGCTGTAGCCAATGCTTGCTGTCGAATACCCAGAGGCCTGGCCATTTTGGAGAGTTCTAAACACCCGCGTCAGATCGTACGCAAAGACGTGCAAAGTGTCTTACGATGAGAGAAGTAGATGCTGAGCAGCCGTCGATCAGGGAGCGGGAATGCGTTGACCAAATTCCTCTCCGCCTCTTCCACCTTTTTCCGCTCTGCATTCAACTGCTGCTTGCTGAAAGTCCAGAATTTCCGCTGTGTCGAATCCCAATAACTGGACGCCATGGTTATGGATTTGTGAGGTGTGAAATCTTCCCTGGGGTATCAATCGGTAAATGAGGCTGGAATAAGAAAATAATGAGACAGAACATGTGGCCAGTGGGGAGACGTTTGCCTGGTTTGTGCTCGTTTGTCCAAGGCCCACCGGGGTCACCGCATGTTGATGGTGTTAAGTCGGCATCTCTCCCAGCCTGAGATATGGTTTGTGGAGTATGAAGGGGGTAAGCTGTGGCTCAACTGAGCGCCAAAAGTACCGAGAAAACGTTCCTAGATGTTGCGAGAGGATGGCAAGAGCCAGCTGAACGGGTTCCAGTCCTGGATGAGTTTATCCAAGTTCTGCAGCAGCTTGAGCATTGAAATCAAGAAGATTCAACTAATCAACCACACTCAGCATGCTCGCTCACCTCTTTCTACACGTGTGTACAGATGTTGCGCCTACTTCTGGTGAAGTGCGGCGCAGTTGGGCCCGCCGCCATCCAACCTGTCCGCATCTAACCCTCCGTCTTGCCGAGCCAGTCAGAGCTAGCCCAATTCAGATTTCAAGGTGGACAACATCATAGCTCGGCGCGCGCCCCGCTACCTTTCATCGTCCCCACGAGTCTTCACGAAGATCCTTTTTTTGCTCGACATCCCTCTCCGCTCCTCTCTCTTACGTCAATTCGTCTCTTCGATCGACCGAGCGCCCGCCCTCCCTGCGACTCGACCCCTACAGCCATGCCCGACCACGTATAACAAGGACGATGGAACCTCAGACCGCGAGCGCCCCGGACCGGGTCGATGCGCTTTGGCGGACCCTCGACGAACGAAAGCTGGGTCATCTAGATCTTGCAGCACTCAAGAAAGGGCTGCGAAAGCTAGATCATCGTATGCGATGCGCCCCTTGGCTTGCTGGCGTGCTAAGCTAATAGAGGACAGCTCTCAAGAATGCCGACCATCTCTTAGCCGATGTGATGAAGGCTGTAGATACGGACGGCAATGGCATTATTTCATATAGCGGTCAGCCTTCTCAATGCGCTTCCCTTGGGGCTTTGCTGACTGGCCATGCAAGAATTCCGCACTTTCGTCCACGAGACCGAAAAAGAGCTACTCGTGTTGTTCAAGAGTATAGACTTTGACGACGACAATCATATATCCAAAAAAGAACTGCAGGTCGCGTTTGGGCGCGCTGGTCTCGCAGTACCCAACAGTAAATTGGACGAGTTCTTTGACAGACTCGATGTCAATGGCGATGGCAACATCAGCTTCGACGAATGGCGGTACGTACCTTTGAGTGAAAGCCAAGAACGTGACGTGCCTATACAACAGTCCCGATGGTCTGGTTGGCGTGTCAACCAACCGCAGTCAGGGCAATCGTCTACTTTCTGGCGTTCGTAGTGCGGCCGACTGACGCGTTTGTAGCGACTTTCTCTTATTTATACCAGCCACGGCACCGAACCTCCGCGCTGTATTATCCTATTTTCAAGCAACCACCCGAGTAAACCTCGAAGGCGACGTCCAAATTAGCGACGATAACATCCACGGATTAGGTATTGCACAAAGCTTTCTTCACTCTCTTTTCGGCTCCATTTTCCTTATTGCAAGAAGCTATCCCCATTCACCACAATCGGGCGATGCCTACGGGGACCGGGAAATGGCCGCGACTGCCGAAATCTCATCCTCGCAAATCCCGCAAACCCTCCCGCCACGTCAAAATGTAGATAGACTCGAATTCGTCGAGGTGGAGTCTGAAACCTTGGGATCCGTGCTGATTGCTTGTGTCCCACATGCAGGCTATTTCGTGGCGGGAGGATTAGCTGGGATCGTATCTCGCACTTCGACCGCACCTCTCGACCGTCTAAAAGTCTACCTCATCGCCCAGACCAGCACCGCCAAAGAGGCCGTCTCCGCTGCCAAACACGGCAATGTCCTCCGCGCTGCTGCAAACGCCTGGAAACCGCTAGTCTTCGCCACCAAGGAATTATGGCAGGCAGGTGGGATTCGTAGTCTCTATGCTGGTAGGCAAACGCTTCGCGGATTCTCAATGATCAAGACTAACACGTGTAAGGAAATGGTCTCAACGTCGTCAAAGTCATGCCCGAGTCGGCCATCAAATTCGGCGCTTACGAAGTAAGTCCACTGTGAGACCGCCTCTGATGAAACAGCAGTTTAATTCCTGTAGGCGGCCAAACGTGCCTTTGCCAAACTCGAAGGGCATAACGATCCTACCAATATCCACGGCTGGTCCAAGTTCGTCGCCGGTGGTCTCGCAGGTGAGCTTGTTCTTGTGACCCTGACTGAAAAATGATCTGACAACCACAGGTATGATTTCACAGTTTGCGGTCTATCCTATAGACACCCTCAAGTTCCGCATGCAATGCGAAACAGTGTCTGGCGGACTGCATGGAAATCGTCTCATAGTAGCTACGGCGAAGAAGATGTGGAAACAGGGTGGAATGGTCGCCTATTATCGCGGCCTTCCCATGGGATTGTTTGGCATCTTCCCTTATGCTGCTCTCGACCTTGGTACCTTTGAATATCTCAAACGGGCGATCGCAGAGCGCAATGCGCGTGTACGAGGTTGCCACGAACAGGATGCTCAGCCTGGAGGTTTCGTGACTGCAGCCATTGGAGGCTTTTCTGGCGCTTTCGGTGCCAGTGTCGTCTACCCCATGAATGTCCTACGCACTCGGCTTCAGAGCCAAGGCACTGTGCTGCATCCACGCACCTACAATGGCATTATCGATGTCACTCAACAGACCATCAAAGGTGAAGGCTTGAAAGGTCTTTTCAAGGGTCTCACACCGAATCTTCTCAAGGTCGTCCCTGCCGTATCTATAACATACGTCGTCTACGACAAATCCAAGAAGGCGCTCGACCTACCGTGAGCATCTGCATTTCAATGCAATACCGTCCGACAGCTTGCGGTCGGTTTCCATCATTCACCTCTGAGCACTTGGACCCCATCTCCCCGAAACCGTGGCTCGAATATCACCGGTCACATTTGATCACAAATGAACACCACTCAGTCCCCGACTTCCTCATCCGTCCTCGCGTTTGCATCCTTAGAGATACCCACCGGTTCCTATTCAGCCTCCTGTCACCGGCGAGTACGGTAGCCCTTGTTTGCAGTTTACCCTTACGAGCTTTCCTGTGCTTTCTTCGCCTTTGCCCCGAGATAAGCACAGCATGAATATCAGTCGAGTCCCTTGTCGGCAAACTCACATAACAATGCAAAAAACCTTTTTTTATTCACGCCCACGTTTCCTCTGTTCTGTACTTTGCTATGTCGCCGGGCCTTTTGTTGATGAATTTATTGGAGCGTCGGCGTTTAGATCAGGATAGATCATTTCGGACCACTTTTTTCCGTTGACCTTGACGCGGGCTATTGGTATGGATTAGAGCGTAGAGTTTGGTTGGAGGCCGACTGTGAATGTGGGCTGAGAAAAGGTCGATGCGCATCCTTTGTGTATGTATGTATGTATCTGTTTGCATGTGTGTGTGTGTTTGATATAATAGCTAGTTGGGCATCGGTTTTCTTATTTCTCATACATCTAGGTAGATCTACGAACTATTGGTGAAGAGATTGATGAGAGTAGAGGAAGAATCGCCAAACCTTGAAAATCCGGTGTTAGAAACTGTTAGTCTTGACGTTTCCTCATCATTTTAACATGGAGGAATAAGGATGATGTCCATGTATGGCAAGGGACCAATTATGTTAGACCGTTCATCTCATTTGATACTCTCTTGGTAAATACAACGAGCCAGACAGTAAGAAGACGATTATAAAAGTATGAGAAAAGGAAAACCAGTGATGAACGCCTTCTATGCGATAGATACAATCCTACATGGCCAGCAAGTCAAACAAGCAGCCTCCGTTTGACCTTTCTTGCTCCTCATTCCTAGTTCATGTACTTCTTCTGCTTCTTCCTTTCTCTCACAAAGTCGTCGTTGTTCGTAATCATAACATCTTCCCGCTCTCCCCCTTCTCGGCCCTCTCCCCGCATGCACCAAAAAAAACGGAAGAAACAAGCGCCGATATCGAATCCCCAACTCCCTTTCACGAGCAAAGAGAAGAAGAAAAAAAACGACATTCCCAAGCCCTCACTTGGTAATCACAATCAACAAAACCAAGACAACAATCAACACGACAATGACGGTCAAGCTCCAATTCTCCCTAGCCTTGCGACTGAACCGATCCAGCCTGCCCCTGGCACGGGTAAACTGCGCCGTATGGCGATCGACGCCCTCCTCGACATCATCGAGCAGCATAACCTGGCCATCGAGCTCGTCGCCAATCTGCATGCTGAGCTCGCGCTGGCGGCCAATGGACATGCCTAGCTCGTTGAGCTGGTCGTCCTGCTCCTCCATGACGCGCGAGTGGTAGTCGTGGATCTGCTGGTTGGAGAGGGCGGTGTGGTCGGGGGCAGCGTCGGGATCCGGGTCGTCGCGGTAAGGGAAGAGGGCGGCGCGGTTGGGGTCTTGGGCTTGGTCGTCATCGTTGGAGTCGGTGAAGCGGACGGATTTGGAGGGCTGGCGGGGTTTTTTGGAGGATGCGGCGGAGAAGTCGGGGGCGAGGGATGGGTCGTTGGGGGTTGTTGTTGCTGTACTTGTGGTGGCTGGGTTTGTGGATGATGAGAATTGAGAGGTCAGGTCTGCGAGTTGGGTGCGGAGACGGGGGAGCTGGCTGGATATTGATCTGTGGGAGGTAGTTGGGTTTGGTGGTTAGTCGGAGATTGCAACAACAAAGGGAATGTTGACGATTGAGGAGGTACGAGAAGAGAGGCTTACTCGTCGTCGGCATCTGCAGTTTGTGACTCGAGCGACTCGATACCGGATCGGAGCTGCTCGAGGGATCGGGATATCTGGGCATCCTGGGAGGTTGAGGGGAGGTTGAGGGAGATTGCGCGTTGGCGCTCCAGCAGCGAGAGCTTGATGTGGTCGGCTAGCAGAAACAGTTGAGGCGGGTTGGTTGTGGACATGATGGTAGGGGCGGTGGGGGAGTCTCGGGGGTTGAGAGGAATGGGTGTGGATGGTCGGGAAGGTTTCGGTGGTGCATGCGTGTGTCGGAGCACTGGTCGGAGGAGAGAGTATGATGCGACGGGTGGATGTGGTGAGGCGGAGGTTGAGGAGTGCCGGAAGGGTGTGGATTGACAGGGGTGTGTGCACAGCAGCAGCAGGTATAATAGCGAATGACGAAGGAATGTTTACTTTTGAAAATCAGCACAAAACGGCAACCAAGCCTGGTATCGAATCAAGACGAAACGGTCCAGTTGATGAGGAGGATTATTGCATATGTATGCATGCATGTGTGAGAGTGAAATGGTGCTGTTGCGGATGTTATTGTTGAGAGACAGGTACATGGACAGTTCAAGTTGTACATGACAGCCTCGTGCATCTAGGCACACAGTACATGATATGTACATGTATACATGTATATATGTATGTGCAAAAAAAGACTGGTGATGAACTACCTACCTAGGTACATAAGCAAAGGACGGGACCTGAGTTGCCCTTGTGCCTGAGTACCTGACTTGACAGGCAGACTGACAATCCATCAATCCATCCATCAAGCAGCTGTCAGTCAAAAGAGTGGAGCCAACCTCTCCTCCGACTGAAATCTCCCCACACAGAAGCGCCACAGCTAGAGGTTGACCCGTGCATCTATCCATCCGTCCATCCATCGCTCCCGTGGACCCCCAGACCTTGGCGTTCAGCCTCGGGACGTCCTCCGACTTGCAGGCAGGTGCATCCCATCCCATGCCTGCCTGCCATTTGCCTGTTCGCCTGTTCGCCCTTTCTTGCCAGTGCGGTTGCGAGGTTTCTCCTTTGCACAACACTCCTCCTCCAAACCAGAGAGCCATGCCTCGCCCCCATTCCGCCCTCTCCACCTATATAGCAGCCACCAGTGCCAGCCCCGACCATTCCAGCATCCCTCACCTCATCACACCTCACATCTCCTCCCCCACCCCCCCCCACGTCAGATTCACCTCTGCCAGTGGATCCCAAAGCTGATCCATAAGTAGACTCTCGCTTCCACCTCTGTCCTCCCTCTGGTACTTACTCCTCTGGGGACCGCCGTCTTTCTCTCTTTGTTTGCATCTGCACTTGCCTCTGCCTTGTCTCTCTTTACATAATAATAACCATGTCTTCGCCCGAACCCATCCCACCGCCCAACGACCGACGCGGCTCTCGCGCTTCCAGCAATGCCGATATCTCAGTCCAAGACGGGAACGGCGTCATGGTCGGTGGTCCTCCTGGCAGTCCCTCGCCGCTTCAAATCAGAGCTTCCAACTCATTAAACTCGAAGAACCGAAGACGTCCCATTGCTAAGCAGCCCCCCGATGTCCACCTCCTCGAGTACTGCCACACTCCCGACAGCAACCTCGTCTGTCTCATCTGCCACTCTCCCTTTGACAAGCCCGTCAAGCTGCTCTGCGACCACTACTTCTGCCGCCAATGTCTCGAGCATGCATGGGCTGCCCAGCAGGACGGTGAGAAGACGTGTCCTACCTGCCGTAGCAAGGTCGATGTCGACAAGGACCTCCGTCCCGTTCCAAGGATCATCGAGACCATGTTGGACGAGCTGGTGGTCAAGTGCCCCAACTCCAAGTCTGGCTGCGACTGGTCGGATCAGCGCGCCAACGTTCACGATCATGTCATGCTGTATTGCGTCTACACACTAGTACAGTGTCCATCATACGACTGTCGCCTACACATCTCCCAGAAGGACTTTCACAAGGGATGCCTGCATTATACTGTGAGCTGTGAAAACTGCCACACTTCAATGATGATGAAGGATCTTGAGGTGTGTGCCCGTGTGACCATGTTGACAGGATCCATTATAGCCCCGAGTGCAACCATAGGCTCGTCAAGATCAAGACTGTGATTTACTGACTGGCTACAGGGACATCAAAGGACCGACTGTCCCGGGCGTTCAACCAACTGCCCCCACTGCTCTGCTGAAGTACTTCGCCTCGACTTTCAAGCACACGTCAAGGAAGCGTGTCCCAAAGTCGTTATCCCGTGCAGCGGCGCCGTACTGAGCTGTACGTTCACCGCAGAGCGAGCTGAAGTTGCTTCACACCAGGAAACTTGCGTTGTGGCTAAGCTAGCACCTCACTTCCAAGAACAACAAGCTCGCATCGAACGCAGTGAGGCACGTCTGGAACCTTTATCCAGAAGGGTCGGCATACTCGAGGATGGTTTGTCGAATATCACAAGCATGCTGTATCCGGCTAATAGTGAACCTTCCCTCCCCCTCTCCGAGCCCTTGGATCCCACCAGCCTCGAGGCGTTCCCCCCTGCACATCTCACCGCTGCTTCTGACTTTCGTTTGTCACCCAACCCATTTCCATCTGTTCCACAAAACGATGTACCTCAAACCACTCAGCCTCCTTTTGACTCCCAGATTCACCATCTTCTCACCATGCACGATTCCCTGCGCGAGGAGGTGTCCCGTATCACCAACGCCCTCGGGGAGCTTGATGGGCGTACCAACATGATGATTATCAACGAGAGCCAAAGGCAGAAGGACGAAATGTTACACACTAATGCAGCCATCAACAGTATGCGGATGCAGTTACACTGGTTGATGAGCGCAACCCTTTCCAACCGTAACGCTGCCGGTAGTTCCACGGCAAGAGCAAGCGCGAGTACAGCCGCCGCCAGCGGCAGTGCCAACAGCGCGACCCGAGGGGCTAGTGCTAGCGCCGGTTTGGGCAATAGGGCAACTGCAAGTGCAACGTTGCATGCTCCGTTGCGCCGCTTGAGCGATTCTACGAGGCAAGACACCAAGCTGTGAGATCGGGAGTTACCGAAGAACGTTTCAGACTGGCCATACCAAACTGGCTGGTTCTCTGTACGCTCCTACACAAACTAGTCCTGCTTTCGTACCGCGAGGCGCGCCTTACAGGTTCACCTCAACACCATCTACGTCCTGCGATTCGCTATTCTGAGTCACCACAAAATTCTTTGTTTTTCTACTTGAGTGGCGTTATTAGGGCTACACCAAGCGGGTTTAATGATTGATCGTTACTAGATACCTTACCCCGGGGATTCTGGATTCCCTTACACTTGATTGTAGGGCTCAAAAAAAAGTTCGGGGGACCAAAGGATACTGGCGTACAACCAAGATGACATGTTATGGAACGACAAGCGGTGGAGTTCTCTGGTGGGCGATAGATTTCGGGTATTTGTCTTCTGGTCACGGGCATACGGATTGCCGGGGGGATGGATGGACAAACTTATGAAAACTACCATACGCACGCATAATTCAAAATACCCCTTTTCGCTTCTACCTGTGGCATGTCCACGATTGTGTGATTGGATCTGTGTTTACTACCATTTCTTTGATTCGTTTGGAAGACGATAAACATGAAGCATGAGAAGGCTCCTACATATGAGGTGGAAGCACACTAGACTATGTCTAGATGTACTGTAGTGGCTTCGCACTTATATTTTTCGTGTAGTATTTCAGTAGCTTGCTGAAACCTGATCAGGCAGTCTTGTTCTATTTTTGTTCGAGTGACATAGCGTGTGGTCCCCCTTGTTTTCTCCCATAACAGATCCCGTGTAACAGCACCCTGAAGAATGAAGCGAAGGCGGAGAGGAGACTGATTATATGATTAGATTAATACAATAAAACCGAGCCAACGTGTTGAATGCGAGGAGGGGTATTATAGACTAGCTAGACTTTGACTTCCGACTTTCAAAACGACCAATCATTACGACCACTACTTCTGTTGGAAATTTACTAGGTTGAATGCAAAAAGTGGAGGTTCAAGTCGGGGGGGTATCTCTTTGCAGAAGAACGAATGAGAAAAGAAGTGAAAGCAAGATGAAAAAAAAGAAGCTCGTGGTACTATTGGAGTATGAAACATGGGGAATTGGGAGTGGGAGGGGAGATGCGAAGAAATGTATAAAGCGAAGGAAATAAACACGAGGAGGGTTCGGTTCGCTGCTCCTACTTGGTGATTTCGGGCAGAGAAAGAGGAAATCAGTGGTGGCCACGAATATGTCGGCATACTGACATGCAGACATGCATGGCGGTCTAGTTGTTGAAGCCTGGTTCCCTGCGTTCCCGTGTATGCCGAGTTTCTTGTCGGGAGACATTATCTCTTTATATCCTGGTAGCCAGTTGCGTGATGACATGATCCCCGCACGCGCCATCCCGTGCTTTCCCGTTGTACTATACGAAGTTTGTTCTCCAAATTTCATGTCTACAAACAGATGCAGATGCAGATTGGGGAAGGGTTGTGGGAAGACAAGGTATATACCATTCGGGAAAGAATGGAATATCCACCTCTCGAGAGTGTGGCACTAGCTTGTATCCCGCAACCGTTCAAAATGAGGCGTATATAGCCGCCACTGGTTTCTCCTCAGATGCGCTTGTATGCTTGTGTACGGTGGGGTGTTCATTAGTGCAAGTGATGGAATGAGTCAATGAGGCAACAAAGACCTCTACTCGAACACCATAGCGATAAGGACATGCCGATTTTCGTAGTTCCAGTACGGATGTGACTCTAGCGGTTGTGTTTCCGGTATGATTTGACCACCATAGACGATACGGACCAGAGCAAAGGGGTTGATCTACTTGGGTTGTTAGCTTTGACAACATTTACTAGTTGCAAACACCCCAAAAAAAAGTGCATGAGAGAAGAGCGTCCAAGGTAGCAACTTACGCTTGCCTTCGACTTCAACTTGGCAACTAGACTCGCCACTTTTTCTCCCTTGTAAATGCGTATCCGGTAGTCCACACCTGTGTTGCTCAAACGACAGAGCACCTTGACCTCGTCACCTAGCACCTCAACTTCTTTTCCCTTGCTCTCTTTGACCTTGTTCGCATTTTCAGCGCTTCCCTCTTCCACCTCGGCATCCTCCTTTTTATCGCTGATATTGTCCTCATCGTCTTCATGGCCGTGATCAGTCTCGTCGTCGTCGATGAGTCCCTCGGGCTCTATGACAACCCATTCCTGTACTCTATACCATTCACCACGCCCATCGAAAACACCCTTCCACAACATTCCATTTGGACATGTACACTCGGTCGCATCAAGCAGGGCTTGGGCTTCACCCACCTGTCCGAGCTGTAAGCTCTCCACCATGAGTCGGAGGGCAGCCCATATCTCTTCACGGCCCGTCGTCCGCGTATCCCACCAGTCTCCTCGTTCCTTCTCCAGTTGTCGCCGCGTCAAGCCAGTCCGTCGCGCATACTGCGCTGTCGGAGATACAAGGTTGGTGGGTATTTTGGAGCGATGGGAAGGGTCGATGGGTTTCAGAGGAACATTGGGTCGGCGTTGTGTATTAACCAGCGGAGGAGAAAGCGCGGATGGGTGCGAAGTTGAACCTTGTGACGTCGAGCGCGGTGGTGGGGATGACGAGGTGATGTTGCGAGAGGAGGCGGTGGGGGCGTTTCCGCCTGGGTATGAGTCGCCAGTTTGACGCGAGGCGCAACAACCCTACAATGTCTCGAGATCAGTTATCTGGTCGTAGCTGGAGGTATTGAAAACAAGCCTGAAGTCCGAACAAGAAACGAAAAGTAAGGGCATGAAAGAATGCTCGCGTGAGTGTCTCACGCTACCCTGTCTTTGCCCATTCCGTCTCATCGCATCGTCTCTCAGTGGTTCACTCCACAGAGCCATCTCTTCTCCTTCTAAATTATGATCTGTATCGTCCGACTTACCATGGTGAAAGTGTTACCCTTCTTTTGTTCCGGTCCCAAAGTGCGCTCTAGCCCGTGCGGTGCAGCGCGGTAAAGTAGTGAATGGAAGGTTTGCTACTGCGCCCACGGTATCATAGAGTAAGGTAGGGTAGGCAGATATACCCTCAGTCAGTGGATTCTAGTGTTCCATGCAGAAAAACACAGGGTACCATGTGGAGCGGTCGTCACGAGAAAAGGTGCGGTGGGGCGAAGAGAGGTGGCGGCGTACGATACGAGAAGAGGGTGGTGGTGCATGGATAGCAAAAGTGTTGGCGTCGCGTCGTGGTTAGCAGTTGCCCTGCCGTACTCGCGAACGGGCGGTGACGGTCCAGAATGTCCATAATGTCATGCGGCACATGAATATACCAGGTAATACTCTCTCAAGGCATTAGAACAATAGGACCACGGATAGTAGATTCAGGAACAGCGGCTCCCTGTGAGCTATTAATCACTAGCTTCCACATAACCATTGTACATCCCAACAGGACATGCCACACTTGATATAGAAAAACAGCAAAGGTGTATCAACCACTCACGTTCCTTGATTGTAGATATGTGTACCCTGTTCTTTCGTTACTGTGAGAGCCAAGTAACAGCGAACAAGCAATGCGCACACACATTCATGCGTGTAATGCGGGGGAAATATAGTTTTCGCCTCGGTCCCTTGCTCGTTCTGCGGGACGAGAAGGTTCACATCAGGTCGTCTGATCCCGGTCATATATTCTGAGCAACCACGTCCAGATGGATGCAGGATACCCCACAGGGACGGTGCAAACAATGGAATGAGAGGAAGGCTGCCTACTCCATACATGTTTATGGCATACTATAACACTCGTACCATTGGGGCTCATGAGATGGCTCTTCTAAATCAAATCGAGGGGTCACAATGGGTGTACAGTGCAAAACCGTCAGGATTCGGGTTAGCAGACACGCATGAAGTCTGGTGACCCGCAGATCCCGATAAGGCCAAACCCTGGGTCAACTCCAGCTGTAGAACAAACGGCCAGAGATGGCGGGAATGGCACTCGCTCGGAGCACGTAGACAAGAACACACAACATTCAAAACCACATTTTATTAGAGATTATTAGGTCGACGGTGCCCTAGTGGCCGCTTGTACAAAAGTCCCAATAAGGACAGTACACAGGGTATCAGGGGTATTGCGCGATAAAGCCAAAATCAGAAAGACATCCAGCGACCAAACAGACATTGGTATCAAAAGGAGATAAACAAGTGCAAAGTGGTATCAATCTAGACAAAACGAGCTGGTAGCGGGGCACGGATGCGCAGAGCACGGCAACCCCAGCAATGCTGAGGCGACTCACGCTCTTCCCGCTATGAAACGAGTGAATGAGAGTTGGTCCGAAAAGGAAAACATTGGGTATATAAAAGACAGGCGGAAAGCTCCAATGCCATCCAAAGAGGCCCCATGGAGAGTTGGACCGGGGTGACCGAGCCCTCACAAAAGGGATTTGCGGTATTTTTGCTTTTCCGTCATTCCATCATGGCTTTCGTGGTTAAAAGTAGGATCCCACCATACTTTATGCAGAGGAGGTGACGGCTGGGGCGCTTTTGTGATCCTGCCCTACTGTAACGGCATCGGGCACGACGTCACCAATGGTGGCCTGCTCGGTGGGAGCGGCGGTGGTGGCGGCGGGAGTCTCCTTGGACTCGGCAACAGGAGCGGTCTCAGACTTCTCCTCGACGGGCTCAGCCGTCTCCTCAACCTTGGCTGGGGTGCTGGTGGAAGGCTCCTTCTCCTTCTTGGACTTGCCGGCCTTGCTGGCGTTGCGGAAAAGACCCTTCAATCCCTGGGGCTTCTCCTCTCCATCCTTCTCCTTCTTGACGGATCCACCGAGGGAACCGAAGATGGAAGCGCGCTTCTTCGCAGGGGGAGTGGTGGTGGTAGCAGCCTCAGTGGCAGGGGTCTCCTCCTTCTTCTCCTCCTTGACGGCCTCGGTGGCAGGCTCCGCAGCAACGGGAGCGGGCTCAACAGGCTCGACCGGGGCGGCAGCAGGGGCGGTCTCCTCAACCTTGGGGGTCTCCTCACTCTTGGGGAGCTCGGGGGCCTTCTCGGTGGTGGGAGACTTGACCTTGTCCTTACCGCCACCCAAGAACTTGCCGAAAGAGAAATGCTGCTTCTCCTTAGCGGGAGTGGTCGCGGTGGCAGGCTTGGCCTCTACGGGCTTGACCTCCTCGGTCTTGGGTGCCTCAGATGTACCGTCAACAACGGCAGTGACTGGGGCAAGAGGAGCCTCCTCAACCTTGGGGGTTTCCTCGATCTTGGGCGCCTCAGCGGAGACCTCAGACTCTTTCGTGACGGGAGTGAGTTCGGGCTCCTTCTTCTCGTGAGTAGGGCTCTTGAGCTTCTCGACGAAGTTACCGAAGATGGAAGCGCGCTTGGTGGGCTTGGGCTTCTCCTCGACCTTCTTCTCCTCGACGGCAGGAGTAGCAGTGAGGGGCTCCTCAGGCTTGGTCTCCTCGACCGGCTTGGCAGTTCCCTCGGTGACGGGAGCAGCGACAACGGGCTCAGTGGAAGCTAGACGGATGTTAGAGAACGGTTTTATCGACAATTGAGCGATTACACTTACCCTCCTCAGCGACAGCGGGAGTAGCGGTCTCCTCCTTCTTGGCCTCCTTCTCTTCGGCCTTCTCCTCCTTCTTCTCCTCTTTCTTTTCCTTCTTCTCTTCGACCTTCTCCTCAGCCTTGTCCTTCTTGCCGAGGAAAGATCCGAAGATGGAGGCACGCTTTCCGCGGGAGACGGATCGGCTCTTGCTCTTGGAGGCCTTCTTCTTCTTGTCCTCGCCGTCAGAGCTGCTGGAGACAGATCCGGCGCGGGCCGGGGCAGCAACCTCCTCAGTTGGTTCGGTGACGGGAGCGGCAGCCTCACCCTCCGCGGGCTTGGGGGTGACTTCAGTGCTCTTCTTGGGAGCAGCTGGGGCAGTGGAGGGCGCTAGCGTAGTGGGTTTGCCTTCGCGTAAAGTCAGTGCGTCTGCAGGAGCGGGAACAAGCGAAAAAGGCGATCACTAAACGCGTCGCGTTGTTTGTGATGTAAGGGAAGACGTTACTTACCAAGCTTCTTCACTTCCTCCTTATAAGCCTCGCTGGAGGTGATGCCCTCCTTGGCGGTCTTGGCCTCCTCAATGGCCTTCTCGACGGCGATGAACCAGCCATTACGCTCGGCAGCGTTGGAAGCCTCGAAAGTGTGCTTGTCACCGTTGAGCTTGAAGTGGAAAGCGACAGCTCCGTCCTTGCTCAATTCGGTCGCATCGGCCTATGTTTGTTAGAACTCTGTCCAATAAGTCAGGTGAAACCGTCTGCGCTTACCAAGTTCAAGACACCAGCGGGGGAGTCCTTCTGGTCGGCATGCTTGACGAAGAAAAGCAATCCCTTTCCAGTGACGCTGGACCAGGCGGCGGTTGGGTGGGCAACCTCGGCCTTCTCACCACGAAGGTACTGGGAGAGGCTGGAGGTGGGAACAGCGGCCTCCTCACCGAACCAGAAGTACTTCTTGGAGAAGCGGAAAATGCTAGGTAGATGTTAGGATTGTTGATGCAATGGAAAAGAGAAAAGAGGGAAAGCTGGCGGATGCTTGTTTTTTGATACTTACTTCTTGAGACCAGGGGCCTTGTAGCCAAGAGCACCGCTGTAGATGGGCTCAACGGGCTTCTCCTCCTTCTTTTCCTCCACGGCAGCAGGGGCGGCGGCAGCGGCGTCGGTCTCGGCCTCCACCTTGGGGGTCTCCTCGGTGGGCTTGGTGGGCTCCTCGACCTCGGTGGGCTTCACCTCTGGCTCGATGGGTGCCGCGGCAGGGGCAGTCTCGGCGGGCACAACAGGTGCAGCGACCTCGGTAGGCTTTGTTGCTTCGACGGCGGCGGACATGGTTGCGATACGGGTATGATTGAATGGAGGGGGATGTCGATACAAGCGATGGGAAAGGAGAGGTGTTGTAGTATAATTTTTTTTCTGGAGACAAGCTCGCGGGGGCAGGGAGATTACAAACGCGTAAGGTAAGGTAAACAGGCTCTGTGCCGGCAGGAAGAAGCTAGCTCAGGCAAACTCGACGACAAAGACGAGGAGAAGGAGGGATGGGTGGCAAGGAGAAAGGGTGGGTGAGTGGGAGAGAGCAAAGGAAAAGACTTGCAGGCACACGGGCGGGCTCGCTTTAAGGGCTCGTCTCTTGGGCGGTTTGGTTTGGACTGGGTGAGTGCCACTGACTGGCTGGGGGCAAGGGGTTTCGGTGCTAGAGACGGTGGGTGGGTGTTAGGACAGGGAATCGAAATTATGGTCCAGCGCGCACGGCCGCTTTCTGGGCGGGCAGCCGCCGCTAGAGGCGCCCACATAAAAATGTTGTGCGTTGCTGTGTCACGCCTACCCAGCACGGATCCCGCTGCCCATGCCTCCATCCATCCATCTATTCATTCATTCACTCTGTTCCATTCAATCACTACATACGTACATGTGTATGTACTTATTCACTGTTCCAATTGCCTATACCTGCATCCATCGTCATCTGCATATTCCCGTGCTGTTATTCCATCACCGTCAGCGCAGTCTGTGTTGTTGGCGGGCTGGGTATACACAGGGCAACTACCTACTCGCATCCAAAAATAATACCCACATAGCTGAATCCCTTATCTAGCGTCACCGTCTTGTATCAATACATCTATGCTAAGCTACCGCACGTCGCCTTTCATGGTGCAGACCAGAGCAGCAAGGTCGCTACACAATTCCAACAGAATCCCGTCTTGGTTCGACTGTTACCTGGCTTGCTTCTTCACGCACCAGAAACGGCTTTATTATACACGCACACACACACATGAACCCCTACGAGACATACGGTTACCTATGTGACATGGCTACTATCAGATATTGGGGTTTCAGGACTGCCCATGGAACCATGTCTCATGTCGACTCTATTTGATTTTGCTCGTTTCCATGTTTCTTCCTTGTTCAAACGCCATTGTCTCCCTTGTCTGGCCTGCTACTCCACCATGTACAGGTACAGGTACATGTACCTCAGCACGATACAGTACATACCCCGCATTAGATATACTCGCGCCAATGTACGATGATGCCGGAAGGTGGTGTGCTAAGCCAAGTTGCTTTCCCATGCTACTGCATCCGTATCATCCCATGCCATGCTATCTCGCTGTCTGCTGGTCGCATGACTGCCCAGCGGCCACCCCTCTCCCACCTCTGCGGTTCCTACGCCTGGATGGTGTCCAACAGCGAGCGTTTGCCTCAATTTTCGAGTCTCGTGAGGCCCCAGATATCCTCCAGCACCCGTACAGACGCAATCCAAGTGGTGGGGGTCAGAGGCGGTGGGTGGCATCGGTTCAGCCAAGTGTCGAGGCGATGCACACCGCCCACCGTGTACCTACATTGATCTCCATGTAGAGCTTGCACGCAAAAAGATGGAATCCTTCCTCTGCGTGTACGGCCACGCGGACGATGGTGCTGGGAAGGCATGCTATGGTGTCATGCTGCAGCATCGCCTTGGATAGCACGTTTCGCTTTACCTGCTGGCATAACAAACCATGACGGTATACGAAATGTTCCAGCCCAACCGTGGCCAGCATCCCATCCAAGCCAATTCTCCTTGCCTGTGGTTGAACCTGGGACGTGTAGCACATGGGATCATGGGCGCGGTACGTGAGATGGAGAGGACATGTGAAACACGGCATCACGTAATCAGCCGTCGTCGTCGTTGTGGTTGTTACAATGTTTGCACAACTCATTCTCTATCTCTCACTCACGCCAGCACGAGAGAGGAGGCCTGCACGCGATCCGACGTTGGGGCGGCCCAAGCGTCCTCGCCAGAGAGCAGCCGCGGCAAGGGTCTACGCTGGTCCGGTCTGGTCACTTCTGCACTCAGTCAGTCAATCAATCAGTCAATCAGTCAATGGGAGGCCATTCAGTCTACCGGCGATCGGCACTGCAGCCAGAGTGCTGTCTGCCCGCCCATCTCACGCTATCAAATGCAACGGCGCCCGCTCTACCAATTAGCTTGTCCCTTCATCACCGAGCCCGGACTGGACGAGGGAGAAAAGATGACGGCCACAACAAAAAAGTCAAGTCCGAGTGAGAAGTGCGATGGATACGTGATCCAGGTACATCATGTACGTACACCTGACAGAGACGACACCCGTATGTACAGATGCTGCAGCCGCCTGCACCTCTTGCATCAACCACAAAACAATTACATGGAATAGATTGACCTGCCTGCGTGAGGGGCACTTCCTCATCCGGACACCCTGCGAACGATGCTCAATGAAGAATCTGCAAACCCCCCCTGCACCGCTGCTTTCGGCTGATCTGAAGATGCAAGATTGGGGTCGCGCCTTTCCTCCATCAGTCATGTCCCGTCCAGTCGATGAGTCGTGGCCTCACGTGAAGAAAAAAGGGGGGGCCCTCATTTCACTCCTCCTCACTCCTCACCGCGCCTACACCCTGGGATGGAATGGCCTGTCAGCGCGAAGGAACCGTCACAGATATCCAGTCGCCCACGATTCCGCTCCATGCACACGACGCGCAAGCCACAGACTCGAGCAATCGACGCCGACAAGCTGCCTTTCCGACTCCCGCACTTGGCACGGCGGCTTTTCACACCACTTCCCTCTTGAAGATCCCCATCCGCCCTGCCCTTTCAACCAACCAATCTCCGCCGGCCATCCACACCGCCACAGACACTGTCCAGTGGCATTGACCGAACAATTTGTGAACCGTTTGCTTCTCCCCTGCTCGCCTCTGCTCTCCCTGCTGCCTCCCCTCGCAACATTATTCACCGCTCCCGTCACTCGTTCTATGCGTGGTCTGTACTCGACTATAGCCTGAGTGGTATTGGATATGGATAGACCGTCCAAGGAACATCGCTTCGATACTATCCCCATCTTATTGTGGGCATTGTTCATATCCATTCATCCCCTTGCCCCGTTTCACTATGCTTCATAGCATAACTGATAAACAGTGTCTGACTAGAACCGAAGAGAAGCCAATACTTTTCGATTCCCAGCCTGCATGCCGTATTAATCTATCTCTCACGGGGGCGCCTACTTGCAATATGTTTCATGTCAAGCAAAAGGAAAAAACTTGCCAACCCTGAAATTTTGCAGCCATGGGTAATTGGCGCCTCGGACATATCCTCGTCTTGAGCCTCAGGTCAGGCACACAAGCTTCCGGAAGCCTCCCAGGGACAGATTAATGTCCAAACGAAGCGGCTCGGCACGCCCTTGCTACCTCAGTTATGATTACTGCGAATCTCACTATCCATCCAACTAGTTCTATTGTCTAGCAATCTTTAGTTGCTACTTGTAGTGCATGTGTACTCATATAGCAACTGGGTGAGTCGTGTAGTCCATTACATACTTGGCACATAGCAACCATGGGAAAAAACACGCTCGACACACTACTAGTATGACTTAACCCACATTACGATCTTCTCTTTTTCTATATTTCTCCATCTCACTCCACCCATTGGCATGTCCGCTCTTCTTGACCACGATTCGCCAGTCTAGCTCATCGATTTTGTTTTGTTTAGTACAAATGGGGGTGTTGGCGAGGCACGACCAATCAAACCCACTTTGCGTCTCCACTTGACCTCATTTCACAACCAGCCAGCCACCAACGAACATCAAACCTCCAAATTCCAGACAGCATTGTTGGGAATTGGGTCCGCGGCTCTTATTCCCGAAATCATACAAGTCAAACACTCCCCCCCACCAGAGAAATAACAAAGGAAGGAGAACAATCACCGCTCATCGTCTCCCACGGATGAATCGACATCGGTTCGACAAATAGCCCACATCCCTCCATTTCATCAGTCCAGAGTCAGAAAGATTTTCCACCGTCACCCCATACAAGCACAAGCGTCCGCAGAAGTCAGGCTTCCCATGCCCTTTTCCACCAAAACCCACGGGACCCATTCGTTCGCTCTATTCGTGAATCCCCTGTCCATCTTTTTTTTTCTTTCCTCTCAATTTCAAAATTTCAACGAATCCCGGTCCCACTTCCAAGTTGCCCCTTTCGACCCACCCACAGTGTACTAATACTGGAAGTATACGTGCAGTGCCTATCCAAGTACTGAATTGGCCCCCTTACTACTTCTCTTGCATGCAACGGCACACTAGCGGTAAATAAATACGTAATTCTCGGTGTACATTGTACAGCTCCTATGGAAAGAGGAAGAATGGGGGCTATTACATATCTGTCCGCCTACCACTGGACTAGCCGAACTGTCCAGCATGACCTTCAACCAAGCAGAGTCAATAAAACAAAATACAGAGAGCCATATTACTCGTGTGAATCAGCGGCACAACATAGCACATAGCCGCGCGCCTTTCGCGTACTCCCTCCTCCTTCCTTCCATCCAACGACAAAATTCAATTACTATAACGATCAGCGCACTGAATATTGACTCCACATGATGAACTACCAACCCTATCCTCTACCCCATCTGCCTTCATCCCTCCTGTCACCTTTTCCTTCTCGGCTCTTGGATCCCTAGCCATCTATTCTGACAATCTCTCGACTTTTGTTTGCTTACTCGATGATGTCTGAGCGTCGCGAGTTGTGAATTCAATGTAATCGTGAATCTATCTCTTGGCAGCATATATGATATATGTACTGACAAGCTAGTAGATCAGTAGCTGATCAATAAAAAGGGAGAGAGTGGTGTTCGTGAGCTATCCATGCTACAGGTTTTCTTGAACATCACGGTAATAAGATGTGTAGTTGTTGCATATGCAATCTTGGAACCCTTGTCTTTACTACGAACCCCATTCAAGACATATCCTTCCCTCGTACCATCTACACGCCGTAGACATATGGATAGACGAAGAACCCCAAGCCCACAGTAGAAGTAGCAGTAAAAAAAGAAGGAGAAGAAGAAGAAGCAACAACCAAACAACCAACCAACTGACGTGGTATCATAAGTGACATAAAAACACGAATAAGAAAATTAAGAAGACGCAAAGGCAAAATATCCACCAATTTGAAGGAAGTAGAAGAAGAGAAAGAAGAAGAAAGCATGTATGTACAATTATACACGCACATATAGACTTGGAAAAGAGTAACCAAAAATAAAAGAAGAAAAGTAAACAGAACAAGCAAAGCAAGTGAGATCAAAACACCTCTCCAGACATACACACAAAACTCCCTCCTTTTCCCTTGTCGTAGCAAATTATAAACCAAGAAAGAAGCATAAACACCGAAAGCCGTCTTCGTCAAACACCCCGTTTAAAAACTTTCCAAACTCAATATTTGCCGAGAAGCGTATTAATGCATGACAAAGAACAATTCTACTCCCCCCAAACAGTATGTAAGTAAGCAGAGCCTCAACTCTAGAGTTTAGTAACCAGAGTTCCCCCTTCATTCGTCATGAGAATTCGATTTCGTGAGGAGCGTCGACCGCCAATGAATAGACTGGTAGGCTAGCAGAGAGTATGTACTCGTAATTTATATACGCCGGTGGATTGGAGATAACGCCGAGTATGATACAGCCTGTACGATGTGTAGGCAAGTGAGCCAGTAAAAAGGACAGTTAAAAGGGGGTGATAAGCCGGCTCGGATATGTCGACATGAAGAAGGTTATGTTGATGTAGTGTATACTCATATAGAGCATCATTTGCCTCCACTAATAGCAGACTTGGACATTGAGTTCCAGGCCGTTGGTGGAGGGAGGTCATTAGAGGGAGTGGGGACTGAGGCGACGGACGGAGGTCGTAAGACTAGTTGAGCTTCGTCTTCGGTTGTCCAATGAACGTCCATCTTCCGGGATTTCCCACTGCCCTCCGGTACGAGTCATCGTGGCTGTCGCCTGTATACGTTGTTGTTTCTATTGTCAACCATATCCTGCTTCGGCGACAAGCGTAGTGGGGGTGAGCGACGTAGGGTCGGCGAGGACGTACGCATAGCATTGGAGGCTAGCGCTGCGGCAGGGCTGGCTGCTATCGGCGTCGAGTTCCCTATGACCGGTGTGCCTTTGACCGAGCCTCCACTGCCATGGTATTGATGGGAAGCACTTCGCACCGTTGATGGAGTCGCCGGCGATCGGCCTCCTTGTGGTGCCCGAGGCGTTGTGCTAGCACCACTCTCCATACTGATATGGCGTGCACGTGGGGTGTTATCCTGACTCCCCCCTCGTGTAGATTGGTATGTGTTTGACTTTGGAGTGTTCTTGACGCTATCATCGTACACGGGCTTTGGCTTGGTTCCAGAATTGGAGCGACTGCGGATAGGATCTCTTGAATGTCCCTTGCTAGGTGAATAGTTCATGGGCGAGCCTTCGCCTTTACGTCGACGAGATGGAGGAGTTGTTTGTTCTTGGATAGGTGCAGTTCTCGGTTGCTCGGATCTCTGTCCTCCCACGGCAGGCGCACCAGTGGGTGCTGTGGGGGCTGCTGCCTCTGGACTTGTTGAACCGCCCACACGAGGGGTGCTTTCAAAGCTCTTACGCTTCATCATCCTTCCCAAAATCCCAACCAGCTCTGCGGCATCCTCAAACTCGTTGTCATCCATAGCTTCCTGTGCTCGGTATACATCTTTGATAGCTCTTCGAGCTACTCGTCTCGAACCTTCATGGTCGTGAATACAATCCCATAGGAATGCGCTGTGTTCCAGCGCTACCGAAAGCCTCAATGGATGTGATCCAGGAAGAAATGACGTGGCATATGCAGTCGCAGTAGTGAAGTACCCACCAGCCAACGGAACGAAGTTGAGTGGTGGCAGAATGAAGGAGGAGGGTTGTGGTATAGGCACAGGATTGAGTCCCGGGGGAGCGTTGAGTGGTCCTGGTGACGGAGTCCCGACTGGACCTCCAGCGGCGTACGGGTTTGTGACGAAAGAGGTCTCTGAGACAATCGAATCGATGGGTTCGCGCAGCATAGGCTGTTTCCCAGCGCGTTTCGATGGCGGCGAAAGATTGGCAGAGTCAGATGCCCAATGTTGTCCATTTCCGTTTCGCTCGCCGTAAGAAGCTACTGGCACAGCCAGCGTTCGAGGATCATTAGTCGTCATGTTGGACGCGGTTACGGGTGGTTGGTTGTGGAACAGACAAAAGATGTGATAGAAACTCGCTCGAAGTTTGACACTAAGTACCCTGCATTCGGGACCATGTTGGTCATCCTGCGCGTAAGGAAGAACATACAGTTCTAAAATGGACAGGCCTTCGCGAGAAAGCCAAAGGATATGCTGATAAAGGCCGAGAGAGGGAGTATCGCGACTCGTGTCTAGTTTGCGAAGTTTTCGTGCCCTCACAAGTCTTCGGGCAAGCAAAACGGAAAGACCGAGAATCTGGTAGAGGGAACTGGACAGGAGTGGGTTGCTGTCTTGTGTTTGTTTGGCTATCCGACCCAGGAATTTCTGATCAAAGTCCAAAGATGCCATTTTCTAGGGCGCTACTTCCTATATCAGTGTATGTGATGAGGATGGAAGGAGCTAGTCATAAATCGGATGATGGTCTCGACAAGTGAGGAGGGAAGGGGCAGAGTAGGTGCTAAGATTGGTAATGATGACTATCAAATGAAGGCGATGGCTAGGCAAACCATCGACTAAGAAGAGATACGCACCACCTACCATCAAAGACAATTGAGACGGGACCGTCGTATGGGCACTGCTGTCGACAGGCAGGCGAGTGCTGAAAGTTGACGCTGAGTCTGAGCCAATTGATCCGATTCGACCAGCCGGCGTGACGCACGGAGGCTCGGGGTGAATGGCGATTCCCGTGACAGCGGCTGGACTGATTCAGGGTGACAGCAGATGGATTGTATCGCGAATCGGCCTTGCCGGGATTATCGGATTAAGTAATAGTGCTGGAATGATGAATATGGTACAGTATAGAGTATGGACCGTGGCGAGGTTGGGTGGAAATGATGGCAGGTATGTATGTAGGCGAAGATGTACAGATGGAGGCGGTGATGGGGATATCTGTACACCTGTCAGCGCACTCGCAAAGACATTGAAACAGTCGACACTGCATCTCTGAAGCCCAATATTACCTCGAAAAGGACCAGGCAGGCCGGTGTTGTTGCTCGATGGCGCACCCAGGCTCTCATTCGACAGCTGGTGGTGCAGCTGGGCCAATGACAGGACGCGATGGGTGAGGCAACTCGGAAAGCTTCTGTGGGGGCTACGAAGAAGCGTCAATCATGAGGCGGAGGGTGCAGCGTGGCTGGAGGATAGATTCTGAGGCCTCGGACAGGGCATTGCGAATCGTCTCCTCCCACCTCAATGCGATTCTGCGACGATATAAAGGAACTCGAAGCCGTGACGTCTGGCAGGCGGTGTGGGAAACGCGGTCAGTGCACCTGTTTGAAAGCTACACGCCGGGGCCGAGGGGATCTCGGCGCACACACATTCAACGCAGCGCTCCGAGCACTCTGTCCTTTCTTTCCTTTTCTCGACCGCCGAAGGGGAGCAATGGACGGATGCGCAGCGACGAAGCACGTTCGGAACGGCGCAGAGGTGGCGCGACGGGCTCTTCTCCGCGTCTATACCAGCAGAAGAATGCTCTCTGTAGAGAGAAAGAGTATCGATTTATTTTCGGCGGTGGAGGATCGAGCGGTGGCGCGCACTGGGCAGAGCGTACTGTTCAACAAGGGACGGTTGGATGAAAGCACAATTGATGGATTGTTTCAGTCATTCATTCATCCATTCATCCATCCACCAAAGCATCAACGGGGCGGGCTGGCGGTGGAGCGCAATGGCAGCGGGAGCGACAGCAATGGCAATGGCAATGGCAAAAGCGACAACAAGACGGAAAAGAAATAGCAGGACGAAGGCAGATTCAATGAGTTCCGCCAGGTAGGTCCAGATATTACTATTATCCCACGCACCTGCGCCCGCTTGTGTGGGACTCCGGAGCTGCAGCTCCTGCGTCAATATGCAGAGGCGAAGCTATACGTTGGTTGACGTGTCAAGCGTCGAGGGTCCGCTAACCGCACCTGTCTCCTCTCCTGCATGCCCGCTTGTCCCGTCGAGGTTGAAGATGAGGCGTCACTGCCAGCTGGCATGAGACATCCCTCTTCCCCAGACCAGAATCGTTAAAAGAGACAACACCACCGTGGGCGCCATATTGATCCCCCACGGCTTTTTGGAGTGCCAGGGCTGCGTTGACGGCATTGCTTGAACCGAAACTGACACCTGTCACACACACACCACCCTCTTCGACAGCTTCATTCCATCTCAATCCTTTGCTGTCGCATTCTCTCAACGTCTACATGTCTGGAGCTGTATCCGCAGAATCCTCAGCTGTCCATGTATATGCCCAGCCCCGAGTGCTGTGGCTCTTGAGGCGGCCCATCCTACACCATACGTATCCCAGTGGCTGCAAGCTGACATTCTGACAAGTCGAATGCTCACCATAGAGCGGACACGATGATCATCCTCTAGGTTCTCCGATTTCAGTCTCGCCATGCGTTTGCTTTGCGAATTTTTTTCCCTTGCCACTGGCCGAACGTCAGAAGTTGGATGGACCCATACAAAATCCTGCTGCGAGGCTCTAGCCTAACTACAGCAGACGACATATCAGACAAAATGCTCTAACCCCCGCGTCATCTACATACAAGCACATCAGTCGCATTTGGTATTGCCCGGGTCGTCAACCTCATATGGCGGTGAGTGGTAGGCTGTGATTGGCCCAAGACCCTGTCTCCTTGCCAGCGCGCCGAGCCATCGATCCAACTTCTGCAATACTTCCACACTTCATGCAAACCACACTAGCTGTTACAGTACTCACATCACGACGCCTGCGCGCGAGTGTATTCACAGGGCGCAGCACGCATGGCATAATGATCGTCTGGGGCCAGAGCCGTGGAACTCGCCCCATCTTTCAAAGCTACTTGGGCGCAGGTGCAGCCTTTGTAGCATTCGATTCAAATTGGTAGGCTACCTGGTGAAATCGAGCGATGCCAAGTTCGATGAACATCGAGGTTGTCTACTAATGACCACATCTGCTTGTAGGTGGTCGACACTTCCCCCCATAGCTGATCATCGCCGCCTAACTTCTGCAACCTTGTGTGCCATCTCATTCCAAATTTCCTTCGTCAAACTGTAATCAGCAAACAATGGACGTGTAGCACTTGTAAATGCCTTTTCAATGTCGGCGACGACACGCAATCTAAAACTGAATTGTTTGGCTTGGGTGCTACAGATATCAGAATCGTATTGAGTGCCCAATCACTTGCTTCTGCCCGCCGACTCTGGAACGGCCCAGCAAACTTATGAGGATGTCCATTAACTTGTATGAAACCTGGTGACACACTGACATTGTTTCCCGACTCCGTATCCAGGCGGTATGATCAGGCTTTATATTCCGTTTCCAGGCTTCCAGATCACCTCCGACTCGGTTGTCACCACTGCACGCATGTTTCCGACAAAAATCATGCGTTTGTACCACTCGTCCTCGTTCGATCAAGTTACTTACAGCATTCGTACCTGCAGTTTGCAAGGCACAATTGCTCTTTCCCGACTGTTTGATCACGGCAATTCTACAATCCCTTGATCATGATTTGAGAATCAGGTAACGCAAATATCGTACTCGCCGTATATTTGATTACGAGATTGTGATTGACAATATTAGCGGCCTGTGGAAAACATTTCCGCCTCGGGCTCGAAATATTGATCTGTATGAATGTTACATTCAACGGGTATCCGTTGCTTGTTGTTCATTCGGGGGCACCTCGAATCACTTCGAGCAAATATATAAGGCGGGAAAGGCTGGTCGTGGATAGTCCATCCAAAGCAGCCGTAATTACGTGGTCTTCCTCATCATTGCCTTGTGCTTTTTCGCCAGCCTCACTGCCAGCGCAGGATTTACTGTTGCTACAGCTCATATCGAAGATCGATTGGCGACACGAACTCTCCCTTACACAGATTGATCTGGAAAGAAGAGGCCAGTCATTCCAGACCAACCCATCTCGTTTCGTACACTGACCGATAGCAGCCTGTATACCAGGATCTTGCAGTATTCTACTCTGTTCTTTTCCTAGTCAGGGAGCGCCACTCTCAGCCTATTCCAACACTTGGCTCCATAGCAAGCATTTCCTCGGTATCAATCAACGATATACGATCGACCATGTGTTATTACCACGCCTACAGTCACCGATGCGGTCATACAGAAATGGTATTCCAGCAACTCTGTCAGAAGGCCCAGATGATCCAGAACAAGTGCCCTCGTGGCCAGGAAGGTATCATTTTGACGACAGTCATGGTGGAGACCCCATGTTCTGGGTGTACAAAGTGATTGCGTGAGACGAGTTTGGCAGTGGGAAAGGAATGAATTGATAGGTGTGGGCGATTCAGAATGGAACTTATGAAAAAGAAAAAGAAAAGTTGAGATATTTGTTTGCTTTTCTGCTCCTTTTTTGTGGATTGCATCTGCTGTATTGGCGCCACAGGCCCCCTCCTCGCGGTGGGGGCGGATGGTAGCAAATATGTCGTTCATTATGATATGTTTAGATTATATTCTCCTGAATCACTTGTTATAGGAAGTTGGGATTCAATCAAAATACATTTCTTTTCGGAGCATGTTGGAATGTTTCATATAAGGATGCTTAGCATCTCACAATTCTCCCTTGCTTCTGAGATTGATGGGATACCGAGATGAGACGACATGCTTCGATGAAGATAGATACTAGTATCTTTTGGAGGGTCTGCTTGACGTATAGAAATGATGATATACGGCAATCACGCAGTGATCAGCTCATGACAGCACGTGACTGTTTGATTGCCAAGGCGCAATACGCTAAATACGGAGGATGTTAAACTAATACTTAGATAGGCAACCGATTAAGCTTTGAGCGCCCAGTAGTGACCATTTCTCCATCTTAGCTGAGCAAGTCGAGGCGAAGAGAATATTTCCATTGCACCGAGTTATTCAACATCAGCTTGTCTTACGATGGGTTTATTATAGCCATAAGCAGCACTCAGGACGGTGACGTTTGTTCAGATGAGAGTGACGGGACAATGTACATGTCCTCAGGAGATGAGGATCTTGGTGCTCAGCTGGTCGGAAGGACTTGCGAGAGTGGCCTGCCTGGAACATTCAAGGATCATCGTTCTCTTATTTGCCGGTTTAACACAAGACAACACAGATCTGCCCACCAGCTAACCGAGCTTGAGCTTATCCCCGCAAACACGACCATGATCAAGCAAAACAACATGGGCTTCGTTGCGAAGAAGACGGTTAGTTTCGCTCAAGCTTCCACACAGCATCCCCCGTGGCAAGTCGCATGTTTGACCCCATATGGAGGAGGTTCAAGATACCGCTATTCACACTCGATGAACAAGAAAACAGTCGGCCCCCCAGCATGGACAGTCGCAATCCTACCTCGCTACGCCTCATTGGCCCGAGGATTACATGGCGCACGCGGAAGTAGATGAACCCGGGCTCTCGGTTCGAACAGAATGGTTCATCGAATCCCTATTGCAGCAGGCGCTAGCACGCCTTCAACGGCGGAGCCTTGGTCGAGCGATGGGTTGCCTTCGGGTAGGGCAGTTTCGTGCGCGAGTGATTGGCTTGCTTCTACAGTGCCCTTGCTCAACAGTCAGTCTGGCCAGCACCATATGAGCCGTCAGGAGCCCAATGCGAAGAGCTGCGGGCTTGCTACTTATATTGTCTTCATGGATGCCAGCTTCCCTTGCTATTCCATCTCACCTTCATTTCACTCTTCAGCTGTCAAACCCCGTCCTGGATATTGCTGTTTGTCTGCGTAATCGCTTCGGAAGCCTGCATTCCATTTCCCTGTCCTCTCCGTCGATTGCATTTCAACTTGCCCATCATACGCAGTGACCGCGCGTACTGTACAACGGACCTGTGAACTACTACAACACAAGAAACGGCAACCCGTCAACTACCTGTTCCGCATGTCAGACCCGATCCCAAGCGGTCAACCCGCCAAACACGAAACCAACGATACGGTACCAAGCGACCATTCACCAGTCACCAATGAAGAAATACCTTCCGCCAAGGAAACACCTGTACAACAACATAGCACTAGTCATGTTGCAAGTGACACCAAGGAAGCGAATGGTCTAGGTAACGGCAACGAGGCGGAAGCAAATCAGCAACAAGACGGAGAGAAGACTGTCGTATCAAGCTCGGGCACAAACAAAAATGTTGAGGGGAACGACCAGGAAAGAGACGAGCCAGAGGACGAGTCCAAATACCTCTCTGGATACAAACTCGCTATATTGTCACTGGGCCTCTGCCTCACCACTTTTGTCATCGCTCTCGACAATACAATCATAGCAACCGCTATTCCAAAAATCACTACCGTATTCAACAGTCTCAACGATGTTGGCTGGTACGGTTCTTCGTACCTCCTCACCACTTGCTCTCTTCAGCCTTCGTTTGGCAAAGTTTACACCTACTTTGACGTCAAGTATACATACCTGTTCGCGCTGTTGCTATTCGAAGTTGGTTCAATAATATGCGCCGCAGCCACTAGCTCACCCATGTTTATTGTCGGACGTGCAGTTGCAGGCGCAGGGGCTGCAGCACTCTTCTCTGGCGGAATGACCATCATCGGGTATTCGGTGCCCCTACGGAAAAGAGCCATATACATCGCCGCGCTCTCGTCCATGTTTGGTATTGCGAGTGTCGTTGGGCCAATCCTTGGTGGAGCACTTACCGACAAGGTATCATGGCGTTGGTGCTTTTGGATTAATCTCCCGTTTGGAGCAGTCTCCCTGGCCGTCGTCTTCTTCTTTTTCACCAATCCAGAAAGGCAGTACAGTCACATGTCTGTCAAAGACCGAATCAAGAAGATCGATCTCTTGGGTGCCGTGTTTCTCATATGTGCTATTGTGAGCTTGCTTCTGGCTCTTCAATGGGGTGGACAGACGTATGCGTGGAAGAACTCAAAGGTATGGGGCACACTGCTAGGGTTTGGACTTATAATCTCGGTTTTCATTGCCATCCAGATATGGCAGAAGGATGAAGCGACGATCCCTGTTCGTGTGTTCAAACAAAGAACGATCTTGGTCAGCTGTGTCTTCAGTGCTTTACTGTCTATGGCACTTTATACGTGAGTTTTCCTCTTACTTGCCCCTTGCTTGATTATCAATCAGTCAGCTGCTATTTTGGTATTATTAACGCTCCTCTCTGTTTTGAGTCTGAACGACGGTTTCTAACTTATCTGGATTAGCCACATCTTCTACCTCCCATTCTACTTTCAAGCCATAAAGGGCACGACTGCCGAGGAAAGTGGCATCCGCACAATCGCATACCTAGTCTCCGTGACAGTTGCCTCAATCGTGATCGGTGGTTTAATCACGACGATCGGAAAATATGCTCCCTTCATGTGGCTCGGGAGTATTATATTTACGATTGGATCTGGCATGCTCTACACACTCCAAGTGAACTCCGGTCCCAGCAAATGGATCGGCTACCAAGTCTTGACAGGCATCGGCTGCGGCGCCTCTGTTCAAATCCCATTCATCGCCGTGCAAGTCGTCGCGTCGGAAAAGGACATGCCAACTGCCAACGCACTGGTAATGTTCTTCAACAGCCTCGGCGGCGCCATCTCTCTTTCTATCGCGCAGAACGTCTTCATCAATGGTCTCATTCGCGAGGTTCCGCGTTATGCACCGGGGTTGGATCCTAAGGTCGTGGTTGGGGCTGGGGCGACGTATATAAGACTTGTGGTCCCACCAGCATTTCTGGAGGGTGTGCTCGTGGCGTATATGAAAAGTATTTCTGGTGCCTTTGTGATCAGCATTGCCACAGGCGGAATTGCTGTGTTTGTAGGTTTTGGGATGGAACGTTTGAGTGTCAAGGGGAAGAACATTGTAGCGGGAGGAGGCGCTTGAGTTGTGGGGTAGGTAATATATTTCAGATTACTCGTTGTAGACGTGCACATTGGTAGATTCTCTTGTATCGAAAAGAAGTTTTGCAATTGATTCTCCCAAGTTATATCTCATTGGTATTCAAGATGTGCTAAGGCTCATAAAATCATTTGAACATATCTGCTCTTTCCTGTCAAATTGATCTCGTTCTTTCCATGCTCTGTTCTGTGACACTAATTATCCGCAATAAGCAGGAACAAAATCCGGAGTATTAATCCGAAACCCCAAACCAAGGAAACGCCTATGCAGTTCTGACCTGATTTTGAACGCCAAAATCATGATTGTACCTCCCCTTTGATGCCGGCAAGCAATGCCTCAGACCGCATCTCAAAGCCTCATCCATATGTAATCTTACATGTCGCAAATAACACACAATCCTATCTTACCCTCATCAACGTTCACAATGAGAGCACCAGTCCACCAGACATCCAACCATCTGGAACATCTACTCCCGCTGGCCGGCCCATTTCTTAGCCTTTGGCATGTCGCCGCTGTCATCACGCCTGCGCTTAGCAGCACCGCGAATCTCGCCGACGATGCTCTTCCTCAGAGATTTCTTGCCTCCATCGTCCATTCCATCGATGATCCTACCCCATTTAGCCCCCTTATCGGCCTTGTCCTTAGTGATGGCAGCATGTCCCCTACGCTCCATGAGACCCATCTCATATCCGAGCAAGGGCGATGACTCGTCCTTTACGAATCGTGAATCTTCCATCTCTTCGTCATCGAGATGATCTGAGTGCATGGTAGGGGATAGACCCTTGAATCCGTCCCCTTCCACAGGCGTCCTCAGCGGCTTCTTGTCCTTAGGCATGAACAAGCGACGACGGCTCTCGACCTGTTTGTCCAAGTTCAGAGCCTCGGAAAGCTCGGATCGCGTCTTCGTGTATGCTCCAATCTCGGCATCAGTGCATTCGTTCAAATTCTTGCCAAGGTTCCGCTGTAGGTGACCCATGGTTCGCGACAGCGATCCAATTCGCGAGGATTTGTTGCGAATCCAAGACTTGCGCATCAAATCGCGATTGTTGTCCAAGTTTGGGAGTGACGATGAAGAATTGATCGTGTCCGAATTGTCTACAAACGGGTCGTTCTCATTAGTAAATGTGCACTGGGGCTCCTGTGGTATGCCAGAGGCCAAAGTCTGACGCATGGAGTTGGAGAAAGTGTCAGCTCCACCCGCCGATAGCGATAGTGGTGGTGAAGATGGCATAGCGCTACCATTCCCAGCATTAGTCTTTGAGGATTCCGTTTCGGTCAACCGGAGCTGGAGTTGTGATGCCCTCCGATTTCCACGGTCACCTAGAGCTTCCCCAATCGACTTAATCGATGTATAGGAAAAGTTTTCAGAGTATCCATGTAGTGGCAACACTTCAGAAGGGCTGGCGGCAATGAACGGCAGATTACAAATACCTGTAGTCCGACCGTTCAGTACAGGGGGGTCACTGTCATCAGCAATCTGCACATTAGAGGCATGAGTTGGAGTACAAGGAGGGGCTAAGACTTCTAGATTGAACATTGATCCCTCATCAGGTCCAGAATTGCTCTTATTCTCACCGACATCGGATTCAGGACTGTCGACGTTGCCAGTAGACGTTGCCACAAGCCCAGACATATCAGATCCGTAATCTCCAACGTCGTATCCAGGCCCGAGAGGAGAGGGCGCAGATCTAGCGGTCGGGTCTCGATGGCGCGGAGTGGTGTTATTTTGTAGGACAGGCAATGGTGAGCCCATTGTTGTGTCTGCACATCCAACGGATGGGGGAGCCACCGAGGCAGCTGACGAGCTATCACTATGGATTCGCAGGACCCGAAATGGCGAAGAGTTTGAGGTGGATGCATTGTTTCCGAAGCCTTGATCTTTCCGGTCGATATTCCCACTACTTCCATCACCGCCGTACATATGATGGTCGATGGTCGTATCTGAGGAGTCCGGCGTATGGAGACGTGGCAGCGGATTCTTCACCGCGTCGTTCGTCATGCTTGGCTATTATTCTAGAAGATACCACAAATAAATTGGTTATTTGTTGGTCTAAGTCGAGGTCGTGTTCGATGTTGGGAGCGGAGTTGAAATTCAAGATTGTCTTGTTGTGGGTAGGTTTGTCTTCGACGTTGCAGACTAACTTGAAGATAAGCCGAGAAAGAAAGTGGGACAAAGATATTGAGCGAGGTAGGTTGACTTTTGCTCGAGGCCGAGGTTGATATTGATGTTGAGGACAAAGTTGAAGATTGAAGTTGACAGCTGTGGGGCAGCTTTGTATTGGAGATTGTAGAGTGGATTGGGGGCAATTGGCCGAGAAAGTGATTGGTACAAGAAAAGCGGGTGTGAAGGTTTGACTTTTGCTAGAGGTTGAGGTCAAAATCAGTGTTCAAGAAAAAGTTCAAGTCCAAGCAAGGTTGGCAGTTGTGAGAGAATGTATGCCAGAGGTAGAGCGCAGTGCCACTCCGCTCGCAGAATAGGTGAATACAGAAAGTCGAGAGCCTCCTGTATAGCATGCAATGACGTTGAGCAGTACTGTAAGCTATGGCCTTGCACACAGAGTGAAAGTGGTTGAGGTCAGGAAAGTATCGTGGAGCACATATATAGGAGATCGAGGGCGGGCATTACTAGTGATGCAGCCCGGTTGTAGCAAACAAGAAAATCGACGGAGTGGATGAATTTTGAGTGTTGTGTTTGAAACCTTCACATCTCATCTCGTTTCATACCTGAACCTGATGATGGGTGTGCGCATGTCGGTAATTGGGTGGCCAGCAGCAGATGTTAGAAGGACGGATTCGTCGACTTTGGCTGGATATTCGGTGCTCGAAAGTTCTAAGTTATTGTGTGGCACCGCTCACAATAGGTCCGCTTCGTCCACGTCTTCCCCCCTCCTACTCGCAAGATAGATTCTCCCGCTCTCGTATACTCCCAAATATAGACCAGCCCCAGCGAAGGTCCAGATTCCTAGGCAGGTATTAGCGCTAGCGCTTGGCGGTAAAAATCTTGGGCTATGAGTAGAAAGTTTACCTCTCAACGCGCCTCCTCTGAAAAGTCCCCTCGCTCCTTTCTCCTGCACAATCTCCTGGCCAATCTTCCAAGCGCTTCTTTTGCCCTTCTTCTCAGGGCTGATTAAAGGATTCAGATTCCTCGCGGCGCTTTTGACCGTGTCCTTGGACGACTCGACTTGCTTCCCGATCGCATCCACCAGCCCCTCCGATCCTCCTTTTCCCTGACTCCGCTTCGAAGACGCAGAAGCCTCATTTACGGCGTCCTCCGCTGCGGCAAGCATAATCCTCGTTTTTACTACATCAATCGGCGTGGTTACTACAGCCGCCACTGCACCCGCCGTACCCGCACTCACCGCGGTGATGACGCCGCTTTCAAAAATGGTGCCCGTCGTTTTACCCCTTGCATCCCTACTCCCGCGGATCGCCATCTTGAGTCGTTCGAACATTGGAAACTGGAGCGCCGTGAAGGGCAAGTTTCTGCCGGCTAGTGCCGTATAGCCTCGCCACAGCGCCAGAGGGTTTGATTTGAACTTTGCGAGCGTTTGCACGGTCGCGTTGGTCGACGACCCCGCGGAAACCATTTGAGCATTCTGCTTTATCACCTCGGCAGGCGTGAGAATGGCGCAAGATACTAGCTCAGCAATGGATGAGGCAGCCGCGTGGATCACGGGGGTGGGGATAAACCCATCGGGACGCGCTGTGGTGGAAGGGTTGACATGCTTGAAGAATGCTTTGGTGCGTTCGTATGTGGTGAAGAATGCACCGGCTGCCTAGTGTCAGAAGTGATTGCCCAAAGTAAGAAATGATGGGAATCTTTACATGAAGGCAAAGTCGCTATAATCACGCTTCCCTGTTGTTCATTCAATTAGGACGCTGCTGACAAGACTACAGGTCTCCAATTTGACTTGCCACTCCCTGATATAAACCGCGAAACAGTGCGGGATTGGGTTTCTGAGTAGCTGAGTTTGTGTAGAGTTTTGCATAATCTGGAGATTGGAATCTTGTTTTCTAAGGGTACCACGAGGTCAGTACCAATTCATCTCAAGTCGAGCACAAAGTACATTGTTGGAAGCCAAAAAGAACAGACAGCACTTCTTTCACCATAGGCAGTACATGCCCTCTTGTGGAATGTGATGTCGTATAACGTACCAACGTGTCGAGAGGGTACACGAGCAGATCAACTGTGAAAGCAGCGACCGCGCCAGCCTGTACAACCATCCATCAGCTTCCTGTGCCTATTCATATAGTCACGTGACGATACAGACGCGAACGTCAAATTGTAAAAACGAAGCTTACAAGAAGAATGTCGGTATTCGTATTACCGGACATTTATTGTATGAGAGGGATGGAAAGTGGTGTGGTGAAGAAAGAGACGTCATGACCAGGCTGGGTTTGGAGGTTTTCGCGAATCACCGAGGGTCCGATGCTCGCGTCGTAGAAGGAATCATGTACGTCACAACAAGCCCCACACCAATGCTCTGGTATACGAAACTTTAGATATATTAATAGTCACAAAGAAACGCAAAACATAGAAGTGCAATACTTTCTTTATGGAAAGATATTCACGATATGGCAGGCCGGTAATTCAGCCCATTGGCTAACTGGATGCATTCAAATGTTGGTGGCATTCACGGATCATGATCGTAGGAGTTAATTGCGAATTATTTGAATTGTTTTTTCCGACTTTTCAAAGTCCAGTTTGCCGCATACATATGGGATGCGTACATTGTAATATGCACCACGATCTCCGATATGATAACCTAGTATCATCCGGAATCGGCTATCTAGCGAAGCCTAGCATACTCTTGCATTCCACTGTCTTCAGTCCTAATCATTCGTTGATGGGCCTCAGAGGCCACTAGCTATACTCGAAAGCCATCTCTTCAAGACTTCAATGACCGAGGTCAAGTGCTCAATTTACCCATTCCTTCTGATACTAATACACGCAATCCTCCTCGAAGAGTACTGAAATAGAGGGATTGGCGGTCCCGAAATCATGCATAGGAAAGCCTGTGGCAGGGCAAAGGGTATAAAGGGATATACTTACGCATTGGGTCGGGTCGTTCTGACGCTTTTCAGCTCTCCTTGAGCTTCTTGCTCGGCAGAGCAGGAACCTTGAATCCGCCTGCATCGACCTTAGTCGTGTTGCTCGCACCGAGTTGCGTGAATGTGCCGCCCTTGAACCATCGATCATCCTCGGCCTTCCTCTTTCGACTCATTTCCTCGCGCGTCCTAGGGTCGACGAGCTCAAGTCCCTGTACAGGTGTGAAGGCGATACTGCTGGTACCGGCACCCCCCAATCCTACACCACCAGTGCGGAGCCCGGATGCACGCAGTGCCGTGGAAGTACCACCAGATCCAAAACTCTGAAGCGATGTGTTAGAGCCCAGCGTATCGCCGCCCCAGCCAGGGTTCTTCTTGGATAGTTTGGCGCGCGTTTTGCTATCGATCTGGTGTGCGCGCACACGACCCGAGTCGTTGGCCCCAATCATACCCATACCGGTTGTCGAATCGCCTGTACCATAGCCTACTTCCTTCTCTTCCTGGCCAAAGACCATGCGATTCTGTGCTTTGCGGATCTCTGTCATGGCGGTTGCTTCTTTGGCTTTGCGCACGCGACGGCCACCACGCTTGCGAGAGGGTTTGTCATCTGGAGCTGGAAGAGCGCGAACACCTTTGTTGGAAGTGACTTCCGTGAGTTTGTCGAGACGACGTTCGCATTCGTCCTTGAAATGCTGGCCCATTGCACCGTCGGGGGACTGATGTACGAGATCAACGCGGGCCGCAAGAATAAGCTTGCCGGAGATGATGCGCATCCCGTGTTTCTTGTCGGCAATGTTCTGCATCATAGGACTATGGTAGAGAAAACCTTGATGACGATCGCCCACATTGGTCGCCAGTCCCATGGAACCGGTTGATTTCTTGGAGCCCAAAGGTGGAATGTTACAGGCAGGCGTTTTGGCGAGATTGGCGAGACCACCAGCGTGATTGATAAGCTGTGCGGCAGTAAGGGAGCCGATGAGGGTGGTGAGGTTTGGTGCGAACATAGTCATACGCGATTGTACGTAGTCCATGAGGATGTACTTGGCTTTGTCGAGCTCCAAAACCATGGAACAAGCGCTCAGCACGGCCTCCATTTCCGCCTCAGTCAGGTCACGGCCTGATTTGTATGCTTGCACAGCTTCAAGTTCGACCGTCAGAATGAGAGCGGCATCGAGGACCCGGTTCAACGGGGTACCGACGATATTGTCTGAACTCTGAGTAACATTTTTGAGATTATTCAAAGGCCCATTCCTGATGATAGCAACGGTTTTGGTGTAATCAAGTGGGTTCTTCACCAGATCATCCAGATAAGGAAAGCGCGCTGTGTAGTAGTCGCGGATGAACTTATGGACCGCCACGACTTCATCGGTGATTTGTGTAGAGAGTTCGTTGGCTTTTGTGAGCAACTTGTATTCGGGTGAGTCCTCCATAGATTCGCCATCCAAGACCTCCTGGGGGTTGGCTTTGAATTCTTCGATTTGTTGCAGCATGGGCTTCAACTGTGTAAGCAAGTTGACGGCCCCACGAATTCCCACGGGCGCCTTCTGAGTGTTCTTATTTTGCTGTTTTGCAGCAAACTCTGCTTCTTCATCCGCCATCTCTTCGTCTCCTTCGGCATCGGGGGAGGACACTAGTCCACCGAAATCCTTTTCAAGATCGGCTAGGTCATCTCCTCCGTCGCTGCCCAGACCTTGCTCATCATCAGAGCCAAGGTCTGCGAAATCGGCCATAAGCTCCTGCTCGAGGGTCGCCATGATATTATCGGTTGCCGGAGTCGATGCGGGTGGAGGGGTAGAAAGTGGTTGGCTATTGCGAGTGGTTGCGCGTTGACACTGCGACGGTTATGGCGGTCGGAGGATGACCTCCTGGCAGAATTTGGTTGAGTAAGGAGCCCGAGATATACAAGGCGCTTACGTACCTGAGGCCCGTTGTAGCCACTGAAGCAGACGAACTGTGGTTGAAAAAGTAGTGTGGTTGTGTCGAGTGAGGTGGAAGTTGTCGCAAAGCTAAAAGTGAGAGGTAGGCAGTAGCTCGACTGACTAGTGACGTTCTTGGCGTGTGGAGATATTTCACGCCCAAGCTCAAAGCTTCACCCTGCACTTCCGACTTGAACAACAATCCTGCGTTCCCCTTTAAATCCCACTCTCTTCGGGCTGGCAACCGACTCCCTTCTGCCTATTCCTTCTGATCCATTAAAAAAGAACTACTGCTGTATCACTTGATCACCATGGAGAGCTCACGAGGGCCCCCGAGGGTCAAAAACAAGGCGGCCGCGCCCGTCCAGATCAGCGCCGAACAACTGCTTCGAGAAGCCGTCGACCGCCAGGATGAGAAGCTCAAAGCACCCACACAGCGCTTTTCCGATCTGGAGGAACTGCACGAATGGCAAGGCAGGAAGCGCGCCGAGTTCGAGAAATACGTCCGCATTAACAGGATCAATGTCAACAACTGGACGCGATATGCCGCTTTTGAGTTGGAGCAGAAGGAGTTCCGCCGCGCGAGGTCCATCTTCGAGCGTGCGCTCGATGTGGACAGCACGCAGGTGGTGCTATGGATCCGATACATCGAGGCCGAAATGAAGAACAGGAACATCAACCATGCGAGGAACTTGCTGGATCGCGCGGTCACGATTTTGCCCAGGGTCGATAAACTGTGGTACAAGTTTGTATACATGGAAGAAACTCTCGGCAACATTGAGGGCGCGCGTGCAGTTTTCGAGCGCTGGGTACAATGGGAACCAGAAGAGTCGGCTTGGTCGGCGTATATCAAGTTGGAAATCAGACATGCTGAATTCGAGAAGGCCCGCGCCATTTTTGAACGCTTCACCGTCGTACATCCGGAACCGAAGAACTGGATCAAATGGGCAAAGTTCGAGGAAGAGAATGGTACCAGCGACCTTGTACGGGATGTTTTTGGTACTGCGGTGGAGACCTTGGGGGATGATTTCATGGACGAGAAACTGTTCATGGCTTACGCGAAATTCGAGGCGAAGCTGAAGGAGATTGAGCGCGCCCGAGCGATTTTCAAATTTGCGCTGGACCGCATGCCTCGATCCAAATCAGTCACGCTACACAAAGCATTCACACAATTTGAGAAACAATACGGCGACCGGGATGGTATAGAAGATGTCATCCTCTCGAAACGAAGAGTACATTACGAAGAGCAGGTCAAAGAAAATCCCAAAAACTACGACGCATGGATAGACTTTGCACGGCTGGAAGAGACGTCCGGCAACATCGACCGCATCCGGGATGTATACGAGCGCGCAATTGCACAAATACCACCGACACAGGAGAAACGACATTGGCGTCGCTATATTTACCTATGGCTCTTCTACGCCATCTACGAGGAGACCATATCGCACGACACAAATCGCACACGAGAAATTTACCAAGAATGCCTTAAACTGCTACCCCATAAACGTTTCACGTTTGCCAAAGTATGGCTTATGGCAGCGCATTTCGAGGTTCGTCAGGGCCAGCTCGCAGCCGCGCGGAAGCTATTAGGCCAGTCCATCGGCATGTGCCCCAAGAACAAGCTTTTCAACGGGTACATTGACCTCGAGCTCAAGCTTTTCGAATTCGGGCGCTGCCGCCAACTCTACACCAAATACATTGAGTGGAACGGCGCAAACAGCCAAACATGGATCAAATTCGCAGAACTCGAACGCGGTCTCGACGACCTGGACCGCGCGCGCGCCATCTTCGAACTCGCCGTCGACGAGCCGCTACTCGACATGCCCGAGCTGGTCTGGAAAGCCTACATTGATTTCGAGGAAGGAGAGGGCGAGTTCGACCGCACGCGCGCGCTGTACGAGCGTCTGCTCCAAAAGACGAGCCACGTCAAAGTGTGGACTTCATGGGCGCAATTCGAGCTCGGGGTGCCGGATCCAGACTCGAACATCGCCGACGCAGAAGCCGCTGCTGCTGCCGAGAACGACGATGCCGCTCCCAGCGCATCTGCCGTTGCCCGGGCTCGCGCCATCTTCACGCGTGCGCATAAGCGCATGAAGGATGCTGATCTCAAGGATGATCGGGTGGCGCTGCTCAATGCGTGGAAGTCGTTTGAGGACGAGTGCGGATCGCCCGAGGATGTGGCGGCCATTGATAAGCAAATGCCGCGCAAAGTCAAGAAGCGCAGAAAGCTCGACGACGACAGCTTCGAGGAATATGTCGATTACGTATTTCCTGCCGATGACGAGAGCGCTGCGAAGCTGGCTCGCTTCATGGCCAATGCGCAGAGGTGGAAGGCTGCGGGTGCGAGTGGCGCGAGTTGATGGGTTTAGTTGTTAATCGTCTATTTCAATATTGAGGGAAAGAAAGCTATTTCCCTTCCTCGTTTCATGTTTTCTTGTATTTCTTCTCCCGAGAACTTCCCTTCAATCTTTCAGCACGGCGGCTTGTTGACGCGTGTGTACCTATATGCATTATTTTGGATTTCGCCTACATCGATTTCGAGGGAAATACATGTATGCAAGGACCCATGTACTTATGGACATATCGATACCCACTAAGACCAAGGGCCCCGTTAGACGTGCAACTCGATTCGTAACTGCTCCTCCTTCTAAAGGGCATCCTCGATGAGTGTTTTTGAGGTGAGTGGAATAAAAAAAGAGTGGAAATGCAATCGATGAGCATGCACATCTTTGCCTGTGCTTTAGTTACAGACTCATGGACGTCTATTTTCTCGCGCACGCACCACCATACATCACTACACTGTTTTCTCACCGACATATAATTTGAAAAGAGAATGCAATGAACCCTCAAAATAAAAACATGTCTTACTCTACCTACACACTCCCCCTTTCTTGATATGTTGACTGGTGCTTTCCGGATTGGGTTGCGAACTTTCAAGTGCTTTCTTCAATCCATGACCTTTTGTCTATTCTGTTCCTCACCCTCACATGTGCACTCCATAGATATCGCGCACTCCGTCACTCCATCGCTGTCCATGCAAAGACCAGGAAAACAGGATAAAGCAGGCCATCAAGAAACGACATAAAAAAACAATGGCAAGGGGCTAAAGTGGTCGTGGGAAAAGGGTCTTGGAATCGTGTACAAAAAGCCAGTTGGAAATACTTGAATAGGTGCAGGATCCCCCAGCCAAGTGATATCCGGGAAAAGAGATATTCAGGAGGAGATTGAGCATCCGATGAGATGACCAGGTGACCTCTCTTGAATAGAAGAAGGAAATGGGGAAGCATTTGAAAACATGCCCTCGCCTCGTAGGGCGAAAGGGTGGGAAAAAACTCCGGCTGTGGAAGCATGCAAGTGGTGGAGAAACGGGTGGACAATCTCAATCGATACTGTTACACGAACGCTGGGAGCGGGAGCACGGAGGAGGATATTTATTGAAGGAAAAGACGGGGGCCAATTTTAATCCATGATAAGAGATTTTTTCCTGCCGCATTAGTCTTCCGCTATGATGGGCATTGTGGGTGTAGATCGGAGGTGTAAAGGAGTTTTCCTTCTCGAATAAGTGATGTCCGCATGACTCGAGGTCTATAGAGATCTGCCCACTGTCCAAGAAAGCAATGCCATGTCGCAGATGCGGGCAATAACTTGCTGCGAGCCACTTCGGCACTCGTGACTGATGAACGACATGGCGACACTGAGCTTGTTGAGATCGCTCTCGGGATTTGAATCAACCGGCGCCGGGAGTGCATTGGGGAAACCGCGCACTCTGTTGCCAACATGACGCGCAATGGCAATGGAGTAAATGGCATCACGGACTTCCTGGGCCATCAAGACATTGCGCATCCTGCTGAGAGCGTACTCGGTCGCTCCCACATCATGATCAGCGACCACGACAAAGTCGCCCAACTGTTGCCAGAATTCCAACTCGTGCGTTTTTTGCTCGGGAAGATCGCTTGGGTATGCCAGCTGATTGATCGGGTTGGATTCCAGAGTCTGGTTGGTCAAGAGCGCCTCCAGAATATCAAATCTAGCCTGCACTTCGCGTAGCCACAAATCGTCGCTTTCGCCAGTGGGCGCAGTACCGTTCATCCCGTTGGTAGAGTGCTTGCAGGTTTCCAGTAGATGCCAGAGAAGACGCGCTTCTTGGCTAAAGACGCCGCTCATGTCATTTGCGCCGGATCTATACTTTACCGTTTCAGTAAAGAAAACCGCTTCCTCGTGGAGATTTCGGTCGGCAAAGACGCGGTTCAGCGCATTGTTGTCGGTCGAAAACCACTTCGTCTCCAGCATTACGTCGAGGCCTGCACAGTAATCATTCTTGAAAATATTCGAGAACTCGTCATCAAGCTCCTGCGGTATTGATACAGCACGTGGAGGAACTTCTGGGGGGTTGTGGTTCGCAATGGGGAAAATCTCCGAGATCTTCATCTTGTTTCCTGGGGATAGCGATTAGAGAATGCGCAGATACGCGGTCAAGCGAGAGCAGTATTTACCTTTGACAGGACCTTCTGGAGGTGCTGAGGAGTACGGGCTTCCTCGTAACGCGGGATTCAGCGCATGCACACCGTTGTATTGCGGCTGGCTGTGCATCGAGGGATCGGTAGCAGCAGCGAGGGCAGGATCGATAGCAGAGCTGTTGAAGCCGTCGTGCTGAGGGTGACCCGTACCGGTTGGAGGCGGAGGCGGAGGGTAGCCAGCAGATGCAGCGGGCGCGTAGCCTTGAGGGACCTGGCCAGCGTACGCGGCAGAGGAAGGGGGAGTGGTCGCGGGTACGGAGACCTGATGAGGTGCTGAATTGGGTGCTGGCTGGATTTGCGCCGGGCTGGGCTGCTGCTTGAAAATGGGATCGTAGCCTAAGCAGTCGCGCTTGCTCTTTTGGCAGTTTCGGCAGACAGGGTGGGCTTCGTCGCACTGGCAAAAGTGGTTGTTAGTAGATGAAATTGGACAAGGTGATGTTGGATTAGTCTTTTCGATGGTGGCTCGCTTGATTCCCTAACAAGCCGGAACTTGACGCATAGGTCGCGTCTGCCAATCGCGTGCCATTGAACTCCGCACTCACCTTTATTCTTCGTTTACGACATGTCAAACATCCCGTCTTGGTGCGCCGCTTGATCTCTTTCTTGTGGCGGCCGCCAGACATCATTCTCTGCTCGTTTGCCTGGGGCGGCAGCTGGTATCGCATGGCCAAGTGCTGCGCGTTCATGCCCATGGGCTGGCCGGGCGGCGCGTGGCCTGGGTGCGCATAGTATTGCTGCATACCGTGAGGAGGGGGAGCGAGTGGTGAGCCCATGGACGGCTGTCCAGGCTGGGGCTGCTGCTGCGGCTGTCCATCGACCCGTATAGGCGGCAGGTTCAAGGGCGGCAGCGACATGTTGGAGCCCTGGGGGGAGCGGTAGGGTTCGGATGCCTGGCCTTGAGGTGGAGGATAGGTGTAGGCGGGCATTTGCGGTGAGGGATAAGAGTTGTGCGGCGACGGGTAAGAGGGCTGTCGGGCCTGGTTTGGATCGGCCATGTTGGGTGGTGAGAGAGTTTGCGGTTAGCTGGGTAGTGGCGACCGCGGTGGAAGATTTGGAAGAGCCGACATGTACAGGCAAGCAGACAGAGGGCGGCAGCAGCAGAGAGAGAAGCAGAGCAGCGGAGGTGGTGGTGGAGGCTCTGCGACCAGTGATGAGGATGATGGAGGGTATGTCAATCTCAAGCTTCGGACGCCAACAGGGCTAGGGTGGGTGGGCGTGACGGAGAGCGGGCCAGAGAGATGCAGGCGAAAAAGCCCCTGTTCTTTTGCCTCGGCTGCGCACCTGCAGTAGTGTTTAGCCCCGTCGTCGAGTGCGCAATAGAAGGCGCCTGCGTGTTGAAGGATGATGGCTGGGAGGGGGGGGGTTGCGGTTAGCGGCCGAGCACAAACGATTGATTGTTCGGGGGAGGGAGAGAAGCGAGGAGAGGGATGAGCGGTGGATGTGGATGGGTGGGTGGATGGATGGAAGGAAAATGATGGAGGCAGCGGAGGCTAAAGCGCGCGTGTGGCTGGCGGGCGGCGGCGGCGGCGGAGGACAAGGACAGGACAGGACAGGACGAGACAGGACGGGACAGAGAGGGAAAGGGAAAAAAAAAAAGGACTTACCCTGTGCTGGCTGGACAAGAGCGGTGGTGCAGGCTGGCAGGCAGGCGTGTAGAGGGCGGCGGGCTAGGCGACTAGCAAGGCAAGGCAAGGCAAGGTATGCGGATTGAAAAAGGTATGGGCCGGGCCCCAAGGGACGGAGACGTGGGGACCAACGAGCAATCGGGCAAGTGAGAAGGCGCGCGCGCATGCACACGGAGAGCGAGCGAGCGATGGACGGGGACAGGCAAATGTGTCGATGTACGTATGTAATGCATGCACGCACGCACGCACGCACGCACGTAGGCGGCAGGGAGCCTGGGACTATCTATGTGTGGACGACGAGAGCTGAAAGGCAACGAACAGACGGATGGATGGTGGATGGGAGGGGGATGAAAGCAAACGCGGGTGTTGTGTTATTCGTTGGTTCCATCCATAATACCTGCTTATACAAGGCTAGGTAAGTTGAGTAGCTTAGGCATTCGAACAGCAGCCGCCGCCCGGGCCATGGCAGGCAGGGATGCTTGGATGAGGGCGAACCATTTGTTCGTGTCCACACCCAACAAAGCGGATCGATGCTGCTGCTGCTGTTGTTGTTGTTCTCGCGAGCGAGTCAAGCAGAACTCATTCATCATGGTCCACCATGCTGCCATCTTTCCGTCTGTACATACATATATACCAAGTATGTACCTATGTTCCAGAGTCTACTCCAGGGGGAGGGGAAAAAAAAACCTTCCGCCAGGAACGTTGCATGCGCACGCAAGACACGAGAAGAACAATGGAAGAAGGAAAGAAAGAAAGAAAAAAAAAGGGCCCCTGTCGTTATCAATTCTAGGCACTAGCAGGTATCCTCGTCGACTCCTGCGACATGATTATGATATGCCATCACTCAGACGGTACAGGCCTGTAGAGAAAAACCCCTGCCTTGGCGCTGTCACGTGCTCTCATGTTTGTTCAAATTCCACCACTTGTCCACCAGGACAGACATGCCTCTCTGGCTCCACGGTGATTGCTACCCGTACAATATCAAGCAATTCCCCACTGCACACACGCCCAATACAACACTGGCCATGTCCAACAATGCAGCATGAGCTGACGCACCCAATCCACCGAGCGGTTATGCGGCGCGTCGTTGTTGTCATTGATACATACTCTTCTGGGGCTCGATGCGTCAACCCATGCACTCTCGCTGTATGCACGCGCAGGCCAGCAAGCCTGTCGAGTACGTACCCTGTTTGCTCGCTCGCTCCCTTCCTCGCTCGCCTGTTCCGTCGATCTGTTCCTACGCATTCGAGCCGGCCGACCTGGCAAACAACAAATGACAAGGCCCAATGCCTGACGCTGTTCCTGAAGCCGGCCTGGTCCCCGAAGCCGTCGCGGCTCCCTCGCCAATGCGCCTTTTTATCTCGTCGTCTCCAATGCATGCATGCATCTTTCATTATTTATTCGTCTCTCCAGCTTGCTTGCTCCTGTGCTGCCTGCCTGTGCACCCACACGTCTGGCCCAGGATAGCCACCGAGAGTGAGTGCTTGGGCCGCAGTCGACACAGCTGCCTTCTCCCGGCCCGTCTATCCTTCCATACATGCTGCCATCGGTTCATGGCTACATACTTACACACGCCAATACCACCATCACTGCCATGTATCCTTTGCATCTCCCCAATCATTATTGTCAATTTCCGCTTCATTTTATCCGTGCGGTTTCACTGAGTGACGGCATTGCATTCATTCCATGCCTTGCCATCTGTCTGCTGTTGGGGGAATCCTCATCCCATCATCCCAGCCCAGCCCAGCCATTCCCAGACAGACACCCCACTCAATCCGTTCGTGCGTTCGCTCCTTCACTCGTTCAACCATCCATTCATCCATCCATCCATCCATTGTCTCTCTTGCATCCGCGTATCAGAAAGACGGTGAGCCTCCCAACGGCCCTTTGCATGACGTGTAGAGGGCCATCTCACGGTTAAAACCAACGTGTGCATTGTGCCATCATCGATTGATTCTCATGCCTTGTGGCCCGTGTTCATGGCACTCTATGGAATATACTCACAGAGTGAAGACGGACCGGGGTTCTAACTGCAACGAGAGACTTGTGCAAAGACATTCTTGGCCATTCACAAAGCATTGGCTGCCGTCCTTTGGTGCGCTCATGGCAAAGACGACATCAACGATCAAGACGCGCAAAAGCAATAACGCGGGTACGAAGATGTGATGTGACCTTGGATGGGCATGCGGGGGGCATCCTTGCCTTTCTCGCTTTGAGCGGAAAGACGCGAGTTTTCTAGAAGAACACGCACCATGTCAGTTATGTCATGGCCATCATCGCTACTCCCTCTCTTTTTGCCAAAAGCAAACCCTCTCGCTTCAATCTATCCGTGCACCCAATTGGCCAAGTGTGAACCCATCGTCTACCTACCCATATGTAGCCATCTACTCTTACTCACCCACACCCGCATGCAGACCACCTTTCTTGCGTCACTCGGATTGCGTCTGCTGTCGCTCCGGCACAGCAACCGTGAGGTAGCTGCATGCGCATCATCGTCACGTCCCCTGCAACCCTCGATCGCGTTCCTGGCCCTCTCGCCATTCAATTAAGCGGCTACCCCTATAGCCGGAGACTTTGCGCTGCCTCTACACGGTCAGCACGGCAAATCAATGGCATGCCATCATGGTTGGCTGGCATCGTGTAGTTGAATATTACATTATTACATTCTTGTTGGTTGCGTGCTCTATCAATTAAACGCTCTAGGGAGAAAAACGCTGGCAAATACTCACCCAAAACCCCGACTAAGCAAACAAAGACCCGGACCAGGCTGCGTACTCCAGGTCGGGTGGCAGCACGACTTCTGGAATATCCAAGTCTCCATGTTCCACGACCAGAACATCGGGGATGGGTCCATAAGGAGGGCCCAAGTACTGCAGCACCTCTTGCTGGGACCCTTCCAGCTCCGCAGTCTCGTCATTCAGCTCGAGCTCTGTTCCGGCAGCGTCCGACGTCGAAACCTCTTGCGCAGCTTCATCCTGTTCCAGCTTCGAGAAGTAGCCGCTCAGCTCTCCGTTGTCGTCCTGCTCGACCTCTACTTTGCCCGACCCCTTTTGAGTAATATCGTACTCAAATTTCCGGCCGCCTTCCACCTTTTCCTTTACCCATTGTGGCACATCGTCGATCGCCTTCTCGGGCTTTCCGCGGTGGCTCGTGCAAAACATTTGAACCTCGCTCGGCGTAAAGAGCTTATTGGGAACTAATTCTCCAAACTGCTTTGCCAGGCGACCAATCTGCTGCTTTGTGGTCCTGCCTTGGAGTCGTGGGTCAGTGCCGAAAACGCGCGTAAAGGTGATTGATGCCACAAGCTTGGTGCTGTAACCCAAATAGATGATTTTATCTATGCGGCCGGGACGAATGAGGGCTTTGTCAAGAGAGTTGGGAGAGTTTGTCGTAAATACGACCAAGCGGCCTTCTTTGGCACCTGGGCCGTCGATTACGTTGAGTAAGCCACCCAGAGTCACTTTTGAGGAAGGTTTTTGACCTCCCTTCTTGCTCTGGTCTTTCTTGTCTCCTTGGCTTTCCCTATCCCCTCGACCTCCCATACCTCCCCGACCGCTTCTACCTCCCCGACCGCTTCTACCTCCCCGACCTCTCATTCCTCCTCGGCCTCTCATTCCTCCACGGCCTCCTCGACCTCCCCGATCCGTGAAGCTGTTTTCAGCGTCTATCTCTTCATCATCTTCAGTTTCCGAGTCACTATCTTCCGACTCGTCTTCTTCAAAATCCGTGTCGGTGGAGGTCGTGCGGTTGGAGATCCCAGCCGTGTCAATCTCCTCAAAGAGAACCATGCACTTCTTTGGTAATTCCTCAAACCGGTCGCGTAAATCGTAGTCGTTCATCACCGCGAGATTAAAAAAAATACACGGGTAGGTCGAACTCACTAGCAATACCAACAGCTAAGGAAGATTTCCCCGTTCCTGGCGGGCCGTAGAGTAGGTAGCCTTTCCGGTATGGCGCGCCATTCTTGAAACACCAATCCTCGGTCTTGGGGTCAAAATAGTCTTCCAAATCGGTGATTATGTCCTTCTTGGCCTCTGGCTCCATGTCGATGGATTCGAGCATTCGTTTCCTCTTTGGGTGAGATGGTCCGCATCTCTCGGGTCCGACGAAGTACATTTTCAATGCATCGTTTCGACCTCTAGACATACTCTGGACTTGGTCGAGCAACGCCCTAATTGGTGCCGCGCTTCCCCAGAGACAGTGCAGGTCTATCTGGAAATCCTCCTCCCTCCATTCGACTTTATTCATGACGAATAGTTTACCTTGGAAAAAGAAAATGGATCGTCCGGGTGTTGCAAGTAGCTCGGAGCGCTCATGTTCTATATACTCTCCTCCATAATTCCTCTTCTCCTCATGTGTTGCCCACTGAGTCCTTTGGAACGATGGGATAGCTGAGAATAACTTGGCAATTCTGCTCGGGGGCTGCTGGGCAACCCAATCCTCCAAGGCTCTCATGCTTTTATCATCATGAATCGTGGTACTGTTGGTACTGTTCTCTTCAATCCATTTCCAAAACGTGGGGGTGATCTGTAGACGCCGATTATGACTGCTATGGTATTAAGCTCCATGCCGATTTTCTTGCCCAGCGAGAAGTTGGCAGTCCTGAAGAAGTCATATCTTCCGACTCCCGTCACAGCGTTGTCGACGCTAGTGAAACATTTTAGGAGAGTCTTCGGTTGGGGGTCTGGGATCCCCCCGGTCTTCTGATCTTGTTGATCGATGGTCTTTCCCCAACCCTTCTGATCTTGTCGGTCGATGGTATAATCGTATTCGGACATTATGATTGTGTTATGATTATATGAATGTTAGTCGTGTGTAAAAGCGTTGATGCTAAGAAATAAGCTGCTTTCGATGTAAATGCTGTCAATGTCAATGCTTTTCGCTGATAGGAAAAAAAATGCAGTATGGAGAAAATGCAGTATAGGAAATATGCAAGTAGGAAATATGCAGTTAAGGAAAGAAGGAAAGGAAATGCTGAGCAGATTACGAAAATGTTGCTGTTTGGTCTGGAGTCTGAAGGGAAAAAACGTGTCTGGGCGGATACAACCCTCTTATATATAGTCGAACGCCTCGAGGCTGAACATTGTTTATAGAGCTGCCATAGATATTCATGATAGTATATATAGTATCGATCGGATTGATGGCATTGTGTACACGACGGCAACAAAGAATGTGGCATGTACGCCGTTGTGGGGAGCATTGTGTTGATAAGCCTTCAGTTTCCTGGGAGTAGGTACCTAGGTATAGGTACGGCGAATATATACATACATATGACATCCACCTACTCGAGTGAATATTTGAGACGATGAATCATTACGATACATATGTTTCAACGAAGATTGAAAATAGGGAAAGAGACATATGCATCGAAGATCATGTACACGCTTTTGCTTACTGCGTAGCGAACTTACGTAGGAGAGACATTGTGTTAGGCAAGACTGGTGTTTTGGAGAACAGAACATTGTATGAGACACAACCAACAAATTCAGAGTCGGTTCAAAGAAATAGCAGGCGGTCTAGACCGGCTGGTTTCAGACCACTCACCAGAGCATCACATGTGCTGGGTTTGTATGAGGGTTTTCGACAGTGGACGGATCAAGTGCGACAGTGTTTCTGTTCCCTAGCGGAAGGAGCGTAATCAGCGCCCTGCATTGCCCCATATTCCTTCACAACCCTTCTGAAGTCTTCCAACAAGTATTAAATGACTATAATGCTACAACATGTACTTGTCATTGATAGTGCGCGAGTCGTAGGTATTACACGGCAGGACAGATATCTAAGCAGTTCGGGACCAGCCAGAGCACGCGAGAAAATAGTTTTCATTTGATCGAATCGGGATACTCAATAGTACCGAACTACTAGAAGGAAATGTATGTTTGACTTGTATTGAATGTGTCAGCGGTCACTGTCTTCATTCGAGATCCAGAGTATCATCGATACTCATTGCGCTGGGCATTACATCAGCATGGTCCTACAACCAATACATCTACATTTAGAACTTTCCTCCGATCAAGAATCATCATGACACACTACTGCCTTTTCTTAAGGAAGAGAAGTGGATGCAGTTGTTGGAAATTGTAAATGAGGCGCGTCAGATTGCGATTGGGTTGTTGTGGATAGCTCTCCTCAGCATTCTCCCCTACTGCACCCATACTGCATTCACAGATACGTGGCCAATACAAAAATATATAGAACAATGAACTGTATTAATTCCAACAAATTGTGCATACATGTGGAATATGTCGAGCTCGACGTCTGGAAGACGATAACAGTGGGGCATCCCCAAGCAGACTAGCGCGTGTAATCTTGGCAGCCGCACTCTCGATCGAATTTCGCGACTCCAACACGACAACCGCTGCCAGCTCGCCGTCACTACCCCACAGATCCCACGACTCTCACGGAGTGATCTTTCAACATGGCCAACGCACTGAAGGACTCGCCAATCAAGGCTGTGCAGGTCGAAGCCCTGGTGAGTGCCTTTGTCTACGAATGCGAAAACCCCTCCCCCACCAACAGATCTGACTGTTATACAGGTGGTGATGAAATTGGTGAACCATGCCTCCAAGACCTTCCCTACTGTCGCTACCGGCTCCATAGTCGGTATGGAGTCTGCGAAGCAACCCGGCCTGCTCGAAGTCACATCCTGCTTCCCATTCCCCACCATCGATGCTCCCGCTACCGATAGCCACCAAGAGCGAGACTCGGCTGCCAACATTGCAGCTGCCGCGCCCCGCAACAAAGCCAACGTCGCCTACCAGAACGAAATGATCAAGTTTCTCAGGGAAGTCAATGTTGACGCAAACAATGTCGGCTGGTACACGAGCACAAGCATGGGCAACTTCATCAACCTGAACACTGTTGAGAACCAGTTCTTCTACCAGAAGGAGCCCAACGAGCGAGCTGTTGCACTTGTACATGATTTGAGCAGGAGCTCACAGGGAGCCTTGAACCTCCGCGCATACAGGCTGTCCCCTGCTTTCATGACAGCATACAAGGAGAGCAAATTCACAACCGAAAGGTATGTGTCCAGCATCAAACTCTGGAGTAAAATACAATGGCTAATAATCAGTCTAGCTTGCAAAAGAGCGGCCTCAGGTATCAGGATATCCTCATCGAATTACCTGTCGCGATACACAACTCCCACCTCCTTACCTCCCTTCTCCACCAGCTCCCTTCCGACGCACCTAGCGAGGAGCTGACCTTCCCTGCCAACCTTGCCGCCCTTCAACAAGACCCGAATACCCCAGAGCCTCCATTCTTCCCCAACTACGATTCTCTAGATCTCTCCATTGATCCGTTCCTCGAGAAGACCTGCGATTTGCTTCTAGAGAGCATCGAGAACCACCACACCGAGCTCAACAACCACTCTTACTACCAACGTTCCCTTGCGCGAGAGCAGGCTAAGATTACTGCTTGGCAACAAAAGCGGAAGGCAGAGAATGCTGCACGGACAGCATCGAAGCAGCCACTGCTTCCTGAGGATGAATGGCAGAGGCTTTTCAAGCTGCCCCAAGAGCCTAGCCGTTTGGAGACCCTGCTCAACTCAAGGCAGGTTGAGCAGTACGCCAGGCAGGTGGACGGTTTCACCGCAGGAGTCAGCTCCAAAATGTTTGCTGTGAAGAGCAACCTCCTACCTGGAGAGTAAAAAGTCGGAAATGTGGTAATTGTCACGATGTGATCTTCTCATGGCATGGGCATGGCGTTGGGGGTTGGTAAAACCAGCTTTTGTTGAAGCCGGGATTGTCTATCATAGAGGACATAAACGAGCATCTGAACAGTCAAAGAAACGATTCTTTTGTAGCGGATGCCGTGAGCGAAGTCTGACGACGTGTGTGATGATGACTGTTATGCAATCTAAGTTGCCGATAGAGCCTGAGGGAAATAAGGAATATCCGGCGGAACTTTGTGCAATGAATGCCGATGGCGTGTGAGCAGGGTAGATTACCTAGGTAGTTGGCAGTGGAACAAAGAAAAGAAATGCAAAACACGATTACCCTCCCATTTTGATCTAGTAACCTGCGAGAACATAAGACGACGTCATGAATGGCCTGTGACGAGACTGTTGTTGAGTTCAAATGTTGTACACATGCTAAGTACTCGGAGCCGTGGACCCCACCAGAACCACGCATCGGTCCTTGCTCGACAGATCCCACCCCTCCTCGCCAAGCTAGTCGTTGGCCTCATTTTCACGCTGCTTTAAGCAGAGCATGCGTGTGCATGCAGTACGCCCTCGACCGAGATGAATCCGTCGCATCAGTTACCACTCCATCATCTTCAGCCTACCGCGCTACATCTCCATACTATCCCCCAGGAGCTGCAAAGCCTCGATGGCATCCCGACCGAGGCCAACGATGCCTTTTTCCAGCAGCGCTATAACCACCACCACCACCTGAACGCCCCCAGTCCCCACACGCTACACTTTCCGAGCCATGGAATACCGCAGGGGCAGTCGCATTTTCCCCCATTCCAAGGAGCAGAGGAATATAGGAGGACTTTTGACTTGAACGCGCCGCCCCCTCAGCAGCAACAGCAGCAGCAGCATGAACAGCACCAACAACCACTACCTCCTCCTCCTCAACCGATACATCCAATTAGAGCACAGGCACCGCCGAACCAGCAAATCCGCCGACCGATCCGCGAGGTGCCTCCGCCGCCTTCAAGGCCTCCGGCTCGAACACAGGTACAGGCGCCGCCTCATCAGCAGATTCAAGAGGTAGCTCCACCGCCACAGTTCATCCAGGGTCAACTTCCAGTCCAGGACCGAGTGCAAAACGTGCAAAACCAAACACAGTCGCAACCACAAGGCCAGACGCGAGAAGGGGATGAAGCGCCAGTATCAAACCATGGCCAGCTTGAAGGCCTGAAGTTGATCGCTGCTCCACCAGGTCTTGAAGAATGGAGAGAGAAACTATTCCACGTCGATGATACCATCACTCTGACCGAAGAGGAGTATGTTCACCGGTCGCCAATCCTGAACATGTTGCTGATCTATACCTCCAGGTTCCAAACCTACTTCCCGCACGTCGACAATGTTTACTCGCATCGCTCGACTCAGCGCCACAAGCGCAAACGTTTTGTGTCACATTACTGGGACTGCAGACTAAAGGGGCGTCCACCCGGCACGAAGAAGTCGACAGATCCGGACAAGAAGAAAAGGAAACGCGTAGCTCGCGAACGCGATCTTTGTGATGTGAAAATCAAAATCACCGAATACTTCGACGGAGATGAACTCACTGAGCAAACAGGGCAGGCACCGCCTGGGGTGCCGACTATGTCATCTATGAGCGATGCGGCAAGTAGTACTAACCAGTTTTTCGGGCAAACAAATGGTGCTGGAGCTGGGTGGAGCGCACCGCCAGGAATGACAATGGCTCAGGCGGTTGCAAATTCGAAGCAGAAATTTTACACCATACAGAGAGTCAACGGCAATGGTGGAAACGGAAAGAGTGATGGCGTCGCCGGTCCACACAAGCACACGCTTGAGGACAGTGATCGAGTGAAGAAAAACAGCGTGCAGAGATGGTTCATGAAGAACGAGAGAGAGAAAAAGAAAGCACAGGTACGTTCATATATTCCGACTTGTCGATTACAAGCATCGTGGATAGTCGCGATGTCGTCGAGATTCCGAACATGCTTAATGAGCTGTCATTTTTTGTCCTTTATAGCAGCAACGCATTGCTGCATCGAGCTCAGCGGCCTCGATCGTCAGTGATTTCGTCATCATTGTAATCAGCAGCATAAAACGTGGAGCTGATCTGTTTGAGTTCGTCCTTTGTATTCATTTTGTTTTCCATTCACATGTCTCTATCGTCTAAAGCATTGCCTGTCCTCCAAACAAGTCCCCTCAAAAGAACAGTCCTCAATCACAACGCTTGTAAACACACCTGTGGCGAAACATAGTCCTGCACTTGCTTTTCCTTTCCGCTTTAGCTCTCGTAAATTTTTCGTTGCAACATGACCGATACAAACCAGGGTGGCGATCCGGCCAAGAAGACCTACCACAAAAAGGCCACTGGTGCAGCACTCACAACAGTGAAAGCCCATTCCAAGGAAGATGAGCTCAAGCTATATGGCAGCTGTTTCTGGTACGCTGAGATTCTCTGTTTCCCGTTTACATTCGTGTTCAACAACAGATTCTATGTGACGTCACTCACACCAACAGTCCTTTCGTTCAACGTGTATGGATCTCGCTCGAGCAAAAGCAGATTCCTTATCAGTACATTGAAGTCGATCCTTACAAGAAACCCCAATCACTGCTCGATGTGAATCCGCGTGGTCTTGTCCCCGCCATCCGTCATGGCCCTTCGTGGTCCACGTACGAATCCACTGTTATCATGGAGTACCTCGAAGATCTGCACACTGGCCCTGCACTACTACCGTCGCATCCTCAAGCACGTGCAACGTGCCGCCTTTGGACCGATCACATCAACAGACAGATCGTCCCGTGTTTCTATCGCCTGTTGCAAGCACAAGATCAGAATGACCAGGTGAGTCACGCCGAGGAACTCAGGACAGAGATCGGAAAGCTCGTGGATGCAGCCGACAGAGAAGGGCCGTTCTTTCTGGGGAGAGAATTCGGATTTGTTGATGTCCAGATGGCGCCGTGGGTTCTCCGGTTAAAGAAGGTGCTGGGGCCGTATCGCGGCTGGCCCGAACCGGAGGAAGGAAGTCGTTGGAAGAAATGGGTTGATGCCATTGAAGGAGAAGGCGCGGTTCGACGGACGACTAGTGACGGTACGTCCCTGAATGTTCCCGTCTAGTGATTTTCATGAGATGGATGCTAACCATTTTCTCTCCGCAACAGACGGATTGTACCTAGACAGCTATGAGAGGTACGCGGAGAACAGACCAGGTACAAGTCAAGTTGCCAACGCTGTAAATGCTGGGCGCGGATTGCCATGAAATAGATAGTTTTTTAGGCTGGCACCGATTGTGCTTTTGGTTCACTAGACGATATCGGGCACAATGAGAATTACCAGGAACATGAACAACTACTTGAAGCCACTTGGATCTCAGACTTGACTTATCTCCTTAATTCTGTGTCCAAGATGCAACAACATCTTTTCCCCATCTCGCTTTAGTCACGCCCTACAGACAACATTCGAATATCGATGAGTCACTTTCCCCACATGAGGCCACATTACGTACGGGATCTGATACGTACGACATGTTAATTCCGCCGTGTATTTCCGGCTAGACGAAGTGCTTATTCTATCCTGCCTGCCTTCCCCGGAACGATGATGTCGTAGTTTATAACCCTAGCCCTCGACTAGCTTAAAAGCGCCTGAACCTGCACCTGTAGTCTCCACTAACATTCCGCGCCACCATACACGAAATCAACAATTCATCGAGAAAATGGACATTCAAGCACATCTGAACCCAGCAAAGCTATTCTCGGCTGAAGGACTAGTCGTAGTCATCACGGGCGGCGGCAGCGGTATGTTCTAACATATGTCGTCAACCTCACACTACCCCACTATGCCCCTCATACAGCTCTTGACCAATGTAACTTGAAATACTCTACTGACTACACGCTCAAAGGTATCGGTATCGCTATTGCCTCAGCACTCTACCAAAATGGCGCTCAAAAAATCTATCTCATTGGCCGTCGACTGAACGTACTGGAAGAAGCAATCAAAACTCTTGAATCATCTACCTCGGCACCCAAAACATCATCACCTGTTCTCGTCCCCATTTCCTGTGATGTAACTGATCAATCATCCGTCGCGGAGGTCGTATCCCAGATCGAAAAAGAATCTGGCTATGTCGATGTTCTGATCAACAACGCTGGCGTCATTGGTCCCGCTACCAACCTGTACAAGCCTACGTCCATCGCCGAGCTCAGGGACACGATGCTGCAAGGCATGGCCTCGAATGAATGGGAGACCACCATGAAAATCAACACACAGGCCGTCGTTAGCGTGAGTGCTACGTTTCTTCCTCTCCTGGAAGCCGCGAATACTCGCCGTGGCTGGTCCCCTGGCAAAGTCACAGGCGATGGCAATCCACGTAAACGCGATACCTCGAACCTTCCAGAGGGCGTCGATGGCGATGATGATCGTCTCGCTCAAATCATCACTGTGGCCTCTGTGGCATCCTTCATGCGGTACTGCACTGCGGGTCTTGCGTACAATGCGAGCAAGTCTGCCGCTGCGCAACTCGGGAAGATCATGGCTACGTTCCTGAGCGAGTGGGGTGTCAGGAGCAATGTCGTGTGCCCTGGACCGTATCCGAGTGGTATGACGAATCATATCGAGGGGGTATATGGGACCAGCCAGGTTCCACAGGGCAGGAAGGGCAATATTCACGATGTCGCTGGGATTTTCTTGTTTTTGATGGGCAAGGGAGGCGCTTATATCAATGGCTCTGTGCAGCTTACGGATGGAGGAAGGACGAGTGTATGGCCCGCTACATTTTAGAGACGACAAACCCGAAATCAACAATCGGCAGGGTGGGCCCAGAAGTACGTTTTGAGACGGAAAGGGGAGACATAGACAGCTTAGACAGTGAGTTAGCGCACCGCATTCACCTGTCATGCCGAGGATAGACCTACATAGTCATCATAGAGTGGATGGCGGTATTTCAGATAATATTGAAACTGAACAGAAAATGTATTTCCTTCATGAGAACCAACGCGTTGGGCGCGCATAAAATTATACACTTGCACTTCACTCTACGTTTGAGCTTGTACAGCACATGCAGCCACATTCTATCATTTTAGCATGCAAGGCTTCCAATGGGAATCCTTTCTCAAACGCTGAACCTACTGAGGATTTAACCTGCAGTAATATCAGCATCAAATACTTTATTCACTTCGATGTGAGTAACTTCATCCGCTCAGAACACAATCAGGACCATGTTATACAGAGCACCATTTGTAACTTTGCCAATCAGCTTCATTAGCCTATAGCGACCCCTTATTCAGTAGTTCGCTGCACTCTAAAACGTCATGCATAGACAAATGCAATCCTCACTCCATTAGCTGACCAGATGCGAATTCCACCCCAGGGAAAACTCGTCCCGAATTCTCCTCAATTCATCCATCCACCACTTTCCTATGCCCCAAAGACCCTTAGACTACTGTCCAACCCAGTCTTTGCCTTCGCCTCGGGCAACGCACCAACCGGCGTCCCAAACACCAACTGCGCCTTTAACGTCCAATTCTTGGGCACATCAAACGCTTCCTGGACATGCTGCTCGACAGCAGCCTGGTAGTGCTGGAGATTGCAGCCGAGCCCCTCGGCCTCGAGCGCCGTCCAGACCGTGAACTGGTGCATACCCGATGAGTGGTCTTCCCAGGCGGGGGAGGTGGACGCTATGGCTTTGAAGCGGGGGGGAAGGCCCTCGTATGCGGATTGGTCGTCGAAGAACAGGACCTGTGTTTGAGCTGTTAGTTGGGCTTTTGCGGGAATGCGTGATATTGGCAAGGGGCAAAAAAAAAAAGGATCATCGAAGAAAAAGGAAAATACAATGAATCAAGAAAGGTGAATATAGGTGCAAAGTTGGGAAACTCACTGTTCCGTATGCCTCTGCAAACCCTTTGATTTTGGGCCCCAGCATCTTGATCATTTCTGCGTTGCTCTTCTCGGTGTTGGTGTATGCGACATCCCATAGTTTTGTATGGTGGTCGCCGAAGAGGACTACAGCGCGGGCGCTGCGTACGTTGAATGCAGAGGGGCAGTGCTCGAGTGCTTGGTGTACAATGTCGACGATGCGCGTGTTGGGGATAGGTGATGTTTTGGCCAGGGCGTAGATTGAGCGGCGGCTGGCTATCGCAGTTAGGAAGGGGATTTTGGAGGCCATTTTGCTAATGTTGAATGTGACGACGTTGGTATTCTTGATTGTGTGGTGGCCTTTTATTGTCTCTGGTTGGAAATTGATATCTTTTTCCTTTTCCGTGGAACTTGTTCGGGGAGGTGTCGAAGTGGGTTGGAGTTTAGGAGAATAGTTGTCGTTGATGGGGTTCGGCTTTCAGATCGAGATATTCAGGCTAATTGGCAGACGACGAAGTGTTGGTTAGTGAATGAATGAAGAGGCTGAGGATCATTCGCCTTTATATACATTTTCTTGTACCTCTGTGATACTCGCGAGAGGCCTCGTATATGCCGGTCATTTCCAAACAAGCCTCAACGTGCGCCATCACACTCGGTTCCGTTATTATCAAGCGTGATGCAGCTTTTCGTCGTGCGGTATATATTACCTTCCGAATTCCGAAGCGAGGTAACCGGCCTTTTTTTTTCTGATGCGCAGTGATTTTGCTCAGCCTAATATTTCTCTTACTAAGGAATCCATCTGTAGCGGAATGTCAGCCTCAAGACCCTGACTAACCTTCTGTAGTGTCCAATAGGATCAAGTGTAGAGACGAGGACCTTTACTAAGATGCGATAGCAGTAGGTTTAGGTCCCGGATGTGTTATCCTCCGCGCTTGGTCATCATGTCCAAAGTACATACATACATTGTACATATGTAAGCAAGCAGGGGTGATGGATTGCGATTGTCGCATAACATATTAATATGGAAGTGTACTATGCATACCGTAGATGCATTTGCAAATCATAGTATCTGCTTGACTGCTCTAGAGAATTTTATTTATGACATAATGTTTGGCAAACCTTACATACGTACATATCTATTGCAAATCATAAGATCAAAGTTCTCGGATCGCTCTGATGAGATTAGAATTACGTTCGCTACAGCGTAGTTTAACGCCGTGTGTCTTTCGGCCTTTCGGAGCCAGAGAAACCTCCACCCCTACCTTGTACCTGGTAGTCTAAACTACGTTTTACAGGGTGGGGGCCGGATTTGTTATCGTTGATATATTCTCGCAGACAAAGTCGAAGTTGCTACACCTGAGACAGCAAATTTTTCATACCGTTCCGTATAAGCGTTGTATCGTCATTTGTCCGGGTGTACATCCACAACAAAATGCAGCAGTGAGATATTTGAATGAGAAGAAAAAACAATGAAAAAGGGCAAGCGTCGGAGAAGATCACTATGTCATCTATACTAAGGTGTCTTGGTTGCCGTTCGCTTACCACTTGGTGGAAGCTTGATAAAAAGTGGCACCGAGGATGGCCTTTACCACCAGTCCGCAGATCATAACTTTCAGCGAGGAACATATCGTAGAATGCAATACGTTGTTCACACTAAAGAAACATAGTTGCCCGATCGCTACAGCCTGCCTTATGCATGGATGTAAAAAAGAATTGCCGACCAAATGTGATGGGTATCTCGCCAAACGGATTCCGAAGTCCAAAACGCCATTCTATGCTGTTGCTGTCTTTTGCTTCCCATACCCCCCATACACATAGACTCGAGCTCTCAACCCATACCGCCCACGATCTTCAACCCTTGACTGTCTGCCGAATATGCCAACACGTATCGGAAGGGATGCCACGCGACATGCGCCGCCGGCTGCGCCAGATCAATGCTGTGCACTATCTCGCCCGACTCGACATGTGCGATGTGTAACTTCTTGTCTTCCTTGTCCTCGACCCTGTCGGCACCAGCGGTGACGTAGCTACCGTCGAAGGAGAAATCCACGCTTTTGACCATTGAAGCCGTGAGGTCCAAGGTGCGAACACATATCCACTCCTGCGTGTCCCATATGGATACGAGCGCATCGCCACCGCCCGCCGCTAAATACTCGCCTGATGGTGACATGGTAACCGCGAAGCATGAGGACGTGTGCGCGTTGAGGGTAAGTGCGGTTTCGAAGGTCGGGTATCGCATTACTTTCACACATCCGTCACCATTAGTGAGGTAAAGATGCGAGCCTGACCAGTCGAAAACACATTGGTTCGTCTGTACGGATTGGTGATGCTCGGTGATGGGCTTTAGAGCTGCGCGATCGATGGGGACAATGACGTTATCCTGTCGAATACCATGTCAATACATTTCCTTTCCTCGCAATGGCTCTTTGCCGACACTCAAAGATCGTGGAACGTGCCTTTCTCCCCGCAACGATTTCGCTTCCATCAGGCATCCACGCCAAAGTAAATGGTTGTTCCCCAACTTTGACTTCGCCGACGCTCGCTTTGGATCGTACATCCCAAAACCTCACCATACCATCTGTCCCACAGCTCGCTAGCTCATTCTCATTGATCGGATGAAAGGCCACGCGCTCCAAGGCCACAGTGCCTGGTGTACCGGGGGTTCGCAGCTCCGTTGAATTCTTCACGTTAGTCCGTTCTGGATTCCATATGCGCAGTGTTCGATCGAGAGAGCCGGTCGCGACAAAGCTGCCTGATGCGTTCCAAGAGATTGTACGTATAAAGTGCGAGGAGGAGACGGGGGCTCCAGGGCGTAGATTATCCGTGTATACCGAGGTTTTGAGCTTCGCGAACGCTGGCGAGAAGGCGCTTTTTGGGAGCGAGCGTGCGCGTTGTGGGGGCGCCATCTATAACCAGGGTTGAGGGGAGACGGAAGTTGAGGCCAATCGGGGGGACGAATGGGATGCACTCTGTCTAAACTTGAGGTGTAGAACGCGGCCAAGTTTAGCCTCGATTTCCCCCGAGCTGACTAAGCCACTTGCCATGCGCCCATCGTTTTTATGTACAGAACTCTCAACATTAGACGGGATTTTTTGGTTCCCAAACGTGAATGGCCTGATTTGAAATTAAACCAGATATAAAGGTTGTATGTCAAATTCACTATAGTTTGCACAGGAACTTCATATTATTTTACATGGGGGGAGAGTAGGTGAAGATAACAAGTATTGATGAATTGTATTATAATCCTGTTTTATCCCGAGGTCCACAAATCTTCTGTGAGTGAGGAGTGGACCGGTCAGTTCCTAGAGTTGGGTGGATGTTACTCATAGTTGCAAATGAATTCATACCTAGCATGGTTTCTAGAGGATGTTTGATGACATGCCTACAAACCAACGAGCCTCACGCTCGATTCTTGAAAACGGCCCATAATATCACACAGCTTTTCATGCACCATTCACCTTGCGCTTCCTTGTCCGTGGGGTCGGGACGTTCTACATCCTTCCGAGGACGCCTCTTACGCTCCCATCGAGTGTCACATTGCCCTTTACGGGAGCCTCATAGATGCCAGTTTCTCCTCCGCTGCCCTCATTCAGCCATCGCTGCAACAAATCGTTGCTCTCCTTCGGTTTCACGCTCTGATCCGCTGTGCCAACCGTGACATGAGCTACAGCGTTGACAGTCTCAAACGTCAACTCATTCATACCGCTGCCAGCTTCAGACTCCACCTCGAAGGATGCAGAGCCGTTAAGCCGTACTACGAAGCACATGATCCGATTATCCCAGATCAGACGCTCCAATTGGACGCCGCATTTGCCAAGTTCAGGTTCCCAGCTACCAGTGTTGACGGCAGTTTGTGCTACAGAAGAGTGGAGCGCGTTGAGCTTGTCCCAGTATTGCTGGTTCTGAGTGGCAGACGCGCGATGTATGAGTGTTACATGAAACTCGTTCTGAATACGGCGTGTTTGCTGAAGCTGACGGTAAAGTCGCGCATATTCTGGGGTTTGTCCACGGAAAGTTGCTTCCAGAATAGACCCCACTCGATCTGCGGAAATTCTAACAGAGAAGTACTCCATTTTTGGTTGCTTCTTTGGGCGTGGATCGGGTTGAGACTTGTTCTTGACAGCCTGTGGAGCTTTGCTATTTCCACCGCGGGAAAGATCCATCTTGAAGTCAGGGGTATAGTCATTAGTGGCCCAGTTGATCGCATCATCAAGATCAGCAGCAGAAGGCATATCACGATCTTTGAACAGGCCTGGGTATGTTTCGTAAAGGTGGTTGATGATGACTTCCAAGTTTTCCCGAGAATCAGCAGTAGGATCAAGGTTGATCACGAGGTCGAAATTATCATCGGGGGCGTCGCTAGGATCAACAGGTTGGAAACGGTGCATGAAGCCTTCCATTATCGTGACGATCTCATCCTGACCCTTGGATCCAGCCTGTATAGTTTGGTGGTTGTCACCACGTGCAAGCACACGTTTTCGTGTAGCCTGTCGAATAGCATCGTAATTGAAGCGATCATGAACGTAATGTAGCGCTACGTAACGAGTACTAGGGGCAGTCTTGCTGATGTCCGTGAAGAGCTGGTCTCGTTCGCGCTTCTGGTGGTTGTTGCGGTCTGCTATGACGACAGGGTTGGTGATCAGCATGGACGAGATGGTGTCGGCGAAGACCTGTCCACGATTTTTCTTTGCTTTGACGTTGTCATTCTGGAAGTGTCCCCATCCGAAGAGTTTGACGAGAGCTAAAGCCAGGGTCGTCTTTCCACAACCAATGGTTGCGATGGGCACAAGCACCACGTCACGGTCTACATCTTTGGATTCAAGCTCTCCATTTCGGAGTTCCTCTTGGATGATCTCCGCTCCCGTTGTGCCCCGAGCCTTTAGGAAGTCTTCACGCAATTGGATGATTCCATGGTTCTGATTGTAATCCCTTGCCAGATTTGGTTCCTTGACAAAGCGCCTTCGTGCATACTCGAGGTATTCTTTGGTAATCTGCTGATGTTTCTTATAACGTGGAGGTTTGCCGGCGATGATGGCTCTAGTGCACTCGCGCCATTGACGGTACATGAGATATGGCTCCTCGAACTTGTATTTGAAGAACCAATCTTCCCACGGGGCGTCAGCCGTCTCTCGTGCTTGGCAACGGATGACGAATCCCTCGGTATCGCGGCCATTGTAGTTACCAGTTTCGGCGACTTTCTCCAGGAATTTCTGAACCTGGTCGATGTCATCTTCCATGACATATGTGACCTTCTTCATTCCCCATTCATTGGCAAACTTGTCGACCAGAGGGCCAGGATAGGTAGCGAATTCGGGGAGGTTGAGGTTGATTCCGTGAATGTACAAGCCAGCGTCTTCGGGGCCATAAGGAAGAACGTGCTCCTCGAAATCATCATCGCATAGTTCGGCAACCAGCGTCGCATTCATTTCCCGCAGCCGTCGGGCCAGGTCCTTCTTCGATTTGCCTACAGTCTCCAGGTGCTTCTCCACCCACTTCTCGCCAGCAGAAGCATGGCTCAGAGTGTCACCCCTCGCACCGGTCGAGTGTTTGCTGCAAACGAGCAGGCTCTCATCGTCTAATCCCGCGATGAATATGATGCAGCCATTCTCTTTGACGCTCAGCTCGTAAGGTCCGCGAGTGTTCTTCTTGACGTTGCGCCACTCCGTCTTCCTGACCTCTCCGTGATTGAAGAATTTATCGTAGCCCCTCACGGCAATCTCGACGCCACCATCCCGGGTTTTATATGTAAAGAGACCGCGGGCGTACGTGGGCAGAAACTCCTTCTTGTAGTCCCATTCCTGGATTTTCCACGAATCGACGGAGCGGCCGTTGGGCAGAGGAAATGTATTTTTACGGCATGAGAAGCCGTTCCCCTTGGACTGTTTGCCTTTATGTGATTCGAGTGACTGGACTAGGTCGTGGACCCGCTTGCGATCCTGGGGTGCGTAAGGAGCTGTTTCGCGATGCGCCATGGCGGCGGAAGCGTGGAAGCTGGCGACTCGGGTGTGGAAGGCAGTATAGGGAAGCGTGATTGTGTGGTTCTTGAAATGCCTGGCTAAGTGAAGCGGGGGTGGTAAGCAAACAAGTGGTGGGGTAGTGCGGCAAGCATGAGGGAGAGCGGAGAATTGTCGCACAGGCGACGGCATTAAATAATAAGTAATGGGAAGTAGAGAGGGACAAGGCAGCAACAGGGCAGAGCAGACAATGGAAAGTGACTCAGAATGACAGAGGTTGCTCCTTACCGTTTTACGAGCAAAGGGCGGAAGGCGCAGTCCAAGCAGGATGCAACTGTTTTATGAGTCGAACCAGAGCATGATGGATTTCCGTGTCATTTGCTGTGGCGCATGCCTGTGGCTGAATGCTCCAAGTCCCACTTGGGTCTATTGCAAACAGCTGAACAGGTGAAGGCACAATCGAAATGTCAGTCTTTTTTTTTAGGTGGGTAGTTGCACACAGTTATTTTTTTTTCTCCCTCAAACAGAATTCAATCGACTCTAAATGGCCGAAGCAGCATTGTTACTGCCTGGGAGGACTGCGTGCCAGAGGCGTGCAAGTACTGCTGGTATTTTTCCTCCAGCCGACGACTAAATTTTAACCAATATACGTAATTCTCAGTTTCAGGAATCAGTCAATTGATTAAAAGACGTGGATAGACTTCATGATAAAAGTTCGTACATAGAGGTGAACCTTAAAAAGGTGTGGCAGGGATGTTGGAGGCTCTTACGCACAGACACGATCGGCGCTCAGCTCGTTGCTAGCTCACCAACATCCATCATTCATCCCATCAGACATTCGGTTCCCTGATTCCATTGCCAGCCCTCAACGCAGCATCTACCTTCAAGTCAGACCGTAAAACTCGCCTACTCAACGATGAGCGCATTTGGAGGTCCTGGAGGTGGGCAAAAGGTCACCAAGCCAACGCCGTATGTAGTCTTCCCGTCCTGCTGCTACTACTTCTTAAAACCACTTCCCTCGGAGCTTGGAATGGCAAAGGCAGTCGCTCAAACTGGAATATGTTAACTAATAGCGCATCTGCAGTCCCGAACGCGGCTCTTTCCCTCTCGACCACGATGGTAGGTCGCAATTCCTACATCTCGCCGCCACCCTTCTGTCGTCTTTTCCCTAAACGCGAAATCGTACATTTGCTAAACAAGGCATTCCAGGCGAATGCAAGCACATCATGGCGTCGTATCTCCGATGCATCAAGTCTCATCGCGGCACGAACGATCCCGAGTGTCGCAATCTTTCCAAATCCTACCTATCTTGTCGAATGGACCGGTATGTACCCAATTACTCCCTTCTCATCGTCGTCCCCACCTTGCCGAGCTCGCCGAACTCGCTCTCCATCTCCCTGCGTCTCAAGCCACACCCTTGTTCGTATCTTGCGCAACGAATAGAAGCACTTCGTGATACCGTCCTGTCAAAAGACATCTCGACCTGGTACTTGGTATACGCAGGGTAGGGAGTAGTTCGAAGCAAGGGAGAGATGTGGAATCTCAAATCTGAAACGCCGTGTCCATCCGCGCCTGTCGTAGCTGTCAGATGTGGTACATCTTTGCCCTCTGTTGGTCGATCTCTTCTCCATCGCTCACAACAATAACCTTCTGTTGCACTGCCTCGGAAGGAGCCGAGCGATGCGGTGTCATATTTGCTTCCTAAAATAGTCTCCCAAAGAAGAGTGTGTATGCTGACCTTTTCTGTCAATCAATAGGAACCTCATGGCCCCTGACTCATTCAAGAACCTAGGATTCGGAGAGGATGCTGATGCAACGCCTTCTACCGACACTGCAAATGTAACTTCATCACAACAGCAACAGCCGAAATAGCCCCCCCACACTCTCTGACGAGCTCTCGAATGATCCGCGGAATGAGGGCGTCCTCTGGCTCCGACAACGATCCGGCAGTATCCGAACAACCGAGCGTGGAGCATCATACCTAGACTCTCATCTTATTCCAACAGTTCGGTTGCGTCATAGTAAAGTGCTCAATGCTACCAAAGTGTGAAGAGGAAACATCGAAAGGCAGGGCTGCAGTTCTGACAGGTTACATGACAGTACGCCTGCAGCATCTCCAATGTCTCAATCTCTAACAAAGGATGTGCGGAAGATGCCGGAGTGAAGTCGATAGTAGTTGTCAGTTGTTGGTGATTGTCGACACACACGGAATGCGGGGTGGGATCCTTGATATCGAATTGACACAGCTCTGGCCATGTTGAGGGTATCTATGCTCACGTTGAAGTACAGAATGACATTGTGTCTGTACTCAAGGCAATATACCAGTTCCCCAACACACGACTGGAATAGCAAACGGCGTGACAGAAGGCCCTATCCCACGCGAGCATGAGCAGCCATCACTGAGTATGGAAGGTGGATCCTTCACTTCGTTCCCAAGATTGTGCGCAGAACGCTACGATGGCCCAAACATAATAAACGCAAAAGGCAGAATACAAAGTTACACAAAAATGATCGTATCACCCCAGATCTTTCCCGCTATTTCGTCTCTTCGTCCATTCTGTTTGTTACTGGTCCTTGGATTACGATGCTCGCCATACCAACCACACTTCTTCATCGCACGGCCGGAGCTCAACATGTTGGAAGCAACCGTACCACCCGCTCAACATAGACCGCTCAAATAAGCACAGCAGATGTCCATACTCCAATGGGATCAAAGAAACAAGCAAGCAACATCATCGCACAAACCACCCGGTCGGAACTTCATCCTCACAACTCAGTCCACTTGGTTTCTTATCCCTATCCCTGCCTTCATCCCACTTTTGATCTGGCTACTTTATTTGTTCGTACGTTCGGCCGCGGTGCTCATCGGTCGGCTGGCTTTGATGTCCTTCTGATCTCGACTGCATGGCCCTGCTCTTCCCCTGCAACATCCCGAACTGAGACAGCAAGAAGCAAACAAAGTTCGCATGTGGTGTTATGCTCAGTATGACGACTACCACGGCAATAGAGTTTGTTCTTGTGTACGTATATATGCAATGTAGTATAGATTTTATGCAGATGCAGATGCATCTTAACAACGGTTGCTACCGAAGAACCCCACTCATTGATTCCATCAATCTAGAGTCGGAGGCATCCGAAACAACAGCAATAAGAAGCCTCGTTCCTCACCCCCTGCTCTCGGGATCCCGATGCCGCCTGCACTTTTCGGCCGAGTAAGTCCATTGATCATGGGTCGGGGCGGGGCTGGTTGGTCGGCCGGTCACGGAGACGGAGAAAGAAACTGTTCTTTGTTTTTCTCTCCTTTCATGTGCCGCATTGTTGCCGTGGTTTGTGGCTGTGTCTTTGTGTGGTCATGGTCATGTAGTTAGTGGTGTGGTGTAACGTTACCACCTACTCAATATTCAATCTCGATTGACACCTCACCCACCACGCACTGACTTGTAGTCTACCATAGTTTCTTTCTGGGCGGGGAAGCAGAATAAGATAGTAGGGTATAATGGGAAAGGCAAATCCATCTTCAAAGGAAAAAAAAAAAATTTTTTTTTCAAAAATAAAAATAAAGAATAAACACCGTCATTAGACTGATCAGTTCATGTTCATTCAGTTTTCTTGATGACTACTGCTAGATCTATGTGACTAGTACAACGTTAGATACGCCGGCAAAGCAATCAGTCAGGCAACATGCTTATGCGGTGAAAAGACGGGAGAGGATCTAGATTGCAACTCCACATCAAACCAAGACCAATAACACGATATACGTGCATGCACATTGCACTTTATCCCTAACTCACCTCTCCATCTATAACAGGGATTCTGCGTGTCGTCAAGGCGTTTTCGTAAGCTCTAGGCAACCAGTTTACGGAGGCTTCCGCACATCACCTATACGAAAAGGCTTCCGGTGTGATAGTAGCGCCTTCGGGACTGGTTGCCCGGTTTCGTCCCTGTGAGGCGGCAGGGGAAGGCTGGAATGGCTTCCTGGCTGGGAGGTGGTGGCGGAGTCGGCTTCGTAGTTGCTAACCCGAACGGCTGGGTAATGATAGGGTGTGAGGCAACGAGACGTCTAAAAGTTCAGAGACGCATAAGGACATGGTGGTCAAAGCGCTCCCAAGTGCTAACACGGCATCACTGACAGAAGACATCGTGGGTGGGCGGGTGAAGATGTGAAATATGTAAAATCCATAGATTGCGTAGATGAGATTCAGTCCTAACAAAGCCACGTAAATGAACTAGTAGAAAATTCCGAAGAACAAGCAAACAGAGCAGGAAGCAGTCGAGCCAGAACGCTCTAGCCACGCTTCCCCAAAGAGAGTAAAGGAGATAGGAAAAGGCTAATTAGATAAATCGAACCACATGTATAATAATGATGATCTTGAGGAAACCCGGCTAACTAACCCCATAAATGCAGTGTAAAGAAACAGTGAAAGCACGAAACACGCAAGGAAATATGAACGTCGCTATAGTCTACATTGAAGATGCGAAATGCTTCTCCGTGCAGACAGAGCGCGGTGAAAAACAATAAACTGCAGTAGACGCCGACCTAGTAGGCAAGGAAAACCTTCCTGCCAACGTAAGGCGGCGCATGGGGTACTCCAGAGATGCTAGTGACGATGAACTCGGTGGGTCGAAATATATTACGCAAGGAGATGGGTATGTCGGTGCATTGGAGACGCAAATTCGAGCCGCCTTGTGACCAGCAAAGACGACAGAAGCTTGATATGCACAGTAAGCAGCGACTGCAGGCGCAACCGAGAACTCTCGAACCAGGGGATCAGTGCGCAACGCAATGAGGTCCCTTGCTGAGAGAGCACGGTGTGGTATAGTCCACCGAATGCTGTGTATGCGAGTACATGCGTATGCCAAATGGAAAAACACATGTGATGTGGGTATCGTCGGGGTATCATGGATAGGAAATTTGACATATGCGCAGGAAAGGGGGGATAAAGAACATGGAACTGAGTGCGATCAGCCCATGTCCATACCATTGTATTCGTCTTCCTCCTTCAGGCTGTTGTTGGACCAGTATTGCTGCTGGTTGTTATTGATGGCTGTGTTTGAGCCACTGCCCGTGCTTTGAATATCGGGACTGAGGCTTTGTGGCGAGATCTGGAGCGGCTCGCCGGCCAGGTTGGTGTGCTTGGGCACGCGCAGACCAGAGCCCGGACCACGAGAATACTTGAAGCTACTGAAGCCATTCTTCTCGATGGCATCCAGCAATTCGGTCTTCATCCGTCGCTCATCTTCTGTCAGCTCTGCCGGCAACTCCTCACCAGTGAGCTGACGAAGACGAGAGGACATTTCCTCGTTCTGTTGAATAGTCTTCTCCAAGAACCACATCAAGTCACGAGTCCAACTGACTGCACCGTTGAGAATGTCCCCCTTGTTTGGGCCTTTGTCCTTGTCTTCAATCGGAAGGCCTTGGGTGATGTTGCCCGCGGCACGTCGTCCTGTACCTCCAGCAAGAAGAGACGTGGCTTGTGGGGGAGACATGCCCGTGGCAGTGATTGTGGGAGAAAGCGGGCCGTTGTTGTTGATGTGCTTCCGGATCTTCTCATCCTCGAGGCGATGCTGTGGAACGAGGCGCGAAAGATCATGAATACGCTCGTTGATGTTGTCCCGGCGGCGACGCTCGACGAGATTGTGAGACTCACGACGGCGACGCTTCTTTGCGTCTTGAGTTTGACCAATGTCGACCTTCGCCGGAAGCGACGCATGCTTTGAGTGCATCACCTCGGAAATGGGTTGATGATGCATGGCTGCTGTGTGTGACGACTGTGTTGGAGAGTCCACCCATGACGAGTGAGCACTTCCAGGAGTGCCCTCCCACTGGCTCGACACGCTTGGTTTGTGGCGATGCATGTTTGTCATGATGGGTTGTGAAGCAAAGTGGCCCGAATCGGGAGTGCCTAGGTGAAGCCCACTCATTGCCGGAGTCTTTGGTGACATGGGCGTACGTGCGTCTGACCCAGTTCGGGTCATAGGCGCAGGTATGCGTCCCCTCAAGGAACTGCTTGGCATACCCGCGGGATAGGCCATACGCTGAGGAGTGTTCTGATACTGGTTGAAATCAAACCCATTTGGGTGGGCAAATGGACTTTGGATGGGGACATCGTCTGGTGTATTGGAATACATTTGGTTGAGATTGTTGTGGTTTCCAGACACGTGGCTGTTGTTTCCAAAGAAGTTGTCTTGGTGGGTGAAGCCGTCGAATCCTTGCTGGTGGTCAAAAGCGCCCAGGGAGTCGGCAAGTTCGTCGTCAGCAATCCCGGCACCGCCAGGAACGTAGCTGTTGGAGCCTCCAAACTGGCTGTTCATGTTGAGATTCCCGTTCATGGTGAGATCGGAAGGGTTGATGCCGCCCGAATTCTCGTGGGCGGAACCGAAATGTTGGTTCCCAAATGGCTGGTTCATATCGAAATTGTTGTTGGACATGAATCGTGAGTTGAAGTGTAGATCATCCACTTCTTCTTTGATATATGGTGTGGGAGATCCAGTCCCGGTCATGTTAAAAATATCAGCGTCTAGACTGTCGTCAGAGTGGGAGTCGAACTGGGGATCCAGTCTTGAAAAGGTCTTCTGGGGGGAGTAGGAAGAAGGAGGAGTAAAGAGGGCGTCCGCTTGAGGGACAGTTAGTATGCCTTCAAAGAGCATGGTAGGAATGATGGGAATGAGGATGATGGGGAGTGACAAGAAGGGATTGGAGAGCAGGAGGGGGTTGATATATGCGTAGAGATAGGCACACACACACACCGACATGAACACATTATGCATGTGCACAAAGGAGCCGTCGGTGGGTGATGTTCTCATGACAACAAGGGTTGGGGATGGAGGGGGGGGGGGGGGGGTGGCAGTTCCGGGGTGTGTACTTACTGGGCGCTGGCATACTAAAGGTTGCAGTGAGGAGGAATGTGGATAAGAGAGGCCGAGGGTTGGTATCGCCGGTCCCTGGGTCTCGTAGATCTGAAACGGCTTGTCTTCGATCGAAGCGAGTTATTGGAATGCACCCTCAGGCTTTGCAGGGTGATTGCAGCACGAGACGGCCTGTGACGCTTTAAAGGAGTTGGGCTGTGATTGCTGGGGGAGCACAAGATCTGGACCAGCAAGCTCTCGCTTGTTGGGGGGCGTGATATAAGAGCAAGCTCTCCGATGCTCGAGTTGGCAATGTTTGTCAGTCTGCCAAAGAGGCGTTAGTCGTGCAGGCCGCGAGAAAGATGGCGCAAGATGCTCACCAAACACAGCTACGGCGGGCGGTGGTGATCCCTGCGGTGTAGAAACAGAATCCCAGCGGGGCGGGTATTGGCAGAGAGTGTGTAGGGAAGGAAGGGTGGGGCGCAAAAGAGGACGCTCTAGTTGTCTCTAGTCGTCTCTAGCACGGTAGGATGAGGGGTGGAAGCGGGGCGGGTTTGAGGCTCGTGGCTGTGGTTCGAGGGGTGGGACTGTTGGCGGGCTGTCAGTGGTGATGGCCACAATATCAAATGTTGAGAGTCTGAAAGGATGGTTGCAGCAAGGTGTGGCGCACAGGCTCGTAACCATCCAGGCGAGGTTCGGGTGGACAGCAGCCGTCTGCACCCCAGTGTAGTGGGGACCCGTGGTACCAACGCCCGAAGAAGAGAAACCGTCACACAGAGACCGCTATGAGTGCCTCTGAATAGGTTTTGGCTGTTCGCCTCTGGATGTGTGGCTGTGCAAGGCGAGGGCGGCAAGCAAGACAGCGAGGAAAAGGAAGAAGCAGACGACGAAAAACAACAACAGAAGGGGAAGATGGTGAAGGAACGGGTAGGAAGGGGCGCTGGCAATGATAAAGATAGAACAAGGTGTTGACTCACTCGTTAGGGCGCGGTCTCACAGATGACAGGCGCGATGACTGCAAATGGAGGCAGGTGGGCAGCCTGAAAGCAGATATCGCAAACTGGCGGGGAAGTCGGCGAAAGGAGGTTCGGTGGGTGAGTTGAGAGCGGGTGGGGGTGAAGGTGAGGTTGGAGAGAAGAGTGGTGGAAGAGTGCGGATTGGGCGTTTTTGGTGGCACAGGTTTGTTCTTCTTTGACGGCCAGTCGGATCCGACAAGGAGGGATTGCTGGTCGGAGGGGTAGCGCGGGCTGGCGGCAATTGCAGGAGGACGTGTGTGCCTGCTGCAGAAAGGAGTCGCTGTGCGACGTGGAGAGAGAAGAGGAAGGATGTCGCAAGTGGAGCAGAAGAATTAATAGATGGAGATGATGGCTGAGAGGGTACGGCGGTACTGGAGGCTGTCGATCCGCGATGGCGGGGCGGATGGTGGGTTGTCTCCGGCGTTCGGTCAGTTTAGCAATGGGGGGAATTGACAGTGCATGCAAGAGCTGCACGGCGCCTGAAGCGGAACACGAGCAAGATGGGTGGTTCTGTGGCACGGAGACGCTGCTGGAGGTCTCAATGCGGGCCGCAGTCTGGGGAAGACCGACTGCAGCAGGAGGAGGAGGAGGTGGTTGGAGGAGTGAGGGAAGAGTGTGAGAGGGATGGTGGTGGGTGAGTTGGTCAAGTAGGATGGCGAACCGAGCCTAAAGTGCTTTGGGACGGTAGGATCGGTAAGTTCGCTCAGCGCTCAGCAGTGGTGAAGGGCAGCAGGGGGATTGGGGTCCCTCTTTCTCGCCGTCGGTCTGGGGGCTCTGAGTCTGGGGGCACGCAAAGGCGGTCAGCGAGCGGCAGAGCTAAGCTGCGACGAAGCGGAGCCAAGGGGCGTCTACGAGTCAATCAGCTTCGAAACTTTGACGATGTGCTTCCCTGCACGGCAATGACAAGCGAGAACGAGCTGCGGGCAACTGTTGCGCCCCCCTTCCGATCCAAAAAAGAAAACATGGTCAAAGGAGAAGCAAATAGAGAAGCAAGAGAGGATGACGTACGTACCGGCGGCACAGAGGCGTTGCGGAGTACGAGATGGGCTGCGGTTGTGGATGTGGATGTGGTGGTGATTGTTGTATGCGTACATATGCATGCATGTGTATGTATGGGCGTACAACTGGGGATGAGACGGGTGCTCAAGAGGAGAGAGTAAGTGTACTATGTGGTTGAGTTTGACGTTACAGACTGGCAGTGAGTGGTTGGCTCGGTCGATGGATGTGGGCACGAAGCATATTATTATACTGTTGCGGCTCTACAGACAGAGTCATTCCTCTCTCTTGCGCCCTCGCCATTATCCCACCCACCCACACGCAAGCCTACACACACTCGCAGCATCCATGATCCCTCTAAGCACCAAGTGCCCTGTTTGGGGGAGAAGCCAAGTGGGTGGGTGTGTGGCTGTTCCGCCATCCATCGTCCATAATAATCAAGTTCCTTCCATGATTGCCTCCGTCCGCGTTGCAGGCCTCCATCAAGGCCGCTCACCCATGCGCGCCGGCTTGCTTCCGCCTCAGAGCAAAGGTCACCCGCTGGGTGGTGGGAAAGAAGACGAGGGCAAGGTCTCAGATATCACTGCCAGAAACGCTCCGGCTGTGACTCACTAGCCATTTGGGATACCGATGCACTCGTAATCAGAAGAGCCATGGCCCGGCTCATCCGCCCGATCGTGCTGCTCTGCACTGCTGCTGCTTTGGGACCATGCTCACCAAAGCAACCCAAGGCCCGGCCTGCGCTGCTCAGCGAGCATGGGTGGTGGAGGTGGTGGTGGTGTGTAGGTACATGGAGTACCGTACGTACATCAATAATACACAAGTACAAGGCCATGCAGCCCGCTCGTTGCAGCCTAGCGGCAAATCGCCCAGTGCGAAGACGCATGTGCCCGGCGGTCCACCCCGGCCTCTTCTCCCACCCCGGCGGAACAGTCGACGTAGAGTAAGAGACGTGAAGATGAGAAACGCGCTAGTGCATCTTGATCCATCACTCCCCCAGCTCTAAACCAGACCGCACAACACACACACCCACCACAACCCCCCTCTCTGCATCCACACACACACTCACACGCACTATACCTTGATACCCATACCTGGGGCCCAATACCCATATCCGCCGCTATCGTAATCATCCAACCGCGCCCGCTATCCGCTTCACGCTTCACGCTACAGCCTGCGCTATACCCATCTCACCAAACACACCAAACATCCAATATACCACACCTTCTCCACTCGGCCATCATCCCCCACTACGCGAGCGCGACGTTGCTTCGATTCCCTATTACCTCAGGCTCTCTCTCGCCGCGCCAGCCACGGTCTTGTCCCCTAACGACGGCCTCTCCCACCTCCGTCCACCACCCCCCCCGGTCTGTCTCCTGCCTGCCCGCTGCCCTTCCCAGGAAGTCTACCTCGTTTTCGTCACAAGCCTCGCGCACCGGTCGCGTTGTCTAAGACCCTCGTCTGACATCTGTCATTGGACGTTGTCTATCAAACTGCGGAGCCCGCCTTGGGAGATCATCTGCACGAAATCCTCCGTTGCCGTGGTGCAGCCTGCTCCCTCTGTCCTACTCCGTCATCGACATATCCCTCACAAGCTCACAAGCCACACCTGCCCGCATCTGTCCACTCACACACCCGCACCCCTACACACTTAGCTTCGACCTTGTCGGGTTTAAGCTGGACGCGAACGATTTCGCCTGCTGAGCTTAGGTGCTTTCCGCATTTCCCAGGTTCGCATATCTCTGTGTCGCCTGCTGCGGCTTCTCTAAAAGCTTCTTCGGCGCTGTTGTATTCCGTTGTGCTGCCCTCACCAGCTCCTACCCACCCCATCTCTGTGCACAAAACCGGTCTTTAGCCGAGCAAGCCATCCTGCATCTCGTGTCCTTGACTAGAAACACTCGGCTGGACCATCGACATGGCGTCTGCCTCATTTCGGGACTCGATGAACTCGTTGGGCTGGAGTCGAAGAGATGAGGACATTCCTGTGAACACTGCGCCGCCCACCATCATGGGCAGGCTTCAAAACATGAACCCTTTCGGATCCGGAGGCTATGTTAGGCTTCCAACCAACGAGGGGCCCGGGGCACCTCTCCCGGCGCCCAGCAGAAGAGAGGAAGAAGAAGGGTGGTTTGCGCGTAAGTTCTCTTATCTTTTCATCCCTGATTCCTTCCGGTGGCGAGCACTGTCAAAGCTCTCTTTTCTTCACTGCCTCCTTCTTCTCGAGACCCTGTGGCTTTCTCCTACACACCTATGCAGGGCAGAGAACGAAGATCTCGATCTTCTATATATGCTCAACGCCATAGAGATCCTCGTGACTGTACCCAGAGCTGTTGCATGAAGCTAGTTTCAGAACCTTTGCACCAAACCCCCATTGTCTGCCTATGCGAGACAATCATGGAGAAGTGAAAGGCGCATGTTACCTTCTGGATTGCCAACTTGCAGCGAGTGGGTCCATCACCTGGTCTGCTTTGGCCGTTCCGCGATCGGCCGCATAACGGTGATAGAAGGGAGTTCCTGCGTGGATTCGTTCTGGGTGCAGGAGGCTTGCATATCCGGTTTTTACTTGTGTTGTTTGCACAGATTGGGGTTAACCATTTCATGTCACAGTTAGTCGCTGGGACCGCATGCTAGTATTTGGAGCGGTAAGTGGGCCTTGCAACTCTTGATTCGGAATCTGTGCTAATCATACATGTGTTTGGGGCAGTTTCTTGTTGCTTCTTTGGCCTTGTTCGCCATCTGTATAGGACTGATGTTCACTCCCATCCTCATCGCTCGGCCTAGCAAATTCGCCATATTGTAAGTGTGCAACCGTTGCTGTTCCCCTCCATCTGTATGCAAAGGCGTCAAAGGATTGTGCCCTGCATCGAGTGCTCGAAGAGACCCATGTCGGTTGCTGCAGAAAGTGTGGCACATCGCTTCGCACCCCAGCGCAACTGCGCACGGTTGTATGGTGTCTATGGATAGCAAATGCCCGCTGCGACGTCGAGTTTCTCCACTCGTCTACGACATGCAGACAATTGGCACTAACGAATGGATGCCGACGACATCTGAGCGTGCCACTCATGACCTTTGTAGCGACCCGAGAGATCTGCGTTAGACCCTTTGAAGGGATCATGCGGGTGCTTGCTCGGCCGGCTGCATCATGGAACCCTGTTTGATTCACCACATCCCCAGCACGATCTATCCGTACGGCTTGACAAGAGTTGAAGCTAACTGCTGTGGTCTGACTCAGGTGGTCGGTGGCGAGTGTACTATTCCTTATGGCTTGGGGAGTATTGATGGGTAAGTCGAAACCACGTTCAGACGACTGTCGGATGCCGCGCTAACACTGTCATTCCTCTTAGGCCCTACCGCATACAGTAAGCAGCCCACGACGGTGAAGGCCAACCTCTCAGCGCAACTACAAACCTGCTTACCATGTCTTCACTCTAGTCCAACATCTGTTGTCTGGGCCCAGATTGCCTTTTACGGCCGCTTACTTTGGCAGCATAGCCCTAACGCTCTATCTCTCTCTAGTGGTGAGTAGGATTCAATTCTGCCTCCCTGTCTGCACCTGCCTTCACATCCCTGCAGTGCCTCGTAGCCTTGCACGCGTACCCGTCCGATCCTTGTCGCTCTGCCCCTGCCCTTCCCTTCACCTTCCCCCCCACGCAAGTCTTATCGATTGCTGATCATGGTCCGTCCACATGACAGGTGAAGAAGTTCCCTCTCACCTTCATCGCGACCATGCTTCAGCTGGTGACGCTCCTCTGGTACATCGTGTCTTATTTCCCTATGGGCACCTCGGGCCTGCGCTTTGCTGCGCGCTTTGGAGGAAACCGTGTGGCGGCCTGGATGAACAACTAGACAGCAAAGTTTCGCTTCTACCGCCGTGCCTGCGGTGCAATGGCTATTCGAGTACACCATCTACCCAAGGGAGTGTGTGTTGACGCGTCACGCCGCGCGCCGATGTACTGCCCCAGTCTACATACGAATGGATATGTATAGACATAGATTGTGAGCCTTGGCCGTAACATTCTCACCCTGTTTTCTTTCGGCGAAAACATTCGAGACTCAACTACCGGTTCACGCCTTGTCACGATTCATCGTCACGCTCTCTCAAGATTAGAGCATGTGTGTCTGTGGGGAGAGTGTACTGGCCTAGTTGAACCGCGGAATCTCTTCCAAGATATTGTTGGTAGCTGGAAAATGGACGGACGTACATACATTGCCATGCAGGTGGATAATTAAGTGTTTAGCATTTCTGCATGTCTTTCTTCTCCACTTTGTTTCAATCTTGCACGCATTCATCCACTTGATGGAGCCGCAGTGGTGGGCTTCATGTCTCAAGAGTTGATGCAGCTCTCACACAGAGACATGTTGTGGGCATGATGAAGTGATTGACAGAGGGTCCACATCCCGCTGCATGGCCGTCGCCTCCCGTAACCTGGTGGTGATGCAAGGCGTCGGCAGGCCGCTCGTGATGGATTATAGGCAAGGCATCTTCCAGCTATGGACAAGGGGCCAAGTCGTTTAGCTGCTGCCTGTCTTCTTACCCGTTTCCCTGCTTTTGTCGGGCAGGACCCGATGGCGAGAGCACCGCGTGGCTTACTTAGCTGCTTTGGTTGGGCCTGGAGAGTGCATCTCTGCTGTAGCGCAGCCACACTTGTCTGTAGTGCATTATTCCATTCTACCACCTCGACTCTCCCGCCCAACTATCGTACAATGGATGACGGGCAGCAGCAGAAGCATCAAGAAGCGGGCGTAATATTAGGTTCGCTTTGCGCTTGCCAGCATGACCCAACCCAAAGGGAGCCAAACAGGCAGCGCCAAGAGCATGTATGTAGCAGAGAAAGACAAGGAAGAGAATGTACAGGGATATCATCTACGGTCCTTCAAGCTCATGTTTATTCAACAGACGGTACGGGAGTTGGTTTGGTGCAGTTGCCGTACAGTGAGCAACATCAGTTTTGACAGAGTACTTGGGCTTGATGTCGTCGTTTGTGGCTACACGAAGAGTAACCGGCCGCCTCCTCCGCATTTCGGTTGCAGCAGCCGGACCGCGATCTTCAGTCCATGGAACAAGCATCCATCTGTTTTACAAGGGAGCCAACCTGCATTTCCATTGTCTCCATTGTCGCTCTGGGCGCTAAGCTGCATCGCCCTTAGCCTCGGCGCTTCGACTGCCCATGTATGCACGCACTGCGCTCGCTGTGTACTGTGTAGCATGCACCCGCTGCCGGCGCTGTCTCTGATGGCTGATCCATGATGGACCCATGATGGATCGTCGTCGACGGGTGATCATCCTGGACGATTCCTTATCCTTATCCTTATCGATACCTAGATTGCTGTGAGGTTACACCGTCCGTCCAACTACTGTACGATAGAGAGATGGTGCTACACTCGTTAGCTCCGGTGTTACTTCTGCCCCCAGGCCATCAGACGTCCTCCCGCTTCATTCCATCTTCACCGCATATTGCCTCCTCCAATCCTCAACCTATCCGAATTCTTGGGATCTTCTTCTCCTTGACGCGTTTCAGACGCTGCCACTCCGACAAACGGCCCTTCTCTCTGCCATCGAGATGGTCGCATACCGACACCGGTGCCGAAGTGGGGAGACTGCGCTATCAAGCTTTTGAAACGCCCCTCTACTAACCTCACACTATCTTCCCTTGGCTATTCAACTCACCGCTGTCCAGTTGACAGCGGGGGTAGAAACACACCGTACAATAATCAGCATCATCATGTTCAAACGTCAGCGACGTGATATGCTCTGAAGACACGGGGTGTATGGCGTAGCATCATGATCAGCATCATCTTTGAACTTCACCTACCTACATGGGGGTTCATCATTTTCAGAATCATCATCATCACCATCACTACCGACACCATCGTCCAACATAACACTTACCGCGGACAAACGGGCAGAATGTACTACCGCCCATACATCTCAACACACCACCAAGACAATAACCGCTGCAATGTCTCCCATATCCTGTATCCCCATCCCATTCTCCTCTCCCTCCGTATCTCTCCGTTGCCCCTCATCTATCCCTTCATCTACCTACCCACTTTTCCCCCTCACTTCCCCCGAGCCCGGAAACAAAACCTAGGCATGACGCAGGGTAACTATGTCATGATGCGCGTGTGCGGTGATGGCATTTACCCTTCCGTTCTTCGTTTCCTTTGCACTTTGAGGGTGGGTGGGAGTGTATACACATTTGTTCCCGTGGCGCGAGCCATATGTGATCGGTGTGCGGTGGGGTGCTATGCTGCTACGGACCAAAGAAAAGAAAGGGATGGAAAAAATCCTCCTTATATTACCCTATCTTCTTCCCATTGCCGCTCCACTTTGTCGCCGAGTGACGACGGAGATCTCACCAGTGAGAGAAGCAGAAGTAAAGAACGCGGCAAAGATGGACACTGTGAGTTCGTCGTTGAGATTTTGCGTCATTCAATCTGCATTCATGAGTGGAGATATCATACACCTACCGTAATACTTCCATCCGTGTGAGTATCCAGAAGGATAAACTAAGGCTAAGTATTGTCATTCCTGTCTATACTCCTGTTCATGACTGATAGCGTTTATCTGCTCACTCACTCTCTTCTCTGCTATTCCTTCTTTCCCCGCTATTGATCACTATATTGACGGCAGATATAACTCTCTCAAACGCAACGAAACCAGGCAGTGAACCAGGTTGAAAAACAGCAGTCAATCAATCCGCCAATATTCCTCTCATCCATCAAGAACACACTGTCCCAATACCATACCATACCATACCACACGCCGCCCAAACCCAAACCCAAACGCATACCCCCAAAGCGCAACGCCACAAAATGGAAAGTGAAGACGACGACCGCTACCACACTACCACACCCCAGCCCGCGCGTGCTGCGAACAGATGCGCAAACACCCTGCAGCAACGTAGATCCCATGACCTGCCCTAACCACACACCTCCTGCCTCCCCTGCCCCCAATCACGACCCTCTACCCCCCAAGTTCCAATCATCGCAATCTACTTACTTTCCCGGGTACCCTAGCAGCTGTCCTCTTCATTTATCGATTACAGAAGAAACAGGATTAGGTGCTTCCCAGGATACTATGAACCAAATCTATCCACACGGTAATAAAACCTCGAATGGAAGCGGGGAATGAAACCAAGTACAAAACGAGATTAAGAGACTGAGCAAGGAGAGAGAGGTAGAGATGGTGTGCAGATGCATATACGCGCATGCACATATTCGTATATACGAGGTCGAGCTAAGCAGGGGAAGGGGGGGTGGTGTACCAATGCGCGCATGTTGAATGGCCAGGATCACTCACTCAGGTATGGTATGGTGTGTGGGTGGGTGTGCGATACCCTTGCTCTGCTACTTCCTACACTGCAACAGACAGATGCGAAGATGATGGTACTTTGCATGAACGCGGGAACATGGGGTTGATGGGTGGGTAGGTTTTTCTCGACCTCCCCGCTTTTGCATATGTGCATAACCGCTGAACGGACGCTTGGACTCTCTTTTTTTGTGGTTCTGGTTCTTTGGATCCTTCGTCTCTTTGGGGCCTTTTTACCTTCCTGCGTTGATAGCGGGAGGATTACATAGCGGGAGATAGACGGAGAGGGTATAGTAAGGGTTTGCTATTATTGAGTGCGGGGTGAAATTGATGGAGGGACTTGGGACGGCAGTGGAGGTATATGTTATTGTTGTGTGTGGATGTGTGTCTAGAGCGAGACCCCCAATAAGTTCTACTATGTCGAAAACCGGAGTTGGGAAGGTTTATGTGGTTTACAACTTAATTGTGGAAAGCTAAACCCAGCAGCGAAAGCGAAAGCGATGGAAAGAGAAAAACTACAGTTAGGTCGGAGATGTCGCAGAACAGAACCGCGACAAAGTACATACGCGAGCGTAGAAAGGTCAAGATAGCATGTACATTGAAAAGAGTGGATCCTCGCGTCAACCATGTGTGTGTGTGTGAAAGAGGAAGGAAAAGGATGGGACGCAAAAAGACCCCCATTCGGAGTGACAGTTACTTCAACCACCTACTGTTTGCAATCTAGTCGGGAAACCAGACAAAATGCGGGGTTGGAGACTATGGCAAGATCGTCTTTTTGGATATTCAGGCAAATACGAGCGAGAGAATTCTAATGCCGCCACCACCACCACCAGACCCATGTTTTAATCGTGGATGGCGCGAGTGTGGCGAAATAGTGAAATCAATATCTTGGGGATTCTTGATACTCGTTTCTAGCTTTGCTGCTTATCTAGAGTTTGAGTGTGTGTGCGTGTGTATGGCTGTGTATTTGCGAGGGAGGGTGTGGGTGTGTGTGCTTGGAAGTCAAAGTATTGATAACATGTACCCTTGTAGACTTGCAGTGGTTGCTAAGTACTAAGTATGTGGTGGTGGGGCCAGGATAAGGGCAATGGACAATGTAGCAAAATCGATATGGGTTGCCTACGTACGTATCTACGATACGATGGGATTTTCCCATCTCAGCACACCCATTTCTCTCTCCACCTACGAATGTTTCGTCATCTACTACGTACTCCTGCCTTGAAAGCCTCAGCTCAGCTGCGAATTGTCTCCGAATCTTCTCTCGCACACTCGCCTGCTGACGATTGAGTTTCTTTGCTTAGAGTTGCGCACGAGCTTCCGTTTTCGCCTCCTCCTTTTCGGGACACCGATTAGGTTCTGGAGGGATGGGTGGATGGGTGATGGCGATGGGAGCGACGAGCGGTGATGCTGATGGGTTTACCAGGACCTCTCATGACGACGACGATGACGGCAGCATCTCAGGAACTCAAAAAAGTGGTCATTCGACTGAACAATGTTCACATGCGATTTTCTGCTTGTTGTTGCTGCGAACTTTACTCCTCTGTTTTTGATTTCGCATTTCGTCATCGCAAAGGCGCGGCTTAGCATGACCTGGTATGATCTCTTGCCTCTCTCATGTTGGTGTGAAACGGAAGCAGGCTGTGCGGAGGTGATCGTCGAAACTCAAGCACACACACCAAAACACCAACCCAGTTTGATGTTCATCGGATGTTGGTAAATCATGGCAGAAGCCGAGTCCTTCTCCGATCGTCTCCGCTGCGCGTCCGTTATTGTTATTTGGCGGGAAGCGCGCCCCGGGTCCGGGGTGGTATGGTTATTAATTTCCTTCGCAATGACGACAAAATATCGCAACAGGAAATATTAACATACGATGCATATGAATTAGGGGGCAATTATGGTGTTCGGAACTTTACGTGCTCAAAATCAAACGTAAAGCTTCAAGGCTGTAAGAATATCCACGACTACTACACACTCAGTTTAAAACCTAGTGCAATAGCTATGCACTCTATCACTTCGTCACATCTATATTGTTCATCAACTAAATAGACATGATATCAGTGTCCAAAAATTCCCAAAGAATATTGACCAGTACATTGATGGGAGTTACGGAAGCGAATTCCGGCCCTGCGCTCGCCTTAGCAGTTTTCCCTGCGCAGAACGCGCATAGCGAGCGAATCGCGGTAGACTCATGGTAAGACGGATTTCCAACGCGTGCAAACTATATGATTACTGCGTAAGCGTATACGTACTTATGCACCGTATCGCCGAACGTCAGACGCAACGGGCGGCAGCGGACGACGATCGATAATGCAAGTGTTTATTGCATCGATGTGTATGATGTCGCTGCTTACCTTGCGTGTACGCTGCTGCGCAATTGTCTTGTTGCTCGCCTTGCTTACTTTTGGCGTAGCCGGATATATATCGTCCTTGTTCTGGATTTGGGGGATTAGATTGTCGGGGGGTTTGGATACGATTCTATGTGCTCGCGTATTGGATGTTCCTAAAATAGATGATAGCGTATCGGTGGCCTCGATATTGAGTCTGACATTCTATATGGTATGAGTGCATCCATAGTGGATGGTCTCTGCACTTCAATAACAAGTGAGAAGGAATATGCGTGGGCGGTTTAGGTGAGATAAGGTGAGATGCCCAAAGAGGAAACTTGAAATGGCGGCCGACTTCAACCAGAAGCGGTGTGCGGTCGCGGTGGCCCTGATACACTCCAAAACGGAACCGTTTCTTACGAGAATGATGCGCGTCTGCGGGGATTTTGCCTGCTCGTTTGGTGTTGGATATGCACACGTTACACCCGCTCCATCTCGTCTCACCTCATCTCTCATCTCTTCGTGTCTCTCAAATCTAGGTGCAATGTGCATGGGAAATCCTGGCCTCGCAACAAGCCCCCACTCGCGAACAAGGCTACAAACAAGTTTACTAATCAAATGTGCATTTCTGTCAGACTGGGAAGCAACATATCCCTGCGTAGCTCAAAAATCGAGCCTGAATATTACCGGTCAAGGAGATCGCTAGGTTGGAGGTGTTGGTACCAGTTCACAATAAGGCTAACACTCTACGGCCTTGGGCTTAAAGTGAAGGGGTTTCAAACGTACGTATAGGCGATGTCCGCTGCAAAATGGAAGATCCGGCGCACGCCGCTTGTCACTCCCTTGCGAGTGGTCTAACGCTCCCATAATTCTAGTGAAGGCACGAACGGTGTGAGATGAGAGTGCGGCGAAGCAAAGGATGATAGGGCTGAAGGAAGCAGTATCCACTTGTCGCGTGGCGTAGGCATTAATAATTGGGCTTGTTATTAATGCGACTGTGGTGTTATTTCGGATCTCGTGCCGAGGCTTTCAGCTATGTAATGATGAATATCATGGGCTGGCCGGAGTGCTCAGTGAGCTGGTGCAGGGTGTCATGGAGGGAAGTATGTTGGGCGAGAGAATGATCGGTATGATGCGTCTGTCGCTGTAGATTGCATACGATGTTAACGAAGTCGAGCGCTAGGTGGTGAACGTGATTATGACACACCGCCTTACATCTATGCCGAGGCAGCCGGAGGGGTTCATATTGGTTGGCACTGATATTAGCTTTTCGGATACTGTGAGGTTTTAGAAAAAAAGGCTTCGGTCGCGTTCGGACTGGGCTACTGGGAGTGTAGGGCAGGCAGGTCTATCTTGACAACTACTACCATGCACCAGTCAATCTCACAATACTGTCTTTGCACACCCCAAACGTGACTGTAGATTGATATACGATATTACTCAGAGTTTAATATAGAACTATGATCCAGTTCAGAGTAACTTCGCTCGATGCCTTGAAAGAAACCTTAGAGTTAACTGTTTATTGACATGATTTCTAGAGCACAATTTCGATAGCTTTACTATAGACACATTATCACATTTGATGTTGATTTCACTGAGAGACTGGTTTGATATATCTGAGCCATCTTACATAGTGATGAGGAAGAGAGGGGCACTAGAGAAAGTTGAACTTATCAGTGGACATTCTTCGTAGTAGTATCTTTTGGATAGATCCCGTCCTTAGATTTTCCCGGTATATCAAACCAACTCACTTCTTTCTTCGCAAATTATCTCGTATGCCCACTTATCAGATCAACAGTCAAGGTTGAGGCTGAGATGGGCCAGCCAACACAAACACAATGGGCATCAACAGAGTTCGGATGACTCTTCACATACGATCCCCTCAAATTTCACTATATCGTCTGATAATTGTCTTGAGAATATCATTGGATCTCTTAACCTGAGTAACCCTGAATCGACCGAGTGCAATCACTAGTCTGCTCATTCAATTTAGCATATCGAGGCTACATGAAATGAGCCTATCTTACTCAACGGAAAGCAGAAATAAACCTTTCTACTACTAAGAGCTGTCGTGAAAAGGCCTGAACTCTAAATTGACTTCAGCCCGAAGAAGGCAATGCTATCTATTCAACTCTGTCCCCAATTCTCATCTTAGATACATACCTGATTGAATACCTCAGTCCCCACATATATCATTCACTTTATCAACTGCTTCCTCGCTTTTTGAAACATTGGTTCTGCTTGCTTGTCGTTGTCTTCCCACTGGCACCATTGGTATTCATCGCCGTCAGCTAAGAATTGGCGATGTCTTGCGTAGGCATCGGAATCTGCATATTCTAGCTCATATCTGGTCACAGTCTTCAATATGGTTTCGATAGATTCGCAGTCATCAGTCCCATATCTTTCAACTTTCCAGTTCTGTATCATATTCGCAATGGTTCGATGTCCGTTGCACCATGCTCGATACACTGATCGCCGATAGTTGGGGTTAGTCTTGCCTTCCACATTGGCGCCTGCTTGTAGTAAATACTCGACCATAGTCAGACGGCCATTTTCTGCTGCTCCCTCGATTGCTGTTCTGCCTTCATGATCTCCTGGTGGCTCGTTGATGTTCACCCCCAACTTAAGGAGAATGATCAGATTTTCGAAGTTGCCATACATGGCAGCAAATTGGGTAGCAGTTGCCCCACGAGAAAATGGTGGTATGGCAGATGGTTCAGCTCCATGCTGTATTAGAAGCGCTAGCAAATCCCCTGTCGAGCAAATTGCGGATTCCTGAAGTGCAGTATGAATAGGATAGAGACTAGTCACTGACATAGCGTTGGGGTCTGCGCCCAGGCTGAGAAAGTATCTTGCAGATTTTTCGTCTCGGAGTCTCACAGCGTGTTGCAGTAGTGAATGGTCTTCCGGTGGTATCCAGTTTACATCCAGCCCCTTGGGGATCAGTTTGGGGATCATCTCGCGAAGATCTTCCGAGCTATTTCTAGCTGAAAAAAGAGCAAGTTTGCATGATGAAAATAACGCTGCCTTCCACAACTCCTCATCTTCGGCGTTACGCTCAAACTCGACGCAAGCAGCCAACAGTGTATCAAATATCGCTACGGTCACCGTTTCCTTCCTTTGGGGATTTGCTGTCAAAGCAGACCATGCATTCTGGTCAAAGGGCGCTCTTCGATGATAAATGGCGGTAAATCTTTCGAAAAGTGGAATATTGTATGGTTCATATATCTTTACCCCTGCATCGATAAATGTTTGCAGCATATCATAATAGCCTTTGGCACAGGCAATTGCCAATCCCGTAGCGATATAGCCGCGGGGAAGAATTGCAAGTGTATTGCATGCTTGTTCAAGAAAATCTTGTAAGAATACCAGATCATGGCAGCAAACAACCGCACACAGGACCTCAGTCGAATAAGCCACTGCTGAATCAAGGCCTTCGCAACGTTTGATGATATGAAAGCCATCGTGGTAGCCAAATGCGAGTATACAATTAGCTAGAACTGCGGGTAGAATACTGGCCGTCGACAAATACTCTTTCATGACTGTTTCAACCAGTTTTAAGTTGCCTCCATCAATTGCCCACCGAAGTATTTTAGATTCAGTGATAGGCGAAAGCGAGGGTTTAAAATTGACGTTATGTTGGCGAAGCTTTTCGAACAGTGCTGAACTCCCTGTTTCAAGCACTATTCTCAAAAGAGGCCGACCAATCACCTGATCTAGTTCATCGTCGGTTTGATATTCCGTAGCCGTTCCAGAAGCAGTATATAGATCTACATCTGCACCTGCTTGGAGAAGATCGTCGACTATTGCCTCATTTCTTCGATAGACTGCAATCTGTAGAGGTGAAATGAAATTGCAGCATTGGTTAACATCGACTCCCCTCTCAATCAGAAATGCCACAGTGTCTGTGTCATCTTTTGCAGTTGCAAGGTGAAGTAGCGCCATTCCTCGAAAGTCCAGTACTGTTCTTTCTAGCTCGGAGACATTCAGGTCCAGGTGTGTCTTCCGTTTTGTAACGGCAGAAAGATTTGCTCCCATATCGCACAATCTCTTGATCCGGTCCATATCTTGTGACATGTAAGCTGCAGCGAGTACACTTCCATTTTCTTTACGTTCAATTGCGTTGATATCGAACTCGTATCCCATGCATCTTGTGATGATATGATACGTATTGTAGTTCTTTTGAGCAACAGCAGCTTCCAGCAGAATCCAGGGATTTATCTGCGCTTGAGTATACATACTGGGGGCTTGATCGAGCAAATGTTGGAAAGTGTCCATATCACCGTGAAGGACCGCAAAGCGTAAAACTATCATGGTGATGTGAGGGGTTTCACTTGGAGACTGGGGCCGATGAACGAGAAGTCTTCGTAATATACTGAACTTTCCGAGACTCGCAGCAAGCTCTAATAAGTTTTCAACTTCGTAATTGTGCAACCTACGGCCACATATGTATTGCGTTGTAATACTTGTTTCGTTACCGTTTGCACCATTCTCAAGCAAGAACTCGACCAAACTCTCGTTGCCAGTTTCAATAGCAAACTGCAGTGCAGTTACGTTCCGTGGCAAAAACTCCATGGTGTCGATTGGAGCTTGGATGTCGTATCCGTTAACGAGTATCATTTTTAGCACATCGAAATTCGAATCCCGTAATGCAGGAATCCAAAGCTTTTCCAAGAACGCATGTGCGACAAGAAGCTTTTGATCCACCAATGACTGGAGCAATGAACGATTCTGCTTTACGCGAAGCAACTCTACGATTGCCGCTCCAGTAAAATGAACTTCGAAGTTGTTTGACACAAGGTTCATTGTGTGTTTTAGAAACTCCAGCTGAGTGTTCCTCGTTGCCAAATGTAAAGTCGCACCGACGTCGATCTCTGAGGTGGTGTCACGGCATGGTGGTAAGTAACGTTGTGGGTTGGTACATGCATCATGAATGTAAAAATCTACTAGATCATTGGAGGCATATAGCGAACAGAAAATCATCATAGACCATGCGGCTAGGGGTGATTCACTTGATGCTAGAACAGTGTTCTTGTTGCCATTGGTCCCGATGTCCGTTGTAGATGAGCGATCGTTGTGCTCTTCGGTTGCAACAAGCAGGCCATGATGTTCGAGACATAATGATTGCATGGAAACAATGAACTGATTCCAGGGCGTTGTTTCAGCCAGAATCAACAAGCCTTCCTCGGACCATCTCTGCTGTATTTTTCCTGGACATCCAAGTGGGAATTTCGCCGACCCAACAGTGATTACCGAAGGTGACCCTGGTGGGGTAAACAGTTGTATCTCCGTTGATTTAGGTAAGGGCGCTCCGTTTGTAAGACGGCCAGGTCGATTTAGACGATTGAAACGGTCCATTGCTGTCTCATACCCATGCCGTGCTATCTCTTTTCTGACCTTCCGGTCTTGAACCATCTTGCCTCGTAACATCACTGCGGTTTGGGATCCGTGGAGCGCTCGGTCTTGGTAGCATGAAGCTATGATTTTCCAGTCCTCTGCTTTGGAATATTTCTGAGCACCCCAAGCTTTCAGTCTTCTTTCGTACTGGCCCTTTCTAACAAAGTATCAACAACATGTGCTGAGAGTGTTTGCCCTTCTGACTTACGTGCGCTTGAAACCGGCAGAGGTTTCCATAAGAGTGATTACCTGAGCGAGAGGTAGGTTTTCATGCTGATAGAGACGCATTATCTCCTCCTTGTGCTCATTCCACACGCAGTTTTCGATGTCTCGTTTCGACATGATGGCTGTCTACCCTTTTGCCACAGACGGGGGGGATAATAGATTGTGCTAGAGAACACTTTTTGATATTAATAAAAGGTGGAAATTCGTGTGTTGCAAACAAAATTGAGGGTCGTTTCAGGTAGTGATGCAGTTATGTCGGATGATGAAGAGAGCGAAAAGGTTGAGATATATATCCATTTTTCAGCCTGGTGAATACGAGAACACTGCAGGGTGCATTGCAGCTTCATTGGTCGGGTCCAAAATCTCGATTTGTTGTTGCGCCCCGAAGCACGGGTACCAATGATTGGCTGATTCCACAATCTACATTTTGATGCATATAAGAGCGCGAAATGGTTATGCACGAAGCACTTGGCAGGTGGGATTCGTTACCATTGGCGATAGCCAAAATCTTAACTTTTCATCCCCAGCCACAGCAGTAACATCCACAGAAATGGCATTTTACGTAGATTGTTTCCTTTGCAAGAACAAATCATATCGACCACAGCCTACACCGGTCCATGAGTGTCTGATTTTATATGCAGTCAGATCCAACACCATCGCAGAACCCACTGATATAAGGCCTAATGACCAACCCAACAACTTAACTTCTAGATAGACATCAATTCTATATCTTTGATCCAACTCTTCTGAAGCATTTAAGTGAAGCTGATATTGGCTCATGTCACTTGGGTCTGAGGGCATTGTGGCCGTTGTTGCCGTAGCAGTGGCCTGTCCACCTGCAGCTTGGGTCATCTACAAAGCATATCGACATCGTTCTTCAAGCTCAGATCTCAAAATGATAAGTTTCCTCAAAAGCCTGTTTTATTGAAACTGACACATTTGAACGCCCTTCTACCAACCCATGAGACGTTCCGACTCGATCATCTCCCAACGGCTGCTCCTGCGCCCCAGCCAACTATGAGGTGCTTGAGATGTAGCACCGCTTCTGATGAGTCTTTAATGAGAATCGGTAAGTTCATTGAACATTATTCATGTAAATACATATTGAAGACGCTGACCTGTGCGATAGTGGGTACACTTTCAACCTTGGGCTATGCACAACCAGCTGACGGGCATTTGGTACCAGTCCACTTTTGAAACATCCATCACGCGATCAAATGTTTTTCAAATTTTCAACACTTAGTCTACGCGATATTTTGGAAAACTCCCAAGGAATCGATTGGTGGACTATTTCAGCTTCGACATGCTCCACTAGCCAGCCGGAAATCAGCGAACATATGAATCGTTGATAGCAGAGCAAATGGCTATGTGTTTATTCTATGATTCAGTTATCACACTCATTCTGTAAAAAATGTCCAACAATCTTGGCGTCTCTCTGTTATTCCTTGTTGCTCACTTTAATTTTAAATGTAGTGCATTTATGCGGTGGTATGCGGCGAATGTGATATCATGGTGATCAATCGCGCGTCGCGCAAACGGAGCAAACGGAGGGTATCTGATCAGGCAACATTGTGAAAGTATGATGTTGGAAAAATGTATGAATCCATCTAGTCTTTCTCCAAACGATCCCTTTCGTCCTCCACACCCACACGATCTCCTCGCCCCCATTTTCTCATCAACCTCGGATGCTTCTCATCGCTGATATCCAACACACCAATCTGGTCTCCAAATTCGGTAACAGGCACGCTCTCGGTTGTCCGCGACCAAGTGCCCAAGCCCAGACTTTCGTGCGCCATGCGCTGAATCTGTAGCGTTGATCCCGTCTGCCATTCTGCACGTGCGTACATAAATTTCCGGCTCCGTCGCAAATGAGGAATAAGCTTGGGTGCAACATCAACGAGGCGGTCCAGGAAAGTGGAGAGGACAATGAAGATAGCGCCGATTATAAAGATGACGACGATATCGAGGATGCTGAAGGAGTAGTGCTGAGGGCTGCGGATTTTCTGTTGGGACGAATCAGAACTGCTGTGATTTTGGATTCTCATTTCCGTCTGTGAAATTAAGAGAACTTACCTGGCTCTTACATAGAACTTCATTCCTTCCATATGCTGTACTCGCTACTGATCTCGTCCACGGCTCGCCTCTCGCATACGCCAATACGACCCTTTGAGTTGCAGCCAAACTTGCTTGGAATACGTGCTCGAGCTCGTGCTGCCACCAGTCTTCTGCGATTTTGGCCCCCTGCAATGCCCCCGACAGTGTGTTGCGTGCCAGTAAGCTCAGGCTCCCTTGGTCAGTGTAAAAGAAATCCAAGCTGCCCGCGTCGCCAAAGGTCAGCAGTGAAAACAAAGGCCTCAGAATCGCGCGATCCTTTTCTTCAGGCCAGAGTTTAGACAGCTGTGTCTCAGCGTCTGCGACATTCCACAACATGCATCGGTCCTCTGAATCGGGGAGACAAAATGTACGAGTTGTAACACAGCCCATAACGCCAACAGGCTCCTCGGAGCTGTAGCCAGTGATGTTGCTCACCCGAACTTGTTTAGCAGCGCCTAACCAAGGATCGGTTGATTCCTCCAGATTCACAATCGTGGATTTCTCGAGGAAGACGAGAGATAGTAACGAGGATGGGGTTTCGAGTTCGGGAATGATGTCGAAGTCTTTCTGAAAGTATGGACTTTGTATTGGACTAGCGTTATCGTTAGAACCTGCGAGGCCCGTAACCGAGCAGAGTTGGTGGTAAGGTACTCACGTAGTTAGGTAGTTTCCATGAGCTACATCAGTTGAGGATCGAAATTCTGGTATCGAGTACAAATAAGACCCAAGGCTTGAATTGGCTTTGCTGGTTGCATACTTATAGCCGATCAGCTGTGCCGGACCGCCTGCACTATCATTGTATCTTTCCGAATAACCGTCGGTCTTCAATGGGCCGCAAGCAGCTTGATGGCGGAACTGAAAGCGCGGTCCTGCATTCAGACCAAGATGATCGAGACTGTCGAGCTTCCCGGTGTCAAACTCCAAGTTACTAGTGTTGCTTTTACAAACTTTGCTGTCGAATGGGCACCGTGTGGCTCTGTCAATATTATAAGGTAGCCTTACTTGAGTGAATGCTCGGCATTCTCGAAGGCTCGATGCGTTTTCTCTCCGGTAACAGGTTGATGCTAACGTTATGGACTCGAGCGAGTTTTGCGCCATGGCCATAACGTGCTGCGGGTCCCATCGATAACCGTAATCTTGTGAATAGGATACCGTGTTGGGCTTGATGATACCACAATCTCTCCCGGAAACCAGCACGTCATTACCCTCCAGAATTGACCGATCGATTGCTCTAGAAGAAAAGATACCTTGAAAATCCATCAGTTTAGTGGCAGCACAGAAAGACGGCATATATTGGTACGTACCTGCCGCAACGAAAGCGATATAAATAACAGCAGCGAATGTTGCAACTGGTAATATTCTCAGACTGACTTTCTTTGCTCTGTGTCGCCAGGCATGGTTCGCAAAGAGAAGTTCAAGCATTGTATCCAGGGCAAGCTCGATGTTCCGGAGGGAGGACTGTCTCTGATGGTATATACCGTCCACGTCGGTATCCCTCGAGAGGTAAAGGTGAAGAAAATAACGACAGATCCGCCAGAATGAACGACCAGTTGCCGTAACGTAGAGGGCAAGCATCGCAATGAATATTGATCCGGTCTGGCGGTTGACCGTCAATGTGGCACCTGCAACCTTTCCCATAGATTTGTTAGACCAGAACCCCAAATGAATGTCATCCTCCCCAGAACCTCTCAATTGCACCGGATCCATTGCTACTGAGGACGTCGTCAAGGTCTGAGGAGCGAAAGTGACGTTTTAAACATCAACCAGAGAAAAGGAGTAACATTATGCATGATGACGTGATTTGTTTTATGTAAAATCGAAGACTATGTAGCATAACCTGTTAGCTATCATTGTGATCGGGCTTGGTACGGAATGCATAAGAAGCTCTGGGGCCAAAATACAATGGTATATCCTATAATAGGTCTGGCCCCTCGCTCATGATAGGCTTTGCGGACTATAGAGGGGGCCCTGACGCTAAACCTTGAACGGAGAATTGAGAACAAAAAGAGAACTGTACAAGGTAAAACCCTCGCAAAATTGAAACAAAACAGCTGATTTCTTCAAGTTGTATAAATCTCGAGTCATTCATTGGAATAAAGTTCTTCAGTAGTCAATGAATGCTCTTTGTTCCATTCCTGGCGGCAATGGAAACACGTCGACTGTAAGTGAAGTGCCCTCGGCCAATCTCTTAATATTTGTCGCATTTTTGCGATTGATGCTGCAAATACAATAAGTGCACGAGTAAGATCCATTTCTGGGGAGAAGTAGGTATGGAAAATGGCCAAAATATCATGCTGGATTGATAATGTCTCGCTCAATCGATACGTCAATCTATTAGGAATGATGATGCCGGCTGATGAAACGCAGACTATCAGTGGCATAATATCTACAGGAAGCTTCAGTTTCATTCTCTCAAAATATCTGGATTTCTACTTTTGAACTGAACTCTACCACGTATGGTATATTGTAGATAGGTGCTCGGACAGATAACTGTGACATATTCCTTCCCTCGGGATTGCCCCGTACCATAAGGGAACGGTAAGGCGATAGATAGACTCAACATTGCTCGAGCAGATTTTCAAGCACAAGAACCTTGAGTGGTCACTGTTCCTTCTACTGCCATGCTATTGTACAATATTGATTGATGGGTGTAAAGTCTATGTGAACTGCGCCATTCCCTAAATTGATTAGTGTCGTTCGTTGTAGATCCTCAGGCTTCAAATCGAAAGCGAGAAAACTAGTCCAGGATGGTTTGCAATGATAGAATTGGTGAGCCACATTCGTGTATCGAATGACATTAGACAACCTGGGCACAAATCCCATAAAAGCTGACGGAGCGATTAGAAAGCCATTCACCCCGCCAACTTCTCCACGTGCTCCCCACGTCGGGCCGACCAATGTTCCTTGCAAACCTCATGGCTGCTAACCGCACTCTGCTAAGCTTGGAAAGCTACCCCTCCCGACCTTCATCGGCAGTTGTAAAGTTGACGCCAGAACGCTCGCGGACGTCTACGCGTGTAGCTCGTTGTGTCTAGGCATGTCATTGCTATTCTTGGAGACTGTGCTGGTCAGTCTCGAGCTCTGAGGAGCCCACTGTTGTTTCGAATTCCGTGTAGGAGTGATGGGTATCGTCTGACCGTGCCCTTAGGCCCCACCATGATGGATCCCTTCTCATGATACTTGGACGCCCAGTGGAGTGCAAGTGATCATGGAACCTTGGCTAGATGTGGGGTTGCCTGCGCCTTTCCTTCTCCATGGATAAAAGACCCTATCTGCTCAAGCTTATGCGTAACCTATCTTTCCCAATAACTCATTGAATTACCTTTTTTTCGCATTCCACTATATACACATCCTCCAAACCTACGTAAGCATAAAGAAGAAACATCAATTGCATTGACAAAGGAACACGTCGCCATCATGCCGGAAAAGTTATCAGATCCTACCGAATACCAGAAGATTTTCCACTGGGCCGAAACACAGAAAGACGGTGCGGTTCCCAGCTTCGCAACCAGGAAAAACGATCCGTATGAAGTGAGTATTCATCTCCACACTCATACCTTTCTGTCTATCCATTTGAGTAAGGAATCGAGGGGCTTCCTTACTCCAGCGAAGATCCTTTGCACACTGCTAACTGTGACAGTACCAATCTGGTTTCAACAACAGCTTTGCAAGCGAAGCGGTCCCGGGTACCCTTCCTCAAGGCCAGAACTCACCCAGAAATGTGAGGTTTGGGCTATACGCAGAGCAAATGACCGCTTCGGCATTTGTAGCACCTAGACATATGAACAAGAAGGCTTGGTAAGGAAATTCCAGTTCTACTATGTACGCGCAAGACGTTATTGACAAGTATGTTCCCAGGCTATACCGAGCACGACCAGCGGTTGCGCATCAGGGATTTGTAAGTGTTTCCCCCCAGGTTGAAACATACCCAACTTTCGCAAATACTAATTGATTCATAGACCGACCTTCCCGACAATGCGGACACCGAGTCCTGCTTTCTGCCACTCAACTCCCGCGTCCACGTATCCCCCACACAACTAGCATGGCTACCATTCGACATCCCCTCCTCGGGCAACGTCGACTTCGTATCTGGACTTAAGACCATTGCCGGCTCTGGAGACCCGACATTGAGGGAAGGTCTCGCGGTACACACCTTCCTCTGTAACTCGAGCATGGAGAAGCGCGCTTTCGTAAACTCGGACGGCGACTTTTTGATTGTTGCGCAAGAAGGCGTTCTGGACATCCAGACCGAATTCGGTATGCTGTTTGTGCAGCCTGGCGAAATTGCTGTTATCCAGCGGGGTCAGAGGTTCAGGGTGTCGGTGCCGGATGGTCAGACAAGGGGTTACATGTTGGAGATCTGGGGATCGAACTTCCAGTTGCCAGAATTAGGTATGTTATATTGGTCGCACATGATGGAAAAAGAAGTCAAATTTGTGCTAATAAACTGCGACTATAGGACCCCTGGGAGCAAACGGTCTTGCCAATGCACGCGACTTTTTGCACCCGGTCGCCAAATACGAGATTGAGAAGGAGCCTTGGGAAATTGTGTACAAGCTCGGAGGCAAATTCTTCAAATCAACACAACAGCACAGTCCCTTCGATGTTGTGGCATGGCACGGAAACTACGTTCCCTACAAATACGACTTGACTAAATTCGTAAACGTTGGCTCTATCTCCGGTACGTTTCCTCCGCATATTACTTCGGCTCGTCTTCAATTCCCGAATACATTACTAATAGCTTGATGTTATATAGTTGACCACATCGATCCATCCATCTTCTGCGTTTTGACCGCACCTTCGCGAGACCCCCACTCACCGCTTGCCGACTTCTTGATCTTCAGCCCTCGATGGGATGTTGCCAGCCACACCTACCGACCTCCCTACTACCATCGCAATGCAGCATCTGAGCTTATGGGGCTCATCTACGGCGAGTACGCTGGAAGATCGGATGAGTTCCAGCCTGGCGGAGTTTCTTTCGAGTGTGGCTTCGTACCCCACGGAGTTGGTTAGTCAAAACCATTAAAAAGCTAGAAAGACGAACATGTCGAACTAACTGTTTATTTGTAGCGTACGAAGAGTTCAAGGCTGCTTCTGAGAACCAGCCTCCAGAGATGCAGATTTCCAAGGGCGCAGTTGCCTTTATGATGGAAAGCTCAAGGCCGTTCACCATTACCGATTGGGCGTGGAACAACCAGAAGAAGCACGAGCACGACCCAAAGATGTGGGACAACCTCGTTGACAACTTCAGCGGACACGCGGAAGAAGTTGAGAAATTGCTTGCTGAAGGAGTCAAGAAGTTGGGATTGAAGAATGGACAGTAAAGTTTACATAGATATATGAGAAGATTGGATTGATTCTATATGAGCAAATGAAAGCGCAATAGTCTATATCCTCTATATCGGTAACCGAAATCAATCGTGTGGTATCGGCGGCCACCGCTCACTGGATCTATCTCTTTAGAGTTTGGGGAACCGGATTCGAAGAAACTGGTTCGGCCAATTCAGGTTCACGTTGAGCTGCCAGCCCACTTTCAGAACCCACTCCGGTTCCCTCATGAACTGCCTAGCTACCAGGATAACATCGGCCATGGGCTCTTTTCCCTCCGTCGGTTCCGTCATCTTCAGTGCTGTCTTGGCTTCTTTCTCAAGCTCTGCGTCGTTTGCTGGCTGCTGTGTTGCTGCAGCACCGCCCTCCAGAATATCCTTCGCCTGCTCTGCTTCAGTGATTAAACCCACAGCTCCGATGAGTAGCTTCAAGTTCTCTTTCTTGAGCTCTGACCTGATGCGAGACGCGATCCGGATCTGATAGTCCTTGGAATCGAACATGTTGATCTGCTGGCCGGGGTGGTTTCCGCCACTGCTGACATCCAACAGATCGACACCAAGATCAGGCAGTAACTTGGCAAGCTTGATGGAACTTTCGACATCCCAGCTACCAAACTTCTTGCCCAGTTCCGTTTCCTCCATCCACTCGGTCGAACTGATGCGCAGAAACAACGGCATCTGCTGCGGGATCACCTTGCGAATGGCCACAACGATCTCAATCAGCACACGGGTGCGGTTCTCAAAGCTCCCACCATATCGATCAGTTCGCTGGTTGGTGATAGGAGAAAGGAACTGATGGAGCAAATAGCCATGCGCGGCATGGATCTCAATAACATCCACGCCAGCCTTGTAAGCTCTCTCTGCTGCGCTAGCCCAATCCTCTACCAGCTGCCCGATTTCCTCTTCCGAAAAGGCTCTGGGTGCCCAGAAGCCTCCACTTTCGTCGCTGTCCTTCTTGCCGTCCCAGCTCCACTCATCCCCACCCATCGGACCTTTTACATTCTCAGGCCATCCGCCAACGTCTGCCGTCGCGCGAACGCTGATTTTCTTGTCTGGCGTGCTACTGGCGATCCATGGTGGGCAAGTGCTTGCCTTTCGGCCAGCATGGGCAAGCTGAAGGCCGCTGAGAGCACCTTGACTTTTGATGAAGTCTGACACACGGCGGAGGGCAGGGATCTGCGCGTCGCTCCAGATGCCTGGACAGTTGGGTGAGATACGGCCGTTGGGTTGCACACCCGTCGCCTCGATAATGACCAAAGATGAACCTTTGAGCGCGTAGTGCCCCAGTGTGGCGATGTGGTAGTCGGTCAGAGCTCCTGCTTCAGGACCCGTGGGCGCTGTAGAGAATTGGCACCTTTAATCGAGTGTGTTAGCATGGAACACGTAGCAGGGTGTGGGACATGTACATGGGTGCAACCAGAATGCGGTTCCGAAGCGTGACGCCTCGAATGGTCAGAGGTTTAAAGAGCATGGGGACATTGTTTTGGTCTTGGGTACCGGAGACGGGTGTGCCTGGGGAATTGACATGTTGAGGTGTAAAGTAGGGGATCCCTGGGACAGCTTTCGTCTCGTTGAATGGGGTCATATTTGGGTCTCCAAAGGGCCAACTGAGAAGAAGTTATTGAATTAATGGACTTGTTTGTCGGTAAGAAACACAAATGCGGCGTAGATTGTTCAGAGTTCGACGGCGCACGTCAGCAATCTCTATGAATCAACAACTCTTCGCGATCTTGTGCTTGCTAGTTGCTCTTGAACAGTAGGTGAGTCGGATGTGGTGTTGTTCATATAGCCCGAGTTTGGATTTGTAAGTTGTGTAAAAATAGTGATGATGGAAATGTGTGCTGAACTTACATGTACCGAGGTAACAATGATTGATAATGATCCTTGCAAGATGATCGTACCTACCCTTTTGGGTAAGGTCTAGCTGGTGTAATCGACTCAGGTAGTCGACTCAAGTACGTGTTAATGGAGCATGCATGATACTTTACTAAGTTTTTGGAAATGTCAGGTGAAAATGTTATCATTATTCATTCCATATCGTATCAAACAAACAACATATTATAGAGCCTACTGTGTTTTCGATGCAGCGCCCTCCTTCTCCATACCTTCACATCCTACCAAACTTCCTGCCTTCTGCTCGATGCCCCCAAATCCTTGCGTGTTGGGGTCACGGTTCTGACCGGCGGACTTCATTGCGTCTACGGCCTGGGACTTGTCTTGCGCACCGGAGGATTTCCATGCTTCGGAGCCTACATGTACAGTTAGTGGAGCTGGCTTCATTGATGGTTTAGGAAACAGCTTACCAGTGACACTGCCAATAGTTTCCTGTAAAGGATCGTTAGCTGATTGCTCTAATTCATTGTAAAGATCGAACATGGAATAAATCGAATCGGTCATACTTCAGCAGCCCCCTTGACATATTGTGCATGGCCGGAAACGAGACCGGGAGCGTTCTGGTTGGAAGACATTGTGGTAGATGTTTTTGCGTTGAGATGTGTACTAGCGACCTTGAAGCGGTTTGAAGTTATAGTGAACAGATAGTGGGATGGGGAATTGTATGGGATGAGGAGGATTGCTTAACGCAAAGGCGTGTTGCTTTTAAAGATGGTGAAGGAGGAATGACGTCAGAGCTCACTGATGCACGCAATCATCATGTGGAGGAAAGGGAATAGTGCGTTTGGGCTCATGATCCTTTGGATAATCCACCATTGCATTAAATAGAGTTTCAGAACGGAAGCCACCCAATCTAAGTATGTCATGGATCATAACAAAATGCGAATACCTTACCGTCAGAAGTTCCCCGATGGTTGAGCGTCTTCAGATCTCCAGATCAGCCAAATGATCCCGCTGGAAGCAGCAACCTGCATCGGAAGAGCAAAAAACACTTTCCCTGTACGAGAAAAACAATCAATTGTAGGTATCACAGTGGAAATAGGATCGAAGATAAACATTCATCACTACTAGGGCAATGGTAAAAGGTCTCGCGGTTGACGGGTCCCTTGCAGTAGATGCGTTCTTAGCTAGATCTCGGTAGCCGGTCAGCCATCAACGTTTCCCCGCCGTCAGCCAAGTACCCACCTCTCCAACACGACACGTCCATCATGAGCGAATAGCTCGCGCCAGATACCAGAGCTGCAGCCGTCATTGCCTAGCGGTTTTTGAGATTTTGAGCATGATGATAAGCTAGCCTCCACGGACTTGAGTTTCTTACCACCAGTCTTCTCTTGCGCGACATGGCCCTGCCGCTCCCGCCCGCGTCCAACCTCCACGCCATCCTCCTTGTCACCAAATCGCGCTCGCTAGGCCCTCGTCTCGTATTTCATTATCCACCGCTCTCACCTGCTTCGGTACTCTCGACGCAAAAGGCGCCCGCTTGGTACGGTGCCGAGACTTCGACAGGAAGCGTTGGCGACTCCAACAGCTCAAGCAGCGAGTGGGACAGCAGCACCGAGAACGAAGGCCCTGATGATGATGCGGGGAGTCGCACAAGTGGTGGAAGAGGCTCGGGGAAGACCGGTAATAGCCACAGTCATCGTGGAGAAAAGGATGGGAAATTGCGCCCCGGCGTTGCTGGGGCGTGGGCCAGGCACGAGAGCATAGACGAGGAGGACGCTGAAGCAGAAGGTGATGGGGAGCGCAGTGAAAAAGATAGCAACGGGAAGCACAAGGGCGGTGATCGGGACTGGGATACTGTATTGGGATTCAAGGTCGATGCGCTGGAGAAGATGCTTTGCCCAGATCGAGCTTTCAACAAGAGGAAATTCGAGCTAGGGGTGGAAAGTGTAGTGTTTGTCGGCGCACCCATGTTCGTGAGGGATGATGGCTTGTGGAAAAAAAGGAAAAAGCGACGCAAGCGATCGCCAGAGCAGAAAAGCAAAGACGGCCAGCCTGTCGCGGATTCGACCGACGATAGATCCGATGATGAGGAAAGGGAAGAACAGAACGCAAAGCAGAAGAGGCCCCCAATTAAAAAGAACGAGTCATTCATATTTCCCCCGGGCTTTGAACCGGGCTATGGCCACGATATGATGTCCTCTGGAACACCCTCCATCGCTCCGTCAGAAGTTGGATCAGATGCCAAGAGTAACTCAACCACAAACGACAATCCTGACATGACTATGTTTAATATTGTCTTCGTGTTGAACCCGCCGGCTCTGGAGTATCAACTTCGCGTGAAGGACATATATGACAACGTCACAAAGAAATTTGCAAAAGCTCTCAAGTACGAGCAAGCTCGGTTTCAATACGTGTGGAGAGAGTCAAAAAGAATTATCGATGCTAAGCAACGCGCAAAAGAACGCAATGAATCTTTGACAGGAACATGGCAGAAGATTATTAGTACCTCACCCTTGGCCAAGTCTATCACCACCTTGTTTGAAGCTGTGTCTCACGACAAGATTGCTCACATACATTTCGATGCCTCATTCAATTCTTCCTTCCAGATTCCGCAGGCAGATTCGACACCTTATCTTCCCAACGCCCTGGAACCACAAATGCCAGGCCTGTGGCTTACAACTTCCAACGTTGTTGCCGATAACGAGGACGGCGCGCCAATGACGCAACATGCGGCTCTTCTGCTCTTAGATGACCCCGATATCATCATCAGGGACCTTCAAAGCTCGGGCGACAAGAACTACGCGGCCATCCTTGGTTTTTACATAAGAAGCATTGTCCCTACCAAATCTCTGCTTAAGATATCAACAAAACAGAAGATATCTGCTGAAGACATGGAGTACATAGCCACCCATCTTGTTTACTGGCGTCGTGCACGTCTCATCGCGCCTTTGCATCCACGAGATACATATATTGTATCGCCAAATGCCGATCTTTCGTACTTGCAGCCAGCCACCACTGCATATGCAGCCCGTTTCCCCACCCTTCCATCCCTCCCAAAAATGTTATCCCTTCTTTCCGGAACTCCCAAACCCTATCGATTCTTTATACCAACAGCTGAACATAAAGACGCCTACATGGAGATTTTGGCCTGGCTTATGCGCGGCGGTTGGGTGACGCAACTGCGTACATTTGCGTGGGTCCGCGTTTCACCTGATATCAAAGAACGCGTGGAGAAAGACATGGCAAAGCAGGAGCTGATTCGAAAGGCACGGGAAGAAGAGCAACGGGAATTGGAAGCCATGAGCGAATCGATACTGTCCGACAAACGATCAAGTTTTCTTTCGGCAGGGTCAGGCAGACCGGGAACGCCACTGCGCAAGTCGAGGAGGGACAGAGAAAGAGACGGATCAGAAGATGGAGCCGACGTGCTCAGTCCTAGGATAGGAGCGACAGGGTGGAGGGGTAGTCCTGCTCGCACCGCGAGCGACGCAGGGAGTGCAAGCTCATCGCGAACTGCCATTCTTCACAATTCAGCACGGCCATCCTCACCCGCACAAGCCTCCACACACTCGCGAGATAATATCGCGGCTGCCGCTGCGAATCTACCTCATCGCCCCTCCCCTCTCCATTTGAAAGCAACATCTCCATCCCGCCTCTCGTCTCATTCTCAAACCCAACGTGATAGCCCGCTCTCCCCTACCTCTCCCTCAACATTAACTCCAGGTGCCCATGCGGCCACATCAGCAAACCCCCCTCCCTCACCACCACTTCAATCCCCGAAAGTGTTCACCCCTACCCTCATTCTATCTCCGCAGAAAGCAAGCTCTATCGAGGCACGATGGCTTGAGGAGATTGTAAAAGGGTTCGACGACGACGATCTCAAAGAGCATTGGTCTATGCTATTGAAGTATTTCGACGGAAGACATGCAATCGAAGATATGTGCCATAGGGAAGGGATCAAAAGAGGCAGAGTAGCAGCGCTGGTGAATGCGGTGAAGGAGAGGGGGTGGCTGGTCGTTGTTCGGCATTGGTAGCATATCCGGTCGAGAAGCGACTGAAAAGACCAGGACGATTAGGTGTACTTAACAAAATGTAATGTAATGTAATATGGAATTCACAGCGGTTTGCATCTGGTGTAAGCTAAAGACAGTGTGCCATAATCCTCTGCCCAGGATAAGATGAAGATGAGAGGTTGGAACGACACACAGGTTTATGTGGACATTGAACATAATAGTTATGCCAATTTCTTGTAAAACACAGTCTGTGGAGAGGCCACTTTGGTCGAGCTGTTAACCCCCGTTCGATCAAGGGAATGAGGACGATTGTTCTTGAGAAGGAGTGGGTATTTATTCAAATGTGGCACAACTATAAGCAGATAACACCGTTACTCCATCACTCTGTGATCCAAATCGTGGGCGCTGTTGCAGCACTTCCTATTATTATACCCAGTTGGTGGAGCCCGGCTGCGCAATAGCGTTGATTCCCTGTTGGGTGTACATCTTCATCTTCTCCTTGAATGTCAATTTCTCTTTCGTCTGCTCTTTATCGCCCTTCTTAAGACTCTCATCGTCGGAATCGTGATCTTTGGTATCTTTTTCCGTTGGGGGAGGGTACAACTTCTTTGTAACGGGGTCATAGATCATCCCGGTCATGGGGTCGCGGATCAGCTGGTTCTTAGGATCGCTTCGGTCGATGGTGTCTTGTTGTTGGCTTTTGTCATCTGGGATGCTTGCTGGCTGTTGGGATGCCATTCTTGGAAGGGTGGGTTGGTCGTTCAGTGAAGGGGATGGACAGAGGCTGTACAATGTATCGGTGTGGTTTTTGATATAACGAAATGGCTATGGAGTAGTTTATGAGGGTGATTTTTAGGGTTCTATGTAAAGTGAACGAGGATAAGCGGTATTCTAATACCTGCGATCACACTCCTCAGTCGGAACATAGCCTCATAAGACTTGAAAAGGCTGCGCTCCGGCATCGTATTCAGTTCTTGCGGTCGTTGCATACCTTGTGACATCATTAAGCGATGGCTCGCAGGGACCATACTAGCCTTAAAGCGAGCAATAAGATCGTTTGTAAGACTCTGTGAGTGCTTCTTTGCACCAGGGTGCATGCATAATCTCCTGTCAAGCGCTTCCCTTGTTCCTTGAACAGCAATAATTCAGCAGGGGCCAAATGTTCTACCTTGGTGGCCCCGTATTCCTTCAGCAGTTCGTTTGCGTTACGGATGTTCACCGTTATACCCCAAACCAAACACAGCCCCCAACTGCGCCATGTTGTATTTTGCCATCTTGGCTAGGCAGTCACCCTCTCCGTACCACTCCGCTTCGCTTTTCCTCAATATGGTGGACAATTAGGTTCTTACACAAGGCCCATAGACACGATTCCATTTCTATGCGTTTTGAGGCACAAATGCCCTGTCGGACGCTTACTGCATACCAGTGCCTGGATATGAACCTCATACACCACATCAGTCTCTATATGTCCTCATGGTGTCTTGATGTACACCTACAAACATTATCTTAGCATAAATAATCGCAGCTTTCACTTCCTGGATTTTTTAGGCTCATGAATTCTAGTCTTTATTGACAGCTACTTGTCATCACAAACTGAACCAAAGGTGTTAGGTGCATTAGAAAAATATCAGCAGCCACTCTCGATCGAAAGACAAGTTCACCTGGAATGCTTTGGAACAATCTCGCAGTAGTAGATACTATCTACAGACGAAAATGCAAGGTACATCAACTTGGCGGGATACCCGACAGTCGAATATACATATGTAGGAAAGCAGTCAACCCCAAGAACGCATGCTAATAACCACAAAAAGTTCTGGACGGGTACTGTGTCGTTTTCAGTATGGGCTTCGAAATCACAATATTGAGTTCCGCGACACCAGTTAGAAGAAAAAAGAAAAGAGATAAAGCGAAACTCCGCTGAATACTCCGAGTAACTACACTCACTATATGGTACTTTCATGAAAAGTTGTTGTCGCAGGCCAGAAGAAGGCTGATAGACAGAAGGTAGTACAGAAGCTGTATTGTGCTGATGGCAATCGACTAGTCAAGTGAAAGAGCCAATCCCTAGCTGCGCGGGCATTGTGAAAGACAACGGACCACCTGATCAACACCATGACTTTGAATATCCAAACGGCGAGCAAGCAGCATGATTCGCACTAGCACCTACGTTACCCCATCGACAAGGCAACGATCACTCACTACCCTATTATAAACCCCCAGATGCTGCAAATCGATCAGTCTCTCATTGTTGCTCTCACCCAACCAAATCTCCAAAATTCAACCCATCGAATACTTCAAACCAAACCTCATCGACAACGAGAAAAAAACAAAAACAAAACCCAACAAATTTCTCGAAAATCTTCACACAAGCGGGAAGCCATGTGCTACCGCAGCGTCCGCAACTGGATGGGCTGCAGCCACTTCGCCTGCGAACAGGTCCACCTCTGTGGGGACCCGACCTGCATCTTCTACCTACAGTACCGTCATCAGGGCACCTACAAGGCGATGACGCACTGGGACGAGATGCCCTTCACCGGCTTCGAGACTAGGGTCGATCGGAACGGGAAGCGCACCCGCAAGATGTTCACGGAGTGCGTGCACTGCTGGAACAAAAAATACTAAAAGTCTTCTCTGGAACAAGCGGCGCATCATGAGCGTCAAGGAGGATTATTCGGCTTTCATGCAGGGGTTTACGGTTAATCGGGACATGGTTCAGGCGTTTTGATGTTTGGAGTTTGGAGTTTGTTGGGATGGGAAAGGTTATGGTGGCATGGATTGGATCGAGACTTGGGATGGATATGCGTTGGAGTAACTGATGCTTACGAGGATGACCTTTCCGACAGAGAAAACTGGAGCCGCTTTCTGATCTTGCCGTGGAAGCCTTTATTTTATTTCTAGCATTTGATATCGTCACAGTCAAATGGAAAAGCATGGAAACGGTATTCATATGGTGTGTTAATTGCCATTAGTTCTTAGGAACACTTCTATATCAGTCCAGAATCTCTTATTCTAAACAGCGTTGAGAAGCCACATATGAAACAATCATGTATGGGTAGATGTAACCTTTATCCTGGAAAGTTTTGGAAACCAACACATGCAGAACTTACCCCTCTTCCCCCTGTTGATAACACTTTACAAGAGATTCTCTCGTGAGATGACAGCATGTTTTCCGTCACACCACGAGAAGCAAACAACATAACATCTAACTCACCAGCTCTCTTTCAGTAGCAACCAGCCAAAGAAACCTTATGATTCCACCGAACCCCTGAGAGCTCGAGAAGAATATTCCACCCCGAGAAGGTATCTACAATTTCTCACAGTACGACAAGAACTTGTCCTTAGACCTACGCTTATATTCCTCCCTCAAAGTAGGCTGATGATAGACTGTAAGCTCAGCACGACCCATCGGCTTAGGTTTCTGGAACCTCACATCCTCCACCTCAACCGACCAAGACGGTCCCAGATCATCATCGTTGATACTGCTAGTGGGTGTGGGGGGAAACTTGAAGCTCCCGAAGTGCAGCTTACTAGAGATCCAAGATGCCGTAGAGGAGATACTAGTTGTGACTGAGGGTGGGACCTGGAAGGTGTGGCGACGATTAGGTGGAAATGCAAAGGTAGGGGAAGTCTCGGGGTCGCTAGGAGGTGAGCATGAGGGAGGACTTTTCCTGGAAAAAGTAGCGCACTCGAGCTTAGGTGTTTCCGAAGACGGTCGGGCCTTGGGTTTGCTAGTGGGTAGAGGTGAGGAGAGAGATCGTTTAAGTGGAGCAGGACGCTTGGAACGGGGTGGCGTTGGGGATTGGGAAGGGACGGCACCGTAAGCGTGGGAATCTGTTAGAAACTCTCGTCGGGGACGGGGTCGGGTTGTAGGTTGGGGATCTATCGACCCTCCATAGGCATGGGATTTTTTGAGTCGACGCTTGATTGGGTTCATGACGGATGGGGGAGTAGTGTTTTCGTCGAAACTCAGGTAGGATTTGGCTCGAGTTTCCGACTTGCTGTCGAAGTTGTAATTCATTCTCGAGGGTAAACTCATCTGGTCCCCGTGTTCGCAAGTAAGTTTCGGGTGAGAATGTTGTAGACTTGTTGGTGCTGATCGAGTTTGTGGTCTTGCATGAGCACAATTGAGAAGTTAGACTACATACTCGTGTTTCTGGTGCTGGGAGCAAACAAAGCTTTGTGTTATATATATGAACAGGACATGTGGTGTAACACACAATGCTCGAGTAATTCATTCTCATAGCAAGTTGAGTACATATAGTGATGTTTATGAACAATGTCTTCTCTCACACGAGTCTTCACGACCAACGCATCGTCAGTGTGATCAAGTGAACTGACATCGAAATGAATCTGGGTCATACAACACGAATACACGTAAATAAATATTTGTACCAACCATCAGTCGTCAATATGACCGTTTGAAAGGCGGCACACTTCTACACTCTTCTTCGTCCAGCGTCTCCATCTTCACCTCTCTAATTCCCCATCGAACCTCATCACCAACTTCCGTCTGCCATGTCAGACTATGCTTCATCCACTCATCATCACTCCTCTCCTTGAAATCATCTCTAGCATGCGCACCTCTACTCTCTGTTCTTGTAAGAGCAGCCTTACTAGTCTGAATGGCATTTGTTAGTAGATTGCGCAACTCTAGAGTTTCAATCAGATCACTGTTCCAAACGAGCGATCGGTCTGTTACTTTGAGATTGCTTTTGAAGTTCCCTTCGATCGCGCTAAGTTGTTTATTTCCGGAGGCAAGAGAATCGTGGGTGCGAAAGACAGCGGTTGTATTTTGCATTGTGCGTTTCATCTCGTCTCTCAAAGAGGCCGTCGGATATTTTCCTTGACTTTGGAGAATAGATGAAATTTCGCTGATGGAGTCAAGACCAACAGTAGATGATGATTCATTGTGAGGCGCAGATGGTGCATGGTTTTCTGCTATGTGCAGTGCAGCTGCTCGACCCTTTGTAGACATCAATTTCATGGCTTGTAGTGTTTGATTGATTGGTACTCACAAATACGACAATATCGAGGAGCGAGTTCGCACCCAATCTATTCGCTCCATGAACGCTAACACAGGCTACTTCACCAGCTGCGTACAGGCCATCGACAATGGCTTCTTTTCCGTCGTTTACGTCGAGAACCTGGCCTTTGTAATTTCTAGGGCGAGTTAATCCAAAGGTCTTCGCTCAATTGTGGCAAATGTTCATCACTTACGTAGGTACACCACCCATACAATAATGTACTGTTGGTAAGACTGGAATGGGTTCTTTCGTGATATCGATGCCTGCAAATATTGCCGCCGTTTCCGCGATACCAGGCAATCGTTCCATAATGATGTCTTTGGGTAAGTGAGACAGTTGCAGGTGGATATGATCTGCATCAGGTCCACAGCCTCGACCCTCTAAAATTTCGAGATTCATAGATCGAGAAACGACGTCTCGAGAGGCAAGATCTTTTGCTGTTGGAGCGTACCGTTCCATGAATCGCTCGCCTTGGGCGTTGAGAAGGTATCCACCTTCGCCACGGGCGCCTTCCGTGATCAGAACCTTTCTTTTTGCGTAAGCGAATGCTCTTTCTTTGCGAATATATGGGATAACGTACACCAGCGCCGTAGATTCCTGAAGGATGGAACTGTACGAACTCCATGTCTTGAAGTGGAAGTCCCGCTCTGGAGACCATGGCGTTTCCATCTCCAGTGCTTGTATGCGCACTCGTTGCACTGAAGTAAGCGCGTCCGTACCCTGATCTTGTTAGTAGTATATCCATAGCCCTTTTTGTCGCTGTGCTTCTTACCACCAGTAGCCAGCACAGTGTTCCTAGCAAAAAAGCGATGACACGTTCCATCCTCCATGTTCATGGCTGTAATACCAACACACTTTTTCCCTTCCATCATTAGATCGAGCGCGAAGTACTCAATAAAGAACTGAACTCCATGCTTCAAGCTCTGACCGTAAAGTGTATGCAGCATAGCGTGGCCGGTGCGATCGGCCGCACATGCTGTTCGATACGCTTGTCCGCCTTTACCATATTCTAGAGATTGGCCACCGAGTGCGCGCTGGTAGATGGTGCCGTTCGATGTTCTGGAGAAGGGCATGCCGTAGTTTTCGAGCTCGACTACTGCAGGGACGGCTTCGCGGGTCATGTAGTGTATTGCGTCTTGGTCACCCAGCCAGTCTTCGAGTTGTATACGAGAAGTTAGCCAATTCTTTCCAATCGACTCGAAAACTACATAATCTTCGTGACCCTCGTGCTCCGATAATTGCCTTGAATGAGTTCCAACATACCGGAGCCTTTGACAGTATCATACATGTGCCAGCGCCAGTCATCAGTTGTCATATTCCCCAAGGCCGCATTGATTCCGCCCTGTGCAGCGACGGTGTGCGACCTCGTTGGAAACAACTTCGATATGCATGCCGTCTTGAGCCCGGCTTCCGTGAGGCCTACAGCGGCACGAAGTCCCGCTCCTCCGGCACCGACGACAATTGCACTATTCGCAAACTGTTAGATCTTGCATGAATCAGGAAGCAAAGTACGTAGAACATAGATGCTGTAAATACTGATCACTCTACTCCAAGCCCGTCGTTTCATGATTCTAGCCCAGGAAAATTGGCCAGATTTGTAACCGATTCAAGGGCAATATACGAAGATTAGAGAAGCAGAGGAAAATCAAATGTACTCATAATGATGATCAACGATCGTAATTCCCTGAACTTCACCCGATCTCGACGTTGAAGTCGAAGCACATCTACGCCATCTCCCCCACTGCGCCGTTATTCCCGGGCTCCGATTAGATTTCACCTTCGTCTCAGACAGGCTCCGAGTACCGATAGCACACGGCCGGTGGAGCGCACGCGTGAAAACACGCATTGGGAGAACGAAATAAGTATTGCTTGAACGACAAATCAAATGCGATGTATTGCACGATACAAACCGACTCTGGATTAATGACATGTAGACTGGGGGAGCTACATAAGCTAGTGTGGAGTTCCCGTCCTTCGGGAACCCCTCTGTGGGGTACCTAGTTATTCCTCGGTTCGTGCATGGGTTTCCGAGAAGCAGTCATTGATAGTTTTTTTTGTTTTCAGTATTAATTGATCGCTGTATGGAAATCGCTCATGGCAAATATTTAGGGTGAATATAGTTCGAAAAACGGCGACTTAGTGGCAAGATCAAATGGTTTCTAGTTTGTGGACGTGTAGAGCGATGGCAATGTTATTCATTACATTGTGTAGACTAATTGAAGTTCATGACTCGCCTGTCAACTAAACAGTCTCATGGTTTTGTGATCGAATCAGACCTGCCCGAAACCGATTATTCTATAATAAGTTGAGTTGGGTGAATGACCCGACTGATGAGTAGAAGGATGAAATCTGTTCCTTTTGTAGGCGTTCCGCCTTTTCAATTTCGATGGAGGACTCTTATCTCCGCTTAGTCCAGACTCATTTTGTGCATTTCCTCGTATTGAACGGCTCTCCACAGCACCTGTGCGTGGGCAGCAATCACCCGCAAATATCTCTTCAATATTTTATCAGGACCTCAACCACGCATTCTCATCTGGCGCATGATCGGGCTCCTCCGGCTGTCCATCAAGGGCACTCCTCACTTGCTGCACCCCTCCCTCGATTGCCCGCCGAGCTCCACCACGCGCTCCCCCCTCATCGTCACTGATCTCCTCCTGCACTCGATCCGAATAGCCGTTGGAGGCAGTCAGGAAGCCAATATTAGGTCGCGATCCACCACCACCACTTTCTTCGTCGTCAGCGGCGATGATGCGCGAAACGCGATCGGGAACGACGCTGTGAAGCCAGGATTCGCGTTCCGTGGGTACGGCGATGATGGTGAACTGTTGAGGGGAAATAATATCAGTATATGAACTTGTTCGCGATGTGAGAGCGGAACATCAGGAGTTGAAAGGGTACGTACCTGCCAGACAAATACCAGGCCAACGACAGCCATCAAGATGCCAGCAACCCTCCGCTCCTGGCCTTTCCAAGGCTCGAAACAGCCATTGGAGTGTCCAAACGTCTTCTCACAAGCCGTCGCATCGTGGGTTTTATCAGGGAATGGCCATGACTAGTGGAGGTGCGAGGTCAGTATGATTCGAGCAAGCATTTCTCAATACGTCACCAGTAGGCTCGAAACGAGGCACGATATGGTGTCTGAGCATACGACGTTGCACCCGGGGTATAGGTACCATGTCCCGTGAGTTCTGAAACCCACAGCATTGCAGCGCCTGCTGTATCGTCCGAATTCCCTCCACATTCTTACTCTTGAACAATGCCGTCCAGCGCTCTCTCAAAGCACAATCGTGACCTGGTGGTGGAGCCGCATGGGTACCAAGCAGGGTGATGACAACAGTCGAGTAGATGAAGATGAGAGTATTGGCAACGATGACTGGCGCAGGCCGAGTAGTATTGCCTCGGGGGAGTCGCTTGCGGCGTTCTTGGATTCGGGTGATGTCATAGCCAAACTCCAACAGCAAGCCCGAGACGAGCGGGAGGAGAGTAGTGGCGTAACTGAGGCCGTTGGGAATGGGAATGGAAAAGCGCTCGTTCTCGGAAGAAGCATAGGCTGCTAAGGCTGTTACTAGCAGGAGGAACTGTAGATACCTATTAGCTGTTGGTTTCGGAATTGTTTTGAACGCGTCTGTGTACGTACGACAATGCTGATGCATGTAACGACTTGTTTTCTGGTATACGCCATGCTGAAGCGCTAGTCAAGCTCGATCAGTGGAGTTGGAGGCCGTACGGTGCTGGTGAGAACATAAATCGGGGCAAGAACCGATGAAGGCGAGAGCGAGAAATGGTGGACGTTGGGAAGCTGGGATATTTCAGGTGAGAAGCCCGCTCACGAGGATGCATGAAGGTGAGGCTGTGCTTTTCAAAGAGGGGTAACCAAGTATGCAGTACTGCTGCTCTGTACTGTGCGTACCCGCAACTCAATAATTCAACATTCTTTATCAAATCACTATCTTGCAGCCCACGCACCTTGTGCAACGCATGTCGGGACCGAGGAGCGAGCTGATTGGCCGACAACATCAGCCACTCCCCGTTATCTCTATTCCAATGCATCAATTGATGTCTGCACAGTCAGCACCATCACTTGCTATGGATAGACTTGTCCGAGAATGCTTCACGCAAATATATGGGGTCTGGCATTTGCAATTGGACATTGGGGATGACGAAATGTATTCCATGTCAAGACTGCATTACAGCAGCCTTCAGAGTATGAAAACGCTATTAATCTACCGTCAATAACATGAGCAGACCCTCTACGAACGAACACAAGTATGAATGCCCCCAATAGACCAGTCGACAATGATATCATCCAACAAGCCCAGCAAGTTCATTGTTGATGGAAGGTTTATCATCCGAGCGAGAATCTTGGCTGTTGATGAATGGCCTCCTGCTCGCGCGATAGTAGAATACCCAGCAAGCTTTAATAACTGAGCTCCACATGGAAAGTTGTTCTGTCAAGCAAGTCGATGATTGAAGAGACTCTGGGTTGAATGAATGATAATGAACATGAGGTTGGCAAGAAAGCAGAAGTGAGCCGATAGTAGAGCCACCCATCCACATTGCTTCTTCGCTAGATGTGCTGATCCGCATCTGCGTTGGTGACGAGGCTGGTAGTATCATGCTTCCCCTTCGTGCAAGGCCGTGTTATATGCTTCGGTTTAGATGCCCAGGTCATGCAAGCAAAGTTCCACGTCCGGGTACAGCGAGCCTCGTACATAGGCCTGGGGGCCTGGCATATATGCTGGCAGTTGGGACACCCGAGATACACAATTCCCCGAGCTTGGTATAGGAATCGAATCTTGGAAGCCTGGTGAGTCGCTCGAATCTGGAAGACCTGGCGAGTATCTCGAACCTTGGGAATCTGGCGAGCATCTCGAATCTTGGGACATTGGCGGGTACATTAAATCCTGGGAGCCTGGTGTGATGTATGGACTCCCGGCGGTTACTTTATTGTGTGAGCTCTGGGTAATTGCTGCACTGTCGTTCGAATCGTCTATTAGGCGGAATCCAGTCGTCTCAAATTGCATCTGTGGCATATGGAATGAGCCAGTTTCGACCGGGAGTGGTTGAGGATTGGAATGCTACACTGTCACCAACACCTCCAGCGGACAATGCTCCACATAACGTCTGAACCCGACCCATTGGGGATCCACGAACTGGTAAGTTCCAAGTTGCGGGAATTGCGGGTATGAAACCCTTAGGGTTATGTCGTTTGCTTTTATTTCGACTCTAATCTCCCTTGGACTGTTCACGATCATACTCAACTCAGTACGCCACCCATTTCCCGGTGAGTTGGGCTGCGCAGTGATCTTGGTCCGGATTGGAGCACGATTTCTTTCCTTCCCCGGAGATTTTGGGACTAGTTCAGAGAGACCCATGGCGTTGATCCAAGAGAGTGTCGAGCGGGCGGCTGGTCTTCCCCTCGCCAATGTGGCTGGGGACCGTAGTTCCTGTTTCCACGGTCGAGCAACGGTGATAATGGGGGCGGCAAGCAGAAAATAGTATGAATGGTATGTAAGATATCGGACAGTGATGGGTTTGACGATATTGTGTTATGAATAGAAGACGAAAACAAGGCGGCTTCACGGCGACGAGGTGAATCGAGCGTGGCCTGGAAGGAGCGCAATTGCAACTTCTTTGAATCCGGCAGGGAAATCACTACATACAAACAGTAGAAAGTACTAAAGCTCACGTAGATGGTTGGAACATGAATTTAGGTGATTGAGGATCGCTACTTCTCTCATTATGCTTCGGCTGTGTTTCGCACCCATCTCTTCAAATCTACTTTGGACGGGTACAGAATGCCACCAACAAAACCAGCCTTCGGATGTTGTGATCCCTCAGCTCCCCTCTGCCTCCATTTACCTTGAAGGCTTATACGCTCTCCGTTGTTCGACGAATCTTCCCCCAAAAAGCAGCGTAGGCCCCAAAAATCTACCATTTGCGGCGAAACGTGCAGGGCCAATTGAGCTGAAAGTGGTTTGATACTTCTCCTCAATTGTCTAAGCTGCAGGTCGTACGACATTCGGTAGACGGGTGGGCCTAGATATTTGCAGCGTACATGCTCAATTGAGAAATACATGCATGCAATGAACTGTTTCAAGGACGCACATGTTTCTCCAGGACATGAGACGGAATGTAGGTTCATTGAACGGGACACAGAGTCCTACCCGGGGACGTGTGTTCATAAAATGAAAAGCTAGACAAAACAGTTCGTGGTTGTATGTCAATAGACACGCATGTCGTATGAGGATGGATCAAACGGGGTACAAATTATGACCATCAGGTGCAGATGCTGTGGTCTACAGAGTCATCGAATTGACGCGAGGGATGCTGTGCCGACCAAACAAAAAGCAACGTGCGAAATACACGATCCAATCCAGAGCCAGACGGATAACTAAAATAGCGAGGCTGGAAACGAAAAAGCAATCTCAATGGTTAGTCAAAGCGTTACGCAAGAGGAGCAAATTTCAGCTGCAATTACAAAAGGCCAGTAGTTTATTCTCGATAAAAACAAAGTAAAGAAGTAAGGCGGATGATAAGAAGAGTGCAAACGAGAGTACAGTACAAGAAGTAGAAAAAAGAAACACTACACTGCAAGGGGTATCCCAATGTCCCAATTCAAGAATGAATCCCGAAAACGCCAAAAGCCGTGAGGCTACCGATATAAAATAGTGTGCGAAAACAGCATGACTACCGCTGTGTAATGTCCTTCCAATTTTCGTGCGGCTGTGAAGCCTCCAATATCTATGTACTTGGGTATAGGTTTCGTGCATAAGAGGTTTGGTCGAAGGTGACGAGGACGGTGTAGTTTCAGGATATGTAAAGGAGTGAATGATGGACAGCCGCATGCAGGGAATTAGAAGCGACGCTCCAAATGTGCAACCCTGGCCTTGAAGCCCTTGACTATCTCGCCAATGCGGCGGACCTTGTCGAACTCGACCTGGAGCTCGTCGATTTCGCGGAGGATTGCATGGAAGCGAGCGATCTCAGCGTCGGCCATTTGGATCGCGTTACCGGCGCGGTCGTACTGGATCTGAGTGGCCGTCTGGGTCTGTTGGGACAGCTGAAGCGGGTATGTCAGCAACGGATCTTGGGGGAGGGGAATTGGGCGGACTGACAGAGTGCCATCGCTGCTGGATGGAGTACATGAGACGATCAAAGTGGGCGCTGAGCGCCTGGAGGCTGGTGGGATCCAGGAGGAGACGGCCCTGGCTGGAGGCATGCGACGCAGCGCGCGAGGAGGAGCTGCCCTGTTGGGAGAGGGCGATTTGCTGGTGCTGGCGGAGGAGCTGGACTTCGCTCTGCGTGAGGCCCAGTGTGGTGTCGGGGACGGATCGCGAGGACATCACCCTAATATAGATTCGATACTTCTTATAGCAACAACATGGTCGGATAGCAGCGTCACAGACTGCGCATGGCACCGGCGAGACGGGATGAGCCTGCTCCTTGGGTGACGGCGGAGCGGCATGCAAGTCGTACAAGAGGCAGTACACAGCAGAAGGACGGGGGGAGGGATGGTGAAGTATGATTGTGTCGTGGGCCGACCGAACGAACACCTGCGAACCGCCCGTGAAAGCCAAGCCGAAAAAGAAACAATGCAACCACCACCACCACCAGCATCAACCCCCTTACCTTTGGCACGCCCATACTGCGCACCTATACCCGAATGCAGCCCTACCTTGTCCCCAATCCCAACCGCCCGCCGCCTTGCCATTGCGGTGCCTGCTGAAACCCGCGTCGCAAAGTGCTCGACTAATCACCCCAGCCCTCATTCACACCCTCTCAACCTCGGCCACCACCACTCGCCGGCCCATCACCACCTCCATAACCATCATCCCACCTCCTCCCAATCCCCGGGCCCAGCATCGACAGGGGCGCATATTTGCCATGCGACAGGTCTGCCCCGCCAGCTCGCGTTCCTCCCGTCTCCCGATGGAGAAGGTGATAGCGGTCGGCATCGGCAGATGATGAGAGCTTCAGATACAGTGCGTGCTGACCGTCAACCAAGTATATAACTCTCAACTGTGACCGACCATCGAACAAGTCCCAACTCGCGCTATCGCCGCCACAAAGTGAGCAAAGACGTCATTTCGTCCCATCTATCAAACACCGAGAGGCATCCAGAAGCATTTGTAGCCCGTCTTCCTCGCTCTATTATTTGCGGAGAAATCGTTCGACGCCTCCAACCTAGATCTAGATTTAACCGTATTGTCCACCGGAGCGAGCTGCACTGCGTTCCGGAACGTGAGGTAGAATTCAATCTCAACACGGCTTCTCTCCAACTTTCTAGCCTAGTGTGAATGCTGCCCCATGGCTCTATATTCTATAATGTCCTTCCTTTTTTTCTTCCAATTGAGATCCCCTGTGCGATAGTTCATTTTGATATCGGCAAAGATGAAGGTCCTCTCCCTTTGTGCGCTTGTCTCGCTGGTTTCACGCTGCACTGCGACCATTTACGAAAATGGTCACGAGCGAGAAACGCACTTTGTGAACACCAGGATCCCTTCCCTCGGCACGAACGATACAGAGTGGACGACGTACGGTCCAAACGCCACCGAACTCTCCTACAAAGGACGATGGGATGATAAGCATATCTCTTGGTGGGCGTAAGTGGATTTTCGAGAGTCCCGTGACGATCATGGTGAACCTATGGATGCTGTGTACAGCTGGTAGCCTCTTCCAGATTGCTGTGCTTTCTTGGAGTTGAACAGTGTACAATCGTAATTGTAGAATGTTTACACATCGTCGTGTCAGTCGCTGACCCACTGTCGTCAACGTAGTGCACCAGGCCTCAAGTTCGCCTTCACTGGGGAATCCGTCGCCATCACCTTCGGCCCTCACACGACCAACACGGTCCTCGTCGCCTACCGAACTGCAGGTCTTGATTGGCAACTCTCCAATATCACCACCAACGCGACACATCAATTCGTCTCTCCCTCGACGCCAGGCCTCAATGCTACGCTCCCCTCTCAACTCCCGCTCACCTTTGAGCTGCGAGTGACTAATTGGGCGTACGGGGTCCAGATTAATGCCGTGCATTTGGCCAAGGGCGAGAAATTGATCAAGGTCCCAGAGTTTTCGAGAAGAATCGAGTTCATTGGAGATAGCTTGCAGAGCGGATACGGCGCAGTATATGAAGCCCTGTCAGGCTTCGGCTGTAAGTGCCTTCTACCTTTCCCGTGTCATATTCTTATTCCAGTTTATCTCTCTTTTCCCCCTGGACCATCCCAACATGAGGATATACTTCTCAACCAACCTTCACCACCCCCCAATAAAAAAGAAAGAAAGAAAGAAAACCAATCTTGACCTTCCGAAAAACAGATACCGTCGGCGCAGGTCTAGGCTCTACCGAATTCAGCATAACAGCATACCCAGGCATCTGCCTCCATGACGCCAACTGCTGGGGCAACCCTCGAGGCCAAACGTACCAATTCTTCCGCACATCCGATACATCCCCCCGCGCAGCAGCCCTCTACAACTCCACACCCCCACTCTACGACTTCTCCTCGCAACCCACAAAGACCGACTTGGTGATTATAATGATCGGCACAAATGACAACAACACTGCGAACCCCGTCCGCGGAGACTCGTACTATCGCTCCTACCTCTCCTTCGTACCCGAGCTCCACACCACCTTCCCCTCCGCTGACATTGTGATCATGAACCTCTGGGGGAATTTCGTCCGGCAGGGTAATACGTGGGTGCAGCAGCCGAAATTCATCGACGAGATCCGCAAGGTCTACGATGTGTTGAAGGGGGAAGGGTATCCTGTGCATTTCTTCGATACCAAGGGGATCTTGCAGCATAATGATATGGGCCCGACTTTCCACCCGACGGATGCGGGGCATTTGAAGATTGCGGCGCATTTGATACGGTGGATTAATGTGATGTTTGGGTGGGAGTTGGACGCTACGGGCCCGGAGGTGCAGCATGAGACTACGTATTGGAATGATCAGGTGAATTATTGAGGGTGGTATGTGTGTGTGAGGAGGGGAAGAAAGATGGAAACGCGGGTTTGGTGGGTTGGTCATTCAGGAAGCAGGGTGAAAACAAAACGATCATCATATCATCAGAGAAGTGTTTGTAGTGAAAATGTATCAATTACATTTATCTACATCTTGCTAGAATGTGGTGTTCCTTTCTTTGATCGAAAAGACAAACAAAAGTAGAATAATAAAATATGAAGCCTTGCTGCTTATTGTCAGTAGGTCGTGGGTATCTCGGCGTCGTTTCCCTATCCCTTTCATTCACCTCCTTCCTCCTGCACGTAACAATACATAAGATTACGGTTCGAAAGAACAAATGGAATAGCCATGAGGGTCGTGATGCAGAAAAAGCAGAGCGAAAGAAATGGGTATGCACAGTCCGTCCGTCCATCCTCCTTTCCAACCGGCCATATTTACACGCTATGCACAAAGATTAAAGAAATAGAAGACGAACAATATAATATGAAACAAGAAAGGAAAGATGCGTAAGCGGGAGAGGGTATGAGTAGAAGAGATGATACGCGACTCAAAGTGCGTAGTTCTCAGCATGCAAAAAGATCTCGTCTCTTTTGGGTCCGCTCCAGACAGTTCGTTGCATCTCAGCGACTGTGTCGCTGACCACTGTACGCATGCCAGCGGGGCCGCAGACGAACACGCACGTCCTGCGACCGAAATTTCGTCCCATCTCCCGAAGCAAGAATTTGAGATCGGGGCGCCCATACTCGGTGCTCCAACCGTCCTTCTTCTTGACCGCAGCTGGCAGGAAGGCGAAGCGCATGAGGTTCTTTTGGAACTCGGTCGGTGTAGAGGGGAAGCCAAAGTCGAAGCCTTGAATGGCTTGCGCGGGGTCAGTAGCGGATGTAGGTGAAGCGGAGTTGTGGTGAAGAATGGAAGGGTCGAGCCCTTCTGGTTTAGATGCAAGCGCAGTAGTGATGTCGAGGGAGAGATTACGGTCCTGTCGACGGGATGCGATAGATCGAGGGTTTGGCGCAATGAGGTCTGGATTGGATGAGTTAGGTGTCGTCGCGTGGCTGCGATTGACTGGCACCAAGTGAGCTTGCGGGAGGGCTGTAATGCTGTCTTCGTTTTCACGGCGTAGCTCCTTCTCTTTCTCCGGGTCGCCCTGCGCTTCGTCACGGATCAAGGCGGAATGTCGTTTGGTTGAAATACCTGAAACGCGGTGGTCGGCGATATTTTGGAACGCATCGTTGACTTTATCATGGAAAAATAGAGAAACTGGGCGAGTGGGGGTCTTCGCGGATACAATGTTGCCTGCGTTATTTCTCTTCGCACCGGTTATGTAGAATTGGCATTCCACGCTTTCTGGAGGCGCAAACTCGCGACAGATTCGAAGCTCTTCCTTGAACCATTCCATAGTTTCCGGTCGTTTGAGTGCCCAAATCACGTGCACTTTGCGGGTGACTGCTTTTCCATCGCGCATCTTCTTGATCAGAGAAAGGATCTGTGAGATGATGGCGGTGATACCGGAACCGCCCGCGATGAGAACAACGTCGTCAAACGCCTCGATGCGACGCTGCATCCCACCATAAGGCCCATCTATAAAAGCGCGATACGTGTGCCATGGGCCGTGCTCGAGAGCACTATTCATAACCTTCTTGGTGAATCCACCAAAGGGGCGGAAAACAAGAACCATATCCCTGTAGCCCTCACCGTACTCCGAGGGGAAATCCTCGCTGCAAAGCGATGCAATGGTGAAAGGGTGGTTTTCAAACACGGAAATACCGGGCATGCGCAAGTAAACGTACTGTCCAGGACGCCACCTCGTTTTGGTTGGGATCGTGATCTTGATTGCGTTTTCTGGCATGATTGTGACGGCTGCTTCGTCGCCGATAAGCCAGGACATGCGAGTTGGGTTCGCCCAGTTGAGGTAGAAGACTCGCACAGCATAGGACGTGAGCCAGATAGCAAGGGTCGCGAAAAGGTAATTCCACGAGGTCAAATAGTTGTTGCAATGCCAAAAGAGCATGCCGAGGAATAATATAGCGACGGGAACATGGAGAGACACGAAAAGCTCATACATCCAATGACGGAGCGGCTCCAGAGAATGGAGACAGAGAAAGCCAAGAGGAACAAGAGCAGCGATTCCTGCCATATAATTAGCACCGATCATGTTACATGGTTTTGATCTACATACCAGTGCCGTAAGCATAGAATCCCTCCTGCTGGAAGAACGAGTCGAACACGCGTCGACCGCCGTCATGCCAGACAGGAGTAACATAATATGGGACGGTATGAATAATACTGAGTATCAAACACAAGTACGCGCCCCATCGATGCAATACATTGAGCCTTTCATGCCCAATCCCAGTGATCAGTGTGATGATGTTTGCTTTCATCGCCAGCCCAACAATCCATGGCATCAAAGCAACCGCCAGCATTCCGGACCGAACAGCAAGTGGAGGAGATCCATAGGCGATGCTTTCCCAAAAGAGGGGTTGCGGGATGAAACTATAGCAAATGCCCACAGCTAAGGCCGCCAGGACGATGAGGCATACAGCGGCCGAAGGAAAGACCAATGGTCGCCATCCCTTTTTGATATGGATTTGGCGTATTGGCCGATAGAAGACAAACCGAAAGAGCGCTATACAGTTGTTGATGGGCCTTAGTGAAGATACAGTCGACTGCGCCTTGGGAGTCTTTGGCAATGGACCCTCGCGCGGAAAGAACTTCATGGTGGACTTGTCAGTATCAAGAACCGACAGCTCGTAATCTGTGTCTGGGGAAGAGGTTGCCGAGGATTTCAATACCTCTTCTTGGTGCAGTGCCGTCCGGATCTTGTCCGTGAACAGGTGGTAGTATCGCAAGAGACCAGCAAATACGAGCAATGGAACGCAGAAATAGACATATGCCAGAGCATATTTGCCGCTTTCACTCCATGGATCCCGGGTGTTGGCCTCTATCAATCCAGGTGGGCTCGTTGAATTGGATGGTATCTTGATCCGGCGCACAAGCGTTGAGATGCCCTCTGTTATTCCGCGCTCCGCCAGTGACAATGCGCTTTCCAAATGCTCCACTGTCTCGCCCGCCTGTCTTGCCAATGCTTCTGGAACCGCAGGCATCTCGAAGTCCTAAAATTGCGATACTGGCGACCGGTGGGGAGTGAAGCGTGGTTGAACACTCTTGCCAGCAGAGGTCCAACTCAGCGAGAGGCGGCCTGGATAAAGCGTTGCTGTATTTGAAACTCAGTGGCCGGGGAGATGTGCCTCGGGCGATTCCTACATGGAATACGACGACGAATTTGCGGAGACTAGGACAATGCGGTGTGAGGATGCAGCCAACGCTCTCTTTGGGAAGAATGCTGGTGTATGATTCGCTGGTTGCAGTATTGGATCCCGGGCAATCTTGTTTCGATTCATGCGGTGACCAAGTTCCTGCACTCGGTCTTTGGAACGGGTTGTCACTGCTAGTGACAAATGTCAATGAATAAGGATGAGTATTGAAGGAAGACGATGACTTGAAGTCTGGGTGAACTGTGCTTGAGCGCGATCCATTAGATCGCAGGTGGACATAGGACTCGTTAAGAGCATTGATCTAGCGGGACGGGTGGGATAGGATGTGGAAGCAGGGTCAAGGGTATATACATGCTATTAGGTAGTGTGAACCAACAACATTTGATATTCAGCCGCTCACTTGCATTGGACGCAATGGCTATTGGGCTAGAATGTGATAAGTGTGCTGGGCAGCAAGTAGCGAGTGACGAAAGGGGAGGGTGATATCTTGCTCCCTGCTCCTTTAACGAGAGGTTGGTCAAGCACTGCTAAACGGTAGCGGCGGCAGAGCTGTGAGTGGTGGGGTCCCTGCAGACGAGGCCCATTGAGCCTGAGCTCAGTCCGAACGAAGCGGGAGGCGTTGTCGATTGCAGCGGATGGATTGCAGGCCTTGCTTTGCCGAGTTGTCTTCATCCCGCAGCTCACTTGCAGTGCATATCGCACCTCACGGCAGCATCCCCAGAGCAGCACACGGGTTACGTTCGTTTTGCTGATGCCATCTCACATCAGATTATCTCTGTCGCTATGGCTCGCGACTTCTGGAGATTCGACACGGCAGTTGAGTGTCCCCGGGTATGGATCCATCCGAAGGCGGCCTAGGCGATAACAGACAATATACGCCACTCGAGAGCGTCGCAATCGAATCAAGAGGATGGACGGCATCGTGCCCGGACTGCGATGCTCGCTGTCCATGTTCGCATGACTGTGGCATTGGGCGAATGGCGACATGTCTCTGATGGCGTACACTGCTCTGCATCGGCATGCACGGGGGAGGAGTAGTCAAGTGGGGTATGTGGTGCTGAGAGTGCATTGGTTGGGTGGCAGGTAATGTGTAAGCGCCGGACTATCACGATCCCTATGCGACGGGCCCTGATTGGTTCGACACTACAGAAAAGAACTTTTCCACAACACTGATATCTCCTCAATCGGTATGGTTGCCACACCGTCAAGACAACATTATCAGATGGGGCAGATCAATCTCAGTAGGCGAACAAGAAGGAGTGGGCTCGACTATCGCGGCATCATGGATTGACTTTCAGTCGACCACTCTGATAGCTCATACTCAGGTGCCTATCAGACTATGAGAATCTCCATATGTGGTCTCCAAGCATCAGGGTAATTCAACTAAGCTTCGTCATAATCGGGCACGGCAGCGCTATGATCTATGCTCATCTACATCCAACCCACGTTGCAATGCCACCCCTCGTGCCCTCGTCTTTCACTTCATCATGTAGCTCTCTCTGTCTCTATCACACAGCAACCGCCAATGGACCTGTTTCGAGGCCCGGACTATACATCTGATAACCCATAATGATGCACACTGTTATCCCCGTCACAATCGGGTGGTCTTCAATCCGGCCACTTGCATCTCTTGCTCTCTCCAACGTTTCGAAACATTCATCCCACTCACTTGTCATCGTCAATGTTAGGCGCCCAGTGACCCATTGCCGGACCGTAATCCTGCATACAGGTACCCGCCAGCCCTACGCTCGCGCCTCCCCTTTCACAGCACGTTTTCCCTTTCTTCCCCAAACCCAGATCATCCGGGTACGGCTACCTCATACGCGCTCAAACAGTTCGGTGGCTGCAGCCCTAAGTGTATGTTGGCAGTGCCTGATATGCATGTCCAAATCCTGCATTTCCTCTTGCAGCGGCATGATAACGTTTTGGGGAGTGGACCGAGCGCTAAGGTATGTGCGTAGACCTTGGGGAACGGTTGCTGCGTGTTTTTCTGTTGTGACGTGGAGACTGTAGGGCCCATCGAGTGGGCTGCTTGCCATGCGAGATGAGCGTAGCGAAAATGCAGGTCGGTTTCCGTGCATGAGAAATGTAGCACTGTCCCATTGCCTCGTGCTCTAAGCGCCGGAACTCTTCAACGTCCATGCTACATCTCCTTGTGGCAATTTTTTTGTCTCGAATGAGGATAGTAGATCAAATGCTGGACAAAACGAAGCATATGTGCCCCTGAGTTGAAGTGACACCAAGGCACTGAAGTGACATACCCCAGTTCGCTGAGCATAGACGTGCTTATATGGTAAGATTGACGAGTCGGCGTGTATGCGAAGTAATATATCCCTATGCATCTTGACATTCTCACCACTGCTCTTTTACAGTCAGCTTATTCCGTCGGCAGTTGAATACACGCGCTTCCGAGGGATCGTGTTCTTCTCTCGCTGAAGGCCATCACCTGAACTGCATGTTAAATGTGCTCTATGATACTTGTGTAATGGCAGTGAATGGAAAATGAATTGCTCGAGGAAATTCGGGAGGGAAGACAGTTGTTACATGCAGAATCTGTTACATATTTGTAGTGGATCTGATAGGGTTGGTATTTCTGAAGCTGACGTGCCGCATTTATGCTCCCTTCTCCAACCCCGCAATCTCACTCTCCATTCTCTCTAATTCTCCTATGATCCATTCTTTCCGTGCAGCTAGATCTCTCATCCCTTTCTCCCCTGCCTTTGCGTACAGCTCCAAAGCCCTCCTAGCCAGGCCCTCTCGATCCTTCAATCTTGTCTCACTGCTTCCCTGTTGCGCCTTGAAGTTCTTAAGCGCAGCGAGAAATGGCGCAGGTGGAGGGTGAGTGTAGGTATGCATACGAGCTTCTAGACCAAGGACTGTAGCTCGAGCGCTCAGTACTTCGGATCTGGCTTTCGTATGCCTAGCAAGAGCACCATATTGAGTTTGCTCAAGGATAAGAATAAGCGATTGGAGCAGTTGTCGGTGAGCGGTCAGCATGTCAACGGCTAGATTTGACAACTGTGTTTTGGCTTCTGCTAATTCTTGGGGCAGTTCCAACACAGCTTCATTATGCAGTATTTCTGCTCTAGATTTCAATTCGTCAATAGGTGGCGTCTTCGTAGGGTCTGCAATTGAGCATAGCAAACCCGCTACGACACTAAGCTGGGTAGAGATGCTCTCCGAAATGATGTCAATGTTGGAGAGAAAGACATCTTTGTCGGCTAACAACATCTCTTGGTCGACTAAAGGTATTTGGTCTTTGAGCTGTGCGGTCATAAGCTCGATTACTGAGTGGAGTTCCGGGGGAAGAGTCGCTGATTTCTGCGGAAGCGTGGACAGCGTTGATATGAGAGTTTGCGTTTCAAGAAGTTTTATGCGAGAAGATTGAAGGCTCTGAATAGTTCGTTAGTTCCAATAGACTGGACACCTAGCTTATGGTGAAAATGCTCGAGTGTGTTAACATCAGTCGCACGGGGGATGAAAAACATAGATGCAGGGCGAGCCAAGCCTCTAAGTACATCAGGAGTTTCTTAGACTTGTTGAACTGGAAGACCCTGATCGGAAAGGCGCAAAGTTTACTTACTGCTCGTATTCCATCATGTAAACGCTGCTTTTTAACGTCTCGAGTTGAGCCGTCAGGGTTCAATTTTCGCGCGCAGATATCTTTGTACAGAATCTCGAAGTTGGGGTTCCGCTGTAATATGCCGGGATCAGAAGGGGGGATCATCTTCACAGCTTTTTTCGGGGTCGGTTTGATTTGAGTAGAGTGGTGTTCAATGGCGTCGAATGTGAACTGATGTTGTTGTTGTATTTGGCTTGAGCGTCTACGCTTACTTGATTGGGCGACAGTGCCAAACGAGTGCACTTCGAGTCCAACTAAGTGGGATCCCCGACGCATTAAGTCCTGTATACATGAGAAACATCTACATTATATTTTATTTTCACTGGTGCAAACTTAATCACTTGCGAAGCAGCCAAAACAATGTTTAGTGGTAGTTGATTCTTCATTATTCAGAAGAGAAGAGTTGAGGCCTAACCTTGAAGCATGTGTATCGAGGGTATCAGATATCTGCTGGCGTCTCGCTACCGACATCAGAGTAATGAAATATGAGAATACAACTTCGTCGGGTACTTCGATTGACTAGATAGCATGATCACAATCCATTATCTGAGTATTATAGATTATAGTACCTGGAGTTGTGTTCGTGGCATTAGCACCGGGAGTTACTGTCGCCTGGCTGGCAGAATCGTTAATTTACGAATTAACTAAGTCGAAACCCTTACCCTGCTCCTTTTCCAAGTTTCTAGACCAATTATAATGCCAGTCGAGAGAAGTCGAAAATCTGAAATTGTACTGCACGAATTTTTTATAGCACTGCTCTTATGACCAGTAATCAGTAGGTCATAAGAGATGTAGCGTCTGATAACATAATTAACTGCTTTTTTGCACAGATTACTATATAGTTATCGTTTGCTTAGAAAAATCAATTTTATTTAGTATTACTAAAGAGTCTACGAAGTAGTAACATATGTGTGTAGGTCGTTATTGCAAATACTCGCGATGTATTTAAGTTGCTTAAGATGAGAACCATTCGCTGACGTAACCTGCTCCCCCACCACCAATCGACCCCTCTTCTACTTCTCCATAGCTTCTGTTCAACACAAAACTTCCCAACCCCGTCACATTCCCTCAATTGACACTCTTATACAAAACCGTCACAACACGCGGGATAGTCCACACAACCCACTCCAAGAGAGCGACCGCAAAGAGAAGAAGAAAAACTCCAGAGAAAAGATGCCAGACCTAAAAGCAACCTACACGTCCCTACCAACAACCACCTCTCCCCACACCAAAACTTTCACACATGCGCTCCCGCCTCTCGATCCCGTCACCGCCTCTTCATCGCCAGACGATCGCACAGTTTCCCTCGCCGCGCTGCAAAATAACCTGAAAAACCTGCAAGCAGATATCAATACCTTCTTGACGGCCAAGATGGCGGAAGACAAAGCCGCCGCGGATGCAAATGCCGTGGGAGCTAGCGCGGCGAAGAGGAAGAGAGGCGGGAATAATGCTGACGATGACGAGCTGGAGAGGAACTACGGGGAAGATGTTGGAGATGAGGCTTGAATTATGTGGGCTATGGAAAGGAAGGCCATCCGCTATAACTGCCAGTATAAAAAGATGGAGGCGGGGAATGTGATGGATCGAGAGCGAGCATATTCCGCGTGCTTATACAACACATACACACATACATGTGCACGTATACCTACTCGGAGAGCATCACGCCTCCTTGCTAAGTCATTACAGCGCCATCCATCACGATACCTCTCCGTTGAGCAGCACCAGCATCCGAAGATTTGTGCGTGTCTACTTCAGTACATTGAACATGCACAATTTGAAACGGGCACCATCAAAGCTTCGAAAGAGGAAGCAGAATGAGACAAGGATAACACATGGTGCGAGCCAGTGAAATGCAATAAAAGATGCCAACGACGATTCAACTTACAGAAAAGCCGAAGATACCATGTGGAACTCGTGTGATGCGAGGCCGTGGCCTATCAATGAATTCTATTCTAGATATGAGGGGTTGGTTGGATCCAGGCACATAGGATAGTTCCAACAATAGAGGCGCAAGAAAATGCGGGGCTGTAAAGTTGACATGGAGCAGCAGGCCTAATGATAGCGAACCACCAATCTGCTGCTGGCGTTTAGTTGGGCATGTCAATGTAAGAATAGGTTTTACAAAGTTGTTATTTCTTCTTAACGTTATGCTTCTACTGAGACTTATTGATCACGATGGCTTCATTATCGTCAAGCTGGAACCAGATTCTGTTGAAAGTATATCGAGAATGCGGAAGCAGCGACTTGACGTATAGTCCTCGTGCACATGAAAATCAATCCCAGTAGAAGAAACGGGAAGAAAAGTCAAGGATGGCGCAAAGAAAAGGGGGGAAAGGTTTCGGCGCACGGATGAACGAGGAAGAAGGTCAGATTTGCTGATAAACGTATTTATATACAAAGATGTAAATTCATCCTGCTCCGCGTGTGTCAAGACATTGACACCTGACATAATGAGATTCGAGCTTTTGTCAAAATGCACCTTTCCTCCCTCGTTGGAACATATTTACAAACGGTACGAGCTCGACAGTGACGATCATACACGCCATCCCACTCCACTCTCGCCTTCATGGTACAACAATCCAGCATTCGAAGATTCAAAAAGGAATCAGAAAAAAAAAGTCTACACCTCACCGCCACCCACCACTACCCCCCGACGACGCAGCGGCAAACGTAGCAGCACCCCCCTTCCTCCCAACACTGCCCCTCAGACAGCCCGAATGCACCACACTGTTATCCGGATAAACACGAATAGCACTCCCACCAAACCTCTTATGACAAACCGCACAATGGCGATCCTCTGTAACAACGACTCTGCGATTCAACCCGCCAGGAACCCTACGGCCTTGCTGATCGACGCGCTCGACATCGCCGAGACGCACCTGCGCTTCTACGTCGATTTTCTCAACGGCGCGGAGGCGCGCGACGATGCGCTCTTCGTTGAGGAGCGAGTTGGCGTTGCGGATGCGGCCTAGGAAATAGGAGGAGAGGTCTTTGACGGGAAGGGAGGGGGGTACGAGGTCGAGGGTTGTGGAGGCTGGGAGGCGTGCGCCGTGCTTGGAGAGGAGGTCTAGGGCTGGTGGCCAGTTCGGCTGGTGTGGGGGTGGGGGTTGGAGGTAGAGGGAGAGGAGGATGTGGTATATGGATGGCTCGGTGGAGTCGGCGTCAGAGGATGATGTTGTTGTCGAATGTGTGGTTCTGGTTGGGGAAGAGGGATTTGAGGCTGTGAGATAGGTTTGGTTGCAATATCTGAAGATGCTGGGTTAGTGTGGACAGAGAGGGAAGTTGACAAATGGGAGAACTTACTCTTCTGCTTTATCGTAGTCCTTTAATTGGAACACGTAAATCTGTAGGGCTTGTCTATGCTGGCCCATCTTACTCAGTACAATCGCTCTTGCTTCGAAGTAATTGGGGTCGCTGGATGGCATTTGTCGGAGTACGCGAGATCTGTTGTATGAAGCGCTTGTTCTGAGGAACGTTTGCAACCGTTTCATCCATCTCTCTTTCTCCTCGTCATCTTCAAACTCCCCGGCTTTGAACCTCTCCAGGAACAAATCCACTAGTCTCTGGTGAAAATCGGGGGTTGTATCGTTGAGCTCTTCAATTATGTGTTCCAGGTACTTGACTGAGAGTTTTGAATCAATCTTTTCAAGATACTCTACTACTGGAGGACGAGGTAGAGTTTCTGCATTCTCTGTGTCAGCCAGGAAAACATCCATGCCAAGCGCTGGATCCGTTCGTAAAGGCCACTCCGCGAACTCCAGAATCAGATCTAGCATCTCTGGTGGCAGTTGCTGCAAGTACCCAACCGTGCGTTGGGGACCTTGGAGCGCTGCCGACACTTCTTCGTCGGCTTCGTTCTTGCCAAATTTCGCCAGTAATTCCAAAGCTTGACGATGAAGCTTTTTTCCGTGGAGGAAATCAATCAGGTCTGCGTATCGACCAGTCTCATACAGCTTCTCTTGAACGACATCTGGTTCACAGAAGTTGGGCAGGCGGAAGAGTGGGCCTGCCAGGCCTGGACTTGCGAGCATGTACGCCCGGAAGAGTGTGGTGTCTACCAATTGCGCAACTTTCGCTAGCTCGGCGGCCCAGTCGATCCCGGAAGGCGGACCCGAATGCTGTACAAAGTAGTGGAAAGCTGGCTTATATTCTTCAGCTTGACTCTCGCTTTGTTCAGGCAGCGGCTCTTTTAGAACACCGTCTGTGTCGATGTATCGTTTGATCTGAACACGGCACTGCGCAAGAAAAACCTGCAGTGCACGAACGGCATCCCTCAAGTCCTGTCCTTCCAAACACTTGTCAGGTACAATGGTCTCCGATGTCTTGCCCTTGAGACTCGCAGTATCAGTCGTGTCGTCCTTAGCAGCAGACTTGACAGAGGCAGTCTCAGAATCGGCCTTTTTGTGCCCGTACAACCGGCCCATCATGGAACGTCCGATAGTAGAAGGTGGAGGCTGAGGGGTGTCCTTGGAATCAGGTGATGTTTTCTCGCTATTGATTTCATCTTCCTCTTCGTCCACGACACTTTCTGTATCTTTTACACTCTCTGCTGCAGAGTACTTGCCCGCAATCGACCTTGGATACAGGGCGATGACGCGCTCGGGCGGAGCTTTTGCATCGGTAAACAGGTCCATAGCTTCTTGGAACTTGCGCAGATCAAAGAGTGATTGTGCCTTCAACATCCTTATTTCACGGATTCGACCTTCACTGTCGTGTAGTAATGTATCCTCGAGCATGTTGAGTAGACTTAGAGCTTCGTCGTAACGGGCGTTTGCCACGAGCTCATCGATTTGAGATTCGTAATCTTGCGCACCCATTCTCCAGATGCACCGGTCGCTCGCAATAAGAAACCCCTTGCCCGCGTGTGCCAAGCTAATGTTTGGTTGTGGAACGGACATAAAGTTTGCATTGGGCAGCGAAATAGTCTGTAGCAAACTCATTGTGTCGGGATTTCGTACCTCAAGCCCGCCTTTCGATGGTGCCTGTAGGGCGAGCATATATGGATACGAGTATGCGAGACTGTCTGGCGCCGATGGCCATGGGACCTGCCGCTTATCGAGGGCATTACCGTCGGTGTCGATAAATAGACTGTTGACATCTTTGGCGAGCAGCATCTCTCCTTCCCCTAACCTCGTAGCAAGGGGTTTTGGTACCCAGCTGCCCATTCCCATGTAACCCATGCCTGAGGATGACACAGCACCAAAGCGTGCGCCTTCCTTCCCGCCTGCTTCCCCCAACGCTCCAGGTTTGACGATGTCCTGAACGTCCTGGGTCTCCACATCGACGATCACGAATCCTGGATCCATTCCCGCGACAATCTTGGTTCCGGTGGCCCAGGTCAGGCTCTTGACTGATGCGACCAGCGTGATCTCGGTCGCCTCCCCGTTGAGCTCCATGTCCTGCCATGTCCACAGTATAATCTTTCTCTTTACTGCAACGGCCAATCTGCTCATGATGCTCGGGATTCCCGTACTGGGGTCCTTTACGATGTTGCTCGTAACCGCGAAAGTAGAAGCTCCGCGCGTCTTCTCCAACTTCTCCTGTAGCGTATACGTCTGAAGATCGTGTATGGAGACATGATTATCCGAGAGGGAGACCAGTATATTGGACTCCTTGATTATGGCCAGTTGCTGTATCGGCCGTCGCGAAAACTTCTCCTCTTCGCGCAAAAGATCAGCCGGTCGAACTTTGGTCGTATGCGCTTCGGGCGCTGGGTCTCCGTTCTGCGAGCCGTTGTTATGTGGAGGAGGATCGTCATCTTCGGTCGCTTCGTTGACTCGGTAGATGCGCAAAGCGCCAGTATTCAGACCTACGAGCACTCTGTCTCCTAAACAGCTGTCAGCATTCGTACTCAAGCCGTGGGAAGCTTGCAAGTACCATAGGCCAGCAGGGACTCGATTTTAGACTTGTCGCGCTGCTTGAGCTCGACAACGGGTCGAGCTGTGAAAGCAGAGAGCATTGTGAGAGTGTGAGGAATAAAGTCATCTCATATCATTTCATCGGGCTGTCATGGCTGTGTGTATGATTGACTGTAGTTTGGGGTACCGAGTTTGGAAGTACGGAGCGCTTCGAGAGTCGGCGGGCTACGGGGAGCTCGTTCGTCATTGCATGGCCGACTGACCAGCAATGTGGCCCGAGCTTCCCAACCACGTGTTTGATCGTTCACCATACAGAAGTTCAATGGTAAGCAGATCAATCTATGGAATTGAAAACCTTTAATTTTCACGCGTATACCGAATTTTCAACTAAATACTGATTGATGGTTTTACAAATGATAATACAGGAATGCTCACTCCTGATCCAGTCTTTCCTTCTCATCCTTCAAAATCTCCTCCACATAATCCTCAATCTTGCCCTTGTTCGGCACCCACCCGACTGTCTTATTCCCCCTCTCAGCCTTGCCCCTACTGTTCAATCCCCAACTGACCGCCTCAAACCCAGCCCGATCAAGCGCCTCTTGTTTCGCCAGCTTCTTCTCCTCCAACTTCGCACCCCCATCCGTCTTCACTAACCCCAGCTCCACCGCCTTCTCTCCCATCTTCCTCGCAAGATCCGCCCACTTATGCTCTGCAGCATCAGTAAGGAAGTACCCCTTCTCACCCCACAACTCCTCGTCGTCGTTGCGTTTCCCAGATACCGCGGCCTCGGCAAGCAGCACAAAGAGCTCACTCAAATCGTGCACGTGCACGTTGTTCCAGAGCGTTTCTCCTTTGCCGATGATGGGGACGTACTTCTCTTTCAAGATGAATTTTGCCATTTCGTATGCCTGGCGACTACGAGCGTTACTCGGGCCGCGGCCACGGCCGAAGATGGTAGGCGGACACACGATGGCGGTGCGGATGCCACCACCCTGCCCACCGTTGCGTCCGGCTTCAAGGACCAGCTCGTCGATGTTGCGATGGAAGGCGTCGGAGGGGAGGGAGGTCAGGTCTTGCACGCCGGCCCAGTCGTTGTATGTGCGGTCTGAGTGAGTCCCGAGGCGGTTGTCCATGTCGCGCATGTCTTCCCATGCTAGGATCCCTGTGCCGCCTGTGTGAAGCCAGAAACCGGGTTTCTGTTTGGTGTGTTGTGCGAGGCCTTTGGCTATGGCGCGGGCAGCTGGTTCGTTGTCTGACGCATCGGCCGTGTCTGTTTCTGAGTGTGATTAGTATACAGATGCATGCGCGATGAATGTTCAAGTATGTGATTGATGTGCTTGAGAGGAGTCTTACGTATCACCACATCAGCAGCAGCAGCTTCCTTCTCTAGAATATCTGCATCGTCTAGATTGCCTATCACAATCCTGACTTTGGGGAATGCGTTTTTGACTGGTTCAGCCTTTTGCTCTGTTCGTACTAGAGCTGCATAGTTCCAGTCTGGGTGTTTTTCGTAAAGGACGTGGAGTGTATCTCCTCCAATGTAACCCGTTGCTCCCGTTCTAATGCGTCATGTGGTCAGTTAAAAGGATACCAAGTGTGGAATGTAAAGAGGAGATGTTCGCGTACATAAAGATCTTAGGAGTAGCCATGTCGATTTCTTGGTCACGATGAGAAGATATGACTGAATTGAGTGCTATAATTGTGTGTGTATCGTGATATGACTAGACGCCGTTTTCGAAGGTATCGAATGAATTGATGGAGCCGGAAATTGAAACCGCGTGTAGCAAGATATATGTTCTTTACGACTCCATTAATAATGTGAATCGAAGATACAAGTTGTTTGCCGTCGTCAAACTTACAAATCAAATATGGATCTGCCCATACAGTCTTGCCCGTAAATGTCGTCTTTGTGGGTCCTCTAGTTGATGCCAGAGCTGCTGCTGCTGCTAAATGAAGAGCTGAATTCCTGTTCGGTAGTTTCACCTGGAGCTCTGCAATGTGTCTGTTAGATGAAGACAGATAGAGGCACATAAAGGACTTATAATTCAACGACTATCAAGAATGGATGACGTAGAGAATACACCAATTCACGTGAAGGTGGATGCATTGGAAGAGAGTTTAAGCGGTGCAACCCCACCTAGACTAAGAGAACAACGGCATACGATCCGCCACAGTAGCCAGCGAGTACATCTCAACATCACAAAATCACAAAATCAAACACAAAGATGGAAGTATGAGGGGGTAAATGATTCAATTTTGACACAAGTGATAGCCTCCAACAAACGAGAACAGTCTGATGAGAGAGCGAAAAACGACTATCTGAAAAAAATGTCCCCTCGCAATATTTTTTGTTTTGGTTTCGTTCCCTTTGTGATCAAATGACTGTCAAAGCCTGATTCTTCCTCCCATTCTTCCCCAAAACTTGACACATGTCCGTAATAGGTTCCGGCACCATACAAGATGGGCAGCAGAATCGACACAAGACGGCGCTACAAGAGCGCAAAACCAACCCTACATCCTGGGGACGAGGATTCTTCAACCTGCGCTCCTTCACAATTGAACAAAACAAAGGAAAGAGTATTAAGCCAACACAGCGCGTCATCTCTCGACCTACACTACAACTCAAAGCCATCACCAAAACTCCCCGGTCCTGCTCAGCAGAGGGAGAAGAGGGAGGCAGGGAGGAGGCAGGTACAAAACGCTCGTTACCAATCAGCAGCTCAGCCACCACACTCACGCTGTCCCCCAGCGACAGCCACAGCGGGTCCAAAGGATACATCCAGAAGGGCCGGTGAGTTAACGGAAGCGGTGTGGAGGCGAGGCGAAAATAGAGCGATACATAGCCGATATGCGCGGCACTTCACAGCGTTCAAATCCACTGCATGCCATTTGCGTCCTTGACTACAGCACAGAGCAGCGGCTCGGGGCCAACCGGGCAAGCCACGGGCAAGCGCGGAGCGGGTGCAAAATCTGTAGAAGGGAAAAGGGCATCGCAGGGCGCGCTGGAGAGGTGCGGCGGGAAAGGCCCTCGGGAACAGACATACCAAAGGAGATATGCACAAACTCTCAATGTGACGATAAGGAAATGGGAGTGTTTGACAAGAAACCGTTGTAATGAAAAGGGTCTCGTAAGAGACGTACACAGTCTGATCTTTGGGGTATTGACATGGAGATAAGAAAAACGTGAAACTGGAAACACTCCAAGAACCTAACAAAGAGAGGGATATCGATCCAACGCCTTAACAAGATGTAGAGCACAACACAACGCTACTAAACCAGAAAAACATTAAAGCTGGCACACTTCGCAATCGTCGAGCGAAGGCTCAGACGCGGAAGAAATGCCAGCGAAAGATTGAAAAAAGAATGTAGATACGAAACACCAGTTTCGTTCCATCTTCAACCCACTGAGAGAAGCAAAGCTCCATCGACCAGGGGGAAGATTCTAAACTCAGAGAGCGGGAAGGCATCAACCTGAGCGAACGTGGGACCTCGAGTTCCAAATTACGTAACCTGAGCAATTACGGCTCATCACAGGCCGATGTAACAATTCAAACGATCTTCTTAGACACAATGACGCAAGCGAAAAGGTCAGGGAAGATGATGAATTTATCGACGGTATGGATCGTTGAATGGGTTCTTCTCGTTGTTGCTGGCTTGAGTGAAGGGATCACGTTTATCTTCGAGAGGGGATGGGTCAGCGAGATGACCATGGCTACTGACACGAGCATGACCAGGACGGGAGGAGTCGGTAACCGTATGCGCGCCCACGTAGCCGTGCTTTTCGGCTGGCGAGTCGTTGTCGTTGGGGGCATAGGTCCGGAAAGCTCGGGTCTGTGGCGCAAGCGCTGAGGGCTCGTACGAAGGTGGTGCCGCATCAGAGGGGATAGGCTTCGAAGGGTTATCGGTGGCGGGGTCCACAACATAGGCTGTGCCTTGGGGGGTATCCCGGCGAGCCATGTGTGTGCAGGCGTAGACGAGACCAGTGAGAGCGACTACCAACCATATAACGATCAGGGTGGTAGCGATGAGAGCCTCGGTGCGGATGCCATCTTTGAGAACATTGATGACGCGCATGACGGCCTCGGTGATCTCGTCTTTGGCCTTACCACTGGGGTCGGCAAGCAGCTCTTGGGACGAGCCAGAATCGTCGACGTTTGCTAAAGCTCCCAAAGAAAGGGTGTCATTAGCCACGCCAGGGAAAGCCACGTGCGCGTTGTCATGTACCCAAGTAAGACCTGATTGTATACTGGCAATCTTCAAGCCAATCAGGCATTTCAAGACTTCTTGGATCGGATCTCGGAGAATGGTGTCGCCAAAGGCCTCGTCGAGCAAGTCGTTGGTTTTGTCGACAAAGACATTGATTGTCTCGTTGACTGCCGATGTGCCTTTCTGAACCCAGCCGAAAATGTCATCGTTGATCTCCTTGTCGAGCTTTCCAACGGCATCATTGACACCATTGGACCAAGACATGGAGGCATTGTTGAGCTTGACGACGACCTGACCAGCGAAATCGGCGACTTCGTCGGTGAGTTCGGGGGTTTTCTCCTCGATCTTGATGAGTAGCAGGTATTGGCAGAAGCATGAAAAGAGACCTGCGATGCCCAAGGCAATCAGAAACAGCATGGGCATCGAGGTGGCATAAGCCCAAGCCCAGCGCATGATGGCCTGGCGGCGGGTGGAGCCAAAACGATGGCCGAGCCACAGTCCTAGTGAGCCGGATGTTGTACGAGAAGCAAGGTAGATGACATCCATCGGTTCGTGGCCTTGGTGGAAGAGTTCGGCCCGTTCTTGCATTCGGCGATAACGACGGATTTCCATCCAGGCCATGGGGACTATGGCGAGAAGAGCCAGGATAATGAGGACGGCAAGGGCGACCTTCTTTGCGGTGTACACAAGCTTGATGAGCTTATCGAAGAAAGAGTTGATGGAGTTGCCTTCGGAGCAGAACTGGAGTTGCTCTTTTTGCGGGACGGGAAGAGCATTCCCATCGAAGGTGAAGTTGTCCATGTTCTTGATGAGTTTCCTGATTTCTTCGAAAGGCAGACGAATGATGTTGTCGGTGAAGTTCTGCACCTCTTCAAAGCTTGGGATGGAGCTGTTGAGCTTGTTGACGCCATCCATGATCCCAGGCGGTGCCTCGAGTGATTTGAGCTTGGATATTTGTTCATCCAGGTTGGGCACAGCGTCGGGGATCTTGTTGCCGAAAAGCGGGACGTTCTTGATGGAGTTTTGGATGTCCTGCATGGTTTTTTGAGCTTTACCGAGGGCATCGCCAATGCCATTGGTGACTTCTTCGACCGTCTCGTTGAGACCCTTGGCAAAAGCCTCACCGATTTCGACGGCAGCATGCATGCTACCGGTAACCACAAGGGTAATGAGGCAGAGATAAGTCTGGGTCATCATGTGGATGACGAAGAGAACAAGCTCTTCGACACCCTTGACGGTAAGGTCGAGCATCTTGAATAGACCGCCCACGGCATTTTCGATGCCTGAGGAGGTCATTTGGTTGACGCCTTTGGCCATGAAGTGGGGCATGGAAGCCATGGAGCTGCCCATTTTCTCGACTGAGGTGCAAGCGCTGAGAGCCTCCCGACGAGCGGAGGTGAGGTTGGAGTTTGTGCTTGCAATAGCAATCAGAAGCCGAACGAGAACGAGAAGTAGAAGGATAGTCCAACGGTTGAGCCATATCTGTGAGAGCCTAGCTCGAAGGCCGAGATATGGTTTGAGGTATGGTGTTTGGGTTAGTGGAGGTCGTGGTGCATCTTGTGGGGCGTAGTAGTCTCGCATCTCATGATCGCCAGCGGAGAGAGACGGAGGTACAGCCGGGAAGGGTTGCTGTTGGTTCGCAGTGGAAGCCATACCAGCGACTGAATAGTTTGTGAACGCGTGGTCTGGGGTGGCAGGGATTAGATGGTGGTGAGTTTTTGTTTTTGGTATGAGTAGGTAGGTGGATGGATCGATGCAGAGAAATATGCCAAGGGGTATCAAGATATGAAGGTATGGAGAAGAGTATAAGAGAGATATCTTCCAGAGATAGGTTGGCGAGGAGGGGCGCTAGTTGGCAAACAATGTGACGTGTTGGGGAGACAATAGGAAACAATAGAAGAAGGCAGACAAAGAAAACAGCCAACGCGCCGCACAATGCAACAAAGAAAGAGAAAAGGTGAAGGCAAGGAGAAGAAGAAGAAGAAGATGGAATGCGAGGTGAAGGGAATCACAAAGGCGGGGACGGTGAGAGTTTTGAGGCATTCACCAGGGCCACGGGACGACGAGAGCCATTCATTGAGTTGAAAAGAATAAAAAGAGCATCGACATACCGCGAGTAGGCGCAGGACCGGATGACGAGCACGGCGTTTCACCAAACATGCAGAGCGGGTGCGGCTCAAATGTGGGACAGGCAAGATTTGGGCTAGGCGAGCGGCCCAGGTAGGCGCCCGTGGAGGAGAGAGACAGGCCTGTAGGGGCCAGTCAGGTGCGAGAACGGGGGTGGCGGGCGAGCGAAGCGACACACGACGACGCGGGCGCAACGAGAGATATTTCGGGCGTCGTGGAGCTTGAGTGGGTGTCGTGCGCTCGTTCGGCGGGAGCTTGTTCAGTGCGGCTTGCGCTCACTGGGCTACAGCGACTGGAGACTGCGCGCTGAGGTGGCAGCAGATCGGGCGTTGACCGCGCGCAGCCTCGTGACGTTGCCAGCAGCCGTCGCAGAGTCGCGATTCAATCGAGCATCAGTGAAGAAGACGAGAGAATGGACCGTGGGGATTGTCGTAGGTCGGCGCAAGGGATCGCTCCTCGGCTTGCTCGCTCGCTCTCTGGCGCCCTTGTCGTGGTGTTGACGGTGGCTGCGGCGGCTGCAAAGACACACAGAGAGGCAGAGAGACAGAGAGGCAGAGCGAGGGCAAAGGAGGTGCTCACCGCGCGCAAAACCAGGTGGCCGAGGCCCTCAGTTTTGTAGAGCTGGCCACGCTCGCCTATCTGCCTTTTCCCTGTTTACGCCGCCATGCTGCAGTCTTCTGGCCATCGACGTCATCTCATCTGCCACACTCGCCATCCAACATCTATGTATGCATCTCTTCGTCAATTACACTTCCTCAATCGTGGACTGATGTATTTTCTTTGCGGTCGTCGTCTTCATCCATCGCATTGACCTGCTGCCTCTTCCCTGGCGACTCCACAATCATCACATGCCCGCTTGGTTTTTATTCATACCTACAGAATTAGCACGCGCCCGCTTCACCAGAAACAACGACGTTTGGCCAGCCATTGGCCTCCAGCCACGCTTGCCCGCGGCGTAGCGCCCGGTTTTGTGGGGACGCCACGCGAGCCAATCATCCGCCCTCCCTCCCTCCAGCCCCAGTGCCTCTTTTCAACCTCATCCCATCTTGCTTCCGACGTCCATGTCCCATTGCTACAAACCTCCCTGCAACGCTCGCCATTTCATCATCTCATCGTCCTGCGCACTCATCCACATCCATCTATATCAATGTCTCGATACCTCTCAGTTTCTGTCTTCGCCATCTTACTTCGTTGCCTTGCATCTTCAACCTGGCACATCTAGCTTTCCACCTCTTTCCTTCTAGATAGACTGTTTCCATCCGTCTCTATCCCTACCTGTTCTCTCTTATATCTCTTTCTACTCATTTGCAGCCGCCCTTGTCGTCTTTACCGCTGGCTGCATTTCTCTCTCCTCGGCCGTTTGTTGTCTCGTTCTAATCTGCAATCTTCAGCACATGTCCTCTTCCCCCGTCTTCGTCACGGTTGCCATCCTACGGGATTTCAAGAGATAGTCATTAGGGAATAATGTTACCAGAATCATCGAATGCAATACAATACATTTCACCAGACTGAAGCTCAATACCACCACCTAATATCTGATCATGCCACTGCGCTGCTCAATTGGCACTTGCTTACCTTGTAAAGTCGACGAACAGAAAACAAAGCCAAACTAACATCCATCATGGGCCGGAAACCTCTGTGCAGTAAGCACCCATCGTTCCACCAGCTCGCTCAAAGTGCCTGGGCAACAGTAACTCGAACATCCGTGCTCTCATCGTCTATTCCAACAGACCCTCACTCAGCGTAGAGCATTCACTGATGCCTACCCATTCGTACCTGCCCACACGTTTGCTCACGTCCGCCATGTCGTCATGCGCCTGGCTCCCTCGCCCCAAGTTAATTTAAAAGCCCGTCTGAAATTTACTCCGCACAACCTCCTTCGCGACCATAACACCCCACCCCCACCACCCAGAGCTTGACGCACGATTTTCACAACCACGACACCGCCGCAGCCGCCGCCGGCATACTCGCATCGGCTACCTTGATTTCAGTGTTGGACAGTCACCTTGAGTTTAAAATCGCATCGAGCAGAGCTGTTCCAGACACGCATTCGCCTAGGCCCGTGGAATTACTTCGTAAGTCACCTCCGATTCAAGGTAATAGTGCGAGGACACAATAGCAGACCGCTCTTCCATCTCCCATTGTCATCCTTGTCTCCAACAAGTATAATAACCTCAGGCACCAGGCTGCTGAGTACTGCTTTCTCACCCACCTATAAATCCCCCATCAACCCCGCCCACTACTCGCCCGGTTACCCTCAAAATCCACGGCGCACGGTAGACGCTCCTTGCACGACAAACAAACATCCTTGCGAGGTAGGTCTCTTCATCTCCTTCTTTCGTGTGTTTACCGCGCTGGCTTGGAGCGGTGAACATCTCCATTCGACTCGCCAATCTCAATCGCCCGATTCTCTTGCGGTGCTTGCCACTTGCGATAGGTTTCTCTGACACTAACGAACTACAGCAACGACAATCGCTGTCGTCACCTGGTCTGTGATACCTCCACTTACTCACACACTCCCATCGCTTGAAGATAACTGCAAAACGCTTGGTAACCAACCCATCTTCCTATACTTCTCTACTTCTCTACCCCTCATACCTTTTCTGCACCTCCAGCAGCTTCGTGTCTCCTGGTTTGCCGCTCGACACACGGTGCTAAACACGCCTGACAACCGACTGTCGCGCCCTACAATTCAACACAAGCACATTACCGTTGCTCCTTGAGGCAAGAGTTCGCTGTCATGGCTGGAAAGAAAGGGGACGGCAAAGCGGCTGCTCCTGGCAAGGGCGTTGCTGGATCGCAGCACAGCCCAACTACGTCTGATTCTAGTGGTTCGACGCTCGGCGGACATGCCACTCCCGCTGTTGCTCAGCAGAGCCCCATGAGCGCCGTTCGCTCCTCAGCGCACGACTCTTTCAATTCTGGCCTTGAAGAGCTACTCCGATCCGGCTTCTTTGCCAAGAACAACCCACTCTACACCGAGCGCGATATTCCCAACGGCGGGCAGCAGTCCTCTAGTCCTATCGAGGCCCCAACTCGTCCTGCTCGTTACGTGCCAACCCAACCCGCATATCAACACCGCGCTCGCAATGCCGGTGCCTGGGGCAAGAACCAGGCGAACAATTACCGCTCATCTAGGACCTGGCACTCTCCAGAGGCTCAACGCTACCACGATTACCAGCTGGTTCGTAACGCCATGCGTAGACTCTTCAAGAAGTCTGAAGTCGCCAAGTGGACCTACGATGACTACATCAAGCATCTGGAAGCTACCCTCGCTTCTAAAAAGGCACATCTTGATAAGGTAAAGTCGCCTCGACGCCAAATTACATGCAACTGTGCTGATCATTATCCTCAGGTTCTTGCTACCAAAGAGCACGAGCGCCTTGACAAGCTGCATAATGGACGCTTCTATACTTCCCCCCAGACCCTCAAGGCAATCGAGAAAGGCTGTCTCCCGAACGGCAATGACACCCTCCAGGGAAACACGAGCAGGGCTCTCGCAATGAAGACCATTTGGTGCCCCGACTGGAAGAACGGCAAGGAAGAGATTGCCAACTGGCCTACTCTTCAGGAGATGAAGTGGGAAGGTGACGATCGGGCCAAGACTGGTGTTGGTCGTTTCCCGCCTCTTCCTCGTGAGAATGGACCACCTAGCATTCCCTGGAACCAGCTCCCAGTCGTTGAGCAATATGAACTCGACGAGGTCGCCCGTATTCCTACTCTGGAGGATGTCCTTCTTCCCGTGGATGAGATTCCCGACGAGGATGCACCACTATTCGTCGATCAGCATGTCTGGGATGCTATCGACGAGTATCTCGAGAGTTAGATGGTATTCTCTCGGCACTGCATGGCTTGATCGATGAAGGAAATGGGTAACTATATTTCCCGGGACCAAGCCTCCACGACTTGATCCCCTATCCCTGACAATGTTTGCTTGTACTAACCGACACAGTGATGTGCGGCAGGTGAATGAATTATAGACAGTCTATAGGGCTTGGCTATTCTGGAGCTTGTGGCTTTTTTTTGCAGTAGGAAGTAATGGATCGGGGGATTTCGGTGGTATCAACGGGGTTTGTCTCTGTTGGAAGTGTAAAGTGTAAGTCAAAACCTGAGGCGCATGCCACTGCGCCTTTGGATCTGCCTTCCCTTTTCTCCACTACCCCTTTCATTTCCTACGGCTTGCCACCGTATCATTCCCTTTCCCTTTCGTCGATTTCACCATTCTTGCATCTTCTCTACAATATTCCCCTTTTTGGAGCGGCCCAAACCCACTGGATTTACTGGACACCATCTTCGAATGTTTTAGCCGAACTTTTAAACTCCGGATAGACGGCATAAACGGTTAGATCATCCTTTTTTCCAGTATTGGGGCTGGTCGGAGTTTTGAGACCTGTTTTGAAACGGACCATCTGTTCACCCTTCAAGACTGCTCAAGACCATTACTTCATCATTACCCTTTCATCAAGTTCAGGATGCTAGAGCCACTTGAAAACGATGGCAACAATATTTCCCCGGTTCATCTTTTTCCTTTTTCATCTTGGTTCCTCAGCTCATCTCGACTCTTTTCATCCTCATGCGAATATTCCCGGTTTTTTTATCCCTTTCCGGAATCGGAGCTCAATCCAGGGCACACAATCAGCCTTTCTCAATGGAAAAAAGTCACATCGACTATGGGGCACCAACTACGTTGCCGGACATCTTCCCTCTCTGCCTCATGGACAAGGAACCCGGGTATGATTGAAAGGCTTCGGGACACATCTTTTTCTTCTTCTTTTTTCCAGAGTAAGCTTCTCTTTAAAGGCTTGCTGAATCTCGTTTCATATTTGCTTTCACCTTTCACATTTCCCATACTTTCTGCTTTGATCCACTATATCTGAAAATGGGAGCCAGAATTGATATGTTTCAATTTTGGGGGGGACCCACAGGAGGAGGAAAACACTAAATGGCAAGACTTTCCTGCTTCTCGTCCCTTTATCTCTCTCCCCTCATCTTTCTTTCTTCCCCTTTTCTTTCTTTTCCTGTATGCAAACTGCTTCGGAAACAGAATTACAGAAAACCACCAAAATACAAAAAAAAAAACCCCCCAAAAACTCCGGTGCATTGATTGATGTGATACGTGGGTACTATTTCGAAAAGCACACAACAACAAGGGTTTTTAAGTGATGTAGCTGGTATGCCCACGCTATCAACTACATATGTAATATTACGAGCATCACAATGCCGCAAGTACAGGTGTCTTGACTGAGAATATGTAGGGGTATTATCAACATCGGACATTGTCCACCTCCAGGCACCTACATAATTCTTATGCGAGGCGGAAAGAAAAGGAACCATCAATTGCAAAACAGCACAGCCTCTCTGCAATACGCTGATTAAATACTATCAATAGCAAATACGCCCTGCTGATCTAGCTCGACCCTGTGGTTTCGGGCATGATAGGAGATTTTAAACGGACACCCAAGCTGCGCATGGTGCTAACCTTTCAGGCAGCGATAATATGCACCATGTCAGCTTTGATGTAACACACTATTCCTTGCTAGAACGAGTAGGTATAGGGGACTATGTCTGCCTACACCGTTTTACTACACGTGTCCTGACTAAGAGCTGACGAGGCTTCGCAATCCATCGTCGAATTCAGAGCATTCGGGTTTCGAGGCAGCGCTAGCCCTAGATTGGGACAGGCGCATGAGTTGCGGTCCAATGGCATCGTTTCTCGTATTCTCATCAATCATTTCCTACACAACACAAGCCAAGTCTTACTATCTGTGCGACTTCGAAAAGATGGTTCAAATACAGCTGACGCCCACCAGAGGAAGGAAAAAAAGAGAAGCAGTCTGAAATTGAAAAGTCTTCTTGCGCGCCATCATGGGATACTTCTCGCTCACCAAGATCGCGGTAACACTGACTTGTCTGGTTGTTGCGAAGAGGATATACTGGGAGCTGACAACCGGCTCACGGCAACGCGACTTCAGCAAACGACACGGCTGTCTCCCACCCAAGCAGAAGAAATGGAAAGATCCTTTGCTAGGTCTCGACGCGCTGACGGGCAACTGGAAGGCTTTGAAAGAACACCGCGTCATTGAGTATTGGATCAGCTGGCTGACCGACAACAACGCTCATACCATCTCCACCAACGTTATGGGCGGGAAGCTGTTCTTGACCGACGATCCGGAGAATGTCAAGACTATCCTCGCGACTAATTTTGCCGACTTCAGTGTCGGCCAGGAACGGATCAAGATGTTGTCTGCTTCGATTGGTAAAGGCATTTTCACGTCCGACGGTGCAGAGTGGAAGCATTCGAGGGATATCCTTCGACCGTGTTTCGAACGCAATCAAGTGGCCGATACTTCCCTTCTCGAAAGACACACCGCTCGCCTCATTGAAACGCTTCCGGCAGACGGGTCGACTGTGAATCTGCAGATTCCGTTTCAGAGGCTGGCGTTCGATATCGTGTCTGAGTTCTTGCTGGGCAAGAGCGTGGATGCGTTGTCGACTATGGATAAGCAAGACTCGGCGTGTCGTGAGTTTGTGGATTCGTTCGATTATGTCATGGATCCGCTCTCGGAGAAGAATACGAATGCTCGTTGGGGCATGTTGGGCATGTATCTCCCTGATGCTGAGCACAAGAAGTGTGTGAAGCGCATGCAAAGTGAGTTTCCATTGTCTACTCCATCCTTTCGTATCGCTACCATCATATCCATCACGATCTTTCAAGGTAAAAAAAAACTAACCTCATACTCCTCAGACTTCGTCGACAACATCATCTCCGAAGAACTCTCCTCCTCGACCAACTCTTCCACCCCCTTAAACCGCCACCTCTTCCTCCCCTCCCTCCTCTCCGAAACCAACGACCTCGTCAAAGCCCGCAGCGAGCTCCTAAACATGCTCGTAGCAGGCCGCGACGCCACCTCAGCCGTGCTAACCAACCTCTTCTTCGAACTGCCCCGGCACCCAACCATCCACGCCCGCCTCGTCTCCGAAATCCGCTCCCACACAGCCTCACCAGACGAACCCCCAAGCTACGACCAGCTCAAGAAAATGAAATACCTCCGCGCCTTCATCAACGAAGTCCAACGCCTGTACCCCGTCATCCCCTCCAACTCGCGCCAAGCGCTAAAGGACACCACGCTCCCCCGCGGCGGCGGACCAGACGGCACCGCGCCCGTCTTTGTGCCAAAAGGCGCGTACATAGCGTACCACGTAACCTCGCTGCACCGCCGCACAGACATCTACGGCCCGGACGCTCATCAACTCGTTCCAGAGCGCTGGCTCGAACAAGACGACAAAGACGAGAACGAACGCGATGCGAAGCCGCTGAGGCCCGGGTGGGCGTTTATCCCGTTCAACGGGGGTCCCCGGGTGTGTATTGGACAGAACTTTGCGCTTACGCAGATCATGTTTATTGTTGTGAGGATGTTGCAGGCTTTCGAGATTGAGGGGAGGGACGAAGGTCCTTGGACGGAGAAGATTACGTTGACTTGTACGAATCTTGGGGGTGCGAAGGTGGGGTTGAGAAGGAGGGAGTGATGGGTTTCGGGAGGGTGTTGGTAGAGGCATTTTCCTTCTTCTTCTTCTTCTTCTTCTTCTTCTTCTTCTTCTTCTTCTTCTTCTTCTTCTTCTTCTTCTTCTTCTTCTTCTTCTTCTTCTTCTTCTTCTGTTCTTTCCATGGCTCTTTCTCTTTTGCTTGTGGTGGCATCGATGGGAACGTGTAACTACATGTAACGGTTCTTGTTGTGGGATTAGGAGTTCTCCTCTCTTCTTACACCTGTATATTTGGAGACCAAAAGATGTAAACACTGAAGTTAGTACATACATATACGACATCATCTCTACTTTGAACGCAAATGAACTCATATCTCTTACTCCTCGTACTGAAACACGCGCACAAAAAGCCTGGTAAAGCACCAGAGCCTTGAGAAATACACATGTAACCATCTACACAGTCTTTAACATCTCCTCACATCACATGATGTCCCACAAATGGAAGGACCCAGCATGGTCACTATGTCCTTATTAGTCGATTACTCGCCTTTTCCAGATCTTATAAACACACTTAATAAATAGCTCCACAAATACACTTTCCTCCCTTCCCTTCCCTTTACGTGCATTGCTACTTATCTAAGTATGATGTAGAGCTTGCCATACTCTTGAACCAGCTATCAACAGTCTGTTAAGGTCTTGATTCATATATTATCCATATCGAATTAAGTATAATGACTGTATAAAGTATATTCATAGTATACTAGAATAGAAAGTATAGTTACTGCACCGCCCTTGGGTGCGCTGAGCCTTGCAATGATACCTGGAGATGGAGCATCCAATATAGATTTCATAGAATATAGAAAGTTTATATGAACTTTTCAGCGACGACTTCGTATTGTTCGTCTATGATTTCGCCTTCCTCGTCCAGAATTTTAGCCGCGCCCATTTTGCAGATTTGCACGCGGTTAATTGGAATATCGTTAGCCCATGTATATTCGGCATATTTGTCCATCAAGTCTCGTGCGTCGAACCTCATCCAGCTTTTTGCATTAGGACCATGTCCGTCCCCGCCGTCAAACACGTTGTCAGTCTTGGTTTGGGGTGCGTAGTCCCCCCCTGTACTGGTCGAAGAAGTTATAGAATCTTCGCCATTGTTCAAACTTTTTGCTGACGTGTCGTTATCGTCGTGTGGGACATTGACGGAGCGTGGGGTGGGCATGGCATTCAATGCTTTACGATTTCCCCCGTGCCTTTCTCCCTCATCACCACCTCTGCTTTTCGCACTCTTACCCTTGGGCTTCGCATATATGGTGTTGATAATTGTAGCATGCAGTCGTATATCTCTCTTATCCTCTACCATCAAGCCCTCTTGCTCAAACCTACTTCTTAAGGCCTTTCCGAACGAAAGTAGCCGTCCACTAGCATCGCGTGGCTCTGCATACAAGATACTCGTCTGCATGGGTTTTTGCATCGGTACCAGGGCTTCGAGGGTGATGCGCAGATGATTGGTAGACGACAGCGCATCGATGGTGTTATTTTCGCGGACTGTGCCACCCCCGGCGTTTTTCTCGGCAGAATCAGAAGAATGGCCATCTGGAAGCAGCTGCCTGAGATCGATTTTGTCCAGATATTGTTGTGCCTGCTTCAATTGTGACGCATCAAGAGACATGACACCCAATGTCAAATGCAGTGTGCCCAATGGCCGAACAGCCTTCACGGGTACCAGCCCTGAACTTCGGAGCTCTTCCTTCAGGTTGTCTATGGCAGTCTGTAGCTGCGGCCGGCTTGCTTCATCAACCAGAGGCAGGCACAGGAAATGCGTCAGCTGTGGTCTCTTTGATACAGATTTGTTCGTGGTGTGTCCTTTGCCCTTTCTTTCTTGGCGAATTTGAGGTGACACATCATGGCCGAGAGTTGAGGTGTCCTGCAGAGTAGTTCGTACGTCGGCATTGTCGCGTAGTTTTTCGCCATCGAGGAAGTCATTGTATTCGCCCTTGACCTTCTTTTTACCCATAGTAGATAGAAACCTGCAGTTGTGCTGACAATTGATGGGGAAAGAAGAGCTTCTCAGCTTGGCGTTTTGTGATGCGATCTTCAGGCAAAAGCGGATACCGATGGGCATGGGGAAGAGACAAGATCTAGATAACGCAGTCGATCAGTGGCAATGGAAGTGCATAATTTTAGTTAAGGATGCGAAGATGATCGTCAGGGACCAGAGTCGGAGTTTGGCATGTTTGAGAGTGGTTAGTCAGGATGAGCCTACACATTGAACCAATGAGGTCAAGCGCGATGGCATGACGTAGCAACGTGGTGGGGTGAAGTAAGTGGGGGTGTGATGAAACGAACTTCAGGCAACGGGATGGTCGCAACGGCGACCGGTGGCCGGCTGCTCTTGGGCGAGCTACTGCACATTGTAGGGCTGGCAGGGAACATCTAGACACGCTCCAAGTATCTCCTTGTCACCTATAGACTGCATGATACGCAAACTAGAGAAAAGTTTTGATTGGGATTTTAGGCGCCTACCGAGATTGTGCAAGGATGGTCCTTCAAACGCAAGCAATGCTAGCAGCGAACAAGCGCCAAAACCACGACTGAGATAACATCTGAAAGCAGCAATGAGTCAACGCTAGACTAAGACACTCGAGACCCTCGATAGCATGAGCTACTGGTAGGATGTCCGTGTCATGTTGCAAGCGAAGGTAGGGGAACGAAGGAAGTTGCATGGTACGATTGAACAGGTGAATCTCCCGAGGAAGAGTCGAGGGAGGAGGGGAGAGAAAGGCCAGAGATGACGACTGTACGCCGATGTCCCAGCAGCATGCTGCCAGAACGTTCAGTAACGTTCCGCCTCTGCAGTGCCTGTTGCACTGGAGACAGTTCTACAGTCGTTGCGCCAAGAGAGACAGGGTTGGAAGAGTGCATAGGCAGCTTTCTATCAAGCCCCCTCGCCCTCGTAGAATTTCTTGAGCACCTTCTCCACCTCCTCGAATTCCTTCTTCGCCTGGTCAATGGTGGTCTTCAGTTTCTCGAGGCCCTCTTCTTCTGTGATATCCCGCGTGCCTGTCTCATCCTTCTTCTCGCCGAAATGCTGGATCTTTTCGCACGAGTCTTTCACCTTTGTCAAACCGAGAGTGGCGGAGGAGCCCTTGAGGAAATGTCCCAGCTCCGAGAGCGTCTTGAGATCTTTCGATTCTCTGAGTCGCGTTAGCATGATGCACCAGACAACGAGGCGAGCGGGCAGTGCGCCCTGCAGGCCGAGCAGTGGTGGGCATGTGAAGCAGGTTATGTGTAGTGGTTATGCAGCAGCACTCACAGGCTGGTCTCCATCTTGCCAAAGGTGCTGTCGGCCTGGGAGAAGAAATCGTAGACGATGCTCTTGCTGAAGTCGCGCTCGTCCTCGTCATCATCCATCTCGAGGATCTGCTCAAAGGTCAAGGCATCGATGGTGTCCTTTGCGCCGGGAATGGCCATGATGCCCTCTTCGCTGGTGGCAGGGGTTGCGGAGGAAGCGCTGGTGGTGGTGGTGGTGGTAGTGGCGGGGGCGGCGGGCGCAGCGGCCTTTTGCTGTACGTTAGAACTCGAGGTACGGTATGGTATAGATAAGGAGCGGGGGAGGGAGTAGCAAGGTGGGCGTGCAGTGAGACTGGGTGGTTAAATGGCCGGTGGACAAGGGCTGTGGGGGGGGAGTAAGGGAAGCAAGGTGCGGGAAGACGGGAGCAAGAGCAAGGCAAGCAAGGTGAGCAAGGCGGTCGCGATAGAGCGAGCAGCGTGAATAGAGTAAGACAATCTGGCAAGACAGTGACGGGCGACGAATGACCAACGCAGGACCAGGAATGAATGAATAGATGAGTGAAGGGACAGAGAGAGGGAGGGGTAGCACACCTTGTCATCGTCCGCTCTAGCCATATTTAACCGTGGCTGTCTGCCCACGCGACAACAGAGCTATGTTAAGTACGCAGCACGGGCGGGATCAGAGAAGATGGATGGAGGTGCACGAGAGGACTTCACCAGAGGCGTGAGGACCTCGCGATGGATTTCTCGAGAGGGTTTTGCACGCACAAGGAGCACCAGTGTGCTGCCCCGCTGGGTTTTTGCTGGTCGCTAGCCCGAGGAAAGGGACGGCGGCTGTTCGATTAACTAATTTTGGCTCGATTGGGGAAGGCGGATGCGATGACGCACCGAGAGGGCTCTGGAGGGCTGATGGCTCGGCCCGTTGTCTTCTGCGCGCTGCTTGCTGCTGCTGCTGCTGCTGCTTCACGGATTTGCTCAACAGGGTGCCGGGTCAGGTGTCAGGGAATTCAAATGCCATTGCCGGGCGGGCGACGTCTCCTCTTCTTATGCTCGCTCGACGCACACGATGCCAGCGCCTTAGTCAACGGGGATACGCTGGTACCAAGTGTGACCCGTATTTTATCCCCCGCCGGCCAGGGAAGCAGTATGTACAGGCTTGCACGGAGGAGCTTGCCGAGAAACAGTGGGGACTACACCTGGTTTGACACAATACACATCCAGAGAGGACGTCGACTATACCGTCGGTGTGATAAGAGACGAGGCAGAAGAAGCAATCAACCCACCCCAGCAGCTGACGATCGCGGCCATGCTGTCTGTCCGTCTGCCTACCTGCCTGTTGGTGTGTGTCTGCCCGTCTGTCCGTCCATGTGGGCAGCGGCGGCAGATCAATAGATGATGGATGACCAGGGAGGGGGGGTTCGAGGGCCACCACCCATAGAAAAGAAAAAGCCATCAACCGCCGCCGCTCATGCCTATATTCGACCAGCCAGCCCTACTCATCAGCCAGTGCCTCTTCCCTTGGAAGCCCTCAAGCACATTTCCGTCATCAGATGCAGCCTACTGCTCACCAAGTGGTTCCTTCGACTGCTGGCGTCTCCAGCCCACCGACACGGCAGCGTCGCTGTTCCACCATTCTCCTCGACGGCCTGGTCGTTCGGCGCGTGTGCTTCTTTGTCCCCGCCGGAAGAAACGTGGTGGAGAAACAGGCAGCCGGGCAGGAGGGTATAAACAGAGCGCCAAGCAGTCTAGAAGCGTTCCAAAATACTGCCTTCCGCTGCTGGGTGTGGGAATGGTAAGACGACAAGGTGGTCGGCCTTCGTTTGGATTCAAGGTGGTTTTGAATGGCGTAGGGTCCGGCAGCACTACGTCAATGGCGCAACTATGTCACCTTGCATACGCCAGCCTAGGACCCCGTATTCCAAGCTTGTGGGAACGCTTCTCGAGGCCCTGCGTCTTCCATCTTCTTTATTAATAACCATAGCAGTGTCTCTCGTACCTGTCCGCAGCATGTCGCTGCACTCTCTCGAATTCACATCGGCAGCGCACACCTCTTGTGCTCGCTCCTCTCCCTTTATATCCTTCAGCCCTCGCATCTTGATGTTCTTCCAACGACATGCTTGTACGCCGATCCCGCCCCTACGTCGTCATAGTGCATATTCCAGTACGAGCTCCGTCCAAGGGTTTCCTGTCTTGTTAGTGATCGTCTTCGTGCAGGACAACCGTCCATTGCTGAATATCAGACGCCTATCCGGCGTGCTCCGAGACACAGCTGCAGAACGAACACACGACTCGCCAGACCCTTTCGGAAAAGAGTCGGCGCAACATAGTGCCGCCTGTTCTCGCGATCCCTCTACCCCATCCTGCCTGTTGCAGCTCCAAAATTACTTCCCGCGGATCGACTCCACTTTTTGGCAGCGTACAGTGTACAACTATGGTACAGGCACCCGATAAAATTGTGTGGCTCCAGCTGCTCTTGTGCGACATCCACATCCTCCTACGATTTCTGTAATCCATATATGCTCATGTCACCCGACTAAGAGAAGTTCACTCACCAAAGTGTGCGTGCCACGAGTAAAAACTGCTCTGGACGCATATGTTCGGGTTCCATTTCTAGGATTTTCATTGACGATGCTACTCAAGTAGCCCGACGCGGGACGACCCTGCAGATGTGCATCATCGTCTCAATGCAGTAGTGATAAGCGGTCCGCTTGACCTTTGACGTAACACACCATGACGGGGCAATATCTAGTTTTCCAAGGATTTGACGTGGGGTGCACTACAGAGGACGGGTCATGATCGCGATTGAAACTTTTGGTAATTGCAATTGAACAGGATTTGGTAAGTGTGATTTGGCGGGCTCAAATTTTGTACAATCTAGCCGAAATCGATCCCCAGTGCGTACTCGAACAAGATGGATTACAGTGCGTGCTATGTGGTGACATTCCTCGTCGAAATGTATCAAAGTCGTCCCAGGTCGGTTGCGTCTGCTTTGAACCTAGCCAGTGACCTTGTAAATAGCCTCAGCAAGGCGCTTGACATTTCCACTGGTGATACCCGCGACCGAGATTCTGCCATCCTTGGTCGCATACACGGAGTGCTGTTGAATCACTAGTTAGCATCGATTCGACCTCGTTCGTGACCTTATACGCACCTCCTTAGCCAATGCATCCATCTGCTCGGGCTTCAGACCAGTGTATGCAAACATGCCAATCTGCGAAGTGATGTGACTCCAGTCATGCTTGCTGCCAAGCTTCTCCAGGTTTTCCTTCAGAAGGGCACGCATGGTGATGATGCGATCGGCCATGTCCTTGACCTCACCAAGCCACTGCTTGTTCAGTGCGGGATCGTTCAAGATCTGGGACGCGATACGGGCGCCGTGGACCGGAGGGTTGGAGTAAAGCGGTCGAACAAGAATCTTGATTTGAGAATCGACGCGCTTCTTCTCCTCTGCAGACTCGCAGACAACAGAGAATGCACCAACACGCTCGCCATAGAGACCCTAATGCCAGAATTAATCTTCAATTGTAAACGCGGGTGAAGCTTATGCGACTCACCATGTTCTTCGCAAAAGACTGGGCAAGTACGGGGCGGAGGCCCTCCTTGATGAAGTGACGAAGAGCAAAGGCATCTTTGTCAGTGTTGCCACTGGCAAAGCCCTGGTAAGCCATATCAAAGAAGGGGAAGTGGTCGCCCTCCTTCACAGCATTGGCAATGTCCTTCCACTGCTGCTCGGTGGGGTCAACACCGGTGGGGTTGTGAGCGCAAGCGTGGAGTAGGACGATGCTGCCCTTGGGCATGGCTTTGATGTCTGCGACCATGCCATCAAAGTCGAGACCGATCGTGTCCTTGTTGTAGTATCGGTACTTCTCGACCTTGAGGCCAGAATCCTTGAAGACAGCACCGTGGTTTGCCCAAGAGGGGTTCGGGATGTAAATGGTCTTTGCATTTGGGAAGAAGCGCTCGAGGAAAGCACCACCCACGCGCAGGGCGCCAGTACCGGAGATGGTCTGAGTGATGACAACGCGGTCCTCTTTGATGGGCGCGGAGTCGGGACCGTAGGCGAGCTGGAGGGCAGCCTTGGTGAAAGCTGGCACACCCGTGATGCCGGCGTATTCTTTGTCCAGGTTTGACTCGACAATCTGCTTCTCTGCCTGCTTCACAGATGGCAGGACGAACGGCTTGCCCTTGTCATCACGGTATGCGCCAACACCTTATCAAAATCGTAAGTAACAGTACTTGCAGGACAAGGAAGATGGAGTGATATACCCAAGTTGATCTTCTCAGGGTTCGTGTCGGCCTTGAAAGCCTCAGTGATACCTGGATCTAGTCAGCATACTGTGGGAAACCTCCGGCGGCCGTCGAACTCACCTAGAATGGCCTGTGAACCAACAGCGGTGAGTCAATCATCAACGCGATTCGAGTAAGATGAGACTTACATCCTGCCATGATGTTAGCGTTGAACGAGGTCAATCATTGGGTTACAAGTAGATGACATTGACTCACTGGAGGACCTTGGGGAACTTGCGACCAGGCGGAGACAGCCCTGACACCCGTCTTGATGGTGAACTGTTTGGTAGCAGCTTGACGCAATGCGGTTCGGGAGGAAGAGGCAAGCATGATGAGGATGAGGTCAATGGATGAACGAAAACAGGGGGAAAGGAGAGAAGATGGAGGCAGATACTATAGGATCCAGTGTACTGGGTATCAGATGTTGATGGGGTGACTCTTCTACCCCAGGTTTTGTTGTTAAAAGGGCGGAAACATGGAGCTCGCGTCAGCTCGAGTAAGTGCTTTTTGTTTCCCAAGGGTCCTAGCGCTTAGACCCGGCGCTAGAGCCGACAGAGGCATGGCGTTGTTTTGTCGCATCCTAAACTTTTTTGACGGTTAGATGGGCGCATGCATACAAGGAATTCGTGAATGCTTCCATCTACTACGACATGCGCTCTGTTTTACGACCGACGAGCCGAGCTGCCCACTTCAACTATGCCACGCCTCACAGCCTGTTCAAATCGCCAGCACTCATCTGCCCTGCGCTCCAAGGGTACCCGATAATACCGCCTTGCAGTCGCCCCAAATCCGCCCCTTCTTCCACAAGATCATTCTCAACACCGAGACCAAGATATCAACAAGTTGCGCTGCCTGCTGAGTTTTCCGGTGAATCGGCCTCCGAACAGAATCCTTCTGCGCCTCCTCCCCTTAAACAAAATCTTCCACGGACCTGTCCAGGATGCGGAGCGCCGACACAAATCCACGACGCGAATGAGGCAGGGTACTATAATGTTAGGAGAAATGCTATAAAGGAATATCTTGAATATGACGCAGAAGAAACAGAGACGGTTCTAGAAGACGACGTTTACAACAGAGCATTGAAGCAGATGGATCCAAAGCAGCTGGAAGAACTGGGCATGACTAGAGAAGTTCTCGATGCAGGCAACCGTATAGAAAAAAAGGCACCAGACACGCCGGTCTGCGATCGTTGCCACAAACTCGTTCATCATCATGCCGGGGTACCAATTTTCCACCCGTCGGTTGAAGCTATCCAGCAGACCATTGCCGAATCGCCACATAGGCGCAATCACATCTACCACGTCGTAGATGCTGCCGACTTCCCCCTCTCTCTTATTCCGACGCTTCAAACTTCTCTACGATTACCTAAACTGCGATCTCAAAATCGTCGGGCTAAGCATAAAGGATGGGTGGCTAATGATCGCATTGCTGAAGTCAGCTTCATCATCACACGATCTGATCTGTTGGCGCCCAAGAAGGAACAGGTAGATGCTCTCATGCCCTACATACAAGAAGTGCTCAGGGATGCACTTGGAAGGACAAACAAACTGGCCCGTCTCGGTAACGTCAAATTGGTCAGCGCGCATCGAGGATGGTGGACAAAGCAAGTAAAAGAGGATATCTGGGAACGTGGAGGCGCGGGGTGGTTGGTTGGCAAAGTCAACGTTGGGAAGTCAAACCTTTTCGAATTTGTCTTTCCAAAAGGCAGAGGTGCGGACTATCAGGATTTGCGCAAGCTCCGCTCTGCCGCTGAACGAGAGGCGATGCTGGACGCCGCCGAAACCATGGACGAACTAACAAAAGTCCGTCAAGAACTCGCCAAAGAGGACGAAGAGTTCGACCGGCGCCAGAAACTTGCACAACAGCATGCCCTCCCGCCCCAAAAACCTCTTACGTCAAGAGAGATACTCCAAAGAGAAGCAGAAGAGGAGGAGAGAAAAGAAGAAGAAGAAGATGAGGAAGATTTTGACCCCGATGCGCTTCTTCCTCCACCTCAGCCATATACCCCCTACCCAGTTCTCCCCGTCGCTTCCTCTCTTCCAGGAACAACCGCATCTCCCATCCGCCTTCCATTCGGACGCGACCGAGGCGAACTAGTCGATCTTCCTGGCCTCGCGCGCACTAATCCTGGCCTCGAAACCTTCGTTGAGCCCTCCTCGCAGAAGTCGCTGGTCATGACCTCGCGCATAAATGCCGAACGCTTCGTCCTCAAGCCAGGACAATCCCTCCTGTTAGGCGGAGGACTCATTCGCATCACGCCAACCACTCCAGATCTCATCTTCCTTATACACCCCTTCGTGCCCATTGAACCTCACGTCACCCGCACCGACAAGGCCATAGCGTTGCAAACACAGTCCAGTGATCGTCACGTCCCCTCGATTCTTACCCGAAACGTCGGTGAGCAAATGCACTCAGCTGGCCGCTTCAAACTCAAGTGGGACGCTACCCGCAAACTCTCGGGGCCCTTAACATCCTCAACCGCCGGTAAACTACGTCCAGAGAACCTCCCCTTCCGCGTATTCAGCACAGATATCCTCATAGAGGGCGTCGGTTGGGTCGAAGTTTCGGCGCAGTTACGTCGCCCACAAGGCTGGAGGGCCCCCGGCATGGTGAAAAAAGACGCCAACCACGCGCGCGAGGCAAAACTCGCGGCTTTCAAGTCAGCTGCTGAGGAGCGGAACGCGAAACATGAGGCAAAGCTGCGAGGAGAGGAGTACATCAAGACAGAGCCGTCTGAAGAGGAGCTTGCGGACGTTGCTGAATTCCCTGAGATCGAGGTCTTCAGTCCGCTGGGCAAGTTTGTTGGCGCAAGAAAGCCTATGTGTGCGAGTGTAGTCAGCGGGCCTAAATTCGTTGCCAGCCGCGACCGTTCTTCGCGACCGAGACGCAGTATGAAGAGTGTCAAATCGCAGAGAAAGCCGGCTGCTAAGGATTGAGGTTTTTGGCTGTGATCTTTCGAATTGGTATTTTCCATGGCGTTATGAGTCGTTGGAGATGTGTAAGATACGTATATTGTGCATTTAGAGCATTAAATCCGGTAATGGTGGCAAGGCAAGGCATCTTTATCACTGATCTGTAACAATTGTAAAATAGGGAGGCATCATGTAGGAATCTGTAGCATAGTAAAGCGGCTTGCACTGTATCCTTTGCAAATTTATTCTTCAGCAAACGTTTATATGATCAATGTATTATCTTTGTACATGTAGTTGCACCCCCATTACACGGAAGTCATCTCAATGTAGTTTATCTGAAAGCCCAAGCAAAAGACCGATCCACGACACAACAAGAAAGTAATATCTTCGCTGCCATAAGAAAGTATGCGAGTAGGAGAAGAAGAGAAAGGAAATCAAAAAGTTTAAAATGTCAAAAGCAAGACTCCATATGGTAAGTCCCCCCTCATATCGGATACAGTGGAAAATCAAAGCAGAGCCCAAAATCTTCCCCGCCAATCTATCATAGCGGTTGCTGTAGGTGACGAGCCGGACTTCGCCATCCTCTCTCTTTCTTAACCTACGCCGTAATGCGCCTACCCTCCCTTGAAATGATTCCAACCCTTGAGACCCTCAGACTTCCATCATTTCTATCCTGCCGCCACCGCAGTATCACTGGTACTCGTATATATCTTATGCCGAGTTCTCATTATAAGATCCTTAATTCTATTGTGCCTGATCCAAGATATCGAAGAAAGGTTTCATCTGTTCAGGACAGCTTTCCTTATCTTTGCCCTTTGCGCAGCCCGCAAAGTTGGCAACGAGATCACCCTCCTTGTACTGACCAAATTTCGGGTTGGCAGGACCGCTGGCGTACGAGTTGAGGAGGTCTTGCGGCACGAGGGCGAGCTTGGCAAGCATAGTTCCATGCCACCTGTTGGTATGAGTTAGTCCTTGCTTCTCTCTCGCAAGCTGTGGCAAACACTAGGCCATACGTACTGGATAATGTGTTCCAACGCGTGGCTTTCGGCCTTCTGGAAGTTGTAACTCCGGTAGATGGGGTCGAACCAAGCATCGAGAAAGTATTTGGCCCATTCGCCGTTGCGCACGATGATGCTGGTCGGTGTGAGACCTTCTTTGTCTTGCGTTACGACAAAGTCTATGCGATCTCCCTTCAAATTTCCAAAAGTCTTGATGACACTGTCTGGAGGCACGACTGGCTCGTTGACAATCATGCTCTTCTCTAGTTTGGAGGGATTGAGAATATGGGACTGTAGGTCAAGCGAGGGGTTCATGATCAACGCCGTGCTCTCAAGATACCAAAAGAACGTGGAGCCTGGATATTCAGTCATGGCGTGTCGGATAGCTGGAACTTTGGCCCATGATAGAGGTGATTTTCCGGTCGGATACTGGTCGTTGTTGGGGAAGAAGGTAAGGTAGCCTATGAAGATGAGTCTGTCAGCACGATGTTTCTGTAACAGTAGAGAGGCATCATGTACCGTGCTTCTTTGCATAATCTTCCCTGTTCTTCTTGATCTTCTGAACCCACGCTGGGTCGGCCTTGGGATCAATTGTTGTAACAATGACTACAGGCGGGCCACTACCAATTGCAACCTTGGGTATCTTTGGTATGGGAGTTGTAGATTTGGGCGCAGTATCTTTCCCTGATTTGCCCAAAAGCCAGATAACTGTTAGGAAACCTAATATACCGACCACGACTAATCGCAGCTTATCCCTTCGCAACAGGTTCTTGAGCGCAGGGGGGATCGGTAGGGAGCTGTTATTGCGTGCAGCATATGGCGGCGGCCGCGAGGTTTTCCGCGGAGGCAAAGCGAAATGCATATTGTGGAATTGGAAGACGACGGCGGTCAGGCTTCGAAGATAGGTAGACAGGGAGGCCCAGGCCAGGTGCGGTGCGGTGGTTCAGGTCCAGCAGCGAATTCGCAAACGAGGGTTATCAGTTGGTGCGAAAAGGGATGGAATCGTTGGCGGGACGTCTCACGACAACGTCATGTCTTGATCAGGCGCAATGTTTCTCGGAGGGGCGTAGAGACGACGTGTGGTGGTGTTGAGAGTTGAGCTGGCAGGTAGTAGTTGCCATGTGTTTGAGAATCTTTAGGGCGATATCGCCAGACGGGGGTGAGATGAACGCCAAGCATGATATCCCTGCGGTGTCGAGAACCCTTACTTTATTACTATACCTCCTATTCCTGCCATACTACGCGGTGTACCTGGCTGCGCAGAAATTTCCCTCTAATCATATGCCTAGGCTTGCATTGCCCCTTCATCGATCAATGACAACTAGTAGCACTACCCTATTACGATAAAGTGCTGACATGAATTTCCCGTCATCCAACTACCCAGAACATGCCAAGACTACGGGAAATATAGAGCATCACTGTCGTGTACACGCCGCCACTACTGGAGAAGGCATTTGGGGATCGGAGAAGATCTAGAAGACGGCATTTCGGCATCCCAATAGCAATGGTGCTTGTTCTCGCTTTGCGCTGATTATCAACCCATCTACCTGTCTGTGCAGATAAGCGGACTCATACACAAGAAAAGCTACAGTTACCCGCTATGACGTACAGTTCTTGTCACAGAGTATTGTCGCCTTATTAAATAGACTTTTTCATCCTTCTCTTCTTTGTTCTTCCAACTAAACAACGCATTTTTTTTGACATCCCAAGTCTCTTCCATATCTAGCTACTCCAATCGCAATGGTCGAAAAAGTCATCCAGTTAAGATGCGAATGCAACCAGTATCCCTGGGGTAAACAGGGTTCAAAGTCAATCTCTGCAACATTATGTTCGAAAACTCCAGGCACAAACTTCAAGATCGACGAGAACACGCCATATGCAGAGATGTTAGTCACCTTATACACTTCATCAACTTGGAAGATAGAACCCCACTAATAAAATCAAGGTGGATGGGAACGTATCCCGAACTTCCTTCTTACGTCTTGGAAACAGGCGAGAATCTTCAAGATGTCATTGATGAGCACTCGCATGATCTGATCGGCCGGAATGTGATCCAGAAATTCGGTCACAAAAATCTGCCGTTTCTACCAAAGGTGCTCTCCATCGCCAAGGCGTTGCCATTGCAGTTGCACCCAGTAGGTTTCAATGGGACTCCGCCATCTTGGATCACTTTACTGAACAGGACATAGAACAAAGCGTTATCTGCGAAACTTCACGAGAAAAACCCAAATCAATTCACGGACCCCAACCACAAGCCCGAAATAGCTCTTGCTCTTGGAGATTTTGAAGCTTTCTGCGGCTTCAAACCTTTAGAGGATATCAAGAGAATACTGGAACTTGCACCCCTACAGGCTTTTCTTCCCGATATTAAGAAGCCTGATTTTGACGATCAGAGCCTCAAGCATGTTGTCAGGACCATGCTTCTAGCTTCTGCTGATGCGGTCAAGAAAACAACCGATGCTTTGCTCGAGCTTCCCAAGGAACAATTCGGAAAAGACACTTATATTCCGGACCTGATCCCTCGACTTGCGAAGCAATATGACCAAACTGACAACGGCATTCTTGTGGCTCTCATCACCATGAACTACTTGCAACTCAAAGCTGGTGACAGCATATACATTCCGGCAGACGGTATTCACGCCTACCTTTCTGGCGATATCATCGAATGCATGGCCCGTTCCAACAACGTGCTCAATACAGGATTCTGCCCCCGTGCTGATCGCGATTCAATAGACATGTTCACATCCTGCCTCACATTCAGCCCGCACAATGTGGAAGAATCTATGCTGCGCCCGAAGCAGTCCGACAAAGCCAAGAGTGGGAAGACTCAGCTGTATGCACCACCCATGAGCGAGTTCAACATGCTTGCTACAGAACTCAAGGACGGAGAAGATGAGACGATATCTGCGGTCGATGGACCCTCCATTATGATATGTACCAAGGGAGAGGGAACCATGAAGGCCGACGGCAAAGAACACAAACTCAGCGAAGGATATATTTTCTTCATTGGCCGGGGCGTTGAAGTCCAGTACAACAGCACGAAGGGATTACAGATGTACACGGCTTATGTGGAGTAGATAGTTTCACATGACGACATGTTATTCAACAACTGCTCGGGTGCGCTTGGACGATATAACCCTGTGTACCGTGTTTGAGTAAACGTGCATTTATTGGCTGTATCCCATTTGGTCGGATGCACGAGGGGAATGTGGCTCTGGATGTACGCAGTTGCCGGATCCGCATTTCCCCACACGCTATGCGGAGTTTGGAGAGCTCTCCCCGCACTTCATTATTACGACGTTATGCTTGGAAGTACAAAACCCCGCAAGTACGGATATCACGATATAAATAATGCAATGGTACCTCATGTGCTTCATTGAGTTTGTAGTCAAATTGTGTTCTATTCTATTCTCCTGGGCTGGACTTCGGGCTACTCAACAGCATTCCCTGCATACATCAGGAATATCACTTGCGAACTCACCACTTTGACCTTTGTATCGAAAGTTGTCATGGCCGGGATCAGCAAGCGGGACTCGATGGATGCTGGCATTTCTGACTCGACTAAGAAACCAGAAAGTCCACAGATCACATCGAAGGGCACGCCTTCTAAATGTCCCCTGAGTCTTACCACCATACCACCTTCTTTGCGCAAAAGAATCTACAACCATATTCTCGACACCGAGCTTGTGAATGTCGGAAATCCCAATGTATCCTACACGCATACACTCAAAAATAATGCCCTTCAGTTCGAGGCCTCACGTACCCCATTTCCTATTTGTACGTCACTGTTCTATGCCAACAAGCAGATATCCGAGGAATCTAGGCTCTTCTTCTACTCGAAGAACTTATGGGTACGCTTTGAAATCTATACCACAGATGCCCGGCATGCCAAAACTATGCTCGAGGAGTCGGGAGTTTTATTTGCGGCAACAAAAGATGATTCAATCAGCCGATCGCAACAGCATGCACTGGATATGACGCTCGTGGAGAAGAATAGCAGCCAGAAAAGAGCAACTGTTATGTTTCCCGCACAGTACCTGCCCAGACTCATCAACTTTATGGAGCAGGCGGGTCGCACCAGTAAGGCGTGGGGCAAGGGACATGCACTCTTCCTGACGCTGAAGGGAGTTCATGGCATGGAAATTGCAAGCGTACAAGGCGATTTACTCGAGGGTTTTAGAGCCCTGACGGGCCTTTCGAAGGTGGTTGTCGATGGGAAAGAGATACTACCTGGGTACGCTGAGAGTCTTGCAGAGAGTATGATGACAGACACTTTCGATGTCGAGGCTTGGTTTAACTCTCTGAAAGAGACTCTCACCAGAGCAAGAGAAGATCAGAGCGGGAAAAACTATCAAGAATCAGTCCAACAATGCCGATCTGCTATCATAGCCCTAACTTACGGATACCTGACCCGCGCCGAACTACTACATTCCCAACCTGAAGCGTTCCACAAACGCATACAGCGACTGCGGTTTGACCTCGAGTCCAATCTTTCCGCTTCGCTACTGGCAGCATCCCCGGTCTTCATGGACTCAAAGCCTTTAGAATGGCTCTCGCTACCCTCAATGCCACTGGCCACACGCCATCACACCGCTGCTGCCCTGCTCTCAGCTGAGACCGCTTCTTCACATGCTTTGAGTCTTGCCACAGACTCTCCCTCGCCATCTTCAAACCCCTGGTATCGTAGCCTGCCGCCCGAGCTCATACCACCCAATAAAGAAGCATGGTTCACCGACACAGACAGAGCGCATGCGTGGCTTGGACTCGGTAAAGCACACTATGCCGTTGGAGAGTGTCTATTTGCAGCAGGTGACCTGGAAAGAGCGGAGCGCATACTCGCAGAAAAGGCGGAACCAGAATCAAATCAACACGATGAGACAATCAATACAGCAAGATCTGAGGTGAAGGTGTGGTTTGAGCGTGCCAGGGACGGGATCAATTGGAACGTGAGGCCGGGCTCTTCACTGCGGAAAGTCGCCATGCTGGCCAGAAATGGGTATGCGGACTAGTTCAATCGGATGTCTACAAATATACAGTTTCGATCTAGACTGGGCTTGAGCGTGCAGTTCGTACAAATACCGAAAGTTTACGCCTATGTTCTTGACTGGGGGGACTGAAGTCTTAGTTGCCTATTTTCTTTTTGTTGGAGAGAGTTTAGACGTGTAGTCTCCTCTGGTTATAAAGTACACCTGTGCGCGCAGATGTGTATAAGTGAATTAAAAGGTACGAAGAAGCCACATATAATAAGCTCTCAATAGAGTAAAGTATAGCATGAGGACTTACTGTATACATGTTTTTAAATACGTTGATGGTTTTAAGGTGGTGTGGATGTCTTGTTGTGTAAATTTCTTTTGCTTTAGTAATCTATTTCTTATGTCTTCTTTATTCTTAAAATGTCTTATTAGGTGGGTGGAGGCAATAATGTAAGGCATCTAAACACATCGCCTGAAGACAACTAGATAGAGATGCAATTCCCTTTTTCGCTTATGAAAAGGTTCAAAGACATGGAGAGACGGTTGAGGAATAAGTTGGAGTTTTACGGTGACGATCTTTAGCGACCGGCAGAAAAAGCTCTCCAAATTGAACGTCACCACCCCATACAACAAGTGGACAACCTTGAACCAACCCGGCCTTCTTTCATCATCTGGTAAAGTTCAAATTGTGGTGGCCTAGTACGGCCGCTCAACCGGCTTCAGGTTAGGAGTTATTGGTGCAGGTGCTCTCGTCAATGCAGAAGAAGATAAACGGTGGAAGGAATTGGCTGAACCTTTCGGCCTCAAAGGTGAAGACAGCGGCTATGCGCTGTGTATTTATTCATATTCACCTCTTGTTCCATCGTTCAACAAAGGCGATGGTTGGTGAAGTGTTGTCATGCTGAATGACACGGGGGAATGATTACGGTTGCTTTTCGGTACTGATGGTGAGAGGCAAGGTTTGATGTGTTTTATTAAACTTTTTCTCTGCAATGTTAAGGCAAAAACGTGATGTAAGATTATTGAGCCTACCTTCGCCCAGATACCCTACAGGACTCGAAGAGGTTGGAGGTAGTTGTGAAATATATAGTGGGAGCCGGGCTGCTCCTACACATAGCGAAATGTCTACAGCAATAAGAGAATAGAGAAGCAGATAATTACCAAAGTGGCTCATAAATTATGTCTTGACACGAGCGCATTGTACCAAGCAGAGATCAGGGGGCACCCTTATAATCGCTCATAGAGGTGTGTAGAACTTCTGGATAGGCTATCTTATGAAAGTCTTTTGCAATCGCCTACATTGTGTATGCTTATTTTTATAAACCTTTTGGGTGTGGGAGAGACATTTTAACTTCTAAGAAGAGAAAAGCTTGAGAAGAGTATGTACTCAATTCTCTTGAATGGCTGCCATATGGTGAGGAGTTACTGGAAGGAGGATACGGATTCATTGTAAGGTTTAGCGCACCCTAGGACAGTGCATTGACCACACTTTCTTCATGAACATACTACTATATAGCATGCCAACGTACCTTCTATAGCTATTATGTTTTCTGGAGGTACATATGAAGACCTTGACAGACTGCCAGTAGCTAGTTCTGGGATCTGGCAAGCCCTGTAATGACCCCTTAGATTGAAATTGAACGATTACTCCGGAATCCCCATAATTTAAAAGACAATGAGATGTGGTAATATTCATATGATGGACTGAACTTAGGCTTAAGAACTGAGACAAGAGTACTCGAACAGGAGAAAAAGTCCTAATGATCGGATTCACGATTCGCGCCGTTACTTCTTCCCCGCAGCCTCGGAATCTTTAGCAAATGTTTTGCACCATGAGACCCACTCCGCAGCCCCTTTCCGAACCATCCTCTTGACATCCTCTCTCGCCTCCTCCCGCTGATACCTCTCCTCAATGTCCTGGCTCTCAACCTCATTGTCCACGCCCCGTTGCACAACGGGCTTCCAACCGATAGCGTCTAACACACTGCTCTCGTTGACATCGTCTGAAACCTCCTCGACGTGCGGGAACAGCGCAAAGCTTGTCTTCATACACGCGAGCTCGAGGTAGCGCTGGAAAGGCTCGAGGTGTGTGGATTCCTGCAAGTGCAATGCCGTCGACGGTTTATCTTTCTCTTCCTTCGGGGTATAAAATTTCGAGATTGTTGACGAGTCGAAGGAGAAAGTGGATGAGGTGGCGGATTTCTGCTTTTCGTCTTTTTGGAGTGGGGGTCGGCGTTGCGGTGTTGCTGTTGCTGTCGCTGCTGCTGTCGCCGTTGCTATTGCTGTCGCGGTGGAAGTCGTGGTAGACGGCAGGGACAGCGTTGAGGATAGCTGGTGCTGTAGGATCGGCGGTGGCGATGAAGTTGGAGTGGTCCCCTTGATTTCACTCCTGGTGGATGTGGCACCAATCTCTGCATCTCCTATAAAGGACTTTTCTTTTATTTGATCACCGGTTCCAGAAGGAGTAAGAGTAGGCGTAGAATTTGCCGTGTTGTTGTCGTTTTCGTCAGCAGCAGCATCATCATCTTTTACCAGCAAATCCCCTCTCGAAATCGCTTTTGTCATCTTCCTGCTTTCCAGCGCGCCGCGAGTCGAAGTGTAGGCCCACGCGCTCGTCATCTGCGTAAAACCACCGAGCGTGAAGAGAAGGGTTGCATCGAGGCCTGCAGCAAAAGGGACCAGCGTTGAGGCGAGGAGGGCGTCTTTGCGGGAGCTGGTCGAGATACGGAGGAGGGTGTCGCCGAATTCGGCACGGATCTGCTGTGGGGTGAGGGCGAGAGTTGGTGGGTAGATGAGGGTGAGGTCTGAAAGGCCTTTTGGCGGTTTAGACTCCTTCTCCTTCTCCTTCTCCTTCTCCTTATCGCTCTCTTTGTCCTTTTCCTTACTCTTGCTCTTGTTCTTGTCTTTGGGTTTGTCTTTCGACTTTGACTTTGATTTCGATTTGCCTTTCGCGCGCTTGTCCGCTGCTGTGTTGGTCGTGTTCGAGAAGTTTGGCGTGGTATCAGGTTGGAGTTCCAATTCATTGTTATCAGCAGGGAGTTCTGCTGTGGTAAGGGTGGGTGCTTCTGTAGGAAGCTCCACAGCTCCACCTTGCGGCGGAGTATCAGTAGTAGTAAGAGTAGGAGGGGGAGGAGGAGAAGGAGGAGAAGGAGGAGCAGCCTCAACCACCTTGTCATCATCCTTGATGGTATCCGTCTTCTTTACAACAACTTCATCTTCCTCCGGATCAAAAAGATCGGTATCACCCGATGCACGCTCCAGAAACTCAAGACTCGTCGACTTTGTCTTATTGACGCCCTTGAGTACCAGATTCGACGTTCCCGCCTTCAATCCCTGCCACGATGACTTGGACGCTCGCTGAACAGTCGCTTTCCTCACTTCCTCCTGCCACTGCCGCTGCGTCTTGTGCCAATGCGTTTCCTTCTCCCCAGGTACCGGCTTTGCCAGCGGTGGGACAGGTGGTGTGTAGATGAGAAAGCGGTCCGGTATATCCTCTACATTGACACCCTTTATACTCGGTTTCGGAAACGGGACCAAGTAAGCAGTCACTTTACCCGATTCTCGTGTGAACTTGAGCGGTTTGCTCGATGGCAAGATGGTCACGCTGGGTGGTGGCTCACTGCTTGCTGAGCTCGCGGTCCGTGCCGCCAGCGGTCGAGGTTCCTCTTCAATCTCGAAACCAGCTTCGCGTGCCTTTGTGGACGTCAAACTACTAGCGCTGTTATTGCTGTGTCGTTGCGATATCGCAGATGAAGGCAGCGGTTTCCGTTTCAAACTATCCCGCGATGGCTGGGGCCGGGGCCGCACAGGCATGGGATGCAGACCAGGGCCAATTCCTCTTCCACTATCTGAATGCAGTCTCGAATGTAGCCTTGCGGGATTCCGTGGCGGCGGTTGAGGAGCAGGGAAACCTTCACCGTTGACGATAAGCTGCGGGCTGTTGTCTGGGCTATATTCGATTGCTGCGGAAAACCGAGGGTGGCTGTTCGCTCTGGCATCTGGTAATTCAGCAGGCAATACTGCTGGGAGTTCGGCGGCTCCTATCGGTAGCGGATCTGCCAGCTCCTGGTATGGCGGTGGTGGTTCCTCCATGGTGTCGTGGTTGACAGGATTCATCATTGAGCGAATTCCGCGATTGAGGCCGTCGCAGCTCGAATTGATTTGACGGAGACTAGATGCTGTTTCTTCCCAGTATATATCTTTCTTGTTCGTTTGAGGGTGGCGCGGTGTTGTTAAAGCACCCGGCTCCTCGCGATCCTTGTGGGCTGGTCAATGTTCAATAATCAGGACTTGCGGCTGTGTAAACCTTCAACACTCTGCACAGCTTTTTCTAGTCTTCTCTCTTTTTCTCAAGGCCAGCGAGCAAGAAGCGATATAGAAAGTTGATTGAAGCAAGAAAGGAAAAAAGGGTTCAGGAATTACAGAACGAAGGATCAAAAATCGTCCCTCGTCGGAGTTTATATGTGATTCTTCTGAAACCTTGTTGCGAGGGACTCGGTGATCGGCGCGCAGGATGGACAGGTTCCGCCCCATCCCCTTGCCCTAGTTAGGAGTGCGCTCGGTCGGTGTTAAGTGTAAATTAAAAAGACTAACCCATGAGCGAGTGCTCTATTTTTGGTCAGTTCCCGTCACCACCAACTCACCCAAACATAACCATGGTACTTTCTGAGAAAACACCAGGGCTTGGTCCTTTGGAGGGTGTTCCTTTCCAGGCAATATCTCACAATTGGAAAGAAATGGGAAGATAACAAGCAAATTCTACACCCTTTTAGCGACCGCCCTTTCCATGTTCCCCAGCCTTACGCGCGTAACGTCAGCCTCTCTCTCTAGTTCGAGATTCGCAAGAAAACGGCCCCATTACTCGCAAAACTATTGCGCCTTTCGGATAGCCCTTAAGGCTGAGGAAGGAAGGGGGCGGCGGCGTAAGCGTTTTGAAGATCTCGCAAGCACTGCCAAACCCGGGGCGAGGGGGCTCTATTAGACTGCACGACGCCTCCCTTCCGCACCGGTTTCTTTGTTGTCAGATTAAACGATGAACGAACGACTACCCCGACCCGATTATCAGGATAAAATGGGGCGAGGTAGGGTAGGATAGTGATGGCCTGGGCTAGGTAGATCGGAGATTGGACTTTTGCCCTTCAAGGGCTCCTCCACGTCATTACAAAATCTGCGACATACCCCATTTGCCAAACTGGTCTTCTCCTCGTGCTGCAAGATCTCTTAGTTCAGCAGGTACAAAACTCAAATTGAGCGGAACTAATGTGACCGAGCGATCGCGGTAGTCAGAAGGTGGCCATACTCCTGTGTCTGCGAGGTTTAACATTGGATGTATTCACATTGAGCGCACAAAACACTTCTTCATGGGCTAAAGCAATATTTACTAGATTGGTATTGACACTTCGGTTCCACTTTACCATGGCTGTTCGGTGCCTCCAATACCCGCCTGACGCGACGCTCTTCGTCCTCTGATGTGCACGGTCTTGTTTGCCGCGGTTTTCGGGGCTCGGTTTCAATTGTCGCTTTCTACAGTTGGGTATCAAACATTGTACCCGTGTCAGTACTATCGGGGATGTGTCCGTACACACACGCTTCATCATATCTATAACCGACCATGCCTCTTTACCAGTCATCTTTACCATCGTCTTCGTCATCTGGGACACGTTAGCATTTCGCCCAGTGGTCTTCACAGACGTATACTTACCACTATGGCTAACTTTCTTGTTCCTCTTTGCCAGAACATCTTTCAAAGAAGCAGCTAGACCACCGTCAGCCCCTGTTGAACCACCACCACCGCCAGACGGAGATGATGCTGGCTCTTGGCCGGGAACAGCTGCAGCACTGCGGTCCCTCTTTTCGGCGTCTGAAACCTTCTTCAACCTCGCGCCGCCACGAATATCTGCCAAAAGGCCGTCTCGTCCAGGGGCCGGCTTTGGAAGACCCGCGCCAGCAGGCATTGGTGGGGGTGGGAGTGGTCCAGAGCCCGCTGGCATAGGAGGCGGCGGTGGCGGCCCAGAACCGGGCGGCATCGGCGGTGGAGGTGGAACTGCACTGTTCGGCATAGGCGGAGGGGGCGGAACAGCATTGGTTGGCATTGGCGGTGGCGGTGGCACAGCACGAGAGGGAGCATTGTTTGTTGGCGGAAGAGGCGGTGGAGGTGGTGCATTCGACGATGGTGGTGGGGGAGGTGGTGGAGCGCTTGTCGAAGGTAAGGGAGGGGGAGGAGGAGCCGAGTTCGTTGGCGCTGGAGGTACAGGTCGCGATGTTGAAGGGGGTAGTGGTGGTGGAGCGGGCGGCGCATTGTTCTGAGGCGGCAATGGCGGAGGTGCAGGCGAGTTCTTCGGAGGCAGCGGAGGTGGTGCGGCTGATGCGGTCTCTCGCGCTGGTGGCGGAGGAGGAACGGGTCCACGACTGGGGGGTGGAGGTGGACCGGAGGGGACACGGTTCCCAGTGAACGGAGGTGGCACACCGAAGCGTGATGGAGCGGCCTTTTCGGTATCATCCACTGGTGTTTTCGGAGGTCGGGGCGGTGGAGGGGGCCCAGGATTTGCGAGGTTCGATGACGCTCGAGCTCTCGCAGGAGGCTCAGGCGCTTGGTTGACGAATTTGCCAGCGTCGGCGATCGGAGGTGGAGCACGGAATTTTGGCTGAGGCGGTCCAGGTGGAGGCGGAGGCGTTGCTGTACGCGGAGGGGAAGGCGGTGCAGGACTTGACGAAGAGTTGCGATTGATGCCAGGTGCATCAGTTCTCGTTCTGCGAGCTGGTGGAGGCGCTGGGGGAGGACCTCTCTTCGAGGTCGAAGTGCCTGTGTTCTGAGGACTGATGGGTGTTCTCACAGTGGGAGGGGCGCTAGGAGGCGGAGGCGGTGGTGGTGGAGCTCGAGACTTCTTCTCCGTGTTCTCTGCCTGTATCTTTTCCTCAACTTTCCGTTGTTCAATATACAATTTGATGAAATCGGCGTTCTCTTCTATCTGGTCTTCGGTAATACCCATGGCCAGAAGCTCCTTCAACAACGGCTTCCATGAGGGATCTGATGTGTCGATGCCCGAGTTTGACGAGCTTGGTGCTTTCGAAAAATTGGTTTGCGACGGAGAGGTGACGTTGGCAGGTGGAATGATAGACTGCGCTGGCTGGCTGGGCGTGGCATGTCTGTGGAAGATTCCCCCAAGAAGACCATGGCTTTTCCCGCCATTTGCAGCAGCGCCTCCATCACCGCCCATAGCAGCGCCGAACGGCTTGTTTTTTGTGTTCTTGTGGGCGTTCTTCTCACGGTCGTCCATTTTCTTTTTGAAAGTCTTTGCTTCCTTCTCGTCGGCAAACGATAGCGCGGCTAGGCAGTCCTCGAGTTCGAATGTGTGAAAGAAGACACGGTCTTGGTTATAACTAAAGGTGTCGTAGATTTCCTGATCCCATATGACACCGCGGCTGGTAGGCTGCATCTTCACTCAGTCATGCTGCTTCCGCTATGCCCGACAGAGGGGTTTACGTACCGAGATGTCTACCAGCTTTATCCAGAAGGTGTTTCCAACCAGATCGTTGGCCAGTACAGCAGCACCCTGGAGGCCTGTGTAGGTCCATCGCTGCTTATTTGGATGAGCAACATATAGCTTGGCCACACCGACGGCGTGGATTTTGTTGTTTGCCTTTGGGATAGTACGCTTCACCATCTGCTTGTCCTCGTCGGACAAGATAGACGGCATTATGAAGAAGCTTGTGGTGTCGGGTTATATGAATACGTGACGAGGTGGATAGGTATTGATATAGTTCGGTGGGGGGAGGGCGCAGGGCTAACAGCTAATGGCGTAGCACATGAGGTCCTGTGTGAATGAGCATAGGCCCTGATCTGAAAACGCAAGTTGTGCACAGCGACTGCAATGGTGACAGGCAGACGCAGTGGGTACAGGAGAAGGGAATAGCTGACGAGTGTAGGTTGCGCGAGACGTCAGTAGGACTAGTAGCAGGACGGCAACCGCTGCGGCGGCTGCGGCTCGGAAAGCGCAAAGCCCGTGCGCAAACGAGCGGCATGTGGAAAGAGCACTCACGAAAGGCTCCCCCTGCTTCAACAGCCCAAAGTCCTCGCACAATCTTGTTGTGCACCTTATTATTAGTTTCAATCTTTTATTTCCTGGATGCATCCCAGTGAGAATATATGTTTCCTATCTACAAAGCCGGGCGTTCTGTGCTCGAGTTGTTGTGGCGGTTGTGCTGACACGCACACCAAGATTCCATACGCGTCTTCTTGTTTCTACTAACATTCTAGGTACCCAACCGGGCCCGATTGCTTTGCATGACTTGTTTCAATATCAAATGCACCCTAGAGTCCTGGAAAACGACGTCGCAGATAGTTGACCACTTCTCGTGTGTGTCTGCAAACCGAGTTAGGGGGTTGGAGTTATTCCTTCTTTGAGTCCTAGCCAAGGGTCACACGACCTACTATGGTAATGAATGAATTGATGTAGTAGAGTGGAAGCACCTCTGCTTAGCAGTCATTATGACTTGGTTCCCATGTAAAACATATGTAGCCCATCTTGATGAAAATAGAGGTACTGGTATCCTATCATTATAATCGATGGTTACCCTCCACACCACACCGCGATGATTACCACGGTCAAGAGCAAGACTAAGATCAGCAACTCAAGCATACAGGGCGAAGATACTAATATCTACGAAGTAGGTAGCATTAAACTAGTAGCTATCAAATATAATCTAAATGAAAGACCGTCTAGAGTGAGAGCACATACTGAGCACAGCGCTGCATGCATGGAATCTTGCAACCCAACATGCTGAATTTCTTTCGCCGTTTCGCGAGATCAAACCCAAGTAATGACCCTGCCCGAAAAAATACAGATCTTCATTGAAACAGCGGCTGGTAAGCCTGTAACCAGATGAGAAAAAAATGCAAAAAATGAAGGCCGTAAATCCTACGAATGTAGGGCTTATGATAAAGCGACGCCTGCAGGATTCGAACCTGCGCTCCCGAAGGAACGGGCTTAGCAGGCCCGCGCGTTAACCACTCCGCCAAAGCGCCGGTTGTTGATGGAGAAAATTGTGTTTGATTACAATATATACAGAACTCCAGCTATCATTTTTTGTCATCGTTCGACGACCGAGCTTCATCTTCTAGCCTGTTTGGGATTATGAAGCATTCCAGAGCTAAAGGTCAAGTGGGTGGCTGTGGAGATTCATTCTAATCAGTATCACAGCATGCATGTACACCATCGACTGCACATTCAACTCTCACAGCAGATAGGAACGTCTGGTGCCATTGAAGAAAGCTATACATAACATTACATCGGAAAGATCGGCAATTCCGGAGATACTAAGGCAAGCCTCTCTACTCATCCCTCTCCTTGAGAAGTCTATCCTCAGTTCTCAACAGCTTCTCGTTCTCAATGTGAAGCTTGCTATTTTCCTCCACTATACTCTTATCGTCTTTCAGAAGCTGATAAAAATTCGCGTAGCAATATTGATGAGCTTTCTTAGCCGCTGAACTCTCGGCTTGCGCAGTCCTTGTCGTGCTTTTCCATAATTTATGTGGGCAGCCGGCCTGTACACCAATTGTTTCTCATTAGGCTACAGCAACGTGTTGTCTATGCATTTTTCTGGTAGTTCTGCAGGTTTACCCGTCGGTTAGTACCAGCAAGAGCATATTTTCATTTGTTGTGTCCGCAGGTGTATAGACATAGAATTTTATTATCAAGTCATGAATTCAATATCGATCATCAAAATGCTCCTTTCGCTCGCCGCTAACAAATCAATAAAAACATACACATAAGGTGCAATGCAGCTCATCCCCTCCAGTTCATAAAATCGTTAGATATACAGAATTAGAGCCGAGATTTGATAAAAGCCTGGAGCTCTGCCGAAAAGTTCTCGGCAAGCAATTGAGAATTGGAAGCATCAAAGAGAGGATCAGAGCTGACGGTGGCCCGAATTCGTCGACCAAAATATTCGACCTCCACGCTTTGCCCTTCTGTTACTCTGCTGGGTAACCAGGCAAACGCAACTGGTTTGCTGACGGTAAACCCAAACGCTGCAGTGGTCACATATCCAACAGCTTGATCTTCAAAGAATATAGGCTCTTTTCCGAGAACGACAGACCGGCCGTCATCTATTGTCAAGCAGCGAAGACGCTTGGTGGGCCCTTGTTGAGAAAGACGTTGGAGTGCAGCTTTGCCGACAAAATCCTTCTTGGTCATATCAACAGCAGATACAACACCAGCTTCGAATGGATTATGTTCGGTAGTCATGTCGGATCCGTATGTCCGGTAGCCCTTTTCGATCCTCAGCGAGTTCAGAGCAGCTCGGCCGGCGGCTACGATCCCATGCAGTTTACCAGCCTGCATTACAGCATCCCATAAACGCTGTCCGTATTCGGCACTGATTTGGATTTCCCAGCCAAGCTCTCCAACATATGATTTGCGGAAGGCGAGAGCTGGGATTCCAGCGACTGTTACTCTCTTCACATGAAAATAGGGAAGACCTTTATTAGAGAAATCATCTGTGCTGAGGCTGTCCATAACATCTCGAGCGCGTGGACCCCAAAGACCCAAGCAGCAAGTGCCTCCTGTTATATCGCGGACTTGAACGTATTGGCTGGGGGACTGTGTGCGCTGCAGCAAAGCCTCTCGGCTCAGGTAATGGAAATCGACAGCCGTGTTTGCACCGATTTGGTATAAGTCGCTTGCGATTCGAGAAACGAAAACATCACTCTTGATACCTCCCTGTTCATCCAAGAGCAGACTATACATGATATTTCCGGAATCTTTGGCCACATCGCTGGTCGTTAACCGTTGAAGAAGATCTTGAGCGCCAGGTCCTGATACTTCGAAACGATGGAAGGCAGTCATATCGTAGGCAGCCACAGCTTTCCGCGTCTTCCATGCCTCCACTGCAGAAATGGGAGAGTAATGTTGTGAAGTCCATGCATCGCGCTCCACCGGTTGCCAGCTCGAAGGCAGATATTGTAGCAGATCTTTGTTCGCCTCATACCAGAATGGTCGCTCCCAGCCTCCTACTTCCAGGAAATATGCACCCAGTTCCCGTTGCCGCGTATTGAAAGGACTTATGCGGAGATTTCGTGGCGATATTTTGGGCGCGAGAGGATGGATGATGTCGTAAATTTCCACAAAATTTTGCTGTGACGTCTCGCTAACGTACTCCTTACTCAGCTGGATCTCTTCGAAGCGTGAGAGCTCGCAATCTGCCAAATCAGTCTCTGATCTGCCTGTTGTGAGAAGTTCAGCAACTGCTCGCGCAACTCCTGCCGAGTGCGTTACCCAGACTGCTTCGGCGACATAGAATCCTTCCAGATTGGGTGCTCGACCGACCAGAGGGCCGCCATCAGGGGTAAAAGAGAAAACTCCGTTGAAGCCATCGGCTATGTGAGTCTCTTTCAGAATCGGTAGTAGCTTTTGCGATTCGTTCCAAGCTGTTTCGAAATCTTTCGGCGTGAAGTTTAGTCGTGATGGCATGTTCTTCTCGTCGACGTGCTTGCCAGTTACCCCGAGGTCAGCAGCTCTGACGGGCATCGGTCGATGGCCGTAATATCCGATACCATATTGGTCACCGTGTTCACGGTAGTATAAATCCTGATCCTGATGGCGTAATATAGGTAGTGTCGCATTCATTCCGTTGATGTTGTTGTTGATCTCGCGACCTTTGAGGCTAGGGACAGCAGTGGTCTTTGCATACTGGTGTGCAAGTGGGAGCAAAGGAACTTCCAATCCCACCATAGCTCCAATCTCCACCCCCCAGAAGCCAGCGCAAGAGACAATGATGTCTGCAGGAATGCTGCCACTGGGCGTTGTAACGCCAGTAACCCGGCCTCCGGATCTTTCTATTCCAGTGACGGGTGTAGACGGAATGTATTTGGCTCCAGCGGCGGAGGTGCGTTCGATGAGTAGTTGTGTTGCGCGTGCTGCGAGTGCAAGGCCGTCGCTGGGGATGTACAATCCTCCTATTACTGATTCAGGATTGAGTAGTGGGTATCTTTGCAGACACTCCTCCGCAGAGATGAGCCTCGCGTCGACCCCCCACGATGAAGCATATCCATGTTTTCTTTTGAGTTCCTCCATGCGTTCTGGAATTGTTGCTACTTCGAGACCCCCAACCTGATTGAAGCAGCTCTGACCATCCTTCTTGAGCGACAAAAATTTCTCTACAGTGTATTTTGCAAAGCTGGTCATCGTCTTCGAAGGGTTAGTTTGGAATACGAGACCGGGTGCATGCGAGGTCGAGCCACCAGGCATATGCAGTGGCCCTTGTTCCACCACTGTGATGTCTTTCCATCCTCGCTGTGCCAATTCATCCGCGACGTTGGCCCCCACAATCCCAGCTCCGATAATAACAACTCGCTGTGAATAGGACGACATGTTGAATAGGGTATGAGTATCTAGACACAGCACTGGATCCAGCCCCTTTTTGAAGAGCTATCGGCTATCAACGCACTGCGGGTACAGCGCTGTCTATGTGTGGTCCTGCTAGAAGACAACATGCTTTTTCTTTACCCTCGACAGTTTGGAATCGCGATGCCGTAGCAAAGCGGGAGTGTTGACGAACACCGATTGCGGTCCTATGTTCATTTTTGCCGAAAACAGCTTAGCGCGATAAGGTTGTGCGGAGTCCCTCCACTTCCTTTACAACATTGCGCGTCGGTCTCTCGAAAATGGAGAAAATTGAGTCAAGATGATAATTATATGACAAGTGGTGTATCGAGTCAATCTAAATACGAAAGCTGATTGACGATTCTGAGGAATACATCGTAACTCTGGTCAGTGTTGATAGTTAACTAGATGCTCAAGATTGAAAAGGGAACAGGCTACAGCGTCCGGGAGGAAGACTAACAGGGGGTCTTGAATAAGACCTAAATACAACGGTCTGGTCCTTATTGGGTAGTCTGTTTCTAAAAGCGCCGCAATAACATGGATGTTTCGCTTTTCCAACAGTTTACTGAGAGTAAAAGATAACTTATCTTGCGTACACTCTGAAGCGATGGATTGTAGCCCAGCTTGTGTTTCTTATCCTTAGTCTGCAGAGTAATTTTAAGATAAGAGACTCAATTCATATGGAGATACACAGTATTTCGAGCAGTGAATACAAAGTTTCACACACGGATGCAACCGAAACACAGATATCATTACTTCCGCGAATTACGATGCTCCAAGTAGAAGTCACTGGCATGAAGAGTTCAGGCCGTTCATTCATCGAAGGGCGATAGAAATTGAGAGATGCTAGCTGAGCTCCGACTCATCTACCTGTCGACTTGTGTTCTAGACCCGGCTGTTGCAGCTTGGAGTGCAGTAGTCAACGACCAGAAATCACCAACTTTGGGTTTTATCTTCGCTTATAGTGGTTATTAGAGCCACTTGCTTTGGCTCCCATAGAGATAAGCCCGCAGATCCGTGTCCGGATAACTCGATAGATGATCAAGGAAGACCCCCTAATCTTGAACACATGAGCACATCACTCCCAAACTCGAGTCATAATTGACCGATGACATGACTATGAAAATGAGAAGTGATGATCTCAAACATACAGATACACCCTTAAACCAGTGGCGCAACGACGCCCCCGCCAAATAGTTACAGATGGGTGGAGCTAGAGTCTAGAAGATGGACACTATTGCCGTTTTCGGCACAATTTCACTCAAAGCTTAGCATCTGTTAGCCATATCGGGATAAGGAAGATATAAGTGTGGTAGTGGCCTGTGCTGTGTTTGATATGGGAATGGACAGCATTGCCACATGGGGTGCAGTAAGTATCGATGTTGGTCAGGTAATATCACACAGATGGGAGGAGGCGCATCATGTACCCGAGGGTTCGCTACGATCAATATTCAGCTATCTGACATGAATCAAACTTAAAAGAAGCGCTCCCAGCTTCGGTTTCTATTACTTCAAACTAGAAGCTTCTCCCTTAATCACTTCTTCGCCTCACTTAAGGCAAACACTCTATCATACCCAAGTCGAACATATATTGCATACCCTGCAATCATGACCACGACACTTCGCAACTATCTTGGCTTCGGCCAAGCGGCCGCGAAACCGAAGGAGCCCGAGTCTGTTCGCGCTCTACCTGCAAATTGGTACACTTCCCCAGAGATGTACGAGTTGGAACGTCGATCTATCTGGTCACGGAAGTGGCTGATCATGACCCACCAAGTCCGTCTCAAGCAACCTGGCGATTTCCTTCGCTACAAGATTGGTGGATTTGACTTCATCATCTCTCGTGATCGATCCGGAAAGATCTCAGCATTTCACAACGTCTGCAGACATCGCGCCTACCCAGTTATAGAACAGGAGAAAGGCACGGCAAAGATCTTTTCATGCAGATACCATGGCTGGTCTTATGGTCTCAACGGCAAACTTGCAAAGGCCCCTGGATATCAAGATCTCCCCGACTTCGATAAATCCGAGAACGGTCTATTCCCCATCCACACCCGAATCGATGTCAACGGGTTCATTTGGGTGAATCTCGATGCACAGAAAGAGCCTGAGATCTCCTGGGAAGAGGATTTCGATGGTGTTGATCAGCAGGCGAGGTTTCAAGAATACGACTTCGAGAATTACGAGTTCGACCACGTCTGGGCTATCGACGCTGACTACAACTGGAAGATCGCCGCCGACAACTACAATGAGTGCTACCACTGCCAAACCACACACCCTGATATCCCATCCCTAGCCAATCTGGAAACATACGATGTGCACCCTAAGGCTGCTCACATCCAGCATGATGCATCGACCACTCCGGAGCAAAGGGGCAATGGCCTTTGCATTGCATCCACATACTACTGGCCTCATGCCTCCATGACAGTTTCGTAAGTTGAAATCATCCATGTTCTAGCTGTATGTATATACTAACAGTTCTTGCCAGTCCCCACTTCTTCTTCATGCAGAAGTTCATGCCCACCTCACCCACTACAACCAATGTCTACTACGAGGTTTACCGGAACCGCCATTCTTCTGAAGAAGACTTCCAAACCATCAACGCAATGTACAAGCGCATCATGTCCGAAGACAAGGAGCTCTGCAACCTCGCCCAGAAGAACCTCAATGCAGGTGTCTTCATCAACGGCGAACTCCACCCACACATGGAAAAGGGACCTCTCTATTTCCAAAAGATGTGCAGGGAGATTGTGGTGGAGTGGCATGCCCGCGAGAAGAGGGAGGGTCACGAGATCTGGCCTGCCCGACAGGTGTTGCCGGGCAAAGCAGCGCAGGCCAATGAGGATGTTGACTTTTGCGAGGGCTTGTCTTGTGGCAAAGAGAGAAACGATAGCCTGGTTTGGTAAATGCAGGGTTCCGGTGATGATTTGAGAGTTTTCATGAAGTATGATCATAGCATTGGCGTTTGGGGAAGAGGTTCTTATCCCTTCATTTATGTATTCCCGCTTCCTTCTAACTGTTTGGTTCTTTCATTCGATAGCCGTTGATGATATAAATCGATTTCCAGTAGTTCCAGAATAATATACAACTTCAAATATCTACAATTTGATTCATAATGCTCTCGACCGTGATTGTGTGAAATTCGGGCCATTAGCACACGCCCTATCTCTAATCATGCACCACTTTCTTCAGCCAGTAACCTTGCCCAAGGATCAATTTTGGCGCATCGATATTACCCAATATTTTCTCCAGCGTCACGTAGCTTCTGCTGTAGATCCCAGCTCATTTGACTTCGTCATGTCCATGCACTGAAATCATGGTGCGCAAGAGACCGTGTTTCTTCCATCCTAATTGGGAAATCTTTACCATGGCCCCCTATCGGCCAATCACGACCGGCGTTGTGATGTATACCGCACTATGCTTATCTTCACATGATAACGTTGGCAGGATAGATAAAGTTTTGCCTTTTCTTTATTGAATGAGTCCGCTGGTAGGCTCCCAAGCTTATGAGATAAATAGGAAATGCTTGCAAGTTCTCAGAGGCATGGCCCAGGGAATGGCGCATAGAATAGTGGGATTTTTACCTATGTCTATAGGAAATTGTATTATCAATAATCAGAAAAAGGGTATATGATCTGAACAGTCGATTTTCACGCATTGCGGGTTTTCTCCAAAGATTCCCTTTAATTCCTCCTTTTTGCACTCATAACGTTGAATCTTCGGGCATAAGGCCATTTCGCCACTTGAGTGCCGAATGCTTATTCGCCCATTCCAAAACCGCGTCGTAATCTACGCATTCATGTTCGGAGCCCTGGCCAGGCCCTTGTTCCGTCTTTCCCTCCAATGTCGTATCAGCGTTGCACATTAGTCCTTGGCGTAAGTAACTGAAGCAATGAACCGAATGATGAGCCACCTCTTCTGTCAGATTACCTCTGCCATAATGTTCGGCTAGATAAGAAAGGCAGTGGAGTTGGTGGCTAGATTGGCGGTGCTGTCAGTTCAAGTGTCTCAAAACCACCTCATGACTGGGATATACGAACAAAACAGTTATCATGAATCCAGGTCCATCTGTGTGGCGGTCGATTGCAATGGTGTAGGGTGTGGGAAGGTCGTAGGATTTATGGTCAGGGAGACTAATGTATCCCCGAGAGTCTATGAAGGGTGTTAGATAGAAGGGTCGGAGGCAGTGTCATGTAAGAATGGGATATACCAGAACTTAGCTCAATCCAATTGTGTAGTGTTTGGAGCTTCAATGTTTCATTTAGGAACATTTCTTCGCGGAGATACTTGGGATTGTTGAGGAAGGTGTAGATCTTTTTGGGAACTAATGCTGGTGAGTACTGCTAGCTGTTTTTCATGGTTCACAGTGAGAGTGCGTACAGTTGGGCACGGGAGTTTTCCTAATGGTCCCTCTTGTTGACGGCCACAACACTATCAGCACTAGAATTGTCGCAGCCATTGAGAGCTCCAAAAGTAGCCGCGGATTGAACATAGATCGCCAGCCGAATGCCTTGTTTTCGGAAGGTTTGATTGGGACATCCTCGCTGCTTCGCTCATCGGAAAGAAATGCCTGCTCCTCCTCGTCGTGTTCGTTTTTGTTGAGTTTCATCTTGCGGTAAGGAGCGACTGCACTGCACGAGGACTCGACGGATTCAAAACTGCAAGCGCATAACAAGCTTAGGACCGGAGATGCGCTCTCGATAGGTGTTATACCACGTTCCAGTGGCGTTTAACCCGGAAGAAGCTAGTCGGTTAATATCCAGTAGATGATGTTGTGACAGCGCGCGATACCCAACGGTTAAAAAGGCCAACTGGTAAGGGGCATCACAGAAAGAGTGGTTTTTCGAAAATGGAGAAGACGAAGAAATGAGAAGAAAGTGAGCAGAGTCATGGTCTGGAGAGATATGATCGAATGTTTATGATATGATTAATGTATGTGGGGTGATGGTGAAACAGGGTTTATTAAAGGGAAGTTGTCGATCATTTCAGCAGCGATGACTTTCGCGATGCAAAGGTTACCACGATATATAGGTAGAACCTCTGTCTGCCAAATCGTAACACATGCGATTATGCGTACAGTGCAATTTTACATGTTTGCATATCTTGCTGTAGAGTTGAGTAGTTCAGCAAAGCTAGAGGTGATTCCAGAAACACGACATCTAACGATGCCGTTCTATATCGTGCCAGTTGGCATAAGCCCGCCGTTCGCCATTTTTCCGTGTTTATTTAGTCCTAGAGAACAGATTTTTAATGCTTCGAGAGAAAGAGACGCTATAGTCCAAATGTGAAGTCATCACGTTCAATGTTGCTTCGGTGGAGCGCGGAGCATGGAGCATGGGCAGTAGCACGCACTGACTAAGCACCCTCCGGTCTCCGCCGTGAACTTTCGTGAGCTGCCTGGCGTCATCTTCAAGACCGCGACATTCCCACCGATCCAAAACCGCCTTTCCTCTCACAATGGCCTCGCCCAATCGCTTGGTCGCCTCGACGGCCTCGAGCTTGATACGCGCGTCACGGCTGCCAACCACCTGCCCAAGACCATACCGAGCCCTAAGCATCTCCGCCGTCCGCGCCTTCAGCCAGACTACTTCTCGTGCTCAAGGCACACCCTCAATCTTCTCTATCCCACAGGGAAACTCTTCTGGGACTCCAACATATTTTCCATCGTCATCAAAAGGCCTCCCTGCGAACACAATTATCCGCTTCGTGCCACAACAGACAGCATGGATTGTGGAGCGTATGGGCAAATTTAACAGGATATTGGAGCCTGGTCTGGCCATCTTGATGCCCGTCATCGATCGTATTGCCTACGTCAAGAGCTTGAAAGAAAATGCATTGGAGATCCCAAGTCAGAGCGCCATCACGGCAGACAATGTCACATTGGAGCTTGATGGTATTCTGTACACAAGGGTGTTTGATGCTTACAAGGCAAGGTAAGATTAAATCAATTCTCTTTTGAGATATTGTACAGATAAAGCTAATACGGCATAGCTATGGAGTAGAAGACGCAGAGTACGCCATCTCGCAGCTTGCTCAAACCACGATGCGCTCTGAAATTGGACAACTTTCCCTTGATCACGTACTCAAAGAGCGCGCCAACCTCAACGCGAATATCACCGCCGCCATCAACGAAGCTGCCCAAGACTGGGGTGTTACGTGCCTGCGTTATGAGATCCGCGATATCCACGCTCCAGAGGGAGTTGTCGAAGCCATGCACCGACAAGTCACAGCCGAGCGTTCCAAACGTGCTGAAATTCTTGAGTCAGAGGGACAAAGACAATCCGCTATCAATGTGGCAGAAGGAAAGAAACAGTCGGTGATTTTGGCATCCGAGGCTTTGCGGGCTGAGCAAATCAACATGGCGAGCGGAGAGGCTGAAGCTATCCTTCTCAAGGCACGGGCGACGGCTAACGGTATCACTGCCGTGGCTCAATCCATCGAACAGGGTCAGGATGCCGCTCAAAACGCCGTTTCGCTCTCCGTCGCTGAGAAATACGTTGACGCGTTTGCGAACCTCGCTAAAGAGGGCAACAGCGTCATTGTACCCGGAAACGTGGGTGATATGGGCGGTATGATTGCGAGCGCCATGGCCATGTATGGAAAGGTCAGCGAGACAAATGCAAAAGCGGCTGCTGCCAAGTTGGTCTCGGGAGGCTCCGAGTCCAAAGCGAGCAAGAAACTTGCGGAACTGGAGGCTGAAGTCGATGACACGAATGATGTCCACAATGCCATCAACAAGGCTATGGACCAGCGATTGAACAAGAAGTAAATATTGATAGGTCTGGGACTGAGAGTGCGTGGTGAGGAGGGAAACGAACCGAGAGTTTGACTGTACTTTAGCATTGTCTGTATCAATAGGGGGTATTTGGTCGCGTCATTGGTGTACAACTTGGTGGGTTGAAAACAGCAAAGATGGCATTTTGAAGCATGCGATTGACCACACCGGACGGAAACGCGAGGGTAAAAAAGTTAAAAGCTGGTCATTATAGTGGGGCTCTCATCTCTTATTGGGAGGCATTGTCTATTCCACTCCTCGCAAGCTAGGTTCTTACAAAAGAAGCATAAGAGTAATAACGATATAATCACACACTGAAACTGCCTTGATCTGACAGAGCTTGAAATCGAACACAACCTAGAAGTCAACGAATCCACCAACACCAACATCAGAAATATATACCACACAAGATAGCCATGCCTATGCTGATATTTGATCTTACTGGCCTAGCTTGACATCTTCCATACCTAAAGCCTCCCCACAACCTCACCAATCAAGGCAGCAATCTGCGATCCATCCCTCCACATGAAATCATGCGTACCTCTCAGTTCCTTAACCTCCACCACCCTTTCCCCGTCCTTGCCATTCTCAACCCACTCCTCCTTCTTCAACCTCCGTAGCAGAATCTCGCCTTGTTCCCGCTCAACCAACTCATCCTCCCCACTATACGCAACCACGACCAATCTCCCATCCGCCCACGTCTCCCTCGTAAACGAGCCATTGGCAGGAGAAAAAGCAGCATACGCTTCCCCGTCATCCCCACCATCCCCACCATCCTCCCCATCACGAAGACCCTCGGAACCAAACGCGCCGCGTACAAAAGTGCGGTAGATCCCGGCGATCTCGGCAGGACATACAGGAGGGGAGTGGTTTGCCAAAAGTCTAGGGATATCATAGATGCCCTCGAGGAGAATCAGACCTTCTAGTCCGTTATTCCTGGTTTCCAAGCTGAAACCAGGGTACGAGAATCCAGTAGAGGAGGAGGTGGGAGAAAGGCCTTGGCCGGAAACGTAGTGCAGTAACATGCTCGCGCCGCACGAGTGCCCGACGCCGATCCAGCGCTGCATCCCGTGTTCGGCTTTCAAGTGCGCTACGGCGGATGCGAGGTCGCGGACGTGGGAAGGGTGGCGTACATTGCGTTGATCATCGGAGGTGGTGCTGGGAGCTGTGGGATGTGTTGGGTATGGGGAGAGACGGTAGTCGATGCTTACGACTGCCGCGAGGCGTGTGGGGTCTGCGAGGGCGGGTTTGGAAGAGGTGGTGCTGGTAAGGTGTTGTAGTGTTGGGAGGATGTTTGCGCTGGATTGGAGAGGGTCGCGCCAGGCACCTTTTCAGGTCAGGAGTCAGTGTGCATTTCTTGTTATTGTGTATTTGGAGGGGGTGAGTAGCAGAATTGGCGTAACTGTTGGGAATCTAGTGGTGTTCCGGCTGTGGTTATACGTACCACCGTGGACGTATAAGATCCATAATGGTGGGTTTTCTGTGGAGGTAGACGATTGCGGGGCTGACGTTGGGGAAGGAGGAGGGCGCCAGATGGTATAAGTCTGGAGTCGACCGGGGCCGTAATGAATCAGTTCCGAGGGGTCTGACGACATGACAGGCGTTGGAATAAGAAAGTTCGATAGGTGATGGATGACGGGGTGTGCGGACCGCTGCTGTCAGGTGCGACTTCGGCAGTACATCAACGTGCGATGTTTGTTTATCTGTGGGGTACTGTGGGGAGCTGATGGTTGTTTTGTTGCTTTCGTCTACAAGGGTTTATCGGAAGATTCCGACAGTTGAAGTGTTTATAACGGAGAGCCGTTGTTCTTCAGTCCACTGTCCCACTTTTGAAATATTTCCGGAGAGGGATTCTGGTCTGTGGATTGGTAGAACCAGGTGAATGTCACAAGTAGCGGATTGGCAACAATTGGGAGTTATAGTTTTTTTTTTTTTGGTATTAAAGGCAGCTATATAAAGCGACCTAGATCACAATCCAAATCGTATTACCGGGTACAACGTTGTAAATTATTCGTCCACAACGGCCCAGGCATCCCAGCCATGCGCCAAAATGCAATGCAGACCCAGAGGTATCTTAAGGACCGAACGGCAGTCAACCAACTGCCATGACAAAGCCAAAGTTTTTAAACAGTTGAAGTGACTCGAATTTTGAAAGCAAATGCAACAGTGGGCTCGAACGCGCTTACAAGAAAGCAGCGACGAAAGCACCGGCACCGAGGAGCGAGCCAGCCATGGCCTTCATGGTGGGGGCAGCGGCGTTGCCAGAGCCGGATGGGCCAGAAGAACCAGCACCGGATCCGGAGGGGTTTGAGCCAGAGCCCGAGGGGGTGGGGCGGGCACCGTTGGAGCCGCTGGCACCGGAGCCGCCGGCGACACTGCTGACACCGCTGGGGAGCTCACCCAGAACGGAGGTGGTGGTGTTGCTGGCAGAGACGGTGATTTGGACGGTGGAGTTGGTTCCGGGAACACCCTGGGTGATGGTGTGGATGCCAGTGGTTCCGACAGCGGGGATGGTGACAACAGGAGGCTGGCTGGAGTCGGCAGGGGGAGCGACTAGAAGCGAGTTAGCAACGGTCGAGGCTAGATTGTGGATGATTGCCATGGATTCGTACCGGGCTGGTTGGTGGCAGCAGCGGGCTGGGAAGTGGCCACGCCAGGCTGTCCAGTCACAACACCGTTGGAGTTGGTCTGGGTGAGGAAAGCAGTCTGGGGGAAGCTGTCGGCGGAGGACTGGAGAAGGTTCAAGTTAGCAGACTGCATGCAGTAGCAAAAGCAAGAAAGGGAGGATGTCTTACCGAGCCCTGAGCGGCGACGGCGGCGACGAGCGCGGAGACGGCAATGTAGGAACGCATGTTGATGGATGGGGTTTGTGTATTAAAAACTCTAATTGGAGCGAATGTGGTGGTGAGAGTGGATTTGGATTAAGTAACGACGGAATAAACAACGACGACGACCGGTTGAGCGAAAGTGGATGGATGAGATGGGAAGAAGAAGGGGAGCCGGACAATGGGGCGCGACGCGTCTGCCTTTTATTGCGTCTGGCAGCAGCCGGGGCCCCTGCCTGGCCGTCCGCCGATGGAGATGAGCCTTTGCGCCCCAGCAACGGGGGGTGCTAGGCTGAGCTAGCCCCCCTTTTGCGCCGCCGTCAATTTCTTTTTTTGCCTCTAAGCCTTGTCTGTCCCTCACATCCTGCTGCCAGTCGTCTCTCTGCTTCACCACCACACGACGACGCCTCTTCTTTTGCTGCTGCTGCTGCTGCTGCGCTCATTTCCATGGTTACGACTCTTACAAACACTCTCCATCATCATCATCATCACCATCATCATCACCAAACCGAGATACGCGTCAGCCCCGTCCCTTCTCTCTTCCTCCCTTTTCCTTGTATTGCGCATAATAGGCCCTTCCTCCTCCCCACACACCCAATAAACCAATACCCACACGCTCCCTGCACATGGACTCATTGATGACAGAGGTCCAATATTCGTCCCTCCCATAATTAGAAACGCTGTCTGGCTAGCTCTATGGGGTACCCTAGCACCTGGGGGATGTGTTCCACTACTAACGTAACCGCGCCTCCTTTTCCGTTCCCAATTGCGTGAGACGCGAGTGGCGCCTTACACCCCATCCATCACCCATCATCCATCATCCATCACCTCGAGTCCTCGTCTTCCTGCTTGATTGCTTTTCCATCCAAGCTTATGTATGTACATCCTTTACCTGCTAGCCTTGACAATGTTTGGGCCCGTTCGTCGAAGGATTCAATGACGATCAACCACCCACTACACAGCGTTTTACATAACAACATTGAACACCCAATGATGGATTGCAACCCACCAACGACCAATCGGACATCCGCACACGCACGCATCCTTCTTTGGTTGCTGCATGTCTTTTCTCATCACACCTGACACAAGGCTTTCCATTGCGTTCCCTCAAAGCACCAGTTCAAACATCTGAATGGCGATCCTGACTGTACACGTGACATTGCACCAGCTGACTCCAAGTCCAAGTCACGGCGTCATCAAAATCAATGTTGTTATTATTGTCACCAACCAGGCCCACACCTGCTCCCACTTGCTTTCCTCATCTCAAAGCCGTAACATTTAATGGGATGCCCAAGACGAAACGCGCTGATGACTTCAAAACCTAATGCAGACCATACCAGGTCACCACTCCATGATCATCGCTCGCTACATACCTAGGTAATTACCACATCTTACAAAACGCATACTCACAATCCCACAAGCACCCGAGAATTTGTTTCAGAATGTTCCGCGAGCACGACGAATCTCCTTTCTCGTCTGATTTCCGCCCGTTCAGATTGGCTGAGGGCTGTCTCACTTCCTTCCAACCCAGTCCATTGTCCTTCGCTGCCTGCAAGGCTCACTCACTTGCACTCAGTCTTGAATTTGCAGTGGAAATCCGTGAATCATTGACGCACCCGATATACATCCAGACTGTCGTTGAGACGCTGCCGCACCATGGATGTTTTTGGAATTACGAGAATTCACTGTTACCTGATTGGTGTGAGACGGAGTGTAGGGGAAACAACACATGCCCCATCACAAGAATGGGCTATTGATGCCATCATCAAAGAGATGGACGATTGGCTATTGACCTAATTCAGCAATTCCCAACCTGTTGTACATGGATAGGTATGTGTACATGTGTACGCATCGCCGATGGTTGCTCAATGTACCTATTTGTGTGTCCGTCACTCCTCTCTGCTTCTCTCTCTGTCACCAGTACATATGTTCTCTCTACGGAAGGGTCAAATATTGAGCGCAACAACACCCATCACTTCCCCAATCTACATGTACAGCATCCATGCTGTACATGTATAAAGTGTATCAAACTACTACACGGCCTACACTTACGCATTGATAGACCGGACCAGAGGAAGTACCATGTACAGAGGTACATATGTAGACTTGTTCTCCCGCTGGCGGGACATCCACCGTCCATGCAATTGTTCAACTCTTCCTTCTGCATCTGACTTCAAGGCAACCACCCTAGCACTCGCCGATACATGGATGGGGTTTATGAGCTACAAGATCCCAATCTCATTCTCTACTCGATGATTCGCCGTATCGCTGCTTGCAATGGATCGCTTAGTTTAGCGAGTGAAAAGTACAGGGTGTACGATCAGATGCGTTGAAGAAATCGAGTGCGTCTTTGACCATTTGTCCCCAAAGCTATAATCTACATTTTGCGCATGTGACCAAGAGATTCACACGCGAGAACCGGATGTATGAATGTGGAGACCCAAACACCTGGGGGCGTATGTACTTCAAATGTTGGTTATGCTCGGTCATTCGTCCTTCACGTGCTCATTCAGTGCATCCATCCAAGACATTGACCATTCTGTGCGGCGACGTGTCATCTAACAGCGATCTGGGGAATCATGTTCTCTCAATTGGGTGCAGCACACGCACAGTTTCCTCCTGAGCAAGACTGGTTTTGTTCTGCTGTGTTTCTCGGTTCCCAATTGTCGAATTGGTTCCTATTTGTATTCAGTCTAACAACCGGCCGCTCCCTCTTTGCTCCTCCACTCTCTCCCTCCCCCTCTCCCTTACCGTTTTCCCTCGCCCCATTGTACTTGTTTTTCGTCTACAATTCATCAACCACCATCCCATCCGCTCCGCATTTTATCCATCTTTCTAACCTGGGTATCGAGTTTACATGCTTCCGACATATGCACGAAGTTTCCCGTGTGCCGATAATGAAAGACGGAGAAGAAGAGTAAAAAAAACATCAAACCCGAATATCAACATCCGAAACAAAAGAGAAGCAGCAAAACAAACAGCCAAACCGTTGATCCCAGACTACCTAACACCTCGATATACACAGCGTCTCCCACCACCATCACCTAAACCGTGAAGACTGTACAGCAGAACAAAATGGGGAATGACACGACAAGAGACGATCGGATCCCGCAGGCTCATCAACACATCGGTCGGCACTGCTTCTCCCGATCGTTGCCTGGCTTGAAGCGTACTTTTAGGCTCACTCGATTAAGAGATGCCTCTGATTGAGAGTTACAACATGCTAGATCAGCAAGCACAGAAGGAGGTGCAGCCGTGCCATGAAGCCTTGAAAGGCTATTGAAGGCAACGACTGTACACAATCTGAATCCGCATCTTCCCCCCATGTAAGTGGGTCCGACAGGCATGCAAATGCTAAACTCCGCAGATTCAGCCATCATCGTCGTCGTCGCCCACAAGCTCTTCAAGTTGCTTGTTGCTCGTAATGAGAAACTCGAGGAAATTTGCCGCCTCCGTCAGCACACCACTTTTACTGAGGCCTCCCGTTCGTATCTCAGGAACGAGCTCAGCCAAATCGTCGAAGCCACGCTTGATGAGGTTACGACGTTTTTGCTCCGAAAGAATATGGTTGCTACGTTTCTGTTCCTCGGATAGGTTTTCCCGTTGAAGTTTCTGGGCCGCCACGGAACCGCGTTTCTTCTTGCTCACTCTATCATCTACAGAAGCTTTGCGATTTTTACCGCCCGTCGCGGGTGCCGCCTTCCTCTTGCTATTCTTGACCGCCGTTTTGCCCTTTCTCTTCATCTTAGCGGCCTTCTCCTCACCCTCTTCGCCGCCCGAAGTGATATCCTCCGAGTGGCCGTCCTCTTCACTCGGCATGTCGCCTTGTGGGTTCTTGAACGCTACTGGGCTCTTAAGGTTGGGCCCGCTCGCGCTAACAATCACCGGCCTCGCTAGGGGCTGAGCGTGCTGCAGCTCCGCAATCAAGCGGCTGGTCACATGTTCCTCTGTTTCTTCTTTCGAGGACACTTGGAAACCGGCCTCGTTGAACGAGCTGTCAGTTCCATAAGTATACGTCCGTTTGAGTGGCTGCCTTATAATTCCATGCTCCCGCAGCTCGGCTTCGTGACGTTCGTGCGCAGGGCTTGTTGCAAACTCGGCAACGAGCTGGGCATCGACACTCCCATTCGCATCGTGACGTGGCAAGAGGGCAGCAATCTGCTCATTGACCATACCATGCGGAGTGGGGACCATAGGCAAGCCATTGAAGGTACCTGAAGAGTAGCCATTCATGTGGTTATTCAGTGGCGCCTGGTTGGCATTTGGTAAAGCATGAAAGCTGTGAGACCTCTGGGCTGCCTGGGGCGCCTGTGGCATTTGTGCATGATTATACAGGGTAGATGCGGCTCGCAGATCATCTGTGGTGTTGAATAGAGGGCCATGGTTTGTATGCTGCGGTATCGTGAAACGGTCGTTGGCGAATGGGTGGTGAAGTTGGGATTGATCGGGGATCGTGGTGGAAACAGCGTGTATGCTCGCCGGGGGAACAAATCCCCAGGCCATGTCATCCTGTACATTTTTTGTTTCGGGAAAGGGCATGTAGGGATCGAAATAGCCCGTGTTATTGAAGAAATCTGTCAGCGACTGAGATTCCGTGTCGCTCAGAAGCGAGGTCTGGTTGTCGACAGCATTGGACGGCGACCCAGAGAAGAAGTCGCCGGAGAAGGTATCTAAGAAGTGCATTAGCACGAGGTAAAAAGGCACAAGAAGCCCACATTGGATTGGAAACGTTCCCAGGGTCCGAGGAATTGGAGTATTTAATACTTACAGCCGAATGGCGGCGGGTCTTTATCGTCCATGGCGGCGCGCGATAGGCCTCTGCCTTTTACACCCGCCAACCCCGCAAACGAAGGTAGTCCAAGAGTCTCCAGTTTGTCCGTATATGGAGCGCGAGGTGATTAAGGGGCGTAGCAGTTCGAAGCTGTCTTCTGACAGGCAGTAGACGGACGACAGACTGAATTGGATGACGATATGACCGAACAGCCGAAGCGGAGGACGCGGAATGTTGATTGACTTGGGTGACGAGAGCCGTGGGTAAGAGGGACACAAAGTCGATCGTGGGCCAGGTCAGAGGATAGACAGCGGCGAACTAGACAACGTTCCCGCACAAAAGGTCATAACTATTGGTGGCAGGATGAAAGGGTTCCCGAGTTTTCGTACGTGGGCAAGGTATGTTATGTTATGGTATGGGAAGTACCGCAGCAGACGCCAATGTTGAACACGCCGTTGGGTTGCTGCGCCGACAATGCACCGGAGAGTGGAAATGGGAGAGCAGCTGAGTAGCTGGGGAAAGATTCAGCGCAGTACGTTGGTGCAGTACTGTACAGTACAGCGCAGTGCGGTGCAGGTGTGCAGTCTGGTCTGTCCCGTTGAGCAGATTCACATGTCAGGCCAGCGTCGCTCTTCGCAAGCTCCTAGAACCCCGGCACACGTGCCTGCCGAGCCCTGACGGGCTTGTGGCGCACAGACCACCAAATAGTATGTAAGCAGTGGCGTCACCTCGCTGGACTTGCGCTACCCCATACTTGCCCCCGTAAACATCACCACCACCACCTCACCGCTCGATATCACTCACTTACTCTCACCCAATTTTCCATACATACATGTAGACATACACTGGTCGTTTTGGCTGTTTGAATTTTCGGTACCCCATGTGCTCAGCTTCCATCTGTCCCCTTGATCGCATCTCTTCCCATAAACAATCTCATCTCGTATCATGTATAAACAATCTTGACTGCATTTCGACCCAAGACCGATCCGGTGAGCACACCTTCTCCTTTGGCCCTTGTATTCATGCGTCTAGTCTCCCCATATTCATCTAGCAAATGCTTGCTCTCCTCCCCCGCAATTTGAATGCCCATTAAACAATCCCCCCGTTCATTTCATCCTGTCAAGCTCGCAGGGATAGGAATGTGCCGAGCCGAGGTCTAGTTCATCCATCCATCACCCAAGACTTCCACCTTGGACACTGCTACCATAGTCGTGCTGATCCGCGACAAAGCTGATTGGGCCTCCCTCCCTTCCCCTCCAACACATCACCTGTCTATATACCGTCTGAAGCAGCATGATTGGGTCACGCAGAGCCTCTACGGAACTGCGGTTGTTGGCAAAACCGTCAGTGCCCCCAAAGCCCCTTGTACCATGAATACAACCTCAATCCCCACAGCAACATGCATAACCGTGGTGGACATTTGTGATACCGTATACGTACAGTCAGCTGAACTATGGAGATACAGGATTGCTGTTGCCTATCTTTTCGGTCTGTTATCTACTGATGGTCCTAGAGCCCTCAAGATTGTCCTGTTGCTTTGCAAGCGGAGGTTGACAGTTCAGGCAGCATGCCACCAGGTTGGTTCTCCTTGTGAATGATGAATGGCGAGATTGAATGTGATGATCCACTATTAACATGTCACTCGGCAGCTCCATACCTTTTTCCAGCAAGCCATTTCCATCTACCGCTTTCCATTCTTCTGCGCCTCTCTCGTAACCGGCTCAACACTATTTCAGATCCCTCTCCGGACGCTGTTCATTCAACTTCTCCGCCTATTCCCTTCGCACAATGACCTCACCAGTCTACGCATCGCCTCGCTTCTTGCCAAATTCTTTGCGTCGTTGACATCAGCATCCTTGTCTTTCGCCTTACTCAACACTCGGCCTTCCTCATATAATGATGAGGGCCGTGATACCGCAAGCCACCTTCGATTCATCAAACCTGGTCCCTTTGATGAACCACCAGAATCGCTACTCAAAGACGTGGATGATAACACACTCAATGCAAAGTCGTTGTCGAGAGCAGAGCTAGCAGGTAAGACTATCGACCTCACTTTGTTCGCAGTCTGCCGTGCTGCGGACGTACTTATCCAGGATGCAAAATCTCGAATACCCCTCAAGCCTTCTTCCAAGGCTAGAGTCTTATCCCGAGCTGTGACTCCTATGCTATTCTGCTTCTCTGCAGCTACTATAATGCATGCGTGGTTCTACAGTCCCAGCCGCCTACCTCACTCATACAATACTTGGATCTCCAGCGCAGCAAAGCTCGATCATCGCTTGTTGCTTGTACTTCGGCATGCAAAATATGGTACTTGGCGATATGGCGAGGATACTGGTATGGGGCAACTATTGGGTTCCATGTGTCACGACTACGGTTTGCCTGAGGAACTCGGAGACCCCTCGAAAACTGTACCGGTGCCTTGCGAACTCGTTCACATGGGCTGTGGAAAGAGCTGTGAGAAGCATGCGCTCATTCGTTTTTGGCGCGGCTGGAGTTTTGCAGCTAGGATCCACGCCCCTTTACAACTTCTCGTCCTGCTGAGACATGTTCGGGCAAATGCTCGTCCTGGGAACAAGTTTGCCGGATTAACGAAGCTTGCTATCATCCGAGCAATATCCAATATCGCAAGGAACTCGTCTTTTCTGGGAGTCTTCATCGCATTATTCTACTACGGCGTCTGTCTATCTAGAACCCGCTTAGGTCCAAAACTTTTCTCTTACAAGACCGTCACGCCGCAGATGTGGGATTCAGGGTTGTGTGTCTTGGGCGGGTGTCTCCTCTGCAGCCTCAGCATATTAGTCGAGCAACCTCGGAAACGCCTCGAAATCTTGCTCTTTGTTCTCCCCAGGGCAACCGCAACGTGGTTTCCCCGCAGGTACCTCCCCGAACACCGCTGGAAGGAGCACCTAGCATTCGCTTTGAGCGCTGCCGTTGTCATGACCGCCGCGCAGGAGAATCCCAAGCGGGTGCGCGGAGTCTTCGGGTCACTCTTGCGTCATGTTTTGAAAACTAATTAATACAAGGTATTGTAGTCTTTGTATAACATGTTTATTCTCATTTGCTTGTATTATTACTATCATTGTATATTTCTGTCATCCCGTATTAGGTATGCTGTTGTTTTGATTGTTTATTCCGTCTTTCTTAGTCTCTTACGAACTTTGCTGCGAAAAGGAGAGTCGAACGCGATTACAGCCAAGTGTTCGAATCTCATCTCGATTCCAATAAGGAGCGCTGCGCGTGCGTACGCGTGTTCATCGCATTCAGACAGCAAAAGATATCGCATCGTCTCGAAGTCAACCAACAACATGAAAGTCCGCCAGTAAAACGCCAGTTCCCAATGCCAATATCTGGTGGTGGTGGTATCATCGTGTACAACAAAAGAAAATCAACGAAAAAGGGGGATGAAAATAGAAACGAAATAGATCATAGACTTGCTTCTCGAGGGCCTTCGTAGTCTGCCCTGATTTGCGGCTTGCTCACTCATTCCTCATAAATCCGATCCCAGAGCGGACTGCTTTTCCTCCGATGTCCAGAGCCTACTAAATTTCTTAATGGCCATTCAGTCTTTGATGACGAACTCTTTCGTCTCGACGGTTCTGGGTACTGCGACAAACTCGTATTGCCACCATACAAGCCATTTTCAACATCGACGTAGTCACCGCCATTATAGTAATACTCCGGACCATAATCTTCGATATAGTCGTAGGAGAAGGGATTGCTGGGAACGCGTCCAGTCGTCAGAGGGGAGATGGGGGAGATGGGATCTTGCTTGGACTCGTTTGGGGAAGAAGATGCAGCGCCTACACCGGAAGACATGCTCGTATTGGCTGTGGATAGTGCGAGGCCGCTGGAGCTGCTACCGCTGTGCTCGGGCATGGTCTGGCGAAGCAGTTTCTGGGATGCCGCTACCGCTGCTGGACTCATCGCCCCGGCTGCTACTGCTGCGGATGGCGGTGAGCCAACTGGTTTCCGCTTGATCTGTCCGGCTGGAGGGGAGTGCGGGGTTAGGTTTCGCGCTGTTGTTTGTCTGGAGCGGCCGAGAACGGGGGAGTCGATGTCGATGTCATCATCGGGTTCGGAGACTTCGGCTACCGAGCGAAGGCTCTGGTAACTTGTTCGCATACCCCTCGCGCGGTTCGAGCTGTGCGTGTGGAAAGTCATAATGGGGCGTAAATCTTGCGGTGTGGCGCTCGAGTCGGGCGAGTAGTGGATGGGTGATGGGTTGTTGATTGGGACGCCTGGGTTTGAGTAACTGACATCGTTCGTGTCGTGGTATTTGTCGGTGTTGTAGTTCAGCGCATAGGGATTATTAGATGGCAAGGGTCCTGAGTGTCCTATCGCATAAGAGTTGTGTGGCTCCATGGGGTCGTAGCCCTCGTCTTCCCAGGTTGAATTTCCAACGTCTTGCATCGAGTTATTTGGATGGCGTGTGAGTGGGGTTCGGTGTTCCATTTGTTCCATGCTCCTGTCCTGAAATGCAAAATGGGGGATGAATCCCGGTGAAGATGGTGGAATCGATCCATCCATTTTCTTCTGTGTTCGCCGCCGGAGGAGGAAGCAGCATCCTAGGAAAAGAGCTGCAGCTCCGACAACACCAACGGGTATTCCCACTCCCAACCCAATCTTTTGGCTTCGCGATAGACCAGAGTCGCTTGCGGGAGGAGAATCAGGGATGGGGTCGGGTGTAGTGGATGGCGAAGACGATGCTATAGACGAAGTCGATGCTATAGACGAAGTCGATGCTATAGACGAAGATGAAGATCTGGAGGACGAGGTCGCAGATGACGAGAAAGAAGCAGTGTCAGAGGAACTCCGCGAAGATGCGGTGGATATTGTGGACCGGGGCGATGCGCTACTCGAAATTCTGGTTGTCATACTCGATGAACGAGTGAATCCTCCGTTGCTTGTCCTAGAAGGTGCAATGCTCGATTCAGGGGGAGAAGTTTCCTCGCCAGTCGTAGTTGCTGAAGTAGTCGCACTCCAGCTCCAACTTTCGATTTCACTTGCGCTGGTCGGAGGTGTAGGCGTGGCAGTCGCTGGTCCGAACTTCTTGATTAAATAAGCCTGAATATCTTCCGGTAACTGATTGAACCAGTATGGTCTCTGGTCTTGAGAGAATTCATCGCGGATCAGACTTGATACGGCTGGAAGATTGGTCGCGGCGACTTGACGAAGGTAGACAGGTATGGCAGTCAGAAGGACCCCAGCCAAGTCAATACTAGATTCATGGTTAGCCTTTTGTTAACTAGAAGTGATGAGAGACGGAAAGCAATACTTACGCATCAGGGTCTTGCCTTCTAATCAGCCATTCTAAATCTTCGATTCTCGGCGCGGGCGTGATCTCAGTCGGCGGTGACAGCGACGAAGAGGTAGATGGTATAGCCGCGCTCTTAACCAGACCCGGCCCTAACACAACACCACCCACGACAGCAACCTTCAGTAACGAATGCATTGACGAAATCCAAAGCGAATGTGAGGTCGTCTTTCGAACTCTGAAAGAAGACAGGAAAATGGAAAAATGCTCTCTGTAGCACGGTTTGCGTATTTGCTATGAAGTCATGGTTCGGGTGTCAACCGAAAAGTTTCATCAGAAAAAAGTTGCGAGAAAAAACCGGCCAGCCATCCATCTTTTTATCGCCATCGAAGCAGACATGCAGGATTGTCGAAGCCAATACTGCAGGTTCAAGGTACCGGCGATGATCGTTTGGCCACGAGCGAGGCTCAGCACCCTGTCGCTTCACCTAAATCCGGTAACACAGTTTGGCGATCGTGGCGATCAGGGTCCTATCATCTCGCTGTGTGGTTCGCCCCCTCACTAGCCACACTTACTCCCATGCGAATTCTTTGGAATGCCATATTATCCGAGATCCTAAACCACTGATATTCTCCGCATTTGCGGGATCCTTGTAGCAACAACGATTTTTCAGTGGATAGAACGGTTCGATTGTGGCAACATCGTGGCGGTGCGTCGAAGCGAGGAGCTTCCGGCGAGGAACTTTGGGGCCCGCTTGCGTACCGAGGGCTTTCCGACACGAAACATAGATCTGGATCACAGATTGTGGATGGTTGGATGCGGAGGATGGAACATGATGACGGAGCGTGATTGTCACTGAGTCTGAGAAATCATTTGCTCTGATAGGTAGGTGAATTGATATACGCGGGTGTTTACTGACATACAAGCACATCGGATAGATAGTCACCTCGCGTAAATCGCTAATCAACTATTTTTGGATAGCCAATGAGTGTTCGAGTTTGTTGCAAATCAAAGCGGGACAGATAAGTCTTGTGCAATCGCACGTTTTGTGTGTCGCCCAGCCATGGAGGTGACGAATTGGGAAGATCGTCTTGCCGCGCAATTCGCGTCACTTTCGAATGATTGGATGCCACTCAAGATATTTTGTCGGTCTGCTAGATGTCTCTGACGGTTACTCTGCCAGTCGCGATGTCTCCGGATTCTTCATTGGGAACATGCAAGATCGTGTCTGGTGCAAGACCGTCTCATTGAGTTTTCGATTTACTAAACTCACATCTTTTGGTCTCTCAAGCTTGGGCCTGCATCAACTCTAGCACTTTGAAAGAGAGAATGAGCAATGTCTTACGATTCTCAAAATCTTAATGTATACATAGACTCTTAATGCAGGTACATATAGCTTTGAATTTTTATATTGATTCGAGTGAAAGATGCTTCCCATTTAGTGCATACTCGCGGACGAAACGCGAGTGTTCTCAATGGTTTCACTACGGAATGACTGGGTATAATCTGATGGGGTGTTGTAAGAACTGCATGTGGTCATTGCTCAGGTACAGAACCTACCTCGGTAGGTGTGTCAACGTGCTACCTATCCAGACCCATGAATCCCAACTCACGGACAGTAGTTTCACGCAAGGGGTGTTCATGCCAGCTATTAACATCCTCCTACATATAGCAGGTATTGATAAGCCTGAACAACACATTAGTCAATTATGTGTGCCATGCATGTGTACCTACGCATGTATTCATGCAGTAATCAGGATGTGCTGAAATCAAGCTACAGGCATATCTGTGTAATGAGAGTCGCTCTGTTACCAGATGAACGTGTTGGTATCTCTAGGGCACATGCATGTATATCAATTACCAGGTAGGGTCAGGGTTGATGGATGTGGAAAGCTCCGTGAGAACTCTGCTCTCTTATAGTAGAGGGCGACGAGCGTACCATGGTTCCTAACCGCAACACTACAAATTCGTACATCTCCACTGGATCTTTGGGCGTCGTATACGTCACTACGTCAAATGCGCAGTCAATATCAATTACCTAGGTAATGTGCGTATTGTTCGTCACGTGCATTCACCCGGCGCTCCATACACCGGATGTGCGTGACAAGCGAGACTAATGTTATAAACAACAGGTCTCTCGTGAATAAATCGAAAACATGGATCGATTCTTGCCAAGAATATATCATCACACCATTCTACACTTACGCGAGTGTCGGGAGCGTGCTGCTTGCTGAGTTGAGCCTCCCTCTATCGAAGGACACGAGATTCTGAAATGGGTCCACATTATTACAGTAACCAATCTCATTGTGAATGGTGGAACTTGCACTAACGTAGACACGGCGTGAGTTCGGCCGAACTCGTGTCCACTCCCCTATATAAACTCGCCAGTGTTGCGTTGCGACTACCGTATTCTACTAACTGATCGCCTCACTACACGACAGAATGGCTTCAATAAATCTTTCGACTTCGAACGAAGAGACTGTCAAGACCGATTTTGATGTCTTGCTTTCTGAATATACACAAAAAGAAACCCCAAAGGTGCACGGTGTAATTGCAAAATGCGTTGATAAGAATGGTATTGTTCTAATCAGACAATTGCCCTTGAGCTCTCTTACTTACAGTGTTGGCAGGCAAAGAGGTGTATAACAAGATTGCAGGGTACGACTCGGTTCTTCCCGACGCTTCACCTCTTCGTGAAGATGCCGTGATGAAAATTGCGAGTGCCACGAAACTCATCACTGCTATTGCTTTGCTCCAATGTGTGGAGGAAGGACTACTAGAGCTTGACGAGCCTCTTACAAAGATCCTACCTGAGTTCGACGGAATAGAAATCTTGAAAGGCGTGAACGGATCAGATCTCACGCTCGAAAAGAGCAACGTACCGGTCACTGCCCGACATCTCTTGAGCCACACTTCAGGATTGGGTTACCAAGTTCTTCATCCGCTGCTGGCTCTTCAAGCAGAAATGCAGAAAGACACCAAACGGTCTGGACACGTCACAGAGAAGTACAAGATGCCGTTGGTCTTTGAGCCAGGTACTGGATGGCTATACGGGTGCAGCTTTGATTGGGCCGGACTGGTCGTAAGCCGTCTACACAACGACATCGCGCTCGGTGACTATTTCACCGAGCATATCTGGAAGAGAGTGGGCTTGTCTGCACCGTTCCCCAGATTCAACATTGCCGTACACCCCGATTACAAAGCCCGCATGATGCAAAGTTCCGTCATACAAGATAACGGAACACTCGAGCACCTGGACAACTGGCCCATCATTGATGATGACGAAGCTCACAACGGCGGTGAAGGGCTTTCATGCACTGCGAACGATTATCTCGCCGTCCTCGCCGACTTGATCTCAGACGCACCAAAGCTTCTCAAGCCGGAGACCATTTTCCGCATGTGGGAACCGCAATTGCTTCCAGGATCGCCTGGTTCTGGGATGCTCTTGTCTCTCCGACCGCTCTGGGAAACGATAACTGGACCAATCGTGGACCACGGTATCAATCACGGCTTAGGTGGTGTGCTTTGTCTCGAGCCTGTACCCGAAAGTAAACAACCTGCCAACATGTTGGCATGGGGAGGAGCCACTAATGTCGTATGGTGGATGAACAAGGCGTCGGGCGTAGCAGGGTTCTTCGCAACCCAGCAAGCACCTACCGCGAACCCCAACGTTACCAAACTCGTAGAAGCTTGGAAAAAGGACTTCTGGACACAATATGGTGTTAACAGATAGAACATCGTCGTAAAGAACATTAGTCTGTACTCAAATATGTGCCATAAATTGTGTATACTATTCCTAGATGTTCAGTACTATTTTGCAGAATCCTAAATGATTCCACTTCTTTCTGGTAGCAAAAAGAAGGGAAAAAGAAAAACAGCTGCGTGTTCGCATTTTCGACCCAAACGGGTAACTTGAGCTAGGGAGTGACTGAGCCCATGTGCCCGGGTAGGCGATTTGTCTTCGTATTAGATGAAGATAGCCCCGCACGCACGAATTGCGGTTTAACAGGTGGGTTTTCGCAATCTATCAACAGATCGGGAAAGCAGCTCGGAGGTATTCCAGACCAACCCATCTCGGATGCAAGGCCGAATACCACCCTACATCAACACACAATATCTCTCATGCTCGAACAAGGAAGATCAATGTCAATGAAAAAGAGTAAAGCGGTTTGTAGGTACTTTGCTGCATCATCTTTAGGGTTCCTCAACAAACAGTCTACCCCTAAAGGTACGAACAAACAGAGAACCAGAAAGCCTTGTATCTGTTCTACAAAGCGGTTGCTACCTGTCATCGACTGGACAAAAAAAATATGTTACAAAGCGAAAAAACAGATGCAAATTTCAAGATCTTCCTCCAAATGTTGATCGCTACCCCTCCTTCTCTGACTGATTCATCCTATGTTTCTCCTCATCATGCTCATATTTCCTAGTCACAGCATCACCACAATCCACAAACATTGGAACCAATATCTCCTTGATCACAAACTTATCTGCCGACGAATACCCCAGAAAAATAGAATTCGGGTCCTTGTTGATGACAAAGGTCTTGGTGGTCAGGCTGCGGTGGAACGCGAGGCTAGCCAGAACGCTCGCCATTCTTTCGGAATGTACATATATTTTTCTGCCTTGTCTCTCGAGGTGACGGTGTCAGAGATAGGGTTTCCTTGTGCAGGTTTTTGTTCGTTTTTGTAGAAGTTAGAATTGTTACGTGGAAAAAGTGCACAAATTAAGACATGTGACTCATAGATGAAGTCTTGATGGAAGATTGTTGTTTTCTTGTAGAGATGGAATATAAATTATGCTGAGTGGAAGATTAACTAATCCAGACGCTGGCGAGAAGCATATATTTGGGGTGTATTTTTTTTGGTTTGTTTTGGTTAGGAGCTTCCCGTCCATGTATTTATGTGCGGTAAGCCTCCTATCTCGTCATGGTACCGAATGAGTTGCTTGTAGTAATGTAATAGACACTCGAGCAGTCATGGCTACCATGCCACGAAGAAATGAAACTGTTGAGGCGACAGTATCCACACAGAGTAAGCGGCGACTTTCGGAGAAACATAATACGCGATTAAAAAGAGCTAGCACCGTGAATGGCGAGAATGCTCATTTTCTTGGATTATTGACTACCACCTCGTGGTTTGTACGATAGATATACACTGACAAGCTGAACATTCTACACGATTCACGCATCCGCTTATCTTCCAATTGTCTTTCCGTCCGTTACAAGAAAAACAGCCATGGCTAACATGCCCATATAATTCATCTAATCTATTATACACAATATTACACACACGCACGAAAGAAACCGTAGCCCTTTTTCGATGTTTGATGCCTCATTAGCTTATGGTCGCACCCTAGCTGAGGCTTCGCTGCTCTCAACGGTAGGCCCCAGACCAAAGATTCTCTTCTTCTTCTTCCCCTTTTTATCTCCATATTTCTCGTCGAATTTCTTGATCGCGTTGAGACTGCCCATGTCTTCGGAGATACTCGCGCTGATTTCCTGCAGTGCCTTGTCGAAATGACGAACATGCAAGGTACGTTTCTCTGGGAAATCGTACTTGACCCCTTGCAAGAGTTGGGACGTGGAATTGTTGGTTGAGGCATTGGCGGGTGTGTCAACCGCGGATTTGGCGGCGGCGATAATAGCCTGCTCATTTTCTTCCTTCACACAAGCCAATGCAGCAGCTACTGCGACATTCTTCAAGTCGGAGCCGCTGTAGAAAGACGTTTGCTGTGCGAGGCTTGCCAAATCCACGGACTCGTCCAGTTGCTCGTCGCGGAGATGGATCTTGAGTATCTCTTCCCGGTCACGCTCGGTTGGCAAATCCACCAGCAGACGCCTGGGTAGTCGACGAATCACAGCATCGTCAAGATCAAATGGTCGATTGGTAGCGACCATGACAAAGACAGAGTTATTATTCAGACCATCCCATTCTTTGAGGAACTGATTGAGGATGTCGCGACCCGACGCACGTTCACGACCCGAGTCTCGGGACGACAAAACGGCATCCGCCTCATCGAGAAAGACAATGCACGGCGACAACTTGCGTGCGAGAGAAAAGATTGCAGTCACATTCTTTTCTCCTTCTCCTACATATTTGTCATGGATCTGACTTCCAGAAACCTCAAGGACGGAGCAACCGCTCTCTTTGGCTACCGCTTTCGCGAGCAGCGTTTTACCAGTGCCTGGGGGGCCATAGAGAAGTGCCCCTGATATTTTTTCTGTTGCCAAAACACCATAGTTGAACGCGTCAGGGCGAAGGAAAGACATGGAAGTGAGCGTTTTGATGGAGTCCACGGTTTCCGGAGGCACATGCACTTCGCCAAACCCAATCTTGATCTGTTCCGGATTTACTATCCCAGGCATCAATCGCTTCTCATATTTGTCTGCTGTGGCTGTGATGTTTGATAGTTGTGTTTGTCTCCGGTTGCGAGCTTGTGCATCGGCAGACTGAGATGCGGTAGCCATTTTTTTGGTCCAATCCTTGAAGCTGTTCAAGGATTTAAACTTCTCTTTATCAGCCATTCTTTTGATAAGAGAAAACTTTGCCTCGTCACTTGCTTTCAGTAGACTTATTGCCAGAGCCACATGAGTCCATTTCAGAGCATCGCAGACAGGATCGATAAGATGCAAGCCTAGAGTTGTCAGTGCTACTCGATGAACTTCATCGTGAGTCATGATTCGAGAGCAAAGAAATGCGGGGAATAGACCCTCTGCAATATGGATTTCGTTCATCTTGTTGAATTCTGATCGGAGTGAAATTTGCCGAGAGGCCCTGGGATCGAGAGCGTGAAGCATGTTCTGAATATGCCGCGTGTTTATGGCGCCCAGCTTTTTCCTCTCTACCGAGGTGAGCATCTCGTCAAGTGCATCGCGATCTCCTCTTCTAGTAGAGTCGTTACGAAAATCCTCGGCTGTCTCGGCCGGGACCACAATACTACGAAAGAAGCCGGCATCACCTTCTGCCTGAATACCTTGAACACCGTCAACCGAAGATTCGGGTGTGAGGTCTCGTGAACACGTTGTGCCGACTATCATGATGCTCTCGCCAGCGTTCCTTCTTCTGCGTACGATATCTTCCAACTTCTGGATGATTCTACTTCCATAATGTGTGGCACTAAGCTCTCTGAAGTCCTGAATATGTATGACTTTGGATCTAGGGGACCCGGTCGGGTATTGTTGTGCTTTGATATTTGCTGTGATATCGAAAACAGTTGCTGCTTTACGTGGCAAGGCCTGGAAAAGATCGATTTCTTGCTGGGCGGTTGGAGTGGGGAAATCGAAGAATTCAGGAGAAATTGGCTGGCCCATCTGCTTCGTCTGAGTAGGACGTTCATCAATGCCGCTTTCTGTGCCGGAATTGCTAGTAGATCGCTTGGCATCAACTGATCCTATGATGTGCTCTAACAAGTTTGAAATCTTCAAATCTTCAAGTTGAATCTCAGCTTTGGTGAGAACGCGTCCCTGGACATCACTGGGAGGAGTCTCCTGCTCTTCATGCCCCAATTGCACCGATTTCAGATTCTCTGTCAGGTTCTTGAGCATACTGGATAAAGGTATTATCAGGGGTGGCAATGTTGTGAAGGGAGGCTGAGAACCTGTTGAGGGGAAAGAATTCTGGGGTGCCTCCTCTCCAGCCTCCGCGGTTTCTGGGTTTCCGAGATCTTCCACTTCGCTACCAAGTTCCGCAGTTAGTCTGTGGGTTTCATAGCCCAGAGAACGTATTGAATGCAAAGATGGCTCAGAGCCTTCACCGAGGTAGTCTCCACATATCTCTGCAAGATCCTGAGCTGATAATTCGATCATATCAGCTCCCAGTTCCGACGCCATTCCCTTCACAGCTTGTCGTATGGTCCCGTCCAGATTGGCATGTGGAGAGTGTAATATGAGATTTGTTCTCGCGGAAGGAAATGTATCGTTAATGGCCGGTTGAAGAGCTGATAAGGACGCGGCCATTGTTGCACGAATTTCTGCTAAGGTGAAGGGAGAAACATGAGGTCGATGCTTGCCCTGAGATTGTGACGCAGGCACTGTAGCCTCATAAGAGCGCACTGATGCTCCAAGTAATCTGCTTGCTTTCATGTAATTCTGCTTTGCCCGTGTCAGAAGGTCATTATCCAATGGCTTCAAGAGTTGTTCGGTTCCAACTAAGTCGACACCCAATTTGTGAAGACGCAGGAGCAATAGTTTGCGAAACTTTTCATCGGAAGATGGAAAATCAGCGCCTTGCTCCAATGCATCTATAATGCTTTGGTGATCTCCAAACCTCCACTCTGCCGCCAGCGTTCTGGCGAAGTCCTGGCTTTGATTAGCCATCAACTCCCCATGCCAAGCCGATGATACCCATTGATCCAGGAGCCGAACGCCGGTGAACGGATTGCTTATTGGTATAGAGCATTGCGCAGCGTCCTTCTCATCATGTTGTTTCAAACGCAACGTAATCTCGGACTGCTTTGAGCCAGAAGCGGTGGATGGGGCGGACGCGTCGTTGTGTAGGATGATTCTTTCTTCCAAGAACCAATTCGGTATCACAACAGGAGGAAGGTCTTGTGCGCGATTGCGGCGCTGCGTGCGTCGCAGAGCTGAGGAGTACCGCCGAGTCATTTCTTGTGAACGTTGCAGATTCTGGGCTATATGCTCTGCGTCTTCAGGCGCTGTGCCGACATCTTTCTGCTCTGAAGCTTCCCCGACACTGGTCTTGTCGTCTTCTGTGCCATTTTTACCGCCTACCACTGGCTTTCCATCAGTACCGTTCGGTGTACTTGGGTCGGTCGAGTACCATCGCGTCTGCGAGTTCCGAGATTGTCTGAACCGACGGCCGCTGATCAAACGCGCTGGAGGCCTTTGCAAGGGTGCCCGGAGTATCGCCCGGAGTATATACATTAGGCGGAAGCCTAACGTGTAGCTGTGAGTCGTTAGAATCGCGGAATTGTGTGCTACTGTACATTTCAACTTTTGCGGCGCGTAACACGAAGACTTGAGACTTGGCGGTGCCGTCACGCGCTAAACCTAATCAGGTCACCTACATGTACATATGTACTGCGTCAACCTCAACTTCCTGGATTGATACTGCCTTGAGCTTCCAAACGTCATTATCTGATCTACCAGAGACAAATCTGCTACACCCTTCATCTACATGCATTATGATGTCCGCCTTGAACCAGCAAATGCCATATGACTAAAAACGACTTACACATGATGTTTGTCAGATGTAAAAGATGCAGAAAAGATGCATTTGAGCCAGCTGGCTTGGATGACGTTTTTTGTTCAGCCAGAAGCTAGCGAACGCGTGGACAATTGGCCCTCATGTGCGGCGATAACTATCTGCCAGTCATCCGAGGTGTATAACTTATCAGATGTTGAAGCCTTATACCAATGGGTGGGCGGGTCTTCAACATCTTCGGAACCAATTTGGAGCATCAACAAGTCTGGATCTTGCACAAGATCAGCCCATAGGCGTCCACGGAATAAAAATGCTTCGCATACCAAAAGCCGCTTGCAGCGTAGTGACGAATAAAGAGTCTTCAACACTTAAAGCCTGCGACGACATTCATAGTTTTTACTTGCCGTGGATCCTATCCTCACGACCGGCTCTGAACACAGATTGCCAGTGGAGACATCGTTTTCATCGAGCTTCGAACCCTCCAGAATGACTTCTCTTACACGGAAAGAATCGAACGAGCCTAATCATGGCGACGGCAGGCGGCAGAACCCTCGAGATGGCGTACCGCATTTAAAGGGTGTATCGACAAATAAGGAAGTTAGCGAGAAAGGAGAAACCCTAGCAGTCGATAGTAAACAGAAATGGAAAATGCTGTTTGCAACATCACTGGCAAGTTTTTGGACACTCGGTAAGTCTAAAATCTTGCGGTCGATCTGGCAAATACCATTCGCTGCTAATTCCTCCAGGGTTGTTGCAAAGCTTTGGGATTTGGCAACGACACTATGGTAGTCAAATGGCAGTAGACGACGGAGTCATTCAACAAGGCGACATGATCAAGAGGCCAATAATATCCGCCATTGGATCGCTTGGAAACGGAGGCATCTTTGCTGCATTCGGACTCTTGTACTTTCCACACCTACCAAGTTTCGGCCAACACATAAGAGACCTGTGTCTTTTGGGGACCTTCTTCATGACGCTAGGCTTCGGGCTGGCCTCCATCAGCACGCATGTGCGTTACCCAGAGACACTTTGATGCAAGTCGGGCTAATGGTTGGTCAGCTTTGGATGATGGTTCTGACACAAGGGATCCTCGTTGGGGTCGGAGGCGGCATTTTCCTCTATACCTTGGCGCCGATTCTACCAGAATATTTTGTCAAGCATAGTGGTCTGGCACAAGGAATAGCTCTAGCAAGTCAGTATTGACCGTCGTCTCCCCTTTGCAAGGTATCTTACATATGCACATACATATATATTGACTCTTTGCAGGTGGGTCGGCAGGTGGGAGCGTTCTTTCCCTGTCCGTACCAGTAATGCTCGACCATCTAGGAAGCCAGGCCACGCTCAGTTTGTTGGGGTCTATCAGCCTTGCAATCTGCTCCGCCGTATCGTTTCTAGCTCAACCGCCACGCCAGATAAAGGACCGAAATAATACGATGGTCTGCTGGAAGACGTTCAAAGACCCCATATTCACATGTCTCTTCATAGCGAACTTCTTGCATGCATTGACTCTCCTCAACCCCATAACGTTTGGCCCTGAGTTTAGCGAGGCGCTGGGGCTCAGCAACAGAACGGGATCGATAATACTGGCAATTATGAGCGCAGTCGGAATTCCTGCCCGACTGATAACGGGGTATGTGGCAGACGTCGTGGGACACCAGAACATGCTTCTGCTTGCAGTATTTACTTATGCAGTAAGTGTATGGGGTTTCTGGTTCTCAGCAGCGGCTGTCAAGAGTGAAGCTCTCTGGATCGTGTTTAGCATCTTGTACGGTGCTATAAACGGTACATTCAACATGATAGTCAACTCGGCACAGAAGAGACTCTTCGGAGATGAACTTTACTACTCATACAACGGGGCGATGACATCGATACGCGGGATCGGATTTGCTATCAGCCCCCCCATTGTGGGGTCGCTGGTGACGCGAGTGCAGAACGACGAGTTGGATACTCCCGCTTTCATCAAGCCAATTTCGTACACTGGCACCTTGCTGGTGCTTTTGGTCGGGTGCGTTGCAAGTGTGCGTGCTTTGGACGCGTCGAAGCGGGGTTGGGAGTGGATCCGATGATGGTTGAGCCATTGATGGAGAGCGATGTACATTTGTGTGAAGACATGTTGATACCCATGGAGTAGTACTAGGTAAGCTGTATTTCAAGAGGATAAGATGGTTGCAACCGGAAGCTAGGTCGCAGAGCCATGGCGTTGTTCAGAGAATTAGAGACAAAAAGACGGAAAGGTGCTTTTGCTGTCGGATGACGGCCAGCGTTGGGCCCGAAAATAGCTGGTTGGCGTCTGACGTGGTGGACAACTGGGAGTGAGAAGGTTAATCTACGCGAGGCTCGAGCAAAGAGTGCAGGGACGAGGACTAGGGTGGCTGGTGGCGGCCCCTTGCATAGACCGATCGGCGGGCACAGCTCCGTCGGGCGGCTGTTTGTTGTTGGTAAAAAGTTAGTGACTCTCGTTTTGCGTGTGGGTACATGAGATGGTAGCTTGACGGCAGGCTACTGACCCAAGGCTCTCTTACGTGCGTCAATGGCCGGTGGTGATGCTTGCTAGTGATGTCCATGGCCAACTGCGGCATCAATTGTTTCTTGTTATGGCCATGATTCCCCATGTTGTTTGACGCGGCCTGGCATTATGACCATCCATTCCGCTTCATTCCAAGCCACCACCCGCTCGCTCCCTTGCCCGATACTTTCTCTCTCTCTCTTTCTCTCCGTACTCTGACAGTCTTCCTTCACTTCTCTCTACTCCTTTCACTGTCGCCCGGGCAGGAACACAACTAAGAGCCTGCAGGCGCAAGCGCTGTTGCAATCGCCATGCTGCGTAGCCAATGAAGCCTGCCTCTGAGATGCCACAGCACGTCGGCTTCAACTTCACCGCGCCAACGCCATGTCACTCACGCCCTCCCATCCGCGGACCATGAGCCCAGCCTGGGGAAGCTCGCTCAAGCTCACTCCCACCCCCTCACCCTTCCACAAAAGCACCCCGTTGCGCTCGCCCACCAAACCCGCTCGCTGCGAAGCCAGTCTGGCCCTTCGCCAGATTATTGGAACGACTATCCATTCAGCCAATGCCTTGGACAGCTTGCCCGCAGAGCGCTCCTTTGCATTCACAGCCGGCGCTGCAGCTGTTGTTGCGAAAGTCGGTACCGATCACCACATCTCTCAGCGTTTCTTTCGCGCGCGCCCAACCACGAATCCCATAAACTCGTCCGCGTCGATATATGGAGGCCCATCTACCCCCACGCAAAACGAGAGCAGAAACCGTACTGCTGCGTCGTTGCGCGATTCTGCCGCTGGCGCTTCTCCACTGGGCTCTCCCGCTCACGACTGGAATGAATCCCCCTCCAACAAAGCTTGGTCCATCCGCGAGAGGATCAAGACCGCTACATGTGTATCTTTTAGCCCAGACGGGAAGTTTCTAGCAGTAGGCGAGGTCAGGCTCTCTAATCCTTAAGCACGCGAACGGCAACTAACTAGAATACCTCCCCAGACAGGATACAAACCGCGCGTACTCATCTTCTCCCTATCGTCCGATACCCCATCAGATACTCCTCTCACTTCCCTCACCGACCACACTTTTGGGGTCAAATGTCTCGCCTTCTCTCCAGATTCACAATACCTAGCAAGTCTCGGTTCCCCCAACGATGGCTTCCTCTACATATGGAGTATCAATTCACGAACGGGGGCCGCCTCATTACACTCCAGTAACAAGTGCACAAATAATATTAACCGTATGGTCTGGATGGGTACCAGCTTGATAACGTAAGACTATCTCTGTCTCGCTGCAAATGCCGAAACTGATTGTGTTGCAGAGTCGGTACCAGGCACGTCAAGGTCTGGCGAATAGATGACCCAAATTCGACCCCGCGGCTGTCCAAAATTCGGCAGAGCGAAGCACCGCTCATATCCAACAGCACGCACAAAACCCTAGCGGGAAGAAATTGCCTGCTCGAAAATCTGCTCGACGCCAACTTCACAAGTGTGGCCGCCATAACCCCTTCCAAAGCTATTGTATCCACGGATAAAGGAATTCTCTGTTTACTAGATGATAACGATGGAATGCAACGTCTATCCAAAGTTATGGAGGCAGGAAACCCCGTGACCTCTATGGCGGTTGACTCTGAAAGGCGTTTGCATTTGGCAAGTAACGCAGGGGGTCTGCGAACACTGACTGTCGATGGGATTGCCGATACGACGACCTCACCACCGACGTCACCATCTCGAGTGGACACCCCTGCGGTCTTGCTGAATGCAGACGCAAGTACTGTCCAGGTTGTTGTCTCTCTGGATGACTATATTGTAACCGTAGACTCACAGCGTTCGATTCGCCTGTCACATTCCTCCAATTCCGATGATAAAGCCCTTGTGGGTGACGTTGTACAAAAGTTGGCAGCACATGGTGGACCCGTACTTGGAGTAGCGACTCTTGAGAGGCCGAATGTCGAGCATGTCCACTTCTGTACGTGGTCTGTCGGAGGTTCAATTTTGTTCTGGGGCAGGGATGGGTCGTGCAAGGCTGCTATTGAGGTTCCCCTCGAGCAGTTTGAGGCGGCTGATATTGAAACCAACGAGTTGAGGACCGTCCGCCCTTCTGCTGATGCCAGTTTCCTCGTTACGGGAGACAAATATGGAATCGTTAGGTACAACATCCGTTTTCGCAATTCGTGCTGAGCTTCAGCTAACCTTACACCAGAGTGATAGACTATGCGACGAAGATGTGCGTGTATGAATCAAAAGCTCACTCTAGTGAAATCACTAGCGTAGCTATACATGAGACCAGTGAGTCTGCGTATATTGCAACTAGCGCACGAGACCGTATGGTCCAGATCTTCCAAAGGACAGACAGTGATTGGAACTTGATGCAAACACTGGACGAGCATGTCGGCGCCGTTACTGGTGTGGTTTTCTCCAGGAATGGAGAACGACTTGTCTCCATGAGCTCTGATCGTACTGTTGTTGTCCGCGAGTTGATGTCTGTCGAGGAGGGTAAGGGACCCATGAAGGCCTTCCTCATACGTCGAACCGTTATCCTGAAGTCTTCGCCTGTCTCCATGGCATGGGATATCGATCAAGACGACGTTTTACTCCTTTCGACCATCGACCGCCAGGTTCACAAATATGATTTACGCAACGGCCACTGCCTAAGTAGCTTCCGTGCATCCGATAGCGACGGAAGCGATGCTGTCGTTCTTTCGTCTCTATTGCACATCCCACGGATGTGGGGACCACCACTCATTGCTGGTGTATCTAGTACAGACAAATCCATTCGGCTTTACGAGGAGAACGGCTCACTGGTTGCACGGGACTGGGGCCATACGGAGGGTGTGACAGATATCGCTTTTGTACAAAGTGGTGCTGTTGAAAATGACCGTGAAGAGAAGTCTTTGGTGACAGTAGCAGTGGACGGTACAATCTTCATATGGGGCTTGCTTCTCCAGCCTGCGAATCGACCAGAAGCATCGAAATCCATGGATCTTCTTGGGCCGAGTACACCGACAAATCAAAACTTGCTAGCTAGCAAACCACCTCTACGACGTGTCTTGTCTCAATCCGAGCTTGCCAGATTCCAACGCCCCGACGACGATCAAGTGACCCCGACTGGAAGCAGATCGCCCAAACTACGCAAGAGGGTGTCTAAGTTTTCGTTGGCTTCGACGCCCAAACTGGAACCTTCGGCACTACCGGGTTACTCACGCGAGCGGGCTGCGGGTACTTCGAGCCAAAATACGTTGCGGCGGTCGAACCGGAATCGCTCACCTTCCCCGCCAAGCCCACGGCATCCACATGTGACCAAGCGACGTTCATCGGTAGATGTCAGGCTTCGGAGCAAAGCTCCGGCAAACGAATTTGGCAGCATTGGTGCCCTGACGGATTCTCTCACTCGTACCCTTCGCGCGTACAGGAAACGGTTGGCGACTTCCCACGACACTTTGAGCGTTGAACTTGTACAGGAGGTAGAGCGCGAGTTGGCGCTAACGACCCGGGCAGTGACAGAGAAAGCCAAGTCAAGCGATGTGTTCAACGAAGGGGTGATGCAGAAGCTGCTGGATCAATATTCTGAGCGTCTGCTCAGTACCTTGGACGAGAAAATTGCCGCGAGCGTTGCTTTCCGCGTGCGGGAAAACAGCGAAAGCGGTATATCCACTGGAGGTCTCGTGTCTCCAACATTGGATGCGGGTGAAGTCAAAGAAGCGGGCAAAGGAGGCGAAGAGAACAACAAGAGGCACGAAGATGATGATGGTGAAGGATTGGATGATTCTTTGAGGAATGGAGAACCATGTTCAGACAAAGGCGACGAGTGATGTCGCTATTCATACTATACCATGCTTTTTAATCCATAGAATACTTGGGTTGGGTCTTTGCGGGCTCCGGCGTTGGAGGTTCATGAAATCACGCAGTTGGGTAAGCGTGGGGGGAAAGCCGTGCCACGAGGACTTTGTGCTTTTCCGGGCGTATCCATGATTTGCTTAATGAAGCTGTTTGCTCATATCATTCTCCGGTCTTGGGTGAATGATGAATACCACACGAGTCGCCCATATCTCCATAGTGTATGTGCGTGACATGTCATTGGCTTCGCATGAATGGCATTTGGCACGAAATGGGAAGGTACAGACGCACTTCAATATGCGCAGGGCTGTCTGCAATAATAATTGGCGAGTTAACCGTTGGTAGTTCACCACCACTCGTCTCCAGGCTTAGTATGACGAGGGTTCATACATCTGTCTGCACAGCAAGCTACTCAAATAATCACATAGGGATGCTAGGCACTCATGTCCCTCTTGGAAGGAGGGGTTTGAACGGCACGAAAGGCACCAGACGAAGCCTTGGCCCGCATCATCGAGCAGCATCGGAGGTATTTTCCATTACCTAGGTGGGAAAAGGGCGTTTAGAAGGCTGAGCGCCACGCCGGCTCACGTGCGGAGAGGAATCAATTGCGAACGAGGCATGCATGCACGTACCATACCAGACTGGAGTCGAGTTATTTTTACCGCGTAGTGTGCTGTACACAACGTTTGGCACCGCATGTCGAAACCGCTGGTTGGTTCCGCCCGCGCATTGCTTCTACAGTACCTTGAGTACCTGCTAGATGATCCTTCTCGAAGCGTGACAGACAGGACGGTCGGTTTTCCGGAGAGCGGACGGGTCGGGTAGACTGGTCGGTAATAACGTGTCCGGCGCCTCGGGCCATGGTTGATTGGGGACTGCAAGCAAAAAGATCCCCATCGTCCGAAGCGTTGCATATGCTCTGCCATCCCTGAAGCAGCTGGGCGTGGGTACTTGACGAGCTAATGTGGCACTAAACAGGGTCGTGGTTCGCATGGCTGAGCGGGTGGGTATGTACCTAGGTATGTATGTGGGTGAAGAGTACTGGGCATGGTACTCTATGGACGGCCGAATATACGGATAATAAAGTGACACGCATGTACACAGTACATAGATAGATACGCACATCTATCCCTATGAAGAAGCACTTATTACACTTGCGTACAGCATAGCAAAAGCAAGTACTCGACTGAGCACATGGAATATTCAATTGATTCAAATGTTTAGATCAACCATCACCAGTCACGTAGTGTGGTTCTTCGCTGACATCACCTTTCGCATCATTCGTCATGGCTCACGGAAGGCAGCGCGTGAAGAAGAATGCATCATGTAGAGATACGGGACAATGGATCGATGGTCGCTGGGCCCGTATGCACTGCATGCCACAGTGCGCGGGATGATGGTGATGAACAAAACAGCGATATTGGTGGCTTTGCTCAAGGATGGCTCCGCATGGGGAGCTGGTCGGACAGATGGAGATCAATGGCATCACAGGGTCTGCCAAGGAAGCGAAAGTGGCCCATTCAAAGACAACGGCAAACACAAGCAGTCAGCCGTACGTCCCCGCACTGGAAGATCGAGTCCTGGGGTAATTCCAGGCGCAGTAGCTTGTTCACGGCCTCAAAACTGACATAAGAGGCACGCAGCGCCCAACTCTGGTGCACTCACTCTCTCCTCCTCTCCATTCCCTGTTCCCCGTTCTCTGTTCTGCATACATACATAGCTAGGTAGCCATCTACCACCCACCCAAGCAACCCCTTACCTGCTGCAGCTCCACTTGATACTTCATAGGGAGACCTACCACCCCGCCAGGCACCCTTCTCCGAGGCCACGGCATCGCCCTTTACCCGGAATTGGGACGTGTATATATATAATCCGCTCCACCATAGCCCGATCGCGACCCCACAGGCACCACAAGAGCTTTTCGCTGCCCTCGCAACCTCTCTCTCCCCTCCATCCTCGAGCGTCCGCAAGCTCTGCAGCCTCGCAATCGCACAATGTCTGAAGGAGACACGAAGCCGCCGGCGCCTGTCGTCCACGAGGCGCACGAGGTCGACACTTTCCACGTCCCCAAGGCCTTTTACGAGTGAGTGCCGTCTCAGTCTTCTTCTTCGTTCCGTCTGGTTTGGGCCTGCACTGCGCTGCACTGCATTGCATTGCATCATCATCAGGTGAAGCGCCAGGTGTGGTGTGATGTTTTTGCCCCGAAGGAAGCGAGAGCTCTCTTTGCTCCTTGCAGAGAGCTACTAGCTACTACGTACGCCGCGGCGGAGCGGGGTGACCCCGCCATGCCGCCCAGCGCCCGTGTACCAACCAACACCCATCTCATCCCAAACGCGACCAGCATCTGCACTTTCCAACGTCTTGACTTGCTCAACTGACCCCTGTGACTCGGCAGAAAACACCCACACTCAAAACCCCATCTCGATGGCCTCGAGCACTACCAGCAATTATACAAGGAATCCATCCAAGATCCCCACAAATTCTGGGGCCGACTCTCCCGTGAACTGCTCACGTGGGAACGCGATTTCCAGACCGTGCATGCCGGCAGCTTCCAAAACGGCGACAATGCATGGTTCGTCGAGGGTAGACTGAATGCCAGCTACAACTGCGTCGACCGACATGCCCACAAAAACCCGGACAAGCCTGCCATCATCTATGAGGCCGACGATGCTGGCGATGGTCGCATCATTACCTACGGCGAGCTCCTGCGCGAGGTCTCCAAAGTCGCCTACACTCTCAAGGAGATGGGCGTCAGGAAGGGTGATACTGTCGCCGTCTACCTGCCCATGATTCCCGAAGCTGTCATCTCTCTCCTGGCCTGTTCACGCATTGGTGCCGTCCACTCTGTTGTCTTCGCTGGCTTTTCCTCCGACTCCCTCCGTGACCGAATCATTGACGCCGAGAGCAAGGTTGTCATCACCACCGACGAGGGCAAGCGTGGAGGAAAGGTCATCGGTACCAAGAAGATCGTCGACGAAGCCCTCAAGCAATGCCCGAACGTGTCCCACTGTCTTGTCTACAAGCGCACGGGCGCCGATGTTCCCTGGACCAAGGGTCGAGATTGGTGGTGGCACGAGGAGGTCGAGAAGTACCCCAACTACATTGCACCCGAGTCGATGAGCTCAGAAGATCCTCTCTTCCTGCTCTACACATCTGGATCCACCGGTAAGCCCAAAGGAGTCATGCACACGACCGGTGGCTATCTCATCGGCGCTGCGGCGACTGGAAAGTACGTCTTCGACATCCACGATAAAGATACCTTCTTCTGCGGTGGTGACGTTGGGTGGATTACAGGGCACACGTACGTAGTGTATGCTCCTCTGCTCCTTGGTGTAGCTACAGTTGTATTCGAGGGCACTCCCGCCTACCCCAACTTTTCAAGATACTGGGAAATCGTCGACAAGTATAATGTCAGCCAGTTCTACGTCGCACCTACCGCATTGCGACTGCTCAAGCGTGCTGGAGATGAGCATTTGAAGCACCAGATGAAGAATCTGAGAGTATTGGGTTCTGTGGGCGAGCCCATCGCTGCCGAAGTCTGGAAATGGTACTTTGAGAAGGTGGGCAAGGAGGAAGCCCACGTCGTCGATGTAAGTACCGCTGCGCAAGACTTGCCAGGAGATGGGCTGTATGAGGCTAACAGAAAGAAAAAAACAGACATACTGGCAAACAGAGACGGGATCTCACGTCATCACACCGCTCGGAGGCGTCACGCCTACGAAGCCTGGCTCAGCGTCTCTCCCGTTCTTCGGGATTGAGCCGGCCATCATCGATCCAGTCTCTGGAGAGGAGATTCACGGCAATGATGTGGAAGGTGTGCTAGCCTTCAAGCAGCCTTGGCCCAGTATGGCACGCACAGTGTGGGGGGCCCACAAACGTTACATGGACACCTATCTGAACGTGTACAAGGGTTACTATGTGAGTGAAGCACCTCCGGACATAAGCACCCTTCTAATCTCCATGATAGTTCACGGGCGATGGCGCTGGGCGTGATCACGAGGGCTACTACTGGATCCGCGGTCGGGTTGATGACGTTGTCAACGTCTCTGGGCACAGATTGTCCACGGCAGAGATTGAGGCTGCGCTGATTGAGCACCGTACGTAACGCATGCGTGGACTGCTTATGCCACTGATTGCATGAGGCTAACAATGTGGACGCAGACTCGGTTGCCGAGGCGGCGGTGGTTGGCATAAACGACGAACTGACGGGACAAGCTGTCAACGCATTTGTGGCACTCAAGGACGGCGCCGAGAGCAGCGACCAGGTCAAGAAAGACTTGGTGCTTCAAGTGCGCAAGTCGATCGGACCCTTTGCGTCGCCCAAAGCCATCTTTGTGGTGCCCGATCTGCCCAAGACGCGGTCGGGAAAGATTATGCGGCGCATCTTGAGGAAGATCCTGGCAGGCGAGGAAGACCAGCTGGGCGACATCACGACGGTAAGTCGATTTGATTATTTTTGCATTTCCGTTTTGCGCCTTTGTGGGTGTCATTGTTTTGCGCCTCTTTGGTCTTGGTATTTGAGATGGTGACGCGTCGCGGTGCGGGCAGAACGGAGCTAACAGTGGCGGCAGCTTTCGGACCCTTCGGTGGTGGACAAAATCATCGACATTGTACACAGCGCCAAGAAGTAGATGGTGAGTTGACGACGAGCCAAGCGGAACTTGACGTGTTTGTGAACTGGAGGCAAAGGTGTCTGGCTCCGGTGACTGATGAGCAGCAAAGTGTGTGGCGTCCTGTTGGGTGGTTGCGCATGGCGTGTTGTAGGGTCCTTGTGGGGTACGTACCTCTATCTGGATCGGCCAGCACGTATGTACCATGTACTTAGTATCCGTGAGCTTTTCTTAGCCAGGAGGGGCGAGGAAGGGCCTTTTCCTTGTTGTCGCGGCTTGGGTGCTGATGCTGGCCATGACCTCTAATTATATATCCTGCGAACTGAAATGCATCTGAAGGAGATTGGTAATTGCTGTTGCGTTGACTGAGCGTCGGATCCCCAGAAAGTGTGTCTCTGTGTCCGTCGTGCCAATCGCGCTATTCTGGGGGCGCGCGACAGCGTTGAGTTTCGAAAGAGTCTCAACATACCGCCCAGCGCGCTGCCAAGGGGGCAAGGGGCCGTCGGCCAATCGCGCGGGCACACTGGCCAGACTCAAGGAAAAGAACGCTCCCTGCGCCACGAATTGGGGTAGATCACCGCTGTGCCGCTTTACTTGCCCGCTAGCCGTATCATCCGAACACAATCCTCTCTTCTCCGTGTGTTCGCTCGCGCCTGGCTGGCTTACCATCCACCCTTCCACCAAACATTACCCTCCCTAACTACCACTACTATACCACTACCACCACCACTACTCCCACGTACCCGGTCGCTTCTTTTTCCTACTTGTACATACATACTGCATCCCGCACCCACATATATACACTCCCCCCACGAAAGACACATGTCGCTCGCTGCGTATCGGTAGTTCATCCATCCACCCATCCATTGCACCTTCCCAACAGCGCACTGCTCCTTGACGGAGCGTCGCCACGCCACATCACCACAACATACGCCGTACCGTACCCAGCATGGTCCTCCTCAACTCCCTTCACACCGTCGCTACGGTTGCTCTCGCAACTCTCGTCTCCCTCACCTCCGCATCTTCCGCCACCCGGGAACCCTTACAGCGCCTCAGCCTGGTCAAGAACCCTTCCATCCTCACCTCCAACCACCGTGTCACCGCCGTATCCAAATTCGATGTCGCTTTCGATTTGAACGGACAACGGATACGCCTGAATCTCGAGCCCAACCATGACATTTTCGTCGAGGGCGCCAAAGTCCAATACCTCGCCGCCGACGGCTCTCTTTCCAAGGAGGAGCCCTTGGATCGCATGGCCCACAAGGTGTACAAGGGTACTGCGCACGTCAAACGTTCAGATCGTTGGGATAATATCGGATGGGCAAGAGTAAACGTAATACAGGATGGCCCGGACCCGCTCTTTGAAGGTGCTTTCATGATGAATCACGACCATCACCACATCGCTCTCGCCTCTACCTACCGGCAGTTGCGCATCGAAGGGGAACCCGAGATATCAGAACGTGATGAGGAATACATGATCATCTTCCGCAACTCCGACATGGGACGAAAGCACGACGAGGAGCGTACCGAGTTGAAGAAGCGGTCGTCTGCCCAGACTTGCGCCAGTGATTCGTTGGATTTCAATGTTCAAGACGAACATCCCGTCTATGCCTCCATGCGAGCACGCAGCGAAGAAAGCAGTCAAGGCACCAGCAACAAGTTTCTTTCGTCCCTCATGGGCCGTCAAGTCGACAGCACTCCCGGCGCAGGCAACAGCGCTGGCGTCAACCTCGTCCAGAGTATTGGGAGCACCAACGGCTGTCCCACAACCCGTAAAGTGGCACTCGTTGGCGTGGCAACAGATTGCACGTATACGCAGTCGTTCAACTCCTCCACGAACTCTACTCGCACGAACGTCATAAACCAGATGAACCGTGCCTCGGAGCTCTTCGAAAGCACCTTCAACATTTCCCTGGGTCTCGCCCAGCTCGTCGTCACCGAACCAAACTGCCCGACCACCCCCCAAGCCGCTACCCCGTGGAATCGAGCTTGCAGCGGTGATTTCGGCATCGAGAACCGCCTCAATGCATTTTCGCAGTGGAGGGGGCAACAGAAAGATAGCTTTGCCTATTGGACTCTTCTCAGCACGTGCAACACCGGCTCAGCCGTGGGTCTCGCATGGCTCGGTCAGGCTTGTACCAGCGGTTCCAGCAACACGAACTCTTCACAGGGGGCCGCCGAAACGGTCGCCAGTGCCAACGTCGTGGTGAAAACATTGACCGAGTGGCAGGTTATTGCTCATGAGGTTGGTCACACATTTGGTGCTGTCCACGACTGCACTTCATCCTCTTGTCAGAATGCAAACATGGTCAGTGCCCAACAGTGCTGTCCACTTAGCAGCAGCACCTGTGACGCTGGAGAAAGATTCATCATGAACCCATCTACTGCCGACGGCATTGATCGTTTCTCGCCCTGTTCTATTGGCAACGTCTGCTCGGCCTTGGGCCGGAACAGTGTCAAGTCCAACTGCCTCACCAACAATAGAGGCGTGACAACCATCAGCGACCCTGTGTGTGGTAACGGGATCGTGGAAGGGGACGAACAGTGCGATTGTGGTGGCGATGCCGGCTGCAGTGGCAACAGATGCTGCGATCCAAAAACTTGTCGTTTCGTCAACAATGCTGTTTGCGATGATTCCAACGAGGATTGCTGCACCGAATGCCAGTTTGCTTCGTCCAACACCGTTTGCCGCGCCAGTGCTGGCGCATGCGATCCCGAGGAGAAATGTACTGGTACTACACCCTATTGCCCAGAGGACAAGACCAATCCCGATGGTCAGGATTGCGGGAATGGGCTCAAGTGTGCTAGCGGGCAATGTACATCTCGTGATCAACAGTGTAAATCCGTTATGGGCAGCGTCGGCAAAGGCAACGACACCTACGCTTGCGACAACACTAACTGCGTGCTAAGCTGCGCCAGTCCCGAATTCGGACGTGATGTCTGCTTCGGTTTGCGGCAAAACTTCTTGGATGGCACGAGCTGTGTGGGCGGCGGTCAATGCAACAACGTGAGTATTTGTATTCTTCACTCCTCCCTTGCCGCACGTAACTAATGTATGTACAGGGACAATGTGCTGGTTCATCTGTCGGTGGAGAGGTCAAGAATTGGATCGACGAGCATAAAACCATCGTCATTGGCGTATCTTGTGCCGTTGGCGGCCTCATTATCTTGTCTATACTCGGATGTTGCATCAGTAGCTGCAGACGTAGGAGAAGGCAGAAAGTGTACGCCGGCAGAGCTGCTGCCGTGCAGCAGCAACGTGGACCACCGCCGCCGCCGCCCATGGGTATGAGAAATGTTCCACCACCGCCGCCACATGCTGGATGGACACCGCAGACAAATCATGCCGATTTCCCGCAACCGCCACCTTCGTACCATCGAAGCTCAACTGCTCGATACGCTTAATACTATTGAAACGGAGCATTCATCAGCATTGCATTCGCTTTTGGCTAAGCTTTCTTTTCTCTTTATTCTCATGTTTCTTTTCGCGACGGCTTTTTTGTTGGGAAACAAAATATATTGCATAGGGACACTCCTTGGGCACTGAGTGTCGTGGTATTCCGTAATCCTGTTTTTTCTCTTGCGACAATCATTTGCAGCGGCGTTTCCATATTTACGGCCCCGTTTCTTTTTCAAGTGCTTTACTGAAGCGCTTTATATACACACCTGCATAGTGCGCGGCGTTTTCTTTTAGCAATCATCGGGTTGGGAATGGCATTGGGTCGAGGATCCTCAACCGAGAGGGTTGAACAGAGCAGGACAAGAACTAGATGTCCATTAGAGGAGAGCCAGGTTGTGTCGTGGCGAGTAACTGACTGTGGGCCATGAGCAGCGAGAAGTTAGGTACGAAGTCCTTTTGTATAAATGTAGCAGAGGTTCGGTAGGAGGTTAGTGAACCCCTGGGATTCTATATCTATTACATGGTGGATGGATTAGGTAGCTAGATCTAGCAGCAGCTTCTGTATGTATGAATTGTACAATTGTCCATATCGAGATAGCTCAGTTTGCTTGGTCGATGGATTAATATATCGCGTGATGGATATTTATAGACTGAATTCGCCTTATCAAGCATTGTATAAAGAGAAAACAGAAACAGTGCAGTGTCTCTTGCATCAACAACGCCGAAGGAATGAATACCAAGATCGCTAAGGTGTACATCCGGCGGCACGTCGTTCCTAGAACAACAGATCGGTACGCTTGCCCCACCGACTGACCATGTTCTAGTGCTCTGTTCTTCCTTCGTTCGAGAATCCTGCAGAGAACCTTGCGGTGCCACGGGCTTAGTGCAGTTCTTCTTTCCATCCATTCTATACGACCTTCTACTTCAGTCCATGGTTCTTTAGATGAGATCATGTGAGTGAGAGAACATAAGCGCAAGAGTACATAAACATGTATGCAAGAGTAAGAGACGGTAGAAAATGATTGGAGAAGACTCACATCCAATCGGGGTTCGTCTACTCGACGAGTTACCTGTTCTAGATCTGCATGTGTGTGTATGCGTGTTGATACGCAACACAATCTTTGGTAAATTAAACAGCATAGATTGAATACGAAGATTTTGGCTTGGCTGGTTGTCTTCCTTTTGGGGTCGGTTTTTTGCCGCATGCGTCCCCCGCCCCTTCCTCCCTTCCTCTCTTACTTCGTTCGTGTGGAGACTGAGAGTGGAGGTTGAGAAAGAACTTGTTGATTGAACAAAGTACGGAAATGTACGCATATACACATACGAATGTCTATAAGATATACATATATTAAAGAACGGGACGCATTGGTTACCTCGAATCGATTTTCATTTGCCTTCTAGCTGCCTTTTGGTTGGGGAGACTCAAATGATCCTTCTTCGGTTCCCGAGCCGGGGAACATCGAAGAACCCAGCATGTGGGTGAGTGGGGAGTGGGTAAACGGTTATACTCGCCACTACATGCAGAGCTAGCGACGAATCGAGGCAAAGCCGTGTTGATGATTTAGGTAGGTACCTGTTTGGTCAGCTGCGTACCTATCGATTTTGAGCTTGGTTCAAGGGAAAGTTGGCATGGTGGAATCCGGATTTTGTTCTGGCTTCCTCATTTCTTCTCTTCTGTTGCTCCTACTCCGACCTCTCTCTACCTGCTCAACGGATTGGATACCCACCTTTCTTATATACATAGGAGCAAACTTTGTTTTGCTGGATTCTCGCAGAACTCCTCTTCTGCGTGCGCGAATGAGTTAATGGACTGAATTAGAGGATTCGAAAGAAGCTGGCATTTATCAGTTCTAGTCATTGAAGACTAGGGACTTCCACCGAACTCTGTGTATCGCTAGCACAAGAGCCGACGACATCGACGCCGTATGGGTTGAAGCTGTAGCTCGATTGAGTCGGAGTGTCGGTGGTACCTGCACTTCCTCTTGGTCGCTCTGCAACCCCTTCTATATCTTCAAAAGAAAGGAAAGAGGTTGGACGGACCAGCTCTCTTCAACGCATACGCCTGTAGGAGAAAAATAAGGCGAAGCAAAGAGAAAGGGGACAGCTCCGCAGATACTCCATCCAACCTCTCCCAACCAACTAAACCTATCTCATCTTACAACCAAATCTGAAATTCGTTGACAACACACAACCACAAACATGGACAGCTCCTCAAATTCCCGCCCCTTCAGCTTCGACTCCAAAACAATGACATCGGTTGTCTACGTCGGCATCTTCCTCGCTATCTTTATCCCTGTTTTATGGGTCATATACCGCGTTGTGAAGGATCTCCGCATCGAACACCGCGAGCGCCACTGCGTCGCTTCCAAAGACCTCGAAAAAGGATCACCGTCGCCATCGCCACCATCAACCGCGGAGATGCTGGATAGTACACCGGCAAACCGCGGTCTCTCGGAGCTCGAACAACCTGCGTACCTGGAACTGCATGGTGATGGGAGGGCGGAGCTTTGGGGGGAAGAATGTGCGAGGGAGGTTTGTGGGCAGGGGGTGGTGTGGGAGTTGGATGCAGCTTGTAAAGGTGCTGCGGTGGTGCTTTGCGAGAAGGCGGAGGGGGATTTGGGGTTGAGGGTGTTGCAGCTTGAGACTGCTGGGGTTGTGGAATTGGACGGAACGGGCGTGGAGAGAGATAGGAATGATAGAGAAGAGAAAGGGATATTATGATACTTTTATGAGGGCAAAGAAATAAGAAGTAATGATTCAAGATTTTTTTAATGGATTTCTGATCCGTTGTGTGATTGTGTTTTACCCACATCTAGTGCCTTGAAGTTCTTGATGAACCGGGGAGGATTACTTTTTCGAACCTCGTGGCAGAGTATTAGATCCTCTTACTATTTGTACTGAGCAGGGAAAAGGCAGAAGATACAAGCGCAGGAAGACTATGCCAAATCTTAGAAAATTATAGATCAGACAGTACTTTTTTTTTCGGAAAGATTAGAGGCTGTGTCTCTGCATGTTGCCTCATAGGGGTAATATGATTGATGCTCGGTATAGTGCCGTTGATTGTCGAGGCGACGGGCAATGTCAGTCTCTCCAATTCATTATCCCCCGGGCCTTCGCACAAAAGTAAAATAGTATTTAAATTGAAACTAGTCGCCCGGAATTCCGGTTTTATAGAAATACTGTTTGTATAATATCCAAGAATGTATGATCTTCCTTCTAAGAAGACACGACGAATAGAAATCGCTCCAAATGTTCAATACTCAAGTAATTATAGTGGGTGATGCTATAGAGAGTTGATATCCGCGGCAACCTTCCAACTTCCGATTACAAAGAAAACCTTCTAAATTGATGTGACCGGCTGTCTAGAGCCATACTAGATTATTTATGAGTCTACAGCATAACACACTGCGAGTATGGGATGTAAGCGAGTGGACATGATCAAGGGATCTCCAGTGAGCACATGGGAAAGCGAGCACGCTAACCAAATCCGGTATCACCCACTTGGCATCTTCTCGAGACATTACAGTCAGTGACGTCGGTTGGAGGATGAGGAATACGGTTCTTTTTCATTAAGGCTCCTACACCTGCGGCACAGATGTCGGGACCGTCATTATATACATCTGCACCTGCTGCAGCAGTGCCCGAACGCACCCAGCATGGACTCGATAACGAGGCTTTGAAGGAGCTAGATCGCGTTAGCTTGAGGGAGATCCTCGACCACGATTCCAGGCCGGCGTTCATCTTGGACTTGGACTCCGATATCCTGGATTATGCCGAACCCAAACATGGTATTCGGCCCATATTCTGCAACACTGCGCTTCGGCTTCATGATCGCCTGCTGGACCGAGTTACAAGCGCGCCTTCGGCTGTCGACGTAGCCGAAATAGCGACGTACGAAGCTTTCAAAACCTGGGCTACAGGCGTGACCGAATTTGATGACTCGAGAGATGTCTTCCCAAGCACTACCATCTACAGCGATTTGCTCTGGACTGGATCTACCATTCGGCGGAGATGGCGGGTAATCTCTGGGAATCAATGCCACGGTATATCGCAACTGCCCAAGGGCGACCTCACCAAAAGTTCTCCCTCGGGGCTGAGTGCCATTACGAATCGTGCCCGCAAATCAACTGCTAAGACCGCGCTGAACATATCATCTACTGTTGCAGCACATCCAGACGGTTCTGTTGCTGAATCTAACACAGTAACACAGAACACTACTTTGGTGGCATCGTCATTACCTCCACTGCAGCGTTCAGAAAAGACTTCCGGTGGCACATCTAGTGGTACTGTGGGCAGTGGAGCATCTGTAACGCTGTCCACGCCCACTAAAGGATGCCCAGACTGGACTGCTGATCAGACAAAGGGTGAGCTATCTGATCACATGATTTTTGCTCGAAATGTGAATTGGGGGGAAACACCATTGGGGAAAATGTCTACTTGGTCGCTTGAGTTTCGAGAAATCGCAAATCTAGTCATGCGCTCGCCTCACCCGGTGTCTCTCTTTTGGGGCGAAGAACTGACAATGCTGTACAACGAAGCTTATAAGAACGAAGTCGCTGGCAATAAGCATCCTGACCTGATGGGAACTGGGTTCTCTGGTCCGTTTCGTGAGCTTTGGGACGGAGTGGCGCCCATATTCAGAGAGTGTGCCAAAACTGGACAATCTGTTCGTAAAGAGAATGATAGACTTCCGATTGAGAGATATGGCTATTTGGAAGAAACATTTTTCTCTTGGAGCTTTGTCCCGGTATATGGAGGTACGGACCGTATTCTTGGTTTCTGGAATGCGCCTTTCGAAACAACTTATCAAATGATCAACAGTCGGAGACTCCAAACACTACGACATCTTGGGGAAAAGTTGGCGGAAACCAGATCTGTGAAACACTTCTGGACATGTGTGCTTGAGGGTCTAGAGGAAAACCATTACGACATACCATTCGCTCTACTTTACTCCATTGCCGATTCTGATGATGCGGATACAGCATCTCATTCTTCCGACAGCACAATATCGTTGAAAAGTTGTTTTTTGGAAGGCTCCATTGGAATTCCGGATGGCCATCCCGCCAAACCTAGGAAACTCGATCTAAAGCGAAGTACGGAGGGATTTGTGCCCGCGTTCCGAGAAGCTATGCGTACTAGAGAGCCGACCATATTACATACCCGTAATGGAAGTCTCCCAGAGGATCTTATCGACGGTATCCGATTCCGGGGCCACGGTGACCCCTGCAAGGAGGCAATAATCATTCCTGTTCGGCCTACGAATGGTGAGAACATATTCGCGTTCCTGCTGATTGGTATAAATCCTAGGAGAGCGTACGATGAAGACTATAAAATTTTTGCGCATATGCTTAATCGTCAATTGGCCACATCCTTAGCTTCCTTCCTACTGTTCGAAGAGGAAGTGCGGCGAAACAAGATCGCCGCTGAAGCTGCTACACTTGAACGCGAAGCTCTCAGTCAACAGCTGGAGCTACAGGCCAGTCGCATGCGGCGTATGACAGAGCTTTCGCCGTTGGGCATGTATCTGTTCAGTCCTGAAGGGGTTTTATTAGAAGCCAACGAACGCTTCTATGAAATGACAGGACACCCTCGAGATAATGATAATCCAGCTGAGTTTCTGGAATACATTGTCGACCATGAAAGCCAAGAAAAAGCTCAATCGATGTGGCAGAATGTTCAAATAGACAGCAAAATGCGACAAGAAGAACTTCAACTTCGGAACCCCAACTATATTCCTCGAGATCTCACAGGAGAACCCATAGAATATTGGGTCTTGGCCTCTTCCCAGCCAGAGTTCAGTTCCGATGGAAAGATTCGATCCATTATGGGCTCAATTACAGATATCTCACAATTGAAGTGGGCACAAGGTCTTCAAAATCGACGGTTGCAGGAGGCGGAAGAGACAAAACGACAGCAGAACGAGTTTATTGATATCACAAGCCACGAGATGCGAAACCCTCTTTCAGCTATCCTGATATGCGCTGACGATATTCGCGACTCGCTATCTGGTGATTTTGATTCCACGACGATTGAGGAATGTATTGAAGCAGCTAACAACATCGCCCTCTGCGTACAACATCAGAAGTCGATAGTCGACGACATATTAACTGTGTCCAAATTGGACTCCAATTTACTGCTTATCACGCCAGTACCTGTTCAACCGGTTTCTATTGTGCACCGGGCCATGTCCATGTTCAAGCCCGAAGTTCAAGCCAAGGACATAGATTTCCGCTTCTGCCCAGATAATTCCCTCAAAGATCTAGCCGTGGATTGGGTGAATCTTGATCCGAGTCGTCTCCTTCAAATTACTGTCAATCTCATTACAAACGCGATCAAATTCACACAATCGTCGCCAAAGAGAGTGATATCAGTTCGTCTCAAGGCATCTATGGAGCCGCCCATTGTCCACGATGAGTCTTTTCAATATGTTCCCACCCGTACTGAACATATCAATGTTGCGAATGGCGATGAATGGGGCGATGGTGATCTTCTCTATATCCGAGTCGACGTGGATGATACTGGTTGCGGTCTCACAGGCGAGGAAAAGCGGGTACTGTTCGAACGATTCGCCCAGGCATCACCTAGAACCCATGCGCATTACGGTGGCAGTGGGTTAGGTCTTTTTATTTCGAGACAACTCGCGGAACTTCATGGAGGCAGGATTGGCGTATCGTCTGTATCGGGTTTAGGGAGCACGTTCGGCTTCTACATTCAAGCACGACGAGCGCTCGCAGAAGAGCGGCCAACAACTGCTCTTCTAAACCCCAATGACCAGTATTCGAATGCACAGGGCAATCGGCTCCTGGGACAAGCAAACCATCCTGCACTCGCTCATACCACTTCCAGCCCAGCTGCTCTTCCAACACGAACTGCTCCCAACGAAGGTGGCACATTGTCATCTGATGCTCTACATGTTTTGATCGTAGAGGACAATTTGGTGAACCAGCGTGTCTTATCAAAACAGCTCCAGAAAACGGGTTGCATTGTATACACCGCCGACAACGGTGTTCACGCGCTCGATCATCTCGCCACAACTGCCTTCCAGCTACCCGGCGGTACGCCCCTTTCTGTCATATTGATGGATCTTGAAATGCCAGAGATGGATGGCTTGACGTGCGTAGGTAGAATACGCGAAATGGAATCGGATGGAACCATAAAGGGACATGTGCCTGTCATAGCCGTTACGGCAAATGTCCGAGGCGAACAGTTGAAAGCAGCAGTCGCAAGCGGTATGGACGATGTCGTGACGAAACCATTTAGGATTCCCGAAGTGCTGGCCAAGATAAATACGGTGCTCAATCGGCTTAATCCAGAAGGTAAATCTTAGAGGGTGATCATAAGATTTGTTTTTTGTTTAACTGCATATTTGTTGAGTTTATTACCGAGACTACATGCTTTTAGTATTTTCTATTTTGAGGATCCAAGAGGGGATCTCTTTTGGAAAGCGTCTATTGCGATACAGCATTTGATCTTTTAGGGCATTTTTATGGCACTTATCTTGCATAGCTATAAACACATTTCATTCTGAGATATCTAAACAACATTGCTTTGCTGTTATTAAAGACGCATTTTAAATTGATAGGCTACGCTTCATAGCAGATCTTATACTAATAAGGCTGCAATTTCTTCAAGTTTTGTAATATGCTTTTTGCTATTACTCAAGTTAAGACTCAATTATATAGATTCTGCCACCCTTACTGCCTCGTTTGTTCCAATTTCTTCATCTAGCCCCAACTTTTTAACTCTCCTATTATGCCATCTTGTTTAAACCTTTAAGGATATAAAGTGCATACTACGCGTAATAGAAGAATGTTCTGCTTAAGGATTAAGTATCACACAGTCTGTAACTACGAAATTTACTATAGTTGATAAATTTCCTTTACTTTCCTGGAATCCATGTATACTGAGAATGTAAACAAGTTATCTTGCTGTGTATAGTTTCACAACCTACAAAAGGTAATAAATAATGTCTAGCGTATTTTCTATGTACCACTTGCAAGAATACTTGAGTCTGGTGTATTGATGGAAACACGATAAGGCATCCTGCTATACGAAGTTCTGCTGTTCCAAGGTTGCTATATGATGCTTCGGAAATACTTGCTGTGATAAATCTCGCTTTGTGCCAGTTGCTCATAAGCATTCCACATGCGCAAGGGTAGATATATGTTGGTTTCTGCTTGTTGGGCAATAGAGATTCAAATGAACGAAAGCGATCAGAATGACTTATGTGCTGCTAAATATTAATAATAAACCTAGTCTGTTCAATGCTAAGACGGTGTATTGCAAGATTGAGAAGTCTCAGGATCAGTTGCTATTATCAACCAGCTGTAGATATTAGCGTGTTGAACCTCCCACGCCCGTCCAACTGTCGTGCTTGGTGAAGGTATGAGATAGTTTTGAAAATGACTTTGGTGTAAATACTCGGCTTGTTTTTAGGTTTTTAGAATACATCCTGTAACTCTGCTTTCCAGTAATTATGGCATGGAAGTTGGCTTAGGTACACAGTTGACGTGTTAGAGTTCACTTCGTGAACTCTGTTTTCCAGCTTTTCCACGAGTCCACATTATAGTACGCACTCACAAAAGACTTGGTGGAAATTGCAATATTCTTAATTTCGTTATATAGTCTTGAAAATCTTTACCTCACTCCGTCCATTGGTGTATATGTCTCTTCTGTTCTTAATCTCACGGGACTTCTAGGGACCGCAGTGGTCCAACCACTCTCAGCATCTCTTTCTTGGTCTCCCCCAAATCGCACTGGCACCGCCCGGGTCCCTTGCGAGTCCGTAACCCATCTTTTCCCTGAACTTGTCGCCGGCGGCGCTGCACTGCTCAGCAATGTGCCATCTTCACTGGAACTGTCCATTGTGCTCGATCTCTTTAAATCTTTGAAATGCAATGGCTGCACTGAGAAATGTCTGGTCTTCCTCTTATGATCGGATTGATATGCCATGTTCAACTCTCTCTCGCTCGCCATTCCTATGGAAATGATGTCACCCAGTCTACTGGTTTTCCATTTGGTCCGCTCCCGGGGCACGGTAAATATAAGATACAAAGCCAAGGCTGCAGCAAGCAGAGGCGGAACGGCGAACAGGCTTGAAACACATACGTAGTTAGTAAAAGTCACGAAAATACAACTTGGTGGCTGCCCGGGGGGATATATTGGAGTATACATACAGCGCAGAGGGGCTTCCACTTCCAACTCTTGTACAAGCAAAAGTGGCATTTCCAGCCACTGGCGAATGAAACTCAACTTTATCTGTGAGCGGAGAACCTGGTGATAAACTATCCAGTGTAGATATTTGAGACATGGCAATGCCTGCAGTGAGACCAAGAACATCCTCTAGGGCGTTGGTGGATTGAGGGAAACCAAATTCGGATCGTAACAACTTTGTCCAAGACTGTACAATCGTCAGTATAGGGATGACGATGGTCAAGAACTGAACCAACTCACCACTACTGTGTCGTATTTGTCCGAGGTCTCATTGACACTTAGAGATTGATAAGCTATCTTATTTACGAACCCATTCCAATACCTAAAGGTGGAGTAAAGTCAGTAAATTTGTAGCGTGACGCAACGCAATGTCGCATAAACGTACCTTCCTTCACTGAGCGGAGGTTTCAACGAGGCTGCAGCGTTAGCCCAGTAGCCCTCAGCAATATTCCAGCTTCCTGTAGAATTGGTACTGGGGGCGCAGCCCGCTTTACCGGAGACCACTTTGCTGTAAGACGGTTCCGAGTCCAGATGACCTTGTTCAAGACTCAAAGTCACGGTGCGCCACTCAATAGTCGGCTTGACGTCGACCTCGCAACTGACCGCATACTTCAAATCCCGTCCTCGGATTGTATTGTTGAGGATGGCGTCGTACTTTTCAGCATTGTCTTCCAGGTACTTCCTGTCGCCCAGTGACGCCGCTAAAGTCAGGCTGGCGACACCTGTGGCACCTATAGCGACAGTGGCTCGACCTATGTTGTTGGGAGCGTTCTTGCCAACTTCCTGATCAGCTTCACATAAACGTGCAGCCATAATACCGAAGCCATCCGGCGATTCCCATTGCGGTTGTTTGTATGTGCAGCCCTGGATGTCTAGCTGGACGTCGGTACGATTCATGTCGTCATTACGATCAACCTTAAAAGCAGTCCGGTCGACATTCTTGCACTTGACAGGATTGCGTGCCATTACAGGCAAGCAGTGTGAAACAGAGCGTAGGTTGGTTTCGATTATAGGATGCCCATACGGGCGCTCGATTGGCTCCACTGGCCTTGGAAACTCAGTATAGAAGATTTCTGGAGCCCCGATGGCGTTGCTAGCCACAGCAACTCCGCCTCTAGCGTAAGCAAATTGCTTAGGATTTACTGTATTGATATCGCCGAGGTTTCGATCGCCGCTTGCAGCCGAGCATCCTAAGTTGGTAGAGGAGAACTAAGTATTTTGAATTAATACAAGTAGGTATTGACGCATTTTGATTGACATGAAAGAACATACATAGCCTGGCTCGTCCCACTGTACGCTGAGCTCCCAGAGAGGAGAGGAGCGTTTGGTGCTGTTGAAGCCCATGCACCTGGTATCTGTGCCACTGTGGATACGAGGTGGATGTACCACAGATGAGCAACTGGTTTCTGTAAGTGTGATGGCTGCGACGATAGCTGCGGTGATCAGAGCCGTGGCGAGAGAAGAAAGCAGCGTCAGGCCAGTGACTGATAGGTTTTTCACGTTTTCGGTGAATGAGCTAATTCCTAGGATAGCGCGCCATCGCACGGCGATTTGGGAGTCTGGATACATTGATAAAGTGTCAGTAGACTGATAGTCAAGTAATGGTTGCAGTTTTCGTACGAATCCCACTCACCACGAGCTACTTGGTATTTAAGATCTGAAACCTCATGGTTGACGAGACGCAGCCACTGTTTCTGTATCTCTCCAGCTGCATATCGGGCAATGATGGTCGCGATCACGGTGCCAACAATATTGTAGGCAACCTTAAAGCCATTCGTGAGACGACGGCCAGGTACGATGATTTGGACAGGTACCAGGGTGATTATGAGTATGGACAGCAAAAGCAGGAGAGTGATAGTCGTGGCTAACTCTTTGGAGACTCCGTGAAGAGACAGCCGAGCCATTTCAAAAACGTAAAGCAAAACAGGACTTCACCTTCTTGAAGTGTTAGTGCCTGTGGCACCGTGGGTGCGAAGTAGGAACTATCAACAGTTAGTCTCGGAGACGAGCGAGCTACAAGTGCCAGCCAGAAAGTTAGGAACGCCAAATTACTTAAACCAGAACTCGATCAGGATTGATCGGACATGAAACACGGACATTCTCATCCTAAAGTCTTAGGCGGTCCACTCTGCTAGGGGTCCGCCCTGTAGCGAGGCTGTGGCGGGCTGGCATTTCCCAGCGTCCTGGGCCGGATGATAAATTGCTGCGTTATTCGTATAAAGGCCCACGGGAGGCGCGGAACCAGACTACACTGTCTTCAATTATTGTGCAATGATAGCCAATGAAAAGTTTGGGGGTGCCCAAGTCAGGTGTTAACCGTCAATCGTAAACCGCGCCACCACGTTGTTGTTTGCATCCGCTGCCAAGCGTATACTGACTCAACCAGTGAGAACAACCCCTGCGTCGTATTGTTTGTATCAGACGCGTCTCTGGCATTGCCGTTCTAAAACTGCGAAGAACCTCAGGCAAGCTCGACAAGTCCTGGGCGTCAGGCGTTGTTCTAATTGGCCGGTCATTACGACACCGGGAGCTGTGAATCGTGATGTTCTGCAGCCATGTGGAGACCACGGTATTCCCGTTGAAGCAGGGCAGTGTCAGATCAAGAGATGAGCCGACTCGTATACTTCTACTAAACCGATGGGATTTTAAAGTCCCGAGTACAAAATCAGTATAACATACGCAAGCATGCTTCAGTGGGCTGTCGGTGAGTTAAACCGCCGCACAACGTAGTCTCTCGGCGTGCGACGACTTCGTGCTCAAGGTATGAGAGGAGGAGGCGTAATCGCCTGTAGCACACTAATAGATCGTGATGAGCTCCATACATGATCGCGGAGTTGTCAACAATCCTACCATCAGTGCCATGGTTCTGTGGATAATTATAGATGGATGGTTCTTGGCGTTTCCCCCACATGGAATCACGGCAGACCGGTTCGGCCGCCGCTGGGCGGGACTGTCTCCGCAATTTGTCTCACCGCCCCATAGTTTTCATGCTTCGAGAATGATCTGGTGAGAGAGGTCATCGGCTGGCAGATAATGTTGAGCAGACTTATACGACTTACAGCGTAGAATTTTCATAATTCGAACAGTAACCTGTTCATTGGTCCTGTGGTCTAGTGGTATGATTCTCGCTTAGGGTTCGTGTAACCATGCTAAGCACTATTGCGAGAGGCCCCGCGTTCGAGTCGCGGCAGGACCCATTCTTTTTGCGATTTTCTGTATGTACTATATGCTGTGGCAGATGGGGAAACAGGGTGACAAATTTTTGTTTGGTTGAATAAATGGGATAGATTTGTGCCACAGTTCGATGTTTCTGTTTCGTCACTCTGGAGATTCTCGTTGACCGGATAGCTGATCCGGCCTCGGCTTGGCGTTTACCCAGCAATCGCCTTACGCCATACTGGACCAACTTTTCCTACCAGTGCCTCTAATAATGACAGCATTCGTGTTTTGTACTATGCAGGTGGGGCGCCTCGACTCTTATGCTTACCATGTGTGTGCATCCAAAGTATATTGGAACTCTCACAAAGGATCTAATTTTGCTAGCAAAGCTAGATGCAATATTCACGTTCATGTTTGCTGGGTCGTTGAGCTTGACTGATTCAAATTGCAATGCACAAGTAGCACAATGCGCTAGCGTTAAGCTGGTCCTAGCTTTCGAAGCCTGGCTCCAGTCAATTCGCACCTCGGATACTGCCTGACCTCTGAACCCAGACAACGCCTTTTACAGCCTTTTTTTTTGCAAGTGAGCGCAGAGCTTATTCGTTGCTATTCCCTCGATGATGAGCTTTCGATGGCCATATTCCGAAAGTCCGGGTTCAGGGTACTGGGGTGTGCCCAGCTCTAACCACAAGTGAGTAATCCGCCCAAGAGCTTTGCATGCATCAATCACCTGGCATCCCATCTAATCAAATGCAGCTTCTGCGAAGAGGTATTCAAGCTTTCGCCTGATGTAAGGAGGTCTCCGGGGGTGTTCTAATCTCATATATAGGACTATGTAATCACCCACTATATCGCAGAGTTTGTGAACACACTCACCAATTTGACCTATGGTACGCCTGCAATCTGCCTCGATGATTTTCGGAGAACCATGAACGGGCAAAACGACAGTTGACTGACTCTTCATCCTCATTGGGTGACTACAGTCATCTATGGTATCCATGGTCTTCGCAGAGTGCGCCCCCAAAAAGAGGGCGGGTTGTTCTCTACACTCGCATTTCCGTATTGGGGGCTGATCAGTGTTGGTGTGCTCTCGGCATGGTTCCATGCTACGCTCAACTACCATTCTCAAATGGGTATGTTGATTCTTAACGTCCTTTCTTGTGCATTGCCATGAGACGAGCTCTCTTTCCATTTTGATTTGTTAGCATTGGTGTGTTCAACCATGATGTCACATTCGAAACAACTGACACATCACACCAGGCGATGACCTTTCAATGTTCGTGGCTGTAGGAGCTCTGCTCCACCAACTCCTCACGTGGAACAAAACCTCTCAACAGCGTCTCTTTATCACCTTCATCATCCTCGGGACAGTCATTCCCGTCTCGATCTACCATTGCTGGACCAACGAAATCATCGTACATGAGATTGTTTTCGCAATTATGGTCGTGCTTGTGGGTCGCAAGATCCGACAATTAATTCGTGAACGTGTAAAGAACGCTGGGGCGAAGGCTAGGTTGGTCAGTATCGCCAACTGGGGTTTGGGTAAGTCATACATATTTGTTTCTTCTTCTTTTCTTTCATAATCTTCCCATTATTCCCCTACTCGATAAGATACGAGAGTACTGCGTGATGGCATAGCATACTAATCAACCAATGTACGTGAACCACAGGCTCGGGACTCTTCGGCTACTTCCTCTGGAATATTGACTATCACTTCTGCAGCCACGTGTCACGCTTCCGTCATGCTCTAGGCTTGCCATGGGCCTTCATATTCGAGCTCCATGGCTGGTGGCACATATTCACCGGCATAGGAGCATACATGGGTATGGCGTTGGTAGAGTACCTTGTCACACTACAGGAAGGGAAAACGGATGGCGTCGAGCAGGGGTTTGTGTGGCCTGTCCGCTCCATGCTGAAGAATGTGGGCGATGTAGGCGCCGAGGCAAAGAAAGGACAGTAGTGTGCTGAGTCCTGGTCTATTGTAGGTGGATGAAAGATAGTGAAGGAAGAGTTTCGGCCGTTGCGTCGATGATGGCGAGAGCAGAAAAAGCGAGAGGAATAATGGTAGCTGCCATGCACCCCGGGGTCGGTGGTCTTGACGTGGTGCATGCCTCATGGGTCTCACACTTAGTATTCGTTCCACTATAGAGATAGATAATCTTCGTATTTAGATTGGCCCAACAACATATGACCTGAAATCCGTTTCCGAAATGTCAAGGAATCATGCTCCACGAAGAACTGACTATTGCGGGCAACTGGTCGACAATTCTGTGCGAGACTACATATCCGAAGGAGCAGTGACATGCACCATGATCCTACCTCTCGTATCGTGTATGTGCACACGAACATTCCGGACATAGGAACACGTGGTGAATTTCGTACCACCACCTTTTTAGGATGAGAGTGTAGTATATTGCTTCTGAAAACACGCAATAATATAGCAGTGCGGCCCGTTTTCTAGTATATCTAGATATCTTCATATAGGGTTGTTAATGAGCTAGTGGATATTAAGCTCTGATGTGCCTCGTTAAGTCCGGTTGATTTGATTCTACTGCGTACCAGAGCCTACGGTGACCACATCGTATACCCTTAGTAGACTAGGTAACGAGCTTCTGCGCGGGATCTAATTAACGAGAAACAACTCTAAAACCCAACAATGTGGGAAAAATCTTAAAATCCAAGCTGCTACCTATTGCCGACACCTGTTCTGGCTAGTAGTGAAGGAGTACTCCGACCAAGTTCCCACTTTCGGCGCAAGCTACACAATTGATTATCAACGATTATCTGATCAGGACGTTAGAGCAGAACCTATTACCTTGAAGCCGACCGGGAACAGGAACATGAATTGGTCCGCAGGAGACCCCCTGTGGTGTTGGAAAAAGGACTAAACTCCTCGGACTTAAGCTCTAAAGCCCCTTCCGACCAACTTCATGATGATGTCGTGCGATACCACTGTAGCAGCCATTAGCTCCGGCATTTTGGCTGCAAGTTGCTTTGAGATGGGAGTTAGGTCAATGACAAAGAAGAGACTTTGCGTAACTATAAGTAACAGAGGATTGAACATGTTCGGGTATCGCTATTACCATAATTCGATTATACTCCTTCATCGCTACTTCAGTACCCAGCTATCTAAGTGAACTACCATCGACGCCATCATATCAAAATGGTCCAAATTCTTAATCAAGAAGTCGGCAACCCAGGCTTCGGCCTCATGAGTATGTATTATGTATACATCCAGACGCATTCTGGCAAGCTTACAGTACTAATGATATGCAGGCTTGACGAAGCCTGGAGGCCCAACAACTGAGCAGGCCATAGAGGTTATGCGCACTGCTCTCCAGAACGGCGCAAAATTCTGGAATGGTGGAGAGTTCTACGGCACTCCAGACTACAATTCACTCCACCTCGTCAACAAATACTTTACCAAATATCCCGAAGATGCAGATAAGGTTGTCCTGTCCATCAAGGGCGCTTATGTATTCCAAGAAATCAGACCGGACAACAGCGAAGCCAACATTACTCGCAGCATCGAGGAGGCCCTCAAAGTCCTCGACGGAAAGAAATCGCTAGACATATTCGAGTGTGCAAGGCCAGACCCGAAGGTGCCACTCGAAGAGACCATTGGCACGATCGCGAAGTACATCAAAGCTGGCAAGGTCGGAGGTATCGGACTTTCCGAAGTAAGCGGAGAAACGATTCGAAGAGCGCATGCTATCCACCCCATCGCGGCAGTGGAGCTCGAGTTCTCACTTTTCACCACAACTCTTATTGGCAGCAGCGCCGCCAAAGCGTGTACGGAGCTGGACATTCCCATCATTGCCTACTCGCCATTGGGGAGGGGTTTCCTGGTGAGTCTGTTCGCGCACCGTCTGATTCAACACTTGCTAACCGTGTATCAGTCCGGGCAGTTCAAGTCTGTCAAAGACATACCCGAAGGATCATTCCTAGCGCATATGCCCCGCTACCACCCCGATGTATTCGATGAGAATCTGAAACTGGTGCACGAAGTAGAGAAAATTGCGACAAACAAAGGCGTCACGGTTGGACAGGCAGCCCTGGGCTGGGTGCTTGCTTTGAGCGGCAAGAACGGCATGCCTCAGCTGCTTGCCCTCCCTGGCACCACAACTACTTCGCGTGTGATTGAGAACCAGCATCCGGCCACGCTTGACGACAACGACTTGGCTGCGATCGCCGATATTCTGAAGAAGTTCGAGATCAAAGGCGCGCGATACATGCCAGGTGTAGCTGGCGAGGAGCCATAATCGAGCTATGTAATCTGATGAGGATGTCAGTTCCATGTAGACCATACTTTAGCAGAGCAGTCAAATAGCAAATTCGAAAGTACATAAATCAGATCAAGTGTAGTGAAAAGAGCAATCCTCCTTCAGCTCGCAAAGTTGCGGGCTGTCAGAATTGCAGAACTCAAATTGTCATCATAGAATGGCGGTGAATAGAATGATGACTTACCTTTGGATATCTATAATCTGCAGTCATTACGTGCAGAGGAGAGAGATAAAGTAGTAAGGGAGAGAGATGTGTGTGTGTGTGTGTGTGTGTGTGTGTGTGTGTGGAAGTGAAGAGACTAAAATGTGGATTCAAGTTGGAATGATTGGCGCGTCCGTGCAGCTCCCCGGGGCTAGCCTCAGGTACATGTATGGCCGCGACCTCATACAGGATACTTCAAGTGATCGCGCGACTTTCACACACCACTACAGACATCCTCCACCATGGAATCACCCAATTCGGATCTTTCGGACTACGCCAGCGATGACTTCCCCGACGAGGTCAAATCCCGCCGGTTCATCGAGCACACTCCTGAACATGAACCGTCGGCACGCCCCAGCAAACGACTACGCCTACACAACCGCGCGCCATCCTCCCCACCTCCCTCTGCCATCATTCCACCTCTAGAAGACCCTGGCGATCTCTCCGAAGATACCGATGGCAGTGTTCCCGCGTCGCCTCACCACCCGGGGATGAGCGCCGAGGACGACTTCGGGCAGGATCAGGTCACAGTGTGTAAATGGGAGGGCTGTGAGGTCGGCGATTTAGACAACATGGACAATCTCGTGGAGCATCTTCATGAGGATCATATTGGGACACGACAAAAGAAGTACAGCTGTGAATGGAGCGACTGCAACAGAAAAGGAATCCCGCATGCTAGCGGCTATGCATTGAGAGCACACATGCGCAGTCATACGAGGGAGAAGCCTTTCTACTGTACATTGCCTGGTAAGTGCATATCTTCGTCTTTGAACAGTTACATTTGGCCATGTTTGGCAGGCAAACGCTGACATCAATGGCGCAGAATGCGATCGCAGCTTCACACGCTCCGATGCTCTAGCCAAGCACATGCGTACCGTCCACGAGACAGAGGCCCTCCGACCCTCGGATCCTGTTCCCAAACACCATTCGTCCAACCCATCCAACAAGTTCCAGCGCATCAAGTTGGTCCTGAGTGATACGAAGCGCGCTGCTGAAGGAAAAGGCTCTACGCCCCCCTCGCCCGTTGCCCCCGTCCCGCCACCTGTATCGCAGAACATTGCCGCAGACTCCGAGTACACGCACAACAACATCACATACGTGCAGGATGCTACGATACCCAACGCACCCACCATGGTGCAGTTTCCTCCCGACATCTCCTTTTCCCCAGATGAGCTGTCGCTACCTGCACCTGAACTGTTCAAACTGCTGCACAGACAATTGCTCTGGGCAACACAGGAAAGTGAACAGCTTCGTGTAGAGGTCGAGATTGCAGAAAAGAAGCGCAGAGACGAATGGATTGCCAAAGAATTATTAGTGGAGAACGTCATGGAAGCTGAGATAGCCAAGGCGCAGCGTATGCGTCTTGAACAGGGGCTCACTGATGACCCTCAGCATCTACAATACTTGGCGAGGGACGCAGATCCCTCGACACAATTAAGTGTAGAGCCTTCGAGGGAAGGGAAGGTGCCGTGGTGGAGGGAGGAAGATTGGGGGCAGAGGTTCGCTGTTGGTATCAAAACGCCAAAAGAAGAGCCTACCGAGCCACAGCCCGATGACGCTGTCGCAACGGCAGAGACTTAGCATATTCTTTCGACTCTTCATACTCATCTCCCGTAATTGGGCCGGTTAAGGGCCAATAAACTGTTTCATAGGCGTTTGGATTCCCAGGCGCATGCCTTTTTGCTAGGTCTTAAAGATACCAATGCATTCAGTTCTGCGATAATCATACGAAATTCACCAACTCCAAATGTACCATCTTTCGAATGGTTTCCATGCTTGACTTTGCCATCCATATGCCCAACAAAACCATATCAAAACCTCAAACTTTAAGTTCGGTGTTCAAACTCCGTTCATTTCGGTGGCCAACCAAATGACCGGGCCAATTCTGTACTGACCGCCGAGTCTGTACGAATGATTGCTGCTCTTTTCAAATCGAACCGCTCTCTTATCTGCCCTTCTTTTTGTCCGCCTCAGCGTTCTTGAACGGGAATCCGCTGGTCCGCTTGTCGGCACCCGTCTTTCGACTAATCCTGCCGTTTGTGCTTGCAAATAAGATGCACCAGAGTGCCACAGCGCAGAGGAACCCGCTACCCATTACACCAAAAGCAAATGAAGTGACACCCGTCTCAGTCCACATCGCGTATGAATAGAAACCGGCGGCGGCATGGAACAAGGCGGTTATTGTGAGTGTAGGGAGAGCATATGGGGCTTTGGGGTCTGCGGCGTCGGTAGTCGCTCCTGTGAAGTCGGAAAACAAGTCAGCGATGGTGAAAGTCATTAGGTTGATCTGGGAATTATACGTACCCTCCGACAATCTGCTACTCAATGGTACGGATCCCGTGAGAAGGATGTTGAGCGCGCCAATAGTGAGGAGCGAAAAGCCAACGGAGCGGGAGAAGTACACTTCAAGAGCTGTCCTGCTGTGTTAGCTTGTTCAAAGCTTTAGTTGCGATGTGGCGCGCGGAATGCTTACTGGAGGCCTCCCGCACCTCAGGCGATAGCAGCGCGACAATCATGGTAGGCGACGCGATCAGCGGCGCTGCTTGCGTTGCGAGCCATGCCGCAGTGCCATAACTGTAGAAGTAGTAGACCTATGTGCAATCTACGTCAGTCGTTTCTTCCAAGTCGGTATGCTCGTGAGCTTTTGCGCAGCAGTACGTACGTCCATTGTTGTATGCGTGTGGAGGGTCAATTGCTTTCAGTGGTGTGGGGAGCTCGTGGTCGGAAAGAAAATGTTATGACTGTTCGGCACAGCTTTGGAGGGTGAGTTTTGAAGGTGGCTGATGTATAGTAGAGTTGTGGATAGAGTAATGGAGGAGCTGGGGGGAGAAGAGAATGCCTGTACCTGGAGCCACTACGTCACTGTGAGTGATTGAGCCGACCATTCCGAGCATACTCCACCCCAGCCACAATTGCCCCTTTAGGAAAAGGCAGCAAACAAGTATGTGGCACTCCAGGCCAGAAGTGAGACAGCAGATTGTCCTTACTGATGACCCGAGAAAATATCGGCTTTCAATTTTGTAGTCAATGTTAGGACTTGTTGGAGCTGAAACATAACCAAGATCACAAATGAGTCGTTATAGCTACTCAGTGCGTAAACTATTTGCGTGTCTCACCTTATGAACACTTAGTGTGACTGCCAGTGATGACATTCAGTAATGCCAAAACTACAATGATATATACAAGATCAAGTCGTTATTGAATATGCTACTACTGGCCCAGCAGAATCTTCAAAGTTTCCACCCCCAACGCCAGCACTTCCTGCCTTCTGCTTTCCTTCAGCAAAGCCTTGACTATTTCAATTCCACCATTGCTCTTCACTCTTTGTATTCCCTCTTCCCCACCCTCACCTACAACACCCCTCAGGCACGCTATACCTCTGTATCTTATATCCTCCTCCTCGTCCATACACATTTCCAGAAGCAAGTCCACGCCTTTCTCTTGTTTGAGGAAGGCTTCAACTGCAAGGTCGTAGCTGAGAAGCTGAGCTAGCGCACCACCTGCCGCGCTCCTCGTACCAACGTCGTCCACGTCGGTTAAGGCTAGAAGAAGGTGGAGATTGTGCTTTGAGCGAGGCAGAGAGGGATCGGCGAATTGAGTGATACATAATGGAGAGGCCATCAGGTTACAGATCAGCTCTGTAGCTGCCCGCTTTACCATTACATTATCTTTGAAGAGAAGCTCGTCGACAATGGTGGTGAATGTATTCCTTATGATATGATCTTGAGTGGGTGTGTCGAGAGAGGCTAGATTGGTCAACGCAAGTAGTGATTCGAACGCATGGAGCTGCCAGGTTGAACTCTCGGTGGGTTGGAGAAGGGATAAAAGAGGTCGGAGGGCATTTTGAGAAGGGAAAGAAGCATTGAATATGTGAGCAGGATTGGTTGATATGAGTATTCGAGCAAGCGCTTGAGCAGTCGTGACAGATGCGGTTGGTGGGTAAGGGTTTGGTGTGATGGTCGAAGATTTAATGGTTTCGTATATTTGTGTTAAGAGTTTGATGGCACCTTGTTGGGCCAATACACCCCTACTTTTGGAGTCTTTTGATAGGGACAAGAGAATAGCGGAGATCTGACCATGAGCACTGGCTGAACTCCTTTTCGCTATGGCCACGAGGACCGGTACAACCCCTGCCTCGAGAAGTCGTTTACAGCGTACGGCTACGTGTGAATCATCAAGTAAAGGATCTGGATCAGATGGTTTTTGTACGTTGGCGTACGCTTTCAACTGATCCATGCGTTTTTCTTCGTCGGATTGGATTGGTAGATGCGCAGTCAAATTCGTGAGGATAGTAAGGCCGCCAAACAGAACGTTCGAATGAGCGGAAGCTTCGCCCATTGACTCAAGCAGGCGTTTGAGGAATTTGGGCGAGTTTGCTAGATCTTCACGAATCCTGGACTGTAGACTGGCATAGGCCAGACCTTCAATCGAGTCGGGTTTACTTGAAGTATCCGATCCAATAACCATGCTCTTGAAACTAGCGATCAAGTCATCTTGATCCACTTTGCCTGGAGTCACAATGACAGGACCATCAGTATTGGGTTGCTCTTCTCCAAGTTTGACCAGAATGAGGGCTGCCAGATTGGACCGCTTTTTGTCGGGTGAAGTTCCCACGACATCCTCCAGCCACGTTCTACAATGACGGTTAACGGCTTCTCTGCAATTCTTGTCCACACAAGAAGCGCTGATCAATTCGAGTACTGCTTGCTCCAACTTCAAGCTCTTCTTGCCTTCCACGAGAGGCACTAACGTGCTAACGAAACCCTCTGTTAAGAAAAGCTGGGCTGCTGGTTGTACTGCAATTGGGAAAATTGCAGCGGCCGCCGAGAAAGCCACAACGAGGTCCTCCGCGTACGACTTTTGCACTCTATTAGTCACGAATTTGGAGACTAGATCCTGCGCTGTAGAAGGCGCCAGCTCATATAATTTGATGGTAGCGAGCGTGGCCTGGCTGCGCAGACTATTTGGCAATCGAATGTCCAAACTCGTGAGAATGACTTCGAAGCTGTCTGCATCGATGATGCCGTGCAAATGCTCAGCATGATGGGCAAGCAATTGCGCAACACCTTTCATAGCCCGCTCCGGATGCTCAAGAGCCTCTTCCATCATCATAGCCAGGCTCAGCATAAAAACGTCTCGGTGGCCCTGTACAAATTTTTCGTCGTTTGGCCAGAGGGCTCGATTCAACATTGTTTTGAGAAGGCCATCAATGCTATCGTCCCCGCGTTCGAAAAGCTCGTAGTACATATGTGTAGGTCGCTCTTGCACTTCCTTCGCAAGCCATCTTTGAGCACTAAGGCTCTGTAACAGCTCGCCGGTGACTTGATCCAGAAGGTCGTCTTCGCCTTTGAAGTCAAACAGTACTTCCATGGCCTGTTCTGCTTCATTTTCCCGGAGGCCTTGAGCTCGGACGATGGCCAATGCTTTGTCGCCATCTGCGTCATCCTGGCTCTTAACCCAAGTCCTACATATTCCAAGCAACTCACTCTTCCCTTCTTCTTCCTTGAGTGTGATCCAGCCTTGTTTTATCGATGCATGGTCTGGAGCCAATGTAGATGCTTGGCGAAGGAGCCGAGCTGCATCTGGGAGTTTCCCCAACTTCGTGAGTTCATTTGCTTGCTGTGCCAGCTCGATTGCCTTTTCGGAGTCTGTTGTTGAAGCCATTTTCGTTGATTTTTAGGCGACACAGGACATGGCAGTGAGTGAGGGGGTGTGGAGAGTCGAACGGCGCGATGGTGGAGATATGCACGGACTTTTAGCCCCTACCTTCCTAGCTCTCACGGGAGCTACAAACAGGACACAGGAATCTACAAGCAAAGTACGCAAGTAACTGCAATTTTTATATAATAAAGTTCTGCTATTTACGCGATCCCGGTATTGCATGTTTGATTGTGTAAAATATACACGGAAGATTGTAGATTACAAGCTTATTACATAGGGCTATTGTTCTTAAGCCTACTGCACCACTTAGTGCTTCTTGAATGCCTTGAGAGGGGCTTCGGAAAGATCGTCACCCAATCACCTAATGATGATTTAACATGTGGAGGGCGGCTTGTGACATCCCGTCATCAACCCAAGTCTTCTTCTTCACACTTTGGCTCTTCCTAGCTTGAAATTTCCAGATACAGTTCGATAATATACCGTTACTAATACACTTCATTAATGTTGCTCAGAGCCGTCAACCAAGATTCCACAATGCCCAAGAATGCGCCGCGCCGTGTAACACGTGAAATGCATAATCGATAACACCAAACATGCTTCGCCCTATTTGCATACCAACATGGATCTTTTCAAACACCCCCGTAACGCCCCATGTCAGAAACCCTATAATCAATATGTAGAAGAAAGACTACGCCAATCGTCTGTCAGGCGCACACAACGTTCCCCTTTACATCGCCCAATTACTCCAGTCTCTTAGGGTTATGACTGATTCGTTAATATACCCATGTTCATGATTCGGTGATCTCATTCGTGGTGTCTGTCTGCTTGCGTTGTATCACTCCAAGCTCAAGAAGACGCTTCCAGACATCGTCTTTGACCAAGATGCGCGATTTGTCGAATGCAAGACCGTCTAGCTCGCGGAGATTGACGCAAAGGTTAGCCAGCATCATCTCCGTCACCCTGCGCCGGATTCTCGTTTCGCCATCCAAGCGAAGAAGATACTGTTCGTCTGCGTCTGCGTCTCCATCAGGAAGGACGAAGCGATCGTTGACCTGTTCATCCGAGGGCTTCTGTCTGAGAGACATAAGTCGGTTCTCAGAGGCTGAGGGATAGAAGCGTAGAGAGAGAGGATTGTCTCGCCAGTCAAGCTTGGTCAGGGTATTGAGTTTCCCCAAGACCATAGCGTTCGCCCGCAGTCGTTCCAATTTGTTGCCAGCGAGTAGAAGCTCGCTCAATCTCTTTATGTTCAACAGTGGCCGAAGGTCTTGGATGGCGTTGAAATTTAGGTTGATCGAACGTATATTGGGCGTACGCTGACCGAAATCACTCGGTAGTTCTGTCAGGCCCATTGAAGAAAGTTCGAGCCGCTGTAAATTCAACAGATGCTGCGGAATCTCCAACCCGCGCGTGGGATTCAAAGAAAGGTAGAGGTTGCGCACTTCAAGATTTCTCACGAGGTTGTCGATGCATATTTCCCCGTCGATGTCGGTCTCCAGAACTTGCTCTCGCGCGGAGAATGTTCGAAGATAGCGAAGATGCTCCAACCCACATATACTTGTCAAGGAATTTCGATCAACGTACAACGATTCGAGCTTTGGAAAATAATCATCAATGACTAGCAAGGTTGTTCCATTACCGCAGAGTCGGAGAGATCGTAACGTTTTGCATCGGCCATCAGAGCTGTCAAAGTGTGGGAACTCATCGATACGGTTATCATCTAAATCTGTTAATCTTGCTTATAACACACACTCAAGACTGCATTGACTGACCAAGATTGAGATGTTGAAGTTGTGGCAAACGATCGATGTTGCGGACCTCATACAGACGGTTACCTCGAAGATCAAGATCAGTCAACGATTTACTGCATCATGTTAGTAGAAGCTTCCCGTCCTTGCACGAAGAGTACCTACAGGTTAGATTTTGTAAAATCCACCGTATCAATCTCATTCCTTGCCACGCTGAGTTCCATGAGCCCGTCTAGGTGGGAAATGCCACCCAGAGATTTAATCTTGTTATCATTTGCTCTCAGCGTACGCAGATGAATAAGGCTGCTTAGTCCATCTAAGCTATCAATATCGTTGTTTGATATGTCAAGAAATTGAAGATTCGTCAAGGTCGACCAAGTTGTCAAGGTCGTTAGACAGTTGTTCTGCGCTTGTAATCGCCTCGCAGTACAAGGTATCCCTTTGACTTGATCAATCTCATTGTTCGAGATATTGAGTTCCTCCAACCGTTGGCAAAACTCATCCAAACGGTGCAGATTGGAAAGACGCTTGTCGTGAAGGTCAACCTCGCGGAGATCTTCCCAATAAGGTTCGTCAGGCTCGACGTCTTGTAGCGCTTTCACCAACTCGGCAGTTCCTAGAGCGTATCGATCTTCAAGAGCTTTGGAGAACCTGTGTCCGTCGTGTTTTATAACAACTCTCCCAGGCACTTCGCACTCGTCAACTTGGTTCAAGGTGAATTCAGGCAAATCACTGAGCATGAAAGTAACGTCAGCCTTGTTTGGTGAGGACGGCGCATGCAAGAAGCCATCTTGCTGTGCCATGGGTGGTGCAGCAACACTCATAGAAAGCTGCATTCGATAGTTTCTCGGGGGGAGATCGTCGAGGATAGATACTTCGCCATCTTCGTTAAAGATTGGTCGTTTTGCATTTCGTTTGGTAGGAAGGCTCTGAGCACTTTGGTGATTCCACGCTGTTGCCCGCGATGATTGTTGTTGATGAAGGTTGGTCGTGCTCCAATGGCGAGATGGCTGCTTTAATATTCCTCCTGTCTGCTGCGTGTGTCTTTCTGTGCCAGTGACATTTTGTTCTGCAATAGAGAACGTGATATCCCGTACTCTCCTTCTTGTTTGCGTATCCGTAAAACCACGTCCTTCAAAGAACTGGATCTCATGCTCTATTTCGTTTTCATCGGATTCAGGAATTGCGTATGTTGTCGGTAGTTGCTGGTTTGTCTTTTGAGTGCCGCCAAAACGGGTGGCCTGATCGCTGTATGACGTGGCTCTTGTGTCTGTCTTCGGGAAGCTCCAGGCGAAATTAGAAGCCTTCGAAGGCACAGAGCTGGATTCCGTGAGAGGTATCTCCTTCCCGTCTCGAGTGGTTGGACGAGCAGGCTCCTCTTCTCTTATTATCCCCGTGTCTTCTGTGTCCTCTAGGAACGTCTCCGCTGTCGCATGTGGTCGTGTAGGCGAACCTATATCCTGAAGGCGCTCGGCGGTCTCGTCGACGGACAGATCGGGGATGTTGCCAAATGGATCATCCTCGCTCTCGTTCGTGGCACTGAGCCCCTCGACCTGGCGCTGCTCTTTTGAAACACTTTTTCGGCGGACCCAACAATTGTTCTTAGAGTCAAAGCTCATCCCTGCGATCTCCTTTGGAATCAGATGTGCAACAGCTTCGGGAGCCAAGGTGGCTACGTGATCTGAACGTCTTGATGCATTCGTGGCAATAGTCTGCCCCATGGAGGAACTTGTTTCGGGTCGTGTGTTGTTTGTCATCTGCTGCGAATCTAGTCCATCGACGCCTACAGGATGGTGCCTATTCGGATCATCGGTGATCCGAATGTCGTTTTGCTCAAAAACCATACTTTCATCCTCTGTGGGTACCGTGCCCCTCATTCGAGAAAAACGCAATGAGCGGAATGAAGAGCCAAGTACATCGTCCGAATCCTGCTCTTGATATTTGCGAAGATGGTTCATCAATGTAGAGTCCATCTCAGGCTTGTTGGGTTCTTTCCACGCAGACAACCGACCTTCGCGGCTGGGTGGTCTGTCAAATGTAAGAGAAACTGAAGGGATTTCGTCAGGATCTTGGGTTGGCGGTGTTTCCGATTCAGACTCTTCCAAACTACCTAGTCCACTTGTTGGCCTTCCTTTGGCTCTGATAAAGTTCATGATCTTGACTGCCTCATCCAAGAAATCCTGGGTAGTAACAGACTTCTTCCTTGTGTCGTTCCGCATGGCTTGGTGTCTTCTAACGCTGAAGGCGGCTACTTCGTTGGCAACGACAGCCGCACGAGCTTCCTCGGAGGAAGCATCGCTCTTTTCGGGAACTAGATGCTCCCGGATCTTTTCCATCTTGGGCGACGAGTGTATGAAAGCCTCAGTGGCTTCAATTATCTCGTCGTGAATTCTATCCAGCCTTCTTTGACTTGGGGTCGGATTCCGTGGACGCAAGATGTGACGCCGAGCTAACACATCTGGGTCTGCGGCATTGCTAGACTGTTCATGCTGGCTATTTTCTCGCTTACGTCCAATAAGTGGTTGCTTGATACTGTGAGAGTCCTTCGCCGACGATGCTCCACCTTCGCTGACTTCTTCGTCATCATCCCCCCCCAAGGATTGAATAGTTCTACGCCGTTTGGGTGTTGGGTTTTTGAAAGGTGATGTCGGGCCACGCTTGCCTTCTGCGTACGCATGTTGCGCCACTATCCTATCATTTGCTACGTCATGCTCCGCTGCTGTAGAGCTGCGCCTTGCAGCATGTGATTGATACTGGCTCACTGATCTGAAGGGATTGGTCACTCTTGTTAGACCCTGTCTCTTTGAACTTGAAGTTGCTCTCGAGCTGGGCGATGCATCGTAGTAAAATTTGAGAGGTTGCCGGCTGCCTGGCGGATCCACGTTTATCGAAGGTGATTCGTTGGGGGTGCTCAAAGCCTCGGACTCTGGCTCGTTTGATGATAGAGCAGAAAAGTCGCCGGAAAACTGATATTTATTCAATTCACCTTCTCCGAAGGTACCCACTCTTTGCCTGCCGGTTGGAGCGTGTTCCGCAGCTTCTATTGAGACTCCTTGCTGTATACTGGCTTCTTCTACGGAAGTCAGCTCCGAGAGCTTCTGGACAACTTTGGTTGTCTCTGTTTTCGTTGTTTGAGAAGTGCTCGACGTAGACTTTTCCGTCTTGAGCTCGATTTGACTGAGTCGTCTTCGCAGGCGGTTACTTGTGAAGGTATCATGTGCGTCAAATAACTTAAGAGGGCTGCCAGAGCTTTTCATTCGTTCTGTACTCTCGGATTGAGGTTGTCCGGATCGACGCGGCGTTCTTGGGGTGAGTTTTTCTTGGCGGTCTTGGTCATCGATCGGTGCTTGTGCGTTGTGATTTGACTCACTCGGAGGTGCAGTCTCGGTCTGCGGTGGGCTCTGCGATGGTGATCTCTGCGGAGAAGGGCTTAGTGGCCGTCGAAGGAAAGATCCATCCCTTGAATATCCACCCCTTCGCACTTCTACGAAACGGCCAATCTCTACTATATCCGGAGTCCCGGCGGGTAGACCTTCAGGGAGCGAATCATCTTGGAATCTCGCAAAAGAAGAGTCTCTGCGGCCGTGACTTGCTGAACTTACTTCTATAGTAGGCTGGGACTTATGTGTATGCGGTGGCGTGCCTAATTGTCGTAACCTGTTGGCAAGTTCGGACCCTCGGAAATTCGGTATGGGTCCAGGCGCTGAACCAATTTTGAGGTTGGTAGATAGATATACCGGACTGAAATTCTCATTTTCGAATTCGGTCTGTCCGCTCACGGTACGTGAGACCTGCCCAAGTTTGCTTGGTGCCGTGCTCACTGAGCTCGAGTCCAAGTTTTGCACTGGCGATTGATTGCGCTGGGCTTGTTCTGAGACTGCCGATTCATCACGCTCATTCTCTAAAGCATCTGACCCGTACGGCGGATTCCCTAGTTCTTCCAAAATTGTTTCGCCTTCCCTTGCATCTGTACGCGGCCATGGAGGGGGACTGGAAGGCATTGCGCCAAGACTCTTGAGAAGTCCAAGTTTGCGATTGGGCTGTTTCTCCTCCGAGACAGGACCGCTGGGTTTGTGGAAAATATTCTCCAGACCAGAAGGACCAAAGAGATCCTTTTGCGCTCCGTAGCCGATATCTCCCTGAAGCAACCGTCTCCTCCACTCCGGAGTATCTTGAGCAATCTTGTCCTTTTTGGGGGACACTTTCTGGGCCACTGTGCCGTCGTATATTACGGAGTCAAGCGATGCGGCTGAGAAAGACTGCGACGCGTAGCGCGAATGGACAATTTGTGAGTTGTCGGGAGACGAGATGTTGTTGTCACTCAGGCTGCGTTCAACGAGTGCGCTTTTGCGTCTGGATGGTTGCGCGATCCTTGCGCCATTCCGCACATTTATTTCTGAGAAAGAAGCAGAGGATTGTCGTAAGCGGGGAAGGCGGCTCCGAGGTTTTGAAGGGACGGACGGGGAGGACTGTGTCGCGGTGGCTGTCGCGGTCGTTGTGTGTTGCACCAATGGCTCCTGCTCTTCGTTTTCGGCGCGCAACGGGGTAGTTTGCTGGGGAACCCACTCCTCAGAGAGGTCATCGAGCCATGGCTGGGCCATGTTTGGGTCTTTGGACGTGTGTTGACTGCGGCGGGCAGCGTGTTGACACTGGATGTTTTGCGTGGAAGCGCGTTGGGGGGAAATCTACTCGTACGAGGCGAACTTCCGATACATGATAGTGTAAGCCGAGCAAAATATAGCGATAATGGTTGCAGGTGGTGGGAATTGCAGAGGGACGCGTGCTTGGGTTGAGCGTATCAATATGTATCAATCAATATACAAGGATAGTGTTCCTGACTCGATGGCTCTCCACACACGGGGAGACGATGATGCCTGTGGGAGTAGCACGCTTACTTATCGATAACATGGTCGCCCTAGCAACCGCCCCCAGCGCCCGCTTGGAAACATAATCATGGTTTGCAGCTCAGGACGGTGGTCAAACTACCGCCCGGCAATTCCACATTTACGCCGCTTGGATGTCCCGTGCATGTGCTTCGTACATACATCTACCTAGTATATAATTGTACAGGCCTTCCACCCTTGTATCCACTCACAAGGCTGACTAAAGTAACCTCTCATCCGCCCTGCCTCCAACTGGGAAGCGGCAACTACTTGCTTGCCTGCCATCTACCTACCTCTGCCTTGATATGCATCACCCCTCCATAACCCGCAGGCATCAGCACGTATCTACACACATCGATCAGGCTCCGATATATTTCCTAGGCTCTGAGCAGGCCAACCATCCGGACCACCATGCCCCGCTTGCCACCGCACATCTCAAGAGACCTCGATCTGGAATGCCTGGATGCGCAGCTCGAACATATATGCGATACCGATACGCGTGTTGCAAAGCGGCGGAGAATCGAGAAAATCGCAACTCTTTGTATGGAAGGGCAGCCGCCCGTAATCATAACTGCGGCGCTGAGGGGACCTTTTGACAAAGGATGGAGGAATCCTTGGGCCAGGGACCACAAAAAGAAGACTGTTTCCACGCAAATTCGTCCACAGCAACGGAAATCAACTGTCGTAACGTCCCAACCTCCTTCGCCCGAGACTAGAAGAGGATTAGACGATTCAAGCGTATGCGACGACTACGTTTCCGAGCCAGAGCCTTCCTTAATCCACTATAAATCCGATGACCAACATGCATGGCTTAGCCGCATCTCTTTCAAAGACGAAGGCCTTGAGAACTCCACCGGGGGGAACAATCAACCCTCACCTTCACGCCCCCAAAAAGGCCTCCAAGCTGTCGAAAGTAATGGGATCATTCGACTCACTTCCCCAGAAGTTGCAAGCCGACCAACACAATCTTCGCCAGGACCAAGACAGGGACTGCTGGATGAGGTCTGGAGATCGAGCGCATCCGCGTCCATGCTGATATCTTCCCCTACCAGAACTAGTACATGCACATCGACAAATAAGGGACGACATACCAAAACTACATATCGGAGCACACCAAACGATGTTGCTCATAGCACGAGTACCGTCATCGTTCCACGCACCGTGAATGGGGGCCAAAACGAGTCGCTGGGTGCCCAAACACCATGGAATCCAGTCAATGGCACGCTATCTGGTATTGATACAACTCCCACGGTTCCAGCTACAGATCCCAAGCAAGCCATGCCACCTCCTAACTTCACAGCCATCAATACTGGTGCGCACAGGCAAGTAACAGATAGGACAGTGACAAGGACCATAAGCATAGAGGACGCGAGTTCAGATATCAAGGAAGGCCGTGCTGGAGCTACAGCCCTCGCTCTTAGCGCTATTCTATCTCGCAGGCCCTCTCGCATCGATATACAGCAGTCAGCCGAGAATTGCGTTAAAGCCTGCGCAGGTAAGAAACGGAATGCATCTGGGACTCGCGGGCACAGCCTAGTTGCCTCGCCTGCGTTGGGCTCCTCTACAGGATTCAGATATAAAAAAGCCGGAGAATCCCGACCTAGAAGCAACAGGGCGAGAGGAAAATCGGAAATGGTTCCGACGTCTGCAGTGATAGCTGGAGAGGACTCAAGTCGGGCATTCGAAAGCAGATCAGCACGCAAAGATGTCTATGAGATACCGACACAGGCATCTCTTGATGACAGTGCTCAAGAAAGCTCCAAGATGAGCGAAAACTCTGCGTTTTCGACTCAAGCAGCCATGTTACTGGCTCACCTGGAGTTTCAAGAGAGCAGCAATAGTACACCCCGGGCGTCACTCCCGTCCCCCGAAGAAACACCACCCGAAGAGCACGTCACATTCACACCTTTCTCCATGTTTAATGCGGAGCTGGACAGGCACTCGGCCATGCAGCCAGGACAAGATGTACCGATCAGCACGCAGGATTTGTTTGCTGCAGCGTCACCGTTTGCTTTCAGTACAGTGAAGAAGAAGGACTCCAGAGCCATAGGCAGCAGTCTCAAGTTCTCCGTCTACCCTACTGAACAACAAGAAGGGGCAAGTAGCAGAAAGAGCAGGGTGCAAAGCGCTACACCGTCAGAGCGGATGCCGCTCAAGGAGAAGAACACGAGGGTGATGTTTAGCAACGACGAGGCTGAAAAGGGGTCGCAAGAGTCTATCAGGTCAACGAGAATGCAGCTCAAGCTCCCGCAGTTGGATCTGGGCAAATCGTTTGGTGATGACGGGCTGAGCAACCGCGATCTGGACTTGACTGATGGCTACCTACACAACCATGAAGTTCAGTGAAGACGGGTGGATGAGGATACATAGATTTGCATTAGCACGGTTGGAACGGCATTTTGTTTTGACGACATGGCCACACGTGGCTTGTCGGACGCCACGGATGGATTTGGTGGAGTTGGCAGAAGGACTTGGCGAGGGGAAGGGCAATGCAGGATACAAGAGGGAGGAGTATCACGCATCAAGCAGCAAAAGGACATGGGATTGGGGAGATGAGGTTGGGTTTGGGATGCGGGCGTAGCCGTTGAGGTGGAAGGGACGAGCACGTTGGCGAGCGATTGGCTGATAAGGACGGTGGCCGTGTGATTGACGAGGCGACGGTGGTGGGCGGCTGGGCTGGTGTGATTGGCCGGGAAGGAGCAAGATGGGTGCCGCGGCCAAATACCCGGGCCTGACTGCTTGTCAGTCCCTCACACGCAGCATGGCAAGATATTAAGCCTATGTAAGTACTTATCCATCTGCGAGGAAATAATCAAGCAAGGGAGCGATTGCTGTGATGATTGTGGTGGTGGTGGTGGCGGTGATGACAATGATGAATTGGTGCTCGTGCCCTGTTGTTCACCATGGACGTCGCTGCGGACGCGAAGTATATAAATGACATGGTTGTGAGACGTGATGGAGCTGCAAATGCAAATGCAAAAAAAAAAAAATACATCAACAGCTCCTACGACGACACCGGGCTTCTTTCCCCCGCCAGAGTCTGGCGGAGGGGATCAATGCTTCCCAGCATAGCACGGCACGGTAATCTCTACGTACTTGGCCAAGTTATAAGTCGGTAGGTGGGTACATAGGTACATAGGTAGGTACGTGCCTGTCAAGTGCCCATTGATAAACTCGGCCACCAAACAAACACACTCAGACTCCCGACTCCCCCTGCCACACAGCCTTGATGCATTCACCCATCCGCTAACCACCACCAAAAATCCACGCCTGGGAAGGGAAACGAGCCATTCCACGCCAGACGTGGGGCGCCGACAGTGGGTGATTAAAGAAAAAAAATCCGAGACGTCATCATCCGCTAGCGTCATTGTTGGCTGGCCCCCAGCTTCAGAACGTGGACTTGCTGTGCCTGTCTGTGTGGCCTACCCAATTCCAATTATCTCGCCCACCAACCACCACCACTGCCGCCAGCCAGCCCGTCTGCCATCGCCAGGCCCTCCCGTCCGTCGTGCCTCCGTCGTCCCTCGCCCCAGCCAGGGCTCCAACGCCCGCCTCAAGCAAGCTCCCGCTCCCACCGTGTCCCACCACCACCTCCACCACCACTCCCTGCCTGCCTCCTCCGCCAATATCTGCCACTCGCTCGGCCACGCACCCTCCTTCCACCATCCTGTCTCGACGTCTGACCAATGACTCCACACTCATGTCACCGCCAGACGTCTCGGAACCTTCCTCGCCCCCCGCATCGGTGAGGTCAAATGCGCCGCATACCCCCGGCCACGATGCATCCTCTGCTTCCTCTCCGTCCACTGTCTTTGGCACCCCCAAGACTCTTTCCCAGGCTGGCCGCTCCAAAACCGCTCCCCTGGCCTTGAATCCCCTGTGGACTCCTTCCGTCGATCGCCCCCAGCTGTCGGAGCGAGACAGTATCTTTGCAACCACCTACCTTGCCTCCGACAGCCCTGCCTCCTCTCCCCGCTCGCCTGCACAAACAAGACTCTCAAATGAAAATGCTTCTGATCATGCCACCTCAGACCCGCCCGGTCCAGAGCCTTCCACTCCACGACTGACCAGAAATCTGTCCGGCCGCCAGCAGCCTCCTTCGCGCTCCAATTCTCTGCACAAGGAGCATTCGAGCCTGCTATCCACCTACTTTAGCTCCGCTGAGAGCAGTTCCAAGACCGGCATGAGTTCGTACGATTCCCACGGCAGTCCGCCCCCCTTCATGAGCCCGGTAGACTCGCCATTGCATCGACCCGTCACGCCCCCGCATCCTGTGCACTTTGCCGCTCCTTTGGATGATCCGCTAGTAAAATCAGAAGAGAGGATCAAGAACCGCTTGTGGCGCGAAGGCAAAGGAGAACCCTATCTCCCCCATAAAGGAACTCCCCATAATCTCGTGAGGGATGGTCAGGTGGATAAGAAAATAGAAGCGACGTTAGCAAACATCGAGCCACCCGCAGCCGCGAGAAGCAGGAAGGCGAGTCATTATCTTCGTGTCTTCAAAGAGAATGATGCTGCAGAGGAGCAAAAGAAACGTGACGGAAGAACCAAGGAGCGACGTTCCGCCGACAAAACGTTGCCGTCGTTGGCGGGAAGGCCGAGCCGGCTTGAGAAGAGTGCATTGACGGAGCAATTGCAAAATCTTTCCAACCCTTCCTCGGCTGTTCAAACACCAGCCGATGAAGCCATTGAGTCGTACTTCGATCAGATCCCCAGTCCTAGCCGTGGAGAGAATACGGCATTAGTCGAGGCTGAGGAGCCAACATACAAGCAGAGTATCCCGCCTAGACTTCTTGATGAAATTAGAAATTATGGCAATCTCACTCCCGCTGCTGACCGAGGTTCTTCATTCTCAAAGAGCTTACCAACCGCTGCCGCAGAGAAGCAGCGGCTCTACAACCTCGGGCAACAGTCAACGCACGCACAAGAACCTCACGATTACTTTCACTTGGCACTGGATGACGATGGCACGCAGAGGGCGCCCGAGTCTGACGAAGAGGACTCTGAAAAGGAGCAAATTTCCTCAGCTCTTTATTTTCCCCATCGCCAGCTGAAGTCAACCGGAGGAGAGAAAATCCCGCCAGCAGATCAGAACCGGAGGGCAGAGGCCGAGGTCATTCGGGAACGCAGCTCAATAAGTGTTGGTAAGGGAATGAATGTACGCGAAAAGGAAGGGGCGGTAAAGACTCCAGAAGAAGTAGAAATTTCTCTACAGTCACAAGATACCAATCAATGCCTGCATGGTGACATCTCAACGAGCTCCTCTCTCCCGCAGAGTGCTAGCGATCCGCCAGCCTCTCAGCTGATTGAAATAACTAATCCGGCCGAGTTTGGGTACGAGTCGCTGACCGAGTCATCGCATTCGTATGATGGGTCTGAATCTAGTGCAGCCGAAGATCTCAGTACCACACCCAAAGCAATTCAGTTGAAGCAGAAAACAGACCTTTCGGCATCTACTCCTCCTCCAGCCCCTTTGGGGGCAGTGGAGCTTAAGCCATATGATCACCAGGTTGGTGGTCACACGACGGTATACCGCTTCTCTCGACGAGCTGTGTGCAAACAGCTCAACAACCGAGAAAACGAGTTTTACGAAACTGTCGAGCGACAGCACCCAGAATTGTTGGAGTTCCTACCTAGGTACGAATTGATGTTTCATATATTCCTCTCTCTTGCGTACCTCAAGCTGAGTCATCGGCAAAGATTATCTCGCCCATCCGGTCCGCGCCCGGTTTTCAACTTGTATGCTAATGTTCTGCTGCCAATTTAGGTATATCGGAGTTCTCAATGTCACATATCGTAAAGCTCCTAAGAAGAAGAAATCAGACAAGGACAAAGCCAATCCCGATACCAGCCTGCAGGGCGATTCCAATACAACATCTGATCAGCATCCAAACCAAGCTGATTCAACTGGGAACCAACATCGGGTGGTCAGTCACTCACAGCAAAGTACATCGATTCCTCAGGTTATATTTGAAAACAACAGACACATCATTCCGGACAACCTCTTTCGATTACCACCTCGGTCTTCAACCCCGGATCCCTGGAACCGAAATGCATCGTTTCCTTCACAATATCATCGTAGGAATCAAAGTGACTTTGGACTTTTATCCGAACAAAGCCCGACGCGACCTCCCATGCATCAGCACAACAGCTGGGGAGTCACCACCATTAATCGAAAGCTCCAAGAAGAGGTATTGCGTCAGGTCTTTGCTCCACCACCCATCCACCACCGTCACCGTTCTCACCATCACGGCTTAGCTGCGCGCATGGTGAGGCCGGAAACTCAAAGTGTCGTGGGGTCCGCGCCATCCATGCGCAGGAACAGCACCGATGTGTCTAAAGTTGCTATTCATGAGGAGCAATCGACCAGGAAAGCAGTACTCAAAGCTGAAGCTCTTCGACATAGCTCTACTGCAAGTGGGAGTCTCCCAAATGAGGCTGTCGATGTTCCAAAGGAAATGGTCTCCCCGCCCAACGGTACATCAAGGCGCCGTCATTCCGGCGGTGGACTCACCCGAAGGCCGTTCGGGGTGGATTCTGACCAGAGGACTGATCTAGAGTTTTATGAGGAAGATGGCTACAAGGGCGATGGCGAAGAGGAGGTGTTTGCTATGGACGACGATCACAAAGCTGAAGATTTGGGGGACCCGGCCCATATGAAGCAGCAACACTCTGCCATTGAGCCAATGGATCTGCCAGCTCCTGTGACTCCGAGGCCAAAAAGCCAATCAGACAGTCAATCCCCCGCGAACCCTAAAGAAGCCCAGCAACAGCCTGACGAGCGAGTGCAGCACTTTCTCCTGCTCGAAGACCTCACAGCCGGTATGGTTAAGCCTTGCGTCTTAGACCTCAAAATGGGGACGCGCCAGTACGGCATTGAGGCAGACGAGAAAAAGCAGCGTTCTCAGCGCCGAAAATGCCAGATGACTACCAGCCGTGAGCTTGGTGTGCGAGTTTGTGGCATGCAAATTTGGAACGTTAAAACACAGAGCTATGTATTTGAAGATAAGTATTATGGACGTGATCTGAAAGCCGGCAAGGAATTTCAAGACGCCTTGAAGCGCTTCTTCTGGGATGGTACAGGGTATAAAGCTGCTCTTCGACACATACCTATCATACTAGAAAAGATCAGTGCCTTGGAGAACATGATTCGGCATCTTCCTGGGTATCGCTTCTACGCTAGTAGTCTACTTATGCTGTACGACCGTGGCGATGGCGATCCTAAGGAGAAGGAGAAACAAGTGCTTGCGACAGAGTCAGCAAACTCCAATACTGGGTCCGGTGGGACTATTTCCAATACAACTTCCAAAAACTTCTCGGAGATTAAGCTTAAAATAGTTGATTTTGCCAACTGTGTCACGGCCGAAGACCCGCTACCCGCGTCGGTGCCTTGCCCGCCACGAGATCCGGATGGTGTTGACCGTGGCTATCTAAGGGGTTTGCGGACATTGCGGCTCTACTTTCAGCGCATTTGGCGCGACATCAACGAGAAAGATTGGGTCGAACGAGGTGAAGGCGAAGGTATGGCAAGGGACGATAACAATGGATCGGGACTTCGAGATACTGGACCCGGATGGATGGAGCATGACGGCAGTCACGAAGACAACGGATACGTCAGCATCTAATGAAGGCATGACGAGAATCAATTCTACCAAGAGAAGAAAAATTAAAATTTCAGGGTATGGAAGGGGAGGCAACAGTCGGGTTCTTCAGCACGGCGTTCATGTGTACACTTTTCTTTCCGAAGGAGCCACTTTATTCTTTCTTCATTTAATTCGACTACTCCGAACAGTCGATTGCAACTCCTTCATCAACCGCTGCAGTGCAGCGTTCTGGCGCATGCTACGGGAATAGAGACTGGAACCTGCTTTACTTCATTCTCTTTTTTTTTTTCTCAGTTCTTTCTTTGCAAGCATCGGTGGCATGGAAATGGCGTTTGACTTGCTTGGATGGTGCATAAACTACTTTTACTGGCACCCTGAAAGTAGTGATGGAAGGTACTCATGGAAAAGCTGGAATGGAGGATGGGATTGTGTATTTTTATAATAATGCTAAAGCTTAAAATAAACGCATGATAAAATCAAACAGTCCACACCTTGAAAACGTCGCAATCCAGTTTTCGGTTCTCCGACTTAGACTGCGGTGCGTGTCGGTAACCAAAGAGGATCTACCTACCAAGCCCTGGTACCTCGGCATCTTCCCCAGCTTCATCTCCGCATCCAACATCCGCCGACGAAACAGAACCCCATGTTATGTCACTCCTCCCCACGACACTTCTTACTTGAATTGCGCACCTGATTCTTGACTGCTCACACAAATTCACAACATTATCCCTTCTCTTTCTTTCTTCACGATACTGTACCTTCACAGCTCATCGACCTACCATCTGCTCACTCATCACACCGGGTCAACTATATCGTTAGTTACATTGAAGAACCACACCGCATTATCCTCAGCCCTCTTAATAGCAACCTGAAGAGCATCCGCGAATTGGATTGCTGATACGAATTGTAAAGACAAGATGCCTTCGGAAGATCAACCTAGAGTCAAGCCCAGGGTTCTCAGCAAGGAACTTTCTGAGAGCCTTCCGGATCCGGGGGAGTTTGAAGGCGTGAAAAAAGTGCGGAGTATGGCAGCGGATCTGGGGACAGAGTGAGTCTTTTTAACACTTCTTTGTTTTTTGCAACTTGCTCCCCCTTAGAAGCATGTATGCATGTGCAAAAGAGGGGACAGACGCCGCGAGCTCGCGTACCATGCATGCAGGATAATTCACGATGCAATGCAATCCCCCATGAATACCTGGAGCATGACAGAGAGCAATCAGTGACAAAATAGGATGTACTGACCCAATGCAAAAACAGGCGAGTAAAAGGCAAAGTGGTCATCATAACCGGTGCAAACAGCCTCATCGGCATCGGGCGGGCAACAGCGCACAACCTGGCCCGCCACGGCGCAAAAGCGCTCTATCTCTGCGATTTCGCCTCGACCAACCTCGCCCATCATGAACGCGAGCTCACCACCCTCTACCCTTCCGTGGCAGTCTCAACCCACCAGTTCGATGCTGCCGACGAAGCAGCCGTATCGGCCGTCGTCTCCCAAGCTCTCCGCGAGCACGGCCGTCTAGATGTTTTCTTCGCCAATGCGGGAATCGCCTCAGGCCGGCTCTTCTGGGAAGAAGACACGGAAGGCTTCATGAAGATGATGCGCACCAACGCCCTCAGCGTCTTCCTAGCCGCAAAGTACGCTTCCCGCGCCATGCTCGTCACGTCCCCCGCGAAACCCTACCCACAGGGCTCCATCATCGCGACGGCGTCGGTCGCGGGACTCCGCAGTAACGCTGGTCCGACGGATTACTCGGCAAGCAAGGCCGCCGTCATCAGTCTGGTGCAGACGTGCGCGTACCAGCTCATAGGCACGGGAATCCGCTGCAATGCCGTTTGCCCTGGGCTCATCGAGACGGGCATGACGGCGCCAACGTTCGAGAAGGCTAGGGAGAGGGGCACGGAGCGCAAGATTGGGCAGCTGAATCCGTTGCAGAGGGGTGGGCAGCCCGACGAGGTCGCCAAAGTGGTGGCGTTTTTGGCGAGCGACGAGGCGAGCTATGTTAATGGGCAGGCTTGGGCTGTTGATGGCGGGTTATCTGCCGGTCTGCCTTTTGTTCCGGGCAAGTTGGCCTAAGGTTCAAAGGGGATGCGTGGACGGACGGCTGCACTGGTGACATCCGTGTGAGGGCTTCTAGCGGTGGCGACAAACGGCGCAACGCATGGAGAATCATTGCTTAGATATTGCATCGAATGTAAAATACGAAGATTTGCCATCCGTTATGATCAAGCTTGTTCGAGGATGGCGTGGAAAGAGAGAAGGGGGGCTCGCAAAGGAGCGGAAGAATATGACACACAAAACTGCAGGCAAAGACAAATACTAATTAACCCAACTTTATCTGATAGATTCTAACATCTGCATTGAGATTAAAGTGCATCCTGTTGTTACACTCATACCCAAATATTGAAAGAGTGATGGCGCATCAAAGTGGGCCGTTGTACCCGAGTCTACTATCTCACTGTGAAAACAGTGGTCATCATTTGGTCCAGGACAGCACGGGTCCAGCAGAAAACCAGCAACATCAGGTAACGAAAAAAATAAAATGCTATTGCGACTACGAACATGACATTACGAACCAAAGTAATCGACCCTTGCCTCCCCTTTCTACTTTTCCACAACAAACATCAACAAAGACAACAAACTAGTGAGAATGAGAAGTGTACAAACCAGTGGATAAGACAACAGTCCCCATCCATCCATCCTTTCACTCGCTTCGTACACAGGCCTAAAGGGAAGATACATAAGAAACGGAAGAAGGAGGAGAGAGGTTGAAATGAAGGACGGAACTGATCAACATTTAAGCTAATTACTCCTTGCTCCAGCCGATCTCAGAAGAGGGCTTGCCAAGATCGATGGTGTTGGGCGGGAGCTCAGTGCGCTTCTCTTTGCTCCAGCCAATCTCAGAAGAAGGCTTGCCAAGGTCGATGGTGTTGGGCGGGAGCTCAGTACGCTTCTCTTTGCTCCATCCTACCTCGGACGAGGGCTTGCCGAGATCAATCGTGTTGGGTGGGAGCTCAGTACGCTTCTCTTTGCTCCACCCTACCTCTGTTGAAGGCTGGCCGAGCTCGATCTTGTTGGGTGGTAGCTCGTTGCTGGTGCGCTTGTTCCATCCCACTTCGGTCGAGGGCTGGCCCAGTTCGATCTTGTTGGGTGGGAGGTCACGCTTCTCCTTGCTCCAGATGATTCCCGTCGAGGGAGTGCCGAGGTCGATGTCATCAGGAGGTGACTGGGCCTGTTCGCGCTTGCTCCATCCTACCTCTGATGAGGGAGGGTTGAGTATGATGGAATCTGGCGGCGATGATACTTGGTCTCTCTTCTTGCCCCAGGTGATCTCGGTGGAAGGCTTGCCAAGCTCAATCTTGTTGGGTGGGAGCTCGTTGCGCTTTTCCTTGCTCCAGCCGACGGTCGAAGTTGGAGGACCGAGTTGGATATCGTCATTTGGATGAGCCTGCTCACGCTTCTCCTTGCTCCATGTCACTGTTGTTGTGGGTTTGCCCAGCAAGAAAGAGTCGGGACGAGTAGGATCGCGTTTCTCTTTGTTCCACGTCGTTGTCGATGTAGGCTTGCCCAGCCAGAAAGAATCGGGACGGGTGGGATCGCGCTTCTCCTTACTCCAGATGACTGTGGACGATGGCTTTCCGAGCCAGAAGGTTGGTGGTGTGGGGTCACGTTTCTCTTTACCCCATGTGATCTCGGTTGAGGGAGACCCCAGTTGAATGTCGTCTGAAGGACTATTCACAGTGTTGGACTGAAATAGATGTCAGTAAATACATTTCACCTTCGAGCGGGGGGAAAGAGACACATACAATAGGCAAGCCGTTGACATTGGCGAACAACGCACCAGCGGCAAATGCTGAGACCAGCCTATACTGCATGGTGCCTGTGATAGAAATCTAAGCCAGATGTATACTACGAGTGGATAAGAGTTACTATTGTTGAAGACTTGACTTCAAGTTTCAGTGCTGAAGTGGAGGAGATGATGTGTTTTGGATCAACAGTGGACGAGCCCACTCTTCATATAGTTCTCCTGATGATAAGACTAATTCGCCACTGTCCTCCATGGTCAATGACCACAACGGGCAAGTGTACCATTGTAGATAAATGAAGAACGGTGCCCATGCAAAGTCGTATAACTAATCTGGCTAAAGCGTGGTGCAACATCCGTCATGGCATGGTTCTCTTGCGACAACGACTGGCTAACGCTCATCAGGGTCATATCGCACAGTATGAAAAGCGCCTGGCTAGAAGACCAGCGCAGGGTGATAGACTCGCATTCGGATGCTCGCCAGATCAACACGAGGGATGGTTGGGCGTAGGCCCCTTGTCTTGCGGGGGAATGGCATGTCCTGGTGGTCTGCACGGAAGCTGATAGAAGCCAGGGTGTACACAGGACTTGTATATTGGTTTTTCGGCTGGGCCAGAACAGCACTTTGGATGCTTTGGACTATCAGCAGCTGTGCCAAGGTGTAGCGGATGCTGGGAAGTGATAGCGAATGTCCTTTGCATACGCATGATGCACGATAGAGTTGAGGATTTGCGGCACATGCATCGGCGCTGTCTAAAGTACATGCAGGTGGGTGTTGAACTAGTTATCTGGACCCCAGCACCATGTACCGAGGTCTGGATATTCGAGGCGGCATCTGGAGCTGTGTTGAACCATTGTTACAGGTTTTGATCGACTTGGAGCCTTATATTAAGCCGTTGAGAATATATCCATGGGTTCCTAAGGAAGGCTGGACTGAATAGCTCTTCACTTCCGACATATCGTTCTTGAAGTCTGGTAGTTATCCCGTGAACAAAATTTGCGTCCCCATAATTCCTATTCCCAGCGTCAGCAGGATTCAATAACAAGGTTTTAAGCGAGTAGGGTAATTGAATAGGAAAAGGATTGTAGGTTGAACAAGTGGATTCAAGCAGATACCCGGCCAGCGGTTGATTGTGACAGCTTCCAAATTTCCATAAATAGAGCTCTAGAAAACAGAGTTTTACGGAACAAGCAATAGAGCCAAACCCCATGCACTGTCAGATAGAACGATTTAATTTGACTGAGGAGATTGGTACGCCTCCGATTTGCCCAAAAGCCTAGGAACAAGTGGCGACACAACATTTGTCGTATGATTTTTTGATACTGTAGACCACCTCGAATTGTTTCTTTTTGGCTTTCAGTACACCCTTAGGCGTTGTAGCATGTATGTAAGCGTTGTTGTTCGAAGAAACACTTTTAATTGAGGCTAAATTAAATATAAAGGTTTGTACGGGCTTGGCGAGCCTCGATCGTTTCGTACCAGGACTAGACAAAACGCAGGATATAATACCAATATCGAGAACTCGCGTAGGCCTTGTGACTCGTCGCGGCCGAAAGGCGTAGTGCGGCGTGCAACAAAGCGGGTGCCGTTGGTGAATCCAACGTTGTACTATTCACGTGATCTTGCGGGTGATTCGTCCATGGCCCTGGCGGTTTTGCAGTGTTGCTTCATAGTATTATACCATTGCCCGTTGTGTGGGTAACATGAGAAGAGTAAGAATAGCACCAAGAGCAAGATGTTGAACGGTTGATGAGGAAAGACTACTTGGCCACATCAATCCCTAGGTCCTGACATAGTATAGTCGCGTTTACAGTGAGCGATTCGGGTGTGACGGGTAAGTATCCATGGTCTGCCATGCGGCGTATAGCTTGTAGTTCTCAAGACATTTGGGTATTCATGCTACTTGGTGACGTTGGTCTATTCGATAGAGATCAGTGTGTTGTGCTCTGGCATCCACGAGTCACCACACACGAATAATCAGTGCCCAACAAACAAGATGACGAACTTTGCAACTACCCCAAGTAAAAGAGGGTGTGCTTGTAGGCGTTAGTTATCGTTGGTGTCACAGCAATCATGGCGGTTCAGCTCGGTACCACTGTTTGTAGAAGTCGAAGGGGGGATGTCATGCTTCAGTCAGCCAACGAGAACCAATGAAGGCGCCTTGGTGATATTACAATGACGATGACGGGAAGCAGCTGATAGAAATCAGGAGCAGGAATCCATCCATATGCGGTGGGTGGCCATGGGGAACCTGGCACCTGAGGTTGAAGCTGACGGGATGGATGCGTGACCATGATGCTGAATTTTTATGCAGCGGTGCCCGGTCACTTTCCGTAGCTGAGTATGGTCATAACTCTCAGAATCGAGCGCCACATACCCACATATGCGAGCTTTCGGTGTTGTCCGTTCCATGTTGCAAGCAAACGGGTAGCATACTGTCAAACGTGACAGAGGAGGGGATATGCCTAGCTAGAGGTAGCTCCAAGTCACTCAAGCGTATCTAGCAAGACATACCCCCGAGTTTGCGACTCTGTAGTCAGCCAGACACTTCCCATGGGGGGAAGTCTGAACGCGATGAAGTGGTTGTTGCATATCACGATTCGCCGCAACCTCCGATGGTTGCCCGCTGCCAAGCCATTACCTAAGCCACTTTTCTGCGATCGAACGACACATTATGCTCTCGACAACTACGTATTTGATGATCTTGCGCAACACCTCTTACCCCCTCTAAACGTATCGCCGATGACCGATAAACGAAGCACGTTCCACGAAAATTGACACTTCGTCGAAAAACTCGTACTTGGCCCATCACCCTGGTCCCTCTCGCAACGATCCTCCGCATTCCCCTTGTCCTACCACCAACTGCAAAGCATGTCCCGATAGCAATGCTAGCGCTATGGTCCCGGGTAACGCGGGCCCCGGGAACCTGTAGATGCATATCATGCGGCTCAACAAATGCTGCTCTTGCTACGAGGGCTAGTACACGAGCAACATCCCTCTTGGGCGCACCGACCTCAACTTTTATCTATACGAGCATCTTCACCGTCGGGCTTGCCATCGACGCAAAGACTAAGCAAAGAAGAAATGAACAATGGGATACAGCTTTTGAACAGCTACATGACGAGATAGGGCGGTTGCCAGTGAACGATAGAAAATTACGTTCGACTGCCAATTCAATAGAAGCAATGCTTTCTTCAGGAATTGACATGGACGTGGTACACCAAGTTGCTGGCATGGAGCTAGTCGAAGGGGGTGAGGAATTTCACGATATTCCGCAGCCTGAGGTTGACATAAATCATATTCTGGAGGGCGTCTGGGATTACATGCCTTTTGACACCAGGTTTCCTAGCGGTCCCAATCAAAACTTACCTTGGCCAGCCAACACTGGGCAGGAATTGATAAGATATCACTTACCACCGCAATCTTTATGGTCGTTAGATCACATGCGATGGACCGCTGTACGGAAGAGGCAGATTTGGAAAAAATTGGCGATGCAGGAGCTCGCGATTGGAGAACTTATTCATGCGCTACTCGCTCAGGCCAGTGAATCCCGATTAACAGAAAAAGCTTTTGCTTCCCTCTCACCGGTGATACGCGACATAGTATTGCTCGACCCCAGAGAGAATGTAGGTGCGCGGCACCACATTCGCGAAAATATGGATCGATTAGCGATTATTGAGAGAACAGCATCGCCCGAAGAGATAGGAGACATCAAGGCAAAGATCAAAGGCCCAGGAATACCTTCCTATCACCAAGACAGAGATGGCGACTTTTATGAAATTACAATGCAGATGAATGCAGCTATTCGGAAGCTGTTTGACGAAATCCCCCGCGGCAATGACAAGTACTACGAAAATCAATTGTCTTTGATGTTGGCTAGAGTTTGCCACAATCTTCTGATCTCTTCCGCCGCGCCCGACCTCCAAACCTTCAACATCCTTCTCACTGGCTTTAAAAGGAATCGGCTGCCCGAATTGGTGTCTCATGTGATCAAAACGTTTGACAGATGCAAGATCCGACCAAATGAAATCTCTTGTGCTGTGATCCTTGATCACTACGCTGAGACGGATAACCCCGATGCTTTCAGCAAATATGTTGCTCGTATGCGAGGGGGTTACAACGCGCTCATGTTGGCCAGGCCAGATATCAACATCAACGAGAGGGGGCAAAACCGCTTGATCCGTGTCAACGAGGATAAAGTGTACCAAAAAATACACCCTACACCGCTTGTTTTCAACTCGCTCATGCTTGGCGTCCTCAGGTTTGCCGGATTTGATCGAGCTGTTGATATCTATTTCGAAATGAAGGAGGATGGCTGGGGCCTAGATACACTAGGTCTTAGTCACTTCTTGAGTGACTGCGTCAAGCGAGCAGATTGGAACGGTGGGGTTCTGATCTGGGAAGAGATTAGCAGTATCAAGCAGAAGATCAAAGAATCACATATGATCAAAGCGTATGCAGATATGATAAGTTTATGCTCTGTCACTGGGAATACGGTGGCTTTCAATCATCTTCTCAATGAGGTGGTAAGGAGAGGGTACGATCGCAAGAGGATTATGAAATCAGTCATGGCAGCGGAACGTCGTTACGAAAATGGATCGAAAGTCTCTTCAGCGCCGGCCTGGGCAGCAGACAACCTCCTGATAGTCATGTCAGATTTCATGCAGCCCGACAAGCAAGACATAGAAGATGTCGATTCTTTCCCCGAAGATGCTCAGCAAAGCGAGCAGTATCCTGAAGAAAATGGAGCTGCGGATGCTGCAGTAAATCAATCTACCGGCGTCGAACAACCGCTACCACCTGCACTCAGCCCAGAAGAAACGTGGAATATATGGTTGCAGCACGAGTTAGGAGAAACTCCTCTAGATGACTCCACACCCACCCGCAACGATGACCTTCCCTCTTTCAACTTCGACAAGGAGAAAAAACACTAGCAACACTGGCGATTCGTTTCCTTTCTGAAGCCAGCGCATTAAAACTTCACACACACACGTCAGCGCGTCAGCACCCGCTTTGGATTGCAATCAAGGCCCATATATGCCATGTTCGATTGGAAACCATCATCTACTATGGCAGGATTCCAACTCAATTCCGCAGGCAAACTAGCCCTTGACTGAAAGCACATGACATCCATGCAGTGTTTCAACGACTGAGTCTACGTGTGGAATTGTAAGAGACGATGTACCGCGACTCATGATGTTGTCGCTCGCTCGCCCGCTTGCTTTTTCTTGTATATATGTATATGTATGTAAATTACAACTCCCGTTTCTAGATCGCAACTACTACGGGGAGGACTTTTCTTCTTCAGCTTTGTATCAGGCTGCGTTTGTAATAGGGTTGGTTGATCACTGGGTAAAAAAGTAGGCAAGAGGACAAGGTGCGGATGTAAGATTAGATGTAACGATATAGACACTAGAGGCTGTGTAACATGAACCGCAATAACATGTATACATAACATGGGGGGTGATACACAATGATCATCTGTCGAACGCCATATCAGCATGCAAGGGGTTAGAGGAAAATAATTTAAAAGCAGTTCTCTATTCAGTTCTGGCCACTTTTCACCGTCATGCACACACAACTAGCCGTGAATATGTCATTACGCACTTATTCACTCTTGATCCTAGCTTGGCGATTGAAGACAGATGACGGGTATCATTACATGCATCATGCATTCATTGTCACGCCCTGATCACCCCAGCAACGCCTTGGATATCTTATTGTACAAATGGGGGTATCGAAACATGGAAATTTGGTGTGCCTTATTCGCCGTCTTACCATACCATCTCCCGCAAGCAATCGGTATAAGCTACCATTTCCCAGTGGATATCCGCAAGTGAAGTAGAAGCATCTCCGCAGTGTAATCCTCACTCTCACTTCCACCTCTTTCCCCGAATGCGGAATTCCTATACCCCCCTCAAACGAAATAACCCATCGAATAATCAGCTTGGTCGGCTATGCGAACAAAGGAGGTCGATTTCCAGCGTGCAAATCAAAGATATTGGAACCGATTTTGGTATCGGAAGAAAGGCGATCAAGCATCAGAGTCGTCCTCATCGCCATCTCGGAGAAAGCGACGCATCTTCTGGACGTCATCCTCGCTATCATCACCACCGCCGTTGCGGCTTTTCTTGAATTTGGGACGATCCTCAGCAATTGAGATTTGCAGCCCTTGATTGTTGTATCGTCGTCCGTTGAACGCGGCGCGGAAACTCTCGGCGGCCTCGAAGTCCTTGAAGCGCACCGATACAATGCCCTCAGGCTCCTCGTCATAGAGAACGACCTTGGTGACTTCTCCGTGCTTCTCAGCAGCCTCACGCATGTCTTGCTTGATTTCGAGGATTGCAGCGTCATCCTCTTCAAGCTGGTGCAACTCGAAGACCTTCTTGATGATGCACATCTTAGCCCACTTGTTCTTCTTAGGCGCATAAGCCTTCTCGGCCTCCTCCTCATTGTCAGACCATTCGGCGAGCTTACGCTGCATCTCGGCACGAGTGCGCTCGGCTGTCTTGCGCTCCTTCCGAACAAGCTTGCCAGCTATCTTCTCGGAATCGGTATTCTTGCGGCGCGTATTGTCTGCTTCCTGTACGCTAAGGGTACCATTTTTGGTATCACCTAGGCGCAACTCGTAGTTGTCGTGCAGTTGAATAGCCAAGTCGACTGAGGCTCGCTTGAAGTACACAATCAGCGCCTCGCCGGTGAAGTCTCCACTGTCATTGGTATACAACTTCACGCGCGGTGTGCCATCGACACCCTGATCAATCATGCCGTACTTCTTGAAGACGTCAGCTAGCTCGTCAGCCGTAGCATCTAGGGGAATGTTGGTCACGTAGATGGCGCGATTCTCGGGAGCCTTCTTCTCTTTCTCGATCTTTGGCTGTTTCTTGGGGTTGGTATCGTTCGAGGTGTCTTTGCGCTTCTTCGAAGTTGCTGCCGCACCGATGCCATAATCTCCGGTTCCTGTACCCGAAGGCATAGAAGCTGTCAGTTGGTCAATCTCGTCCATCTCGTCCATCTCGTGAAAGGAAGACATCTTGAATGTTGCGGCCCTGAAGTTATGTTCCGGGCGACGGACAAGATGGAGTGGAATCCTCGGTCGCGAATGGGATTTCTCGTAGCGGGTCGAGCGAAGGACGGCAGTAGAGTTTCCTAGGTGGAACCCCACTTCGTCACGGCAAGCTTGTTCGTGGCTGCTTGATGCGAGCACTCGTGTGTACCTACAATTTCTTGTTAGCTGCTTTCCACAGAATGGTTTTGGGTACGTTTGGAGGACTTTTGGGGATTGCAGGACACGGTGTCTGTGGGACTAGGAGATCTCCAGCTTGGTGTGTGGGTGAAGTAAATATACGCACAAGCCAGGCGGACCAAGAGCTGTCGCAGACGCCGGATCACGTGAGCGTCGGGGTTTCGTTTTTCCGGGCTGGGTAAAGCTGGGTGAAGCTGGATGAAGGGGAATCGGGTCAAACAGCGGCCTGGGGCTGGTATCGTTGTTAGTCACCATATCCATAGGACAAGAGTGAAGAGGTTCATTAAAATGCGTACCCAGAGCTTGAACCTTGAAGCGAAAAGGGCTACATGGCGGAGGTTCGGTGGTTAGTCAGGTCAAGGGTGGGTGGGCGATGATGCTGTGCAGCAGATGCATCGCAGAGCAGACCCAAGGACGTTGGACCTACACTGAGCTGCAGCGGGGACAAACTGAGTGCGCAATGCTGGGGATGGCGTCGGTCTTCAGGTTGGGAGGAGTGGTGGTGAAGAAGATGGTGTGGCAGTTTCAACAGCGGAAGGTGGATCAGATGAAAAGAGATGGCAGCAGCTGTGTGGTCTCGATCTCCAGACGTTATAAGAGGCCCATGCATCGTACGTCAGCCCCACCAACTGCGCTTCGCCGTTTCCCCTTCAAACAAACACACGACTCGACGATCCACACGGTTCCATGGTATAGCACATAACACGCTGCCGCAGCTGACACAGATGCATTCCATAATCAAACCCCCTCTTCTCCTCTGCTCTGGCCTGTTTTTCTCCCTTGACCTCCGCGCGCATCCTCCGTGATCATCTTCATTCCTCCGTTCTCTTTTCCATCCATCCATCAAACAAACCTGCAGACATCGTCCTCAAAGAAATACTATGCATGATCCTATTCCCGTCCCACAAGCCCTTGTAAGGCTTGCGACGCCGCTGGCAAAAAAACTCTCCCTATCTACCCTGCCCTTCCATGTGCACGAGGTTCTTCTCGGTTTCATAGGCTATCATCTCATCCTCAGCATCCTCTCGCCCACACTATCGCGCTTGATATGCCCAAAGGTGTATAATGGCTTCAACCGGCGCACGCGACTAAACTGGGACATCCACTGGGTGTCCATGGTGCAAGCTCTGTTCATCAACTCTGCCGCTCTCTATGTCATCTTCACGGACCCGCAACGGAACGAGATGGATTGGGCTGGCAGACTATGGGGATATACCCCAGCGAGCGGCATGGTTCAGGGCTTCGCTGCAGGTTACTTTCTCTGGGATCTCCAGGTGTCGATTCAGTATATTTCCATATCTGGATATGGTGCTTTGTTGCATGCGATTGGCGCATTGTCAATAACATGTATAGGCTTTGTACGTCCTGGCTGTGAAAGAATGGTGATCAAATACTAACCGGCGGATGAATAGAGGCCCTTCGGGAATTACTACGGCCTCTCCTTCGTCCTTTATGAGCTTTCCACCCCGTTCTTGAACGTCCACTGGTTCTGCGACAAGCTTAACTTGACCGGCTCCAAAATACAACTTTACAACGGCATCGCTCTCCTCGTCACTTTCTTTGGATGCCGCATTGTATGGGGCACATATCAATCGGTAATGATATATTCAGATATATATACCGCCTTGTCGCGATCCTCTCCTGGTCCCAAAAGCTCGCTGCTGGAGAATAGCAAATGCGAGGGGAACGCAAGTGGATCTGGTATTGGGGGAGTGAGCAGCTGCGAAATTGGAGAATTGCCTTTGTGGCTGGTCACCGTGTACTTGGTAGGCAATTCGGTGCTAAGCTTGCTCAACTTTTACTGGTTCAGTCAAATGGTCAAGGCCGTGCGGAAAAGGTTCGTCAAGCAACCTACAGGCGCGCCTACAAGTGGATCGAAGAAGAGTCAGTAGATAGGAAAGGTGCTCAGACATGACGAAAGCATTTTTAGGCCTGAATCAGCGTCCAGCGCCTCGTCATGTACAAGCAATGCAATGCGGTTTATGTCTGCGCGTTTGCGTCTGTTCGGTCCAACTCCAAAAAATTTATACTCGTGGATATCTTGCAAAATGTAATGCACATCAGAAATGAAGCAACGCCAAAGAACCTTCACACCCCTAAAATACAGCGCTCCTATTCCTACTCTCACCCAAGGCCCCCGTAAATCCAAGGGCCTTGACTGCATCCTCGAGAACAACGTGTTCGTCCACGCTCTTCATGGGCCCGCCCCATTTCACGATTCCCCTCTCATCCACTGCATACGCACCGCCTGTCTGCCATCGGCAGCCGCCCTCTCCAACCTTTTGTCCCCAGACGCCTTCGGTCCTGCCTAGCATGACCTGATTGTACCCGTTCCGTGGATTCAAGAGGTGTCCCCAGTTGGAAATGCCGAGGCCCCATGCAGCATATAGTTCGCGCGTTTGATCAACCACTACATCGACGTTCCATGCTCCGCCAAGGACTTTGACCCATTCGTTGGTGGCATCGGGGGTGCAATGGGAAATGGCAATGAAGTGGATCCCAGTGTATCGATTGGCAAGGGATCGCATGTGGAGGAACAGTTTTTGTGTGACTACACAAAGTGGTGATCAGTTGCCTGTAACATACGAGAATCAAGAAGGATAGCTTACAAGGACATCCGCAATATCTCAAGAAGATGACTACGACTGGTCGACCGTCAATTGGAGGGAATTTGAGCTTCACACTGCTTGGGGCGCGGCCTCCCTCCTTAGGTGGCTCTGAGATGGGGTTTGACGGTGCCGGAGGAGTTTGCCATGACGAGAAAGCCTTGTTCCATTGTACGTTTGCAAAAGGGTTGGCAAAGCCTGCACCGCCGTCTTTCGAATTGGGGTCGGACTTGGGCAGGGAAGGGAATGAGACCTTGTCCAATCCCGTCTTGCGTAGCGCGATCTTGGTTCCGATGCTGTTGAACATGTCGAATGTAAATTGTTGCGGCGGTTTCGACACGAGAGGGAGGATGAAGGGCGAGAGAGGAGTGTGGGGAGGAAAAGGGGAGGAAAGCTGAGAACACTGCGGACTTAACTACGTGGTGAGAATGTAGCTAACTTTGGGCTGACTGCTTATGTGCAGTTGTGACTATTGGTAGGTAGGGCGTTTGGGGGTGAAACGGAAGCGGTCGCACGGACTTTCAGGGTCCACGCCCTCTCGAGGTATTTTACAAGTGGGGCACCACAAAGTAAGTCGATTTAAGCACCAAAGCCCCTTGTGATAAGCTCAAGATCTTCAAGTCTTTAACCAATTTTACAGTACCAGGACCAGTAATCTTTTCAATCAGAAAGGTAGAGAGCTGTAAGATAATGGTATTTGAGATACTCCGATATTTTGTCTTGTGTCTCAATCTTTCGCCCTTGTGAGTGTAGTACTAATTCCACTCGACCTCACCGGCTGTTCATAGGGAAATTGATGTTCAATTAGATTAAAATCATTATTATTCTATAGGATATATATTACATCAACGCTTACAGAAGAATGTATAGCATGCTAAGAACGGAAATTTCGAGATGGATGTGGGATGTTACTTCTTGTAGGCAAAGATGGCTCCGCACTCGAACATTGTTTCGCGCTCTAAACACTCTTGCATTACCTCGTCGTCCTCCCACCACCATCTTGCTTCGTCTGGATCATCATCGACGAAATCTCCCCATATATTCTTCCACATTGACTGGCATATCCGTGCTCTAAGCTCTTCATCAACATCCGTCGATTGCTGCAAAGTCGCGCACGGCAGCCTCATGATGGGCACATCGGCCGAATGCGCCAGCTCAAAGCCAGCATCGTTTACCCAACCAGGTACCAGCATACACGGCTTCGAGCATCGAAATTGGCGTTCGAGATTCAATGACAGTCTGTCCTCGATCCAAGATCGCATCTTCGGTCCTGCTGTCTTACGTACTGGGGCAGCGTCCATGATTCGAAGTTCCAAAAGACCACCAGGCGCAAGCAGGCGATGGCACTCTCCGAGAATTTTTGGCAAATCTGATGATGGAACCAGTGAGGGAAGAATTGATGCCCGTATGTGTGAAAAGGTCGTGTCAGGCCAAGGAAGTGGGACCACGCGAGGTTGCGGGACTGTGACATATGAGACATTCCCGGGGAGTGGCATCGGCCGACGAGGTTCTGTGGTAAGATACTGGACTTTTTGTCTAGGATTCATTGCAGAGAGCTGATAAGCCTCAGCTAACAACGGCGTCAGTTGTTGCTTCATCTACAGCGACATGCGCAACTTACCAAGATCACCGTAGAGCTCAAGAATTTTGCCAGTATTGCATGCCGGTTTCGGGGACGTACTGAATCGTGCAAGATTTTGTAGTTGAAAAGCCGTTAGCACCCAGAGTTGTTTTTCAAGCTTGAGCTCTTCGTCGGCTTCAGCATCCACCGGATCGTCGTGCCATTCCTCCTTGAGGCGATCTAAAATAACTTTTGGGCCAGCTGATTCCATCCTTCGGATAAAGCGCTGGAAACGAGTGAGCTCCAGCAGAGTGTTTTGGGCGATCGCTATGCCGTCTAATACTCGCGTTGGCGGAACCTGGTTCTCTTGCTCTTGCAACTGCTGTTTTACAGCTGATAATCCAATGTCCCAACCTGTCGGTGGTTTCCAAGCAGCATCATTCGAATCATCCAGTCCAACCAGAGCTGGCGTAAGCTCATCTTCCGCTTGGTCTTGTAAGCTCAGTCCCTCGAAATCTTGACAGCCTTCCACTCTCACGGAATATGCTCGTCTGCGATTGGTCAGTTGCAATGTCGTTAAAACCCGCGCAAACGACTCGCCTTCTTCTCTTGCCATCCGGAGACTTATACGTGTCAACGGCGGCCAATTCTGCAACATCAGGAGCCCGCCTTATGATGCAAGGAGCAAATGAGCCAGGGTTGAAGTGGTGGGTTTCTTTTGTCTCTTCCGTTGGTTTCTCTCTTCCCAGAATCTTCATGTTCCAATGCTGTTCACCTGGGAATCCGTTAATATTCGTCAGACCAACATATGGATACCAATAAGACATGGCTTACGTGGGGAGCGAGACGCGTTGGATTTGATACCACGTGAAGAAACATCGCCCTCGAGCTCTGGCACTTCATGAACGGGTAGATCTATTGGTTGGCCGGATGGGAGCTTGGATGAGAGTGAACTTGAGTAAGTCCACGCGGGTGGTTGAAGTGTGGGATCTCGCAGGTCGTAAGGAATTTCAATGTCTATATGTCGAGGGGAACTGCTCGATGTTTTTCTTGAATGCGACGCTGTGGTACTCCGGCTTGTACTGGGCCGTTCTGATACGACATTCTTGATTGGTTTGAGACTTTTTGCTTTCTTCAGATTTGAAGTCCAGAATAGCACTTTGTCTTTGGCGATGGACTTTATTGAAGCCCTGGAACTGATGGTGCTATTAATGGAGGGCGTTGCAGACGGAGTGGGGCGTTCCCTGGCTTTCCTCTCTCTCCTCTCGCCAACTTTTTCCACACTGGCTTCGGTCCAAGAAAGATCCGCAGAGAACATGCTGAGTGCTGACCAGATGTGGGAGGTTACAGCGGCGGTTACGAAGTGAGTGAGGATCAGATTAGAGGGGAACAAAAAGCAAAATGGTGGAGGGACATGCACTCAGAGTAAGAAAAGAATCCAGGCGCGCGCAACTGACAGGCAGGCAAATGGACAACGGTGGACGTGTGATGGGCGATTGCAATGCACCAGGTCCTTTTTTCATAGCAGCGACCAGGTATGCGGGTCACACCCTTCGTATGTGGCTTAATCTTGTTGCTATGCCCAAAAGCTCGAAGAGTAAAAGGGCCAAACCTTACAATATGGAGTAGCGCGCGGGCTGCGGTACCATGATGCAGGATGAAAAGACCACCAAGTGCACCCTGGAATGCTGCGGAACCCAAACCGTCACTAGAGTTTCAGTCTACACGTGGACTGGGTGGGACACGTCGTACTGCCGCGCTCGAAAACGACAAAATCTCAGTCGAAAAAGAAAGCGCCCACGACGTACAGGGAGCTGGAATGCCCGGGTCTCTGCCTGAAGCATCGTCAGTCTCTTTACTGTACATAGTCCTGTCACCCCAAGTGATTCAACCATGCTTTTTCTTTCGTCGAGGTCTAATGAGTCGGCAACACAAACTCGAGCGAGGGCTTTCTTCTAGTGAATGGATATCTGCATACATGCATGCAACATCGCCGATTCACACCAACCGGCCGAACAGTAAAAAGGGCGAGGCTGCGAGAGACGGCCAGGTCGCTGCAGGTCTGCAAGACCAGACCACACCGGGTACACTTCTCTACTCCCCCCTTCCCCCCCCCCCCCCATCGTGAACCCTACCTGAGCAAGACCAGCGCGCCGATTCGCCCGGGGGGATCTAGGGGAAACATGCTTTTGTTGCGGGGGGTGTTCTCATGGATCGACGACGCTAACACAGCCTGCGATCGCCGCCTTTGTTCCTGAGGAGAAACTTGACCCCTGACTCGCTTCCCGTAGCCACGATTTCACCAAAAAAGCCACCACTATCTTTTCGTCCCAACTCGGTCGAGGCACGGCGTCACATTAGATAGGTGCAGCTGCAACTTGCAAGCTTTCGACATGGACGACGGGTGCCGTGGCACGTTAGCTTTGGCAGGCATTTGCCCCAATGTCTGCAGTCTCCCCTCATCATTATACAGGCCTGGATCCCCATTGCCGCACAATTGGTGTACTTGAGAGGTCGAGGACTCCCTTACTTGTCATCCGTCCCCTCCTCCGAAATACACGACATCTGACCCTCGCTGATCAACGTTATCTGCATCATTGTTTTGCATGCATTTCATTCACGACATTGCTGTCGCCAATCACCACTTTCTGGGAAATTGACGTGGCTATCAAGTGTCCACTCCCCGACAATCTTGTTCCAACTGATTAGCATCGACCTGACACCCACCTCTCCACATTCGTCTGAATATCCGTCGCCCACCATGGAAACTATACGCAGCACCGTTGAGCACTTTGACAACGCCATGAGCCGATCCACTTTTGGTCGAGTATTCCACCTCACGGGCTCAGGACATGTACAGTGCACACTGCCGATTGTTAACATCAAGGTTTTGCTGATGTCTTTTCAGGACTTTGAAATCCCAAATTCCAAGTTTACAACTGAGATTCGTGCCGGGTTGACATCCTTTTTTACCATGGCGTACATCATCGCTGTCAATGTAGGCAATCCTCGCGAAAACCGCCATCATCTTGCCCTGACTCGAATAGGCCTCTATCCTCTCAGAAACAGGTGGAAATTGCGTATGTAATGATACTACCGGCGAGGATCGGTTTTGCGACAACAACGCAGAATATGCCATTTGCATCCAAGGCAAGATATTCAAACTAGATAGGTTCATACCAACACTGACAAATATATCAGAGTTAAACCGATCTCTAATCACATCCACCGCCGCCATATCAGGCTTTGGTTCATTTCTGTTTGGATTCATGACGAATATGCCCGTTTGCCTTGCGTAAGGACAACACATTTCCTCCGGTCTGCACAGCTCGTACTGATTGAATGAATAGGCCTGGCATGGGATTGAATGCGTATTTGTGAGTGGTTGTTGTTAAATCCAGCTATCGACAAACGTTCTAACAACGTCAGTGCGTATACGATCGTCGGTCACCACGGAAGCGGCGTGATATCCTACAATCTTGCCCTGACCGCAGTCTTCATTGAAGGTTTTGTCTTCGTTGGCTTATCTTTGATCGGCATGAGACAATGGCTCGTCAAAGTCATTCCCGTCTCGCTCAAGATTGCAGCCGCCTGTGGTATTGGGCTGTTCATCTCGGAGATAGGCCTGAGTTATTCTGCGGGGATCGGGGCCATCACCGGGGCAGTCGCGACGCCCCTCGAGATCGCCGGTTGTCCAGAAGCTTATAAAGACACAAACGGGTTCTGTGTCAGCAACAAAATGACAAACCCAACGGTGAGTTCAGTAGCTCATTTCTTTCAGACGCATCTTGATAGACATGGCGGCTGACATTGATTTTCCAGATGTGGATTGGTATCTTCTGTGGTGGTGTTGTGACGGCATACCTGATGTCTTACAAAGTCAAGAGTGCGATGCTGGTTGGCATCGCCTTTGTCACGATTCTCTCTTGGCCGTATGTTATTTATAAAACCAATGCAAGGCATCGACACATGCTAACTCGTTGCTCAGACGTGGCACCTCTTTCACTTACTTCCCTGACAATGAAATCGGCGATAATCGATGGAACTTCTTCAAAAAGGTTGTCGAATTCTATCCCATCCGTACACTAAACGTGTTGGACTGGAACATTACTCAAAATTCTTCCCACTTCGTACTTGCTTTGTTCACATTTCTGTATGTCGATATCATCGATTGCACGGCCACACTATATAGCATGGCCCGCTTCTCGGGGGTCGTGGATCCGGACACTGGAGATTTCCCGAGGTCCACTATTGCCTACTGTACCGATGCTTTCTGTATCTCCATTGGAGCCCTTTTAGGCTGTTCGCCTGTCACTGCCTTCATCGAGTCTGGGGCTGGTATCGCCGAAGGGGGTAAAACTGGTCTAACGGCCATGACTTGCGGCATCTGCTTCTTCCTTTCTATGTTCTTCGCACCCATATTTGCTTCCATCCCACCCTGGGCTACAGGCTGTACCCTGATCCTTGTAAGTAAATCGCGTGGAGATTCCAGTGTTGCTCTCGCTAACCATTGGTCTACAGGTGGGTTGTTTGATGGTCCGCCAGATTGTGATGATCAACTGGAGATATATTGGCGACGCCATCCCCAGCTTTATAACACGTATGTCAATCAATCCTCGCTCAGCCTGTCTAGAACCAATCTAATCAACCCAAAACAATAGTTGTTTTCATCCCCTTCTCATACAGCGCTGCGTATGGATTACTTGCAGGACTCCTCGCGTACGCATCCCTCAACGGCTTGATCTACCTCACAAAGCTCATCACCCGTGGCCGCGTTGTACCCGATGATGAAGACCATCGCGAATACTGGACCATCAAACCGCACGGAAAGCTTCCATGGTTCATCAGCGCTGGCGAAGCCATCGCTTCCTACGTAGGCCATGGCTCTTCGAAAGGAAAACCCATGCGGGACTCGGCTTCGATGATGAGCGGGCTTTCGGAACAGAGGTTCCATCAATTCAACCATGAGCTCGATACTGTCGTCACGGGTTTGAAAGATCCTCGCGAAGAGAAGGTGATGAACCGCAATGACAAGTATTGAGGACAAGGACAGTACAGTGTTGTAGCTAATGGCTAGGTGAAACTCGTACATGCTGGCCTCGCATTTTGTGTTATTGCTGGTGGAGTTACCTTGCCAGGTATTTGCTTGCAAGGCAAGGGACGAATGCATTGTTACGAATCACTGCGCTAAAGCTAAGGAAGATAGGTCGAGTCGGGTGCAAAAGTTTGGTGTTGGCTGGTGGGAGGGGAAGCGGAAGCTTGATACCCCTAAAACACGATGGTCCCTTCCTGGATTGACGAGCTAGAAAAGTAGTTACCGTCGAGTTGGGCTCGGCGTTTGTCGTGGGAACCAAGTGGGGGCAGACCGTTGCCTGGGGCTTTAGTCTAAAGATACTGCAACTTTGTCCATGTAATGTACTCTATCATCACCCATCGCGAAGGTTCAGGCAGGGTAGAAGGGGGAAAAACTCGTGTACAGTGTATACTCCGATATCACCCTCCCCTGACAGAATCAAACTCCACAATTACCAATTACCCTATTTCCAGCTTTCAAAAGTTTCAACTTTCTCATCGAGGACGCACGATAGTCTCTTGTCATGCCACTGCAGTAGTCTCCGTTCAAACCCCCCTCTGAACTTTAGAGGCATGTAGACAGGCGTCAGTAGACATGTCGTCTGATTCAATTTGTCTCTAATTTAGCCTGCATGCACGCACATATGCAAGACCATCCGGATGGTAGATAACCTGTAACACAGAACAAAAGCAAGCCTCCCATCCATCGCCTGACATTTTTCGCCAAATGATGCTTCTCCACGCGAGTCCAACGGCTTTCTGCATATCGTTCCGAAACCCCCCGGCTAAAGATACCTGACCTCCCGATCCCAGCATTTTGCTGCAGTGCCCTAATCTGACCAACACTTTGCCGTGTCTTGGTCAGGAATGACGAGTCAAAGACATGACCTTCCACACATGCGGAATATCTCAGCTCGCCCTTTGGAGATGAAACATCAAAGAGGAGGAGGAGGAGAGAAGGATTCAGGCCCAGATGCATAGGGTCAGAGGGGTATGCACGCCTACACGGCGACACGCGCGCATACGCCGTATTCGGCAATGCCCACAATGAACACATGGAGGCATAGAGTTTCACGCCGTCACTTTTTTCAGTATACACTTCCCCTTGCGCGGCGCGGAACTGTCCTAGGCTGAACTCTGTGTGGAGCCCAGCCCCTCGATACACATTCTTTTTGACTTTCCAACTACGATAGCGGTTCGGTTCCTATGCTCCGGCCTCGTACTTGCTTTTTCGCTGTGCAGGTACCGTTCCGCAGATATCCTATTCCCTCTTCTTCCGTCGCCCTCGAACGACAGGCCCCTAGACTTGCTTCATCCGAGCGCCTCGAGCGCTTTTTCTTTTTTTTTTTTTGGAGGCTTTTAGCGGAAGCTTTGAGCTCAAGGCAATGCATATGCACAGGAACGTTCCCACAATGCGCTCTAGAACGTATTCCTAGATGGGAAGGTGGCGTAGGGCTGTCGGCTTTTCTTTTCTTCTCTTCTCTCAAAGTCATCGGCAATCACTGCAAATTTCTTTTCCTCGCTTCGAGCACGATCCGAGAAGCTCAACAAAACCGACTTCTATATCAGCCTCGAATGCAATCGGAAATCAGAAGCCGATAGAGATGTATCGACTCAACAGCCCTAAACATCAGTAAGGTAAACCCCCGAAACCAAAAATAGAGACACACGACCTCGGACAACTACTCCAGACCGATGGATAGCTTTAGATCTGGCTAGCCATTGAGTCTAGTCAGCATCAACTCGATGATTTGAGTTTCCAATCGGTAGTCAGCCGGTCCGTAAGGTGGACTGGATACTTTGCACCCTGTCAACGCATCATCTACCAGCCAGACCAGCCTAGATACAAACTTTCCCAGTTAAGACACACCAACATTGTCCTTTCTTTTTTGGTGTCACTTTGATTCTCCTGTTACACGAGACCACTTTTTCCACCAATGCGAGCATCACTGCCTCCTTGCTTGTTTCCCTGTGATTCTGTATACACCCATATGGGACTGGATTATGCGAGTTGTATGTCCAAGCTCAACGGCGAGGAAATGTCACACTGCGTATATCATTTCCGTGGTAACTTCTGTCGAGCTTGAACAGTGAGATGAGACGGCAGGTGTGCCCCTATTCTCCCTGTTCCACCCCGTGGTAAAGAGCGATCGGGGTGTCACAAAAACGGCCAACACGTCGATGTGTGAGAAGTGGGCCGAAGGACGAAGCGGCAGTGATTCATACCAGCAGGGTGATGGAGGCAAAAAAGTAAATCCTCGCACCAAACTTCATCATTCTTCCTGTTCACCGGTCGTAACCTGATTTTCTGCACGATCAGTAGATGAAGATATTAGTCCGGCATAGTGCTGGGGGGAGATGAGGTTGTGTTGGCGGGAACGGGAGCACATGTTGTCCCACTTGATGCAGTCGGTGTAGAAGAGGAATAAAGAAAAGGGGAGCGTCATATTCGCTCACCGCTCTTGATACTCATTACGAGCAATGCGACACAGACGAGTAAAAAGGCCCCCCACAACTGTAGCACAGATAACGGAGAACCTTGGTCCAACCGTTTTGTGTGCTCCTCGAGAGGAGCAGTGGCGTTATGCAGATGAAATGTTTTCTGGAAGGTAACACAGCCAAGTGTCGCATGTACCACCATCCATCTATCTTGCGACGGTGAAACCAATGTGATGAATGTTGGCCATATTCTGGCTAGGGCTTTGTAGCTTGAGCTAATCAATAAAAGATGTTTGGTACGATCTGTATAGTCCCTTGATCGTGTCTAGATTGTCAAAAAGGAACGAAATCTAGTATGTTGGACTGAATCTTCAGCTTCCTCACTCACCCGCTCCTTATATTTAAAGATTTGACCTTGGGTTCGTATCTGAATCCAGTACAATGGGTCAAAGAGAAAACGATCTTGGAGATCTTACGACATAGAGGGTGTTGGTGCTATCGGAATAAAGCACTTGTCTTGGGAATGCCCAAATAAGACGCGAGATGATGTGAGATGAGTAAGACTGGGAGCCATGGGCCGCTGCGTGTGGGCGGTCAACATACATGCAGGACAAGGACTTCATACAAGGTAGATAGGCTTGATCTACACTGGGTATATTATTCGATGGGTAGGCATTCAACCACCCATTCGGAATGTAACTACTTTACTCATAGCTTTTAAGACGACCCCAAATCTGAGAACAAGGCTGCCTGATTGTAATCCCAAAATCACACTTCGACATTATGAGCGGGATTACAATGGAATTGGAATCCAAGCGAGAACCAAGGCACATTGCTTGCGCAAGATGTCGCGAGAGAAAGGTCAAATGCGACGGAGCCACACTAGGTTGTGGGAGATGTAAGAACAGCGGTGCATGTTGCCAGTACGTAAGAAGCAACAAAAGAGGGAGAAACAAGATGGAATGGAAGCGACATACAAGAACAATCAACTTTCATGTTGGTATGAGGAACCCATAGAATTGTATCTCAATGCGTGCGTCTAAGACAGCTAAACAGACAAAACCACGAAACCGAAGAAGGGACCAGTACAGGCGCTGGATCATCTATTAACACATACGACCAACCGCGGCCCGACGATCATGACGACACGTGCAGATGGCTCATCATACTACGGAAGTCCAGTAGAGTATACATCCGCAGCCGCCGACAATAAGCTTTTTTCAGCTCAACACGGGAGTCTACCTGCGCGGACAACAAACACGTCCTATAATATGACACCCACCCATCCCGTGCTATCGAGTGCCCTCAACCCCCCCTTTATGGATAATTTCTTCGACGTCGATCCGCTCAACCAGACGCTGTTCGTCACTGTCCCTGACAGTGACAAGTATTTGTGGCAGTATTGTGCAGCACCTTTCCTAGATATGACTTCGGAGGGATTCGATCGAGCAGGCTATCTTGGGTTCTGAAAGTAAAGATCTTTCGACTTTAGTGGTCTGCCTTGGGGTGTATTGTCATGGTTGTACTGATCATCACATCACGACTTATCGAACAACAAAACCAACGCTTGATCATTTGAGGCGATATGTCCAAACAGGACGAGTACAACAAATCATACTTTTCAATTCAATGTACTCGGTGTTGATAGCTCATACTCCATATATCTTCGAGTTCATACTTGTACACCAAACTCTGGCCAAAACCCACTGGTTCAGGCATACACACTAGATCCTTGCAAGATGAAAGCCGTGGTCTACTACCCTCTAAGAAAACCATCAATCCATAGAGACCTTCTGGTCTTTCTCTGTCGGTGTACTTGGAGGAAGAATTTGGCTATCAAAAAGAGTAGCCGAGATCCTGTGGTTGGGTTGGTGCAAAGTATCGTTGTCCCTGCATAAATCTCTAGTGATGATGTAGAAATTCTTCGATTGGTGGAGTGAGCCCATTTCTCATCAACCCATGGGTACCTTCCCTTCCCAGATCTAGGTCTTGTTCGTATATAGGAATCTGATCCTTTTCCCGGATTTTGCTTCCTGGGTAAGAGTGTACTTCCTCTCCGACATGCGGTGCTGATGATATGATACCTATGCTGGTCTGCAAATTCGTCAGTGGTTGGCTTATTGACTTGCAATTTGGTCGGTAGTGGAAGCGTACTCGAAATTATCGTCTGTTGGTGAAGAAACAGGTATGACAAAATCTGTAGCGGCGTAATCGATAATGTTGGGGTCTATTGGTGGGATTCTCGTAGATCTTGGTGGTATTGCTCTTCTTGTTGCTGTCGCTGATGTTGAATGTGGTGATGATGTGTGTTGTGATGAAGGAATGGAAGAAGTGGACGTCTCACTGACTTCAACCATTTTATCACCCTCCACACGCACTTCCCTGTCTCTCAAGCGCCTCATAAGCTGCAAAAATTGACTGTTCTGAAACTTAGAACTTGTATTGTCCGCGACGCGTTCCAACAATTGTCCTGCTGTCTCCGCTATTTCGTCATTGTCATGGGGAGGCTGAGGCACATCCTGTGTTTTTTGTTCTGAGTTCTCGGGCTGGTGAGTGATCTGTCCCGCCAGCGGGCCCCGAGTGTATCCGGCAGCTTCCAACTCTCTCCATAATTCTTCAGAACCCATAGGCACAGGGGAGGAATGTAGCGGATATGTCGACATGAGTCGTTCGTTGATGGCTCTGACCAGACTTTCAGCTCGCAGCGTAGACTCTTGTGATTGCCCTTGTGAAGCTATCGTCCGCAAAGTGTCCGCGATCCACCGACCCTCTGGAGCGTCTTGGATCAAAGTGCTGTTCTTCTCCAAGTTATCCATCAAGTCGAAGTATTTCTGGGTATCATCGGTCTTCCCCGTGTCAATAGCGCTTCGAATTTTTAGGACTGCGTAAACACCTATAGAAACGGGTTAGTACTAGCGATCTGTGTGTGTAGATATTAACAAACCCACCAGGTCGCTGTTCTCGAAGGCGCTGCAGTGCAGGCTCCTCAGCTTCCTCCATCGTCGTGTTCTGCTCACGAAGAGTTTGAGTGTTGGTTATTGCCGCCTCATCAATCATGTCTTCCTGGGCCTGCGCAAAAGCCTGTTCGAAGGCAGCTTCATCAAACTGTGGAACTTGCTCCTCAACTCTTTGTTTGCCCTGAGCGACGCCACCCATGGCGTGTTGATAATTAGGTTGCGCAAAGCCGCCGTTCATGCCATAACCCATTCCCGTAAAACCATTCCGCTGCTGCTGAAGTATTGGTGCTTGCACAGGATTTGCCTGCTGCATCATGAAGTCTTGATGCCATGACGCCGATGACGCGTTCGAAGCTGGTGCGCGGTGTTGCTGCACAGCAGGTGGTGTATGTGTCGGGGCAAGATTAAGGCGTTGAAAATCGGAGGCCCAGTCGGGAGCATACGGTGATTGCGGCTGTGCGAATTGTACTTGAGGTTGGGCAAATTGCGGAGGAGGGAAGTGGTTGTGGAGACCTTGCGACTGCTGCGGCAAGGGCACTGCCTGGCCAGCCTGGAATGCTTCGAATTCCGCATCTAATGCGCCTGGCGGTCCCGAAGACGAGCGGAAACCCTACAGTCACATAGAAAGTATCAGTTGAGGCTCTTCTTCCTGTGGTCTGCAATTTGTCTATTGCGCCGCATAAGCTTTGGAGACTTGCCTGCGACGGTGAATGTCTTCCGACAAGGCGATCTTGTTGCAACGTCCGATCTACGGACGTGTGTTTCTGAAAGCTCTGGAGAGCATTGGAGGGACCACAAAGAGCATCTGCCATTATTCTCTTTTGTTTTCCCGGATAACGAGAACAGAGAACTGTAAGAAATGGTGACGCTGAAAGCACGAGGAAGTTAGATGCAGCTGGGATGCGGGACGACCCTGTGATGGAGAAGCCGAGGCACACGGAACGAACTGTCACGTTAGCGGTTCGGCTGGATGTTCTCGTTCTCGGTGGTCCGAGATTAGGTTCCTTTCACGCTGCGCTTGCTTTAACCCGACCAAACATCAGCAGCATTGTGTCATCATCTGACCTTCTAGAGAGTGGCAAAACACGAAAGTCAGTCATGTCCTGAACTCATAGCCGAGGAGGCCGCGCTCAGACGGTGTGTCCAAAGACATCTTCGCGACATGCACAGTTCTGTGTTGTCAGCTTTCACTGACATACACACAATATATGTTTTCAAGAAAAGAAAGGAATCAAGCATTGGGGGGAAACGTGACTGGGCTTACTGCATAGTACTTGAACAAGATAATATCTATGATCTTCGCTATATGTGCCTAAGTTCCACATGTGCACGAAGGACTGGGTGGAGATTAAACCATAACGAATATATCAAGTGAAATGATAAACACAAGTTCAGATCCGCAACCAAAACAAAGCAAGAACAAACGAAATCCTTCCTAACATATCACTCATCTCTTCATTGCTCATGGCGATACTCCAAAATCATGGCACTCATCCTGCGATACTAGTTACCGAGCCCCAACTGCTTGCTCAATAAAACATCTCCTTGATTCCAACGACCCTCTTGGGTGGTGAGCTTCGACGGCGCGAGGGTGAACGCGATACAGACTTTCTTCTCCTCACCCATGCATACTCAGGTTTACTGTGATGATCGTGACGCTCCTCGATGAGAAGACGCGATCCGCCGCCCCTTGTACGAAGGCGGCGGGTGTGTTCGAAAAGCACTTCTGTGTCTCTAGGTTCCATCTCCTGGAGGATGACTATGTAGTCGGGATTGGTCTGCTCGAGATTAGTGTTTGTGACAATGAATGCACCACCTAGAATACGGGTGTAGACTTACTCTGTCAATTTCGTAGGGAATATCATAATACACCAAAGTATCGACCGCCAAATGCTCTTTGTGGACCTTGACATAGGTCGGTTGATGTCCTAGCCGCAAGGGATTCGCAGGTGACTGGCCTTGCTGGAGTTTCTTGGCTTCTTCGGGTCTGATCATGGCTTGAATTTGGTTCTCTTGGAAACCAAAATGCGCTAGTCGGTGACGCATCTCTTCCTCGAGCTCCTTTTCTTTCTTTTCCTTCTTCTCCTTCTCATCCTGTGCAATCTGCTTCTGCTTGAGCAGGAAACGATCGTACTCCTCCTTTTCTTTCTGTTTACGCTGCTCTTCTTCGATCTTAAGCTGCATCAGGAACCTTTCTTTTTCTTCCTTTGCCTTGGCCGCATCGGCGATTTTCTTCGCCTCGTGTTCGGCCAAAATACGATCGCGTTCAATTTTGGCCTTGAGCTCTTGCTCGGCTTTCTCTTTGTTGTACTGGTCAACCGCTCGTTGCTGTGCCTCTTTGGCCTCGCGTGCAGCTTTTTCCATCTTGGCCGTGTTTTCGATGATGATCCTCTTGCGCTCCTCTTCTGCCTCACGCATAAGCTTCTCTCGCTCGCGGTCTTTCTGATCTCTCTTTGCATTCTCCTCGGCGATGATACGCTTACGCTCAGCTGATCGCTCCCTGTCGCGTTGGAGTCGCTTTCTCTCTTCTTGAGACAGCTTATGCTCCCACTCTCTCTCCAAGCGCTCGCGCTCGGCCGACTTCTCGCGCTCCCGATCCATTCGCTTGCGTTCTTCATGACTCAACCTCAGCTCCCATTCCCTCTTCATGCGATCTTCCTCGAGTTTGATGCGAGCTTCTTCCTCGTCTCGTTCGTGCCTATCTTTGAGATATTTCAGCTCCATCCGTCGCTTGATGAGTTCCTCTCGCCTCTCATTCTCTATCCTCTCTTCTGTCTCTCTCAAACGCTGGTTGGCTTGCTCCAGCTTGTATCGTTCGAGATCACTGGCGTGTATATCGCCATGATGGTGATGCATATGAGGGGAGGAACGGGACCGCGATCGGTTCTTCCTCACTTCATGTCGGACGCGGTCTTCGATCTCATCATCCAGATCCCAACCTCCAGGAACTCTGCGAGTGCGGCCTCGCGGACTCAGGTTCGGACTCTTTTGCTCCGTGCGGATGTTTGGATTCTGATCATTGTCCATGCGGGTGGTGTTGTAGATAGTCACATTTGGCTGCGGCGAGTTTCCTTGGGATCGGGATCGGTGATGACTGTACTGGACGTGGTTGTGGGGGTTGAGGAAATCGTCACGGACTCTTCGAGTAGGGAGCGGGGGTGCCGCTGCTCCACTGACATGGCGAACGCCGCGGGAGTACCACTCATCATCCTGGTCCCATTCATCCCATTGACGAGAGGAGGCCATGCTGACTAGGAGCTACGGTTGTTAGAGGCCTAGGTTGAACGGGTAAAAGAGGAGGGCAGGTGTAAGTTGGGAAGCCAAAAAAAAAAGATGGCGGGGTTGGTTTGGGGGATTGGGCGAGCTGAGTGTTGTATGATTGAGGCTGAAATGCGGCTAGCAAAGTGGGGAGTTTGTATGTGTATATGTTTGTGCGGGGATGAGTTGGGAGCAAACACAGGCAGGCGGCCAACAAACGACAATGAATGAAGGTGCAAAACACAGGCGAAAGCAAGGATGCGGAGGGGAAAAGAGGAGGGAGAAGGAGCAGCGCGATGGAGGTTCGGAAAGAAATCAGTCGGACAGACAGACAGTCAGTCAGTCGTCGAGGGCATTTGGGGGCCAAAGAAGCGCAATGGTCAGCAGCAGCGTCACGACGGACGGCCAGGCAGCTGCCGGTGGGTGTTGGGGCTGAGGCCGCATTTTATGAGCTGGCTGGTCTTGTGGGTCGTCACGATTGTCTTGCACACTGCTTGCTACGTCTGCTGAAACCGCATCTGCTCTGCGAAACGCAGTTTGGGAGGATGCATGTGCGTGCGAGCGGGCGGGCGCTTGTTTTTGCTGTGGTGTGTCCTCTACACCCAGCGACATGATCTCGTACACGCGACCTCGATTGGGTACATGGATGGGGGGGCGGGTATACGAGGGGTAAGTAACAGCTCCCGCGCGCGAGAACGAGCCAGGCCGCGCCCTTTTCCGCTGCATGCATACCTAAGTACTTATGATAACTAACTATCCCAAGTACTTCCTACGTTTATGTGCATGCAATGGTAATATGGTGGTAAAGGCACGTAAGCGATGCGCGAATGATACATGAGCATGACGGTACACGATGACTTGTGCAGCCTGCAGATGACTGCTCGTCGACTCCTCGCCGAGACCGCCCTTCGCCACTTCAGCGGTTCCTCCCACACTTCAACACACATCTTGGAATCACAATATTCGGTTGAGCCGAAATCCGTCCCTTGGCCGGCTGGCTACCTCGACAGTGGGTCGGATGAGTATTGCATCTGAATCTGCATCATATCATGGTTTGCAGCAATATCACTCTCGCTGCTTACCGCTTGATCATATATGTACATAATGATTGGTAGGGGCGTGACCGCAGTAGTAATGCATATACTTTTCGTCGACCCTTCCAAACCAAGTCGTTCTGCCGGCTTTGTCTGATCGAGAAATGGCCGCTCGTGTCTTGAACGGCAACAAGTCACATGCCCATCGTTTCCCTTCAATCATGAATGCACCGTCTCTTGGGCCTTCTGTAACAATCGTCCAGGAAAAGAAGCACCGCAATCCCATCTCAACCTCCGCCAGCCTTGAGAACCTGCTCTAGGCTGCTTTTACTGTTCTGATACGTCTTCTCCAAGTAGTCCTCCTTCTTGTCCAGGTTGGACAAATCAGTCTTTAGTTTGTCACTTTCACTTGCCAGCCTCTTCTTTACATCAGGAATTGGCGTGCAGACAAACCTACGTCAAATCCCATTAGCCTTCTACACAGAGCATGGGGAGCCCAAGTAAAACAAGATAAACACATACATTTTGCCCACACCCTCGTAAACCTTGGTGTCCTGTGGGAGAGAATCCACTTCGCTTTCCGTCAACTGAATCAGTCGGCTTTCCCGCGTGTTGCTGACTTTCTGTTGCTTGACGATGAGGAGCTGCTGCTCGGCAAAGGCCTTCTTCTGCCCGATTTCTTGAAGAATCTGACACCACGCACATGGTTAGCATTTCTCTTTGCTCGAAGCGGAACGAAAAGTCAACCTTCGCCTGGAGGAAATTGCATGGCAAAGGGAGCAACACACTTTTTGAAGGGCTTCGTTAGGTATCGACATGACGGGCGTTTGAATGCTGGTGGATCTATTCGTGAACGGAGTCGCCAAGTGTGTCTTGATGGAGCGTGTCTATAATTGTACGAGGGAGAAACACAGACTTTGTCGGCTACATAGCTTAGGCCTGCCAGCAGGGGAGTGACTCGAGTGCACGAGCCTCCGTATCGACTAAACCGTATTTGCTTGCGTAGCGCAATAGGCTCATTGCAGTGAGCTGATTGGCTGGCTGAACTATGAGATGAATACTCCTCCAACATGCAAATGCCTGGAAACTATGAATTCTATCGATCCCCATGTTACTCACGCATTCGATAGGCTGGCAACAGAAAGTCGGATTTCTGATGGGCGCGAGTAAGAGCTTGGGGGTATATCTGGTGTTGTACGTAGCTTCAAAAAACTGTGTAGGTAAGCAAGTGATGACGAATGCGGTAACTAACGTGTACATAGACATGGAAGGCTCGGGCACTACTACGTCAACAAACACCCATAGACATTCACTGAACAGAATCGCTTGGTTGCTCTCTTCGTACTCTACCGTCACCTCCGTCTTTGACACTATCGGCTCGAGCTGTGTCGAGTCCACTCATTCACTCTCCACGCCAGTTATCTGTGCCGATCCAGATCAAGCATCCGCGCATCCGGGCCGTGAACAAACCCGCCCAAATAACATTCTGCCCCTCATCGCTTGAACAGCATTTCTCTGTGCCTCCATCGAGCTTTCCTGCGCCAATAGAGTCACAATGGCTTCTGGGTTGCTTTCACATTTGCCTTCCGTTCCATACCCTCCTTCTCAAGCAGGACGATGGTCACCTGTGACCTCGACCATCAATTGGTGCGAAGAGGTATATAGTCGCAGACACCCGCCAATTGGCTTGTTCACTAACCACGAAAGCAGGATTATTATGCGACGGTGTATTCGGCTGAAGTCGTCAACACACTGACCAATCTGCTATTCATGTACCTTGCTGCGAAAGGCATCTACAGTTGCGTCAAAGACGAGCACGATAAAGTGTTTATAGTAGCATACATAGGATATTTATTAACTGGTACCGGATCTTTCTTCTTCCATTCGACGCTCAAATGTACGTTTCGCTTTCCCACGGTCTCCGAGTAAATGCTCGCCCGTTTGTTATCTTTGAACGATTGGAGACATGGCATTGACCTTGTATCCCACAATTACTAGACCCCATGCAACTCATTGATGAGCTCTCCATGATCTACACGACTTGTCTCATGAACTACGCCACCTTCTCATTCTCTCGAACCCCCCGCTTCCGCCTCGCCCTTGCCTCGGGCCTAACCTTTTTGGCTCTCTTCATCACCCTTTACTACCATTATCTTCAAGACCCTACGTTTCACCAGATCACCTACGCGATTCTTACTATCATTGTCTTCTTCCGTGCTGTCTGGGTCATGGAAGTCAATATGCGGCCTAGGTTCAGGAGAAACCGGAAGAGCGAGGACAGTAGCAGTTTGCGGTCGAACAGCGTGAGAGTGGGTGCCGAGAAAGCGGAGTTGGAGAGGGAGGATGAAAGGGATCGAGCTATCTTACGGTACGTTTTCTGGTACACAGATGAGACTTCATCATCCAAACTGATGATCCATTGAGTCATCCTCTCTGAAAAATCACTGACGGTGTATCACTCCCTTTTAGGCAGATGTGGACCATGATCGCCTGGGGGCTGAGTATTTTCCTGGGCGGTTTCCTGCTCTGGCACCTGGACCGTGAGCACTGCCATACGCTTCGGAATTGGCGGCGCCAGATTGGTATGCCATGGGGTTTCTTTCTGGAGCTTCACGGGTGGTGGTATGTTCTTTTCGCGCTGTCACAGCATCCAAGGCGCTGCTCCGTATACTGATCAATTGACTCAGGCACATCATGACAGGCACTGGAGGGTACTTTTACATCGTATGGTGTACGTGGCTGAGACACTGTCTGAATTACAGGCAGGACGACTACGAATTGATCTGGCCGCGTTGGCTTTCCATGCCTGTCGTATCACGGCAATGTCGAAGCAGAGGCACAGACGATCATGGTATGCACAAGTCGAAGAAACAGATATGAAGGACACTTGCACTCTTGTTGGTCTTCTGCATCCCTCTTTGGCTGTTGGCTTAGTCTATCATTTGTTTTGCTACCACATCAAGTACCTTGAGCCAGTACGGTAGACGTATATGTTTTTTCTAGAACAACCTACAAAGAAACCTTTAAAAAACCTAGAAAAGCTAGTAAGAGATTACTATATTCGTATTCAATCTCTCGACATCTTCATCACTGTTCTTCCCAAGAAACTGTGCGCGAAGTGATAATTACTCTACTTCTACACTCCTATTTCTACATATCCCTTCCAAGCACTTATGAGCCACCCATTGCTGGTGAATTGCAGCAAAACATTGCATTCCCAGACCTTGTTTTCCTCCGGAGGTAGCTGAACAAGAGACAGAACAATGGCGCTACACAAGCTGACCAGTGCATATACGTCACGCCAAACCAGTGCAATACTAAAGAAACAAGAGAATTCGACAACGGCTGACCGTACATACAAATGGAATCATGGCGTGGTGTGTCAGGCTGTTGAGTGCTAAGATTAAGCAGACGTCTTTCCATGCTTACGCTGGTACTCCTCCCTTCCCGCCTGTGCTTCGTCTTGATATTTCTGCCAAAGTTAGCCTCTGATTGCAAATGACATTCTTAAGACTATGCGTCACACACCTTCTTCTCGGCAGCGCTAAGGCTATGCCATTCTTCACCAAGAAGCTTCGAAGCATCAGCCGATCTAACGTGCTTGAAATCACCAGACGCTCTACGCTCAAGGGAGAAGCGGATGTAAGCGGTCTGTGGGCGCCTCGGGATACGTTCGTCTACCAGCTTTATCCACCGTGAACTGTTGAGCTTGCGCCTCAAAGCTGCGCGCGCAATATTAGCTGCCCCAATCTGCTCGGGGGTGTATTGGAGAACCCAGGCCTTGTATTCGGCTCGTCCGGCAGCAGTCCTCTCATTAGCCAGGTGGGTGTAATGCTGCATTGGAGTCAGATAGATCATGCAAAACTGTAGTTTGAGAACTTGCCTCCATTTCGGCAGGGGTCAAGGCCTTGTATTTTGCACCCAACTCTTTGGCTTGCTCAACGATTGAAGTGCCATCCTTCTTGAAATTCTCGCGATAGAACATCGCATATACACCAGTTCTATAAGATGGTTGGCACGGAGGCTTGAGTGCCTTCTTCTTCAACTCGCGGATTACTTCTTTTTCCTTTTCCTCGGGAGTAAGCTGCTTCTTCTTCTTTACGACGCGCTTTGGCTTTGCAGCCGGTTTAGCTCGCTTCGTGGCAGCCTTCTTGGTAGTGGCCGTGGTGCCGGTCTTCTTCTTCGGCGTTGTCTTTGCTGACGGCTTGCTGGCAGCTGCCTTTTTGACATCGCGCGTCACTTTAGCGGTGGGCTTCGTGGCACGCGCTTCAGTTGCGTAAGAACGTCGATATGGAAGGACGATGGTGCGGTGAGCACGCGTACGGCCAGTGAAGGTGGGAATAATAAGACCATTGCGGGATATGAAACGGTTCCGGATAATGTGAGTGGTTCGCGATAGCTCGTGTGTTGTCTTGTGAACGTCGGCTGCCACGCGCGCGACGACGCTGCGGGCTAGCATGGTGTTTGTTTTGGGAGATAGGACAGATACTGCCAAGGTTCGAAAGTGTTCCGACGCTTATAGCGAACGGATGGCAAGGTTGGATGGATGGCAATTGGAGCGCGGAGTGGAGCAGAGTGAAGGGGAGGGCAACAGGAACAGGAACAGGAACAGAAGCAGGAAGAGAAGCAGGAGGCTGGGGCCAGCTGCATGCATGTGGTGGGTGCTGCACACCTACGGAGCTTTCCATGTTCCTCGCCTATTAGCCTTGTTTGCACTTTACCCGATTAGTCGGAGGAAGCTGACATGCACGTTTCACGTCACGACTGGTCACAACCCACGACGGGCTCGCTCAAGGTACATACATATGGGAATACGGGCACACCATCGACATCACCAATGCTCTGCTCAATTCAATTCGGATCTGTTGTATTGTCGCTCTTTTGTTAGACGTGCCATTATATACAGCCTACATTTCTATGCAGGAACTTTGTAACTGCCTCGTGTTAGTTGGGTCCAGTTCATGTTATAGTGGGAACGTACCTCCAAGCATGCTCCTCGTCGCCATACTGGATACCTTCCATCCAGTCTTTCATCTGCTGTGCAATAGGCCCAGCTTCGATCTTCTCATCGAGCCCGCACTCTACGAGACGCCCTTTCCAGCTGATACGACGAACAGGGCTGACAATGGCGGCGGTGCCGGTACCGAATACCTCCATCATGCGACCTTCGTCAGCAGCGTCGGCGAGATCCTTCATGGTGAATTTGCGCTCGTCGACTTTCCAGCCTTTGGGCTCAAGTCTCTCACGCGCAAGGCCGAGTACAGAGTCCCTAGTGACACCCTCGAGAATGGTTCCGTCAAGCGGGGCAGTCAACAGCTCCGGCTGACCAGTCTGCTTGTTCTTGATAGCGGCGAACAGATTCATAGTGCCTACCTCGGTTACGTATTCCTCCTCACCAAAAAGCCATAGGTTTTGGTGGAACCCTCTGCTCGCTGCTTGCATCTGAGGCACAATGCAGGGTGCGTAGTTGGCTCCCAACTTTTTGTCTCCAACGCCACCAGGCCATGCGCGCACAGCGTAGTCAGTTGCCTCCAAGGATACTGCTTTGAAACCGGCTGGAAAGTATGGACCAACCGGAGACGCGATTACGTAGAGAAGAGCGGAAGCAGGTGGGCCAACGCCAAGTGTGCGCTGAGTGCCAATGATGGTGGGCCGGAGATATAATGAATAACCACGCTGACTGCCGGAACGTCAGTGAGGAAGTCAACGACACACGCTCGCAGCTGTGTAGACCTACTCTGGAATGAACCGCTCATCGAGCTTCACAAACTTGCCGATGAGATCGGTTAAGGCGTCTCCGTCGAAGGTAGGCAGAGCGATCCGGGCAGACGATTTGTTCAGTCTCGCCATGTTCTTTTCCGGTCTGAATAACCGAATAGACCCATCCTTGTTCTTGTACGCTTTCATTCCCTCGAAGCATTCGAACGCGTAGTGGAACACGCAGGTCGCGGGGTCGAGACTGAGATTTTGGTATGGAGTGATGCGACCCGGTAGCCATCCTTCTGAAGCCGTCCATTCGAGCGAGAGCATATGATCTAGAACACTGTTTAGCTCAGTCTGAAATTAGGTGCGGTTGTGGTAGCTTCTTACCTGTGAAGTTGCGGCCAAAGATCAATTCTTCCGGAGGGAGTAACGTCTTGGGAGTTGTGGTTTTAGTGATGGTGAGCTTAGAAGGATCGATGTCTTTGATCGAAGTTCCTACAGAAGCATCGGCGTGGATGCTGTATGCGCGCTGACTCCGACATCGCAGTGACGCAGCAACTGGAGCTGTGAAGGCGCGAGACGAGCAACGAGAGAATGAGGCCAATATGCGCGACGATGGCTGTTGTAGCATGGTGGAAATCAGTGCCAATGCCTGGCGCCCCGGAAAAAATGCAGAAGTGTGTGGTGGAGGAGAGCGTAGTATTGAGCAATGTTTCTGGTATGAGGTTGCCAGCGCTCTTTAAACGAGCCGAAACTGACTGTTCGCGACCCCGAAAAGGTGCTGGCGCCAATCGGAGCGTCGCTGGCACACGGAAGGGCGTGCTCAATGTCAATAGCTCATTAGGGAATTGTACGGATATCTGGGGTTATCGGCGCACCAGGATCCATGACTTCCAGTATCAACATGCACAAGATCTATACTTAATCAGATGCGTGGTTATTAAGCAGGTAGGTATCGTTCTACAATGTGACAATGATGCGCGTGCAGACACCACTCCAGAGCTGGTGGCTTAGTCATAGGTGTCTCCTTCCCTGCGCCCTTACTTGCCTGCCTCGATGCTGCCTTCCAACCATGTAATGTCATTGCCCGAGCAAGACGTCGCGGGGTACATGTGCCTGCCTCTTTCCTCTCCTTCTTTGTTTTGCTCTTTACACGGCACTATATACAGCTTCTAAGGTCGCTCGACTCCCCTTCCCCCCCGCCACGATTCTCCCTGCGGGCTAGAACCACACCGGTAGCCGATGCCACCGTTGTCAGTCCAGTGTACCACCGCGTTGGCGATCCGAACAACATGTTCTCCAAGTTCGCGTCCGACTTATCCAAATCTTTCAATTCCAACATCAACACCAATTATACACTGAGCCCCGAGCCGACATCGTTTTCTGGACCCTGGAAAATCCACGATGCTAAGAAGAAATCCACGAAGAAGCCCGTGTCTGTCTTCGTATTAGAACGGAAGGCACTAGACCCTCCGGGCGGGGGCAGTCTGAGTGGTCGATCTTCTGGCGCGTCAGGCCTCAAGCGTGCACAGGAAGAGGTGGTGGAGAGGCTGAAAAAGGAGGCCAGCTCGCTGGCCCGCCTGAGACATCCGAGTATTCTCGAGTTGGTCGAGCCAGTGGAAGAGACACGAGGTGGGGGTTTGATGTTCGCCACAGAACCTGTCACTGCTTCACTTGCTGGGTTGCTTCAGGAAAAAGATGAGCAAGAAAAAGCCGGCGGAGTAGGAGGTCGTCGTAGTAGATACGTGGTCGAGGAAACCGATGGGCAGAAACGACGACGGGAATTGGAAATCGACGAGCTCGAAATACAAAAGGGACTTTTGCAAGTTGCCAAAGGTCTGGAATTTCTGCATGAGAGTGCCGGTCTCGTACACGGAAACCTTACCCCCGAGGCTATCTTCGTAAATGCTAAAGTAGGCAATGTCATTCTTCATGCTCCAGCTGTGCTTATACTGATATCTGTGACAGTCGGACTGGAAAATATCCGGTCTTGCGTTTTGCACCCCTCCCGAGAATTCAACTAAGCCTACCTCTGTAACTCCGATATCCCTTTCTGAAGCCCTCAACCACGACGCGAGATTACCCCCATTCGTTCAGCTCAACATGGACTATACCTCCCCCGACTTTGTCATGGATGGAAATATTACACCCGCAGCGGATATGTTTTCGCTGGGAATGCTCATCATCGCCTTGTACAACTCGCCACATAGGAGTCCTCTGGAATTCCACGGTAGCCAGTCTTCCTACAAGCGAGCCTTTTCTTCGGCTTCTTCAGTACCAAACAAGACCAACAATTTCATGTGTTCGCAATCGATGCCTCGCGACGTGGTGAATGGGGTGCTGGACCGTCTCATTACAAGACGCGCTGCCCAGAGATTGAACGCGCAGGAATTCCAACAAGCCCAATATTTTGATAACATACTTGTCTCCACCATTCGGTTTCTCGACGCCTTGCCAGCCAAGACACCGAATGAAAAATCCCAATTCCTGCGCGGTCTCCCGAAGATTCTCAAAGAGTTTCCAAAATCGGTGATGGAGAAGAAGGTTTTACCCGCTCTGCTTGAAGAAACAAAAGACCGCGAACTTCTTGCGTTGGTGCTGCAAAATGTTTTCAAAATCATTACGGCTTTGCCATCGGGGAAGCGAGCTTTTACGGACAAGGTCATTCCCAAGCTGCGAGAGACTTTCCTCACGCCTGCCAAGGGGCCCGCCCAAGAGCGAGATAGCCTGAAGGAAGCTGGCCTCATGATCGTTTTGGAGAATATGAGCGTAGCCGCCGAGAATTGTGGTGGTAAAGAGTTCAAGGACGAAATCCTACCCATCATCAACTACGCCCTCGAATCACCGACACACTCACTCGTTGACGCTGCGCTGCGAACATTACCCGTGGTACTTCCCATTTTAGATTTTTCGACAACGAAGAACGAGCTTTTCCCCGTTATTGCAGCCATATTCGCCAAAACGAGCAGCATGGGTATCAAAATACGTGGCTTGGAAGCCTTCAAGACACTGTGTGGTGGCAACGATGAGCCAGAGGGAATCCAAGGTGACGGTTTGACTGGCATGATGGAGCAGCCAAAGGCGAAAACCAATGTGTCGATTTTGGATAAATACACAATTCAAGAGAAGGTGGTTCCGCTGCTGCGAGCGATTAAGACAAAAGAGCCCGCTGTTATGGTATGTTGATCCTGTATTGATTCTGACAGGCCTGCGCGTTAACAATACATGTGCAGATGGCTGCGCTCGACGTCTTCAAAGCAATTGGAAGCCAAATCGACAGCGACTTCCTCGCAATCGACGTGCTTCCGATTCTCTGGCAATTCAGCCTTGGGCCTCTTCTTAACCTTGGCCAGTTTCAGGCATACATGGCGCTCATCAAATCGCTTTCTTCGCGAGTGGAAAACGAGCAAAACCGGAAACTTCAGGAATTGGGTGCAAACAATGCAACCTCGACATCTCGCAGCGAGTTTATGAGTTTTGGCGGCTTGCCTGGGACGAGTGGGCTGGAGTCGAGCAACGGCGATGGAGACGCTGGCTTTGAGGCTCTTGTGCGCGGGAACCAAGGAAGCAACGCAGGCTCGGATATGCTGGGTGGTGACCCATGGGCAGCTGCTTCGTCGTCAGCGTCTTCATCGACGGTGCTGCCTTCTAGACCGACCACTAACCGTGTAGGATCGAGGAACGCGTCTCCGGCGGCAGCCTTCTCCTGGTCCAGTCCTCCCATATCACCACCACCTCCCAATCTGGCCACACCTTCGGTTGGTGCAACCAGAGCCATCACACCCGATAGCACGCTGGGATCGCTCAACTCGTCATTCCCGGCCATGACTCCCCTGAACCCAGGAATCGGGTCACCACTATCTCAGTCGCAAGCAAAACCCTTGGGTATGGGCGGGCTGGCATCGCCCTCGATCATGCCCTCGTACACGCCCAATGCGGCAACATCGGGAATTGATTGGACCAAGGCAACGACGAGCAGCTCCAACCTGACGAGCAATCCATGGGGCGCCTCAAGCCCAGCGAGCACGCCAGGTGGTGTTTCAAGTCTCTCAAACATGCAGCCCCATCAGCAACAGCAAGCGGGCAATCCATATTCGGGCTTCAGCATTGCGCCTCCCCCATCCAAGGCAGCAACGGGATCCTTCAATATTGCGGCGCCGGCAAGTAGCAATAGTTCTTTCAGCATTGCGCCGCCACCGATGCAGACGAGAATAGGCAGTGCCAGTAGCGGACTCAGCATGAACAACATGGCACAGAGGCAGAAGCAGAATCAAACCCAGCAGCAGCAGCAGCAGCAGCAGCCGGTAGCAAATGCATCGTGGAATAGCAGTGGTGGGGAGAGTTTGATTTAGAATGGGTTGTCTCTAGGATGGCAGCTATGTATGCGTTTTAAGCGAAGTCGGGGATGTAATGGGTGTGCAGAGTGTCTGCTCGCTGTGTGTTTCTGCTTTGCAGGGCAGCCCGAGGGTGAAGGTGTTGGTGGAATGCATTAGTCATGGCAGGGCTTGCAGCAAAGCATCATGGATGCATTTGCCACGGCGGATGAACGCCACAGGCTGTCACGGGTGGGTCGGCTAGAAAGCAAGCGACGGAGCGAACGGTGCGGGCGGTGGGTACGTCTGGTGACATTTGATGATGGAGATGCAAATCAAGCGCGGTACTGGCAACAAGGCAAATGTGAAGATGGGAAACGGCCCCGAGGATGATGCAATCGGACAAGGCGATGGTGTGCCAGGCCGTCCAGACAGAGCTAAGATACGTCAAGAAGCGACAAGCTCCGACTAGCGCCGCGCCACGCCCCGGCATGCCATGTCCATCCATGCCATCTGTCTATGTATGTATCCAAGTCCAAGTGTACTTGTATCTGTGTGCTTGGTTGCCAATGGCGCAATGCAATCGAACAAAGAAAGCCACGACTTGTCTCGATGGGTCAAATCGAAAGCCGTTTGCAATCCTCGCGTTACGTGCAAACTGCATGCCGTAGCTCGACCAGTTGCTTCGCCGCTGGGGGGAGAGATGACAACGCCGAGCCGCAAGAGAGGAAGAAAGAGAAAGAAATAAGCGCGATGAAAGGAACCCGCCTTTTTTTTCCCCATTTTGCTTTCGCCTGCCATTCACATCTAGTGCTTTGCATGTCTGCTCTGGGTCCTAAAACCCTCGAACCATGCACTCTCTCTCGGCCAATACCACCTGAACGCTAGGCAAGCAAAAAACACCGATACATAGTTGCTAAGGTCCCTACTTCGTACCTAGACAAACACACAGACAGCCAACACCGACGACCCAACCACCATCCACCCGTCGCTCACTCCGCCCCCGTCAACCCGGCAGCCACTCGCATCTCACCGAGTTTTTTTCTCTCTCGCCTGCTACCACCCCCCCACGCTATATTGCACTGCAGATCTTGCATCCTTCCTTCCTTTCTGCTCTACCTACTGCACTGACTTGCCTGGATACTTAGCTGCAGCCCGCTCCCTCGCATCTCACTCCCTCCTCTTCCCTTCCCTCTTACCCTTCCAACCTTGCCCACCTAGCCCGTCTTTGCGATACTGCCAGTGGTTAATGCTGCGCTACTTCAACGCCCGTCGCCCATTCTACTACACTCCCTTCACCAAGAGCATCCGCTCTATTAAATGGCGCTAGATACTCACCATAATCCCGCCAACTCGCCCTCCAGCAACCCAATCCCAACCACCATGGCCCATGAATATCGCGATGCCGAAAAAGGCAGTCTCAATGGCCCTGATCATGATCGCACCAAGAGTGGTGTACCTGGTGCCCCAGGCCACGACACCGACGGCGATGAGACCAGCAGTGTCGGCGTAGGCAAACAGATTGCCATGGAGAGCGGGAACGCCATTCAGTACCGCACTTGCTCGTGGCAAAAGACTGCCGCCCTGCTCTTCTCAGAGTACATCTGCTTGGCCATCATGTCCTTCCCGTGGTCCTACTCTATTCTGGGCCTCGTGCCCGGCATCATCCTGACCGTCGTCATCGCCGCCTTGGTTTTGTACACCTCGCTCATCTGCTGGCAATTTTGCATCAAACACCCTGATATCCGCGATGTTTGCGATCTGGGCCAAATGATCTTCTACAACCATCGCTGGGCATTTTGGGCCACGGCTGTCATGTTCATCTTGAACAATACCTTCATCCAGGGTCTGCACTGCTTGGTCGGCGCCAAGTACTTGAACACCATGACCGGCCATTCCATGTGCACCATTGGCTTTTCTGCCATTGTCGCCGTCATCTCGTGGATATGTTCCCTACCACGAACCTTTGATGCCCTTGCCAAAGGTGCAGCTCTCTCGGCCATCTTCACCTTCGTTTCCGTCATTCTGGCTGCCATCTTCGCTGGCATTGAAAGCCACCCTACCGGATATCCTGAAAAAGGCCCCCTGCAGGTGTTTGCTGTGCCCGCTTCTGGTACTACCTTCGTGGCTGGAATGAGTGCATTCATGAACATTAGCTACACCTTCATCGGCCAGATCACCTTGCCCTCTTTCATCGCCGAGATGAAGGACCCCAACGACTTTCCCAAAGCGCTCTGGGCCGTCACTATTGCCGAGATTATTGTTTTCAGTTTGGTTGGAGGTGTTGTGTACGCCTACACCGGAACTAACTACATGACCGCACCCGCTTTCGGTTCGCTCGGCAACCCCGTCTTTCTCAAGGTCTCTTTCTCCTTCATGGTACCTACCATCATCTTTCTGGGTGTTCTTTACGCCTCCGTGTCCGCTCGCTTCATCTTTTTCCGTCTTTTTAATAACACAAGGCACATGGGCAGCCACACTGTTGCTGGATGGGGGGCATGGGCTGGTATTCTCGCCATTCTTTGGCTCCTGGCCTTCATCGTTGCCGAAGTCATTCCGTTTTTCTCGGATTTGCTATCCTTGATGAGTTCGCTCTTCGATGCATTCTTCGGGTTCATCTTCTGGGGCGTGGCTTACTTTCGTCTACGTGGCGCCGAATATGGGCCTGGCTTCTACAAAACCCGAGGAATCCGCGGATGGGCTGGGTTTTTGTTCAACATTGTACTTTGTGGAATCGGATTACTGTTCCTGAGTGGTGGCACGTACGCTACGGTGCAGAGCATTATCGACGGCTACAAAGCATCCAATTTCGGCGGCGCCTTCAGCTGTGACAACAATGGGTTCTAATCTCCAAAGCCCAGTAGAAACCCCTGAGTTCCGGTACAATTTTTCGGTACATTTTAGTGGGCAGGATTGACAATCAATAGGCGTTTAGGCGTATGCTCTTCGGTGGCTTTTACTCCGGTTGTCCTCACGATGAATGGGCCAAGCAATCGGGTTGCAGGAATACTCGCAACACTCTATGTACAATTGTAGTGTATACGGGTCGAAATATATCAAATTAATAGAGGGACACCTGTCCCTCCAACTTGTCGCTTCATCATGATTGGTATTGATGCATAAAGAGTGGTATGATCCCCACATCCCCACAATGCAGGGTATTGTCATGTGAAGCGATGACGTCTCGCTAGCGTAAACGTCTGCCGAAATGTTACCAAGCTCGCTACCTCCCATCCCCACGTAACCACAAACTTTCCTCTTGTTTGCTCTTCCTACACTCTAGTCCTTTCTCCAATTGACGCGCTCCCGCCACATCGCTGTTCTGACCCCGCAATCATGAACGGCCTCATCGACTTCAACCAGTCGAGCTTATGGAGTACGTACACAAAGGAGAACACAGGCGGTGGGGTACACAGTTTGACCCAGGACTGACAATGATGGCCCATCAGTTTCTGCAGCTTCCATCCTGTTTAATCCAACCTTCTGGAAGCAAGTCATTCCTTCCACGCTTCCCCTGTGGTAATGATTGTGGAGGCTAACACGTACGTTGTTGCAAACAGCATTGCTGCTACTCAAGGTAAGGCTACTAGACGCTTCACACCCCACATGGATGCCACGACGGAAAGATGTGCAATATCGTGTCGCAGGTCGTGCTGGAAAAAAAGATGGCAATGGCTAACTCAATTCCCAGAATACCGTAACAAGGTCATTACCAAGACTTTCGGTGGGAACCCTCGATTGGGATGCTATGCTCTGGCCGTCACCATCTTCTCGTTGGGCATCTTTAGGGATTACCTGTACGTCTTTTCATTCCCGTTTTCCTCCTGATGATAAACACAATATGGAGTGTTCGAAACGGCGTTGTCGACTCTGACCAATGTACGAAATCAGGTACAACGAGGCTCTTGCGGCTCAACCCACGCACCCAACACTTCTCTCGCCACTCATTCATTACTCGGCTATTCCTCTATTTATCAGCGGCCAAGTCCTTACTCTGACCTCCATGTGGGCGCTCGGCGTCACGGGAACTTACCTGGGCGATTACTTTGGAATCCGTAAGTCGCGCCCCGACTCTCCACGCTTCAAAATTACTTTGACTGCCATCATCACTACGGTGGTTGCCCTAGCTAACCTGAATGGCGGGTTGAAAATAGTCATGGACGCCCCTGTAACCTCGTTCCCCTTTAACGTGTCCGATGCCCCCATGTACCACGGCAGCACCCTTTCTTTCCTCGCGACCGCCATTTGGTACGGCAAGCCCGCCGGAATCCTCCTTACGGGGCTCGTTGCCACCGCGTACAGCGTGGCACGCAGGTGGGAGGATCCCTTCACGGGCATGATCTACGAGAAGCGTGATCGCGAGAGGAAGCAAGGAAAGAAAGGGCTGTAAATAAGTCGGTCCCAGACGAATCAAGAATCGAGTACAACGTACGGATGGCTCGGCTCAAAAGCAGATGGATGAGATGGGACGATACATGGTGGTAGTGGTGGAAATGTGAGCGTGTGCGTGTAGGCTGGTTTCTGCCAGTTGCAAAAGCAGGGACAAGGGTGCAGCGGATGGTGTGGCGACTCAACATGACGAGAAATGGGGTGGTATGATGGCTGGTAGTCACGCACGCTGCGAGCATTCGATCGTCTTTTAGATGCGCCGATGGCTATGGCGGTGGCGGCGGCGTGATACTGGTCAATAGTCGATAGTGGCAGTTAGGTAGGGTGGGTGGTGATGATAAAAACAATATGATTATAGTGAACGTGATCCTCGATAGCCCTACGCAGCAAGACCCCAAGCGACCATCATCATCTCGTTCATGTGCCTTAATCCAAAACTACATCAAGGTACATACATATACATGCATCGAGACTCCCCATGTGCTTGTAGGTTGTGCACGTCTATCCAGTCGGAGCATTAGACTGACCACTCGCAATCTCACCGCAAACAAAACACCACACCAATGGGAATGCGTCACGGAGAGCAGCGGCCCATTGCTGATTAGACAAATTTTCGCATTAACAAGAGTAACTACGCCCGAGGCCGTTGACGCTGCATCAACTACTGTCAGAACGTGTGTAATTGATTACAGCCGCTGAATCCTCATGCGGGTACTAGCGGAGGGAATACGACCAAAAAGTTCAGAGCACGAATTATAACATCGACCTGATCCACCTTCAATCACCGACGGCCTACACCTGGCAGGCTGTCGTTGTCGTCGCCAGTGGAAGTGATCTATTCCTCGCCCTCAAGGGGCGCCTCCTCATCGTATTCCTCCTCACCCTCAGAGATGGAGGCCTCCTGGTACTGCTGGTACTCAGACACCAAATCGTTCATGTTGGACTCAGCCTCAGTGAACTCCATCTCGTCCATACCCTCACCAGTGTACCAATGCAGGAAAGCCTTGCGCCTGAACATAGCAGTGAACTGGTCACCGATACGCTTGAAGAGCTCCTGGATCGAGGTCGAGTTACCGACAAAGGTAGCCGACATCTTAAGACCACGAGGAGGAATGGAGCAGAGGGCGGTCTGGACGTTGTTGGGAATCCATTCGACGAAGTAAGAAGAGTTCTTGTTCTGGACATTGCGCATCTGGTCCTCAACCTCCTTCATGGAAACCTTACCACGGAAGATGGCAGAGCAGGTCAGGTAACGGCCGTTGCGGAAGTCCGAGGCGGCCATCATGTTCTTGGGGTCGAACATTTGCTGGGTAAGCTCGGGGACGGAGACGGCACGGAAAGAGTGGGCGCCACGGCTAGTAAGAGGAGCGAAGCCAACCATGAAGAAGTGAAGACGGGGGAAAGGCACCATGTTGACAGCCAACTTCCTCAAATCGGAGTTGAGCTGACCGGGGAAACGAAGACAGGTGGTGACACCCGACATGACGGCGGAGACGAGGTGGTTCAAGTCACCATAGGAGGGGTTGTTGAGCTTGAGAGTCCTCATGCAGATATCGTACAAAGCCTGGGGACGGTTAGACCAAGGACGTTAAAGATGGAAAGATAGTACGTACCTCGTTGTCAATGCAGAAAGTCTCGTCGGAGTTTTCGACAAGCTGGTGGATGGACAAGGTGGCGTTGTAGGGCTCCACGACGGTGTCGGAGACCTTGGGGGAAGGCACGACGGAGAAAGTAGCCATCATGCGGTCAGGGAACTCCTCGCGGATCTTGGAGATCAAGAGCGTACCCATACCGGCACCAGTTCCACCACCCAAGGAGTGGGTAATCTGGAAACCCTGAAGGCAGTCACAGCCCTCGGCCTCACGACGGACGACGTCGAGGACCTGGTCGACCAACTCAGCACCCTCTGTGTAGTGACCCTTTGCCCAGTTGTTACCAGCACCAGACTGGCCGAAGACGAAGTTGTCGGGACGGAAAAGTTGACCGAAAGGACCGGCGCGAACAGCGTCCATGGTGCCGGGCTCCAAATCAACCAGGACGGCACGGGGCACAAATTTGTTTCCAGAAGCCTAGAAAGTATAAGTGCATATTCGAGCTATATGCTCAGCGGGATGAAAATGGCATACCTCATTGAAGTAGACGTTCATGCGTTCGAGTTGGAGGTCCGAGGTGCCATTGTAGCTATTACGTGGTCAGCCATACCGCTTATACAATATCTATAAAAGTAGAGGGGCGAAACTTACACGCCGGAGCCATCGAGACCATGCTCGCCAGAGATCTGTTGCCTGCGTTGTTGTTAAAACCGATGTCGCTGTCAGGGTAGCAAAAAGCTTTGCCAGGAGAAGGAAAAAAACGCACCAGAAGGCGGCACCGATTTGGTTACCCTGGATCTAGTCAGTACGATACAGGACAGTTTTGAGGGAATATCACTTACACATTGGCCGGTCTGGAGGTGAACCTGTTATGCAAAGATGTCGTTAGCAGTTTGTTGTGTTGTCGGCCTGGGCTAAGGCGGGGCACAGGGGAGCGCGACCACAAAATTGCCCTGGGGGGTTGGATACGTACAATCTCACGCATGATGGATGGTTTGGAGATATGTGGTAAGGAGAATCTGTGGAATGGGAATGGATTGGAGTCGAGCTTCGCGTCGGGAGGTGGTGGTCGAGAGTGGAGCGAGCGAGGAGAGGAGAGCAGCGGTGAGGATGGGATGTTGTGGGTGGCTCTTTCCCGCGCTAGCACGGGCCCACTCCACAGCATTTCGGCGCTAGCCTTGTTTACGCGCCTCTTGACCCTGAACACCAGCACAACAGGCACCAGCTTTTTGCACTCTCACAACTCTGAGTTGGTCGGTGGGCATAGCATGTACATTGGTCTTCTTCAAACTGCCACTGTGCAGCAGCTGCAGTCGTCTCGTGATTCACCGTCGTCTGTTCCCCAGCTTCTTACCAAAAGCAGTGTCTCCTGTTTGTCCCATATCCATATGTTGTTCGTGTGCATTCATAGCAGGTGCATAAAGTGTATACAATAGGTACCTATTCATCAATCCTCTTCTCCGACCTCTTTCAAGTGTTCCACATATCCAACCAGTCTTTTCTTGATGATAACCCCAACCAGCCGCCCTGATCCTTCTTCTGTCACACACAGATATCTTAGCCCAAGTTTTCCAAACAATTCCACCGCGTACTCCAGCGGGGCTGTCGCGCAGATGCTCAGGGGTGTCCGGTCTACGAATGGTGAAAAGTCAACTTCTAACGCATCAGGCGACGGCGGTGAGTCTGCGGGATGCCCCAGTAGGCGAATCTGGAATTCGGTGGCCGAATGCCCGTAAGGCGACGGTGAAGACGAACCATGGTGTGGAATGAGCTTCGTGAGACCAAAGTCGAGTTCTGGCTGCGAAATGTAGCCCTGTAGCAAAGGAAAGGAAGAGTGTGCGTGGACCTGTACAAGCACGAGGCCCGCATCCATCAATCCTCTACCCTTGAGCAACTCCAACTTTTCCTTCAACAATGCATACGGGACTTTGTTCGTTCGAGGTACATGCACCGTGATCTCGCGCATGGTCTGCTCGGGAGGCACTAATACTTCGACCAGTCGCCTCTTCTGTCGAACTATAGATATGGCGGTTTCCGAGTCTAAGAACGGATGGCCAAGCACTGTTTGAGCAAGATCGTATACACTCTCTGAAGAGATGGAATCAGCCACCCACTTGGCGACTAGTATTGCCACCATGTGCGGAACGACATATTCGAGTTGGCCTGTGAGTTCGAACATGATTACCGCAAGAGAGATGGTCATTCGACTGACCCCGGCAAGGAATGCCGCTGCCCCAACCATGGCGAAAATCCCAGGGGAGATCGAAGTGATGGACTGACCAACCAGTCGACCGAATAATGCTCCAGCATCTAGGGCTGGTATGATGACCCCAGACGGAACTTTAATACCAAACGTGATGATGGTGAGGATGAGCTTCGCAACTGTGCCGTGGATAAGCCAGCCGGTGTACTCCCACTGCACTCCCTTCGCATGTTCATTCCGACAGACCCACGAGCTCGATTTTTCTGCCTCCTGTTGGCAATCAACGAGAAGGTTCTTGATGATGATATCCCCAGGCTCCCGGGTTAGTGGGTTTGGGAACTGTAATAGTGCCGTTGCTAAGACCACCATGAATACTTCTAGCACTGGGTTCTGTTTGATGATGGGGAAAGACCGGAACCACCTAGACCAGAGGAAGTTCAGCCTACAGAAAAGGCCCCCGAAAATACCCCCTGAGATACCTAAGAGAATGAACACGAGATAGTGCACGGGTTCGTAGTCTGTTCCATAGTTCGTTGCAAACAATACCAGTTTTCCCGTTCCCGTGGGGTTGAGTGCTTTCAACACTACCGCCGCAGAAAGCGAGCATAAGAATGCTCTCCATAGTACTTTGCGTGGAAAATACGTGCTGATCTCCTCGTAGCTGAAGAGTACACCACCAATGGGTGCACCAAAGGCTACGCTAAGTCCACTCGCAACAGCAGAGGAGAGAAGCTCGCGCATCTTGCGACCATTTCCACGGTATCTAGGAAACAAAGATCCGACAAGGTGGCCAACGCATGCTGAGATATGGACAAATGGGCCTTCTTTCCCGAGACACATGCCCGTAGAAACTGCAAATATTGCACCAAACGCTTTGACAACGAGGACCTTCAACGACAAGAAACCAGGAATGACAAATCCTGAGAGAATCGTCTTGATTTCGGGAATACCGCTCCCTGACGCCATGTACATGGTCTTCCCTATAGCAGCAGGTCTCAATGTATTGGGTTGCTCAGTTGTGCGATCCTCTGAGAGTGAGCTCGGAGAGCTGGACGGAAGCGTACTCTTTGTTAGCAAGGTTGCCGAAGAACTGATAACACCAAAAACCAAGGCCATGCCGACATATATCGCAAACGAACCCGTGTAATTCATCGTCCAGAGTTGGAAATCATCGCACTCGCTTTCCGTGATCGGCAGGGTGTTGGAGAGTAGCGGTGTCGTATATGCACAGCAGGCTTCTTTACCCAGGAAAGGGTTCCTCGAACAACGCCCTAGCTTCCAATCTGATACTGTAGACACGGCTACGTCAACAACAAAAGCTATACTCGCGGTCAAGGTACCGATTATGACTACAGCAATCCACCCAGAGCATGCTTCAAATAGTGAAATGAATCGATATCGAAATCCAGCTCGAGATTGTATGGTACGAAAGCGGTATGATTCCTTGACCTATTGTTGTTGTTACTCAGTGCCGCCATTACGCGTGAAGAAATGGGGGTTATCAACCAGGTCATGAAGCCAGTCGATGTTGGTGTATTCATTGTAAGGCAATCGTTCGCCAACGGTACTTTTGGACATGGTTTGTTCCTCCTTTGACCCATGGCTACCGACGAGACTCGCTACTTCTTCATCATGTTGAACAGGTGTTGATCGTTTGCCTCCAGCAGAAGGATACAGCAATGGCATCCGCTCAATTGCTTCGCTGTCGTCGGCTGGCATGTTCGCTCAAAAGCAGATATTTCTAATAACAGAGCAACGAATGCGTTTGTGTGCGTGTGTGCGTCCGTTGAAGAAGCTGTCGCTTGTACACTTCATTGACGTCCTGTTAGCAAAAAGAAGCAAGGAAGGTGATGTGAAGATAGCAACTTACACTGGCCAATAAGAAACCTCCAAGACCGAGTGATAGCCCTGTGGCTTATCATACCGCGGAGATGGAGCTTGCGGAGGGATGTGATTGCGGAGGAACAACGATAAGAGAGAGCGCGCGCTAAGCGAGTTCGAGAACCAGAACATTCACATGGTTACGTGTGGACAAGCATTGGTGGAAAAGGCGACAAACAATTGAGTTTCAATCACTTCATTAAGAGTTACCACGTCCGCCAAGGACGTACAGGATGAACCTGTGGCAACAGCAACGACAAAACAGCCGTGATAGCTGCCAGAGATATCTATCCATCTGGAGACGCCCGCCTAAAGAAAGACTTGACACAAGACGCACATTTATGGACAAAAGGGTGTTATGCAACAATAGAGAGAAGAAGGGTAGGTGAAATCAAAGAGAGTAAAGAAAGGAAATGGTGGAGCAAGTGAAGAGACAAGCGCAAGTGAATAGTGCGAGCTCCCAAGAGGATGGTTATGTACAAGCGAGGAGGATGTTTGACGCAGATGATGTGTGGCGTCGGGTATATATCTGTAGCGACCGGTCGCGAAGTAGCTATACTTCGGTAGAGAGGTTATGCAGCGAGCAACAAAAGGGATTTTGAGGGGATGAGGGGGAAGAGATACAGATGACATTGCGGCGTCGTAGACGCGCAGGAACAGATGAAAAGAAAATGTTGCGAAATGGGAGAAGATAATGGGACGCCCGGCGCTCGCTAGCAATGCATGACACGGAGGGAAATATCGAAAGAGAACCAGGGAAAGGGACTTTTGGAGTGTGCAATCCGGTCTTTGAGCAGCAGAGGCCACTGTCTAATCATATCGACGTGGAACCTGGAAGGAGGAAAAAGGCATACGGGCGCGGGTGAGATGTGTAGAGTCTGGATCAATTCGCAGGTTGCTTGCTCAATCATTTGGCGCTTGTGCCCAGGTTAAGCCACGACATGTCAGTCTGGTTGGCCTTGGGATCAGCGCCCGGCTGGATACCGGGGAACACGGTCACTGTGCTTTCACGGTCCTCGGGTGCCGCTCCTAGGCGGGGTGGGGCAGGATAGAAATCACTGTAGGTGCTGTTTTGTGGTTGAGGTGCGACATTGTGGGCAGGTGTCGCACTGGGGAAGACGGTGGCCGTGCTGTCACGAATCTCGGGAGCACCAAGTTTCTGACCAGGGTAGAATGAGCTCATGTTGCTCTTTGGATAATACGAGGACGTGTTGTCGGGGTAATACTGGCTGGCAGCCTGCTGGCGGTAGTCATCGATAACGACGCTCCCGGTATAATTGCTACTCGCGGGGCGACCATCATTGTTGACAGGTGACCAGCTATCGACGCCGTTCCTTAGATAGTGGTCATCGCGGCTATATCCCGAGTTCGTGCTGCCGTTGGAATCAGCACGCGAAAGTTGAGCCTGCATTGGTTGTCCAGGCAAGTCCTCTTGCGAGTTGCCGAGAGATGGGCTACCGCGGACGACATTGCTCATGCGTTGCCCGTCAAACTTGGATTGATCGAACCTAGGCAAATCGAGAGGCGCAACGGCTTGAGAAGGCTGGCTGTACATTTGTGAGTTTGTGTACATGGAGTGACTGCCGGTGCTAGTCCTCTCAGAGCCAAAGGTAGATCGATCGTTGGGCATCTGAGCCAAGTTTGTAGCTTCATTATTGGCAAAGTAGCGACTCCACCCGGAGCTACGGCTACGTGTTGCGTTTGCAGCAGTCACCGGCGGAGGCATGCGGCCCGAGTTCTGTCGGACCAAGGTCTCCGGGTTGGGCTCAGGTTTCAAATCGAACTTGGACAACTCGACCGTTTCGGAGTAACCGAGGGGGCTGCTCTTCTTGATCAAGCCAGCTGTACTGGCATCACTTCCCATGCCTTTCTTGTGGCCATTGGCACGACCGGCAATGATTGCAAGCGAAGTGGAAGAGGCATTCGCTTCGACAAATTTGTCATTCAGCCCACGGCCCCCAGCCTCGCTCATGTAATCGGCTCCCCGATCAGCGAAACTAAGACGGTCCTTTTCCACGTATCCAGCCTGACCGTTCCTGCTCTTGTTCTTTTTATACTTTAGACAGAATAGCAGCAGAATCAGAAGGGCGGCGATTCCAAAGATGGCTCCTAGGGTAGCACCAAGAACAGTCAACATTCTGCTCTTGTTGTCCGGCGATGCAGGTGGCGGGGGTGGGGCAGCGGAGGGAGTGGAAGAAGCCGAAGCCGAAGACGAAGGTACAGAACTTGTCGCGCTTGATCCGAGGACGTTTTGCAATTGTTTACCAGCGAACAGTTCTGTGGCATTTTGCCATTCGTTGGCCTCTTGGTCGAAGATAGCCAGGGGCTCCTTATCCGATCCGCCGGTGATGATGATGGTTTTGAAGTCACTTTGGGCAAGGGAGTATGCAGAACGAACAGCAGTTGGGGCATTGGTTCCGTTATAAGCAGGCCAGTCCTGCATAGTAAGACGTTTCGTCTTGCCACCTCCAAGCTTGGTACCAGGAGCCGCAGGTTTGCCGTCCGCTTGCATCAAGGCGAGGTTGGTAATCTTGTTGGGGTTCTGGCTCGCGTCCAAGATTCCCAAGACCTTGCTCTTGTCATCGCCCGTAACCAGACTATACTTGGTGGCATCCAAATTCGGTGGATCGCTGAGAGTGGTTTGGAGCTTGTTCCACCTTTGGTCCTTGGAGAAGGTGTGCATTTCGACATTGGGTGATCCTCCCACTAGAGCGCCTCCAAGCATGAGAGCGGTATCCTCGTCCCACTGGACCAGTTGCGGTTTGGCCAGAGGCACAGGACCCTTGTCGGCATTGGTGCGGTAGGGTGGGAACAGATCGATGAGCCAAGTCTCGGAATTGGGGGTCGGGTCGTCTATTTGGGTGCCCGAGTAGACGAGGATGGAGTTGGCCTTGTTCAGGTAGGCCACAGCATGATTGACGCGTCCCTTGGTGACGAAGACGTCGGGTCGCAGCCAATCCCACTTTTGAGTAGCGAAAGTATAATGCATCAAGCCAGGGTAGTTCCAGTCGGCGGCGGTTTCGTTCGGTTTGCCTCCTACGACATACAACTTTGCTTCATCGATATTGCCGTTGGGGACTACTTTGACGCACTGCGCGCCAGTCAGGGAGATGTCGGAAGGCAGCGCCTTCCAAGTCTCGTTCTGGCCGAGGGTGAGGACCTGGAATCCCTCGGGGGAATAAGCGTAGAGCTTATCATCGTGCCAGACGGAGCAATGGCCTTCCAACTTCCACTTGGGCTTGGGGATACTCATGGTGGCAGCGGTGTCGGGGTATGATATAAAACGAATGTGAATGCAACGTTCAAGTTACGAGGGCGAGAGTCCAAGAGTGCAACTGTCTGACGTTTATCGGTCCAAGGATGTGGTCATGACGGGGCGCTGGATATATGGGCAGCAGCAAATGGGAGGTTTCCAGACCGGGGAATGGATCGAGTAGTTGGTGCTATGGCGGAGGCAAGCGTTAGAAGAATTGGGCCAACAGCAGAGAGTTGGCGGTGGGCGCAAGCAAGCACGCAACTGGCTACGTACTCGGATGGTGATGGACGGCAGACTCGGGGATCAGGAGGAGAGTCGGGGTCAGGAGGGATGGTGGTGAAGATGGTCGGGGATAAAGATGCGAGGCGAGAAGGACAGCGCACTGTCAAAGTGATGTTGAGTTTACTAAAGGAGAGACAGACAGCAGCACAGCTGTGGGGGTGGGAGACTCGAAAGTGAGGGTGCGGTGGATGAGGCTGGCAAAGCAGAATGAAGAGAGGGAGAGGGAGAGGGAACGAGCGAGGGTGCAGGCCAGCAGGCAGGCAGGCAGGCGGAGCATGGGCAGCAGGGCAGGAGCAGCAGGAGGAGGAGGAGCAAGGAGAGGCAAGTGCAACTCAGGCCGGCCCCGTTGAGGGCTGGACAGTGCAGGCAGGACAGGGCAGGGCAGGAGTGACTTGCAGGGAGCTGGCGGACACGATCAAACGGCTAGAGCGGATTGGGGATAAACTAGGGACCGCAAGGGGAAGGGGCGCAGGGGTGGGTTGATCCGGGCGGTCAGGGGCAACCTGCCGTCTGTCTACTGTCTTTTTGCTTTTTGGGCTGCCGCTCCGAAACACGCGACCGTCGTCGGCCTTGACAGAGCACTGACTGACTGATGGATGGATAGATTGCTCAATTGATTGATTACTGCTGCTGCTGTTGCTGTTGTTGCTGCTGTCATCGTCATCGTCATCGTCATCGTCGTTCTCGGGCGTGTGGAGTAGGGCAAACGTTTGTCAACGTATGGGGAGGTACACAAGGCAATCGGACAAGATGGACTCGCCCGCCCTGCCGATCCATATCTGCTGCACTCATTGCATGGCAACAGCACTGGATGGAGAGAGCGACAATGGCTGACTGATGGTCGGCACGTACAAAGATGGGTAGCTTTCACTACTCCAACAGGCCTCGTGTCTTTGGCTGCACACCCATTGGGAACACTTGAAACATGCCGTATTGCCTGCCTATGCCCCTTTTGGCCCTCGCCCATGTCGCGCCAAATCTACCGTACAGCTGCTACCGAGACGACCATTATTCGGACAGCCTGGGTGAGTATAAATGGAAAAAACAGATTCAATGGATGCTTGGCCGGCAAAAGTTCAAACAGCCAGCCAGTCAGTTTGGATAGATGTATACTATGTAGGTACATTCTTACATGGCTACATGATGTATGTGTGTACACAGGTCACGGCACCGGACGCGAATCAGCAGCGGCTGTGGGGCCGCACCAAGCAGCAGCCCACGGCGGCCGACTAAATATGGGCCCCAGGGTCCACCCGCCTCCTCCCTTCTTCCCTCGCCAGCTTCCAATTCTTCTTCCCGTCTGTCCACAGCCCACCCAGAAACCCATCATCACCATCATCATCATCATCATCATCATCATCATCGCCATCCATCCGTCTATCTGTCTCGCACCCAATTCCTGACCCGGTCGATGATTCATTCGTACACGATGCTTAGTCGTCGACCACCACCACCACCTGCGACCATCATCTACTGACTCCGGACTTCATTGTGGCCGTGCTTTCTAGCGAAGCCTTGGAGCCTTCTTGTCCATTCATGCACGCCAGCCGTGTCAGTGCCTCTCGCCATCCGCCCCTCTGATTGATTGATCCATTGATTTACTCATTCATCCATCCATCCACTCATCTACTCAGCGCCATTCGCATGTCGTCAACACACATCATCCGTGTACAGTTACTTCATCTCAACTGCCTGCTGCTCTGCTGACGGCATCCAAAAGCAATCCCACGACACTCGCCATCGCACTACCTTTCAACCCGCATCGTTGGCCATATTCCGCATGTCTATGGTTTTGAAACAACCGACGCACCTTGTCAAGCCTGCCTTAGTCAGACCCACTAGCATCCCCCCAACTCCATTGTCCCTCTAGTGCCTGTCTGTTCTTATGCTTTCCATGCACCTACCACGCTCTCATCAACTCCAAACTCCAGACCTCCAATACTTGCCATCATCAGTCGATTGCAACCCCGCCTTGCCCTCCCTTCCATACTGACAACATGTTCACACCACTCGATACATTCCACATTCCACAACAATACTGCCAACATTGACGCTACCACACTAGTCATGCATGGCTTTTGATCTAATCGTCCACTGCTGTCACTCTGTCAAGTCTCAGGCAATATTCTCTGCCTACCGTCAACTTGATTCAGTAGTTTCTGTCGTGACAAGTTAGGTCCTCTTGAGCAAGCCGTCGGTTGAATTACTAGCGAGCTCGTTTCCACCCGCAGCAAATGGCGCGCGTCTTAGGCGAGCAGTAAGAATAGCCTCAATAATTCGTTGCTCACTCCACTTTTTCCCGTGCCTTGACCAAATCTATTTTCCATGTCCCTTATGCGAAACCAGATCCACCCCTCCAAAGCCTCTGTGTTTCTAGATCTACGCTTCTCCATCACCTGGAAAGCCGTCGCTTGTTTCATTTCCCCCTGTGGACCATCGTTATGCGTTTGCACCTTGGTTGCAACGCTCCACGGCCTCCACCTGCTTGCACAGGTCGCCCATCACTCATCCACTTCACCATTGTTTTCATGCCAAAATAGACACCACTTCAAATCAAGACCTGGCGACCGTGGTTATCGATTCATTGCAGTACACTCAATTTGGAATCTAGATCATCACCCGGACTGCGCATCTCGCAATCATGTTTGCTATGCTTGCCCCAAAACCCTTAAATTCTGTCAGCAGTGCGAGTACCCGTACCGAGAACGCGTCGCGTGCCCGTAGCAAAAATGGACTGTCACTCTCACACAGCTCTCACCCACCATTTACTTGCCCAGTTTCCGTATCAAGTTGGAGACAAGGTCCGTCGGTCTCCGCCATGTCAAGCTTGCAACAAGCGCTTCCTACGACAAGGTGTAATACCGTAACCTGATCCGCTTATGTCAGATGAATCGCAATATTGCTATTTCTGAAGCACTTGTCTATCGATTCGCACAGCTTTCTTACTGTTTAACGCTTGTCACTCCACACCTGTGCCCGCACCATATCACATCGCCACCAGGAAAATCAACTGGTGATTGTCGCAGAGTTGCATGCTATTTGGTCCCTCAAGGTAGCTAGGGCCGAATGTCACCGCCTCCATTAGCCAATTCTCTTCCTCCCTTGTAATTACTAGTAGCATCATATCACCATGCTCACCACCACTTCCGCACAGCATCCTATACCGAGTGGTGCTACCGAGGTCCGGACACCCTCGATCAAACCAGAACCGGGCCGCCCGTCTCATAGTCACTAGTGCGTTGAGGATTAATAGATATTGTGTCGCCATCAGACTCACCAGACTCATTCGGAGTCCGGATCTTCCTCGATTGAGCTAACCCACTCTGTTGCCTTTTTGGTGTCACTTCAACGTTGCTGGAAGATAAGCGCTGAGGTCTCTATATTTCTGGGCAAGCTATCGACATCAATGTCCGGTACTCCGATTACTCGACAACGACAAAGTGACAATCTCCATGCTACTGTCCCTTTGCCGCTGCCAACGTCTGACTGAAATACGCTGGCAACGCAGAGGCATCCGCCGAAACGCTAATCACATCGAATCCTTTCTTCGCGTACTCTTTTGCCTGTTCCCCACTCGTGCAATAAATGCCCACCTTCTTCCCCTCCGCATGCGCAGCTTCTTTGATCTTCTCAATGGCGTCCTTGAGCTCTTGATGCATGCCGTCCTTGTGCAGAATAGGTCGGCCAATGTTGTTTCCGAGGTCAAAAGGGCCGATGAGAAGACAGTCAACGCCCGGCACGGCTGCTATTTCTTGCGCAGACTCCAGCGCCGACTTTGTCTCGATCTGGAGGATCGTGATGAGGGAAGCGTTCGCGTTTTCCAGGTAATGTGACAGCGTGTCGTTGGTAAAAGCTTGCGGGGTGAAGGGAGAGCCGAAACCTCGTTGACCCTGGGGTGGAAATTTCGCAGACGATACTAGGCGTTTGGCATCGTCAACCGTGTAGATGAGCGGGACTACGATTCCGTGGGCACCAGAGTCTAGGGCTCCTGCGTGCGGTATGGGGTCTCAGTGAAGTATACCAAATAGGGAGAGGGAGATGTACGCTTGACCATCCAAGCTTCATTAGCAGCGATGCGGACAATGGGGCTCACACCGGTTGCTGCTATCGCAACGACAGCTTCGTGCATTTGGCTATCTGTTATGGTATCAGCTAATGGAAGCGACGTGGGATAGCAACTACTGTTACCATCGATGTTCCCGTGCTCACAGTCTACGCATATCCAGTCGACGCCAGAGCGAGCAATAGCCCGCGATATGTTCGCGCCAGGGAGCATCTATGATTCACATGTTCTTTAGCGATGTGTCGAGTTTCCTTGTGTTTGGCATGAAAGAGGGATTCGCTACCTGCCATCCACCAAAGCTCGGCTCCTGCGCCTGGAAGGCTTTATATATCCTGCTTGCTTGTTGAAGACTATTCATCTTTCTCGTTGTGATAAAGTGGATTGAAGTGTTGGAAGATGCTACGCTTGAAAGACCAAAAGAACCAGGTCGAGCCCTTATCACGTTTGAAAATAGTGACAGACGAGCCATGAATCAACAATGCTTCCTTCCCGAGTATGTCTTTTGAACACTGACTTAACCCCTCATTCTCCACGCCCTATGGCATGGTCAAGCTACCCCACCTACATCATCATGCCAAGGGCTTCCGAGATTCTACCAGCTCGGCCCAACATTGAACTCACACACTCTCTGCTTCATCGAGCTTCTGCAGGACTTCGCTCTCTTGAAAGCGGTGCATCAACTTCAAGGCCGCCGTGGTCGTCTCAGCAGCCGAGGCTTTTTCGATATGGATCTTGGTCAGTCAGCACCATTTACTGTTGTTGGCAGAATTTGTTCAATCGGGGCCATTGTACCACGGGAGTGTCGAATTCATAAACCGACTTCCATTTTTCGTGGCCTGGTTCCATGACATTGATCTCTTGGTACACTATGTCTCTCTGCGCTCGCACGTTTTGAACAACCGCTTTCGCATTGTCGCACAAAGAGCAAGGAGACCGGGTGAAGAAAGTGATTCTACACTGTAACAGCCTGGAAGATGGTCGGAACATGATGCGGGAAAAGCAACGCGGTTTGCATATAGCCAGAAAGGGAGGAATCGAATCGAGGTTCGGAGCAACGAAGAAGCTCGTCGTTAGCGTGCAAGCAAGCAAGCTTGGCCAATGATGTAACGCCGTTCTCCGCGCCCATGAATTCCAGAATATTCCCCACGTTGGATCCAATCCACCCGCCTCGCAACATCGTTTTCTCTTTGCATTGGTCCTGGTTGCACTATCTGGTACAGCTGCTAAACGTGTCATCTGCATCTCTACATCCCGAACCGACTCGTAATGGCCAAGAAGTGCGTCCATAAAGGCTGTGGGAAGACGTACGAGAACGACGACGAAGATTGTGTCTACCACCCCGGCCCTCCAGTCTTCCACGAGGGGCAGAAAGGTACGTTATGACCCGTTGTGCTCCGCTATTCCAAAGTCTGCAGTCCGCGCAAACCCGGACTTGTTCTTCGAGCTTCAATCTAAAACAGTTGTCATTAGGCTGGAAATGCTGTAAACCCCGCGTCCTCACCTTCGATGAATTCCTCGAAATTCCTCCTTGCACCACTGGCAAACACTCCGAGGTCGACGACACTCCCGCGCCCGAAGAGAAGCCCTCCGCACCAGACGTTCCTTTGAACACATCAGTCTCGCTCGGTAGCGCTCAAGAATCCGTCCCCGCACCCGTACCCCGCCTCCCAACTTCTCAAGCAGCGACCCCACGAGCAGCTACACCACAGATTGTCGAGGAGTCCGAAGATGATGATCCAGCAGCCGAGATCAAGGAGGGAATGACATGTAGGCGGAAAGGGTGTGGGCAGAAGTTTGAAGGCGGAGACAGGTCAGGAGAGAGTTGCGTGCATCACCCCGGTGCGCCAGTCTTCCACGAGGGGAGTAAAGGTTGGAGCTGTTGCAAGAGGAGGGTTTTGGAATTCGATCAGTTCATGAACATTGAAGGATGCAAGACAAAGCCAAAGCATCTCTTTGTCGGCAGCGGAAAGAAGGGTGCGGAGGAGAAGGTGGATACCGTGAGGTATTTGAAGACTGCTACACATCGATAATCCATATGTCAAAGGTTGCTAACCATATCATGTAGGCATGATTACTATCAAACTGCCACGTCCGTCATCGCGTCCCTCTACCTCAAGAAGATCAACAAGGAGACTGCAAAGATCGAATTTGAACCTACGCACGTCAACCTCGACTTGCGGACGACCGACAGCAAGCGCTATGCAACCGAATTTCCTCTCTTTGGAACAATTGATCCCGCTCAGAGCAAATTCAGAATCCTCGGCACGAAGCTAGAAATGACATTGGTCAAAGCGGATGGTACAAGCTGGCCGGTGCTCAGATCGGACGACAAACTCACGGGGGAGATACTCCAGGTGGGCAGAGCTGGAAGGGTGTAATAGTGGCGGACCAGGATCGTGTCATGTACGCATAGACGCGGAGTAGATAGCACAAAAAGGGATGGGCGGGGTGAAGGGGATAAGAGAACAAAAGAAATGAATATCACGATGCACATGCGACACATGCTACGTTCCAATGCCTCTTTTATCTACAAGGAGAGGGGATATTGCAAACAGAAAGAGAAATTATCCGCAAGACTCATTCCATGTTGGCTGTTTGCAATATCTAAGCGCAAAACCCCTTTTTTCAGAATGGCATGCAGTAAGAGGGGTTCTACTGTACACTGGCATGGTGTTGGTCAGCAAGTGGGATTTCAAGCAGAGGCTTGTGATGACCAATCACCCCAGGGATAGCTCTTTGAAAAAACAGCAAACCTATGTTGAAGGGGCGTGTCTTGGCCCTTGCGAGTGTTGGCCGTTGGCACGGAGGATGCCTGAATGTAGGGCCATGACGGGTGATGTGTTCATGGTCAAAGAATACACAGGAAATCATACAGGCAACGGGGATCAAGGCCATCCAGTAGGACCGTGTGTCTCGTACCGGTGGGACGGCGAAGCGCAGATCGATCAGAATTCTGGTACAGAGCTTGACTGGATGCGGGATAGGTGAAATGATGCGCATGTGGAGAAGTAGGAGAGTATCAGACCTTCCACGATGGTGAGTAAACCATCAGCTTGTTGTCCGTTTCTTGCAACCGATAACCTCACGCTGCTTTCTTGCATCGAAGAATGAATGGGTTTCTAATGCAGCAAGCCACTTTTGCGCTGGCACGATGGGTCAACGTGCGCATTGGCGCTCTGATTGGGAAGGACTGGTTGAGCTAAGAGGAAATTCGGCACCAGAGGCATAAATAGTCTGGTCCTCGCCATCCGCGTAGCGTGGCACCATTTGTCCTTATTTGCTGATGTTCTTATTCCCAAATATTGGCACAAGTAGCTTCGTTCCCTCCAACATGCCGCGTTTGATGACCACATGGCATATCATGACATCTGCGAGTGATGGCTGGATAGAAGAGAAGAGGGCAAGATTAGCCCACGCCCGCCAACAAACCACGTATCATACCAATAGGTGTCTCCTTTCAGTCCATGGTCAAAGTCTGTATCCCTCAAGTCGTACTATGCGGTTCTGAGGGGGCACTGCCGGTCGACCGAATAGCGTGTAACACCAAACTAACCATCCACTTCAGTACAATTCATCTGCCATCTAAGCTAGACGTCCATCGCGAACTGATTTACGTGTTTAGGCTCATACCCAGAGATGTATAGGGGCGAAGCTCACACCAATGCAATTGTTTGAGCGTCCAAGCCCCCGTTCGATGCTGGACTCAGCACGGCACCCGAGCATGTGGGTGTACAGAGGTAGCACTTGTAAAAGCTTTCTTGACTAATGCTGTCAACCGAATAAGCTAAGGCAAACTTCTACTTTGTGGGGCAATGATACGGGTTACCCTGACCTTCCAATGTGATGGTGTCCTTCGCGCGACCCTTCCGGGTGGGATCTTTGTGTTGACCAGCGCATCACCTACCAAAATTACAGCCGCTGAAACACTTCCCGCGATCATCCCCCTTCTAGGAGCTAACATAAAGCTTCGTGTACTAGTCACTCTAGCTTAGCATCCTCCTTTTCATTCGTTATTATGATACAAATCAATCCGCCACTCGTCAGTCTTTCGCGGACGAGTTGACCCTCTTCCACCTTTCCTCCCCTTAGGGCTTGCCCGCAAGTCTCCCCTCCTTCATTCCTTTCTTCTTCGTTTCTTTCCGTTTCAAATATGAGGGTCACATTCGACAGGCGGATCATCACCGCTGCAATAACCGCCGTTATCCTCGTAATTCTCCTGACAGGCAGCTTCCACGAGCCTACATACAACGCCATCAAAAACAAGACCGGCTTCGGCAAGGTCGCAGTCCAACAAAACCCGGCCCCTCCAATCAATCCCAATAATGCCACTGGATTCGACGAGCAGGGCAACGAGAAGCTGGCCTATGCCGTGCTACTATCCGGCACTGTAGATTCCGCTCAAGGAGACGATCTCGAAAACGACAAGTATTTCGTCGCCACCCGCATATTGCTCTGGCAGCTCCTTCATGTCCCAGAGTCCCGCACCAAATTCGATGTCGTAGTTCTGGTAACTCCTACGGTGTCCCAGTCGCGTCGCGACCGTCTTGAGAAAGACGGCGCCAAAATCATTCTCGTTGATATGGTCAAGACGGCCTCCTGGATCAAGCCCGGAGAACACCAATGGGACGACTTGATGACCAAGTTCCGTGCCTGGCAATTGACACAGTACAACCGCGTGCTCATGTTCGACGGCGACTCCATGGTCCGGAAGAATATGGACAAGATCTTTGACGAACCTCTCGCGCAGATCCAGTCGTCGCTCAAGATTCCAGGAGTTCAGCCCATGGAAGGTCAGCCGATGTGGCCCGACGAGTACCTTTTCGCCGGCGGATCCGAAGTATGGGACAGCAACCACAAATTCCCACCCTTCCACGGCGGTGGCCTGAAGCGCGAGGGCGTCATGAACGCAGGCTTGTAAGTGCACCGCCCATCATGCGAACAATTCCCCACGTGGCTGGTGGCTAACGCTACTGCGAAACTAGCATCATCCTGCATCCCGACGAGAAGATGTTCGACTACCTCGTTTCCTTCATCGACATCAAAGATTCGTTCGATCCGACTTACAACGAGCAAAGCTTGCTCAATAAAGCGTTCGAGTGGGAGGGCCCCATGCCCTGGAAGGAGGTCGGATACACCTGGAACATGCGCTGCCCCAACGAGAACGATTTCGAGCACGGTCTGCCGAGCATGCACGAGAAGTGGTGGAAGCAGCCATATATCTACGACAACCAAAAGGTCAAGGACTGGCTTTTGGCGCAGAGGTGGGAGATGAAGGGTTGGTACGCTGGCCGAGAGGCGACAACAGAGAGCAACTCGTTGTCGACATGACACATTTGACTTCAAATGCTCCATCTCGTGTGAAGTCGAATTCTCCATCTCGTGTCTGCTTTGCGTTTGCGGTCTCTCGGTTGCCGTCTCTCTACGCTGTAGAGACACCTCGCCGATGCCGAAGATGGCCGACACTTTCTTTAGCGGCATATGTGCATCTTGCGTATACCACTTCTGCACCATGTCCGGCGTTGGCAGTCTTTTGCGTGGGATTTACTTACTTGTTTTCAAGTGTCTGCGAAAATTCTGTTGTGTGAGTAACTAAGCAGCACATATAATGTTCATCTATATATATCCTAGAATTGTTGCATTAGACGAATTATACCGTATTTTTTTTGTACTTCAATCTTGCAAACTCTCATACTCGTGGAATAAGTGTGTAATGTCTTGTGGCCAACAAGTTGGCGATTTAGGATACAGCTGTGTCAACTAACAAAAAGAGCAGATCTGCAGACCTTCGAGTCTTCGAATAGGTAGAGTTGTCAGTCCCAGTCTATCTAGACATCTCGCATGCATAGATTGTGGCAATAAAGTATTCTGTCAAGCTTTTGCCTTCCCTGCTAGCGTCCTGAGCACGTATTCGTGACAACCATGTGGTCTCCCTGGTTGAGCTAGGATACGGCTTTCCAGGTCAAAAAGACGGCAATGACTGTATCACGCACCCAAACTTTCAAAGCTAGAACTAAATGAAAGATGAATTGTAGCATCATTGTATTTCCGTATTGTTTTGAGTACCAGAGGTTAGCAGCGCTAGACATTAAATTATGTATACACAATATGCTCGGAGTTTGCCCAAGAAGTGGTAACAGGCAATGCTGGGTCGCTTTAGTATTCAATCTCCATATGCCCTTGTCTGGTAAAGGAATTTTGATATCGTAGGCACGCTCTCACCAGTTTACAATTACTGCCAAGGTTTCAGGTGTGATGTTCCTCCGGGAGGGGAGAGTGAGTGCAATGTTGGAATTAAATATATGGGATGGCTGACTATCGAACTTATTAACAGATGAAACGAAAACGGAGATATACAGAAAGATAGGAAAATATATAGATTGAATGACGAGAAACCACACAAAATACACTTCCGGCAACTGTTTGCACCCTAAAAAGACAGTTTGTGGTAAATCCCCACCCATCTGCCCGCTCACGGCAGCTTGGAATACTCGACAAACTCAACAAGTGGTATCATAAAGAACGCATCGAATTGAAGGCAATTTTTTCTCTCGTCTTGAGATGTGATCGACATCAAAGCGAGATTTTATATGGTAGCCTTGAACGTTGGCGCGAATTTACTCTTTTGCCTGAGTTTCGCACCACGGTACAGGAACCAGACGGGGACAGGCACCAGCACAGCGGCAACGCAACCAAGCAGCGTGGCAGCGTACTGAATGCCCATGGCCTCGAACATTTGTTGGGCGAACAAAGGGAAAACGGCGCCAAAGATGGACCGCAGGAATGTGTTGGCAGCAATTGCAGAAGCCGCAAACTTTGGAGTGAAAACGTCAGTATGTGAAGTTTTTAAGGAATGAACATGTCGAGGACCGACTCACCATTAGATATGCGTCCACGAGGTAGTTTAGTGCCTGTAGGAAAATACTGAGCAAGCCAAAGCCGATCAAAATACCAAACATGGTGGGGGCAATCCAGTGGATGGATTCATAGGCAGTCCTATATCGCGAGCGCAAAGTTAGCAAGAGTCGGATAGGGGCACTTGGAAATGCTACCAGCTCCACAAAACGCCACCTCGGGTGGTTTCTTGATGTCTGACAGCTCCGTATCTAGGGTAAGAACGCACCAACCAAAACCGAATATTCCAGCTGCGAAGCAGATGCCCCCAATGATGATTTCTGGCAGACGCCACTCGGGTATGGGTGTGTCGTTATTCGCAGCCAGCTTCTTCTGGTACCCAGGCTGACGGAGGAAAATGAGGGTGCCAGCAATCAATTGCCCCACAATCATGCCAAAGAACGGAAGGCCGCCAACTCCAGGATTCATGTGATGAACCCCTTGAAATCTGCAGAAAGTAAGTCGATATCAAACTATAGGTTGCCGGGCTGAAGCAGTAGAAAAAAAACTTACACGAGTGGGTATGCGGTCAGAAACAGATACAGAAGCCCGTAGATGAAGGCCATGTATATACTAAGCATACCGATGATAGGCTCTGTAAAGAGCATCCTCAGCGGCCGAGTGAAGTTCTTGGTGAGCAACTCCTTGAAGTCAATTTCCACCTCGTCCATCTTTGCATGAACTCCCCAATTCTTGGTCCTCCTTCGAATCTCCGTCGCCTTCTTCACGAGGATTGCGGGTGGGTATGTCTCTTCGAGAAAGAGAAGGTTGAGCGTGAATGCAGTGAAACCCATAATTGTCACAAGGTACTCAGTCCAACGCCAACCAAGGTGAGAAATGACGATGAAGCCACCTATGAAGGGTGCGAGGAGAGGGCCTGAAAACACGGTCATCGAAAAGACAGTGATAGCCCTGAAGCCGTGATGACGAAGTCAGTAAGTTGAACGACAGAGAGATATTTCGGAACAATGTTGAAGTCAACAAATTCCATCCAACAGCTTCTCATGACATGATGATATAGTCGGGTATACGTACATTCCTCTAGTGCGATTGTTGAACATATCAGAGAATACAGCGGCAACACACTGTACGATTGTCAGTAGGCTTGAAAAAATGGACAAGCAGCTAGTGGGGAGCCTACCGTCAAAGGACAAGCGCCGAAGAATCCAGAGAAGAAACGGCAAATCAGTATGGTTTGAATGTCTTTTCCAGTAGCCTAAATTCGCAGATGTCAAGTTAGTATGATGCACACAATTTTTTCCAGTGCCTCAGGGCCATCAGCGTGTCAAAACGCTGCACCGCGTGGTGTCTCCCGTAGCATACGTACCACACCTATATTGAATACAGAGAACCCGAATGAAGCTAGGACCAGCGGGAGTCGTCTGCCTTTGAGCTCTGAGAGGGGCGCCCAGACGATAGGGCCAGTCGCGAAACCAAGAACGTAGAGTGAGGTACCCAAAACGCCTACAGTTGTTCCGACATGAAATTGATTGGCGACTACCCTAGTAGCCGCGCTGAAGATGGAACTTCCAAATGCAGCTGTGAGAGTGGTAAATCCCAGCATCGCCGCGGTCATCAGTTTCTTTCGGAATGGCCAGTTCATTGCGTGCATCGGATCATCAGGCCCATCGAATTCGACAACATACTCCTCTCTTTCCGGCAACATGGGCGGATAAGGTTTACCCGCGCCGAATGCTGGTAGTGGTTTTCTTGATTGCCTACTCTTCAAGCTCGCGCCCACTGTGTTGGAGTGTTGCGATCTTTGTGTTTGAATGCGACTCAACGCGGTCTCATGCCTTTCCAAACCAGTAACTTCTTCGCGCTGAGTGGGTAAGCGCGAAATAGTTGCATCGCGTTCAAGACCCGAGGCATCTGAAGACGATGAAGATCCAGATGAGCTGCTGGATGCAGTCGGTATCCGGGTTACTGGCTCATGCTCTTCCGCCAATTCGGGGTGTGGAGGATTTTGCCCAGGGCTGGCGTCCCATTCGGATTTTTCGATGTACTTGTCGGCGGCATCCATAATGAATCACAAGTAGAGGCTGGGCAAAATGAGGGACGGAAAAGCAGCCGAACACGAATTGCGTGCAATCAATCCAGTAGTTAAACAGTGCCTTCAAATCTGGGTACGCCCCTTTAGAATGGTCGAGAAGAAATAACGGGCAAGTGGGTCGCGGAACTAGATTGTTCGATGGTAGGAGCAGGCTTTGGCCACGAAATAAGACCTAGGGGAACTGTAAACAAAACTCGAACAGAGAATCACAATCCTGAAGCCCGACTGCAAACTCAATTCGCTTGCCCGATGATTATCGGATAGGAGCGAAGAATGTAGAGGGAAGGGCCAATAATGATTTGAGGTGGCGGTCGAGGCCAAGTTCTGAGTTTGCGGTTCGGATTTTGAGTATTGATTGGGTGGCGGTTGGCATGGAAATTGGCTCGAGGCTAAATAAACATGGGGGCGGAACGAAACGAAGCAGAGCCCACACTCAGAGGTCGTCGCGACGAAAAGATGATCAGACGCAACAAACGGAGCGATTCTTGGATCAACGTAGTATTGGTAGTGAAAGAATGCCTTTCCATCTTTCTCAAGACAAATGGATTTATTCGTTTACTTGTACCTCTAGACCGTGCCACGGGTGGCATAGACATGATTGAAGAGTTGAAGCTTACTCATGCTCGTATCGGCTGACATCGATGGGCGTAAATGCTTCGGATGGCTAGTCATATACCTGGTGCATAGCACTATGCCTATCGTGATGGCAAATTTCATTTCTTCAGGGCGTAAAAAAAACATGCGCAATTCAAAAAGAGCAGGTGGGGAAGCGAAGGTATGTATCTGTCTACCAGAGATCGTTTCCTCTTGCATATATCTCTATATGCTCCGTTCATGATCCATTTGTCCGTCGTAATCATGCCCAAACCAGCCGTCATAACTCATCATCATAAGGCCCAGTCCAGGGCCTTCCAATCACACATGGATGATATGCGCCTATAGCTTTTGCATAGCAACAACATCCGTAGATTGGACGTGGTCTTCGTCAAGCTCAATCTCATCTTGCAAGTCTTGAAGGGAAACCTTCTCATCTTCGATGACCATGTTGATTTGCAACTTCTTGATACCGAAACCAACGGCAACGAACTGAGAAGCACCCCAGACGAGACCGTCCTTCTGGATACCGATAACGTTGGCCTTGAGCTGTTCAAGGTCGGTCTCATCGTCTACGTCCGGTTAGTATAGTCAACAGCATGTCGTTGAAGCAGATACATACCCCAAGGCTTGACATCCAATGTGCAGATGGACTTGGCAGCAGGCTTTACCTTGCCAGCCTTCTTCTTGTTGTACTCGGCAAGGCGCTCGGCCTTGAGCTTCTCGGCAGCCGCGTCCTCCTCCTCGTCGTCACTTCCGAAGAGGTCGACCTCGTCATCGTCTTCCTCGGCAGCAGGGGCCTTGGCAGGGTTCACGGGAAGCTCAGACTGCTCAGGGCCGTAGGCGGTGGCCTCCTTGGATGGGTCGCCAGGAAGCGAGGAGAATTCGCTCTCGAAGGTGAGCATGTGGTTGTACCAGCGCCATGCGTAGGGGAATTTCTCGGGAGCGGGGATAGTCTTGATCTGCTGGAAGACCTTGACATCGGCCTGGGAGGGGGTGTATCTGGTGCTGTGTTAGAACAGACGGTCTAGAAAACGACGACGAGAAAGATGCAAAGCAAAGACGACAATCAGAGATGCGACAAGCGCGTGGTTTTGTATTCATGTAGCGGGGTCTTAAGCCGCCTCATTAACACGGACCAAATGTTTTCATCACTGTAGGGGGGTGTACACCGAAAAAAGAGGGATGGCGGGGCAACATACCCAACAATGTAGCTGCGCGTCTTCACCCAGTTGTTAAGCAGGGTGAGGCCAGCATCGGAGACGAAGTCGGTGAAACCCATGACGAAGAAATGTGTATTCTTGGAGAATTGGGGTGTTGACGAGGGGGAAAGATGAAGGTGGATGTGGACAGAGTTTTTTTCGAGAAATGAGTCGCAACGGAAGTTGATCCAAGCGGTTGATTATGTAATTACGCTAGCTGAGACTAGTGGAGTCACGTGCACGTCTTGCCTCCCCCAGCACCTACAGATATCACTGCATGTCGCTACATATAGTAGATAAACGAGCCCAGTTACTCCAGGTTCTTGATAGAGTAGCTGCACTGCACGAAGAATGGACCTCAGACAATCGTATGGTTCATAGATGGAATTGGCACTTTTCGATTCCGGTCCGAAAGTCTGTAGAAAGAGCTCGAACCAACGCCTCGATTCCTGAAGCAGCTGGATCCACACCCTTGACGCAGCTTATAATCAACAGCAACGCCATCTCTGTGCAACTGAACTGCTTTTGAGATTCGGTCTCATTTCATCACATTTGATCTCACCATGATTTCCAGTAGAGCACGCATCGCGTTAAGTCGTGCACCGACCAAACTATTACGCCCGCTCGCAGTACGGCCATTGACCCTTAACCTCGGTTTTGCCACACTTCGCCAGTCCAATCTGTTACTGCGGCCCGCCATAGGAAGTCGTAATTATGCAAATGGGCGTCCGCAACCTCCAGGTGGCACTCATCGCATGAATCTTGGTGGTGAGCCCGAGAAGCCAGCATTGGAACAGTACGGCGTAGACTTGACCGCCCGTGCAAAGGATGGAAAACTAGATCCGGTCATTGGCAGAGATGGCGAGATACACAGAACTATCCAAATCTTGTCGAGAAGAACGAAAAACAATCCTGTGTTGATCGGCGCGGCGGGGACGGGCAAGACAGCAATATTAGAAGGGTTGGCGCAGCGCATAGTAACGGGCGACATACCCGAGTCCATCAAAGAGAAGCGCGTGATCTCCCTTGATCTCGGTCAGCTCATCGCAGGAGCCAAGTTTCGAGGTGATTTCGAGGAGCGATTGAAGAAGGTGTTGCAAGAGGTGGAAGAAGCTAAAGGCGGTGTAATCCTGTTCGTTGATGAGCTACACACCCTTTTAGGTCTGGGTAAAGCCGAGGGAAGTATCGATGCTAGTAACCTACTCAAACCGGCTCTATCTCGAGGCGAGCTTCAGTGCTGTGGCGCTACGACACTCAATGAATATCGTCTGATCGAAAAGGATGTTGCCCTCGCGCGTCGGTTCCAACCAATACAGGTGGGCGAACCAAGCGTACAGGATACGATTTCAATCTTACGAGGCATCAAAGAGCGTTATGAAGTTCATCACGGTGTGCGCATCACCGATGGCGCTCTTGTTGCGGCTGCAACATATAGCAATCGCTACATCACGGATCGTTTTCTACCGGACAAAGCCATTGATCTAGTTGACGAGGCCGCGAGTGCCCTGCGCTTACAACAAGAAAGCAAGCCCGATGCGATTCAGGAGCTGGACAGACAGATCATGACAATACAGATTGAATTGGAGTCGCTGCGCAAGGAAACTGATGTGGCCAGCAGAGAACGACGGGAACGCCTCGACGAGAAGCTGAAAGCTAAGCAAGACGAGGTTAGGACATTGACGGAAAAGTGGGAGAAGGAGCGTGCGGGTCTCCAGGAAATCAAGAATGTGAAAGAAGAGCTGGAGAAAGCTAGGTTAGAGCTTGAGCAAGCGCAACGCGAAGGAAACTTCGGCAAGGCTGGAGAGTTGCGATACTCAAGGATTCCTGAGCTCGAGCAGCGATTGCCCGAAGAGAAAGAGAGCTTGACTGACAGAGGACCCGATTCCCTTCTTCACGATTCTGTCAACGCTGACGATATTGCCGCTGTTGTAGCGAGAACGACAGGCATTCCTGTATCTAAGCTTCTGCGTGGGGAAAGCGAGAAGCTCATCCACATGGAAGATGCACTACGCGAACATATTCGCGGCCAGGACGAGGCCCTCACTGCCGTTGCAAATGCCATCAGAATGCAAAGAGCTGGCTTGTCTGGCGATGATCGACCTATCGCTTCCTTCATGATGCTGGGACCAACAGGAGTCGGAAAAACAGAAGTGTGCAAGCGTCTGGCCGAGTTCCTTTTCTCCACTCAACAAGCAGTTGTGCGGTTTGACATGAGCGAGTTTTCAGAAAAGCACACGGTTTCGAGACTGATTGGAGCCCCAGCCGGTTATGTTGGTTATGATGACTCAGGGCAACTAACTGAAGCCGTTAGGAGGCAGCCTTACGCTGTAGTTCTTCTCGACGAATGGGAGAAGGCACATAAAGATATCTCGGCTTTGCTTCTGCAAGTCCTCGACGAAGGGTTTCTGACCGACGCACAAGGGCACAAAGTAGACTTCAGAAACACGATCATTGTCATGACATCGAATCTCGGAGCAGACATTATTGTTGGAGACGATTTTTCAAGTCAGAATGACAAGGACACAAGTGAGATATCCTCTGCCACTAGGGATAGTGTGATGGATATCGTGACCGCATCATATCCACCCGAATTCCTCAACCGTATTGATGAGTTCATCCTGTTCCGACGATTGTCGCGGGAGGCTTTAAGGGATATTGTCGACATCAGACTCAAAGAGCTCCAACAGAGGCTCGATGACCGCCGTATCATCCTTGAAGTACCCGATGAAGCTAAGCAATGGCTGTGTGACCGTGGCTACGATCCTCGGTTCGGTGCTCGTCCGTTGAACCGACTTATCTCAAAAGAAATCGGAAATGGGCTCGCAGACAAGATAATTCGAGGAGACATCAAGACTGGCGATGTGGCGAAGGTTTCTGTCAAAGACGATCATAGCGGATTGTTGGTTTCCGGCCACGCAGTTAATTAAAGGCAGGTTCAACTGACGCATCGTAAGCCTGCACACGGTATAATGATGAAAACGAAGGAATGACTGTACCATATGTATCATACCGGGGTGTTGTTGGTGAGAGCCCTGTCACGTGACCCCATATCACGTGATGTGTGATTCATTCACACATATTAGATAGATAGATAAGATAGAGTAAGCGGGCACATATAAATAGCTCGACTTACCCTCCTAGACACTATCACCAATATCATCATCTGCACTATTGCTAAGAGGTGTTCGAATTGGGCTATACTCAAAGGTTGAACAGAACGCGGATAGTGTATTATAGTTGTAACCTCCCACCATTTATGTACTATCATTATTGTAATATACTTCGACGATGTATCTAACATGTCAGTTCTATTGAGTGTATTCAAAGTCTGGCCGAAATGAACAGACGTCAACTTATGGTCTGGAATCGTTTGTGGTCGCATGCATGCCGCGTTATATTCACGAAATTATGCCAGACGTACCCGTTATCATTGACTCATCACTGGGTTTTCATGTAAGGTTGTTTAGCCCAGGTCGATGGAGTATGCAGACGTTCCTGGTGGATGTATCTGTCTGTACGGCAAGCACGCGTCCATTTGCACCTTCCTCCACTTCATCGCCCTCTAGTGTGGGTTACCCTGTCACACCTCGTCTCTCCGTCATCCTCAACCACTGAAACAAGAAATATTCTTGGGCTTTCACCCAAATAGATATCTCGATCCGCTGGAATTATGCCGCCCAGGTACAGACACTGGTCCTCAGCCCGCAGCAGTAAGAGTAGCCAACAAAGCTCCGTATCCAGACGAGTACCCGGCCGTCGCCCACTTTCCCTGTCGTCAACAAGCACTTTACAAGCCTCAAGCGACTCTCAATTGCCTGTGTTGGACGATTCCCGACATTCGTACAGCAGCCCTTCCCAGCCACGTCTCCCTGAACTCCAGTTAGATGATGACACGTTCGATGAAGTCATTATGGCTGTAGATCTGCAACGCCGCGGAACGGTAGGGTGCAGCTATTATGTTGTACGCGACGAAAAGCTTTACTGCATGGAAGATATTCAATTGGGCGGGGTTGATATCGTGGAAGCCTGTATCTTACCATTCCTACCCTGTGCCAGCAAAGATGGTCAGCTAATAGTTGCCAGTAAAAGTCTACATTGACCCTACCGTCATTATCATCTCGACTAAAGTGACCGATGCTGTTGTCCATCAACTCGATCCCGATGCCGGAAACTTCACTCTCGAAGATCAGGATCGTGAGTCAGAGTGGGCCGAATTCTTTCCCGGAACAGCTCTGACAATACCAGATCACCAATATCGATTGCCGTTCATATTGGAACAGCGGCCGCCTAGCGAATTCTCATATGAAGCGGCGAAAACCAAGATATCTCACCTAGCCCTTGAGGGAGACCCTCAGTTGCGATGCAACTTTGTCATGACGGGTGATAAGATTCTCAGTGACGCTGCAGGTGATGGCGAAGCGAACACCGGCCAACAGAGTTGTTTACTTCGACTGGCTGGCTTGATCGATCTCGACAGTAATCTGACAGTAAGTGAGAGTCACGTATCAATATTTAATATGTATTCTGAAAAACGATTAGATTGGTTGTGCTGGTGCACTCCTCTCGTACCTGCAACGGAGACGCGCCGCAGCATATCTTCCAGGGGGCATTGATACCCAGCACGTGTTTCGTGTTTCTACAGTCGAGATGTTTAGTCTCAAAGAGACCATGTAAGTACGTCGCACTATCCTTCTTATCTCGAAGGCTAACTCCCGCAAGGTTTGTCAATTCTGACACACTGCATTGTCTACGAATACTGGAGAACGAATCCCACCCAAACTCACATAACCAAGGACCTGGTAAAATACCTTCAGGATCCAAAGAAGGCTTGTCTGTATATGGCTTGTTCCATCATCTCGCTCGAACACCCCAAGGAAAACACCGTCTGCGGCAGATCTTCCTGCGACCCAGCGTGAATCTCGATGTGATTGAGGATCGACTAGAGATTATTCGTACATTCATTCGTCCAGAGAATTCAGAAGCTATGAACACACTTTCTGAGAGCTTAAAGGCTGTTGGTAACATGCATGTTATAGTTTCCAGTCTGAAAAAGGGTGTTGGAGGCGCTGGTTTCCCTGGTAAAACTGGAGGGCCATCCAACACATTATGGTCCCGGTTACAGCGGGTGCGTTTTTGATGTCAACTGTGATTTTATCCTTTGCCAGTATACTGACACTACCAAGTTCACGTTTTTTGCGCTCAGCATTAGTGATGCCATTCGAGAAATCAATGGTGGAGCACACTTGCCAATCGTGAAAAAGGTCCTTGAGCGAATCGAGAGACACCACTTGGCCAACGTTGGCAAACGCATCAGTGACCTGGTATTATAATCTCACCTGGGAATTGTACCATGATCAAATTAACATTTCTAGATTGATCTTGACGCGTCTGCTGAGGAATCGAGAACGATCATCAAGGCAGGAGTTGACGAGGAGCTCGATCGCATGAAGCATGTGTTCGAAGGCCTTCCTTCATTACTTTCGGAAGTTGCCCGTAAAATTTCAGAGAAGGTGCCTGCCAGCCTACAAACCTTCCTGAACGCCATCTATTACCCGCAGATTGGATTTCTTGTCACTGTTCCACTCGAGCGCACCACAGGTGAGGCAGTCTATGCTGGTAATTTCGATAATCCATGGGAACAGATATTCATGACTGAGTAAATTGAACTGGTGAAACTGTTTTAGACATCATCTAACAGCCGATAGGGACCAAGTTTATTACAAAACCGATGAAATGAGGGAAATGGACGACCACTTCGGTGACTTGTACGGTATGATATCAGAGCGTGAGATCGACATTAGCCATGAATTGGCGCAATACATACTCGGGTACGAGGAAGTTATCGTACAGGCATCAGATATTCTCGGCGAGCTTGACAGGTGTGTTACAAGCGTGAAGATACTCACGCGATTATTTTTTGGTATGGTCAAACAGAGGCTCACAGACACAGTCTCCTTGCATTATCTCAAGGTGCTCAGACCTACAACTTACATTGTCCGAATATGACCCAGGACAACCTGATTGATATCAAAGGAGGGAGGTATGTGGGACTAAATCACCAGTATCTGCCATGTATCGGCTTGCTCACTAAGTGTTAGACATATCCTTCAAGAATACGCGTTATCGGCGAAATTCGTACCGAATGATACCTTACTGGTTGGTGGACTAGGCCCCAGAGAATCGAGTCCTCATGCCGGGGGGACCTCCAGCCGTCGCTTTCCAACGGACGAGGCGGATTGCCCGAGCATGTTGATACTCACTGGACCGAATTACTCCGGAAAAAGCATATATCTGACACAGGTTGCGCTGATTGTGTATTTGGCACATATTGGGAGTTTCGTGCCAGCGGAAAGTGCGACAATCGGAATTACCGACAAGATACTGTCTAGGGTATCGACCCGAGAAACGGTTTCACGCTCTCAGAGCACCTTTATGATAGATCTTCAGCAGATGTCACTAGCTTTGAACTTAGCATCCCGTAGGAGCTTGCTCATCGTGGATGAATTTGGAAAGGGTACCGACTCCAGCGATGGAGCAGGGCTTGCAGCTGCGATCTTGACACATCTGCTTGGCCTAGGAGCTGATAGCCCCAAAGTGCTAGCAGCAACCCATTTCCACGGTATATTGAGACCCTAAAGTCTTCAGAGTTACCAATTTTGTAATTGACGTTGACAGAAATTTTCGAGAACAACTTGCTGCCACAAAGCCCTCAGCTTGCGTTTGGACATATGGAAGTTTGCGTCAACGACACCGCTGCTGAGCCAGAGGACCAAGTCACTTATCTGTACAAGTTGAGTCTATCTTGGCCTTATTTGAACTTGTGCTGATGGTGGTAGCTTTCGTGATGGCCGTAGTAATTCGAGTTTCGGTGCTTGGTAAGTTTGCCGCCTGGGCAGATCAGAGACAAGTCTCACCACTCTAACGGGTGTTAGCTGCGCAGCCATGAACGGTATTCCCGTTGAGATAATATGTCGGGCAGACGATTTGATTGCGATGGCAATTAGAGGGGAGGACCTTGTAGCAGCATGCGCGAGTATGCCTGTTGCCGAGGCCGAAGAGTTGAGGGAGGCTGTAAGATCCAACATGACTACACTGGAGCTCGGCTGATTTATTTACAGGAGCAGATGGCTCGAGAGTTTCTCGAACAAGAGATCTTTGGTGATCCCAAAGCAAAGTTGGGCGAGATACTGAAGTTGCCGAGTAATCATTTTACAAATACCTAAGACGGTTGGTTCAGGAGCAACTCCTGTCAGTGTGAATACGGAAACGCATTGCGGGCAAGCCCCATCAAGATGCGGTTCCTTGGCTTAAATTACATCTTGTCGAAGGTGAAAACGAGTGAGTCGCAGGTAATGGTTTTTATAAAAACCATTCCTTCGACAATCTTGATAATATGGTGTTATGAAGAGTCAGGTGCCCGAGGGGTGGTTGAGACAGTTACATCTTATCCATTCCCACGAGAAGGTCATACTATGAACTTACCGAAAGGGAAAAGACGAAGTGTATGTAGTGGAACATGGTGTGGTGCGGCTTCCATTTATTTAGCGATTCTTGTTATGTCTGAGGAATCATCACATTACATTTAGTATGCTTCAATCTCCAACTGATTTCAACAACACGTTTAAGAATGCTGATATTCTATTTGGAAAACCAGGGGGCGTATTGCAAACTTGATCAGACGTGGATACTGCTACAAGGTTTTACCCCGTCGTTATCACGTTCGGATTGTTCGAATGTACCAGAGACGGACGACAAACTGCGAGGGTCCTGGCTTTCCCCTGCATATGAAAAGGAGCAAATAAAGCGATAATCCTGTTGAGCTAATTCGTCGTAAGATCCCTGATTTAATGATAATTGCATCCATTGTGCGAGCTGAGATTGCCATTTCGAGTGACTGACAATATCCCAATGTTTGTTTTATACCCCCCTCCCCTTCCAAGACCAATAGTGCTTACTGACTTACCCAAGTACCTACGGGATGTTGGCCCGGGAGGGGGGCCAATCGATCAGATATACGGACTACCCGCTGCTGCTCCTGCTGCTCCTCACCCACGGCCCTTCCCTCCCCGCATAACGCCAGATTCTAGACTGCCTGCCTGACAATCTACCTGGGACGCCTGAGGAGGTGTTTGTTCGACGCACGCACAAACACCCCGTTCATGTGAGACTCACGCATACATGGCCCGACATTTGGATTGCGGTACAGGAGGATGAGAAGGAAGGGTGGGGTGGGGGAGGGGGTACCTTATCGTACCTGGCAAGGAAGGAACTCGAATGCAATACGAATGCGGCGGATTTGTATGATTCCGCAACCTGCAACTGACTCGTCCCGTGAACCCTTCTCTTCACCAATGAGCATGTTCTACGTTTGCCATTTTTCACCACAGAATCACGTACGGGTAAGGCTGGCCTGTGAAGATCCATTTCGCTTAGTCTTACTGCGTAGGAAGGACCTGCTCGAACAAGACGAAGACGGCAACGCGTGGCTGCTGTGGCGTGGCAATAGTGAATCCTTTCGCTTATTTGATGGATGGATGGATCATGGATGAGTAGAAAGAGGGAAGGAAGGAAGAAAGGACGGACGTGATTCCCCTCGCTTACGAAACCGTTGAGGCGCCTCATCATCGCAATGAGTACACAGACCAAGTTGGTCAATCAACGCATGTCATCTTCCTTTGCTTCCTTTGCTTCCTTTGAGGAGTAGTTCGTGGACGTTGCGTGATCTTCATACGTGGATGAAATAAGCCATTGGTTGCCAAGAAGCAATGATAAAGTCCGGATTGGGTGGGTTTGAGTCTACAGTTGTACACAGGCGCGTTTCGCACTTCCTACTCTTGTCTCTTCTTCTTCTTCCTCCTCCTTCAAGCGCTTTACCCGTGAAGGATCGGTGCGCAGACCAAGGTCGTGCGTGACGGGATGGATCTGCATACTTGCAACGTCTGTTTTGCGTATGTAGGCCTGTGGGATTCTGGCATGAAGATGCGTGCATGGCATGCGACGACGTGCTCGGAGCGAAGTAGTCAAACGGCTTGGGGTACGGAAGATGCGAAAGTGATAGCAAGAGGGAGGGGGGACATGCGCAGGCGAGCGGACGGACCACCGATGCTTTCGAAACGAACCGAGGACGCAGTTTGGGTTGGTTGGGTTCGCAAGAAAGAGGTGGTGATGTGTAGTGACGGTGCGTGGGTGTGGCTTTTTGCTTGGTTAGCCGCATCGACGGCCCCATGCTTCCTCTCCCAGTCCCCTGGCGGTACTCCTCCACGTTTGTTCGGTCTCCGAAGCAACAAAGATACGAGGTAGAGAACGGTGCTCCACATGTTGCCGAAGATGCAAACCCTTGATCCGGACAAGCTCGCTGCCAGTTGCTGTGTACGTGCTGTCCAAAGCGCATGCAGTTGCTTTTGGACTCAGGCGCTCGAGGACGGTCCAACGTCATTTCTCCGCCGCCTGCATGAGTGGCGGGCCGCTGGCGGCCACGACCAACACGACGGCCTGCTTGACCCTGCAGCAAGCTCATACATGCGGACCGTGGCAGAGATGGGGGTGCGATGAAGTGCACTCTGGCGATTGCGGATGACGTTGAAGTGTGGGAAGAGAAGAAGCAAGCAGATGGAATGATAGGCACATGTAGATGGGTGTGTGTGTGTGGAGGGAAGGCAAGGAACACGTGAGCGCAGCGGGCGATTCAATCGACGGAGCTTGAGGCTTCCGATGGTTGGGTGAGTTTGGCGCATTGTCCGCGTCGACGACCAAGCAAGCCAGCAAGCTGTGGTTGAACGGAGACATGGAAACATAGCTAAATGCCGTGTACACCTGTAGCTGGGTGGGTTGTTATCGATAGTTTGAGGTGTTGGAACATTCAGAGGAAGGTTTCTGGGGCCCGTGAGAGACTACAGGCTAGGCTGCGCTACGGACTTTGGCAAAGGTCTTGCATGCGACTGCGACCTTCCCCTTGCAGGTTTTCGATGACTACCGATTTATCGAGTCATCCAATGGGGCTCGCGACTGCTGTTGGGTTTGCTGGACGAGGTTCGGACGCTCCCGACGACGAGGACGGGGACGGGGACGTGAGGGAACGACTGGCAGAGGCTGCCCGCGAGAAGCCAGCTAGCCGGCCAGCCAGCCAGCCAGCACGGATGGCAATATTGTACAATCCCTCCGCACCACGATGACGACTGCTAGGTTCGGCAGGGTGCGAATACGACGAAGAGAAGTTGTCGCATGTAGATCTCGAGAAGGGCACATGGATGATAGCGCGAGCTGCCTGCGTAGCCAATGAGCTTGCGTGCTCGCTGGGGTGGAGCAGCAGTAGCAACACCACCACCACTGACTACTTCTGTCCCCGTCTCCATCTACCACTACATACACTAGAGGTCGGCGAGCCGCGAAGGGCCATGTACATTTCGGATCCAACACGTTCGTTCGTTTGTTCAGTTGGCATGCGCGACAAGACATGGACACATACATGTGGAGCGGGGGAGAATCAACGTCTTTGCCAGGAAGCGGGCGATGGATGCTTGGCCTGGCTGGCCTCTGGTTCCTTCGCAATACGCCAATCTATCCATCTATCGATAGCATCGCGGTTGAATGAGCATATCCGTGTGCCCGCATTGTGGCTCCAGCAATAAGGTGGAGCCCGAGAACAGAGGAAGACGGCGAGGACCAGGACGGCGATGTTGCCAGCCCTCCCAAGGTGGGCCTCTGCCGCGTCAACGATTCAATCGAGCAAATCACTCAATCAATCTAGCTGTTGCTAGTGAGTGTGGTTGCAGCTTGCAGTGCAGTTGTTGGTGGTGGTGCATTCATTGCCTACAGTACATTACCCACCTGCCTACCTACGGATGTAATGTACATACTATGTACATTACATACATATAATTACTAGGCAGGCACATGGCTACAGTAGCACGGCCGTGGCGGTGCGCCAATAGAGAGGCTAAATAAACACCATGTTTCATGAATTAAATCTCCTAGAGGAAGTACGGGAGCATCGCACATCACCCACCCGTGGAGGCCTGATGGAATAATCTAGACGACGATGATGAATTCAACCCACCCCACGATGCATCGCAGGGCAAGCAAACAGACGGTGAGGGGATCTGCGTGTCTGGCAGTCTCTTCATCCATGGTTGGCAGTCCACAGCGTCCCAGTACATAAAGTTGAATCAATCCAGCAGCAGCAGCAGCATCATCAAAGGCGTCCATGTGGAGAGCAACTGAGAATGGGGCGCGCAATGGCATCGAGGGTCACGGACGGGGCCAAAGCTCCCCCTGTTTCCCTTTGACGGTTCCTTGATTGGACGCTTCAGCAAAGTGTATGCTGTCTGGTAGCTACCTCGGTCGATGCATCCATCCACGATACATATGCCGTCCGCATCATGATTTCTCCCAGGCGTGCTGTCTGGCTGGCTGGTGGAGGAGACGGGCTATTTGCGTTGCAGGCAAACAGACAGGCAGGCAGCCTAATAGCCTGGCTGCAGCTATCCCTAGCGAGGCTGAGCAGCCAGGCAGCGTTTCCATATTTGACTTTGCTTCCCACCACGCGCACACACGCATGCAGTCAATCAATGTACGTATGTACGGTTATCCCCTCTCTGGGAGCTATGACGATGATGATTCCCTCGACCATGGCCGCTCAGTGTTGTCTCGCTTTTCTGACTGCGACGGCACGGCGCTTGCCGCGTGAATTGCTTGGCGCCCGCTGCACGTTCATCAGCATCCACTTGCTTGAGTCCTGTACTGTACTGTACTTGGTTACTCAGCTACATCGGAAGATGAAGAGCATCTAAAAAAAAACCCCCCCAGAAAAACGGCCACGGCATCTACAGTACCCAAGACGAAGAAAAAGCCGCCGCCTTCAGCCCTAAGGGAGCAAGCGAGCGCGCGAGCGAGCAGATTTAGAAAAGGATAACTGCAATTAAGACCGGGTTCATAGTTAGAACAAGTGGAACGGGGCATAGGCGGGCGTGGGTGAGGTGATTTGGCAGGACCTATTTTTGTGAGGAGAGACGGGATGGGTGAGTGAATGGGTGAGTGAGTGAGGTGTCTGTCGTCTGTCAGTCAGTCAGTCAGTCAATCTGTCAGTCTGCCGCTGGCGGGCGCGAGTCAGCGCTAGTCGACTGCCACGGTCAAATCAAAGCCTGGGTGGGGACGGCTTTGGCTGTGTGTGGGTATCGAGCCGCCCGCCTAGTGACGATAGGGCAATGTCTCCTGTGTGATTGCTGGTTTGGGCCATGGTATTGTACCTAAATATCAGTGTGCTGTTATTTCCAGACCACCAGCCTTGGAAGACGACGTGGGTGCTGGTGGATATGCATGTATGGATATGGATATAGCAACGAACGAGCAAGAGGGCTGACTAAGTCCACCCCACCTCATCTGTCAACCACCACCACCACCATCCCTCATGTCGCTCACTCACGACTTGCTTGCGTCCCTGGCCAGACATATACGAATCGCTTACTCGATTCCCTCCCATCTCACGATCAATGCGAGTGCCACCCTTCTATTTACACTCCCACCTGTATGACATACATGAGCAGCCGATGAATCTGTGTGTGGGTGCCATCATCGCTCGTCACTCACCACCACCACCACCAGCAGCAGCAGGTACCGCACCACCGCGAGAGGACGGCACGGCTGGGGCACGTCCCGAGCCTATGGACGGTTCAAGTTGCATCTGGCAGACTGCCTGCTCTCCTCGTGGGCTTAATATGCGTACAGATTAGTAGATTCCATCGAGGCGGCGCACGACCCGGCAGCGCTTTGGAGGCACGATCGGCAGCGCAAGCATGCCAAAACGTCTCCCATGCCAGATAAGATGCAATCAAAGCAGTAAAAAGCTCGAGCGTGCCCTCATCAAGCAGAGGCCAGTGGTCACCTCGACATGCGGGCGTGCAGTCGTGCGCTAGAAGCAATGCGGCATGGACCTTGGAGGCAGGCCAGGGCCAACACCACCACCACCACCTCCATCACCACACCCCTTGCACGCCTCCCTGTCCCTGTCTTCCCTCCCCTTCTGCTTTGGCCCCCCATCCCCTTGCCCTGCCCTGCCCTGCCCTGCCCTGCCCTGCCCTACTGCGCTCGCTGCTCCCTCGCCCTCTCCCATCCCCCCCTGCTCCGCCAGCCCCCAAGCCGAAGCGTCAGCTCAACGACCATCGACCACCCTATCCTTGCAAGCGCCCCAGTCCCTAGATCGCCTTGCTCTCTCAGTCTGCCTCTGTCTGCCAGTCCATGCTCCGCCCGTATATAACACTCTCTGCTCTTCATCCTCCTCCCGACCGAGAAAAGAAGGCTCCCAGTTGCATTGCTCTCAATCCAACTTCACCATGTTCCAACCCGTCCCCCAGTCCTTCACCTCCCAACCGGCTTCCTCATCACCCATTGCCGTCATGACCTCCATCCCACCTCCCCACACTACTCTCGTCACCACCACCAGCCCGGGCAGTGACCAAAAACCGCGCAAGCTTCGAGCTTCCTGTGATGCTTGCTCCCGCGCAAAGGTATGCCGTTCCATACTTGGTCTGTCAATTTCATCCACATGCTAACATGCCACGCCTCGCCCAGGTCAAGTGTGACAAAATAAGGCCTACCTGCCATCGCTGCGGCAACATGGGCATCTGCTGCAACTACTCCCCTTCCATGAGGTATGTTTCCCTTTCCACTTCCACCCCACCTTGGAAAGGGCCAATCTCACTCTCTGTTCCCAGACTCGGAAAGCCTCGCAAGAACAGGAACCCGGATGGCTCCATAATGCGCGATGTCTCCCCTGCCAGCTCTTGTGGTCCTCTGGGCACTCAACCGAACATGATTCCCCGCACTGCCGCCCCGTATACTTCAGAGAGCTCCCCAGAGCCCTCAGACCCCTTCTTCTTTGGACCAGCAACTCCCGAGTATCACTTTCAAGATGCTTACATGGGACCCAGCTTCGAAGGAAGCCAATCTCCAGCCTACTCTGAAACCGGTTCGTTCGTCAACAGCTGGTCGGGCGACGACCACATGATGTTCCACAACAGCCCTCCCGAGGTTTTCCACTCTGTGCCACAGTTCCCCTCCAACCCGTCATCGTACGGAAACCATGTTCGAACCACCAGTGTCCAGAGTCAACCAGAGTTGTACGCCCCCATGGACAACATCAGTTCGCCACCCTTATCGAGCCCTCAATATTATGGCATGCAACAGCAGCAGCAGCTTCCCGTCTTCTCCCCTTCCAAGATGGTCACATCCCCCCCTCCTATGGTCTCCGCACCACTTCCTACCCCGCCTGCGTCCGCCACTACTCCCAATCACGACTGCACTCAATTCGCTTTTCAAACTTTGAACAGCCTCTACTCACCTCCGACCAGCCAGCCCACCACTGGAGATCTCTCCGCCCATTCCAAGGGCGTTCCCACTCTTGATACGGTGCTTTCAACCAACAAATCAGCAGTCGACAAGCTTTTTGTCCTGCTTGGATGCTCCTGTTCCGCCAACCCTCACTTCTCCACCACCATTGCATTTACCATTGTCAAGATCCTCTCATGGTACCAAGCCATCTCCGGTGCGACGCCGTCCGCGGGCGAATCGTCCGTGACTCAAATGGAAATCTTCACCCACACTCCCATCTCTCTCGGCGAGTTCAAGCTCGACGGCGAAGATGAACGCACCGTCCGGACCCAACTCGTCCTCGCCGAACTGCGCAAAGTGGAAAAGCTCATTGACAAGTTCTCAGAGCGCTACTGCAAGTCCAACAGCTTGGCCGATACAGGCATCGATGGGGGAGTGTATAGCGCCTTGGAGCAGCTCCTACGCACGCGCGTACGCGACACATTCAAAGTCACCATGAAGACGGCACCAGACGAAGTCAAGAGACAGTTGGCCTCGAGAACACAAAATCGCGCCCGGAACTACACTTTTTGAAGAGCCGGTGTCTTGTTCACACGTGTTTTGTTTTTATTGCCTTAGCGTTGTGTATTCATTCGGAACGTTTTTTTTTCTCTCTTCATTTCTTTTTTTTCCCACCATTTTCATGACAACATGACCTTTTTCCATTCTTGTTTATACTTGTTGTTCGATTACCCCAGCTGAAATGCTACGCTTTGATATCACGACGAGCATACTAGCCGTCTTTTGCATTATAGAACCAAGCTCTATATATTCATCTTCTTCATCCACTTTTTCCACTTTTTCCTGTTCGCCTCTGGTTTGGCTGTGCCAGGTTCGCAATGAGGACCTCAAGCAGCTTAGCCTTGCAGATGAAGACTGCCCACTTGTACGTATTATTTGGAACGACGGGGGTGCGAAGAGCTGGGGTAGGGGCCAGGACACGGAACCTACGCGGCAGCGATATAGGCTATGCAGGGAGGACTGAAGCATACATAGGTAGCCAGCCATGCACGTGTCTCGCGAGAGGCAGCATTTATCCAGTGGCCCTGGGCCAGATGCGACGAACCGACACGACGGAAATGAATTTTAAAAAACTCAAAACACCCAGCAATGGTACGATGCATGGAAGCTAAACATATTGACTACCCGACTTGTTCTCCTCTGCGCTCGTTTCTCTTTTCGCGCGACATGGTGTATTTGGATTGCCCAGGGCGCATGGAGGAAGCTCCGTGCAGGTTGTGAAGGCCAGGCCAGGGCCAGCGGTTATTATTCGCCTAAATTCACAGCTTCTGGACTGGAAGCAGGATCCTTTGGGCTCAAGGAGAGAATGACAAAAGGGTCTATGGACTGTGGAGAATGAATGGAACACAGCAGTGGTAAGGTTGGGTCGGGTCGGTAGGGCTGTCTGTCTGCTTGCTGCGTGGGCCTGTGGCCTGGTAGTCAAGGCCCGAGTGAGTGAGCAAGTTGACGAGACGGAGTAGACGGCACGAGTGTACGGGTCGTCCCCGTCACACAGAGTGCCAGTCCCTGTAGACATGTTACGTACAGCGTGCAGCGTGCGCATGCGAGTACCGCACTTGGTCAACAACAAACAGACGAAAACCGCTATAGGGTGCGCTCCGGCCCCCAAGCTACCTGAGGCCAGTGCGCTGGGTGGACTCTTTTTTTTTTTTTTCTTTTCTTCTTTTCTCCTTTGCCTTTTGGGACCGCAGGGAACAGCCGACCGGGAATGAAGAAAAGAGGGCAGAATTATTCCCCTTGGGCGCAAAATCACCAGATTCTGAATTCTTGGCCCATGCTCCGCAGCGGTCTGGGTCTGAGAGAAATTGTGGATTGATACTACTGTGTTCTCCTACCCATGATTAGATGGGGCTGCCAGGGAGTGATGGAGCTAATGGAAAGGAGACCAGCTTTCCATGTCTAGTGCCAAGGCAGACTCTCGAACTATGTACCCATATTTCCCAATAGTAGGGGAAAGTCATGATGGTGAGAGGAAAAGAGAGGGAAAAGAGAGCCTTGCCATTGTGGGTCATGGGAATAATGGGGTAATTACACTGGAGAAGTACCATGGTGGTGGTGTGACCAAAAGTCGACTTGGACATGTCGAGTTTTGTTTTTTTCGGTGGTGCACATAACACACTGACGACGGCCAGTACATGTGTACAGGATGGCGCTGCGGTTGGCTGGAGATATTTCTTCCGTCAGGGCCGCGTGTGGCTGGCCTCGGGCGGCTACGTGCATGAAGGGGAATAATACATGGCATTGATTTTCTGCTTCAAATCTTGCTCCCCTGCCTGCCTTTTCTCTTGCTAGTTTCCTAGTTGGCTGTGGCACGGCGGCATGGCTCAGTACTAAGCAAGTGAGGACTTAGTACAGACAGACTACTCAGTCCTACCACTCTCCACTCCGTCTCCCGTGCCGTCGCGATGCGGCACTCCGTCTGCAAGCTAGCCTACCGTCTTCCTCATCGAGACCGGATGCGCGCCCACCTCATCACCTCGACTGACGTGAGCCGAATGCTGTCGCCGGTGCACAGCATGTCAACGGTTGAGGCTCCATGACTTGCAATATTGCCCTCCCCACCGTCTGACGTACGTACACGCTGTACAGGTAAGCGCCGCTGGTAAGCATGCCCACTCAGTTTGCCCGTCGCCCCGCCCCGCTCCTCTCGCCAGCAGCCAGCAGCCTGCAGCCTTACCACTATCCAGCTCGCTCCCCTTGCTACTCCCAAGTAGCCATCATGTATGTGCGTGCGTTGATTAGATGAAACAGACCTGGATGCTGCACCCTCGCCGGTGCATACGAGCCGGAGTAAGGTGTGCGCTTTGTCCCATGGGTTCGACTGTTTGGTGCTTGTCCCCGCCTGTCAAGCTCAACCCTCAGCGGCGGAAACGACATCACATGTGCCCTTCGCATTCCTAACTTCTTCAGGGCCCTTGCCCGGTAGTTCGCAGTCGAGGGGTGGATGGATGGACTGAGGGACTGCTGGTGCATGGAGCGAATATAATCCACGAGGTTCGCAGGGAAAACGACCCCACTGCACATGGCCTTGTGCATTCATCGACCTTGTGCAACCCACCACCGTCTTCTGAATTCAACGTTCGGAGCTGAAATCCTCGTGTTCTGAGCAATCGTTCAATTGTTTTGGTCGAGGGCGTCGGGTGATTTGCTGATAAGATACAGGTGCAGCTCGTATACATCGTCACGGCCTTGGCTTTCGCCCGACCCCAGATATCGCTCCCTCTCCCTCTCAGGGGTGCCACGGGTGCCACGGGGATCAGCCCAGCCTCGCACTTCAAACGCGAGGGACACGGCACTGGGTGTTGATAGACACAGGCTGCATACGCATTCGGCGCACACCTTACGCATTCGATCCGTATCCGGTCCTCCCAAGAATCTACCGTCTGCCCCGTCTCGTCATCCACTGCTGCATCTCCAACCGCCTGCCTGCCTGCCTGCCTGCCTTCGTGGTGGACGCCTGACTGCCATCTCATCTATATGTACAGGTAGATTACCCCCCATCATCGAATCAGTCCTTCCAGTTAGCATGCCGGGCACCTGAAACGAGAAACGGCCACTGCGAAAACGTTGGCTGCTGTTCCGCTTACTACCATGGTTGAGTCTGACTGCGTTTGTGCTGCTGAACACCGCAGCAATATCAACCCTCGAAGGCTTTCTGACAAGAACAGACTGAACACCTCAAGATCCACCTCACATCACTGAGCCTCGACCCAACCCCCAAAGTCCCAGTACTCGATTGATTAACTCGCAGCACTCCCAAACCCTGCACTTTCCATGGCCCAGTGCAAGCAAGCCCCACACTTCGGTCCGCAAGCACACTTTCCTATTCTACACCCATCCACACCATATGCCCTCCCCAGTCGCCTCAACATTTTATCGGTCCTCGCGTAGGTATATCCTTACCGTTCACTGCATCCCATCGATACGTTTGAACCTCGTCACCTCGTGCCCTCCCATATTGACCCAACAGACTAAGCCCGTCAGCATTTGTCTGTCGGAATCACTCGTTCCGGTAGTGTGGAAGTCTTCTGGAAGCCTTCTGGAATAGTCAATTGGCCCTGTCTGCTCGTGTCCCATCCCGGCCCCGCAAGGGTAAAGTTTGTGAGTGATGATGACAGCATGCATGCGATTAAAGGAGGGGGGTAGAGCAACACTGGCTGGCTGGCTGGATTTTGCGTGCGAGGGAACTACGGTACGCTACGCGGGGGGGCGGGTGTGCATACGAGCATACATGCCTTTGCTTCCCTCCACAGCAAGGATTCCCTTTTGTTTTGCTCTGACCTGAGTTTGAAACAATCACGGCTTGGGCCGTGGTGGTTGTCTGCCTGCCCGCCTGCCCGTTTGCCTGCTTTTTGGATCATGGGTGCTGTTCCTGATGTGGAAAGTCTTCCTCTTTGTCAGTCAACATGGGCCGGGAGAGGTAGAATCGCTCGACATTACCCTCCCCCTCTTGTCGAGAAACGGCAATGCAATGACGACATGATGCGGCCAAACACACAACTCTTGGGATTCTTTTTTTTTTGGATCGGCATCTGGTATGCCCAAAAGACTGTTACGCGCAAGCATGAAAGAGAGGGAGGGTGGGAAGCACATCCCTCCTCCCACATGGTCTCAACCCCAAGGGCGGGTAATGTGTTTCTTTTTATCCTTACAGCGAGAGCATGCACGCCCGTTTACTGGACGTTCCAAGAGCATCGCGTGCTCGAAGACCCTCGCTGACCTGACTGCACGTTAGGCTGCTCTGTAAGAGTAGCTCATATCGTCACTGGGAGTATCCATCGTATGGTCAAGTCCAAATGCTTGACCACCCTCGTTCTCCTAGGATGGGTTCCGGGGTCTGCAATGTGATAGATTGCGGCATGCCATGATTCTGCGAGAGACCTAATTTGCTGTATGTAGGTGTCACGCCTGCGGAGTCGGGTCGCCTTGGTCTAGCTGAAAACATATGAAGTAAGCTACAATATGCATCTCTCTTTTTGGTCGAAGTCAGTGGGACGGTGCAACCGAATAGACTCGGGTCTTTTGTCTTTCACGCAATCAGAGACTGTGAAACAAACATTCTTCAACTCCAATGCTAGGACGTGGGCACATGAGTACACAACAGTATATCCATGGACTCGCGACTCCCAACAAGAGGTAGTATGAGACATTTCGTTGCATCTTGTTTTCAAGAAGAAGCCTGCGATGGTGTCGTAGCTCCTAAACTCCACACAACATCGTTCGACGAATACGACAATTACTGTCTATTATTAAAGCAGGCAAAATGCTACTGATCGAGAATGGACTTAGCAGGGATGGAAAACTGGGTACTCCACAATCGTGGAGACTTTTGTTCGCAAGAGAAAAAGAGATATCAGAAGAGAGAGAAAAAATCAAAAGATTCCGCCGAACCCCACTGGCGTCGCCCCACTTCAAGCCCACAACACAATTCCATCCCTATACCCAAGAACACGAAGAGAGAAAAAAAAGCACTGGATACTACAAGTGTCTACCTTCGAATTTTCCTTCACTCGCATCCCTACTGGGTATATATTTACAATTCCGCATGTGAAGTCTCATCACATGACATACGGTGAGATGGCCGAGTTGGTTATGGCGCCAGGTTAAGGTTCATCTTAACACTAATTCCTGGTCACGAAAGTGGCGTGGGTTCAAGTCCCACTCTCATCATCATATTTCGTCTGCTTCGAGCAAGCAGAGTTTCGGGAGTTCTCTTTTTTGTTGGGTTTTCTTTTTCTTTTCTACTCTTGCCCCTTCTGGCTGCCACGAAGAGCGGACGACACGGGGTTGCCTGTGTGTGTGTGTGTGTGTGTGTATGATCCGCGTACTTTTTTCTTTGGGGCTTCTTTTTGTGAATCTATAATGGATACGATGGTAAGAGTATTGGTTGTATTCTCTTTGAGACTACACTGCATGGGTGAAGTCAGTGTGTAATTTGAGCGTCCGGGCAAAGGGGCGAGGTGAACAGATGTAGCACGGTTTGACACTCTATCCTCCGCTGTGAGATCCCATTAAATGACCATACAATCTTTCCCACTCATTTTCATGATTGATAGTAAGCAACCTCACCCTCGAAACTTGTATTCGAATAAGAGAATTGCAACTCCCCCCGCGGATTTTTGCCAATACAGCAAGTGAACCATGTGGTTTGCCCGAGGAAAAAATGCTCGAGATGATTCAACTATCTTGATGTTAAACTAACTTGAAACGTTGCTCAAAGCTATAATATAGTTAACGGCATCAGTGCAAGAGCAGATACTGACGAGTAGACAGTGCCCTCCAGAATTGTCATCAAAGTAGCAATAACTACCAACCAACACAACATCCTCCCCTACTTTCCCTCGGAGTCCTTGTATTAGATATCTTTATTGTTTTTGCTAACCACCGCGATGGTATGGACAAGAAGTATAAAGCTGTGACGCAAGAATGGGCCTGGGTCGGTGGTGTAACGCTCCTTTCAGTGGTGGGAAAAGCTACACATCAGCAAACTTGGACTATGTTCTCATTGTCGAATCTTCTTTCTCTGTGTTCATGTGTAATGATTCAATTTACTGATCAGACAAACCGAGCTTGTCGTTGGTCCGTCTCGACGCCCTCGAATGCTGGTATCAATAAGCCGGATGAATGCACAAAAGAGCGAAAGACATGTTAAATTTCTTTTGGCGCGGGAAGAAGAACCCGGGACATAAATGGACCCGCTTCGTGTGGTTGGTAGGTGTCTAAATTACTGAATTTCATCTTCATTTGGCTCTGGGTAGGTCTCAATGAACTCTAATGTGAAGTAGAGGGAACACTGCTGTATTTCCTTTCCCCCCTTCCCGGACGCTCTAAAATCATATTCAGATCTTGCTTGAGATCACGTACAGAAATATTGAGGCCATGGCGATTGATGAGATCTAGCACAGCAGGATACAAAAAAAAAAGACACTATGAATTAGCCAATGACTCAGGCAACAACACATGTTTGAGAGCACAATGTGTAACAAGTGCGGTATAGTTGGGTATTGGCGATGGCGATAGATATGATGCATCTTTATCGCCTTTGTCAACGCAGCTTTGGTATATGATGCGTGGGGGGAGTGCAGTATACGCTTCTGTGAAGCACATGTGACTGAGCAGGCGAGTTATGTAGAGGACTATTTCTCCTTCTTGAATCACCTAGGTTGGTTTCTAGGTTCAGTGCCTTGTTTGGGAAACACGCGTATGTACATTCAGAATTATTAGATAGACCGGGACTATTAAATATACAGTAGATTCTGAAGTAACTGCGTTTGAAGAGAAAAAACTTAGAATCGAACGTTGAACTACGTGAATTGTCTCATTGAGGCATATACCGGAAAAGAAGACCGTGATCCTATATCTACGCATCGAGAAATATGTACATCTCCCTGATGTCTCCGCCAATCCGTAAGTTTTTCTTGTCGACAAGAGAGCAGCTATGGATCGCATTGCAGATTGCATGGGAATTGATAAGACTTCGTTTTGATAGACGGAAAAACACTTCACTCCGAAATCCTGGCAGTGGGGGCTCTTTATCTAGCCAAAGCAAGAGCAGCGCTTGGGGATGAAGATAGACGGATGAGGGTGGTATATTGGTTAGAAAAGGAAAGATACAAAGGTCTCATATCGCCAATCCCCCCCAAGCGTTCGTGAGTTTACCATAATGTATCTGGAATGTCTTAATTTTACGGTCGTAAGAGTTCATTCACGAACGACGTTTATACGATCGTGTTTCAATCTGTGCAATGAGATCCACTGTTTGTATCACAGGCCATGTCATGTTTGTCGTATCCTATCATACCGCATACCCACGCAACACAGGCTAGTATCGCACGACTCTATTTCTATAGTCAAACATCGTCGTATTACGTCGGTTGTGCAATCGATCTGCTCATTCCATGATCTCCGAGAACCTAGAACAACGCAGATATCGAACAATCAAACAGTCTAACAAAACGCCGTCTATATACCGTTCTACCATATGCAGTCCACCGTTTTCTCATCTTACACAACGACTAGTTTCATCGCTGCCGCTTGTTTAGGCTCAATGAACAAAGCCTCGCCCTCGACGAGCACAACACCTTCTTTCTCCCCTTCTTTGGGCAAAGTCTCCAACCGACCCGTAACCCATGCCTTCCTTCCTTCTACTCTTGTTGTTTCCGCCTTCAACACAACCACTTGCCCTGCCATAACGGGCTTTTTGTAATCAATCTTGAGGCTGGCAGTGACGGCGACTTTGTTAGGCAGAGCGGCGAAGCAGCATCGCGCCAGGCCCTCGTCTAGCAGCGTGGCAAGAAGGCCACCATGAACAATTCCGGGGTGTCCGCAGAGCGCATTGCCTAAGTACTGGAACGAGACAAACTCCATGCCGTCGGCGGTGCGGAACTGCAGCGGAGGAACCGAAATCTTGTCGCCTCCGAGCAGCGTCCCTCCTGTCAGGTTCTGATGCCTCATGGACTCAGGGATCTTGAGGTGCGGCCGGCTTGCGATGAACTTCTCATCTTGAAGCAAAGACCGTGTGAGGGGGTGCGAGAAGATTTGGGATTCGATTGCTTCGAGCCCGGCCGTGGTGGGGGTGAAGAGCGTGAGAGTTTCTTCATCCGTGGGAGGGTTTAGGAGAGCATCCGCGGTAGGAAGCGCTGGTGTAGCCATGATACTGAAGCCGAGAGTAAATGCGACAATGGTAAGGGCGGTGGCGATGGGAAGGCGGATGTAGAGAGGACGATTGGGTCTTGGTGGAGCTGTCCCAGGCAGCGGGGTGGGCGAATGTATACTTTGTGCGGCTGGATTGTTGTCAATTTCAAAAGAGCGCCAAAGACAGAGACTGGAACTCTTACATTTGGAGATGGCGTTGGTATCGGTTGCCAATTTTCTTAGTCCCGCTGTTTCAAGTGCAGTCTTCGTCGTCGAGTGCCCACCGAATCTCGGCGCAACACTCAATCTTATACCGCTGCGGAATGGCACGATTGCCTGCCGAACCCCCAGCCCAGCACCGGCGAGTCTAGCAATGGTATACATGGCGAATGATCCAATGAAGGCACTAGAAGCGCCCAGGTCCCAGTGCGGTGAGTGTTGCGGTCGAGCAACGGTGCAAGGCAAGGGCGCACGGCCCAACTTGCCATCTATCCGAAGTTTTGTCCATAGGTTTGCCTCGGCTCGCGAAGACTCGGCCGTTCCGATATGGACGGAGCATTCCGCCCTGATTCATCGCCGCTGGAGTGATTGTTGAAGCTAGCAAACAATTGGTCTTGACGGCGTGTGTAGTGATAATTCCACCGTTGGCGACAACAATGTTTGAGACTGTAACATAAGGCTGATCGACAAGCCGAGTCTCAATTTGGAGGTTGGCGCATTCAGTGTTGTTCCTCAATTGTCATTCGAGTTAGAACAGCATTTTCACGGTTGAGTGTGTGTGGGATCAAGCATATAGTCATATTTACATTCCCCCATTGCGTGAGACCGTGGATACTTATCCGCTCCCTCCCCTCTCAGTTTCGACAAACGCAATAGCAACCCAATCATCTTCCAAAATATAGTATACATGCATGGGAGTGGGGAAGATAATCGTGACAGTTGGTTGTTGGCGTTAAACGCAGCGTAGTACTCCTCCCATTGACTCGCATTTCCCTCGTGGACGAATCAACAAACAAAACAACTCCCCTTATCTGTGGGACTTGGTATTAAGACAAATGACCTTTTTGGACGCCGAGAATGCCGCCAGGGAACCGCCAGTCCTAATGGAAGATATAAAGACAGATGTTGAAGAAAAAATGGTAATACACGGGATGACTTCAGAGAGGTCTTCAGCCCATCAATAGTAATCCCTGGCGCTCTTTTGCAATTCGATGAACCTCCATCCTCGCGTCTCGGGATTGCTCACATCGTCAGGTATCCGGGTGACACCGATCGCATATGTGACTTGTTGAACTTTGTCGTCCATTCCCGCGGCTAATTTACCCGTCTTCGCATTCTTGTAGGTGTGTACTTCTTGCGTTCGGCAAGTGATGATGAAGACGGGGATGTCTCCGGGTTCCAGTAGGCGTGCGTTCAAGATGTCTACGTTCCTGATATCAACGATACGCCCGTCCGATTTCAATCCGGCCGTGGTATATTGTTGCATCAATGCAGCATACACTTGATACTGAGCAGCTGATAGCCACAGCTTCAGTACCTCGATGTCACCCTTGACGTATGCATCCAAGACTTCCGGCAGAATATATTCACGCATCTCAGTCAGGAATGGTTCGAGTTGGAACGCGGGATCCATTTCGCGGAACTTCTTGATCACCATTGCAGTTTCATTCTCCGCGAAGAAGCCCGTGATGCGATCCGAGATGCTACGTGCCGTGGAGATGAGCGGGTTGTCGGATTCGTTATACGTGCTCTTCATGTCGGAGAAGTGCCTGGCGAGCTTTGAGTTCTCTTTGAAGTCGCGCCAAACTTCTTTGTAGCGCGCATCTTTGTGGAGAGTGACATTTGTGCCAGCACTGTTGACATTAGTACAATGGACCACATAAGTGAGGGTAGCACTTACTCGGGGTCTTCCTCCATAGGACCTTGTGGCGTTTTGCCTCCAGTCCTTTGCAGCTCGTTCAATTCCCTAAGTTCTCGCCTCTTCCTACGTTCTTCCTTCTCAATCCATCCACCATACCTGGAAGAACTACCGTCATCCACAGTCTCTTTGACTGCTTTGAATGCTTTTGACTGGCGTACTGGTCGCGAAACATATTCTAGGCCCGATCCAGTTACGCTTGCGACCTTACGTACACCCTTGACAGGCGTTGTGTCCCAAGTCCACGCCGCACCTTGCCCAATAGCCTTGCCAGTGGTTTTCAAGGCTTCTGAAGTTGTAGATGCAGCAGCATCGGTGACTTTGGTGTATGTGGTCTTGGCTTTTTGTACGGCTGGGTTCTGGGTGAAATCGTTGACACCGGCCGATAGTTGCTTAGTGGATTCGTTCCACTCCTTGGAGGCTTGAAATTCCGATTTTAAGGTGTCAGTGAAGACCTGCCAGGGACTTTTATCACCGTGAGGCGGTGGAGGAGGTGCATCCTTCTTCTCCTTGCTACCTTCTTCCCCTTCTTTTTTCTCGCCAGACTCTTCCTCGCCAGTCTTCTTCTCCTGAGTCTGCTCCTCCTTTTGCTCGCCCGGCTTCTCTCCCGACGCGCCTTCAGGTGAAGATGATGGCTTCTGTGAACCGGAAACCTTTTCTTCTACATCACCTTCGGGCTTCTTCTGCGCTTGCTGGAGAAGGGCTGAGCGAGAGGAAAAATGACGAGCGTATCCGGCAGCGGTATATGAAAGAACATCTCGGGGCAGAAATTCGCTCCGCAAGAACGTCAGGGAGGAAGATACAGGGTGGAGCGGAGGAGCGTTTTTGGATAACACTACCGATGGCGAGTGAAGTGATGGTGAGGTTGATAATGGTCTCGATGTGACTGTTCGTCCGTAGATGCTGGAAGATAGTCTATTGCTCCATGCTGCCCGCGCAGACAGAGCACTTGCTGGTGGTGGTCTCATGCTACGAAAGCAACAGAATATTATATGACACAAAAAGGCGAACGAGGTCGGCGACTCTCTTGATGGATGGAGAAACGAACAATAGGCAAGTGGGAGGATGGAGTGAAGAGTGAACAGGCGGCGAGATCCCAAGCTCATTTTTTGCGCTCGGACCCCTAGCTTCAACTTTTCCATCTCTTCCGACGGTACCACCTCATCGACCTTCCCCAACGACATTCGCCATGAACAAATCCACCGCATTACGTGCCTTCAAGGCATTTCCGACTTCATTGTTAACAGTAGCATGCCGTTCTCCGCTTCCCACCGTTGCTTCGTCGGCATCTCTGCGACCCTTCTCGAGTGCTGTCCGCGTCTTCGCTGAATCCAAGACCCCCGAAAACCCCTTAGCATCTGCACTCGAGGCACCGTTTTCACGCACCAATGAGTACGCAACAATGGTACCAAAACAGGCCAACTATATGAACATGGTAGAACAAGAGTGGGAGCCCGACACGCGATACCACCTGCACATCTACGCGCACAAGCACAACACACACATCACCTTCACAAAACCCAATCGCGATACAATCATCTCCCTTTCATGCGGAAATATTGGGTTCAAAAAGGCCGGCCGATCTTCGTATGATGCTGCCTATCAATTAGCAGCATTTGTCATAGCAAGAATCAAAGACATGGGTCACATCCCACAGATCGAGACACACAAGCTGGAGCTGATCTATCGAGGATTTGGGCAAGGACGAGAGGCTGTCACAAAGGCCATTCTGGGTAGCGAAGGGTCAAGGATACGATCCCACATTGTCAAACTTTCCGATTCTACGAGGTTGAAGTTCGGAGGCACGAGGAGCAAGAAGCCCAGGAGATTGGGCTGAGGTGACTGGATGACTACGAAAGAGAGTGTTGGGTGGAATACAACCAGCAGGACGCAGCACACTGGGCGGAGGATGGGCATCATTTTGTACAATTACAGCATCACCTGGCGCATACGTCTTCTTTGTATCATACGGCGCTGCGCATGTAGCAAAACAGCCACTCATCCACTTCTGACACGGTGAATACAATCATGTTATTCGTTTTGGTAACGGGGCCCGCTCCGCCGAAGGAAGTTCGCGATTGCTTGTGTCTTTGACAAGCCGTGGGGCGTGATTCCTTGCTTCGTATCTCGGATGCCCTCCTAAACCTCTTTGCTGGCTTGTGCCACTTCTACTGCTAGCTCCAGGCATGCCCTCTTCTGCTTCCCGTTCCTCTGCCTCGTCCTCATGCCTTCGCCGTCTCTGATCGTGCCTTAGCATGGACGACCTCTCGTCGTCAAATTCGTCATCTAGGAGCTCTCCATCGGCTGTATCGTGATCCGGTGGTGCTATCCATTCCCGTGGTACCACGCAGGGTAGAGCTACGCCAATGCTAGCGGCGCGATTAAGCCAGCCCGGTGCGGAACGACCTGTCAGCTTCTCGCAGAGGTAAGAGGTAAAGTGATTGCAGTTCTTAGTAAGGAGGTTGTACGAGGTGCCCATGAAATCTTGGGAAGCCTGTACTGTTAGTTGCACATCGCACGTTTGAGCCAGATGCAGGCTTACCTGATGAATGATCGAGTTTAGTTCGTCTTCTGGACGAAACGAGAATCCATGTAGCACTGCTTGTCTGAAAGTCCCACCCGGCGGCTCCTGCTTAGGTTTTGTATAATAGACGCCCGTCATACCGCGCTGGTCGTGGCCTCCATATGCATACCTACTCATGTTAGTGATTGGGGTTGCGAACACACAACTGCATGGACCGGCTGTTTAAGGTCCTGCCACCTACTCTCTATCGCCAATCACTACACCGGAGTGTAGAAGCGAACTCCCAATTGCCCATAGCACCGTGGAGACCTTTCCTGGGGGAAGCAAGTCATATATGTGGATCTTGACCTCGGTTCTTTGTAGCGAAAGCGTGCTTCGGTGGTTTGCCGAACTTTTGCGGGAGGGAGTTGGGCGGGTTGAAGCCGACATTGCGGACCAAGTGATGTGGTGAGGATAAAGCGGTGAAGGCGTGTATCAGTATGATGCTCGAGGTTGTTTCGTTTGACGCGCACGCGACCCTAGCTCATGGCGCAAGGTACCCGAGCTTATAGCATGGAGGAGAGAGGGGTATTGTATGTAGAAGAACAGAGTCTTGAGCACGGAGGATAGAGTGGTAGAGGAGTGGCGCAAAGGGAGAGATACGGGACAGGTGGATGTGAAGGTATAGAGAGGGGGGGACAACTCATGGCCGCCGACCTACGTACTCCAAGGTACCCAGGTGCATGGGCATACGCAGGCAAGTATACCTACATCGATGTGACCGCAAGTGGCCGACTGCTGCATCATGTCACAAACGCGATACATGGATTTCTATGCGAAGCTTCACAATCACAGCAAAGATGATTTTACACACACAAGTATAGACCTTTGACGCAGCTCTCTATGGAGCGGCATGCAGTTACTGATATGCCATTAGCGTTGTTGAGCATTGGGCGTTGCAAGCACGAGGCATGGCGCACAGGCGCGTTTCCGATTCGCTTCGGCCCGTCACGTGACAGCCACCTCCTAAGCCTGAAAAAAAATTCTGATTACCTGTCGCTTTGCATCTAATTTTTTATCTACAAGGTCTTTTCCTTTCTCACCAAGCGAGTGAGCGAAGTGCGTCACACGAGGCCCAACGCAAGGCACCAGGGCAAGGCAAGACAAGGCAAGCCACCTGCAGGAGAGCTGGCTGCAAAGTCAGCACTCTACCCCTCCTTCATCATTTCCCCCACCAGACCTTCTACTCTCCTTCTTTTCTCTTCTGTGATACCCACTTTTTGTCGACCAGCAGCAAGAACTGCTTGCGAATTCTCCACTCCTTTTCTCACCTTCACCACCGTCCGCACCTACGCCAAAGGCAAAGTCAAGAAGATGCCCCCCAAGAAAGCCGTCAAGGAGGAGAAGATCCTTCTCGGAAGGCCTGGCAACTCCCTCAAGAGTGGTATCGTGAGTAGGCGCCCTTGCTTGCCATCTTCTACCATTCTTACGTTAACAGTAGCCGCCAGGTTGGCCTCGCGAACGTCGGTAAATCCACGCTCTTCCAGGCAATCACAAAATGCCATCTTGGTAACCCTGCCGTAAGTCCATGCCGCTCGCAACACCTGCACACCGCGTTTCACGCCTCTTGTCATCCGCCTCATTAACAATCCATCGCAGAATTTCCCATACGCCACTATCGACCCAGAAGAAGCTCGTGTCATCGTGCCCGATGAGCGATATGACTGGCTGGTGAATCACTACAAGCCCAAGTCTCAAGTGCCTGCCAATTTGACTGTCTATGACATTGCCGGTCTTACCAAGGGCGCTTCTACCGGTGCTGGTCTCGGAAACGCCTTCTTATCACACATTCGTGCTGTCGATGCCATCTTCCAAGTCGTCCGGTGTTTCGATGATGCTGAAATCATTCACGTAGAGGGTGATGTCGATCCTATCCGTGACTTGGACATTATCAGCGAGGAATTGCGTCTCAAGGATATCGAGTTTGTTGAAAAGGCGCTCGAGAAACTTGTCAAAGAGACCCGGCGAGGTGGACAGAGCCTGGAAATGAAGAAGATGAAAGAGGAACAGGCGACCGTCGAAAAGATCCTCGCGATGCTTAAAGACGGCAAAGACGTCAGGAAAGGCGATTGGTCACCGAAAGAGGTATGTGTGAATTGTCTTCCATCATCATTCCCTTTCCATCACAAAGATGACAAAGAGCGATTGCTCTATAATCCCAGCTCTTTGATACCTCGTTAACGCCGAGGTTCCTTGAAAAGACGTCCAACTCTGAGTTTTATCACATTGTTCTCTAACGTTGTTACTTGTCTGAAAACATTTGCTAACAATCGTCAAGGTCGAGGTCATCAACCCTCTCTTCCTCCTTTCTGCCAAGCCTGTCGTGTATCTCGTCAACTTGAGCGAGAAAGATTACATCCGGCAAAAGAACAAGCACCTCCCCAAAATCGCGCAGTGGATCAAGGAGAACGCCGCTGGTGACCCCATTCTACCTGTGTCTGTGTCTTTGGAGGAACGCCTTGGCGCCATGACTGAGGAGGAAGCAGAGGAGGAGTGCAAAAAGTTGGGCACCAAATCTGCCCTACCCAAGATCATCGTTACCATGCGCAAGGCTCTCAACCTTGGCAGCTTCTTCACAACTGGTACCGACGAAGTACGGCAATGGACGATACGGAACGGCATCAAGGCTCCCCAGGCTGCTGGTGTGATCCACGGGGATTTTGAGAAAACCTTTATCCAAATCATCGTATACAATTTCAGTGTGCTGAAGGAGGAAGGCGACGAGGCAGCGGTCAAGGCCAAGGGTAAAATCATGACCAAGGGCAAGGACTACATCGTCGAGGACGGTGACATCGTGCTTATCAAGGCCGGTGCTGCTAAGGGCTAAGTGGCAGCCCAAGCACATAGAGCACGCTCTCGTGTCGTCGCCCACCCTTTAGCTAGGTGCTGGGAAGTTAGTACACGGATCTGAAATCGCTCCACCCAAAATATGACCGTGGTTTACACAATACACGGAATATTAGATAACAAAAATTACAAAAGCCCAATCCGAGGCGAATCATCATGGCGTCTCACTCTGATCTCATCTCCGAGTTCCTTTATATAACCCTGTGACTCAATTGTAGAGTTTTGGCCTTTCACTTCAACAGGTCCTTGTCAGATGCCAGCATCCAGCTGTTCCCACAGATGCAATGTTTTGCAACACCCATCAGCCAGCTAACATGAGTAGCCGCGTAGCCAGGTAGGCCCATCAGCACGTCTTCCATACACGCGCTGCATCTGACGCAGCGCCTCAACTTTCTTTCCTTCTTCTTGTTGTCATCTAATCCTCCAGTCCCGCTTGCGCTCTGCAAACTATCGCTCCTATTCCTTCCACCGTGACTAGGTGCGCTGGGATGCGATTGTGCGCCTGGCCCTCTAATTGTAATCTTCTGGCAAACATCCACAACATGCGTGTCAAAGTAAGCTTGTGCGCGCTTGGAATCCGTGAAGCCTAGCCACGTGGTATCGAAAAAGGTGATCTTGGCCACATCCACTTTATCAGCGAAACACGCGGCTCCATTAGTCTCTCCTCTGCCTTGTGCCGGGCCCCATAGAGATTCGCCCACCAGCTTTCGCGCGGCAGGCCATAGTACGTCCGGAACACGGCCAGCAAGTAGTTCTCTCTCCGCTTGGTTTCGCGCCGCCTCACCCTCTTTACCCTCTTTACTCGTCTGCGGATCTCGACGGTAGCAGCCGCGAACAAGATGCTCTACCTCCCTGATCAGATGATCGAATTGCCGGAAATCTGCAGGTGCTTCATGCAGAGCGGTATGCAATGGTGTGTACAGTCTCCGCATTTCCGGTGGTGCACTGCCATTGGAATATGTGGCCGCAGAGCGCATCACCCATTGCAGTGGCTGTGTCCAAAGCTTGAGCAGCGTACGGGGAAATCCAGATAGGAGGAAGAGAAGCGCAGGCCTTTTGGATTCATGTAAAGCTGCTTCCAGAATAGCCTTAGTAAGAGGTGGTGCGTCAGATCTTGTGAGTCCCCGACTGAGTTCCAAAAGGTCATCGATCACGTACGTCATGAAGTGCATGATCCATTGACAAAGACCAACGACTTGAGGCACCATTTCTGGGCGTAAGGGGTTCTTGTCGATTTGTCCGTGCATCCGAGCAATAGTTGTAACGATCTGAGTGATGTATTTGATATTGAGAATCATCCATGCAACTTCGGAGGAGAGCGAACGAGAGATTTTACCTTGTAAGCCAAGTACGTGAATAGCGGAAAGCGTTTTCACGAAGAATGGAGATCGTCCGAGGAGAATGAGATGGTTTGAAGATTGGTCGTCGATCCCACAGTCAATCGAGACGGAAAGTGATTGGAACATGAGCTTTATAAATTCGTCTTTTCGGGACGCAGGAAGAGTTCCGATTATGGAGAATATGTCATCACTCGAGATGTACTGGTTCGCAGCTGTTGAAGTTTGTAAAGCGAGGGCTGCGAGAGCAGCGGAATACTGAGGATCGGGGTCCTCGGCGGAGAGAGAGCCATGCGTATAGTCCATGTAGCGGAGTTTGATCTTCCCATCAGTTTGCATACATGCTGCTACGCACTGATTGGGAGACAAAGCAGTATAGAGTGATGGTTCGTGGGCCGAGAAGGCAAATCCGGATTGCGACATGGAAGTGATATTTTCCGTCGAGTAGTCCGGGGATATGATGGCCATCGTTTGTCGCTTGCGGAACTCGATGGTTCCGTCGCTATATACAAACCCAAGGACCATGCTGTACCAGATTGGAGTGAAAGATAGTATGACAGAGTGCATCATGCTATCTTCCTGGCGCTTGAGAGTCCATGCACTACGCGCAGGCACAGTACTTATGTTTTTCTTTTTGGAGGAGACTTTGTCGAGACTGGGGTGGAGGGTGTTGCTTTGCGACTGATGTACTTCCCATCGTGCAACAATGCTGAATGAGTTCTGGGTTGGTTGGGTCTGGTCTAAAGTCGCACTGCTAGGTGGAGAAGAAAAGATGGCTTGAACTGTGGGAGTTGATCCCTCAACCTTTCCTGGGGTTGCGGGCTGAAAGTCAAGATGGGTGAGTTGTGCTGGAAGCCTGACTCTTGACTCCCCTTCACCGTTCAAATCGCTACTGATCATTGTCGGGTAACAACTGTCTTCAGTTTGGAGAAGTGACACAGTGATTTCAGGCTTGTCATATTGTTTCGGGGGTTGCTGACCGGGCTTTGTCGGCGGCACATTCCAGGTAGTCTCGATTCGGTAAAGGTGCAACCTGCCAGATACTTCATATGCAGCCAACAAAAGAGTATCATCTGTTAAAAGTTTAGAGGGGTAAAACTATCACGGGGAGAATGAATCTCACCGCCATTAGAGGCAAAAGCCGCATGAGTGAAAGCTTCGCGGGTAGAAAGCGACCACCCAAGTGGAGCACTGACTTCGTGCCAGCTACTATCTGGCTGTTGAAAACGTATTCTCAGATCGCCTTGGGACTTGAGGTAAATTAGAGCAGCCTTTTGGTCAGCTGGATGGTGCATGTGCTTGAAATGATGCTGCTCGATGTGAAAACTCCAGGTATCCCCAATTCTGTTTGCTGACCAAGCTATTTGATTCTACACTGGTAAGCTTAGACTCGCTATTGAAGTGGGACGAAGACTGACCTGTTGTTCATGAGGTACAATGGCCAGCCAATGCATGCCTATAACGAGGTCTTTCTCTGCGTCGTGGTGAGTGAGCTCTGAGCGCATATAGCTCATGCGGTCCAAGGCCATGACGCAAGAGAAAATCATGACATGACCAGCAGCATTGATAATGGCAAGGTCATTGCCTAGATTGCTCCAGGAAACATGGACGAAGGGAAACTCGTCCTGGCCATGAGGGACATCTATCGGGGTAGCCTTTGCTAGATCCCATTTGCCCGTGGAAGGGTCTCTTGAAAAGACACGAAGATGGACAGAGTAGCAATCCGGGGTAATATATGCCACACAGCCGTTTTTGGACCATGCCATCTTACTGTACACGGCACGTTAGCACCCCGATTGAAGAAGTGATGTCTGCTGTATTGAGTAGAGAAGGAATCAAGGCACTTACGCGGAGCATCCGCTGGTGCTAAGCTCATCGAGTCGTTTTGCAAGACCCTTGACGGGCGGAACAGACATGACATTAATATTTGGCAGTGTCACCTGCTCAGCATCACCGAACAAGTCATCGACATCCATGTTTGGATAAGGTTGGTCTTCCATGATGGAAGCCTTGACTGACACCCGAAGTTAACGACTATCCCCTGGGCGCGTGAAATCCAAAAAGACGGATGACGATGAGGTTGGCGAGCTGTAGGAGTCAGACAGGCATGACGATATAACAGGAGGAGTACGGAATCAAGGTGATGGTATGCGCACGGGTATCACGAAGTGTATGTAGGTCAAAGTGAGGATGGATGGATGCAACAGACAGGCTCTGGTTGGCTGCGGCAACAAGCGAGACGCTAAAGACGTGTTGGTGCTAGCTGGCGTGATGATGCCTGCTCATGCATTGTGCCGGCGCCCAGCCAGCGTCCAGCGCCCAGCCTCTCCACCAACACAACTCGTTCGTGTGCTGTTCGCGACCGTTTGGCGACTTTGAACCATCTTGCTTCCACCACGACTCACATATAGAGGTACGTGGGGCTGGTTCTGGCTTGCACAGAACGCGCAGGCTCGTCCATTGCATCTGTTTTGAGCGGGTACATGACGCATATATACATATCTATAACATCACTCGAAGCCATGTGTGCCATGCCGTGCAGCTGCGAACTGGTGCTGCTGGGCATGTCGAGGCTCAATTAATCAATGAATCCAATCTGAGAGCAAAACATTCCCCCAAGATGATCAATCAAAGTGCTGCGATGGCTGGCTTTCCATGGTATCGAGTGGGCCCTTGCTTGCGCGCCCACAACGTTAAACAATGTAAACAAAAACAAGTCGTACTCGGAGCTGCGGGCTAGTACATGCCAAGCACGATGCCGGCCTGACACACTGACGATGAGCGACGTCCTTTCATGAACCTCATCCCTCCCCATCCACCCGCGCTTGTTTGCACCCTCCCCCCAGCAACCGCTGCTCTGCTACATGTATACACGCGCATCAATGAGCTAACGAGCCGTCAATACCAACCCTGCCTTCTCGACTGTCTCTGCCGTGCCCTCTATCAGCGCGCCGCCCTCAAAGACGTGTCGGAAGCGTTGTGCGCCCCTTCTCTCGCTCTCACCGTCTGTATCCAGAGCAAGGCGAGTCGCAGCTGCTTCCGTTGGCCGCTGATCCGATTGCCCTGCCGCCCTCTGTCGTTTGTCCGCTCCTGCTGAAAAGAAACACGTCGGTCGTTCCTCCTACGCTTCACCACCACTGTCGTCACCATGGAATGGGCAACCTCCCTTACCGATCCGAGCTCGCCGCTGAGCGAAGCTCCCGCTTCTTCCCCTCCTCGTCCCCTATCCCCCTCTAACACATCCGACTCGGACCTATCTGAAATCTCCCAAACTGATCTCTCTGCCCTGGAGCGCCAAATCAAGGCGCGCGGTACATATCCTTCCCCTTCTGCCTCCAATCGCTCTTCCGCCAAAGCATCCCCCGCCCCGGAAGCCATGGCTTCCCCCCCTCCCAGCAATGACGATGATGAGCGGCCACGCAAAAAGCGCAAGGTCGCCGACCCTAAAGAGCGCACCACGGCGCGTCTCGATCTAAGAAAGGATCTCACCGACTCTGATAAGCCGCAACTAGACCGCCTTTTGAAGACACTCCACAAGAAGCGAAAAATCGTCGTCATCGCAGGCGCTGGCATCTCCGTCGCTGCTGGAATTCCCGATTTCCGTTCTTCCACCGGTCTTTTCAAGACATTGCGCAATGACCATAAGCGCATATCTTCTGGCAAAGACCTTTTCGACGCGTCTGTTTACCAGGATGATTCTTCCACGTCATCTTTTCACGATATGGTTCGCAACCTCTCGCAGCAAACCAAACAGGCCGAGCCCACAGAGTTTCACCACCTTCTTGCTACCTTGGCCAAAGAAGGGCGCCTACTACGCTTATACACGCAAAATGTAGACGGCATCGATAGTGCGTTGGAGCCCTTGCGAACCACCGTACCTCTTCCTAAAAAGGGACCTTGGCCGAAAACTGTTCAACTGCACGGCGGCCTTGATCACATGGTCTGTTCCAAGTGCCACGCCCTTTCCGATTTCAAGGCCGAAAAGTTCGATGGGCCTGTCCCTCCCGCATGCCCTACTTGCGTGGAGAATGATTCTGTCAGGCAGGTTGCTGAAAAACGAAGCCATGGTATTGGACGACTTCGCCCTCGCATGGTTTTGTACAACGAGCACAATCCCGATGATGAGGCTATCGGGTCATGCGTTGCTGCCGATCTACGTACACGGCCGGATGCTGTCATCGTCGCTGGTACCACTTTGAAAGTTCCAGGTGTCCGAAGAATTACTCGTGAGATGTGCTTGACGGTTAAAGATCGGAAAGATGGCGTCAACATTTGGATCAATAATGATCCGGAACCTCTGGGAAAAGACCTTGCAGATGTCTGGGACCTCGTGGTGCAAGGCCCCTGTGAGGAAGTTGCTCGGCATGCTTGCATGCTGCATCATGACGCCGAAATTCCTCGCGTCGTTTCCGACGAGCAGGTGCCTAAGCAGCAGCCAACAGTCGTCATCCCTGGATCCCAGACGCCCAAGAAAGCAATCAAGGTACAAGGACAGCTCACACCTGCCCAAAGCCCTCGTACGTTTGCTCATAGATCTATCAAGTCTGAGATTATCGACGAGCCTGATACACCATCCAAAAGAGGCACGAAAAGAAAACCACAGGACACCCAACCTAGTGCGTTCGCAAAATTGGACGGAAAACCGGCTCCCAAGGCTCCTGCCAAGCGCTCCCAAACTCAGTCGAAGAAGGCGGCCAAGAAAAACACCAAGGAGACGAGACCGAAGACGCCACTGATGACTGATATGTTGAAGGCCAAGAAGGGTGCAGCTACGAAGCAGAATTCATCTTCGAAGATGGCGGTTTCAAAGTACACCAAGATTGTTGAGAATGATACAATCCAACTGGCTTCACAAAGCATCCCAGTCACGCCGAAAAAGAATCGAGAGAATACGCCGAAAGTTAACTCGAAGGCTGCAACAGGAGCTCAGGTTACAAAGTTTAAACTGGATACCACTTTGGCTCAGATTCCTCCATCAGATCCTCGAAACAACCGGTCGCCACAACGTCCAGACATAGAGGCGTTCACTCCTGCTAAACGAACCCCCAACCAGCAACTTCAAGAAGAATCTGCTCATCATAGGTTTCAAGATATCCCAGCCACATGCGATTCTCGTCCTTCGTCTGCTGGTTCACGCAAGTCCATTTCTCTGGGCGATATCTTGAACCCTGTTACCTCTGTATAATTCTGTGAAAGGCATTCCAAGGCGTTGCATGGACGGTCAAACACAGACAACTGTAGACCCATTTCTACCGGCACTTCCTATACAGGTGCACTTTTTGTCATTGGCGTTATTAGCTCTGGGTATTTTAGACCTGTGTGTCAGCTAGCATGTATTTATTTCTATTAGGGGTCTTGTTTGTCTCTGCAGGATACCCGGTATATTTCCTGTGGTCATATTGCAGGCAACTGGTAGTCTTCGGGCTCGGGAGATATGAAGTTACGGGTCTGGTAGGCCTTGGCCTGATAGGCTACGGCGAAGATCTAGTCTAGGTTTTTTATTATCGAAATGCGCATCATTATTTTTTGTTCTTCTGTCAATATCGATTTCAGGACGGTATATTGATGTACCTGTGCGCTCAGGCCATTTGCTGGCTTGGCTCCGGTGATTGGCCAACCGACTTTTGCTTTTGACTGTTACCTTCACCACACCGTGTCGATCTCGCGGCGCACTGTATACATAGGCTTGTTGTTCAATTACTTACTCTTCGTATATTTCTCCTTCTCTATCTGTTCAATGGGCTTATGTGGATAAGTTTGCTCGCAAGTACGATCTGTGTGGTCTACACTCCTTACTCTTTTTCTATTGTTCAATCTTCCCCGTTGACCCTACTGCTCACACGTTTCCTCTCCCATCAAACCACCTACTAGATTAGACATATCTCAATTATTGAATAAGACTGCGCTCTTTGGTTTGCAGGCTTCCCGGTAGCGAGACTCTCAACATCCGAGTCTTCCCTCAATGGCTCTCACACTTCGCAATCTGACTCAGAATCCGTTCACGATCAAGACATTGGAGACTTTCGAGGACCCCAATAATGCCCAATCAAAATCAAATGTGTTTCCTCCAGACTCAAGGAACGTGGCTCAGCATGCGCTGAGTTTCCACCATGAGAATCTTGATATTCTGGTCAAACCTTTCGAATCATTTATGCTGAGAGCAAAGGGTATGGCGAGTTCTGGTAAAAGCATCCGATCCCCAAGCATAGTTATGCGCATTACCATCGAGAGCGATATGGGAGAGCGTCATCGCATCGATACCAACCCTCTGTACACACAAAAAAGCTCTAAGCCATTCACAAATTTGATACACAACCCGTCCAGGAGTTACACCGCACTATACCACCCGGCGAAACCGGTTGCTCATCTTGTAGTCCATACTAATCATCTACACAACTACGCCAGGTGGATGGAAAGCCTCCCTTCCAATCTTCCGCTTTCAGCCCTCAGCATTCCCGGTACACACAACTCTCATACACACTACCGTGGTTTGCCGTCTGTCCGTTGCCAAGTCTCGTCGATCAAGGTGCAGCTCGAAAATGGAATTCGATTCCTCGATGTGCGCGTTCAGCCGTCGCATGCGACGGACACACAGAAGAAAGACTTATATCTTGTTCATGGCGCATTTCCCATCAGTTTGACAGGCGTCAAATACTTTGCGCCGATACTGGAGACATGCTATGCGTTCCTTGCCGCGAACCCCAGCGAAACGATTCTACTTTCATTGAAAAGAGAAGGCGTGGGAAGTGCAACGGACGAACATCTGGCAGCAATTCTCGAAAACCACTATATCGCACCTAACCCATCGAGATGGTACACGGGCAATAGGATTCCATACCTGGGCGATGTCCGCGGGAAGATCATCCTCGTACGACGCTACGATATTCAGAAGCCCTCGACGCCCCTGTCCATATCATCAAAGACCTCTTCCTCGTCAGCCTCGTTTCCTGTGGCAGCATGTGGCCTCGACGCTACAGAATGGCCACACAATTCGACCCACGCGGTCCATGGCCCCTTCTGTGTTCAAGATTGGTGCGAAGTCCTTCACCCTTCCTCGATACCCTCCAAATTGCAGTACGCCAACGAGCACCTGATCCGGTCATCACAAACCACGGCGTTCATTCCGGGCGTGAACACCGACGACAAGAACCCCATCCCACCTGGTCCGCTACATCTCAACTTTCTGAGCGGCAGCAATTTCTGGAACAAAGGCACGTGGCCGGAGAAGATTGCTAAAGTGGTGAATCGCGGCATTGAAGAATGGATATGTATGGGTCATGCGTTGGAGGAGCCTGTTGTGGCAATTGACGAGCCGGATCGAGCCAGGGCTGTAGATGTTGAGTGCGCTGGTGGAACCACAGGAGGAACCCTGAGACGGAAGGCCAAAGGGGGAGATGGTGGGACAGGGGTTGTCATTATGGATAATGTAGGAGAGGGTGGTGATTGGGATTTGGTTGGGCTAATTGTGGGATTGAATATGGGGGTTTTGATGGCAATGCACGCCATTGGTACTGGTCTTTGAATAGACTAGGGTTTCGCTTTGGATGTGGTGGTGTGGATTAGTCGCCTTCGAGGCTGATGTTGAACTTTTAGGGAGTGGCAATCACCATATCTGATCGTCCTTTGTGGACACTGATAGCAACTATGAGCATGGCGTATAGAAGATGGAACTCTTCTTTTCTTTCAACATGTAGGTAGTTGATTGGCTGACAAACTCTAGCGATACAAGTACATATGATACACCAACCCCATTGTCACCGCTATCTCTCACGGTTGTTCGCGATGATACGCAGGGCCTGCTTCTCGATCTGCTTCTTCTCTTCATTCATGGTAGGGACGGCGTGGAGTGCTGTGCCATTACCGCCCTTGACACTCTCTGCCTCTTTCAGCTCTTGCGCTTTCTTCCATTCTTTGAAACCTGTGGCATACAAATATCCGGCAACACTGGTCCCTACCATGATGCCACCGAAATGACTTGCATGATCAACGGTTTGACGTGTCCCTCTTCTCGCAGTGTAGATTTCTGTTGCTAAAAAAGCAGCAAACAGAGTCTTTGGCCAAATGCTGACCTCCAGGTCCTTGATAAATGGAATTTCGATTTTTTCGGCGTCCGTCAAAAGACACAAAACCGCCGCAATTCCCCAGATAGCAGCGGAAGCACCAACTGAGTGCGAACTTATGTTGCCACGACCCAGATTGGCCCAGTACAGGGTAGCCAAGGACCCAACAGTGCCAGCAGTGATGTAGGTACCCAAAAAGATGCCGCGACCCACCAAATCGTGACACCAGGGCCCAATGACGGCGAATATCATCATGTTTGCCACAAAGTGCTCCCATTGCACATGCGAGAAGACGTTGAGAACAGCCTGCGCGGCGCGTGGATATCCAGGGACGTGCATAAAGTACCGCGTCAATATGGGCCAAAAGCTGTATTGACGCCATGCTACGACCATGAACAAATTGGACGCAAAGATGCCGAGACAGGTGGCGTGAGAGAGAGAGATACCGGGCCACATGCGATACGATGGCGACGGCTCAACATAGTAGTGGGCAAATCCATAGGCAAGAACACAAACGAATAATACCAATGTCGTCATAGGAACAAGTCGTTGGGTCTATCCTGTGGTCAACACACGCTCAAGCCTGGACAATTGGGGATGCAAAGACGTACTAAGGTGGTGGCTGCCAGCATTTCTTCTGGGCTCTTGAAATCAGTCTGGGACTTCTTCTGAGCCCGTTCCAATTCTTCCTTCCGCCGACTGATCTGCTCACGACCGAAGATGTCGATGTACGCTTCCTGACCCGGCTTCATCAGTTGTGTTCCACTAGGTGTACGAACCCATTCACCCGTGGCAAGCTTGACTTCGTCATTTTTTTCTCGTGCCTCCTTCTCTTCGGCCTCTCTTGTGACAGCCTCTAGACGTAGTCGCCTTTGCTCCTTGATGTTACGCTCAAATTGCGAAGGTCCAACATGTAGCAAACCAATGCGACGCCCCTCCTCTTCTTCCTGCTCCTGCAACTCCCTCTCCTCATTGTCTCTTCTCTGCTTCTCCCTAAAAGCCCTAGCGGGATCCTTGTACTTGGAATCGTTTTCGGGGTCTGCCAACCACAGATTGTAGGCCAGTCGATTCGCCTCCTTCTCTGCCCATTCCTCAGCAGCACGCGCCTCGTCCACAGGGATCTTGCTACGTAACCAATTTAATGCCTTGGTGGCAGCCGGTCGGTTTATGTGCTCCAAATGAGCACCGAGATTGTCAACGCCATAGTCGGCGAGAGATCCCGATGTTCGGCGATGGTGAATAATTCGTAACGCAGCATTCCCATCTGTCGAAGAAATACGACCGCCAAAGATGCGTCGTATAGTCTCTCCGTCAACGGGTCCTGTTGGAAGAGGGCCTATTTGGACAGCGCGTCTCTGTAGGGGGGTGGGGTTCGAAGAGGTTGTGGGATCGTTGTGAGGAGGGTTGTGCACTTTAGCGGCGCATTGTCGGGTGGTGGAAAAAAGACGGTGGGATTGGATAGAGGTAGTTGGTCGAAGGGCGGAGAAAATGGGAGACGAGGGAGTGGTGGAGAAGCACGTCTGCTGAGTGCAGTACCGGCGCGCCAGGGCGAGCGTTACTGTGTTCCACTGCATGGGGAGGCGCGCGGCGGGCCGGAATGCAGATGGGATGGCACTGCTCATTGTGAATAGTGGCTCACCAGAGAGCTCAACAAAGCATGATGCAGCGGAGCTGGTGCTGCCCCAGAGGATAGGAGGGGGTGGATTTGAAAGAGGGACCTCGGGGGTGGTGGGCCGGCTCGAAAAGATCAATCGTTTGACTTCAGGTAGTCGGGTGGGGGCACGGGCTTCAGCCCTACCGTTAACCTAGCCCTGTGCAGTAGGTAGCTGTTCGCATTTGTAGCTGCCCCGCTCAACACTACTTGCGTCAAGTCAAGTACAGGACAGTACACACCTCCACACCAGTTACTCCCGCAACCCCCGCTGTGGTCCATCATGTCCTCTGCCTCGAATCCTATATCCCCCGCCCGATTCGCTGCCGCTCTGGAATCTCTCTCCATCTCGTCACTCTACTTAAAGGTCGCCGAACTGCAGAACTCCATTGCCCACCTGCATACGAGCAATGCCGCGCTCGAGGAGTACGTTCGACAGGAAGATGATAAAGACTGTTACGAAGCCCTGCTTGAGAATCAAAATGTGATAAAAAGCATGCAGGAGAGAATCCAGCTCATCAAGAAGGAGGTTACCGAAACTAGGGGACTGCCGTGGCAGCCTGAAGAGGGAGCAAAAGCCACCGAACCTGGGGAGGGTAGACCACGCGGCAATGTACAAGGGGCTGACATGGCGACCGTTAATGGAGCCGTGCCAATGAATGGAGCATCTCAAGATCCAGACAGCAGTGATCCGGCTACCGGCGGTGATGGTGGTGTGTATCTGTAATCCGGATCCAAATTCACAACTACAGCCAGCAACAAATATCGTCACCACAACGTATCAGAGCACAAAACTCTATCCGCAGCCTATTACCTGCACACGGTATATACATATATCTACGAATCCGCCAGCCATGTCTTCGACAAATCGATAAAACCTGGCCATAATCTCGTGGTCGCCATGCCCATGGTTATGACCTGAACACAAGCAGAACAATACTACTTGTGAATATCTGCAACTATGAATTACACATCCGCCACACTGGTACTTCTGGGGAATTGTGAGAAGACATCGTGGATACGCCGTAAACTCACTATGACGACAGAAGATGAACACTCGGTCTGTCATTGGCCTGTCGAGCATATAAGCCCTGATCTGAACAGTCTGTGAATCTCACGTGTCTCATTCGAACACGCAGTGGCCAAACAACCAAGATTAGACTAATACAAGGATATTCAATATACAGTTTGTGTTATCTGAAGATGATATTGGAAGGAATGTTTGAAGGATACAATGTCTTGGAGACGTTCCACCGTTTCGCAAGTATATCGATTTACCACTACAGACGGATTTCATCCCACTCGGATCATCTGGTCTTATGAGATGCTCCCGAGTCAGTACGACGTATTCATGTCGCAGTTGCCTAGACGGCTTCCTATTCGTAGGCACTTAGATCCAACGGAACGCTGCTCCCCCTCCCTGCACGATATCTTTTTGCTCCTCCCGTGAATTCTCTAGGCTTAGGGAACTGTGCTTCATCCACAAATCGCCATCTCAAATCGTGAATGGGCACAATCTTTCCCCTCTGGCTTGAACCTGCGCCCGCGCTCGTGGATCCTCCTATAGCCCCCGAACCGCCATTGGACAGAGTGTAAGAACTAGGATCCAGCATAGACCGCAAAGGGGTTTGTGTCGCTGGTCTACTAGGTGGTGAACTTGGGGGCGGTGGAGGAGCATGCACACTAGGCGTAGAAGGCGGTGGAGAACCTGGAGGTGGCGGCGGAGGCGCTGCGGGTGATGAGCGCCCAAAAGCATTGCGTGCAGCTTGCTCGGCTATTGATGTCTGTCCATTTGTGGGTGCCTTGGGCGCCGGGGGTGCGGGCGCAGATGGAGGCCTTGGAGGGGCATTCGTATATCTATATGGGTCATATTCGTCATCGTTGTCATCGTCTTCGGAAGATTGTCGGTTTGGAGGTGGCGGCGGAGGTGCTATTGAACGAGAAGGGGCTCTCGGGGCTGATGGCGGTGGTGGTGGAGGTGGTGCAGAAGGCACAGACGAGGGCGGTGGAGGCGGAGGCGCTGAGGGAGTATGTGATGGAGGGGGAGGGGGTGGAGCTGGAGGCGCGGATCCAGGCACGGGTGGAGCTCGAGCGGGTGATGCAGGTGGCGGAGGTGCTATTCCAGAGGGTTTTCGCGACGAAGGGGGCGGTATAGGCGGTTTCTTTCCGGGAAGGGGAGGTTTTGGTTTCGAGCCTATCTCGTACATGGAATGTGTTGACGTGACAGAAGCTGGTCGGAGATTGTTTCTAAGCGCAGCTACAGATGGGTTCGGTGGTGGTCTTGCGGTAGGCAACGGCGGAGGGGCACCTGGAGGGGCACCTGGAGGCTTTGGCGCTGCTCCTCGTGGTGGTGGTGGTGCCGAGCCTCGTGATGATTCGGGATCTGAAAGATATGGCGAGCTGCTTTCAGCACCTGTCTTGACACCGCCAGCCTTCCTCAGCTTGGGCATTCCCCCTGCAAACAGTCCGCCTAGTTGAGGCGCAGCACTGACTATCCCCCCGCCATCTCCTCCTGTGTCGCTGTTACTCCTCGCTCGATTCCCAGGAACAGGCGGCGCAAGACCTGAGGGAGGCGGAGGGGCTCGATTCATGCCGGGAACGGGCGGCGCGCCTCCAATGGGTGGTGCGCTGGGTCCATCTGAGACTTTACCAACTTGCGGAGCGGATCGATCGTTGACTACTGTGGTTTTCTTAAGCTTCATGCCCTTGTTGATATCGGTCAAAAGCGCTCCCTAGGTGCAGTTAGCTATGCTCTCACTCCATTCTCAAAATGCTGCACCAGGTGTGATCCTAGACATGATTCTGACTTACCCGTCCGGCTCCGCTAGGCGGTTTTCCTCCAGGCGCTCGTCCAGGCATGGGCGGCGGCGGTGGCCCCCCAGCACCTCGACCCGGCATGGGCGGAGGTGGAGGCGGCGGTGGTGGTGGAGCGGGCATAGTGTCGTGTGAGTTGTAGGAGATGTGAGTATGTTTGTGCACGATGGCTGTTGTTGGTCTCTAGTTCAAAAAGTTTCGGTAAATTGCTGTTTCGTTCTGCTGCCTATTGCCTGCGACGGGCGTGCCGTTGGTGTGTAGGTAAGTAGGTTGGGCAGCTTGTCTACGTCGGCATGAAGAACATTGCCAAGCCACAGGCTTCGTCACACTTCTGGATCTCCTTCCCTCAGCCTTCACAGCGGACAAAACACACCACAGCCTACACAACATGAAGTCTGCGGCTTTGCCGCTTCGCAAGCGGCCGCAGTTTGTCTGTCAACTGTGCGATCACGCTCTCCGACACCCAGCGCGTCGCTCGTTCATCACCACGTCAACACTCGCAGCCCCCGCGATACACCGTTCTGCGCCTGCAAGCCATGGTCTACTACCTCGCATACCAACGCGTACCTTTACGACGACCAGGTCGATGATGGACGCTGGCTCAGGTGTCGAGCCAGGGGTGGAGAGGGGTCAGCAACAATGGGACAAGATGGCTGTACTGAAAGCGAAACTTGCTGATGTGGAAAAGCGCATGTATTGGATCGAATCATCGCCCAAAGTTGAATCAGAAGCAGAGACCCTTGCAGTTCTTCGGGGATTAGCAGATGTTGCACGACAAGCCATTGCAATCCGGACACAGCAACCCTTTCCTGCAAAAATGAACATCAAACAAAGTTCGGCCGGCGCTATATTGACAATGGGCCGTGACGTTGACGACGCTGCTGCGAATGTCCCAGAACGAAAGGCCAAACCGACGTCTTTGAGCAACCTCCCCTCGCCATCATATCTTTCTTCGTTAGCTTTGAACCTTATCAAGCATCCGAAAGTCTTTCTTTCGTCCAGTGTACTCGAGCTGTACATTGCCTTTCAACGACTCGTGGCATGTCCCCGTACCATACCCGAGGCACTTCATTTGTATGCACATAAGCCTGTGCCCGAAGTCAACTCATCGCCACCAAAGTACTCTAAGCCATCACCAAAGGCTGCTAGACAAGCCATCCCAGCTAAACTAGCAGATGAGGCCCTCGCCGCCGCGATTGAAGCAAAAGATATGCCATTGGCCCTTGACGTGGTGGAAGAATCATATCGTGCTCCAGCATGGCGGCGTCATAAAATGGTGACCAAATTGACTGTTCCAGGGGTGTTGGCTGCCCTCACGCCATTGGGTCTTTACACGATCGCGCAAGAACTGTCTCTATACAGTGGATACATAGATCCTGCGATGTTCAAACTATATACGTTCATGGGCATGTCAACATATGTCTTGTGCACCGGCACATTGGGCTTTGTTGCGCTGACTACATACAACGACAACCACAAAAGGGTGGTATGGAGACCTGGTATGCCTCTCCTCGATCGTTACATGCGAGAAGATGAACGGGCAGCTATGGACCGGATAGCCTGTGCTTGGGGTTTCAAGGAAGAATGGCGACGGGGTGATGAAGAGGGCGAGGAGTGGGAGGGGTTGAAGGAGCTGGTTCTACTGAGGGGTATGATCTTGGACAAACCAGATTTGATGCCGGGCATGAATGCGTAGACCTAATTGCGACGCGAGCTTCTGTGAGAATGTATTAGTAATTATATCTCCTGTACCACAGTAGAATTTTCGTATTTCAAAGGCAAGTGTGTCTGGTGTAAAGCGGGTATAATCTGCAGTTTTTGGGTGATTACAGCTGCTCAACTCAGATGATCCCACTCTATCTCTGGTAGTGGTGATCGCATGATTTTGAATTATTGGTGGAGATCTACAAGAACGACTCGAGTATTCGCATCGTTTCGAAAATAGAGTATATCGATAGCTCCTCAAATGGTTCTCAACAAAGCTGTCATCGTAGCAACAGTTTTGGGCCAGGACTTGACTCGGTACAGCAGACTTCTCATAAGCTCCATATGCTCCTGACAATACCAGATTGAGACAGTGTGTGAGACAGTACATCAGATGTAAAGATCTGAAATTGCAACCGAGAACATGGCCTGCACTCAGGGGGCGTAATCTTGGTCTAGATTTGGGTTCGTATTTCGATGTTGTGTCACATATACTTGTGCTGTTTCAGAGTATTCGAAGGACGGTTCAGGGTAGTTACTAAGTGATCACTTTCAACATGTTCGCCGAATATGTATCCCGTCAATCAAACTTGGTCAGCAGTGTGTGGGAAACGAGTGACATGTTTGTATTCAAGATTCGAATATCCTACAATCCCATATCGAGCCAGTGTCACGAACATGTGAGCAGGCTCGAAGACACCCCAATATTTACAATCAAGAAGACAAAATCCTCTATCAAGACAGAATCGAGCTTCTCCCGAGAAACGCAAGAAAGCTGTCAGAATTGAAGTTAACATAATCGCCAGAGTAATTTGTTCTAGACGAGGTGGACCTCTCATCTACTGCAAGTCCTCCTCATCGTCACCATTGGTTGGCGCGGGTGGTGGGGGCTTGGGACGAGTGGACCATGAGGGAGTTGGCTTTCCTGATGGGGGGCCTGGTGGGCTGGGCTTGACTGGAGCGGTTCCGGGAGGGCTGGGCTTCACCGGGGGACTAGGCTTCACAGGAGGAGCGGTTCCGGGGGGACTGGGCTTCACTGGGGGGCTGGGTTTCACAGGAGGAGCGGTGCCAGGTGGGGTAGGCTTTCCAGAAGGAGGACCGGAGGGGACCGGCCTGTTCTTGATTAGCAGATGTTCGGATGGATGATTGGTATTGAGACTATACAGCTCTCTTCAAGCTTACTTACTTAGTGGGAAAGGGAGGGTCAACTGGTTTGGACACACTCGGTTTTGGAGCCTCGCTTTGGGCAACCGCGATGCTGCGGGGGCAAGTCAGCTTGTTGTCAATGTGTGGTACTCATTTTCCAACCTTGAGAGGCCGATAATGGCAAGAACTGTGGAGAACTTCATATTGTCAGGGACGATGTTGGCTGGGTTTGAAGAACTCAATGATGGGTTGGTGTTCGATTGGATGCGGAAGAACGAGACTTTGGCACATATTTATACCTTTCTGTATCGTCATTCTTCCTGATAGTATTATCTCAGGAGCTCAAAGTCATATTAATGCTCGGAAGAATCCATATCTGCTCCGTAACATACGAGACGATACCGTCTCACTGGAACCAACTCCAGGAGGTAATCGATAGCAGCAGAACAATGAAATAGCACTACCATATGGAGCTATAGTATGTTGCTAATCTACAGCTTGAGTGGCAATGCCAGGAGCCACCGGTTGGTTGGGCCTGAGACTTTCGGGAGAAGTTCGTAACTTGGAGTCGCGATGATGCAATTAACGTAATATCAGGAGATGAAGACGAGTCGAAGAGCATGTTCCCCACCGCCGAAACGAAGATATCAAATGTGTTTACGAACAGGGTAATTCCTAGTCTCATCACAACGCTTTGCTAGACATGGTGCGATACTAGCGTCTGAAGATTGACGTGGGCCAATCGAGGATCAGATTGAGAGGAACTTGTACACTTATAGTGAACAGTTTATATAAGCTATTCGCCTCGTGTACGTCTGCAGGAACGATATCAAGTGGCAAGGGCTTGGTCTTCCGATGTAAGATCCAGCTATTAGACGAGAGATTAAGCGTAGTGACAATTCTCCGTCTGGCTAATCGATCGAAGTCTGAGTGGGACACTGGTTCAAATCAAGTTCTCACTCGACAATGCAATTCACGGAATGATTGGGCAGATGCATACGATGTGCATGGTCTGATTCCAGCATTCATCTACGTTCTCATATGATCCCCATCATATAGACGGGCTGCAATCATGACGCCTGGATCGCCTCCGACACGCACCCGATTCCATGGCCGACATGAGTGATCAGGATCAGTGCAGGCTACAGGGTATAGTATTCGGCCTCCGAATGTAAATATATTACATTGATGAATCTATATTCATGAACGAATCAAACATAGCGAAGAAAAAGCGGAACGGCATCCAGTATCACCATTATAGCACGGACAGGCAAGACACATGCAGACAACACGCTACTCTGCAGCACCGATAATGAGAGCACGGGATATAAGATGATGCCAATTTCGACTACTGGTTGCGTCAATCAAGACCGCAGGCCAGTAATTAACCGCATTTCCTTGAGGCCAATGGGTGCAGATGGTGTTGAGGGCATGCGGTTAAATGCTTGACAGCAGAATTGCAAAGACCCAAACCTCTGGTTTACGGGAATGGGCATTATGATGTCGGGATTATTGTTGGACTAGCCAGGTCGATACCGTTCCACAGGGTGTACATATGTACATATGTACTTATCAAGTGGTCATCATGACTAAAGCAACTGATGCTATGCAATTGCAACTGAATTTCTGTTACTAAGCAGCCGATAAGTTGTGCGATCAGACTGCATGTACTTCGGAAACTCCACAAGATCCTCATGAATTATGAGCGTCTTAATGTTTAGTATTCGTTATAACTCGTAGCATTAAGGTTCAATCGACTGAAAAATCCATTCAAATGTTGTCCGAAGTGGGTGTAAAAGACGTTAAGGTTATCGACAGAAAGGCAAACATATGACACCTCTGGGATATTGTATGGCTACGCGAGAACAGGCCTGACTGCCATAAATTGATAGCAGAGTAAAGAAGGTGTAGGTCGAGAAAGTGTTCAGCTCTTTTCTCAGTGTCGCGGGGACGCTTACCGAAGATTGGCTTTGAATGTACGCTAGTGCGTATGCAGTAAGACACTGTCGGCGCTCCGAATCGCCGCGCAAAAAGTTGGTGAAATTTCAGGAAAGTACTCGCGGCTCGACCCTACACCTTGCACCATACAACGTTTTGGGTACCAAGCAATTACCATGGGTGGAATTAAAAGAAAATCCGCCGCGCCGGCGCAGTCTGACCCCAAAGTCAAAAGCAAAAAAGTCAAAGTCGACAAACCGAAAGGAAAACGGTCAGCAGATGCGGATGCGGCCAAACCCACGAAGACGTCCAAGAAGGCTAAGGTGAAGGACACACCAGAAGCTTCCGACAATTCGAACCTCAGCGACGAAGAGTCTGATTTCTCGAGTGATGACGAGCACGGTTTTGAAAGCGAGCCCAAAACGAACGCAAAGAGTGATACCAAGAAAGATACCAAGCTTGGGAAACAGAGCTCCAGCAACAGTGCAGACACTGGTAAAGGTGGCTCTGGGGCGAGCGGTATCAATAGTGAGCTCGCAGCAATATGTCTGGATTCCGAACTGCAGCTAATAACAGACAGCTACCACCTCCCGAGAAGCCCATGCGAAGCAGAAAGCACTGGCAAAAGAGCGAAGAGCCGCCAAACCAAACGCTGAAGACATCGAACAACTCAAGCTCTTATGGGAGAAGCTACGTCTCAAGAGCAATATAGACAAGGAAGAAAAGAAGCAGTTGATTGACCAGACCATGGAAATTGTCACAGGCAGAATCAAGGAATTTGTCTTCAAGCATGACTCGGTTCGTGTCATCCAGTCCGTCTTGAAGTATACGACATCTATGGAGCAGCGCAAAACAATTGCTCGTGAGTTGAAAGGCGAGTTCAAGGGTCTTGCTGAGGGCAAATATGCCAAGTTCCTAGTCGCGAAACTGCTAGAGAAAGGGTAATTAGTTCGACTTGCACTCGCGACGGAAGAAGTTCGCTGACGTTACTAGTGATGCCGAAATCCGAGGCATGATTATCTCAGAGTTTTATGGGAATGTTCGACGCCTGATAGGACACCCAGAGGCAGCATGGATCCTGGACGATACATACCGACAAGTCGCTACTCCAGAACAAAAATCCCGTCTTTTACGCGAATGGTATGGCCCTGAATTCTCCATCAAAGGTCTCGGCGAGAAGATACCCGAAACTGCCGACCTCAAAGCCATCTTGGAGCAGTTCCCTGAGAAACGCAAGCCGATTATGGATTACCTAGAAGTGCAGATAAATCAGCTCATCCAGAAGAGGCAAAGTGGCTTTACCATTCTCCACGATGCCATGCTCCAATATTTCCTCACGTGCAAACCAGGCACCTCGGACGCCAATGCTTTCTTGGAGCACCTGAAGCCAGACATGACTTTGAAAGAAGGCGAAGAGGCAGATAACGTTGATTTGTTGAAGAACCTTGCCTTCACAAAACCTGGCTCCCGCCTAGTGTCACTAGCTCTGGCTTATGGTACCGCCAAGGATCGAAAACTCTTATTGCGACCATACAAAGATACCATGGAGATGATGGCATTTGACCCGAATGCTCATCACGTTATTCTTGCCGCATTGGCTGTTGTTGATGACACTAAGCTCTCATCAAAGTCCGTATTCGGCGAACTCCTTCCCACAAATGATACCCTCGCAGAAAAGGTATTGAACATTACAAACGACGCTCGCGCTCGTACGGTGCTCTTATATCCTTTCGCCGCGGACTCCAAATGGTTGTTGGATGACGAGACGCGCGACCGACTTGCGGAACTTTACGCCATCCGTAACCTGACGTCCAAGAAGGACCCCAATGTTCGGCTGCAAGAAATAACCAGATCAATTGAGGGGCCTCTACTTTCCGCAGTCACTCAACGTATGGGAGACTTTGCAGCCTTCAGTTTCGGACTGCAGTTTGTCACCGAGGTTCTTCTCGGCGCGCCGGAGGTGGATGCGGAGGCTCGGCAACAAGCGTTGCAAGAAGTTGCCACCCACTCACAGCAGATTCTAGATTCTGGAGATGGTGCGAGTGGCCATGGAAAGAATCTGCTCAAGACTTTGGTTCAAGGCGGGAAGTACGATCCAAAGGCGAAGAAGGTTGTCCCTGTAGAGCCACGTTTGGGGTTTGCAGACATGTTTTGGAATCATGTGAAGAACGATGTCCTTAGCTGGGCGACAGGACAAGGCTCATGGGTCATTGTCAGTTTGGTCGAAAACGAAGAGTTTTCTAAGAAGAGCGATGTCCTAGCAGTACTAAAGAAGGGGCGTAAAGAGCTGGAAGCAGTGGCTGCTGGCCCGGCCGGCAGTGCTGCTGCAGGAGGTAAGAAAGGTAAGAATATAAAGGGGCAAGGTGGTAGGGGTGGGAATGCAGGTGCAAGAATTTTGTTAGAGAAGTTGTAGATGTTGCATACAATGAATCATATGGCAATTTGTGAATAATATGCGGACGAAGAAGTGGATTCATGTGAGCATATGCTCGGTATGATCTGGATGGAAGATAAATATACTGGTTCCTATATGGAATCTATCGACACCTAGAGAAAGTACATGCACAGTTTCTGAAGAGCACTGGAGTCCTCTTGACCTGAGGGTTATCTATCATGTAGTTATCCGGACGGGTTTCGGCGCATTTGTGAATCGCCTGTTGAACTGTTGGTTTCTCAACTTCCAAGGGTCGCTGCAAAGGCCACACAAGACCCTCACGCACATTTGGCTGGATTAGACGCGATTGCAGGGCAGAGTATTTGCTCAGTCAACCCTCCTCCTCACGCTACGACCCGTATCCTCCGAACCTATACCTATTACCACCTCGGAGATGAGGTCTCGAAGCTGAGCTTGCACCTCTTCGGTCTGAAAATCGTCCCGCGCGGCCAGCTCGTCTATCCGGCGTCGAATTTCAGGGTCTGGCACATCTCCTACAGCATCCTCGGTCATGGTTCCCAGCTCGACCTTGACACCGTTAGGCAGAGGGGGTGGTGGATGAACGCCTTCGCTTTCCACCACCCCGGCGCTCACAGCTTGATGGCCTGTCCGCAGGCTCTTCAGATACTGGTAGACTTCGTGCGCTTCGCCTTCCTCTTCCAAAAACTTGTCCTCCGCCGTCTTCCCCTCGGCGTTCCTGACATTCCGGTCTGCGCCAAGGTCTTCGACTAAGCATTTAGCTACTTCAGCAGTCTCGGCTGCAAACAAAGGTGTTTCGCCATCTTCATCGAGGAGGTTGACGTTGACTTGGTACTTTTGGATCAGTTCGCGGAGGACGGCGAGTTGGCCGTACGAGACGGAAGCGTGGACAAGGGAATAACCGTGCGCGTCGCAGGCAGAGGCCAAATGCGAATGCTGAGTGAGCGATGCGAGAATGGATTCGGGGCGCGTGTCCATCAGATTCAGCAGCAAGTCAATGGTAGGCGCCGGAAGAGCCTGTTGTGGCGAAGCCATGCTTGCAAGCGGCGAGAGAAGGTCTCTGCGTGCGAAGAAGTTCTGGAGCTTCGGCGGAAGTGTTTTTTTGGGGGGGAAACGTGGTTGTGCGCCGAGGGATGACGGTGAATTTGTTGTCGGTAGGGGTTATTTTTTTTTCCCTTCCTATTCTTGCATGCCTTTCCCCGCCGCTGTTTTGCCTACTTAGTACTGTTCGCTAATACACAATACACAACTATTACCAATAACGTACATATAAGCTGCTGAAGGAAAAGCGCAGCGCGACAATCAGACACGGGCAATGGTCCCCATCCACCCAATACGTCAGCTGTGGCGCACCACTTTGCACTAATGTGACATTTGAAAACAATCAATGCGAAACACTTAGCATGCAGCAAGTGCGGTTTTGTGCCGCAGGAGAACATGGGACACTGAAACTCAATCCTCTCGATACGCCTAGTCACCAAGGCCGTAGCTATTTGCACATTATTACCCATGTTAACTATGGCACTCGTCCTATTTGCCGCTGCGGCGTCGTCACCGTGCAGCGCAGCAGCTGACTGTCGCCAATTGATTCCCATCGCCAAGCACCATTTAGCAAAAAGGTCCGCTTGCTCAGCCTCAGCAGCTACTTTTGGGCTATCGTCATCCACGCGGCCGCTGTCGCGTGTCTGTCTTCCTTTCTTCGAGCCCTCCCGTAATTCCTACATCCTCCTCGCAAGCATTTACTAATCCACACTTTATTTCATCCTCCCCGCTAATAGTCATTGTCGCCTTTGTTTCCATTCCCCGCCAACTCGAGAGCAGTGCCTTTGTCTCTGGCCCCTGAATTCGTGCCCATTCATGGTTGTACACTTCTCCGTTTCTCCAAGACAGCCCAGCTATCTTGCGTCTCACGTCTCACTCTGAGACTGTCCTTTCAGCACCTTTCTTCTTGTCGCTTCCTCTGATCCATCCTTGCTTGTCATAAACGTCAACTGGTTTTTTCCTTGTATGCCCATCATCTCTTCATAATGGTTTTAACTATGGCGCATTTGCCCTCAAAGCGCCTCATATTTTCGTACATCTTCGACTGGATTGTCATAATGTAAGTGCTGGCTGTTGGCGTTACTGCTGTATCATGCGACTATGGCGTTGCAGCTAACAATGTTCCAGAGCTATCGCTGCTCTTGGGGCCGGTTGGGAATACATAGAGCCCTTCAAGCGGCCCTTTTCGCCCGTCAATCTCGACATCTCTTATCCACACCAATTACACGAAAAGATCCCGACATGGCTTCTGGTCTTTATCTCGCTCGTCGCCCCAGCATTCATTACATTCGTTGTCTGCTTGGTTCTTGTTCCGGGGCCTACCGCCAGTCGCGGAACGCCAAAGTCACTGATCTGGCGGAGAAAAGCTTGGGAGTGGAACACGGCATGGATGGGCCTTGCTCTCTCCCTTGCGACTACATTCATGATCACCCAAGGCATGAAGCTTTTGTTTGGGAAACCGCGTCCTGATCTATTGTCCAGATGCCAGCCGGATCTGAGTAGAATTCAGCAGACAGCTCTGAACCCCGTTGGTGCTGACTTCAATCCAAACTGGGTTCTGGTGACAGCGGACATCTGTACCAACAAGGATATGGATATTATGAATGACGGTTTCAAATCGTTCCCTAGTGGACACGCAAGCTGTAAGACGCTACCTTCTCTATCACCTACAAGGCATATCTGACAAGTCGTCATAGTTTCCTGGGCCGGTCTGCTTTATCTTACCCTCTTCCTGGCTTCCAAGTTCTCCGTGGCGATCCCGTTTCTCCCCCCACGCCCGTTCAGTACCAACCCCGCACACACTTCCGCCGTAGCGCGATCCAACTTGAAGATAAAGACCTCCCTTCCGCTTCATAACGGGAAGGAATCCAGTCTCGCATCACCTACATCAGGAGACGAGAAAGTCGTGCCTATCCGTCTTCAGGCAGCTGCTCCACCAGTCTATACACTGATCTTGGTTCTGATCCCCGTAGGTTCGGCGATCTACATATGCAGTACCCGTTTCACCGACTATCGTCATTTTGGTTTCGACCTCATTTTCGGCAGTTTGATTGGTATCACCACGGCTTGGTTCAGTTTCCGGTGGTATCACTTACCAATCACTCGTGGCGCAGGATGGAGTTGGGGCCCAAGAAGTTATAAACGAAGTTGGGGAATCGGTGTAGGCGTCGGGACCTACGTAGGAACGGAGGGTTGGAGCCATCCGAGCCACAACAATGGGGGCGTTGGTGAGAACGAAAGAGACTTAGAGATGGATGAGATAGCTCTGAGAAATGGCGAAGCTTCCCGTCATGATGCTGTCTGAGGGGCAAACTTGACAGAGGTTTCTTTTGTATATCTTTCTTTGCTTAGCTTAATCTTTGTCCCCACGTACACCTATGCCCAGATTGGCGTCCGCTTCCGCGAGGGGCTTAGGGCAGAATAGGAACATTTGGATTTGATTTTTTTATTCATATGAATAGAATCATGTATTACATCTGGATTTTACGCCTGTTTCCACCTTGAGCTGCTTCTTATTTGCAACAGGTCTCTGCCGATGATGGTGATGGGTCAAATTCGGTAGGTTTGTGGCGGCAGCCCTAAATCGGGCCCGTGCTCAAAGCTTGCCTCACCGCCCTAATATTCTGCCTCGGTCGCCTCTCCTCCGCTCAAAAGTTCTTCGACTCCACAACCCGTCATGTCAGAGTATTGGAAGTCAACGCCCAAGTATTGGTGCAAATACTGCTCTGAGTATGTCAAGGACACCAAACTCGAGCGCCAAAAACATGAAGCCACTGGTCGTCACCAGGGCGGCATACAGCGCCAGTTGAAAGGCATACACCGGGAACAAGCCAACCAAGCCCGCCAGCAACAGCGCGCCAAAGACGAGGTAGCCCGCCTTAATGGCCTTGTACGTTCGAGCTCTTCCTCGCATGTCACCCCCAGCGCCGGTGCAAGTAGCAAGCCTACATTTTCAAAGCCAGAGGAACGGAAAGCCACGCTGCAAGACAGAAAGAAGCAATGGGAGCAGTTGGCAGCTATGGGCATAGCGATGCCGCAAGAAGGAGGTGGGTCGACCGCAACGAATGGTGATTGGTCAGTGGTCAGTGAAAAGATCGTTGGCGAAGTGGGAGAAGATGGTGTGGTGAGAGAGGTGGCGCTCAACAAAGGCGTGAGAAAGAGGAAGTTGGATGATGAAGAGGAGAAGCGACTTGAAGCTGGGGAGACCATCACTAAGAAGAAAGGATGGGGACACACGTACAAAACATTCCCGGGCAAAGCAGGCAACGTGGATGAGGATGTGGAAGCCCTGTTCAATAGGAAACCTGCAGCGAAGGACGAAGACGATACGGAGATCAAGCAAAGTCTGAAACTAGAGGATCAAGTGAAGGGAGAGGATATCCCGAGTTCGCTGCTGGAGATACCAACTGCCGAGGAGGCAGCAGCAGCGTCGGTGAAGAGCGAGGCTGACAAGCCTGTGCCGACTGTGGTATTCAAGAAACGAAAGAAGATCGCAAAATAAGGGGATACTGGATGATGAGACTACGTTTGTATTGATAAGGGTTCATTTTGTTTCGTTTGGACGTTGGTGGCAATGTCAGATACCCCGTGCACAAATTCCTTGCACTTTAGACGACTACTTCTCACCTGCATGCCCAGGTTACATATGTAATTATCAGCAAAGCAAAAAAACCGAGGTGTACTATGTATCCCTGATTGAAATTTGATGCTGAACAGGACGGGCCAACAATTTCATGATACCGAGTACCTATCTGGATCGGGACATGGTAACATATAAGTACCTACGTATGATCGACAACTAAACCAATCCCCGGTCAGCTTACTTGTAGCTTCTGCCAAGCATCCTCGCGCGTCTGCCACCCGGCACCTGTCGCGATGCACCAGGCATGAACGCGCAACGACCCTCGCCAACCTCATCCACTCTTTTCCCTTGTTGACATGGTTTCATAACCACGCGCTGCACCAGTCCACACGGAATCTTGAACATGCATCTAATCAAGCCGTTGTGGTTGACACACCCAGGTAAGGTGGCTCCCACGCATCTTTGCAGCGCAGTACATTCACGCTCTGGCTACGTGATCGCTAACACAATGGGTTTCCATAGGTGATCTCAAAGACTTTGAAGTATACAGCTGCCACGTCTCTCCCGATGGATCGCGACTAGTGACAGCTGCTGGCGACGGTCATGTACGAATATGGTCCACTGAGGCCATCCTCAACTCCCACGATCCGACCTACGTCAAACCAAAGCAGCTGGCTGCCATAAGCAATCACTCGGGCACTATTCATACCGTACGCTTCTCTCCTAATGGCAAATTTCTTGCTTCGGGCGCCGATGATAAATTTGTCTGCGTATACGGCCTCGACCCCAATGCGCCCGCGCACGTCGCTTTCGGTTCGAACGAAGTTCCCCCTGTAGAGAATTGGAGAGTCACACGGCGTCTCGTGGGTCACGACAACGATGTACAGGATCTTGGGTGGTCATACGACTCGTCGATACTGGTATCTGTAGGGCTGGATTCGAAAGTGGTGGTTTGGTCGGGCCACACATTTGAGAAGCTGAAAACCCTATCGAATCACCAGAGTCATGTCAAGGGCATCACTTTTGATCCAGCAAACAAGTACTTCGCTACTGCGGGAGATGATCGGACAATCAAGGTGTTCCGCTTCACATCTCCATCGCCTCAGGCCAATTCGGCAGATCAGGTCAACAACTTTATGCTCGAGACCACAATTACCGCACCCTTTGCAGCATCCCCCCTCACTACGTATTTCCGTCGGTGCTCTTGGTCACCGGATGGGGCTCACATAGCTGCTGCTAATGCAACTAACGGACCTGTTAGCTCAGTCGCCATCCTTCCCAGAGGATCATGGAACGGTAATATCAGTCTGGTTGGCCACGAAGGCCCTGTAGAGGTCTGCGCTTTTTCTCCGAGGCTCTTTTACCGCCACAACCCCGCAGAATTCGAACATGGTACACAGCATAGCGTGACTGTAGTTGCATGCGCGGGACAGGACAAATGTTTGAGTATCTGGAATACCAGTTATGCGCGTCCATTCATCATCACCCAGGAACTGGCCAATAAGTCCATATCGGATTTGGCGTGGGCACCAAACGGAGAAACATTGTTTGTGACCAGTCTTGATGGAAGCATTACCACTCTAGTTTTTGAGCCTGGGGAGTTGGGATACCCCGCCTCAATGCAAGAGAATGAGACATCTTTGTCCAAATTCGGCCTTGGTAGACGGGCTGGAATCATCGAGGGAACGGACGCGCTGTTACTTGAGGAAAGTGCCAAGAACGGCGAATTGAAAGAAGTACAAGGGAGAATGGGCGCGCTCATGGGCGACGGGGGAGTGTCACAACCATCCAACACAAACAATACTAATGGCGCAGCACCTACTAATTCGCTAACAAACGGTTCTACCCCAGCTCCACCACCACCACAACCACCACCACCGACTGAGCCTGTCCCGGATCAAAGAGTAGAAAAGTTGAAGCAAAGGGTCACAGTGACAAAAGATGGAAAGAAGCGAATTGCACCCATGCTCGTGTCATCGTCTTCTGCGGTGGGCCAGTCATCATTGCCCCAAACTCAACTTATATCAGCGACCACAACCGGAGGAAGAAGTGATAATCCGCACAACATTCTGGATCTCTCGAAACCTTATGATGGCTTTCCCAAAGGTGGATTAACATCATTATTCTTGGGTAACAAGAGGAGGTTTGCAGAAATTGATGGCGACGAAGATCGCCAAGTTGAGAAGCGACTTGCAGCTTCAGTCAAACCTGGTGGCGCAGCTATTGTCCTGAACAGCGATTCAGGCCTCATACCTCCTGCTGCAGCACCACCCAAATCCGATGAAGCTGAGGTGCCCAAAGTGCTACGTCCTGCTATTGTCAGCCCTGCGCTCAGCGTCAGCCAGGTGCGGTTAGCGGTACCGAAAGTACGAAGTATAATCCTTCGCACGATGGATGGCAGTGAACCACCACAAGCAAACGGTGTTGCTAGCATCAAAGCTGACACGGAAACAATCATCCTAGAAGCGCGCAATGCCACAGGACCCTCGCGTACAGGACGACCACAGGATCATGATCCATGCCGGGTCAGTTGTACAAAAAAGAGCCAGTCGTTGTGGCAGGACTTTGTACCAAGGGCAGTTCTTCTGACTACTGGTAACCCGAATTTCTTTGCGGCTGCATGCGAGGATGGCTCAGTATATGCATGGACACCCGCTGGTCGGCGCACAATCAATGCTATGATTCTGGATGCTCAACCCGTTATCATGGACTGTCGTGGATGGTGGTTGTTAGTCATATCAGCAGTAGGCATATGCCATGTCTGGAATCTAGAGACAATGTCAGCACCACACCCTCCAATCTCCTTGGCACCAATCCTCGACATTGCAGCATACTCGCAAGGACCGCATCTTCTCAAGTCTCCCGGTATTGTGTTCGCTCGTCTCAATTCTGAAGGCCGAATAGTCATTGCTATGTCTGATGGTCAAGGCTACGTGTACTCCCCTATGATGTACATCTGGCAACGCGTTTCAGAACCTTGGTGGGCCGTGGGTAGCCAGTACTGGAACACTACTGACTCTTCAGTCGGCAACGTCACGTCTAAAAAGAAGGACGTAGCTGGCGCAGAAAAGGACGACTATGTTACTCTTGAAAATGTTTCTGCGGGCATCATCCCGAGCCTTGAACGCAACACCACGAATCAATTCCTTCTTCAAGGCCGCGCTTTCTATCTTTCACGTCTTATCAAGGCTCTCATATCTGCAGAGGGTTACGAGACTTTCGAAGCGTCAATTTCCGTGGCACATCTGGAGAACAGAGTCGCCGCGGCACGGGCACTAGGTGCTAGAGAAGAATTTAAGATTTACCTTTCTATGTATGTCAAACGCATAGGAGCGGAGGGCATGAAGGGCAAAATTGAGGAGTTACTTCGAGACTTCTCAGGACGATTGGTGGAGGAAGATGGTGATGACGCTGCGGGTGAAGCGGATACTATTTGCGGATGGAAGAAAGAAGATCTGTTGAAGGAGATTATTGTCATTCTCGGTAAGCAAACCTTCCCTTCATGGACCGAAATAGCAAAAACTCACAAAGTCAGGCAAATTCCGCGATCTCCAACGAATAACAGTGCCGTATGCGCGTCTTCTCGGCATCATCCACGAAGAGCATCGTGGCGATCAAGCCATGGTCACGGACATGTAGTGCAATGGCATGGAAAACGTCTCTCACAAGACATATCTTTTCTTTTCTTTCGCTGTGTAGAATAATACCCTCTTGCTTTCGACTTGGTAGGTCGGCGGCGTATCTGTCTATGTTTCTTGGGCGTGAGACTTCCAAACTTTGCCTTGAAACCATGAATCGGCTTTTTATGTTATATGTATCATACTACGGTCTAGCGGAAGAGGTGCTATAGGCATCCGATATGACAATCAATATGGAGCGGTATAGCTTGCTCACGTTCAATCCCCTGCCCGAGACGGATGTAGTCCATCTGTGTTTGATTTATTACATTCCAAACTGAGCAATATACATACGTAAGAATGTGCAAACAGATGCAGCCCAAGTCATTCCAGCTCCGCACATTCACGTGCATCTGACTTTTCTCTCTGGGGGGAGCAAACCCTGGAAATTAGAACAGAATCTCGCAACAGAATAGTGGAACCTCAAACAACCTCCCTCTCGCATCCCCTCACTCCAATCTTATAATCTACGCCCTTGCCCTTCTTCCTTTTCCTACCCATTTCCATGCTCCTCACCGCCCTCCGCCTAATTGCTCCTCGAATTCCCGCAATATCTCTCCGCGCCCACATCTCATACCCCTCGCAACTCAGTGGACTCAACACACAATTTCTATCACTATGTACGAAGGACTCTGTGGAGTGTGGGGCGGAGGCGGCGATGATGTCAATGTCCGCGGTGAGCTTTGCGCAGAAGGCGTCGAGGGGGAGGTCGTTGACATCGTTGCCGAAGGGATTCTCGATTTCCTGCCCAATGTAGGCGAAACCTAGTATTATATACGCTGCGACTGTGCGGCGGCTTCAACGTTAGTTACATGTTCTGTTATGCGGGATTGATCTCATCTTTGGGGATTAGGCGAGTACATAGGAGTGGGAGTGGGGAAGGGGATTTCCCTACGCAGTGTTCCTGGAATCGTGATGAATCCGAGCGATTCATAGAGTTGGAATGGCAGGATGAGGATGTATACCCATGTTAACTGCGAGATGGCGATGGAGTAAGCGAGTGGGAGGGGTGTATTGAGGATGCGGTCGGTGGTTTCGAGGATCTCGTTCAAGGTCAAAGTTGCGCTGACTGCGAACAACCCCGTTAATATTCATCGATCATGGGTAAACGAGAAGTCTGCTCTGCGGAATGGCTCTTACTCCTTGCTTTGAATGTTACTTACGTACATTGGCCTGGTATGGCGGCGGGTTGAGGCGATCCTCATCGATAACGTCATGGATGTATACGGCCAGATGGTTCAAAATCTCGAGTGGGAGGTTCCCAAGTGGATGTTCGGCGCGTTTAATCATCTTTCGAGGATTGGACATCGCAAACGATACGCCTAGGTACTCGCCGTATGATTTCCAGAAACTTTTCTTGTGGGCTTCATCCCGGTCTGGTTCCAATTCAGTCGCTTCTCGCGCGAACGTGTTGAGGTGCTTCACAAGGTCCCGTATATCATTATAGTGTGTGTAGGGCTCGAAACGGAGGCGATGTTTGAGGGCGCGCGCAAATGCGACAATGAGATTCAAAGCAGTTCTGAAGCCACTCTGATGTTAGAGCTGAACATTGCCAGGGAAAAGGGTATAGGGGAAAGAGACATTTTGGCTAGTAGATCGTCTTTTTCCTGCCCTTCCCTCTCTTTCACATTGATCCAAATATTTCGTGCAAGATGGTGTGATGTAGTCATAAGTGTTGTCCACGCTCTTCTACCCTCCATGTACCGCTCATATGCAGTGGTACTACGAACCGATAGTGAAAGTGCTACCACGAACCCCAGGACGGTCAGCAGGGTGGATTTGATGGCGACTTCGAAAGGATTCGTAAGCAATTGACAGCTATTCTCAGAGTGAGAAGTTTCACTCACGATCGTGAACATGTCTTGAAAAGAGACAGACGCCAGTTGTCCAAGATCCCACAACAATCAAAGGGAGAATTAAATCCGGAAGACAACTCCCATGAATTCGTAGCATCATCGGCCATTTCGAATGTCTGTCGAGCGCTCGAGGACCCAGCTGAAGAATATCGCTAGTCAAATACTATCACGTCAAAAAGATGACTTGAGTGGACTTACGAAGTGTTCATCGAATTTACAGCTGGCACACCTGTTGTTGCTACCTTGCACCGATTGTATGAACGGCTCGGATGTGAGAGAGGGCGTGCTACTCCGCGACTCGAGCTTTTCAGCTACTATTGAGTCTCGTCTTTCCCCCTTCTCCAGCAATACTGAGTGGTGTGGCGTATCCATTATTTGAATGGAAATAGCCGGAAGTATAGGACAGTGATACTCCCCATTGGAGTGAAAACAGAAAAGGCTGCCCGAAGATTTATACGAAGCATGTTGAGATCATGCATTTCACATGATCGAGCTGAAAAATCTCTGGGAACGAAAAAGCCAGGCTGTGGTCTAAAGACAGTGTCTCCTGAATTAGGGAAAAAGGAGGGGTCGGAGACACTGCCGGTAGGTAACATCAGCTATGGTCTCTAGCGTCAATGATGATTTAGATGATTGGAAGTAGAGAAAACCAGTAATTACAAGATTCAAGATATCTTACAATGATCCGAATCTAATCGGAATTCTGGGAAACAAGCATTCAGCAGAGAAGACGCTGTAAATCGGCAGTAGGCTCCTCTCGTAGATGATTCTTGTTGATGGTTTTCACACGATCCTCCACTAAGACTGATGCAGCGCCTAGGGGAAGCTTATATTCCCTCGTCACCTGAAACGCGTCCGTATATGCAGCATTAGCCAGAAAATGAATACACGTTTAGGTTTCCACAGTCACAGATCGAATGCGCATTTCCATAATTGAAATCGGCCGGACAAGGAATATAGATTTAACACAGTTGGAGGTGTAAGAGTTGTAGGAGTAACAGTAAGTTCAGCAGGATCGTCTTGCGGTAGCTAAGGCGAGTGATGTACTGATAGATGATAATGTTGGCACGTGTTTCAGCTCCCTAGAGGGAACCTTATAGTGATATTCGGAGGACGACCAGATGATCGTCTCGATTGACCAAAGTCCCTGGTTATTATCCTATCAGCATCATCGCATACATCCGGTAAAAACGATGAAACTCATATTGATGGAAACATGGGAAAGTCAGACGAAAGATGGAAGGCTCTCACTTATTACAGTCAGGTAGCATCTGGCCATGGTATAAGTGGCGTAGCAGCTTCAGCTGCTGCTTGCGATTCAGCAATCCATCAGTAAGTATCAGTTGTTGTTGTTTCGTCAGGCTTCAGACACACATTCAGATGCTAGTGGTATCAAAGCATACGAATTGTAACTGTCTAGCTCAAGGTGTATAGACCGGTCATGCATACACGACCGCTTGTTCAGGCTCCGATGCGGGGGTCGAAAGACCAGAAGTCATGCTCGACCCTCTACTCCTACCATCACTAGACGGCAGTGAAGCAGAGCTGGAGTTATAATTGGAAAGACCTCTGGTATGACCATAAATCGAGAAATAGTCGGGTGCAAGCTCCTTGGACGACTCCCTTGGTGTGTACAGGGGCAACGGATCGTCTTGAATCTCTTCACTTCCCGGGCTATTGGATATCAAGTTACAAGGTATGCGAGGTAATATTTCCAGCGCGGTCTTGCTGCATATGCCAAATTCGCGACCTCTGTACTTAACTCCGACCTTAACTATGAGATCATAGCTTCGAGTGACGATGTATGTTTTGAAAGACGGCACACATTCTGCGTCGTCTACCAATCGGAAATTATGTGTTAAATTGATCCGGTCTCCGAAGTTGATTGTCTGATTGATATGCTTCCTGTCTATACAGGTGACATATTTGCTCATAGTATCCTCAGCATGTGACGCAGGATGACCACAAATAGACGTGGTGTGTGTCCCGATCGAAATGTTTACCGACTCAAGCTCGCAATGATCCCGAGTAGTATCATCGGCGTCCAGTAACTCGTTTTTGTCGACGAGCGAAAGTGAAATCGGAATATGTTGCCCTGGCATAGTCTTCTCGGGATAATATACGGTCGGCACTATACGTGGACTATTGGAATTTGTTGCGTTCCGTCGAGTCAACCTAGAGAAGGCCCTGTCGACGGATTTATGCTGAGCAGATATCGGCTTCCACGTCTGAGCGTACAACACTCTTGAGACGATTCTTGTTTCTGTATTCAAATGTTCTGGGGTGGGATGGTAAGGTAGCACATGGTATATCTTCAATGGCTCCCGTGTTCCATCCATCTTGAACGTCGCCTTGAGAAAGTATGAGATGGTAGCGGATCCGGCAAAGTTATCGATACATGTCTGGAACGATGGCGGCAGTGGATGCGGACCTTTAGAGTATTTGGGGCCATGATGGAATCGCGGATATTTGGGGATAGTCAGACTGGGGAACTCGAATTCGAAAGTCCAGCTTCGTTTCTTGTCGTCCAGGGTACATCGTGAGAGGAGTTCTGATTCCAGATTGAATAATGTCACGCGTTCCCCGACCTGTCGTGCAGATGGCTCCCCGTTGGCGTTATTGCTCATTGGGTAGAACGGCCGGGACGTCACTGTTGTAACTGTGCCCATGAAACTCAGAACAAGTGAGCTGACATCTACCTCTTCTCCAGCTGCAAGTACAATCGTTCCAGTGACACTATCACCACGACGAAACACTTTCGCGCTGTCACCATTGACGATAATTCTCAGATCCGGATCAAGAGCCATGATGAGCTATTGGAGCAAAGCACCCACGAATATGCGGCGCTTGCTAGGTTATGAATGTGTCCTATACGAGATCGCTATTCTTACTCGGGATTCCCACCGAAAGTCTCGAAGCTTATCGGCCCAAGCCGGGCTTGTAGGGAATATGTTTCCCGGGACATCTGGGCTGCCAAGGGCGTGAGATCCGTGGCGTGCAGCAGCGTGATCACAAAAACGGGAATAGCAAAGCGGCGTAAAAGTCAAAGACGGGTTGATTGGGAGGAAGAGCATCATCATCATCGGATTATGGACTGCGCCGTACCTCACGGCCGGTAGGAATAAATACGTAGTTTCCGAATGTGAACGCGCGAGGCGTATTGATAAGGGGCATGTCAACGAAGGGTCCCGGTAGCAAGTAACAAGTTGTCCCTGCATGATATGGGTGCCATCCAAGGAAACACTACTCACGAGACAACGAGATGGGCGATGCAGCCAAGAGAGCATGGCGTTTGGCCAAGGGTCTGGATCTGCCACAGCTGATACCCAACAGGGCTTATCGTCGTGCTTTGCTGCAATACAGATTCCCCGGTGAAGTGGACAGGCTGGGTTGCCACTTAGCTTCTGGACACCCAAAACAGTGGAACGTGGAGAAACTGTACTAGGCAATGGTGAGGTCTGGTCAATGAAGGGTCCGAAAAGCGAGAGCGGAGATAGTGAGACTTGAATCTGGGTCGGCTTAAAACTAGCGCCCTCCAAAGTCATATTGCAGGATGTTTGATGAAGGGAGACAGAGTTCATGAACAGTGTCACATAATAATTATCGCAGTCTGTACCCGAGCATCTGCATTGAACTTGAAGCCAAGTCAGTCTTCGTCTCCCTTGGTGTGACATGCAACCTAGATAGCTAATGACTGAGATTGATCTACATAATAGATACTCGAAGATGCTACAAGGTAGCGGTCACACATTGTCAAGTAGAGATGATGACTATTCTAACGCACAACAAAGTAAGGCATAGAGCCTAAGTGAAGTGGTGAAGACTGGGTGGGAATGGAAGAGATTTCCGCGCAGGGAAATGTAATAGCATTACATAATGACATCCTAGAGACGATCCTCTCAAGGGCCGCTCATCTGGGAAGCGCCGTTTACAGACTATATATTTAGACAAAAAGAATAAAATTTCAACCCAAGTCGCTTTAGCTCACTTGGGAGAGCGCCAGACTGAAGGCAATCCAGCTTGCTGGCAAACCTCGGTTACACCGAACGATATCTGGAGGTACTGTGTTCGATCCACAGAAGCGACAAATTTTTGTTTTTTGTTCTGGCATGGGATATGCTTCCCATTGTAAAGTACCTAGGGGTGCAAGGTTCGAGTTGGCTTGTGTATTTTTTAGCGTGCATGTTTCTTGATTGAGGTCTGCTCATACATGATACGAAAAATATGGATGTGCTCAGCTCCGAGTTAAGGATAAGGCTTCAATGATGTTGCATAATCGAAATATTCGAAACTTGAATGAATCGGACTAGAATGAGCAAATAGCATTTCTGTCAAAGCCTCACACAGCTAGTACAATCAATCGTCAGGTATTTGAATTGGTGCAGACTGATCGAACTTTGATAATTAAGGTGGGTGTTGGATGAGCGAGAGCACTCACAATGCCAAGCCAAAACGCGTGAAAGCGCGTTGGTATTGAGTGCTCCACACCGACGTCGATGGAGGCAGAAGCACCCGACACCCCAATTTCTCCGCGCTCAGCTTCTCTATCCTTCTGCACGCCCACACACCCTGCACAATGCCCGCGCGGAAAAGCAACGTCTCAACAGTCTCCAATGACGAAGAAGATGGTCTGAACATAGAAGTAAGTGTCGCGTCGATGCAAACTTCCGTTTCCATCTTTCTTCCCCCCCCCCCACCAGAGGTGCATCAAGAGCTAATTGTTGCTGTATTTCTAGGACCTTAACCTACCCAAATCAATAGTGCAGCGACTCGGAAAAGGCGTGCTCCCGGCCAACACACAAATCCAGAAAGATGCGCTTCTAGCCATGTCGAAAAGCGCAACCGTCTTTGTAAACTACCTGACATCATGGTGCGCACCCACCCATACCTTGTTCTTCATTTCTACGACTCCCTTCGGCAGGCCCTCGAAAAGATCAACATATACATTGAAGAGAAAACGATGATGGCTAACACTGCGCTCTTCTGCGACATTATAGTGCCGCGGAACATGCCGCTCGCACTGGCAAAAAAACCGTCGTGCCCAAAGACGTTTTCGAAGCGATGGATGAGCTCGAATTCAACTTCATGTTGCCCCGCCTGGAAGCAGAAGTGCAAAAGTTCACGTCGATACAGGCAGACAAGCGGAACACATATCGGAAGAAAGTGCGGGAAGACAAAAAGGCGGCTAAGGACAAGGAAGTTACAAATGGTGGGGTCGCCGGAACCGGAGAGGCAGCACATGACGAAGAGTCACCACCTGCGAAGCGAGCGCGCTTGGAAGGTGGAGTTGGCGAGGAAGAGGATGACGGTGGAGATGAGACGGTGGAGATGGGCGATGGTGAGCAGGAGATCGAGGATGAGGATGTGGATGATGACGAGGTTGAGGAGGACGACGAGGGACTGGAGGAAGGGTTGACTGAGGACCCATTGGAAGAGAGGGAGGATGTTGATGATGAGGACATGGAGGATGCCGAGGAGAGTGATTGAGTCTAAAATTATTACTGCATGGCAAGGCGTTTGGGACGGTCACATATAATACCCATATCAGGGCAGGGATGAATTGATGAGTTGCGAAAGACATTGGAAGAATGCTATTCTGTAAGACGTCATTTGGAGATCGAAGCATGGGGAATTGCTAATCGAAGAAGGATGTTTATATGCTATGTGCGATGCAAGGAATGGATTGTATTCATTACTTCACTAATAGATAATTGCAGACTCCTAGAACTAGCTATCCCGAACACCCATGAAGAAACGGCAGCATGTCCTCATACTTAAACCATGTTTACCAAAAGACTCGGTGCTTGAACGACCCTGGTTTCAAAGGGAATGGGGGTATATGCATATTAAATCCTATCCTCAGCGTCTCCTGTTCTCCAATCGGCGCTATTGCATTTCCACACTTCACATGTCGATGGTTATCGTAAACCGGCTCTCACGTATATGTCGTTTCCCCGTCACTGGCTGAGACTGATTCTCTCTGCAAGCTTGACAATCTTTCAACGCCCCAAAGTCATGGGAATATCAGCCTTCAAAGGATCACCGTACTTGCCTAAACAATCTATTATTAGCCTTTTTGACCCAGACGAACGCTCAATCGCAACCACTCACGCTTGATCTGACTCTCCCGATCCACGATCTCGTTCAAAGCCCGCAAAGCGTCCTCCCTCGCACGATTGTTCATCCACTCATATCCGGGCTGATCCTCTGCCTTGAACCACCGATACCCCGTCGTTGGATCTGTCTGCCAAGTCCGAGGAACCGAGCTCGACATTACAGTAGCAGCAGCTTCGCCCGATGCGCTAGGTGGGAGATTCCTTTTGCCGTTTGAATTGAGTATGTCGGAAGAAGACGATACAGCGGCAGTGCTGGCGGAAGGACCACCCTGTGAGTTGGGTGGGGACAGCTCAGAGGCGGGGTCCAGTGCGAAGGTGGCGGCTGTTTTGGGTGTGGAGGGCGCTTCGTCGGGGAACATTTCATCGTCATTGGCCGCAAATTCGGGCGATGAGTGCATTGTTGAGTCACCGTCGATGTCTATAGGAGGAGTTAGAGCCATGGTGGTGTTGATTGTGGTGATGTTGGCGGGTAGGCTGCAACGATATGGCTGAGGATTGGGTAATAGGGTAGAAAGTATTCAAACGTTCTTGTCTGACTTGCCTGACATGATGAAATGGTCGAAATTCAACCCGGGATGTACGCGAGGGATAAGGCCGTCTAATTACTTCTTTCAATGTTTTTCCCGTGGAGAATGTACACAACCTGTCTGGAGTGACGACGGAGGAGGCATCAGACATCGGAGATAACACTAGTGCCGGGAACAAGCGAGGTGATCCTTGTCCTTATTCATTCACTCATTTACGACTTCCAGCCTCCAAGTACCCCACCTTTGTTGCTTCTGCTCGATTTCTTGTCAGAACCAAAAGCTGTCGAATATTAACAACAGTACCCAGAGGAGATACAGCACAAATGCCGCCAAAATCAGGTGCAGTCGCCGACGCGTGGGACGACGATTGGGAACATCTGGCTGATGCATGTTGAGCCTGACGAGCTTCTAGTCTAAGGAACATAGCTAACACATCACAGAAGCAGGAGGAATCAGAGAAAAAGGGTGAACCGACAGCGCCAGTAAAGCTTTCCAAAGCTGAGCGAAGAGCACAGCATGCCGAATTCAATCGTCAGATTTGGGAATCGGCGTATGTAGTGGCCCTTCATCCACGGACCCAGGTGGCTGGACATGCTGACTTTCCTTAGGGACAAACCAGAGCCATTGCTCTTCATTGAAGCCCGCAACAATTTGCCCGTTCCACCGACATTCAAACCCACCATGAAAGTGCTTGCCCGCAAGCCTCCCCAGGTCTTGACGCGAAATAGTGCAACAGCTGGAATGGCCGGATTGAGTTTGGATGACGATGATGGTGACAGTGAGGAAGAACGATTGAAAAGAAACCAGGCAGAGTTTGAAGAACGCAAAGCACGCGCTCAAAGAGAACGTGCAGAAAAGGAGCGCCGTTATGCGGAAGCTCGGGAAAAGATATTCGGTTCGCCCGCCGCTTCGGACGAGTCACGCGGTGCGTCTCCCAATAAATTAAGTAGTAGGGGCAAAGGCCGAGGCGGTCGTGGTGGCCGCGACAGTCAGAGCAGATCGAGCGAGCAGTCACCGGCACGTACCCACCCTCCGGGTCGTCAGCTGTATGAGCCGTCGTACTCACCCAAGCCCGGGTCAGTCTACGTACAGAAGAAAGAGAATAGTCGCCCTGGCACACCCAATGGTCAAGAGAAACCAATCCGAGAGCCCCGTGGCCCACAAGCTAATGGGAGAGGAGGCCGAGGATTTGCACCAAGAGGCAACTATGGCGCTAGTGCTTCATGAGGCCTTAACAGGTTCGAAAATCCCACAGCCAACAAAGTATTGAGCCAATGGCCACTGCTCCTCAGATTACGCGATCATTCGAGGGAGTGCTCTTTGCATTCCATGCAAAGTCTCGACATAATATGACTAAAGGAAACTGATATCTCATGTGCATTCCACTCCAGATTTAATGGCATTGCTTCTAGCATGAGTATCAGAAAGATAGAGAGAACAGTTCGACAGCCTTCCTCGAGACGTTCAAACGCATACCCAGGAGCCTACAATGCGCGCAATAGAGTGCATGTGGGTATCGATTTTCTATACGATGTTCATCGATTGGTATCACAAGTTACCTCCCGAGCTGTTGTCATGGAATGCTCTTAGTCCTTACCTTCAACAACCCCTCAGTCAAAAATGCTTGCGCCATTGCTTGTCCAACATGCCTCATCACAGCAGCAACCGTTTAAAGATGCTGATATCAGTATTTATATCTTCCTGCCCCTCCACCTTACTCTTCGTGCTATAGTCTCTCGCTGGAGTCACTCGTCACACAACCGCCTCTCTGCAGTTGTTTAGTTGCCTTCGTTATCAATATCCACGCTTACGCCTGCGTCTACATCCACCATGGACTCCTTTAAAGCTCTGGCTATCTTCGCCTTCTGTACCTCTGTTAATGCTGCAGCTCTGCCCCAGAGTCTTCCCCTTAGCACTGCTACCGGCACCGCTGCGAGTAAGTGGAGTGTATTTTCATCACGATTCGATTATCATACTCATGTTCACCCCACTTAGCTGTTGGACCTGCTGCTGCATCTGGAGCTGCTGGTGTTGCTATCTCGAAACCCATCCTCCCAGCGGCGCCGGCCGTTGCTTTGCCTGGCGGCATCGGTCTTCCTGGTACGATTCTTACTGCTCATGCCTTTCATTATTTTCAATAACACACATGAGTTTGATGTTTACCCTGTCATTCTGAAACTATCATGTGCTTCTACATGCTCGACTGATATCTGCGAAGCCGATATTACCGTTCCTATACCTCTTGATTCTGACCTGCTGCTGATTATCCACCCCCCGACTGCAGCGCTCCCCCTAGGGAAAGTCCCTGCCCCCGATCTAAAAGGTTTGCCTCTGCCTCAGAGCGGCTCACCACTCGACAAAGTTCCCGCCGTTGGGAACCTACCCCTCGAAGTTCCAGCTGCTCCCAAACCGGAAATCTCTGCTCCGACTGAGCCCAAGCGTGCGTAAAAGCCAGTATATCGGTATATGAAGAGGGATGGCCCTAACGTGCGATTATAGTTCCCATAGGCGGCGATCTCCCTAAGCTACCAGTACTTGGTGATGCTGCGGCGAATCTGCCTCTTCCTGATAGTGGCTCTCTGCCCGTATCAGTGCCCGCCTCGCCCTCGGTCGATGGTCTTCCTTTCATGAAACTACCATCTGCGGACGGTCTACCTATTCCCAAAACTCCGCTTCCGAACACGGGCTCTCTATCTCTTCCTGATGCTCCAGGTTTGCCCTCTGTAGACGGCATTCCTATCCCCAAGCTGCCGCTTCCTGACACTGGTTCTCTCCCCAAATTACCTCTTCCCGACACCGACTCGCTGCCTTTGCCGGTGCCCCTACCTAAGCTCCCCAACCTCAACGAAGCCGATGCGTTGGACAAGGTTGTCAAGCTCGGATCGACAGTCCTTGAAGTTATCCTTGGCATCCTTGCTAAAGGAACTTCACTCTTTCCTCTTCCGGGTGGCATCGGTCTTCCTTCTACCCCATCGCTTCCAATCCCTAACGCATCTCTTCCTCTCCAGAAGAGGCAGCTTGGAGGCGTCGGGGGCCTCTTGAGCGGAGCCGCGCCCTTGGCGTCTCCCGCTGCCGCTCTTGGTACCGTCACTGGATCTGGCGCCGCTTCTGGTCTTACTGGGACTGTTGCCAATGCTGCGGGCAGTGGTATGTACTTTTCCTGACTTGTCGGGGAGCCCTCTCCCGCAGATATCCGAAAAGGGCTTTTGTTATGTATACCCTGAACTTCAAACTGACGAAGGTTGTGAGCAGTCCCTGTTGTTGGCGGCGTCACTGGTGGGGCCAACCCAGTATCTGGAGCTCTGGGAACTGTAGCTAGTGCTGGAGGAAGTGGTACGCGTATCACTATATTTAAATGGCATGTGCACTGACTTCAATTGACAGTTCCAATTGCGGGTTCTGCTGCTGCACCCATAGTTAACACTGTTGGTGGCGCTGCTGGGTCTGTTGGTGGAGCAACTGGTGCCCTCGCTCCTATTACGAATGCTGCCTCCGGTGTCGCCAACACGGTATCCAGTGCAGCCGGAGGTTTGCCTATAGCTGGACCCCCTGTCTCAGGTGCAGTCAATAGCATTCCTGCCCCCCTCTCACCTCCTGTAAGTATATACTAAATACTGCATCGATACCTATCTCACATAATGTCACAGTTACCCAACTCCGAACCGCTTGGAGCCTTTTCCATCGCTATCGTAGCCACTCTACTCAGCTTGCTGAAAAAGGATCCTCTTTCTTTATTTGCTCCATCTCTGCCTGTCCGTGCCCTGGTAAAGCGCGATCTGCCAGAACTGCATGCTGCCGGAATTCCCGAGCTTCATGTCGCTAAACGACAGCTCCCATCTCTCTCTACAGGGTCGCCCGTTGGTGGTATTGGAAACCTGCCTCTGGGCAGTGTTACGGGTTAGTTATACTTGATACAAATACTAGCAAGCTAAAATGCTAAAACTTCGCAGGCATTTCCCCAGATCTAGCCTTCCTCGTCAGCTCCATCGCCAAGAACATTGCTCTCCCGGGTGGCACTGGAGTCGGAAGCATTACCTCTAACATCCTCGGAATCCTCAATGGTGTCGTTCCTAACTTCCTCTTCCAGCTCCCCGTCGTCCAAGACGCGGTTCCCACATTTGGTGTTCTGCAACTCCTCTCTTCTATCAACCCGACTAAATTTGGTAACCTCGTTGGCCTGACCAGCCTTGCTTCTCTCCAGCAGGCCGTCGGTGGCATTACCTCCACCGATCTGGCGTTCGTCAAGGGGTTGCCGCTTCCATCCGATCCTACCAATCTCATTTCCACCATCACGAACCTGTCCGATAATATCCTGACTCTACCCGGTAATGTAGTGAACCTAAAGGCTAGCGTTGCTGCGCTTTGCTTGAAAAATCTGGGTTTGGCTGTTCCTGGACTGTAAAAATCATCCGGCCTACGGTTTGGATAATGATATCTTTCTGCGATGCAGAAGATGACAGACAGGCGAAACAGAATATCCAAAAATGATAGCGAGATGCTCGATTGCGATCTCATGTCGGCGAAGACAATGACGGGACAGTCGTACGAACAGAAAAGAACAAAAAAACAAAACTCATCCCTTGGTTATCCTTAGGGGGCTGGTGACTTTGGTTGGTTATGAGGGTGGATTTTTTTTCTCTATCTATCATCTTATCTTTTCTATGTGAGTTGTTGAGGAGTTTCTAGTCTCAAATGAGTGAGAAGCACACAAAAATCGAAAATGGTGTTCAGTTAATTCTGCTTGGTAGTTGGTTGGGGGTTATATCTTTTGCATGAGTTTCCATTTGGGTAATGGAAAATATTGTTCTGTGCTATGCATGTTCTGCTTTTGCTTTGCACTTATTTATTTGCTTGAAGATCGTGCGATTGTAAACACTGTCATTCAGTGCATTTTGTCATCTCGATCCCTACTTTTGACCAAGAATTGTCTAGGGTTGCAAACAATTGGCTTGTGTGAGGCATGTCATCGTGATCACGAGACAATCATTGAGCACATACATGTATTGTAGATTGATCAACTCACATGAGGCGCATGCTGTGGCGTACATTGATGAGGCCACTTCTCGATCTCAGGATAATCCTTGGAATACCACGCTATTGAGAGGAAAACAGAATCAAACTTGCTAATTAACGAACGTATAGGAATTCATTTTACAAATGCTCGAAGACATTTGACTAAGTGTTGCAGCAGCTCTGGCTAGGCTAATACCGCGTATGTAGGTAGTCTGACAACTCGTGTATTTCCTAGATTACTAATTCGAAATGGCACTCTCTTACTATTTCAGCTGGAACCTCAAAATTCAACTTGTTGGAATTACTTTCCAGATGGAGGTTGTTCAGACACAAGCAAGATGAGCAATGGCTGAGCGCGTTGCTAGGCACTCTTGGCCACATCCCTACCGCTTATATAAGCAAATACCCAAGCTAGCTGCTAGCATGAGCATACTCCAGTCGCAGAAAGTTACATTCTCCTCAACGGCTAAATCAACACCCACACAGACCGATCCATCTTCGCGCGTGTATTCAGCTGAATAATTAGCTCATTACGATACATCAGCTTCCTCCCAGAATCAACCACGCGAACAGTGGCCCTTCTCAACGCATCCCAGTTCCTGCGCCATGGCCGAAGTCGAAGCTGATCAGCTTGCGCGTAGCTCAGCGAAACGAACGCGTGAAATATTTGCCTCCGACACTCTCAACTATCCCGACGTAAATCTCGAGGGCGCCAGAATAGCGGCGCGCATACACCAGGAATATAGCCATGTACAGGAACTTCCTCCAGCACTTGCAGCCAAAATGGCAGTTGCTGCTTCTACAGCTGCGGAAAAGAGACGGAAGATAAAAAACGCAAATGCTAGGGAGCAAGCTTCAGATCCTAAGATGCGAAAAATGATTGATTCTTCTTCAGAGAAGGCGGAAAAGGCAAAAGAGGGACAATCGATGGCTTTGACCGTGAGATCTGGGAAGGGCGCCGCACCCAACGCCAATGGCCCGACACCAGTCCGTGATACACACTCGAGCGCACTCGTGAGGAAGGACACAGTCAGGCAGACAAAACCCGAATGGCACGCGCCATGGAAAGTATCGCGGGTTATAAGCGGACATATGGGATGGGTCCGTTCGTTGGCAGTGGAACCTGACAATCAATGGTTTGCCAGTGGTGCTGCTGATCGCACAATCAAGATCTGGGACTTGGCCAGTGGGCAATTGAAACTGACGTTAACCGGCCACATCAGCGCCGTTCGTGGGCTTGCTGTCTCCCCTAGACACCCCTATCTATTTTCATGCGGTGAAGACAAAATGGTCAAATGTTGGGATTTGGAGACCAATAAAGTTATACGGCATTACCACGGCCATCTATCGGGTGTCTATTCTCTAAGTCTCCACCCCACCCTCGACGTCCTGGTGACCGGTGGACGAGACGGTGTGGCGCGAGTGTGGGATATGCGGACACGTACCAATGTACACGTCATGGGAGGTCACAAAGGCACAATTGCCGACCTGAAGTGTCAAGAGGCTGATCCTCAAGTCATTACCGGCTCCATGGATTCTACCATACGCCTCTGGGATTTGGCGGCTAACAAGACGATGGCTGTCCTCACACACCACAAGAAGGCGGTCCGAGCACTCTCCATTCATCCAACTGAATTCACATTTGCGTCTGGTTCGGCATCTTCCATTAAACAGTGGAAATGCCCCGAGGGCGCTTTCATGCAGAATTTCGGAGGCCACAACTCAATCATAAACACACTCTCTGTCAACGAAGACAACGTCATGTTTTCTGGTGGTGATGACGGAAGCGTTTCTTTCTGGGATTGGAAGACAGGTCATCGGTTCCAGAACACTGAATCCATCGCTCAGCCAGGCTCACTTGATGCCGAGGCTGGTGTCATGTGTTCAACGTTCGACAAGAGCGGCTTGCGACTCATTACTGGCGAAAGCGATAAGAGCATCAAAATCTGGAAGCAGGACGATTCGGCTACAGAAGATTCGCATCCTCTTGACTGGAAGCCCACGTTGGGTCGCCAAAAGTTCTAAGCTCAAGCAACGGATTGGGTCATGGTTTGACTGTGTTGCCACATCTCTACTAAAACTTGATTGGGCTCTTGGGTATTGTGTAATATGAGAGGACATAGTGCATATGAAACGGCGTTAACATGAGAGCATGCCTTCGAATGGGCAAAAGAAAGGCGATCTGTGGGAGGTTATTCCCGTAGACCTTGAATTAAGAATTGATACCCATACCATCTAATTTCGGGAACCCCTGGTAATAAGAACAATCTTGCTTTTATGCTGAGTTGGAGTTTTGGTGACCCTACACACAGCGAAGGGTTATAACGATAAATAGACCAAAAAAAAACAGGCGATAACCAAAAAGAACAATCCTGCAAGTTTGAATTTTGTAGATGTACCTGTTATTACGACTTAGGATGCATTCATTCGGTGATGACCCTGTTAAGTGACCTTGTTTGCCTATCTGAGTGGAATTTGCTGTGACGGGGTACTCTGATGTAAGTACAATGTACGTCAAGGGAAACATCTCATGTAATGCATGTGGTCAAATTCCTATATCCATCAGTAGGTACTAGTACCGCCAATAGTGTCTTGACTCCGAGTTTGCCTTTTCCCAACTCCATTGCCCAAAAGTATACTTGTGCACAGAACCCAGCGCTCTCGAAAATGCATGTTGTAATCTTGTACACTGTTTTTCACACCCATTTCTTCCCGATATATCCTCAAGTCCATAGCCACTTGCGGCATTTGGAAGCTCCACACAAACATGGTATGGCGTCTGGTCCGGGATCCTCATTGGGCTCGCCTTCTTCTTTGTCCAGATAATCGAAGGTGAGTTCTTCCCCAGCTGGGATGTCACGGCATGCGAAGAAGGCAATGTCGTAGACGAAGGGATCGTGTCTGAAAAGCGATGAACAACGAAGTCAGTCACAGAAGTCGGAGTAGCTGATCAGTGAGGATGCTAGGACTTACTTGTTGTAGCTCACTGTGTATTGTCGGCAATTCGGCTCGCAGCTATGATTCATGAATTTGGTGGGACCGCCAAAGAACTCGCCGTCCACGACATACAACTGCTCGTCGCTGAGACCCTCACTCTCTCCGAATTTGTCCAAGCTATAAAGGTATGACGCTTTTGCTTTACCGGCTGTCTCTTCTCGTAGGGTTGCTTCGGTATCCGTGATGACCTCTCCACGGTATGTATCAATAAACTGCCCTTGATACAATTGCTGAGGACATCGTAGACCCCATCCACGTCCTCCGTCTGGAAGATCATCAGTATACGTGTTTCTTTAACTCCACATGCTTTCTTACCGGTTTTGAAAATCTCGACGTCAATTGTTCGTCCGAACTGAACATTCTTGTTCCGACAATGAAGACCGCATCGGCAGTTATCATTGCACTCGTATATTGGTCGACGCGAATCAAGATAGAAAGGCACCAGAGTACCTGCACGTTGGATCTTGGTGCCTTCGGCGTAATAAGGGAACCGCTTGGGAAATTTGGCCAACGAATTCCCTTTATCTTTGGCTTCCCTGTAAGCGGACATAACAGTAGGATCCGTGATCGCTGCTTCGTTGACGGCGGCATATTCCAGACACTCACACTTCTGAGTGTACTCGCAGCCTATACAACGTCCCATATGTGGCGAGCATGATTGACACCCTTCTTGTGTAGCAGGATCGGCTTTATTGACTCCCTCACGAAGGATATATTCTGGAATGAATCGAAAGCGTAGTGACGGCGAAGTTTGGTCATAAGTGTTAACAAGGTGAATAGGCTTGCCGGGTACCTTGTTCAAGCGAGCCACATACTTGGCGCGTATTCTATGATAGGCTTTGTCGACCTTCGATTGATGCGAGATTCGAACCATCTCTGGGGTGGGAGCATTTGAAAGCTGTGGAGCATCTGGGTCGCTCCGGCAGAAATATAATCCCTCCTCGTCCCGATCAAGGACTCCGTTGTACACATCAACGGAAAGCGGAGCTGACGACGTTGTCGATGCGACTGAAGGTGACCGAGATGATAGCGATAGACCGAAAGAAATTGGGGGGTCTGTGTCAGCCTCAAAGTGTGCTGCCTTCCTCTTCAGCGAGGTTTTAGACAGTGGTGGAGCGCGCTTTATAGCCCTGGTGATATCTTAATCAGAGAGCCATGCCAACTAAGCAGATTTGCTTACTCGTCTCTAGCATCAAGATAGTCTTGAACCAATTCCAAGCACATGAAAAGGTCGCTTAGATTGTGCCAGCTTAGTGGAGGCTTGTCTGATGCTGATGCCGACTGCCATTGGACTAGAAACTGCTCTTCTTTCTATTCAGATATTAGCGTGACGAGTGAGGACTGAAAGTGGGAATGAGGACTGACAGAGTCTTTGGCGATCCTATTAGACACTATCGAGGCCACCTGAAAAACGGCAGAGTTAATGGTCGGTTCCCCAAATCGAGCAACTACTCTTTTACCTTTGCTACTTTCAGCATCCTCGACATCGGTCCTTGACTTGGAATGACAACCTTTGTCGTCATATGATCTCTGCGTTGGACTCATATTAGCGGCGTGTTTTTGTAAGATATTCTGTTGTATGAAAATAGTTTATGCCTCTACTATGCGAAACTTGGTGGTTGCTGAGTCGACGCGGGGGTGCGGTTAACCCGTCCAGTAGCTAGCTCGCCATCTCGACTTACCTGGTGATAAGCGACCTTAATAAGATTAATAAAAAGAAGTACACAGCTCCTACATTGTTATTTATTAGGTTAATAGAGTAGCAGCTGTATATAAATGGTTTACTTACCTGATGTTTTTCTAGGCCTTGAAGCTTGTTCGGGGCAAAATAGAAGAGAGCTACCTAACAGCTTAATTTAACGCACGGACCACTAGCTATCAGATGCTTGGCGCTCTCTCTCTTTTAACAACTATACCTACTTTTAGTTAGGTTTTATATTATTTAACACACCTATAGAAAACTATTCTATAGTTAAAAATAAAAATATAATAAAGTGTAGAAATATGTATAACTAGATTGCTACAAAAATTAGAAAACAACTATATAGTATAGAACAGAAATAAAAGCAGAAAGTTAAGCTGTGCGCCTAAGAATTAAATATTACACAAGCTATAAGGCTTTGAAAAATATAGTTATTTTTTTAGAGTAGCTAGTATTTCTATAGCTCTCTAGAGTTAAGCCTAGTATTATGTTGTATAGTAAAAACTTCGCATTGCCTATATACAGTAATGGCTCTAGATAGGTACTTAATTTACGCTAGAGTTTTTGTAACAAAATTGTCTTGTAATGGACATGTGCAGGCTCCAGATGCTGTTCAGTGTTACCTGAGTTACGACAATTGCGTGTGGCAAACCTGGAGCAGCGACCAGCTGCGCTAGTCCAAAGACAGCAAAGATCGCATTCCAAACCTTTATCGATAACCTTATTTTTTTCTACCAGCTCCGCTCATTGATACCTAGTACAGAGAATCCTGATACGCCAACTCTACATAGCACGCATTTAACAATCCGATCGCAATGGCCACAGAAGCACAGAACAGTCCCTTCATAAAAAATCTCGCTTCGAGTGGTATGTCGCACATCCAAGGACTCTAACCAGGGTCGTCGCATGACAATTTCCTAACCGCGGGGAAAATTCAGACAAGAAAACGCGGGATCAAGCGTTGAACTCGCTACGTGCATATCTCAGCGCGCAAACACAGCTTTCAGAGCTCGATCTCCTCAAGTTATGGAAAGGATTGTTCTATTGTAGGTCGCCTGGGTCGACCGAGCCGTCCCGTATGAAAACAACAAACTTTGTTAACAAAACTTGCCCTTAGGTTTGTGGATGCAAGATAAGCCACAGCTACAGAACCGCCTTTCCACCGATCTCGCTTCTCTACCGTCGACCCTCCGTGCGAATGTCGTTCTTCCTTTTCTTCGTGCATTCTTCGTCACCATTGCGCGTGAATGGGTGAACATCGAAGCTCTTCGTATGGACAAGTACCTTTTTCTGGTTCGACAATACGTGAACGCGTCGTTCAGATGGCTGTCGAGCAATAAATGGAACCATAATCTCGTGCAGCAATGGAACCAATTGGTGAAGGAGATACCGTTGAATCCGAAGGATATGAAGGTGCCGAATGGCCTGAGGTACCACGTATTGGATGTCTGGGTTGATGAGTTAGAAAAAGTGGAGGAGAGTTGGGATGGGAAGCTCGAGACGCTTGAGAAGATTATGGAGCCCGTGGAACAGCTGGCGAAGGAGGGTATCTTGAAACCAGTCAGGACAGCGGCGAAAGAATGTTTGGCCGAGGATACTTTGAAAGCCTGGAGGGGTGAGGAGACAAAGAGCGATGACGACCTGAGCGATGCCGGCGAAGAGGAGGAATGGGGCGGGATCGAAGACTAGGCAATCTGTATTGGATAGGTACGTGTTAGACTGTGAGGTCGAACTCTGGGTTGGAGGTTTTCTGTTCAGCGCGGCGTTCGAAGGTTGCATTATATAGAGCATCATTTCGGAGGTATTGGAATAGTTTAGATACCTTACTTCCACCGGAAAGTTTTCCTACGTAAATGCTTCATCATATGCCCGTCTTCATTCTCTGTGCATTGATTTTTGCACTCGCATTCAATCGTCAACCTGCTGAGGGTGGCGGTCTATCCCTCTGTCGGCCACGGCGGATCCTCAGTCCTCCTAAAAAGAGCCACGAATTTGTCGCCATTATTCCTCTCGACCTTTTTGCCCTCCTCCGTCTCTGTCCTCATAATCCTAACCCTCTGCCGAATTTCTCCATCGCCTTCACCATCATACTCCTCTTCGCCAACCCGCTCAAAACTAGGATGTTTCTCAAAGTGTCCAACCATCCACTCATGAAGATCTTTCACGTCTGTGATTGTATACACGATGCCGCCCGGCCTTAACACATATGCATATTCCGAGTTGAGTGTATAGGATACTATGCGTGCCTTGTGCTTCCGTTGCTTAAAATGCGGATCTGGAAAGCAAAGGAAAATTGAGTGTAGCTGGTGTTTGGTGAAGAAGTTGGGAAGAAACTTCATGGTATTTGCGCGAAGGACGGCAATGTTCTGATAAGTACCTGTGTCCGATGCCGCGTTCTGGACACGCAATGCGCGAATCTTATCATGTACGTACTCGGTGACCGACATACGGATTTCCATGCCTTGCGGTTGGTAAAGTTAGTACTGTGGTGGGAATTTATACATGTAGGAAGACACCATACCAAGAATCAGGGTATCTGGGAATTGAGGTGCGAGAGCAAATAGGAGACCGCCAAACCCGCAACCGATATCCGCAATCTCAACATTTTTTGTGGTAGCTCTTGTCGACTTTCGAATTTTGTCGCTCGGGGTCTCGTCATGTGACCCACAGACCTCCATCCCACCCGCATCATTGACTACCTCCTCACTTTTTTTTAATGAATATGCAGGATATAGACTTGCCCAGTCCATGTCTGCTGGGCTTTTGGGGCTAGAAACTGTCAGCACCAACGGGTCAATCAACAGAAAAAGAACATACTAGGTCAAAGAATGGTCAGAAAACGGATTAGCATGCGCACGCTGACGGTAGAATCTCTTTTTTGGGAGCGCCGCCTCATCGTCGCCTTGCGCTTTCCTGGCCGCCTCCCGCTTTGGGCGTTTTGCAGGCTCGCCAGGCATGGTGTCCGTTTTCCTTTTCATGCGCGGCAAAAGTCGTAAAGGGAAGGGTTGCGAGTTTCAGCACTGGCGGTTGGTGGTAGGCTGAGAAGCGAGTGCGGAGTCTACTTAAGCTTTTCCACTAGCACACAATTGGGCCGAGGAGCCTACGATATACTGTGTGGAGTCGAGGCCACGATCCACAATCAAGAGGCGTATTAGAGGAAATGACGTAAGATGCGGAAGTGGTACGCGAAAGACATCTGTATGTATTGCAATATACGCCTGCGATTGCCGCACACTACGTTGAGAGGCGGGCTAAGTAAACATGTTGCGTTGTGAGTTGATAGGATGTATACAAGGTCTCGAAGCGAAAGAATGTCAAAAACGCTCATATCCCAGATGCTGTGGTTCGCCTGATCCCGAAATATCCATGCACCAATTACCGCCCGTCCACAATCTCGTTAACCTACCTGAATTCAATTGCGCCTTGGCACCCATGGTCTGGAACGTGATCCAACTGAAGTTTTTGATACCTATCAAAGTTAACACGGCTCAAGGTCAGATTGCGATGGGGACGGACTTCTCGCTCTTAGCATGGAAGTAGATGCCTTCAATGCCACCTGTGGTCTGGTTAAAGCAGATGTAGTAAAACCCTTCGAAACTAGCTCCATTGATCGTCTTGACACGATGATCCGGCACCAAGAAGTATTCTTTCCAACGCATAAAAAGATGTTCTTTTTGCATCCAGTCCTTAGTTACCAACTCAGGTCTTGAAGAGTATTTCGAGAGCGGTTTGTACGCAGGGAATCTTGCCCAGTGCTGCCGATCGACCTTTTCGTTCGAACCCCACTCTGGGTGTTGTGTGATGAAAGTGTACTTGCTGCCTATTATCTCGCCTTCGAAATACGTGGTCAGACTCGGATGATCTTCAGTGAGTCCTGTGTGATGTTAGCGGCGCACTACACATTACACGCTTTGGGCCACGAGCCTTTGATGCGCAGGTAGCCGCACAATAGCGACTCCCGCATGTCCACATATTTGATTTCCACTTCCACCTCGTATTGTTGGCGGTCGGAGGTCTGGTTACCCTTGAATCGGCTGCCGGGTCGAAGGAGAGAGGAGGATGAAGATGGGAGAAACTACGCGATATCAGTAAATGGTGTCGCGTGCTTTCCTGTCCGTCCAGAACAGTAGCGCTGGTAATACAGACCCTGTGGCTCGGATAGGGTAAACTCAAGTGACGATGCTGCGGCCATGAGATGGGCGTTGGCGCAGCCCCAGAAAGTGGTGAAGATTGGCTGTTGCGATGGTCTTCAGAAATATCGTCTGTCGCACTAATTGGTGTGGGGATGTCTCTAGCTGGTGTCTCTATCGGAGGGTCCGACGGTTTGACACACGACTCGGATGGCGATCGCACACGCCCTACGGAATCGCGATCAGAGGGTGGAGGTGTGGGCTGCTGTGTGGGAATGTTCATTGATGTTTCGCCGTCCATTTCTTGATGCGAGTCATACTCTGGACGGGGTTGCGAATCTTCGGGTGGGCATGATGAGCGGCTATGGTCCTGGTCCACTGCAGGCGAGGGAATCGCGTCAGCGGGCATTTCCGATGGAAGAATGTGGGAGAATCAAGGTCAATAAGATCAGATGAACATAGAGCAAGAAGAAGTGTGGAGCAAGGCAGAGTATGGAGTGGATGCGCGGGCAAGAAGAGAGGTGGAGAGATGTCAGTTCCAGGGTAGCGCAATGGTGGACTCGTTCTCGATGGGTTGGGCGGGCTCTGGGGGCATGGGGGGCGGCGCAATTAACGCGGGGAAGGCAGGGCACGCTAGCCTCACGTGGAGCGTGGCGGAGAAGCATTTTGTGAACCTTGCACTTCTACTAAGTGGACTGTTGTCACTAAACTAGAGAATTATTAAAAGCCCTCCTGAGCTTCCTAGAATTCAGCAGGGCGATTGAATCGCTATTGACAGCTACTTGTTGGGGCGAGCGTGATTTCACACTTCCTCGGACAAGAGTATTGTGAATGCCGAGTGTTGATGGTATCGCATTTCGACTCTGTTCTATTATTCATTTGTATGTAGTGATGCTCGTTCGCGTTGCACGGCATATGCTCTGTGCTAGCTTCGCACCATGTTCTCGAACACGCACCGCACCAGCCATTTCGCCCATGAGCTCGGCTCTGAGCGCATGACAGACGAACGATTCCATGCTACAACAATATCGGTCTGCAATCGACAAGCATGGACTTGTGACGAGCTGGTCTTCATATAGGCTTGATCTGTGATTTATTGTAAGTAATAGCAGCCTGACCGTGGAAACAGCGATTACCTTGAAATGTAACGAGATCAGTGTGAAGACCAACGCTTTGAGATCCTGTACGAGATAATAGAACACGCGCAGACCATCTGGGTCGGACGAGTCTTGCACATCTTGGAGTGAACCGATTTTGGCGGTCTGAAGAAGTGTTAGCACCTTACAGCCTAGAGATCGAACGGAATTATAGCGCCAGAGTCCATCTCTATTCCTTCCGCGCAGGGAAAAAGAGGGGGTGCCGTGTGTTGACTGACCTCGAAAGAAATGTGCTCATTTCCAATACGAATCTCCAGCTCTTGACGACCATCTTTGTTCTTTTGTGGCCACTTGGTGTCGTCTTCCCTTCAATACAATTAGCTGTGGTTGGCATGGGTTTGTTCACCGGGCACGACATACTTCAAAATTTCGCTGTCTTTGACTATTCGCTTGATCTCGGCGACCATGGCATCACTCACACACACTTTTTTCCATACGTCAGCTGGGAATACGGCCTGCCAGGACAAAGAACTTACTCTCTTTTCGGATGAGTGAATCGTTCCGGTAATTGGAATTGTTCGCGTATCGTGCAGATGCACTGCGACCATCTCCTAGTACACGGAAATCGAATTCTGAGACAAGTCAGATCAGTTCTATCCGTCACGATTGAAAATCGACTCACCCAAGAACTCATGTCCGAACCGACCTTGGTGGCCAGAGCTGCGTCAAGTCAGTTTACACGTGCCGGAATTTGAAGAGAAAACAACTAACTAGTATCGCACATAGAACGGCTCGCTGTTGCCTGAGCTCATCCTGGCGGCGCCTGGAATAGTAATGTGCGTGAGTAAGTAGCTGTCGCACGGTAATGGTCGAGTGCAAGCGCAGTACTTGGGTGGTGGTTTTGTCGTCGCCCTTCCGCACCCACGATCGACAGTAGACCCTGGTTAGTTAGCCGATCTTGGCAATCCGCGACCACTTTCTCAAGCAGACACCTGGACTGTCCGCAAAGGTTATCAACAATAGCGAATCGCTTCACAACTTTTCGAGCTCACCAGTCGGCCTGCGGGAATACCTCCACTCTTTACTCTTTCCTTCCGGGCCGCGGCCTCATTCGACTGCGTACCGATTCCCCCCCACCAAGCCCGCCTTGCTTCCACGTAGCATCCCGCCTTACTGCTCACCAAGGGAATTGACGGCTGGCGGCCAACTGCTCGACCTCGAGAGCATCGCGGTTCGGTTCTAGGCATTGACCCGAATATATTGGCAGTTATACACTCACCCAAACCATGGCGACGTTCCTTGAGAATTCGTACAGTTTGGTATGATCCATCTGGCGCTATAAAGGGCTCCCCCGCTGACGGAGGGCGAACAGGTCCACCAGGACAACGCTGCCGATGTTCCCTCCCAAAATGAGCTCAAGACAGCTTTGGAGAAGGGCAACGATGAGCAGAAGATTGAAACTATGGTATGATTGATCCCACGCCATTGCACGAAGGTCCCGTTAAACTGACTCTATACGACAGAAACGGATCCTCTCCATAATGCTCAATGGCGATCCTCAAGCGGGACTCCTTATGCACACCATTCGATTCGTCATGCCCTCCAAATCGAAGCCACTGAAGAAACTCTTCTACCTCTTCCTCGAAGTTTGCCCTAAATACGATGCGCAAGGGAAATTACGGCAGGAATGGATATTGGTGTGGTGCGTACAATTCGAAATGAAACACGTCGGATTGCTGAACTGACTTGCTGTAGCAATGCTATTCGTTTTGATTTGCAAGCTCCAAATGAATACGTCCGAGGAAACACGCTGCGCTTCGTGTAAGGCTTATTGCGCCCCTTTCGACCCGGAGCAACAGCTAACAACCACGTAGAACAAAATTGCGTGATGCTGAACTCGTGGAACCTCTTCTGCGTAAGTACCGAGCCTCTCGCCTGCAACTCCCGTGCTGACCTATATAGAACCCGTACGCCAATGTATGACGCACAGGCATGCATACGTGCGCAAAAACGCTACCTTCGCAATCGCGTCTATCTTCACACATCTCCCCGAACTTCTACCCGATGCCCCTGATCTTCTAGTCAGCTTCTTGGACGACGAAAACGATGCGACCTGCAAGCGCAACGCTTTCGCCGCGTTGGTATCCATCAGCCACGAGAAAGCTCTCGAGTACTTGAGCACTGTTTTCGATTCCATCCCCAATCACGACGAGCTGGTGCTTCTAGCCGAGTTAGAGTTTATTCGTAAGGACGCCGTTGTCAATCCGCAAAACAAGGCACGATATCTTCGATTGATCTTCGACCTATTGGAGTCCAATGTATCTACTGTCATTTACGAAGCCGCACATGCTCTTACCACGTTGACCAGCAATGCTGTTGCTGTGAAAGCCGCCGCCGGTAAATTTGTCGAACTGGCCATCAAAGAACCCGACAACAACGTGAAGCTCATCGTTCTCGAGCGCGTGGATCAGTTACGCGAGAAGAACGAAGGTGTTTTGGATGATTTGACTATGGAAATCCTCCGTGTTCTTTCTAGCCCTGACCTCGATGTCCGGAAGAAAGCGCTTAAGATTGCCCTCGAGATGGTCACGAGCCGCAACGTTGAAGAGGTGGTTTTGTTGCTCAAGAAAGAACTCATGAAGACGGTCGACGAACAATATGAGAAGAACTCTGAATACCGATCGCTCCTAATTTCCAACATTCACCAATCTGCTATCAAGTTTCCGGAGGTTGCCGCAAGCGTGGTTGGCTCACTCATGGACTTTATCTCCGATGTCAGCAGTAATGCTTCTGCAGTCGATGTAATCTCGTTTGTGAAGGAAGTTGTGGAGCGTTTCCCAGATCTTAGGGCCTCTATTGTTGAGCGGCTTGTTACCACTTTGGCCGAGGTTCGCGCTGGCAAAGTGTACCGTGGTGTGTTATGGATCATTGGCGAATTTTCGCTTGAAGCGAAGGATATTCGGGATGCCTGGAAAGGAATCCGTTCTTCTCTCGGAGAAATTCCTATACTGGCTTCCGAGCAACGACTGCTTGATGATGCCTCGGAAGGCAAGGAGCCAGAACAGGTCAACGGACACGCCAAATCTGCTCCCTCGGGATCGCGAAAAGTCCTCGCTGACGGAACGTATGCTACTGAAAGCGCTTTGACCTCATCAGCGGCAGCAAAAGCGAAGCTTGAAGCTGTGAAGAACTCCCAGAAGCCACCACTACGACAGCTCATTCTCGATGGCGATTACTACCTTGCTGCGGTCTTGTCGAGCACACTGACGAAGTTGGTCATGCGACACTCTGAAATCTCGAAGGACACTGCACGTACCAATGCCCTGAAAGCTGAGGCCATGCTCATCATGATTTCTATTATTCGCGTTGGTCAGTCGCAATTCGTCAAAACGTTCATCGACGAGGACTCTGTTGACCGCATCATGTCTTGTGTGCGATCCCTATCCGAATTCTCTCAAAGGAAAGAGCTGGAGACCGTCTTCTTGGAAGATACACGAAAATCATTCAGAACAATGGTCCAGGCCGAGGAGAAGAAGCGAGCAGCCAAGGAAGCATCTGAAAGAGCCAAGTCTGCTATCAACGTGGACGACTCATTTTCAATACGACAGCTGAAGAAGAAGGATGCGGATGGCGCGGATGAGATAGAGCAGGACTTGGAGCGCGCAACTGGTGGAGACACCGCAACTGAAGATCTCAGCTCCAAGCTCAGCCGTGTTGTACAGCTTACAGGTTTCTCAGACCCTGTCTATTCCGAAGCCTACGTCAAGGTAAGAAAGTGCCTTATCCCAAGTATTATGCTAACCCAGCCCAGGTCCATCAATTCGACATTGTGTTGGATGTTCTGCTAGTGAATCAGACAACAGAGACTCTACAGAACCTGACTGTCGAATTTGCGACATTGGGTGATCTGAAGGTTGTCGAGAGACCTCCGACGCAGAACGTTGGTCCTCACGACTTTATAAACCTGCAAGCCACCATCAAAGGTAAGGGCACATGCGGGACAATATGACAAATCTGTGCTAATCTGATGCAGTATCCTCCACCGACACTGGTGTCATCTTTGGTAACATCCTTTACGAGGGGTGAGTAGTACTCTGCTGCTATTTATTAATGCGTGCGACTGACAATAGAATAGTGAGAAGGGCGTTGATTCTAATGTCGTGATCTTAAACGATGTTCATGTGGACATTATGGACTACATCAAACCGGCGCAGTGCACAGAAACGCAATTCCGGACCATGTGGACCGAATTTGAATGGGAAAACAAGGTCAATATTAATTCCAAGGCCAAGTCATTACGCGAGTTCCTGAAGCAGCTCATGGCTTGCACGAACATGAGTTGTCTTACTCCCGAAGCTTCCATGAAAGGCGATTGTCAGTTCTTGTCGGCCAATCTGTATGCCAGGAGTGTGTTTGGTAAGTCTCTTGTCTCCGGAAGCCAGCTGTGTGTTGCTGACCCAATTGGACAGGTGAGGACGCTCTGGCCAATCTGAGTATCGAAAAAGAAGGCGAGGACGGGCCTATTACAGGGTTTGTCCGCATTAGGAGTCGATCACAAGGGCTGGCCTTGAGCTTGGGTTCATTGAAGGGGTTGAACGGCGTGAAATGAGTGATAATGACAGCGACATCAGAATTCATGACTTTGGCGCTCAGCAAAAGCAAGTGCACATGTTGGAACACGGGCGACATTAATGGGGAAGGAGGCTATGATGCATGTGATTCTATTGGTTGTAGTATCGACATCAATCTCATATAGCAATAAGAGTCCACGCGATTCGCTAGAAAATACTTGAAGCGCACTTGCCGTTCATGCGCCTCTAGCAGCCATAAATGTACAGTAGACTGCTACGACTAGGATTGCATGCATCCATATTACATAGATATCCTTAAGAAGCAATACTGAAGCCGTGATGCATAAAGGCACAGCTGGGGTTCTTTACTCATTCGCGCATGTTCAAAAGGTCCCCCCAAACCATGATCGGGACCCTCGGGAGCCTCGGCTCGCCAGGGGCAACGGCGCAGTAGTCGACCGTTAATGATCAACAACTGCGCTTACCTCCATACATGTTTGTTCTCGTTCTTGCAATGCGCATATTCTTACTTCCCTCGCTTTTCTAATCATGGCCTCTACAGAGGCGACCAATCCTTTCCAAGACCCTTCGCCCGGAGAAATTCGAGCCCAAGGTCACGATCAAGCCGCCCTCGCAGCATCAGCGCCTCAATCCACCAGTCCCCAACAACACGCTTCTACCACACTTGATGTAGGGAGGAATGCTTCCTTGACTCTCGCAACAGACTCGCTGGTTATCCAGGGTATGAATGGAGGATCTACGAAAGACAAAGGTGCGCTGACGGTTCCTAGACGAAGAACTGCAACAGAGCAGAGGCATAACCTGCTGTGGCATCCCTCTCGCTGGCAGTAAGCTTCATAACCGTGACTCCTATTCTCATGACTGACACTACCCAGAGGGAAAAACCACACGCTCGATTCCTTTCTATAATATACTATGGGCCGAACGATCCGACAGTGGTGATATTACCATACAGTATGCCCACACCGTTTCCAAGACGGTTGTTCGCCCCGCAATAATAAGTTACTCGATCGACAAACCAGACAGCAGTGCAATTGAGGCATGGATTCAAAGTCTGCTCGATCGCGCATATGGTACCTCGCAGCGGCGCAAGCGCATCAAGGTGCTCGTTAACCCATTTGGTGGACAAGGAGGAGCCGTCAAGATGTACCACAAACACATTGCGCCTATACTAGCAGCTGCAAGGTGCGAATTAGACATGGAGAAAACTATGCATAATGGTCATGGGATTGAGGTAGGTCAAAAACTGGACATCGACGCCTACGATGTGGTAGCTTGCTGCTCTGGGGATGGTATACCCCATGAAGTCTGGAACGGATTGGGCAAGAGGGAAGACGCTGCTCGTGCTCTGGTCAAGATCGCCGTGACTCAGTTGCCATGCGGTTCTGGAAATGCCCTGAGTCTGAATTTCAACGGCACCAACAGTCCAAGTCTTGCAGCGTTGGCGGTAGTCAAGGGCCTTCGAACCCCCTTGGATCTCGTATCCGTTACTCAAGGTGACAAACGTACGCTCTCTTTCCTCTCCCAGTCGGTGGGCATTGTCGCAGAGACGGACCTGGGTACCGAAAATCTACGATGGATGGGCAGCACTCGCTTTACTTACGGCATTGTCACGCGCCTGCTGCGACAGAGCGTGTATCCTGCGGACATAGCCGTCAAAGTCGAGCATGACAACAAAGCGGCAGTCCGAGAAGTCTACCGTACCGAGGCCTCTAAACCAGGTCCTCACTGCGACGAGCGTGAACTGCCTCCAGTCAACACCGGCTTACCCGCACTCCGATACGGCACCGTGCAAGACCCGCTCCCCGAATCGTGGACCTTGGTCCCTCACGATCATCTCGGCAACTTTTACGCTGGCAATCTCGCCTACATGTCTGCTGATGCCAACTTCTTCCCCGCCTCGCTCCCTTCCGACGGCTGTCTCGATCTCGTTCGTATCCGTGGAGATCTCAAACGCACAAAAGCCATCAATACCTTGCTAGCTGTAGCAGAGCACAAGTTTTTCGATATGGACCATGTGGATTATCAGAAAGTGACTGCGTACCGTATCATACCGCGCAACCAAAAGGACGGATATATTAGCATCGATGGAGAGAGGATACCCTTTGAGCCCTTCCAGGCTGAGGTGCATTGTGGACTGGGGACGGTGCTGAGCAAGAGCGGCCATCTTTTTGAGGCGAAGGGTGTTTGAAGCTGTTATAAGAGATAGAGATGCGTTGTAATACCCATTGTAATACCCATTGATTTTTCTTCTTCTTTGTCTCTTTTCTGTATGCTGATTTCCAGTATGTATGTATAGAGCTGTTAAAGTTTGCGTTTGCAGTATCCATCTTGTTCGTTGAGTTTTACTCCCTGAACCACACTCCCTAGTGGTTTCCGGCCTACAAGGATATCGTTGATTGTAATCATGTTGCGCGCGTAACTTCAAGGGGCACGGTGAGTGCATACAAGTGACGTATACGTCAGTCTAGGTCCAGGTGTGTTTCATCGTAAACAATAGACATGGCACACACTCGTATAGTGAAAACATATGACGCATGAGTGCGATCCCTATCGATTCCCACGAAGCTCTGAGAAGAGGAAATCAAAGAAGGGCGGGAAACACGATGTGTATCTTAGATCTCCTGAAGCGCCGTTTACCTACTAAGTCATCCTTCCGAGAGCGATTAGGCGGGGGAAGAACAATAACCATCCTCGCTAACTTTCACCAATCGTGTATCCACTACCACTCGCTCGCTTAGCCTTCCGTGAAATTCACACCTGATACTATTGCGCAGATTAGACTTCAGAGGATTGAAAGCACTATATATAAAAAATATTATCCAAATTCCTCCATCAACAGGTTCGAAAGAATGACATTAAAAAAGCTGCGTGGCGCAGCGGAAGCGCGCCGGGCTCATAACCCGGAGGACACCAGATCGAAACTGGTCGCAGCTATTCTTGAGAATTATCTTTTTGCATTTTGTTTGCCCTCAATGTTTTTGATCGCTCTTGCAACCTCCCATCTCACGTTTAACGCCAACCATATACTATCAACACATTTTTTATTTAATCCATGTGAATGAAGATTTCCTCATACACTGCTCAGTGTCTTTTTCCTATCTACTTCTTTTAACCTCTCATTGCTTGCGTGGCGTTCTCTATTCGCGTTCGTGGCATGTTCATTTTATGTTTATGTTCTTCCATGGCTTATTGTTATTGCATTTTGTGCCAAAAAAAAAGAAAAGGCTGGGCATAACGATCGCGGTATTCACACAACACTGGGCTGCAGTCGATGGGACAGGCTAGGAAATGAACCTGAGAGAAAATTTGTAGTTACACGGCGACACAATGAGATAGGTAATAATTACAATTTAGTTTCCATAAAGGAGCAATATACGAACCAGCACGCGAGCAAACAAGAGCAAAATAAAGGAAACCTATCTATCTATATAATATATTCAATCTCGGTGGAGGGTAAGAGGTAAGAAACGAAACACACACACACTGGGGGTATATAATCCATCCATGCTCTCTCATATTTCGCTGAACAACGATAGCAAAACAATGGAAAGCAAAGAACAACCCAAACAAGATGAAAAATAAAGAAGGTTGGTACAAAGTATTAGAAGAGAGCAATCTTTACGAGAGCTGCAGGTATATAAGGAGAGGGGCTTACGTAGACGCATACACACGAACATGATATGAAACAGTGATAACAGCGAAATGAGTGGATGCCCATGAATTGAATGAGGCGAAGGTAAACGAAACTATTGATCTCTGTACAAAGGAAATATTGGATTATAGTGTGCAAATTAGTCGCGCTGGTCTGGCGACAAAACAGTGGGGGTGTTCGGTATGACAGCATTTACCGACGGAGTTCATGACCAAAATTCAACCCAATGGGTGTCAATTCTCCGTCGACAGTGCTTTCGTCATCGTAAAAACCACTCTCGCTGAAACGCTCTTCCGCTGCATCTTGGTCATAGCTGGATTTGCGCATCAGGGGCGGTGTACTTGGTACAGTCATGGCTTGCTTGCCGAGAACAGGAAACCCAGCAGCAGAGCCGCGGGAGCTCGATGAGTTGGAGCGAAGAAGCGCCTGGGGGCGCAGACCTGAAGATGGTAGGTCGGGAGTTCGGCGGAGATTTGAGGTTGGCGGGGTCATGAGCCCGGAGAGAAAAGATTGTGCTGAGGCAGGGCCGCTTCGGGATGGCGTTTGCGTGCGTGATGCCGCATCGCTGTTTGAGGATGCGCCGCCGGCAAGAGCAGATGAGGCATGCTCACGTCCCTTTCTCCAACTCCCGATCGCTGCTGCAAGTTGCACTGCCTTAGGCGATGCAAAGTTGGAAAGAGTAGCTAGTGTTGGGAAGCTCTTTGAGTCACCCGAAAGAAGACGTTCCTTCTCTTGTTGCTCCATCTGCAAGTTGGTGCGGATACGAATTGCTGCGTCGCGAACATTCTCACGATCAAAAGCCGGCTGAGAAAGCGCATTGATGAGATCGTTGATATCGTCGATGCGCACACCAAGGAGCTCACGAAGCCAACCAATTTCCGTGTCGCGTTCTTTCAACTTAGCAGGTGCTTCGGTGTCGACTCCCTCGAGTTGCTGTTCTAATGATTCGATGCGAGATTCACGCTCTTGCAATTGCTCTTGAAGAACGGAAATTGATTCGCGGAGAGCTTGGGGAGAAATCTTATCGGAACCGGATGCATATGAAGATGGGCCAGTAGGTGATTTGCCATTTTGAGCGGCGGCGACTGCAGCACTGGCGGCTTCCTTCGCAACAGAAAGCTTCTCCTCAAGAAGAGCAACCTTCTCATGTAGGTTGTCCATCTTGGAATCGGCTAGCGATAGACGTTCATTGTGGAAAACCTCTGCACGTTCTTTGTCTTCGCGAGCAATGTCCAAGACACGAGCGTGCTCGTTGCTAATTAGTTCAAAGCGGCGCTCAAGAGCCTGTTGCTGCTCCCGAAGAGCGAAGTTCCTGCTTTCGAAAGCCTCCTGCAAAGCTGCATTCTTCGCATCAGAAGCGGCCTCCAGGTCAAGCTCGTGCTTCTCCTTGGCGGTATCGGCATCCATGCGGACGTTATCGAGTTCCGATCTGACTCGGGCAATTTCACTCTCAAGCTGGTGGCGTACCATGTTTACCTCGTTGTTGGCTTTGTCGATGTCGGCATCGAAGAGCACGCGCATGCGGCGGATCTCTACATGCGCTGCCTCTCGAGCCTCTCGGAATTCGCGTTCATAACGATCGGCGGCCCTCTTGTGCTCCAAGCCTTCTTGCCTAGTTTCTTCGAGGGTTTCCTCCAACCGCTGGTTGTGTTTTTGGGTCTGTTCGAGCGCAACTCTCAGTTTCATGAATTCGCGCTCCTGTCCTTCTAGCCTCTCAAGCTCACGCTCGAGTCGCTCGCGAGTGCGGCCTTCTGCCTCGATACGAGCGCTGAGGACCTCGTACTTCTTCATATGCGCCTCATCACTCTTCTGCCACTCTGCACGCTCAGCTGCGGCTTGGCCAGATGCGACTACCATATCCTGCTGAAGCTTATCGAATTTCGCCCGCATTCCTTCCCGCACACGCGTAGACTCCTCGGCCTGGAGACGGGATTGTTCGACAGCTTTGCGTAGCTTGTCAGACTCTTCGTGGGCCTGCTGGAGATCGCCCCTCCATTTGTTCGTGGATAGACGATGCTCCTCAAGCGTGTAGGTAAGAGCCTCATTCTCAGCAGTGACAGCTTCCAGTTTCCTCTTGTAATCTATTCCAGTGGATTCCAGGGCGGTAGCTTTTACTCTGAGATCATCGTTCTCCGCGGAAAGTGTAGTGAGTTTGATGCGAACCTCTTCATCGCCGGCCTGGAACGAGTCAATGCTACGGCGAGAGACTTCGCACTCCTCGCGCAAAGCACGGATCTTGTTCTCGTCATCGCCGGCCTGTTCACGCAAGAGAGCTAGTTCCTTCTCCGTCACATCGAGCAATCGTGCGCTGTTTGCCTCGCGGACTTCTAGTTCTTCGCGCAAATTTGATTGCAATTCACACTGCATTTTTGACTCGCGCAGTTTCTCTTCAAGGGCCGCGATACGCATATCCTTCTCGGTGTTGGCTTGCGTTTCCTCTTTCTTGGAATTTTCCACATTTTGACGTCTGAAAGCATCGTCAATCAGTTCACGAACGTCTTCGGCTTGCAAGTGGTGGCTGGTGGTTTGCGCGATGGAAGCTTTCAAGCTACCAATGACTTGATAGATCTCGGACATGTCGACCTGTGGCTGAGGAATATCAACTGGAGCTTCAAGGGCCGGTGCGAGCGCAGGTATAGGCTTGTGTGTTGCCAGCGCATCGGCCACAATGGATCGAATCATGTCTGGCTGTACAGGCTCGGGAACAGAGACAGGCGCAGCGGACTCATGAGATGCAAGAGCTTCCGCAACGATGGAACGAATGGTCTCAGGCTGCACAGGCTCAACAGGGGCTGGCTGATGAGACGTTACGACCTCGGTGACAATTGATCGGATTGCCTCGGGTTGGAGGGACTCTTGAGGCTCATGTTGTTGTGAAGCTAGAGCTTCAGTGATGATGGCTTTGATATCATCGGGCCAGATCTGTTCGGGCACTGGAGCAGGCATCGGTGGCGGGGCATGTGTCGCAAAAGCTTCCATGACAAACGAACGGACGTCATCTGGTTTGATGGGTTCGGCGACCGGTTCCACTTTGTGGGCGACAATCGCTCCCTCCACGATGGCGCGGATCTCATCTGCAGGAACAGGTTCGTATTTGGGCGGTGTCCATTGAGGCTGGTGGTGGGTGAGAGCCTCCATGATGGCTTCCCTGACAGTTTCTACCTTCAGTTGCTCGGCTGGTTGCTGTTGTTGCTGTAAGGCTAGTGCTTCTACAACCATGTCGCGGATCTTCTCGGGAAGGATCGGCTCGGTAGCAGATGGTACAGGGGACTGGTGCGATTCAAGCGCCTCTTTGACAATGGATCTGATCTTTTCCAACTTCCTATTTTTTCCAGGAGAGCGCTGGCGGAAGTGTGAATCGGTACCCCACTCGTCGTCCTCGTCGTCGGCGTCGCTATCAAGTCGCCCAGTAGTAGACAGGCTGCGCCGACCGCGTTGCTGGGACATCATGACAATAGCATCTTGGATACCCTGCAAGTTCCTCTCAAGCGGACCCAGACGGTTCTGCAGCAGACGACCAATGATGTTGTCCACATGAGTGTCGAAGAATTTGCTGCGGGTTTGAATCTTATCCTGGCCATCGGAAACAAGGCCCTCGTCCCAATCGCTCATCGGTACGTCATCCGCGTTGTTGAGACGGTGCACAGGCGACTCGTACGCGAGCCCAGCGCGTTCGTCGTCGAATGGATCTTGTGCCGTTGACGTAAGCGACGCTTGCATGTTACGCGGCGCTTGTAGTCTGCGGGGGCTAGGACTAGGTGCATCGCTACGCAAGTTGGTGATAGGCGGGAAATCATTACGGTCGAAATCGTGGGGCGTTCTTCTTGGAGACGACTGCTCCCACGAGTTTTCATCGCGCTCAACACCAAAATCAGAACCTTCTTCATTCATGTGCTTCATCACAGCGTCGATGTCATTAAACGAGGCTTGACCCAGGTGATCAAAATCAACACTCTCACTCTCGGGATACGGCACATGCCTGCGACTTTCCAAAGCAGTCTTGAAGGACCCATCATCGCTAGGCCGGAAAGTCGTGGCGGGGCTTCGGCTCACATTGCGTGGTGGGAGAGGGGGAGTGTCTTCGGCGTCGGCTTGCGTGACAGATGGTTTGGTAACATGGATACCAAAGTCGTATCCGGCAGTGCCAAACTGTGGCTGAAATTCAAATGGTTTGGCAGTAGCTGATAGTGAACTGCGGTGCGACGACTTCTTTGTTGATCTGTGTATTTCTTCCACGGTAGGAGTCACGTCACTCTCATGCATAGAGAGATCATCAATTGGCGTTTGAGACTCCTCTGTATGAGCGCCAGGGGTGCTAGGTTCAGCGGCAGCCGTTGCTTGTGACAGTGACAATGGTTCAGGGCTCTTCGATTTAGACGCAGCCCGCGAGCCACCCGGCGACAGGTTCTCTTTTTCTGTTGGCGCAGCAGCTTTCTCTGCGTGATCCAGGACAGGCGAAGAGAATTCCCTGGGTTCAGCAGTAGGCTGCGAGGGAAGGATAGGATGCAGTGCAAACCGAGGCACGTCGTCACCGTCATCCTGAACCCGACGGGCTCGCTTTTCCCTTCCTTCAGCTTGCATGGGACGGCCCTCCTCATCTTCCTTGTCTTCGCCCTCTTCAGGTGTCTTCTGGCGGGTGGCATCAGGCCGCACGATCGGTATCGCTTTGGAGCGTTTGGCAGGCTTGATAATATCACTTTCCGAGATAGACACGTTCCCGAAGATCTTCGGCGCGAGTTTGTTATTAGACACATTCGTGCTGGGAGTGAACTCTGCATTTCCAGGATTGAATGATGGAGCATTAAAACTGAATCCAGTGGATGGCATGGTCGAATTAGTTTTAGAAGGCTTGAACTCGGAAGTCTGCGCAGCGGGTGTAAAAGAATGAGCCTCAATGGCCGGTTTGAAGACTGGCGCTTCGACAGCGGGCTTGAATTGAAACGCAGGAGCATCTGGCCGAAAGACGGGTGCGTCCGGCTTGAAAGCTGGTGCCGAGATTTTCAGGCTGGAGAAGCCATCAACACTCGTCCGGTTGCTCTGTGTAGTGCCGTCGGCAGGGGACTTGAGCGCAGGCGTAAAAGTCGAGAAGCCAGAGAAGGAGGATCCTGGGCTGAACGAAGCTGCAGGGTTAAATTTGAATTCCTTCGCTTCCACGTTCAATTTTGAGATGGAAGAGCGCGAAGTGTGCTTGCTGTGCATCGCAGAGCCTGCAGGTTTGCCGAATGCAAATTTGGAATCTCGCCATGAGTTGCTGACTTGCGAGGGCGCCTTGGAGTGCTGTGCCGAACTGTTTACTGTGTCATCCTCACGAATCTCACCTTCTTCAAGGCTGGGATTGGTAACTTCAGAAACAGCAGATTTCGCGCCGTCGCTCTCTCCGCGAGGGTTTTCGGGCTGTGCAGGGAAGGAGAAGGGCACAGATTGCTGGGGCTGGGCGAGAGAGTGGGCCCTGCTGTGAGGCTGTGGTTGGTGCAAAACGGAGCGAGAGCTATCCCACTTGGTATCAGCAACAGGTTTTGAAGGCTTGAGTTGTTCAGTTTCAGGTTCAGTACTGAAATCCCCCCCTTCATTGAACTGCTTATCAATCGCCTCCTCAAGATGATATTCAGCATCGCGTGCCTCGCGCTCCAGATTTGCGCTGATGTTATGACGATGGCCACGAGGAGTCGGTACAGCGATCTCCGGCCTGGATGAGGTAGCATTCTTCATCAGGGGTACCTCATCTGCGGCATCTTCTTCGTCTTCATCTTCGGGGACCTCGGCGAGAGTGGAAGATGGACGTCCACCCATGATCTGCTGCTGCTGCTGCTGAAGAAGTTGCGCCTGCAGCTGTTGCTGTTGCTGCTGCATCTGGACCAAAAGATCATCCGTTTGGGATGGCGTCAAAGGAAGTTGCGCATTAGGCATGACACCAAATGGCGACCCAGGCGAGGCAACACCAGAAAAGTCTTTCCTATTCAATGGCAACGCAGGCGATCCTCCACGAGCACCCTGCAGATTGAAATAACTTGCAGGAGAGAACGCCCCCGTTGGCGACGCTGTCTGCTGCAACAGGCTGGCGGGAGAGAAGGTAGAATGCCTATGCATGTGCATGCTCGGTCGAGCGTTCACATTACCAAATGCAGCGGGAGATGCAATTGACTGTCGTGACATGTGACCAGGAGATGGCCCGAGAGGGAAAGACGAAGACACAACACTGCCCTGGCGGCCGCGGTGGCTGCCGCCCGATGGGGTCGGGAGTGGCGGCGAAAATGGAAGGCCCGGATATGTTGCAACGGAGGCCTGTCTAGACATGGGGGAAGGCGATTCTTCCTTGCTAGGCACGTCAACTCCTAATGCAGCCAATTTCGCCTCCAGAAGATGATTCGTGTATGCGTCCCAATCAGCTTTGTTGGGAACCCGGACTTTGAGTCCCGCAGCACGATCTGACTTTACATATGCTTCGTTAGGCCAGATACCACGGTTCTGGGACAGCGCAAGATCATCGGCTTCTCTCATACCCCTCCATGCGCCGAATCCACGGGTATCATAGCCTTCATTTTCCAATCGCCGAATCTTGTCCTCCAACGCCTTTGCCGTCATTGGCGTGGGCGGAAACCCGGGTGAGCCCCGTGGGATATCACGAGGGATCGATATGATGCATCCCTTCCCCTTGACCATGACCTTCTTGCGCACACGGGGCGTGGCAGTCTTGGGCGCAGGCGGCGCAAGGAAATTCTTGCTCGGAGTTTCTACCGCCGTTTTGGGTGACTCTGGGAGGGGCGTCTCCTTGGGGGAGGCGGGCTTGTCTGCATGTACACTACGTCCCAGTGCTGATCGCAAACTCCCACCAGATCCCTGGCGCGAATGCGTCTCTTTCTCTTTCTGAGACGGTGCATATCTTGATGCCATCATCTTGCCGAGTTGTTCCTTTTGGCCCTCACTGAAATGAGACCAAAAATCTTGTTGGTTGAGTGTTACGTTGCTCCTTCTGGACCTGTGGGTCTTATGTTGGGCGATTTCTGCGTTCCCTTGCTCGATAACGGATCTCTGCTCTGATTCGCTTTCTGCCGTGCTATCGCTTAACCAGTCGTTTGCTTGAGGATCCCAGCGCTGTTCTAGGAACCGACGGACCCAAGCTTCGGTGGTACCAGCAGCGTTGAACGTGGAGGCTCGTGGGGTGGCTCCCGAATTGTATTGGGATCTGGTCGGAGTCTCGAGATTGGTCAGCAGACGAGATGGGATCAAGTGTTCGAGGTTGAACTGTGTGGGCGAAGGGCTGTTCTCCAGGCGTGGGATGAGATGTTCGAGATTGAATCGATTTGGCGAATTATCTTGCACGAGTGTCGGAGGAAGCAGATGCTCTAAGCTGAATTGAAGATGGGAAGAATCCTCTTCCAGATCGTCACTGCCGAAGTGATTCGAAGTATGGCTCTGGCGGTTGGAGAAAGGGGGCGGGTTCCGGTAGGGGCTGCCCCAACTAGCAGTATAGTACGAACTGTCGGTTCGATCCTGTCTCGCGGCTGTCGAGGGCGTTCTGGGATTGCTCCCCAGGCCAAAGGAAGGCAGGTGAGGAAGCTCTGGGCTTGAGTGACCAAGTGTCGGGGTTGGGGACGGGTGGGCGGTCCACAAGGTTTGTGCAGGCGATGGAGGGCTTCTCGCTTCAACGGCAGCCGATGGAGGCGATGAAGGTGGAGGCAGCGAAGCAGAAGAAGAAGCACGTCGAGCTTGCATTCAACATGCAACGGATTGTCGACCTTCGCAAGACGCGCGCTTTTCACGACCGAAAGACGCGCCGAGAGAAGGACAGGTGCTTGGGAAGGAGAGAATGAGGCCTTTGAATTATCGGGAGGGTAGGCGACGCGTATGAGGTATGTGTGTATATACGAGGGTATATATGTTTCGGCGGAGTAACTGTGGACGCGGTGCAATTAGGTGTCTACAAAAGAAAGGCCTAGGGTGTAATAGTAATGGAGGAGCTAAAGGAGCGACATGAAGTTGGAGAGCACTGGCTGGTGGACAGGAAAAGAGGACATTCCCGCAAGCAGCAAAAGAGGCACAGAAGACGGACACGAGGGGAGGTGTGAGCTTGAAGTGTAAGTGCTGGGGACAGAGAAAAGTCCACAGTGGATAGGGGAGGAGAGGAAGGCTAATAATGCAGTATGGCTGCCGATTGGCCACCCCGGCAAGACCCCTGGAAGTTGAACGTGGCTCTCTATGCCGTAGGGGCCCATCAACGTGAGTCTGCCTATGTGTCTGCACATTGCACGCAGTCTGTCAAATAACCGGTTTTCCATGCTCCCTCCCATCGCCATGCCGTGCAGTCATCATAGCTACATAGGTGGTAGACACGGCCGCGTCGTTGTTTTTACCCGTCTACTATCTCTCTCTCTCTCGCACACTCCGTCTCCCATCTGCAGTTCCAACATCCCCCCTGAACCGCCGAATCAGAGCGCATTCATCTCCTGACGATGGCCATGACACCCTCGTTTATGCGTCAACTATGGAACAATTGAACAGCATCATGCCCGGATCTAGATCCCTGCAGCGCCCAAGTAGACACGTCAAACCCGCTCACTGACGGGCCGCCATGATTGATTGGGCGGCATGCCTTGGATTGGCTGCGAATGTTACGGGCCCGGCCTTTCGCTGGAAGCTCCTCATCCATTCAATTGAGCATTCATCGTCTTGAAACTTCACCTGTCTAGCTCGTGGTAAACATCTCTTCGCGCGTCAATTGAGCTGGCCATTTATACACTACTTAAGTCTTGACCGGTACCTCCAGGTCTGGCCCAAGGTACACGCGGGTGTCCACCAATCATATAGCGCGCCTTTGTTGATTATGTAATCTTTATCAGATTCATATATCGCAGATCTCAGCACCATCTTCACATACGACCATAGGATCATGAGAACAGAGCTTCCCGTCCGCTCAGCTGTACTTAAGCATGATACCGGCGGATTAGTAGTCAGGTGGGTGACCACTGGCGAATACCTGCTGTTGTATGTTTTTTTCTATTTTATTTGGGCAGTTCTTTTTGTGGGGAGAAAGTGGAGCTGTGATCCATCAGATGGTTTGGCCGCGGAGGTGGCACTCATCAAACATTTTTGATCTTTTATAATTACAGAGAACAGAATCCTAATGGCCACTAAGTAACCTTTATGTTACACACTGACGAGGAACCAGAGATACAGTCCTTCTACGAAGAGCAGCTTGTATCCGGCAAATTCAAATCCGATATCTCCAACAATCGGGGTCAACGTGACCTTTTTTGGTTACGAGTTGAACGACATGTTACCTCGCTTCGCGACTACAACTTCGAACTCAACAATCTTCAAATGATTTCTTAATTACAGGGTCGACTCATTCATGGAACATACCGATATGCGCAATAGTTCAACGGATGGTGATCAAGTGCTACACGCTCACACAAGGCCATCAGCCTATCGCTCTTAACGCATTGCGCCACGTTCCTCGACCTGAAAACGCAAGCAAGAAGAATGGCCGAAATAGGAAGAAGCCAAGACTATATATCAACGTATATGCTCACCATATGTCGTGCTGCAGGAGAGATTGGCCAACCAAGATGTGCCGCTCCTGAAATACGAGAAGAGCTGCAGCAAGACTGGAGCACGAGAAGACGCAAGCGCTTATCTGTGAGCTGGACATACGGTTTGAAATGTCAAAGGCGAATGAGAACTTGTTCCATTATTTCACGCAGTATATCATTGGCCATCGAATTGGACGCAAAAGTAGTCAGCTACGTAGCAATGAAAGATAGGGGGCCGAGACTGAAAGTGCATACCCTCAAATGCACAGCAAGCCCCCATGATAGGTAAAGTTTGCCTGCAACTTTGTTTCTGATTATCGCGACATGTCTCTTCCTCAAGACGATGAGTATGGCTCGGTTCCACTACAAGATGTCGACCCGGATCCGTCAAGTCATGTTACTAGAGCATATACCACACGACCTGTACCAGCTCCTATGTACCGTTCTCCGTATCATGATCATTCATCGCAAGAGAACCATCCACTGCAGCAAAGTCATTCCTCGCAACGGCATCAACCTGCAAACCCTCCAGCTGCTCTTGACAACTCACAGCATCGCTCGTACGAATATGAAAGAAATATCCCAACTATTGCTCATGGGTATGCACAAGTCTCCGCCTTTTTGTCTCCGACTTACAGTCCTAGGAGCTCTCACAATATTGCAACGCCGCGATTACCGATACCACAAGTATCGAACCTCTCCCAGTATGATGGTCGCGGGCGTGATCACACGCTCAACGAGCCCGGTCTTCACAGCAACAGGTACATATGACAGTAATCGTACGTGCAGATATATCTGACCATGCAGGCAACAACAAAGTCGCTCCCGAACAAGCAGCTCTATCCACCAATCTCTACCAGATGAGGAGACGTGCGATTGCTGCGACAGAACTGCGGCGGACATTTTCTTCTGCAATGTATGCAACACTAACCTGTGCGAGAAATGTTGGTCTTTTCAAGCAGCCCACCGAAAACAACGACTTGCTCCTGGTGAAATACCACATGAGAAAACGAATGCGACTGTTGCAAGGAAAATACAAAGGGTACTTGTTCAGCCAAGCAACGATGAGAATCGCACACAATTGCATGGGGATGACGAACAGACGGCCTGGTTTGGTATGTATCTCCTACTCTCGAGATATCCTGTCTCTAAATAAACAGGTATCGAACGTCCCGACGGCAGCGCTCCAATCTTCCAAGATTACGGGAGATATGCAAGCTTACTTTCAGAAACCGAGGAGGATTGGAACTCGCAGTTTCAAACAACACAACTGGGCAGAGACAGTAGAACTCCAAGCTTAGTCTCATTTGTTGGGCAAACTGGTGCTGGCAAAAGTACGCTGATCAAGTTGATCGTTGATCTCAATACTGAAAACGACCAACTCTACCGTACACCCGTAGTTGGAGCTTCTGGTGTTAACGTTCCAACATCCGAGGACGTTCACCTGTACTCTGATCCCGTCACAGCATTGAGTGAAACGCCTGTGTTTTTCGCGGACTGTGAGGGTCTTCAAGGTGGAGAGCGCGAACCGCTCGGAGTAAAGTTCAAACGGTCTAGAAAGAAGGGTCCACAAAAAGATGAGCGTGTCCCGCTACCCAGCTCTGAAAGAGAGTTGGTCTGGGCAGACACGACCGCTTTGGCAAGCCGCGAGTTTGCTGTCACCAATCTCTATCCTCGGCTACTATACACATTCTCTGACGTGATTGTTTTCGTTCTAAGAAACCCAAGGTACGTGCTGTTTCAACATAGCAATTTTGTATCTCAGCACTGACAGAATCAGGGTAATCGAGAGTGTCTTTGAACAACTGGTGAATTGGGCAGCTGCCGCTCTCGAGATGTCGTCCAATCAACCGGTCCTGCCGCATGCGATCATAGTACTCAACGCGTCAGAAAATGATATCGACCCTCAGCAATGGGATCCAAATTTTGCTACCGAAGCTTTGTTAGAATCCATATCAAGAACCGTGTTCCGCAACTCAACTTTCAAGAAGTACGCGCAGTTTTGGAGAGAACGCAGAAAAGAGATTGAGAGCGTCAAACAATTGATGGAGTCATACTACAGCTCTATACAGGTAGAGCACTCGATGTAGGATGTTCGATAGTATCAAGCTAATAATATTAGGTGGTCCGTATTCCTGCAGAAGGTAGACCGCAATTAATAGAGGAGCAAGTCAAACAACTTTATGTTGGCATACACACAGCCTGCGTCGCTTCGAGAACCCGAAAAGCACAGTTGCGCATGCTACTCGACGCCGAAGAGCTACAATCCTACCTACAATGTGCCTTCGATCACTTCGCTTTGACTCTCGATAGCCCCTTCGATTTTGTGCAGGCTTCTTTCTCGAACAGTCCTATCCCGTTAGACTTTGGCGGCAATATTCTCAAGTTGGCTATCAACTTCATGCACGTTTGGGAAAACAAGGCAGACATAAGAATTATATTCCAGGAGCTGAGCTACATGGTAGCTTCTTGTATCATGCTCGATTCTGTGCGCAACAAAAACAAGGGTACTGTCTCAAGCGCATAATTTGTAGAGTTTACTGACTTGAGCAGGTACTGCCAACGTGATATTTCTGCAATACCTTCCTCATCTAGATGCGGCGCTTGAGAACTTTTGGGATCAGCATTGGCCTTGCGAATTTACACAGCCGGAGAGGAACCTGCGCTGCGTCAACGTCCGAAGTGGCCACGGATCTAAGGGCCACCAGATCAAAGATGGCAAAGTATTCGCTGTTGGTGAGTATCAATCGCGCTGGTCGTTCGATTTGCTCCAAGAAGAATTTCGATGCAATTCCTATTACAGGCTGGAGGAGTTGTTGCAGCTCCTTGACGAAAAGAAAGCCTACGGAAACGACGAGCGGCGAACTGCAGCCGAGATTCATCGGGACTACGTAATGCCTTGGTTCAATCGCCATGCATCTGGAGATGGGAAATCACAACGATATCACAGCCACACAGTGTGCTTCTGCTGTCTTTCGGAGCCGCCAGAATACGCATTACCATGTGGTCATATCCTATGTTTACAGTGTGTGAGAACATACGGAGAAAATCGAGGCAAAACCGAAATTGAGATGCAAGGTTGTCCATTGGAATTCCAGACAACACAGTTGTATCACTCATGGCGGATTTACTTCAAGCCTAAATCGGCAGGTGTAAGAGTATTGACACTTGATGGGTATGTTCATGTAGCATTTAATATTGTCTATGACTAATAAACATGGCATAGGGGCGGTATGCGTGGGATCGTTGAGCTTGAGATTCTGAGAAGCATTGAGAGGGAACTGAATGATAAACTAGCCATTCATTACTTCTTTGATCTCATCGTGGGTACCAGGTACGCGAGTAAGCTGATCGAGAGAGAAAGTCACTAAACCATACTTTTCAGTACCGGCGGGATCATCGCATTGGGACTTGTTGCTCGCAATTGGTCTGTACAAACATGCATAGATAGCTTCGAAGTACTTTGCTCCAAGGCTTTCACTAGACGTATCGGTGGTGATCTACCCGTGTTCAGTTGGGTGGTCACCAATTACATGCACTCCAAGTATGAAACGAAGTCTTTACACGATGCATTGATAGATGCGTTCTCGGAAGACGAGTATTTATTTGGGGGTCGAAAAGCCCAACAGTCTCCTTTGCCCAATATCAAAGTTGCAGTCACATCCACTGTTTCTTCGAATTCGGCAATTGTGTTTGGCAACTATAACAGACGGTGCGATGAGAAATGTAAGACACCGGACCTGTCCTTGCACAAATTGCTGATTCCATCTAGTGCCTTATCAATTCCACAGAGCTGAGGACATACATTCAGAATTGAGGATCTGGGAAGCGTGAGTGGAACAAGCCTTCTTTTCAGTGTGCATGAATTGATCCCATTAGCGCTCGAGCAACGTCCGCGGCCCCCCGGCCTTTCAAGCCATTCCACCACGAACCGTCAAAGCAGGTGAGTCAGTTTCCTGATGAAATACATCGTTTTGCAGTCTTTCCTGATATCCAAGATTTTAAACAACCGCGAAACATCGCTGTAGGCTTCGACTAACCGTTCTGACCTCTTCAGGTGTATATGGACGGCGCTCTTTGTCATAACAATCCGATCAAAGTAGCAGATCGAGAGTGGAAACTCCTATGGCCCGATGGGCTTCGCGAATACCCAGACATAGTACTTTCGTTGGGCACAGGTTACAATCCCCACGCTGTACGAGTACCGGTGAAGAAGAGCGTACCCGAGAGAGTAGGTATCCTATCTCACGGTATGTCTCTTCTGAAACTGGCCAAGGATCATATTGCAGACTCGCTGAACTGCGAAAAAGCGTGGGGGGAGTATATAAGTCTGTTGCCCTCAAATGCCTCATCCTCTCAATTTATACGCTTCAATATTCCGATGATGAATGACCCGCCAGCTCTGGATGACGTCTCGAAGATGAAGACGATGCAGGACGATGTCAGGAAACAGCTTTCCAGGGACTCAAACCGTACTAAGAAATTGGCTTTGCAGCTGCTAGCCACAAGTTTCTACTGGGAGACTCTAGACGTCCAGCAATTCACAAATAATGAAGCGACTGTGTCAGGTAAGCTCCATTCATGCCTTTATCTCCGACCGCGGCTGATATGGAGATACAGGTCGCATACTCTGCCGGTTTACGGAAGGATCACGAGAGACTAAAGAGCTCGGAAAACTAATCAAAGACAAATCTTTCGTGGGCAAGAATCCGTTCTTTTTCATCAGTGAGCGAGGCTCGAAGGGAAATCCCGAGATCAAAGAGCTCTCGCCAGGTGTACTGTCAAAGATGATATATGATGGCAGATTTGAGATGCGAACGTCACAGCATCTCGAGAACAAGCTTTCCGAAACGGACATATATCTCTACATCAACCAAAACCAAGAGTTCCCCATCAGTGGCTTTCCTCGATGTCTTTTCCAAGGCGAGGATGAGCAAGCAAGTACGTAACACGCCATACGCCTTGAGACTTACGCTGACAATATACACGAAAAAGGAACAATGCATCCGATGGCTATAAATCGTCGGCGCTGGGCGGGTGGCTCTAGAAACCGCCATATGCGAGGCGTTTGGGTCCCTCCAGATGCCGCTCGACTGTCTGCGCCAAGAGAGGGGAGCATTGCCGAATACTCGGATCCCAGCCGTTCAATGACCCTTTCGACTGGAAACGAGGTAAACGCCCCTCGATTCTCGGAGCTGCCCGGAGATGAAAGACTACATGACGAAACGGTACTTGTCCCGCAAGGGGAACCGGTGGAGATCGATTCATCAACAAGCCATGAGCTATATAGTTTTCCTCTGACGCCGAGGTTGAGACCTCTCTCAACTGCTGGTATTCACGAGGATGAAGATAGGACCATGTGAAGTGGTGCTATACATGGGATTGCAACCAGTGGGTACGCGTAGTTTTGGTAAAGCTAGGTCCGCATCTTCATCTGGAACTCGTTTAGGCCTCTTTTTTTATCTACATGAATCTCTTAGCAATATACTACTTATAGAAATAACCTGTTTTACTTAGCCTTTGTAAGCTTGTACTAGTGCGCTTATAACTTGTGTAAAAGTCAGCAAGGTAAGCTACTCTACAGGTGTAAATCTGACTATAATTTCAATTTCGAAGGTATTAGAGTACAGCTTGTCCATCCCTGGAGTGATAAGGCCAGACTGGGAATGCCATTTTGTTTTGAGCTGGGAATGCCATATAACCACGTATTGCTCGGGTAAGTCTTCATCCAAAATTCCCCCAGTAGTTTTTTTTTTTTTTTTTTTTTTCTAGAAGTTAAAGTGCATAGTATATAAAAACATCAGTAGTTGCGCAACACAGTTTCTTCTCAAAAGTTTTTACACCAATATCAAGGACCAGCATAGATAAACTTAGCCAAGAAGCTTCATAGGAAAGCTTCATAACCAATAGCCATACGCCAATTAAGCTAAGTTAGAGCTGGGGTGTATCTGCAAAGCTGCCACAAGTACAAAATTCAGTAGACCCCATCCCAAGCAACAGGGTACATTGTGCCTGAGATTCCAGAGCGGATGAGCGCAGCCAGAACAACAAAAGCCGAAAAGCCCATGTACGTAATCCAGTTCGCGGTTGAACAGTGTATTTCAATACCACGAGAGCACGACGCAACCAGATAGAGTATGCAGAAACCTACTCTCTTGAACTCCGAGTCCCTCTGTGCGGGTTTCAATCGGATACCGGTAAGATTTGTCTCGACTGGTCTGCAGTGCTCTAGCTTTAGTAGGCATGTTCTGCAGAAAATAATAATTCAGCGTGCTCGATCTCTCTTTCTTGATTGGATAGTAGTTGCGTTACGGGGAGGTACTTTCATGCCTCCGATAGCACGTGGTTGTAGGTAGACCTCCTTACCTACATACATACCTACCAAGGTACATATGTACACAGGTGTCTCTCTATACTTTGGTTTGGCACATTGTGAATCAACAGTACAGTGCTAGAGTTCGCAATATCAATTCTAGGCAAGACATCCATCCACCAATCAATATACAATAATTTGATCTGACTAAAAATTATGTGCAGAATCAGTCCGAGATTTACCATATCCCTAGGTATCAAGAATCAACTCCCCGCAAACTAACAATATTCAAGTCTGCGCGTCTTCATAACCGCTGTATACAGCACCGGTGAATATTGCCATCTCAGTCCCTTTGCGCCGACCCTCACAGCACGGTCATCATTCGTGCACAAACTTTATGGCGTAAATCAGCTCGTGATGATGACCAAAGGAGCTTATAATTGCATTCGAATTACGTTGAAATCAGTTCTTCTCACTAACCCGCGGAACCGCGCGCACCATCAACTTGGGCTTAATCCATAGAGCAAAAGATTTTTGATCCGCCCAATTCTTGCTCTCCTCACAGAGATCCAAGTCGTATTTCAACAAAATACTGGCGAGAAGCAGCCTCATCTCGTGCATAGCCATGTTCTGGCCAATGCAGTTTCGATATCCGTATCCGAAGGGCTGGTGAGCGGCGAAGTTGTCGTTGGCGAACTTGGGATCGGTTCCGAGCCATCGCTCGGGGATGAAGCTGTCGGGTTCGGTGAAGTTGGCTTCGGAGTGGTAAGTCGACCAGTGGTGGACGGATACTCGCGTTTCTTCGGGGACCCATTTTCCAAGAATCATTTGGCCGCCCTTTTGGACGTTGCGGGGACTGCCTATCGGCACTGGAGGATAGACACGGAGCGCTTCTTTGATACCTGAGTTTTTTGTCAAGTTAGCACTTGCTCGTTCCCCCTCTTGCATGGTAGATGCTTTTACGTACACGCTGTCATATATTTCAAGCTACCAAGGTTCTCAAGAGTTAGATCTTCCTGGCTTTTGAACGAGCTTCTGATCTCTTCAACTAGAGTGTTAAGGGTCTGCGGTGACTTGAGAAGGTAGAAAATGGCCCCGCTCAGAAGAGTAGCTTTGAGGAAGCGCAGCAAGTCAGCCAGATGTTTGCGTGATCATCATTCCTTTGGTAGAGACTTACCCGTCGTTTCTGAGCCAGCCAACATGAACGCCTCGGCGTTGGAGTGCATTTCTGGCAATGCAAGACCTTGGCCCTTGTCGTCGAGAACGAATTTCCACACGTCGGGTTTCGTAGATCCTTTTTCCAGTCGCTTGTTCACAAGCTCCTCGGCAAATGCGCAGTGCTTCTCCCTCTGCTTAGAGACCCACTTTGGTTGCAACTTGTCGAAGACAGTGACTCGCAATATCGGGTAGTAGTTTATCATGGCCACCAGAGGCAACATCTTGAGCCAGCCAACAATAGACTCGACCCACGGATCGTTTTTGCTCTTCGCCAGCATTCCCAGATTGTGGCCAAAAGTGAGTTCGGCCATGACGTCGAAAGTGGTGAAGTTCAATAGGGCTCCGATATCGATAGGCTCCTTGCCGTCGCGCCCCACCTCGGAAACCTTGGACGTGAGATGACCTGCATATTTCAGGAAGAGAGGCTCTTGCGCCTTGAGAGATCGGGTGGAAAAGGCTGGTGAAAAGACACGGCGGACTCGGGTATGGACTTCGTGAGTTTGCGTCAACATGGGTGGGGTATCTATATTGTTGTCAGCAAAGCTTATGAGTTCTTTGGGAAGATTGCGCACCATTGACAGGGCGAGGGAAGAATTCCAGGGCCTTTTCCTGGACTTTTGGGCCGTGGACATCCTGCCAGCCCTCGGCAGAAGCATAACTCAAATCGGTAGGGCCAAATCTCACGACGGGGCCATACTTGTCGTGCAGCGTCTTCATCCAGGGCACATCAACGCCGCTGATGGAGACATACCAGTAAGGAATGCGAGTGATTTTGCAGACCAGAGGACCAGGTATGGAAGCAAGCGGGTGCAGTGTTATGGAGTAGATGGCGCTGCCGATGTAGTATAGAGCCCCACAGGCCAGCAGCGATAGGAATAGCGTGGTCAACATGTTGGCACACGCCCGAGAAGCAAGGAACAAGAGAGGCACAAGTGAAGGACTGACGGCGGGTTACCAGAGAAATACAAGAAGCAAATGACCACACATGCGGGCTTTGAAGCAAGTCGAAGCTGTTAAGTCCGGTGGAGCTGGTAAAGGAAAGAAAGCTCCGTGGTAAGGCGGCCAGTGCACTCTTCTAGGTGGAGTGAAGCTTGGGGAGTGAATGAACTAGTCTGCTGGCGCTCGGGAGTCGGGAATACTTTGTGCGAGTGCGCCAGCCGCCGCCAGGCCAGGGACCCTTCCTATGTATTCACCCAACCAACTACTAGTAGGCAGGGGTGGCACTGCAGCTCACGAGCCGTAGCTAACGATTGCATGTTCAATTGCTTCTTTGTCGACACAACGGACTCCGTAAACGCTGAGTGCCCCTGCGGACGGCTGGCGCAGAGACGGATGGATTCATTACGTGCTGCAGTCGTCCTTCTATGGCTATGTCATCATTTGTTGGTATGGAGTCGTATTTGGGTTCGTACTCAGAGTGGCCCAGTGGCACGCAGACCCTTGCTAGCGCTTATTTTTGCCGCGAATCCTACACGCCGTACCTTGTTGGTGACGAGACGAGGCAAAGGGGACGACAGCAATGGAATCCCACAGCCAGAAGCATCTCTGCAATCTCCCTATTGGAACCCAAGTCGAACCATGGACGGACCACAACGAGGACATGTGGACGCCATGTAACCTAATTTAGTGGTTGTGTCTAACAACTCCAGGGGCGCGCGCTAGCAGCCTTCCCGCATGGTGAATTCCCCCGAAATCTGGCCTAACGGGTCTGGGCTGATAAGACCCTTAGGCCACACTGTGAACATTCACACGAACATCCCCCCCGGCAGCAGCAGCAGCAACTTCGAGGCGGTGAGCACTAGCCCGCATCCGCATCGCCTGGATTCCAGATACGTACGTGCGAGAGCCCAAAGCCTGAGTCAACCTGGACGTTTGAGCCACACGTGTTTCGTGGTTAGCCCTCACGACTGACTCCAACAGTGCACCGTCGTCAGTCTGCAAGTAATCGAGTGCATAGTATTTCGTGGAATGGCCCGAGCCTCGTTCAAAGGCGATCCGCTACATCCACCCTCTATAGCAAATATAACCTCTCTGCAAATGTTGCCGCCCTGGGCAAACCCTCGCCCTCTATGCTACAAACATGATCGACCGAGAAAAAAGGGACAGAACCAACATGTGAAAAGAGAAAAAAAAAAGTCGGGGGAATGAGTGTGGATCGAAAGACCCTCTCCCACTCCGCCAGCCCGCCCTAGTGCACCCCCGCTGCAAATACCGTTAAACTCCAAAGGAAAACTGTGTTGCCGCAACTATATCACCCGTCGCCTTTTCTCATGCGCTGGCTTTGAATGTGGGTGGAAGTTGCATGAGTCCTGTCTCGTGCACGTCATGGCCCTCATTGCCCAGGAAGCGGCCTGTTTGGAAGCTGTGGCATACGTTAGCCGGCTACTCTCCCAGAACGTCCAAATTTGGCGAGATGCATCTTACCTCCAGTACAGGTTGCCGTGTGCCATTGCCCGGCAGATCTCCACAAACTTCATCACTTCCCGATCCACCTTTTCGCCATACGAAGGAAGTTCGGCCAAAGCGAGGTACCACTGGCGATAGCAGTCGTTGATCATGTCGCCAATCTTGTCCATGGCTTGCTGGACGCTGAGATGGTTTCGGTTCATGAGAAGCGTGATCAAGTTGAAATCGACGCCGAGATCGAGGTCCTTGCGGTAGGACAGCACGTCATTGACCCTGATATCCGTCATCAGTGCCCGTTCACGGGTACATGTGGTGGTGTGGAGCTTACAGTATTACCAGGTCAGCTGATATTTGCATGAGCCTCTGGACGCTGGGGTGGTCGTAAACTTGTTGTGGCACCTTGATGTCACCGGCCCACTCGGCGAGCGTGATGGCTGGGTATACACCTATCGTGCCTCTCCGCAGGTCGAGGTATTCATCCACGCTGCATGAAAGACTGGCATTCCTGGACTCCAAGTCCACCTGCACGAGGAGCTGCTCGAAGTATCGTTTATGTTGATCTATCCAACGCTGTTGCATCTCTGTGGTGCTCGCGAGTCAGCATCGTGGCCACAAAACGCCACTGAACAGACAGTCGGGATTCTCAAAGGCGGAAGCGGGCTGGACAGAGATATGAGCGGACTATATATACCTTCGCTAGATGTCTCTCTAATCTTATCACAGCACGTCTGGAATATGTACCGCACTGGGTTCGACTTTGCGCTGTATCGGGGTGCATCGCCTTCCATGATGGCCAGTGTTTGCTTGACCTCCTCAGCGGCAGCTGGCAGGTCTGTTTTGAGGCACCCCTCGTCGAATTCTGCTCACAAGAAACCATGATTAGTATGCAAGATGGAAAATCAGAGTTCGAAACGGGGTGGTGGCGTTCGAGTATCGTACCATCGTCGAAGAAGAAGACCTGTGGCGTTGGTAAGCGTCTACAACAAACCCAACAGTGAGGACAAGACTAACCCAATTGTTCCAATCCAACATCATGACGAGACGATCTTCCGGGGCCGTTGCCGACCATATGGACGCCAAATAACACAGATCAGCCTGTGCGTTCTTCACTGCCGTTGTCTTGTCGAGACCCATATGCCTGCGCAGAAAGCCGTTGTTAGCACCGTTCGTATCGCCTGCAAGCCGATCGGTCCTATGTGCCCACGGAGCGGATCGCATTAAATACCTTGCTATCCATCTGTCCCCCTTGGCCTTAGCAGCAAAGTAATTGGGGTTGACGGTGGGTTTCGGAGCCATGATGGAGCCGAAGCAATCGGGGATGCGAACGAACGAGGACTGCGGTGCTGCATGGTGCTGCTCCAACTCGTGGACGCTGGCAGCCTCCGAGTCTGGTGGGGTGGGAACACTGGAGGGTAGCAGTGAGTCTACGTGGGAGGCCATGAGGTCAGCCTTGTTGAGAGGTTGTGTATCGTTCATGGTGAGTGAATATGCGAGATGTAGAGCGTTGCTGAATGGACAGTGGGAAAATATATTATACACTGCAAACGGCGCTCCCGGGGTACTCGGTTTGCTTCGCCCTGGTCGCTCTGGTTGCCCGTCCGCTGTGGCGCTATAAATATATTGTAGGGAATGGACGACCTAGTCAGGGCACATGTAGCACATCGCAATATCACCCAGAACAGGAATTGTGAAAGCAAGCACGCGGGGCGGTACTTTTGGAATCCTATTTGTACCCGAGGATGCATTTCAAGAAAGCCGGTCCTCGCTTTGGGACAGCGAAGTGGTAGCCAACATTCAAGTGCAGCAGACCGTCTCCGTCTCTGTGGCTCTGTAGAGGCGGACAGCATGGGGTGGAATCCAAGGCCGCGTCGCATGCAGTGGATTGCTATTATCCATGTGAAGGGGAAGGGGTCACATAACAATTCGTACGTTTGAACCAATGGACCGTTGCTGGCCTAGTTGGACAAGCCAGCCGTTCAGCCACTCAGCAGCGATGGTCGTACGGGAGACTAACCCCTTGAGGCACAGGCCACCCCACCAGCCTACGCACGCAGAGTCTGACTACAGAATCCAGTCCATGTACCTATGCGAGCAACGATCAGCGTGGCGGTTAAGCCAAACCAAGGCCTGTCAGTATTGCTGACAGGTGAGGTCTTCTTCGTCGACGCCGTGTTTCAACCGCGCTTCATCCATCAGGCAGGCTGACATGCAGGCAGGCCACAGGTGACATCACCATTGGGACCCTTGTTCTGAAATCCTCTCGGCGTCTTTTTGTTTACAGCTTACCAGATCCGAGATCTGAGACATACATGACTTATCGCGTGCTATTCTTCCGGGTCTTGGCCATTGCTTGGACACGGGCCGCAATAGGTAGATTACATAGGCGGATCAGAATGAACAGCTGCAAAAAGGTATCCGTTCTGGATACCACCCACTCGGGGCAAAATCCCAATGCAGTGCAACGAGGACGTTCTAATGCCGCCTTCGACTACGGTGGGGCACAGCTTCGGGAATCTGCCTCCCAGGCGTATCTTGATTCCCCACGACACACGGCTGGCCGTTGACTTGACGCGGCTAAGCTGTGGAGTGACAGTGGAGCCTCGGAATTGCAAAACCCTACGGTAACCGAATTTGCAGCGTGCTATAGAAGGGCACATGGGCAAATCGTTCGAATATAGTGTATTGTCGGATTCCGAGGGTAGATCTGGCCATTCTGGATCCCTGACTAGATGCCAATCGAGTTGTTCGTGGAAGAATGGCGTTTCCTCGACATGTCAATTGCCACAGCCCACGCTGCATTGTAGCAATTGTTGTTGGAGAGGGGAAAAAAGAAAAGAGAAAAAGAAAACAAAGGAACAGTGGGCTGACGGACGATGAGACGTCAAAGTTGAGTGGGCGCAAGCATTCCGCTGTGCTGGGAATTTCCGAGAGCTCGACAGACACAAATCCGCGGCCCAGGGAAACTCGGTCCCGCAGAGTGGTGCAGGTTGCGACTCCTGGATTGCCATTGTAGGAAGCTGGATACTAACGCATATGCCGTGCCCCGGCGGCACCCATGTAGCGGCATGACTTATCTTTGTACCAAGCACCGAGGTGTTCAATGTTGATTGTTCAAAGAAAGTGTCGGTGACATGCATGCTAGCGCTGATTAACTCGCCGTATTTGCGAGCACCGACTTTTCTCGCTTGCTGTTTCGTATACGTATCTGTGCATACAGGTATACACATAATGTCATCCATGCATATATATGTATCTGGTTAGATTACCTACGCACACATATGCACATACAATAAATACAACTGCATGGATGGCCCTTGCGCCCCTCATCTGGTTCACGCCAATATGGCAATTGTACGGGGAAGGGTAGGGTACCAAGACCGATGCCAAAATACTCAAACATCATAACTCATGACACATTCGATTCATCCGCAGTCGGATATATCCAGGGGGAGTCGATGCCGACTGTCTTGTACGGTGACATGCATGGATAGCGGAGCATGTGCTAGCCATGCAGCCGGTGCTATGCTGTACTATACTGTACTGTACCATACTGTACTGTGCTGTGCTGAGCTGTGCCGTGGGGGTCGGTATGCGCGAGTACGCTAGTGACTTGGCTACTGTAGCGTCTCGACTAGGATATCCGCGTCTTTTTGACAACGGTCCATCCGCCGTCAACGCTCCAACGGCCTAACCTTGTCAGCACCTACATGGATCTTGCCTGGCCGTTTGCTACTTAGAGCGCCCTGTGGCGTAGTCAGCACCAAACCTCTAACATTATTGCTTTTTGATTGCATTTACGAGTATTTTTACACGCGAACTGTTTGTCTACCGCTCTAGTGTCTGTCTCCGCTGGTTTAACCGGCAACTACCCTACACTCTGCCTGCAGATATATCGCTTCGCCGACTTCATCGGGCTTCGGATGCGCCTACTCGGTGCTGTCGACTCTTTGCGCGCCCGCCGTCTGCAACGCAGCCTGGACTGGTAATTTCAAGGCACATTGCAAGTGGGTACATTATTCGGATTTGCTCAAAATCATGCTCGACTCAATACATTCTTTATACATGGATAATCACTACATTCTCAGTTGTCTGCCTTGAGCAGCTTCTCCACGTGTGCCCATAGCCCGCCGGGCCGGTATCCCTACAAGTATCGCGTTAGTGCAGGTCAACTTGCAATATTCATCGGGGTACGTACCTCAAGCCATGTATTCCCTGCAGGGTCGACGCCAGTCACGATGAAACCGTCCGGATCTTCATAGTCAAGTTAGCCTTCGCCCCCATCCATCGCAACCCCGAAATGTAGAGCGAGGGACTTACAGGCAATGCCGCCTTGGATCTGGGTGACAAATGATGGGTACAGAGGTCCCTCTTTCCCAGTAGTGCATGCTGCTGAGAGATCCGTAAAGTTGGCCCGTACCTTCTCCCAGTTGGAGTATCCTATGTGGTGCATGTTGGACTGCCCAAAGAAGATGGGCATGGGACCCAGTGGCCACTCGTTCTTCCGCCCCATGCTCCAATAGGCCTCAATCTGCTCACGTGAGCCGTGCTTGTTGATGCCGCGCCGAATGTCCTTGGCCAAAAGTCCCAGAGACTGATCAACCTCCTTCTTGGTTTTCAACACACTCGTGTAACTGAGGCAGTTTGAAACATATGGCCTGCCTGCGGGCAAGAGATCCTTTTCGAGAGCGCGCCGTATGGACATTGCTTGCATGATGGTGCAGGGCTTGGACGAAGGAAGGTGCGAGAATGCAAGACGCGAGAACCAGGCTGTAATGAGGTCGTTGTCGGTAACAAATGTATCTGTTTCGCCCGCTTTCCTCAAGTCCTCGAGTGCTGTCTCTCGAAGTTTTTTCAAGAAAGACCCTGGAATGCACACTGTGCGCGTTTCTTTCGCTCCAATAGCAATGTTATAACCATTCCGGAGCGCGTACGACGCTGTACCCCATTTGGAGAGCTCGGAGCCTTCGAGGTCGAACTTTTCTTTGGGGTGAAGCCCCAGCTCGCGGAGCGGGTCCTCTTCGAAGCCATGGAGCAAAGGTACCTCTGCTTCGCGGCCCTGAAGACAAAGTTGCCAATTGTCGAGAATGGCCTTGAGAGCCATGCCATCGGCGGCAGCATGAAGCCAGTGGAGATTGACAATAGTGGCATCCTTCAGTGATACCACGCGGAGACCAGTCAAGGGTCGATCTGAGCCCACGTAGTCTGAAATAGTTTTTGGTGCATCAGCGCCGCAGCACAGTTCGGTCCAGTCCTCAGGATTTCCCATTAGCGCCGGACGGTCTTTGGGTGCCGAGCTAGAGCTGGGAATGCGGGACGCCGCAGGGTGGTCTGCCTTTGCCATATCGAGAGAAACATGTTTGTACTGAACTGATTAGAACCTGTATCATCAACTACGTCAAAAAGAACATACCGCGATAGCTGGACGCGCTGAGGTGAATGTTCGCGGAACGTGTAGCTCGTATCCCTTGCTCTGTCATGTGTCAGCATTTTGCTCGTAGGCTGGTAGCCTGACTTGTGATGTGTTTGTCCCGAGATCACGATCTGATGATGCACAACACAATACGGAAGAAGAGATGGCTGAAAAAAATTCCTGGTGAACTCACTCCCTTCTTCACTCTAGCGCCCAGCTTTTGCCATGTTTCATGGCCAACCAGCTGGGAAAGACTGGAGCGAAGCTTCTCGGGATCCAGCACTTGGTCATAGACAAAGATGGCATGCATGGTGATGCTCGTGAACATGGTGTTGTTATCATAATAATGCAGTGGAATGACCAGATCCGGCGCGGCGGCCGCGGTCGACTCTTGTGGCGCCATGATGGGTTGTCCTGTGTGTGTGTATGTGTGTGTATAGAGAAGTGAGAAACTCGGAAATGTTCAACTGACGCCAGACAGGCAAGCAAACAAACAAAGAAGAAGTGTAGAGGAGGAGATAGTCGATAGCTACCAGTCGCGGTTAGTCCATTAGTCAGGCGACCCGCTAGCTAGCGTCAACTGCTATCAGCGAGTCCGGATTGTTTCGCACCCGTGGATAGGCCAGCAATGGTTGGTCGAGTGAGTATCAGACTACGGCGCGGGAAAACCTGAGGCGCCTCGGGGAACTGGAAGAGGGCTAGGCTGGCTATCATTAGGGCCTGGTTGTGTTGGACCATTGCTAAATGGAGCATCACGACGATTGCGGGCTAGCAGTGGGCAGTCTGATGGTGAGAAATTAGGATATGCGCAGTTGTCGCAGGGGCCAGACGGGACGGCGTAGTGCCCAATCATGAAAGTGCGTCAGACGTCTCTGATGGGTGGCGCCGTAGCGCCGCCGTTGGTGTTTTCATCGCTCCATCGTCCTCGCCCCCGTATTAGGCCTGTATAACTTCATCCTGGACCCCACCCCTGTCAGAACCCTGTCTCCCCTGTCTCCCCTGTCTTCCCTGTCTTCCCTGTCCTCGACCTTGCTCCAACACATGATTTCCCGGCTTGGCAACTCTTAGCTCTCAATGGCCCACTGCTCATGCTACCCCCGAGAGATCAAGTCCGCAGAAGCGACTCTATTTCTTACCACTATATGCTCTGTTAGAAGACACAACCCCAGATTCCCGATCCTTCTCTGCAGCATCCCGCATTCAAAGAGCCTCCCATCCCTCGCAACGTTCCTTTTCCGATCCTTCTATTCATCCTATGCACGACATCTAAACCACCATTATCATCATGGGCGACCAACAAACATCAGCACGCATGGGTGTGATGCCAGTCCCGCCCAACGAAATCCAAAACTTTGATGAACCTTACACTTCAGTGCAAATGGCACTGATCGTGGGTAACATCACAACATACGCCGTCGCGACCGTCTTTTTGTTCCTACGCATTTATACCTCAGCCTTCATCAACAGGAGAACAGATCTCGGCGACTGTGAGATAACCCTTCTACGTCTTATTCACGTACTCTGCTGACACTGTACATCAGTCTTTCTATTCGCATCGTGGGGCGTGGGAGCCGCCTCCATTGCCTGCACATTTATAGCAATCAAATATGGCTTTGGAAGACACTTGTGGAATGTCGAGGTTACAGAGATTTCGGGATATTTCCAAGTACGCGCCTCTTCTCACTTGTACGCCACTTCACCACTAACACAACAATAGCAACTCGTTGCCATGTCTGTGACATACTTCTGGACACCAACCCTTACCAAATTGTCGGTTTTGACTCTCATCTACCAAGTCTACCAAGCCAAGTGGGGCAAGATGTGTGCTTTGGCTGTCGGTTCCTGTATCGTTATATACACCGTCATCCTCACAGTACTCGTAGCCGCGCCTTGCCATCCGATCAATGGTAGTGTTGTGTGTCTCACCCGTGCTGGCACGGCGCACGCAGCTTTGAACATCTTGTCAGATGTCATTGTCATTGGTCTTCCCATTCCTCTGGTCCACCAACTTCAGTTGCCCATGCGTCAGAAGGCCTCCGTTGGAATCCTCATGACCCTAGGTTCTTTCTGTGTCGTCGCTTCTATCGGTAGAACCGTAGCTGTGGCCGATATCCAGAACAACCCAGACATTACCTGGGTTCAAGCCAAGGTCGGAGTTTGGTCTGCCATCGAATTGAATGTTGGGATTCTGGGTGCTAGCTGTAAGTCGTCCCCCCACAATCTACAGTAGATTTCTCCCTCAAGATAAATAACTAACAAGGCATATAGTGGCTCGCCTCAAACCCTTTGTACAGAAATACTTCCCTGCGTTATCCAGAACTATCGTCTCGACCGGGCAGCACAAATATGCTGGAGGCAGTGGATACGATGACAAGAAGCCCCGACCCGATCGCGACACATACCTTCTACACAGCGTCCAAAGGAGTGATGACCCGTCTTCTTTTGATGGACCTAGCGAACATGGGGGAATCAGTGTAAAATCTGATATCTATGTTTCTCAGTCCAAGGATTTCAAGAAAGACTCTGGGCCACGACAAAATTGGGCTTGATTGCGCAAAAAGTCGCATGCCGATTCTCTTTTGGAAGTAGTCGTTCCTCATGTTGCGACGATCCAGCGGTTTCCGTGGCAGTTTGACGCACACGATTGTCAAAACGTGGAGTTCCCACTGCCGAATACCTGCTGTTGTACGATTTTTCTCTTGTATCTTTGACTTTATCTATACCATCACTTCGTTATACCACCATATCTTTCACATATCTGTTCAGAGCCAGTTTCCGCTCAAAAAATATTCACGGTCAAGGAAAAAAAAGAAGTATTAATTGGCTGTAAGCTATGTAAAAACACCAATAAAACAAATATAAACATTCACTCAAAACCACTGAAAAAGGTTGTTCGTCGTATCGCTATGACTTTGTCGTCTTATAGCAGGACGCTTAGAAAAAAGCCTGGTGGCCTAAAGCGTTGTCTACAGAAACTCTGCGGACGGGAAATATTGACTCGTCGCGATCCCCATCACTCACTTTAGTGTGATCGACAGCGGCCACCGACTCGCACTGCCGTCGCTACACCGTTGAAGCGATTTGTATAGTGTGTCGAGTCATGAGCCGCCACTTGCCACGTCCTATACCCGAAACGACGGGCGGATATAGCGAGAAAAAAAAATCAGGAGATCGACTCACCTGGAAGCAGCGCTAATCTCTATCTTGTGTACAATGTCGATGGGGGGGAAGGTTGCCGTATGCTTTCCTCTTGGACAAGGAAATTCGCTCATCCTTGGACTACCCCTTTCAAACCTCACCATGCTCATCATTGCTGTTCTTGGCGTTTTCGGCCCCCAGTGTATCGAGAACCCCTCTCCCTAGCCAGGGTCCCGCGGCAGATGGTTTGGCAAGCCGTGTTGATTTGGAATGAGAGTTGTCCCTAGGCTTATGGACATATGCATGTGTACGGTTCAAAAAAGTTTGGCTTCTGCACATCATATACATAAGTCATTAGGTTATAGCACTATAGCTGCAGTAAGATGTTGTTGGGCAAAATTGAATTGGGCAAAATACGCAGAATTTATTGCGTCTAGGGTGGACATGACATGTATGCTTTCAACATCCGCGTTGTGGCATCTGAGTGAATTAGGGAATGAACGAAGGGCCAACGAATGGATAACCGTAGGAGTACTTCCCGGTTCTCCATAATAATTACGCATTAGATTCATGTAGATCTCATCAATGCAGGATGCCGTTGGCATCATCAGTCGCCGACGCTGACGCTCGCTCATAGGCTCACTAATCTGATGCTAGCAGGAGATATGGCTGAGGCGTCAACCGTGCTCATCGATCTGCTGAACAAGTGAGCGGGATACGATCATCAATGTCAATAAATAACGCAATCACACAAAACGCAATGAGAGTATCAACTTCGATAAAAACATTGCTGCACAGAATGCTATGGTGGAGGAGGGGAGAAAGGGTGGCTGCACCCGTGAAAGCTGAAAGAGGGAAGATTGGTCAACATTTGCCCTGAAAAAGCTCAAGGTGATTGACCAAACTAATATTGTCGTCTGACTAATGTAAGCACAGCTCAAACTTCAACACGAATGGGTGGTGAAAAGGTGAAGATGAAACGCTAGGGTAGCGGTGAAGAAGCTGAGGTGCAATGGAAGAAAGAAGCTGAACCTGCAATCCAAGATGAGGGTTCTTGACGCCCCGGGCTGAAAGATCGGTGCAGAGATCGATAGTCGCAACTGTCAAGCCACTTGTAGATGCAGAATGCCAGTCATCGTTGTAGCATTCGATGAGACTCAGCCCGCAAAACCCCATCTGAGTGAGTCTTGTGGGGGCCTACGGGTCGCATGGTCGGTACATATTTTGAACTAGCGTTGTGGATACATACATTGCACCTTCACAATATTGCAGCTTGGTCCACATGTACACTTGCGGACGGGCCAGCAAAAACTTGACCTGGGCAGCGACAACTTGTGCAACAAACTCCGTTGTACGCTACCCCAAGAATTCCTCAATGGCCCGGGCCACTCCATCTGTATCTTCAAAGACATGCCAGTGACCAACACCTTCCAATGTTACCAAACGCACTTCATTCACTCTTCCCAATGCCCGAACGTGTTGGTCAGCCATCTGTGGGGAAAACACCTGATCCTTGTCCCCCACAATAATCAATGTTTTGGCTCTGATGTCCGCAATTTCAAGGCCTTCGTACATTGTTTCAACGAGTGCACCGCAGGCTTTAGCAAAGCCCTCGGGATGTAAGCTACATAACATCATGCGCAGCGCAGCGGCGGCGAGTGGAGCCATTGTATGACCTTCCGATCCCGGAGAAGCAGAGGACACAATCCCGTCAGCCACAGCAGGCATACCCCGAGTACGGGCCGTGGTAGCCTGAATGTGCCAATCCTGACCTACTTGCATCGGGAGCGGAGAGGATGGCGGACTGAGGAGGATCCTAGAATCGCGGGCACGAAGCTAGTCAGTGGCTGTCTCAATTCTGTGTTGTATCCGTTGTTATTTACATACAGTTTCGAGACTCGTTCTGGATAGCGGAGAGCAAAGAACAGTGCTATCACACATCCAATTGAGTGCGCTACAATGGTAGCGCTATTGTCGATATTTCCAAGCTGGAATATACCAAACAGATCATCTGTACAAGTAGCAATATTGATTCTACTCAGTGGGTGGGTAGGCGAGAGCCCTTGTCCTTCGAGATCCCAGAGATGGCATGTGTGTGAGGAATCTAGCCTCATGGCATGAATCAGAGGCGCATAATACTCATTGGTTGCGCCTAGTCCGTGTATGAAAACAATATGGGAAGATGCCGCTGTCTCGTCTTGTTTCGGGAGGCATTTGCAGTAGAGCGGTTTTTTGTTAATGATTGGCAAGAGAGACAATCCAGGAAGTCTTTCGTTATTGGTCAGCTGTATGCTTGAAGTCTCCTTCACTTTTTGAGGTGTGGGATTAGGGGCATCGTGACCAGCAACACGGTTCGTGAGTGTTCCAAGCCCTGAGATGGATATAGAAACAGTGTCGCCCGGTTTCAGATAGACGGGGGGACTGCGACCAATACCCACACCTGCAGGCTTGTACGTGTCAGTCTTCGATCGTATGTGCAAACGGAAGAGAACATACAGTTCCTGTAGCAAGAACATCGCCTGGCGCCAATGTCTGCCCTTCAGACATGACTTTGATGAGATATGGTATTGAGAAAATTAGGTCATTCGTCGTGGCATCCTGTCGAATTTCGCCGTTGACGTGGGTCTGGACTCGCAAAACCTTTTCCAGTTTACTGGCTGGGACAGCTATAGGGCCCTTCCTTGAAGTTTAGTCCAGTCCTTTCAAGTGAGTAAGAGGTAGCATACATACCATGGGACAGAACGTATCCGCACTCTTACCGATATAGAATTGCTCTAGCATCTGTCAGAGCACGAATATTCTCTGGATTACAAACACTTACTATGATCTCTCTGCCTCTCTCGCGCTGTCACATCATTGATAATCGTATAGCCCCAGACATGTTCCATCGCATCCCTCTCCTCGATTCGAAACCCGGCTTTGCCAATGATGACTCCGAGTTCCCCTTCATAATCCAGTGTACTCGTGAACTCTGGTTGCGGTGAAATTTCCTCTCCATCAGCAATAATGGATGTGAGACGTTTAGTAAAGATGACGGGGTGCGAAGGTTGATCCATATTCTAAGATGAAAAAAAAAACTGTGTCAGTAAACTTCTCGTACACATCTTTCAAGACTACAGCCGGGCAATGTCAAATTGACTCGTACAGCGCGTCTCGACGCCCGTCTGTACCGGGAATATGCTCACATCACTCTTATCGAATCCGGAACGATTGAACTCCTTTGCGTGTTCTGCATAGTTTTTGCCAACGCACAAAACATCTCTCTTTGGAAAAGGTGGCAGAATGCGAACGTTTTTGGCTAGTAACGAACTGCTAGAAGAAGAAGCGATGTTTGAGGCGCCCGCTTCAATCACCTGGTACAAATCCGAGATGGGTGTTCCCGAGATGAACGAAAGCGGTTGGATGGTTTGATCCTCAAGGTTATAATGACCGACACGAGGCAGTTGCGTTTGAACGTCTAGGTAAGATACGTAATTTGTGAGCGAGGTGATTGAGGGTCGCGAGAATGGTGGTCTGTCGAGGATTAACGAATCCCGTGGCAGTGGGCTAGTGGTCGACAACATCTCGAGATAGGCTCATACAATAGCACCAGAATCTCACGTTCAATGTTCAGTGCCACGAACATGTCATCTACCTGTGCGTCGAGTGGGGCTCGAATGTTGTCAAGTTCCGCTTGGTGGGGGAGTCGGGGATTCCGCGGACCAACCTCGCACTTCAGACGTCAACCAACAAACGGTTTGCAACTGTTCCAAGGTTTGGGCAGGCAGTGTGGGATTGTTTGATGAGAAATCAGGATTGTGCGTCCAATCATAACCGTAGGTTCCCATACTTTTGGGATTGGACTTATCGTGATCAATGGTATTCGGCACAATATAGGTACAACAACATAGCGATTTGCCCAAGGGCTCGAGGACTTCTACTCTTTTAGCATATCCACCAGAGGTCATTAACCAGGTCTACAGTGACGCGATGCCTGGATGTACAAACTTTGAAGTATAAACACATGCACATGTAAGTATGTGGAGAGGCGTATCTATATATAGTAGTAATCACGACCCCCCGAAAATGTACACATCCGCATGATATCGACATTTCAACCAGATTATACCACATATCTCATGAACAACCTTTTGACAAATCCAAGCTCCAACACACCTGTCATATGATCCGCATCTCCCGAATTACTGCGTGCTTTGGCGATCTTCTCCTTCTCCAACTCACCAATTTTCCACGCACGAACGAGCCACAGCACAGCAGCAGCCCCAAGGTACATGAAACCAGTGAAGAGAATGGCTCCGGTATAAGTCCCCCCATTCGAAATGACAATCTCAAGTCCCATAGCTTCGGAGACTACAAGGAGTTCATGGCACGTCAGTGTGATAAACTTCGACATACTGCTGACAAGAGAACGGAAAGACAGAAGGGGCAGTGGAGACGGGACTCACAAGTTGTAGGTAGGGCAAGGACAAGCCACGTGATGCTTAACGCAGCTGGTAAATCTACTATACCCATAATTTCTGTCGTTACTGGACCTGCAACGGCCCAAAACGTGCCCGCAACGCAACCGCCAACGATAGCGAAGAAAATGAGCACCCCGAAACTTTTCGCAAAAATCCATATCAGTAGCACGAACACACCACAGAGCCCCGTCATCGACGCCGCCATGTTTAGCCGGCCAAACGTGTCGCTCCAATAACCAATTGGCGGCCTCCCTAGTGCTTGACCGAGATTGAAGACGGCGCCGATGATAGAGCCCTGAGAAGCGGTCATACCGACAGTGCGAGCATAATTTGGCAGTGAGAAAAGGAGGACCACATAGCCCAGCATAGAGAGAAAACCAAAAAGCAAGAGGCCAAGGAAAGGAAGTTTCCGGAAGAGATTATAATCGAAGGAAAGCTGAGAGCTACCGATCTGCTTATTTCGGTCTTTGACGAGGAGAGCACAGCTGGTGTTGACGACGCACGCCACGATTCCCAAGATGCGAAATGCCCAGGGAAGGCTCATGTTGCGGATCATGGCCTGCGCAGCCAGTGAGTAAACCAAACCCCCTGCACCGGATCCCGCTGCCGCGAATCCGTTGGCTAGACTTCGCCGGGTCGTGAACCATTGGGGTGTAATAACAACACTTCCGATGAAGAGAAATCCCATACCCCAACCGAAACATACACCTTGCGTAAGGAACAGATGCCAGATCTCTGTGGCGAAGGACGCGGCGATGAAGGAGAGTGTTTCGAAGAAGACGCCGATCAAGAGTGTGACGCGGGTTCCAAAAAGACGCGTTGTCAGTGTGGCGACCGGTGAGACAATTAAAGCCTGCGAGATAGAGAGCCCACCGATGAAGGCATATTGCAAAGGAGTTGCCCCAGGAAAGTGGTTGTTGGCGAGATAATAGGCCAAGAAGACAGCGTAGGATGAATTTAAACCCCAAGTATGGCTGCGAGTAAGTTTAGCTACTGTAACACCAGTCTTCTGTGCTCTCGAGAGAATAGCAAGTACTTACGCGTTTATGGTAGCGACACATGCAACGCAGACCCAGCCATAGCCACCGTTCGGCGGGACGTCTTCAACTTTTTCGCGGGTCTCTTGTTCTTGTCGTCCGAACACGGAGTCATCGCTCTTTTCATTCTCCACGCCATCATTGTTACTGGCACCTAATTCAGCCTTACCTTGTGAATTGGCGTGGCCTATCGAGCTCTTATGATCATTCTGGTTGCTAAAGATCTCTTGCTGTGCTCCAACGAAGTCCCCTGGACGGACGTCTGTCATAGCGGGAATAAGCCTGGAGGCGAGTCTCCGATCTAGGCGACACTCTCTGCAGAGCGGAAAGAAAACAGCAGACGAGGGAAATAGTTGAGAAATGCCACTCTTTCACTAACGACACGCTGCAGAATCAGGAGAGGAAGATCGAGTAAGGGATACGTAGCGGTTTGCTACGGATCTGTACGAACGAAGGCCATGACAAGACACATTTTCGCGGTTGCGAGGAAAGCACCAAGAGTCATGGCGGCGACTCTTTTCTCCCAACTCCACACTTCGGGAATAATCGCTAGTCAACTTAGCGAACAGCAAACGCTAGAAACGCCATCCGTGTTCTTTGTGATTGGCCAATCCGGATGTTTTTCCGCAGAAAAATCCTCCCTAAGTGCGCGCATTTCCGTCACTGGCCGCCTCTCCATCTGTAAATTTGACGAGATAGTTTGGAGAGTCATGTGATTGAATTTATTGTACATAAGAAATACTGAATGAAAGACTGTCCATCGTTGCTCGAATGAACGAATCCCAACGCCGTCCATCCTGAATCAATTTAAAGCCAAATGGTATCGTATTGTTGCACGTAATCTTCGTTACGCCAAAGCCATGGTCGTGTGGCTCTATCACGACTCGCAGTGTTCCATGAACCGATATATCCCTTCGATGCCCTGGTATTCCAAGGGTGAGTGGTGATCCATCTCATCGGCCTCACTAACATGGAGACTCTCGTATCCTGATGGAGATGACAGTGTGGCCCAAGGGTTTTCTTGTCCTATATCCTCAAAGTCCATACCGTCTTCCGAAATGGTAGAGTATGCATCAGATACCGAACTTACGACAGACGGCGTCATCATGTGCTGCCATTCAATAGGGTACTGACGTTCTTGAACGGGTTTCTCGTAGAAAGAGCACTCGGATGGCGTGCGCGAGGATGCGAAGGGGAAAAGCAGCGCGATTTCGGTACCAACGAAGGCATCGAAATCTTCATCCTGATGGATCACACCCCGCTGAACGTTTAGCTCATCGCATATCCTCTCGACAGATTCCGCGTCACACCCAGGAAAGTGTATCTTGAGAGTTGATGCTTCGTATGTAATTGGTAGATCACCGAGCGCAGATAGTCGCTGAAGGTCATTCAACACAACAGCGAGCTCCTTTACAGCACGGGAAAAGTCAATAGAGAGAACGTCAAGAAGACCATCATTGTTGAGCGACTCTTTCTCCTCAGCGAACGAGGCGAACCCTTTGACCGCGGTCAAAGGGGTGAGAGCAGTAACAGTAGGGTTGATGTTGAAGCTGATGAACGATCCAGGAGTGACTTTTGGCACTGAGGCGAGAGTGCGATGGACCTGGTCTTGTAGCGTGGATACGGACTTGAAGCGCTTCTCGCCAGTACGTGGGTCAACACCATTGAAGTGTGCTTTCTGTCCAGACACTACAAATGCGCGGACAGCTTGAGACACATTGTTAATGACTTGTGCTGGGGCGGCAGGGCCATGGGAGAAATATCTGGCGCCACCGGCTCGTCCAGAACCCCAAGCGTAGCCCCCAGAAGTCCTTCCGAGGGTTCCACCGGTAAGATTCGGGCGCAGTGTGGAAGCAAACGGAGCTCGACCAGAGTGTCTGAGCACAGCATCGGCAGTCCGCGATTTGGGGAACGATGCACGATCGAACTTTACGCCGCCGTGTTGAGCCGATGATGAAGTGAAGCGTCGGACGGCTGCGGTGATGGTGCTATGCGTTGTATACCAGCGCCCTTTGGCTTGCTTTAGTTGAGCAAGGCGATGGATAGGATGCTTTGGAGCATTTCGAGCGAGAATGGGCTGGAGTTCGGCTTGTGTTGGTCGTACAGCAGCTGGGAGTTGGTTCTGTATCTGTTTCGCAGCGTGGCGCCAGGTAGCCCTAATGTGAAGTCAATACCTAGCTAATATTGAACAGTTTCCTGGACGTACAAGAAGAATTTGGCATTCCTGACTACCAGCTTAGGTAGTTGGGCAACTGCCGGGCCCATTTTGTTGTTCTGCAACCAGAGGAAGAGGGTTGAGGAGTGCAGGAGAGCCCGACATGTGCTGAGCACAGATGTACCACGTCAAGTTCGTCGCCACCCGGAACCAGCCGATTGCTGCGGCGTTTGCGGGGGTTGCCTATTGCCGATCGTCATGCACCAATCAATAGCAGCTACTCGATTACACCATCAGTGACTTCGACGCATCATCATCTGGGGTATTTGCGGCCACAATAATGTACCATGCGTGTTTTTTTTTTTGCTTTTTCGTAATTTACAAGCCACATCGAAAATGCCTTTTGTATCTACCAGGCTGCTACCCACCCCATTCCATTCCCCGAGCCAACAAACCAGACAGTTGAACAAACAGGACCGCTATGCTGGGTCGATGAAAAGTGGAGATGAGCCATGTACAGATGAGAAGTTGACGCCTGCCACAATACCACTCTCCTGCTCGAGCTGAAACCCAGTAGTTAAAAAGAAGAGAAAATTTTCAAAAGGTCAGGTATCTCGTGAACACAAGGAAAATCCCGGTACCCTCCGTTTGCTAGTAGTTCTATTGAGTGATGAACAAGAAAATGCAAGCCCTCAATGCCAGTGTGCCAACGCCCGATAACTTTTTTTTTCATGGAAGAAACCGCAAAACAAGTGTGAGGTTGCCGATTGATTGGGAGAATTAAGGGCAACGAAAAGAGAGAAAAAAAAGATGGGGGTTAAAGAGTCCGGTGAAGTTAGAAACAGAACCGCTGAATCGTATATCATTCTAAGGGAGCCAGAAGTCGGGGGAAAGATCAAGGGTTCGTTGCCGATTGTGCTGTTCCACACAACCGTTATGTATCAATCAGCGCAGTTGTTGGAAAGCCTCATCTTGGAGCCTGCCTTCCGGTAGCACAAGCCCAATATAGTCGCAGATGATGTGCTGTGGAACAACGCTATGAGGGGATAACAACGACTCCCTGTAGAATTGAAGCAGATTTCTCAGACCGATTTCCGAATAGTTATTGGCAGCATCTTCGAAAGCAAAATGTCGGAATTCGTCGTACATTCTGGTATTGAAATTGCGGACAAGAAAATGACTCCAGAATTGGTAAAGAACGTCCATGTCATATGGAAAGGAACTCGAGACCATTTTCTGACGTTGCTGGAGTGCTTTTGAACGAAGAAACATATATGATTCATGCGTAGAATCCGGGGGCAAGGTGTGTACGGGCATATCGTTGTTTTTGACCCAATATAGAGGAAGAGGAATTGGTGTTGTTGATGGCGTTGGCAAGGGGGTTATGTTCTTTGTCGTCCAGGCTTCACCTCGTAATGTTTGCTCAACCCTGCCGAGGACATCAGCGTTGTCCTCCAGAAACACAACCAGCTGGCTTACCCCGAGGATGGACCAGCGCCATTCAGGGTCACATTATCAAACTCGCCCGTTATGCCGCTCCTACTGTCAACAGACCAGTTAGAAAAAGTTCGATCAGTAGAAGGAGGCAAGGCAGATAGCGCAGACTGATCATTTTTTCGGACAATGACAGTCAAGCTCTCGACTTGCTCGTCGGAAAAAGAATCGGGTTCGAAACTCACAGCCTTCGTCGCAGGGTCGACATTCGGAACGGCATCGCCGTTGACACCTTCAGCAGGTATACCATTGGACAAGTTCTTGCTGAACTGCCCAGTCACGTGATGGGTTGCACCAGGCTGGAAGCCGCTCGTGGACGCATACATGTTTTCGTTAACGGCTGTGTCCGGATATCGGGGAGCGGCGTTAGGGTCGAGCTCTTGTGGATGCGGCAGAGGGGGGTTGTAGGTCTCTTCGGGCCCGTCATTCCGCACAGAAGGATCACGCTCGTGGGCCGGCAACACCCATTTAACCCAATTTTCTCGAACTCTCAGCCTGTCCTTGCCGTCTTGACCAATGAGGAATTCGATGGTCCTCGACTGGTAGCAGACCGCCTTGATGAGCTCCACATCAGTTGTGAGCTGCTTGATTCGATTGAACTCAGCAATGATGTTGAGAAAGATGAACCCTTGGCCATCCATGTGTCTACGAAGGTACATGTCCTTCAGTAGATTCTCCAAAGAAAAGTAGTACTCCCTAGGGCAAGTTAGCTGAGATACTACGTCTGGTCGGAATAGATAACCTACAACTGCATAGCGACCATGGGAAACAACGACATTGGATCCATCGCGTACTGACCAAATGGTACAGCGCTTAGAGGAGGTGCCACAGGATACTCGTACGCCATGTTGAACGTTTGGATTGGAGGAGGGCCCGCATATGGAGCAGACATACGGTGAAACATATTGTCACTTGAGTTCGATACTGATTGCGAGCGAGGTCCGTTTCGAAACCTCCCTTGGGACGGAGTAAAGTAAGCGTTCGGGTCAGGGTGGAACGTAGGAGACATTGGGCCGGAAAACCCGGAGCCCTTTGCAGAGGCACTGTGACCATTGGCGTACTGGTGGCCGTTTTGGAAATTTCCTCGTCCACCTCGACCGCCACCCCGTGTGCGCTCACGACCAGAGAAGCCTCCGAATTGACGGTCGTTGCCCCGTTTTGATGGGTGTGGCGCATGACCCTCACCGAACGCAGAGGACCGTCGGTCGCCGTCATGTTGAGCTGAGAGACGTGAGCGATGTGGAAGGGAACCACCCGGTGCCTGCTTACCTTCTGCTTGGGTGACGGCGTTTCCGCGACCATTGAAGGTGCCGTTTTCTTTCACAGGTGATGATGAATCACCGTCTCTTCGTCGCTCTTGACCAGAGAAGTCACCTCTCCTACCCTTTCCGGAACGGTTTGCTGGAAACTGGCGAGGGTAGGTGTTGTTCTGACCAGAAGGCTGAGAATTGGGCACAGAGTCGCCGGATCGTTTAGACGAGGTTTCTCCATCAAGTCCCGGCGCCTTTGAAGCATGCTCGTTGCTGGACGCGGGCGCTTTCTCCTTGGAATTGGATCCAACACTAACTGTTCGTTTCTCTTGTGAAGCGTCACGAGGAAGTCCATCAGTCCGGCCACGCTTCGACTGCTCGCCATTTGCCACAGGTGTTGCTGCCCCGGGCCCGTTCCTCTCAGTGTGGGAAGCATTGCTTGCATCGAAGCCTCGTCCACCAGCCTGAGCTCCTCCGCGACCAGGCCCACGCCCACCTCTACGTGAAGAGGTACCATTGGGCATAGGAGTATTGAATACAACCGTCGGGTTGATGGGAAGCTTGCTCCACTTGGTCTTTGCCGTGGCATTGTCTTTCGACTCTTGCTCTGTCTTCTCGGTAACTTTTTCAGCCTTTTCGCTGGCCTTTTTGCGCTCCTCGTCAACGGCAGTATCTGGAGTCGGCCAGGCTTCCTGGTCACGGACCGGCGGTAGAGGTAGAGCTGTCGATATGGGTCTCGAATCTTTCTCTTGAGGCCGGCCTTTGGCGCTCTTCTTCGTCTTATCATTGTCGCCTTCTAATCTGATATCTTTGCGATTTTGATTCGCTTTCTCATCTTCCTTGCCTTTGCCATCGGTACCCTTTTCCGTAGGGTGTACAGCATCCAAGGAGGCAACAGTCTTTGTCTGCTTTGCAGAAGAAACAGAGGCTTGAGGCGTGCCATTGGCTCCGGGAGTAGGCTTGGCTGCGGCTGGCCGTTGGACAACTTTGGCCTTGGCTTCCTCGGCACGCTGTTTCCAGATGTTCACCATAGGAACAGGCGCTTCTTGTAAAGGCTTCGCAGGAACCCGTTCAGCAGCACCCTTACCTTTGCCCTTTTTACCTTCACCCTTTCCTGAAGGTTTCTCTACAGTATCGGCCGATTTCTCGATCGAGGTAGAGGCCTGGGATTTGTTCTCCCACGTAGAATCCGAAGACGTGTTGGGTATCGAGGAGACATCGTCGTCCTTAGTAACTGTAGAAGCACTAGAAGCACTAAGATTCGGAGACGACAACAAGGTCTCAGTCGGTGCCTGGGGCGTGGTCGCTGGCTCCTTCGGAGGAGCGACCGGTTGCTCTGTGCGGGTTTCACGCGAGCTGGAGGCAGTTTCGGACGGGGTGTCGTTTGCTTCGGCATCGTCTGCCCAGCTCATGGCACCTGCGGCGGAAGGAGACATGGTGATTTGCGAATCCTTGGCTGGCGTCGCGGAACCTGACGTTGGTTTGCTGGCGGCGGCGGATGGGGGCGCCGAAAGACCTTTCGCAGCCTGAGCGTACGAGAATGTTGCGGGTACGGCGGCGTCAGATCCGCTACGCTGAGATTGTGTCGTTGCCATAATGGTTGAATATACTGCGTTTCAGCAGAAAGTGGGTAGGTTTGCAGAGAAAAGATGCAAGTCTCGAGCGCTGGTAGTCCCCGTCGGGAGCCTGCTACGGGCTGGCCAATATAAATGCAGGCGCAGCGGTGTCCGGAGAGGTTCAATGCTTAACCTCTCCGCACGTTATAACCTAACGTTCTAGCAGATGTTGTGAAGCTACGAGTGGGGGGCCTGTTGCTTTCGAACGTGAGCGTCGTTTGGACGGTGGTGGGCGTGGAAAGATGAACCGGCGGAGGATGCAGACACACGAGCCTGGTGGGTAAGATTAGCAGGCGGATCGATAGATGAAGCGGAATAGTGGTGGGAGGACAAGTGCAGATGGCCGCAGATGCTGGTGAGAACCAGGTAGCTGGCGGTTGAAAGTAGGCAGCAGAGGCGGCAGAGCAGAGAAGGATGGCGAGTGACGGACAAGGCAATCAGACACGATCCCAGCTGGCGCAGCAGAACAAATATGGTATGTGCTGGAGGGGAAAAAATAACGCAGAGGGGGGGCTGATGGTGCTGATGAATGGCCACCAGGCGCGCAAAGCAAGCCGCTCGTCGGGGTGATTGCGGAACCGACGTGGACGAGAGGAAATGACTAACCTGCAGATGATGGTTGCTGGGCTGGTTTGGACAATAAGAGTGCCCTGGCGAGAGGCGACGACAGAGGCGAGAGGAGGGCGGGGGGAAGGGAGGAGAAGAGGCGGGAGGAAGATGGGAGGAGAGGGTGCAAGGCAAGAGGGTGGGTGGTGACTCGGGCGTGGGTGGGTGTGCGTGGAAGAAAAAGAAGTGGTGGTGGTGGTGGTGATGGTGGGAGAGTGCGGCAAGCGTGCAGGCGAAGAGCTCTCTCTCTAGGCACGGCCAGTTGACAAAGTCAGGACTGTGACAAGGACGCAACTGCAGAGAGAGGGTGTCGACAGCGGGCAGAGGACAGCGACGAGGTCGAAGGTTCACCGAGCTGGCGGGTGAATTTTCGAGGTCGTGTGTGTGGGCACGCCGGGAGTGGATTGGGAGCGGAGTGGGTAGTAGCAGCAAGAGAGGGGAGAAGCAATCATGTATGCAAAGAAAATTTAAGACTCTAACATGACCCGCCCGCTTGTCGGCCGCCTGCTAAGGACTACTGCCTTGCTCTGCCCTACCCTACCCTACCCTAACGTAACCCCCCCTACGCGCGAACCGCCGCACAATGAAAATTGCCTGCCTGGAGCATCACTACATACTGCCTGTCTGCCTGGCACCTCGTCGGCCATGATCCAAAACGGCAGTTGGCTAACAATTGCCTATCCCCCCCCCGTCGCCCTCGGCCATGACCTTTCATTTCCCACCCAGCCGAGTATAAGTACTTTTTTGTGACCATATCTACTTGAGTTTCACTGGGGAGGAGAGGAGGGGGGAGCTGAACCATCGATATATGCTTTCCATTCTACACACACCAAAAAAAAATGAAGAGTCCGCAGCCATAAACCCAGCAGTGGCCGACTGTCATCATATCATCTGAGACGCGCCCATCCTACCTGTCCATGTACCGTGGACTGCTTCCAGCACGGTTCGCCCGTCGATATTGTCCCTCGTCTCCAAGGCGGGCCATTGAGACTTAATCAGTTATTCTTCCTTCGCTACGCATGCTATTCGACTTGCATTCCCACCCCTGCGCTCGGAAGAGACGGACTGCAGTCCATCACCATCCCGGTCCCTGCCGAGCATGTGCAAATGATCAACAGATGATGCCACTGTGCTGCCCATTTATTCGATATTTGTTGTTCTTGCTCGGGATGCCGGAGCACCAGAGGCGACTTTGTGTACTGCGGCCTTCCCCACTAACCACTTCAAGTAGCATCGCTATGGCTGTCTGAGTACATTCAAATGTTTGAACAGAGAAACAAGACGCACGCGCTGCTCCAACCATTCGAGGACACGATGCAGCAAAGTCTGTTTACATTTGCGCGTTTCAAGGTCAGGGTAAATGGCCTTCGAGAGTTTATTTATGCAGCAATAAAGGGCAGATACGGGGTGACGGTTGAAATAGAAGACGATGAGTTATTTTTGGTCGGGAGCGAAATGGCGAGCATGTCATGCCATGGAAGCGGCCCGCAGCGCTGCAGCCTGTCAACGTGGGCTTTGGATATTACTGGGCCGGTTCCATCTCACCATTCATACAACCAGAGGAGACGTTCTGGCTTGCTTCATCAATCGAAACATTTGAATTGTTCCAGGGCGGTTCGTGATGTACATGATTCATGATGAGTGATGCAATCGTACCCATTCCGACAATGTCCCTGTCATCATCTGCACCCATCACAATGCCGGATTCATTCTTGACATGCACATCTTCTCGGCTCAGTCCTGGAAGAAGGAAGCTCTGGAACGCTTTCGCTTTGGAATCGCCCAAAGGTGCAGATAACTCGGCTATGTATTGTCCCGTGAGCCGGTCTGTTTTGTACCGCGGGTTGCATGGAGAGGGTTGATTATCTATGCAGTAGCCGGCAACCCTGCCATATGTGCCTGATGATCAATTTATCTAAACAACAATACGTCACCCTCTGCCGCCTTCAGCGTGTTACCGTGCTGACGCAGTGTGTAGTTGCCCTTGAACAGACTGTGGGGAATGGACATCTGACTTGACCAGCAACAACGAAGCGATACATGTAAGATGTATCATCCAGGTTGTTCACCTCGTCGAAGCCGGTGAATACCACATCATCACTCCTTTGATAGGTCAACTGGGCACAAATCATCGATTATGTGGTTTACATCTACACATAGAGCATAGACCTCCAGGGAGGTTTCCATGTCACAATCCTTTCACTCTGTTTTCTCAACATCCCCTCCAACCTTTTCCTCGCCAGCTTTCCTCCTAAGCACAGCAACCCCTTCCACGTGTCCCGTTTGGGGGAAGAAGTCAAACCCCCTAATGCTTTCAATTTCATAACACCCTTCTCCTTTTCCCAGCCCACCATCCACACCCATCATGCCCCCAACCAACACACCAATATCTCTAGCCTGAGAATGCACATTGCAGCTCACGTAAACGACCCGCGCTGGCCCATATTCGACGAGTTGTCTCAAGAAACTTTCATCGCATCCTTTCCTTGGGGGATCGATCATGACGACCGTCTCCGAAGCCGGGGTTTCGATGGATGCGAAGAGTGCCGCGGCATCTGCAGCTATGAACCGTGCAGATGAAGGCGGTAGATTATTGAGAGTAGCATTGGTGGTCGCAGAGGTTATGGAGGAAGAGGATATGTCGATTCCCAGGCTCGATTGAAATAGTGCTGACAGAGTGATGGTGAACAGTCCGGATCCAGAGTAAGCATCGATTAAATGCGTAATCTGGTGTCCTGAGGACTGGGGTGGCAGTATATTTTCGCGAATGTATTGAGTGAAAACAGGGAGGATGGAGTTGTTATTCTGGAAAAATGATCCAGCCGGGTTGACAAATTGGAAATCGTCAATGTATTCGGTGGTTTTGGCATTGGGATCTGTTACGCACGTCTTCTTATGGATGAAGTCGCCTCGATCTTCGATGACCGCGTCGTCGTCGTCCTCTTTTGATACATCGAAGTCTGACTTCGGTATCCGTTGCGTGCTCTCACGCAAGAGTAACGTTGCACCCTTGTGGTAGTTGGAAAGGTTGTCTACGACACGTTTTCTTTCGCGCTTATTACCCTTGCGGACAGCATCCGTTCCAATCGGACAATCTTCAATGTCAATAGTGATACGCGTACCCTTCTTCATGAAGCCAATCGGTGGTACCTCATTAAACTTTCTTCTAATTCCATTTCGGCCGTCGCTCCTCCTGGCGTCTGGTGGTCCATCAAAGTGCGGTGTCAATTTAGTCCTGTACCCGTACTGAAGAGGGCTTCCGATCGTATCTCCTATAGTGGGAATGAGCTCTGGTGGAAGATTGGAGAAATTCTTGTAAGCCTTCGCGACGATGGACTTCTTGTGTTGAAGCTGGTACTCGTAAGGTAACATTTGGAATTGGCAACCTGAACAAGTGGAGAAGTAGGGGCAGTTAACAAGGGAGTCATCTCGGTGTTGGGAAGGAGTCTGCACTGCGACCAGGTCGGCCATGGAATATTTCTCTTTGGTGAAGTGTTTGAAGATTTTGGCGGTCACCGTATCTCCAGGTGCCGTGAAAGGAATAACGTAGACCTGGTCTGAGTCCGAGTCCTGCTGTACACCGAGGCCATCGCCTGTCGAGGATATTTCCTTGATGTCGACTTTGATCTCCGATCGAAGCTCAGGGAGGTTCGAGTTCTCTTTAGTTTCCAAGCTTAGCCGTTTGAGCAGATCCTTGACGTCTTCGAGCAGGACTTCCTCATTGCTTCCATTGGTTTTCAATATTTGGCTTTTTTCCGCATGGCCGTTTTTCATCCTTTTGTTGTTCTTGAACCGGAAGCTTCCTCGTGACTTTTCCTCACTCCTTAGCGGAGTTTCCGAGGCTTGTCTTTTCTCGCCGAGACTATGTCCAGGGGCAGCGTCTGCCATTGTAGATGCTATGCTGTACCGAGCAGAGAAGAGATTGGAGTATCTGTGCCCGCCGTGCAATAGTGTCCGAAAGGCTGGGCGAGCGGACCTGAGAAATATCATGGAGACGAAAAAGCGTAGAAAAAGTGAATGGGTCATCCGTAAAAGTGAAGGTGTGATTGGCTAGTATGGGTTTTGGTCGCTTAGTCAGTCGAGAAATTCCTCGAAGCTCAAGCCTCCGTCTACCCAGAAAGACGAGTTGTATGTAGCAGCGAGGCACGCGTGTCCAACCTCTCATTCCTTCCCCTAATTCGCTGTGCCAGGCGGTATTTTTGATGCAATGAGTATCTGCCGCCCCGTACGATGTCTTCTCACGACTCCTGCTTTACCTAAGCCTACCTCGACTCCCAAGCGGTCTTTCCATGCTTCCACCCCGAGAGCGGCTCGCCGCCGAAGGCCTCATTACCCATCGATCAAGGCATCCGATTTGAACCTCATCGACGAAGCAGCCGCTAAAAACTATCCCAAGTACGATACCTCGGAGGCTGCTCTTCTAAGCAAAAAATATACGCCCTCCCAAATTGCCGCTATCCAAGCCGCCGAAACCGCGATTGACCCCCGAGACCTCGTCACGCAAGCCCAGCACCGGTCTGATCCATGGCTTCTCCCTTACGAAGATGACTTGGCGGAGCTTGACCCCATTACCGATCACGCAGAGAAGCTGAGCGCAGAGGATCTGCCCGATCGCAAAGGGTTCCGCGAGGCCACCAATGCCGAATATCAAGTTGCCGTGACTGATCTCATGAACGAAAACATCGCCAAAATGTACCCAAACGGTGTTCCCGATAAGAATGCAGCGCCCGAAGAAACTCGACGCCTGGAAGAGTCACTGCAGGCTGCGGCGATGCAAGCGTCGATCGACCCGCGCGCTCTATACCACTCCAAGACGCCGGAACTCCTGAACTCCCTGGCTGATCCAAGACACTCTGTGATTCTCCCGGATCTCCCACGACTCGACAGTCGTATGGCGAAGCAAACACAACGTATCGCTAGCGATGAAGTGGATGACCCGAGGCAAAAGCGATTACTGCAATACTTGCACTGGAATAAAGCGGCCCTGCGCAACATCAAAGTAAAGACGCTGGTAACTCACGGCGTTACAAATCAAACACGCATGGGAAAGATCAGGAGTATGTACTTCCTGACAATCGCAGGCAATCAAAATGGGTTGCTCGGTGTTGGCGAAGGCAAGTCGGTCGAGCCCGAGGAGGGGCGGAAACAGAGCGTCAATGCAGCCATCAGAAACATGAGGCCAATAGCCAGATACGAGAATAGGACAACGTATGGCGATCTGGAAAAGAAAGTCGGCGCTACGACGGTTCAGCTCTTCTCTCGTCCCCCTGGTAAGACCTTCCCCTTCTTCATGAAAGAGGCGTTGCTTTGAACATTTTGTGCTAATTTCTTCAATGAAAACAGGATTCGGTCTTCGCACCCAACATCTTATCTTCGAACTTGCCCGTGCCGCCGGGCTTCAGGATCTCGCTGCCCGCACCCCCCGCTCACGAAACAAGATGAACGTGGTCAAGGCAGCTTGGGAAGCCCTTTGCAACCAAAAGCTCCCAGATGAGATTGCTAGGGCAAGAGGCAAGAAACTTGTCGATGTGAGGAAGGTATACTATGGTGGCCCTGTGCATTGAGTCTCGAGGTAAAGGTGGAGTCTGGGGCTAATTGCCTAGGCAACTCTTGTATCTGTATGATATATGTAGATGTGATGTAGACAAGAAGACGAACACGGGAGGCAGATGTACTTGTACCATATGCATGCATTGGGATCGGATCATCCAGCGGGCGTACGCAATGTAGAGAGTCTTGTAGTATATTGACACTATTCCTATCTGAACATGTTCTTTTCTGTGTGTGAATCCAACTTTCAATGGTCTCAATAACGCGATCCGCTGATCTTTATAGCCTGCGATTCAAGAATCGTGATCGGGATTAAAGCCTATTGGCTTCGAAATGGGGGTATCTAGCATCTATCATCATCGTTGATATTCATCATTCTCATTCCAACCCAGCAGAGACACTCTCGTCTCAGAAGCCCACACTTGGAACCACCGCATATCCCTTCTTTGTCTCGAGGAACCCCGAATAAATGCCTCGTCATCCAACTCTACCCTCTTCAATCTGCTATTTCCCCTCCTATCCCCTCCGTCACTGTAACTCTATCGCTCTCCCCAATACTTCTCCTCTCAAAGCATACTCCCCCTGCTATCCCCAAACCCGCCACCGCCGCCACCACCGTCCTCCTCACGGATCTGCGTATTCAAAACGATGCTGTATACACTCGCTTTGAGCAGAGTGAAAACCAAGCTAGTCTTGCGCTCAAGACCGCGCAGCGCATCGAGGATTTCGGCCGAAGGGTTGGCGGCCAGATCAGCCAGGAGCGATGACATCTAGCAGAGCACACACAAACACAATATCGTCAGCCTATGCGAACAGCGGTACATGCAATTCGTGGAGGATTGAGGATGGTGAGGGAGAGGGAGAGGGGGTGCATACATGGTTCAAGTTCCCCAGTAACCTCGCATATTCATCAAGGACTTCTTGCTCTAGGGGCGTCAAGGTTTCGCTGTCTGCGTCTCCGCTTCCGCTTCCATTTCCTGCTGCTGCGGCGACTGTTGCAGCATTGGACTTTGTGTCGCTGAGTCCGCCTCCGAGGTGGTCCGCTGCGTCTGTGGGATCAGTCGCCATTGTTTCCCTTCCCCGCCTTTCGCGTTGCTGGGGAGTATGTTGTGTGTATTGTTCGTTATCCACCGCAGTTCGAAGAGGCAGAGAGCTATGAGTATGAGGGTATAATCGGGTTGAGTTTTCGTCGCGTGAACACTATCAGAATCGATTCCTGATCGCACGGTTCAATTGTTCAGTAGGGGTCTGTTTGCTGTGATTGAGATCGGACCCGAAACATTGGTTTTGGTTTACAAACACCGTCCTCTGCGGGGAACTCGCGTTCATGATTGGCCGACGCGCACAACCCTGGCTCCGATAGATTTTGGTTTCCTTGCTGTCACAGTTGTTTCACGTGGGCATACATGATTTTATACGAGAAGATATGCTTTACATCCAAAAAATATAGTGTCTCTTCTCATGCTTACACACGCTATTGTCCCTTCATTTCTTCATGCTTTTCCTCTTCTTGAGATAGATGCCTCATTTGCACTCCACTGGCTCCTCCATAACGACGCTGCCTTTCCCTTCTCGGACAAGAGATGCACTTATTCTTGAAACAAAACACCGACGCCTAAGGAGTAAAAATGTACAGTCATTTCGATAGTGCACAATGTGGAAAATGGAAACAGGCAAGTGCCAAAAGAGATGCAATGCTCGTACCGAGAAACTCCTTTGTCCGTGTAATACAATAGCAAAAGATAGCTGAACCTGTGTAGAAGGAGCGTAACGGAGACCGTGGAAAACGCCCTCCTGACAAGTATAGTGACCCAAATAAAAAGAAAAGAGTTCGCAAAAATGAACTAATCCTCTCGTCCGGAGAAGGAGAGGGATGGGGAATGACAGGAAGGCAGCCCCACGATCCACACCGGAGGGTTGTGTTTGCTATCGGCGGGAATTCGTTTGTTGGAGTTCGAAATGTCCTTCATCAATGCTGTTGTGCATCTCGTCGCCCTCATGGTGAAGGGTCACGCTGTTAAACTCTTCAAAGGGATCAGCAACCTCACCCAATGGTGTCGCCAGGCCGGAGTCCAGCGGCACCCCCTTTGCCTTCGCCGCGCTGATATCCACGCTCTGGCTTTCTTTCACATTCCGGAAGTTGGGTGTTTCAACACCCTGTCCTTGGTTAGGAATGATTGGTGGCTTCATGTGACGTAGCAATGCCCATGACGTTGTACGGAAGAAAGCGTGAGTCTTGACATCGGATGCTCCAGCTCGGGACCCCAGACGGCGGGACTCATCCTTGATGAGTAACTTTCGGATTATTGATTTGCAAAGACTGGATTGGTCAGCACCATGCTTTGAATAGAGATGGGTCAGTAGCTTACGTCGAGCAAGAGGGGGCACCAGACCCTTCTGGAAAGGGCACATCATCCCTCAAGATATTGGCAAATGTCGCATTGCGATTCTTTCCCTTAAATGGCGTTGTTCCATAGAGCATCTCGTAAATCAAAATTCCCAGCGTCCACCAGTCGACTGCGGAAGTATGTCCGCAACCTTTGATGACCTCGGGTGCAATGTACTCTTCGGTTCCAACAAACGAATTTGTCCTGAAATTTGCGATGCAAGACTTGGTGTCGATGGTAGGAAGATTGGTCGAGGATGCGCCATTGCGGCCAACAATCATGGTTGGTCGACCTCCGGGTTCGGATTGCTTTGAGAGATCAAAGTCTGACAACATAATGTGGCCAGACTGATGTAACAAGATATCTGGGACGGTCAGACGATATACAATAGTTGGGTAGTAAACACGACATACTCTCTGGCTTCAAATCTCTGTAGATGAAACCCATCAGGTGAAGGTATTCCAAAGCAGCTGTCACCTCTGCTGCGTAGAACCGCGCTGCATCTTCGTCTACACACTTATTCGGCCGAGTTTGAAGTGCTACTGTTGTCAGCTGTGACCACACTCTTCCATAGATATCTAGCCCATACCTCTAAAGAATTCACCGCCGCTGCAATATTCCATGCAGAGATAAAGGTGGTCCTCGGACTGGAAGGAGTGGTAGAGAGTTACGATAAATGGGTGATTACTCGTTGCTAGGATTTCCTGCTCGGCGAGTGCGCGTTTGATCTTGTTTCGTTTGATCATCTCTTTTTTGCTCAATACTGCAACATTGTCAGTGCGGACCAGCCCCAAACAGTTGGTTCTGCCTTACCTTTCATAGCGTACAGCCGACTTGATTTCTTCTCCCGTACCAAGTAAACCTTACCTACGTCGCCCTTTCCGATGAGCTTGATCTTGTCAAAGCTGCCCGGACCGACTTCCACATTCCTCACTTTGATGGAATTGGAACTGTATGTCCTGCGGAAAGCAACCGAATTGCGAATCTGCCCGGGGGAGGGGACGCCTTTGCTCGGGTCGACAGAAAGGAGATGATCCTGACCGGGCGGCATTGTTTCAACCATACTAAGGGTGGATGAATTGGGGTGGTGCACGAGCGGTTGTTTCCCGAGCTCTGCCGTCTGCGGTCGCTCCGTAGACTTGCCGGAAGAGAAGAGACCTTGCGCATTGGGGGCAGAAGCTACTCTTCGCAGCTTCCGGGCCAATTCTTCTTTGCCAGCTGTTGTGGCTTGATCGTTTGCACCGCTGACGGCTTCTATCTTTGTGGTTGGTATTGGGGGAGTATCGGGCGGCGAGGGGGGTACGCTACCTGCATTATGATGGCGGAGGGCAGGCGGCCCCTGGTGGATGAAGTAGGGATTCGCGTGTGCGGTGGGGGACACTCCATCATCAAGTCCATTGCCTTCGCTGGTGACGGTTGTGGAGCGATTCCGGGAGATGTGCGGAAGAAATCTCGACTGGCGGAAGGAGGATTTGGAGTCGTTCTTGGGTGCCAGGCTGGCGTTGGGGTCATCGGTCTGCTTGCGATCTTTGTCGGAATTGCTGGTATTGATTCGGAAGAAGGCCTTGATCTTTTGGGAAACCTGGCTGTTGGAGCCGTGGACTTGCTTGTTGGAGGAGAGCGGCAGACCGGAAAAAGTCCTCTTCTCGGACATGTTGGAGTGATTAGAAGAGCTGAATAATTGGGTCATTGCAATAACGAGTTGGGGATTGAACGGGAGCAGAGAAGATGAAGCGGATTGTTGGGGCGGAGGGAGTTAGCAGGACGGGGCCATGAATGACGACGGCGCAGGGTCCAGATGCAGTTGCACGTCCACTTTCAGTCCTTGTCGGCGTCGCGTTGCAGTGGACGAGCGGGCGGGACAGCGGTGGTGGTGAGGAGGGAGACGCAGATGAAGGAACGGCGGGCGTCTGTCGGGTAAGGCAGAGTTGTGGGGGGGAATATGGGTATGGTATGGGGAGGGGAGGAATGCGTATGGACGTCAGAGGACGGGATGGCACAGTAAGTAAGAAGTGAGTGAGGATGTTGCTCGGGTCGGCAGCGGCGAATGAGCGTGGGCGAAGTGGAGAGGGAGCTAAAAGCAACGCACGCCGGGGGAGCAGCAGCGAAGATTGCAGCGGTGGTGGGTAAGTATGTAGGAACAAGACAGAGGTCGAGAAGACGGAGGAGAAGGATGGATGGATGGATGGATTGAATTGCGCCGCAGCAGACGTGCTAACAGCGAGACTTGAATAGCATAGATACGATACGGTACGGGCAGGTGGCCGCAGAGAGGCACCGGAAGAGATGGATTGTATTTCCAAGCAACCGCTCAGAATTTCCGTCCCACGGCTACGCAGCCAGCCATACGCTAAGTACTGTACAGAATTGGGAACCAAGTCACCAAGTAAACACTAAATCCATACCGTCCGGGCCCATGCCATATCGTGATCATGCTGGGGCTTTTGCCTGCTACTTACTGCGCCGTGCTGCCCCCTAACAAGAAACCCCTTCGAGGCCATGCGACGCTGCTTTTCGTCGCCTTCAATCCGATTTGTAAGAAGCACCGCCCGCCTCCCACCTGCTTTTGGCCTCTCTTGAACCCCCCCTTGCCAATGCGCCTCGTGCTCGCGGCCGCTGCCGGCTTCTAGAACCCTGCCCCCCAATCACTACTCCAAGCCAACTATCGACGACAACTTCATCCATAGGTACACCACACCAAATTTCATGCTTCTTATCAAGATACATTCTCTTCGTTGCTTAGTATATAGCCAGCTGACTATCCATGCCTTTGAACCGATACTGTCAATATCCTCCCGTCTGTGACCAGAGCTGAGGAATGACCAGAAACAGAGCACTACACCCCGCTCAAGCGCCACTCCTCCACCGTGCTCTTCCAAGTCACCCACCGTAGAATACCCAAACAGTTAGCCATCTTGCTGTGTAATCCCCATAGGCAATCCTTAACTCAATACCATTAATACCCACCCAGTTCTGCCTGAGCCATAGTGCGAATACCACCCATAAGACTTCGAGCCCGAATTGGCCGCCCATCGAGATATCCATAATGCAGCATCCAGTCTTCACTTGTTTTAGCCGATAACGGTGCGAAGAACCAGTCCCAATACAAAAGCCACGCAGAGGTTGAGCAGGGTCCACTGCGAAGTGCAACACCTACAATCCTCTCGTCGGCGAGCCCCATCAATTGAACCCGCTGTCATCACTGGCCGTATGCTGCGTTCCTCGCCTCTTCCACTTCCTTGGCCTCGCTCTCCTTCAGTCGCTGAAACCGCTTGTGCCATTTTTGGGCCCGCTTGGTCTTCTCCTCGGGGGAGAGTCCACGCACATCGTCTTTCTTCATACGCCTGAATTTGTTCGTGACATGCTCGATTTTGGCCTTGGCTGGCGAGTGCTCCCCCGATTTCTTGGGAGATCCGGGGGCGTTTACTGGTGAGGACTCACTTCGTTCCTTGGGCGCCTGCTTGCCTGGGGACGAGGTCCTCTTTTGTTTGTTCCTGCCAGTCGCAGTACGAAGGCAATGCGCACCCTCCTCGTTGGCCTTGGGCGGCACGGCTGCTTCGGTCAACTGCTGTCCTGCTGCCATGCGTCCTGAATCATCGATGCGCGTGCTAAGGTCCACTTCCGCCAAATCATCCATTGCGCCGTCTAGTCCTGACATGCGTTCACTGCCAAGAGGTCGAGCAACTTGTCCGACATGCCCATAAAGATCATTGGGTATAGCCTCTTTGCCAGGAATATAGTATCGTTGTGTCGGAGCGGGCTTCCCATAGTTGCGCATGTTGATCTGGTTTCCTGACAATTGGCGAGGAATTGCTGGTCCAGTCGTCTTCATGTCTGCCCAAGTCACAGTGCCTGAACCGTGTTCCTTCGCACTGGAACCTTTCTCCGAGGAGGCCAAAACACCCGGTCGGTGAGCCAGTGCCATATTCAAACCCTCCTTGGTATCCATTTGCATGGAAAGAGAAGGGTTGCGCATGAAGGATTCACCAACGTTGCTATGGAACATATACGCCGTCGTCGACTCATGCGCACCATGAGCCGAATCCTTGCGGGCATCCATAACGTGGTGCGTTTTCTTGGACCGAATGTTCTCGTGATTGCTGACCAGTGCATCAGAACGATTGAATGGCATGTTGGCCACAGTATCGTGCGGCATCGAATTGGCGACCAAACCACGAAGTGAATTGGTCTGGCCCCTCATATTCTCATCTGACAAGTACTGGAAAAGACCTTGAATATAGCCCTTTAGAACTTCAGTATTGTCCGGGATCCCAGCATGATCGTACCCTGCCTGGTATCCTTCCTGGTACGTTGTGGGAACGTGATTAATCGGTTTCGAGCTATCAAGCATGCAGTCCTCTTCGGTGGTACCGGTGCGTTTGACAATAGTATCCTTTTGACAAGTCTTTGTGTTCGGAATTGTGGACTTCTGCGAGTCCAGTGCCGCGAGTGAAGCAGACTCTCGCAGGCCCGCAGGTGGTTGGCTCATTACAGCCTGCTTCAATGATGAGATAGAGGGCGGCTTGCCGAAAGCATCTGACCAAGAAGGCAGTTTAGAGACTGCTTTGCTCGGACGCCCAGATTTCTCTTCGTTCCATGGACTTGCCGGCCAGGTCTTCTCGGGTGTTGATGGCAGTGCTTGACTTCCCACGGAAGCCTCTGCGGCCTTTGGGGCAACCCTTGTGGACGAGTGTTCGTGTGTGTTGGTAGGGAAGAAGTCGGTTGTATCAATACTAGACAAGCTGGGTTGATGAGACAATGTCTGGTTTTCGTACTTGTCTGACTGAGAAGATCCTTGAGCGCGCCATGGAGATTGTTTAGTGGGGGACGGAGACGGGATGGTCATGGCTTTTGCAGAAGACGGCTTCACAACGGGCTCATAGGTTGGGCTCTTTGGGTCAAGCGTAGAAGTACCCTGTCTCTTGTTCTCTTCTTGAGGCTGCTTGATCGCAATGGCATGAGAGCGGCGGCTGTGTGGACCTGGGGAGAGCGATTTCGGCACCGAAGTTGGCACAAACGAAGCTGGCTCTGCGGGTTGCGTGCCAGGATAGCCACCAAATGAGGGCGGTGGATACACCATCATGGGAGCGAACGGAGGATTCACTGAGTATCCAAACATAGGCGAAGGCAATGACTGCTGGAACTGCGGAGGAAATGACGAAGGTAATGCGGGTGCACTCGACGCCGATGATACCGGATTGGCAAAGCCATTCAGCTGAGTTCCAGAAACATTGCTTTCCGCCGTCTCGAGAGCGGTGATCTGTTTCCGCAGGCTGTCGAGCTCAATGATAAGGTTCCTCTTCTTCTCGATTATGCCCTGGCGCCACGAGTCCGGCTGATGATTGGCCTGGAGCACCTCAGTTTGCTCGATGGTACGAAGCTCCTGTCTCTTCATATTTTGCTGTGCTTTCAGAGTGGGGAGGTCGAGGCCTGCAAGGGGTGTTTGTGAGCTTGCACGTGGTGGAGCCGTCGAGAGATTGTTGAAGCTGTTTTGTGCATTCAAGGTAGGAGCGGGTTGAATTGGCTTAGCTGCTGGCTCGAGATTTGCAATGCCAGTAGACGGTGCAGTGCCTGCCGCATCCAAGGCTGGAAGTGCGTACGCACGTTCGCCAATGTACAGCACGGGCTGATTCCCAACCAGCTCAAGGCGAGTGATAGCGGCGGGGTCTGGACGCCGCTGGGTCGACATGGTGCTACCGACCGTTGGTGCTCGCAATGTTGGTGGTTTGTAAGTGTTATTGGCGTAGCGAACGTTGACAAGCGGCGGGAGGTCACTTGGAACGATACGACCTCCGGCTGTCACTCGTATACCCGGAGGGCTACCGTGTTCTTTGAGGAGTCTCTCTGCTTTCCCCCTCTTGATCGAAGGGGATGGCGAAGGTCGTTTGTCGGGGGCCGCGGGGGTGAGTGCAGGTGTCAAAGACGCACGGGGGTCCCTCTCTGAGGCAGAACTGGCTAGTGTTGCTGACGTAGAAGGGCGCAAAACGTGTTCTTGGTAGAGAAAAAGAATTAGCCGCCGATTGTGAGGATTTGCAGCGAAGTGACGAGGATGTAGAGGAGACGGAATGTGCGCGGAGGAGCCAATCGACGTGGGATTGACGAGCGATGAGCGATGAGCGCACAGAAAAAATGACCCATGATTAAGGTGTGAGGAAGGGGAAGGTGAAAGTGAACGTGAATACAAACGTGAACACGAGGAAGAGGAAAGTGAAGTGAGGTGCTAGTGGGACTGAGATTCACTGTCACCAACCTTTAATGACTTCCTCGTCTGCGAACTTATCAAGCGAAACAGCAGACTCCGAGACAGAATCCCGCAGTGCGAGCAATTCCTCAACCTTGTATGACATTGTCGAATTGGTCACGCTGGGGAGACTGTACAGTGGCCTGTCTGGCTTGAACAAAGCCCGAATCTGGTAAGCAGCGAGACGTGAGATGAGTGTGATGCGAATATCTGCCATTGTCAGTCGTTATTCTAGCTCGATACTACTATGACATTGCAATGCTAGCAGTGAACAAAGATGTACGGTGGTGTTTCACGTACCTCCAAAAGCGAGAATGCGAAGTGAACGAGCGACAGCTATCCAAAAGCCGAAGAGCAGCAATGACAAAAGAAGACAGGGGAAACAAGAAGATGGAGACAAATGAGTGTGTTGGGGTTGAAGAAGAGCAAAGCTGACACTGGACGAGGGGCAATTTGACAGCAGCATCTTGGCCGTGACTTCTTCCCGGATAGAGGGCATAGCAAAGAGCGACCGAGGCGAAGATGTCACGATGCTTGAAAGAGCAGGTCACTTGGGGGAATCACTAGATCGTGGTAGGCGGTCGAGCGCGTTGCTTAAGTGGGTGGCAAGTGCAGGCCAGCAAGGCAGGAGCGACGACTGTACCTCATAGATGTCATCAAGCGACATTGGTAGCGACGCTCGATGAATTACGGCCATTGGATCGATGAGAGAAAGGAATTTGAAATGTCTATTTATACCGAGCAAGAGACCTTAGTGCGGCGGTGAAGTGTGTGCTCCATGACGATGTGGGACACTGTTTTATGCTGCACTTTCCTACATTGACCGCTCTCACTTATCTGACGGAATGAACCGAGTAACAAGAGTGATAACTAAAAAGCACCAGTACATCGCACTTCCATTATTAACGCCTTCGCTAATATGCGCAAACCGTACAATACATTTTGCGGAATTCTCCTCCCACAATCACTGGTGAAGGATCACCTCTTTCGCGTGGTTCGAGTAGTGGGAGGTGGCTCGAAAGCGTCGTCATCGTCCGAGATCTCTTCTTCGCTCTGTAAGACGGTCAATATTCGGATCGATGCTGTTGAAACAGGCAACTCACCACTTCCTGTGCCTTCTTAGCACGACTCGCCGCTGCACGAGGTGTCGGGCGTGCTGATGCCTGGGAAGCGAAGCTGAGCGTGGTTTGCTTCTTAGCAGGAGCTCGCGGCCGTGCTACTGGCGTCTTCTTTGCTGGGGATGCCGGCCGTGCTGGAGCTTTCGTGGCGGCTCTTCTCGCGGGAGCCCGTCTGTCTCTCACAAAGAGATCTTCCCCAGAATCCTCGTCGTCAATGCTGAGCATGACCACGTCATCGTCCTCCTCGATGTCATCTTCCTCTTCTTCAATAACCTTCTTCCTGCCTCGGGTACTCTTGGATGCGACAGAAGATTTTTTAGCGGATGTTGAAGCGCTTTGACGTGATGTGCCTGTAGCCTTTCCTCTGCCTCGCGAAGTTAAGGCCTTTGACGCAGTAGCGACTCCCACCTCTGGTTCTGCGTCGTCATCGGTATACATGACAGACCCAGGATCATCTTCCCAAGGCCCATCAAAATCGCTGTTCCAGAGATCGGGCTTAGGTTTCAACTTCTTTCTGCCCTATACGATGTCAGACGAGCCGTCAAAGACAAGCTAAACGCACCTTCTTGTTTTTCAACTGTCCGTTCGCGAACAAATCCTCCAGTTGAGTTTTGTACTGGTTCATCTCATCCATGATTTCCTCTTCATCCACATCATTTGCACCCATGAGATGTTTCACTTGTGTCCTCAAGCTGTTTTCTACAAATGACTCCATGGCGTGCCTATCATCTTTATCGACGAATTGAGTGACGGCATCGCCAAATGAATTTTGCGGTAGAATAGTCAGTGACTGAGCTGTCAGAAATTCCTTGACGAGTGCCTCTACTTTTACGGTTTCACCAAGCGATTCGAGATCTGGCTGCTCTACGACATTTTTTGTGGTGCGAGTTGCCGCCTTCTTCTTTCGATAATACTGCACGACATCGTTGGTATTTGCGACTCTTTTCTGGAATCGGTTCGAAAATCTCTGGGGATTTTCAACGTCAAATTGACCGGGGTCTGGCGCGGTATATTCAACCCTAAGGCGTACCAGCGGCAAAGGCATTTCGATGTCATCGCCTTCTTCGTGGTGATCTTGTAGCTCCAGCCATTCACGTCTGGCCTCCTCAATCAAACCGTCTACAACAGTAGACAAGTACGCGGTAATCTTAGCACGGTTGTCTTTGATTCGCCACAACTCTTTTCGTTTGATCTCATCTTCGTCTCTCAAAACGATCTCCTTCATGATGAACGGTCGCACCGTCTTGAGTCGAATGGGTTCACACTCAAACTTCTTCTCATTAACACTGATGATAGTTACCTGTTTAGGAACAGCTTCTCCAGGCATGAGCGATGTGGCGATGGATGAACCAGGCTGTATCACGTGAAACCCCGTTTCTGGGTTGTAAACTGGATCAATCAGGCATTCGTGCTCATGGCCCCAGATGACCAGATCCATGAATTCTGGCAGGAAGTTTTCAGGCAAATAGCTGGTTTCGGTGTGAGCAACACTATGAAGCATTAGCACGATGACCAAATCTATTTACCATATAGTTTGGACCATACTGATTCTGGTGGACGCTCATCAAGTTGAACCAGTCATCCTTTTGTACAGAGGGCTGAAAAAACTTCACCATCCCATCTCGCCATGTATGAAACAGTCTCTCGTCTCGAACGTTGCTAAGACCATACAAAGCCAATTTGGTGGTGCCCTTTTGGAGCAGGACTGGTTTGACCTCTATGCTGTCCACGGTTGAAGTTCGCCCATAGTAGTTGACAAGACCTGAAGCCTGTAGTAAATCTAATGGCGAGTATTGTCCTTCGCCCGACGGGTCATCATGATTTCCATGAATCGCAAATACTGGAATGGAAACATTGATATCGGGGTCTTCGTAATTGACGTGGTCAAAGACACCGCCAAAATTCTCGCTCGCATCACTCAGCATCTCCAGCTCGCAAGGCTTGTCGCCCAGACAATTCAATCGCAGTGATTGCATAACGTGGTACATTGCAGCACGGGACGGCTTGTTCTCATGGAAGAGATCGCCGCCATGCAGCACCATGTCCACATCGCGCTCCTTAGCAAGCGTCATGATCTCGTGGAATGTCTTCCAGCTGTCATCTTTACGATACGGGTCCCGTTCATTGTACCCGACATGGCTATCGGTCGCAACAAGAATTCGAATAGTATTCGCCCGGTCTGCAGTCATGGTATTAGCCGACGACGCACGATATTTGGTCGAGAGCGGAATACCTGGCGGAGCAGCTTTGGGAGGCATGGTGTGCGATATTGCGGATTGATCCTACCCAAGTCGCAAAGGCGTATTGAATCATGCAATATTTCCTGGGGGGTTTTCCATTAAATAGTTGTAGCTGTTCGTTCCGTCTCCACATTCTACGCGTCGGGAGGCAGGCGCGTGGCAGCCTAGGGAATAAATTACACCTGATTACGATACGCTATGCGCTATCACGTGCACCTCTATCGGAGCGCCGCCCGTAGGACATAGACACGGATGTTCGAGAACACCAACCGATCTCACTCCTTTGCCAGCAACCACAATGATACCCACACGGGCGCTTTGCTCCCGGTCAGTATGGAAAGGTAAGTTTCAGTGGTACTTGTGATGAAAGATTATAATACTGATTGTGGGCAGGACCCAATATCGTACCGTAAGTCAAGGACGAAAACTTTACCTGCCATCAATCCATCGATCCCTCGCTGAGCCCTGCAGCCTCCCTATCGTAATGCCGCAACCCGGTCAAAAAAGAGCTCCGATCAAAACCCAGGCCCGCTCGGCGACTATACTGCCCAGTTTTGTCAACTTGAAGTTCCAGGTTCACAACGGCAAAAACTACGATGATATCACAATAACCGAGGAGATGGTGGGACGCAAGTTGGGAGAATTCGCTCCGTGAGCTGATCTATCCGTGAGCCGCGACACTATGCTGACTATATTTGCAGTACGAGGAAGCAATTTGTGTACAAGTTGACAAAGAACAAATAGCGGGAGCAACACTGTTCATACAGTCATAGGAGTTTGGTATCATTTTGAGGGGGATCATTTGAATCCCTACTAATTGTACTACTACTGTACAAATACGATCTTGTAGCCACCCAAGGCCATCGTTTTCCAATCAACTAATGTGTCTATCCGTGAACGCCATACCAGTAACGCCAGAGAAGTTAGCATGTGATCCGCCATTGTTGACAGTTGACCGGGTCTGAAACCAGGAGCAAGGGAGTCGAATCATCGCCGAAATGTTGGAGCCATTATTGAGCATTCCAACTTCCCCCGAAAGTGTCTCGGTGCAGGGGTTCCTCGCCCAACACACAACATCTCAGACTTGAAGATATTTGTGCAATCTCTTAACGATAAAATTCTCCCCGTTTGATATTGACACCATATTCGCCCACAGCCATACCTAAATCTTCCATTGTGAGCACTGTTCGCCCCTGGTTGCCGCCTTGCCCACCTCCGCCGTAGCCCGGACGAGGAGCACCAAGCGCAAGATCCTTGGCTTTGGCTCCGCTGTCCTTGCCGCCCTGTGCTCCACCAGGTACTGTCGCACCTTGCGGTCCGGCTCCACCTGCAAGTCCTCCCAAGGGGTTATTGCTTGTCGTGTTGGAGGCACGGATTCGGGAGTACTGGTAGGCATCGGCAGCGATATCTGCTATGAACTTCTGCGTGGCTAGAGCGAGCAGGCGGGCCAGGTGGGGAGACGTTTGCGGTGGTGGAGGCAGACCGGCGCGTGTTAAGTAATAGTGCGTGACAGCATCGGGAATCTGCGCAACAGTTAGCTGGTGGGCTGCATACAAGGTGATCGCATCGGGTGGGGGGCTCATACAATAGGAGCGCAATCGTCCATTTTCGAAAGAAACTCTCTCAGTGTTGCATCTTTCTTCGCCGGTATGCGCGCCTCCAGCGGTGGCTCTGGGATACCATTTACTTGCGGGGCGGTCTCTGTCTCGGTGGCGCCGTCGAGGTTCATGGCATCCGGCTGCGCGCCCTCGGGGCGGATGTCGGCTTCGATTGTAGCGTCTATATCATCGTTCATCTCTGCGTCTGCCGGCGGCTGGACGTTTTCCGGCGCTGTAGTCTCCGCCATGATTTAGATTCAAGCGAAAACAAATGTAGAGTCGTCGTGGACACTGGGTTGTGGTTGATGATACCTAGCTTAAGGTCACTAGGTGAATGCAGACGGCCGCCCATCACGCTCCCATGACTTGGCGCACGTCGGCGGGTTGAATAACCAATCAGAACGCGTGTAGAGGCTTAGCTAGCGGAGATCTCTGGAAACCACCTACTCGATACGTCTGCGAGCTACTCCAAACTGATGGTTTCAAGCTGGTTTGCTTTGGCTTGTATAGGGTTACTGGGCAATTTTCAAAATACAGCTGCTGTATCAGAGTTAATGTACTTCTTGACTGTTGTTTGCGGGCTGTTCCCACCTCTGGACCGACAACAGATTGTCTAATGATCATGTATATCACCTCTCTCTCAACAATCCTTCAGCAACCGTGCCTACTCAGATGCGATTAGCTACAAATACAACTAGCTCTAGTGGTCGTATCATTATTATCCGGTCATCTACAGTACATTACGCACTGGTCACGTACCAGGCAAACAGTCATACTCCATCTCATCCAGCAACTGAAGCTACGGTTATATCTGTAAGCATCGTCTTCATTACCGACAAGCTTTTTCTCATTCTGACCCCGGCTGCAACCAGTAATGAAAGCGTTGTGAGCTGCAAATAAAATACCGATATACGCGCGTACAAATATACTCAGAGATATATAAAACTGCAGTCCATCTTACTGGCCGCTCTCCATTTGACTATCCCCGATGATAGCCGTTCGATGCTAGAGCTGACAACCTGGCACCACGCCTACGTTAAACTCGCAGCCGAGATACTTGAACAGATGTGCGACCACTTGATATACGAGTATTTCTTCCTCACCCATATGCACTTCTTTACGATTTGGTGATTGGTCTAAGTGTAAATTATTATGACATGTGGCTTGTTGTATACCTCAATAGCACATTTAGTCTGTCCGCTTGGTCGCAAGTATCTCGACATGTAGTCACATACTGTCAGGCCATCGTCAGATATAATATTTCAAGATTGCATTCCGATGTCATCGTTGTCAGTAGAAATTCTTTTCAGCGACCATTCAACTACAGACCAAACCAGTGCGCCCACAACATATCATTGGTAGAGTCCCCATATAGGTAGATAATAGTGTATCTAGCCTATGTACTACCTGGACCACCAAGCAGCGCGAACCTTCTAACAATGCTGGGCCCGATCTCATCGTATTCTGCCTTGGTGTGGCAGTAACTTCTGAATTCGGGTGTCTGACCAAGCAAACTTCCTCCGAACCACGGACCGTGCCTTTGTCTTTTATGCGTAATGACCTGCACATCCAGACCTCCACTTCTTGCACCACCGCTCCTAGCTTCCGAAGCCTGAATCCTGGCATCCACCAAGTGCCTGATATCACGCTGCAGACGTCGACCAAAATCTTTGTAGAGCGTAGATCCACCCGACAGTACAATGTTCTTATAAAGTCCTCGACGTACGTCAATGGGTGAGGTCTGGATGACCGTGTCCACAATGTTGGGAAGGGGTGTCAAGAAATCCGAGGAGTATATCTCGGGGTTGAAAAAGATTTCGGGGGCTAAGAACCTCTCATAGCCCACATCCACCTGGACCGACTTCCCGTTAGGATAGTTGACAGTGTGTTTGCGGAAACGGTCATCCGCTTCCCGGTCGAAACGAGAGAATTCTTTGACGATATCCGGGCTCACATAGCAGTACTCCTCCTTGATACGCTCCGCCGTTGCAAGGGAGGAATCAGGCTCTCCGCGATCCCGCAGAAGGGATTGGACAAAGTTTGTGATATCGCGGCCAGCGATTGGGACACTCTTGATCGAGGAGCCGATAACGTAACCTTCTGCGACGGGAATAACATGGGTCACACCGGCACCGGAGTCAATGACAGTTCCGGTAAGCGACCGATCGTGAACTTTTGAACTGGTCCAAGAGGCAGCCAGGGCAAGCACAGCCTGAACAGCGATGTAAAGACCAGCGCAGTTGAACGATTCAAACATGATTTCGGCAGTGTTTTCACGGTTCTCGGGAGGATTAAGTGGCTATTGACAGTCAGTGTGAGTCCGGTACTGTTGAGACGATTCATGTCTTACCGGTTCAGTGAGCAAGAAGTGATGGTCCTCTGGCTCTACTCTTAAGTATTTGAATATCGAATTGGACCAGAAACGTTCCATGAGATCCTTCCCAGAGTCAGCCCGATAACACAAGATTCCTTGGGGCTATATGTACCCAATTGTCTACTTGGCCGTGCCGGATGGGGTATTGGATGCCATATCCAGGTCCTGCAGATGCAGATAGGGCCTCGTCGCCAATGAAGAAGTCCAAATCCTCAGTTCCGCGCTTGCCATGCAAGTGACTCCCAGGACCAGCGCCACCTGTCAGAAACGAGGGCTTATTCGCAACCGCGGGTCGACCAGAGCCCGAGCCCCCGGCGCCGCCTGCTGGGCTTTTGGTGGAGATGGCGGTGGGAAAGACGAAGGAAGGAGAGTCATTGCCGGCAAACCCTAGTAGAGATGGATGTTACTAGGTATTATTGACATTCATGTGTGATGGCTGGCATACCAAGTTTCGAGTAGCCCGTACCGCTGCAGGCAACTGTCAGTATGCGAGTGCGCTGTAGGTGCCCGCGGGCATTGCTTCATTCATTCGGGGGAGCTTACTTGTCCATGACAACGGCGGGTGTTTGGTTCGCCATGTCCGCGGCTACTCTTTAGAGTATGGATGTATCTATGTACAAGGTGAAGGCAGCTCGTGAAGCTTTTGGGTCCGTGAATTGAGGTGGTGGATGACGGACAGGGTGGGATGGCTGGTGGGTGGGTAAGTGTGGGCGGTTGCTCTCCATTGGCGGGGGACTGCGCTGCGGCTAGACTCCGCTCCACCCACAGCTCCTTGGCATATGGAGAGCGGGAGATGCAGCAGCGGAAGATATCCAACAAAAGTCACGACCGACTTCAAGGTTGTCTATCGGTCTGTCATGTACGTACGTATAAACGGTTGCCACCTTTTTCTCACACATCTAAGATAGTTTGCCGCGTATCCTTCTACTGACTCCTTATCGATACCGTTTGTCATGACTGGCTTATTCCATGCTGGTGGTTTCGTCGAGGAAGGAGCGGTCGTCCACCACCGCTCCTAAATACGGACTTTCCTCAACTGACGATCCAGCTGCACACAAATATCCCGACACTATTCATCTCTTTACCAGCTTCTCACAGCCTCGGAATCTCAAATTCCATTGTCGCCTCAGCGATTGACTCTCGCTCATCCATCTGTTATTCTTCTCTCCCCCATCTCCTCCCATCTCGCATCCTAATCTTCTTACCTTTCTCTCTCTTTCACCTCACCTAGAAACTCTCTGCCTTACCGACTCTCTGCTTCGCGTTCTCTTACTGAATACCTGCTGGACCTGCGCCCTGAGAGAACTCCCCCACTGAAACACACAAACCGACCAGCATTTGCGATCCATTCAATCCAACGCCCAACATAATAGAAGCCCTCTCTTCCCAAGCTGGATAAAGTGGGTTTGCAGTTACGCGGCCTACGACGTCACCTCTCGATGTCGGTATCCGCCACCCAGCCTGGAGCCATCAATGGCGCGTTAAACCAGGAAACGCCCACTCGCAAGGCTACCAAAAGCCCACACCGAGAAGACATGTGTTGCATTTTTGTCCATGCAGGAGCAGGTTATCATAGCCGTGCTAACGAACGCATCCATCTGGACGCATGTAATGAGTATGGAGTCAATCAATGCAATCTGCCCAGCCAACTAGAGAGCTGACTTGACTGTAGTGCTGCTCAGATTGCGATGCTTATCTTACGCAACGGAGGCTCTGCTCTAGATGCCGCTGAAATGGCTGTGAAGGTTTTGGAAGATAAAGAGATCACCAACGCTGGGTTTGGCAGTAATCTTACTATGGATGGCGTTGTGGAGTGCGATGCATCTATAGTTGACCATCATGGTCGGAGTGGCGCTGTAGGCGCAGTCTTCAGTAAGCTCACAGCATATTTGCTCGAAATGTACGCTGATCATATGATACAGAACTGAGAAATCCCGTCTGTGTTGCACGTCTAGTTCTGAACCACACTACGGAACCACTTACCCTGCGTCGTGTTCCTCCAAATCTGCTCGTGGGCCAAGGGGCACTGGACTTTGCGCGTGAAATGAACATTCCTGAACTCCCATATGACGCAATGGTCTCCGATGCTGCGAGAGAGCGATGGACTCGCTGGAGGGCAGATCTGAAAGCGGCTGAGCGCAAAGCAAAGAAGAACGGTCAGCACCCATCATGTTGGAGAGTCCCACCTGTTGCTTCTCTCGATGATGAGGCAGTACAACAAAGAATGCGGCGTGAACATACGAACAACTTACTTGCACCTTATTCGTTTGCCAGTAGTCCACTTCCTCCAGTGTCTCCGGTGGAATATGATATGGTCTCATCGACTCCGACTTCCGCTGTATCACAGCGGACCGCTTCCATGGGTTTGACAGCTAGTGGTGCTTCAGCAAAAAGTCCCGCAACTGCAATCCTCGAAGTGCTTCAAGAACCGCCGCCAGTTCGCCCCTTTACCACTGAAGAGTCTTCTCGCAGTGCTTTCATTAACAGCACCCAGAAGATTCCAACACTTAGTCAATGTCAGGGCACAACAACCGAACAAGATCTCAACCCTGGCCGTATGGAGAAGGAGAGTGCAAATCTTAGCACCACCCAGCGTCTGTCTGTCTCTCGCAAGGCGTGGGGGGATGGCTCTAGTGAAGAGCTAGACTCTACATCTTCGATACCTGCCAAAACTCCCGAGCCGTCCTTTGAAGACAGGGAAGATCATATCACTGATACCGTTGGTGCCATTGCTGTAGATGGTGAGGGCAATATTGCATGTGCTGCAAGCTCCGGCGGTATCGGAATGAAGTATCGAGGCCGCGTGGGTCCAGCTGCCCTTGTAGGCGTGGGCGCAGCTGTTGTTCCTCTAGATCCAGATGACGAAGACCAGACTTGTGTTGCTACCGTCACCAGCGGTACGGGTGAGCATATGGCTACAACGATGGCCGCGACAGTATGCGCTGATCGACTGTACGAGAGCGTCAAAAAAGACAAACGTGGGGGTTTCACAACTGTGACGGAAGACGAAGCGCTCAAGGCGATGATTGAAACAGAGTTCATGGGTAATTCCTTCATTGCATGGTAATTTATAGCTACTAATCGTTCTGCAGGCCACCCCAGTGTCAAGAACAGCAATTCAGCTGGCGCAATTGGAATTCTTGGGCTCAAGAAGACACGGAACGGGATTATGCTTTACTACGGCCACAACACTGATTCATTTGCAATGGCCTCAATGCACTCTGATGAAGAAGTCCCTTGGTGCGCTATGTCACGCAGTAACGGCAATGCCTCGATAGCCCAAGGTGGTCGAATGATGTCGTATCAGAGAAAGAAGAAGACCAGGACACGAACTAAGACACCTGGCTCTGCACGTCAGAACCTGCCCTGAACCACTTCGCGCTTTGTTCCGGTGCCAAACTTTACCTACCTGGAAATGTATCCAGCATCTTACTTCCATCTCCAGTTCAACCCTATGAATCACGGTACCTTCCCACTCGATTAGTTGCCCTAACATCTCATATGACCAACCCCCTGGATGACACCACGAAAAGCGGCATTCGGTCAAGGAAGTTTGTCAGCAAGAGTGGTTGATCCTAGTTTCACGTTTCATGTCTCGCTGTACCATGTACTAAGCTTTTTTGCCTCGGGAAGGAATTCTTGAAGCTTCAGTGCATGGGTCAAAGAACACAATCAGCGCTCAATTCACAACCTATGACCACCAAGAATGTCTGTGAGAGAGGAACCGAACGTGCATTAGCAGCTAGGAAATGGCAGTAAGGCGCACAAGTATCAGTATTACGAATGAATACGTACATATTTAAAGAAATACACGTGCAGTCTCCAACTCGAACAACATTTAGACATTTGGATTTGCGACGATTCTGCCTTTTGATATGGGCATCCACAGTTCTCGTGATCAGATACTCTTCAAATCTGACTGGGGTCACGATCCTAGCACTTCTTCAGACCCAAATTTGAAGTACTCGATAGGTACTCTTGACAGATATGTAAAGGTCGGAATACATCAACTGATTCATATTTTACTTCGTGATGTTTGAGTATAGTGATCAATAGACCCGGCATATCACAAGTACCTAGGTAGGTAGGTACATCCTGGCATGTTACAATCAGTCGATAGTCAGCGGATTTTGATTCTAGAAACCCAATTAAACAGCAAAGCAACTAGTTGATTGGACTTTATGTGGTTGTCGCACCATGGCCCGGTGCCGAAAGCAAAACTTACCTTTTGTGAATCTTTTTGTCCTCGCCTACTTTTTGTTAAATCATTTTTATCTGCCTTTTCAAGTGTAGGGAACACTGTAACTTCCAACCTAAAAGATAGTTGGTTAGTTTGGCGACGTAAAGTGAATCGAGTGGCACCGGATGCATGTTTCACCTCACTGTCAAGACTCGTAATGTCAACCTTGAAACTCACATCTGGAGTAGACGATGGTCACGTGAAAGCGTGAAGCGTGGAAGACGCGCACGGACCAATGCCTAATACAATCAACGGCATGGCCGTATCAACAACGGATCCGTTGAAGACTACCACACCGTCATTCCACTGCATGCTGGAGTATGTTACCACGAATTCGGAATTCGGGCGCCTGAAATAAACACACAATACAATCAGCCAGCCATGAATGCCATCGACGGCACAGATCGTCATACAAAGGTGGACGAGGGTACATAACAACGAGCTGGCACATACCATTTCACATCTGACAATGTCGCAGGACCGCCACCTTCGCTCTTGACTATTGTCTTAGACACGAATCCACACGCGTGGGCGCATCTATCCTCCTCTCTCCCGCTTTCAACCGCTCTTGCCAACATTCTCATCTTCGTGAACGCGCACCTTGCTTCTGGCAACGCCAACTGTGTCGCAGTGATAGCTGCACACTCCCAAAAGGCCTGTTTCCTATACCCCGCACCAACTCATGTGTCCAAGCGACGTGAGAACGGTACTGCAAATGGCGATGTGGAGATGGGCGGTACTTCGGATCGCCCTCCCCACAGCATTCCCGATAACCCAAACAAATACCGACCGTTTTCAACAGTGGAGACAGCAATTGTAAATAGCTTCACGAAGCTGATGGAAGAGACACATGAGGTGGATCTGGCTTCAACTCCCACTACAATGATCGGGGGCGCTCTCTCACTTGCACTATCCTTCATAGCAAAGACAACACTACTCCATGCGCCTGTTACATCGCGAGCAGATGACATGATGGCGCTTGCAGATTCCGAAACAACCCAGGCCCAGCGTGTTCCTCTTACCTCACGCATTTTAATCGTTTCAGTCAGCGGAGACCTTGCAAATCAGTACATTCCTGTAATGAACAGCATCTTCGCCGCTCAAAGGAAGCGGATACCAATTGACATATTGAAGCTTGCGGGGGATACAGTCTTGCTTCAGCAGGCCAGTGATGCTACTGGAGGGATATATATGAAACCCGAGAACCCGGGAGGGTTGCTGCAGTACCTGATGATGGCTTTTCTACCGGACGCTACAGCAAGAACTCACTTGGTTATGCCAAGTGCGGGTGGAGTCGACTTCCGAGCAGCCTGCTTTTGTCACCGGAAAGTCGTGGACATTGGATACGTCTGCAGTGTATGTCTGAGTAGTACGTTCCCAACTTCCCCTACTGAGACAAGACACTAACTTGTCTCAAGTATTTTGCACGTCACAAATACAAGGCAATCTGTGCCAGACCTGCGGATCGTACCTTTCTTTACGTAGCGCGCAGATGAATCCACCTGCGCTCATCCCGAAAAAGAAAAAGAAGAAAAGGCGGGTAGGGCAAGGCACAGACTCTGCTACACCAGGAGGTAGCACTCCAGTAGGATCAGGTACACCGATGCATTCATGAGGCGAAATGATGCTGTGAGATGTCACTTGACGACATTGAAATGATAACCAACGAGGAATGATGACACGGGATCATGTCAATTCTAACGGACAAAGGCCAAGCTCAACTGAGGAAATGGAGAAGAAATACTTCGGTACTCCCGCACATACACTGCGAGTATTGGAAGGGCGTCGCGACATTCAATGCAAGGTAAGGCGAGACGCCAGTAGCCAATTGTCAAAGCGATCGTAGAGATTCGTCGATGCAGGCAAGCGGCACAAGTTTGTCGGGCCTCAGGCCAGGTCTCAGATGGATGCATCCTACTCAGACTTCAAGGCACTTGTAAATCATTCCTGATGACCAAGGATCATCAGACCTTTCCGGATATCTGCATGGTAGATTGTGGAGTGCTTCACTGAAAATGTCCGAGGCCCGGTTCTTCCACATGTTAGCTGTTGGTAGTTGATACGTAACGGACAGAGTCGTAGAGTGCTACAGACGACGTCTTGATACCGAGGTTTAGATTCCACTTGAATGCAACATTTGAACACTCGGTAGTTAAGCGAGAGTCATGTGGATGTATCGTTTCTACAGGGACATCTGGAAGAAACAGAGGCACCTGGGTGTCACTGGATGGAAAAGGTCGGGCGACGTCGTCGGCACCATTCCAGCATTTGTGTGTTGTGCGAGGCTCTGTCTTCTACAATGATGACTCGAGTTGGTGCTATCGCACAAGAACTAAGTACGCTACTACAGCTGGACAACCCCAAGTTCCACGGAACATCCCCGCTGTAGACCCTTGCCATTGCAGCGACGCTAGTTTGTGGACTCGAACTCCTACGCGACCAGATCCTCGGAAGCTCGTGTTGTTGGCCGTCTGTTTCAGTGGCTTGGTGTATTCATACCGAGTGCCTCTTCTCCACTTTCCTTCCCAACGTTACTTTCTCCTTTCCCAACTTGCATCCTCCCATTCCCTTTTCCGCCATTCTTCCATCGCCATCTGCATCCCAAGATGCACGAAATCATACAGCGAGTGAACGGCTATGATAATAATGCCTACACATATTACCCTGTCATCATTGTAGGCGCTGGGGCCTCGGGCATTGCGATGGCCTGTCAACTGAAGGAACAGCTCGGGTTCGATCAATTCAGGATTTTCGAGAGACAAGCGGGCATCGGTGGCACCTGGTGGATCAACCGGTACCCTGGCGTTGCATGGTGAGTAAATGCCTCTTTTCCTCGCTATGTAGGTATGCTCAAGGGGTCGTTTTGTCCATGTTTTGAGAGTATCATGGTACACACCGGAGCGATCGGTTTCTCGACTGCTGACTTGATGTTCTTCATAGTGACGTCCGTAAGTATCGCGGTGCGCCGTGCTGATTGGCTTGCTTCTAATCATAACCAGCTGCCGCTTTCTATAGCTTTAGCTTCGCCCAAAACCCTGATTGGACGGCTCTTTATCCGCCTGGCCGCGAGATCGTGCAGTACTACCATGATGTGTGCCGAAAATACGAAATCACAGACAAGTTTGAACTGAACACCGATGTCGAACAGTGCACTTGGCTGGAGAAAGAACAGCAGTGGGAAGTCAGGCTTCGTCGCATGGTGGCTGGCATGGGCGACCTGTCGGCCAAAGATCGCATGAAGATTGTCCAAGAGAGGGGAGAAGCAGCCGTTTACTCGGAAACTGAAGTGGTGAGGGCAAGAGCCGTGGTCAGCTGTGTAGGAGGGCTAGTCGAGCCAAAGGGTTGGCCGAGCGATATTCCAGGCATCGAAAAGTTCAAGGGATCCATGTTTCACTCTGCTCGATGGGATGAGAGCGTCGACTTTACGGACAAGAATGTGGTGGTCGTTGGAACAGGGTGCAGCTCCGCTCAACTCGTCCCGAGACTACCTGAGGCGCCGTATAATGCCAAATCTGTCACACAGCTTATGCGATCACCACCGTGGGTATGCCCATCGACCGTCCCACCTGGCGGAGATGAGTGGTGGGAGAAGAACGGACCTACGTTGATGAGGAGTGTACCCGGCTTGCTTCAACTCATGCGATTTAGCATTTTTGTTGTTGCGGAATCTGTGTTCTTTAAATTGTTCCCAAACACTCCGTATGCGGATAAGCAGCGGAAGTTACTGGAAAAGCAGATGCTGCAGCGAATGACCAAAATCGTACCGAAGAAGTATCACGAGATACTGACACCAGATTATGGGATAGGCTGTAAACGAAGAATCTTTGACAAGAGATGGTTCAAGAGTTTGAACGATCCCAAGATTGAACTTACCACACAACCTCTCTCACGAGTCAGCGAGAACAGTGTCATCCTCGGACCTGGCGTAGTATATCCACCAAACTCTAACCCCGATCTCCCTGAAAGAGAAGTCCCAGCTGATGTTATTGTGCTCGCAAACGGATTTGATGTTACAAGATGGTTGCATCCACTAAAAGTTGCTGGTCAGGGCGGAAAAGACCTCGTGAAGACGATGGAGGAGCGTGGTGGAGCGCAAGCCTACCTGGGAACTGCTATGGATGGATTCCCCAACTTTTTCATGATATTTGGTCCGAACACGGTCACAGGACACTCGTCGGTTGTCATGGCTTCGGAAAATATGGTCAACCACAGTTTGAATTTCATCAAGCTACTGCTCAACGGCGACGCGTCTTCGGTCGATGTCAAGCACGAAGCCGAGGTTGCTTTCACAGACGAGATACAGAAAGCGCTGAAGAATACAGTGTACATGAGCGGCGGCTGCAGCAGCTGGTACAAGACGGAGAATGGAGAATGGAACTCGACGGGCTACCCGTAAGTTCATATGAAGTCTGTCTTGCTAGCGCGATGTCAGCATGTGGACATCCCTACTTCACACCATCATGTACACTATTGATCGATGCTGACATTGGTTCTCAAATAGGTATTCCCAAATCGATTTCTGGCGCCGGTGCACGTTCCCCTCGTGGGGCCATTGGAACATCACATACACTAGGCAAGGGATCACGCGTATGCGCAAACAGAAAGCCCTGCGTGTGCTCAGTTTAATCCTAGCATTGTATGGTGTTTATCGTGCTCGCAAGAACGGCTACGGGCCGCAAGACGCTATGGTGTATCTGCGGCAACTGGGGACAGGCATGCGAAACTACTTGAGGCTCATGTCCTCTTTTCTGCGGAGTCAAGCCGTCTCGACGGTCAAGACATAGATGGGCAATGATTCACGTATTGATGGAATTCATATGTAGGTAATTGGAAGGTTTTATGGATGGTGGGTGTATAGGTAGATGATACAGAGTTGAACACCGGGCCATTCCTTGCTTGCTTAGGTCTCCGTTGTATCAACCGATCGACGACAGCAATCAAAGAACTTTCAGAAGTAGAAGTAGAAGAAGAGCAATCATGATGGCTGGCGCAAGTGCTGTTGTTCGCTCGATGTTGCTTGAAGCGACTAAGCGCACGCATGCCTTCACTGGACCCCGCACAACCCCGGTCCGTCCGACCTACCCTTCCAGTTGACGTTAGCATTCATTCCAGTGCTGTCAGTGGGTCCAAGCGGGAAGCAAGCGTTCGAGGGTTGCGACCGCGCATCCCCGTCTACATACATATACACCTCCTCAACAGCCAATTTTCGAGGGCGGGACCGCCTTATCGGGTTCGGCCGAAGGGGATAATGGCTTCAGCATCTGCAGATGGCAGTCCCCACGATAATGGAAGCGCCAGCGGCGCGCAGAAGCGGAGGAGTGAAGACGGAGCTCCGCAACCGAGAGCAAAGCGCAACCGATATATCTCCATCGCATGGTATGCTATCTTGGCTTGACGTACGCCTATTCATCTCATGAATATGGCCGGCTGACAGAAGGAAGCAATGAATGCAAGCGCCGGAAGATCAAGTGCAACGGCCAGACGCCGTGTCAGCGTTGCGGCAACCTTTCCCTCGAATGCGCTTACTCTCCCAACTGCTGCAACAATTTCAAGGAGTCCGAGTATGAAAGATGCCACAAGTGCGCTCCGCAAGGGCTTCCTCACTGATTTTCGTATAGGGAGTACAAGCATATGTCGGCACACATATCATCCCTCCAAGATTCTGTCGAGCAGCTTTTCGCGAACCTGAACTCCCTACGCACCGAAGTCGAAGCTCAGAGTGTGAACCCGATGGCCACTCCATTTACAAACCAAGATTATATGCACTCCGCATCCAACACACCCTACGATATGCATCACCGGACCAAGTCTCTCGGCAAGCAACATCAATTCCATGGCCCGACGTCGAGCGCATACAGTCTCGGGGTTGCGAAGCTGAGTTTGAACAAGATGGGCATAACAGGCACAGGCGACGGTGAAGACGAGGGCATGGCAACAAATGATGCTACACCCATGGACAGTCCACCCACTAGGCACCCGTCGATAAACCATCAGTCGCTTCACAGTGACAAAGACCCTATCTGGGCGCTTACACATCACGAAGCGATTCGGTTGGTGACGGTATGGCACGAGGAGATGGGGTCTATGTATCCCCTGTTGGATGTTGACAAGCTGTTACAGTTCACCGAGATGCTGTTTAGGTTTGTGGAAGCAGCCTCGAAAGCGGGGCTCATGCAGAGAGGCTTACCGGGCGCGGATGCTATCGAGGATGAACAGACCAACATTCTCAAGCTCGTGTTAGCCACAGCATTGATTCTGGAGGGCGGCGGGAAAAGTGCGCTGGGCGCGAAGCTCTACCAAAACACCCGCAAAATCCTCGATAGAACACTGTCAGATCCTGTCGATCTGACGAGCATACGAATCCTGGCACTAGCAGTGAGTCCACTCATAGTTTATATTGATCCACTACTGAAACAACAAGGCCATGTATCATTTTCATCGTGACGACGAGCAGATTGCCTGGCGCACAATTGGTATAGCTGCTAGGCAATGTCTCGAAATTGGGTTACACCGCGCAGAGACATATGCCACTTTCACAGATCCAGAGCAACATTCCATCGCCACCAGAACCTTCTGGTCTGTGTATGTACTTGATAGGCGTTGGAGCTTTGGTACAGGCATGCCGTTTGCAATGCAAGACGCCGACATCGATCCAAACATACCCAAACCAGTGAGTAATTGGTGCAGGACGCAAAGCACTCATGGAATCCGCTGACGAAACTGCATCCAAGGATGACTCTTCTCAATATCTGAACGCGATGATCAGTTATAGTCTGATAGGTTCAAAAGTCTGGAAATCTATTGCTGGCCCTGAAACTGCTCAAAACATCATCAACAAAGAAGACATTGGTTATCTAGATTTTCAAGTTTTGAACTGGCACCGATCCATACCAACTTCGTTGAAGTTCGTTCACCCAGACAGCGGGCAGCATGCCGATACACCATCGAAGGTTACGCAGAGGTTGCAGGTTGCACTGTACCTCAGGGCGAATCAGATGCGCATTCTGATCTATCGTCCCGTATTGCACAGTGCCACGAGCATCATGGAGCATATAGATTATGCCCATACCGTAGTCAAAGTATCAAAGGACACGATCCGGATTTTGTCCTATATTAACCAGACTTCCGACATTTACAGAACGCAACAAACCATGTTCAATTGGTTCCTGGTGTCAGCCCTGGCAGTATTATTCTTAGCTGTTGCCCACGCCCCCGCAGAATTCAGCTCTCAGTGCCGCGACGAGTTTTATATGGCGCTCGACCTTGTCCGCGGCCTATCAGCAAACTCGTACGTCTCTAGGCGGCTTTGGAAAACAGTGAGATTGTTAAAAGAAGTCGGGCCTCGTCTGGGCCTCAAGATCCGTAGTGATGCGGCCGATGCGCATTCTTCCGCTGCGGCAGCCATGGCCAATCTCGCGGGGCACCAAGTCGACGAACTGGCCATCTTTCCTAATGGAAGAAACACCAACGTCGATACACCACATGGAATGGCTTCAGATCTGACGAACTTGTTCGAAGCTGCGGGTGGGGTGAATTCCATGTTGAACGGGTTCAATATGTCTGCTTCCGAGACAGCAGGTGGTGAGTTCTCGACAGCTTTTGGACAGGAGAATGATGAGTTGGCGAGGATCATGAGAGACTTGTTTTAGTCTGATATCAACTAACGGTATAAATGTATCTATTGATATTCTGCAACTTCCATATGTTACGTGGTCGGGGTTAAGAGGAGTTATTACATGTGGATCTTCTCGAGCATGATTTGGAAGTACTGAGCTCGGCCCTGGTAAAAATTTCGGCAGCCGTATCCTAACTGAAATATTTTCTCGTCATGATTCAACCGGGACATCGTTATACATGATCGCCTGAAGTCCAATTTAGACCTCTTCTGTCCCATCAGCCACCACTCGCTATCGGTGCGTCCACGATAAGGGCTACTGCGCTCGGCGGATTAGGTAAGCACAACGCGGGGCTAGCCAACCAACCGTCCTTCACCTCACAGAAACGCCTTTACACTTGCTGAAACGTGAATGTTGCTCTACATGTACTCGATCTGGCACCTAGCCAGCTATTAAAGACATATTCGACGCATATCCCGCTGGCCTTCAAACCCGTGTTCCTCGCCCGACACATCCCCTCGTGCGACCGCACCGTCGACTCCCAGACCCGCAGCGCTTCGGCAATCTATCCCCCTCGTAGTCAATATCCTCGTCGCGGTCAAGGATATACGATCCACATATAATCCTACCCACAGCGTTGCCTCAAAACTTTTGCGCCGAATCCTGCAGTGCCGCCCGTTTCCACCCACATTTTCGAATTTCGATCTCCCTCACTTTCGCGGTGCTACAAACACCCGCCTCCCATACCCTGACAATTTCACCCCGCGCGACCCGTTCTGTAAAGCTGCAATCTGCGGAAGAACTGCATTGCACACCTGGCTGGTGCGCATCTGTAGGCAAGCACTCCAGCATGTCATCTTCTTCCCAGGTCACGGAGTCATGGATATCTTCCTTTTGTGGCCTTCTTGGCCATGAATATTTCGCCGAGGTGTCAGAAGATTTTATCGAGGACGATTTCAATCTCACAGGCCTGCAATCACAGGTACCCATGTACAAGGAAGCGCTGGAGATGATACTGGACGTGGAGCCCGAGGATGACGAAGACGACGAGGAAGAGGAAGAGGAGGACGAGGAGGATGAAGACATTCTCGGGGACGAACGACCTGCTGGTTATCGCCGCGCAAGCGATCGACGACACCTTCGTATAGCATCGGACCTCAGTGTAATTGAGAGCTCCGCCGAACTGCTCTATGGTCTTATACATCAGCGATACATCACATCACGGCCAGGCATCCAACAGATGGCGGAAAAATACGAGCTACAGCATTTTGGCACTTGCCCGCGTGTCCATTGCAACTCTTGCAAAGTACTCCCCGTAGGCCTGAACGATAGTCCTGGCCATGAGACGGTCAAGCTATTTTGCCCCTCGTGTCTGGACGTCTACACCCCGCCCAACTCTCGCTTTCAAACTGTCGACGGCGCCTTCTTTGGCACAACCTTTCCCTCTCTCTTTTTTATGACTTTCACGGACCTCGATCTCGGTGGTACGCGCAACTCCTCCGGCGCCGCAGACGCACTCTTAGCCATTCAGGCCGCAAACGCCGAGGCGAAAGCTCGAAACAATACCACACCTGCTAACATTACTTCAGTGAATGGCGTAGCACCGCATAATATGGCGCCTGGTCTCGGCCCCGGGAACATCTACGAGCCGCGCATTTACGGATTCAGAGTCAACGAAAGGGCAAGGTCGGGCCCACGGATGAAGTGGCTGAGGATGAAGCCCGCGGACATAACGGAGCTCGATGAGACCAGGGCTTACTGGGAAGACCGCGAGGGCGATGGAGATCGACCGGACGCACAAGATCTGAACATGGTCGATGTCGCCGCAGACGGTAAGGCCAGGAGGAAGATCGCTGGGCGGAGGAGAAGAACAAACGGATCGGGAAATACTGGTGCTAGCCCCATGGATACCAACGGCGTCGGTGCTGCTGGATAGGGAGCCATATTAAGTGTGAAGTAGAATGGCGGAAAACATTGGGTTTGGGATGGAGGGTTGGGAGGGTTTCATGGCGATTATCTACTACTTTTCTCTCAAACTTATCAATTGGGTATTTGGGCCCCCAGTCATGGTGAAGGTGGGAGGGTTAATTGAAACCCTGCTTTCGTGGAAGGCATACGCAGAACTTGGAATGTTTCTTTGGCTTGCATGCGAGCATTTGAGTCTCATTCACACCTTTTATATCTTTGTTATGTCCTCTTATCTTTTGCATTGCATCATTCACTCATAGCTGAACCTCCTCATATTGCTCACTAGAACCTCAACTGATACTCAGCAACACCGAACATCAAGCGAAGACAATCTATATATACACATGAAGAGATTCTATGCTGGGAGTGTTCCGGTCGAACGCGTATTAGGGCCCGCTTCAACTGTAGCAAACCCTTGACGATGGAGAACAGGTTTGCCATAAGATACATGCAGCATACACACATGGCTAGCTGCGACCATTGGCGAGTTGATTCTCACGGTGGGAGCGAGATCTTTTCTATAATTCACTGTAGCCATTCTAATTGACATATATTCTTATGGTCTTGCATTAAGACGACGACAACAACGAGAAATATCTCTGTTAGGTACGGGAAATGTCTATGGGCACCCTACAGGATCATCTCAAAAACCCATCCTACAATTGATTTTAGCTATACTTGATGATTTAACACTGCGTGCTTCGTTCATGCCTGCAAGCGTACATGGAAATCAATCGTTCCATTAGTGATTCGGCTCTCTTGCTAGCCCAGCCCTACAAGAAAGTGCTAAACAACGCTGGTTCGCGCGCGCGCGCCCGGCAAAAACTCGGTCTCTAGCTAGGTCAAGGTAACCGCCGCCATCCATCTTTCCCCAGGGAAAAAAGTTAACCGCAACGACACCGACCTCACCAACTTTCGAGCTTCCACTTCCGTAACCTGCTTCTCTCGCCCCCGCGCTTTCACATTACCCTCGTACGAAATCCAAAACTAGGACCAAAGAACAAAAAACAAAAATGTCCAGCTACGCAGGCGCAGACACGACGGCCGGCGCATCCAACCCGTCGGGCGCGAACAACTTGTCGGCGACGGAGATTGATGCACACCAGCGCGCTGTGAGCTACACTTGCGGCGACTGCGATCAGGATGTGCAGCTGCGGAGGGGCGAACCGATCCGCTGCCGCAACTGCGGTCATCGTGTGCTGTACAAGAAGCGGACCAACCGGTGAGTTGCCGTCTTTTCTGTTCTCTTCTTTGGGGCCCAGGTTTCTCGCTTTTTTTTTTGTTTTTCAGTCAATAGGGTGGAACTTTTATGTGAATAATTCCACTGGATGGGGACATATATGGGAAATAAAATACAAGGAAGAGTGGAGAGGGAAGGAGGGAAGGAGGGAGGGGAGAACGTATGCAATACTGTAAACTGAACCGAGACTGACTTTTCTCAGAATGGTGCAGTTTGAGGCCCGATGAAGCAAACCAAATAGGCAGCGCGGACCATGGGGACCGAAAATATATACAAACGAACGAAATGAACAAATGGGTGGACGGACGGATATATAGCAGTACTTGGAGCATAATCAGCAGGAATGAGGACATTCTTGAGTGGTGGTTGGATAGTTCGAGGTAGGAGATTGAGGAGCGAGAGGATACCAGACTGTCAATACCATCAGCGACCTGGCAACTATTCTCCTTCTTACGGTCCCCGTGGAAATGATTTAGGGGAAAGGAAATGCATGATAGCGAAATGGGTCTGCGTTTATAACATCCAGTCCCATAACAGGCATTAGGAAACTATGGATACACATTAAGAACACATCTTGAAAGAGTGAGTGGTCAAACGGCCAATGATATATCATGCGGCATTTTAGATGCCTTTCTCGCCCGCTTCATGTTGCACAACGACACTTTGCCGCAAGTTACATTGTATCAAGATGCACATTTCCTTCATATTGTAGTAATCATCTGCTAAACTCCGTCCAAATGCGCATGCTCGCAGTATCGCTTTTCGTCTTTCGCTATCAAAACTGATTTCCTATCTAGCTAATCATGAAGTCGCCCTGTCAAACCGCTTTCTTGTGCCGCCGAGCAAGCTACCATTCATCACTTGTAACTTCTGTGTAGACACTTACGCCGGTACAAAGACATAGACATAGAAAACGAGGGAGCAAGAAACGCTACACATGCCGCTCTGATCCATCCGCTGCATTCTCGCATTGCAGTTCAAAACTGTGTCACAGTCACGCTTCAAACATATGACCGGTTGCGATAAGCCGACAGAAAGAGAGGATAGCCAGAGATGCATTGCTTGACAGCTGAAAATAAGGAGCGTGGCTAATCTTTGGAAATTGTGCGGAACGTTGGATCGTGGAGACAACGAATCTTCTTTTCTTTTCTTTCTTCTGGGTAACTATGCGGATTCTGGACAATCCAATCTCTCCCATGTCATGTATTGTGATGAAATGTCGGCGAGGGTATCTAATTTCCACGGAAGGCATCGAAGCGCTTGTAGGTGTAACCGACAAAGGGGATACTCATCATATCGGCTGTGTCGTCGTTGGATTGAGCGGCCGTCTGAGCGCGAAGCGCTGCGCTAGTGTCATTCTGATCGATTTCGTCAATGGGGAAATACTGAGTATCGACGTTGGAACTGAGTTTTGGTTCGAATGGTGCGCGAATGCGACGCAGGCCGTCCCATTGTACACCACGGAAGAAAGGATGTTGTTTGATCTCGCTGGCACCACCGATCCGACCCAGTCGGTGTTCGGCATCGCAAATCAGGCTAGTACAAAGTCAGTATGTACTCGACTATCTGATCCGATCCAAGTCGGGTACTCACCGCTTAACAAAATCCTCGGCTTCTGCGCCTAGTTGCTGGTCTGGAGGGAAGTGAAGGTTGCGGGGCCAGTCCACAATCTTGCGGTATGTGTCATGAGGCTCCTCGGCACAGAATGGTGGCCATCCAATAAGGCATTCAAACATGATGGTGCCGACTGACCACCAATCACAGCCGTAGTCATAACCCTGTCCGCTGAAGATCTCTGGAGCGATGTAGTCGGGAGTACCCACAGTCGAGTATGCCAATTGGCGGCGAGATTTTCTCCAAGTGTTGATCTGGGTACGGTTGCTGACGGTCAACTGGATCTGGTCCAGGTTCATGGAATTTCTGTTGTCCCTGTTTGATTTGTGGGCGCCCCCAGCAAGAAGCTTTTTGTAGTAGCCAGCTTCATGCTCTTTGTGGAAACCTGTCGATAGACCGAAATCAGTGAGCTTGATATGGCCGCCTCGATCTAAAAGAATGTTGTCCGGCTTGATATCACTGCATATAGTATTAGCGATGCGTTTCGAAGTCCAAAAGACCTACGCTATTAGGTTGGATGACATACCGATGGATGTAACCGAGTTTATGGACAGCTTCAATGGCCAGGACGATTTCAGCCATGTAGAAGCGGGTAATATCCTCGGTGAAGATTTCGTATTTGATCAACATGGTCATTAAATCACCGCCAGGCAAAAACTCCATAAGCATATAGAGGAAGGTGTTGTCCTGGAAAGTTGTGTGCAGCTTGACGACCCAAGCACTGTCGCTTTCGGCCAAGATGTCACGTTCGGAGCGGATGTGTGCAAGTTGGTCTTTCTTGAACTGTTGTTGGTGAGTATTTGCTGCAAAAGACGGGCGGATGAATGGAGAAGAGACAGTACCATCTCAGACTTGACAAGCGACTTGAGTGCATAAATCTTGCCATCGTTCCTGCGTTGCACCAACTTGACCTCACCGAAGGCACCCTTTCCAATGATCTTGAGCGTAGAGAAATTCTCTGGTCTTTCCTTGGTTCTTAAGAACCGAAGGAACTCGACCTCGTGTTTTCGCATTGTATTTTCCTTCTGCATCTTCACCCTGTCGGATATGCTCGGCTCCTTCAGGATGGATTCCAACTCCAGAGCTCTGAACGCTGGTCAGTGCATGTAGCTGTAAACAGGTGCCGATCAGCAGACTTACCGCTGGTTGCGATCTCTGGCTCTCTGTACACTATCCTTGAAGAAGGTGCTGATCAAGGTGGTGGACATCTTTGTCTTGGCAATCACATTGTTGGAGTATTTTTCTTGGTTTCTGGCAGGTGGCTCGTCGTCATTGAGCGAAGCTTGACGTGGGTGGTGACCGTAACCTCCGTGTTGATAGTTGCGGTCGCCGGCAGTTCGAGGGCGCTGCTGGTTCGGGGAGGGTTGGCGTCCGTAGGGGCTGCCAGAGCGGCCGTTGGCGTTGGCACCTCCGCCGAGGTGCTGGTGCTGGAATTGCTGAGCCAGACCATTGGCAGCATTGTCGAAGCCACGTGCAGAGTTGGGAGCTTGTAGATTGCCTTGCTGGTCCTGAAACTGAGCCTGTTGGTAGGAGCCAGTGAAGTAACCCTGCTGCTGCAAAGCACCAGGGCCATTGAAGCCGTTGCCCTGTTGTGCGCCCCAGACTTCTTGTTGGCCGGCTTGGTTGGGATATACGGGCTGGGGGAAGGTCGAGGGAGTGGTGGGAAAGGCACGGCCTGATTCCTGATATTGATTACGGTCACCGCCGCCGCCGCCCCCGCCGCCAGGGCCACCAAAGCCAAAGGCGAGGTTCAGACGATTGCCCTGCTGCTGCTGATTGTTCATGATGGGCGACACAAGGTTGGAGGAGCAGGCGTGCAGCTGTCTGAGAGGGATAGGTGGTGGTCGTGCGTGGGTGCCGTGGCGGAAATGGCCGCACTGTTTTTGGAGGGGTGTATGCGGGCCTACAGACGACAAGCGCGGGGATAAAAGGGTCAACGGGGGAGAGGGAGGGCACTAGCACGGCAGCGGGCCGGGCTGTGTTGGCTGTGTTGGGCAGGAGACGAAGAAGAACAAGCAAGGGGGGAATGGTCGAGCGAAGAGACAGACGAGCAGAAAGGAGTAGAAGAACGGACAGGCAAAGCACGGTGAGAGGAGTCGCTGGTGAGGGTCAAGCAAGCAAGTCAGGGATCAAACGAATGGGCCAAGCTGGTCCTAGCGCCGCGATCGTACACAGTAGTAGACCCTCACCGCCGACGGCGTGTACAATTGATTGATTGATCGACTGATGGATCAATGTCAACAGAAGGAGTCAGCCATCGCCGCCGCCATCATCATCATCATCATCATCATCACCGTCTTCATGATTATCATTGTCGTTATCGTTGATTAACAGGTGGATGGATTGATGCGACCTTGGCCGTGAGTGCGTGCGTGCATGGTGTTTGTTTCCATGTAGTACATACCTACTTACTCGACTTGGAACCCAAAAGGTCGCTGCTCCACGTGCTCCTCGTTGGTCACAAACAAGTACATTTGATGGCTACTTGGTCGCAGCTACTGCGTACGTGTGGAGGGTGTGAGAGAGAGAGAGAGAGATAGAGAGAGTTACCTAACCTGTCTACGTAGGCGGGCGGACGGATGGACCGAAAGATACACAGACACACGAATACAAATATATAGATAGCACCGACACACACTCGGTCTATATATGTATGCATGTACGAATGTACGTGGTGGAAGGTAACAGTAGCACATATATTGCAGCCCTGCACGTTGCAGTGCCACCGTCCAACAACACGCGCTGCAGCCATGTCCGCGGTTGGCCTCCACCTCCCTGGCTGACCCACGACCCTCTCATCGCACCACGTATGAATTTGACAGCTCCATCGGTACTACACTGTATTCTTTTTCTGACTCTCCTCTACTCTCCATCTTCCCTCTGTCGGGATCCAACTTCCAATACATTACATCATTATATATACAATGCTAAAGTGATAATGTTTTGTCAAACACCGTCCACTTCTCCATTACCCAACCACGCAACACGACGGCCAGCCAATGACTGCAACACCCGCCACCGCCACCAAAAAAAGGGGTATAGAACTTGATAATCTCAAAAGAGACCACAATGAAGCCTGTCAAGCATCTCGGTCCATTCGCACAACAAAGTCTAGTACAACAGCATATAACGAACTGAAGCCGTCATACGGCAATGCAAAACGATGCAAAGTGTCTCAACAAACCCCGAGTACAATGACAAACATGGGGGGAAAAAGAACAGAAGCCCTACTGTTCGTCCGCGTTGGAACGGAATCTGAAAGAAAAACAAGAAGGAAGAAAAAGGGCAGGAAGAAAAAAATGTTGTGAGTAAGAAGTGTTCAAGTAAACATTATCGACAGCAAATTTGGTCGAAAAGTCGTCATGTGTCGTGAGTGATGTATCAGTTCTGGGCCATCAGAGCCTGTACTTTTTCGCGTTCGACAAGAATGTCGGATTGCAGTTTCCTGGTGTTTCGCATGGCTTCGTCCCTATTTTGCATCAATCAGTCAACTGCGCACATCTGTACAGAGTGAACACAACTTACCTCTGGTATTGAAGGTCGGCAACCTCCATCTGCGCCATGTTCATACGGCCGACCACCTCCTCCATTTCGTGGTCTGCGTCTCGGAGGGCTTTCTCCAGCTCCTCCACCCGTTTCTCAAGCAGCTGGGTCCGTGTGGCTTCGGCCATGGTCATGGCTGGGCCACTGGTGGTCTGATCCAGGCGAGGAGAACGCTGAGCAAAGACGGGTGACGAAGGCATCATCGGTGAAGAGGCATTGGGGCTAAGCAAGCCGGCTTTGGCGCGACGAAGATGGCTGTTGTAGCTTTCCTTGATTGCCTTGACTTCGCCCTCGTGTCGTGCAATGGCTTCTTCCGATGACTGTTGCGCAACCATGACCTTATCCTCGGCAGCCTTCAATCTGCGTTCCAGCTCAATGATGGCTCCGGTGGATTTTTCCTGGTCTTGTTCACCACGAGAAACCGCCTCGGCCAGGCGCTTGCGGAGAGCAGTGTTGGAAGTGAGCTGTTGTTGGATCTTGTCAGAAAGCTCGTCCATGCGACCTGCCGCCGCGAACAGTTCGGCGCTAAGCTTCTGTTCTTTACCAAGATGCGCAAGCTCTGATCTTTGCAAATCGCGCGCTTGTTGGCGATACTGTTCAGCCTCCTTCTGTGCGTAGTCACGCTCAGCCTCAGCGTCTGAAATGCTACGCTTGAGCAAATCCAATGTCTTTTCGGCTTCATCGCCAGCTGCCCCCAATGAATCTTCCGCGTCCATCTGCTTTATGCGGGCTAACGAAAGCGCATGGGTAGTGCGAAGCTCATTGTACGACTTGTTGAGGGACATGGACTGGTCTTCGATCCTGATCTCCGGAATGGTGATTTCGTTTTCTTTCAACAGATCACGTAGAGAAGTGGTCTCCTGCTGCGCGCGGTCCAAGTCCATGCGCAGACCGCGAAGGCCATTCTCGCATTGCCACTTTTGCTCTAGGGCATCGTCAGCCCGACGTCGCAACGAGTTCATTTCCGTTCTTAATGTCGACACTTCTTTGTGGAACGCGGTCCTGCGAGGTGTCAAATTGAGCGCGGAATCTCTCTCTGCTTCAAGCTCCTTGATGCGCTTCTCGAAGTCTCTCTGCTGCAATTCTTGCCGTTGTAACAGATGCTTCAAAGCTTTGTGCAGCGCATCACGCTGCTCTTCGAGTTCTTTCACCGGGTTGCCGGCAGAGGGGCCCTCTCTAGGCGACTCGCCTCCGGACCTGTCCTTGACTGACGCCGAGCGTTGGAGTGAACCGCGTTTGTTGAAGCCCAAACTCCGAGCGAGAGAGTTGGATCTCGAAAGACCAACACGAGGTTTTTCCGCGCCGGGGGCATCATTCTCTTCGGCAATGGCCGAAAATCGAACTTGATTAGGGCCACCCTCTTGGTTGAGTCGTCGTGACAGGGCCTGATTCTCGTTCCGGAGGTTCTGGATTTCTTGCTGCATTCGGGTCGTTTCGTAAATGAGCCCCTGTGTGTCGGCAGCTTCCGTCTCCAATCCTTCCAAGCGTGCCCGAAGCTGGGGGACTACCTCGTCGCGAAGATTGTCTCGCTCATTCCGGTGTTTCTCGAGCTCGCCACGGAGGGCCGTCAGTAGGTCTTCGAAATTTTCCTTGACCTGTCGCTCTTCGGATAACCGTCTTTTGGCATCTTCTAGGGACGCTTCCAATTCCTTGACAGTGGAGCCCCCAGCTCCAGATTGCTGGGCTGGGCCGCTGACTTGATCTTCAAGCTGTTGAACCTGCTCTTCCAGATCGCGGCGTCGGCGGAGCTCTTCTTGCAAACGTTCTGCCATGCTAAGCTTCAGTTGCGCGCGCTCTTGTTCAGCCTTCCTTCGGAGCATTTCAAGCTCTTCCAGTTTGCTTTCAGGATCTCCGATAGGAAAACGAACAGAACTGGTTCCCGAATCGGAATAGTAATCGCTGGTTCGTCGATTGTCGACAGACATGGCCGAGGAATTCTCCACCTTCCATCTTTCGACCTCATCCTCCAGTTCCATTTCCCTGCGGATAGAAGCGGCGAGCTCCGAGCTCACTTCCCTGAGCTCGCGCTCTAATTCTTCGACGTGTGCGTTCATCTGGGGAGACGATGATAATAAAGGAGTTCCTGGTATGTTGAAATACGATTGTTGGTTGATGGAGTTCGCCATGGGGATGTCGAGCCCAGAAGGTTTTGATTTGGAGGTCACGTTGGATTGGTTAGGGTAACGTGGGGCCGCGGAAGCGGAAGGGGACAAAGGGCTCTCGGAAAAGGATGTTGTCGGGGATTCAGGGCCGGTTTGTTTTGATGCATTCCAGCCAAAAAACGAGGAAAAGCCGCCTCCGTTTGGTTTCACCGGCCTCGCCTCTTCTTCTCTGTCCTGCTCCGTCTCGTAGATGTCCTCCTCGATAAAGTCCTCGGTCACACCGTCCAATTTGAGACGTAGGTTTTGCTGCTGTCGTGGATCTGATGTGTACATGGGCATATTGGGCATAGTAGGGGACCGAACGTGTTGTGACGCTTTCTGCAGACCTTTGATCTGGCCTACTCTGCTCTGTTGCAAGCTGCTGTTTGATCTTTCATGCCGCGGTAGTGGACCAGACGAGGTGGGATTGGTGGTGGAAATGGACAATGAACTTTTCCGGGGCTTGAAGGGGAACTTGGGGGCGGTAGCGGTTTGCGGAGTGTTGCCGTGCGGGTTACTAGGGGCGGAGGTTAGAAGTGCGCAGGCGGAAGGGGGGGCGATCGGTGTGCTCACTCGTCTAGGTTTCTGACGATGAAAAGGTCGTCGTCGTTGTTGACGGGCGGGAGTGGATGTGCGTCGATGGGGCGAGGGCCCTGGGAGGATGGGTTGTAAACTATATTAGCAGCACGTCGACTATCCCCTGCAGCATTGGATTGAAGGCTGGAGCGCGGGTGCGAGTACCTTGCCACGACTGGAGAATCGGGTGGCAGGGGCTTTCGACGAATGGGAGACTGTGCGGGGGGAGGGTTGGAAGGCTGGGAACGAAAAGCAGAGAAGGAGGAGATGTTGAGAGAGGCCAGGAAGGGTGGTTTTGACCGTGCAGCAGCAGAATCGGCGGCAGCGGGCTCGGAGGCAGGAGGATCTGGAACAGAGGCAGCCGGGGGCGTGGGGTCGAGAGACTGCATAGTTGATTAATGAAAGACCAGTATGCCGACTATCTCATGGGCATATCTCTCGTGCACAGCAGAGTGGAGAAGAAAGCGTCGCAGATAGGGCAAGTTGGAGAATAGGAGAGCCCAGAGGGGGCGTGGCGAGCAGATCTCTACGCGGCCTCTGAGCAGATGGGCGCGCTGGAATTGGCTGTGGGAGAAGTTTGGGGGAGTCGCAGGGTTGGCGCCAGCCGTGCGTGGAGCCAGGAACGCGCCGTCTCGCAGCCAATGAGCCGTTCTAGCGCCAGGGGCAGGGCGACAGGGGGTGCCGTGCAATGCAGCTATCAATACCGAGTGTGGAATGGAATGGGGTATGGGAGCGACAAGAGGAGGGAGAGAGAAGATGGATTGATTGATTGATTGATTCAAAGCAGCAAGTGGTTATGCAGGCCGCTACATAGATGGTAGGCATTCGTCGATTAATTAATTACCCGCTCCTTCAGTCACTCATCCATTCTCCGTTGCTCGCTCATTCGCGCTGGCCGACGCCTAACTGCTGTTGCTGCTGTCAGCGGAGAATGAATGAACGAGTGAATGAGCGAGCGAGCTGCGAGCATTAGGCCAGCCGGCCAGCAGCTGGCGTGTGCATCCTGCTCTCGGTCCCTCTGATGGTTGCTTGCTTGCTTGCCCAGGCCAGGCCAGGCCGTAGCCTCGTAGGTCACGATCCATCCATCGTGGCCGTTCCGAAGCATGAAACAGCCTTTGCCCTTATTCTTCCTCCCCCCCACCAGGCTTACCAGAGTGGTGCGTCTTGACTCCTTCACAGCCACGACGACAATCTCCCATGCCGTCTGCTGCCAGAGGCGTCTTACTGCAAAGACTGTAGTCAACTGCTATCACTCGACGTTGGCGCTGGCCGTGGTCCCAAGCATCAAGCGCGTTATTTCCGCAGAATGAGGCTGCCTCCCGAAGCGGCAAGTCGCAGGCTGGCGACGTGACAGGGGTCGGTGGACTCATGCAAGCGTGCGTGCATGCATCGAGAATACTTTACATAGTGGGCAGAGGAGTCCTTAGTGGACGAGGCGAACAGTGAGTTAACAACTCTGGCTAAGCCCAAAGCGCCCACGTGCATCGACGCATATGGATTGCTCTACTCGAACGTGGAAATTGACCGCCAGGGAAAAAAAGGAGATGGCAATCTTGTCCACGACACAATCTCCTTGTCGAGTCCGGCGCGGAACTACGTGTGGCCGCTCCCCCGCCATGACAGGACATGCCATGCCCCCCCAGACTCCAGACGGCTAGCCGCAAATACATGCAGCCATCCAATGCGTGCACATGCATTGCTCATGCTCGACATCGCTGTTGCAAGAGACGTAACACTTTGCTCGTCATCCATCACCACCCATACCGCCACCAAAACATCCCATCTTCATCCCCAACCCATTGTCTCCCAACATGGCGTTCCACTCCCCGCGTCAGTCGCAGAACCTGTTCCAGTTCAATCCCTCTACCCCTCCACCGCCCCCGCCAAAGCCTTCGGCGCACTCCAGTGGTACCGCCACTCCGCAGACGGGACCGCCGCTTCCTCCCCCGCCAGGTCAACATTCGCAACCCCATAACCCGCACCAACACGCTCCACCGGGATATCACCCTTCAAATGCCTCTCAGCCATCTATACCGCTCCCTGAGGATGGTTGGCTGCCCGATGTGTTAAAGGACAAGACGTATGTACGTCATACTTGAAACATGCCACTTCTCCGCTGAACCATTCCAGCACCGTGCATCTGCACCATGTACTGCAAACACCCGAACTGCAGCACGCCATTCTTCACAACCCTGAGACTACACACCCCTCCTTGTCCGCGTCTACCGCGCCCTTGCAATCATTGCTGGCCCAAAATATCGCGCTAGCCGAGTCGTTGAAGCAACTCGAGGCTCATCTGCAGCACCAACGCGAGAGCACCCAATCGCGCTTGCTGTCATTGCGTGCCCTTGAACGTCAGTGGAGAGCGAAGCAAGCCGAGCAGGATGAGGCCCTACGCGAATTCAGTCCCCCGGCCTTATATCAACGTCTTAGTGCTGCTGTCGGTGAGCAGGAGGCTCTGTGTCGAGGACTGGAAGAGAGCTTCTTGGAAGGACAAGATCTCGGCAGCACCGACGCGGTTGCCAGTGAACGAGAAGTTGCCGATTTTGTGAGAAGACTTCGAGAAGGTAGAAAAATCGCATATCTACGAGCTGAGCGCAAGGAGAGATGGGATGAGGGAAGAGTCGGGGGTTGGCGATGATGGAGCAAGCTCTGACGACAATATGACTCTTCGTGAGAATCATGCTCAATATTCCCCATGGGTAGGTATTGGTGAAGTTCCTTGATCGTTGACTTGCGACGCACCCCTAGAATTTCTGATGCTGTGCAATGTCACGAGCAAGTTGCGGTACCTAGATGCAGGCTCAGCTTAACCTATTCCGACTCACTTGCCCACTAGGCAACCATCGCCAGTCGATGGCTCCTGCTCGGGTACACTGACTACAGCCAACAAGACATTGGGCATAGCAGACATTGTACCCGCTCATTCCATTCGCAGGTTACATCTTTTGATTCCGTCCGTAGACTAAGTAAGCGAGTGTAATCCTCGATAGTCTGCAAGTGAATCATCGGGTTCAATGGATTAGCACTTCGGGGCCTGAGGGGGTTGGTGGTATATATGAATGAAAAATATCGAACTGCCCCTTTAGGACAGCCCCATCATGTCTTTCGGATATTGTACACAATCATCTTCCGCTTCCGATTCCTCTTTCCACCCGACCATTTACACACATATCATACACTTTCGTGCCCAAACACGGAACCCTATCAAATTCACCACATAGTTCTCTTCCCAATACGCGTCTTCCCCCAACATTCCTTATTCCCAGATGCCAAACCATCTCTTGACTCTCCTCCTTCTTACACCATCCTCGTCGACATAATATCTTGGATCTTCGACGTATTCCTCGCCCCTTTCCTCGGCCTCTCGGATTCTTTCGAGACGATACTGTTTTCTCTTCTCCACCTCTTCCTGTTTCCTGAGGCGCTTTTCCGCCGTCACCTGGCTCTGCTGAGCAACATGCATTTGGTAGACCTCGACTGCGCGGCGGCTCGATTGGATTGGATGCCGGAAGAAATCTTTACGGGTAGGGAGAAGCTCTGCATAGATGGTCTTGGACATGAAGTCTATGTACCACGCTCCGACTGCCAAGGTAGTCAAGATACCCTAATAACAAAACACGGTAAGCATTGTGCCGTCTTCTAATGTTCAAGGGTGGGAAGAGAGTCCTTACCAAGGTTATAAATGCGTGAAGACCCCTGTTATGCAAGAACCAGTACGAGAACGATCCCTCTGGACTCATCATGTTGGGGTATTTCTTCGTCCGCATCCTCTCCTTGTCTTCCTTTGTCAACGGCGGTCCATAGCTTCTTTGCCCCGTCTCGCTCCGTGGCGTCCTTTTCCCGTGTGATGGCGGTCGATACTTGTCGGGCTGTGGTATTACCGGCTGCGCGCTTTTCGCTTGCTGTCTTCGGCGGAATTGTTCCGAGAGCGAGTTGGGATTCGACGATGAGGATGCGTAGCGGAGCGTGGTTGTGGGGGCATTGAAGATGATCAGGCGCGGGGACGGTCGAAGCAGCTGTGGTGCGCGGGTAGCCAGGGACCGCGGTATTGAACCAAAGAGAGCCATGTCGAGCTTTGCATGGACACTGCGCGTGCGGATGCGATCATGCAGATATGGAGATGGGGAGATAATTGGAGATCTTCAGATGCCTCGGAGATAGTTTGTTCCGCGCCGCGCCGCGCCCAATACAACCATTCATCCTCATCATTGCTGGCCATGTTCACCATTACCCGTTTTGATTTTGCTTTGAATATATGTATGACTAAAATTGATCGTGCGGATACTTCCCATAGCATGCAATGAGTAGATCGCCTGATTTTTGTTCTAGGTCCTACACGAAACTATGCCTCCTAAGCCACTGTCTTTCGATTCAAGAGAATATTAGGATGATCGATTCATCTCCAATCCGCTACCTTTTGACTGGCTCGGATCGTCAGACGCTCTCGATCCACATATTATCACTGCTCTGCAAATCATTCAAGACCCTCAGCCACAGGTCTTACACATTGGTTGCGGAACATCACTCATGTCTTACCATTTGCGCGAACAACGCCAGAGCAAATCCACAATATTGACTACTCGGAAGTTGCGATCAATATCGGTCGAGAAAAAGAAGCAGAGATGTCTGGGTTCACCAATAATGCAACATCAAACCCCTCGGCAATGCGTTGGTCTTGCGTCGACCTGTTAAGTCATTCCTCCGTGCTATTGGCCTGTCAACCCTCCACATACTCTCTCGTGATAGAGAAATCAACTTCGGATTCTATCTCTTGCGCTGATGACGTGCAAGTGGCATTGCCGTACTGTATCAACGTTCCGCAAGACGCTGTTCCAGTTCCTGGAGTGAAACAAACGCAACGTTCAGTTCATCCTTTACATCTTGTGGCAATTCACCTAGCACTTGTCACCAAACCAGGGGGTCGCTGGATATCGCTTTCATACTCTGATAACCGATACCCATTCCTCGATGAATCTGGATTGGAAAATAGCATCTCCGATCCTATGCCTACTCAAAATAGTAAAGATATGACTTCACGTAGGATTGTAGACGATAGAACATTAGCCGCCGCGGGAAATGAGCTCCCAAATCCGAGCAGGCTGTGGAAGTTGGTCTGAAAGTATGGATTGGAACCTCCGACAGCAGAGATGGCCAATACCGAGGAAGTTTCTACCGTAGCTCACAAGCCTAGGGTACTACATTGGGTATATGTGATGGAACGAACATCAGTAGACCTCTGCTCGCAGCCTTGATGGCCTTGTTGTCATTGATGGCGCAGGGTACACGGTGAATGACACTGCTATATATATATACATTAACATATTAAGACAACTCCGCTGGTAATATTCGAGACTCTCATCAACCCCAGATCATGCGTAAAGGCCAGGTTTCCAGCTGCGTCGGGTCTGTTTACAAGTTAGTCTCACCGAATCTCAATATTCACATTCATTTCTCTTACCTCCCAATCGCCTCTTCCCAAAAACACGACATCTACCTTGTTCGGCTCGCCCGTCCCTCCTTCGGTGTAGTCGTATTTGATCTTCTTCCACATCAATTTGGGGTGATTTTTGATTTCGTCACCATTCATGTTCATCCCTTCCTTGCCTATCCTGCTTACAACTGGAGAAAGAAGCATGGCAAGCGAGAAGGCAGAATCATCGCGGATGATGGACTTGTTACCAAACGAGAGGAGACAGATCAAGGCGGCCAGTTGCAGGAGACAGATGCCACCCAGCAAACCAAGAACCCAAGCCCAGTCGACCTCTAGCACGGAACCCTGCACAGGTCTCGAGTACTGTTGAGTGAGGTTGTAACGGACACCGTGGTCGTCGAAGGCGGCGATTGCACTGATAGTGAAACGTGCCAGTAGATCTTCGATTGTTTTCGCGTCGACCATCTTGTTTGGACTGAACGTGGTGCCTATCATGTATACTTGTGACTGCCGATCGTCCCAGCCATTCGAGGTGGAGCCTGTCCATCCAATTGCACCAGTGGCTATCCTGGCAAAGTCGTCTGTGCCGTACAAAATCTTTTTGTCTTGCGGTGAAAGGTTGATAAACTCCGCAGAGTCTCCTTTGATCTCGGATAACGTCGTATTGCCTGAATACATTAGTGCATGCACATTGTGCAAGCCTACCCAGCCATCAAGCAGAGCATCTGCATATGCTAGGTTTTGAAATAACTTACAAAAAAATAAAGCTGATCTTATAATCTCATTACTGTCTATATCTTGATAGACCGTAAAATTCGTGCACCTAGGTCCGCAATACGAATATGTAGAAGCACTATATGTTATAGATCCATTCTGCCTGATGGGCAAATCGAACTTCGACCATCCCCGGGCGCCTTCTTCCTACGGTATGTGTCAGTGCTATCTCTACCAAGGCAAGGGCTCCATATCTATGAGGTGATCCAGCATGCGTAAATCATGCACGCAAAAAGTATTATATCGGGAAAGCGTCTACTTACCTTGACTTGAAGATATTCTATATCATCATCGTCAATGAGGTACAAGCCGCTCTCAAGTTGCTTGCAAGACGCCCGCGCCTGAACACTTCGCGATGACTGTACATAGTTCTGATATTGTCGTTCCGGGTCTCGGTTGTAGAAATTGTATTGGTGAAATCCATCTCCTCTGTAGAGCGGTGTCCCTGGAGAGCCGGCCAGATCGCCATCCTGCTGATCAAGCCCGCGAACCGGATATATGGATCCTTCCATGCCTCTTGTCCAAGCAGCATCCAATGCAGTGGTGTTGGGCCACCAACCATCTCCTGCTACTTCATCCGTCCACGAAGTCAAGTTGGCCACAGTAACATTTCCGTAGGTCATCAGCGGCAGTGTGTTGGAGGGTTCAACAGGCCAGAAGAGAGACAGAGATGCAACAAGGATCTGAGCTCCCACATTGACCAAAAGCCACAGCATACAGACGATCCAAGTGAAATGTGTACCATCATCGCGCCCATCGCGGAACCAAGGGAATTTGCGCAAAAACTTGAGTCGTCCTTGGGGTCCTATGCCAGGCAAAGAGATTACCATAAGCTTGCCCACGTTTGTCAAGGCCTCTAGATTGAGGATGAGATCAAAGACTTCTAGAGAAACGTATCGCCGTGTAAGTAAGGACCATCGAAGAATCGTTGCGTAGCGCTTTAAGGAGCTAGCGAGGTTCAAACCAAGGCCTAGGGACAGGCCCAACATGAGAGCGTTGAAGATGCGCACTTGAACTCTATTCATGACGTAAGGTTCTTCAAAACCTGTGTATGCTTTGAGCGAGATTCCAATCAGAAAACCTATTATTGAAGGTACGAAGTTAGCTTGAAACTGCTCGAGAACACGTCACTGCATCGCCGATATTTGCACCAGCTACGGCACGCGGGATTGTATCCTCAACAGATGTGTACCAGAGATATTACGCACTGAATGCCAGAGTCACCCCCAGCCTGTACGTCCCAACTCTAATGAGTGCTAATCGCGAAATGCGGTGGTCGTATGGCTTAGCTGTAAGCAGAGATCTTGAATCGCTATCGGTTGGTGTTCCGGCAGGCTGGTAGGCATATTCGCTTTTATATATTGGTGACGACATTTGCGTATGGTGGGGCTCGTCCATGTGGTGCGTCGAAATATCACCCGCGTCGTAATCCGTATTCGGGGAGTCATGGGGATCATACGGACGGTCGTATGGGCTTTGCGAGGAAGACCTTCTATCTATCGAGAGAGACGGGGTCTGGTTCAGTGCCGTGCTGCTAGGAGCGAGAAGCCCTGGATTGCTACTCATTATGAACAATCCTTATCATCCGCCTAACCTCCAGACTGTTCGGTTTCGATGGCACAAACGATTTTTTTTCGTATACAATATTGTCTGATTTGAGCCGAAAATGTGAAGAATGGTTTGGAGAATGTAAACTGGACACTTTCGTGTCCGAGGGTTCAAACTCAGAATATCGAAAGTGCGAAGAGTCTGCAGCGATAGGCGCGCTGCATGCTATATAACCACATCGTAAAGACGGAACAGTGGCATGGTTCTTAGCTCCGAGGGGGCGATTTCGATAATGTTCTAGCCGGTACCAATACTTCGCCTCAATACGAAGTAGGAGCACTGCGCAAATGTACACAGTACGGACTCGATTGCAATGCAGGATACCGCCTATCAAGGGGCAGTAGGCAAGGCTGAAGCGGCGTTTGACCGGGGCTGGGAACAAATTAGGTAAAACCCCTCGAAAGCTACGGTGTATTCTTACCCAGCAATGGGGCGGAATCAAGAAACAACACTCTCGAGCCGTTTCATAGTGGTCTGGGATGCAAGAATCCTGCATGTAATGCTGGGGGCCAAAACCCCCCCTGCAGTATGCTGTTGCTTGGCACATCTGCAGCAACCACATTCTGTAGTAGGAGAAGACAAGTCAACAGATTTCTCACAAGCTTCCGACAATCTTTTACGTGCTGAGCACCGAAGTAAGAATTGTTCCAAAAGTCAGTGTTTTGTAAAGAGTTGAGCCAACCCTCGCAAGATTCAATGGAGCCAGGTGGGAGGCTAGGCCGAATTCGATCAAGCGTACGCGACGAGAAGCTGATGCGCCATGTCGGGCATGAACAAAAACGCCTTCAGTGTCTTGTGAGAGTCGTGATGTCAAAGACAATTGAGACGAGAAACAAAAGCTAGCGGTATCGGGACGACATCTCGCGAGGGTGATCAAGCTTCGTGGGGGTTTGCTTTGGTTTTTGGGTATAAACCCATACGGTACCACACTGTCAACAAATGATGACAAAGGAGGGCGGGGTGACGGATAATCGTGATCCCATCATGGCTATGTTCGATTCCAGCCACTGACCATCAATTTGCACGTCCTGTCTGTCCCAGTTCCCAGCATCAATATGACGACCAAGGTTGTTCTGTATGATATTCCATCCAAACCACCCCAGCAGGCGTGGTCGTTGAATCCATGGAAAAGTGAGTGCAACTCCAAACTTAGAACGACCGGTACTGCTTCGTGTGACTATATGCAGCTGTCTGATCAATGACTTCCCTAAACATCTCCATATTACTCAGTAACCTCGCTAACCCCCATAGTTCGAATGGTCTTGAACCTCAAGGGAATCGATTACGAAACCGTGTGGCTGGAGTATCCAGACATAGCGCCAACCCTGAAAAGCTACGGCGTGCCCCCGAATGACAGGAGCGCCCCCGGAATTACCGCAGACTACTCTAGTCCAGCTATACGCTATGAGGACAACACGCTGTCTATGGATTCCTGGAAGATCGTTTACGAGCTCGAGAAGCGGTATCCGTCTCCATCTCTCCATCTTGATGACTCCATCGTACTGAAAATCAGGGACCATATTGATCTCATGAGAACCCCATTGAACGCCCACCTCATGCCCAAAATACCACGCAACTTATTGAGTAAAGAATCTGCCACGTATTTTGAATCCACAAGGGAGATAAGGTTCGGAATGCCATTGGCCCAGCTCGAGGAGCAGAAGGCGAATGAGGAAGCCTGGGAAAAAGCGAAAAGACCAGCGGAAGAGGCAGCCGATCTCTTGAAACAACATGGGGGACCGTACTTCTTGGGGCAGACCGGTGAGTCTTGAAAAGCTGGGCTGCTCATTTCTGAGTCCTACTGACATGATCATAGTCTCGTATGCTGATTTCATTCTGGTTTCATTTTTGCACTTCGTGAAAAGGATCGACGAGAATGTATACCAACGGTACCTAGACTTCGACCCTGCGTTCGCAACGGTCTATGAAGCTTGCAGACAATGGCTGGTGAAGGATGATTAAAGCAGGGATAGACAAAGGCAAAGACTGGCATGGACCGACGTATTAGTCTGCTACAGCCATAATCTCAGCCACCCCCTACTCCTCTCCTGCTTGATCGTCCACCTTAATGGCCTGGTATCAAACAAGTATGTCAGTCGGAAGATATATATATCACAAAGGTAGAACGATCAGTCGGTACTCACTGGTTTATCCTTTTCACTGTCTCGTGCAGCTCTTTTGGCCTTCATCCTGTTCCTTTTGCTTTTCTTGAAAGCCAGCATTTCTTCTTTTGTGCCATTTTTGGGCTTCCGTTTGCTACCTACGCTGCCTTGTGGCTGGCTTCCAAGCTGTTGAGCTGACGGGAGGCGGCGTTTTATGCCCTTTCTTCTCCCAGTCGGTTGCTGGTTGGCTGTTGTCAACCCTTCAAGAGTATAGTCAATATTTGCTTTTATAGTGTGCACAATGAATAAATCTTACCACCATTTTGTTGATTCTTCTCTGTAGATTCGTTTGAGGCATCGTCGTTGGTCAGCTCCTTGCGATCAAGTGGATTCAGGGTTTCTGAGACCAATTGAGCAGCTCTTTCCACGAGCTTGCGGTCAGCTTGGTAAGTAAGTGTCGTAATGGCCTCTGCGACAGGAAGAAAATGGGGCTCATAGTCTGCCTCTCCTGGCAATTTCTCGAGCTCCTCATTGGAGGGATCTAGAGCGGCGATATACCACCAAATGATCTTTGTCCTCTTCGGGTTCTTGTATTCTCGGATCTCACACGTGAAGGGTTCGGTGAGGTTCTCGAATACGCGCGCTTTATCAGCAATGAGCGCAGCGGCATCCGGTGGCGTAGCCCTGGTTTGCATGGTGACAGGAAACAAACTGCATCGAAAACCAGTTTCCTCGGTGACCTCTCTTATGGCAGCTTCGTTTCTTGATTCGCCATAATTACGGCGGCCTTTAGCTAAAAGCCATTCTTTGTGAACTTTGGTACGTATCAAACAAACAGAAAGGTTTTGTGGGTCGGTTAAGTTGAACAATATCGCACCACAGCTCTCCACAAAGTTTTCTGATGTGATATGACGGCTGGCTGACTTTGGTTTCTTGCCTTTAGTCGTGGCCATTTTTTTTAGCTTGTTGGAGCTGATTTGGGGCGTCGCGGGAGAACGATAAAGGGTTGGATGGCTCAGAGCTCTGTGTGATTCATGATTCATTGATTGGTGATTGTCTAGAGTGAGAGCTAGCTACGTGTGAGGGCCATGATACACACCGGGAGAACCTCGGGTATTTATCACGTGACCAACCTCCCAGGAAGCGTCGCGCGTGAGCACGTGACTTTCAGGAACACTCACATTCAATCAATTGATGTTCCAAGGTTGAACGTTGTTCACCATCGATCTGCTAATGACATGCCATAGTTGATGGAAAAAATACTTTGACAACACCATCCTACGTCTCGTTCGTTCATATGTTGGATCGGCATGATAAGGTTTTCCGACATTCTGACACTGAACGTTTTGCAACAACAGCTATTATCGACGCGGATGAACTAGAGGGCGAATCACGAACGACTGGGAGGGTTTATCAGCTATGCCAGAGATATAGATTGAGCGGAGACAATGCAGGCATAGCCCATAGACATGCATCAACGATCAATCAATGCCGTATGTGGTGACCCTTATTTCCACGTCGTAATTTTATCCACATCAACATCCCCTTGTAGTTAGACCCTCACTACCATTGTCGCGACGTCATATACCTATCACTGGTCCACAAGCTTACTCCACAACATGCAGGTGTGACGGAGCTTCAGTCTATAAACCCCACCTCAATTGACTGGACATCATGTTTTCCACTGCTTCATCCATCCGCACTGCAGCGCAGAGACTCACCCAAACATCGGCCCACTTACAATCTCGAACGTCAATGAGAATGGCTCACAACAGTACTACAGCAAAGCTCAACACGGGAGCAAAGATCCCCGCCTTGGGATTCGGAACGTGGCAAGATAAAGAGGCGCAGGAGCCAGGTGAGTGATGTCGTCACGCCTGCTTTGAATTGAATTGACTTTCTTAACAGCCGTCACAATCGCCTTGAAAACCGGGTATCGCCATATAGACACAGCAAGAATTTACGGCACTGAGCCTGCCGTTGGCAATGCCATCAAAAAGTCTGGCGTTCCGCGTTCTGAAATCTTTCTTACGACAAAGTTGTGGAATAATTCGCACCATCCCGATGACGTGGAGAAGGCACTAGATGATTCGTTGAAGGACCTACAGACAGATTACGTGGATCTTTACTTGATGCACTGGCCGTCGCCATTTGCAAGGGGTGATGAATCGTTTCCCAAGGATGGTAACGGCAAAACGAAGACAGGCGATTCAGACTACGTAGACACGTATAAGGCGATGGAGAAGTGCTTCAAGTCTGGGAAGGCGAAGGCTATTGGCGTTTCGAACTTCAGCAAAGCCGAGCTTGAAAGGCTACTCAAGGAAACATCAGTTGTTCCCGCCGCCCATCAGATCGAGCTGCACCCCTGGTTGCAACAAAATTCCTTCACCGAATACCACAAACAGAAAGGCATTCACGTCACACAGTACTCTCCCTTTGGCAATTCCAACGAAGTATATGACGGTGGAAAGAACATGGGCAAGCTCATTGAGGACCCCGTGCTTGTCGAGATTGGTAAGAAACATGGCAAGAGTGGAGCACAAGTTGCACTGGCTTGGGGCATTGCCAAGGGACATTCTGTCATTCCGAAATCGAAGACGGAGTCTCGCATCAAACAGGTGTGTGAAAACGATGTTTGCGGGCGAATTCATTTGGCTTACCACGCACGCAGAACTTGGAAGGCGACTTTACACTACCGGCTGAGGATGTTGAAAAGATCACTGGCATTGACAAGAAGTTGCGTTTCAACGACCCGAGCAAGAACTTTGGGTGGAACTTCTACACCGATCTGGATGGAAAGAAATAAGGCAGAGGCCACGAGGACTTGAGGATGTGAACAGACTGTACAATACTTGTAAACCTTTTGTCAATTTAGCATTGATTCTTCCCTATTCTACCAACCCGAGCATGTGAAGGGTAAGCGAATAGTATATGCTCGGCCAGTTCCTTTAAGGTTGAATTTGAGTCGGCCACGTCATTTTCATCATCCCCAGCAACTTCAAGACAAGCTTTTCTGGGAATAACTACTCAAGGTCTAGCTGCTTTGCGTCTATCTTCCATTGGGCGCGGATATTGGGTCAGCACCATCGCTACCTCTCAATATTCAAGATTCATCACGGTAACATGCGTAGTTCACTCCAGGAGCGCAACGGCACACAATTACTACATAAACTACTTAAACAACTACATACAAGAACCAAATCCCCCTTCCAATTCCATCCAAGCGACATGTCCTCGTCCGACCCCAAACATGGCACATGATTCAACAAACATTACCTCCCAACAAACACTCGATCCCAACAAACACTCGACCATCAAGAGCAGAACAAAAACAGCAAAAGGTATCTCGCCAGACCGGTCCCCAAAGAAATAGGTCAAAAAACAACGTTGCATCATAAACAGAAGGTTGAAGCCGAGTGCGCCACCCCCTGGAACTCCAACCCCATTTTCTCGTGCGCTACCCTACCCTAGGGATATCGCAGTGTGCCGCTTTACAGGAGGAGCATGGCAACGACGCCCAAGGCGCCAGCGATGCTGGAACCCAGAACGTGGGTCGAGAAACCGGCAGCAGCGCCGTTTTGGTTGGCAGGTGGTGCAGTGTTGGAGGAAGCAGGGGGCGAGGATGGCGCAGACAAAGTCGGGGAGTTGATGGAAGTCACCGAAGTGGAGTTTGAGCCGGAAGAGATGGTGGCGCCAGTGGATGCGACGAACGAAGCGGAGCTCGTTACAGAAACAGATGGAGCTGGGGTCGAGGACGCAGAGGAGGACGAAGAGGAGACAGCAGCAGAAGACGAGGAAGGCGCGGCGGTAGCCACAGGGTACAACTCGGCCAAGATAACCTTGACGTCGGTGGGGAGAGCTCCGTACCAGCTGGGAGTCTGGCCGGCAGAGACGGCGGATGCGATTTCAGAGATGAAGGCAGGCTGGTTGGAGATGGCGGCGGCGACGGCAGAGGTAGGGAGCGCGTGAGCGAGAACGTCCAAAACGGACTCCTTGACTCTGTAGGGTTGGTTAGTCGCTGCAATATTTGATCTATTTTCTCTTTTTTTATATTCTTGTCGGATGCGCAGTGGTAACTGGTGTATGAGTTGTATATCCTCTGAGCGCATTTGGTGTTTTGTGGGCCGGCTGGGGACTACTCACTCCTTGGGATAGTCCTTCTGAGCTGCGACCGAGGCGGCCATAGCGGCCGACACAACGATAGCCTTGAACTGCATTTTGGGATGGATAGAGGGTAAATTAGAAGGAAGGGCGTGTGTGGATTACAGCAAAGACGGAATGAAAAGAGTGAAGCGATAAATGAGTGTGTGCAACGACGAGTTCGCGCGGGAAAATTGAAGGGGAAAAGCGAGTGGTTCCTCAATTATGCGGAGACGGAAAGGGAGTGAAACACAGGCGGGCGGGAGGCGCACTTATGGCTGGCAAGCAACCTGGCAATTGTCACGATGCCGACCAACCCTGGCGCTTAACCGCTTCAACTCGCAGCGAAATTAGGCCCAGCATCTTGTCTCTACACGAACGGGCCCGGCATCCATCAGATGCTTAGGTTCGCCCCAATGGAAGAGGATCGCAGCCCGGGACTATTGAGCGTGAAATTGCACGCACACCTAGGCGCGCACGCGACAAAACACCCTGTACAGTGGACATACTATAGTAGACACACTGACTTGGTGGATGGGTGGTGTAGCATCTCAAGCGGCTCAGAGACGTGCATTGGATACCGCAATTTATTTGCTGCGCCGCTCCGTCTCATATCGCCACAAAGAAAAACACCAACACCCGCTCTGATGCCGGGTTTGTCTGAAGGCTACCAGCGCGAGAGAGGCTCAGCGAGAGGCAATGTGTGTGAGTGAGTGAGGAGTGTCATTGCTGTCTTACTGCAACTACCGCGCCGCCAACCTCTCGTAAATTTAGATTCGGACATGCTCTCTGGAGGAAAGCTTGTCGCTGATGATAGCCCCCAGCAACCACCGAGACGAATCAGCGAGAGTCCCTCGAGTCGGTTGGCCCCTTTGCGCTTTCATTTCCCGCCCCCTACCCCAAGATCCCCCGTCACATCACATCCCGTAACTGCGAGATCGTCCCATCTGTTGGCTGCATTTGCGGTTAATTGCTATTACACCAAATCCTCCGCGCGAGTCCCCTGGGGAGGACCTGCAGCTGCTTTTGACCACAAGAAGCCAAAGGGCATAGCTGATTGATGATTTGCTAGGAGAAACTGCCATGATTGATTACTTCTTCCTCGTCCTTCGCAATCTGAGAACATGTCACCAAAGCCGAAGGAAGACTAAAAGATGAATACGCGAACTATGCCCCGCTGCCCTGTGCCTGACTCTCCGTAGCGTCTTCATCGCAGCAGCCCATGATGCCAAATTTCCCGGGCGGGCCTTGGATAGCAAAGACAAGTAGTCATGCCGAAGAGAAAAAAAAAGGGAAGAAAACGACAGGGCAGTCGCAACAGCACGTGGGGAATAGCATAGAGCAACGACAAGACACTCGGATAGACGCGATACTATGCCGACAAGGGAAGGTCGGAAACGAGATTAGTCTGTTGTAATCCTCGGAAAAGGATTCACCAAAAGGATGATCGTCGGTCTTCACTCCCATTGGGATTTCTGCATAGACGGCGAATGACAAAATTGTTCATCTTTTGTACTTTCACGCTCTCAGCGCCAATAGCTGACGGGAGGATATCTGGATACGGTAATGATGCGTTCATGATATGACCAACTAATCAAACCAACGAGGCAAGCTAGCGACGAGCGGGTACTTGAGAACGTGATGTATGTGATATATGTGGACTTGTACATGTCTGCCCGTGGACGTCCAACTACTAGTCACGCGTGACTGCTCCTTCATTTTACCATTCACTGTATATATGTAGCCTCACATCCCAACATCCTATGGGTATACCTTTTCCAATGGGAGTCGGCCAAATGCAGTCCCCGCCTCCTTGAAAACACCATCACGACATCCCAAACCATCAAGAACAACGATGACTGAATGACAAGAATAATAAACGAAGCGATACGAGTATATGTGTATGTGTGTATTACGTCGACCTACGGCACAAGATGCGTTATGTACATGGACTCATGGTGAGCTAGAAACGTCAAGTGGTATATTAACAAGATTATAAGACCCTAACCGTCTATGACCGAACAAGAATGAAAGAAGAAGGATATTTTTGCGGCTTCCTTTGGAACCGACAGCCAGAATTCGCTTCCACGCGTGCGCAAACAAAATCACGCATCCGTGTGCGCTTCCAATGAAGAACCATGCATTCCCATGTGTGCGACCCGTTGTTCTTGCGAACGAAAATACAAAGGATTAAATCAAGAAGAGGACCCGCGTTCTGAGGCGCAATCCCATATCAGGCAGCGCTTACAACCAGCCCATCATTGCCACCAACACAAGACCTAACGCGGCAAAGCTTCCCATCTCCACGCCGCTGGCTGACCTCATTCCGGCGCCGGTGGTAGGTGGTGGTGAACCTGGCAGTGTTCCGTTGGAGGTGCCGTTGCTTGGCTGTGCGGTGGCGGTCGCGCTCGCGTATGTGCAGCCTGAGAAGTTTATGAAGACGCTCTGCTTTGAGTTTGTGGTCTGCGAGCAGTCCCAGGCGAAAGTGGCGGTTGTGGTGTTTGTTGTGCCGTTGCCAGAAGGAGAAAGTGTTGGGAAAGAGGTCACGGCAGGGGTGGAGCTGGTGATGGAGCCGGCGCCCGAGCTAGAGGCAGAAGATGGAGAGCTGCTAGAGGCGGGGAAAGGCTGGTTCTTGGTGGTAAGGGTGGTTGGGGCGGGCGTGGATGATGGGGCGTCCATTGTGAAGGTAGATGGGATTAGGTGACTTGGGTGGAAGTTGCGAGGATGAGTGCCGTTGGTGTTGTGGTGTGATGGGTGAAAGCGAGCGAAGGATCAGACGGGATCAACAAGACTGCGAGAGTGTCGAGGATCAGATGCAGGCGCAGAAAGAGGAACAAATGCAAGGAGCGGTATGTGCAAAGACAAAGTGTTGTAGGAGTGTTAGAGAAAGTGAGAGAGAAAAGGTTGGATGGAGGATAAGTTTGGCAGAGAGGGAAAGAGAGATGGAGATGGAGAGACGGGAAATAGGACTGGACCACTCCCAGTGCTAGGAAGCTGAGGACGACAGGGCTAACCCAAGGCGGAAAGCGACTAACGGCATCGGTCGGTCAGGGCGCGGCTGTCGCTAGCCAGACAGGCACGCCCCGTCTTTTTTTGGCGAGTGGCCAACAGAAACTCTATAGCCATTTCAATTGGCGTATACTTCGCTGTGGTAGTGCAGTCTTTCTGCGGAAACAAAGTCTTGAGCGACATCTGCTATACTCGGTCTCCACTCGTGCTGGGCGCCTGCTTTGCCTGCGATTCAGACAGACGGCTTGAAGCCTGCAAGGGTTCTCGGGTGCGTGGAGAACAGAGGCGAAAGAAAGGAACACCAGTGGCAACAGCAAAAACAACAGCATGAAGCAGACCGGTCTACTTGGTTACGGTACCATGTAGCACCTACGTTACGTACCACCCAATTCTTTCATGTTTGGTCCTCTTCTCTGTGCGCATTAGCATGTGCATACACAAACCTCTGTTTGTTGGGACACATGACCGTCTCCCGGCAACCCACCACCTGACATGGTGACTTGCAAGCCTACCCGACTACATATGTATTTGCGTGCTTGCTTGATCTCCCCACATGCCTGCGCAGTCGCAAACAAATGACTGATTTACTAATGTACATGCATCCGCCTACATTGGCATGATTCAAGATACAGCCTCCAGCAACATTTAATGCTTCAATTGCCTATTCGGGTACGCATGTACCTTGCACATGAGCACCCGTGGCCCGAGCGCGTCACTTCACTCTTCACCCTCCTCCACCTTGCACTTCACCTCTAATCAGCCGCGCCAATGGTGCACAGTACCCATGTACAATAGCTTGCGTACGATACTAACAATACCATTCGCCGGCAGAAGAGAATACAGCCGCAATATCGCTGGCAACCGCCTAACGGATGAAGCCATAATTAAGCTTTGCCATACACAGACTAGCACCCTTTCGCGAATCAATTCCTACACGTCTCACTGAACCATCCTCCTGTCGTCCTTGTACTGTACACCAACCCAATTCTCTTCTCTTCTATTCGACTGCAGCAGTCTGCCCGTCTGTCTGCCCGTCTGTTGCCAGACCAACACACAATGTCTGCTCAAGCCGCCGCTGGCTCGGTCATGGTGCAAGATCCCGCCTCGGCATCTGGTTTGGATTCCAAATCTGAGCAAGACGGCACTAAAGCCGCCCCCTCGGCCAACACTCGTGCCCCCTCCGAAGACGACGACGACGACGACGACGACGCCGGCCTGTGGGAATCCGAATCCTACCTGGAAGATATCTTGAATGAGTCTGAAGAGGCCTTCGAGCACCCGACTAATGGTGAGCCCGCGCGCTGTCCAGTAATCGAACCGCAACTGACGATATATCCCAGCAGACGCTGTCACCCCCGATGAAGCACGCCAGATTCGACAACGCCTTCACGATATTGGGACCAGCCAATTCGTCCTCGACTACATCACCTCGGGTCGCTACACGGCGCGCAAGCTGTGCACCGCTTTCGAGATCATCCTCCCCGATGATATAGACAACATTCCAGATGAATACTTCTACAGGCTGCTGGGCTTGGCCATCAATCGCGAACTGAACAAACGTCCGCGCTTATACAAGTACAAAACAATTGATGATGCTGCCAAGTTGTTGCGAGAGCGGAGGAACATCATGGTCATCACTGGCGCTGGCATCTCCACAAGCTTAGGCATACCCGATTTTCGGAGTAAAACCACGGGATTTTACGAAAAGTTGATTGCCATGGGCTATGAGGAACCCGAGCAAGTTTTTGACCTGACCGAATTCGACAGGGATCCAACCATCTTCTATAAACTCGCGGGCGAGATCATACCAGATCTGAAGAAGTGGACTCCGACGCACGAGTTCATACGTTTGGTCCAGGATCACAACAAGCTGCTCACAAATTACACGCAAAATATCGACAATGTGGAGTCGCATGCAGGCATAAGGAAGGAGAAGCTGATTCAGTGCCATGGTTCCTGGGCAACAGCCACGTGCCGCAAGTGTGGATTCAAGGTGCCAGGCGAGGACATTTATGATTCCGTTCGTTCCCACGAGCCAGCTCGATGCAAGCGGTGTGTAGAGCAAATCGCAAGCCAGAAGCCGGGGATGAAACGCAAGAGAAGCTCCAATGGCTCCAAGAAGAGACGCGGGCCTAGTGAGGATGACTCCGATTCGGACGGTGCTTACGACATCCCGGAGGCCGGCATTATGAAGCCTGACATTACATTCTTTGGCGAGCAGCTTCCGAATGACTTTTTCGATCGACTCAAAGAGCACGACAGGGAGAAGGTCGACCTGGTCATCGTTATGGGCACAAGCATGAAAGTGGCACCTGTCTCGGAGATACCAAATTTCTTGCCGCGCGATGTGCCCCAAATCTTCATCTCCCGAGACGTAAGCGTATGCACCCTTCATAATTGACATGTCCGTTAACAGTATGTCAGCCTATCAAACACATCAATTTTGACATCAATCTCCTTGGAGACTGCGACGTTGTCGTAGCTGAACTAGCTCGCCGTGCTGGTTGGGATCTTAAACACAAAATGATTCCTTCTGACCAGCAAATCCAAGTGGAGCCTTATGACGGTCTCGAACACACGTACCGTGTGGAAGTAAAGGGCTCTGTTGGAGCCAAGGCTCCCGATTTATGATTTTTCAATATAACGTAGATACCCATGGCGTTGGGTGGGATGGATGCATCTTCATTGCTTTGAAGCCACTGGTGTCGTGGCTTGGTTTAAATTATTACATTGTTTACAGTTTTATGGTATACGATCACGATCCCATTGGAAATGAATGAATATTCGGTTTTATACTTGTAATGGTCGACATCTGCTTCACCTACCTATACTTGTGATTTTTCAGGTTGTGATAGTTTCGTTCGCTCCATGGAAGAGCCTACCCAACAAATCATTAGTGAGCCATATCCAAACCATCTGATATGTAGTCAACGATTTACAGAGTCTTTTGCGACTCCTTCGTTGCTGCTTTGCTTGATGAGTAACACAGCCAGCCCATTGGACCCCCTGCTCGCCCTATCGCCCCGCTTCTCCACTAGTGGACTTGAGTGCTTGCATCAAGCTCCCGAAGCTCACATTTTCACCTACCAACACGCGCAATGCTCGACATCCACAAGCCCTCGGGTCCCGACACCAAGATTTACTTCTCACACAGCCATCTCCCAGCCTACATAGATCCACAGAATGTTTCCACCAAGAAGAAACCTTTCTCATCCTTCAACGCGCAGCCATTTTCCCATACAGTACGTGCAGCGCGTCGCGGACATGCCCGCAAGATGAGTAGCGTGGTACTGATTTGCTCTTAGCTGGATTTGATCCTGCCTGTAGAAATCTATGAGCTGGTGCGATTGCAACTCGGGCGAGAAGATGGTGCAGGAAGAGGTGTATATACCAAGGTCTTCATGCGACTGGAAGAGTTGCTAGAAGGAGAGTTTTTCACTGAATACATCAAAAAGGGTATACCCTCCCCTGAACCGGCCTATATCCCAAGTGGTACTGTGAAGCATAGTGGCTTATTCAGTGTAGGTAACATCATGATGCTCTCCGAGGGGCGCCCTCTTGTCGATAATGTTTTCTCGCTCTATGAAGGCATGCTGAGACTAGAGCTCGACCGGCCAACCTATGAAAAAGTCGGCTTACAGGGGAAGCCTATTGAAGACGGAGGTAGAAAGCACCAGTCAAATCGATGGGGTATGCTTGCATCCTCTTTCCCGAGCTACAGGGACAGAAACGGCTGACGATTGACAGTCATCGAATGCAATCTCCGGTTACCTAATATGATGCCTGGCAAGAAGGGTTTCTCTCGTCTTCAATGGGCCTTTAAGAATGTGCTCAATCGCAGCATAACATGGTTGTTCTACAACTTCAACCCAACTGCGATCGAATCGCTACGGGCAGGACAGGAGCCCATATCCCAACATCAACCATGCATCAAAAGCATTGAGCCCGTCATTTCAGATCTACCCAATACGCTCCTCCCCGATATCTCTGTTGCAGATCTATCGCAGTTGTACGATCACGAAGGGACCCTCGATCTTTACGAGTATATACAAATGCTGTGCCTAACGTCGCCCCGCGTTTCCGCGCAAGATTCCATTGATCCTCACCTCTCACGTTACGAAGTGCCTTCGCTGGGTGCTACTAAACCAAAATCTCGAAACATGGTGAGGGTACGCTGGCAGGGTTTCATCAGTCCACAATTTGCGAGGGAAGTGTTCCTGATGGTGAGAAAAGAAGGGCTGAGGATTGATAAAGATGGACAGGATACTGAACAAAGTACATCAAGAAACGCCGAGGGGAGTTGGATAGCCATGAGTGCTAGCGCATTTGGGGGCGTGAAAGCTTGGACGGTCATGCAATGGGCAGGATCAGAGACTTTGACGTGGGAAAGCGACCTTGTCTGACCCTCTTGCCAGTCATCTCAACCCACTAATCTGTTCACGTTCGCTATCAAAGCATTCCAACGGAAACGAGGTGGGATGCTTTGTAGATAGACGAATCCTTCCCTCTGTACTATGTTAGTTTTCTAGGGTCCATTTTTGCAAAATGTTCCTTGCTCACTTGTCGTTCCTCGAATCCGGCGAGACTGGATCCGCAAGTGATCAACACGTTTTCGTCTTCCAAATCATGTACGCGGCCTCGTGCAAGTAACTACCAAAACACATTTACCAAAGAGCAGTAGTGGTACATGAACCTGGTCGGCAAATACATCATTGATCTGCAGCGATGGAAAGCGGGGTAATTGTACTTTGAGTATCGTGACCTCATCTACACCACCTCTGCCGTCTTGATCTTGGTGAACATCGGTCGTATCATACATTCAAAATACGAGTCGTGAGCCCTTCTTTACCTATCTGACTGTTGTTGCGACCCCGGTCCCACAAAGGTAGTACTGAACCACCTCTTTTCTTAGCACCTGATCCGACAAGCCAATCGATTCAAGATCCCTGCCTTGTGGTATAATAGACACTGATTTTAGAAATATTGCGAAGTCAGGCAACTCGGTTGAAGCGCCGTTCTCAGGGCATATTGGGGAGAGGGAAGCTATAATCTTTGCGCCAAGTTCACAAATCGTGATTTTTAGGAGAATCGTCAGCATGGGCAACTTTAAGAGGTCAATTCTAGCTGCTTCACTAGTTTCGACAGCTTGTACGCAAAAAGTTCTTGATTTGAGCACGATTGAATGGACATTGACAAGTCCAAACTTCACATACATCTCCGTGCCAGGATATGTACCGTCGCAAGTTCATCTTGATCTTCGTGCGGCACAGGTAAGTTGATTCTGCAAAGCTGTAGGCCCAAATTCACCTTGCATCCAGGTTATCGGGGACCCTTTATATGCCCTAAATGAATTTAATTTGCGGTGGATACCTTACTCGAACTGGACTTATACCTCATCTCCACTTTCAGAATTGTAAGTATGTTGTTCTCCGAGAAAGTACATCAGACTCATTTGAATTCATTTAGAAGCAAAGATACAGTTACCACATGGATTGTTTTCAATGGTTTAGACACATTTGCCTCGATTCAGCTCTGCGGACATCATATAGCAGCCACGAACAATCAGTTCAGACAGTACGCCTTCGACGTAACAGATGCACTGGTCTCGTGTAATGACCCGGTGCTCTCTATCGATTTTGGGAGCGCCCCGATTATTGCAAATGCAACTGCTGAACTGCCCGGTCAAAATTGTTCGTAAGCTCGCGGATCATGTCAGCTACGTACTAACTCGTAATCTACAGCATGGCCTTATGGTGTCCAGCAGCTTTATGAGTTTCCGAATCGAGAGTTCATCCGCAAAGAGCAGAACGATTTCGGGTGGGACTGGGGACCTGCCTTCTCGCCGGCTGGTATCTGGCAGCCTGCTTATGTGGTTCAACTAGCATCCGACCAAGCGTACGCCCTTAATACTCTGGTGGATATCTATCGGGAGGAGCAGAGGAATCTCTTGCCTCCGGATCAATCTAGGGACTGGGTACTCAATGCAAGCATCGACTATGTCGGCTCGCTGCCTCCCAATGCAGATATTCAGTATACTCTCGAGAGAGGGAGTAATACAAGTAACCTCAGTGGGAGATTGGGAAATATCACCCTAAGCAAGGGGAGAGTGACCGGTAGTATAATCATACCTAGCGATGCTGTAGAACTATGGTGGCCTGTAGGTATGGGCTCACAAACGTTATACAACCTGACCCTCCACGTTGTGGGCGATCAGGGGAACACCATAGTCACAGTCAACAGAAGGGTTGGATTCCGCACCATTTTCAACAATCAGCTGCCGGTATCGCAGGAACAGCTCGAACGCGGTGTCGCTCCAGGAGCAAACTGGCACTTTGAGATCAATGGACACGAGTTCTATGCCAAAGGCTCAAATTTCATCCCCCCAGATCCATTTTGGCCATCGGTTACAGAAGAGCGTATTCGTGTCTTGTTTGACAGTGTCGTTGACGGGAACCAAAACATGCTGCGAGTCTGGTCTTCAGGGGCTTATGCGCCAGACTTCATGTTTGATCTTGCCGACGAGATGGGTATATTGCTTTGGAGTGAGTTTCAATTTGGATGCGCCTTGTATCCTGTGGATGAAGCTTTTCTGGAGAATGTTGCAGAGGAGGCAGAGTATCAGGTCCGCCGTGTGAATCATCATCCGTCGCTGGCTTACTGGGCTGGAGGCAACGAGCTTGAGAACCTTGAGCTCGCTCTGGTTAATAAGACTGCACCGGAACAGTATCCAAAGTATCTTGCAGAGTACGAAACGCTGTTTCTGGATACCCTGGCGACGATTGTGTTTGCCAACACCCGGAGCATATCGTACTCTCCGTCCAGTACTACCAACGGTTGGCAGAGTTTGGACTTCTCAAAGATGCAGCCAATCACTCAGAGGTATAACAATCTTACACAGGGATCGATATATGGAAACACTGGTCTGTAACACTGGCAATTTTCTCACAAGTGTACATCACTGACTCCATACTGCAGATCACTACAACTATAATCCCTCGCAAGCATTCAATCTGTCTACGTATCCCGTAGGCCGGTTTGCAAACGAATTCGGTTATCACTCAATGCCGTCGCTCCAGACATGGCAACAAGCCGTAGACGCCGCGGACCTTCATTTCAACTCTACCGTCGTCATGCTTCGGGACCACCACCCTCCCGCAGGCGGTACCTCTACTTCAAACATCTACAACACTTCCATCGGGCAAGGCCAGATGACAATGTCAGCCCAGCGCTGGTACCCTGTTCCGAACAAGACGGATCCCCTGGCCAACTTCTCCGCCTGGTGCCATACAACACAAATCTTCCAAGCCGACTTCTACAAAGCCCAAATCGCCTTTTACCGCCGGGGGAGCGCCCTCCCCGAGCGACAATTAGGCTCACTGTACTGGCAACTCGAGGATCAATTCCAAGCGCCGACTTGGTCGGGAATCGAATACGATGGACGATGGAAGGTGCTCCACTACGTGGCCAAGGACGCCTACGAGCCCGTCATCATTGCTAGTTTCCACAACGCCTCGACGCAGGCCCTCGACATCTGGGTCCTCTCAGACCTTTGGACCACCATCTCTGCGTCGGTATCTCTGACGTGGTATGACTGGTCCGGAGCACCGCTGCAAGACATCAACACTAATACCAACAACACGCTGGAAGAAGCAGCGGGGACGAATATAACCGTTCATCCCATCAATGGAACCAAGATCCTCTCCTCGAACCTCGACACTCTTTTGGCGGGTCATCCGCCGACCAATGCGCTCCTTGCCATGCACGTCACGGCCCAAGGCACCTTACCCAACTCCAATGCCTCGACAACATTTTCCCACACGTCCTGGTTCCACGCGTCTCCGCTGGTCAGCGCCGAGATGCAGGATCCCGGGTTGCAGCTCACGCACAACAATGTCACCGACACGTTCACAATGACGGCTACCAAAGGGGTTGCGGCGTGGGTGTGGTTGGACTACCCTTCTTCGTCTTCGAATGGGGCTTCGCAGGGGGGTGGGACGGTTGTGAGCTTTGATGACAATGGGTTCTGGCTGGGAAAAGGAGAGGTCAAGGAGTTGGGGTTCAGAGTTAAGAAGGATGATAGTGAGGGGGGATGGAAAGGCGGAGTCACGGCGAGGAGTTTGTGGGATAATTATGTCGAGTAATATCAGATGGGGTAACAGGAGGGGGAGATGTCTTGCACATAGGCACACGACTGGTCTTGAAAAGGATCAATTAGTTTGAAATTCTCGGCTTCTGCGCAACGTAACTTTTTTGCTCCGCAGCCTTATCTATCATTACGTCCTTTCATACGCTATCTTGCAATTCCAAAGTATAACGTCAAGCTTACTTTATCAGTACTTTGTAATAGGCTCAGTGTCCATGCCGCACTAGGAAATGGCAATTGCTGTAGATGATATGTAAACGAGTTCCCTGCAGAGAGTATAACAGGCATAAATGAGCTCAGTTCAAGGTTGGGACATGCAGACTGGCGCTATAGGAGCAGATGTAAAGCATGTACTGGATTAAGGCGACCCTGTGCGCGGGAGCTGCCGGGCCGTATATTCGATATCGCAGATCTAGGCTAGCGGATCTTCCAACTCACTCAACGGCCATGCGGCAAGCATATAAACGGCGTAGATCGCCCAGTGTTGCTCTCTTTGTCATTACCTTGAATGAAGACAAGAGCTGTCCATGTTTTTTTGTGGATACCCGGCTCAAAGTAGGTGATCAATCCGTCTGCTTTCACTCCGCATCAACGAAGGCAATAGATCTGCTTTGCAAATGAGTTGACCCCACCGAGGCCACTGTTCGCGTCGCCTCGCCGTGTGCCGCGGCATTCGCAATGGTCAGTCATGTCCGGCTCCGGCGTAGTCATGATCCATCGGTAACGGCAAACGATGAGAAGGGAAGGCAGATGGAGCGCACAGTGTATATTAATTACCCCGTGGAGTTAGTTGTACACAACTGTCCTGCAACTCGCGTGCACGGTTGACTCAGCATTAATCGTCAGCCCGTTGCCGCCGCCACCGCCGCACTGCTATTCCTTTGCCGTTTGCAACGAGGAAACCAAGGATGGTAGAAAAGAGATTGATTGAGCGAAGCGTAATTCCCGCTTGCTCCATAGCGGCGAGAGAGTGGAAGATGGAGTTTCATAATCAACATCATCATAACCGTCATCACAGGGTGGGCTCACCCATTGATTGACTGGAAAAGCAAACGCACAAGGCGCAGGCCTGCTAGTTTTTCTTTTCGTGCGAAGCGCGTCTTACTGTGTCTGACTAAAGGACGAAGGGTGGAAGTATTCGAAAGGGTGAGTGCATGTATATGTGTGCGACGGAAGCGGAAAAATTACATTGCATGTACGACGGGCAATCTTGGCCCAGCGAAGAGGGGCGGTTTATATTAGGAAACTGTGTTTGTTCCCTTTCCAACCAAGCCGCATGGGTATGTGCCGTCAGACTCACCTGCATTATGTACACAGTAAGTCTGGGGGCGGGTCTATAGATGGACAGAGGGACGGCATGCCTAAAATAATCATGTTGGCGGTGAAATGGCGACACAAGTGCGGCGTACAAAGGGTATTGGGTGATAAGCAAGAGGAAGCAGTAGAAGAAGAAAAAGGTACAGCCGTATAACACACTACACTAGGATCAGCTTGTTCGGGCCGAGACTCGCGAGCATTGCACCATGGATGTCGGTTCCCGAAGGACTTTTCCCGCGGTTGGGTGGTGAGGGGCAAGAGGGACGAAGAGGGAAGAGAGGCACGGAGGATGTATGTAAGACGTGTGTAGCATCTAACCCCATACGAATACGCCGACGGCACGTGGAATGGCTGACGGCCCGCCGCTTGGAATTGTCGAGGAGTGCACTTGTCCGTTTTGAGGGGGTGGAAGCGGAGCGGAAATACAGACTGCATCCTTTTGTAGTAAGCCATCCACCTCCATTGATCCAACTACTTGATTGGTGGTGATGATCAATGCAGAGAGATTGGACTCTACGAACATCATGCCTACCGTGGAGAATGGAAATAGCATGGTTCGTACTCGTGATTCTCTTCGCAGGGGGTTGGTCGAGTATGATTGATTAATGGAATTGTTGGAGACCAGACAAGGTCATGTTTGGCTAACATTGCCCTCGCTGGGTGGGGTACGACGAGCTTAGTGCAGTGAGGGTGTGGGTGTGGATGGACAGGACAGTACAGTAAGTAGTACATGACCCCACCACAGGCATGCAGATGCAATGCACAAAGACACGCATTTCATCACGTCAGTCACCGTTCGAAAACAAACAAGAGCTGCTCGTTGCCACCCTATCAAACGTGCCATCTGCCACGCACGGCGCTTAGAGGGGAGTGAGGAGGAATAAACGCAACGCTCCGAGCAACCACAGTGTCCTGCTGACCCGCGACCCATTCTGCGACCGACTTGTAGGGCCGGCCAGTAAGCTGAAGCGTCTTGGTCTTGGGGGGGAGGGGTCACATACACACACACACACCATATCAAGAGAAAGCAGCACACCCACCCATCCCACCAGCCGTGGTCCATCGGCCGGCACCGAGCAATACAGCTTCATCATGTTGAAGCGTGTTGTGTTGTGTTGCTGTGTTTGGATGGGGTATGACGACGGAGGCTGGTGGCACGGACTTGCTGGTGCTTGTGACTTGGAGTGACCCCGCCAGACCGTGTTCCAAGTTTGAGCTTGCCTCGGATGTGTGTATATGTGTGTGTGTGTGTCGGAAATGGTGGTGGTGGTGGTGGAGGTTGGGATCAATGAGGGGAAGGGAATACGCGAGAGAGTGCAAAGGGTGGGGTCATTGGCTTGGCTGCCCTCAGGTAGACGTCTTAGTCACCCAAGTGGCCTTCTCGCATGAACGGCTGGTCCTAATGTGCGAACATTGGAACCCGCCTTCCCGCGTGGACGCACCCCTGCTAGAGCACGGAGGGTAGAGCGCCCCCAAACTCCCTGCCACTAGCTGGCTAGCCAATCTATATCTCATTGATTCAATGCTGTTTGCGGCGCCTAACAGGAACATACTTGGGGATGGGACGTCGAGGTCATCTGCTCACCACCAACTCTAGATAATGGCAGCGCGAATAGCAGACACCAGACCGGGATGAATCCCTGGCCAAGAGAGCAGACAAACACAAGTACCGGACCTCGGGTTTGTACGTTGATACTGTCCTGTGTCTTGTACAATTGTGTGTTCCATTCTTCAAGTACGTTGAGAGCCAGTCAACCAGAGAGAGAGTCGCTGCTGCTGCCTGGAGTACGAAGAGTCAACCGTCTTCAGCCCCCGGGTAGATGGAGACGGAGATCAAGAAGCCTCAACCCCGTCGAATCATAATCTACCATGATATATCCCCCCCAACCCCCTTTCGACCTACACACACACACAAGGCTGAAGATCAGGCACGCGGGTGAATGAAAAGACAGGAAAAGAAAGCCAGTACAGTAAGACAGCCTATGCAAAGTCCGCCCTTTTTCGTGACTGGAGACAATTTATTGCCTCCGGGTTACCCACAGCGCGGGACCAAGTCCTGCCCACGCCCAATGGTTTTGCGTTTCCCAGCACACCCACCGCGGTGCCTGCATCTCTGCATCCTCGCCGTATCAGCCGCAGTCTCGTGCGCTCGCTCGGGATCATCATCATCGTCGATTACCAGGCGGGCCACGAGAGGGAAAACACAGCTCTGTGCGCACGCACGCCGTCCAACGGGCGTGTCATGATCAGACAAGTCGTCTTATCTGGGCCGATGCCTAATTTCAGCCGCCTCAGAGAAGGGAGGGGGGCGTCGCGATGGGTGGCCAGGGGTTATGCGAACATCACCCACATGCGGCCATCCAAGACGCTTCCATTGGGTTGGCCTTCCCGCGCCTGCAGCATCCTCAACTCTTTCCATCCTTTCGCGTTCCGCTTTCATTCGCCGGGCCTCGGTCAGGTGCGCGAGGAAGAAGGTTTGCAAGCCTCATGTCACCAAAGCAAGCAAACCACGGCTGTCCCCAGCGTCGCTCAATCGCGCCATGCTTTCACCCTCTGTGCAGCCGCCCGTTGGCTCTCACCCCGGTGGTGCTCTGGTGATAGTGATGACATTGTTGCTTCGCAATCTGGGAATGCAGGACAAGGTTCGTGTTTCCGAGGGGGGTGCGCCATCGGACTGTGGTAGCCTCCCACCACGGATTCGACGTCCGCTGCAGCCCTTTCACCCACACACCCACACACACACACATCTTGCCTGCTGCTGCACTCTCCTCCGCTACTGTTTCACATGCCATGCGCAGATTAAAGGAAAAGAAACAAGGACTGAGCAATCCATCTACTGTGCTCACTGCCTCAAAAGGCCATTGAATCAATCACAACATCACATAAAATAAGAAAAGAAGAAAAAAAGTCATGTCGTTTGCCATGTGTATGATATAATAGTTGCCATTTGATAATAGTGATGATGAAAAGGAAAAACTACCTGGAATGGGTATAGTTTGGACCGCGAGGTCGCCGTGAGGTGGTATGCCCACATCTAAGACACCGATCGAGACCATGACCAGAAACGCAAAACCAACAAAACGAGAAAAAGAAACAAAAGACAAACCCGGAAGCCAGTCCAGACAGAAGAAAGCTGCAAGTGATGGAAATGGGGGATATCGCAATCAAAACTTTTTCCGGGGACCCTCCCAATGCAGTTCGCTCCGTCCTAGTAGTAGTAGTACAGTTGGATCGTCCAGAAAATGCGACATTACAATTAGAAACCAAAACAGCAAGCACGGGTATCTCGCAGTAAGAGCAAGTGAAAGTGCAACGACAGCAGCAAACCAAACGGGAAAAAAACGGGGGTAGAGCAAGAGAAACAACAAACACAAATCGTGGTGAAACACGACAACATCAACACCAGCCGAAGCCAAACGCTCAGCCGTTTGAAGTCTAGGCAGAGGGGTGGCGAAGAATCTCTTCGCAGTTCGCATCGAAGCGCATGCTCCAGAGGCGCATACCAGTCATGAGCTTCTCCGTCTTCTCAAGTTCGCGGTCGCGCCCAAATATCGAGTTGACAAACTCGCGGCCACTGTTCTTGCCCATCTCAACAGGCTTCTTGACTCCCGTCTCTTTCTTAGCGGCTTTCCACATGTAGTCTTCACATACTTTGAGAAGTTTGGCGTTACGGATCCACAAACGCTCCCCGCTCTCCAGGAAGTCTTCAACCATGTCGCGACTCTCCTGCTTGCGGATCTTGGACATGATTTCCTCGGCTCTCTTGACCTTGGCAGCGAGTTGGATCAAGAGAAGCCAGAGCTCGCCCGCCATTTCGGCCATTGGCGTGGCCGATCCGAAGGCGAAGACGGTCCAGTCGTAGATCCATTTACCGAGGGAGTTGGCATCGAAAACGCTACCGAGAAGCATGATAGGCTCTTCGGTGGGATCCCAGTTCTTGATCGAGTAGCCGGCAGGAATCCCGGCACGACGGGCATCCTCTTCGGTGGCTTTTGGAGCTGCCTTGCTAGAAGTCGTGGGGCGCTTGGATGAGAACTGCGGCTGAGCTCGTGGGGTGTGAGATTGAGATTGAGATGCACGTCTTGGACGACTGGGCTTCTGCTCTGGCTCATAGATGGGAACCTGATCATAGTAATACTGATCAGCATTCCGGTGATTCTCGTAGCGTTCGTACGGTTCGTACGGCGGCGGAGGATGGTCGTGGACGCGGTCGAAGCCGTTGTCATAGACGTCATCGTAATCGTAATCGTCGTAGACGACCTTGGTGTGCACGAAGCGAGCCGACTGAGACGGCCGACGCTTCCTCTCGCGATGGGAGCGCTTGAGAGGCGGAGCGTCGGTGTCGCGGCGTGGCCGGCCTGCCCAAATATAACCAAAATCACCACTTACATATTCGGGCGTGCGCCGTGGCGTCGGGTAGTAGCGAGGAGAGCTATACTCGGGCATGGGCCCACGAGGAGATGGGTAGCCATACCCAGAAGAAGGAGGCACTGCGGTCGATGCGCGGCGGCTGTGGTGAGGCCTGGCGTTGGGCGAGCTGTGGGGGGATGGCGTCGGCATCTGAGGTCCATGGCGCGCTGAATAGTAGCCTCCTCCGGCAGGCGACATTGGAGAGGGGTTGAAAGGCATATAGCCCGGTGGGGGAGCAGGATAGTAGCTCATTTTTGCGATAGTCGGTACCGGTCGCGTCCGGGAGTTGAGGCAGAGGATGTGTTTTTTTTCTTATTCTTTCTTTCTTTTGTATTCCGAAGTCAAGTCCCCGTGGGAGTCAGGGACTGCGAAGGGGAGAAGTGAAGAGGAGGAGTCAGGCACGGCGCCTGTTCACCTGGGGAATTCAAACTGGCGGAGGTGACGCGTTCTCGAGGTGACTCTAGATGGGGAGGACGAGGAAGAGGAAAGTGCAACAGCGAGGGAAGGGGAGAAAAAGCTGGTATATCTGCTGCACATTTGGTGGTTGTTGGGTTACTGGCTAGAGGGTGCTAGAAGGATCCAGAGTATGAGGATCCTGTTATGGTTGGTAATGGGGAATATTTTTTGGGTGGTGAATGGATTGGAGAGTGAGTCCTGGCCGGTCCTGCGCGGCGGACGGCGGGGCGGACGATAGAGTTATAAGAGCGCGCAGGCAGGCTAGCAGACGGAGGAACGAATTAACCGGGGGGGTGTTGGGCTCGGTCAAGTTTGATTCCCACCCGCGGCTTTCTTTGGGCGCGCCGCTAAAACAACCCCTGGGCTGGCCTGGCGCAGGCAGAGATCGCTGACGGTACTGACTGCACTGCGCCCCCCCTGCCCCGTCCAGCCTGCTTCGCTGCCCTGTACAGTACAGGACGTACGCAATGCCTGCAACTGGGCATCTTATTTCTGGGACGCTGATCCATGTCCTGCTCACCATGATTTATCCCCTTGTTCCATGTCCTGCCATGCCCGCCTCAGCCTCCCTCGCTCGTCCTCTGCCTCCCCACCTAGTCATGTTTAATAAACTCTTTTAGGCCAATCCAGGTCAAATGCAACGAAATTGCACACCCACACGCACACACCCCCATCCCCCGAAAAAAACAAAGTGGGAAAAGGAGCGATAAAAAAAAAACAAATACAAACCAACACGACAACAGCAGCATTGCTCCGGCTCACACTATCAGGCAGACACTGATAAGTGAGTTCCAGCGGGTGGGTACGCGCTATCCGGACGCTCCATGTACAATGTAATGTAAATGTACTTGCACATACATGCTGTACGTATCGCGCACCCACGGACGTTCGCCCGTGTCCAGCAAGTATTTCCCTCGCACTCACCCTGTATCCAATGGCCATTCACATGCAATCAGTCCACATGTACATACACGCCCGCTTCAAGCCTTCACGCATTCAAAGGGTGATCTGCTCACCGCCACGTGATCGCCACCCTCTTGCACATTCACGGATGAGTACACGGCTAACTCTGTATGTGTACACGTACGCAACATGGACAGCCAGTCAGTCGCTCTCTCCAGCGACGTTACTGCTGTTGCTGTGAATGTGTCTTGTCCCGGATTGTGGTCCACAGACATGCCACCACCATTTGCCCATAAATAACCATTACCCGGCACCCTTGGCTACGTTGCACCAAAGGACGGCGCCGCAATTGTACTATCTGATCATGGACATGCAAATCTTTTTGCCGTCCCCGCTGCGTTTCTTCCCACTCACGAAGATTACCGTGCCCCCTTTTCTTAGTCTGTGCTACCGTTGCGTAACCCTCCTCGTTTCCCCTTCCCGTGAGCAGCTGGACCGTTGTCCCAATTCAATTCTTTCAACTGGTCTCTGGTCTACTGCAGCGGGCGGGCAGGCAGTCACCAACATGGAAACAACAGCAGCAGCAAGTAACGGTGCGGCGGGCTATCTCCCCGTGTGCCGCCCTGCATGCACTGACAGTCTGCAAATCGTCCATGCGCTCGCTCGCTCGCTCGCTGATGACTGCAAGCGGACGGTCCGTGTAGGTGAAATTGTGATTCGACTGGCGAGCTGCGCGCACCGACTGGTCCTGGCACTTAAACTTCGCACATGGGCGTTGAGCCACCAGGAGGCGGGCTGCTTCATATCTGGCCCCGGGCGACCGACCATGTTCGGAGGGTGGAAAGAAAGGACCAAGACAGACTGACCTGCCGTACGCCCCCATTCTCCCGCAATACCGACTCCAGATGGGTACACATGGACTAAACTCTCGGCTCGCTTTCCTCCAGCCGTCGCCTCGCTCTAGCTCCAAACCTACTCTCTGGAGCGAGCAAGCCGGCTAGCTAGAGGCGGGCTTCGCGGGAGGACTAGAGTTAACTGGAGTCTGGAGAGGAGGAGAAGGGGGGATCTGACATTTCTGGATAAGGTGTTGATTCCAACGGCGCTGGACATGGAGAGCCCTGCGACGTACCCAGCGTGCGGCTCAAGTTTCGCTTAAATCCGCTGCTGCTGATGAATGAAAGACTACATGGCAACGGCAGGGCCGCCTGGTAATCTCCGCGCACTACACGAGAGAGAAAATTTTTCCCATCGATAATTAAAACATTGCCTGTCTGACAAGCAAGTTGCAGGTTTGTTCGCATGCGGGCGGATGGATCCTGGCGCGGGTGCTGTATGCTCTCCTTACCGCTACTCTCTCGACGTTCAAGAGCATCACCGTCTCCCCGCCAAAACAAGTCTGTGTACGTGTGGGTACATGGCTTCTTAGCAGGCAGACGACGGCCCACCCACCTGCCGGCGTCGCTGCAGCGACCCGTACACACTACACTACACTGCACTACGCGGGACAGCGCAGCACTGATTCGTCGTGTCGCGGCGGACAACGCAGCAGGCAGGACGGTTTCATGGGCCATGATCTCCCTCGTCGACCGCAACTTGGCTTGGACTGCATGAAGGATTGCATGATTTGTTTTTGCTGCCGTCAGTCCGCAGCGCTGCCCCCCCCCCCCTGCCGTCCTCGCCAAAGACTTGGCCCACAATCATTTTGACTGCTTCCGCCGCCCCCCATTGGCTCCGCTCCCTGCTCTGAATCCTGCCGGCCCTCCTGTCGGCTTCTTACCGAACGCACAATGCATTTCGGCCCTCATGGATGGGAATCAAGACAGACGCCAGGGAACGAGAGGAAAAAATTCTCTGTCCTATCTGACGACAACTCATCTTGCGTTTCTATGACTCCTCCAGCATCGTCTGCTCCACCGTCTGTCTCGTCTGTGACTGGCTCCGTCTCAGTCGCTGCTATCTCCCACGCTCCATTGAAATGCGCACACACGAACACCATACCATTCCATTCCGTCCGCTTGGAAGGTTTGATGGATACCAGGCCGCCGCCGCACGATAAGGCCGCCGCGTGTATGCAGTCCTTCCCTTTGTAGACAAATGCTAACCAAGATCCCTTGGCAAGATGATGGCCTACTCCTGTCAGAAGGATGAGCGAGCGACCAAGAACATACGACGCGACGCAGCCTGGCAACATCATGTAGGGCTGCAATGCGTGAACGCAGCTCGCGCGGAATGGCCGGGGAGGCCACGTTTGCTGTGCTCAGCCAGCACAGTATGCAGCTAAACAGCCTGCATGACGTGCACTGTGTACCATCCCAAAAACATTGCTCTGCCTGCTGTCGTCCTTCTCCTTCAGCTCAGTCAACATCCAGAATACTGTACTGTCTAGTGCTAGCTTCTCTCTCGCGCTTATTTTCCAGCACCAGGGTCCTCTCTGTGTGTGGCGGTGCGATCCTGACTCATTCCTTGCTTCTACAATCTTCCGTTTGTGGACGTGCGCGCGAATTGGTCGACAAGTTTGCTGTGGCGGCACTTTGCCTCGCACCATTCGTAAGCCAATTAGTTGCAACATTCTTCGGATCCCATATAGCTCATTATCGTTTTGCGATGCGCTCGTCACTGATAGGCTCGCGCTTTCCGAATGGCAAACCCAGCGCGCCTGAACATTCGTGGAGCGAATGCTGCCAATAGCTACATGTGATAGCGCACACACACCATGGCTATGCTACCCCATCCGCGCGCCATGAGTTGATTCAACATCACGTCACACGCTCTCGTCAAGAGCCGCCACTCATTTCGCCGTGAACCAACCGTCTGAAGCATATTCAGCTCACGTGTATCAAAGTGGCCACCCTACTAACCATGTCCCGCGAAACGGCTCGGTGGGGGTTTCAATGCTCTATTTGCGTCTCATTCAGCGAAACGCATATATACCACCACTAAGTATAGCAGTGAGTCATGAGCGAGACGATGGGGCAAAGAGAACGAACTTAGCGAGCTCCTGGTTGACAAGCGCCCCCCAGCGACACCATGGATTGGTGCGAACCTTCCATGTAGGCATTGCCGGTCCTGCGTCACATCTCATTTGGCGTCAATTAGGCAACAGCTATATCAGGGATCAATCCAGGAGGTTTGCATGGAGGCTCAAGACTGCGACGCTAGAATGAAACTTTTCCTGTGGCCTAAATTCAACGTTCGACCTCTCATTACATCTATATACCAATATTGATGTGGGTCGTTCTTCAATAGCTTGCGTTGATCGCTATCTACTGGGGACACTATATGATAGATCTTGTTTATATGGTCTGTGACTTCGAATATACGGGCAAACAAATCATCACAATTGACCGCTGAATAGCATTATATGGACAGGGAAAATACATCCCCAACTTACCATAAATTGCTTTGTTGATATTTGAGGCCATGGTGATCGACGAGATCTGGTACAACACGTACCAAAAACACCAGTGAACTGCCCAAGGACTCAGGCAAACACTTACCAACTGTTGTTTTGATTCAACCATTGCAGATCTGAACACACAATACAATCTACTAGAAGGTGACAAACACGCACATACACCATCACAACAGACTACACCGCAACAGAGAGGAGCTGCAGTGCTGTATATGCGAATTGCCGTGGTATCGTTTCGTCAAGACGATGCTAGTTTGACGATACTGTTGGTTTAATCAGATGCAGTGTGTATCTCTGTTGCCTATACACAAATCAACTGACAGTGGTTCTGCAAACACACCTACCTCGAGTGAGTGTTCTAGTGATGAGTGGTAAATCCCCAGACACTAGAATAAGAATGTAAGAGAACACAATCTTTCACAGGTGGCGCATCCCTGGCCTAGTGCTGAAAGCGAAACTCCTTTTTTGAAGCTTTTTGTGCCCGTCTACTTTTTGTTTAACCCTTTTTATCATCCTTTTTAAGTGTAAGAACCACTGTAACTTCCAATAAAAAAAACACAATCTTTCGTTGAATTCATCTGATACCAACCTCCGATATTCCATTCCCTATACCTTCTCAGCCAAAACGCCTTTTGCCTCTTGCGTATTTTGCGTACACGTCCCTTCCTTTCCAGCAGAAGACTTCTGGTATAAGAGTTTGGGTAACACCTGCCCCCGTCTACTTTTATGGGAATGACTGGGCTTATACATATGTAGCGCTAATTGGTATCATTTGATTTTTTAATCACCCCTTGGCCGTCTTCCACCAAGCCGGCCTGCCTGTACCACTGAGAAAACATGCAAGCCAGAGATAAATGCTGTCTAGTCCACATTGATGGTTTCTGTTAACGCAGCTAACAGTTCAGTAGCTGCAGGGTGCATGTCCAATGTCAATTTAGGTTGCACACTTGATCCGGGATTGCTGTTATGGTATATTCAGTAAATCGAATACCCGTTCGAGTACTACCGACCCATACTTGGGCACGGGAAGTCGTGCGTCTCTCGCAGCTGCTATACGTAAATATGTTATTCTGAGAGGGTGGAATGAAGAAAAAAACGCCCGAAAAAAAAAGATATACTCCGATGAGAGTTCTGTTCGATTGCGTAGTATATGATAAGACGTGTGTTTCCCATCTACGCGTTTTGTAACTGAAGGAGATGTGCAGGAACACCTAAACTCCAACTCAAAACAAAAAAGTGACTGAAGGTGGATATTCTGAGGAGAAATATTATTTGAATTCATCTGCCACGAGTATTTGTTGTTTACCAGAGTGTCAAGCGTGCCTGGATTCAGTTCCACGCTTAGACTGCGAGTGGTGTAAGAACCAAGTTGATGCATTTACCTCTGCCTCGTGTGGAGACCAAGAGGAGTGGTTGTCAGTATAGGTTATGTAATGCATCTATCCGCATTTCATTGAATGTTTTACATCACTTGGATTGTGCAATAGCACAATCCCCGGCTTGAAACCACCATCTATTATCAAGCAAAGCCGCCTAATTTCCTGTAAGATTTTCTTACCAGCCCCTTCAAGTGCGGGAAATACTTCAACTTATAAATCTTGTTCATAAAAAAAAACTTGAGCAAAACTGAGTTGGCGTATCTGGTGCTGCCCCAACATTCTGATATTGGCTGTGCTTGAGAGTAGGCGGAGTATCAGTGAATTGTTTCAATGTATACAGACGAAAAAGAATGTCTTAGGCTCATAATCCGCAAGCCCACCACCAATCTCCCACGCATCTGCGATTTATGCCCAGAACTTCACTCCAAGAGCAAAATAACGGTAGCGTGATTCTGCTTTTCAGCATCTGTCGCTAGAGTTTTGAGACATGGTATATACAAGACCCTTTTTTTGGTCGTCGTTCGTTTTAGATTTATTTATTGCTGTAACTATCGCTCTGTGTAGGATCGCTCCAACTCCGACCTGGAAATTATATACAAGACTTTGTTAGACGGTCATTGTTTGGGATTGTCGTGCACGGACCTCCCGCTGCGTTGTCATAGGAACATTGAATGGTAGTTTGGGTACCCAGCCGCGGTTCGTGACGTTTACTTGCCCGTCCCATCTCCTCACCGCTTGCTATAAGGTTACCAATTTCTCCTGCCCGTAAGTTTTGATTTGGTCTGTCTACATCCGGCAGTACTTCCTAAGCTCATCTTTGCCGACACTGAAGTTTGTTGTTTATAGTGAACCGAGTCTCAACCTCCATCGCTATCGATAACATTCGAGGTCTCTCTACACTTTACATTCCTCGCGCCAGTCGCATTCCTCTCCTCATCTTCCCCACTCGGCAGATCAATTGAACTTGCCGATCATGCGGAATGCTTTCGCACCCCTCGTCCTCCTCCCCACACTTGCGCTCGCTGCGCCCGACTTCGTAACCGGCTTCCAACCGGCCATCCTCGAGGAATCGCCCGCACAAAGCAACAACACCCTGATCGAAGATGGCGGTCTCGACCTTCTCCGGCGTCAGGAGTCAAACTGCGCAAGCGGATATTCGGTTTGCACCAGCATTAACCGACCGGACATCTGTTGCCGAACGAACCAAGTGTGCAGCGCCGACCGAGCAGGGAACGCCGCATGCTGTCCCATCGGCGCCGCGTGTACTGGAACAATTGGCGTCATAGTCGGACCTAGCACTTCGATTTCTGTGTCCGGTACAACAGCGAGTTCGCAGACTGGCTTTTCAACGCCCACAATCACGGGCACAGGCACGACCGATGCTCCATCTTTCGTTCAGTCGCCTTCCAATGGTGCTTCGCCGGCCCGATCCACGGTACCGAATTCATTCTACCCTTTTCCCTTCATACCAACCACTTACACCGCTGCAGCTGCCTGCTCCTCGGCTTATACGAGCTGTCAGTCGGATGCTGCGAGCTGTACGGCTGCTCTAGCGGACGGCCGACAAGGTATCACTATTTCCGCGCCCAATGGTGGTATGACAGTGACGGCGGTTCCCAGCTTGGGGGCTCAAAGTGCTCAGAGCATCTGCCAGAGTTTGAGCTCCAAGGCGTGTTATGAGCTTCAAGTAGCAGCTTGCGCAAGTTTCGGAGGTGGTTCTGGGGCGGTGCCGACAGGATGCGTAGATCGGTACAAGGTAGGTGCTGGTCTCGCCCTGGGAATTGCTGGCCAGATGCTCAGGTGATTGGAATGCGTTATGACTGTGTATATTGGCTTTCTTTTTGGGGCATTATGGGATCAAGATTGATGATGGATGCTATTGTCTTCCGTTGTGTAAATAACCCCGCTGGGATAATAACGACCATGAACTTTATTAGCGTTGCATGCTGGCCATTGGCATCATATCACGTAGTGAAAGCGGACAAAAAGTTTAACAGCGCGTTGGTATTTCGTAGCTCGTCATGACGTGAGTGAGTGCACGGACCCTCACTTGTAAACGAAACGAAACGACGCCATTCGTGGTCGCGTAACTCGAGCAAACGCGTCTTCCGAGACCGTCGACTAATTGAAGTGCATAAGTGCTCGCTCTCACGCAACCTCCAACACACCCTCATAACTGTACCATGCGCTCAACCCATGCCTTCTTGTATGTTGCAGCCAGCGACAATGCTTCAATCCGTTCCGCCTTCAAAGCTCCAGCTACCTTCCAAACGCAAGCGGGACTCGATTTGCGGCCTCGGAGGCCATACCCAACCTTTTACCATTAAGCCCTGCTCCGAAACGCACGACGACGAACCACATGCATTCAAGCCCGTCCGCGTTATTGGCCGTTCACAACTTCCGTTGTCTTTCCTAGACACACATACGGACGAGACGTTGCCCTCTAGCCGCCTATTCTCCGCGCAACTCCCTGTACTGGAGACTCGCAATGAAATGCAACCGAAGGCTAACCAGGTCCCGAGGGTACTTATTGCACGACACGAAAAGAAACATACGCTATACGCAATAGAGCGAGTTCAAGCATGTGTTTACACTCTCTGCAGACTCGCCCCTTGGTTGAAAGAGAAGGATGTTGCCGAATTATGGGCCCCGGAACACCTGACAGCATACCCACGATTTGCTACGTCGAGTTTCGATTCCGTTTCTCAAAAGGAATGGTGGAGACCCACAGTGGTGGATATTCAGCCAGCAGAAAAACCGGCTAAACGTATCAAAACAACTATGCTACGGCCACGGAAGGAGCCAAAAGCCAACCAGAAGGAACCCGAGATTGCACATACGGATATAGGAAGTGTCAAAGTTGTGAACGCACAATCGATACGATCCAACCCCGACCCTGTTTCGTTACCAACGGAAACACCTGCTCAGATCTCGCCCCAGGAACACCTAGAGAGCTTTGCCGAGCAATACCTCAATGCCATATACATGTCTAGAACATCGCTTGCATACTTCGCCAAAGGCCCGGTAAACAGGATACGGAATGTTTTTACTTCATCTATGGAGGACGCGCCTCAAACATGTGAACTGATCACGTTCCTCCGAGCGATGTTGCTCAGTCGTAAACTCGAGGAGAAGAAGTACACAGAGAAATTACCCGGGATCATTCGGGAGATACCGCCTGGGTGCTTTTCGGATGACGATCTATTGGACGCAGCTGCGGAACGCAAGCTATCGCGAAAAAAAAAGAAGAAGGTCAAACTCAATCGCGAAGGTATATATCCACAAGAGTCTGATATTGTCAAACGATGGTGGGTGTCGGAAAATTCCAATGGGGAAGTTCGCGGGGAAGAAACTCTGGATCAACGCATCAAGCGACGTCTTGCAGAACTACGTGTTCGTGAGGCGCTGGCTCAAATGATATTGATGCTTGAAATCGTTGCCCTCGAAGCACTTTCGACGTCTAAGACAAAGCAAGAGGAAGTGACTACCAAAGCAGACGGTCAGAGCCAAGAAGAGGCTCAGCATCAGCCACCAAAGCGCAGGAAGAAGCTCGACGACATCAACTTACGGCTAGATCTTTTGTTAGACAAGCTGTGCATTTGGCAGTCTATTGAGAAAGACGGTATTCTGGACTTTGATGCAACTGCAGCAAATCAAGAGACTGGCATGCACAACGGGAATGATCGCTTACAAAGTTTCTGCGTCGAAGTCATTGTGCCTTTTTATACCAACAGGCTTCCCGAGCAAGCGCGGACTGTAAACAAGAAGCTGGGCGGTCCAGTAGCCTCCTCGCCGCCTAAACGCAAGTCAATGAAACCTCCAACTATGTTGTCAAATATGGGCGGATCTCAAGAACCGGATGCCAAAAGGCCACGGCGCTCTTTGGCAAGAGTGGCGACCGACACTGTCCGACGAACTGGTGAACGACGCTCTATATCTTTGAGTAGATCGACAACAGATTCCGCTCTGTTCAGAGGTATCAAACGCGAGGGGAGTGAGGTATCTCTGTCCGCAATTCCTCTCGAAAGGAGCCCATCACAGGCTGCAAGGCGCTCCATGTCCCAATTCAGGCATTTGAAGGGACGCGAGATCGACCTCGAAACAACCAGTGCTGCAGTTGCAGCTAAGCTTCGACAGAAGAAGAGAGTGGAAGAGGATCTAAAAGAAGCTATTACAGCGTTGAAAAAGCCCAATCGTGGTCTGGTCGCCGGTAGCTATGTGGATGAGAATGAGAAGCGTGGCTTAGGGTTTGCTAGCAAGTCTAGGAAACCATCGACCACTGTACGAAAGATTATCAAAGACGTTCAAGTTTCAGCCACCCCTAGAGCTACCCGGAGAGCGCCAGACATTGTTGAGCAAACCCCAGTTCACAATCGCAATCTGTTTTCACAAACTAGGGGCAATGGCGTGCCGGCCTCGAGCGACTTCTGCATACCATCTTCTGGCGCGCGCCCTTCATCTTCGGTAGTGCCAGCGACGGTCCAGCGAAGTTCAACGGCCCGCGTGCTACCGGGGGTATCCGTTGCCGATACACCATCCAGACCTGCAGGTAGCAAAACGCTGTTCGTCAAATCGTCTGCAGAGAGCACTATCTTTGCTACTCCAGCCAAACGAAGAGCATTATCCCCTGATTCTCCAACCCAGTTTCCGGATGCAACACCGACCAAGATGGTGGCTACTTCGCAATCAAGTATCTCGAGTGACAGAACATCCCGCACATTATTTGCAACGTTCACGAAATGCGCACCAAAGAACATGGCAAAGCCACCCATGATAGAGCCAGCACCTGATGCAGCAGCGGAGAGTCAAGATGGCAACGTCGGCGAAGAGGTCGATATCTACGACGCCCTCGGTTGGAACGATGATGATGACATTATATGATGAGTTGGGGTATTTTTACTGGAGGGAAATTTCGGTTGCATGTTTGGTTCAAGTTTGAATTGATGTCTTTTGGACACGTGTTTTGCATAGCGAGCGAGCATGAATGGGGCGGTCTTGTCATCTTCTCATGCTGGTCTGGGAGTTTAGGCATTACACAAAAGGCTCACCATGGAAGGTGAGGGCGTCGGTGAAGGCATATTGGCATTAATGTAGCCGGGTGTCGGCGCATGAAAGTTGGCTGACAGGCACGGGCGTGTCAGCACACAACTGCTGCATGGTAGAGCATGGGAAAGATAGTTCTGCACTTCTGCAAGCGAGGGTTTTGATGAGCGGTGGCTTCGAAGGCTGGGGATTTGGTTTTGGGGGGTACATGGTAGATTTGGTTGTGGACGTATAGACTTTGGCGGAGGGGAATCATGACGCAATAAGACGAATTACGGTTTCATTCATACATGGACGGATACGTGCCAGGCTGTTGACGGCAGATTACTTGGGTATGGGCATGGTCAAGCAGGGGAGGAGATTTGTCGAGTCGGACTTTGATTGATAGGTAATGAGAGGAAGGCATAGGTGGGAGGAGGACCTGGGCTTGAAAGGGTTAACGCATGAAGTTATTCTGGAAGCATTCGCCGGGATGGCGGCCGTGCGGCGCAGACCAGCAGGAGGAGAATGGACGGATGGGAAAAGTCGCGTGCCAATCAGCCCGCCAGCCTTTTCCGCCGCCCAGGTACCGGGGCCTTGCAAGTCGCCGAAGGGGGGCCGGACAAACAAACCAACATTTGAAGCTACTCCCAGAACGGCCGCCCGAGTTAGGGTTTGTTGATGTGGTGGCTACCATACCGTGATGGTCTGTTTGTTTTGTTGTTGGGAGGGGTTAACTCACATGTCCAGTGAGTGAGTCGACTGCCCGAGCGACGGATGGTGAGTGTTGCAGATGGGAGTGTAGCATGATGATAGTATCGAGTATTATGTGTGTACCGCAGGTTATGTGCCTACTTGAGTGCATCGATGACTGGCCGGCTGGTGTTGAGATGTAAACCCTGGCCCATCCAACGGCACAGACGCCGTCTAGTAGCCCGCATCGCCCAATGGCATCGCGCGCCGCACCCCTAAACGGCCTCTGCAAGCATAGCTAGACACCAGGAAAATGCTGCTCATCTCCCAAGCCCGACCGCGCAAGCTGTGGGTTGTGTAGGCAGTTAGTCCATGGATGGGGCTTCACCACGCCCGTTTGTTCGCTCTGCCTCTGTAGTAGTTTATGTGCCTTCCTTCCTTCCCCTCACTCGCACACGCCCATCCTCTCTCCCTCTCACCACCCCACGCCTCCAATCTGCGCAAACATCTTGAACCCGCCTGCCTGCTTGCCTGCCCGACGTCTGTTCTCCGCTCGGATCCCCCTCGAATCTTGACCATGTGCAGTTCCTGCGATACAATATAGCTCAGCCCGCCCCATGGATTCTGTGCCCGCTGCCAGGCCGTCTGGCTTGCCTTCTCCGCGATCGCCAACCCTCTCTGAGATTTCCATGATCCTGCCCGAGGCCAACCCGCTGCGCAGCGTCTCACCGCCGCCCTTCGTCGAATCACCACCCTCTCCTCCCAGCTTCTACTCGCACTCGAATCGCTCCGAACATTCCCTCAAATTGGCTCCCGTGCCCGAGGGCCGCCGCCCACCACCACCCTCCAACGTCCGCTCCCCACCCTTGTCCGCCCACAGCTCGCGTTCGACCTTGCGTAACATGGATCCACCAGTCTCGGCTGTTCAGCCGCCCGCCGTCACCACTGCTGCTGCAGACGATACCCTGGCTTCATCACCCACAGTCGACGATGGACTGCTGGTCTCTGAGCCGGTCGAGCGCGACACTCCTTCACCGGGAAAAGGTAGCAGCGGATCGAGTTCCATTGGAAGCGTCGATTTTGAAAATATGAAGAGATGGCCAGGCTTCGAGAATAGCGCTGCCTTTGATGACAGCGGCGTCGACCTCGAGGGCGCAGATGAAGGCCGTGATCAATTCCCTGTAGGAGGACGCGGCGGCGACGACCAGGACAACGATCATTGGGACAGTGACGATCAGTACTCGTCCGACATCTACTCCAAGCGAGCGGAAATGATTTTGGCCAATGCGAAGAAGCGTTTGAATGTCATGGAAGGGAACTTGCGAGGCGCCCGCAAATCTCTTGTTGTTTCGCCGACGCACAATGGCCTCAGGAGTCCCACGGAATTGTCCCATCAGGTATCCATCAGTCGCGAACGCGACCGAAGATTATATGGAGGCATGGGCCCAATACCCCCGCGCAATCGACCATACCATTCTGCTGTTGCGCCTTCGAATAGTAGCCCTGGTCATATTCGAGGCTCGAGTGAAACTTCCATCCCACTGCCATTCGCGTCACCCACCTATATGAGCAAACACCAGCCCAGCAAACGAGCGTCCAGCGCCATGGGTGTTGCAAGTGCGCCATGGTCTCCAGAGGGATATGGTACTGGGAGATTTCCCATTCGTGAATCGCGGAGTTTCGAAGTCATGCGCGACCCTAGAGGCAATGTACCAAATCACGACCGAGATCAACCCTTGCGTTCACATTCCAGGGGATCACGTTCTCCACCCAATGTTCTGGAGACACTCCCAGAAGACGAGTCGCCAAATCTTCGTCGCTCGGCTTCGACAACAGAAAGTCTGCGAGACCAAATGAAGGATCTCAAGGGCAAAATATCGACTCTCAAACTGAGAGCACAGGAAGACAATATGCGGAGGCGCAGTATGCAGAGCTTGCGTACCCCCAGTCCATTCACATCAGCCGAAACTTGGTATTCTGAGACAGAAGCATACAAAACTGGGTCATCGCCAGTTGCAGCCGATGCTGGTGTAGGCGTCACAATGGAGTCTCCCACTAGAAAAGCTCTTTTTGAGGATGAAGGGAGTGGTTCTACTCTGCATAACACTCCTGCGATCTCAGCTGTCAATCGCCATGAAGAGGCCAACACCATTGATCACGATGATGAGCATGGAGTTGATGAGGACCCGGACACGGAACAAGCATCGTTCCACTACGACAATGACCAACTCGGATTTGCCCAGGTCGAGGACAAAACGCTGAATAACATCGATGATGATGTGGATGATGACGATAGCGACTTCGTCTCTGTATACAGCCAGGACATCGATCCGGCAGGATCCAGTGTTTATGAAGACGCAGTGTATGAGATGCCTGTAACGGAGCGGCACGAGGATCGGATCGACGCCTTTGATTACGAAAACTTCTTCCTACATAGTGCCATGGGCACCTACAGCTCAGGCCGCCGAGGATCCGATTCGGGATCTAGCTCAGCCGATTCTGTGGCTACTACCAGACCTGTAACCGCAATCTTCGGAAACGATGCACTCGTGGAGACCAAGAGGGCGTCCCTCCACGCCCGAAACTCCAGCATGGATTCTGTCTCCACCATGGCGAGCTTTGCGACAGCCGCCGAGGACCAGGAAGAAGAAGAAAACGAACGCATGGACCAATTCTCCCAACAAATCTTACAAACTCACCAGGCAGCGCCGGCTGCACAAACAGCAACGCAGAACAGCATGCCCCCTCGATCAGACTCCTTACGGAAGACGTTGCAGCCCCCTAATTCTCCTCCCTTTCGCGACAGCTCCTCCCGCGGTTCTTCTTCGCCTGGATCGACCATCATGACTGCAGGTCTGCAGACGTCGAAGATCTTCTCCATTCTGCTGGAAGCCCAAAGAGACGAACCCCGTCTCGCGCTCAACGAAGAGGAGAAGCAGCTGATCTACAGTTTAGCGGCAAGCTTTCAAAGCGTCAGCGAGACTCTCCAGAGTCCATCCACGGACGCGTACGAGCGGAAAGAGGCGCGCAGGAGGTTGGACGTGGCCCGTCGAGTCCTCAGCGGCGAAGAGCTCGAGGGCCTCCCGTTCTAATATCACGACCTTCCGCGACCGAAATCATTTTTCGCCCACTATTCTCCTCGGATGCTGTTCAGCAATGCCCACACCTCATATATAATGTTTTAGCGCCATCTATTGACTGCATTTCAGCGGCCCGAAATCATGCGTGACTGACCATCCGCGTGTTTCTATAGATTTCTTTTCTGTATTTCTTTTTCTTTGCTTGCCAGCTTAATATTTCTCTGATGTTCGTCTAATACGGACAGGCCCGGGAAAGGGGCGGCTTACCCAAAGACGTTGCCCTTTGCCTACTACCTTTCAATTTCCTCTTTTTCAAAAGTATTTACTTGATCTCTCATACCCAAGGTTAACGGTGGTCTACGAAACGGCCCGATCCCTGGAGACATGTACCTTGCCTTTTACTTACTCGACCTGGCAATCCCCAGTCAAATTCTTTCTTATGTTGTCAACAATCCCATCATCTTTTCTTGTCTTACTTTCTTCCTTGGGCGGAATGCCATCACAAAGGGGGAGGGAGGTATTCGAATTGTATGCTGGGAATGCCTGGTTGGGCTTTTGGTTTTTTTGGGCAACCAAATGTATATTGTTGGTTGTCATGTGGCTATGCGTGTATTGATACCCAGGCGGTGGAGCCCCTGTGAATGGGTTTACATTCACACGCGCGCTCCGGTGAAGAGGAAGGGGGAAGGGGGAAGAGAGATGCGAGTTGGCTGGAGACTAGGTAGGAAGACGATGAGAAAGCAGTTTTCAATATGAAATCTTGGATACGTTGTGTTTACTTTTGAGCTCTTCCTGGATCATCTTGTCTCCTCGTGTTCGGTCGAGTGCGAAGTATGCTGGACACAGGCGGGAAGAATCGGGCATCTCGGAATAGACGTCAAAAACATGTAAAGACGTTATGCCACGTGGTATGGCCATTACTGACAGTCCGGTACGTTCCTTCTCGCTGTGAAGTACCTACGTAGGTACATATGTACCCACATTGACGTTTGAAGACGACACACTAGGCGACCAATGTCTCAACGATGATGCACATGGAGTGTTGGGAACAGAAGAAGTCGACTCATAGCCGCGATTGACGGCGAACAAGCAAGTGGCGAAGTAGCCATCCCAAGTGTGGTGTATGTGGTTCTCTCGGGACTGGCGGTGTACGCGGTGATGCGCTGTTGCCGTCGACCAATTGCGGGGATGGGTGGAGCACTAGCGGGGGTGCTTGACAGTCCATGGCAGATTCCGCTGGCCCTATCCAGCGCGAAAAGACGAGCCTCGAGCCAATCCGACGATGCGAATCTGCTGTGCAGAAGAAGATAATCTCGAGATGCAACTTCGCGGAAGCTAGTACCATCGTACATTCATAGTCCATGGCATGGACAGGAAAATTTTTCCGCCGCTGTATTTGAACTTTGACCGGTCCACCTTCAGGCTGGCCACTGTATCATTGCTCGCTACCTATTCCTTTGTCATCTTTCCTTCTCGAACTTGTCTGTCTGCGCGTTTGTATCAGTGTGTGTTTGATATTGTACATAATAGTATGCATGTAGGTGCGTGTGGTTGCCCCCCGGGAATCATAGCTGTTTACATTATACCATTCAGTACATAGATGCATTCATTGTACATACCACCACATCAATACGTACATTAGCAGAATAGCCCCCCCCCAGCGACCGACCAGCCCCCTCGCAAACCCTCGCCTTACCTTTTCCCTTCCCCGACCCTGGACGCCGACCACGACCACGACAGCAGCGTCGACTTTATATCTTGTACTACTACTGCACTGTACTGGCCAGCGTTGGCCGAGGAGCGGCATTCGGCAGCTATCGTCTGATCCATCCAAAGATTGTTCCCCCCTACACACCAACGCCAGCATCGGCATTCCCAGCACCACTGGTCATTGATACAAAGAGCGCCCCTAAACCGCATCTGGAGCTCTACAACATCCATCCTCGTGCTTGTGACCACGAAAAAGCAAAACCTCCATTGCCCCCCCCCCCCCCTCCTATCCGCGGATATTCTTTCTCTGGCCTGTCTTGCCCCTACACCCCGCCTTGGAACCTGCATCTGCTTTAGTGAAGCTACCACATGGGCCTTTGCTGCTAAACTCTCTCTATTGCCTCTCCTCCGCTTGCGCGCCGCCCACCCCAACCATCTGTGTTTCCACCAAACCATCCTCACGCTGGTCGCATACTTTGGGAGTGTGTGCGTCTGTCAAAACACACATACCACCTTCGTTTCATAGCTCTCGCTTATTGGCAAGAGGGCGTTTTTGAACACTCCACTCTGTGCGACAGCAATAAACCCTTGGAATCGCCTCAACCCACACCTCACTGCCCTGCTATCTTATCTACCGAGTACCTACTTATCCACTACTCCATCCCGTCCGCCTTCCAACCTCTCGCTCCAAGCGCTTCGTCTCGTCTCGTCTCGTTTCGCATCGCTTCGCCAACGCATCCCACCCGCGCAACTAAATCGCGGACTCCCGCCCGCCTCTGCTAATGTGCGCGCCTCCTCCACCGTCATCCCTCTGTTTGCGCGCCTCCAGATACTCGGGTCTCGAGCAGCATGTCTCTCTCCGCCAGCTCACACCACGACGCCGCCGCCGCTCCATATGCGAGACTAAGGACCCGGCCGCCGTCGTCCAAGACTGGATCGGATGAGCCTCTAGTGGGCGCTACTCCTCCCGCGAATCGCCATGGAATGAAAAACAGCTGGCGTCCAGCAGCAGCAGGAGGAAATCACACGGACTATTTGTACTGCTGCGACGCCGATCCAGACCCCCAGAGGCTCCGTGGCAAGCCTACATTCGGCATGCAAGCTGCTGCTTTGGTTGCGATGCATCGTCGGCTGGACCGCCGCTGCAGCGCGCAAAACACCTCTAAGATTTTGGTATGACGACAACCCCACCCCAACATTTCTTCCAACTCTATTGGACCAAACGCTCCACGTTAGGTCCCTGCATATACTTTGGCCATTCTGGCAACATCACGTTTTCAGAACCGTTCCACTTTCCCCCTTCCCCTTGGGCTTTCCGTTAGCCTACCATGATGTGCCTCCATCTCCTTTTTACTTTTGCATCCCGAGGTCTGACAGACTACAGCATCATGATTTGATCACACACGTATCCGCCCTCGCACCTACATCAACTCCAAAACTCTGGGTCGATTCCACAGAGGTTTATGCATCACCACCACCCTCTTACGACGAATCAGTCGCGGACTTTCCGCCCGATTATACCACCACCGATGCGTTAGCCACTGCGCATACCCCCGAATACACGCCCTTTCCCTCTCTCGTTCCTTCTCTGAACGCCAGTACCCCCGGTTCTTTGCAGCATAATATGGACCCGTATTCTTTGCTCTTCACGGACGAGAAATCGTCGTACGTGGATATAGATTTTGGTTTCACCGAAGATGGTATCAAGTCACACGCCAAGAAGAAGAAGGGAGCCGCTGCTAAGAAAGCTGCGCCTGTAGAGGAGAAGAAAGAAGAACCACCACCTGCAGATGCTGGTGATGGGGGTGGCGATCCTCCGGCGGATGGGGGCGCTGGAGGCAATGGAGGAGGGGATGGTGGCGATGGCAAGAAGGATGATGATGATTGGGGTGATGCTTGGGGAACCGCTGGTGGCAAGAAGAAAGGCAAAAAGACCAAGAAGGAGGAGGAGGAAGAGGCTGAGAAGAAACGCAAGGAGGAGGAGGAAGAAGCGGAGCGCAAGAAGAAGGAGGAAGAAGAGGCTGCTGCTGCTGCTGCTGCTGCTGCTGCTGCAACTGCCGGCGGCGATCTTAGCTGGGCCGACAATACCAACAACAACGATGACTGGGGACAATTTACGGCTGCGGGGTCGAAGAAGAAGAAGGGTAAAAAGGGGAAAGTCCGTAATCTCGGTTGCTACATTACACGTTGCAATGCGCTAACTCCTCATAGAATGCCGAACCCGCAGCTCCACCTCCCCCAGACCCACCCACAACTTTTGACGACATCAACCTTGACGATACAGGTGGTGCGCCCAAGATTGACATGCATTTTGGTGACATTGGTGGCGGCAAATCAAATGGTTTCGGTCTTGGAAGTATAACCAGCGGTTGGGGCTCAGGTTGGGGATCAGCAAATAAGGGATCCACATGGGGGGGTTTCGATGAGAATGCAAAGGGCGATGAAAAGAAAGACGATAATCCTTGGGGCTCCGTGGATCAGAAGAAGAAAGACAAAGACGGCTTTGATTTCAACTTTGATGCTTTCAACGCTGGCACTGCACCGGCCCCGGCGGCAGAAGAAACGAAGCCTGCGGAAGAAGATGACGGCTGGGGATTTAGCTTCGGCAACAAAGCGAAGAAGGGTGGAAAGAAGAAGGGCTCAGGGGCGTTGTTGGAGGATTCGGTGCCAGAGCCTGCCCCAGAGCCCGAGAAACCGAAAGAAGATGATCCCTGGTCTTTTTCGTTTGGCAACGCAAAAGACAAGAAGAAGAAGGGCAAGAAGGGCGCTCTCATTGAGGAAACTCCGGAGCCAGAGCCCGTGCCTGAACCTGTTGTCGCCGACCCAGAACCCGCGAAAGAGGATGATGCCTGGGGATGGGGTACTGCAGCAGCTGGAAAGAAGAAAAAGAAAGGAAAAAATGCCATAGAAGAAGTCAAAGAAGAACCGAAGGTCGAAGAACCACCCGCCCCCGAGCCTGATCCTGCTCCTCCAACTGACGATTGGGGTTCTTTTGCAGCAGTTAATGGCAAGAAGAAGAAAGGGAAAAAGGGCGCGAAGGAAGAACCAGTCCCTATTGTTGAAGAGCCCCCGCCACCTCCTCCACCGGAACCCGAGCCAGAACCGATTGTTGAGCCCGAACCTGAACCAGTCAAAGAAGAGCCTCCAGTAGATCCGTTCAAGGGCCTCAGCAAGTCTCAGAAGAAGAAGTTGGAGCAGAAAATGAAGAAAGAGGCCGAGGCGAAAGCCAAAGAAGAAGAGGAGCGGAAAGAGCGGGAAGAGAAAGAGGAGGCTGAGCGTAAACAGAAGGAAGAGGAGGAGGAAGCAGAGCGCATCAAAAAAGAGGAGGAAGAAGAAGCTGAGCGCATCAAAAAAGAAGAGGAGGAAGCTGCTGCTGCCGCCGCCGCTGCTGCCAGCGCGAAGCAGGACGATGGATGGGGGGCCGCTACAACGTCCAAGAAGAAGAAGGGCAAAAAGGGCAAAGAAGAGCCCGCGCCCCCTCCTCCTCCGCCTCCTCCCCCAGAGCCGGAACCGATCGTTGAAGAGAAGAAGGTAGACGACTGGGCAGATGATGGCTGGGGAACTACTACAGTCACAAAAAAGGGCAAAAAACCAAAGAAGGGTGTGGTTGAGCCAGAGCCGATTGTGGAACCGCCACCGCCCGAGCCCGTCGTAGAAGAAAAGCCGACTGACGATTGGGACAACTGGGGAACAACTACGACATCCAAGAAGAAGAAGGGCAAGAAAGGAGCCATCGAAGAGCCACCTCCACCGCCACCACCTCCAGAGATTCCCGAGCCTGAGCCCGAGCCCGAGCCTGCCCCGGAACCCGCGAAGAAAACGACGAAGAAAGAAGACAAGAATGACGGCGGTGATTGGGGCTTTAGTTCAATCTGGGGAGGGGGCAGCAAGAAGAAAAAGAAGGGCAAAACCACAGAGCCTGACCCCGAACCAGAGCCTGTCGTTGAGGATGTTCCGATTCAAGAACCAGACGGTGTCGAAGAGCCCAAAGCAGAAGACGAGGATGACTGGGGCGCGCCGTCGTGGGGCAAGAAGAAAACCAAGAAAAGCTCCAAAGACACACCTGTCGATGTCACGGAAGACACTCTATCCGCCCCAGTTCAGAAACCTGACGATGACGATCCTTGGGGGAGCGCATCCTTCAATATTGGCAAGAAGGCCAAGAAGGGAAAGAAAGGGACTGCGATGGCTGACGACAATGTTGACCTTCTGGGTGACGTGGGCTTGCCTCCACCCAAGGAGATAGAAGCGGCCCCGATTGAGGAGGAGAAAAAGGAAGATGACATGTGGGGGTTCTCATCGTCGAAGAAGAAGAAAAAGGGCACAAAAGACGACGACGGTGGCAAACTGAGCAAAACCACCACGAAAGATTCTTCAAAATCCAAAGACCCAATCGATGACCTCATGTCCTTTGATGCGCCACCCCCGCCACCAAAGGAGGAAGAAAAGAAGGAAGAGAAACCCTCAAAACCGCCCAAAAAGGAGACCCCCAAGGAGAAGAAAGCCAGAGAGAAGAAGGAGAAGGAGGAGAAGGACCGCCTAGCCAAGGAAGCCAAGAAGAGGGAGAAGGAAGAAAAAGAGGAGAACGCACGGCTGGAACGCGAAGCGAAAGAGGCAGAGGAATTGGCCGAGAAAACGAGAATCGAAGAAGAAGCGGCAGCAGAAGCGGCAGCAGAAAAGGCGAGGATCGAGGCTGAGGAAGCGGAAAAGTTGAAGAAGGAATCCGAGACGAGCTCTGGCTGGGGCTCACTTTGGGGCTCTTCCAAGAGTAAGAAAGAAACTTCCAAGCAGAAAAGGGAGCGCGAAGCCCGCGAGAAGGAAGAGCAGGAACGGCTCGAACAAGAAGAGAAGGAGCGTCTTGAGAAAGAAGAAATGGAAAGGCTGGAACAAGAAAGATTGGAGCAGGAAAGACTTGACCGCGAGGCCAAAGAAGCAGAAGAAGCGGCGGCGGCGAAAAAGAAGGCAGAGGAGAGCTCTAGCTGGGGTTCGATTTTCGGGTCTTCGTCCAAGAGCAAGAAGGAGACCTCCAAGCAGAAAAAAGAGCGCGAAACTCGTGAGAAGAAGGAGCAAAAGGAGCGTGAGGAGGCAGAGCGTGTCGAGCGGGAAGCCAAGGAGGCTGAAGAAGCCGAAACCGCTCGTTTGGCCCTTGAGAAAGAGTCATCCAAGGACACTTCTGCATCCAAGAAGCTCAAGAAGAAGAAAGGCAAGGGAGCAGTCGAAGAGCCCGCGCCTCCGCCTCCGGTGGTGCCCGATGACGATCTGCTCGATCTTGTGAAGGACGTCCCGGCCTCTGACCTTCTCGCAGAACTTGAGAAGGAAACGTCAAAGGAGGAGACGGGTGGCGGGTGGGGGAGTGCGTGGGGGATCTCTCTTCGAAAGACCAAAAAGCCCGAGCCTATTCCTGACTCATCATGGGATTTTCCCGAGGCTGCAGCGAACCCTCCAGAACCACCCATTGCTGACGAACCGGTGGAGGTACCGCCAGACCCCGAACCGGTGGTCAAAGCGTCCAAGTCTTCCAAAAAGTCATCGAAGAGTAAATCCAAGGCTGTGGAACCCCAGCCGGACCCTGTTCCCGAAGAAATTCCACCCCCACCAGAGCCGCCCGCGGTAGAAATCATCGAAGCCACGCCTAAAAAGTCATCCAAACTGAAAAAGTCTACCAAATCTTCGTCAAAGTCAAAGTCAAAGGAAACACCTATCGAAGTTCCCGAACCCGAGCTTGACGCAATTCCTAAGATCACAACACCTGTACCTGGTGGATTCCCGATGGACGAAATGGACTTGATTGATTTGAATGCACCTCCTGTAGAGGAGCCCCAACCCGAAGCCGAACCTGAACCTGAACCTGAACCTGTTCCCGAGCCTGAGCCCGTCGTCGTTGAAAAGGTCGAGAAGAAATCAAAGAAGCTCAAGAAAAGCAGTAAACACAAAGCTGAGCCCGTGGTTGTCGAAGAACCCCCACCTCCACCTCCGCCTCCGCCCATTCCCGAACCTGAACCTGCCGAGGAAGACGTATTTGTAGACCTAGATGATGGAGATAATCTCGAAGAAGCACCCCCTAAACCTCCGACACCTCCCCCAGAACCTGAAGTCAAACCGGACTCTGCAAAGAGAGAACGCGCAAAAGTTGTACGCGGCGGGAATTCTGCATCCTGGGGCTTTTGGGGCGCAGCTGCTGGTGCCACTGCAGCCACTGCAGCGGCCTCGCGGTCGAAACCATCGAGGAAGCTTTCTGGCGACGAGGGAGCAAGCGCGGCAGCACCCTCTAAGCCATCTATGAGCCGGTCCAAATCTGCCCGTGTCTCTTCCAAAGTAGATAGAGACGGCATGTCACGGTCGTCGGGTTCTGATAAGACGTCCAAAACACCCTCACGAGCAAAAGTTTCTCGCTCTTCAACTGGATTTGCATCTTTCTTCGGACCTGCCCCTCCGTCAGCGCGAGCTTCTAAATCACGCCGTACATCAGCTACCCGTACATCTTCCAGACGTGCATCAGTTGACCAGGATGCAGCAATGATGTCGCCCCCACCAACAGATACAGATGTCAAGATATCATCGAAGGCAGCAAAAGTCATGGGCATGAAGGAATCCGTTAGTCGAAGGTCTAGCACTAGGGACAAAAGGAAATCACGAGGTAAGAAAAACGCCACCATTTTCGCGTTTGTGCTTGGCCCAAGGCAGCAGCTGAGCAATCAAGCTAACTTCATCGGTGCAGTTGTTCCCGACCCGTATCCTATAGATGATGACCTGGACATGCTCGACGACGGAGCACCATCTTCGCCAACACCAAGATCGAAGCCCGAGTCGTCACGTCGCAAGTCCAAGCACGACTCGGTGTCGCCTGTAGAGGAACCGTTGACTGCCCCACCAAGCACAGACGATCCGCCCGACATTGACCCAATGGAAGTGGAGCCTACCCCGGCTGAGCCGCCCCGCCGTGAACGACATCGTCGCGAACGAGGCAACTCCAGCGCCAAGGACACTTTTGCAGCCGCTGCCACCACAGCAGCGGCCACAACCGGATTAATGAGTATGTTCGGCCTTCGTAAAAAAGCCGCCCCAGAGGAAGACCGCCGCGATGATCGCCGCCGCGGCGCTTATGAGACTGAAGATGAGCGCAGACGCCGCAAGCGATCATCCACGCGCGGCGCAATGACTGAAGATGAAGCAAAACGTTTGCGACATGAACGCCGCAGCGTCCGACGCACAGACATGGGTACCAACGGTAGCGCAGACGTCGATGCGGAGCGCGAGGCGCGGCGTGCGGAACGACGAGCGAAACGCTCACAAATGCCTTATGGCGAAGACATGGGTGTCAACGGCGCTCCGGACATCGATGCTGAGCGTGAGGCCAGACGTGCCGAGCGAAGAGCAAAGCGGGATATGGATAAAGACCCACGACGCGCTGAGCCAGAGGGTGCAGAAGGCAAGTCCGAGCGCCGTCGTGAACGCGAGCGGGAGAATGAGCGTGCGACTCTTGCTGAAAAGAAAGCCCGACAAAGGGCTGAACTCGAGCGACGCAACCAAGAAGCAGAAGAGAAGCTACGCATCATGAAGGAAAAGGAAGAACGGCGTGCCGCTCGCAGCTCGCGCAAGGATACTGACGAACGAGAGCATCGATCTTCGCGACGCAGAGACAAAGATCGTGAAGTTTCTTCAAGACCACAGAATGAGCGCCGCAGATCGCAATTGGACGAGGATCCCGAGGAGCGACGCCGTCGCCGCGAAGAACGTCGCGCCAAACGTAACTCCGAGTATCCGACAGCCAACGGCGAGCCCATCACGGATTACTTTGACGAGCGAAACGCGACAACCCACCGCTCTCGACACCGAAGCTCGCACCGTACACGTGAAGAAGAGAATATGCCCTACATCTCAAGAGGCGGCGACAAGACGTCTTCCTGGGTCGAGTCCTTCTCGAACGAGCCCGCCCTCCCCGTGCCGCTCGCAGAGACCGTCTTGGACCACCCCAACGGCGATGTTATAGGAGACGAAGAAACACTCTCCGCCGACGAGGAGCTACGGCACTATATACACCGCGGCAAGAAAAGCCGTGGCGAGCGCGATCGAGACCGCGACAGAGAAAAGGATCGCGACCGTGAGCGCGACAAGAAGGGCCACAGGCGCCGCACCCAATACGATGGGACGCGAGGGAGCGAGGAGCAAGACGAAAGACGCAGCCGCAGGAAAACATACGGAGCCGAGTATGCGGATCCACCCGTGCGGACGTGGGATGGTAGACCGGCCGTGGACGGCGGCGGGGGAGGAGGTAGCGGGAAGAGAGGCAGCTGGTTTAAGAAGATTGCTGGTTTCTAAAGAGCCCGCATCTTCCAAACCCCCTTCCCCCTGGAACAGTTGTGAGGGGTTAATGACATGAAACGACCTCCTTTTTTTTACGTTATGATGCAGCGACATCTTTTGAGCCTTTCTTGTCATCTTGCCTACCATTTTGGATTTGTGGGTTTTCCTCTCAAGCATTGCGTGGGCGTTATTGTTGCTGGGGTTATGTTTTCCTTATCTTCCTATTTCTGGACAGCTCCCATACCCCCCTCCTGTCTTGTATCTCCGCTTACATTGTTCTTGCATACAAACCTTGTTGTTGTTGCTACTGTTGTTTAACTGTCTCGAACATGTCCATCTATTCAATTGCATGCAGGAGAATTGAGATGATGTGTGCTGCTGTATCCGTCCGTCCTATTGTCCTCGTTTTACTTTGTGTGAGATGTCGAATAAGCATATTAACTTCTCTCGCATGCCACATGCCGAACAGTAATGGCTCATGTTGTCATCCTCTTGCTCCTTGCAAAGCCCATTTCCTCATATTCTTGTGTATCACTATAAATATCGCAGTGTGCTAGGGACTCCCAAATTTCCAACTCAACAACTCATTCAATCCTATTCTTGTAGTGCTCGCGCGATGTTAGTTGGGTTTGTCATCGATACACACCTATTGTTATATATATATATATATATACACATACATACCCATTTCATAGCGTTATAGCTGACTATCGTGCTCGATCCCATGTCCTTACATCCTGTGTCGACTCTTTTTCCAACCTTCTTTTGCGAATGAAGCTAGATGCGGCCACTGCAGAAATTTGACATCCGGCCCTCGTAAGGGAGAGACGTGCCTTATGGAGAACAGTCACAAGGTTTTGGTAGAACATCATGTTCGGCGCCCCGTCGATTGATCAAGTGGTCCTCAACGAAATGAACCCAGCATGCATTTGAGCAGTGAATAAGACTACTTCTTCCAACGCCAGCGCCGTACGCCACACTATGATCCTTCAATCCGCACAGGTATCTATAACTGCTGTGTGATTGCCCGCTCGAATTCAGTCCCCTCCATATCTTCGTCCTCTTCGTCCTCGAGTTCTTCATCCTCATCCTCGAATCCGGTCTCCACTCTAGCCAGCCTTAGTCTCTCCTTCATTTTGTCCCGCTCTTCCGCTTGCCATCTGCTCAGTGCCGCCGCCGCGTGTACCCTAAACCCAAAGACTCTCGGGGAATACCGTTTTTGACTCTTGGGCGGAAGCATCGTCGGATACACTTGGAATAGGATGTTGTGGAACGAGGACCCAAAGTACGCGCCATCGATTATGGCGTGGCGCGACGACTTGGGGTTGTAAAGATCTTCGCATCGTGAGCAGTAAAGCTTCACGGGGGAGGTGTTGGCCACATCAGATTGGCCCATTGGGAGCAGAGGCTGTGATTCGCACATTACGCGGGGGCATTTGCCAAAGTCGGATTTCTTAAACTTCTCGAGCTGCTCACAAGTCTTTGTTAGATTATTCTGGTCCTTTGCCCATTGTCGCGCGACCTGACGTGGGAAGCGGAAGCGGAAGCGGAAGAGTGTATGGGTGGGTGCGTACCATCTTCGCCAGTCCGCGTGTTGTCACTATGTAGCGTGCATGCACTAGGCCGTACAATTGTCGTGCCGACTTCTCAATCTGTTCCCGCATGTCGTCGTCGCAGTCGAAATCGAATACGTCGGTGACCAGGTCTAGCGCATATTGGTAGTATTGCACTTCTGTGTTCAGGCCAGTCAAGTTGAAACGATCGGTGAGGTATTCTTCGTCGATTTCGCAAAAGTACTCATTTCCACGGGAGGATATGAACTGCGGTTATCTATCAGCTACGTTTGGTCGCATTGCTGCACACAAACAAGTGAAATACTCACCCAGTCTCTCCAGTAACTTGTGTAGTCACTATCTGTTTCGCTATTGAAGTCGTCCATGATTCCGGCCTACACGAGAGACTAAATCCGACCAGTGAGGCCGTGATTATATTCGCCTGAGGGCGGTTTTAGCGTTGTAGGAGGCAATGAGCGGGTTTGGGTGTTGTGCGTGGCTGGAAGCTCTGCATAAACATCCGCGGTGTGAAGGTGGGATGTCTCTTGGCGGAAAGCAAGAGCGGGCGGGGGACCGTGCGTTCGGAACTTCCGAAATTCCGGACACCGGCTTCCTCAGTTCTTCGGGGGCGCGTACAACGACCCAACGTTGTTCCGTACAAACAGTCGCCAACAAGTACCAGTCTGGAACATATGACGGGTGTGTTTTATTTTCCCGATCATTCAAATCAGTGCCACTGCATACGGCCAGTCACTTTTCACGTGGCCTCAAAGCTTGTCTAGGTTTCGACGAATGGCGCGATCAACAAAGTTTGGCGGCTTTGGTCAGCCAGCGATGCATCTGCTTGGTCCATCTTCTGTTCGATCCAGCATTGATATTTTCCACGAGGCTACATGAGTGGAGCATGCCAGTGGACAGTTTATCGCAATTTGAAATAACAGGTTTGCTCAGAGGTGGCAATGGCGAGTCACACTGCTTGCTGCCTTTTGATTCCCTTGCTTTCTTGATTCCAATCCTCGATATCCTGTTCACCAGCACGATTAGCGAGAGTACCGACTACATCTATCAGAGCACTTTGATCTCATCCTCAGCTTCCACGTTATGCCTCGAATGGCTCGAGTGGAACGACATCTCCGGTGTAGCTCTTACTTTCCAGTCAATGCGTCGATAACACTAAAAGGCGTCATGGTTTGACTGTTCGATGTAACATTGCCGAATCGAACTCTGCGAACTCACTCGGCTTCTTAACATAGATGCAAACGTGCGGACGTGCCTATTTTTTCAGCCTCCTATCAAAGTGCGCATTTCGGGTTATAAAAGTTCTAGACAACTCTAATTTACAGATTTCGCGAGATCTACAATGGTTATCACAGTCACTACTTCTGCATAATCAGCGCTAAAGCACAGTGTACATAAACTATCAATCACATAGAAGAGGATCAAGCCTGCACTTCGAGAACAAATGCAACGGTCGACACTATCAACTTTCCCGACATCCAAACGAACATTCACAATGGGTGAGCCTAGTTTGCCTGATTTCATGATATCTCGAGTGCCTACGGCCAACAATTGGGAGAATACTATACCGGCATACCAAGATCAAGATGAGAAAAGCGGTTTTCACCGTCTATGTCGCTTCTCCCCACATCGCTACTCAACAAGTGAATTGACTGCCTTTGACCTGAAGCCTCCGCCACCAACAAAATCTGATCGTAAGCTTGAAATACTTGCCTAAACGCCGAAATTTCCTCAGTCTGACACGTCGTAGCTCATTGCGAAATCGTCGCCGAACGCCTTTTCTCAGCGGATCACTTACAGGTCATCCTCAAAGATCCAGCATATTTTCAACGCTTTCGAGGATTTCTCGCTAAATATCAACCACAATCCGTTCCAACTTTGACTCACTATCTCGAATCCCAGAAAGCATTGACAGCCATACGATATGCCAATGCTATAGCCGGACAGCTATCTTCGTTTTCGTGGAACTCTTCGGATATTCCCAGTCCTGGGGCCGCGGGAATGATCGATAAACAATTTGAGGCGTCTTCAAAAAACGCTCTGGACGAACTTGTCGCTGATGCATTACCCACGTTCATCACTCATCGCGTAGTAACATTGGTCACGGAATGTCTTGTGAAGGAGATTACAGGCAGTAGCACCCCTCTCATGCGGGAGTTTATTCACGGTCTCGCAGAGGTGTACTGTTTGACCGACGCTAGGCAACCAGACAATCCCACTGTCTTTGCATCGGAAGAATTTTACAGTACTACGCAGTACGGTCGCGAATACGTCATTGGGAAGAACTGTCGCTTCCTCCAAGGGCCAAAGACTCAAAAAGCAGCACTGAAGAGAATAGCAGATGCTATACACAATGGGCAAGAAGCCAACGAGATTTTATTGAACTATCGTCGGGACGGAAGCCCATTTTTGAATTTGCTCATGGTTTCGCCGTTAATGGATTCGCGGGGCCAGGTTCGTTATTATATCGGTGCCCACGTCGATGTCAGTCACTTGCTCGAGGCAGGGAGGGGACTCGATTCTTTCCGGCAACTCCTCGATCTTGACACCGATACTTTAGGTACACCCACTCGCTCGGGGTCGCATATTGACCAGAAAAGATCCCTGTCGCTTCTCCATGATCTGAGCAGTCTGTTAAACGAAGATGAAGCAGATACTGTGAAAACACGGGAGCGCGAAACACATATGTATGGGTTCGGTCGACCAGAATCTATGATTTCTATTCCAGGACGGGTTGCTAGCGACAGCCGGCGATTCGTTGGCATGGAGGAAAACGAGGAAACACATTGGTCGTCGGGCGACATTGGTACGGGCAGAAGAGTACCAGGCGTTTATCAAAATGTGCGTAAGCGATAGGCTATCTATTGTACATGCATACAGCTAACTTTCACAGTACATTCTCGTTCGACCATACCCTTCCCTTCGTATAACCTTTACTTCACCATCGCTGCGTATTCCCGGCCTTTGCCAGTCTAAGCTCATGGACAGGATTGGTGGCCCCCAGCATGTCCGCGAAGGCGTTCTTCGAGCACTCGCCCAAGGAATCGGTGTCACAGCGAAAATATCTTGGCTGACTCAAACTCAACGCTCTACTCCTACCCCCAATTTCCCTATGACAGAAGAAGACGCCTCGATACGCACAGAAGAGTCTGAGTCGCTTTATGAGGGACGACCCCGTTGCATACATTGTACACCCCTCATGGGGTCTGACATGAAACCGGGAGTTATAATGATAGTCATGGTGGATAAAGAAGAGATCACGGGAACCCTTGCACCTCCTAGTGCATCACCCTTACGCCCTGTGCGTAGCCGCCAGAGGCTCCCTCGCCGCCCTTCCGAACGACCCTCGAACGACACCTGGCCTGTACGTAACGCTGAGATAGTACCACTTGCTGCCGAAATATCGGCGACTACTGCGAGTAAAAATCCGTATGCCGGGTGTTTGATGAAAGAAGCCAGTGGGATGCCAGCTGCAGAAGCGGACGCCATTCCGGGAATTGAAACTACAGCAAACTCTACGCGGCACACCACAGCATCAACGAATGAAACCAAATCGACGCGCAGTACCTTGACGCGTAGACGCAAAAGTTCAGGGTCTTTCTGCTCTAGAGGCAACGGTCTGCAAGTGACGAGCGGGCATGCTACCAATGCTGCTGCGCCAAGAGAAGGAATGAGTGGAATGAGCTTGATGGTCAATGAGCGAGATAGTAGAGACGAAGGTACTTCGATGCTTGACAGGGATCAAACCCGAGAGAGTTATCCAAGTGAAGATTCTGCGAAAGAGTTCGTCTTCACTGGGGTGGGGGTGGTTCCACCAGAGAGGGTGGAAAGCAAAAAGATCAGGACTTTTGAAGCGCTGCTCAAAAGGCACAAGAAGTCTCCTTGAAGCACTTGAACCGCAACTGGGACACTGTATTCTGGAGCGAAGGCCTGCTGTTTTTCCCTTTCACATAGCGATAGCTTGCACACGTCGATGCAAAGAAAATTAGCATACACAACAATACAGATGACTGGTTATCTCTCTAGTCTATACGTCCATCCATGATCTCCTTGAACACCTTTAAACCTCTTCGACCAAGCGCAGTCCCTACCCCCACTGCGTCTGCTCCCGCATTACGCATCCTCAGATATCCTTCGTTATTTTCGACTCCACCAACCCCAATGATCTGGAGAGCAGACAGCGAAGAGTTCTCTGAGAGAATCTTCCGAATAGTGTACACGTTGCCCAATGCCAGTGGATGGAGCGGTGCGCCGGCCAATCCACCAATGCCCGAGGTGCCATCGGCGGATTTGAGTGTGTGATGGAAAGTCCCATCTAAGCCAGGAGAAAGTAGCAGCGAAGAGCCGAGTGTATTTGTCGCCGTTATGAATGAGACTGGGCTGGGTAAGTCCACGGGCTCCGCTGTAGTACTTTGAAGCAACGCATTGAGTAATTGCTGGTACTGATCTCGATAGGTGTAGGGCGGCGATTTGATTCCGATTGGAACGTGATACTTTTTTATGTGTGAAGGCCGCTCATCTGGGGGGACAGACTCGAGTTGTCGCGATATCTCTGATTTGAGTGCGGCGAGATAAGCAAGCAGTGTTGCCGAGTTGTAAGCTGGCGGAGGTTTGCCGGGTATGTTGGGGCAAGACAAATTGATCTCCATGGCTAGCTCCATGCGGACGTGAGCTTGGTGCTCTGATATCAGGCGATAACATTCGATGACTTCTTGGACGTTGCCGGTGATTGAGATGATGAAAGGCTTCAAGTTGGTGCCACTGCCGCGACCATTCGGCGTCTCGGCCGATGTAGGCGTATCCTTCAGAGAGTCTGATATGGTCTTGATGAAAGTCAGGTAGTCTTTCAATGGTACTGGGCTATAGCCTAATGTATTCAAGCTTCCAGGTTGCTCTTCACCCCCAGCAGGATTGGCGTGAGCAGCTTGGAAAGTAGCAGGATTATAAAACGTGTACTGGTGACAGGATGGATCATGAGGGAATCCTTCTAATAGTGAGGTTCTGGTTGTGACTGCGCCTGTGTATTCTGAAGAGTACAGCTCTTGCAGCTGTTCGAGTGTGGTGCACCATGGGTTGGCAGAGTTGAGAAGACGAGGGTAGATGTTGAGTTGTTTCATGGTCAATGTTTCCGGAAGAGCGTTGAAGGTCTTCGCCAACCAGTACTGTGATGTGAACTGGAGTTTGTGTAAGGGTAGCAGAGCTGGGTTATCTATCTAGGTATCTTATCGCAGCTATGCATATAAGGGTATGGTGGGGCAAAAAGTTCGCGTGGAATGGGTATTGAGAACGTCCAACTCGCACAAAAAACGGAAAACGAGATGAGAAGAACGCAAGTATGCCGAGACAACTACAGCTCTGTTGACCAATGAAATACATTACATGGCCCATGGTTTGTCTGATTCAGGTATCACTACTGCTATATGTATACCTGGAAAGGATACAAACATGATCGTGACACTCCAACAGTCGATCGGTTAACACTGGCATCGCACCTCTACTAGTATAACACGAGATTTCGATCGAGCGGGCTGCATATTCATGACAAAAGTGCCCGATTGAATATAATTGAATGAAAATGCTTTTCATCTTCAAGGGGCCGAGGACAGTTACTCGCTAGCGTGATCGAGAAGCTGTAGAAGGTCCGAATCCTCCCGTCTAATAACTGAGAACGCAATCATCCTGGCTTGCAACTCGCAAGTGTCTGGTAGTGTCTGGTAGTGACCGTCCATCTTCGATATGTGCTTGTGCCGTACAATGATCACTCGCGAGAACCTGTGGCCGACATGAGCATTATTAATCCACCAATGTGAATTTGTTCCGCGTCGCGGGGAGCATAACTACGGGTACATTATCTCCGTACCCTGCCGCCAGGGGAACAACTAGCTCCGTTTGGCGACCAAAGCATCGACTCGACATATAGGGTGGATGTGGTGAACGACTCTTTACATGCAAGATATCCTGGCGATGATCGGTTTAGTAGCCTTCAACCCCTCAATTAATATGGGTGGAACTATGCGCTAAGCATAACGGTAGATTGCGAATGCTGCAAAGGGGGCAAAAGTTTTCAGATGGCGCGTATAAACATGACATGGCATCTCCTTGTTAATGGGCACAACGTCCGACGACTGTTGCCATCACCATCCACGTGCTGTGGTGCCAATTCGCCTCGTCTTTCAATCCCAACATGCTTTACTCGATACCCCTGGCTGTTCTGTCTGGAGCCGCCACTGTGATCGCGGCGCCAACGACAAATGCATCGCAGCCGTATTCATTATGGATGGCCACTTCCTATCTCTCCAAGGGGTACAAGATCAGTAACCACTATGTACCAGCCGTATTGAACGAAGGACATCAAAAAGCCGCCGTCCTTCACAAGGATGAAGCCTTGCTGAGCCATGTCTCCAAAGCTATATCGTCTCTTGTTTCTGACAACGGAACCATTATCGGGTGGAACCCCTACAAGTACTCACTCGATGATATTCGCATTGGCAACAACTTTCTCTACTTCTGGGACGCAGAAGGCAGAAAGGAGAAGAAGTATGAAATTGCCGCGGCATCATTGTTGGACCAGATCCATAGGTTCCCAAGGAACAAGGCTGGCGGCTTCTGGCACCGCGATCCTACCTATCCGAATCAGATGTGGTTAGATGGTCTGTACATGGCCCAGACCTTCTACGCCACGTACACTTCCTACTTCGACTCGGCCAATGTAACAGCGTGGAACGACATCGTGCTTCAATTCGACCTTATCGAGGAGCATACCCGGAACCATACCTCCAACTTGCTAGTACATGGCTATGACGAGAGTAAGACTGCTGTATGGGCAGATCCCGTGACTGGAGCTTGCCCTCACGTCTGGAACCGCGCAGTTGGGTGGTACTTTGTGGCATTGGTCGAGGTCCTACAGGTCTATCCCAAGGAACTTGAAGGATATGCCCGGCTGCAGGGCTATCTCGAAACTTTGGCGGATGGTCTGGAGAAGGCGCAAGATGAGTCGGGCGGGTGGTGGCTTGTGATGGACGAGCCCTACCCCGGTATGGATGGTAACTATATCGAGTCGTCTGCCACGGCCATGTTCACCTATGCATACCTGAAGGGCGCACGCACTGGGTTACTACCAAAATCGTATCAGGAGACTGCTCTCAAGGCGTACGATCTGATGGTGAACCGGTTTGTCAAACTTGAGAACAACGGGACGCTGTCTTGGGAAGGAACGGTAGAGGTGGGGTCGTTATCTGGCAATGGGTCCTACGAGGTACGCTGCTGCGAACAAAACGAGTCAATGGTCCTTGGAGCTAATTGTGATTGCAGTACTACATTGGAGTTCCTCTATCCGAGAATGATGGAAAAGGTGCCGGTCCCTTCATGTACGCAGCATCGGAAGTCGAGCAACTCGAACAATAACCGTAAGTCCCTGCACATGGCGAAGAGGGAGCTACAAGTAGATAGAAATCTATGCAAATGCACTGACAAGACCTCTCCTTGTGTGATTCCCTCGTGACGTGTTTGGCATAGTGACTCTGAATTAACAACTCCATCTGGCAAGCGTAGGTGACGAATTGCATCGCCGTGGGACCTGGCATTCACATCGCGTAAGATCCCCTTCTTCAGCCGTTGGTAGTAGGGATCAGTGTGATTATTTTGACGAGGAGCTGTCCGGGTCAGTGCAGATGACGCGAGTATCAGCGACTGCAGGATATTCCAGGTACATGGCAGCTGCTGTCATGAGGTGAGAAGCTGCTGGGCATCAATCATGTATGAGACAGAAAGGTGCTCCAGGCGCTGACTTTTGGCGGCCAACATTTCGGCAAGCCTGAGATCTACAGGTGGTAGTTTCGATATTTCGAGCATGAGCAAGTTGATTGTTGAAGACCCTGAAGTTAGTTATTATTTTGAAATGTTTTAGAACATTGTATTTCATGAAGTACACTTGCCCTATACAGATGCCAGAAGAAAACTCATACCTGTTCGATGTGAGGAGGGGAGGTGGGGTCGCCTGATATACAAATGAATTCAAACAAAAGGTTGGTCCTTGATCAGTTCTAAATACCTTGGTACCGAGAAGTGAGGAACCCCAACACCCAATCATGATTTTTTTTTCTGGGTCGGAGTTTAAGTGATCCTACACACAGCGAAGGGTTTGCGGCGATAAAAGTACTAAAAACCAACGATCGATGACCAAAAGACAATAATGATTTATACTATTATAATTTTATGTCGGAATTTTGGGTGATCCTGGCCCCGACGATGCTTTCAAGAATATGACACAAAAGCGAGCGATAATAGAAAATCCCAATACCCAACATGTCAAAACTGATGAGAACTCTTACCAGTATTTAACTGATTCGATGTTCAGATTATCTGCATTCTAGAATACCTCAGGCGACCATGTAGATGGGAACTCGGAAGATAGACGATAGTATGAGAAGTATAATGGGCCTATTCCTCCATCTGCCCAAGCGACAACACCCAAGTATACCGACAATTCCGAAGGTTCGTTTGTCACATACTCATTGCTACAGGCTCTGCAAAACCACGAAACAAACTCATCATCTATCCAAGTTTATTTATGTAGTTTACAAGTATGTACTAATTCCTGGAGAGGTGTAAGGCGTAAGCGAAAACCTGAAAAACTCCAGTCGTTGCAGCATGGGTTGACAAATGGATCCTTCTCCATATATATCATGAGTGTCTATCCATCCGTAAATGCTCTTGCCATGAGCGCGCAACTTATGGCCAGACCGAGGACCAAAGTTATAAAAAAAAAGAAAGTGGGTATCCCTATCCTAGCTATCATTCCCGTGAAGCGCACTTGACTGATCCATCTCCTTTCCACCTACAATTCCGAAAAAGACGAAAAGACGCGCAGCTATCCTCATGCATTTGTGTGGCCCGTTCCCGTGGTTTCATTCATCCCGTCCCAGGTCATGTTGATGCTATCCAACATCTGATGCCAGTTTCCCTCGGTCATGGTCGCCATGTCTGCCCCTCCCACTCCCATGTTTCCAGACAGATCCCACTCATTATTCGCTAAGAAGCCATTATGGAAGCCATTGCTGCCGTCCAAGTTATTTTGTGGCACACCGTACATGGCAAACATATCGTCGTTGGTACCGAAAAAGTTGGTGTTGGCGTTGGCGCTTGCGTTCATCACATTCGCCATGTTTGTGCTCGTACTTGGCGGTGGTGATTTGTTCTGCTGCTGCTGCTGCTGCGGGTGCATAAGAGGCATTTGGTTGGCCATGCGCGGCGAGGGGCGGTATGGTATCTGGTCCGTGTGTTGGCTGGGTGAATAAGACGAATGCGAGGTGGATCCTCCTCCAGAGTGTGAGACTGTTTGCGAATTCGACGTTCTCGGGCTATCTCCGTTTCCATCTTGTGAAATGTCCATCTCGTTGCCCTCACTCAAGCTAAATCCGCTTCCTCCGCTCCCCAGTTGGACCCCATTTGCCGCCCCGGTTTGAGCCCCGTCGTAGTTGATACCCGCTACGTTTGGTAGCTGGAAAGATTGTCTATACGGCTGATTCTGCGGTGTTGTCTTGAGTGGTTCAGGAGGTTGGAATTGGTTCATGGGTGCAGTGGCACTCTGGCTTTCCCGTATTTCGTACACCGGACTGCAGGCGACAGAATCAGTATTCGCGGGATACGATGCTTTCTATATTGAGTGAAAATTCGAGTCAGTTATTGTCCGATATCAGGAATCAAGATGTTCAGGTTGGCTTACCTGAGGATCGGGAGGCAGATAAGGTTTGTGCTGAAGACCAGGAAGGTTTGCACTCTCAAGATCTAGATCTAGTTGCACAAGGAATGATTCTGTCAAAGGATTCTTGCGGCGAAGTGCCTGCATGGCTTGAAGTAGAAACTGAAGTGAGGAGCTCATCTGCTGGTCTTTGGGTCGAGTTTTGAGATACTGAACGAAGACGCGCGCTGCTACATAGACACAGAACGATATAAAGGGATTCATCTAGTAGTGTTAGAAGCATGCACGAAGAAGGTAGACACTATGCGTATGTGGAGGGACTTACAGTTGCTAAATCCATGTGACTGATCATTCTCATCAAAGAGGCGATCTCAACACCTGCTGTAACGCAGCGAATCTTGCTTTCATTGCTGACGTTGACAGGTAAACGGTGTTTATCGGCTTTGAAGATAGCAGCTTGATGGAGACAAATGGCAGAAGTATGAATGCTCATGTTTGTGAATACAACATTCGGGTCTTGAAGACCATTAGGTACCCTCATGTGATCGGGCATTCCCAACGATGTTTGTAAAAGAATGTTCTCTATGTTTCGATGCCGTGTCCAGAATTCACCATTCAGATCATCAGGGTGATCATCTGCTGCAGGTCGATGAAGATGTAGAAGATTCCGACCAAAGAGTGCTGCTGTCAGTACGGTACCACCAAATGATTGGAGGTTACCCAATCCATTGGGAGTCAGGGACTGTTCAAGCGAGCTGGTAGGCATGGGTTTACTCTTATCAAACGCCATGTCGCTAGCTGGCAAATTTGTCATGATCTATATGGGAATGTCAATAGTGTACTTGATAAAGTAAGGACCTAAGGTGAAAGCTCACATCTCGTTCATCAATGGTCATGGGCCACCCAGTCCCAATGCTTGCATATCGATCGACGCAAAAGGCCATCCAGAACGTTCTCCTTCTCTCCTCGCGTTCTGTCCAATCTTTCGGTGGCGGTAAGCACTGCTTTACATCCAGGCCCGTGCCGTCCAAACGATGAAGCTGCATCATTTGTGCAAGCCGACTTGCTCGTCCAGACGACAACCATGCTCGCGGGAAGTACATGAGTCTGAACTCGTACGTCGATGTCAAGATCCACATCTGGCAATGAGCCAGGGTGATAGTTGATTCACCATGACCCTTCAACTCATCCGACTGGGCATATTTCCTTGCGCGGTGGTAAAAATGATCCTGTAACGCATCGTATTTATCGGTAATGGATGCAGCCAGAGTCCACATGATGTATCGCAAGCACACGGGCGGGCGCATATGGGGGGCAAGATTCATGGCAGCCATGAATCGTGGCTTGTGTATAATGGGGAAAGAGGGATGCACTTTTGTAAAGTAGATGTTGTAGCTGTCATGGTCAGCTCGATATTTTATGAGATGAAAGGCCGAGCAGCACTCACAGTTCGTCCATGACATCTTGAGGAGGAAGCGGCTCATCGAGCCCCAGACCTATCATCTCCCAAGGGAAATCGCCTTCAGCTGTTACCTGGGGGTTATTTTGAAGGCCATCAGGGCCTTGAGGTCGTGTAGGTGCTGCAGGCCTCTCGCCCGTCCCCAGGAAGTCGCCGGAATGGGGGAGGGGGTTCTGTATCGTGCTTGCGACATAGGCTGAAGTTGTATCTTGACGGGGGCTATCATTGTTCTGGTCGCCGGTGTCTTGATTCTTGAGGAGCGTCTCGACTTGCTCTGCACGTGTATATGTGTAGTACGTCAGCGATAACGGAAGAGGCTATGGGTAGAAAAGTGCCTGGAACTATTCACATACGCAGACGCGCCTCGAGAAGCTTCACATAACCCCTCTTTGGCCCGCTCTTCTTCCTCTTCTCATCGTATGCGCAGTTGTGGGAGAGCCTCTTGCATGTGCCGCATGCGGGCCGCGCACCATCGCAGCGTAGCTTCCTCTTCCTGCACACAACACATGCGATTCGTTTCGTCTTGTTGGCCGAATCGTCGCCTGGTGCGGGTTGCCCGTTGGCACTCGAGGGCGACTGTCTCTCGTCGCCGCAATCCGGTTGCTGCGATAGGTCGTTGAAGAAGGTCTCGTCTGGCGATTCCGACATGTTTGCCGCTTCTGTCCGAGCTGTTCCGGGTGTGGTGGCAGCGGCCCGGTCAGGTAGTCCCCGCAATAGTGTCACAAACGGGTGTCGGAGAGGTTCCAAGGACTTCCTGCACTGGTATGCTGATGTGTTTTCAAGGAGAGATGGAATGGACACTTGAAAATGGGGATGCCTGGGCCACTTGGATCTTACATGCATACTTGATGAATGCAGGCTAGTGCACACAACGGTGAGATTTCAGCCCCCGCGTGCCATCAGCCCTTCATCAATTGTTTCAAAGGATCAAGCAAAGGCATGAGCGATCCGGAAGCTCCGTCTATTGATTCCATGGATGACGAGCTGAATGGCATCCTTTGCCCCCTGCTCTTCTTGCTCCCCATCCATCTACATGTCCTCTTGCGATTCAACCTAATCCGTGGGTGCAGGATAAGGATAGGTATATTCCTGCGCTATGTACGTATAGGGTGACGGGGTCTTTGGCTGGCACGCACGAAAAATCTCGCAATGTCCGATATCCAAATGTACTACCCAAGCGGGACAAAGAAAATAATAAGCTTGCGGCACACCATTCCTCCACACCTTCACTACCAGATAGGTACTCCTATACCCAGGACCATGTGCTTTGTCGGCCATGACATTGAATCCAGGGGGTCAACCTCGAAGGCTTCATGTGCGTCGTGTATGGGGTGGAGGAAGTAAGCTGAAATCATAGTGCTTCGAATTGTCTTTCTTGATAGGTCTAGATGTTTTGCTACGCCTCCCAACTCAACATTCGCGGCACTGCTTTATCCGGGGGTTAAATATGATACAAATAGGTAGACAGGAAGCTATGATACACGATACACAATGTTACATAAACAATCCAAGTAGCAATCATGGGCTACGACTATTTCGGTCTGCGTTTGCCTTGGTTGCGCGGTCGATCTGTCACAAGGAATGTGTGTTTGTTCCTCTTGTGTCTTGTCTTGTAACCTCCTTTCGCCTGTTTCCACGTTAGCTCTATGCTTGCAATTAGCTGTCTACATTGACAATGCGACTTACCGGAGTACCCCACGGACTGACTGGGTGCACATTACCCTTTGATTTACCTCGACCACCTCCGTGAGGATGATCAGCTAGTAGGTGGTTAATACACAAAAATCGTAGAGAAGCAGGGAGTCTTGGGTTGCATACCAGCATTCATGGCTAAACCACGAACTTCAGGTCGTTTTCCTAGCCACCTCGCCCGCCCGGCCTTACCAAGCTGGGCGAAATGTGACTGAATGTTGCTGGCTACACCAATGGTACAGCATGCGTCAGGGCTGACCTTGCGAATCTCTCCACTCTGCATACGTATGATGACGCTTTTCACTTCGATGCCACCCTTGGGCAATTCGCCCTCCTCTTTATTGACAATGATAGCATACGTCCCAGCGCTCCGACAGAAGACACCGCCACCCTTCGATTTGGAGCCCACGTTGAACACCTGAGACCCGAGGGGAACCATGTGTATGGGCAAGCAATTTCCCCTCGACGCTGTTTTGGCTGCCAGCATACCGGGATCGATGATGCCACCCATCTCTTTGATCAGATCTTTGGGAATACCGCTCCTGAAGCTCTCGATTTCATCTCCAGCACGCATTCCATCTGCAGCCACAATATAAGTTTTCTCCCCGGTTTCCAAACGGGTGATCAGGGCTAGATGGGCGGTGCGGTTCGGGTCATATTCGATCCTGTCGACGACGTGTTTCCCAGGCAGATAGCGCTTGTAATCCACGATGCGTATCCTCCTCTTGTGACCACCTCCCCTGTGCCTAACCGTCACACGACCAGTATTGTTGCGACCGCCTAGATGCTGACCTTTACGTGCGATGGTGAGCTTCAGAAGCGGGCGTCCCTTCCACAGATGGTTGTTCACTGGACGCTTGAGATGGCGAAGACCCGGTGTTCGTGGCTTGTATGTGCGCAGGGGAATGAACTTTTCCTTTCGAGATCCTTCGAACCGGAGGACACCTGCATCGGATGCGACAGTGGGCTCAATGGACGGCGGAGGCTTGTGGTCGATGGCGGTAGCATACGTGCGGAGAGGACGTAGGAGGCTCGTGGCTATCCGAGCCGGGCGGATGCTGCCTAACCGGGGCTGCAGCATAGCTTTGAGATGGCGAGAGGCCGCACCGAGAGGCGGAGACGACGGCAATGGCTCGGGGGCGAAGCTGGGTGTAATGGTTCGTAGTAGTAGTTCGTGATGGCCAGAGGGCTCAGGTAGGGAAATTCTTGAGCCCGAAAGAGGCATAGCGCAGCCGCCATATGGCTGGGTGCACAAGCAAGACTTGAGCGTTAGCGCAGGAATCCCTGCACGCGTCGTTGCCCATTCGACGCACCCGTGCCTGTTCCGCTCCTTCGCTCCAGCACTCACTCACCACGCCCGCGTCCTTGTTTTTACATACTCACATCCCCATACTGGTACCCACCCACACCGTGTGTACACAACACAGCCTTCACCTCGACCCAGCGTCTGCGAGGAGATTCTTGAGTGCATCTTGTGCTTCGCGCTGGAATATCATTCTGACCCGGTGCATTGTCCACACAGCCTTTGCGCGTTCGTGTTGCTGCTCTCCACAAAAGGTACGTACAGTGCGCGTCTCTGATTGGTTGTGCCTCGCCAGCCTTCCTCCTTCCACGCTGCCCGCGACGTGTTGGCGCACTTGCCCGCCTGCCAAGCATCGCCTGCACCAAAACAAAACCCGCCTGCTGCTACTGGAACCATCAACAACAACCCTCCACCACCACCCACCATTCCCTCCCCCCGCCGGTGCATCCCAACTTCCCTTCCTCTTCCCTCCTCCACCCAAGGCTACCGAAGCCGGACTTCTCACCTCCTACTCCAATTCTTCGCCACGCCGTGTGTGCTCTCACCTGGTCAGTCTCTTCCTGCACGTCATCCCGCCATCGCTGCCAAAGCGTGTCTGGACTCGATATTCGCGATCCACCAACAAAACATCCCAAGTCGGTCCAGCAATCGGCATTCTGTTTGCAGGCGGGCCCGGTGTCCTTCGCCTGTTAGCCGCGTTCTAATTGTCTTGCTCGCACACTTGCTGTGTGCTCAATGCTAACTCTTCTCTCAGTCGACTCACCACCTCTACTCTCGACACAACCTATCACCTGCTTTACACTTTAGTGCCGTATAAATAATATTGATTGCGATGCCTACCGTACGTTTGTTTTCCCATCACCCATCCTGTTTCTCTCATCTGCCACGACGCGCAGAGTTGGGCACCCACAACAATCACAACAACAACAATAACAACAATCACCACAACAACATCTTTACAACAAAATCATGTCGGCTGACTTACTTCTGCAGGCTCGGTCTCTACGGGGACGTACGGTCACCAACGAGAATGACGAAAACGCGGGTTCGATGCGCGTAACACGCGCCAAAGCAGCTGCCGCTCCCATCGATGTTGCCGATGTACCAAAGAAGACTGTCACCAAGCGAGCAACCGGCACCAACGGGACAACCCAAGCTAAACGAAATGCCCTGGTCGATGTCAGCAACGTGAACAAGACGGAGGATGTTACCTCAAAGAATGGCAAAAAGCCTGCCGCTTCCAAGCCATCAGTTCGGCAATCCGCTCATCCCCCTGGCGTGCAGAAGCCTTCGACCAAGTCTCGGTCGACAACTACCACGCGCAACACAAACTCAGACCTGAAGAAGCGCACTGCGCCTGCTAGCGGCTCCGGTGTCTCTGTGAAACGTCCCAAAACAACAACCACCACTACCACTAAGGTGGTCAAGGAAGAGGTCCAGACCCTGAAAGAAGAGGAAGAAGGATTAGATGACTTGGAAAACATTGTCCCTCCCACCGATCCAGTTGTTTCCCACAAGGACGCGCCTCCCACGAAGAAAGAAGCGCCCGCGAAAGCTGAAACCTTTGCCCCGGCATTGGCTGTACCCGACCTTGACATTGAAGATCGCGATGACCCGCTTATGGTATCAGAGTATGTGGTTGAAATTTTCGAATATCTGAAGAAGCTCGAAATATCCACCATGGCCAACCCGGACTACATGGATAACCAGAACGAGCTTGAATGGAAAATGCGCGGTATTCTTGTGGACTGGCTCCTGGAAGTGCACACTCGCTTCCGTCTTCTCCCCGAGACCCTGTTCCTCGCGGTCAACATCATTGATCGTTTTCTGTCCGCCAAGGTTGTCCAGCTGGATCGCCTGCAACTTGTTGGTGTCACGGCCATGTTCATCGCTTCCAAGTACGAGGAAGTTCTATCTCCCCACGTCCAGAACTTCATTCATGTGGCCGATGATGGTTTCACCGAGGACGAGATTTTGAGTGCGGAGCGATTCGTTCTTAGTGCTCTTAACTACGATTTGAGCTACCCCAACCCTATGAACTTTCTGCGTCGCATATCCAAAGCCGACAACTATGACATTCAGACACGCACTCTCGGCAAATATCTTCTAGAGATAGGATGTCTAGACCACCGTTTTATTGGCCACCCTCCTAGTCAAGTTGCTGCTGCTGCCATGTATTTGGCACGTCATGTGCTCGAGCGCGGCCCTTGGGTAAGTTCATCATATATCGTATCCAGCCGTACATACTGACAAATATAGGACGATACTCTAGCTCACTATGCAGGCTACTCGGAGGATGAAATCCAGCCTGTTTTCCATTTGATGATCGACTATCTCTCTGCCCCTGTCGCTCACGAAGCCTTCTTCAAGAAGTACGCCAGCAAAAAGTTCATGAAGGGTACGTGATTTCCAGCAAAAATATTTCTTGCATCCACTAATGAAATGCAGCTTCTATTGTCTTGAGACGGTGGAGCAAAGATTATGTCAGCACATATGGCAATTTGCTTGCGGATGCCACTGAATCGGAAGGTTAAAGCTTCGCATGACCTCGCGCATTGTGCCCTTCAAATGTTGAGGCCACGACCTTCTATTCTCAATTTCCAACATGCGTATATTCCGAATGCTCAACCTATGAAGCCAACCTGGCTCTGGATTCGGATAAAGTTTTCTCAAAGGCATTCTTTCAGCTTAGCATTCATGTCAGACGCATCTTGGCCTTATTGTTTCTTACATTCGAACCGGCGTTAATAAAAGGGTGCGGTTGGTTATCCTTTGACGGGTCCACCGGTTTTCAACTTGTCTTTTTTTGCAAATTCTCACGTTGGAAATGGAGTCCCGGCGCAGACACGGGCATGGTTATTTCCTTTTCTTCAACTTCTTACCTTATTTCAGAGACGGCGGCTGGGCTATTATACCCACTGGCTCACAGTGCGATGGGGCGGGAACGGCAAAGATGGATGGATGCAATCGGGCTGGACTTTGTAACTGCAACGAACGAGAACGACTGAGTCGATTTTGGAGGTTGTTTCCTTGCACAGCCAGTGTGTATGTACATAGTGGTATACCTCAGCGGAGAACTACGCGCCATGAAGCCGAACAGCCAATTGCCTCTTTTTGAACAGACTGTCCTCAATGTTGTACAGGTACGATGTTGTGACGTGCTTACAAGAAGAGCACAATGGCGCAAACAATGAGACCATCCGTAACGCACGTCGAGGGTTTCTCATCTAATTGGACGCAGGCTGACCAGTGGATGGCGTCATAGCAGGCACTGCAAAGATGAAGAAGGATAAACAAACAGGATGTAGGCGGCGCTACCAGCCACGATCTATCGCGAAGTTCGCGAAGCTGACGCGATCGGATTGCGACAACCTCGGTACGTTTTGTGAGCTAAAAATCGTTTGACCAACCAACCCGTCCAGCAGATCCATCTCTGTTAGCCATCGGCCTAATCAGCGTCCATCACACTCCTCAAAGCTAAACTATTTCTAGAACGAGGTCATTCATCTCTATACATTTTCACCATCAGCTCTCATTCTTCGGCTGCATATCCGAGCACTCTCAGAAGCTCCACTCGTTCTCATTTTCTTTGTTTCCTGCGAAGTTGGGTAGGCGTGTGAAGGTGCGTGAGGCCGGCTCCCATAATATATGGTCGCGATCCATCAATCTTGAGCCATACCGATCCAACAACCATCATGGTCAGCGAATTGGACCTCCACTATCCGTCCGAGAGCTGTCCCTTCTGCAATATTGCCCAGGCGTACCCCGAACCACAGCCTGAGCCCAGCAGGAAAGGCGATAGTGCATCCGCGTCGTCGAAGTCGTTATTATGGAGTCCCCCTAGCCCGACACGAGAAACTCGTACCTACCAAGAAGAAGAGAAAAGAGAAGAATCGAGTTTGCAATCATGCGTACCGCGGGACGATGGTGATGTTGGAAGCGCGAACCCTGATAGGACGAGCCCTGCAAGCTTCGTGGTCCTGGCTTCGCAAGAAGTGGTGGCTTTCTTAGATATTCTGCCCATGGTCGGCGGTTAGTTCTCTCTTCCTTTTGACACGATACTAGTTCTGTGATCCCAGCCTACTGTCGCTACCATCTCCATATTTCAAGAATGCTAGTATGACTGGAAGTATTCGAGGATTGGGGAATCAGTAGACCGCTGCATTATCATGCCATGGCAACTTGAATGGTGCTGACAGTCATTAGGTCACCTGTTGGTTGCTACACGGCACCATCGAGTCAAAGTCGCAGACATGAAAGATGATGAAGGGAGGGAAATGGGTGAGTTCTCTCAAACTTCGGTATTCTCGAAACTAGGATAGACAAGGAAGCTAAGTACGGATCAAAATCCCTTGTGAGATTTACAGGATTCTGGTTGCCCATATTATCAAGAGTCGTGGCCAAGGTGACGGGAGTTCAGGATTACAATATTGTGCAGAACAATGGTGAGTACTGAAGCGTTTTTTTTTATTGCGGCGGCTTTCTTTTTCCACCTCATCTTCTAGGAGCAGCTGAATGATGGCCCCCGTCTAAAATTATGCACTTGTGTTCTCTTCTCTTACTGCAATACTAGGCGCAAGAGCAGCACAAGTCGTCCCGCATGTGCACTTCCACATTATTCCGCGACCAGGAACGATGCCAGAGATCAAGAGCAAGAGCTGGGCCATGTTCGGAAGGGGCCAAAGAGACGAATTGGACGATGATGAAGGGGCGAAGTTGGCGGCAGAGATGAGGAGCGTGTTGAGAGAAGAAATCGAGAAGATGGGTAGAAGGCCAAGATTATAGAAGGGTACAAGTTCTACGCTCAAATCCAGAGCAAACCTGACGGAAAAATTCTGTTTATACATGTACAATAATATCTATACATAATGCCACGATTGTATACACCGTTATCCCGGGCGACAAGACAGCTTAATAGGTCTGTTGTTGCGCTATACCTCCTTCTTTCCGCCGCCTTCCTTCTCCTCCATGTCCATCTTCCTGCTCTCCATTGTGACCCACAGGCTCTTTCCTGCGCCCTCCAAAGTGCTCGCAAGACTTCCTCCAATACCTTGCAGTGCATGCACCAGCTGTGCACGCAACCCATCAATCCCGCCTTCGATACCACCAACCCATTTCGTTCCATCATGATCAAACACTTTGCCCTCCACCCTCGCTCCAAGGAACATGAGTTTCTGCAAGCCAGTCTGCACAGCCGGCTCATAGTAATCGGGGTTTGCTTTCCGCTTCGGGGCGGGGAACTCTTTAGAAGGAGCGAGGATCGAGAGCACAGCTTTCAGGTGCTGAGGAGTGACGGCAGGAAACGCTAAAACTGCCAAAGGCCCGGAAAGCAGAGGCTCCAGTTCGGTCTTGAGCTTGCGGTTGGAAGCCGCCTCCCACGCTCGTCGACTTAGACCATGAGTGAATCGCTCGTCATCCGCGCTATTTGTTGTCTGTGGTATTTGCGCGCTGGTGGATGTCGAAGGGTCAGTAGGGTGCTGTGCGTAATCCATAGTTGAATCCTCGGGCTTGAAAAACTCCACAACCCTCAGAGAGCTGGCGAAGATGCCTGTCTGAATGATCTGGAGGCGGATCTGATCTGCGTATTGTCCGTCCTGACCGTTCCTCAACCGTTCTTCATCTACCTTCCTCAGTGCAATGGCCAATTCTCTTCGCATGGCCATTAATTCCACAGCTTTGATGTTGTTGTGTTGGAACAGGAGGATCAGGGGTGAAGATTTGAGAAGCGATTGGTATTGGCGGTGGAGTTGTGTCTTGCGAACCTCAGGCGGCTTATGAGATGGTGGCTGTGTGGGGGGATATCGAAGAACCGGTGGTACTGAGCGGACTGTCTGCTCAATTGGAGGCGCGGGTGTGGTCGCTGTTGCGAGAGATGCGTAAGTCGCAACAATCGGGGCGGAGGAAGGGCAGCGAGAGGTTCTCACGCACAGAGCGTGCGGCCGAAGATATATTCGTGGTGGCATCCTGATCCCGGGGGTGAGTTTAATGTGAGATGATATCAGGATGGCGGTAGATACGTACGTGGAGAAGATATTGTGCGTGCAATTGAGATGAAGAGAGCTCACTTGAAATCTTTCGAGGTTCCGAAAGATTTGTTGGTCTGTGCGTGTCGCTCCATGCTCCACGGCTTCGGGTTCAGATGTATAGCATGACACCAATACCACACCAGAAGGCTTCATTTTTTAACGCTTCATTACCTTGTTTTAATTAAACGCCGTACTCCATCTCCAATCCAGCTGTTCAAGTCGTCAATGAAAACGCCTTTGTGGTTAGTTGCGCATCGACCAAAGCCGTGCCCAGGAGCTATAAGGAGTGCAAGGTTCATTACTGTATGTATCTATGAAATTAATCACGGCTTGGGGTGGTCATGAGCTGATGCTTTCATTTAGTATAAGTCGAGAAATCGGTTGTCCAACTTCTGGGCACCGACAGGAGGCATCGCTCCCCAGGATGGCGAGCAAGGTCAGAAACTCATCCACGTAACTTTATGTCTACTGACGATCGTTCCAAGATGACTCTCATTCACTTCTAATCAGAAGTGGGTTTCTCAGACCAGTAAATGAAACTACGAATGCAAAACAAAAGAGCATTATTGACCAACGCAGGCACATTCAGGAGTATTCCATTTGCTTCCTCTGGGGTTACGCGTTCAAAACAAACTCGAAAACTTGATAGATAAACACATGCAATCGATTGGCGCATCGAAACTTTCACTATCATCAATCACCACGGAAGAGCTATGGAAACAATCAGGACGCTACTCATCAAACTCCGAGCTTCTTCGCATAGAGGATCGTAAGAAATCCAGCTTTTTACTGTCACCTACCCATGAAGAGGAAATCACGAGTTTAGTGGCCAGTATGGTGCATTCGTATAAAAATCTTCCACTACGACTGTATCAGACGGGAAGAAAGTATCGTGACGAACGAAGACCGCGGCAGGGCTTACTCCGCGCAAAAGAGTTCGTGATGAAAGACCTATATACATTCGATTACTCGCACGAAGGTGCACTCAAGACGTATGAAGAAGTGCGTGAGGCCTACAGCAACCTTTTCAACGAGTTGAAGATCCCATATCTGGTAGCCGATGCAGACTCGGGCAACATGGGTGGTAAACTGAGCCACGAATACCACTTTGTGTCTCCCAAAGGTGAAGACAACGTTTGGAGCTGTCATTCTTGCAACTACGTCGCCAATGAAGAGCTCGTGGAAAAGAAGGCAACTGAACAGGTTGTTTCCTCGGAAAATCCCCCACTTCTCTTCACGGGTATTAGCTCTGATCGCACAACTGCCATTGTGATTCGGGTTCCACGCCCTTCTCACGTTTCTGTCAATGCAAATCCGTCTTGGTCTCGTGCCTCGGAGTTCCTGAACTTTCACGCGATCAAGAGAAGCGGTATTGACATCGATGCTGGGGTTGAAAGCGAAACTCTGTCTTCTCTCCTACCCCAAACAACATCCACTGTTGAGATCTATGACCGATCTCTGACCGACTCTAACACCACCGGTGCCACATCTTCAGTCCATGATATTACACCCATCAAGGCAGACGACCCGTGTCCCCACTGCCAATCTGGAAAACTCAACGTCAACAAAGCCATCGAGGTAGGCCATACCTTTCACTTGGGTACACGCTACAGCGTGCCTCTTTCCGCGCTCGTCGCCGGACCTGACGGCAAGCAATCGTCCGCCATGCACATGGGCTGCCACGGTATCGGCGTCTCGCGGTTGATAGGCTCCATCGCATCTATCATGGCCGATGAGAAGGGTTTGAGTTGGCCGAGAGTCATTGCGCCGTTCGAGGTCGTCGTCATAACCACGCCGCAGATTAGCGAAGAGGATAGTACAGAAGTGTACGATGCGCTGGCTCATCAGGGGAACCTCGATGTTGTGCTGGATGATCGGGTAGCGCAGAAAGGTTTACCATGGAAGATGAAGGATGCGGATTTGATCGGCTATCCTGTCATGGTGGTTTTAGGCAAGAGTTGGAAAGAGAAAAGAGAGGTGGAAGTTCAGTGTCGGCGATTAGGAGTAAGAAAAGCGGTGAAGGTGGAAAGTTTGGGAGATGAAGTTTCGAGACTGCTGGAGCAGTTGTAAAAGTATGAGTACTTGTTCAGTTGTACAATAAATGTAGGATTTATCAGTGTGCAACGGCCTTTCTATTCTTCTATTTCTTCGCCTTGACTTTTTCAAACTGCCTCACAAACCATGTTTTGTGTCTATGCATAAGTACGGTACCACAATCTATGTCTTGGCTCCAACGCTTTCCACTATTTTCTCTGCTTCGTTCCACCGTTGGTCTGTTTGTCGTTGCCAGTAGCCTTGCCATTGACCTTACCGTCGGTTTTATCTTGTTCTTTCTGCTTCGACTTTTCCGTCGCTCTCCTCTTTGCGCCCTCCTTTTCAAGTTTTTGTATGGTCTCTTCACTGACAGCCCAAAGCCTTTTCTGAGCCTCCTCGTCCTTGACCTCACTCCTCGTGATGTTATACTGACGGCATTCCTTCAGCATCCAGCCCCCTTCGCCCCTCCCGTACTCTGCTTCCATCGCCGCATGCAAAAAGGTTTGGGCGCCTTGCTCCGGACTCTTCAAAATCAACCACCAGAGCGGCCAAGTTATCAGGTAGACGAAAAGCCCCCATAGGCTTCCAAATGTGAGAAAACGTCGCATACCCGGTGTACGTGTCCAGCCGGGGTCGACGAGAAACACGCGGGCGTTCATCGGGTATTTGTCCGGACGAGTGAAACTCGAAAGATGCTTTTGAAAGGCCTGCGCGAAGACCATGACAGCGAGTTTGGAGGTGGAATAGATACTTCCAGACGTAGACTTTTTGCTCCGGGAACCATTCGCAGTCTTGTTCTTCTTAGAGCTCCCAGCAGCAGTAGAGGAAGTCGGCGAATCAAACAGCTGACCGCCCATATATGAACTGCATGTCCCAAAGATGATGCGAACATCTCGATCTGGGGGCTGTGCTCGAAGCGCCGGGCTAAGTATACTGAGGAGGTGAAAGTTTGCCATGTAATTGACAACCCAGGTGGGTTCCAGGCCATCCTCGGTCACTGTAGCCTTTCCACCAGGCGGCGTACGTGTGTCCGCACACAAGATGATCATATCGAGGCGGCGCGGGGGAAGGTTGTCGACCCATTTGGTAGCAAACTCGCGGATGCTATGAAGAGAAGTAAGGTCGACTTGTTCAGCGGTGATCAAGTGATTGCCCGTCTGCTCGCGTAGATCTTCAATGTAATCGACGAGGAAGGGGTCGGTGAGTGAGTGTTGAGTAAGGAGGACGAGTTGCGCGCCGCGCATCGCTAGACCTCTCGCGACTTCAGCCCCGATGCCTGATGTGCCGCCCTGCTGCTGCGTCAGTGTATAGCTTCGTACGATGAGTGGATATCCCTAACCGTTATCATGACCACCTTTGAATGCATCTTGCGCTCCGAGGTGTTGACCGCCCCGCCAAACCACCATTTGAGCAAGTATATCAAGGCCAAGCATGGTGCAAGCTTGACTATAGGCCAACCAAAAGGAATACTGGATATACCTTTGGTCAGGCCTTGCTGGAAGATATAAACGGGCATGGTTGAATTGACATGGGAGACGGAACACCATTTCGGAACGAGACTAGGTAAGCCGACTGTGGGATTAACCGCCAAGACTCTAAGCCAGCTAGCGTCAACCATACCCGTTAGCATTAATTCAACGTTCCAAGGTTGAATGATGATGGTACCCAAACATGTGACCGCGCGTCTGCCTTGACATAGCTAGGTACATATAATACATAGCCTTCAAAGGCCTTCAACATTCAACCGACACCGATTGGAATATTTGAACGGTCTTCAGCCACGGCACATGTCACAGCAACACTGGCCATGATACTTCCACATTCTCAACATGGACCCCACTGAACAAAACCCAGAGGACAACAGAGACCCAGAAGATGCCGAATTCAATGACGCCGACATATCTACTGCGCCTTTTGCAGAGTTGCCCACTTTTGGACGCGGCTTGTGGAAACGGCCCATAAAGTTTATTTCACCCGCCCCGATATCACCAACACCAGTAGCCCCCAAAACATCATCATTGGCGGATGCGTATCGAGCTATCGTCTTTCCATCAGGAAGACCAGAGCCCAAATCCGATGCCTATCCGCTATGTGGTGTCTGTGGCGGGCCTGTCACGGAGAGCAGCGATCGGGCGCACTTTCTGTCCCATAAACACCAAGCTGCCTTGCCACTTGCCCCGATACCTTCCGGGATCGATCGTACACGCATGGGTTTGAAGTACTTGGAAAAGTATGGCTTTGACGTTGATTCCCGAGTAGGGCTGGGCGCCAGCGGGCAGGGCAGGCTTTTCCCCATAGTGCCAAAGGAGAAGCGCGACAAACTTGGTCTGGGCGTGAACAAGCGATTACAAGTGGAGAAGAGGAGGAGGGACACTGCGTCTCCCACGAACGACAAACTCGATGCTGGCAAAATGCGGAAGCTAGCTGTGAAGGAGAAGCAGAAGCATGAGCGACTGCAACGCATGTTCTATGGTGACGACAAAGTCGAGAGATATTTGAGCGGGAGGCCAGATGTTGACCATGGACTGAAGTGAACATATGAGCTATACTGGGAAGGCTCTAAAGGCATGGCAGTATTAGAACAGTCTAACAAGACCAACAGCAGGTGTCTCGGGGAAACAACAACAAGCGACACTCAGATACATTGTGAGTCTGAAATATAATGACAGCTTCACAAGCCAAAGACCTCTCTAATCGCACGGCCAGCTTTTCTGTCCTTGCTCTTCAGCCGGGTTGAATCGGATTCTCTTCTCTCGCGCGTAAAAAATCGAGACGAACAACGTTAAAGTTGGCTGTGGTCTACTACTTTCCTTGGATACGACTCCCTATGGAATAATTCCTCGAAGAATAGTGTGACGGTTGCATTTCCCGATATTCTGGTGCCGAAGAAGAATTTTCTGGGTCACCAGAATACCATCTTGTAAGCAAGCAGGAATGCTGGTGACCCACTTGGTAGCAGATCTGGAAGCTTCGGATGCACAGACACGGTACATTATAGGGCTTACCACATCCTAAGATTCACTATTAACGCTCTATGGAGGCTTCGATTCGTGTCTAATTCCTGTGAACAGCGCCTGTAGAAGGTATGCCGAGACGCTGTTCGATTGTATGTCGAAGTGGAAAGTGCGGCTAAGTCCTATCCTAGGTTGCGCCTACACTGTAATATTTGAACATTGAATGTACGGTACTTGCACGTGATTGTGTGGAGTTTTAGTCATATGATTTCCATTGGAACTTCACCGAGATTACCTTCGAGTTTATCGGGTTTAGCTGTAAAGGCATTCTCCAGATCAACGTTAAGGACCTTCACTGGCCATTCTATCAGATGCCAGTTGTCGCGTCCTAATGCCATAGCCACAGCTATCACCATATTAGAACCCAACCCCTCTAGCCACCACGTGTTTCTGACTCGGCCCGGGAGCACTGCGTAGTGTGCTACGATGACTAGTGCATCTCTGTTTTTCTGCTCCAGTAAAACGAGGAACTCTCTCGGTATTTTTGTTGCCCAGAAGAATATTGCTCCGCGATCCTTGAGGTTGGTTTCAGTCTCGCTATCATAGGAGTAGCATATTGATGTGTGCGAAGGGTATTCTGTGTCTGGTTGAGCTAGGACTGAGACTAGGGCATAAGCTTCGCGCAGGTATAATAACGCAGCCGCAAGAGCTTCGGAGAAGGGCTCCGTTTCTGATTTGCTCTCTGTCCATAGCTCTTCTATTCTTGCCAGCCGCCGGTCTTCATCAATTGCTTGTTCTGTCGAAGGAAATGTCGAAGGGTGCGGCCACCAGTTACGATCTAGAACCTGAGAATAACGGCATCAGTTAGCAAAAATCTACCAGCGCGCAATAATGCAACAATGGTAAATACTGTGTTTGCAGCTCGAGGGAAAGTAACTAACCGGGCCCATCTGTCCTTGCAGCACATACTGGAAACCTGGTATGAGGACGGCGAGGGGACCACGAAGGCCATAAATAGTACGCAGGATGGATTCCAGCATCTTTTTGGATACCGCAGCGGTGGTATGTGAAGTCTTGGTTTTGACAGAAATGCTGGCCCGAAGCTCGTCAATTTCGACCGTCGACTGGCGGAACAGATAAACAGCGGTCAGCGTAGCACCTGCAAAAAGTGCACTTGCATTCTCCGCATTAATATTCTCCAATGCGGGACGATAGCGTGACAGTGCCTTGTTCATTTGAGAGGCAGATAGATTCATCATAGCAGACCGCTCATCGCCTCTCACATGAAGACGGCCCAGATGCAACGACGCAATGGCGAGAATATGGTGAGTGAGAAAATCATGGCGTGCTGCTAACTGAGGAACCGCAATTTGCCAGGCTTCCTTGGCGGGATCCTGAGATGCCAATGTGAGAGCGGTAGTGTACTCAAAATGGTAAAGAAGATCTTGGAGGCTGGGAGAAAGTTTCTCACGTGCATCTCTCCAAACATCGTCGCAGCGAAGGTGGGGCGGAAGCCCACTGGAAGGCGGTCTTGGACTTCGAAGGCTGGGTGAAGTTATATGCGGAGCTGAATCGATCTGTTGTAAACTTTCAGGAGATGCAGTCCTGCGGGGAGATGTAACTGATTTGACCGAAAGTTGTGAAGAGGGAGCTAGAAGAAGGAAACTGCAATCATGCCCTCTCTTTTCACAGTTACTACATATAGGGTGTTTGCAATCGCACTATCAAAAAGTCAGCTCAGTAGATGTTCTGTACAATTTGTAGCAAGGGACGTCAAGTTGGAACACGAAAAAAATATAAAATCACAAACGGGCACTAATGGGCGTCCATCATACGGATGCACGTCTGCTGGAAAGTACATCTGAATGTATGCATACAAGGAACAACATCTCAAGCTGGTCTTCCTTCAACCAATGGTGGAAGCTCCCAAAGAATTCTTCGCAAGCTGAGCTTACCTTGATTCGTCTCTTCTTACAATTGGCACAGCCCAATCTCGTCTTGTTGTGTGTCTTGCGGGTAGCAGTTGTCATGATGGTTGTTCCTCGGCACACTAGATGCCGCACGTGGAGAATCGGGAACGAATAGAAAGCGATGTGATGTACGGATGTAAAGTAGACGGCTCAATACTTTCAAAACAGGAACAAATGGATGGAGAATGCAAACGCAAAAGAAGAGTAAAGGTTAAACCTTCAAGCACGAAGTCGGACGTTACATGGGCGCCACTAACATTGTGGGGAAGAGTGTTAACGCATCCACCAATCACATAACACGGAGTACGCGATCGTGGCTTAGTTTCTGTCATGCGAACACGGCTTATATTCTGACGTGACGAGCCTGGGCACTGCGAGATACCTTCCTTTTCCATAGAACTCCACGTGCATGCTCAAATGAGATTACGAATTTCCATGCTTTTTATCGGCTTCGAGAGAATGTACTTGCACCAATTGATATCACAAACCAGAATACTGCATTACTAGGAATTTGGACTCGCCAATTGCACATTGTATTCAACTCCTTCGAGACATATACTGGAAAGTGACATTGTTGACCCCTTAGAGGACGCCCCGGACGCCACGCGCAACACCTTGTTTGATTCCCCATGCATCTGGAGGCCGTTGGGCCGTAGATCCAGTCTACAACACCGCAGATCGATACATACATTACGCCTTCAGCCTCCTGTTCTCACATTTCACACAGACGGGATCTTGCGATTCACCGCGAAGAAAGTATCTACCATCGTCGAACGGACCAGAACACTCCTACACATGGTTAGGCAACAGGAAAAACACAAGACCTCGAATGGGAATTGACTTACTACACAGCAGAAGCATCCCACATGCCACTCAAAACCGAGCGCTTTGACCACCGTCTCCGTCACTGGTCTTTTGCATTTGCGACACTTGGTGCTGTACCGATTAGTGTGGCATCCCACGCACCATGCGTAACCTTCCTTCTCGACGAAAGGAGTACTGGCGTCGAAGGGATCGCCGCACTGCGCGCAGAAGAAATGTCCGGGATGCCATTCTGCACCGCAAGCCACCACAACTTCCCCTTCAATGGGTGTTTTGCAGCTTTTGCACCGGGGGGAAAATAGCTCATGAAAATCCAGATGACAATAGAAACGTAAAGACTCATCATGCGCATCTTCAGCTTCTAGACGATGCATGTCTTCCAAAGTGGGATGTGAAGGCAAAAATTCAATATCATCGCCATTCTCACGTGCTCGAATTCGTGCTACGCGACCGGCGCGGCTCGAATCAGGTTCAGGGTAGAACGCTACACACTCGAGGTGCTCACCGCAGTGGTGGCAGACAAAACACTCGGGATGGAAGCGTGAGCCGCCTGCGGATACAATGCGGCCAGCAATAGGGAGAACACATTGTTCGCAAAGCACGCCTGTGCGTACACTAGTAGGTGTCCAATGAGATCGTGAACTGACAGTGGAATTGTTACGTGCAGCAAATGTCTTTTTGGCCATCCTAGGGTCGGGGAGAGGGCGCGTCGAGCCTGGCGTGCTATTGACATTGATTGTCGGTTTTGATGGGCTGACAGTTATGGATGGTGCGTTCGTCTTTTGGCGGCGATCCGGTACAGGTGAAGCATTCACGGAAATCTCGGGAACAGCCGGTGTGACAGAGATCTCTGGTGCAGGAGACGTAAGTTCGCTCACAGAGATAGTTGGTATGTTTGGCGTCACGGACACGGAAGGTGTTTTCACGCCGGACCGTCTGCCGGGGGCATTGCTTGTGACGGGCACCGCTTCATGCACAGAGATTGCGGGGATGGGAGGCGTTGCAGAAGGTTTAGAATGCGTTGAAGGGGTCTGGGAGACATTTATTGTTGGTATAGGCGATGTTGCGGTTTGAGGGGGAGTATTGACTTTCCTTGGGCCGGTACCAGGGAGCGGTCTCGCTGGAGGGTCCTCATAGATATTTATTATAGGAACTTGAGCACGTTTAACTCCGGTCGTAGGAGGAAGTATTCCAGAGCTCTTATCCTTGGTTGTTGAACATGGGACTGCGTTCCCCATTTTTGGTGCTTCTTCCAGCGGAGCCACTGTGGGGACCACCGGGGCTGTCGAGGCTTTAGACAGCGGACGCGGACCCTGGGCCGCAATTTTGATGGGGCGTGGAGTAGCTGCAGCTCCGGGGAGCGTGGAAATTTCCTCTTTCATCTCTATCTCCTTTGGCTTCCAATCTTGTTTGAAGGAGACAATAGGACGTCCCGGACTATCAGAAACCATCGTAGGAGTGGGAAGCTTCGCACTCCTATCCTTGAGTTTGAAGCCCGTCGCGGCGCGAAGCTCATCGCTGCGGACTTCCTTGCCTTCTTTCAGTTTGATCTCGGCATTCTCTGTATCTACTTTGCTGTCCTCACCAACCGTGGACGGATTTGAGTTCTTCGTATATGCAGCGTTACGGGATTGAGAAGGAGGATTGTTCTGAATCTCATAGCGATCAAATTTCTTGGTAGTCGTGATCGGGTCTGTGTTGGATCTGGCAAGATTGTTCTCCCTAGAGAACTGTACGCGTGCAAAAGGATTCCGTCGCATTCCCATTGGTAATTTAGCTGATGATGGGTTTGAAGGAAGGGGAGCGGGCAGAGATGCAGGCTTCGTCTGCTCCTCCTCAGGTTCTTCATATATTTGATCTTCTGGGTTTTTGAACAAGCTTGCGCTGACCTTCCTTCGAGAGCCGCTATTCTGACGTCGTTGTTGATGAGATGTTTTGGTTGATGTAGTCATCGATAACTCCTTATCCTTTTCGTCGAAAGTCGTTTTCACGGGTGATTGGTTGAAGGCTGCATTGGCGGTTACAGAGGATGCACTCGTAGAGCGGTGGCTCTGTAGACTGCTGCTTCTACTTCCAGCCGAGCTTCCTATTGAATGACGCTTTCTGATCTTAGAGTTTGTACGCTGGAGGTCTTGCTCTCCACGACCCAAGCTACGACTCCTGTCGGAAACCCCCTTCTTCTCAGGGTAAGGGTAGGGTGCACTTGGATTTGGCGTAGGCGCATCTGGGGACATGTGCTTCCAGACCAACTCGGCGGCTTCATCTCTCGCAGCTTCGTACAAGTTCTGTTCCGATTTGAGATCCATCTGTTCCATCGCCAATCTTACAGCACGTGCTTCGAAGCGCTCGCTTTGGCGCCGGCCGCTCTCTCTGTACTGAAGACTGGGTGTGCGATCCCGGGATGTTGAGGAGACGGTCATGTCTCGACCGCGTGGTGGTTGAACAAGAGGACGGCCAGCACTAGATCCAAAGTTGTCTATGCTCATCTCAGATGTTGATCGTTTATGAGTTGGCAGGGTGGCACTAGCATCACTGATGGTGGGCTTGGCTGCAAATTCGGGCGGTTGGGAAGACGATTGAGGGCCAGAGAATCGAGCAGCTGAGGATGTTCGGTTGGACCAAGTGTTGAAATGTGCAGGAGGAGGCCGAGAGCCAGTAGGCCGGGCGGGACGGTTGTTGCGGAGATCCTGCAGATAGTCGGCTGGAGCAATGGCAAGCTTGTTAGCAGGCTGGAATGTGCAGGCGCATTGGACTGAGGAAGGGCACGTAGGTACTCACTCATCTGGTGGGTGGACATGAACACGGGGCCAGGAGACGTTGCTCCTTCCCTCTCCTTTCGTTGTGTTTGCATAACTGCGGTCCAAGTGGTTGTTGTGCACAAGCACCGCCCGGGATGCTGGAATGTGTTTACTGGTTGTTTACCCGCCGAGGAGGCAAATCTGCATGTAAAAGACCGATAATGGGTGGTTTTGAGAGATAACAGATTCACTGGAGAGGCAATTGGTATTTAAATAGAGTTCAGGGACCAGGAGAATCATACAAAAGCAAGCATGCACACACATCAAAGTTGCGGTGTTGTGAGGTTCGAGCTCTTAGACGTAGCCGCCTCGCATTGGCTCGTTCCCATGGTGACTGAGGACCCCGGTTAGCCCGTTTCGCTCACAGAGTCACCACCCCACACCGCACCGCTCCGACGGTTGACCATGTAAACACCGCACAAGTCAACAACAATGACGTTTGATGTGCGCTTCAGAGGCCGTTAGCTACTATTTGCTATCTCGCTATACTGTGCGTGCTGCCCGATTTGCGCGATGCCCCCCCGGGACTGAAGTATCGTGATTGGATGATGGGTTGGTGCATGCATGGGTGAGCCAGCAATGCGATTGCTCTGGCTGCTGCCATCTCTAGCCTTGCTGGGTACTAAAGAGCTCGATTGTCTAGCATCTTGCTTGCTGATCTCGAGCCGCTGTACGCCGTCTCTGTTGCATGAGCTGCCCGCTCCATGGCCCCAAGAGCCGTCGTGCATCATCCTGTGCTGCAATCTCGCTGAGCTCTCATCGCACCATCTCAAGTCCCTTTGGCTTCTTTTTGCCCGCCTTCCTGTGCGCTTAGCACCTTCACGCGAATCACCTCTTCCACCATCCTAACATTGTTTGCCTTGCTGTTGACCACCTGCTCCAGATCCTTTAGACTGTCCCCCAGATCCTTGACTTTACGCTTGTAGAAATCCGCAGCGTCCTCAGTGCTCTTCTCTACGAAAAACCCGGTGCCAATGTCGATGAGGACATGTGTGGAAGATGTCAGGCGTCCAGGGACGTAGAGCGACGATGTGAGCGGGACGAGGAGCGGTTTGTCCGCGGTGCTCGTATTCACGCCTTGTGCAATTGATTTCAAGCAGTCGCTGAATTTGCTCTGTGCCGTTCGTAGAGATTGGAACGAGGTGGTGAGATGTTCGAGTTCGCGATCCAGCTGCTGTTTCAATTCCTGCAGTTGTGGAACCGGCAGAGATGTGATTTCGACTGTCTACGGTCAGGAACCTGTTCCAGAAGTTGCATATCTAAGCAAGGGACACTCACTCTGGCCAGGCTGCTTGGAAGCCTGATTGGTCGCCATGCTGGGCAATGTAGATTGAATTTGTTGGAGCTGCGAAGCTGCAGAGAGATGATGGCTTGCCCCGCCAAATCTTCTTAGGGCAAAGGGCAATTTCAATGTTGGCATTGCAAGGCCCCACTTTTCTGTCCACGTGATACCGCGCCTCGCTCCCAGACATCTTTATTCAATTGATGCCATCGGTTGAACGCAAGCTCTGTCGTCACGATAATTTATCGTCTACATATCTTTCCGGTTGTCTTCCCCATGCCAGCACTCTCAAGAGCACTAGCCTCTCGCATCTCTAATTGCCGGCCTCTATCAACCAAAAGCACATGTAACTTCCGCGACGCCGTCACCATTACGGGGCCGAAGAATGGTGACAATGTCGGCACAGAAGAGCCCATCATCTTCAAACAATGGTTCCAAGACATGCCTGCTACTCAGAAATGGTTTACACCCATGAAATCCGACCCTTCATACCATGTGTTAAACCTGAGGTACCTTGAACAATTCGAGGGCACGTCCGTACCACTTGAATTGACCCGTTTTGATGGGACAGAACAGCGTCCTGCATCTTTCACACGGTCCGAAGCGCCTTTATCCTTGCTTCTGATGCACATGAGCAGCATCGAGCAATCCCCTTCTAGCACATTGTACCTTGCGCAGTGTCCCCTCGAAGACTTGCCTTCCACTTGCCAAGACGATGTACCCGTTCCCGATCTCATCAGACGCATCGGCCGCGGCGATATATATGCATCCAGTCTATGGATGGGGCGTGCACCTACACACACACCGTTACATCGCGATCCCAACCCGAACCTTTTTGTGCGTTATTCCCCAGATACAGAATCTCCAATCTAGAGATACCACGAGACGCCGTGTGTGAAATATTTGATGAGTTTGCACTGATACATCCCGCTTCGGTTTCGCTGACCCTGTATCCACGGTGTAGGTGCAATTGGCGGGGCGGAAAGTTGTACGCTTGGTGAAGCCCGCACAAGGTAGGCAACTCTACGAGCGGTCACGCGTTGGCCAGGGGCATGCGAATATGCGAGGTGAGGAGATGATGGTCGGTAAAGAAATGGAGCAGCTAGAGCATGCTGTTTGGGGTGAAGGTGCAAATGACGCGGATGCTGTCAACGGCGTAGAAGCTAAACTCGAGTCTGGAGATGCTCTTTTCATTCCCCTCGGCTGGTGGCACGCCGTGCGTGGAATAGGAAGAGGAGCCAACGCTTCAGTAAATTGGTGGTTTAGATGAATGCTTGAGGTCAGAAGTACCCAGGAACGCAGAGAAGAGTACATATAGGCGTGTAGCGAAGAGCCAATGCCCGACTACCTGCACTCCATCGCACCTTCCCTCAACACAAATCGACGACCGGCACTTCGCCCCATGAGCCAAATCAACTTCTTCTTTTCTTCTTTCCCCTTTGACTTCCACTCAGATTATCGGCTCGCCTACCCAAAACCATTTATCGTCGTTATGGATTACACACTGCGGTGCAATCAGCTCAAATGCCGTGTTGAACTTCGAGATCGCGCTATTGTGACAACCTGCAGGTGGGCATTGCAGGTCTAGGTTGCAAATGCCACTGACCATGCTACAGTCATATTTTCTGTATCCAGTGTGGTGATACCACCGGATTCTCACGTTCGGACACTGCCACACGTGCTTGTCTGGCCTGCAGCACGCTACTTGCGAACCAAGATGATGTTGTAATTGCTGATCTTAATCCATCCGAAGAATATAAAACTTGTATCCTCAGTGGCTTAAATCCGGCAGCCATTATGGACTGTGCGAGCAGAGGATTGTCGTTCTTTAGTTACCAAACCTCGCAAGAGATCCTCTATCAAGACCACTTGGCAAAATCGCTCACGGACAGATATTCGACTCTCAACCAGCAGATGGACCAACTCGTACACGATGCGAACGCCCAGATCAAGATCCTCCAGGACAAGATACAGAGTATGTTTGCTGTCAGCACCCTATTCTCGACTGAAATTTCCGACTGACGGGATTCACAGATTTGCAAATGGAACGATCTGATTTAGAGAAGAAGAATCATGAGCTGGGAGAAGCTTTCAGAGAAAAAAGTGTGAATCAGCAAAAGATTCAAAAGATGTATCAACAGCTCAAAGCACAGGTGATGGCGACACAGGTTGTAGATGCTGCCGGTGACGAAGCAGATCTTGCCATCTATAGCACCCGTAATGATCGATTCATCAACAAGATTCCCGGGGCCCAGTCTGGCGCATCTAACCTGCCTCAGCTTGGCACAGCACGTCACAAAGAGGTGGGTAAACATTACAACAGTGGTGGTAGCGGAAGCTCGGGGGGCAATGAAGTACAGAGAGGGGAATTCGGACTGGGGCCCCAATATGGGGCCCATGTTCAGAGTAGAAACGTTGGGGGAACTGTCAATAACAGAGGTCAGTGCTATGACGCTTTTAAGGGATTGTTTTTCATTGAGGGCGTGTGCTTATGAATGAATCCTTAGGCGCAGGCTTACCCGGAACACCATCTCAGCCACAAACACATCGTAGTCGATTGCCTGTGCTGGGTGGTCAGCGTCCCCTGTCAAATGTCGAAGTTGGATCTGATTACCAGGCCCCGCCGTTGTCGCGACAAGTGTTTGGGGGCAACATCGACCCGCGAGTTACCGGTAACCAAGGTTTCGTATCTCAGTTAAAAAGACCGAAAGGAGCTGTGAACCTTGGCCCTATCAGACGGTGACATGCCCACGAGCCGTGAATAGCAAACTAGCAAAGGGCATCCAACCTTGTATGGTGCAGGACAAATCAGTCTGATATTGTCAATGAGAACGAGTCACCACTCCTTGCGTGGGACTATGCGAGATTGTTTTGGTGGAATTACGCTAAGGCTTGGGCACCACTTATCGCATTTATATGAGTCTCTTGAGAGTATGCGTCAGGGATTGGTGGAACCAAGCAGCGAGGTACCGATCAATGAGTTGATCGTGCATGCGTACTGGTGAAAATGATGTGAAAATATTCTTTTCACAAAAACAATCTGGCTCGGTGGTTTTTGGTTCTGCGTCTTCAATGTCGAGACTTAATATGTGCATCCTCTGCCCCGTAGTGATCAGGATGAATGAAAGCCTCGGAGACGGCTAGCCGACAAGGCTGAGGATTCTTGCCAACCAGCACTTTCGCAGAGAGGCAGAGAATCTGCTGACAAGCCCACGTGCATCACACTGATGGCAAGTACATGTATGGCAACTGCTAACCGGCAATATGACTCCCATCGAATCAGCTGGAGTATCAATATCATTTGCGGTGAGCTAGCGCGACCAACTGCATGCTGACGGAGAGCTGAGATTTGAGCAAATCGATCCATGATTGTGTGATTGGCAGCCATTCCTTTCATAAGTCAGCTTGAGGGATTACTATCTGCACAGTAGTAACTGAGGGACAGTATATTACGAGACACTTCGCCCGCGTACCGTACCCATGGAGTAAACGATAGCTCGACAACCTTCAGACGATTCTAGAAAAAACATCATCAGTGTGATTGGGATGGAAGAAATCATCTAGTGGATGATGCATCCGAGTTCCCACGCGAATCGTACATACTAAATTAGTGCTCAACGAACTGGAGTTTGGCTAACACTAAACGTTAGCTCTCCCGTTGACAGTAGGTTATACCGACCGACTGTCAACATTGTCCGGTGTGCTACTGAACCTGTCCCAGATCCGCTTTCCATCACCTTGGGCAACTATGGGATGTTTCACTATGATTGCAAAAAAGTACATTGCTGTCTAATGCCCCTTGGTATATAGCTCGACGCCCACTTGGTATGCTTTTCGTGCTGCTACCTATCAATGCAGCCATCAAAAATCAGTTGCACACCCCAATTATCCTTTCCAGGTTGATTCTTGATCACCCAGCGCCGGAACATCTATATAAAGAGACGGAGAATAAAACATATGAGCTTAACCAAACGCCGCGCCGACACCGCCACACACCCTCCAATTCATGGGAGTGCCCACCATTACACCAGCATGCCTGAGCGTTACTTGTCCCCACCCGATGGAGACAAGTAACAAGCATCTCTTGATGCGTCACAGATGGACATGTTGTGCCCAAAATAAACACACCGCCCAGCCACGCTGCACCAGCCCCAAAGCCAAATCCTCGGCTGAAAACCCGCATCCGCCACAGTTGGGCGGCCTGAAAGAGGGGCCCGTCCGTGCCCAAGGCTACAAGGCATATATTCACATCAAACCCACCACCATGTATCGCATAGCACTCAACCTTTACGTGGGACGGCTGCTGGAAGAGCTAAATGTTGATGCTTGCGGCGATAGTGCTTAAGCCTAGCATCCTGTCGCTTGAAGACCTTGTCATCGCAACCACCCTCGCAAACATACGTCCTTCCCCCCCGATCGTGCCTAAGCCTGTAGTGTCTTGCAAGATTGCTTTTCCGGTACTCTCCATGGAACCTCGCATTACAGTCGTCGATGGTACACTCCAGTTCGTCCGGAATGGTAGTCGATGATGCTCTTATTCTTCTTGAACTAGAAGGCGACGAAGATCCATCGCGACTAGGGGCTTGAAGGAACTCTGAGTTATCGTGCCTGTAACGTCTTGAACAATCAGCGCAAAAGATCCCTATCCTGCATAGCTTGAACTCACGGGTATTCATCGTTGGCTTCAGAGTCCAACTGCCCCGTCATTGACCGAGCGGGAATGTGGCCCCCACCGCCCGAGGATGGATGACTTCTTGGATATGCGCCAAACTGGTCGTTAATGTCGTGCACGTCCTCAAGCGAGGGCTCCGACATAGGTGGCGGATACTCGTACTGTCCAACCCCGAATTCATAGAACACGTTCGGACTTTGGGTCATACTGTTGGCACGATGGTGCGACACATGGCTTTGGTCAAGACCGCCATGCAGCATCGTTTGGCTCGGAACATTTAGTGTAGGGTGATTTTGTTCGGCTGGGTGAATCGGAAGTGTGGTTTGATAGCCTTCTTCAATTCTTGGGTTCAGAGGCGACCAAGGATACACCAAGCTATGAGGAATTTGGTTTCCGTCCATAAAGCTATTTTCACTGGCACCTGTCAAGAGGTGGAAATGGTAGGGATGGGGCTGCTCGGGAAAGAATCGCCCTGGAACTTGTTGCCGTCGATCTCTTAGTCCGGCCTGTGGAACGTCGTCGCCACTCGCCACTACTTGATTAGACGACGAGGAAGTAGTCCAGGTATTCATTCCGTTGACAATTCGGGGAAGACTTGGTCATGAAAAAGATGTGTCAAGCCGTGGACCGGTCGACTGACAGATTTCGAGATGCTACCGGATGAGGTCCGGAGCGGCGAAGCGAAGATAGTGTGGATGGGTTGGTGCAGATGGACCGATGGTTTGGATCGTAAGGTTGTCTTTCTAACTTCTTCCACACCAGGAAACGTGATTCGATAAATGGTTGTTGGTGGTAAGGCAAAGGCGTTGGTTGAATACGTGTACGATTTTTGATTGAGTTGGCAATAAACGCTTTCCATGGAGATAAATGGCAAGATGGCAAAAGGTGGGTTTGAGCTGTATATCTAGGGAAAATATGCTGATGAAAAATGCCCCGATCCTAGAGCTTGCAGAAGAGGACTGTGTAAGATGTAGGTGTATGCGCGCGGAAGGCTCAACGCTTTGACGCCATCCAAGGCACAACCGTGAGTAAGGGTGTGTGTATATTGGTGTAGAAAGGAGGAGCCGCTGCCAATTCTGGAGCTATTCGCAACAATTCGATCGATGGTCAGACCGAGAACCAATGGTGGTCCGTGTATGAAGGCCAACTTCGCCGCCGCCTCAAAAGTCAGAGTATAGACGGATGTGGCTCCACTGTGTAGCGCAACGGTCGCCAAGTGCCTGTCAGGTCCAGCTCAACGGCTTGGGGTATACCTGGAGCGTCAAAGCACCTTTTACTGCCTCGCTCGCTAGAGTATACAGCAATGCGGCAGGGCACACTTTTCCGTCAAGCTAAAACGGCTTGCTAAATGTGGTCGAAGTCCTCCAAAAAAATGTGGAGCCGAGAAGCTTATGATGTTTGAATGATTAACACCAAACACGAATTATAGTTCAATGTGTTAAGTATGGTAAGATTGAAGTACAAAGCAGGTTTTCAAAAGATGTCTGGTGGAAAGGTAGGATCTCGTGTCTCTTTTGACTTGAGATGGTAGATTAAAGAACAAGGACTATCCCAATCTCGGCCTGGTCGAAGACCATGCATACGAAATTAGATGGAGACAACAACCGAGAGGCTTCACCTGTCAATAGGAGCATATTCGATAAGTGAGATGGAGGGAGGACATGCCGGTGGTACCCAGTAAAGCTGTACTGGTCACGTTTTCAAGATGTCCAGTTGGACCAGACTTTGAGCATGCATTGCTTGGTAACAAGTCATCACCTCATAGCCTCATCGAATCAACATAAGCGCTCTAGCAATAAAGCGCCTGTAAGCATATTAAACAGCAGTATAAGCACCGTCAGGTCCAACTAGACTAAAGGGGGTCTGAGCAGATAGCATGCGTGCTACATTATGCGTGTTACTCGCACATCGCACCGCCTACTGGTTCATTATGCATTATTGCGGGGTCACAGCTGGTATCTTGAAAAGCATACACAGGGGGGACATGAGCTGGCTGGGGCGGGGATAGATGGAGGACTACGTAAGATCAGAGTACGAGCGGTGTATTATCGACCCTGTAATAGGCGCAGCCGGAACGTGGTTTTGGGGATACTCTACAGCGGAGCTGGCAGCCGTGGTGCTACCAGGAGCATGGCAATCGTTGCTACGTGCAAGCCTTAGCCTGGACTACATTGGACACCAAACCCCCATCGCAGGTGACCGTCGGCTGGGTGATGGTGGTGGTGATGGTGGCCGCATCCCACAGCGTAGGAATAAGCGAGCTCGAATAGCCACGGCGTAGCAACAGACTCGATGTGGAGACCCAGTGTCCAACCCATGGGGATGGCGCCTCGCTCTGAGGATTTCTTACATGCATATACATCTACACAATAGCTCGTCTGAGTGTGGGTTGGTACATGCATAGCCGTATACTACGCCCGCGCAACCGCCCGCACGGATGGTGCCATTTGCCAATCAGAAGCGCATTCGTCACACAGATAGATATGGACAAACACGGCCTGGACGAAGTGACGTGTGGCTTATGTACATGGAGGACGAGTACATTTGGGAGAAGCCCCCATCAACGGGTTCTGTCTGCAAAGCTGCTGCTGCTGTGCCGTACTTGGTCGGGCGATTTCAGCCTTAGGCGAGCTAAGGGGCTGGTTGACGGCGTTGGATTCTGCGGAGCGGATCAAGTCCAAAAAGCCTGGCGACGATGGAGGACTGATACGCTTGATGGCTACATGAGTCATTATGAGCAGATGGTGGAAGACATGGAGAAGAAACAAAGCAAACAAACAAACAAGCAATTGAACCGTCGACGATGCCCAACTGATGGGTTTGGATGACAGATGGATGGTTCGCCAATTGCTTACGTTGGCCTGCAAGGTCAATCGGGTTGGATGGATGGATGGATGGATGGATGGATAGATACTGTACTGGACCGTGCCAGGGTATGTATAAACAGCCTGAATACCCATCCCCTCGCCCTCGTTGCCAGCTCAGAGCCCTACCGGGTCGACCCGCTCGTGTCTGCGTTGGTGGAATCGTGCTGCACCCGTGTGTGACGGCTTGTGAAACACAGTGTGAAAACATTTGAATGTTCCAATGCCACATGGCAGCCATGGTCCATCCCAAAACCTGGGTCGAGTGCGGGCCCATGTTGCCCATCCCTTCCCTCTCTCTTCTTCTTTTCCGCCCCAGCGAGTTTGGCTCCGTGACAGAAAATAGAAATCACAAAAGAATCGATGAATCGGCAGGGGTATGACACCTAGCCTCGCCTTGGTTTGCGCGTCTGCCAGCGGCGGGTGATATGTCGTGAACCCAGCTGCCGCCTGCAGTAATCATCCGCCCCCATAGCCCTATGCAACATGAACGGCGAACGGGTTGCCAGCGGAGGATTCGCACGCCGTTTCAGGGCCAGGCCGTCTATATCTCTTGTTGGTCCGCCCCATGTACCAAGCGGCTACCTTCTGTTCGCCAGGCATTCGCCACATCAATGAGGAGGACAAGCTACGCCGCGGCTCTACATATTCCCCTACACCGCAACTGTTCCGTGATTGATTCCCCATCACCACGACAGGCGATGGAACCGTACAATCAATACCTTCATGTGCGGTTCACTGGTGTGTGTGTGTGTGTGTGTGTGTGTGTATGTGAGCGCGCGCTTGGTACGCTTGTGTAGGAAGCAGAATGCCCAAAACCCAAAGCAGATAGGCAAAGACATGTCCAGATGGCAGACCCCACGGCGTGGATCGGCATTCCAGCATAGCGAGAATCCAATCGTCCTCCACCTTTAGAGGGTCCATCTTACACACCAAAGAGGATAAAACAAGCGAATTTCAAGAATCCGACACTCCGAGATCATCACCAGCCGTAACCACGTGGTGGGGCCGCTGCACGCCACGCTTACCGGGGGTACACGAAGGGGTAGCCGTGCCGCGGCCGTGCATACGTTCTCGCCGTAAGATCGCCTTGTGGGAGTGGACCCTCCACTACATGGGATATAGTGAAAAGACATGTTGGAAATGCGGCACTGTGGCGTCTGTTCAATCCGAGTGGCACATGGGTGAGGTTTGGTCTGAGACGCCGTGAGACACCCCGGGGCCTAACGACTCAACGTGCGTCATATTGATTGCCAGATTGCTAACTCCTTCAGGACTGACATCGCAAGTCCCCAAAACACATCTCTCTATTCTCCTCGTCCTCCCCCAAAAAAACCACTTCTATTTCAGAGACAATCTCTTGAACAGACCTATTGCTTTGAAGCGTGTTACATAGTCATGCTGTCTGTGTAACCCATGTACAAGAAGTGTCGTGGCTGTGTTGGCGTGAAACTTGTTGGATGCTGGCTATTTTAGCTTTGGCTCCCATACATACCCAACACCATACAACAGGATTCTCACGGCTCCGCCTTGCAGAGCCAGCTTTTGGAAATGCCATGTTTCATCGTCAATCACTATATACCATCACACAAACAGCAGGGGATGACCTGCAGTCAACAATACCAATTTTGTGTATAGTCTCGACCTCTCTTCGTGTCTGATCCAAAATACAACAGTCTGTTACATTCTCTTATTGTATCGTCAACTTGAAGACTGATCTTGCCACAAAATAAGGGGAAACACTGGGATTGAGTGTACCATGAGCCTATACCAAGTGCATAGTCCGAGACCAGGAGTTTGAAATGAGCCGCATCACCTCCGGCATTCCGGGCATGTAAATCCCTTTCTCCTTCTTCACGGCCCTTCCCTCGTCAGCATGGCAATCTTTGGTTTTGTGCCTTGACCACTTGTGTTTTCTGCGTGCATCATATATAAGCAGCACTCATAAGTTAGCAACTCCCTGGATATACCTTCAAACTCCAGACTCAAAGCCAATGCGTATCAAAAGATATGGTGAACTCTGCCCAACTCCTTGTCCGAGATGATCATGATGTTGATCATACCCTTGTGAATGTATGTAATCATCGCTACGCTGGAACAAAAGCGCAAATCCCGTGTGTGATGATAAAATGAGCTGTGATTAGACGGGCAGTTGAATCAACGTTATCCATGACAGGATTTGTTCAGCTCATTCCATAGTTGAAAAAGTCGTTCCGCAAAAAAACTTCATATTTCATCCGCAAAGAAGCTGATTGGTGAAGACTGCATATGTGAGAAGTAGAAGAACAGAACACTAAGAATGAAATAAGTGAGCAGTGCCGGAAGGAGGGGATGAAATGGCAGAAATATGTGGTGTTGTGCCATCGCCCATCATGAATGATTGATAAGTATCATCCCTCGTTTGACAGGGAAAGTGGAATGAGCTGCTTAATCTTGAAGTTTGAGAATACTAGTGACCAAGACGTGGGGATCATGGATTCCAAAGCAGTACTTAAGAGTGGCGACTCGGTTCGCGAATGGTAGGTGTGGCAAGCGAAAGATGGGGTGAGTGAGGTACTCTAATCACATCCAGGGATGTACAACTTCCGCTGACGGCTCCCAGACACCGTGAGCTTCTAGCAGTCTTCGTTTGTTTGTTTTCTTTGAATCTGGTAACCCCGCAATCAATGGATCTCGAAGTACTGGGTTTTACTGGAAACGATGGCAATAAACGACTTGTTGTGAACGTGAGATGTGAAAGATAATTCTCGCGTTACTTTTCCTGATAGACCAGAGAGCGCGATGGTTTTCTACTGTGAGGCAGGAAAGCACTATCATCTAAGCAGATTTGGTGCACACGCGACATAAAAAATAGAATTTGTCCCTGCGGTCGGGAGAATGCCGTATACGTGGAAAGAAGATTCAGTCTCTTTGAATGGACTTCTGGAATGATGAGAAGTGACTATGGTGCGTATTAGCACGACCTCGCACGCGCTGGGTCAAGAAAAAAGATTCATGCTGACTGAGATATCCAACCAAGAGCATCGATGCATGAGTGCATGTTATCATATGAAGTGAGAGCTAAAAATTTACAGAGACTCACTTGAGCGCAGACGTCTGCCTTTATTCTTGCGTGACCAATCACAATAGGTGGTTACTGCCAATCTGCCGCAGCCGCAACAGACGATACTATCCTTGATTTCGACGAAGTAAGCGGCGGCCGTGAAGCCTGAAAAAAATAGTAGAACTCAAACCCCGGAAAACTCCTTCCTATCACTAAAAGCGATAGAAGAACATAATAGATATGAATTTTTGCAGAAGGCGAAGCGGCTATCACTTTGTCGTCTATCAATCGAGCCCACAGGTAATTCACCTTTCCTAGGTGTGTGGCATCCGTTCAGATCAGAGTTGGGGGGTTCAAATGCCCAATCTTCTCAATTTTCACATGCTCTGACACCACTTTTACAACCTCTCGCCGCATGTTCTACGTTCATGAAAGCGATGTCCCTCAGCTTTCGTGCAGATCACGGATGCTCGCACTGATTAGCATTGTTTCTGGTTGTATTTGGCATGGCACGGGGTGTACGTGCTCGACTAGAAGTAGGCACAGCTGGCCTGCCACTCCCATTCACTTGACTCTTTGCGCGCCTTCTTCACCGTTCTTGTCTTGTCACCTCCCGCTCTCCGTCCCTTTCTGGTTCGTCATCGGCAAGGGCCGGCCCCTAGTCCGACCCAGGCCGATGGGTTTGATATTGAAAACATACCGTCTTTCTTCTTGGTTGATGTCTTGATAATGTCTCATCTTTCCCCCGTTGCACCGGTGCTCGCCTCATTCGGTAGCACTCGTGCTGTAGTTGCCCCTTGGATTTCCTTCTTTCGCCACAGTCAAGTTGAGGACCCAGTGCTCGACACACACTTTCCATGGCTCATGGCCCTTGCGGTTCTATGGAGGAGGTTGGCAATATCTAGCTTGAGAGACAGTTGTGTGTCCGGCGATTCTGTAGAGTCCACGGCATCTTTGGCCAATCCTAGGGTATAGCGAGCCGCATAGGAACGATGCGCGTTTCCACTACCCAAAAGAGAGCTCCGATCATGGATGCGTGAGATCTTCAAAAGCACTTATCGCACATAGATGTTTATTTATCTAGTGATATCAGTGTTAATCTAATCAACGGACAATCATTCCGTAATACGACCGTGGGCTAAAGAAGAGGCGGTCATATCCTACATTGTTTTCTGTACAGATCATCGTCTTGCACAAAAAAGCGATTCCCGGTATAAGCAGATAGAGGCATACATGTGCTGTTCTTAAAAGGCTGATCTCTGACTTACCGACTGCCCATCCCACGTTCTTGGATGCGATACGTTCTTCAGCTGCCGAACCAAACCATCAAGGTAAGCCACTCCCAACCTCTACCTATTCCTAGCACTCACAAACATCACGGGTACATACAGTTCAGGTCTTACGATTTTCGATTTTGAGTATAGAATAACCACTGCAGCCCGGCATAGTTTCACGAAGGGTTAAGAGTGAATTTTAGGGCAATGTTGCCGTGTTTCTCTCCGCTTCCCGATATTTACAGATCGGAAATCAGGTCTCAGATCACTAACTCCTCCCACGACAGTAAGCAGTGGATCGTTTTCCAGAGCGAACAATCATGTGGTGAATCATTTCAACCAACGATCGTGCACCATTCGCTGTAGTATATTGCTCCCACATCATTTGTGATAACGGAATGACTGTTTGAATATTTCATTTCTTGTTTTCGGCGTTTATAGCCGTCAGGGTATCAGCTCAACTCCGCCCAATATGCACATATGAACGTAAAGCCCGTTCAAACAATACCCACCGCCCCCCACCCCGATCCCATTCAAATGCACAGAAGTTTATTGATCATCCTTCCCCACCATACACCAAAGCGACGGGCACCAATGCTATAAAACGAAGAGAAAAATAATGTAAATGAACATAACCACGATAAAGCCCGGACCAAAGTGCTGAGAATGAAGGAAATGAATAGGATGAATCGCAAACGTGACCAATTGAATGGCCGGTGGGGTGCGCATTGTCAGCCAAAGACGTGAGGGTTTTCGATAAAAAATCAAGACCGTGAACGCCATATTGAGAATTCGTTGTTTCATGCCTCATTCGATGTGTCTTTTTTTAGACGGTGTAGAGGAAGCGTAGAGTGGCCAGTGATCTCGCTGTCTAGCTCGGCAGGATGATCTATGGCGAGCAAACGTCCAGGAGTCCAGCTTTTGTTCGACAACAAGGGAGCGATTGTTTTCTGCTACCGGCTGAGCATGAGTGTAAAAGCATTTTGTCTTCCGTTGGCATGACTGCGGAATCGGGATACTGGCATTGAATCCCTCGGAGATTGAGATTATGTTTCCTTCGATGAGTAATGCAGGATTCCCCCGATCTTCTCCGCAAAGGCCAGACCAGATGAAGCGCGAGATAGAATCATCACGTATAATTGTGACCAATTCATCGACGCACACCGCCTACTTCAACTTGACGGGACCGCTCCAAGCCCATTTTTCGTCTTTTTGCAAAGTTGCCTTGTGCATTATCCTCGCCACCAGTGGACTCGGCGTAGTCGTCCGCATAGCCCTCCCCATAACCTTGATACGATACATCCGTGTACTGCCGTTTGGAGCCCATTCTCTCGGGCCGTGCAATCCTTGAGACTGGCGTGTGAGCGTTCGGTGTGCCGGAACCTGAGATCGCAGCCCGATGGGTAGCTGCTTCTTGGCCAGTCTTCGGTTTGACTATTTCGTCAGAGCCGATGTATTGCTTGTACTTCATCTGATCTGGTTGCGGTATATTTCCGGGAACAATGCCACCCAAAGCACGGCCAACAAGATCGCCGAGGTGAGCATTGAGACCAGATCCTTCTGGATTGAGAGCAACTTTGCTGACGTCTTTATCAGACACGACTGTAGCTTTATACTCTTCTTCAGGATAGTTCATCAAGTTTGTCAACTTCATGTCCATCTTGACTGCTTTGTGCTTCCCGAGGATCGACATCTTCTTAATCTGCCCCTCATATGACTTTCTAAGCTTATTAGTCTTTTCCCCAGTGGCTGGATCTGTCCGAGCAACCGAACGCGCAAGAGGACCAAGCTCATAAAGCTGGAATAAATCCTGTGAGGCGTGTGGTCGCGATGGCTCGTAGGCTATCCAGCAACCCATGTTAGTGAAACAGAGCAAAATTGCGCTGCACGAAAGGGGGCCTTACTGCTTTGACAGCTCAAGAAGAGCTGGCTACCGCAAATACCCTTGGCTGCCGCAACACCTCCATCTGGTGCAAAAATGTTCCCTGGCTGCCGATTGTGATCAGTCCGTCGGTGTTTATTTAATCGCAAGGAAGCATCAGGGTCCAGGCTATCACTCATCGTTGTGTCGCCTTCGCTATCAAGATTCATCGAATTGGAGGGACCTATGGTGCTGGCAGGTGTGAACTGGGTGGGTGCATTCGCAGCAGTAGGTCCTGAGGGGGAGTATTGTTGCGACATGACCACCGAGGCTGGGGGGGTCATTACGGAGGCAGGGGCAGTCGCAGAGGAAGCAAAACCGCCATTTGTCTGCGAATTCATCGAAGGATAAGGTGGTGAGGTTGGGGTGTTGGGCTGAACAATGGGGGTCTTTGTCTCGCTCGGCTTGGCAGCGAAGTGATAGGGCGGAGAAGCCGGTGAGAACGAACCAGTCGTGCGTTGGCGCTTCGCGCTATGCTCCGACATTAAGACTGCAGCGTCTGCAGTGCAGAACCAAATGAGGCGGGAGTTGTGGTGTGCGGGCGGCGTGGGCGAGGTGCTGGTGCGGCTACGAGAGGCGAGGAGGGTAGGGTGACGATGAGAAGAGGTGAGAGCGCTTGGCGGGACGTCGGGTCGCGGATCGACCGCGGCAAAGTACGGAGGGCGCTCGTGCTAGGTGCGCAGGCGCATGCGAAGAGAGCGGCAATGGGGATGCAAATGAAGGGGCGGCGGTACGTGGGCGGGCGGGCGGACAGTGGGTGGGTGGATTTGTTAGGTGGTGGTGGTGGTGGTGAAGGGAGGGAATGGGAAATGGGGACGTTCCAGGCCAGCGTTGAGTTGAGAGCCAGTCACGTGCACGGAGCGAACGGCGACCCAGCCAGCGTGCAGCTCCAGCCACACAAGCGAGTGAGTACATGTGTTTATACCAAGTACGTCGGTAGCATCCGGCGTGGGTCTTAGAGCAAGCGCCATCACCAAACCGCCATCGACTCACTCACTCACCTGATCCCAGGAAATGCCCGCGCTGCTTCTCCATTGTGGTCATTATGGATGAGTCTGATGTTCCTCCGCCCGCCGCCGCGCCGACGAGATCGGTGCAGCAGCCGAAGCCGCAGGCTCTCCCACCACGCGCCGGCCCCAGCTCCATCCTCGTCTCGCCGCGACAGAAGGGCAACCCCATCCTCAACAGCGTGCGTGCCGTGGCCTGGGAGTACTCAGACATCCCGGCCGACTACGTCCTAGGTGCCACAACCTGTGCTCTATTTCTGTCCTTGAAGTATCACCGCTTGCATCCCGAGTATGTCTACAACCGCATTCGCGACCTCAAAGGCCAGTATCAGCTGCGCATCCTTCTCGTCATGGTCGACATCGATAATCACGAAGAGTCCCTTCGCGAACTGTCCAAAACCTCTTTGGTGAACAATGTTACTGTCATCTTGGCTTGGAGTGCACAGGAGGCAGGGCGCTATCTGGAACTGTTCAAGACATTTGAACACGCTGCTCCGACTACCATCAAAACCCAGCAATCCACCAAATACGCAGACACTCTGGTGGACTTCATTACGGTGCCACGCAGCGTTAATAAAACGGATGCTGTTGGTCTCGTGTCGAATTTCGGAAGCATTCGTACGGCCGTGAATGCTACACCGGAAGAGATTGGGTTGATTGCTGGGTGGGGAGAGAAAAAGGTGCAACGTTGGTGCAATGCCGTGAGGGAGCCATTCCGCCTCCAGAAGGCAGCGAAAAGAGGGCAAACGAGTGCATCTCAGCATGTAGTTGCTGAAGGTGACATTGCCTTTTCCGGCGGGTTGTTGCAAGAATCAGTGCACAGGATGGACGATGCAACACACATGACCGATGTATCAAACATCACGGCACCTATTTCTGATGTGGGAGATGCGGGATCAGCCAGTGGCGAGGGCAAGATGGATAGCCCTACGATGGCCAAGAGAACAGTTGCAACCGTGACTCCAAACACTGTAGAAGAAGCACCACACGAGGTCCCGAAGGAGGGCTCGAGCAAGCGGAATAACGATGACGAAGACATGAGTGCTGGCATCATGGCGGCATTGGCTAAGCTCCGGAAGCAATGAAGTTTTCAACAATTAATAAAGTACCTCGACTAATTTTCTCGCCCCCCCCCCTCCAGCCCTGAAACTCTTTTGGTGTATATACCGCACCCTTTACATTGATAAATGACTGGCATTGGGATGCAGCAAATACCAATTGATGACGTGCTCTCGGGAAAAGTGCAAACGACACACGAGCCCGAGGCTTTCGGACAGCATCTGAAGACCAAGGGCGCCGGAAGGCAGTTGAGTACGGGGACAGATTCGGAGAATGTTCGCGGATTGTAGAGGCACTGTAGTCTGCAGTAGATAGATACATGTGTATGTAGCTGATGGCATGGCAGGTGGGGTGGATATCGTCGGCCAGACATGGGTAATGCCACGGCGCTAACGGCGATTAAGGTTATCCTACATCAACACCAAAGCTCGAGCTAGTGTACAACGGGATGCGGTGCGTCTGCGACTGCCGTTTCGATCAGCCGCCATCCATCCCCGCTCGACACACGCACGCTGACGGCATCACAAACCGGACACCATGAACGTGCTGCTATGCAAGGGCGCCATCCTGCATCGTCTCCCTTAGCTTCATCGACATCAATGCCCCCGAAATCACTACCGAGTCCTTCTCGGCTACAGAAAACGACATCTCGGCATCCTGGCATCAGCTGCCCGCCTTCGACCTTTAAAATGCCTGCAAATGTCGCTGCATCGTCGCTCTGTGTTCGTGTCGCCGATTGATTGATTCATCTATTCAATCTGTTTCTAGATTAATCCACCATTATCTTTCCTTCCTCGCCTGGTACCACCCCTCTCTGTGTCATTCTGTCGTCGTGTCGTGGCCCCCTTACAGCACTACTACAAAAGAAGCCAGGCAGTCCCATCTCAAAATGGCGACGACCGAGAATTTCGACATTGTCATCGTCGGCGCCGGGCCCGTTGGCCTCATGCTCTCCACCTGCCTGGCAAGATGGGGTTACAAGATCAAACACATCGACAACCGTGCTGAACCTACAGCCACCGGCCGCGCCGATGGCATTCAGCCGCGTTCCCTCGACTTGCTCCGGAATATGGGCCTCAAACGGAAGATCATGGCTCACGATCCCGCAAAAGTCTATGAAGTTGCTTTCTGGGATCCCAATTCAAAGGGCATCCATAGGACTGGGACTTGGGCCAGCTGCCCCAAATTCATCGATACAAGATATCCATTCACCACACTCTTGCATCAGGGGTTAATCGAACGCGTTTTTATCGAGGACATCGAAAAATACGGAACCAGTGTACAAAGACCATGGACGATTACTGCGTTCAAGAACGATGGAGCTGATGCCCAATATCCCGTCAAAGTCGACTTGGCGCATGTGGACGGCACGGCTTCGGAGACTGTCAGGGCCAAGTATCTATTTAGTGGCGAGGGCGCAAGAAGTTTTGTGAGGGACCATCTCGGTATCAAGATACGCTACAAAGATCCCATTTCACATGTATGGGGTGTGATGGACGGTGTAGTTCGAACGAATTTCCCGGATATCAAGGTTTGTTGCTCTTGTTCCACAGTTCGAGAGACATTGCTAATTGGACTTCAGATGAAATGCACAATACATTCCGATGCTGGATCTATCATGGTTATTCCTCGCGAGAACAACATGGTCCGCTTGTATATCCAAGTCGCTTCCTCATCTGATAAGGACTGGAACCCTCGCAAAACCGCTACAGCGGAAGAGGTCCAGCAGCACGCCAAGGAGATACTGCGACCCTATACCATTTCCTGGGATCGTGTAGAGTGGTTCTCGGTTTACCCAATCGGACAAGGCATCGCAGAGCAGTATACTCTTGACGAGCGCGTATTCTTGGGCGGTGACGCTTGCCACACCCATTCCCCCAAAGCCGGGCAAGGCATGAATACCGCATTTCTCGACGCTGTGAACCTGGCTTGGAAAATTCATCACGTAGAATCCGGTTTCGCGCCACGAAGCATCCTATCCACCTACGAATCAGAGCGCAAGCTGATTGCTGAGAGCCTACTCGATTTCGACGCGCGCTATGCAAAACTCTTCTCCGCCCGTATTCCATCGGCTGGTGAAGTAGCAGGGGCTTCCAATACATCGCATTCAGCAGAAGAGAATGAGTTTGTTAAGACGTTTAAGGCATCCTGCGAATTCACTTCCGGCTATGGTGTAGCGTACAACCCGAACACTATCAATTGGGGTCCTTCGCATCCAGCTCAACATCCGCTCATTGTATCCTATCAAAAAGGCACTTCGCTTCGCACCGGCCGCACGTTCCACCCAGCCACTGTGACAAGGGCTGTGGATGCCAACGTGGTACACCTGGAGCAGCAGATCCCGCTCAACGGATCTTATAGAGTTTACATCTTTGGCGGTCTACCTAGCAAGACATCGAGAGCACTCCACGATCTCTCCACACATCTTTCTAATCCATCGTCCTTTTACAGCGTCTTCACGCATCGTGACAACGACAAAGATCGGTATCACGAACGTCATAACCCACACACAACCTTCCTCACTGTCTGCACCATATTGAACGCACCCCGCGCGCAGATCGACATCGATGCTATGCTCCCGGCTGTTTTCGCAAGATACAGGGATCATGTCTACGCGGACGATGTTTGGGATCAGCGCGTTCCGGATGCAAAAGCGTCGGCGCACGCGAAAATGGGACTTGATGAGGACGCGGGCGGTGTTGTCGTGGTGAGGCCAGACGGATACGTCGGTGTAGTCGTGCGACTCGAGGAAGGCAAGGGAACGACAGAGGCTTTGAATGGATACTTCAGCGTCGTCACTGGTAAGAGACTGGGAGAGGAGAGAGCCATATTGTGAAGCACTTGTAAGGGGGTATTTGGTCATGTCATCACTGTTGCATAGCGTTCGATGTGTATATAATTCTTATACATTTTTCAAATAGATATCATGGGTTCAATTTCACTTGGAAAAGTCTTGATGGTGCCTTCCTCTGCAGTCCGTCATCAATGATACGCTTTTGGTGATAAGACTATGTGCTCAGGTCCAGCTGGGGAACCCCCAACATGCCGCTTGAGACATTACATATCGTGAAACCACATTTAAACCCTGAGCACAAAAAAGCCCAACACCAAACACCGAGACCTGCATGTAATCCATCTAGTGAGTATAATCAAATATGTCGTAAATGCAGACCATAAATCGCTAGGACTCCGTCAAAGATGTACTTTCCCACACCTGACCAGTTGGTAACCCATTCGTAACGTCACCAGACGTGGGGATTGAAGGAACCCCTCAACGAAATCTTGGTGCTGCAACACAAGCTTCTACAGCATTGTGAGACGTCTTTGCGCCTGCGCTTGGCAGCTTCCCGCTGGATTGCCGGCCTCAATCGTGGCTCAAATCTCAAGAGACTTGTTGCCCAAGCTGCGCAGCCATCCGTTCCTCCTCCTTCCTCTGTCGTGCAGCTTCGGTCTCTTTCCTCAGAGCTTCCAGGTTCCATGCGCCTTCATTGTCATCATCACTATCATCATCACTGTTCTGCCAGTCACCCTTCTCGAACATAGCTCTACCAGTCGCATCTTTCATCTGTTTGGCTTGGGCTTCTGCTTCCTTCTTGTCCAAACGATCTTTCTTCCATTTGGCAAAGGTCTCAACGGTCACAGGGGTAAGGGTACCAGTGAGTTTGTGTCGCTCCGATTCGAGGAAGTCTTCCAGAGTAAGTGTGTTGAGAGGCGATTTATCCATGAGAGCCTTCTCAGCAGCGCGTTGTTCCTTGGTTTTAAGTACGAATCTGGCGACGATTAGTGACATGGCTCTCTGGCGATGGGGATATAGGTACGAGTGCATACCCAGGTGGTAATGAATGCTTGTACATGCACTTGTCGCCTCCGTTTGGACACACCCAGAACCAACCATATTTCTGGTTCTCCACGGCCTCGATGAAGTACTTGCAAACCTTGTCTGTTGTTGTCTTTGGGTTCCCGTGCTTGCTCATGACCACCTTCTTCAACTTCTCTTCATCCCAATCATCCATTGTATCTTTCTTCTTAGCCTCTTCCTCGGCCTCTTTGTCCCTAGTATCGGTATACAAGCTCCTCTTTTCTGTCTTGCGCTCAATATTAAGGTCATGACTGAATTTGCACTTCCTGCCCTTGTCGCAGTTGCCCTTCTTGAAAAACTGACACAAGATAGTTTTGGGGTCCACGCCAAACGGCACTTTCTGCACTTGAACGGGCTTGAACAAGTCTGCTGTTTCCCTACGAGCTTGCTCTGCAGCAGCTTTTTCCTTTTCTCGTTGTAGCTTCTCTGCTTCCTTCTTCTTCTCAGCTGGCGATTTTGCGCCAGCCGACGCTTGCTGAATCTGCTTGATCTGTTTTTGTACAGCTCCACCTTTTTTCTGTATATCTCTTCAGTCAGTGGCGGGATCTGGAAAGGCTCGTATTTGGGCAAACGCAAGGCAATGTTGGCGGGGAGGCAATGGTTGGGGTGGGAGGGTGCGGTGTAGATGGACGTACGTTCTTCATACCAAAGGTCTAGATGAAGTAGTCAGCAAGAAGTTCGCGCATGTCGCTTCCGGGTATGCAAACCTTGTCCACAGCGACCTTCTTCTCCTTGGGCTGATCTCCTTTCCCTTTTGGCGGCATGATGAGATACGATTTAGGTATTTAATATGGTACTTGAGCTCGCTCTTGGAAAATAACAACAGGTCGACGACTGATGATGATAATGATGATGCTGATCGGTTGCCGCAGGGTGAAATAGTTGTCAGGAATGCGCGCACGTCTAGCTGGGGGGAGTCGAGGTAGGCGGGGGAGTGGGTGTCGAGGCAGCGGTAGACGTCAAAGCGAAGATTGATGTGTGTGGTTTGGTGGGGCGGGGACAAGAAAGTGCACATGTGGCGAAGCCGCCGCTGTGGCGTTCGTTCCTTGTCAATCGCTTGCTTCCGCAAGGTGGCCATCCGTCGTGCATCTCCAAGAAAGACGTGAGCAACCAAAGTCCATCCCTCTCCTGACCTTCGTTTTCTCTCCGCGCAAATCCTTCAATTGCGGTATGTCTTGCATTTCTTTAAATGTGTGATTGTCTTCTCGCTAACCCATTCGTCAGACGACTCCATCTTCCCACCCAGCTCAACCAAGTTATATACATTCCCACCCACAGCCATTATGATCACCGACAGCCAGCTCTATTCGCTCGCCATCTTCCTCGGAAGCGCTGCCATGTTTCTCATCGTTGTATATCACTTTCTCGAGGTCAATTCTGATGACCACGTCCCGGAGGGAAAGCCTAGAGCGGCTGGAGGAAAAGCGAAGGCATGAAGGACTAGGACACACGCAACAAAGGCGAGGGAGGGCCGCGGTGCATCAGTGCATTGATCATTTTACTTGTAGCCGCAGGCGAGGTCTGCAGCAAAAGCACACGAGAGAAACAATGACACTGATAGGGAGCTCAAGTCACAAATAGGGCGGACCACAATGTCATCATGTCGTGATTTCATGATCGGGTATGCATTAGGTAGATAATGAGCTACTTGAGTGCCCATTGTATTGATCATCATCATGACCTCAACCCATTCATTGAATATTAGCTGGTAAATCATGATCACACGCAAAGTATGATTCAACTGGCGTATGCCGTTGCTCAACGGACCGTATCTCGTATCACGACTCCGCGTCAACGAGCTCTTCCTCCGTATCAGTTACATCAAGAAACCCTCGTCTACGTTTCTCGTTGGCCAATGTTGAACCCCCGCGGTCCATTCCGGGTCCTCCGACACGTTTCTTTCTGGAGATCATTCGGTCCTGCGCATCGCGTGCGTGTTGTTCTTGCGAGTCCCTGGGTCGCTTTCGCTGAGCAGGTTCAGGGTCATCACTGTTATAGCTGTCTGTGAGATAGTCGGCGCGAGCAATGATACGAGGCGTAACGTTGCGGCCTTGAGCGTCGCTCAAATACGCTTCAGAGTCATTCGTATCTGGGTCAATCTGTTAACATCAGCATGAGCGAAGCGTTCTAAAGGGGGTTTGCAAACCAGAAACACCACTGGCCTGACCATCGCCAAGTTTCCAGGCTAAGGGCTGGAAGTGCGCTTGTCCGAGGTGCTCCTGCCACTCCTTCTCGCTAGCAAACGATTTAGAACTTTCGATGTTAACGTTGCTTAGCAAGTCGACTCTCGTGTCTTTCCTGCAGTCACTCCACAAACACTCTAGCATACCATCGGACGTCTCTTTTCTATGGAGTTTGAAGACGTGCTTCCGAAGCGTTTCGAGGTTGTGAAGCTCAGCAGAGCAGCCCTCCCACTTGCACTTGAACGATGTGTATCTCGGGGCCATGCTTGGGGAACGGGATTGAACGGTGATAGGATTCTGCCCGGTGCCTACGAAATCTCGCAGTCCTGTGTTGCCGTTGGGATTGACCTGCGATTGTGCGGCTGCTGAACCATGGATATTTTTGCGCCAGCCTACGGGGCGGCCTCTCTTCTTGGGCAAGGGATTACCGTCTGCATCGTATTGGGTCGCAGAGCGGAAAGCGCTGTAGCCTACACTAGCTGCAGATTTGCTCGGCTGGGGTGCGCTTGCCGCTACGTGACTTGACATTGATTTTTGCTTGGGTGTGTATGGGGTTGGATTCCCAGCAGGTAGCGATGACCGCGGGGGCCGACCGCGCCGCTTAAGCTTAAATGGGTTGATTGCCTCAACCGATGTCTGGGTCCGTTGCTGGTCCGTGCCAACACCGGAATCTTGCGGTTTCTGGACTCGACGCTGAGTATCTTCCTCGTCCGATTCATCTTCATCGTCAGCATCGCCGGTAAGATCCATGACATCCTCTTTAAAGTATCCAACAGGCGGTCTGCCTGGGTCGATGGCCTCCCAGTTGAGCGTACTTAAATCAGCGTCGTTCGTGACCTGCGGAAGCGTTGTCTTCAATATATCAAGATGCTGGTTTAGTTGCCTCGTCTCCGGATGTCTTCCGCACGCGAGCAATATATCCCGGGCAATGGTTTTGATGTTATAAGTGTTCCGGCGCAGAGCATTCTTACGGTCCAAGTACTGTACAACTACATCGTGTCGGAGGTCTGAGGAAGGCGGCGGTAGGTCGTGTACAGGTCGCGGCACAGGTTGTGATGGAAGTGGGAAGTTGGCAGGGGATCCTTCATGCGACTGCGACTGCATCATAGGTGTTGAGGAAGACAAGTGAGATGTGCCTCCTAGATTAGACTTCTTGAAGGCTGGTTCATCTTCGTCTTCTGGCATCGTCAAATCAATCAGATCATTAAATGTTCGCTTTCGGGCAGCTTCTTCCTTGGTGGCGGGCTGTCTATGCTCCGACCTGATTGGAATCATCTCGGCAACTGGGGCATTGTTGATAGGAAATGGCGGATATTGAACAATCCCCCCGCCTGGTGTTTCTGCCTGAGGACGACTCAAGGGCGTCGTTGGCGTTTGGGCGCCTTTGATGACTGCAGGGGTTGCCACTTGCACGTTGTGGGCTCCATTCACTGGCCCAGCAGGTCCAGGCTTTGGTCGAGAGCCCGAATTGACGTCTGGCACAGCCTGAAGCAAAGTTTTCGCGAATGCGGCTCGCTCTAGGATAATTCCCATCTGTTCAAGTTGTTCACATAGCTCAATATAGGACGGGTTCCTGTCTAGTAGGAGAAGGACTTCGTTTGCTTCTACGGGCCTGGTAGGGTTATGCGAGGAAAGGTATGATGCTGCTGCACTAGCCAGGTGTGTCTTCTTTTCTGGTGGCCAAACTGTGCTTCCTTTTGTGTGGTTTGCTGCGGGCCTCGCCGTTGGTTGTGGTTGTGGTTGGGGTGTTGCCGGCGTCGGGACTGAGATCGCTTTCGCGACTTTTGCTGCCTTGGCCGATTTTGAGGGCTTCGTGCCTTTGGCCAAAGTGGTCTCCTTGGAAGCTGTACTTTGCCGCGGGATCGCTGCCACAGGTGTTTGTGACTTTGTAGGCACTGCTTGAGGCGCGGGTTTATTCTGAACATTTGGTGATTTCGGAGCTTTCGCCCTACGTTCCTCCTCCCAAATACGCGCCAGTAGAGCAGGATCCTTACTATTGAACTCCCGCATTCTTGACATCAGCGCTCTTATTTCCTCCTCCATTGCATTGCTGGATGTTTCGGATGCAGTCTGCAGGGGCGTGCTGCTATCCTGCTGTGCCGAGTTCATTTGCGCCAAGCGTGCATTTTCTTCGTCTTTTCGATTTCGTTCTTTATCTTCCTCTTCTCTGCGCTGCCGTTCTTCTTCCTCTTTCCGCTTCTGTTCAACCTTTTTTTCCTCTTCCAGTCGTGCAGCATCTTCAACAGCTTTCTGTGCCCTTTGAGCTTCTGCCTTGCGCTGATACTCCGGCCAAGGGTCATAGACCGCCATAGGATCTACGGTGGTAGTTGTCTGGGAAATCGGATCCGGTGCACTAGTACTCGTTTGGGATGTAGGCGTGGTGATTTGTGGGTCAGCAAAACCGTAGGATGTACGTGATATCCCCGGCTTAGGCAGTTGTCTATGAGCATGATCGGCGCTATATTGGGTGTTGGTTGCTTTGTACTGCGCAGGGCTTGCGGTCCGCTGAGGTTGATTGAACTGAGTCTGGCTATATTGCTTGGATGTTCTATGGGTTGAATTGGCTGGCGGCACTACGGGGGAGACATTGCCGCGAATTGTTGAGGCTTGAGCGCGGTTGGTATTGACGCTTGGAGGTCGAGCTTGCGGCCGATCATTGGTAGGAGTGTATCGCGAGGCAGGCGTGTTGTTGATAGCAGGAAAGCTGGGCTGGGCCGGCGTAGGATTGGCTGTATATGCTGTGTTGCTCATGTTATGAAGCACTTCGGCGGCACGGCTGGTTGTCTCACGATTCGCTCCATAGTTGGTACCGTTCCAAGTGCCAGATCTATCTTGCGGTCCATCATAGCCAGTCCCATGTGAGCTGTACGAGGGTGCTTGGTAAAAGCCGTAGTCGGTTGCTTGACTTGACGGCTGCTGGTACTGGCGCGACGATGCCTGCGGTGGGTTATTGGTCGCGGGAGCGGTCTGGTATGTCGAGTATTGTTGCTGAGGTGCGCTTTGGTGGTATGGGTAGTTGTAGGGATTATATGAGTTGGACGACATGGTCGCGCAGGGTCTTTAGAAGAGTGCGCGTGCCAGTCTTTAATCGCTTCGCGGGCGCGCTCGAGATGGCTCCGGGTGAAGTCCGTCGAGTGAGGAGCGATTGGCGCCAACATACACTACCGACTGCACGTAGTTGCAACTGCATACATCGCAATCGGTGGTATGCAGTGGTCAGAAAGAGGCGCGCATCGCGCGTGCGGCAAGAAGGTGAAAGTGGTGGTGAAAGTTGTACGGCTTGCACGCGTCCCGCGGCGAAAGAGCGCCTATACTACGGCAAGCGTGACTGGGTCATGAGGAACATCATTTATCCGTACCGGCACTAAGTCTGCGCCAAGCACGCAAGCGAATAGCCTCGATTTTCGACAGTCCACACTCAATTTCCTGCTGCGGTAGCGTTCAAAGACACAACAACACCGACCGACGGAAATACCAGCACAATGACCAAGGTCCAGCAGTCCATCGCGAGCTCGCGCCGCAAGTCGCGGAAGGCGCACTTCAGCGCTCCCAGCAGCGTTCGCCGTGTCAACATGTCGGTTCGTGACGCCTTGGAGCATCACAAAAGCCATTGCTAATGTTTGCAGGCGCCGCTCAGCAAGGAGCTTCGTGAGAAGCACAACGTGCGAAGGTATGCACTTCAATGTCTGTATACTTTTATCCAAATTTGCTAATTCAAGACAGCATCCCCATCCGCAAAGATGTACGCCTCCATAATCTCGAAACTACGAACTCACCCAAATACTAAACGCCTCTAGGATGAAATCATGATCGTGCGCGGAACGCACAAGGGCCGTGAGGGCAAGGTTTCCTCCGTCTACCGTCTCAAGTACACTCTTCACATCAACGGAGGTTTGTAATCCACGGACCCTAGCCTATACCATCGCTCATCGATTCCCAGTTGTCCGCGAAAAGACCAACGGCCAATCCGTCCCCGTTCCCATTGCCGCCTCGAAAGTCGTCGTAACCAAGCTCAAGCTCGACAAGGTACGCCGATAGGATATGGCCAGATTACAATCGGGTATTGACAACCAATAGGACCGTGAGAACATTCTGGAGAGGATAAGCCAGGGCCGCGAGCTTGCGAAGAAGAAGTCGGAGGCATAGATGGTGTGATGGTTATCTTTGGTTGACGACAATTTCATGGCTGGGATGCTCGGGGAATAGGCGCCGGCTGTACCACTTTTTCATCAAGCGGACGGAATGCATAACATCTCTTCACCATTACCAACGATGCAACGATGCACGGAAAATAGGGGCGTTATATGCATAGCTCGAACAATGAACTGGCCAACAGAGCCTGTTTTTTGGACTACCGCAATGCCTCCCCATTGTATCTCCGTACCCAATAGGCGATGTGAAATACTCCCTGACCTATCCAGCACACTCTACCGGAATTGCAAGCTGTGATTGATCCGTTCCCCCTATACGCTAGTTATCTACTCATCAGCCCATTTCATGGTTGCTTGCAGTTATACGTCTAGCGAAGAGCAATCTTCGCGTGGCTTTCAGCCATGCCTCCCCTGCAGACCGTTTTGGATTATTCCATGAAGTTAACGGTTTGATGGAGAGATACATATTTATGAGCAATTACACGACTATTCCGCTGCACTCATTTCGCTCGAGACATGGTTTCTTTCACCACCCCTTGAGCATATGCAACTCTCACAGCCTTGGACTACTGATATGACATGGCCCGAATGGTTGGCAAAGTCCGCGAAGATTTGAAGATGCGCATAGTCAAATTCCGAATAGCAGGTATCAAGTATGATGCCTGTCATGTTTAGTAAACGTAGCTCCACTTTCGCACATGTAGATACGTTGGTGCTTACACAAATCTACAAATTTTGTTCCCTATCTGCTTAGAAATCATGACGTTTTTGGCCTTTCAGTATCTTCACAATTTCCCCTCAACATCGCATCATACTGAATTACTAAACCACAAATCAGTGTATCCCAAGCGTATTTAATAATCAGCATTGGTCCTCAACATCTTCGCACTCATTCCCTTCCCCACAATCACATCTGCTCTCCAATTCATCACGTGAATCAGTAATTACATAATGTCCTCCAAACTTGTCACCATAGTCGCCGGGGTCGGTGCTGGTACCGGAGCCTCAGTTGCCAGAAAGTTCGCAAAAACATATCCTGTGGTTCTTCTAGCCAGGAATCCAGAGAACTTTGAATCGCTGGCTAAAGAAATTAACTCGTCAGGTGGAAAAGCGTTAGGTATCAGTACAGACATCTCGGATTCGAGTAGCGTCAAGAAGGCCATAGAGACGATCAAGAAAGAATTTGGGGACGATGTTGGCGCTTCTGTACGCTTTTCGCTCCAAAGAAAACCTTGGGGATAGTGACTGACAACGGCAGGCGGCCATCTTCAACGCCAGTGGTGGTTTTCTCCGCAAATCCTTCCTCGAATTGCCCGAAGATGTCTTCACCACGTCTATGAACGTGAGCGCAACTGGCGGATTCCTGTTTGTATGCGAACCCCATGCACAGTCTTGCATGATTGAGACACGTACTAGATGGTCTACCGCGGCATGTTTACTGCAATCCATACTGACCCTTTGCGATTTCAGTCACAAGCAACTCTCCCTTTGCTATTGAAGGGCGTTGAACAGAAATCCGAGCATCCACCTTCATTGATATTCACGGGCGCAACGGCCTCGGTGAAAAGCAATGCGCGCATGGCGTCGTTCGCACCAGGTGAGTATAAAATCAGTCTGATGTTCAACAGGAGATATTCTGACAACGTGGAATGTAACAGGCAAATGGGCCCTGCGCGCGCTATCCCAGAGTCTGGCAAGAGAATTCGGACCGCAAGGCATTCACGTCTCACATGCGATAATAGATGGGGTTATTGACATCCCACGGACACGGGAGTTGTTAAAGGACTTGGGCCCTGAGGCCAAATTGTCTGCGGACGGAGTAAGCATACTTCATAGTACCGACGGTCAGAGGTGATGTGCAAGAGAACTCGGCTGACATACTTCCAGATTGCAAACGACTACTGGTGGCTTCATACGCAGCCAAGGACAAACTTCACCTGGGAAATAGATCTAAGGCCTGCTGTGGAGAAGTGGTAGATGTATTTACAATACAGCATGAGTTACTGTTCGAAAAAAGGGGTGGGAGAGAAGTAGGTTATACATGATAATGGATGAACAGGATAGTTGCACTTCGCATGATGGATAGCACCTTGGAGAGATGCGTGCATTCCTTTCTGCGGAACATCCCTCTCTATGTACAATTGATAGCAGTTTCCATAGCGGCGAGTGCATGCCAACAGCCATCGTTGTCAGCCCCAGATTAGTCAGTGTCTATCGACTCCACTGGTATATAAAGTGTACGATATGCAAGCCCAAGCGTTACGAAATGTTTCTTACAGCACTGCAACTCTATCAACGCGTGCGGCCCAGGAGCGGCATGCAAACAAGCATTCTGCACTTGCAACAAAGGGACAAGGACCTACACACCGCTTTCTAGTCAACGGCTCAGAAGTTCTAGTTCAAGATTCGCTTCCATTCATCCTGAATACACACCCTTTCACCCAGAACGAACGCCTACATGGTAGATTGCACGCCACCCCGGGATTCACAACCACCTTTGGCGATTGAGGCTATATGCCTCTTCGAAACGCTTCGTTAGAGCCTGTAAGGGAATATCATAAGAGTGGAAAGCATCCAAGATACTTGATACATGGTTTTAGTTACCAAGCCTGATATCGAGACTGTAGTCATTTCGGACCGTAGTGATGCTCCCTCTCCAATCGACAACCATATTGTGCTGACTCCTGTAAATGCAACCAACGTTTCGAATACACGCAAAGAATGTTCGGGAAACAAAATGAAAACACCGTTATATGCTCCCAAATCCGTGCAACATTAGACAAGGGTCATGTCGAATCCATGCCAAATCCTAAAACCGCGTCTAGTCGTCATAATGACAGCGCTCTCATGGCTGTTCGATATCACTTCCGTTCCGTTCGTACTGTTCTTTCCTTGGATGTCAAGCCGTTATGAACACGAGGCCTTACCATTGCCTGCCTTGCTGCCCATACGCGGCCCCCTGTTTTCTACCAGCTTGTTTCCTAACCTCTTGCTCCTGGAAACTCTGCCAGTCCTTGGCTTCATCCTTGAACCGCTCATACTCGCCCCACCAATGGCTGCCCAGGTTTTGAACGTCTTGGACGAAGCCATCGGCGCCTCTATTCCAGATCCACAGGGCCATGGCAGCCAAGGTCCCCCATAAAACGAGTCTAAAGACCAATCTGACCCAAAACATGACTGCGCGATAGGCCATGTCGAGGATCTTGAGGCTGACAAAGAGCAGCACGACGAGCGCGAGGAGGGAGGCGACATCGGGTTGGGTAGTGACGCGGATCAAAAGCGGGGAGAGGTGAGTTTGTGCGGTTTTGAGGATGCTGAATCCGGTTGTGAGGATTTTTATGATGGTGGTGAAGACGGATGGGGGGAGGAAATGAGAGAGGTAAGGTAGGTAGGCTGCTTGTGTTGTTTAGTATGGACGTTCATGAAGTTGGCTTTGACCGGGCTAGAAAGTGAAGAGGGGTGCACTTGCCCTGTAATAGATCCATGTTGCAGTACCGGTGTGGGGGGATGAGGTTGAGTATCTGGTTCGCTTGTGATGCGTGAGCGGCAATGAGGCTGGAGCTTGTATGCGTGCAGTTGGGCGGGACGAGGACAAGAAGAAAGTGGCTTGTCTGGTGGAACAGAAGCTATGGGAGCAGGCTTGAAAAGTGATGCAGAATATGGTTGGCAGTACTAGCATCCATTCCGGTTCCTTTGTTTGTTTGTTCCTAGCATGCGAGCAAACGTTGAAAAAAGATGTTTGTGGCCATGTCCGTCATGCATGGATGGCCCGGGGTCGGATTTTCAACATTCGACCTGGATCGGTCTTGGCGGTCCGTCCCTCCCGCCATGGTTCGCAACTATGCTCGGGTATAGCAGTATGTACATGTGTACTTGGATGAGCTTTTAGATGTGTACAGAAGTATGTAGCTTCGCATTATTGTTTTGATTTGGATTTTTTGCAGCACCCACCCATCACAGCAGCAAGCCAAATGGAGGTGGCTCATTGGGTCGCCAACACTCCAGGTTTCACAGCGATAGCAGCATCAAGTTTGCCCTGCAAGATGCATGCACTTTTTGAAAATTCTGAGTCTAAGCTATGCGCATTTGTAACAAGGCGGACTCGAGTCTCGGCTGTTACTGCTGTGTAGCAGCGGAGAAGAGCGGTGAACAGCGACCTGATGAGCATCGACTCCACTCGTTGGACCAACAAACGCTACAAGGTTCGCGAGACTACTTTAGTATATATGTAGTGTATTGATGCGCGAATGTCATGTAGCGTCTCCACCTGTAGCGCGACTGCCGCAACATCTTGTTCCGGACCCCTACACCAACTTTCCCAATGCTTCAACACTGCATTCCTCAAATTTAGCCGTTAATGCATTGTCCTGCTTGTGTGGATATGTGTATATTTGATCACTACGTGAGCGCCGCGAAACGGCTTATACTATGTGCTACGTAACAATACAAGACTTTCAGAGGCAGGTGCCCGTATAAGTGACAATTTGTCTGGTATCACAGAAATAAAGATTTCTTCCCGAAGTCGGAGGAGAACAAAGAGAAAGAAAGCTAAAGAGAGAGAGAGAGAGAGAGAGAGAGAGAAAGGAAAACTAAGTCCGTGTATGTGGTCATTACCATATTCGGTGAAGGGTATCAAAAAAGAAAAGAAAAAATGTTGTGTATGCATGCCTGACGCAGACCCGGGCTGCAGCAAAACAATTCCATCGCACGTCGTTGCTGCTTGCTTCCCAATGAAGCGCGGCGGTAAGTGGCAAAGTGGCCAAGTGTATTCGTAAACTGCCTTAGACCTTGTCAAAGCCATAGGACAGGTTGAGAGGGCGCTCAGACTGGCTGTTGCCACGGCGCCGATCCCGCTTGGAATGTTCGTCGTAAAGAGCGTTGAAATCGAAATCGAAAGCCGAAGCCTCTGACAAGGATGGATAATGTGTACGTGGTGAGCCTGGAAAGGATTTGGATGAGGTGAAGGATGACGGCGGGAATTCACTCGAAACCGAGGTAGGCGAGTATGGTGTGGGTGGTCGGTCTGCAATGGAAGAAGCACAGCTCGACTTTCTTTGTGCCCGTTCCGGTTTTCGGACAGGCGAGGGGGCGGAAGATAATGATGAGTGGGGGAACGTGTAGTTGCGGAGCTCTTTCTCCATCATGCTCGGTGTTTGAGCAGCGCGAGCCATGTTCGGCTGACTCGATCGAATGCCATACCTCTCTGGACGCTGGGTATATTGGCTTGGACGCCGCCACGATTCAAACACAGCATCATCCAGGGGGGTAGCGGCTCGACGTGCAAACATGCGCAACTTCTTCTTATTACGCCTGATGCAGAAGAGGGTGAGGATGGCAGCACAGGTGAGGACCAGCGTCCCAAGGATCACCGCCAGCAGAATCCAGAGGTCTTTCGGTTCCATGTTGGCCAGCTCCTAGATGTAGGGAAAGCGGTGGCCGAGTTGATGGTATGACGGCAGGCCTTGGGGATATATGTGATGTTGTGGACAAAGTAGTGGTAGTGGTGGTTGTTGACGGCACGAGTCCAGAACGGGACGGAGCAGGTTGTGTTGGGAAGGAGGGTTTGAACAGAGCCCAAGATTTCCAACGAGCGCACCGGCTAGTCGACCATGATTGCAAGTGACGGGACGTGGACCAGACAGTGAATATAGAGTAGCAGCCGTGCGTGGAGGGAGTTGGGGTGGAAGGAGGGAGAAGTAAAAGTGGAAGAAGAAGAAGAAGAAGGATTATAGGCAATTGCAACTACTGCGGGAAGAGGCAGAACAGAACAGCGGTCGGGAGCTTAGCAGGCCATGGACACGATGGACTAACTGAGAGTAGGATCGTGTGCGGGTATGGTGGGTTGGATCCACTCACTCCGAGTGATGGCGTATGGAATGTGAGGAGCGTAGTGGCACGAAGCAACCGTCCCACTTGGCTTGGGATGGGGAGGGGGGGATCGACTACCTAAGTAGACATGTACTTAGACAGACCCAGTATATAGACAATTGCAAGGTGGGCGTGGAGCGGTGAGGCAGAGGCATCTGAGAGTGGTGAGGGCAGCGACACCAAAGATGCAATTTTAGATGCATGCAAAGAGTCGAGCATTAAGTCGGCACCCATGCCCTTAGCAGCAACACAGGCGGTGCAGCCACTTGACAGTACAGCAAACGTGAAGACTGGCTGGATACTTGGGTACATAGGTACATAGGTACATGCAGTACCTGCTTAGTTGGAAAGGCTAGCGGCAACTGGTGGCGGCACACTTGACCCCCCTCACGGCAGGTGCTCAAACGAATCCTCCTGCAATGTTCCTGTTCCTGGATGCAACCCTGCCACTGCAACTTGGCCCGCAACCTGTTCCTGTTCCTGTTCCTGTCAATCAAACGCTCCGTCAATCATGGTGGGAGAACCACTGCCGATACCTCTCGACCGGGGGCATCATCACTCGCATGCATCATGCAGACATGGAGAAGTGCCTTGTCCAAGATATCCTTCTGTGGCCACCACGATGCCAACGCAATGCCCATCCAACCTACTCGATTATCATCATCGTCATCAAGATATATCAGCTCGCTATCGACAAGTATCCAGAGCCCTGTCCGCCAACTGTCCGACAGAGACAATCTTGCAGCACGCTCGCCAAATGCACTGGCCCTTTCCCATCCCACACGTCTCTCTCATTGATGGCAATTCCTCCGCTGCCGGCGTGGGCCATCTCTGTAGCCGAAATATGAAAACCCAGTGCGGCTAGCCCTCGGTTGACAATGAAACAGGACGTCAAGCGAAACCACATGGCACAGGCCATGATCTGGTTGTCCCGTCTCCACCTCCGTGACTCAGCACCCATACACCGCATGCGATATTCAGAATATCAACCTGGGACATGCCGGTGAGTGTGGACTGCGGTGGGGATACATACACACAAACATGCCATCAATCTAACTTCTTGCCGCCACTGAAGGAACCGTGTCGGGCGGGAGCCGAAACCAAGTGCACGACTACTCCATCGTTCCCTTGCGGCTAAATCAATTGCACACTGCACGTGGACTGATGATCGGCCAGACGCCACAGAACTACCCTGGGGCCTTTTCGACTCGTATCCACAAGCCCATCCCCGGAATCAGTCCAAACTTTAGACGCACCCCTCTTTCAACCTGCTATCAAGTCGTACACGATGATTCCATTGCCCTTGAGCTGCACTCGGAGTCGTCTTGGTGTCGTCGGCAACACCGAGCAACAGCAAAACAAAAGAATAGGAATGAAAAGCAGCAAAAAGCGCCCCGGCCCTTTTCCCCTAAGAGCATGCAGCGCAAATCTTGGCCGCAAGCCAATCACTGCTCGCGAACCCACCATTACCTGCGCGCACTAGGAAAGGCGTGCCTCGACGTCTGCCAAATCACACTTATCTCCGAACCGTCCCTCACAATCGCATCCCTCCAGGGTGCAACAGAACCCGCTTCGTTTCGAAATCAAGGCAGCCTCCATGTTGCTATCGTGATGATTTGTCGCTGTTGGCATCCGCATCTTCTCGTCGCCTGATGCCCTCCAAGGGTCGCCCCTTTTCCTATCAGCGTCAGCAATTGTCATTCAACGACACCACTACAGCAACCTTCACCGATTCCACCAGCTCGGCGTCATCTGTTGCCTTGATCCGCCACTGTTGGATGCGTGATGGTGTGCTCGCTGACTCGTGTATTCTGCTACTTCTTTTTCGTGGCTTACTCAAGCCATCGTAGGACTCATACCGATGAAGATAGAGTGCATGCATGTCCAAAACGCCATCGGTATCTTCTAGACACCTGACCAGTACCTCACAATGCTTACCTAGCGCCAAATGCGCTAATGCTTAGAATGACCTCCATGGCCAGGTAAGCCACCCCATGGTAATCGGTAAAAAAAAATGTCTTTTCCCTTGTGATGCGGCTTCATAGTGCGTTTTTAGAGTCGTCTTAGCACAAGCATCAATTCTTCCTGACTACGGAAACGAGCCGACAGATCACCATCAGTCGACTCGCAATATCCTTTGTAGCCTTCATCCCGCGCTGAGCATCTCAACAATCATGGCTTTTATGTTAGATTCGCAACCTTGCCGCCCTCCCCACCAAAAGGACGCATGATACCAGCACAGGGACCAGGCCTTGCCCCTCCCCCACCCAGCACCACCGTAGCCATATATGTGCTCCGCGTGGGATGCGGAGACCATGAACTATACAGTATGCAATATAGAAAGCACTGCTGCAATGCCGTCGTTTACATGCACTCATAAGGCAAAATAGCCTGTGTTACCTGCTAGGTATACGACCATGACGAGGGCAATTTGAGAATTAGGAGCGAATGCTCTCAACTTGATTTCGTTACCCACAGCTCGTTAATAGACAAGGTTCTGGTCGGAATCACTGTTAGCTGCGTCTCAATTAGGTCGTGCTTTCCTGTTGGATCTATTGATCGGCTTTATGTCTTGTTTCTTTTCTTCCCTCTCCATTCCGCCATAAGTAACTCAAATAAAAAGCACACCCTGCGGGTTCGGTCGCGAGAGGCTATGCTCAAGTGCATCAACCATCATCGGGCCGACCCACCTCTCCCTTTCATCCCACCGCCGTCCAGTCTTTAGTATCCCAGACGAGTTTGGACATGTTTTTGTCAAAGTTTAAAATTAGTCGAACACGCAATCAGAAATCATGACTCCACAGTGTCGTACGATTGATTATCTTGGTTGCGTTGCGCAGCGAGTGCTTCAAAAGCCGACCGGAGCCTCTCCGAAATGGACCGTCTGCGCATCCAGGTAACACGTGCATTGGAGGTAAGGTGGCGCAAATGTGAGTCCATTGGGCCACGAGCGCTCTCGATAACATTAGCGAATAGGAAATATAGACTTGCTTGCTGAAAATAGGGCACTAGCTATGAACGCACGTTAAAGCAGAAAGCCACACCTGCGTAGCAACTGAACGGCAAATCTTTAGTATATCTGCAGTGCGGCTTCTGGACTACAGGGGAGAGTCAACTGTCGCGTCGCGACCTATCCCTCCACGCGGCATATGCATGCATACATGCAAGCCCAAAACAAACAAGGAAACTATGTAAATCCCCAAATCCAAAACAAAGGTAACTATAGCGTGCATGAAAAATGACCAGGTCAATAGTATGCTTCAGCTTCGCAGTAACATGTCTCCATCAATGCATCCAAAACCCGAGCGACTGGGACCCAACAGTTTCCTTTTCTTCCTTTCTTTCCTTCTTACTTACTTGTACACACACTCTCTTTCTCATCTGCGCTTGGCTCTTCCCCTCGGCACACATCTCATTCGGCGGTGTGTTTGGCGCTGCAGCGTCTGGGGCTTGCTAGCATCCATATTTACTTGTGGATAGCAGGTCTGGTCGTGGCCAATTCCCCCCCGATGGTGTTAGCTGGATGTACCTACTGTGCTGCTCCGAAGCCATCAAGAAAACAAATCACTCGCCTTCCAATCATGGGAAACGGTAGCGGGAGAAGGAAAAAGACTTGGTGAAATGACTTGGTTTTCGGTGCGAGTTTGGGTCCGCGTCACTCTCGTGTTGTCAATCCAATACCCCTTCCCTTCGTCCTTTCTTCCTAGTTTTTTCTTACTCCTTCTTTGGTTTACTTTGTGCCCACAGAGATGTTAGTGGTTGGATCACCATCATCATCAACAACCATCCATTCGTACACTGTTACACGGTGATGAGGTTCTTGTCCTGAACATTCTCTAGCGTCACCAATGTACAACCTGTAGACAGATCCCACAACCAAGGCAAGCCAAGTGGACAGAGTCGACTCGGTCTTATAACCCGACCCGGACATTTCATTTTCTACGTTGGTTTCTAATTCGATGGAGTGATCAAGAACCCCAAATCTGCTGTCTGCGAATCGTACACATGCTTGCTCGTACCCTTGTGTGGATCACACAAGTGTCAGCTTGACCTTCCTCTTACCCGTACTCTCTTCCACTTCGTCTGTGATCCTGACTGTGACTTTCTCGAAGAGTTCTATGTTTCTCTGAACATCGCCCTTGATCTTCAAAACGTAATTTTCCGCATCGAATTCGGCCTCGGGTTCGGGAGCAGCCAGATCCCTCAGCCTAATCAGACTCTCGATACCGAACCTCGGCACAAAGACAACAAACCCGTTGGAGAATATTTTCATAACGAAACCATCTTCATTGATGTCCTTGCCCTTGAGCGCTTGACCGACGTAGTACTCGATGGAAGCTCGTCCTGCCATCTGCGCATTGCGATGGCGAACATTGATATTCTTGCACACGCCCTCGAGCTTAGACTTTGACTGGAGAGAGGCATCTAGAGGTTCATAGTCGATGGCGGCAGCAAGCTGTCGATGGGCTTCGAGATCTGCATAGCGGCGGATAGGCGATGTGAAATGGGTGTAGATTTCACTGGCAAGACCGTAGTGCCTGAACTCGGGGTAGGCTTGAGTACCAGCGCAGAAATATTCTGCCGACATCATACAGCGTGTTGCCATGATTCTGACCAACGTGTTGAAGAAAGGTTCGTTCGCGTCCGTACACTGGTCCAAAGAATCTGCCACGGCTTTTGAGCTATCGCTTCGTAGCTCGAGACCTTTCTTTACCTTGAGCTGATTAGAAAGCTCTTCAAAGTTGGTCTTGGGAGGAGCTGCGTGACGACGCAGGAGGGCGGTCTGAGGAAAAGCCTCGTAGTTCTTTGCAGCCACGCTAATATTGGCGAGTAACATAAATTCTTCGACGAGTGAGTTGGTGTCCAGGAGTTTCTTAGTTTGCACATCCACCGGATCAGATGTTTCAGACTCCGTCTGCACCTTGACTTCCGGAGAGGCGAGGTTCAAAGCACCTGCGTCATAACGTTTCTGTTTCAATTTCTTTGAAAGCATAAGCAACGTACGCATGCCATTCGTAAGCTCGTCTTGGTGTGAGTCATCGTCGATTCGGATTTGCGCCTGTTCGTAGCTAAAGGCTTCCCTGGAACGAATGACAGACTTGGTGAAATGAGCAGAAACAATGTCGGCATCTGGTGTGACCTCCCAAAGCACAGAGAAGGCGTAGCGCTCGACATATGGCTTTAGAGAACACAAGTCCGTACCCAGAAGCATCGGCAGCATGTCGATTCGTTTATCCACAAGGTAAACAGTTGTGCCTCGCTGACTGGCTTCTTTGTCCATAGCGTTGTTCGGTTTGACAAAATGTGACACGTCGGCGATGTGAACACCCACTTCAAAGTTGCCGTTGGGTAACTGTCGTGCGTGGAGTGCGTCGTCGATGTCTACACAGCCTGGAGGGTCAATACTGCATACCAAAAGATCTCGCAAATCCCGCCTGCCCTTCCAGCCTGGGTCATCGGTACTCGCAGGAACCTTCCAGTCATGACCTTCTGCAGGGAGGCAATCCAAAACCGTCTTCGGAAAAGGCTTGTACTGAACGTCCCACTCTAGCAATAGCGCCTCTGTTTCAGCTCCCTTGGACTCAAGCTCCCCGAGCGAGCGGACGAAGTGACCCATTGGATACCTTGAGTTTCGTTCCCACGAATCTATGGTTGCCAGTACGCGCTGCCCAAGGAGTTCTCCAGCCTGTCGCGTTCGTATCCTAATTTTAGGTACGCGCTTGTCCATTGGCACGAGGAAAACCATTTGCTGTTGCCTGCTTGATTTTGACGTTGATCGAACGGATCCTTGGTCAATGTGGCCAACATACTGCCTCCAATTTCGTTTTACAATACCCACCACCCGAGCAGTAGGTTGTGGCTTTCCTTCGGAGCTTTGACCGTGAGCTCGCTTGACCTCTTCCTGCAAAGCTTTGCGTTCCCTTTCGGACGTGATGGTCTCGCCATCTTCAATCTCGGCATTGTCGTTCTTATTAAGGGTTTCCTCTTCGATGATCTTAGTCGATGGGGCCTTCCACTGGTCTGTGGGCAGCACCTCCACCACTACAACATCGCCAGAAACCGCTCGGTTTCCGTTCTCCCGACCGAGCACAAGCAGCGATTTGTCAAATGTCGGGACATGAACCGATCCCTCGAGGTAGTTGTATGGCGAAACGTTGAAGATGCCTTGGTGCATAGTACCTGCTTTTACACCTGTCATCATCTTCGAGATAGAATAATGTTCAGGGTAGAAGACTTCAGTCTGTTTCGATCTCACTTCCCGCTGATCTTGGGCAGCACTAATCATATCCAACAGTTCGTCAGCATTCTCTAAGCCCGAAACAAAGTCGGATACTGCAACTCGTTAGCGACCTCAAGTATTTTGGGGGTAGTGCAAATTTTACATTTGATAGCAGGTATGCTCTCCGCTTTCGCCTTGCGCAGATTGTCTCTGTCATCTGTAATCATCACTACAGAAGGGATGCGCATTTGTTTCTTGCTCCTCGCCTTGATGGCTTCTTTGATGTGGGTGTTGTACCACTGCACGGCCTGTCGGACTGCCCTATCGTTCCGGTCGTTGATGGTCTCGCCTGTCCCGCGAGAAATGTACGTCTCTTGTCGAAACTCATTGAAAAAGACGTAGAACCGCTTACCCTCGTTCTTGGTGAGGGCAACCAAGCGGTGGTACAATGGCAGCGAACGATTCTTCACTTCTTCTAACACTGTCTGTAATACAATGACATCATGGAAAGCGGTCTCCACCTCGAATAGATCCATACCGGTGAGGAAGGCATTTGTGTCCGGGACAAGGTATTGGCCATTTGGGAAGTTTTTAGATCCAGCTGGGGTATCCGACAAGACAAACGAAGCAGCTACGTCCAGCAGTCAGCGTCTATGTATATCACGTGATGGAGGAGTCTGTACTTTTATTGGTGTAATCTTTGGGAGCAATATCTAAGCACGCTCTACAAAGATTCGAAGAACAAGGAATGTCTTGTCGCAAGTAGAGCTCACGGACAATCTTTTGCACCTTGCCACTCTTGGTAGATCGAACGTAGACCTTGCTGGAGAGGTTTGAGTTGCCGCGATCCGGGGCGTTCGACCGCTTGAGACTGAAGTGATCCATATTCTGAGCTATCTCAGATCCAGGTTCGAGATTACCCGCTGGGAGTCCGTTGATGAGGTTGGGGTATAGAGTTGTAGGACGGAATTTGCCAAGATATCAAAGTCTCGAAGCCACTAGTGCAGGCACTAGTCCCGGTATGGATAGCAGCTCAGATGACGAAGTTGCAACCTCGCGGCACCACAGCTCAAGTGGGCTTGATCGATAGCACCAGGACAGCAACCCCAACATCAGCTCCTCTTACCCCAAGCAACAGCAAGCTGCCAGCACCTGATAATATACTGGCTGCTATATAACCTCGAACTATCTCCGCTATCCGCCCACGGTCACCGTATACATATCCAAGAGCTCGTCGACCATGTCTCTCGACCCTCCGGCTTACCTCTTCACCATTCAGGCCAATATCCGCACCCGGCCCATATCATGGGAAGGTGCCATGAGAGCTAAGACCATCACTGATGGCGATCTTCAAAAGATCAAGTCCATTGATAAGGTGCGCAAAGAAGAGCGGAAGCAGCGCATCGACGCAGACGTACAGAGCTTCGTAGTGTTGCTGTTAGGCGGGGAAGGGTCACAGAGCATCTTTGATGCCGTATCGAAGCGGCAGGAGATTCTTCAGTATATGCTGGTTCTTACTGAGGATTTGATCACCGGTAATTCATATGATACCGCCAAAACTGCCAGTACTGACTATCTGCAGATAGCCCAAGTCTTACAACTGCTCTCGCCCAGCATCCCACCCCCTTCAAGCCCTTTTTCCCGCTTCTCAAAGCTTCGCAGAACCCAGAGGATCCTATTCCGCTGCTCACCTCCTCGCTTCTATCTAAATTTCTTTCCTACACCATTACACAGCCCACTAAGAGTACAGCGCAAATCGATGAAGCATTGCCGCAACTCTACCAATACCTTTCAGTCTTAGCCAAGAGCTCCGATGCTGGGCTTCAGGATATTGCTGTGCAAGAATATTCTTCTGTCTTGCGCAACAAGAAATCCAGGGAGCTCTTCTGGGACCAGCGGAAGGAGACGTTGGACCCGTTGTTTGATATCCTACGGGCTGCATCGGGATCCAGGGATCAGGATTCTTCTGCTGGTAACAGTGCTTCCGGAAGTGTTCGCAGTGTGCCAGAGGGCCTTTCGGGTGGCGTTGGTCTCCAGCTGCTTTACCACGTTTTGTTGGTAATTTGGCAGCTCAGCTTCGAAGGTGAACTGGTCGGAGAAGGCCTGCAAGAGTAATTTCCCCCCGTACGTGGAGACAAAAAACATCGCTGACCGTTATTTCAGTGAACAGGAGGTAGTGACCCTCTATACACACCTTCTCCGCCTGTCGCCCAAGGAGAAGACGACTCGTCTACTTCTGTCCACCCTTTTGAATCTCCTCACTTCGAATCGTCAAATTCTACTCCCCGCTGCTGTTCTTGCCCGTCTCCCGGCTCTTTTAACAACTTTGAAGTCGCGCCACTTGACAGATGAGGATGCACTTGAAGACCTCAAATCTCTCACTGATCTACTCGAGGAATACACCACTACACAGACGACATTCGATGAGTACGCGGCCGAAGTAAATTCGGGTCATCTTCGATGGTCTCCTCCACATCGCAATCCGACCTTCTGGCGCGAGAACGCTCGTCGGATACTGGAAGATGACAAGGGCGCTCTGCCCCGCAAGCTGGCTGAAATTCTCTCCAAGAACTGGGAAGATAACAAACAAGTATTGGCAATTGGCTGCAATGACGTCGCATGTTTGGTCAAGGAAGTGCCGGAAAAGAGACACCAGCTCGAGAAGCTGGGGTTGAAGGGTCGAGTCATGGAACTGATGCAAGAGGCAGATGAGAGTGTTAGATGGGAGAGTCTGCGGGCCGTTGGGGAATGGCTGCGATACAGTTTCGAGTCAAAGAGTGATTTGCCTCTCCGGTAGAGTGCGTCTTGTGGCTTGTCGGCATAGACGGGATAGTTGCTGCATGTACGTAGGTTTTCTATGTACGTATATATACATATACACTCATCTGCCTGAGGTGAACATTGGTAGTCCCCCAGACTTGTCTTCTGCTGTCTGCTTCATGAGAACTGAGAAGGATGGTCATTGCCAATGTGCTCGCCAACGTTCCGTGGGTCATGTTTAACAAAGCGGTAGTAATCGACAGACGGTTTTGCTGTTTGATAGTAGAGTGGAGACGACTATGCAGCGTTCTTCTGTTGTAGTTCCAGTTATCTGTTCTTAGACCTGAATCCACCGATAATATTTCATGTACATGGCCGAGTACAAAAGCCGTTTGTGCAAGAGGTTTTTGAGTCTAGACGCTTCATTCCACTCGGCATATGATTTCCACTTGGTGTTCTCTTCGCAAGATAGCGCGCAATCACACTGAAAATGAAACGCCTCAAATGTTGTGATATACGCGGATTGTATGTCATCCAAGGCAGTCAGCCTAGTACACCAACAAGGCAGCAGAAACCAAAAAGAAAAATGCTGGTCTGTCTGCAGTGTCGTCGCACGCCGCGTGCACATGTATAGAGTGCGCACACGTTATGCATGCAGGTATATAGATAGCCTAGTGGGTGTCTGTAGGTGGCACAGTCACCTGCAAAGGAATGGCATACCAGAAAGCTTATCCTGCACACATTCTCTTGCTGCTATAATTGTCGTTGTTATTGTCGTCGTTGTGCTGTTTGCTCCTTGCCACTCGGTGGAAGTACCTACTACTGCCATGCACGTGTGTGACAGGAGATGCGCGGGACCTGCATAAAGGCTGAGCGATGAACCGTGGTTCCACGCGCATCCATCCCATCGACACACTAGTTCTCGTCCCATCACACCACAATGCACAAACCTACACACAGCCAGATACACAACACACCGCATAGCCGAACGGGGTACCTTGCAGTTTGGCTTGTTTACGTATGACACAGCCCTAGCATCTCACCCACGCGGCTATCGAGATCGAGCCGCGTGAGCACAAGTGGGAAAGGTAAAGCAAACGGAACCGCCTCCGATGTCCGAGCCAGAGACCCCCAGCTAGCCCCTTGTCCACACTCTGTTGACACGTCACGGCACATCTCGAACTTTATCTTCACGTCCCCTCCACCCCCTCCACACCCCCTTCATCACCGCCCCCCAGGTTTTCCCACGGGCCCTTGTTGGTGGCACACGCCGCAGACATGCGTCTGTTCCTGCGGGCCCGCGCGCGCCCATCATGGTTGTCAACAGGAGCTTGGGGGCGTGAAGCGAGGCGAAGACAAGCAAGCCCTCTGCCACACCCCTTCGTTCATGCCCATGAATAATATGCCGCCATCGTGCATGTACCCCCTCGTGTTGCTCACTCAAGCGAAAAAAAATATCCGAATGCCACACCTCTTAACCATGGAGCCCGTCAATAAGATCTGCAGCAGGGAACGATTGATATTAATATTAGGGGCTGTGGATTGGGTTTAAAAAAAACAGTTTGGTCCCGGAAAACTATGTCCATACGCCATTGCCTCACTGGCAGTGCTTCCTCCCGTTCCATCCCTTCGGTTCCCGTCTCCAGTGGTTGGTCTGGAAAGTAAAACACTACCCTGCTCAGCCATTCCAATCCCCACGATGCAAACTACCAGCAAGGAAAGAAGAAGAAAGGGAGAAATCAATACAAGACGATAAGGGGAATCAGGTGTTTCAGGTGCTGCGGCGACCATCGACATAATGAAATGTGATGCAACAAGGGTAAGCATCAGAAGAAGGAACAAGAAAGGTGACATTCTACTAAGACCGAATGAATCACGGCCACGCACTGGGGCTGAGCTGCCGACCCCAATGCCATGGTGAATAAGCAGCAGCCCGTTCGGCATCGGGAGTCTTGAAAAGCGGATGATGTGTTGTTGTACGTTCACGTTCGTTCGTTCGTTGCAACATTGAGTGCGTGGTTTCGTTTCCTTTCGTAGGGGTCATGGACATTTCGTCACTGACTGGCCATGTTCGATTGGAGAGCAGAAAGAGTTCGTGCATGGGGCATGCATTCGACAAGCCATGTGATGGAGACCATTATACGATGCAGTGAAGAGCATATCCCAAACGACGCAGAGAGCGGCCACCTAGAGAAGTGCAAATGCAGGCATAGTGTACAGGGTATGGTGAAGATGTCAAAGGTGAAAGAAAAGTCAAAGAAGTGGAGAGAAGTGACTCTGGCGTGAAACAGATCATGAACGGCGCGAAGATGGCTGTGGACGTAAGGCGTGAAGGGGCGGGCTTCAGAGAAGACACAGATCTTAGCCAGGTGATGTTTTCGGTTGAACGCTCAATTGACGATGAAGAGAACACATGGGTGCTCGAGCCGACATCGATGTGCTATCGGACAAGGACGTGTATTGTCTCGAAAGGCCGCAAGTGCCTATATCTCGCGAGGCAGTCCTCAATATGACTGCCATCCAGGTTGGGGTGTTTGGTTTGGTGCCCAGCCTGGCATACCGGGTTGTTGAGTAGCCGTGCTTTGGTGTTGCATGAATTGATGGGGGCTGGGGCTTGGTTGGTAAGGGTTCTGCCCCATACCTTGGTAGTTCGCGTCGTTCATCGCACCCATCGTTTGATATTGCTGAACAGGGGTACCGTGCATAGAGGAGCTGCTTTGAACTTGATGCAGCTGTGGAGAGGCATGCATGGGCGACTGCTGGGGATGTGGTGATTGCTGTGGCGGCCGAGCATACTGCTGCATATTGTGCTGTTGTGACAGTGGTGAGGGCTGCGGCGGGCCTTGCTGCCACATATGCTGGGGGGCGTAACTGTGACCGCCCTGGTTCTGACCAACGCTGGGAAGCATCCCACCTTGGGGTATGCCTGATGGCGTCATACCTTGAGGCAGACCCATACTTGGTGGTCGACGATGCATTTGCTCAGGTCGCATGGGTGTATGCTGTTGAGCCATAGGCGACTGCGCCATAGCATTTGGTGGATGGCCCTGCGATCTGTACGACTGGCTGGCAGCCGCCTGGTTGGGCCTTTGGGGAGTTTGAGCGGGCATGCTATACTGGCCAGTACTACCAACTAGCGTGCTTGCTGGCGCGACTCGCGGAGACTGTGCTGCTTGCGATACCTGCGAGACGCTATTGGCATCCCCTGAAGCTGGACGATCAACAGGTGCAGGAGGTTCGTGAGGCCTGCTCCAGTAATCATCCAAGTAGTGTTTGCGATGCTTGCGTTGCGCTTCGAGTTGTTTGTTGTACTCCACAGTTTGCGCTGCTTGATTGAGGATTTCTCCGGAAGGCGTCGGTCTTGTCATATCCTGGTAAGGTGCACCTGCCATCTCATGGCGCGGCCTTTGCACGCCACTGTAGTCCCGCGGCTGCATATCTGTTGTTGTCCGCTGTTCGTACGGTTCGGCGTTGGCTGCTGGCATAGTGCCGGGCGCGGGCGTCAAGCCCCCGAAAGGTTGCATAGGATTGACGGTGGATCCTAGATACTCTTGATCTAACTTGCCACTGAATGCACTCGTGTGTGCGAAGGCAAGATGGCCTCCATGGTTCGCTTCCGCTGCGGCAGCTTCTCTCGCCCTTGCCGCACCTGGCCGCTTCTCGCCTGCAGCATCTTCCTCGGTGAATCCTTGCTTTCTGGCCTTGCTTTCCCAATAATCGTCACGCACGCGCCTGCCATTTTGGATCAGTCGACTCCCAAACTGGCGGAACATGGATCGTGCCGTGACAATCGCGATTTGTCGAGAGCGATACGAATACGGTAGTATCTCTTGGTGGATCAAGTCGTCCTTCTCTGCCTGCGTAGCTATGATCTTGTAGAGAGACCTATTCTTGTTGAAAAGTAGATAGGAATCCCGGTAGCCTAGAACACGAGCACACTCGGTCGCGAGCATGAAGAGTTTCTCTCCTCTGTTGGGTACGAAGAACGTGCGACACTTGTATTCGCGCCCGTCCAGGGGATGACCTTGCAGCGTCACCTTCTTTTCCCCAGCATCGTCTTTTTCACGCGGAAGATACTCGTCACCTTCGGGGTTCAATTGATCGGTCGTGTGATCCCTCACAGTGGGGAGGGCCTTGATTACGGTGGGCTTGCCGGAAGCCGCCTTCGTGGTAGACGCCTTTGCGGGGGATGCTTGAGGAATCCGTACGTTCTGGAGTTGGGGAGTCTGCACGGGCGGTGCAGGAGCAGACTGCGTTGGGGTCTGTGGAGGTTGGGAACCGTGGGTCGAGCCTTGAGCAAACGAGACCTTGGGTCCCCTAGGAGGACGACCGCGTTTGCGCGGTTTCCCGTCATCTGCACAAACCGTGTTAATATATACAGAAGAATGCGCACTGCGGACACGAGATGAACACGACGGGGAAAGAGAGGGAAGGGGTCGGTCGTACCTAGGTCACCATTTTCACCGGCTTGCGCGTCGCCGTAGCCGTGTTCTGGCGACCGACTCCGCTTGAGGCCGCGGGAAGGTTGCTGTGCGATGGACTGAGGCGGGTTGATGAGGGCGCCTGTAGGTGTGTACGGGTTAGCTGGGGTGATATTAAGATGGATAGGGCGCGATGCAGCGGATGTAACAGATGAGCACGACAGACGGTTTGGGTGCCGCGACGGGTGGCGACGGGGTGGTATTACGAGAGGCAGGCGCAATAGCAGCTGGAGCAAGCAGAGGTGGAGAGGAGACACAAAACATACCTGCAGAGTCCAACGCTGCTGGATTGATGGTGGCCGAGGGATCCATGATGCCGCCGTTGGACAGAGCTTGGACGGGGTGCATAGAGTACATTCCAGGCGTTCGCAGAAAGCGAGGCCGGGCTCGCGGGCACAACTAGCACCAGCAGGACTCTAGGTCGCGATGGGGCCAATAATGGGAGGCGGCGTGTTTTGAGGTTGGCGAGCTGGCAGCAAGCAAGCAAGCACGCAGACAGGCAGGGCAACGCTGCGCAGGGCTGGCTGGCTGGGTGTAGGCGTGTGTAGTCGCGGGCGGGGTGGATGCGGCGCGACGGACGGGGTGGGAAGAGGTGTGTGTGTGGTTGAGGCGGGAATTAGCTGCAGAATCCCGTTCGGCAGCGTGACCTGCGACGCAACGGACTGCTAGGCCGCTAGGCTGCTGCTAGGCCGCGCGCGCTGATGACTGATGAGCGGCGGCGGCGGCGGCGACTGACAACAGCAGAGCGGATGCTGACGTGCTGCCGACAATGATGGTGATAATAATAGTAGCAGCAGCAGCAGCAGTGAATAGTGATACTGACAGGCTGCCGACGGATGAGGTGAGGAGCGCGACGGTGTTTGTTTGGGCTGATGTGGAAGGATGGTGATGGATGGGTGGATGGATGCGCGTCGGCTTCGAAGCGAGGCGAGAGAGATTGGATAGGGAAAGGCGAGAAAGAGAGAGACGGAGAGGTGGTGGTGGTGGATGATAGGATAGCACAGGCAATGGTAGTGGCCTGCGCCCCCTCTCTCTCTCTGCCTCTGTTGATCTTTCGATCCGGCTCCTGTGTGGCTTTCCGTCTTTCTGCGTCTTCTTCTTCTTCTAAATCTATCTCTACTTCGCGCTCTCTCTCCCTCTCTCTATCGATCCAGGGTAGTCGGATCGAGGAGGGTATGTGAGTATGAATGTATGAATGGAAGAAGGCAGGTATGTTTGTAGAAGAATACACGAATGTATGTAAGGAAGTAAGGTGAGTATGTGCGTAGCAGCGTGCTGTGCGATGCGATGCGATGGTGGGCCAAAAGGCGCAGTTACATGGTTCAATCCTTCTGGCCTCTGTACTCTGCACTGTACTGGACTGTACTGGGCTGTAGTGGGTGTGGTGTAGTGTAGTGTAGTGTAGTGTAGGTGTGGATGCGGCGGGTAGGGCACGGTAGGCAAGTAAGATGGACAGGCAGGCCCTGGGTAATAGCAGAGGCGGGCAGCTTAACACAAATCGCCACGTGAGAGGCGCGGCGATAAGGACACACTTTGAACGATGTATGTATGCAGGCAAGCAACTATGTATCTGCGAAGGATGCGGGCGCGGCGGTGGTTAATACCAGCGTCCAGCCAGCCAGCCAAAAGGAGCGAGCGAGCGGAGGGAACGAGTGCAAAAAGGCACTGGGGGATCGCCTCGCTAGCCCGAGAGCAGCGTGGTGGCTCCAAGCATAATCGGCTGCAGGCTTAGGAATAGGACTAGCCTACGGACCCAGACTGCGTCCGTCGTCGTCATGTAGGGTAACCAATGTACAGCCATGTCCAACTAGATACCTTCAGACTCCATCCTTGACTGCCCGCGCCGTCGAATCTGGTATACATGTACATATAAATCTATATCCGTAGCTGTTGTACCAAGGAACCGCAGTTTCATCTTGTATCCAGCTTCTCTCTATATATAGCGCCTGTATATTGAACAGGATGGAAAGAAGAGAGAGAAAAAAAAAAAAAGGGGGGGAGGCAGAGAAACAGCCTGTGCGAATGCAGACGACAAGGACGCAGCGAACGCGTGGAGAAGCAGCGTCGCTATTCCACCTTATTCGACAAGAGTACTTACAAAGTAGTATAGTGGTTACATCCAAACGCGCTGGGGGGATATATGGCCTTGAATCATGTCAACTGGAAACCTTTCCGTCACGGACACCCCGGTGCTTATCGACTTGGGCTTATTACATTACGTGCATCATTGCGGCAGCCCCCAATCAATCTCCCATTCATCCCATGGCCGTCCGCAGAGAGAATAAACTTCGATCGACTGTGTCTCGCGGGCAGCAATCACTCGACAAACACAGTGTGCTGCTCGTGCCTCCCGAACCTTGTCCTTGCCCGCGGCATGCCTACATGGGCATACATGGACAGATACATGGACGCAGAAATACATCCACAGGTAAATATGGATACATACATACATACATATGTATCCATGTGCGTGCGCGCGTGCGTCCCTCCATCGCCGACATCAATCACCGACCGATCTGACTTGTCGTCCACTGTTGGTCCTGTCTTGTCTCGTCTCGTCTTGTTGCTGCGTGCGTGCATTCGTTCGTTCGTTTGTTCGCTCGCTCGCTCGTTCCGGCTGCGCCCGCAAGCGCCAGATGCAGACTTCCATGACGCCTGCTGGCGAGGTGCTTTGACTGAGTGATGGAGGATGAATGCAGTGCCAGCCACTCAGGCGCGCCAGAGAGCTGCTGGACGAGGGCGGGCGGAGGCCGTATCCGAATGGCAACCTGGCTAGGGCCCAAGGCGGACTAGGCGGCCAGGGTCTGCATAAGCGGCCGTGGTCATGCATTCGCTCGTCCATCTCCACGTCCATAACGCATCGTCTGACTCCTCCTTGAGCCCAGCTCTGCGCCAGCGCTGTCGACGGCCATGCCATGTATGCCCTGCTATGCCATGCCGCTGAGCTTTTGCAGCCTGCCTGCCGCCCAGGCTTGCCGTCGCTGCCGGATCGAGAAGGTTCATGGACTCTGCATCATCCATCATCCATCCATCCATGGATGCCATCGATGGATTCATCGACGAAGACTTCAATGGAACCCCGCCGTCGTCCAATGCCCCATGCAGTCAACATGCATACATATCCGGTTCTGCAATCTGCACTCTCGCTGTACCGCGTACTCGCCTGTCCTTTCGTGTCCCGCAGCACCAACAGGGCCCCCCCTCACTTCTCCTCCTCCCCCCAAAAGCTCGCGACGATCCCTCTCCCCATGGAGCCCAATTGCTCAGTCCATCTAATTAGCCTCTGCTCTTGTTGCCCTTTCTCACCTGTCGCGAACCTGTCACGGGAAGCTGCACTGTATCTAGCGCTTCATTGCTTCCGCGACGCGGATCCGTCGTGGTTTTCTGTTCAGGGTAAGCTGCCGTAGAGCGGCCGGCAAATGTCGGACTTGGTGCCTGCCCTGCACCTGTTGACATGTTTGCTGTTTTGTTTGTCTGTGTGCACGTCGACTGTATACGAGCGAACGGGAAGGGAGACTGAGCGAGGGAGAGAGAGAGAAATATAGAGAGAAAAACGGGACGATTGGTAGATATCATCAAAACTTGCATAGGCCCACCAAACATGCAATTGAACAAGAAGCACATACAAGACAAGACAAGACCAGACCAGGGAGGGCTGGTTGAGGGAGCCTGTGCTCGATCGTCGTTCTGTATCTCGCATAGCTTCCGCAAGTTGCGCCACCGCGGCCACTCGATCCATCCGTCCATCCATCCATCCAACAGGGGGCTTGAAACGAACATTGAACGAACGCCATGCCCGCATCCTCCTCCGCACAACCTCATCTCTCCCAAACCAGGCCCGCGTTCGCTCGGCATGTCTAGAGTAGCCTGTCATCGGACTTGGACGCATCTGCCAATGCCGGAAACAATGGATGCAACCGATAGATGGGCCCGGGAGAAGACGCCATGGTGCCATGTTTGCCCATGTACATACACACTGACTGACTGACTGACTGACTTACATGGCCATGATACTGCGCGTACGCAAATCGTCTCCAATATATTAGCCCTGCAATGATCATCCGAAGCCATGCCCCCCTCCCGCCGCTCCGCTACATGTAAATTGCTTTCGCGCCCGAAGCTCGCGCGTCCCCAAACGCGTTCGCCAGATTCGATCCCACCTGTATTGTATTGCTCATGTCTCAGCCGGCCTCTGTCATCTGAGCCTGCCTCTGCAGGGTCCCGCTATCAGCCATCGACCACGCCCAATCGGCGTCTGCTTGCACGCTACCCACTCGGCCACATCCTCAGCAGACCGTCCATGTCTACCGCCAAGTCTGGCTAGAGTCGGAGTGCACACATTCCGCCCTTGGAGCCACATCGCGTCTCTACGGCTACCACCCGAGCATCTTCACCACCTCCCCTCGGAGCTGCCCATCAGTCATGTATGGAAGCCTGTCTAGGGAACCCGTCGCCACTTTGCGTTGGTAACAGCAGCAGACGCTGAGCGGAATGGCAAAGGGGACAAGGACACGAGAAGCCATGGACCCATGGTCTGCCATGTCAATACGGCCGCGTGATGCCCCATTGCACAAACTTCGAAGCTGCGCTAGGCGGAGCCATGCTAGCGTGTCTACAAAGGCCTTCTTTGATCCTACAGACTTCATGCAAGCTCCATGGAATCCTGCCCAAAATCCAAACACAACCATGCCGAATCCACAATTCAGCTCCTAGGTAGGTAGAGTGGCGTGGCCCTACTCCGAAGCCTCGAGTAGAACATGAGCGATGCATTCCAAATGCCTGATGGAGGCTCGAGAGACAAGATTCCCGTCGCAGCAGAATCAAAGTTTACACGCCCGGTTCTACAGCGTCATCGAGGGATGCCTGGTCGAGGTCCTCGGTGGCCAATGGTATTTGCATATTCCCCCAAGGTCCAGCGTGGGGCAGACAAAACAGGCCATATGGTTATGCAATTGTCGTGAGCGGTGAACCTTGCCGCGGAAAGCAGTCGCTTGGTGGCCTGTTCATCAAGGGTATTGCCATCATCTGATAGCATCATGGAAGCTGATGGCGATGCATCTAGCCACTGGCTTGGGCTGTTTGCGCAGAGACAATGATACACTTCCGTCACCCTTCCAACGAAAAAAGTTGTTTGTGCAAGCACCATTGTTTGAATTCGTCTCAGATATAGCCCACTGACCAGTTTACAATATTGGATGGTGGTTCATCTCACATCATAATGCAGCGATGGTTAGGATCAAGACGTCGCGGGAAGGTGTCCTAGCAGAAAGCAGGTTTTCTATAGACACTAATAGCCAGTAGCCATCATTGTCATTGCATTTCGATACAATGTCGGTTGCGAGCGCAAGCCTTCTATACAAATGGAAGTCATGGCTAATGACTGCCTGTCGTCGAAGCAAGTGGTCGTGAAAGCTGGTATTGCGAGCCAAAGGCTGGCCGCTCTTATTATCGAGCAAAACTTCGGTAGAGTCATACTTCATCCTAATACGCAAATGGCGCTGAAGGAAAGAAAGCCTGCACTGCCCTCCCAGCAGGTACATTGCAGTAGCGAGATGACCATATATCGCGAATAGAACCTACACCATACGAGAAGTCGCTGTTGCTGTCGATTGGCAAACAATGGTGGAGAGTGTGTAATAGGCATCTTCCATATCTATAGCATGTGTGGCGGGGTTGACGAAACAACAAGTAGAACTGGAGAACTGATAGCAAATGAAATGCCCCAATAGCCTCCCAAGCGTCATATGCAATGATCCGCAAGGAATATAGATTGCACGGTCAGCGTTCAAGGAGGCGGATTGTGCCATCCGAGCGCGTCAGATGATCCGCATGATGCTTCAAAGTGTATTATTGGCTGTGTCTAGGCATGAGCATTGTGTTTGCTTTGTTGTGTGCATGCCAATTCATTGACTATTGCATGTTGAACAATGACCCTCTCCTAGTGGAATATGGCTCTCGAAAATTTGGCATACTTATGAGTGACGTACAGGGAATGACCTACGTACATATGTTTCAGCAATATGCACATCGGCTGGCCATGGGTATTGTAGTTTACCAAGGGTCTTCCCGACCGGCAAGTTCCATGTTGCATAGATCATCGATGGCTTCTCTAAAACTCCTGATTCAACTTGCTTCTCCGACAGGCTGGACGTGCATCTAGGCATGTATACATCTCTGGTTCTAGCCGAATCAGACACACAGATTCAGGTTTGGACGCGCAGGGAGGTAAAGCAAAACTTTTGTTTGTCAACGCCTTCCAATCTCATTGTTTAGAAGCTACCTACAGTTGCACAAATGCGCCGACTCTGACTGTCTCATCAGATCCATGCAATGCCATTTCACCAGCTTCAAGGTGACCTCGCCACCCCTTCTAGGAAATAATTCCAATATCATCATCACCTCGCCCAAGGTGTCAGGTCAGTCAAGCCCCCGTGCCTGGCACGAACAATATGCCAATATTTTATCGAATCATGGGCGTCCGTCGCTCCTCTTTCTGGGTATGGGTTTCGTATTCATAGTCGTTATTTCGCTTTGTAAGTCCATCAAACAGCTGCCTCATTTGAGACCAGGGGCTAGTCCAGGAACCGCGCTGAGACGCTCATCGCGCTCAGTCTTGAAAAGGATCTGACACCAAAACTCTTTGTTATCATCGTCGAACCAGGTCCAGAATTTCCCCTCTCTCCTGTCGACCTCCCGAGCCTGCAGCTTGACGGCAACCGTTTCATACGGCTCGCCAGCGAAGATGAGATATTGGTAGTTTGTGTCGGCGTCCTCCACTTTCTGTTCGTAAGCGCTCATGAAGCGTACCCGCGGTACAGTCCCCGGTGCAATATCTGGAAACTGGAATTGGAACAATATGCCATTCTGACGTGTCGCTGGATCACGAACTTTGGTGATTCGGTAGCCTGGCCGGCCGATCCTGATCACGTTCTTCTTTACCTGCACACCCGCCAGCAACCCTTGCTGGCCAGCATCATCTTTCTTGCCCTCCCGTTGTTCTTTTGCAGCACGTCTTGCAAGGTTGGTTTGATGCTTTCTACCTTGAGTGTGCGCGAGGTACGAGCCATCGTTCTGATGCACAGTGAGACAAAGACGGCATTCGAAGCTTCCGACGTGGTTCTTGAAAAAGTATGGATCTTTATCGAGATCAATCGTTTCGAGCGCAAGTTTACGGAGACGTTCGCGGCGGTCTGCGTTAGTTGCAGACGAGGATGCGACACCTCCTCCGCCGAATTTGGAACCTGCGCGATTCTTTAAGAGTTAGTGGGTTGCTTAGTAGAGTCATTGAGTTGGTATTACCTGATAATCCATTTGTCCCTGACTAGTTTTGTCCGGTGAGATTTAAAAGCTTTTGAAGCTGCGTATATGCAAAGTTGATGTAGGGTGGCAGCGTGGTTTGGAAGTCGCGCAAATGGCTGACATCTACCTAGGTAGATATGCCAAGACTTACTTATGTAATATCAGCACGTGATATTAGGCTACCGACATCCCTTTCACCATAGGTACACATAAATCTCCTCGCAGTACATCAACTGGAGGAAAAGTAGATAAGGCATAGCTTATGTTCTCCGGTAATATTTACTAGCCTTACTACTACCTCCCAAAGAGCTCCGCAGTGAACACGAGAGGAGCTGAGACCCTTTCCTGAAATCCGAAATGGCAACTCAATATTATTTGGGGAAACGACTGTCTTATGATGGTCAGTTGTGTACAGTCCGATATATCGGTGAAGTTCAAGGCACAAATGGCGAATGGCTTGGTGTAGAATGGGATGACCCAAAGCGAGGAAAACATTCTGGTGATCACGGAGGCATCAGATATTTTGAATGTAAACTTATAAAGCCCAAAGAGAAGAGACCAACCCAGTGGCAATGTCAACTAACCATTCATAGGCCTCAGAAAGAATGCAACAGCCGCATCTTTCATAAGACCCACTCGGAAAACCGATACTCCCCGCTCTTTTGTGGAGGCTTTGAAGGCGAAATACGCATCAGAGGATTTCGAGGACCCAGATGTAAAGATCGTCTTCACTACACAACCAGGTGGCAATGCCAGACACAGACCAAGTCAACTAAACAAGCCGAAATCAAGCATTCGGATCAGTGGTAAAGAGGTCGAAGAAGTGGGGTTTGACAAGATCCGCAAGCAACTCGCAGCTTTGAGTGAGCTCAAGATCATCATTCTCGACGGGTTTTGTATGGAAAGGCCGATTGCGAGACGTAAAAGCGGAGTAGACTCCTGGCCGGTCGGGTTGTTTGATATCAAAGAGGCTTCACCCAAGGCAATCGAACTAGATTTGAGCAGAAATCTGTTTGAGGAGTGGAGAGAAATAGCCTCCATCTGCGAACAGCTGGAGAACTTAAAGAGCCTCAGGGTTGAGTGAGTAAAACCCCGTCGAATTTTCCATTCTATAGTGAGGAAAGTTCTAATAGCTTCTCCGTTAGTGGCACCCGCTTCCGTGACACAACGCTCACTGCTTCCGAAGTGACTCGATGCCACGCTGCATTCGCCAATATCAAACATCTCAAACTCGAAGATACACTTTTGTCCTGGGAAAGCATTACCCGAATTTCCAATCTGTTTTCAGGCCTCGTCACCCTAGTTGCCTCCTCCAATCTTTTCGCAAACTTGCCCACTATGCATGCCCCCAATTCCATGATCACCGACCTAAGTCTTGAAGACAATATATTCACCAATCTCTCATCTCTCGGGCCACTTGTGTCACTGCCCAATCTACGTCGCCTCAGTCTCAAATCCAACAAAATATCCTCCATTAAATCGAGCGGATCACAACTCACTCCGGTTTTTTCACAATCCGTCGCTGATCTTGACCTCTCCTACAACGAAATTGATAGATGGTCCTTCGTCGACGGTCTTCAGCACACATTTCCAGGCCTCAATTCCCTCCGTATATCACACAACCCATTGTTTACTTCGCTTAGAGCCCCTGACGGCAAGGCGATGACCGCAGATGATGGCTACGTACTCGTCCTGGCCCGACTCAAGGGAATAGAGACGCTCAATTTCAGCAAGGTGCTGCCTAAAGAGAGGTTGGACGCCGAGTCGTACTACCTTTCCCTCGTAGCCAAGGAAGTGTCGTTTGCGCCAGATGCAGACGAAGAGAAGATCTTGCGAACACATCCGAGATGGAAAGAGCTATGCGAAGAGTATGGCGAACCACTTATCCAGAGGTCATCGAATCAGGTCAATCCCAACTCCTTGGCGGCTAGGCTTATGCAGCTGGAATTGTATCAGCCAGCAGGTAAGAGAGTGAAGGTGGAGATACCAAAGAGCGCCACTGCGTACACATTGTTGGGCGTTGTATGCAGAACTTTTCAGGTCAAGCCCAGAATGTGTAGGATGGTGTGGGAAACTGACGAGTGGATTCCGACAACAAGAGATGAAATGTTTGATGACGACGAGGCTTCTAATAGCGAGGTAGACACAAGGGACATAGAGAATGTACCGTCGTGCAGGATCAGTAGGGAAGTAATCATCATACCTGGAACCAAAGGGATAGGAACATGGATAGAGGGCAACAAGGCTGTTGTCCGCATCGAAACCAGATGAGCAGTACATCAAGTAAAATTTTTTTTTATCGATTTGGTTGCCAGCAATTCTTCGATTCCAAGGGTATTCGCTAATAATCACAAAACCTCCATAGCATGCATGAACATGAATGTCTCCTCATCTGTCCTCTCTGTCCGGTTTTCGTCTTTGCCTGGTACTCTTCTTCCCAGCTGCGACTGCTTCGTCCTCTTCCTCATCTCTGCCTTTCCCAAGTTGCCCGTCCAAGCCCCATTCTTCCTCATCGTACCAATCTTCCCCATCACTCATTTCCCCAATGTGTGCTTCTGCTTTGCTCCATTTAAAAACGTCTTGTCTCATACGTTCCCCATGCATCATACCATGAGAAAGATCCGCTGCCATCCTTGCGATTTCCTCTTGTTTCTGTACATAGGCCATTAACAAAATCCGCGTTTCTTCAGCTTCTGTTGGTGGCAACCCAAAATCTTTATCCGGGAGTGACGAGACTGGGAATGTGAAGAGCGGATGGATTCCATTTGTGAAACTTGCTGGTGTAGCTGGAGGAGAAGGGGACGAAGCAGCATGGGCTCGGGCACGCGTTGTCATTCTATGCGCTGTCTGCTGGGAAGCTGTGTCAGACATATCATCACCAAGTGGAGATTGAGCCGCATCGCCATTCGTTTGCGCCTTTTCCACGCCAGTATTGCCTGTTATGCCGTTTGTTTTAGGCTCAGCAGCATCTTGTACGTCCGCTTCATGATTGTTGCCAGAGGTGTTGCCGTCGATCTGCGCAACGTCCTCCATATGTACATCCTTGTCAGTGAGCATGTGTTGCGTCGGTGCTTTGGGTTGCTCGTATGGTCTGGAAGCCTGAGCGCCATCGCCGTTCAGTTCCTGCGCATGGGAGCGACTAGCCCAAAATTCTCCGAGGGGCTCGCGGGCCATTGCTGCCAGTGCATGAGGCGCGAAATCGGAATCGCCTTGGAGTCTGTTAGACAAAGTCTTTGCATGCCACAGCGCTATCTGCTCCTTCCGGGAGACGAATGCTGCTTCCTTGGACAGGTTGGTCAGGTGTTTGGAGGTGTAGGCTACGCTGTACGAGGGGTGATTTGGTAGATCGGCTGGAGAAGTCAGAGGTGCCAACAGAGCTACAGAATGTGATTAGCGCTTTCGTCATAGGAAAATCACAACACCCATTATCTGCATACCCTCTAGTTGTATGTCGGCATAAGGGTTCTCTTCGATGGTGGATAAGTCATCTTCCTCTTCGTACTCATCGGCAGCCTCAATGATGTCACCGTCAGGATCGAAGCGCGGAGGGTTGCGCTGTAATATATATCTTCGGTAGCCGGCGTGCTCGATCCTCTACAGCAGTAACATGTCAGCGAGTGGTAGGTAGCAGGAGATTGAATGGAGGAGAGCAGGAATCAGCAGCAACCAAGAAGCGGTTAAGAACGGACCTTTTTATACGGTTGCGGGTTGGATAGAGACTCCAAGTCGCCAGATCGAGTGTAGTGTGCCTTGCGCTTCAGGCTCTGCTTTTGGCTACCATGGAGTTTCTCGGTGTCATCGGAGTCGGAAGCTGGTGTTGGTCAGTCGCGATGCGCGGCGCGGGAGAAAGAGCGGGGATTGCGCCTACAATCGTCGTTGCGCAGGATTCTCCGCTTCATGGAGAAGATGGTATCGAGGATTTGCTGCTGCTGGCCCGCCATAGTGAAGGCGCAAGACTGGAGGGGAATGGGGTTATAGGCAGCGGGCGGGACAGGCGGTGGTGGAGGTGGTTAGTGGTGCAGTCAGTCACTTGCTACGCGATGGATGGAGGAAAAGCGGAAGACCCGTGCACCGGCTTTATGGACGGACATGGACATACAATTAGTCGTAGAGCTACCTCAGTACTGCACCTATACCTTCACACCCACACGCACACACATAGCATGCATCCAGTAGATGCGGCAAAAATCGACGGGAAACTCTCTACAGCCCATCTATACAAATACTGAGATAGTCCTATGGGGCGATAAGCATCCGCTTCGTGGCTTCAGATACCTACCACCCAAAAAGCCCCCGCCAAAGCGCGCTGGCCGATTCGCAAACACCACCAACCCGGCAGGCTCATGCTCATGGATAGGCACCGGTAGTCGCCATGGATGCGTACCCCCCCGAATATGTCCACCACAGCCTGCCTTTCGTGGTTCTGTCTGGCCTAGGAAGTCGCCCCGAGCTTGACCCCCCTACGCCGGTTCACGACATCTTGCCCGGACGAGCTGCCGTTAAATTGAGCTCTGACGCGCCTCTTGTTACCGACGATCGTGCCGGTCCGCTGTTGGATCACCTCTTAGCCTATGATGCTACCGCCACAACGCGCAGCGGGGGAAGCCCGTTTGATGCCAGTACGAGCTTCAGGATGCGCGCAACAGGGAGGGTAGGTCAGGCACACCCTTTGCCCTCCATGTAACATGGTTCATGTGGAGGCTATCCATCCAGACAGAAGTCATGTGCTCATCAAGTTACCCAGAACTTCCAATTGCCTCCAAAGAAGGCCGATGCCCCTTCAATCTCAAATTCAGACACCACCCCACCCAGCAGTCCTACCATAGCCGCCCCAACATCTTGGATCTTACACTCTCCCATTTCCCCGCTCTCTCCATGCTCGTCGTTGTATCCCGATGGTGCCATGTCGGCTTCATGGATTGCCAAACATCAGGACTATGTGCCTTCCGTCTTTCTGGCCTTCTTTGACTTCACCACCGATCCCATTACCAACAGTCTACATGACAACCAACTTAAAACCGAGATCAACACGATCAAGACCCAATTACATAGATCCGAGTACCGTATTAGGCTTGCCGTCGTGCTTCTTAGCAACAAGTCTATCGCCGAGTCGCCAGACATTGACGAACGATTGAACATCGTTAGGCGTGGGACAGGGCTTGATCCCAAGACACAGATTTTCTTCTTGCCTCCTACATCCTCAGCTGAATTGCATTCTTTTGCGTCGTCCCTCTTGAATACTCTAAGACCGATCACCATAGAATATTATCGCGACTTAACGAAGCATTCTCGGAGAAAAAAAGGCCGAGGTAGCATTCCTTCACCGACCGCTCCACCAACAAGGGGCACATCCCAGACATTATCCCATCCAGGCTGGAACATCCGCTACGATTTCAAACTCGGTATATTTGCAGAATTCCGCCAGGAAATGGATGCAGCGCAGAGGCACTACAATATCGCTTTGGATGCTCTTTTCGGACCTGAAGGTATATTCGAAACCACAGCAAGCTGGTCGCCAAGGTGGGATGAGATCCGCTTGCTCGCTGATGCTATTGCGTTGCGGCACATCAGATGCCAACTTTGCAACAATTATCCTACTTCGGCAACGCAGACATGGCTACGATACAAAGCGAAACTCAGAGACGTGTTAGATCGACGTGGTAAGGGCACATCAAACTACGGGTGGGAGGCTTGGGAGTCGAATTGGGCTGAGGTTATGGCTCAGCTGTTACAACAATCTGATCTCGGTGTTTTTCGAATCACTGCACCTCTTCCACAGACCGCTTTGTTGCCAGCTGTCGAGATGAACGTAGTCTTTGCGCCACCCGAAAAACAGATTCCAGTGGGCGAACGATTACTTCCATGGGAGCAGCTTCACCATGCTGGGTACTGGTACAAGTTAGCCGCCGATCACGCAAAAAAAAGATATCTGCTGGCAAGAGATATGCCCGAGGAGGATCGTACACCACCCGGAATGTCCCCCGCAGCCAAGGTATCAAACAGGAACCAAACTTATGATGTTTATCTTGTGCCTGAACCTCACATTGAATATCCCATTGCCGGGATATCTGGCGGCTTTGAACATTGGAAGAACATCGTCGCGAAATTGAATTCTGCTGTACAAGAATATAATCTACGCGACCAATCCCGCAGGGTCGAGCAACTACAACTAGAGATCGCTAGGACGTTGCTCCATGTCAAACAGTTCGACAATGCCTTTGCTGTACTCCGTCCACTTTGGGAAACCATGAGCTGGAGAAGAGAAGGGTGGTGGAGCCTTGCTTCAGAAGTGCTTTGGGGACTTCACGAATGCGCCTTGCGTGTTCGCCATGCTGAGACCTATGTCGCTACTGAATGGGAGCTTTACTCCAAATGTAAGACAACTCCAATCGTTTCAGATTTTTCTAACTAATCGATAAGCATTCTACGGCAAACCCAAGTATAGGCATGACCTAATGTCATGTTTGGACGGATTCCCCCAATCAGATGCGTCCGACGACAAGCTTCGTATTACATTGGAATCTGCTGATTATGCATCTTGCCGTAAGGTTCTCCCTTGTCCCTAATAATTAATATGAGCTTTGTCTAACGATCCAGTGTCTGTTACATTCACGTTCGGAAAGCCTGAAGGCAACGTTGGTGAATCTATGCATTCGCAAATAGTCGTCACATCTACGGCTAGGCAGGGTTCCCTCCCAATCACTCTCTCTGGGGTAGACGTCCAATTCAAAGGCGGCTTGAGTAAAGTACAGTTGAGACATAATGCACACGATACGGCAGAGGCCAGTACGCACACGCAGCTTTATGAGTGCGTGTTCGAAGAGCGAGCTGCCACAGATACTCTTAGCGGAAAATCGGAATGGTCCGGACAAGCCGATTTGGAAATACATCCTGGACAAATCAAAGCCTACAGCTTCCCCATTGTATTCCGCGAAGCAGGCGAGGTGGAAGTGGTCTCTAGCTCTGTTGGTGTAGAGACTGATCATTTCAATCTTACGTATACTACCAAAGATGTCCATCTCCAACCAGAGACGATGGCAGTTTGGTGGCAAAAATCGGGCACCACCGTCAGATCAAAAAACCTAAACCGAACCAATGGCATAACGACGAAGGTGCTCCCCAAGCCTCCAAAAATGGAGATTCGGCTAAGTAATGTCCGAGAGCATTACTATACCGATGAGTCGATCACGCTGGCCATGGAAATATGGAACAAAGAAGAAGAGGATACTGAAGCTGTCCTGGAAGTCAGGCTCCTCGGGCGATCCAAAGATACATTAGGCTATGCCTGGATTCGTGATGCCAAATCACCTATGAAGGAGACACCCCCGCCATTGGATAACGACACAGGCCTTCCTGGACACGTTGTTGGCAAACTCACAAAGAACGAGAAGACAGTCGAAAGGATACAGTTTACTGCGCCCTCGGAACCAGCTGACTACGCATTAGAGGTCAAGGTGCTATACCATGTTCTGAGTGACCGAGACATACCCATCTCAAAGACGCTAATCGCCGATCTTGTCTTCATAGCTCCTTTCGAAACCAGCTATGAGCTCACACCACGCGTTCACCATGAACCCTGGCCAAGTTACTTCGAACTCGAAGAAGCGGAAGCAGAGCACAATTCCGAATCTACCGATGCATTTGGAATAGCTCAAAAATGGCGTCTCAAAGCCAAAGTAGCTTCCTTTGCAGAAGAACCACTTGTACTCAAAGGCCTTGCTGTTGAGATCCGAGCGGTTCATGGAGGTGCCATCTGTGAATTATCGAGTGAATTTGAGAAAACAGAAATCACGATGGACCCTCAAAAGATACATGACTGGCTTTTCTGTATTGACTGTCGTAAGATGGACCTTGAAGAGCGGAGACCAACTGGAATTGACACCAGTCTCAACATTGTATGGCAAAGGCTCGACGACGAAAGCAATTCGTCTGTTCAGACCAGCATACCCATCCCACGGATTCATATCCCTTCCAGTGAACCCCGTGTTCTAGCGACTGCCACCAAGTCCACTTCGACTAAAGACGTGATTTACGTGGACTATACGCTCGAGAATCCGACCATGCATTTCTTGACGTTCGAGCTGAGCATGGAAGCTAGCGAGGAGTTTGGGTTCAGCGGAGTCAAGTTGAGGACGTTACAGCTGTTGCCAATGAGTAGGCAAACAGTTAGATACACAATCATCCCCGCGATCAAGGGCGCGTGGATCACGCCGCAATTGAGGGTGACAGATCGATATTTCAACAAGACGTTGAAAGTACAGGCTACGGATGGGCTCAAGTTGGAAAAGAAAGGTGTAAGTATATGGGTGCCTGATGAGGATGGAAGAGAGCCTACCGATTATGCGCGGTGACCAACAGGGTTCTTCCTCAATCGTGTTTAGTCTTACTTATTGTCAAGTGCCAGTGAGCCCCCCCCCCATTGTGATGGTCCCATGGAATTTACAGGGCGTGATTACTGTGTGGTGTCTGCTATGATTCGTGTTGGAGGTCGATTATGGACTGAAGATGCAAGATGTCGGCGCCTCGGAGCTTTCTGGCTTGGCAGCTGGAGAGTTTCGGAACAGTCGCGCTACAATGAGAACGTCATCACAACTTCAATACCTAGATGATATACATCCTTCGGCGCACATCAAGGCTCCCAGCAACATGAGCAGCGTTGCGTTACTCCACTTTGCATAGTACGTGAAACACTGAGGGTGCGGCAATGTCAGATGGCTCGAAGTCGCGCTCGTCTTCTTCCTGTAAGTTTTGTGTGCCTACAGCAGAGAGAAATCCACCATGTCGACTGGACGGAGAGGGCGTATAGTGTGCTAAAGGTTCAGCAGACCATTTTTTTGCCGGTCTAAGCTCTGGCATTCTCTCAGCCGTGCTTCTTCAACCCGCCGATCTCCTGAAAACTCGAGTCCAACAATCGCACCAAAATACTTTGCTCACTACCATCAAAACCATTGCCAACGGGCCAAGCCCAGTGCGCCAATTCTGGAGGGGGACTCTGCCTAGCACACTGCGCACTGGGTGTGGATCTGCGATATATTTTTCGGGGCTCAATGCTCTACGACGGCGGGCGGAGGTGGTGAGCCAACGAGCTTCTGGGACCACAAGGCAGCTGGGAGATGGGCATTCAAGCACTTTGCCCAAGTTGAGCAACACGGCAAACTTGGCGACGGGAGCCATTGCACGCACGTGGGCAGGGTTCATTATGATGCCGATTACGGTGCTCAAGGTACGGTACGAGAGCAATCTCTATTCGTACTCATCTTTACTTTCGGCAACCCGGGACATCTTTCGCGTCGAAGGTGCTCGGGGCTTCTTTGCGGGGTTTGGCGCGACTGCCGTTCGCGATGCGCCCTATGCAGGGCTTTATGTGCTTTTCTACGAGCAGTCGAAGAAGCGGCTATCCAATGTTGCTACCAAGATCGAGGAGAACTCTGGGGCCGTTCAAGCGGTACTCTCGTCCAGCACTTCTGTGGGCATCAACTTTAGCTCGGGCGTGGCAGCGGCCGGCTTGGCGACCACGGTTACCAACCCGTTCGATGCCATCAAAACGAGGATACAGCTGATGCCGGACCGTTATTCGAACATGATGCAGGCGGCGAAGAAGATGGTGGCCGAGGATGGGACCAAGAGCTTCTTCGATGGGCTGGGGATCAGAATAGCCAGAAAGGCCATCAGCTCGGCAATGGCTTGGACCGTGTATGAAGAGCTATTGAGGAGGGCGGAGAGCCTACGGGAAGAAAGCATGGAGCATCGCGTGTGAAGAGGGAGTTGTGCAATGGGCATTGTACTGAGGTCTTGTTTTCACCTGTCTTTCCCGCCCCTTGTTGTATATTATTGCGGATGATGTTTGCATGTATATGTATAATGTACGTATGTATCCTTGATTGACGGCAAAAAGGACATTTGACGCCATGGCAAGCAGCAAGCATCAAGCAGGCAGGCAGGTAAAGCAAGCATTACGCAAGCCGGCATGAAGCCGAGTGTGGCATGCTGGCTGGGTACACGGGTTGGGTGGTGGTTGGGCAGAAAGCATCACCTGGGAAGAAGGGGATTTCCCTGTTGGCGATGGCGCCATGACGTAGCCCCGCCCCTCGGGCTCCCCCGCTGTGCCCTCTCTCCCTTCTCTCCCACTTTGCTCACCGGTAGCAGCAGCAACACCAGCGGGTTGCTCAGCCCTCACGCCACACTCTCACACTCACACAGCAATACTCACAGCACTCAACTGTACATTGGCCCTGACCTTGCCGGCTTACATCTCCGTTTGCTGGTCTGCTGCCTCTCTTTCTCTCTCCCAGTCACCAACACCCTACTCATTTACCTACACACACACACACACACACACACACACCGAGTGCATTGCACACTACTCAGCCATCCGCCTCTCTGCTCCCCACTCCGCTTCAACCACCTTGGACCACCCTTCCTTGCCCACAGCCTGCCAGCCTTTACATAAAGCCAGCCCAGAGACCCCGCGCCGCACCACCACCCACCCCTCCGTCGCCTTGTCTTCTCACTTTGCCTGCCTTCCTCTTGTACCTACATATACCATACATACTGTCCCTAGTTTAGCTTGCCCACTATACATACAGTACTGTACCCATCCTCCACTAGCTTACCCTTCTTTCTCCAGGCACCGGTACGCTACAAGCCCCTCCTCTCTCTTCCTTCAGCCCTTCTATCCCGCTTGCTAATTCTCCTCTCCCCTTCGCTAGTTGCCCACCCTTTTGGAATGTCCGAGTATAGCTACGACGACCGCCCGCGGCGCCATCGCTCCACCAGGGAACGAGACCGAGAGCCCGAGTATGTGACAGAGACGACATATATCGAGCGAGGTGGCCGTGGCGGAGGCGTCCGTGACCTGGTCTATCGCCCTGCCCGTGAAGACAGCATCGAGGACATCCCGCGCGACTTCCCCCCTCCAGGCGCCGAGTACCGTCAGACCAAATACCGGGAGACGTACGAGCCCAGGCGCACTCGCTCAGCCCATCGTGACTACGACTATGACGATTACTCTCGTCACGATCGTGGACGTCGCGCACGTGACGATGACTACTACGACGATGACTATTATTCGGAGCGTCCCAAGCCTCAGCGTCGCAAGTCCATTGTCGACAATATCAAGGAGATTGGCGAAGCTGCCGGCCTCGGAGGTGTCATAGGCGCCGTGACAGGTCGCTCTCGCTCCCGGTCGCGACCCTCTCGCAGGCACCGTGACTATGACAGCGACCGAGATTACTATGGTTATGATGACCGCCGCAGCCGCCGCTACAGCTCAGGCTCCCGTAGTCCCAGTCGTCGAGGAGGCCACAAGAACTCTGATAAGAAGTGGGAGCAAGCCGCAAAAGCTGCCATAGTAGCCGGCGCCGTCGAAGCCTTTCGCAGTCGCAAAGCCCCAGGGCCTTGGACCGGCGAGAAGGGTCAGCGCATCGCGACTGCTGCCATTGGAGCCGCTGGTATCGACAGTCTAGTGGACAAAGATCCCGACAAGCACGGCAAGCGCCACGTCGCCGAGTCAGCTATAGGAGGTCTTCTCGCAAATCGTGTCGCCAACGGTCCACGCTCCCAGTCTCGCGGCCGTCACGGCTCTAGGTCTCCTTCTCGTTCTCGTTCCCGCTCTCGATCCAGGTCCATTTTCGGCCGCTCTCGATCCCGTGGTCGTGCCGCTTCTCGCGATCGTGGTGAAGGTGGCGAAAACACCCTGGCCAAGGTTGCTGGTGGTGGCGCCGTTCTTGCCGCAGGCAAAGCTCTCTACGACCGAGTACGCTCGAAGTCTCGTTCTAGGAAAGAACGTTCTCGCAGCTCCAGTGCAGACAGCTATGATCCACCTTCTCGGAATCGCCGTGGTCGCGGCAATTACGACAGAGGCCGCAGTATGGACGACACCTATTCTGGGGCTCAAGGAGCTAATTCAGATCGCAGACTAGCCGCCGCAACAGGTGGTGGTGCCCTGGCTGCATCTCGGGGAAGGGATCACAGCTCTAGCTCTACATCTACAACAGATATTGAACAAAAGCGGAAAAAATTGAGAGGTAAGGAACTCCTGACTGCTGGTTTAGCCACGGTGGCCACGATTCATGCAGCACATGGCGTGTACTCGTCCATGGTAGCTTCTGAAAACCGACGTAAAATGGTCGCAGAAGGCGAAATGTCGGCCGAAGAAGCTCGCAAACGCAAGTCAAAGAACATGCTTCAAGATGCGGCGGCTGTTGGGATTGCTGCGCTCGGCATAAAGTCTGCCTTCTCAGAGTGGAAGGAGATGAATGAGCAGAGGCATAGCGTGCACGAGCTCGAACAACGCCGCCGCAAGAGAAGGAAGGCCAGGGAACGCATGGAGAGGGAGGCTCGGCAGAATGCCCTCAACGGTTCGAACGGTCCAGCTAATGCGTATGCCTATCCTGTAGCTGCCAACCCTTACCCAACCACCTACGCCGATGCGAACCCCTACGGCGCGGTTCCTCCGCCCCCTATCGGCGCACCCCCAAGTGCACGCTATTGATGGTGCCCAATCCTTAGACTGTTGGCTTTGTTTTTTCCCTCCATCTCCATATTTTTCTTCTCCTTGTGTAGGGTTTATGTAATGTTAGCCGATGAATTTTCTATTCGGTATGGCGAGCTTGTCGAGTCTTACACTGTGTTGTTCTTTCTTTCTCTTTTTTCACGCTGTAGCTCAGTCCATTCCTCGAGTCACGCCGGTCCGGCCTGGTCAGCTTGATGAATTCGGTTTACAGTCATGTTATTGTTTTTTGTTTTTCATAATTTTCACTGGTTGTTCACGGCCGCTTATACGACGGGTGCACGACCGCTATGATACATGTGTTTGACGGGTATAGCACCTGGGTCGATGATGAGAGCATTCGTCTTTTGGCTTCGGTTCTTTTCTTTCCCTAAGCGTGTTAACGAACATGATGACGTGAAACGACACTACATAGAATCACATTCAATCAAGAGTTTTGCTATTGTTTTTATTACTTCATTTATTGTGAATGGTCATCCACTGAGTGGGCTCTTCGTTACTACATCCAGCGCCTCGCTCTCTGCGTTCTCGTTCCTTCACGATTTTGCTCGCGGTTTTAGACGGCACGACCCCGAACACCCCTGATGTTGTAACGGCCGTCGATGAACTATTCTGGGTATCAAGACAAAGCAAGCCACCAATACAACCAAGAAGCGAAAGCCGTCTCTTACTCTCACCCACTTCCAGTGAAGCAAACAACCAGAATGTGATCATTCCACATTCTGCCTTGTTTTTTAGCACATCTTCCCAAGTTGCTCATGCATCTACTTCTTCAAAGCAGAGATAATCTCCTCAATTCCATGCCTTACCGCCGCGCACCCAAAGCGGACGTCCTCATCCTCCCTCAACATGCCAATCAGCAGGCGCTCAACCTCTCTGCCCATCAGGAGGCCCATTTCATCGCCAAAGCCTTCTGGCAACTCTCCCAGCCTAAGCTTGGACAAGGCATCGATACGCTCCATGCGCGTGTCGAAATGTCGGAGCATCTCAAAAGTGACGACACCCAGCGAGAAGACATCCAGCTTCTCGCTAGCTCTCATGCCTCCAGCAGGTGGACGGTAGAACTCCGTGCCTACAGGCTTGATACCAGCTGTGGTAGCGGTAGCGGCCGTAGTCGCATTGTTATCGGCAAGTGCGGTAACCAAGCCGAAATCGCCAATGCGAGGTGTGACGAGTAAGTAGTCTTTACCAGAGCACTGTCGACAACCATGCAATGCAACTGAGCCAGCGGGAGGAACTCGGTCGGTAGATAACGAAAGGAAAATATTGGCAGGTTTGAGATCGCGGTGAACTATTCCGCGTGCATGGAGGTATTCTACGCCAGCAAGTATACTGTTGACCAGTTCTAGCGAAATGCATGTGTGATAGCAGTGGGTAGGTGCAGGCGGCTCTAACGAGAGGAAGGTGCATAGGTTACTATCGTAAAGTGACATCTGTACGTTCAACGTAAGACTGGGGCCTGTGGTGAAACGGTTCGATGTTCGCGTTAGGAGATGCGTTGCCATGTCACTTCATCGAGTTAGAATCAACACATGGATTTGGGGGAGAGAATGCTGGTACCTGTTTGACATCATGCTAGACGATTCCTCCAGGCTTGGATGATCTATCCTGGATATCTCTTCGACATCCTCATCGTATGCCTCTTCATGACCATCTTGTTCGCCATTTCCATCTACAGTCTCGCCACCAGTATGAGACACAGTAGATGAGATGGTGGCCACTGTCGCCTCGCTAGCTCGCCTATTCTTACGCCTAGGGACACGTTTGCTAAGGAGGTCGTACTCTTCGGCGCCAGGCCCGGTGTTGCTGGCTTCGAAAACGATACCTGCATCTGAATATTGATCAGGCTCACCATATGTGTCCTTTTCAAAGGTCACAGCGTTGCTGCTGCTCGGGTATTCGGACGATGCGCCCTCAAGGAGATGAATCGGGCGTAGCAAACCGCCTGTATCGTCCGCTTTGTATTCGAGCCATGCATTGTGATAGCGTACGATATTGCCGTGCTCAAGACGCGCAAGAGATCTAACCTCTTCTAAGAGAGATTCTATCTCCTGGGCTCCTCGCTTGCTGATGTTGTGCATTCGCGTGTGGCTTACGGTAATCCTCTTGACGGCGTAGAATGAGTTGTCAAGATTGTGCTTCACCTTGTATACTTTTCCGTAGCCTCCTTTGCCTACCATTTCGATTTCAGAAAAGTCACGCTCATACCGATCAGTGTGAAGTCCATGTATCCCCTGCAGGAAGGATGGGATAGGCGTATGCAGACCAAGCATTTGATTCAGGTCACGTGAAACTACTGGCTGTGCTGCACTGGGAACATCGACGTTGATCCGTGGAACTAGTGCTCTAGAATCGCCAGCAATAGTATCAGCAGCCGCCATAGCATCAGCATCTGTAGCAAGGCCGGTCATCTGAGCTCGAGTAGCCCTATCAATACCCTCGAATGCGGTAGCTCGATGCTCTTGCATCTCGTCGCTGGCATATGTGTGATCGAGGACATGGGAAAAGCGCTGGCTAAGACCTTGATATGTGGTTTTTGCAATTTGGCGAACTGCTGGGTCAGCCGTGCTTTTTCCCAGACGCTCGGCAGTATCTCTCAGAGCTTTGTCTTCCAGGAGCGAATGCAAAATGAGATCGCGAAGTTGATCACTAGTGCCTGACCTTGTAAGTGGGCTGGATGCTGTCAACTGCGCTGGTTCTTCCAAGGGGAAGGCTGCTACAGATCGATCTGAATCCAAAGTGTTGATCCTGGAAAGCAGAGAATCCTCTGCAACAGGCGCGTTATCTTTGTGGTCTTCACCAGACTCATCTTCGCTAGAAGAGCTATCTCCTGGCTTTCGAAACATAGACATGACGACAAGTGGGACGGATGCCTTGGTACTCGAAGGACCGATTCAGATGGCAGCAGCAGCTCCTATCCTTAGAAGGCTATGAGCAAGACCTTCTTCTTGATATGAAGGGCTGGAACCGATGCGACCGATATGCCTAAGAAGCGGCTAGGTATGCGATGTTGTGCCCAACTCCAAGAGTGACCAAGACCAAGGTGGGTGAGAAGAGAAGTTTTTTTTGCCCCATTCAACCCGAGCGGATATGAAACGACAGTATTATACCAATCAAGTTCGTCGCTCGATTAGATACTTTCTTCGTTTCGAGGTGGTGGGAGGAGGGTGGGGTGCAGTGTTGCCTGGGCGGGCAGCTATAGAATGCTCGAGAAGGGGCACAGTGACTTCCAAGATCGAATTTCAAGATGTCACGTTGATTGCGATCCAATCCGACCAATCTTTGCTGCTTCCCAGACCCCACGAGATGGCTTGCGAAAGGAATGACTGCAGTCGAGAAGAAATCAAGATCAAGGTATCGCTGTGAGTTGTACCTGTGAGCGCAGGTAGACAGCGGAGGCAAAGATTTTGCAAAGGTAACTAATTCAAATACGTAAGTTTCAAATCAGGAAGGGGAAGAGAATAGAACGGGTTAGAAGAGCATGGCAGCATATTACAGTCATTCGCACCGTGGTATGGAGAGCGAAGTGAGCAGCCTCGTGACTGTACATGAAGAGCACACGCAACTGACTGGGTTGATAGTTATGGTAGGCAGGCAAGCGAACAGTCTAGTCCTAGTAAGGATTAGCCAAGGCATCGAAACACGTGCGCTGCTACCGAAACAACGTCAACTTCACCAGCATGGTCTTACTTCTTTTCATTTATGATGTCTCAAATGAGATGATCTAGTTGGCAACTGCGAATTGAATGACATCATGCAAGCTTCCACCCGCTCTCTCATCACCATCATAACTTGACGCTTTGGATCGTCCACCATGCCGCGACAACTACCGTGGGCCAATAAGGGAAACAAATCTAAGCCAACCCGACCACCAAAGCCAGCGCAGCCACAGGTCATTTCCCATTCCGACGATGATTTTGACGCTGGCTTGGAAAGAAATGATGTGCCTGAACGTGAGGGGTGGCTGCGCGCACCTTCCTCTTCACCACCGCCCGTCGCCGAACCTTCTCCGCCCGAGATAGAGGTCATGGACAGAGGGGTTAATAGATTTGACCTCCGTGATGACGAGTGGATCATGGTTGAAGATGAATTTCTGCAAACAGCCAAACTCTTTACCCGGCATCTCCATCTTGCAGAGTACGAGCGCATGAAGACTACCATCGGGCAAAAGCGAGGCAATATTTCTAGACCCACGGTCCAAGATGCTAGACCTTCTATAGAAGGCGAATTTAAACTGAGGGCCGAGGAGCAGCAAAAATCTCATGAGAAGGCCATCAAGAACGTTGATATGAGCCTGGTAAAGCCCACCTATGGATCCTTCAAGAAGCCAATTTCCACCAAACGGAACGCGAAAAATATAGGCGGGAGTTTGAGCGTACCCGCAGAAAACAATATGGATACATCAGATAGTGACGATCTCGACATCCCTAGAAAACGACCCTTCAATAAGAGGATTGTGCCCAATAGCAAGTCCGATCCGGATACGGTAAAGCCATCTCTCCCCGGTCCATCTTTCATGGATACGCGTGCATCGAACACAACAAAGTTCAATTTAGAAAAACCGAATCAAACCGATGCAACGAAACAAGCCGCAGTAAGACCTGAGATCAAAGAGCCGGTATTGACGCAAACAACGCGCACTAGCGAATGTAGGACTGGTGCTTCAATTTCCAAACGTACCGGCTCGAAAGAGGTGTCGGAGCGCCTCGCTAAACGCAAGGCGGAAAGAGAGAAGGAGGCCAAGAAGAAAGCGAAAGCAGATGAGGTTGAGATTCCTACGTTCATGTTTTGAGCTCAACAACAAAGCGTGTCACGATTGGTTTTCAGGAGCACAAGATCCAAAAATAGAACCCAGAGGAAAAGGGACGATGGTGGGAAGTCGCAAGATCGTGATCGGATTCTTGTTTTCAATACGATTGAGGAAAATCCTCAAAGATAGGACATTGAACTTCACTAGCCATCCCTCATTCGCTGTGTGTATTGTTGTGTATCATTGTATGCCCATATGTCCATCAGCTGCGATGTGTAAAATTCGCAATCGCAACCTAATCCATCCACATTGCTTGCTCAACCATCTAACCGAAAATCCTGTCCATGAGCCTATTGAATTTGTTTTCGTCTTTGACCTCAACAAAATTCCTCGTGTAAACCTCGATCTCCTCCAAATCCTCTTGCAAGTCGATCTCATGCGCCTTTTTGAACTTGGTCTTTTTGATCAACTTCCAGCCAACGAACAGAACAGGGAACAAGAAAATCATCATGTACCTACATGAGAAATTAGTTGAGAATGCAATGCAATAGCTGGGACTGTGTAAGGTGTGTGTAGCGTGATTGACTTACGAGAACAGGAAGTCAGGAACATTCCAATTGTCATCAAGGAACACGGTATATCCACCTACAAAGGCCATGATAAAAGTTCCAACCAGGCCATAGTATGCCGCATAAGGCTGGAGGAAGCCTCTGTATGGGAGTGTCCTTCGATCCAGCCCCTGTACATGGCATGCCTTATAGAAACGTAGAAAGGTGAAACACATGACGCTGAAGTTGATGAGCTGGGAAGCGGTGACCAGACTGACGAACCAGTCGAGCACCTTGGCAGAGTTCTCCCCAAGCTGGAGGAACGAAAGCATGGCGAAAACAAGGACAACGCCGACACAGTAGTACGGCACACCCTGTTTGCTACATTTGGTGAGAACCCTGGGTGCTTTACCCTCGAGAGCAAGACCAAAAAGTGAGCGGGATGCACAGTACACATATGAATTACCGGCGGAAAATGCCGAGGCAAGAACCATGGCGTTCACAATGTGAGGAAGTCCTTCGATCCGAAGTCGGTCCATTGCAATAACATAGGGGGAGGCGGCAGCTCCAGGCTTTCCTTCCTTGAAAGCTGCAATCATGGTGGGATCGTTGTACGGCACCTGCTCATAGTGAGTCCCAATTCTTGCAGGTCAGCACAGGGAGCTCACATTGATTCCGACGCAAAGGGCTCCGAGAACGAAAAAGCACGTCAACCGATAGAAGACGGCATTATAAGCTCGGGGCATAACCTTCCTCGGGTTCTCAGCCTCTCCGGCCGACATTGAGACATAGTCGGGTCCCGCAATCGTGAATGAGGCTTGAATAAGACACTGCAAAAAGCCCAGGAAACGGCCCGTATTGCCTGTGCGGTACAGTTCAGCAAAAGATCCCGGGTTGTTCCAATACCGGAAACCGTATCGGTCTTTGAGAGGATTGCCGCCTAACATGGAAATGAAGGTGAAAATGATCAGACCGATGATGAGCAAAACCTTGCCCAGGGCGGCCCAAAACTCAGTTTCGCCATACCATTTAACAGCAAGCATATTGATCAGACTGTGGTCAAGTTAGCAAGTGTTCAGCCCCATCTTGTGTGTCCGAGAAGCATGGATGGAACTTACGCATAGAGAAAAATGACGATGGCGACGATGGCGCCCACCGGTACAGCCGTACTCCAAAATGTTATGATGACGTTACAAGCAACAATCTCGAAGGGCACCAAGGCAGCTTCGAAGATGAAGAAGTTCCAGCCTGCAGCCACACCAAATGCCTGGACATGGTTAGTCGATTGCAAGACGTAAGGAGGGGAGGCGAGGAGGCGGGGTCCTTACGTCGTCAACATAACGGCCAGCGAAACGAATAAATGGCGACGAGATTGGGAGATATGAAACCATCTCGGCCATGCCTTGAGGGTGAGTTTAGTAAGATGGTTGCGCGTATGGGATCAGGGGAGGAATCGCTTTGGGCAGTGCTGACGGCCCATTTATTGGGCAGATGGTAGCATCACACATGGCCATGTCGCATTGGGAAGAGGGAGATCTCACATAGGGTGACGGCAAGAATGAAGGAACACCTAGGCCTTGTCAGAAGTGAAGATGAAGGGCGGACAGGAGGGACTCACCAGAGGGTAAAAGCAATGAAGAGGCTGGCCGGGCCGCCATTCATCAGACCTCGACCAATCTGCACGTAGAGAGCTGTGCCAATGGTTCCCCCGATTCCGATCAATTGGATGTGACGAGGTTTGAGCTTGCGGTGGGTGGAATCATACTGCTTCACAGAACCTACCACGGAGGCACGGCGAAAGTTTTGGTCATCGTCTCCCACCTCTGCATCGATGCGGGTGCTTTTCTCGACGTTGTAAGGTTGCTTGGAGCCGTACTCTACGGCAGTGGAAGCCATGCGAGCTGCCAGGATGGTGAATTGAGATGCAGGGATTTGAAGGGCAGGGCTCAGAATTGCACGGAAAACAGCATGTGCCAATGGTTCTCTGTGTACGAGCTGACGAGGAAGGGACAGGCAATGCAATTGATTGATTGATTGACTGACTGACTGATCGAGGGGAGAGGAAGGGAGGAGGAGAGAGATGGGTGCGATTGTAGAGCTAGCGCACAGGGCGCTGAGCAAAACATTGGGCCATGGATTGCAGCAAGGCGGGCAAGCAAGCAAACGGGCGAGAAACGCGGGATGGGATGGGATGAGGTGGGGTGGTGGCCAGGCGCCTTGGCGGAGCACGTCACATGTTTGGCATGGCCAGCACTCGAGAGTACGCACGCGGTTACTGCAGCACGTAGTACCTACACTACATACCCTCCCCTCTCCTCCTCTAGTCCCGATCGGGCATCTCCGCCCGCAGACCCTTCTTTCGCCGACAAACAGCCCCCATGCATCCATGATCCATCCCATCATCCCATCTCCAAGTCCGACCCGTCTTCTGTGCAAACCACCAACCACCCTCATCAGCAGGAGGCCATCAACGCCACCTAACGCTCTTGGCTACCCCGGCTCCAATGAGACACCGTGCCACCCATCTTGGCATATCTGGGCAAGCTGCTCGCCTGGGGCTTCGTGTCCTGGCACGGCTTGAATTCACTCCTCCACCACCACACCCGTCCTCCTCACCAGTAACAAACTCGGCACATTGCCAAAGGCCACGAGGGAAAACTTTCGTGAATCAAAATTATTAATTTGTGGAAAAGCAGTAAACGAGTGTCGGGAAGAAGTAGTCTAAAAAGTATAACAAAACAAGCACCACCCTACAACAGCATTACCCCCCCCCCCTCCAGCCATTCAATTGCCCATGTCACAATCCATTCTGGCCCAGGAAGCTCGTAATCACCTCAAAAGCCCCCGTCGCGTTCTTTGCAAAGTTGAGATGGTGACTCGCCCCAGGATGAATGCTGATCTGGAGTGGCTTCGCATTCTTGTAAATCTCTCTGGCAGGATGGTCCATGACCCCCTTGGTGGTCCCATCAGCCACGATATAGTCCAGCTCGCCCGTAATATGAAGCGCCGGCTTGTCCCATTTCTCCGCACTCACCGCCGCCGGCAACGCAAACGTCAGGAACTCCACAATCGAGTATGGCTGCTTGGCAGATTCCGTGTAAAGCGCCACATCTTCGTCAAAGTTGGGCGCCTTGAAGTAGTTCATGACGAGATCGTATACCGACGGCCATGTGAGGTATCCGGTGTTGCGATCGCCATATAGAGCCGGATTCTCGAGCGCGGCGATGCGCGGCACAAACGAGCGAAGCAAGCCTTTACCATTGATCCCAGTGCTGTTGAAGCCGATGCCAGTTAGAATCACAGCGTCGGCCATGTCGGGCGTTTCCGCCACGGCAGCGTGTGTAGTATAGGAGCCGAAGGAGAATCCAATGACGGCTACCTTCTCCGCCTTGATATTGCTTGTGTATTTTCCGGAGCGAACGAGGGAAGTAAGTTGTTGGAGAACGGTTTTGGCAGTGAAGACCGAAGCTTCGAACCCATCCAACCTGGTTATGGCCCTGTTAGTTGATCATCTCCATGTCGAAAGCTCGATTGTCTTGGAAACAGCTTCGATGAACGGAGGCATGAGCGGCAGACAGTTCGAGTACCGCTACTTACCTGGAAGACGCGCCACAGCCCAATCGATCATAAAAGAAGACGCTATATCCCTTGCTAAGAGAATGCTTGACAAAGTTGAAATCGTCGGGTCGGTAAGGACTATTCCAGTGCTCCCTTCCAGGTCCAATGCCGTGGGTCGCCACAATGACTGTCTTTTCCTTTCCATCTTTGGGCGCTCGGGGTGTGCAGAAGGTCGCGGCAATCTCATAAGACCCTCGGAACCTCTTCATATCGCCCAGGGCGGGTGGGTAGTTGGCGCGGTCGCTAGCTGACGCGCTGCTGAGAAAGTCTTGCAGCTGGTAGGCCGTGGTCCATCTGCTGGCGTTCCATTCTGGACCTTCGTAGTCGATGGAGATGGGCACGAAGAAGTCGGAACAGAGCCCGTTCGGAGGAAAGTAGGCCGACGCTCTAAACGGACATATCAGTATGGTCGCAGACTAGATAAAGTTGTTTTTTGCTTTTTTAGAAGGACGCACAGAGCATTCTGGCCTTTTCCAACGCATCCATCAGTACCCGTTCCATTTCCAACCCCCTCAGTTATGCCTGCGATTGCGAGCACACAGACGACCAATGTGCCGAGTTGCGAAGTAGGAGAGACCATGATTATTGTAAAATCGCCAAAAAACAATGTTAGGAGTATGTAAAAGGAGTGGCAAGTCCAATTGGATGGAACAAATATTATGGGAGGAGCTGCTGAAGTGGTTTTTCCTGATGCACTTCTCATCCATGAATTCACGACTGCTTTATATATGCATTCCTTGCATCAAGACCAGGTCCAAGGCTATCATTATATGTGGCTTACTCCCTACAGACAATGTAGAACAATTACTTGATCCGGTTAATCTTACAATATTCAGCTCCGCGCATGTATCGAGAACAGCAACGGTCATTGACTGTTTAGTGGTTTGATGTGAGACTCGTGTCTAATGTCAAGTCTGTGCGGAGTGAGAGCAGGCTCGGCCGTACATATCAACACTAGCAATACGGAACGCATCGATTATAACCTGATGGGAGAACATTGATGCCTGTACTGGAACAATTTCCATTTTAAGACTCAATTCGCGAGCCACCCTAATCTGAGGCTGAGGGTCGGTGCATGCTCAGTCAGCAACGAGAAACACACACTGTGGTCGGTCGACTGACTGATATATATCAGCAATACGTGTTGTCCCATGGTCCTTGGCCTATGTTTAGAGCTCGACTTTGAGCTGCGGAGACGCCTGAACAATTGTCAAAAACGTCTCCGTAGTTTCATCGAAGCATGTAAGATCTTGGACCATTGTGATTGAAGGTCTATAATACGATTTGGAGCATTACGCCGAGAACAAAATAATGTTACAGGTTACTCTAAGAAACACACAACAAATTCTCGCTGTAAACACATGTCGAAAGAAAACCAATGAAATATTCAATCCCTTTCCCGTATCATCGCCAGGATATCGCCCCTGACTGCGCTTGCGTGTATGTAGAAGATACTCGATCAGACTGACTCGCGGTTTGTGGTAATGCATTTATCATATCCTCCAACCAAACAGATCTAATGGGAGGGAATGATTCATAGGATTTCACTCTTTCGGACTGTGTTTGCTCGATAGCCTCCGGCGAATGATGGTCAAACACTATTGGCATAACAGGTCCTTCATACCCTTTCAAGTCTTCTAATTCCGGTGGATGAAGAATGGTTGTTTCTCTTCGGGGGTAGCCTTCTTCAGTCATGTAAGTTTTATCCGCTATAATCTTCGGGCCTACCTGCATAGGCCTGTGCGGAGTCAGCTCAGATGCAATCTGTTGTTTTCTGTTGATTTCCCATCTCTTTTCGACACCAGCAAGATGCGGGAAAGGGTCGCCCGACACTTCGATGAGCTTTCCGTTGGGGTCATGAACAAAGTGGCGAGCGGGTAAGATTTCGACATCGTGAACAGGCAAAATTCTGTGATAGACTTCATGGTTGTGTATCTCTCTGAAAATCCGTTCTTCGACAATTTCATGCTCTTTTGGCTTGACCACTTCATGCTGTACGGCTGTGGCAGTCGTTAGCTAAACCCTAAATGAACCAAATTGAAAGACACAGGCGAAGGGATTTGCACGTTCAAAGAAGCTTTGAAGCACAAACATACCGGGAGCTATCTCAACGCTTTTCTCGACATCTACACTATCCTTTAGATTGACAATTCCGTCAAGGTCTGCTAGATTGAAGTGCTTCGATACTTGCTCTTGTCCTCCCAAGACGCCGTGTGAATGTGATCTGACATTGCTATCGATGATAGGACTTCTAGCTTGTGATCTCACATCGTCCATGCTCTTTTCATGTTCTCCATTGAACGATGTTGTGTCACCCGACATAATAGGTCCATCTGGAATGTTCGTTTGCCGATCCCGTACATCTTTGACTGCGAGATCCTCTGGGTCATCGACTTTCTCGCGGGTTTCTTGAGGGATTGTCTCTTCCATTGCAACATTAGAAGGTATAGATTTCCTTTTGATGCGGTTTGTAGACATAGGGGACTCTTTAGTATGATCCTCGGTAGGATCGGAGTAGCAACTCGATGCCGAACTGGCAACATGATCCGATTCAGTCTGCAGGGAAAGATCGAGATTTGTACTGTCTAAAATTACTGTTAGCCTCGCATTGGAGTATGGCTGGACCACATGAGGTGTGTAGATTAGGAATTCAAGTTGAGGATGCTCTTCACTGACTGGACTGCTTTACGTACCAAAACTCGTATCGCCAACAGCGTCTTCACTTTGCACGTCGTCGGTCACTTGTGTAGCTTTAGTGGTGAAATTTCCGGTATCTTTATGTAGGGGTCCATTGGTCTCAGGTTCTATGGAACTAATTACAGGCAAATAAGCTTCGTAATTTTCGGCAACAAATGGATCGACACTGCCTGGCAGCACAGAGTGAGTCCCCGTGACATTTGAGCCTTCGCGCCGCTCGAGAGGGCTTTGAGTGAATTGTCTGGACTTTTCGTGATGATGTATGTCCTTCTGCTTTGAATCATCCTTCACTGTTGCGTGGTTTGTAGGCGCAGTAGAATTGGGCAAACTTGACCGCGTTTTTGTCCTTGGTGATGCCGCAGCAACCGCGTCAGTATGCCGCTGCTGTTTCGAACGTGCTTGCTGTGGCTGGCCATTTTTCTCGCGCCGAAGGACTTTGCGTATGAAGGATTTCAATGCTTCCCGCATCGGAGCATAAGAGAGTGAGACCTGGTTGCGTTCTAAGAGTCGTGTCCGAGGGCAATTGAAAATCAGAAAAAAAAAAACAATGTGTCCAAATCAATGGGTATCGACGAATTTGCAAATCGTCATAAGAACTGGGACGGATCGCGTTTGATTGGTATCGCGTACGACTGGCTTGAGCTTCACCAGGAGGCTTGCATATACACATACGTCAGAAGTCTGGACGCGACGCCAAAGATTAGCCCGAACCAGAAGGCAGATTCAGCCACAGATACAATCACGGTGACGAAAGGGAAAAAGATCAAGCCAGTCAACGGCGCACGTCGACACCGCGGACCTTCGCTCATACTTTTGGTTTCAATGTATTGAGTTCGCCTAGTTCCGGCACAGCAGGATGCTGACCCAGTCCATCCGGCGCCTGGAATCAGGTAAGGGTGTGCAAGAAGAATGGATTATGGCCTGCTGAGTTTGCGTTTAGGCGCAGCATTTGTCACGAAAGTCCAAAGGGATTGAGGTCGACAGCATCTGGCCACGGCGGCGTCTTGGGCATGACGCAGGTTGTTGGGCAGCCGCCACGTAGAGTGCATAGCGAAGACGGATAGCTCAGCTCTAGGAAGGAAAAAAGCAAAGTAGCAGCTGCGTAGTATCAAGTATGTAGGTGCTGATATGGAACTTAGCAAGAGACGGACGGAGTGCGTGGATCGGACCAGCTAAGTCACCGGCGGGATGACGACAAGGGCCACGCCAACCTTCCCCGCGGCATTGGTGACTACGGTGGAATGATCATCGCGATGTGGAACACGATGCGCTACAACGAACAAGTCCATGCGTTGGTTCACACGGCCCAGCCTGCGATAGGATTTAGAGATCCCGTACAGACGACTACACTTGTCATAATACATATTCTCCTCGCGCTAGCCGCATCTATTACGACATCCTAGCGCTGATCGGTTTCTTCGCGATGTGGACCTCCGCCTCTACCCTCTGGGACTATAGGCCCGAGTCGTGCTTCATCTGCTGTGAACGGTAAAGCCCGCACACCCGGGTTGGCGACTTCACGTCTCTTTGGATGAGACATCAGGAAGGCGTGGAGCTCGGGCTGATTGACGTGGAGCTGCAGCACACGAGGCAGGCCGTAGGCCAACCATCCGAGTTGAATGCATCTCATTCCATTTTGAACCCGTCGACAACTTCTTGTGGCTTCTTCTCTTACGTATGTACCTATCGTATTGTCTAGTGTGTACTTGATTTGCCTCGTCTCTCGAGGAGTATCGTATCCCACATGCAACAGCAGCAGCAGCGAATGACCCAATCGCCCCACTGGCTTCAGGCCGAGCATGCCATGGCACACTCCGATCAAATGGTGCGGAAACTAAAGTGGCTTTCCAGAGCGCAGTGCCTCCAAAGATCCTGTAGCCATTACGTCGTTGATACTTCCATTCCTGGTGCTGGTAATATTTGAGTCTATAAAAGGGACCCGAGCCAATCCCATTCCCCTCGAACAAACCCATACTTATCATTGCAATTCACCAACTCTCCAATACACTACAGCTTACGTTTCATTCTACAACACTACATCTCATCCTCCACACCACCACTACTACTACTACAATGGACAAAGCGAAGGCAGCCATCACTGACTTTATGGGCAAGGCGGGCCACCATGATACTACTGTCCACGAGACTGTCGCTCCTGCTGTCCAACATGAAGTCGTCAAGCCTCATGAACATGAAGAGATCTTGACTGCGGTCGACAAGGAGGTACACCAAGATCACTATCACCGCACTGTTCAGCCAGTCAAGGACCGTGAAGTGCTCCCGGAGCAGCACGAAGCCAGACTTGGAGGCGTGCAACACCGCGAATTCGACCACCGCGACATGGAAGCCACCAAGCGAAACTTGGCAACTGAGCAGGCTGGCTTCAAGGATGAACGTGTCATTGAGGAAACCACCAAAACGCAGACAGCGGCACCTACGATTGGCGGCGAGCATGTTCACCACGTACGTAATTTCTCGATGCTTTTGAAAACCATCCCTAATACTAACTTGTACAATAGCACATTCACGAAACTATTCAGCCTGTGGTCAACAAGGAGACTATTCAGCCTCATGTAACCCACACTACTGTTCCAATTCATGAAGTCCACCACAACGCTGCAACACACCATAGCTCGACCGCGCTCCCAGCCATGACCATGGAGGAGTTCAAGAAGAAGGGTGGCGCGCTCACTGGCCGTGAAGAACGATACGATGCCTTTGAGGGTGAGCCCAAGAACATTGGTGGAACTCTCGGTGATATGATGCATGGCAAGACTAGCAAACGTGATTCTGCACACGCAGGTATGATGCACAAGGAGAGCATGCATGGTGACTTTGATCCTATTGATGGCAAGGCCAACAAGGGGTATGTTGGAGGAGCCACTGCTGCGGTCGGGGCTGGGTCAGCTGGAGCTGGCAACCGGGTTCACGAGTCTGGCACTAGGAGCAGTAGCAACAGCAGCGCTGATGTCGAGACATCTCGAACTCACTCCAAGCAAGAGCCTGGTCTGTTGAGCAAGCTCAACCCCCTTAAGGACGCTGATGGTGATGGAAAAAAGGGAATAATGAACTAATTTGGCTATGTATGTCACCATAATATTTGGATTTGGGTAGTTTACGAGGTTACGATTTTTTCGGCGCAGCGCCGCGAGTTCCCATAGTATAATACAATCATCTGTTGTTTAGTTTGATTCGTTCAGGCAATGGTCCCATGGTATCTTTGCAGTCAGGGTATGTAGACAACAATTGCATTCCGATATTTTGCAAATGGACAACGAAGAACCATGCATTGATTATAAGTCTCTAACAGCAATGGGAAGCCAGTCCACAATCTCTTTATCCGTGGGTACTAATACCACTCTCCCCCCAACCCAACCACCCAGTTCACCATCCCCATCCAACCTCACGCCCAAGTCTCTCGCCAGCCCTCTCACAACTTCAAGTCTATCGTCATCAACTTTTGAAATTGCAGAACTGCCCAGGATAGGTAAGTACAAGTAAGCCTTGAGCGAAGTGAAATCACCTCTTGCCATGAATTGCAATCCGTCCAATCCGAGAAAAGAAAAGAAAACCTGGGTTCAGACTTACTACAGAAGCGATAGATGCGGCATGTACGTGTTCTTTGCCCAATCGGCTTTATCCCCCTCTTCCTTTTGCACGTTTTCCCTGGCCAACCTACCCAGTTCGGTAATGGCATCGTTTTTTTGAACCAGAGAATACAATTTGCGGAAAAAAACGTCTTCACTGCATAATTGGCCCAGTCGGACGACTACCTCTCGGCTGTTGAGGAGAGGAAGCGAGTCAAGCCATTCCTGAGGCGATGGCTCATATGTTCTGGGATCGATCTCCGACGTCAATGTGATGTGCGGAATGAACAAATGGGGCGAGTTGAAGTGCGAGGATGTCTGGCGGATGAGTTGGGTCAGAAGAGGAGTCAAAGGATGGGATTGAGGAGGCAGGAGCCAAAGCGATGATCCTGGCATTCTGTTCGTATCGTTGTTTCTTCACTGAGGTCCCGTTGCTGTTGATAACGTTGGGAATAGCTGCAAAAGGTTGGCGTATGAGTTGAGAGTGGGGCACACTAACCCACGATCGTTCCCCGCGTGGACCTGCTTGCATAAGTATGTAGGTACCTGTGAGGATGATGAGGGTTGGTCAATACAAACAATAGAGACGGAATATCAAGTGGGCTCAGCTGGACGCGTACCCTTTGGATATATTCACTTAATAAAGGATGTGAGGAGTGTGAAATGTTGGCACCAGTCTCAAGTCGAACTAGGCGTGGTGTTTTGACAAGATATATTGATTAGGCATAGAAGAGGCTAAGAAAAAGATTGCGCCGCCATGTGAGATACAAATGCATATAACTGACGCAAAAATGCTGCTCTTGCATAAGTTTCCAATCGTCCTAATCCGAGTGTGTTTTGCTGCGACAGGCCAAAACATTTCTTCGTCTATCCACCAAGCTCAAGCCTATGCTCCTCCTTCCAACTATCAGCCAACACTCTAACAAGATCTGCTGCAATCGAGACGCCTGGCCTGTCCGCCCGGGCCCGATTTGGGAATTCTTTTGTGGCTCGTCGAAGCACCGCTTTAGCTGCCACCCCGTAATAGAGAAGGAACCTCGAAACAAAATTGTGCAAAAGGCCTTTGATAGCATAGTAATGACCAGAGTATATATCCTCTGGCTTAGTATTGAGCACCAGTACGACAGCTCTCCAGTAGTTGAACATGGGAAAAGCGGGCTCTCTTGCCTGGAAATGTCTGAGGCAAAGGGAAGCATAGCCCGCGCTGACGCCGGTAATGCTCCTTGCATATGCGTTCTCGTCGCCTCGGTATCGGTCCAGACCAAGATTAACAACGCCTCCCTGTGTCGTTGTGTTGCCGCGAATCCCAAAGAGCATTGGACAACGTCGATGCAATTTGGCGAGCATGATTCCCGTCAAAGGTACGGTTCCTTTGACCTTGTACTTTGGATCGGCAAACAAGCTGGCTGTTATAAGACCAACTTCTTGGAGGGTGACACCGCCTTTGGTGTCTGCTTCCAAGGTCCACGACTGAATCACCATTTTCTGGAAGAGTATCCACACGTATAGAAGGAAAGCGGGATATTGTGCATCCGCTTCGTTTTGGATTTCCGGCCATTGAGTGATCAGATACGGTCGAATATCAATGGTAGGACCAGGTGTACTCAAAGCTACGTCGAAACACTCCTTTCGAATATGACCGATCGCATCCTGACTACTCCGTCGGTCAACGCCAATCTGGCCTAGTCGCTTCCGCATGTCTCGACGCGCATTCCCGACGTGTCCTTTCAATGGGTGATTCTGTTGTTTAGCTGCTTCGGCAAACTCTTTGCGAAATTTCTTCATCTGGGCATGCAACTCGATGTACTTGTTGTGTATCTCTTCGAGATCGGCAGATGAGGTTGAAGATGTGGAGGTGGAAGGCTGCGAGGATACGGTCGATGGTCCAGATTTGGGCGCAGTCGATACGGATGCTAGCGTAGACTGCGTTGGAGGCTGATTTGAAGCATTCGCATTTGCTTGTGTGGTGGCTAGAGCAGCTGCCGCTGCCGCTGCCTCCGCCTCTTTCGCCTTTTGATCGGCCGCCTCCCTTTGTCGTTGGGCGGCTGCCTCTTGATCCCGTTGGGCTTGGACTCGGGCATCTGCTTCTTGAATCTGCCTCTGGCGTTCAGCAACCTGTCTAGCAAGTTCTTCCTCCTTCTTTTTCGCTTCCAGTCTCTGGCGCTGGACCTCTGCTTCTTGCTGTGCTTTCTCTTGTCGCAATCGCTCGAGCTCTTTGCGTTGAGCGTCGGCTCTCCTCAGCTTTTCCTGCTCCTCCACCAGCACGAGACGATCTATCTCGAGCTTCGCGCCTTCTTGTATCCTCAGATGTTCTTGTGCAGCTTTTGCAAGTTGCTCGTCGTGAACCCTGGCGCGCTCGGCCGCAGCTTTATCGAGGCGGTCGTGGAAATCTCGATCATTGCGAGCGAGCATGGAATGGAGTTCAGCCTGGGCTTTGCGCGACGGGCTGTTTTTGGGGTCTCGGATGAGACTGCCTCGGGGCGAGTAGAGGCTATTTCGTTTTGGCGATTGCCGGGACGAGGAGCCCCAGCTGGAGCTGAAGGATGTAGAGGTATTCATTGAGCTTCCCGACGTACCGGAGCGGGCAGGCATCGCTGCACGTGGAAAAGGTCGCGTCGAGCAGTGGTTGTGGTGCAAACAATGCGATTGTTGAGCGCGTCGGCTTTGATATAGAGAAGGCTGGTCTGGTAGAGCTTTAATTTCAGCACGGGCCAAGTACGCGTGCACGTGACCGTCGCCTACCCCAGATTAATCGACTGCACTGTTCAAATGCATGATATCTATGTACAATGTACTAGCAGATGCACATTTGCATGGGAACTTATGTAATCACCGGTCGAACTCGCATCCATGTCTGCAATCTTTCAATAGCGAACACCACAAGGTATGGGTTGCGCGTTGTGAGCAGATTTGGTCTTCGAAGCGGGTGGCTGGGGATTCGAGATGGGAGCTATCGCCAAGGCATTCAAACCAATTGCGGACGGATGAGACGTTGAAGCTGTGCGGCAGGCAAGGGGTTGAGGAAGCATCAAAGACAACGAGAGACATGTTTACATTGTCGATGTGAAAGTGTTTGTGGCATGTGCTCCATTTGCCATGTCTGATGAATTAATTGATGACGATGTGCCGTCATGGTCCAAGCGCGGCAACATTGGTGCCCGTGCTGTGCAAAGCTGCAAACATGAACAACGTCCTGTCGATGGTTACATGAGTGGTTGGGAAGATGGAGTGCAGCACGAGCACTCTGACGATTACAATAGGCACGATGCAGTTGGATGCTTAGGTTTGATGGGTACAAGTAGGTGACGCGTGTAGAGGAGTAGTAGTACTACATATCTGTTTCTGCTCGTCCTGTCGTGGCTTCAACGGGGCCAAGCAGCGGCTAGGCCTGGGTTGAAACGGAGGCGGGCGTCACAGCAAGGGACGCTGAGACCTAGGTGGAACCTAGGAAACCGTCATGTTGTTCCCAGAGTGTACATGCCATGTCATCTTCTTGGTCGTCGTCTTATCTCATGTCATCACATCTCACTCTCGAACAGCGGCGAGCGGACTGGCTCCAAGACGGACCGGACCGATGGGTGCACACGAGAGGCAGAAAGGCGTACGTACACACTGTAGGAAGGCAGCGAGCAAGTCAGAGGGAGGCGTAGGGACTGGACAAGTCGGTTGCGAGGAGATTGACGTGAGTGAAAAGGGCGGAATGGTGGTGGTGGAGGTGGAGGCATAGATGGATACCGACTACGACGACTAGCGTGCAAGTGGCATCGTTTGCGGAAGGCCAGTCCACTTTGGCAGCGCTGGGGCCCACGGCGTCGACGTATTGTGCGCGCTTCCACTTGCTTGCTTGCTTGCTCGCTGACTCTCCGCCGTGCTGCTGTTGCTGCTGTTGCTGCTGCTGCTGCTGCTGTATTTTGTTGCTTGATTGATGATTCCAACCAACTGCAAGTAGCTAGCTAGCAAGCAAGCAACTGTCCTGTCTTGTCCTCATTGATCCATCCATCCATTCATCGCAAGCCATCGAGCAACCCCATCACCCGTCACTCATCACCCATCCACCTCCTTCTCCGCTTCCCCCTTCCTTCCTTCCTTCCTTCCCTCCCTCCCTCCTTCCTTCACTCTCTCACTCACACTCTCACACTCACACACACTCTCTCTCACTCTCACTCTGCTATCGATCCCTCACTCTCTCCTGCCTTGCCGTGTATCGCAACCACCTCCCCCTCATTCGAGCCACACCATCCACACCGACAGCACAGTACTGCAAACCAGCTGCCTTCATTGTGCTGTCCGTCCACAGCCCCCACCCAGGGAAAGAAACCGCTCCTTGAATCCTCGGTCGTCGCTTGCCAGCCCGCCCGCCAGCCAGCCAGTCTGCCTGCCTGCCTGTCCGCACGCCCCTGCAACTAACCCAACTCCCACCCCCCGATCGATCCTTATCATCGCCATCACCACCAACACAGCATCACGCTTTTAACCCAACCACACCCTCTTCCTCGTCCTTTTCTCCGCGAAACAGACCTTCCCCTTGCTGTCTGCCACCATCCATTCACCTCTGCAGCATCGTCTTTGTCTCCACATTTTGCTTTTATCGGCACATTTTCGCTAGCACCCCCAGCACCACCACCGTCATCAGCAGCAGGCAGTAATAACAGTAGTAGTAGCAGCAGTAGCAGCAGCAGTAGTGAGTTGTTCTCCCCGCCAGCACTTGGCCTGGCAATTTTGGTGTTCCCCTCCCCGCTCCGACTTGCCCATGCCGTCTCTCGCCTTCTTCCCCCCCCCCCCCCCCCCCACTCTCCTCTGCCCCTCTCAGCTCAGCTCCCCGTCGCCCCCTCAATGTTCCCAGAAAGAGCCTGTGCAACTAACATCTTCCAGCTAGTCCACTAACCGGATCTTGCCGGCCAATTCGTGTCCTTTCGATTGACCTTTATACCACCTACCATTTGGGCGGGCTTCGAGCCACCACATTACTCTACAGCTATGGACCAACAAGGTCAACCACAACAGCAGCCGCAGCAGGGCCCAATGGGTCCCGCTGGCCGTCGTCTGCACATTGCTCACCGACGCAGTCCTTCCGAGCTGACTCCTTTGATGAGTACGCGCCTCTGCCCCTCTTGGCCCTCCCTCACCGCTGACACCTTTCTAGTGGAACAACTCGCCATTGCTCAGCAGATCGAGGTTCTGCAGCAACAGCAGCAGCAGATTGCTGCCACACACCAACAATATGTTAACATGGGCATGATCCAGCCTCAGCAGCATCTGCCTGCCAATTTTCAGATGCAAGGCCAGATTCCTAACGTGTCTCCTCACACAAACCAATACCAGTTCCCGCAGCAGATGGCCCAGCAGCAGCAGCAACAGCAGCAGCATCTCAATGTGCCTCTCAATGCGCCATCGCAGCCATCTTCCCATCGCCGCAATCAATCTGCCCTCCCCAACGTCATGGGCCCTCCCCCTGCGCCGTCTTCGGGTACATCAGGTTTTGGAGACTTCGGTGCTCAGCAGGGGAACCAGGGTCGGGAGAATGTCAATCCTCGTGGTCGAGGCGGAGGTGCAGCCGGCCAAGGGCATACTCGAAGGCATTCTCTTGCTCTACCCGAGGCCAAGAAGGCCGCTGAACTGGCAGAGCAGAAGAGAAAGACTTCGGGCTTCCAGTTCCCGCTGCCTTCTGCCGGCGGTTCCAGCGCCAACCGCGACGCGAGCCCCAGCGGCAACAGCGCCGGCCAACCCGAGTCTACACCCGCTTCTCGAGGTGGCCGCGGAGGTCATGGTCGTAGTCAGAGCATGGCTGTCGGTCGCGGTGGCGGAAACGCTGGCCGAGGTGGAGGCAACTTCCAGTTCCCAGGCCCCCAATCAAACGACGGCAACGCTGCTCAAGGGGGTCAGTCAGACTTTCAGCGTCGCGGCAGTCAAGGCCATGGTCGCAGTCAGTCTCGTAACTTCGACGGCAACTGGAGGCAACCCCAGAATCAGCAGCCCCAACAGCAGCAAGCAGAACAAAACAACCAGTCCCAGAACATGGGCAACTTCAATATGAACCAGACTGCAAACGCTGCTCCTTTCCAGCCTGGACACCGCACTCGCGGTTCCGTGAATCAATCCGTTGGGTCGATTGGCAATTTCCAATACCCCGGACAACCCCAACTCATGCAGCTTCCTCAAGGCCAAGTGCTTGTCCCGCAGCAAATGTTCAACGGCCAAGGCCTCAATCCTCTGCAAATTGCTCACCTGCAAGCACTCCAAGCTGCTCAGATGAATGGTAGCGGCATGGGGGGTCTTCAGGGCAGCCAGCATGCGCCGCCTCAGCTGGGTATGCAGCAGAACCAGCAGCAGCGCAAGACGCTCTTCACCCCATACCTACCCCAAGCGACACTCCCTGCTCTCCTGAGCGACGGGCAGCTTGTTGCAGGTATCCTTCGAGTAAACAAGAAGAACCGCAGCGACGCCTATGTCACGACTACTGATCTAGATGCCGACATTTTCATCTGTGGCAGCAAGGATCGCAATCGTGCGTTGGAGGGCGACTTGGTCGCCATTGAACTCCTCGACGTCGATGAAGTCTGGGGCCAGAAACGCGAAAAAGAGGAGAAAAAGAAGAGGAAAGACAACGCTGATCCCCGCGGAAGCAATATTGCCGTCAATGATGCCACCACCCAGCCGGAAACTAGCCAGGGCGAAAGTGGTATTCGACGCCGAGGGAGTTTGCGTCAGCGTCCCACGCAGAAGAAGAATGACGATGTGGAAGTCGAAGGGCAAAGTCTTCTGCTGATGGAGGAAGAGGAGATTAACGATGAGCAGAAGCCACTGTATGCCGGCCACGTCGTGGCCGTCATTGAGCGCGTTGCAGGTCAAATGTTCTCGGGGTGAGTGTGCACTCCAGCTGTTGGCTTTGATCATTATCACTAACTAGATTTTTATAGTACCCTAGGACTCTTGCGCCCGAGCAGCCAGGCCACCAAGGAGAAACAGGAAGCTGAGCGTGCGGCGCGTGAGGGTAGCAATGCACGTTTCCAACCAGAACGCCAGCAGGACAAGCCCAAGATCGTCTGGTTTAAGCCTACTGACAAGCGCGTTCCATTGATCGCCATACCTACTGAGCAAGCCCCTCGTGACTTTGTCGAGAAGCACCAGGACTACGCCAACCGCATCTTCGTTGCATGCATCAAGCGCTGGCCGATCACTTCTCTCCACCCATTCGGTACCCTTGTTGAGCAGCTCGGTGAAATGGGTGATCACAAGGTGGAAACAGACGCGCTTCTGCGCGACAACAATTTTGGACCCGATGACTTCTCTGATGCCGTTATCAAGAATGTCGGCTTTGCTGACTGGTCTGTTGAGAATGACGGCGAGGCGGAGATTTCAAAGCGCCGCGACTTCCGCAGCGAAGAGACATTCACTATCGATCCCAACGGAGCGAAGGAATTGGACGACGCCATCCATTTCAAATACCTTGACGATGGCCGCGTTGAGATCGGCTTCCACGTTTCTGACGTGGCTTATTTCATTAAGCCAAACTCGCTCGTTGATCGTGAGGCGAAGAAGCGCGGCACAGCCGTCTATCTCATGGACCGAGCGGTCAACATGCTCCCCCCTCGGCTGTCTTCCGAGATTTGCTGCTTGAGCCCGGGCGAAGATCGCTACACCGTTAGTGTGGTTTTCAAGGTTGACCCCAATTCCGGTCGAGTCTTCGAAGACGAGACATGGATTGGCAAGTCCATCATCAAAAGTGTCGGCAAGTTGGCGTACGAGGAGGTCGATGCCGTTATTAGCGACAAGGACCACGAAATCTCTGCTGGCCGCGCGAAAGACATCAAAATGCTTCATCATGTAGCTCAGAAGTTCCGCCAAGCTCGTCTTGGAGATCGTGCTGCTGATGTTTCTTCTCTCCGTCTCCTTTACCAGCTGGATGACGAGAACGTCCCCGTTGAAGCCAACATTTTCAACTCGTCTCCATCGCACGAGTGCATTGAGGAGATTGAGTACAAGACCAACGCTTTTGTCGCCAAAAAGATTGCTGCTGGCCTTCCCGAGAAAGCACTTCTTCGCCGCCAGGCCTCACCGAACCCCCGCCGCCTGCAGACGATTGCCGAACGCATGAACGCCATAGGTTATAGTATTGACACTACCAGCAGCGGTACCCTGCAAAACAGTCTATTTCAAGTGGATGATGAGGATATCCGCAAGGGTATGGAAACTCTCGTCGTCAAGTCGATGCCACGAGCGAAATACTTCGTGGCTGGGAAGTTGTCCGAGGACCAGCACGCGCATTACGCTCTGAACACACCTCTTTACACTCATTTCACCAACCCATCTAGAAGATATGCCGACATTGTGGTTCACCGTCAACTAGAAGCCGTGCTGTCAGATGGCGCGGTAGAATTCACCGAAGATATCGAAGTGCTCGCTAAAACTGCAGAGATGTGCAACACCAAGAAGGACTCAGCTCATGCCGCACAGGAGCAGAGCGTGCATATTGAAGCTTGTCGTCACATGGACAAGATACGGGAAGAGCAAGGTGGCGATTTGATCAGCGAGGGTATCGTACTCTGCGTTTATGAGTCGGCCTTTGACGTTCTTATTCCAGAATTTGGTTTCGAGAAGCGTGTCCACTGCGACCAGCTGCCATTGAAGAAGGCCGAATTCGACAAGAACAAGCGCCTCCTCGAGCTTTACTGGGAGAAGGGTGTGCCTTCCTCCGCATACATACCTGAGGATGAGAGGCCAAAACAGGGCTCTGCTCGTGCCAACGCTACTGCCGCCGCCCGCGAGGCGGAAGCGAAGCAGCGTAAAGAGCAGGAAGAGGCTCAGCGAAGGCAAATGGACACGGGAACAATGTCTACCGATGATGTGGACGCATTGTTTGACGATGAGGATGACGATTCGAACGACCTGACTGGGGCTATGGCTGGCGTGTCTTTGAACCCATCCGGTGCCGACCGCCCCACGCAAAGCATGCCTCCCTCTCCGACCAGGAATGGCCTGGAGCGACAAACCCCTCACCGCGTCAAGTCGGACTCGAAATTAGCCCAGAGCGCTGGTTCCGAGGCTAAGTTGACGAACAAGGAGAAATACCTCAGCTGGTTCGCCCTCCGGGAAGAGAATGGAGACTACATTCAGGATGTGCGCGAGATGTCGCGTGTGCCCATTATCCTTAAGACGGATCTGAGCAAGAGCCCACCGTATGTTCACGCCCTGTTCCCTGCATGTTTGATTTCACTAACTGATTTCGATAGGTGCCTGACGATTCGATCTCTGAACCCTTACGCTCTATAATGTGTCGTCACCAATAATTGTCAGCTAGTAACTGGTTGATGTTTGCTCGTTGCAGTGTGGCATGACCGTTCCTCTATTGTGCTCAGCGTTCCCGGGAGTCGCCGTTGTTCTCGGGGATAGTTTGCGACGCAGTTGCACGGTTGTCCCTGGAGGGATTGTATAGAAAAAAAAAATTGCATGGCGTGAAAGTATATGTAGGCAGGCAAGGGAGGGGAGCATGATATTGTCAATGACAGTAGGGTTAAAAGCACGGCAACTTTGGAATATGTTAGCAAATGGTGTTAGCATTGATAGGAGGGCTGTCATAATGTGTTTATCGAATTAGTCCATATTGCAAGTCTGAGTGCTGCTGCTGCTGGTGGATGTGATGTGATGTTGGGTCGAGTCCACGGGGAGTAAGCTCACGGAACACGGGTCGATGTATATTTGAGCGTTGCATGCAGCATGGAGTGTTGCGGCTAAGGATGGATTGGGAGTGGGCGCGATGTTCAAACACGGCGAAACGCTGTCACGAGCAGGATTTTGGGGGATGAACCGGCGGCTGTAGGGTGTGGCAGTATGATTTGTTTATTCGCTTAAGGGAGGTGAGATTGGTGATGGTCTTGGGAACCCCCGGCGTAGCAGCGATCCGGATTGCGGGCGATGGGCACGTTTCATCCAAGACCGGAAGCGGCTATAACGGATTGGTGGCTGAGGCAGAGAGGCAGAGAGGTGATTGCTGAGGAGGTTCAGATGCGGCTCGGACAGGGCTTAGTGGGTGTTGGTGGGGTTGGCAGTGTTTTGCACGGCTCGAAATGGCAGTGGAAGCTGGCGACAGTCAAGGGGAGGAGGGGGGGTTTGTTCTTTGGATCTTTATACCGATTGATTGATTTCTGGTGATTATACATGTGGATATACATAGGAACAGAGAGAGATATATATATATAATATTTATAGATGGGTACATGTTGTTGTAGTAGTAGTAGTAGTAGTAGCAGCAGTGGTGGTGGTTAGTGTACAGTAAGCATCTCTGCATCTACATACCTAGGTATGTATCCATCTACGCAAGGAAGACGCGCGAGTGGTTCCATGCTGGACTACCCACTTGATCAGACTGCCTCCTGGCTGGACGGATACATGGCCAGCGTCCATGATCGGATGCAGAGGTTACCGCCACTGAATAAACGAGTCGACGGTTGCAGCGCCTCCGTGGACATGTGCGACGGGCTGGGTTTCGTGCCTGGGCTCAAGCGTGTCAGCACCCCGGACCTGCTACACCTCACGCTTCCACGGCGAACCCCCTCGGCCGGCTGCCCCATGGTTCGCAGCCTTGTTCCTGGCTGATCACAGCAAACCCAAAGCTTACCTGCTCGTCCATGCCGGCCCGTGGGCCATGCGTGGGGCGGGAGACGTGCTGCCCGTTGAGTGCACACGCCCGCCGCCAACGTCCTGCTCGTGGTTATAAGTCCATTGGCCGCCTCCTCCTGTTTCCCTCTTCGTTTTCTGTGGATCATCAGCTAGCAGAGTCCCTCTCTCCATCTCTTCTATACTTAATACTTGCTCAAAGACACTCCTTAACAATACTGCCCTGTCCCTGGTTGGACCCGTATCTAATTCTTCCTCTTCTTCCTCTCTCAAAGCTAGACTTTGCTGGCCACTCTTCCATCGCTACATATCCATCAGAAAACAACCTAACGAATCCACGACGACGAACACTATAATTCTCCCGTCCACCAACAGAGCCACCTCTTCAGTCATGTCCAGCATACGATCCCTCTTCATCGGCCTCTGTGCCCTCGCCCCGCTGGCAACCGCTGCCCCTGCTCGCATCTACGCACGTGAGTCTGCCGCTGCATCATCTGCTGCTCCCGCCGCCTCTGCGTCTGCTGCTCCTGCCGCTGCGCCTGCCGCCGCCGCCGCTGGCGGTCTCTCTGATGTCGACATCCTTCAATTGTAAGTTCCTCATCTACACTGTGTGTGTGCCTGTGTGGTTATACTTCAGTGCTGACCATGCCACAGTGCCCTCACTGCCGAGCATCTCGAATCCGAGTTCTACAAGCAGGGCTTTGCCAAGTTCCCTGCCTCGGATTTCCAGGCTCTTGGCCTCACGGATGCTCAGATCAAGTCTTTGATGACTGTAGGCCAAACCGAGGCTACTCACGTCACTACTCTCCAGGGCGCCATCGCCGGTGCTGGAGCGAAGCCCGTTGAGCCCTGCCAGTACAACTTCGATGCTTCGCTCACCGACGCAAAGACCATGGTCGCCACTGCCCGTGTTCTTGAGGCCGTTGGTGTCTCTGCCTACCTGGGTGCTGCTCCTCTCGTCAACTCGTCCGATGTCCTCACTGCCGCCGCCACCATCGTCACCGTGGAGGCACGTCACCAGGCTTTTATCCGTATCGCCTCTGCTGCTGAGCCTGTCCCCGCCGCTTTCGATACCCCTCTTCAACCCCGTGCTGTCTTCACACTGGCCGCTCAATTCATCAAGTCTTGCCCCGAGGGATCCAACCTCAACATTCAAGCTTTCCCTGCCATCTCCCTCCAAAACGCCGCTGAAGCCAAGGTTGGCGCCAACCTCAAATTGGCCGATGCTGGTAGCCCTGCCGGTGCGCAGTTCTGCGCCTTTGTTGCTCCGTAAGTCTTCCTACCATGCGCGACTCAAAAACAAAAAAACACTTTCGACTAACACATGTATAGTGGCGGCAACCAGTTCACCCAGCTCACCGATGGCAGCTGCCAGGTTCCTCAAAATCTCAGCGGCGAGGTCTACATGATGATTACCAAGTCTCAGGCCGTCACCGATGGTGAAATCCTCGCCGGTCCCTCCGTCCTCCAGCCCTCGTAGACTATTTCGCCATGGTCTCTAGCGACGCAGCAGCCATGATCAGCTGCTTTTGTCACTTTGCTTGTTCTTTTCATGATCATACTGATTTTTTTTGGCTGGGGTGGGGAGGATGCGAGTTGAGCGAGCTGGGGTGAAGTGGTAATGATTTAGAGGGGCGAAAAAGACTTGAGCTATACACGGTGCGTTGTACGACAATTTCTGTCTTGATAACAGTCACGAGAAAAATACAAGAGTTGGTCTCAAGAGCGTCTTTTCCTCTTTCTTTCGTCGTCATCATCATCATCATGGTCAACAACAGCAATGTCCTCGTCATGATTGCTATCTTCCCCTTGTTGGATTCGCGTTCAGTTTAGTACTGGTGGCGGTCTTTGGTTTTTTTATTTTCCTTTGTATGTGGCCCATCAAGATGGAGCAGATACCCAATGTTGAATTATTTTTTTGTTGCATGTCAGATCAACGCGAATAGCCCATTCGCATTTGGAGTGGAGTTGGATCGAGAATAGTAGGAATAAAACTCATCCAGTTCCCAAACAGCTTGTGCGTGTTGCAGCATGTCGAGCTCAAACACTGCAGGTTAGCACTGAGAAGTGGCCAATCTCGGATAGGAGAGATGGCTGATTTCACTCGAGTTTCACAAGTCCATGTGTTTGATATGCGCATGCATGCAACCTACGTATGGGTGACAGTCATGCCTGGTCCCACCTGGCGTTGGCGGTAGCCTTTTCCTTTCAGCAGTTCACCGCCACGGACCGACACCACGCCAATCTCCCGGGCCGCTTGGCCAAAATGGCACTATCGCCCGCCCTACCCCATACGTCCTTGCCGCCTAAGCTACATGGGGGAATTCCGTCAATTCCTCTCCCATGTCCCATCTCTGGCGGGAAACTCTTGCCACTTTTCCACCCTCGCTCTGCGCATGCAGTCAATCAGTCTGTCTGTCTGTCATGAGTGTACATACAAGCAGTCACCGATCAATCGCTCCTTCGTCGTGACTCAGTCAGCTTCGGGCGCACCGCGGAATAAATGGCTGCGGCTATCAAAGAAGCCCCAGTAATATAAAGAACACCGAGTTGTGCTTGACCACCCAAACCACCGACAGATTTCCCAACCTTATCCGCCTTCGACAACGACTACAGCAGCCGACAGAGACCCCGAGACTAACAATTCGTGTCGACCATGGCTTCGCAGAATTCGCAGAATGGCACCTCGTCAACCTGCGTCGTGGAACCCGCCAGGCCCCATGATTCCATCCAGCTCGAGACACTGAAAAGTACGCTGTCATTAGGATCCAACGTCCATGAGCCACAGAAGACGCAGCAATCTACAAATGATCCAGTCGAGATTCTGCCGTCGCCCACGACACAGGCTTCGGACCCGGAGGAGCAATGGAACAAGCCCAGCATCAACTTCTGGAGAACCATGGCTGCCTTTTGGAGTTTTGTTGTCATGGGTAGCAATGACTCTGCGTATGGTGTATGTGCCTTGCCCCATTCTCAAGTGTACTCGAATATAGAACTGTAGCCGCCTTCTGACTACTGAGCGCAGGCCTTGATACCTTATGTAAGCTGTACACCTATCCTGCTGCTCGATATAGAACTGGTTTTGAACGTCTGTCGCAGCTTCAAGAGTATTATGATCTCACGTTTGTCGTCATTTCACTCATCTTTCTCTCGCCTTTAGTTGGCTACACTGCTTCTGCACTGCTCAATAACGAGATCCACCTCAGGTTTGGTCAGAGAGGTGTCGCCTTCATCTCTCCCGCATGCCATCTTGTTGCTTACATTGTCATTGCTGTCCACCCACCCTACCCCGTTCTTGTAATCATCTGTAAGTCTTTCCCCCCTTGGCGACCGAACAGAAACCGCAGAATTCGCAGCTCGTTGACCTCGAAACTAACTTGATTACAGTCATGCTGGCAGGGTTCGGTAACGGCCTTGCTGATGCCGCATGGAATGCTTGGATTGGAAACATGGCAAATCCAAACGAACTCCTCGGTTTTTTGCACGCATTTTACGGCGTTGGTGCGATCCTTGCCCCTCTTGTAGCTACGACGATGATCACCAAAGGAGATAGACTGCCTTGGTACTACTTCTACTACGTCATGGTATGTTTCCATCTATATACAGGACTAGCAAAATTAAGCGCTTACATATTCGACTCAGATCGGAATGGCGGTGATCGAGCTGGCCACTTCGGCGACGGCTTTTTGGAAAGCAACAGGGGCCGTGTTTCGTGCCAACAATCCTCGCACTACCGGAGCTAAAGATAACCGTATGAAAGAAGCGCTCATTCGTCTTCCGTACGCTCGCGTGACCTGGCTCTGCGCCCTCTTTCTGCTGGGCTACGTCGGCGCCGAGGTAGCGCTCGGTGGGTGGATAGTCAAATTCATGCTCGAGGTGAGAGAGGCCGAAGACTTTGCCAGTGGCATGACCGCGACGGGATTTTGGTTGGGCCTTACTGTTGGACGGATTGTACTGGGATTCGTAACACCCAGGCTGGGTGAAAAGTTGGCCATCGCTGTCAGTATTTCCCAAACAAATTCTATCGTTTCAACCTCCCCTTCCATGCCAATCTCAGAGATCGCCGATTCAAACTTGACTGACTAGTGATGTTGTAGATCTACCTCCCCCTAACAATGGCACTCGAGCTCATCTTCTGGCTCGTACCCCAATTCTACGTCTCAGCCGTCGCAGTGTCCCTCCAAGGCTTCTTTCTCGGCCCCTTATTTCCTGCTGCCGTGGTCGCTGCTACCAAGCTCCTTCCAAAGCATTTGCATGTTAGCGCTATCGGGTTTGCCGCTGCATTCGGAGGCTCGGGGGCTGCAATCTTTCCATTCGCAGTCGGGGCTATTGCACAAGCCAAAGGTGTGCAGGTTCTGCAGCCCATCATATTGGCCCTCCTGGCTGTCATCTTCGGTTTATGGTTGTGCCTGCCTAGGTTCCATAAAAAGCAGGAATGAGGTGGTTCTTTGTACGGGATTGTTCAAGTGTGGGTATGGGCGTAGTGGCCCTTTGGCCAGTTTTTTGCTTTGGCAGCCAACTTGACAGATTACAATCACAGTTATGAGTCGATCGGATATGCTGAATCCGAGCGATTCTATGTCTGGAGAAAGGAAGGTGGAAGAAGAAGGAGACGAAGAAGCAGAAAAGACAACCGGCATATATGGAATGTACAGTCGAAGGATCGTCGGCGATTCGTGGACACCTCTTTACTGGACGTGATTGGAAAAACTGCATATGACGAAATTAGGACAAGGGATGTGATCAGATGTTCTAACGCGTGTACTATCCCCCCCTCTTCCCCTTCCCCTTTCTCTCTGGTAGTATACAACGAGGGATGGATCTATCTTCTTCAATGTGTTATATTGTACAGTCTAACATATCGCTCTTCATTTCCATCTACCGTGTAGATCGATTTCTGAGATAGCTTACAATTTAACAGGCCATTTCTTTCTAATCACCCCACCGTATTTGTATATAATGGCAGGGAATGGGATCATGGCGACGGCAACAAACCCCAAAAGACTGTTTCCCCAGCCTAGTCCCAACGATTTGTACATGCTCGGCCCAGCCAAGGGGAGCACGGCGCCAAAAAGGCAGCGGATCGATGTCATCCCTGCAATGGCACTGGCGGCGTACTGAGGGAAAGAATCGACCAGATATGTCTGTATGGGTGTGAAGACGCCCATCATGCCGAAACCGAAAGGGAGAAGTCCTATTATGGGTACGATCCAATGTGCTTTCTGGTTGGTGCTCCATCCATACCTGACCACGAAAAGAATTTTGGTCAGCTGAGAAGTTCCTAGTGAATGAGAAACGGAAGATGCAACAGCACGATATCAACGTACCAGAAAAACGAAATGGGGATCAAGAAGCCGAAGAAAACGCAGGTTGGCAGCCTCATTTCGGGCTCGTAAACACCATTGTTGTTTTTTGTGAGCTTGATGATGGTAGCGTCAGAAGTCCTGGCCACAAACACTATGCCGAAGAAGAAGCCGACGCCGATTCCGAGAAAGGCGAGGCCGCAGAGCTCGATATCCCACTCGTATGTCTGGACGTAAACCTGAGTGACGGTCGTGAAGAGAAGTAACAAAAGACCAAAAACGAAGGAGATATAAATGCTAAGCAGAAAAACAATGGGGGATCTGAAGAGCAGCTTGAGCGGGCGAATCATGCCTTGGAGGAGAAGGCTACCACGACTCTTGGAGGTGGCTTCTTTGGCATGAGTGAGAATGTTCTCGAGCTCTGGTCGACTGAGTTCCTTCCTCATTCGTACCACTTTGCGGTCCAGAATCACTGGCGCATTGGTCTCTCGGAAAAGAATCATTAGAGCGGCTGTTAACATACACCCAGCAATAAACAAGACGTAAAAGTCCCATCTCCAGTCCGCTCGCTGGGCAATAAACCCCCCACAAATGGGCCCCAAGACTGGGCCAAATAAGATACCGAGCGAATAAAGGGCCATCGCCGTCCCTCGTTGTTCGACAGGAAACAGATCCGATATGACGCCGGAGCCGATAGTGAGACACGCGGAACCTCCCGTGCCTGCGAGAAAACGCATCACAATGAGGGCAGGCATGTTTGGTGCAAGCGCGCAGCCGAGATTGAATGCGCAAAACACGACGTTTGCACAGTTGAGAACAATGCGGCGGCCGTAGATCTCGGATAGCGGACTCAGAAAAAGTGGCCCGATCTGAAGGGGCAGGGGTCAGCCGACAAGAGCCATCGATATAAAGTGGAAGAGGGGTATCGACGTACAGAGAAGCCCAAAACGAAGACACTAACGGCGAATGAAGCTACGATGGCGGAAGTGTTGTTGAACTCTCGGCTTGCATAGCTGATGCCAGGCGCTAGCATAGTCGAGGCCAACGGACTCAGAAATGTGATGGCAGCAACCAACCCGAGAGTTAACCATTTCTTGCTCTCCGGAAAGTTCCTTGGGTTGGACAAGTCTTGCTGGGAATCCCACCCGACAAGGTTGTTCTCCAGGTCTGTTAGAGGGTAGATTTCAGGTGCGAGCTGTTGCTTCCTTGTGCTCCTCCTAGAAAGATGTTTTTCAAGATCGCTACCAATGTCATGTTGAGCGGCTTGGGGTTCCTCTACGGCTCCCTAAGGTTACAGGTCAGCTTGTTGAAATTGCGACCATTCACCCTTGCAGAGTCGTACGTGTTGAACGTCGTCTTGAACCTCCTTCTCCACCTCCACGGTCGTTGATCTGTCGGTGGAGACGGACATTGCTCCGGTCTGTAGTGGGTTGCGAAAGTTTGCCTTGCGATACGGGAAGCATCAAGCTGCAGCGGCAGGGGTATTTAGACAGACAGACATCAAGGGTGGAGATTGAGACGTCCATATATTCTGATGAATAATACCGAGAAAGAACAGGGGATGGATCATACCTAGGGGTACCATTCTTTCAGCCAAAAGCCGTTATCTCCGCTTGTCGCGTGCACCGGGGGACGACACTAATGATGCTCTATAATCCTGCGATTCGGTCGTCGGCTTTTCAAATCGCGCGAGGCTCGATGTCGGCAGAACATTAGGTATAGGCGCGCATGCTATCCGCGTATTGGTCGAGTTGACGGGGAAGAAGCTTTGCCAATGCCTGCAAAAGCTTGCATGCTTGCTTGCTTGCATTAGTGTCGTGTTCGGATCTGTACAAAGCCCTATACGGCAATGTACATGTCGGCCCCCATGCGTGCCTCCGAGCTCCCTCGTTACCCAGGACCATTGCATGCAGCTGAAATCATGTTTGGGTTGCGCCCACGCGTACCTTGACAGAGGGCTCCGTGCTGTATACAAATTTATATATTGTGAAAAGTACGGCATGATAAATCTAGCCCCCCGAAAAAACACGCGTCATATCGGAATGTAGACATTTTGATCTCTTGGATATCTCAGAAACGCCCATGAACCAGGAAAAGAAACGACCACAGCAGGTGATATTACCCACTGAGAAGATCTCGTACACTCATGCCTCGCCCCCCAGTGTTCCTCTCGCTAGTCCAACTGCGACGATCTGTGTTGAGCATCAGCAAGGCTTCTGTAGCTTCATGATCTTCCCGATCAGCTTGCGGCCCCAGCGCGGGGGAGGTGAGTGCAAAGACTGAACCCGAAGGCCCTGACACCGAGTTCTTGCTGGATGGGCCAGCGGAAAAAGGGTTGTTGAAAGATTGGGAAGGTGTTTGCCCCCCAAACGCGGGCGAAGGCTGCATGGATGGCGAGGTGGCCGTTGAGCGGACGCAAGAGCCGCCGAGTGAATAGCGATGTGGATCGGAAGCTTGCAGAGCAGGAGACATGGCTACTGAATAGTTGCGTATGTCATTGGGGCCAAGATTGGGTGACGTGGTGGTCGAGTGAATGCTTCGATCCGATGGGTAAATGGCGGGCGAAGCATTGGTAAAAGGAGGAAGCGTGTCCCATTGCACAGAAGCCTGCTTGGGTGAGACAGCGTCAGACATGTCTTCATCCTCGTCATCTGGATTATCCTCGTCATCTTGGTCTATCGCATTATTCGTATCAAAGGCAGACTCGGACGGCTCCGTGTGCGGCATGTACGGAGACGGGGCCGTGGATGAGAGGGGCTTCCTCGATCGGTGTGCCTCCTTCAATTCGTCGACACATTGCTGCAGGTATCGCATATACTCGATGCTTGCCTGCAATATGGCGAGTTTGTGCATCTCCTGGCCGGCACACGCGGGAATCATATCCTGATTTTGTATTTAGCACGGGCTGGTCTGAACAGGGTCAAACAAGACGCATACCTTGAGCACGCCAAACTCTTCGTTCATCTTGGATCTCCTCCTGCGCTCAATGAGACTGTGGGCCGTCTTCCTGGCAATCTTGCGCCCCGCGGCCGTGGTATTGCTGGCTTGTTTCCTCTTGCCCGCAGCCGGTGGCGCAGCATTTGGCTTCGCGGCGGTTGCAGAGGAGCTGGGCTCGGACTGGACCTGTTGCGGATCCCTGGGCTTCATCTGAATGATCTTGCGAGAGCGCGTAGGTGGAGGAGGAAGGGAATAGTCTGGCGAGGTCACGGGGGCGTGTAGGGCAGTACCAGGAGCAGCACGCTTGCGCGAACTGGAGGCCTTCTTGGAGGTGGCGACGGGAGATGCGGGGGAGAGCGGTCGGTAGGAGGAGTCGGAGGCATTGGAGGCTGCCGACGAAGTGTCGGTAGCTGTGCTGGTCGGGGTCCTGGTATTGGAGCTGGTGTGGCTGTTTGCTATAGCGGCAGGAGGGAGGGCGAAGCTGCTGTCGAGCTGGGCAACAGTCGCGCTGCTCTTTGCTGTGATGTCGGTGCTTGGAGCGGGCGTTGGGGGGAAGCTAGTGGTGCGCGGCGGCATGTTGGCTCTCGTGTTGGTCACCTAGCAGCACTCGAGGGCAGGTGAAGACGAACAGAGGGAGGGATGGAAGGATAAGTGAGTGAGTGAGTGAATTGATGGGCGGGAGAGGGGGAGAGAAGAGAGGAGGACATGGTGCAGATTCATCGAGGCCGTGGTGGTTTAGGGTGGCATCAATGGTGTCAAGGGCTTCGGTGTCGTGTGAGCCTTGTTCGCAATCAAGGGCGAAGAGGGACGCCAGGGCCAATCAGGCGAGACACGTGCCTCGCATGTTCCTCAACATCCATCACCCCGCCGCCTCAGACTTGGGCCCGCTGATCGACCTTTTGCTGCTACTTCAGCGACACGTGCAGCCCGCCTCCATTCTATATGTTCAAATCTTGTTCAATTCATCGTCTCGACGCTGCCGAGCATCTACACTCTCTATCCACCTACATGTACATGTACATGTGCAAGCACCGATTTGTTCATGTATACCTATGTACATACATATCCATGTACGCTGATGCGCTCCGTGTCTCGGAGCACTGTGTGGCGCTTGTTTGCTTGTATCAATCAATCAATCATCCTCTCCTTGACCATCACCAGCCGCGGCGCGTATGCCATCTTCTCCCCGCTGCCTCTCCAGCTCCTTGAATCCCTGGAAATACTTCCGCCGAAAGTCGTTGAGTTCGTCTGCCTTCACCCCCTTTGCATATGGATCTCTCGCGGCTCCCGATCCAGCTGCCACCGCCTGCTCACATGCAACTTTGCGGTACGTCAACAGCCTCCTGGACCATTTATTGAATGGCTGCACGCATATCGATACCATCTCGAGGCTCCCGTGCGTGGGAACGGCTAGCTCAATGTCTTCGTCGTTTGCCGTGGGCATCCACATACTTAGCCGCCCGCCCACTACAAGTGTCGTTGCCGCAAATGCCATCACGTCGTCCAAGATGGCCGTGAACGAGTATGCCCGTTTGGGAGGAATGTAGCCCTCCTCCTGAAACCTCTCCAGGTGGGTTGCGAGCTCTGTTGCGTTTAGTTGATCGCGGGACCCGAGCACTTTCAATCCTTCGCGGATCCCGTACGGTGGATCGCACACAATGCCGTCGAGATACCCCTCATGGCATGGTCCCCCTTGAGTCTGCACCGTCCGAAATGGCGAGTTTGTGACATCTGAGACCAAAGCACCGAGGTATTGCCCTTCCAGCTTGTATTGCTTGAAGTTGCCCTGCACATCCATTTTCCCCGTCTGTCCTTTCCGGGCGCTCCCACCAGTTCCCCTGATACTTCTGCCATCAATGTCACTACCGCACACTATAGCACCATAGTGTGCACATGCAAGTGGGAACCCGCCTGCCCCCATGAATGGATCATAGAATAGCTTTCCAGGGGCCGCAAGTGCCATGTTGGCGGTCAGGAGTGCGAGCTCGGCATCCATAGAAGTTGTGCTGATATAATGCCTTTTCTTAAGATCGTAAATCGTCTTGGCATCCCTTCCAGACAGTGCAACGAACCGCCCGAAATAGAGGGATTTGGGTGTCTTGGCCTTGTCATCGTAGTCTTCGAACACGTGGAATGTTTGTTCGGCATCACGCATGCGGATGGGGCCCTTGAAACCCAAGTAGGAGAACGAGTTGATAATCTCAAGCTGTTCCGTCTGAGATTTGGCGCCACGGTAGCCATCAAGCACGAATCGGAAAGGAGCCATTTCGTATCGTGACCATCTTGAACTAGAGTGTGCTTTTATCGATTCGTGGAGCTCTTTGTATGTCGAGCCCTGACCCCAAAGTTCGTAGACGCCCTGAGAAAGGATGCTCCGAGACACCACTTTTTTTGCAGCAAGATCCGATGGAAGTTTGACGACGGCAAAAGGCGACTGAGGAGGTCAATAATGGTCCCGAAAAGCAACAGGCAACACACAATATTGGCTCCTGTGGAATGTCGAGGAATGAGTCGACATGAGAGAAATGCAAAGATTGACCTACATCTTCTTTATAGTGTATAAAGTCTATGTCAACACCACCCAACTCGGCCAGGGCCAACAGTTCCGCTTTGCGAAAGCTCTCGTGCACTTGCACAAGCCTGACCAGGTATTCAGGCATTCTCGTGGTTGGGAAGAGAAAAGCTGCCCGTATGCGCAGATAATCTACAGCACCCCAATAGGACAAATAACCAGGGATGTCATGTTAGGTCTGCGTTGCTCACAAAGACGCAACTTCATGGTTTTAAAATGTGGGGTGGAAAAGGCAATGCCGGAGACGCTAACAAAGAAACTCTGATTGGTCGAAAAGCCATCATGGAGCAACAAGTCGTGAACCATCCAGGATATTCCTTTACGCCGATGATTTTTACTTGGGTTGTACTCTTACAAATAGCAGTCGCAGTTGAGTATGAATTCCAAAGCACGCGACACAAGTGGGAGGAGTGAATGTATTTGATCGCATCTAACGCACTCTCCAGCTGTTGTGTGGGTAGACTGTGTATTACCCTCTTTCGACAGACTCTACAGTAACCTAGCTTTGAGTAGAGTTCCCAATGCCAAAAGACTCATACGGAAACTCTTCCAATGAGTTCAACAGTCTCGCCCAGCCATCATCCAGTTCACCCGGCATACCAACTATTCTTCTTCCCTCAATAACATCCGCTTCTGTACGTTTCAGCTGTTGGTCTTCGTCGTCCTTGTGCTCCCCAGTTAGACCAGCCAATACCTCCTTTTCCCTTCCCTTGTATTCGTTCAAAAGACCCTCATGCGGAACCCACACAGCCTGCATACCTGCCCTCCTACCTGACTCAATACCGGGCACGCTGTCTTCGAATACGAGACACTCTTCGGGACGAATGGGTGGCTCCCCTTGGGCTTCAAGGGTCTTGTTCAGCGTGCTCAAAGCAAGAAGGTAGATATCGGGTGCTGGTTTACCACGTCCGGCCGGTATCCGGGGATCATCGCCTAGAACCTTGTGTTCGTCTTTGAAGTAATCATTGAAAAGGTGGGGTAGATGGGAGCTTTTCAATATGAAGTTGACTTTGTGGCTGCTCGTAGCTAGTGCCATGTGCACTCCCCGTTCTCGTAGTCCCTGCAACAGTCGGAGGACACCGGGCAATGGCTGGGTTTTTGGGAAGAGCTCTTCTTGCAACTTGGACTGCTCCTTCATGAACTGTTCAAAAGGGATTGGCAAGTTGGCCCACGCTTGGAAGATTTGCCCGGATTGTGGGCCAGGTCGACCTTGCATCTGAGCTTTGATTGACCACGGCAGGGTCGGGCGCCCGTAACGCGATAGGATTTCGTTTGTACAGAGACTATAGTATTCTTCGGAATCGATCAAGAGGCCATCCATGTCGAACAAGGCAGCGCGAATAGGCGGGGGAGGAGGGGTACTTGAACTCGTCAGCAGGAAGACACAATCCACAAAGCGTGACAGTTTCGTACTTTTTGGAATCCATTTCGGTCTATGGCGGGAGTCACAAAACGGTGTTTGCAATTAACGGGCAACGAAGTGCTTGCCTGGTGGATCGGAGACGGCACGCCAATTGGCAAACGGTATCCTCAACTGCCCCTCCAAAAAGAGGTACCCCACGCACCACAAGTCCCTGCGCTTTCCCTGGTATGCGTTAGCTTGAATAGCTCTCGCAGTCAACAGACGTCACCTCTCTCCCATGGGCTTGTAGAGGATCGTGGACTACCACCAACACCTTGCAGAGCCTTGCCTTTTAGGTGAGCGCGTGTCTCCGAGATGTCGCAGGATGACATCAACCCCTCGAAACCACGACAGCCGGAGCCTGCCCTTGAAGTCTTCCCCGAGGATGAAGAAACTCAGCTACTAGCCGAATCCACCACTGAAAAAACGCTCGCCAACAACGCTTTCACATCTGGGAATTACTCGTCAGCGGTGCAAGGCTACGAGAAAGCTCTTGCTGTGTGCCCCGCGTACTTGGAGTACGACGTTGCTGTCTTGCGTTGCAATATCGCAGCCTGCTATCTGAAGTTGGAGGAGTGGAAAACCGCAGTCAAGCTGGCCTCGCAAGCGCTTGAGGCTCTGGATCGGGTTGATCCTCCTTCAATCATGTCAGCGGGAAAAGGAAATCAAAGCGAGGTGGTGGAAGAGGTAGATGAAGCAACCGATGCCAGAATGGCAGCACTTGCCCGGTCGGGGAGAACAATCAACGATATTCACAGGTTGCGGACCAAGGCCCTTCTCCGGCGGGCGAAAGCTAGAAGAGAGGTTGGTGACTGGTCATCACTTCAGGGGTCATTAGAGGACTATCAAACACTTCAGACATCACCATCACAATTGTCTAGTCTGGACCAGAAAACGGTACAAATTGCGCTTGGCGAACTTCCTCGCCGAGTCGATGACGCGAAAAATGCAGAGGTAGCAGAGATGATGGGAAAGCTCAAACAGTTGGGGAATGGGATATTGAAGCCGTTTGGGCTCAGCACAGACAATTTCCAGTTCACCAAGGACGAGAAGTCGGGAGGGTACAGCATGAATTTCGACCAAGGAAAAAAATAGGCTCGCAGCCTCGACGTATCTAGAGCGCGGAACCCAGATCAGATATAGATGAGAGCATGGCACGAGCAAACGGGCGAAGGCCCATCAAACCAATGCATAAGCCTGTTGTAAGAACAAGAGAGGAAACGCCGACGTTCTGTTCTGCGTAGAGCGCATTCTCAACTCTTGAGTGCTTCTAGTCTTCCACGCATCTGTGCTAGCATTTCCTCTTGATCTTCCTCCTCAGGCTGAACTTCGACAGGAGCAGTGGGAAGAGTGTCTTCTTGTGCTTTGCTAGCGGGTAACCTGTCTTTCAAAATCTCGGACAGTATCTTGTCCACTTCCTCTTCGGCTTCGTCGTCCTCACCTTCCAGCATTTCGTTGTCCGGAAGCGTCTCATCCACCATCTCCTCGATGATGCCCGCCTTCATCAGCTCAGAGGAGAGATCTCGCATCGTACCCGTCAGCTCTGGGAGCCGCACAAGAGAATTGACGTCCTTCATGATGCCCGTTGAGGCTCTTATGCTACCCTCAATCTTGCGCACAGAGAAAGCCTCGTTGACCTGCATCTGCACGCTCTGCAGCTGCGCCTTACTTGTGTTCAGCCGTCCGCTTTGTTTCCGCACACGTATGAGCTCCCGGGCGAAGATGCGCACGTCTTGATTAGCCTGCTTGGCCATGGAGGGGTTGCGCTGGGCGCGCTTCGAGGATTGGAGGATGAAGTTTTTTGTTTTTTGCTCGGTTTGCTTGAGCTGGAGAATATCGCGGTCCAACTTGCGTACGTTTTGACGGACAAGGGCATTGCATTTGCGCTTCTATCTGGGGAGTCAGTGCCGGGGAGACGCGGAGGCGGGCAGCTGGGTACGTGTACACACCTGCTCCTCGGGCGTTGGCTTCCAAAGGAGCCCGCGAATGGTCTCCATGGTGGAAACGCAGCGTAATGCGCCGAGTTATTGACGAGGATGGAGCTTGGGCTGTTGCCTGCTTTCAACTGCGGGCTGATTAGAGTGGTGGCTGGTTGACGTTGTCGCGGTGGGATTGATAGGCGGGCAGAATGCTGGCGCTACGGTGGAGTCATGTGTACAGGTAGTTGCAGTTATGCGGGATGCATATGTGTGTATGTATGTTGCATGTATGGGGCGGGTGCACAGAGAGTTGGAATGGATGTCGGGAGGTGTACCTATGTAAGTATGTAATGCACCTTTGCTGGGAAGCGCTGGCCGCCCCCCACGTGAGGTCCTCGGTCGCCTGTGACGCGGGGTGGGGAGGCTTCCCCCCCTCACCTGTTCACAATATGTATGTAGGAGATGGAAGCTGTCATACAATCCACTACCTGCGCATGTATGTGTATAATTATTGCATCGCTTGGTTGTAGGATGCCCCTGACCAAGCAAAGCAAGCAAACATTGAAGCAATCAAGATTGACGTGAGGACGGTACAATTCATGTCGTAGTCGCAGGCGGTCGAGTTTCCATACACCTTCTATTCGCTTCCACCGCCTCGTCGCGCTAGTGTGTGTGCTCCCCATTTCTTCGTCGTCCTCTCTCTCGCCTTGCAATCCCCCAACCTCACTAACTGACTTCTCTGACCTGCTTTTGCCATCTGCTTTTTTGGCACTCTCGCACATACTCACCCATTCCACTTCACCACCCTCACATCCAATTTCTGCTCCACCATGTCTACCGTCACTCCAGAAGGTAAGCCACGGCCCCCACCAGACTCAGAGCTCTCCGTCTCGCCGCCGCTGCCACCGACCGTCGCGCGCTTTCCCGCACAACCGCTAACGTCTGCCAGTCACTTGGGCGCAGCGCTCCTCCACCTCGGAGCCCGAGAAGAACTACATCTTCCTCACCATCGTTGCTACCGATGTTCCTGAATCAGACAAACAGCTCGATTTGACAGACAGCAAACTTAGCTTCAAGGGTACCTCAACGTCCAAGAAGGTCACATATGCCGTTGACCTGGAGTTCTTCGCCGAGATCGACCCCAAGGAGTCTAAAATTCACCACACCGGCCGCGACATCGAGCTGGTCCTGCGCAAGAAGGAGCTCAAGGAGGAGTACTGGCCGCGCCTGCTCAAGGACAATAAGAAGATGCACTTCCTCAAGACGAATTTTGACAAGGTATGTTGCCCTAAGAAGGCGATCAATCACGTCTCTCTCGAATGTTGCCAAGCACAGCGCACCTAACACCTATGCAGTGGGTCGACGAGGACGAGCAAGACGAAGCCCCCGATGACGAGGACTACATGTCCAAGATGAACCCCATGGGTGCCGGAGGCGACGGTGGTTTCGGCGGCATTGACTTCTCCAAACTGGGTGCGGCTCAAGGCGCAGGAGGACTACCAGGCATGGGAGATCTTGGCGGCGAGGGTGAGGACAGCGATGATGAAGACGACGACGAGGATATGCCCCCACTGGAGGGCGATGAGAAGGCTGAAGCTTTGGGATCGAAGAAGATTGAGGAGGTCGCGTAATCGAGTCTTGGACGATTGACGGAAGCGTTGCCAATGGTCAAGATGTGCTATTCGATTGCCAGGTGCGGATGCTCATGTTTATGATAACGAGGATCGAAGCTGAAGACCTTGGGATGTTCCCTAGACGAAGAGCAGCTGGAGGTGATAGCTACGATATATGATTAAAATTCACCTTAGTTCCTGACTTCATCAGATTAAATTCGAAGTTACTCCCCACAACAAGTTTCAGTCCGCTCAAATGAAGCAGTGATCACTACGGAAATGTATGAATGCCAGCCTTCACGTCGACACTCTCATGCAATGTACCTGGTCCATGGCGAGAGCTGTGAACTGCGCATTCGGACCCAAAGCCTTTGATCTACCTAGCTTTCCCCGACGCGAATGGACATGCGCCACGTGAGCTACTCATCAACTGTTCCAAAGTGGCGGCACACTCCTTCTGGCCTTTGTCCTCCATATTGGCTGGGCCAACCTCAAACATAGAGTATCCTTCGGGCTTGTATCGCTTCCCGTCAGGATAAGCACTGCCCGCTGCCCAACGAACCCACGACCGAGGCTCAATGCGAGCCCAGAATGTAGGTTTGATGTACCTTGTGAGGATTAGACAAGCAGCGCACGCATGGCAACAGGTAATAAATCCACTCACCAGGGCTCGCTCGCATATTTGGTACGGTAGTATCGTCCATTCGAATCCGGGTCATCCGTCATGACAGAATAACGCAGACAGTACGGTCGAGGTAGGGCAAAATTTCGGACAAGGAATTTCCGCACTTTCAACAGGGAAAACAAAATTCGCGCGTAGACTGCGGGTGGTTTATCGTAGAGCATCGCCTCGCGCAGTCTATCGTCCATCAACACGGCAACAAACGGTTTTGCATAGGGAAATGCGATGTTGGGTATGTCTGCCAGGAGAATTCTCGTTGTTTCTTCCGCGAGCTTATGGTTGTCGCCGTTGGGCACCATGCACTTCTTTTCGTATCCCTCTGACCATTGTTTGATATCTTCGAAGAACTCGTAGCCGTCCTGGAAGGAGTTTGGGCCATGGGCAAGATCTCCAAAATCGATACCCATGGCATCACCAATAGATTTCCAGTGAGTTCCGCTGCAACTGGTTAATCTGAATATTCGACCAGACGGGGGGAAAGGGCATACAAGGCACAGATCTCCATGGGTGTCAAACATCTCCACTCATACAAACGAACCCACCTCTCGATTTCCAAGATGAAGAGAGCAAGTGTGTACAACATATCATCGTTGCTGATCTTGCCAGCGTTCTGATACCTACCATGGATGTAGTTCATGCGAGATATGGCAGCATTGGCTCTCTCGGATGTGGGACCGTGAGCCAGAAATTCACCGATCAGGATGTTGGTATCAGCATAGCGCCTGGAAGCATATTTTTGTTCCGAAAGCTGCTGGGTCTGGCAGAGAAGCTTGGAGATTGTGGGAATGCCGTATGTTCTGCATCTAGAGATGAGCTGCCAGAGGGGCCTAGTGATGAAGCCAAGGACAGAGTGGTGGTGAAATACCTGAAAAGGGCAAACTCCAAAGCTTTTTCGCTGACGAGAGGAAATTCGAGCGACATACAGTACCTGACAATCTGCCAGGCATCATCGGCCGTCATGTTGGAGAAGTCTTTGCGGGTTTTGTATGGGAAGTGTGCATGTTTGCGGTTTCGGCGCAAAAAGCGGAGGGTCCGACACAGGATCACATAACCTGCAAAGGCAGCAAGACCGATGCCTACCCCAGAGGATAGGCGGGATGATAAATGGCGGATAAGGTGCTGCATTGTACAGATGAGGGAGGACAGAGAGGAGGGGGTGGAAGATGGTGGGCTTTGGACTGTATCGCCAAAGGCGACGAACTCGGTGCCGAGGCGAGGGACTAGAGCACGACTCGACAAAGTAACTGACTGCGCAGAAGGTCGGGATGTGAAGACGATCAAGCAAGTACGGTACTGGTGGACGGATGTGTACGGCCTCGTACATGTCCGTATTAGTTAGCATGACCATGCTGCGCGGCATACATAGTTGGCGGTAACGGGGTCGAGGTCTTGGGAGACCGGATCCGGGCAATACCACAGTCAAGGACATGGATGGATGCATGAAGAGTCTACTTTTGGAGTATATGTGTATGTATATACATGTGTAAGCAGGTACACAAGCACAAGAGTACTCGAGCACATAGCCGAGTGCTTGAGTACATAGATATGTACAAAGGCAGGTAGTGCTGACTTGATCCAATGTCTTGGCCTTTGTACCAACATTTGAACACACTCACCCCCTCAACGCACGGGCGCACACGGGCGCACACGGGCGCACACGGGCGCACATGCCACCACCCAAATCGGGCTTAACGCGGGGAAGAGGATGGGGTCCGCCTCTCTTTTGATTTTGTTTTTTTTGCCTTCCTTCACCGCCATCGACAACACGCCATCCACCGCACCCCAATCACAGCTTCATTGCAGTACAGCACAGTACTTACCGATCAACTTGCTGACTCGACTCCTTGGTTGCTTGGATAGCTGGGAAGAGCTGGCGGAGCGACACAGACCATGGGCCGTCGCCCCAACCCTCTCATCCTGGAGTACTTCTCGCGCGGCCCAAAGCTCCAAGATGCGAGCAATCGTTACCAGCACACGTGCAAATCTTGCGGCGAGAAGGTGAGTCCCGCCTCCTGCCTGCCGGCCAGCCAGAATCCACTACTGCTACTGCACATACCTCTGTATGTCTTCATGTCCCCCACCACGCCGCAACAGCTTCCAACCCCCTACTAGACTGACCCCCGTCTAGTTCCCAAAAGGTCGCTCCGATAGCCTCTACAACCATCTTATCAAGAAGTGTCCTGCCCTCCCACTCCGCGACCGCCAGCGCGCTCTCCTGCAACAACACGATTTTCCTGAGCTGCCCCTCCCCGACCTTCCTCTGCCCCCCAACGCATCAACCCACAGTGGCCAGTCTGTGAGCCTGCCCTTTGCACCTTCCAAGCAGGGCCTCTCTGCACTGGAAACTCTTGCTGAAGTGTCCCGCCGACACCTCGATCTATCAGACAAACGAACCCCCGCTAGGCAAGCGCGCCACCAGCACCCCCTCCAGCCACTCGTCCATGAGACTGCCAATCACGATTTCGAATTCTTGGTGGATGATAGGCCAGATGATGATACCAGTGCCTTATCTCAGAGCTTAGACGTCTCCAATGTGCCGGCGCTGCCATCGGTATATCAGTTCAACGGCCCATTGCAGCATTCCCCTATAGACTCACAACATATGGGGGTCATTGCTCTTGCCGCCAATGAACTCATGCCGCTGGCCCACGGTGGTCTTCCTCTAGAATCTGAACTCAACTTGCCTGTTTCTGAGAAATTTTTCCACACTCAACCTCGTCATTGGGCGAACTCGATTGATCCACTCCTCCCCGACCAGGAACCAAAAGAGCACAGCGGATTGCATAATGACATGGGCAGCAAACTCCCACCAATGCCGCGCCCGATTGCCATGAACAACCCGCAGACACAGACGCATTTCACCACCGATTTCAGTGTCAACCAAAAACCTCCCAAACCCAAAGTCCGCGGTCGTTTTTCTGATTCCCGGCGCAAGGAGGTCCAAGAAGTGCGCAAGCGTGGGGCTTGCATACGCTGCCGCATGCTGAAAAAACCTTGCTCGGGCGATAATCCTTGCAGCACGTGCCAAAACGTGGAAAGTGCGAGGCTGTGGAAACAACCATGTATACGGACACGTATCGCTGAGGAATTCAACCTTTATTCTGCAGGTCTGCATGCCGTGTTAGCTTTCCATGCTGTCAGCCAAGCCAAAAACCAGATACGACTCGACCAGACACCAGGTAGGATCGAAATTACCCATCATCCCGAGTCTGGTGTTTACGCGACTTTTGCGTCTGTAAAGTGTCAATCACACGCACAAGGCTCTGAAATCGATCCTGTCGTTCTTACGTCGAACCTCCCTCCCGAACTTGAAATTATTGACGGAGACGAGGATATTGCCGGCAAACTCGATCTTTACATAAAACAGATTGGAAACTCTCTGTTAGAACTGCACAGCTCTGACTTCATGAAAGCCACCATTCAAGCTGCTCTTAGTATTCAGACGCAAGGCCAAGATGGTTTACTCATGAAGGTGTTGGAGTTGTGGAATTTGACCTGCATACTCACATCGACAACCAATGAATGGTTATTTTTTTCGAACCCATCTCTAGCTCCAAGCACAGGACCATCAGTCATGACTCCATCCGATTTGGAAACAATAAATCGGAGTCCCATAACGTCTTCCGAGCACGGAGCATCCTACGACCTCATCAAACTACAGCTTATGGGCGCCACTGAAAAACGGGCATCTTGTTTATCCCGTACTGTGATGAATGATCTCGAGCGACGTCTCCTCCAGCGACAACAGGCTAATCCATTCGAAACATTCCTTGTTGCTGTCATCCTTTTAGTTTGTGTAGAACGCATGTGCTGGCTCTTCCGCAGCTGGGAGGATCAGACCAGGGACAATCGAGATGGCGACAATGCCCACTCGCATGAACACTCAAATCAACATTCGGTAGAAGGCGATATTGCCCAAGTTCTACAATCAATTCCAACTACACAGAACGCCCAGCCGTCTTCATCCCAGTACCACCACCCGAAATGGCCCTTCGATAAACACCCTTCTTTCTACTCACAGCAAGGCGAAAGATTCAGTGACATTCTTTTAATGCTGCTCAAAATGCGTAGTGTACCACCGAAACCGCATCCTCGGGATACAGATGGAATGCTTCTTATGTGGGGCCATGAAGTCGATGATAAGATTCGCGACTGGTACGAAAATATAGGTGTTACAGGTGGCTGGCTGGCTGAATGCAGCACTGCACAGTTCATAGGGGTGGATCCAAAAGAATGGGAGCTCAAGTATGCCGGGAAGATCATCTCAGGTGTTTGATGGTTACGCTTCGGACACAGGAGGATGTGCTTCTGTTGTTGCTCCATCCCAGATGGATGAATGGATGAATGGAAGAGGTGCTGCAAGGACGCTATAGTTGGATTTTTTTCTTATAAGATACCCATACCCCATCCATGTTCTAATCCAACCCAATTGATCGATACAACTTCCATCTGCCGGAAAATCATAGACAGGCTATTTTATCGCCTGGTTCTTCGTACAATTCTTGTACAACTATGTTTGCGTGGATAAGAAACAGGTAAATCACCTTGCTAGGAATGAAGTAGGTCATAGACAGGACAGTTTCTAAACTCCTCAACGAACAGTTGTGACTAGAGACGGATCAGTCAATAATCAATGAAAAAATTACATTTTTAAACGTTATATAACGTATCCAATCCATGTGATGGATAACTAAAAACAGAATGACCCGCTACAAATAGAACAAGATCAACTACAACTCCGCGGTCCTTGAAGCGCAAGCTGTCACAAAAAAGACAGGAAAAAAAGGGGGAAAAAAGGAAAAGAGAAAACATCAGAATCTAAAAGCTGGATATCCTACAGGTATACAATTGAAAAAGGAAAGGAAACTAAAGAGGAACAACCACCGGCCACCCATTGGCGACTCCCTTAGACCCTTTAGCGTTTGTACATACCAATCTATGCACGTATGATTATACAATGACACCAAACCGAGAGGATAAACTAGATTAGTATCTTTGAATGCCGGATTACTGTAGCTTTCTCCCTGGTGTCCTCTTAGTGCGTGATTTATGCTTGGCCATGCTCCAGTCGTCCGCGCCAGCCAGCGTACCCGCGAGTGCACCGAAGTTTTCCTTTCCCAACGTGATAATCTTGATTGTATTGCCAAAGCCAACAGCTACACTTCGTTTCCCTAACTTTGTGATAGGTCCAGCGGCAGCGACAAACAGTTGCTCTTCCAACATTGGCTGATCCCCATCATCGCAATCTGATATGAGAGGTCGAGACCGAAATTCACCTGTGGAAGACAATGTCCACGCTTCCCAGCCTTCGGTATCCAGTAGGGAGGAATGGAGATGGTGTGTATGGATAGATGAGCTGGGGCTTTGGGCAGATTTGTCGAATGCATCGACTTTCATGGCTCTTTGCTTCAGGGCTGAGACCAGAACGGCTGGATCAGGAGTGGTCGTCTCGGACCCAGACGCGGTTGATGATGGCGTAGGCGACGGATTGTATTTCCGAATGCCCACTACACTCAGAGAACTCGTCGCTTCCCATGTCCCCGCAGGCTCGACGAGATGGATGGCTTCATTAGCAAAAGCCAGACCCTGGCAACTCCGCGATTCGGTGTCCGCGGGTTTTCCAAGGCATATGGAAGAAGTCGGGGTGTCATCAATGGTGAAGACGTGCATGAGCATGTTTTCTGTATCTTCTTCTGTATATGCAATAGATATGCAGTGAACAGCAGGTGCGCTGCAACCACACTTTCGACGGGTGGAATACATAACTCGGAAGGAGTGGGGCTTGATGTGTCTGACGTGGAAAGCGTGAACAAGAGCACGCCTACTGAAGTCAAATACTTCTACTTCTTCGTCACGAAGAGCAAAGATTAGACCTAATGCAGGCACACTCTCAATACATCGGATCTTCGATGGATTAGTACCGGGAGGTGGACCAGGATCTAAGCCTGCCACCATCTCCGGTGTCTTTCTACTGTCCTCGTCCAAAGACAGAATGTGCACCTCCCCTTGTTTGCTTACAAATACAAGGCTCACACCATCGCTCGAACTGCTGTAGAGAGCAGAGCAGACAATAGTACCCGAGTGTATTCGCCTGGTGTGGTGAACACCCGCCCGGGCTTCGAACTCAGTCAAATAGCCATCCGAAGTAAGTATCAAAAGGCTTGGCGACTCATGGGCTTCCCCTGACGTTAAGACGAAAGTGAACATCAGAGGAATTTGCCCACGCAAGTCCACGTGTTGAAGGCATGAGACTCTCGAGGCAGCGAGACTATAAAGGCCCACGATCCCATTATCTGTGCACATCGCAAGCACATCGCCACTGTCGTCCAACGCGCACGCCACTAGTGGCCAGAGTTTATATTTGGTCATTTTCGTATTCAGTATCGATTGGCTGAACCCGGATTTGTCGTGCAGCCAAAGTGATGTCGTCCTATCGAGGGAGACACCGACAATATGCCCCTTAGGGGACGATGTGACACGGATTATGTCCAAGGTTTGGGTGGTGGAAAGCGTACTGACTGTGAACATGGAGTCTTCGTCTTCACTCTCTTCCGCGCCCTCCGGAAGGCCCGTCCACAGGAGATAATTCATGAGCAATGTCACCCCAGCGATCAGAAATACCACTATCAAAGCGGCTGGGAAAGCGTGATGTCGAGCAAAAGTACGAAGACCATCGATGAAAGATGGCGGTGTCGGTGAAGAGTATCGCCCATTTGCGCCTTTGAGAATCACCAACAGCGGGTCGTGTATCTTGGCTATAAAGCTGTGGGCATTTGGTTTAATAAAACTGAAAAGCTCTTTCGCAGTATTGTGATCTTGTAAACGTAGCCAGTCAGCAGGTGTACGGGCCTGGTTTATCGGCGGTTGAGTCCATGGTGAGGCAGTCCTTAGCCGCTTGCTCTGCCTCCGGAATAGATTATCCTTGACAGCCTTCAATGAAAGGCTATCCGTATTACTATCAAAGAAATGCCAGTTGATGGCCAATATGATGGTTAATATGGCGGCAGTACCCGCAAACCGGGTACTGAAAGGCAGCGTTCCATGTCGCAAGGCGTGAAGCCAAGATTGCCGTTCGTGTCTGTTGTTTTGTGAAGCGTGTTTCATGTCGACGCGCTGAAGTGAGTCTGAAAGCTCCATTCGCTGCACATCAACACTGAGCACAGCGAGAAAAAAGGTGAGATGGTAGACAAGGTCGAGTACAAGCGTGACGGCGGCAAACACACAAAAATCGGCAACCCATGGCGTGACAACTCGAGAACAGAGCCATATCAGAATGAGATTTTGACCAGCCACTGCAACCGAGAGATGGCCCACTTGACCTATCGCGTGACCGATACGTTGTTGGGGCGGCATCTCGGGAGGGGTCTCAAGCACGACACTGATAAGGCGGAAGCTGTGTTGACTGTCAGTTGACCCTAAGACACGACAGCATATTGGCAAACGTACATGTTTCCTAAACCATAGCAGAATACAACTGCGGGAAACCATGGGCGGGGGATGCGTGCTAGATCGATACCGAGAAAGGTGCACACAGTGAAGCTGCCAACGACACAGATGGTCATCTAAAGATGAGTTTTAGTTTGAAGAAGAGCCGAACGCAGGATGATGCTGTTGCTTACTTTGGCGCAAATAGTAACGAGCAGGCCAAACCAACTCTTGACTGCCCGAAGCTGCATCATTCTCCAGATAACGTAGACAGCCATGATTATGTAGGAAGCGGCCAACAGGATGTCGTCATTGAGAGTCATGGGCTTGAAGCGAAACTCGTAAAGCCGGCTCTTTGTTATTTGTCCATCTTCGGGAAATAGTGACCATTCGGGTGGTAGTTCGTGGACCAATCTACGAGATCTATCATCCCATTTTGCACCCAGACCAGCACTGCTGTAGTCCAACAGTGTAATAACCAATGCATCAGCTGATCGTAGCCTTGATTTGGCAAAGACTTTGCCAGCAAAAACAGTACTTGGTCGCAAAGTCAAGTTCAAAGCAGACTGGAAGGTCGTGCGGGAATTGATGGTGGAAAGGAGGTCCTGGTCACGGTCAAGAGCCAGAAGCGAGCAGTTCCAGTACATCAAAGGCGAGTGAAACCCCCAGGGTTCACCGTCTCTCGTGGCTAGACAGTTTTCGAGATCACTATCATCACGATGCGACATGGACAAGGGGGCATCTTCGTGGAAGCCATTGCCGATGAGAACGCGCTGGACATGGAGAGCCTCGCGTAGCACGCGATGATCAATGGCTTTCATGTAGTCGCCATGTACCCATACCTGGCGCACTTGAACATCGGCTTTGCGCTCCCCCTCGACCTCGGTGGTCGAGGTCCATACATGCTTGGGTAAGTTGCGTAGCCCTGCCGCGGCGGGGCTGTCGTGCTGAAAGAGGGCAGGATAGCAGAGCAGGACAGAAATAACAATGGTCAGGAGGATAGAGAGCAGCCAATGGCGAGCTGTTGCGGTTCCGTGGGCCTGAAAAGCCCGGCGAACGGGGTGGGTAGGAGATAGTTGGGGTGGTTCGGTAGTACTGTTTGTGGTTCATTCAGCGCCTGCAAGCTAGAAACGTGATTGAGTATAGACGGCATTGTACTCACCCACGGAGCGGGTAGAGGAGATACCAGATCATCCGGAGGGCATTGATGTCACAGCTGCTGCGACCGTTGTGCGTACGAGTACGGGGGTTTGAGTCGTTGCGAGGCGATAGTGCGGCGTCGGCGAGCGGTTCGTGTGCTGGTTCGTTCGTTCATGCATGCCAGAGGGCACAGATGGCCGGCAAGAAGATGGACGGGTGGACAAATGCGTGCGGAGGTGGAAGTGGAGGTTTATACCGAGAGCGAAGGCCGATGTCACTCTGCATATACAAGCGTGAGAGCGGAAGTATGAGGATGGCGGGGAGGGGGGACGGGAGGAGGGGAGGAGGATTGGCGTATGGATTCGGTCGGGTACAGCACTACAGTAGAGCTGTTGGGGTTGACTATGAGCGTGCTCGTCGCTACAGGCAAGCAGGGCAGGGTGGTGTGGAGCGTCTAGAATGACATGAGAGATGTCAAGCGGATAGATGGCTGATACATACTTAGCTACTTAGTTGATTAGACTACCTTGGAGCAAACAGTGCATACATATGCACTACATGTACGGATGATGGTGGGTCACGGCAACACGGCGCCTTTCCGACATTCGCCAAGGGACCCACAATAGGCATGGCTTCGTGTGCGGGAACATCCGCCGATCTTCTACACGCATGCAATCGTCAATTGTGTGGGTACTGGCAAGGCGACATGCCATGTTCTTGTATTCCATTCCCACCAGCCTACTCAGCTATGTACTCAACCATGTATGCATGTGTGCATGCATCTACCGTCGTTGCGTACATGTCCTCTATCGTCTACATCGCGCCTTGACCACTACCAACCTCGTGTTATCAAGACGGAATCAAGCTCCGTCACCAAATCTTGACCCACCAACCGCCGTATATCTTCTGTAATTGTACCGTGCTATGCCACGTTGTACGAAAGACGCGCCGTAGCAGTTTGCTTTGGCTGGATAGAGCTTCGTGTGCCTCCTTGGGATCTACTACGACACATGCCAGGCTCGCTTGAGAACACGAGAAGAAGGCATCGTCCTACTTTCGTGGTCCGTAAAGCCTTTCCTGTGCTGCAAGTGGACTCTCACGTACCGTCCATATCCTCATCCTCATCGTCTTCGCCAGCGTCTTCCCAGCCCTCGCTCTCTTCGTCTTCGCCTGTCGATGGTCCCAGGATGCTGTTCAGCGAACCGAGAAGTTCCTCAGTATGACTTTTCAGCCGCTCGTCCTCGTATTCGAGCAGTGAATATAATTTCAGGCAATTTTCTAGCCAGTCACGGCTAGCGCGCCTCAGCGATGAACTCGTATCGTGGTCTTTGGCTTTCTGCTTTTCGGCGAGGAGGTGCAAGCACCAGCCTCCCAAGTACCATGCTTCCACACTGCCATCGTTTTCACCAATCAATCTCTCGAGCACCTCGATGGCTTCATCTTCCATCTCAGCCTCCATGAGCAAGCGAGATAAGCTGATCCGCGTCGAATAATCGGGGACATTGGCGTCATCTGGATCCAGGTCCTTCCACAAGTCTATGCTTCTTGTGAGGGCTGCTTTAGCATCGTCGACCCGAAGCTGAGAGATCCGCACAGATGCGAGGGTCTGAAGTGGTTCTGGACTTTCAGGTGCGATGAGGAGCGCTTCCGTGACGGCGGCATCACAGCGGATCTCGGCTTCTTCTTCCCACGAGAGATCCGTCATGTAAACCTCGGCAATACCGCATAGCGCTGTCGCCACTTTCTGTTTCTTTTCTTCCATTACCTCGAGAGAATCGGTCGTCTTTGTTGCCTGTCCCTGCAGTTCGTCCATCTCGCGCTTGAGCACAGCAATACCCTTTTCAAACCACCGCACACTGACGTTGCCCCCCTCTTCATTGAGCTGTGCAAGCCAAAGGAACTTTTCAGCGCCGTCGTGTTCGCCCTCTGGGTCCAATGCGATAGCTGCCAGAAATGACTCGCGAGCAGCTTCTGGATCTCCAAGTTCGATATTGACTTCGCCGAGGAGGTTCAACGCCGGCAAAGCAGCCAGCGTTGGCTCATCGGTAGGTTGGAGCAGGTTCAACGCTCTCCGGGCCGAGACAAGAGCGTCTTCGGGTTGTGAGGTTTGCAGGAAGGACGCAGCTTGAAGGAGCAAGGACTCCGGAGAAGCTTTTGGTTTCTTGGGCGTGCCGCTGGATGTGCTGTTTCTCGACACAGTCTTCGCTTTACGGGCACGATTTTGGGGCTTCGTCTTGGCCATGTTGGCTTGTTTTGACAGGGCGATGTGAGGTTGAAGTGTTCCAGGGAAAGAGTGCAGAGGTTGATTTGATCCAGCCAAAATAATTTCCCGCACGGGCCTTTTTTCCAACGTGGGGTGGGAAGCACCCCGCCGAATCAGCATTGCATCTTCAATAACCGCATCCCTAAGCTGTTGCACGTAGACACTCGTTGAGCCAACAACATTACCCGTAGCCGCCACAATGGGAATCGAAGAGCAAAGAGAGGAACGTGAAGTGCTCGACTCAATCTTTCCCGAAGAGATAACAGGTCCGTTCAGTCCGGCATTCTCTAAACCACTTTCGCTCATAGCAAACCTCGTAGACATCTCCGAAACCGAGTTCCGAATTTCAATACAACTCGAGATCACTAATGAAGAAGGTGACGACTCGGAATCACGTATGTTGTAGTCTTCTGCTCGTCCCTTTCAAGCATCCGCTGATACACTACAGCGACCATCATCCTCAATGTTCGTTACGCTCCCAATTATCCCGATGAAGCGCCCGATCTCGACTTGACCCAGCCACCCAATGCTCCGAAACACCCCTACCTGGATATACAGGAAGACAAGTCCAGGCTTCTCGCGTCTCTCTCCGAAACCATCACCGACAATCTCGGTATGCAGATGATTTTCACGCTCGTCATGGCTGTGAAGGATAGCGCCGAACTCCTCGTGTCCGAGCGTCAGAACGCTAAGCAGGTCCTGAAAGAGATAGAAGCGCAAAAGGCCGAAGAAGAAGAGAACAGGAAGTTCCAAGGTGAAGCTGTTACGAGGGAGAGTTTTCTCAAGTGGCGTGAAGGGTTTCGGAAAGAGATGGCCGAGGAGCGCAGGAGAAAAGAGGAGGCTGAGCTGGAAGACAAGAAAAAAGTCGGCAAAAAGGAAGAGAAGAAGTTGACGGGGAAAGAGCTATGGCAGCAAGGCCTAGTAGGCAAGGGCGACATGGAATACGAAGACGGCGAAGACGCGTTGGAAGGGATGGACAAGTTGAAGATTGAAGCAGCCTCATAATGTCGCGCTATCTACACAACGACTAATGATATACCCAAGCGGTCGTATGGCACTACGGATTCTGCACCATCTTTATTTCGCTACATCAACCAGCGTGCCTGTATCGGCCGACTTTTTCTTCCCCTTGTAACAATCTGGCCTTCTTGCTCCGCTAATTTCGTTTCTGCATCTACTATGCCCATCATCTTTTGCCTGAGAGCTCTATCATCTGCCAAATCCGCTTCGTATATCATCGTTTCCTGACGGATAGCTTGTTCTATCGCACCTACCCATGTGATGCTCGTGTTGGTTTCATCTTTCAATTCACAATGTTCCTCCAACAAAGTGTCCCATACATCTTCCTGGCTCGCAATTGGGAACCAGTAGTTGCTAAGGACGACTTTGGAATCAAACCTCTCGATTCGACTCTTGAGTTTATATCGTATGGTACGACTTAGTACGGGGGACTGCGGTTTTCCCAGTCGCAGAAATGGAATCCCATTCGCACTCGCAAGGATGGGAACATGCCGTGGCCCAGACACCTTGGCATACGGGCGCACATCTAGCGTGGACTGTTTGGATGGAAGGCAAGCGAGTGCATTCTTGGATGGTGTGGCTGTCAGCGACGAGGAGGAGGAGGGGGAGGGAATAAACGAGCGCGTGCGCGTGATGCCCGAGGGAAGGTTCGATATGATGGAGCGCAACGCATTGGTGCTTGCAGTGTTCCCACTTGTGGATGCGTCTAGGTAAGAAAGGGTCTGTTGATTGTTAGGCAAGTTGAGATTGGAGAAAGTGGTTGAAACTGGACCTTATATCCGGCCTGGAAAACGAGACCGAGTTGATGGCTACTCTGTAGCTTTCGGCTACGGCGAAATTTTTTGCAGATAGCATTGCGCAAAGAACTGCGATCTTCAGCTGACAGAGGCGCAGAGGTGCATCGCGAAAGCAGCGCTCTGTAAAGTGCGATGGCTGGAGATTAATCAGTCTCAATAGCCCAGTCATTGGCAAAAGACCTTACCTGCTGTACGATGCTCTGTCAGTTGCTTAGGTGGTATGTATCGTGGCATTCATAAAGTGGTGGAAGATTACATATGTACACCAGACATGCGACGCGTCCACGGGCTAATAAGGTGGAGGGCTCGGCTCCGCCCGTCCTGTTGTGCGCACCTGGACACGTGCATTTCACCTGGTCACGTGCTCGACCCACATTGAGCATTGTGACCCCAACATCGGAATGCTGGCATGAGTCTATCTACATATGTAGGTACATATGTATTGACGAAATCGCGGCATGACCGTTTGAATCAAGCAATGGCTGTATCGCCCACCACTCTTGACCAGAAGTGGATGGGTCATCGTGGTTCATGTCGACACCAAGGATGTACTCCATTCGCTGTCTACCTACGTAGATACCTGGGTGCTTAACCATGTAATGTTCAACCAATGGCCAATAACTCCATCCCAATGCACTACATACTCTCAGTGGCTACACCCATACAAAGGGCGATATAGCTCCTATCTCTCTTCAGCATCGCCATAGAGGGGGTATCATGGCCTCTTCCTTCCAGAATACTATGAGTAGTATCGGAGCTAATACGTGGAACCCTCGGGGGGTTGTGGAAGCTTCTTGTGCTGGGGGAGGGCCATGAACCTGTGCAAGATGAGTCCGAGGTCGAAAAGTACATGTACATGGTTGTTACGCACCTTCTCAGTTCTATCAAGATTGTCTCCATGGTAAACTCCCGTTTCCACTGAACGAGGCAGGGTAACTTGGTCGGGTCAACCTGCAGGTCTTGTTAATCTCTGTGCTACTCTGGTGCATGCTGTCCCCCGCAGGACGTGTACCTTTCCATTGCGTTGGTCGACGCAGGGCAGATTGATCTTGGACGTGAAAGAAATCTCCGGGGGGCTGTCAGGATAATCGGGGCCGCAGTGTATCTTGACACTGTAGATTCGGTTCTCGTGAACACTCTGTGCCGCCAGCATTAGACTTGACATTCGGCTGGATGCATGGATGCGAGACTTACGTGGGGAGGGCCAAGAATGGTTCCGTTCCAGTCTGACATCAACAGATCGTCGCCATTGTCAAGACCATACGAGCACGCCTCTACCGAAATGTAAGCCGTTGGCGCAATCGAAGCTGTGTGTGACTCTTCATACCAGCACCGAGACCCTTTTCGCCCTTCTCCAGCTCTTCGAGCAATCGAAAGTTGCGCGGCACCTTAGCACTCATGACCGGAATCGGAGGACGGGGGAGCGTGGAAGGATGGAACTGGGAGGTGGGAGGTGGTGGGAGGGTGGATGGGTGGTCTGCCTGTCTGTACCCCGCTACAGCCGCAGTCCAGTACGGTGCAGTACAGCACAGCACAGTACAGCACAGTGCCTTCTCAGTGAGCTAAGAAACAAGACTCGGGTGTCTATCTCTTGGACAAGACGTCTACACAAGTCGTTGATGATGGAGAGCGAGTATTCAATAATTTATTAGTTATGAGTGCGTCGTGTGTTTGCTCAGAGTTCCCCCGTCCATGCGTCCATGCAGGCAGGCCTGCGCCTTGGATCTTGGAAGGAAGGCGCACGACTTACCTAAGGTACATTACTTAGCCCACGGCATTGGTACAGCATACGACCAATCCATGCACGTGTCGTATCGCATTCCCGGACACCTCTCTCCGTCGCGACCACCACCTTGCACTTCACATACAAGCAAGCATTGACATCTCTAGAGAGCTGCATTGCTAGGGAGCCTCGCCCCAATTCTTCTCCAGCCGCCACCCTTTCATCCAATCATCCATCTTGGCCAAATGCCACCTTCATAGGCAACCCCAAGCATGACAGCACAGATCCTGGCGGCCGACTTGGGAACCCTCATACAGGACTCCAAACGCAAGAGCACCGAGTTGAGAAATGCAGCAGAAAAGTCTCTCCAGGATTTGAAGTCGCTCCCTCTCACTTCGGAAACGCAATTATCTGCAGGCTAGTCTTTGCCAAACATGCGACCGGAACCAAGTGCCATGTATACTGACTAGAGTCAGACCTCGCAAGGCGGCCACATTTCATTACTCCCTTCCTGACTGCCTGCAATTCTCGCAATGCCAGATTTATCCCAACCGGCGTTTCGGGTCTACAGAGACTTACCATTGCACGAGCTCTACCAAAAGACCGGTTGCCCGAAGTTCTCCATGCCCTCAAGGAATGCTTGTCTTCAAGTGCGTAGACTATGTGCATCTGTTCACCACTGAGATTCTCAGCTGACCGACCCAGGCCATGATGTGCAGCTGAAGATTTTGCAGGCTCTGCCCTCGTTGATTCAGAATTACCCCGATGAGATACGTGGTGATTTGCTGTCCACTATCCTCCACATATGCTCGTCTCTACACAATGCCAAGAACGGTGCTGTTAGCAATACTGCGGCAGCGGCCTTGCAACAGCTTGTTATCAGTGTATTCGATCGCGTGGCTTCAGAAGACGGTGATACTCTGACCTCTTGTAGCAGCTTGCTCGTCGCTGACCTTCGTACCAGAACAGGCATTGGAAATACCTACAATTACAGATGTGCAGGGCGACGATGGATCCATACCATTAAGACCCGCAGCCCTTGATGCTTACAAGGTTAGCAATCCCATGTTCTGTCTGGCTTGTATCTAATCTGCTAGGTTTTCAACGATTTGAGCCTTCTTGTCACGGGAGAGAAGCCTGTCTTTATACAATTTTCACCAATACCAGCAGCAGCCACACTGGAAGTTATCGAGGCCATTCTCTCCAACCACAGCTCAGTTATGACCACTCATTCTGAACAGATACATCTCTTACGGTCTTTGCTCATGCCAACCATCATCCGCTCACTTTCGGATCGATTGTCATTCCCAGTCACACTCCGGATAATTCGGGTTCTTAGTCTGATTCTCCGGCGACACATCAAAATCATGCCATCCGAATGTGAGATTGCACTGGGTCTTCTCAACCACATGCTAGATCCCGAGGCAGCAAACCAATGGAAACGGGTGCTCTGTCTCGAGGTGTTTCGTGGCATCTATGCCGACCCACGTCTTGTGCTTCAAATATTCTCTCTCTATGACATGCAAAACGGCAAAAAGAATATTTTTGGCGATAATTTGACGTCATTTGTTCGCTTGTCTACCGAGAAACCAACCCTCATAGGTCTTGGCCAGCACTCTACATTGCCATCAAATCGAACCAGAAGCAAAGACGTCCCGCCAGATCATGCAGTCGCTGAGGCGGATGCTCTTGCCGGGGTGATTGTAGGGCCAGCGGTAGATATGAACCACAGCGGGCAGCCGGCAGGTATTAGTGCCCAATGGAGCAACCTGAAGACGGCTTGTATCGAGCATCTTGACAAATCAGAGCCTCCAAACATCCCGGAAACGTACGCTTTCAGTCTGGTACTGACGTGTATCACGAATATCTCTGAGAGTCTGGCTAAGTTCATACTTCCTCTCACGGTGCACCATGATAATAAGAGTAAGAAGAAGAACAAACCAGAGGAGTCTACTCATTCTGAAACAGTGTCGGGCTCGGCTTCCTCCAATACACAGCTCTCTCGGACGCAATCGTTCCGAAAGAAAACAATACCTATCAATCCGCTTGACTTGGAAGGGCACCCGTCTTACTTATATATAAAAACTTCAGCTGCGCTGGTCGTCGACTGTTGGCCAGCAATTCTTGCTACTTGTTCGACCTTTCTCAACGCTGCTCTTGACACCGACTACTATCGCGCTTTAGTCCGAGCAATACAAAAGTTTACACAAGTTGCTGGACTTCTAAGACTAACAACGCCTCGCGATGCATTTCTCACCACGCTGGGCAAAGCCGTGGTGCCATCAAGCATGCTTCTCGCCAACGTATCGTCGCCAAGGTCACCAACTGGCGAGCACCAGGGAACGCAAGTCAATACAAATGAATCTTCCAGCAGCATGGATGATATGCCAAGTCAAAATTTGCCAACGAAAGATCGAAATCACCGTTCGTTCCGCGAAATTAATCTCCCTACACTGGGCCCTCGAAACCTCCTCTGCTTACGAGCATTACTCAATCTTGCGATAGCTTTAGGGCCAACCTTAAACTCCGCGTGGTCCATTGCTTTCGAAACTTTGCAAGTTGCAGATTTTGTGATGGCGATGTCGAACCAGGGTACGACACGGACACTAAGTAGCGCAGGAACACATGCCGAGCCTGATACTTCGATGGCAAAAGTAGAGGCAGAGACATCAGCTGTTCAAGCAGCTGCTCGAAGATTGTTCGAAAGTACCGTAGACTTCCCAAATGACTCTTTTGTGGAAGTGCTACAAGCACTGTGCGCGCTTGTTGTTGACGATAATCACACTTCAAAAATTGACCAGCCCCGGACTGGTCGACCACAAGCGTTACATCAGCGACGCCTAGGGAGTGTATCGGGAATCTCCATAGGTACCGATATGTATTCACGAGACTCTGCGTTTGCACTAAACAAGATCGGAGAGCTTGCTGCGCTGAATGAGGAGAGGCTTGCTCATTTTGATCCGTCCGAGAGCGGGTGGAGTGTTCTTGTCGCAGAACTTATCCGCTATTCCACAGACGACCGTAGAACGACCCAAACAAGGCTGCTCTCCGCTGACATTCTGTCTCGAACCGTTAGGGAAATTGCGGGGTTGTCGACATCTGTTGAGAACCGAGATGATACACAAGCACGCATCCTCTCTGCTCTACACACTCAGATATCGGCATTGCATCAGAATCATCCAGCGTCCCAAGAGTCGTATAGTGACACCGATGTTCGCGTACACCAGCTGGCCCTTGAAGCACTTAGAAACGTCATCGAGCAATGCGGCGAATCTTTGACTGCTGGTTGGGCTTCTGTTTTCCATTGTTTGCTGAGTGTCTTCCCACAAAGGTCTTCATCCAGCCATGCTGAAGTGCGACCAATTTTGAAAAATAATCAAATCAGCGACGAGTATGAGCTGGTCAGAGTTATTTCGAGGTCTCTGGCACGCACCGCATTCGATACAGTGCAATTTGTTTGCTCGGATTTCCTCGCGGCTGTCCCAAACACATCGCTAGCGAGTCTATTAGAGCTTTTATTAAGGTTTTCTTGTCAGCAGGATGATTTGAACATGTCACTCACTGTAAGACTTCCTTTCTGACGATTTTAATGCGTAATTGATCAATTGTAGGCTGTCACCTTCTTCTGGAACGTGTCCGACTTTCTACACGTACGTGGTGATCTTGCCCAATTGCGGGACACACTCGGCGATGTACAGCAGCTAGATGATATACGGCAAGTCGTTCTGTCGAAATCACGAGAAGGCGATATATCTGCATTATGGACGCAAGTGCCATTGAACTTATCAATTGTTACAACTGATAGACGTGCGGAGCTACGGAACACGGCGATACAAACCATCCAAAGGATCTTTGAGAATTACATCGATCAACTCTCCTCTACTTCATGGATGTTGTGCTTGCGCACTGTCTTGTTTGGCATGATTGAGTCCAATCTAGCTGCACAGTGCGCAATCCGCAGTCGAAGTTCTTCAAATGGAGACTTGGAGGCTTGGAACGATACGACAACGAGCATATTAGACTCAGTCACTGATCTCCTCTCAGTATATATGGAAAAGTTTGATGATGCTGCATTGTTTGGGGAGGCATGGTCAGAGCTTTTGGAACACTTCCGAAAATACTTCCTCCATGGTTCGCACGCACTTGGATGTGCAGTATTTGTTGCCATAACGAAGGTTCTAGCTCGGCTCCCAGATGTGCGAGCGCTCGGTGTCACACCCCTACTCAAAACGACACAAGTTTGGTCAGAGTACTTTGACGGTCGAGACAGTTGGCGAACTGGCCCAGACAAGAACCAAGACGCGTTTGTGGCCTACGCACACACTTTCAAGGAGATGTATCGATTAGCTGGTCAGCATCTGGAGAGCAAGGACGTGAAGCTCATGCTGGGCAACCTTGAAATGTGTATAGTATATTCGGACGAAGTGCCATATTCATCCGACATTGATAACATGACGCAGCTTCAACAGCTGGCCATCGAATGCTTCGGGAATGTTCGCTCTGACAGCCCTGGGTTGCCCGAATTTCTCATCCGCACGTTGAGCCGATTGGTTGTCTTGCCATACTCAGCACAGACTGACTTGACGAAGCGCGGACCGACCTTTGTAGCGCTGTCTAAGGCGTCGATGGGACTGTTGGAAGCAACCATTTCGAAGCATGTGGCAGATGACAAAGTATACTCTGACGACGCACTCGCTTGCGCCTTGACCAGCCTAGCGAGACCAATAGAGGAGAAGTATGCGTGGCAAAGAGAGGGTAAACCACCTGCCCTGTGGCAAAAGGCTACCTCGACAACGTTGGAGATCCTAGGGCATACCTTGGACACAATTGACCACATGGGCACGGAAGAATCACAAAGGATGTGGGAACAAATTGTCACCATCGCAAGTGGGATTTTGGGCGCACGTATCAACCCAAGCATGACACTCGCTTCTCTGCAGAAGGATGAAGATTTCGACCGAGAAGCATTCAGCAAGCTCCGCGACCTCATCACATTGCCACTTGGTTCCCCAAGAATACCAGATGAGCTCCGGAGGAGATACACTCGACATGTGTTTGAAACGTCAATCATACATGAGCCTGTAGCGGGTGAGATAGCCGATGTCGCGAACAGCCCATTGGAAGACGTGTATAAAATACGTCTCGGGCGCACAGACGATAGGCTACCAAAGCCTAGGGTGGAAATGGCGTACATGTGCATGTCGGAGCTCTTCAGCCTCACGTCTGCGCAGGATGGCAGCGCGAGCCGAGTCAAACTCGCACAAGCTGCAGCGCCGTATCTGATACTGCGAGTGGCACTGGTGCTCCGAGCGTTCATTGCAGATCACGGGCTACGAGGGCGGATGCCGCAGCCAGAGAGTCATAGACGAGAGCTGCTGTTTGTGCTGGGGGAGATGGGCAAGTTGAAGAGCGAACCAGCAGCGATACCAGACGTGGCGGGGGTGAGGAGCAAGCATAGAAAACACGTGCATCGAATCTACCCGCTGGTGGTCAAGGCCATGCGGGTTGCGGGGAAGGACGAGCAAGTATTTGAGGCTTTGGTGGGGCTGACGGAGATAGTTGGGATGGAAATCTGTTGATTTGAATGGATAACGAGATGTAGCAACAAAGACATTGAGGGGTTATGCATGAGCTGAGGTCATGTTGTGGGGAGGCAGTGGCACACGAGCGGATAACGATGCCGCGCGCGCGTATATATACATGTATATACCTAGGGATATATATGTGTGTGTGTGTGTGTGTGCAGGTAGATGGAGAAGAAAGGCGACCGCCAAGGCTCAGGGTCAGGGTCAGGGTCAGGGTCAGGGAACGACGTCACTGTCCAAGCATCACATCACAATGTAATGCTGCATAGATAGGTGCAAGTCGAGGCAATGGTGTACGCAGTTGGCGGCAAGCAAACGGGTACCCAGGCAGATGCAGTGCACACCTGGATAAGAGGGTACACATGTCCAAGTGCTCTACCAAGTGCCAAAGTCGATGCTTGAGTAGGTGCACCAGTCAACTAACGACAGGGGCCAGGGCGGGTCGGGTCCCAGGGGCCAGACACACACACACACATAACTTGCCCTCTCCCTCTCTCCCCACACGCGATCAACACACGCACACACACACACATCCTCTTCTTACTTTCTGCACTCTGCCATACTGCCGTATCTACACAACCACATACTGGTACGCTTCTGCCCTCCGCTCTCGCACCCAAACCATCGCTGTCACATACACGCACATGCCGGCCATGTTTCCTTTTCCCAAGCAACATGGCTTTCACGTGCTATACATGCGTACATACCTTGTACATAGCGTCGTCCACTGACCGCACTTCCAGAACAGAACCTCTGCCAAACCATGGCCGCTGAGAATGCGCCCTTGGACCCTTACAACTCCATTCGCTACATCCAACAGTCGTACGACATCAACGACTCCCACGCCTCGGCTCTGAACCTCGTCCTCGCCTTGCGTCCCCAATGGCGGGAATCCCAAGACACCATCGAATTTGTGCGCTTCACCGATGGCATCACAAATACAGTATGTTACCATCCGGCCACTGCATACCACATCGTATCCAGCCATGTCCAGTGCCCACAGATTAGACTCAATCCGTCTTGCTGACATGGCCGTGCTAGCTCATGAAGGCCGTCAACAAGAGACCGGGCACCTCCAAATCCGACATTGATCGCGATGCCATTCTACTACGCGCCTATGGCAAAGGCACCGATGTGTTGATAGACCGTAAAAGTACGTCTGCAACACCCCCCTCCTTCTTCCCCGGTCGCCCATGCACTCCTGACGTCGAGCTCATGCCTGAATAGAGGAAACATCGTCGCATTGCCTGCTCGCTCGACACAACCTGGCTCCCTCTCTGCTTGCGCGCTTCGACAACGGTCTCCTCTACAATTTTATACAGGGCGACGTGTGCCAGCCTGTCGATCTTCGCAGGCCGGAAGTATGGCGAGGTGTAGCGCAGAGACTTGGACAATGGCATGCTACCTTACCAATATCGAGCATCAGCACAACGTGTCCAACCCCAACTGAGATCACCCCCTCAAACAAGCGTGCTTCGTTGGTAGCCATTTCTCAACTGACGCCCGGAAAACCCATCCCAAACATATGGACCATCATGCAGAAGTGGATTCTTGCGCTGCCCATAAGCACCACCACGCAAGTTCATCGCCGCGACGAATTACAGCGTGAGCTGGAGTGGCTGGTCAACCAGCTAGGTGATTCTCCCGGCATTGGCGGCTCAAACCCCTTCGTCTTCGCCCATTGCGACCTCTTGAGCGGCAATGTCATTGTTGAGTCAGCGCCATCTTCCGCTGCCGCCTCTCGCCGCTCTAGTGCATCCGACGTCTCTGATGGTGATGAAGAAGCTGCTGCTTCCGTGTCTTTTATTGATTACGAGTATGCTTCCCCCGCCCCTGCTTCCTTCGACATTGCAAACCACTTTGCGGAATGGGGGGGTTTTGATTGCGACTATACGGCGTTGCCCACGCGCCACGTCCGCCGGTGCTTCCTCCGCGAATATCTTCGTAGCTTTGCCGGGCATCTGAATCGCACATACAACGAGTCGGAGCTGGATGACGCGTTGGAACAAGTGGACAGGTTTCGAGGCGTACCCGGCTTTTACTGGGGCATATGGGCTCTGATCCAGGCTCAAATCTCCTTGATCGAGTTCGACTACGCTGGGTATGCTGAAATCAGGTTAGGTGAGTACTGGGCGTGGAAGCGTGAGACTAGCGGCGCGAGGGCAAAGGCTGGAGATGAAATGCCGTTACGGGAAAGAATATGGGCGAAGGAATGAAAGTATACAAAATGTTTGCATCTTTTTATTTTGTACATATGGATTGCATCACTTCCTCCTACTCTAGTATATGGGGAATTGGCCTCTCGAGTTGCCCGTCGTGTCCACCAATTCACACTAGCTAATATAATCACAATCATGCCCACGTTTGATTTCCTGGTCTCGATATCAAACTGGCAAAGAGAAAAAGCAACTTTTTAACCCCCAAATCGAGACAAGAAAAAGAAAAAGGAAAAGAGAAAGAAAGAAAACCAGGGAGAGGCCGTTTTTTCATCAAATCATGACTTCATGTTCATGCAGTTTCGTCGAGGATGAAATGAATTCTTTCAGGCTGTTCCTGCTTCCTCGGGCGCTGGGATGGTCCCGTTGGCCAGCCAATCGACATCCCCAACCTGCAATCCAGGCTCAAACGCACCCTCGTCGAAATTGAACGTCTCTCCCACAGCATCCAGGTTCAACAGACTGTCAAAGTCTCCGTCATCGAATTCGTGTGTAATGGGCAAGCTGCTGAACAACACTTCGTCGTCCTGGTGGTGATTGATGTTGTTCAGGGGATTCGGTGGGAGCTCCATCGTGCTGTACTTGTTGAACGGTGTGGGCTCCGCTGCCGCTGCTGTGGGGATTGGGTCTTGGGAGATGGTCATGGATGGAATTTGAATATCGTGGTCATTGTCCGACTCGGGCGGCGTGGAAGCTAGGAAGAATTCTAGCCGTCGGGCCACCTCGTCATCGGTTACATTGTTGGTCGCGGCCGATGTCTTCTCCAGCATGTGCATATTGGTGGTTCCATCATTGCTGCTGCTGCTGCTGCTGCTGCTGTTGTTATCAGGAGGAGGTGTCAGGGTTGAGCGTTGTAGATGGTGAGATGCAGTCACTGTCGCACAGGTTGCAGTGGTCTGGATATCCAGCCTCCTTCCAGCATCCACGAGGTCTTCGACTGAGGTTACAGGAGATGGTTTCGCCACCACGGATGAGGCGCTATGATCGCCAGGTGGGTGCACAGTTGTGGGAGCAATGTGTATGCCGGCTTTGCGGATCGCGGCCTCGAGAAACGCTGTAGAGTAGTCGGCAGCGGCGTATAGATCACGCATTTTCCCCATGACTACCATGCATTGACAGAAACCTCTAAGTGACGCTCTACGTGTGTCTTCTTCGGGAGCCTTGATATCCAGGAGATGAATGATGATCGCCGGAAGCAGGACTGTCACGCCAGTCGTGGGCAAATATTTGACCAAGTCCAAGGAGTCAAGACGTTGTGCAATTGATGTTATAGCTGAAGCAGCACGGCGCACGTTTCGACGCGACACCTCGAGGACTTCAGAAGCGATCTTTACTTTAGCAGGCATGCTTGCCGGTCCTCCTTGTGATGAAGGAAGAACCTGGGGACGGTGAAGAGCAGAAAGAGTGGTGAAGAAAACCATGTGCAAAAGGGCACGATTCACATCCAACGAACTCTCGCCGCTATAGTTTTCCGAGTATTTAGCTTCAGACGGCAACCCACTGACCCAGCTTTGGAGCACTTCGTCACAATCCTTGACTCCGCTAGCTTCTGCGTCCAATTTCTTGGGTAGCAGCATCATCGTCGTTCGATCGTTCTGAAGCCCGTGGTTGTTGTTGAGAACACAATATTGTTTGGACAGTACATGCGAGATACACAGGCAGAGCCTTGCCTTCTCGATACACATGATGGCCAGTTGACGCTGCAGGTCGACATTTCTGGCGACACGGCAGTCTGCAGGTACGCAAGAAATTGCATCAGAAATCGGTGCCAGCTCAAAATCGTCAAGCGTCAACATGGGCACATCGAAGTCTTCGGTTTTTATCCGAGTCGGCCGCCGCATACCCAAGGCGATCAGGCGATCGCGCATGTAGGTGGACCACCATATTCGTTTCCACAGTTTTGTACGCTTCGAGTCGAGGTTCGATTTATCTGGGTTGCGGTGAAGGCCAATGGTGTGTGCGACGGAAGTTGCAACGCCCATCCAATGCCACGTATCCTTCTGATCATCTGGCGTCTCGTAATAATAGGTCAAAAGTAATAAAGCTTGCACGAGCGAAACCCGGTCAGATTCATAGTCAAAGTCGTACAAGATCTGGAATAATGGTCAGCAATCACATGTTCCAAGGCAACGCGCACGCTTTACTGTCGTGAAACCCAGAGCCGGGTTGATTTGCCATCACATGGCTTTCAAGCTTACCCTGGTTTTCTGGAAGAAATCTTTACGGGCCGCCTTCCTGGTTGTGTACCCAGCAATGCGCAAATGGTTCATGTCGACGAAAGCTGAACCGGCGAACATGACGGCCTGAAACAATATCAGGCTGACTTTTCCCCGGCTGCCATCGGGACGGTCAATCATATCCAGAAAGTCATGGAGGTCCAGCAGGGGCATGTATGGATGCACAAATTCGATGTAGGCGCGCAACATCTCGCTTCGCAGGGTGCCTTTGGGGATGGTCAAGGCACCCTTTTTATCCAGATAAGCAACCTCATCCGGGCCAATTTTGGACGGAAGCGGTTTGATGAAAGGCGGCAATGCGCCTACATTGGGAGGTGGGGAGAGATTCGCAAAATAGGGTGGCCGGCTTTCCCGGGGAAAGGGCGCAAAAGGCAGGATGGGTAAGCCATTGGTTTGCGATGAGACGGACAGGCGACGATGCAAATCGGAGATGGAGCTCAAATGTCCATGATGTTGATCTGCGAAGCTGTTAATACATGCATGTGACTGGATAATCGTGGCCATTGGTGGTGGGACGGCTCAACGCACAGATGGAATGTGGCACGTGTTCGTCCAGCCGCGGCTCTTCATGTGACCGACAGGATGCGGCTGAGTTCAAGTGCTGGATGCTGTCCAGGGCGTCACGCGAAGCCAGTTTACGATTGATGCTAGAGGAAGTGACTGCGGTAGCGGCGGTGGCGGTAGATGCGGTTGTGGTTTCGGTGTGTTTCTCGTCGTCTTTGCTCCATTTCCTGTCGAGGTTAGCATTTTTGTTTCGTGAGATACTTGTACGCTTGCCGCGATTCGAAGCCGACAACGAATGACGGTATGCTTATCATGATCGGATCAAGCGCCATGTTTGGTTATGAAATTGAAACCCAAAAAAGAAAACAAAATATAGGGGGCGACGGGTTGAGTTGACAGGGCACTAACTTTTTTCTCCTGCTCTCCGACACGATACACTCAACTTCGTCCAATCTACAATTTGTGCAAGGTGCGCCATGTTCGGTAACATTGCAGCGGACTTTTCGGGCTCGACAGCATTGGCAAGCTTTGGAAGCTCTCCGCTTCACGGAACGTCCGGTAGCAGTGCCGTCCAACCCTGCTTGGAGGGCTTTGCGCTTGGGCGGTTGTGGTATGTCGAACTGGTCGGACGGTGAAGTCGAGCACTCGGACATGGCCAGGAAGCTTTGCGAGGGATTGATGGCGTTTGGCCCTTTTTTTTTTTGTTTTCTTTGCCTCCTTCCCGTCCGAGGCGATGGTGTTGTTCTTTGCTGTATAGTTTTTCCGCGGGTTGGAACGGCAGATGGGATGGATGGTTCAATCAATGGTTCAATCAGGCAATCAATCACTCAACCGACGATGTATGGGACAAACAAATGGATCAATGGCTGGGGATGCGAGGGTAACAGATGGGGAAAAGAGCAAGAAAGGCAAGGCAAAGGATGGGCCACCGGGGGGGTGAGGGGATGGCAGAGGTTATGTACGGCAATTGGTTTCGCCATGGACGGTGGATTCGCTCTAATGGCAGTCGAGTCGGACTGGGGCAAGTGACATGACACGCATGGGGACCTTCACGGGCGGCGGTGGTGGGGAATTGCGCTAAGCCCCAGGCGCCTCCCCCCCCCCCCCCCCCCCCCCCCCCCAGAAAGCCCCAGATTTACGCTGCCTGGCTGCCCGCCTGGGCATAGCAGAAATATCATATGCACGGGGTGGATGGGTGGAAGGATGGAAGGATGGAAGGGTGAATGGATGGATGGATGGATGGACGGTCGGCCGGCCTCGGCACAAGAAATCCGCTGATGATGGTGATGGTGATGACGGTGATGATGATTGACCGATTACATTCGTTCATCCATCATCCATCCATCCATCCATCCATCCATCCATTCGTTTACTTTACCGTGATCTGGCGTCTACAAAGCAAGGCCTGCGAGAGACGGTGCGCGCGTGCCAGCCGGGCAGCTCCGGCACAGCAGCACCTTGCTGGACCCCTTCCCGCGCTTGGTCCCTTGCGGTCATGATGGAATGCGTGTTTGTCTGTCTGTCTGTCTGCCCTTGGTCTGCTAACAGCAATGATGAATGGTGTTGAGGGGCTACTGAATGGTGCGCTAGGCTGACTTGGGCATCTCGAGTCATGCAGCCCACATCACCAAATCCGACATGTACGTACAGCAGACAAGACGCGCGGAAGAGGGTTTCCTGTAACGTGTGCACTCCGTTTACTGCTTTTCTTCGTCTCCCAAGTCTGCATCCAGCAAGGTCCACGTTCATGTGCAGCGAGGGAAGGAAGAAGAAGAACAAGAGAGCGAGACGCCATCTCGGCCGAGCTGCACGTATTCGCGTTGCGTCGTACTTGGCCAAGTGCCTCGGTACCTCAGAATATATGCCATAGGTAGGTGATGGATGCTTCAAGGAGAACGACATTAGGAAAGGAAAAAAAAAAATAGTCGACGCCTCTCCAACCGTCTCACGGTTCGCCTTGCCATGCGCCCAGTCACAACCCCGGCTCTTCCCCATGGCCGCATAACGGCAATCTCCGCATCTTTCAAACGATCCATTTTTCCCTCCGTGGAACTAAAAAGAGTCGGTCAGTCAGAGAATGCCCACATGACCACGGCGGCCGCTTCAAATGTTGTTTCCCAAGACGTTGTTTGTCTGCTAACTGACGTTGAGACACGGCGTTGCATCCCCAGCAGCTGCATCTTCATCCCCCCCATCCTTCACATGCAGATTACCACCATTATCAGTAAATGAACGTGTGGGGCAATACCTACATGTACGCATCCACCTATGTGTGTATGCACATATTCAAAGCGCGCACGAGCGGCGCTGTGGGGGTCGCGTCGCGTCCGTCGGTCGAGACTCGGACCTGACTGCAGGTTTCGCTCGACTTAGTTTCCAAACACACATCCCGATCCATCGAAACCCCGTCGCCGACATGTAACCGTGTCTCTTTGTATACTCTTCACCTACTCCGTCAGATACGTGCACACCTTGTGAGGACATACCCAAGGAAGCAGTCCTCATCAGCATTGCCTCATTCCATGATCGATCGATCGAATCGATTGCTGTTTCTGCGCCTCATCTAACCGAGTCCAGCCTAGTCTCGACTGGCTCACCCCCACCCCATCTAGGTGGCTGCTCTGAACTCATACATCAAGTGCCCATCCATGTATGCTTCAGACAATGTCCCCTGCTCTCGATACCCTTCCACCCGAGATTCTTTTCCACATCCTTTCCTTCACCGACCCCTTCCTGACCTCTTCACTTCCCAACCATCCCCTCTACTCGGTCGCTGCCACTTCCAACCATCTGTCCGACATTGTCGAGGAATACTCTCGCGGACTGCTCAAGCGCCATGCCAACATAGCGCCCTCCAAAACCCCCAAAGCTGCTACCTTGCCCTGCAGAAGGCGATGGGTACGATGGATCAAGGAGACGTGTCAGATTTGTCGTAGAGCGAGCAAGAGGAAAGCCATTCTGGAGGCTGGTCAGACCTGCTGCGCAAAATGCGACCGAGAGAAATATCCAAAAATGGTTGGTTCGGTTTCATTCCATTCGCTGCAATGTATCAAGTCGATAAAGAGAGAGAGATGCTTCACCATCAGCGGCTAATTCTAGAAACGCAGACGCAAACTGACGCCATCAACACTCACGGCCTGTCAAAATTGGACATCTTCACTCCAAACGCTTTGCACCCCAATCTACCGCCTCTCTCTCTCGGAACCTACATGTGTATGGGTGGTAGCACATTGATGCTTGCCACCAACTCTGTGCTTAGCCGCAAGGCACATATTCATGGACTGCTCGGGGTGGAGAAGGCGTCGGACACCCAGTTCCTGCGGCGGAGAGTGGCTGCTCACGATCGTTTGATCAAGCACATGGGCATCGTCTTCCAAGTAAGGGCTGGCACGGGCATATGGGTCAAGAGACGTCAACCAGGCCGGGATGATCGACGTCATGGCGGGTCAGAGGTCAAGGCTAAGACTCCCTTGAGCATGGCTTCGGCGCAGACGAGGGATACCTACGTGAATATCAATCTGGAAAAGGAATGGGCTGCCATGGGCATGAGCGTTCGTGAAGCTGATCCATCATATTCATGTCAGCCCTCTGCACCACTTCGAACTTGACTGCAAACAGTCACAAAGTGTTTTGTTTAATAAATGTCCGGTGTTTTCTAGAGGAAAAATCACACCCCTCTATATCCATATCGATCTAATGTACCCATTTTTTTCCACCTCGACGCGGGTCTTCTTTATTCGTTGGCTTCGTCGGCCGCCTGCAGTTCCAACTCCACCTCTGCAATGACAACTTTTCTCACCCCTTCCCAACCTTCCGCCTTCTTGACGTGGCTGACCCTTCTTGGCTTATCCTCCAAGCCCCTGAACTCGGCAGGCAACACTTGATCTCTGAAGTATCCCATGTCTCCAGGAAGGGCACGCTCTACAGCATTACTGAACTTGGCTGGGTGTGCCGTGGCAAGCGAGATGTGGTGTGTGGATGGCGGTTTGGACACCTCCGCCGAACGCAGGGCGGCATGAATACCAATGGCCGAGTGGGGATCCAAAACGTACTGTTTCGAAGTCGGCGCGTTGAAGGTGGAACGGATGGTCTCCAAAACCTCATCATCGCTGACACGATACGAGGCGAAGTCCTTTTGCGCGGCTTCTAGAATCTGTTTATCAACGCCAAACCCGCCTTTGGACTTCAGTTCGTTGAGCCAGTTGCGCACATGATCCCCTGCCTGAGCGCGACGTTGCGAAACGGCATCTCCGGATGTGCTGTAAACTTGGTAAGATAGGTACCAGAGCAACCGCTCAAAATTGGAAGAAACGAGTATGTCCATGGCCGGACTCAACGTCTCCTTGACACCGCCTTCGTGGGCTTTGACGCCATCTTCGACCAGTCCGCCTTCGGCTTCTTTTCCATACACCGGATGCTTCTCATATTTTCCCGACTGCCAGAATCTGTGGAGAATATCGTTTTCGTTTGTGGCAATTATCAGCTTCTCGACAGGCAATCCCATGCGTTTAGCGAAGTAGCCGGCAAGAATATCGCCAAAGTTTCCAGTTGGTACGACAAAACGAATAGTTGAGGCAGGAAGAAAAGAAGTTTGCCGAATGAGGTTGAAGTAAGAGTGGAAGTAGTAGGTGATTTGGGCGAGGATACGGGCCCAGTTGATAGAATTTACGGCGGCCAAACGGTGGGTCTTGTTGATCTCCGGGTCGGCGAAGAGGGCTTTGACAAAGTCCTTTGACAGATAAGCGCACGAGTGGTTATATAATGCACGGGGGACCTACTTGACAGTCATCGAAGGTACCATCGACAGCAAGGTTGTGAACGTTGGCATCCAACACAGTCGTCATCTGAGCTTCCTGCACTGCGCTGACCTTGCCATGTGGGTGCATGATGAACACAGATACATCCTTCTTCCCTCGCAGCCCGTAAATGGCAGCGGAACCGGTATCTCCACTTGTGGCGCCAATTACAGTCAAATGCTCCCTGGCACGACCAGCCTTGCCTTGGTTCCTCCGCACGAGGAAGTACTCGAAAAGATTGCCCAGAAATTGCAGCGCCACGTCCTTGAAAGCAAAGGTCGGGCCGTGGAAGAGTTCGAGCAGATGTATGTTCTTGTCTTGGTCCAGCGTGACGGTGGGGGTTACGTCGTCGCTTCGGAAAGTAGCATAACTGCGGCGGATGATGTCCTTCAAGTCGGAAGCGGGTATCTCTGCTGGCGAAATGTAGAGGGAGAAGATCTCGTATGCGAGTTCTTGGAAGGAAAGATGCTGCCATTTGGAGGCCCAGTCGCTGGGGAGAGAGGGTATCTCTTCTGGGATGAAGAGGCCGCCATCGGAGGCAAGACCCTTGAGGACTACTTCTTCAAAGGAGAACTAGGACGATGCGTCAAAAGGTGGGTTCGACTTGAATATGGACAGCAGCAGTCTCACATCATAAGAGCCTCCGCGGGTGCTGAGGTAGCGCTGGGAAGCCGTGTGTGACGACATGAGTGTGACGATGAGGAGAGAGATTGGGGATTGAAGGGCGGGGGGTCACGAAACGTAAAAAAGCGAGTTGTAGGTTGTTGGCTATGTACGTGATGAATACCCCGCGGGGTGAAAACCGTCATCAACATAGGTAATCTACATAAGTACATACTTAGCTAGGGACACTACCAGCAGGTCCGCAATCGCACCTGTGGCGCACCCTGGCGACTGCTGTGCATGTAGGTATTTGTAGCCATGGCCGTCAGTAATGCATACATGCACCCTACAGTAAAGCAATTGGCCCTTATTAGATGCCCGGCTGCTTCCAGTACGTGGTCTGCACATAGTATGTGCATTAATGTACACGTATTACCTTCTGCCGGAGAGAAAAAAATTTGTGTGAAAAGCGGCGACATCGGCCGCGGTCGGTGCGCACTGGGCCTCCCGCTGGCCTAGCAATAACCCATCCAACGCGGCCAGCTCCTAGCTCTCTATTATACAATTTTATAAAACAAATACATTACTATAATATTAACAGTAGAGTAGTAGGAGATGATTCATCAAATAAAAGAAGAGAAGCAGCATTTGGATGTCATTATCGATACCCTCACAGAGCACACAGCGTGGGAAATGCAATAGTTAGGTCTTGCTGCAACAAAATTGTTATTAGTAAGAAAAAAAGGGGTGTCTCAGACGGCACCTAGGTTCGCGTCAAAGACAAATCCTCAATAGCAGCATTAAGGATTGGCGACGAGTATTTTCTGCCGCGATGTGATTGTTGTCCACTAATATACTACCTACAGTACGTAGCCTATGCTCTATTAACATCGCGCTGCAGTAAGTGAAGTTTCAGACCTTTGGTCTCTCTAGACAGACAACAGAATGTAGAATCAAAACTGATGGCTCTAATCTAATTGGAAAAAAGAGCAGAGTTGCGTGAAAACCCGTCTAGTTCCTATGGATACAAGGCTGAACTGGTGATTCAAGGCGCGATACAAATCTGTAATGATCAGGGTCAAGTGCCTAATGGACAACATAGGAGCGAATGAGGGTGCGGATGCTGACTGTCATTCAAGAACATTTGAATGCACTACTCAGCTGAAGCAAGGCGTTCCTATATTGAGTGAGGAAGTACAAGCTTAGTACAGAGGAAGGGTGGTGGGTTGCTCTTTCCTCGTGGGCAGCACCTTCCATCTGAAATGGCTTGGCACGTCAAGCACTTCAAAACTCGTAGCAAGATGTAGAATGTAGTCTTCAGCTTACTTCAAACTAATATGAAGTGCGTGAATTTTTCGTTTTCATGATGTAGCTAACAAGTATACAGTCACTTCTCGAACTACAGCTGGTCTTTGGCCAGTACAACTGCCGCGAGCTCCGAGCTCACGCATCCGAGCGAGCCTCTCTCCCTCCCAATTAGTAAGTAAACTCTCTTATTAATGCAGAATTCAGTGTCGGTCACTGGCTTGACGTCTTGACACAGAAATCTTCGTCAATTTACATGGCATGATGACTGTTTGAAATATCATATAGCTAACTCGTCGTAGATACGTGGACACCACCAGAGGAGGAGCAGGAGGAAGAAGAAGAAGAAGAAGCACCAGCACCAGCAGCACCAGCAACAGCAACAGCAACAGCAACAGCAACAGCAACAGCAGTAGCAACAGCAGTAGCAGCAGTAGCAGCAGTAGCAGCAGTAGCAGCAGCACCAGCAGTAGAGGAGGAGGAGGAGAGGAAGAGGAAGAGGAAGAAGAAGACGACGACGACGAAGACGACGAAGAGGAAGAAGACGACGCCGCCGCCGCCGCCGCCAATGGCGGTGAATGATGAGCCGCGCTCATCAATTTGGGACGTGAATGATGAGCCGCGTTCATCAATTTGGGACGTGAAGTTAGGATCCAGTAGTTGGATCAAGACGAACGGCAAAAAGTCGTTTCAAAAACGACTTGCAAAGCCAAGCGGAGAGGTCGTTGATCTCACAGAAGAGTAGAAAAAAAAATACAAAGAAATATAAGACAATTACAGATTGATACTGCTGAATGAACCATCTCCGGGTTGATAACTTGCTACCGTGTATGTACATAGCTAGTATACGAAGACAGCGCCATGAGAAGCCTCTTTTGGGACGGGACCACCTCGATGATATGAAGACAATGCCTTTCCTTGCTCGTGGACTCAACCTCCTTGGGTTTGGCCTTACCCAGCGACAGACACGCGAGTTTGAAAACTGTCTTCAATCTCCAAGCGCGTGAACATTCATAGTGTGATTCTCTTAGCTATTTAAGAGTGAAAAAAAGGAAAAGACGTGTTCAGATGACATAACTGTGACTGTATTCGTTCCACGTGGACAGCTCTTGATGTCTACATTACGGGGTTTCCCCAGATCTGAAACAGCTGGTCGACATGCGTTCAATTATTTTTCTGAGGTAAAGGGGGGGTGAGAGGCGATTTCAAACAGCCTCTTAAACTCATCATACTTAGTTTTCTGGCGTTGTCCTTGATTGTTAAGATGCCTCATGTAGTTGTGGTGGGCTTGGAATGCCTGGTCCCATCTTTGTGCGTAGATATGATTATGATTATGGTTCAAAACTAATCCGGTAAGTTCGTACATGGACATTCGTGGCATGAATCGCCGGTTATACTCCCGAAGCCCAGCATTCCTGTAAACGAATCTGACTTTGTTGTGTGTCCGGTAGTACTTGAGTAGGTGTTGAAGAAATTGATGGAGCCAGTATGGAATCTCCTCATCAGAGATTGCTAGTCCAAAAGCTAGGTTGCGCTGGAGGAAGACAAGCGCCCAGACGAATACGTTCCCGCCACAGGGGCCAAATGCATTGAGTTGAGGGAAGCCAAACGCTGAAGCTTGCACTGTTAAATTGAATGCTCTATCTTGTGTTAGTGAATATACAATACTGCTAAATTTTAACGTAACTTACCCGTGATATCTAAAGTAGAACGGATGGCGGTTATCTTTAACATTAGGTTTTAGGGAAAACCAGTATACTAATTTTCTGTCTCGAGGATCGGGACCAGGAAAACACCCCAGGATAAGAGGTGGATATAGTGCCTGTGGGCCTGTTGACCATCTAGCAATGATCGGAGGTCTATTTTCTGTATCCCAGCATCTGTTACTATTAGCATATGTATCAGCTTGTGGGCTGAGAAGAACCCCATCGACACAATGTCCGATCGATCCTTCTTGCAGCATCGAGGGGAAAAACATCGACGCGCTTAGCTCAATAGACTTACCTGTCCCAGTAACGCCCATCTTTCGATATCAAAGGACATACTATGACCAGACTCGCGTCGACGTTCGCAGAGCGCAACGTGGCGGCACACTCGCGCTCACCCTCAAACACCATCAAGTCTTCATCGCCAGGGTGATAAGGCATATCGTTCTTGTAAATGCTGGAGTTCATCCTCGTGAATGCGCCATTCACTGTGCGTACGTCGATTGGATTGCCTTTGTTGTGGTGTCTGCAGTCACGGGTACAGGATTAGTTTATGTATGTAAGTTTGAGCGAATATATACAATGGTACCAACTCGACACTACCTTGTACTTTGGAACTTACGCACCCGTTGAAGTTGAGGTTATCCGCCAGAGCCGCCTGCCAGGTGTCGTACGAAATCCAGCTCCAATCACCAGCCTTATAAATCAACGGAGGATCGAACCAGCCTGGAGCGCTTTTCTTATGGCCAGGACTGGGAGCAGAGGGGCGTGTAAGCTCAGGCTGAATGTTGGGATTGGTTAAGAGGCCAGCTGGAGACAGAGGGTGATGGAGAGACCACTGCGCTCCTCCCACATGACCATCTCGATAGAATGGCACTTTAGATGATGCACCTTGCGAGGAGCCGCGTGGTCGGTGCGTAACTGAGAAATTCGGCGGTGGTGGACCAAACATACGCAGTTGAGCAAGACGCTCCCGCAAAGGGCCAGGGATCGTTCCGGGATTGGCGGTGAAAGGTAGTGATCCTTGAATGTTGTCTTTATTCACGGTCTCTCGATATGGCGCCATGTATGCGACTGGAGTGATGACCAGAGACACAGATTATGGTCGAAAATTGGAGCGGGAGAGTGTATATTGTCCGTTGAAGAGTGCTGGTGGTGAAGGAGCAGCAGATATAAAATATACCCAAGCCGACGGGCATGGCTGCCCAAGAGCAGCTAGTTAGAGCGGATGGTTACACAAAGTACGTCGAATTCAATGTAAATTGATCCCTGCTTCGACTTCTGCCCCCTTCACATGTGCACCCAGCTCTTACCACATTTCCCTTTTCCTTCATCTTCACTTCCTACCATCGCCATTCAGCTCTACCCTCCATTTCTGTCGTCCTATATCCTTGGATCTGCCACCAAAGACAAACGACCAACGACAAACTCTTCGACTGTCACAACACAGACAACTTGACCCCACATTGAGGCTGCCTCACATCAAAAGAGTGTTTTCGAGCACGTTTCAGGCTATAACCTGGTCGTCCAAGGTCACTACACCTCGCATGCCTTTTGCGCCTTATTACTGACTGTATATTTTTGAATCTCAGGCACGATCGTCTACATCCACACTCTCGATTACCAAAAGAACCCACAGACTCGGTCTGAACTCCCCCCTCCCCCCATCTCCGACTTTAATTAGTCCCCGCGGTACAATTATCTTCCACTCCTCCACCTGCTCCCTGCCAAATCTTGATCCGTCCACTCATAACGGCTTAACGTCGACATGCCAGTGATGAGGGACCCAGGTGCACCTTCTAACGTACTCGGTGACATTACGTCAGAAGTGATCCTTCAATGGACATTTGGCGGCGTCCCAAACGCCCCAGCTGCGTTACCAGTGGCACGCGAGTGAGTTCTACTAGCATGTATTTCTGAGGCATTTCAGTGGAATATAGCTGACTTGCGTCCGACAACATAGGTGCAGGATCATCCAGAACTTCCAATTCACAGATGACAGAGACAAGAAAGTTGTCCGACTCGACATTGGGATGCAAGGTCGGTTACTGCGAGAGAGTCATACCAACGGCCAACCAACCGCACTTATCGACATCCCCGGAGTTACACATGGAGTGTTCTACACAGCTCGATGGGTATCGCGTAACATCATCGAGGTCGGTCCCCCAGTGAAAGAACTGGAAAATTGGGCCATTCAGATCTCTGGGCTGGGAACCCGATTCCAGAACGTGTCCAAGTACCAACCCTCAGAACCGCCTGACAACACCCCATTTGGCAAAACTGTTCACGCAATGATCAACGCGATTTACCATGAGAGGTTGCCCTTTGTTCCCGATGTTCTCTATGAAGATATAAGAAAGTTTGGTGGCACAGATGTAATCAGTCAAACAATCATCGACGGTGTCAAGCTTGCTGGGCTCTACGATGCGTTCAATGTACCGAATTTCAACATCAGCCAACTGAGGGCAGCTGCGTTATGCACCTTACCAACCAACACATCCCGCGTATTAGCTGGTGTGTATGCCAGGTGGAGTAAGTCTAATGCAACGATGCCTACATCTGTTGCTGCATGGACACCAAATACAACATATTTATATGTCGGCCATTCAAAGAACTTGGATTCGCGTCACGCAAGCCATCTCTCCTCCACAGGTTCATACGGCATTTTGAATCGAAATGCAGATGTGCGTGCATTTGCGCTTTGCCTATTACCTAAAGAGAGCCACAAGATATTCCTCTATATTGCAGAGCAAGTACTGATGTGCATGCTTCAATCTTTCAGGAAGGGTATCTACAGTTCAAGCTGCGAGTCAAAACACGTAGCAATGGTCCACCAGGCTAAGATGATAGTTAATCTATCAAATGAAGTTTTCGCTATCACCAGATGGACAGGCGCTCAACAGCGGCCATCATTTAGCGTTGACCAAGGTGCAAACCTCAGCTTGCCGGTTGTAGAGTACTTGCGTATGCTGGAGACTGCTCTTTGGGTTCGCCAGGACACGCATGCCGCTCATCCTGAGACAGGGCAAACTATGCCAATGGCCATTTTTCGCCGCTCGACACCCATTACATATACCCTGAGTGGAAGGTCAAAAACCGGAGAGTTGCGCTTCTTCAATTTCCAAATGCCGGTCTTCCAACTTTCCTGCGCCCCGGTAGCACTAGACAAACCTGCCATCGGCCAGACGTGTCAGGCCATTATCGAAATTCGAAAGGATAAGCTACCACACCCAAGGTCGTTTGCTCGATTGGCAGACATTCCCAGGTTTCAGAACTGGGATCAAGCCCGCTCGGTTGCTGTCCGAATTGAATGAGAAGATCTAAAGCAGCCTGGAAGATGGAGGACACAATACCTCAACCGCAGAATTACTACATTGCGTGATGATAGCATCCCAGCATCATTCCAATCGTATGCTAAAGCTATCGAGATTTTGCAGTGTATGCTCCACGAACGACCACGTCAAATTCCTAGCTGGATAGTTCAACCGCGTTATGCAAATGTTGTCATGGCTGTGTACAACTGCATGGCTCAGACTGTAATTTTCCGCGCAGTTGGAGATCAGGACCGAGTGACTATTAAGTCATGCGCGCGCCTCTCCACTGATCAAATCGAAATCGAGATGAGAAACCCAAAATACCAGCTTGGGCAAGTGGGCCAGATTCCGACAGAACGAGGAACGACTGCGCCAAGATGTGACGTGTGCAAGATGATGAGATCCAGCGACGTTGTGTGCAAACCTAACTCAAACGGCGTCTGTAGACGCTGCGTGTCTTTCGGCTTTCCCCGTTGTTCCTGGACACCGGACGTGTTTCAACAAAGCCAGTTAGCCCACGTCATTCGTGGTAAGTTGTACTCCAAGTGCAGCTGTATCCCTCTTTGTGTGCCTTAGTGACTTATGAAATAGGCGTTTGCCCACATGATATCACCCCCGACAAGTTTGCGAATGCTACGAGGGTTTACAAGGCGCTCATGGCTGATGTTGACAATCCTCTACACCCCGAGCAACTCCAGGGCTTCAATCCTCATCTTATACCAATCGACGCTTCAATTGATGGCGAGAACGAAGAGAATGAGGATGAGTTGCAGGAGGTTGAAGGAGAGGAATTTGGGGGTGTGGATGAGTAAAACGTATGATGCTCAAGACATCAAGTCAAGTAGCGTGGTGGTGATTTCTGGCCAGCACGATACTATACATAGTGAAGCAATAAAGCTCCAGATTGCTATATCTATCCAAAGGTTTAAGCTACCAGCTTTGTTAGGTAGGTTTTCTAAGCTCACGACGTTGAATGTTGAAGAATGCTCTTATTGGACAATATGTGATTCAGATAGATTCTTGATGACATATCACACTGAATAAAATACATGCTTGAGTAAGTAAAGATAATAGCTCAAAAAGATGGGCCTACTAAATGACGTAAAAAGGCGCGGACAGGCAGCAGAATATGCCGACCAGTCGCCGGAAGCGGTGCTGCCAGCGGGTGCTGCCCGTGTCACTGTGGATACGGCAATCTCAAATTTTCCCCGCCCGCCGTTTTATTGGCTGTGTGACCGGCAGGTCGGGAGAAAAATTTTTCACGCCGGCTCACGTGATTGCTCGCTGCCTAGCGGCAGCGAGCGGGCACATGAGTATAAGTAGGCATCGTCCCCCCCACCCTACTTTCTTCCTCATGTCGACTTATACTTCATAGGTGTGTAACCTATCTCAATATCCTCTCTTACTCTCTTTACTGACTTTTCTCTCAGAATCATTTCTTTAGTAGACGTCCTCTTCTGAGTCTCTCTCAAGAGCCGCAGAATTCCCACCCTGGCTGATGATATTCAGCCTCCATATCCCGGAGTGAGGCCTTATTGCGTTCGCCTCGGCGGACGTGGCGATGATCTTCAGCCAACCGGGTCTTGTGCTTCGGCCAGCCTGGACGGCAGGATGTGGATGGCAATCTGACAGGCTGTTATTCTTTTTATCTTTTTCATTGACGCTCTCGGCCAACGTGCTGAGTCTTCGAGGAAGAAGTTCTCAACACCATGCATATCTCTCGTTGCATACCCAGTCGATGGAACTGGCGACAGGCCCTGCGTGCTCGGGGTACCACTTGAGGCTTGCAATGCTTTCCCTGTCCCGTTGCACAAGCTTGGCTGTTGAGTGCAGTTTCTGAGCTGCGGCCAGTGCCACTTCCGAAGGGTTCCACATCTCCACTTGCTCCATGGTCCATCTCTGCGCTTCCTCTTGTGCCGCAAGCATCAACGCCACGACCATGTTCTCATCGAGGTGCCTGCTTCCTGCGTCCACATTTTCCTTGCCCGCTTGAACATGATTCTCAAACACCAGTCGAAGGATATGCAGTGTATTGCCTTGGCGCTCGTGGGGATTGGTGTTGGTCCACACCCGTGTCCAATACATCCATGCCCGCTCGCCTTTCTTGTTGCCTACAATCGCACCTTTGACGTCGGGCTCCCTTCCATACAGTTCGCCGGCAACGAACTCCTCGCGCGAATGGTGCCATTGCATTGTCTCAACATCAGGGACTAGCGCGACTGCTATATTACTGGCCTGGGGTCGCGCCTCCAGCGTCTCTCGGAGCATTGCCTGGTCAATAGCACAGAGTTCTGCAACATCTTTCGCGTGCAGTGGGCGAGCAATTGGCACATCGTGCCTGTCCACGAGCCCCGAAACCCGCGCAGGGATGGATAGGTGTGACGATGTGAAGGGCTCCCAGCCGCACTTTGCATAGAAAGCCTACAATGGTTGGCATTGCGTCTTGGGACCAGTTCCAATGTCGCTTACCTTTCCAATATCCGAATACAAAATTGAGAAGAAACATTCCGTGTCATCGGTCTGGTGCGTTCTAAGGGCTTCTCCAACCCCCTGCATCATTCGCTGCGCATAACGTCTTCCTCTTAGCTGCGGAGCACAGTACACACTTCCAATGCCATGGCAGATGGTCTCTCGGACCTCCCCATCCTTCCACACGAATGCTTTCTTACGATACGACTCGCAGCTGGCAAGCGGCAATCGTGACTTGGACGTTGGCTCTAGGGCATGGTGTGTTGCTGTTTCGTCGACCAGAATCCAGTACGTGATACCGTCATCGCGGGTGAGGGCTTGATTGGAAAGCATCTCCTCTCGACGGAGGTACGCCTCGTGAGGGAGAGCACCTCGCCATTCAGCGCTATTGAGCTTCCACTGATGGAGTTTCTCGTCGCTGGTGGGGTGACAGATGATGAGATTGGTGGATGTATGATCGGGGAGGTTACTGAAAGACGCCATGGTGGGAATGACGGGGGCCTGAGAGTGTTGGATGGATGCTTCGCGAGTTTTGTTTGACACCCATCATCATTATAACTGCGTATCAACTGTCCGCGGCATCGGTTGTATTCCGACGAAGCCCGCGGGAAAGCGAACTGCCCCCACCAATCATACGTAACAAACCAGGCGGGTATATCTTTCATCTATCGTCTGTGCATGCATGGCTGGGACGTATGTGTACATAGCTATCAATCAATCATTCCTATCTGCATACGACACAACATTTACTCTTACTTACATGCTTCTTTTTGTTTCATCGCGTTCATTCTGAACCGCGGCTTCTCAGCCGATGCCTTCTATATTCGCGTAGTCATGCGCGCGCATTGCTTGAGCGCTCAAATGAAGTTCGAACATCCCCTTCTAATCAAAGCTCCGACCCGTCTACTGGTACATTGACCCAGTACGGCGAATCAGCATCTTCATGTACTGGTCATTGCTGCTTCCTGAGCTGTTACCCTCTTCCCTTCCAAAGAAGAGCTGTCGAGAGCTACCTATACGTTCAGGACAAGAGGTGCCTCCTTCTCTCACTGAGGCTGTTCCTCTGATCTCTTGATTGCGGTGACTGCAACAAACACGCGCACACCAACAGCAACCCATCTCTCATTTACTGCCCATAACTCATATCACATACTTGACTCTCAACATTTGCCAAAAAGATACGGTTCGACTTTCCTTGCACTCAGCGTTCGGGTGATGGCCACGACAGCTCTGGTGCTTCACTGACTTAACTCGCCTGCCGAGGCCGCAACCCGTACCGCGTACAACCACCAATCAATAGCATGGTTCCCAGAACCACCCCCAACGCTTTGCAAAGCGCCCAAACCCGAGAAATCATTGATCTCACTCATTCGGAAGACTCATCGCCTGTGCGAGATCTAACCCATCCCACCGGCAATCATCACAACAGGGTCATAAGCAAAGAAGATAACGACGACATCTGTCTAAAGAAGATCCTCGACATCTTACCCGATGTCTCTGTAGCACACGTGCTTGACCTTATCAGCGGCACATCACGAACTCCTTCGGATTGCGACCGAATCATTTCTCGGTTGTTAGACGAAGGCTCATACCCAAGGGAGCAAGATGATGCTGCCAGGCGTAAGAGGAAACGCGAAAGCGACGATACTGGTGCAACTCAAGGGCCCGCTTCAACTGCATCGTAAGTCTGCCGTTGCGTTATTTTGTCTTAGCTTGGATACAAACGGCGCTGAATACATTAATCCACTGATTCGATAACGTGGGTTAATAAGAACTTTTGATGTTGCTCCCGCTCTCGGGTCTCAGGAATGAAGCCGCCTGTGTGCTTTATGACAGCTAACTCCCTACCAGAATCGATACAGTATATCTACAACGAGCGAAGAAACGGGGCGAACTGATCGAATGCTGCTGCTGTTATGAAGAGTTTCTCATCAACCGCATGACCTACTGCAACGGCAACAGGGTTCACTTTTTTTGCCTGGCCTGTGCAAAAACATATGTTGAAGGGGAACTAGGTCTTGGACGGTGCAAGCCGCTATGCTTCGCAGACCCAGACTGTCGTGGCACTTTCTCCCGAGGACAACTGCTGGAATTTCTGGGGCAGAAGTCATTCGATCGGCTTGGCCATTTGCAGCAGCAACAAGAAGTGGCTGCGGCTGGGCTTGACTTCCTTACTGAGTGCCCATTCTGCGACTTCAAAGCCGAGTGTCCCCCTGTTTCGGTCGACAGAGAATTCCGCTGCGAAAATCCGAAATGTACCAAGATCAGCTGTCGGTTGTGTGAGAGGGAGACACACGTACCTTTGACCTGCGAAGAGTTCAAGCAGGATTCTACATTGGCCGTGCGGCACCAGGTCGAGGAAGCAATGTCAGCCGCTTTAATTCGCCACTGCAACAAATGTAAACAACCATTTGTCAAAGAATACGGCTGCAACAAAATGACATGCACTCATTGTCGCAACGTGCAATGTTACGTGTGCTCGAAGAACGTCGTCGACTATCGACACTTCTACCACGGGCAGGACGGTACGGAGGCTACTGCAGCTTGTCCACTGCACGATAACATGGAAGCACGCCACGAACAAGAAGTAAAGAAGGCTGCAGACAAGGCTGTGGCCATATTGCAAGCTCAAAATCCCGAGATCAGCAAACAAGATCTGGCAATAAAAGTATCAGATCGCGTTAGTCAAACGGAGAGGACCATGGCAGCAGCAACGGGCCCAAATCGACCACCCCCTCGTCCACGACCACCATTTCCACCCTTCCCACCCCAAATGGACCTCCAGAATCCATATTTTTACCCATTTCGTTAGGTTATCGAACCCGTTTCCGACGCTCAGCCTTGGATGGCCAGATGGCCTGCTACGGACTCGACTCCAAACGCTTACTTCACCACATTAGTAACATCGACATGGCAGTTTCCATATTGGCATCAGTCTGACAAGAACATCTGGCCTTCTAGCTGGATCATATGCTCTGCAACTTGGTGAAGAAGCGTGTTATGCGTTCAGGAAGGAGGTCTCGCGCAAGTAGTAGCTAAGACACGCATGCTGTGATGGAAGCAATGCATGGGCAATTTTGCTGGAGCTGGAGTAGTCATCGAATCTATCTAGTCTTAATTATGAGAATGTATTACGAACGACATGAAAGATGTCTGGAAGCTTAAAATACCACTATATAGCCCAACCTCTCACGCTTTGGATTTACCCGGACCGCCACAGGATCTTGCGTTTCCTTCCTCGATCCACGTTTCGAACTGGAACGCGCCGGCTTCCACAGTACGTACGGGCAGGATTTTAGGGACACTCTTATGCCCAGGGTCCTGTCTAGTGACTGCAATATCGTTCGATGTCTTGTTCTGCATGCTCGGTGGCACTGGGACCCAAGATTGCGGGTGCGCAAGGGGAGGGTGTGCATACGCTTCGTCTTTCAATTCCATACTAATGTTGAACGAGCATTTCGGTGGCAGAGGACTCAGCTGGGCGCAGCGCGTGGTGAGAGCAATGAGCGCAGAGCGAAATTGCTCCGTAAGATCTACATATAATTGTTCTTCTGGCATATCTCCGGTATCATGTTGATATCCATCCAAATCTTCTTCTGATGCATCGCGGGCGTGGGGGTCACCGCCGGCAACATTATCCTCATCACTATCTCCGTCTTCATGGTCGTCCTCATTGTGATTACTGTCATGATTATCGTCATGATTATCGTCATGATTATCGTCATGATTATCGTCATGATTATCGTCATGATTATCGTCATTACCGTCGATGTCATCCTCTTCTGTAGCTTCATGTCCCTCGTCACTGCCGTTGATACCATTGCCGCCGTCTTCATGACCATTATCAATGTCGTGATCATTGTCATCGCGGTCGTCATGATCATTGTTGCGGTCGCGGTCGTTTTCGTCGTTAGAAGAGGAGCGAGGGTGTGGGGAGTTCCACTCCATGACGACATTTTCCTCCTCGGTATCCACGAATGGGAAAGCGCTCACATCCACCATGTATCGTTCCATGATGGTGGCAGTGCGGGCACCCTTTGTGGTGGCGGGGTCGTAGTGATAGACGACGATTGCAATACGTGCGACAGATCCGGAAAGCAGCTGATGGTGTACAGCGGTGAGGGCATCGCGAACCCATTCGCAAACGAGTGGGTGGCGGGACTGGTAGACGGGGGCATTGTAGGTGCGGGCACGGATGAAGGAGGCGCGTGGGTAGAGTGTGCGTAGGTAGAGGAGAGTATGGATGTAGGCGGCTAGGAAGCGCGTGAAGGCGCGGAGGGTGGAGATGTAGGAGGTGGACGGCATCGTAGGAGCCAGGCAAGGCAAGTCTGCCTAGCTAATCAGCTACATGGACGATGAATGAGCATGTATGCAATCAACAGTACGTGGATTAACTGTGTATGTGTGTGAGGACATGGCGTATATCAAGTTGTATGTAGGTGCGACCAAAGCACGCGTCGTGAACGCGTCGATACTTTAACCTGGACCTAGATATGTACCTAGGTATAGTACAGAGAGAGAGCGTAAGACATGGAGACGTCCGAACACAAGTATCTGGGTAGGCAGCAATCCTCACTTACTTTGAATTAGCGAAGAGAACATTTGTATTCATTCTTTTGTACTTTGCTATTTCATTTTTTTTTCTTCCTCTTCTCTTCCCCCCCCCCTCTTCTTCCCTCTATACGCCCTCTTCATTCCCCCCCCCTCCCATCACTACCACCACCACCATCTGTAATTCCCTCTTGTAAAACTCGGGATAAAAAAGAGTAGAAGGCGAAAAAAAAAAGCAGCAAACAGCAACGGGTACGCACAGCCCATCTCCACGCAAGACGCAAGCAGCAGGCGACAGCAAATCCACATCCATCATCCCTCGGCGGTGCCCCTCCTCCCCGCTGGCTGGCTGGCTGGCGCCCGTTTGTTTGTGTCTGCCTCACCTGCTCACCCCACCCCACTCCTCGTCCCCCAGACCGACCGCTACACCACTGCATCGCGCCGGCTACGAGGCCAGAATCGACTAAGCAATCCTTTGTGCACGACACCGACCATGGAGGACCAGCTAGTGCAGCTGCTGTCGGCGACCCAAACCGCCCAAGAAGCACCCCGCAAGCAGGCCGAAGAGCAACTTCACAGTCTTTACGGCCACCAAGAACTCCCAATCGCCCTCGTCGAGATCGCCCGCCATGCCCATGTGCCCATCAATATACGGCAGGCTTCGCTGCTTTATCTCAAGCAGTTGGTACTGGCTGGATGGGGCGACAGCATGGACACCTTCAAGGGCCGTCCCCTCGTCTCCGAACAAGACAAGCCCAAAGTCCGCCAGATGCTCCTGGAATTGGCCACTACCGACCAGCTCGATCGCAAACTCAAGGCCGCAGCCAGTCTGGTCGTCAGTAAAATTGCGAGCTCCGACTACCCTGACCATTGGCCCGATCTCCTGAGCATCTTGCTCAATCTCATCCCGAATGCTACCGATGGTCAGTTGCACGGTGCCCTGAAGGTACTCGGGGAGCTGGTAGACGACTGCTTCAATGAGGCACAGTTCTTCAGTGTCGCCAAACAACTCATCAAAGTCGTCTACAATGTCGCTGTCAACGACGCTCGCAAACCGACCCTCCGTGCACTGTCCTGCAGTGTGTTTCGCGGTTGCTTCGACATGCTGGAAATGGTGATGGAGGACCATAAGGCTGAAGTCAAAGGTTTTGCCGACGAGGTGTTGCAGGAATGGAATCCCTTCTTCATCACAATCATGAAGACCAAGCTACCCGATCCACCGTCCGAGGCTGAAGAGAACGAGGATACTACCAACGCCGAATTGTACCGAGGACTCGTGGCTCTAAAGCTTCAGGTCGTCAAGGTAAACGAATCTTCCATATCCCTTCAATCACGCCGTCACCTGACCAGAAGCAGATCCTCATGCGCATCCATTCCATCTTCCCTGCTGTACTGGCCCCCCAATATCCTGTTTTGTTCAGCGCTACGTGGGAGGAGCTGTCATCGTTGCAGCCTGCCTATCATCAAATGTATATCCAAGAGGAGCGTCAAAGTCGATTGGAGGATGCTGATGGTTTACCATACACTCTCGACTTCTTGGTCCTCGAAGAACTTGACTTCATGCAAGCATGTCTTCGCGCCCCAGCGGTCCGATCCGAACTCGAGCAGCAGCTTCAAAACGCGGCTGCCAATACTTCCTGGGTGTTTGAGGTCATGAAGCTCGCGGTCGCCTATGCACACATCACTACCGAGGAAGAGGGACTGTGGGATATTGATGTCAACATATTCCTCTCGGAAGAAACAAGTGTTACTGCAAATTACACTCCTCGCACCGCTTGCGGTGATTTGATCATCAAGATCGGCGAATGGCTCACCCAGCCTACTCTCGAGGGGTTGCTAGCTTACACGACCTCTTTGTATTCGAACAATGAGAGTTGGAAGGCCAAAGAGGCAGCGTTGTACGTTTTGAACCAACTGCTAAGCGACTTCCAGGACACGGAGAAATTGATCAGCCCTGAACACGCAACGGGGTTTATCGACTTTGTACGCTACGCAATGCAGCAACCCGACAATTTTCTGAGAGCGCGAGGCTATTTGGTAGCTGGAAGTCTCACAAGATCATCCGGGGACGCATTACAGCAATTTTCCCCCTCATTCCTGGAAGCCTCCCTTCAGGCAATTCCCAACGATCAGTCTGACATTGTGCAAGTATCATGCATTCGCGCACTTCAATACTACATTCAGGCGCTCCCTCTAGCCACAGTCCAGCCCCTTCAACCCACCATTATCGCTGCCATTTCCACCTATCTTCAATCTCAAGATCTAGAAGAGCTAGCTGATAGTGATGACTTGATGGCCACTCTGGTTGAAACTCTCCGAGATGCTATACTCTTGGACCCTCAGATATGTATCACGGGAGATGGCCTTGATGTGCTATTCACCGTAGCTCGGCATACAGCAGACAACTTCCAAATAGTCATCATGGTCAACGAGACATTTGAAGAGGTCACGGATACGATAGCGCGCAGGGGCGGCGATGCCTACGTCCATCTTTGTGCAAAAGTTCTCCCAACCTTGACGGGGGCTTTTGACGTCGGCAGTCTCACCGAGGCTAGCAATCTTACGATTCTTGCGGCTGACCTTCTTGCGGTGCTGGCCGATCATGGTCCTGAGCCTCTCCCCGCTGGATTTGTACAGGCTTCCATGCCGAAGCTAACTAGTCTTCTGCTCAATTCCGAAGATGAAGAGCTTCTTAGGTCGGCTACCAAAGCTCTGAAGAGCATTGTTGCACACGACCACCAACAGCTCTTTGAATGGAGGGATGAATCTAGCAAAGCGGGACTCGAGGTTGTACTACTCGTCATTTCTCGTCTGCTCTCTGCTGGAGTGAATGATGTTGCTGCAAGCGAAGTTGGCGCACTCGCCGCTGAATTCGTCGAGAAAGCTGGCCATGAGAGGTTGGGTCCCTATCTCGAGAAATTGCTACGCACAGTAGCAGTAAGGCTCGGGTCGGCGGAACACTACCCATTCATTCAGAGCTTGACTTTGGTCTTTGCCAGATTGAGCTTGAACCATGCTTCAGAAGTCGTCGAGTTTCTAGCGACACAGAACATCGATGGACAGAACGGCTTGCAAGTAGTACTTGCAAAGTGGTTGGAGAATTCGATAAATTTCACTGGGTACGATGAGATTAGACAAAAGTACGTTTTCCCCCTTCTCTGACGGACGCAGGGCTTTGCCTATCTTGCTATACTTACTAAACGCTTAATCTCTACAGTGTCATTGCCCTCTCCAAACTCTATGATCTTAAGGATCCTAGACTCGCGGCTGTTCAAGTAAAAGGTGATTTGATCCCCAGCAATGATAGCCGCATAAGAACACGTAGCCGTGCCCTTCAAAGTAAGCTTTGACCCGACTGTCTTTGCTTTCCTCTGCCCAACTCGACCTTTTCTTTCTACCTTCTCCATCCGCTCGCTACTATGCTCTCGGCCACAAGTAGGTTGTACTATCTGAAATGATTCTAACATAACGCTGTATAGATCCAGACCAATACACAGTCATACCTGCAACCATCAAAATCTTGAAGGTGCTCATTGTAGAGCTTCAGTCGGCAGCTGGAGCACATCAAGAGCTTGATGCTTCAGCGGCCGCTGAGCTTGCGGAAGAAAACCCTGATGATGACGAGTGGGAAGATGAAATAAATCCGTTTATTGATCTGGGCAGCAAGTTGAGCAAAGAGCAGCTCATGGCATATGCAGCCGACGACGCGCCTGGTGGAGGTCGCCAAAAAGACGACGAGACACAGGCTTTCATCGTTGACTTTTTCAGAAGAGCACATGCAACACCTGAATTTACGGCAGAGTTTGAGGCGCTCACAGACGAAGAGCGAACCCGTTTGAGAGAGAGCGCAGCTTGAATCACGTGTAACCCAATTAAGCTGTTCAAGGTTTGGCATGGGTTTGTCAATCGACATCAAGGTTTCTGTGCCAAACGATACACGTTCACACGAGCTGTCAAGATGAGCATGTGTGTCTTACCTCACGGTCAAGAGAAAATGCACTGAGAAGCTGAAAGACCTTTGAATGTGAGTGAGCACCAGAACAAGCGATTTAAATCGTCACAGTCGGATTATCGAGCAGCTATGCATGGTACATGCTGTTGGATTCCACATAGTATATGTTGTGCAGCATGATTCTGACGAAAAGAAAGAATGAAAGAAAGAAAAGAAAAAAAAAGATTCACTCAATATGTCACTTATCAATGCTCATACACATACTATTTTACCTTCATCCCCTTTGTCGTACATGATCTACTGACTGTCCCTCCCCTGAATAACATATCTGTAGGCATTCTGGAACCACAAGTCGTATTCTTCGTCAATAAATTCGGGAGTAGGCATTAAACCAGACCACTTATTTGCACCGACAGGTACCACGAACTTGGCGCCCATCTCCTTGAGCTTCCGGCATTCGTGATCTGCTTCTTGTTTGTTGTATGTGGTGAAGACGGCAGGCAAATCTGCTTCAAGCACTGTTTCTATTGTCGGTGCCCAGTCTGACACGGCATCGTCTCCATCTGCCCAACCACTATTGAACATGACGACCAGGTCTGGCTTTTCGTATTCCGGTATCGTCATAAAGTCATGGTAGAGCCCCTTATAGATGGAAATAGTTCGTTTCCTACCATCGGCTTTACAAGCGGAGCAGGGATTGACCTCGGTTTTGGGGATGAGAGCTGATTGACTCGTCTCGGCCTTGAAATTTAGACCTGGCCCTATGGCAGTGATGTGCAAAGCTTTGTAGGCAGGATTGAGGTGAAACAATTCCTCGAAATTACCCAAAGCAGTTACCTCGCGGCCAGTTGCACCGACAATGTGGATGTTCAGGTGCGCTTTGTTGCAAGCAATGTCCTCGAGGGCTGCCATAATAGTGAGAGGCATGGTAAGATTGTCCGTCGCGCAAAGAAGAAAAAGCCGCATGCGTTCCTGATCCTCCTGGCCCGACGAATCCACGAGGCCACGGAAGTCAGGTGTGATGATGCCCTCAATCTGGGGCTTGTCGGAGATGTGCACAAAATAGTCGTGCCAGCCGGTCGAATTGGCCAGTGGTTTTTTCCCATTTTTGGGGAACTGCGTACATGTTACCGGTGAAGCTTTGCCGGTGTCCTCGAAAAAATTGATGCGGAAATTCTCAATTTTCACGAACTCGACATATGACTCGCAGACGGAAGGTGTATGCGTAGGCTCGTCCGGGCAATCTGCGCACAACGAGACCATCTGACATTTATCGCAGCTCTTGAGTGCAACCCCACGATTTGCAAGCTGGACTGCGGTCCGGCGACATAAAGCACAATAGGCTTGGGCTCTGGCTATCAGTTTTAGTTGGATTCCTGTCGGCATGCGAGGTATATGACTGACTGGATGATGTAGCGCAAAGCTTCATCGGCCGGGGCGGCATTACGAATTATCCTGACGGTCTGCAACTGTACTGCTGTGTGAACATGTATCCGGAATGACAAAGCTGAGATTGCTCACCAGACAGGCACTGTATTCGGACCAAGTACGCATGTCCTTGTACTGCTGCTCTTCAAAGTCATTGATAGTCTTGAAGATCTTGCAATGGTTCTTGTGGAGTGCAGCCCAATCAAGCTTTTGGCATTGCTTGGAACAGTAATAGGCCCTTTTACACCCTCCGCATTTCAGGATGCCTTTGGAAGGACTGAAGCAGCGAAAGCAGAGGCGGCCTCGAATTCCCAAGACAGGAATATCGGGCACATCGGGATTTCCCGCAGCCGCCAAGCTCTCTCGCTCTTTGCACTTGTCTGGCATTTTATATAGTCCTTGCAATCAGCTCTGGCGCGCTCGACATGGAGCCCTGGTGTTTCAGTGTTGCTGTTGCTGTTGTGGCAGTGGTGATCAGCGAATTTATACACAGGATTGCACAGTACCCCGCAGAAACGCCCGGGCCCCTCCCCCCACCGCAATCGCAATAATTATCGACCGTCTTTTGTCTAGTCCCGGAGATCGAATACGGCCACTTTATCATACCAAAGATAATCCTACTGATCCAAGTCGTGACACAACTTTGATTGGGTTCCTGGGCATATCATCTTTGACTAAAAACGAACATTTATTGATCGAAACCATGTGAGCCAGAGCATTGTGTGCGAGAACTCCTCTCTGATGTTTGAGCATGCTATCATACATCTGCCCCAAAATAATCGTTCCGTTCCGTATACCGCACGTCCGGGCTCACGCTCGTGGGGCTCCTCTCGCTCCTCCTGCTCTCTACTGAGCTGCCTCTCTCACTAGTAGCAGCTTCGAATGAGATTCCTAACGCTGTATCCCCATTTGAGCGTTTCTTACCCGGCCTGGGTACACCTAATCTGCCCGATTCAAAGGTGAACGCCCCAGGTGCTTGTTCCTCCATTGCCGCCGGCGCCTTTAAATTGACCAGTTCCAAAGTGTGCCTCAACGTGCTCCCGGTTTCGTCCAAAGCCATAAGAAAACGTGCAAGCTCCTTGCACAGATCCCAGTCTTGCTCCTCTTTTGCGCGTCGGAGCAGCCGGACTACCTGGTCACCGGTTGCGCTGAGCTCCTCAAAAGTATGTAGAACGAGGAGGTACCCACCAGCCGTCTTTAGACTGCCTTTCTCGAGGGATTCCTCAAATAATTCCTCTGGTGGTGGAAGGTTGGCAAACAGCGTGCGCCATGAACGTAGTTCCGTTTTACGCGTACATTGCACCACAATATCGAGGTATTGCGGAAACGAGGATAGAAAGGAGAGCACGGACGGCAGAAGTGCATGTTCGGGCGTAGGGTCTGTGTCGACTTCTTCGTCGAGGACTTCATGAAGCAGCATTTCCAAGGCATGTGGGAAATATAGCAAGTGCTGGTAATGATGGCTCAGATGTAAGGCCCCTGGGTGATTGTATTGCGCAAGGTGTTGCCGTAATAAAGCAGGTAGGAATAAGTGAGTCTACTTGTGTAAGCATATAGAAGATCAACCTCATGCTTGAGGTGGTAGGTACACCATACCCTCGTACCAAAGCGGGAGTAAGTAAAGTTTACATCCCTTCTTTGTATCAATTCGGATTCTATGCCAAAAATTATAGCTTTGTTGATCAATGCACTCAAGGGATAGAAGTCTGTGGGTATTTTGACGGGCGAAGGCAGTTCTCTGCCAAGCTCAATGGAAACGGTTGACAATACATCAGCCATGTCCATCCAAACGCGCATGTCAGTTCCGTCAAAATACCATAAGGAATCACGTAAATCGTGACTGTGCAAACCGTTCAGAGCCAACTCCGCAGATGGACTGGGTGGCTGAGTATCTTCAAGCATTTCTATAGCGAAAGCTGGGTGATCACGCATAAGAGCGTACGTCTCGACATTCTGAGCAATGATACGCATTTCATATTTCAGCTCCCCATCCTCCGTCGTTGTTGGTTGTAGCAAGACAAGCTTGCCATCTACGAGAAATAGGATCGTGGCTGTCGCCACATCCTGTGACGGGTCACCGCTGTCTACGGATGTGAGCAAGTTTGTTAGAATTTGGGGTTGCACTACGCACGAATTTGGTCTTCGGGCAAAATCCAGCTCAGAGCACGCACGCGAGGCGGCGCGCGGATTATTCCATGCAACGCGATTTGACCGACTTGCACAAGCGTCACAGTAGCATTTGTGACATTGATCACATAGTGATATAATATGTTGTCGTATGTATACACAAGGAGCGAATCTTCTCCAGACGAGGCAATCAATACGATTGGTGAGGGTAGTTGTTGGATGTGCATGATGTGGTCCTTGTCCAGGGTCAGTTCGCGGGAGTATATGCGAATCTATGCATTCATGGTTAGACTAGGTTGATTCAAGCAAAGCTACAAGTATGCAAAAGAAAACATACCTCGTGTGAGTCCTGTGACTCAACTGCAGCTATCAAAACATGCTGGAACCAGCACATTCCACCGCGCACAGTAAACTCGTTTTCGATGAACGGATCGTCGAAAGTCTTCCAACGTCCGCTGTTCACGCTGTAGTGAGCCAGCCCTCTCTTGCCAGCCACCGCGACGTATCGTCCATCGTTTGAAATGGCAGAGCTTCTGATAGGCCATTGATCTACCAGATAGTGTGAGGGAACCTGTACATGATGCCATAGCGATACGTCCACTGATATTGTCGTCAAATCAGGCAACTCGTAGCCACGATAAATGATGAATCCAGTACTAGTTTGCATCAATGACCGCGAAACATTTGCCGATGAGAAGCAGCCCGTCACTGCGCTACGGGCCATTTCGAGGAGGAACACACGGTTGTCGTCGATGCCTAGAAGAAGAAGTTCTGCGCCACCTCCAACCCAGAAAGCATCCTTGACTCCCATTAACCAGTGCTCGCTATTAGTTTCTGATAGCCGTCTATCTGTCATGAAGCTCGTAGCCCCGGCCTTTCCGTATACACTCCACATAGCCCATCCCTTCTCATACCCAGCGAACAAACAGTAGCCATCTGGAGAGTACACTAGGGCATTCAGCTTCCCTGGGTCCGTGGTATTTGGCTGCACCTTGTGGGAAAGTGGGATATTGCCGGTATAATCTCGGGCTGTGTAGACACAGATCTCACCACCTTGGCAACCCACGGCAAGCAATGAGAATCTGGCATTTATTGCTGCTTTGACGCCATATTCACTCTCCTTCTTGGGGGTGTGAAAGCCGTGGCCACGGAAAAGGCTAGGTTGCTGTTTCCCATCCCCGTGAGCCGTTGGCGGGAGCCTTTGCACTGCAAACGCATTCCCGTCCCCTGTGATCCAAGTCGAAAGATTCATGGGACGATCATGGGTCAAGTCGGCGAGTGTTGCCTTCTTGCCAAGCCAAGACATGCGACTGAGAAGCTCTGTGCTGGTCTGGCTCCCGCTGCTGTCAGGAGCCCAGCGAATGCATTGCACAGCAGCGGGTTTCTCCGTAGCGACAACGAGCTCATCATCAAGTGCTAGCGCTTTTGCAATCCCAGCATCGACACGTATGACCATACGAAAGCGTAGACTGAGCTCTTTGATTCCGCTGCCTTCGCCTGGACCAGCATTTTTGTCTTGCTGTCGCGGGATTTTGAACCCGCTCATCGAGCTGTTCCTCCTAGAATGACCGCCCGCCGAATGCGCAAACTGTACTTTGTAGACGCGGGAAGTAGGGTCTGTAGCAAGCGAGTAGGTGATGAGAAAGCCAAATACCGTCTGCACCACGAAGATCTGAGAATCTGGACGGAGAAGGATATTCACATTGGATCCATATGTCCTCAGGGAATGGTCGGAGCGAAGGACGGAAGCCAAGATGGCTGTTGGCTGCAAAAGTCAGTGAAAACGATGACACATGAGCTTCAGATGATGCATGCCTTGGTCTGCCAGATGGTCAGGGTGGACCTTGTGATGGTTGCAAACATGCTTCCACTTCTTGTGACCCTGATGGCAACGATGTCGCCCGAAACATCGTCTTCGGCAATCTGCCGCTGGGTGTCTTGCATTGCCTGCACGCCCGACTCTTGGAGATTGTCCGCGGCATTGCGATCGGGGGTATCATGTTCGCTGGCCTCGTCCGGGTTGGGGTGTTCGCTGGTGTTGGGTGCACTCAAGCCATCGTGGGATGTGTGGACGCGGGCCGCCTGCGTGTCTTTGGTGGCCGCAAAGACGGAAGGCGAGGAGATGGGCCAATACGTCATGGCGCTCTATGGCAATTGATGGCTGCATTTGGGCGGGCCCATCTGGGTTGAGACGCGAGATCGCTGAGTGCTGGGTGGGATGTGACACGGTGAGCCGGGACCGAGGAGACGTGCCATGCCATGTGGACGGATGCGCGGCGCACGGATTATCCACGTACCCTTACCTACTATGCACTCCACCTGTATATACCTAGGTACATACAAAGGTATAGATATATATATATATATATATAATATCAAAGGTGATTTCAACATTCAAATCCTGTTCAAGAGCATGACAGCATCACATCGTAATCATGAGCCCCCGAACAAACAACTGGCTGCTTGCGCATGCTTCTCCCTTTGCTTGCGTGCTGGCCGAACCATTTCGAGTGACTGAGAGGCTTGGTGCATTACCGGTTCTTCTCTTCATCTTCAGCATCGTCGTCACTGAGGTCAATCTGTTCCTTGTTGCGCCCATAGCCGTATGTACTCGCATAACCTGCAACTCTGTCCGCCAACTCATTGCCAGGCACCTGTCACCGTCAGTCGGTGCGTCGAGTCCCACTTGTTTCTTTGCAATCGTATTTGCATACCTTACTATGCCCAGGAACCCAGTGGATAGATATGTTGGTGACACCCAGATTAGCGAGTCTAGCTGCTCTTTTCACAATATGAAGTGCCATAGGCTTCTTGGCTGCACCTGCTTGTAGATTTTTGATGACCCCTTGACAGTCCGTGTATATCGCGACGGCACAGAGCGACATAGACTCCTTTGTTATGCCTTCGCACGCCTAGTCCAAGGCTTTAATGACAGCAATAAATTCCATTGCTTCACTAGAGACATTAGCTCCTGTAGCTTTGTACCCAATAGCCTCCCAAGGGCCCCACCCATCCGTTTCGCTATGCCGCCACACACACGCGAGACCTTGTCTGCCTTAGCTGCAACCAGAACCATCCAACCACAAAACCAACCAGTTCACATCAAGCATTTCTGCCGTAGTCTCGCCATAAGCTGTTTCAATTGCTTTTACCAAGGAATCAATTTTCAAGATGCCAGGAAACGCGTCGCATAGTAATAAGATGGGCGTCAGGTACCTATTTAGTACCACTGTTGTTATTCTAGTCTTATCAAATGCTATAGCCGCCTTGATAGCCAGTCCCAGGACCGTCCCAATGCTCATTTACGCGAAGAATCTCTTTTTCCAAAAGCCAAGATCACAATAGCGGTCTAAAATTTCAAGCTCAGGACTGCTTTATCAATGTCTGGTTCGTCGACGGAGTGTAGTTTGTCTAGTTAGGTTCTGAAAATTGTTCGACTTGCTTTCCAACTTCTTAGATGGCCGATTATGAATTGCAGATTGTGCCATCTAAGCCAGTCTTTTCTGGTGCCTAGTAAATAGTCGTGATGCCGCCAAACATTGTTGGGGTGATACAGCGCGGCTCAACTGCAATGGACCAACAACGCTGTCGCCAACATCGTCGTTTGTCAAATCGATAGCGTAGGCAGCCGACGAGGTCAGCCGCATAGGCAATTGAAGGGTGTTTTGGTCCATCATCGCCAGCAGCTGCTCCAACGTCTTATCAAGATAAAAGTAGAGATCAGTAGGCTAGACACAACCAGATATTATGCGCGAGTGCAAGTGCGAGTGCGCGAGTGTGCGTACATGTATGTGTCAACAAAGCAAGTACGCACACGACACGACAAGGTTTCCCATCACAGCGGCTCACGGTGTCACAAATTCACGTGATCTATTTCCCTGCACATGTGGTTGCGTAAGTGTACCTACCTTGGTACATACATACATACATGGTATGCACGCATATGAGCTTGGGATAGAAAGGGACGATTCTGATTACAGTTGTGCGGCAAATCCCGACCATCGGAATAGACAAGGAATGAAATGCGAAGTTGTCTCACATTGCGTTGTCTTCACTGCTTTACTCTTTTCCTCTACTCTCCCGTCTCATCTGCCCCTCCAACGTGATTTTGGTTGATAATTTAGCTCCGTGTCTCCCAGCAAACCCTCCTTCATACCATCTTGATCGACCTTACTCTCAGTCATTCTGATCTCCCCTCTCATAATTTCCACCAAATTAATCAAAGGTAAGGCCAGCAACAGCAATGGCAGTAGCTGTCCGTAGCTCCACTCCTTCTCACTGGGGCCGACCAAGTTCACATCCTCGGGCACAGTTCCAAAGGCTTGACTGACCATAATGACGCGAATGGTTGCCCCAGTCCCCAGGGCGAGCAGAATTAAAAGCCCGCAAACCTGGACGGACTTGAGCCATTTTGGTTCGGTGCGATTGTGCAGATACCATGTCGCGACGACGAAGACCACCACTTGACAGGCAATGACGGCAATTGTGCCAGCTATGGAGAGCGCTGCATTGGAAGCTGTTCCACGACCATCGACAGTCCACACGCAAGCAATCGGCAAGCGAGGCTCCAGATTTTTTGTGACGGTCTGCAATATGAAAATACCAGACAAGACGCCGAGAAACATGTTGAGCAACATGAAGAATTGGCGTAACCAACGTAGCACCCAATCTCTCTTGAAGTCATTGACGAGCGCAACGAGCGTCGCAAGGTTTGTTGCTGTTGATTGTAGCGAGAGGAGCCATATGATGAAAAAGTGGTACGGCACCATTGTCTTCATTTTGGCAAGACCTATCGATTGTATCCCAATGCCCGTGATGATTTGTTGATCGGAGAACGACAGCAGCAATTTCCGACATATCGGGGCGGAGGTGGATTTGCGTAGACCCAGAAGGACGATGATGGCGCTCAGAAGCAACGAGATGCTGTTTGTTATTATGAAGGAGAGGAGTGTCTGTGAGGCTCAGTTAGTAGGTTATGGATTTGTAGATAGTACAAGACTATCTGATATGTTGAACAGACGTGAAACGTACACCAGCACCCGCAACGCCCGCGTCCGTTTGTACCGTACTAGGTACGACCGAACAAGTTTGATTCATGTCGAATACCGCCATCGCCGAACGGGAAGACCCAACGTCTCAATACAGGCTATGTTGAATGTTGAAAAGATGCGGTCAGGAGAGAAAACAAGGTCACATTTGGGGGAGATGATCAGAAGAGCACAGCCTCGCCCCACGGACGTCATCGCCCACTTACCCCTGGTCGTTGCGTGCCAAATATAGAGAGAGAGCGAAACAAGGGGTGGATGAAACAAGGTTCAAGCTACCCAATCAACCGACAAGCACGGTGCCGAGCAAGGGTCGCCATCATGAATTTGTAACCAACAAAGTCTGCCGCTCACTCGTAGTCGCGCGGTTGCTAATCATCGTGGCTCTGGAGGGCTGGCGAAGTTTTTCGTAGAGCTGCTTGCTCCTCCTCATCCCAACACATTACTGCAGGCGAGGAGTGGGAGTACGCAAGCATGCTATTGCAATTCCACGAGGATAGTGAAATCAATAGGGGTTTCATTCTCGCCCAATGACGATGCGTGCAACGTTGTGGAGTGCTTCCACCCTCGAGATATGTACAATGAAAGCAATGAAAAACACAACCCATCCCATGACCTTTGACTCCATGGGCATCCCATACCCTTCGCTATGCAATATCTGTGGACATACTCTTCCAGTAGAACAAAACACCAGTTGCGTCTTTGAGGCCAACGACTTCAAAGCCTAGCGATACCTGTCCGTGGGCCAAAACCACCACGGTTATATCTTTTCAGGTCATACCTCGCTCTCTTGAATCTTCTCATCTCCCACCTTTGCCTTTCCTGGAAACCATCTTGCGCAAACCTCTTTCGAGTCGCATCCTGATTCAGACGAGTGCTGTCCATCCCCTGGGATTCTTCCCAGAGCCACGAGAACTCGCGGATGATTGGCCGGACCTGGTTGTTTGGCTGAATTGCGGAGAAAGGATTATGATCAGAGTATTTGAGAAGCTCTGGAGTATCAGTTGAGAGTTGTTGGGCCACGCCTGCGGTTTTGAGGGTGTGAAGGCGGAGGTCGAAGTTCTGTGGAGTGCTGATCTTGGAAGAGACTGTGATGAATGGGTCGTCATCATCAACATGTTGCCACGATTGTCCAGCATGGCGCTTTCCTCGGAAGGAAGGAATGCCTTGGGATACGTCGGCTTGTATATTACCATTCAGATTGTGGGTGCCGAATATACTGTGCGGCCCATTTGTTGTGGATTTGTGTGGTTCTACCGGCCCTGGTATCCAATCGCTCTCTGGGTCGCTCTCATTCGCAATATTTCTTGAGCTTGCTGAATTCTCTTCATCCTCCGTATGAGTGGTGCTTGTGAACTTGGACACGCCCGAGGCATTGTTGGTCGCCGGCTTGCATTTTTCATGGGTGTTTGCTTTGGTCTCGGTTTCCATAACATCCTTTCTAATGCCCTCCTCCTCGCCTCTATTCTGAGCTTCGCTGACTTCTTCCAGCAGATTGCTTGGGACAGCAGCATGAATTTTAGTCATCAAGGCAGCTCTCCTACAAAAGCTATTCCAGTCCTCACTTGCGAGCTTCCCAGCATCTTCATTGAGCGCACTCGCAGGGTTCGGTTGGATGAGAAGACACGAGATGGTCACAAGCACGTCTCTTAGCTTCAGCGAACTGCTCCAATCCCGCTTCAAGGTCTCCACACACACGGCACCGGACTTCTCGTCAATGTTGGGATGCCACAGAGGGGTTCGAAAAGTAGCGGTAGGAGGAGCGGTAGGATATGTTGGGGGAATAGCAAGGTGCAGGCGCCACACACCATTGGCGTAAGGCGTGCCGATGGGACCGGCGAGGAGAACATCGAGCGAAGTGAGGTCTGAATATGGATCTAAAGCCCCAGTGGGAGGGAAGAGGTAGTTGGGCGGTAGCCCCGCAGTTTGGAGGGAGCCATGATCGGCGGCTAGACGACGGAGTGATTTCGAATTCTAGACGAGGAAAGCTGTCAGCGCGGGTCCGTTCGACCATGACAGGACGGTCATGATGATGTGGATGACGATGTCTCGGGATAGAAAAGGGTCTTGACAATTACCATCACCTGTCGAACTGGTTGGACGGATTACTAGGTCTGGTGAGAGAGAGTCAAGATGCAAGAAGACATGCGTGTTGTTTGCCATCTGGCGAGACGCAAAACAAAGCGGCCGCGTCGTCGCCCCCACCTCAGACGTGCATGCTCGCTAGCGCGATGATTTGGCGTTTCCTGGCCGGAAAGGGTAAGAACAACCGACTTCGTCCGCCCATCACTTTCAATTCCCACGATCCGTTCACCAGTGCATCAGGTTAGAAAGATACTTGTATGAGTTTATTTGTGTGCGTATGTGTGTAATGAACAGCACCTTTTGGTTACTGACAAGCAATTCAAACCATGCTCACCAACCCTTTTCCCGCCATTCCTTCAAGTGCACACGTAACGCCTGTTCCGAAGCATCTAATTCGACCACATGATCTTACAAAATGTCCATATCGTCTGAAGGATCGACAAAAGGAAACTGCCCTGTTTCAATGGCTGCCACACGATCCAGTTCTGCCTGATACTCTTTTCTCAGCGTATCCAGAGTAACAATGTGCCTCTTCAGCATCTTCTTCGCTTTTCCAATCGTCCATGCAGGCGCCGCGCTATCGTCTATGCGTTGCTCTGCTACAATGTACGCATCCTCCGCCGACACTGATAGTAGTGCGTTGATGATTAGTAGGTAACACTGTGTAAGAGACTCATCCGCTGGGTCATGAACCTTGGAAGACGTTGACCTAAGACGCTGAAGTCGCTCGTAGAGAGCAGTTGCCGCACCGCGGAAATCTCCTCTTGAAATTCGGAATGAGTAGAGAATCTGATGATAAGGAGGACCTGACGCAAGGTTTAATGTTCGATTACAAAGATCCGACAGGATGGCATCCACATCATCTCGAAGACCGACTAATGGAAGCCTGAGCAGCGATGCCGCTTGTGACTGCGACACCATTGATGTGATCAATTTTTGGAGAGAAGAGTGTTTCCTGGCCTTCGTCAGCTTGATGTAACGTAATACGAAAACAAGTCAAAGTCAAAACAAGCACTTACAAGCCCCCATCTCCATGTCGTATCAATGCGCCATAAGCTTCAGTGAACCTTGAGGTTTGGACGGAAGCAGTAAACAGGCGCTGAAGGAATTCGGCTTTCAATGCCTGGTCTTGGTTACCCATTAGACTCCTAAGTCCCAAGTGTGCGAAATCAGCTGCGTATGAGTGTGCTTTAGCCTTTTCGTACAAAGTCAAGACATGATGATAATATCTGGCGAACCCCTCGGAGAAATCGCCGCGCTCGATATCTGACAAGAGGTTTGCACTGTCTGACATGTGAACGTCAAACATGCTGCTTATTGCTACAGTTGTTAGCGTCCGAGTCGCTACATGCATTTCACATGTCTTACCAAGATTGTGTGCTGCCTTTTGGAAGCAGATTGACGCCCGTCCATTTTCGCCCATTGCAAGATGCATCCGTCCTTTGAGATAGGTAGACCAAGCAGACTTTGAGTTGGAAAATCTCGAGAAATCCAAAGCCAATACGTGTTCCTTTTGAACAAGCAGTATGCCCAATGTCTCGTCCACCTTTTCGTCGAACGTTTCATTGAAGAAGATATTTAGCCACGCGAGAGTCCAGCAGGTAAGTTTTTCGGATTTGAGATTTGATGGTAATGACAGGCCGTGAGCATTCAAGCCATGAATTCCTTCCAGAACAGTTTGTGTCATAGGAAATCGGGTGGTGTTGTACGCTTCACCCAATGCTACCATAAGCGATTCTATAGCAGGTGAAGTTGCCGCCTGGTGGGACCAGACTGTAGTCGCGAGCCACCTCAGTACAAGATAATCCTTGAGAAAGTTCATCAACTCCACGAAGACCGTGGAAGCATCGAAATCGACAGATAGGTTATCTTCGAACTGCATGAATAGTATGACTACCAGCAAGTCCAGTAAGATATCATAATTGCGTTCTAGAGTTTCTTGCGATGTGGTGAGTAGAGCGGCCATGCCGTATCGCGCGATTTGCTTCCGCTTCTCAGGCCGTTCATTTACGTCGATGGAAAGCATGCTCAAGGCTTGGATGAATATGTCAGTGCCCAGATCCTCCAGCTCTGTTCCAAGCTCTTCCAAGAACGAGGACAAGTCCTCTTCGATAATCAATTGCGACAAATCACAGTTGAGGTCCATTTGTTCCATGCGATCAACTACGGTGAGCGGTCGACTTTGCAGCAGATCCAGTTCAATCTGTTGCTTCAGCTCTCGCTGGAAAGAAAGCGGAAAGCGTCGACGCAATGATGCTGCGGCATTGAGCAGCCTGGCCACCTGTCGCCTCTCTTCTTGACCCTCTGGGTTATGGGGAGGAGCTTGGCGCAATGATAAGGCGAGTGGGAGTGAGCTGGACACTGTGGTTGCGTTCAGGGCAATAACTTCCGCTTCGCTGCATTTTCGGATGGCTGAAAGGTAGTCACTCAAGACTAGCCAGGGCATATCCAGTTTTTGATCATAGATGAGACAAATTGATTCTCCCCGGCGTTTGTGCATATCTTTGACGACACCATAGTAGGACTGCCAATGCTCGGCCACCGTTTCTCCATAGGGGTGCACCCCAGAAACACCACGCTGGGCAGCTGTTGCCAGTGCGTAAATAGTTGCACAGAGGCGTTCCTTAAAAGGACCTTTGGGCATCCATTTACTAGGGGTGTTGTCTAACCCCTTGCGTAAGTATGTGTGCGCTGCCTCCAGCGTGGCAGATGTAAATCGGCCGGGGAAAAGGAGAAAGTCCAGCCATTGGTCGGAAAGATTCATGTCTGACGATTCGGGACCGTACTCTTGCTCTCCTGGATTTGCAGGATTGTTTCTAAGCCCTTCTACCGTCAGAGGCCCTGGGTGTACCGTCGCCCACCCGCACTTCCACATCGTTGACAAATTCTTCAAGTCACCTTTAAGATCGAATGCCAAAGAATATACTTTGCTGCTTGGTCCAGACCTCGCTCGGATCCAGATCTCCACATGCCTCAATCGCGATGGTTCAGGGACAATGACGAACTCTTCCATTGTCCACACAGTCGCATCCATCAGGTCATCAACCGGAGGACTGAAAATGACATCGTCTCTTGTGTCGTAGATTCCGTCAAGATCATCATCCGCGTCTCTTACGCCCCAGAATTTGAATTGGTGCTCCAGGGGAGAGTAAGTCACAATGTGATATTCGGCACCTTGCGACTGATCACCTCTGACATCTACAACCTGAAGCAATACACGTTGCGACGGCCCGATCGCATACGGAGGGTTCCTCTCGTGTGACCCATCCGCTTTGTGTAGAAGATCCCGCTGCAGAGTCATCTTTCCAGACGCGATATTGAAGATTCTCAACCGATGGTCCAAGCAGGCGGATATGATGTGTTTGCCATCAGGAGAAACCGCCATCGTGGCGGCGGATGATGGTACTAGATCTATGCTATTATTAAACCGAATTGTATGTTGTCCTTTCCAGGGAAGCATGCCCATGAGAGACCATTGACTTTCTTGATAGAGATCTTCTTGCCACAGAGCGTCATCGTTCTTGTTCCTTGTCAGACGTACTATGCCGCCATTGTCAAGCGAAACTAGAACTTCATTCGCGCTCACGGCGACCAGGCGATATGGCTTTTGAGTGCTCAAAAGGTTGGGTCTCGTTCTTTTACACCAATCATCGATATCCTGTTCCGAGGCATCTAGCTTCCAGAAAAAATCGCGGTGGATGGTGATGGTATATAGCTCGCATGCATCAGTAATGGCGAAGACGACCAGGGCATCTCGATCATCCGGCTCGGCAAATGCGACGCAGAAGGGTCGAAGCGGTGAACCGAAATGAAGGAGCAAAGTCAAGTTTGCTTCCTTTTTATGATCTACATTGTGTTCGAGATCGGTAGCTTGTATCTCGAGCGTCTTCCTGCCGTCCAAGATGCGCCAGAGGAAACTGCGTGGGTAGCTGTGTGTATTCCTGAAGAACATGGAGCCATCGCTGGCTAGATGGCGCTTGGAAAACGCGTCTTCGCTTTGACCGACATATGTCTCGGTGATAACAGATCGTTTTGGGCGGGTTTGCAAGCCGAAGGTGGAAGTGCTGGCGGCGGGGAGGGTGACGGAGACGGTGGAATCGGGGAACGCGGGCTCAATGTTCAGACGCGCCTCCGTGTAGAGACATGAAGCTCCATTCTTGACCATGGTGATTCCATGCACCAGCAGTCACGATCGCAGTCAAAGCAGCGAGGATGGTGCGCAGGTGTGGAGAGGGAAGTTGTTGGGGAAGGGAATGCGCGCGTCCAAACAAATCTTTGGGAGAAGCTGTCCGTCGCAGACCGACAAGCTCAAAGCTCGGCTTGCGCCACGACACCAGCCACAGTGTGTCCGTACTTAAGGCAATGCACTAGTACGTACTAAAGTACCTACATGTATTTTGGACACCCGCTCTTACTAACGTTCACACATGAGTAGCGATGTTAGAAGAAGATTATGATGGTGCATATAATGTAGGTAGTATTTTCTATCGTGAGTATGACCATCATGATCTGCAATATGTCCTCCCACGAACGCCTCGAACGCCATCAATCATCGATACAAGCATTGCCCACATTCCAACGCGATAATTGCTAGTCACCGCATATCGTCATCAATGGTTCTCCAAATCTTTCTCCTTTGGGTCGCCTATGCCGTCTTCGTTGATTGCAAAGAGACAGTCACTTTCAGGCAGGCATGGACTATCGTAGATTTTGCAGACGCGAGTCTCTCCCCGCCCTTTCCTGAGGCTCAAGCGCGTTGTGCTAGCATGTGCGATGATGTTGCCACCGATAGGCTTCTTGGGGTCAGGATTGAACATTGCGCTGGGCCCACCGTCAACCTGAGCAACTACTTGATTGGTGATAATGACAGCTATACCAAATTCGTCCGCGAGCCGTTGAAGGACACGCATGAATTTGGCCAAATGTGTCTGCCTGCTGGACAGTTCGCCGCGCCCAGAAAAATCCGTTCGGTAAAGCGATGTGGCGGAATCCACAATGAGCAGCGAGAATCGAGTTTCAGTCATCATCTGAGCGGCTTGGTTGAGAAGCTCCAGTTGATGATCTGAATTGTAGGCACGAGCATACGCCACGTTATCAAGGACCTCCTCTCCGGATAGTCCAAAGCGGTTCGCCACAGCCAAGCAACGAACAGGTCGAAAGGTGCCCTCAGTATCGATGTACAGACATTTCCCTTCTCCACCGCCCATGTCGAAAGGCAGTTGACACGTCACTGCAAGAGTGTGACAGATCTGAGATTTGCCTGTTCTGAATTCGCCGAATATTTCAGTGATCGATCCGGTTTCTATGCCTCCTGCGAGAAGGGTATCCAGCTGCTTTGAACCAGTCGTTATGGAGATGAGCTCGCTACGTCGTTGATGCATTTCGGTCGCGGTCGTAAATCCCATGGGTACGAGCTTCGAGGCCTCAGCTAACAGTTTTGATGCTTTTTGCTCTGAGATTCCTTTAATCTGTTCTAATGCCCGCCGTGGTCTTTTCAAACTCAGACGTTAGCAGGTTTCGCAAGGGTGGTAATGTGTGAGAACTCACGTGTACGCGATTGACTCTACAGTATTGAAACCGCCTTCTACAATGAGCTTGATATCGCGCGCAGTAAGCCCGTTGATACCCTATAGATTGTGAGTGATGTGCCTGGGAGTGAAGATTAGATGTAACGTACTTCGAGCGCTGAGACAGGTGTCGGCGCGCCTGGGGCACCCATTGAGCTTTCGTCATATTGTTCCTCCTCAGCACTCATCTTGCTGGGTTGTAGTATATTTAAGAAGCACAAGTACTAGAACTTAATAGAACAAAGTGTTGTGCAGAAACAGGGTTGGAGATAGAAGAGTGTTTATGTCTTTATTGCCACTGTAACCTGCGGCGCCACTATTAGCGCGAACGCGTATCGGGCAACGCGCTTGCACGTGATCTAAGATAGGCTGCAGGTGTATAGTGCAACGTTCTACACATTATTGTTAAGTTAAAGTTAAAGTAATTTTATATATAGTAGTTTTTACTATATAGATAAAAGCCTTTATATTAGTAAATAACTTAGTATAAGTTTATTTTCTTTAATTAAAAGTTATAGTAGTTTCTATACTTAAAAAATAAAATAAAAAAAGTATTAAAGTTTTAGCTTAAAAAAAGCTTAATAAATAAATAAATAAATTTTAAATTCTATTGCTAAAATATTTGTAAAAAATATTTTACTTAAATATATTTTAAGCTAATTTTAAAGTAATATAAAGTTTTAAGTTACTTATATACTTTTTATATTATTTTTTATTATTTTTTACATTTTTAAGTAAAAGTTAAAGTAATTTTATATATAGTAATAAGTTATAATAAGAAATAAACTAAAAAATAAGCTATAACTAAAAAAATATACTTTATTTTTAATACTTATTTTTTAAATTAGATTTTTTTTTACTAAAAATAATATAACTAGTAGCTTTTTTACTTAATAAGTAATTTTAAAATATATTAATTACTATTAATACTAGCTTTTATAAAAGCTATTAATAAAAGTAAAGTAATAGTTTATAATTTATTATAGTTTATAGTTATTTTATTTTTAAATTATTACTTTTAACTTTTAACATTTTAGTGTTTTTTTTACTTAATTTTTATTTTTTTTAGTTTATTAACATTCTTTATTTTCTATTTATTACTTTTACTTATTAATATTTTTATTTTTACTTATTTTTTAGTTTTGCATAGTTTTTTAATGTCTTTTACTACTTTTACTTTACTTTTTATTATTTTTTATCACTTAAATAACTATTAAATTTTAATTTAATAAATAATTTCTAACACTTTCTTTACCTACTTTACTCTTTTATTATTATTTTTTATTAGAAAGCAGCTTGCTTTTAAAAAAAAAGCAGCTTATACTTAATAAAGAAAGTTAAGTATACTTTTAATTTTTACTTTTTTTTAATACTATTTAGGTGTAAGATACTTACTTAAGTTTACTTTTATAAGTATAAATATAATACTTTTTTTTTTAGTTAAGTTAAAAGTAAATTTATTAAGCTTAAAAACTAGTTTACTAACTAAGTTTTATATAATTAATAATTTTATTATTAATTTATTTGCGTTAAAGCTATTTATATTAGAAAAGTATAGCTGCTTAAAGTCTTAACTTATTTATATGCCTTTTACTTTTTCTTTAATACTTTAATTACGCGTTGCTTTATTATTATTTTTTTTACTATTAAATATTATACTAGTAAGTTACTTTTAAATATTAATTACTAATTATACTAAGCTTATATAAGTATTAGCTACTAAGTAAAGTGCTTTATAATAATATATAGTGCTTTATAATAATAATTATTTTTTACTTACTATTTATTACTGTTTATTACTTTTACTTTTTAATATCTATTCTTTACTTGCTATTTATTGCTTTTATTTTTTAATATTTTATTTTTATCTTAATTTATTTTACTTTTACTTATTTTTTAATATTTTTAACTACTTTTACCTTTACTTTTATTATTAACCTTTTTAAGTTTTACTTAGTATTACTATATTTAGTGCTACTGTGTCTAGTGCCTCTACTATTAGCTAATAAATTTTATTTATTTAAATAATAAATAGTACTTTTTTTACTTATTTTAGCTATATTAGTAGAACTAACTTTAATTTAAAATGCTTTTTTAAAAAGCTTAAATTTAAAAAAAAGCATTATATATGCGCGTACTTTATAAGCCTGCGTAAGTATATATAATACTTTTTTACTTACTTTTAACTTTATATATATATATATAAAGTACTTTATTTTTTATTAAAATAATAATACTTTTTACTACTTTATTAATTATGCTTTATATAATTATTAATATTATTAATTTGCTTTAATAAATTCCTCTAAAAAAGTAAGCTAAATATTTACTAGTGCTATTATTATAGAGTTTTAAAAAAAAAGTAACTAAATTAGTAAAGTAGATATTAATTATAAATATATTTACTATTTTAACTAATTTTAATACTAACTCTAATGCTAACTCTAATTTAATTTAACTTTTAATAAACTTATAATAAATAGAGCTATTTTTATAATAAATTAGCTAATGCAAAAAAGATAAAGCTAAAATTTTTTAAAAGTTTTTTATATATAAGAGTGCAGCAGGTATTAGTATTATTATAAGTTTTAAATATTTATTTTAGTTTTTTTATTTTATTATATATTCTAGTCTAGAATTTTATTTAAATTTTATTTTTAGCATATAGTAGTTATAGTGCTATTTGCTCTAAGTGTAGTAGTTAGTTAAAAACTTAAAGTTAATTTTAAGATAAAAAAATAAAGTAAAAAAACTAGTCTTCTAGCGCTAGTGCTTAATAAGAGCTAGTGTTAAAAAGTGCTTTTTAATCTTTACTTTTAAGTAAAAGTAAAAATTATTTAGTCTTTTTAGTTATTACTTATTTTTTTAGTTTATTTTTTATTATAACTTATTGCTGTGTGTAGAATTACCTAAACTTTTTTTTAAAAAATAAAAATAAAATAAAAATAGCTGCTTAGTTATTTAGCTTTTAGTTAAAATAAGTACTAGATAAAAAAAAATATTATAAAAATTTAGTTTAATAAAGATTGCTATTTTAATAAATTTAATAAATTTAATTTAAGTTTTAATAGTTAATAGTTCTATAATAAATTAGCTAGAAGAATTAAGTAGAGAAAGTTTAAAGTTTTTTATATATAAGTAGTAAGCAGCAGCGCTACTTTAAGTTTTTATTATTTTTTTTAATATTTTTATATTATCATAAACTGTAAATTTTTTTATACTTTAAATAAGTAATATCTATAGTTTTAGTTACTATTTTAGCTATAGTTTAAAAATAACTTTAATAGTAAAAAAATCTAGTTTTCTAGTACTAGTGCTTAATTAAAACTAGTTTTAAAGCTATTTTAATTTAAACTAAAGTACTAAAAAGTACTTCTTAATTTCTTTTTTAAGTAAAAGTAAAAATTGCAAGTTTTTTTAGTAATTAACGTAATCTATTACTAAAACAGCTATATTACTAAGCTAGCTACTTTGCTTAACATAGCTATTTTTTTATTTAACGCGTTATGTCTTAACAAAATAACGTAATTTCTGCTAAATAAGAAGAAAGAATTAAACTTGCTCTTTAAGCTTATAATACTAGTTAATTTAAAAGCTTGCAACGCGCTACTGCAGCTTTTAATATTAAACATTAGTAACTCTCTAATTAACTACATAGAATTACCTTTTAACTCTAAACTACGCCTAACTACTAGAAGCTATTCTTAATAGAAGAGTACATAATTACTTAATATATTCTTAACCTTAATTTATAAGGGTTTTTGCCTAGGCTGTATAAAGTTGTAAATATAGTAAATAAACTGCTAAAAGTGCAGAGTAAAGGGCTAGTAGGCAAGTGCTAGGCTAAATAATTTATATTATATTTAAATAAGCTTAAGACAGCATTTAATTAAGCAAAAAACTATTAGAGAAGTTTTTAAGAAGATTCTTAGGTTGTAGGTAAATAGTTTAGGCTTGTAGCTAACGTAAAGGCTAAGTATAGCATTTAAAACAACAATGTATACAACTTTAATAAAAGCAGGTTCTAGATAGGCGTAATTAAGTTAATAAAGGTTATTACTAGTTTAGAGAGGCGTACTTAACTAAAACTTATTTAGCTAAGTAATTATAAGTAAGTTATAGTTATCTAGAGCATTTGCGCTGCAGAGTATGTAATTCTACTCTTTATTATTTATAAAGGCTGCGTTTACATCTCTGCGTAGTATAAAGAAACAGATATACTAGATAATTAAAAGCTTTTAGTTTTAAAGAATAGCTAGACAAATAATAAGCTTAGTTTTAAGTAGTTAAAGCACTTTAACGCGTGTATAAAAGGTTAAAAGGTAGAAGTATATAGGTTACTTATTTTAAACAGGCATAAAAGCTACCTTAACTAGAATTTTAAAAACTACTATAAAGAAAACAAGATTGTAACAGTTTATATGCCTTTTTATTTATTATATATCTTTTAGCTACTTAACGTAGTTTACTTTTTACTATTAAAGTAGAAGTACTTTTAGCACATACAAGACTTAGCACGTTAACGCGTCTTTTACATTAATAAAAAAGGCTTTTTACTAGCATTTAGAAACGTGTTTTTTAATATATTTACAATAGAGAACTGTAATAAGGCTTTTAAAGCAACTAGGCTAGTTCTCTTTAACTTATTAAGAGTTCTAAAACGTTTTAAAGTATAATACTAGACCCCTCTAGCACCTCTTTAACTAGATAAGCTACAGTAGTTTAGAATACTAAGTAATACGCATAAATTTAGATTCTAGTTAAAGCTTATATGTAATTTAATTACTTAGTTATCTATTACAGCGTAAAAAAGCTTCTCTACACTTATAAAAGGTGCTAAGTAGATGCTTTATAAAAACGCGCTTAAAGATGCCTGCATCTACAAGCTTAAAAAGTAATTAAAAAAAATAACTAAGCGCAAAGCATATAAAAGAAAGAAGATTTAAAAGAGTAAAATATTAGAGTATAGTAAGAAAGCTTTACTAGTACCTTTAAAATTACTAAGCACAGCTTAGTTAAAGAAGAAGGCTTAAAGTAGTAGAAGTACTAAGAGAGCTTAACTAAGTGTATAGCACTATAAGAACTATAGAAAGCCTAGGCACTACGCTACAATATGTTAAAAGGTTATAAAAGTGTCTTCTAATTTAGAGCTAAGCAAGCTTAAAAGTAATTTACTAACAGATAATAATAAGGATTAAAGTTAAAAAAGATAAGATAGTTATGC